ATGTTGCCATGGTGGTGCGTTTGGCTTTCTTCAATGACGAAAGTATCCACCATTTGTGGCCTCAACATATGCCCGTGTGCGGCACGACTCCCCATATACTCCTCTACTATTCTTGGAAAAGCCAATAACATCATCCCTTTTTAGTGGAGACCTTGAAGATCAGGAACAGAATCGGCAAGTTTTCTCTCTTTCTATTTCAAGTTAGTTTCTGGGCACTGAGTGCAACGGCGGGGCTTCTCATGCACAGGCCAGGGTTTCCAGCGGGGTTACAGAACATAGGTAACGGTCACGCTGATAGTACTTGATGGCCATGGTTATGCTCCTTTAAGATCACTAGCCTTAGTTGATTCGGTAGTTATGTCATCCGCCACACTAGCCAGAGTAAAGCTCAATGTATTCCCCCTCGAAGCGCGCCGAAGGCGTATACGTCCAAGGCAGAGGAAGGTTTCCTTTATATTTCTTTCCCTTCTTCCCTTTTGCAAACGAGATGCGACCAGCAAGTAAGTAGCCCACGGCACCCTCTTCATCCTTCTGGCGCTTGCGTTCCCTCCACACCTCATCGGAATCGGACGCGTCGCGAAACCGGCACTGGGCAAAGTCTATATAAAATACCTGATACGAGTGCTCGCTCTCGCTGCGGCGGACAAGAATGTTTCTGGTTGCAAGATCAAAGTTGATAAAGTTATAATCGATGATTTTGTTGACTGCCTCGATCGCCTGATTGCAGATGACCGGCCAGTCCGACTCCGGCGTCTCGGTAACAAGGTCAAGGAGCGGGAAGCCATGAATATATTCGATCATAATGGCCCTGATTTCGGTGTACTCGGTCAAGCCCTCATCCAGTTGCTCTCCTACTATTGCGTGCTGTGGAGCCAACCGGACATCAGCGTAGAATTTTGGGACGTGGATACCTTGCAAATCCAGAAGGCGATCATAGACTTGGACTTCAATCTCGTGCATCCTCGTCGATTCGACATGGAAATATGCTTCCAGCTTCGGTACATCCCATTCCTCGTATGCAAAGCGTCCATTCTCTGCGTGATCTACTAGGAATTGAGGCATGGAGCCCCCGCGCAGAAAGGTGGCGTATTGCTCTTCGCTGTCAGTGGTGGCCGGGCCGGTCTCCTTGAACTGCCGCAACTCGGAGGAAAATTGACGCTCGTAGACTTTCAAGACCATCTTTGGAGCAGGAGCGGTAAGAGGAGAGACAGAGCACGCAGATTGCTCTCCTCGTTCCGTAGGCGGTTCGAGCTCGACGATGACAACAACAGACATTGTTGACGGCTCTATCACATCCACAATCTGTGCCCGTACCTCGCTGCTGCTATGCTTGAGTTGCAGTGGAGCATGTTTGCCAAGGTGATGTATTTTGAGGGTTAAGATATTCCCCTTGACGTATGGGCTAGACATTGTTAGTTTAGGAGTTAGGACGCAAAGGATGCTTATGCATGAATACCTTTTTAAAGTCGGGGCCATGCTTGTTGCCAACTCTCAAATCGGTACGGATAACTAGCATCTAGGATTCAAGCTTAAGAGTGGGAAGGATGAGCCTCCCAGTAAATACTAGCTGGGGCTGATGGCATGGATTTTAAATACCCATGCTGCGGCCCCATTTATTTAGCCGCTTTCTTCCTCTGCCCCACAATCAGTGCCATTGGAAGGGATGTTACATGATCTTCTCTTGGATCGCCAAAAGGATGAAAGTAAGTAAAGAAACAGAATGGCAATAGCGCCCGTTCAGGCGTGGTGGGCTATTTTAAATCTTCTGATCATCATTCTGGTTGATCATCATTCTCCATCCACTACCGGTAACTCACCAATTGGGGTTTTGTCATTGAGTTCCATGGCGGTCCTGCTTCCTCCCGGCCAGGCTCCTGCGAATGGGAGGATATCTGAAAATGTGTGATCATCACCCAGTCCCTCCTGAGGAGATCGTAAGGCTTACATCTGCCCCAGAACAGGCGAATAGAACGCAGTATCTAGCAGAGCCTCAATATCAGAAGTTGTTTCCACTCATACGTCATTATTTGAAGGGCGTACGTTCCTGAAGGTCATAATGCTTGCTGCTTGATGTTAGCGATCTTTGCGCGCGACCCTGATACAACTATATTCATGATCTAATTAAAGCAACATATACTCTCAGCCAAATCAACAGCTATAGACTCACCACGACGATCGCAAGAACGACGACAGTATATAGGCCGTTGTGATTCACCCACAAACATATCCAGAATATCTTCTCAACATCACACTTCAGCATCAATCACATACCACTCAGAATTCTCTCAACACTTTTTATATTCTCATTTTAGGGAACATCTTCTACAATTAAACATTTTTTAGAAGGAAAAACGAGAAATTGCCAACCATGAAGTTCAGCAAAGCCTCCTACGTCTTCTTCTTCTGCGCCTCCGCCGTGAGCGCATTGACATTGCCTCACGGGTCGCGCATTGTTGCACGTGATGTCGAAAACGTGCAAGATGAGTCGCTCGCCAAGCGCGGCCCTCAAGAGGTCGACTTCAATACGCTTAGCCGCCGTGAGGCCTCAGCTGAGCCAGAAGCCTATCCTGAGGCAGACCCTGAAGCTTTCTCCGGGGCCCTCTCCAGCCGTGACACCCTCTCCGACGCAATGAAGGAGATCATTGATTATCTTCGCGATATCCAAACCACCGGATCTGGCGGCATCGGCGGACCATCATCCTGGCCTACAGGTTGGAGCGATTTGCACGGCGACAACAAGTCTCAATACGGCGGTCGCTATGTCTGCCAGGTCCGCAGAAATGGCAACACCTACCAGGCTCGTGTCGTTGCCCATGCCAATCAGGGCAATAACATCAGGACGGGCTACGTCTTCAAGGAGACCGATGTTGATGAATGCGTGAACAGGAAGGGTCAGAACGAAGCCCCTGGATATGGTCGTGCTATTCACTTCTTGAGGAAGGCCTTCGGTGGCGAGGACCCACCAGCGGGCTGCTAAATACTCATCGTTTCCGCGTTTGCATGGTTTTGGGAAAGTCAAAGGACTCAACCCCGAAAATCATTGTTGGTGTAAAGCAGGAGTGTATAGGATCGGTTGCATTGTTGCCCCCGTCGTGTAGGAAGGTCTGGGTGGCCCCATTCTTTTAGTGCATATGCGTTGTTTTTAGTCTCGGCGTCCTAGAATTAACAAAATCAACATTATCTTGAGAAAAGCAGTCTGCATTGCTCCTGGCTATTTTGCTGCCACACACATCCGAGTTTTTGCTAATATTCCTGTCGCCAACATATCCTAGCCGTCACTGTTTTACCTGGGCTTGTTAGTGAGCGTCATAATGAATTGCGATAGCACACCTTTGCTTACCTTCTTGCTGGATAGCTGCCCACCCAGTTCTAGATTAGTCTAGTATCTTCCGACACTTCAGCCTGTCGTTTTCTAAGCCCCTCTCCCCCCTTCCCCTTCTTGTCTAGCGACATTTCGGCCAGCCGACTTGTTCTCCCAGCATTCCATTTTTGATTTACTTCTAGTATCAACAATCATTGTCTCGTGTTATTCTTCCACGCCACTCCCATTGATGGTGTGATATGCTTCGAAGTACTCATTTATATTCAAGACTAAATCAGTGTTGTATGTTTTTGCAATTCTGTGTAATTCTGTCGACACTAGTAACAGTAACTAATTGAAACCACCCTTAATGCGCTTATTAGAATTTTTAGAATGATCCTGTTCCTGTCTATTTGGCTACACTAGATAGTATGAGCCGCGCCCCCCGCAAAAGAAAAAGCGGATTCCATACTAGACTAAGGTTAGTATACTATGATCAATCTTCCCTCGTACTTGTCAAAATACCCGCACCGCTCCAGAATAGAGAAAGCAGCCCTAGAACCACAGTCACTGGGACAGAGGCATTCTCTAAGTCCTGTGGAATAACTGCAATCCACCATATAAAGAAGCTAAACGGTGCTGCAAGTATGATGAAGTGATAGATGCACACATAAGCGAACGAAACGGCATGAACGGGTCCAAGCCCCCATATCTCGGTCGTCATGTCGCTGTCGAACATATGCCACACTTTGGGAATCCGCTCGAGGCCTTAGTTGCCTGTCTGCGGTTTGACACACTCATGTGGCACAATACGACGGCATAGTTTGTCGCAGGAGTAGAACAGAGCGTCGAATAGGTGAGCCGAGAACGGCGGGTTTTTCGCCCTTTCGCCCTTTCGCATTTGGGCTTGTAGATATAGTCTGGGTGGATCGGCAAATCGCGGTATTCGCGGACCATATGGTCAAGAGCAAGTCTATTGTACTGGTCTAAATATTAGCAGGACATTTTTAGGGCATGTCAGATCTCGTTAACATACCTTGACAACTTCGCAGTATTCCAAGCGCCAAATCGAGACCCACAGCATAACTGTCCCACGATAATGACAGTAGCATTCTTTCAACGCTCTAAAGAAACGGTAGTCTGTAGTCGAATCATAAATCGGAATTTGTGTGGGGACAAGTGTTCGCCTTTCCTTGAATGCCTAGTAAAACCCAACTATTAGGAGGATACGAATCCGGTGGTTGAGATTCTCGCTCCATGATGCCTGCAGATTGATCCAAAGTCAGCCTCGTAGGTCCCTTTTCCAGGGTTGTCGTGCTTGAAAAGGCATTCGCAACTGTGGTATCTTTGGGTGGAGTGTATCGCCGTGATGCGGATGAGGGTGCCAGTCGAGATGCGCCCGGCGGTGCTATTTGCAAAACGCGTTGGAACCAGGTCGCTCTAGGGATCGTCTTCTTCGATGTGCACCATGATTTCAACCGAAGCTTATCGTCTGCTGGAGATATGATTTCCTTCACCCATCGAGATTGGTCGATCGTTATCTCTTCCCACAATATTAACCCACAATCCTAGAACGGTTTAATGCGTGCTATACGATCTGAACATGAAACTTAGACATTGCTAAAATACTCGAGTCTCGCCTTCGTGAAGCATGCGCTTCCCTGGCACAAGCGGCCACCAGTTCCACCGGACTTTGGTGTTATCCTCTATCCAAGCTTTCGCTCGATTGGCCAGCGATACATCCTGCTCTTTGTGAAACCCAGATTTCTTCCTTGGAGATTGACTCGAGTACACTCCTTATATCGTAAGGTATGAACAAGAACTTGAAGTTCCTCCGAAGATCCAAGAATGCCGTGGTCCCTTGCAAGCAAGTCCTCAAGCTGGAAACGTGAGAGAACGCCCCGTATGACCCGGACTCCAAGCTGACATCAGAATCAACATCAGAGCCAGCGTCAGAGTCCTTCATTGGGGTCCTGGTGATGAATTTCTGTTTCTCCAAGCTTGTATCTGGTTCCTCAATCGCTTGATCAGAGCCTCCCGTTGTCTTCGAAGTCTGCAGGAGCCAGTCTTCGGCATGTTTTTTTTTTGCTCTTCGCTCAATGCAAGTAAACGACTCTTCTTAGTCTAACTCCACTCGAAGTGCAATATGCTTACTTATCCGGTTTCTCCCCCGTTTGCTATGTCGCAATTGTGCAGTTGCTTTTTGAGCTTCAGTCTCTGCTTCCGAGGAGAGCTTCACATGGAATATCTTCAAAATTCGGCTTAGGTTTCGCACAAATCTTCTTTTGTCCAATTTTGTCAGGGCTGCTTCACATAATGATCTGAAATGAGGCTCATCCGCCGATAAAATTCCGAACAATACTTTGCCGGTCATTTCTTCGTTGGTAGTATCAAAAGATCCTTGTGAACGCGTAGTATCTTCATTGGATACAAGAGATTCGATTTAGTCATCAAAGCGTGATTTGGAAGTCTCGTATACTTCGACAGCAACTGGATTATCCATATGAGACGTCGGTATATTAGAGATTCCTCGCGTTGATTGGAGCAAGGATTGTATTGCCGCAATGGAAGAGCCAGTCGTCGTTGATGAGTTGGGCCGAAGTAGACTCGGTCATGATGGCCAAGATATCATGGCGTGAAGACGTGTTCGCGGAGACACGCACAATTTTACCGAGGATTTCTGCATAGTTGCTAGCTCGATGGGGAGTGGTTAAGAAGAAAATGGACCTAATATGTCCTTTAAAGTCGGCTACGTCTCTAAAAAAAAAAAAAAAAGGGTAAAGGCCTTGTGGCAGTATCAGTAAAAACCGTTGAGGTTAAGGGTTGTGAAATATTCGAGCGATTTGATGATATTACCTTCTTGACCACCTGGCCGCTGATTGAGTGGCCAACGAGTATGATTGGGGCCTGCTTCTTGCTGTTAGTGCTTCCGTCGGTGATTTGTCGTCATGTAATGACTCACACTCCCGCTTCCCTTGGTATAAGGTGAGGTCCTCATCTGCTCCAGTAGAGACTGACCAAGATCTTGAAAATTGACGGTGCTCGTTTTCATGCCCGTCCAATTCGTGTCGTATCAAAAGCTGTGGACGTTGATATTCCGCACATCTGGCGCCATCGGCAACCAGTATTTTGGCCAAAATGAACACTGTTTATTCCCCTTCTGCCATTTCTTGATGGAGCCACCGCGTAGCCCATGGAAAAATATCACATCGATAAGCGGCTCTGGGGTGGAATAGAGTAATTGCAACCCCAATGGACCACGGGTCACCTCTTCCTCTTCCTCTTCCGAATCTAAATCTGAATCTGAATCATTCTTGATGCCCCCCTCGGCGCTACTAGTCCCACCAAAGCCCACCATCACTGAAGAGCTCTCCATTGGGAGCAGACCGTGTCGGTAAAGTGGGGGTCTGAGCGTGCTGTCACGAAGCTTGCGTCTTCCGACGGTATGGATTTTAGCTTTCGGTTTTGCCTTGAGCGCTTGACCTGTCGCTTGCCTTCCGCTCGTGGTTCGGCTGGGACAGCTACTGTATATCACCACCCGCATGGGCACTCGCCGATGTTTTGCACACAATAGCGCTGGACCGTTGTTAAAAAGGTGGAAAGTATGTACCAAATGTACAGCCGCCCCGCAATCCATAAGCGCTTTAGAAGCTTCCCGGCGGATAACCACCCCCGGATCCACAGGACGAGGCTTCTTTTACCCCTGAATATTGGAATATTGCGCTAGCATTCCAACTAGTCTAGATAGTGCTTACATTTCAATTTAGCGAACGTGGGATTTTGCAACTTTCCAGCAAGGGCGTTTCTCAAAGCTTTTATCAACGCATTCGTTGCGAAAGCTTGAGAGCTGCACAACCCGATTACATGACCCGAAAGTGCACTTCTGCGTTAAAAGCGGTCTGTACAAATGTCCAGTGAGGACGATGAGTGACTTATTTGGGGCAACTGGAACGGATGGAATGCAACAAAATATCCATGACAGCTGCCCACATCAGCGTGATATACCATCAGTGAACAATGCTATTACGGAATTGAATCCAAACGGTTCGTTCATCGGTACAAATTGATCAATACTGACATCTTCTTCATGTTTTGTTTTCTGGTTATTCGTTATAAGAAACTGTTACTTGTCTACTTGTCAATCCTTATACAGCTTTTATATGAAGTACCGCAAACTATAACACATTTTTTCAATAGTCCTCGTGGATCACGACGCTCCCGGTGATCCTAGATCACTATACCAAGCGTGATCCAGTCATGTGACTTCTTGCTCTTATAGCTCCGACGGATGTTCGTCGAACATCTAGCTGCACCCTGGTGGGCTATAGCAGTCTAAGCTCCGTCCTGCGACCATAAGAAATGAGGTTCATAACACCTTGATAGTGCCGAGGTGTACGTCGATCTTATGAATCAAATGCTCCTCACGGGAATGGGTCATATTCGCGTAATCCCAAACACACCCCATCCACCTCAACACTATCGATATGCTGAGATACCACGCCGTCGGCGCCGAAGCGGATGAGATCTCCGTTATTCTGATCACTGGTAACTATTGGCTTCCAGCCCATCGTCTCTTGCGGACCATTATACGGGTCCTTGACGAAGGCAAGAATATGGTCCTGCATCGACAAGCTGACATCAATCTCGAATTGGGTGGTGTTTGCTACGTGGTCCAGGAGTCGATATGTCCCGAAGGTTATCGGTATATCGCTAGCATGGTAGGCGCCAAGCCATGGATAATAGTTCAAATTGGGAAACGTGCCAGCATGCTGAAAACGGAAGACGGGCACGTCTTCACCCATCCGGTTCCGATACACGGTTGAGTTGAACGTCGGACACACCATTATTTCAATGTCCAAGGCAGTGACCATTGACTGGTCTGGGCCAGTGGTTAGGTTTGCCGGCCACGGAACCCCTGATGATGCCTCATTGGCTGTATTCGAGATAATGACTGGTATACGTGCGATACTGCCTGCCTCTGCTCGCTCATTATAGTTAGTAAAGACGATGCGATCATCGGGAACCAAGGAGAATCTTAGCGCGGGCGTCTCGCCCCGATCGCCGTATTGTCCGACGAAATTTGTTATTTCCTTAAATGACACTTGACGCATACAGTCGAGCTCCGCCGCGCCGTCCTTATTCTCAACGTCGCTATTAGAGTTATCACACCCAAAGTGACGTGCTACGAATGTGAAGTTAGAATATGCCGGATCTTTGTCCTGAATATTAGCACCGAATATTGTTCCCGATTGCATGTAATAGGCTTGCGCGATTGGGTCTTCGGAGAAAGCGTAAGCATGGACATCAACGCTGACGGCCCCCGCCGACCGTCCCATCTGCGTGATACGGCTTGGGTCGCCGCCGAAGGCCGCAATATTATCGCGGACCCATTCGAGTGCAACGCGCTGGTCAATGATACCGAGGTTCTGGTGGTCATTCACCAACCCGCGCGCGTAGGGGAAGCCGAAGATGTTAAGCCGATAGTTAATAGTAACAACGATATGCGACTGCGACCGCTCGACCCATGACGTTGGCATCTGCCACGGGATGTCAACGCCACCGATTATAAATCCGCCTCCAGTCATGAAGAAGAGAACGGGGAGCCCGGCCTTAGGGGCCGCAACCTTCGGCGTCCACACCGCCAAATATAGGCAGTCCTCAGAAGTGGCCGCCCCCACTAGCCCCGACGAGTCGTTCTGGTTGCCGTTGTAGATTAGGTTACCCCTGGTCAGGTCCGAATTCCAAAACGAAGGTACCGCCGACACGAACTGGGGACACGAGGGCGGGAACCGCGTCGCATTCCTATGCTCGTTCGATGGCGACAGCTTCTCCGGAGGTAGCCAGCGACGCGACAACACGGGCGGCTTCGCAAATGGAATGGCGCGAAATTGGCGGGTGTTCGGAAACTCAGGATCGATGAGGCCTGTAAATGTGCCCGTGGAGGTTCGGACCGTGAGTTGGTCGGAGCCCGGGTGCTTGGCCTCTTGGCCAACGATGGTGTTGGTCGCCAGCGCGAGAAGGGACAATATTGTAAGCTTCATGTTGGCCATTTTGCGGGTGTTGAAGCACTGCCGTCGCTCCTAAATTACTTCGGCTGTGATACAAAAACCCGTCGTTAATCTACAGCGTGAGCTGATTTTATGTCTCTAATACATACCAGGGAACCCGGGAACCCCGGGCAGTTTCCGGTTGCCAGACCAGCGCATTAGGCGATTCCTGGCAGGTACATAGCTCTCTCCAGGATCTGTGCATAGAACCCTGTGTTGTATAAAATCCAGCAAATGAGAGACGATTCTAGAGATTTGCTGAATTCTGAAGGATCCAAACCACCACCGTCATTCCAGTGATAATGCAGTCAGCCACGTAGCGCATCCTATAACCGACTTACGCCGGCATTCAACCATAAGACTATCTCCAAGAGTTGGGCCATTTTGTGTGGTAGCGGCCGCAGCTGATTGGGCGTGCCCCCGCCCCCGTGCCTCGTCTGGTGTCCCGATACAGGGAACACACCGAGGACTCGCATCGAATTCTTACGGTACCCACGGGGTCCTCCCTGGAAGCCGCGATCCAGTCGGCGAGCCAGTCCTACGGCGCCGAAAAGAGGATGTAGTCGTGTGTCTAGTGATATTTTGACCCTCACTGTTACCAACGAAGGCCCGGGGAACCGACCTGAAGTGGACAAAGAAGCATCAGAAGGCCAGTTAGGGCCAGACGGGAACGATTGGAGGAGGGATCACCGATAAGCTTGGTCACGTGACATGGATATACAGAAGGAATTCGGCGCAGATCCGCAGATCTAAGAACATCAGTAAAGACATAAGTGAGAGGTTAGCTGTGAGCAATTGACATTATTATAAGTCACAACAAGATTGTTCGATAAAGAGCCTGTTGTAATATAGCCTCAATTCTTGAAGCGTAATACTGACTCTATGTAGAGATACAAAATATCGTTCGAGATATTTTCAGGTCACTCTGAATGTAACAAGTATATAACCTTCAAATGTATCACTAGGCCTGCAATTATGAAAGAAGCATGCATTCAAGCTATCATCATCATTCTTATGGTGTTATGAAAAAGGCATGCCAAGGGATGGTGTAAAGCGGCGCGCCAAGGTAAGCTATAGCCTGGTGGATCTACGGAGTCCTTGAGGATACTATACTGTAGCTGAGTCACGTGAGACCAAACCATTTGAAACAAGTAAATGGCCAGTAGACTGATGATGTTGCGGTCGAGCATCTTTTCCCAGTATCGCAGGCTGACCTGTTACATCAAACGCCAGTGCTAGTACACCGAAGATACCACATCGACCCCATACCTCCCACAATTCGCATTTGGAGTAGGACTTCTATAGGAGTTTATATGCGGTGGTGGAAGTCTCCACATCAAGATAGATGAAAGCGATGGCATCAAGCGAGTGGAATATCCTCACCAGTATCTTGGTGGAAGGGATCAAACCCGCAGGTATTGCTTGGTTCACATTGTGTCTTTGGTGAGAGGTGCGCCAACACGGAAGCGTTGGATTGAGTATCATCAGAAATGCCACATCACATGCCTTGTTGGACATGCATACGATTACCATGGGAGAGTTGTGAAAGTCCAGTGAGAAAACAGCACGTTGGTCTATATGCCAGATGCCAGTTCCTAAATCGCCATGACTCAAATCCGTGATCTCATAGATACAAATATATGCAAAATTTCACAAGCACCATGCGGTTTTGATAATCCTCCCAAGACAACGCATAGCTCGCGGGGCTGCATGGCTGTCGTGTAAGATACGTTACTGTCGAATGGTTACCAGAAGTCTTTATGCCCAATAACAAGCGACTTCGTCGTCGTGTGTTCTAGCAGGTTACTTGAAGCTCTACCCATTTTTAACAAACGGGAAGATTTCATACTCCCCGAGGCTATTCGCGAAAATTTTGCTATGTCAGCTCTACTAACAATGGTGGTTGACTCTGCATGAAACAGCCGGCACTTTGGAAGGATGCGTATACGTTGCCATAACCTGATCTTCGAGTGAAATTTAGCCAACATGCATGGTATTTGTTTGGCATAGCCGCAGAAAAGATACTCAGGCGGTCAAGGGTAACAAGGGGGTTCGCATCCGGTGCAAAGATGCCGTATTGATGCGACTATTATCTTCGTCACTCTCCCTGGCGCCTTCTAGCCAAGCCTACGGAGATCCGCGCACGCCCTGTGCTTCCATGTGCCGATGTATATTGTATTTACATATCCTCATTAGTGTATATTAAGTGAATTTGTCTGTCAGGGGCTTGGATATGTTTGAGGCAGGTCAACGAAATGAGGAGACGGAACTTTTCCCAACTACATTAGGTTATACACTGCTTTGGACTATAAGTCCGTGATGAGGGATGATCAGGGTCTAATTTGATTTCCTCACATACGTGACGTTCCTGTTCGTACCACGGAAGACCACCAAAAGACAAGAGTGGACGGGTCTTCCGGTGTCCACGGCCAGCTCTGCTGACAATACGTCGTGGCTGACATGGCCGTACTGTATGGCCAAGTCAAACATGGGCAGTATCGACTGCTCTGTATCTCAAAATTTGATAGGTACCAACTCAGGGGATTGTCTCGGCATTTTTGCGTTCTGGCCGACTTCCACGACGATTCTAAATGAAACGATCTGCCAAGGTTTCGCGAATGTGTCAGGCGTTGGGAGCCTTGAGAGCACTGGATATGCTCCTATAGCATAACGGGTTCAATATCATAGCACCACTATATATAACAAAGTAAATCGCTACATTATTACCCACCCCTAGTATTAAAAACAAACATAATCTCAGCTCTACTAGCAAAATATTAGCCGGTAGTTAAGGAATAAGTAATAGACAAATAACGATATAAGCTAAGCAAATCCAGACAATGGGTGCCCAAGTCCCAGCTAGGTGCGATGCCTATTTCCTGCCGGTATACCCAATCTCATTGCTTGCCACCAAAATCAATTTCACATGTAAACAGGCTTGTTTCCTCTTTATTGATTCCTGAGATTCCAACAATCACGAGGCGGAGTTGCCGCGAGGCTGTTCATCTATTTGAGACGCTGGCTTGATACCACAGTTTGAGGCGGTTACCACAAATGACAGAGTTCATAGATCGATGTCACCACAACTTGATCTTCTTTGAAGTACATCCCAACAGGCTTCCCAAGTGGAACCTTGGATGCAGGACCTCGCACGTCAGCTCTGCTGACAACACAAAAAGGCGCATTAGTCCATAACATATGGTCAGTATGGTTGTAGCTTTTGCTAGTCGGAGTCTTGCAGGATATGTCAATCACCATGATGCATGGGTTGGCCTAGTGAACGTTGACGGGTAGTTCGCGTAGCGCTTGCCCTGTCCCAAAATAGGTTGGATAGATAATGTATCCCAACCACGCGGCTCGTTACGCGGCGCAGTGTGATTCTCAAGATATCTCATGACCTCTCATGGGGCTTTCCAAGCCCCAAGATTCCCCTCCGGATGGTCCTTTGCTGGTGCCATTCGAGCAACAAATGTTGAGCGGCTCTGCTTCCTCTCGGTCCGGACTTCGTGAAGATCCGCGTCGATTATCGAGATCTGTATCCAATACCAACTCCCTTAATGCTTCGAAGGCGTATTCTCGAAAATGAAACCACGAGTAGAGAAGCACGCCCCGAAACCCATATCCTCTAAGTCGTAGACTCTATGCATGGCGAACACATAATGCCCTGGTTTTTTTTTTTATAATTCTCATTGGAGCTCTACGATCTGTACGCAGGCCAGCCTCCCATCATGTGACGGAGATGTCACAGGGTATACATGGTGTAAAGATGTCATATACATCAAGTACTTCGTCCTAAATCTTGAAGCTGATTGAGCCGGATGCCGGCTCCACTGGCGATATGATATCGCCGACCAAGTGCAGCGCACAGCATACAGACAACGTATGAGGCCCCGAGACATCACATCCGCCTTATCAGAGGCTATAGCGTCATGGTGCAAGATGTCAGTTGAAGGTATGCTGATTGAACATGCTCATCTGTTGGACTGCTTGTGCCATTGTGGCTCCCAGGGCTCCTCTTGTGTCTCTGTTTGCGCTTTCCATCATGGTGGTATTATTGAATAACTTGAAACCCTCCTAGCCTGATAATCAGGCATCCGGCTCCAAACCCAGATCCTCTAAGTTGTCGTGGAGTTGTTGACTGGCCAAGACGAGAACACGTAACGGCAGAGATCCCCACCCATTATTATGGCGAGAACCAAGGCTTTCTTTTCGCGTTGTGTAAAAGAGCTGTATCATATCGGCTGTCACCAGCGAACATATGTTCATAGGTGCCGGTTCCAAACAGGACGGGCACCATGTTATCAAAGTCTGAGAAGGCCAGTTCTACGGACGGCAAGAGGACGCAATTGGCTGTTCAAAGATGCTAAGACTGCCTCGCGTGAAGATGAGGAAGGAGTAACGGATCAGAGGCCAGTTGCCAACATCGGTTTCATTTAGATGGTCCCGGCCGGGTGACCATCGCAGATAGGACCTTGAGGTATCACCGTCAGGTCACAAAGCAGGTTTCAAAAGTGGGGCGCGTGTCAGTTCTACTGACGGGCATGTAGAGAGAAAGAATGATGACCGCAGAAAAAGAGAACTGGAAATCACCATATTTTCTACGGGCTCAAGAACCTGGTCGCCACTTGACCGTCTTCCAGACTTGATAGTTCAGGGCGCAATGTTTGCAACACAATAGGCTTATGCATAGAGACCTAACAATAACGAGCAGACATTCGTGTGATCTGGCACAAATCCAAAAACGAAAAAAATCTTGACGCCATGTTTCGCGGAAAAGACTGTCACTCAGGTTAAAGAATGGTGGGTATCGCACACTTATGTCCGTATCCGCACACTAGGGAAAATAGTTTTGACAAACACAAGACACTTTCTTGTCCTTCTTCGGACGTCTTCTCAATTATTTACCAAATATCAGTCCCAACTCATGATCAATGTTCAAAGACAGTTCGTTAGAGGCGAGTATTTCGGGCATCACTGCACCAGGCTGACCCATACTCCAGCAGTCCCAACAGCCATTTAGAGCATCTTGTCCTGCTTCATTGCAAACGGGCAACATCTCTACACAGGAGAACCCAAAGCTTCTAGCCGGGAAGGCTTCCGTTCTCAAGGTCAAAGGCAACATCAACAGGAAGAAAATATGTACATAATCCACGACTGGAACAAGCACACGCACGCAAGGCACAAAAGCCGACACAACCATCGCATCTCCGAAAAGTGGGTATTATTAATAAGAGAAATATCGCCTAGCAGACATCAAGCGCTGCTGGCATGCATGAGAGAAGCGAAATGGGTATATTGGCAAAAATGTCAGACAAGCAAGTCTAAGCAGGCGAGAATTGATGTGATAAGGAAGAAGTCATGGATTGGATCATGCTGCAATGATTTGTTAGTCATGCGGTAAGGCTTCAAAGGACATGAGGTTGCAACATACCCTCTGTTTCTCTCCGACAGCTCAACGTCCATCCTCTGTAATTGCTGGATGGTTGCGCTAGCTTGTTCCAACTGTTGAGAAATGAATGTTAGCGATTGACTTCGTAGGCCGAGGGCAGTGAGGAAAGTGTATTGCGCAAAGCTGTGATGGGTGGAGAGAATCAATCACGGGTTTGTTTGTGCAGTAAGAGTGTAGGCCTGCGGGTCAGGGGGTGGTTGGCGCGCACCGAGGCTACAGCAACGGAGTATGGATCCTCACCTTCCGCCTCGGAAGATGCCGTTGAATTGTCAGGGCCACTATCGTCACCATTGGCATCAGCGAATCTACTAGACGCCAAACCACCTCTCTTGGCGGGCGTTGCTGCATTTGCCTATGAGATTGTTAGACCACTCTGCTGTATACAGGCGCCGGCATTTTGAGAATACGGACCTTGGCTTCGGCAATTTCGGCATCTTTGACCTTGAGCTGCGCCTGCAACTCATCAAAATGGGACCTGATCTTCGCAGCCTCCCTAACCTCCTCCTCGGCATCTCTCAAGCTCTTCTCCAGAGCATCCCGCTTCTTTTGTTCTTCCATGACCATAGTAGTCATGCTCTCGTACATGTCATTGTAGTCAGCCTCGTATCTTTGTACCTTGGCAGCGGTCTCGTCCTTGTGAGCCTCAAATTCCTTCCTGGAAATATTGTTGTCTTGCTTGATGCTAGCAAGTTCTTCCTCGATCTTTTCGAACTTTGCCTGTCTCTCCTGCAACTCTTTCTGAAGCCCAGCAACCTCCTTGGCACTTTCATCTGAGTTTTCTGCAATTTTTTTCAGGTCTGCAGCATGCTGCTTGGCAAGATCCTCATAATCCAAAACCGCCAGTTTCTTTTCTTCAAGCAATTGCTGCTTCTCGGCCTTGAGTCCGTCAATATCCGCAAGGAACTGCTTTTTGACTTCGTCCAACTCTTTCTTGAGAGCATCAGCCACAGAAGTGTCGGGTCTCTTATTCTTGGCAGCGTCAAGCGCGGCCTCTAACTCAACGTTGTTCATTTTGGCTTCTGCAAGTTGCTGTCTAAGCTCGTCGGATTCCTCTTGTAACTTGGTCAATTCAGCGTTAGCAGCTGTGGCCTGAGATAGCTTGCCATGTAGATCTTCGGCTTCGGCTTGTGCCTTTGCCAAGGCCTCTTTGGCAGAAATTAAAGCTGTCTCGTGTTCGGAAGAAGCAGACTAGAAGTGTTAGTGTGAAACAAGAAAAAAACATGGAGAAGGACCCTACCTGATGCTTGGCCAGATTAGCCGCGGCAGCAGCAAGCTTGCTTTCGTGTTCACGTGTAAGATCTTCGACAGCTTGAAGTTGCTTCGCCTCAAGTGCAACGATAGCGTCCAGGTGCGAACCAGAAGCTTCCTGTCGTGCAGCGTCCAGGGCTTCGGACTGCATGGTAATGAGCTTCTCAACCTCGACCGAGTGAGCGTCGTCGCTTTGCTTCTTGAAAGCTTCGAGCGCAGCAGAGTGACTTTGGTTGGCAGTAACAATGTCTTCTTGAGCCCTTTCTAAAGCCTCATGCAGAGCAGCCAGCTGTTCAGCGTGGGCAGTCTCAGTAGATATCTTACTCTCCAACTCTGACTTATGACTACTCTTTAACTCTTCGATGCGAGAATCTGAGTCCTGGGTAAGCTTGTTGATCTGCTCAGTGTAGGCTGCTTTCAGATCATCGAGCTCCTTTGTTAGAGAGCCGTGACTTTCCTCTTTCATGATTTCAACAGCTTTGGCATGGCTAGCTTTGAGCTCTGACAATTCTGCCAAGTGGACTTCTTTATCTGTAGAGGCACCGCTCTTGGCTGCCTCCAGGTCCATCGCAAAACTTGCTTGAAGTGCATCAAGGGCTTTCTGGTGATCTTGTTCCTTGGCATTCAGAGCTTCGGTGGCAGCGGCATAGCTTGTCTTCAAATCATCTACTTCTTTCTGATGAGCCTCTCGGTCCGCTGATGCGCCACCTTGAGCCTGCTCTAGCGCAGTAGCATGGCTAGCCTTCAACGACTCGAGTTCTTTCAAGTGGGCGTCTTTGTCGGTTGATGCGCCGCTTAGAGCTTCCTCGAGTGCAGCGGCATGGCTAGCTTTCAGCTCCTCAAGCTCCTTGGAGTGAGCCTCTTTGTTGTTTGACGCGCCACTCAGAGCTTCCTCGAGTGCAGCGGCATGGCTAGCTTTCAACTCCTCAAGCTCCTTGGAATGAGCCTCTTTATTGGTCGATGCGCCATTCAGGGCTTCCTCCAATGCAGCGGCGTGTTTGGTATTAAGCTCCTCCAATTCATTCTGGTGGGACTCCTTGAGCGCCAGAAGTCCGGATTGTGCCTGCTCACCAGCGGCGGCTTGATCGGCGCCGAGTCTTTCAACCTCTTTTTGCAGATCGCCCAACTCAGCAGCATGACTGGCGTTGAGTTCCTCAAGCTCTTTCTGGTGATGTTCCTTGAGAGCCGTGACTTCAGAGACCGTTTGTTCAGCTTCCTTTTGCAAAGTCTCTGTGAGAACACCAAGTTCTTGGGTCTTCTTCTGATAGTTCGCTATCTCTTCTGCATGCTTCCCCTCCAACTCTTCGAGTTGCTTTTGTGCCTGTTCCAGCGCAGCGGCATGAGTAGCTTTAAGCAACTCTATCTCTTGCCGTAGGATTTCCAGCTCGGCCTCAGCAGTTGCCTTGGCCTGCTCCAGCGCAGCAGCATGAGTGGCCTGTAGATCTCCCAAGACTTTTTGGTGAGCTTCTTTATCGGTCGAAGCACCACTTTGGGCCTGTTCCAACTCGGCGGCATGGCTGACCTTCAGATCTTGCAAGGAGTTGGTGTGCTCCTCTTCCTTGGCAGAAAGTGCAGCGAGGGCAGCAGCGTGCGCTTCCTTGGTGGCCTGAAGAGCTTCCTCATGCTCCTTGACTGCAGACTCGTGGGAGCTTGTCAACTTGGTATGCTCCTCCTCTAACTCGCCATGCTTCGTCTCGAGCTCCTGAAACTTGCGCTTGAAATGCGCCTCGCCTTGAAGCTTTTCAATCTCGTCTTCGTAGTCTTGTGAGATGGTTTTGAGTTGATTTTCATGTCTTTCAACGGCGGCTTTGTGGTCAGCTTTGAACTTTTCAAAATCCTCAGCTAGTTTGGCTTGAGACTCGGAGTCAGCTGTCGACCTGCTCATATCCTCCTTCATGGCGGTAAACTCAGTGCGGACCGAGTCCAACTCGGCCTTGGTAGTCTCCAATAGCTCAGTGGCTTCAGCGAGCTTTGTCTTCAACTCCTCAGCCTCTGCTTGCGAAGCAGCCAATGCTGCCTTGTCTTGTTCAGCGGCGGCCCTTAGCTCTGACAGCTCAGCTTCCAATGCAGTAAGCTTGGAATGTGTCGCTTCACTCTCGCTCGCAGTCGCAGCAGTCAATTCGTTAACCTCCTTTTTCAGTTCCTCGTTGGCAATCTTGAGGTTTGAGAGGGCCTGTTCATGGTCCCCAGTGGCAGACTTGCGGTTGTTGAGCTCATCTGCATGAGAAAGCTTTAAAGCCTCGACTGCAGCGGCGTGCTGTTCTTCCAGCGACTCTTGAACCTTTGCAACCTCCAAGGCATGATCCTCGGCCAGCTGCGAGAGGGCAGCCTCGCGGCCTTGTGCGTTTGCATCTTTCTCGGCCTGAAGCGTCACCAGCGTGCTCTGTAGATCTGCAAGCTGGCTTTCCTTTCCTTCTTGGGCACTGGTGGCTTCAAAGAGCTGAGTCTTGTGAGAGTCGAGTTGTTCCTCAGCGATCTTCAACTTCTCCAAAGCTTGTGCTATCTCAGCATCCAGAGACTCCTTCTCCGAGGCGTGTGTAGACTTCAGATTCTCAAATAGTTCTTCGTGGACCTTGTTGGCGGCATCGTCACCGCCCCCAGAACCATCAGCCCCTGTCTTGATCTTCTCTTCCAGCTCGGTGACCTTTTCTGCCGAAGATGCGACTTGCGATTTGAGGGCTTCGATCTCGGACTCCTTCTCAGCTAGCTGTGATTTGAGCTCCTCCACAGCGGCTGCTGCAGCTGACGAGGAAGAGGTAGATGGTCGAGCTGCATGCCCAGGGGTTCTCGTAGTCGTAGCAGCAGGTTTCGAGATGGCAGACTTAGCACCGATAGATGAAGCAGTTGATAAGCGGCTCGCCGTAGGTCGGCTAGCCGGGGTTGTGCTCGAAGTCGTGGGTCTCGTGCTGGTGCTGGCACGAGGCGAAGCAGTAGGACCAGTAGTGGCCACAGGTTTTCTTGCGGCAGCTGTGGTCGAAGCTGCGATCGTGCTAGTAGGTCTGGTAGTTCTCGCAGCGGGTGAGGAGCTGGCACCAGGAAGAACAGAGTGGCGGCGAGCGGTGCCACTCATAGAGACGGTGCTCTTCTCACTATCCGATATCGAGGGGCGCGATTTGTGGGTAGCGGTACTGGGAGCGGTAGTTCCAGGTGCGGCAGGTCTCTTGACAGTGCCGGCGGGCGGGCGAGTGGGGGGCTGCTTGAGACCGCTCGCAGGCTTGGCCGCCGAGCCCGGTGTGGTGGTCTTGGATGCGATTGTACCGGGGGCAGCCGGACGGCGGACGCCAGTCGTCGTTGAGGAGGCTCCTACTTTTGCCTTTGGGGAAGCAGCAACGCTGGGAGGTTTGGAGCCATTCGGGGCGCTCTTCTTGGGGCTGGCTTCGGGAGAAGCAGATGCCCCAGTGGCTGTCGTCTCCTCGCCGGAAAGAATTGACTCTTCGCGATTTACAATATCGAAACCCTCGGATTCAGACATGGTGTACAAATGCTTCGTTTTGTTGTCTCGTTGTTTGCTGTTCTTATCGTGAAGGCCGAAGCAGTGAAGAAACGTCGGTATACACTAGAAAGGGGTTCGCTGAGGTCCCTGGAGTTGTTCATGCATTAGCATCGATGGTATAGTATACATAAAGCTCGAGGGTATTGGATTTCGAACTCGAATTCGTGTTGTAGTATGCTATGGACATGGGACATGGACAGTTGGTGAAAGTGCCAGAAACAGCACAGTGATGCCCGAGACAGCCCAAGGCCTTGTTGCTTTGTGTTTTCCTGGAGGCTGCAATATCTCGGGTCTGGAGAAAGTCGGTGCTGGGCGCCTTCGACACGTCACAATGGAGGGTGGGATGGTCAATTGGGAAGAAGTCAACGTTGGAACTGACCAGTCGAACTCCTATTTTCTTGGCTCAATGTTGCTCTCTGGTCCCAATCAGCGCTTAGCTCAGGTGTGACCCTGACTAGAAAAGCTATTTGTCTGTCGAGGGAAGGGGGTTTGGTAGCTCCTCCTGTCGGGTCAAGCTTGTAACCCTGTCCCCAAGTCCAAATCGGAACAGCTTTTGACGGAGCTTTCTGGAGTACGGATTCGCCGAATAGAAATACAATACTGAAGTCGTGTTCCGCAACGAGACGTCACGATCAAGGGCAAAGTAGGTAAGGTAAGGTATGTATGTATGTAAGTATGTGTGTACGGATTACTTGTCGCCCAACCTTGCAAGAAATAAGAAACTCGGACCAAGACTACGGAAAATGTTTCAAGTGGGCTGGTCTCCGGGCGTCCTCGCTCCCCTGGCAGGAGTCAGGACGAATGTAAAAGTTAGAACAGACGAGATCGACAACTCAACTTCAATAACAAGGGTCCAATAAACCTACAGGGGGCTCCTAGAGGGGACTCCTCCGTGGCACAAGGGATCCCCACTGCTATGTGCTTGGGTCGCTTGGGGGTTGAGCCAATCACATGCAGCATGCGAGTCCGGCTATTGGACAGCGTCCGCATTGAGAATCGATTCATTTGACAGTTCAAGCTTGAGCATCAAAGCTCTGGGCTCTGAGCTTTAATGCCATGCTTGGCCTTGCCTGTCGTCGTTTATGCAACGCCGTTTCGAAGGACGTGTCAAGTCCGGGGTGAGGCTTTCGGCACCGTCGAAGATCCAAGGCTTGTTTTCCCATCAAGGTGTTCAACTTATAATAGCGCTGTTATTGCACATGGAAACCCAAAAACCTCAAACCTTAAGAACCTGGCAATCGTCATGGCATGGCAGACGGGTGCCGATGGGCGAACATGAAAGAAGACTCAAATCATCCGAGTAGGTCGCGCGTCGTATCAGACAGAGACGTGTACTACAGCACTACTGAATGTACTACGCAGCAATAGCAATTGGAGCAGCAGTTCTTCGCGCCTCACCGCCAACGCCAACCAGCATCAAACTAACCTAACCTAGCTACATAACCAGGTCACAAGCAACTGCTTTGGGCTGCCCCTCCATTGTTTGCGTGACAGACAAGCCGCCTCAACCAACTCTGACCCGATTTCACATCAACGCTCTCTTTGTTTCTTCCTTAGTTAATTCTCCTCTCATCTTTGTCGATTGTTCTTACTGGTGTACCAGGCCCCTTCAAGGTACAATTGTCTCAAGTCCTACAGCACACAGGCAAATCCGGTTATGCGAAGACAAAAGAAAAATCTAAATAACTTTTGGGCTCAATGTGGGGAAAAGCTCGAGCTTCTAAGGGACCTGGGTCCACATTTAGTACCCACCAGCCCGCCATCTCATCTCATGCAGGTGATGGTTTTAACTTAGCTACCATCCATGGTGCGCTGGCGGGCCGCAAGTGCCAGCAAGCACTACGTAAGTACAAACCGCTGCCCAAAGACAGCGGCTTGAAACCTGATAGACTAATCAGCCTCATGTGTAAGTAAGATCGAGCCGAAGGAGTGGCCCGAGATATTTACTGGCGAGTCTCCTGTCTTGTTGCGATCTTGTCAAACGTAGCCAGCGTAGGCAGTGAACAATGTGCCCCGTTAACAAACGTTGGCACATGATAAAATAAAAGGCCGCGGTTCTTTGGGCATCTTCAAATCAACTAACCTAGCGAAAAGGGGTATCTATAATTGAACAACGCCAAACGCAACGCAAACTTGCCAAGTATTACCAACAAGCAATCAGTAATGTAGGCCTCATATCCCGCATTCTCTCCAGCTGCCATTTTTATGGCCACTGTCGCATCAAGTCCTCCACCATGGATCGTATATGACCTCTGCTCTTGGCAGGGTACGCCTCAGAAAGCATTACCATCAATAGAGCCCGCGACTTGTGCTTGATCTCCTGCTCACCGTGACCTAGTTTAAAGCAAATGTTCTGGATTCTCGGCAATACAGGGGGGTTATGGTCATAGGCGCGTTGTAGATATTCACAGAGCGATAGTTCTTCTTCTTCTCTCCAATTGACTTCGACAGGCGCCACTTGGGAAAGTGATGACCTCCCTCGGATAGCTTGAGCGACCTTGCGGTTATGGTCCTTGATAGCTTTGATCCTCTCTTCACTTTCACGTTCTCGCTCGATTTTGATCTCTTCCTGCGTACGTAGTTGAAATTGGCGGATCCTTTCAGCCTGCTTCTGATTGTCATCTTCCTCCTTCAGTTTTCTGGGTGCTTCGTTGCGGAGTTTGCACAGGTTGGTTAATATCGGTCTGAGAGCTTCACGTGCCCTGACTTCTGCCTTTGGAGACGCTATATTCAGCGGACCGAGCTCGACCATGAGAGGCTCGTAGAGCTTCTCGAGCCATCCAATCTGCCTGCAGATGATATGTACCGTAGACACCGTAAAGCTCGCATTAGGCGTGTCCCCACCTAGTGACCACGACTTTCCGAGCACACGAATTGTTAGTGGTATAACTAACCGCACAAGGTCCTTCGCCATTTCTTGACGCGCATCGTGGTCTCCATTCGTAGAATTGTGTCGTGTGAAAGACAATCTCTCCGAGAGTATATAATCAATAGCTTCACCGGTTGTACGCAAATAGTGCTTTAGCAAACCATCGTGTTGGCTCAGGAAACGGTTCTGCGCAGCAATCTGTGGAGATGGGGGCGTCATCAACAGGAGTCGTTCCATCCTCAATAGGCACCTAGCTAGATGCTTTCCTGGGACAGTTTGCGCACAATTTTCTGTGAGACGTGTCTCCCAGTTCTTGGTCAGCGCAGACCAACCCAACCTTTTCATCAAGGTCTTAGCCTTAGACAGTGTTCCTGAGGGTAAACCAATGGTTACAGCACAGGTGCTGATCGGTAGATCAAAGAAGGCAAAGCCGTCTTCGCCGTCGCTAATCCCGCTATCCTGGCCATCTTGAGTTCTGGGGTGCATTGAGTTCTTGAATTTACGAACATCCCTGAGGAAGCGCGCGTCGAGGCTGTCAGATTCATCATTTCCTTCGTCGAGGCCGCTAGATTCATCCATTTCTTCGTCGTCGCAAATGGGTTGCAGCTGTTGACCCCCTTCTTCTGCGTCATAATCATCTCCTTGCTCATCCGTGGTTGCCACCTCACTCTCAGATTTCCCAACACCTTCAGTGTGCATGGCATGACCAGCAATCGTCTCTGCAGCATTGGCCTTGCCATCCATTGAAACGGTGTCGGTTCGACTCTGGATTTTTTCTGGAACATCCTCAAGCAAAGGCTGAACAAGCCGAAGAGTAGCCACAGGAGGTAGTTGGTCTTCCGAGTCTACTACTACTCGCATTTCTGCAATTGGTCTCGCAGGTATTGATGTCGGGGATTGAATATGGCCAGCCCCAGGTGGCGTTTCTAATCTTTGATCCTTGTGCGGCGAAGGAACAAGTTTTGACGTGAGTTTTTGCCGTCGCTTCTTCTGTTCGTCCATCCAAGGTGAGGCCTGAGGTTTCGAAACTTGTGGTTTATGGCTCGAGGAAGCGTTCTCGGGTGAATCTGGGAAGTCATAAAGATCCTTCAACTGATGATGGTTGTGCGAGAACAGGACGTTTTCTTTCCATTGACCTGATTGATGTCTCTGAATGCCTTGTTCCAGAGTTTCCTCCGTCGCGACGAGTCCATTTCGATTAGGCTGAACACTGAGATCAGTATCCTCTGGGTCGGACTCGTCAAGATGCTGCGGCTTGATAGGATCTTCTTGATCGTTCAGGTCAATAGCAGAAACATCCGAGTGCTGGTCGTAGGCATCTTGGGCTTCTGTTTGTAGTTGCCTGTCAGGCGAGTCGGTGCGTCTTGTAATGCCGCACGAGCTGTTCACCATGGCTAACATGGCGGGATCAACAACTTCGAAGTCGTCATCTTCAGTAGTAGTGCGAACACTACTCGCACCGTTGGAAGATGCGCTATTCGCTGGAAGGGCTGCATTGTTTCGTGCGAGATCAGAGGTCGGGTAACCATTGCTGCGTCGAGGTGGGGGTCGTAAGCCGTCTCCTGATCTCCCCGGCGCATTTATCTTACGTCTCTTGGCTGATCCGAGTTGACCAGTGTCTGCCTCGAGACGGCGCTTCGTAGGTGATTGCCTGATGGACAGTGTAGGATGCGGTCGCACCTGCTGCTTGCGAGGAGAGACAGCGGGAATGCCTTCGTCATCGGATTCGGAGCTAGAAGACGTTTCGTCGTGGTGCTCGTGTAGATCTTGTTCGACCCATTTCGCGCTGCCCCGAAGCCGTTGGGGCTCGGTCATCGTCGTCGTCGGTGGCAGGGGATTCCTGGCCCCCCTTCTCGTCGTCGGTGGCATGGCGAGATACTATGTAAGGTGTTGAAGACGGAGGGGTCGAATTCTGAGAAGGCCAGGAGCAAGCAGGGCTACCCTTGGTCTGTAATCGCATATCGGCGAAAAGAGTGGTTTTTACGCATCGAGAGAGTAGTAATTGTTCCGAGGAACACGCACTGAGATTGGTTCGTTGTCCAGTCGAGAGCTACATACCGTATTTCTCGACCCAGAGGCAGAAGCATGTAAGCGAGACCTATCCGCTTATGAGGTTGCTTATGCTCAAAACTACAGCTGATCTAACAACAAACTTCAGGCGGCCAGGCAACCAACCCACTGGGACCAAGCCACTGGAACCACTACTACAGTGCTCCGTACTAAGGTTAGGTAACTACAGTAGTTATGTAAACACCGAAATGACATCGTTTCTCGCGTCTGCGTCCGTGCGGGATGGTGGGGGAGGGACAAAACGTGGGGCAGAATGTACAGTATCGTCGCCGTAGCCTTTGTAGAGCTGATAATCTGCAGTTCCCTAACATGAAAGTCAAATAACTTCATTGTACATGAATACTATACGGAGAAGTCACGTTTTTAGACGTATCGTATCAAATCGAGGATATTTGCTCAGGAACCCAGTTCAAAGCTTCGATTCAGAACTTGGGGCAGCTGCTGGACCAGCACGCTGACAAACTTCATCATGGAGCCGCCTCCCATCCCAACCTTTAATGCAGCCTCTCCCTTCGCGACACTGGCAACTCTGGACCCAAATGTCTCCCATACCTTCATCGCCCCAACCAAGGAGATCAATGAGGGCCCAGATGTGTCTAGGTTCCTCGTGTCCACAGCCTACAGAGACATTGGCATATTCGTCTTACAGCTGAACAGGGCTTTGTGTCCCAGGAAGGTCAATGCAGAGGATGGAAAGGAAAGAACATACACATTCGAGCTTGGCTCAAAACTCGCAACCCAACCAGCAGAATCTGTAAAGAAGATACAGCACATCTTGTCAAAAGTGGAGTCGTACATTGACGAAGCACCTCCAGACAAGGGCCCCAGAAGGTTTGGAAACGTGAGCTTCCGCAAATGGTACAGCCTCCTCGAGGAAAGAATATCACATCTTTTGGAAGAAAACCTGCCGGAGTCCGTGTTGAAATTTCCGTCTTCCCAAAATGGGGGCGGTGCCACAGCGGAGGATGAGCTCAAAGCATATCTTTTAGGTGCCTTTGGGAGCGCCCAGAGACTGGATTACGGCACTGGCCACGAGCTCAGTTTTCTTGCTTTCCTCATTAGCCTGTGGAAGCTTGGGGCATTTAAGGATGGTCAGCCCAACGGCGATATTGAACGAAATATTGTTCTTGGCGCCATCGAGCCATATCTCAGAGTTGTACGAAAGCTCATCCTCACCTACACTCTGGAGCCCGCCGGGTCTCATGGAGTGTGGGGTCTCGATGATCATTCATTCCAGCCTTACATATACGGCTCAGCACAACTCACGCGGCCAATTACTGATTCCGAGGAGATGCCAGTAGAGGGCTCACGTTTTGGAGCTCCAAGACTAGATTCCGTATCCAAGGCTGAGAAGGTCCAAGACTACAGAGAAACCAACATGTACTTCTCTGCTGTCGGCTTCATATATGACGTAAAGACAGGTCTTTTTGGAGAACACAGCTCCGTCCTACATTCTCTCTCTCAAGTCAAATTGGGTTGGGGTAAGATCAACTCGGTACGTCTTGATTTTCTTACTATGCCCTTCGAGGCACTGCTAACTGACAAAATAGGGAATGCTCAAAATGTTCAACGGCGAGGTACTATCGAAATTCCCAGTTGTACAACACCTCCCTTTTGGATCCCTCATCTCATGGGAGCGAGACCCTAATGCCAAGGAGCCTCACCAGTCAGTTCATATGGTGAACCAACCTATTGCAGCCGCTGCTCTGAAGTCCAACAGCCCTGCTCCAGGACCTGGCACAGCGGCTCCTTGGGCGAAACCTGGAAACATGCCACCACCAATGCAAGCGCCATGGGCCGCAGGCCAACCTACAGCGCGGGCATATCCAACGCAGCCGACGCCTCCAGGTGCGACCACAAGGGCGCCGACCGGTGTTCAGCCCCCAGCAAGACCAACTGTGCCGCAGGCTGGATCAACAGATGCACATATCACCGTCACCAAGGCGCCATGGGCAAAAGACTGAGACATCAGGTTTTACTGGTGATGCAGAAAACAGACGAGATGCAACGCATACGCCTCTCGAAGAGCTTAGGGCCCTCCCAAGGACTCTCGACTCGTGTCTGACAATGAAACGGGTACATAATTAGCTTATCCGTGATGGCAAGACGACGATCTCCACGTCCGCGCACTGCAGGCAAATCCGAACCAATGTTGATAGTGCTCATCTCCACACCTTTGTTAGCTGAAGGTCGGCTAGAGACTACGAGAAGCATGAGGACTTATAGCAAATAGTAAACTGATTGGCAGTAGCCACTGTGTTGCGAACATTGCCGGCACGTGCTAAATTTGTGGAAGCCTCTATTTTCTATCCGCCGACATCCATGTTCTATTCGTATTTATCTTCAACTTCAGTACACCTGCTTCCTATCTCTTCCTATCTCATACACCAAGTGCCTATTTCCCCTCGACTTTTCGGCATTAGTCCGCTGTTGTAGGCTTATGTGACCATGATACAGAGAATACCGACATTTCCAGAGTAGAGACTGTGGATTCTGTGGTGCTAGCCATCCTGGGTTTGTGTGCTGGAGTTTGGAAGTCGTTAGAGTTGTGTGCCATGGCGGGAGTCGTGGCGGGTGTATGTATTTTCCTGATTGGGACGAAATTGGGATGGCGCTTAGACCTTCACGGACTCATTAACAAATGATCGTCACTTCGGGAAGAGTGCCAGCATTGTATTTATTCACGGGAGTTCCACTTCATTTGTGATGCTGGTGTTCTCTAGCCTACAGTAACCAGACCTGTCAGACTTATACGGGCCATGCCTCCCAGATTAGCTTATTTCTCTTCAATCACAGGTTCCATGGCTCAAGCTCAGTCATAGTAGTCGTCATCTTCACCACTATAGTCATCATAGTCGTCGTAGTCGTCATCTCCGCAGTCCTCATCATATCCGCCGCTGTCCTCATGGTCATCTACTCCACCACCACAGCCACCTTTTTCACTGCCTTCCTCGTCGGAAGAGTCGCCATCGCCGACGTTCTTGTACTCTTCCTCCGTATGTCCGTACCTTCTTGCAGGCCCATCGTCTCCACCTTCATGGCTGCCATCATACGAGTTCTAGCCCTCATTGGCAGCAACACCCCTGCCGTGATAACGGCCATTGGAGCCAGCATACGAGCGCCCGCCTTCACGCTGGCCACCTACAGAACTTCCATGACGGCGAGGAGCCTTCAGCTAGAGCATGTTGCATATCCCCGTCGCGGAATCCTTGTATGATCGACTTGGCCCCGTTGTTTACGTGTTGCTCTGTTGTCTTAAGGAAGGTCATTTCGACCTTGATCGATGCCTCCCTCCAAACGGAGGACTGCGGCCACTTTGTATGGCGATTCCTCAAGGAAACCTCAAACGGTGGTCGCTGAAAATGGTCTTAGAAAACAAAGCGAGGGGAATCACGATCAAGTTGCTTGGTTTTGAGAAGGGATGATGGTAAGGTGCTGCGTATGAAAGGAAGGCAAGATAAAGGATTGGATTCAACTTTTGTAGGATAATCATCTACAAACACACTAGAATTACAGAAGTAGGTACAATTAACCCTATCCCCCGGTCGTCCTAACCAACATTCAAAGTGTATAGTACGAGACTCAAAGCCAAACACCTTTACCATAATCACTATGTAGACTTGGTGTCTAACCGGCCCTTCCGCAGTCCGGAAAGCAGTGGATGAAAGAGTTGGCGCACCCCCAAACTTTTTCACTACCTAGCATTGACCGACATCGACGTTTTTGAACGTCGAATGATCGTATCGATTAGCTTTTGTCGATTGCCTTCTTAGATTCTTGCTTATGAATAGGCTAGTGATCATACGAAACTCTAGGATCTGAATCCCCTTCGGACTCCGATCCCGATATCTACCCATTATGGTACGGAAGAAGTGCTGAAAGACTACGGCGTCGAATCTGATACTGCAAGCCTTCATCAGTTCCTTCAGATCTTTCTAAACCGTCTGGGTTGGTATTGTGGTTGTCGTCGTCGTCGTAGTCGTCATCTTCATCATCCTTGTCGGATGAACAAGTTGACGGCTCTCTACCGTGTTATTGACGTCCCGTTGAAAATTCATGTGTTAGAACGACGCCAAACGATTCCCCATGGTCACGGATTCAGTTTTTGCAGGAGTCAATGTAATCCTTTAGGTTGTTCGAATCAGGGTGTCCTAAGACTTTTCGGATGTGAGTTGCATCCCTCTCATCAAGTGCTTCAGCTACGGCTCGCTGACCATTGGTAGCCTGCTCAGATTTGACAATCGTGAAGGGGCGGGTACAGCCAGCAGGAATGCTTCTGGTCCATTGCTCAGCTATATACTTCGGCTTCTTCTTCTTTACAGCCTTCCGAATGGCTGAGACGACCCGTAGCCCGATGGCCAAACCTTCGTTGTTCCCTTTTCTGAAGCCACTGATTTTCAAGAAGTCTTGAATACTACCAAGGCCAAGCTCCCTAACAATGTCGACATCCCCACAAGGGACCCATGGCGAGAACGGGTCAGCTGCAATTTGCATTGTATTACTGAAAGTCATCTTGCATAAATGGCGGCCATGGAACTGTATTAGTTGACTTCTTCACAAAATTTTCAGCCTGTGTGGGAAAACCATTTGTCCAATACAGGTGCTTACTTCGACAGTGAGACTTATGTGATTTGAAGAAAGCAGGGCTACGTATCTTCAGACTTTTCGAGATTGCAGCTTGGAAGGAATCAACTCAAGTTGATGTTTCGTCACCGGTTGTTAAAATACTTTGGAGAATCAGTGTTCGTTCGACCAGACTACGGTTAATACTAGGGGTGGTGAAAATTTGGAAACTTGGAGTTATGGGAGAGTATATAGTTTTGTTAACTCAAATTGCATTCAGAAGGCAAGTGCACAATAACGCAAGGTGCAAAATCTTTGAGGTACTCGACGAAGGTACATGGGATCACTGCACAGGCAACTCGTATAATGGCCCTATAACTCCCTTACACCCAGTAATTTCGCCTTTCCATCAACAATAAATGTTCACATGCCTCTGTTGATTCTAATTGAGATGATGATATAATGCTCGGCCGTAATGGAGATTATTATCACGAATGACGATATATAATATTATGTTTGGGGCTATATGATGAAATTCTGGCTTGGTTTACCCACAACAGTTGCCCGCTCTATTCTTGGTGGTTCTGTAAAGCAATAATACCAAGTGAAGCATGCAGAAGTTCACGGGCGCAACTACGGATTCCGAATGGGCTTCCACTGATATAAGACATAATAACCCGATAATCACTAAGATGCTTAAGTTCTTTCAGACAAACTCTCAGGAGTATGCTATGGAATAAGACGGGTAATATAGTTAGACCATCTTTAAATCCAAATTAGTGCGATTTTCGTGAAAGCCTCCGCTACCAGCTTGAATGCAAAATGTCTCTAATTTAACTTCCCGTCCTCCAACGCCACTTCACATATGACGATATCACAACGTTTATATGAGTTTTCGATATGTCTGAGACGCTTGTTGAACATAAAATCACCAAACTCCTATGACTATTGTAATAAACTCAGGGTTTTTCGACATTGGAAAGCTCAGACCTGGCAGAATTACAACCCAGCTCTTAGATGTAAATTTCCTTTTCAGCTTTTTTTGTTAACTAACAATAGCACTCAACAGATTATATGTGATGACAAGGCTACCGGTGCAGCCATAGGATTCACAGTTGAGTGGGCACAAGAGATTCGAGAAACGCAAATTGCGCTCGTGAACTCCAAGCACTACTTCGTATCTCTCGCAATTGCACGTTCCGGCCGCAAACACCGTATTATTGTATCTTAAGTAATGGCATGGCCGAGGTTCAAATACAGTTATGGGAACATGATCCCATACTATGTAGTATTGGTTCTGTAGAATACCTGGTCTGATACAGAGAGTGGATAGCCATGCCCTGGCTAAAGTATGTGCTAAGCACTTAGATCCTTCGCGTCCTGCACCCGGAGATCAATTACCTGAAATGCTTAAAAGTGCCAGGGTGTCAGAGCTCTATCCGCCAGGCATAATGAATCCTGCGTCGGTTATGCCTTTATATTTTAGAATTCATTGCAGGATCCGGAACTATGGGACGCTTCTCGCGAGTCCCAATTGGACCAACCAATAAGAGCGTTTTCGCCATCATCCAATCCTTGCTGGAGGAGATTGAATTTTGCGCTTTAAAATAATCAACGAGCCATACAATGTACTGGGTCGATAAGCGAGGTCACCGGGCTAACCTGGTAGGGGCCTGGAACAGATGATGCGTCTCCATCACGATGGCCTCACTAATGATCCTATATATAAAAATACGAGGCAGGACTAACAAAGCTTGACAGAACGTTACCTCAAAGTTTATCCTTGCTGATATCTAAGCATAATCCAGTTAAGCTTTCGCTGCTATTTTGGTATACGTCTACTGTAAACAATAGTCCCATAGTAGCAGCAAATTCTACCGTGAGGCGGGATTTCTTTTTGTGACTTCGGGTGTCATGATAATGAGCACACAACTCCGGAATCCACGATTCGTTGACCAGTCGTATGATTTAAACAGTTGGTGTGCAATCCAAAGGTCCATTCCTTCGTTATCTTTGAATAAGAATCCTCACGATATATCGCTAACTGACGTTTGTGGTGCGAGATCACTCGGGCGCAGGATCATGCAGGCGATACATAGGCGACGGTGAAGGATCAGCCTAGTCCTATTCTACTCATTCTCAAATGATTTCCAGTCCCTCTCAGTACCTTTACCATACCCGCAAGGCCGTTGCGTTTCCGCAGACGAATAATCTTTAATCTCTTAGACCAAAATCAAACGGCCTGGGCCTTCAACAGCTCTGAACGCTGTTACGAATACAGATGGCGCCAAGCACTAATAATTGCTGTAGCTAACCTAGATTCTGTAACCGAAATCCGACGAACACATACGGGCAAGGTATGAACCTATGGCCATTCCGCAACAGCCATGAACCACGTGAAGTGTATTCGCTTCTAGAGTATAAAATCTGCGTCGATCTGCCCCTCTTGCGGACTTGATTTGAGACAGCAGACTTTGTTCCTCTGACCTTCCTTATACTCGGATTTAGCATTTCCTCATTTCGTATTCACATAGTACATCACATTCATTCGCTATACCTTTTATATACTAGTCATTCCTTGATTCGCTGACCATCATGTCTCTGTCAAAGTTGACCAACACTCTTTTGCTAACAAGTACCTTCTTGTCCAGTCTCGGACAGGCAGCTTGGCCCAAGCGTGGCCTCGCATCCAACGACGACATCAACATCTCCCAGTTCGGCGGCAGCTACCAGGGACAGCCATCCCAGGTCAACTGGCAGTACAACTGGGACAGCACGACGTCAAACAAGCAGTCGTACGCCGAGTATATCCCCATGCTCTGGGGTACATCGAGCGACCACACCAACCAATGGTCCAACAACGTGAACTACTGGCTCTCCAAGGGCTCGGGCCATATCCTTGGCTTCAACGAGCCCGAACGTTCGGACCAGGCCCATCTTTCTACCCAAGATGCCGCCAATGCTTTCAGGCAGTACCTGACACCCTTCAAGGGACGCGCCTCCATCGGCGCTCCAGCTGTGTCCAATGATGGGTACGGCTGGATCACAGACTTCATGGGCAAATGTCAAGATTGTGGCATTGACTTTATCCCTATCCACTGGTACAACGACTACACCCAGTTCAATGACTTCAAGAACTGGGTCACTTCCATCTGCAATCTAGGAAAGACCGTCTGGATTACTGAGGTGAGTAGTTATTCTTGACATTTTCGTGACATGGTTGGCGCTCAGGCACTAACAACCGGATAGTTCGAGGCATATGGTTCCATCGATCAGCAGAGTGCTTTCCTCAAGCAGGCTATCCCTTGGCTGGACAACAACAGCTGTGTCTACCGCTATGCCTACTTCGGTGCCGCGGACCCTTCCAAGTCCCTGCTCATGTACGACGGTCCGACACTCTCCCCCATGGGAATCCAGTACACATACACTCCCTACGGAGGCACCCCATGTGGAGGTGTCACCTGCTGAGCTGTTAAGTAGTTCTTGAGTACCTATTTTGGAATACTGTCAGTATGATGTTTAATATAACCCAATATAAGTCAATACTATCTTGTTAGTGTTCGTGCCCGGTGTTCCTGTGAACAGTGCGGGATGGGGCGCTTCCATCGCCCAACGTTCGTGAGAAGCAAGCCCGCTTAGCACGCCAAGATGAGTTATTGAAAAGTACTTTTGCTTGAGTGGAAAAATTGCGTGAGGAGACTTAGTTTCTTATTGCCAAGGCAAGTCGCCATCCGCTTCAAGCTGCAAGTAGCCTGGGTTGCGTTATGAACTAGATGTGGTGTCTTGCAGCATTTTACTTAGTCACATTGCTTGCTTTTACTGACTAAACCAAGCATCATTGCACTCGAAGAGGGAATTGTCAACGCAAATCTCAGGTGGTATACATATACCTTATAAATCGATTGAATTAATATGGAACTATTCAAACAATAGATTTGGATTATATCCTAAGAATTAGTTCTTCGAGCTCAAGAATCTTGAGTAATCATGTGAAGAAGTAATACCTAATGGATATCTTGGCTGTACTTATCTATTGATCGCTTGTTCAAGATTATGCCAAGTTCAGAAGATGTAGAAATGACATTCTCCAGCTAAAGCCGGACACTAAGCACCATTATACATATCGGCTGGGCCCTGCTGCTTTTATCCGGAGCCGTTGAAACAGTTTACTGGCATTAAAAGTATATTCGGAGGAAAAGATCAAAGCCAGCAACTGTATAGCCGTAATTTTGCTGTGTGATATTGATAGAAAGGTGATTACTGAGATATGGTTAAGGACGCGGCTCAATCCGTGCAGTCTTGTTACAAAGCAAAACTGGCCGTGAACAACACTGTGACGACACTTTTTATCAGAGTAAACCTCTGCCAAAAGCAGTCCGAATAATACAGCTGCACTTATTCGGTTCCGGGAATGGTGAAACCATAAGACAATGACCACATGTGACGTCATCTAAACCGGTAGTCAAACAGTGCCGGATAGCCGTTCTTGCCTATGTTGTGAATAAAACTTTTCTCCAGCAAGACTGGTCCCAAACACAGCAACAACATCATGTCATACAACAAACCGATGTCGAACCTGCAGGATGATGCGAGCATTTCCAATTGCGCCAGGTGACCTATCGCATTCAAGCGAACAGCAGTTCTCGATGCATCGCCGACTTTTCCCTGCACACCAACAGGGCCACATACTGGTAGATGGCGATTTTGTCAGTGCATCATCTATGGCCAGCTTGGATGATTGACACTCAGAAGCTCGCTTGCTGCGACATATGTTTTACATCAACTGGAATCACCCGACGGACAGAAGGACATGGGTAAGCTTACCGCCTGCGTGCCAAGCACACCTGAAAACCATCAATGGATTCTTCACGCAGCTTGAGAGCAGCTTTGCGTAGGGTGTTACTGCATTGGTCGTGTCACGTTGACACACTCCATAAGCGCTGGGGTGTGCCTAGCTGGAACCAAACAAGGCCGGATTGACATGATTTGGCCAACAAAAAGCACGAGTCTACACGGAGCATATGGGTTTCCACGAATGGGTCTTGAAGAGAACCAGAGTCTCTTGAATTGGGTATCTCTAAATCATGAACTATCTGGGAATTCACCTACTTGATGCATCCTAAGCAAAACCAACGCTTCAACACATTCAGGGTATCAATTGCAAAGAGACAAGACTCTGTGCAAGGTTATGGGTGTGTCCAACCAAAAGCCAGAAGCTAGAAGCCAGGCGACTAGGCGGCAGGCGCTGCTGGGGTAGCAACCGGAGCAGCAGCCTCCTCAGCCTTAGGAGGCTCGCTTTCGACAGGAGCAGCGGCTGTGGCAGAAGGTGCAACAGGAGCAGCAGCAGCAGCAACGGGAGCAGCAGCAGTAACAGGGTCAGCGGCAGCAACAGCGGCGGCAGTCTCGGTGGTCCCGGCGGCAGCTGGGAATTGTTATCAAAACTGTATCTTGTCAGAATTAAGAGGGGACCATACGCTCAGTGGCCTTGGCCTCCGTGGTAGCAGCAGGGGCGACAGCGGGTTCGGCAGCGGGTTCGGCAGCGGGCTCGGCAGCAGCAGCTAATTGTGCGATCAGTTTTATTTCCTTCTATCCGTGTCAATTAGGATTTCTTACGGGCGGCGGGAGCCTCAGCCTTGGTGGTATCATTGGCAGCAGCAGATGTGGTGTCAACCTTGGGAGCTTCAGCCGCGGTAGGGGCAGCAGCAGCGGCGGCAGCCGGGGCAGCTGCGGTGGTTGTAGCCTCCGCAGGCTTGGTCTCGTCGGCCTTGGTTTCAGTGGCAGGTTTCTCGGCGGGCTTCTTGCTCTTCTTCGAGAAAGCAGCCTTAAGCTTGGCCTTGAGGTTGTCAAGGGCACCTAGAGCTGGATGGTTACGCTTGGTCAGTCGCTGATGTATCTGATGAGAGAGTGCTGATTGAGTGGAATAAGAAAAGACTTTCGCTGGTTGAGCGATAGCCGCGAAAGCTCAACAAGCAAGCACAAGCAAGCGAGGTGGGAGTGGGATTGGGATTTGGACACATGCGATGCCAAATGTACTTACGAACTCCACCCATTTTGTCGGTGTTGATGCACGGTGTAGTGGTGAGATGTTCTTGGATAGATCGTTGCAGTATGATCTCGTGGCTTTGAGAAGATGAGAGATTGCGGGAAAGATGTGAGATCTTCCAGGGTTGAAATACCAGCTGCATGCTCAGCTCACCAGTTTGGGGCCTGGTCATGGGTTGGAAATTGGATGAAGCGATAAGTGATAGTCGGCGCTAACGACCGCTATGGCACGGACCAACAGAGCCCATCTATCCCTGCTAGACCTTATTTTCCCTGCATCTTTGGCGCTGTGGATGGGATCCAACGTTGGCATTCCTGTCCAGAAGCGAGTGCAGCCAACAATCGCCTACATATCCAACAATCTTGTTCTCGAGGACAAGCAATCATAAGCTTACGTTGGTTCGTTCGGCTACGCGAAGGCTATGAGAAGATAGCCAGGATCGCTACTTATAGGTTTACCTCAGGGTCGGATATTGTTCGCTGGGTCATTCCAGCCATATTCAACACTTATGTGTTTAATTTCGAGTTTCCGAGCACAATGGCCCCGACGCGAGAGGCAGGCACAGCCTATCGTGCTCCGAGATGACGGCATTTGCTGGCACTCTAATTAGCGCCGATCCAAGACAGACCTACCATAAGACTAGGCGTAGCATACCCCAGTTTCCGTGATTCACAAGGCTATATTTAATGTTTGGCCGGTTTTATCTTGATGGGCGGTCATTAGAAAACATACCTGAAATCTGAAGTTTTGGAAATGCTAATTAGCCATCCACCAAAGTCAAAGTTCAAGTCGAAATTCGAGTCAAAATCTCACGTCGTCGGGTCCCCCTTATTTCCTTCTTCCGCTGCATATATACAGAGTTCCCAATCACCCGGATCCCGCGCTGCCACGGCTCTCGTCAGTCACACGATGGAACCAGCCCATGCTTTGTGCGTTTGATAGCACACTGCATTTCCTGTCAAGTTTGTGTGTTCCTTCTTTCCGAGGCACGTTTGATACTTCAATGCAGTCTTCCATGTCTCTGCCGCTGTTTCAGCTATGCAAAAGGTGTTAGTAAACACCGACCACCCTGTAACAACCAGCCGATGGCGGCCCAGCCCGCACTAATCTCCACGGGTTGCAGCGTGAGTCAATTATAACCTCAGTCCATTGTGGTTCTTGCGTCGGATGGTCTAGTATTGTAGTGCACCCACGTGAAGAAGGGACATAGCTCGGGTTTCGTGTCGCCCTCCTACGCTCGTATCTAGCTGTATGGATCCACGGCTCCGAAAAGCCGGTGCGATCAATAATGACCCGGATAGAGCACCTTTGTTGTTCGGTGATTATACCCAAAGCTTGCAAACCACACCCAATCGGCTTGCAACCGTTGAGCGCGTGTAGCGTGACACCGAGGTCGGGACTCTGCGAGTGTCCAGCTGACAACATTTAATTAGACGTCTTCTCGACAGATAGGCAGCAAATCTCGGAAGGATTCCGTTCATCGGCCGTTATCGCGACTCTTGAGTGTCATTTTGCTGACTTACTCGAAGGTTTGGACTCAGTGACAGCAGAGGCTGTCATGTGTGGGGTTGGATCACTGTCCCACTTCTCCATAAATCTTACGCGGATTCCACTACTCTTGGGCAGTGAGGTAATGAGGTGGACTACTTGAAAGCACCACAGGAGCACTCAGAAGTTTCCAAAGCTCTTACGTCATTAAGCGAACTCGACTCATTTATAGACGAATTCAAGTCACTTCTTAGAGGATCACAACTCAGAAAAAGTCTATTCAATCTCGAAGAAAACCACTCAAACTCTTGAATTTTCGAATCACTTCCCAATACTATGGCTCCCGTTGTTCATCTCGTGCGCCACGCGCAAGGATATCATAACTTAAGTCACGAAAACGAGAAGTTTCCTGATCCAGATTTGACGCCTTTTGGTGAGGAACAATGCAGGAATCTCCGGGATACTTTCCCCAACCACGACAAGATCACTCACCTGTGTGCCTCGCCACTCCGTCGTACGTTGTACACTTGTCTGCATTCATTTGAACCTGTGGCCAAGAAGGGCAAGAAGGTGATCGCCATTCCAGACGCTCAGGAAATGTCGTTGCAGCCGTGTGATCATGGCTCCGATCTGTCAAAAATCAAGGCAGAGTTCGGCGACAAGGTAGACTTCTCGCTTGCCTGGGACGGTTGGAATGACAAGTCGCCTGACAGCAAGTACTATCCGGATCCAGCCAAACTTGATGCACGTGCAAGACGTGTCCGACGTACATTGCGAGAACTCGCACAAAAGCACGGCGACGACGCACAGATCGTTCTGGTGACCCACGGAGGTATCGTGCATTTCTTGACAGGCGACTGGGAAGGCATTCCTCAAGGAGGAGCTACTGGGTGGGCTAATACCGAGTACCGCTCGTACGTGTTTAAGGACCCAACAGGCGCAGACCCCGACGCTTTGCTGCAAGAGACACGTCCCAGCTGGCGCGAGCGACGTGGAAGCGCAATTCCTCTGACAGAGACGGAGAACATGGAAGCACGTTCGGTGGTCCAAAAGATGGTCGAGGGAGAAAATGCTACTGATATGGAAGCCCGTTCGAGAGCTGCGTCTGAAAAGCCGGAGTAAAAAGAATTTTAGTAACTAAACGATTGGACGCGCAGTGTCGCGACAGAAAGTGCGAACTATAGAGTAGATACAACCGCAATTGGGCATGACATACATAGGTTATGATTGTAAAGATCGATGGCGTGTCCCGAGATACAGGTAGACAGCACTCATGAGGCTGCTCGCAGTTTTCCTGATGCCAAATTGTAATTCACCTAGCACCCCAAACATGCACCCTAAGATATATTTCGACTCCTGAGATAAATATATCAACTCGGCTTCTTGCGGTTCGGAAAGTAAAAGAAATTTGACAAAATTGTTCAGGCATTTGTATATTGTTTCAAGAGGCATTAAGACTTACACGATGGCTGCGGCCGCTCCCGTCACTTGGGGAAGGAGAGTTCAAGAACAATTGGCTTTTTTGCCCTCAGCAAGCTCTGGCTTAACACTCACGCAGCCTTCCTGCCAATCAGATAGCTGCTAATAGACAAGGACTTTAGGTAACTTTTGAAGTCAGCCGCACGAAACGCCTGGCATCTCCACATTTGAGTCATGTGTGGACCAGTCGTGTTCTCTTTTTCCTTCACCTAAGTATCAACACAATCCAAGTTATAGGATGGCAGGTTCAACTAGTAGATTAGACTTCATTGATATTGATTCCATGCCACTTGGCACTCCTAACGGCAGTGCTACTGGCAGTAGTGACACTCAGAATTCCTTGGCACCGGGTACTGCAACCGCCTCTGCGCCACGCCGGCGGACAGTACCACGAAAAGGTCATACCAAGTCGCGAAAAGGTACATCGCCTTTCCTTGTCTATGCATGTACCTATGAAGTCTAAGCATGCCGTTTTACAGGATGCCATCGGTGCAAGAGTCGAAAAGTCAAGTGTTCAGAACAAAAGCCGGATTGCCTACAGTGCCAGAGGCTGGGCTATCAATGCAGGTACACTGACCCGAACGAACAACCTGCACGCCCAACACCTTCCGTACCGGTACGCTCAACGGCAGGGATATTTCATTTGGAAGATTTGAGGTTCTTTCATCATTTTATGGTGACAGCATATCCCACATTGCCGCTTGGCCATGCAACGGTTTGGCGCGAGACGGCAGCTGTGGCGCATGGCGTATGCCTTTCCCCGGTGGTACAGTGTAACACCAAAGGACTGACGAATCAATAGTATGGTTTTCTGGCCCATTCAATACTTGGTCTCGCAGCGACACATCTTACCAATTCCGCCAACACCGACTTCTCTGCCCAAGCACTGAATCATAGAGTGATAGCGATACGTCTCGTGAATGAGAGATTATGTGACCCTATTCAAGATATTGCGATAGGAAATGCAGTATATGCCGCACTAATGTGTCTTACACAGCAGACACTATATATGAAGGATGCGATGGTTGAATTCCTCACCATCAAGAGGGGCTGTCGCATTGTAGGCGGAAGCCTTCTCCCATCACTCGAGGGCGAACCGGCATTTAAACCATACACGTCTAGTGGTCATGCTGCTGATATGCGCAAGGTGATTAAGAAACAGGGCGAACCGGTTAAGGATATTGCCTTGTTCGACGCGTTTGAGGACTCTGTGCTTCAGCTTGAGCCGCTGTGTACAAGAGATACGGAGGTCAATTATCACGCCGAATTGAAGAACGTAATTAACATCGCACGGATCTCGTCGGCTGATGGTAAGCCCTTGCACCCAACTTCTCAACTAATTTCATACTAAAATAAAGTACAAGCGTGGGAGACATTCACAGGTCTTTCCCTGCATACTGAACAGATGAACGAGGAAGAGTTTGCCTCGTTCGTCTCTCCTCAAAACTGGACCGCACAATTACTCCTCGTGCATTTCTTCCTCGTTGACTTCTTGCTGGGCGAGTTCGTGATACGCCCAAATCATAGTGCTTTTCGGCGGACGCGAAAGAAAGTTATATTATCCTGGATCGACAACATTGATCAAGGACTTCCGACCAACCACGCAAAGTATATGTCTTGGCCAAGATCGTTTTGCAGTCTACTGAAGGATTTGGATTCGTCCGTTTTGCGGGCGACATGGATACCACCCAGCGGCTTGGGGCAAGTCGAGATTGTTTCACCTTATTCAGAAGACAATGAGAGAATAATGAATAGATGATGTAACCATTGAGACTTTTGGGTGCCATTACTGGCAGTACTTGTTGGTTATTGAATCATTACTCTCTGCAAAATAACATGTTCAAATTTAAGACTGCACAGAAATATCACTTCAGATCACGCGCCATATGGAAACTTTGCAACCATATGTCCCATGTCATGAAAGCATGGTGACCTCTGCCATTGATGTCTATCCTATTAATCAAAGCTCCTGATTGAGGATCATGATATCTTCCGAGAATGAGATGGGTTTTAATCTGCATATCTTTCTCTCTGATATTTATGATGACCCACTCTCGCTTTACAAACACCAACTCTTTGCGCCTGGCCTTCCTCCACAACATGTCTGATTCTTCTTGACAACCAAGCCGCCTCGTTCATTCATGTTGGGTTTTCCGGGGCTCAGAATACCAGAGCCAGGTTGTACTTCGGAAGTACAGCGGTGTTTTTTAGGAGCCATATAGTGTTACAGACACAGGACAGTCGTCCGTCTGTAACCGAATCTGCACTGATCAATGTCTTTTTCGAATACACCATGTCTATCTCCGGCATATAGTCCAACACTTCTTTTGAGTTCTCCTGATCAATACAGTACTTGTCGCATTTATTCATAACTAAACATGATATCTCTGATCTTGATAATGAGCTTCATGAAGTCTTTCTATTGAAAATTGTTTGCAGCCTGAATAAGTCCTGATTTGTGGGTTGGAGTTTCGGTGCTCGAGGTGTCAAGTCAACTTAATATTGTAGACCGAACAGTTTGGTTGTTTCCACTCTCTCTCCTTTCAGCGCCCGTAATTCGTAACGTTTCCAGGTCACAAGCCACATATATAAGTAGCTCCTATCCACATTGAACGGTGTTTGACGAATTACACAGTATGTATGGTCTCCGAGAAGGGCTAGATTACCGATCGGAGTGCTAAGCTACAGCCTGCCCCACCAGACAAGGGGGCCACTGCCTACCGGTTTGTTGGAGAGTTTACCACGTCCCACCTATCAGGTCCTCCTAACCTCGTTTGCATTTCTATGGTTTGTATCTTACAAACCAGTTCACTGTGTTGGCTCAACACGCATAAGCGAACTGTCTTGTCTTAACGGGCCCGACGTCTCGTAGGGCATCTAGACTTAGACAAGGAACTAGCCCGGCAAAATATTGGTTGCTTCCACCAGTATGTTAATTGAGAATCGGCTTAGAAATCTGGCTTCAGTCGTGGGTGTCATACTGGTTTGAGTTGAGCTCGTCGGCTACTTAAATAAGCAGCGGCCTCCTCGAATACTGGAATGTTTCTGCTGATACCCTCAATTGTCCTCCTTTTCCAGTGGAGTTTTATCCTTTCGGCTACCTTCCTTTGTAGAGATCCCCGAACGCGGTGTCGAAAATGGAGTCTGCTTTGTTCGGCAGCCTGGTGCAAGTCGAATCACAAAACAGTCGGCTCCCAAGCCACCCTGAGAAGGCAGTTCATCGTAATCGTTCTAATGTCTCTGGTGGTGATCCTATTGAGCTCACAAATGTCTCCCGACCAACTATGGCATTTTCGGGAGCGACTGCTCTTGATCTTGGAATGAGTCGATCTGCAAGTCTATCTGACGACATGGGTGCCGTCGAAGTCCTCCCAAGCATTTTCGACTCCAAGGGTAATAAACTTCGACTTGCTGCTTGTTGCAGTATGGGATTCTTGGGCGGCCTCAACGACTCGGCAGCTGGCGCTTTGATTCCTTACATGGAAACGTAAGCAGGCCCTTCTCAGAAATTGAGTACCTCATCTTACACACTCTTGCGCAGTCACTATGGCATTGGGTATGGCGTCGTCTCTCTTATCTTTGTCGGCGTTGCATTGGGCTTCATCATGGCAGCACCTTGCGTCGCTAGCCTACAGAACCGCTTAGGCCTAGCAAAAGTGTTTGGGTTAGGCGAGCTGCTCTTCATCGCTGGCTACATTCCCATCGCAGCAACAGCGCCCATCCCTGTGATTGTCATCTCCTTCTTTATAGTTGGCTTTGGATGTGCGACCAACCTCGCCGTCTATAATGTCTGGCTTGCCAATCACAAAGAAGCAGCCACTGCTCTAGGCTTTGTGCACGGCATGTATGGCGTAGGCGGCATCGTTGGCCCGTTGATTGCGACAAGCATGGTTTCTAACGGCGTGCTTTGGAGCCGATTCTACCTAGTAACTATGGGTGTTGCAGCTCTTAACATGGCATTCACTATCTTGACATTTTGGAAGTATGAACAAGAGACTTATATCCCGCAAACAGCCGCAGAAACCTCCCCAGCTGGAGCTCAACAGCTGTCCGCTATGTTATTGGCTTTCAAGACCAGAGTTGTCCTCGTCGGGGCCATGTTCATATTTGCTTACCAAGGCGCAGAAGTTTCAATATCAGGCTGGGTCATTTCGTTTTTAATAGCTTCAAGAAATGGGGAACCATCCCGAGTCGGTTATGTCACATCTGGTTTTTGGGCAGGCATCACTCTAGGGCGGTTCTTCCTTTCGCCTCTGGGGCCTCGGATTGGCGAGAAAAGATTCGTTTACGGGCTCGTCGTCGGCTCTGCTATCTTTGAACTCCTTGTTTGGCTTGTACCGAACGTCGTCGGAGACGCAGTTGCTGTGGCCATTGTCGGCCTGCTCCTAGGCCCAATATACCCCGCTGCCGCCGTGGTTTTCACCAGAAATTTGTCCAAAAAGGAGCAAGCAAGTGGACTGGCTGTGATCAGTGCATTCGGGAGTTCGGGAGGTGCTATTGCTCCATTCACAACTGGAATATTGGCCCAGGTTGTCGGGACTTTTGTGCTCCATCCTATTGCGATTGGTCTATTTGCAGTCATGATCTTGTGCTGGTACTGTATCCCAACGCCACGGAAAAGAGCAGAGTAATTTCAGACGACCTTTGTTTTTATTCTTCGATCGAGAAATCAAACATTTCTATGCAGCCTTTGGATTGCTGAGTGATTGTTCTTCTACCTCCTTCGCTTCGGTACATATAACCGAAGAGATACACACCAAGAGTCCCATTTTCTACATATGTCGGTAACAGGCATATGTTAAAAATCCACCTTGACTCGGAAGTTGTCATTTTCATGACCACGTATTGGAGCCGCACTGAAATTAGTGGAGTCAGTACATATGTAATTGTGGGTACCAAATAGCACTTAATAGCCACGAATTAGCGCTTGGGTAATTTCATTGGCTTGTTCTGACCGCGACTTTCGCAAAATCATCAACTCTTCCTGTCTGAGCAATCGACGTAGCGACCCAGTGAATATCTTTGCTGTTAGCTGGTACCCCTTCGACCTTGACTCTATGGTGCAAAACTGTACAAACGAATAACTATATTCAAGCATTTTTCTTGTCTTTCTCTTTTCTTCTTCTTTTTTCCGGTCCCCAAGCCGTGGCATCATGTCGTCCCAGACCTTTGATCAGTTCATCAGGTTTACAACTGATTCCGGTGAGACACGACTTTACTTGTGCATCCCTGATTTGCTTTTACATCATTCGTCCAATTGCCCTTTCCCTTGCCTTTTTCGTAAGTTCTTTGTACGCTGTTTGAGTTGCTGTTTGAGTTGTCGCTTGTGCGGTTCAAGTTTGTGAAGTGGTGCATGATTGTCTGCTGGAGTGAAAAAAGGGCATCGTGAGTTTAGGAACGGCCATCGGCTGTCCAGCTTATCGCTGCTTGTCCTTTTTCCTATGTTCAGTGCACAGAAGAGTGCGGCAATGGGATGAGAGCAATCGCAATCGGAGTAGTGCAGATGCGCAGGACGGTATGGGCTGGGAGAACTCGAGTGGGAGTCCCACCAACAAAAGAAGGGCACGTGTGGTAAGTGCAGCTTAAACACATCACCGTTAGAATTCAGGCACAATCATGGAGTGGATGAACGAGCAAGTAGATGCTATTACAACCCATTAACCATCTCATCCCGCACCAAAATTTGCTGGGCAGATGACGAAGATGGAGAGTCAACACTGGAGAGAAGAAAAAGAAGAAGAGGAAGAAGAAGAAGAAGAGGAAGAAGAAGAAGAAGAAAGAAAAAAAATCAAATAAAAAGAGAAACAGACAATGTTCGAACATACAACCGACGGAATGTCAAAATATTGGCCGGTTGGATGGACGAGCAGACCGGCTGTTCTTACAAACCGGCCATCCATTCAAGGCCGAAAGAAACTGCTCTTACTGAGATCTATTTATCCCCCCCCCCCCCCCCCCCCCCCCCCTCCATGTCTCATGGCCACCACAGCCGTCTTGTATTCCTTGCAACATAACTTTTGGCCGATAGCCTTGACAAGTATCTGGGTTGACGCTTATGATCTGACGCATCACTATGTTAACAGCATTGGTTTGAATCCAGGTCAGGTTATTCTCTCCAAACCATTGTTCTTGTCGAATTCAATACATCATACTTGACTGACCGCTGTCATAGTTGGCCTTGAACGCACATTTCGTCTCTTTCAATCTCTGGCCCAGATACTTTCATCATATCCAGTTCTACTCAGCCTCTTCCTCTCCTTGCTAGACAAGAGCACCACTACGACCAAATCATACTCTCAATCTTACATAATCCTTGCGGACATACGCCAACGCCTCGGTCTGGCCCGGCGTTTCTTTCGCGTTTTTCGTTTCCTGGATTCTTTCAACTCGGCACAGAAGCTTTACGTTACCATCAATCCGTCACTAGCCTCATCAAATTCTCCGAAACGACCGCTATGGGTCCACCTGGAAGTGTACATAGACGTTCTAGGTCGCACATTCAACGGAATGTACCTTCTTCTTGAGACTAGCACCATGATTGACGCACTACAGGTCGAGGGCCTGCGCCTATGGACACATGAGTGGGAACGCGTCATCATAGTCGAGGCCCAGCGTTTCTGGCTCTTTGCTCTGGTCTGCGGGGTGCTTTCCGGTTTGTTAAAAGTGTTGAAGACATTGGCGTATACACCTGTGCCTGCGAGTGGCGATGTGACACAGAGCGCAAAGGTCGATGAGGATGAAAAATCAAAAGCGGAATCTATTCCTGAGGAGAAGAACGTGGCAGAGGAGTTTGACGTCAAGAAGGAACAGCAGCGGCTTAGAGGTCTTGTCAAAGATTCTAGGAAGAAAAGGGTACTGTGGGTGCGAGAGGTAAAGGCCAAGTTACACGGCTTGGGTAGGAGTATCGTCGCAAATGCGCTTGATATCGTGTTGCCTGGAACCGTGGTGGGTTGGATTGAGGCTGACCAGGGAGTGGTGGGTATAGCCATGTTCATTACGACGATATTAACAGGGTTGGATGTCTGGGAGAGATGCGGGCGGGAAGTTGCTGCCACCCAGTGATTATTTGAGAGAATAAGTTGGAAACACACTGCAAAGAAACCGGGATTTTGTATACACGATAGACATGATGGAGTATTTCTTTTTACAAGACTAGAAAGCCTACGTAGAAGCCGAACGATAGAAGCATAGATTCAGAGCTTAAAATATCCATGGCGCTAGGAGGTGATCTATAGCGATACCGAATCGCATTTGCATCCTAGTGCCAACTACTACTCTGTTGATCCCTGGTTATAAGCCAATTCTAGTAATGAGCGTGTCAGACGATTGTCTATAAGAAATGCGAGGTGGAGATCATCTCGATGTGGCCACCCATATCCCTCTGCACTCCAACGCCCCTCCACCAATAGGTCGCGTTAACATAAAACAAAAAGGTTCCGCTGAGCATACCCCCTTGCCGCCATCTTCCCATGCTATATGTATATCTAGTGGATTCCACGATCGATGCTTAAGTATTTCGAATTAGAGCAAAGCTTGGTCCAGTAAAGATTGGCCTTTAAGATGAAGCTCTCCCCGAAGGCTCCGAGGTTCCTCAGTGGTCATCATGCATAATTCTTATGAAGTTGCCAATGCCGAATGATGAATGGAGTTTGCTTAACTGAAAGGTGCCTAAGCATAGATGGGGACTGAATTCTTGCTCTTCTGACTGGGCTCATCTCTGGGCAACTGAATGCGGTACTTGTACAGCTCATTGTCACGGGTCAGGGCGAGCTTCAGCAACACAGAGGCACCAGTACGTGTCTGAAGTAGTCGGACCATAAGCATGGTGAGCATGAAAGCACTGGCAAAAGATCACCATTAGCACAGACCGTCAAGTATAGAGTATCAGCTGGAATGGCTTACAAGACGAAGAAGTGGAGGATGGCAATGGGAGTTCCATTACTGAATATCCTGCTGTAGCCGTTGTACCATGACAGGCGATGACCACTAAGTTCGGTTATGCTGGCGGTGGAGCAGCTAAAGAGGACTACGGCCAGGATCACGTCGGTGAGGTTGCGAAGGATGTCGGTGGCTCCTCTCTTGCGCTTTGGCGTGATGTCATGAACGGCGTCACCACATTCACTGTCGCGCCTGGAACCAGAGTATTGGAACGTCCAGTTCCCAACGAAGATAGTGATGGGAGGTAGTGTGCTCATGACTTCAACGAGAAGGGCGAGCGGGTACCAGGTGATGATGAAGAAATCCCAGACGACCAGGAACACCCACAGACCGCCACGGGGTGCTGAGGAGATTTGCAGAATAATGTTGGCCAAGGTCAAACTGATGGTCAAGAGCCTCAGGATGGAAGTTAGACGGATGCCTATCTCTCGTCTGCCACCATCAGCCAGGTATTCGTATGCTGGTGGTGTCAGTGGAGGCTGAACAACACTGGGACTCAATGGTCGAGGGCTTTCTTGGCCGAGGTGGTGCTGTTCGCCGTCAGGGTTGAGTGGACGAGTCTCATCAACTGAGGAATTTCTGGAGTCCATGGTGGCGGTGTTAACTCCGAATATCAAGGCTAAAGCAAGGAAAGTCGTATAAGATAGCAGATCGAGTATATTTCCAGCCGGCTGAAGTCCTATTTAAGACAAATTCTAATCTACAAGAAATGTAGTACGATATGTATTAGGAAGCATATGCTTGTAATACCAGTCTATGGCACTATTTGATGTTTGTGTACAAACCTGGGCCTTTGAGTGGGCTGTAGAAGTCGAATGCTGGTGCCTGGAGGATGATCTGATGCGCCAAGATGGCGGGTCAGAAAGGTTTGAACAAAATGACCGCTATTGGTCCAGGAAAGATGTCCAGCCTGGCAACGGGCTATAAAGCCGTAAAGGTTGTGCCGAGGGATTGGCGGCCCATGTATTGGACATCTAAGCCGGGCGGCAACACGGCATGTTGGCAAAGCATCCCATTTCATCCCCACCAGAAGAAGCGGCCACATTTAGAACATTGCAGTGCCGGTGTGAAGACGCCTTTACGCTCAATGCGTCGTATCAAAGCCATGTTCTGATCAGCTTTCCTCGAGCCGCTGCATAAGAGTGGACGGGGATTAGTGGCAGGATGCTAAGCATTCTCAGGCATCACCATTTTACACCGCGATTGTGGATACTCAATCGTCGACGCGGGTAGGGATCTCGCATTGTAGCTCACGACTGACAGGCCGTGGCCTGCGTGGGTACGCTGGCAGGCTGGGAAGGATTTGAATCAGAGTGAGCATGACGGGACCTCGGTGATGTGATCGGTACATATGAAAATAAAGACACACTGCCCAGTCAAAGGATTAGATCCAATCGTTGACAATACGATTGAAACATAAGACTGTCCGTTGGTTATAGGCCGCTGTCGACAAGATCGTTGCTTGGTAACTAACTATCTTCGAGGTCTGAACGAGGGAGCTAGACTAGTTCTGATGCATCCCCCAATCGTGTTTTGTTGTACGATGGTAATTTGATGAGGATGACAAATGGAATAATTCGGGTGTCCAATGTCACAAGACTGCAGCTATACCCATAAATACTAACGTACAGGGCCACCAATATGATCAACATGGGCGCATGATTATTCCATACTCCATATTCCACAGCATCGGCGGGCTGGGAGATCCCTGCTGGCCATGCCACTACGCTATGCCCGTTGCCGAAGGCGGTGAGCAATAGCGGGCAGAAAAGTTCCCGGGCAGTCGCAATCCACAATTTTTTTCCTCTGGCAGCGCAACCGTTGATCGGGTTCTTGCCGTTGCGACAAACAATTCTGGGTTGATATTCCCCCCCCATTCAAGTGTCCAACACGGGCATCTCTTTCTTCTTCATATCCTGCTCATGCCTGGAGTCGCCAGAACGACCTCCACTGACACCACTGCTGGACCTCCAGAGTGGCTCTTCTCCAATAACTCATCTGCTCCCACTACAAGCAATTCTTCCGCAATGGCTAAGAAGGACAACAAGATCACCAAGAAGAGCTCGGCTCCTGTAGCTGGTGCCTCCAACGCCGCAATAAACACTTCTGATGTTCCTTCTGCCCAGCTCATGGACCTTGTCGAGAACTTCCTTTCCGATCAGGGCTTCGACAATGCTCACCGCGAGTTCAAGAAGCACCGCGCCGACAAGGGATGGAAGTCCCAGGTCGACAAGAAGGCCAAGAAGGAAAAGAAGGGGCATCACTCCCTCGTCAGTGTTTTCCAGACTTGGGAGACCTTCTCCACCAAGGACGGTACCCCCTTGGTCATCAAACAGGAAGTCACCAAGGTCAGCAGCGACAGCGAATCTAGCTCTGACAGCGACAGCGACAGCGACAGCGACGATGTCGATATGGCGGATGCTCCCGCTGTTGAGGATGACAGCGACTCTTCCTCAAGCTCGAGCTCGAGCTCTAGCTCCAGCTCCAGCTCCGACAGCGACAGCGACAGCGACAGTGAAGATGAGGCCGCCGAGGCCCCCGCGTCTACCACTGCTGTAGCCAACTCACGAAAGCGCAAGGCCGAGTCTGACAGCGACAGTTCTTCGTCTTCCTCCGAGTCCGACTCTGATTCGGACTCGAGCTCCTCCAGCTCTGAGGATGAGAAGCCCAAGGCTAAGAAGCCCAAGGCCAAGAAGGCCAAGACTGCCGCTGCAAGCAAATCTGACAGCGATTCTTGTTCTTCTTCTTCGTCCGATTCTGACTCTAGCTCTGATTCATCCGATGATGAAGCTCCTGCCAAGTCTCACAAGAAAACCACCAAGACTACCAAGGAAAGCTCAGATTCGTCCTCGGATTCGTCCTCGGATTCTGATTCTGACTCTAGCTCCGACTCCGACTCAGAGTCTGAAGATGAGGTAGCAGCCAAGGTTCCTCTTCCCGACTCCGATTCGTCCTCCAGCAGCGACTCTGACTCTGATTCCGACGACGAGAAGATCAACAAGGGAGCGAATGATCAAGCCATGACTGGTACTGGATCTGATACATCTGCTACTCTCGACAAGACCTCACCGGCAATTGAGTCTGCCCCTCTTCCTCCTGATCCAACAGAGTTCAAGCAGAACAACCGGGGCAAGGGTGGCAAGCGACCACAGAACGAGCCCTTTTCTCGAATCAAGAAGGATGTTTACGTCGACCCCCGACTTTCCACGAACGAATACATTGCGGACGGTTATGGTCAAAGAGCTCATGAGGACCTCATTGTGACCCGAGGCAAGGGCTTTACCAAGGAGAAGAACAAGAAGAAGCGGGGCGCTTTCCGCGGTGGCCCCCTGGATATCGGCAGAAACCAGAGTTTCAAGTTCGAGGACTAGAGGTCGTCGAAGAATGCTTCTGATGATGCATTGAAGCAGGGAACTCCACCTACGGTCCCAATCAAGAACTCGCCTGCCAATTCTCCAAGTGTTTCTGCGGCCCCTGCTAGTCCAACAAGGTCGATTCTCAAGCAGTCCCCCGCTGTCAAGACTTCACCGGCTTCTGGTAGTAAGCCTCAGGGCCAGAAGCCACCAAACGCACCAACTGGTCGCACGGGTCTCACTAGCAAGAGCCAGAGTCCCAAGTTTCTCCGCTTCGAATGAATGGACTGGTTGTACCTTGTTCAATATTGTACTGGCCAGCCGAGGTATCATGATTTACTATTTGGTTGGCGTTACAGAGGGTGTCCTTGTGGAAACGGAGTTTGATACCAGCCTAGATATGGATACATACATAAAGTCATGTAGGCGGCTCTCATGAGCTCAACCTTTCATACAAATATAGAGTAGCGTAGGTACACTAGGATGTGTAGCATATGATATTAAGTTTTGATCTGATCCCCTTGATGATTTTGCGTTGTTCATAGTTCGTCAACGCTGGCGAACACAATGCGAGATTGTATGAACGCTGCTTATTCCATATTGGTTGGTATCAGCGATCCCTCGGTCTCTAAATGTACAGGTATCAGTAAGCTATGAATCTTGGGGAGTTGGACCTCGAGTGCAGCCTAAAAAGTCCGGTTCTCGGTGTTTTTACATAAATCGCATCCATCATGAGGTCAATTTGCAAACGACTCGGTAAGTCGACTAGTCTTACCATGCAAGAGTTTTGACGATACATAGCTCCAGCTGCGCCTCTGTACGGTTCCACTTATCAGTCTCTAAACAGAGTCTAGAGAGACACTTGGTGGGCCAGGCTCACCGAAGGTTGAATTTTGAGGCATGCAATGAGAAAGTGTATATTGCACATCTCGTTGCTGGAAGTCAAGATCGGGATGAGTTGCTCCAGTCATTCGCAGTTATTGATCCTTGTCATGGTGGACTGGCGAGATAGGTAGTGAGTGCCACGATATGACCACTCGAAAACAATGCAACGATTGAGACATGGGTTCGCTAAAGCGTAGTTGCTTCGATCGAGAACTTAAGATCATATTCGATTGATCAGTCGAGAAACGAGTGTCCGTCGGGCGTAAGGTAACACTAGAGAGAGATGGTGTGTAAATATTTGAGGCTGCCCCGTATCATCTGCGAGCAAGCACTTGTGATTCATGATTAGTCAAAATTTTTGAATAGTTGCAGCGCTTTCGGTACCACCTACATTTGCGGTTATTTCTCATAGCTTCATACTGTACAGTAGAACATACTAACAGCAGAGCAGGGCTAAGCATCTGGATATGTGGGACCCGAAAGCCATGCTTATGTAGTGTCCCTTGCATGAAGATGCCAAACCCGATGGTCTGGTAACAGGGTTAGCCATGTCTTCCAGCAGTGCAGCTCAGATCGTGGCCATGGAGTACACCAACCTGTAAATACAAATGACCGACATGGTGGCATCCCAGGTGAAGCTGCTCTGTATAACATGTGAATTGTCAGATCGTAATTAGACAACCAGCATCCCCTGTAAGACGCTGGTGTCACTATGGGATCGGGACCAGCGACCAACGTCAGAATTGTTCATGGCAAGGCATAGCTGGCAGTGTCAAGATCCATATACGTTAATGCTGCCTCATGTGTAAGCAGCCCCGTGACATGGACGGATGATGCCGGTTTTTGGGCACACGTCAGCCACTTGGGTCATCATCCGGCAGAAATACCTGTGGCCACACAGATGATGGCTCCAGCTATGATCAAATCATCGGACCGGTCCTCTGAAACCAGATGTCGGATCAGTTGCGACGAGTTTCTGGTTACCAGCGAGTGGAGCTATCTCACATGAGGAATGAGCACAGAGCGACGAAAACGGACACAATTATTTGGCACATGTCTTCTACATATAGCTTTGGAGTAAGTTATTCCAGTTGACTGGGGTTGAAAGATAGAAACCAATAGCAAAGAGTTCTACGACCTGCTGGTAGTGGGGTCAGCAAGGGGTTTAGCGCTTTCGTGGGTACTTTGACTTGGCCCTGACCCCGGCCCCCGGGCACCTTGGCACTCTTCAGCCCCCCAAGACAACAGCGGGCAGGATGCGACCAGCCTATTCATCTGGTAAAAACACCAAGTTGACACAGCCTCGCCAATTGCTCCAGCTTCATCTCATCTTACGCATATACCAACAGCTCAATACAGTTCGCGCAGGCGAGAGAGATATTTGCTAGTTTCCACTACTCGTTCGTACTCACAGAAGAAGCGCTTGCAAATAGTGTCCCGCTAAATAAGCTCCATCAATCCCGCATACCAACCAGCCCACACGTAGTTTCACTCATTGTCCACAGTTGTTGCGCATTCCGCCGCATGCGCTCATGGGGACATCTTGTAGCAAGCCTGATAAGGATTTAGACTCCCATCATCCGCTTGAAAAAGAGATTAATGGGTCGCCATCGAAACTTCAGAAATTCATCTCACATCCCCTGGGACGCAGGATGGACACTTCGAAAGCAACAGAGGCTCTGGTCGTTGGCCGGTACAGCAAGAACGTCAGCACCAGGCTAGATGCTCTTGACGCTGTGGCGCCACTGATCTATAACAAGCGAAACACCGACATCAAGGACGACCAAAAGAGCATATCAAGTCCAGAAGAGCTCGAACCAGAGTATTTCAGTGATCGTGCAGAGATTGAACGGCGCGGACAACAACTGGCATTTGATTACACACTCACTCAAAAGTCCAGTCAGTCCGAGCGCCAGGCCAGGCATCTGCTGGAGATCGCTAGGCATAATGACGAGATTGTCTTCTACTCAGAAAATCCCGGACTTGAAGGCTATCATGGCCAAATACATCCTCGTTTCTCTGGGGATCATTTCCTGACAAATCTGGACCTGATTGATCGTACGGTACTGTTCAAGGTGGCGCAAAGGATGCCCAAAGGTGCACATCTTCATGTCCACTTTAACTCTACTCTTCTCCCCAATGCTCTTCTCGACATTGCCGAGAAAATGGAGCAGATGTACATCTCTAGCGACAAACCACTAACAAGTGTGGAAAATCTCAATACATGCGAAGTTCAGTTCCTCATGAAAGCACCAGAGGTAGTAAAGGGAGATCGTGAAAAAATGGGCATCACATCAGTAAAAAGCTCAAGATCGCCAACGCCGGAACCGGAGGAGTGCGATTTACTCCATGAAGGCTACCATCAGGTAGTAGCAGGTCAACGTCTGTCCTGGATGAAATACAGGACATTCAGGGAACAGTGGGACAAGGTGTACGGCGCAAAGAGAGGTTTGGTTCATATTAACGAAAACGACTCTACGGACGCCCATCTATTGAGACTCCTGACAGTTAGCACTTATGATTTGACCTGGAAGGAGTGGTTGGTTAGCAAGCTTGTGTTCGACGACCAAGAAGTTCACAACTCTGGACAGACATCTGAGGGGTAAGATACACGCCTCGAACCTGAGAACATAACCTAATTCAGTCCCAGGGCATGGGAGAAATTTAATGGTCGAACAAGAATGATGAAAGGGCTGTTCAACTACGAGACAGCTTTCACGCAATATACTACGGAATGCCTTAAGGAGTTTGACGAAGATGGAATTCAATACGCAGAAATTCGCCCGAATTTCATGACAACAAATCAGATCTGGACAGATGACGGGACGAGGCAACTAGACAACAAGCAGACAATGCAGAAAATCGTGGATCAATTTCAGAAATACAAATCCGATAATAAGAACTCGAAGATCTGCGGTTTGAAAGTCATTTACTGCACGCCCCGTTCCTTCGCAGCGGATAAAGTCCAGGCCGCCCTCGATGAATGTCTCAAATTTGTGGTCGAAGACGGTTTCAAAGACTACATTGCAGGTTTCGACCTGGTCGGTGAAGAGGCGCAGGGAAAGCCTCTAAAGGCGTTTATTCCACAATTCCAGGACTTTAAAAGGAAATGTCAACAGCTCGGAGTTACCATCCCGTTCCTCTTCCACTGCGGCGAAACCCTGGAATTGGGTGGTGACACTGATGGTAACTTAGTGGATGCTCTGCTGCTCGACTCCAAGCGCATCGGTCACGGCTTCGCTTTAGCCCGCAAACCCTATCTGATCTCGGAGTTCAAGAAACGAAACATCTGTCTCGAAGTCTGCCCCATTTCAAACCAGGTGCTTGGATTAACACCAAGGATGAACGGCCATGCTATATACGACCTATTGGCCAACGATGTCCACTGCACTGTTAACAGTGACAACGGAACACTATTCAAGTAAGCAATCCATCTCGTCTTGGGGACTCATGAATGATTGACAGTGGTAGATCTACACTTTCTCACGATTTTTATGAAGTGATGGCTGGAAGCAAGGCTATGAACTTGCATGGCTGGCGTCAACTCGTTGAATGGAGTATTGATCATGCTAGCTTGACTCCCCAAGAACTCGCACGACTCAGGAGTGTGTGGGAACCGCTTTGGAACGACTTCATCGAGCAAATCAATAAGTCGCTTGAGGGAATTCAAGCAATCGAGCAACCAGCGAAGAGAGAGGAGCGTCCTGAAGTATTACAGAGATTCGCCAGCCAAGTCAAGTCATGGGAAGCGAGAGCAACAGATATCCAGGATTCATGGAGCTCAGCGTTCAAGCGTTGAGATGGGAGTACCTCATTTTTCATGATGGGCAGCACGTTCAGACATATGTAATATTTGGACAACAGGATCTGTGGAACCGGGTCTATCTATGACAACAGCCAAGTGAGACTTCACATGTTCAAACTAACGTGTCACGATGGAATGACTGCGTGCTAGAGTTTAGTTCTTGTTATGGCTGTAGACGGCGTTCAGGAAGTCACGAAATGGGCAACCATGTGCTTGGAAGCGAGGCATTCATTGATTAGGATCCCCGTTGAGCTTTCCTCACGATTCAGCAGACAATCCATTTCACTTCATCTTTGCTTTCACGAGTCGAGGCGAAAGGCCACATGTGCAAGTGATGAACTAAATCAGCATATAGAGCAATTGGGTCATTCTCTTGCCCGAGCGACGTAGCTGAACGCTTTGTTGATCTCATTTAGACTGACACCATTGCGGATGATATCAACTTCGAGTTCGTGAGCCAATCGTTTATCTACCTTTCTTGAAACATCTAACAACTGTGGCGTCTGGAGAGATCTTCGCAGGACACCGATTGCGTTGTGTCGGGGCGATTAGTTCATTGAGAGGCCTGACTTGCCTGCCCACGTACCCGCGGGTCTAACCGTAGATATGACACTGTTGGTTTTAGCGCCCGAGGGGCCCAGCCCCGACGTCACGGTCATACATAGTCAGCCCATGGATTGGCACAGCCTTTTCGCAAGAAATCGACTAGAAGTGGTCCCTTGCGGAAGGCCACATGATTCTGCGGCGGCTGACCGCAACATCTTAGACCACTTAGCAACAATTCAGAAGTCGAAAATGCATGAAAGGGTCTGAGCCGCGCTTGGCAGCGAAGGCTTGCAGCGAGTATCCGCACCCTCGTGAACTCGTCCTCCAAGCCTCCACTACAATGCCTGAGAGCCCGCTATGGATCATCCCATGTACTATGTAAAAGCTAAATTCTGCCCCCAAATTCTGCCCTGGGACTAGTTGATCCTTTGGCGTTACATAGTACTTGCAGAAGAAGGAAAATAAATGCTTGTTCCAGGATCAATTAGGCTTAGAGCAGCTGGATGGCACCCTAACCTAATGCCCAAGCCACCCCTGTTCTCTTGCTCCAGGAATTGCAACCAGGGGCCTCGCTTCTCTCAGCCTCGAAACAAAACGTTCTTGCGTTCTTCTCCTTGAAATTCTCCCGTCGAGGTCGACTTCACTGCACTTCGAGTCAATGTACACAATCTCTGACCACCTTTGAGCATTCTGACTCACTTCTCAGACCTCATTGTCGCTTGCCGCTTTGCTCTCTGCTCAAAGACCCTTTGTTCTCCACCCCCAACGCAGACTCGACCCAGCGTTTCATAGGCCCATTATTCGACGGGGTAAGGCTTAAAAGTTGGAACCAAGAAAGCAACATTAACCCTACCCGCATTCCCTGATCCTCCCCAACCCAATCCCTAGACTAGACAAACTTTACCAATTCCCCGGGTACGAGTCGATTCAACGGTTTCGGCTTCTTCAATGGCTGATGACTCCAACCTACATCCCGGCGCTTTACACTGGTTCTCCTCCGATGAGCAGGAAGCCGGTGGCCCTTATGGCTGGCGTCTTGATGTCGTGACATTGCTTGCTGTCATCGGCGAGTCCTCGATTGCCGACCATTCTCAAGCAATCACTGCCAGCATGCTGTGTCTCCTACCACGAATTATACCTGCACCACAAGCTCTACTCAAGGGTACTCGCCCATCGCGGATGCCCGAGACGGCTGCCAAGCTCACTGGTATATATAGCGGTGTTTCGCTCGAATCAGTTGGCTTCTTCGCCAACATCCTGCATCCCCTCGATGAATTCAGTCCCTTCGGCTTCAAAGTGCTGAAGATATCCCACAAAGACCAGAACGAAGCTGGTGACTTCGAGGTACCTATGTCTCCAACCACTGATGGGAACAAGCTCGGTAGACTTTTTGGCAAGAGGACCAACACCAACGACTCTGAAGGCCGGCCTGCCGTCAAGACCAATAGAATCCCTGGCCCTCCCGGTAGTGGAAGTGACTCAACTGCTAACGGAGTCTCCAGAAGAACCGGCGTTAGCTTTCACAACAATGGTGACCCTGAGGCTCAAGCTCCGGTCCCGGGCATCAAACGCAGGCAGACAGTGAAGGATCGTATGACAGACTACATAAACAACCCGACGCTTGCTACCACCAATAAACGTCCAGCAGTACCCGCCGCCCTCTGGTCTCCCATACATGTTCTTTCTGTCTTCTCGATGCTTCTCACATTCATCATTATTGGGTTCTCGGCCACGGATCAAGATGGTACTGCCATCCTGTCGCTCGTCCTGATCTCACTGGCTAGTTCTATCGTCGGTGCTGCCTCGTGGTGGCGGCCCATTCTCATGAAGAGGAGCCATACCAACATAGTTCCCGACGGCGACGTTGCTATTCGTACTCGTGAAGGCGCCTTCTTAATCATTAAATGTACGGACAACGTGGCTCGTGAACTTTACACTGGAACTGAGGAGTGCGAATACCGCGTCAACGGACAATGGTACAAAGTCTTGATGGGTCTTGGCACATTCACACTCATGGCCAGCGTGATTCTCCTTGGTAACTGCAAGTGGAAGTCACAGCTGTTCATTGGCTGTGCATATATCAGCCTGAACGGCATGTACTGGATCTTGGGCCTGCTACCCAAGAAGTATTTCTGGGATTTGAGCAGGTACAACATTGAGGACATCACGCCCAAGGATGCCAAGGACGCCCACAAGACCACTGACGAAAACGACCCGCGCGAAGGTGTCAAGAGCTTCACCCGCACCCTGTGGTGGTGCATCCGGGAGACGAAGCGAACGGGCTGGGTCGAGCGTTCGGGCGCCGCGCCGTCTACGCCGCAGTGGAAACAGTGGCTTATTGAAGCCGAACAGGCCGCAGAAGCCGGCAACCGATCGTGGCCTTCCATTGCGAGGAAGGACGAGCTCATGAAGATGACCGATTCCGAGATCCAGCTGGAGAAGCTGAAGAAGAGTCCTGCCGACAGGGAGGCCAAGCTTGATCCCGCTGAGCAGGCCGTCCCGGCTCAGATGGTGCAAGTGAGCGATACCAAGAGGGAGCCTGGCGCTTTCTAGGCGTCTTGGAAGTCCCTACTCATTTGAATAAACGTTCACAGGCACCAACGACAGATTACGACTTGAAATTTTTTGAGAGCGAAGCGCAGCGTGCCTGGTATACTTGGTGATGGTTGGTTATGTCACCAGACCTGTAGATATCTTTGTGTATATACCCGGTTTCTTTTTCTTTTCTTTTCTGTCCCGCATTTATCTGGCTGGCATGCATGATCCATCATAGGGCTCGGGGGACCTGAAAATCTTTATTAACAAAATTTTGCACGGGGACATTTGGCTGGAAATGTTTCGATCTAACTAGCGCAGGGCAAGATAATGACAACTTTTCATAGAGTTAGAGCAGCTCTACGCGTAGGGCTGATGAACAAGATTATCATCTCGAGACCGAAAATGCTTTTGAGTAGTAGTGACTAGCAAATGCTGGCGTCTGATGCCCCTGACGCCCGGCCCTAGAGATCTGGACTGACATGACATTGCCATCTTTTGTTGGTCGACAGGAGACCCAATATCGTAGAGAAGGAGTGAGACAGGTATCTGGCTCCATGTCTACCAAGGATGCATCGCAGGTATCTGGCTCCATGTCTACCAAGGATGCATCGCAGGGCATTGACAAAGCTGTAACGTGTTGTCAAAGAAAGAAAGAAAGGCAAGGAAAAGAAAACTCGGGGACTTCAGATGGCAGAAACAAGCAACTCAAATTCTCTACCTGCATTATGTCAGGCGTAAGCACACCACATTCGTAATACGACTATCCGTGGCAGATCAAGACAGACTCTGGAGTCCGAAACAAGCCTCGGCGAGCCCCTTGGTGGAAGTCATCAAGACCCGACACCGAGAGTTACTTGTGCACGGCTCGAATTCAACACAAGCCCGTGGGCCTCTTGGGTAGCTGCGAGTAGCTACCGCGTCTATCATGCAAGTCGGCCTCAAAACATGCCTCTCATGCTCCCCCCGCGCGAAAAATGCCATGTTTCCCTTCCCTCAACGCCTTCTACCAGTTCATCAATCAAGTAATACGAAGCCGCCGAAAAAGGCTCGCCGGCAAGAAAATGGGGTAACAGAAGTATGCTGTGTCAGCAGGGTATATTGCTACACCATGACGTCTATCATTCGTCCGGTATCCTGAAAGCCGAGAAGGATGCTGGGGGCATGTGGAGGCCCCTCTTCCGTCTCGAGGGGATACTTCATCAGTAACCGTTGGGGTGAGTATGCCTCGAGCCCTCGAAATAAGGATGGTTACAGGTCTGCTTGGCCGAGATACGACCGGCGGGATCATACTCGAGCAATCTTTCTAGCAGAGCCAGACCATCGTCGTCGAGGTTGGAGCAAAGAGTTTGTGAGTAGTCGCGGTTCCACTTGGGGAAGGTAGCTTTGAAGTCGGGATATGAGGTGACACCGGGCCAGACCTCTTCGGTGGGGGTTCCCAGAAGGCGGAAAGTCTTGAAGATCTGATCGATTTCCGAGTCGCCGGGGAAAAGAGGCTTCCTCGTGCACATTTCGGCAAAGATTGTGCCGACGGACCACATGTCGACGCCGGTGGAGTATTGGCGGCCACCCAGCAGGATTTCCGGGGCGCGGTACCAGAGCGTGACGACTTCGTGGGTGTAGGTTCGCAGCGGGACACCAAAGGCGCGTGCAAGACCGAAATCAGCGAGCTTGAGGTTGCCGTCGCGGTCGATAAGCAAGTTTTGGGGCTTCAGGTCGCGATGCAGGATACGGTGGCTGTGGCAGTAGCGGATGCCGGAGCAGAGCTGCCACATGAACTTCTTGACCATGGCATCTCCCAGTCCCAGGCGCCCCAAAGATTCACTCGAGCCTTCAGGCAAGGCCTTGCCGCGTCCACCGTCGCTGACGGGCAGCGCCTCCATGTATTTCTTCAGATCGAGGTCGAGGAATTCGAAGACGAGGTAGAGTTTGTGGCCGTCAGCATGGACGATGTTGAAGAGCTTCACAATGTTGGGGTCGCGCATCTCTTTGAGAAGGGAGATCTCACGGATGGCGGTACTGGGGACACCTTCATCCTCCGCCTCGAGACGAATCTTCTTGAGAGCGACGATGCGCCCATGATTAGCAAGGTCGCGAGCCTTGTAGACAACACCGTATGTGCCTGTGTTGGATTGATTTAGAATACAGCGGTAGCAATGGCAATTAGAGCGAGATGGGCAGCGGTATCATGGCATGGCTCACGAGAAGCAGCGCAATGAAGGATCGGGGGAATGGTCACGTTTCGACATAGTTGCTTACCTTCGCCAATCTTTTCCAGCTTCTGGTAGTTGTCCATGATGGCACGTGTATGCGGCTCGGGCTATATATGGTGTCCAAGGACAGAGATTGGTGGTCGAAGGAGTGTGTATTTTGAGGCAAGGTACCGTGGACCCTGTCTGGCTGCGGATGGGAGGCGGAGGTGGGGTGGTCTGCGGGTTGTCGATGAGATCTGATCTGATCTGATGCAGAATGGGAGAGAGGGGACGAGGGGTCAACAAAAATCGAAAGTCGCTCCTCGGTCGGTGAAGGGAAGCAAGTAAGTGGATAGATGGTAAAAGGTGAAAGGAAGGGAAAGGCGCAGACTGGATGAGAGAAGCGTTGCGCAGAAACTAGAAGCGAGCCGTCATTTGATGTTGTTCGAATTGCCTTTTTGAAATTGTCCGATTGTCGATCGGCGTTGACCAGGTATTGGGTACGTATGAGTATGGGTATGAGTATGGGTATGAGTATGGGTATGGGTATGGGTCTGGGTATGGGTGTGAACAAGGTCAAGTCAGTGCAAAGAGAATTGTCATGTCCTGTTCTGTTGTGGAGGTGAGCATGAGCTGGAGGTGTTTCCATCTGATGTTAGTACTTAGGTTAGCAAATAACTTAGCACAACACGGCACAACACAACATAACATAACACAGCACGCCAATGGTGGACGTTATGCTTTGTGCTGTCCTAAAATAGTTCAGTTCCACTGGCGGTTGTTTGGCCTGGAATCAACAAAACAAAATCGCGGGACGGGCAGGAGGCAACGCGACCTTTGAATGTGGCTTGGCTTATTCTCTTCAAGGGTACCGCGTCTGTGGCACCTAGTAGGGGTCCATACTGCAGTACCCTGCTGCAGTACCACGGCACGTAAATCTGTCTCTGTGTGTGTGCGCGGATCTGTATGCATGTGTGTATGTATGCCACATGCGGATCCGTGCCAGTACGCACCCTTAGGTCAGAGCTTATCGATACGGAATAGTACTGCACCAGGCAGATAGCGCCGATAGTGGTGAAGTTGATAAGATTTTACCCCGCCATCCATATGCCACCGGCTCTGCCTGCATCCTGGAATCTACAGTAGGTTGCATTTGCCTTGTCTCGGGATTTGACATATTGTCAACTTAACCTTAGTCTGGGGTATTGACTGAGTTTCTATACTTTCAGGGGACTTGCATGTGAACCTTGCCCCCCACACCCTTTGTGCCAGCTTTAAGCTTTGGAACAGAGGCGTGTTCTGGTCATTCAATTCCTTCTGCCTCCATTTTTCCGCCCGGCACAAAGAGTCAAGATGGCCGTCGATCTTCAAGAACTGGACGCGCATGAGCAGCCTTCCGATGAACTGAGAGCCACCTGGAAATCTTATTACAGGACCGACCATAGCGGTTTCGTGGACCATCCAGATGTTGACGATTTTCATACCCCCGACAAGGCCGCAGAACTGCAACAGTCAGGTGTTATACCAGCTGACAAGTTGGCATCAGCATTTCAGCAAGTCGAGGGCCCCCATTGGGATCCCAATCAAGTAGTACAAGATGCACCAGTCTATTTCCATCCACTACTACCCGGTGTGCACATATGCTACATGTAAAGTATCCAAATCACAAGCTAATCCAATCCCAGGTCTACTCATCGTGCCCTCCCTCATGCCGCCCAGCACTCAAAAGGCACTTCTATCCCGCATGATTCATCGGGATCTCAGCAATCCGGCACACCAAACAAACCTCCATCTTCATTATGAGCTCCCATACATACAAGGAGAATCTGGCGCAGACCGTTCATTCTTCTCTCTGGCCCCAGACTCACCCACCACATTCACCCCAAAAGATCCAAGTGTACACAAGCCTCTTACCATTAAACAAGTCTTGGACAAGAAACTCAGTTGGGTAACCTTGGGTGGTCAGTATGACTGGACCAACCGGGTATACCCCGAGCAGAGGTCTCTACAATTCCCGCCTGATATTGCCAAATTTCTCGAGACACTGTTCCCCGAGACACAAGCACAAGCAGCCATTGTCAACTTTTACAAGACGGGAGACACCATGATGATGCACCGAGATGTGAGCGAGAAGGCCAACAAACCACTGGTCAGCTTAAGCATTGGTTGTGATGCCCTATTCATGATCGCACCAAACGATTACGCTGAGCGCATTGCCAATCCCGATAAGGACAGCTCCCAAAAGCCTTACTTGTTGCTTCGTTTGAAGTCTGGTGACGCCATTGTCATGACAGAAGAGTCTCGCTATGCCTGGCACGGTGTTCCTAAAGTGCTGAAAGGAACTTGTCCGGATTTCCTTGCCGATTGGCCTGCCGAAGACGGGAAGTACGAGCAGTGGAAGGGTTGGATGCAAAACAAGCGCATCAACCTCAACGTCAGACAAATGAAGGAATAGAGTGATGATAGGACATCCCTTGGGTGGCTTGGTGACTCCAGACATCCTTCAAATCACCACAAGATCATGATGCCATTACCATGCCATACCGGACGGCCAGAGACTGGTATTGTCTATGCAGGTAGCCAGTCTTTCATCTGTGTCTCAACCCTCTAGTTTCGAGGAACAAACGCTCAATCTACGCAGACAACGACGGCATGCAACAACTTTATTCAGATGGCATCCACTATGTACAGCTTGTCCATGACAAGAGCAATTATCATGTATATACAATCAAGGTTAAATATCGCCTAGAAGAATGATCCTGTCAAAGCTTTGACAAAAGCCTCTGCGACCAGCTTGTGGATAGCCTGGCCTGCGTGGTATCCATCATACCACAGACAGGTTGTGCCGTCCGAGTTTGAGCAAGTGGCGTCAGTAGCTCCATATGTTGTGGGATCGTTCAAAGCCGTCGTAAATGACGCGGTAGTGTCGAAGACCTGAGCTGTCACATCGGTGTTGGTAGTCTTGAACGTGTCAAGACGGCTGCTCAAGGCGTCGTTGTATGCGGTAATGTTGGACACCAAGTTGTTCAGCGACGACTCACCCTGGTCGATAAAGCTGGGTGCATTGTTGAAGGGTGGGACTGTCAGCAGGACGAAGTTTGTGACACCAGTGTCGGTCAGGTTTTGCAGGAGATCAAAGTACTCGTCCATAATTGAGTCTATGGGCGATGCGGTGCCATCCCAGAAGGGGTTGCCAACATCGTTGATGCCGATCCAGACTGCCACGAGCAGGTCATCGGATGTCCAAGGTGCGTAGGAAGGCTTGGAAGCAAGGTATTCATTGAAATAGCCGACCTGGTCCTTGACATCTGGGGTAGAGCCGCGAACCAGATCGGTGTCAACCGTCGCGCCGTAAACAGCGAAGTCGTAGGTCAAGATCTCCGTGGTATTGTAGGTTTCGGTCACAAAGCCGGCCCAGTTCAAGCCTCCAGTTGTGGTCGAACCGCCATTGCCCATAGGGTTGCCAGAGGCCGGGTAGCCGCTAGTAATCCAGAAGCCGGTAGACGAATACGAGTCACCGAAAACGACCATGTATTTCGTTCCATCACTACCTGCCGTAGCTTCTGAAGCGAGAGTAGATGCAGCAGCTGATGCACTGCTTGACTTTGAAGCTGCCACGCTCGATGATGAGAGTATCGCCGTTGAAGCGGAAGCAACCGAACTTGACACTACAACTGAAGCGGCCTTGGTCGCAGATGAAGCCACAGCTGCTACAGAGGTGGCTAGAACGGCAGAAGTGGGCACAACTACCGCAGCGCTCGAGGTTGAAGATTGACGCTTAGTACAACGGGCGCTCGAAACAGACGAGAAGGAAAGGCTTGAAGCGGCTGCCAGAGCCAGCACTCGACTAAAGGACATCATTTTGAATTTGAAAGAAAAGAACGAATGTATAGAATCACCACCAGCGGTTACATGAAGCCAAATCAAAACGTGGTCGCATTCTTGGCGGCGCGAACCTGCTGGTTTTATTCTTCGGTGAATGCGGCTCCGCCTCGCTCGGTAGGGGGACCGAGATACGCGTCACACACGTTTTCTCTACATTGCCGGGAGGGATATGCCCCAGATCGTTGCACCAATAGGAAGTGAAGGTGTGTTTCGAATATGGAATTGCCAGGGATTTGGCGGAGAAAATTATAGAAATGCAGGGGCTTTGCGGGTCCGTCCGAGGTAGAATACCCACATGACCCAAGATTAATCTAGTATGGGACGAGAATATGGCAATCGCTTCCTTTTAAATGTTCTTTTGGTTGCCAGTTTAGTGCATTGCATCCGTTGCCTGCCAACATACATGATAAAGGTAATGCCATTTGCTTAGGTAAGACCAGATGTCTACATTCCAATGTTCGGCAGCAGTCTTTGCTATGAGTCTTGACGGGGCCAACGTAGTTGAGTTATGGTCAAAATTCTCACCGTCGTCCAGACAAGCAATTTTGTGCCCAGTATGGTCGCTTGATGATCCAGCATATCTCAAGCAGTAAGGGCATGCTTTCTGAAGGCCGGCGAAAAGCGGGTCAAACATCACGGATTTATGAGCGAATCCCAATTGTAATGATGACGATGGCTGGCTCTTTGCTATTAAAGGGAAAAAAGAGAGAGATAAAAACAAACGTAGCGGACAAGGCTGCAGATACTAGTTACACTGGACACAGCCAGGACTATGGTGGCCCAGCTTCGCAAAAAGTCACTGCTTGGTGTGTTCGGTGACTCGTAGATGGGTAGTCACGGTGGTTGGGGGCGCGCCTGAGCGATCCGCTGGTTAGACGTCAAGAGTCTTCTCGGGCGCCATAACATGATTGTCTGCGATGGGAAGAAACTCCTCATCGCCGGTGATTCTGGATACATGGGCAACCTCTCTGACAGGTTGCACGAGGCCGAGAGAGTCCAAAGTCAACGGCAGGTAACGTTAGTCAATCATAGAAAGAATTGTGGGCCGCTTGTACATATCGCGATGGTTTGGCTCCATGTTAGAGAATGGATAAGACCAATAACGTTCTCCCTGGCCGGAAGAATCTATTGGTCTTAAGCTAGGCTTTGTAGGCATCGATCTTCCGCAGGTACCGTATATGTTCTTCTTAACTTATCGGAGCTATAGCGGCTTGTCAACTCCTCTGAATTAACGGGCTGTGCTTGATTATAATGCCGCACAAACATCAGGTCTCCGGGGTCCACGGGATCTCCAGTATCGGTACAGAGTGTACAAGACTTGGTGTTGGCGTTGTAGTAGTCTTTATCGAGAAGAAGTCGCCGGGCATTTTCCAACGTGAATTCGAAGTCATTTTCCGGCTGCCTACACGATAGCAAGACTAAGCTATAGCAGAAACGATGCCCGTTGTGTAAATTATTCCGCTCGCCTATAAGGATGAGGTCACTTTCATGTGTGTGGGCATAGAAGGCGCACAAGCCCTTGTCGCGCTCGGCATACGAATGGTGTTTCGGATGCCCTGAAGATCGTGAATGCTGAGGTCCCTGGACCAGCATCGCCAAAGTTGATCAGCTTGGAAACATGGCATCCACGAAAATGTTAAAACCGTCGGGTGGCAAAAAGGATGAGCTGCTCGTCTTGTATCGACTTTTCTGGATGACAACCAAATGATGGCTGTAACCGCACGCGGGATTTCCTTTGATAAACCAATATGGAATTTCGAAAGGTGATATTGGGATGTCCGAGACAAACAGTTGGTCCTTTCCAACCAATACTGACTCTTTGGCCCAATTGGTTTCTTCTATGTTGGTGAAACCCTTTGTAAGATTGATGAAACTCCTGGTAAGTTGAATCGGCGTTGGCCAATGCGCATCGAGCATATACTCTTCTCTTTCGCCAATAGATAAAATAGTTTGGTGTTTTCCACTCCTGCAGTGTAATTAATTCCATACCTTAGGAATGGAAGGTCTGGATCTCCAAGCATGGTGAGATCTAGCCTGATACCATTCTGTTCCATAGAAAAATCTATTACGGTGCTCATAAGCTGAGTATTGGAGTACTTGTCCCAGAATGTACGTACGAACTGAGATGGGTGATGTGCTATAAGTGAACGGGGGGCGTTGACGCTTTTATTTGCCCTCAAACTCCCAGTGAAGCCCCAGGTAAAGATCGAGGCGTCATTAGAACCCCTCAAAATCTCTTGTTGCAACCGAAAAAATGCTCGCTTCCCCTCTCCGTAGAGCAGTGGCATGTTGATGTCGAATATCCCAAGTGCACAGTATGCAATATCGTCTTTCCTTGTTGTTTCACAGCCTGAAAGCCACAACATCCGCTGAGAAATTGGAGCATGAATGGCCACATAACCCTTCAAGTACCTGCGTTCAATAGCAGTGATATCTGATATAACTTCCGAAAGCGTATCTCTAGTGCCAATCTCGCCCCAAGTGCGGTTGAAGAATATATCCATCGATGGAGCAAGTAGCTCTTGCAGAGTCCAACCCCGTTTAAACCATCGTGAACACCTAAAGCCTGGATTTTCTGCAGCGGCAGTTTCAGAACATCGGATCGACTGCTCTACATCGGCCAAATAGGTGCAACATAAACTCGCATTTGTGTACCAGCAGAACATTGAATTGATAGCCTCTTGAAGTTCTGAACTGCTGGATTTGTCAATGCAGCAGGTATCAATCCATACGTAATTGATGCCTTTACCACAGGCCACTTGGGCGCAGTTCCTGATCTTGAGCATGCCTGCACCTTCTGGCTTCTCAGGCCACAGAGTATCACATAGAGCCCTCTCGAGATCGTTTCCGACTTGCTTGCGCTTGTGATACCCGATCATATCCTGGTAAGAGACTTCGTCGTTGCCCCAAGTGTGCGAGAGGATGGCATATCTAGGAGTCGGCTTTCCAAAGAACTCCTTGAACTCCAGCGTACGGGCGTCAAGCAAGCGCATGCTTGCGGAACGACGAAAAACGTGTTGGGTGATTGTTGGAGCCTTGAACGACGAGGAACAGCGAACAATAGGCAAAGGGGTGAGGTGATGTGAAATGCAGGTGTTCTTCTTGACACCAGGTTGAGATCAATGCTGCAGCACATGTGATCGTGTATCACGGCCCCTCACTTGTGACGCTCTCCATGTGAACAACACGTAGCACAGGCTGCTATCTCCCGACAAGCTTCAAAGTCAGTTCGTTAGGGTCTTAACATGTTCGATGTAACTCATTACTATTACAAGCCCTTTTGCAATACGTATAACGCGCCCGATGAGACAATCTCATTTACTACCGTTATTATCGGGAAATATACTAGTGTACAGTAGAGGGAAAATAAAAGGTCCTGTCGATATCATTACTGCTGCATTTCTTTCCCGTGTGTGGACAGTCGCTCCGTGGGGATACGATGGGAGCAAATGGAGAGCGCACTCCCAATGGTCTTCGCGTGGATCACAACAACTACCATTCTCAATGCAGATAGCCTAACCAGCTGCGTCATGCCGTCGGGAAACAACGAACAATTTCGGGATTGCTTGAGCCTATCTGAGATTCATCGCCACTATCCGCGCGACGTTTCAACAATTCATTTGCCCAAGGATGACAATTATTTCTGCCCTGCATCGTATGCACTGAACGGCTTCTATGCATGGCATATATGATCGCCGTCGTGACTGCTCATAACACCAGCTCATATCATATTCTAGTACTAATTGATGGGCACAGCGACTCTCGTCATCTCGATTCAGAGGTGGTGTGAGTTTTGCCCGCCTCAGCGAATGTGACATGGCTCCCTTGAATTCGCCAGAGGGCCATTTTCTTTAGATATTTGGTCCAATGGCGTATCAAGTGTGACTACACACAAAAGGCAGAAAATTTGCAGCCCCTGATCAGTCCTGATACAGACGTTCCAACTCGTGGTCAAGGGGACTGTTTCGGGAGCTCTTCCTCCTCCTCCAGCCTAGCAGTCGGATCTTCACACAAAGCTTAGAAATCCATATCAATTGGCTCCTCATCAACCACGTACACCCAACGAGCGATAGCACTGTAAGGAGATACAGTGGAAGATCCGCAACGATCTTCTGCAGTCTCAACCGTGGAGCGAGAACCCGGGGCGCACTCCCCATTCTCCTATCGACCACAGCGGTGTACCCCAGAACCTTGTCATGCTTGTCGAGCGCAGCGATACGCATATATGTGAATTCAAAATCCCTGGGAAGATTGATGGCACTTTCGAAGCTGTTTTTCGGGTAATTTCCTGCATCTCTATAATGCCCCTTGTCATCATAGAAAGGTTGCTCCACGTCCGCTAGCTGCAACACCCAGTACACAATTTCAGTCGCGCCGTTCCAGCTAACGTATGCCGTGTCTGCGTTTGGTTCCATGTAGATCGAGGGTGGAAAGGACGGCCGACCGACCCATGAAGTCGTCCGGTAGGTGCGGTACGAGTGCACCCAGCCCAGGTCGAAAATCAGAGACGGTGCGATATGGGCATCGCAGATGATCTCGCCGTCAGAGCTAAAATCACTGTAGGCGCCGTGGTAGCCCCAGCCCACGAAGGCGCCACCCGTCTCTGTGTTGTACTGCATGGAGCCCTGCGAGGGTACACCACGGCCGCCTGGATACTCGAATGTCTTGAGGAGCTCAGCTGTCAGATTGCCCGTGTCTAGGGCCAAGACCATCGCACGTGCAGGACCATCGTGCCGAGAGAATTTCAAATGTCCTGCATTGTCGAACAAGGCAATAGTGTTGTTGGGTTGAAGCGTCATGTGATGCTGCCAGCTCCAGGAGATGGCTTTGCCATCGGAAAGATCAGCGAAATGATTTCGCCTTCCACCCAGGACCCAGCGGATCTCTCCGTTGGGAGCAATACACGTAATGCTATGCATAAAACGAGAGGAGATGTAGTAATTACCACTCTCGTCTTTGTCTATGCTGTTGATATGAAAAAAGTCCCACGGTTTGTTGGGATGAGAACCACTGGAGGTGGGGATTTGCTCAAACGAATCTTGGAGTGAATAATGGTTAGAGGCGCGCCACTCGAACAGAACTTGCCCAGTTGAAATATCGATCTCCTGAAACACGCCATCATTGATCCAACCTTGCCCATCAATACCAAATGGCGATAGGTCTGCTGGTGTGAGTTCATATATCGTGACCAAAGCAGTGCCGTTGGCGGTAAGTTTAATCTCGTGAAAGTCGCCTTTCATGGTTTGAGAAGCAGAGAACTCCCGAAAGACCTGATAGGATGAGTCTATCTACGTAAAGTTAGGCATCTCAGCACATTGCGAATCTGGAGACGTTCGACTAACCATGTAGTAAGATCCTTTGCCGCAGCCCTCATCGAAAGTTCCGGTCCAAAAAGTCAGATACTGCTCACCTTTATACTCCTGGACGTTAAGATTCATGACTTCACCAAACCGGTCATCCATCCAAACAAGCTCACCTCTCCCATCAAGGATGATCGGCGCAGGCTTCCAGACCAGAGTACCTCGAGGCGTTAGCAGAGTATATCCAAAATCGCATTCTTCGTCCCACTGGAGAAAGTTGACCAAGGGGGGGCGAAGATCGAACGATTTGAAGGTCTGTCGTGGATGCAAGCCATATATGCCCCAGTCATAGCCAGATGATTGAAAAAGGCTGTTTGGGAATTCATTGGCGTCGGCACTGACAATAAAACAAAAGTCTAGTGCTAGCAATGCTGCCAATACAATGACTCCATATTGGTGATGCCACATTGAATATGTGTCACGTGTTCATTGATGGTATAATTGGGTCCTTCGCGTAGTTATATCGAGGCCGAGCTCATAAATTCGTGGGGTACAGCGAACATGAGGCACTCCAATATTCTAAATTATATTGTTATAGAGCAACAAGAGAAGTGATAGTATAAGAGTGCATGTTGTCGTAGCGACAACATGTCAAAATTGCTGATGTGACGTTTTAGGAGGTGAAGAGAGAAAGAGAAAAAAAAAATTGTATTAAGACGCGCGTATCAGGAGATTTGCCGCGTCAGTATCTCGGCGCGCCAAGACAGAAATCGATAACTCCACCAAAGTCGACAAACACAAAGGTTAGAAGACAGTTATTAACTGTCAACTTGCACGGATAACAGGGCGATGTTAGAGACAACAGTACTACACCGCAGTGGAATCCACGCAGATGCACGTTCGACTACACATTGCAACTCTCTCACGTAACATATGCCATTAGTATATGGTAATATGTCCTGCAAGTGAATAATAATCTGGAGCGGGAGATGATTTGGGTAAGCTCGTTTGGTGCTCTTGACTTGCCCACAATCTCTCATACTCGACTGTCGAGTATCATGAGCCACCCGTTGACCAGTCAACCAATTCGTGTGCGCAAAGTCTAATTCTGTTCCCATCAGGACGAAGTGAGAGGTGTATCAACAAGCGAGCACGTCATATTCTCGGTGCTGTGACTGCCGCAGCTAACATATCGGCTCATTGCATCGCAGTGACTCCGGAAGCTTTAGTAGCCGCTGCAACTAGGCTTATTCATCCGCGCTTCAAAATTAGAGACGAACGACTGTTCCTTTGCTGCAATTTGCCGTACAGCCGCGCATTTCGGAAAGCGCTGGTTGGACGAGGCCAGCTGGGCAGAAATTAGAATGATTGAAGCTTGCGCGGTAAGCACCTTAATTGGACGCTTAATCGCCTGCGGCTGCCTCGAGGATCCTTGCGGAGACAAATCCCTGACGCAGGCGCTTATGGACTTGCTTTGTTTCTGCCATTTCTGGGATCAGGATGATGCAGACTCCCGCTACACATATTGAAACATACAGCTGCCATTAGGGGAATTGTGAGAAGCAACCAAGACGGGTCCGTTGGACAGTCAGTGTGTGTTTGAGGTAGCCGCCTCAGCCTCTCTACAGCCGCCGGCCGAGCATCACCCGTACGTGCATCGCATCCCTTTGATCAACGGAGGAGATGTATCACATCGATGGCTTTAGACCTCCAATGAAGCTTGAGGCCATGGGAGACAGTAGAATTCAGCTGATCAATCGGTACAGTCCGTGCCGGTCAAATAATAAGACAAGGGTCTTGGTTGCAAATAGCGATGAACACGTTAAGGTTCAATATGGGTTGAACTACAGGCGGAGCATGCCACAAGTATTCCGCAGACAGGGCGATGCGTGTGACAGGAGAGCTGAGACATTTGCTTCAGAACTCATCATTTTGTGTTCAAGTTTTAGGTGTCTTCGGATCATGAAAAACGTGGAGGTAAGATTCAACTTTGAGCTCGTGTAGCTGGTGGCCAGAGCATTCTAGTGTTAATTGGACCTGCATTGGTGCTATCTTAGCTTGCACTCGTGGTAACTTTGGAGCTTCTTGGCTTCCCGTGTGTGCTGCGAAGCACGAACTGACTGATCAAGTTAGTGTGCAATGGCATCTCCTGAGCGGATGGCGCGCGAACGCTCAAAATTTTGAATGACATGGTCGTGCTCATATTAAGAAGCTCTACATGTATCTTGGTGGCGGTCTGATCCTTGTTGCGCTGAAGGGGCTGATTGATAGTACTCGCTCGCTTGGTGTTATTGACGCAGCCTTATGAGCTCGAATTCCGAGATAGGTTTGCTCTAGACTAGTTGTTTGTTGACCGAGGCGAAATCTAAAGCGCGACATGACACCATGATGTTTCGCCAGACCCGTTTCGTGGACCATAACAACACTGAATGTTGTGTTCGCTGAGTTGCAGCATTGCACCGTGCGCACGAGGCCTCTGATTGCTGAGCCACGCATTTATGCCGGCTCAAGAGACTTCATTGATAAGTTTACGGGATGCGAGGTGTTATTTTCGCGGGCCGGAAAAACTTGCGTTGTAATGCAGTACTAGTAGGCAGCAGGGCAGTTACCTTGAGCCACAAGATCACCCACACCAGTTCATGATCGAAGTTCATGGACGGTGCAGACGAGTGACAACCATTGGATTTGGAGGCCTGACTCGGGATGTTTCGTTTCGAAAGCATTTAACCAATGGCGGCGCGGGCATGAAAGGTCAACGGCACATCTCCGAAACTTGGAGGCCCGGAACGGGTTAAGACGGTCTTGGGAGCCATCCATCCTCGAAAATCAGCGGGGCCATTGCTGCCAAGTGCCATGAAAATCGTGGGGCAGGCAGAACAATTCCACAGATCTGCTATGGCGGTGAGAAACAGACCGGGTCCAGTGCTATGAAATTAGTGTGCATAGCATGCTTCTTCCAGGCTGAGAGGCATCGTGTGGACGAGGAATCCCGAAGATGCTTGTCTGATGGGCTGCACCTACATAGGGGGCGCAAAAGTCTGGCTCCTTTGACAGTGCAGCCACTTGCTCTTGTCCTACCCACTACACATGATGGCGGGGTTGCATACTGGCGGTGCTGCGGAAGGCCCTTTTCTATTCTCTATGCGTTTTGAGCACGGATTGAACGGAGGTGTCTGTAGCTTATTGCGGGCAGTCAATGCATGCTTCAGGATGGCAGGGATGAAGAACGGCCCGTAGACTCTGAGCCACTCGTAGCTGGCTGGTATTCAAGGGCTGGACAGGAGAGCCCGCGATCGCGGAGTTTAACACTCCCGGAGCAAGAGCCCCTCGCTAGCTTGCTGGATGAACTGGTCGAGAGGCGCAAGCGAGGGGCGGTAGCATTCTGGAGAACTTCTGAGGTGTCGTCAGAGCGTTGAACCACACCGCCGGAATAGGCATTTCTTAGCTGTCAAGTAGTGCAGTGACACGCTTCAAAGATCAATGCACGACTGACCGTTTGTAGGAACCGGGAGGCGGTAAGATTCATACATTAACCAAGCATGTATGCGGCAAACCAATTACGGAGCATCTCGGCAAGTGCAAGGGCATACCTGGCGACTGTGCATCGGCAACTAGAAACCGGGACTTCTTGGACACGAGAGAGGCTAAAATTCGAGCACACTATATAGTACACTATCCTCATTAATATTCGAGACAGCCCGTAAGCATGTTTCAACCGTTCTAGAAGTGATGCAGTTGACGTGACTGATTAAGAATATTACTTCTTCTGAGCACGTTAGTATGAGAATTGCAGTGGTGAACCGTCATCTGCATTCCGAGGGCTGCAAGGTTGCGGTTCAGAAAATAAACATGCACAGGATAGGGGATCAAAGTCATTGAACGGTTGAGAGCCCCCACCAGTTTACTCGTGGCGGGGTAAGAGCAAGTGGCAAGCAGTGTTTTTTTCCAGCCACATGCTCCAGTATACTAGTACTCGGCTCACATGCCGAAATAGTTGTACGGTACATACGGACGGATCCATACATACATAGTATTGGCATGAAGGGCTGCCTGTTTAGACAAGCGGCCCCTCAATCTGATATTATAAAAATGCCGGAGCTTTGTTTGAGGCTTTTAATCCCAGTGAATTTTCGTGTACATTCGTCAGAATAAAAATTTGTGACAGGATTGATCATTCATTACGTGGCACTTTTCAGCTTTATGAACAATTACTCTTGGGCCGTCGAAGGCATTATGGTCTAATGCACTGCAATCATTATGAAAGATCGGGGTGTACGCTGTCTTTTGTTTCACGATCGTCACGATCCTTGTACAAGTTTCTGAGATATTGAGATGATCCACCGGAGTTAAGAACTAGACGGGTCGCACATCCAAATTGGGCGTTATGCAACTCTGGGCATCTGCGAGATAGATTGCAAGCCAACGTTTCCCATATTCTGGTCTACCATACGTCCCTGATGAATGTCACAATGCAAATATCAATGACTGCAATGCTACGGCAACTGAGTGATGATCCACGGCCACAAGACAAAGCTCGTCGATCCGATTCTTGTCATTACGTGTGTGTGGCCAGTAACTACGGAGGACTGTGACTGATAAAGAATCAACTGTCTGATCTGAAATTCCCTTGCATCGAGGACGGTTAATTGTATCAGGCCGCTCTGCGAAGAGACTGGCCACAAATGCACCATCAAGAATGCATACAGGCTTGGCCTTACAGCTGGTCATAGATTTGTCTAGACGGCCGGCCATCTGGCGCTTTCTGCCTGTTTTGATTCCCGCTGAAGGCTGGACGTCTATTCTTGTCGCCTGTTGATTGGAAGTCTCTGCTGCACAGAGGCAGCAAAAAGACTGCTCCTGCAGCCGCAATGCTGTTTCTAAATCCATACTGGCCTGTGGCTGCATTCTAGTGGATACCCCAGGCCTCTTCGCTTGTTTCATGTCTCGCCGACTCCCACCAATGAGTCTCTTGCAAACTGCGCACCCATCCAACATTCTCAACCACTCAATCAAAATAATCATGCAGCGCATAGCAAATAGCGTGGATGAATTGGCAAAGCGCCAACCATTCAGATCATAGAATCGCCGGCCCTTCAGAGCTTTCTGGGGGCGCATGTAGGGGTGTGTCGGGAACAGACGACGCGGTTGAGCAAATGGATTTGGCACTTCTCTTGCCCAATTGTCTTGGGCCACAGAGATAGAGATGCCGAAATGGGAATCTTGTTGCAAAAGCGCGCGGGAACACATATAGAATTGGAAATAGATATATGACATTCAACAACCCCCTCGCAATCTTCTCTTTCCACATAACACCCAACTACCAAACGACTATTCCATGTTTGTTGGAAGGGACAGCGGAAGCGAATCCACCCGGGCCTCTTAACTTGATACACCGCAGACACGTACTGCACAATCGGCCATCACGAGCTTATTACGCGAGACGATAGACTCGACCTACCTACCCCAGACTCTGGCCAGTCTTAAGAAAAAACAATTCACGACCTTCGATAATTAATTCTTGGTTTCCTTCGCCTCGGACTTTTGGCCCTTATTTCAATCGTTGAACGTTCTGATTCATTCGCCCTGCTAGTCAAGAGGCTGCCTTTCTTTACTTGCCCTGATTCAGTACCAGCGTAGTGTCAGCGACCGCGCATTAACTAAGCCCGAGACTCTTCGTAAGGCAGAACGTCTATATCCAGGCTGTGCAACAGTGTTCGGCAAATAACTGCGAAACATCAAGACAATTCGTCACACGAACCCGACGACACGTTGCAGGTTTTTATTTATTTGTTGAACCAGCGATACCCAGCCGAGTCTCCAGTGTTACGGGGTTAGTTTGCGCGTCTCCTCGCCATCTGCCTCGTGATCTGCCATCCTCCCAGCTGGCCAACCCCCGGTTTTCTGACGTCGCCTCACCGCAGCATTCTTGCGATTTCTTCGTCAGTCTCTTCACGCCGCAGCCTGAAACCGACTTTTTACCGGCATTGGATAATTCTTGGAAAGCTATCATCAACCCATTCGTTCACTGTCAGGCATCAGCCCGATTGATTCGGCATCACCAGGTTTCCGCAGGCTCCGGAAATCCACCCTCGCCAACCACCAGCGATACGAGAACAGTTTGACTTGGCAAGACCTGTCAAATCTGCACAAGATTCGTATTTCCTGTCAATTCGGCATCCCGCTTTGGAAATTCTTGCTTCTTGCGATTGACTTTGCCTTTTATTCTGCATTGGTGTAGTTCATTACGCACATGACCAAAAGCACTTTTATCCACAAACAATCCGCCGTCAATTAACAGGATCGCAAAGCAACGAGCGACTCGAGCTGAAATTCAATTTTGAGCCCGGTCTTCGCCATTCAGCCACAAGTTCGCCAGACCCGACACCTCGGTATCATTCGGTGTCAATTGTCTCGCCCTCACTTCCGGCGACCGCAAGCTTTTTGGCTTCGAAGCTCATTTGACCAGACAAAGTCTATTGCCGTCAAGCATAGGCTAAATCTGAGCCGTCTGCAACCAATCTGCCATCTGAGGGACACAAAGAGCAACACAACGGCTGTCCCGAGTGACGCACGTTAACTGTGTTCACATTCTTTCCGCTCAGAACCCCCCTGCGCAAGACTCCCTGTGGGACCCTTGCGCCTGCCCCCTCCGACAGGACCCCTCCAGCCAGGTCCAGGCACTTCGGCGTCGATCATCGGCCAAGCCCAACCATCCCAACGCGACGGCTCAGCCTCGCCCACACTGGCGTCACCCACTTACGCACTACTATTAACACACAACGCATAACCATTGTGGCCCAGCGGGTCCCATCCTTTCTATCAGCGGGACTAGCCATCTGATCTGGCATCCATCCTGCAGACACTTGACTAAAGGTACAAAGGTACATGCTCTTGTGTACACTATTGCGCCTTAGTCTGGAGACACCGCCGCGTGACACTTAGGTTAACACTCCTTACTACACACCACCCACTCCACTCCACTCCCTGCCGGCTCGGCTTTGTTGGTTCTTATAATACCAACTGCCTTCCCACACTCTTACATTCTTTCCCCGGATTTTCATTTCAGATATTGTCACATCTTACTATTGTGGTATCCGTTCTTGGGTACGTACGGAAGAAGTCGGTTGAAGCTCGTCGTATATCTGCAAGCTTCACATCATCATCATTATCATCATCACCTATCTGTCTTACACCCTCCTCGCACTTTAACACACATCTACCATGGCGTCGATATCAGGACTCTCTATGGCTGAGCTTAATGCCGCCGCTCTCGACCATTTCGTATATACACCCGTTGACAGCTCCATGATCTCATACCTGGCTCAGGCTGCTTGTGAGGTCATTCAGTGCGACCCTCACATGATGCCACCGCCACCGGCTCAGAGCAAAACACAAATGCCTACTCCACCTCGGACACCCTCGCCAAAGGCCATTCGGGTTGATGACAGTGCTTTGCCGACGCTCGAGGAGTTTATCACACAACTTGTCGTTTCATCTAATGTACAGGTACCCACTTTGATGTCAACGCTGGTCTACCTCAACAGGTTAAAGTCTCATCTGCAGCCGATGGCAAAGGGCCTTCGATGCACATCACACCGCATCTTTCTGGCTGCTCTAATCCTTGCTGCCAAGTATCTTAATGACAGCTCACCCAAGAACAAGCACTGGGCCAACTACAGCCACATCAACTCAGATGGATGCTCGTTTGGGTTCAGCCGAACTGAAGTCAACTTGATGGAGAAGCAACTGCTATTCCTACTGAACTGGGATCTCAGAATCACTGAGGAGGATCTCTACCGAGAGTTGGATGTTTTCTTGGCACCTATTCGTGCTGAGATCGATGTCAAGTACGCTCGCCGCATTCAGCGCAAGAGGGAAGAGACTCTCCGCAAACAGAGGGAGGCAGATGCTTGGTCTGCAGCGACTCAATTCCCTACGCCTCCAAGCTCGCGCGGGAACTCCAGGTCACGACAGCCGTCCCTGCCCGAGCAAGAGACCGTTCGCATGGTACAAGATGCTTCAACACCTCCTGGTCTGTCCTACAGCTCAGGAGCGAGCTCCAGCAGCTCGTACGCATCATCTATTTCCTCTCGGCAAGACTCACGATCTAGCACCCCACTTTCGGCACCAGAGGACCCTTACCTTTACGCCGATGGGGATCTCTACGAATCACCTGTTGAGATTGTCCTGGACATGCCGCAGCCGGCTGCGATCAGAAACTACAGGAAAGACGATCATCTACTTCCTTATGAGATCAGCGTGGATGAGCTAAGGGAGATGCAAGAGGGTGGCAGCAAAGCGAAGCGGGCACGGACAGGACGGGGCATGTGGGGACGGATGTTTGGCGGTGCCGTTCAAGTACGATGATCAACAGCATTTACAACAAGAGCGCGGAGTTCAGGATTTGCGTTTGAAAAAAAAGAAGAGATTGATTCCTTTCCTAGAGGGGTCCGACTGTGGGCCTCCATCATGATACCTAAAGGCGTTTAATGGTTACAGGGTTATATAAACGGATACATTTACAGGAAACGGCGGCCAAGGTGTTATTGGGGACGATGACGAGAACCATATTGCATGGGACGATGGAATGGCCAGTGGAGTTCAGGGTAGCATTAGCATTGCTTGCTTGGGTAGATAGCCACGAGCAGATCACAGCGCCGTCCGGATATGGCGCTGACAGCGGCGAAACTCTATCAATACATGGGAATACACCCCAGATGAACCCCCAGTTTTGATCTCCGAAGAATAGCATGTCCTTGCACTGCGTGACCTGAACTGCACCCTAAGTTCTGAGACACTGCGAGGCAGCCAGTTACAGACACTGAACAAAGTTACGAACACTGAAATGAACATGTTATCTCTTCACAGGTTTTTTGGGGGGGGGGGGGGGGGGGTTTTCGGTCGTGAGCACGAATCCCACAAGCCTCTAGCATCCTTCGCATGGGAATTAAGCAGAGCTCCTGATTGACTGTTTTAGATTCGTATACCTGAACGTTTGTAGCATGATCCAAAATGCCGGAATCGATCTTCGAGATCGTGTCAAATATTTACATAGCCGCATCCATTCGACACCAACCCTGAGGTAATATCGATCCTCAAGACGCACGACTTGGTCATGGTGCCGTGGATCGTGCCCTCGACTCGCATCGTAGGCGCTCCTGACACATCAATCCTGGATTCGCTAATGCTAGATCTTGATCCTTTGACTCCTACGTGCAGCAGACGGGATCATGAATTGAATTTCCAGAAGCAACTTGACAGCATTCATAGATGCGCAGAGGATTATGCGGAGTGTCTCAATTCGGCGTAGCTAAAAGCAATCGCGAGGCTGTACCCAACAGGTGTCGCCAATCTTCGCACTTTTGGTCAGTCATGACAAGTAGCAAGATGGGCGGGCCTAATATTTGCAAATATGAAATAGAATGTTGAATTTACACGTCAAGGGCGAATCTTGTTAAAATTAACGCCGAGATATCTATTTTACACTTCGGGACATGGTTTAAAGTTCCCTCGATATGCACGAGCTTAATTCATGCATGCGCCATCAAAAAAAGGGGCCGCTCTTTAAGGTGCAAAAGCCAAATGACGCCTCCGTAAACGCGCGCACATCGCCCTGCATATGTCACAGCGAAAACCAATTTTATTTGTTTTTATCTCTGCTTGAATTAAACCACACCTGCCGCTCTGAACAATATTGGTCGGCCTGGCCTGTCACCTGTTCAGAAATGCGGAACTACGGCCCAGCTTTGTGCGGACGCTCCCCACCCCAAGGCCCAACCTTCGATGAAACGGAACGCGCAACCGTTGTCAACACTTCGTGACAGCGGTATTCAAAAATAGTGCAGGCCGCCCTACTAAGACCCTAATTAGACATGTCCACAGGGGCCTTACGAGTAGGCGCGAAAAGTCTAGAGAGAAAACAAGGTCCCGACTCTTGATGACACATGTCCCAGGTAGTAAAATAAATAAAATAAAAGTGCTATCTTGTCTCGAATTCTGCTTTATTGACTAAGCCACGGCCTGACTCCCGCCATGAGATCCTTGAAGGAAGCCATGGGTCATTACTACGCCCGCTTCGTGGGCCCTCTAGTTTGCGACCGAACACCTATGGGGCCCTCGAGATGGAGTGTTGAGAACAACGCATACGCGTCACGTCGGTGCAACATCGCGAGATCAGACGGGAATGAAAATGAGGATACCGATGTTCTAGTGTTTAGTAATGAAGCACATGATGATCTTCTAGAAGTTCCTTTTTCCCAGCTCGTGGGATCGGAGCTAGAATCGGGGAAAGAAGTGGGGGTGCCGACCGCTCGCTACGCGCAAACCTGCATTGTGGGGGCGGGATGTGACAGCTTCGAGGGAGGGTAGACTAAAATCTTACTGTTCCCTTCCCACCGTCGCGATTCTTCGAAAAGCTTGAGACTGACCACCTCCCAAGTTCCCATTCGGGTGTTCATATTTCCCACCTTCAAATCTCCGCCCACATCATCGTGGCGAGTGGGGTGCGGTCTCGGGCTCTTCGGGCGCCACAAGACCGCGCGCCCGTGTACATGTAGAAATCAAGTCTGCCTGGACGCCACCCTGCTTGGCGATGACGTGTAGGCCTCCTCCTGGCAATCCTGTCTCCCAGACACAGCCTCGCTGCGCGCTCTTGGAAGCGTTACATCGCATTGGTTGCGTTTATCTTTAAGCTTGAATCTATTCGACGGAATTGCCGATCGCGGTTTGCTATCGGACCTTACGGGCGCGCATCTCGGCCGATCCGGCATGAGATATTCCTGTAACCTGCCCATCGCATAGCCTGTAATAATATGACACAGAGGTCCGACAGGACTTTCCCAATACGGTACTCAGTCTGTGTTTGTCTTCGGCCAGTTTATAACATAGCCGGACAAGCAGCTGACAGGCTCATCTTGGAACGCATACTGAGGCTGAGTGCTGTGATTGAGTTTTTTTTTTTTTGCAGACGCCTGACCTACTGGCAACTTGTTACTTACAGTAGGATCAGATGAGTTGAAAATTGCTCGAGTAACAAGTGATTTAAGTGGCTAAGAGCTTGGGCAGTCACTAGTGCAGGATAGGCTAACGACTATTTCATGTGCAGATATCTGCCAATCCGTGGGGAAAAGGATTCTGGGGGGGGGGGGGGGGGGGGGGGGGGGGGGGGAGGGGGGGGGGGGTTTAACAAATTATACAACATGGCCAACCTCTTAAGATAGGCATTAGGATCAAGAAGTCTTTGCACTTATATGGTTAGTTGTTCTGTACATCGTGCACGTAGTAGGAGAGGTTCGAATCATGTTGTTACCCATAATCCAATAGTCACACCGTTGCATTGTTTCCACGTCACGTTAAAGTAGTCGGATATAGCCGTAATGTGACTCAAGTCTTTGGTCTTAGGTTAACCAGGGGAGAACCTCTCGCGAACTGTGGTGTCTGATCACATCCATTATTATTGGGGGAAACATATACACATATTTAGTTGTTGGATGAAAACAATATATCAAGCACATGAGCCTAGTCCACCCCAAACTGGGCACTGCTCATCTACCCAAAAGCTTCTCCTGGATGGGCCTGATGGAATGGTGGCAGTATAGTTTTTAGCACAATCTCCTCAATGCCAACTATGCCGAGTCTTTAAACGAGGAACTACCCGAGAGTGGTGAAGAGACGAAGCTACACCATCAACTTAACAACAACCAGTAACATTGAAACACTGTACGGATATGTTAGTTCTTTATCTAGATAAAAGGTGATCGTTGATCCTAGCACAAACGTGGGAGGAATAAAACATCGTCGTCAGATCAGCTCCGACTTCGACCAGACAACACAACGTATGATGACTATATCAAACACCTAAGACGGCACAAAAGCAGCCATAAACGAGAAAACAAATATAAAGAGATCTTAAGTAATAATTAGCCCAAGCATGAGGATGATGAAGGCGCAGAATCGGTGTCAGGCAAAGGTAAAAGGATTGGATGCATTGTAGAAATTGTACGCTTGTCACCTTTGCAGAGGAAATAATGATAATATTAGCCATTGACTACCAAATATGGTTAGAATCTTATATCTCATCTGAACTGAGCTTTTCTGGCGTCAAATGGTCTATCTGTCAGCCCTTCTCTAGGGTTTGAAGTTGCACATTCGGCAATCGCGGGTTCGCTTGGAGATTTTGAGGCCCTCAATGATATTTTAGGTGATTCACAACACCCCCCTCCCCCCGTTCGTGCCTCCATTCTCCAAGACTAAATGCACTTCAGGGACAAAATCGTAGCAAATGAGGCTGAAATGAGTATCCCAGCTGCTAAATATCGAGCAGCGGACTGGGTTCCGAATACGGCTTTAATGGGTGGCTCGGAGCTGGGTCTTGTAGCGCAAGCTCATCATGACAGTAAAAGCTCTATCGTGTGCGTGCTCGGAAAACGGTTACAAAAAAGGGTTCAAAGGATCTCATATATTTAGGTCAAAATACAATCAAAACTTAGTTTATTTGACCAACCACTGACTGCTAACACCGTTATCTTCCGGCAGCATCGTGGGTATTCTTTACGGCGTACCGCAATTCTTCTTGTGTGCTGAACGCATTATTACAAGGTGTTCCTCTAGTTCCTGATTCTTTGCGCATATTTCATGCGTTGGCTTTGAAGCTCCCTTGCATTACCGACGCTTATCATTACATATTTATAGCATGTCCTCTCCACAACCCAGTAAAAACCTCAAAATTGATTTCAAAATACCGTACTTACCACCCAGATGGCCATTCCAAAGTTACCAAAATTATCCGAAATATGAATAAAAGATCACCCCAGCCACGAGGTTGCTCTAGGTGTATTGCCAGGCTCCAAATGTAACTGCACTGCCGTGTTGTATCAGACCGACGGTCTGAAGGCAATTGGTAGCATTGAAGCGAGGAGTATTCGCATATAACTGATAGCTAGCTCCAGTACCCTCCATGAAGCCTTGTGTACCAGGACATAGCATTAGACCGCCACGGTTCGAGCCGTCGGTTGCTAGGAAGTCGAGTACCTCGGTATCGGGGGCGCAATCCGATACCACCGTCTTGTTGAACCAGCCGCCGAGAAGTGAGCCTTGGGGCATGTATGCTGAGTGTGCCTGGGTGTATTTCACCTGGCCGTTTGGTGCAACGTAGATGGCCTGGCCGCCGGGAACCTCAACCTAGGTGACGAGTCAGGATGGAATCGCACTTCCACAGTCATGGTTTGTGTGGCCTTCCCAGGCTGACATCGGCTTACCGCCATGGCTGTCATTCCTTCATATACTAGAGTTCCTCTAACAGCCGGACAGGCTGCACCAATTGGGCAATACGTGGAGGGCTCGGATAGACCAAGGTAGAAGCCATTGGCCGAAGCATCGAGATCTGCACCATCGATTGTTGTGCTAGGCGCAAAGACAGTCAATCTGTAGGTCGTGGCGGATGCCAAAGGAGCTACGGCGAGAAAGGATAGCCAAAGCATTTTGGGACATGGGATAAATACTTTACTGGGTTTGACAGGAAAGGAGAGTCCAGAAAGAAAAGGGCGACAGTTTTATGTTTTGTGTGACAGAATGAGCGACAGTCAAAAGACAATGCGTGGACAAACAACTAAGTCGGCACCAAGAAATCAAGATGGAATTTGGGATGGTAGCATTAAAGATGGTCAAGGGAGAATCTGGAGATGTGGTAAGTTGTACTCTACAGGCATCGCGCTTGCCGTTCTGCAAAGATTTGTCCGAACGAAAGCTGTCACTTCTCAACAAAATTGCCAATTAATCGGTGTTTTACTTTACAAAATAAAATGCTAATTACCGAAGCAACCGCGATGCAGTACACACACTCTCCGGAAAGTAAATTGTGACAGTATTGGAGGTTAAGTCCTACGATTGCGACAAATTCAGAATAATTCCGTGCTGCCTCCAAGATGTGTGAGTTACAGACAAATAATACATACTAACCACCATTCCTTGCGTTTGTGCTCTAATGCTGTTACACAAATCATCCACATGTTTAATAGACTCTCACTGGAGCTCATCAAGTCCCTCACAGCTCACCTGAGGTTGCCTAGTCCACGAGGTTAGGGCCCGTGTATCAATTTATGGCGGACACGCAGTTCAAAGCTAGAGAAAAAGCGACATCATATGTGAATGCAGCTGTGCCGTTTGTAGTATATTCTAGTGCAATTGCGGGTGAGAGTACCGCGAGTAATTCTTTGTGATCATATGTGCAAGAGTCCTGTCTCATACCATCTCAACTCATTTCGCTGCTTGTCTTAGCCTGTAACAGATATACCTTCTACGACTGTCGTTGTACGTTTCCGTCCCGGTCAGACACGGGAATGAAATAGGCAATACCCAGACTTGTAACACACCTTATAGCAAGTCACCATGCCGCAGATTATACTCATACAGTGAAGGGCCATTGGTGGAAGATAAAGAGCCACGAATGTTTTCAATTAGCGGTTAGGGGAGCTGGAAGCGTGTACTCCATCTGGGACCAGCTCAAGATTCTGATGCCGGCATGGCAGCCTGAGGTATAATGTTTTTAACAAGACTGGTTGTCCAACTCTGCGAAGCAGACGAATACGAGGTGTCCACATGGTGCAATCTCACGTATTATAAGTCTGGGCGCTTCCTAACTCGGCAAAGTAGTTGCAAAACCATAATGGTCTACCCCGGAACAGGGTAATGGAGGCACTTGAGGTCAAAAATGGCCACCCTTGGGTAGTAGTATATTACTATAAAGACGAAGACATGCTTGAGAATAAGTTTGGTCTGATTGCTGCAACTACAAGGGTCCCACGAGATTGGCGAGTCTTCTCCCAATATTATGTTACCTCCCCTAATTTCCCTCCAATGGATGCGGAACCGTTTTCAGCACGCAACTACCGCAACAATGGCGAGTTGAATCAGATTCATCTAAATATTACATGGTCCACTCCCGTTCTGACATCGAGATACTCTGAAGTCCAATAATACCCCGGTATTCAGAATGCGGAGTGCATAACTAGGCCAGGATCTTGGAGGCTTGGCGCGGTGGCCTACATTCCGCCGCGCGCCCAACAAAGCCTCAAAATCGTACTTTCGTTGCTCAATTCGAGATCAGCCCCCTGCATAACCTCATTTCGTACCTGGAGAGCCCCAACATGGCGGCATTCGTTCGCGTGATCCATTGGCGTCCAATAACGAAGCACTATACTCCAGACTACTGCGGCCGACATCTGCACCCTAGCTATGAAAACATGTTTCGAAATGCATGGCATGGCAAACAGCCACCGGAGAATTCGAGTAACCTTCTTTAAGGTTGAGCCTCATCGTGCATGTTCAAGCCAGCCCATGAGTGCCCACTTCTGAGAGCAGTAAGACTGTAATACTACCTTCGAACAGGACAGTTCTTGTAGTTCATCGTCAAAGTCCAATATCATTCGAGGAATATTTGTATTCCATCAACCTTGACATTGTTGAGCATGTTCATTGGAGAATAACTTCAATACTTCATGTTTGTCATTTCTACTGCTTCTCACATCATCGTGGACGGAAGTGTATAAGAAGCCTTGAACTCTCCAGAAATATTGAACAAACCACTCCTCATCAGACTCAACGCCAGCTAAACATCGACAACAGCCTTTGACTCCTCTTTGCACCCCATCATAATGAAGTTTCTCGCTACATTCGCTGCCTTGGCTGGCCTCGCCGCCGCAGTCCCCACTCCGACCGAGGACGCTCCTCTTGAGGCGCGTGTTATCGAGAAGAGAGCGACCATCACCGACGCTGCTGATGTTGGCTATGCAACCCAGAATGGCGGAACAACCGGTGGCCGAGGTGGCACTACGACAACAGTCAGTACCCTTGCTCAGTTCACCGCCGCTGTCGGTTCATCATCTGCGGCCGTGGTCGTTGTTAGCGGAGCCATTTCTGGAGCTGCCAAGGTCAAGGTCACATCAAACAAGACAATCGTTGGAAAGTCTGGTTCTAGTAAGTCGGATTTTTTCTGCCACTTGGAGCCTTATTGACCACTATTTAGGCCTTACTGGAATCGGTCTGACTATCAACGGGCAATCCAACGTCATTGTCCGTAACCTGAAGATTTCTAAGGTTCTCGCCGACTATGGCGATGCCATCACCATTCAGGCATCCAAGAACGTCTGGGTTGACCACGTCGATGTCTCGAGCGACCTTAACAACGGAAAGGACTACTACGATGGTCTGATCGATGTTACCCACGCCTCAGACTGGGTTACCATCTCCAACAGCTACATCCACGACCACTACAAAGCATCTTTGGTAGGCCACTCCGACGACAACGGTTCCGAAGATACCGGCCACTTGACCGTTACCTACGCCAACAACTACTGGAACAACATTAACAGCCGTGGACCATCCTTCCGCTTCGGAACTGGTCACATCTTCAAGTGAGTATTACTAAGAATATTTAGCTCTTGACCCGAAAAAGTGCTGACTGTCTGTGTTAGCAACTACTACTACAAGATTGGTGACAGTGGCATCAACACCCGCCAAGGTGCCCAGCTCCTCATCGAGAGCACTGTCTTCGAGTCTAGCGCTACTAAGGCTATCTTCTTCGCCGACAGCGACGAGACTGGTTATGCTGTTGTCAGTGATGTGGTATTGGGCGGCAGCACTAACACTGCACCCACCGGTACTCTCAAGTCTGTCCCATACAGCTACACGAAACTAGGCTCGGCCAATGTGAAGGCTTCCGTTACGACCAACGCGGGCCAGAAACTGTCGTTCTAAGCTCCGTCGCCAGAGCAAGAGTTATGGAACTTGATAAGGGGAGGAAAGGAAGGATTCATGACCAGGCTGAAGGCTAGCTTCGGCTAACGCTCTTTACTTTTTCCGTTCGTTGACTCATTTATCGGGGTAAGGCTGTTGTATCTTTTTGTACATAGTATGATAATGTACATTTTCCAAGTTACTCTACAGCCTGAAAAGAATTACAGTAGATGTGCCCATGTTCGTATATTTGTTAGTAGGGTGTCAAAGTGCATGTAGATTTGGGTGATTGGCTTTACATGCCAATTATATGCATCACGTGCTACATTAATTCGAAGCAGTCTGATCAAGCTGGCCAACGAGGAGCGAAGATCGCAATTGCGATGGACAGTAATGGAACCTGGACGAACCTCCCCTTCCATAAACATCGCTGGCAAGACACTTGACGGGAAAACAGGCATCCAAATTGCCTCCTTATCCATGTTGGTGTACCTGATGCATGCAGTGATTGGCCGTTCCTTAATGTAAAGCTGCATTCAGTGCTGTTAGCTGCATCGCTCCCACACAAAGTCCCGAGCGTATTGTAGTAGGCCTCCCATAATTAACCAATTAGAAAAGTCTGACCGAACGCCTTGAAGAATCATAAGCAATTGCTGCATAGCTGCTGTTGAATCAATGTGCCTTTCTTCTGCACCAAAGTCGTCCTCATGATTCTCTAGATCTATATAGCTCGAAGGCACTGGCAATATTCACAATCTCTCCCTTTCATTTACTCTATCATCCTCTTTCAGCCCTCCGCTTGTACTTTGTACACGTGCAAGGTGGGCGGATGTTGGGCCCTTTGGCCCAACATCCGCCCACCTTGCAAACCCTAAACAAGACAGGGCCTATCTGTCGATCAGACATATGTATGTCAGGCTACCAGTGTTTATTGTGAGAGAGCCCATCGTCACTATATGAAACAAAAGCTGATAGATTCCATCAAGCAGTTGAATTGTCCAGAGCTCTGTGTGAGTCCTGACTGTGGCATGTGCAAGAATCGAAGCACCCGGTCCGCTCGATTCTTGTTAGATCTTCTCACGAGGTTTTGCGGCTTGAAGTACGCTTCGTCTCGCATAATCTTCGCTTTCGATGCTCCAAAGCCGATACGAGAATATCTAACAAGAATCGAGCAGACCGGGTGCTTCGATTCTTGCACACGCCATAGTTGAATGAATTGTCAAATACCATACCAGCCGATTATTCTGCCAGAACAACACAACTAAAATAAACACCGCCAATATTCAGCAATCAGTCAACATAACCCAAAACAAACACCAAGATGCCTAGGCAAGAAACAAACTACCCAAGTTTTGGATTTGATGCCGGGTGCCTCCCATTTATTGACGAGAGTCAATACCAGGATCAATGGTGTCCGCCCACGATACCGGAGCAAGAAAATATTGGACCAGACCAGACTTCACCATACCCTACCAGTCTGAATCGATTTACTATGGGCTCGGCGGAGGATATAAACCACCCTGTAACAAAGCCTATCGATCCCGTTGTACATAGCCAGTGGCCGGCCATCGACAACACTGCCGGGCCAGTATACGGGCAACAACAACCTCATACTAGCGTCAATGATCTTGATCCTGGTTACCCTGGTTTGAATTATCCTGGTTTCTACCCATCGGAGATAAGTCTGACTAGCAGTGACACGCACCAGGTACTCCTCAACTTGATGCCTCATGACACCCATCAGCCCTCCGTTAACCAACAACAAATTACATATGGATCCAGCGCAAACCATAATCAAGCTGCGGATATACGAACCCGCCAATATGCATCCAGTGCCGATACGGTCAGGCATTCCAGGACCCCACAACTCCAAAGGGGTGAAAACCCGCAGATCTGCACAGACTGCAACAAAGAATTCCGTCGGCCGACAGAATTGCAGTAAGTCTCCCCCACACCGCATTGTAGATCTCTTGTCTCAAGCTCAAGATAATCGTACGTGGACTATCGCTCTCTGGTAATATACACTGACCATCGTGGCGCATGCAGTAAGCACCAGAAGCGACACATAAAACCGGAGAAATGTCAAAACTGCGGCTATGCGACCGACACGAGCAAAGACCTGAAGAGACACCTCGACAGCTGCCAGCGCGAGAAGTACGGCAAGCCACGGATCCCATGCGGCGAGCCCGACTGTGTCAAGACTTTCACCAGGTCGGACAACCGCCTTAAGCATCGCCGCAATATCCATGGCCTGTGTCAAGAAAGCCGACGAAGGAAAGCGAAGAAATGAGGAAGCTAGATTGGACCACAAGATTCATTTATCCATTTCAATTTGTGATAGTTGTTAGGTTACCAAAAGTTACACGTGTTGTTTACTCTCATGCTAGACTGTGTCGGACCAGTGATGCATTTGTTCCTAATGAGAGTTTGTTATGAAACGATAGCTGCGAGCTTCACGCTCGACCGTTTGGTGAAAGGTTCAAGTCACATCTCGCTGCAAACTTGCGCCGCCTGTAAAGAGACCTACCAGCGGATGGTGAGCAACAGTATGGACTCTACGCTAGAAGAAAGAAAGAAAGAAAGAAAGAAAAAAAACTTAACCTTACAGGCAAACCCAATAACATACCGCCAATAGTGTTTTATCTGAACGAGGTATTTCAAAGATAAAGATGAGCATAACACGTTTCAGTCTCAATCCCACGAATATACACCCGAGCCAAGCACAACTACCATCATACAAATCAATGCCAGGCGGGCCATTGTTACCTAAAAAAAAAAAAACATTGTTAGATAATAGTCAGTTCTAAAGAATAAGGCTCCGGACGCCCATCTTGGTTGCGGCTTATAGCCAAGCCGGTATCTTAGCCGGTACCGGCTTCGCATGGCGGTAGCTTGATCTGCAGCTTTGTTCCTGGACCAAAGACTACGGGACGCTACCTATCCTATGAAGCTCTCTGCACTGATATCTCTCACGCCTTCGATGCCCTCTCTTGGGATAACCTAATGTTTCGTGGTGTTTCGAAACGATGCCTGCAGGATTGAAACACGCCGGGAGACGTCTGGTTTGAATGCATGTTTCTCTCTCCACGCTTCCTCCATCCTCCTGCTACGCATTGCTTGGCTGTGCATGGGATGATGCGAGCCTGCAAAACAACGGAAGTACCTTTTCGAAGCGCCTTACTGGATATCCCTGATCTCTGTGACCGGGTGTCTATTTCGTGGCACTACTACCGGGTGGCAGCTTTGAGCAATGACGAAACGCTCAATCCGAAGCGGCGACGTGTGTTAATTTTTTATGGCCAAACCTTGAAGTCGAAAAGGTGTGCAGCTGGAATGCCAATTCGAGAATCCATTTAAGTTTAGTGGTATTTTCCGCCACGCGGCCTGTGGGTCAGGTTCAGCGGGCGTGCTGTTGTACTAAATAAGGAGATAAACACAGAATAAGGTAGCGGTACAGGGTGCCAAAATCCTCAACTCTAAAACTCTATGGAGATTGGTTGATTTGCTTCTTTCGTCTCATTTCTTACATAGACTCTAGCTTTTTCCCTTTCCTTCCCGGCGCGCCTCGGGAAGCCCCTTATCCTCCTATTCCTCCTGCATTGCTTGGAATGGTGAAGGTCTTGACTGCAGTTGAGCACTTGACGATTTGATGGGACTAAAATGACTTCGGCGCGTCCAGCAATGGGGATCGACGATTTTCGCGCTCGCCAATGCTGAGAACCCGGCAAAATTACCCCAGCTTTTGGCCGGGTTGTTGTCCCCCCCATGTCCCGATCCGAGAGGCCTATCTCACGCACGGCTCTACAACCTGCTCGAGACAAGCCAGGAGAGAGCGCCATTTCGCCCCATCGTCCGTGCTTTCGATATGAGAGGAAAGAAAAAAGTGGCATCGAGATAAGAAACCCTAAATGAGAGAGGATGGGCGCACTAGCCGAAAGGCCTTGGCTGCAAGTCCATGAATGTAGCAGTGTAGTTCCTGCGCGCGATACTACGTATGTGCACTACATACGCCAGGGGAGTGTCTGAGATTTCCCAGTTTTTGTTTGTATTTGCCCCGAAAGGGAAAACCACTCCAAGTGATTTGAAAACAATGGTAATGAGAGAGGCCAGTGGTTGAGCCAGACTGAAAATGACAGCATCTTAAGAGACGGCATATTACATACGGTGCACTTTAGCACTTGTGTTGCTATGCTGGTAACAAGTAGACATTTAAAATGGAGCTTAGGCGCAAGGTGTTTGACAGTTCGAGACCGATGGGATTGGCCATATGAGAAGCAAGTCCTCCGTACCTTGCTTCTGTTTATATTTTATGTGAGTGTAGTGCTACCTGCATGATCAATAGATGATTCAATCACAATGGTTGTCGTCGCGATTCTATGCAGAGTTGATAGCCAATTGGTAATGGAGCCTCAGAATCATGAATGGTCGGCCGAACCGCCGAGGTCGTTCTCTTCTTGGTGAATGAGTTCTGTTGAGTTTGTTCGAACGTACGCTTGCTGCTTCTGCCGGGGTCGTTTAGGGAAAGTCGCTATGTACAAGAGCTCCTGCAGGAGGGGGTACCCGGCCAAGGAGCGAGAAGCTGCAGCTGGCAGCGTTGCATGCGGCGCTGCTAATAACTTGCCTCCCATGAAGAATGCAGCCGAAATCTTGTACTGGCGATGTCTTCAATTTGGTACTTTTGATGACCGACATGCCACAGCAGTACCTCTGCGCGACTTTGCAATTCTTTCGATGAAACAAACGACCAGAGGCATGACATCACCAGGATGCTATCAGTAGCCCCATAAAAAGCGACAAGGAAATCGCTTCAAGCACCAGGTGCTTGATAAGTGAAATATGGAAAGTGAATAAGAGTGGATAAGGCCATTCAGAACGTGGAAGAATGCCCGGCCAAAAGACTATCGACACGCGAATGGGCTGTTTGCACACAACGGTCCGAAGCTGAGGATGGGGGATGATGCACCGCTCCCTGTCACCAATCTATCGCATGCCCGGGGCCCAACTAGCTCAAATATGGCATGCCGCATCTGCCCAATCTTGCTATATTTGCGGAATGGAAAGTAAATAGGTGGCTGGATGCTTAGGGTTATGTGTGAATGATTACAGCTGATTGTGCTTCACAGTGATATCTGCTGTCAGAACATAAGAGCTCCTGCATCCGTCCTGCAGACAGTGACGGCATGAATCCCACGGCGTTTTGCGCGCACCGTGTTGTCTTTCGCCTGCTCGACCATGTAGTTGTATGCGCTATGCTTTTTGCCTAGACCCGCTGCAGGAGCCCCTGTTGCTTGCATCGCGATTGAGAAACATAATTGGATGGGATGAAATTCTCCCCCTGGTGCAAATGGCTGAATACTACTTGTATGCATGTGCCCGGCCAAAAGCCGCCCACCTTGGCAGTGGTATCCATACTTGAGGGGCTTGTCTGCAACCAAGGAATTTCTGAAACGGGATTGCTCAAGTACTCACTAGCCACATGCAAGTCTAGCCATCTGTCGAGAGTGGTGTGTAGATAAACAGACGTTGTCAACTCGAGGCGATGCGCATCGCCATGAATGTGGCCATCAATCCTTGTACGAAGGCGTGTAGCTGGAGACTCGTAGTCTGGTGACTGGTTGGCTTTGAGAGGTATGACAAGCGCGTGAGCGGCCGGTAATCACTCTGTCATAATTACTGATAATTAATTACCAAGTTTGTTGACATTGCTGTAGCTCGAACGTTATAGCAGCTTGGCTTCGGCAGGATACTCCATGTAGCATTGTACTTTAGGCAAATCGCCATATTTCTATACGAGGTGCAAAGGAGGCGAAAGCACGAGAGCTGTTGACCTTAATTACCTCTCGCTGGAGGTTTCTTTTATTCGGTAGCGAGATGTCAAACATAGTGAGAGCGAACCGCCATGCAGCTCCTTTAAGATTCTCCTGGTGGCGGCGGACCAATGTCACCCGCTGCAGTCGAATATGTTGTCTGCAAGATATGCAGTTCACGGCGTTAATGATTGCATTAAGTGCTGCATTGGTCTTATAAGATTGGCGTAAAAACACACAGGCTGACTCGGGAGACTGCATCTTACAGCATGGCAGAAGTAAGAATTGCGTGTTACAAATTCAAGATGGCGTATGGCAACTGCAAGATGCAGCTGCTGGGCGCAGGCTGTGCGCAGTAGGGCTTTTCTCTGTTTGGTTGAGCCTCGAGTCTGGATATTTTGTTTTTTCTTCTTTCTTTTTACGGCCAGCTACCTCAGCGAAGCATTAAAAAGTCAATTATAGGCGGAACCACATTCATGGAGATGTGATGTGAACTAGACTAGGTTAATACACAGGAAACTGGAGAGAACCACAGTGGGGATTGCTTGCTGTTGCCGGTCGATCACCAGCTATCGGCTGCTGGTTAGAGAAGTCATTGGTCAGTAGTGCCTCCGAGCTGCCAGAAAAGGGCCTACAAGCTAGGATGCCACAGTAGCTGCCAGCTTGGCAAAGTCCACATAGTGAAGTGGATTTCTGATTAGATCCGCATGTGAGGTGCACGAACCGCATTGTTTATCTGCAATAGAAATTGCCATGTATGCATTCAAGCTTGTCAAATTACGGTCCTCTCTCCAAGCTGTGGTGAGCGAACTAGAATTCGAGTGAAGAAGACAATGGAGACAGCGTCCTCACCTCCATTCCTCAATCATGACAGCTAAACCTAACTATTACTGCTACTCCCGCAACTGGTGAGATTATACGAACTGTGCTGGTTTGTTGCGCTAGAAACCATCGTACGGCATGACAGTGAGGTTGGTGTTGTTGTTGTTATTGTTGTTGTTGTTTAGTTACACCTGCAAACTGGATGTCTTAGTTTCGACTCGCACACGTCGCAGGAGTTCGCCATTCCATAAAATAACTGTTATCTATGACACTGGCATCCCACAACAGCGGTATTGCAGCTCAATTGTCTTCTTGTGTCTCGGTGTCTCATGCCGAAACAACATTTGAATTTGCGAATCATAGCTCCGACCAAGGAAGCTCCGTCTGGATTTCTTGGAATGCGCGGCGTGGAAATAAGGATGAGAAAGGTGGAAATTTAGACCAAAGCTGAGGCAAGCCTTTCCCAGGCATACAATTCCACGCGTTGCTGACGCTGGGGATTTGCTTGATTTGGTGATGACCAAACCTTGATACCCAAAATGGCCACGGGATGGGACAATTCACCGCACAACACAGTGTTGAGTCATCAGTTGCCAAGCTATGAAGAAATACATGCCATGTACAACCTTATTCCTGTTGCAACCCGCTGCGGTCGAGCTATAGGCAGGCAACGAAGCAGGTAGTCACTCAAGAAAGCATGAACTCAGTGTCAGGTTCTGGCTATGATCAGAATATATGAATGCTGCTCCCCGTACAGAACCCAATGGTCATTGTCAATTTGTCGAAACGGTAAAGTGCGACAGTGTGCCAAAAAAAAGTGAATCAAGGCTACACGTACGCCACGATCTGACCTATCTGCAGGTGTGCATATAGTACAGTACTTTGCCATGGCTGCACGCAACAACTGCTTAAGTCTTAAGTAAATCCCCTGCCGCTTGCCGTGCCAGGGGCTGCATAGGCCAATTCCAGGCATTGCAGGGGCCGTAACCGCACTAAAAACATACCCCCAGCAACGCTTGACTTGGAATCTCACAGCAGTGGGTCCCGCGTGCCGATCGAGTCTCTCACACAATGTCTATCCATTCTGCTTGTGGTCGAGGTTGGGGTTGGCCGACAGGCATTAACAGCATACATCACACGCACGAATGGGCGACGCAAGTGGTATGTCAGGTTAGGGAGCAAGGCCATAAAGGCTAATGCACGGTTGGGTCAAGGGAGGCAAGAGCGGAGGTGTGTCTGTGTCTGGGGTGGAAAGTAGAAAGTAGATGGTGGCCAGCGCGACGGCACAGTGATTTCGCTTCGAGGTAGCTACGAGCACATATGGTATATATTCCGCAACTTTGATTCTCGCCCTCCCTTCGGACTTTCTCCCCTTGCTCTTCCTCTCGTGTCCATTTCCTATCCATCGCAGTTGCCGTGCAATAGCTGAAGCTGTTCAGAGTTGTTTTTATTCGAAAGAGGTCAGAAACCGTTCCGAGTTCTCCTCTATCACTCGCTATATATCATCCCGACATCGCCCACCCACAGTCGTGTGCACCTTTGGCAAATCGACATTACTATCGTTGCTTGCATTTCACACGCCTTGTTGTTACTTGCTTCAATTGTCTTTAGTTTAGGCTTTCGGGTTTGCATTGCATTGCATCACATCACATTACATCACATTAATCAGCATTTCAACATGAAGTCCGCAGTTATCGCCTCCGCCCTTGTGGGTATTGCCTTGGCCGCTCCCCAGGGTGTCACCGACAAGATCTCCCCTGATGGCGGTATCCCTTCTGGCTGCTCGGCAGCTTTCGATGGAAACTTCGAGATCACCGTCGCCCAGGTCACATACCAGAAGAGGGACATTCAGGTACGGCCTTCTCGTCATTTATGACTGCTGCCATTTCGTCGACTGACCTGTTCAATAGAAGCGTGCTGAGTGTGGTGCCAACGGTGTCCTCGTTCTCTCCCTCAAGGACGAGTCCCTCTACGACTCCAAGGACCGTACTGGTTACATCGCTTCCAACTCCCAGTTCCAATTCGACGGCCCTCCCCAGGCCGGTGCTGTGTACACCAGTGGTTTCTCTCTCTGTGAGGACAACCTCTTGTCTCTAGGTCAGAACAAGACCTTCTACCGCTGCTTGTCTGGTGACTTCTACAACCTTTACAACGAGAACTGGGCGCCTCAGTGCGAGGCTGTCAACATTCTCGCAATCCCATGTGGCTCCGAGAATTCTGCCACTCAACTCGGTGATGGTCAGGTTGTTGGTACCACTGTCGTTCAGACCACCATCATTACCGCTCTTCCTGATGGTCAACCTCAGGTTATCACCACTTCGGTTCCTGTGCCCGTTACTTCTTACTACCCGACCAGTGCCCCGGTGAGCCAGATCAGCGACGGTCAGATTCAGGTGCCACCTCCTCAGACAGCCACCTCAGTTGCTACCGCTTCAGTCACGACGTATCCTACTGTCGTACCCACCGAGACTGGCACTGTCTCTCTGCCTACCGAGAGTGCTCCTGTGTCCAGTGGTGCCTCGAGTGCTGCCCCAACCAGCTCCAGCCCCGCGACCGCCTCCAGCGCCTCTGCTTCCCCTAGCGTCACGAAGAGCGCCAGTGTCTCGTCAAGCGCCGTTGTCAGCTCATCTGCCGCTGGTACAAGCTCTACTGCCGCTGCCACGACCTCGGCTCCTGCCTCTAGCGGTGCCTCCGCCGTCACTGGATCAATCTCGGCTCTCATTGTCGCCGTCGTCGCATTTGCCTGTTTGTAATGTGCCAATTTAAAGAAAAGTTGAAGAAGCGATGATGGGAGCAGTCACCGCAGGTTAATGATTGGGTAGTGTTCTGTATCACGGAGGGACTTAATAGCAGATTTGGCGAAAAGGCACTCAGTCGAACCCGTCCTTTGGATGGTACTAGTCCGCTCACAGAGAACAAACGATGGACTTAATACATTTGAGAGGTAATACATAGTGCAGGGGGAAGACCCCCATTGAACATGATCCTTTATACCCTTTGAATTGAATCTACTCTTTGCAATTGTGACTGGTGCTTTCTGCGCAACCTCCAAGCAGTGCGGGTGTGAGCTCTCATGACTGCACCCACACATTGACAACAGGCATAGTCAATTAGAGTCAAGTTTCACGTGCACTGCCAGTACCTGGAAAGCCCGAGTCGTTTTGGGATTTCTTCGACACGTAGAAATATCAACATCCGGCAAGGTAGCTCATTCACTTGTATTGAAAAGAATCTGGAGAATATTCACTAAATATAAATTTCTTTCACAAAAAGGCAGCACCTGCCATGTTCGATTGCTTCTTGCCCGCTTCGCGCATCTTAACGTTCTGCGAACAGATCAGCATTGCGACTGAACAAGAAGTCGAGTATGCCGATTGCAGTCAACCAGCTACATCAGAACTCTCCTGGCCGAAGTGAGCGTTTCCTCCCTGACTTGGAATTCATCTTGGCGCCCACGCATGTGTGAGAGAGAGATAATTACTTTAGGTACATGTCTCAACTATGATACTTTGGCAAACTAATTTCGTCATGAGCCACATGCGGTATCAGAACAGCATCCGCATTCTCATACCAGTGCCCCCTTCCGTCCTTGCGTTCCCTCAGCAGGCTAAGAAAATAGGCACCGCCCTAGAGAGCAACCATCATACCCTCCTGAGCCTTGCCTTCGCCGATGTGGACGAACCAGCCATCTGTGTATACCAGATCCCTTCTGGTTAGTAGCCCGTCCTCGATTTCTTTTCATCTGCAGATTCGACGCTATCGATGATGGTGTTCAACATCACATGGGCGGCGGTTTTGCGGAATGCTTCGTGATTGAATGTGGAACAGGCCGTCTTCTCAATCTTTATCCCCTTGGTCTGTGGCTCGCGTATCTTCATATTATCTTCCGGATAATCGTTGTACAAACCCATGTGTTCCGAGTCGTGATGCTGACCCGCTTGGTGATGGTATATACATCACAATACGGTATGAAGCGCGGTATGCCCGCTCATCATTCGCAGTCTATACCATGGGATGGCTCCGTTGTTCTTGTCGTATAGGCAAAGCCTGTGTAGTATGTAGGCAACAGCGATCTGATCTACCCTTCGGCTAGGAATTTATTCCTGGCGCCGTCAAGCTAGCATGTCATCGGACAAGTCGCGACGGATGCCAAGCACGCACAGTGATTGTCCATTCATTAGCCACCTTCAGCAACTGCCAGACCGTGTTTAATCATCTCAGCTATACAGTGGCAGGCGCGCTTGTCGGCTTCTCCTAAGCCTAATGTATATCGATCGACCTTACGTGCCAGTGTCAACCGAGGCTTGTTGTAATCGGCATAGCCTGTCGCTGCGAGCGGCCCGCCGATGCCCCAATTGCCCGGCGATCAATATAATGCTCTCACTCGTATAGACAGCGACCAATGGATTGACAAAGTGCATGCCATTCGAGTAGTTTACAAGACCAATTGCATGTGATCAGAGACTAAAGTTATGAATCAGTAAAAATTTCACAATCACACGAGATCTCTACCTGCGTAGATCTGAGTGATATTCATATCCACCAAAGAGCAACATGAATGGGTTCGAAAATTGTCATAATTCTTCGTGGCAAAAACAACAGTATCGAAGTGTCTATCTACCAGGGAAACCGCAAATGTATGTGCATCTGTAATCAATCGTTCCCCCAATGTTCATGCCTCTAGTCATGCCATCATACCGTCATCAGCCTCAGGGTATACGGCCTCGGGTTTTATTCGTGGGTATCATTCCTCTATTCTTCGTGTCTATTACGCAATACCCAGCTTGCGCACCAAGTTCTGCAGAACCTCTCTGGTCTCAGGCTCCAGCTGCTCCTCAGGGGGGCTGAGGACCTTTTGGAAGACAGGGATGAGCTTTTGTGTCAGTCCCTGGATGGTAGGGTTCTGAAGCTCATAGAGCTTGGCGATGCACTCGTAAACGGGCTTGTTCTCTTCGTAATCCTCCTTGAGGGGGAGCAAGTCGACGAGAGCTGGGAGCACCTGCTCCAAAGGTACCTTGTCGGGGTGGGCAAGGATCAGACGGCTCATGCAACCTGTGGCGTTATCTTGGAGTCTGCTCTCACTAATGTGCAACAACGGCTCCAACTTGCTCATAATCTGGCCATAGGCGGGCAGGTATGTGGCACTATCGTTGGAGTGGTAGCAGAGCTGACCGAGTGCATAGGCTGCGTTGGACTTGGCCTCCTTGTCCTCGTCCGAGAGACGGTGTAGCAGCGGGGGAAGCAATCCCTTTGTGTAGGGCGTGACGGCAGATCCCATGTACGCCGTGCACTCGGCAATGACGCCAACGGAAGTTGATCGCTCAATCGCCTCCTGAGAGCTGATGAGCTTGACGATAGGCTTCTCGAAGATCTTCCAGACTTCGGCGAATTGGCTGCCGAAAGCTGCGGCAAGGCCGATCACAACGTCCAGGGCGGTGTCAACGACCAACCAGTCCCACTCAGAGGTACCCTCAGTACCCTCGTTCTCCTCTTCCTCGTCGCCCAGATCTTGTTGGCAAGGATGGGACCGAGTAATAAGTGTGCCCAGAATAGTGATGCTCTGTTCAGTCAGGTTCTTCTGGGCAAGAATGGCTGGTCCGCAAAGCTTCAGAGTAGCGGCAACATTGCGGTTAATCTCGGTAACGACGTCACTGCAAACGGTTAGTCCTTCGTCCTTATAGTACAGATGCACGTCAAGACAGAAAATGAATAGCTGCAGTCAGTAGTAGATGTGACGTGTTCTCAGCAACCGCATTTGCGTATGAGTGAGCTGGGTGTAACGTAGAGTACTCATCATATTGAGATTGAAACACAAAACATGGGGAAAAAGAGAAAAAAAAGTGCTTACCGGTCGGACTCCTCAAGCCACAATGGCAAAGTGGCACTGACAACGACCTCGCCAAGCTTTGCCAGGTTGGCAGGTGTCTCAAAGTTGAGAGGAAGACCAGCCTGCCACTTCTGGCCGGTCTGCTCCTCCATGATCTGCCAGACGCAGGCATAGGTGCGCCACAAAGTCGAGATGGCAGCCTTCCGGCAACCCTCGTATGAGTGCTCAACCAAAGGTGTGATCAACTCGAGAGCCTTCTCGAGGTATGGGACGCTCTTCTCCTTGGAATGGCTGATGATGTCACCCAGAACCTCGACAGCAACCTCCTTCTCCATGGCGGCTTGAGAGATGCCCATAATGTCGTCCCAGTCCTCATCATCTTCGTCATCGTCGTCCATCTCGTCTTCTTCGTCGTCGCCTCCGTCGGTGGCGGACTTGACACGGATCTTCTTGCCATCAGTCACAAGCTCGCCGTCGACCAGACCAGCGAGTTCCTCGTCAAGCTCCAGGTCCTCTTCTTCCAACTCAATGCTGTCGAAGAGACCCTTGAAGATGCCCTGAAGGGAGTCACCCAAGTTTCCTTCGTAGACCTTGGACAGTTGGCTCCAGAGAATGAAAGTGGTCTCTCTTAATCTAGCGTTGCCAAGGTTCAGTGCGTCTTCGCTGGTGTGCAGCAGAGGCATGACATAAGGCTGGAAGTCCTCAGCACCCACACCAACGGCGATACGGCCCATGGCATCAACGACGGAGCTGCGCAGTTGCAATTCGTCTTCACCTTCGTTGGCGAGAATGAAAGGCGAAAGTGCCTCCATGGTCTCCTTGAGGTAGGGTTTGAATGCATCCTCAATGGACAAGGCGATGGCACCAATGGCACCAGCAGCCGCAGACTTGACCTTGACATCAGAGTGGCTCAAGAAACGACCAACACGGCTGATGAGACCCTGGGCGTACTTCTGCATGATCTCGCTACCGAGACCTTCGGACATGGTGTCGATGGAACCGCATACGGAGCGGATGATCTCGACGTTCTTCTCGTCGTTCTCGTTCTCGGAGGCAGCCTCCAAGTTCTTCACCAGAGCAGTCATGATAGTCTCGTGGTGAGACTTGAAGAACTCGGCAAGATCCTCACCCATGCGCATGAGACAGACAAGGGCATCGTGACGCACAGCTCTGTTAGAGTCGTTGAGAAGCTGGAGGATGATGGGCATGAGACCTTCAACCTGAGTAGCCACAAAGTCGGGCGCTCCCTCGGCGCAGGTGCCCAGGGCAATCATGGCGGCTCTTCGAGCACCAACACTCTCAGCGGCGGCATACTTCTTCAGGTCGTCAAGGATAGGGACGATGACTTGTCTCGGGGGCAGATCAGTCGACAGCTGGTCAATGAGGGCCAATGCAGATCTGGGAGGGGTCATGTCATCCTCATCATCATCCTCTTCCAACTCAGCCAAGATTTCCATGCTCTTTCGGGTAATCTCAGTGGCAAGGTTGGGGATGGCCTGGAGCTTCATGCGACGGTAGTGAGCACATTGAGTGAGGAAAGCCAATGCCTGGTTTCGAACGTCATCATCGGCGTCGGTGTTGGCGGAAAGCTGGAGCATGAACTGGACGAGGTCCTTGAAGTACTTGGAGATAAGGGCAGACTCGTAGCCGAGGAAAGTCTGGAAGACCTCAAAGGCCTGCTGGGTGTGCTCGTCATCACCGCTCTCGATAGTGTGCTTGAGGACATCGACCATGGCAGGGACGAACTCCTGGACGGTGGCAACAGACTCCTCGTCCTCATCGGCCTGGATGAGCAAAAGCAGAGAGCTGATGGAGAGCATGGTGTTGATGCGGACATCGCTGCTCTGGGGATCGCGGATAGTCTTGCTGAATAGCTCGAACATTTGCTTCAGATGTTCTTGGAATGTGGTGGGGTCGGCCTCGAGCAGACTGAAGATGATGTAGGAGCCAATCTCGCGGTGAGCGACATTGTCAGATGTGGTGAGCTGGAAAATGGCGGGCAGAAGATCGGGCCACTCGCCGTTCTCGAAGTCGATGGAAGCGATTCCAGCAATGACACGGGAGATACCATGGCGGACTTTGGCGTGCTGCTCGCGAACGGCGGCCTGAACGACCTCGTTGCGGACGCCCGACTTCTGGTCGGCGGCAATCTTCTTCCAGTGCCTGGGCACTAGACGGAGGGACTGGACAGCGGCAAGCTGTCGGACGGTGGCATCATCGTGAGAGACGACGACGTGGAGGAGTCCGAGAAGAGCCTCAGGGCGAGGGTAGTAGTTCTTCTTGAGCTCAGAGGTAGCAGCCTTGACCTTCTGTGTATCGGCTGGAAGAGAAGAAAGAAAAATCATATGTTAGCCATGAAATTCATTGGGCGCATCTAGCGCAATGCTGGGAGTGGTTCGCGAGGGGTAGTATGGGTGGGCAGTGATTTTCAAGGGAAGAGAAAGACGGTATGGTATGTCCAGGTAGACTTACGAATGGTGGAAGCCTGAAGCAACTCAACCAACTTTGACTGATCCATTGCTGTGACTTGGTCCAACAATGCAAGTTACAACAATAGAAAGAAAAAAAAGAAGGATCAGATTCTTGAACGATCCTCGACCTCGTGGGGGGAAATCAAGAAGAGTTTTGTTCAAGAAATCGACGAGGCGACCGCAAGAAGTAGAAGGGAAATGAGATGTGAGACGGATAGCGACTGGACTAGCCCGAGAACTACCTACAAGTAGAACTTGTCAGCGTACCTTATGCTGCCCAATCTCCCCAAATGGCAGAAATTTTCTGTTCTGAAAACAATTTCGGGGTCCTCGTCGATAAGCCCCTCGATAAGTCGGCCAGGTGAGTGGCCAGGTGAATTTCCTGGAAAGTTTTACCCCACCTTCCAGAGTCCCTGAATGAGGGGCAATTTCTTTTTGGGACTGCTTTATTTTTTTTTCTTGTCACGTAAACGTAAACGCAAACGCGTCACACAAATATTCGCGGGTTTCGTGCGGCATGCTGCGCCACAGCATTAAAAACGATTTTGCCAATTTGGCCACAACCTGGACTAACCTTGGCACCTTATGTAATCTAGTGCTATCGCTAATGCTGACTCTAGTGCTAACGCCTAGTTCTAGTGCTAGTGCTATCGCTATCGCTAGCGGTAGTCCACCGTAAAATGCCCTCCAGGCCCTCTACCGAGCAGTTACTGGGAGACGTGATCGCAATCGCGCTTTACTGTGGCTACCCTCTTAATATATATTATCGTTGACTTTGCTGCTTCTTTCTTTGCCTGCTTTTAGTCAAGACCTACTCCCACCCACCCACGCACAGCGCACCCAAGCCAGTACTCGTCATGTCCGAATACTGGAAATCGACACCAAAATACTGGTGCAAGCACTGTCAAGTCTACGTCCGCGACACCAAGCTCGAGCGCAGTAACCATGAGGCAACAGGCAAGCACCAAGGCGCCCTCAAGCGCTTTCTGCGAGACCTGCATCGCGGCCACGACAAGGACGAGAAAGAGAAAGAGCGAGCCAAGCGTGAGATTGAACGACTGAATGGCGTCGTCGGCTCAAGTAGCAACAGCGGCAGTGCCGGTCCCAGCTCTAGCACACCGCCAGGCGCACCAAAACCCTCGTCGTCATCGTCGCAACCTCCTGCTCGCACCACCGAAGCCCAAAGGCAGAAGCAATGGGAGCAGCTCGCCGACATGGGCATCGACGTCCCAACAGAGCTTCGCGGCAATATGGCCATGGCCAGCGAGTGGCATGTGACTACCACTAGAGTCATCGACGACACGCCCAAAACCGATGAGAACGGCAACATTAAAGTCGAAGGAGTTGCAACCGGAGTGCGCAAGCGCGTCAGACGTGACGGCGAAGAAGAGGAAGAGGAGGCAGTGCAAAGTCTCTTCAAGAAGCCCAGGAAATGGGGTCGCGACACCAAACAAGCCCCCGAGGATGATGCCGATCTAGATGCGTTGCTCAGTGGCACTTTGGCACCAGTCAAGAATGAAGCAGCCCAAGACAGCACCGCAAAACATGTGAAAAGCGAGCAAGATCATCCATCGTTGAAGAAAGAGCCGTCAGACGATGATCAGGGCATACCAGACACCGTGAAGCCCGAGGTCGAAAGCGGCGAGACGGCAGCAGTAAAGACAGAGCAGGCTTCGGAAGGCGGCGTTGACGCACCGAGTGTGGTTTTCAAGAAACGGAAGCCCAAGAATGTACGTCAGAAGTGATCAGAGAATGGCTTGCGTTTGCTGGAGATACCTTTGGTCCCATTTGCGTTGGGACAACTACCCAGGTATGTGCACTAGTTCTGTTCTCTACCTTCTATCATATACTGCGACCAGCACTATCCTTTTGAACCGTGGCCACAACCTTTGCTCCAGAAAGAACTCATCATCTGACTATACGCTAACGTAGTAGTATCTAGTTGCGGGATCGTACTCCATAATTACCTCCTTGTCCATCATTTCGACGTCAACAACAACCTGTCGCCACAAGTTGACTTCATATGACCCTGTCATCGCCCCGGGGGTCACTACGGCACACGAATATCGTGCTATGGAGTTATTCTCAGTGGTGGTACTCTTCGGGGTTGCTGCTGGGCATAACACAACTGCCAAACTGTCCTTATGAACGCCAAGTGATTCCTTCGGCTCGAAGCCCTGCGCATAAGCCTGCCTCCAGCGGACTACCATACCCGCGCGAATACGGTCTTTGAAGGGCAAAGCTGTTGTTGAACGATCTGGATTTCGACTTGACGTAATTCCTGTTAAGAGCTTGCTTGATGACCCGTCGACCTTCTGGGAATCAACATGCATTTGCCATAACTTGGAGTAGACTGCTCTGACTTCCTCGGCATTGACGTCTGGGGTTTCTGAGTGACGAGCCACGAAATCTTCTGCTGCGAGCCGAAGAAATTGAGCCCCAGACTCGGTAGGAGCCAGGGCTGTAGAGGAGCTAGGGCTAATGCCTGACTGCACATTAAGGAAATGTGGCTGTAAGCATTTGATAACTGAAAGGGGTTAACATGTGTCACGCTTACATTCTTCATAATCCAATCTCTCAGCTCCGTGTTCGTCCAAGTCTTGGGAGACAGCGGATCCGATGCCGTCTGGGCGGTGGCAGGCACCAAGACCCGCAGCGTCTCGGCGTAACGTATCGTGCTTTTACTTGCTACAACATCAGCAAGACTTGGGTTTACGCAGGCTATAATCACTGTCTTGCAGCGCCTGCTTCCGCCCGAGTCGAACATATGCTTCAGAACTTTTGTCAAGGCGCTCTGCCGAAACGGCACATGCGGTCTCTTCTGCTTTGACTTCGAGCCGCCCAGAGCTGCCATCGCGTCTGACTCTGCCTTCCCCCGAATGCAATCCTTCAATACCGAAAGGCTGATGTTGATCTGGCGCGTTTCGCGCATCCGGTCGGCCCCGTGTTTCGCAATATCACGGGCCATCTCCGAACCAGCCAAGTCAATCAAGTACAAGAACCCCTCCGAGCCGGTAGAAGAGTTTTTGATTCGGATGCGACATATGCCATGCGAGCGCGAGGAAGCATCGTTCTTGAAAGTTGAGGCTGACTGCCTGAAGGACGCCGCCCTTTCAATAAGTTCCATTGCCTGGTCCCTACTTTGGACGAGCTGTTCATCTGCGCCAGCCATCTGCGTCACTCCAAAGGAGTCCTCAAGGAGTTGTATTGGCTTGCGGGAGCTCAGAAGGTCGTACGCTGAGTTTCCGGCAAGTTCAATGACGCTGATGTAAACTTGTCTCCCGAGCTCATCGCCGCTGTCCAATAGTGACTCAACAACGAGTTGCTCTAGCCGGCTGACTGTGTACGTCTTCCCAGACCCTGTCTGGCCGTAGGCGAATAGCGTGCCAATACCGCCATCTTGGGCGAGGGGAATCAAGTCCACCACAACATCCCAGTAGAGCTTTTCCGTGCTCGCATCCTCATCGAAAACTCTGTCCACTTGGTACTTGAAGGACTTGGTAGATGTTTCAGTCAGCTGCCTTACCAATATCTGATTGAATAAAATATCAAAGCTCATACCTTAAGCAACGGTCGTCCTTTGGGATGGTTATAAAGATCGTGTATATCCAAAACACCATGCTGACTAGACTGCGGGAAAACGGCACGTGGAAAGCCTTCATCCTCGTCTGATAAAGGACGGATCCTGGTGCTGACGATTATGTCTGGGCTGCTTGTCTCCGTGGTCATCTTGGCTTTGGAAGACTTGGGCGCAGGCTTGAGCGCATTGACCAGATCCTGGTATTTGGCGGCATTTTTGAGATAGAATTGATCCATTGTGCACGGTGTTGTGAGATCTTTCTGCTGTTCAGATATGCATGCCTGTCTTCTCAGCAAAAAAGTCAGCTGTATTTACGTTGGTCTGTTTGTTTACTTGTGTGCTGCTTGTCCATCTCTTTGTTGCTGTGCAACTCCCCTGTTTCGTAGGTGCCTGTCAGGCAGGCGTTTAAGCCAACTAGCTCTCGCACAACAGGGCGCACCAGGCGGTAGCTTGGACGGCCCAGAGATAAGCAAAATAGGTACTGCCCAGATTGAGCTCTTGTCGCAAATGGAAAGTATAGCCAAGGCACTATTTCTGATCAATCAAGTCACTTCCAGGAATTTCAGGCAGAAACATTCCTTGCAATATGTCGGCCGTTTAGTTCCGACAAACTATCAGTATATTGCCCCTCAACAGGGCTGCCTTCTTGGTATGCAATGCTTGGCATTGCTTTATGGTTAGTCGCATGAGCCTCCATGTAGGCCGTATGAACGATGTTCATTGGTACCCATGTTCGGAAGGAGGGCTTCGTAACCGTCCTGCCATCCAGCGTCTCCCCTGATCTGTCGACCCGGGACGTATTCATTGGGACTCGTCGTCTTACACACTCGAAGATCTATGATGTTGGTAGGCCCTTCCGGCGCGCGACTTGCTCGTGTGGCAAACATCGCCTCAATTGGACAAGACCAATTCCGAGCATCTTTTCTGCGCCAGTAGGCGCTATGTGCAGCGCTGTTAGAGACCTGATGCTATGATTGATACTCAACAGGTATGCGCAGCATGAGCGCGGCTCGTCTTCTCATCAAGCTCTTCATGCTCCTGTACGATGAGAATTACTGTTCTATATTCTTGTGGAAGGTTATAACATTATCTCCGGACACGTTGTATCTATATATTGCGGACGTCCGTGAACCATGCAGCGACAGAACTCTGAGCACAAAAGAGCCACCGTGTGTTATCAGCTGACCTTTGAGCTAGTCTAGCATGGAATAGGGGTTGTGGGACAGTGGACGGGCAGTGAAATGGTAGTGGGTTGACAATAGAACAACTCGGAATGGTCTGAAGATGACAGCAACACGATCGCTTTCGAGGTGGCGGCGACCAAAATCATTTGCGATTTTAGCTTGCTATATGATACGCGTTCCGTTCGTACTATTCCCATCCCGTAACAGGATTATTGCCGGGCAAAACCGTCAGCCACTCGCTTGCAGGGTCCGGGAAGTCCGGGTTAATCCGACAAATATCATTCCTGTTGACGCCTCCGATGATGTCGGGACAGTTGTCCATACCCGAGGTCCCGGTGTCGCAGCTGTCGATGATAGCCTGCAGAGTGTCCACGTCCCAGCCCGAGATCATGTCGCCGTGTGAGCTATACCCGGTACGGTCGCCGTTCGCAAGCACGAAGGGTTGGTGCTGGCCGTCCCGTTGCCAGTCGTTGGCGAAGTGAGGCGTGTCCCAGTACACCTCGAAAAACACATGCGGGACGTGGACCCAGCCGGCAGGACAGTTCTGCTTCGAGCCACTGACGGTCGGAAAAGCCATGTTGTTCTTGTAGTCCTCGATGCCGACACTTGGATTGTAGCAAGATGGCAAGTGGATATCCTGGCGGAGAGGAGAAGCGTATCCATCACAGTTGATGACAGGAAACCCGGCCCCGGCACCCTTGTCGTTTGGGTCTTGAAGACCGGCGTGCGTGCCATCGCTCCCGGGCGGGTAACGGTCAGGGTTTCCTTGTGCAGGGCATACCCATTGTACGGGTTGGATCTTGCCCTTGGTAGGGTCTAGTTGCAGACCACCGGTAGCAGGAGGATCTCGCTTTGTCGGGTCACCAATAACCATTTTGAGGCCAGGCGGGAATGCCTTTATGTCGTCGTCGGATTCCTCGAAGCTGAATTCTCGGTTTTAATTCGGATACGTGAGGGGGAGTCGACTTACAAGTAGTATATATTCATGTAGAAAAGGGGCACCTTCCTGAACGTGCCATTCGTGGGAGATCGGAACCAAAGGTCAGGGATCCAATAGTTGGATTTGTCATTTTTAATCAAGGCATTCGTACAATTTGAATCCAGCAAGTGGTCACCTTGGACGATCAATCCAAAGTTGCTTCCCCCCATGATGCCATGTGAGTGAGAGGAAGCTGCTCCCGGAGAAATGATTGGGTCCATTCTGCCCTCAGTTGAGAATTTTCCGGCGTCATTGTTGAATCGCAGAACAGTAAAGGTTCTTGAATTCTTGCCGGCATAAGCCACTGTTACAAGAGTGAATAGGAGGTTTACTGAAGGGACCTTCATCATGTCTACTAAAAGGAAGTCGTGCCGTTTGGGGATGAATGGATGAGAGAAGTGATAATAGGAAGAGAAATCGTATATACATGCCTTGATCGGTGACATAGCTTTATAGTAAAAGTTCAACGGGATTATAATTATATCTTGATTGACTATGATTGACCAGTTCGATACACCTTTCAGGGTCCAGAATTCCTCGACCCAGCCCTCTCCAAAAATTGAATAGATGATACAGGCCTAGACTCATGCCCCTTACTTTTGTGCCACCATGATGCACGAATGACAGTTTGAAGTTATTCCATAAGAGAATTGACAGCGCAGGGGCAATTCCCATTGAATTGATGGTGTGGTGTCGTTGGCTGGACGTTGGCAGGCGTGCGGACGGCTGCATTCCTTTTTCATTTGATGGCCAACAAGAAGCTTTGAAGAAATGCGTGAACAAGCCACAGCTTCATAACAATATACAAAATCACAAGCCATTAATCTACATCGAAATCAAAGCAAGTTTTACTTTGTTTCAGTTTTATTTTCACTCCAGTGAATCTGACTGTAGCCTGCGCTCTTTTAGCTGCGCCGGACGTCGCACAAGAGTTGCTTTTGAGGGTCTTTGTTCAGTGGCATTGTTCAGCAGAAAGATCAAGGTGCTCAATGTGTCCTCAGTTATGTAACAATTAGATCTAGATTATTCATGTTGTCGTCACAATGGTCGTTTGTGTTCATTATCTGAACAAATGAGCTTTAATAGCTCGATACGCCATATTCTTTTGCTGGCTTGCAAGACGCTGGCTCGGGGCTATGTGCTGTCGGCCCTTCTCGCATAGCCAGCAGTCTTCTTTTTTGTCGGTTTCCTAACTATTTGACGATTGATTCGAGTACTGCTGTAAATACGACCACCAGCACAATTGGGCCTGATTAGAAGTTGGCGCAGGACCACCTAAGGTCGAGGTCAGTACACCCTCCGCGCCTTCGATCGCTACAGGCCCACGAAGCAGAAGAAGAGAAAGAAGAAGAGAAAGAAGAAGAAAAAATGTGTCGACGAGTTTTCACTCATCGAATGCATCATGACGTACGGCAGCCCATGACGATCCCTCATGGCGTCTGTGGTGCCAGGGCAGGTATATATGCTAATCCCTTACGGACGGTTTACCACCGTTGCGAGCTGAGCATCCGAAAGCATGCGCATGCTTGGGTATTGAATCTCCCCATTCGCGACTGCGAGTTTCACAGCTGCTGCATTGTACTAGAAGATTTCATTCCATGCGAAGAAGGTGAGTCTGAGTTGTTGGGCGACGGTTTTGAGCCAGAGCTGTGCCTCCATTTCGCGCTAGAGCATCGCCACGAACAGCTTGAAATGTGGTGTCTAGGGGGCCCTTGCGACAGTCGTACGTGCGTTCGCGCCATGTGCAACGTCGAGCCGGTAGTCACTTGGCGAGAGCTCGACGAAATCGAATACGAAGACAATTGGGATCCTGAGTATAACCGGGGCGAGGAGGCGCGAGCGAGATGGGAACAGCGCCTCTTTACACATATGGAGAGACTGAATATACTCATGGCAGATCAAGCAATACATATAGCAGTATTACATGACATCATGAGAGGTCAGTCTGCTGACAGTACAGCCTTGGCGACCGCTGCGCGGAACACTTTGCGAGTGAAGGACAAAGTCAAACTACGGCTGTACTCAATAGCTCATGAGCTCACCTGGGCGAGGCATTGACAAATGATGGTCAAAAATATTGACCAGATTACGCCAATGACATGTGTTCATTGACAACGGTAGAAGATATATGTAGGTAGCATAGTAATATAACCAAGGTAATACAGATTACAATCAACCTCGTTATCAGATGAATATATTTTGAAATCGATGTCCCTCAAATGCAATTCTCAAATCATTGACAATTTGCTGATGTGATAAGGTCGGCTTGCAAGCAATATGGATGTACAAGTGCATGGTTGCCTACCGAGTCCTGGTAAACGGAGCTGGTGATTTGTGGGATGCAACTGGAATCAGCCCACCAAGTTGGCCGGCCATAGGCGGACACACCCTTAAATAGCCCAAAGTTAAGTTGATCTCAATTACCATAGTAGGCAAGGCAAGAACTATAACTCTTTGAAACTAGTGAAGGCAGTAGCTCGGCTGGCATGGCACCTGAGACTCCAACTCGCATGTTCCACGCACGAGTTCATGCACTGACTAGCAATCGCCATGCTACAACCACGCTGGCCGCCGGCATTTTCGGCGTTCTGGTTCATGTGAGGCAGGCTCTAGGTTGAGACATGCAGTCAGTCGCAAAAGGTCGACGAATCAAACACTACCGTAAAGCACCCGGCTTCAATTGAACCTATCCGATATGAACGCTTGCGGCGGCAACCTTCGTGATAGCGGCTTTTGAGATATGATACCAGACGCCCCTACACACGCCTTGTAGGTTAAATCGAGACATGACTGCCATGTTACGTGTTTTACATCAATGTGGCTGGTGTTAACAATCGACGGGTTTGCTTCATTGTTCAAAAGAAAAGATAAGCCGCCAATTTGAGATTATCTGAAATATTCCTGCCGCTTGACGCTGCCTCAGTAACCCACCCAAAGACCAACATAACACAGCAATATGTCTATGAGGAGTACATCGTCCAAGACGTCAGCATCCTCGCGAGCAGACACTCTCCAATCTATGAAAAGCACATCAACAGAGGCGTCATTAGCGGGTCCTCTTTCAGCTCACTCGGCAGCAACAAAAGGGCGAGCAACTGCGATCCGTGGGCCCTGGGCCAACGAGCCATTCTCACTCCTCGAAAGCCCATCAAAAAAACATGATGTAGGCCACTATGAAGAGCACTACCGCGTACAATTGTGAGGATATTTCGAGACTCACCTAGCATAGATCAGACATCCAGCGATTTACGTCGCCGATGAAATGACCAGCCAGCACAATGCAGCACTTCGCGGTCTCAATGCTGTGTACCTACAGGTCGGTATTCATCATCGCTGATTATGTTTGGCTTGCTAACTAGTATGGGATGAATAAGGCACCATATATCAATGCTCCACAAGATATCACAGATCTCCTCTTTCTGGTGCAGTGCTGGGGTTTATGGGTGCAATTCTATCACGATCTGCGACGAACCCGTATATTCCCAAAATTCGAAGAAGCCTTGCAACAGCCAGGGTGCATTCTTTCCCAGTTGAGGAAAGACATGCACTTTGTACCGTTGTTGAAGCGACTCCTCCAATGGGTACAAGTAGTGCACCCACAGCCCGAGTTATACGATCATACGGTGCTTCAGGAGCTCATCATGGATCTCGGAACTATCTTTCGACCACATTTGGCGCATCTGATATCCATCTTGACAGGATTACCTCGCGTGTGTGGTCAATTAGGGTCGTTGGAGGCAGAAGCGAAAGCTGCGCAGCTCTCACAACTTTATCGCGCCTACCAAAAAGAGGCCGACATTGCAATGGACCCAAACATAGTGCCGCCGATGACGGTGCGAATGCGCGACACCACCTACGGGGGCGGCAACAACTGGCCTGGCCTGTCCCTCGTAGCCGTGCATACAATCGACGAAAGGCTGTCTAGGGCTCACTCGGGGGCATGGAGATTTCTTCCATGCGACGTCTGGGGTAAACCGAAAGAGCTACTTTTCCGGGGTCAACTCTTTAGCAAAGCAACACAGACGGCAGCTATACCACCTAAATTACCACTCAAGTCTCCAGCACGGAGGAAGGAAAAACCGGTACCGGCAGACATCAGCGAAGATCAATAGTGTGATACGTGGACAATGAAGACCTTGGAGCTCATGGCTCGCAGCTGTGGTGCTGGGAGTCGGGGCCGTCGGGTTTCTTTTCGCGTAGCTATCCCCGCTTCTGCGAAGGATGGACAATCGCGCCGAGAAAGCAAAAGCTTTTTGTCAGTCATGTATAGATTACTGGTATGTATATAATTCTGGTCTGTCTGAGACCTGGTGCGACCACCAATTTCATGTTATTATTCCTCCTCCTCTGGCAATTTGATCGTGGTAGTGGACGCCACGGGGTGCGTTCCTGACAACATGTTAAGCAGTCGTGGCAAATTTCAGATTGATAGAGCGACGACTGGATCGGATTGGGGTTCCGGCTCTACTGGTGTTCATCATTTAGTATGGGCTACTTTCTACCGGATGTCCCCGTTTCGGCCAGCTGAATTCATCTATTCCATGCAAGGGCCATGATGACAATAGCATCTTGCAGCGCTACTAACTATGAATTGAGCCGCAAATGCTAAATACCTTGTACGATTATTGGCCGCTGGGATTGGTGGTTTAGTACCAAACTGCGCTGAACGGCGGGGTTCGTTGCAGGGGGGCATTCGGTCATAATGTCCACTAATCGTCCCTTGAGACCTTCATTTTCATCTCGTCCCATTACTTTCGGTCTTGGCGTTTCGATTTTGACAGGGCTGCATACATTTTCGGCCAGAAACGGTGGCGCGACCAAAGCGATCACTGAACCACAGCGGGAAACATTTCCCTATTGCAGCTTTCGTAGATTCGCCGTAATCGACTCCACAACCACCGACCACCCGGTACACCAACTTTGAGAGGTCGTGATCTGTAATCCGTATTCGCGTAGCAAAACCCGAGAACAATGGACCCGCACCCCATTTTTGCGGCTGTCTCAGATTTAGTGATAACCTACATGGCTACTAGAGAGAAGGATTAGGGGTTCTGAATATATATGTTTGATTTGGCACGACGGACTGGCCGGAGGCAATGCAAGTTGTGCTGCCGTGTCCGTTCTTTTACACGAAAATAGTCACTCATTCATCATGATTTCGTTCAGAGTTATTGCGGCGCTTGCTGGTCTCGCCCGCTTTGTCAACGCCCAGAGCGTTTCTGGAGCGGCTGAAGGCTTTGCGCAAGGCGTCACTGGCGGAGGTGACGCGACACCTGTCTACCCTGCGGATATTGATGAACTGATTGAGCTTCTCGGGTCCGACGAGCCTCAAGTCATCATCTTGTCGAAGACGTACGACTTTTTAGAATCGGAGGGAACCAAGACTGAGACCGGATGTGCACCATATGGTACCGCCGCTGGATGCCAGCTAGCCATTGACGGAACTGGTACTTGGTGCGGTTCCAATACTGCGGCTACCGTGTCCTACGATGTGGCAGCCACGGAAGGAATCGAGGTCAAATCTAACAAGACCCTCATTGGAGAAGGCAGCGCTGGTATTCTCAAGGGGAAAGGCCTTCGAATGACCAATGGTGTTTCGAACATCATTGTCCAAAACATTCACATCACCGACCTGAACCCACAGTACGTCTGGGGTGGAGATGCCTTCACGTTTGCTGAGACCGACTTGATCTGGATTGATCACTGCACTACTTCTTTGCTCGGCCGTCAGCACTACGTCTTCGGACAGAAGCCCAGTAGCCGTATCACTCTTTCAAACAACTTCATCAACGGCTCGACTAGCTGGTCCGCGGGGTGCGACGGATACCACTACTGGACTATTGAGCTTGTGGGTACTGAGGATCAAATTACCTTCCAGAGTAAGTTTTAATTTATTTCCGCACTTGTACCCGTTCGTATTGGCTAACATATGACAGACAACTACGTCTACCACACCTCCGGACGAAGCCCGGCTCTGAGCGGCAGCACACTGTTCCACGCAGTCAATAGTGTATGGTCCGACAACAATGGTCACGCCATTGAAGGGGACACCAACGGACAGGGCCTCTTTGAGGGCTGCGTCTTCGAGAACGTCACCACGGTCGTTGTCGATGACTTCAAGGGTTCGCTCTTCAGCTCTTCCGACTCTACAACTAACGCGAAGTGCGAGTCCGCCCTCGGCAGAGCTTGCGTTGAGAACGTCTTCAGCAACTCCGGCGCCTTTGACAAGTCAGACACCGGCTTCTTCTCGAACTTCACTGGCTTATCTATTGCGTCTGCCACGGCAGCGAGTTCTGCGGAAAAGAGTGTTCCGTCCGCTGCGGGCTTCGGCAAGCTCACAACCAGTAGTACCGAGTCTACTACTGATGAATCGAGCTCCTCGGCTGTCTCTAAGGTCTCATCCGCTGTTTCCAAGAGCACTGCTGTCCCTTCCAAGAGCACCATTATCGCTTCCAAGAGCACTTCAACTCTTTCTCAGAGCACTGGTGTTTCCAAGAGCACTGCTGGCTCTTCCAAGAGTACCGTCATCGCATCCAAGAGCACTTCAACTGTTTCTAAGAGCACTGGTGTTTCCAAGTGCAAGAAGAGAAGGGCAGTCCAAGCATAGACCTAAAATCTTCGCGGTTACCGTAGCTCGCCTATCTAATATTCATTGTATATATATATATATAAATATTCTTAGCACCTTAATAATCAAATCCACTGGTCTCCGCCACCCATCGGCGTATAGCAGCTGTTATGTCATCTGGGTCCCACCTCGCACCATCGCCGAAGCAAACCGCTTTCAAAGCCAATTCTCTCATCAACTCCCTCATAACCGAAGCTCGGCCGTCATTTATGTTTCCGGACAAGGTTGCCTCAAACATTGCAAACCCCAACCCTAAGTCCTGGCGTACTCGGTCCGCGACGTCGAAGGCTGTGAGATAATACCACTTTGGGGTAGGTGCACATTGGTCCATCGCGGATAGCATGAGTGCGCGACCAAGCGATGGATCCCGGGCCGAATGCTCATCGCCAGTCATGAAGCCGTTCTTCCTGTATATCAACCGACCATGAAGGATATCCAGTATCCCTTCGATCGAGATTCGCCGCAAAACGTTTCCGAATATCTTGGTGACATATATGTAGGCTTCTTTCGGTGGGTTGGGGTGTCTCATTGCCTTAACGGCCGAGTAGCTATAAGCTAGAGTGACCCAGTGGATCTGTCCTGCTACAGTATATGCTTCTGCTCCAAGATATGGCACGATGTCGAGTGGGGCGCCGGTCAGTCTTATTTGTTGGTCAAAGCTGGTTGATGGAAGATGGCCTTCGATGTCCGAACCATGGTCGTGATGTGTCTGCCGTGAAATGTTTCCAGAGAAGGCTGCAGGCAAGTAGTCTTCAACATTGCGCGAGATGTGCACATTATCGACCACATCAGCCTCATGTGCTGTTTTGTTCTTCTCAATCACTTGTGTAGCAGCACTCTCCGGAGCTTGCTGTTGCTCCAGAACATCGACCAGCTGCCGCGCAGTCTCGACGGTCTTGTTCAACACTTTTGGATCATAAAGATTTGCCGCATCATCGATAGCTACAATTGCAGCCCGAAGCGCTTGGTTCTCCTCCCTCAAACTTTTGATTGCGTCTATTTGTCTTTGCCTGAAGGCACGTTGTGCCACCTTGCCTCTTTCTCTACGGACCTGCAAGGCATATCATCATCAGCTCTGTTTTTGCATCAGGAACGGTAATCTAATTACTCACTATTACCTTATCACTTGACCGTGATTGAATTCGCCCAGAAATAGTTGACCTTTTGGGAGCCATTTTGCGCCTGAACAGCTGAACCATAGGATCTAAGCAATCTCACAGTCGCAAATGTCTTGTTAGTTAATAACTGGCCTGATTACTGATTAGTCAGCTCGGGACCATGACCCTCCGTCAACAACAGACTCCAGCCAGAACATTTATTGGCTGCGCGACTAATAGTTATCACAAAAGCTACTGTGTTGAGAATAGATTCATGTGATTCCGCAAAGATTTAGCATAGCTAAGATTTATGAGGTACATTATTCAGGCGATGAAGTGTGCAGAGTATGTAAGAATGTTTTCGAGCGACTTTTCACAAAGAAGCTTAGCACCTCTTCTCAAGGGCGCTGTGTAAGAGCCAAAATATAAGGTGCGCGCCTACGCTCCCACTACACAAGTCATCTGGTGTTGCATGTCGGTCGTCTAGGATAATTAGGTGCCCGTGTCATGATAGTATACTGGTATTGTTCATAGTCAACCGTGAGCTGTGTTGAGCTCTCTGATTCATCAGTAGAGGTATTTGGGTGGGAAGCTCGCCCCCAGCGCGGCCGCGGTAAGCAATTATTACCTGGCTAAATACCTTGATTTTGGTATCGGATTTCCCTCCTTCTTAGCCAGCCGACGACCCAAGCGAGGCAAAGTCACCCGAGGCAAGGTTAACCCGAATCTGAACCGGCTTGCTCAGCGCGGCTGTTCCCCAATATGACCGCATTGCTTCCTCTTGAACCTTCACATGTCAGCAGGCGTCGTGGTCGAGAACGCTTCGGATTTACCAAAACCCCATCATAACCTGATACTAACGGAAGCGACATCAGATCCTCAAGGATACGATTGGCTTTGTGCAGTGATGGCAGGGCTCATTATGGGCCAGCCTCGCGTGGCACAATCTACCATTGGCTGCAGATATACAGTACCGGAGGGACTTGTATATAATATGGGGCAGTCAATACCGGGTTTATATTGCTATGGCCGGATCGCACCAAGAAGCGAAGCCCGGCGCTGCTGCAAGTTGGGAAATTGTCCCAGTATTGCGGTATTGACATGTGGCTCGAAGCAAGCTAGGTACAGAAATGCTGGTAGAATCTAATGGTGCCCCACTAAGGCGCGAAGCACGAAGACGTCGTGGCGGTTGCACAGGCTAAGGCGACTTTCTGATCTGGACGGAATGCAGTGAATCCCATATTGATTGATTATTATGATAAATTCCGAGTTAAGAGAGCTGGACGTTTCGAGTATATCAGTATGACGACCAAAACTGGTGTCCAGAGTGGAGGATATCAGTGTCTCAGATCGGTCTGCTTGCCCCGAATAAAGGATAACACATCGGATGAAGCCACGCGAGTCATGCAGGGGATTTGAGCTAAAATGCGCAGCCGAAGTAAGTGTGCAAGAAAAACCCACGTGACTGGCTAAACTTTTCTGAAATGCTGTTCCAAGCTGTGAGATCCGCATCCTGTGGCAGCGAGATTCAATGCAAAGTGTGCGCAAGGAGATTGGAAAACTTCAGACCAAGCTGCGAAACTCGAGACGGGAATAATGCTAGTCTAAGTGAGATGCAGGATGGAAGCGAGTCTGTGGCTGGTCGTTTGATTGGACGAGACTATTATTAGACTTAATCTTTCTACGTTGTCTCCGCCTTTCTCCCTCGCCGGCTTGTTTCCAATTCATTCTAGTTTATAGCAAAGCGTCCCCAGTCCGGCAATTCCACAGCTTTTTGAGGGGGTTCAGCCTTGCAAGGTACCCTAGACGACGCGCGGTCTTGCGTCGTCAGATGGCGGAACGACTGCAGCATACAGATCATGGCACAGCCGGAAGCACTTACGCATAGGAGTTGCCTCTCATTACGGCAAAGCGCGCAAGGTGAATTCCGTCTTGCCGACGCATACTTCGTGGTCTCTAGAGAGTTGAGCCTCGACCCGATATGATCCCAATCGCAAGCGGCTGTATTGGTGGAAACCCTCAACACTAAGCTGCATTTGGACCCTGCCAGGGACCGGTCAATAAAGACAAAATCCGGTGGATTCATGGATCCCTCCTTGACTTTGTGTGCTATGCTTGCTAAGTAATTGAGACGGCCGCCGACTTAAAGAGTTCGGCATTCCTTCCGGGCAAGCTAGAAGTCATGGGCGGAGTCCGTTGTATCACTGTCTTTCCAAGTGATCCATCAACATGATCGAATACAGTGCCTAGCCAAGCCTACGGGTCTGATAGTCACTTCCTTAATGCGCCCCCAAGTGCTCCAGACGATCAAAGTCTGTTTCTCACATTCTGCATAACCTAAACCTTATTTCCTCGTACTGCGACTTCTCAACACATCTCCTTCGACAACAGTATTATATGAACAGATAGGTCCACGATGGACGGCGGAGTACCGCCTGCTGACAATGGAACTGGAGGGCTAGCTGGCGAGCCTGGATTTTCAGATGACGGTGTCACAGTGGCGTTCATTGTGCCACAAGGTCTTGCTGCTGTGATCCTAACCTTCTCGCTCTTTTTTGCCGTAGCCTCGCTCGTCATTGTTTCCCTCAGGATCTGGATCAGGGCCCGATCGAACATAATAGGAGTAAGCAATTTGCGGAACCATTTTCTACCCTTTCTAGGATGTTTACGAAGCCGATATTGCCTGTCAAAGGCAATTATCTCTTTGTAACCGTTTCATAATACTCCCAACGATCACGACGACCCGTTGTAAAAAAAAAAAAAAAAAAAAGTGCTAACTCCGAACACTATAGTGGGACGACGGGTTGATGGTATGTGGACTGGTACTATTCCTGGTAGATACCGGTCTTGCTTCCTATGGCACATTCCAAGGATTAGGGACACCCAACGCTGAAGTGGGCTCGCAAATGGAAATCATCGGCTTGAAGGTCAGTTACTCGCGTGTGTCCTATTGACTTGGCAGTGTGCTAACGCACAACAGTATGTCATGATCTGGCAACTTTTCTATATAGTGTCGCTCTGCTTCATAAAGAACAGCATCTGCATCACGATGCTTCGAATCGCGATAAACCGGACACATCGATGGGCGTTATATGGGACAATAGCAGTATCCACGGGAGTGTCGCTCGTAGGGTTCATTGGCATGCTCACGGTTTGCCGCCCTATAACGGCGCAGTGGGAAGCAGGATCGGGGACCTGTGCGCCCCGATCAGTCATAATTGCCCTCAACTATGTAATATCTGCCGGGGCTATCGTCACAGATTGGGCATGTGCTATCGTCCCAGCATTCATCTTGTGGAATGCACAAATGAGGAGGAACGTCAAGTTATCCGTGGGAATCGTACTTGGCCTTGGTTCGCTCGCTTCGATATCGACGTTTTTGAGAATTCCATACCTGAAGTACTATGAATCTTCGGATAACTTTCTCTGTAAGTTGTTTGATGAGGTGGCGAAATGCTAGCTGCTAACACATCCTACAGACAACGTTGGCAACATTGTTCTTTGGTCCGTATTCGAGGGGGGGATTGGCCTTGTCGCCGGATCGTTGCCTATGCTACGGCAGCTCTTCAAGCGATGGCTGGGAAGCACAGCCCGCACCACGTCAGTAGGTCCGTCAAACCTTGTCACCATTGGTGGCAGCCACAGAAAACACAGCGTGTCACAAAGTCAAAAGCCTCCTCCATACTCTAGTCGTGCTTCGAGGACCCGAGAGGACAGAGGTTGGGACAGGCTGGAAGATTCAAACTCGGATTTGCACCGTCTGCATGATGTTCCGGAACATTCCGAATCTCAATACGAATTACGTGATCTCGACCGACGAGATGTTAGAATGTTGGTCCAAGATACGGAGAAGAACATTGCGTTGGCGAGATAAAGGATTGCCTTGTTCAAAACAGCAGATGGTTGCTTCTGCACAAAATGTAGATCAACAGTTGGGTTCGGCGTTGGCGCAAAGTATACCCTGGTACGCATTCAGTCTTTACAACAGAGCTTCTTTTTCGCAAGTCCAACATGTGCTACATATACCATGTACTTGACGGTGATTCTAGTTCGTCGGATCTGCGCTCACATGTAAACGTCCTCGGAACGTTGCACCCATCCGCTGTTGAGACGCGCGAAACACTTCTGGGAACGAAGCCTGAAGTTCAGCGTTGTCTCCTCCCTCGATGAGCAATGCTAGCATTCTCGCACACATCCAGCACAGCACCATACCATGACCTTGGAAACTGCATGACATCCACAAATTCTTTTCCTCGGGAACTTCGCCCACGAATGGGAACCCATCGGCACTGTAGCCCATTATGCCTGTCCAAATGCTACGAATACGTCCTCCAGGGTGGTCTTCTCCCCAGTAATCTCCAAAATACTGAGGTAGGCATTCATAAAGGATTGCATCAATATCCTCATTCACCGTAGTGTCGTCAGTTGTGCCATACTCCAGTATGCCACCGCCCGGCGCTTTGAATTGCCCACCGCCAATCACTATATCACCTTCGAAGTGGGAGCCTTGAGGACGTGACACCATGTATTCATACCCACCGTTGTAACGGTAGCTGTAAGTTACGGGCAAACCTTCTTTTGGCATTGCCTGTCCCGGCCTTTGCGCAGTGACATGGCCCCGATACGGTACAATTGTACCTTGAAACTTGTTGACCAGATGTGCCGTGTATCCATTCGTTGCAAGTACGACCTGCTGGGCAATTATATCTCCTCGGGGTGTCTGCACTTTCCATCGACCATCGGCGAGGCGTTGCAGGCTCATAGCAGGAGTATTAGTCTGCAAGTTTAGACCTTGTTCGAGACATAGTTTCAGGATGCCGATAGAGAGTTTATAGGCGTGAATACTTCCAGCCTCGTATACGATGCCTCCATAGATGTTCTCGGTGCCTCCATTCCCGCAGTAGAACTCTGCTCGGACTTCTTCGGCAGTTAGGATCTTGTACACGGAAGCTGGGTGATCCGGCATCGCTTTCTTCATGGCTTGTATAGCCCGCTCGCTCTCTTTCCACTGTGCTTCGTCATAAAAGACATCAATTGTTTCACAAGGATGCGAATCACAGTCTATAGCGTGTGCCCTTGCGAAAGCGTGCATCTCCCGGATGTTGCTCAGTTCCAGCTTGGCTATCTTGACAGCTGTCTCGGTGCCATGTTCTTCGGCATGCTGCAAAAACGAACGATATGATGCTGCTTTAGTGTTTCCGCCTGGATTACGATTCGTATGAGCCAAGCCGTGCGAACAGCCAGATAACATCGGGCTTGCTTACCATTCCGACCAGTGGCTCCCGAGGAAGCCTGACGGGCCTCAAGCATGACGATGTCTTGTCGGCCATACTGAAGAAGGTTGTAGGCAAGGGAAGCTCCGGTTATTCCACTTCCGATAATAACAATTTCTGCTTTTTCAGGAAGACCCATGGTCGACCTGAGATCTGCAACATCATCAGGAGGGGTCTGCCAGTAACTCGATGTGGGGTTGGCCCGAGGCAGTGTTACTGGAATTGCTGCGCGCTGCTCCATCTTCGGGCTCTTCTAATGTATAGGTATAGAGAAAAAGTCCTCGTAGGCTGGTCGAGGATCGGATTAGCAGTAGCTAAAGATCATAAAAGTAACGGGGATCTCGAGACGATCTCAACAATCGTAAGAATCTACAATGTTATCACGGCACATTGCGGCGTGCGGGGGTCGCTGAATTGCTATCTAACGAAAAGTGGCCTGCCTTCATAGCAACTGGCTTAACTTGAGACCGCTCCACCGAATGACGGACGTGGGCATAAGTTGATAAGACAAGACCTGTGGTCTCTTCTCCAGAAGCGATGGGATTACTGGAGACAAGGCTCGTCGAGTAATTTACATGCATGATAATTGAATCGGTACCTAGTCCGAGCGATCTATGACTTTCATGTCGAATCCCTATTGAAGCCGCGACGCGTCCTACTCACGCGCTGCCGAGTACCGGCTCAAGCTGGCCCATCGCCCGCAAGCTCTGCTTACCAAAGCTAACAGAAATAGGCCTTGTTTCAACGGAAGCCTTTGCAGGAAAAGCGATTTTCAAGATATTGATATCGTAGCAGCAAGTAGGTCGTGCTGCAATTGGTGAAGGCTTTTGGAATAATCAGGCCTTCTGGGGCTGGCGGTAGGCGCCACAAGTGTCATCTAACCTAGTCTCCGCCCTAGGTAACATGTTGTACCCGTCAGCGTTTGTCCATCCTTGGTGCGGCACAGTACGTATGCTGACAGTGCTCAATTCTCCCGAGGCCGCCATGGCTTTATCCTTCATCGAAACTGTGAATACGTAATCAAGGAAACACCAATTTCAAGCTCCGGCCGAAACTGCGTTATGGTAGGAGTTGGTGGGCGTTCCAAAGCATGCGAGAACTGTCGCAAAAGAAGATTGAAATGTGGTATGTGCCGAGTTATAGTCAACATTATGTAACAGCACTGACGAGCCAACCGATTCAGACGAGACCAGGCCTGCATGCCGGAGATGCATCAAGGCAGGTTTGGCTTGCGGAGGGCCTCGCTCGACATCATTCGTCCATTATCATGGCGAGTCTGAAGATAAGAAGCGATCTCGACCACGCAGCTTGGCGAGACGAGATGTTGCTGTGAGTGCGATGGCAGTCACAGCGCCCACCGCGTTGCAGTCGCCACGCACGCCTCAAGCAATTTTCCAGATGCATCCATTCGAGGATGACCTCTTCTTGGCATACATGCGACATAGGTTGTTACACGGTCGTGCCCAACAGACCTTATATCTGAAGGCACCTGATAAGCAATTGGCGGCGAAGTGTCTCTTGGCTCTGTCTACGACATATTTTGGTGCGGAGCATGGCGACTTTGATCTAGTGCAGCGTGGTCAGCATCAATACAACGAGGCCCTGAGCGATCTGAATATGGCCTTGAGTAATCCAAGCCAATGTCGTACATATGATGTACTTGAGTCTGTAGTTGTTATGACCATCTTCGAGGTACCGCATCCACGACTGTTCTCTTTCTGATTGCAGCATCACTCACTAAGAACGATTTTCAGTTCATGGCTTCCACGTCTGAACACGGTTGGATTCACCATGCCTGTGGGCTAGAAAAGCTCATGGCGTTACAAGGACCTGATAGCTTCAAATCACTGGCAGCATTGACTATCCTAGAGCAATCACAGGCCATCATTATTCTGGCCGCTCTGGTGCTCCACAGGTCAACGATATTCTCAAAAGATGAATGGAAGTACGCTCCCTGGGAGAATCACCCAGATCGACGTTCTGATGTTCAAGATCTCTACGATATTCTCGCAGATTGCGCGGAATTGCAAGTCGCAAAAGACAAAGCACATGCCGACTTGATGCATGGCAAAAACTGCGACATGCACCAAACGGTTATTGAGAATGTTAACAGCCTTCTTAAACAGCTCAGTCAATGGCGGTGTAACTGGACATACGAAGAGGTGCCAGTCACAAAAGCTGCTCCAAATGAGCTCAATGCCAAGAGCGATATCGTACCAGTTTGGAACACATCCTACTGTTTCAACTCACTTCATGGTGCTAATGGACATGGGCTTTCCAATGCAATTCTTATCCTTCTCTTGAGAATGCAACGAGAGACAATGGCAGCTGCAGATATAACCTGCCCTCAGGCTTCTGACATGACGAAAACGATTTACGACGCCGGCATTGCGATCTGCAGAAGTGTTGATTATCATCTCGATCACTCACGTGTCGGTTCCGGTAGCCTAATTCTGCAGTTTCCACTACGTATGGCATACGAGGCTGTGGCAGTACAGTCTCCATCAGTGGCTAGATGGATTCGAGATGTCCTTCAAGATATCAATGTAGGGTCAGCAGGTCGATGGAGTTCTGCCAAACATTTGCTCCAGGTTGGATTTCGAAATCTATCGACGCTCTGAGAGCTAGTGTGGAAATTTTGAAGTGCATCATCCGTAAAGATTTTCGATGACCAAATACTGTAGTTTGGCAATGTCTTCCAGCTGCTTGGCCTCGACTTTAATGATATATCCTTCCTTACCTTTTCTCCTGCGCTTCTCACTCTTCCTGCTCTGCTTATCGAACTTTTTCACGAAATCTTTTTCTTGCTTCGCAATACGCTTCGAGACTTGGCGTGCACTGATCCTGTCTAGAACACTCCTCTGCTCTGCAGGAGGGGGCACTTCAAGAGTCAAAGGAGCTATATGCGGTGCAAGAATTTGCATGCGCCGGTCCCTGAGGGCAATAGGCTCTCGATTCATATCAGAAGGTCCTAATGCCGGTCCATTTGCAGGCAAACCAAGCAGAGCAACCAGGTCCTCATCTTTCTTGATAGACACCTTCAGACCGCGAGGATTCAGGTACATCTCGTTTACCTTCTTGAAAAATGCCTTCGTTCGGGCTGCCGAGATACCTGCTGTGCCGACTCCTGCGGCGACCTGAATGCCAAAACCCGCTGCTTGAGCCCAATGATACGGTCTGTGTCCTATCATCAGTTCCTGAGTGGTATTAGAAAGCCGGCGACAATGATACTTACACAAAGCCTAGCACCATTCCCGCCGTATCCACAGCTTTCATAGGTGGAGAAGCTGCCTGTGCAACAGCAAGATTGTCGATCATGGACAGGAAGTCTGATTCGTGGATGTCATGCGCTCGCAAGACGTGACTGTAGACCCGCAGGAAAGGCAGCGGAATCTGAAGTTTACTGGCCGTACCGACGCGAGGAATTACAACGGGTTTCTACGGGAACTCGGTTAGCACGTTGCTGCCCAGGGGATAGATTAGGGTACGGACCTCTAAGCGTGATGTTGGTCTAAGTTGGGGCATTCCTTGAGGTATCCAAGACAGACTGGCGTCTATACCGGTGTCTTCCGCTTCCTGGCTAGATTGCTGGGGAGAATCCGAGGTGGTATATGCCGAGGAATAAGCTGGGTGATACGGAGGACTTGGTTCTACGTTTGAAGACATAACAGCGTTTGGATATTTCGCTCGTGCAGATATTTTGGAATTATTAAGAGATTAATACTGCCGTGGAATAGTAATAAGAACTTGTATTTGTTTTGGCATGTTGAATTAGGCATGCTGAAAAAGGCGCAAACGGTTTATATAGATGTTGTCATCGGGGCCATATGATATGGGATCTTCAGTGTGTTGGCTTAGCCTCACTCAACACGGCTCAATCGTCGAGGCTATCATCAGCTCGTTGCACCAACCAATAGATAGCTTTCCATGGAACGAAGTGATCTGCGTTGTGCTAGGTGCACTGTGATCACTACTCCCAAAAAGGCTCATTCCTCGAGCCCCATTTATTATAGCCCATACCGCATCTGGTTCATTTCTCGACACTAGTTCCTTTTGGTGGTAGTGCAGTTCCAATACTGGAAACTGCAGTCTTGGCTTCTAGAGCATCATGTTCGCGCTTTCTCCACTTAATCATGACCATGAGTATTTACAACTGGTGTCCGGTGGTACTCGAGGAGTTTTCCACTTCTGACCGGGCGCAGCGATTTCCCCAGGCGCTCTGATATGATTTTCTGTCTTGTTGCCGCAAGTATGATTGTGAGGGAGCGTATGGACTATTGCTGGTGCAGTACATGAAGATGTAACGCCGACGCCACCAACGTTCCGGATGACGAGTAGTATAAAGTGTCCAAGGAAAGTGCCATTTTCTCCTCGTACACCAGAGCGGTCAGTCATCAGGATACATTTTATTCATTCACATTTAGTCAAAGTCAGGACAGCGCGGCCTCGCTTAGAATGTACACCAGGTACACGCAACAAATCAGATTACCTGCAGCCGACTCTGACACCAGCGAGAAATATAAATTTGGCAGCATCTAATGGGCTCTACATCAAACAGTATCCTACGAACTAATATTATAAGTTCATGGAATACATTAGCAACGGCATCGCGCTGAATGGAAGAAACTTCTGTATTCCTAGCAATGCGGCCATGGTCACATCGTACAGAATCGACAGATCATAGCAGCACCGCAAACAGCTCGAATGAATCACAGATATCAACGTCCCCATCGTTGGCAACTACTGGTCTTACGCTAACATCGTAAGGACTAAGTATAATGCGTACAAGCCAGTATTGGTGTCGGCGTTACGGCGGCGATTCTCTTGATCCTAGTTCTCTTGTTCTTCATCCTCCGAATACGGTGCAACCCCAAGACGAATGGGCAATACAACAATTTTAGGTTCTAAAAGCTTCAGATAGCGCCCTTTAAGTAGCAAATACAATCATGAATACGCCGAAACAATTCCAATCGTGTAGGCGAGATACTGACGGGGTCGGATCGGGCAGAGCTGGAGGATATTGGACATGAGCGCGTCTATCGACACGATCTTTCCTCCTGAAAGTGTATGTACCTTCTAGTCTAGGCGCATTAATGAGATGCGCCAGCACTCCACATTCAAATGTTTCATCATTCTATTTCGAATCTATACATATATTGTAGCAGGCGTCAGTATCCAAGTAGACTTGATGGGTAATACATAACCCTCGCTGACTGCCACACAAGGCTTCTGGGCCAGTGCGCTTCTCAATCTCGGTCTCGGTATCGGAAGGTCGCTGATGGGTTACTTCAGAGACAAACTCAGTCGCATCGACATGGACCTGTCGATGACGGCCCTGCGCGGGGTTGTATTGTTTCGCCCTCTGGATACCGGAGCAGGGCATTGCTCTCTTGTCCGTCTTCGCACTGCTCGCGAGCATGCTATACGGAGCCTTCTGGTCAGCTGTCACGCCTGTCCTTGACGAAATGGTCTGAATGATTAAGATGATGCGCGTCTTTGGTGCCATTATGCTCACGATGGTGCTTCCAACCACGTTTGCCGAGTTGGGAAAAAGCATATCACTGCTCACAGGTGCAATAAATAGTCTACCTTGGTCAGCACCGTGAGCTATGATGAGGGTAGAGAGAGGTTAGATTAGAGAAACATAAGGGCGACTGTGAATGCAGATAGCCAGGTTCCAATTATGTTACCATATGGGGATACGTATACAGCAGTCTACGCATGCGTTTCCTGGTACCGTTGAAAGTCTGAAGCTGCTGGTGTGCCGAAAGATGAACAAAGCCTTTTATTCATCTTTAATCGTGCAGGGAAATTTAGGGACAAAGCACGGTCTAAAAGCATCGTCGTTGACAATGGTTCGTAGTGCAGTCCCTTGTCGAGAGACAAAGCTTTTTGCCAGGCCATCACTTGCTCCGGCGCATCATATCATGAGTCGATGTATTTTTCAGACGTCCCCTACTATATACGACAGGCATTCCACTCTGATCAAGTCGAGATATATCAGTATAGGAGGCTCATACAGTATGTGTCTCCAGATCGCAACGCACACGCAGGTCTGCGACACCAGACCGACTATCAAAATCAGCCAAGACTCAGATTCGACGGTCGTAGACCCGTTCCGCGCCCCTGATGTCTTGTGCAGTTGTGAAAAGGGTAGCGACGCACGCGGATCTCAACAGGATTGTGGGACCATCACTACCCGGCTGGTCCAGTGTCCATGCGACAACGTGGTCCAGTATCACACCTACGTCCTAAGCCCTTCGGGTAGTGTCGAGTCGCCGGTATGGAGGGAAGAAGTGTACACGATGGAGGAGCACTACGGCGTTCACCGAAGTCTGGGTTCCACACCGATTTCCGAAGAGCTTCGAGCTGCCCGCTGCGGCGTGCGCTTCCATAGATCTCAGCTGGAAGCAAGAGAGCTTGATGCCAAGCAGGCATTCCGCGAGTTGAGATCGGCCAGGGAAGAGTGTCAAGTGGCTAGACTCCGTCACGAGGACACCCAGATCGTGCAGCTTGCGGAGCACAAAGCCAAGTTTTGTGAAAAAGTGCGTGAGGCTGTCTGCAAGAAAGCCTCAGAGCTGAGCAAGTGTGCTCAGAATTGGGAGGCATTAGTGGAATTGCTCGAGAAGCAGGAATTGGGAAAGACGGGGGCTGTTGAGATGCCGTGATAGGGTACATTGTACAACCTGAGGTATAGTAATTATGCAATTCTTGAAATGTATACGAGAGTGATACCAACACAAATGTTCTTGCTTCATGGTTGAGCCACCGGGCCTAACGCGCAACCTGCTCTTTCAACTTCAAAAGCAATCATTGAACATTGATAAATGCTCATACTATCATCAAGCATGGTGACGGTGCATGCGCATCAAACCAATGAACGCAAAATATAGTTTTCATGAGGCAGATCCGGAGCTTCGCGCCCCCTCATCAGCTTCTCAGGGGTGCGACCCATTCATTCTGTCTGCTAACTAATCAGTAAGGCAGCAGGCTACTTGGAGTACTACATGTTGCGCTGACATGATTTTTGACTCTATACTCCAGAAAAGTACCCATTGATGAATAAGACATACAACTTTGAAGCTCCTAGTGATCTGCTACACACTATGCCATCAGCCGTGGTGGTTTAGTCTAACGTTAATGTTGTGAAACGAATGCACCTTTCCGGCGAACACAGAATTTGCAGGTGCGCTCCGTGTTTGTATTTGCAGTCCGTTCATTGCATACGCAAGGCACACGCTACATTCATTCGTGTCTCTTAATAGACGGCACAGAAGCACGCCAATGACTTCTGTGAACATCTGGCGTTCGTTCGGTGACACAACGGCCTCGCTGACTTGCATATATATGGGCATAGCCCCTCAGCGACACGCACATATGTATGCGGGCAGCAAGGTGGGCGTGTGCATATATTCGCGTCACAGCGGGGTCGCCGTCTCATTTGGGCATGGTCAGGGTTACGCCGAGTTAACAGAAAATAGGAACCTGCGTTGGACTGCATTGGTGCCGCTCACCTTTCTGGTGTGACAGTGGACAGCACCACAATTGACGCTGATCGCAGGAACGGGCGACTCTTAGCTGCAGCTTATAACTGCGCCGAGCATAGTAAGCTAGTCGCTATAATGGTAGATCGACACTTTTAGCCCCGACTATGAGAGTCGATATCGCGACCTCGCGCCATTGTGTGAACGCTCGTCTATTCCTCCTTCGATCCTCAGGAACCAGGTGCACCCGAAACATTGGTAAACGAAGCCCACTACAAAGATCAAAATTACCGGGCAACCCCGCAGAAGCTGACCCACTGTGTAACCGCACCTAACACATCTCATTGGTCGCGTTTCGCTCTTGCGTGCGGACTTTTCGTAACAATGTCACCCACCATCGTAGATACTATGCTCGTGGGGGGGGAGGAGAAGAAGATCTCATAAGCATCAGACCTACATTTTCGATAACACGCAATAATTTGCGGGGAGACAGAAACATGTTCTCCTGCACGACCGGTGAGATGACTCGTAGCCATGAACTAAAAGGAGTTCATTCAAGGTTCGGCAGGACGCTGAGTCGTCTTGAAATCCTGTGCAGTGATAAGGCAACTACATGATCTAAGGCTAGTAGGATAAGGGATGAGGAGACGCTGGGAAACAGACCACCTCGTATGTACGGCGTGATCGTTTTGAGCCGGGAACACGCTCGGCCCATCTGCTCAATGTTTCGCATTAGCTAACGGCAAGTTCAGCCCCCAAGTCGACTGTATACTCTGAACCCGGGCCGTATGACATTGCGCAGTAACGTTATTATGAATAGCCATGCCAAGCAAACATACCTGGAAAACGTGTCTACTGCAGAATGCATTGCAATAGCATAGTTTGGCTACCAAGGAGTGACACCCGCTGGTCGACTGGATCCAATGAACGGAAGAATATGTTTAGATGACATTATGTCAGCCTGCTGGTGTATATCTTTAGTAGCAGCTACTGCATGCACTTTATCCACCCGCAGTTGGAAATGTGCGTGCGATTGCTCCGCCGCCCGCATTTGGGAGATCCGTGCCTCGTGGTCCTTTGGCCCCCAAAGCGTGGTAATTGTTCCAAACTGCCGGAATGCAGCAGTCCTGATTGGAAGTGTAACCGCTGGTGAGACCCCAAATTGTTTCTAGGAATGTGCTGATTTCTGCATGGTTCAGAAACACAGAGAGGCACCGAATGGCCTTGTGGAAGTAGATCACATTGGTGTAATGGTAAATGTGGGCGCTATCCGGAGCACTACGTCTATCAGCAAAACAATTCTGGTATTGGAGAGTCGACTCTTTGAGTAGGCCGGAAAGATTAAAGTCCTCGTTACACACATGCTAGACATGCCTCTGGCTGTACTTGAGTATGCAAGGCATGGATGTAGTTTGTCAAAAATCAGAACACAAACAGGTCCACACAAGGGATCGCGGTGCGCACATGAAAAATGCCACAGTATTTCCCGCGCTGCCGTGAACTTTTGGCCGGCGCCGAGATATCGCGCGACCGCGTTATTCAGGGTGTCAGCATCTATGTTAAGGAATTAGAGCGTTTGATCGCACCCCCTCCCCCAAACCACAGATGAGAGATAAAGTGGTGTGTTGCGACGCCACACTTGCACAGTACGCAATACTAATCTCGCAAATAAGAGCGGAATTGGTGAATCTAAATTGGATATCAGTGTTGGAACAAGTGACTCAACGAAGAGAGCCTCTTCTTGATAAATAGAGAACGAATCAAACATTTGCATTAGGTATATGAACCGCCTCATTTCGTGCTGCCGTGCCACTTTCAACGGCTCACACAGCAGAATTTACCCAGCTCATAATAAGTTAGAGACACTGAATGGGGTAGATTACTTGTTCAACCCAGATGAGTGCAATGTCTAGGACTACACATGGGATTGGGTTTGCTCAACGATTGGGAAAGTTGCGATGAAACTCAATCGAATCGTCCCATGAGCTTGTCTACTTCGGCGATCCCATATGCAATTCTGAGATAGTAAATGTCCTTCATTGAAGGACGTGTAAGGTTGTAGGTGCCTTGCATCATCTAGCCCTGTATCATCTGGGGGCGGAACAAAGGAAGCCGGTGGACTCCCACGGGCCCCGGAACAGAAACACAAGAAACGAAAAGATCCTTGGCTGGAAATTCGCATCCCTAACCTGATTTGAGTACTGTAGGTACTTTCTTTGTGAGTGAATGGTCGCACCCATCTGTTGCACCCTCACCTGAAGACCCTGGACGGTGTTGGTTCTAGCAAATGTGTGCGTTGCAACAACATAATAGCAACCTGGCACATGCCTCGTGGGGGATGAGAATAGGAAGAAAACCCCATTCGAATGAAGACACGCTTGTCTTCCTCGTTGACAACGGAATGTCCCCCCAAAAAGAAAATTTATTGCGTGTTTTCAAGGTATCAATAGTAAAGAAAGTCGTCAATCTTTCTTTCCGGGACAGGAAAGACGGAATTTGGAGGCTGAGACATGCGGGAAGGTGTGAGCATAAACCAATTTAACCGAAGCTCAGCGCACATGCCACTAACCATGGATCAGTGCCATGAAATTTCCCATCCCAGCGGGAAAAGAATTTTTTTTGTCTGACATGGATGGGGGGGGGGAAAAAAACTTCATCGTTTCGTGCCCTGACCCTAATAGAGGTTGACCGAGCCCGAGAAACGAGTTCGAGAGCGGCCCGCGAATAAAATCTAAACAATAATAAAACAGGGCGGTTTAGGGCATTCATACATGAGCTTGAGGCATATATTACAGCAGTTATGCAGATGCAGATGCAGTCGCAATGGAATGAATTGGGTTTGATGCCCAAAGGGCCGTCGAGAACAGGCGGGGTTGATACAGGAAGGGGAAAGGGGTCCAGGCCACCACCCACCAAATTAAAGTTAGTCTCTGGTAACAGCGTCCCTCGAAAGCATTGTGAGCTGTGAAATCTTGGCATACCCACAGCACTGAAAATTGAATTATGATGAAAGACGGCCTTTGTGCGGATCTGTATGAATAGCAACCTTGTGAATAGCACCACTAACTCAGTTTAATTCGTGGCAGAATCTTTGCTTGACCACTCGACTACATGATACTCATTAGATGTTCTTAGTTGAATTGAAATCGTCTCATCCGCTCGCTCTATACTGAAATTTGATTACACATAATAGATAAGGAACCACAAGTAAAAAGTTTTGTTTGCAAAATTTGATAAGATCTAAAATCAAGGGTATATCCACCTGTGAGAAACCCGTATTCCTATCTCGAGTTCTCGAAAGGTCTATAGCAGCGCTGAAACGACAAGACGCCCTGCGATGTTCCCATACAATAGCCCAGCCTTCTATCCTCCCAAAACATCCAGAAAAAAGAATAAAAGACAAAACAATAGCCATTAAACTTTAACCCAACGATATCTCATCGTTGGTATCGATCCTCCTCGTAACCTCTGCCGATGTATCGCAGTGGTATTCCAAGCATTGAACTTTTGGTTTCCTTACACCCAAGCGGAACTTCGTCGAGTTCCAAACACTATATCGCGTGTGCTCGTCCAGTGGCGCGAATCTCGTAAAAGTGATCGCGCTGCTTCTGTTAGGGGTATCAAAAGATAAACAGAAAAACCCGAATCCTTATCCCCGTAATGCATTCTCAGGTTGCCCTGCGTCTGTATGCGGCTAAAACAAGAAAATCCTCCATACATGTGGGAAGTCGCCCCCGGTATGGTGCGCTGTGTCGTTCCAAAAAAGGCAAGACCAGACTCCGTAGGAAATGAATTCCTAGTGTACAGGATGGATTGGCCATCATATTTTGTTTTGTTGTTGTTGTTATCGTTGTTGTTGTTGATGTTGTTGTTTTTGTAAGTTTTGTGATTGCGAATAAGACCTGGAAGCATCGTATCCATGGTAGAGTAAAGAAAATGAAAATCCAGCGGACGTCCAGGTCTCCTCTACATGGTGGGCTTCTTCAAGATTTCCTCGCAGTTGGCATCGAAGCGTAGATTCCAGAGACGGACCTGTTGCATAAAGCGCTCCGTCTTCTCCAACTCACGCTCGCGGCCGAAGAGGGTCTCCACGAACTCGACCCCAGAACCTTTACCGAGCTGAGAGGCGTCCTTGCGCTTGCTGGCCTTGAGCATGGGAGATTCGCAACGCTTGAGAAGTGCGCGAAGCTTGTCAGTCAAACGTTCACCAGACTCAATGAAATCCTCAACCATTTCCCGGTTGTCCTGGGCACGTATCCTGGGGACAATTTCCTCGGAGCGTTTTATCTTGCCAGACAGTTGGATTAGGAGAAGCCAAAGCTCGCCGGCCATGTCCGAGATAGGAGTGGCAGGTCCATGGTGATAGACGGTCCAGTCATAGATCCACTTGCCCAAGGAGTTAGAGTCAAAGACACTACCAAGCAGCATGATCGGCTCCTCGGTGGGGTCCCAGTTCTTCAAAGAGTATCCAGCAGGGATCCGGTGCTTTTTCGCGTCTGCTTCTGTGGCCTTAGCGGTTGAGGGGGCCGGCTTCTTCTGATGGGAGCTGGAGGGCCTGACAGTCTGGGGGCGCTGGATGGGAGCAGTACCGGAGGGACGACGAGTGTGGGAAACCCTGGTTGCCGACCGCGCGACAGGATCTTCGTAGTACACCGGCCTCTCTTTCTCATAAACTGGACCCTGTTTGTAGTAGTGGTAATCAGTGCCATGTCCCGCTGCAGCAGTGTAATACTCGTGACTTTTACGACTCCTCGACTTCGCCGGCAGCACATATGTCACGCCGTCAATCACAAAGAACTCATCCTCGTCGGATTCCTCAAAGGAGGACCGGTAGTAGGAATAAGAGCTGCGACGCTCGCGCTTCGGTGACTGATTCGACCCCTTTGAGAAACTGTGCTTTCGCGAACTCACTTTTGGGCCAGGGCCAGTGGCATATTCGCCAGTGCTTGTGTACCTGGGCGAAAATGAAGTCCTGTAGTTATCTTGGCCGCCGCTACTGGCATTGCGAAAGTGAGCTCGGGTCGCCGGTCTTTGGGGAGTGGCGTAGAAGTAGTTTTGTTGCGGTGATGGTGTCGGCGAAGGGCTACCCGAGTAGTAGTAGTCCGGACCGGGTGTAGACCCGCGGTATGGTGATCCGTAGCTCATCTTGCTTGTCTCTTGCGATGTCCCACTGACATCCAAAATCTCTGAAAGTCCTGACTTGGGAAAATAAGAACTCGTCCCCTATCGACGCGCCGGTCGATCCTGTAAAAGTTGTGCGGTCAAAATTCTAGACAGCGCCTGTGTCGTGACGCTTGAGGGAGTGACACCCGTCACCTTGGTATGTGGTCGGTTGGAGGAGGAGAGGAAAGTCTTCGTCCGTAAGAAAACATGTCAAGGCTTGTTGGTGATATCCCCAGCGAGGAGATTGGGCATCAAAGTCGAGTGACGACCCTGATAGTATGTGCTCGGAAATGCTGGTCTCTTCTGTATCCAGACTGGCGTCGTTCGGTAGAAATGCTTGGGTGATCGTTGACTTGGTTCGACGAGGGATATGGCAAAATGCCAGAGATGAGAGAAGGGGAGTAAAAAGTCTGGTGGCTAGCCTATGGTGAAGGCCTTTAATAATATTGTGTGAGGACGCGCGACCGGTCGGGCTCACAGGGAACAGTCTGGTAACAATGAAAACAGGGATGCAAGTAGGGTCAGGGGTGTCTGCCCGAGAGCGATGACTGCTTTGTCCCGCTTGTGTCTTGGTAATGGAGGGGCGTGGCTCTTGGAACAGTCGAGAAGGAGGCGGGTCCAAGATTAGTCACACACCCTTGCGAATACACATGCCAGCCACACAGTTTCCTTCTCTGTGCACACTGGCTGGCGCTTCAGCGCGACCCAAAGTCCTGCTGAGTCGTGCAGGCAGGCTGTGGTTTCCCTAGTCTGCACACTCGTTGCACTGCAAGTTCAGCTTGCGCAGTGCTTGCATTTGCTGACTCGAGATGCACGCAATATACTCGAAATAGGAGTATAGAGCAAGAATGAGGCGAAGCTCAATATTTCGTAGTGCACAAAGCACGACTCCCCGAGCCTTGGTCACTCGACTAGGCTGGCTCACTGATGTTGCGAAATTTCCATGTCCAGCCTGAGGATGATCGAAATTGCCAATCCTGGGTCTCGTTAAGCACTGATATGACACCGTTGAAGCAGGTGGCCAGGGTCTCCTGGAGCGTCAGGGTCCTGAATGTGCCAGCTCCTCGCTGGAAAATTGGCCTAGGACTAACCGAAATAACGTCGCGCCAAGCGGATACGATGCCACAAGCCAGTCCCACAGTCCGTCAGTACCAAAGTAGGTTTTGGAGCGGGCGCGTTAGAGAAAAAAATTTGTGCCGTCCATCTAGACAAGGGGCCGAGATATTGTTGAATGGCTCGGGTTCGTCAATGGTTCATCGGCAAAGGATCCCCAGGTTGTTGGTTTCGAGGCGTAAACCAACGTTGATGATAACTGGATACGAGATAAGAACGAGTGAAGGACAGACCAACACGAGCACACGCGTGGAATATTGTTGTTTTGATATAGCTTGCGGGAAAATAAAAATGATTGGACGAGGAAACAATGGTAAATTTTTTTTTTTGGAAAGATGGTCCCCGTTGATATCGATGTTTTCTCAAATTGTTTGCTTCGTTCTGTCAACCCCCCGGTTGAATGCTTGGAAGTAGTATCGCAATCTTTCTTGGCTCGTGGTGCAAGTGCTTGAGTTGTCTCGGGATGATTAATGATTGGACTTCAATTTGCGACTGGCACTAATAGAGCCCACACAAGCTACTGTGCTTTGGGATAACTTTATTTCTGGATAGAAAACCCAGGGCGTTGTCACATAGGATTCAAGCGGTTTTGTACTGATAGTGTAGTCCCAACAGCGATGATGGTCTATGAGTAATAGAGGAATGAGCAAGAGCAGCCTGTAAAAGGCAGACAGCGGATGACGACGATGATAATGATGTAGGCGGGGAAGTCGTCGCAAGTCGTGAACTTGAAAGTTGGTGAGCGAGGGGGTGGAGCATGGAAGCCGGCGCTTTGAAGCCTTTTAAAAGTTGGTCGACACATTTCAAACGTTCGCTCTCCCCGCCATCTCCGCTTGCTTTTCAGTCCTTGCATTGGTCTAGCGGTCACTTTCTCGCCATGTATGTACTGTGTAGTAGATTAGACTACGGGAAGCCACACCATCAGAATCCTAGGTCGGAATAATGCCGAGGGCAAGAACGTGGTGGTCTGGTTCATGTATTCACGCTGTACTCATGTTACACCCTGCGTAACCTCAACGGAACGAGCGTTCAAGGTGACGGATGAACGTGGAGAATACGCCGAAAAAGCAGGGGCTGGTTCACACCCACCAATATTGGTCACACATGCCCGTAAGTGATACATATTCGTCAGAAGATACCATTGTATTCACCGTCAGCGCTTCGCCGTCCAAGCCTACACGTTATCACTATTCACGCAAGTCGCCCGCGAATAGGCATCTAGATCGGATTCGGTACTGCGAACCAACCTCGCAAAAACGGTTCGTTGAGCTGCATAGTTCCTGGGACGGTCATCTGCACCTGCATTGCGGGGTAAATGATCGCTGCAAACTAATCCGTACTTCTGCAACCCCATCTTTCCGTGGCTGGTTCTCATTTGGAAAATTTAAGAAGGGCTTGAAGTGGAAGGCATGGCTTTGCATCTAGTCTAGTAGTAGAACGAGATTCAGTGAAGATTCGTCCCTACGAGTATGAACATTTTACGATCAATTATACACGCTGTCCCTTGTTGGAGTGGTTCATACTCCAACGAATCTCAAAGCACACAAAATCTCGGCGGATAAAAAGAAAAAGAAAAAGGAGTAGTTAGTGGCAACCGCACAGACTCAGTACCCTCCATCCGTAAGATTCTAAGTTGAATTGAATCGTAAGTCTCTTCGTCCAGCGCCAGCATACACGAATCGTGTAGTTAAGGTTCTTTGATGCTGACGGTTCGTTCATTGTAATGTTTACACCCTGCACTCGCGTCATTTCGCCAGAATGAACTGGGGATATGCAGCTCAGTTCAGCCGATCAACCAAGTTAAGTTATTTCGGCGGGCGGTTGTTCAAACGGACTGAACTTTCCTCTATACTTCCCATACACACGCTAGGAGGCCGACCCGTACAATCGCGAAAACTTCACGCGATAAGGTTGTCTGCAAGCAATAAGGTATTGAGCCTCACCGGCTGACCGAAGTCAGGGAATTCCACATGCAACTTTATTAGTGCGAGGCTCACTGAATTTCCAATTATGCTCCCCAGAGCCTCGGGACATGGCTAATGCAAAGACGCGGCTTGGGGGCCGCAAAAGCTTCTAGCGGTTCTCCAGCGCCCTGTCAGCTTTTGGGGAAAGGACTCCCGTCTTCCGTAGCCCATACGCCGGCTGTCAACAAACCCCCAATGCTAATTTCGCGCGACGACGGGATTTACGAGATTGCTCCATACAGTACAGCTTGGACTGTCATGTCCGACCTAGTTGCTGCGAGCGGAAGCCTGCAATATACGATGATTATTCTCCTAGTTGCTTGGACTGACATTACATCCACTGCCGCGGGTCGGCCCAACATGCACCGCCAGATCCATCCCTGTAGCCATGTTCCAAGACCTTTTGCAGGCATCGTCGACAAGCGTCACGCAAACTTTGGCTTGCTTTTGTGGGTCTCAAGCGCACATTCTTCGCATGATCCTTGATAGCACACCTTCGCACACCTTGACGGAACCGCTGGCCCTCAATCCCGCTGCCCCATTTCCTCCCCTTGCAAGCCTGCAAAGCCTAGTTCCGCCCGTGGTGCCTCCTGTGTCTATCATTTCATTTCATTTCATCTCGATAGGAAAATTTTCTTCTCGTTCTAATCTCTTCGATATCTCGCTGTCCGGGGGCTTGTCCAAAGGAGGCAGCCGATGTCGACAGCGTATCCCTCGAGTGACTCATACGAACCTCTTGCTTGTCTACGAGCCATCTGTGCCTTATTGCCAAATTGTTGTGCTGCAGTGCTGTCCAACCTGTATGAACAGCAGACTTGCTGTGAGCTGAATGGCCAAACTAGTAGGAACGAGGCCAAACTGCATGGCCGTCTGCTTTCCGATTGGAAGAATGGAGGATCCTTAAATGTGCGGTTGGCATGCCACAACCAAAAGGATCTCAGAGGATGGAGCCGCTAACTGATGTCCCTAACCCATTCCACCCACTCATACCACACTATTTACGCTGTCTACTTTCACACCGTCTATTATCAACAACAAATTCGACGACTTCGCCCAAAAATAGGGACCGCATCGGACAACAGGCTACAATTTCAAGCTGATCCCATATTTCGTCACTCACCGACTCTTTTATTCGGCGACGGCTTCCATGGCAATGTGAGGGGCAATGCAATCAATCGGCCATGCATGCGAATTCATGCCTTACATTGAGTGCAAGCAAGGAATGGGTCTGCATGTTGTACTGGACCTAGAACTTTCAATACTGACGTAGCAGCAACGCACAAAACCTGTGCCCAAAAATTACTTGCAACTTTTCAAATCAATAACAAATCAATAACAAATCAAGTGACAAGTATTTTTCTACAGGGGTGAATCATACCAAAATGCGGTGCCGCATCCGGAATTGGATCGTTGAAGGAGTACCTATTGCTTTTACCGCTGCTGCGGCACATGTTGAAATGTGGTACACGTTTCGAGGTAAATAGTTCACCTCGCACACCGTATTCATGCAATCGATTGCTTTTCCATCAAAACCTGAGAGAACCCTCATCTTAATGACAACTGCAATGGTGGAGGGATTTACTTATGGTCATCCACACCATATTCGGGCTAACCAACCAGATCGAATGTATGACAGGCGTGGTGGGTGGTAGATATCCTGTCACATTTGAAGGCCGAATTGACTTCGAATCTTTCGTCTTTGACAATCACCTCGGGGCTCACCTGGCCCTCCTGTTCTGTATAACAGATATGGTTTGTTCAACTCATTTGCAAATCACGGCGCGCAACCCAGACGCTTGGGATTTAGGCGTACTGTTCTAAGCTGAATGAAGCCCTACAGCCCGGCACTTTCAGTCGGCTGCCTCACTTTAAGATTTCGTTTCTTTTTCGCCTTCTTGACTGCATCCGAGTTCAGATTCTGTGCACGAGGGAACGCTTCCGAACTATGAGCGGGCAATAGCAGACGGAAGCAACTGGGCTTAGCATGTTTCATACCAATTCTCTCCACTGCTACCATCGATGTGCCAATCATCAGCCCAGTGTACGATTTCGAGTACAACATTCTCAGCAGTCATAATGCTGCATGGCCCATTTCAATAGCCCTATTATTCAATTGGTGAGAGTCGACCCAATGCTCTGGGTTGACTTGACGTGTCAGAGTAAGCTATAAAATCGTGGCTCAATCGCATGCTTGTGATAGGTGGTTCTAGGCGATATTGCCACCTTTTTCAACCATTCCGGAACATTGCCCTTTTGGTTTCAATTCGACCACATATCAGAGCGAGTCTCGAATCGCCTTCGCTGGATTCTGTTTTACTGTGTCATGTTCTCAATATGTGTCATTCTCTTCCTAGGGGGCTTGAGCCTTTGGTCCAATAACCAGACATGACCACACATTCACATTGCACGGATCTCGGCGTTACGCGGTCCAAATCCCAGAGCCCATGCAACTTCGCGGCATCGGTGTTAATCATTAGCAATCGCCCCTTGGTCGGGACTCGATGTGAACAGGCTTTCGCGATGGGGTATTTAAGCCATAATAATGTAGATAATCGCTAGACCGTCCGCTTAGCAACTATGAGTCATCGTTGTCGCACATCAGCAAACTGGTCACTGCATACCATTGTTTGAACCAGAGGCTCAGTACTCGCCACCAAAGTTCAGAGTACTATTGAGTTGAATGAAGGCAGCCTCTCATGACGACGACGACGACTAATGATCACCAGTCGCTGAGTGACTACCCGTACATTTCAAATCTTTACATTGATTTCTGCAGTCATTATTTGCGCTAGTGGACATTGTCCAAGTGCAGGCAGCAGTGTCACATTTCACCATGATAAGCAGGGCACGTAACGCCATGACCATTCATGAACCAATATTACGGCAGAACCTCAAACCGTCGAAGTCATTGGTAGTTTAGCCACCGGCAATGGTCGCCTTGCTCGGGTCATTCTGTTCCATTGGTTATTTTGCGACGAGCCTCATCACCCTTTCATCTTGCCTCACCCGCGTCTTTCTGCTCATTCCCCGTGGGGGCTGAAATCATCTTCACTGGTCCTGCACACACGTAACTGTTGTCGATTGCGTACGATTGCCTCTGCGCCTTTTTTAATTTACCTGGTACTAGGCAGAAAATCTCTACTATGGGCACGCCTATACGCATCAATTAAGTGAAATCGGGGTGTTCAGTGACTCATTTTCCTCGCACTGGGCTCAAACGTAGTCCATCACCGCGTTGCAGTGGGGAGAACATATGTGCATGTAACGGTTTTAGTAATAAATTATTAACCCGATCCTCGTGGTTGAAAATGAGTAAACGATTACAATCAACGTGCAATTTTTTTTTTTTTTAAAAATTTGGCGTTATGTTGAGCTAAATATCGTGCATACAGCAAGTCCGCTTGTGAATAGTATAATCAAACGGCCAGACCCGACTTCCTCACTTCGCTATGACACTTTCCTCAGCTCTCCCGGTCCTTGTTTCGAGGTAGAACAAATACAATTGGTGCAATGAGGTGGCTGGATGCCTTGAGGCTCAGCAATGCCTCGTTTGCAATGGGCAAGATACAATATCGATTATTGACTGAGACTTAGAAATTCGATGTTGATTGATCCCAGATCTGATTACAGCGAGTCATCATCCCAAAACCAGGATGACAAAAACACCAATTATTCCCCGCATAAGTTACAGCAGGCACGCTGATAATCCAGAAGGTAGTAACCAAAGCATATACCTCTCATGATCTTTGAGTTATACGACCAAAGAGCGTTGGCATCACAGTACAGCATGTACCAATTCAAAAACTGGTCCTTATCTTGGATATTTTTGAAGCGGCGACAGCGCATAATCTGTGTCAGCGTCCCGCCGTCCATCTACCCAACCGTCTGTGGTGCATTTACCCATTTTCCGGATTCTCCCAAGACTGGCAAGTTGAAGGTAGATTCCTGGCACATAAGCTGTCCTAGCCTAGCCTTGATGTTATCTCTTTCCCTTTTTGTCAAGCCTTTTGAAGTATAGGCAATCTCAAGAGTGTCCCCCACGAGCAAATATGCCAGATCACCAATTAGGTCGTGTCCCATCCCTATAGCACCAAATTGCATCAGTAGTGGCTCGTCTTCATTTGTTACCAGAATATCTCTGATCGCTTCCAACTCCATATAGCGAGAACGAAGTGTCTCAACTATTCCTGCTGCGTGGAAAGTCTCGTACAACTCAGTCCAGTCAGTGACGTCGGCGAGCAGTGGGCTCCATCTTATGTCGCTTTTCAACACACAGCTTACGGATTATGCCATCTGCGATCTGATAAACGCGTCAAAACAGCTGAAAGCTTCACTTCCCCAGGGTAAACAGAGGTAGAAGAATCTTCGCGCGCATTTTCGTTGAGTAACAGGGTTGAAAGCGGCATGGGATTTCGAGAAGTTAGCGACGAATGCATCGCGATGCTACAACGTGAGCTCTATTTGGTGCTGCTCCGTCGGTGTCGATTCGTATTCCTTGGGATACTGCACCGGTCCGATGTGATAATCCATACGCATCATGATAGTCTCGCGTATTATTTCAGTCATTATTTGGGTCTGTGCGTGGCGCATGTGGAAGGCGTTGACGTCCTCGAACGTGAGCAATTTGGGGATAATTTCACGGTCGTCGCTCATATAAGCATGAAAGAGGTTGAGTTGTCTCTCAATTTGGTTGATCAATATGGTTGATCCCTCTAGGGCCTGGACGACACTTGCGGCTCTTATCAGCAACTCTTTGCCAGAAAAGAAGTTGGCCAGAAGTACGTGGGCGATGGATTGTTCGAAACGCAAACGCACACTGGTGAGACGGCCACAAGAGCGAGACACTTGTTCGACCTCCTCGGTGGTGGTGAGACGTGCGAGGATTAGCAAACGAATCTCGGTACAAAGTGAACACAGCGAGCAACGATGAGACGTTTGATATGATAGGTCAGGTTGCTGGCGGCGGAGTGGTATGGATGACACGAGAGTTGCGCTCAGCACATCGTGACGGCGTTCTTTATTAGTTGATCGCATTTTCGTCCTGGCACGGATGCAGAGGCCTTAGTATGGGAAATGAAGTGTAGGAATCGAAATGAAGTCGTTGTGGACGAAGTTTGATCGATGGACAAGTTTGTGTTGCAATTCTTGATATGTTGGGTAATATGTATTATGCGTCAGCACCGACGGATTGGCTATATCTTTATAGTTACTTATTGAAATGTTCTTAAATAGGCTCGATTTGTTTGAGATGCGTAAGTTTTGGGTCTCTAAGGTAGATAAGTATTCACCTGTAGCCTGTATAGTAGTCTGACCGTGATAGCCTGTCGCCTACTCAATCGATTTGGCCTAGGAATTAAATCTTGTGGTTGAGCATGTGCCAGCAGTGTTGATTTGGAGCGACGGTCGAACTTTTTTACTTTCAAGATTTCGATAGATTTTGAAAAGAGACCGACAAGCACTCGTGTTTAAGTTCTTGACATACAAGGTGATATCCTCTCACTGATCGGACGGTTAGGACAAATATTTGTGTCTTTTCGCGCAACGCCGCTGCTGTCGAGATCTCTCTACAAGCGAATCGATGGGTGAGATCATGGATTATTGACTCGCCCTCCTGGGTTTCTTTCGACCGGTACGTTCACCCTGCCCCCAACGCTGTTTCGATTTGTTCCAACTGTGTTGACTCTGCCTCCTGGGTTTCTTTCCGGCAGTATATTCACTCTGCCCCCAACTCCATTCGGATTGATCCCAGCTACATTGACTCTTCCTCCATGTTCAGATCTAGGATCAACCCGACTCCCAGTCCCTTCATTGAAAACGCCTCCATGCACACCAGGGCCGCGAGATACTGATGGGCGTTCGTTATTGATTCCCGATGTCCGTTCATTATTGATTCCCGATGACCGTTCGTTATTGATTCCCGATGGCCGAGGAACCGGACCTGTAGGAATTGGTGGGGTTGATATAGTCGATAAGGACTCATAGGATTCGAGACTTTTCTCCGATGTAGTGGCTATGGACCCTCCCACAGTGGTGATGCTTACCAGGCGAAACAGCACCAACGAGCAGACTATGACGATGACTATGTGCAAGGCGATGACTAATGCAATAACATCATTGGGCTTCACCATCTTATTCGGGAGACAATTTGTGACCAATTCGAAGCTCTCTACACCATTTTGTTGTAGTTGTTCGCAAGCATAGAAATACAACCAGGCATTCCTGGGCTGTTAACTTTTCTCGGTTAGTATAGAATGAAGTGGCTTGTTGAAAATCCAGGACAAGAAAAGGATATTGTTTACTCACACTTCTCTCGTGCCGAGAATGTTATGTATTATTGCAGTGCAGTACTGCGTCAATTTCCATTCCAATGCAATCTTGACTGGGAGGAATATTGTGGTGAGAACAGTTTTGGTCGCGAAGGCAACGCCGTGCGATATAGTAGTCGTTATGGAATCGCGGCTAGACTAGACTAACCTTAGTCTAGTACCCGCCCCGCGTATGCCCTGCTCCCAAAAATATTAAGTTTTTGGTTTGGCAATCAACGAGTATAGCAGAGGGTATTTTCTGGAAAATTTCAAGCGAAGATGTCGTTTGATGCAACGGCAAGTGTTGTTCCTAGACCAGACTGGCGATGATATCAAGTCTACGAGTTAGGATAAGTGTTATTACTTGCCGCAACACATCTGTAAATAAACAGCTGTTTTTGGAATATTGCGCGCCTGCATACGCCTGCATGACTAGTCGTGCTGACCCAACAGGGGGTTTTGAGCCATTTATTGCCCATCTTTCCGTAACTGCTCGCCTTTCCTAGATTGATTAATCGTTACAACAGATATTTGCAGATATGCAGCTGGAATTGGGGTCCTCGACAAGGAAACCAGAAAATCAGTCCATCTGCGTCAAAATTATAGTGCATATATGCATCTATTGTCTCCTCAATTACCAGTGCTGCTCAATTAACAAAGTGTACAGCAGGGTCTCCAACTCATTACCCAGCAGGTGAGAAAGGTGGTGGCTTCAATTTCTCAGTGTATTTGAAAGTGGAGAGGCGAACGGTTACAGGCTCTATCGTGGTAATTTCTTTGTTGTTTCTCTACCATGCATACTGCTAGGTCGTCATTCTGCTGAGCGGGTCTGCCTTGACGCTTCCATACGTCTTTCTGATTATGGTCCCATCTTCGTTCTCCTGCAAATGAACCAAGTCGAAATGAACGTTTGCCAAACGACAAGTTCGCACAATCATGAACGGTATCTTGTACCACAGCTGACCATCAGCCGCCGGTTGCTTAATCAGAAATCTTTTAGGAATCTGGTTGAAATCAGCCGGTAGCGTCACCAGAGGCTTGCATGTTCCTATTGCAGTATTAGCTTTGCGCATCTTCATATCGAAATTCCTAGGTATTGCTTTTACCGCCAACATCCGGGAACTTCGGTCGCTCATCGTCTTGGCAGTAGTAAATTTGCAGGTTCAGCTGGTCAATTTTACCACCTTTTTGCTCGACATCACTGACGGCCTGGTCAAAGACAAAAGGAAAGTCGAATCCTTTGTCGTCCTCTATGACTGCGTTCTACTCGAGTGTAAGCAAAATTGGAGTGGACGCCAAATGATGTCTACTGGTCTTACCTTGTGTAGAAGCCACCGCATAACCTCGATTCGCTTGCCGCCATGGAGGCCGCCAGATACTCTGTGAACAACATTAATATGCGTATTCTGGAAAGAAGGCAGAGGCATGCCTCTTTATTAGTCGAGCAAACTATGGACGTACGTTTTGCGTCCGATTCCGTGTTCCATTGGATTGTATCTTTCTAGAGCGATGGTACCAATGTGGCTTGTCGCAAACCGCGCCCTGACAATCGTGGGCCTTGGTACATTGGCTGCCATTTGCGGTACATCCGCGAGACCTCGGATGAGCGCACCTCGAACTATTGCCGTAGTACTAAGTATAGTCAGCAACGTGTGCCATTGGCACATACGCGGTATATAGATGGCTCTAAGTGCAAACTAACCTGTTTGGCATCTTTTTCACCTCAATGCCGTGCCCAACTGCATTTTTAATCCTTGCCTTCAAGTATGCATTGCTTCCGAAACCGCCAGCAAGGAGTACTGTCTTGACATCTCTGCTCGACTTGATTTTTGCCTGGGTGATCTGATCTTTTACAAGCCCCACAATTTTATCTATAATTGGATCAAAAATACTCTTTACTTCGGCCAACGTCATCTCAAGCACGCCGCTCCGAATTGATCGAGCGGGATCATCAGGAAGGCCCATGACACGAAAAGTATAGGTGTCTCCTGGGTCGCCACTAAATTCTCTCTTGATTTCCGATTCCCAATGAAGCATCGCGCTTTCATGGTAATCATCAGTCCACCGATGGTAGCCGGCAAATTTGTTTAACAGCCAATCATTGAAATTGCGATCCAGGAACGAAGAGCCGTAAAGCTTGCCAACGCCAGGGGCAGCCTCGTCAAGAACTGGACTCGGTTTAAGCTGGCTGATAGTATATGAGATAAGATCGACAGTTCTATGGGAAAGTTATATTCAGTGCATGTGACACATATGTTAATTTCGAATGACTTACCCTCCACCGGCGTCACAGATGACGAAAGTATCGCCAATCTCCACGAGCCACTCGCGACACATCGCGTCAAGAGCGAATATTCCGGCGGCCTCGGGTTCCGTTATGATTTTTAAAGGCGCATCATCTGCCATTCCAGCAGCTGTGGCACACCTTTCCGTGATGTTCTGTGCCGGTTCGGGCCACATTGCTGGGACAGTGATGATATACTCCCAATTTGTGCTTCGAAAGAGTGCCTCGCCACCTCCAAAATACTCTTTCACCTTTTCCACGGCATGGGTACGGAGATACTCCAGGAATTTAGTAATTAGCTCTTCAACTTTATCTTCGTTGCCAGGGACAATTGTAGTCTTCGGATAGTTCCTCAGAAGTTCAGACTTAGTATAATTTGGATCTTGTTCAATCTTGAACCACTCATATCTCGTCTTCTGGTCTTTGACGCGGAAGCCCCATTTTGCTAAGTCGCTACTTAACAGGCTATTCAGAGTCACAGTAAGTACTATTGACGGATTGAGAGCACTGGCGGAGCGCAGGTATTGCTGTACTCACGTCGGGACTTTGTCCTCTGTGTTGGCTTTGCCCGGCCAATTTTGAATGATACCCTGAGGTTGTGAACCACCTCGCGCGGTCTAAAATAGTTATTATGCCAATATCGAAGAGTCCAGTCAAAGCTGATTTGTTTCTGTTGTGGTGGTAAACAAAGAAATATTATGACTTACTGCTCGCACCCAAGCAATGGCAGAATAGGTTGTGCCTTCACATAGCAAATATCAGATAACTCTTGAATGAGGTCTTTCGGGATTCATTGGTCTCACCGAAGTCAATGGCAACCAGAATTCTGTTCTTGTTGCTTTTGGCGGCTCTTGAATTGCTGATATTCATTCGTTCTCTGTGGACCTCCATGTCGCCACGATACATTCACTAAGCGCCGTGAAACACTCCAATCGATTTAACGAAGCTGTGAGAGGAGGTCGAGGTTGCCGAACAATTCTCAGTGGTGAGAAAATGTAAGCATTTAATTTGTGAGGCTAATCAAATGGAAGGAGTCCAGTATCTAGACGACCAAGTCTTACGCATGAAAGTAGGTTAAGCCACTGGTATTGGAACCTCCATGTGCCTCTACCCCAGCTGCAGTCAGCACGTGTGTCTACCAACCCCTCAACCCCAAAATCCATTCCAAGTTTCGCCGGGCCAAAGACTATTTTCGGTGAGGGTGGGGAGTCAGACTTTTGTGCCTCATGCAAGTGCGGAGAGTAGGCTATATCGCATTTCAGCTGCATGCACCTATTTATGCAAGGCTCTTGCCTGAAGTCCTATGCCTGAATAGAACTCCATCGTAGGCTACAGAGTTGTGAGAGTGGACAACTTCGTCACATCATGACTGATTGTGCGATATAGTTACAGGATAGCAGCGCCTCTCAACAGTCACAACGAGTTCGGCATAAAAAATTGATTGGAGTAATATTCTTCTGGGTTGCTGAGTTACTACCTTGATGAAGCGGCACAAAATCGACATCCAGAATGGTGTGCTGGTTGCCCTGCCGCGCTGACGATTACCCGTATTTCGCCGAGCCTATCTATACCCTGGCAGAGGGGTAATCCACCGTATGCAGGTTTGTGGATCAATTCTCGAAGCCTGACCTGTATCGAGCATTTCCGCCTCATCGATCATTGAGCACTCAAGTTCTACTTCAATCTGCTGCGATGCTCAGAAGAGGATTCACCTAGCGCATAAACGTCTTACTGAATCCATCGTCCTCAGTTTTGAACAACAAGATGGGGACGGAAAGCAAATCTTCTCCAGATATTACCTTAGAGCAGGCATTGGAAGAAATCAAACAGCTTACATCCTGGAATGAGGAGCTCCATGACGACCTCGAAGAATGTAGGGATCAACTATTCACGCTGTTGCAAAAGGAGAGTGACGTCTCTGAGCAAGCTATCTCCGATGCATATAGCAGAATTTTCGAGGGTCTTGACTCGTGGATTGACGAAATATCAACCCACGAAGGCTTTGGATTGACCTTCAAGTCACGTTACTTGGAAAACATGAAACGTAGTAAGGAAGAAAGATCCAAGATATTGGCAATAAATTGGGTATGCCAGGACATTGAGTGGTTGACCAAGCTCGGGAAGCTAGAGACTTGCCGATATGTTGTCCTAGCACTGGTAGTTACAAGGTGCCTGATGGAGGATGTTTTTCGAGTGGAAGATTCCGAAGAACGGGATCATATATATCCGTTCGGTCTTTCATCTAAAGAGATCGAGTTCCTTGTCCAAGTACAAGAAGCAATGGCATCGGACGAAATTCAAAAAGGTTGGTTGACTGGTTATTGCTATTCATGGCCGAGACTAATTATCGTGGTCAGATTCTTCCCAAATCGGAAGATGGAGAAGAGAAACAGTGATGGCGATGATTTCTACTGGAAAAGCACAGGAAAGAGCATTCGATAAGGCTGCACGTGTTCGAAAACGACTGCAAGGAGACCTTGCGTTTTGGATCGACAGTGCAGTTTTAGAGAGATACATGGACAGCCTAGAGACTAAAGTTCTCCAGCGAGCCTATCGGGCTCTAGATCTGCTTAATCATTCCAGCAAGACTTTCATATTTTCAGGCGACGACCCTCAACCTGGGCCCATACAGCAAGAATTTGCGACTAGTACTATCAAAGATATCTCTACTTGGAGGAACATGGCTTCCAGCAAGGCCTCTGGTGCTTTCCAGTCTCTCTATCTTGGACTTGTACGAACAGGTGATTTCGATGAGGCGGACCTGACACTTGTACACCCAACATTGCTTGGTTACAGTAGTCCAGACATGAAGCCCAGAGTTCATTCATCAGACATGAAATCTTATCCCAAGCAAGAGATTCATCGAACAGATAGGGAGGAACGGGAACCCGGATCCTCTACGCCATTCTCAAGATTGAGGAAAAAACGGAATACACCGAAGTACTCATCTCGAACGACTGAGGTCAAACCGACGCACACACCCGCCCAAGGATCTCCGGTCACAACATCTTGGGGAAATTGGATCCTTGGGCCAGAAGCCACAGCGTTTGGCAGGAGAGTGCTTCAGCGTGCCAACAAACCCAAAGACTCTGCGACACGTACTCAGCGCCGTGGTGACTCGAGTCAAGAGAACAGACCTGTGCCGGGTTCTACAGTTGCCTACTATGGTCCACATCGGTCTGTTACCTCAGGTACTGAGTACGTAGCTGGACCATACCACCCGGCGAGTGGCGATGATCAAGGCTATGAGCAGTATATATACGAAGGTCTACAGAGCCAGAAAGGGCACCAAGTGTCTGAGAATCCATATGACTTCAGCCGAGCTCGAACAGAATGATTGTCTCGTTCAAGGTCAACTCAAGGACTCATGAGACAAAATTCTTTTTCGAAACGTCGCTGATGCGTGGTATTGGTATAATTTGCAAGGACGTGGTTTCATGCCAACATGCAAAGCATACAAACCTCTTGGATCAAGGTTCGCAGCACTTGCTAATAGATGCATGGCAAGTTAGAAATAAGCTGCCGAAGGGTTCGAGATAGAATATTTGATGGGTATTTCTGGCTAAGCTGCTGCTGGAGCCGCGAGATTGGAAGTGACCAGGAGTAGTTCCTCTTCTCTGGGTCGCCGTGTGGCGAGAGAAAATGCAAGTCCTCAGAGGATACAAACCAGCGATTGCGCAATGCGCTTCTACTCTGTACGTGAGTCCTTAACATCATGCTTGGTAGTACTTCAGTGCGCAAAATGAAACAACAGTTTCAATCAGGAAATATAAAGCCATAAAAATGCACAGTTACTTACACTTTAATGAATGCGCAGCGTCATGGGTTCTGATTGAGGTTCACATTGGCAAATATATGCCATCACGCAACTAATCACACTAACAGCCTATTGAACCCCGTCACCAAGATGTGGACATCCAACTAGCCCATATGTTATTCTATGACAACCTGCTGTACTGCTTCATCCAAGCCAAGTTCATCTAAAGCAACCTGCGGCCAACAACGGGGAAATATACCGGTATAGTCTGAATTGTTCTTGTTGAGAGCTATACCCATCTCGTTTTCCGTCGTTACAGACATGTAGAAACGAAGATTCTTGAAGGCGTTAAAGAATCGCGAGCGAAGGCTGATCTGATTAAATAAGACTTGTAACGGAAGATGGAGGCGTATCAAGAGTTGTGATTCTGGAAGTTCTTGCGGGTTTGCATGCAACCTCAACATACTCTCGTCAGCGTCAAATGGCTCCCATAAGCCATGCCCGTGTGGTCCATCTTTCCACTGCCGAAGAGTGATAGTAGCAGATATGCAATGTTCGTCCACTTCGTAGCCAAAGAAACTAAAGGCTTGTCTCACGCCCTTGATAAACGTCTGAGACAGTGGCTCATGGCATTCGTCGTAACCTCCAACATCAGGTATTCGGCCTATGCGGATGTTGTGAATATGGCGTATCTCGTCGAGAATATTCTGAAAAACTTGAAGGACAAAGTCTAATGGCCATGTTGTACCCGGGAACAGTTGCTCGAAAATGAGTAGAGCTGGGTCGCACTCGGCGCAATTGTCGCTTGCTCTATTGGTGTCGTGTGTATAATGCGGGGAGAATTTATGGCTGGATTCTACATCGCGGATAGCATCGGCCAGACTTTTCCATGGATACACATATGTGTGAAAGGACGGCATAGCCCGAAGTGACGAGCCGATGAAATGATCTGATAGATCTTGCGGCGGTTGTTTCGTAATCAGAGATAGGTCGTAGCAGGACCACGAGACAATCAAGCGATAATGACCTGGCAGTTCGAGTTGCCGCATTAATAGCAACATATATCTTGCTTTTCTGTCGTGCTCGATCAGGAAGATATGATCCTTTTCCGGCTCAACGATCTCATCTAGTGGTATTGCGTCGCAAAGCAGCACGAGTTCGCACGACGGAGAGCTGAAGATGAAACAGGAATTGTTTTCGACTCCGTCACTATCATATCTCAATGGTCTTGAGGGAACTTTCATCAGGTGTGCCAGCTTCAATGTCAAAGATGCACTTGATACATCGATAGAGATATCAAGATTCCAGCGAGGTGCAATTTGATTGGGACCGCCCGTGGTTCCTGGCCCCAGGGAGAAGTTGCCCATGAAACCTTCCAAGATATCGTTGGGCGATTTGGGGTGGGGGTTCTCATCCAGAGTGTCTGGCATCTGGAACCAGGCAGTATCCCAATTTGGTATCCACGAGGGATACGTTGAGATAGTTTTCTGGGCGCCGGCGTGGAATAGTATTTCTAGTCGCTTAAGCGCCAACAGAAGGTAAGCAGACACTCCAATAACAGTATCTCGGAAAGACAACGAGTAATCCGGCACCAACGGCTTTGAACTTCTAATCAGTCCAAGAATACCGAATATTATATCCCTACGATCAGTAGCTCCAACATCGGGCGAAAGCATTTTGCGTAAACTATCATAGAGGTCCCTCTTCGGAAGATGGCTAGATGCATTTAAATGCAAAAGCCATGGTCTGCCAACTTCATTCCATCTTTCCTGTCCGACCAGGTTGACTAAGTGCTTCACGGTGGATGGTCCTGCATGAAAGTCTTTGTCGCGAAAGGGAATGACTGTGTAGGGAGCCAGGAGTAACTCTTGCATAATCCAAACTCGAGTGAAGTAACGCCGAGAGAAGATATCTTCTAGAGATCCGTACTCGAGGATATCCTCGAACCGGCGTCGAGAGCGGTTGCTCTTTGTGCTTTTCGTGACAACGTCGCGGCCAAGCCATATCACTACCCTTGAGCAAAGACTGTATATTTCGCCCATTTTAGCCACTTGCACTCCGCGTTCGACCACATCGTTCTGATTGATGCAGATAGCATCCACCCAGACAACACGAGCGCCTTTGGCGGGTCTGAGATACTGCAAAAGGTACCAACAGTTGATAGTCTGGGGCAGAACATCCCAGAACTCGCCAGCATATATGACTTTGTGTTCGTCACTTTTGCCGTCTTCGCCTGCCCAAGTATAGGATACAGTTTCGTACTCGGGACAGCTGTCTTGCTCATGCACTTCTAGTGTTACGTGAATTGGTGCCTCGGCCTCGCCACAGTCGAGGCACATGAGACGAATTTCACTGGAGTTGAGCGTTTGCTTGTAAACGGTGGGTATGAGGGAAGCCGGTTGGCTCTCCGGCTTGGCCGCATATGCCCCGACATTATTCTGTATTTGAATAGTATTGCTAGCAACCGGCGACCTAGCAATTTGATTGGAAGGGCTGCTGGATGACCAAGGCAGATCCGGCGGCCAGCGCAGACACATTTGACCTATTGGTTCATTAGGGGGGATTGATTGCGCCAAAGACACCTGATTTGAATGCTCCGCCAGTATAGCATCAGCTGATGCCGAGGTCGAGCAAGCGTGGCATGTTGGATTAGCACCGTCAACTACAACATCTGGGACTGTGCACCACGCTTTATGCCAGCGATACATCTCGATAGTGCGACGTAGGTGCGAAGTTGATGCTGCGAGGCTGATTGCGCATTGTTGGTGAGGTCAATCAACACAACAAGCAATGTAAGCAATTCGAGTGCTACCCTCCACACATGGCACCTAATGTCGCGGTACTGCGGGGCAATACGGACAGCAGCTCTTGCTTCAGCCTCATGTCCGCATCAAGCAACAACGGACTCGCTACTATGAGAAAGCTGCCTCTCTTGGGCATGCAGTGCGGCCTACACTCCGTAGCTGTGCTTTGCTGAAGAACTGCATAAGGTCTTGCACCCAATCCAGATGTCATGACTACATTATCCATGTCAGACACTCCAAAGAATACTTTTCACGGTGAGAATTGACACAGCGGTCAAGTGCGATCATTCTAATCTTTGCCTCCAAATGCGCACTAACTAGCTCGGATTAGGGGATGTCACGTAAAGGTGTGGCAGATGTGGACCGTGTTTGGCCTGCCGCTCAGATGTGCTTTCGGTGTTGTATTCTGGGACTTCGGAGACAAACGCCTTTTCGTTGTTTTCTGTCCCTTGGAAACGCTATTGGCATGCGACAGGTGCTATCGCGACTAGTTAGTCTAGATTGTCAATTTTCGACCTAGCTATGACAAAAGCCCCCGACTGCGACAATAACTTCAGACTCAAATTACGGGGCCACATGGCCCATGCCCCGAGTTTCGGGCGATCATGCACTGCGCTACGCATTGATTGGCGCCTACATTCCCTGAAACTGTGAATTATGGAGATGACCACCCCCCAGACGTCACAAATGCCTAGCGAAGGGGTGAGATTGAGGCTCTGTCAACTCTATTTAACATTTTCTTTGGCACGTTGTTGGGTGACATGGCCCCTCTACAACGCCGTTGATTGCTGCCAGGCGAGCATGCACAAGTGCTTAATGCTTAAATCAGTGCCTCACTTCCCAAAAGGGAAAGTCGCTGGCGCCGCTTATCCAGAAGCCTAGTCGCGTCTCAAACGTGCATGCTTCGACATGAGACGAATCTATCCCATCTCCTCTCGTAATGAGCTCGACTCATCGGCAGATCGCCAAAGTCTTGGCTGTCAGCCGCATTGGCGAGAGTTCTGCTTATAAGATCGACTGATTTCGCTCATAACCTGGAGCATGATCGTCTGTTCTCTTCAGCAGCCAAACCAAATACTCCCGGGTTGTGATCTTCGTTCTCCTACTGGCTAGGGTTTTCTTTCGTTTTAACTTCCAATTCGACTCTCATTCAGGCATTTGAGATAGCAATCCTTACTTAAAACAGCACCTTATTGGGAATTCTTATTATACATAATTTCGAAGATGAACTCCCTCAGTCTCACAGCGATCATCTTCGCCGGCCTTGCGGTGGCGGCACCCACTATTCCCTTCGTCGCACCTAACGCCGTAATTCCGTTGACTCACGCCCCTACCAATGCGCCAACTCTGGCAACCCGTCAATCTGCTTGTTTTGTGATTGGCAAAACTACATTGCCAGCTGAGGTCGCTGACGTCGTCACGAGCATCCAGTCTGCCGTCACTTGCGACACCTCAAAGAAGACCATATCGGGTGTTCCCGACGTCACTAGCGGCGATGTCACGTTCTCGTCCATTGACTTCAGCCAGTCCTCCCAAACACCCTTGGAGTTTGCGCTCTCAAAGTTCGCGACCGCCAGCCCTCTAGCAAACACGGACCTCCAGACATTCCAAGACGAGCTCAACACCTACTTGGCGACGGAGGCGGGCATTCGCAGTGTGGGCGGAAGCCTCGGTATCAAGGTGCCCAAGTTCTTCTTGGAGTATCAGGTGAGCCGGATCCAAACTGCTCAGGGCAACCCGCCCACCGACGCTGGACAGCAGGTCGATCACCTAAGGGACAAGGTGCTAAAGAATGCCGCCGGTGAGGATCAATCGCTCTTGGACCAGGTCACCGCTTTGGCTACACAACTGTCATAGGTTTAATCACACTTCTGAGACAAGGCATGGTGATAGTTGGATATACCACAGACAAAAAGTAAAAAGGTGGAATATAATAGTCATAAGTGGAAAATACTATTACTATTTGAATCTAATGCCAGGGTATATAAATCGCTTATGGTGACTCGCGTCGATATGTCAAATCTTGTAGAATAAGAAAAAAGAAAGAAAGAAAGAAAGAAACAAAAAAAAGAAAAACCTCTAGTTCTTCAATCTCTTAAGGGCCAGTTCGTACGCTCTCGTTGAACTTGGACTTCGTTCTTAACCCAAATAAGACCAATATCACCTTGCTCAGCATCCATCATATGTTCTTTACTATCCCGACTCGAGATTCTTGTATAGACGCTTGCCGGCTTCGTGGGCCCTGGGTCTGTTCGTGATTGGATAGGCGACACGTTAGGAGCACAGGTGACTGGTGGCCGGTCGATCTTGGAGTCGCACATGGTGAATCGAGGCAACTCGTTTGTGTTCTTCTCATCTTGCCGTCCGTAGGCACTGGAGATGCCGCGTGATTTCAGATACAACGGGCGCAGAGTTGGGATGCCGGTACACACCAACGCAACGGCGATCTCGGCGCCAGCCCAAGCAAAGTATGGTACGAAATTCAGTGTGTAGTTGTACACGTCCAGTCGAGCCAGAACTACTGTTCTCACTATACCGCATGCTCCGGCACTACCCTTTGTTAGTGAGTGGCTTATGGCAACACCAGCCAACAGTGACCAACGACTTACACAACGCCCAAACTCATGCCAGTCGCTAACATGATCTTGTCTTTCCGCGGCATTCGGAGAGACCAAATAAACAACCAAGGAAATATTGCAAAGAAGAAATCGCATATGCTCGACCACACTATAGTGACATCAGCAACGCAGTATGATAGATACCGGGGACCAAACTGTCTTACCTCCAAGACCGACACTCATGGGCTGGATCTGGATATTCCATTTCCCTGGCGTCCTTAATGGATCCCAGCTAGTTTTGATCGGAGTGGTCTGGTTCCAAAGCATGATGGTGAGCGCCGCGCTGGTCGCAGCGATGATGAAGACGACCATCCATAGCATTATCTTCTGCCACCTCGCCTGCACAACGCGCAATAGAAACAACCCCATGGACAGCTTGGCTAGGGCATTGCCAGTGATAGCGAAGCTGTTCGCGACATATGTCCAAAAGATGGCATCCGACGAGCTGGCGATGCCCAGCTTCCAAAAGCTTTGGCCCAGCCCGTAGTGAACTGCGACCTGGATGAAAATGGTGAAGCACAGGAATAGAAACTGTCCATCATGAGCACTCATTCAATCAAACATCTTGGTATTTCATGGTTGTCGCGACATTGAGGGGGCAGACGAGTGCTTACACCTGTCCATGCATACAAGTGATCCTCGATGCCGACGAATCTCACGATTTTTATGCGTGTGTACAACCTCAGGACGACCAGGGCGAGCGAGAGGGCAGTCAGCACCCACATGGCACAGGCCAATTGGATCCCCGAATTCATGTTGGATGGTTGGCCGACGATAAACACATCGGCGTGGGCATCAAAACTGGTGAGACAAGCTAGGAGGGACGAGAGCGTGAAAGAGGGTTGCCTTCAAGAAGTAATAAATTGGCTGAAAACGCGGGTGGGCAACACAACAGTAGTCCGGCTTGGCCTTCCCCGATCCTCGGGTGCACTCGAAATAGAAAGAACTATTGATGATCCATGATTGCGGTCATTCAGGTGGCCCGATTCATGCAATGTCGTGCTGTTAGTGGAATGCGGAGGAGGAGACCGTATTTGCGCGTGACGGCACTGGGGTGATAACCGCCTCTGGAATGTTGCCGAGGAGTCATCGAACCAAGGAGCGAATCAAGGCCCAATTGAGAGGTGATATAATCCACAAATATTTTGGTTGCTAGACGAGGCTTTTTCAATATCGGCTTGGACTGGGAAATGCACACAATTTCGCCCTTTGGATTGGTCCTAAAATCCAAAAATCGGTCCAATGAGAATAATAGGGAAAGCATTCCCTGATGCCGCTAAATCCCGAACTTGGCTTCTGGAACTCTATAGGCTAGCAGCCGGTGGAGGAGAGGCAGGGGTTAAGCGCTGAATCCACACTATCGGATTGTCAATCGGTCACACTACAAAACACAACACCCCGCAGTGCTGCCTTCTAGTTACCAGTTGGTCTCCTTCTCAATATACGCGACCGCGCTTTGCAGACAACTGAGCACATGTTGCCTTCGATATCCCCGACGGTTTAACACCGGTTACATTTGTTACGTCATGTATCCACATGGAGTTCTTACGCGGGGAGGCTCTTCATCTCATTTTCAAGCCATGTATAACTTTACGCCATCGAAATATATTCTTGCTTGGTTGAATCACGTCAACCCGAGAAGATTACCTGGTTCTGTTCATCTTGACTAGTCTAAAAGTAATCAATCGTAGTTATCACTTCGAGAATACAAGGAAAAACTATTGTTGTTATAGTATACCATTCCGTAAAAACTGGGTTGTTTTAATACATTACTATTTCTTATCTTTACACTTGTGCCTTATCAAATGTCGGTTGCTCCATGAGTTTAGAAGCGGTTGCTCTTGTATAGTTCTTCAAACACCAGACTTTGCCCAGCTAGCAGGTTTTCTGGGTCACTTTCCAGTCGAAGCAGTAACGACAAGTATCGTCTTAGCGCCAGCGCCTGCTCTTCATCCTCATCAGTTGTTACGATTTCCTCGTTCAGAGAACAGAGTGCGAGTTGGAGGACAAAATGACTATCTGCCCAGGTCAGCGGAAATATCATGAGCAACTTTTGATTCTCATTATGCGAATAAAGCCGCCCAAAAAGTTGTTGATGTCGTGTCAATTGCAAAGCTGCTGTCGTCATGCCATCCAATAGCCTGGAAATCTTCCCTCCAGGGGTAGGACCAAGCAACGAAACCAAGAAGACTCCATGTTGATAGTTGAATTGCCCCCACGACAACAGCATATGCTGAGCTCCATCACCCGGCATCGAAGCTACAAGTTCCCGCCAACGAACAAACCATTCATCGAGTGCGCGTCGGTACTCTTGGCAATCCGCGGGGGCACAGTTCGAGGTGCACCGAAGGAGTGCATTGTGAATCTGCAATTTGTGAAATGAGATCAAATATGAGGAAATGGATATTTGATCTTCTGGACATTCCATTTCTGGCCTTGTGAGCTCCTGAAGCCAGTACAATCAGTCAAGTTTTCCAGTGTAGCTCGTATTACTCACCTGCCGAAGTTCATCGCCAATAATCATCAGACTTGGGCGTCCAAACGCAATCGATACTTGGCTGTAATGGTGTCAGACTTATAACTGCGCTAAATGCCATTGGCATACCTTTCTAAGCAGTAAATTGTTCGGCTCAATTTGCAAAAGACCTGATATAATTCATCTTCCTCCCTCAACCTGCCATGAGACAAATCAAGGAAATGTCGGATGGCAAAGCCTAGGTGCCTCCATATATCCCCAGATTCGGGACTAAGAAGAAGATAAACGCATATCAGAAGGGTTCTCTGCAATAGTGTAATGTTCTCCGACATAGAAGAATGGTCGCAATCTGTACTCATTATCGATATTGCTTTGAGGAAATGCGAGTTCGCATTCGTCGCGAGCGTCGGTTCATTTCGCTTACAGATGAGAGTAGCGACAGCAAGTATCAAATAGAAAAGCTCACGAGAGCGACCAACAAGTCCTTCTCCATTATTTTCGGAATACTGAGAAATCATCCGATCGAGCACAGAAGCTTCCAGAATTGGGAAGAAAATGTTCACAGAACGTGCATATAGGCGAAAAAGACTGACTGCGACAGAAACGGAAGGGCGAACGGTATCAGTTGGTACCGGCTCCTCGAAAGCACCATCAGACCACTCCATAGCTTGTTGGAGGCTCCGCGGTATAGCGAAGGACTTTTGGTTCTGAAGATATCTCTGTAGATAACTGATGGAGCTACAAGAGCCAAAGAATACGGCACTAGAAGCATTCCCAGATATCTCAAGCGGGAACGATGCCTGCTTAGCTGCACGGAACGGTAAAAGCACTGTGTGTTTAGACGTTGCTGGCGCCCGAAGAGGAGATGATGAAGCCTGTCTATTTAGTACGACAAGAGATTTGATCTTATTCACAAGGCAGTCAATTCGCCTGCAATACAAGGTTCGTTAGTTATTACTCAAAAGTGTTTGGGTCTTGCAGTGCTCGTAAGCAGGTAATCATACTGTAGAGAGATATTCTGTCTCAGAATAGGATCGAAAATGAAGCATTGCCGAGAAGCTTGGAGACATCCTTTACATGCTGGTAGCTGTTGAAAGCATTTTATCCGCCGATCACGGCAGAAGCTGCAAGCTGGGAGAGCCGCTAAAATACTGGCGAGTTCAGTGTCCGAACGAGATACAACGGCATTAGAGTTTTGCCATTCTCGTTGTGGCGATGATGATGATGACTGTGGGATCTCATGTCTCTGCTCCGCTGAAGCTGGCGATAGAAAATTGGTCGTTTCCATGCTCGCTTCGAAGTCCTCATGAATGAAGACACTCCACCAGTTCTCGTCATCCAGAAAGTTTTCGCCAGTACGACTTCGCGAGGCTGGTTTGTGTCGAGGTGGAAATGGGATGTTCCTGTGGGATAGGCTGTGAATTCGCCGCTGTGTTATCAAGCAGTCGAGTTCTTCCAGGACACTCATGTCGTAGGCGCTCCCATTATGCCCGAGGGGGTTGCGCGAATGGGTATCTATCAATTCTCTCATGTAGTGAGCAGTGTCCGATAGCGCAGGCCAGCTTCGGGAAAGTATGTCCTGCAGATGAATTTTTCTTTTAGCTGTCTAGGAATAGGAGACAATTGAAAATGGGCCGTAGAGAACTAACCAATAACTGGCAAAGCACTTCAAGGGTGTTTGGTCCTTTATCAGTAAGAGAAGACTGCTCCAAATTGGGGACGTGGTTACGCAGTGCGTAGAGCAGTACCATCCCGGCGTGAAAGGCACTATTCGCGAGCTCGAAAGTCATGATGAGCCCTCCATCTTGTACGGATCCCATATAGGATGTAAGAAGTTGGGTTGAGGCTGTGACTGCAGCAAGTAATGAGGAGTTGGAAACAGTAATATTCCTTGAGCATGGTCGGTGCAGCAAAATCTGGCACTGGTACGCTGCGGCCACAAGCCATGACGGACTAGCACCACTTGCTATCATCTGATCCACTAACCTTTGGATGAGCTCCGTTGTCTTCTGGACCCAGTCTTCGTGGTTCTCAACATCACTGGTAAAGGGTTGATCAAAAAACTGTATACCGTGGATTTCTGATTGTATGAGACGAAGTCGCGTATGCATCAAAAAGATTTTCTCCTTGTAGCTGTGGGATTTGCTCTGCTTGAAGCCTATCCGCTTGGAGATATGTGAGTCTCCGCCGCCGTATGGAAGTTGTGTTGTGATGTGTTCATCACTGAGCGCAAGTGGACATCCTCCAGCAATGCCGACAGTTCTATCAAGCTGGTAGATCTATATCCCAGTCAATTGTTCAGGTCGCAACTTGGTCAGATAAGTGGACGTACCACCCAGAAGAGCCGTCGGCGTTGCTCGACATGGACTGCATCTGAAGCAATCATGACCGAGTCGAGCTCTTGATGAAGTCCTAGGCTTACAGCCATTCGCATGGTCTCGCCAGTCAAATACCAGAGATTGGCAATGTAGGGAAGAACCAGGGCAAGCTGTATCAGTAGTAACATGCACTGTAAAGCTAGAATTGAGGAATCGCGAAGGACGTCGTCATGACGCATCGCGTCTAGATGCAGAGATTCACTCAATGCAACGACCTTCTGAAAATCATGGCTGTTTGATGTGAGAGAGCTGATTGCCAGGATCAGAGGAACAATAAAGCCCGATGCATGTGGATGCGGACGGTCTACGTTCGTGTTTCCGTAGACCTCATCAAAATAGGTTTTCAAGTCGTCTTCCCGAAAACAGGGGAATCGAGGGAGGATGTTGTCTTTGTAGTTATCCCAGAGACGCCTCGCTACATGAACAGGCACCTTATGTGCATCAAAATTAGAAAAATGGGAAGAATGGGCATAGTATGAACCCTTCCAATGAGCGTCGTAATAATGGCCTCGAACTGGGATTTTGTAGGGAGGCCGCTCCGAAGGATAAAACAGTTTTGCTCGATGTTGCAGCACGGAGTGTGATTTGAACATTTTGGCCGTGATGCGGTCAGTAAAACCGAGGGTAAGAATCGCCAAGAGCTGATCACGGTCAGGACCAGCATTCAAGCCAGATTGAGTCCCCTCGGTCCGTCCATCATATTGACTTTGAGTGGACGTGCTATGCTGAAGCTCGGACAGCCGTTGCTCGAGGTACTGAACAAGACTTGTTAAATATTAGAATATACCGATTACACTTCATCAGAGAGTATGATATGATCAAGACAAATACCTTCGTGGGAGTTCTTCAGAAGTCTGCCGGTTGACTGCAGTACAGTCTACTCCAGCTGTGACACACCGACGGCATTTTGGCGTCCCTCTGTCGCACTGTACAATGTATTAGAATCGGTCATCTAAATAAACCATCAGGCGACTTGCCTTTTGCTTGAGTCGACGACATCTCGCACAAGCCGGAGTCGACTGGTGTCGTCTGATCCTTAAATCGGATCTCACGTTTGTCATACTAGCAGGGCATCGAATCGCCAGGAGTATCCAGCCCTGTTTGTTCTTTGCGACTAGACTAAGGGCAATCACATCACCTTGGTAGGTCGGTATAATTTAGGTGGTGACTGCATTGAGAAGGCAGTACACTGGAGGAGCAGAGGGGCAGAGGCAAAGCCGAGGGCGGAGGGCGGGGGCTAAATGTACCGACCAACTTACTGCCTGTGGGGTCAAAAGATTGCCTGAGCTACTGGGACTGAAATGTACACTGATAGCCTCTGCCTCAGAGTAATAGCATGGGTCAAGAACCATTCCATTGCAGTCTAAATCAAATTTAGATAACCAGATGAATATCCACCTGGAGCTGCCCTCGCCAAAATGACCACCATGGTCTTGTCCCGCGCGACCGGCAATATAGTTTTCTCCCGCTGGTCCCTATCCAGTGGCTTTGGAGTCAGCACCCAGCCACGGAAAATGGTTGAGTCGTTGTCAGAATTGCTATCTACGCCGTCTACGACGTCTATTTCGATCTGTTCCGAAGGGACGTCTTTCCCGTTTACTGTGCATTGCAATTGAGGCACCCAAACTTCGCCTTTCCCGTCTGTGGACTTTCTCAATGTTCCCTCGAATTGAATTCGTGTGGACCCAGGATCGCTCATCACGCTGGTGCATTTGTCGACTCTCAGCACCGGTCGCTTCGCTCGCGTGCCGCCCAGGGGCAGATCCACCAGTTGAATAATATCTGACGGTAAGGATGGTGTGTACGCCGGGGCTGTTCGAAGTCGGGTCTTCTTTTCAAACGCGTTCGCCCATTTCAGCAGGTTCTCGTCTTCGTAGGCACGTCCAGCGAATGTGAGACCCACGGGCATTCCCTTATCCTCGATGACTCCCATTGGCACTGTCACCGAAGGAATTCCCAGGTGACGAAGCGCCCTGTTTCCATTGCTGTAGAAAACGCCGTTCTTCCAGGCGTGTGCGGCCGTCTTGGGGTTAACGTCAGAATCGGCTGCCGCAACATCCCCTTGTGACGGAAAAACGAAACAGTGGCAGTTGAGTTGCTCTAGGTAATCATCAAGCAAGATTTTTCGCAGCTCTTCAAGAGTCACAACAGCCGAGTCCAAAGAATCAACGTCGTAGAAGGATGTCTTCTCGGTGTAACCCGCAAGTTTGCCCCAATGGATACCGTTTGACATTGGCAGGTGTTCTAGCTCGGCTTGAGTTCGCATGGAGTGGGGGAAGATCTCGAATTCGTTCACGGAACGGAGGCTAGGGTAGTGAGGATCTGCGTTGACGCGCAGGAACGTGTCCCAGCCGTGAGCTACTAGCGGACCTCTTTCGTACCACGGCCAATCTTCCGGAAGGCGACTCGATCCTTCGGGTAAGAGGCTTGGGTTTTCGTACGCTGTCACGACAGGAAAGTCGGGCACAATAACTATTTCTGCGCCTAGTTCCTCAAGTTGCTTCCTTGAATTGTCCCAGAGCCGTTTAACGGCGTCGTTTGTGAACACGGGTGTGGCACCTTGTGGCACAGGACCGCCAATATACATGTTCGGTACCGCGATCCGCAGACCGGCGAGCGATGTGAAGGTGGCGATGTCTCGAAAGGACTTCGAACCTGCGGAGCCACCCCACGGCTCAGTGAGCTTTGTAAATGGTTGGTCCCGCCAGAAATCGCCTTGTGAAATAGGGTCCTTAGCTGTGATGACCTCAAGCAGCGTGAGCATGTCGTCCATAGTTCTTGTATGAGGAACCACGACATCGCAGGTAGGGTATAGTGGCCAGTTACCACGGATCGAAATCCAGCCTCTGGACGGAGTGTAAGCGACCAAGGCGTTGTTCGAGGCTGGCGATCGCCCAGACGATACTGTTTCCTCGCCCATACCAAATGCAGCAAAGGAGGCAGCCGTAGAAACTGCGGAGCCATTTGACGAGCCTGACGCCCAAGCTGCCGCCAGAAAATTAGGATTGTAAGGACTTTCCGCGCGTCCGTACACGCCTCGCTGCATTCCACCATAGGCCATTGGTGGCATGTTAGTACGTCCAAGCAAGATGCCACCTTCAGCCCGGATAGTAGCGACGGTGAACGCGTCTTCGTTGGCAATGAGATCTTTGAAGGCTGGGGATCCGCTAGCAACCGTCATCCCTTTGACTTTATAACTGTCTTTGACAGTATACGGGATGCCCTCAAGCCGACGCGTTACCAGTCCCGCCGCTCGACGATCGTCAGATTCAGCAGCTTCTCCAAAAACATCGTTGTTCAGAATAGGGATTGAATTCAACGCATAACCACGGCAATCATAGCGAGCGATTCGGCAAAGATACCGAGCGACCAGTTCAACGCTTGTCAATGCGCCTGAGGACAAGGCAGCCTGAATTTCTTCGATGGACGCTTCAACCAGATTGAGACTCGCCATTGTTATCTGTTATGACCAGATTGAAGACCATTATGAGAAAACAAAAGCATTTCCAACAGACCACTCGCTGTCTTATATCTAGATCTGGGGACTAGGAATGAGGTCCGAGTTCGGCGGTTACTTTCTCAACGTACTCTCTGCGGCTCGATTTGAAATTGATAGTTAGTAAAAAAACAAGTGCCCAGGAGTCGTTGATTGGACGGAGCCTAGTTATACATACGGATATGAATATCTTCCATAGAGGATAGCAAGACCTCCACCGTGTCCTACTTAGCTCGCCAGTAGTGGGGCATGGTGCGTGCTTAGGATGCAGGCTAAGAGTCATGTATCTAAGTAATAATTCACATAAGCGGGGAACCGGATAAGACTGTGTCAACTGACAGTTATTAAATATAGATGTCTTCATACCCCAGCGTTATCGTGACAAGTGTAAATTACCAAAATCGCAAGCAACAATTTACGAACACCGTGATCAATCACTGATCAAACAGACCAAGAAATGGGCATTCCCTCACAAGCTGTTCAACGCATCAGCATTCGCTGGCTGCCTGAGCCTGCCTACGAAGACACCGACACGATAGCGCTCAACGTTGGGGGGTATTTTATCGATTTGCGGGTAACGAAAGAAACATGTTCGCTCCAGTGGAGCCGGGCCGGTAAGAGAATCGTCCTCAGACATGATCCATGTGCGTACCAGACCGTGACCTTTGTTCTTGCATATATATGTTGTTGACCAAATGCTATAGTAACTTTCAGATGGACGCATATTATCGATTCTCTGGATCTTACTGTACCTGACGAAGCTCATTTTGAAAAACTTCCAAACGGGGATGATCTTGAGGTGGGAATTACACCTTGCCCTCATAAGGGCGGAGCACAGTGCGACTATGAGGAAGTCTGGAGGGACATCACTGCGAAGAGCTCAACTGATGAACCATCCTGGATCCTCCAGAGTCGTGATGAGACTGCTTTTATTGGAAAGATTGGTAGCATCTTTTTAGCTATACGGAAAAGCTCTAACAGAGCATTTTCTGCACGCCGGGAAGACCGCAATATTTCTAGCCAAAAGTGGGACACCACCTACGAGTTTGGTAATGCCGTTGAGTTGCCACGGGTGGATCAAGTCATTGAAATTATAGAGATGGCCGGTGAAGTCTGGGTTGAAGGACAGATGGTAAATATTGGTGAGACGGGATACATATTCAAGGCAGTTAGTGCCGAATGAGAGAATCGTTCAAAAGGCAGCACGATGGCAGTCCCTTTTGCGGTTAACTATTCGGACAAGGTTGCTTATAACCGCCATAGCAGTTCCGTGGCAAGGTTTGTGTAATAATCAAGCACGACCTGAGAATTCCTCCCTTTTTGTTTTTGTTTTTGTTTTATTTTTTATTTTTATTTTTAAATTTAGGTCAACAGTTCCGCAATTTTTGCACGAAGTCCATGTAAATAAGAATCCCGGACACCATAGATACTTTCTTCGAGAAACGAACCATCTGATTATATCTTCCTGGTTGTTTCCTGTGGATTCTCAGTCATCCCAAATGCGAGCTCTATAGTCTGTCTAACATGCCCCCGTACGTAAGAGACAAGTGGATAAAAATGCATAGGATTTGTACTCAATAATAAACATATGGCAGTCCATGGGTCTCTCCGCAAATGTTCATATTTGCAGTAATTCAACTTGTGGGAGGAGAACCCTGGCGATAGCAAGTAATGGAGGCGCTAGTATGTACTATAGCATTGTCGGGATTTCGCTAGTCGCGGAACTACGCGTGACTAGACTATGTATGGTGGCACCGGGTGGGGTAGTGTCGTTTAGCGCAGAACGGAAATCCGCGCGCGTCGGATCCTCGCGCATGTGGGCCTCTCCCATTCTGGCTGACGCGGGTGGTCCAGATCCCTGAGCTATTTTACCCCAACTAAAGATAGGCGATGTTCCATACCCCAGATCCCGATAGGCACAGACGCTAGGGGGCTATCAAGGCCACTTGAATATCGCCATACCACTTGGTCGTGGGCTTGACCACACCTATAAGAACTCTGTATACTTCCGATGCATTTGTCTCAACCAGCACATCCCGTCTCCGCATCAATCGATATAACCCACGACTTTAGTCGATAGAGGTATTGTCTGCACATCATGCCAGCCTACGAGACAGGAAAATCGGATCAGAACTCTTCTGAAAAGAAGGATCTGGCAGCTGCACCATATGATGACAGCACTAAAGTCGGAGTCGTCGAGGAAAGAGGAGAGGTCTTCGATCAAGCTGAGTATCGAGCTCTAGGATGGTATGCTGCCCCATTCAAGTTTCACATATCGAATATCATCTACTTATACGACGTACCTACGCCAGGATCCGTACTAGTATCATTCTTACGAAGCTCTGCTTTGCCACTGGTGTCCTAGCCATCCCCTCCGCTTTCAGCGTTGTAGGTTATGGGCCGGGAGTTATTCTCCTTCTATGCTGGAGCGCCTTGACGACTTGTATGTAATCCATTTGCATAGCCAGCTTGCAACGTGAGCACTGAGTCTGGATTTAGATTATGCCTACGTCATGTACGTATTCCGGATGCGATATCCTGGCGTTCACAACATCGCGGACGCTGCTGGGGTTATTGGTGGCCCGATCGCGCGGGAAGTGGCCGGAGCCCTCTTTCTCCTGACTTGGGTGTAAGTGGAGACACTCGGATGGGAACCATTCAACTGACGATTAAAAACAGACTGGCTTCCGGATCAGGGTTTATAGGCCTTTCACAGGGCTTCAAGGTTCTCTCTAGCCATCATGTCTGCACTGTAGTCTGGACCTTGGTTGCTGCATTATGCACTGCATTCTGTGCAAGCATTCAAACGCTTGGAAGACTTGCTATTCTGACGTGGATCGGATTTGCATCTATCTTCACGGCTGTGTTCATTGTCGTGTGAGTATAATCCCATTTTCTTAACTGCTAAAGTAATTCTGGATTGCTCAATATCTGATCCTCTGTCTCCGCAGTGTCGGTGTCACACAAGTAGATAGACCCGCGGCTGCACCTCAAGAGGGCTCATTTAGCATGGAAGTTTTCGCCGTCGGATCCCCGGGAGTCGTCGCCGGCCTTGTCGCAGCGATTAACTTGTTTGGTGAGTGTACTATGACAGGCAGTCAATACGGATACAAGAAACTAATCAATACCATCAGCTGGCTACGGATCCACTCCTACCTTCATGCCCGTGATTGCGGAGATGAGGAGTCCAAGTTCGTTCACAAAAGCCTTATTCTTGTCTCAAGGATTTTTGGTCACTTGTTACATTTCATTTGGTGTGGTTGTTTACCTGTAGGTCGTTAACAAGTAAACTGTACGCTCTCCTGGAAACTTACTCTCTTCAGATACTGCGGTCAATACGTTGCGAGTCCGTCATTGGGCAGTGCAGGTGGCCTTTTGGAGAAGATCGCCTACGGTATTTCGATCCCTGGGTTCATTATGACAACCACCCTCTGGGTTCATCTTGCAGCCAAGTTTGTGAGTTAGTTGTATCCATGCATTGATGCTCCATAGTTAACAGAGGAACAAGCTACTTGTTCGAATCCTTCGAGACTCCGTGCATCTACAGGATCACAGTGTAACGCATTGGGTGACTTGGCTGTGAGATGTTCCTTCCCTCAAAAACGCCTTTGAGTTTCGTCTGGCTAATATAGAACTCCAGTGCATCCACCATTGGCATAAGCGCATTGGCATTCGTTGTTGCAGGGGCAATCCCTTTCTTCAGCTATCTCATTGGTCTCATCGGCTCGCTCTGCTGCGCTCCTACATGCGTGAGTCCTCAAGTATTCCATTCAACTATCTATACATTTCTGATTTGTATCCCTAGCTTATCATTCCTGCGTTGATGGGTCTTTACATGGACTGGGAATATCGTGGAACTACTCATGTGATGACCATCAGATGCGCCTTCCACATCTTCACTGTAATCCTGGGTTCATTTATTACTGTCTCTGGCACTTACACGACGGTTCAAAGCATTATCAATGCCTACGCTTCAGGTCTCGTCGGGCAAGCATTTTCTTGCTAATATGGGTCCTGTTTTGATTTAACGTTCCTCCACCCTTGTTTTTTTTTTTCAAAGTTACTAGAAGGGGAACCAACTCTTGTAACCCTAAATACAGAACTGAGGACCGATAAATTGTTGATGCACACGATAAGAACAGTGTTCTGGTTGATATATCTGTGAAGGCTGAGAGCTCTTCCGCTTGCGAGGAGATTTTGTCGTATCCTTTGAATATCAAGACTGAGCATACGTTCTTATTGATTTCATATCATATCTAACGATAGAGGCGTCTCCTACCTCGGTTGAGACCACGAACGTGGCACTGATCAATGATTACAACACAAAAGACACCCTCTCCCAGTTGTGCTAGAATGTCTATGGCCCTCTCATTGATAAAGTTACACGCCCGATTCTCATTTTGTGAATGGTTCTCGTGAAACGAAAATCAGATGCTAATACGAGTGGCGTGAGAGCCTAGTGTGCTTGAAGGACCTTATCGATAATTACGTTAGGACTGAATATATTTATTTTTATAGTATATTGCTATATCACCAAAGAACTCGTGGTATGGAACGTTTTCTTTTGTATACTCTTCTTTCAAAATCTGATCGACTCTTGGTGGAATGAGGATCGGTACCTCGTTAATCATTGGATTGGGGACTTACGAAGGATATGGCCTCCCTCAAGAGTCCCATACGATGATAGCCGGGCGGCATATGTCTGCAATGATCTGCTGAACTGGCATATCGGGCGAGATGGATATGAGAATACTCGTATTGTCCACCTTCAGAAACGCAGACCGACCATCCAGGATAAAAATATCAAAAGATTGTTAAGGTTCCACATCAGCAACTGAATAAATCGGATCCTGCGCGTAGCATGGACATCGCTGCGTTGTACCCCGACTCAGCAAAAATTCTTTGAAATCTAAGATCAGCGAGTGCTGGATCATTTAGTCTAGGTTGAATCGGTTTTTTGACCGCAGCTCAAGGGGCCACATGCGAACGCAACCATTTTTCTAACAGGTAGTAGAGGCATTGTCGCATAATAAATGCACTGCACATTCTTGAAATACTCCCCAGTACACTAACCCTGGTGCAGAGCTTAACATCGCGAAAGACACCCATGCGATCGACTGGGTGGCTGTTCCTTAGACTAGCGTTTCTTCCCCTCTATACCACAATACATGCTCGGTTTCCCAAAACGGCCCAATCACGGATTTGTTCGCAGCCAAATCTGTTCCCAGGTAGGCTATCTCCCGTCGAAATTACCTTGTGGTGTTCTTAAAGGTCCTCTGGAGAATCTCGCAGGACTATTCTACCCGGGTTGCCTTGTAAACTTCGGTCAAGCATAATTCCCCACCGTTTTGGGATCTTCTCCACACCATCATCCGCTGCCAAGTCATTCCGGACTTATAATATTTTAACGTAAAACTCGTCAATCTCAGGGGGTGTGGTTTAGGGGTATAACGTTCGCTTCGCATTAAATCCACATATACCGATTGCGAAAGGCCATGGGTTCGATTCCCATCTCCTCCATCTGTTACCCATTCGGTAACCCGCTTTTTAATATGAATCATATTTAACTTTTTTATCAACCATTGAATACTCTACATTTTAGATGAATTCTCGATCGAACTCCTTGGGGGAATATCTATTTCATATGATACGGTCGGGTACTATTAGGATATAGTCCTGTAGAAGATTCTCATCTGTCGAGTGTTTAGATTAAAAGTCTGCCTCGTTTTCTTTTCCCCCTGAAATGTAGCCATGTATAACATACCTACCTATGTATCATAAGTCGCGATGGCCTATTCTCCACTTGCAGATGCATCGTAGCTTAGTGTAGAACAATTGTTGCTGATCACTGTCACGATATGTCTTTTTGTAAAGCCAGCTGCACGACGCATTGCAGTTTACTCGTAGTCTTCTAAATGGCATGCAAACTCGCAGAGTCAAAAGATGTCAACCTCGTCAGAAGGAAATAGTACTCTGAACCCTCACAACTCCTTGACCTTCTGCTGCCCCTTGAACGATCTTGCAATTCTCAGCCCAAACACCCAAGCCAGCATGCCGGCCTCCAAACCCAGAAGCCCAATCCAGAGCGCGTCTAAGATGTGCACTTCGAGCTTCCCAGGCAAGAGGCCCTCCAGGTTCCAGCGAAGTGGGCCGTAGGAGACCTGCATCAGCATGAAGGCGACGTAGACGTAGTATGTGTACCAGTACGGTCTATTGTTGCGGTTAGTTGTGCATCAATGGGAGGAGGCATTGTGTGTGGCATTAGCGCGCAAAACTGAGAGCGAAAGCGGTTGCGGCTGCGAGATAACGGAGTAAGTGCATTTCTGTGTAAGTCCTCGCAATTTGAGGAACGGCACAATCAATGAGGGAGAGACAATGTTATAGTGCGATAAAGCCAATCCGTCCGCAGGAAGATAGAAAAAAGAAGGACGAAAGAAAAAAAAAAGGGGGAACAGAAGAACAAAAGACATCATTTATAAAAAGCCATAACGGCGGAATTGCCACTTACTTGTTGTGTTCAGTCATTACAGTCCATCGCGGCCGCGGCTCGGCATAGGTCTGCGACGCCTTGAACGAGAGCACGAATCCACTAAAGATGAACGCCCAGATGAGGAGCATGCGCTGGAAAAGACTGAGGTCTTGCTGGGGAAAATAAGAGTCCAACATCTCGTTTCAACGTCCGTAATCCTCTTTTTAGTTTGCCGTCGTTTGGGCGTGCTGTCCTTTTAGGAAGGCTATTAGACACGTTGCTCCTTTTAGTTCCTCCTTCCTTTGTCCCGGCTGAGGAATTGTGCTGATGGATTGAGGAGCCGGCCGGTGGATGAATGGTACACTCACTATCCGCGCATGCAGATCAAGCTGGGGGTGGTATTGAGACAGGGCGGGATGAGGAAATCTGGGGAAGTTGTCACATGCGGGACACGGCTGTGCAAACAAGCTGACACCGAATTTATAAGAACTGTAATTGTGCATCAGGATACAACCAGTATTTATTTGTCCACCATCTTGTTGTTAAGATTGCTAAAGTCTAGCCCTTTTGCTGTTCGTTGTCATTTCGTCCGGTTCAGCGGTCCGAGTCTCCCAGGCGGGCGGATGGCGCTCCCCGCAATCGAGGCGCTTTTCAGTCGCAAAACTGGTCAGATAGATCCCATGGGACCAGGATGGTGCTTGAGATCTGTTTCTAAGCGAGCTTTTAAGATTGAGACTACACGAGTGTTTCGTTTATGTATAAGTGCTTCATTGCGAAGGGGAGTTGAGGTTATATACACTGATAGTACAGTACGAGATTAAAGTGTTCATCATGAGAATGAAGGCAACCAAGTGGCCCTGTGTGCTCTCACCTGGCCAGACCTCATTTGATCCGTCGACACATAAAGGTATACAATCCTTGTCGAAATTCCAACCACCAAACTCCATAGGACGCGATGCATGAAAATCAGAATGTTGGTCCTTACGAAGACCTGGCCTTCATGCGAGCCTCCAGCTTCTCCCGTTCACGTACGTCACCGCCGGACGCTTTCCACCATGTGTCGCACCCCCACCTCAGCATCCGCTCGCATGCCTGTGTGGGTGTCACGGCTGGCCGAACATCGAGGAAGAAGACAGGCTCGCCGTTGGCCTCCTCGCCGCCGGAGTAGTAGTCAATGATGTAGCGGACTTCTTTTTGTTGACCATTGGCCTCCCTGGTTACGAACCAGTCGTGGCGATCAAACGGAGGCTCGGTCCTGCACACTCGTTAGCACGATCGCAATATTTGAGCACATGAAGATAGCAACTTACGCAAACATGGAAGGGTATAGCCATCCCATGACCTGGATCATGGCTGCTTTAGGTGTCATTTCTTGAGGCCGTCCCTGAAATCTGACCAAGCTTGGGGCCAGGTCGTCAATCTCCTTTTCGTAGCCATACTTTCTCGCCATCTTGTCAAAGTTCTGCTCACCAGCAGAACACAACTGCCAGCCTTTCATCAAGCCACCTGCGAAGCGCTTCTCGTGCTCCATGATTTCGGCCCAGGCACCCTCGTTCAGGAAGTTGTGAACGCTGACCATGCTCTCGACGGCGGTGATATCTGTGTCGTTGTATCCCTTGCGCAAAAGAGCATTGTACATCTGTTGGGGGGAAGGATATTCCCAGGTTCCGGTTCCATCGCCTCGTGGAATGGTCGACTCCTCACGACTTGTGGGAAGGGCAAAGGTTTGTGACGGCGCCTTCTCCTGCGACAGGTCGCTGAACATCCAGTTGAGAGGGTTCAGCTTGGACAGCGTAGAGGGCTCAGCGGTGGGCTTCGATGCAGCGTGAGGTACCGGGCATGCTGAGGCGAGTGGCGCATCGGTCTTATCGTGCTTTACCGGACAGGCGGAAGGAGGAGGAGGAGCGACGGCATCGTGCTTGACTGGACATGCAGACGGAGGGGCCAAAGCTTCGGCGGTCTTCTTGTGCATGGGACATTCCGGCTACATAAAAGTTAGATGTGGTAAAGTCAGAAAGATGCGACACGGCGTACAGGTGGTGATCGGCCCTCGATTGGGAATGCATGAGGCGCCCTTTCAAGCTTGGCCGCAGGAGCGTCTGCCCAAAACCAGCCCATCTTGATGAGTGCGAACGTGAAGAGATATTTATTGAAGAAGAATAGGTTATAGATGAGCTCGTGGCTCTTTTGAACGTGTGACGAGACTGAAGCTGCCGCAGAAGAATTCACGAAATGGTTGCGCAATCGACACTGCTGATAAGGAACATGGACAACTTTTTGCCTGCGAAATTAGACCGGGTCATCGTCCATCTTATTATCAGTTGCGACGGTCCCGATTGGCTGAGAATGTCTCCAACCGCGACGGCGCTAACCTGGTGACATCTAGTTTCTGTCTTGCCTCTTTACACACCTTCCGGGCGGGTCGGCCTCTCCAGCAGCCTTTGTTTTAGCGAATGCCGTACGTCACTTGTTGGCGGGTTTCAATCAGTGACGCCAAACACATGTCAGCGCAACAAGCCCTTGTCTTTGTGTAACGTAGTCGCTCGTCGATGCTGTAATAAGTGCTCCCGAAAGGCACCTCGTCAGACAATGCAATAATGATAAGTCGACACTTCTGGCGCTACACAATCTGCACAACGAGATGAGGACGGCCTTCCTCTTTGGCAGGCTTTGCGCTCGTCAAGGTGCACGCCAGGCCGCCCCGAGGATACCGAAACTCGCCAACAATTTCACACGATGGCAGTCGACATTCGGAAACGGCACTCGCTCGCAATGGCAATCCCCACGGCCCAGAAAGTTCATGCTCTATGCGGCTGTGCAAGGAGTTGCACTAGGTACTGCAGCCTTCGTAAGACTTGCCGAGAAAGATAATGAAGGTACCGAGTCGACGTCAGAGGAGCGCATGCTTCAAGCATCACGGGACGAGATTGAGAAGAGCAGAGACGAGTCAAGCGATTTCTTAACCCGGTTTCGACACAATGTTGTCTACTACATAGACGTATACTTCTGGGAGCCCATCTGCACCGGTGTACGCTTCTTGCATCTGGTGACTATCTTCGTGCCAGTAATATTAGCCGTGCCTGCCATCTGGATTGGTAGCCGCCAGCCTGACCGCGACAACGAGAGAACGGGCACTCTTTGGTGGTATCGATTTCTCGTACAAGCCATGGAATGGGCCGGCCCAGCTTTTATCAAGGTAAGCGGTCTGTGGCCTCGTTACAAGCACACTCTTCTGAAAGGTTTGGGCTGATTGAACTGCAAACAGTTGGGACAGTGGGCCGCTTCACGAACAGATATCTTCCCGACCGAAATGTGCGACATCATGTCTAAACTACATTCCAACGCACCAGCCCATTCTATGCATGCAACCAGGAAAACCATAGAGGCTGCTTTTGACGGAAGGGCATTCGAGGACATTTTCGAGGAGTTTGACGAGAAACCACTAGGCGTGGGAGCCATTGCGCAAGTATACAAGGCCAAGCTCAAGCCAGACCTGGCTGCGCCTACAGATATCGATGTGGTGAACTCCAACGGAAATCTCCGCCAGAACGTTCGAAGGAAGGTCGATCCACTGCTGAAGAGTACACCTAAGAGGGTGCCGTCTACCTATGTCGCCATTAAAGTCTTGCATCCTAGAGTGGAGCGGACGGTGCGTCGCGATTTGCGCATCATGGGATTCTTCGCCTCGGCGTTGAATCTGATCCCAACCATCGAGTGGCTCTCCCTTCCTGACGAGGTCGAACAGTTCGGCGAGATGATGAGGCTGCAGTTGGATCTGCGGATCGAGGCTGCCAATCTCGCAGTGTTCCGAAAGAACTTCAAGGACCGTACAACTGCCTGGTTTCCATTCCCGTATCTCGAGTTTACCACACGAAATGTCCTGATCGAAGAGTTCGCACAGGGGATTCCGCTGGCAGATTTCATGGAAAATGGAGGCGGCGTCTTCCAGAAGGATATTGCACAAGAGGGTCTAGACGGGTTCCTGCGTATGCTGTTGCTCGACAATTTTATCCATGCAGATTTGCATCCAGGCAACATCATGGTCCGTTTCTACCAGGCCAAACAACCCACCTTCCTCCACCGTCCGGGCCATGACTCAAATAAACCACACCCTGAAGAGCAAGAGGACGTCACAGAGCAGATTCTTGCGCGCCTGAGACCTCATCGAAAAGACAAAGCTGCATGGGCGGCGGAGCTTAAGAAGATCGATGCTGAAGGCTACCACCCGCAACTCATTTTTATCGATGCGGGCCTGGTCACGGAGCTCAACGCGACAAATCGACGCAACTTTCTCGACCTTTTCCGTGCTGTGGCTGAGTTTGATGGCTACAAGGCTGGCCAGCTCATGTGTGACCGGTGCCGACAGCCGGATGCCGTGTTGGACAAGGAGGTCTTCGCCCTCAAGATGCAGCACCTAGTCCTCAACGTCAAGAGCAACACGCTCGCATTGGGCAACGTGAAGATTGGTGATATCCTGCAGGAGGTCTTGAGCATGGTCCGCGGGCACCACGTCCGCATGGAGGGGGACTTCGTCAATGTCGTCATTAGCATTCTGTTGCTCGAGGGTATTGGGCGGACGCTCGACCCCAACGTGGATCTTTTGAGCAGCAGTCTGCCTATATTGCGAGAGTTGGGTGCAAGGGGAGGCGCAGAGGCGCTTAGAGGCGGCGATGTACACATGCTGATTGTCTGGGCTGGACTGGAAGCCCGACGCTTTATGCAGGTTAGCATTGAAGATGTGAGTCTTTTCTCCCTTCCTAAATCTTTTGAGCGAGATGGATACTAACATGACAATAGGTTGAGCGATGTGTCAAGTATGATTTACTGGCACCAAATGTATAATCACCTGTACTAGAGAAAGAGTATTCGCGTAATAGAGATAGATATATATGTATATATATATATATACCGTAGCCGTAGGATGTTAGCAAATGCGACAACCGATTCGGTCGACAGGAAAGTTTATCAAACCCACGAGTGAGGGGACAAGAACATTCGTCTGATGTTGACAGTCATAGTATACGGGAGCTTGTAGGTATCTGCGCTTTCGGGACGCTTTAGACGCAATATAAACAACAGACAATAAGAGCTGTCACCAGAATAATGTTGAATAGTGAGTAGGACTCAGTACTATCCATGTATCATTACCGCTTATTCCTCTAGGTTTTAGCCTGACCGCGTTATCAGGTGCTTAGAACTGCTGACTAGCTCCCCTGAGAATGAGGTTGTCCTGTCTTATGATTTCCATGCATTCTTTGACTGTTGGAACGCTCAATCCACATTTCTCAGCCTCGTCACCATTGGCGAAGACGTAAACACTTGCGTCGGAAAGACGCGACCAATGTTTTCTACCCCGTTCTGTGAACGGATCACGTTGATAGACGAAACTGTGGTTATAACCCCGATACGCCATGTTGCTTGTACCATTGCCCTTCAAACCACACATCGTAACTCGGCATGACTATCATCTGAATTCCAAAAGGACTATGAGATAGTGGTATCCAACACCCGGTTTTATCGGTTTCCAGGGCCTCCGAAGAGAGTTCATGAATGCGTCCTGTCTTCTATGTCAGTACTACTAGCATAGTGTCCATTCGTAATTGTTGCATACCAAGGGAGGATTGTTCCAGGAACCAATGACGAATCCAGTGTATCCAAAAAGCTTCTCAGGGCGGGAACTGGTGCCAGTGCTGCTTGTATATGTCCGATCGTGCTAGCTGCTCCATTGTATCGTGGAAGATAGGCGGCCGCCGCGGTCGAGGTACAAGTTATGGAAATTTTCCTCAGCAAAGACATGCATGGTCATGTCGACATCGGAACGCCCTATACGACGTAGCAAAATTTGCCACACCGTTTGGCAGCATCATGCCAATAACCCTGGTCTTGATCTCGACTGGCAGCTGAACGATGGCTAAGGTTTGGTTCTTGCGTTCATTCCCCGTGGCTGTGAATGTCTGGTAGAACGATTTGTATGCTATTGCAAGATTTGGAACGTGCTCTGGTTGCATTCAGCGGCTTGAACAAGTCCAGGCGAAGAGCATACGATGAACTAAGTTTGGAGAGAAAGTTATTGGAGATCTTCAATGATCATGAATCGAATTTCTGGGGAATGATAGAAGTTGCCCTGTGTACCTGGACGGTTAGAGGACAGCGCAAATCTAATCACATCCGCGAAATTTGAGGCTAGACAACAACTGTGTTGAGATCATAAGACGATGTCGAGGGGGGGTTTTTTCTTCTTCCTTTTTTTTTTTTTTTTCCATGCACGAAAGAGATCATATCAGAACTTGGTGAATGGTCTATACACTTGGCCTCCCTATTGCATAAACCCAACCCGCATCTTCTGTATACCATCTCAAAGCAGGAAACGGTGGCCAGCGCCACACGCAACGGGTTCTTGCTGAGGCTTAAAAAGTACTACATCTTCTGGACCAGTATTCAAATACCCCGTCTCACCATCAACCGCGACACCGCTCTTCTCTGGAATGGCGACGACGACGACATGATTCTCATCTGCCCACTTCTGGCAAGTAAAAACATAAGCAGCGTCCACCGGATCGTAGTGAGGAAACACCACCGCGCCGCTAAGCAGGTTCAGGCTTCTCGTATCCTTTAGTCCTATCTTATTCACGTCCAGCCCTCCTGTTTCAACGTCGCAAATGGCAATGTCAGCTCCCAGCAGAATGGCACCGGCACTTCCCCCGTAAACCTTGCCTCCACGTGCGAGGAAGTCCTTAACAGATTGCTCCAGGTCGTTCTGCTGCACCCAAGCAAGCAGGTCAAAGGTATTGCCTCCCGGGATAGCCAGGACGTCGGCACGAGCCAACCCAAAATCTGGTGCAGTTTCTCCGATCTCAACCTCGAAGTCGCCGCGTTTAGAGAGGGCCCTCTTAATCCAGCGCATCGTGTCTGGTATCTTGGACGGTGGCATAGCGTAAGGCCAAACTGCGACACGCTGCGGGGGTTGAAAAACGAGATCCCAGAGGAGGGACTCGTCGTCCTCGGAGCCGCCACCACCTAAATATGGCATTATGTCGAAATCAGACGAACAACTCTGGAAGAAGGCGGTAATATTTGTGTCAAACTAGAACGCGCAGGTCAGGAAACGAACTAAGAACGAGCTGGATTGAAAAACTCGCATGGCATCAGTCTCCTCATGCCGTTGGCGCATGTACAGGTCAGCTTTCGGGTGCTGCACCCGCGCCGCAACGGAATGTTACAGCGAACCAAAATAACTCCTTCGGCAAAGCAAGGACATTGCGATCCGTGTCCATTGCAGCACATTGTTGGACTACATGGCAAACAAATATTCGACTCGTCTAGTTAGTAACATGTCATCATTGTGCATCTCGACTATAAATTTGGTGGTGGCATCTCATTCGCACATGGCCAAACTACGACCTGTCGACCTGGATTAACAACGGATTCACATCTAGGACTCCTCCGGGCAGTCAAACCCTAGATACAGTGTTGGGAAAGGCAAGAACTGCCGGAGACCGGAAACCAAGTCCAGCGCTTGAAACCAAAACTCGGCTTCTGATATGACTTTTGCTCTCTTCTGGCGAGAAAGGATTCGCAGGTGATCGATGACAAGTTCGCCTTTCGGGAAGCAAATCACATGAGTGAAAAACAGGGTGTTGGTGCGACTTTTCTGTTCAGTCAACTGTATCGACGTTACTTTCATCTTGTTCTGTCAACCTAGCCATAAACATAAGGCCAAACTTCCGGCTGACCACAGATATAAAGCCATGCCCATCGATACCCAGTCATGATGTCGTCTCGTAACTTTTCGCCCGATTACTTGTCGCTCATCGTCTATTTCTCCTTCTTGGCCTTGGCACCCTTTACCTTGGCGGTACCACGGAGGGTCTTCTGGCGGTTCTTGCGTTGCTTGCCTGTTGTCCGAGTTGGTTATTCTATTCATCACGTGTGTCCAGAGATTGTACATACGCTGTTGGCGCGAAGCTCTCTCGGGCTTGGTAGCGAGGCCGACGCGGACGAGGCGGTATTGGGGCTCGAACTTCTTCATGGCCTCAGGGGAGTCGTAGATGAGAGCGAAACCAGTGGTCTTGCCGCCACCGAATTGGGTTCGGAGACCGAAGACATTGACCTGGTCGGCGGTTGCCTTGTACAGCGAGGAAAGCTGCTCGCGAAGGTCTTGCTTGGCGATACCAGCCTTGCCAGGGTGGAGGATGTCACTGGAACATGTGTTAGAAGCGCTTCGGGAGGATTCGATTCGGTATTCGCGAAAAACCTACACCACCATCTGCTTCTGTTGAAATTGTCAGCATTTCCTCATTTTCCTTGATAACGACGTCTAGAGCAGGCGAAAAAAACGTACTCTACCCAGCAGGGGGTTACGGATGAACTTCCGCGTACGGATCGTGACTGAGTCGGCCATGGTTGCTGTGATGTTGACGTGGTGTTGCGCGGTCCAAAGTGGGAAGATGCAAAATTGAAGCAGATTACCAGGCGATGCAGTAAAATTGAATTGTGATAGTGCGGCAGCTGCCAGCGTCTGGTGAGAAGTGCCAGGTGCGTGTGAGCATCATTCATGCCCCACCTTTAGCTCTTTTTCCTAGCCTCCATTGCACTGTTTGGAAGTACCAGAGTACACTCATACATATGTGACCCACTTGATCTCACTCTCTGGATAAGATAAGCAATCAGTGAACTTGTGCCTCAATGTTCAATTTGTGCATGCGGCACCAAATAACTAGCACCAAAAACAGATTGATCACTTGTCACTAGTCCATTATCAACACCGATTGGCCGACATTACAACCATAGCACCGTAGTGAGAGTGTCATCGTCAGAAGAATGCGCGATTTGCAAGCCTCACGTGGTTTCATTTTGAATGAGTAGCTGCTTCCCCGACAACCTGATGACCTCTTTCTAAGGTAGAGAGGAGTCGGGGAGTAAACTATCACCACCTCTCCACTGATCCTGTTCATTCGTGACAGCAAACCATCACGGCATGTTGAGTTACGATAACGAAACAAACCTACCTGAATGGTACTCAGACTTTCTGATAGCGTTTCATCAACTCAGTCAGAGTCTTGATTCAGTCCCAGCCCATCGAACGAAGAGTAGCTTTCCATACGGGAAAAGCGTCCAGGCTTCGGATCCAATCCATGCGTGGAATTCTACACAGGGTCGATTGAGCATCGATCCAGAAATAGATACTATGGACGGAAAACCACGAGTATTCATGACGGTCTGCAAGCGAATTGTGCGCCACCGTGGAACAGGAAGACAAACCTTCCGCAAGCCAATCACCCCTGGAACCTTAACTGGCCCGTGACGATGTCTGGGCAAAATGGCGAGGCAATTGATACGCGCAACCGGCAGAACTTCCCGGTTTGGGTGGCGAACCACGCAATCATTACTAATTTTCTCCTGTGCTAGACTGATTGTATCGTCTCGAAACGTCGTAACAATGCTAGATATCGTGTGAGGAACCGTGTGATATCAGCCAGTGATACGCGAGTCAGGGACTCGAGAATTAAGAGGTTTTCATGTCTTTGAACCAGCCCCTTGCAGATAACATCGTTCGCATGTACGTTTGACAGATCCTGCACTCTTACCCTTAAGTGTTTGCATAAGCTAATGTAAGTTGCATTTCTATTCCAATCTCAGGACTTGTGCCGAGTACCAAATTTGGCTCAGAGACATTGCGGTGGAAGACGCCACATTGTCTAAGCCGCCTTTTCTACTAAACTTCTAGAGTCGGAATCCGAAGCCAAGGGGGGATGCCTCACGAAAGTAGGAGAATATCTGGAAAATAAATGTGTGTACACTCTTTGAAAGTGGAGACCTATGTGCATCTGGCTTTAGATGCCTTGGATTTAGAGACAAGCTGTGGTCTACAGAATGTACTCAACGGCACCCCTTCATGTTGGCCCTTTGAGGTGACCTGGAGATTTGTAGGGCCGTTGCGTATTCCTTGAACTTCCGTGGGTCGTGTGCATACGAGATTTATTAGCCGCCTGTATGTACAGCGACATAGCAGGGACAAACAAAGCCGTGGTCATCGCTGAAGTATCTCGTTCATTCATGTATTCGTAGCAGGGCTCTTGTCCAGAGCCCTGACTAGTACAGATGAGCCAAAGGTGATAGAACGTACAAGTCGTCATATTAGTCTATTGGTGTACTCTGAGTAATGGCTTCTAAGTTATCTGTGTTATTTACGCAGCGCCTTCGTCTTTGAATTGCAGCAAGTATATACGGAATGCCTCTCTCCATTATCGCTCTGGCTCCGCCGGTGAAGTGCATGCCTTCTCAAGCCGTTTTGCCAGCTCAGTAGAGGGGACATCCACAGCCCTCCAAAACATATCGGCGACCCAGAAAGCCAATGGAAAGTACAGTGCTGTCGACACAATGAAGCTGATAGTATAGGGCCAGAAATCATCCTTTCCGATATATTCCCAGCAGAGATTAAGAAGCCATTTTCCCACAGTCCGATTACCGAGGCCGTGAACGAGGTAAAGAGAGAAACTGATACGACCGAGGTACCGGATGGGCCGAGTCATAAATATTGACTGAACGGACGGCATAAAGATCATCGGGCCGACGACTAGTATTGAACCGATAGCCATCCAGAAGCGACGACGGTAAGCAGAGTAGGGCCAAAGATTCTTGGACCACCTGTACCCTGGCGTCTGTATGTTACCGTCACGTGGATATCCGGAAAGAAAGAGACCAATTATGAGGGAAATGATGAGCAAGGCGTTAACCAGTCTCAGCTTCAGCCCACTCGTAGGCTTTCGGAGGATGACCTGAAGTTCGGCAAGTGTCATGCCACAGACAAAAAGAGCAACATCCCAGCGCTTGTGACCGAACGAATGAATGATGAGTATGGCCTCAACAGCCAGGCGAATAGCAGTGCGTGTCCTCGCAAGCGCTAGGACCATCAAGAAAATCACCATAGAGCCACGGTACTCCACAGCGATGGACCACAACTGAGGGTTGTAGAAGCCGAAGAACTCGGCGGTCCAGTCCCACGGGTTAGACTCGAGATCAAGGAACTCAAGGTACGCTCCAAAGCTGTGCTCGAACGCCTCGCCATTGACCTTGTGGGGAACGACGATGATGCCCATACAGGCACAGAAAAATGCCATCAGACTGGAGACAAAGGCGGGTAGGAACAGGCGAATGGCTCGGCGCCATGTGATGGACGTAAGCGACGCGGCCAGCTCGTTGTACTCCCGGCGGTGCATGCGCTGGATGTAACGGTGTGACAATACGAAACCAGATACGACGAAAAACACTGCCACCATAGCCGCGCCGCAGTGGATGATCCGCACAAACGGTAATAACCAGAATGACGTATTGCCCTTGTAACCCCATCCACTGTTGACAGCAGGATAGGGAATGTGACTCCAATGTAGAATGAAGACAATAAGGGACGCCACGCCTCGAACACCGTCTAGATACTCGGTCGAATGCTTCTTTGGCGGAGCAGGCAATGGCTTTTCAGAATCATCAGCCGGCGCCGATCTGAAGATAAAGCTTGGTCGTATGAATAGCCAGGTCCGAACCAAAACGTTTCCCAAGGATGGCATTGCAGGTAGGTGGCGACCAGCGCCTCGCTGTTGTGAGAATGTAGGGGAATGGGGAAGGAGAGTCTCCTCATCCTCACGAGGTGGAACAGGGCTGTATGTGTACATGATATAAGGAGTGATCCTGGATAACGAGCCAGTCTTCTCAAAGTATTCAAAAAATCATAGGTGAGTGTGCCAGGAAAACATGGGAAAGAAGACGGTTTTCATGTGCATTTGGCAATCGAGATAGGAGAGCCCAAAAGAGGACAGGGGGCAGCCCCACCCTAGCATTAAACTTGCAGAGAGCCCCAGAATTATGCCACCATATGGTCGGCTCACGGGTTGGAAAGAGATATGCAGGAACGGACTCGTACAGGAACAATAATCTGGGCACCCTAAGAAAATTACTTTACAAATTTCGAGCACTTGTAATTCTGAATCAACCTAAATCACGGACCTGCGCGCGCAATGCGTGATGCACCTGCGTGGGCGGTGGTGTTTAAGGTTGGTGCTCAAGGTTCGGGAGGCTGAATAAATTCACTGATGGGCGTTTGCGGAGGCGAATGATTTGGTCGGAACGCGAGTTGCAAACTGATAAGACATGCTCGAGAAGCTCGGAGAAGGGTTTCAAGGAAAATCAACTTCCTGAACTAACACCTGAACTCAGCACGGTACCACCATGCAGTGGCGAACAAAGAACTTTGCTGTCAATTCTGGTCTTACCATGTCGCGTACTTGACGGACTTGGTTCGCCCGCCCTGCATTGCATGGGGTTACGCCGTGCGATCCTCGCGCGGGAGATTGTGCAAGATGAGGTGATAAAAGCAAAGTGTCTGAAAGTTTATCATCGCGCGTAGATCTCTATCTGCTTAGGCAAAATAACAGACTAGATAGCCGGTTACCTAGGGACTATTTTTCCTTCTTCGGTATGGATCCAAATGATAGTCTACCATGTATGAACAATTGCTTGTCATTGGCGCATTGAACCAAACCTTAAGAACAATAGCCAGGGGCATTTGAATTTGACGTGCCAATCATAAGTGGGGGCGTCAGAAATTGAAACGACTATAATCCAGACTCAAAACTTGCCACGGCTCTGGCCATACAACGATAGCACCAGTTCGACTGCATGTTCAAAATGGATACATCCCGAGCAGCACTGCATCACGCTGAGCAATCTGTGCTACTCCTGATAGGGGCTATTGCCTGCTTGCTCAGCTTGATTTCCATGTCATTTTCCTGAGTGGACCTTAAAAAGTTCAGGGACCCCGAAATGCCAAGACGCTTGTGAGTCCGGCACTGAAGTTCCCAGAAGAACGAAATACGCGGCTCCTACAGCGGCCCCTGCCTATGTTGGCCCAGGTGGGCTGCGATCGTCAAAAGCAACATCTAGCATGATTAAGCTTTTGCACTCAGTCCTCGCTGAGTAGCTGATCGCGTGCCACCCGTACGTCTGGAATCCAACCCCTTTACGATAATATGCCATACCGTTCTCTAACAGTCGTTCACCTGGTCTTGGCGTCGTCGCGTGCCCCGCAAGCGACGATACGCATGCTTTGCTGTGCCGTCCAGTCTTTTCACAAGACTTTTTCTTTCTTTTTCTCCCTTAGGTTTTTAAACTTTCGCTATCATTCAGGTGAAGTCGGCTGCGTGATCCCACCAGGTACACTTAGCCTTCAGCTATTGTTTGAGCACAGGAATCTGCGTTCATTCATGTTGGCCCGCCGTGTTGCTGTACATCTCGCCCGTCACCTTCTCCACAACATCCAGCCACTGAGTCTCTCCGATAACTCGACGGGAATTTTATAAATCCCAAACACGCAGCCCGGCCCACAAGGTACACCATACAGTTTCGTTCGCATTCATTTCCATCATTTTAATTCCCGTTCGAATAGGAAATTCTTTGTCGTTCATTACGATACTTCTTCGTTCGTTCATTACACGTCACGCTCGGCAGGCTGATCGACAAGTCGTGATATCGAGGTGGCTTGAGGCAACTTGAACTCGCTTGGATCCGAACAGTAGTTGTGACTCTTCTAGACACATTCGGCATTGAAACCGCTGTGCTAGCTAGCTGGACCCTCATCCAGCGCAGTCATATTACCCGCGCAGCATCATGCATTCCCATAGGGGATTGCCACACCTAAAGATTCCCATGTCGCCTAATGAGCCTACTCCTTTTACGTCTCATTTGACATCTCGACCCATGAGAAAAGCTCTTTGGACAGTCGCAACTGTGTCGATCTTATGGTTGCTCCTCAGCAAGACGTGGGGCACGGTTGCCAGTGAAGCCTACGAGACCTACACGAAGCTTCCGTCACTCCGAAAGGGCAGCTCGGCTGATTCAGAATGGCTTGGAGGAGGGGCCGTGATACCTCCATCAGACGACGACTCAAACGAAGCAATGCTGGAGAACTCCAACGATAATCATAATGAGCACTCTAAAGAGAACCCAATCGAGCTCTCTAAAGAGATTGCAGATGGCGCAGAAGAGCCAGCTAAATCATCTTCAGGAGGAAAGTCATTACTCCACCAAATTCCTGACGTGATCAGGATTTCTTTTGAAGAGGCGGTTCAGGACATTGAGCTTCAAGGATGGGAAGATGACTGGTTCTCGTCAGCCACGTTCAATGCCCAAAAGGAGGGCCCTTTGGCGGAACCCAAAATCGACTTTGTATACAATTGGGTCAACGGGTCTGAAAAGAGTTTCATGGACATCAAACACACCTTTGAGCTTCAATCGCCACTGAACGACCCTGCTGGTAAGTGGATCGGTCAACATAGTGTCAACCGTTACCGAGACTGGGACGAGTTGAGGTACTCGCTGCGAAGTTTGAATAGATATGCGAAGGGCTTTGTCAACAAGATTCAGATTCTCGTTAACTCAGTCAATGACAACGCCGAGTACAACAGGGACGGCCGGGGCATGCGGCCCCAGCGTCCAACTTGGTTGAAGGACGACGCTGCAACAAACGAGTTCGTCCAAGTTCTTGGCCAGGAAGACTTCTTTGGTGACGAAGCCAAACAATGCCTCCCAACATTCAATTCACTTACCATCGAGTCTCAACTTCACCTAACGCCATCGACAACCGATCGACTCGTTGCTCTGTCGGATGATATGTTCCTGGGCATGCGCCATGCGCCATCGGATTTCTATTCACCCCTTTTTGGTTCGGTTATGGGCTTCAAGAGTGACAGCTATAATGTCAACATGAAAAAGCTTGGAAGTGGAACGGGTCCCACTTTTGGCGAGAAGCCCTTTGCCCATTACACATCTTACCTTTTGAATCGTCGCTTCGGTGAGCGTCCGCGGAGAGTTCAGGCACACTTCGGTCACTCAGTATCACGTTCCGTGATGAAGGAGACCTTGGCATCGTTCCCAGAGCCCACGAAGAATGGAATCTGTGAAAGGTTCCGCGGGGAGTCGCGTTTCCAGATTTACCCGTGGTATGCCAATTTCCACTACACCATTGAGCGCTTTCGCGAGGCGCTGTTATGGTCTTACATCATGTCGCGGTCGGACGCCAACCTAGATGGATATCTAGATTGGAAGGAAAGAGAAAACATCCTGAAAGCGATTGAACCTGGCTGGAAGATGTTGGCCACGAAGCAAGACGGTAGACCCGCAGCCCAGTCGCCGAATCGTGACAGAATGTATTACCACCTGCCTGATATCCTACAAAAGGCCGGCCTTCAAGCTCCGAAGGTCAACACACATGTGCTCTGGACATCGTTGGACGGTCCCGAAACAATTCGTACTGTCAAGTGCTCTGAATTCAACGTCGACGAGTGCTTCGCAGATTCTTTTGGATCCCCGCTTTCCGACCAGGCGACGCCGAACCCCGACTTCACCACCACCAATATTTTTTCGCGCATCTCGAAGCACCGTCCTGAATGCGGCGACTGTATAATAAAATTTGTGCTTGCGAACTATGCGCGTGGCTTGGAGCCATTGCTCCCTCCCAAATCGGCTAAACGCCATCACCGCGAGATTATCATCAAGGCGCTGAAAAAGTATCAACATACGATTATCGATATTGACGCCATGAAATTTGTCATGATTAAGGATGCGGAACAGGCAGAACAGGAGTTGCTGGAGAGGACGATCAAGCAAGGGGAGATTTTCGGGCAGTGGTGCCTGAACGATGATGTGATGACGGAAAGTGAAGTGCAGGTGGCACGGATTAGGAGCGTTATGCACAATATCTTTGAGACGCTATGGCCAAAGAAAACCCCGTGGGAAAAGGATGAGCTATGAAATATCATCCACAAAATAATCGGCACGCTGGACGCGGCATTCGAGATTTTCATCTATATAGCATTTGTAAATGTATCTAATTGATTCTTTTGGCCATGATCTTGTACTGAACATGCGCGAGATGTTGGTAATGCATGTTGTGGTATACGGCAAACATGCATGAATCAGCTGTGCCACAACGCTTCTGCAAGTTACGGTAACGTTAGTGCAATGATCACACGCGCTCATTCCATGTGCACTTGGTCGTCAACGTCTCCGATCTAATATCATAAGCTTTTGTTTCGAGAATACTCGACCACGTCCCAACGTTTTGGTGACATTGCATCCTGCAGCAATTGGTGTTGTCGCGCGAGAGATAAATACCTTCATTCCGCATCCAGTGTACAATCCACCCAATGTCGCATCATAGACTCTCAGAAGCAGGGAACAACAGTAACTACCTGTGCTAGCCTCTCGGCGTTATACATGGAAAGCTGAAAATGAGAAACATGCCTGTCATTTCACTGTAGCTGGGCGTAAGATATTTGGTATGCCCAAAAAGTCAAATGTTACTTTGAGTCCTTGGCAACCCGAGGTTTTTTACAGGGCAACCTCAATTGGCAGGAAACTCTAGACGAGTCTACAGGGCGGCATGCTTTATGCATATGTTGACACGCTAATGGTGAACAACCTCCTTTACCAGGTGGCACAGTTCTTGTGCTTTCTTTTGGGCCAGCAGACTTTTGCCGATATTGTGTGGTTATAAGCTCGTAATTTTGTGTAGTATTTGATTTAGTACTGTTCCACCAGGCCTTGAATCATTAAATTTCCGTAACCCAAAGCCTTGATATTTGTCAAGATGACCATGATGCTTGGCGGCGGAGATTATGATATCGCCTACGCGGCTTTGATTGGTATACTGATCTTCGGGTCGCTCATACTGTTCATCGTTAGTCTTTTTGCCATACCACAGAAAAAGGACACGGCCAGACATGGAATCATATGTCTAAAGATCGCTCTTGGCTTTATGTTCATGTATAAAAACAAGCACACAACATCCCCCGCACGGCCCGGATATCTGATATTGACATATGTCTTAGAGGCATATTGCTGGCCGTCGTTGCTACTATCATGGTTATCCTTTTCATGAGTGGTGCTCTTGATCGGAGCGATGACGGCCATCCCTCTGCGGAGGCCCAGAGCCGAATTTCTAAATAGGGTTACGTCTTGCTCGACATATCCTCTGTGTTTGCGTTCTCAAGCATACACGATATTGGCCCTGGTATACTACTCTCTTGGGGTACCGGGCTAAGAATACGTCCGATTCTACAATGGGTTGCATATAGAGTCGCCTTCATCGAGATTGTGTTGTTGCTGGTGAAGCTCGGCGACTACGAGACGTACTACACGTATCTCTACAAGGCCAAAACACGGGGACGTAGCAGAATAATCGACATCGTACACTACCGCTACGTCTATTGCGCGTATACCTATCTTCTACTTGTTGCGGCGACCGGCCTCCTGAGCCTGTCTATCATGGTCATGTTTCAGACACGTAAAAACGTTGGGCACCATCAGGTACGTGTCGCTTCTTTGAGATGTTCCCGTCATACTCCGAGTGTATCAAGACTGACCACGACACCAAAGTCTGTAAAACTCCAACTCGCCGCCAGCACCTTGTTTTGGGTGCCGAACGTTTGGTATTTGATCAGTATATCTGTTTTCTCGCTGGCCGGCATCTATCCTGGTAGACGGGAGCTTATTCTCGAGGCGATTCTTGGTCCTTGGCTACAGTTTGTTGTTCTGGCTATCTTGACGACCATTGGACGCAACAAGATGGGCGGGCTGTACTCAACATCACATAATGCCGCCAACAAACTAGATCATAGTGCATACAATGGCTAGCCGAGTAGCCGTAAATGCATGGCCAGCCTCCTGAGGTCTTAGGTTGTAGTCAATCCGCCTCAGAGACTATGAGTTGCCGAATATACCGCAGGTATTGCAGGCTATAGTGGTCTGTTTTCAAGTTGTTTGGTGCAAAGCTGTCTGGTATTAGTTCTGAGCCAATGTGACATGTTAAAGACGATATGTTAATTGGACCGTATTTGAATTTATGAAGGTAGAGTGACTGACAAGCTCAGTTATTTTGTGCAAATCTCCGAGTGAAGCGAGCTCGATGTTAGCATGAAAGTACATAACTTATTCGTGGTGGTTGGGGACATGGGAAAGGAAACTGTCGCTGTCGCGTTCGAACGATACCCTAACATGGGCGATAGGAAGCTGTGGGGCAGGATTACGTATGGTCGCGACTCACGACATCAAATACTCATTATAAGGATCCGTTGATAGCGTACATTCTAACCTTACCTAGACTAAAGGAACTATGTATCTTTGCAGTCCCATAATATCGTGCACTAATGAAGCCGGGGAACAAAGATCGTTCTCGTATGCGCCCCTCTCTTTTGGGGTAATGCGCTAAATAACCTCCAGTATGGTTTTCAGTATTGCCCCTGAGGTTCCATCTTATGATTACTGTGAGCCAACACTCTAGGAGACGCCGATCACTAGACTACAGTCGCAATTAACAGCCACTCTGGTGTCACAAGCCAGAACGGGTAATTTATCCATATACCAAGTTTTTTAGTAACAACCTCAATTGGACAATCCAATTCGGCAGGAACCGTGGCGCATCGATCATCCCATTTTCACCCACGCATTCCGATCATGAGGTCCCGCCGCCGAGCGTGGGACAGTCCCGGGAGATGCAGCTCACCATTATCTGCTCATAGCATTGACCCTTATTGGTTCATCTAACACAAATCTGCCGGGATACGCTAACGACATCCAACATTGAAAAGGCATCATAGCTCTAGGCCTGGTCTGAACCCCTTGCTTCACAGACGACACCGACGAAAATTGCTCATTGTGTAGATTCGTATCGGGAACCCTGCATGCTTGCATGTAACATTGAATGCTATGTAAATGGCCGTGTCTCGCGGCATTGGCTACCCGATGTGCTGTGCCTCTCACTCTATTGTATAGTATGCTTGCTTGCATTGAATTAAGAGCCGCATAAGTTCAACATGTCGTTCTTCCGACGTCCCTTTAGCCAGCGGACGACCACGACCGAGGTTGAAGGACGCGACGAAGCGGAAATTTCAGATGGCAGCCTCGACTTCGTCGCCGAGAAAGGTGGCAATGACTCCGGGGTATCATATCAAGAGGCATCGGGTGCTCCCGTTGAATCGCAAAGTCCGATGGGCTACCATGCAAACACCCTTTTTCTGATCTTCCTCAACATTGGAAAGATGATCGGCACAGGCGTATTCTCAACCCGTAAGAAACCCCAAGACCGGCCCCCGCTATATACATGGAACTCACGCTCGCACAATTAGCTTCCACTATACTCAAGGGTACTGGATCAGTGGGATTGAGTATGATCTACTGGGGTTTGGGTTTCTTCACATCAGCCAGTACTCTGTCAATCTATCTGGAGTATATGGCGTACTTCCCGAACAGATCAGGCTCTGAGGTAGTATACCTCGAGCAAGCCTATCCACGCCCGAAGTACTTCTTCCCGACGACGTTTGCCTTCCAATCTGTTGTTCTGTCTTTCAGCAGTGGTAATTCAATAGGTGCGGGATTCTAAAATTTCACTCGTGGCCTTTGAATTAACGATAGCGTAGTGCTTGCTCAATATCTGTTCCGCATTAATGGACATGCTCCAACCAGTTGGGAACTCAAAGGCGTAGCTATCGCAGGATACACAGTCGCAGTCCTCCGTAAGTCCAGCCTTGGACTTGTGTGATATACGTCGATGCTAACGTCGATAGTTGTCGCACTACATACCAAGTTTTCCTTTCGTCTCACCATTGGCATCGGTGTTGTGAAACTCCTGACACTCATCTTCATCTCGATTACTGGTTGGGTTGTTCTCTCAGGGAAGACATCCGTAGCAAGCCCTCACGCGAACTTCGAAAATTCTTTTGAGGGCAAAGCGACACCATATGGCCTGACCAACTCTCTTGTGAAGATCATCTTCTCTTATTCTGGTTACGAAAATGCCTTTAACGTTGTCAATGAAGTCAAGGTGAGTGGACATATACACGCCTGCGGACAGTGGTTAATATCGAGTAGAACCCTGTCAAGACGATCAGGAACAGCGCCTATATCTCGTTGGGGGTTGTCACAGCGCTCTATATCTTCGTTAACATTGCCTACTTCGCTGCTGGTATGTTGCATATTGTCTCTTGCGTGGCCTCCATTAACCGCATTCGCAGTCCCGAAGGTCGAGCTGGCAGCAGCTTCGCAGATCTCAGCAAGTCTGTTCTTTTCGAAGGTTTTTGGGTCAAGCAATGCTGTCAGGGGCCTGAACTTTCTTATTGCTCTTAGCTCGTTCGGCAACCTTGTCACAGTCACTATCGGGACTTCTCGGATGATTCGTGAATGTGGACGGTAGGTACTTATAAGAAGTGGACCATGACCATCATTCTAATGAGTCTCCAGCCAAGGTGTTCTCCCGTGGCCACGATTCTGGGCGTCAACAAGACCTCTTGGTACTCCGCTCGGTCCCTACTTCGTCAAGTGGGCGCTTACGACTCTCATGATCGTTGCGCCTCCCGCTGGTGATGCTTTCAACTTCAGTACGTTCCATCTTCAAGATACACCGGAGACGTGCTTAGCTAACTCTCTTTCCCCAGTTGTCGACCTGCAAACATACCCTTCTGCAGCCTTCAATCTCGCGATGGCGATTGGTCTCTACACTGTGCGATGGCGCCGCAAGCGACTTGGGCTACCGAGCGCAAGTTACCGAGCATGGGATGTCTCCGTCATCTTCGCCATCCTGGTCAACCTCTTCCTGCTCATCATGCCATGGTACCCGCCAGACGGTGGTATCTATGCTGGTGATGTGAGCTTCTGGTACGCAAGCTACGTGGTCACGGGTATCGCCATCATCGCTGGATGTGGCATCTACTATGCCTTTTGGATCTACATCATTCCCAAAATCCGCAAGTATCAGATTCGCCAACGCGTAATCACACTGGGGAATGGAGAGCAGACTCATGAGATAGTGAAAGTCCCCAATGAACAGGTTGCAAGCTGGGATGCCACTCACGATGTTGTCGGCCGCGAGATTGGTTCTACGCCTAGGTCTAACTCAGAGCGGCTGTCGGACCAGGAAGCTACCGAGGTCAAGGTTTAAGAGTAGTTCGTCTGGCCTAAGCAGGGTACAATGGGGGACCCTTCAAAGAATGCGGACAAGATCAAAGGATTGTAAGATCAGCCACTCACTTGCTTAGACAAAATACAATGTAGCCGGGACTCTAGTGCATTGGTTGTGTATTATGAACCATCTCTAGGAATAGTCATTTCAAAGGCTTCCTCGAACTATATATTGATCGTGCCTTCTCTATTACTTCGGTCATTGTTCCCTCTCCCACGATTCTTCTTTTGAAACATTTGCCTGTAGTGAATGTTAGGTGTTACTATGGACAAACGCTTAGCTCTCAGACACCAAGCAACACCCCGCCTCTTGAGCTGGTTGTCTCAATTTACTCTTGGCCCATTCATTTGCTCCAAATCGTGATTTCTGTTGACACCTGCATGCTTCCGGTGAACAATGGCGATCCTTATGCCTCATACGAAGTTATCATTCTCGACACAATCAGCGGCAAATTCATTATAGCATCACAAACAACTGATAATACTTGCCCGCGATTCTCGGTATGAACTTGCAAGAGGACATGGGTATTTGGACTTCCCTGTTTAATTACCAGTGTGATGGACTGGCAGAAGAAAGCATTTAGCACGTCGTGTGGATTTATACCAAACTGTTGTGACTACAACAAAATTGAATACTCGCCCATAGATGTTCAAAGCTCGAACATAGATTCTACCGCTTTGAATTGTCTGCACTCTTGAGAGAATATCGGTCGGAGAGCATGCCGCAAATTCCTTGAGGTCCAGGTGGAGTAGTGGAGGAGCGTAATATGGGTGAAGCTGAAGGGTGATAGTGATAGTATGACACATAGCCCGTATGGTATTTGCACTTTGAAGGATCAAGTACACAAATTGCTCGAAGATCGTGGCTGATCATGTTGTTAACAATGCCTCTCACTGTGTGAATATGGGCAAGAGCTACGTGTGTCCGCAATTGCACTTTTAACCCGCGTGGGCATCCCCGCCACCGCTGAATCATAACTTCCTGCTTTCCTCCAAAGGCCTACATCACCCCTCCAGACTGATCGACAAATCTGAGTGTAAAATACATAAACATTTCAGAAAAGTTATATTGACAAGATGAAGTTCACAAAATTCCCCTGCCTACCACCAGAGCTTCGTGATATGATTTGGCAGCAATACTTTCGTTCACTGGCTCGCCTGATACCTTATGACGAGTATAGCAGTGTAGCGATACCTATCAAGATGTTAGCTGTTCAAAAGATTGACCGGGAGAGCTACTTCGTCTTCAAAAGAGTCTACGATTTCCGCCTGACGGTCTATCGTGTCCCAACACCTACTATCCGTGCATACTTTTGGCATGATTACTCAATAAATCATGAACACCACTTCGAAGAATGGCTTACCAGGAACGGCACCATGGATGAATACAACGACGACTTGGGAAGCGTGGATCGATCGAGAGAGCATGGAGTTCTCTGGCTGAATTTCGATTTCGACAGGTTTGTCATGAGCCCGTGGGGTGATCACATGATGGTGGAATCCAACGGCGTGATGGACATACGATTCTGGACGACCGACCCAACAATCTCATCCATCATGCTCAAGCACGAGACAGAACATCTGGGTATCAAGCATATCAAACACACGATAAGCATAGTCACTGACCATGTCTGCAATTACAATGGTCCCGATGTTCATCCGGCGCTTTCCTGGTGCTGTTCACCGCTTGTTGATATCATGAAGACCTTTGAGACCTGCACGCAAATATGTATTCCCTGCGGAGACGAAATGGGTGATCTTGATGATCGGGAAAGCCACAAAATACAACAAGATGGCACCAGAGATAGCGACCTCGAAATAGCGTTGAAAGACTTTGTTCTCCAGTTAGAGGGGGCGGATTCTAGTGATAGGGCACTTAATGGATACCTTGACCCACGCATGCTTGCTATTTTCAAACGAGCGGAACCCGATGGGAATATGGAAAGGATTGGATAGAGAGGAAGAACATAAAGCAACGTGTGATACGGGCTGAGTGGTACAGCTTGAAGTGAGAATGGTCAGACCGAAACCAGCATACAGGGAATAGTTGGTCTTTTCGTTTCTAGGATTGTATAGACACTCACATATTGTCTTAACCCATTATTAAAAATCAGCGTTTTTGTACTGTTATACCTAGTATGTATGAGGGACTGCTCATCGTAAATTTAACACATTGGTGAGCGTCATAACGCTACTATAATATTACACTACCTGGTCGACTACTGTTATTTCCTCTGGGATATAATAACGAGAAGATTGGGTAAGACTATTAGTCAATTAGGACTCTGAAGAATTCTTTTGGAAGAAAAATAAGCATAGACTGAAAGTTACCCCGTCACTAATGGTGTGAGCTCAGCTATGGAAACCTGTTATTTAGGCGTCCAAGGTGTTGACGGGGAAGCAAAGCAGGTATGTTGTACCCTTAATAGAAAATGCAAGCCAAAATTAGTTCGAATATGGGTTCAGATACCAAGACTTTTGTATCAGGCATCGATCTGAAACTGCAGGTGGCAAAGCTTGTCAATAGATTCGAGCCGAGTAGCAGCTCCGTCAGTTCTATTGCCCTTCGCATTGATCGGGGACATAAACAGGCCGTAACTCTTCATAGGTACTTGAACTTCTCATAAGTCAAGTGTTAACCAGTGCAGCCCAACTTCACTTGTGGTCGTGCTAGCTAATTTTCTTGTGTCAGCCTGGGGAGTTACGAGACATGATTCGGGATTATCTATTCTGCTCACTGGCACGTCTGGTGCCCTGCGACTCTGCAGAATCCCACACCGGGATTCCCATTCCACTGCTCGCTGTGACTTCCACAGACAGTGAGGATGGCGAGATAGACTCTGCCGAGAACGACACCCACAATGAAGACGGCGAGATGGAGAATGGTGAGATAGAGATAGGTGTTGACTAGTTATCCTGGGTGATGATAAGAGCGCTAGACAACATCATAGGAAGCATTGCACGAAAGGTGCAAGACAGGCTAGGTCACAGGTGCAAAGCATTGGTTGGCACTTGAGTGTACGCTGATCGCGATCACCTTAAGACTACAGATGAAAGGAATCGGTCGAATCAAACGAACTTGATTGACCTGCCAACCAGCTAATGAGATACTGTGAAATCAAAATGACCAGAGACTGCATATCTGAACTCCAGCTTGCCTTTTATCTACCCATATCTGTCCGCCGCACCTTTCTCCTTAATCGGCAAAATAAGCCATTCCACCCGAAATGATATGATAAGAGCCTTGCCCCAGCTACAGACCGTCTCCTAGAACTAATGTGTGAAAAGCTATGTATGTGAGAAATCTGAAACGAGAGAGGTTATGATGTGAGGTTACTGCTTGTGGCTGTTGCTGTAGGTGAAGCTAGAGTCGTAATGTGTGCGAGGGTGCTGGAGAAACCTAGGCTCATAAATGAGGGAAGGGTGAGCGAGAGTAACTGCACAGATGAAACCAGGAAGCCTGCTGCTTCGCCTGTTATATGCATGTTAGCATTGCGGTGCACCCAAGGATTGGGTGTTGCTCACCAAGTGCTACCAGAGCTATATTACGCATCGCAGAAGGCGGAAGACCATACGAGCCCATGACGAGAGACGCTGCTGGACACCAGATGTACGGCCACCAAGAGGTCGCTGACGACTGCTTTGAAAATGCATCGCCAATGATAGCGGCCGATGCTGCTGTGTCCTCGAGGGTATCCAGGATATTATTTGTCATATTCTGTGCCTCGTAGAGAATATGAGTATGCTGATCGTACTTTATTGTGAGAAACTCAGTCATATCTATGAGGCGTACCATTCCCTATACAGTCGAGTCAGTAGTCACAATTGGTGCGTCGTCTGATATCATACCTCTTCAAGATGGGCTTGGCGGTATTCGAGTTGTGCACTTTGAACATGCGCTGATTCTATCTGATCTTGTAGGGAAGCCGCAGAGGCAACCGCGGAAGTCATCGCCGTCATGATAGTAGCCAGCTGCGCGTCTGCCTTATGAGTTACGACCTCCATTGACCGCTCATGGGCAGATGCAGCTTCTGAATTCGTTGCAAGAACAGTTTGCATCAGAATTTCAAGAGCCCTTTGAAGGTTTGCGGCACTATCAATGCCATCATTGACGTTATCGGTTGACCTCTACAACCAAAGTTAGACCCAGATAGAAATATTGTACAAAATATAATTTACCTGAAGAGCTATAGCGAGATCGCCAGAGATGAGGTCTTCTAGACCATCAAGACTAGTACCTATGCGATCCAGTTGAGGTGATAAACGATCCAGGTGTTCTGTTGCAACCTGAGTTCGAGAGTCGAGATCGGCCATGCGCCTGTCTAGCTGCTCCTCCATGTCGTCATTCAATCTACTCATGGTTTTGGCGAGACGCTGGAAAATTCGAATATGCTCGGCTACAGATAGTCAACAGTGATCGTGAGAATATATTATTCGCAACAGACCTTTCTCATTATCTGCGCGAGCAGCTTCGCAGAACCGCAAAGCCTTGTGACGATAGCTGATCCAAGTGTTCCAGCCAGAGTCCGACGAGCCAAGACCTGAGAGACAACGGTCAATTTCTTGCGTACTGACATGAAGGAAAGCAGTTTGACCAATAGACAGATGCTTCAGGGCGGGCTCCCTGAACTTGTAACACTCAGGCGGAATCGTGAAACTACCTCGCTCAAGGTCGCATATCGCCAAGCTAGCTGCGTAAGCATCGACGAAGTCGCGAATCTGTCTGCCACTGTCGGTCAAAACCGTCGCCTCGTCCTTGCCATCTAGGACCTGGCAGTTGTTTACAAGTAGTCTAGCTGCGGTACGATGGCATACGGGCTCAGACTCGAGTTGCTGCAATTCGTTAAGAGCGACTTCATATGACGTGAGGGGGCGGCGGTATGTCTGATGCGGCTGCGACGAGCTATGGCCAGGTGGTACCTCTATGCTGCCCCCAGTAGTAGTTGAGCTTGATAGTGACTGGGGTATCCAGCCGAAAGCTCCAGCGAGGTCTGAGGTTGCCAGAAAAAGCAGCGCGATGGCCACTCGCTTGAAACCCATGATGTTGAATTCCTACCACAAAGCTCAGAACCCAGTACCCGAAGGTCAGAATCTGATATGCGTTTTGCGTAGGGTTATGAGATTGCGAATTCAGAGGAAAGGAAGAGAAAGACAAGGTGGCAGTAAAACCAGAAGGCGAAGGTGGAAAGAGTTTGGAACCGAATGTCATGATCGAAAACTTCAAGGATTGAAAGTCTGAAGAAAAGGTGCAGCCGCAAATACGTGACACACCGTATTGTCCATTCCCGCCGCCACTTCAACATGAATAATCGGAATAACGTCGTCGTCAGTCAAATCTACAACCTCCTTGACATGCGTTTTGGCCGGTCTGTAGGGCAGCTACCACTTGCTTGAGTAGTTCCTGCCGACTTACTGTCTATAATTGCAATCGGTCGCAGCCCCCCGCTGATAGATGGTTCGTCGATGAATGTCAGAATCGGAAGATTTATTACCAGTGTTATAACGGTCAAATTTCACTTCTCAATGAAACCTCAAGCCAATTGTTTCAGTCCTCTTCAATCGTGGATTGCTGGGCCTAGAGAATACGGGAATCCTGGTATCCCATCGCATGTCGAACATTGTTGGTCCCGTTGATGCAAGATTCGAGGCAGCATAATATCGATTCTGCTCAGATTACCATAACGTTGATGCTCAATGTGCACTTTGGTCATAACGAATGTGCAACGCACAACTCCTGTGATGTCTTCCCTTTGTTCCGAGAGTTGGGTGAGACTCACACGTCATATGCCCCGGGACATAGCAAGTCAGCTGTGTATTACTTGTGAGATGCATTAGGACGACAGTTCATTATTATTTTAGTCATAATCAGCCATAGGTAGTCATAACTAGAACTGTTCCACTCATAACACGACGGAGCGAAATCTACCGAGTTGTGTTATAGGGCATCAGTATTTTGACGGTGTTGGTAATCTTGAAGACGTAGGTTTTAAACATGAGGCGAACTGTTAGCTATTTGGGACACCATTGTTCTGTCATCAGCTCACCATTACGAATGCTATTTCGTGCTTTTGATAGTAACCGGATACATAATGTATCTTCAGGTATCCCGGCGATGAGGAGCCACTGAAAGTCTGCCTATTTACACATGCCACACAAGGTCATTGTCGAAGCCCACAGTATTCTTGCTCCTAGAGCTGTGGTAGTCTTTGCTCATGATCGCCGATGTTGCTGAAAATATAATTAAGCACTGGATTGACACTAGACTGGCAAGGCCAAACAAACCAGACTAAGACCCCAACGCTTGATACGCCTATATGTCCATGATTACCGCCCCTCTTTACAACGTTGAATGGCTACAAAAGGGTGGAAGAGAAGAGCGATGGCTTTTGAATGGCATCGGCATTAGCGAATGTGCGACACTCAAGAGTTCAAGCTGCCAAGTTTTCTTACTACAGTCTATGGATGCAGTACGCATCCGTAGATGAGAAAATAAATACGTGGTCGTTTACTCGTCGCGCCTCCCTGTCCAAACGTGTCAGACCCCCAACTTTTTAGCGGGCCATCCAGTCGCCAAATCACATGACACAACTAGCAATTTTTGGCTCCAATTGAACTTTCGAGCTTCAACAGCAAAAGAAGCAGCATCCCAGCCGGGCAGTCAATTGAGCCATCACCCACGCGGTTCAAGTCTCAGACACCACCACCACCACCACCACCAAAATGTTGGCCCCAAGCAGGAGCCGCCTGGCCGCGGCGGCCCTCGCCTCGACGCCATCGAGCTCGATATCGCTCCCGAGCTTCCTCGTACCCGCCTTCCAGAACGCAACCCCATCGCAACCTCGGCGGCAGTTCTCCCAGACGGGCCCGCGCGCCTCCAAGCTGGGCCGGACCCCGATCTCGATCCCGCCGGGCGTGGAGCTGGTCGTGGGCGAGCCGCGGGTGAAGAGGGACCCGACGACGTACCTGCGGATCCCCAAGCGCACCGTGACGGTCACGGGCCCGCTGGGGACGCTGGACCTGGAGATCCCGCCGTACCTGGAGATCGCGCAGGACCTGGCGGACCGCAAGGCGGTGCTCACGATCCAGGACCGCGAGCAGAAGCAGCAGATGGAGATGTGGGGCACGACCTGGGCGTACCTGCAGCGGTACATCATCGGGGTGTCGGAGGGCCACACGGCGATCCTGCGCCTGGTCGGCGTCGGGTACCGCGCCACGGTCGAGGAGCGCCCCAACAAGGCCGAGTACCCGGGCCAGAAGTTCGTCTGCGTCAAGCTCGGCTTCACCCACCCCGTCGAGGAGCCCGTGCCCCGGGGCATGAAGGCCAGCACCCCGCAGCCGACGAGGATCCTGCTCGAGGGCATCAACCGCGAGGAGGTCATGAGCTTCGCCGCCAGGATCAGGAGGTGGAGACGCCCCGAGCCGTACAAGGGCAAGGGTATCTTTGTCAACGATGAGACGATCAAGTTGAAGCAGAAGAAGATCAAATAGACGGGCAGAAGTAAACTCGCATTCAGCAAGGACAATGGCTGGCCTGTGCAGATACAAACACAGCATATGCATGGTCGAGCAGCAGCAATCTTGGACTGGGCGTGTGTATATTACTCGTGGTATTGGGGGGCGGAAACCAGATACTTGGACCCGGACCAAGACCAAGATCTATGCAGTGTATTCTCTATGTATACATAAATGTACTACCATTTCAGTCACAGTCTCATATCCTCGAGTTCAAGATGTGGGGCATTAATTCGTGATCGGAACTTGTATACATTTAATTTAAATCTTGAGCACCTCTTGCACGGCCTTGAGGACCTGGGCATGGGTAGCAGCGGGCGCAGCGACAACTCCCTTGTTGTTCGCCAGCGTCCTGCCGACCGTGAAGTCTAGCCTCTTACCGTGGACATCGGTGACAGCGCCACCGGCCTCCCGCACGATCAGGTCGCCAGCAGCGTGGTCCCAGATCTTCTCCTGGTAGGTCTTGCTGGTTGGCAGCCTCAGGTAGATGTCACCGGCGCCTCGGGCGATGCTGGCATACTTGGCCTGACTGTCCATCCTGACGGAAGGGTTCGTGATACCGAGCTTGGAAGCAATGTCGGCTTGGTCGCCGTGCGACGAGTGTCCGGCCTCGACGGACTCGCAGAAGGTCGCAGCTGCAATATCTGTGATGGGTCGCATGTTGATCTTGCGCTCCTTTTCGAGACCAGCAGTCGAGAGTGGACGGGATGTGGCACCCTGACCAAGCACGGCGGAGAAGACGGCACCGCGACCTTCGTCGGTGGCATCCTTGCCAATATCGGTGGTCACACGGGCATCGTCGTCGACGGGCAGGTTGGGGCAGCCCAGGACACCGACTGTGACCTCGCCGTCGACCATGAGAGCGAGACACACTGCGTACTGGCCACCTCTCAGGAAACCCTTGGTGCCGTCGATGGGGTCAATGGCCCATATCCTGCCCTTGGCGCCACCCTTTGAGTTTCCGTAGTCGATGTAGGTCAACATGTCATCCTCGGTCTTGACCTCTCCGCCCAGCAGCTGCTCGGCGGCGGCGTCGTCGAGCTTCGTGGACTTGACGAGATCCCAGACGGTCTTCTTCAACTCGGAGTTCTCCTTGAGGCCCGCAGCCTCCTCCTCGGCGACGATCTCGTCATCGGGGAAGTTGGCCTTGAGGGCGGCAATGATCAGAGCCTGGGCGCCGAAGTCGCCGATGGTGACGGGGGACTTGTCGTTCTTGTCGACGGTGCCCTTGGCCTTCTCGTGGAAGACACGCTTGGTGAGGATGGTGGCGCGCTGGACGGCCAATTGGGCGATCTCGAGCTCCTTGGCGTAAGACATGTTGTTGGTAGAGGCGGCTGGACTTGTGGCAGGACTCGAAGATGATAGTTTGGAAAAGAAGGAGCCCATTGTGCTACTATAAGTTTCAGTGCGGGGAGCTTGAACCTTGACAAAATGTGTGGATAGCAGCTCGAGGCGGGGCAGGGCGCGAGCTAGGAGGAAGGCCAGGATGACGACGGAGATGGAAGAGAAGAGCAGTACCGATGCTCTCCCCTTCTTATGTGGCGGACCGACGATGCGGTCTAGGAGTCTCATGAGGCTGTGAGCGAGTATCGACTGTACATGCTCTCTTGCCAGATGCAGTAGGTGCCGTCATTTGGACATGTGAGAGCTGCACCACGCGAACGCTTTGAGGTGCGTTACGAGGCACGGCAGGCAAGCTGCTATCGGGCGGCAGTCAATCTCTAAAGCTTAGCGTGGCAATGGAAGAAGACCCGCACGCGGTAGGGATGCAGACACCGATAGTGGCCTGCCATCCCAAGAAGTCAGTACCGACAATCAGCTGCAGGCCACCGAGGCTGGCCGCGAGGCTCTTCTCCATCCCTCTCTCTCTCTCTCTTTGAGTTTAGCTGCCGAAATGCAAGTTCCGCGAGGAGACGTCGGGCGGTTGAGCAACGGTTATCGCTTCCGCCGGTGATTGGCCTCTGTGTCATGCTTACCCCAGAAGGGACCCTGTCTGATCGCTAAATAAAGGCGACTGATAAACGATAGCAGCGATAGCGATAGGGTCGCCCGATCGACGGGACAAGGGGGTTGTTGCCTGTACCTGAAATCGCAGTCGCAGTCACCTGCAACTAAACAAGGGATTCGAGGGGGAATTCATCCGACGTCACTCACGGTAGACTTCAATTGCAACAACAACGATAACATCAACAACATACTGTCGTGTAGGGCGCCCGGCAAACGTCAATCCAATCCCATGCGTCGTGCTTTCTCTTGCGCACTCCAGAGAATAGCTCAAGCTGTTAGACCTCCAGCCCGTACGGAACACAGATAATCTCAGCCGCTCGTTCATTCGTCAACCACGAACTCTTGCGTTGGGGCATGTTGCATCGGCACAATTTGGGAAGCAACAGGCGCAGACGCGGTCGCAGAACCTAATCTTACCTCACCTCACCTCACCAACGGCACCCTTGAGCAGGCGCGTACTTGGTGTGGCTTACGCCCATCGCAGTCATGCATGCCACCAAACGAAAGTTCAACGCCCTGATCCAGGGCATCGGCACCAAATCGCCTCAGTCAACCGCCGATAGACCCTTCACTCCCGACGGCGGTTCGCCTTTGGCACGAACGAACACATCCCATTCCGCCTCGTGCGTACCGCAACCTTCCGCAGATATGGCCTCGACACCCACACCAACGACACCAAACGCGACGGGGGCCGTCACAGTACCCGCCACAGAACCCCCGCGCTCTTCGATATCAGCAGATTTCTTGGCCAAGCGCCGCCGCATGGGTGCACTGGGCTCAGTCACGGGAAACGAGAGCGCCCCCAGCAAGATGACCATTACGAACATCACGCTGAAGAAGTGGACACAGAGCGGAAAGGAGAGCAAAAGCCCGGCTGCCAGTACCCCGACACCACAACCCCCCAAATACTGTCCCGGCGACCGTGACCAGCTCATTCGCAGGCTGGGTACCTTCCAAGAGCTTACCCAGTGGACCCCAAAGCCCGACAAGGTCAACGAGATAGAGTGGGCCAAAAGGGGCTGGGTGTGCCAAGCCAAGGATACAGTCCAGTGCACGCTTTGTCATAAAGAGTTGGTGGTGAAAACAAGCAAAAGGGAAGTCGATGGGAAGCAGGTCTCGATCCTCGTGGGCTCCGATTTCGAAGAGGCACTAGTCAACAAGTTCGCAGAGTTGATAGTCGAGGCCCACGACGACGACTGCCTGTGGAGGAAACGGGGTTGTGATGGTATGTCTATGACTCTCAAGACCTGTCAAAGGTGCTAACCTGAGTCCTACAGATTCGTTACTACGGCTTCAAATCACAAGCGCGCAGACAGCTCTGCCTGCCTTACGACAACGTTATGACGAGCTGTGTTCAAGGCCATCCTTTTTGCCTTACACATTCAATCTTCGACTTCCAGAATCGCTCCCTTTAGAAACCGTAAAAGCACAGTTACCTCCCAACTTCTTTACCAACCCGCCGCCTCCTTCGACCATCACCCGCAAAGAACCGAACGATGTAGCATTGGCACTGGCACTTACAGGCTGGGGAGGTCTGACAAACCCCAAGATTGGCCCGGTACCCAACTCTGCTTCCTGTGCGACATGTCTCAGAAGGCTTGGCCTTTGGATGTTCAAGAGCAAGGAGGTCAACCAAGACACCGGCGAGATCCTGGTACCTGCACCGATGGACCACCTCGACCCTGTTCGTGAGCATCGCTTCTTCTGCCCTTGGCGGAACCCAGAAGCCCAGCGGAACCCGGGAAGCAAAGCTACCGAGCCGAACAAGGCAACATGGGAGATCTTGGCGCTGACCATTAAAAATGCCGCTTATCTGAGGGGCGATACCCCTAGAAAGGACAAGACACCCGGCCATGGAAGGAGTAAGAGCACTATCGTACCAGGCACGCTACGCACACCGACCAAGGGTCATGCGCCGACTGCGAGTGAGGGTGCGATAGTCTCGCCTCTCTCCATGATAGAGCCGGACACGGTGGAAGACGACGAAGAAGACGAGAAGGTGAGGGACGCAAAGGATAAGGAGAGATGGGCGAGGTTGAGGAGGGTGAAGAGCTTGTTTAATACTAAGGGTGGCCGGAGGAGTCGGCCGGGGACGGCCAAGAGTACGGCAACGACAGGGGAAGGTGGAAAGGAATAATCTGACAAACTACGGCGACAGTTGGTACCGTTGAAAGTCTCGTACTGTCGAAAATATGTTGCCACGGGATGGTAGCCCTGGTGCGTTAGCCTCGGAAATTTGAGGGGATTAATAATTCGGAAAGAAAGCAGAACTGGCTGATAGTCACTCATGGTGGAGGGGATCATAACACGCACTCATCGGAGGCTACGCACATGTGCGGTTAGCTTCGAAAGTCAATGCTCTTTATGGTAAATTCCAATTAAATACTAGGGTATCTTGCTGCTGTCCTAACTCTTTTTTTTTTTTTTTTTTTTCCTTTCTTTTCTTTTCTTCTTCTTGTTCTAACGACCTCAAACAACACCGACTGGTATCTCCCTCGCCCTGAACCCCAAAACCGGAATGCCCAACCTCAACGCCAGACTGCTAAGCACCACACTGATGCTGCTCAGCGCCATGGCCAGACTCGCCCACACCGGGTCCAGCCTGACGCCCAGGGCGTAGAAGCAGCCGGCCGCGAACGGCACGGCGAGCAGATTGTAGACCAGCGCCCAGCAGAAGTTGAACTTGATGCGCCGGAACACGGCCCCGCTGAGCCCCAGCAGCGTCACCACGCTGCGCAGGTCCGAGTTGACCAGCACGAAGTCCGCCGACGAGATGGCCACGTCCGTCCCCGACCCGATGGCGATGCCCACGTCGGCCACCGCGAGCGCCGGCGCGTCGTTGATCCCGTCGCCCACCATGGCGATGCCGCCGCGCCCCGCTGGCCCCGCCGCGCGGATCTCTCGCACCTTGTCCGCCTTGTCCGTCGGCAGCACCTCCGCCATGACGTGGGACGAGGGGATCCCGACCCGCTGTGCCACGGCGCGCGCTGTCGTCAGGTTGTCCCCCGACAGCATCCAGACCTCGACGCCCTGGCCCTGCAGCGCGGCGATGACGGGCGCCGCCTCGGCGCGGATCGGGTCTGAGATGCCGAAGGAGGCCGCGAGCTGGTAGGTTGCCTGTCCGGCGGTCCGGATTGCGGCGAGGGCAACCGAGTGGCCGCGGCTCTTCCACATGTCCAAGGAGGTGCTTGAGGAGGACGACATGTCGACGTCGAACTCGGTCATCAGTTTCGCGTTGCCGATGATCATGTCGAAGCCGTCGCAGGTGCCTTTGAGCCCCTTGCCGGGTATCTCTTCGACGTCTCGGAGGCTGATAGCTTGGCTTGTGGCCAGGGCATCTGAGCAGAATGACTGCATGGCCTTGGCTATCGGGTGGCTGCTGTGCTGTTCAAGTGATCCCACAGCTGCAAGAAGAAAGGACTCGGGCTGTTGGACGTCACGGTAGATCTCGTGGTCCGTGACTTGTGGTTCGCCTCCTTGTGTGATGGTACCTGTCTTGTCGAACACGACGCACTTGAGGTGACTGGCTTTTTCGAAGGCCTCGCCGCCGCCCTTGGCCAGTATACCGTACTTGGCTGCAAGCCCACCGCCGACGTAGATGGCTGTAGGAGCGGCCAGTCCGAGACCGCATGGGCAGGCGACCACAAAGACGGCGATGGCGAACTGGAGCGAGAAGACGATCCATGATTCCGAGGAGTCGTTGAGCCACTTCTCCGGCAGCCTACCGCTCACGCCGAGGATGAACCATATCAGCCATGTCAGGATAGCTATAAGCGTGATGGCAGGGACGAAGTATGCGGTCAGAACATCAGCAATCCTCTCCATCGGCGCTCTCTTGGCCTGGCCTTCGCGGACCACCTCGACGATCTTGTCCAGCATTGATTGCCCAGCGACCCCCGTGACCCGAACGCGGACGGGCTGGCCTTTGTTGACAGTTCCAGCGAATACTCCGTCGCCGGCCGACTTCTTGATCAGTCTCGACTCGCCAGTCAGACTCGACTCGTCAAACTGAGCCACGCCCTGAACAACTTCACCGTCGCAAGGCGGCGATGCGCCATGTGAAACTTGTATGAGGTCGCCGAGATCTAGAAGCTCAGCAGCAATAGTCTGACTTCTCGGGGCTGAGTCGCCGCCCTCTATCCCCTCGACCAGAACGGCAGTCGTGGGTCGGAGCTTGCAGAGCATCTCCACCGCGTCCCCCGTCCTGGACTTGCTGTAAGCTTCGATCAGCCTGCCTGCAAGCAAGAAGAGGGTCAAAAACACAACAGAGTCGAAGTAGAAGTTCGAGTCGTCTACCATTCGCTTTCGCGGGTGCACTGCAGCCGCAATGATTTGCGCCAGCGAGGAGATGTATGCGATGCTTGTTCCCAGCGACATGAGCATGTTCATGCTGCCGAAGCGGTAAAACCTTTGTAGTATCGGTGTCCTACTCGACGGCTTCCAGAGCATCCATAGCTCCTTTAGTGCCCGCCTATGAAATAGATCTGCAGCGCAGAAGTAAACGGGGGTTGCCATGACCAACAGGGCGATTTGAGCTCGACTGATACCGTCGGCCAGGGGACTCATGAGGTAGTGTCGTGTGCTATTCATATCAGATACCAAGCTCATGTAGACGATGCCGATAATGAATGTGGGTATAGCAACGGCTAGAGTCCCAAGAAGCCTGAGGAGGATGCGTTGTTGATGCCTCGCATGAATCTGTCGAGATCGTTCCTCCGTTGATGTTGGATGATATATCGATGCCTGGAATGCGGGATCGATGACATTAATCGCTGCCAGTATCTGACGTATGTTGAGTTTCGAGGGCTCGGGAACATATTTGACAGTCATTATTGGTCTATCCTTGGTAGGTTGGCTGATGATCCCGATCACCCCAACTTGCTGTAAGTCGAGAAGACGAGTAGTGACTCGGTTGGGGCAGAGCTCGCAATGAAATCCATCGATTCGAATGTCGACAGTCCTGTGCCCCCTTTCCTCCACAGTATCAGGTGCTTGCGATCTAACCTGGTCGAGATGTGCTTCGTATCCGAGCTCCTCGATTGCGTCTACAATTTGTTGCGCATTGTCGTTTTCTCCGATGAACTCGACTTTCGCACTGTTGTTGAGCAGATCCACGGCTGCCTTGGTGATCCATTCAGACTTCTTGAGCGTGGTGAGAATGTTGTTGGAGCAAGATGCACATGTCATGCCCGTGATCGATAAGGATGCCTCTAATCTATCCATGATGAACGGTTTGAGCCAGGCTCAGAAGATGCGTAGGTGAAAGCGTAAGTTGTCGATACTGCTGGAGCAACTACGTAGTATTGCGGATGAGAAAAACAGGAAGGGGCCGCTCCGTTCTTTCTCGGCTTTTGATAATCCAAAAGCAACGATTATCGGATCATATATCAAAGGCTTCAGAGGTTGTATGAAGGGGCCTCGGCGAAAAGCTTGTACCTTTAGGGTGGTGCTCACTTGAGAACAGATTGAGAATGAGCGAGGAACACCTTCTCCTGCGGAACCCGTGTGAACTAATAAGTGAAGAGTGGGCGTAAGACCTTGTCTACTATGCATGTGATTGGGATGGACGCCTTCGCGTAGAATATTAAATACAACAAATGGTTAGTGGAGGTCGCTCGGAGAAGGAAAAGGAGCCAAGTGAATTGGAAAGCCAAATGGTTGTTTCTGGAAAGCTTTCTGAGAAGACGGAGAAGGTTTACCGGCAAGGGGGTGACACCACGATCTTGCGCAAACCTACTTGAGAGACTAGACTAGCTGCAAACTTCTTCAGCCTGCGCACTTTCACGCACTTTTGCCTCATTTGATATCTGAGAGAGGCTATTGTGCTTGAAAGTGCCATTGATGGACCTGTCATCATTGGAATACGCCAACTCTGTCTTGGCGATTTCACGCACAAAGCGCGCATAGCTTGGTGGAGTTGCCACTCGAAGGTGATCGTCCGCTGGGCTTAGCGCACAAGCTTATTCCATAATACCGGCAAATATTATGGATACAGCATGGTATAGACGGTGTAACGCAAATGCTGCTCATCGAATCATCGACGCAGGAACGTCTTTAGCCTGGGCAACAAACAATCTAGTCTCCGGATTTATCTGGGCCAAGAGACGGCCCCGGAACGGCGACTGGGCGTTGGATAACGCACAAAAGGCGCACGACCTCCGTCCGGATCCTCGTGGCCGTCTCACCGGATCTGTCGTGCTGCATCAAACCTAGTAGTCTCTGAAGCTATGATTCGACCCCGTGGCTGACCTGTGGGTGGCTAGTTAGTGCCCGGAATTCTTGGTTCGACTTCATAAACAATGTGGCACGCTGCTGGGGACAGTTTGCCACAGAGCCGAAGTCAAGCTATTGTGTGAACAAGTCAACGCAGTTTGCTGCTGCCACTCAGCCTAGACTAGACTGGCAGCCAGAAGCCAAAGGCAAGACTCCGAACTCGCCTGTCAGACAGGATGTGAGTTATCGGAAGATGGCCCAATAAATGCAGGCTATTGAGGAGATGGTGGGTTTTAGTTACAATATTTCCAGATTGCGTCGATGCGACATGTGCAAGGTCAAGAATCCTTGTCTTCCGGTTGCCGGAAGATAATCCACCAGGCCATAAGAGGCTAGGCCGCTCACCTCCCTCGGCAGCACCATGGTGCACAGGTCACCGTGTTTGTACCGATTGTGTGCCTTTTGTCCTAGAATTGGAGCAAATAAACTAGAGGCAAGGATGAAGTGACTGGTTCATCAGAGGACCGACATATATAAAATAAAAGATTTCGGGGAAGCTTGCCCAGGCTTAATGCTACATACGTAATCGTATGTATAAACATGCATCATGCTGACTCTTTTGACCACCTTGACTCGGGCCTGTACGGTAGGCTTCTCGCAGGCAAGCTTTGCTCGGAATTTGATCACGACGCTTGACTATAGCTCCCATTATTGGAAACGAAGTCGCGATAGATGTTCTTTGTCGTTGTCGGCATTCGCTCATGTCCGGCTTTTACCGGACTAAGAAGGCCATGCCACATGTTTCACAGTATATATAGTCAGCCATCCATATTGAAAGTTAAGCCGATCATGTATAATCCATTACCTGAGTGTTCTCGGCCTCAGCGGCTTGTTCTGAGGGGAGTATAGTTTTCCGAGCAAAGTATAAAGATAAATAGGAAAGGCTGAGTATGCTGGCTGCTGAATCTGCAGATGTAAGACTTTATGCATCCAGTCAAGCTACAGCCCAAATAATGAGTTCCAGCCTATGAAATGAATCGACTTGAAGCCTTTCATAAGATGCCCTTCGTGGACAGAAATCGACTATATAGAATACTATTACGCTATGGGATCCCGAAGACAAGAATCTTTCAGTCGAACAAAGTCGCGGAGCTCTTTGGGCACTTCGGATACCCACTCATCGTATATACCAACATAATCCAGATGAAAGAGCGTCGATTTAGCCCAGGACATTGAAATTTTATGGCTAGAAAGGTGGATTATGCAATCGTGCAAGAAAACAATGACACGCAGTCTCACATGAGCACGGACATATGTCGTGTGGTTGAAATAGTGGAATGGAACACTGATAGAAATGGGTTACTATTATATTAAATTAATTCGCTTTGATTCTCCATAAATGGATCAACGATAGGAGATGTATAGTCCAGCTGCCGGGGATGGTACTTCGGCATATGGTGATGCAAGAACCCTTGAAGTAGTTCTTTTATATCGTTGAACGGCAAGGCACAACCGGAAATATGACGATCGTGGATTAAGGCAACGGGCAAGAGTTAACTCTCTTATCTAGCTAGCCGCATGAGTTTTGAGAAAATGTATCAGGTCTCGGCATGAGCGGCCTCCTGAGGGAGGAAATCCGAACAGTTTTATTATCCTAGAGACGATGTCCAGAGAGATACTATAATATTCAGTCCAATGGAACTGATATGGTGGCAGCACATGAAGTTATTAAAGCGGATTTCATAATGCGTAGAGCATTGAAGAACGCCAACATCATCCCGGTAGAGGCCACAATCAAGTTCCAAGGTGGTAGACGGCTACCACATATCCCCTGACTAACCAGGACACTCTCTGATCTCTCTCGTATCGCCCTAATTCTCTGGACCTAAGTCTTCGTTCTTAATGGATTTCTCGGGTTCGCCTCACTCGCCATCTTCCTCCAGCTCGGCTTTTACGCAGGCCTTCACCTGATGTCGACGAGTGTGGCGATTGAGGCTACCTGTCGTTGTATACAGCTGACCACAGCCAGGCCACAAACATTGAACCTTCTCTGCATCATCGACAACATGCTTGATGCTTGGTTTGTTATGCTTAATCAGATGACGATCGAGATCGCGCTCGTCAACTGCTTCAAACCTGCATCCTGCCCAGTGGCACTTGGTGCCCACATGAACCTCTAACAGGTGCTGTTTGAACTTCATCACGTTACTGAAAGTCTTCGAGCACTCGTTGCAGCTGTAGATGAGCGTTGCAGCAGCTCTGCCACCTGAGGCGGTGGCGGCAGTCGTGGCAAGAGACGAAGCAAAAGCGGGCGAGGCAACAAAAACCGTAGTTTGAGAGTATACCTGGGCTTGACCAATGACTCCAGATACTGTAGGCAGGCTAGGAAGGGGTTTGCGCGGTCGAACAGGCGGAATGGTGGGATTGACTGCTGAGATGTCAGGCTGGCGATTTCTATCTGCCGCTGGCTGGCAGTATCTTGGCAAATCAAGCAGATATAAGAGCCATAATCTCACTTACCTTGAGGCCTGAGGGCGTTGCGCTGGTCAATGACACTGAACATGACTTTGAGTTCCGACGAAGTCAAAGTCTCATCCTCAGGTGTCTCGGCAACGTAGTCCTGGTCAGTGGGCGGTTCGATACCTTCCATGTGACAAAGCTCTAGGATGTCCTTGTTCACCAGATCGTAGGTTGGTGCGACATTCTCCATCTTGTCCATACACGGAGGTTCTACGAAGCTGTCAGTGATCGACTTCCCCGGTACTCTCGGTGCTCTGTATACATACGAACAGCTGAGAGCTAATTCGACCGGTTATGACAGATATCACAACTGCTCTGTTGCTGGCTGTAGGCTGTCGCGATTGTAGTGATGGTTGCACTACTTGGTGGAAGGTTGAAACAGTTCACAATGAAATCCAACAATGTGGGATTATTGTGGGAAAGCTTTGCCTAGAATTTGAATAAGTCGTCGAAGCAGGGCATTAAAATCCATGCACAAAACTCATCGAGCAGCCACAATTCCGTCGTGTGAAAAGCTTCATCCACGACGTTTAGCACTTATTCCGTCATTCAATAAGGTGCATCCACGATGCTTAGCACATGTTCCGACATGTATAAAAGAAGCTTTATGTACAGATTAGTAACTTGACAAGTGAAGTTACGTTCAACTAAAAATATAATGAAGTTTTGTGATGAGGTTCCCCAGTTATGGCGTTGGGACAATGGCTTTTCGATGAGATATGGCTAATTCTGACCAAGAATGGTTTCGATCGCGACCATATAAGTCGTGAAGCATCGTATTTTTATTTTTTATTTTATTTTATAAATTTTGGCACTCAATCAAGCAGTTTATCAAGTAATTCAACACACATGCTGCCGCACTCACTCTTGATCAGCCCACATAATTACCAGCACGTATTACAATGGATTTATTAGGCAGTCTCAGATTCATAGTTCAATAATTATAACTTGTAATCATAGTTTAAATCATTCAAACAAGCTCCCATTTCCGTCTTGGCAACTCATTCCAAAGCTCTAAAGTCATGACTGTAGCCTTATAAGAAGCCCGAACTCTTGTCCTTTCATCCATGAACACTGGCCAACAGTACACCAAATCTTCACAAGAATTGGCTTTGCAACGGGGCCAAGTATATGGCACTATCAACTCGATTTCCTTTAGTTTACCCTGCCCACCAGTTCTCTTATTTTCCATCTTCACTTGATAAAATTCTTGTCCAATCATGATCAATAGCGGGAAAGTCCACCTCCTAATGAGAGACCCGTCATCCCAGTCCTTGGTTTCGACGGGAGCTGTGGGATCATATCTCACTATTGTAGTCTCTGTGTAAAATACCAGCGCTCGGTGTTGTAGTGGCCGCGACAGGCGAATTTCTTTGGGTATGTCGTCCTTCACAACTTGGACCTTTGATATAATTGTCAAACTGTCTCTCATCCACCGAGTCAATAAGAGGTGTGCCCAGAACTATCAGCAGCCGCTGTTCCGGTCCGTCCCGCGTGCCCTGACGAACGCCAGGAAGACCGCTGTGTGCGTCTGTTCCAGACGCGGCAAATATTGTTAGATCAGCCTCCGTGTAGATAGCGTTCATCTTTTCGACCATATCCAACATATCACGGTCGTCATCTTGGATGATACAGAGGCTATCAACCCAGAGGTACGCGAATTTCAGCCTAGCGCAGACAGTCATAGCGTCGGCGATGGTGGTCGGCGGTGATGACTTCTCGAGGCTTCCGGGTGTTTTCAAATGACGAAGGTTCTCTTTGACCAGTTTCAAAAAGGTCGCTGTTCCCCAGACGTAACTGAGTGCGGCAAAACTTGGCCGTGGTCCTTCGCCGAACTCCTTAATGCACATGGCATTAATGTCGACAAGTCGAAGGCACGGCACCCTGCTGAATGTCCGCGGCAACTTACATAAGGCGTGGTTTTCCAGGCACATGCAGCACCACGAGTTTATTAACTCGAAATCGATCAGTAACTCTCTCTGTCGGCCGAGACGCTTGTCGAGGCTAGCTGTTTTTTCTATTGCCTGTCTTCGCTGTGCTGTTGACTCCAAGCTGTCTGCCTTGGATATGGTCAGCTCCTTGTCGGGCTCCTCCCTTTGATCATGACTGGAAGGTAGCCACAAACTAGATCGATCCCATGGCTGGCGTCCATTATCAGGGTGAGTTGAAACCCTGCGTCCAGCTGCAGTCCGCTGCAGGATGATACGCAAGCCAGCGGCGGTACTGACTTCAAGCACTGATCTTTCGAAGGGTTTTCGGATGACAAAATCGCAATTGTCCGTCACGTAAAATTCAATTTTGAAGCAAATAGTGGTGTCATTTATGTCTTTGTGGTTTGATACCTCATTGCGAAGGCGATATTCGATCAGTTCTGCTAGTTGAGGACAGAAGTTGCACGTTGGGGCCTGGGAGTATAACTCCTGTAGCGTGTTAAGATACACGGGACCTTTGCGGCCCTGCGGTGAGCGGTAATGGCGAACCACCCCCACTGTTTCGAAGTCGATCTCATCACATAAATGCATCGAAAACAGAAGGTACAAGCCCCGGCACGAGAATTCTATAAGAAGATAATATTCCCATGGTGTTTTATCACAAATGTAGCATTACATTAACAACTTGTTTGCAAAATCTAGTGCGGTAATCTTTGAATTTATATCGTGTCGACCCCCACACTTCTTATTACACTGCCTCGCCATAGCCACTGAGCATATTATGACTGTCTTATTAACGGTGTGATGCCTAAGGCTAAAGTACAGAGCCATAAATAAAGGTGGAAAGCTACGCGACCACGTATCCGTATCTCGCGACAATGGCTTTTCGTTCTTTAGCTTTTCAATTTTCATGATATGCTACTCAATCTTTTAACTTCGCAGTGAAATTGAGCAGCCGCTGATCCTAATAGTGAAGCAGCAGATGTGTCAAGTAGGAAGCCCGTGACAGTGATGTATCAGTTGGACTTCACGCGTCGTCTTATCTACTTCAACCAAGTTGGCATCCCATTTGAGCTATTCTTTTTCTAATCAGAGTGACTCATCGCTCGAAAATCAGGGCTTGGCCTCCAACCATTTTGAAAATGCTTGTTGGTGTCGAGTGTTAGATGTCGGGCGGTAGCCGTTACCCACTGGAACACCATTCAAGCAATCTTCTTGTACTTTTTGAGCCAAATCCACCGGAGATAATTTCTAAATACTCCAATTGAACCTACTGAAGTATTTCTTAGGGAATTGATTATGTCGTCTTCGCATACTTGAGAGCAGATTTCGTCAGAGGAAACTGGCTGCTTTATCAGTACATTACAATATAACGACACTGGACTTAGTCATCTTAAAATAGACAAAAGATCTAAGGACTCCGGAAACCATGTAAGAGACAAAACATCTCAGCCCCCTGAGTCGTCAAAAGTGAACGTTGATCCACTATAGAAGACGAACTTCACTGAACATCAGTGGTCGTCATGATGGCACTTTATGTACAAACGAAAGTGTACAAAGTGGATATTTACAAGCCTTGGGTCGGCCCTTTTGATATTTTGTCCAGCAGACTCTCATGGTTTAATCTGAGTTGGCCTTGCTGGTAGTGCTCATGAAGATATTGCTTCGCTCAGGTGTCGATGTCGTACGCGACTGGGGTACTCTCCATGTATATATGTATCAAATCTGAAAGTTAGGAGGTGAAATCATTGGCTGTTCATTTTCCCACAATCATGAGCTTTACCATGGTATCACGGGTTTGAATGTGGCTTTTAGCACCTCAAAGAGAACTTGTCGTCGGTGGTGGTCACACCCGCCCACTGCGTCAATAACGACAAAGCATCTCGAGAGTGTATTTAGCCTCACCGGCAGAAGCTTCATCAAGTTTTGATGTAGTCTAGAGCAAGTAGTTCCATCAACACGTTCGGCTGCTGTGGCCAGCACATGAGACGAATCGAGCTGATAGTTCGCTGATGGAAGATCAAGAGCTTGTCCACTGGTATTTGTCCCTGAGTGCGGACCTGGATGCCTCCAGCTTATCGGAGAATTACCATGATGCGACGGGCCACTGGCCGCGCGGCTAGACACGTCAAATCTCCTAGGTTAGTTGACCATGGCGGTTCTGTCCTGGATGGTGCTTCAATTACCCAGGCATCTTGTTTCCACAAACTTGGTGTACCGGGGCGTGTGGATCTTGTCCAATTTCTCTTGTATCAAGACGTTCCCGTTGACGCGTTATACATGGACAGCCGCAACGAAATGTCCAGTCATATGAAGCTATGCTCTTAGAGTTGCAGCAGGTCTTGATTCTGCGCCACAATTGCTGCAGCCAAGCATTCTGTGTCCAGCCGGACTAGCTCCTCACGTGTGCATCGCAACCGTTCACATCGGAACCTGACGCCAACGACTTAGCTATACTTAAACCGCTCCAATCCCCTTCCCCCAGCATCACAATGGACGGTTGAACCTGCATATGCTGCTGCTGCGCGCTTTCTTCGCTGATGATTAAGTGAATCTGAATGTGAATCTGAATGTTAACTCATGATGATTAAGGCTCTCTGCATATATGGCGAACCTAACGAAATCAGCAATGGTTCTTGGGCCAACAGGAAGGGGGAGAGAGATGACGGGCAGCAACGCAGCAACGGGAACCATGTACGTGTGGCTGATAAGCCGGCGCTAGAATATTAAACTGCCGATGCGAACCAGTGACAATGATAATTTGATTTTGATAACCATGTAGCTCATCAAGGACAAGTGGTCTCCCAACTCATGACCGTCAACAAGGTTGCGCTCCTAGGACTATCATTCATCCGTTTGTGCAAATCACCGGGGAACATGTAGTGGGTGCGAAGTTTGCATGGAATCTTGGTAGATTTATTGATGTACACTCTTGTACTTGGCCGCTTATTTTCCAAAGCGACGTGACTTCTATCGTAAATCGTGGTCTTCCGTTGTATATCATTACCAGCCTGGATGCTGATAAAGCTCCAAAATATTACCTGCGAGGCAAGCTGTCTACCAACGCGGTTCCTATACTCCCCAAACGCCTCGTCTAAATCATCACTTTCATAGAATCGTGCCAAAGCCAAAGGTTGTCTTGATGCTTCGGACGTAGTACTCGTTCCAGTTACGCTTGGTCACATCTTCCTGACCAACGGGGACGCCGGTCCAGGTAACGCGCATCACAGTAACACCGTCGGAATCGTTCTGGTCGAACTCAATGACCTGCTTGGAGAAGTGACCTGCAGGCCACTGGTTCAATCTCCAAGTCTGAACGATCTTCTTGTTTTCCTCAAGTTCAACGTACTCGCCAGAGACGTTACCATCAAAGATCTCCCACTTGCCACCCTGCTTGGCGCCCTCGAATTTCTTCGGAGGAGCGCGAGTGAAGGCAGCAAGGCGTTGAGGGTCAGTGAAGGTCAGGAACAGCTGCTCAGCGGTGGTCCTGAATTCTTCTTGGTCTGACACGGTGGTGGTGTTCACAACGCTACCCTTGTTGTTTTGTGTGCCAGATGCCTCTGTCTTGGCAGAGGCACCGCCGGGCTGGTGCAACTTGGGGGTGGAAAAGCCGCTGGATGGGTTAGAGCCGGCAGCGTGCTGAATGTCCTTGCCGTGCTCGGCAATCAGGGCAGGAGTGAGCTTGAGGAACTCCTTGCGCAGCTGGGGAACGAGCTTGGAGCGAACCAAGTCCTTCACAGGCTGCTTCTCCTTGCTGTCGGAGTGGATGTCGATGTCGAACTGGGTACAGGTTAGACAAATTGCGCTGTTGCTCTTGTTTCAGGCGGATAGACAGATACATACCACGAACTCGGCTTCCTCGGTGTCATGGGCAACCTCGGGGACCGTGATGGTGCCGGAGACATCTTCGACGTCGGGGGCAGCACCTGAATATTCGAGGACGAGCTTGACGTCGAAGATTGTAATGACTTTGCCCTTGCGCTGGCTCACATCGACATCACCATCCATGCTGACGACTTTGCTGATCTTTGCGCTGACACCGCCCTCTTCGGCCGAGACCTTGACCAAGTTCTCGGCGAACCAGGCCTGAGCCCACTCGCCTGCATTCTTGCTGACCCAGTGCCAGTTGTTGGGGTTGTGTAGGACCATGTTGAGGAGTAATACTCTCGATCGTATACTAGGAAATCTGTGATTACGCAGGTATCGTCAGCAAGAGATGGGACAGATCAAGCCAATCGAAGCGGCGGAGGAATTGCAAGCGTAATGTGGAAATAGGATAGTTATCAGAGAAAGGTCTTTAGACCACAGCATTTTGGTCATCAAAGGAGGGAGTACAAGTAACCCTATGACTGGTGCCAGCTGGGTATCTCATCATATGGACGTGCAAGGTCAAGAATCGGAACTCTTGGAAGTGGTGGATTGTGTGTGTGACTTACCAGTTGGTGGGATGTCGTGTCGCAGTGTTGAGTGTTTCTATCCGTACATAGGCAGACAGTCTGGTCTGTTGGAGTGGTTTGAGGTGTAAATAGGAAGACAGAGAGAGGCAAAGGCGAGAGCGGAAGCCGGATCGGCAAAGGGCACGAAGGCCGCAGTGAGGTAGAGTCAAGGAAAAGCAGGAGCAGGAGCAGTCACTGCAAAATTCTAGAGCTTTCTGAAGGTTCTTCTGCAAGCATGAGGGGCAGTGTGGGAACGGCGAAAGCTTTTTCCTGATTCGTCGCCCACCTAGCTGTGCTGCTTCCTATTAGCGGGCCACCACCATCCCAATCCACTTCCGCTCGGGCTTAGACTAGGTTAGACTGACCTCGCATGCATACTGTAGGTACTAGGCACTCTGGCACTGTAGGTAACTTACCAATGCATTGCAATCGACGCTGGGCTGATCAAGGTGCGGGGGGCCTTTCTGCTCTGCCACATTCGGATACCACCAAGGTTAAGGAGTTACTGCAAACATCTGGAATGACTCTTATGCTATGGCAGGACCTCGTGTCGTTTTGTTTCACATCCCTATTTCGTCCTTGTTGAAACATGACTGCAGATCTGGCTATACCAATCCCGACTTTGCCTCACCCTCATGGCCTTCCATTTCATGCTACGGCAGAGAGCCAGATCTTCTACGCAAAAGCTCATCTTTTCGAAAACTTGCTTGATTTGACCATATTCATACTGAAAAAGACCGCCCATATGCCTGTTCTCGACATGCAAATGATGCACACACATGCATGTCAACCAGCAATTGGGTAGAGCTTTGGCGCACTTAAAACCACTCCAGATCATGCTTGCGAGGCTCCCTCCTTTCAATTTTATCGCTGTTAGAATTTTCGTCAATATCCATTGCGAAAACAGATTAGATATTGGACTCTAGGCGGTTGAGTACGACTTTGCAAGCCGTGAATGTCCAGCTGCTCTGCCTCTGACCATGTCGCACGAGCACCCCGCCTCCGCTGATGGGTCTCATTGTCAACATGGTAACTCTTCGATGAATAATCATCCCAGAGCAGACCTAGATCCAGCTAATCTCGAGGAGCCTGAGTTAGACGGTGGGAGAGCAGACAGTGATGAACCATTTCCTTGGATCAGGTTGGGACAGGCTGACGGCAGTGCGACGACAGTTGACCAATTGTTCAGACATGCAAAGTCACTACGGCTGTGCAAACTATGTGCAACCATCGACCTCGAGTTTCTCAGGTCTCGCGCCACTGAAGAGGTCATTGGGAGCATCGCTGTTGGTCACGTTTGCGTTAATTCTCCTATTTTGGACAGCAAGGCGAAATCGTGTGATCTAGGCACTTTCTTCTCTTGGGCCGCCGCCCTACATTACAGAACCAAGAAGCGTGAAAGTGTTGGGTGGCACCGCGCCAGTCATGCAGAGGAGGGTTTTCGTACGCAGAAACTAATCCTGAGACCTAGCTTCCCTGCTTCTATACAGCTGCAAATAGCGGGCCAAAATTACCGAGCACGCTGGAATGGGTGACAATGGCCGAGCAGCCATCGACTTTTGACAGCGATGACTCGATCAAGGCTACCACCCACGAGCCCATTCTGGGAAGTCTGATTGCTCAATCTCAGTCTCTGAAAGAGGCGACGATGCGATGGAACCAATTGCGGAACAAAGCTTTTCTACTAGAGCCGCCCCCTAAATCTTATGCCGCGGCAGCTGTTGGTGTGAGACCGTTGATAGCAAATGACATCGATATCGCTGTTTAAATCGGTCAGTCTTCAGAGGATTTCACTCATAATTGTCGAATTAACTTGTAACAGGCTCACCATTGGCTACACATATATCTAGAAGAGTCGTTCATCCTGGGGGATCGCGACAAGCAATACTGCAGATGCGCGAATGGATCAGCGCGTGCGACGGAAACCACATCTCCTGTAATATCCTTTCAGAGACGCCCTTACCGAACCGAGTGATCGAAGTCACCAATCCGGTGCGCCTACGAATCTCAGCCGGGATGAGAGCGAAATACGTGACTTTGAGCCACCGATGGCGTTCCAAGCCCTTCCTGCAATTAACAACCTCAAACATTGATTTGCTGCAGCAAGGCATCTCACTAGAAGGACTACCAGAGACCTTCCAGGACGCTATTCAGGTTACGAAGGAGCTCGGCATCCGCTATCTTTGGATTGACTCGTTATGTATTGTCCAGGATGATTTGAACGACTGGAAGCGAGAAGCAAAGCGTATGGCCAGCATCTATCAAAACTCGTATTGCACTTTGGCAGCAACGATGTCACACAATGGAGAATCATTCTTGAATCAAAACGTGAATGGTCAATCACCTGGGTACGCTTTTGATATTGATAAGAAAAACCCGGCCGCCGGTCAATTCTACATGGTTCAAGTGGTTCTTCCGGATCCACGTAATCAAATCCGCGATCAAGAACTCAATCATCGTGGGTGGGTCTTTCAAGAACGTCTGCTCTCAAAACGGCTTATACATTTCGCTCGGCATCAGATATACTGGGAATGTAGTACCGAAGCTTCATCCCAGGACGGCAACATATTTAGCAAGGTTAACTTTGCTGATTTTCTTTTCCCACTGCCTGCGCTTGCCAAGGCTCTTACCCCTCACAATTCTCGGCCCGTATCTGAAGCAGAGATTGACCGCCTATGGTTGCACATTGTCGAACACTACTCTGAATGCCAGTTCACCAACGAGCAAGATCGTTTGCCAGCAATTTATGGTCTCGCTAATTATTTGAGGTCGTTCAACCCTAGGAGGAAGTATATTGCTGGACATTGGTTCGAGTCAATCAGTGGCCGCATCCCGCCTACGGTATTCTGGATCCCGGCCTCACCCCCAGGAGAATCCATGAGACTGCCTGGGCCATCTTGGTCCTGGTCTTCCTTTCTCGGTGGAGTTACATTTCAGGGTTCGTCGGTCCATGTAGAGCCCGAGCTGGAGAGTTGGGAAACAATCCTCGATGAGGAATGGAACCACGACGTGACACTCAACATTCGAGGCAAGATTCGCCTATTTAGGCTCGGATCCTCAGCCGAGGGGTCACGATTGTCTGCATTGCTTGCGGAATCTGAAAGTGGGGACGTGCCACCATCTGTTGCGGGCAATATCACCTTGGACTACCCTGGCCACAAGCCGCAATACGCTCACTGTTTATATCTAACCGAAGACTTTGCGGGATATGTGAAGATGCTTGCGCTGGAAAGGACCACTAAACCACACACATATAGAAGAATCGGAATTGGCTCGATGTCGCAGCAATTTGCTTGGCTCTTTCGATCAGTGCCGGTAGCAAGGCTCGTACTAATATAATAGTCTATCACTTCCAAGGCACGACTGGCCGGCACCTTAAGCTTAATTTCTCTAGGGTCAGCTTGAGCCGGCTGGCTCGTTCGAGAAGCCGGCGGTTGTCAAAGCATCTTCATCAACTGCTATGTCCGTAATAACCCTTTTTATTGCATCCGGATTTCTCGAGCGATTATTAGACCACATGGCTCACCTTCTACTGTCTTGTTAGTTGATGCCAAACTCTTTTAACCGTGGCCCTCGACACTCCAGGCTTTGCCTTCCTGGCCGAGATCCAACATCCGTCTGATTTGACAAAGTATCTTAGCCATCCCTGGTGACAGGAACTGATGTGCCTTTCTCTTTATTGTTGGATGCCCGCATTTCAAGAGTCTTGAGGATACCTTGAGCAACATTCATTCTGATCTCGGCATGCAGTAGCCAGCCAGCCGTGAGACGCGGCTGCCTCGTCCGTGACCACTGGAAAGAGGGTTTTGCCACCGCAGTGATGGTCGACATTCATTCTGTTAGATTGCTTTGGGAGCTAGTAACCCCTGCTGAGCTTGGCACTATTCGCTGTCTTTGACAGAGAAAGCGGCATTGCCGAAATATTGGGCGACTCAGACATTCAACAGTAATAGGCAGAAACACAGCTGTGGAAGTGGTGATGTAGTCAGTACTTCAAATTCATGGAAAACTTTGAGTTGGGGGCCGCCCGTAGTCCCAGACTATCAGTCAGTGAGCAACCAAACCAATTTTGATATGTGAAAGATGGGCATGGCGATTGTTGAAGGTTAATAGCGATCATGAGGGCCGGCGAATAAAGTGTATATCTTTTAAGATGCGATGTTGAGGTGCACACATTTACACATTCTTCACGTTTAGATTATCTTCGCCTGCCGGTCATGGAGTTTACATACAACCGATACTAGCCCCATCGTCTTAACTGAAGAACAACGGAATAAACATTGATAAAAGCCACCGTTTTCAAATCAATCTTTGCAGAATATTATCGTACAAGCGTATTGATGAATCACTCGAAGACCCCTCCCGTTCAGTCACGGTCCGTTGGGTTTGAGGGGGACCAGCACTAAACCTGTGGCACACTTACATTTCCCAAGCTGATGCCGCTTCCACCAAAGAAACAAATACTATGGCTGAGCAGCTGGGCACAATTGTCATGCTCAGAGCGAAAAACTTATCTTTTGTTCGGCAAGTTGAAGAGAATAAATGTTTATGAAGTCTAAGGAATTACGATGGCGATTGTCACTTTTGAGGTATATCAGCCAGCTCAGTGCTATGGCTAAGCGCTAGCCGCCCAGTAGTCTATGTCGTCACCAACTCGCGGGTTGCAGCCTGCTGGCCGTTGCATTATGCTGTTATATTATCGTCCAGTTTCCTTCTGAACAACTTTCGAGAATTCCAAAGATGTATAGGCTGCCATCATGCCTCACTCCAATGAACATACCAGGTTGCTCCAGGATGACAATAGCGATGCAGAGGTGATTCGCTTCGCCGACCATGACCACGACGATCCCAGGGAATGGCCTCTACACTGGAAGTACATCCAGGTTCTTTTGGTGTTCTTCATCGGCCTTATCCTTCCGATGGCCAGCTCAATGTTCGCACCCGCCATCGATGACATTGCTGAAACGTACCAAGTCGATAAGCAACTGGTCCTTGGCGGACAAGCCGTTTTTGTCTCCATGTTGGGCATCGGACCTCTCTTCTTCGCGCCCATGAGTGAGACTTTTGGAAGGAGAAAGGTCTACTTGATCAACATATCTCTGTTTTGCTTGAGCCAGATACCTTTGGCATTGGCACCAAACATCGAGACTTGGCTTGCTTTCCGTTTGTTATCGGGCTTGTTCTCGAGCGTAGGAGTCGCCAACGGCGGTGGTACCATCTCAGACCTATTCAAAGCCTCCGAGAGAGCTACCGTTTCCGGCTTCTACTTCCTTGCGCCCTTGCTAGCACCCACCTTGGGCCCTTTCTTTGCCAGTCTTATCCTCATGGCACTGGAGTGGCAATGGATATTCTGGGTACTTTTCATCCTTAGCGCATCCTTATTCATCGTTTGTTTTCTTGCACTATTTGAGACGCAATCCAATGTTGTTTTGCAACAACGCAAGGCACGACTCGAGAAACAGAATCCAAGCAAGAAGTTCAAGCTGGAGGGGATGTCTGATCAGTCACTCTTCCAAAAGGTCGCCCAGAATTCGACGACCGCTACCAAGATTCTCTTTTACCAGCCGATCGTCATGATCATTTCAGTGTACCAAGCACTTGTCTTTAGCTCCGTGTATAGCCTTTACAGCAACTATACTACTATATGGTCAGAAGAGCCATACAACTTCGATACCATCCAAGTTGGATTGGCCTACCTTGGCCCGGCTGTAGGTTTTCTCGCTACCGCCTTCATAGTTGTCCCTTTGATGGATCCGATATATAAAAAGATGCAGTATAGATATAATAGCGTTGAAGGTAAGCCAGAGTATCGTTTACCGCTATCGAACATAGGAGCCGTGTGCCTCCCAGTTAGCTTGTTCTGGTTTGGGTGGGCGATTGAGAAAGAGCTTTACTGGACAATACCCCTGGCTGCAACCTTGTTCTTTGGTGCGAGTCAGATTTCTATCTTCAACTCTTTCCAAAACTACTACATTGATGCCTTTGAGAGTAAGGCGGCCTCTGCTTTGGCTGCAGGTGCTTTTTTGCGGAGCTTGGTGGGCGGAATCGTGCCATTGTTCGTCCCGAGGATGTTTGAAAGTCTCGGCTATGGACTAGGCTTCTCTGTCTTTGGTATTATCGGCATAATTTTGATGCCAGCTCCATTGCTATTTATGCGGTATGGTGCGACATTGAGGGAGAAGTTTGCTGTTGCAGAATAAGGGGTCAAATAGACTGTAAATCGGCGAATCCACAACCTAACTGGTTTCGCAATCGCTCAATTTTAATCAAGTCGATCTACTTCACCCTGCTGCACAAACCTGATGATAAGCTGAACGCAATCCATACCTCGATGGTGGTGACGCGTCTCAATCATTTCCCAGGTTAAATCCGCCTAGAAGCCGTGTCCCATCATGGCTCGCCTACTAGGGTCGATGAATTGTGGAACTGACCAAACTTTCAAAGTCACCACAGTAAATTCTGCGAATCCGTGGCACTAGAGTTTGAAATCCATAAAACTGTTATGCTTTAGCACATCGTGAATGTGCAAAGCGAGACCGAGACCGAGACCGAGACCGAAGCGGACTCTGTTTACTTTTCTTTGGTGTTACCAGGCAATAAAATTTGAACCAAAGACCCGCAGGATGCGAGCACTGGATTTGTTTAATAGCAAGTTTCCCATTGAAGTTGCAGGAAGATTTTCTCCCCCCAAGGGCTCACTATTCGAGCGACCTTCATCCTAAATATTTATCACAAGTGCCTGTGATAAAGGGCAACGACCAGGATGAAGACGGCGTATCACTCATTACCAACGACACACTAGCCGATTACGAGAGCGACACCATGGATACGTAAAGCAGAAACACACAGTGACCTGATGCTGGAAAATCTCCCGGCTACCACGCCGTCAGCACTGACTATGCATTCGACGATCGACCCCGTGCTATCGCTTGGGTATTGGCGTGGTCATACCTCGCTCAGGGAATGAGAGAGCCTCGAATACACTAGAAATCCTACTGAAATCAGTGAGCATGCAAGTGATACCTCAACAACAGGGCGATCTCTAAACATTCTTCTTTAGTGCCACCCGAACACGATAGGGTTCCTTTTCAGGGCGTTGAGGTTCAATGTGCTCTGAACAACATGTGCGCCACCAATATCACCGCTTGGGGTGGCGTAGAAGCAACGTCAAGATGGCCAGAAGTCGATTGGGAGTTTGCGGATATCATGTCTTCCTACCAGACCAACTCCGCCGCGATCAAGAATTTAACCGTCAGCGGTTCGCACAGCTACAACAATTTGACCCACTCCCCACCCAGACTTCTGGACCGAAACCTGACATTCGAGATGGGCGAATATTTTGAAAGATTGATATCGCGGCCGGATTCCAAGCTCAGAAAATACTTGAATGCTTTCATGATAGTATCCTAACCCCTGATCAGCTCCTGAACGGTATGGTTATGGTGGATGAGCGCACGGTGTGAAGACCGGGCGAGAAGAAAGCTCAATGATTATAGGAGGCGGATATGACTTGTCGACCACCATCTCTAGATCGAATTCCCGATTATCATTCAGGCAGTGTTGCATTGTGGCTTACAGTTTGCATACTTCGTGAGAAGTTTACTGGATCGAAGAGGCTGGGTGCATCAATGCATTACTGCTTGAATGAAGACCGGGTTTCGTGGTGTTCACCAGATATAATAGGCTAGGCAAGAAAAGCTGGATCTCCACCTATGTACTGTCGGGACATTTGCACCACAACCCTTCTGGCACTACATAGGTGTAGGTCCAGCTTCTCTTACCTAGCATATTTGATATCTTCATGCCGGATGGGTCTAGAATTATGGATTCCTATCGACTTAGTGTAAATTCAACTTTGATGCATTATCTCTGCCATTTTGCCCGCTCTAGATGCGCGTCTGCCTTGAAGCCGAGCGTGAAGATGGCTTGACTTGATGATGACGCTACCAAGGGCGAATACATCGCGGGGGCCCTCCAAGCCCTCATATATTCTATTAGAAGTATTGCAAAGGTCAAGTACAGAGGTCCAGTACTTCAGCGAATCTTCCGAGGCCGACTTGGTGTGCTTGGGGTCAGGCTGGAAGTCATCTGAAGCAGGTAAGTATCGACCATAAAGTGGAAGGTCGGAGTATCGGTCATTGGTTGGTATTTTTTACCGGGTTGACTTCGTATGGGTTCATGTTGAAGGCCAGTTGATAGACTATGAAGGGTTGCAGGTTTGCAGTGAAGGGACGCAAATTCAATGGTGAGGCGTGATGTTCTTCGCGCTCCCTCAGCTCGAGGTTTCTACGGCTGGTGACCGCCTCTCGTGGCTGAAATATCGTCTGGACTCTGGGACACCGCGCCTTTCTCTAGAAGGCCTGGTAATGCTAGCTGACTCCGAGGTATTTTCGTTCGGGCAGAAGAGAGGGGAAGCGATATGGTCTTGTTTGTAATGTGCCACAGCTAGGCGCCCTCGCCAAAGTCCTAGAGGACGTGCCTCTCCTTTGGCTTGGAGCGTTATCATCTGTTGAGGGTAGATCTCGGAATGCGAATGTCCATGCCATTGAGGTCTGAGCGTTGGAGCCAGAGATTCTATGAGATGTTTCTCATCTGGCTCCTGCATGGGTTCGCGATTGAATATAGTCGCTTCTGATCAAGCTCCTGGATTAGATGTGGGTCTACATTTTGTTATCTGCATGTATTCGCCTATGGGTGCCGAAACATACCGCAAGGAGTCTGCAAGGCGTTGTTCGAGCTAACTAGTCCGGAATTTGTGATGCCGGCGCACGTCAAGCAACAAATGTTGCTATTCTTGAAAACGCGTGGGTTCGGTTGGCGAGGAACAGCTGTATCCATGTTCATGCAGGCCCGCATGGAAGTTTTTAAGTTATCGATACCATATTTCTATCAAGCCCATGACTCGTCAATGCGGGCAGAAAGGCGACTCGGAGTGCGTGCTATTTGGAAGGTAATTTGCCCGCTCAACAAACGGCATCCAGTGCGGGGATTACTGACCTTCAGCTCTGTCAACGAATCATGATTGTCATGGTCACAGGGGCTAGAGCTCCCCTAAGCGCTGGAAGTCCTCATTGAGCGACCTGAAAAGCCTTAGCCAATTGGCATCCGCTGTTGCCTTTGAGCATCTAATTATAGATGATACCCCACCTTGATGAAAGGACGGTTGATTGGCCAATCGCCACAGGGCCCCTGGCATCTGCAATTCGGTCCCGCGTGCCCCCATTTGTTCAGTTATGCTTGGACCTTGCACGTTCTCTGCCACCCCAGCCTGGATGGAGTCACACTCCAGGCCTTCCATATGGGCCTGCAGCAGCGTGCAGCCAGCCAGAACTCAAGCAAGCCAGTCTGCGCGTTCTCTTGTCTTGTTGATGTGCTTACATGCAGAAAAATCGCATGCGACAATATGTTGACTCTATTCGGCGCTCAATTGTAACGCTACAAGGCGGGCTGGTGTTAGCATGACGGGAGCTCCCACGGACCCTTACACACGGGGGGCCTGATTGAGGGACGGGACGATCTTAGGGCGGGAAGTGGTTCGTCGACTCCGATTGTGCTACAACTCACCAACTCATGGTGTTACCACCATCACCAGTTCACACACCGCGTTGCCTGCAACTCATATGCAAGCGAACAAGTCCGGACAAGGGTGCCCAACGCTAGAACCCTAGGCCGTCCTCGCTCAATGTGATTGCCGACCTGCCCCATACGTGCTTTGTCGTTTTACTTCCTGCATCTGCTGGTATTTGTCTCTTGAGGAACATCTTGGTTATCGTTCGCGGCGCCAGGACCACGAGACGTATTCCTGTCTGTATCGCGGCCGATCGATTAGAAGGGAATGCGATTTCAGGAACCACCAGCAGAGCAGGCCACTTACTGTTGATGCTGAGGACTGAAGACTGAGGACCGAGGACAGAGGGGCACGAACCTCGTGCCATATAGTGAGGTTGGGGGCCGCCAGGGTCGGTTTCACCCGTGAACGCATCAATCGCATCGCACAGGAGGCAGCGAAGCGAATACCGTTTCCCCTAAGCGTTCACAGGATTTCATATTCAGCAAACAACAATGACATCCGCTCGCGACTCGAATACGCGACTTCGCCAGACACTCAATCCGCTACTGACTACTTCGTTAGGCGGATTCCATGGTCAATTGGCTACACCGCATTCCGCCATCTCCTCCACCGCACCGTATAATTACTCAGCCGCGCAAACACCAGCGAGCTCAGTCCAGCCATATAATCCGCAAGAATGGGCCCCATCGCCGGCTGTTCAACGTACTCATCAGTTCCCGCCTCCTGCGTCGCATGAACCACAATGTAAGATATCTCGCTGCAAGGTTGCTCCAGCATCATAGGACTTACATCCATCCCAGCGTCGCCACTCCCACCTCCCCCATATTCACCACCACGTAGCCAGCGGCCAGTCAGTGGTGTTTTCGAAACACCGCCAGCCAACACATCTGCTGCTCGCACGCCTTTAAGTTCTGCACACAGGCCATCACCAGAGCCGCAATGCGCCCAAAACTTCCCACCGCCTCCCGGAGCAGGTGGGAGAGGTGCGTCCCGGGAAAGACGATTTGGTCTCCCATCTTTGACCAGGCGACGGGACAGGGAGGGCGCCGAGTCCGCTAGTCCACCAGAACCGCACCCACCGTCATTAATATCGAGGCCACAGCCTCTGATGATTCAGGTCCCTCAGCTGTCAGAGAGAGGGGAGCCCACGCAACCAATTGCTCCTCCAGCCGCAAGAAGAGCTGCCTCCGCGAGTGCAATCGAGACTCCGACGTCTGCTAGGTCGCGTTCATCGTCACAATCACGTTGGGGGCATGGCATGCCTCTACCGCCACCGCCTCCAGGGCCGCCGCCGTCTAATTCGAGGTCGCAAAGTCTCAACAGGACAATAGACCCTAATCCTGTTCTATCTCCCCCAACCCGAAGGCCGCCTCCAAATGGTGTAACAGCATTAGGCCCCGTGCCTCCAACACCAGCGGATTGGGTTGACGACGAAAGGCAACATGCGAATCGGGCTGCGCAAGCTGGCTTGAGTATTGATACTGCCAGTGCATCTAGTGCAGCTACGCAACCGAGCGAATCCACCGAGTCAGGCTCGGCCTCAGCTGGAGGACACCTATCGAGAGCCGGCGCTGTTCGTGGCGAGAAGTCTCTGCGTGAGAGGCGCAACGAGAGCCGAACGAGACACAGCAGGGGTGAATCGAGCTCCAATGTCCCGCCTTTGGAAGATATTATGGTGCCTCAGGGCGCAGCCAGCCTGTCTAGGCAGTTCTCAGTTCGCAGAGGAACACCACGCAGTGCTGGAAGGTCTGCGCATGACATGCCGTGGCCCGGTGATCTCAATGATTCCAGAAATTCTACACCGAGGGTAGATTCTGCGGGGCTTCAACAGCCTGAAACACCAACGCCTCCCTTCTCACCACGCCCCCAGAAGCCGTACGTATTAACAGAGGCTGGACAGCCGTTGGCGCCCAAAGCTCTACCTACGCCTCCTCCGCAAAGCCGTTCCGCTTCAAGTTCCAGTTTTACTCGTACAGAGATGCACCACTCTATTGGCAGCCTCATACAAGGGGGCCCACCTTCAACACCGATGACGAAACAGGGAGTCATCAGTCAAACAGCCGAACAATTTTGCCAGAGCACCATCGAACGTTTTCGAGCATTTGCTGGAAAAGAAGCTGCAGCGGCGTCAGATGCGGATCGGGTCAAGTTGTTTGCTGACTTCTTTGTTAATGAATCTCGGCTTCGGAGAGAACGTTACAATTCTGCCATTGGTGCAATGGGTTCAGAGATATTTGACTTGACTCGAGATCTTTTCCGACCGATGAAACCCAGGAGAGATTCCGACAGCTCACAGGCGAGCGAATGGACCCCTCAGGTGTCTGCAACGAATCTTCGAAGTTCTACAAGTTCAACATTTGGAAGAGAGCCGGGGAGTCAACCTAACTCCGCACCAGCATCAGCGGGTGTCCCTATCTCGCCCGTTGGCGGCCCACCTAATGTAGCGTGGAACACGAATTACAAGCCTGCACTGTCACCAATTCTGAGTATGAGCGTCAGCGATGCGTTTGATGAGGCGGATTCTCGTGGCAGACCGGCAAGTCGTTGGTGGGAAGCAGATTCTACAGGTGAATCATCCCAAAAGATGGAAAGGTCAAAACGGGAGTCGAAATACATGGGCGTTCCTAAAGAAGCTCGAGAAGCGTTGCAGTGGAGGGATCCTCCAAATAGTGCAGAAGCATACGCCAGTTCCAGCAAAGGATACGGCCCCGACGAGTACCCTCCCGAGAAAACTGGCTGGCATGAGTCCGAACAGTCAAGTACCCCCCAACCCTTTAGGCGCTCATTACTTTCGCTCCCAGCATCGACCCCAAATACGCCATGCCCATTGCATGTAGACGTCTCCAGACTTGTGACTCTACCGCCTCCATACCCACGGCACCACCCTGCTGTAAATAACAATCACCCGGAGCTTATGGAGATCCGTGCGATCGTGCGCACTTTGAGCGATATGAAAGAGCTAGAGCAGATGAAAGCACAGTTCGCCAAAGATAACCAGCAGGTGCGAGGTGACGCTACGACGGCCGCAAAGGAACGTCGGCAAACCTTGAGAACGAATTTGCAGCAAGAGGTCAGCTCTGGAAACATGTCTTACGCAGATGCTGCGGCAATTGAAGCCGACTTGAGCGAATCAGAGCGGTCTCAATCAAAAGAGCTGGAAAAGAAATTGTTCGACCAGTTCCAAAACACGGTCGTTATGCCGTCTAATGAGGTGCTATTGGGCCGGATAGGTCAAGCGACCTCACTTTTTGACGAACTTCGCTCGAGGCTGTTTGTCGATACGCACACAAGCGATCCCAATCTTCCGCAGGAGGAAGGTGACGAGCAGCCAGAATTGCTCGAGAAACTGACCTTGCTCAAGTGGATCTTCGAGTCCCGTGAAATGCTGCATCGTCAAATATTCGACCTCCTCAGCGATCGAAATGACCGGTACAAAGAAATGGTGATAGCACCGTACCGGGTCTCGGGCAACGATGAGAAGTTGCGCAACGCTGAGGCATTCTTCGCCGAAGACGCCGAAAAGCGTCGTCTCGCTTTCGCAAATGAAGTCGTACAGCGCACTCTCGAGTTCCGTGGCGTAGTTGAGGAAAACGTCGAGCGCGGGATTGACATGCAGCTCAATGCATTCTGGGATATCGCGCCGCCGCTCAAGAGCCTCCTTGACAAGGTGCCTCAGAATCTCAGAGAGTTTCGAATCCAGATCCCGCCACATGAGTTCGAGGAAAATCCGAGCTACCACCAACACCCGTTGCAATACCTCTTCTCGCTTCTGCTGCATACTGAAAAGAGCACGTATCAGTTTATCGAGAGTCAGACAAACTTATTGTGTCTGCTACATGAAGTGAAAGAGGCTGTCATGGGTTCAAAGGGCAAGCTGAGCGAGGCGGAAGGGCTTCATGCAAGGAGCGTCGAGGAGGAAAGAAAGAAGGAACAAAAGCGCTTGACAGACGATCTCAAGGAAAAGGTCCGGGTGGTGCAAAGTCAATGGGACGAAGGTCTTGGTGAAGGGATCCGATTGGTCAAGGAACGTGTTGGGGAATGGCTACTAAGTACTGGGGGATGGGACGAGACGCTCGAAGATCTTGGTGTTGCATGATGAAGACTACGAGCTGTGTATTCGGCAAGGAACAAGGAACATGGAGGAAAGAGAGCGTGGGGAGCCTAAAGGAAAGTGCGACTTGTTCGTCGCACAACATTATTTCTCCTGTGCGCTGCCCTTTGGGATATGGAAGACTTTTATGATTGATGTTTAGATTATGGTATAGCAGTATAACTTACAGACCTTGGATTGCATAGGCTTTTCGCATATAGCTTACTTTTTTTTCATAGCGATACCCTCAATTGCGCTATTGACTTTCGCTGGAACTCTCACCTTGAAAGACATTATGCAACATTGGTCCAATTGAGACATTTCTCTGTGACACTTTTAACGATACACCCACGCAACTAACCAGGTTGCGTCCGAGGCGACCTTTTCGATCAGAAAGATCCCTCGTCTGACTGACGCTATTTTGCAATCTTTCCAATTTTTCTTTCTTTTTCTTTTCTTTTGTATAAGCAAGTCGCTCTTAGCTCTCAGGTTCGCTAAAGTGTACAAGCCAAAGCAAGCACAACTATATGAGCCACTGCTACGTGAAAGGTCTTGCGATCAGATTGTACCCGACCCGCTTGTTTGATGTAATTACCTCCGAATCCAACGGCACACCTCGTACCCACTGCCCAGACCTCATTTTATTGCCAGACTAAATTGCCTTTGGCTGACGCCTGTGTTCTGATTCTATCCAAGTTCAACTGCCAAGACTTTCAGGATTCAGTCAAGCAACCTTAAGTCGAGGCGACGCATGTCTTCAAAACGAACCTGTAGCATGGCTGTACCCATCCGCACGTTTGGTTGGCATGTGTTTTGACACGGCTATAGATACATGAATTGACCAATACCAAAGTCGAGAATATCTTCGAACTACACTCTTTCATAAAACACCCCTTCGCAAGCTCCGCATCGCAATGAGAACGACGTTATTTACTTTTCAGTCTCAGGGCCGATTCATCTGCCTCAATGTCTAGGATTTGATGCAACTGAGTTGGATGAAGACGATAAGGCTAGGAGAGTCTACTTGCTATTAGTAGAGCCCTCCTATGAATGGGATACCACCCACAGCGCTGAATTCCCCGATGCCAAGCTACCGGTACCGCAATTCGCAGATGCGTCGGATCCGAGTCTGACACGGAAACTGGCATCCTTGCCAATAGGGAGCGCATCGCAACGGTCCGTGTCGCTCTCATCAACTCCATCGTCTTCATGACAGCTGAGGAGATGTGTAGTGACGGTTGGTAACCACTGAACTTACCGATTTTCGCGGGATTTTCAGGTGTCTCGTGGCATCCCCAGCCTCAATTTTCTCATCTACAACCCCGTAAAGAACTATATGCTGCTCGCCAAGAGCAGTCGCCCAGACCTCAGATCTCTCGCCGTCTTACTGTCGATCGCCGATGGAGTTTCGCAGGGGCTATGCGCCACCGATATTAAAATCGACCACCACTTCGGCCACTTGAATTGCATTGACTCTGAGCACACCGGCTCACTCAGAAATGTGCGGTAGCAAGTCCAGCGGTGTGTATGAACCATAAAATGGAAGTATGAGTAAAACTCTTCTCAAAGGTTTCTTAGACGACGTTGAGTAAAATCTGTACTTCAGACGGTTTGGACGTGACCGAGAGATGACTGTATTTCGAGGCCTATGTAATGTTCTACAAATGTTGACCTGTGTCGGTGCTTCGTCTGGTATGTAAGTCTAGCACGAGCAGTGAATTGTGCTGATTTAGATGTGCGATCAAACTTCTGTCGACGAAATTTCCCAAATCAGTGGTTGTACAGCATTATCAGCATTAATAAAAAGTAGTTGGAGATTGACAACCGATAAGCCACTTTTTTAAATGGGCTAAAGATCGTGGAAAAAGGAAATGAAAAAAAAAAAAACCAGTGACTTTCGTCATCTCGAACTTGAAACTTGCAAAAAAGAAGATTGGCTGAGGGAGGACGGCTCAGCCAGAAGATAAGGATAATTCCTAGGTATGGGCGGACAACCACTACACCACTGTGACCTGTGACTTCGTGGACTGTTGATTGGGATCAATTTATTCAGGTTTATATATCGTTTGGTTGAGCATGCAATCTTTGTTCCTTTTGCATGGCGTACGAATGAGCAATGTTTAGAGTTTGGTCGTTAGGTGGGTGGTCGTGGCGGTGCCGAAGCAAGTTTGAGAAAGCCCTCGAGTAGGAGGCTGCATGAATGTGCGCGTGGCGATTGCATTGCTCTCATGAACTTGAGGCGCTTCCGCACTCGACATTAGAGGATGCAAGTAGTCTGAATGTCTTCATGATCGAAAAACTCTTCATTGGCTCTTCGTTCCCCATCCGTCTGGTCCTCATCGCTTACGTAGCGGACCTTCATTGCGAAGACTCCAATCCTCATGAACTCCGTCTTCACATTTTGCTCGGCAGAATGCAGCTGCTTGATTACAAGCCCAAGAGCGCGCCGTCTACAAGTATGCGTTACAAGCAACTGGATGCACTGCATAGATTGTGCTTCATGGACGTCTGAGAAGTCGGCTCTGTCTGCCTGAGTATCCAGAGCTATGGATAAGGTCCTCTCGTTCGGACTCCAAGCCTGTACTTCCTCGAACTTGATGAAGGATCTCAGGTTTCTCGAGCATCTGTTGGTGCCAATCAGCGTAATGATGGAGCCTTTGACTTCTAGGGAACCCCCGCGTACCATACCGTACGGCAATGATTTGTGGCAGAGCTGCACACTAATGTCCAGTATATTCGACATCACGTCGCTGGGATTGTGAAAGAACATTTTGCCAAGGGGCACATGTAAGAGGTTTCCGTCCATGCATGCCCAACTCCATGATGGAGCGCGAACATGCCAGGTCCCGTACCCAGGCCAGCATCTCCCGCTGGTGCTAGGATCGGTCGTCGCCCACAAGAGCTGTTTTCTGAAAACATCGGGCTGTTCAGTGTCGTGCAGCAATCCTGCATAGTATGTGATTGGCCGTCGAAAATGCTTCGATGATGTTAAAACAAACTGTTTCGCCACGGCAGAGATAGCTGGCAGTTTGTCACTCGAAACGCTCAAAGACCTTCGAGAGTAGCCCTCCACTATATTTTTCCATTCATCCCATGACGATGATTGCATGGGACTTGTTGCATTAAATACATCCGTATTGTTGACAGCCCTGTAGTCGAAATCATGTAAGGAACCTCCACACCCAACACCAGTGCGATGACACCTCCAGAAAAGTTGCCGGGAGGAGAATATAAGGAGACGGTGGCTAAGCATAGTCTCTTGGAGCGTCCAACCACGGCTTGTTGTAGGTTCAGAGCCCGGATTAACCTCGTGGTAGAGCAGCACCGAGCCAGTTGCACCGCTAGAAGTCTGGTAGGGAAGTCTGAAGGGACCAACATCGTGCAGCCCGCTGTCCTCTCTATGTTTAAGGAAGCCTTCTGTCGCCGCTGCGGAAGAGGCTGCCAAAATTGTTACAGCATTGGCTCCATAATAAGAAGACATTCGTGAGATCTCAATTGCTTTGTCATTTTCGTTGTCTTGCAATATGCATAAGGCATCGACCCACAGATAGCGTAAGCCCACCAGATGCGTGAATTTGATTGCGTCCTGTATCGTTTTAGGGAAGACCGACACATTTTGGCCGGCTTGAAGAGCCGTCCGAGACTCTTCGACTAACCGATGTTCTTGGGGACCTCCCCAGCAATAGGAAAGAGTTGCAAACCCGGCCTTTGCGACGCCTTGTCGTTCTTTTTCAGTTAATCCAGGCATCTCACTAAGATGTACTTTCAAAACATTCTCGTCATCAAGGGAGATGTTAAGAAGACGTGTGGGTAGATGCAAATGGCGCATTTCACTGTCTGTATCATTGTAAACTGGATCGCGGCATTCAGGATGCTCTTTGATGCACCTTCTCAGACAATCCTGTGCAAGGGCAACACTGTGGGAGCTGGCAACGTTGAGGTCCATCGGTCGTGTCCTAATATCGAATGCCGCTGGATCGTCGTCTTCGGCACAGGCGAATATCCCCGGACGAACGTCCACCACCCTAGTAGTGGAGACTTCTACCTGGATGCTCAGCTGATTCGCCCGGCCATAGCAGTACCTGCTCACCAGCCTGAAAGTGGCCTCACATAGGTCCTCTAGCCTCTCATTCCCGTTGGAGCCTGTGGCGTATTGCACCAGTAGCTCATCTAAAATCCATTGATAGAACGCGCATCCATCTTGCGCCGCCTCTATAGCACCGCGCATGCCGTGCCGAAGCACATGTTCCTCATGGTGCATTGGGGCTTGCCTGGCCCCTCTCACCTGGGGCAGCATGTAGCTGTCCAACGGACCACTGAGAACATTATGTCCACAATGTTGGCAGTGGTGGGGCCTAGCAATTGTAAAGGTCTGACGTGTGACGGAACCATCTGCCTCAAGAGCGAACTTCCTTTCCTGAAGGTAATGAACGGTTTCTGAGATGGCATCAAGATGCGAGTGCATTGTGAATTAGCTTGCAAAAGCCACCGAATTTCAAATTCAACCTTGTCTTAACGAGACCGCGCAAGGTGAAGGAAGCTAGAGGCGGGGCTGCCTAATCTTAGGTTAATAGTTAGATAAGGGAGTTGTCCTGTTATGGCGATGATCATTATCAGTTCAGCGATTGTGTGAATTTGCTACGAACGCTATCATGGGTGTAGAAATAACATAACATCATGTGTTTCAACGAAAGACAATCAGAGCTTCGCAACTTCATTGGCTCGAAGTAGAAGCTCACCAAGTCGACCTTGTAATCCTTAGCATTTCGTTGGATTGTTCCGCAATCAAACAGAAACATCTTGGTTGATTTAAGCAGCAGATCAATAGCGACTAGATTCTGTCTTACTGAACATCTGGTCCTACGGCTAAATAAATTAGTTTACAAATGACATAGTGAGGTTAAATTGTACAACAAGTATATTAGATCTTGACTGCATTTGTGACCCGCAATCTGCCGAAATGCCTACAGGTACTCTTTTGGCACGTACATTGGCATCGAGTCTTCCCACAAGCTATCTGTTACCATATGCTTATCTGATCCATCGGCGTTCATGACCATGATCTGTCCGTAAGGTTGGAAAGTATTATCGAAGAGTACGCACTCATCGCGGAAACCGTACATCCCAGTATTCCACATGATGCGACCGTCGAACGACCAAACGGCGTGGGCGTCGTTGGCCTGGCTGTCAGTGACGCGGTTCAGGTCGCTGCCGTCGGGTCGAATCGTCATGATGTCGAAACGATCTTCATACCAGCGGCTGCCGTACTCCAACGTCCAATTGACCTGGCGAGTGAAAACGATAAGTTCTCCGTCCGGCGACCAGCCGGGCGTGTTGTCCCAACCCTCTGTAAGTATACTCGTCTCTCTAGTTGTCAGGTCAAGAATGCGTAGGCCCAAAGGTGCCTCGCTGGTGCGGTTCCATAGACGGTAGACGACACGGGTACCATCGGGCGACCATGACGGGAATCCGGCATTCAGCTCATAGGGAGTTTGAGTCAGATCTTCAAAACCGCTGCCGTTGGTGTTGGTGATGTAGATGGTGGCTGGGTTTGCGTTGCGGTTGAAGAACCATGTACCAAAACCAACAGCAATCTGGGAGCCGTCGGGAGAGAATGTAGGTTGGAACGCGCCTCCAAGGCCCGACTGGATATAAGCAAATTCAGTCGAGTTACTGGGGTCCCAAACATCGTACACATCCAAGACATCTTCAAGCTCCGTATATTCAGGCGTCGAAACAACAGCAGATGAGTTACCAAGCTGCTTCTGGGTGAAAGCGATGCGGCTAGTGGCATTGTTGAGCACGGGAAATACATCCATGAATCGATAGTCCCAGTCGCTGTCCCAGCTGAAGAGCTCACGGCCCGCTGGCCGTTGCTCCCAAGAGAGCACCTCATAGACGACTTTGGAACCGTCAGGTGACCAGGATGGATCACGCAGCCAAGTATGATTGAAGGCTTTGTGCGAGGTGTCAGGTGCAGTGTAGTTAATACCTTCGCTAGAACCGCCTTTGATGAGGTAACCTATATTGCTGCTGTTGCCAATATAGTGCTGACCAACTTTGAGAAAGTCACCAGAAGTATGGTTGAGGACATCAAGACCAGTAGCCACATCGACACTAAGAATCTGGCCTGCAATGGTTGCCATCTGACTGGCTGTTCCATGCGATGAGTAGGTGTCTTCGCGCGATACCCTATTGTATAAAATACGGCTCCCATCGGGCGACCAGGAAGGTGTACCGAGAGAATATCCATCTTCAGTGATGAGCTGGCGGAGGTCGGATCCATCAGGCCGGACGACGTAGATTGACAGCGTCTGAGTATGCTCCCAGCCTGTCCCTTCTCCGTGACCTGTCCATTCTGTGTTGCGATCAGAGCTAAAAGCAACCCATTCGCCATCCGGAGACCATGAGGGTCGGTAGTGACCCTGGGGAGCGACCTTGCTGGGGCGTGTAGACTCTGTGTCGGTCAGGTTATGGGCCACACCCGTGGTCAAGTCCTTGACCCAGATATTGGCGGTATAGTTTCCTTCGGTCGAAACATAGGCAAGCTTGGTACCGTCAGGAGACAGGACGCCAGAGTCCTCAAACCAGTCCGTTGACACAAGCGTCTCCAGTCCAGTACCATCGGGTTTCACGCGGTATAGGTCAGACTGACCATCGCCGCGCCGTTCGCTAGTGAAGATGATCCAGTTGCCGTCGGCCGACCAAGAAGGGTGATAGTCCATGACCCAGGTCTGATTGCTCATCAAAGGAGCTGCGTTACTACCGTCGGCATTGGCGATGTAGAGCTGCGAGCCGCCAGGGGCAATTCGATTCATGTAGAAGATACCAGCTTTGTCAGTCGTTGTGTTTTGAACATGAGTGCCAGCATCGGCTGTGGTGGTTGTGCGCCCCCCAGCATAGGGACAAGCGCCAAAGGCGCCGCCCGTAATGAAGCCAAGGATTCCGACGGAGAATAACCAACGCATCTTGGATACAACGACGGTGAGGACCGATATGAATAGAGTAGGAATGCAGTCGAGTCGCTGTCAAGTGAGGCTTGATCAAGACTTCGACTGGGCGTCGAACATCTTAGCCACGCGCTTGGTCGCTCGTACCAAGAGAGCTTTATACTCCTCACGAATAATAGACCCCCGTCGAGGCCCCTGCTGTCATCTCATGGGGCAATGGGTCCAGTTGCTCGCCTCTCCGTTCAGACCCATCCTTACGCCGAGCTCATATTTGCATCTAACATAAGAAGCTACTTCATGCCACGGCTTCGTGTCTTGGCATTACCACGTTGAAGGTAGAAATAGTGGATCTTTTGCGAAATGGAGGGATTATCCTTTACTTGATTTCACCAATGCCGGATTCTTTAGATATAGGCGGAGTTCTATTGGGGCTTGGACCCACATTCCGGAACCTCCACCCTGGCGCGAAGCTTTCGATCTCCGAGCTAGAAATTTGGCAAAGATCCTAGTTACCTGTTTGCCGTATCTGGCACCATTTACCAGCCTTTGGGTTTGATGATTGCGCAACATTTCCACCGTTATACCTGAATATGCTGAGAGATTGTCATTTACGTCAATTTCACTGTGCATTCCAGAACTCAACTGGAAGCAACAAGTAGGAGCCAAAAAGGTGCAAGTGTTGAGGGGCGATTGCGAGCGTTGGTTAGCCTTGAAGATCGTTCCTTGATGTATGCTAGACTGATACATATGCTGGAAGAGGCCCTTGTCGTATCGCGAAGTGGGAAAGAGATTGCACGGGAGGCATTTTGTTAATGAGAGCCAGAAACTTTGTTCGGACGACCGAGTATAGACTCGGCTGCAGGGATTTTCTTTGGTGATTAGTGCAATTGCTCGACCAATCAGACCGTGTAGTCTTCAACAATTTATCCCAAATAAAGTATAGTGCAATTCTCGTAATCGGTGCCAAGGCAGCGAATGATCTTTCTGTAATATGGACTCGGATTTAAAAGTTCAGGGGTGAAAACATCGCTGGGCCATGCATAGATTGAAACGCGCTATTTCGACAAATGCTCTCAATTTTGTGTTATTATTGCTTCCGATGTAGTGAATTAGCCCATTATTATAATTGCACAAATTAAATCTCAATTGCGACTATAATAAATTCTATTATCGTGTGTTATATCGGAAGAAGCACCGGAGGGCATCAAAAATGGGGGGAGGGGTCATTAGCCGGGCTGCATATTCCTAGCATATGCGGTGTTAATACTGACTTTTGTGTAGCCACTGTAAGGTTCGAATCAAGAGGAATTTTTATGCCTGCTTGTTTCCAAGAAGAAACTGTTTAGACACCTACCAATGCCTCAATCAAAATTTCCAACATTATTGGGCTGAACAGGCCGTTGACCTTTTTTTTCATCTTTTTTTTTCTCAGGCCCAAAAATTTCCGATGGAGAGTGAACGCGATCCGTAAGCTCTTGCGATCATCAACTCATCAGCTGTCTGCTCAGTCGATGTGCCTAGCTCGTTGAGCTACACTATCATTGTACAAAATTTCAGGGTCAGGAGCAGAAAATTGAACGAGGTGTTATCGCATCTTTCCGACAATCTAGCTCTGAGCTCGATGAGGGCCTAGTCGAGCTGGCATGAGTGATTCATCGAGATTCCGTGCTGCGAACGGCCTACTATGGGATAATGAGTGGCTCTGATCCACTACGCCATATCTACATCATGCCGTATTTGCTTGGAATGGCCTGTGTTCAAGCGCTTTGTTGTCACGCCAATTTGTATCTTGAGGTAGAGGTCAAGCACTTTCGTTTCATAACGCATCTCGCTGGCTAGTAGCAACGTGAAAATTACCCTGGTCATGCTGGTGATGTCTTTCAATCCCCTCGTGGCTAATCGCAAAGCAAGACTATATTCTGGGCATGGATTGCCGTGAAGTCTTTGTATCATGTATGCCAGCTGCACGTGATATCGAATCCATCCTCATCGCTCGACCGAGCTAGATCCCTGCAAAGCGCCCGAGTACAAACTTTATGCAGTTTCTATCAGACCAGACTTACTCTTCACTCAATAGTAAACCCATTTAAAAGCATGTGAGGCGGCAGCCGTACTGGAAACAACTGCTATTGAGAACCTGATGTCTGTTTAAGTCGTAGACACGTTTCCACAGCTTGTTCGAACATTCACTCTTACAAGTCCATTTTCTACAATCTCCTATCACTAGAGGCATGGCATGTCTTTCAGAAAACTCCAAGTGTCTGGTACAGCGAGGATAGTCGATCCTATGTCCTCGGATGGCATTAGCTAGGAGGCCCTATGACCATTTCTTCGAATCTGAGGGCAATATCGGGGCGACGATATATACCTATAACATCACGACATCACCGAGAATAGATTCTGGCTCCCAATCTAAGTTGTTCTTTTTGATAGTCTCCGGCGCTCTGAGAAGTATTACAAGAAAGTTGCGGACGCTATGCTCGTTGAAAGCATCAAACAATATTTGACACGGTTTCAAATCGTTCAGCATAAAAAGCCACAAGTAAGATCTTATGATAAGCCAGTAATGTTTTCAATGACTTTTTCACTAAAGGTAAACTCAGGAGGTCGTGGTGTCGTCATCAAATCTGGAAGGGGAACCCCAAAGAAATCAGCTCAGACCCACAGACTTGGACTCATCTCTCTAGGCTGGGAGTGCCCGTCTGGACTTTTCAGAACGTTTCGGCATTAAACTTTTGCCCTATTGTATGAAGAAGCTAACTATTTTTGTCATACCAGTATCTCAGGCAGGCTTTTCTAATTGTGGGATCAAGAAGCCGACAGAGAAGGATCCTCTCATAATTGCTGTTTCTGAAAAGTCCTTCTCCAAGGGGTTTGGATGTCTAGTCATCTCAAAGTCTTTTTATTACGAATAACACGACTCTATGCCCAACGAGCCCAGGATCTGTGTGCAAGGACTTCAATTATACCACACTTCATCTTACGGTTCTTAATGGTAGCGCAGATGATATCGGTGCCCTGCTAGAAAAGGGTGCTGATCCCTGTGCCATTTCAATAAAGAGTATATTTCTGTACGAGTATTTGCCAAAATCATATGTATAGTTGGAAGGTTTAAAGCCAACAAGCATACTCATGACATTATCTTAACTCTTCAGACGCTTGAAATTACTCTTTGAGCCAATACCAAGCAGCACAGTAACATACAACCACTTTCTACACTTGATCAGAGCTCAAACAAACTTTGCTCCACTTGCTGGCAGGTAACGAGGAGCTCATGACGGATCTTCGCATATCTTCAAATCTGTCCTAGAAATCCGTCGTCGTTTAAGTCTCCATATCAACTCTCCAGACATTCACGGAGACACTCCACTTCACTACGTTGCTATCCTCCCGAAAAGCCGACATCTATTCATCTGCAGTCAACTACAGAGCATGGGTGCTGATTTGAGAATGTGCAACGTTCACGGAATGACCCGAAATGATGTCAGGACTTGGGGCCACCTACATCGACATTCAAGACCGGAAAGTGGCAAGAGCGAGAGCGAAAGAGGAGAGCGATAGTGAGGATGACAACAGTTATAGCTGTCGAGCGATGTCAGGAGCTTATGTACAATTGTTCTTCAAAACCGACATCCGAGACAAGCTCCTTTGATGGCAGAACAAAAGATTCTAATACAGTATAATTTGCGAGGAGCATGGTGTATTCTCGTGCTTCTGGACGGCTCTGCTAAAGGGCGTTCGTTTAAGCAAGCCTGGAACGTGGAAAAGGGGAAGATGGTTTATTTCGACGACAACAGGCGGGTGCGCCTTTAGTATTGGATCTTGATATTAGACATGTCCGTGCGTGTGTTGGATCGAAGGGTTGTATAGTTGTTCTCCAAGGAAATATCATCACAATCAAGCTTAAAACTCGAACTTAATAGTAACTCCAAGAGATAGCATACATCCGCTTCATCTCGTAGCCTTCATCACACCATCCACGAACATCTCTCTAACAGGTTTCTTCTTCCGCGCGACTTACACGATGAAGGTCAAGAAATGGCCAAATGACATGAAGCAACGACTGCCGGTCAGCACGAGTGCCGTTTAGTATCCCGAAGATGATCTGGATAGAATTTTCCATCGTCGTCACACGCACCCCGACCAAGGCCAGTAGATTAGTATGTATACCAGGAGGGGAGAGCAAGAGTGGGGTGATCAAGAGCAGAGATTTACAAAGAATGGTCGGCCGGCGATATGGAAACGGAGGTGAAAGTTGCGACCTTAGGGGTTACCGAGCCCCGCCACCGTCAGTATTCCGTATCGCAGGTTGAGGCTTATCCAGGGCAGGCCAGCAGAGAGGCTCGTCTGCCCTCTCAATAGCCATGAGTCCGCTTCGTAGTTTGTTCAGGGCAGAACGGACACGATGCCGGGTCCTCCAAGAGCTTTGGTTATCACTGGCCGTTTTGAGACCCGCCAATGCTCGCCACTCGACTTGCCAGCTCAGCAATGTGTTTTAACCGATTTAGTCATTATCGGGAACCATTACTCATGCACACACCACCACTAATTTTGATGCCAAGCAAAATCATGTCTATACTCTTGACGACATGGTTGATGTTATGGGCGAATTGCCACGCTATTATCCAGCATGTTGCTTTATCAGCAATGGAACGAGGCTCTTGCATACGCTCTTCCTGGGGGAGAATAATATGAAAAGTAATCGTTTCGGCACCGTTTTCTACTACGAAAATGTCAAAGGTTCATTTGGGAAACAGAGGTATTGTCATTTGAAGCTAACATCGCTAATCCTTGCGCGTTGAAATTTGGCGCTGAAGTCTCAGACTGGTACAGTAGATTGGACGTCCGCCGACCAAATAAAGCGAATTGTTGATACGAGTAGAACGGCCTCGACCATCCAAATAGTTCAATTTGATTATTCCAATTTCTGCAGAGAGACACCAGGTTTTGCCAAATTTCTGATTATCGTTGTGGACGCCACTCCACGAAAGTGGCGTCAAACGACTCCTAAGTTCTTCGGACTGATAAGGGCTGACATGCATTTAGTCGTGGATCACTCTTATTACTACGCTTGTAGATATATCAAGTATCTCCTAGACGAATGATTTGAGACACAGGTAACAAAGTTAAACACTAGACACTAGGGCTGTGTGAGGCGTAAGATCATTACACCCATCGCGACTCAGCTGAGACACGCATCCACCTAGGTTGCTTCTTAAAAGACTCCTTTGCGGGGTTTTGCTGTGATTAAACTTGAAGGCTTGCGTTTGAGAATCGAGCAATATTTGAATTACATGTGGCGGGTTGATTTGAGACAGTCGTTCATTCGTAATTTGTACTTGTACCGTTATGCTCCATCCGTGTCAGCAACTAATAGTTTCGCGTTCCTGTATTTCTAAGGAACTTTTGATATTCAACAAACCCACGAGCCTCTTTGAAGTGGCTCACTACGTGCTACTCGACTACCGTGTAGCGAAGTCATCAAAGAATAGGCTTTTCATCAATCTTTGATATTGGGTCTGCGTTTCAACGCCATTGTCCCTCTCACGAACTGGCGTGAGCGTGTCCGAAGCTCTCTGCCCCCTCGTGTAAGAAATCGACCGATCGCCATTATGAGTTCAGTACAGTCACAGAAATCCTCGTTTCAGACGATGTTCCGGCCAGTGCATCCTCTGGAAGAAATACCAAGGGCTAGACGCCGCTCAATTATGATATCACTCAGAGCACATCCAAAGGTCGCAGCATACTGTTTCGCTTTGAGTCTATCAGCCCTTTTGACTGGTTATGATGTAGTTATCGTCGGCTCGATAACAGGACTACCCCTTTTCCAGTGAGAGGATGAAGACACCTACATACTGTCCATTTGAACAACACTGACAATGCGCCGTAGAAAGAATTTTGGTGAATCCCGTGGGAATATTCCCATAATACCGTCCCTATGGCTTGCACTCTGGAGCGCCTTGACTTTTTTTGGTCAGATGATTGGCTCGATCCTGGGTGGATGGTTGCAAGACAGGAAGGGGCGACGCCCAGCATTGCTTCTGGGTAGTAGTGTATCAGCAGTAGCTATCGCACTATGCTATACATCCGATATACCTGTCGAGATCAACGCTCGACGGGGTTTATTCCTCGCCGGCAAAATTGTCATGGGGGTTGCACTTGGTATATTGATGTCAGCAACCCAAACAATCATTTCAGAGTTAGCTCCACCTCCCCTCCGAGGTCCAGTGCTGGCTCTGATCCCGACGAACACCCTTCTCGGGCAGCTCATAGGGGCAGGTGTCGTGTTCGCCCTCTCTCACAATCCGACGCGGTGGTCATACCTAATAGCTATTGCAACTCAGTGGCCATTGTCCTTGCTAATCTTCTCGATCGCCCTTACCACACCAGAGAGCCCGGTCTACCTTATTACTAACGGCCAGTATAGCAGAGCCTTGAGATCATTAGCGAGACTGCATACTTCTAGGGTCGACCTGCCGACCAAACTAGAGCAAGTCCGACACTTCGTCATTCATGAAGAGAACTTCTCCCATGCACACGCCTATTTGGACTGCTTTAGACCCAAGCATAGACGTCAGACTATGATAGTTCTCTTTGCTGGGATTATACCACAATTATTTGGCCTTACCATCTTATCGCAAGCGAGTTACTTCATGCAAATAGTGGGCATGGCACCAACATTGAGCTTTATTGTCCTTATATGTGGAATCAGTCTTGGTCTTATTGCAAACATCGCTGGGATCTGGACACTTAGCAAGATTGGGAGGCGCAAATTGATTCTCACATCTTTGTTGGCGTCAGCATTACTTTGGTTGGGTATGGGTATTGCTGGGTTCTGGTCAGGACAAATCACCATTTGGTAAGAGAGCTTCCATTCATCCCGGTGTTGCAACACTACTTATTTCCATACAGGTACACAGCTGGCACTTTGATGGCAGTGGTAGTTGTTAATGGTCTCGGCTCGTGGCCGGCTTCGTTTGCCGTAGCGGGCGAGACATCTTCGCTTCTGCTTCGCGCGAAAACTCAAGGTCTCAACTGGTTTACGAACAGTCTTCTTTCCGGTATCCTGAGCATTGCAATACCTTATACGTTTAATCCAGATGCTGGCAACATGAGAGCCAAGACGGGGTTTGTCTTTGCAGGTCTTTGTCTTGTTGGTGCAATGGTAGCTTGGGTAATTGTTCCGGAGATGATGCACCGAGACCATGCAGAGATTGAGAAGATGTTCGAGCTTGGCGTTGGAACTCGAGCTTTCAAAAATTGGTCTGCGTCAGACGATACTCAAGAACTCCGAAGTATGTAGCATTGGAAATCAAGTAAATGAATTTACTTGATGGGCTGAAAGATTATCGGCGTGTATTCATAGTTTAGTTTACATTGTATTCAATCAATCGCAGAGCTTGCCTGATCCGGCGCTGGCCATGATGTCATCGCCAACCCTAACTCTCATGTTAAGAGGGCTTCGAATTGACGCTGCTGGACTCCTTCGCTGCATTTTCGAAGCGTTGCGATTGGAAATTGATTTTAACGCACCTAGTTTCAGAGGTTTCGCAGAAACCATATCCAGGAGCGACCGCGAGCATGATAGGCTTTATGCCTGTCTTTCTGGTGGAATCTCTTGGCATCAATGTTGGCTTCGTACGGAGTACTGAGGAACCAGACAAGAACCACTTGATACATAATTAGCCGTTAGCGTCAATGCTAGAGCCTGGCACAATGCCTCACACTCATCCTTGGCCACTCGGGACGTGATGATATGTGCACCTTAAACTCAGATAGGACAATATTGAACATCGGCAGAAGATTAGTACTAGGTATCGTGGTTCCGGTTCCCCGGTGCTGTGTTATTGGTTAATGTACCACCACACTCCGCCTCTGTTTCGAAGCAGTTTATCGGACGCTTAACGTTAGACTACTCGGAGTATTTCGCCAAGAGGTCCACAAGCCAGCAGCCAAATTTAGTGCATCTGCCCAAACCGCCATCTCCAGCTTCTTCCGCTTATTCGTAGATACGAATATTCTGGTCACTTGCTCAAATCTGGATATCGCTCAACATTGCAGGCGATACTTTGACCTTATTTGGTAAGCAAAATACTTAAATCTACTTTATCCACTCATTCAAGATATCATTTGCTTCCGAAAAGCAGCTCGTCGAAAGCAAATAATGTTGGCCTTATGTGTCGACTCCGTGGCTAGACGGGGCGGCACAGCTGACAAACACCCACGACATCTGGGAACTATTCGCACACATATTAAAAAAAGTCGCTGTGTCTCATAGCAAAAGAAAAGGGTTTGATATCGACGCGGTCGGCCAACCTTCCAAAAAGGAAAGCGTGATTCAGTCAGAGCTAGTTGGTCCATTTTTGCAACTGTGATAGTCCAGCTCATGCGACGCATTACATAGCCTGTGGTTTTCGAATAATGCCAATATTTGAAGTATTAAGAGCCATCATTATGCTTCAACAGCTTATTTCTTCTTCTTTTGTAGTTTTATAGCAAGCTACTGGAATACATAAACTACAATCTGACTCGGACCTGGTGCATAGACCGAGGAACAAAGCCGCTGAGTTTCCAAAGAATGCGGAGTTGAGAGCTGGACGCTGTCGTGTATTTTATTCAACCCGGGCCAATGATAGAGTCAACTTTAGACAGAATAGCCCTAGGGAAATTGCAAACGAATATTGGTGGATGGGAGCACCCGAAGACGCCATGACCAACGCGCTCGCACTGCGGACCTTTCCCCCCCTTTCAGTATGACTAGTACAATATGACACCACGCACGGTGGTAAATGCCCTTTTCCTGAAGTGATAGTGCCCTGCAGCTTAGATTATCTATGAGACAATTACTTCGCTTGCCGTGTTTTGTGTAGTAGTGATTGTCACGCAATATGCACACCCGGCAATTGAGAAAGCTACAGATCTGATTCTATACTAAAGATATACACTGAATTATGCGTTCCTTTCAAGCGTCCCTCTCAGTCGTAGGCTATTTTGATTGTTCCTCGATACATCCAACCGTATTATCACATCACTTTCAATAAATACTCGCCATCGATCATCAGACTGAACAGATGGTGCGTTCCTGCCAAGGTCCACCAACCAGGAACTGAAAACTCCCATCCAAGATGCAAGTGGCCACACCTACCAGGACCTAATGCTTGTTTTATCCAAGCGAATAATATAGCTGGATGATGAGCTCATATTTGCCTATTCGTAATTCGCCAAATTGTACCGCAAGCAATAGTCAAGTACTTTGTATACACACATTACAGCTCAACCAAGCATGCAGAACACCTGGTATGATGTTCTTCTAGACAACAGTTCGCTTGCATCATGGCGTTAGATGGCGTGAGATTCCACTACTGCCACAGATCCGGTCTGGGTTTTATCGAGACGCGATGCAGCCTCCCATCGAACAGATTTGAGCTTGCTGTGGGAGTGGCTGGAATGCTTATTGTCATACCCATTTCCATTGGAACAATCTAACATGACTTGCATCGTCACATGCATTTACCCACCGCTAGTAGAAAAGCAAGCCACGTTCTGTGTGAAATTTCCGCATTAGAACCCCTGAGTCGTCGTTGTTGAGTTGAGCCCGCGAGATTGTCATGAATATCATTGCCGAGAAGTGTTCTCGCATGTTCTGAGCCCCGATGACTCTAATATTCTTGGTTTGCAAGGGTGTGTAAGCATTACGCACTTTGCTGATCGACTGTCCTTCACACCTATTAGTGCTCAGATAAGCTAGTGATGCTGCAGAGAAACTGTGCCCGGATAGACAATCTTGTACTGGGATGTTGCTTGAGTACGGACACGTGTTTGAGTCGTCACTCCGATTGTGCAGTTAAGGGGGCCATTATAACTGCTCTGTTATTCTCCCAAGAGCAGGGGGGGGTGGCGGTACAATGAAAATTCTTCCATCCAAAGTGTTTGATTTGTGGTCGTGTGAGGCTGCGGGCCTACATTTTCGAAAAGTGTAATTCGTGTGAGCGTTTACTAGAGGATGGATGAGCCGTGACCACCCCATGACATGCTCAAATGATGGTGTAAAGGAAGTGTGAAAGCGTCCGCAGAGGAAATGATTATAAAAAGAAGAGCTTACGTTGCGATCTTGTTCTTGCAAACTTTCCGAACAACAGTATCCTACTGAACACTTCTTGTTTTCGTCACCTTTCAGTTGCTCTTTTATCAGTAGTCTTCAAAACCTTCTTCCCCTGTCTAGTCGAAGACAACCTCTCTACAACATCCAAGATGAGATTCTCAACGTCCATTGTGCCATTGGTTCTTGTGACTTCTGCTTTCAGTAGCCCTATAAGTGTCGACTCGATCGTCACCGATAGGACCACTGATAGTTTCGAGGAAGCGGTCTATGAAAATGGCCTAGACGCGAGACAGTCGGCCAGCCTCACTGCGAACGAGTTTACCAACGGTGGTTGTAAGAGCGTCGTGCTTATCTTCGCGCGTGGTACTGCTCAACTCGGCAATCTCGTGGGTCGTCTTGCTTGACTTGTTGACAAATACTGATTCCTTCGATAGGGTGCCACACCTGGGCTTCAACTGTATAATCAAATCAAGTCTGCTCTCGGAGCATCAACTATTGCTGTTCAAGGTGTCAACTACGACGCAGAGACAGCGCATGGTACCTTGCCAGAAGGCGTGGATGCAACCGCAGCGGCGAACATGGCGACACTGATCAGGACCGTGGCCAATACATGCCCTAGTGCAAAGATTCTGTTGTCGGGGTATAGCCAAGGCGCAGCCATGGTACATGCGAGTGTGAAACGATTATCGACAACTGTCCAAGCGAGAATCAATGCCGCCGTAACGTTTGGTGATACGCGTAATGAGCAGGATGGAGGCCAAATTCCAGGAATTTCAGCCGACAGAACTCTGATCATTTGTAACGACGGAGACTTGGTTTGTGACGGCACTTTGCAGATTACATCTGCGCATTTGGCCTATGGGTCGAGGGTCCCGGAGGCTGTTTCGTTCCTGACATCGAAAGTAAACTGAAACTTCGTCGCCTAAGACCTAGATTGTTGATGTCTGATGAATATTCGAGGACACGGATGGATGGGAAGGGAGGGGTACTGTGTCAGTAATATCTGGAGATTTTCGTTACATCTGGGGATTTATGGGGGTACAAGTATGGTTATTATCCCCGATAGTTTTGATTTCGTCTCAGTACTTCGATTTTCCAAACACGATTGCTTTTCGTTCTTATCAGTATCATGCTCTTCTTTGATCGACGTTGTATAACTCCATTAATTATATTGAATCTACCAATACAATCTATCTTACGTATTGACGACGACGGGAATGGAAGGTGTTATCTAGGCAGCTCCAATCGCAAAACCCATTGCCGGTGCTCCTCAGCCCGATCTAAAAGCTCTTGCAGGCACCTTCCTAAGTGAGTAGTCAACGCCAGCGACCCGCAAACATGTCAATTAGGACAAATCTCAATATGTATTATCAATGACACAGCTCGTAAAGTAATATACGGAAACCTTTTCATAAAAGTTAATACAAGAAAAACGACTGGTAAATATGTATTAGATCCGACATAATGCCCCCAAATATGCTTTTCTTATTGATCATGATTTTCTCTGAATCTGCATCTGTGCTTCCCTACTTCATGTATTTATTTTATTATTATCTAGCTGTAGAATACACGCAATATCAATTTAGAAACTACTACTATTTCATACATTTCATTTGCCTTCTTTTGGAAGTAATTCTCATGCAAGCCACGTCGATGCTCTTCAATTCTCCAAACACACTAGAAAATGGTATTCACCGCCTGTAATTGATACGTCATCAAGAATTCCAAACCATTATATTGCCTCCTTACAAAAAGCGAAGATAGATCGACATGTGGCTTCTTCAGTTGAAGGCATTAAAGTTGAGCTACTTTATGCCAATATTCTCCGTAAGGCATAGAATAATATCATCACCGTTCTTAAGCCCTGCTGAAAGCGTCCCCGAGGCAGTTATACCCTATTACGCATTTGTGGGTCATTGTCGACCAAAGTTTGTTATTCAGACTCTACTGTTTACATCTAAAAGATTTACTAATGAATGAATTGTAGTAGATGGTATACAACGTGATGCTTTTTGCATGAATCTTTTCGCATAAAATCCAACTTAATATCTTTCATCACTAGATATTAATTGATTATTTCTCAGAATAACGTTAAATCCGAGCATTAATTACTCTAAGTCCCAGGATCTTACAACATCGACCCACGCACAAAAGGCTTGGAGTAAGCGGCGGCCATGTAGTAAGTTGTGAGGTCTCGCTAGTATTACATATAAGGTACAACTATTCAACAATTGAGCTTGCAAACGATTTCATTATAACAAGTCAGATACCAGAGGCAATTCCAATCGAGCTAAAATTTCAAGATTCATGACATCAATATTGAAAACCAAGCTAACTTATGATAGAACACACACATATACGAAAGACCAAAATTATTCTACAGCCACCGCCCAAACCAATTCAAAACTTGTGCTTCAGTGCCCTCCAAGCATGCCCGTTCTAAAGGATCATCAGGATTGCCTCTGACACCGAAACCGTGACGACCAGGCGTGTAAGTCTTGTGTTCCATTTCAGGCACAGAGTTTCCCGCTTCACTGGCCTTTGAGTGAACTTCCTCGACCTTTCCCTTCAGCTTGATACTCACAGCAACGTCCTCCACCCCCCACCCGTAGCTGGTTGGCACCACCAAATCTGTGACGTCCTCCGGGATAGAGAGGTTGCTAGGGTGCAAAGCCACCACAGCATCTACAAGCGACACCGATTCATCATTGAGTTGAATCATGCTGCTTTTGAGTCCAGCACGAATAGCATACCTGCCGCCCCAGCAATAGCCCACCATACCAATTTTCTGGCTTCTAGGAGTTGCACGCCGAAGGGATCCCAGAAAGTCCATGCAAACTTTGTTGGTAGGTCCCTGTTTATGTCGAGACATCCAAAATACGAAAGACGGCATACTGGCCAGTATGCCTGTGTATTTGGAAAATGTTGATTGCTTTGTGGCGTCGACAGGAATTAATACATCCGCAACCTTGAGCTCTACCGGGTCACCCTCAAAGAAATCTGGTAGGTAGACTAGATACTGCCCGCTTCTAGCGTACGCGTCGGCAATGAGTTTGTTGTTCGGGAGTGATAGGCCAAATACGTCTGAATACATGACCACAATAGCTTTTGGGTCAGTCCGATTCCCCACTACATAGGTGTTGAGGCCGTAGATAAATTCTTCTTTCCCTATGGGCTGACCATTGTGGATCGAGCCCTGAACATTGCGTTAGTTGGAGCACAAGCGGGCTGACAGTTGATTTCAAAAAGCTCACCTTGATACATTCTGCGCATGATGATCCCATACTGTAGTGGCCAAGGTCCTACGTCTAACTCAGACGATACCGTGGCTTCTCTGGTGCTGCTTCGGATCTGTGGTTGGGTTGGACGGGGTAACTAAACAAATTCAAGCGAAGTCATGAATTTTCAAGGTCGACACACTGACAAGTGAGTCAAGTGCTGCGGAGAAGTTGGGAATGGGGATCTATACTTATAGACCACACGAAGTAGTCCCTCCACATCCATCTGACACGTTACTCCACCTTGTCATGTTGGCTAACTTTAGTTTAGGCCCACCAAGAGTTGAAGAGCACTACACTGGGACGCATAATATCTCCAGCTGATCTAAACGATAGGGGAGACACAAACATCCATGATATCGAACTGTATCAAGGTGGAGGTGAGGGCGGTTCCGTGTGGCAAAGCGGCCAAACTTAGAGTTCAACAGTGGGCCCCAGGTTTATGTCCCATGTCTAGCGCTGGCACTAGACAAAGCTGACGTTGAGGAGCAACAGGGCTCCTCGCGCAATGAGCCGCAAAAGGGATAGCGTACGACAGCATAATCTGCAAGCCACACTTTGTCAGATATCTCGCGCGATTGCTGAATGTCAGCATCGGCATCCCGTAACACGAAAGAGTACGAGGTGGCTGAAAGTGCCAGAGCATTTTAGTGTCACACTCCCGTATATGGAACTTGTAGCTACGCCATGGTTAATATCGGAGGTCGATCGAAAGGGTGCACAACTTGTCGAAAAAGGCGTGTCAAATGCGGTAAGCTCGCCCATCTGTTAACGAACGCCTAGTGGCAGCTGAGATGTCATTGAAGATGAAACACGACCTGTTTGCATACGTTGCCAAAGATGGAGCCTCCCGTGCGATGGCCCAAAGTCCATCACCTTCATACACCACGGCCTTCAAAAGTGCAGAGAAACTGGCCAACCGTCCATCATACCCAGAGATTCTGACACCACTGAATATACACATGAGTCCAAGACACAGACATTGATACCCACCATGCTAAGTATCGGTGGCCCTGGAGTTTATATATGCTATACTCTAAAGCATATGATGCGTGATGGTCTGATCTTCTCAGCGATACAAGATCTCAGATATGATGACCTCATTTCTTACGAAAACGCGGTGTCTCCTCGGCGAGTCTCTAATCAAGCAATCATGAGCTTTGCAACTATTCTTTTTGGAACCCAGCATCAACGGGCTGATATCACAGGACAGGGTTTTGCCATGCATGGGATAGCTCTCAAGAATCTCAATCAAGCATTGTCGAATGCTTCATCTAGCGCATACGACGAGATTATACTTGCTGTTGCCGCCTTGGCTATCTCCGAATGCTTGGTTCCTACTGGCCCTGAAAACTATTTGACACATATGATGGGCCTTGAGCTTTTGATTGAGCTTCGTGGTCCCCAAATATTCTCACTCCGCAACTCCGGGTTTCGCAAGGGCGTAAGGTTCATGGTTCTCTTTGCATCGTTACAACTGAAGCGAGAATCAATATTTGCACGTGTGGAGTGGAAAAACGCGATGAGCCACGGCATGAAATTCGAAGAGCTGCAGGAACAAGACCTCTTCGACACGCTGGCATGTTGCACCACACTGATTGCGAAGTGCGACGAGATCAAGAAGGCCAATAATATCGGTGGAACACAGTTCACACTCGATCGGGAAAATATTTATACACAGGCGCGATGCTTACAAGCCCAACTGTATGCATGGCGCAAGCGGTGGGATAAATGTGCAGAAACACGTGCTTCTGAAGTCTGTACTCAGAAATACCCAACAAGGTCCTCTCAGGGAGAAAATACGGAATTGCACTCAGCGTTCAACCCCCAGACCGATAATCCGATTGTCATGATCATATTGTACAATTTGACACTCATTCTCGTTCTGCAGATCCTGATTTCACTTGCTCCCGAGTCTAAACTCAACCCAAACACATGCAGGCATCTGAGAACTCTAGATCACACCTGTGAGCTGGTTGAAGAGAAGGACTCCAGCGAGGAACGAACGACAGCTTTGATCCTCTGCCAAAACATCCAGCATTACTTGGATGAAAACAAGCGTTTGGATGCAAGCGCTCCACCAATTGTTCATTGGGCGCTTCTCACTGCGTGGAAGAGGCTTCGGTACGATGTTTCCGATGAAGGACAGTGGATGAGAGAACTACTAAGCACCAAAGGGCGACAGGTAGTGGCCAGAGGATTATGGGCAACCTACAAATGGCTGTGTCAAATAGCCGAGTAGCCGAGTGATGACAGGTTTATTAATATGATCATCGTGACGATGAAAACATGATATTATTTATGTTTTAATAATGAAATATTAAGCTTGATAGTAATATCTAGCGTAAAGGCGGGGGTATTTGAACCTGTCTGCTGCGCCCTCAACCAATTCGGCTGAAGAAAACTTCTTGAAAGTACGTGCGTTTAGCCTTCCTTAGTAAGAGAATCATACAATCGCAACATAGACGTGTGGTGACGAGGAGAAGCGTTGCTAGGACAAAATATGACGAGCTATCAGCCGGTGGTTGTAACTTTCGGTTCGGTATGCATTATTCTGGCTTATGGTAACAGACTTAGGTTTCTGCTTGATTACGGATGTAAGCAATATAAAACGAAGTATAATCGGAAAAGTGGCATTTAACAGCACATTATTAGGCATAACTGTCTGTAAATCTGGACCTGAATCTTGCATAGATATATGTGCAACCGTAAATCGATTATCTCGAGTTAATGCACACGGCCGTCGCCGCCCATTATACGGTTTTAGAAGCACATGACTTAATCAAAATCCCTTCCAAATCCTGATATGATATCAGCTGCGCCTCAAAATTGAGTAAAAAGCTTGGTTGTCATTCCGTTCATGGAATCGATTGCAGGCAAAAGCATAGCCCACACTAATTCGAGATGTACCAACAAAGAATAGTGTAGGTTGGCAAGCTGATGTCTGCTTCTTGACCGCCCGAGAACTCAGCTAAAGTGGCCCGTGATTTTTCTCGGGTTATAAATTATGAGATCTGACGTGGTTAGTTCTTACTGATAACTCTGAGAGCCTAATGAAAGGCTGTACTTAAAGACGTAAATATTGACTTGAACTGCAAAGAAAGGCTATATCCAGTAAGCTACTAAATACCACCATGCACTTGACATGTACCAGGGCGGGAACGGAGCTTTAATATTGAGTAAATCGACTGATAGCTTTCACAGGTTTTGCCTCGGATTATTGGACTATTCTCATTTCCGTCGTTATTGTTTATGGAGGCCTTTCATAGCCCTGGGTCACCCATTGAGCACATTTGACATGTCATAAAGTGCGTTCACCCGTCTCTCAGATTTAAGGGACAATGTTTCTCTAGGATAAAATTAAAAAGAAATGCCACAGAACACCCTCACCGAGCACCGGTACATGAATCGACAGCTATTTCCGTGTGCATCATCCACAATTGATTGGCTGATGTGCTTAACCTTTTGCCCACCGGGGAGATCTTGAAACGCCTTAGACGGCTTCTGAACCTGATGCATTCGAGCTCCTCCAATTCTTTTTGAGGAAATCGTCAAATCCTCCCGCGTTGCTTTATTCCATCGAATGCGGTTTGGATGACAAAATCCGCCCTTTGGAACCCAAGACTGCTCATTCCATATCACCATCCACACCCACATTCCCATTGCTCGAATTTGAACTTGCTTCGCTGCATTCAAAGATATATCCCAGGCTAGTGCCGATTGATGATAAAAAGCTTGCCTCCACAATATCAGGATCGTCGAAACACTTTCAGCGAAATAGTAGAGGACAGGAAGAAAAATGGGCTCTTTCAGATGGATCATGGTCTTCAATAGACATGACTGAAATGCTGACGGAGAAATTCCACGACTGCCTACCCGAGTACATCGCTCATCAGACCCCAGGCCAGGGGAAGGGTCTCTATTATGTGCGCAACATTTGTGATCCTCGCTTTTATCAGCTGCAAATGGGCTGTTAGATGCGTCTTCTCATTAGTAATAATTTTGCACTCTGTATTATCTCTTCGTACCTCACAAGGGATCATCCCCTCCTCGGACTTTTCGATGCGGATCTTTTATCTCCAACCCTGCCCAATGGGAACTACAATCTTACTCACCGCTCCTTTTAAGTTCGCTGATGTGCTATGCTTGTGTAAATAGCTTTATAATTTCAAGTTGTTACCAATATTCCCTAACTTGAATTTCCGACCAGATCCCGTGTGCTCCGATAGATGTTAGACCCTTGCCAATAAGCAACGCCTTCTTAACCGAAGCACAAATGTTGTGGTGCGCTGAGCGCTGAACCAAACGCCTGATGATGATGCTGCTGGTGTTATGAAAACTTGCACGATGGTCATTGGGCGTCGTAGAGATCAGTAATGTGGAGAGATGCTCAAAGAAGAACAATGGATGGCCGAACGAATAGATGTATTTGGTGTGTCATATGGTACTACCAGTGCTGCTTATTTTACGTTGCTCTCATCACAAGAGAAGAAACCCACTCATACCGCGTGGGGAGTTTACCGGTAGACCTGGTCAATATGAGCAACGATGAATCTTTCAATACGATTGAAGAGATACATACTTACTTACACAACCACACTACACGTCATGGTTCGCTCTACCTAAACGACGATCCGATTCTTTTTGCGCCTCTCTTTCAGATTCCAGGGCACTCTGATAGCCAAGAATTCTGAGAAACTCGGCGTTGTCTGGCTTGTACACCCAATCACCACATACGTCGGGCCTGTTTCCCCAGCACTTTGTGGTTTTTTTTGGTCCATGACGCAAGAGGTAATGGTAGTGTATTTCTGCCCGAGCGAAGACCCCTTGATGGAGCGCATGTCAATTACATTTGCAGAATGCAGATATCAGAAACTTCTGGATTGGTAATATACGTTAGCCTCAGAAACGCTTCAAAGGGATTTCAGCGCATTCGATGTGTTGCTCTTCGAGTAAGTTTAATCTCGCAAGTTATTCTTGCTTGGGTGACATATTCGACGTCTGACGCGCGTATGTAGGTCATTCTTCCCGGGTGCCATAATAAGCATATTCCGTCCTCTCCAATCGCAGGGAATAGTCTCTAGCTCGCCTCGTTATCATTCCGTAACAGTTCGCCAAAAGCAGATTTTCACTGTCTCACTCAATCAGTTGGAGCGCTTGGGGCTATTCGCTCCTAGTTACCACGATCCAAATCAGCAGCCCTGTGAATGTCTAGCGCTTTGATCCATATTTTCGACGCTTGGTTGCGAAATTTTAATGATAAAGTATGGAAGTGCTACTCCGCAATCTACCTTACGAAGGACCCTTGCCATGGCGCTGCGCGGCGGATCCCTTTTGAGCTGTCTCATGAATATCTGCCTACAAGCGAGCAAGCTAGAGCTGCCACAAACCCGTAAGGCAACATATTCGTACCCGGCTTTGACTTGGCAACGGTGGCAATATCTCTACCTTTAGCACAACAGCTCTGTATTTGGAGGACGACCGCCGATGCACGAAATGGAGGATATAAGCAACGACCTCAACCGTTTCTTGGTCGCTGGTCAAATCAGATAAAGACCACCACGTAAATATCTTTTCGGCTTAAACCATGAATGTTTTCGGAACACCGTAGCAATGAACGCTGTTTGTAGATTAGTGAGGTTGTAGTAGCACTTTGATATGGTCAGGGGCAAAATCAGCGCATTGGTGCAGGCATCGACATTCTATACAGTTTTTGACGAGGTGGTGATGATGACATTACTAATTTCCTATAGTTGCAGCAATTGACAGCAAGCGGAGCTTAGCGGAGGTTGAGCCGCACTCCAGAGCGAATACAGAGCTTTAGCTGCTCTAGGTCAAGTGTGCGAGCTTTCCGAATCTTCAACAAGATCTGCGTGGCAGAAGATGCTTTTAGCCAATGAGACATATGCGTCATGTAGCACTCATAGGACGGGTAGAACATTGCCGGGAGAAGGGTCCAATGAGGGCGTCATGTTTTACAAGAGCTCACGCCAGCGCTCCTGTGGTACTTCGGTCACAAATCCTTTGAAATGCGTACCATGAATTAAAGATTCTCTTGCTTTGAAAACTACCGCTACCATCATTTGTCCCGTTCTTCTCTCTGCACGCCGCAGAATAAGGTGCTGACTATATACGAACTATGGCGATAGTGGACCAGCTTGGCGGCGACCGCATTTCTGAGTATGCAACGGCTGCGCTAGTATTGGTATGATGACCATTCCCGACACTTTCAACAATCCACTAATTTCCAATTAAGATTGTCGGTTGGCAAATAACGGCCATAGTCTACAACCTCTACTTGCATCCACTGCGCAACTTTCCGGGGCCGATAACCAGCAGGGCATCCAGCATCCCCTGGGCCATCCGCCACGCCACGGGCGTTCAGTTTCTGCACACCCAGAAGTCGCACGATGAGTACGGGCCAGTCGTGCGCATCGGTCCCAACCACCTGTCCTTCACGGACGTGCGGGCATGGAAGGACATCTACGGCCACCGGGTCGGCGCCGAGAGCTCTATGCAGGAGATGCCCAAGGCCAGGCCCTTCTACAATGTGATCCGCGGCGTCCCGACATCCATCGTTACCGCCGATAGGGACGAGCACCAGAGGTTCCGCCGGGCGCTAGCTCACGGCTTCTCGGACAACTCCATGCGCGAGCAGGAGCCGCTGATTCAGCACTACGTAGACCTCCTCGTCACGCGCTTACACGAGGAGTGCGACCGCGGCGGCAAGGCGCTGAATCTGGAGGCCTGGTACAACTGGACGACGTTTGACGTCGTCGGCGACCTCGTCTTCGGGCAGTCCTTCCAGTGCCTCGAGAACGTGGCGTACCACCCGTGGGTCTCGTTCATCTTCAAGAGCGTCCGGTTCGGCTCCGTCGCCGTTGCGCTGACCTACGTCGGGCTCAACTGGCTCGTGCAGATCCTGTTCAAGCTCAACGGCTTCATGGCCATCAGCAACATGCGCCACCACATCAGGACCTTCGTCAAGAATCGTCTCAGTGTCGAGAAGGAGCGCAATGATCTCTTCGAGGGCATCGTCAGCAAGAGGAAGGAATGGAACATCTCGTTCGAAAAGCTGTCCTCGAATGCATTCATCCTAGTCCTGGCCGGCTCCGAGACCACGGCGACGACGCTGTCTGGCGCAACCTATCTATTGCTGTCCAACCCGGCCGCGTTGCAGAGACTGACAGATGAGGTTCGCTCGAGCTTCAAGAACGTCGATGAGATCAACATCAACTCGGTCAATAGATTGACGTACATGCTCGCGGTACTGAATGAGTCTCTTCGGGTTTACCCGCCTGTGACTTCAAGTCTGGCGCGAGCAGTGCCCGGTAAAGGGAGCGAGATTGCAGGGCATTTTGTGGCGGGAGGTACGTACGTAGAGGTCCAGCATTGGTCGATGAATCACAGCAAGGAGAACTGGACAGAACCGTGGACTTTTGACCCAGAGCGGTTTCTGCATGAGTCGAAGGAAGCTTCCGAGAACAAACTCGAGGCTCTGCAGCCGTTCAATGTCGGGCCCAGAAACTGCATCGGGCGCAAGTAGGTTGCCTTTAATAACATTTCACGGTCCTCTAGCTAACCATTCTCGTAGCCTGGCCTATGCTGAGATGCGTCTCATATTGGCTAGAATCATCTATGATTTCGATCTGAAGCTTGCAGACGACAGCAAGAACTGGGTTGAACGTCAGAAAGCGTATCCTCTGGTAAGCCGTATTCTTATTGATTATCCTACTATGTGCAAGCTGGATCTGTTGTGCTGGAAGCGTCCTGGCACGCGGCACAGCGGGGCTTGTTTGTCTGAGAATGAGAACTGACTCTGTTCGACAGTGGGACAGGATACCGTTGAATGTGCACTTGACTCCCGTTAGTTCAAGGCATTAGTTTGATTGTCGATAAGCTTTTCGTTACGGACACAAAATTGAGCTGCGTCGGAATAGCTAACACTGGGATCTTGACCACTTTCATGTCTGTTTTGAACACAGAGTCGTGTTGAACTCCACAAGACGGCATATGGTAGGGAGATGGTATTCCTTGATTGGAACTTTGTTTTGGTGCACCCAGGTTCGGGAGAAGACTTTGAGTGCTTTCCGGTCTGCGGGGTCGATTGACTCGGCTTCGCCGGCCTTGATCCAAAAATCGCAATAGCTGAGACTAGCTATGCGAATAGCCATGCTCCTGGCAATAGGACCTCCATCGGCAGCAGCAATGCCATAAAATGTGCCAGCATGAGCAGATGGAGGAAAGCAAAGTAGGAAGATCTATGCAAGCAAAATCTCAACAATAACTTCGGCAGGGAGGCAGCCGAGCGTACCCGCATTGTCTTTGTCCCAATACATGTTGATGCTCGTTGTGGTGATTATAGGTGCTGGATGAAATGGAGTACAAAGAGGTCGTACCAGGTCTGCAGAACTTTTGATTTGCAGGATCAAAGCCAACTTACCGAGGTCATGTAGTTCTGAAAATTGTTCACTGCACGATCAAGGGAACCAGAATTAGTTCAATATCGGATATAAATCTTTTGTGGCATTGTATATGTGACTGAAAGCTTTCGTTATGGTATGGCCAGCCACCAAAAGTAGTTCGAGTCCTTTTCGGAGCCGCGTATGAGACGATTGGATGCTGATTGTAGTGTAAACATATATTGTACAGTATTTCGTCGGCCGAAGTTGTGGGCCACAGGCTCCGTTCAGCGGCTGGTCGGACAATCGCAATACCGTTGTGAAGCGGGACTGGGAATGATTCGACGGCTGTTCCACGTGGGCCAGGGCTTCGCACATTGCATGTCTTGCTTTCCGAAGTCAAGACATGATTCCGAACTCTTTTTCGCCACGAGGGCAATCATTCCTCTCCCTTCTCACCCTCCGTGGTGAACAATATGGGCAACTCCATGCCCACTCTCCGTGCTGTCAATCTGACTCTTGTCTCTTCATCCATATCCATCCCAGGGTTGTAGCGTTCGACCAGTGTGACATATTGCCGTTGGGCTTTGAGGTATTGGACCAGTTGGTCGGCCTGTGCTAAGCCATGATGGGTGGAGGAATTGCTGGCGAAAGACTCGCGCAGTTTGTGATGCAGAGGGGTTTTTGGTTGGGACGGCCGAGGAGGCAGTTCTCGCAAGATTGCGCGGTAGGCTGATCGGGCGCGGGCGGAACTCGACATGTTGGCTTGGGGTTGACGTGGCGATTGTCCTCTAAGAATGGTTGGGATGAAGCCGGCCGATGATGCCCCCAAGAAAGTTGACGATCGGTGATATGATAAGATAAGCGACGAGCTGCCGCTAGGAAAGCACGACCCTGTGATGGCTACGGATCCGTACGGAGCGAGCACGGCGAGGTTATGTAAGTAATAAGTTCTGCAAGTCCAGCATCTAGCTTTAGTGCCAGGCTAGAGCTAGACTAGACCAGCTAAACCAAGGTTAACTATTAGTAGTCTAGCACCAGCCAGGCTGCGCTTTGGCTCCTGCGCGTCATGCAAAGAAAAAAGTTTCGGGGGGCTGCCCCTGCGACGACCCCCCAATAATCAAATGCGCCGGGACTTCTGACTATCTACGATAAGTGGCACGACATGTAGTGAACCCGTCACTCCGTATATGCAGTCGGCACTCAACCACCTATTGCAGAATTGCTGCTTGTCTGCCCTTTCTTCCGCGGCATTATAAATATGGAGTTAGTAATTGTATAACACCACCCCATGACGATATGACGACCCGCCAGCTGTCCGCTCTCCTGGCCATGCCAGCTGCCCTGCGTCCCTTGCTCTTCACTACCGCACCGGCAACATTCCCAGTATCGGCACACACGCCTGCTCCATGGGGTCAGACACGATGTTTCCACGCGACATGCCGAGCTTATGCTCGCTACATGAAGCGACCGCTATCAGTTGGTGCTTTCACCATTCCACATAGTCCCACGCTCCCTATGTCGGAGATTTCCATCAAGGACCTCTTGGAGTCACCAGTCCCCGACAAGTCCTTGATCAGCGAACTCAACAGGCTGTTCACCCAGAACCCTGCCACCTTCTACCACGGCACCTCCGACTTTTACATGTTGAAAAAGAACACGCGTATACCCGAGATATGTATTCTGGGCCGCTCCAATGTCGGCAAGTCTACCTTTGTCAATGCCCTTGCGAACCGTCGAGAGCACGAACTCGCCCACACCAGCGCCAGGGCTGGAAGGACCAAGGCTATGAACGCTTTTGGCTTCGGGCCCGCGCCCACCATGAAAGAGCTCGCAGAAGCAGATGACGAGGTAAAGCGGACCGAGGACTTGCCGACACACAGTTTCTTCGTTCTCGATATGCCCGGATATGGACACAAGTCGCTGCAAGACTGGGGAAAACACATCACTCTCTATCTGAACAAGCGTCAAGCTATAAAAGGTGCCATCCTGCTGATAGATGGGGAAGTTGGCCCCAAGAGCGGGGATCTCATGGCTCTTGAACTGCTGCAGGAGGCCGGCCTGAAAACCGCCATCGTTCTTACCAAGGCCGATAAGGCAAGGCATGAAGAAATTCTGAAAAAGACCTGCAGAGAAATGTGGACCACGATGCGTGGCGTCCAAGCGCGGGATCTTAATAGTAAATGGGATTGGGAGAAGGACTTCTTCGTCACGGCATTAGGCGCGACCAAGAAAGAGATAGGCGCCGAGTCAGTTGCCATTGCCAGATTGGCCGTTGCGAGATTGGCAGGACTCGTCAAGGAGAAAGAGCGCCCAGATGTTGATCCTGCAAAGGGCTATAGCGGGAAGATTGTTTCGTTCGACGATCTGCAACTCGCATCGAAACCGGCGCCCCCAACATGGGCTACAAGCACAACTCCGTCGAAGACACCAGAAGTATTATCTTCGACCTCTGACTTCGCGGCATTGGAGGACGCAGCGCGAGAGCAGCAAAAGCCCCGCAGTGCCTTCGGACGAGAACTCTCAAACACGTCAGGCCGTCAGCGTCGGAGAGCAGCTTCTCGACCAACAGTATCTGCACCGCAAACTTCAAGTGCCCCTTTTGCTGCGCTCGCAGGTACAGCCAAGAACACGAACAAACCTCGGCACGGCCCTGGATATTCCTCTAATGGGTCCCAGACTCGCTTTTTGCATAATTCTCACCGGTCGAACTCGCAGTCTGACAGGATGCAGACGCTTCCCGGGCGGGAACCTTTGTCGTCCAGTGAGTTGAAGGACATCCTGAAGGAATTCGCCGCCAAGCTGAAAGCAAGATCCACATCGGCAGAGCACGCCCGCATGCAACACGAGCGGGACCATCCAAAGAACAAGATCTGGGATCCAACTTTCGTTCCACCGTCTGACGATAAGCGGCAGAAGCGAAAAGACGACAAGAAGAAGCATGCCGCTATATACGAGGCTCGGCTGCAGAGGGAAGAGATCCGCGCCATCCGACAGGCGGAAAGACAGAGGCAGCGCGAGGAGGAGGAGCGGCAAGCGGCCAGACAGGGTGCCCGGAGACCAGCCGACTCGCCAGACGTGGATGTCATGACTCCGGAAGGGTTCGCCCAGAGCTGGAGCCAGATCGAGGAGGCCCGGGACCTCAAGGACCGTGTGCTCAAAGGCAAGAAGGCCAAGAAAGCCGTCAAGGATGAGGAGAAGAGGCAGCGCCGGGAGGAGAAGCAGAAGAAGCAGAGGAAAGAGACGGATGGCGACGACGAGGAAGAAGACAGCTTTGCCGCCAAGTTCAATGCTGCAAGATGATGATGCCTCAGCGTTACGAGCTGATAAGTGTAGCGTGTATGTGTATAGTTGGAGTTGCATATCTCGGCGCATCCGTTATCAAGCATGTAGATTATTATGTATGACCCGGAGAATGAGCGCTCAATGGACGGGCACAATAAATGACAAGATCTAGTTGTTCATTCATGTTCAATCAAGCTAAGGCACAACCCGGACTGCATCGTACACGATATTCCATGGTCACGTAATAACATCAACAACAGCACTGGCCCTCGTCTCCTTGGGCTTTTTACTGCGACGGCCCCTCTCCTCATCCGTGACGACCTCGTCCCTGAACGAGTAGCCCGGTATCAGCACATCCAGCAGGTTGTCCCAGAACCCTAGATCGTACAGATTCTCCACGTCCCGCAGATGCCACACCCTTTCCCATTCTCCGACCCCTGGTGTTGCCCCATCCGCCTCGGGCGGACTGCCATCGTCGGTCCGCACGAGCACCTGCATGCTCTCCACAGGCCATCGCGTCCAGGCCGGCTCCCACCTCAGATCCTTGACACGGTCACGCGGTAAGCTGCGTTTGAAGGCGAAGCCGTCGTCCATCTCGTACTGCCAGTCCTGCCACTTCATGCTCTCGTTTGTCGTCGTGCCGCAGTAGATTAGGTACAGATGGTATCCCAACAAACCCCAGACCAGCGGGCTGGTCAGCATTGCCAGCATGGTCACAGAGCCCATGCCGACGTCATCCTGGATGCCGAACGTGAGCAAGACCAAGTAATCGTGCCAGGTGAAGCGGGCAGGTTTCCAAAACCGCCAGCCCGGGTGCCGTGCCTGGATGTTCTCGGCGATGAGTCCGGTGCCAAGGATGGCACAATACGTCGTCAGCCAGGCAGTTGTCAATAACAACAGCACGAAGTACCCCTGGTTTTCGTACCCGACGCACGTGTTGATGAAAACGCAGTGGTGGTCCATCTTGGCCACGCACCGGTTGCACACGGAGCAGTGCTTGGATCGCGCCGGCTTGATGATGTTGCAGGTCCGGCACACCTGGCCCGGATGGAACAGCGCAAAGTCGTACGGGTACTGGCTCATGTACTTAGAGTGCGTGGCCGGCGTGATGACACCCGGGTCCCGGTACGCCGCCAGATACAGGAACCAGTACGGCAACACGATGGAGATGGCACCGAAGACCTGGTTGGGGGTCGAGAACCGGGGCCATGCCCCGGGCAGGTACATGTACTCGCCCACCGTGAGCAGCAGGAAGAAAAAGATCAGCACCGTCGGGTGCCGGCCGTACATGAAGGTGTGGGCGAAACGGCCCACCGCAGCAGTTGCGCGCCCGCTTGTGAGGCGCTGGTCAAGAGCGACAATTCCATTCGGTACGTGCACTACGAAGAATCTGTGAAGCCATGCTATCGGCGTATTTCTGACCACTGAGGTCAGTTGAGTGCTCAGCTGATAGGGCGACAGGGATCATGGCATTCTAGATGGGACACGACATGACAGTGTAGTATACAGGGATCGCTAGACACTTACCGTAATGCTGGAAGCCTCCCGAAGAAAATGACAAAAACCGCAACGGCGATGGCAAGAACGCCCAAGGCTATCTGAGATATGGATCCCATCGCTTCAATAGTGAGATCTGCGATCGTGTACTGCAGAGATTCCGTGGTATTGTAAGGTTCTGCCTGGGGCCATAGGCAGGTTAGGCGAAGCGGGCTAGCAGGAAATAGAAAGGAAATAAAGCTGAAGCAGCACTTCAAGACCCATTCAGCGAAGGAAAAATCAATCCGTGCGCATGGTTTGCAAAGAGCAAGCAGGTAGGTCTGGTGTGACAAACAGTCCCGTCACCAGCTCAGCTTCACGGTCATCACAAGGCGTGTGAGACACGGTGGTGATTGTGAGAGATGAGCGCATGGACTGTTCCCGGAGCTGCGCGCGTGGTAAGGCTGACGCATGCTAAAGGGCAGTGCAAAATGGTCAGCTCTGGCGGCCTAAAACGTCACCGGTATTATATGCATATAAGCGATTTACATCGCCGAGCCAGTGCAAAGTGCTCAGATTGCCCCGTGACGTGAATATTCCATATCAACCCGGCGACTTTCACGTGCAGGCCTGGAAAGCGCGATTTGGCATCACGCGTCGTCGCTAGATCCTGACCACACGACTGCGATAATACTCAGCAGGTGCGACACGATAAAGAGGCGCCGTTGCCCAACCTTCATTAAAGTTTGCTCATGGACCGTTTTTGGGATATTCAAGATACGATTTTGAGCCCGAAAGTGGAATTACAAAGAAACTGTAGATTCAAGGGTTTTGGGGCAAGCGCGTCGCTTTTCAAAGCTTTACCCCAACTAAAAGCAAAGACGCACGCAACTTGATCACGGTGGTCAAATCTAGCCAAATTTCGTCAGTTCAAGCATCAAAATAGCCACATCAAACCACCGGTAGCTAAGGACATCAGTCCTAGTCTAATCCCGCTATCGTTCCGCTATTCACAATTGCAGGGGGAGACACGCTTGAATAACCCCAGGGTTAGGATTGGGGTAGTCAGAATGTCAGCCCCTGTTGTATACGAGGGGCAAGTGCAGGGCGGTGGCGGCACATTATTCAACGACATGAAGTTCTGGGTTGCCCAACGCGTACCTATGCGCAGTACTTGGGTTCAAAATATCGAGGTATAACGATTACTATGGCCAGCAGAGATATAGACTGATAAGTTCATAGAACAACGGCGGCACCATCACAAAGCTAGACAAGCAAGCAGATTATTTGATCGCTGACCATGCGAAAAACGATGTCCCCGCGGGATCGTACTCGTGGAAGTGGATCGAGGACTCAGTAAAGGGCGGTAAGATCATGGACAAGGAAGATTACTTGATTGGTGCCCCGCGCCATGAGTCGAGGCCCGCTGGATCAGTACAGCACAAGTCCACAAGGAACTCATTTACCAAGCAGGATGACGAACTCCTGGCGAAATTCGTCACCAGATATGAGAGGGAAGGCACCGCCGTTCTAGGCAACACTATATATAAGCAATTTGAAGCAAAGGTCTGTGGGGTTGATCGTGTCTCGGCTGATATAATGCTGACATATTTAGTATCCTCACCATACCTACCAATCCTGGAGGGACCGCTGGGTCAAGAAACTGCAATATCGTGAAAGACCCCACATATCGGACAGCAAATCTTCACCACCTCTAGCGGATGTGCCTGGTGCTGTCTCTGCGAAGCCACGGCCGATGCCACAAGCTCCGCTTCAAAGATTACCGGCTCCACGTGACACCTCTGCTAGAAGCGCGTCGCCGCCCAAGAAGACGAGAGCTAGGTTTACCCAGGACGAAGACCAAGTGCTTATGCAGTATATCGAAGACATGAAACAGTACGGCAAGGGGGTGTCCGGCAAGAATATATACATGGACTTCGCCGAAGATGTAAGGCCACGACGGCGAGGCTATACTAAATGCAAATGATATGTTACTAATCATTGGACAGTTCCCTCAGCACACATGGCAAGCATGGAGAGACCGATACCTGAGACAGCTGAGGCCTCGTGAATTCTTGAACGATGCTGAAGTTACTCCTCAACCCTCTCCAGCTGCAAAGAGTGCACATACTAAAACGCCCCAGCAGCCTGGTCCGGTTCAATCAAACCCCAATATTGTGAAAGGACAAGGCAGGAATAGTGGTATGCACGTCCCAAGTGCCGCTGCGCTCACACACGCAAATCCTAAGCAGGATGACTTGTGCCCAGAAGACCTCAGGCTCGAACCCCCATCGGAAGATGCTGACAGGGGCTATGTTGCGCAAAATTTCATTCCGCCTGCTGAGCCAGGAAGCATTGGCGATGGGACAGCTGAGGCTGCTGGAAATTCAATCTCAAAGAGGCAGACCAGTCATCCTGATGGTAAAAGTACAGGCTCTTACGGAGTGGATGACGATGTCTCAGTATCAGAAATGACCACAAATCAAACACAGGCTTTCATAGATACAAGAGAGGATTTCTTGTCTGTATATGGAAACTTTCTCACAGCAGAATCACAAATCGATCCGGATACCATTCAAACACACATCACCTTACACGGGCGAACATTTGAGATTTGGAGTCTTTGGAAAGTCGTGCAAGAACAAAAGGTGGAGCCTGCTGAGCGCGACTGGCAGCAAATCGCGGAGAATTTGGGGTTCGATTGGACTGAGATGCCATCTATCCCTGATGCGATCAGAGATCTATACGAGATCAATCTTGCAGAGTTCGAAATTATCATGTTGGAATATGGACAAGATTCAGGGGACACAGAAGAGGAGGATTTTGACGACGAGCAAACCGGCACACCGCAACTGCAGGCACGTAAACTTCTCGGCACCGATGGTTTGCTAGCGGAAGATCAATTCAACTCTTCGCCACCAAAACAGCCATCGCTGAAGCGCGCGCACGACTCGACCTTTTCTTCCGACTTGGGGTACCCTGACTCGTCTAGAAAACGTTCCAGGTTAGATCGTGCCGGCGAGATTCCATCCACTCCAGACGCAAAGAATGGAACCTTGCATCTGCGTCCTTCTGTGAGCGCTGCCATATCTCCTGACGACAGACGCTACATAGCATTACCCAAATCCTCCCGCGCAATACAAAACAAGAGGAGCAGCACGCAGGTCAACGCGGAAGACGAAGAAATGCAGGTTAGAGGAGTAGATGAAGATGCGATTACAAGATCGCGTCGAGCTGCAATTGGCCCCACAATGCAGGGCATGCAGTTCGAGACTCAAGTTATGGGCAACTTGGAAGAAGAGACCCAAGCTGAAGTCACGCCATCACAACAGCTTCACAGTGAGATTCATGCAGAGGAGAGGCGCCGGGAGCTGAACCGGACTTCACCAACACCTAAGAGGAAAGTGAAGTCCCCTTTCATCGCGGATGATGACGACGATGATGATAACGACGAGGAAGAGGAAACCATTTTACCAAAAGCACGGTTTGGTAAAGGCCCGAACCCGCTTTCGGAGCAACTACACCTGCTCGAACCAAAGCGTCGATCCTTTCATGCGTCCTTCACTAAAGCCATGAAAGCTCCGTCAACGCAGCCTCGCAAATCAATGCCCACTTCTTCTCAAAAGTCCACATGGATCTCTTCCCCGCGTGACTCTAACCGGTCAACGCCTGCACAACTACCAGCTAGAACGAAGACAAAGGCAGAAGAATTGGCCGAAGTGGTAATATACTGGGAGTCACTAGGCTATCTACATGCCCGGCGTTGCTTGGAAGCCGCGACATGGGAACCCGGACTAGCTGGACGTGTGATGGAGCATATGAGGGATGGGAACCCTATCCCAACGAACTGGGAGGGTGTCTGGTCTCCTCATGATGACGAGAGTCTGAGGTTGATAGATTCCTATGAACCTCCGAAAGACGAAAGGGAAGCCAGGAAGCGCAGGAAAGCAGCTGAGAGGTTGAAAGACAAGCATGGGGAAGAACGTCTAGAACTAAGGAGAAAGTGGCTAGCTGCAAAGGCTGAGCTGTGATTAAGTACAAGTCATTGAGATGCATCGGTTTGTTTCTTGCTCATGTATAGTCTATATGTTTTATGTAGTGATACCCCTTCCTGTTCAATTGATGATTCAATGCAATCCACTGCATGATAGTACAATCGTTATTCGATGCAGATGATGCATGCTTCTGTGAGTATTTACTGGCAGGAAATCACTAGATTTCAGTTCAAGAAGTACGAAGAAACGTTTGGTGTCATCCAAGGATTATGTTTTTCGAATAACCTATTAGTAAAATATCGGTCACTGGTCTGTATTCACTAGTCTGTGACTCTACGAAATGCCTACTGTTGGTGTAGTCATGAATCACCCATATGTTCACCGTAATTATTCTCACTAGCACACCACTTACTATTGTATGCATTCGAACAAGTCAACTACAGCGACTACAGTCAAGCCTTCTGTTCGGAAAGCATATATTCGACCGAGTTTTGGGTGCAATCATAACGATGGTGAGTGCATATTATAATCTTATCGACGCAATAACTAAAACTCATGATTTCTAGGTGATTGTTACCCTAGAAAAGGCAGCACAGGCTTGCCCTTTCCATAAGTTGCCGATAGAGACCCGAATCGTAATCCTGAGTTTTGCAGGCACGCACGGGGCAGTTGCTGCATGCTCATGTGCCTGTTCATGCTTGTTGGAGGCAGTCCAAGCCGATGAGAGTACGATAACTTACGGCATCATCATTGACACACTGCCAGATGATCCAGACATTGTCAAAGCCGCTTATACAACTGAGAGCATAGCGAAGATCATCAAGTCAAGTGATGACTTGAGAGAATGTATGGATATCTGCAGGCAGTATATTGGCAATAGGTACGCTCGATGCCGTAAGGTATTAGGCCTCCGTGATATCAATACATTACTGGCACGACATAGTGCGGTGGAGGCGGTGGCCAAAATAGTCGGACGCGAGATTATCGATGATATAGAATATGGTTATATAAACGGACCCTCCGTTTATAACTACGATCGAGTTCTCTCATCCAACGAGACAAGGAGGGTTAATCTGATACTCTATCACCGAGAGTTGTGGAACATTCTTTTTTCTCGGAACCTATCTACCACTACCGTTAAGACAGACGAACCTCTGGCAAAACAGTTTTTCAAACTATACTCGCCATGGGATATCAAGGCGCTACGCTATTTGAGCTTCTTTCTGAACAGCATCGTTGTATTGGGTATGTTTCCAATTCTGTATATCGCGATATATTTAACCAAGACTTATTCGTACTTCAGGAATTCGAGACACAATTGTTGAACTGTATAGTTGGAACCCATTTGTTCAGGACTTGACAGAGTGGCAAAACCTTCTGGCCAGGACAGAAGACGCCGAAGAAAAAAACGCTTTGCTTTGTCGTGCCGAGGAGTTCGCCATCCTCGAGGACTGGTATAAATATTCCATGCACACTGGCCAGCTGGCTGACTATGTCCGAACCACCGAGCTCACTCAGAACATCCTCTCGGCCGCCGCTCGACGCCCCTTGCAAGAAGTCGCTGAGGCGCTAGCCCTAGAAGGTTGGCAACAGAACAAACTTCGGTGCTCCTTCAAAACCGCTTTCTTTGCGCCACCGCGCGTCAGTGTGAAACTTCATGCTTGGCTCGAAGAAGAATATGATAATAGCGAGACTTTTAAGGAGGAAGAACCAGTAGACATGAATGTTGAAAAGTCGAACATCACTGTCACCGGAGATAGTGCACTGGCCCCGAATTGGCTACTACTACGGGACGATTCCCATGAATCGGACGTTGCACCCAACACGGAACTACCTTTTGAGCGACTCCTGGGAAATATTTTACTTGACGGGGAGAGATGGGTGAGATGAAGGCTGGTTCATTGCGTAGAAGGCAGCCACAACAAGGGAACAAGCCGTCAGTTCAACATAGTATGATTGTTCTAGGTCTCACAGAAAGGTGGCATTTCGGTAGGTATTTGTACAGTGATTGCGCCGTCTGGTAGAATGACGCAAATGGTTCGTTTAGCTTACAGGCTACATTAGTCCGACCTCACGGCATGGACGTCGTATCTAAGGCTTTGCATGCTGGTTGCTGTGACAGGCTGCAGCAGAGTTTTGGCCAAGTCAAGTCTGACTCATTCATTCATAATAAACACCTTCTCAATAGTAACATTTATTTATGCATTCAAGAAATGGGAGTAACTTCCCCCGCAACTCAGAAACATTGCTCGGGTCTACTGATGTGGCACCAAATATATACCCCGAGATTACCTTGTTCTATAAACGGTGGGCCCACTGTTTTCGAATGTCACAACTGACGAAATGAATGTCGATTCACAGGTGCACCAATTAAAATCAGATGGAAGTAGTCGATGGCTAGAAGATTTAGGCTTGGCGGTCAGACCTTGACAAAGGGCACAAAGAGGCAAAACAATAACCTATCAAGTGATTAGGCTAGCATTGACGAATACAAGGTCGTTGTCATCGCCAACATCCCTTTGACGATGGTGGCTATGAACAAAGATGCCTTATTAAGCGAGTCGTGGCTCCAGCAAAGGAATTATGTGCGGTCCCGGTTGCAACAGTTGTAGACTGCCTCAAGGGGCGAGTCGACAAAACCACTTGCCTGTCCGTGAGGGCATCAGTATCTCACTCGCAATGCTGATCAGCCGAACCAAGGTTATAAAACGCAAATCATCAAATCACCAAGGAAAACTCTTAAAAAACTGCAAAGAAATCGCAATGGGGAGGCCATCTTCACTATCACATACCATACGCCGCAAACCGGTCACCCCGCGCTATGCGCACCCAGTAGCACACAGCCCTACGGTCGAAGAAGCTGATTATCATCCCATTGCCAACAGTCGGGCGGCAGCTTTCCAAAACCCCTCTGTTCCCAACGCAGGCGAAACGCAACGGCAAGCCGGGCAGCGGAGTCCTATTATTACCACTCAGCTGGGGCCCACCGCTTCGCCGTCCACGTTCTGCGCGGACAACTGGCTCACACTCCGAGACCACTGCCAGATCCCCGTGGACGAGTTCTACCTCCCGACGCGGCCGCAGATGCCAGTGAACAGTGGCGACTTCACCTGCGACTGTTCAGACGACGGGTTCGGCACGGCCGCGGGCCTGCTGGCACTATACCCGCGATTCGCGGCTCGGGCCTGGGGTATAGAAGAGGCTCACGCCGAGATGATGGCAGGTTGGCGGCGCCGAAGCTGGGACCAGGACTTTCGGTGCAAGGTGCTCGATCGCCAGAACGATATGTCAGAGATCTTTCTTGCGAAGCTGCAGGAGGCGCTTCGCGACAAGGCCAAGGAGATCAGCGGAGCCGATGGCTTGCAGGCTCAGCTGTGGAGAGCTGAGGATGAAAAGGATCTGTATCTTCGTAAAGTCGAGCGAAATGAGAAAAAGGAAAAGAAAAAGGAGAGGGGATGTGGTGATATCCTTGGGGTGTTCAGGAAGATAGGCAAATTACGTTGTGTCTATTCACGTGATTAGCTTTAAGTCAGAGCCCGAAATCACTAGAGATCATAAACCGTAGAGGGGAATATAGGAAGTAATGCAGGAAACAAACTACCCATTGCCACACGACAAAAGTACGTTGGCTCATCCCGACGCTCAGGCGCGGCCTTGATTTTTACGGCCTTTTAGCACTGACTAAAAGCTCTATATTATTGTGAGATTATGGGTGTGAGTAATGGATATTGTTAGAATTGACAATATTGGTGTGACTCAATAAGCCTATGTCTCGAACTGTAAAGGTGACAAGGGCTTGTAATATGTTGTGACTAGTCCAGAAGATATATTCTAGTCTAGGTAGAGAGATCTCTACCTAGATGTCAGAACCCACGTCTCCCTGTGCCACGATATATACACACGACTGGTCAGGTACAGCACAAGAGTAAGACACAAGACATAAGACTAAACGCTACCGAAGATAGTTCCTTTCGTAATGATCTCGGGGACGTTTGGAACTACATACGATAGCGCTGTGGATACGTAGCTGGAATCGTGACATCCTGTGGGTACTGTGATAGTTTATAATTAAGAGCAAAACCATCTTTAGGCACTTCAGCGCTAAATTCGCTGAAAACTCACTGCGTAAAAGGGAATCACAGCAGAGCGCTAAAACCATTAAGCAACCCCCTTAAGAAATTCACATTTAACAGACGGCTTTATTAGCAGCTAGGGCTGCCTTACATCAACCCACCAAACAGCCGCCACGGTACGACCTAAAGTCTTAACGGGCGAATACTTTGGGTAGCGGCATCCGCATTATGGCTAAGACAGTGGATCTCTACGTAGCTATCCAAGGTTGAGCTACCGAAAGTATGGTAAGGCTAACGAATGAGCTTGTTCCCTGCATACTTAGCAGGATTCACTCATAGGAATATCACGGCGATAAGACAGAAAGGCTGGAAGAGACAAGCAAGCTACGACCGCTTGTAAGTGAGGAAATCGCCCACATTGTATCGGTGATTCCCAGTACCCAGAAGATAAGATGTAGTCGGCGTACCACAGGTGACGTCATGTGGACGGCTGCGCGTGCCGACTAATACGCAATACTTCGGAAGACCAGAGCCTTGCTTAACTTCATTTTCTTATATGGAACCTATCGCAACTGACAATTCTACAAAATCAAGCTGATCCTGCTTGTAAGATTGCTACTTCAAGTTTCGAACATGCTCAAATCACATGTCCAATGTGCTTGACAAGTCCACCGTCCTCGGCCACGGCAACACCGCCGAAGTGCTGCGCGACGGCACCACCGCTAAATGTCACCACCAAGGACAACACCGTGCAGTCGTCCGATCCATCCACACAACCCGATTCGACAATAGGCCAGAAGCTGAAGGGCGAGTTCCACGGCGCGATACACACAGCGACGGACTCAGTGCAGGCTACCGCAGGCGCCTTGGCGAGGACCGAGAAGCTGAAGAGGAGGCGGGCTTATAGAAGATACAGCAGGAGGACCAAATGATAGGCGCCAAACATGGCGTCATGCCTATGGGCAGTGGACCGAGACAGAAGGCTTCCGGCGTCCCCTCAACGGTCGAGAGGGCCGGTTGTCGAGTCATTACGTAAGGATTCTTTGAAGAAGTAATTTTCTTTTCGCAGAGTCGATAATGATACCAAGGATGTTTCAGGCGCAATCAGGAGGCTACAGAAGCCACCAGGACAAAGCTGTTATGAATGGAGATTCACATGCTTGTTGTCGATTACCTCATTGCCAAGATTTATCGCCTTCTAAGCGCCTATGGTTTTGTAGCCAAGACACTATTAACAGATTCATTGTAGGGAGGTGCTCTTGTGTACTAATTCTCATGAGCGCTTTCAAGAAAGCCACGAACTTCTGCCAAGTGTCTTGGGGCAAGTCCTCCATATAGACGTCATCTACAAGCGTTAAGCCATCTATAGGCCTCTAATCCTTAATATTCGATTATCATTTAAGTACTGCTGAAGAGTCTCGGGATCTCCCTGTCCAAGTCCGTTCTTAGAAATAGTCCAAAGAAGTTGACTATGTCTCCTAGATGATTCTTGAGCTCATACAGGCTGTCTCGGGAGTCATTGCCTATGAACATTGGACGCCACGAAAGATCTCTAACCTAGTCATATGCCTTAACTAGAAATCTATTCGAAGTAGAGTGTCGTGATGTAGCGTTGCACTAAGCTTTAAGGCCCTCACTCTACACATCATTGATAGTTACCCCGCAAAGAAGGGTATATCCAGGGCTTCCGTCCCCGTTATACTCTTGCCTCCAGCAAGATTGAGTCTTGACAGCGATACACCCTTATATTTTGGTTACCTGACTTTAGTAGTGATCATGGTGACAACATCTTTTATTCGATAAAATTATTTATTTGTTTGAATCTTTATTTTACTTTAAGCTTAGTTTTTAACATTTATTTGTAACATTTCACGATTCTACTTAAGGGCTTTCCCACTAGTTTAACGTATAAGTTCTCTCTTATCTAAAGTACTATTAAATATAGTTCGAAACGTCCCCGAGATTCTTACGAAAGGAGTTCTCCTCCGTAGCGTTTAGTGCTATGTCTATGTCTATCTTAGCCTTATATCCTACTCTTGGGTGATACCTGACTAGTTGTTTGTGTATGTCGTGACAAATATTATAAATAAACAAAGTGAGTATTATAAGCTAAAAGATTACTTAAATTTTCATCTAATATAAATCTTATCATTATCTGATTTCAAAACCTTGAGTTATAAATATTAGTATACAAATAACTGTTATTGTGGAATGGCTTCTCCATTCATTTCTTTCCGTACAGTTTGGGCGACAAATAGATCTATTCAGCGCTATCGTACGAAAGGAAGAAGGGATTCTTCCCATCGTACGCGATCTACAGATAGGGGTTTGGCCTATACGGCTGCAAGCTGCCGACAGCCACGGTGTGGCTGTAGTGGCTTGCCGTCAGTACGCCGGTAACTAGCTAGACTATATGGTCGTGCGAGACCGCGGATAACCATATTCCAACAGTTATGTATATATATAATATAAGCACTTAACATTAACAAATTATAATATAAGCAATGCGAGAGCCGAAGAAGCTACCGCCCGTAATAAACAGAGCCATCGTTACATATTGATAATCATGCCTAACAAAATGAACCGCAACTTGATTTCTGAGGAAACATGGAATATGACTTTGTGAGACAAACTGAAGGAGAATTAGACAGTGAGAACAATAGTCGTGATATCACGGGCCATGGCCCGCAAGGTTCGACGGGATAGAGTATTTTCCCCACAGGTCTTGAAAAAGAAACAAACGATTCTGAACGCAAGGTAAGGACACCTAGAAGTGCTAGCTAACCTTAGGTGGTTGGTTCCTGAGTCTTGGGGGTAGTCGGGGCCAACTTCTCTACATGAGAGAACGGTGCATTGATCTTGACATTACCAGCCTCGATGTCTTTTGTTAGTTGATCGAGACGCGACTCCTTCTTAAACGACTTCCAAGCTGGCCGCCCGGAATCAAATACCTCATTCATCTCTTCCAGCGTGAAGCCTCGGGTTTCAGGTGCCAGTAATGTCATATGAATAAATGCCAGACCATTGAAAGTTGCGAAGATCATATACATTTTCCAGTTGATATTCCACAAGAGCGGTGGGACGGCGAAAGCAAGGACCATGTTCCAGAACCAGTTAGAGGCTGTAGCAAGGGACACTGCCTTCGCGCGAACCTTGCTTGGGAATATCTCTGCCGGGTAGGTCCACGAGGTCGGGCCCCATGTCGTGGCGAAAGTAGCGACGAAGAGGTATGAACATGCAACGATGGCTGATGACGCAGATTTATTACCTTGCACCACCCAAGTGATCTGATCGAGTCTTGGGTTTGTGAAGTCGTTAGGATGACCATATACAGCCTGCAGTGAACCTGTGAATTGTTAGAGAATCGCATCACAATGACCAAGGCGTCAAGTACCTGAAATGAAGAGCCAAATCATCATGAAGAATGAGCCAAAAATCAAAGCAGGCCTCCGTCCAATCTTATCGAGGTAGAGGATAGCAGGTAATGTCATAACAACGTTGATGATATACTGGATGGCAGAAGTCAAGAGTTCGTCACCGATATCTGCACCTTTCATGATATACACAATATAGTACATCATGATATTCATGCCTGCTTAGCGATTAGTCATGACATTGACAATGGTTCTTGTTCTTTCAGGCTCATACCACAGAGTTGGGACCACATCTGAATGGACATTCCCAGGATCACTCGCTTGAAGATTCGAGGCTGAGTCAGCGCCCTGAAGCTCGAAATAGCTTCTTCACGCTCAAACCTTAGAGCATCTTCAATCTCTTGATACTCAGCCAGCACCTTAGGATGATTGACATCGCCAGCACCATGGAGAAGAGCGAGGACCTTGATTGCCTCTTCCCAGCGGTCTCTGGAAGCTAGCCAACGAGGGCTATAAGGAAAAAAGAATAATCCAATGAGTAGGATGAAAGCAGGAACCATCTGAACTCCCCAAGGTATGCGAAAAGCCGCCTCTGGTTGGTTTTCGCTCTCGGGGCCGCCACCGACTTGAGCAGCACCATACTGGATGAAGTACTGAATGAGAATACCCCAAGTGATCGCCCACTGCTGAAGCGACACTATGCGGCCACGAATCTCTTTGGGGGCAATTTCGGATTGATACACTGGCACAATGGATGATGCAATGCCGACACAGAGTCCAGCAATGACCCTTCCGGCGCAGAGCATGCCAACATTTTGGGCCGCACATTGAATGCTAAACGATGTTAGTGAAAATTCCATATTTGATCGTTCTGTACAGGAAATCTCACATTGATCCAATAATCCAAAGTAAGCAAGAAACCTGGAGTGCCACCTTCCTTGAGTACTTATCTGCGATGAATGAGCTCACCAACGATCCTAACAGCAAGTCAGATGATGTATGTACTTCATGATGCAACAAGGTAGCATACCAACCAAGGAGCCAGCGGGCATAGACGCAGTGATACCGCCTTGTCTGTATGACACGGGGTTGTCGAAATACCGAATATATGCGTTCGTACCCAGTACACCGCTCATCGAACTGATGTCGAAACCGAAGAGTCCACCCCCTACTCTCTTTTAGCCATGAGCTGACCTTTTCACGCATACCAACATACCCAATGCGGCGAAACCGCATATAAAATATACATTGCTCGCTGTATACATGTCAACTGTAGTAGTAGTAACAATCTAGGTCAGTCGGTAGTAAGCAACAATAGGGAGAGATATTGACAAATGGCGAAATGCGACGCTGAGTTCTGCGTGACGATTTGGTCACAGAAGAGTGGGGGAAGAAACGAACTCGGAACGTTGGGCGTGTCGTTGCATACATAGTCGCGGCGTTCGTACTTGAGACGTTGATGTGGTGACACAAACTGAGTGGCCAGGGATGAGGGACAGACAGGGACTGTTCGGGGAAGAGCGAGGTTGAGGGGTCAAGGGCTGGCAGCTACTCCATGTTAATCCGCAAACAGTAGGATCATATGGATTAACAAGTCGTACGGTTCTGTACGATGTCTAGTGCCAAGAGAGATCTCATGCGAGGTGATGTGCCCGCCTCATGCTCCAATGCTTGTGGTTGGGCTCGTGGGCTGATGATGAAGACTGTAATGACCATTTCGACCAATTAGATGTCTTTCACGAAGCCCGAGTGGGATATCACTTTCATAAATTTGACGAACCCTTGTATGACGGTTCGAGAGCGGTACCCATTTGCATACCATGCTGCCATGTTATGACCATTATGCTAAAAGCTCTGGCCTGGCATACTCATTTCCTGCTCCAGTTATTTCCATGAAGTAATGCGAAGTTCCTCAACAGTGGCCTGAATCGTTTGGAAGCCGACGGCACCCACAATGGGGCGGCCAGGAAAGTGGGAAAGCTACAGAGACCGTATGTATTTGACCAATAACGTCTCTTTCTATGATGGTGGCCAATCCAATTCCAAAGTTGTTACGGTGCCTGATTGGCTTCCGAGAAGGAAAGTTGGCAATCGACCTGGTCTCCCATGCGACCTAAGAAAATGGTGTATGAATCTTGAACAAGGGCGATAGATCAGCATCCAATACCAATTTGGTACGGGGTCTGCCCGATGGCCATATGACCCCGAGCATGGTTGTCTGAGACGGACGGATTTAACCAGGGTGACTGTCTTGCGATTCAACCCTCCAAATCACCAACGACTCTTCGTTTTCATGTTCGACACTGGCAGGTGCATGCACACCATCGCTGGTGAGCAATGCAAGAAAACTTGAGTCGAAGTCACCAGCTAGGCTATAAATGGTCACATCGTAGTAGGGACCATTCATACTTTAGAGGAATGGACGAACAATCACATCTCCTTGGAAGATAGGACTACTCTGATGGATGATCGAAACTAAAAGGCCGAAATTGCTGAAACCCATCCAGTAGAGCTTCCTTGCTTGGTAGGTTCCCCGCATTCCGCTAGCATGGGAGCCAGGCTGGTAGATCGAGCTTCGATGCCTGTAACAATGCACATCAGCACCGAATGCCTTTTTTCGAAAGGAGGGTGGTCTTGTTCTTTGACTGGCTAGCGAGGTTGCCTCGTTTCAATAAGAATTCATTTTCGCAAGCCACGATTATCATAAAGGGTATGTGAACAGTTTCCGAAGTAGCTAGGCGAATTTGATGAACGGGTGCCACGAAAATCTTGAGGCGGCCATTAGGTTTAAGTGACTGGTCCGTATGCTACAGCGGCCTGTCCTCGTGTTACTTCAAAGCGTGTGAAAACCTCCACAAAGGCAGGGGATATGTTGCATGCGCACAGAATGTAGTACGAAGTACCACGTATGTCCGGGAGGTTGTAATGCATGTGTGACAACACAAATCATTACGTCGCCCTGCCCAGTCATAAGTACTCGAACACCTCTGCATATAGGATCGCCACATGTTTGTCGCTTTCGGGGTCGCTTGGCGAATCCTGCAAATGCATTGGGGGGGAGGGGGATATGACCAAGAGGTCGATTATTCACCGCAATGTATGCACATCCTCTCCGATGACATGCATCGCTCAGACGGGCAGCCGTAGAAGGACAGTACGTTGTATCAGCAAGGGCTCAGCTGGAATGCTGTGCTACTTCATAGACTTTTGTACGTTGGATCCGCAGTCCGCAGCCGGGAGGGGTCGTATGAGATGTGAAAGCTTAATTCCAGCTGGCCGATGTTATTTTGACACGAGTCCACTCGGGGAAAGACGATGGCTCTGTCGCAAGAACATGTAATTGTCAGCTTGCATATTTCAATGTGCTAGAATGTCTCCATCCTCTCCGCATCCAGACATGAAGTCGGAATACAGTGAGAAAAGTCGGGCTTCTGACAAGTTATCGAAAGACTGCTCGAGTCCGACAGCACAACGTACAGAAACCCTCAATCGAACAGCGGCAGGTGCGTTCGGAGGCCGCATCAGAACGTGAAACGAATCTTGACGCTGGCCAACTATGACTTGTTAGCAAAAAGGCACTGCCTGGGAACTCCATGTCCACGGAAGGCGTAACCTCATAGTCCCAAGAAAAGCCTGTTGAATAAACATTAGTTGGTTCTCGTGTCACTTTTGTAGCTCCACTAGAGCTGTGCATCGGAAGCACGATTAAAAAGAAATTAGTGCAATGTTGTCTTGATTATGTTCCCCTGCCACTCGGCGGTAAACCATGAAAATGTGTTTTGCATGGAGCCTCTCGAGCAAGGGAAAAATGCTGATGGGTCCGAAACCAGATGCCACGAACATGGCGGAATCCGATCGTGTCCCATCACGATATAGTACATGAGGCCGATGAAGATTCTCGGGATAGTGAAATATAAGAAACAAGAGTAAAGGGTATCTGCAAATGCACGAGTTTAGCCGCCAACGCCGTATCCGATGTCGTGAAGTGTCGAGTCCATATGTTCCATTTCCCTCTCGTTGTACAGGCAGTTCCTCCTGTATGGTCCTCGTTCCGACAAGTGTCTGAGAAACTCTGATGGTAAGGGGGGCGTAGTAATTGCAATTATAGACTGTGAAGAAAAGCGGGACGCAGCGCAAGAATCCTGTTACGGTGCTCGTCTTTGGCTCACTTGAGCACCATGAGGACCAGGCTTTCCATCAAAGATATCCTGGAGATATTCTCGCTGGACGCGGAAACTCTTGTAGTTACCGCCAAGCAGAGGAGCCAGGATGGTGCTGTAACCATGCACATCATTCTCGGTTCGAGCCAGTGCCGTCATTCGCTTTTGTAGAACATCATACGCAGACTTGAAACTTTTACGGATCATCGGGAAATTCGCAGATCCACCCGCGATATCGTTCTCCGGGTTGTTGGGGTCTATGATCGAAAGACGGTCCATGTTTCTGTAAATAATGTTGCTGACAGAGTGCTAGAACACATATGTCAGTAGAGGATGGAAGAATAGAAAAGGAAGAGTTAAAAAGTAGAGTAACAAAAAAGCGAGAAGAAAGTTTGTCGGCGCAACTGACCTTGGGGATGAACCGAGGCGGATCCATGCTGATCGCTGTAGTCTCGTAGTCAAATTCCATGCCATATAGTCGAAAGAAGCGCATCAAAGCTTCACCCAAATGATGCTCAGGAATCAAGGTTCCACTCTGAACCTCGGGCCAATTGTTCAGCAGGTTGACAACCATGCAGATGACGGAAAAACCGCCAATACCACCATTGACGGGTTCGTTGAGGCCACGCATACAGAGGTAGTGCTTGACGATGGCGACCAATGTGGGCATGGCGGGATATTGCTTCTTCCAAGCCATAAATGTGTCAATGGCGGTGATTCCTGTGAGGTTCTCAAAGGAGATATCGACACGAAGTCCGGTGGCTTCGTCGATATACTTGACCAGCGGAACTTTCGCGCCTGAGATGATTTCGACGTCATTTCCATGGGGGATTCCTTGTTTACACAAATAACCTCTTAGTTTAAAGAGAGATGATTTGGTAGACAGGGTTCCATAACCTCCGTTCATATACTGGTCTGAGCAGATCACGATATCCATATCAGCCGTAGGCAGATACAAGCCCGACATGAAAGATCCAAAAGCTTTGACGTTGGCGTTCTTTTGCCAACGCTTAACATGACTCGCAAGTGTACGTACCAAGCCCTGTCGAATCTTCTCCTCAAAGTCACGAGGGCGAACATACTGGAAGAAGTCGACAAGCTCCTTGTGTAGCCTGTTCAACTCGTTAAAAGATATCTTGGGGTTACAGCGGAGTTTGGCTTACCTGACTCCCATGTTGGGTTCAGAGGAATGGTCGTTTACGGCCCAAGGACACGCCTCTTCATCACCTCTGACCGCCCAAGTCGGGTCAATTCCAGCATTAGCTGGCTTCTTCTTACCTCTCACCAACGGCTGGTGAGGTCGCTCTTTGATCTGATCGTCAGCTGTTCGCTTTCGACTACCAAAATTAGTGGAGGCTGACAGGTCCACGGGTGCCTTGAGTTTGGCAGACTTGCTAGGTGGCGATGGAAGTTGAGAAGCCGAGGAGGATTGGCTCTGGTTACCCTGAGGAGGATTGTCCTGCTGCACTGGAGGCCCTTGCAGGATTGAAATCTCCGGGGGGCGAGGTGGAAGAGACGAGGGTAGAGTTGACGTGGTAAGGGAAGATTTAGGCCCAGTGGGCGCGCCTGGTACGCCTTGACCGTTTTGCGAGTTGCCATTGTGAGCACTCCCATTTACAACGTAACTGCTGTCGCCCTCGTCGTCGCTCATATCAAAAGAGATAAACTCTGCGGCATCAGAAGCAGCAGCCTCCTTCTTCGCTTCCGCCTCAACACGAGCCTTCCTGATCATTTGCACGACATCTTTCTTTTTACGTTGCGTTTCGTCCTGCGGGGGGAGGGCAGTGTAGGGATCTGGGTTAGACCACTTGGGAGCCTCTTGAGCGGCTGGGTCGTCGGCCAGTCGCACACGCTTTGCAGCGGGCTCGAGTCCTTCGCCTTCGGATTCGCCTGAAATGTCCATGGCAGCATCGTCACTCTCGCTCAGCTCATCGAGGTCGCGATAGGTGGCGCGTCCAGAAGTATCTCCCAACAGATCCTCAGCATTTTCGTTGGCATAATCTTTGTGCAAGAACTCTCGGTCGGCGGCTTTGCGCATGCCGCCTCTGCCACGAAAGCCGTTCCCACCGCGTCCATTGCGCTGGAAGCCACCACGGTTGGGACGTCTACTAAGCCCTCCCGGGCCATTTTGTCTCCTAGACTGGCCGGGCCTGTAGCTGTCGTTGTCGCCACGAAGAGGAGGGGGCGGGCCTCTATACGAATCATAGCTCTCCTGTACACCAGGAGGCCGATTGGCGCGAAAGGTAAAATCACCCTGCGGTGGACGGAAGTCGCGATCGGAGCCTCTCGCATAGTCACGACCAGACTCTCTGCGTGAATCAGGATACGGGTCAAAGCGGTTGTCGTTTCTTCGATCAGAGCTGTAGCGGTTATCGTCAGCTCTCGGGTCGCCGCGGAATTGGTAAGGCGCGTCCCAGGAGGGTCGGGAGGGCGGGGGTGGTGCATAGGAAGAAGGGGACGGGCGATAAGTTTCAGAAGATCTGTAGCCTGATCGCTGCCCCTCGTCGCGGGGGGGTGGCCATCTGGAACCCATGGTTGCGATGTGATGGGGGTGTTGGCTGATGTGATGAGTTTGTGGTGGAAAGATCACAAAACGAAACTCAGCAAGCAGCGCGTCACTGCTAAATTCATTCTCTTCTCCGCTGCATTTTTGCGACTCTTGCCGAACATTCACCGTAGCCAATGACCGGCTTCCTCACCAACGTTAGCGGGGTGAGTTTGTCACCTTACTACAAGCTGCAGGTGCAACGGCCAGAGGTAAGATGGCTTATGTCGTAAATAATTACGTCACTGCCAAAGCCCACCAAAAGGTCTGCGCGCATTTGTTGCCAGTCGCGCCCGTGAACTTTCCCCTTAAGCGCGCCAGCTGTAACTACGTGTGGGTTTAAGTCGTGGTCATGGCAGTCAAAGCAGAATAGTCTGTGCCGTCAAACTCACGTCCGCAATCCTGTGGTGGTAATACTAACATGGAAACCCATGAAAGTATTCACAAGTTAAGCAAAAAGATTCTGGTGTCATTAGTTGCCTTGAGCCATAAAATAGTTCGTCCTGGCTGATTACATTTTGCAAGCTCCCTTGTGCCAATGCCACTGCCCGGTTTTCTGAGCATTATTCGAACACGATCTCCTGTCTACGTATTCCCTTCTGCTAGCATCACATGAAGGCCCACCTTCTCCAAGATCGCTCCCAACTCCCAACCCATCAACTTACAACACATTACAAATGAGACTTCCTATTTTCAAATTTTCGTAGCACCTTTCACCATCCCCTAATAGGACCGACCCACTAGTACTTGGACCGATCACAGTTCCTGCCCATCCATACCGTGCACGCCGAATTGATGCCCTTGAACGACTTAGCCACCATCTGCGGCCGGACGCCACCGCAGGCCTGTCTGGTTCGACCGCCGTTCGTGAAATACGTGCATGAGATGCCTTTTGGTGACAGGGCAGGCTCGGCGGAAGCGGCGCTTACATTCTGGCGTTTGTTCTGGGCCGGGAGCTAACAACCCTTGAAGACGTAGTAGTTGTCGATATCGCCAGTGCTGCAGACCTGCTTGGTGTCGTAAAGGGTGACCAAAAACAGTTGGACTCAACATGCTCTCAAGTGGTGGTATGGTGATAGCTGAGTCTGAAGCTGAGCACATCAGAGCAAGAGTTAGCAAAACAGATTTCATGGAAGTAGATAGAGGAAACTCAAAGGATCGAAATGTGCAAGTAATTTGTAATTAGTAAGGATGGGGTTCCTGAACATGTCTCTTTGATATAGTGGTAATTTGGTCACTAACGACCTGACACAGAGTCGGGTCATTAATATACTCATGGAAGATCTGTAGGGTATGTGGCCCAGAAGACCATTGTTTACGCATGGGATATATAGACCCTATGTTTCTTTGGATTTTACGCAGCAACGATTGCTATTGCTATTGCTATCATATTTAATAAACAACAATCCCTTGATTATGGTGTATGCTATACGAAACACCGAATTGATAGAGCTGAATTATTTAAGCTGGAGAAGATATAGACGCTGCGCCTTATGTTTGTTTATCAGTTATCAGAAAATATTCCCTGAACATAGCTTCTGGAAACCTGCGTCCAAGATACCTCCATAGATTGTAGTCGGTGTGTCCTCATCCACGGAGATTCTGCCGACGCCCAATGGTGCAGGTGGTCAATTATGCGCGTGTTGCCCTCTGTTTTTGAATTCTTTACCTAAAGCTAATGCAAATTAGATAGAGCTAGAAAATTGAGGAATTTTCATGTAGTTGGTCTAAATAATCACTGTACTCATATCAACATTGCTTCAGCACATACACACTTTCAACCGCTATTGCAGCCTATCTAGTAATTAAGCTTACTTTTGCTTCGAAATTCTCTTTGGCGATAATGTCATTGCCTTTTGTCTCGATAGTAGCCGGATAAATCATAAGAGCGATCTTAGGAAAATAGATACCATGATAACTGAGTATGGTTAGCTTCGTAACGCAGGTGTTCATTAAGCACTTATACGAAGTGATTTGATAGAGGACAGAGGACAAAGCATAAGATTGTCTAAATTTTTTCTTTTTGGAAATTAACAAACTTGTGATTGAATAAGTGGCTGTCCTTCTCAACTAAAGTCATTTAAGGTTCTCGGTTTCCACCACAATTTACTATTCATCCGGAGAAGAACATTCGATGTCTATAATTGTACTTACTTGACCCGCACCCAACAATCATGCGATTCATGGGATTGTTCCTCTTATTCACCAAGCATATAGCATATAGCGTATTCGACTATTTCGTGACGCAAACTACATCGGCATGGCAAAATGCATTGCATAAAGGAGTGCGTGTACGGAGCCGGCTTTTATTGATTTACAAGTAATTAAATCAAAGAGTACGGCCCCTTCCTTCTTGTACATAGGACATTGCCACTTTTCAACACAAGGTAGGAGCAGTGCACAGTGTAATATCAGATTGGCAAGTTGCTTCCAAAAGGTATCATCAAGGCCATCATACGAATCTCACCAAGATTTTAGATACCTTCATATATGTGCCCCAAAGATCCCTCTACCAATCCTTTCAACAGCTCACCGAAAATTGGCGGGCGAGCTAGATCATCCAATTTATCCCGTAATGTAAAATGATATTATTATTTTGTAGTGTTGGTAACCGCCGTATGGTTCGGTGGGATTACTCATGCAAGGCCACATGGTCACCGATTAGGAGTGTTACAGAGTTTGGATGGGATTGTCGTGGTTCTGCCTCATCCTCATCGCGTAAGCCGGAGGAGCCAGGTTCTGTGTCAGCCGACCAGCCGATAATGGTCACGGTAATCACAAATGCGACGGTGAGATTTCCAGGTCTGAGACTGTGCGATCAAAACGACACTCAGCTCAGCATCAGCTGACCACGTGATGTAATACTGTATTCCTCGTCCTGGTGTTCCCGGCGTCTCAGATGGCTTTTGTGACTGAGTTCTATCCGCATTGTGATGCCTTTTCCACGAGAAAACAGGTAAGCGTATGGATAAGGTTGGGATCTGCAAAATTTTGTGCCAGGGATCCAAATCGAGGATTCGCAATTAATCCGCAGCTACCTGTAAGACATGATTCTGTGCCTGTGTAAGCTTGTCCAGCCTTTTATGTTGATGATTTTGTAAGTTCCAATGCCATCACCAGGAGACGGAAAGCTATGCTGGATCAACGGTTGGTAAGGCAGAAAGAGCGGCGCAGTTCATGGAGAGAATCCTAGATGGCATGATTCATTTCGAAGACTCACTCGAAATCTGTATAAATATGGGCACCCGTCGGCGCAGGGTTGCAGATGTTCTTGACTCAACATCATTAGTACACATAACTACAACCCATCTGTTCTAAGAAACGAAACTTTTCCAAATACCCATTCCCTAACAATTCATTTCGATCTTAAATTCTCAAAATGCAGTTGGCAGCCACTTTAATCCTACTGAGCCCTGCTCTGGCCTTTACCGGTCGCATGACGCACTACGACCCCGGACTGGGCGCCTGTGGACGAACCAACGGACCCAATGACCGTATCGTCGCCCTTGGACATAGCCGCTTCACCGCCGGGAACCCGAACAACGACCCGCTGTGTGGAAAGAACATCAAAATCCACCACAACGGCGTCACCGTCACTGCCCAGGCCGTCGACAAGTGTATGAGCTGCGGGGCGAATGACATCGATGTCAGCCCAGCCGTTTTCAAATTCTTTGCGCCTTTGGGAACTGGCGTTATGCAAGTCGAGTGGGAGTTTGCTTAAGAGCTCTGGACCATTATAGAGCTGTTCATAGTGAATATCGGAGGTATACATGGAGTCACTCTTTTATGGCGGTTAGAACAGAAGCGGGTGTACTGTGGAATTTTCATCCGTCGAATTTAACTTGCGATGCGTATTAATAGGCAAATATTACGAAATATGGGTTTCCTTGATTTTGTAGCTCTTCAATGTCCATGAAGCCGTATCCGTCCGGCGTGCTTATAGTTTGTATAATCTCGCCAAGTGAAGGATATCGATTCTATGGCTCAAGTGCTCATCTAACCCACAACTGGTTTCAGGCAATTATTGTGATCAAGAACGGGGCTAAATGACAGACTCCACGCTTCCTTCATAAAGAAAATATTCCCGAGGAGTGTTCCAACTTATTCAAGGATGTTGGGCGCAAAAAATAACTTCTGCCGTATTACGACCGAGTCGACTGTATAACCGTGTAGAAATGGAACTTTTTAGCGTCTATCAGGTCTAAGTATCAATACTGCGCTACGCTGTATTGTCTCTAATTACCGTATGCCGGTATATACGGCGTTTACAATCTCACCTCCATTTGCGAGCGCATTCACCGCTGGTTTTCCTAACCTAACCTAGCCCATCATCGTTCATAGCCTGATGGGATTCCGCTCTACATCTCGCCAGCAGTCCTAGACCATCTGATCTTTCAAGTTTGAACATAGTAATGGATCTGACGACCAAGATTTTGAACTTATTCTATGTATTATACACTTCCTTTTTTGAGGACCAATAAGCGCAAAGAAAGTCCGCCGGGGTTAAGGGCAGTGTTCCTATGGAAACTGTCCTTTCCACCAGATTGACCACCCGTACTGATCTCTAAAGCCGCACCAACACTAACTGTTGCAGGAAATTGGCTCATCTTGGCGAGAATAAGTATTTTACGAACTTGAGATGCCTTTCAAAATTAATTCGAGTCATCACCAACTAGACTAAGAACTGCCAAGGAAGGATATCATGATGTGATAGACATTAGAGAAGCGACCGGAGAGACATGTGTTTCGGTTCAACCCGACCTGTGCGGGGTCATCAGCACCTGTTCAGCCGTTCGAAGAGAGCCAATCAAGGCTCTACCTGCATATGCCATAACAGGTATTCAGAGCTCTTAGGCTAGACTAGTGGTGTCAGCCTGGACAAGTAGGTCTCGAATGGTTTTATCTTAGGCAGAGCAACATATAAAGCCCGGCTTGGACTTCCTTTCCTCAGTAACTGCGCTATCGCGAGATGACCGATAAGGCAGCCATGTCTTTTCGCTTGTTGAACGTTTTTACCGGGCGATTGACCGAACATGCACTTACTAGCCATCCTTCTTTCTTGGCGGCATCTCACGCGTGGAGTGAGCAATTGTTCCCGCCAGATGTTGACTTCTTATTCAGTCCCGGGCGCATGGCCATTTTGACAACGGTGCAGCAGCGGTATCCCTCGATCAAGCACTGCTGGGTAGACACAATCTGCATCGACCAAAAGGACGTGGATGATAAGATCCGCCAGATCCCCCTGATGGGCGAGATATTTGGGAAAGCCGAAGGCGTCCTCATTATCTTGAGCTGCGAACTCGGCATGCGGCAGGATCATGTCGATAGTCTTACATCACAGCTAGACGGGGCGATTGCGATGGAGGCAGAGGAGGCTTGGGCAACCGAGGGTCAGCACTGGCAATTCGGGGACGGGCGTTCATTAATTGCACAGGCCATGAAGGGATTGGCAAGATTGACGACAACTGCATGGAGTACAAGGGTCTGGACGCTGCAGGAGTATATACTAGCTCGCACCATCACATGGATCGGCACAAACCTCGTACCTCTAGTCATTGACGACATATTGTTCTCCTCTTTACCGGTCATATGCGACACACTAATCATTGAAGAATGCATGGGCGGTGAATTCGACAAGCTTTACAAGTTCTTCAGCGGCATGGCAAATGTCCGCCTACGCCGCGGAGATCGCACCCGAGTTATGGAACTATTGGGCAATCGGAAAGCGACAGTAGAATGTGACGAAGTCTACGGAGTTATGGCTGCCTCAGGTGTAGAGGTTTCTGTCATGAAGAACGAAAAGAAGGAGCAAGTCTGGGCACGATGGGTAGAGGAAGCTCTCCGTCAAGGGCACCTGCGTTGGTTACTCCTGCCGACGATAGGGCCTGCTTCTGCAATTCATGAGAATTGCATCGTCGTTCCATTTAGTGTAAGGCACGAGGCATCTTCCTGCTCTGTATTGGATAAACTATATCCTCTGGGCCCATGTAGTGTCAGCAATGGGGCGGCCACCGTCACAGGAAGATTTCTCGGATTCTGTCATATTGAAAAGAGATTAGGTGCAGTCCATGAGCCAGAACCCAATCATATTCACCGGGATATCACAGTTATACTCTATGCAGCAGGACGATGGAGTTACGCCTTGCGAGTCGGCTCTGCATTGAGTGCAGGGCGTTATAAAACTCGTCACATAGTTTCTATCGCTCAGGCACTGATTGACAATTGGTCAGGGGCACTACGTGCGGTACATCGTGGTAGTGAGGAGAGATTCAAGATGAAGTTCAGGACCGAGGGCCAAGCGCGGATATGGAAAGACTTCATGCTTTTCATGGCGAGCCGATTGACAGGGTTGAACGCCGGCGTAGCATATCTCGCCACGATCCGACGAGCTTCCATGAGAGTGGACACAATTATAGTAGTTGCCAGAGATCAGCACTTGCCTGCTGGAGAACTTGCAGTCGTTGACGTTGGCGGTAGGACACCTGACGGCTTGTGCGTTTTCCTGATTGCGACAAAAAGTACAACGTCCGGTGCAGAGGCTCTTAGCAATGCCAGACACAAGGTTGCTGTGACCCTTCCATTGAGCAGTGCCTTTGAGGGCCTCGTTAAACACTTTAAGCTCGAGTCTTTTACTTTCGGAGGCCGGAACTGTCAAGTTTGTCATGAATATCGAAAGACAGCACTAAGCGATGGTATCGCGTCGACAATGTCGCCAGTTCGATCTTTAGGAAACAGGAGAACCGAAAGAGTCCAGTGTAGTAGAAAGAGAAGACGATCAAAGTATCTAAGGAGAAGACTAAGATGATCGCATCTAGGTAAGGAAAGTATATATGCGGCAAGATATTGCGGTCCTAAATATGATAGAGACGTAGAAGAACTGGTATACAACTAGCACATATATCCGGCAAGGCGAGTCTTACATTAGTGGTTACGCAATATGTTTTTATCTCTTCAAGTTAGTTTGAAATAGACCACATATTTTATAATTGATAAATTTATAAATTGGACTGTTCCTCGGCAGTATTTATACCGCAAATCCGCAGAAGTGAGGTCGTAGTAGCGTGGCTGCTAAACCACCCTTGGCACTAAGGAACAAGTAAATTAAGACGCAGAAGGACAAATACTTTTAGAGGGTTGGTGGAACACAAAAGCCTGTTGAGGAGATCGAATCGCCTGGCGGCGTGAGAGCTTCATGCTAATCCGTAGCGAACAGTATACATACGACTATTGTCTGGGGATTCCTCTCGTAATACTTTATTACAGCCAATGAGCTGAATAGGTCGTGTCTAAGTCCTTGCAGTCAATTATCCCAGTAAGAATACATAACAGTTATCTTTTAACGTTCTGGGGACTGACACAACCTAGTTAGGAAGGTACCAAAAGCAACCACTAAATGCCGTCGATTAGATACGTGCATTTGCCCGAGGTTACTTGACTGGCTAATATCGTCCCAGAAGTCCTACTCATTAACTAAATTTGAAACCTAGTGACTCAGGAAACTTCCTTGACCAAATTCGCTCAACCAAGATGGCGGAATGATTGGTTTAGAGCGGTTAGCTAACGCTCCGTTAGTGGCGTTCTAAAGCTATGCTGGTCGCGTCAACTAATTACGCTACTGCTTCCATCTCAATTATTACTTGTTGTAACTCAGAGCCTGGTTTTAGACCATTTGAGTGCGATCTCTAGTATATCTCTTTTTCGACGATAGGAGGCGTGGTTAAGATAATTAGTGGCAGCATAAACTGCCTGAATAATTGCACAGATTGGCGCTCTATCTACGTGAATTTGTTTGGTAGCTACATATATAGCCCGAATAGCTACCTAGGATTGCCGCTTCAGCTACTTGAATTGATGTTAGTCGCCCCTAATTCCATTCGTTGAATCATCCGGACAGGGGCAGCAGCCAATAAAGTCTAGACTAGATGAAAGATCAATTCCCAATTTACTAACTATTAACCTGATGTGTTTACAGCATTGAAAGTCTACGTAATGGTGATGACATCTGCTTGCAATATTTACAGACATGACATATCGAACGTGTTAGTCCAGTGCCTAGCTGATCGGTGGCAGCCAAACGTCGAGATGCTAATTAAGGCTTCGCAAATGTGGCGGCCATCATCCATTCCTACAGCCTAACTTGGCCTCTACAGAAGAGGGGACTCACATCATATCACTTCCTGTATCCCTTCCTATATCCCGTCTTATATCCTCTTTTTGACAAGATTCTCTCCAATGCGAAGATTACAAGAGTGTGAATTGTAAAGGCGACAATGCGGGTGTATTTGACGGTTCAGACTAGATACATCCAGGATAGCACTAGACAAAGCAAACTCCAAGTCCTTCACAAGGGTTCACGAGGCATTGATATGACGAGCAAGCGTTGTAGAAGAAAGAGTGACTGGGAGGACTTCTTCGGTCTGCCATCTTCAGAAATGTTTAAATGAAACCTCGGGCATGAACGAGAACATACTTCTCAGCGTAGCTCCGGGTCCGACTCCGACACATGCCCCATAGGGCTTTGGGCTCTCCCGTGAGGTCCGCCTAGATGGCCATGCATGCCTGTACTTTCTGGTGTGATCATCCCGGATGTACTACCATGCGCTGTCGTGGTATACGAGTAAGACGAAACATAATCAGTACCAGCCGAGTCTAAAGTTGCGCACGCGGAATGCGGCAAGGTCGAACTGGAGAGACGAGTCCGGTAGGGATTGAGGTTCGACAGTGGCTTGGCAGACTGGGGTTGGTTGGCGGGCAGTTCACTGGACACAACGCGTTCGATGGCTGGGAGCTCCGACTTATGTCCTACCCCATACGTCGCATCCGTAGGTTCGTCTAACAAAGGCTTCGACGGTGTAAATTGCTGAGACTGGGACACTTGGTATGGCTGGTTCGGCGGGCTTACAGGGCTAGTCGGTGCTTGTTCCATTTGTGGACCGGATTGCGAGTCCCTGACCTTCCTTCTCCGTTGCTGGGATACTAAGGCAAAGAAGATAGCTCCGGCGATTAGTAGCGCGCCGGCTGCAGCACCAACTCCTATGCCCACCTTGGCCCCAGTCGACAGCCCACCATCGGCACCAGTAGTAGATATTGGTGCCGTCGAAGTGGTGGTGGAGCTATTCTGCGCCGACGTGATTGAAGTCTGGATTGGGGTGGTGGTAGTCGCACTCCCGGATATCTGAGCTGTCGGAGTAATAGGAGTATTGCCTAGAGTCGGTGTGAAGCCACTAGTCCAAGCTATGGAGGCCCCGGTGCTATTCGGCAAGCTCGCGAACGCCGGGAGGGCCGTGCCACCCACGTATAGCTTGTCGGCGCAATACGGGTCGCAGCTTTGAAGCGGAAGCCGCTCTAGCTCCGTCGCGTTAGGAGCCGTCTTGCACCCTCCCCACACGGTGTCGTTATTCCCTGTGCCCTTCTCGCAGTGGTGTATGCCAACCCACTCCTGATCGTCAAACTCCGGGGACTTCCATGGACAGGCCCTGTCGTTAAAGCCGGAATCTGTACATCCCGCTAGGTAGGTGTTGCCAGCTATGGTGAACACTCGTTAGTATGTCATGTGCCTATTGTCCTAATGGAAGACGAACTCTCGGCGTCATAGCATGCATTGGAGTTGTCAAAATCGAGGCATATACTTCCCGTGTGGCAACACGGCCAATGTCCGAACGCGATGTTGCCACAAGGAATGAAACTGCCTTTTGATAGTCTGCCTTTCTTAGAGTAACAGGTCCCATTGGACACATGAGGGTTCGCATCGACGCTCATGGTGTCGGATTATTTGTGATTCAGTTGAACGTAGGTGGGATGTGAAGGGACTGATTGCCACAAAGGTAATCTTACAGAACGATCACTAGTACTAGATGGTATATAACAATATCAATTCTCAGGACACTGACCCGAGAAATACTTTAGAGAAATAGCAAGCTGTACTTAACTGAATTCCGTGACTATCTTAAAAAGCCCCAGGCTGCTCAGAGCCAATAACGCAGACCCCGCCATACAGTTGCATTCTTGCACCATCTTATCACGAATCATGATACCAATTCCACCGCCACAAATGTCGATTGGCCAGCATTTTAAGATTTCGTAGACTGGGCTATGATGTTCCAGGCATCTTATCACTGCCTTCCTAGCATCATCTTAAGTGTGTAGTCCAGCTGCAGTGATCTCGTAAATTCTTTAGATCCGACTTTTGTGATCGTAACTTGTATCATAGATTCTCAGTATCAGCACAAGTCTAACCGAACGCTGGCGTTGGAAGCACGTGCAAATTACTCCAAGGATGCGACACAATCGAAGTTCTGGATTGCTCTAGGTTAATTGATTAGGACTGGTAGGCTCCGTGTGCCAAGCCGATCAATTCATTAAGGTAGGTTCCGCTCACTTTAAGATGTCAAAACTCAGTTAAGATCTACGTGAACTCGTTGATGACAGCTCTCCCTAAAATGAGCGTTAGAGCCGGTTCTAGTGACACGATCGTGTAGGAGGTTCTGTGATTAGGCATATGTTAACGCAAGCGGTTCCCATGGAGTCAGTAAGTGAAGAGCGTATTGCAAACCGTGGTAGGAAGTCCTGAGGTATGCGTTCCAGCGTTTTTCATTCGCTCCAAGGTCCAAAACTACATACCCTCCTGAACCTTCGAGGATGTTCGTAATGATGGGGTAAATCCAGATTAAACCAAAATTAGACCACAAGGAATACTCGATTTTTATGATGTTCCTTACAACTGCAAACCCCATTCCTTGAACAAAGTCCAGCTTGTTGATGCCTGTAAACGATCTGCCGCAGTACTGGCTCAAACTACAGCTAGCAGTTTTCGATCCTTCAGTCCGAGTAACTGAGTGCTTGAGCAGCTGTGACCGAATGGGCTGACCTCAGGATGCCAGATCTCATCTTGTTCAATTATGAACGCTGGTAAAGATGCTAGTTGGCACATAGTGCTACGCGCTTGTTTAATATCTTTGTTATTTATCCTATATAGCTACTTGCTGGATCGGAACAAGTGGTATTTACTAGCATCCATTATAATGCGCTCTGTTGATATTGATGGTCAATAGACCAGCCGATTGCGCAATCGCCCAGTCCTATAATTGAGGTGATCTAGCCCCTATCCCGCACTCATTCCTGTAATTGACATCGTCTTTGACGTCAAGAATTCTGAAGCAGTATTCGAATATGTCTACTTCAGGAAAGCATATAGGAAAAGGTGATATGAAGGTTCGACTAAGAGATTATGCGGCATTGCATTATATGACTTCGAGGCTCCGAATTCTGCTATTGGTCGCTGTCGGTGATATTAGAACTAGAACTTTCTCTGTACTGTGTAGACGCTTAAGGATAGCACTTGTATTATCGAAAACTTGTGAAATAGCCTACCCGAGGGACAACTGGTTTATGTCAGATGATCCATGGATTTGAAATATCTATAGCCTGCCAGGAAACACAGGCGTGGCTCAATATTCGTAGTTTCACATGCAATGCGTATCCAATACATTCCGTCATTGGCCGTTAAATGAATGAAGGTGGAGATTTCCCAGTCACACGTGACATATCGAAATCGGCATGGAGCGAAACCCTGTCCACCGGGTGGGCTGCATCCATTGTTGTGAGACATGTGATCTAAGACATTCTGTTTCTAACTGGTTAGGAAATCTGTTGGTCCATGACGAGTGATATATGGCCTTGATGGCAATATCCGTGGTCGAGCCTATGCTGAGTAGCCTAAATGATCGAGAAAGGCCCGGGACAGCTTCAGTGATGTGACCCTTGGCTGTCTATGATATTCTTGGTCGTTACAGGTCTGCAGAAAGCTAGAGAATGGGATCATGTATCCACACCAAACCAGGAATTAAAGCACCGTGGCGTTTTCCGAACATACCGGATGTAACGGAGGCCATGGCTACGGGCGGCTTCTAGTTTGAACCTAACCGCCAAGGTTGATTAGTACCCTTTCGAGTTTTTATTGGTCAGATACGTGACTATGATCCGACCAGAAGACTAATATACGCTGGCCCAACTCTATGGCTAAGGCAGCATCTTACCTTTCCTCAACCCCAACCAACACTACCACAATGCACAATACTATATAGCTACATTTACAAGCATACGAGAATTTCTCATGATCATTCAATGGCCGAGAATCTTCAAGCTAATGTTAAACAACAATTATTAGGTGCGAGAAAAAGCGAGAGGTTCGTTGGTATTAAGGTGATTGCGTTCTATCAATGCGTAGAATCCATTCTACTATCTGAATGCATCCTTAAAGCAAAAAATCAATGTTTCCACTCTCAGGGCTGACACCGCGGTAGGTGGCGCAAGCCTTTTAACTTCGTGTCTAGCATAGTTCATGACCTGTTAAAAACCGTCACATGCAAACTTTTGGTCAGAATCACCTTGACAAGCACAGTTTGCCAGACTGCAACGCCTTGTCGCGTTACACAGTAGATAGTTGAAAGAAATGCTGGCTTTACTTGAAGAAGAGCCTCGCAGAAGCAATCAGGATTACAGAGTTAACTTTGCAGACTAGCATATTGCACCCTCCCTTTTGGCTTAAGATGTTGTGTTTTCCTTGGCCTGAAAAATGCAGATGTACTTGTGCTCCGAGAGGGGTGCTCGTGAACACATCAACATTAGCAGCAGCAGCACCCAAAGTCTCGTCCTTGCCCTCCAAACCCGGCCAGTACGAATATCGCTGCTAAGAATTAATGCAGCACAAGGCTGTGGTGTGGCATCTTTCTACCGCTGTCGCATGCAGGTGACATCTCTGTTCGCATCTGAGCTTATTCCCTGCCACTTGCCAAGGGTTGTAGCAGCTGCGAGGATTTGACGGCGTTGTCGTGCGCAGTCTCTAGTCAGAAGTGCGAAATCGCAAACCGAGTCGTCGTTCATGAGGGGACGCCTTTGTCCAGGTGTCCCACTACTGTCCTCATCCCGCCACTGGCCCTGAGCTACAGGAACTGACAATCATCGTCGTTGGTGCCACAGCCTTATTTCTCGCCCGCTTACGAGCCAGATTGTCCTTGTTGGAGCGCGCATGATTCATCTGTGGAAGGAAGCACGAATGGTCGGGATATGGTTGGGTAAGCAAACTTATCTGCCGCGTCATACTATAATATATTAGGTATGTCTAATCTATCTTCTCATACCTGGCATCACTGAATCGAGCCTCCCAAACTCAACTCCTTATCCGCATTACCCCAGAACAGCTGAAAGTTCCCCTTACCATACATGCTGTTCAGATCGGACAAGAAGCTGTCGATAACTGCGCCGATTGGTGTATAAAAGCACATACCATCGAGATCAATGCCTTGCGCACTGTGCGGCAACTCGATACGCCAACCATCTGGGTCGCCTGACTGATGACGCTGGTCCATGCCGCCCCAGAGAAGTCCCAACCCAAAGGACGACCCTCTTGGTCGTAGATCAACGACCCAGAATCACCTGGGCGGGAAAAGTGACCCAAGGGGCCAGACGTACCATCAGAAGATAGGATTGGAAATTCTGTTGTTTCGGTCTGGACTCTATCCTTCTCCCACATGCGGACGCAGACGCCAAGGCCATGTTGCCGTCCGATAGTCGGACCTGTTGTCCGACCAGCCTTGAAGGCCCACTTGCCCTGCACAACGCTGACTCTGTCTTGTGTATACTTTCGTGCGTGTGTGACCAAAGCCGGACATGGTGCCTAACGAGGTAAAGATATTAGTAAGCATATATGTCGAGGCAAGACAGAAAAGGTAAGACAGATGATAGAGGACCGTTGCTTACATTGGTAAAGTGGCCAATACGGGGAGCATCGATCTCAAAGGTGCCGTAGTCCAGTCGACACTCATATGTGCCGTTGCCAGGTTGAGGTCGTCCGTAGCTTTGTTTACTCATCATACCCGAGGAATGAAAGAGGGTCCCAAGATCACGCTCGAAAACGATTGCACGCTGCAGTTGCTGGGAAGCCTCGTTGGCATCAGGCAGCAGAGGATTGCCAGCTGATTCGTGCTGGGTGGCCTGTGTGAGTTCGGCAACCCAAGAGTCATGATCGACGGACGAGGGGCCCTCGACAGTGATGGTCTCGTTGTTGGCAGCGGTAGAAGCAAAAATGGATTCGCGAGAATCTGCAGTAGACGTAATGAGCAAGACGAGCGGAAAACCAAACAAATAAGAAAAGGTGAGGAAAGACTTGTACTTACCAGGAGCCACAATGTGAGCACAGCTGACACCAAGGAATACATCGATACAACGGGACTTGACGACAAGCTTGAGAATAGGTCCCAGGGATCCCGATATGCCGGAAGAAGCACAACCGATGCTACTGCCGAGAACGGGAGTATTCTGGTAGGTATCCTCAAAGCTGAGGCCTTTGTGATCCGAAGACGCAAAGTCACGAAGAAGTTTGGGTTCTCCTTCCATGACCTCGATGAGGAGAGTGTCAAGATACCTGTCCAAGACTTGGCAGAGCTTGCTAACAACATCTCTAGCAGCTTCTTTTGATAGCGTGGATGCGCGAATGGCAACGATCAATGCAACAGTCTCTTGGTCCTTGATGTCGTGGTTGTTGTTGTTGTTGTCGCTGTTGTCGCTGTCATGGCCACTGCCACTGTTTTTGCGACCGCTACCAGTGTCTACGACCTTGAAAGGTCCTAGCATTGTGAGCTAAACATTGTTCTCGTCAAGGACGTGGATCAACTGTTGCTGGACCGGCACCGGGTATTCAGCTGAGTTTGTGGTAGGAGTCGAGTGCTCGGCCGCCTGATTGTTGCCATGTACCTAGCATGCAACAAAGGCGTCCTTGCCGACGTCGTCATCGAGAGGATCTATCAGTCGCAGAAAGCGACGGCGCAAAGACCAAAAACCTGTCATGGCGAATTTGGGGACAGGATTGAACGAGTCTGGCTGGAAACGAGCCAGGTAGCCTGCGGAGGGATGCTCGGGCGAGTGAATCCGATGGGCATATCTTGTCCGTTCATTGCTGTAATGGTTCTGAACCTGGCCACGATCTTGATCCATTGCGAAAGCCGAGTCAAGAGGTAGACTGTGAAAACTTGCGTTTCGGTTCCTGTGTGTTCGACGACAGGCAAACACGGTAGCTTCTGCTGGTGTTTTGGTAAGTGTGATGAGTGATGGCGGGGGCGGCGTGACGGCAGAATCGATGTAGACTCTAAGGTTAGATAAGTCCTTATCGCGTGCCTTGTCGTGTGAATGATCCTCAGCGTCATCCCTAGCGTAGCAGTACCGGCGCTAGCGGCCTTGAGGCGGGCGCTAATGCCAGGAACGCTTCGGCTATGCATATGCATAGGAGCAGAAAATAATGACAACATTTTCGTGTAATCTCACTTTTAAGTGATTAGTAGGACTTTGGTGTCTTTTAAAGAAACTTCTCACCAAGGCCGCGTACAAGAGACTGCGCAAGTCTGTAGCAATAGAGAAGGAAGAAAGAACGAAAGAAATCAAAAGCGTAATAAACGTGCTTGGTTTTTCTTGTCTGCTGCGAATTGCATGTTGGCTTTAGACTAGTCTAGACTAGACTAGTGCAAGCTTGCATGGTGGGGGTGGGGCAAGGACGACTCGGTAGACCAAGTGGGCCGACAATCACGTCGCCGTGCACAATGCGCATCAGTGCTGGTTGAGGACATGCTGCCTTGAGGTTTTAGTGCATGTGACATACCTGCAATTGTGTTTGGATTCATTGGATGCACAGGACTGGAGTTTGGGGCTCAAGCTGCAACAGCGGCGGCAGCAGCTGGAGCTTGAGGTCCACCAGACTGCCTCTTTACAGTGCAACAAATCTAAACTTTGTGCGAGGCTGATATGTAGGCTATGGTAGCTTGTATTTGGTCTCATTCTCAGGGCCGTGGCGATGTGACGAGATTAAGACATTAAAGCTACCAGTCGCCTACTATAAGTATATCGCCACCCACCAGCTTTCACGTCTACTTGGGCATTCACCATGCATTGCAAACAAGAGCCTTCGTTCTGACGTCGTTATGGGAGAAACATTATTATGATCACAAATTCGTGAACTATCTACAATACCCTGACGTGGACGACGAGGTCGGGTAGCTTGTGGCGAATATTCAACGTGATATCCGTCGAGCCAGGTTTATGGAATCCCATTCAGTGGATTTGAGCCTCATAATCCTCAAGTTAACTTCAAAAAAAGGTTATCTGATATCAGATCTATTTCTGCAACCCGTTAGGGATTCGTGCCCTGCTGAGCAGCGAAGTTTGGTGATCTTAACTGGCTTAGATTTATACTCCATTCAAGGTAGGTTATTAATCAGAGCTTTTTATGAAGCGTGGCACTATTTGGAGGTCGAACCATGCCAATTTCCTTCTCCCTCTACATGGTGAGTTAGTTCTACACTGACGTTCATGACAGGACGGCCAAGCGATTGGGTCATGTTTGGGCCAACGTCACAGATATCTACTAATATTCATAGTAAGAAGAGCAGATGAATGATCTCCACTTGAATTAAACAATACTTTCAGAGCCGTACAGCATGTTATACGATCGCCAAAAAAGAAAGAAAAAAGGTTTACCAGCTCAATTTCTGTACATAAATTACGCTTCCAATGGATCCGATGCAACCGTTCGACTTGTTCAAGCTGACACTAGTCGAGAATATAAATCCGTTGCGCTGAGTCACTGCTAGCAAAATAGTGAACCCATAAAGACGACGTCGCAGAATGTTGCGGAGCGATTACGGGACATCCTGTGGGAAGACCTGCCCTTAGTTTTTCAAGACACTATTCGACTTTCTCTTCTCCTAGGTATACACTACATATGGATAGATTCCTTGTGCACTATTCAAGGCGACGAGTATTTCTGGTCGAGGGAGTCGCCAGAGATGGGTGCAGTCTATGGAAACGCCTACGTTGTCTTTGCTGCTCATCGGCCCAATCTCTCCTTGCAAAAGAAGCCTACACATGCATAGAGGAGAAAAGAACTATTGGCAGCGCCTCTCACGGCGACACTGACGTTATTGTACGGCAGGCAATCGAACATTCTCCGTTTGTAAACCCTGTTCCTGATGGTCAAACTCACCTGTAAATTGGACGCGCCTGATGTTCCAGGAGCAGCTCTTTGCTTCTCGGTTAGTCCACTTTGGATGCCCAGCGGAAGAATCAACTTTCGAATGTAATGTACACCTTCGCTGTGAATGCGGTGGTATTTAAGGATATCGATGAACTTCTACAGCGCAATAAACTAGCATCCATGGGTGATGAACAACAATCGACCTTTTCAAGAACTCTAAGGAAGGCGAAGACACAAGAACCCTCGCAGGGGACTCGGAGCAAGTGGAGTTTGTACACTGCGCTATGTGAGACATTTTCTACTCGGATTATCGAATTCGAAAGACGCCCTGCTAGCTCTATCGAGCCTTGTCAATCGGGTAAGCCGGCTACTACATCAATTGCGACACAGCCACAAATGATCCGTTTGGACGCGTCATTCGTGCGTACATCAAGCTACGCGGATATAGCATCCAAGTGCCATTTGAGAAATTGGTAAAGTGCTATACGATCAGCCGCCTTCGAATATTGCCTGTTGAAGATCCCCGTGCAGCGGAGGATGGGCCGAGTCGGCAAAATCATGGTGAGCAAGAGCCATTAGATACGATCTCCCTGAAAGAGGGCTTAGTAAGTGGAGTTTCAACATTTCTCATAGTGCTCGAATATAATTTGGAAGATTCGGCGGAAGAAGAGTTTAAGGAAGGGATAGCCAAACGAAGGGAAGAAGAAGACGAAGAAGACGAAGAAGACGAAGAAGACGAAGAAGACGAAGAGGGCCAGAAAGATGGAGAGAGCGAAGAAGTCAACAAAAGAAAAGCGAGAAATAAAATGCGTCTGATGGATACTTCGTGAGCATAGATGCTCTGGAGGAACCACTCGAGGCTAGGGCAAAATAGTTACATGTTTAGATATTATGGGTAACAAGAATAGTGAGTTTCCTTTGTTAACCACACTAATTCTGATTTACGAGGACGAGCAGTCAGGAATATATCGCTGTGTTGGTCTCCATACCATATCATCAGATATCTTGCGGGACTTGAAACTAATAAATGTAACCATTATGTAAGCTTGGAGTCATCTTATTGGCCCTAGTCATATGGTACGCAGTAATCCAATGTTTCATCTTACAACTATAGTTTCATAGTCACGCTATCCTTGACCTGCGGAAAGATTACGTCTAGGTGAACCATATTGCTGTGATGTGTTCCTAAAACGTCCAGTTCCGACCTGAAGATCACGAATAGTTCATCACAACGCATTGAGGTTTTTTGGACTCATCGTCTGGATCCAAAATAAAGTTTTCAAAATCTAGATCCCTGATAGATTCCTGTCTCAATTTCCCTTTCCATATCAGCGTGTCTGTCAGCAGAGCCTCATGGATCAAAATAACAACAAGGATGTCCATTTTCAGCCCATATTAAGGATTCATATACACCAGTCCTGAGCCTGGAATACATTGCTTCTGCACCGAGAACAAGAGTTTTTTTCTCACAGGAGCCACCGTTTTGGTTTCGAGACTTTCAGGAATGGTAAAACGAGAATCAGCTTGGGTATTATGTCGAGATAAGCTTCTAATGCCCACTGAAGGGCATTGAGTGTTCGTTATCAGTCTGTACAAAACTCACTTCTACACTTGATGAAGATAACTCCTTCTAGGAGCTACTTTTGGATTCTCCATGATATTTTTAACTCCTGTATGCTTAATGCCAAGCATATCAGCTTTATCAAAGGGTGACTCGGAATGGTCTTGTGTCACCAAGGCGAAAGAAATCAGATTGTCATGAGCGTGCTAAGCTATCTGTCTGATCTTGAGTGGAGAATTGTCATAATTGCAATAACCAACGTGAATTGAAGAGGCTAACAATAGGGAGTGTTTAATAAATGCCCGGCCTGACCGAAGGTAAGCTGTGCGAAAGACGCTTGAGCGCCTTAGGCGTATGCATCTTCTCAACACCATCTACAGCCACTGTTTAGTTCCCAAGTGTGACAGGAAACTGCCACCATTGCCATTCTCAACACTTGATCGCTCTATCACTGAAAGAACATCCTTGATAGCTGCTTCTGGAGTGGCTGGGCCCTTAAAATGAGGCGCATACTCTTGGAACTTACCCAGCATGCGCGTCAATGCTTTCGTTTCTACTTCGGTCACTATAATATGGTCAGGTGGTTGACTCGAATCTCAAATATGTGAGTACTCACATTCGGCAATACTTCCCGTGTCAACCATGCCTGGACAAACAGATAGGAAGAGCACACCGTCTTCAGAATACTGCGCACTGAACTTGGCGATGACTGCATTCAGGGCCGCCTTGCTAATCGTGTACAGCGGAGCGAACTCAATATTGTACTTTGTGATCAGATCCAAGTCCGAATGGCCACTGGAGATAGCAATGACTTTCTTAACCTGACCTTTGAATATAAGCGGCATGAACAGGTTGATCAGGTTGATCTGAGCTATCACGTTGGTGTTCAGACACCTTGACAAGTCTTCCTGAAGGACTTGTGGTTGTTTGCTCCTTTACGAGACGTTAGTCTTCATCCAGGAAAATGTTGTCTCTGCGCTTACAATGCTGCAAAGCCACCAAACCTCTCGGCTTCGACTTGTGACATATAAGCTGCATTGGCAATGAGATAGTCAACGCTTCCGCCACTGATGTCAGCCACCTGCGCGACAGCATTCTGCCAGGACTTGTAAGCTAGGCATGAGAGAATAACTTTACGACGCACCTCCAAATTTTCGTAGTTGGTAATGTCGGCCTGAATAATATGTATGTTCATTCGACCGTGGAGTTCTTCGGCAACCCTTTTCTCAGTCGCTTGTTTGTCCCGAACTATCCCAATGACTTTGTTCTTGGCATCGCTGGATAGCTGGCGCAGGAACTCGTACTGTTTTAGACCGTAAATATTTGATTACTGCTTAATTTGATAGGTGAACTTACGCCAAGACCTTTCGAAGTCCCTGTGATAACGTATGTAGGCATAATAGACGATTTCTTAATTAGTCACGGAAGAGTTCAAAACGCCAAGAGTCTGGTGTTGCGAAAAGAAATCCAAAGATTAATGTGCTGAGAATAGGCTACTTAAGTATTACAGTTTATTTGTTCACGCTTAGATACCTCATCACCAAGACTGGCTGATTTGTAATTAGCACTGAGCTGGGGCGACATTCCCGGATTCAATGTTCACTTGAGCAAATCCTCTAGAAATATGCCTCGCGAAAACTTGACCATATCTCCAGATCTGACCAGTCTTGCAGCACAAGAAGGATTGGAAATAGGTATCACGCCGTCCATGAACTTGTACCCTTGCTTTTATCGCAAAAAGTTGCCATGACCCCGGTCCACAGCACCACCTGCATGACGTCTGTAGACTACTGCGGTGGTGCAAGATTAGCGCGCACAGGGATTCGTCGTGTCTTTGACCCAGTCAGCTCGTAAGCTGCCGAAGTCATCAGGACAAGCAGGCTCCAAACGGGGCTGCGGTCTTGATGGGAGCCCGTGCAATGTCTTCATGTTAGAACGAGAACGCATTTGGTAGAGATGCGTCTTAGGTAGTAACACAAATGTTTCACGACGGCCCAGACAGGCATCGAAAAACTGCTGAAATGGGCGATAAAGGCTGCGGGACATGCAGAGGTAGGCCAGCAGCGTACTGTTCTCGGCAGAAGGAATATCTGCTAAATTCCGGTCAGTCCGCAAGGTCCTGTGTGATCGCACTACCCCGAGTTGCCTGCGATGCTCTCGTTCCGGCCGGAATTGTGAGGGCTACGGCCTGCGGCTTTCCTGGCCGCGAGCCAACAATCGAAGGCGTGCTCTCATTGGTACGGGGCCTACCGGGAGGGCTCGGACTGGTGTCCTCCACAATGATGGTTGGGTTAACGCATCTTCCCGGGACATTGAGTTGCACTATTCACTTTCAAGTCGAGGACCACGACGTGAGTTACTGATCCAAGTCCCCTTTTTTTTTCTTTTCCCTCTCAACACGCGAGACTTACAGCCCCTAGTCAACGTTCAGCGCTTGGTATTGCACGCACCAGTAGCCTGGAATCCTTCCCGATTAGCTGACAATGAGGGATTCTTACTTCAGTATTGTAGGTATAAATGAGTGAGACTTGCCAAAGTGAGATGCTGAACAGTGATAGTCCAGCACACCGCATCTCAATCTCTTGCAACAATCGGTCAGGACCCTACCGAGCTAGGCCAGACACTCCTTCGTATGAGCCTGTTGAGTAACACCCCATCTTCCTCGGCAGTATTGCATGCCATGCTAGCATTCTCATCTGTCCACCGCCACGGAATGCAGTCACAAGCAGGCGAGCTAAAGATCTCAGCTCTGAGAGCTTTAGCAGCAGCCACAAAGTATGAGATTGGGGCTAGGGAGGCCATTCAGCATGTAGCCACTGGCATGCTGCTGTGCTCGTTTGAGGTATGCCATATCTTTGCCCAAAGACACTGGTAAAATACTGACCCTTGGTCAAACAGATTCACGAGAATACATGCACTTCAGGCCAGTGGGTATGCTATCTCAAGGGCATTAAAGATATCATGAAAGCGGCTTCTATAAGCGATCATCCTGATGACGAAGATTTTATCACATTACTCGATTGGGTTCACTACCATGAAGTACTCGCAAATTTCAGCCTTCCGCTCTGGCATGGCCAGGACCGCAAATGTGATTCAACTCCAAGAGGTGTCTCTAAACAGGTTTGTAACCCCAATTTATAACAAATTGAACTCACTTACTGTAATAGGTTCTGCACACAGCACCAGTTGCCATATTTGCCCTACTCGAGCTCTTATCAGAAGTGTGCCAGGCGGTGCCTATCCGCCAAAACATCGACTCAGCCGAGCACCTGGAAGACTATCAAAATTACCTGAATATACTGGAGTGGAAAATCGCGAGTGTAAAGTGTACAAGCGTAGATAACGACTCTCCGGCCTCGTCATCGATGGCCGAACTTTTCCAACTCTCCCTGCTTGTGTACTTACACCGCGCGACCAGGGATGTGAAAGAGCAACCACTCAGAACGGAACGGCGAATCGAAAGGGCATTCACTATTCTATCTCAGCTCGATTCTTGCCAACGTCAGTTCCCCTTATTTGTGTTCGGCTGCGAAGCGCGGACAGATTCCCAAAGAATGACCATTTTGAACTTAATATCTCGAACGGAGAAGAATCTAACATCTCGACCAATCTCATATGTCAAACTCCTAATACAAGCTCTATGGACTCAAGATGATCTCTCAGATGTTTCAATTGACTATACGGAGAAACTGAGTTCTGTCATCAGTTGTTGCGCAGTCTTGCCTACATTTGTCTAGAGCATGTGTTTTGGGTTGTTAGCAGATGGTTGCGGACGAGCTTACTTGTATGAGACACAATAATTGAGGTACAACGGGCCGATATGATTGATTCACGTCATGATTGGATAGGGAGGCTATTGTAGATGACAAACAAGTAATGTGACATTGTATAGATGTGCGATACAATGTATCGTTAGTTCAAATGAGCCGCGACCTGTTGCGGGGTGAATTGTTACCCAACAGTGTGGTCACATTCCATCAACAACAATTGGAGTACAAACTTCCAAATTCCACCAGCGTTAAATTCCCATGCTCATAATAGACTTCAAATATGCATTAATTCTCATCCCCGGTATTGACACCTCCGCCAGGCTAGAGAAGATATAGTATAGTTTAAGTACCAACGGTTCTGCCGCCGCTTAATCCCGCCTAGCAATGTTACGGCTGTGACACCAGACTAAACGACACGGGATCCGGCATTTCACCTATAGCACTTCAACTGCCGTGCCGTGCTCGCTCGGATAAGTATACCGTTGTTCGTTCGATTAGGAATTCCCTGAAAGAAGTAACAAATCTTTATCTATGTAGTAACAGATGATCAATCCGTTCAGTCACTTCGTTTGACATGACACTCCGCATACAATTCGTGGGAAAATAAGAAAATGTTTCGAATAAAAAGTACGGGTCCTGGCGACTTGGAGTTACGGACCCTGATTGTCCGAGCTTTGCGAGGTTGAGATGTGAAGTCAATGGATAGTATCTGTTCGTTTCCGACTCAACCTAAGGGCACTTTCATGACGGAAAATTACTTTTGAAAAAAAGAATACTATTGTTGAACGCCTCATAAAGTGATATACAAAACAACCATGCATCTCAATTCTGCATTGGCTACAGAAACTCCACTGCCAACATATTTTCATAGTCATTCATACGTGAACCTCTGGTATAGCCTTGTTGACCGCCATCATGTGCTTTTCTCTAATACGCCTCGTCGCAACGTTCATCCATGTACTTCCGGTAGTAAGCCAGCTGTCTGGTCGTGTGGGCCCAACCACTTCGACAACCTCGAAAGCAGCGAAGAAAGTCTGCAATATCATGCAGTACGGAGGAGTCTCAAGTGCAACAACTGACAACAGCGCCGCGATCACCTCCGCCTGGAACGCCTGCAAGTCAGGCGGCCAAGGTACGCGAACTTGACGTGATCTTGACTGACCGACTCTGCTGACTCTGGGTTAGTATATATACCTGCGGGCAACTATGGACTAAACTCTTGGGTGGCCCTAAGTGGCGGCACTGGTGTCAGCATCAATCTTGAAGGTAGGTCATGTTTTTCTTTTCTGCAGCGTTTGAATATCAGTTGGCCTCTTCTATCACTGCATACATTCGATGCTTACTCTTGTTGCGACTGATAGGAACCATCTATAGAATGTCTACAGCTGGTGGCAACATGATTGCAGTTTCCCAGACGACTGATTTTGAGTTCTATAGTGCCAATTCCAAGGGCGCCATCCAGGGGTACGGATACCAGCTGAATACGAAGGGCGCCAGCGGTCCACGACTTATTCGACTAATCGATGTGACCAACTTTTCGCTCCATGATATTGCTCTTGTTGATGGTGAGAAGGAGTTTCCTCCCTTCCACGAGGAGGATAAAATCTGCTGACTTCATGAGCAGCCCCCGTGTTCCATCTAACTCTGGACTCCTGCACTAATGGTGAAGTCTATAACACGATCATTCATGGTGCCTCCGAAGGAGGGCTGGACGGCATTGATGTGTGGGGCAGCAACATTTGGCTCCACGACGTCGAAGTGAGTAACAAGGACGAATGCGTGACGGTCAAGAACCCCGCAAACAACATCCTCGTCGAGCAAGTACACTGCAACTGGTCAGGCGGCTCGGCCATGGGATCCCTCTCGACGGGCACCAGTAAGTAGAACGCCTAGACAGAGGAACCTCTGAACAGCTCTTTCTGATTGCCAAAACCTCCCAGATATCCACGACATCGAATACAACTACATCTACACGCACCACTCGAACCAGATGTACATGATCAAGTCCAACGGGGGTGGCGGCACTGTCAGAAACGTGGCCTTCAACAACTTCATGGGCCACAGCAACGCCTACACACTCAACTTCGACACGGCCTGGAGCAGCATGAGCAAGGCGGCCGGGAATGGCATCGCCTACACCAACATCACCTTCGGCGCCTGGAAGGGCACCGCGGCGAACGGTGTCCAGCGCGGCCCCATCAAGGTGAACTGCCCCTCGGCGGTGCCGTGCACGGGCATCAACATCCGGGACTTCAACGTGTGGACCGACACGGGCAGTTCCGTGCTGTGGGGGTGCCAGAATGCCTACGGGTCCGGGGGCTGCCTCAAGACCGCCTCAGGGGGAGCCTACACCTCGACCTCGACAGTCAGGTCCGTGGGCGGCTACCAGTATGCCACCATGTCCAACGAGCTGCCGTCCGGGTTCCCCGTCGGGAGGCAGATCCCGGTCCCGTCCCTGCCGGCATCTTTCTATCCGGGTCGACAGCCTATTTCCGCGATCCTGGCTAGGCGAGGTGTGCCGACACCGGTTGGATCAGATAAGGTTGACGTGACCGCGACGGTAACTTCGACTCTTGCCAGGGTAGTAACAGCGACACCGTCGCCGATCCTCTAGGGACCAGCAGGGATCTCTCAAAGACAGCAGTTGCTGGTAAATCTGGACGATCCAGTATAACAAACACTAGGAGAACGCTTTCTCGTGGACTGATCAGGTATACTTTAAGTGGAAAATCGAAAGAGACATATTTGAATACACGCATTCAACTTATATGCACTTGATATATAGTTCCAAGCTGTCTGGTACAGTTTGCTTGTTTTATGCGCTTCATGGAGATTGAGCAATGTTTCCACACCGAAAGTATATGCATGATATTATAAGAAATATATGCTATGCCATCAGTAGTCTCCAAGGGATCCCTCGATCCTTCCAACGCGAAGCGCCGTCTCAATCTATACCCTCGTTATATTGAAAGAGGCCGAAGAAATAGTGAATCCCTTGCTTATAAAAGTCCGTTTTTTCCTGCCTCAAATATTTACATATAAACGGAGGGACTGGGAAAAAAAAACCCCCCCCAATTTGCAAGACCATATTGTACAAGCCGCCACTTGACCTCATTTTCCACAATGACTTGCCGGGAATTTTGTACTCCTTATAATCCTCACACTGCCACAACTACTTAATGTCCATTTGTGACTCCATTGGGCTCAGCTTTCGGAGAGGCAGCAACAATGGAGTATTGACCACCAGCACCTGCCCAGATAATCTTGCGGCCGTGAATTGCAGTATTGTCAATAAGGGCAGGTTCTTCAACATCATCAGAAGTGCCTTGACCAGTCTGGTAGTTGGCTGAGAAACCCCATGAGTATACCTGACCGTTTCCTGTCAGTGCAAAACTTGTGTCAGTGCCGGTAGCGACGAAGGTGGCATTGATGTCTGGCAGAACAGTTAGCGAGTGATTGGAATGCGCATCGACGAGCTTGGAAAACATACCTTGGATTGGCGTGGGCTCAATAAGAATGCGGGGTCTTCCATTGCCATCGTAGACGGTGTTCGCTTCTGTGTGCACCTCCTGTGGCTGACCGACCTGATGGCCGTCGACGCGACCCCATGTGAGGAGGGCACCGTCAGTTGTCGCAGCGACGGAGTGGTGCTCGCCACCATCAATCGACGCGATTTTCTTTCCAGCCAGTGACTCGACAGGCCTAGGCACAAGAACCATAGCATCATCTTCGCCACGGTTATCGTTGTGGCCAGTCTGTGAATAGTTGTTGAGACCCCATGCCCAGATTTGGCCGTGGTTGTCGGTGTAGAAACTATGATATGAGCCGGTAGCAATATCAATAGCGTGATGCCTGCGAGTGAATCTTCCACAAGGTTCGGGCTTGAGGCCACTGTTCTTTCCTCGCGTGATGGCCTTGCGACCAAGCTGGTACTGTCCACCACTGCCCCAGCTGAATACCTTGCCATCAAGATCAAGAGCAAGAACGTGGTTGGCACCAGCCGCGAGACGTGTAATATTCTTCAGGCCCATAATCAAGATTGGGACTTGCTGAATACGGACTCCGTCAGAGAAACCAATGATACCATCACTGCCACGGAAGGTGCCCCAGCCATAGACACGGCCATCCTCGGTCAAAACAAAAGAGGCAGAGTCGGTAGCGGCGACTTGAACGAACTTGGTTCCGTCGATGGCGATGTCGGTGAAATCAACCTCACCAGGAGTGCTCTCATGAGGATTCATGCCAGTGTCATCATCATCATCCTCCGAGTCCGAACCTTCATTGTCCACGTCGCGAACGCCGCCATCCCAGGTTGTGTCACGACCCAGAGCGCGGTCGTCGTTGACGCCCCAGGTCAGAATCTTGTTGTCGTGGGTCAGAGCAATGACGTGCATGCCACCGCATGAAAGCTGGACCACGCCAACCTTGTTGGCATCGAGGTTGTGGTTGATACGCGGTCGCTTGACATCAATGGGCTTCTTGCCGTCGTACTTCCTGCTGCCGAGTCCGAGTTCACCAGAAGTGCCTTCACCAAAGACGAAGACGTCCAGCGTGCCTACTGGAGCGTTGTTGATGGGCTTGCCTACCGTGGGAACGGCTGCTGTCCTCACTTTCTTTACAACGGGCGCTGGCTCATCGTCGTCGCGTTGTTTGCGCTTCTTTTGGGTCTTCTCTTCTTGTTCGGACTCAGGCTCGGACTCGGACGTAGACTCGGACCCGGGTTCAGGATCCTTCCTCTTGTTGTTTCTGCGAGCGCCTGGTGCAGAGCTCTCTGCCTGGGCTTCTTTCTCGCCTTCTCCGGCCGCCTTCTCTGCTTGCTTCTTGGTTTTCGTGGCAGCAGTACCGTTCACTGCCTTGGCTGGGGCTTTTCTGGTCTTCGCGGCTGGCTTGGCAGCAGTAGCTGTCTTCCTGGTAGGGCCAGCTTTTCTTTTGGGTTCGGGCTTGGACTTGACCTCTTCTTCTTGTTCTTGTTCGCCGTCTTCCTCCTCGTCGTCCTCTTGCTCGGCGTCTTCAACGGCTTCTAGTTCTTCCTCAATGAGCTCTGGGTCTGCGACTTTCCTGGCACGGGCTGTCTTGGCAACTGTTGCTGCCTTCTTGGGCGCGGGTTTGGCTGCTTTCGCTGCGGCGGACTTGGCCGTGGCGGCGGCAGTGGCTTTTCTGGGAGCCATTGAGATAACAGTGGCCTAGAAAGTTCGAATGTGAGAGGTAGAATTGATGAAATGTGGTTCAGAGGAACAAAGCAGTCTAGGACGAGGGTACTAGAATTTTGGTGAAGGTCGCAAAAGCGCGTCGGTAGTGGGTATTTTGATGACGGATGGGTCTGTTATGGATTAGATCCGGAGAGGTGCAGATGAGTAAGATTTAGGCAATTGTTGCGTCGCCTCAGGTCAGGGCGTCCGACGTGCTCTCTGTATCGTTCTAAGCAAGGTATAGTTCTGCTTACTCGAGATCAATGGCTTGGTAGAATATGAAATCGAGAATGAAAGAAAAAGAGAATTTCGAAGTGGTTGTTGCAGCTGTTTTCGGACTGGACGCGCTTTGTGAAATTTTTAGTGCCCGAAAATAGTGTAGTGCAGGCTGGGTACAACCAATCTGTCCAATGAACGGAGGCCTGCAGAGCGATAAAAACAAATGTAAGATAGAATAAAAGTCGAACCTTAAGCCACAACTATGGAGTGACTGCTAAGCTACGTTAGCCCGTACGGGGGTTTTATTATTTGTACACGATTTACAGCAACTAGGTTAGGCGAACAGGCGAACAGGCGAACTGCAGGAATCCTGGTGATTGTGGCTCGATCCTAATCGTTATCGGGCAATTGCGGCCAGAGCTTCGGGGGCAAGGGGGCTAGCCTAGCTATGTCAGCCACCAAACAAGCCGCCCTGGGGATTTGGGGACTCGTCTAGGTTAGGCGGCTGGCGGCAGCTTGCAGAGCTTGCAAAGCTCTCTACAAAGCAGTCGCCCCACCAGAGCTTTTGGTTTGGGAGAACAGATCTCCTGGGGGGTCATCCTGATCGCCTAGCCGTTGGTGACAAATGCAGCGGCGGTCGATGTGATTCACATCACTACAAGCTCGGGCCTCGATCTGTCATATCTGTCTTGCCTTCGGTCACTACTTACATGATGGATTCCAGGGGACAAAAGACTGTATGAAAATTGGCAATCTCGTCGTAAACCTTGTTTCCTTCCGAGTTTTGCCGTGTACAGCTGATTCTCACACGATATTCAATAAGAAGTGAGTTGATCGAATTGATTTGGTATTATGAATCATTGCTGAAGACGTAACTATTGTCCTCGCCGGTTTGGTTTCGTCAAGCCGCGGAATCTTTGTCTCGGCCATGAAATGCTCAATCATGCTTTTGCAATCCGAGACGCCCACGCCCGCCAGGCTAATCTTTAGAGCCCTGCTTAACTGAAGAACGCCATAACACCACAACACCGCCAATGCATCTCCAGAAAGGGATATCAACGCCACTCCGTCCGTCATTCGTCCATTTTGCTCTATTTCTTTGTCGTGAAGTCAATTTCGTTGGCGTTGTTGTCGCCCTTGGTGTCAGGGTTCTCACAAGTGCAGGCGTCGGCAGGTCTTGCACCACAAGAGCAAGACTCGCCCTTGATGGTTGCGTTCTCCTTGGACGACCTGTCACAGTTGCACTCCCCGGCCGGGCGCGCACGGCATGAGCAACGTGCGCCAGTGAGCTTGTTCTCATAGGCTGCCTTGTCGCACGAGCAGTTCAGTGCCGACTCCTTTCCGCAGGAGCATGTTGCTTGCTTGGCTGCAAGAGACGTTAGCAATTGCATAAACAAAACAAAACAGTCATGGCATTAAAGCAGACTTACCGCATACACATTCGCCGCCGGAAGCCTTGCCACAGCAGTTGGAGGTTGCCTTGGTGATTTCGGTAGCCATCTTGTATGGGTTTGTATGTGTTGAGGTTGTGGGGATTGTGTGGAAGAGAATGCTCGACTGTTTTCTTTAATTCGTAAGGATGAAGTTGTTATGAATGTCTTGACAATTCACTTTTGATGGTGAGACGATGTGTACCTCTTTTATAAATGTCAACAACTGTAAGCTGTGTCATTCAATGGCCTGATGGTCTGAAGATCGACGTCACAAATCGCCCAGTTATGCAGGGTCTTCGGCTGCCTCTAGGGTCAGCGCAATTCAACGGGTTTTGATTGGTTGATCTGACCCACACCAACCAATAGAAACGAGGGCAATTACCATCTCCGGAAACATAAAGAACTAACCCGGTAGGCAGGTACGATCTAGACCACGGGACAGTCAAACTCTGTGAGCACTCGTCCCAATCAAGTCTCGATATTTACTCAGCCGCACCGCATCTCTAAAACGGTACCATTGACGCCTGACCATGACCATAAACGACTTATGCTATTGGCCGCAGCTGGCCATGCCATTCTTCTCATATCACCACAAAGTTCGCTAAGCAATAAACCAGTGACTAATTCTAGCACCATTGGGCAAACGAGCTACTGCTATACTGTAGTATCCTCCATGCCAACAAGTCACTGGGGCCCAACTTCGTACACTCCGCCTTTTCCATGTAAAACTTGTGCTCATACCGTCATGTCCGGTTGCCTCTTCTCGTGAAAAAGGGCACGGCGGCACAGCTTATGGCACTGATCATCAACTCGAAACCTAAGATACATGAACAACTACCAATGCAGCCGAGTACTTACGGCACCGCGGGTCACCATCTTAGATTTCCAAAAGAATATGAAGCCTGAAACCATGAATCCAACGATGAGAAGTCACGGGATCGCTAGATGAGAACAAAGCCTTATAGGCCAATGAAATCATCGATTTGAAGAAGCGCTTCTTACATAGTATTACCATATAAAGCCTACTATAACATAACATCTCTCTCTAATTAGTAATATTCATGAATTAAAGCTCTGTTGTCTAAAAAAAATAAAAATAAAAAGGTCTAAGATAATGAACTAAGGCGCGCAAGTACTCTAAAGGTATCTCCAAAGTGCGAAGACTTGGAAAGCGAAAATGAACTAAAAGATAGCCGAAACTTGCATGGATAAGTTCTTTCAGCCATGAGACTTAGCCTGACCATCAAGCTCCGGCATGTTCGGGTTGTTGTACACTTGCTGAAACCTCCCAACCGCATTGCGTGGATTGATTGAGCTGCAAACCGCTGGCAAGTCTGACAGCTCCTTCACTACGATGAAGTAGCCTTGATGAAATCTGCGGCCCTCTCTGAGATGGCGTATAGGGTACTTGTGAGATGTCCGCAGACTTGGTATGGTAATACCGAAGCATCGACGACACGGACATTCTTCGTCCCATAGACCTGGAACTGTTCATTGACGACGCCTCCTATGGACCGGGGCATCATCGCGGCGGTACCCACCGGATGGAAGTTGGATCGATCTATTAGGAATCAAGCGTTAGCAGATGACAAACTAGGACAAAGCATGTGACACTTACAGTTGCCATTTAGGATCCACTGCTTCCAGTCCTCGTTCGTGGCGGCTTGGGGTACTGACTGGCCCGGCAAAGTCTCTTCCTGGATGATGTCCTTCAAAGGTGACGCTTGGAATATCTCCCTGACGTACTGTGCAATGGCCGCGTGGACCTCCATGTCAAACTCAAGCATGAAATAGTTCGGGTTAATGACGGGCATGGCCGTAGGCTCTGAGGCGCCAATGTGGACACTTCCCCGGGAGAAGGGAAGCAGACTCCAATATTCAGACGCCAATGTCGCTCCACCACCGGGATAAAACAAGATCTCGGCGACTGGTGCTTTCCCAGTGAATATCAGATCAAGTTGGACTTGGTACAGGCTTTCCAGATCTGTCGCCGACATGACGCCGTTGTTTGCACTGGCTGTATCTGCGGCGTACTGTTGCAACTGGTCACTCAAACGTTGACGCAATGATTCGGTATCGTTCCCAAATATGTCATAAATGTTTGGATACACCACTGTCTTGGTTCCAGTGACATTGGCCAACGAGGTGGCAGATAAGTCGGTATTTGCTTGGTCCTGCAAGTTCTCGCCAACGGCCGGCAAATTTACTCGAACAGAGATGTTATTCTGCTGAAGAATAGAGGGGTTGCCAACTCCTGACAGTTCAAGGATGCCGGAGGATTTGAGGGCGCCTGCAGATATGATGACTTCCCGACGAGTGTTGATGGTGATAATCGTTCCGTTGCTTAGGGTAACTTCGACTCCGGTAGCTTTGGCATCGCCGCATCCGTTGGCCCAAACGAGGCGGTTGACAAAAGTGTTATTCAGGACTTGGAGATTTTCACGCGTCGCAAACGGCCAATAGTAAGCTCGGGCAGCGTCCTCCCGGACATAGTTCTCATAATCAATGGTCGAGGGGTACACATTGAATCCACGCATCTTTCCACCGTTAACATCTTCGGTCCAGGGAACACCCAGACCCATCATAGTTTGGTTCAAGGTTGCGGTGAGATTGTTCGCCGGAATGTCAGTGAATCCAACCTTGAGGTCGCCATCCGTTCCGTGGAGGTCAGTGTTGTAGGATGCGCCCTTCGATGTCTGGTCCTGAGTCGGGCGTGTCAAGTTCTCGCTCTTCAGATAATATGGTAAGAGGCTTTCCCAAGTCCAACCCTCATTGCCGATAGTTTCCCATGCGTCGATCTGGATGTCTTCGGCGCGGGTGTACGCCATGCCTTCGGTGCGTTAGAAAGCGTCCAATGATTTCGAATAATGAGCTGCTTACCGTTGATTGCACTAGTTCCGGCCAACGCCTTGCCAGCGCGGAGAACCTTGCGAGTGTTTCCGCCGTAGGTTTGATTGACGGATTCGTATGCCCAGTCAATGTCAGTACCAAAAGCCAGGCCGTATCCGTCCACATCAGTAACATTCTTGTTGTCCAAGACTGAACCGCCAGCCTCGATGACGAGGACAGAAACGCTCGAGTCTTCTGAGAGACGATTCGCAACAGTAAGACCGCTGGTTCCACCACCAATGATGATGTAGTCGAAGTCCGCCTGTGTTGTAGCGGTAACCTCAACTGCTGCAGCGGTTGCAGCTGCTAGCTGAAGTAGAAGTTTGAGAGACATGACCGAAATCAAGTTACCAGAGAAAGAAAATCTAAATTGTACGGGTTACTATGATGTGGCCAAGGGATGGTCATGTATAGACTTTAGATAATCTAGATCATCTAGATCACTTATACTTCTTCGTTCGACCAATACTCTGGCTAAGGACAGGATTGGTCAGATTTCATCTTTATTAAGCTTTGCTCTCCTGTCGGATGTGTAATACATGACTATACAAGGTGGAGCATTAGTCATGACAGGGCTGCACCTTTGATTGATTCATGAACCATGCCAGCGACTGAATTTTCCTAGCCCACAGTCTAAGCATAAACATATCTCAATTGCCTTCTGTCTGGCCATGCATTATCAATAAGATGGTTCGAGACTTTTTCTTTACAAAATCACCATAATCAGTTTAGCCTAAGGAGACTTGATCCATGTATTGGTCCTCTTATGATATTGCTGAAGACTATCTTACAATATTTGCGCTTTGGTTCTTTAGGATATCAAAGGCAAATGTCCATTGTCATTGCTCAATTTTCAACGCTTACACTTTCCTCATCTCCCGATACGGCCCGATATTAGGATATGGGGTCCACCCTCCTGTCAGGATCGTTTCCACCACCACTTAAGAATTCATACCAGGCAACAAAAAGTACCTATCTTTCTTTGTACTATGGTACGAAGCCAAAATAACCATAATGGGGCAGGTTCCTGCGAATGGGAGGTATAATTGGTTCGGACCTTAACATCAAGGAGAAACACCCATGCAATTCACCGGATACCTGCCCCTTAGTGCCTTGTGCTTCCTCACTTTCCATACCAAAGTAAGTAGTTTAAATCTCAGCAATTCGGTTGCTCCAAGCAACTCAAATTTAGTTATATCGGCTCTCGGCCCCTTTGTCGCCTTTCGCGATTGATGTATGTTCTAGTTGTGTGAATACTACCAAAAGGTATTGACGGATTCAATGTTGCTGTCTATTCCAACGGCATTCAGGTGCTGTGGCGAGTGTCATTTGTTACCTGGTCTAGCACCATTCTCGCCGGTACTGATGGCCAAGTGTCGAGCAGGGTATATCGACAACAAAGTAACTCGTTCCCTGCACCCTCCATGATCTTCTCGGCCTTAGTCAGAATATATTGTACCACAGTAATATTATAAAGCACATGCATTCTGCATAGCCACTTAGGCCCCCATTACTAATTAATTATGGACTGGTTATCAAGCAGATGCTGGGTCGTGCACAAGTTAGCTTCATTAAAACAGGCGCTACTTGACTCGTATCACTAGCAATCTGGTTGCCTTGAGGCGGAATCGTATTCCCAGACTTGATCTAGATAATCTATACCAACACCAGGCTCTTACAGTACACCGGCCTTGGCTGTCTGGCTGTCCAGTCATTGGAAGAATACGGAGGGAGTAGATTCTCACGTTCATGGAATCGCTGAGAACGTTGGTAACTAATCTGCAGCGCTGCAGCAAACCTCAGAATTATGCACGCTACTAATGCTTAGCACATGGTCACCTTGCTTCAACAGGCAAAATAAAATTCGGGTTTTATGAGGGAATTGCGCATGCTGGACCAGTATTGACATGGCAGACGATGCCTCTTTCGAAGTTCACCAGCAGACCAGGAACAACATTGGCGTTCTAACGCTCAGCACTGACCAGCTTCGTTGAGCCTACTTCGCACGGCATTTTCATGAAAAGATCGCCGCCCGGAGTTACGGGTTTACGGACAGGCACAGATGTCGCTGACTCAATCATATTTAACCACAAATGTCAATGATGGGAGTTTCCTTAGTTTCAAACCCAACGACTTAGTTCAATGGCCGTCTTCAAGATCATTCTGGAATTATATGCTAATCCGGCGAAATAATCTACAATCAGATCGGTGGAGGTCCAGATCAAGCTCTTGGGGAACTACTATTATTACATACGTGCATTCGTCCCCAGCTTGCCTGTATATTGACCTGCAGTTGGGTAACATTAGCGACGAAGGTGAAATATAGGCTTTCATGAAATGAGGGACCATTCCGCGATGTGTGTTGACGATGCCCACCTGATGAGGACTTTCTCAAGATTAGCGATGCTTCTCAAGCGTGGTACGAGCTGATCTCTTAATTATATGTTTCTTCTTCTTTTATTTATAACTCGGTAAGTGTATAGTGAAGAAAGGAACACGAACTCAGGCTCTGTTGGAGTATTTGCATAACGTACCGCACTCCGGCTGGTGTTCCTGACGCGCAGGAAACTGCTGTTATCTTTGGAAAAAGCTCGTTGCAGCGCGGCTTGTAACTACTGTTAGTGGTCTAACCCCCATGATACGTCAGTGCTCATCGGTCAACTCTTTCTCCAAAGCGTTCGCCATCTCTCTCAATGTATCGTATTTCCAATCGTAGGTCGCATCATCTCTGTTTCCCATAATAGCCCCTGGTCGGATAATCCAACAAGTCTTCAACTCCATTTTCTTCGCCGGATGATGATCGTGGAACTGGCTTTGCGCAGTCTGCAGAATCTGTTCTTTCGAGGCACCTAACTTATGCCCGACTTCCTTGATCATGTACTCAAAGTTCCGCAGATCGGGCTTGTAACTTCCAATATCCTGTGCCGTGAGCACAAGGTCAAACTTGGTGCCTTCAAGAGGGCCGCTGTTTGTCCCGGCAAAAGATTCGTGGTCCACGTTGGACAGAACCACCAGCTTGTAGTGCTTCCCGAGCGTCCTTAGCGCATCGACAGTGTCCGGGAAAGCAGGCCAGTTCCTAACAGACGCGCCAAAGGCTTTGCTTTGTTCAGCGGACGGCTTCGACAAACCGAGCTTCTCAGCGATCTGCGGGTGGATGACGGCAAGAAGTTCGTGGTATTTTAGATCCGGCGTCTGGGCCTGTTGCGTACGCTCGCACTCATGCAGCACCTCCAGCAGCTTCTCCTTGCTGAAGCTAGCATTACTAGCGTCTAGGAGCGGCTGGAGATTAGCGACGATGCCAGTCTCCCAATCAATGAGAGTGCCATAGACATCAAACGAAAGGACCTTGAAATCTGAGAGTCTCGACATATTGGTGGTTCAAAGTAGCTGAGCCTAGCTTTAATTCATTGGACTAATACATCATCTGCTCGTTATAGTTGTCGCAGCTGATCATCTGAAGGGCGGAGGTGGCGTACCGGTACCGGAACAACAAAGCTGGGCCGGTCCGGCGCACCCACAGAGGTTTGAAGACACTTGAGCTGTACACCCGGAACCAGACCGAGTTTCGACAGTCTATATTGGGGTTCAGGCATTTCCCTGCATTGATGCATTATCTCCAACAATAGATATACTGGCGAAAACCAGGCAGCGTTTTTCCATCATCTACTGCCCCACCAGCACTAGCAAATCTGCAGCTGTCAACAAATGCAAGTCATTGGATGTCCTGCGCGTTAGCAACTGTTATACTTGGAACTCTAGAAATCAACGACGAGGGGAACGGGTAGCTCTGTCTGATTCCTCGGCCGATTCCCTGATTCGTGATTGGTGCTCGATGGACTTATCGGGGTTCCCAGAGCAGGCGCCCAAGCTGGCCGGAAAGCAGCTTCGCTATGCAGACGTAAGGGACATCGTCAAACCCGGAGTGTTATTACTGGTTACAAACTAATGTTTATTTTGTGCACTAGGTCGCAGTGACGGCGACGGCAAAGGAGTTTTCTGGTTTCTACCGCGGGAAGCAGTATCATGCCCCGGACTTTCCCAATACGTTGGACAGGGCTTTGAGTGCAGGTGTCGATAAAGTCATGCTCACGGGGATGTCCGTGTCGGATATCACTACGAATCTTGACATCGCAAGGTCGCGCCCTCAACGTTCATGCTTTGTTACCATCGGGGTGCATCCTTACCACGCAGCTGAACCATCGGCGGAAGGGCCCAGATACTTCGAAAAGCTGAGAGAAAGCATCCGAGATGCTCTCACAGCAGAGCCCTGTCTACTAAAGGCGTTTGGGGAGCTCGGACTGGACTACGAGCGCCTGAACCATGCGGACAAAGACACACAGATCGCGACGTTCAAGACGCAGCTAGACATGTTCATCGAGGAGCAATGGGACTTGCCTCTTTTCCTTCACTGCCGAGCGGCGTGCGACGACTTTATCGACGTCATCAGCCCTTACGTGGGTAGACTACCGCGGCGCGGTCTAGTACACAGCTTTGTGGGGACAAAAGCACAAATGGAAAAACTTGTCGAGCTTGGCTTTGATGTGAGTGTCAATGGCTTTAGCTTCCAGGACCGCGATAGCCTCGATATGGTCGCAGCCGTTCCACTGGAAAGACTGCAAATCGAAACGGATGCCCCGTGGGGCGAGATCAAGGCCACGTCGGAGGTCGCGAAGAGGTACTTGGCCAATGCCCCACCGCTACCACCAAGCAAGAAGAAAGACAAATGGGACACAGCAAGTATGGTAAAAGAAAGGAACGAGTGCTGCGCTGTTTCGCGGGTTGTCTATGTGGTAGCTGGACTAAAGGGAATAAGCGTTGAAGAAGTCGCTGATGCTGCATGGAGAAACAGTGTTACTATGTTCAAATTAGGAGAGTAAATGAGCACTCTGTTAACAACTGCAATCAGGTAGCCATGACGCATGGAACACTGTTCCCTGGACTGTTCATTACTCATTAAACTATTCGCTGTGCATAAATCTTTAACCTCGGTCAGCCACGGCCATTGCTGAAATGACTGCCGCCCCAACACCACTTCCGTCCTCAGCGCTAGTGAGTGTTATTGGATCACTCGTCCTGTCACTGGGCCAGTCGAGGATCTCACCCAGTGCATCGGCCCATCTCAACTTAAACTTGGGATGCTTGTTTGCCACAGAACCGTCCGCTGCCACGTGCCCTGACTTCAACCCCTTCTTATGGCAGATCGCGGCTACACCACAAGCACACAGACGTGCACCGCGCAAGGCGACAATCGCAGCCAGGCATCTCGAAATTTTGAGCTCATCCTTTGTTGGTTTGATGTTGAGATCCTCCTTGAATCGTGCCATCATTTCCTCCTCGCCGTGGTTCTCGAGTGCCGAGAGAAACCCGGTATCCAGATGATACTCCTTGTGCAACAGACTCACATCCTGGTTTTTGAACATGAGACTTTGGCTATGCATGTCCTCAAGTACCAGGCGAAATATTTCACCAAGGTACAGCCCAGCACTCATCTTCTCAAATGCTTGTTCGCCAGGTCGTGGCGACTTGTTATCGATATGAATGTCGTACTTGGTTCGCGGCAAGATTTGTCGACTATTATCGAAAGCTCCGTACTCACAGTTGATGGCCATCGGGGTGTCTTTTGGAAGTGATGATTTCAGCTTGTGTATTGAGCCCACATCTTCCATATATGCGCCATTGCAACCAGTGCCAAATATTACTCCTATGATAGTCTCCGGGTCATTATATGCCGAGGCGATCAAGGCTCCTGTCGTGTCGTTGATCAAAGCCACCAGTTCAACAGGTAGTTTCTGAGGGTCATTAGTAGGAAGATGTCTATCAACACATGTGCCTTGCTTACCCGTTGTTCCAGCGCGTCCCGTAGTTGTCCTGCCACATCTTGGCCTTCGACTCCTTTAATATCAAACCCTTTTGTCCAAGTAATTAATTTTCCATGGTCGATTCTATCTTGTGTTGCGGGATATGAAAAAGTGAACCCAAGGGGGAGGCTATTTAATAAGGCATGTTAGTTTCACCGAGAACCTCCACCAGGGGAAATCAAAAGGAGAACATACCGTTTACCATCCGTACTTTTCAAGTCATGTTTCTCGATAAACTTTTGGAGGTACTCTGAAACCAGTGCCCACAGCTCATGAGCCTCTCCCTTCTTGATCTCTGGAGGTAGCTTGAACATGTCCTGAACAACCTCTGCATCACTACCATTTCCGTGAAGAGTGATCCAGCACACACGCATGTTCGTTCCTCCAAGGTCAATGGTCAGGTAACTTCCCTTCTCCTTGCCTGTCGGGAACCCTTTCACCCATGTCACGTTCATAGACTATTTAGTTGTTAGCGATGGCCGACGTGCTTCCAGGGCCGGGTACACATACCAAGTTGGCTCCAGTCTTAGCCAATCCTTCGTGTAGTTCCTCCTCAAAGCGCTGACTGATCTTCTTCAACATCGCAGTGTCAACTTTAAAGTCTTCTTCGACTTTTTTCAGTGCATCGAGCAAAAATGGATCCACATCCTCCAAGCCTTCATGGAGTCCCGGAGTGGGAAGACCTCCGGCTACTGTAGTCATTGCGTATAGTGCTGTCCTGTCTGATCTGGTGTAAGGGGAACCTGGTTTGTAGGGTCGTATCTACGTGGATAGTTTGTCAAGCTATTGCTGAAGTCCTATGATGAGATTTACAAGAACAAAACTTTAAACTGTCTGGATGACGCCAAATCATCACACACTTATATCCCAACGCAACAACGTCCTCGAACTTGATCCTGCCCTGATAGTGGGTCCGGTGATAGTTTCCACTAACTGTCGTCATTGTTGAGTCCAATTAGCGTGCCGTCGACGTAACGGCCCCCCAATTATCGCCTAGACAGCGCCGCAGCGGAGTAATTAGCCCGGTGGTTGCCATTTAAAACACGCTATCATCCGCATAGCCCTGAGAAGGACCGACAACAACACAAAACTCTTCGAAGAGTCGTTACCGGGACACAGCTTGCAGCCAGGAGGGAAAATCCGGCGGATCTCACCCAATCTGCACCCAAAAGGCTCATGCTTGGACCAGTATCAAGGCACGTAGCCATGCCAGATGGCCTTTGAAAATCGAGATTTATCATCGCGACTCGCAGGCGAATACAATTGTGCTTTTAAATTAACAAAAGATCTTTGTTGTTTTTTGAAGCCTCGTAAAACATAGAAGAGTGTTACGGAATAAACGTGTGCCCCGTTTTCCCCCTCCAGGCTACGAGACAACAGAAATCATTGCGCGTATGTTCGGTGATCGGTTCAAATGGATTTGCACAGTTCATTGACCTCTCAGCTACATGAAGGGGCTCCGGACAATGGCCGGAACCAATTTCCCTCAACACAACATCTATGCTATGCCTCGGTAGATCGTTCAGGCGCCGGATCCACTCGCTGTGATTGCAATATCAGCGCAGCCCAGATAAATTTGGCCAGTCTGGAAGCTGTTCCACTTCCACGACAGAAGTGTATGGTCGGCAGTGAAACCAGCTGGTAGTTTGACCTTCTTTGTCACCGTGTAGCCACCTGCTGTGACGGTGCTGCATGAGTTCAGAGCTGCATCATCGACACCTTTGCAACCCCCATTGCCAAATTGTTCACAGGTAAACCACTCGTTGTTGTAGCATGTCTCACCGGACTGGCAGTCAGCACTGTAGTCGCAAGTTTGGCCGTCAACGTCAGTACAGGGCAGAATGCCGGCTTCGAAGCAGTCTTCTCCGGCCTGTTTGTCTTCATCGGTTGGAGTGTAACTGGGATCCAAAAACTTGTCGATAATGGATTGGTCCTGGCAGATACGGTATGTGAACATGCCGCCATGGTCGCCGTTTGCATCCAAACACCAGACAACGTCGAGGGTATCGCCAGCAGCATAGGTCTCGACAACGTCACTGCCCCAATTGGCGCCGGGGATGTTGTAATCCACGCTGACACGGGCATTGTAGCCACAGACACCACTCCGAGAGACGGGAGCGGAGTCGAGGTCGGGCCATGACGAGACTGGCTCAAGGATTGTGCATTCGGGACAGCTATCAGCGCCAGCCTGTGGGTAAGTTAGCGTCCGATCATTTGTTAATCAAGTTGGCTGCCAGACCTCGTAGTTCAGTCGGACGCGACTCTTGGGCTCCCACAGGTACCCGTGTGCGGTGACCAAAGTCACGAAAGTGAGAGTGATGAAAGTCTTGACTGAAGCCATTGTCTGGGATGTGACGGAAGAACTCCTCAAAGCAACGAGTAAAAGAAGTTGCCCGTTAGCTGATGACGAAGTGCAACTTCCTTTCCTTCCGGGATGGTCATGAGTTTTATATCTGATGCTTCAATGAAGCGGCCACTATATGATGATGATCATTTCCTCAAGCTTCAGATTCCTCGGCCACACTGTCCGGCAACATTGTGGGCAGTTTTCTGGAGAGTGTTGGCCCGACATATGACCGTCGAGCATACGATGGCAACACATGCCGAAGTTTTCAGTATACTGGAGTGCTAAATAGGATCTGGTAGGGACCGAACCAAACTGAGTCCACGATTATTGGAAAAAGACAATTAAGGGGCACTCGCTATCAGCTATCTCTAGCGATTCCCGGCGCTTTGTCGGCCGATCGACCTCTACTTAGACCGTGACCACGGCTTATGACACCGAATAGGAAAGCTCTGTGGCCTGCGCAATCCCGGCACTGTGGGGAAGCGTGGAGGTTGTAGGTAGTCGTTTCCGGGGCTGCCCCAGATTATGCCATATCCGGGTACCTGCCGGCAGCGTATAAACTGGCATTCCTGGGCATGTGCATAGTCGGAGTTCCTGGCGGACTTTCAGGATACAGTCGCTGTCAGACTCTCAGACTCCTTTAGATCCCCGACGAGAGTCTTGGCAAGATCTGACCGAGCAGCGTGCCGAACCGGCCGTCGCCGGTAAGAACTAAATAATTGTTCTTCTCTACTTCTACGTCACATGGCATTTGGGACATTTGTCATTCTACCCGCCAACGATTTAACCCACCATTCTGTTTCGACAGGTCCAAGGCTTGCATCAAAGGCTCCAGATCAACAGATCATTTGGGTCATGTGTATTCTCGGCGATATGCGATGAGTTTTTCTCTAACAATGCACTACTCTACTGGTATGCTCTGGATATCTGAATATGTGATGCGCAGCGATCTCAAGTCCCGCCTTGAAAAGCAAGCCTGCAATTACTCTATAATTCATACACCAATGTACATGGTGGTGCAAAATAACCGAAGACCAGTGCAACCCCCTTTGCGAAGTACCAATTCCCCCTTCCATCGTATGATCATTATTTCTTCTTCTAATGTTCCATCAAGACGTCATCTGGTAGCATTCCGATCCCTGAGTCAAATCGCGCATGTGTGGGGCTCTTCATCCCGTGAAGCTGATTTTCCCGAATCCTGTCGTGCTTCGAATGATCAAACTTCCAGTAGACGTGATAATCATGACAAGCGTCATGCTTGCTTCTTAGTGCGAGACTGTCAACCGTGTGGTCCTTCTGGATGGAAGTGAAAAACCGCCGTTCCCAAACGCGTCCTTCCTGCGCCTCTTCTTTTCGCAACGCTCGCTGAGCATTCTCGATCTTGCTCTTCTCATGTCCTATAGCGAACATATCGTTGCTGTGGATCGCCTCGATTACATGCTGCCAAGCCCTGCCAGTTTCCAATGGATGTTGTTTCTGGACCGGCGCAACCTGAAGCGGTGTACGCTTCAGCGAGGCAAGATCGACGGTATCAATCACCCTTCCTTTGTCATTTGTTACGGTATAGCTGCCATCCCATTGACCAGTCGCAGTATAGAGTGGAGACTTCTCGGCGCCATCGCGGAACAGTGTTGCCTTGAACGTATGGCCCGCGCCTCGAAGCCAACCTTTCGAGCAGTACTCGATCTTGGTTGTATAGCCAGATGAGCTGTGTATGTAAGAAGTTCCGCTAAGTTCTGGGGCGATCTGAAAGGACACTATGCCCTCGACATGTACCTTCGCCACCGTGAAGACGTGGTTTTCGTCGAACCGATCTATTCTCAAAGTGCCGAACCCTTTACGTTCTATGTTGATGGTATGGGAAAAGAAGGACCGCGGAGCGATATGGCCGTCGACCTAGATATTTTTGGGTCAGGAGACGCTCTAAAAATGCACCAAGAATGGCGATTGGGTACTGACTGAGACTCCATGCTTCTTATTTGATATATAATATGCTGTCTGGGGCGGATGATGCGATACTTGCTCCGATATCAACTCGGTTGTCCCGCACTCGTCTTCCCATTTACCTAGGAATATCTCGCCTAGGAAAGGGTTCAGTGGCTTCAGCTTTTTCCGTGATCCATCCTCATTTCGCGTCGCCATTTGGCGTTTCAATCCGGCAAGATACCAGTGCATTACGAGTAACGCTCTCTTTTCGGCGTTTTCTTCCTTGGCTGGTGCCACCAGCAACCTGGGATAATCATTCAAGTATTGGCTAAATTGGCATATACTGTCCGGTGACAAAAGGAACGGAGGTGCTGATAGCGAAGCAAGATCACCTTTGAATGTCGCGACAGACTAACATATGTTACATTAGTTCGTGGTCCATCGTCGTTGAGCTGAGGGAGCGGTTACCTTCATGAATTGAAACCATCCTGATTTGTGCTGCTGCTCCACCTTCTTACTAGCGTCGTCGCAAAGCACTGCTGTTGACTGAAAAGCCATTATCGTAGGCAATGTTGGAGGCTTATCAAGAACGTTGTTCACACCACTGGAATACAGTTGAGTCAGAACATCTAGAAAAGAAAAGAAATAGAAGATGCGAGTAGAATTTGAGTTGAAGACGACTAGTCAAAACTTTGTAGCATCCCGTACAAGCTATCACTCCTGCATTTCAGACAAGCCCAGCCTCAGAAGCCGCGCAAGGATGTGCACTGAACTCACAGCTAGCCAGAAGGATAATAAGAGGCCTAGTACCCACGAAGATCAGACGCTATCCGAGTCTTAATACAAGCTTATCGGATGTTTTGTCAGTCTCTAACCAGTATCGCACAGAACGGGGGTGTGGAATTCCAATCGCTAGTTCAAGATCTCAGACGGGTTTTGCTTCATATGCCAAATTCGGCATGTGAGAGTGGGGGCGATTCCGGCTGGGGTGTGTTGTCGCGTTTCAAGCATCTCACAGGAGACCTTTAGCGAGGCGCTTATCATCTGCTTCGACCAGAGCGAGAACTGCTTGAAACTATGCTTTTGTTACGCAGTCCGTTGCATTTTTGCTTGCGTCTTTTGGCTGCCACGCGTGGTGTAGAGGTAATTAGCTACCAAGTCCCCAAAGGTCTATCGTGCGGGCATGTCGCAGTACCTACATAGTCGTCGCTTTTAGCGGATTCAGGCGTTGGCCTTAAATCAGTTCGGCTGCCAGTGGTGGGCACAAAAGTTGACGATGGGCCACCAACATCTCCACGTCTACCGTGGAGATATCACCAGATACGGATAATCATCAGACTGCATCAATGGTTACTATAAACGGAAACCCAGCGATACTGCGATAGCGTGAACTCTCACATGCGCGGGGCTTGCCCGGGACTCGCAATTAGTGGAATATGAGATGGATGACTGCAGTAACATAGCCACTGAATGCGTTAAGTTTATCAGATCGCTTCGGACAATCGATGCTCCTAACCACATTAGGTCAATGAGCTCAGCTCGAGTCTCGTTGACCTGATAACTAAAATGGGCTGTACGGGAAAGGGACTACTTTGGCAATGACGTCTGCCAGCTCGAGATACGGAGTTTTCGAGGCGCTAAGTGCTGCACAAAATTATCTAGTGTCAACCACGTGATACGAGGCATCACCAACCCCAATAGCCAATGTTCCCATCCGCCGCAGAGCGCATGACATGAAACTAAGGATAGTACTTAGTGTCATGGCCCATTAACGCCAAAAAGTAGAAACTTCATGGCATTCTATTACACCACACAATGATGAAACAGCGCAAATTCTACCATATACATGTGTGGGATAATGAGACCGTCACGTAGAATACACTGATCGACTGGTCAGAAATATGTAGATTCATTGAGTCTCGTTCTATATTTCTATTTATGTATACCTATGTCCATTCTCTTTCTGTCGTTCACGATCATCGCCATGAGCAGCTCAGCCAAAATCTATTGTGCTCCAAACAGCTCTGTTAGGTGCCAGATTATTCAGCCATACCGTACAAAGTCCTCAGCAGGCTCTGATTAGCCGACTTCTTTCCACCTTTGTAAGAAACCAATACAGTCTGGTTCGACATCAACTGGGTCTGATTATCGTCGATAAAACTACAAGTGACAGCTGGAATGGAAACGCAGTGCTTCTTTAATCGAGTGACAATATGGTATTGACTAAGTGCAGCGCGTATTGCTTCAATATCTAGGTTCTTGAAGCTATCAGATATGTCTTTAAAGTTCATATCTCCGAGTCTGTAGTAAAATGCTGGGTCCGTACCTTGACGCTTTTTGTTTCCGCCAGCCGATGGTAGGAAAAACTCCTCATAAGTTACGGCCATCAGATCAATTGTCGTGGCCATTAGCTCTTTGAGCGCAATTGCGGGTACAACAATAGTGTTGCGTAGTTGAGTTGCAGCTTGTTGGTTCTGCCAACTAACACAAAACTTCACTAGATGGATGATCTCATTGATCACATAGTTGACACGCTTTTCACGAAAACTGGTCATTCTCGGCGAATTCAATATGGCATACATGCCGTTGACCGCCCAAGCGCGAGCTACCTTTTGTGTGATCGGGGGCCGGAGGTGGTTTGCCATTGCATCTCCGACCATATCGAGAGTATCTTGAACGTTGAGAACGTTGTAGAATGTTGGCTGGAAGATCTGCTGGTGCAGTATTCGAAGGATGAGTGCGACAAGGATCTCCTCATCCGCGTCGTCAGAGTACGCTACCGTGTCGAGATACTCGTGGTAACTATCCATCCATTTCTTCAAGCCCTTTAGTCGGTTTGGTGAGTTATCAACTTGATCGATTATATTTTCACGCTTATCTTCGGTGTCTGTAGCCTCACTGAAAAAGGTGGCCACCCAGTGTCTAACGTTATTCACGATAATCCCAAACTCTCTGGCTGCCATGTCTCCAGAAAAGCCAGATATGTAGCCCATCATGTTCGTGTCTGGATTTACTAGTAAACTTTTGTTTTTATCCATCTCAACAACCAACTTTTGGAACTCATGATATTTTGCGGCGATCTCTCGCTCAGCAGCATCTAATTTGGTTCGAAGTACTTGAACTCGCTCCTCCATCTGTTGGATGGTTGATGCCATTTCAATATTCTGCTAGAGGTCTGGTTGGTTGGGGCTTTAGGTTTTATCTTTAAACTGTTTCAGTTGTTGCTGGAGGAGTTGCACGACCCAGTGCTCTTCCAGGGTATTGCCTACTAACTTATAGATCTCACATTGATAGTATGCTTTAAAGTAACAATATATTGTTCATGTCCTTCTTGAACATCCCCTTTTGCTTCCGAAAGTGGCCAAAACTGCCGTGGTTCCGCGATTTTCTTTTTGATAGGCTCTTAGAGCTTATCCACCCTTAGATCAACAATACTCTCCCTATCTTAAAGTTAGATAGAAATGTATCGCTACCGCAACTGGAAAGTTTACTCGTTCTTGAGTTGATTGAATGCTTTGTCGCCCAGAGTGGAAAACTATTCATCACATCAGGCGCCACTTTTTGAGCCCTGCGCGGAACAAGGATTCGTCATGATATATGCAACACTTAAAAAACAAAAGATCATGTGGAGAACAATGGAAATTGAAGGTGGCTGTAATGGGTAAAATAAAGAAGAACTATTCTGGAGATGAATTTGGCGAGCATCCCAAGAGGGCAATCGTTGTTTATTGCAGTGTCACCATCGTGCTGGAAATGATTATTTCCAGCTTACCTAACACAAATTATACTTCAAAATCATAGGCGCCGAAATAAACACATTTATTGACCGCATGCTGTTCATTCCTATTAACTTTGTATGATAACAGATATATACCATGATAATTACTGTTCAAAATAACGGTGGTGCCACTGTTTTTACAGTGCCATACTTTGGTAGGCTGATCTTATGGTCTTTTGTTCTTCTATTTCCTACCTCCTTTGTTCGTGTGGCTATTAGCTTCGAGGTACTGGTAAGTATGATCTCATCGCTCAACGTTAATAGGCACAATTTTCGCCGGAGTGGCTTATGCACTCACCCATATGACCTAGGGAAATTGCCCATAAAGGTTGTTCTCACAGTAAAAGATTGTGGAGTAAAATGCCAAAACAAAAATTCTCCAGGCGTTTAATCGTGCACGTGAATTTCAAATAAATTATCCTTTTCAGTCAATTCTTTTCTTGTTGGAGCCTAGAGCTGCAGCCACCTTTTCATGGGATAGGCTGGTGAGGAGTACCCTTCAAGTGGATTCAATATCCTCCTCGTCGATGCTGGAGGTGGCATAGTTGACCTAGTCTAGTGGATTATGCTGTCACCGCACTGATACATATATTTGAGTTGACTGAAGCTGGCAGAGGGTTAGGTGGCATGAGTGGTTCGACGTATTTGGACGAAGCTTGTAGAAAACCTGCCCGATCAAAATGAGCCAAAGAAAAGTATTTGATAATAGTCAAATTGCTGGAGACCCCTGTGAGAAGTTTCTCCAGCGTTGTCAAGCGGTAACTCACTCTGGCTGAGTTGGCCGAGAAAAATATCTTTACTATTTCATGTCCTGGTCTCACCGACAACCCGGATGTTGGCATTCGACCACGACGTTTGAATATGGAGACTGTTTATATTCATTGTATTTTCAGACCAACCATCCTCCAAGCTTTCAAGCTCATCGACTAACAAATCGCTGCCGCTGCAGTACCTATCGATCGATTCTTCTAGTCAGAGGTTTTAGTGAATCTAAATATTTCAGTGATAAAATTGAAGAAGCCCTGAGTGATCGACCAGATGTGAAGATAATTCAATCAGCAGGCGCCTGGTCAGTGTCGTGAGAGGTACAATGATGAAAGGTCTCGCACATGCTGACCCTCAACGCCTCACACGGGTCAAGGTGAAGGATTGCGCTGCACGTCATAACTCTGGCACCGAGCTCTCTAAAGCCCTCTATCAGGAAAAATCCACCATAGTATCCATAGCAAGCGGTACTGGAGCGTTTCTAACGAAGGTATTGTGTTGACTTGACGGTTTGGTTGATAAAGAAGGCAAGTGTTCATATATACTTTTTATTGTAACGTGTGCTAGTTAGCAGACTCAAGACCGCCCCATAACAGCGCCGCTAGCATATCAAGGAAGTTTCAATAAGACTTCGAGGGTAACATATGAACGCCTTGTGTCAGTTTTACTCATTTATATGCTGACGAACAGTCTGAAACGGCATAATTGACATGCAACGAAAATTTAAAGACTGTGCTATGTCGAAGCGGATCTGAGCGCTATGCTAGTAGACCAGATACCGATGCAGCGCAGCTCAGATAGATTCATATTTAATTTCATAGTGTACAATACTGGATTATATGGGACTACAGGGAGACGTTGACCGGAATACGCTGAGGCAAAATAGGATACCCTTTGGAATCCGCGGAAACAGTCGTTATCTTGGGGTCTGCAAAGTTTCTCTCATTATATCTGCTGAACTTGACGAAAACATACTCGACACACGCATGGAACTCCACTACTCATGTGAACGGCTGTCAACTGTGGGTATGATTACAAACCATGTCTCTTCGTTCCACAAGTTCTTCTTTGAGAAATGTTGGATGTAAAGTTACTCACAGGATCGCAGTTGAACATCATATTTACTCCCACTGAAATAAAACGCGTCAAAATGCTACAGTACGATTATGAATTGTTACAAATTCTGAGTACAAGTTTCTTGAAACCACCGCAAGTAGATACTTGCCCGCAAGAATTTTACGTAGATATCTAGCCTTTCCTGTTGAACCTGGTCCATTGACCTGGATCAGCGCTATGGATATCTGTGGGATTCTAGCCGTATAGCGCAAAGCCTGCTCTCCATCTCGTTTTCTCGTGGAATGTTCAGCATATCCCCGTATACTCGAAAGCCAATGTCGGTTCAGCAAATAGTTCGTCGAGTGGCTTGACTAGTAGAGAACCTTTACTACACACGATACTCAGGTGTGAAGATTTCGACGGCTAGCGCCGTTGATCAAATTCATCTTGTTTTGGACATTCGAAAATTTATGGATGGGCCGTGAGGCTCCGGAATTTCCGGTTACGTTCATTTTGTGTTTAGACTTATTTTGGTTAAAAGTGCTCTTAGACACCGGTAGACTAATATTCTTAGCGCACCATGACACGTGCATTAGAATCAAGATACACCAATCAACAGCATGGAGCGGAGTCTTGAAAACAACCGCTGATCGTGGAATGTCCACCATTAGGTCCAAAACTATGGTGATGATAGTGAACTTCGCACAGCGACTAACAGATTCCCCTATTCATTGAGTCTCCCTCGTGTGGAAGGTATGTGTGCAGCTGTTCCGGTCCCCCGATGCGAGATATTGTCAATGTGCCTGGTCTCAAGTTGATGTTTGGAAACATATCGGGCAGCAATTACTCAGCCGCATGGATGCCGAAGAATATCGCAGCCTCATCTGTCGGTGGCGCTGGTATCGCGTGGGCCTCGCGAATTATCCGTTGTCAGGATGTCTAGGTTTCCGACAACCCGGCGCTGACAAATTTCATTTGCAGTTGGCGTTTTCAAGGTCATGGTCTTCGGTTCACTCCGATGCTGCTCTAAATGCAGTGCGAAGACCCACCACTCACCAATGTGACACATGCGGGTCAGCTATGATCATCGAGATGTTCTATCAACATCACCCTTAGTGCTGGTACCCGGCATCAAATATCCGTGTTCGTGACAAACCAATCCATCGAAATCATGTGATTAGGACGAAAGACCTGACTAACTCGCAAACTCGGCATGGCACTCATGCGACGTTGCTGGGATAAAACTAGAGAACTTTTACCACAACACGGTGGTATGACCCATATACATAAGTATTCTCCCGATGATGGAGTAGCCTTTTCCTGGTGAGGTCTAGCTGACGTACTAGCTGCCAATTCCAAAAGATTAACCGCATTCAAGACGAGTGCCCCAGAGAGCACTACCGAGAAGCTAATGTAAGGTCTCCTAATCAGCTGCGCTCTAGGTCAAGTTGGCAAATTGCGACCCAGAGTATTGGTTGCTAAAGACGCAGAAGCAGGTCGCATCGATCTGTATATAGATCTTACATCCTGCCCCTGCTACAGATGGCGAACCAGCTGTCCCTCAGCCTTATTGCCCACAGTCCGCTCATTACACCCTTCCGTGGTACTTACACTCGTTTCCCTCAGGGAACCTACACTCTTTCAACATGCGTTTCTCCATCCAATTATCCTCGGCACTCCTTATTGGAATAGCCGCTGCTGTGCCTGCCACAACTACTGGCGTTGCCAGCCAATCGTTGAACACGACACGTTCGGAAAACACCACGGCCGCTGATGCGGGTCCTGAGTCCGACTTCAAGGATATGAACCCCTTCAACATCACCGCAACTGAGACAACAGAGGACCGTGTCTCACACTCTATCTGCTGGTCTAAGGTGCCCGATAACATGTTTCTCAACTGGACCAACTTCAAGGCAAATGGTGCGAACCTTGGCGGCTGGCTGGAGAAGGAGAAGACCCATGATCCTATTTGGTGGGCCTCCGTTGGTGACGGCGTTGCTGCCGATGCCCAGGATGAGTGGACACTATGCGAGCTGCTCGGCGATGAGTGCGGTCCGGCTCTTGAGGCACGCTACACCGATTTCCTGAATAAGACCACCATCGATCAGCTCGCCAGTGTCGGCGTCAATACTCTACGTATTCCTACAACCTACGCTGCTTGGGTCGATGTCCCTGGTTCTTCATTCTACTATGGCAAGCAGCAGGAGCACCTTCGTGAGATTTCTCTGTACGCCATTGAGGAATACTCCATGCACGTTATTATCGGCCTTCACTCGCTTCCTGGTGGCGTCAACAATCTGGATATTGGTGAGGGCTTGATGCACGATGCCTGGTTTTACAATGACACCAACATGGAGTACAGTTGGCAGGCAGTTGATGAAGTTCTCACCTTCATGAAGAACAGCGGACACTTGAACGCTTTCACCATTGCTCCCATCAACGAGGCCAGTGACAACCTCAGCTCTTTTGGCAGCGCTGCTGGTCTTACTGACAACGCTACCAACTGGATCTTGAGCTACATGGACGGTGTTTTCGAGCGCGTTGAAGCCGTTGATAAGCGCATTCCCGTCATGCTCCAGGACTGCTTTAAGGGTGCTAGCTTTTGGGCACCCCTGTTCGAAACGACACGCAACCTGGTTATCGATTCGCACGTCTACTACTTCGCGGCTTCCGGTACCTACTCACAATGGGTCAACCCCGCTGTTTGTGGTCAAGCCGCCTACATCGCTGAGGAGACGTCATTCCCCGTGTTTGTTGGTGAGTGGGCGCTTCAGGTTATGTATAACAATACCTTCGATGGGCGAAAGACCATCTTTGATACCCAAAGGTACGCATGGCAAAAGTATGTTGCTGGTGGTGCGTTCTGGACTGCTGTCTCGTACGCGACAGCCGAGGTTGACGGAGAAGGTGTCCAGCGTGACTACTGGTCATACATCGATCTCATCAACGATGGTGTCATTACCAGTGCCACCAACAGCAGCTACTGCTAGGGAAGCAGCAGCACAAAGGAACGCGTACATGATAGATAATTGGCCTGAACGATTGACAGGCAATCACCTCCAATGCACTAGTGATAAATAGCATTGCTGTAATCGTTAATTGAAACCGGCCTTTGGCTATCGGATCAGTGCGCGAACAGCTTTAAATCCATCTGCATAAGTTGATTTAGTGATTGCATCCCCCTGCATTAGACCAATCCATTGATTCGGAACAGCCGTTAGCGCTCCCTGACGACCCGCCCAGTGGGGTTACTCCGCTGCTGCTCCGTAACTTGATGGATGCCGACGTACTAATTCCAAATCGGTATGCCGATGTTTCCTGGTCCCGACTGGAACTGAAAGGACACTTGCCCAAGCGTGCCCCTTTGCCGATCGATGTTGAGCGAATTTGCAACCAACGTCGTCTAAAGGATCGAAGCCTCCGGATGTCCGGTGCGTTTTCTCCAACAAGCCACATTCACAAAAAAAATCGTGCAGTTGCTGAACTCATATTGATCCACCTATTCGTAACCTCTATCTCATCCTTCATCATACCATCTAGCACTCATTTCATGCGTTTAAGGTCGATGGGTATCTTTTGCAAGGACCGGCATTAGCTTACCATTGCTAAGCCTCAATAGACCAGATAGAGGATATTGAAAAGCCTTTGTGTCAACCACTTAACTAGCTGATTTTTATGTTAACCATATCTAATCCATATGCTTGATCATGATGGCCCAATGGAACAACAGTATCGATGCTACACCATCAACAATGGCTTTCCTTTATCTCCGTGACAACTGTTAGAGTGGTGTGCGAGTGCTGTCTCAACATTTTGGCCGTGTGTCAACCGTACCATGACGAGTTTCAGCATGCCATCACTGATTTATAAGTCGATTGATGGTGACTTAGGATACTTGCTGCTTCAATGGGCACAACGGCAACTGAGCAAATCGTATTGGTGGTCCGAGCTTTCACGTTGTTCCACCTTATACGAGACTATTTTACCAGCATGAGGACAATGGCTGACGCTTATATTAAGACTTATTTATCACTAATCTTGGTCACTACCAATGAAAGGAAAGCATGGCTAGCCTTGGGTGAACTTTGTTGAATTACTTGTCACAATGACTGATTACAAAAGATGAGAGGCTTCCCGATAACATATCCACTGCCGGAATCGAATGCAACAGATACCAATAGGGATTGGCTACAGCATGGCCAGGACATTATCTTGACTGCTTGGATATAAATGTTGACTAAATTTTGGTGGGAAACTCATTCTGCATAACCTCACACGCAAACCAAACCCTCTAGCAGTGCCGCGAAAGTCTCCCATACTTGCGACATGGATTAGGCACGCCAATTTCACTCCTTTATGCATCAGAAAATACAGACTCAAATTAACGCATCTATATCTTAGAATTAATTCAAAATCTTTGAAATTTTCATATTATCACACCTAATCCCGTTACTAGTGGAGGTATGGATTTGCCTTTGAGTTGCTACACCGTGACGTGGTGTGCCTGTTCTTGAGTAATTGGAATAAATAACTTGAGCTCTAATTTATGGGAAGTAGCTGATAGGTAAAACTTTCATGTCAGTTTCAGATTCTATGCACTCTCTGCACTCTTTGCATCCAATCTTTGACATTGTTGTTCTTTTCCATCGACTTGACCATACTATAGGTACAAACCGACTGCATATTTGCATTTATCACACGCAGTACCATAATCATGGACCCCATACAAGGAGATAAGGTTCGCGCGTACCTTTTGCTTGTTAATGGCAGCTAATTCCTTGGGTGAAAGCTTTTGAACCCTGATAGAGACACCATCAACGTGTAGCTAGGGCTGTAGATAGCTGTTGCGCGTGCGCGGGGTGCCTTTTTTAGTAGAGTGTGTGCATAGCGCTTACCCTATAAAAAGTCCATATTCGTGAATGCTGGATTTTAAGAGTCGTGAGGGAGCATCACGTACTATCCAGCTGAGGCAAGGAACAGTGACATTGATGCGCAACATGACTGAATTGATTAAATAAGGGAATTGGGATATTGTAGGCAATGAATTAAGTGTATTTTACGTGAAGGATGAGCTGTAGTTCTGGTTGTAGAAATATGGAAAGTATTGATGGTAGACAGCCAGTATTGTATATTCGACCTTCATAGTAAAATCGTACCCGAGATCGAAGGCTTTGGTTTGTTAGGGCAATTTAATAAACTCTAATGTGCTAACTCATCATATTCGAGTAGACTTTTGGCGGCTTGATGGACGGAATAACAATACAACACTACCTTAACGGTTTAGTTGGGCAAGTGGAGCCGGAGCTAGCTATACTTCTAATCTTTTCATTGTGTCGATTAAGCAGAGTATAGCCAGGGTTTCTTAGTACGTAGAAGAACTCGTTCTCTAATTATCTGCGAACGATAAAGCTAGAAGGAAATCTGATACATGTAGTGGAGAGAGGAATGTTACAGTTTTCGACCAAAATCACAGATCAAAAGCGCCACTGAGATGAAAAAAACAAGTTTACTATAAGGAACTGATGTAAATAAGAAAATAGTCTTTATATTACTAGGATTAATAACCTTAATAAAAAATGATGTCATAATTAATCTACTCTATCAGTAAGCGCTAAATATATTATAATTGCTAAGATACCAATAGAATTAGAAGCGTCGTTAAATATGCGATTAAGATTCTAAAGTCAAGATCGAGAGTGTGGTTAAAGATATAGGTCAGCGCATGAGACCAAGCTCGACGTTTTATCCCAGAGAATCAATTAGACTAGTGTGGATGAAAGTATCAATAACAAAAGAACAAATTATAGTGGCGACTACGCACTTCGGTTTGGAATAATAGTGGTAAATGCTCAATTGCGTCTGAAATCAGACAAGGGCGTCGGTTCGAGATTTGTTCTGCAGCTACCGATTGATTTGCAACGTGAAGATGCACCAGGATTGTCAAAAAGGTATCGGTATCTATGTGTGCTTATTAGAGACAGCTTCTGTTTAGACTAATCCTGCTCCTCGTGTCAAGACTCTACTCCCGAGTGTTCTTCGACGAAGAGTCCTGCTGCAAGTCGTCATAGCTCAAAAGCACGAGATGGCATGACCGATAGATCTATGGAAGGTGATCTCTTACTCCAGTTGCTCAATTTTCTATGACCTTGGTCCATTGGTTCATTCCGAACTGCCAGAAGCTACAATTGCAGATCCAGGAAACCCGATCATCGAGCGGCACCGGAGGCTCAAGGCGGAAGCTCAGCAGGCCAATTTAACGCTGTAGTCGGAACCAAATTCTATCTTATAACAATGCTTCTGGTTGGCGCTTCTTGAATGAAATATTGCCCCCGTGCACCATCAAATGGAGCATCTCTTCCCCAGTTTACTGTATGTAACCTTTGCCCCTCAGTAGTAAGCAATTCCTCGTAGCATTTGTCCAAATCACGTCTCATATCGAAATCAAAACTCCCGATCCTCTCATATAAGCCATCAGACGCTTTCAGGACAATACAAGAAAATTGCGAACCGCGGGGACCATATTGCCAGGATATGAGCACGCATGTTACTTCCAAACCATCCAATATACTATCCAAGGACAAGGGTAGTAAAGCGATTATATGCCTTGTAATTCGAACCGCCGCGTAAGTTCCGGGTTGGGAAATCATGATCGTTTGGGTACGAGAGCCGAAAGTGATATCTGTTCGAAAGCTCAGATCTGATTCGGACGACGTGACATTTGTTAAGAACAGCTGGCAAACCGGACCCTCATAGTGAAGGTACCTATTGTCTTCAAAGAGATCCAGAAGCATTGTAAAACCCTCATCGAGTAGATGACGAGGATTTTGTTGATCTTCAAAGGCGAGAGAGTGTCCGTTGTCACCAGTCCACTCCGCGTCCTTACGAGTCTTGAAAGCCCCTTCCCAGCCAAGAAAGGACCAACTGGGGATATTAGTGCGTCTTGGAACCATAGTCTCGTGGTACCACGAAAGCATTGCAAACATCGTCTTACTCTTATATTGATTCTTACGAATCGGAATACCCCAAGGACAATGTATTCCTATACACTCCATCAAGCGAATGATACCGCTGCAGGCATCTAGTGCATCGCACGCACGACTGAGTCTGCGACTGTTATATTCCTGCAGCAGATCAATGGCTTGACTATATGCGATACGGGGACTTCCCAAAGAAACCACTCTTGACTTGGGTATAAATTTTGCGAATGGTAGAGTCGATTGCACGTATGTGATATCAACTGGAACCTTCCACGACTCCGCATGGTGGCTTTTGTTGCAGAGGTACGACACTTCGAAGTCAGTCACGAGGATGCGGTGTGGTGAAAGAAACCCTTCTTAAAATGTCCACCCCCTTTGTGCCCACGCCGAAACGCTAAGACAAGCTGAAGGAAGCGGGTATCCCGATATGAATGATATGTTGTCTATCGTTTCAACGCGCTGACTAGGTCGTCGGATAGGCCCTAAACCAGGAAGTCCCTATGTTGCGTCTTGCCCAGCAGCGGCGATGATAGTGACTTCTGCTTGAGCATATATGTTCCCCATCTGAGATATCTGTCGTCGGATGTCTGTTTCATTGCTTTGATCGATACACTGCTCTAGTAAGTAATTGGCAGTCGAGTGGATGAGCAGAACCATACATGCTTGTCAACCCAGAGATAGCGATAACCCAGGGACTTCGTTGCCGAAATAGCGTCCCGCACAATATCCTTGAGACGCCGGTGGCATATTGCCCCAAACATATGACAAGGCTACGTATTGGTAGGGACGAGGCGCCTCAACAATTTCGTGGGAAGGAGTATAGCAATCTATTACACGGAGGTTCCATATTGTGGAATTTTTGTTGTTCTCACAGGCTTCGTGGTGTGTAAGCTGACATTGTGCAATGCACCGCTTGAAAAACTCAATCAATTCCTTGGCTTCGGACAAGGCGAAACCCGAGGTCAAACTCTTGCTTTGCGAAGCTTAGACAGATGAAACCACTTTGAAAACACTCAGCAGGAGCTTTTTTACCACAAGCAGTAATCCCCAAGAAGTGACTGTCCTGCACTTTTTTAGTCTTTGAGACTTTTTTCTCGTTAGACAGCAGTATGCTTTTGGCCGAAAACCGCCGCACTTGACGTTCGGAATCTGACAAATGAGCCGGCGTTATCGTGGCCAAGAGGCGGCATACGCAGCAAGTAGACAATTGAAGCTTCTCGATTGTTTCTTCCCCGTCCAGAAGACAGATAAAGCGATTGGTCGGCGTTGAGGCTAAGATTTGATCCCAACCAATTTCATAGCAGCGCTTACAAAGAGATTTCCTATTAGCGGCGCTCATCTTGCTCTCAGTTGAGGTTGTTCCCTGTGAAGGATTGCTCATTCTCAGGCGGCACAACGAGATGGGTTTGAACGGACTTTTAATGTTACAATTTTGTTTTCATATAAAACCAACAATTTCCGGACCCTCCTACTACTGACGACAACCTGAGCGGGGTCGCAAATCCTAGCAAAGGTGTCACATGCGGGCAATCTCCACTATTATCGATACATTCCCGCCTCGGATGTCGCACCACTACTTGTAGGCTCCAAGGAGGTTTTTTTTACTTGAGGTAGAAATATTTATACCCGTAACAACGATTGGCATTGAATAGTGACCTTCCTTGTAATGCAACTGATGCATAACCCACGGCGCCGAGCTTTTGGCTTCTTGAGTGTCCTCCCTGCATGGTAACGATCAGCTGAGAAATATATTTTCTTCCTTCAAAATTGGTGCCGGCGGCACTGCATTAGGAGGATGTCAGATCAACGGGTCGTCGTCTACAGAGCCTGATATGGATCTGCCTAGGCGCATTATGGAAAGGGGCGATTAAAATAGCACCTAGCCTTGTGCCCAAAGGTACAGTAATTGAAGCACTTCGCGTAATTGGTCACCAAGTAGGCTGGACACCTTTTCGAAAAGGTGGTCCTAGAGTCGAGCAAGACAGCATCCTTGATAAAGAGCTTGGCCACTGAAGCTGGTACACGCACATGGACTTGGCGGTTTTGGCTTTCAGACTAGCTACGGGGTAGCCTTTCGTGTCGTTCAGCTTGTAGGTTCACGGCTGGACGAGGAATTAGGCAACATCATTCTCCAATCGAGGTGTCCATAGTTTCGTCACTACTAGCGATTGTATACGTCCCCTCCACTTCATTCGCAATAACGACCATCTGTCCTAGAACCGGCCTTAACTTGTGGTCATTCACACCGCCAAGGTTTGCTGCTTCCAAGCTTGTGCAGTTGACAACCACTGCCGGTCGCAGGAAGCTATAATAAAAGCATTGCGAATATGTGACAGATTCTCACGTCGAAACTTGATACCGAGTTCCAGGCAGTTAGATCAAAGCCAGTGAAGGTAGATGCTAGGCTCTAGCGAAATACTGCGATAGAAAATTCCCCAGTCCACCCCATTGGGCACATCTTCTTTACACAAAATCCTGTACTACAAGATTGAGCCGAAGATCAGACGGAGTTAGAGTACTGAAAATCCACGTATTGACCGCTATCTTTGAACCAGTGCTTTAGGTTACTTGGTTTCTGGTCTAAATTTCGAAAATAAGTAGTTTTAACTGAGGTTTGTTAACAATGAACCGTCCAAGACGCCAGGTGGCATACCTCCAATCATCACACCTGCTGTTAGTCTGGCACGAGCCAGCTTCTGCAGTGCATAAAACGTAGAAAACTCCCAACCGGCTTCGGTACTGCCTTTTTCGGCAAATCTGAGATACCCTAAGTTAATAAGATCCAGGGTGGCCTGGCCGCAGAAAGGAAGGCTTACGGGGTCTATTCGGCACTGATAATAAGACTTCAATAATCTAAGAGATCCAGCTAGAAAAATTCCTAGTCAAGGACTATTTGACCTCATACCGTTTGAAAAGCGAGCTTACTCGGTATTTGCAAGAAATGGCTGCTCGGAGCTCCATCGCAGAAATCTGCCTGGCGTATCTATTAGAACCTAGGCCACAGTAGACAACCGAAAGAACCAGAAAAGCCTTCCCTTTCTGTGAACACTCAGCACGATACTGGGCAAGCCACGCCGTCATAGGCGAGCGTAACAGTGAGACTGTGTTTGAGCTTGCGCAGGAGCTTTTCTTGAGTCGCGACCTGATCAAAAGCTGTTGCTAATTTTACGACCTAGATCACCCCTGGGCGAACTCAGCAAGCGTTTCAGATACAGCACCTGCCCTATGCTACTAGGTCTCCTACGTTGTGGAGGCATGCTGATCAATTTAAGTGCTCACGTCGATACACAGGGCGCATACTACGGCAACGCATTACAGGCTGATTCATGTTACGGACAGACAGAAAGAGGTCTAGCAGCTGTTACTCCACAAGAAAGCCAAGATCATTGCTCAGGATAGATTTCACGGCAACGCATTATGCGCTGCTTCAATTTGAGGACACAATGTCGTACAACTGCTTATTAGCAACAGCGCCGATGTCAATGCCCAAGGGGGAAAGTACGGCGATGCATTATAGAGGCAGCATGCGTGGCAGTAAAAAGCACCATGCTTCCGATGAACTCAAACAAGTTTTTATTCTTGTTTTCTCAGCCCATACCTTAGGATCTTTCGAGGCCAGACTAAACCATGTTGTAGCCGCCTAAGCAAACTCCATAGGTTCCACGCTTAGGAGTGAGGCTAGTCTAAGGAACATGAAACCAATCTAGATCTCATATTGGACACATCGAAGTATCAAGACGAACGCGAGGGAAGTACTTTCGCGGAAGAACTAAAGTGGTATTGTGCCAGCTCAATTTTGATGGAAATAGACATTTGACCGACTATGATATTATCGGCTGCAGGGATGGATTTGTTGGAGGTAGATCATCGATGCCGGCTAAATATACCCTAACTTCTAGAGTTGAGTGGATTCGACAGTTTTACTGTCTAGAATCAGAATGGTAGCATTGATGCTGGGCCACTACATGTGATGCTCACGGGTGCTCGACTTTTGGGTTTCTGTTTCTATCTAGTAGACAAACAACATCCCACGCGTGTCCATTTGCTACTTATCGTACTCATAGTTATTTCCAGCGCGCGTCTTTCACAACGGGACAGGTAATTGTTGGGCTGCCGCCAGGTGTGCCAAGCCCAATTTGGCGCTCAAATTAGCACAAGGTCTGCCATATCTTGAACGCAAAACCTCCAATCTTAGACATTGCTATGCTAAAACCCCTCATCTGTATGCAATATCGTGTTGATATCTAGAGATCGCTAGAGCACATGAGTCGCCAATATTTCAATCATCATTCAAGGCAAATTGATGGTATAAATGGGGATATAAATACCGCTTAATACTACATCTGAAGGTTGTTTATTGGGAGCGTTGGATGTATGCATTGCTAGCATTCTCGTAAAAGTATCAAGAGCGTCTTTACAGTTGTCTTCAGAGCTATCATGTATATCTCCATAAGTATAAGTGCTCAGGAAGTGCGGTGTGATAAAAATACTACCAAGTCACAAAACTGCGAAGGATATGAAAGGTTGGGTTCATGCTAATATACTATCCAATCGCGAAGGTAAGATTATGGAGACAGGCCTTAGGGTATACTGAGAGAAGATGATTCAAAAGTGTAGCCGCCAAGCTTGATAGGCTTCACTAATGGGCAAGATAAGTGCTTATTAACCACTGAAGTTATAGTTATCTATAAAATATAGAGAAACCGAATTTTTAAATATCCGATCATTCCTAAATATCTCATCTTTATCCACAAGAGCAAAGAGCGATCATACATAGTGCTGATATTTGATTATGGGTATATATTTCCGTATTGTTCCTCTCCTTCGGGGTAATGTACAGCCGAATTCCTAACGAATCGAAAAGTCCGTCCAGATCAATGTTGCACCAATAATCATATCAAATCAATGAGTGTCGAGTGGTAAAACGGGTAAAAAGTATTGAGGTCCAATGACCTTGTCAACGAAGCTTCGACAGACTCCAAGCTGTCAGCATCACGATGAAATGTTGAATAAACACAAAAGAAAAAAGGAACAACGGCGCCAGCACCACACCAAACATGTAAATTTCAACGACGACAGGTTATCCAATGAGTCCTCAATCACCAAGGTAGCCTACCGATAATCATGGCACCCCATAATCTCTTCTCTTGTTAATCTTTGCCCATTATTCGTGTATAGCTTGTATGTGTTCGAGCGGAGCTGATTGCATCAGATTCGTATTTCTATATTTGTAGATGGAGATAGGTTGCAGAGAAAAGAGAACTTGTGTTTGGTGAAATTGACGATAAGGATTACAGCATTTGTCCACTTGGTAATCCTTGACGAGAACGGGTTGTGGCAGGATAGTTTCTAACCAAACGATCACCGCCTTGATCAATCGATGGGTATATACTTTCTTTGGAGAGCAACATCAATGAAAACACATGGAAGCCTGTGGGCCAAAGCAAGAAGGCCAGTGTGTATATTTTGTCGCGTGCAAGAAACTTCTATACACGCTCCTGAACCAGTTATGTCCGGCAAAATGCGGATTACCTGGAGCTATTGCCCACTTGCCTTTTGCCATGTCACGGCTGGGCTCTTACATGTAATGTGTAATTTCCGTCAAACTTTTCATCGAGTAGCCGCTGGAGTTTGGCCTCATCGATACGTGCGCCGGCTATGGTCTGGGGCGGCATTTCGTGATCGTTCAAGTTGGACGAGCAATGAGATGCGGTACTATTGTGTCTCGAACTTCTGAACATACCGGGAATTGGTAAATGCCATCCGGTAGGATACCAGCTCGAACGATGATGCGAGTTCGAAGAACTGGTTCGACTCGAACGGGGAGAAAATGTGGCCATTTTGTGTTTAAATCGATTTGGGTAAAGACAGAGTGGAGCCAGAACCAGGGATTGGGGGCGGACGCGAGTCAGTGATATGTAGGCCAGCCAGTATTACTCCTTACTGTGTAAATCTTTGTACACTCTGTCCAGAAATGGTTCTACACTGATTCCGTATGCAGCTTCCTGGTCATGAAAACACCTCAGCCTTGTTCTTGTCACCCACAAGGACCACCCCAGGATGATTTAAAACATTGCTGCCACACTTGCCGGGCTTCTCGGCACACGCCACCAAGTGTTATACCAAAGAGGAATTTGATCTCATTGGACGAAGTCGAGATCAACCGGTGAATAGCATTGCCTTTTAATTAGAGACCACAATGTGGTGTAGTCGAGACGCCTGTTTCCCAAATGAAGCAATCGAGCGGGGTTCACAAGGCCATCATGTGTGTGGTTCAAGAATCACTCCAATCAGCGATGCTTCTCGTACAGAAGTGGCTTAGAAGCTGAAATACACACATCATGTCAGCGCTTGATTTCCCCCAGTACATTTGCCTCCCGTGCATCGGTGTGCATTATCAGTACTGACACCTTGCAACGGAGGGCCCGCAGCCTTATGAAGGACTTGGAAAATAATGAAGCCATGCAATGCATGGTGCGCCTTTTCTCTCAATTTCGAGGAGGGGACTGTGGACATCATACTATGGCTGCCACGCTGGAGGAACCGCACATGGATTTTCCAGTTCACCGCCGCGATCGCGAACTGATGCAAGCTGGACTGTATTCAAATACTACGCCTTGCCCACCGTTCTGCAGGGCATGCAGGAATCTCAAGTAGTGAGTCTGCAGCCTGATGTCAATTTCTTTCTTTTTCTCTTTTCTTTTTCCGCTAAAACACAAAACGTCGGACGTGCGAGGACAAATTCGGTGCTGCAGACAGAATGATAAGCTTACCATCTGCTACCCCCGAAACCCAATCGTTGATCGAACTCAATCGTGCCAAAATCATTGGTTCAATTCTCTCCAAATCACTGCCAGACCTCAGCGATAGTCGCTGCCGTTTTATTCCGCGAAATGCACTCATCGCTGCTGTACCCAAACAGATTGTCAGTGCCTTTCTGCAGTCATTTCCTGATCTGGGGGGAGAACAGCACCTCAACTCAATAGCGTTGGCCGAGAGCATAAGTCCTCCTCCTGATGGCTGTCACTGCGGCCAGGCCCGCTGCACCGGCGGCCGTATCATATTCGCAGCACTACTTGCAATATCCAAGGAAAATCTCATCCCGCCACTATTTAAGCCGTCTGACCGTGCAATCTGTGATAACAATCTGTCCGACCTATCACAAGCAATATCTGACATCCCTCAAATTTTACCAGAAGGATTTCAGAGTTTGACAACTGAAGAGTTTGAGCGCTTCATACACTTCACTTGGCAAATGAGAAGCCCGATTTTCGAAGGACTCAACCCAGAAAGATTGGTTACTACCAATTCGGATACGATCATTGAGTTGAATAGTAATGTTCCCTTGCCATGGATCCTCTTGCGTCAAGTGGAAACCCTGACAGAAGAGGATGTAACACGAGTTCAAAAAATCCAAATCCATGGAGCGCATCATGATTCAGTGCGTATGAACAGTTGACCACCAAGGATGAACTATCTCTAACAGACGGTGGTGCAGGGTATTCCGACCGGCGATTTAGCCCTGAAGACCTTTCTCGACCGTCGACTTGCCGAAATGGCAGAGAAAAGCTGCAAGAAAGAGTTACGAGCCAACTACAGAACGCCTCAACATAAGAATATCCTCCCCTTGCTGGCCGTATTCAAACATAGAGGGAGGTTCCACTTGATCCTTCCATGGGCCGACGGCGGCAATCTTGCGGAGTTCTTCAGGAGGAATCAGATGCCAATCTGCACTGAGCGAGGTGGCATGGAAGCTTCAAAGCGCCGCTCCGAAGCATGGGTCTTATCAGAATGCTTTGGACTTGCTGACGGGCTCGCTGCGATTCATGGAATCAACCCCGATACACAACATACACACACGTCATCTCAAATGCACGCTGATATAAAGCCAGAAAATATTCTTTGTTTTGCCTCAAACAACGCCAAATATGGCCCCTTCATTCTGAAACTCGCAGACTTCGGCGAAGCTCAAGAAGTTCGTGCTGACACCAGGGATGTGGAGGCCCACCGTGTGGCGCATACGAAAACCTATCGGCCACCTGAGCATGATACAGACGTGCTGTTGACTCTCCACTATGACGTATGGTGCCTCGGATGTGTCTACCTAGTGTTCCTTAGCTGGGCGATTGCAGGGCTAGGATCAATTGATGAGTTTGAGGTTGACCGTTTTCATGAGTGCGATGATGCCGAGGTCGACATGGCAAAGGGGACAGTCCTCAGAGATACGTTTTTCAAGAAAGTCGCCGAGCCTACACGACCGCGGTTCCTCTCGAGCATTACGTCTGGTCACAAAACTAAAATGCGATTTGATCCGAACGGTTCGAAAAATGCGGTCAGGAAAAGGCACATTTGGTGGTTTGAGTACACAAAAAACCACGCCAAGAGTCTTGTAAAGGATAGAGTCCAGTCGGTGAGCTTGATCTACGCATGTTATACCATGTGGACTTTATACCTAAATCGTTTCTGTGAATGCATGAATACTTACTAATTTGATACCAGCAAATCAAGTCATTACGAGAGCGCTGTCATAATACCAGGTTCGAGAAATTTCTGGATTTCATCGCCTCGAAGATGATAGTAGTCGATCCGAAGGTCCGCGCAGATTCAGCCGAAGTGCGTTTATTTCTCCAACAGCTTCAGATGTCAGATGATTGACAAGAAGATCACTGATGACGATAAGAAGGGTAGTACATGTACGATATTGAATTGGCTTGCGCGGAAGAATATTGGAGCAATCCTATAGACCTTTCAACTCCGGTAGTATTAGAGATTTTAGTTCCGGATAATAATCTATTTACTCTTCATCTTCCTCTCCGGCCTTTTTCTTTCGATCATTCTCGGCATCCGCATATGCCTGATATATTTGATCCCTCTCCTCCTACTTTACATTAGGTTATAAGTTATCAGGATTGTACGGTATACTGACATCTTTCAGTACTCTTGGTAGTTCAAATTCGAAGCCGCCTTTTTCCTGGGAAAATTTAGCCCATTATCGCCCTTTGAAGAAATGAGATGTCAACTTAGACAACATACCCGAATCTTCCAGTCATTTTCGGTGAAGCCAAGTTTCTTGAGTTCTCTTTGGAGTATGTCCAGCGTCTTGTAGGGGTGGTTGATGAAGTTATTTGCCTTAAAATCGGTTTGTGCCATCTTTGACTTTGGCTTGAAGCTAATCCAATCCAGAAATTTATTGAATGAAGACATGACGACAAGGCTCTTATAAACGAGCCGCTATCAAATTCAGAGGTCTCTAGGACCTAAATACCTCATTTTAGTCTCCAGGCTGACGTGAAGGGGCCAACTCGACTATTGCCAGTGACAAGTAATTACACTTCTAGAATGTCGAGGCATAAAACCTCCTTCACCTTGAAGCAGGCTGGAGGGCTCCAGGCAGAATCTTCGATGTTGCAGAACTTTCGGTGAGCATAAAAATCGGTCTAATTCTGTACCTTTCGGATGGGGACATCGCCCGACAGCCATTTCTTGTGGCTTGGACTGGATCAAGACCAGGGTGGGGACTGCATGTAGAATACAACCCCGCCAGCCCAGTGGCTCTCATTCTGGTAGGCTATGTGCACTGCAAGATATGATTACAGAGGCATTGGGGGGTCGGACTGTCTCGCAATTGGTTATAGGTGCAGCCTGCCTCTGCATCATGCGGTATGTGTTGGAATGCTGAGTGATGGGTAAATGTGGGAGAATTGTGGTGGGCTCCCCGCACCGCTCAGACTTGCTTCATGGCTGATTGTAGTTCGGGGAGTCTTCGTGCTCCATGTGCGTTGCTGTTGGTGCTATATATCGATGCTGCGCTTTCTTGTTGAAATGACAGATTCACAATCTAAAGACATTTGGCAAATATCATGGACTGGCTTAGTCAGACAACAAAGTACCTGAGTAGCGATCTGAACCTTTTTAGGTTCTGTCCCGGAAACCCGTTTGACATACGAACTGTTGTTCTGAGAGTAGATGATGAGGTTTGTATAACCATTCACACAGAATAAACCCCATTAAACTCTTTGCCAGATTGTGAGACACGAGGCTGAAGAGTTACACTCTGAGCAACAGTACCTCAACTGGATAGAACGAGTGCGTTATTACTCTTTCAAGCTTTTCCATTCAGATTTTGACAATCATACATTAGTATCAAACATTCCTTGATGAGGGGAGACCAGTCCTTCTGCTTGCCATGCACGTGAGACAGGATGGCACAGCCAATTCAATCCCATACTCAGAGGCCACTTTCAAAAGCATGTCGAGGAAGATGTACCAACACAGGTCCCTAGCCTTAGCAATGCCTCGGACATCTACGGTCATTTTCAATAGTAAACATGCCGACTGGGAGTGCACGGACTCAGAAGAGCAGTCTATAGGTAGGGTACACATTTCCTTTTTTTTCTTTTCAAAGTATATTACCGTGTCCCTTTTATATACTCCATCCATACATGATACAACCCTTCTCTACGTGACTGATTTAAAGTCAAAGTATATAGCTGTAGATCAGACACCGAATCATTGCCTCGAAAGGATGACATACTTCTTTCAACAACATACTTCATTGAGAAGCCGTGGACTTTTTCAGTTATGTACGGTTGCCCTTTGGAGTTCACGGAAGAAATCACCAGTCGCCTGAAACGATACAAACAGTCGTCATTCCACCCTCTGATGTTCCCCATGATCTTTGTTGAATATGAGCGCACGCGGTTCATAAAAGCCCTTTCCGTGGACGGCCCCAGATTGAAACAAAGGATCATGGATTTAGAGAATAGGCTTGAAGATGACAAGAACCGCGGGAAAAGGCCTAGCCGTGATTTTAATAGGAGAATGGCGGAGAAGGACTGCGAAAGTACCAGGCTGTGGATAGACGTCAACAGTCTCAAAATCGGGTTCGAAAGCTTGAAGAAGGTACTTCTTTCACTGGACGAACACTCGCATACCATCAATAAGCACAAACTGCGGCCTGACTTGAAGAGGAAGAATGAGATAGTCCAAGGATCAAAGACATCGGAAAACATCGCCTCCAGAATCCAGGAGATGATCGCAGAGATTGAAAGCAAAATAAGAGAATGCGAAGGATTACTCAACGGAATGGCATTATCGATTCAGGTGGTAGGCAACTCATCTATGTATGATAGTGACAGCCGACTGACTGCGTATTAGGAGTGGAACTACCACACGAGACGGGATGCAAAAGCGACCATCATCATCGCGCAGTCTTCACAACGAGATAGCGCTCAAATGAGGCTGATATCTCTGGTGGGAATGATATTTCTTCCCGGCACTTTCCTGGCGGTAGGTCCGAACCCTTTTTAGATATCGTATGATATCGACGCTAACGCAACTTCAGACCTTGTTCTCCATGTCATTTTTCCAATGGATACCAGACAACAGTGCGGAAGTAGTATCTCCTTGGATTGCGGTTTATTTTGGTCTAACCATAATTATCACAGCAGCAACCATTTGGAAATGGAAGACTTGGACAGCGAAAGACTTCCAAGACATTGATATCTCCCAAGATGTTGAGAAAGGCTCAACGTATACAGACGATAGCCAGCGGTCTCCGGTCAATAATGTGGACAGGAATCGAGATGATATCGAATTTCAAACAATCATACATCAGTAGGTAACGTATTATACTTGATAGTACATTGTAATCATGTTGGAGGGGTCTGGGCTGTTCACGATATCTTAGTTTAGTTCTGTTACTTCAGTATTGATTGCCACACTATCGCTATGATACTGTAGCGTATCTGTATTGTATATACGACGGAGCTCAACTTGCCATAAAGGCCGCATAGCTGGATTAAAGTCTTATCTGGGGCCGCCTGCTTATGATTGAGCAGTGTGACGCTGTCAGAATGGTAATATGTTGAATTGAGAACTGTCAACTGCACGGAAAGTTCTAGAGGTTAATTAAGTAGATATGTAGCGGTAGAGCGTGTTCCCACAAATAGTTTGGGGATGATTATTGTGGATTATAACGTACAGACGAGCCTAGGTTAGAGTAGTATAAGATATCTTCGCACTAGCCTAACCTTAGTACCAAGAATTCTGAACGTTCTCGCTCAACCAAATCCGCTTGTGGATACTTCCTCTGTCCCACCTGGCGGCTATACCCTTAGCAAAGCCTGGATTTATAGAAGCCACAGAAGGATTTCACTGACAGAACTTTATCCACTATTTTCAAAGACGTCCTCGAGACACTGTAGAGTGACCCACCCGACTATAAGCCAATCATCAAACTAGACAGCATAATCCCCGATGAGAAAACGCTCGATTATTTCCTGTCCAAAAAAAAAAAACTCCGGCCAACCCTCAATCAAGCCCTTCACTGTGTTAGACCAGGAGGCGAAGAAGGCTTTTACCTAGCGTCAGAGTCTTGGAGCCGCTACGAGATGGTTCCCGGTTGGATATTAGTCTCTCGTTAACGCGATGAGAGGTCTACTTATCCCATCCTTCTTTCCGGCGAGACGAAGCTGCACAATAAATGATTTCCTAATATAACGGATGCATCTCACGAAAATGACCAGGAGCAGTTCAAGTTGCCCCTCAGCCAAACTCTGACGTACGCAAACTTAGCGAAGTATCGCTATAGCTTTGTAGTATTACTAACGACAAAGGGAATTTTAGTTATCGGCGCAAGTTCTTCCCGCCCCGTACAAATCATTGAAAAGTTTCATCAAAGAACTGTGTCAAACAGGACTGCTATATCATCTGTAATTGAATCGCTGTCGCTCGGTTCTATATATTCTGATGAAGGCAACGCATGTGTGTAATACGAGGATGCAGAGTATGCCGTTATGCCATGGTCTGCGAAAGGTACACGTTTGACTATCAAGTTTGCCTTGTTCTGCCTATGCCTCATGGCTGAGACTGGTGAGACCAAAATCGAGCAAGAGTATCCTCCAATGGACAACTGACACAAGACTTTGGCTGCAATTGGACAAATATACTCTCACGTTACTTCTGGACGCACCGTGGAGAATCTTCCTTTGAACGCAACCGTTACGGTGTGACGTAAAGGGACTACTAGCGCATAGCTGTCTTATTGCTTTGATAATGCTGGCACGGCTTAATCAAAAATGTATTTTGTGACTACCCAGGAGAACTAGAGACTACTAAGGCTTCGAGATATTAATGAATTCAAAATACTTTGACATCATTTAACAAGTCTCATATTGTTGTGGAGAAGTAGACCTTCAGTGCAAGAGATTGCCGATTGTCATAGTATCTGATACTGAAAATGAGCACGTAGACATCTCACATACATCGCTCATTATAAGTTTCCAGCCGTAGTGTTCAAGTCATCTTATAGTACCGCAATCCAGTATAACTCTATTCTTTCAAATGACTCATTGGGGGTAAGATACCAGAGTGATAATACAGAGAGACATTGCGATAATTATATGCACGTCCATTCAAATACTAGAAGTAAATTCGCAGTGCCGGTGCCAAATTCGACCAATTTAGATGACTGAACCTTTGAACACAATTACCTATCATATTCAACTATCGAATATTGGACCATATGCGTGGATTCCACGTGTTTCTAAATCGAGTACCAATTTCTTGGTAACCGTAGGGTTGCTAATCACGCATACAGCCTCGGCCTTGAATCCATCGTACAACTGTAATATAGCCGGCAGCATGTCCATCCTCCCTGAAAGACTTGTGTCTATCACAACGGGATTCGGATCCAGCCTGTGTACTAGATCCATGGTTCTCTGGGAATAAGTTTGCAACGGGGACTTCGTCTGCCATACCACGCGCATGTCTGGTCTGTTATCGTCATCGATAAAAGACAGGCAAGGGCCGATCCCTGAGCCGGTCGTTACCACAATGATGCGGCTGAATACGCGCATCACATAGCCGAAGCCATATACTGGAACTCCACGAACCCATACTTGAGGCAAAGGGTCCAAAATGACGGAAGACGTCCAATCTCCTGCCTTGGAGACCAGGCAGGAAAACTTACTAGCAGGGGTGTCGAATCTGTCTGTAATTGTTGCAAAGCTATGCCAGTCTCGCAGCGGATGTTTTGATATCGAAATGCCTTGTCCGTATCTGATAGTAGTATGGGAGAAATGAAGGCGGATAGCGTGTTTTGAGAGACGTTCCGGAATCACCTCTACCCGTCGCAGCATCATCCATGGGTGGATGGTGGCCATAGTGACAATAATCACAGACCAGAATGCTGGTAATGATACCAAGAATGCACCCATAGATGCTTGGTGCTGTGATGCAAAGGTGAGAAGGAGAGCCCAGAAGAGCGCAAGAACCGACCAGGTTGAGAAACGATGCGTCAGTTCAAACCGATCGTGCCAAATTGTTCGAAACTTTGGGGCCGACACCCCGATGATAGTGATAAGTACAACAAAAATCAGATACGCCAGTACCAGAACCGTAGTAGACGTAGGTGAGGGGCGATATTGATGTGTATATAGGCCAACAAATCCGATATACCACAAACAGGAGGCTAGACCACAGCCACTATGAACTCCTCCAAGATGAAAGACTTTACAGGCCAAATGGCGAAGCCTCAGTGGTGCGGATCGGGGCACAGCACACAAGGAGATGAATAAGGCGTTGATTACCAAAGGCTGCCGGACGAGTCCACAGACTAGCAAATTCGCGGCGCAGGCATTGACACAGTCCAGCAAAAGTTGATCTCTAGCCATAACGATGACGAAAGCAATGAAATTTCCAACAAAAACTAGGCTAAAGAGACGCCGGTATGTGTTGAGTAGAACATATCGAAGCATTGTGCGAGACTTTGACATCGATGAAGTCAGCTTATTGTCCATGTTGGTATATGGTCGACAGTATTTCCAACTCAAGGTTTCTTTTTCTCACGAATCAAGTATATCGAATAACCTTTCACATTTAGACCAGGATAATCAACCACAGGATTCTGCAAGAAAGCCTTTTCAGTCAATTACGGTTAATAAGAGGTCTTTATATACCGGAACCCCCGTCGTGAACTCGCAAACACGTAAGGCACTGGGGGAATAGATTCTACTTTTAGTATTTGCGTATGTTCCTTCATGTTGCCTTCGGGGTGAGATTCTTCTTCCACAATTAGGTGGGATTCCCAGCTTATCGTAGTTTCCAAGTAGACTTGCGGCATTGTGTGCTGAATCTGCGAAGACTGCGTATTTTCAGCCAATGACAAGCGTCCAACCACCACCACCAATACGCGCCACAGCTGCATTAAGCAGGCTTCAGTACATTTCTCAAAGGATTTGAGCCCACCACAAGTTATGAATAGAATACATTATCTGTTCTGCTTCAGCCCGATCTCCTCCGTTCCAATAAGAAGTCAAAAATGTCGGCATGACCTGAAATCAAAGTCCGTAGGATTAGAGTCGTCTCGTGACCGAGACTCTATCTGGACTACTCGGTATCATTAATCAGAGCAAGGGTGTAAATTCATGTACTGCAGCTGTGATTAGAATCAACTTCTTTAGGCAACTTGAAAACGACTGGAAATTATTTAAAGAGAAAAATATTTCTAATTTTACAATCCAGCCTGTGTTGGTATGCTTCAACTCATTAACATATTCGTCCATCGGTTGTTTCCTCCATTCTAAACTAATACCACCCAGATAGTGTTGCAACTTTTGTTACATTTTCCACAACAGTGATAATCAACACCCATTCCCTCACTTTTAGTGTTGCTCTTCCCATACAGGATTGGCTGCTCTAAAAGGTAGGTTGGCCTATTCCCACTGCAAGATGTTTCATCCATTCCATGTGAGCTGTTCTGACCTATTTATTGTGAAGATTTCTCTCACTACTTCAACTGAATCATGGATCTGGTCTCTTTTGCATTTGATGTACAAGCTCATTACGATCCAGAAAAGCCTCTATACATCAGCGCCGAGAACCCCAGCATATCGCTGAACGCAAGCCAGATGAATACTTTGGTGAAACAGCTTGTGGCCGGATTTCAGGCCGCAGGGCTTCGAAAGGGTGAAGCTGTATTGCTATGTGTGCCAAATAATGTATGACTTTGTAAGGTCTCCCTCGAATGGCGACTGACGGTCTTAGTGTTTCTATGTGGCCCTGATACTTGGTATTATAGGTGCGGGCGGCGTGTTCTGCGGCGTAAATCCTGCATACCAGTTGGACGAGCTCGTTCACATTGCCGAGATTGCCAGCCCACGCCTTGTAGTTGTGAGCAAGGATATTTTTCCGATGGTGTCACGGATGTGTGAAATGAAAGGCATACCTAATGATCGTATATTTCTTCTCGAAGACTTAACTGTGCCAGACTATCCCCAAGATTTGCTCTTTTCCCTGGACGGTAAACGCGAAGTCATAAATGATGGAAACCGTACTACTGGGCATCCTAGTGACCTTCAGAACCACGGGCAGTTACCATGGTCGACCCTTCACGACGAAACAGTGTTGAGGGACACTCCAGCAGCATATTTTTCCACTTCCGGTACAACAGGGCTTCCGAAGCTTGCCAGCCTATCTCACTACTCCCTGATTGCTCAACATCGCAGTCTCTTCGAGAACGTGCCTTATGAGGTAGTAAGGCTCGCGTGTCTACCATTTTTCCACATATTTGGGGCTGCCTGGGCCGTCTTCTGCCCTCTCAAATACGGAGAGCCTGTGTATATTATGCCAAGGTTCTCGCTTGACAATTATACCTCAAACATTTTCAAGTATGCCATAACCGAGACATATATGGCACCCCCGATGGTCTACGAATTGATTCAATGTGAGCGTCCTTTGCAGCAGCTTCTGTCTACCATCAAATACGTCGGTATTGGAGGTGCGCCGATTGATGCTGAATCCCTGAGCCGGTTTCGTTCAAATCTCCAGCCGGGAGCTACCGTAACTCCGGTGTGGGGCATGACAGAGTTCGGACCGGCGGCGCTGTTCCGGTGGGGGGAGCACGACGACACCGGCTCCATCGGAAGGCTTATCGAGGGCTACGATATGAAGTTAGTAGATTCGGCTGGCACGCTCATCTTGGCAGACAATCAGCCTGGCGAGCTCCTTATTCGCTCGCCTGGTATCATGACTGGATACCTGGGATACCCGACACACGATGAAGGTGACTTTTTCCGCACCGGTGACATTGCGCAGGTGAATGAAAAGAAGCTCCATATAGTTGGAAGATCGAAGGAATTGATCAAGGTCAAGGGGTACGTACTAACAGTTCCACTTTGGACAACTCACTGTGCTGACACCAATTAGATGGCAGGTTGCTCCGGCGGAGATTGAAGCAATTATCCTCCAACATCCCGATATATTGGACTGCGCGGTCGTCGGAATCTTGTCGGCCGATCATGTCACAGAGCTTCCCAGAGCATATGTAGTTGGGAGAAATGGCAGAAAAGAATCCGTTCTTGGGGAAGAGATATACAATCTTGTGCGTAGCCGCCTTGTAAGCTACAAGAAACTGGCAGGCGGTGTGACATTCCTGGAGAGAATCCCCAGAACACCGAGTGGCAAGGTTCAGCGCTTCAAGCTGTTTTCCTTGTGACCTTTTGATGGAACAGAACAAGAATGTAATACAAACACCAAGTCATGATAGACAACTTGAAACTTGACTTCATGATCAATTCAAGAACAAGCGTTATCTTATTTGTGGCAGCTGGTCCAGTGACAGTTCTAGACCACATTTTCAGAATTGTTCTGTGGTACGCGCCTGTCTTCGTAGGATCGTGGGAGTTCCCGAGAATCACTTGAACATCAGCGCATTTGATGCTACTTACACTTATCTGTAATGCCTTTATTAGAAGCTTCTATAGCCCGTATCGACACCGTGGTAGTTTAAAAGGACAAGTATTTCCGGGTCTTAAGTGTTATCGGCCTCAGGATAAAACGGTGAGTTGGTATTCGATAAAAGTTGGGATCCCCATCATGGATTAGGATAAATTGAGCGTCTGACGTAAGCAATATATTGACAGTTTAAAGCCTGCACGAATTTCCCAAAGTTCAACACCGCGTCGATGGGAAAACCGTAATGGAGCCCGCAAAGCGATACATGTCTTACTCAGCCCCTTCCTTGAAGACTTGAAAAAGCTGACATATCTTGTTATAATCTAGTAAAACACTAAAATATGCAGGAGACCAATGGAAGGAAGTGGCTTAGCGTCGAGAAACTATTCTACAGAAATCATCAGCTGAAAGGTCTTCATCGTTTGTCGAATCAAAACTCATTATCAAACCGGGGCATCCGGTGATGGTGCCCTACCAAAATGTGAAATGGTCACATACCTTGTCCAGCGCACCCTGGCTTTCTGCGTGCAAGATGCCGCACATTTTATGCATATATGTTCAATAAGATTGAGTTTGGTTTGGCTGCCCAAGTAGCGTTTCCATGATCTATACCGGTAACGGTCATCTCAGCACTGTTGAGCGATTTATTTCAAGGTAAACTTGTCGGGGGAAAAAAATTCCAATATTTGTGGTTCACAATACTTTTTTCTTTCTTATTTTTCTGTCGTCGCATCTTTTGGCCCAATCACACTGGACGAGCAAAGAATGCCCACCAAATGTTCTGCTCTATGGTTCAGTAGCACACCTCAATCATGCACCTCAGACTATCTCAATCGTGACTTGCCGATGCCTTTAAATGAAGGATTCGCACTAGTTCCTGGGAGTAAGCATATTGGATTGACACCTGCTTATGCTTTTCTGATGCCAGTACAGCGACTACTGTCCAAGAATTTTACCAAGTTCCTCACCCCGACTAGTCGCTGCCTTTACAGCCTTGTCCACGATTTCCCTGAAGCCCGAAACCTCGAAGCTTTCTAATGCAGCCTGTGTCGTACCATTGGGACTGGTCACATTCTTGCGAAGCTGAGCAGGTCCATCTGATGATTCCACTAACATCTTACCGGCACCGAAGCAAGTCTGAGTGGCAAGTCGTGTGGCCTGCTCCTCTGATAATCCTAGGCTGACGGCGCTAGAAACCAGGTGTTCTACCATGGCAAAGAAGTATGCAGGACCGGAGCCTAGGATATCTGATTAGCCATGACGAGCAAAGGTCAATGTTTTGCAACTAACCTGACAGTCCGGTCACAACATCAAGCAGCTCTTCCTTATCCACCCACTCGGTAGCTTTGCTGAAGCTACTAAGCAATGAGGTAACTAGGGTCTTCTCATCCTCAGTAACATCAGGGCTCGCATACAAGCCGGAGGCGCCCTCGCCGTACAAAGCAGGCGTGTTGGGCATGACACGGACAGCGTGCGGAACACGTCCATCAGACAGCTTGAACCACTCAAGGAAACTGACAAGCGTAATGCCAGCAGCAATTGACACAATAATGGGGAGAGACGACCGTTTGCTCCACGAGTCACGTAGCTCATGACACACTCCCTTGGCGACTTGCGGCTTGACAGCGAGGATCACAACGTCGGCATCTTGAGCAGCCTCAACATTGTTGACGGTCGTACGGACGCCCAGCGCAGTCATCTTATCGCGGTTGACATCCCATGGCTCAGAAACATATATGTTCTGCTTCTCGATACCCTTTGCGAGCAAACCGCCAATGATGGCGGCAGCCATGTTGCCCCCACCTGGGACAGGTTAGTGAGGGGTTCATTTTCGTGCTGATCGAACGTACCAATGAAGCTGATCTTGCTCTCTTGCAATTTTGCCATCTTTAATATTGGTACTGAATAATCTGTTTGTATAAATCGACTACCAAGTTATCAATTGTCGTATTTGCTTGTGATGGATATATTTTTCGTGCTGTAGTGAGCTGCGATCTCGGGGGACGAACAGCTGCCCTGCCGCTGATACCCGTCCACTAAAATTTGTCACTCTCAAAAGTCTGCCCCACTAATAGCCCGCTAACGTTCACCAAGCCCCGCGTTGACTAGAATTGAGTCGTTCGCCATTCTTATCTACGCCCAAATCATCATTTGTCCGTAAAGGTGCAGATTGGTTGACACGATCCTAACGCTTTACAATCTGCCCATTTTCAGTTCAGTTTCCCTTCCTTACTCGTCGAGTCGCGTTCGCAAATTAGCAGAAGCTCTCGAGGGTCTGCCAGAGTACCTAGTCCGCTATCAATAAACAAAGCAGTACAGTCATGTATCAAAATGAAAGAATGTCCACATCATGATCTTTTGCAAAACAAGTTCTTGCTCCCTCCTTATTAAGACGAATCGTATTAAGCATACCATGGATTCTTCGATACTCGGCAGCTAATTCACTGAGAACTTGATTTCAGCCGCAAATAAATGATCAATGTTGAGTTGAGGTGCTAAAGCTTCAGCAGATGTAGGCTAATAATGCTTTTCTAGCAAGCGGTACTGCCTAAATCTCTATAACCCACACTTCCAAGATCCCCCTGTATATCCAATGAGGTTTTAGTCGACGATCTCTGTTGAGACCTTGCGGGCATCTCTTATTACTCATTTCAACCCACAGTATGGACCTTGCAACCTTGTACGGTCTGGTTGAGCCGAGCAGCCTCGGTAACAGGAACGAGAGTTATGTACTGAGCAGGCAGCATCAGACCCTTTTCATGTAATAGTAAAGGCTAATCTTCGTGGGTAGCTGTTACCGTCGTATTTGCTAGCTACCTATACAATACGCCTTCATGTTTTGTATGTTGGGAGTGGCTACCGCTATCCGACAAAAAAAAAAGCACGGCCGATCCTATGCTTGCAAGTGTTATGTTTCTTACGCACCAGAATTCTAGCTATTATGGAACCCCATTGCATTCGATTTTGGCCGAGACGTTACTAGTCTAGGGCAAGAACACTACACTCTTCTTGGGCGTCAGCTCATTGGTAACTTCTTCCAATGAATGCTATACTTATACTCTTCTACGCACAAAGTGTGGCGCATACGTTGGGTCATCTCGCAGGGGGAATCTGTTTCACAACTATTTTCATTTCAGGTCAAACCTATTGGCTTCTTGACTCTCCCCAGGGGAAAGAAAAGAAAAAACCATATTGTGAGTCGATTTGACATGGCGTCGCAATCTACCTGGGCTTTCTCGCCATGTCACTTTGACTTCCAGAGTGAGAAGTTGAGATATCGAAGACTACTGAAAACATCCAAAGCATTGATGTCTAGCGTTGGAGGATGCGCCTACCCGCCTTATCGTAAATCTTGTATCACATAAACCCCCACAACCGTTTTTGTACTCCAGGATCACCATTAGAAATTAGAGGTATCAATCGTGGAAGTACTGGTAATTTTGATATTTTGTCGATGGCGGGGAGAATGGTTGATCGACATCGAGCTCGCAACTCCAACTGTTCAACCTTTGGAGAGAAAGTCCCTGCAAAACGTTGCATGAACCAGTCTGACTAGTGCAATAGATAATGAACCTCGGTCTCTACTTATCGTCCGTTTATTCTTATTGGGCATCATCCACTTTCCTTTCCCCAGACTCCCGTTATCATGCTCCACGGCGCCCGCCTGGGCGAAGCTTAGCTGCGGGGAAACCCAGTAAATTGCGTCGTTCTCCATAAGAATCCATCTAATGCAGATATCAAACCCGGCGCTACACTTGGGGTCAAGGGAATGACAACCTATCCTGAAGAACGACGGCTCCGCAAATGCCCATAATGTGCCAGGGGGCATCTATACGTCGTTACACAGAGATTGTGCGAGTCGTGCGGGGCGACCCAAGTCCTACATATCTATATGAGTCCCGACCCTCGTTGTTCCATCTAGGTCTTGGCCTTTACTTTTGGGTAAAACGATCTAGAAGTCGGGAGTTTCAAAAGCAGAATCTCGAGGTACAGAGTTCAATATGACGATAGCACCACCAGAAGAGTTCAAAACCACTCCGGCTAGTTCCGATCATGAAAAGGTCGAAGTTGCCCAACTTGAGAGCGTCTCGACACACGAGAACTCTCCTGGAAGAGGGCATTACTTTGAAGAAAATGGTCTCCGCACAGAAGGTAGGCCATGTGGATTATCGAAATTGTTACACTTGAAACTAACCAATCGTACAGGAGATGGAGTCAACCATCATGACTTACCAGTGTGTACTCTGCTTTTCGCGCTCGCTTGTCAACATCCTGCTAATTCTATACTGTAGATGACGAAAAAGAGAAAGATGGCCCTTGTGGCTCAGGTGAGAGTTACTTGAACTGAATTTCTGAAATCGTTACTGACCTCTTAAGGCTTTCCTCTGGACTGGGTCCCAGATACCTGTCTACCTATTCGGAGGAGTGGGCGTCCCTGATGATCATGAGAGACGTATACACTAATCGCGATGACAGATAACACCATACATATACGGAGACCTTGGCGGAACCGACAGATGGGTGTGGCTCGTTCTCGGGAACCTGTTGGCCTTGGCAGGTGTCTGTCCCTTCGTGGGGTCGATGTCAGACCTGATGGGACGAAGATACGTTGCTTTAATGGGTAAGTGCTGGCCTATTATCTCACTATTCGAAACAGTGCTGACCGTTGAAAAGGGGCATCATTCATTGTCTTGGGCATGATCATCTGCTCCACAGCACAAACCATGAACATCTTCATAGGTACAGTCCCGCGTGTGTTTCAAGGAAGCCGCCGTCGCTAACTGGCAACAGCGGGCATGGTATTCGCTGGCGTGGGAGCCGGTATCAACGAACTCACAGCACTAGCTGCAACTTCTGAGCTGGCGCCGACTTCCAAGCGAGGTCTTTATGTCGGAGCGCTGATCTTCACCATTGTTCCGTTCTGCCCTTCGGTCCTATGGGGCCAACTGATCGCGTATTATTCCACGTGGCGATACGTCGGGCTGTTCTGCGCTTTGTGGGCCCTTGTCGGCCTCGTCTTGACAGCGGTATTCTACTTCCCGCCACCACGCGTCAACTCCGAGGGTCTCAGCAGGCGTGAAATGCTGAAACGTGTCGACTATGTTGGCGGCTTTACCAGCATCTCCGGCATGGTCTTATTCATGTGTGGAATGCAATGGGGAGGCTATCAGGTGAGTGAAGCCTCCAATGCGATGTCTTCAAAACATGCTCATATTTGTATGCCGATAGTACAAATGGACTTCCGCGCACGTGCTTGCGCCACTGATCATTGGGGCCGCCTTACTTGTCGCCTTTGTCATCTGGGAGGCCAAATTCGCACCTTATCCCATGTTCCCACGGCGTCTGAACCAAGCCCCTTCGATTCTGATATGGACGCTGGTTATCACTTTCATATCAGGTGCCAACTTTTTCTCGATCCTGATGTTTTGGCCGGTACAGGCCTTCAATGTTTACGGACATGATCCCGTACAAGTCGGCATCCGTGGTATCCCAGTGGGATTCGGAATCATGACTGGCGCAGTCGTGGTCCTGGTTCTGCTCTCAGTATTCCGTGGCCAGAACAAGAGTCTTATGGTCATATCATCCATCCTCATGACCGCCGGCTGCGGCGCAATCTCCGTCGCCGAAGTCGACAACCTCCACGTGCTGTGGGGTATTCTTGTGCTGGCCGGGCTTGGCATCGGCGGCATCGTAGTGCCAGCGTCCATAATCACGACCATCATCTGCCCAGACGACCTCATCGCCACGGTAGCTGCCCTGACGCTCAGCATTAGAGTCATTGGGGGCTCGATCGGGTACTGCGTCTACTTCAACGTGTGGGTGAACAAGTTCACGCCGGCGGCGACCAAGTACATCGGCGGGACCCTCGTGCAGGCGGGCATCACGTCCGTGGAGACAATCACCGAGGTCATTGAGCTCACGAGCGCCAGCATGCTCGACGCCATCGCCGAGGTCCCCGGTATCGCCGGCAACGAGGCGCTGTATCAAGCGGTGGTCAAGGCCGGCCAGCTGGCGTATGCCGAGTCGTACAAGTATGTTTACTACACGAGTATCGCATTCGGCGGCGTATCGATCATCGCGGCGCTGTTAATGGGTGACATAAGCAAGTTCATGGATGACCATGTTGCTGTGGTCATGTAGTTGGGTGTCGTGGGACCGGAATATAGTGTGGGTCCATTATACCAAACTTGCAGTACGGATCTGTACCTGTGGAATATCATCAGCAGCATTGTCAAAGACAGCTTTTTATGAGACGATCACTTTACCTCTGTACCTAAGCCTAGAAATCTTAGAGCTTACCTGGTACTTTGTAAAGAATCTTTCCTCCGGCCTAGCAGAGTATACTTTCGATTATGGTTGTGAGCTGAAGAACGCCCATCGCTGCAAAGGATAAATTCCTTTAGCTTATATAAAAAGAGTAATCTAGAACATCTTTCTTTATAATAAATTTTATAAACGCCATCTGCCGAGGTATGTACTTAGTGTTAAATTATCGAATATCAAGATCACACTATCCCTATAATATCAACACAACTGCCCGAGTGCGGTCGAGAAATCTCATAATGCACTAAGCGTCCTTTAGTCATGAACGTTTGGCCATCATCCCTGGAGTGCCTGTGCAGTCGCGTAAGAAACGTTCCGAGCGCGTCCGTCAATGTGACCGAAAGTAATGATTGGCTATCAGTTGTCGAATTTCAGAACGATACGCTTTATATGGCTTCTATAAATAATCCTTATGCCGTGCAACTGCTGTTTCTATTGTGTCTATACCTTCCGCCGCACCAGTCCCTTGAAGAAATCGAAGCTGTTCTCGTCGCTCTGCAGCGCCCACATCTTGCCCGTCGGCCTGTCATCGCTATTCAGCTCCTCGGCCCTCAACATACCCCAGTCCCTCGTGATGCCAACAATCCTGGCCCTGACCCCGCCCTCCGCTTCCAGCGTCACAATCTGTCGTCCGTGCAGCCAGTGAGCGTAGTAGTTCCGCTCCATTTCCTCGGTGAAACCTCTGCGGACGAATTGGTTATAGAGCACTTCGATCCGTGTCAAGATTCTGGCCAGGAGCTTCTCGATCCTAAACGGCGGCAGGTGGCTGGGCAGCAGAGCGTCGAGCGAGGTGGTGGGCCGGCCGTTGGTTGTGTTGATGCCGATTCCCAGCACGATCTGGTATGCGCCCGAGGAGTATGCACAGTTACTCAAGATACCGCCGATCTTGACATACTTCGGCGGATCATCCTTGCTCCTGGGGTCCAGCGCGTAGATATCGTTCGGCCACTTGAGCTTCACAGGCATGTCGCCGTAGCCCTTGTCGTAGCTCTTGATGGCCTCGACAATGGCGACGGCAGCTAGGTACTGGATGAATACTATTGGCCGGCTGGCGGCTAGATGGGCCGGGTGGTTGATCACGGTGGACATGATCAGGGCGCCCGCTGGGGAGACCCAGACGTTGTTACCACGCCCGCGACCGGCGATTTGGGTTGTAGCTGCAAGAGTAAATCCCGTCGGGAGGTGTGAGAGGAGCTTGTAGTTCTTCTCAAGCAAAGTGTTGGTGCTGGTAACCACTTCTCCATACATCAGGTAGTCGCCCCATTTTTCGGCCTCACGGTCCGTTTCTCTGTAAGATTTGAGATTAGAGTAATAGGCGTGATGATTGAAGTATGGTGTTTCTTTCGTATCTGGCCACGACTCATCGTGGACCATGACACGTTTGGGGATTGTTGTGTAGTCGATGATGCCTTCAAGTGAGGATATAGTATTGTCGTGTGAGAGGGTTTTTTTGAGCGCATTCATATCCCATTTCGTGTTCATTTTCTCGAGGTGAAAGATGTCATTCTCGCCATTGATGTACTCCTCGCCGTCTTCTCGCGTGATTGCCTCCTCCAGGCCGATAAGCAGGTCGTCGACCTCGGCGCTGTCCATTGCGGAGAGGTGTATTCGCGAAAGGGAGGGCACGCTGGACGTTTCCTGGTTGACCTCGAGACCGAGCTTCACGAGACAAGCCTTGAGGAAGGTCGCACGAGCCTCGTCGGCCTGCTTCAAAGTTGCGATAAGGTCATCGTATCCTGGCACGTCGTTCTGGTGGCTCAGATTGGCTGGTGCGAATTCGGGATGCGGTCCCGTGAGGATAGCAGACCCCTGGCCAACTCTGCAGAAGACTGCTGCCGCTTTCTCCTCGCCGCCATCAACATCAATATCGCCCGCGTAGCTCGCAAGAACCTGATACTCGTCTGGTGTTTTCGGCGGCAAAATAAACACGCCACCACCATTGTAGTAACATAGGACCTCATCTGGCAGCACGCCGACACTCTTGAAGGCGTCCTTCTTCACATCAAGCCTCACTGCCCTGGCACCCTTCTCGCTATTATACTGGAAACCTTTGAAGGCCCCACCGCGGCACGTGCCGGAAAAGAAGGCGAGTTCACGCGGCCCAATGACTTCCATACCTCTGTTGCCGACCTCAAACTCGCATTTTTTGCTGCCATAGTACCCGCCGGCGCAGAATCCTAGGTATGCGCCTCCCCTCCGGACGTACTGGGAGATCAAGGCGTTTCCAGCCCCGTTGAGCACCCGACAATAACCCAGATCAGCGCCGCCGGGAAACACCAACAGCGCACACGTCGAGGGCCATGGTTCCTTGAGCAGGCTGGCCTCGGTTAGGGGAATGACAGCGTAGTAATTGGGGGCCAGCAGTCGACGCAACGAGTAGATGGCGTGCTTAACGGACTCTACTGTTGTGCCGGTGCCGGTATATACGAGCACGTTAAGCTTGCGAGTAGCCATGGCTGTATATGCCCAGTTCGTCCCACGCTAGTGTAAGCAGCTGGCGATGAAGGCCGGCTCGTTTTCAAAGACTGGATAGGGCAGAGATAATGACAATTCCAAAATCTGTATTAGAAGAGTTGAATACGAAATGAGTGGTCATTCAGCTCGTACTTTTTTTCAATAGTAAGACGAACTACCCTGGGATCTGGTTCTGGGGGGTGTCCCACAACGGAGTCGATGGCGGGGGATAGCAAAGAGATCCGCCCCAACGCCGCCAAAAAAGAAAAAAGCCGCTACTGTAATATCTTTCGCTCGGCAAGCCGTGCTTTGGGGCCAAGTCAAACTCTAGCAAGAAACCAAAACGAAAACATCAAAAAAAGATGTCGAACGAGGAGCAGAAGACAACCGCACAGACAGTGGTGGCGGACGACGAGCCAGATGAGTGGTACGTCCAGAATACAAAGCCGGGCAGTATTTCGCTGCACAGCAGAGTTGGGAGAGGGAACGGGGGGCTAATGCGGCATAATGCAGGGACAAGCGGATCTTCAGCACCGGATGTGCAGGTACGTGCGGCTTCTTGGAGATTCCACCTGCGGAATACTTTGTGAACCACAGGTTTTTTGTTTGTTTTGGTCTTGTTTGTTTTGATACCTTTGAGCTTATAGGTGCTAATGGATCATGGCAGATGAGAACATGAAGCTGACGGACTGCTACTTCGAGAAGAAGGACTGGAGGGCTTGTGCCAAAGAGGTTTGTGCATCTCTCTGACCTCGGCTCCAGGCACATTGGACAAAAGTGTGAGTGTGATGCATTTTGGCTGACGAGTCACAGATGGAGATCTTCAGGGCGTGTTGGAAGAGAAACAACAACAACGAGAGGACTTCTGCGAAAGATGCATAAACGGGAGGTTAACTTTCTGTAGCATATCGCTGAATGAGGGTCTTTATTTCAGGTCATTAATTCGGAATCCCATCTCTACCTCTGGTATCCTTCCATAATGTCAAGTCACTCAGCCACAACTCTTGCCAGACCTGCCACGCAGCTTAGTTTAGTGAGCTCATGTGTGCTGGACGCTGGACGCTGGACGCTGGACCCAGCCCAAGCCACTAAACTCGGGCCGCTATCGCCCGGCCAGGACAGCCTGCGCGACACTTGGAGCTCGCTAACCTAAGGTTAGTCTGGTGCTAAAAAGGAATGGCAAACATACCACCAAAATTTCCCAGCCGCAACAGCTTTGCCTCCAGTCATTCCTTATCTGACTACCTACCTGATATAATAGATACCGGCTCGCGACGAGCCACGCGATCGCCGTAGAAGATGGCTTCCCGAGCCACCGCCCCTCTGCGCATAGTTAGCAGACATATCAGATTCGTCTCGAACCCTTCGCGGACATTCGTATCAGCCACAAGGGGGAAAGCAGCCCCATCATCAACACCACCTCGCCCGGCCGCCACATCGACAGCCTCCAAACCGGCGGCCTCGAGGACCTCGCCCGCAGCAGCCGCAAAGCCCGCCCCGGCACCCGCGCCCACAGCGGCTCCCTCCTCCCACGCCGGTCCAGCAGGCTCCCATACGCCCGTGCCGCAGGTGTCTGGGCAGCCCCTCCCGGACGTGCCTCCCAGCGCCCAGGCCGACGGCTCCGGGTCGCCCATCGACTGGTCCTCGTCCTTCCACGGGCTGGGGACCGCGACGTTCGGGCCCGAGGTCGCCCAGGTGCTGCAGGCGCCGCTGGAGCCCGACGACATCGAGGTCAAGCCCGACGGCATCCTCTACCTGCCCGAGATCAAGTACCGGCGGGTGCTGAACGCGGCCTTTGGGCCCGGTGGCTGGGGCCTGGCGCCGAGGGGAGATCTGCAGGTTCAGGACCGCCTGGTCTTCAGGGACTATGCCTTGATCGCGCATGGTCGGTAAGTGGTGCTCCCCCAAAGAAGAAAATAAAATAAAAACAAACCCGCCGATTTATTGGCTGTGGGAGGTCAATTTCGCAATGAGTGGCCACATAACTGACGTATCCTGCTCCACATAGGTTTATCGGCCAGGCGCGCGGCGAGATGCAATACTTCAGCGAGGACGGAATCTCCACGGCAGCCGAGGGTTGTAAATCGAATGCGCTGATGCGGTGCTGCAAAGACCTCGGCATCGCCTCGGAGCTCTGGGATCCCCGTTTTATTCGCAAGTTCATGAAGTCGCACGCGCAACAGATCTGGGTCGAGCATGCGGCAACCAAGAAGAAGAAGCAAATATGGCTGAGGAAGGACGACGAGGTGCGGTATCCCTTCAAGAAGACGAACTAGACGGGGATAATTTGTGGTGTCCATGTATGGACGCGACTGTAGTCAGCACAAGAGATTCGAGCCGATAGAGCACTCGTGGCTAGACAGAGGTCCGGCGTTGTACGATTCAGTGTAACAAGAGCGAATGGGATATACCCAGCAAATGGTATAGATGGGTAGAGACTCGCGGTGTCAGATATTTACGCTACCCGGTCTGTCACATAGAATTGCTGAGATGACGGAACCACCATGGTCGGCAGATGGAGTTTGTGCCATGGGGGGAACTATACAAGCAGCCCAACGAAGTGCAGCTCTCTGCTCACTTTTTTGGACGACAGACACTGCTGCGAATGTGCCGCTGTTTATTGTAGTCCTCGGTTCAATGTCCAACACCAAGAAACCAGAGCAGTATAACCATTAAACGCGTAACGCCCCATATCACGAAGATAGCCGTGTCATGTCATTGTAAAAGTATCGTCTCACCGTTTAGCTCTAGTAGTACTACTCCTCCAACTCTTCTGGCTGTGTCGGCGTGCCTGTACTCACGGTACCCCAGCCCAGGAAGTTCCAGGGCGCCTTACTGCTACTGGGCGCTCGCTCAGCCTGTGGCCTCCTCTGCCTCGAACCGTCATTGGTGTCTTCTTCGGCTCCACTCTCGGCGTCAATCTTTTCGAAATCGACTTCACTTCGGCTCTTACTCAAGCCGCTCCACATACTCTGTCCGCTGGGAGGCCTGGATGTGCCTGCTGAAGTAGTCGAAGGGCCCTCACCTCCATCCAGACTAAAGCTCGTGGGTCTTTGCTCGCGGCTTGTTGTGTCACCAGCCTCACGCTCTTCTTCAGATGTTTGCAGCTCCTTGGCCTCCTTGTCGAGTGCGGTAAGGAGGAAAGAAAGCTTCTCTCTCTGGTTAGCAATGAAGCTGATCTTCTCACCGGTGCCACGGATATTGTCCGGTATGAGAGTCCCGCTCGCCGACATGTCGACGTCCCTCTTCGGCCCACCGCCGTATGCGCCCGAACCGGCTGAACCCAGCGCCCCGGCACCAGTTGCGGCGCTCACAGCGCCTGCCAACAGGTTATAAAAGTCCTGACCCGCACTTCCCGCGGACCCTCCGACATTGCCCCACCTCGACGCCTGGGGCATGCTGAACCTAGCAAGCAGTCCCTGGGTGTAGCTCTGCGGCGCCTCCTTGGCGCGTACATCGTTGGCTCCGTTGTCCCTCGTGGGCGGCATCCCGAGAACTCTCGTCTTGAGCATCTCGATGGCCTGTTTGAGGTATGCCATGCCAGCAGCCTTGAGCCTATCGTGGGCGCTGGCGATGAAGTCCTCGATCTGCGTCTCGTTGTCCTCGAGGTACGGGTGCAGGTAGGTCTCGTACAGGTGTCGGGCACCCTGGGTCTGGGGGAGTACGAGATAGAGGAGGAACAGGAGGCGCAGGTAGGCATAGAAGGGTATCCAGACAAGGATGAACTCGAACCAGGACTCAATGAGCAGGGCGCACGAGAGGACGGACCAGTACATCAGCCATGGTGTTAGCTGGGCGGGATCCGACGTCTTCAGAGCTTTGTAGGAGGCGAAGAGTGGGAAGAGGAAGGAAGCGATCGAAGAGAGCAGCTTGGGAAACACGTCGAACATCCTGGCTGATGTATAGTCCTGGAAACGGGCGGATGTCTGGTGTTTGCAGAGCTGTTCTGGATGGCTGAACGGCGTTCTCACGACTGGGTATTTGCGTTTGACCGATAAGCGCCGTGTGTTCGAGGCAAACCAGCGAAAAGACGTAAATGGTATCGTAAAGACGAGGAGAGAAGAGGAGAAGGCAGTCTGGAATCGGCTCAGCCGGCAAACAGACCAATCTAGGGACAAGGCTACGTCAGGTAAGATGGGTTTCGTCCTCTAACACAATGTATTGTAGGAATGCTTGGAGGAAGATGCCGTACGCCTTATGACGACGTTATCGGCGGGCAGCTGACGGTATCAGGACTGGACTAGGATTGCGGGGCTGTGGACTGTGGGCTTGGTGCTTTGGGCTTTGGGCTTGGGGCTTGGGGCTTTCGACGAGGTTTCGACCAGGTACGGAGTACGACTGACTTCTTACTTCTTGCTTTACAAAATCCGTACTGTAACAGTAGTTATCGTTCCCCTACCGGTGCTCTTACATACAGCAGATGGCACAGCTCGACCAGTAGCACTACTCGGTAGATGCTGCATGAGATCTTCCCAGTCTTGAGGTTTGTCCCCCGGATGACCCCACGTTCGAATGCTGAGCTAGCTTTTAGCTCAGCGTTAGCTTATCGCACCTGACAAGGCAAAGGATTAAGGGAAAGGCTAAAAGGATGATCACCTAAAAGGCCCCATACGTACCGCCGGGCGTTCTGGCGTGCCTGCTAGCCTGCCCTGCCTGCCTTGCTTGTGTTGCACGCCGGCTTGTTGTTATCGCCGGAGTTCCAGTGGTGGATTTGCAAGCTTGTTTTTGCAGCTCCCCTGCAGCTTTTGTTCGGGAAACGATACGCTTCAATCTTGCATCCTCAGCACATGTTCATATACTTGGAAATATACTCGAATATCTCATACTGGACACGTTTCCGGAGGTATAAAGTTGCACCGGGTTATGACATACCCTCGTGTACTGTGCCGCGGCGGCTGTTGGCCTGAAACTAGACTAATTGTGAACTCGGCTGCCTATGTACACATGGCCCCAACAGAACAGATATGAAAACCACTTATACCAGCGGATAAAGCAGCAAGTCGATTAAATCAATAGGTGGTCCTTGATATCCTGGGTTCAGCCCCGAATGAATAATGCCAGTGCCTAATCAGTTGGAACTATCTACACACAAGCTTTCAATCAAGCCATCTATTTACTTGAGGAACTCCCCTAATTTATAGTAACTAACATTGAAAGTGCCTCAATCATGCTGTATTTTATTGCATAGCAGCGGAGTTTGACGATCGGTTTGATATGGTGATTGTATGGAAGGTCATCTCCATGTTTGCTTAAGTGCCCAACGCTCATGCGCTGTAAGCAGGGTGTTCAATGCGCTCCAAGTTCCGGCCATATATTACCCATCATATCTATCAGTCACCTGAGTTTTGCGTGAGGGTAGTAAACAACGCCATGTCAACGCCTTGTAAAGCCCAGTCATCTGTCCCTGTCGTAGCAGTCGGCAAAAAGAGACAATCATCCTGTAAGAGCGCACTGTCGGTATCAAGCAACAAACAGTCATTATCTGCACTCAGCGTTAGCTCAGATTGTTGCAGCCTATCAGTTGGTGGCTGGTTCAGAGTGAACGCATCGTCTTGACAATCAGTGTTGCCTGAATTGGTGGCATTAATAGTGTAATACTGTCCATATCGGTGTGAAGTACGTGGTGGGTTTGGTTCGCGCAGGAGAGTAAAGCCAGGATCACTACGCTCTGAAGCATGCGTATGCCCAAGCTGTTCATGAGTGAACGTAGGTGATGTGCCAACGTTCTCATGAGTTATGTGACGGTGGTCGATCTTGACGGTACCAAAGTACGGGATCTCAATCTTTAATACTTTGAAAGCTTCGTCTGTATTGCCCGAACGATGGTGCGCTTGCTTGCCCACCTCTGGTGAGGCACTTGCATCATACGTGGTCCCTTTAGCTGAATTATCTTCGACGACAAGAAGGGGTCGAAGGATGCCGGAGATCTTCTCAGCAACCGCATCGTTGCTGACTTGAACTGCTGTCTCCATAATTTCAAGAATGCGCTCAAGCAATCCCCTGTCGCGAAGACGTTGATGGTAAAGGCACCGCAGTCCGGTCCGGACAGTTTTCTCAGAGTCAAATTGTCGCGGCCGGCGAGATTCAACGTGAGCGAGGCATAGCGCCGTGCTAGCAATGAAAGCAACAAAATCCATGCCACGGCAATAAGCAGTACCTGTAATGGATTGGCGGAAAGACACAAATTGCGTAACAATCGCACGACTGGCACTCGCAGCGGTCAATGTGCTATAATCATAGTTGGAATTCATGGATGAATTTTGCATCATATATGGTAAATGCAGCTGTACCAGAAGATGATAGTATGCTAATTGGTTCGTAAGACGAATTGTCTCCTCATATGCTTTTATATCGTTGTTGGCAACGGCGCCAGATCCAGGATTCGCCGCCCACCACTGTGGTGACATCAAGGCGGCAGCCTCTTGGATCATTTTGTCGATTTTATATGTCGTGGTGACGTCCGCACGTTCAAATGTGCTGCCACGTTGTAGGATGAGACCACCCGCGGCAGTCATCAGGCGCTCCATCCGCTCCAATGCTGTGCAGCCTTGTAGTGCCTCCGGAGCGGCGAACGCACTGTCAATCGAGCCTTGAGGTAACCCGAGCATCAACGAAAGATACCGATCGTTGCAGACTAATCTGAACCACATGTAGTCTGGGTCAATGCGTGCTCGGGTGTCTGCTTCCAGAATCGTGCTTGCCGAATTGCTACTTGTATTCAGGCCCAACATCTGCGCAATCGTCATGGCTCTGCGATTCGTCATCCAAGCGCGACGGAGTTCGCCAGCATTGTTCAGATACATGCTCTCGATCATAATACACTCGATTCCCTCGAGCGAGTTGACAAATTCATCGTTACTCGTCACAAGCCTACTCGCGGTGGAGAAGACACGGGACATAAGCACGCGGCCATCTAGAGCCATGCCCACGACGTTTGCAAATGAACATGCTGGGATGCCTTGCAACAGGGTGGCCAACAATAGTAACCTCCTTGCAATGAGGATTGGGTGAGAACCTGATGCGGGTAACGCTAGCATACGGTGCGTTGATGTCAAGTGGTTGGTGATGAGCTTCGAATATGGTATGCATACTGTTCCGTGAAGTAAAACCGATATATCGACTGGAATGCTCATTATCAAATCCAAATTGTGTTGATCCGGCCACACTGCGAGAAGCGCTTGCGATATCTCATCCAAGTTTCGAGTCAGCAGACTCGCTATATTTGATTCGGAGGCCACAATGGGGTCTGGTGGAGGAAACAACTCCAAGTTGGTAATCCCATTATCACGTCCCGGTGTTTCCTTGTTTCCTGATCAGTTTCCAATCTATCAGGACGACCATGATCACAATGTCTCACCATGAGATCTGCAGTCTCGTATTGATCAGGTCGATCGGGGCGCAATGTGTCTGGCAAAGTAGCACTGCTTCGGTTTGCCAACCGATCAACTAAGAATTCCATCCGACTCAGCCTATCGCCATTTGTACGCACCAGTGCTCCGCTATCGTGGAACTCTTGGCTGATGCATTTAGTGCAGCGGCTCCTGCATCCATCACAGATAGTGTCTGTAGGTGCGGAAAAGGTACATCGTGTCTTGCGACGCTTACACTCCCAACAACTCTGTGTGCCTTTACGGATCTTTCGTCGTCTCTTCTGCCAAACTGGTGATTGTCCCGCCGCGGACGGGTTACTCAGTGAGGGGTCTGCTTGCGCTTCCGGCATCTGAGTGGCCAATCCTAGGTTCAATGTTTTCAAGCGTCTTGACAAAATGCTTGGTTGGGAAACGGGCAACAAGAGTTCATGGGGTTTGTGGAGACCAAAACGTTTCTACGCTTGCAACCATACGGTGTCGTTCAAGGAGTCGATGGTGTAAGCTCAACTTGAATTTCGTCCGCCGCGGCGGAAAAGAGAAGCACGGGCTTGAGTGTTGCCGATTGGTACAGATGAGCGCTAGGGTGCCCTGGCAAGCCGCCTGGAAGCCCGGGCTGCAAGAGCTTTGGATAATTGAACAGCATGGTAGGGACAACGTTCAATGCAATCTTGAGTACAAGTTCTATTATGCCACTATGGATCTCCTCCGCGGTCGTACAATAAGTGGATGTTGGCTGTCAATCTTCTGACTTTTAGACCTCCTATGCAGGTGTACATACGGGAGCATTAGTAAACGCCTATATATTGAGCGAACGGCCGTACAATTTCTATTTTCTCCCACATTGATCTGCATAGTAACTACACTTTGATCCCCCTTAGAGTACTGTTCGCGCTATACTATATTCAACCAATTACGAAATGGTTAAAATTGCCGTCGCTGGTGGCTCAGGCCGTACGTTCGAACCAATGCCGTCCACATCCATAAATCCCCACTAACTCGTCTGGCAGAGGTTGCCCGAGAGGTTATTGATGCTCTTATAGCAACGCAGAAACATGATATCACTATATTAAGCAGGAAGGTTAGCAAAACTGCCACAACACTGCTGTTGTCTCAAACCACCATGCTGATCTACTGTCCAGGAGCCGCTGTCGATGGCAACTTTGACTGGAATCAAATGGAAGATCGTTGATTACAGTGATAAAGTAACCTTGGCTGAGACACTCAAAGGCACTCACACCCTCTTGTCGTTTGTTCAGCTTCTCTCAGATCCCGAGCAGAAATCGCAAAAGAATCTCATTGATGCTGCGATCGCAGCCGGCGTGAAACGGTTTGCCCCCAGCGAATATGGAAGGTAATAATCAACCACACCCATTTTACACACTCCGCAAATCACTAACCAGATCCAAAGCAAGAGCACGGTAAACATGCCTTGGTGGGATGGAAAAGAGAAGATTAGAGAGTACTTGAAACAGCTGAACCAGGAAGCCAAGGTAAGGTTTCGTGTCCTTCCACCGAATTCATGTCAATCTAAGCACTCGTCATCTCATAGGTCCTTGAATACACTCTATTCCAGCCAGGCCTATTTTTGGACTACCTTGCCTTTCCCCACCAGACGGCCAAGCACATCGCTCCACTGCAGACCGTGTTCGACTTCGAGAACAGACGCGCGATGATGGTGGATGGTCATGAGGATGCCGTTATGACCTTTACTGCGGCTGCCGACTTTGCCGCAGTTGTTGCGAAGGCAGTAGACTATAGTGGTACATGGCCTACAACAGCGGGAATCAGGGGCAACAGACTCACCTTTTCCCAAATCCTTGACATCGGCGAGAGAGTGCGAGGTATACAGACTGTCTATCTCACAGCATTGTGGAAGCTTACTCATATGGTTCTACAGACGCTTCTTTCACAGTAGATAAATTGAAGGCCGTTGATCTCCAGGCGGGCAACCTGACGGCATCATGGGCACTTGAAACCGCCCATCAGGCAGTTTCGGACGACCAAGCCTCAGAACTACTCAAAGCGGTGTCCATCGGCATCCTCCTCAGTAGTGTAAGAGGTGCATGGGACTCATCGGATGAAATGAATCGCCTTTTCCCAAGTTACAAGTTTACCAGGGCTGACGAATTTCTCGCCAAGGTTTGGGGAGGACAACAGTAATCAGGTAGAGCGCCGCCCTCTACAATTGGAATCCAACTGTCTTTCTCGAAGTGCTCCGAGGCCATAGATCTCTTTGCTACACTACCACAATTGATTCTACATCACTTCAGCGCATATAGATGCGCACTTTGGCAGCCTGCAAGGAGGTTTCTCTGGGTATTTCATTCACCTTGTTATGCTTGTGATCAATTCATGAATTTATTAATCAGCTGTCATGTGTAAGACTGACAAGACCGATACGCTCTTCCCAGTCGCCAGCATGTAGCCACCAGACTGACCAGTTAAGTACCATATATGCGTCTATGGCGGCATCATCTCCATACGGATTTGGCCTATTCCCTGTTTGGTCGAATGAGGCCATTGCCATTGCTTGTTCTTTCTGGGGCCTGATTCAAGCATCAACAAGCGCTCAATCTGCTCTTCAGTACTTGCGTTTCTCCAACTTGATAGGAACATTTATGAAAAAGAGCAATATTGTGGCAACGACAAACATCCCACCGAGTGCTACCTCGAAAGCTCTCAGCACGACCAAATAGTGGCAATAGTCGGCTTTTCCCTTCCCATAGCCGCCCGCTTCGGAGATAATCTGCTGCCAGTCATGAGCGTACCATAAAGCAATGGCACCGTACGCTAAATGTGATGAGAACGAGAAGAATGCCGTGATGATGTTGCAGAAAACTGAGCATCTCCAAAAACCATAGTTCCTCGAATGTTGTAGTCCATGGAGGAAGGCTTTGATGGAAATTATGCCTGATAACAAAGCGGTCAGAAGTATGAATCCAAAAACGCGTTTGGCTCGAGCGGGCTGGTCGTCGGGAAAGTCAACCTCCAAGGTTGGCTCAAGGACCTTGTTGATGTACCACGCGTAGTAAGAGTTAATTCCGGAATAGGCCATCAGCAAGGATACCGTGGCGACATGACCGATGAACCGCGGCAACGTGCAACTGTTACTCGATGGCATTATCTAAAGAAATGCCAGATCTGTGGGCCACCAATGTGGGACGAATCAATTGCTGAAAGCCAATGTGTAATGTCGTGACAGTCGATTTTATATCCTCGTAAAAGCACAACAGATCAAGGTCCGCAGCAACGATAGCGCAATGCAATCCTCCCAGTTTTAGTACCTAAAAATATCAGTACTTGCTTGTTACTGAGTTTTTATTGGCGGTCGTATTGCGAAGAGGCTCGAGGAGATTTCCTACTGATACTAGAAATGTGTGTAGTAATGGTCTATGTAACGTTCATTAAACAATAGAGGCTTTAAAATTGTAGATGGCGGGTGATTTTGTCAACTCAGCATATGTGATGTTGGTGGTTTGGTGATACTTCGCTGTTGACAGGGCGTCACTCACGGCCTCACCTTCCACACCAGACGGATTGCGAAGCCCAGTAATTCATAGTTAATTAATAGCATCATCACGAGATTCATTCAGGTTATAGCTCAACAATTTCGTTGTTAAATGAAATACTACCAATCTTTTACTAGCGCTCAAAATATCACAACTACATGGATCTGACTAACAATCACGGTGTTCATCCCACTAACAGGTTGTCTCACTTCTGAATCCTCACTTGATACACCCATTAATAGTCAATTCTGAAGCCATATTTTGCCTAAACTATGAGAACAGAAAGATGAGACGGGACACGAGTATAGCCAGGTCGGCGGAAGATTAAGCTTACCAGTTGAGAGAATGCGCAAGTTTCTTAGTACAATTCCCTTCTTCATACCGTCTCCAGAGGCTGGGTCTAAACTTAAACGGTTTACCAGCACCTCCACCACAATATCAGGCGGCTCGTCCTTTCATTTCAATGCAAATCCGCTTATTAAAAGAATTCCGAAAAGGTATCGCCGCAGGCGAACCCTCGATGGAAGACAACTCCTCGCTAGGTAGAGCGTGGCTTTTGACGAAGAAAGTCATGTAGGTTAAATAGAAATAGCTGGCCAGCTTGACAAAGGAATAACTTCCGAGGATATGTATGCTGACTTTTACACCATCTGGGTGACAAGACAATGATGGAGGCGGAACTAGCTGTATGAGTACATCCGTGTCAATGGCGCGGATGACGATAAAAGATTGAGAAGACCTACGTATGAAGGCAGGCTGCATCAGATTGCTCATAAATTAGCTATTATCATTGGAAGTATCTCAAATAAGCTGTACATTCACGGGGGAGCTCGGTGAACGCTTCACGTCCCTTAGAACGGGGCTCGGACTCAACAGGAGGTTGAACGGAATTGTAATACGGCTCTCGTTGTAGCTGTCCCAAGACTTGATATAGATCAGCCACTGAAATGCACAATGGGAGAAAACAGCTCCGCAACGAGGGCCACCAACTGGGCACGAGAGAGCGGCATGGCCAACGCACATGGCTAGTCAAGCACTGAATAGTGTAAGCGAAACCGCTCGCTTCCTACGTTTCCTTGCGAAGCTGAAAGAGGTGCCCTTGATGGGAAGGAGAAAGAAACTCACGACGTGGAATCGGAACTCCCAGTCTAGTTATACAGCTACTGTTGATGGCATGTATTTTCGGTTTGACTGTTCGAGAGTACACTCTTGGCTTGTTTGTTTGCTTAGTGGGTCTAATGCTCTTGCCCGTCCCATTGCTCACAGCTATTTTACACATGTGCTGAGCCAGTTGCCGCCACTGTTGAGGCATCCTTGATTGCATGTACGTTGAATATAAGATGATCCCTCGCATGCGTCCACCACGAATGTCTTTACTTACTAAAACCATCAATTCAGAATCGCTTGCACTAACTAATCGGAGTCTGCTTCTGTAATCAACCAATCCGAAGGAACTATATCATGCCAAGAGAAACTAAGCATCATACACCACTATAACGTAAAACTATATACCACCTTTCAATTTATGTACACAAATCAGCAGCATAGAAATACCTACCACGTGAATTACATACGCGGCAAACAAAGTATCACATATTATCTTGCTCCCATTGAATCGCCATGACTTTATCATGTTCATAACTAACACACTGCAGGATGGTACAGGATAAAACACCTTCTGTGCATTGAGGCAGCATGTCATCCTACATTCTGCTAGTTAGCGGGGGCATTACATTCCATTGTATATTAAATATTGTCCTTTTCCGTTTAGCTGCCAACGTATCCTACTCAATCTCCCGTCCGTATTTTATAGAATACGACTAGGATCATACTGTAGCTGTCTAGTATAATCTTGAGCGCACTAGAATCGGCGAGTCAAGTGAGAGTCAGTACAGTCAAACAACAATTGATGAATATCCGAAAGCGTAGGCGGTACCTATGTTTTGAGTTCGCCAGTCCTATAGAACCAAGCAAACGACTGTCCATTGTTCTACGCGCAGGTTGCACGTCGATTGATCGGCAAGCGTAAGAAACAACAGGCGCGCTGGAGTGCATAAAGTTTTTCTGGGTAAGTTTTTGTGCCGTTGCTGGAAGCGTAATCCTATTCTGAGTATGTGGGAAGTCCGCAGGTGAATCAATGGTCGTGAGGAACATATTGGGGTTCGTACACACTGCCGTGTCTTGAGCAGGCCTTGCACCACGCAATGCACGCTCCCTCGACGCGAGGGATCATTTGAGGCCAAAGGCTTTGCAACCGTGAGTCACGCTGCAGATTTACCACGGTTGCGTGCGACCTACATGTCTGGGGCGTGCATGGCAATAGGAGATGACTGTTTATCAAGAAATCGACATGAGGTCGAGTTGACCATCACGCCGGAGAGTTTGGCGTTAGTTCGATCACATGGTAAAGTACAATTTTATGTATTATCGTCTTATCAGGTACTATTGCAAGTGCTCTACCGTCGCTATTCAATGATTTCTGTAATGTGTCAAACCATGAAATTGGTTTGATAGGCTTTTTAGTGCCGCAGCGATTGTTTTACAGGGCGCTGGAAAGCTGGCCCAGGAGAACGCTAATCTAGTGCGCTGGGTGACATGGCGCGCGCTACATACCGTGACTTCAATACTTAACTAAGGTTAGCCTACTCAGTGCAGCTCGCTACGGCGCTGTTTACAATGCGGGCGTCCAAACCCCACCGACGTAAAAGTGCAGACTAACTAGACTGACCTAGCAGTGGGAAACGAAACGCACCTTATTTCCCAATTTCCCGATGTTGAAAAAGGTGTCTCAGACTGTGAGATGATGCAAATCTGCAAGACTTCTGCAACATTAGCCCCCATCAATACTGCAAGAGGTATAGATCGGCTGTAGACGCGGTGATGGCTGAAACAGCGCTGAAACTCGGCATCCCTTGTGGGTGGTATCCAGCCTCCCAGCCTGCCAGCCTACTGTAAGCATCGATTGGGGTCCGTCCACACCTTTGGGTTGGCAATATGAAAACTCGCAGATGTTTGGATCTCTCGATCTCTTGGTATTCTTGGTATTGTTGATCATTTCTTGGTATTTCTTGGTTGTTCAGGGTCGGGATTCTGATTGATTTTTAGTTGGCCATGCTTTTCGAAGACCGGCGACTCGCAATATTCTTGCTGGCTTCCTCCCTTTTAATCATTTGGAGTATCCGACTCTTTGGTGTTCATGATGCATTTTGGACATTGCTCTATAACGGGTCCGGCCAGCGTCCGGATGAACGCGTTTTCATCCGCGAGGCCATGAGCGTCGAGTTTCCTGCTCCTATCGACTACAAGCCCATCCAGGAAGTATGTGCTCGCACTGATTTCCAACCGGGTTTGTTGTTTAGCTGTGAAGGACAGCACGGTGGTGTCGGGATGGTTCGCAATCAAATTCTGAGATGCGTACGTTATGCAATCCATGGCGGGGCCGCCATTGTGATTCCTTCAATGGCCCTCCGTAATCCAAAGAATCTGGCAGATATCGAAACCTCAACCGAGGTGCCTCTTGACTATCTCTTCGATCGCGAGGCCTTCACCACACGTCTTTCAGCAGGATGCCCTGGTTTGCGCATCTACGAACACGCAGAAGACTTCCCCCATTACCAGCAGCGAGTGGGAGAGCCTTTGACCGTGGTGGGGGACCAATTTGAGCCAGATCATCCACGCGAAGGATTGAAATATCCCCTCGAATGGCGTCGTTACTTCGATGATTGGCTGGACCAGCAATCTGTGCAGGTCCGAGCTGATGTCCCAGTGCATGTCCACGTTGGACAATCATTTCTCGATTACCCAGTGCATGCCGACGGCGATGCATTTGCGCAGGAGTTCGGCAAGATCTTGTCTTTCAGAAACGACACGCGCGCGCTAGCAGCCAAACTTCTCTGGAAGCTGGAGGATAAGTTTGGGTTATCCATTGATCCGAAACAGGCCGTGAACAAAAACGCCTTCTACGGCGCTCACCTACGGCTGGAAGAGGATGCCATCTGGGCTTGGCCCCCGGAACAGTGGCGCTTCTCGCGTATGGAGGATCAGTTCGAGGAGCAGTTCCAAAATCTAGAGCGCACGGGTCTCAATGTTATTTATGTCGCATCAGGAAACCAGACGGTGGTTGATTTGTTCGCCGAGGGCTTGAACAAGCGTGTCAAAGCAAGATCAGGTTCTGAGCGGAGAAATGTACAGGTAGTGACGAAACATGATTTACTTCAAGGGCACGATCGACGACGACTTGACAGCCTGACATTTGACCAGCAGGCACTGGTCGACTTTCTGATTATGTTCAAGGCCAGTGCATTCATGGGGGTCGCGTCCTCCAGCTTCCCGTGGAATGTGGCCCTGCGGAGGCACGAGCTAAGCAATTACAAAAAATATGGCAACGAAGGGTCAGATCTACTGAGGGATGAATACAGTGTCATCATGGGGATGCAGGCTGACTACCCGGAAGTTGACCCGTTCGTTTCGGGAATATGGCCATAGACTTCGCAGTGGTTCTTGAGATCCAGTGGCCGCAGGAGCCCAAAGCCTTCCTCCGAATCACGACAGCATTGCGACAAACGTCTGATCGGCAAAACCCAACCATGAAGCTGGCTAACTGCCAGAAATGCAGGCCGAATATTCTCCTGGATTGGTGTACGACCAGGTGCGCGCGGAAATATCTCTGCTAGAACAGAAGGATCGCGGTGCATGAGATGGCAATTATTATCGGAAGCCATGGGTAGCGGTTGCCTTCAGGACGCATATTTATGAATCAGATGGACAACCTCTGCCGAACGGGTGCACGCCGATATTTGCATATGGACGTTTCTCTCGGGGGTAGCAAACCATTGGTTATTTGCTGCATATATTGCGCCGGCTGCTCTGTCACTAATAAAGTCGTAGGGTGGAAATATTGCAGGTCCGTAGCTGGTCCCACGCTCACTATAGACCCCTGTCGCTTGCGGGGCCAAGCACTAAAGCTAGCCACAACTCCGGGGTATCAGGTTTAAAGTGTGGCGTTCTATTTAATTAGGTAATTAAACGGCGCGACTTTTTTTAAGGGGCAGAGTAGTCAAGCCAAAAATCCGACAATGCACAATGTCTTACTATCAATTCCGTGGATGAATGCGAGTCAGATGGGTAAGGAGTAGGCCATCAGTATTAACACCATTTACTCCACTTGCTGTATTGAACAGAGAAAGTCGCATTCTTCGAGGTACAATATCCACAACTTTCAAAAGGCACGCGTCAGGTGCAAAGAAAAACCCGTGAGGCAGCTGCGCACAAGTTCATCCACCAGACGGCCGAGATCAGGACTGAAATCTGTCGTGTTACGCTAAAGTAGGAGTGCGTGTCGGGCGGCATCTAAGTTTGGGCTGTCGGTTTCGCCGCTGCCGCTGGAAAGAAAGTTTTTTGGGGGGTGGGTGAAGCCAATCATCCGCCAGGATTTGCGATAATGGAAAGTCTAAAGGCTTCGGCCATCAACACCGGGAACACTTCTGGGCGCAAGCAACACAAGCCTACTTCTTCCTTAGGCTCCTTGTACGAGGTGCTGGCAGACCTCGACGAGACCCAGTTGCACTACCTTATCCAAGAGATGAGCCATACTGGACATCAAAACGTGCCTGTGTCCCAGGCAGTATCGGCGTTTGAGTCGCATAATCCGTCCGACTCCCTCAACAATGTGAGGGCGAGTATGCTGCCACCCGTACAAGGGATGCGACGGCAGCTCTCTAAGTCCCAGCGAGGGAAGCTTCGGTTGCAAACAGCCTTTCAGAGAGCACCGTCACTAAGACAGCGACGTCCCCAAGATCTGCGCGACATTGATCAGTCTGCAGTTGATATAACCACTCAGAGCTCTAACGATGCGCCTGCCCCTGGCCATCCCATTATATCCAATCCTGTTAACAACGCTCCCAAGTACAATGGCACCGCCGGAGATGTAGCACCCATATTGGCGGATCGGTCACAAAGGCGGGAAAACCCAGTTGAGCCCCATACTCTGCAATCTCCAGTGGACAGTCGAAAGAAATCTCCCGCCTACAGACGCATTCCAAGACCAGATTTCAGTTTACCACCTGGCGTTACGGTCATTGACCTCCTGGAACTTCTTGAGGCCGAGTTCCTTTCCTCGAACTCACATCAGTTCTCTTCTCCAGATTTCTCGTCTTCGCCCTCATCCGCCTTTTCCGCCCATACCTATTCATCTCCGTCTCTGTTGTCACCGGCCTCGTCATCCCCATTTTCCCAGAAGCCCAACCTGAATGGGCCTCGATCTCTGCGGCGGCACACCTCGAGACTGGATATGGCGCTAGATGCCGACCGGACCGCATCAGGCGCTGAGGAGATAGGGTTGGGAATGCTTGAACCAAGACCTCAAAGGACGGTTTCGTTAGGCTCTCCTGCTGTCAGTGCCCCAATAAGTTCGGTGGAGTCCTTTGACTGGGGGCCTAGGGGCGATACTAAAGGGTTGCCATCCACCCCACCGGTCGTTTTGGAAGGGATATTTGATGTTTTGGAGAACCAATGAATCTTGGATATGCAGTAAGTTAGAATCGGAAGTTCGAGAAGTTTGCCGATTTGCTATTTCGGGCCAGGAGAATGCTGGCGTCTTGGCCCACGGAGGTCCCTTTGTGTTATTTTTATTTGCCCTTTCTGTACGGATCCGTATCAGCCCATATATTGGGCCGTAGCCATATAGCAAAATAACTTCATTATCTTAATAATTATGGAACAGCTCCTGTTTGAATTGTACCGCGGCTTGCAGTGAGATCCGAGCGACTAGGAAGAAAAACATGATGTTACAGTCAGCTGGGAGGAGGGCCACCGGCTGGAACTGTTCACAAGTATATTGACCACTTGCCCAACTTTTGGTGTTACGATAGCTTATCTGGCTCAATTAACATACTATACAGTAAAGCTACAAGAAAAACAGATTATAATTCCTATGAAACTTCGCAGATTACACCGCAAGAATCGTCTCAGGGCATTGCAACTCAGAATGCATCATCTATGATTGGCCAAACTGTTTCACTGCTCCTTTTGAACTAAATTAAGAAAGGATGGTCTATAGAGAGGAGAATTCTTGCCTCGGGGGGGGGGGGCACGGGAGCTTTCCTGTTTTCTGCTTTTTTTCATTCTTTTTCATTCTTTTTTTTTCAACTCATACGCCATGAGGAGGAAAGTGGGTAAGCTAGTCGTCACGTGTGCTGAGACTGCCAAAGCTCCTATTTGAGAATGGAAGTTTCCATACCCTGCATCTATAAAACTAATCATCTCATCCCTCTAAATACAAACGTCAATAGCCGGTCATATCTCAACAGTGGCCATACTAGTCCAATCAATGCTGGCCTTGACGAGAAACTTAAATTAGGCGTTGAAAATCAAGCCTTGACTGCTATTCTTTCGAACATTAGCAAGGCAACTTCGGATTCCACGTGTGAAGCGCCAAGTTGTGACTCCGCGTGCTTACTGCTACACAATGCCCTCTGTGCCAAGTTTTGACCCCTCACTAGACGAGGAAAAGCCACTAGAGCGGTCTCTAGGCAACTCCATATTCGAAGTTACTTTGACGAGGAACAATCGAGTCGGCCTCTTCAAGGAGAATGTTGAACGACTCAACCTGAGTAACAATGAGGCACACGCCGCTTTGGGAAATCTTCGATTATGGGCACCGGATTTTGCAAAAGCTTTCAAAGTCCGCGATCGGGACAGCCTACTTAATACACCTTTCCGGTTGGTGTGTCAGAGCGACGTTGGCAAGGTACCCTTCGATGAAGAAAATGTGATACGACAATACCTTGCTGTTAGCTACTGCTGGCGTCATCCGGATCACGTCTGGCCGAAGGACGATTCAAAGCCTTACGCACCTTGGCCTTTCAGTCAGCCCTTCGTTGAGGCTGTCCTTGCCGAGCGCGGTGTGCATACGGATACTCGAGAAAGGGATGAGAATTTTCGCAGAGAGGGTATCTGGATTGAGTAAGCAAATTTTGGTTTCATATTTTGCCCTTTCTAGCAAGCATGTGAAGCGCATATTACCCGTTAGGTGCACTTGCGCTCCTCGTAACTGTTTCGTAACACTCCAGAGTCTCCGGAATCAGACGGGGGCGAAAGTTTCTGACACCGACTGCTGTAGCCAGATGTGTATTCGCCAGGAGGACGAGGTCGAAAAGCAACAATGTATTGCAAGTAAGCTAAACCACCCCATTTCACCTCACCTAGCAAATTTTGCATGCATATTTGCCATCTCATAACCAACAACTTTTCTCTTCACAATTGTCGGGCAACAGACTGAAACTCAAAATTCATGCGAGGGCGTACTTGAACTGTCTCGAATCGTTGACATTGTTCTTCCTTTGCAGTGATGGATATCATATACGACAGGTGCCGAAGGCTCTTGATTCTTCTTGAGGACGTGTGCTTCGAGGCTGAGGAAGTAGCCGTGTTGGAAAAGTACGACAATCCATCCGCACGGTATGCCCAAGATGGAGATTTTCTCCCCGATCAAGCAGACATACCACAGCTAGTTAATGTCTGCGCCGCTGTTGAAAACTCGCGCTGGTGGTCCAGAGCATGGTACGAACCTTTGCTATTTTATTGTCTCCACATCATGCAGCATATGAATCTATTACTCAAATTTGTCGTCAATTTAGGTGCTGGCATGAATTCGAGGTCAACAAGCCATGGAGTGATATGAGGCACCACTACTATGCGCACAATGCAATTTTTATTGCCAGGACAACCTCTGCTTGCGACAACGGCGCCATGACGTATGGTCTTAAGTATTCGACATTAGAGTGGGCTCGAAGCGTCACCATTTACAATGTTCGAGCCGCAGCCGGCTATGAATTCAGTCCAAAGGAACTCCGTTGGACCATCAGTGACAATAGCGTTTCTCCATACAATGATCCTGCACAGCGCGGGGTCGGCACGATAAGATCATCGCTGATGGCTAGCTATTTCATCGTCAGTCCTATTCAATGCACCATCCCATCAGACATCGTCTCGATCACAATTAACCTTGCCGGATTGGCAGTTCATTTCACTGGCCATTCCCAGGATTATGATATGGTGTTCTTTACCGTCTCAATGCTTGCCCTTGCATGTGGAGAAAAGAGGCCTCTCACGTGGATGGCAAATACTCAAGCGAAGGATTCTGCCATGTTTGTTGGTAAGCGCGATAATGTCTCATGGTTGTCTCGACCCTCTGGCGGACTCGAAACGGCGCTCCCGGAATTCACGGTAGGGAGCGTGCAGGGCATACATAGCATAACACTCCAGCAAATCAACTTAGACCTACTCTTCTTTGAGTCACCGGTCGAAATTATCGCTGACGAGGAGATGGCGAAGACTTACGAGCTCTTTCCGGACAATTGTATCCGCTCACGTGAGGTCAGACTCCGGGATGGGAGACTGGACTTGACATCAACGAGCATCGATGATGACAAATACAATCCTCTGCGTCGTTGCTTCCTCGCCGCGGTGTGCAGGCTTGGGCTAGAAGGGATTTGCCGCTTGTGGACCCTGCTTGATAAAGAAGTTGTGCAGCCTTCATTCAACAACGTCCGCTTCGTGCCATTTGATGGAGACGAGGCTCTCCGTTTGTCAGCGAGAAAACTACTGGACTGGTTGTCGACTCCGTCTGCCGTTGATTCGTTCCCTACGTCATCTCAAAGTTACTCTGATTATGAGGAGATCCTCCTTTTACTTCTGACGTTTATCACGGACCCCAGAGCCTTATATCTGGTAGGCTTCCCTTGTGGATTGATTCGGTGCAGCAAACAGTCGCACGCCATTGTTGGCTATCCAGTATTGCGGGACTTGTCCCTCTATCGTAACCCAGCGCAGCTCCGTTTAGCAATGCCCACAGATCTGGTAGCATACCCGTCTAATGTTACACGCGCATGGATTTTACAGCCTCTTGACGAAAAGGGAGAAGATTTTTCGAATAACCTCAATAAGGAAAGTAAAGGCTTGTGCGAAAGTGCAGCGGGAAGATGGAGACTGGTTGGGAAGACTGTCTTACTGGGTGGGCCTGACGAAGTCCCCTTAACAAGACATACTCAACGTACAAGCAGTCAATATGTCACTGTCAGGACAAAACAGATCGTGCAAGGTTAAAAGGAAGTCTGGGCTAGAAAGACTGTCGAAAACATGATGGCCTCGGGAATGACACAGCGAAGTAATTGATGTCACTGTATGCCAGCAGATTTTCCTTATGGAGTAGGAGTTCAGATTCCTGAGCCGGAAAATTATGTCTCGTCGCCTGTTAGTTATAGCTTAAGACTTGGCTCGCACCTGTTTTCGGCTCGTAACATGTTCGTGTTTATCGATTCAAGACGTGCTCAGTTCCTCTTTGTTGTTAGAAGCTCCCCAGAACGATCATACGACCCCAGATACGCATTTTAGGGCGTGGAGAAAACAACTGCGATCTTGGAAGGCGAGATATTGGGAAGGGAAACCTGCAGCCTTGGGCCAGATGGGTGATCCCTTTCAAGATCCTGCTTCATTTGCTGAACGGTTTCCCCCATTGTTTTTCTACCACATCCATCGAACGGATAAATGCGCCTAGACTAGAATACAAATTGCTGAACTCCCGAGGGTTGGTACAGGTTCTAACGGGTATTTAACACGTGTATTCTATGTGAATAATACTTCTCCACTGCCCCATGCAATCTAGTCTTCGGTAGCACTCTGTCTCCCATGGCGCTGATGCCATGGCATATGTCGGCACTCAAGATGCATGCGCCACTGAAATTGCTGCGAATTTATAGATATCACTGGAAATGTAGACGTTGGAGGGTATCATTCCCACGAAAAACGCGAAAGCGCACCTGCATTCTTGGTTGTAAACGAGGTGTTCCCAGTAAACCGCAGGTTGCCAGTGCCTAAGTTTTTGTTTGAAAGGAGGCCGGGACTTGGTGCTTAGAAAAAGATCTCAGGCCCATTTGTCACTGTGGCGTACTGGCCGTAGCGGCCTAGGTTAGGTTAGTTCCGTAATTTACTTGCTCGAAACCAAAACGCAGAGTGCGAGTTCAATTCATTGCTCACAGAAATGATCGAACAACAGCAGCAGCTAAACTAAGCTTTGAATGCGTTTTTGATTATTGGTTTCACGTCATCAGTCAATCGGCATGGTACCAAATACTTGTTATGTCAAAACTTTCACTGCATGCGCTTGCCGTGCGCTCAGGGTGACTGTGCTTAAGGATGAATTGACGTCCAGGGTCCTTCGCTGCACCGGCGTCTGCAAAGCCAAGACCATTGAAGTGACCATACGGGTGCTACTAGCAGCCAGATATGATCACTGGAATATTCGTGGTTAATTCAAACAGAGTGTCACTGACTGGCGTCATGTTGCGAGCGGCGTTGTATACGTCGATTGTACCAACCACGATGTGCCTGCGTGAGCTCACAAGCATAGTTGGCATCGCCGCTCGCATAATTAAGTTCCTTGAATGAACAATGGCTTAGAAACTTTTTTAATATCTCCTCATCTGAAAGGAAACCGGAGCCACGAGGTAAGCATCGTAAATATTCTTCCGAGTCGCCAGCAGCCAATCGTAATCGGCCAACCTAGAGGGGCTATGTAGAGGCTGGAGGGAGCGGGCAGATGGCAAACCCCATGTGGGATGTGGGGTGTAGGATAAGAGGTATGGGATAGGAAGAAGGTTCGCCGTCCAGTAAGGCGTCATGTAGGTAAACAGTCCTAAGGAATTACAAACCATCGGATGTCGCTGCACTGATCAACTTCGAACTTTCTTCTATAAATTGTAGAAACCCGAGAATGTCCGGCTGCTGTGGTTAGATCTTCGGAACTATTTTGATTCCATCGGGCTGCGATTGGTTCGGAAGCAAATTACTTACGATAAACTTCCTGAGCCCATAGCACGCCATAGTCGATGCACTAAGCCACTGGCAGGGCTTGTCGATGAGCAACCATATTGTCATCTAGCTTCCCCTCTGGATGTCTATCTGCCGAATGCTTTATTGTACATTGAGCATTTACGGCTTACAAATAATGGTGCATTTTAACTTTAAAGCTTATGTAAACGTTTCCGAAGCGCCATGGTCATTCTTTGATCAAAGAAGATCCTTTTCTTATATATTTACGCTTGATATACCGCTATGTAATTTCACCTTTCAGTCTCTCACTTCTCACAACACATCAAACCCATTTTACTCTTCAGCAAAGATACTTCTTTCGTCCGAATATAACTAGTCTCACCATGACCAGCACAATTAAAAATGTCGCCGTTGCAGGCGTAAGCTCCTCTTTCTGCTAGACCCCGCATCTCCTGATACTGACACAAATACAGGCAACAGGCAACCTTGGCCCCGCGATCTTGGATCAGTTACTCAAGGGTGGTTTTAAAGTCACCGTGCTCACACGACAAGGAAGCACACATAAATTTCCCGACAACGTTGATGTGAAGGTAGTCGACTACGACTCCTTAGACTCCTTGACCGATGCGCTTGAACGTCAAGACGCCGTAGTGTCGACATTGGCAGGAGCCGCTTTGACCACACAACTTCCTCTCATCCAGGCTGCCATCAAAGCTGGAGTTGAGCGCTTTATACCATCAGAGTTTGGATCCGACACATCCAACACCAAGGCTGCACAGCTTCCTGTCTTTAAGGACAAGGTCGTCGTTCAGGATGTGCTCAAAAAAGAGGCCGCCGCTGGTCATCTAACATACACCATTATCAATAACGGTCCTTTCTTTGACTGGGGTTTGGCCGTTGGCTGGCTCGCCAATGCCAAAGAGAAGACTATTTCTCTTCACGATGGTGGTAACCGCACCTTCAGCGCTACTACGCTCCCTGCGGTGGGCCAGGCGGTTGTGAGCGTCTTGAAGCATCCAAAGGAAACCAAGAACAAGGTGGTTCGTATCCAGTCTGTTGCCCTTACCCTCAAGAAGTTATCTGAGATCGCTCAGAGGGCTACGGGTACACCATGGCAAGAGCAGGTGGTCTCCGTGGACGATCAAATAAGCGAGGCTTTCGCGGAGTTGCAGAAGGAGAACCCTGATCCCAATGTGTTTATCATAAACTTCATCAATGCGTCAATCTTCGGTGACGGGTATGGAAGTCACTTCAAAACAAACGACAACGAGTTCTTAGGGATCAAGGAACTGAGCGAAGCGGATATTGAATCCTTGATTAAAGCTCATGCACAGTAGATAGGCACGTAGATAGCTCGCTCCCGACCAAGCTCGGGCAAACACTCAATGACAATACGAATTGATTCACTCCTTACATACCGTCAAGAGGTGCAATATCCACAATGTGCATCTAGGCCGCAGAGATGTTTATAATGACCGAGGTGGAGTCGTGTATCGCAGCACACAATTCTTCACATGGGCCGAACTCGAAAACGGAAGCACCAACTTTCTTGCAAGTGATATGCATTACTAATGGTCGGTTCCATTAACATCGGCATATAGATATTTATTCAAAGGTTTTGGGAGGACTTTTAAAGCCCCCATTGGTCTGCAGTGGTGTCATGAGCATTTCCTTTATCACGACATTTCGGTGACAGCAAAGAATGGCGCTACGTAGTAGGGTAGATATGCACTAAGTGAGCTCAGCCATCCAATGCGCTTCTAGGTTTAGCTGTAAGAGTGCCCACTTTAAGGATATACAATGATTATAGTTAGATAATCATTGTGACATTGATGAAGAGTAAAGTTTGTTCTTGTTTATACTGCTTGCCTTCTTATAGCCTCGTTATTATCCTCAGTTCAATCAATATCGATGTCTTTTGGGATACGAATAGGAAATGTTATCGAGGAGGCAGTCCCAGACAAACCCACCGCCAGGTAAAATGCCATTCTCAAAGGTACTAATATCTACAAAAGGTGCTAAACCATATACTAACCTAGTCTAGTACTCAATCCGTACTCAAGTAAGGTTCCTACTAACCACTCAATAACGTGTTGGTGCTTCATAACAACTGTCGCTGGCGGTTATCCAAGCACTAATCACCTGTACTAACAACATGAACATTACGAGAAAGCACATAGTCTAATATAATTCTGAGGTGTTCCGAAACCGCGGCTAAAGAACGTTGATGAGAACCATAATCTACAAGTATATTTACATGTACCAGAAGAATATTCCAAAGCTCATGAAGGAAAAATCAACGACTATTCAGGACGCCGAAAGCAGGAGCTCTCCGTATGTTAAACAACAGCATCGGGCCGTAATCAACTCTCACCTCCAAAAATGCAAAGAAGCCCGAATGCGCAAATGGGCCCACCAGGAGGGTATTCTTGCCAAACCAGCAACAGGCGCTTGCTTGTTCACACCTTTTGCGCCACTACGGTTCCGTCTAATCAATACAAAAAGTTGACGTTCCACTTCATAGAGTAGACATATATCTAATCAGTACATCACGCTAATTTGCAAATGTCTGTATTCATCCCGTTTGTGGCTTGCGCGCATCGCGTATAACGACTATCAATATCCTCCAGCCCGCCAAAGCTCACCAAATCGTGTCGAAATATCACCAGACAATACTCTAGGACTTCCAACCTCGACGATCTCGCCCTTGTCCATAACCACGACCCGATCAAAATCAATAACCATTTCAAGGCGGTGAGAAACAGCAATTACTGTATAATCCTTGAACTCGATGCGAATGATTTCTTGCATCGTCCGTTCGGTTTCCTGATCTACGCTCGAACTGACCTCGTCAAGTAACAAGACTCCGCCCTCAGATCCGCCGCCGCCAATTCCAAGACTCTTGGCACGAATTCGCCGCCTCAGCACTGCACGGGCAAGGGAGAAGAGTTGCCGTTGGCCTTGGCTGAACGTTCCAGGACTCATCCCAGCTTCTAGCCCACCCCGCTCCTCAATGAACGTCCATAGATCGACGACTTCGAGAACCGACCGACAATCAGCTGGGTTTGCCACATCGAAAGGGTCTAGGTTCGCTCGGAATGTAGACCCATCTGGAAGAAAGACTGCGTCCTGTGGAACGGCTATGATCCTCTGGCGAAGAATAGAGCGATCGATTTTGTGAAGTGCCATACTGTCTATAAAAATGTTGCTAGCCGTTTCCGCAACAGGGTCCAAAAGCTTGAGAATGAGCGCAATGAGGGACGATTTACCACTACCGGTCCGCCCGCAAATAGCTACTCGTTCTCCAGCGGAGATGCTTAGATTTATGTCGCGGAGAGCAAGTTCGGGCTTCTCCTCAACCCCATCACCATCTACGACGCTGTGGTGGTGTCAACATCCAGAAGTAATAGTACACGAACTTATGTACTTACCCGTAACTTGCTGATACACCTTGAAATTCTACTGACCCTCTTTGAGGCCATTCGTTAGGGGGGATAATATCCTCATCGGGCTTGTCTTCTGGCTGAACAGTGGCATTAAAATTCCTCAACCTGGCCACAGCTCCTGGTACCAATATTAGTGATAGCAATATTCCTTAAACCGGGGCCAACGTACCAAGGCTAGTTTCGAGCTGTGTCATAAACATTACAATTACAGTGAGCTGCTCGCCAAATGACATTAGAGTTACTAAAGATGCTCCAGTGAAGCCGGAGTTCGAGTGCGTCTTAACGGCAAGTGCAGTCAGAAGAACAGCCATTGCCATGACTACGAGGCCAAGAACCAGGTTCAACCAATTCTGGATCATCTGAATCAAATAGGCTGGCCGCTGCGAAATATCGAGGAGCTCAATATTCTTTGCTCGATCTTCTGACACAAACCCAAAAGCACGCAATGTGATTATGCCCTTAGTTGTGTCCAGAAAGTGTGTACTAGGAAACATGGTTAGCATGGCTGCTGAGGAATTAGAAATATGGAAGAACTGCTCAACATACAATAATGGAGCCTTAGTCTCCAAGTCTAGCAGTCGCATCTGTCTCGAGGTTCTGAGATAGAACCGACCGATCATCCACAGAAGAGCGACTAAGAAGGGATAGCTGATAGCAATATAGGGTGATGTCGTAACTAGTACGGCTGCTTGTCCAATTGCGACAAATACGCAGGCCACCACGTTTAAGATAGAAGTTGGGAGCTCAGTGTCGATGAGATTTATATCTTGACTGAACAAATTAATGATCTGACCTTGATCTGTGCTGGTGAAAAATCCCAGAGGAGCTTTGATCAATGTTCGTAAAGCATCGTTGTGCAAACTAGCACCACTTCTTTTCACAGCCACGTAAAGCACCGCTACTGCCAGGCCTATTAGAGACAGTAAAGCGCTGACGTTGAGTAGAGTATATATGCCGACATAATAACCAAAAGATCGCGATGAGTTGGGTTTTGATAAATCTTCCGACCAAAATTTTAGCCAGATCGTGGGAAAGTTATTGAAGAATCCAAAAGCAAGAGACCAAGATACGATGGACGCGACGAGAAAGTACCCCATGGACTTGAAGTAATGCTTATAGACTCCTCGGTCGCCGATCTGACGGCTCTTTTCGCCAGGATTTGATAAGGCCGAAGATGTGGTCGCAGCCCGATCGAGTGTACGTGGCCTACCGTCAGGATGGTCCATGTCCACGTCAGAATCATCCAGTGATACACTACTGGAAGATGTCTTTACGCCTAGGCTATACACGTAGCTTTTTTCATCCTCCATCAAATCCACGAAGGTGCCCTGCTCTGCGATAGTGGCGTCAGGGCCAAGAGCGATGATATGATCCGCATCAGGCAAGTGGCGTACTGAATGAGTACATAATATGCAAGTCGCCCGTCGACGTCGTAGAATTCCATCAACTCCGAAAACGCGGCTGAAAACCTGTTCTTCGGTATCGGCATCCAGTCCGCTGAATACATCATCAAAGATCAATAAATCCGTCTGTAGGTACAAAGCGCGTGCCAAAGCAACACGCTGTTTCTGGCCACCGGAAAGTGTAATACCATTGCTCCCAACGTTCGTGCGGTCGCCAGCAGGCATTGTGTCGATATCAAATGCGAGCATCGTGGCATTGATCACATCGGAGTACCGACTTGGATCGAAAGGACTGAAGCCGATTATGTTGTCCCGAATTGACCCGTTCGATAGGAATGGCGATTGGTCACAATAGGCCAGTCGAGAAAGGCTCGTTCCAGCTGTGATGGACCCGCCCGATGCCGGTAACTCGCCCAACAAAGCTTTGCACAATGTCGACTTCCCTGAACCGATTGGTCCACAGACAATGGTGAATGAATGCTTGGGGATAGTGATGTTGACGTTGTTGAGAACATTTTTATCATCGTTCCACCCAAAGTTTCCACCTCTGACAGTCAAGGCATAATCCGTGGAGGCAACCTCAGATTGCTTTTTGTAATCGATAGTCTCCGTTTGAGAAATCGGACGTGAAGCCAGCATAGCCTCTCTGATATCGGAGCGAGAGTCCAATTCGAGAAACAGCTGTATTCGATGGATACAAGCAAGTGAGGCGATGAGTTGTGGAACATTTTGGAAAATCTGTGTCAGAGGATTGCATAGTAGAGTAAGATATGATAGAGAGGTGAATATTTTTGTCGTGTCCAGAGACGTCTGAGCCACAGCGAATGTAAAGATTGGAGACAAGTATAGTGGACAGTGGCCGACAAAGACGGCGGCTATGATGAGAAGTCGAAAACGTCCGCTGGCCACCAATTCTTCCAATCGTAACCGCTGCACAAATTCGCCCACAGGCATCGTTAGGCCAGAAATCTTGAGGTTCTTCATATCCGCAATCACTGCTGCAGTTAGACCAACACGCTTCTGCGCAGATGCCATCCACCGCTTTTGTGATGGCCCAGTAAATCGAACCATGTATAATGTAACCAACGAGCAAACAATCACGACTATGATTGGTGCCAGAAATGCGACGCCGAGCTGATTGTATAGCAGCCAGCTGGCGAGAGCTACTTCAATGACACTGGCCCACATGTCATGTAATGTTCGAAATCCTACGCGGATACGTTCGATGTCACTACTCATGAGAGTCAAAGAAGCAGATTCTTCGTTGGCAGTAACTTGTGCCTCGGTTGCTTTCGTATATACGGCAGTCACGAGGCCTGAAGGGCGAATTAGTATTTGCAGCCGGCATGTGTGACGGGTGCAAGATTCGGGCTTGGGTTGTCGGCGTAATATGATAACTTACATCCTCTGACCATCTGAAGGGACCGGTGGTGTAGGTATTGGTAAATTGCCGTTGATATGGCAATTCCCGTGAATATGAAGGCACTCGCTGCGATGAGTCCAGATCCGGTGTTCGGCGAAGCTTCTGCCTCGCCGCCGGACAGATAACTGAGAAGTCGATTGATGAAAAAGGGTTGACAGAAGGTGAAACCGATGAGGACCAAACGTGGGAGGACTGGCAGCAATAGTGGAAAAGTTAATGTGCGACATAATACTTTCACAAGACCATACTTGGTGCCTTTTAGTTTGTTATAAGATAAACGCGCCTGAAATTGATCGTGTAGCCGTTGTCCTCTCATTGCATGATCAAGAGGATACAAATCTTTTACCTGTAGAATCTTTCGATAACCGTTTACGAAAAGCGAGTTGAGCCAGAAATAGACTCCCAAGTCAAAAATTCCTGATGTTTCTTCGGGACTGTGGGGATCTTTTTCATCCCAGTTGACCCATTTGGTTTTGTGTTGTGCTTCAAGAACGAGTAAGATCACCTTGATAGTCATCGTTGCTGTAAATACCGCTGTGTATGCTAACTCAGACCGTGTTTCTGAGGCGAGCCAGAAAGTACGAGTTTCTGCCATGTCAAACAGAAGTGTGAGAAAAAGGTATCCGCTGAGCAGCATTGACGGTCGCGGCGATCTGCTGTGATCAAGGCAGGAAAGCCCGACCATGCATACAGCAGCTCCGAAAGTCAATGCAGTAGAGGCTATGAACAGGCCCAAGGCATTTAATGGCCCTATACTGACCAGAACTAGTAGAGCCAGCTGTAAGCCTACATATGCTGTAATAGCGCACTGTTCGCCGTTAAAACCTTTGGGAGAAATTACTAAAGTCAAATACTCACCAGTTTGACGAGCTGCAGCACTGGTGCATTTACCATAACTGGCCTCCGAGCCAATACAACGGAACGCCATATCGATAGAACTATGAAGAGAGCTGACGGTGTGAGAGAAAAGAAGGCAATCTCGAAAAGGACTGTAAAGTCAAAGTCGTCACGGCAGCCCGAAACCCCAGGACCGATGGACCCATCATCACCACAGGTGGAGAATAACATTGTCAAAATATTTCGCTGTAAGGACACATGAGGGACAAGAGAAAGCTGCACATGTAGCGAAAGTGAATTATTATAGCCTACACGACTGAGTGATATGATATGCCTTGACTGGGATTCCATGTAGGCTGCCAAGCAGTTTATGTCTATTCCGAAATTCTACGGCACTGCAATTGTGATGCTGACCGATGACGCTAATGCGGGTCTTTAAAACAGCCAATAAATGTACACCGTTCTGCATGGTATAAGTATCGCAAGATATCGTAATGTCGGCGTTGAATGGAGTTGAAGTTTAGTCAACCGCCCGTTGTTGGCGATAAGCGTATCAGTTGATTGGTGCCTGCAGGCAGCAACATATAGGACAGAACGATTTCTACCAACAGAGTGACATGCGTATGCTATTACGACGGCTCTACGTAGTCCTCACATTGGTAATGATTGATCGACCAGCCGCCATTGCAATCATAAATTTCTAGCACTGCTCAATGCTGTTGAAACTGCAAACATACCGTCCCCAAAGACGGGGGACTTGTCTCGTTTGCGCAAGCGCCGTGCTCCAAAGGACATTTAGTTTTGTTAAATAAAAGTTCCAACATACGACCAGACTGTTGACATCTATTATTAGAGACTGCAAAATTATAACTATGATGTCCTCAATTATGAACAGCATGGTCGCTCGAGTCACGTTTAGCCACAAGTCGAGATCGGAGTCGGGACAATCGGCATTCGGAATGCCCAACTTAAGGTTAGCTTTCTAAGATTGGTTTTAACCAGCTACTGATGGCCCACTGCTGATTACAAGTCCGACGCCCAAACCCGATCTCCTAGGTTACTAACAAGTTGTTCAGGAGTATGGACCATAGCCTAATAAGGAATGTGGTCGAACTATAGGCATAGTATTCAATCCCTTATCTCCCTTGACTTTTTCAGTAGGGACGAACCAATGCCGTACATAAACTGCGTTCGTCAAAATGCGGCTGGAAAAGCCGGTTGATCGATTGCCGTCCGTATTCGTAAATATCCCTGCAGCAGCTTGCTGAAACACGGAAAGCTTAACCGACCAAGCGTCATGCGACCCTGTGAAGAGGCCAGAAGACAACATCGCAATTGCGCAATAGCTTGGAGTCGTCACTCTCAGAGGCATCACTTATGCATACCTAGGAACTAATACGAACGATCACTCGCATTTGAAGCTACGAGCTATCTGTGTAGGATCATTCTCAATCAGGAATCATGTCGACAGAAAATGAGAACGTCCAGCGACAGGCGCCCTTATCTACGCGCCTCTACAACGGCTTTACTATATACGCTGTACAGGGCGTCAGTTCACCGATCAGATATCTGAGAGGGTGGAATGAGTGGATGTGGCCTTCGGGTTTTGCACCAGACATCGTCAAGACCTATGAAAGTCGGCCGTCATTGCCCATTCGGTAAGTCGTAGCTCTGGATAGGTAGCAGCATGAGCGGAACAGGTTTGGACATGGGACGAGCAACAACTGACAAGTGATGCAATACAGCATATTTTTCCCCAAAGACTATGATCAGAGCTCTCCGGAAAATCTGCCTTTGATCTTCAGCATTCATGGTGGAGGCTTTTGCATCGGATCCCCCGAAGATGATGATAAATGGAACCGGCACTTTGCAGATGAGCACAAATTCCTTGTCGTGGAGTTGAACTATCGCAAGGCGCCTTGGTACCCCTTTCCTACAGCCGTGCACGACCTGGAAGCACTGATACTTGCGGTCATTGCGGACGATAGTCTGCCAATCGACAAGAACCGAGTTGCCATCACGGGATTCTCAGCAGGTGGTAATTTGACTCTCAGCGTCGCTCAGCTTCCCAGCATCCGCGAGCAGGTGAAACCCTCGGCAGTACTGCCTATCTATCCCGCAGTAGATCAGAGCATCCCCTCAAGCGAGCGTATGAAGAGGCGATACTACAAGCCTGAGCTGGGTCCCGGCATCAGAAGTTCGCCCTTAGATATGCTGGCTAGGTTTTCGCCAATCTTCAAATGGAGCTATGTCAATCCCGGTCAGAACCTACATGATCCTCTGTTGTCACCCTTCTTCGCCAAAAGGGATGATCTGCCTCCACACATCTATATTGTGGCAGCAGAGCTCGATCAACTTGCGCATGAAGGCTGGCGAATGGCGTGCAAACTCGCTGGTCGGCCGGTGCCGGATCCTACAGATATAGTCGGTCAGAGGAGGGCTGCAGAAAAGGATGGCGAGCTTATCACGGACAACGAACGATTTGCTTGGCAGCATGACACATCAGATGGAAGTGTACGATGGCTGCTCGTGCCGGATCAGATCCACGGTTTCGATCACTTTCCAGCAAGGTGGTATGGCCATCTTGGGTCATGGCAAGACGCACAGGAGAAGACGGCGAAGTATCAAAAGTTGTTGGGGGAATGGCTTCATCAGGTCGTATGGAAGAGCTCAACGTCCAGATCAGATTAGTGCCAGTTGGTTTGTGATACGTTTGAGTCCAGTTATCCCCGAAATTGGTGTGCGAAAGGATGCTGCGATAGCCATGGCATGCACCAATGGTTTTGACAACGATTTTATACAGGATGAAAACGACCATTGTAAATGTCAATCTGACAAGTGAGCCTCGAGCTGCGTGCATAACTCTGCCGAGGACTCCGACCCTATTGCAGCGCGGTCTCATTGTGCTACCATAAACTAGACTTGCATGAACTGGACGTGTGACTAACTGCTTGTGTGCAACCACCACCTGAGTCTTCCATAACTGCGTGACGCGTTCTGTAATTGATAGCCAGCCGGGCACAGTCATAGGCAGCATTTCCAATTCCCAAGATCAGAAAATGACTACATAGGGTCTCCCAGCTCGAGGCCCCCGGCTCTGAGACGGCCTGGGTTACTGGTTGGGCAGGAATAGGGACTAGCTTTTCTTACCGGCAGGGGATACTTGACTAGCCTCGCGGTCCTGGCCCCTGGGTTAGAGGGACTCAGGGAATGGAGCAGTGGCGGGAAACAACGATAGGACGGACCGAAGCGAAGCAGTCCCCAGTCAAACCCAGTCTACCGGGGGACCCTGAAATTGTTGGACATCATTTCGTGTTTGGGCTGCTTATTGGTAAATGAAATTGCTAGTTTTGCCGTGTAGGAAATGGCTCTTTCCAACTGTGCTCTGTATTGTATTGGTAATAAGGTGCCGGGTGGATCCGCTTGTGTACAATTGCAGAGGCTTGGGTGTCTAAGGTTAGTGTGGAAAAGAGTACATTGTACCAAGTACGTTCTAACCTACGTAGTTATGGCCCGACGTCATCACGCGGGCGATCTTGTCAAGCTGCCGGCAAGCCACGAGCTGGCCCCGCAACACCATCCTTTCTGCTCACGAGAAACGATTGATGGCCCAGTCCATCACATGTGACAGCCGTACTGGACCTTCGACAGTCTTCGCGTTTCCGGACCCCTAAGAGTTGGGTTCTGGACGAACCCTGGCCCCACATGGTAGAGGAACGATCATGAGGGACGTAGAGGTGGTGCTCGAATGCAATTATTCGCAACCACAACAAGTCGGGAAGCTGCTGACACAAACCACACGAACATGTACACTATATCGTGGGATAATAGATTAACCCACAAGCTCAATCCTTGCCACTCACATCGCCCAATGTGCCCAACTCAAGGAGTACCCCAGATTGACAAAGCCGCCGAATGATGGCCTGTGCTAGTGCGGTACCTGGCATTTGCTCCATGGCGGCCCAGATCGCTCAGATTGTTGGAAAAACCTGACATGCTAAAGTTGAGTCGTCGAAGTACCTTTCTAACATGCTCTATCAGGAGTAGTAGAGGCAGACTTTGACCTTCCCCATCATTAGCTGGACTTCAAAAAGCCCAAGCTTATATTATCACCCACTCTACGGATCCGTACCTATTCTCATTTCCGTACTCAGAACTGAACGAGCCTGCCCAACCTCGCGATTATTGGGACCTAGCGAGAGTGGAATCTTTAAAACAAATTTCTCGTTCGATGTCTGTTTGACAGTTCTGGGATTCAATTATTCGTTCTGGGATTTTACTCTACACAAGCACCAGGAAGAGGGCAGAGCAGTCCTGAGATCACATCACACGGGCAGCAAGCGCGGGGTGCGAAAAGCCAAAACTTGGAAGCACGCCAGATTTGCCGGCCCTCCAATCCCGTCGCTGCTACGACTACAGCGGGGCTGCCTTGAGCTGCATTGAGTTGGACCCGAAAGCCTGCAGACCACTCGCAGGTCTCGTTTTGCTTTCAGGTGGTGTGTGTGTCAAGTACGGATCCGTACCGGTAGTTTTAGAACTGGCTGCTGGCACTGCTTTCAATGCTTGCTGTCCCGCCAGAACGAGACCAAACCCCTCTGTCGTCATAGTCGCTCCTCGACCGCTTCTCGTCTCGATTTCTTGGCCGGCATTTCCATTCCACCACCATCCAGAGATCGTCCGCAATTAAATTGCCTTTTTTTTTGTGCCTCTTTGAGGTATAATACCACATACGACTGTTGATATTTCTCCGTTGCGATATGGCGTACAGATCATCAACCAGCGATTTGTCCCGCGGAGGCGGAGGCGGAGGCGGTGATAGGTGGGACCGTGATCGCTTCGCCTACGAGAGGGACCGTGATAGGTATGGCGACGAGAGAGAGCGCTTCGAGGAGCGCGATCGCTTTGTCAGCCGTGGGCCCAGCACCCGGACACACGAGACATCTGTGGACGACAGATATGAACGTCACACGTCACGGCCGTATGACGATGACTATGTTCGTGACAGACGAAACCACGACGATGACATCCGACCTCGTCGATCTCCACCACCTGAGTTGAAACGAGAGGCCTTCTACGAGAGGGAGAGAGAATATCGCAGCCCATCACCGGTCCGAAGGCCCACTACTCTTTTGCGCCGCCAGTCATCCTTGGATACTTTCGATAGGCGACCAGCACCCAAGTTTTACGAGAGGGAGGAATATGGCCCCCCTGCCCGCCGCGCGGATTACCGCCCCGAACGCGAGTACCGTCCTGAACCTTATCAGCCCATTCCGCTTCCCCGCTCAAGGGCATTACCTCCTCCTAGGGTTTATGCTGAGCGTGATACCGAAGAAATCAGGGTCGCTGAGCCCGATCGATTTGGCGATGATGAATTCCACGCATACCCGGAGCGCATTCGCGAAAGAGAAGTCACTCGCACGCGGCGGCGCAGAGACCGGAGTGGCTCAAGATCGAGCCGCACCAGCCGTGCACACACGCACCGTAGCAGTCATCGAAGCGTTACTTCTAGGTCATCGTCCACAAGCAGCTCCAGCAGTAGCGGTGGAACTACAGTGACCGTGAAGAGCGAATATCCCAAAAAGGGCAAGACTAGGATTCCTGCCAGACTCGTATCGCAGCGTGCACTTATCGACCTAGGATATCCTTATGAAGAAGAGGTAAGTAGTCTTATTCTGTTTTCCTTGGGGTCAGCCGTGCTAATATGTATCAGGGTAATACTATTATCGTTCAGAAGGCGTTGGGCCAGGAGAATATTGATGATCTCCTGAAGTTGAGCGAGGACTACAAAAAGTCCGAGCTCGACGTACTTGCAGCGCGGTCTGAAGCTGGTAACCTTGTTGAGGAGCGTCGCACTGAGATTTTTGTTGCTCCGCCTGCACCTCCTCCAGCACCAGTTGTAGTGGCTGCACCTCCTCCACCAGCACCCGCGCCCGTTTATATACCTGCAACGCCGGCACCAGCACCAGCACCGGTCGTTGTAACTGCACCTCCGCCTCCTCCGCAGCCAGCTCCAGTTGAGTACTTCGAGGAGAGAAGGGTGGTGCGCGAAGTTTCACCAGTTCGCAGCCACCGTAGCTATTCAACCTCAGCAACCTCTCTATCCTCTCGAACGCCATACGTATATGATGCTGCTCCCCCAGCAGAATACGGACCCATGGCTATTGTCAGTGACAGAAGAAACGAAAGGGATATCAAGGCTGAGATCGCTCGGTTGGAAGCTGAACGAGAGCTTATGCGACGTGACAGACACCGCCATCACCACCACAGTCACAGCCCTGGCGGTGAGCTCGTGAGAGCTGAGCGTCTGAGCACGGGAGAGCTTGTATTATACGAAGAGACGGTAGAGAAGATTGAGGAGCCGCGACGCGGGGTGCGTATTGAAAAGGACAAAAAAGGTAGGATGTCCATCAGCGTACCAAAGCGCCGTTAGGTGAAGGTACGCTTGTTGATTTTAGTGAAGTCGACCATGGGCTAATCTCAGGTCACAGGTCCTCCACCAAATCTCGTGCGAGCCATGCTTGCCACTCTTACTTAATTGGCAAATTGAACCATTTTTCAACTGCCTGGGATGGCTCATCATGCCAATATATGAAAGCTGTCATCCTTTGCTCGATTTGGAAAATCAGTCGCAGCTGTAACAGACAGAGCGCAACGGGCGCCACCGATGTTAGAGCTGTATAGACGAGGCATTTACACGTATAGGATATGGTCATTTCTGTTGGATATACGATGAGCCCGGTGATGTTTTCGGGACTGAAACCATGTTCAGGTGCTCTTGTCATATGTGTTGTTGGAGGCAATCAAACTGACCTCGGGCATCAATTGGCTAGATCCTAACGACATTATGAAAGTTTTATTTCTACTGGTACTGGGAGTTCCTGTTGTATGCATTATATATTATATACATGGAAGACACGGCGCGGTTAGCTGGAAAACAACAAATGATAAAAAACGTTCCATACTCTACTATTCCTATGTCGGTGCCCATTGTCGAAGAGCGCCCTCCAGGAAAAGCCCTTCTTCCAATTTGACGTTATTACATCAAAACTTTAGACGTGGACAAACTATATCTTTTGTTCCCCCTCAAGAGATGAGAATGTAACTTGTTAAGTGGGGACTTGAAGTGGTAATAGGAGAAGATCTCTGAAACGAGAGCAATGTGCTCTAGCAATCTATTCCTATATTTCTCACATCACTGCTCTATTAATGTGACATTCTTTCACAACCCCATGACCTCCACATTAGGACAACAATTAAGGGGTCGTGTGAGAGGCACATCCCGCGTTCAAGTATCATGGTATCCCCTCGGAGGTCTGAATACCTGAGTTGATCAGTGTATCTCTAGCCACTAAATTGTATGGATATATCTTCAGGCATAGGCAGGAATCTCAGAAGTCCGATGTAATGCTGAATCTTCTTTTGGGTGACCTGGTGGGGGGGAGGGATGCGACACTCTTTGGGGCATGGATAACTTGGAGAGAAGGATATCAAATCTGTTCATTGCCCATATCGTAAAAACGGAAAGACTCATTTGGCGCCTTATTTAAGAACTTTGACTTGGCTTTTTCAAATAACCAGTGTCGGATTGTTTTGCTGTTATTGCAGTATTGCTGTGGGAATTGCATCGTTATGTTGACCGGTTCACTTGCGTAAATTCGTACCTGAAGCCAATTGGATAGTTTTGGCTCAACACTAACTCCACCATTAAGCATAAGACGTTCTAATGCAACCTTGAAGTCCTGGAGCTTCATGAGGTCGATGCATCTTGCGGCGCCGAACTATTCTGGAGCTCAAGTAGCGAGGGACGTGGGGGGGAAGGGGGGGCCGCTGGTTGTTGTGTTTCATGGCTTGAGGCCACGACTCTCGTTAGCTCCCCTGGGGCAACCGACATCACATTCTTATGCACTCTACTACCCTATGCTGTCTGTCAAGGGGCCTTTTATGATAAACTCACAATGCCGCAGTCAATGAGACCAAAGGTCACCCTAGTGGCGGAATCCGCAGGGAATGGATTCACCAGGCCCTTTCGTAGGCGCCTCAACCGCCGTGCTGTGGTCAGCGTGGCAAGCCAATTCACGCCTCATACCGGCGAGACCCCGGAAACCCACTTCCCACTACAGACCGTCAACCGCCTAAGCCAGCCTCGGTTCATCAATCGGTACGATAGTAAGGAGATATTGGTAGTCGTCGATGGGAGCTGTCTCAACAACGGTAACACGAGCTACTCAGATGTGCCCTCGTCCGGTGGGTGTAGCTTTATCTACAAGGGAGGGGGCACACGGGGTCCGGCAACCTCGTACCCCTTTCTGCAGGACGGCACCGAGGTCGGCGGCACGATCGGGTTCCCGCTGGAGCACTGCGGCCCGGGCGGCGAGCTGCACGACCCGACGAGCAACCGGGCCAAGCTGCGCGCCGTCATAGCCGCGCTCGAGTTCCGGCCGTGGCATGTGGAGGGCTGGCATCGGATCGTGATCGCAACAAACCTCAAATACGTCGTCGACGGCGCCGTGTCCTTCATGCCGCTCTGGGTTCGGCGCCGCTGGCGTTCGGCCCGGGGAGGGAGGCGCATGGTTGCGAACCGGGATCTCTGGGAGGAGCTCCACGGCGCTATAGAAAACCTGCGGAAGCATGGGACGGAAGTGTCGTTCTGGCTCATCACGAGGAAGGACCCGGCTAAGAATTCCGAAGTCGTCCAAGATGCGAGGAATGCGGCGCAGGAAGCTGCCTGGCAGTACGACGAAGCTGCGATAGAGTTTACGAGATTATGTGGCATTCATCTCTGATTTGGGACCTGTGCCTGAAAGACCCTTCATTCCAACCAAAAATGTATTATAAGATAGGCTCTCGTCCTGAAGGGTAGCAGCATGTACAAGCGTACGCGCACCGACGGCTGATGGCCGACCAACGACGCGTACAAATAATGGCAGTGGGTGAACCCAGGTCACGGACGAGCATCGAGCCGCAGAAAAGACCCTGTTTGGCGCCGTTGACAACAACGGGTGCTGGCTGACATTATTTTTGGCTTCGTCGCAAACAGCAAGAATAATTTTCTAAAGCCGAGGTCACGAAGTTATCGCGAGAACTCCAAGCCGATGCCACGATTGCTATCCTGCCAGTCAGGTCAATTTCGTGTCGCAAACCAACTGGCGCTGACTTGAGCTTTTGACTAGAGCCCTGACTTGCTTCCCAAGTGTATCTACCACAATGATGGCAGGACCACCAAGGCATTCGCATACGAGCGGCTGACTAGGAATGGAGTCTAAGATGTATTTGATATGCTAAACAGATATATGCTATCTATTTAGGGCAAATTATTGTAAAGCCGCGTGGCGTATCAATGTGCTGCGCTTCGAAAAAAAAATCTGCTCATGGTATTTAGTATGCTGTCCAGCCGGGTCTATCGCATTTGGAGTTACAAGTCTGGCTTGGCAAATCTCTCATGGGTTGCTCCACGTATTATCAATTGTTGTTCAAGAGAAGCGAGCCCAATATGTAGGACATATTTCGATTTAACCATATTCAATCCGTTTGATTAATACGTGTCATGAAGCGAGATGCCGGCCCCAGAATATGCGACTACACGTCTTGCTTTTGACACACCGTCAGGGGTTTTAATGTGAACCAAATGTGACAGGCCAGCAGTGAGGCATCAAATGACTGATACTGTGTCGCGGCGCAAAAGTGGATGGCACATAAACGAGCCTTCCAGAGCTTAGAGCAGATAGATCAGTTGGTTCCAAGCAACAATTGGACCAGCATATTGCTCGGGTGGAAAATATAGTCATATCAACGGGCCGTTAGAAATTGCGATAGTATCTTCGCATATTGAATGGCATCATACCTGATTGCGGAAATGACGATTGCAGGTGGACTGAGAGTGAATTGAAGCAATTGAAAGTAGCAGAAATTGGAGGGACGAATTACAACCCTGCTCAATGATCCGGCAGTCACATCATCATTGGGCATTCGTGAGGCGGGGATTCACTTGCTTTTAGAGTAGTTGGAAGCCTATAATTCACAGCTCAGTGTCAGCAGACGACCTAGATCTAGGTTGCTGGGCGGTGGGTTGGCAGCCAAGGGGCGGTGCCTGTGAATCCCTTCACCATGCGGGCATGGTAGACTACCACAGCCCATCACCTCGTCTTTCGTTCAACCTTGAATCATTTAAAGGGGCCATTCCCCCCCTGAGAATCTACCATCATGAACTTTCTCGACTCGCCTTCACAAACAAAAAATCCACATGGCGACATTGCCAGCTCATCAAGATGTCGCCAGATGTTCACCGTCCCCAAAAATTATGCCGCCACCAGTCACACCTATGCGTACTTCTCAGCACTCTCGTTACTATCTTCATCGCTACAATCAGGTTTGCCATATCTGTGGACAAGACACCTCCCGAGAGAGCAGATAGCAGCCACGATTGCGGACGCAACGACGACCCAGTATTTTGGCAGCTCGTTATCAGCATTGTATTTCAAAATTCTCTGTTTCTGATTACTCTCATATTGATAATGAATCATCTGAGGGGCTCCATCAATCTCAACATCGTCGGCTTCTACGGATGTGTTGGAGTGAGCGTTTTCGCACAGACCGCCGGGGTAATCGTGTATGCTACTGCCTGCAGCAGCGAGGCCTTGCAGACAGGTGTGTCGTTGGGTTCTCTGGCGAATATCATGGTACATGCAGCACTTGTCCAGCTGTTGGTGTCAATGGGAATAAAGTAGGAGAGACAGCTAGAGGGAAGACATTTCGACTCTTATACGGTAGCATATCAGCTTCATCGTATTCTGCTAGATCCCTTAGGTAGTACCACATTGCGTGAACCAACCAATGGCACACATTTAAAGCTTGCGTATGTGAACAGAAGTCACCCCGCTGTGAGACGTGCTTGTTTGTTGTCTTATCACAGCACATGCCGTAACCGTACCTCAGACCGCCCGCCCCGTTAAGAATTGTGATAACTCGTCTCGCCATGCCCGACGCCCCAGCGGACCGAGCTGGTGCCCAACATCATTACCATCGCCCACTTTGCTCGCTGTCGCCCATCTTGTAGCTAGATCTTCCCATTTCCTCTTCGTCTTGATCAACTTTTACCAATGACCTCCTCAGCGCCACGGCCAAGGTCTTATCGATGGGCTCCGAGACTACGACGTAGATCTCGGAGGCCTTGAAGGCGTAGTCGGCGGATAGACGCACATGGGATCGATTGGAGACGGGCTATCCCTTGATAAAGCTGCGTTATGAGCCCTGAAACCTGTCCCAGGAGTTGTGCGCCTAAAACCCATTGGGGGAACGTGGGAAACAGCGAGGCGTCTTGGCCGAAAGCGGTGATATAGGCACCTCCTTTGCAAACCAACCGGGTTTCATGGATTAGCATGCCGTGTGAGAGGTAGACAGGTATGGCTTCTCAGTTGCCGGATGTGCTTGGGGAGTGCGTTCGCTAGGGGCTGGCATGGTAAGGGTTTGGTTTAGAATGTCCAATTAGGTCATGTTAGGTTTTGGATGCTGGATGTGAGCACATCGTCGAATATAACGAGATGAGTTTTGCCAAGGAGCTAGTTGAATGTGGAAGCAATCATATATCTCTGAGTATGCTTAATCCAATCGACGGGAAGCGGAGCGACTATGTGGAAGTTCCATCAAGCAATACGTATATTTTCGTAGCATTATGTTATCGCCAGTAAACTATCACGACAGGCGTGGAGACTATCTATGATCACATAGGGTATATAGCAAAGAGGACAATTAGCTGTCTAGAGCACTTGGCGACACCATGAACACCAACGATGCGGATGTGGACCTGTCAATGAATGTTGTACTAAGGCGCTGGGGGGAGGGGAGACAAGTTTATGCCTACCCTTCTGGGATGTTTTGCTTTAGCAGAACCAATTAGATGTAACTAAAAGTTTGATTTCGTAAGAATGAAGCTAACTTCAGTCTAGACAAGGATGGATGCCTTTTGACATGAGAGCTCTCGCACCGTTGTTGGATGGAACGTGGGTCACTGGAACAACAAAACAAAAAATAGTTCATCACAAATATATTCAGGCATACTCATTAGAAAAAGACTATCATTACGTTCGTGATCTTCGCTGCTCTTTTCTCCTTGTTCTCAATCTACTGCTTTCCAGAACCCGGGACCTGGGGAGGAAGATCGGCACCAGTTGAAGCAATTGGTGTCGACTCGGTAGTACCAGCTTTAGGACCAGTCACTGGAACACCAGATTCCGAGGTCGTGTTGGTGGTGGCTGAGGGTGCTGAGTAGAAAGGATGCGTTAGTCACTGATCCTGAGTTCGGTGGTAGAGAACCTGAGAAAGGAAAATGCGGCATAGAATGAACTCCTCCACTGGTGTCATGGTGACATGGACTTGTATAGGTAATGGTTTGTTTGGGTTGAGACTACTTTTCGCAATTCTCTTCCTCTATTAATACATTATGACATTTTCCCATGAGCACTCGCTGACCTTGCCAAGCATGAACTAATGATCCTTTGACTTCGGGCAGCTGGTGCAGACACACTTGCCCGACTCACAGCCACAGACCTGGTCTTGGCCCTTGCAACCACAAGTCTGGTTGCCACTTTCTGTTGGATAGGGCTTGTTCAACTCACTTGTGCCTGACTGGCTGCCAGCAGCCTGCTCCTTGTCCTTGCCGAGGACGCGCTCGAGACCAGCAGCCTTGACGGCACTTCCGCCGTGCTCGTCCTTCTTGAGGTCGGCAAGGCGGCGGGCCTCGGCGTGGATGTCCTGGACCTGTCGGGAGCCTTGTGTGTAGAAGTTGACGAGCTTCTTGCCGGTAGGCGTGTTGGTGGCCTTCTCAAAGTACGAGTTCAAGCCGCCCCAGAGGCCAGTGGCTCGCTGGGTGATGCCGTAGGACTGGTCTGCAGTCTTGGCGCGGTCGGTGGCATGGTACTTGGTGTCGAGATTTTGGAGGGTGGAGACGAAGCGGTTGGAAACGCCGTGGGTCTGGTCAAGCTCAATGGCACGCTGGAGAGCGGCGTCGCCGACGACGTAGCCGTGTGCAAGGTACTCGGCCAGGATACGGCTGCGAGGCTTCTCCTCCTGTGTGATCTCGTCGCTGTCTCGTTCATTGTTGGTGGTGGGGCCGGAGTCCTCGCCGTCTGACTCGGGGGTGACGGTGATCTGGTTGGGGCCAAGCTTGGTGTTGTTCAGGAGCTGAGCAGTTCTGGCAGCAGTCTCCTTCTCGAAGACAACGGTAGCATCCTTGGTCTTCTCAGCAGGGGTGACCTTGATGTCGGTGATCCTGCCGCAGAAGCTGAAGAAGTCCTTGATCTCCTTATCGTCGGTCTCGGCCGAGATGTTCTTGACGTGGACAGTCAGATTGGGAGCCATGATGGAACTATGGTGGTGTTTGGTAGCAGCGGGGTAGTGTTGATTTGTTGGGGTGGGTTGCAGGCTTCGTCGATAAAGTCTTGGAAGTACTACTGTAAGACAGGTTGCTGTGTACTGGATTGAAGAGTTGCGAAATGATTGCAAGATGATGGCAGAAGATGGTGGGTAGACGTCGACTGTTTTAAGCAGGAGGAGAAGAGGGAACCTGTGAAATGTTTTGGCTGGGTGGAAGGCCTTGGACCAGTTGGGCTTGTTACTGACGCGTATCGTTGGTGGCAGCTGCGATGCTTGGCAGCAGATCGAGGGGCAACACACGTCATTGCAAGGGGGTGCTTTTGCGCTGCGAGGCACTAATAAATGGTAATGTCCCAATTTCTCCCGCAGCACAAAACCCCCCCGGCCCCCTACTGTAGCTATAGCTTGTGCCACAGATACATACATGGTCATTATTATGTCAGAACTCCGAGATTGCGGGTCATGTTATTGAACTGCCTATATCAAGGGCATTCGAGCATATCGACATCTGAATCTGCACCTGGCCATCGCTCATCATCCTTGTTCGCTCATCATGTGGACTGCTGCCCCCCCATGCGCTGAGGTTGAGCGTCAATTAATTTGTCGTGGTAAATTGGGACACTGCTACCAGCCTACTGCTTGGAGCCTGCTTTGTGGCGCACGGCAAGAGTCTCAACGTCTGCTAATGAGGCTGTGTTGTGATTCCCTGAGGTCAAATGGCACTGAATTACGACTCTCCGCCCGGTAGATTCATCTAGAATGTTGCTTTTGCTTCCAGTCTAGGCCCCGGCTGTTTCTAATTTGTTGGGTTTTGCACTGGCGGTTGAAGAGGGGCCCAATCCAATTGTGCTTTTGCTGGCATGTGATTTGGTGCTATTGCTGCTGGATATTGCGCTATGGCTGCATTCAATTGTGTCTCCCAGTACTCGTGCTCGCTCATCGAACAAACTCAACGATCCCCACATCAGCAAGTGCAGCGAGGAACGGACCCGTAGGTGTCTCACAGCAATGGGATTGCGGCTATTCATCAATCGCCAGCGTACATGCCATGCGTGAAGGAGGCATGCAAGGTTCAATGTGGGGGTATTGTGTTCATTCATCTCTTGAGGCATGTTCAATGCCTAACCGCTATGGGTCGTCTATTTATACATCTTTGATGTTTCATTCCATCGTAACAGCTTGTGGTCGCCCGACCTCTCATTACCGCTTTATTTCTGCGTCTTCTCGAACTTCTTGTCGAGTGCATCGCCATAAGCGCCCTTGGGGTTGGACTCGAGGTTCTAGCGGGTAGTGGTCAGCAACTTATTCGAGCGCAATGGCATTGTTGAGGCCGTTTTGAGGACTGCATCGTACCTTGAGCTGATCCGCTTGCTGGTCCTTCTTGTCGCCTGAGTTGACGTCTTGGACACCCTTTCCAGAGCCAGGTGCGTCCTGTTGCTGCTTGCCGGACTGAGCCTCAGGAGGGGGGGATTGGCGACCTTCAGGCATGATGATGTATGTGTGTTTGAGTTGGTTGGGGTTGACTGTGTTCCTTTCTAGTCAGTCTCTATGTTGTCTCAAGCTAGGTTCTCTTTTGCCACGTACGAGTAGTGGGCGGTGTTTATGTGTTTGAGTCTTCTTCTTCTAAGTTGATATGTGATGAATGATGAGAAAAGGGCAAGGTTGAACTTGAAGCCTTTTGTATGAACCCAGCGATGGGTCTTTCCGAGCTGTCGAGGCTGTCTGTTCACTACCGGTGTCGCTTACTGCCAATCTAATCGCGCTGCCGTGCAGCAGTTGACATCAGATCGGAGGCAGATGAAGTCATGGTCCATAATCAAAGGATAGCTACGTCATCCGAGCTGTTTCTCTAAAGCACGACACGACACGACAGGACAACGCGAGCAAGCAGAGAGGGGGGCAGGCGGGGCAGAAAGCTTAGGTGGGGGGGTGTTTTATGTAACCATATGTACCTTGGTAGGAGACAGCGAGGTCACTTATGCAGGCTCCTGCAAGCTCGGTCGCAACAAAAAGACGAAACCACAGCCCGTGCAACAACCGTAACACCTGTCCGAGGGGCATGGCATAAGGCTGAATGAAGCCATGAAATAATTTATGAGTATCCATATGTACAAGTCCGTACGAGTAGTACGCATTGCTCACGTAGCTCATAGATAATGAGCCTGCATAACATGAGGCGGTACAAAGCATACACACACACACACATATGTATACGCGGAGCACAGAGTACGGAGTTATGCAGTAGACGGTCTTTACATAGTTCTCGCTTATCCACCCCCATGCGACCACTTTGACGCGACCCTCCCTATTGTTGGATCTGGATTGGGTTGAGCCAGTTGAGACACGAATTCCACCTGGACCACAAGCCTGCGTATTGAACGACAACAACAAATTCCTTCCAAGTGATCACATTGCCTGAGTAACCAAAAGACAACAGCCCTTTGCCTTGGATCTTGACCTACTGATTCTCGACCTGTCGCCGATGCCGAGTCGTGTTTGCACTTGGTCAACAATCTACACTACATCGCACATGCGTCGGCAATCCACCGCGTAAACAAGAACGCCCACTTTGGTTCATCAACTTTCTTAACCTTTGGGGAATCATCTATCCCGCCATAACCATGCCGGATCTCAACTCAATACCAGCATCTCCTTCCACCACAAGGCGCCTTTCCGCTGCCACTCACCCCACACCTCCCGATTCAACTTCGCCTGCCATAAACATTCTACCATCGAACCAACAATCGTACCATCAAGGTATCCCTGGATCTCTACCGTCACCCTCACTCCCTCCATCTGCAGCACCCACAGCAGCAAACATGCCTCCTCCACCAGCGCCTGGTCAAGACAACGTCGGTGTAGGAGCTGGCCCTGGCCCTATTCGGCATCCAAGGCCCCTGACCGCTGCCGAGTTACACCAACAGCTCGAGGCCGAGCAGGAGCTCCTCGTATGTTTCCCTGTCCTTGTGCCCGACTTCTTGCTGCCGCCTGGCGCTGTATATCTTGCTGACTGTCTTCGAGGTGAACCGACTCACTCGCGATCTCCAAACGCTCCGTGCCGCCCATAACTCTTCTGTCGCTTCAAACGCTTCTTCCGCATCTGCCTCTACCTCGGCGGACCAACCGCAGTCCTCCTTCGTAGACACACATCTCTTGTCTGGTCCAGGATTTCCCCTGCCTTCAACGAGCGCAGATAGACGACATCAACGAACCGGCTCCAGCGCAAGCGCAAGAAGTTTCAGCCATATTGCATCGGCTGGGTCGACTGCTGCCCCCATCTCCGTAAACAACCCGCCCTCTGGCAACCCGGGCTCCGTGTTGGAGGCTGCTCGTAACCCTAGGGGCAGCATGTCCATGTCTCGCCAGAATAGTGCCGCTTCGCACCGCAGTGCAAGCAGATCGCGGAACAGATCTCCGCATCCCCACCCTGGTCCGGGTTCATATACGCAGTCGCATGGTTTCCCTCATGGAGATCACCCCACTGGCTCGGGATACTTCCCTCCTCGTAGTCATCCTACATCAACTCCTCACAGTGCTGTCGCAACTCCCGGGTCTGAACTATCACCTGGTTTGATGCCAGCCACTCTGAGATATGAGGAGACCGCCTTCTACCGTCAAGAGCTTGACACCGCCAAACGGGAAAACGAGGCCCTGAAGAAGCGCATCAAGGACTTGGAGAAGCAGGTTCGGGAAAGGAGGGAGAGTGATGCTTCCAAGACTGGCGGGGGCGGCGCCCGAATCAGGAGTGAGAGTACAAGCACTGTAGCAAGCGTTAGCGTAAGCGGCGCCGCTGGTGTTGGCGGAGGTGGTACGAACATCGCCGGTGGGCGACGTGAGCCTCCTGGTAGGGGTGGTATCGGCATGGAACGAGCGTTTAGCGCTCTGAGCGTCGCTGGAAGCGTGGGAGTCGGCGTGCCTGATGAGGAGCTACAGGTTGGCGAAAGTGCGTCGAGCGCTGGCATCAAGGCACAAGAGCAGAGGGGACAATAACATCACAATGCCAAAGGCACTTGAGAGATGGTTCTAGTTTAAAGTAACTTGGCCATCAGTGCTGATGATTATTTAATGCCGACAAATAACAGAGCACGCAAGGGAATCGGTTGTGGGATGACCTTACGAGCCCAAGGGAGACAAAGCTCGCTTATCAGAAACATATGGTCATGGGTTACGTGGATTTGCCGTCGAGGTTGTGCATAGGCGAGCGTATTCCTTTTCTGCTGATAGATCTATGAATGATGACAACTTCACACAATCATTTTGAGTTCGAACTTCCAATTTGAGACACCTGTCACCTCAACTCGATGACTCAAGAAACAACTACATCCCGCCGTGAATGTTTCGCGTACAGGTCGTGCTTGATAGTCTTGTAAATTTTGTGCTCAGCCACATCCTGATACTGAATATCTCGCCCCGAAGAGGCTCTAGCAACTCGGGTTCCCAAACTGCCTACCACGAGAAGACAAAGCAGCTTGCCCTGAGGTGTGTTGCACATCTACTAAGGTCTCGATACGATCCACTTGGGCCCATCATCATGGATCCATGTTCACAAGAGAGGGCTCGAATATCGAAATTGCCGAATCACATACATATACAAGCGACCAGATCCAAGCTATTTATCTTACTAGAAGCAGGTCATTTGTGATTTCCATGTGTACATCCGACTTAAGAGCTAGAGTGCATACTACAACCATTCCCAGCCGGAATACACACATAAACAATGCAATACCCCGTAGACTCTATCTCAAAACATTAGGAGCTATTTTTAATACAAAGCAACTAAGCTTTAGGTAACCTCAAAAACGCAGCTCCACCATACGTATGTACCTTGCCAGTTCGTCCAATCGCTGATTGCTGATTGGTTTCCAATGCCCATGTTCAGACTCTTGGCGGGACCGCAAGGCCCTTGGGATTCCCAGGTACAATCTAGCGTGCTAACATATCAGGTTAGCTTCCGCACCAGCTAAAGGCCGGAGGAGCATACGGAGTGCGTATAAAAGTTTCCCAAAGACCCTTTTGTTCATCTCCTAGTTCTCGAATGTTGCTCAACTAACGTTATCACTGCTATAAATCTGGAGGCCACCTCACACGTTTGATCAATGGCCCTGACGGATATCCTCCGCGGCGGCGTCGGCGGGCTCGATGGCTTGACGCTGTCCGTCATCCTGGGAGGTTCCCTCGTCGCCCTCTTGTGGCGCGTCTTCACCCTGCGTCTCGACTCCCGGGAGCCTCCCATCCTGAAGCCCGATGTCCCGGTTGTGGGACACATCATCGGGATGATTCGGGGGTCGCACGGCTACTGGCCGAAACTCTAGTAAAGACTCCCTCTCTCTCTCTCTCTCCCTCTCCCCGTCCGTCCGGAACTTGTCATGATATTGCAACCTCAGAACTCATACCCCCTTTTTTTCCCCTCATTATAGCCAGTCGAAGCCCTTGCCTGCGGCCACCCTCCCCATGCTCAATGGGAAGATGTACGTGCTCAACGACCCGGGGCTGATCAGCGCGGTGTTCCGGGCGCGCACGCTGAGCTTCGACCCGTTCCTGCTCAAGACGATCCACCACATGATCCCCATCTCGGGCGGGGCCATGGACGTCTTCCGGGCCGACGAGTTCCAGCACCGGTTCCAGAAGGTCGTCTACTCCAAGATGACGGGCGCGGACCTGCTCCGCATGAACGCCGTCGTCCTCGGCGACGTCTTCGGCCAGATCAACCGGCTGCCCGCCAACATGGAGGTCGAGGACACGTTTCTCTGGTTCCGCAGCCTGCTGACCATGTCCACGATAGTCGCGCTCGTCGGGAAGGAGCACTCCTGGAAGATGCACAGGAATGCTGGTGCTAGATTCTGGTAGGGCATGGCGGGGGTTCTTCTTGTGAGAGGTGGTAGCGTCAAGATCTTCTTTTCTAACATTTCTTTTTTTTGCTTCAGGGAATATGAGGCTTATATACACTATTTTGTGCTTGGCCCGGCCCCCTGGCTCACATGTCCATCGGCCTACGAATCACGAGCGGAGCTGCACAAAGCCCTCATCGAATGTGGTAAGTCCGAATCGTTTATCACGCCGAAAGCCACTGCATGTTTTGCTAACACTTATCACAAGAGTTGAGATCGGCCACCGACTTGCTAAGGAGGCATCAGTGTCACGGCCCACTAACATGATTCCAGACTTCTCCTCGGCCGCCCCCACCGCGCCGGACGTCAGCGCCCTCACCAAAGATGTCGTTGAGCTGCTCGACGAGCACCACTGGACGGCCTCGGACAAGGCGGCCCTCTTCATCGCCATCTTCCAGGGCGCCATCGCCAACACGGTGCCGACGGCCTACTGGTACATGATGCACATCATGTCCTCGCCCAAGCTGGTGGCCAAGCTGCGCAAGGAGCTGGCGCGGATCGCGGTGCCGGGCCCGGCGGGCCCGGACGGTAAGCGCGAGGTGCGGGTGGACCTGCGTGACCTGTCGGAGGAGAATATGCCGCTGCTGACGGCGGCGTTCCGGGAGAACCAGCGGATGATCGGCGTGGGGTCGATCAACCGGTGGGTGGTGTCGGACACGGTGGTGACGTCGGCGGCGGACCCGGGTCGGTCGTACCTGCTCCGGAAGGACAACGCGCTGCTGATCCCGCAGATGCTGAACCACATGGACGCGGCGCACTGGGGCCCGGACGTGGCCGAGTTCCGCCCCGAGAGGTTCCTGCCCGCCAAGGGCAGGGAGTTCCACGGGGAGGCGCCGGTGCCGCGCGGCGCGTTCACGCCGTTCGGCGGCGGGAAGCACCTGTGTCCCGGGCGCAACTTCGCGAGTGCGGAGAACTGGGGCACCATGATCGCGCTGCTGCTTGGGTTCGAGATGACGACGCCAGAGGGAGAGCCGCTAGAGGTCCCAGAGCGTACCATGCCGACGCCGGCGCACGCGATTGGCAGGCCTGTAGCCGGGTCGAATTTGCGTTCGAGTATAAGGAGGAGGAAAGGCTGGGAGAATGTTGTATGGAAAGTGGCAGAAGTACCTGGCAAGGATTCATAAGCTCAGCAAAACAACCTGCAAAGGTTCAACGAATTCACACTTGTAAATATCACGCATTATGCACAGCATTGTGGCAACATTAAAGTCATTCTTTGTGTATACTTTAGTAGGCGTAATATGGTAAAGCCCGTTTCGCCAAGCGCCGCTGCTAAAATATGAACCTGCATGGAATTGATAGCTGAGCACCACATTTGGCTCGTTTCCTCGTTAGTCAAGCTCGACACCATCTAATGCCTCGCTTATGAACTCCTCATGCCGACGACTCGCGTTTGGAGATTGATTCAGCTCAGGTTCTGGCGTGTCTGGTGCCGACTCCTTCGGATCAACACTGGCCCAATCTGAACCGTCATCAGCTTCACTCCTACTGCCTTCGCTGTCGGTCTCTGGGGGGGTGTGAAGACCATTGACACCCATATTTCTCTTCAGCATGCACATCTCGACTGTGATTCCTGGCCCAAACGCACAGCCAACCACGAATTCTTTGGGCTGTCCACCTGGGGCCAACACGTCCATGTCCTTCGACCGCAACTTGTCCATCACTGAGAAGATGGTGGCCGAACTAGAATTTCCATGGTTTATGTAGGTTGTATAGCTGGCACGCATATGTTCTGGAGTAATGGACATGACCCTCTCAGCTCCTGTCAATATCGTCGCTCCCCCTGGATGCATGGCCCAGTCAAAATCAGCCGCGTCTTTGTATTTGGGGCCCATGTCGGGAACATCGCGCATAAGTTCGGCAAAAGTTGGCTGGAGCGACCCGGCAGCCAGTTTCGGTACTCTAGGCGACAAAACCACTTTCCAACCTAGCGCGTCTACGTCGAAACCAAGATCATCTTCGGAGTCCGGAATGACCTTGTGCTCCCAACCTAGGAGTTCGTAGACTGGTGGAGCAGTGTTCTCCCCAATACCGTTGCTGAGCACCACAGCACTTCCGCAATCGGAGAACAAGCAGACACCGATGCGCGTCTCCTGGAGAGTATTTATGCTCTCGAGCTCGCTTCGTACCAAAGTGGTGCTGACCTCGAGTGCAAGACACAATATTCTCGCGGGTTTCCGCCTTGCAGTGTGGCCGAGGGCGAGATTCGCTGCTGTGCGCAGTGCCGCCAGACCGCCAGAGCATCCCACACCGTGTAACAAGACCTTCTCGACCTGGTGTTTCACACCCAGCTCTTTCAGGACGAAATGATCAAAGCCAGGGTTTGCGCTGTCTGTGCAAGTTGTCGCTACGAGATGTGTTATTTCTGAGAGGTCAATGCCAGCCTCTGCGATAGCTTTCCTCGAGGCCTCCACGGCCAATGGCACACCATCCGACATGAAGACACGGTGAAGCTCGCCTATCGAGGGGGCCTCTTTTTTGTTGACGAGAGGATGTTCTGATGTACCGATCGACGCGCGCGTATCGATTCCGGTATATCGATTGATCGACAAGACTTTCTTCATTCTGGCAAGGGGACACTTGTCAGTATATATGTCTTGTGAGTGCAGCACCAAAAGCTGGGTTGGGTGCTTACGCCTCGCTCTCTGGGTAGTATTTCTCTGCAAGAGTCTGCACCTCGCTTGGCCTCAGAGAATACGGTGGATACTGTGAGCCTACGCCGATGATCGAGAGGCCCAGCTCCCCAAAGCTGTCCGCTGCTGCCATGCTGAAGCGACTGTTCCTCTCGCGCTACTGGAGAGGTTCTGCGTCAAACGGCGGAACTGCTAGCCCACGGAATGGCTCAATTGACTTGTTGACAAGGTCCAGAGGTTTCCAGTCACCCCTTTGCAAGTCACGATCGGCTCGGTCCCTCTGGCTAGGTGCTGCGTCGATGGGAACAATTAAGAGAGTCTCCGTTCTTGGTTCGGCTGGAAGATGGCTTGGTTCGGCGACGGGCTGACTAGGTGGAACTGAAGCCACGCTGAGCTGCTCCAATGGCTAGGTAGGTAGAGGAGGACGGGGAGGGTTAATCAGATTAGAATAGGACAATGAGGTAGAGGGAATAGAGTTCGAAACACGAGAAGCGCGCCCCAACAATTGGTGTGGGAAACGGATACTTGCTACCCTGCGCCGGTCAGAGCCGCCACCTCGCAATGCATACCGAGGTGCGCTACGCAGTTGGCAGTAGTACATCGACACGGGAGTAGAAATGGACGCCGCCCCATTGGCAAGGTGTGCCGTCATGCCGACGACTGTGCTACGCGATTGGATGCGTAGTGGATAACGCTGTATCAGACAAGGCACGGAGCGCCTTGCCAGAAGCAGAGCTAGAACTGGGACATCATCCCATGTGTGTATGTTCAGCCTGGAAAGTCACAGCACCGCAGCTGCAATCTGTCTAGCCGGGGGGAGCCATGAAGTCAAGTTCGTGCCTGGTGCTTGCTCATGCTTGAAACGCGGACGAATGATGCGGGCCCACCAAACCTGAGAGCTTTGCCAAGTGAACAGTATGCATGTAACCTTAGGTAAGTTGAAGAGCTCCAAGGTAACTATGTACATGTAAGCTCGAGCTTGCTTGAGCTGGCAAGGTACGGTCCGAAGAATTGGGTCTCTTTTTGACGCCAAAACTTCATCTTGCCCCTCCTTCACATGCTCCCCGGCCATCATTGTCCATTTCCAGTATAAATTGTGTTCTATCTCTTCAGACTCCAGTCCCCATGTGATGCCAATTCGCATAGTCTCTATTACAATCTTCCGCTGATTTGCAAAACCTGGCCGGCTCCCGCAATTCTATTTCTCGCGTGGACCAAAGCGTCAAGGTGGATCATGAATCACCACCATCTCATTGCCCCGATTCGGACATGATACTGTCACAATTGCGTGACCATTCCTGGTTTGTGATGCGCGCACTAGTCACACACGTGCCAAACGTGTCAGTAAACTCCGTACCTGCATCCCGGTTCCGTAACCATGCTGCCATACAACCAAGACACCACAAAAAAATGGGATCATGGTACGACCAGCTAACATTTATTCGTGTCCCAATCGCTAAGGTGGAAGAATAAGGCCTCTCGAAACCAGCCCTACCACTCGCTTCATTGGCGGTCTCTAGACGGTCCGCATCATCTTGCTTGCAGCGACTCGGTACTACCATCTGAAACCCATTGCTCCAAATACGTGGGACAATTCACGTTGGCTATTGTATCTAGGATGCAAGTTCGACTCCCTTCTGCAAAAACATTGGGCACTTAAAAACATGACTCGGATTGCCAGCCAGAGGCTGCTTCCGAAAAACAAAATAGAAACAAGTCAACTGTGCATGTCAACATGTTGAATAAAGAATGCTATTAACATTCCCCATCATGATCACATACTTCCGGAAAGAAGTACACGATGCAGACCTCGAGGTAAGGCCCACAGAACTGGCACTACGTATCGGTAGCTCATGCACCGCAACAACCTTCGCAAAGCTCGCCTAGCATTTAGCAACCGGCACGTTGCCCGGCGCCGCGTACGCCTTGCCACCATTGTCCGGCTGGCCCGTCGTGCCGTAGATGCTGGTCAGGATGCTAGGGTCATTCTGCTTGTAGGCGCCAGGGAACGAGACGGTAGACTTGGGGCTGAAGTTGCCGCTGCCGCTGCCGCCGACGCGGATCTGGGCGCAGCTCATGTAGAACTGGGCGCCCATGCTCTGGGTGGCCGAGTGCAGCGCCAGGATCTCGACGCGCAGCAGGTAGTCGCCGGGGGCGACGCAGGCCGGCAGGTTGAAGTACGCCCAGCCGTTTTGGTCGATGAGGTGGTCCACGCCCCACTTCTTGGACGACGTGTCGAACGTGTCCTCCCAGATCTTGAACCAGGACTGCCCCGTCTTGGGCGCCGTCGCCGCGTTGTCCACCTTGGCCAGCCACGCCGTCACCGGCCCCTTGTGCGACTTGGCGATCGGGTTGTCCGCGTCGTTGGGGAACTGCGCGCCGCCGATCACGTGCTGGAACCACGCCCCGATCTTGTCGCCCGGGTTCGCGCTGATGACGGACGACGACGTGCTGCCCGACTGCTGGCAGACGATGTCTTGTGAGGTCACGTCGTAGACGGGGTTGTTGTTGGTCGGCGCGCGGAGGGCGACGAGGGAGCCCTGGTCTGCGCCATTCACGGACACTTTCTGCGTGGATAGATTAGAGAGAAGTTCGTCCGAGTATGTCTTGGATGGGATTGGGTTGGGCGTACCTGGAAGATGGTATGTGCGTCGGCAGTGAGGCCGAGAGCCAGAGCAATTACCGCAGAGTACTTCATCTTTGACGAATTTCGATCTGACCTGACGGATTTCGATACCAGACCGCACCACTTCCCCAGCGAAGAGTCACTGGCCTAGATTATATAGGCCCAGCAAAAGAAAAACTGCACCACGACTCCAATCCGGAGGGAGGGGCCCCTTGCGTGATCCGCGTCTATCTCATACACCATTTTAAATGATAGATTTGCTTCCGCCATCCTGCATTGCCTCCGTGTGTTCGCGACCAGGCTTGGGTTCTTTCGTTCGGCGTAGCTACGGAGCTAAAAAAGGATAAATAGCCTGACGAGCTTGGCTCCCAGGCGGATCGTATATTGTGGCATTCTTCCACGGGGCCGCTGATTGGTCCCCGGTGCTGGGTGTTTCCGAATCGGGCGATGCGTCATCTAGTTCCTGCCACCGATTGGATGCTTGGCGCGCGCGATCGCGGGATGGGGGGCTTTAGATCCAACACATGTACTGTTGCTGCTGCTGCTGCCGCTCCCCGTGAGAGAGTCCGGGGTGCATTTGTTGTAGAAACCCCCGGCGTGACTCGGAACTTGGGGCTGGGTGTTTCCGGACCATAACCCAAACAAAAAGATATAAAAAGATATAAAAATAAAAATAAAAGATAAAAACTAAATTCCATGACGGACTGGGCGGGAAAACTCAAGGTTCGTTCGTTTGGTGTCCCTGCTCCCACCCCTCGAGATGTAACTACGTTTGTGTCTTTGTGACGACAGCACAGATATCGCTATGATCGTCATGCCCTCTTTGCAGATCGCGATTAGATTGTGAGGAGGGGGGCTGTCACGCCCAATGCAGCTATATGCGAGCCTTGCCGCGTCTCACATGATATGGAAGATTTCTTGGCATGCACTGCTCCGTCGTTAAGAGATAGATTGAAAACTAATGCCTCGTTGCTATCTGTTATCTACCGGCAGTATCTTGTGATTTTGGTGCAGCCTTGCTCTCGAGCGGATGATCATCGGAAACTGTTGAAACCACCCGCGAGTATGAGGTAGGTCATGTTTTCCAACTATAGTGGCTGCAACCAAAAGTCGTGTTGCTCTATATATCACTCATTACAACCTTGATTGGAGACTTATAATTGAAAATCAGGTCGGGATGCCATGTTAGGATTGATCCGTCTGAATTATTCTCTTATTTTTGTTATCAGCTGGGGGAGGCAAGATGAGCTGACTTTGTGTGTTTTTAATATATATGGTGTCCTTATTTGGATACCCATCGAGACACTCCATAGCTCTCGATATGCATCTAAACTCAAGGTATTGGAAATGAAGCACGTAAGTTTGTCACTTTTCCTTGTCGTTCATCATGTTCTAGATTGCACCCCTAACGCCAGTTGAATGCACCGACGCTATAATCCCCGACGCCTACCCATCGTGACCGTCTTGCAAAGCCCCCGTTTCATCTGGGCGCGAACAAGTTACGACACCCCAGCAGCGTTACCCAGGGTGCCACTGCCCCTGCTGCTGAAAATGCTCATAATTCCAAAACCAACATAGAACAAGGCTAATGGGTAAGCGACCAACCCACGCATCCCGCTCATACGACCAACGGCACAGAACATGCCACTGGCGCTTGTGGTGCACCAGACGATGGCGGCGCTGGTCAGGATGTAACCAATACTGCCGTCCATGGGGATGGCAATGCCCACCAAGCTCGTCAGGACGAGAGGCAGAAGGCAGTAGCCCAATACACTGGCACTCTTGGGGAAGCTCAAGGTGCTGCTCATGTGCCCCTTGCCGTCGTCATGGGCAGACTGGTCGTATCCACCGGGATATTGCGGTGTGGCATGGGCGGGCGTGGGGGAGGAGGGGCCGTCGGGAGTCATTAGCGACAGGATGGTGTGTAGAGCGACGGTGCCCATGAGGGCGAGACCGTAGATGTATCCGAAGTGGACCTTCCCGCTGAAGAGCAGGAAGAAGCCAAACAGGGCGAAGAAGAGCATGGGTCCTGCGAGGTCGGAGTCGTCCATAAGATGCTGATCGATGCGGGAGAAGGGGTTCAGGACGGCGAGTGTCTGCAACGATGGTAGCTGTCAGCGGTCTGTGTCTCGCGGGGCATGCGTCGCAGTGGGCGAGGCAAACGTACCTTCTTGTGGATGTGGTCAAAGTTGACGCCGAGCTCCTCGAGCAGTGGTGGCTCGTTCTCGTATCCCTCTGTAGAAAAGGCAGCAAGCCAGCCGGTCCTCAGGCCACCTTGTCCGTCGCCCATACGTCCACTGACCCCGGGTGCGGCCTGGCCGCCGAAGCCACCGTAGCTTGGGCTTGCACCGCCGTAGCCGTATCCCGACTGTGCTGCAGGGGCGTGGCTCTGAATGCCCGGGGAGTAAGTGGAAGGGTAGAATTGCAGGTTCTGGGCGGCTGCACCACCTCCATAGTTGGTCTGCGGAGGAGCGCCGTAGTATTGTGACATTGTGCTGGCTGTTTGACTGAAGGAAACTGGCGAGGTGTGATGTAATGGGGATGGATGGATGGATGGATGGTTGAGAGAGGGTGGGTTGTCTGGGGACGGCTTGCGCCTAGAGAGAAAAGAGGCCGGATGCGCGATGTGGAAGCAGAAGGGTGCGTCGGTTGTGTGATTTTACAGTATTGCCGACTGTTTGGTTATTCGAGAGGACGTCGGTGTCGTGGCGTGCTGTTGTTGTGCCGTGTCGCAAAAGCAGCAACAAATCTGTCCCCTTCACACGTTGGAAAATAGCGGCCTGGGTTCCAATTGAGGTCGGGGATCCAATTCAATCCAGTCCCATCCAGTATGCTACTTGTAGACTAGGTTAACCTAGGTTAGTACACTACGGTTGCAGTGCAGTGCAGCAGGCAGCTTTGATGAGAGAACAATTATGTAAGTTAGTTACTGCATGTATGTTACGGATCAACATGGGTATTCCAAAAAGCAACAGCTCACGCACTCCTGACACTTTACTCCAGTACAGCATAACTCTAGGGCAGGAGGTACCAAGGAAAGAGGGGAGGCCTGTGCGTGGGCTGCGCACCATGTACATACAATTACAGTATGTACCACTAACCTAACGTAAACCAGCTAACTCGAGCAAGTTAGCTCTCAATCTCACAGCTCACTTCACACTTTCCGCTGTCGGTGCTTGAGATTTTCCAGCCGACCAAAAATTCCAAAGTTCCGTTTGCCGACCGGCCATGGCGCTGGTGCAATTGTCCAGAAAGTCGCCCATCATTTGCAAGGAGGCGATCCCGAGCCCACCATACACATTCAATCAACAACTTCCTGACCTCTCGTGCACCACAAGCCAAGACACACAACGGTGCCAACCCATCTTGCAACCTGCCCCATCAGACTACTTCCTAGACGACTTTATTGTCTGTTCTCTAGGTCCATCGGCGCAATGGTATGCCTCGACCCACCCGCCCGCAATCCGTCTTTCGCGAACACATACACACGCATGAGGGACAACTATCGTGATCGTTAAGAGGCTGACATCTCCTCAGGCTTACCGTCTAATTACCCAAGTCGTCTTCATCGGCGCCCGAACCTTCGGCCGCGCCTTTGCCCAGGCATACAAGCAAGCGCAAGCATCATCACAATATCAGCGCGCCCAGGCCAAGCTCGACCCCAATGCCGCCAACGCCCGTGCCAGTCTCAGCGGCGGCATGACCCTCGACGAGGCATGCAAGATCCTCAACGTCAAGCCCCCCCAGGGCGGCAAGGCCAACATGGAGGACGTCATGGAGCGCTTCAAGAAGCTATTCGACGCCAACAACCCGGAAAACGGCGGCAGTTTTTACCTGCAAAGTAAGGTCCTGAGGGCCAGAGAACGAATCGAGGCCGAGGTGAAACCCACCATGGAGAAGGCCGCCCAGGAGGCGGAGATACAGGAAGGGTTCAAGCCCAAGGTGTACAAGGACCGGTAGTCTTGCCAACTTGGGGGGGCCCGAGAAAACACCAAACCCGGCGGGGCCTCTATTTTCTTCTTCGTGACGGCACCCGGGTGGAACCCCGAATCGGGGACGACAACATCAACCTCATATACAACACCATCTTCACTCGACTTGGCATGGCCTGGCGTTACGGCATGGACGTTCATGACTTTTTTATATCATTTTATTGTTCTGGTTAGACGAAAACTTGGAGCATTTGTACAATTACATATGTATATCAGAATAAGGCCACTCAGAAGGCGCCAAACTACTCGAGTGGCGAAAAATACACCATCATCTAGTGGTGACAATACTGGCTCGCCCCGCAAATCCGATCTAGAGAGACATCCGTTCAGCCAGTTCTAAGTAACTATTGGCATTTTAACTTGAGCAAGTCCTTCATGATCGTCACGCTCTCCAGCACCGGCGGTGCCGATAGTGATCTCATGCCACTGATTAGATCCTGGCAGCTCCACGGGACTATGCGTCATTGACTGCCTGTTGTGGTCCAGTTCAGCAGGCTTGTCGTGAGCTGGCAGTTCCGCTGTCTGCCGTTCAGGATGCATTTCCGCCCTCCACTTGCCGCCGAGATACCGCTTCCAAATAGAGCTCGATGCATCGAGCTCTTGCGCATTGCCATCAGGGGCCCACAGGACCGTTCTTCTCCTTCGCCGGACCTTCCAAACCCAAGCGGTCACCGCTATCATTAACAATAGCATTCCGACAGTCAAACCAACTCCTATACCTATTCTAGCCTCCAGGCTCACTCCCGATGGAGCCCCAGCAGCATTCGTAGATGTAGTCCCAGTAGCATTCGCGGACAGAGCCCCAGTAACATTCGTATATGATCCTTCATTATTATAGTTGGACATCACAGACGACGCCTGCGCTTGAAGTGCTCGACGCCGAGAGGACACGTCATCGGGGAAAAGGCTCAAGTCCTCAGTCCGCCAGATCATGGCGATGGCCATGTGTGTGGCTACAACGCTGGAAACTCGAGTCAGGGTATCGGCCGAGGTGACAGCAGGCGCTACCAGAACATCCGTCGCCAGCGAAACCAAGGACGAACAGCCTCTAAAGTCCCAGAGAAAGCCACTATGACAGGGCGTCAATACGTGCTGCGGAACCTCGACGGCCCCCGTGTCAGCAGTGAACTTACCTCTGGCAGCAAATATCCGTGTAGACGCCCTCATGGAGAAGGACACTGACTGATGTCATGAAGCCCGCACACATGCCCGGGCTCAGAGTGTTGGTTAGGAATGGCCAGCAAGTACCATATAGGCGATCATATCCTCCGCTTGATATCTCGGGCGTCTGGGTGTAAATATTGGTGTAATAGCGGCCACTACAAAACGAAGGCGGGAAGAAAGTCGTGGTCAAAGGTAAGGTAGTCGAAGCATCGAGGGTCCTTGTTGAAGTTGAAGTAATGGTCACCACCACAGCAGAGCCATCCTTGGAAACCGTGGTTTCTATCGCGACGGCGAACGTCGTTGCTGATGCGCCGGCAGGTATTGTTTGTTCCCCATTTGCTGAAGCTTGACTCGTAACTTCCTCGCCTTGTGATGTGGACGGTCCAGCACCGCTAGTAATAATCGGTCCCCAGGGACTATGTGATGACCACCGCCCGAAGCTGCCTGTAATCGGTAGTACCCACGTAACTTGTGACGAAGGCGATGCGACGATGGTAGTCGATACCACGGAAATAATAGTTGTCATCTTAAGCACAGATCTCAACTCCCTTATGCAACAGTGGGTTGGATTCTTCTTGTCGTCTGGTCCTGTCTGGGTGTCTTCCTGGCGCTCAGACTCATCAGGTCAACTACCAGGGCCAAGATAGTCAAGGCGCTCACTCTACTGTACCTAGAAACGATTGCTCGGAGCCAAACGAGTCAGACCAGACGAAGAAAAGTCAGACTGTGAGCAGAAGGACAGGATTCTGAGACCGCACGTTCTCCAACATTCGACACACACAATTTGCTACGATTGGCCACCCTGCCTCGACTACATTGCATGATTCCATCCCCGGGTGGTATTGACATGCATGTTTCTGCCAAGACTTTGACACTTCGTGAGGCCTGATTGGTGGCCTGTCAATCAATTATGATTCGCGTGGCTATGGGTAGAGCCTTATGGAGTCAAGCTTGGTCGTCTTCATGAAAATTGGCAGCAAAAGATAAATCGAGCATCGCCTTGAGGTCTCTTGTCGGCACATTCTTGTTTTCATGTCTCCTGGTGCGACTGTGGTTGAAGGAGCCTCTTCGAAGTACGGGACTTGGGAGTAGCGACAGCAAAGGCACGACAATAGAGCAAATACCGCGGTCTCCATCAACGCTATGTTTTGTGCGACATGCAGTTGCAAGAAGGGTAGGTAGCATGCAGATCCGCTCGAGCTGACCCAATGCACATTGGCCTTCTACTCACTGATTGGCATACAGCGCTGCAAGCTATTGGTTCTCTGCTTAATACCCAATCAGAGGATACATGTAACATGTCATGAATCTCTTTTGTCGTCGCAGTGTCTCGATGGTTTCGAGGATAGCGATGGCTCGATGTCGATCTTAGTCTTTTTCTATTGAGGTACCTGTTATTATTGCCTAAAATCGTGCGTCGATGGTGTCAAACAAGGACAGGTCAGTAAGCACAACGAGTTACTTTGGCCTATGCTCCGTGGCGCAAATGAGAAAATTGGGCATGAAATGGGATCATACAGGCCAAAAGAAGCATAAAGACTTTTTCTGTTCATATTGTTGCACTGTTGCGTTGTTGACTGAGGTTTTATCCGCACCAAAACTACACGTGCCATCGATGCCCAAAGTCGACATGAAAACTTTGCAGTCGAAATGAGGCCATTGAACGAGCATTTGGGTTGCACTGGCGTCACGGCATGGACGTTCATGAATTTATTTACTATTGTTCTGATCAGACGATGACTTGAAGCATCTGTACAATTACGTAGGCTTATCAGAACAAAGCCATCCAGAAGGTACAAAACTGCTGATTCAATGAAATCAACATCACCATTTAATGATGATCATTTCGACTTATGGTGTACAGGACTTCGACATCCTTTTCACCCACCAAAGCTTGGGGTTGAAAGTAGTGTAATACTTGCAACTATGATCGTTGTTGCAACACTCCGTGCATTGTAGTCTTCCCCATTAGATTTGAGCACAAACCATTGCCCAGTCGCAAGAGCCATTGTGCTGATCATTGTACTACTTCGTTGAACTCGATTTCGACGCTCATTTTTAACCAGTCCGAGACACTCCGGCCATCCTAGGCGCTTACCTGTATTTCATATAGTCAGTAATGTCCTCATAGATTGGCGCACTGGACTGGAAAATGGTCACTGATAATGCATACCCGGCCTACCTGTCACAAATGTCTTTTACTCATCCTGTCTTAGTTCTTTACCATGTTGGGACATAGGTCAACCATGCCTACAGAACTCAATCCAGAACCTAGTGACACTCGGCCTGATGATCTTGAGTCTTTTCACGATTGTTCTCAGCAGACCTGCTGAGAGCATTAGCTGTATTTTCACGCCAGCGATCTGCTACGGGCAGCTCCACGCAAGTTTGCAGCGTCGGTAAACCAAAATGCTGTAGTTAGATGGGCTCCTTGTGAGCTGGTAACTCTGCGATTCGGTTGTTTAACTCTACTCTCCACTTGCCACCAAGTAGCCGCTTCCAGATAGAAGTCGTGGCTTCTAATTCCTGTGTATTACTGCGCATCGTCCGAGGCATTCGCCATCTCTGTCTCATCTTCCAACAGCAAGCCACAATTAGCATCATCAATAGTACTATACCCATTGCGACTCCAACCCCAATCCCGATCTTTGCCCCCTGGATTAAGGTCGGAGATGATGTAGATGTGTACCCTGTGACGTTTTTCGAACCTACGCCGGTGGACGTGGAGGTCGGAGATGTAGAGGTTGGGACTGAAAAGGGTGGGAATGTAAAGGGCCATCTAAAGGTTGGGAATATATTAGCCAACGTTTCACGCCGTCTAGATACCACATCTTCGGGGAATCGACTCAGAAGTTCGATCCGCCATTGCATAATCATCGCCTGCGTGTGTGGCGACAACGCTAGAGACGCGAGTATGATTATCTGCTGTCGTGATATTGGGTGTCACTAGAGCGTATGTAACGATCGAAAATACAAAAGTGCAATCCTCGAGATCCTACGAAAAACCACCAAAGCGGTGATTGGACACTTATTATTAGCATTTGCCATAGGCGTACCTACCTCTGGTAGTATACGTCGGTGATAACGCTATCTTCGAATATGATACTTACATATTCCATAGGGCCCACTCACATGGCCGGCGAGTATACAGTCACTGGGGGCGGAACTGTGGACGAAACTGGTAGACAAAGACGATACATATGATCCAGTGTACCGCTCGAAATCCCGGTCTTAACATCTGCAGTTATGGTGTAATGACGGTCCTCGTACGACGAAGGCAAAATGATGGTATCGAGTAACTGCTCCACTACGTTTCCAGTAAATGAAAATGTCAAAGTTTGCGTCGGAATGTCCATGGCCACCTTCATGGTTCCAGCTGTGGCATTTGGGATAGTGTGAATAATTCTACGCTTCACGGCAGGTTTTGACTCTAGTTCGGGCACGGAAGTGGTCGTTGCACCAGTTGGTGATTGTGTTGTCGTATTTTTTTGACGCCATGACGAGGGTAACATTCAAGGCTCAAGTAAAAACCGACAGAAAGCCGTGATATCAGTTGTTGACTTGAGTCACGCGCTCGTGGAACAAAAATCCGCCGTGTTTTGTTCGCCGGGCGGAGTCGCAGTATGTTCTATGAGGATCAAAAGCTGGGGCATGAGGGGTCATAGTCTTCACAAAATGATATACCACGATGCCTGGACTGGAGATACACAAGGCCCCGTCAAAGAGATTGACACGCTGCTGGTTCCATCTATGCAGCTGCCGAGCAGCGCTTGGGCGCGTAATACCGGCTGTGCACTCAAATCATTGGTGCAGATGAGAAGCAACTGTCTCTCCGACATGTATCACGACATCTGTCAAAGACAGACTGTGCGTGAGTTGAGCAACTACCCGGCTAGTGGGGACAAGGTGAACGAGCCTTGAACATATGGCTCCGGGTGAAAAGGTCAGGACAAGTCGTGCCGTAGGCTTTTTAGGGTTGGGCGTTCGCGTCAGAATGCTCCAGTCATCATAAAGGTCTACGAGGTGATACATGGTATATCCCGGCTGGAAGCCATACCCAGATGTTCATCGTTGAAGAATCAAACCTAGATTCCCGTCAGGTTTTTACCAAGTATCGTGGTTATAGACTGGCAGTCATCATATTATTGGTTACCGTACAGTCGCCAACACCAGTGCAACTTCGAAAACAGCCGAAACAATGCTGTGATAGTTGAACAATCATCCCGTGAAGACTCCTGCCAGAAGGGATGACAAGGACGAAATTATGCAGTAGCGTACTGCAGAAAGCATGCATGAATGCGTGGAAGCCACATGTCCCAAGTAAACGGTGCCAGCCGCAGGAGACAAGTTGACGGGAAAACTGTGTTGTCAAATTATGGAAATTGCATAAACGCTCAGGTTGCAATGGCGTTATCACAAGCTTATCGGGAAATGCGGGGGCTGCAAGGCCAGATCAAGCCCTTGATTGGGACAGGGCGGCTGGCTAGCTCCCTCTTCCACCACGCGCGATTTTGGACACCGCCAGACCACATCGACTTGACCGAATACTGTCCAGAATTGCCCGTGTAGTATCAGCTAGTTAGTTCCGTGCCAGTCCGAAGACATCCAGGAAACGTCTATGATGGATCCCAATTTGGACAGCAACCTGGATCCCAGCTTGACTGGCCATATTGATCCCACCATCAACGATCATGGCCTGCAGGATCTCCAGGTCCCAGTCCCAGTCCCAGTCCCAGTCCCAGCTCCGGTGCCAGTCTCAGCGGACATACCGCCTTATGAGCCACGCCAGCTCGCAGGCAATCGACGCGCTGGTATCAGGTACAAGGCCTACAGCCCAGAGGATTTCGAGAAGGCCATGCGTGCAGTCAGGGAAGAGGGCATGTCACTGCGCAAGGCCTCCATGACATACCACGTGCCAAAAACGACATTGGCAGAAAAGCTTGGAGACCAATGTCCCCCTCTACCAGCGTTGCAGGCCCAGCGTAAGAACAGGATCGCCACACGCTATACCTGGACGGAGTCTGATATGGAGCAAGCTGTCACAGCAGTTGCCGCTGGTACGCATGCCTCCGACGCTGCGAGACAGTTCGGTGTGCCCTACAGCAATCTGAACTCAAGAACAAGGGGTCGCCCACCCCGAGAACTGAAGGCAGACCTGGCGCGCCTCACCCTGAAGCAGGAAAACTTGTTGGTCGACTGGGCGCATGCACAATGCGAGCTAGGCTTCCCGCCCTCGAAGGATCAGATCTACGATTTGGCATCCAAGGTTTTGGAGAAGGGCACACCGGGTCAGAAATTGGGAAAGCAATGGGTTGGGCATTGGCTGCGCAGACATCCGCACATCACTGCGACCGATTGGGCTCCCAAGGCCAAGTGGGAGAAGAAGATACCCAAACCCTTCGATCCAAACGATTATGCAAACGCTTCCTTCACCGACCAATCTTTCGTCCCGGAACCAAACGACATGATGGGAGAGCCTGCACCCGAAATGGTCGACAACAATGCCAATGGAGATTTGTTGGTCACGGAGTCGGGATTAGGCGAGGTCGCCAGTCTCATGATTCAAACTTGAACTCGGGTTTCATTCTCGGCCTACCGTAATTCCGACGGACAAAGTGCGACGATGGTTTGGTGGACGGATCGTGATTACGAATGACTTTTTCAGAGCATTGATACCCTTGGCAATTAAAGACGTCTTTTCCTTGTTGTGATTTAGCGGATATGCACAAGGCGCGCGTACGGCGCATAAGCTCCAGATTTGTGATCAGATGCCTGCATTCTATCCAAGGACTCGGCAAAAGATTTATCCCCGACACCGAACATCTGCAGGCATATTCATATTTTAACTGCCCCCTTTACATAGGTGTTGACAAGGTTGGTGGTTGTAGCATGAATCCAGAAAGTCACCACCTGGTTTGCCTGGCTAGGGCAGTTTTATTACACATCAATACGGAGTAGAAAGTATACTTGCGTCTAAATACTTTCTATTGACAGTATGGCACAATCGCCATCATGTCAACTTGTGGAGCGCCAAGCAATGCTTTTGCCGTTTTGCGAAGCCGTGAAGCTTCTCTTTCAAATCTGACTACAAAGCACCATTTTATGGTTTTGACCGTCTCATCAAAAGACCGATAGCTAATAGCATCGCCTCGGCTTGTCTGCAGTTCAGCTTGGCGAGAGTGACTCGGACATGGACCTGATAGGTTCCCACAAGCTCGTCGCCATTCGAAATGAGCACTGGACCGCCTGGCAGCTCCACCTGGCTTGACCGAAACCCCTTGCCGATAAAGTCGAGAACGACACCAGTCGCCATGGCGCTCGATAGCTTCCTTGTGAAGATGCGGGGATGGTCTCGACAAGTCGGAACGGTACTCAACTCTGAACCCTCCCCCAAATTCCGGGGAATTGGGGAGAAAAGCGGGCCCGACGTCGGGGGTGGGAACGCCAGCTTGCTTATTGGCTCTCATGGGGTCTCAAGGGCTCTCAAAGGACAGGAAAACAGCCAACTAAGCAAGCCCGCGTTGCATGGGTTTCTCCGGAGAGCCAATCCTATGCTACATGATGATGAAAAAGGATTAGCACTGCGTCAAAGAGGTAGGAGAATGCTGACAAGACAACAGTGGGTCAGCCACCCTCGCGGATGTTGATCCTATCATTTGCCATGAGGCTTGGCTAACAGTAGCATTCCGCAGATTCCGTGCGCGATTCCATTATTAAACTTCCCCAGCGCCGCGTGTACTTATATATTTCGATTGCCGTCCTCACTGTTAGAGGATATGTTCTTCGTCTCGCTCGAAACTGCAAAACGGCCAGTGCAACTCTTGTGTACATTTTGGGTCTCAACCTTGCTCCTATGACTTTTCATGGTTTGATTAACCAGCGGGATCTGCCAAAAAAAATTCAAAAAGAAGACAATCTGCTTACGCTTTCTGTTTGAACCCTTTTGTCGCCGAAGTCCCAGTTCAATTCTGCCATTATCCACAAACACCGAGATCCTACCTCCTTTGTCCCTGTGTATTACCCGCGCTGTACCATGTCTTCCAAGGAAGTCTTTCGTAGCGACAGCGATGGACAGACAGAACACACCGAGGTGAAAGATCTCCATAGCGCTGCCGAGCGCGGTGTGGCCGCAACAGATCGGTAGGATGGTACTTGCGAATTCCATTGCATCTCGCGAAACTAACCAACAATCAGATATGGCGTGTCACTCGTACAGTTCGATCCAGTACTGGAGGCGAAGCTGAGGAAAAAGATCGACTGGGCGATCCTGCCCATCATCGCCCTCCTCTACCTATTCTGCTTCATAGATCGCGCTAATCTCGGTAAGTCACTCGCCTAATGACGTGCTCGAGTCTTTGAAAGCTGATGGCCATTTCAGGCAATGCGAAGATCGTGGGTTTGGAAAAAGACCTGCACATGACTGGTGCATATGACTACAACCAACTGGCTTCCATCTTCTATATTGCTTACATCGTTTTCGAAATCCCTAGCAATCTCGCTTGCAAATGGATGGGGCCTGGTTGGTTCATCCCACTTCTCGTCTTGGGATTTGGGGCCATGTCATTAGCTTTCGCCTATGTCCAAGACCTGCCACAAGCATGCGCCGTGCGCTTTCTTCTTGGAATGTTCGAGTCGGGAGTCATGCCTGGAATGTCGTACTATCTGTCGCGATGGTAAGTCAACCACTATGACTCCTCGATTACAACTGCTCACGAGTCACACAGGTACCGAAGGTCCGAGTTCACCTTTAGAGTCGCAGTCTTTGTTGTTATGGCGCCATTGGCAGGTGCGTTTGGTGGGCTCCTTGCCTCGGGTATTACTAGCATGACCAATATTGGAGGACTGCACAGCTGGAGAATGATTTTTTTCGTTGAAGGCATCATCACGATCGGTCTGTCCGCTATTGCTGTTGTAATCCTGACAGACCGACCCGAGACCGCCAGGTGGCTCACTCAGGAGGAGAAGGATCTTGCTATCGCCAGAGTCAAGTCAGAACGCATTGCCCAGACTAGTGTGCTTGACACCTTTTCGTATCAGAAGGTCTGGCTCGGCATTTGGAATCCTGTCGTGCTGGCCACTGCTTGGGTGTTCCTCCTTGACAACATTACCGTTCAGGGCCTGGCGTTTTTCTTACCCACCATTATCGCTGGCATCTTCCCGTCTGCGCGGGGATACTCGGTTGTGCAACAACAACTTTTGACGGTCCCTCCATACATTGTTGGAGCGTTCATCACGCTCATCATTCCATACATCTCATGGAAGCAGGACAAGCGGCAGAAGTTCCTCATCATTGCCGCCCCTCCAGTTATGATTGGCTACATCATTTACCTGGCTACGCCCAATGGCACGGCCAGATACGTCGCCACGTTCGTCATTACCGCAGCCTTTGCCCTTGGCCCCATGACCAACGCCCAGGCGGCCATCCAGACATCGAGTGACACCTCTCGCAGCGTGGCGCTTGCCGTCAATATGCTCTTCGGTAACATCGGCGGCCTGATCGCTACCTGGAGTTATATTGGTTGGGACAAGCCAGACTACAGGATCGGCAACGGTCTCAACTTTGCCGCATCTAGTCTCATCCTAGTCTCGGCAACTCTGGCGTACTTCTGGATGCGCCGCGATAACAAGAAGAGGGACAGCAAGGATATTGACGCGGAGCTTAGTGGACTGACCGAGGAGCAGATTGAGAATTTGGAGTGGAAGCACCCGGCTTGGAGATGGAAGCCGTAAATATACTGGGGCACCTCAACTTCTGGGGCACAAGCCATTGAACATCTGAGAGACTACATATTTCCTTGGTGAATTGACGATCATAATGACACAATAACTAATTTCGTATGTTTGTACGTGGCACGCAGTGACGGCGAAGGGAAATTCTTCTCCGAGCCAAAATGAAGACCCCAGTCTTGACGATACGTGGGTTTCGGTCTCATGCTGACGCGCATCCGTGACCTTCCTGAACTCGATCTGCACCCTCGGATTTGTCTACGAAGCAGCCCTTTTTCGCAATCATCGGCGGCATATGAGTACCCTGCGGCAGGCGGATGTCGTACTGCAGCAACATCTGCGCAAGGATGAGCTTGATCTCGTTCGCAGCGAAGGCGCGATCGGGACAGGCGGGGGTGCCGTGGCTGACACCCATATTCTCGTTCGCCACGGCGATGAATTGGTGCTGCTCGCAGTTCTTATGATTGATTCGATCATCGAACTTGTAGTTACGTAGGTCAACAAAACGTTGCGCGTGAATCCCTTCCGGTTGGGGCAGATGCCCGCAGACACTAGGTGTTGCGTGTGACGTTGCTCGGGTATAAGTTCGGACCGGCATTTATCAACTCCCTTGCGGCGTGCACAGTTCTGCAGCAACCCTAAATCCGACAAAGGAGGATACCGATACTCCGAAGCTGTTGTAGTCTAGATTTCGCTAAGTGCCGTTGAAGATATGCAGGCTTCCCCACATCGTGATACCAAGTACAAGTTTGTACGTGGAACGGGCCAGGCTCGATATCTATTAAATATCACTCTAGGATTCACCGAAAGAGGTAAGGTTCCACGCAACATGCAGCTTCCCACGACAGATGATCATACCAGGTGGATAAAACCACATTACAGTTTGAAAGTTTTCCTATGACTGGGTTCTATCTTCTGAGCATATACCTTTAGGCTTATATCGGCCTTTGACATTGTTGAAGCTTCTTGAATAGATCCCACAACCATCATAGCTTGCAATGGTCCAATATAAGCTGTCACAGCCTGGTCTCAGCGGGAAGATCTGTAGTAGAAATAAGCGACGCATATACAGAGAAACAACCTCGCGGCGATTTAAGATGACGATACACTTCGCTGCATACGAAACAGTGGCGACATGCGTGATTAAGAGTCAGTGTATGACGTCGAGCAATGTGCCGTAGTTGCTCGACATAAGCGCTTGTCGTCTTTCTCGACCCAGTACTCACTACCCACCGCGGTGAGACCGTAGAACATATGGTCAGAGTCGTATTTGTTCTTGATTGACAACAACTTGTCGTAGTTAGCACCGTAGAAGTCCTTCTTCCAACTTGCGTTCAGTGGATCGGCCTGAAAGAATGCGTCAGGATCGGTTGTAAGTGTCCTAGAGTATTCCATACCTCATTCAGATACGAGCCACCATCAGGAGCAATATTTCGAAATTTCGAGACAAGATCACGATCAATCATCTCTAGTCGCTGAAAGCCTTCCGCTATTGTCTCGTCAGACGGATCAGGTCTACAATGCGTTAGTGCTGAAATTCCCCTCCTATGAAGCAAATGTCGACAATATGGAGCTTAACTTACACAATGAACAGCGTGTAGAAAAGTGCTCTCCTCCACCCCTCAAACACTGCGTTATGAACATCACCTGCGACCGCCTCTGAGACGTTGAAACCGACGGTGCCTATCGTGGCGCCCGACGCTGCAACACTCAGCACAGCATCGATGTACTCTACGTCTCTAGTTGGATCAGTAGCAATATCTCGTGGGATGAGCCAATTTCCGCCCTGTATGTTGTTTGCCTGGTTGTTCAGATAGAACGATGGCCCACCCTTCGCATAGTATTCGGCAAAGGTTGGGTATGATGTCACTGTGCGTTGATAGACAACGCCCGTTCGGTTAAGATACGATATGAACGGCTCCAGGAGCTCATCGACGTCGCCCGGTGTGAAGCCAGGCGCCATGAGATCCTGGATTGTGAAGTAGCCGCCCCGGAAGCCATTAATGATGTAAATGCCACGGTCCACTAAATTTGGAATGACCGAATGAAGTGATCTTAACGCACTACGTACTATGTCGTCGGAGACCGAGGACATCGCAAATGCAAGAGTGTTGGTCGTTACTTCAAACGTCGCGTGGGCTTTGACAGTGACACGAGTGACGACTCCATAAGTTCCTCCGCCACCTCCGCTAAGCGCCCAAAAGAGGTCCCTATTCTCTTTGCGGTTTGCGATCAAGATGTTTCCTTGGCCGTCGACAACCTCGAACTCGAGTGCATTGTCGGCTGCGAGACCAAATTTGGACGCCAACGGTGAATGTCCACCACCTTGGATGTGCCCACCCGCCATCCCAACGGTAGGGCAGTTCCCTGCGACTGTAACTAAGTCGTGACCATCCGCAAACTCGATGGCCTCAAACCCTTGGACACCAGCTCCAGCTTGAATGGCTGGGCCTGTGTAATAACCGCGATCCCAGTCTAGCACTTCCAAGCTCTTCAAGTTGTGCATCCAGACAGCAATAGCGCCAGCACCTGTGGATTTGCCGATGTAGCTGCAGTAATGGGTAAGTCACACACTGCGAAGCTCGAATTCAGTCATCGACCAACTTACTCGTGCCCAGTGTTTCGTACCACGAATCTAATATTCTTCTCTTTGGCGAATTTCACGGCCTTGGAAACCTGATCAGCGTCCGATACGTTGACGGCATACTGAACGTAGGTGCCAATAACACATTGCGCCTCTCTAAGTGTAAACGGGTCACAGCTTTGATTCGCCCAGAGTCCGGACATGATGGAACTTGAAGACTTGTAGCTGTTACGTCATGTTAGCATCTAATCTCGAGCTGGCACATGGTTGGAAGCGACTCGCTGTAATTCTGGGTTTGTCCAGTCGGCTTGTACAGCAGCACAAGCTGCCTCATCATACTGTGGATCATGGCAGGCGCTGGCAAGTGGTACAGTTTGAATCAAGTTGCCGCCTACCGATGTATTGAAGAAAGCCCATTCTTCGTCATCTGGCCAACATTTGTCACCGGGGAAGCAGCGGCATTCTTGTGCATACACGGCAGGAAAACTAGGTGCAAATAGGACTAAAGCGTAAGTGAGGGACTTCATCGTGCCGATAATTATGATGGCGTAGAGAGGATGGCAGAACCGAAATGCAACAAAGTATGAATCTTTATAGCCAACATATCGAAGACATGCGCCGCTATGATGCCCAACTAATATCCACCCTAAACCTGTCCTATTGTCGGGATTATGTTTTTAGGACATTGCATACTAACCTGCAGATGATATCTCTGAGCGTCCACTATTATTCGTCGGGCAACCCCAGCGCGGGTACCGAACCCTTTTCACCTGCGGGACCGGGGACGTGTAAGACACCCAAAATCCTGTCAACTGTACGGCTGAACGGAGCGGAGGGTGCAAGGGATGAGACAGCCTCCTCACGATTGGGTTAGCAAGACTTGTCGGTCATTTGGACAAATAATAAACAAACAAGAGGAAATGACGGTCGTGTGCGAACGTGCGATGCGACTATCTGCTGGCTATTTGAGCTCTCGACAAGTGACACCTTAGTTGTGACGAGCAAGGATGCTTTCATGAGAAGCGACTCAGGCTATGCGCACGTCTCAAAGTCGCGTAGCATGTATGAACAACATTGAGTTCCATCGAAAACAGTCCTCTGAAATCGTTATCGGTTCCGCGTAATTACGGCATGTAAGGGATGATGCGAAATAAGCAATCCTGGCTGTGTAGAACTGCGACCTTGCAAATCGTGTTGTAGTCATGCATGATGAAATGTGTAACTTCTCAGAAAATATGCCGGTTTCGTTTGCAGATCCTTTCAGATGATACAGTGTCTGCTGAAATACTTATGTCCTTCGAATTATGTGCTTTCTGCTGGCCAGTGATCGCTGCATGAGAATATCATAAAACCCTGGAGTTGATGTGTGCGGACTATGACCAAAGTCCATGTACAATTTTCGTAAATATTGTCTGTTGCGAATGCTGGCGACAAGCTATTGTCTTCCCGACATGGCTTTTTCCAGAGCCTCGAGAATCGATATCTGCTCGCGACTGCGACCCCAGGCACTTGATACAGCGCTCAAGATTTTGCGACCTTCACGTAAGATCTTCAATGGCCCTTGGGATGAGCATATGTTTCCAACGCCTGCAATATGCGCAGTCATTACGGATGGCCGACCCTTTCTTACAAACAGTTGCACCATCTCATCATCGTTCGGACGATCTAGTCGGATGAACGTGGGCTCATGGTTGTCGTCATCTTCAACACTGACGATGCAACGGGGGTCGTCACTGACTTCGCCGGGCTGCTTTAAAGCCTGCCTGTGCATAGCCGTCACGGATTTTCTATGATCTCGATCATCCGAATCTTGTTGGATGAAGTTGACGTGGTCAGCACTCCCGACATGACCTCCATCCTGTTGAGAGACTCGAGAAGAGTAAGAGCTGTAGGCCCAAAGTGTTAGTGTGACAAGGTAAACAGATAAAGGCTCGTAAAAGGCGTCGCGGCTATACCGACGAATATGCCAGTAAAAGCACCCGCAGTGTAGTACGGCCAACCTTGCCTTGTGCTGTGGTAGAAAATCAGTACTCAGGTAAAGAAATGAGAGATTCACCAGCGGCCGGAAAGAATGACGTACTTCATCTTGTTGAGCCCAACGAAGGACTTCCCGCTCTGCCGTAGCAGCTTCTTCCCTCGAGACCATGTTCTCTTTTGAAAGAGCACCTTGACGGAGACATGCAATAGACGTTGCAAGTGTTTGTATGCATTGGTAGGGCGCTAATAGTACGACTCTTGCAAAATGCAAATGGAAGACATTCGGATGTTCGACGCCTGCTGCTTTCGCGATGGTTGCATTCGCTGCCCAGTGTAGAACATCGACACAATCTAGGGCAGCATTGCGCCAGTTACTGATATTGGCCGCACTTCGAGATTCTAAATCGGACTGGTGATGAACCTCTGGTGGAGATTGTGAAGCCCAGCGTATCGAAGGTACCCATGACGCAAGTGATCTTTCGTGATAACTCCTGACCCTGTATATCTCCTGATAGATCCCGTGTAGCACTATCAATGTTTCAAAACCACCCATATCATTCTTCATTTCTTTTTCAATAAATAACATGTTCACAGCCGCGCTGATGGTCGGGTGTTCTGCAAATTGTGAGCATTATGTTGATACGCTTACAAACATTCAGGATCAAGTCACCTTCAGCCCTCTTGAGTGCCTCGGCCCATTCATTGGAAGACCCACGAGTCCATAAATGGCTATTCGGGAGCATAGCGTCAGGGGGATTAAGACAGAGAATGGGGTTCTGTCTAAAATGATAGACTGACATACAGTCGAGAAGCTCCTGTCTATTAGCCATGGGGGAAAAAAGAAGGAAGGAAAAAAAAGGGGGTTTATGTAAACGCTTGACTCACCCATAAAGAGAATGTCAGCCTGTTCTTGGATTCGTGCTGAACCCATGTCTCCCACAACTGTGAAGAATTGGCCCCATTACCGCTTGAAAATTCCTTATTAAGTGCCGAGCTTGTAAGGCCAGACCTTCTCGCAATTTCAATTACAGCGCCGTGCCTAGCTCTTGCCTGGAAGAATAGTCTAGCTGATCCATGATATAATAACCCGATCTGGCTCAAGACAAGTGCCTGCATTAGCGGTAAACTACATTGTGACCATGGTGATGTCTCAATTTCAAATGCCAATGATCGTCTCAGAAACTCATGTAATGGCTGGACACACTGATCGAACTCGGAAGTACATGTGTACTGGCTACCAATGGCGCATATTGCCAGAGCAAGATGCCACGATGCATTTATATCGGTTTTGGAGTGTAGAATGGGCCAAATGGTGTCGAAATATTCAAAATAAAGATGAACGAAGAAGTTGAGGTGTCCAAGAAGAGGAAAACTCGAGCTTCGGTAATGCGAATAGAGATTAGATTGGCCCATGCATAGTCGATGAAACTGCTGTTTGATAGTCTCGTAAATTCCAGGCCCGATCAACCGGCCATCTGTGGAAAATTCAATGTCTGCCGGTACCACGTGGTCTAAGCAGGGGAACTGAAAGACCTTCGACTCATCGGGCATCGTGTTCTTGGCGTCTGATATTAGTCCCAAGGCTGTAGTTCCATGTATCAGGTGCTTAGGCCGCTCGGATCGAGCAGTGCAGGCGACTCTAGCGCCATCGCTACTCGTGGTATAGAGCCCACTCTTCGCAGATGCTTTTGTCCCTGTACTTGAACCTTGAGAGGACGAATTCGTAGTTGTCGCTGGTGAGGCTGCTGCAATGGATGAATTTATCAGTGGTTGTAAGGTCTGCTGATCGAACACGTGCGTGGAAATATCTGGGAGTCCAACTTCGTCTATCACATATTGATCAAGCTGATTCCCAGAATTGGTCAACATTTCCTGCTCTATTCCACTTCCTATTGTCGCATCCTCAAATGAGTCATAGGAATTCATGTTGAAACCCAATATGGAGTTGTAATCGAGACCAATAGAATCGTTGAAAGGCAACCAGTTCATGGGATATTGAGTTGGACGTTCTGAGATGCCATGCTGCTGAAGCGGTTCATCCCACGTTTCAGTCTGTGAGTATCCGTTTTGCGGGTCTATCACCAGGCTTTGCGATTGCATACTTCGAGGCAAAAACTCGTTAGCTCCTTGCAGTTGATTTGGACGTGTATATGCTCTCTGGAAAGAGCTTCCATTCCCCGATGTGATGCTCTCAACGTCAGAAGCCCTTGGAATTCGGATTGGACTCGGCAGCTCTTCATCCGTCTGCGATTCCAGCTGCCGGGTCCGCGAGATGTGAGATTCTGACTCCCATCTTAACTGGGACGTCTGAGCAGGCGATGAGCGCAGCCCTTTAATTGCCCTTCGTGGAGGATATATACATGTTAGTGACTTATTGAAACATCTTAAGCAGGTTTCTTCCTTTGTGCATCTTTCTCTGGCCTTTGCGCACTCCACGCAAGCTCTCCGTCGAATATCCGAGGTTGGACCAGGGCTTGCTCGGTGTGTATGCTCGTGTCGAGCCAAGATATCGCTAAAATGTGAGACAGTTGCGAAGATTCCTTACGTGTGCAATTACATACCTTCTCGCGAATGACTTGGAGCAAACTCGGCAAGAGAATTGCTTCTGTGCTTCGTGACTGCGTTCATGCCTTTTCAGATGCTCTATTCGCTTAAAAGTCCGAGAGCACCGCGTACACTGGTGAACTGCACCTCCTGACGTATCAGCAGAAAATGTGCCTTGCTTGTCCGTATCTACGACAGATGACATGCTGAAGTTGAAATAGCTGTCACGCCTCTGGCCATGAAAAGTTTCATCCCAAGTAATGCTGTCAACATGAAACGTCTAGATGAATCATGCTGCGATAATTGCGACGCTTCTGATCAATTCCCAAATGGTCCCAAATGTAATAATCAGACCGTTGCTTTTGAAAATGGCCTGAGACCTTTATGGAGATGTATGATCAAGCACCAGAAAGGTTCAGCAACTGAACGACGGCTTGGAGAATGAGCTTAATAAGGCCACGCAACTCTGTCTGACCTTAGGTCATTGATTGATTAGTTAACCGTAGTACTAGTCTAGAGACAAAATGGCAAAACGAGAGAACGAGTGCCGTTACGGCGATGTTAGCTCGTCTCGTGCAGCATCTAAGCACTAACACCCCCTACCGAAAGTGTTGGTGGGCCTAGTTTTGTCAAGTAGACGCCCCAAGTCCACTAATTGAAGTCATTGTGGCGTACCAAGACGCTGGAACGGGCTAGGGTATGTAGCGCTTGGGGCTGCAATGTGAGGGGAATTCCTTGATCTTTCAGGGGTTCCTCAACTTTAACTACATAGGTGGTGTGTACATGTGCCTCTCCAACTAGTCTAGCGACATAATAATGCCGTTCGATGAATGCGCAGCATTACCCCAAGTTTACATCACGATAAAAATTGGTGGATTCTCTTCGCCTATGGGTCTGACTGGTTCTGGCAGGCACATGATCTGTGTCTGTTTGGAATACCCGTCATGATTGCTCAGACTAACAGGAAAAGGTTCTAATTATACATAATATTCATCGCCATTAGTTCTGAACATTATCTCATGTCGTCTGCACTGAAAAGACCAAATAACTCCGCTATCACGCCATGATGGCCATAAGCTTGCCTATGAACTTCGAACCAGACCAACCCTCATATGACCTTCATCGCCACGGTTAGCTCTCAGATAATATGGCACGAATACTAGCTCCCGCTCGTCCGCTAAAGCACTGACTTCGCCGCTGGATCCGGGCTCCAAACCTGCCTGCCTGCCGGTCCACGTGTCTAGTCGCCGTACTCTTCCCGTCGAGCGTAGACCAACGAAACTCTCGCCTATACAGTCACGTTTCTCTTCCAATACTCGAGCTTTGGCCGATATTGTGATATCCTTAAAATGGTTCTTTTCCCAAGTGTTGTCAGCATCTTCGACACAATAAATGATGGGGCCACGAGCCAATGTGAGAGTGTTCTGGTTCGTATAAGGATGCGGAGAAATGAAACGAGGTTCAAACCCTCCAAAGTGAATTATAAATGAAGGATTTTGAGACGTGTATGATGCCGGCAAAGTGAGATATCCCTTCGTGACCGACGTATCGTTGAGGGGAGGTGACAACTGTGAAGGTCAAGTCAGTGCTAATCACATTTGCCGTAGCGAGACGCATACCTTGTAGTTTCCTTCAGACCAGGAGGGGATCCGGAGCCTCGTAATGACAGGTGTTGTTGACTTGAGTTTGAAAGAAACAATGCCGCCCCACGGCCAATTAGACTCTTGTATAAGTTCGACTTTTTCGCCACTGGCCTCGAACTGCACCTGTGCAGTGGTGTACAGGTGAACATTGACGAATGCGCTGTCGTTTTCTTGCCCAAAGTCCCATAGATAACCACCAAGCGATCCGTACAAGCGCATCAAGTTCGGTGGGCAACAGGAGCATTCAAACCAAGTCTCCCTAGCGCTTTTGTCTTTGTTTGAGCTTGCTAGCTGATTCACATAAGTGAATGCTTTTCCATCTAGACTCATCGCTGTCATCACGGTGTTGTATAGTTGAAGCTCCATAACATCGGCATATCTTGAATCAAGATCCAAATGCAGCAGCCTCTCAGCAAGCATCATGACGCCTATAGATGCACAAGTCTCAGAGTAGCAACCACCTTCATCGGAGCCTTGAGGTAGAAAATAATCTTGGCCAAAACCTTCCCATTGCTCCATGGCACCAATACCTCCTGTGAGATACATCTTTTTGTCCACCATATTATTCCAGAGCGTCTGCAGTGCATTGAAATATTCATGATTCTGCTTGTAAGTATGGAGGCCAACATGGTCGAGGTGGAGAAGGTCAGCTACAGCTGTATAGAGGTACATAGCGCGTACTGCGTGGCCCTCTACAGTCTTCTGCTGCAAAATTGGGGTATGCGACTGATTGTACCAATGGCTGTGAGACATGGGGTATGCATTTGGTCGCTTCCAAGGTGTGTCACCACGTTGCTTTTCTTCCCAGTCGTAGTAAAGCATTCCATTCTGTCCTGTTGAGTTACCCCTCTCCTCTATGAAGTACTGCGCAAGGTCGTAAGCGTCCTGATTCTTCGTTTCCGAGTACAATCGAAGAAGAGCAAGTTCGATCTCAGGATGACCGGGATATGCATGACGCTGTTGCGCGTCTGGCCCGAAGACTGAGCGGATCAACTTGACATACTTTACAATCGGCTCTAATAGTAGCCCATTCTTGTAGTAATTCTCATGTGCCAAAGCACCCTCAATGAGATGGCCGGCATTATAGCTGGGTCTACCATTAGCGTCGGATACATGCTGTCTGCCCTTCGTTTTGACTTACAGTTCGTGTTGATCTCTAATATTGGACCAACGCGCCTGGGGCTCCACAACAGTGAAGTAAACATTGAGATACCCATTAGGCTGCTGTGCACTCCTGATCATATCCACAAGCTCACGAACGGCAGCGTCAATCGCAGCGTCGTACTCATGGACCAGAGAGTAACAAGCACCCTCAATCCATTTCCCAACGTCACTATCCCAAAACAAGCTCTTCGGGACTGGCCATGTGGAGTGATCATCATAGATCGGATGCCATTGTAGCTTGAAGCAGTCGTATCTCCCGGTGTTCCGTAGCTGCTCCAACTGGGCCTTCACCGTCGTTCTGCTGATAGTCTCTTTGCGGTTCTTCAATACTGAAGGTCCATGGAAGGTCGTTCGTGAGAACGTCACTTGTGGATACGAAGACATGTTGAATGGTGTTTGTCTAGAAAGGTGCTGATTGCCAGTTCGTCGGTAGCTGTTCCATAGTATTTCCTTCACAAGGCTGGGTTTATACGTTCATCAGCCTAGTGCGGACATCTCACCCATGCTGGGCTCATGTAGTCTTATCATAAAACGCATCAGATTCCGAGAATGGCGGGGGATATGACCACAAGACTGCAAAAAACGTCATTGTTCTTGGGAGCGATCTGCGTTGCAGATAGAGGTGATAGGGGTCCACATTCATTCATTCAATTCGACCTCCCACCGGGACTTTTTCGGTAGGATTCTCCCACCGGACTTTTCAGCGTGGAGCGCAGCCAACGTGGCTAAACGGCACCCCGAGATCACTTCCCCGCATTGCGATCCAACAATTTCCACCATTGAAGATTGCCCCAGAACATATGGCTACACAGCCAGGATATTCTGCGTAGGCAATGAGGTTAGTCGATTGGTTCCAGTAACATGCTCACCCCTCAAACACGTCCTTTCCTGAATTGAATATATGAAACTGTGAATTGGTTGGATGCTCGAATGAAACAGACAGAAAATGCGTTGTGATGGTCGCCGAAGACGTCGTGTCTGGCTATTACGCTTCTAAATTTTGCCTTTAGCGCTTGTTGCAACGCTATAACAAATCTTAAGCGCACGCAATAACCCTAGCTAGCTATGGGAAGGCATCGCACCAGCAATGATCAACTCTATTCAGTACGCTTGAAAGGCTTGGATTGATCATCTCAGAATTTGTGCGGATGCAGTTAGTTAATTCGTGACAGGCCTGGACAGACGTTTCCTATTTATATTAAACGTTGTATTTGACTCAGTACCCTGAAGCCTATCGTGCAATGCACAGCTTGCCATGCTCACTCCATTCTTTCTAACGTCGATAATTTTAGGCATTACAATGATCCCGTTCGTACCATAACCGGCAGAATAAATAACACTTCGCAACAGGACATTTTGATAAATGTAGAGATTGAGCTAGTTCCTGGGTGAATTACGAGTACAGTCACCATCAAAGAGCTTATCATGGCCCTACGCAAATCACAAGCAATGTATTTGGACCGCCGCCAAGCAAGAGCTTGGTTCCACGCTCATAGACCTCAAATCCCCTTGATTATGGCAGATTTGTCTTGTGCTCCGCATGCGAGTACGCAACAGCTTCCACCTTCTCGGCACCCTCTGTCTCTCCGACCTCAACAGCATCAACCTCGCCAAAAATCTTCTCCATACGCTCAAGTGAGACGCCTTTCGTCTCGGGTAGAATGAAGATCACCGACACCTAAGAGGTCAGAGTTTTGCTTAAATGAAGTCACATGACAGAAAACATACCAATAATAATGTATTTAGTCCAAACAAAAGCCAGTAGCTTTTGCCACCAACCTCGGCGTTGAAAGTCGGCCATGACTGAGTCAAAGCGAGAAGACAAACAGTTTGCCCAAGTAAAGAGAATCCAAAAGCTTTGTCGCGGACCTCTTGTGGAAATATTTCAGATGCGATGGCCGGTGGGATTGGACCGTTAGACCAGCAGTACGTAAGGCCAACGATGAACAGCATGGCTACTTCAACCACTGCAGCGGCCTTGTTACTATTACTAGGGAAAGCGGTTAGAAGACACGAAAGGACAAGTAAAGCAATCGCTTGAATGGAAAATCCCGCAATCAGAAGCGGCTTTCGTCCGAAACGGTCTACAGTGAAGGTGTTCACTAGCACGATCACCAATTGTAGGGCTGCCTGTATGCCGTTGATTGCAAGAGCTTGGCGACCCTCGTTCCACCCCAGAGACTCGTATATCTGTCGTATGGTTAACATATGCTTGCGTTTCAAGATTGTACATGACTTTACTTACAAGTGTTGCGTACATTGTCAACGCTGCAATTCCACCAGCCTGTTGCAGCGCAGTGGCATAGAGTCCATAGCAAAGTCTCTTTCGCATACCAGGGGAAGTAAAAAGACCTTTGTAGCCAGTATCGCATCGCCTACGCGCTTCTGAAGCGGCGACAAGCTCATGAAACTCCTGCCGCACATGCTCGGAATCAGGCGTGCCCATTCGAAGTTTGCACAGAACATCCAAGACACGATCAGTGTTATCTGGGTTCTTCTCCAAAAGCCAGCGAGGAGACTCTGGATACCAGAAGCTGAGCACAATAAACATGATGCCGATCGGAATTTGAATAACGTTGGAGACGCGCCAAGCGATATTGAAAGGCGACGTGTGGAAGCTCATGCCATAGCTGCGTACTGTCAGTATTTCTTCGACTGCATTACCAATGGGTGCAACCACTGACCCCGTCCAGAAAGCAATGAAAGTCCCTAGCTGGTACCCAAACTGGGTCACAGTTCCAACAAAACTTCCACGTAGCAGCCTTGGACTGCATTCGGCGACATATAGTGATGTGGCGATATAGACACAGCCAAAGCCAAGGCCAGTTAGAAGACGGCCAAAGATTAGCACACCGTACGTATTGGGAATGCTTTGAACCACAACGCCAATAATCATGACACTGATAGAAATGCGCAAAGCCCAAAGTCTACCAACAAGGCTGGCCAGAGTACCGCCAACAAATAACTGAGCAAGACCAGTTGTGGCCCATGGCGCTGCAGCAATTGTGCCGGTGCGCGCCGCATCAACCGCATAATATTCAATGAATTGTTTGTCCGCCAAAATGACGGTCATGATACCTATTGGTGACTTAGCATAAGAAGTGGTTTATCGTCGACTCTTGAAATCAGCGTACCGGCATCGTAACCATTGAAACAGGTCGAAAAGACCATTCCATATAGCAAAAGTGCTGCATAGCGGTCGTTGGGTGGAAGAAATTTCTCAAAGAACCCCATATTTCCTAAGAACTAGAACTCGTCGTATAGTCTCTACCATTAGACGGCTTAGCGAAACGTGCCAGAGTGATTATCACCATGTGGAGATCTACCCGACGTTATGTATCAAGCAGCTATGCATAGTAATGGGCCATCACGTCCTGGAGAATTGATTGCAGTGAACGCACCTGGCCCATGGTTGAGGTAGGAGGGCACGACTTTGCGGTGGGAGGCCTGTAAACTCCCGGTGGGAGAGTTTTGACTATTGGCTCAAAATCCGTTGCTGGCGGTAAACACATGAGCGGTGTTGTGTTTGGTGCCACTTCTTGGGAACTCGTTCCACCTGGGCAGATGTATTTCTGTGTATACAAGCACCATTCCGAGATGGTCTAAACTGCCGGCGTATGCCACTGACCTCATTTTAGCAAAGAAAAGTGCACGAGTACCTCAGTGTCGAAACTAGAGTAAGCCAACCTATACCTGAGCCTTGCGAATATTGGCGAGTTTGCTAGTTATAAAAATTGCGAATGCCACACTGATCAGATGAGCTAAGCGTCAGAGCCTTAGGTGACTAGGCCCACAAATTGTCTCTGCCCATGATCTACCTTAAAATAAAATGAAAACCCCCCCTTGCAAGCTCGCTTCATACAAGGTGTATGTACGAATACGAAATGAGCTTTGCAAATCACTAGGTTAGGTTAGTGATTTGTTCACATTCGCTTGCAAGGGATATGGCGAGGAACATTGCGGGGAGCGTGTGGGGAGAAATGCGGAGTGCTAGGATTTTCTGGTGTGGGTTGCTTTCAGGGGTGCAAATTTACCTCCCAATAGGAGCGCCAAACTCCCCCGGTTCTCAGTGTCTGCAAGGAACTATCCCATTACTGGCGAAAGCCTTGATCATCCGTGTTCTGCATGAGGGTAGCAAGGACCAATGCCATGCTCGCAATATTTGCTTGCAATACGGCAATCGCCCCAAATCGATGGCTATATACAACAACTATGAGCCGAATGAGGCATTCAGGACTTAAGGACTAGACGATTGTGCGATTCGAGGAAAACTGTTCCAGTGAGCACCGTACTATAGCAACAGCGCAACATCCGGTGGATCTGATGGGCTAGCTTGTATATATAAGAGTATTTCAAACACCTTGCCCATCTGTCCAATTCATGATGTAGTGTTTGCATCCGAGCTTAGATTTGCATCGGGCGACATTGAAAATGTTACACATCAAATACTTATTCCTCGCCCTTACTGGTGTCATTGCTAGCCCTTTAGCTGCTCGAGATGACCTCACAGCGACGGTTGATCTCTCTAAAACCCGTGGTGATCCACAAAATGTAGCCTCTGGGTTCATCTATGGAATTCCGGACAACTATCCCAATCAGATACCTGATCATTGGTATGTTGTCAATGAGGCGTGCGGCACCACGAAATTGACATACATCGTGTAGGTACACAGACATTGGCTTCCGTTATGCCCGTACCGGAGGTGCTCAACTGGGCGCTCCTTCACGAGGTTGGCTTTGGGGCGAGTTTGAAGGCCGACTGCAGTCGTCATTGTTAAACTACAAGGTAAGATGAATTGGCTGGGCCACTTAACAACGTCTCTGACGCGTCTACAGGTTTCTCGACAGTTTGGAGCAGATGTGATACTTCTTGTCCATGATATCTGGGGCACTGACGGTAAGCTACTAGATACTCCTACATAGCTCAGCAACTAATGGCCTGTGCAGGAGCAAATTCTTCAACTCTGTGGCCGGGCGATAATGGCAACTGGGTTGACTTTGATAAATACTTGGCTACCCTTCTCGACGCACTCGTCGACAATGATATGCTCGATGGTCTGGTCATTGACATCTGGAACGAGCCGGAGCTGTCTGTTTTCTGGCAAAGATCTCTCCAGCAATATGTAGATCTGTATATCAGAACGCATAAGACTATTCGGTATGTCAAACACATCGGCTTTTCACAAAACATGGTTATATTGACACATGCACAAGCGCCGATTCACGCTTCAAAAACGTGAAGATTAGCGGACCAAGTATGGCAACTGCACCGGTCAATACTAACGTTTGGTGGACAACATGGCTTTCTCAGATTGCCGGGAATAACACAGTACCAGACCAGTGGTCATATCACTTGGAGAGAGGTGTATCAGACGTGACAAACGATCCCCAGTATACAAATGCTTCACTTGCTGGATTGCTCAAAACACATGGCCTACCCGAGCGTGAAGTCAACATTAACGAGTACGCCGTCTTCGACGAGATGCACCCATCTGGCTATGTTTGGTGGATCGCTCGCCTAGAACGCTACAACTTCCTTGGGCTTTTGGGCAATTGGCTTTCCGGCTCCACTCTGCATGACCTCTTCGCCAACCTCATCACCAAAACTCGTAACCCGTACAGCTACGCAGCCACTGATTACGTAGCTGCTCCCGGTTACTGGGTATATCGTTATTACGCCACGAACATGACTGGTGAGAGACTCTCGACTACAGGTAGTACAGACAATCTTCTTGATGTATACGCCACCAAGGACGACAGCACAGTTCGCTTGCTTGTTGGCTCCCGCGTCGCTTCCGGAACCTGGAGTGTATCAGTCACCGGTTTGAGTGCTATTGGTTATGGCACATCCGGCTCTGTGAGCATCAACACTTGGGGTTTCGACGGTACGGACGCTTTTGCTCCACAGGCTGCGCCGAGTTTCCGAAACACCGTTTCACACACTTTCACAGATAACACCTTGACGTTTCCAATTTACCAGACAGATACCACCACGGCGTGGGCATTCGAATTTTCTGTTAAATAAATTGATGAGGGGTCTGCGAGGGGCATATATCTAGGTATAGGTCTCTGATTTAGCCACAGGCTAGACACTTGACGTCAGTCACATTTGAAGGGCTTAACACAATTGAAGAGCTTAACTCGTCGTGTGTTTGCTACCACAGCTCCATTGTGTGATCCTCCAGCCATAAATATACCTACCAAGAGACGCGGTTGTTCCAGCTGAGCACTCTTGTTTTAATAATCTTCAGTGTCATTCAATTCCTTTTCAATCTGGGTGAATCATATCATCCTCATGGCCTTATGTGTCTGTTTCCAGCTTTACGGCCGAGATTGGGTCCGCAGTATTCTCTCTTACTTGCCGTTGCACACCTGGCTGGTACTACAAGTATGTATTCAACTCCATGATCATTTATATCATGACAGTAAGACGAGTGGAACTATATACACTCTAGGTTTTGCGAGGAGGGCGTGCGCAGGTGCACTGTATGGATAAGTCGCATTGCGCCCACGATTGCCAACCATACATAACATCAACAGGCTCGAATAATTGTAGACTCAATCTTCTCAGCCTCGTAAAATAGATCGAATCATCACTATTTGATGAATAACGTCTTCGAGTCGAGCAGGTCTTCGCAGTAAACTTGATCTACCATTTTACCATTCATGATACCGCCTACATAGGCCCCACTCACGAGTTGATAGAATTCCTGAGTTCGAGGAATTGGTCGCACGACGAAAGGTATAGTCGCGCCAAACCAGATTGTTATTTCATCGCCGGGTCGGATCACAGGTGTACTAAGGCCTATAAAACCTTTTGTGGTCGTGAAAAAGGCACGGCCAGGGAGTTTGTCACGTAGGCATCTGAGGTATTCATTCGTCGGAGTTTGGACAGTTTCTGGCTCTGGATCCTGTCCGTAGGCTTGGAAGCAGTGTGTCAAAAGCTCGTCGTACATTGCTGCATACTCGTCTGGAGCAACGTCATAACCTGAATGCCAGGCCTTGTTCGAGATTAGAATGCGCCAGAGCGGTTCCGACCCAGCTAATTCACCAATAACCTGGTCTAGGCCCTCGTCCGCGGAACACCTAGTTCGCGCTTTCGCGGCAAGCTGGTTGATATCCGTAAGCTGGGTCAGGCATCGCGCGAAGTCCTTATCGAGGCAGATAACCTCATCAACCAAATCTACGGGCAAAGCTTCTACCTTCAATGTCCTGACATCGTCTTGTGCAACTCCGTTGATGGCTCCTGCGCCCGGTCCGGACACACTCTGTGGAGAGGGCGGATTAAAGTCGATGCAAGAAATATCAATGGCTACCTCAGCAGACTGAGCAGAGAAGTCGAGCGCCCACGAGGGAAGCCCTGGAATTTTAGGCTCAAGGCCTGATAACCACATGCCAGACAAAAAGGAGGGTCCATCGCCTTTGGCGAATAGGTGTGCCACGGCTTCTGCATACACCGTTGCGACGGGCTTTTGATAATCAATCACAAAGTATGAGTCCCTGTCTTCGCTACGAAGCATGCCAAGAAGCGCGTAGATCTTATCGCGCGGGTCCGTTGACTCAGACGATCTCGAAGTCAATAGAAGCTCCCGCAAGCTCTCACCAGTTCCTTTGCGAACAGCATTTCGCATGTCGTTCAAAACATCAATCTTCAACTTGGCCAAAACCTCGACCACTTGCTCACGTTCTTCGCCTCGCCCACTATCACTAGGCTTAGGACGGACCATGCCAATCTCCGAAAACAAGCGCGTAGCCAGGACTGTCCACGCCGATATAAATAGTGACCAAGATGCACGTTTGCCGCCACAAGCAACGATCGGGTCTTCTGTTGCCAAAGCCATTTCTTGCAGGATCCATACCCTGCTGAACCATGGACGGCCATCCAAAGACGAATAAAAGCCGAACGTTGCATCCGTGGCTTTGTTATGACCTTCCCCACCAGCCGCAATGGCGGGCATAGACTCGAAGGCTACGTCGCTGTTCTCGTCGGCTTCGCCGATCCATAGGAACACCGTCGCTGCGTTGCTATATATACGGCCCATCATTTTTACTTGGGCGCTACGTTCCTTGTTGTCTCCCTGATTAATGCAGATGGCATCGATCCAAAGCACGATCGAATCGACTGTATGACGCAAATGGCGAAGAGCGCTTGCTAAGTTGGCAGTCACTGCAACTTGTACTAAGTCGACGACAATCTCGCCAGTTGTTTCTGGACTCCCCCATACATATGATAGTGCACCATAACAAGGCTTCTTGTCGAGTGTCACCGTCGCAAGCGAGCATTGTATTGGCGATGAGAATATGTTAGGCTGTATGGTAAGGATACGGATTTCGTGAGATGCCAGTTGCTCTTTGTAAAGCTGCATTAGAGACATCGGAAGGAAGGAATCTTCGACTTTAAAGGCAGCTTTTTCAAGCCTACACAAGAGTATTGCAGTTAGTCACAATAGAAATAGTAGCCAGATGCTTTCTCGTGAGCACAGGAGTGTGTATCATTACACTATTTTGTGTTTTTGAGAGACACTTTTGCGACCCGAAATACCAGATACGATTGCGCCCATTGTTTATGGCGGCCTGCAAGGAGCGGGGCGGCAATCTATACAGTAGCTCATAGGCTAGCCCAGATATGTCGTGTCTACAGGGCTAAAAGAATTTACAAGGCACAATATGTCAACGCGCTTCTTCACGCTTGCTTTAATCTTCATTCTATACAAGCTGATTAGATTCAATCAAATCATTAATTGAAACGATAAACCAGTGAACTATTTGACCATAAAGTCATGTTTTTATGATATTAATAATGTAAGAGTGGCTCCTGAAATCGGTCTTGTGGGAATGATCAAAGGTCACGTAGACAACGGGGATGCTATGTATCTGTAAATACATTTTACGGAGAAAACAGTATTTTTCATGTTTAACCGTGACAGAATACAAGAATTGTTTCGTTAATTCTGCGTAAATCACCGTGCTGCCGTTATTGTTTCCATTGAACAATTCGAGTTTCCTAGTAGGCATCATTCATACCAATCAATTCGCCACTCCGTCCACTATCGATCTTCTAGCGATACCCCGACCCATAGGTAATCCCCTCCCTTTATAACTGTTATTCAGCAGTCATTTGGCTGCTCCGTCCCAATCGATGGAGCATTGTAAGACGACTACGTCTCTACTGCCCACGTTGACTTAGGCTAGCGTAGAGAACCAAGCCCAAGAATTCTGCGACGATAACAGAGGCGGCGGTGACTTGGATAGCGATCGTAAGAAACAAAAGCTTGACCCAAAACTTGCAAAGCCGACCCCAAGTACCCTTCAGGGATTTGAAAGCCTCCAGTATAGAGAGATATCCCCTCTCTCGCACCTCCTCGACACCGAAAGTACGGTCCACGGCGATGATCGTCTTGTCCGCATCCGACATCAGAGAAGTCTGGCATCGTACGAGAACAACTTGAGATGGAATTTCTATTAAGGCGGCCATAAGAATGCGCAGGAATAAGAACACGCCAAGCTCCCACAGGGCGGCATCATGGACCGGCACGCTTGGGAGAAGACCATGTGGCTGGTAAACTCGAACGTGCAAGAGTAGCATGGCGAGCATGGGAATCAAGTCAGCGAAAAACGTAGCGGCGATCGCAATGAAGCTAGGAACAGCAGTTGCCTGGATAGTTTGTTTGAATCCAGGAATGCGCTTCCATGCCGACGTTCTGTTTCCTGTGCTGAGGACAGAATGAACCCAAAACGCTTGAAGTTGTAAGGTTAGAAGCCTTGCCAAGAGGTTATCGAAGAATTTCGGAACGGCAGGAATCTGGTAGAGGCCCAAGACCAAGACACAATAGACAAGAGTTGTGGCCCAAAGGCACAGTAATCCGCGAAAGAGGGCACGAAAACCGCCAATAGACCAAAGCAGGCGATGTGTTGCACGGATGCTGGAGGTTATTGGCTTGAACTCGGTGCTATCAAGCTCCTCGATCGATCCACCGCGAGACTTTGTGTCGCCTTTGACTTCATCTTCTTCTTTTGACGATATTCGTTCGTACGTAGGCTTGCATTCAACAAAAGCCAAGGTGGGGAAAACTGCACCCAAGGTATATGAAATCTAGTATCGGTAAGCTTCAAGACAGCAGAGTATGGGAATGACTCTTGCAGACATATTGAAGAACAGGCAGGAAGACAGCTATGTTGATGATTGCAAACGCAATAAACCAGGCTGAATCAAGATCAATGGTCGACTTGTATTCCTCCCTTTTGGCAATGCTGGATGAGGAGCCATAACCTCTTGCAACCAGGGCGGCTGCCGTTCTGAGGTCCAACATTGTGAAAAACTTAGGTCTTCGCAGATTTGTCGTATAATTGATATGAAGTTGCCTTTGAAGATCGGCTTAAGTGTGCATAAGTAGACTTGTGAGAGAAGTGAGCATTTCAGAGGGTGGGCAGGTTGTTGACGAAATGATTCTGCCTGTTGGGTCAATCCTTCGTGGCTGAGCAGGGCGACACTACAGAGTCATGCCATAGTCCTAGGCTGCATCGCTACGGCGCAGCGACAATCCAACAAGATTAGCAGGATGATTCTGAAACAAACGAGGTGCACCTCCATAGGCAACTCATCGATGCACAAGCCTGAAGACACTGAGAAGAACATGGTGCAATAGTGGTGACTATTGCTTGACACGGGATGATTTCGTGTTCCATGTTCCTGTACATTCAAATATTGCAAGCGACAACACAAGGTCAGAAGTTCGAACACACAACAAACTTGGCTGTAGCCTGCCAAGCCGATACACTTCCAAGCGCACGGGATCATAACCTACGAAGTATCGCTCATCTTAGTTACACAATTCAATTGAATTCACGAACGCTTCTCCCACGCTGGCATGCATTGTCCGGATTGGAAGTCTGATGGGAGAAATTGAGTTCTGTATAATAGATAGTGATAGGTGAGCTTCGATGATGGTCAACCAAGCTAGTGCCCGTCCCCTCCCCCCAACGTAAGATTAACGGACACTACGATTTCCCAAAATTTACCATGCAGCAATCCTCTCATCCGTCCACCATCGATTGAGTCATCTCAGGACAACCCACCTTCACTCAAGCGACATCAAAGACTAATACATGGCGATTGGTTGTCCTAATATTGACCTATAGCTCCCGGGTGATTGATGGCTTCGGATTCTGCGGCAGCACAACGCTTCATCACAAAAGCGAAGAGATAGTTCAACCAAGACGTTCAGTAACGGGTATCACGTTACAACAAGAAGGGAAATCTCATATATTCATGCAATAAAAGGCTTAAAAGGGTACCTTCCATAGTACTATCCCTATCCCATCTTGACACTGCTCTCGTCCCATTCACTAGCGGCAGACACGAACGCCCACTTAACTGCTCTAGGCCTCCTTCTCTGGTACAATGCTTCCCATCTGAAGAATTGCATCCTCGATAAATACAGTGATGACAGTGAAGCTATTAGGAACGACAGTACGAGAACCTTTGATCAACGACACTGCCGTGGACTTCGGAGTGTCATTTTCCCAGAACTTTGGAGTGGACAACAGCAACATGGATTTGCCCTCCACAGCGATAGCCCATGTGTAGTAACCCATCTCATTCAGCAGCAGGCCGCTGCCCTTCTGCCCTAAGATCTCACGGCAAAAGAAGTCAGGATTGCCTCGTCCTAAGCGGAAAAACTCCTCGTGGTTGTCGACCGCCATGTTGATATGAATCGCGGTTTCCGGGATATGATTCTTGAATAGAAGCTTGCAGACGAACGACCTTCACCCTTCCGGCGCTCGGTCAGACGCTGCTGAACGTGCTCAAGAGTCAACTGCTCGGTGCAAGTCGTTCCTGATAGGTCAATCAACGTGTCCGAGATATCAACGCATGCATTCTGGTCTGGAAAAGAAGCGATGTAGTTGACCAGAGCTTCATCTGGATTTAGGGGTCCTTGATTGATGAATTTGTCTACCTTTCCGCCACTTGTGGTCTTCGGTGTGGCCATGTTCGATAATCTTTCTTAGAGATGATTGCTTAGCTATGGTGTCAGCGATATCATCCAAGAAGCTCCAGATGTCAGAAGCGTACAGATCAGTTTGAAAGTGATAGGCTTTGATTGTGTCTATGGTGTTGGAATACTCGGGACGTAGCATAGAATTTTTTGTTATTTAAGGAAGGGTGCTGTTGTATAGTGTCGCGTTGGGTATTTGTTTTGTTCCTGTAGAAACTGCAGGTGAGCGCAGCAAACGAAGCGACGAACGAAGCAACGAACGGAAAACATTGCTCGGTTGTCCTCAACAATGGTCGATTCCGCTAGTAACAGGGTACAAAAATACAATCAATCCGTTCAAGCAATGCTGTAGATGCATTGAATTGCCACGTGAGAATATCTGAGGTTAATTTTCTGCAGTGTGGCCCAAGTGTATGATAGTATCCAACTGCTCAGGAAACCGTTATATGGCTGCCCAGGGTTATGTTAATGTTTCAAATTATTAGATTGCGCGATGATCCCTTATCATTGATGGTCTCATCCACAGGTAGTTTCGATGACAGCTATATCGCGTATCGAGCTTCTAGAAGGAACCCAATAGTAAGCACTTGTGTGAGATGGCTTAATGTATATGCCCGCTGGGTGCAGATTTAAGTTCGCATCTTCCACCGTATAGCACTTCTCTCCACTCAGGAATCCGTAGTTCCGCACGATCTTAAGCAGAATAGTTTTGATCTCTCACAAGGCAAATACCCACCCGATACAAATTCATGATCCGTTAGACAATACCCGAAAGCAAACAGACTATATGAATCGCTTGCTAGACGTTCCCATCGGGTTGTGTCGACTCGCCCTGCCCAGAATCATGGGGTTTGACATGGCCATGGATGGGCATACATCGATGCAAGTATTCATTGGGATATTAAAGCCCTTGATGGCAAGATCTTCATTGGCTCGACGGTACTACGTGGTAGAATTTATCTTTAGAGGCTACGACATAATGACGGCATAAACGCCCACATAGCGAATAGACTCGCAAAGTCTCTTTAATGAAGTTTTCCAGATACGGCAACTTTTCGATGGATATATATGAAGGCTTAAGGGGTTCATCTGAAATTAGCCGCTGATTTCCAAACACAATCTGTTCTGCATATCCTGTTGCTTTGCGATTATTCGAAGACTTCACGACAACACATATGCTGGTGTATCATGCCCAGCAGCTAAAACACCTGATGGAATTGCGCATCAGGCCACCGTTTCATTCGTTGGATACACATATTTGATGGCGTGTCTGCTCTGAGAATATTGACAGTCTGGCTCGGCAAAAGATTCCTATGATTTTCTATTGAGCCTGAGTGTGCTTGTGGGTGTAAAGATTTATATACACTTACTTGTGGACCAGGGAAATAGCGCAAAGGAATTAAGTACTTATGATAGAGCAAGATTCGATGGTTTTTCTGCATGATGTATTTAGCAGAAGAAAAGTACCACTAAACTCTTGAGTAGAGATTCGAGTAACAATTCATTTCGAAGCTTGTACCACAGAAGAGACTCGAGGACAGTGACGAAAGACAATTTGTGAAAACGATCCTGCGGACAGATTTCTGAAGGACATTGAATGACTAGTGTTCCTGTCGACCCAGCTCAATTAATGAGTCAAAGAATTTATCAGTAATCGTGTATACCATCTGCGAACGGAATTCTTGATTATCGGGATGCAGCCATGACTAGCCCCGAGCTGACTTTGCAAGTGGAAACAACACTTGTAGCCGCTTTGTACCCTCGGACAGATTGTTGCTCTTCGAGTAGACGATTTCGAAGGCGCCGTATGTTATCTTAGGTCCTGAGCAGATGAACTATTTAGTTTATGTTGCATACCATCATATCCAGTTAAACCTGTTGGTGTTCTAGTCCTGGCTGTGTAAAAGATGGAGGTGCCCATGATGCTTGGCATTATGGAGGATGCGGTCAATTATATGAAGCTAAAGAGTGTCGAGTCTAAGGCTTAGAAATGTATGCAAGGTTTTAACGAAACAAGAATGGATACTATTCGTATTTGAGAGCATTCTTAAATTTACAGTTTTTCTATGCCTCAGTACTTGTCGTCAAGCCCTAGTGCTTGATGGAATAGGTACCTATGAGCTTAATACACTATGTCCTGTCTCTCGATACCAATCTTGGTGAACTTGTCAAGGTCCTCCGTCGGAAGTCCAAGCAAGGCATTCTGTAAGCCTTTCTGCTCGTATACTCCGGATCCGTCCGGGTAGAACATACGGGTATACATGGCTCTGGCAAATCCTCGCAAGTCACCCTCCTTCATGATCTTGACACCTCCTTCATACCTCTCCTTCGAGTTCTCGTAGCTGGTCTTCCAGTCCTCTGCTTTGGTTCCCGTCACGCGCAGGACGGACTCAAACATGTCCTGCTGACTGATACAGAAGGAAGAGATGTAGACGAACTTGTTTTTGAAACTCGAAAGTGTCTGGCCCTCACCATCGATAGGCAGTGAAAGTAGCCGCGCTACTGCAAGTCCGGACTGTGGCCATGTGGTCGTGTTGATAGGTTGTTTCCCGTCGTCGAAGAAGACGACGGTGCGGTTCTTAAAGTCAAACCCATAGCGGTCAGGTGACCCGCCGAGACTGAACTCGTACCAGAAATTGGACACGATGGAGATCCATGAACTCTTACCCAGGTCCTGGATGTGCTTGCGCACAGCGCGGTTCCCCTCTCCGAGGAAGATGTCGTCCCCGAGCTTGTCGTTGCTCATGTCGCAGCCCCAGTTGTTGGGGATGACAAAGGGAACGCCGGCCTCGGCGGCAGCGTCGATGAGCTTTATCTGGGACTCGGGTGGGGCGCGCACGCTCATGGTGATGATGAGGACCTCTTGGCCCTCCAGGGCGTTGACAAGGGATGAGTGATCATCATAATCCACCTTTGCGACTTTGACGCCTGCTGGGATGGCGACATCGCTGTTGGCACGGGTGATGGCAGTGACATTATGCTTGCCAGCCTTGAGGAGCTCGTCCACGATGAACTTGCCAACAGAACCAGTCGCCTATAAATGAAGGTTAGTGATGCCGGATGTGCCTTTCTTGATTCTCACTTACTCCAACGATAGCGACGTTTCTCACATGTGACATGTTGAAACGTATATTTACGAAATTGCTATTTTCGAGGGCCTTTGTTTAAGAAAGTTTAAAATCGAGAAATGCAACAACAACGAATGTAATTTGTTGTATGTCGTGGTCTTAGGGGAGCTATGGAAGCTTTGATACCATCACTGGCCGAGATCGATATATTATTTATACCACTATTGGAGCGCGGAGATGACACGCTACCTCCGGGAGCAATGAAGCCGATATCGTGCAGCGAGACAGATTCGTAACACAATATTAATCGTACAACACCTTGCCCAGCAGGTACTGTCTTGAGGTAGAGCGGGATGGCTCGGAGTTTGTGTTATGTGCCGACGGAGATAATAGTTTGCTCTATCAGGTTAGATTGATAAGAAACCTCCGGTTTGAACGGACAGTCATGTACGGATAACACCGAGCGATGGTCTTGTTCCTTCTGCCAAATGGCTTTCGTGGCAAATGGTCCTTCCAAAGAGCACTGTATACTATCATTTTCGAATAGAAAAGTCATCAGGTTGCTTTTTGAATCATGCGGGAATCCGGCTTTGAAATCCGCGAATGGATGCATTCGGTGTAATTTGCCGCCGATGATCAGTTTGAGCTGGGTATCTCAGTTTGTATGGACTACTGTTCAAACTGTAACAGCTTCGCTCGCATACACGCACTGTCCTGGTAGTACCATCAGACGCAGTAGTCAGCAGAATGCCACTCGAATTGCTTATATACGTCTTCCCTAAATGAGTTTCTTCAACACCGGCAGCCACTCCAGCAACGTCTTCCCGACCACCGCCGAGACCCAAGCACTGGTCAAGCCAACAGCGGCTGTCATAACCATAGGACCAAGGTTCTGCCAGTTTGGGCTACCCCTTAAGACATTCAACACTGCGCTCGACATCAGGATCTTTTCCACGAGACACTCTATAGCAACGCACACTGGCGTATGTACCAAGAATGTAGCATACGAGTATCTTGCATTCCACGTGAATGATGTAGCGGGTGCATTGTGCCATTGGTTAAAGTAGGACATCAGCGCAGGCCCTAAAAGGTTAAAAGCAAGTTCGTTCCAGAAGGCATATAGAAAAGACGGTAGTGTCCATCCCCCAAAAGCTTGCTTCATAGTCTCACTCAGCCAGTCGGTCGAGTCAAGATAGCGCGGTCCGGGGATGAGACACATGGACATAAGACTAATCATCAGTGCTGTCGAAAGGGGTATGCTACCGCTTGACATCGGTTCGGCGGATCCTTCCCCATCGTGAGACTCTTTGGCCTTGGTCGCAGTAGTCGTAGAATCGAAGGGGCCGTTCATGGTTTGCTCGCCTGCCGTGTATGCTAGATACCCAAGAGTATAGGCATAAACATACTGGAAGGCATATGCTGGTTGTAGCCTGATGATGGGCAAAAAGGTCCCTACAGGGTACTGTGTTTTGACCAAGAAGCTGCAGAGCACGACCGCCAACCATCCATAATTTTTTAGATCTCCGTACTTGGCAACCTTATCTGCACGGGAAGCCTTGTGCTGCTGGTGTTGAGAAGCTTTCTTCACTAGTACCGCGATGGCATCGAAACACAACAATGTCACCGTATACCAAACAGCTCCTCTCACGCCGTCCAAGTTCGTATAGTAGTGCCTCAAACATATACTAATAGACTCGAGGTCCAAGCTCGGCAGCACCATCAAATAAGCTATGGGGTTAACGACCAAGGTATATGCCACGGCTGGAATACCAAGTCGCAGGGCTTTGTTCTTCAGAAATGCCCCGTAATCTGTAGTCTTCTCCAGTGACTGTGCCGAGACGCGCCCGGAGATCCAGAAGAACAAGCCCATGAAAAAAGACTGGTTAAACATGTTGAATCCCGTCACAAGGGGCGAGGTGCCCACGACTGCAGCGGACTTGACGAGCCACCCCCCTGATCCGCCATAGGCTATGGATGTGTGATGTACCGTGACAAGACCTGTAAGAAAAGTCCGTAGATTATCCATATCATGGCGCCGTAAGGAGATTATATTGTTGGACGTCGCCATGGTGAGCGACTTTTGCGACTTACGAGCACAACATCTACCTCGACAAACTGACGCTCATCACTGAGATATATAGCTGCTGCTACCTTCGGGTGGTCGCATGCGAAATGGCCGTGGTGAACAACATCATTGGAACCAATTAGGCGCCGACCAACACTGAGTTTCGGCGTCCGGAATACCCACTTTTGTGTCGACGAATGTTGGGGTATCGATTAGGAAGGCTTGTCGGGGTTCATATGAACCTGCCAGTCGCCGTCATCATACTAGATCGCTGACTAGCAATACCAGAAATGCCAGGATTCATTCGCAGCATGCCAATCCAAACAACAAACACGATTGCTACGACGCGCGTCGAGTATTCTAGCTGCCTAGACTCCTGGAGGTACAACGCAAAACTAGTATCGTTACGTCTCGGAGTTAGTCCAATGCAAACTATGGCTTAATCGTCATCATGTCATATTAGCATGGTGAGCTGCGATTAATAACCATCAAAATTAATTGACATTGGGTGATCGTCAATAACCGCGAAAGGTGTTCATTGCGTCTGTGTGCAAGTAAGGAGCAACAGCAGGCTGACTATGACGAATGCTTTAATTATGCTCATTGGGAGAAAGAAGACATTCAAAATTTACTTGGAGGGATGACCGTTGAGAGAATTCAAATTGGTCTTCCTGATTTCTAGATCCAGACTGTCAATTGCACCCGTTGAGCGAGAACCTCGGTACAAATGTTGGCCTATGTTAGATGCAGGGACCATCAGCCTCGGCGGTCAACCGCGGCAATAATGGAGGAGTCAGTCCCAGGAAAAGATACGTACCCAGCAGGCCCCATTCTGTCAAAAACACCAGAGAATCCGCAGGGGGACTCAATTCTACGCATGCAAATCCCATCATGCCAATGAAATAAAAGAGCGAAATGACTCAAAAATAATCATGAGTCAGTCTCTTCCCGTGCAACTCAACTAGGAGATCATTGCTATCATTCTTTTACGCAACTTCAAAGTCGTGCCAAACAATCCAATAATCCATAATGGTTCCTGCATCACTTAAGTCGTGTGCGATATCGCTATATCGGGGCACGCGGTCAATTGCCCCTTTGAATGCCGCTAAACCCCTGCTGTCGGTGCTATCACACCACCAACAGAGATGGAGTTCGCACTCTCCCATGGGTGTTCCTACAGGACCGTCAAGGAAGAAAGTAACTCTGGGCACAATTCGTTCCATGTACAAGAAGAATGAACCAATTACGGTCATAACTGCGCATGACTTCCCCAGCGCGCTTGCTGCCGATACGGCTGGGATGGAGATTATTCTCGTTGGCGACAGCCTCGCTATGGTATCGATGGGTATGGAAGATACCAGTGAGGTGACCACAGAAGACATGTTGATGCATTGCCGGTCTGTGGCACGTGCAACCAAGGCGGCGTTCATAGTGAGTCTCTTTCTGCCTTCTCACTTGATGCTGAGATATGTGTTGACATATTGTAGGTTGGAGACCTGCCAATGGGCTCATATGAGATCTCATCTGAGCAGGCATTGGCAACAGCCATCCGTTATGTCAAGGAGGGTCGTGTGCATGGTATCAAGCTCGAAGGCGGTGCTGAAATGGCGCCAACTATTGAAAGGATTACCAGCGCTGGCATTCCAGTCCTAGCACACATAGGTCTGACTCCTCAACGCCAAAACGCCCTCGGAGGGTTCCGTGTCCAAGGAAAGACGTCAGCCGGTGCCATCAAAGTGTTGGAGGATGCGAAGGCTGTGCAAGAAGCTGGCGCCTTCGCCATGGTACTCGAAGCCGTTCCCGCAGAGGTTGCCAGTCTGATCACTAGCGAGCTTTCGGTACCAACTATTGGTATTGGCGCCGGTAATGGTTGTTCAGGGCAAGTCCTTGTTCAAATAGATTTGGTCGGCAATTTTCCTCCAGGACGTTTCCTTCCAAAGTTCGTCAAGCAGTATGGCAATGTTTGGGCCGAGAGTATACGAGCAATTGAGTCGTACAAGACGGAAGTGAAGGCTCGCCAATACCCGGCGGTCGAGCACACGTATCCTATATCCAAGGACGAGCTCGCAACATTTGAAGCTGCCATCAAGAGATGAGTTCGTACCAGGCACAGTTCTCAGAAAGTGGTCTGGGTTTCGACCAAATGGAAATTAGTCAAAGCTGCTGGCGAGCAACGCAGCAATGTTTTTTGCGTGAGTTTTGAATGACATTTTCAGGAGTCGGCGGGATACCATAAAGGGAGCGCATAGAAGCAGCTCATCCGAAAGCGGGCGTCATAGAATAAGCCACAATCAGTTGGTCACTTGAGTCTTTAAAGCACTATTTCACTGAATTAGCATAGCTTTTGTGGTTGTCCTTATTGAGAAGAGCAGGACATCTTTTCGCAACATACTCTATGCAAGTTCCCTACAACCTCGTCCAACGCCGGCGCGAATGCGCTGTTCACGTAGAGGAACAAGCCGTCGGAAGGCGCGACCTTTAAGGCCTTGCGCAGATGTGAGACCACAGCCTCGAACTTCTGCGTGGCACTAATCTTGCGGACCTCTCGCTGCAGTTGAGGGGCGGAGCCGACAGCCTTGAAACGTACGACGACTTTCTCTTGCTCAAAATCACCGGCGGTAGCAAGCGCGGAGCTGGCATCCTGCGGGAGACTTGTAAGTATTGCAGAGGCTGTCATGGTAAGCGGTAGCTCTGGAGATGCAGGCCGGTCCAGGATTGGAGATGGAGGGGGTGACGGAGAGTTCCGTTCTGGCACATCTGGGTACTCCATTTTGCCCCAAAGAAGATTCGCCTTATTTTCAGTGGTCGGCGGTGATGGAACTGTACAGATTGGAGATTTGATGGGTAATGATTGAGGTGTACGTGGATCATGTTGGAAGCCTTTATCGTGTGTACGGACAGCACGCGTCCCCTTCCAAGTAATTCCAGGCAAGGAGGAGAGAATGGTGGGGCCGCCTAGGTACGCTCCGCACTGTAGGCAGGTACCTGACGGTTGGAAAAGGTGGGGATCGCAAACTGTTCGGGTGTGCTACAGCGAGTTCATGAGCAATTATTAGTGGCCATGGTTCAAGTATTCCAGCACGACTCCTTTTTCAAGCTGAATTTCTTTACGTATCTGATGACGGCTCGTTCAAGAAATTTGGCGTATGCCGAGAGTCCACAAAACGGCTTTAACGACAACCGAGTTAATACACAACGTCGGGTTGTCTTATATTCCTACAAGCGATATGCAAGAACATAAAGACAGCGGGCGAATCATCGATCATTCGTCGAACATACTATGAGCTCATTCTGTGAGATTTGAGCCATTCGCCAACTGCTTGCGTTCTTTTTCTGACCCTGTTTGCTCCTGCTGTTGTTGGATATCCCCCTGCCTCACACGTCGCCGTGCGTCGACGTACATCATCATTTCTTGGTATGTAGAGGGCATAACCTTGATCGACTTTGGGACCGAGAATGTGTAGTTGAATTGGCCCGTCGGTCTCGCGTTACCATGTTCAACATCCCTCACTTTGCTATCTACTCGCACATGAACCCTTGTCACTGGATTCTCTGCATCTTTCTGGCCTGGCTCACTGCCATCTTCCTCGAGCAATGGTGGATCCGTGTAGGCGACGGTTGCGGTTAGGTACAGCACGCTGCCTACCGGGACCGGGTTTTTGAATGTGCAGGGATCTGCACTAATAAATGTAGGTCGCGCATGTGCGAAACTGGCAGCACAGCAGAAAGCAAGCTCGAACGTCTGCTTCAGATGGTAGCCTCCAAATATCATAGTCTGATGGCGATTCCTATATTGCGGCTGCATGATCGTTGCTGTGGACAGTCGTGTTCTCCCCATGCTAATAACATTCTTGGGTTGCCGAAGCCCATCATTCGGGTCGTGATATTGAACTTGCTTCAGCCATATCTTATGTATCAAAGCTGACTCTGGGTCGTCCGGTTCGGTAGACAGCAGGGAAATCTTCCTATGCTCCTTCTTGGCCAACGCTTTCGCCTCTCCAGCTCTAAAGGCCCTCTCCTCTTCAGGCGTGTCGTATTCGAGAGCGGGAACGTTGACCGGCTTTCTGGTTTCCGGATCCAATGCAACCATGGTGAATGTGCAAGTAAGCAGTACATCTTCTGGCCTGCTGGGTTCTCCTTCGGCTCTTGCTCTTGCTACTTTACACGTAATCTCTACGCTACTTCTGCCTGTAGCATAAGTAACTTGTCCACTATATTCAAGATCGCATATTTCGGTCAGGGGATGGGATAAAGTGATTCGGTCCAGGGCGGCAGTGACTGTGGTGACGCCAGGGCCAGTATGTTTATAGACAATGATACCTGATAGCGCGTCCAAGTCCATGAATATCGTACCGAGACTGCAAGCCAATCGTTAGTAGATATCCCAAGCATATTGTCTAATCAGACTCAGACAGTCAGCAGCTTACCGGATATGCCCTGACGAGTTGATATATGTATCAGATAACCAAGGATCCTGGCCAAGTGGTAGCACTACACGATGATAGCTGTCGCTCATCTTCTTGGGAGTCGTGTCACGCTCATGCGGCTTGGCCTCGGAAGAAGCCGTACTCTCGCCCTCTTGCTGTTTCCGCCATGCTTCTATCCACGGGGTGGGCAAACGACCATCCGTCAACCCCCTGAACACACCATCAGTCCGCCGTGCCGACGTCGCGTGCAGGCATCGCGTCTGAAATTGGCGCTGACAAGTTTGGGCCGGCTTTGTCACTTGCCGCGTCGATGCGATCAATTTTCTGAGGGATTGACTCCGGCTTGCCATTGTAACCTGTTTTGGCGAAGACCTCCAGGCGCGTGTGGAAGGTAAAAGGAGAGTTAAGACACCGGTATCTCGACTTAGACTTATGTAGATATGACGCAGTTGTGTAGCTATCGTCGGAGTGGAGACATATATGCATCAATTGTACGGTGGCTTAAAGGCCCTAGTTACTGTTGAAACACCCATTTTTAAGGAATAGCTTTACTAGGCCTGCCCTAGGGTGACTTAAAAAGCTAGATCTTGATTAACCTAGAGTGGTTGATAAGACTAACTATAACATTGGGACAGTACTCTACTTTATCAACACCTGCGCGCAATTCTGAATAGCATGTTACCATTGTAAGTAGTCGCTTCTTTTCCTTTTTTTCTTCTTTTTTTTTTCTTTTCTTTTTTAAATACATATTATCGCCAATCGCTAATTCTCAATTACACGTTCCGCTAGTTACGAATCGCTGACTTGTACCTTATCGCCACTTGCCAATTGCCAGCCGCACGCTATCGCAGATAAGTAATTTTTGTTCTTAGAGGGGCGTAAATGTATATCCAAGGTTTGGGTTTTTCCAATCGTAAGGCCTGTACAGTGGTCAATTGAAGGTTGCCCCTCCAACCTCGGTATAGCCATCGGATAGACTCGGATTCACTTCGTTGGGACGACGCAATATGCGAAGCTTGTCATCTTGAAAGCACACAACGTATCGAAAATACAATAATGAGACCCCCATATTAGTCTAGAGTTTCTCAGCGTTCAGCTGGCGTAATGGAGGTTTCACCCTTGCAGCCCGGACTCCAGACTCCAGACTCAAGGCGTACTCCTTCCTGTACTTCCATTATCTTTTAATGGAACGGAACGGTAGGTATTGTTCAAGACAGTGTAATGCAGCACCCCTTTTCAATTTCAATACAGAGAATCGTGACTTCCAACTGAATCTCATGATTCGCGCGACATATTGATTGTCTAACAATAATCAAGCTCTACTTTCGACCGAGCTGGCACTTGTGACGGGACAACTTCAGGCATGATATCATCCGGACGACCTGGTAATTCGTTATGTTTGTGAGAAGTTACTTTGCCAGGCGATCACCAGTCTTAAATCTACAGCCGGAAGCTACGTCAGCGGCCTACCGATTTCTGCATTTCTCGGCTGCATGCCGTGTTAACGATGCCAACATTGAAAATTCGGCGCTCGGTAACAGACTTGCATTACCAAGCAGTTATGCAGGACTGGTTATATCAGTCGTATCGAAGACTACATTGGGATTGATGGGCCGTACGGTTTCGGGTCGTTCGGCCTGCGGATAGGTCCACGATGAGAGTTTCTATGTATCATCACTTTCGCCATCCAGCTTAGAGGTATCAAAGCTGGTCATAGTCTTCAGTAAACACTACCTTAGACCCACTATACGAGTCATCAATGGATCAGCGCCAGATGTATCTCAGTTCAGAGGACTATTGTTCACGGAAACTCCTTTTGATTCTCTGCACGTTCTCCCCCACAGCCTAACACACCATCAGGCATGATCGATGCTACCAAGACCGGGCCGGAACGTCCTCAATATCTTCTCACAAAGGACCTGTATCCTTAAGTCTATAAATGAGCATTCGGGTGCCGTTTAAAATCTAGCATACTAATTCGGAATCGTTGCTAGTCCTTATAGGAGTCTTTGATGCTTAGTTTGGTGAAGGGGGCTTAGTGATGCTGGGTTTCAATGCTCCATTGGGTTGAAAGCAGCCAGAGTTACATCCTAGTTGCAATTAATTTTGTTATTCTCTATTCTACTCATATATAGCTGCGCGGCCGACATTGGACAGTTTACCGAAACAATATACTTGGTTCTCCGAACGTCCAGTCTCTTGCTGAGCAAAGGTGTCAATGTCAACATGTGGCTGCTAGGCCAACGAGCTACTATTGAGTGGGTTCGTGATGATCCTCAAGCGTCTGGTGGTGGCCCCGTCATGAATTACAATATAGGGTCAGAGCAGTGGTGCTGCTAGTACGGACTTCTACGACTACGCCTATCCTGCTGTTCCCTTATTGAACTGTTTTTCATGCATTAAACTAGGGCAGTATATTCGTGATAGGTGCAAGTACGCACAGCCCCTAGAGCAATTTCACTTATGTTGCTTAAAATTTCGGATGTGTAAGATGTCAACTGCTTGCGAGTTTACCTATATATAGCACAACGTCATCTCAGACGCCACTATCAGCTTCTACGAGGATGTCGATTAAACACAACTGTTATTGACAATGCCACTCAGTTATATCAGTACGCCGAGCGTTTTAAGAAGATTCCGAGTAGTGCTTTAATTCAAGCAATAACCAATTATTGCTCAAGTAATTCAAGTAGATTGTGCTTGGTTGCCTCTATTTATAGTCAGCTCTGCTCTCATAATCAAACAATCTTCCCTTCATGAACTAGGTGCTTCTTCCATAGCTGGGTTCCGTGGAGCGGAAGCTTTCACATACAATGGATGGCTCAAATGACTCAGAATGAAAATTGTATCAATAAACTGGAACTTTCCACGTATGCTGTATGTTTGCGTGAAGGAATTCGCTCCTGCTTTATCCCTTCCACAAGGCAGATCAGATAGGGCTGGAGACTATTAACTTACAAAGTCTCCGATTTCGTTAGCGACCCAACGGGTTGGGAAAAGAGGTTATTGCCCCTGGCATATCTATGCGCTTGGTCAGCATGATAGAATCTGGCATATGTCAACTAAACATGTGGCCGAGAATCGTATCAGAAGTAGCAGACACCCCATATTTGAGGATTGCCAGGCTACCAGGCTACCAGGCTACAGGGCCTTATCCAACGCCAACTTTTAAAGGTAATTTTGCATCAATCAGGGTGAATTATTCCAACACGTGCCTCTTGACTGGGCGACATGATAAACATCGCCACCGCGATATTGGCCCAGCCTCGTGCATTTTGGCATGAGGAACGACTTGGCACCAGATTGACTCCTTCGTGATTCGCGGGTACCTTACCCGATCTGCAGCCACAGCTCGGTTGTACGCATGCCAATGCTCTAAAGTGAAGGTTGTTCAGCTTTCTGGAAAAACTCAGTGCTGGTCAGTCCGTTCGAATTCCTCTCAGTCTGCTGACCTCCATAATTCAAAACAGGCTCCGCATGGGTGCGCAGCACCAGCAAGTAAACTCGCTCAAGTCCTCATTGTGTCCTCTTCTTTTGATCTATTGAAGTGCACATCCTACGGCCCACTATGTTATTATGTTAGCAGGTTTCATTAGCTGCTCATTATAGAGCTTACAACAAAATGTTAGCTGCCGCCTTGATCGTAACATTGGCTCATCTTATCACATTGTCCGTGGCCCAGAATTGTAGTCTGGCGCCATTGTCCCTTACTATCCAAAACACGACATTTAGCGATGGCATAGCAGTCAATCGAGGAGTCCAAACCTTGCTCGGTGGCCAACTTCTGGGACTACGCCTCTCACTTAGCCAGAATAATACACGTGTCAGGAATGCACGAGACTGCTCTGACATTCCAGCGAACTTCTCTTCTTGTCAGGGTGCATCAGGGGGCGTATTTAGTGTGTCCAACGACTCATTCACACAAGTCCCTCCCAGCAAGTGGAATGTCTCAGCCATAGACCCCCATCCACAAGATGCCACAATTATCTTTGGATATGGAACTACTGAGTTTCCTGGGACTCCAGCAACGATTGAAAAACTTCCATTTGAGGTCTGGGCTGACAGCAATGCGGCGAACAAATCTGAACTTGCGCTCGGCCCAAGCTCGTCTTTCCTTGAGCGATTGGTCGACGCAGCCTGGGCACCAACTCGTAACTTTGGGCTATACTATGGATCCAGATCGCAGAACTGGGCAAAGGATGGTCAGCTTGTCATTGGAGGAGTCGATGTCGCAAGATTCGATGCGTCCTCGCTTCAAGAGTTCCCTCTGGCCGGTTATGGAGCATCGACAAGTTGTCCTCTGCAAGTGATGCTTTCCGATGTTATATTGACCAACTCCAACGGAAATCACTCATTGTTTAAAGATCCCGATGCCAGAGTTCCCGCTTGTGTCGACACAATTCAGAATGCATTCACCTTCACCAGGACTATGTACACAGAGTGGGCTCAACTTACACAACACATTGATTATGATGGTTCAAACTATTCCGCACAAACCTACCCAGCAGACAGAGAACCCCTGATTGGGTCTTTGACAATCAAATTGTCTAACGGTTATACATCTATAATTCCTCACTACGAACTAGTATCGTGGGAGCGAGGCACAGATCCTCAGGGAAAATATAGTATCACAAACTCATCCCGAGTAATGGCCGCAGTTTCGACTGGGCAGAGTGATTTGGGAATTGATGTGCCCTTGCTTGGTGGGGTGTTTCTATCGCAGAACTACTTGCGCGTTGACTACGACCAGAAGAAATTTTGGCTTGCTAAAGCCTTGACTTCTGACTCGACCTCATCATCAATCAAGACAACTTGTGAGGTGAAGTCCTCGGGGAGTGGTACCGGAGGCAACGCCTCGGCGGGTGGCAACAACGACTTGGGCCTCAAGGTTGGCTTGCCAGTAGCTTTTGTTGTTGTTGCTATCGGCTTGTTCGCATTTTGGCTATTCAAACGTCGGTCAAACTCTATTCTTACTGGCTCAACCAAGACCACCAGCCCATTTAGACGCGCCTTTTCTTTCTCCGTAGATTTGCATGATGGGAGGAAACGCTCTGAGCTTGAGACGATAGAGAAACCAGTGGAGGTGCCAAGTGTCAATGTCACTGGCAGAAGAATGTCCGAGCTCAGTGCTATGCAAGCTGCCGAGTTACCTTCGCCTGCAACATCTCCTAATATGAGAGGTTATGTATAATGATGATGGTTGCTCTGGTTACCTTCCCAAATATTTACTAGAAGATGGAAGATTAGTTGTAATAATTCAGGCGGAGCTGAAGCGGGTACTCTACTAGGTTAGATTTTTCACTGTTTTTCGAGAGTGGTCTGATGTTGGTGCTCTTTAATGTTAATCATGTTAGATAGAATCATCGAACACTGTGTCCTTCATATGGTTGACGGGCCATAATTTCGTCTGTGAGACTCCTGATATACCTTAACATGTTTTGGAACAACATCCCTAAATCACTTGTCCAGGCAGACTCCTCTATATGTTAGGTGCATTGAGAGTCCTCCAAACATCTTGATAAAGAAAACAATATACATCATCAATGATGACCAAGAATGTCACAGGCGACTTTCATAGTTGAGATTTCTCGAGAATAATTACACATGGCATTTACCTCACAAAACCTTTCCGGGTATAACTTACAAACGAGCACTCTTCTCAATAAACCATCAATACGAGAGGGTCAGATCATCCACTATGTCACTTAAACCAGATGCGGTACCGAGTCAATACTTTTGCCGACGAATGAAACAAAGGCGTCACAGCTAGCCTTCAATTAATGCGTGTCCCCATCCTGGCTGCTATTAGTACATGAACTGGGGCGCATTGCAGAAAGCCGACATACAGGCGCAATTCGGAGTGCGCTCATATGAATATTTAGGTCGGAATCACGATAACTTTAATGATACAATAATCCGATCGATTAAGCTACGTAACGCTGGCCGAAGTGACATGGGTGAGCTAGCCAAACTGATCTACTTGGGCATTGAATTCGGAATGAACCGCTTTCCAATTGCATTCACTCGTAGAAATTTTGCGCACGTGGCGGATTCTAGATCTCCAGTTGTCCTCAATCAATGTCTCATGTACCAAGACAATGTGCGGAGTCTACTTGCCACGGTTTCAAGAGTACGGAAGCCTTGTCACGGCGAACTCGAGGATGGCAGCTTAATATATCAATAGTTTGATTCCCCCAAAAAGAATTTATTGTAAAATGGTGTCAAATCGTTCAGCTCCATGAGTATTCTAGTTATTCATATCATTACTAGTATATACTATTATGCCCTCCGGTAGCACTAACCAGGAATCTCATATGGGTAATTGCTTTCATCGCCCCACTGGCTGTTCTCAGGCCTAGCTAGTCAGACAATTCCATGTATAAGTACATCCAGAATCATAATGCCAGATTAAAATTCGTATGTATAGCAGAACGGACCATCAATGGTGCTCATTAACTCTCTAATGGTGACAGGCTTGGCACCGATATACCCGAGGTCGACAATATCATCAAGTGTTGTATTTGCCGACGCTGGGTAATTCAAGAACGTGTTGGTGCCAGCAATAGCGTTGCGGCGGTTGCCAAAGTCCAGAAGTTGCCAGATCCACCAAACGAGATCGATCATACCATGATGCAGATAGAAGACCTTTGGCCCAAGTGTCAGCAAATAACGTTGGTATTTACCAGGGGGTCTGGTACTTACGGGCTCGCCAGGGCTGGTAAAGACATCCCCTGCAGGATCACCGCCGATAGTGTAGTGACCACCACCGTGCACACCGATGGACCCAGAGCCGGGAATTCCTTGCATATTCATTTGGAAATCGGCGATGTTGTTGTTCTGGAGAATCAGTTGGATGATGGAGGTCGCATTCGCATAAGCAGAGTTAACACCGGCAGATACATCGCGCTTAAGGCATCTGGGGTTGTAGTCCAAGCCAGTGCCAGTGATCACAGAACCGTTATTCAAAGGCAAGTTGACGGGGCCGAGGTTGACTGTCATGTTCTTGAAAGGACCAGAGGTCACGCAACCTCCTCCATTGCCGGCAGGGAGGTAGATTATGGGGTAGTTGCCGAGTGTCAGAGCAATGGGCCCCTTGTTAGCAATGTACTTACCCTGACCTCCCATACTGTAGGCGCTGCCATCGAAGATGGGCGACGAGACAGGGTCATTGACGTACAACGCCCAATTCCAGTAGGGTTGGTAACCAGTGTAGCCACACTCATTCCGCAGAGCTTGTTCATAGCTCCAGGTGAAATATCTGTGCCATGCGAGGAAATTGCCCGTGTAGTGAATTGCCAGAGTTTGGTTGATGTGAGCTGCAAGAAAGTCATCATAGCGTGACCTCACACCAGGAACAAGCTTGATCGGTGTTTTCGCTGGTAGTGACTGCAGACATATCACGGCATCGGTATAAGCCTTGCGGTCCTTCTTGCTCAGAGAACCCCTAAAAGCATATTAGTTATATAAGCCGCCAACTTGGATAGCTTGGCATCGAGGTATTTGACTTACCATGGCTTGCGAACTACGAGCTTGTCCTTAGTGCATGTGCTAGACCGCTTTGACGATGTATGTGTTTCGAGCAAGTCTGCTTCAGTAGCTGTTGCATTTTTGGCCAGGGCCTGAAATTTAGAAAAAGAATCCGAGGTTCCGTCTAAACTTGGCGCAGCCAAGGCTGTGACGATCAGGAACGCGGGGATTAAGCAGAACAACTGCATGTTTGATAGCAATCGACCCGAGAGAATGGATTTGTCTGAGGTGGCTGCAGATACCTGTGTGACTCGAGAGGTGCGTCTCCTAGTGTTATACTTTATGGTTGCCGGCCCATCACAAATCTCGAGACATTGTCTCTCTTATTGCTACGGAACTTACCTGAATGATTCGGCGTTGGCACCCGCACGCAAAGATTGCATGCGAAAGCTGCATGCGCAAGCTGCATGCGCATTGCATAGTCGATAATACTCTGAGAAACTCCGCAAGGGTGGGTAACCATCCAACCATTGTCTAAACAAAAATAATTACTCCATAATATATTCTATATTATAGGCTAGGATTATGACTCGGCGATCTTAGCAAGAAAGACCTTGCGTTAGTTGAACTTGTTCACTGTCGATGGAGCTAGGAATGCAGCTAGGTTAGATTCTTCTTCGATTCTCCATTTTCGGACGGCCCTGGTCCAGGGCTAAAATCGATCCACTACACTGCAGAAACGACAGAAGCGAAGCAATAGAAACGAATGTCTGGCATATATACAGAACTGGCGCCCACGTGTTGCCTGAAATCTTCGTCGGAAATACCCAAGCAGCCAAGGAACTGAATTACGTAGGCAAGGCAGGGTCATGACAATATATATAGCTCACCTTAGGTTTTGATGCGGTAACCAGGTTAGCGACATGCTAACATCAGACGTTCAGCTCTCGGTGGACGCCGACGTAGAAGACTGTACAAAATAGAGTTAAGTTCCAGGGACGATAGCCCCCTCGAGCGAAGTTCGACGTTAAGCTCAGTAGATGCCGTGGAGCAGCTGAACTAGTATGGAACTAAAAACTAAATCCTATGTGTAGTTTTCTATTCTTATGTTTATTATGTGCCTTAAGAAATCGATCAGTCAGCCAGTATGGGAAAATAAGAATTTATGGTGGCTAATACCTTTGTCCTTGCATATGTCTTAGTGATCTTTCTAGTGTGAAGGGGTGCACCCTATTGATAAACATGTAAGACTGTTTCTTCCTCTAAAGTTGCACGATTTGAGACGATTTGAGACAATGATGATGTAGAAAATAGGCCTTCCTGATGATCTGATGATCCCACAAAATGGATTATGTAAGATGGACCAGTTGACTCTCCTTCGTCGTGCCACGTTCAGCTGCAGAAGATCGGCCAACGCTCAGCCCCCCAAATTAGCCAAGCCGCCACCACTGGAAGCTCTCCCAAGCCGAAATAGACACCGTCCCATACCCTAGTTTCATGGCTCCCCTTGGCCACGGCATCGCTTGTTGTTACAGATCAGGTGAGGACAAAGGTGCCTTTCTAGAAACGTTCCAGAAAATATTCTGAGATGGCGTTGCTATGCAATCGCCCTAATGCAGTGTGATAATGAAGTGTAACCCACGATGCTAATTCTGGTTTAAACTATGCTACGGTGAACCACTTCAGGGCTAGACTGGTGGTGTCTCTCGTCCTGATCGTTTATAGCGCTCAACAGCTGGAACTGCTCCTTCTAATAGACGTGGTTCGTATTGATTCATAATCGCCGCCACAAAACAATCCATGAAATCATCAGCGATGAAGCAGATTCTCTAGCTGACACGTGCAGTGTGATCCACGTGGTACGGCGTTTACATAGTTTGTCGTCTCCGTGGATATATATGTTTACAGAATTATCTCATATCGTCATAGAATGTGTGCTTGTCGGTTCCATATATTCGGTGCACACCCAGCGTGAGAACCTATATCAATTCTGATCCCTATTCTTGAAGACAGCGACCATGAACTTGCCAGGCTGGGACCAACCCAATGAGAACAGGGGGCCTGAGATTATCGGTGTCGTGGCGACGGTAACTCTTCTCGCCCTTATTACCGTAGGCATGAGGAGTTATGTTCGTTTGAAGGTTGTGAATATGTTCGGACCCGATGTAAGGATCGATTGCGAAAGAACCCTTGGTATATGCTGACTGCCGATCAGGACTGGGTAATCATCATAGCAATGGTAAGACAGTAAGCTAGACGGTCGACTACCATACCTCGCGGCGACTAACAAAAGGATCAAAAACAGATGCTGTCCCTCACTGGCCTCGGTATCGTAGCAGGTGAAGTAACATACGGCGCTGGTCGCCATACAGCATACCTTGACCCTGATACCAACAGCTATGGGTTGAAGCTCAACTTTTTCTCTCAACCCATCTACCTATGGGCCACCCCACTAGTCAAGGTGTCTGTCGGGTTCTTCTTGGTGAGACTATCGCCGACAAAGTTGTACCGTCGCGTCCTGCAGGGTACCATAGTATTTCTGGTGGTGTACACTTTCATGTGTTTCACGACGTTGCTTCTACAATGCAAGAACTTAGCGGTAATATGGGACCTGGAAGTTAAAACGACATGTTGGCCAATCACTACATTGCTTGGTCTGAGTTATGCGAACTCGAGTCAGTGAATCTCAAGTAATACCAAACGCTTCTAGGGAATTTGCGCTGACAGTCATGCAGCTATTAATATCCTGACCGACATATTATTTGCATTGGTTCCAATCCCTATGCTTTGGAACGTTCAGATCAATGTTCGCACAAAAGCCTCGTTAATCTGCATTCTGGGCCTTGGCGTCTTGTATGACTGACTTATTCTCCGTCTTTGTGTTAGACCAATAGCTCATCTTCTTCAATAGTGCAAGTGCAGCTGGAATCGTCAAAGCCGCGTACATACCGAATTATGGCAAGACTGGAGACTTCATGTGGGATTCTGCCAACCTCACTATCTGGGTCGCGTAAGAAATCTTCTCTTGGGGGTGATGAACGCCACACTAATGTTGTTGGACAACCAGCACCGAAACGAATATCGGTATCATAGCGGCTAGCCTTCCATGTCTCAAGCCTATGTTCAGGCGTATGCTGGACAGCTCGGCCCGATACATTTCTCCATCCAACAAGAACGGCTACAACCTGCGCACGTACGGCTCACGGTCAGGACCTGGCTCAAGGTATAACCGTTCCATTACGACACAAATTGGGACGCGACATGCCAACACTGCGAACAACCCTGCTAGTGACTGTGCGGAGAACATGTTCTCAGGCAACAATATGCCGTCAAGTGGCATTACGAAGACGACGATAGTCGTGGTGCATCGGTCAGATTGCGATGCACGTACAGACAGATCAAGTTGGTCAAAGAAGAACAACATCCAACCCGAGCAAGAAGTCGAAGATATGGTATAAAGCCTCCGTGACTCTGGACAAGCGGTGTGCATGTTAAGATAGATATCCCTGATACTCCAAACCTTCATAGGCTTTGCGATTAATTACCTTTAATACTGCCATGCGCGGACTTATCTCAAAAAGTGGTTCTGCGATGAAATCGATGAGAGCTTTGCTGTAGTCCCCGATGAATGACCTAGATCCAAGTGAACTAGTACAAAGGGATCGACAAGGGGAAAAGGGCGATCTATAGAGACGACACAAGAAGACAAGGAAGTAATCGAGAAATGGACAGAAACTGGGATGTAACTGAGGTGGGCCATTCGAGACCTAGATTGTTGATTGACTAACGCGACTCGAGTTGCATCCGCAGAAAAATTGGACCTTCTTGACAAATTTTATGCATGATGCTTTCTGGCATACCGGTAACATTTGAATTATGGTGTTGAGGAATGCCCGATGCTTTCAATGGTCTTGCGTTGGAAGATATCACAAGAGTTCATGATTCATCTTCTCCGCCATCGTCTGAACCGTCCTCGGCCATCTCTAAGATCACGTCGTCATGGTCGGAGATTTCGTCATCTTCCTCGTCGTCTTGAAATACATCGTACCCGCTTCGACCATAGGTATTTCGTTCATAGTCGGCTTCGCCTTCACCACCTTCGTCGTTAAACTCGTCGTAATCCTTTTCGGAAGCCGAGTCTCCTTCGCCAATGGGTACTGCTGCACGGAACGCACCAATTCTCTCAGCAAGCGACAACTGTCTCGGTTGTTCATCCTCTTCGGAGCTTTCATCGGAGGACTCTTCAGACGACTCTTCCGACTCGTCCGCGCCGCTTTCGCTACTCTCCGACTCCTCTTGGATATGACGTGCCTTAATTGCTGTCGAACTTCCACTGTCGACGCGTTCTGTGTCTTCATCCTCTTCAGAGTCAGAAAGCACTGCGCGACTTCGTTTGACTTTTGAACGTATCTGTCTGCCTGGTGGAGTAGCCACGTCGTCATCCTCTGATTCTGAAGTGAGGGCGTAAGCTTGCTGCTTTTCCAGAGATACCAGCTCGGATGGACCACTTTCAATTTCCTCATCCTCCGAATCAGCCATAACCCGTCGTCTTTGGCGTCTTTTTTGTGCGGGCACATTATCAGAGTCCGACGCCTCTTCTTGGTTGATATCTGGCGAATCCGATTTGAGATTAGAGAAGTCTGCCCCTCTCGGCCTGTCCCCTGATTCATCTTCCTCCATCTCGCCCTGGAGGGGGGAGAACCCGCCGAAGGAGGATACTAGTGGCGACGTATGCTGCACCACTAGATCATCCTCACTCTCGTCTTCACCGCCGTCTTCGTCGATTGAGTCATCGTCGATGCCCTCACTTTCGTACTCATTTTCCGATTCCAAGTCTGAGTCCTCGCTACCGGAACTCTGATAATCCTCAAAAGTTCCGGCAAGGGCGGCTGTCTTGAGCTTTTCAAATCGTTGAACTCCGCTCGTGAACATGAATTCAACCATCTGGAATGCCTTTATGCCGTTTCCTGCCTGGGCAGTACAGGGCCCTGTCTCTGTAAACTCACTTTCAGGATCTCCTTCGGTAGGGTTGACATCGGCGGCCAAGACATTACCTGTCGCTTTAGGCCAGCAATACATTGTTTCAATATCTCTGCATTCTCCTAACCCTTCTTCCTGAGTCTTGCGGTAGAACTGCTGGGATGAACCAAGCACGCACCACTGTAGGTGCGTATGTCGATAGTCTGAGTGACCGGTGACAAAGTATATTGTCTCCAAATCTGGAAATGTCGTAGATGGAGAGGTCCAAAGCAGACGGACGACAGCATCGTCTCCTGGGATGTACTCTTCCTCGTCCTCGCGAAAAGCCACCCTTTTAAATCCCCGTAGAAATGGACGCAGCTCGTTCATTCGGCGCAAGCCATGGGTCCAACTGGTACTTGGTAAAATGAACATATCCCTAGATTTGTGGCATGGAATCTGTGCCACTCCGCGACCGAGGTCTGCTATGTCTGGGTAGAACTTCAGTGCGAGTGCACGACTTTCGCGATGGGTGCCGAGAACAGCTCTTGCTGGAGCAGACTGTGCAGCTAGCGTCGGGCCAGCCCAGAGTTCCAGACACTTGCCATTATCCGTTATATGACACTCAAAAATACGGGCTGGTGCCCGCATATCCGGATCGAAGAAATCCCAGATGCGAGAACGAAGTTCAATAGGCAACCGACAGAATTGAGGGAACAGCTCCTCGATGTGATCGAGTCGCGACTCATCTTCATCGTCATCGTCATTGTCATCGCCAGATTCCTGCGCTTCGATGTCCAAAAAGCCGTTGGCCTCATCTTCACTTGACTCTTCCCAATCTGCGGGCCCGTGCCGATCCACATCAAGCTCAGATTCACTCCCAGAGCCAGAATGCACTTCCTCGTATTGGGTTCCTGCCATTGCGCTGAGTTCAACAGCTGGGACGCTGTCAGTGGCTACTATGTGGGGATGATCAAGTATACAATATCGTTGAATCTGTCCAAAACGACACGTTTGCGAAAGAGAAACTAACACGGCTGATGATGAAATGTTTGAGGCGGGCACGAAGCGCGTTCAAGACATAAGCCAACTTTGGAATCGATCGGGTTAGCGCGTAGATAATTTAAGCACGCCGGGCGACTGCTGCCACAGAACGGGTGTCTGAATTCGGTGGAGCTGGTGCAAACACCGCAAACCCAACGACCAAATAATCGACTTACCACCAGAACTGATTTGGCCATGAACAGGAAACAGTGGGTTGGAGCGCAACAATCTGCTATTGGTTCCATGAGATAGTCTACATTACAACGTCAGCGTTTGTCCGTAAAGTGCATCGTAGACGAGCATATTCTAACTCGAACAAAGCTTCCTGGAAAGTGTTACCATTGGGACACCCTATTCACGAGGTTCCGAAGATGAAAAATGGCAGTCACGAGTTTGGAAGAGTTGTGGCGGCAATATAAGCTGACTACGATTGCATGTTGCAAATGCAACGAACGAGATACTATCACAGAGGATCGCTTATATAAGAAACAGCATACTGCAATATGACACGCACCTATGCATGAAGCACCTGGTCGTCATGCGTATTGTGCCTCTTCTTTTTTGATCAGGGTCCTCCTCACCAATTCATTTTACGTGAAATCAGTTTCGTGGCCAACGACAGAACTTAATCATCCGCCATAATGACACTTAGAAACACTGAAAGCTTCAAACTGTATAGGTAATGACCATTTAATCAATGAACATGCCCTCCACTGTTTCTATGCCCCGGCCCTCCCCCCTCTCTCTTTTTTATATTTTTTTTTATCGTACGGTTGGGACAATATGGAGTATTAGAGGTGGATTCCATCAAGTCCACAATCCCGGCTTCGCCAAGGCTGATTAGACTGTTCCACTTGCAAAGAAACTGGGGTTTGGACTACGGTATATGCAAGGGTGGATATATATGCTATTGATAAAGCCAGGAGTGCTAGATTGCCCAAAGCAATCAACACGATGTGTCGTTGATGTCGATATCGTGGCTCGATGATAAAAATTTTTTTGGGGATATCCGAGGGGCCCTGAAGCATATGGTCGTTACAATCTCACTGGTGGCAAGTCCGCCGAGATTGAACATGATTGGCCCTCACGACCTTTTGTGCAGTTTGTGCAACGATAGCAGATGGGGTCCATGGCCTAATGCTGCAGGCTGTACGAGAGGCAAAAGTTGGAACTGCAGAAGCGGCTCGAAAGTTGTCGGGGTCAACTAGACCTGCAACTCAATTTTCTTTCCAGGTTTGATGTCATATCCAATCTTGTTAGTAAATTAGGCCAGCACTAACATCTCTAGGACTGAGATCAAAGAGAGGCTAGATGCGGGCATCAAGTCATCGGGAGAAGTCAACTTCGAGCTTGGAACTATCCAGGAACACGTCAAAGAGATTCGCCAAGGCATTGCAATCTCATCTCTCAGTTCTGAAGCCAAAGAACAGCTCAAAAGTCTCCTAGTTTTGACCGAAGTTGTATACGCCAAGGTGGCACAGGAGAGAGTCTTGAAAGCTCTCGACTTTCCTGACAAGTATGTTCGAGTCGACGCAATAGAGAAAGCCCACTCGCAGACGTTTGACTGGATCTACACGGACAGTAAGCGTCATAACGAAAATTCGCAATCATTCGTCAAGTGGCTAGCAACTGGCAGTGGGACTTACCATATCTCGGGGAAGCTTGGCTCTGGGAAGTCGACATTGATGAAGTTTCTACGCGATCATAAACGTACAAGGGAAGAATTGCAAAAATGGGCCGGTATGCATTCTCTCTCATCTGAATATCCAAGATAGGACCGATCCTTCGTGAAGCGTGTGGCCCTGCTGACTTCATGAAGAAGGGATTGGAAAAGCCCAGACAACGACTTTTGCATGCTTGAGCCCGGTTTCCAGAAGAATAAACTAGCGAATATGAGTTTCCTAGGTCCTGGTCAAGAGTGCCCAGATATGATACCGACTGTTCTACCTGATCTTTGGAAGCAAGTGACGTCTCTGCCGTGGCAAGCGTCCGCGAACTTACAATTTCGAGCCGAGGATGCAAGGCTTGGGTTTGCTCGCCTTCTTCAATGTCGAAATGTGTACGACGAGCACTGCTTTTGCTTCCTCATAGACGGACTGGACGAATATCAAGAGACACACCAGGAAGACTATAAAGCCATGATAGAATTACTCTCAGACTGGACCAGTACAGCGCCTAGTTATGTGAAACTCTGCGTTGCCAGCAGAGAGTACAACGTATTTCTGAACTTCTTCGATAAGAACAAGCGATTGCGGCTTCAGGACCTAACAAGAGATGATATGGAACACTATATTCTCGACCGGCTAGAAGCTTCCAAAGACAAAGAAACAGAAGATCTGGTCCCGACGATAGTCGAAAAGGCCAATGGTATCTTTCTTTGGGTGACTTTGGTACTAAAGTCTATTCGGGCACGACTGGAAGACGGATATAGTCTTGCCATAGTCGCAGAGGAGGTCAAATTTCTCCCAACTAAGCTGGAATCACTGTTTCGTTATCTTCTAGATTCCATTACCCAATCGTCTCTCAAAAAAGCATCCCAAACTTTTTCTATGGTCAACCTCTACCAGTCGAACAAATTTGACTTTGAGGTACCGAGGCTTGATTTTCTCTCTTACTCCTTCTTGGACGAATATGCAGAAGGCAAGAACATGGCACTAATAAATCCATTCCCCTGGTCTGAAACAGACGAACCTGCCGTGCTGGACCGAAAACAGTTCGCACACAAGAGGCTGAACGGGCATTGCAAGGGCTTTCTTGAATCGGATGAGAATGGGAATATTGTACACACCCACCGGTCTGTCCCGGAATTTGTCCAGCGTTCTTTTCGAGGAATCATGGAATCTACTCTGAAGGGTTTCTGTAGTGAGGATATGTTGTCACATTTATTGCTAGCTGGACTCCGATTCCGCATACCCCCCGAATCTTCGACGGAAAGTGACGAATAGTTGGGTGCTCTGGTTTATGGCCTGATCGATATGCGAAGACGGGCCAATATCGATCGCCGACCTTTCTCGTTTCTGGAATGCCTTGACTCTGCAGTCCTTCGCTACCAGCAAGGGGAAAGCGGTTGGAACAGTTCGCACCAGCACTATTACATTTTAAAGCGTGGCATACACCATGATATATGGGACCAAGATGATATGTTAAACCCACCCGAGGCACTGTCCTCGGTATTTTTCCTCTCGATATTTTCTGGGCAGCATGAATATGTTGCTTGGAAAATCCAGACTGATTATACGATAACTCATGACGCTCTGAAGCTTAAAATGCTCATTGACTTATCGATGCAGGTAGCTTTCGCTGGTCATGCAGGGGCATTTAGCATAATAGAATTCCTACTTCATCAAGGCATATCGCCCGAAACCGTCGTACACGGCCACAGGTGGTTTCTATTGGACCGGTCTTCTAACGAGTGCAATTTCTGGGAGTATTTTCTCGCTGGCTTCTTGCAATATCATCATTCACGTTTTGCCGAAGAGACCAGCAACGCAATCATCGAGTTCCTGAAACATGGCGCAAACCCCGAGATTTACAAATTATCGGATGCTCAAGCAGGGCTTCCTGACTCTTCATCGAACAACACTAGTAAAATCCAACGGAGTATACGAGCTAGACTAGGCTCGAGGTCGTCCAGGAGGACCACTCTGGTCCCAGAAGAGATCAGTTGGAACACAATCCACGACAGTAACCGTTATTAGCGGGGTTTTCTTTTTAACACATTTCAATTCCATAAGTTTGTCGAGGATCACGGTGGAGAGATATCTCTGATTAAACTCATTGAATATTGCGACTTCAACAACAAAAATGAGGTCATCGAACTCTTGAGATCAAACACCACCAATCTCTCCAAAACGAAAGGACCGCAGGCAGAGGAAATCGAGAAGGACGCGGCGATAGATTGTACGAACGAACCTCGAGGCTCTGCTTCGGAATCTGAGGCTCGGCCGCACCCAAACTCGAACCGCGACGAAGGGACCGGAGCGGCGACCGCACCATCGCCGAAGTGGAACAGGTTCCGGCCGAGCTTCGCACAGCTTCAGCCCCTGCTTATCTTCCTACTGGGCAAGTCCGCACCCTCGCGAAGCCCCCTTGTGTCAGAGCGCTAAACCCCCGACTCTAGGCATAGCAGTCGCTCTCGTGATGCCCGGGCCCGTATACAGCCATGATACGGTTGAGCGACAGTGAGGATGACCCGGCAATAAACGATATCAGGAGATGATGGACACGTAACACGAATAGGGTTAATAGTAGGTCTGTTGGTGGTTTTTGTGAAACGGCCGGGGAATAAAGTTATCCTCTATTCATGATGAAGGCTACCTAAATAGATATCCTGGGTGGGTGGGTCCTTGGGTAAAACCTAAGGCATACGTTAAGATATACTTTTCTTCCTCTTTTTCCCTTTTTCTTCTTTTTTCTTTTTGTTTTGGTAAATACGGCGCTCGGCAATGGGCTTTCTCATAGGTGGCGGTATATTGTCCGTCCGTCAGTCCAGAGGGTACCAGCAAGAGGATTTTGCGGGATCGCCGAGGAGCAATGAGAGAAGGGTATTCACCTCTGATCCTTTCGGGGGTTGTTCCCTTTCCCTACCAAACAAACAAAATATGGTGAGACCATGTTTCGGGTTCTGTGGGATGAAAAGGGAGGAGAGAAGATGGCTGTGGCCGCCGAACAAAGAATGGCATGGCGACCGCTGGCCCGTTCCATCTACTTTCAGTATACACTCAGTCAAATCGCACGTCCCTTTTGCTCTCCGGTGTGGACCTTTACGTAGCTGTTCAACGGAAGTAGGTTCAAAATCACAAATATCGCGTCTATACACAAAAGCTGAGCTTGCCAAGGCTGTTTCAATGTCTTCGATGTCTTTAATCATGTGTCATTTCTCAATAAGATACAACTTTACACATGTACGACATTATATATGTACATTGTCCGTCTCCCCTATCGCCCTTTGAACACGACAGCTTAAATGCTGAAAATGAGCAGCACCAATAGAGACAGAGAAACCAAGAACTCCTTGACGACCTTATATGCAGCACCATGAACAACCATACCAGGAGCAAGCCCGGAAGTGAATGTGAAAAATCGGACCACCGAGTCGCCTTTTAAATGCTTGAAACACAATCGAGACGTGCCGAGCAAGAGTTCTCAATAATGGTAAAAAAAAAAAGTAAAAAGTAAAAAGAAAGACTCAACGCCATGGCCATGCAATGAGAGGTCCGCCCTCCGGGCCATATGGATTAGTGCAGTTATTTGCACGCTATAGTTAAGATATTCTAGGCGGAGGATGGAGAAGAGAAAGTAGAGGGTATCACCGCGACATGCAATGCCAAGAGAAAGGAAAATGCCATCGATGGTTTCGAAAGTTTCGAAAGTTTCATTCCGGTTGTTACGTGGTGGAAGTTGCCTTAAGACTTGACTCGAGTCTGTCTAGTAAACAGGATACTCTGGTAAGGTCGGGGCCCAGGTACTATAGTGCTTGTGTTTCGGCTCCCGGGAGAGTTGAGAAAGGAGATCATCCAGGTCGCCCCAGTTATCATTATTATCCGCAAATTTGCGGTGCTTTCGTGATAAAATGTGCTGGTAGACGGTCAGCTATGCTCCACGTTGCCTTCGCATTGTTCCATTGGATACTCACATCATCAAAGTCATCAAACTTATCCTGGCAGTTCTCGCAGTATCCGGGTTTGGGGTCCCTCTTACGCGGCTTGACTACGCGCTTCTCAACGACTGCGGTAGCCTTTGCGACTTTCTCCTCGCCGTTCTCGTTGACACGGTCTTGTTCGTCGATCAACTCTAGTTTCCGGCTTGATGTGCGGCTGAGCGCAGATCGTTTTGGCTCGCTGTCGTCCTTGAAGCTGGTCTCCACGCTTCCCAGGGCCCTGCGTGAGCTCAGTTCGTGCGAGCTATTACGCTGAAGAACCTTTCTCTGCAGGCCATGGACCTCCTTGCTGACCACGCCAATCGCACCAGGTGTGGCAGCCGTTGATGAGATCATCTGAGATCGGATGGCCGAGGTTACGTTGGAAGGCTGGACACCCGAAGCAACAGGCTCGCCACCAAAAAGTCTACCCGTGCCGGCGCGGCTCGTGAACGCATTAGGACGAAAGTCAAACTTCTTTCCTGCATTAGGCTTTGGCATAACGAACTCGGTCGACGCGACGCTAACGCTGGATCCCCGGTTGTGCGCACTTTCCATCTCGGAAAGGGAGCGTTTGCCAGTCACTGGCTTGGCGGGTTGCGCCTCGGGAGGCTGCAAGACGGGCTTTGCTGCGACAGGCGGCTTGACCGTCTCCTTCTTTTTGGGCCTGATGACCTCCCGATGATCATAGTCTTCGATGAACGGGCACCGACCTAGTGGAGCCGTGCGAAACTGCGGCCAGTCTCCCTCATTCTTTTCTTGCACTCTGGTGTACTCCCTGACCATGATGGGCTTCTGCTTCTCCTCAAAATCATAAATATAGATGTACGGGCCCCTGAAATAGTGCAGTTCCTTGGTGACAACAGTGGGATCTCTGTCAGAAGGACCATGTACACGCTCGTTATGCAGGAGCTGAAGCAGACTTCGCTCATCTGCAGGCTTGACATGGGTGTGGCTGGTCTGTACTGAGGTAGTCCTTGAACCATAGGCTATGGCAGCACTGACATTCAGGTCGGGTTCCAGGAGCATAGATAGCATGCGCTGAAGCTTATCGAGTGACCATATCTTCTTGCTCATATCGCGTGCCCGGGATAACACGTCCATGTTTCTCTTGGGTTTCGTATCCGGCATCTGAGCCAGGCCACCCCGAGAGGGCACCTGTAGCTTCGACTTGGCATCAGGGAACAGCTTTCGTCGTACTGACTGGTCAGCGGACCGATCCAGCAAGGAGGGGTTGATGGTCTGGGGCTGATGCTGGTCATGGTGAGGTTCGGCATCTGCCTCTTCCTGTCGGCGGGAGCCCCGTTGCTCTGGGGGTATAGCTCGAGTGGTGACAACGTGGGTAATGTCACTAGAAAAGAATCTCTCCTCGCGCTATGGGATGCCCACAATTAGCAAATGAGCCCCTAGCCAACACACATGCAAGACGGAGTAGCAATAGCACTTACGGCACCGAGAGAGGTGATCTGCTTGACTACCTTGGCGCGGACATCCTCGGGGATGCCGTCAAAGTAGAAGACCATCTTTGGGAATCTTGCACGGTGGTGGGTTTGCCATTGCCGAATCTCCTCGAGGTCCTTGTCGGTGTATTTGCTATTGCTCGTGCTCGTGCTTTCTGGGCGGTGATGGTGGTGACCTGGTGCCGACCTCTCCCTCGCCAGCTTGCTCTCATAGGTGCTCGCATTTCGACGTGTTTGCAGGGAGAGCTGGTTCTTGACGACCCTCTGTGGTTGGGGGGACTTCAGAGGGCGCGGTATGCCACTAGTAGACTCGAGGATTTGTTTCTTTGCGGGGGGTGGCTGGGCGTATGCCTCTTCTCGTTGAAGGTTGGCGTAAGACCTCTTGGGCTTGGTCAGGGCGGACGCTCTGATGGGGGAGTTGGCAACATTCTGGTTCGTCGAGAGGGGGATGCGTCGAGTGGTGGACATGGTGGTGGAGAGACTGACGGGTAGCGGAGATAGGGATACTGTTGCCATATATAAAATCGGGTGCTATCGAGCTACCATACTAGATCGTGCGTCGTACGTCGGAATCAAGTGTTTCTGGGTGACTGGGGGGGCGTGCTACGCGGAAGGCACCGAGTTGCATTGAGCGGAGATATTTCGACTGCAAGAATGCCTCTGGACCGGGTGTGCGGAAGAGGGTATCTTTGTTGCTGTCGATGCCGCGTCGAGGAGCAAAGTCTTGGTGGACTCGACGACTGGTGGTGTTAGTCTTGGTAACTGGATGGATCGGACAATGCTCCGGCGGCAACGGGTATCGAGTGCTTGTGCTTAGGGCAATTGATACATGGCAAATCGAAATGAGAAGGAGAGGGTATGTGTATGTAGGTTCGTGGTTGCTATGGGTCAAAGTTTGTGATATGGAGATGGGGGTGTGGAGGGGCACAGAGAGTGAGCGAGTGAGAGGGAGAGAGAGAGAGACAGCAGGTTGCAGGTTGCAGGTTGCAGGTTGCAGCTGCAGTTGGGGCACGCGACGGGGCGTGACGCAAAACACGCAAAAAAAAACAGTGTTGGGTAACGAGACCAGAGGCAAAGAAGTGCGTTTGTTTCTGTGTTTGAGGCTCCGGATAGAGAATGGAGATGCAGGTGTTCCACGGCTCGAGAGAGACGCGAGAGTGACTTACCAGATGGACGTGATTGACTGTAGTGAGCAGAGCAACGCTGACGGCTCTCTCCTGTGTTGGTGAGAAATGAGCGAGGCTTGACACAAGGTACACCGACTGCATCTCCAGGCGCGAGGGTGGCCAGGACTAGCTGGCTCCGATACACTAACAATTAACAGGAATCAACAAATAATAATAACCCACTAAACACGGGCCAGGCGACCCGCTATTACTACCACGCGCATCGCAGCACGGCAACCGCGATCGACTACACCTGAACAGGCTTAAACCCTGCCGTAACTTCTTCTTCTTCGTCTTCTTCTGGGCGGGTGGGCAGATGGCAATTGCGTCAGTGCTGCTGCTGCTGCTGCTGCTGTCCAGGCTTATCCGGGCTTATCCAGGCTTATCGACCCATCTCAAGCTTGAGTTGTGATCCGAACGTTTGACACTCAATTGACATCATCCTCTTTTACCAATTTGGATTCTTCACCCCCCTGATTCTTCCTCTTGCCCTTCAAATCACCACATCCAATGCAGATATGAAGTTGAGGAAAGTATCACTCCCTCTGCGCCAATTGCAGCAACAGGCACGGCGGCAAGCCTCCTCGAGCCTCCAAGCCACAGTTTCGGGAGCCAGGCCATGCGCACCAAAATCAACCCTCGGATATCCTGCTTGTCGAAACAACCGTTTGAGCAGCCAACGCTCGTACTCGACTGTCCCTGCATCGAGTGTTCTCTTTGGCCAACCTGTCCATGAAACGCATCCCCACCTCCTTGCGCCAGGCGAACTCACTCCCGGCATCACAGCCCAAGAATATCACGAGCGCCGCGCAAAACTTGTCGCCGCATTGCCGACAGGATCCGCAGTTCTGCTGCCTGCCGCTCCAGTACAATATCGCTCTGGCGCCGTCTTCCACGCCTTTCGTCAAGAAAGCAATTTCCTCTATCTGACCGGCTTCAGCGAGCCCGAGTCACTAGCACTGATAGTCAAGACGGGATCCCAAGATGATGACTACACATTCTATCTCTGGTCCAGACCAAAAGACCCCAAGCAAGAGCAATGGAACGGACCTTGGAGTGGCGTAGATGCAGCGAGAGACGTTTGGAACGCCGACCAGGCGGGCGATATCGGACGCCTTGAGCAAGGGCTGGCTGACGCCTTGAAGGGGGTCAAGAAAGTCTACACCGACGCAGAGCTCACCAAGTATGGCGTCTCCACCAAACTTGGCAATACGTTAAGGGGTGCTGCGTCCGGGGTAAGCACTGCGCCTCTCCGGCCAGTGCTCAACTCGCTCCGTGCAATCAAGTCGCCAGCGGAGATAGCATGCATGCGCCGTGCTGGCCAGGGCTCCGGAAGGGCCCTCACAAATGCCATGCGCCAGCATTGGACATGCGAAAAGGACCTCGCTGCTTTTCTCGAATACGAGTATCACAAGGCAGGGCTTGACGGGTCTGCCTACATTCCTGTCATAGCTGGTGGCCAGAAGGCACTGCTTATTCACTACGTCCTCAACAATGGGCTATTACATAACGGCGAGTTTGTCTTGGTCGATGCTGGAGGAGAGTACGGCACATATATCGCCGACATCACCCGCACCTGGCCTGTTTCTGGCAAGTTCGCACAGCCACAAAAAGATCTGTATGAAGCCGTTCTCTCTGCACAGCGATCGAGTGTGAGCTTGTGCCGCGCCAGTGCAGGCGTCACCCTCGACAAGTTGCACAGCATCACCGAGACTGCTCTGAGGAATCAGTTACAGCAGCTGGGATTTGACCTCAGCGGCGACGCCATGAATGTCTTGTTCCCGCACCACGTTGGGCACTACATCGGACTCGACGTCCACGACATCCCTGGCTACTCGAGGGGCGTCACCTTACAGGAAGGCCACTGCATCACAGTGGAGCCGGGTATTTACGTTCCGGACGACGAGAGATGGCCTAAGGCCTTCAGAGGTCTCGGCATCAGAATCGAGGACAGCATAGCAGTTGGCCAGGACAACCCATTGATTTTGACCACGGAGGCCGTCAAGGAGGTCGTCGATATTGAGGCCCTGAGAGAGCCTGCGCATCCAATTTTCATGCATGCAGGATTGTCGTGAGCTTGTAAAACTTTGCAATGTAGATATGTCACCATTTTGTAAAAACAGTACAGCATTGTATAAACCGCATCCAGATATTCTACGATGGTAGAGGCGTACTGAAAGGGCCAACCTGTCCTACTCCACAAGAATCTGAAGTAGACTGCGGCTGATGATGTGCAAAGAATGCCCCCATCGAGGATGCGTCACAAATTGGTTCACTTCTAGCTCGTGAGATTGCTTCTGGTTTCGAGTTGGGTTCGACGGCGCTGGCCTCGGGACGGAGTATTCTCTTCTCGCAGCCTCCTCGTGAACTCCTCTACAATCCAGTACTCGCTGGTCAGAAGTCATTGCCCTTCCCGAGTAGACAAGTAACTGGCTCTTTTCTTTTCTCCAGACGTGCTGCCGGCATTTGTTTCCCTCTTTACGCCAGTCTCGTATTATCTCTACCAACAATACGACCGTGTATATCGCTGTCCGACTTGATGATGTGCCGTCTACTTCAGCACCTGTCCGGGAACCGCCGGCCTCGTCCAGTGTCTCCCTGCCGGGAACCTTGTGGGCAGCACCGTGTATTACTGGTTTTCGCTTCCGAGAAAAGTTTGTCGTCTCTCTGATGTGCTAAGGACAGGAGTCTGCTTCGGTACAGGAGACTCGGTCAGCTGGGCACCGTGGACGTCTTATTACATTCTCTACTCACGGATTTATGTACCTGCTGAGGAATACGCCCTTGGCTTTTCGAAAGCCGATGAAATTCCCGAGATGAATAGCGTTGCTGTTGTTGGCAGCGTAATGCGGTGTGAGCTTCCGGCGTGAGCTTCGTGGCTCCGTTGAACCAGAAAGTGCAGTTGATGTTACCCTCAACCCCGATGTCCCGCACGTTTCCCAACCCGCTGAAACCTACTGCGGAGAAACGTATTCTCTGTTACGCTCGCTTGGGTACCAAATTGGTTGCAGCTTCTTGAGATCATTCGCATCACAGGATCCGAACCATAGGCCGATACGGATCCTTAGAACATTAAAGACTCAACCCAGCGACTCACCGATCCGAAAATCGCCAGTTGCGTGTTCGACTAATTATCCAATAAATATGTGCTTCTACTACGCCTTGCTGGTTGTCCGCAGAGAACGGAAATGGTAATCTCCCACAACGACTGTTAACAAGTTAATGTTCATTGTGTCCACTGATGTTAGGGACAGAACACATGGACATGGAATTCTTCGACTTTCAGAGGTGCAATATTTGTAGAAGACTGCGAACGATGCAACCTTGGCAACAAAAACAAAATTTTAAGAAAAAGGACTGCGGCTATACGTGTCCTTCGAGTCCACCACTGCGCGCCATAGGGATATCTGGCTGAACATTGTGTCGCTTCGGGAGCATCGCAGACAATGAGCCTTCCTAAGAAGAGCTCCTTAGACACTGGGAATGATGAGAGAGCTTTCGATCATTCAAGATCCGAAGGTTGAATAACGTAGCGCTAGTGAGAGTAAAATAACCTAAATCAGGGTCGTTAGCAAGGAGATATCATGCAGCCGAAAAGAAACGTCGAAAGATTGAGATGCCGAGAGGTAATTGTGACAAGCATACATTGGAAGTATCCGGAGAAAGTGTTCCGATCGGTATTGGCTTGGCTAGTGATCATGTTATTCGAAAGATTCATGTTAGTCACACATCCATAGAGACAATCTATCAAAACTGCCAAGTTGAAAAAGTCTTATCATCATTCAATATGCCAGCATTTTGAGAAGTATTTGGTTTACAAGACAAGTGTGAGAGGGTGTCGTTTTATTTTAAAAGGCCACAATATATCGCAAAACACAACGCCATTTCAACTCTCCATAAGAACAACTTATTGAGAAGTGCCAATATTGGGCTTGCCGAACCCGCAGCGCCTCTATCTACCTTGATATGACTTTAAGAGATTTCATCGGTACCGATACCACGGCAGATCCAATTTTCAAACTGTGTGGGTCATTTAGATTTCGACCTTACCCCATTTCCTTGTCTGATGGACATCGTCTGGAGTTGATCTAACTCCCAACGTGTTCTTTCCGCACGATCCACCAACGAACAGATGAGTACTAATTGATATGTTCGCACTCTGAACGATAGGTACCCGTCGAGCGTACTTGTGGCTCAACTAACCCTCTGGAACCTAAATACGTGGTCCTAATTAGCAGCGTGGTCTCTTACTGACACCAGCAGTGCACGTCGCAGCAGACGGTGGGCGGGTCAAAATCAAGCAAGAACCGGCATTCGTGAGTCTGAACATGTCCTAGAGAGCGTGTATGTGTGTCTGTGCAGCCTTGCGAGCTAGTGGTGCGGTCAATGACGAACTTATGTGCAGCCAGAGGCTATCGGGGCAAGGTATTAGGTCTAGCCATCCTTCCAACAAGTACTTCGCGGACCCAGAGGGACTGTCTTGATGAGCAGAGGCGAATCAACCATGTCGTACTCACCTCGACACGATGGTGAAGACAAACAGACAGTTGGAGGTACACAAGCGATCATTGCGATACGTGACGCATTGCCCGTACCATGCCTCCCGTTTAGGAACTGCACAGATAGACCCGTTGCAGATATGCTTTGAAGCATGGACTCTGATCATGTTAATGTTTATTCTGACGAGGCTGGACGGGTCATTGGGACATATGAGGACAAGTGTGGATGATGAAAATCACAAGCAGGGTTTTCGATCGAGGACACAAAACGTTCGTCACTGTACCCCATGGACGATTTGAACAGAATAAACCAATAGTGCATGAAACGTCTTTCGAGAAGGGTATCTTTGGGAGCGATGAAGACAGCCAGCCCCAAGCACGACTGGATCAAGAGTCAACTAGCGAGTGCGACAATCAAACAAAATGATCGTACCAACTAATCATCACGTTTAGTCAATTCCAGGCGATGAAAAAGCCCTTCTCGTTTGGACTGCGTTGTTTCCATATCCGCTCGTCAAGGGTTCGAAGAAATTGGGCTAGATAATTACTCGGACGGCTAATTTTCAATAGCTCTTTGGCAAACAACTCAACGACGGCCACCCAGTCAGTCTCGGTGATGAGCCATGGCGTCGATAGACAAATGGGAGTGTCTCGGCGAGATCTGCCTTGGGTAAACAGAGGATACTTCTAGGAGGGTAGCAGCACAGATCTGCACATCATCTACCATTCGGTCGTGGCCAGCGGTCTAGAACGCAGGTATTTTCTTCAATCAGGGTAAGCACTTTCCAAGCGAGCGGCAGTGGGTGCGTTGGATTTTAGAAGAGGTCTCTCGCAGTGCAGCATGTGCGTTTCGGTGCATATAGAGTAACGTCTGTGGTGATCAGATAAAGCGGCCAGGCCATCATACGATTTCAAGGGACCCATGGCTGGAGCTTCGGTTTAGGGGAATGTTACGTGCAGCCACGCAAGATGAATGACACCCCAGACGAGGGGGAACCAAGAGGCAACTGGCTTTCAACTCTGGGGCTACTTACTGCCTCGTCACGCATTGGAATTCGGCAATCAAACAATCTCGTGAGTCATATAACGTGTCAATTCATATAAAAAAAAAAAGCGACACAGGTTTTTCTGAAAATGGTAATTGTTCAATTCACCTCATAAAGGCTAACTTCATAGGGTATATGTATGCTAACAAAAAGCAATCATTAGATATGCTTTTTCTTTTTAACTGAACGCCCCGAATATGCATGCTGAGAATTTCAGGGCAACCACTGTAGACAGATGCCTCCCAACCAGTAACTCCATAGTTAAGCATCACTCTTAACGCTATTGCGTTCCGCAGATTCCACGCTCCCAGCCCGTTCGTCCCATAAGCGTAAAAATGTTCATAACGATAGATAGTATCGTCGAGTTTCGTCGAGTTATGTGTGCAGTAGTGAAAAGATGGCAGCAATTAGTGATTGCCTCTTTCGATTAGACGTGGATAATAAGTAGTGTTCGATGGAACTCGAACGACACTTCATGCCGTCGAGAGTGGAGAGTCATGGCGATGATGTCCATGTAAATGTTGGTGAATGATGATGGCCGGCTTCTGAAGGAATTTCTATGAAGAGAAGCGGGCTGCCGGGTTGAATACGGCTGCACCGTAGCCCTGCGGTTGCCATGTGGCAGGTGCAGGGCTGGCGCCCAGAAGCTGTTCGAAAGCTTGCAGTCTGCGAAGAAGCTCCTCATTCTTATGCGACATGCTTCGGTTGCGTCGCTCCAGTTGATGGATATACTCAGTAGCCTTGGTGAGGATAGTACCCTGAAAATCATGTTAGCCTCTAGATATCTCGCCGTGGAAAAGCAGTCTTGCTGACCTTGCTCACTTTAGGTGCTCTGGAGACTGGCACTGGAGAACCGTCGTCGTCGTAGTCTTCGGGTATAGACCGCAACGACGGGATCGCCTCGCGCAGATCCGCAATTCTGTCCTTCAGGTTTGTGCGGTATTTGCGCTCGATATCATTGTGTGCTGCGCGGTCGCTGTTTCGTGGCTTCTCCTTCTTCATGGTAGAGTCGTTGGGCTCGCCCGGAGTGATCAGACCAGATCGCGAATTTGAGCGTGAGGTCTTTGCCGAGTTGACCACGAACGAAGCCCTACGCTTAGGCTCGGGTGGCCCATTGCTGGTGGTGTCGCTTGTCGCTGAAGGGCTGGGGTGCATGTCGAAAGTGAAATCCACTGAGGGCCTGGACTCGCTCGGCATTTGGGTCAAGCCAGAGCCCATGGCGATAGCTAATAGCCTTTGTCGTTCAGGGTCGTTGAACGCCGGGTTGATGTTGAAGTACGACTCATTCCGAACGCCGGGTTGTGGTGCATCCCAGCTCAGGGGTGTTGAGTAGAGTCGCTCAGGAGCGATGTCCTGTGCTTGGTTTGTGTCGCGCGTGGCGAACTCGTCATCCATCGCCATTGAATATGTATCTTCCTCACTCGACAGTGCGTGTTCCAGAGCACTATCCTCGAGCCAGTCGTCTGTCCTTGAAGGAAGCTCCAGTTTGAAGCTGCCGGGTTGTCCGACACGTCCTAGCCTTGTTGCTTGTTGGAAGGAGTTGAGTGGCCTAGGCTAATGTTCAGAACCATATAAGCTTTGCTGGGGTGCAATGCCATGACGATGTACTCACCTGCGTGCTGCAGAAACTGCTTGGTGGTCGAAGTCACCAAGTCTCTCCAGGCTGTCGTCGTCGCTATCGAAGCGCAGCCAGTAATCACAGCAGTCAAGAGCTGACGAGTCTTGGCTCAGCTTTGATCTCTTGTGGTCGGGGGTATGTGCCCTCTTCAGAGTTTTCTTGATGGGCTTTGGTGACCTTTTGGGCGAGTTTTTGGTCAATTCAGTAGTGGTCACCTTTGGTACCTGTGCGGCTTTGGTATAATCAGTGCCGTTGATGGTGACCTGGTTGGCGAAATTATCCCAAAAGGATATGTCTGAGAATTGCTTTAGGCAATTAGGAGAATTGTCAAGCAAAGAGTCGATAGCCTATAGTCGTATTAGGATCGTGGGCCCGATGTTCGTTGACCCCACAAGCTGTGAGGAGTTGGTAGTCGGCCATACCTTGTTATTGGTTACCGGAAACAAGTCGATGTTCTGCAGAACATCCGTATCCATGACGAAGCTCAGCACCTTAGTATAGGGTCTGCTTGGCTTCCTTCGACTATGCCTCCTACTAGTGAGTGGAAAAGTCTTGCTATACTCTTGCGAGCAGATGGCTTGAACACTTGTGGTTCGATGTGGTGTGCAGCGGAGATACCCTTTGGATGGGTGGTGAGTGATGGACCAAAGAGTTCCCCGATTGGTAGGTGCCGGGTGATGATGCAGATGTGCCGGCAGGTGGTGATGGTCTTTCTTTGAGATGTGTGTTTGTTGTCCGGCGAGGTGGAATGCTGGAGTGAAGTATCGTAAGTTGTTGTTCGCTTGTTGTCTGTTCATGTATGGGAAGACAAACCAGGCTAGGTGAGAAGACTCTCAAGCAATATGTATCAGTCGCTTCCAGAAAGACACGCTTCGTTTAATTGGAGCACGAGAACGCTGGTGGGAAGCCTGTCCGATGCTCATGGACATGCAATGGCGGAAGCCGCCTGCGAAGAGACCAGAATGGATAAAAGTGGCCTGACACTCAATTTGCTGGGGCTACTAGGTGTCAATCCGTAGATCCCAGAGAGCCCATTTGAGCAATTACATCCAGGATACATTGACGTGCATGGACATGTCACCTGCCGTGCGGGTATCATCACTATGGGAATCCAGTACCGCCCAGCAGGTTCGGGGGCTTCCAGGACTTGTACGGGGGAACTAATGCCCAGCTGCACCCTCTGGGTGACGAGAATAGGCCGCCGATATTTCACGTAGAGTTTGAAGTAGGACCGCATGAAATCCAGCAACCAATGCTTTTCGTTTTGGGTATGAAGGCGACAGGGGTCCGATGTGAGTATGGCCTGAGTTGCTGGGATCGACGGGCCAGATCATTATCTCTGGCTCTCATACCCGATTCCATGGTCGATTACCATTGCTGTGGAGCCTACCACGGTATATTTCTGCAGTGAACCAGGGCAAAGTTTGCAAGTGGGCCAGACTCGCAGGAAAGAGGAAGTGAGATAATAACTGTCAGGCCACTTCTGAGCTGATGTCGCGGAGATCCCCTGTGTCCATTGTCGGAGAATTGTCTAACATCTGATTGGATGGAGCTGGCGTCCTCAAAAAACCGTTGGATTTGTCTTTTCTTTTTGTGAACCCCTGTTGGAGAAGCCACACAGCTTATACGGCGTGGTTATTGTCTATGGCGTCGTTTCCATAATCACCACTACCTACCGCGGAATGCATCGCATCCTAAGAATCAACGATCAAGATAGGCATAGAAGCTGCCAGTGCCAACTAGATACCCGTGATGGTTATAGTGGGAAAGAAACAGAGCTGCACACGTGGGGGTGGTCGAGGCACGCACACCTCTTTTGTTTCCGAGCGACTCGACTCCACCGCTACCGCCCAGCTCACATGCATCCAGGGCACGGATAGGGCTGCGGAACGTCCATCCGGCACATCCCAAGTTCCAATGGACCTTGGAAAGCTTCGCACACATCAGGCCATTCTTCTGCGTTCTGAACTGACATTTAAGATGCCTCCGACCAGTCATGCTCCCGTCGGTCTGGCACGGAGTTTCACATGGTTGCGGTTCCCACTACTCACAGCGGACTCCTACGAACTCCGGTGGGCCTACTCTCAGTCCCTTCAGCGCCGCTGTGTTCCTGTGACCGGAACCTTTTTCGTCTCACGTGAGCCTTGCCGATTTCACCCGTTAAGTTAGCATTGTTACCCTCAACCTTCACCGTGTCTTCCGCCCTTTTAGGCCGGACGGCAGACGGCTGCACGAAAGCGACATTCGCAGCGCGGACTGAGACGCCATGGAGATCGGCGGCCGGCAGCGTGCATTAGAGCTGATCTATGGAACGGAAGCTAATCGAAGTCCGTCGCCATCATTACTATGTATCCGTACTTTCATCACGATCATCCAATCACGAGATACTCGATGCAAATCATGCAACTCGTTGACAACAAAGATGCCATAGAGTCAATTTCGCCGCTAGTTGAGATCACTTTGGTTTTCGTCAGTCTTCATCTGCCTTTGAAAGATAAACAACCGTTGCAAATAATCGTTCAAATTTGGCCGAGATTCGTTGTTACGAGTTGTTTCCCGACAATTTCGCCGCAATGACCGTGCGCCGCCTTGACGTGTTCGGGCATTCTGCCAATGAACAGCAGAAATAACAAACCTTGGAAGCTCAATTACACATAAGAATACCACGTATGTATCGTGATTGAAGTGAATAGTGGCATAGAAACCATACATGCGGAACATTGGTGTAGCGCTAACCCACCATAGCCTAGCACCAACTCAACATCGTCTGACAGCCGCAGCCTTTCGAGGTCCGGAAGTCTGGAAAATCAACTTCACCCATACTACAACCTATCAAACTCTGCCAGTGACAACACTCTCGTCTCCACAGTGATGATATCACGCAAACATCAGGCAATCACTTCTCATCGCTCTGCCACCATTTCATATAAACCGAGTCTCAAAGTGGGCAGCAGAATTTTCAGTTTCGTACTAATGCACGTCTTTATTGCCAACTCTCCACTGTGACGTCTAACAATTTGTTGGAAAACCCCATGATTTCGCGAATCCTGAAGTGGAAAACGGCCCGCAGCAAATCGTGAATCTGACGGTGAAGGAGCAGTATAGCAAGGTAGGGTACAAACGGTTCCAACCGCACCGCACTGCATCGTCTGTGGGAACGGTTTGTGGCAGAAATTAGCACGAGCAAGAAACGGTACAGGAGCGCCAGTGTCACTCAGGGCCGATTCCGTAACTCGCGCATCGCTCTCCGCTCGATGCTTGACAGGATGGTCCTTTGCAATGTCAGACGTTCAGGGTAATCCGTGACAGATTTCCCTACGAACTCGGCCATGCCAGTTGCGAGGGCAGCCGCATTGTCTTATTACATCACTTGGAGTCCGAATCCGTGGAGGGGTCTTTCTTCTCGTGGGCGTGCTGACTCAACGCCGTCACTTCTTGGGTGCGCAATGCGGCAAGCTACAACCCGCTGGGGGTTTCAAACTTAGCGGCAAAGTCGCACAATACGTCAGCCTTTTGTTGCGATACATACCTAGGTTCGGTCTGTTGGCTGTAGAGCTCGGCCCTGCTGTTGATTCAGCATGACGAAGTATATTACTTGCTGATTCCCTGGGCTTGTTTACATTTGCGTAGATCGTTGGGCCAGCAACTGGGTTTGGAGCAAGATCCCGAGGCTGCGCGGCCTGATATCACAGGATATGAGGGCTAAGCATGCCTTCTTCCAGTACAAAACCCCTTGGAGTTCCGTCTTTCAAACCACCTGTCTGGGCACGCCTTACAAAACCGAAGCTATCACGAAAGGGGTCGAATAAAATCCTAGGCCGAGAGTCTGCGAACTCCATTCGTAGACAAGAGACAGCAATACTTGTTCTCATGCCTCACTATGCTCCAAGCGCCACGAGTGAGGCAAACAAGAATAACTAGACGGAAGTGCTAGAAAGGACGCGTCAACCTCACTTCGTTGGTAGACAGCGTTCTGTCCGAGAACCTCTCATTTCTCATTTTGGACGAGTTTTTCGAAGGCCCGGCGATTGCCTGCTTTCTTCGATATTGAGCAAAGTTTCAGATGCAGCACAAGGTGTCACTGGGATCCTCTATCGGGCCAACTTAAGTCGACTTGTACTCTGTAATATGGAGGATTCTATCTGATCCGCATGAAGAAAGGTCTTCCACAAGTCAAACACGGGAAAAACTGGATATAGACTATCCTAAAAGAGATTAGCCCGAGAACGTGCCATTTCCAAGTTTCCCCGGAAGCAATTAATTGTGTCGAAGTTGATGACCAAAGTGAGTTGTTGGTGTTGCACAGGTATCTGTCGCTCGTTGAGCCTTGATGGTTACGTTATGGCGCTTGGGATATTATGCACTTGAACATTCTGACCAATTCCGCGCGGATTACGAATGTCTTTGCAAAGGATGACAAACTAAGCAGGTCACTAACCTTAGTTAGTGCCGAATGTAGTACAATTCAATCACGCAACACCACACAAACGCCCCCGCGCTATAAGACCCTGACGGTGCCCAGGAGCAATCTTGTTCTACAGGATGACACATTCAGTGGTTGTATTCTATCCCATTCAATTGCTCTATTCATTCTAAATCATCTCGGTTTCTAATCGACAATCTGACCAACATGTCCGTGGAGTACGCAACCGGGTTTAAGTTCCCGTCGCCGCTAGAAGGGTTCGAGGATGCCCCGCCGTTACCGGAACAACGAAACGAGGATAAAACTTATATCAACCCGCCGAGAGAGACACCAAGCAAAGCTTATCAAGAATTCCCCGATCCTCTGGACAACTCTCCGCGTGGCGGCTTCGATGTGCACATCTACTACAACCAACGAAACCCGGAGCAGGCCAAATATGCGCGGGAATTGTGGGAGCGCATTAGACGCGAGTGTAAGTTGACTCTCCTGGTTAAATACATCATCTCAAGTGATTCGTATTTTACTGACTTATTCATCAGTCCCTGAGCTCTCGGTCTACACATTTTGGGACAAGCCAATCGGGCCGCATCCTGTGGCCATGTTTGAGGTGAATGTGTACACTCCGGCTCAGTTTGGAGCCTTCATCCCGTGGTTGGCGATATGGAGAGGACCACTCTCCGCGCTTGTACATCCCAACACGGTGGAAGAGGGCTCACAAAGGGACATCGAGAAGAGAAACCATACTCAGAGGGCGATCTGGATGGGCGAAAAATACCCAATAGATGCGGGATTCTTTGTGAGTATGCCAGAATGAGTATGATCATGGGAATAGATGATTGTACTTATATGATCACTTCATTTGCCCGATTTTAATGTCTAGCTCTATGGGTTCGGAATTATATCAACAGGATTCCGTTTCGACGGTCAGAAGCGAGCACCAAACAGATGGCCATATACTTGAGAGGATGTTAGTGGGTATTGCAGGAGCTACTTTTCAGAGATCATAGTAAATAAGACATTTGCACGCTCGGCTAACGCGGCGTAGGCATAACTATACTATTACTGCTAGGAAAAAATGAATCACCGACGGTGATAAAGAAAAGCAACGGCTGCCCCGCAACAGCAAGTCACATCAAAGAGTGACACTTGGCAGGTCTAACTATACGATGGAGAAAACTCATTGGAAACGATAAAGCGAACCGCCAACGCAACGGTCAGCTGCTCACAAATGCTATCCCTACGAGGATTGACGATACATATGCTACGGTTGTTGTATGACACGGGATCGAGAGCTTACTTGATGTACCGACTGTGGTCGCTAATGGTTGGTATATCTCATATCTTTCGCCGAAACTCGGTGCGATAACGTGGTATTCCACGGGGCAATCAGAGACCGCATCAGCCAATGTGATTCACGATTTACTATCCTCTTAGCTTCTGATTGACCGTGTGTCATGCACAAGACTGTGGTTTCGACAAGCAAAAATATCTCGCATGAAGTGCATACTTTACCGGTTGCCCATTACAGACGACCACTCCGGTGCCAAGAGATTTCGCAATCCCCGCAATGCGCCACTCCGACCAGCGGTTCTGTGATATGAAGAGCAATATTGGAAGCCTATCTGCTTGTAGAGAAGCAGACCATGTGATTGAAATACTATAGAATTTCTAGAGCACTTACAAACTACTGGCATGGTACACGTCTAGCAAGGGCGGGGGTATCTCCTTACCCTATGCAATCACGTCACCGTCACCACCCTTGACAACGCCTTCAATATCCTAGCGGGCTCTCAATGGGCGGCAGCCAAACATCTTCGATACTATCGTTGCTGCGTTTACGGTGCCTTTTGTGATGCGCTTAATACATACTCAAGATTGCTCGACGACATGAAGAAATAACGTTTGGCCTGTCTGGCAGACGGTACAGACGACTTAGTATAGCACTGATTAGAATTGCAGCACCGAATCATACAGACGTATCGGAGTATCTCGAACAAATCCTACAGAAGGTCGAAACGGGGATAGCTAACTATCTGTGGCGGAGGGTCTTTTCCTCCGGGAAACTCCATGGAGTTATGGTGGCTAGTATATATCCGAAGAATAGGAAATCGTTCTCGTCTCGATAAACCATGGACTGGACATGTTCGTAGGCAACCCGCTGATTCCCTTTAGCCTCGCCTAGGGTGCGTGGCATGGGCTCTGAGGTACGTCTAGCCGTGGAAACTCTCTTCGTTTCTGTGTCTTTGCACGAGTGACTGCATCCCAGGAACGTTCACTCGTCTACCTGGTGGGCCAGACCCCATCTCTTTCGATCAAACACTAGAAAACAACAATCCCCAACACACTCGATCAGATTGCCGTGGACAAGTATATGCAGTGCATGGGGCAGCCTTCGCCAAGGGCCCTGCTAATTGGTTGACAGATCCTGGGCGACCTCAGCACAATCCGAACGGCAACACGCTAGTTCGGTTAGCCTATGTCGACACGATCAGCTCAAATCTAGATTATGGCGACGCCCACGACTAGTTCTATACGATATTCCTGATAACACTGTCAGCGGGGAGAGATTCACCGCCGCGGCAACGGGCAGCAGTGTGTCGGCGGTGTCGGACGTAGCCACCGAGTTCGCGCCGCCCGTTCTGCTGCGTTAATATAGTCTTTGTGTAACAGGTTTCTGGTTAGGCCTATTTCTATGTTCTATAAAATGACAGTCGATACGGCACCGCATAGATTTGCAGCTTGTTTTGGACTGTGCGATGTGCATACACCAGATACCAGCCACGGCCCTCTGCCTGAAATTAAAAACAATTGTGATGGATTGCTCTCTTATAGAATGTAATTGACGTTATTATTCTACTGGGTATATGCTTATGGCAAACCCTCTTCTATGCCACGCCATCTATCCGATCATGCAACGCTGGAAATGTCTTGATAAAAATGTGCTCGGGGCTGTTGGTGAAAATATATACTAGGGGTGCAGACCCTTGAAAAATATGCATTACGATGATTATATTCTCGTGTGAGAGTAGTGCCGCTTATCTTCGGTTGAAGTTCAGGAATTTGCTCTGCCGTAGGTGTTAATGTTTATTCTTGAATGTGTTCATATACAAGTGTACTTACTCCGAGGAAAACGAGGATCAAGTTGGACCCCACAAAAGCAAGAAAGATTCCCAAATCTCTCCATCGGTTGGAATAGCTGAAACCTAAAGGCTCATAGAACTGATTGCCGATCTTGTAGGCACAGTATTCGCATGCACTGGTCGCGTTATCGCGGATGTAACCAACACCACCGGCATCGAAGAATGATTGCATATAGTCGCCGCAGGCCTGACCGTCGGGGGCAGAGAAGGAGTTGTACTCGTTGTTGTTGCATGTGACGGGAAGTTCGTACAGCGCGGTGGTGACCATACCTCCAATGAGGCGCGTGAATGGGTCAAGCTGGTAGAGCCAGGCGCGCCAAAAGCCGGGCATCTGCGGCGCGGGGATTGTCACACCACAGAAAAGGGCGAAAGTGATGATGACGAAGGGGTCGAATTGACTGGAGATGAAAGCAGAAGGAGTAATGGTGGCAAGGAGTTGACCAAGGGTGACCGAGAAGAGCTCGGTGATTAAGATCATAAAGAATTGATAGCCGGCACGGTAACTGTCGGTCTGGAAACCAGGCAAGTAGTACAGGGGGATGAAGAAGAGCACAGCGCAGAGAATCGAGTAAGGCATTTCACCAAGTACCATTGAAGCGGCAAAGGTGAAGCTGCTGTACATCTTGGACGACTGCTCTCTAAAGAAGATGGCTCGCTTCACGTGATACATGACTTCGACCTGTGAAATGACAAGGGCAGGCAGCACAGTAACTTGGAAGACGACGAAAACCTTGTACTGAAGAGAAGCACGCGAGTCGTCCAGCTTGAGGAAATTGAGACCTGTCAAAAGAGCGATGACAAAATGGTTGAAAAGGCGAGTGAACAGGTAGTTAGGAGATCGCCAGAATGACAAGTTTGCCCTCTTAATAACCACATTCAACTGGTGTGAGAGAGATGAAGCAAATTCTCGCTGCAAAGCAGGGTCAACGGCCTGACCGCCACGCGACGACTTCAACTGCGAAATGGTATCCTTGACGTTGGCGAGCTCAGGGCTGTCATTCCAGATGTCGGCCCAATCCTTGTTGCCCACACGCGGGGCGCTACCGGCACCGACTGCCTCGAGCATGAACTCAGCGACGTTGTCAGACTCGCTAGCGACAGCACCATGACGAGCAAGATAGTCCCGGAGGACAACAGCGTCCTTGCCGATGTCACCAAAGTAGACAGTCTGACCCCCACGCTGGAGCAACAACAATCTGTCAAAGTTCTCGAAGAGTGCGGCGTTAGGCTGATGGATGGTGCAGAGAATGGCCTGTCCAGCACCGGCAAGCTTCTTCAGGAAACGCACAATGTTGAACGCACTTTGGGAATCCAGACCGGAAGTAGGTTCATCCAAGAATAAAAGAAGCTGAGGCTTCGCAGCTAGCTCAACACCAATTGTGACTCGCTTGCGCTGTTCAACAGTCAGACCAGCCTCCGGAAATCCAATTATTGCGTCTGCCATGTGCTCCATTTCGAGCAGAGCGATGATCTCTTCGACGTAAGCGTATTTCTCTTCCGCCGGCGTCTCCATAGGCTGTCGAAGATCGGCAGAAAAGCGAAGTGCTTCACGGACAGTTTGGGTGGGGTCGTGCATATCGAGTTGCTCGGCGTACGATGTTGATCGCTGGAACTCCTTGCCGGGTTTTGTGCCATCAACTAAAATGTCACCATGAATAACACCAATGTTCTTTCGTGCAGCCAACACATCTAGCAATGTTGTCTTTCCGGCTCCTGAAGCTCCCATAAGCGCCGTTAATTCGCCTGGTCGAACATATCCAAAAACGTTGTTGAGCAAACGGCGAGTACCACCCGGAACAGGGACGTCGTAGTTGAGATTTTCCCAAGTCAGGACGCTCTTAGAGTCGATGGAAAGGGTTGAACCATCCTCATCTTTTCTCGACTTTTGGCGTTGTAGGCGCTTGTTGGATAGTGCTTCATTGAGTTGTTTTCTCTCAGCGTTGGGCTTTTGGAAGACCTTGAATGTGTTGCCGCCGGCTCCAAAGTTGACAAACTCTCCAAGTACAACATTCATTATCAAGAAGAACACGATAAGAGCCATGATGATGCCAAAGTTCCTCCAAAGATCCGACGGATGGTAAGAGAAGCCTTGAGTAATGTATGCGGCGCCACTGACCTGCGAGGTGCCAGGCGTAGAGCCAGCCAGGGTGCATACTTGGTGATTGATGTCTCCGTAAGTTGGTCCCGAAGGCACCAATGAATCAGCTGTGCATTCAAGCTCGTTTCCTTTAAATTCATTGGCCATGAGAGCAGCAAACGCTAGACCAAGGGCATTGATCCAGAAAATCCATCTTAACCACACCTGTTGGGATTGATAAGCGATCAGATAGCCCGAAGTGATGATGAACAAGGTAATGATCACAACTGCGAACTTGATGGCGTAATCGAAGTCGGGACTAACGCATCCGACGATACGGAAGAACAGTGTCATCGCGATGTTTCCGACCATGATTAACAAGTAGAATGTGAAAAAGGCACCGGCTGTCCGGGTCAAGTTGGTCATGAAGTAAACGATGATGCTGAAGACTAGAACTCTCGAGGCCGAGAATGCCGTGTCAACGAAGATTTGGGCAATCCATAGAGCTGAAGGTCGATGAAACGTGTATGCTTTATGCTTGTTGACAATTGCACGACCCGTCATTACACCAGCCAATTCCGAGAAAGCTTCAAAGGCGTTGAACAGGAGCGAGATAAACAGAAGGCCACCCTTGCTAAAAGCACTGGCTGACGTTTGACCGAGATTAAGATAGAGAGTACCGAGAACAATAGCGATAACGATGCTGCGGAACCATGCAAGGTATAGAGCAAGCTTATCTTGCATCTTGAGAGCGAACTGGCGCTTCATCAAAGCCCAGACTTGCTGATGGAAACCGACATTGTACACAGAGCGCTTAGCACCACTGCGCTTGCTTTCACGAACAGCAGTGCGGAAATCTTCGTGCTTGGCGCTCTCCTTGTCAAGACGAGCCTTGTACTCGGACATTTCAGTGTTCAGTCGTTCAGTGAAGACAGACTTCTTGAAAGCCTCAGCCAGAGTCTCGGGACTGTGTGGCGCATTAGCGGGGGAATACCCATCTGCGTATTCACGCTCGAATTCGTCGGTACAGCCCGTCACGTAATCAGGGGTTGTCTGTCTTGGCTTTGGCGCGAATCCAAGACCTTCGAAGTAGCCACGTGCTTCCGCCACAGGGCCAATGTAGACTTGCTTGCCAGAGTCAATGACCATGACCTTGTCAAATTGCTTGTAGATGTTCTCAGAAGCCTGGTAGAGGGAGACAAAGGTCGCAGTCTGGTACAGGTTGGTTTGTACGCGTAGGGACTTGACGAAATCGAGAGCAGTACTAGCGTCCAAACCACGAGTACTGTTGTCCCAAGAAAGAACACAAGCGTTTGTGATCATCATTTCGGCGATCGACACACGCTTACGTTCTCCTCCGGAAACACCACGAATAAGGGCATTTCCAACCACTGTATTTCGGGTGTGCTCAATGTTGAACATTCGCAAGAGCATGGTGATGACATCCTGCTTGAATTTGGACTTGGTAGTGCCAGCGGGCAGCTTTTTGGGCGTCTTCACGTCAAGCGCAAAACCCAGAGTCTGCTCCACCGTCAGGGTGGCATGGTGAATATCGTCCTCCTGGTTGTAGACGGCTTCACCTCGATAGTGACCAAATTCCTCGGCAGTAAAAGGGCCATACAGAACATCACCCGACACGCCAGTATAGCCATGTCGCTGATTCGCGATTGTCTTCAAGAACGAGGTGCACCCACTACCCGGCTGACCCAGGACCAGGACCATCTCACCAGGCTTTACGACGCCGCGGAAATTATCCAGAATTGTCACCTCTTCCATCTTGGGGCCCATACCAAATAAACCCTTGAGGGGGGTCCAAATATCAAGAAAGTTTTTGAAAGCATCCGGAAATGTTTGGACAAAGTTTTCCATGCCGCCCATACCCTTGACGGTCAGACCATCCCAATATACACCAATGTGTTTGGACTTGATGCCAGCGGCTTGCTCTGCTTCAAGGCCGCCTCGGAGCGCCGCCTCCAGATCGAAGACATCTTCTGTAGAGGCGGATGCCGGTGACTCTGCGATGTCATTGGCGACTTTCTCAACATCACCATCAGCATGAGTGGCCTGGCTTTGTCGGCGACTTATTCTTGAGCGACCCGAGATCTCTCGTTGCAGACCTGCAAAATCGGCGGTGGCTTGTTCTACGGAAACCCCCGTGTGAGGGTTAGAAGTGCCATTGGGGTTGTTCTGCCGAGCCTGTTCGCGGGCTTCATCTATGTCGGTGGAGCTGGCAGTTGAGGATGTACTAGGCCATATCTCCTTGGATTCGGTGGGCGTGGTCTCAGGCGCAATGTTTGCACTGCCAGATACTCCAGCGAGGATTTCCTTTTCAACCTCTCTTTCGGCCATCGCGACGTGTTCGGTGACCGATTTGTGTATACTAGGTTAGGTGAGTGGCACCAAAACCACAGTCTGCCCTACCACGGGTGACGGTTACTTGGTTGACGAAACCGACGAATGGCGGGTGTAGGAGCTCGCCCGGAGCAGTGATGGGGGCAATTGTATTACGAAGAATGAGATGAAAGGAATGTAATTAAGGAGCCAACTCAGTGAAAGGGAAAGTTGGAAAACCGGTTAATGTGTAAAGCATCGAGAAAGATGGAGGGACAGGCCGAGTACTAGTAGACGGCACTTGTATCGCGGTGAGCCCAGTATAGTGTGGTATGCCGTAAAGCTAGTTAACTCTCATTACCAATCAAGGAATTTTTTTCAACTTTTTTTTTTTGTTTTCCCTTCTCTCGTCTCGTTCCTGTCCCCAGAAACTTTGACGCGGAAGTTAGATACATATCCAGGGGATCGACATTTCCCCACCATGATCTAACAGCGCTATTCCCGCGCTATACTAAGTATGTAATATGGACTCCGCTAAAATCCCCTGTCTGCCTGTGCCACGCGGGCGGACCAGCACAAACGCGTTTCCACTGGCCCGCCTGCCCGCACCGCTGCGACCGGCAACTATGCGCGAGCTTCGTCAGTTAGTTAGTTGTCTATGTCCAATGACATTCAAAAGTTGCAACGGAGTACAGCAGACTGTAGTCACCCGGCCAGCCGGCGTGACGTTTTCGGTTAGTTAATCTCTGTACCAAGATATGGCCAAGTGGCAATTTCATGACCCATGTGCGGGTCTTCCACGATGATTCATAATCTCCATCGGATAGAGTTCACAGCCGAAGACAAATTTGTTCCGACGCCGGCCGGTGTTTGTTGCAGTGCAGAATGCGTGTGCCCAAAATGTTTCCTGCAGGCGGGGTGGGCTCACGCGTGAGGTAGACATTTCAATTCGTCAGGTAGATGAGGTGGGGGCGCAATCAGATATGTACGGAGTACTATTACTACTGTACCCAGCTTTGATGCCTGGTCTAAGGGGAAGGACTGTGGCATGTGGAGTCGCGGCAATCTCAAACAAACACGTGACAATTCCCAAATGTTCGAATATCTTGCCAAAGATACTTGAGCTGGTCTGTTATCAGAACGCCAGTACGAAAAGAATCTGATGAAGGATTGCGGTAGCTTCACCAAGTGAAGCTATACCTCCTGAGTCGTGTACCTTGGTCGAATGCTGGAGTATCATCGGATAGATTATAAGCCCAAGTCAACTTAGTTCAGTGGAGCATATATTCCGTCTCAGCATTCTCATTTCAAAGCACGGAGGAATTGTTGCAAAATATTTGAAACGCTATACCATTTCTGCAGGTGGGATACATGACTGCGGGGCCCATCTTTTACTTAGTCTAGTCTACGCTGTAAGTCGGGATGTCTGGACGCAGAGTACTCCGTATATTCGAATAGTCACTGCTAACCTCAGGATCGAATTGGACGAGCGGTATGGCATCATGCGGCATGTGCAATTCGCTTCAAATGCAAGTCGTGCATGAATCGATATGTATGACAGAATTTCTTGCTGGCAGCATTTCTTTTCTCCCCTCTGAAGCTGCCGTGATCTGCTGCCAAGGTGTGCGGTCACGTGGATGATGCTCATTCTGACTATTTTTGATCGTTATTTATCATCTCAACGCCCACGACTCGCGGAGCGACCCTACTGCTGTGAAGCAATATGATGGCAATGCTGACCGTAACTAAACAACATGCGGCGTGTAGCACGATATTTCCTGCGTCCACAACCCCTCGCAAATACTTGCAAGAGATGAAATAATACATATCATGATTATGCTTGAGCCGAAACCCGAGAAGCCAAATAATCATGGCCGAAGCCCCATAGTCATTTCAAACCCAAAGCTCCACTATTATCTTGATCGAGTCAGGTACCTAGTTGTAGACCAGAAAGTTGTGTCAGGTTTTGCGCCAGACAGCCCATAAAAACAAAGCCATCCCAGACTCGCAATCTCGTATCTGTCAGCAACCGGAGATAGACAACTATCTCCGTCTTAGCATAACGGCTGGGCGCGAAATATTAGAACCCAATACGAGTCAGTCATGACTTCCGCCAAAACAGCGGTATGTGTTTGAGCATGCAATCTGTGAGCATGATATTCTATTTTGCTCGCTAAACGTGCAGCACAAAAGTCAATGAGATTTTCATAGGTATCATGGTAATGTTCCGTCATCAGCCAAGATGCCACTCAATCCGTTTTTGGATATATAGCCTGGAGTTGTCTATGTATTAGTCATTACCACCACTACCATCGTCATCCTCCGGCAAAATCACATCGGCAACACCACAATAATGCTAGGCGAAAGAGTCTGCCATTATTCTTAGCATATGGCTCTAATTCTCATGTCTGGATAAGTTTGCTAATCCAACTTGGGCGCGCCAGACATTGCTTAGTACAAAGGCGGCTGAATTTTATTTCTATTTTCTTGTTGGTAACAGGTTACGTTGGTTAGTCATGAACAATGTAGATACATATCTGTGAAGATTTCCTATGAGTCAGCAGTATTGAATAATATTCTACATATACCACCTCAACCAATTCGGACACTGTTTTCAACTCCCAAGCATTTTTGGCATCTGCCCTATGACAATCTGATTCAGGGCGCTATGGTTGGATTCCTCGCTGACGAAATACTCGGGCATGCTCGCTACCAGTCTTTTGGCTCCCCCGCCCCTCCTGCAGTTTTCCCAGATTCTCCCTACAGCCAAAAGATGGTGGTGCTGAGTATGTCGCTCATTGGTGCCCACACTCATCCTTCCGGTGGAGGAGTTAACATCGGAATTTCCGGGTACAGAATGCATCTCGTGATCGTGGTTGAATGTGACACTTATTCGTGATCGAGAATGTAATCACTGTTTCTTATGCATCAGCTATTCAATCTTGAAGCGGTACAGAACTATTGGAATGTTTGTTGAGAAGTGTTGGTATCGATTTTTCGACCAGTAGCAATGCCATGATCCTGATCGATGCTGGACTAGACTAGACTGGTGAGAAGGCTTGAATAAGGTCATGCTCAAGCTCTTGGCTGGCCGGAAGAGCAATTTTGAATGCGTATATACATTGGCAGTTAATATTGAGAACAGTTTTGTTGTTGGAGAAAGTGAAATGCATGTTCTTGGCCTCCTGAGAGGAGGGCTACTGCTTAGTGCGTGTGCGCCGCCTACTGAGTCTGTACCGCGCCCTCGCTTGCTAAGTGCTATAGCTCCCCTGACACTAACCTAGTCAACTTCGACTTATTGGTACGTTGGCTTCTGAATTCAACCAGACAATACCTAATAATCTTGCATGGTTGCATGGAATTTACAACATTATCCATTGCCTGCAGACTTGCACGGAACTCGAGGCACTTGAAGTGATTAAAATTCGCAGTAATTATGATGACCTAGACTCTGACGTTGCTCGATTTACCGTGGGTAAGTCTGTATTATATCCAGGATCTTCTTAGCTATGATGTAAATATGAAGAGAAACCTTTTGCAAACGCGAATAGTACAAAGAATCCTAGTTCTTGCACAAATCGTCATGTACGTTCTAAGCTTCCTCCTTCTGTGTCACATGTACGATCAAGTCAGGGTCCTTTGACATTACAGCAGCAGCTCCCTCTGGGTCATCCATGGCGTGAGGAATCAGCTGATCTCCAAATAACTCGTCCATCTGCTCGAGCGTCTTGCCCCTGGTCTCCGGGAAGAAGAACCAGTAGCTTAAGAAAGCGATGATGTTGAAGACGAAGAAGACATAGAAATACTTGAATCCGATACTGGCCAACGCTGTAGGGGAGAACTGGGCAAATATGAGGTTCACTACCCAGTTGGTGAAGGTAGTGATGGCGTTGCCCAAGGCACGAACCTCGACGGGGAAAATTTCAGCTGGGTACACCCAGGAAATGATTCCCAGAGGTGTGTAGAAAAGACTGAAGACAAAGTTCATCGCCACCATGGAGCGAAGTTGACTGCCGTTGTTCTCGTTGAGATATTGTGCTTGGACGGCGTTGACAAGAAGTGCGGCTCCAAGACCAGCAGCAGATACGAGTAGGGGCTTGACACGTCCGACCTTGTCGAGCAGGTAAAGACCAATAGTGCAGTATACGATCGACAGAGCACCGCTGATACCGACGATCATGAGAGAGGTTTGCGTTTCGATACCGAGAATCTTGTAGATGGTAGGTCCATAGTAGTTAATAACATTGATTCCAGAAAGGGGGCCAAATGCTTGGACAGCGCATCCAAGTATCAGTCGCCTCCTCCAAGACGGTTTTGTAATGATACTCTTCGTAGAGACTTTGCCAATTGCGCGATCGGCAGCGATAACGTCTCGGATTTCGATGAACTCAAGCTCGATCAATTCGGGGTCTTCACCTGATCGCAGTTTCTGAAGAATGGTGCGGGCTTCCTCGTGGCGGTCTTTCTCCATCAACCAACGAGGCGATTCATGGAGTAGCCAGACACCGGAGACAAGAACAATAGCAGGGAGACACTGGAAGCCGAGTGGGAATCGCCCTTCAGTCAAAGGTCAGATTTTGATTTTGATTGACAAATCCAGCCCAGTGCAACTTACAGGAGAAGGCGGTTGTAGAAAAAGAGCAACCATAACCAAGCCATTGAGCAACGAAGAACCCCCAGCTCAAGAACCATTGCAAAAGGCCGGACAGCGTGCCGCGCCATTTCGGCATTGAAATTTCGGAGGCGTACATGGGAATTGTTGAGGTAAGGACACCCACTGCAGCACCACCAATGAAGCGACCAGCAATTAGCATGCCCATATTAATGGCACCGCACTGCAATGCTGAACCGACGATTGAAATTAGAGCGCCCATGAAGATCGTTTTCTTTCGACCAAGAATATCGGCGAACACCTGCGAGCAGCTTTGTTCAGCAATCAAGTCTTGCTGTGCAGTGCCCACGATTCACGATCGACTTACCATATTAATCATAGTACCAAGCACAGCACCTCCTTGGAAAGAGCTCACAATGCCACCTTGAATGCTCTCTGAGGGGTTATCAAAGTACGCCTTGAATGTATCCAGAGCGATCGTTGAACTGATGATACCAGAGTCATAGCCGAACAGGAAGCCTCCCACGGCCAAAAAGGCCGCGGAGAAGATCGTGATCGTCCTTCCCGAAGGCATAATTGTTGTCACCAGTGAAGTACGACGACACTGTCTACGCCAATCACGTTCTTTGTGGAGAGTCAAACAAAAAGAGACGAACAAAGTCGATAGATCTACAAGATCACGGCATGAATATGCACAAGAAAGCTTTTCATATGGGTCACATCCAACCCCGGTGTTAGTTGTCGGCTGAGGTTGGGGTAAAACCGGAGATGCCGCTTTCATGTGCCGGTTTGCGGGAGTTCCAGCGAGACAAGTGAGTAATTTCGATGGAGATCTGCATGGTCAAGGGCCAGGCCAAGAGCTCGGCATACCAGAAACCGATTCTATGCATATTCCGTGCAGTGAAGTGAGCTCGACTCAGCCAATACGGGTATAACCTAGTAAGTTGACTGGATTCCTACCCCGGGTTTCAATCTCCCCACAGTCCCCCACTTCGGGTCCACAAGATCCCCAAACTCGGTGTGAATTCTCGCGAATTTCTCCAATTCTGGGAATCTACATCAGCCTAGAGATATTGATGAAGGTCGGGAAGTGGACAGCTGCGTAGGAAAAGGATGATTTTAGACCTTTTCGACGTTGGTGGCTGGGGTATTCGACTCGATTCAAAAGTGCTGTTGTTGGCGGCGTATCATTGACAGCGAGACGTCGAATAGGCAAGGACGGTTGCCGGTCCAGTTTGTGTAAAAGCTTACGAGCTGAATTACACAAGCTTATTGGTTCACGGGTGCACTCAACCAATATAGGATGCCTTTTATGCTCAAGGTGTAGAGATGATACTGGTAGTCGTGTCAGATTGTTGTAGTGAACCTTTGAGGTATTTCAACTGAGCCAGGCAATTATCGCTACCTGGCCAGTAATCGCACTATGATGCAAGCATTCAAAATAATACTATCCATTCTTATGACAATATGGTAGCTCAGCCTGGATTATATAAGTTCAGCATGAGGTTGTGGCCAGAATTCTGGATGGATGCCAGTCGGAGGCCATGTATCACGACTGCGATACTGGTTTGTAAATGTGTGCCTTCCCGACCCAACCCATGTCCCTTCCTTGTATTCCTCGGCAGAATTTGTGTAGTGGCCCGGCAGCACCACACAGGCCGTCGTGTTGGGAGGAACGATAATCTCTAACTTAAACTCATCTTCCTGCAATGTCCATGATGCTCCTATAGTGCCGTACGGACAATCGTGCCTCACTTGAGCCCAGGTCAGGGCTGGGCCAGGGATGGGGCGAATCTTGATCTGTTTCCAACCTGGTGTCAAGGGACTGATCCCGCCGACGTCTTCATGAAGCCAATTAGCAACAGATCCCAATGCATAGTGATTGAAACTTGTCATTTCGCCGGGGTTGATCGAGCCATCGGGGAGCATGCTGTCCCACCGCTCCCAAATGGTCGTTGCTCCCATCGACACAGGGTACATCCAACTAGGGCACCTTTTCTCGAGCAGCATTCGGTACGCATATTGTGGGCGCTGCACCATTGACAGTGCACGTAGGATAATTGGCGTACCAGCGAACCCAGTAGTAACACGGAATTGAGCGAATCGGACAGCCCGAACAAGTCTCTCACCAGCGAATATGCGCTGTTTCTCTGTTGCAAAAAGATCAAACACGATAGCGAGAGCGATGGCTGTTTGGGTATCAGAAACGACAAGCCCCGCTGGCGTGATGTACTTTTCCTGAAATCTGTTCTTAAGTCGCAACCAATCATCTTGGTACCGAGTATGGTCTAGATGGTTTCCCAATATGCGGGCGACGTTGGCCAGGATCCAGGTGATGCGAACCAGGTACGCGTCCGCAACTAGGACTCCGTCAGTCTTGCCGAAACCGGGTTCACTTGGAGGCGCCGCTGGATCGAGCCAATCGCCGAGCTGCCACTTGTCGCTCTCCCAGAGGCCATCCTCGCCTCTTTTGACTCCCTTATCAACCCAAGCCTGCATGCTTTGATACTGCTTGGATAAGACAGCTTCGTCACCAAATGCTTGATAAAGATCCCAAGGTAATATGGCGACAACATCATCCCAAACTGCATTCGCAACACGAGGCCACCATTCATCCTTCACAGCTTCATCGTCTCTTCCGATTACATTGGGGACCACAAAGGGAGGAATGCCATCGCCGTCAGCTAGTTGTTCAGCAGCAACATCTTGAATCCACCCACCGAGCATTGCGCTAGTGTCATAAAGGAAGCTTGCTGTGGGTGAGAATACTTGGATATCGCCCGTCCAGCCAAGTCTCTCATCGCGCTGAGGGCAGTCTGTCGGGATAGAAACAAAATTTCCTCGCATGCTCCACATTACATTTTCGTGCAGTTGACTGACTTGTTTATGCGAGCACCTGAACCATCCCGTTTGCTTCATGTCTGAGTGCATCACCAGGGCCGTAAGAGACCATTTTGTAAGCGGGCATTCTTGATCTTCTGGCGACCACCCATCTACTTCCACGTAACGGAAACCATGGAAGGTGAAACAGGGTGATTGACCCTCAATCTCGTCACCGTTAGAAATGACCGCGTACTGGCTAGCGGCAAATCGTAATGGGCGAACTCCAATTTCACCATGTTCAAGGACTTCAGCGTGCCTGAACCGAATCTGATGATCTCTGGGTTTGTGAAGAGAGTTGATTCGTAGTTTTCCAACTAGGTTTTGACCGAAATCTATGATTGTCCTGCCTGATGGCGTTTTGAGTATGTCGACAATGTCCTTCTCTTCAGTGACTCGCACAGGTGGTGCTTCTTGTGGAATTAATTGTGCCGAAGGCGTCTTGTCAACCTTAACTGGGTACCAAGAAAGTTTGCCACTACCAGCTCGTAGTCTCGCATCATATACTTCGCCGTTGTATATCTCGCTGCGTACAATAGAGTTGAGGCTGGATTGCCACGACTCATCTGTCCCCACCATGAAGCTTGTTGTTGCACCTTCAAAATCAACCTCAAGCTGTGCCAACAAACCGAGATTTGAGCCGAACCGGCACCGCCTACCTCCAGCCCAGCCCAGAGCAGAAGCATACCAACCAGCTCCAACCTCCACATTGAGGTCAAATTTCTGGTCTGATCTCAACAGCTCTGCAACATCAAAGGTTTGGTAGTACTGACGGTGTTTGTAGCTGGTCCAGCCTGGCGCCATACATTGATCCCCGACAGGCTTTCCATTGATATGCGCCTGATAAACGCCATGCGCTGTGATATACAAACGAGCGCGTGTAATCTTGCCAGCGGGGAGGCTGCCCTGCTTGACGAACGAAATAGGTCTCAAAGAACCATCTTCCGCCTCTTTTGGGAAATCATCAGTTAACGTGATGAACTGCGATGTCCAATCATCGGCAAGCAGTAGTGCAGCTTCGACTCGAACGACTGGAGACCAGTCAGACTGCGTGGCATCTCCATCATGACGCCACTCCCCATCCTTCCAGGAGCATGATCTTCCTCGTACGCGTACCTGAACTGAAGCAGATTCTCTTGACTTCAGCGGCCGCGCTGGCCAAGGGACTAACAATGAACCTTCTCCAGCAATCTCTGTTTGATGTGCTGAACCATCACCATCTACAAGGATATACAGCTCGTATGCTTCCTGTTGCCAATTGCGGCTGGACGCATCAACATCCGCAAACGACCATGATATTCGAGGAGTTGAGGTGTTTACCCCGAAGCCATCGTGATGCTGCTCAAATCGCACGTTGGTGATGCTTGGTGAGCTCATAGTAGAAATTTGCAGGATGGGCGCTAGTGACGAGCTGAGAGTGGGGTAAGCACAGAAGAAGACAGTACCTTGAAGTATGACTTGGATGCCGTAGGGGCAGGAAGATAGTTAGACGGTCGAGAGTAGATGCTCGCACGACAATCGTTCTTGGGAATCTGTAGTTAAGCTTCAAGTACGGAGTATAACTTCGGAGAATTGGGAACCGACACTAGTCAGTCTTGCTAGCATTTGCTGGGACATGCCCCACCGAGTCCACATATTCGATGGCACTTCCGAACTCAACCGGATATGAGCCGCATAAGCAGCAGATATAATTATGTGTAGCATTGCCGTCAGAATTTTCGGTTAAGTCAGTTCTTGTCATGGATACAATTGTACGTTCACGCCGTTACCTAGTCATCTGCGACGCTAGTAGATCGGAACTCTTTCCAAGCATAAATCATGACGGGGTGCCTACCTGCACGAAGTGTGCAACCATAATGCTATCTGTGGCTTTGCTCTGATTTGCGATGATTGACTGTTTCGAGACAACTGACCGACAGAAGTGTTGGAAGTTCTATGGAATGAAGAATGCAACGTAGATGTTGAGTGGCCTGTGCAGGGCCACCAGTCGATGATGTCTCGTTGCTAGTTTGGCCTGTTCGAATGTATTGTGGTCAGTGGTTCATTTGCTATCATCTGAACCACCAATTGACCGAAGCATTTAACCTTCCGTCATGGAAATTACTTCGTACACTATGCCACCAACCCTTTGGTATAAACAGGGCGTCGTTGGGTTGAAGCACGGCTTCAAGAATGTCTTCCGAGAGCTCAGAGCCCCAGACGGCATCATACAAAGCCGCACGTTCGGGACCCTGCATCATTTCCGTACCTCGGAAGCGTGAGTTACCTCGGGATCCCAACTGATTCTGAACTCGTGCATACAACTGCTGTCCGAGAGTAGGAGTGAGCAGTCTAATAGTCTTGTCACTCAGAAGCTGAACGAAAAGATTCGGGTTTGGGTCTCGATGAAGGGGAGTGTAAGTAGGCTCCAAGCCGAGCCAAATACTAGAGTCATATACGTCCCCCTTTCCGGCATGTTCGACAATACTGGGAACTGGCAGGTCGTTTCGAAGAGGCTCGGGCAGTTCATTGAGCTGAGATTGCGCTATGTATAGCCGCTTGACCCGACTTTCCGTGGCTTGTAACTTGTTGTATTCAGATGCCTTGGAAAGAAGGTCAAGAGGAGCAAAAAACTGGTGGAAGACAGTGCTTTCCTCGGGTATGTCCCGGCCAGTATTAGAAAGGGTACCTGCCAGACAAAGCGCAAGTTGCTCATCCTGGGCACGTAGCCAGTCTATAAAGCTAAGCACTGAGTCCTTGTCCCCGGGAGCCGTGCTATGGAGAAATTCGTATGGAAAGACAACCGAGCTGTGCTGTGTCAAGTAGTCACTGAGACTGGCTGAAGGCCCGTCATGATTGACAAACCAATGTCTTACAGGTGCAAAAAGGTGAGAATTTCTCATAACCAATGGGAGTTCCGGGGTGAATGCATGCTGGCGGAACGATTCGAGATCGGGATCAAGAGTCTCGGTTTCAGATCGGCGTTGCTCATTTACAGTGGTGATTGCGCGATTGGTACTATGAGGCTTGACTGCAGCTTGCTTGTGACTTTGGAATGCGGCGCGTGTTGCAAGCGAGGGAGCCAGACCGGATGTCCTTTTCAGGAGCAGATGCCTAAGCATGCTGGGCAGTCCTCAATGCTGGCTCTGATCGCAAAGGCAATCGATCATGTGGATTGGCATGCCTTTATTCAAACGGTGCAATGGCAAAGAGAAGCATTGAACAGAGATTTGGAAGACATGCTTTTCTCTCTATTGCGCAACACTAGGTGGAGAGAGCGTTCAAGACTTCAAGTTGATCAGCTAAAAGGAAGGGCGGCACAGCCGATAAGCGATAAGAGAGACGATCAGCAAAGAGGCAAGCCTTAGTTGGTCTTAGAGTAGAAGAAGTGATCTGCGGCGGAGTGCACGGGCCCCTTTTCTTTGTAGTTGCTCCGGCCACCAGCCAGGTCAGCTTTGCCAGCGTACTAGACTAGCGTGTGTACTGCCCAGTGGCACAGTCCCCTGGCAGCTGAAGGTCTGGCTCTGGCTGTGGCTCTGGCTCTTGGGGTCCCTTCGGCTCACTGAAAACGGATTTGGTTACACCACTTTGCAGTGCCAAATTGCGAGGCTGCCGCCCATTCGTGCACATCCAACCTCAACCCACCAAAATTCCCCAAGGCATCAATAGGGCAGTCGGCGATACACTCCAGATCGTCGCTCTGCAGAATCAGTCGCCCAAAAAAATAGAGACCAACCATTGCAGATCATCGTAGTCGCCAACCTTTGCGTCGAGTCATGCCGGCGCGATAGACCAATCTTGGATTCCTTCCCCCCGTCTCTACCATTTCCTAGGCGGGGTATAATAATCGACGACCCCTCCAACCATCGATTATTGCTATCGATATTACACACCGACGTCGAGAAATTGCATCAAGCGTCGGGCCAGGGTGCCACAAGCCCAGCTCAACACGGAAACATGTCTACCTCGTCGGGGACCCCTGAGTCGTGGATCTCATCCTTCTGCTCCCTCCTCGGACACGAATACTTCGCCGAGGTCTCGGAAGAGTTCATCGAGGATGACTTCAATCTGACTGGACTGCAGTCGCAAGTCGCCATGTACAAGGAGGCTCTAGAGGTAAGGCGTGCACCAGCCATGCATGATAAGCTCAGGCCCTCCCCGTGCTGACCCTCCCGCACACAGATGATACTCGATGTCGAGCCCGAGGACGACGACGAGGATGAGGAGGAAGACGAGGAAGACGAGGATGAGTCCATCGAAGGTGTGGACCGAATGCGATCAGGAGAGCGAAGAAACCACAGCCGAATAGCTAGTGATCTTTCCGTTATCGAGTCTTCGGCCGAAATGCTCTATGGCCTGATACATCAGCGATTCATCTGCTCACGCGCCGGTATTCAACAGATGTCTGAGAAGTACGAGCTTGGCCATTTCGGCGTGTGCCCTCGCAGCAACTGCGAGCAGGCACGAACCCTTCCAGTCGGACTCTCCGATATTCCTGGCGAGGACACGGTCAAGCTGTTCTGTCCCGCATGCCTAGACGTCTACGTGCCTCCTAATAGCCGTTTCCAGACTGTCGACGGGGCCTTCTTCGGGCGAACATTTGGTGCCCTTTTCTTACTTACTTTCCCAGAGTACGATTTGACCAAGAGGGGCGCAGACGTTCTTGCTGGTGCCCGCATCGCCGACGACGACAAGGAGTTGTTGAACGGCATGTATGTCGGAAACGTTGCTCCTGGCTTGGGAAGCAACAAGATTTACCAGCCGCGCATCTATGGCTTCAGGGTCTCGGAAGTAGCTCGCTCAGGTCCCCGTATGCAGTGGCTTCGCAACAAGCCCGACGATATGTCCGAATTGGATGAGGCCCGGCGCTACGTTGAGGAGAATCATGACAGCGACGATGAGGATGAGGGCAACACCAACCTGAGTGGGAGGCCGATCCGTCGGCTACGCGCCAGAAGACGCAATGGCCAAGGAGGCAGTCCCATGGCAGTCGAGACGAACGGTGCCGAGTCGGAGCTTTAGAGGAACAACAAGGATCATCGAGCACCCTTGGAGCCTCTACGCCACTTTCTCACACCGTTTGACGAAGATGACATGCCAGAGTTGAACAGTCGTGCTCTTACACGACGAGGAGCTGTCAAGCTCAAATTGCTCACAGGACCTCCACCAGAGGGAACACCAACGAGTGATGAGTCAATTGGTACATTTCTAGAACGGATGTATCACTAGTATCATTTGTGTCGAACCTGGTTTCCGACGGACATGCACGGCTGTCACAATGGGTGTTGGCAGGGGTGAGGGCATTGAGCAGACCAGAAATTGGCCCCAAAATATTTCAGTCGGTTCTTCACCGATAAAACAGGAAGGAACAATCGATTTTTCACCCTTATTCCGCATTGGTCGGCGTTAGAGCTATTGGGCACTGCGTATGCCCTGCAGTGGCGTTTTCGATTCTGTGGCATGGAGGTGTTGGTTGACAGTGACAGGGTGAGAGCACATCTGATGTCATGTCGCCTACTGATTAGGATAAAGGTGTGTCGTGGCGCATACAGCAGCTCTACTTATGAGACTTATAGACAGCAAATGCACTAATTGATCATCATAAGATCGCCTCTTTTGATTTGAACACTGGAATACAGAGTACCCGTGTACAGATCGTAGTAGCACTATGAGCATAATACCTTTCTTCTGCAAGGCAACATTGTTAATTCAAGCTCACACAATGCCGTGCCCAAACTCAAGACGCCCGAGACCTGTTGTGGCGCCGATTTCAAAATAATCAGTATCGGCATCGATAGGTAAGTAACAAGTCACCGGTATTCCTGCAAGCCATGTTCCACACTCCATGTTCCTAGCCATTACGAAGCCATGCATTGGGATGAACATTGCCAAGCCCATGGCCACAGTTCAAGACTTCCTGACGGACAAAATGTTCATGTACACGATACACTTGCATGCTCTCAGCCATCATCTAACTGGGCACTAGCAAAATCTCCTTTTCTGCAGGGCAGTGTGTCCTCTAGCCTCGTACTTATGGCATCACACAAGGCCCTGAGGATGAAATTATGGTGCCACTGCGCAAATCCAACGGTATGATGCCCACACAACTCCAAAGAATACTTTACTAGGAATGGCGGGCAAACAACACGCCGACCTGGAGGAGAATGGTCTGCTTATTGCTCGCCTCCTACGAAACCGTGGCGCCAGCAGATTTAAATCTTTCTCTTCACTGTCAGCCCTCCTGGTAGTTTATAACCACCACGAACTGGTTGTAACCGGCCGATCCGAGGGGAGAGCCGTCGATACTCGATGTTTATGAGGAAATCGTGTTGGTTGCTGGAGGATTTAGATTTCGACGAAGCGTATTACTCAGGTGGGAATTTGCAGGAAGCTTCCACCAGGGCACTTAATTATACTGGATTGGACTGTATTGCAGATTGGCTAATTCGGGGTGACGAAATTCGTGGGTACCGTAGTCTGAGCGAAGCGATCTCAGTTGTAAGATTTGTTCCAAGGCGCAGGAAAAAAATCAGGCAGGAGTCTTTGACAAGTAGTCGGCGGTTGCTGCTGTGCCAGTTGTTTGGAGCGATACGGGCTACAATCTATATGGGCGACAACTTCTTGTGTGCTGGGACTCTCGAAGTGGGCCCGCGAAACGTGTATACCCTGGGAGGCTGTCAAAATTCCGTGCTGCTTCGAGCTGTCGACGAGAGTAAGGTATGGGACTTGGTGCGTGTTCCTTGGTCAAATGGAGTTGTGGTCGGTGTGTTCTTGAATACTTAGTGGCAAACATTCAGATTGTGATGATGAAGAAAAGGAACCGCCAAAACAGGACATTCAGGAATTTGCTTACAGAGATGCTCCACGAAGATCTGCAAGTCTTGAAACTGCCCATTGACGTCCCGTTATACAATAAAGTAGTCAAGGAGGATCCGAACATAGATTGTTGGGTCAATGAACAATCTGAGGCGTTTTGGTCTCGTCCAGCTCCGTGTTGCCAGATAGTTTAAGCACATCGACTCAAATGTAAATCCTCAATCTTGTCCCATCAAGGACCATGCTGAAAGTCCACGTTTCTTGAAACAATAGTTCCTGCCAGAGCACGAGGTAATAATCCATAGAAGTTCTTCAACTACTTCTACTATACTGATCCATTCTAGGGTCAAGTTAATTCGTCTACTATATGAGAAATATGCCCGCGATATTATACCAACAGGATTGTGCCATGGTCCATGGCACGTGGTGCACTTTGATATCATCAATACCGATAAATTGTGGTGAAAGGTGCAGGCTTGTCACTTGCGATAGATATCACCTGCTAGCCGTTTCATTCCCACGGGAGAACCTGTGAACTCGGTTATTGGTAGCTGGTGCATGGTGTAAGCATAATCAATTAGCAGCGGTCAAAGGTCTGCGTTTTTGTCCGAAATGCTGCTCCGGCGAACTTGAGAAGACCAAATGTTGTTGACCTTACAGGGTTACGTTTTTGCACAGTATGTGACGTCATGATGTTAGACTCCTAAAACAGGATGCGGACAGACCCCGATTCCGGGAACCGACCAGAAGAATACAGTAACATAAAAAGATCGCTGAGCCACACTCTGAAACTATTCAATAAACCCATCAGTCTCATCACCAGTATTCAACGTTGATTTTGGACCAGATTAATCGACTCACCCGCACATCTCATCATGAACAACCAAAACTCAGGCGCATCCGGTGCCATCAAGGGAGGCACGAGCATGGTCGGCAATCTTGTCGGTGGTGTCGTGCGAACGACAGGAGGTGTGCTCGACACTGTCGTCTCGGGTACAGGAAAAACTGTCACGAGTACGTTTGGATCTGCTGCGAAACCTGTTGGTGATGCTCTCGTCTCTGTGGGCAACGGAGTTGGTGATGGCGCCAACAATGTCGCCAAGGGCAGCGAGCGATTAGGGAACTGGAAAGTTTAAGCACTGCAGTCGAATTTTGTTTTTATTGAGGCGACGATATGTGACCGCAGAAAGACTTCTCTCGCTCGATATACGGAAGATGAACAGTGTACGGTCATAATGGCTAGAAGATGACTGGGTCAGGCTAGGAGACATATTACAAGGGGATCTAAAAGCCGCAGCGAATGAGATTCTTGCATGAGATCGACAAATTTTGTGGATTGAGTTCACTACAACTGGCTCTGTGCCATGTGCTCCGTGTCGTTGTTGCAAACCCGAGCAATTGGGACTGATTCTCTGAACGGCTTGCCCAAGCGCGCACTTCGTGAGATTCTTGCGTAACGCCAGTGATGACTAATAAGTACGTTGATAAGTGTGGAAAACTTTCGTCTAAATAATTTGACTACTTACTCCAGGTATGAGTGCCGTATGGCATCGCGGCCATTCTTCGTTCTCCGCAACCGGCCAAGAGCCCGCTGTGGAGGTCGCCGATAGGGCTGAAGACTACTTGCAACGGCCGGTCCCGAAGCGGGCGCTGAGATATAGCGCTCACTATATATCAGCGTAATCTGCAATGTCTTGCAAGCTTATTTATTGCTGAAGTTTGTTGTGTCCCTTTATATCTCCAAGAAACTAAACAAGCTCCAATCATACATCATGGCGACGAAGTCTCAAACTCAAAATCCGAAGACCCTCCTCAGCGCACTACTGTCGGTCATCGAAAAACAGATCGTACCTTTGACAGCGAAGGGAGTGTCTTCAGGCAGCAAGCTCTTCGGTGCTGCTATTCTATCTAAGTCAACTCTAACCCCGTTGACTGTTGCCACCAACAATGAGCGTGTATCGCCCCTGCTACATGGTGAAATCAACTGCATTCAGCAATTCTTCACCTCTCCTACAACACTTGATGGCTCGCCGAGACCAGAAACGAAGGACTGTGTATTCATTGCCACACATGAGCCATGCTCACTATGCTTAAGCGGAATCACTTGGTCCGGGTTTGATAACTTCTTCTACCTCTTCACTTACGAAGACAGTCGGGATCTGTTCGCCATTCCATATGATATCCAGATACTCGAGGAAGTTTTCAGGGTGAAGGCTGACGGGGAGAGCGAAGATAATCACACGAAGCGGGAATTGTATAACCGAAAAAACAAGTTCTTCACGGCGAAAAGCTTCATGGACTTGGTGGGGGAACTAGATGGAGATGAGGACCGGAAGAAGTGGACTGCTGAGATCGAGAGGATAAAACGTCTGTACAATGGCTTGAGCGAGACGTATCAGGAAGGGAAAAAAGAGGGGGTAGAGAGTGCTAGTGTTTGGAAGTAATGAAGTAGGTACATTGAAAGATTGGCATCGAGGGAAACCAGAGTTGAGGTACAATTTTCGCAGTGGTCATTATTATCTCAGGTGAAATATCTGTAGCTACAGTGCGTATCTATTCGGACTTAAACTTTCTAGCATTCTTTCAACACTGGAATCTCTTATGAGTCTATTCCTCTCATGGAGAGTCTCCTCCAATCATTGATCTTTAGTATACTTGCATGATTGTCTCCACTTTTGACCATATCTGTAGAGAAATATCGGAATAGGCGCAAGACTCAGCATCATCGCCGCTAGTATTGTAAATCCCCAGCCATATCCAAATGATTCGACCAAGGGCGTTGTCAAAAGAGGGAGGAAAGTGCCCATGAGGCACCGCGTTACGATTAAAGCGGTAAGCGATGACGCTGAATAAATACCGGATGCATCAACAATATAAGTGAGCACAGGCAGGAACGCGAACTGCATTGCCGCACCGAATATTACGATAGCAAGGATCATCACCCACAGCGGCAGATGCAGCTGAGGTACCCAGCCGTAGAAGGCAATTGCGAGTGGCAAGGCAATCGCGCCAAGAATGACGAATGGCAGCCGATATTCAGGGGCCTCAAGGCCCTTATTGCGCTTGCGAAGCTCGACATAAACTTTGTCGAGCGTGTTATTGAGAAGGATTACGACGATGAGTGCACCAACACCTAATCCCACGGTTAATAATCTTTCAATCACAAGTGTATGCAGAGCACTTACTAAAGCTGATGTAAGCCGCTCCAGCGGCGGTAGGCTCCATATGGTAGATATTCTCTGAAATATCAGGTAGTGTTGTCGACATAACGTAAAAGAACGTGAAGACAACAGCACTAAACAGCGACATCAGCTGCAGCACAGGAGATTCCAAGAATACAATCAGCGGTCGCAAAACGGCTTCGCGGACTTTGGCAACACTGTGAACATCTTCATCAAATGCTGTCTTTAGCAAATCATTGCCTGTTTCTGCTCGCAATCTCGCAGCTTTTCTTCTCAGAATGGGCACCTTGTAAGTCTCCCGGTAGCATGTCAGGAAGAGTAACTCAGCGACACCAGCCAAAATTATGCTCATCCAGCACACGGCTCGCCATCCCAGTCCCTCTGCGACGACTATGCTAAGTAGAGGGCCAACAGCGCCGCCCGTGAGGGGTGCCAGAGAGATAAGGCTCATAGCTGTTCCGCGATGCTCCGAAGGGAAAAGGTCGCCAACGATTGCAGGATTCAACACATTTGTGGCTACGGCTACGCCAGTCAGAGCCCTTGCTGCGATGAACATGATACTGCTTTCCGACAGCACCGCCATCAGGGTGGCAAGAATGAATAACACATTGCAGATGTTGATTACAGGCCAGCGACCATACATTTCCGACAATGGGGCAATGAAGAGAGGCCCAGCAGCCTCACCGAGCTCCCAAATAGTGACTAGAAGGACACTAGCAGATTTGCTCGTCCGGCCATCATCAAGGTCGGATACGATGCGATTTGCGACTGGCACGACAGAAATGCATGTAAACGTGCTGATAACTAGGATCAGTCTCCATGTTCAAACTGCCTAGAAAATATTTGACTTACACAGTAAACGCCATCAAAGCCAGTAAAGCGACAATACTCCATTTGTAAGCGATTGGCCAATCCAGTGGGTTTTCCGTATCGCCATCAGGGTCAAAAGTGACGAGGTCCTTATCAGCGATCTGGTCGCTTTCTGGAATCGGGGCGCGGTCAGCCTCTGAAGGCAGCAAGGGTTGGGTCTCGTCCATAAAGCCGAATTGTTTTGTAAATTAAAACAATGCTAGACAAAAGAGAGGGAAATAGAAAACAAGTGGAAAAAAAAATGGTTGATGTTTTCAATTGCGTGATGGGTCTAGAGACAGAGGCCGATGCCGACGCCGGCTGTAAAGCGGACCCTCGACATTTCTTTGTCAAGTGCAAAAGGGCGCCAAAAGTGGTCAACTCCAGCACAATTCTGCAGCAGACAGCGTGTGGGGAAAGTGAATGTAATTCCCACACGCCCTTGCGGTGACCAATTACTACTATAGATAGATAGTATGGAGAATTATTAACCGCAACGGAGCAATAATCAGTTCTTTTCCAAGATGCCTCTATGCGCGAACACAAATGTACCCCCCACCCTCTTTGGGAAAGCACCTGCCCCTGCGGTTTCTTCAACCTGTAACTAGGTATACTAGATGTGCAAGGTAGTACCAAAGATTGACATTGCCGACTGAGTTACCCTGGAATTGTCCTAATGCAGAGCAAAAGCTCGGCCTGGAATGGTTTGGTACTAGACTAGGTTAGTTAGAATCGCTTGACTGGTAGGAATCTAACTGCTTTTTTGGACAAATTGCTAAAGACCCCGGAGGCTATCCTAACTGATTATGTACAATTATGATTGGATCGCACGATTCACGATCAACCAAGTGTTACGGAATACCACAGTAATGAGATGGCTTGTACTCCACCTTAAGAAATCGAGCCAATGAACCGGGACCAGTCTTTCGAGCTATCGTCTTAGTGACTATGTTTGCCGGCCGGCCGTGCTAACACTGAAGTACTACTATAATCTGTCCTAACCAACCTGTGGTGGGTCTTCGATTTACATAGGAAATACTATTATAATCGTTAAAGTGTCATGACGAGAGCCTACCAAGAGCTTTCTATTGCTGTTGTCCCAAGATTCTAACCTTAGCTCCGGGCTACCGATGTCGCATCCCCAGCCGCCTCTGATTGCCCAGAAGGAGCATCAGACTTCTCGAATCCATTTGTTGCAGGACTTGGTGCAGCCTCGACATCTTGGCCAGGGCGTTCCTGAGGCTTCTCTTCGATCTTCTTGTTGGTCAAGTCCCATCCTCCACCCCAGCCGACCCAGCCCTTCTCATGTGGACCTCTTATGAGGATTAAGATTAATGTTATTTCCACTAGACCGATGCTCAATGCGCCACTGTGTATCCAACCACCCGAAGCATAGAGTTTATTTCCTACAGCTGTCCCAAAAAGCTGTCCACAGAACGTCAAAACCATGTAGACAGAGTTCACTGCATTCTGGGCCTTGGTATCAACATTGGCAAATGCCATTCGGTTTGCAACAACAATGGTGTTCATCCCCAGATCTCCAAAGAAGGCCCAAATTACGGGACCTGCTAAGGAAAAAGTTCCTACAAATGTACCAATGACGACCGCGGCCTCGGTCACAATGATAGCGATAATCAACGTCCCGCTAGTGTGGATGCGGGACGTTAGAAGCCGAGACACAACTGGGTTGAGGAAGACGGGTGATATGCCAATAAGAGCAAAAAGACCGATTGTCAGAGTCGAGAGGTTGAAAGGCGGACCAGCTAATTGAAAGGTCAAAGTCGTCCAAAATGAGGTGAACATGGCCATGGTGAAAAAAGCGATTAGACTGCACTGTGTCAAGATCGGATGCTTAAATGGCATCTTGACAATCGAGAGCAGAGAGAGCAGGTAAGAGCCATCCGGTCGAAGGATTGGATAATCTGGCATGTAACAAAAAAGCAACGTGAAAATTGCAATTTGAAGTCCAAACGACATCCAATAGACACTACGCCACGAGCTATACTGAGTGATGATACCAGACAGCAGACGGGCTATGAGTATACCAAAGACCAAGCCCGACATAACAATTGAGATCATGGTTGCACGATGGCGTTGTGGTGCATATTGTACAGCCAATGGAAACATGAGCTGAGGTGTGACAGTTAACATTCCCACGAGGAATGATATACCCAGGAAAACTTCGAAGGAATGAGTCAAAGTCAACCCCAGCCACTATCGGTTATTAGTAATGCTCAAGATGCAGTTGCACGGAAATCTTGCCTACCAGAACGGCTGTAACAAATATCAATCCTAGAATTAACGGCCGCCGGCGAACTATATCCCCGATTGGAATTACGAACAAGAGCCCTGCTGCGTAGCCGGCTTGCATAATGGTCGGGACAAGCGAAGAACGCTCATCTGTGACATTGAAATCCTCCGCCAGGACATTTAAGATTGGATGATTGTAGTATAAGTTAGCGACACTGAAAGCCGCAGCCTATGATGGGAGTCAGTGACCGGTTATCCTTGCAGTGAAGTTCTGTCAAACCCACAAAGCCAAAGATGATATTTTGGGCCCATGTTAAATCGTGGTTCGCGCTCGAGTCCCATTTCAGCCACGGGGGCGTCCATAGCAAGCGATTAACGACGTTCGCCCAACGCCCACGTGGTGGCGCTTCTATCTCTGCTTCTGCAGCACGGGACTGTGGTTGAGACGTCATCTAATCGAAGTTGATTCCAATGTGTATGCTGTTGAATTGAGCCGAGGAATACTGTCTTAATTTGTACAAATCTGGGATGCAATGATTGGAAATCAATGTCAAAAGAATCATCACCGCGACATTTCCGGTTGACTTAACGCCGACTAGCAACAATTTCAGCGGAGTTGCATCATCGAACATACATTGAGTTTTAGCGTTCCTTTGGGCGCTAAGTCCGACGTATGAATCACGACGGCCGTGCCCCTGGAGATCACTCGCTTATTATCACTGCAGAGGACGCGTTCCATTTTCTGCACCTAGGTGCCCTAATCTCGGTTGTTGTTTCTAACCTTTAATGAACTTCAATAGCTACTCCGAGTCGCGAATCTTATTCAGGCTGCCACCACTTGTCACGAGTCTAGTTGCCTGACTGAGCAGCTGTCGAACAGTTCATGGTACCTTGTGGGCTGCCGAAATATCAGACGTGCGATGGCTCTGCCCCTAGGTGTTCTGCAATCGTCCTCCCCGTGTACTGGCTTCTTGGTGGCCAGATTCTGCTGAACGCAATGTACAAAGCAGAACTACTCAGGAACGCATAGAAATATCCTAGTGCATAGAGATTCGAGGCGCCTGCAGAGACGTTGAGCGTAGATGTAACAGCTTTTGCAAAACCCGGCAGCAACGGCGTGAAGCCTACAACAAAAGCAACAACTGCTCGCCAATTCGTCCCCCACTTCTCGTAGGAGTAGATGCCGTGGGGCTGGTACATTTCCAGGACATCTGCCCTCTGTTTGTTAACAATCCAGTAATCAGAGATCAAGATGCCAGCCATGGGGGCCAACCAGATTGAGTAACCATCCATGAACGTTAGCAGGGACTCAGCAGAGGCCAAAATCTCCCATGGACACATAGCCCACCCTCCAAGGAATGCGCATACGTATTGCGCTCTTCGAAGATTTAGGTACCTGGGGAACAGTGTGGACAGATCCACGGCCACAGATATACTGTTGGCAGAAATATTGATGCCAATGCTAGCGATCAGGAAAGCAAGCGCGATGAAAAACGCTGCAGCTCGCCCACCAGGCGAAGTCCATTTGTCAATAATCAGCATAGGATCCCAAAGCACCTCGCCATACATCAGACGGGTTCCATTAGCGCCAATGATACCAAAGAGCATCATGAGGATGAAGGCGACCGGAATGATAATCAACTGGACATATGGACTATTGGGCTTCTTCGAGTATCTTGCGAAGTCGTTCATGTTGACACCCAGCGTTGCGAAATTGCCGATCATAGCGTTGACACCGGACATGAATGCCCACCCAAGTGACGATCCAGAATAGGAATTTCCATAAGTGAAGACCTGGTCCCCGCCACCTGTGCTATGGATCACCCATCCTAGGATCGCAAAGCCAGCAATTGGTGTTACAATAGCTTTGAAGGTGAAGAACCAATGGAGCTGGTGAGCTGGAATAGAGTGAAAGGGCAACACCAGAATAAAGTATATGAAATAGCATATCATAAAGCCAGTGTCGATGTTCGCTGATTCAGGCAAATGATTAGGAATATTCCGGAAGTTCGGTACCCAAGCATATATGATAGACCGAATGCACTCTGCTCCAGTGTATGTGCCAATTCCATACCAAAAGATACTAACAATGACACGGAATACGATCATCACGTAAGAGAAGTAAAACCCGAATGCGGAACGTGCTTGTATAGTGAAAGGGATGTGCAAGCGAGCGCCTTTCGATGCTAGGTCAGTCATATTTCTCGAAGCGTATGGGCAGCTTACCGATGATGCCATTGTAGGTAACCACCAAAGCCGTCACGAAATTGCCAATAACAACAGCAACGAGAGCTAGTTTCCAAGAAAGACCAATTGAAATCAGTGACGCGCCGATGCGCCAATTTGAAATAGCAAAAGCGTCGGAAATCCAGTAAGTAACAAAGTTGTACTGTTTACTGAATTAGCTTTTGTACGGGATGCCGCTCTCTTGGATCATACCGTATGCCATGTTTGCTGCTCTGGCGGGACCGGATCTAGGTCCTTGTTACTCCAAGGAGTGCCGGGAGGAGCATAACTGCTTTCTTCGACCTCGAGTGTCGCGTGGCCCTTGATTCTAGACCAGAGTCCACCTTTGTGCGGCGAATCCACTGACCCCGCGACCATATGGGCGTTGCTCGTGGGGTAACTGACGTCTTTCTCCATACTGGCTCAATTCTTAAAAACTATGTTGTTATACAACTTCTCACAACTTCTCAGAATCAAGCGTTCAAGTACGTAACAAGAACTACAAGATGGCCCCAGGCCGTTTTGTAGTGCGTACGGCTCTCAAGATGCTCCAAAAACATCCCTGTCTAACGGCCCCCTGTTCATATGGTGAGAACCTCAATCTTGGGCCTGCCGATAAGAGCTCTCCACAGACGGAGCTCTCTAACCAGATCGGCATACATAAAGTATTCAAAAAACTACAGTGTCGCAACCAGTGACCAATCAAAACATGCCGTCTTGTAAGCTAAACTGAGTGTCGTTAAGGATCTCGGACCAGGCTTGTTCGTCCATTGCTATTCGGGTGATGGTGTGCTGATAAGAAACACTTGTCGAAACACCGACCTCTAGAATACTGGCGGAGGCACCCGCCACCATGAAATCTATTCGAATCCACGACTTCCTGGTAAGTAGGAGTGACGGACATGGCCGATACAGGTGCCTCGTCAGAAATTGTGCTTCTAAATGGATAATCGAATAACTGTGCAACACAGCATGCCGGCCGGTGCTGCCGGTAGGAGGTTCCGACCGTGTCGTAACAATATGCCGCCGGCAGACCATTTGCTGGTAGCGCAATTGTACCCATGTCTGAGATCATATGTTATCCACCTGAATGGCTCTCATGCGCCAGACTGCCCTATTCAAATTCATGGTTGTGATGATGGCAACCACAAATTGAACTGTACCGTTAATCAAAATGTCATCACTTGGGACTTCCAACGCGACAGGGGCCCATCTAACAATCACGCCAGAAGAGCTGTTTGAGCTTCGGCATGTCGCCAGAGGAACTACACAGCCGAGCCTGATCATCAGGCGCGGTACCATTCTTGCGGTGCATACCGGTGAATTACTGAAGAGGGATGTCATCATCAAAGGTAGACACATTGCAGCTGTTACACCATGGAATTATTTCCCAAGAACAAAGTACGCAGTAGACTCTCCGATTGAAGAGATTGATGCCAGTGGAAAGTTCATCAGTCCTGGCTTCATCGACACACATATCCATATTGAGTACACGAAGTTGACACCGGGAGAACTGGCAAGGCTATGCGTTCCGAGAGGAACCACAACCGTCTTAGCTGATGCAAACTGCATTGCGAATGTATGTAGCCTCAATAGCGACTATGGTGACTATTGGACGCTAATCTTTGGACAACCGGCATAGGTTCTAGGAGGAAAAGGAATGGACTTTATGGGTATGTCAATCTGGTTAACGCGGTCAAGTACAGCCACTAAACGTGGTTTCAGGTACAACTACAACACCGCTTCGAATTTTCCGGCAAGTCTCTCATAAAGTCCCCATGAGTGGTCCTGATATCGAGCTCGGAGGTACTTCGTTATCTACCCAAGAGATATGTAGCCGCGTGTCCAGACGCGAGGCAGCGACGCTGGGCGAGTCGAATCCTTTCTCTCTCGACAAAGCCTCTGCTGAAAAGCAAGCTGCTGCTCTGCATGCAGGGAAACGCATCACGGGCCATTCGGCTTTGCTCGTTAATGAGCCGCTATGGGCTTATTGTGCGGTAAGGATCCTCTCTCTTTTACGTTAGCTTCGTGACTGACATAACCGCAGGGAGGTATCGGCGATGACCATAACGCTCACAGACCACAAGATGTCATTGAGCGTCTACGCCTGGGCATGATGTTGACGGTGATGTCCGGAAGTATGAACTCGAACATTGATTCTGTTTTTAACAATTTCGAGCTGTACAAAGATGGTCTCAAGTACATCAGCTTTTGTGCCGATGACAAATATTGCGAAGACCTCGATAAAACCGGTCATATCGACCTGCACGTACGGAGATCGATCGAGCTTGGTGTGCCTGTCTTGGAAGCGTACAAAATGGCAACGATAAATGCGGCATCCTACTACCGACTTGACCATTTGATAGGGAGTGTCACGCCTGGGAAACTGGCCGACTTACTCATTCTGGATAGGCTCGAAGATGCGCTGTACGTGTTCTTCCAATATCCTATTTTGTATGTAATTTACTTATAAGATTATCAGTTCGAGCGTGGTTATCGGAAATGGGTTGGTCGTAGCCCAAGACAACAGAGCCCTCTTTTCCAATAACGACCCCATCCCCGACTTCACGCTGAACACAGTGAACATCCACGACGAGCATCTCGTGGCATCTTCTTACCATCTCTTTCCTCCTGCGGATTTGACGGGACCCCCCTTGCAAGCATGGGTTCAATGTGTAGAAATGTACGATGGATATTTCAAGCGCGCCTTTCATGCCTCGCTTCCTGTTGACTCCGAGCCACCACACAACATCCTCTGTGACCTGGAGAATGATGTCTTGAAAGTGGTAATTGTGGATCGACACCATGGCACGCCCAACCGTGGTATTGCGTTCGTGCGAGGATTCGGCTTGAAAAGGGGTGCCATTGCCACGACTACGAACTGTGAGAATCAGAATCTGGTTGTAATTGGCGTGGACGATGAGTCGATTGCTGCAGCAGTGCGTGCGATGCAGAACCTGGGCGGTGGAATGCTAGCGGTCGGGGAACATGGGACAAGTGTGCTAGGGACAGTCAAGCTGGACGTTGCAGGCTGCATGTCTTCCGACCCTTGGGAAAAGGTCAGGGATGCTAGCTTGAAGTTGGACAAGGTGGTGAGAGATGAGCTTGGGTGTACGATGGACCAGAACCCTTTCTTGATCGCCAGTTTTGTTGGTCTTGTCGCTGTGCCGGACCTGGGATTGACGGAGCTGGGGCTCGTGGTAGGTGCTGGTGAATCACTGATGGATCCAGTACTGAAGATAGCGCCTGTTGCTACCACAATAGGCAATGGCACAGCAGAAAATGCAGTACTTGATCTGCAGGCCATCAGAGTCTGCTGTAGATGCCCGAGTCACATTCACTCTGGGGCGAACTGAATGAAAGTCGAGAATTTGCATCCGACTAATACCAAACAAATGAAGGGAGAACGGGAGCTGAAAATTAGCATCTAGTCTGCCATCGAAGTCGATTGTGTTTTGGCCGGGCACGAGAGTCGTCATAAGGTAGCAACATTCATAAGATGTCAGGTTCATCTTGTTTTGTGCCTCGCAACCATGTGCAAACGTGTGAGCATTAATGCAGAGCAACTAGGTGCAGATGACTTGGCTATATTCCGGCCATAAGAGGGTTAAGCTCAACAATTCGGTAGAGTTTACATAGTCTTGTTGGTCATGTCTCCAGAAATATTCTAGGCCTTTTTTTCTTCTTTTTTTCCCCCTCTTCTTTTCTGTATGATTGAAGGACTGTAGTAGTTGCTTTCTAAATCAGTGGTCGGGAAGTCATAATGTGACAGGTGCGGTCAGTGCTGTTCTTGGTTCAAACATGACAAGCGCAATAACAGCGGTTATATGCAACAATTGGATGGATGGCCGATTCGGAAGAACTCCCAGAGTCAATTTCCATGGGCTGATAGTTCGAGCAGACCAATGGCCAAGTCTATTTCAGTCGCCACCAACGTGGCTGATATTTCCAACAAGTTCAGGTTCATGCTAACCATCTCAGCAGTATGGTTCATGCCCGTATTAATCTCATTCAATAGAGGGGATCCTCTTTAAATAACCAGTCCGCCTAACAGGCACAGTTCATTTCTAGTTCAAGCGCCGAAAGGCAGAATCGCAAGGAATGGGGTTCTTCAGAAAACAACCCAGTCCGCCGGAAGGCATTCCAACAATCAAGCAAACATGTAAGCAGCTACCAGAATTCCAAATCGGCCATCCACCCACTTTCTCTTTTTGTAAAAATATTACTTCACCGGATTGAAAGTATTTTATGGCTAAAATACATTAGATGCACAACATCAGATACAACAAATCAGAATCGAACAGGACAGAACATGCTCAAAAGCAGCCCATGCATAATCACGGTCACCACTTTATGACCTACGTTATTAAGCATTTTCCACACCACGAACAGATTTAATCATGGGGGGGGGGGGGGGGGGCCTCCAGATCAAATCAGTGCACATCCTCAAAAGCGACCAGTGATAGACACGTCACGTATGATGATCAATAATAGTCTATTGATATGGAGTGTGATGTAACGGCGAGGAGTAGAGCTTTCAACTATTCTACTGAAGGCTACCTAAAGTGGTTGCCCTGGGTGTGTACCTGAGGCATCCATTAACCAGACATCCAAATATCTTTTTGTTTCGATCTTCTGAAGATTCGTTTTATCCAATTTGTAGTTTCTTGCTTGGAGGTAGTGCTCAGGCCCTCTATATATGGCACGGCTTTGTCTTGAGCATGGCTTATATTTCAGCTCTTTACAGCCATATTTTCCAAATTCGCCGTTGACGAAAATTACACACGTTTTCTTGTCTTGGCAATCCCGATTTCCCCAAACTGATAATTATTGCACTGTAATCGCCCGAGTACACGGTCAACTTTCCAAGGTACGTGGTCAGTTCTCACTAAGAGAACCAATACGACGTGGGATCTATTGCCTCGTTTGGAGTTCGTTGTACTGTACATATGACACTATACTTCCTTTAAATGCGTTGGACCGAGGGGGAACCATTGATATCTTTCACACGCGAGATATTAGATAAGTACTGGACGACCCCAGACCTCATCCATTTGCTGGCGACCCCGCAGGTTTCTGCTTCGCAGGCAGATTCAGAGCTAGTGGCGCTGGTTGCGCGCTCTTGATCCCACACTGAACCTCGATACTCCGGATGATGCCGCCGACAGGCCTCAGCTCATCCATGAAGACCGCAAGGTTCGTAAAGCTGGCACATCCAGGTTCGCCAAATATCCTTGCTTGACACCCGTCTTCCATATTGGCCATAAACGTGCCACACTCAGCTTGTGGCACCACTGTCACGTTATAACACGTTGGGCCCGGTGGAGTATCCAGCCCGGGGCCTTTTGGAATATTTAGATTGAAGATGGGTGTTCCGCGACACTCCTTCGGGCCTGGCGAGGAGCTGTAGAGCAGTACAGTTATAGGCAGAATTGGCTTCGCTGGCATTGCTTGCGGCGTGGGTTGAGCTAGTGGTATAGGCGTCTTGGTCGCATTCAGAGGGGCAATAGACTGGACCATCGCTTCTTCGCCAATGTTCGGAATATCTGTTTGCGAAACTGTGCCGTCAACCATGAGGGCTGCTTGTTGGTCGCTGAGGCGCCTGCGCTGTGCGCTGCTCGGCGACGCCAGGATCGTGAGAATGAGCGCTATTGTTGGCGCAGGAAGACGCATGTTTGATTATTTGCAAGACCAGTTCACTTTGTCAACGCAGTAGGGATAGAGTTGCGAAATTTGGAAATGCAAAATCTGGGGTTGCGGCAAGTTTATGTGTCGTCTCATGATACCGCCAAGCGCGTCGTGGGCGCTATCTTGGCGTTTCATCGCGGACGACCCTGCGCTCGCATTTGTACAGCTTGAGCTTATAATCACCAATATGCTAACCTAAAGACACTGCTGGCCTGAGGTTGAAAGGTGAACACGGCGTTGTCAATAGGTAGTTGCTAATCATGTTCTGGCGCATTGACCTCAACACATTGGCAGTAGGTGTTGGTCTGCTGGAATGTGCTCCATATACCGCGAGCTTAGATTGGACCCTTACATGGGAGTTAAACCTTTGGAATTCAAATGGCCGATTGCGTCGTCGTAAGTTGAGTGCCAGGAACCCGCTGCAACTAGACTAAGACAACGTCCCGGACAAATCTGACTCGTGGCCGGCTTTTGACACCAACAGTCCCGATCATGAGCACTGTGAATCTTTCATGACTTCAATGATTCACAGCTAAGGTGGTTTTCCAACTGAATAACAGCCTTCAAGATTGCGGGTTTGTATCTTCCTCATCGCCTGGTCTCCTCACGAATAGCCCAGTATTTACAGTGTGTACTGTAGGTAGAGTAGACCAAGGTCAGCAGGCTAAATGCCCCTCATTCGGAAGACGCCGCAATCGTCATGGCTCCGGGCCTGTGACTTGTGACCGTCCTCGTTCTTGTTCCCCTACGGATCCGTGCATAGCTCCCTAACCTTAATTCCCTTCAGGCGCATGGCCCACTGATGAGCCAGCCTTCAATCAATCGCGTCACTTGCCATCGGGCCGCCATTCACGACCAGTCTCGAGCGCAACCTCAACCTCAACCTCGACCTCGACCTCGACCTCGACCTCGACCTCATCCTACCCTTTCTTCGACTTGATCCAACTTGATCTTCTACTCTTTTCCAAAACGTTGTCCCCGAAACACAACACCCAACCCCTACACTGCGACAACCACCTACTTCACACTTGCAAACGTCCTTCGCCCGGCCTCGGACGCTCCAGCTATCCTGATCCTTATCAGTACCTACGATCACGATAAGAAACCATCCGGCTCAACCGTCAAGATGAGTAGCCCTCGCAGACGTATTGAGACCGACGTGAGTAGTTCCAGTGTGACTCGGCCATTTTGTTTAGTATTCTCGGCTGACAGCGCATTTGCAGGTCATGAAGTAATGCAAATCCTACCGTCATGCCACGACATGGAGGCGCTGACTGTGTTTGCAGGATGTACGACCACTGCCACTGTCACATGAGCGACAATAAGCGAATGAATTCTGGTGCTGATGTTGCTTGAATATAGGCTCATGAGCGATTATGAAGTCACTTTGGTCAATGACAACAGTAAGTATCCTCCGCATCTCACCATAACCTTGTTGTGGACTGACTGACTGACTGACCCGTGCTCGCAGTGTAACCGAAGATCCCCCCCCCCCACCTACTGATGCGCAAGTGCTCACGATTGTTCAGGCAGGAGTTCTACGTGCGTTTCAAGGGACCGACAGAGAGTACGTCTCAGCAACAACGATATTGAGACTCCCCCGATTTCAACCAACCTACTAACACAAGAGACAGCGCCTTTCGAAAACGGAGTTTGGAAAGTTCACGTCGAGTTGCCCGATCAATACCCCTATAAATCACCAAGCATCGGCTTTGTCAACAGGATCTATCACCCCAATATCGATGAGCTGTGAGTGCGCTTGGTTACACCGTGCTACTGCCACACAAGATGCAAGGGTAGACGCAGACGCTAAGAGCTGGTTTATTATAGATCGGGATCCGTCTGCTTGGATGTCATCAACCAGACATGGTCGCCCATGTTTGACATGATCAACATCTTCGAGGTCTTCTTGCCCCAACTCTTGCGATACCCCAACCCTTCCGACCCCCTAAACGGCGAGGCGGCTGCCATGCTCATGAGAGAACCCAAGAGCTACGATGCGAAGGTCAAGGGTGCGATACACTTCCAGTAAAGATCAAAGCAAAATTACGAAGCTGACTATGGCTACAGAATATGTTCAAAAATACGCCAGCAAGGATGCCGCCAACGAGGCCGGAGCCGAAGATGAGGACGAGTCTGACATGTCCTCAGTAGCCAGTTTTGGAGACGAAGAGGACGAGCCAGCAGGACAGATGGATGATGTATGATGCGGGCAAAGAACGAACCATTCCTTTTGTTGTCTCTCCTTTGTCATCACAGGTTAGGATGCGGAGTCTTTGCGTTTGATATCATGGATGGAAAGGAGTTTATTTGCCTGGAGTTTGCATAAGACCAACCTCCACTTCGACATCGCTGAGATTTACGCCCTCTGGCTTGTTCTTTGATTTTACACCAATCGGCTTTTCACTTTCCGAGTGGAAATGACTTTCCAGACTGTTCTAGTTAAAAACAAATGAAACCAACTGGGCGCCATCTAACAATTCGTCGAGGTGATGTGTAATTCTTCTGTCAGTTCTAAGTCGTGTAACATGACTATGTACGGCCATTGGAACAGCCAGGAATTTGCAGTATTCCGCCATCTCGTCGATGGGCGCGCCATGATCATCCTGCTTCTGCTCTCGCAACCCAACTGCAAGCTGAACTTTACCCCGGCCTCCTAGCTGATTATACATGTTTACTTTCTCTCGTATCATTACGTATTGTCGTTATCGAGCCAGCCGAACATGCGAATTGTCAATTTGCAACCGGTTCACTTCCGCAAGGTAAGACATCGGTTGAGATTTTAGCCAATAATCCTTAAGACGGGACAGCTTTATGCCGTGAAGCATCAGTAGAGGTACTCATGCAGATATGGACCTGTAGGTCATAGGTCGAATCGTCGATATATATATGGACATGATCAATATCTAGTATAGTAGCATCCCACTCATCAAATCTATGCCTAGCCAACACCCCGTAATAGTGAGCGACGAATTAGTTGATTCAACTGCTCCACACCTTACGTCTTTAAAATAGTAATATCGTAGTGCCTCTCATATATGTGCTAGGAACATGAATCGATTAACTTGCAGAGATACTCGAGTGGCTTCGAAACGGAATTGCTTGCTCATATTGCAGATAGTATTGAAACCAGCCACAACGCATCATTCGTCTTCTTGAATTCTTTGTACCTGTCGAAAAATCGAAGATTTGGTCTCCGTTCCGAAGTATCCGGGTTCACATACAAGCAATTTCTTCCCGATTTGTTCGACACTACCATGACGCTTTGCACAAGGGCTGGGCGCCAGACCATATTGTGAATCTTACGGAGTAGTGACATAAAGCCATGGAATTTCCACGCCAAGCCGCTCTTTTACCACTAGCCCCGCCAATCCGGATCCTTTCACCCTTCTCGCAATGAATTTGGTGAATACGTTCGCTGTATCTCTTGGCGTTCTGGGAAAAGCTCAGCGTGACATGCCAGTCAAGTATAGTCGAATTCCACTCCGCTCCCCTACACAGATCCATATGAGATTACACAAATAAACTAGGCAGCCATCGCTGTTGCCACGATTTTCCATTTTCCCACCTTCAATCATAGAAGAGTGCCACTTTGCAGTCTCCATTCTCCAGGCGGGAAGTCAACAAAAGGCATCCTCTCAACTCCTAGCCATAATCCGCCACACACGCCATGACTAACCTGAACACGATAGGTTTATACAGCCGAAGAGACGCGAGCCGCAATGGACACCATGTCGAAAATGGGCAAAGGTCAGTTCAATAGTTCAGGTGTTCGAGACGCGGCGATCCAATCATTAAGCGCAGAAAAATTTCAGGCCAGCGTGCGCCCAGTCTAGGAGCATTGGCTTAATCACAGTCACGACATAATGCCGGACATGCGTGTGGTTCTTGGCCAAGGAGTATCTGGGACGCAAGGGATTAACGAGGGCTGGAAGAAGCTTTGCCAAGGCCTCGTAGGCGCCGAGGAGGACTTGGTTTACAAACTGGCCTTTCTGAAGCAGGCAGGGTGGTAGTAACATATATGTATCGTGCGGTTAATAATAGCATGCAATATATTCTAGCGTGTATTTATAATACGCTGTACTACTCCGCGATCGAATGAGATTGTTTACTACAACGGGCAAGGCAAATATATCACTAGACTGCGTAAATCAGCCTTGGAGCTTCTGCGACGAAACCCAAGGTTCACATTCAGTTGAACTTGTTTGTATACCAAACGGGGGGACCTGGTAAGAACCGCTCCTGCTTTAAAACGATGAGTTCAGCGTCTGTTTTCATATCTTAAACCTCCGATTCATAGTAAAGATATGATAATCATGCTATTCGCTAGAAGTCTGACTGCCAATAGCACACCTTAGCTAATTCCATGCCCTTCCACGGAGACTTCGGCGAATTCGCATGGTGGGTACTGTACCATTCAGCCCACAGCCAGCATTGACGCACGAGGACACTGTGTGAATGTATCTGATCTTCCCGCCCTCAACCCTGAAGAAATGGCTGTCCGGCATGGGCTGCTGCCCGACGGAGCGATCCAACCCTGGGAAGCCCAAGAAGATGTCTACAGTACCGTACTCCTGGTCGATGACGTATCGGCGATTTGTGACATGGACGTTCGTCGGCACGCCTAGGTTGCACGTGTCGTTCCCCGTGAGCCTGGCGTCCGTGTACGCGCCGCCCTCGAGCCGGGCGCACGGCGTGCCCCAGGGCACGGTGACATTGACGTTGGCGAAGCGGTCGAAGTACGCATCGCCCGCGGCCTGGATCACGGCGCGGCTGTCCCGCTTCTCCGCCGGGATCGGGTCCCACCTCTCGAGTGAGTTCCAGTGGAGGTACCCCGTGGCGTTGAATGCCCAGTCGCCCGCATCGGTGACGATGGACTCGATGGTGGAGATGACCCTGCCGCTGAAGACGATGCGGGTGCCGATCACGTAAGGGTGCTTGGGGTCCGTGACGATGAGCTCGGTGAAGGTCGCGCAGAGCTCCGTGTCGTGGATGCTGCGGCTGTGGTCGATCTTGAGCGCCTGCGTGAGGATCCCCGAGCCTATGGCCAGCGGCTGCTCGTTCTCCGTGTAGCTGACGTTGCTCGCGAGCGACGTGAAGCTGACCCGGCCCTGGCTTTGCGATGCCACGTACTCGGCTGTCGCGTTCTGGAGCTGCTCCCGTGGGCAGGCCGCCGTGGCGGTTGCGGCCAAGGCCAAGCTAGAGAAGAGCGTGGAGACGAGCATTCTGATATTTTGAACTCTCTTGGGAGCTAGAAGAGAACCAGAAACGATGGGTGGCTCTTATGGTCGTTTCCGCTGCTATCTGTGTCAATTGTTGAGGAACTACGTGATCTTTTAATAGCATTGGTGTCAATAAGTGCCGTATTTAGAGCCAAGTACCGTGAAGCGTTACTATAGGCTCTATACAAATCTGTCTCTCAGTGCGTCATCATGCGACGATTGTAGGATCAAATGCCTATACTAGGCGTGCAGACTGGCGTCAGGCTAAAGTCAGGTCGGTAGTTGTGAAGACCAATATATTTCTAGGCACATACATGCCGGCATCTACACGACGTTTATCCGGTCGCATCTCAACAGGGCAACTACATGATTGGATAGGCTTTCGGAAACCCGAATTATAGAGTAAAGTGTGTAGATGAGTTATCGTATTTGGTTCAGCTGTATATAATTTGATGACTTTTAGGAGGCTGAAATACGGTCGTTTCATCTCATGTGGTTTATGGTCGCACAGTCACACAGGAGTCAACACCATTCCGTTTACTACATGCCCAGTGCTATTACCAATTGCATCACCTTCCACAATATTTAATGAAGAATAGATGTGCCGGCCACAAAAGGGGCAAGACGCCCATGCAACAGACGGATCTATTCATGTGGGGCGCTTTGGTGTACGAGCTGATGACGGGCTTCAGGCCGGGTACGAGGCCTCGAAAGTCGTCGCAGGAGGTGCAAGCAATGATGACAGCGAGGCAGTGGCCAGCGTTTGAGAAGGAATTGTTATGTGAGGTAGTGAGGAATTGCTGGGATGGTAGTTATAGGGATGCGGAAGCGGTTCGGGCTAATGTAATAAGTTTCTTGGAAGGCGAGGGGTGGGAGGTTGAGGGAGAGGACTTGTGAAGGGATTGTATACAGTGGCCCTCTTTGCTGGGGAGGAAGTATAAGCGCGGAGTGGTCGTATGTTACCCAGCACATCTCTCTGTACAAATGCCAGAAGCGATATCTTCGCGATAAAAATAGAATATTTTGTGCGGAGATAACTGATGAAAATGCGCTGCGCAAGAGTTGAGCTAGCAGAATACTTTGTGAATAGATCAAAGGGACATGAATAAGAATGTCCAGGGTGTTCGATAGAGGTACTTGATCAGTGCTGCCCGCTGAATCGGTGCTAAATCTCGAGCCTTGGGAGCAACTGGAAACAGTCACTATAAAATTTCCCACAAATCTAACCTTTGATACTTCTATGTAGGAATACCAGAAACAGTGTATCGAGCTGGCGGGGTTGCGCAGATGAGCTTTTGTCCCGAATACTATCCTAACGTGTCCTCTGTCGTACTAAAGTCATGTTCCTCCTCTTGATATCGCAATGCTGGGGGTATCTTTAAAAAATCATAAACGCCAATCCGCCTGTGTGATGAGATCCATATATTCATTCCGAGTCGGATTCGTACGCCACTAATGCCGCGTTGGTTGTATGAGCCTGCTGCGACCCTATGGATTCCGCCGCGATGGATGCGTTGACTGTGTCCGTGATCCTGTCTGTCGTTTTGTCGCCTCTCGTATCTTGGTCAATCGAGGCGCGCTTCCGTTTGATGCCCGGTATCCTGACAGGAGTCTTGGTGGTCGATAACCTCTTGTCCATGTGTAAGAATGGATCATGCGAGATCCTTGTATTGCTGACAAGCTCGGACACCAAGTCTCTCTTTGTCTGCTCTGCCTTGACTTCTGACTTGAGCTTCTTCTTTCCGTCTGACGCATCAGTCTTGGCCGCTGTAATCGTGTTCTCGAACAGTGGTTTGTGCAAACCCTGCGCCGCCATCGCTTCTTCTCCGGTTTCTCGGAGTATGGAGCCAAAGTCCACAAGACCTGCACGTATCTTATCCTCCTCTTTTTCAGGTAGCAATTCGATACCCAGGCTCATGCGATCTTTCAGGTCTTCTGTGGCGTGTCCCTCTTTCTCTCTTTGATGTCGGCCGACCCTGAACTCCTTCCTGAGTCTCGTGTTCATTTCGTACGGGTCGTCCCAAGTCTTGTTGTTCTCCTGAAGCTCTTCCACGCGCTGCTTTGCCACAGTCAGCTGTTCGCGGTCCTCTATCGTCTTCTCGAGCTTCGCGAAAGCATTCCCTCGGAGTTTCTCCCTCTCGGCATCCGTCATGATCTCCCAATCGCCGTCTTTGACCTGATCTGCGCCATCCTCCCTCTTGCGTCCGCCTTCTGTGACAACGTACGCGGTGTTCTTTGGATCGGTGCGTATCTCGATGGTTCCACCACAGGCGGTATGCTTGATGCGGAAGGCGAAGATGGGCGTGCTGTAATACGACCCGACGCGCGTCTTGGAGGCATTGAAGCGCACGCCCTGGCCGATAATGGTCTCCTTAGGACATGTCGTGCACCAAACTGCGTAGGGCATCTCGAAGCGCACAGTGAGGGCGCCGGGTTTCGATGCGCGCGACCCAAGGGGGTGCTTCTTGTTGAGCTTGTTGCCAGATATCGTCCCCTCGAGGTCCGGGGGGACGTAGCGGCCCATGTTGAAGCCTTGCATCGCGGCGGTATTTGCGTTAACGCGATCAGAGATGAATGTGCATGGAACACGGATGGGGGCGCGCCGGGTGAGTCTGACGGAAGTTGGGCGACTTCTGGGAGTGCTGTGCTGCGCTGCGGCCTTAATCGAAAGAAGGTGGGTTATGGTTGACGTCAAAAGGCTGACGAGGTTGAGGTCGGCGGCTTATAGTGAGTGGGGGTGAACGTTACCGCGTTATTACCGCGTCACGCACCTGAGGGGAATTGAATCAGAGGACGAAACAAAAGATCAGGAAGGAAACGGCTAGTAGAAACTATTATTATCTTCAAGCTACTATTGAGCCAGTTAACTGTTGTATTCAATTAAGCTGTGTAGTTATAGTCAAGTTAATTATAACCTTTTAGAGGAATTTATAAAAGAACCACCAAGCTTCGACAGAAAGAAAGATAAGAAAAAAAAAGAAGGGGAAAAGGAAAAAAGAAAGTAAGAAAGGGGGAGTTTAATGGCCAACTTGGAGGGATGCTGGGATGTTAATTACGAGTGTGTATCTCTTCTGTCCCCCTCCCTCTCTCCTTGCTTCTTGTGTCTTCCGGCTGACTGGTGTACGTCCCGACCACGTAGCCTCCCTTACAATGGTAACTATTCTATCACTTTGTAGTTCAATTAAACGGTCTACATTTTTTTTCTCCGTGTCTAGTTGTCACAAACTCAAGACATGGATGCCTTCCGGCTGACTGCCACCGCTGGCTGTGATTGAACCTTGAGCTACCGGAGAACACGTCCTATGGACTAGGAGTCTGCTCGAACTGTTAGCCTCTAAGTTTATGAAGTCTGGAGCGCTTCCGAATTGGCCACTAATCCATTGTTTGTTGAGAAGGATAATGCGAAATCGATATTATAAATAATACCACACCTGGTTCCGGTATTTACCCAGCTCCGGTATTGACCCAGCTTCCCCAGGCAACTGCCAATGGTATCATTAGAGTAAGCTTTCTTTTTTGCTGTTGGCATAATGTCTGTTCCAGAGTGCAACTAAATAGCTCTTTGAACGGCCACACTGACAAACACCACAGAGGTTGACACAACGATATCGATATCACCAACATGCCAAATTCTCTGAGCACCATATTGCAATTCAGACAATCTACTGATTTTTCTGACCAACTGTCAACTTTGAATGACCACTGCAAAGTATTGCCCTCCCCGTTCTAGTTGTAGCCTTGAGGTAAAGATCGGACATCACTGCTCACTAAGCAACCTGAAAGTAACATGATCGGACATGGACACATTTCGTGAAGACATTCGCAAGTCTTACTTTGTGTCATTCCACGGCCCTCTCAGCAAATGATGACATCAGGCAGAGTATAGCCAAACCCATGATGTTCTCTAAAGTAGGCCTAAATCGATCACTACTGGACTTGACCATGCTGTCCCAAATCCCATACTCAAGGTTGTAGGAGTGCCTTCCTTGAATTGTAAAGCACACCACTAATCCTCCATTGGTATTTGAGGAACAGCAGGAGTTATTCCCATGATCGTGAGACACATGGACAATCCGCCATCGACCAAGGTTGTAATCCGCACAACACTAGACGAGTGATTAGCTCCCAAGCTACGCCCTTGTCACATGGTTTCACCTTTTCATTAACTGAATGAAGTGTAGTTTAGGATTGCTTCTACCCTTATCATTAGGCTTAGCTCACTTGACTGGTGGTGATGTGATAGACGAAGACATTCCGCATTATCTCAAACCCCAAAAGAGCATTTTCCTGCCATGTTCAAACACAAGCCAGAAGTTTGGGTGTTAAGCTTGATTAAGAATAGAATCAAAAATCTCATAGCAAGCTCAGAGCTGACCTATGACTGAGACATTTCAACAATGTATTTCGTGAGCTTATTGCCTTCGTCATATTGTCGATATGAGACTCTGTTTCGCAGGCTTATCCGCTAGAGCATTTGAATGACCCTTGTTGAAACTTCTCAAGATGGTGGATGATCAGTTGATTCAAAGAAGTATTGATGTCTAAATAATACACCCGGAATAAGCAACGTTGGAAATGTCAATACAAGCGCCAAAAGTGAGACCATTAGCATCAAGTGTTTTGAAGTTTCCAGAAATATAACGGCAGGACGGGCCGTAGTTAGGAACAGAACGGGACGTAGTTTGAACCTTCACAATGTGGCGTCTATGGAATCTGTATCGTCCCTTAGACTTCGGGCGTATCGTGGTCATTTGACTTGGAGAAATGCCATCATGGCCGCAGTTGCCATGTGCATAAAATTATATCCAGAAGTGATTTGTTTATTTCCGCTGGATTGAATCACGATTTCTTGGGGCAGGTGGCTCTACACAATTGTTTGCTCGGCGGGTAGTTTTCAGAGAAGCTGCATTACACTCAACAAAGGTCTGCTTACAAAATCTTCACTGCCACGTCGAATGCTGGACCACGTCTCTATCTCACTCAAAAGCACAAACCCTCAACTCACCCGCAAGCTCAGATTTCTCATAAAAGTCCCGGTAATCATTAATCATGGTTAAACCTATCAACATAGTCGCTACCGTATTTGCGGCTACTCTCATTGACGCCATTCCCACTACCAATGTTGCAGCCAACATGGCCGAGCGCAACGTTGCCAATGCTGATGGCACGACCTCGAAGGTACTCACCAGCCGCAGTTTCGAGGAACTTACCGACAGTGTAAAGAGATCCCAGAAAGGTCGAAATAAGGAGGACTTCTTCTTCACCGACACATACGAAAGTCTCTGCACCCATGACAGCGACGCTGGCCACACTAAGATTAACAGCCCATATGTCGAGGACTGCGCCTACATAAATACGTATATCTTCAATCTGAAGGGTTTTTTCAACCTATACAGACTCAGCCCGGGCCAGGAGTATGAACTAGTGAAACACAATACCTGCTCGCTCTACTACAAGCCTGATGCGACTCATAACTCTATCCAGTAAGGCGTCCCCCAAATTTCCGCAACACTGTGGGGAAACAAACGATGCTCATAAGACCTCTAGGATTGCGACTGGTGATCTCGGGTACTTCGTCAATAATACTATCAACAGCTACAAGAGAAGTTTCGGTGACGGGAAGTTTGACCGGGTTGAAGGGACCGCGAGCTTGACATGCTTTGGAACCGATGGTATTCAGGTGGTTGGCACGACTTTGATCCTTAAGCGCTAAATCGGAGGGTAGGAAGAGTGGCATTGATGGAAATTGCATTATTGCCTCCTTGAAAAGGCAGCTATTGAATTCGTACATCTACTTGCCGGTGGTAATGGCGCAGAACCAAATTCGGTATTACTCGACTAGAGTCCTAATTCTTTGAAAAACAAAAAACATCATGTCCTCTCTACTATCGAAGATCGGAAGGAGAAAGCTTTGCATCATTTCTAACACTTCGAGTCTGGTTGGAGCTTTGTTCACTGACCGCAAAACCATTTAAGCTTCTTCATACAAAGAAAAGGATGTCCTACTTGATCTCATGCTCACTTTGAAGTTCAAACAATCGCAATGGTTTCACTTGAGCTGTCGCTTAAAGATATAACACGGTGGAATATATGCGATAGTAGTTATATTTGAATTGAATACGAACGCATGTGATAAGTTATCAGTACCTATTGTTTACCATCGGCTGCTCTATGAGTCACTCGAATGATCGTTATCATCAATTTTAGGCATGATATCCGGCCCCTCGTGCCGACTGAGGGCTGGCGAACACCGCCAAGCTCTCTGTCTGGTATTGGGGATCGGATTGCTTCGTTTTACTGGATCTGTGACTCGATTGATATAATCTGCTACTTGTGGCAACCTTACTAAGGCATTCCGCAAGAACTTGTCCATATTCATGACCTGGGGATCATACGGTATCCTGTCCCTAAGGTCGAATTCTGTCATGATATCCTACCACGGTGTCAGGTCTGTGACCGAACGAGCAAAGTCCACACCATTCGGGTGATAATATTTGTCCAGTGTACCACCCATTCTTCGTTGAGAGACCCGGCCACTTGTCGAAACTCGATGGTCAGTTTCATTTTGTTAGAGCAACTCCCGAAGTTATATGCTCCGTGTAAGCCGTTCACCTCCATGAGCTTGCACAGAGCTTCTGTCGACGTACCAGATAATAGCTGGTCGGCGGCTTGAGCGCAAGTCCTTATTGCAGTTCCGGAAGGAGCCTTGTGACTCCAAATCCCACATGTTTATCGTTTTACTTCCCCCGATTTTGGCGACATTGCAGGACATCCCACACGCCAAGTTTGTATCCTCCCGAACCGGGGGATGATTAGACTCCAGTACATGGCGCCATGTCGGATGCAATTCGGCGAACATCGGCTCAACCATAGAACACGTAGTTGCAATCCGCTTCAGATCAGATGTGCTGAATTTGCGCAATCCTTAGCCAGAGTGGACGCAAAGTCCGGAGCATCGCGGAGTATGAAATACGAAGTTCTGCTTGATGGTGGTGATGACCCTCTTGATCTCGTCATCGTCCGCTGCGGAATTCGCCCTCAGTGGCGGCGACACGATCTCAACATCCAGCAGGGAATAAGGTTAGCCGTTGAGTTCATGATCCCAGTCATCATCCTGGTGGTAGATAAGACTTCTATCTCGCTCGATGTTTCAGTGGAGGTAGTCCAAATTTTACGTCAGCGCTGCTCTTGGGTGACCTGGATCGTCTACATAAGCGAAGGGCTCATCTTCAGCGGCGAACTGAGCTCGGGGGTCGTTGACATCTATCCCGGCTGCTACCAGAGTGTTATATATCAGAATATCGCAATGGTGTGCTTCATAGCCATCTCCGCCCATTCTCCTGCCAGTGTCATTATTTACAACGATGCAACCGTTCTGGACCATCGCTGCCTGGTTTGGGGGCATCTCGATCTCGACAATGTCGTTCTTGTCGGTGTTCAACCTGTACGGGATTAGCATTTCGAGCTCTACGCCCTTCGTGAGTGGCAAGCTTTGAGCGACTCGTTCCAATTCCGGAGAAGACGGAGGAAGGGAAGCGCAGAGTTGGAGTTCATCGTATAAGATTCAGAGACGATATTTTTCGCGCCATAAAATATTCGGCGAAGAATGACTTGCTACAATCTGCGTCCTCTTGGACCATTCACTGTTACTTGTGCGACATATTGTTCGAGCCGGGACAAGATGGGACAATGTTGCTGTTGTTTCCATTGCTCTTTGTCGTCGGGCACCAAGCCCATCAATTGTTTCGTACAATTCGTTGTGTTTTAGTCGTCTTGAGGTGGAATGAACATGTAAAAACATCGCAATCCACCATAAGCACGTTTGCAAATAGGCTCAACCCGCATTGTGTACAATGCAACATGCCTGCAATAGAGTTCTTAGCGCTGGAAACAGCAAGTCCGATCGTTTCTTAAAGATCCGTTGAGCTATTTAGAGACGTTTGGTGTATTTTGATGGCCGTTATTGCCAATACACATACTCACATTCACAACATGGAGAGTATATACGTTGATAGTGACTGTGACCGGGCGGGCATCGAGCGGCAGATACTGATTGATTCACAGTTCTTAGCAGTCAGCCAAGCGATTATATGTGACATTCCACCACAGACTGTGTGAAGCTATTTGGACTATCGGATCGACTGAGGATAGCATTGCCGTAAACCCTTACGAAGATAATTGATGTGCTTGTGCTTGGTTCCCTACTCGCTCGCTCCAGCTAATCCTTGGCCTACTTTCCTCGTTCTCCCTCGTGGTTATGCTTTTTTCTTTTTCGATTTTGTCTGTCCCTCATTTCAACCACTTACGATGGTAGCTCCTGTTCGAATTCTGTCCAGTAAAGCACCGACAGTGGGATATCTCTAAGGAATAGCGATAAGCTGGCTCGTCTTGCTTTAACCCGAGGGGCTTGGCCTGGTCCACTGCGAGGAGATGGAGGAAGGAGTTCCTCTATCTCCAGAGTAGTGGGGAAGCCAAGCGGCGCGCACACCGGAGGTGCCGTACAGAAGACCCATTCCCGAGAGCGTGCGGTACCACAACGAGTACTACCCAAATATGTGGGCGCTACAGCGCAAGGTCACCGAATCCACACCATCTGACCCGGATCTCATGGATCGGATCCTGCACTGGCGTGATGGTGCCAATGGCTCGCTCGCTTGCACGCCGTACAAGTTTGTTCACAATAGTCACCGATTTCAGGCCGATTACCAGACTCGCCTTCCGCCGCCCCGTTCAATACTGTACAACCTAGCTTCGCAAACGTCGACTAATCCGCCGCGGTGATGGATGGAGGCAGTGGTGAGGCACATCGGAGCTCATGGGGAAGGGACCTACCACCACCACCCAGTAGGACCATGGCTGATATGTGGCACGCTACACCAAACCACCGATCTTCGCTCACTGTGCACAAGATACCGTTTATGTCGCAGAGGAGGGCGCAAGGATCACTTTGCAGGACTGACAGAGAGCCACGACGCTAGACTGGAATTGCCCTGCTACCAAGACGGTCTAGATCGAGGCGGCCATCGATGTCGACTTCGTGCTCGGGTGCACAGCCTGGAAGGGTATCGGCTTTAATGCCGTACCAACGAAAACATCAACCATCTCAGGCCTGCCTGTCTACACGAACTGGCAAGACGGCGTGTGTGACGCACACCTCGTGTATCAGCACGTCGGCATCTTTCACCAAAACAACGCCTACGACGACTGAGGAACCTTCTTCTCCTTCTCCAGACCCTTCACCAAAGGTCCTTTTCATTACGGAAACCTTGTACCGGAATTACCCGTGATATATTTTTGCAACAACTACGGACCAGGGAATCGACCCCTGCGATGTAGACCCTGTTGCAAAAAGTGGTGTCGCAAAAACGACCTACCCCGAGTCGCTCGATTCTTTCGGCGCATTTGGAATTGACGGGATCACATACACGGGCCAGCAGGACACTCCCGGTTCTCTAGACGTTCCTGGGCATGGCGAAGCGGAATGTATCAAGGACCCATAATTTGGAAAGGAACATCAGTCTGATAATTCACAGCTTTGGTTTGAAAGGCGGATTGAATGTAGTTGGACATGAGTAATAACGTGAGGATATCTTTAGTCTTGGCGTCACTCGTTACTCGATGATGATGAACCCCACATAAATTAAAAAGCCTAGGACCAGCGGTATATAAGCGCTAACTAGTGAAGTTTCAAGGATATAATACTCCCCCTGAAGTGGGCCTCAATAAGACAAGGGTATTGTATTAATAAATATTGATATACTTACTAGTTTCTTATAGTGATTTTCTTCGTAATATTTAAAGCATTTAATTATAAATGTAAATAAAATTTAAGTTGAATTATCTGTGAGATAAATTAATATATGCTACAGTATCCTTAAGTCATTATAGCTAGGCCACTGTAGCTATTATAGCTGCCTGAGGTACTGATAGTGTGGAATGGCTTCTCCATTCAATTCTTTCCGTACAGTGTGGGCGACAAATAGATCTATTCAGCGCTGTCGTACGAAGGAGAAGAAGGGATTCTTCCCCTCGTACGTGGTCTATAGATAGGGGTTTGGGGTTCACCCGTACGGCTGCTGGCTGCCGACAGCCACATCGTGGCTGTGGTGGCTTACTGCCAGCACGCCGGTGACTACCTATACTACGTAGTCAACCGTCGTACGAGACCGCGAATAATATATTCCAACAGATAGATATGTTTACATAACCACAGGTTCATGATTCGTAGACAGCTTCCTTCCGAACCATCGTTTTACAGCATACCTGTCATAATAAATCGATAGCTTTTTTGAACACATTAGTCGGATCGTATTTTATCTTCAGTTCTCTTAGCCTAGAGATATTAGACCCAAATACTCGATCAGCTTTGATATAGGCATGCTCCTCGTCGACAGCAAGATCTTTATAGATATGAAGTTAGTTCCCGGACAAATCTAAAAGCTACAAGGGAATAACAACTTACTCAAATAATTGTAATACGTTCCTCCACGATCTCCCAATTCGTCACCTTTCCACCCTTGCGTGATGAGGAATTTTGAGATCGTGGCACATATTCTTTTTGCTTCTTCGTCTTTTTCTTCACTGTCCCACGATATCGAGATGATCATATTATACGCTTCGCCTCCACGTCCGGCGAAAGCCATTAGATCGGTAGGAAGGGAACTGACTTTTTGATGCGACATGAGTTCATACCCAATCATGCTTCTTGCTTTCAGTTCTTCGTTTCCTGACTTGGATAGCAGCTCATGGAACAGATCTGACGCCTGCTGCACCAGCTTGACCTCTAGGGGGCATGTGAAATTGGCTCCACTGAATATGTACCGTTTGCCGATCGGAACTTTTGGCTCGGGGAAGGTGTTGGCTGTTGGATATGGAATAACCGCTGTCTGGTCCATGATTTTATCTAGTCTCAATATAGGCGCAAAGAAATCTTCAGCGGTGTCTTTGTCTCCGTTATAGAACAATGTTGCTGCGATGACTGGCTCGAGTGTTCTCGGATGGCAAGACAATAACGTTAAAATGTGTTGATCTCCATCAGTCTTTGTGACGAACTCGTTCATAAAAGCCACAATATCAGGAATTTTAGATATTGGCCAAATAATGATCCCGCCCCATACTTTTCTTTGCGGGAAAATGCGTGACGTAAAGGATGTTACCACGCCGAAGCTCTGCCCTGCACCACGCAAAGCCCAAAAGAGATCGGAATTATTCTCTTCGCTGGCCGTAACAATGTCACCACTGGCCAGAACCAACTCACAACTTATGAGGCAGTCAATGCTCAGACCATGACGCCCCGTCAACATGCCATAGCCACCTCCGAGTATGAGTCCGCCTACCCCTGTGTGGCTGACAGTGCCGCCGACGGTGGCATAACCTCGTTCCCAGAGTGCGGAATCTACGTCTCCCCAGAGACAACCTCCGTCAAATGTGACCGATTGCTCTTCTTCGTTGACTCGTACCGAACGCAGAAGACCAAGATCAATGACCATACCGCCAGAAGAGGCAGACCATCCACTTGGGTTGTGGCCTCCACCGCGAACTGTCAAGGGTATCGAATGCGAAGTTGCAAACTTGACGGCGATGCTTGCTTCTGCTGCATTCGCCGGCCGGACAACATATACCTGATTAGTTTTAGCGACAGATACAGAAGTGTTGCTGATGCAGGAAGCTACGGCGAACACCTACAGCAGGTTTCACACACGTTGCACTCCATCGTTCCAGACTGTCAAAATATCCTTCATCTCCAGGGACTAACACGTCTCCTTTCCGGATGGAATTTCGTAGCTCGAAGACAACTGGTGCCATTATCGTCGTGTTTTGTTGTGCAATTAATTAGTGGAGAACAGGTATTGCGATTCGGAAGGCTCAATTGACGCCGAGAATACGCCTAATAACGAGGCGCTTCGGAATCTTTTTATAGGACCAGGAACAAAACCCCTTGGCTTTCGTTATGAGATGGCTGCGAATCTAGCTAGCATAGATCGTTCTGAACTATCTCACACATTCCCTTCGCCCACAGCCACGGATTATTCATGGCAAGCAATCATTGGCGGATCGGCTGGGGGCGACATGGGCTGATCAAACAGCCAGCCACTTTATCGAGACTTGTAGTACTCGAGGATCGGACTAACCGTAATCATAGGTTTGACTATTCATAGGATACCAAATGAATGGCGCAAAGCCTAGTCAAGTCCAGCGGGCGGTGACGTGGCGCTGTTCTAGATCTCGTTCAACAACGCTAGGTATGCATTATCTGGAACACTTTTGATGGTCTCTGACCTGATCTCAACATCAGGGTGAACTACAACTTATTCGCCATCTATCAGGGTATCATATCATCTATCTATCCGTACCTGGTAATTGGTAATATTTTATTCGGTGGTTTCTTGTGTATCACCTGTGGCTTTCAAATAACATAATCACGGCCGATGATATAGTCTTACCGATGAGCCCTCGGTTGGCTCCATCATGTGCCAAGCCTGGATCGCACTTTAGTAGGTTAGTTGATGAAGAGGATATGCTGTACCCTAGACTAATATCTGCACCAACAATACGCGATACGACCAGAATTAACATGTTGGACTTGTGACATGTCAATGGTTCGAAGACACCAGAACTAGAAGATAATGGGAAACACGAGTGGGTGATCAATCTGGTACAACATGGGTTGCTTGGTGTCTCATAATATCATGTGAAAAGGTGCTGGACATGACGCTAAAATCTCACACACGAGCTCTCAGGTGACACTCCAGGCCCTTCTGCCGACAGAACCAACTGCCAGTGACTTCCCACTCCTTTCCCGGATCTACCATCTCAATCTCGTACCTATTGACCAATGTCGCGACGATCTTGTAGACTTCCATTTGCGCTAGCGAGCGTCCAATGCAGATACGCGACCCACCACCAAACGTCAGATCACTTGCATTAAACAACCTCAACCGCTCACGGAATGCTCCCTCAGTCTCGTCCACGGGACCCGGGGGCTCGCCGCGCAACCACCGCTCCGGCCGGTATGCGTCAGCATCGTCACCCCAAACGCGTCTGTTGCGATGCACGACGTACGGGTTGATGCCAACAGCGGTGCCGGCTGGAACGAAGCTGCCGTCCGGCAGGGTCAAGCCGCCCCCCGGAACGTACCGCTCCAGAAGCATGCATACACCTGGATGCAAGCGCATTGCTTCTCGGACGACTGCTTCTAAGTCTAAGGGGGTTGTCAACATCCACGGTGTCAAATTCACGTCCAACTGCGACAACAACTTACATGGCAGTGCCCTGGCAGCACTGAACGGTGCTACTTCTCCGAACTCAGCGGCAAGAACCTCTTTCTCCAACTTGCTGTAGACTGCTGCGTTCTTCAGTGTAAAGTAGAAGATAGCACGGATAGTAATTGCCGTGGTGTCCGCTCCGGCGAGAAGGTTGACGAGCAGGTAGCCTAGGATGGTGCTATCGTCAACAGTATCTGGGTACAACTTTTTGGCATCGATGAAGTAATGGAGGAAATCCGGTACTTGAGGATCAAAGTGCTCATCCTTACCTTGAAGGCGTGAAATAAGGTGCTCAAGAGCAATGCGTGTCACATTGCCTAGATTAGGCGGGCCGATTCGTATTACTGGGTTCTTGTCCAAGAGGAAGTCTAGGAAGGGCATCTGCCCAACAGTGGCGAAACTTTTTGATTTATGGTTAGTGCCATGTCATTGTATGGAATACTATGCAGTTCTCCAATGCTCACTAATCTAGTGCTTTGTCTGCTATTGCGACGGTGTCGTCGAAGTCGTGCCCCTTGTCCATGTACCCGAACCGCTTGCTGAAAGACGCGGCACCGTTCATGTCCCATGAATCTAAGTGGTTAGAGCGTCATCAATACATAGTCAGTCGGCTCATAAAATAAATGGAATATCATGGGTGGGCATACAGAAGGCGATCCATTCCCCCAGATCGCACGTAGCAGCATTAGACCTCTTTGCGAAGCGACAATTGAGGTGAGTACAGAAGTCCGTGATCACTCTGTCCATGAGTGGCTCAAAAGAAAGCAGACTGCTCTGTGAATAGCACTTGGCAATCGGCCGCTTCATACGGGCATGCTCGACCTGGTCCGTTTCGCTGAACAGGTGGTAGGTGATCTTGCCATTGATGAAAGTGCTATTGTTATGGTAGAACTCTGTCTGATAGGATATGTTAGTGGTTATAAGTAAATGTCGTGAAAGTCAGGCATACCTTGCACCATCGACCATCGATGCCGTAAATGGTCTTGATCAGCCCTGGAATATCGAGATCAAGTATGTTGGGCCCAATCCGGATTATTGGGCCATACTGATCATGAAGCCTCTTGACCTCAAGGTGATAATGGCCTGTCCTTACCTGAAGAAGTCGCCAGATGTTGGTCCATTCTAGTTTGGGCCTCAGTTTGTTGTATCCATGGGGTAACTATCAACGGGGACTTACTGGCAAGGAAGGGGCCTGGGTATCGTCGCAGTGGTGACAAGGCCTCAGTCAAAAGGGATACACTCAAATACGTGAAGAGGCCCAGGATGACCACGACAGCCACTCCGGATTGCCAATCAGCATGCTGCTTAAAGTCCTGCAGGAGTGTGTCGACGGACGCAGACTGGATGGTTGCAGTAATGCCTGGCATGTTATGACAAAAACAGCCCTTGTCAGGGAAATGCTTTTGCTGTTGATAATTTCCGATGTAAAGTAAAGATACGATTGCTACTAAATTAGAGAGACGTGCATATATAAGAATGTCATTTGTCGTGAATTCGCCCCAGCGTGGACCCAGGTAAGTGTCTATACTTCCGTTAGCTCAGCGGAGTATGCTCAAGGGTTCGTTCATGATACAGTAGCTGTATCCGAGTTCTTGAAAAAAGCACCCGGAAATCCCGTATCCGATGACATTTGTTTCAGTCGGATGAGGGTTGGACTTTGGCCCCCATTTACATAATTGTACACTTGCAGGATTCGCTGCGAGAATTGAGAATGGTTCCTTGAACATCTCTCTAGCAAAGAATACTATGATTGCTGAGGGGAACCGATAGGATTTCATGCAAATGCTAAGATCAATTCGGCTGCGGCGAATTGCTGTACCGCGCGAATTCATGGATATCTCATAAAGTTAATTTTGAGTATAGGCGGGAGCTACAGACAGGCCTGCGGGATGGTGAGAAATCACGATTCAAACACCGCCGGCACAAATTGGGCAGTAAGGGGCTCTTTCTGACATATGTCGAGCATGACATATGCAGCCAACCGGAATGGTTCTGTATACGATCAGGGATTGTTGGTTCGTCAGAGATTAAGGTTGGCTCCCGGCTAATGATGCAGGCGAACTGTTACTGCAGGATCATGTACATACATATGGCAAGATGAATAATGATCGATTATTCTTATGCCCTTGCGGTCGGTGGGATCTCGTCAGTATACTTGATCACCCGAATTCGGGGAAGAAGAATTTTCATTTCATCTATGCTATGGTCGCTGACTCGAACACCGATGCTACAGCTGAAAGTATTTATTCCATGACCCCACTGCCAAGATATTAATTGTCGTTCACCGACTGCAGCTATGTCCCCCACCTATCCCGCATGACCACAAACTAGAGGCTGATCTGAGCCAGAGTAGACGGGTAGCTACAGAAACGGATGCGGGTAATTGCTTGGATGACCATGTCCAGGGAGCCAGTACACGTCTACGGAATATCGTGCACATAAGACAGATAGAAGAAATATAAGCTCCCCTAGAGGAGATGATGCATCAGATCAATTGCTAGCCATCCTGAACTTGTTTCAAAGTTGGGTTGCAATTTCGGCCAAAAAGAACATCGAATGGCTTGTGGTGCAAGAGATTACAGGCTATTCATTTGCCGTTATTCATACTGATTGCGAGACGATCTCTCGAGGTTTGGCTTTTTGCACAATATCTTAACATGTGGACTTTTCGTTGCACGTCATATTCTACCGAATGTCTGAGCGCTCTCAAGTATCTGCGCTTTCTGGCAAACTATAACCGCCACCAAAAAGGAGAAGACAGAAATGGAAACCATATTTGTGATCAGTAGGTATTTTGTGGACCATAGTCCGTAGTCGATGATAGGTGCTTAACCACAAAAGACGACCTCTACTATATGCTTCCACAATCTGTTTCTTTGAAGATCATTTCGTGCGAATGACTGGCGCGGGCTTCTCGGTAAAACTGAAGACCAGTATATTGACAATATCAGAGCGATCCTATATTATATAGTATAGTGGCTACATAATACGCTGCTAAGCTATAGATACTACCTATATGACTTCTGACCAGAATTTGTGTATGGTCCAATTGTTCATGCTGATGCTCTATCAGAACTATCGTCTACAACAAGCCTACGTATGCTGTTCTCAGAATGAAACAATTGTGTCATCTATGGTAAAGCCATTATTTAACACGATCTATCAATAGTATCAATATCTGGGAGTAAGTCGACTGAGTATCCCGTCGGCTCGAGCGTAGCACAAAACTGTAACGCGCTCGGCCTTCATGGGCAATATTGGACAATCTTCTACTGCTTCATGCAATCGACCATGAGCAATATATTAGTTCCAATGCATACTATCGTCGGCATTTTCTATGTTATTAATATCAAAGAACGGATGACTGCATGTTCTTGGCATCGGCCCCTGCAAGTTGCCGGGTGAGGCTCCCACTTCCTTTGTCCTCCTCCGAACTAGTCTAGTAGTTTGAAGATGAGTAGGAAGCCAGCAGCATTGATCGCTATCGGGCAGGCTGAGGATCATGCGATATGGATGGTATGCTGATTTTGACGAATACTTGTCCTCAGACCTAAGTTGCGATTGATCATAAAAGCCGTTGATTTGCAGTTTTGCGACACGTCTGCAGTGCTGTGTAATTTAACGGAGAGACTGTGCCTCTCGCCAGGCTAACTACTTGGTGGTGTTGCACAGCCCTATAACATGAAATTTTCACAAGTATAGAAGTGAATACTGACCTTGACGGGAAATAAAAGAATCGACCAAGCCTTCCCATTCCTGTTGTCATGCAGACACCCCAAATTATCCTCGATCCCGAGTCGTATAACAAACACGAGCGTAGTACAGTATTGGCTAATCAGCTATACATTTTACCAATCCAATAAATCTTCGAAGTAATTGTGCTCGCGCCTAAGAGCTATTTCGACATTTACATAATGGCTTTTGGCGGTGATGCTCCATCCGCTATCACAACTATGTGGATCTTGACGGCCTTGACGTTTGTCTTCGTCGTGGCCCGAATGTACACGCGAATTCGGGTCACACATTCCCATGGAATCGACGACCACGTCTACAATCTAGCGTTTGTATGTTCGCCAGTTTCCTTTGCTTCCCGAGGCGGCAACCCCCAATTTGCCACACACTAACACTCTGCGCCGCCCCTCTGTTCCAGGCTCTTCTCCTGATATACGTAATCTTTGTTACGTTATCCTCAACGTATGGCTTCGGGCAATCCAGGGACGCGATCCTGAGCCCAGATGATGCTATCGCTGCCGTGCTTTTCGAGGCCGTGGGGCAGTCCTTTGCCGTGGTCGGTATGGCGGTCGCCAAGTGGTCCCTGGGCTTGTTCTTGCTCCGGCTCGTCACCAAGGCCTGGCACAGGATCACAATATGGGCGACCATGAGCGTACTGATGGCAGCGTCCGTCAGTGTCGTCTTCGTCTTCTGGCTGCAGTGCACGCCACCGGCCTACCTGTTTGACAAGACAATCCAGGGCGGCTATTGTGCGATTGATAGCACGCCCGTGAGCATGTTGCTTTGCAGTAAGTCTGTTCTTGGCCTGGATAATTTCTTGAATATGCCTCATGCACTGACGCGTCTGGTTAGTTCTCTGTGTCTTGGTCGATTTCTTCTTCGCGCTTTTCCCTTGGCTGTTTATATGGAGCCTCCAGATGAACAAGAGGGAGAAATTGGTTATTCTTGCCAGCATGAGTCTCGGGGTTATGTAAGCTGCCCGCTTGCCTAAGATGTCAAATGCAATGATGTACTCACCGATAAAACAGCGCTGGCGCATGTGGTATCAAGCGTACCATGGAGGTCCCTGAGCTTTCAAGCCCAAACTACCTGAGTAGGCTATATGTTATCTCTCTTCTACCACTTTCAGATATCTGATCCGTATAATAGAAGACACGGTAGGCCTCATAGTCTGGTCCACCGCCGAGATCGCCGTGACCATGATTTGCATCGGCATTCCAATCTGCCGTCCGTTATACAAGACCTTCCTCGAAACACTCTCATCCCGCCTCTCAAGTCATGGTCTTAGTACCAACTCGAAGAATCACAACAGCCGCAGCCGGCGTCATAGCCGGGTGTATGCCATGCACACATTTGCTGCCGTTGATACCAATGAGAGTAATAAGCAGTTTGGTCATGCACTGAGCACACGAGATCTAGAGGAGGACCGAGATATGTCCAATGAGACAAGTATGTATGTGATGGGGTCGAAAACTGAAGACATGACGTTCGCAGTCCGGGCAGGACGGAGGGCGAGCGATGAGGGAAGCGACGAAGGGGTTTTGAGATCGACCGCAGAGCGAAGCGATATCAGTGGCCATGGAGACTTTTATGGAAAGGGCATAAGGGTTACAGAAGAATACCAGGTTACTAGCAGTTTGCGGCGGCATAGATGACTGGAGTAGTATGCATCGTCATGGTCAGCTAGATGGGTCTATCACAGAAAGACTTCTTAATCTGCATATAATAAAGTCTAGAATATAAGTCCAACAAATAGTATAATAGATCGAAATATTACCATTTAGAGTGCAGTTGTGTGAAAGAGAGTAGCAAGGATACGAGAAGAGTGAGTGGGGTTGTAGGCTGAGTATACTGTAGACACCTTTTTCGAGTGGTTGGCCCACTGCTACCATTGTGACAGGTTAAGGTTACCAACTTCCAATCCTTGTGCCGGCTGACCATTTCGTGATATGTAGCTCTAGCGAGGGCAGGAGTGTTTGCAGCATGTTAATTTTGCTGGGTAACGGCGAATTATGTCCGAAATTGATCAGACTCATCTCTGTGTCGGTTCTGGGACGGCTGGCTCTCACCATGTTCTGCTGCTAGCTTTGTTTACGGTGGATTTTCCCGGCGTTTGTTCTGATACAAAACAAATGCTCTACAAGTCCAAGGGCGAGTTGGTTATTTGATCTACGGTAGATAGCTGGTATGGTTTCGCCATCTCCAACAAAACACCCAACTTTCAGAAAACAAGGCCTCCAAGAGACACCATCACTCATACCAGCCCAAGCTGTGGGCAAGGCTTTGGAGGCCATCAAAAAAGGCAAGTTCAAGGCTTTGGCCTTGCCATTTGAAACGCATCCCAATATACAGCCTGGCCATTTCATCTCCAGAACACGTGATAATACTTTCTCTCTCAAGCCCCTACGTCCCTCTTCAGTCTCTCCCTCTACGATCGTCACATCCTATTTTGGTACATAGACGTCGAAACAACCAGTTGTATTCGCTAAGTCGCACTATCCGCCCCAGAGGTATGTTTCGCTGCTGCCCTGGCCGAAGACCTGCATGATCATCTGCCTAGGCCTAGACACAGCCCTTCGCCTCACTTCCATTTGCCGGACCCGTCAACCGCTGGCTACAGTCCAAATTCTAGCTATACTGCAATGGGAAGCTTGAAAGCATCGGATCCATCTGTCATAGAGTACGTCCGACCTGGACCGGCCCCCGGTCCGCACGGCTTACTATTTGTTCTGTACTAGCTGCCCGCAGATTTTCGACGTCAAGGACTGCCCGCTGGGAAAGGATGCGGGCGCTCTCCCAAGGATGCGCTACGGTCTCGATGCTTGAGAGCAGAAAGTTCGGACCGGGCCCAGCATTGTCGACAACCCACTTCAGGTCCAAGTAGCTGAAAGGGTTCGCCAGCGATAGTCGTTCGAGGCAGTGAGAAGATAGGGGTGGAGGAAAAGGGGTTGTAAGTAATTGCATGATGCGAGCTTTCGATACCATGCTGATGGGTGAGTGCGGCTACTGTTCTGCTTCACGGCCAACACGAATCGCCATGATGCGGCAGGAGTTGCTGAACTGGTGGCATGCGTGTTCTTTGATATATTAGTTCATGTGGTTTGTCGAAACTATGCATCTTCACACTTAATCACGAGAGGTACCATGAAAGGGCCTCTCTAGCGGTAGATGGGGTCGGACGGGAAAGCCAAAACCCATGCATGCTGCTCTTTTTCCTAGCACTTGCCTAAACCCTATCCTTTGTCCGATAATTCGAATATTCTGCCGTTCACTCATCTGACCTACGACTCTGCGAACAATTATTCTAAAAGTTATGGCCGAGATGATTGTCGTCTTATTAAATCCGCCTCCAGAGCCACAGGGGGACCTTTCTCAATGATTTAGCATTCGTCTGCGCAGCGGAATATCTCAAACATGTGTGAGATCGTTTCATTGAGTTTTAATAGATACGACCCTGAGGAAACACGCGAGACAGTCTCTAGGATGAGACTGCCACATTATGGGGGGAGGCTTCTGATGAACTAGACAGCAGCAGTCTTAGATTTTGTAACTATCCTGATATGCACACAAAAGAGAGACGACCAAAAATTGGCCTTGTACCCGTGGACCCAGCGAAAACAGTCCATTCAGAATCGCAAAAAGCGATTCACGTCTCATTCACGCTCCTTCATTTAGTCAGGACGCTGTATACGGTGGCCGTATTTATCTTGCGATTTGAACTTTATTCAGGCAACATTATCATGAGTCGCATTATAATCAGCATAAGCAGACATGCTTGAGAGCAAGCGTGTAGAACCTATACGCGTCGTCTCATTACTAACCATATTTAACCCTGCTATGACGCATTCTACCATTTCCGATCCATCATGTGATATGCTGTATTTTCTGGGCATCGCCGATTAATAAATGCTCCAAATAACCCCCCAACGCCTCGCCGACCAATATGGTCCTTAAAAATGCTAATGATGATGAAACCTCAAAAATCGCCGATAGGTCCCCACGAGGGTAGGCATTGCATACCATAGGACGGCGTTTCAAATTATAGACAACAAATGTTTTTCTCATTATCATGCTTCCATCACCGGGATCTCCCTGGAAGGATTACAAAATGCAATAGATGATTCTTCTTTCTCATACCCGAACTCCTATCTTGAATCGAATGCAAGGCACACAACATGTGGTGCCAGATGTGGTATATGCTGTTTCGAAAGCAAACCACAATGAAGAGGTATCATCTCAAAAGGTCAACTGTGTGTCCGTAAACGCCGTATTTCAATGTCGTCAATCAGTTTATAAACGCGCTAGCTCGGCTGCTAGAAGTTCAGAGGCTTGGTAGAGTGTCAAGACTCAAGATGAGCTCTAGTTATCGTCGTTCTCAGCTGCTGTAAGCCGCTGGACCTCGGAGGGATTGAGCAAAATGCGCCTGCCAAGCTCCTCAGGGTTTTTGCCATCACGAACAGCACCGAAATCAAGAATCTGGAGCGCGTTAGCCAACCGTCGTTTTGCCGCATCAAAGTTTTTCTTACCTCAACATAAGTAAGCGAATCTCGCTGCACCGCGGCAACGCAACGTCGCTCATCAAATCGAACTTGCCAGACACCACTAAGGTCGGTGAGTAGGTCTTGGATGCATTCGCCTGTGCGAATATCCCACATCTTCAGAGTTCTGTCACTACCACTGATAACTTTGCGACCGTCGTGCTGGAAACAAGTGATTGCACCGGTGTGGGCGGTTAGCGTGGATTGGCATCTGCCACTCTCAGGGTCCCAAATGCGCAGGGTGGAATCTGCGGCCGCAGACACCAGGCGCTCGTCTCGAAGGTCCAAGAGTCCGACGAGAAGGCTGTGGCCCTCGAGGGTATGCGTACAAGCTCCGGTCTCCAAATCCCAGATCTTGACGAAACTGTCCATGCTACCCGAGATGCAGCGATTTCGTGCCATATCAAGCACTACACTGTAAACCTTCTGGGAATGACCCTGTAGCACATGCACAGTCTCGCCAGTGCTGATCTTCCAAACGCGAACGGTGTTGTCGTAGCTCCCGCTGACAAGGGTGTCAGCGTGAGCGGCGATAGCGCGGACTGAGTGAGTGTGTCCGTGCAGGGTGCGAACAAAGTATGGGCAGTCTGCGTCGTTGGCAGGGGGGCCAGTCTGGATGTATCTTCGAGAGTTCGGTTCCGGAAGACGCCAAACACGTAGCTGACTGTCACGAGAACCGGTTATGATCAGAGGCTTGGGTGGCATCATGACCGGCGCCCCATTCTCAACCTTGCCAGTATCAGTCGGCATGAGAATCTGCAGGCATCGGACAGTACTAGTGTGACCGTAGAAGACCTGGCTGCAGAGTCCCTTCTCGATATCCCATACACGGACAGATCGATCGGTGGACCCGGAGACCAAGATGTTGCCTTCATATTGCAAAGCCCAGACACCGCCCTCGTGTCCTTCCAAGCGCTTACGCAACTTGCCAGTCTTGGTGTCGTAGATATGGATGAGTTGATCATCGCTGCCAGTGATGATCTTGTCCTCATCAAACTGCAGACATGTAATGACATGTCGTGGGTGGGCGGCAAAAGCAACGTGACTGGGCTTGACCTTGCCGCTCGTCCAGCTTTTCCTAATCATGTAATGACGGCGGTAAAGGGACTTGAAGAGATGCAGCTTACGCAAGCTGTTCAGACCAATGTGCGGGTCAGGAACAGCAAGGGCTGCTGCGTTTGCAGCAGAGTTGGGACCTTCCGACTTGTGCATCTTGACCTCGATCGGAGCATCCTCGCGCTCTCTGCTGACACTGTCCTGCGCACTGGCACGTCGCTTGTAACGGTCGGAGCCAAAGTTGTTCAAAGCTCTCTTACGCTTGGAACTTCGCAATTTCTGGGGTGGGGGATCAGGCTTGGAAGAGCGAAGTTCAGATTCAGTTGCTGTGAGTCGGTTTTGCAGGCTCAAGTCCCGTTCGGCGCCCTCTGGTCCGACTGGATCCTGCCAGCCCCATCCTTCCGTGATCGCGCGATCGAGTTCGCCGGGTGGCAAGGCAAATCCATCCCGATCAAGAAGCTCCTTCCAGCCGGTCTCGTCGCTGTCAATGATGTTGCGCCAGGTCTTCGATACCTGACTGGCGCGGCATCGCTCGCGAACGTCGAGATATGAGATAATGTGTAAAGTCAACTCCAGAGGAAGATCCTTGAGGACATCACACTTCAAGGCAGGGTTGACGACTCCTGCCACGACATGGAGGGTCTTCCTGGAACACCGGCGAAGGAACTGATACATCATGAATGACTTCATCTCGGCCGGCATAGAGTCGAAAGTATCTAGCATTGACTGGCTGTCCATAAAGCTGGACAGGGCCAGCTGTGACGCTCCAAAGCGTTGCAATGCGTGCGGAGAAGCTCCCACCAGCGCTGATGACTCGTCATACTCGTCGTCACCAGTCATCTGGCTGTCGTCGGGAACGACAATAGACAGATCCTCATCGTCATCTTCACGATCGTTCAAGTGCAGCTGGGAGGCCTGGAGAGTCGGAGACAATCGTGGGCTGGGCAAGCTTGCGTCTTGGGCGACAAGAGTGTTCAGCGGGCGAGGGTGGTGCAAGGCACGGATGGACTGCTGTAAAGATTCGTCGGCGTCGACAAAGGCTTCGGCGTCAGCGTCCGTAACGGGGGGAGTAGCCACGTTGCTGCCGCTGAAGGCTGTGTGGGAATCGCTGCCTGAAGGGCTCGAGATGTTGAAGTACTCGTCCGATGGGAGACAGCTCGGATCCGAATCGGGGGTCTCAAACGAATCGAGATGGGACCGTCGGGCTCTCAGAGGGGGTCGGGCTGCAGCCGCGCTCGTTCCGGCGAGCTCAGATGTATCCGGCGTGATAGGAAGACCTCCCAGTCTGGCACTGTTTTCGTTGACGTTCTCCTTTTGATTGCCGTGTGCTATGGCTCTGCGAAGCTTGTCTGAGACGGCACTGGCGTGGGATCGGGCGGATTTGCTGGCAGATCTCTTCAAAAGGCTTCGGGCACTCGGTGACGCAGCACGCGTGTTCATCTTGTTGTGTCTGCCGCTCGCGGCTTCGGAGTTGGGAAGCGTCTTGGCAGGTCGTCGAACGGACTCGAAGCCCGCCTCAGCTTGGGGCTTAACGTCGTGGCTCATATCGTCGCTGAATGATTGGAACTTGATTGTGGCATGGCAAGTCAGCGACGGAAATACGGGGCCGAAACAGACCAGGTGTGAAAAAGCACGGGAACAAACATACCTCTTGGTCCAGGTCGCTATCTGTTGGCCATGAAAGGGCACCATGCTCATCGACGTCGTAGGTGAAGTTGGTCAACTCGGGAGGCATGGGCTTCTGTGCGAGAGGGTAGTCCTTGGTGTCCAGAGACGTCAGGGGTCTCGGCTCTCGAACGAACATGGGAGGGAAGGATCTCTTTGTGGTGGTTGTGGTGGTGATCGTCTTTGTCTCGATGCACTCGGCGACCTCGAACTTGATGCGAGGTTGAGGCGAGACGGAGTGTGCGTCCTCCCAGTTGACGGACACGGTTGTCTGACTTGAGCGAGGCCGTGAGCGCGGCTGGGTGTGAGAAGAACTCGACTGGTCCATCTTGGGCACCGGAGTGATCTGTGTTGGGACAGCTTTTGCTGTTCGGGCAGCAGCGTTCCTCGGATTGGGAGGGGGGTCTGGTCTAGTATGTAGTTGACAGCATATGTTGTGCGTTGCCAGCCGGAGAGTGTGCACAGGAGAGCAGAGTGAAGTCGAGTCGAGTCGGGTCGGGTCGACTCGAGTGGACGTGGCCGGGGACGGGGGACCCTCGTAGACGGGACCACGCTGTCGGGCGGCGGTGGCAGGAGAGGGAACGTGTCAAAGGGGATGGGAGCCGTCAAGGGACAGGCAGGGTGGCCCGGGATGTGGTTTGCGTTGGTCTTGGGCGGGACTGATGGATTGATTGTCGACTTGATTGATGGATGAGCAAAGTAGAGAAGGCACAGGCAGGTTAGGAGAGAAGTACGGGTAAAGTGTAAATCAGCCCCACGGCGAAATGTGGTCAGCAGCGGGCGGATGATGGGATTTGTCTAACCTGACCAGCCTGACCTAAACCTCTGGGTTCTGGACGGGGTTGACGGATGATGGCCCACTCGTCCAGGGAATCGGAGGGGGGGGGAGGGGATTTCTGCTCGATGCTTGCCGCTCGTTGCTTGCTGCTTGCTATTTCAGGTGGTAGTGCTGCTAGGCTAGGCTAGCTAGTGTGCTGTAGCGTTGAGTGTGTCCTGTATGCACCTGCAGTGTCTGCGTGTGGAGGGCTGGCGGTTGTTGAATCGCCCAGATGTCTAGCCGTACGTTGCTTTAAAGTAACCTAGTCAGGTCAGATATGTCTATGGGTCTGTATCTGGATCCGCATCTGCACCTGTAACTACGCCGGCGCAGTACCGTTCTCTTCAAGAAGGCGTGTGCGACCTCGAGAAAATCAAATCGTCGGACGGATCAGCCCAAAGCCGAATAATGGGGGTGGGGAAACAAACAATCGCACGCGTTGCGCCGTCGAGTCGAGTGCCGAAAATGTACGTGGCCGTGTCTGTTCGGACCGCCTCTCGTCAGGCTGAACGCGTTTAACTGCTGTGCAGAAAGTGCAAGTGGTCGGAGAACGGAGAGTGGAGGGAGCGATCGATTGCCTGATTGACTGATTGATTGCTGATTGTTGGTTCAAGTGTTTAGAGTGCTGCGCCAGGCTGGCGCGCAGGGAACACAGCCAGGGGATGCAGGCAGGGGGACGCAGGCAGCCAGGCAGCCAGGCGGGGCGAGAGTCTTATGGCCGTTATGGAGCACTAACTCGGTATGCTAGGTTAGCATTGTGGAGTTTATTATCATGCAGCGGCAACGCCAGCCTTCTACGGATCCGTACTTCGCTCAGGGAACAGGAAACAGGTAAGTTAACTAGAGCAAAAGCCAAAGACCATGAGACCTACTGTACAGTGCATACCTAGATATTATTAAGCACCTTACACCCTGGTCCGGCATCCCTCTTGGCCTACTTCACAACATGGCACTGGTGTTCAAGTCTATACGCTACATGGCTAATCTCTTCTGCCCATCCAGCGGTATCGTGATATGCAAGGCCATCTAAGTAAGATGGAGGGATCACCTTGCTTTCGGCTGCCCAGATCATGGTTCGACATGCAAATGCCGGCATGACGAGGACATGGCAGCCGATGTGATTAATTCACTCAAGGGCGGAGTCAACTCGACCAAAATACAGAAATCGTCCCTTCGTTATAAGCTCTGAGATGAGGAGCATGTACCGAATCATGACTTACACCAGCAACCTTTGCCGATGAGGAAACAACGGCCGTTCGGCGAATGATACAGAAGGAAGGTGGGCAGATGCCAGAAAATGGCACGACTCCTGAGCCATCTTTGGAACCGGAGAACATCGACCTCCTTACTATACACTACGGTGATCGGAGACGATACCAGAATTGTTCATTATCAATAGACGACGTGTCACAAGCATGCCAGTGTCGTTTGCATCTCACAAAATATCAAAGTAAACCGATTGAGCGCAGACGAGGCTCACCATAGCCCCAATCCTACTCCCGAAATATCACATCAGGAGCACGACGCTATCTGCAGATTTAGACCATGCATGCATGGTCTTATTAACTGTTCCCGACATCTCTCATGCAAGACTCCAGCATGGGTAGAGGCTTGCCCACAGCATAAAATAAAAAATCCGATCTGATCTGATACCATCAAGATCAACGACAAGGTGTCTACCACCATGGCCGTGGGTTATACTCCTTTTGATGTCACCGAAGCCATCTCCGCTGGAAGCAAAGCCCGGCGGATGGCAGCGCATTTCTGCAGCGTGTCGGCGTTCACACGACCTCTGGCCTTGGGACCCCTAGAATGATCACGGAGCAATCATGCCAGAGGAGTGTCAGCCTCCTTGCGCTAAAAATCGGATATGCCAGCCACTCACGTGCGGGGTTGCACTACCCAGCTGCCTTTGGTGCCTTCCGAGGGCACTTGCCGTCACTTGTCGCCAAAGTGCTGGAATTCAAGGACTCAGGCGGAGTTTGACTCAAGGCGACCTCAGACCCAAAGGCACGGGGGGCAAAAACAGGCTGATGAGTTTTCTTTTCACAGGCATGGAAGGATGGCGTGAAACTTCGAACACGCTTGATCTGCCCATCGGATACCCATCGGGTTCACCGAGCTACATATATCGTTCCCAGCCAAATGCTCGAGAGAGTACGACGGCTTTCATGATCTTAACCCTGCCGCTCCTTCAGAAACACTGACTTCCAAACGCAGGGTTTTGGGCATTTGATGTCGTTCAAATCGGCATTTCGCGCCAGCATTTCGACGTCGGTCACGAAAACCAAACAACATTGGCCACCATGTATCGATTGCTTCTCCCATGTCCAAGCGGTGGCCGTTAACTCATTTTGCCAATAATGTAGCGATATTACTTCACCGGCAACTGCACCTCTATCTTGATCGTCGGCATGTACAGGGACTTTGCATTGCCGTTGATGTGTTGGCATTGCTTTCTCGTGAAACTTGACCAATTTCCACTGAGAGTTGTATATATCACCAAGTGATCTATATGAACTCGATCCCTCTCACCGCCGCCAGTTTAGCATGACTCATGTGAGCGGTCGGTATTCTGGATGCGCGGCTCCGCACGTCCTGGAAGATATTGTACAGCTTCAGCGTTGCGTATCAACTGCCTGTGTTTGCAAAATCAAACCCTTTTCCAGAGAGAGGCAGGGGGGGCGGGGGAAAAAGTAAAAAGGATCTACCGATATCTGCTGCGCGTGCAATCTGCATCTATTAGCTCAGCAATCGCAATTGCAATTGCAAATTTATTATTTAGGATATGTCATAATTCAATTATTTTCCTTTGTTTACTTGTCTCTTTCCATGTTTCGAGCATATCCTTGCCTTTAGGCTCACGTGCTATTTGCGCCCAATTTCTTTCAAACTCGTCCAACTTAATGCTCTGGTCAGTGCTGGTGCCGTGGCTTGTCCGCGCGTTCGCAGTCATCCAGGATCTCCGCTAAGGAGATCACTTCAATTATGGCAAAACGACATCACACGTTTTAGCAATCCCCTTTTGAAGGTAGCCCACTACGAGGCGTGTTCATACGGGTATCGATGATCCACTACATCGGAATGCCTCATCACTTGCACCCAAAATCATCGTTATCATCTTCGGGTATATCGAGCCGTAGGGCATCAATAGCTCATGATGAAATTTTCATTGTCAAGTCCCAACTCAATCTTCTGCTCCCGCACCTTCAACTTCCCGGGGGTTCTAAGGTCCATCTTGGCCTATTCTAGAAATTGTCAGCTACGATGATCCTGCGAGCCAATATCCACCTAGCTGATAGAGTGGATCTTTGCGGCTGTGGTGGTCCCTTGGGCGAAGCCTTACAGCAACGTTGCGACTTTGGGCAATACGCTAAAGGACGGAACGCTTGTATTTGACGGACAAAGCGACATTGCCAATCCGAGCAGGCAAAGTCGAACTTGAAACTCGTATTGGTCAGGTTTCTGGTGGCTCTGACCCTATCAGGCTTTCACTGAAGGACTACTACTCTTCAACCAGTGAATGGGTCAGGTCTGTCTCGACGAACCTCAACGTCGAGTCTAAGCCCTGTCCCGCATGCAACATGTCTCACCACGGGTCCGCGTATAGGCCTCCGCTACCACCACGGAGCCCTCGAACCTCGTTCGGAGCGTCGTCAAACCCGGAGTACTCATATTTCCCTCCGCCGCCTCCCGGTTCTCCGTTCAGCGCAACTGTATCAAATGGCCTATATGCAAGCGGACCTCCAATACCTCCTCGACCACAAGGTTTCCAAACTAGCCACAGTCCGTCAATCGGCGGCCATCATGGCATATCACCGTCACCGTCACCTTTGTTAGCACCTCCAGGGCACGCCAGGCCAGGGTACTCAAGCTTTCCACCTCCTGTGTCTCCACATAGAGCACAGGTACTGCATCATATACATGCACCACCACCATTACCACCTCGAAGCCAGCTTCATGCCCATGGATCACAAGTGAACGCTTGTCCAGGCTACACGCCGACTGCACCAACGCCAACACTAACCCCGAGCGCACTCAGCCCAAACCAGTTGACCAGCTTCCCGCCGCCTCCTCCAGGGCCGCCATCGAGAAGGACAACACCGTTGCTAGTGCCACACTATCCAGCGCCGCAGCTACAGCACTCCGTCGTGGATCTCCCACCGTCAAGTTCGAGGTCGCAACAGGACGACAATGGCCGATTCCGGTCCAAATTCCCACTGCCACCGGACCCTCCTATGGATCCGGAGATACCTAGTTCACCGCCGCCTGCCTATTCCTTAGTACCCGAGCCAGGCAGTCAAGTATCAGTAGTGACAACTCCGGCACCACCAACAAGACATGATGAACCAGTGTCGTCTCTAGTATCTTCATCTGACGATCTACAAACGACGCATGCCTCGGTGTCATCTTACACTGCTTTCCCCCCGGCATCTTTCCCCCAAACAGCGCCTTCACCATGCTCATCGTCGTCCGCCCTTCCTGCCTTGGTGCCATCAGTCCCGTCAATAACTCCGATCACTGCTCCATCGTCCGGAACCAGCTCGGTTTCCAATCCACAATCACCAGATGCATTATCATTCTTCCCGCGTGTCTCGCCTATGATACACCGAAAAGACCCGATCGAGGAATTGATGCAATCTGTGAGCATTAGCTCCACCCCGGCATCGGAAGCGTCACCATTCTACCAGCCAAATAAGGGATTATACTCGCCGTTGTCTACTCCAGTAGAGGAACCCCGGCAGCCTCCAGGGCTTGAGAATGGAGTCATTGCGCCTTCAAGACCGCCCAAGAAGCCTCTATCCGATGTCCGAACGGCATCTCAACAGGGATCCGGGAGCCAAGGCTCTCATACTTCGTCACCTATTCAGGACACATCCTATTTCCGAATTCCCCGCAAACCATGTCCAGCCCCTGCTTCAAACCCTTCATTAGTTGTCACATCATGCATTGATACTCCAATGACGTTCGCTTCCACATGGTATTCACATCCTGGTGCCCCTGAGTTCCTGATATGCCTACGTTGCTACATGGACCACATATTCGATACCGGGTTCGCGGACGCATTTCAGGAGTTCAACTTTGATGATGGAAAGCCTCGAGTATGCCGCTTCAGCAAGCCCCGGGTGAAAGAACACATCTTCCCTCGGGCTGTTTCGACCTCCTACCTTCAGCCTCTTATAGACCACATGCGCCGTCGGCCTGGCATTCCTGACTGTCGTGGTGCAGATGGTGTTCTTGGCACCGTCGCTTCCACAGTAAATATCAAGTGGTATAACACGCCAGATAATTCCATCCCTGGTTTCCTAGCTTGCGAAGCCTGCTACGAGGACTATTCGGCTTGTGCTCCGGGTCTCTCGACCTTCCTGCAGCCACACCATCACGCACAGGGTCCCCAGGATACCTGGGCATGCGACTTCGCGCTACCCTTCATACAGAAACAATACGAAGCCGACAGTAAAAATGCTGATACCAGAGATGGATGGAACAACTTCGCGATCGAGGCAAAGGCACGAATAAACTGCCCTCCCTGTGGCCAAGCCAGGAGCATCAGGAGCCGTGGCAGAAACTGGTTTCAGCCAATTGCCGGCCCGGCAGGTATCATAATATGTGCTTCTTGCTATTTTGATCATGTTGTACACTCAGGCGAAGAGTCCAAATGGCATGTTGCACCAGGACTTACCGAAGCAAATGACATGCAAGTCCGTTGTTCGATGGGTGGACGGTTTAACATCCGCCTTGTGATGGCGCGCGCGCATGAGGTCAAAGATTTCTCCGTCTTCTGGGACGCCATGAAAAAACTTGAGAACCACCCACTGTGCCAGGATGAAGGCATTCACGATGCTCAATGGTGGACGCTGCCTAATCAGCCGGAGGAATTCCAGATATGCGGGGCATGCTATGACGCAATCTGCCAGCCGCTGGGCGTGAAGCAATTTTTCAGGAAGAAATCAGCACTCTCGGGAGGCGCTGTGCGTTGTTGCTTTAACATTGCTCATCCGCGATTACGAAACTATTTGCCGAAGCTCCTTGAGATGTACACTACGCAAAATCCAACAGCGCTAGTTGAGTATGCTGCTATGTATGCGGCTATCCCCCCTTGTGGGAGAGACGAGGCGAGAACCAAAGCATCATGGTATGGATGGGACGATTGTCGGATCTGTACCGAGTGTTTCCACGACTTCGCAAAGCAACATCGCACACTAGCGGATCAAATGACGCTGAGAAATAAATGGATCGAGGGGGGTGCCATGTGCGAGATGTATTCGCCACGCATGAGACAGTTGTACCTTAACTGCTCCCAGAAGACACCTGCTGGCTTGGACGAGCTGCTCCGAATCTCGATCCACAGGCGTCAGATGTACTACCAGACAGTCCCGCAAATCAAGCAATTGATACAGCAGCAGAAACTCGCGCTAGGCCAGCAAAGAATGCTCAACAGTTTGAGCAGCTTTCATACCAATATTGGACAGCTGCAACAAATTACACTTGGCTCAGCATACACGTACTCTTCCCCAGGAGTGGGCAGCTTCAACACTATGGATGAGCTACAGGGTGCGAGATTTGGACAACAGGCCATGGGAGTCGTGGCTGGATCACACGATGCTGTGGGTATCGTAACAGTACTAGAGAAACAGTGGAGAGCCGTCGAATAGAGGCATAATAAGCGCCACGGAGTTTGTTTGGATAGAGAGATAGATCAACCATAAAAGAAAATGCTGCCTTCTACGCAGACGGTATCACTCTAAACCATTGCCGATGTGTAGGATCTCTTTGCTCTATCGGCTTCTCTGCCATCCACCGATACCAACATGATCCATCGCCAGTGGCCATGTTAGTAATCATGTATCGCAGCCCAAAATCTGACACTCAACTCTTCCCCATTCATTCTCGAGTTCCTCCATCTCTGTGTCCTTCTCCGTCTGTCGCAGTCCTCCTGTATCACATCAGCAACCCAAACAAACCCTTTCACCTCACTCGCGGCGGCGGAGGCTGCTAGGTTGATGTCCGACGGGGTGGTGGTAGTCAAAACAGAGAAAGGAAGAATTTCTGGGTAAAGCTCGAAAAAAAGTCTAGCATGATCATGCCGAAAAGACGGAGGTGTGTCGTGTTGCCTCGTTACGGCAGATCTGGGTCGAATCGTTTGCTTGTTTCGCTGCCTGCTCGCGTCTGCTTCCTAATCAAAGACTAGCATTTGTGGTATCCCTTGCTGTTAATGTCCTTGCAACAAAACTCAAACAGGTACACACATATTGACAGAGTGTTCGAGTCTGTATTTTTGAGAAAGTTTATCAGATTGAGGTAGGGCGTTTAAATGGAGCATTCGTAGAAACGGAAATTTACGCGTACACCGACTTGTAAATTAAGCATCAGCACGGTATTACAAAACAGTGTAGAGGACATGGAGTACGACAGAGAATATGGATGGCATTGCTCCGGAATCTTACCACAAACCTTTTAATAGTTGAAATGAGACCACATCATATTACAAACAATGCAGCTACTAACACAGTACAAGGAAATCAATACCAGATATTTTTGCTACTTCTATATTATTTATTTTGACGCTATGAAGTAATAGGCTTTGCTGTGAAAAGCACCTGTGCATGGAGACTTTTGCTCGCTTATAGTAGGATAAATATAGTCTTTATACTAACCTAGCTACATGCTCCACTGAAAGAGATCATGATGCGAATGCGTGGATACCTCGAGGGCGGCCAATCCAAAGGCCAGTCTCAACTGAGAAGCTACACTTTGGAAGACCAAATATTTTAATTACAGAAATACTTTATGCCAATAACAACCTAGAAGATTTTGTCAAAATATGCTCGAATGTAAATGGCTTTGGCGGCGTTAATGTTGAAAGTGGCCTACCTGAGCCTATAGTAGTCCTTCCCACTTCGCTAGGAATCGAATCATCCAAGTCGAGTTCGAAGTTCTTGATTTCCGCAAAAGTTCTATTGATTTCCCCAGATGTAGGTAGAATGGAAATCTGTCTACATCCTCTAAACTCTTGCCATAAGTCACTAGTGTATGATGTCACCACTTACTGCTAGTAAATGTGCAGCTGCTCACAACGCTCATCTATAAATCCAGACTAGGACAGTTTGCATTCTTTTACGATCAACTATTTCATTCTCAGATTATGTTGTAGCAGTCAGCTTTCTGCAATGACAAAACCTTGTACACTTTGCTCTACGCCTAGGCAAGTGCTTGTTCGATGCACAATCGATGAATCTCAGAAGTGGCATTTCGTCTGTCCGGGGGCTTGCTGGAAGAAAGTATCGGGAGGCGTTGAAGATGCAAAGGGGTTAGAAGAGCGGTTTCCATATTACAGGTACGGCGGTATGGTAAGCACTCCGGCGATGCTTGGTCATGCAAGCAATCATGTCGTTGACTTTGTACAAGTGGAAAGATAGACACGCCGATGGCCCCATGAGCGCCAAAAAACCACGAAAGGTCAAAGAGAGGCAACGAGAAGAACTGAGATCGAGGAACGAAGAAGGAGGTTCCTCAAGAGTGAGCGATGGGAATCGAAGTGGGGGAGAAGGGGGATGTGCTGACACGACCGGCGCAAACAATGGGATAGGGCAGGCTCTGGAAACTATTCGTCACCCAGACACTGCGTACTCAGCGAACGGTACTGGGTGATAAATTTCGGTTGTGTGATAGTCGATGTAAAATCACATAGACTGGTGCAGCCATGCGTTGAATTGATTATATGATGATTGAGTTGCGACAACACGCTTCTCCCTCGCCACTGCTCAGCCAAGAAATTTGCCCCACTCATTGACGGCGACCGCATCCCCGCAAAGCCTTGGCGATGCAGATTCAAACAGCGGCGGAATGCAGTGCCCGTTAAGCCCGCCAGCACCGTAGACTAAGGTCACGCTGCTAGACTAGGTTAAGCATGGCAGTCAGGCAGTGATGCGATTTGCGTGGCCTACTTTATCCACCGCTTTGCAATGCTACCTGGCTACCTACATACAGTATGCAATAACTACCTGGAATATAGTTATATCTGTGCAGTGGGCGTCAAGACTTTTGCTTGTCGAGTACTGCCAAGCCCGCTAAAGCCAGCACGTCAAATGGCCATTGATTTCATTGATGACACCACCATAACAACAAGAACACGTTCATCGAAGTTATTCACAATTAGCGAAATGGCGCGTGGTCCGGGGCTTTCGGAGGGGATGAAAGCACGGATTTCTGAGCTTCGTTCTCTTGGCTAGTCGCCGAATCAAATCCATGCGAAGCACCCTGAGATCAAGCTAGGCTTGCTTTTGTTACGGTGATCGAACTGGGCTTGTTCTTCTTGACGGCGACGAAGAAGCGAAGCGAAAAGGTATTAAGGCGCGTGTGATTCGAGCTCTTTACGAAGCATTCCTTCCAGATTTCATCGGACGGGATGGCATTTTTATGCACGATAATGCGAGAGTTCATACGACCAAAATAGTTACAGCTTTACTCAGGGATGAAAGAATACGAGTAATGGAATGGCCACCTTACTCCCCCGGTTTAAATCTTATCGAAAATCTTTGGGCTGTTGTGAAACGCGAAAGGCTTGAACACGCACCAGATACGGAAGACACACTCAAGCATTGATCGGAGCTGCGAGACAAGCTTAGCACGCAATACCACAACAGGTACTTCGAAATCTAGCGGATTCAATGCCCTAACGCGTTAAAGATATTATCCAGGCGGAATGCTGTATACAGATAGGTATCTTAGGTCAATCGACGACGTGCTTCCTTGACAAGTTCAGCGGGCTTGGCGGTACTTGACAGGGTAGCAAAGATTTTGACATTTACTGTAGTCTAATGCAGGTCTCGCATGGGCATCGCATCTCAAGCTAAGGCCGACTCTTGGCGACTGACCGCCGTGGCAATCAATGCCCGGCTTTGTCTTTGGATCGCTAAAGTGGATAAAAGCTCTTGTGCGTTTGCTACACTTTCGACGTGCTGCTGGTTGACAGGAACTACGTTGACTTGGCTTGTTCTGCTATTGGCACTTCAATCGAAGCCGCGACAATGGTTGCTGTCCGCAACTCTATCGCTGCTTTCATCGCGGTCTGCGGCACGTGTGCTACGCATATAACGACTAACAGATCGTCGGACTGCTACTGTCTACCTAGTGATGCCTGCTGGCCATCGGCTGACAAGTGGAACACGTTGAACACCACGGTGGATGGGAAATTGATCGCGACGGTACCTCTCGGCTCTGTGTGCCATGACCCAGCATACGACGAAGCAGTTTGTGAAGCTTTGAAAGCAGCCTGGAGAGACCCGGAACCACAGTGAGTTCAGGAATTGCTAGTAACAAAAATGTTGAGCTGTGTCTGGTCCCACGATTTGGCGATTGACCTATGGCAGTTACGACTCTTCGTCCTCTGCAATGACGACGTATTGGGCGAATGCCAGTTGCAATCCTTTCTCGGGCCGCTCAACACCATGCGGGCTCGGCAATTTAATTTCCTACGCTGTCAATGTTTCCAGTACTGAAGACATTGCAGCGACGGTCAAGTTTGCCGGATTGCACAATGTTCGCCTTGTCATTCGCAACACGGGCCACGACTTCATTGGGCGCTCGAGTGGTGCTGGGGGACTTGCGGTGTGGACACACCACCTGAAAAGTCTCGAAGTGATTGAAAACTTCGAAATGCAAAGTGAAGCAGGAGAGGAGGGCTATAGTGGAACCGCGTTGAAGATGGGCTCTGGGGTTCAAGGTTTTGAGGCAGAGGCTTTTGCTGGAAAATACGGTCTTGTTGTCGTAGGCGGTTGGTGCCCATCTGTTGGCATTGCGGGAGGCTATACTCAAGGTGGTGGGCATAGTCCACTTGGGTCAGAATTCGGTATGGCTGCTGATCAAACCCTTGAGTTTGAGGTCGTCACTGCGGATGGATCAGTTGTCATTGCCTCGCCTCAGGAGAACAACGACCTTTACTGGGCACTCTCTGGCGGCGGGCCAGGTACATATGGCATTGTAACGAGCGTGATTGTGCGAGCCTACCCGGATCTACCTGTTGGCGGAGCATTCGTATACGTATCCAACGACCTGTCACAACCCAACGCATCTACCATACTCGACAACCACTGGGCGACAATCAAGACTTGGTACAGCCTTCTACCAAATCTGACTTCCAATGGAATCGGGGCCACGTTCTCCTACAATAACTCTCTCTTCGTTGTCGTTCCACTCACTGCTTATAACAAGACCTCAGAAGAGGTGACTGCTGCACTTAAGCCATGGACTGACCATCTGGATTCTGTAGGAATGAGCTATACGGCACAGTTCACCGACTTTCCAAGCTACTATCCCCACTGGAGTGCATTTGTCACACCTGGACCTGTAGGCGGCTTTTGGCAAAGCATATCTCGTCTTGTGCCGTCGTCTATTTTGAGTGACCCCCAGACTCTATCGACTTATGTCAACGTGTCCAGAAACTTTGCGGACCAAGGTGCGATGGCCGGATGCACGGCCATCGCGCCCAAGAAGAGAACGAGTTTCCATAACGCCGTCTTACCTGCATGGCGCGAAGCTGCGGCTATTCATGGATTAATGCACGAATGGAGTGACGAACCATCCTTATGGGATGACATGCAGGAAATGCAGCGGTACACGGACGAACAAATGGCTCCTGTGCTGAAGAGCGCCACTGGTGGATCAGCAGGACCCAAAAACACAGGTGCTGGTAGCTATGTCAACGAGGTTCAAGGAGTTGAAATAGACTGGAAGGACGAGAGCTTTGGCATAAACTACCAACGGCTTCTCCAGGTGAAGAGAAAGTGGGATTCAGATGGGGTGTTCTGGGGGCCACGACTCGTCGGAAGCGAAAGTAGACAAGTTACAGGGGAACCCAGGGATATTGGTGATGGCCGGCTATGTAGAACCAGATACTAGGCGTGATCAACGATGAGTCCCTAGGTCGGACATCTTTCCTCCATTGGAAGAACTAATTGTCGCAGACTTGACGATGCCGCCGACTAGTTGTGAGCAGAGTGCAGCCTGAGCTTATGGAAATCTAACCGGTGTAAAGACAATGATTGGAAAGGTAATCATCCTTGTCGGCGGTGAGCTCGATTCGCCGACATATCTATATGCAGTCTTTCAAATATTATCTGTGTCCTGGGGAGGGGCTCTGAGTCAGCATGCAGTCATCGTGAACCTTGTGCGTATCTTCGGCCAGGCCGTCCAAAAGCAGAGCGCGATCGGGTAGCCGAGTCCATACCCCTGATTCTAGAACCAAGGAGCTGGGTCGATTCAGGTCCAATCGGCTTAGATTCCCCCTATTTGAGGCAAGGAGACTAGCTATGTAGCAAAACAGCAAGGAGCTAACACTTCCGTTCGATGCATACAATGACAAAGGACAATACTCAATACGCAAAAGCACAAGACAAAAACAGGTAATAGATGTGTAGATATCCGGAGGTTCGACTGGAACACAATTCCTACCTCGCATACGATTGTGGCACACATACCCAATAAACACCTCAAGGGTTCGACCTCTGATGTCTTTCGCCCAAAGCTCCTGAAACGCAACTAGATAAACACTGCCAGCACAAATCACGCATGAAATCCAATGGAAGATTAATGTCAAACATTGAGTCCCGAGGCACAATGTGATGGAGGAATGTGGCGTTCACTAGACACAGCATCTATTACACACCACAAAAACGACAATGGACCACGTGGTAACACAACAGGAGATTTGCAAGTAATGTGCTGTTATATCGGTCAAACGTGACCGTTCCATTCAAGCCACATAGAAGCCCTTTAGAATATTTACCCGCCCGAATCCTTTGATGTAGGCTCAAGTCGTCAGCAATTGATCACTCAGCCCTACGCGGGCTGCTGCGCCCAAAAACGTTCACGGCTATGTGGACTAATCAGAGGTAGGTATGTATGGTTAACTGAATTCAGCTCGCCAATCACTTGTTGTTTTCGTCCAATCAATGACAAATAAGCAGCCCAAATACGTGGTCTTGTATCCTTGAAACGTGCGCACAAGGATCTTGTCCTCCCTACTAAAAGTTACACAGCCTCGAAGAACATGGCATATGGACCCCAACTATACGGACCGCCTTCTTGCTGCTTACGGCCCGAAATAACAAGGCATAATAGACCACACGATGGGTGCCGGTAAGATAAACCATCTGAGGTATAAATATGTCCAGTTTGCCGTAATTTTATCCATGTTTTCAGCTGACCAGAAGAGCCAGATCACCTAAACACATGATTGCCTGATATCACGATTTTCTTTCTTTCCTTTCCTAATACTTAAGACTGCCCCAAGATATAGTAAAAATGAAGACCTCTGTTCTTTTCGTTCTTGCTAGTACTGCTTTGACACTGACCACTGCACTACCGTACAATGGTCTCACCTCAAGAGCTGCCGCTGCGGTAGCCATCAATGAACGAGGTGAGTAGAACAATACAATATAGACGAAGAAACCTGCTCACTCGTCATTAGATACGACCTGCCCCGATGGACGTAGTGGGTACAACTGTGCAGAGCGCCGTGATACGTTTGGCACAGATGGTCGCAGTGGCTACAACACTATAGGCCAGCGTGGTAATAACACTTACTCCCAGCCTGATTATATAGAAGGCACTTTCGCTGACCTCAATCAGATGAGACTTGTCCCGACGGACGAAGTGGATACAACTGTAATGAGAAACGGGACAGTGCTGACCCCGACGGCCGGAGTGGATACAATAACGTGAACGAGCGTGGTAAGAACATCCATGCCCACTGAGTGTAATTGCCAAAGCCATTGTTGACACTTCGTTAGATGAAGTTTGTCCTGACGGTCGCAGCGGCTATAACTGCACTGAGAAGCGGGATACAGACACAAATGGTAGAAGTGGCTACAACAATGTAAATGTCCGCGGTAAGATGTAGCTCGTCAATCCGATTCACTGTTTAAGTGGCGTACTAACTGTTGGCCAGATCAGTCCTGTCCTGATGGTCGTAGTGGCTACAACTGCAATGAGAAGCGTGACGATGCGTACACGGACGGCCGAAGTGGTTATAATTAAATCGTCGACGGTCTTGTTTCCGTCATCTTCACGCTGTAATATAAGAACAAAGATAGAATATTAGATATGGTGCGCGAGCACTGGGGAATTCTGGTCTGTTGATTTATTTCCAGCCTCGGAGTACGCTTTGATCAGTAATTTTATTACTCAGAATACACCGCCTAAACTATAGGCAGAAATATAATGTTATAGCGGCCATTTGCCTTGTGCCTTTAAGGTTTCTCTCGTCTTCTTCCAGGCGTCCCTTTTCACGTTATAGATCCAACCAATGGGATGGTCTCCATAGCTTAGGACCCCCTTTTCCTCCAGATCTCCAAACCCGAAGGCATACATTAGTCCGCGCCATGGCTCATTTGCAAGCCCTGTCTCCAGCCTAACAACTTCGCAGCCAATTGCATTAAATGCGAGCTCGAGGCATGCGCTCACGACTTCAGTCGAGTATCCCTTGCGCCGTTGTCTGTAATCCATTACGACGCCCAGGTCGGTGAGATAGCGCCCTTCGACACCCGGGAGGGGCGTCTCTCGCTCAGGGACTGTCCCTTCGAATTCCTCCTTGGTACGGAAGCAGTTGAAGCCCATGTAGCCAATGACCTCGTTCGTGTCACGCAGTGCGATGGCGAGATAGGCGTTCTTGCCTTGCGCGGCAGTACTGTTCCATCTTTCCAGGCGCGCAACCATGGCTTCGACCGTCTGGCCGGCCATTGCCTCGGTTTGGCCCATCGGGAGGTTCTCCACTTTGCACATGAGATCAATCATTGCTTCGGCATCCTGCGCGATTGTGCTTCGGAGCACCAGCCGAGGCGTCAAGATTTCGTAGCTCTCTGGAGGAAATTGGAAAGACATTGTCCAAATGATTTGTTCAAAGCTGGCAGCTTAGTCTTTTCGAGATGCTCGAACGATCTTTTCACGGCTGCGGTCAAATTGAGGCACGAAAAAGATGCCATTGCAAAGAAGTCGTAAATAGTCATTAGGCAATCTGGTAGCTATATAGTAAGGTGTTCTATACTCGAATAGTTCTGTATACTGTTTTGATCCACTTGGCCCGAATTGGCAGGTAATTAATTCTAGATTCACTTGACTCATTTCCAGCATTTACTGTTCCCCTGCGTTTTCACTATGACTCGTCCCTGGCTCCACTAACCCCACCAGCGGTAGTTCCACTAACCTGACAGAAGCCGGTGATTCGTGGTCCTTGTGCAAAATGACATGAGCACTATCGTTGGCATACAAGTGAGTCACAAACACCCTGCAATTACAATGCATATGATTTGATTGTTTCGCAAGTATGAACGAGTGCGAAGTCCGTGGACAATTATCGATAGGCTAAGGTGGAGGTAATCCCTGGGACTCAGTGCCCCAGTTTCTCATGATCGTAAAGTTGAGCACAACAGGATGATTTAAGTGTATGATTGCATAGCAGCAATTCTTTCTTGTAAAGCATATAAGTCATCATATTTGAAGAACTAATCCATGCTCAATGCCAACGAATGCGCCATGTTATATTGAGAGTTTTCGAACATTTAGAAGTGGAGTTGGTGTGCTGCGTATGAAGAACTTGAAATGACCAACAATACTTACTTAGGGGGCAACATTGCAAAGCTCGAAATCCAGCCTAATCTCAGCTTGACCTTTCTTTCGCCTTATGAATTGGAGTTGATCAAACAGCGACAAATTCAATCTTGTCGTTAGTTTCTGCGGTTTTCATCGCGCAACATCGCGCTAATTGGCAACCGCTGTTCCGGGTCAGTGCAATCACCTAAGTTAATCGCTATGCATGAACAAAGAAGAAGAAGAAGAAGAAGAAGAAGAAAAAAGACATTGGGCCCATACAATATCGTGTTATTCAAACAAACATGAACAACACACTTGTTTCTTGAAGCTTCCCGACCCTTACAAGATATTTCTTTGTTCTCCGTGATCCTGCGATTGGCAAGGATTGCGGTACTTTGTGTCATATAATTGTTTTGTCTCCATTGAAAGAAAGAGGAAGGAAAGAATGATATAGTAAAAATGTATATATAATGAACTACTCTCCTCTAAAGTAACCCCGACGTATTGTATTAGAATTAATTGTGATCTATATCATATTACACTAGTAATGCTTTATTTCTAGTCATCCAACAACGTATTTCTTCACGAGTAAAACGAAATGGCGTCACAATCTCCAACTTCACAAGAACAGCCCGTCGACTTGAAACCATTAACGAAAGGATTGGAGTTTGAGTGGTTGTACCTTTGGAGGTATGACATAGATGCTCACGGTGAGGTTGAAATCCAAGTGAGTGGAGAGGGTGAGATCAGAAACGGTTATATCGTGGTTGCCTTTGATAGCTTAGCGCGAAACATGGACACCGATGAAGATATATCAGAAACAAACACGATAGATGTATCCCATAAGATCATCCACAATCTTCTCAAGACTAATGGTGTCGATATCAATGATTTTGACAACTGGGGTAAGGAACCTGATGATCCCAACCATCCTAATGCCGCCAACGCTGCAGACAAAACATATTACCGATGGATCTTGAAGCAAGATCACTCCGTCAACTACGTGAACCATAACGAGATAACAAGTTTGATCGGCGGAACCTTTCATTTGCAAGATGCTGAGCTTGTCTCGCCCGCCCTATTAGCAAGTGCTAGGGAAAGTGATGATGAGATCACAAGAGTAGTGGACATACTGCGCAATAACCTCATGTATTTTACTCCGGAGTCAGCAGGATTTCACATACATGTAGCCCCAGGACCTTCTATGTTCGGTCTGGAGGAGCTCAAGAAGGTGGCTATCGTCTTATATACTATAGACATTTTGTTCAAAGATCTCCACCCTTCTCATCGTCACAACAACCATTACTTCCCTCCTATACGCACAAAATCAAGGCTTGCACGTAACGACGCAGAAATAGTTCCTGATCACAGAATACTGGATTACGATGTAGAAGCCAATGGGATGAAATCGTCAGACGCGTGGATAGTGCTTGGCAATGCCGGAACACCACATCTGATCGCTGACCTCTTGTCTATCACCGGCGATAGGGGTACCTATAGTTTTCAGACAGTCGTAGATCCAAAGAGGCCTACGATCGAATTTCGACAAGCCGCAGGGACCATGAACACTGAGTGGATACATCATTGGTCATCTATAGTGGTCGGAACAGTCGACTGGGCAAGACGAGCATCCTATGGCGATATTCACAATTTCCTTGTAGCCTGTGATATGAAGGAAGCTAGCCCAGAGCTCCATAGCGTGTGTTCTGTCGGCGAGTTCCTTAGAAATACGCTTCGACTGCCGGCCACGGCTGACTATGTCGCGCGAACTACGCCAGGCACAAGAGCTACACCTAGGTTGACTGGATTACAAAAGACGTGGCGCGAGCGCCCAGAGATACGTAGTTTATTCAATTGGAAAATGCTTCCCTGCACCCACTGGGATGGAGATATTAACATGTCTACATAGAGATAAACCCAATATGGACAAATTCAAATGTATATAACTTTAGAAATTCTACATGGTAGAAGTAGTAAGTCGACTGTTCGTGTGACTCTGTTCCATGTATGATTTTAAGGTCAAAAATCAACTTGCTCGCAAATGTATTCATTTGCTACTAAAATACCGCTTTGTTTGGGGACACTCCTGTCGTTAAGCCTGCTCGGCTGGCTCGTCTCGGCAGTTGGATGCTAGTTTTGTATTGTCAGACGTGCTTTCAACAATGAGCGATCTGGAAATTGAGTCAGGGTAAAGAGAAGATTTGGTGACTTGGATGTTCATTGCCGTAGCAGAAAATTAAGGCCTAATATTAATGACGGCAACTAATATGAATGGTGGGAGGTTAATGACATGTGCAATGGTAGAATGTGCGCATCATGACCTCATTCAGGATAACCCCACATGCGGCCCCATCATCAACAAGACGTCAATCTTTGTTATTCGCAACTATTAGTAGCTGTCAATTTATTGTGAAAGCCCGGGTATATTATTGTACAATAAGAAAGATCTTTTCAAACTTCTATCAAGACCTAAACCTAAACAAAATCAACATACCTCAATACATAAAAATGTCTTCCCACGGCAGCTCAAACACAGGCTCCAAAAGTGCCACTGGCATGGCCTCAGCAACTACCACCCCCGCCAATGCAGGAATCGGCGAGGATAAGCCCAAGGCATTCGACGCGCAAGGTGCGATTGGCAAGCAATTCACTGGTAAGTCCATAGTTTCAGCACTTCAATACCAAGAACAGATACCAACGTTCCAGCAGAGAGTGGCGCGCTCGGTAGTGTAGGACAAGCTATCGGTGGTCCTTTGGCCGCAGACGGTGCTATTGGCAAGAACTTCACAGCAGACGGTAGTATTGGTGGCTCCGTGCAAGACGCCTTGGGTGGAAATAAGGGTAGGAGCAACTAAATCCTGCTACTTCACAACAAGAAATACGACAAGGAATGATACCAACTGTACATTATAATATTATGGCATTTTCTATTGATAACTAGGACACAAGTGTGGCTCAATCAAACAAATTAACACAGAACCTTGAGAATGAAATGTTCAGATGCTTGTATTTACTCAATAGGACGAGGATGTGTTTGCGTCGGCTTCATCCCTAAACTGAGGGAGCAGAACTAATGATGGTTTAGCACGACACGTCTTAAACAAATCCAGCAAATAAGAATCATGTCTGCATCTATTAAAATGTTATTGGGAAATTTATCACCCAAAATGAAACTATCTTGTCTATCTCGAATGGCTAAGACGTAGCATCTGCTCATCTTTAACTGTCTGAATGAATACTCAAGTTCATCCAAATTACTTACGTAACCAGTCAACCTGGCTTGCGTGCCTTCCTCATACCTACAATGGAACAATAACTTCTACATATGAAAAAGAGTAGGGAGTCCCACATCGATCTGCCTGGCCGATCCCATCCTGCGGTGGAGTCATATTTCAAAACAACTTGTTCCCTACCTCTTTCGCCGCCTTTTTGAGGATGCATTCTTGCACACATCAGAAGTTGAATGGGCAGTCCTTCTTCTCGAGTCGTATGATATACGGGTTATAATCCTCGATCATCAAATTCTTTTTTAAACAATGATGCACACCGTAATTCCCGAGGCCGCAAATGATGACCAAAACTTGCAGATTCTTTGTCTGGCCAGATTTAGTGAGCGCTTCCAAGAAATTCGAGATCATAGAGCCATTACTATCGGCTACTTTCTCCTGATCCGAGTCCGTAAGGCAGGTGCGAAAACAACGAAAGGAGTCATTGGTGGAATGTGAGAGCGACTTCGCCATTTCTTCATCGGAAGTTGTTTAACCAAAGGTTACATGGTGGACCTTTAGGTACAAGCATGGCGATGAGTGTTGCCAGGTAAAAGCAGCATGCCTGAAATATTGCTTGGGCGTGATTTGAAGTTGCTGCTCCTGTCATGAAGGCCAGGTAGATATTGATTTCAGTCAAGCTTTTGCAGAAGTTCATAGTTCAGAGAAGGACCCGCTCCAAGGCTAATGTACTTGACTTATCCGAAATTGGTGATAAATGAACATTTTACAATCGTGACGACCGTCTTTTCCCACACCATGGATACTTTTCAATAATCTGTCGGAATATAACTAGGCAACATTTGACCTTGCTAATGGATATCGTCTCAATGTTGCCTTTTCTTCTTTCATCTATTTTCTTTCATCTGGAGATAATCTTTCAAGCGCAGAATGATTACTCAAATTGCTATGAAGTAGTGGTCATCTCCATAGTATCACCACCCGCAGCACGTAGACTAACCGTGTTTTGGCGAACTATGTAGCACTCACTAATTACCTAGGTAGACAGGGAATACATTGAGCGTATACCTAAAGGCGCCGACCAGAAGCGATTGCGATCCACCGGAAGCAAGTTACATATATAGAAGCATGCCAGGCTCAAGTGGCTTGCCATTATAGGGATGCTACGCTTGGCACAGGCGCAGATCATCTTGAAGGCGGTGTAACGGCTGACATGAGTTTGGGCGATGCTATATCGGCTAGAAGCTGACTGCATGACATAGTACAACACCCTGCGAATGTAAACGCAAGACTCGTGTGACCCTTGATCATCATATGGTAGTAGAAAACCTTAGCAGAACAAACGGACGAAGTACCGCCCACCTTGAAACCGAATATCGGGCGATTCCTTGTAGCTTTAGTATATTTTGTATTATCAACTACCGCCAGTCCTCTTCAATATGACGGGAATCATATTGGTGCTCATGGCGATGCAACCTATGAATATGTCGGTATGTGATTCTGTACTGTCGTTTAATACTTTCGCTAAAACGGCAATAGTGGTCGGCGGTGGAACTGCAGGCTTGACAATTGCCTCAAGACTAGCTGAATTCGCATCAGTTGCAGTATTATTTGCTCCAAAGACCGCATCGTATGCCATCTAAAAGGTGTCCAGATCATAGAAGCCGGGGGCTATCACGAAGTCAGCTACGGTAATGCCAGCGTAGTGCCGTTGTACTCTTTGACTAAGATCGACGTCATCGATCCAACTTCTACCTTTCCACGGCGCCCTGAAATCGATTGGGAACTTCTGACCGTGCCTCAAACAAACGCTTCTCGGCAGATAGTGCACTATGCCCAGGGAAAGACTCTCGGAGGCTCGTCTGCCTTGAATACAATGTCATATCTTCGCTCGACGAAAGGGGCATATCAGCGATGGATAGACGAAGTCGGGGATGACAGTTACATATTCGAAATATTGTTGCCGTTCTTCAAGAGATCGGTGCGCCTGGCTCCACCAAATCTCGCCCTGCGCGACGCATCCAATGCGACCCCGGAGTATGATTTGACGGCATACGGGCCTGGATCTCCGTTGAACATCTCCTGGAACAACTGGGTCGACCCAACACTCACCTGGCTAGCAAAAAGCGTTCAATCAATTGGCCTGCCTGTGAACTCAAAAGGTTTCAGCAGCGGAGAGTTGGACGGCGGCGCTTGGTTGCCGTCCACGATTGACCCGGCGCACGCTACACGGGAGTCCTCACAAACATCGTTCCTGGATCATGCCATCGCAAATGCCGGTATTAAAGTCTACCCTTGGACTATAGCCACAAAAGTTATTTGCGACGGAAAAAAAGCGACGGGCGTTAATGTTACTACAAACGGAACACAGTATACCTTGAGTGCAACGAAAGAAATCATCGTCTCCGCCGGAGTGTTCAACAGTCCGAAACTGCTGATGTTATCAGGTAAAGGATAATTCAATCCCTGGTAAATCTTACTGGAATGCTGAAGAATATAAGGTATTGGGCCGCAAGAAACCCTGAAGTCATTCAACACTTCTATTGTCGCAGATCTTCCTGAGGTTGGACAAAACCCTCCAGGATCCGGTGTCCGTTAATGTCGGGAATTTTGTCAACACTGCTAATGGACAATCTATCATCGCCAACCCAGCAGCTGAGCGAGAAGCTCTACGCCAGTACCAGAAGACGCAGCCGGCTCATACAGCTCCGCCCCTGGGTATATTTCTTACGAACGCCTCCCAACTGATTTGCGGGAAACCCTGTCAGAACCCACGCTCGAGATGCTGAAGGGATTTCCATCTGACTTTCCGGATTTACAATACATTGTCGGAACGTAGCTCAACACCAATGGAAGTGCTTTGGGCTCTATAAGCGCAACGAGAACGAGAACGTTCTTTTGGGGTAGTGTTACCCTCACAAGCTCTAATTACACAGATAACCCCGTGATCGACCTGGGCTGGTTCAGCAACGCGGCCGATGCCGAGGTTCTGATTGCTGGCATCAGGCGCTTACGTCAAGCCTGGGGATCTGAAGCTGCGCTTTCGATTCGACTTGGGACAGAGGTCCGTCCCGGCGTCAGCGTTCAAACAGATGACGAGATCTTGAATTACATTAAGAACAATACAAACACGATTTGGCATGCGAGCTCAACATGCTCTATGGGAAGTGCAGGAAACCCCAAAGCAGTGGTGGATTCATAAGCAAGAGTCTTTGCTGTGGAGGGGCTAAGAGTGGTGGACTTATCCATCATTCCATATTCCTCGCCAGGTCACCCTCAAGCTACTGTATATGCACTTGTAGAAAAGCTTGCATCTGATATCGAATCAAATCATTGAATCCTATTGTATCCTCTCATGAGTTGACTGGATATGCTTACTTAAACATGGTATCATAAAGATGGAGCCGTTGCCGCAGAACCTTGCATAGCCATAGAAAGTAGACCGAATAAGTAGATCATCACCTACTACCATATGAGCCCCTAATGTGACCCCGACCTCTCGTTAAGCTGCCTCTTCCCCTTGTCGATCCCCTGTCATTACTACCTCGATGGGAGTAGGAGCCTCTCGCGGAATCAGACTCGCTCTTAGTCTTGTTCGCTGTACTTGTTGCATCAGGGTTACTTAATGAGCTATACTTGGAAGATTTGCAAGCATGCTCAAATTCCCGAAGAAGTGCCTTGCAAGCTGGTTAGTAGAGGTCCAACTTAATCATTTATGATGCGTCCCGTGGTACCACTTACATCGAAGGGCTGCTCAACGAGCGACCCAAAGACAGCATGATTGCCAAGCTTCAGTTGGCCGACGCGTGGGCTCTTGATGCCGAAGGCGACTCGCGCAAGGAAGCGAGGGTCGTCGCGGACACTGCAGGCATCCAAGACCTTCTGTATTCCGTCGTGATCGATTACTGGTGTCGGCTTTTTTGGAAGCACAACAGGCATCTTTGTCATACAGATAGTACAATGGCCGCAATGAGTCTTCTTGTCTGGCAAGCCCATACCGAAATGATTTGCCAAGGCAAAGGCAAAACATCCGTTTCCGGTGATCAAGTTTGCCACGTTTTGGGTACGTTGTAGAGCATCTTTCTCTCGGGCCTCCATATCTGCATAGAGATTGTCTGTCAAGGTGTCTAGGTCACCATCCGCGGTCGGAAGTTTCTGCAAAATGCGATATCTGTTCTGAACTCCTGACGCAGTGACCTCGATAATTCCACGGTTGTGCCAGTCATTGATTTTGTTCATCAAGTCAGCTCGGAGTATACCTGCTCCAGCCACTGCCTGGTTAGGATCGAAGTGGTATTGTGTCTTAGCCTTCTGAGCAAACATGAAAATTGCTTTGCCTTCCTTCGATTTGTCTTTCGACGCAAGCGCGTTGTAGGTACCCATGTCCTTGAACGTCCACTTGGTGTATTCTGGGGTAATTGCCCTGAGGAGACCAAAGCGAAGCTCAAGAGTAGCGAACAACACTGACAATGGACTCGCTCTAATGTCATAGGCTCTAGAGAGGTCAGTATGACCAAGCTTGATGACATTTCCTTCCACATCTATGGTGGGCTCTCGGGTGAAAACATCCTTAAGTAAATTGCGAAGTGCTTGGCGTGAAGGTAAATCGCCACGGGCAAAATTTTCTCGGATATAGAAGTCGTCGGGGCATATGTAGACCATACAAGTACTGGGTTGGCCATCTCGGCCAGCACGCCCAATCTGCTGGCTATATTCTTCGATTGTGTTAGGGATATCCCAGTTCACGATGTTGCGAATGTTAGACTTGTCGATACCCATGCCGAAAGCAATTGTTGCAACCACAATTCGAATCTTTGATGCCATGAACCGCTCTTGTATGTCTGTTTTCACTTCCGTTTTCATGCCAGCATGAAACGCTACTGCTTCGAATCCTTGGCCTGCAAGGTCGTCGGCCAATACCTCGACCTGTTTCTGAAGTGTGGCATAGACAAGCGTTGGGCCCGGATGATCCCGTAGGAACTTGAACAATTTCGGGTATTTGTCTTGTTTGGTGTCTGTAGCCTCTGCCAATAGCTGCAGGTTCGGTCTGTATGGTGAAGTACGGAAAACGTTGGCCTTAGCCACTGAGAAGGCCTCGCAAATGTCGTCAACCACCCGTGGTGTGGCAGTTGCAGTCAAACATACGACTCTCTCTGCTTTGATTTCTTTCGCAAACCTTGCCACTTTCAAGTACTCAGGTCGGAAGGTAGCTCCCCACTCGGATATGCAGTGTGCTTCGTCGACGGCAATCAGGCGAATGCCTCCTGGTACATGCTTCATGCTAGCAACAAAGGTCTCGTTGTTGAGCTTCTCTGGCGAGCAGTAAAGAAGACGCAGCCGTCCAGAATGGATATCGCTGTGTGTCTTCTGGTGTTCCTCGTATGACTTTGTTGAGTCCGAGCATTCAGCTGCAATACCTTTCCCCTTGAGGACATCTGTCTGGTCCTTCATGAGAGCAATTAGTGGGGAGACAACAATGGTGAGTCCCGATCCGAATTTTCTCTCTTCTCCACTGTGTCTGTCTAATTCCTCAAAGGCGACAGCTGGAACCTAGACCATGGGTCAGTATTAGAGGCTCAAAACGACTGGCTATGGAGCTCACTTGATAACAGAGTGACTTTCCTGCGCCCGTAGGAAAAACAACCAAAGCATTGTTACCTAGAAGTAATGCTTCGATGGCTTTCTCCTGTTCATGCCGAAAGCTGTCATAGCCAAACTTCTGACGAAGAATAGTTCGGGCAAGTTCGACATTAGATGAATCGATGCCATCGTTGACCTTAATACGTTTCTTCAAGTGAGAATCATCATGTCCGCCGTCTTCATCAAACTCGAGCGTTCTCTTTTGAGGGCTAGCAAGCTCATCAGGATTGATGTCGGCAAGCAGATCATCTCCCGAATCATAGTCGTCTTCCATTACCAAACAGCAGGGAACCCCGAGAAGTGCGAAGCTAAAGGGGGAAAAGGATAATCACCAAGGCCTATTACTTGGGGTTGACAACGAAGTAATTGATATCTGTTGGAGTTACAAATAGGACAAAAGGGTTCAAGTATTCAGAATGTGTCGACTAAAGCTCACGGTTTGATAGTGAGCTAGGATAGACTACAAATTCTAGGACCATAATCTACAGCATCAAGTTAAGCGTGTCTGTTGGTACGCGTTCTGATGGCCCAAGCTCATATTTTAACGCCAAACCTTAGCGCCAGATTTCAGCACTCCAAGGCGCTCAGTGGCAACTCCGATCGGCCGCGTCGAAATATCGCTTGCGACTGATATTGATACCTATGATCTGAAGGATCTAGAACATCCCCGAGTCCTGAATATATGGCTGTGCTCAATAGATCTTACGATGGAGGTAACCTCTCATCAAAAATGCGTAAAATTGCTCCGCGCCAGTAACCCAACATCGTACCTGGCAGGGACTTGCATGCCGCTAGTAGGCATTTACCCCGCGAATTTCAACCTATTGGAGCCCTGTGGTTCTAAATTTAGCGACGTAATTAGCACTGGAACTCACTGCACTTCAGCACCATTCAATTAACCGACGACATTTCAGAGCAAGCCGCAGAGCCTAATGCTACAGAATACTATGCCATCTAACAAATACAAACACCAGTTTCGAATCACACGTCCCCAGTTGTTCTTAGGCCATCCAGTCGAGGTGAGTGTGGCTTTTGATGCGGTGGCATCAGGGGCAATGCCTGAACGGCAATTTATCGTGCAACTCCGTGGATCTACACATTAGACATGAACGATGGAGGCAAAGTTGCCATCAAAACACGTATATTTTTACCGAACCAAACCTGAGCACAACGCGCGACATAGGAGATATAATGGGCTCGTCGGGTTACCTGACTTCATGACCGTGAGTTACATAGACGTAACGCTCTACTACTGGGCCTAGAGTTTTCGACAGACGTCAGTCTTACGAGATGGAAATTCAGCTAGCAACGAGTAATGGCCAGCAGTCCTAGGCACTGACGATGAGACCAAATCAATTGATACTCTCGTCATGATTTTCTGGCTCTTGCTGGCTTATCATATATCTTTTTACTACAAGGTCCACGTCTAACAGCAAGTCGAAGTGGTCGGTCCGGCTCGCTATCATCCGGGCGGCCCAGTCTTCAGACCTATGCGCAGGAAAATGACAATGTTCTCGGTATCCAGTTGATTGAATAGCCGTGTCGGACGGCATTTCGCATTATCGACTCACAATGGTTCATGATCCCTCAAGGTACCGGCATTCTAGCCCTGACGCTATGGGAACTCGTATACTATTCTCACGGCCTTGATAATATCGCTATCATCTTTTGGGCTGTGGCGATTTGGCAGTTGTCGGTTATACTTTTTCCATCCGCGTTTCGAGCTGCGATGTTTCCTCGCTACTTTCTATCACAATTGTCTACCAAAAAGCACCGAAGTAGTATGCCTAGCCAGTACAGTGGTTACATTTACATCGATCGTCCAAATTCTTGGTTTTCTTGGCAAGAACGGTTGGCATGTTGCTATCTATGTTTTGTGGTGGATATGTGCCGGACTTTCCATTCTAGCAATCATGGGCATTCCATACGTGTTTACGCAGATCAACCCTCCTAGCATCGCTGGTGTGTTACCAAACGCCCAGCTGCCTCTCGAGGAGGCTCTAACCGCCGCAGCTACTTGTGGCTCGCTATGTACGAACGGTTATTGGAGTTGTGAGATTCGTGTACCTGTGATCCTTGTATCATACCTGCTCTTGGGCATCGCAATCCTTTTGGCATTTATACTGGATGCTCTTTTCCTTGGTCGTCTTTACAACCAAACAAAAGATAAAAGGGCCAAGGAGAGCAAATCACAAGCTCTCAACTTCGCTTACCAGATCATGGTCTTAGCAGGCCCGTGGGGCAAAGGCAGTGCTAGACTAACATGCCTAGGAAAAGCAGTGCTTGATGGAACTTTCAGTCCGTACAACAGTGGTACCATGTTAACCAGTGAAGTAGCGTTTGCCGTAGGATACTCCAGCATCTTTGCCAGTATCTTCTTTTGGGGCACTGCGATATTCTGGTGGGTATTCACCGTAATCAGCATTCTTCGCTATGAGAAATTTTAGTGAACATGGGCTGGCTGAATTTATCCTAGCTGCATGCTCTGCGATATACCATTGGGTATCCTTGTTGAAGATGTCTACTCCATTAAGGTCGGGAACTGACTTAAGTAGGATGTATATGTACATTCTACAGAGATCCTTGCACGCATGTTTGGGTCGCTTGCATTTAGAGTCGGGCCGCGATCTTACAATGCTCATTGTCATCTTCAGGCTGGTGAATGGCGCCTTCACGGTCAAAAAATATGTTGCTGAAACTTTCTTGAGCTTGGAACACAGCTGGAACAAGCGAACATATTCACAACGCAATGGAACGCCTTGAGGCAGCATCAGGTTGCAACTCACCAAAATCTATCATATCCTAGCATGCTGGACGCTAGTGTAATCTTGCAGGACAGAAATGAGGTGATGAGCAAACTCGCTACTAGACTAGGCACTGCCTCGACATAGTAGTAGTTGACAAGCCTCTACAAACCAGCGCCGCGGTCAACCTACACTCGAAAGTAAACGTTACTTTGCCGCCGTTAGAAGTTAACAGGTGTGCTTAGAATTCACTGCAGTGCGTATTCATCCCTGCAAAGTTGAATCTGCTTCGCGGGTGAGTGTCGAAAAACACTTTGGTTTCTAGAATGAGACTTCTAGAACCACATGTTCTCCGACTCTGGCTGCTGTGCAGTCAGTCTAGGGACAACTGTTGAATGTGCACGGTAATAATATTTGAACGCTGCAGTACAATCGTTACTGGGAATAAAATTCATGTAATGAAATTTCTATTAACTAACAAGTTCGCAGCTCTTGAGTGTATTTAAACCGACTTTATTCATACTACTCGACTCTTTGCAACCAACAACTGATCTGCTAGTTGTGATGGGTCGACTACACCTATGCTGTAGGATTATAGCTGAGTACCTCAGTAGAATTATATGTATACAGATATGTTTCTAATCTCATAGTTTTCATGAAGCCCATGTTTCTATACTAGTTTCTACTGTGTCAGGTGACCCTAGCATCTGGGCATGGATGTCCGTTGGTGAGTCGTCTGCAATGCCATTTATTGATTTTGTCGCGAATATGCATCTACTATGTCTAGTGGTACGGTATATCTGAGAGCTTTGTATCAAATTCCTTGCCTAGTGCTTTGCTCTTGACTAATCTCAAAGACCAGTGCATGCCTTATATTTTCGGAAGCCACTGTACGGAGACATCAAAATGTCCGAGAGATAATGCCGGGTTCCGGGTTCCGAGATCCCTTGTTCCTGCGTGATTGAATAGAAACGGCACGAAGAACCATGGCTCAAGTGGAAGATTGCGCACCTGGTCGTTAGTTGTACGTGGAGGAATTGACGTGGTATAGTGTGCTATGGTGGGGGTGCGCAATTTTCCGTGTCACCTTGTTGCATGGTCTTCCTCATGCCAAACGAAACCAAAGGAAAAAAACTAAAAACTAAATAATGAGCCAAGGTGCCATGGCTTATCTTGGCCCATCACAGCGTCGGACAAATGTACTGCTACGGATGAGATAGCCGTTTTGCTTTTCGCGCCCAGAAGATTGGCAGCGGAGTGTGTGTCTTGGCGACGCCAGGGGGTGGTGTTTGCGCGCCAGTCACTGGCTAGCCGCGGCAGCGACCACGTCTGCCCAGCAAGCTCTTCGATTAATCGACGATCTGACAACTATCCGTGAAGATTCGACACCAACCGAAGCCACTCATTGAATTTTCAAGAACTCGATATGAAATACGCTTTCATCAGAATCAGTCTTGATGCATGGAATAGATCATACAAGCATTGAACTGAAAGTGGAGTACAGTATTCTCCGCACATATGCGGGCTCTACAGCAGTAGCGGGATGGTTCGCGGCATTTGCGATACCATTCGGATCCGTACAGTGTGGTCCAGACCCCAGCCAGCCAGCCCCTCCTGCGTGCATGACGGGCCTGGCTGTTCAGAACGCGACGTCCTGGATATTCATCGCACTTTAGGTAACTTACGGATCTCCACCCACAAATTCCACTCATTTCGTGACGCTCACAGGGCTTTTGCGCTGCGCCAAGCCCTAGGAAGTAAGTACAATGTAAGTGCTCGTTATTTGAGTCGCGATGCAGCATCCTGCGCTAATAAAGCATGCGAGAGGCACGGGATCAGATCAGAAGCAGTGACAGGACACATGGTCATGGGTTGTGAAAGTCGGGAAAGGGCGGGTCGTGCAGGGGCCAATTAGAGACGCTAATTTGACGTCTTGGCAAAACATTGCTACTTGTACTAACCTACACCCTAAACACCAACAAGCATTGCAAGCTTCCGCCCGCCGCTGAGGTCGCCAGGGACAAGACGCTCCAAGACAGCCTCAGGAGGCCATTGCACTGGGCAGCAATAAGAACCAAGCTTGTCAAGCAAAGAAAAGCTTAGCCAGACCTCGACGGTGATGGCCTCCAGGGCTTGCGAAATGTGCTCTCTGGTTGATTTATCGTGAACCTTAATAATGGCTACATGCGACCGGCATCCAGATTGTCTTGTCCCTCGGCCAAATTCATTCTGACGTTAGGTTGTGTCACCCATAATCTACACTGGATCCTACGATTGGAGTGGGTGAAAAGTTCTCAGATAAGCCGGTCCCCGACGCTCTCAACCAAGCACCCATCTTGCGTGCTCCCGCTATGGATCACTAAAGCTACATGATTCAAACTTGGATTCTAGCTATGGCAGAATTGAGTTAGCCGACCGACGTCCTAGCTCAACATAGAGCCTCGATGTATACTCTATTGACGGCTCATTAATCTGGATCAGAAGCCACATCTGTCCTGTGAAATTCGTGCTTGAATTTGCTACGTTACCTGACAGTCAAGCTTGAAGAGCTTTGACGTTGAGGCCAATCTTACGCAAGGTAAGAATGTGTGCTATCGCCACAGCGGTCAACACGAATGAAGGATTCACCAAAGAAGTGGCATGTTTCGAGACATTGTCACGCAAGATGATACGGTCCGAGATGTATACTGCTTGTACAAGCGTATTGCTGGGGTAGGCATTGCATGTTCTAGCCTCGATTCCAGAAGGTTTTGTGGCTCGCTGAAGACATTCTATTGGCTCTTCACAGTCAACCCTGGTTAGATCTCGCAGCTCTTCAGGTGGTTATTACCAAATAAGTCAGCCGGGAACTTTTTGACGACTTCTGTTCCTGTCGCAATGGTGTCGTTTAGCAGTGTATTCATCGATTTGCCCAGCTGCCCAGCCTTCCTCGTCACACTTGGCGGTCCGCCACTGTTCATCCAGCTCCCTAATTGGGGTTACTAATCACACCTTATCTCCCACGACTGATGCCAAGGTCTTGGGTCGACCGGCGCGATATTAGGCTAACGGCCCATGATGCTGAATACGGCATCCCTAGCTTTCATCATCCACCTATAGCCAAAACTGCGTGGGGATGAGTACGTGTAATCCTTTAATGTTGACCTATCATTGGCCATCCCTAGTAGTAACCTCTGGGGTTTAGTGTGTAGTGTACGGCTGGGTCTTGATAGTCCAGCTAATCCACTGCTTCCTTGTCTTCGATACCTAGGCTACACGAAGTATGCTTGCCTTAGTGTACTTCGTGTATTCCAAGGCCATGGCACTGCGATGGAGTCTGCTTGGCAGCGCTCTGCTTCGGGAAGTTCAGATGTCTTATCGAATGGTAACTGATAGCCCTAGATTCTCAGCCAGCCGTTGTAAAAAGAAACCACCCCGGTCAACCCCAGCACCCTGAAGTACTACAAAACCCATATCGCGCCCGTTCCAGAGGACGCTGTTCTCGCGCCTTCCCCTCAGGTCTTTTCTACTCAGTTGACTTCAATCCTGGGAGGTCCTTTCAAATCGCCAGTACACAAGTACTTGCCCGCCTTTAACCATCGCGATGGGTAAGCAGATCTTTCATGGCTCTCAGAAATCTGAAACTAGTCATTGCATATAAATGGAGATGTTGACCAAGTGGTGTGTCTAGCTGATGCTTCAACCACTATCGCTACCCTGCCGGCGTCTGTCGGCACGGTTGGTGAAAAGCACCGCGAATCATACGACGCAACTGCCCAAGCTGCGATCGAGGCAGAGGCTAAAAACATACCATCTGTCCTTGACAGCGATGGTCATGAGACCTTCCATGGACTGGTTCTCCCCACGGAGGAAGAGAAGGCGACCCTCAGGCGTGTAGCCGGTAGTATGCCTGCTACGGCCTACCTACTTTGTGCCGTAGAGTTCGCCGAGCGTGCTTCTTATTACGGGTGCTTCCAAGTCTACAAGAACTTCATTCGTGCTCCCCTCCCACCAGGAAGCACAACTGGAGCTGCCGGTTATACGGACCGTACCGCTGGTGCCCTAGGCATGGGCTCTGTTACGGCCTCAGCGATGACCGAAGCATTCAAGTTCTTAGCTTATTCTCTTCCGGTTTTCTTCGGTTGGCTTGCTGATACCAAGTACGGCCGTTTTCGAATGATCTGTCAAGGCGTTGCTGTTTGCGGTATTGCGCACATCATCATGATCATATCCGCCCTTCCACCCGTCTTGACCTCCGGTCACGCTGTCGGCCCCTTTGCCTTGTCTCTGTACATGCTCTCTATCGGTGCAGCTCAGTTCAAGCCCAATATTTCACCAACCATTATGGATCAGTCTCCTCACAAAGTGGCTCATGTCATCACCGACAAAAATGGCGAAAAGGTCATCGTTGACCCCCAAGAGTCCCTCAACAGCGTGATGCTGTGGTTTTACCTTTTAATCAACGTCGGTGGGATGTTCGGTATTGCGACCACTTACTTGGCCAAATTAGTCGGCTACTGGGCGGCGTACCTTATTCCTACCATTATCTATCTGCTGCTACCCCCCCTGCTATGGTATCTCAACCCACGTTTGGTCAAGCAACCCCCCGGTGGCTCCGATCTGGGCAACGTCTTCAGGCTGCTTGGAGACATCCTTTTTAGCGGCGGTATCTCCCGTATCGGCCGAAAGGGTTTCTGGAACCTTGGGAAGCCCAGTGCTCGTCATGCTGCCGGTTCCAAGAAAGAATACGGATACGATGACCAATTCGTTGACGATGTCCGCCGTACCTTCCAGGCTTGTGGTATCTTTATATTCTTGCCTATTTTTCAAATCAACGATGGTGGTCTTGGTGCTGCAGCCAACGCTTTGACTGCTGGTATGGACACCAACGGTGTCCCCAACGATCTTCTTGACAACTTGAACTCCGTGTCTATCGTTCTGTGTAAGTCAAACCCAGGCACCAGGTAATTTTCTAATTAGATGATGTGCTGACCCTCACCTTACAGTGGTTCCTGTAATGAACCATATACTCTACCCACTCCTGCGCAAGTGGGGCATTCAATGGGGCAGTATCTCCCGTATAACTTTCGGTTTCGCTCTATGCACCATCGGCTCGGTCGGTTACCCCGTATTGCAGTATTATGTCTACAAGACCTCCCCTTGCGGCTGGAATGCGACCACTTGCGCGGATATCGTACCTGAGGGCGAGAACTTCTTGTCCACCATCTCGTACGCTCTATATGCGATTCCCACGATCGTTACTGCCTGCTCCGAAATTTTCATCAATGTTACTTGTTACGGTATTGCCTACGCCAAGTCTCCAAAGAACATGAAGGGTCTCGTTGCTTCAATCAACCTCTTCATGACAGCTATCTCTGCCGCTATTGGTCTCGCCACTGCTCCGGCCATCAGCGATCCCTACCTCATCTGGGCTTTCGCTGGTCCGACCATTGCTGGGGCAGTCTTGACCGTGGTCTTTTGGTTCACATTCAAACATATCGATAATGAGGAGTTCGTCATCAACACCGATTTCAGTGACATGAAGCGTGACTCCGACGAAGAGAGCAACCTAGAGCGCACACAAGGCGTCCTCGCCAACGAGAAGACCCCTGTTGAGACGGCTCCGGTGGAGAAGACACCAACCAAGGAATGAAGAGAACCTCCGTACGTAAGAACACGTAATATGGCTGGTTATTAATGATACCCATACTTCTCGGTCAAAAGAACGTAGAACGTAAATAAGTAGCAATATTACAATATTGGCGCGCTATAATATTATAATTTCAAGTAAATTGATATGTATTGTTTGTATGCAGCGTGCATTATTGCGAAAGAGCCCTGTCATAATGTTCGTTGAAGAGGAAAGGCTCGGCTGTGAGCTAAGCTCAAGGTCGACTCGCAAAAAGCATACGTACCAAGACCTGTGACAAATTCACTTTCCTTGGCGCGTCTTTGAGCCTTGGGTATCCGAGGATTGTGTGATTCGGGTAATGGGCTGAATCGGAAAGAATAATATAATCACATCATTGAGCGACAAGGTGTGAACCTCTCGGTCATGCTCGTAGCTCCATTACAGCTTGGAAATGCCGATTAATACGAGTTATTGAGTTCATGACTTTGCCATTATCCGCGAACTCAGCCCTCATTTCAACGGTTCTCATTGTTTCAAGGAAATTTGGTCACTTAATTTGCAGCATCACGAAGTATGGCCAACCATAAGCCTACGAAGGCGGCGCCACCAAGCAGACACGAAGTCGAAATAAGCTCAAACTTCAGCTTCGATTTCCTCGTGACTTGCGCCGCACCATAAACAACTGTCGATGGCGTTGTTCAACTAGTGACTGTTAGGCTAGGCTAACGTGGGGGAGGAATTAGCCCGTTGAGCTGAACTGACTACGCACCGAAGGATGATGGCGTGCCAAGAAGGGTGCTTCGTGTTCCCTTGAGTGGACACAGGGCATGTACAGCTGGCGCTTTTGTGGCAGCTTCTAAAGAGTGAAGTTTAAATGTGATTGATGGTTTGGTGAGAACGTGGTGAGAATTTGTGGGCGGGTTGGCACTGAGGGTTTTACGTCTCAGATTGACATATAAGTGAGGTGTCTCTGCTCAGGGATTTGAATGATGAAGCCTCGACCACAGTCCGAGACCGCCCAACTACCTCACATTCCATTTAGAGTCACGAATCAGTCACCATGAAGTTCACTCTGCAGATTCCATTATGCCTTGTTCTTACTGGACTTGGTGTTGCATCGCGCCTTGAAGCTCGAGACCAGGTTCAAACTGTGCATCTCACTTTCCATGGTGGGCCAGCTGAGTACTCGATGGCTATTCCAGCCGATGGGAAACGTTATCCAACGAGTGAGTGTCTGGAGACATGGAAATTGAACCTCTTTCTACCAACATAAGCTGAGCTTCCTTAGACAACAACATCGCTGTGAATATCATTGATGCACCTGACTACAATGCTATTTCTCAGTGCACCTTCTATACAGCAGGCGAGAAGGCCCTCGCAAGCGGCATAACGGACAAAGGTCTACAGCAAGTTATCGTCGGCCCACCACAACCTATTACTGCAGTCAGCTGCTACGGCATATGTGTTGGCGTCTATGGAGATTGTTATAACTCACAAGGGCAGTAGTAAGAAATTTTCCCGTTTTTAGTCACTTTCACTGGCACAGCTTCGTTTTGAGCAAACACTGTCGAGCAGGCTCTTGATATTCTGAGACGGCTCGCAACACAGTTTGTCAACCTCTGATGTGAGCAAGGCTAATTCTATATATTTAAGTGTTGGGCCGTGCTGTAATGGCTTCTGTGCCGCCAATAAGTGCCGGCCTTGGATCAGTCCCTTCTAAGCATGTCACTATGCGATGGTATCAAACTCGAAGATATAATTATGCCCTGGACTTGGGGTTACAGTGGATTGTGATCTGCTTCGGAAATGACTTCAATTGATTGATTTCGTGCGGTGTCGCCGTCTCAATTCGACGAAGGCCTTGTATTTGATCTTCACTTGGTAAGTCCGTAGGAGAAAATACTAGGGTCAGTTGACGGGACCTTTTTCCATTCCTGAGACTATGTCTTGTCAGAGGTAGCAATTACATTCTGACATGAGAATTTCCATAGCTTCAAATATATTCATTTCTCTTCCTCTAATCCCCACGCTTGAGTCCATGAGCGATGGTATTTCACAAACGTCGTACAATCGGAAGAATAAGACAGAGTTTATGTTGAAAATTGGACCATGCTACTGAAACCGGTCAAAATCGGTTAGCTCCTACAGACTCCGTGCTGGATGGTTTAGTTGGATGTTGAATGGCTGTTTGTAAAGGGTGGCAAAATTTGATTTGATATTAGAGCCCAGTGGCTGGTTATTGGCATCATAACTATTGCTTGTACTGTGTAATCTGAGGTAACGAATTCGCCACAAGCGCCATCGGATCTGGACTTGTCTGTTGTATCTGCCCCGCCGCAAGGTTCATTATTCATACAGTAACAGAAGATGTAGGTAGATAATTCGTCATGGGAGGCTCCAATGTCACGTCTTGAACAGAGTATGCTAACGGAGACCTGAATGAGTCTGACCTCCCCTTGTAGGATGAGATTGCCAAATTGATTAAAACATTGCGGATTCGTAGATACCATTCATTTTCCAGGGTTTTTTTTCTGCTGATAATTGCCAAGTTTAGTGGGAAAAGTTAAATTTAAGAAAGAAAGAACAACCTTAGCCTCAGTTACCATTGAGAACGGAGCTACACAATAAGACAAAGTAGTTTCCATTGTCGCTTTGTAAGTTTCGTCTCGAAATTGCCAACGTTTGTAGCTCATGTATTTGGTGTTTATTGAGCGTGTAAATGCTAAAAAGATGATTCAAGGACGTCTTAATGACGTTCGTACGAGCGATTCGGGAGTTTCACAATTCGACAATACCGGATACATTGCTGCGACACCACACGTTCTCATTGGTGGACAATCCATTCCAAACGTTAGAGGCGTTAGGTGTGTTACCAACCAGACTCACGACCGATACACGGCTCGGGTGGCCGATCTCAAGCCACTGGGGGATGATCCCATCATACAACATGGACATTCTTGGCATCCGACCACTCACAGTCTACCAAACAATGACAGCAATCTTGACGTGTGGACTTCGCGAACCGCTTTAGTAAGTGTCTGTTGGGGTCTGCGGGGAACCCTGCCGAACAGCCCTGAAGATATGACGAGCATTCGGAAAGGAGTGTTCGGAGACTACGGATATGGCTAAGGAATATATACTTAATAGCCAATGACGCTCTGCGGTATGAGTTTACTTGGCATCCTCCTCCAATTCGACGGGCGGTACCAACAAGAAAATGCTCATTCCGGCCAGTTTTGCACTTCTAATACTTTCTGGTACGGCATCAGCCTACTGGCTGCCCGAATCGTTGAAATGCGTCAAGACCTGCGTTGTACCTAAAAATACTACGGGGGCCGACGACACCCCGAGCATCGTCCAGACGGTTGCAGAATGTGGCGATAGCTCGCGCGTCATTTTCGAAACGGGTTTCACGTATAATCTCATGACGCCGTTGCAATTGAGTTCCCTTACAAACATTGAGTTCGTATTCAACGCGAACGTTTCATTGCCGGAAAATATGACGTATGTCGAATCCGTGGTGAACAACACGAAAATATATCCTGGGCGATGGATCAATTTTGCAGGCACGAATGTTACGTTGACCGGCAGCAAAGAACCGGGGAACGGATGGTTCATTGGTATTTTGGCTTAGATGCGAAACTTGTATCGAGGCCAACAAATAACCTCAGGCTATAGGGCATGGCGAACTGTGGTGGCCAGGAGGCGCCACGAATAGTGGTAACAACGCACGACCTCACTTCTTTTCTTTAAAGGTCAAGTAAGACAGCATAATTCAGCGCAGTTATCGATCCGATTAAAAATCTAACTGTTCATAGTTATCTTCGAGTCCGAGATCTCAAGATATTGAACCCAGTGGCTTGGGTGTTTTCAATGGGCGGAAGCTATGTGTGGATGACGAACACTCTCATTGATGCACGCTCTGATGATGGGTTTCCATTTAACACCGGTTTGTCATTATTTCGCACCAGTACATCTAACGTGTAAAAAAAACTGACTAGTCTTGTTCCAGACGGCATTGACATGTCCGCAAGCAACTCTCTCATCGAAGGCTTCACTATCTACAATGGAGATGACCTCATCAACATCTCACCACCGACCACCAACGTTACGGTGCGCAACATGTATGCTTCTGGTGGTCATGGTATTGCTGTATCCTGTTCCAGCGGAATTGGTGGGAACTATCTCTTTGAGAATGCGGTCGTCGAGGATTCGCTGATGGGCGCTCGATTCAAGGGTGGATTAGGAACCACTTGCCAACTGAACAATATTACATGGAAAAATTTCGAGATACGCAATACCACCTACCCGATCCACTTCATCGAGAATTATGTGGACCAAGAGAAAGGTCTCAGTCCCGGCGCAAATGCCAGTCTAGCTGCTTATGCCACCAACTTCTCTTGGGAGAACATTTCCGGCCAAACAGGGGAAAGCCTAAGCGACGGCAGCTGCATTACTGATCCTTGCTGGAGTGCTACACTTGGTACATTGAATTAAGCCTGATACTCAATACTGGAATGATTAACTAACAATTGGTGCAGGTGATAGCAATAGAAAAGGGCTATATCTTCTCTGTGCCGATGAAGACCACTGCAAGGACTTCCACTTCAAAAATATTAATTTGACAGGTTATGTAAGTTAAACTGCATCAAATATACCTTTGAGAATAGTATACTGAGATTTCGCAGGATGGCAAAGCAGCCGAAATGGAGTGTACTGGCTTGAATGGCGTTGCTGGCATGGGAATCTCATGTACAAATGGGACGATAACATCAGAATAAACTGCCAAAACCTTCAATCAACTGTTCTCGAACGTAATAATACATATATAACAAATCCGTCCAAATTACATTCGTAGCCAACTTTTCCATCAGTTGTGCACTTGCGCGAGGAGGTAAACGATGATAAGGCTGGATATCATATGCAATCCCCAACACCTTAACTCCATAAACACGTAGAACCGACTCATTCATACCTGTCATAAAGCCTTACATGTACCATTCACACTGGTGTCCAGCCATGTCTGCGAGGACTTCGCTCAGCAGGGCTTTCGTCGAATTCTTCAATTTGGGAAAGATGTTGAACTTTCATCTTATCTTGAAACCATCTCTTCTTGGCCGTAGGTAGAAGTTCAATGTTCTCAACGTTTGCTAAGTCCGGCATTGGAGGTGGGTTCACATGACCACTGGCGTTGGTTTCAGTGATTTGCTGTGTCCTCCAGTGCTCTGTTTCATCGAGTGCCAGAAACGGGCCGGCCCTTGGGAACTTGTCCCGGGCGAGTGCGCGGAGGATGGGTACCGATGCTGCAATTATGGTCACCGCAACTTCAGCTGTGGCCAGTACCACTAGTTGAATAGTATCGACTGCTCGAGTTAGTGTTGCTCGGCCCATGGACACAATGGGACTTACTGATGTCAGCATTCCCACTGTCCTGAATTGCGTAAATCTTTACGAAAGAAGTTATGCCAGCACTGGAATTAATTAGCAAATTCATTGGCTGGGTGTTGACTAGTGAAACCTACAAAACTCCCATACTCATTGCTGCCAGTGCGCTCAGCTTTTCCTTTCTGTCAATAGTCAACCCCCAGAGAATATGCCACGGAAGGAATGCCAGGATGATGTCCATCAATCCAGACCATGCTGACATTTCAATTAGCGGCAGCGCCGTTTTTCATAAGGAGAATTGAACTTACCAGCAGTGAATATGTTGTAGTGAACATTGATCCGATATGGCCAGCACGTGCCGCTAACATTCACCCAAATTTTCTGAATTGGCCAACAACGAGCCCATGTTATCACGGCGCTCACACCCAAGACAGCATTCACAGATACGATGATGAACCATAGAAACCCTGTCTGCCAGCCCGAGGATATCCGCAATAAGGTGACAGCGAACGCCGTCTTGCTCCAAGCAGCTGCAATTATCATGAATGTTCCTGCAAATGCCGAAACAAAGAGCATCGGGGAATAGTTCTGAAGCGGAATGTCGTATGAATGTCTCCCAAAACCGTAGCTGATGGCAAATGTGATCGAAATGTTGCCTCCGAGGAGCATTAACTGCCCAGTCATTAGAATTCCACAGATCAATCCGTCTCTGATATTGCACTTGCCCATGAAGCTATCAAGATATAGTCATCCCACCAGAGCCGCCTTTGGCGGACAAATTTGCAGTATATCCGTAGAATTAACCATGCCACCGCCATAGAGCTCAGAGCCCATATGCAAACATTGACCTGTGGGCCATAATCGTCATGTGGCAGTGATGGGTTGACTACTTGTTCGGACGAGGTCTTAAGTGTCGCAGCTGTTATGTCAGGCATGGTTTCGAAGTGATAGTCGTCTGAAGGAGGTTCTTTGACGAATAACAATGACAACGAAGCAACAATCAATGCTGTTGTTAACACACAATCCACCGTCAGAAGTGGAGGAAATTGGTATAAAAGTGGAAGATGAGAACCGTGGGAACCATCATATTTTCGACCCTGACCATGTCAATCCGGTGATTTCTCGTCTTGTTATAGAGTTTTAGAACTCCGTGCAGGGATAAAAACATCGCATGGACTAGACTAGAAGAGAGTTCTCAGGGGAATGTGATGAAGACGGTAGAAGATCTTGCCGATCGAAGAGACAGCCATTACGTGCTTTCACAGGACGGGTATATGGGTAAAACGAGGAGAAGAGGGCTCCCGCATTGACGGATCGGGGCGATCAAATGGCATAGGCATGGCAATCATCTTCCCCGGATGCTGCAAGACGGTCAATCAGATTTGTCGGGAGCCAGGATGCGCGTTGTCACCACCCGAAATCGAAATCTGGGGGCGGCTCAAGCTCATTACCTCAGTCCTCACGGCAAATGATCTACGCTCAGGCGAGTGAAATGGTCGTGGGTAGAGGCTGCGTTGTGCGAGATAACTTATGCCGCCTATAGCTGTTGCGCATGAACTGGATGACGATCAACCACTAATAACAAAGCCCCAAGTTTCAGAAGCACTGAAGGTTTGAATTCTCAACTTGTCTGCCATTGGTGCAAGACCATGAATTTACAACAAGTCTTTCCTATCACGAGCGACAGTACTAGAATGCCTGCTTGCGGGACTCGAAATTTGAAATTGTATCATGATGGTCTGTTCATAGCGATGTTTCGTGTGTCTGCCTTCCCCACGGGACGTTCAGCAACCTGTTACCGGAAGTGAGCCTGTTCAAATTGAGGCCCAGAAAGCCATCTCTGCTCCACCAGGTGCGAAGTCCATTTAATTCAATTACCCGGAGAGTTTTGTCCATCATTAGGCAGTTGAGCTGGCTCTCGATATCCTGCACGGAACAAGGCGAGTGTTACATGTAGCAAATGCATGTTACACGAAACGTACGGCAGATGAGTGAGGAATTGGTACATTACTTTTTATCTAGCGAAAAGCTGTGCTACGCCGAGCGCCTTTGCCAGATGCAGAAAACCCCCGTGCCTCTATAAGGCGAATCTAATGTTGTCTGCAGCCGTCATTGCGCGGGTAGCGCAAAGTTTTGCGATTAGATGTTTTGTCCCTTGGGCTCTCTGGAGGCTGCTCCTTGCGGCTTGATCCTTTTTTTCTCCTGTTTAACTTATCCAGATCACGCTCACGTCCAGACGACTCGCGCATAGAGTTATAATTGCGACGCTCTATTTCGAGGTCGTCACTGCTGTCGCTCGCAGGCACCAATTTCCTACTGGGCAGGGCTACCTGGCAGCCGCTATACTGATTGCCACTGTTAAAATATACATTGACCGTGGTAGGTTCAGGCCACAAACGATCGGACTTTGGCGTGAGCAAGCGCAAGGACGTTGCTGACATACTTTTTGGAGAGAGTCTACTGTTGAAAGTTCGTGCTCCAATTGGCCGTTTACTCCCAGCATTGTTTTGACGGACGATGAATACGAACTGGTCTGTCCTTCAGCAACTTGAATGAGCATATACGGTACTTTTACCGGGTACTGCTGCGGTTCAGCTGTATACTTTTCAGGGGAAACATGTCTTCGTAACGTGACTTGAGGCTCTGCTACCCATTCTTTGGGATGAACAATTGTTCTCGGTGTTGTTCTGATGGACGAGGGCTGCGAAGTCAGTCGTCCTTCGGTGACTCGGGCGGGTATATACGCAATCTCTTCTGGGTGTTGCTGCGGATCAGCTGTGTATTTCTCAAAAACAAAGTATTGTTGGACCAGGACTCGAGGCTCTGCTGGATATTGCTCATGATGACCAAGCTCCTGCAAGTCCTTCGCTGCCATCAATGAATAGACATTATCCTCCATGAACGGTCGCGTGTCACCGCATACTTCGCGTCCAGCGATTACTCCAGCTCGTTGGTCCCGCTTCCCGTGCACAGGAGACATCACCTTCTCTGTACGTTCGTGATAACCATAGGGGTCCGAGGGTCTGAGGTCTCTCGCCATTATATGATCTCTCGAAGGCGGCACATTTTTGCTTCTACGCTGGTCGCGCGAGTCATAGACCTGCCCATTGAGCGGTGCTTGTTCCTGATCTGAATGAAGCAGAGACTGCTTGTATGGTCTGTTGTCACACACAGGCTCCTCGTAGTAAGCTGTACGAGTCTGGTAGTGCGTGCGGTCCCTTCGGCGCTCCGGAACTGCATAGACTCGGCCATTATTGATATGAAGATCTAAACCCGTATCCGCAGCAACATGGCGCTCGTACTCAATAGGTTGGTCGTAGAGACTCTGGTGCCCACCACAGTGCTCATGTGAACTGACTGCGTCTGCACTAGAACGCATACGATTGCCACAGCGGTACATTGTGCTGCAAGGTCTTTTGAGTGTTCTCTTAGCCAGAGGTGGTTTGTCACAAAGACTGGAGAGAACACCGATTTAATAGTGATTGATATCGGTAATGAAAGTGGTAAGTCAGGAGGCTTAATGCCGCTTTTATTTCTGTAGTTCACTGGTCTGGATGAATAACGGGGTTATCTTTATAATTATCGCAATCTTTCTATGTTTTTATGAAACAGACATAGTGCTGTGATGGAAGTTTCCAATGTCTGAGGTTGAAACGGACATGCTGCAATACTTTGTCTCTATTCAAGTTTATCGCGACATTCTTCTGGTTCAAGCAGTTGTCTTGGCTCTTGGTAAACAATGAAAATGAACAACACAAGAGCATACAGTGAGACATATAATAAAAGCTCTATGTTACAGCTCTTTATACTAATCTAGTAGAAAACATTGAAACTTGGGTTAAGTTGTTTTGAGCGATCAGTAACTGCCGATCTTGTGACTATTCTGGAATTGGACTTGGATAATATCTGTAGTCGAACTGTTCTTGTAAATGATAATAGGCACCTTACATCCTTTTGGTATTTCTTGGTAACGGACCTTTCTTGCAAACGAACAAATGCAAACAAACTGAGACCACTCAATAGATTTTATCATATGCACTTATCGCACTCTTTATGCAGTCACTCGTTTTGCAGTCACTCTTTGTGCAGTCACTCTTTGTGCAGTCACTCTTTGTGCAGTCACTCTTTGTGCAGTCACTCTTTGTGCAGTCACTCTTTGTTGAGTAGGTTTCATACTCAGCACTTCTACATGTCGATGTTACGGTGTGCTCAGATCTGTACTATGGATTACTCACAGACGCATGGGCATTCATGCATTGAAAGCATCGTAGTACGGAGAAATATACCATTGTTTAACTTTTTTTAACATCTTTAAAAGCCAACCGGAACGCCTTACATGTGAAAATAGAAGTGACAATTCTATCTCTTCCACGCTGAAGATGATATTTGAAGAGAGGCCAGCTCAGTCAGCCGACAAGAAAGGTAGATGAACCCCATAATACTCGAACTTGTACCCCTTGTTGCTCTGAACTACTTCTTAGACGAGATACATATGGATGTATGTGTGTATGTGTTTTAGAGTAGTCCAAAAGGTCATGGCACGGGAAGCTGCCATTCGAGTATGTTGATACCATCTGCAATAAACTATAAGGCAACCCAACCCAACCAGATCCAGGGTTTGTGGTCAGTAGTTCTGTAGGTGCGAATTGGGATGGATGAGTTGGCAGCCTCTGAGATGTTGGCAGTGCTGGAGTAGGTGATTTGCTCGCCATATGCGAGGATATCGTAGTCATCAAGTAAGTCGGACCAGGCCTAGGATCTGTAAGCATAACATCGAATATCTGCCATTCAACTGTATATGAATATCGTACCCAGAACCTCAAAGCAGTGACATCAGCACCGCAGGCGAAGGCGGAGTTGTTGAGGGTGCAAGGTCCATCAAGTGAGGTCAAGGTGGTGTAAACCGTGGTTGATCGAGTACCGGTAAAGGTACCGCAAAGAGACGCATCAACGGTCCAGGCACCTGAGTCTGTGATACAGCCAAGATCGGTACCGTTACCAGCAGAGGCGAGTGCACGGAGCTGGCCGTTACCATTAAAGCTGGTGGCAGAAGCAACACCAGCAAAGGCAACAAGGGCAAGATTGCGGAGCATCTTGATGTGTTGGAAGGGAAATTCTTTTAAGGAAAGTCTGGTAAATACTCTTCGTTGTCGATGTCGAGTAGTGGAGTCTACGTTAGCTGATGCAGTCCCAATGGAAAGTGCAAAGGATCGGCGGTGTCACAATCATATATACTCCTTCTGTACGACAAGTCCATACAATATGGGTCAGGGGTGGGTAGCGTCACCCAACTGAATGTTACCATCTGGGAGTTGTGCTAGCATACGTTCCCAAAAGTCAGATTGCGTACTAGTCCATGTCTTTCTAGATTAATTGCGGAGCTGGGGGCTGACCAAGACGAACGGGAAGCGGCATCACATTAGGCTGTGCTTCGGTTCCGTGCGCCATCCAACCAACGGTTCATAACCTCATCTCCTCCCAGGTTTGCACCAAACCCCAAATGGCTCCAGCGCAGGTGTGTCCTGGAATATTGGTAGCGAGGAACATCCAACCGTGACCGCCCGTTCATGACCAAGGGGGCTAGGTTAGATGTTGTGGGTTCTACTGCAACATGTCAAACCAAACCTCAACTCAACGGGCCTGAAAGCTTGCGCTCAAGTCCACATGGACAACGGCAGGGCGACAGGCTTCGTCATCGCCAAGAAATGAAAACACTAAGTATATTTCGCCGCCCAGGTTCTGATACTAAGCAGTGCGCAATGGTGAGCACAAATAGTAACAACTTAGATTTGAGTAATAACATTGCTACCAGTGACGTCTGTGAAATTCCCACCGGGCTTTGCCGGGAAGATCAATGCAAGGTTCGCAAAGGACTCGTACCCACCAGACTAAGAGGACTACTATCCTTGAACAGTTATTTACATACTGTATGTAATATTTATCGCTTCCATGCTGTGACCATGTCATGAAATTCCCTGTTTGCCTGTGCATTGGGTCCGACACATCACATCGGTTCCTCCATTCGCTGAGACGGCGGTAATTTTCGGTGGCTAATTATATAGCCTGCCAGCATTATGTTTGCTTCTTCTATAGCATTGGAGCCCTAGCTAACCAATCACCCAGTGCCCCTAGCTGATTGGGCTTGTACGCTTGTTAGTGGATTAAAGCGTAAGGACTGGCGCATTACGTGGAAGGGAAGGCTTTCCCCACAAACAAAACTTCGGGAAAAGTTCTAGGCCAGTTGTTTCACTAAAAACTTCAGTGACCCGCAAGTTGATCCTCCCTATCCGGCCCTATGTAAGTTCAAGGAGCTGGCCCGCCATCATATCTAAGGCTCCGTAGACTACATTGATCTAACCTAACCTACTAGGCAAGGCAATCGATGAATTTTTCCACTTCAGTCTTTGCTCGTACCGCTTCGTGAGCTTCCCCATTTTCATCATACATTAAACGTCTAGTAGGACTCGCGTCCTAGCGCCCGAGCTTGAATAGGTGGGAAGTTAACGGTCGTCCTTTTCAGTTGTCTCTTTGCAGCGTGAGGGCCTGAACACCCATCCAACAGGCGCTGTGTGTCGTATCCAGAACCTAGTCTAGTGCAATATCCGGCTTGGATCGGAGTCTTCCCATCTAGTATTTGGATTGAGGTATGCGAGTACGGACCCCGTACTATCGGGCATACTTACAAAGCCGACCACAATGGATGTTTAGATGCGCCCAAGATTATCTCTACCATCAGGCCATCCGCCAGCATCACACGCAGTAGTCCCTTCTGGATCAGCCGGCGGCCGCCCACATTCCGCTGGTAGTTTTCAGGTACCCGCTTAACACTCACTTCACTTCAAATGTTTGCGACTCATTCACCAGGACAAGCCTTCCTTGCGGACCAATGCCGAATCCCCGCGGTCAGATGCCGGGAAGTGTCACATGGACTTGTGATCGTCCATGAGCCATCCAGCCGATTTATAACTGCAGGTGATCTGGAATGCGCATGAAGCATCTTTGGACCTGTTCTAAATGTGGCTCTAGATTCACTTACAGATCAATCAAGCATTCGGTTAATCATTGCTTGCGGGATGGTCTGCACAGCAGATCCTATTGATCATTATCGACCGGCATCGCATGATACTACGTACAGCCCCATGAGCTTACATGTGAACTGACTCACTCTCTCCACAGCTCTACTGCGACGTTGTTGGTGACGAGGCCGACACCATGCAAAACTTAAAATTTTGTATACCTGGCCCTGAGAGAAACCTGTACGACAAAGTATACGTAATGGATTCAAAATTTGATGTTACTATGACAGGTTTCACACACAACTGTACCACTTCCGCAGATGTCAGATTCTTCTTGTCGCCATCCCAAAAACTCTGGGTCAGTTCTTATTGTCCTCTTGAAAGCACCGCACACAAAAGACTGAGTACAGCGTTACATCGTAAAATTTTAGTTGATGACAGGTGCTTACAAACCCCCGAAATGGCACGTTTGCGGCAACGGTCACGACGGATTACCACATCAATTGACCCATTAAGATCAAAGATACTCCGGACAACCGAATTCGTCTTGTTACAATAACGACCGTTCGCCCTGAGAATCATGTAGCCGTGATGACACCTCCCCATTTCAACGTAGTGTTAGTCTAGAAGAGTGTCAGCAACGAACTCCAAGCAATGTTACTTGATCCTACTGATAGACCCTGCAGAAGATACAACAATGATCAATACAGAGAAACTCATCTGTTCATAGTAAGTCTACTCAACACTAACAATCTGCTAGGAAACCTCTATCTGCGCCATTCTCCATCCAAGCATAACTCCGGAAAGCAACCCACCCAACCACAGCCAAGCCAAAGTTTCCAAGTAACATGACGCCGACCCATAGCTGAAATGTGACTCTCATGCCCTCTAATCCAACAATCATGTTCTGGCACGATATGAGCCTATAAGCATTTATGCCTTGGTCCATCCTGGAATAGCCTCGCACTGAGCAACGCACTCGGCCTCAGCCGCAGGGTTACCTGGAAACTGGCAACCAATAGTGGTGCACTGCATGTTGTGTTATTCTTGCAGTCTAACTACGATCTTAGAGTGTAAGGTGTGAGGTAAAACCTACAAATTCCTCGCTAAGGGGTGTTGGGCTGCGCTTTAACCAGCCCGGAATTGCAATGCACTGTTGAATACATTGTGCTTGAGCAGCGGCATCCCCTGGGAAGTAGCAGACTCCAGGAGAGTTGCACTGGACGCTCAGTCAGTCTAGACCACCACACAAGCTTTTGAATAACACGAGGAGACTTACAAAACTCTCGCTCAGTGGCTCGGGGCTGCGCTTTAGCCAACCGGGAATGGCCTCACATTGAGCAATACACTGAGCTTGAGCAGCGGCATCTCCTGGGAAGTAACAGACTCCAGGAGAGTTGCACTGGACGTTCAATCAGTCTAGACTACGACATAAATTTTGTAACAACACAAGTAGACTTACAAAACTCTCGCTCAGGGGCTCGGGGCTGCGCTTCAGCCAACCGGGAATGGCCTCACATTGAGCAATACACTGAGCTTGAGCAGCGGCATCTCCTGGGAAGTAGCAGACTCCAGGAGAGTTGCACTAGATGCTCAGTCAGTCTAGACTACCACATAAGCTTTTGTAATAACACGAGGAGACTTACGAAACTCTCGCTCAGTGGCTCGGGGCTGCGCTTCAGCCAACCGGGAATGGCCTCACATTGGGCAATGCACTGAGCTTGAGCGGCCGGGTCCTCTGGGAAGTAACAAATGCCAGGGCGCTCGCACTGTAACCATCATCAGTAAATCTCAACCACTGAAATGGCAGCAGGGTTATTACGAAGTCCTTTGAGAGCGGCTCGGGACTTCTCTTGGTTGAGCCGGGGAGAGCTTCACAGAATGCGACGCATCGCGCCTGTGCCTGAGAATCTTCATTGAACTGGCATCCGAAGGTGTTGCACTATCACTTTGTGAGTAACCTATCTGGTGATTTATATCTTTGACTTACATAATGCGCGCTCAGTGGGGCTGGGCTGGCGAGAGCTACAGCAGCGAAGAACAGAGCGGACAGACCGGCGGCGTGCATTTTGAAATAGGACACTTGAGACCGAAAAGGATGTCGTCTAAACGTCGATTGGTTTCCGAACTTCTGCTGGTTCGGTGGCTTTGCTTGCTGGCTACAGAACGGTGGCTAATGTTCCTAGGCTTCGCAGAGCTGGAGATGATTGCGCAAGATGCTTGAGAAAACGCATCATCAACACAGCTGGATCGTGACTTTTATACAGGCATTCAATCCAGTGTGCACATTATACGAGTCACTATGCGCAATTAATCCAAATTGATTCGGTTAATGCGCAAATTCTCAAGGATGGCGAAGCAAGAGTGCAGTAAGCAATCCCTCAAGCGGGTTTTGGAGCGTGCAACCTACGAACTTCGTCCAAATAGCCACAATGCCAGAACGAACCTGATCTGAGCTTCTGGTTATCACCAACGATTCCGTGCACATAGTCTATGCGAAAAGTTTTGTCAGTAAGCAGCTTGAAGATCTGCATCATTACTGCTGAGTCGGCGATAGTGTTATGGTGAAGGAACAGTTCTGGCAACCGCCTAGGTAAGGCAAGGCTGGCTGCTGCTGCGGGTTTTAGCGATTCTGATTAGCCGGGAATGGCCCGATGCGGCCGACTACAAAGTACTCGGGCCTTACTACAGCAACTCAACCTTTTCCATTATCAACAAGTCAAGGATTCACATGTTGTTACTCAACTCTTTGAATCCTTCTGTGCTCCTACCTATGCGTGACGATCCAATCCACCGTGAGACGTCCGCCTTACACAATACCCTATCGTGGCGGCTTTGGGTACGAATCACTTCCAGCACATGATGACGCCGATAGGCAGCATCGACAAACAAATCTGAGCTTGTCAACTGAGCTTGAAGCCGTGCAAAGCCTTGTTTGACAATACCATCAATCGCCAATCCCATCTTTGTTTCTTTTTTACTTGCTTTTTTTCTCCTTCTTTTTCTCCTCTTTCTTTTCCTATTGTTACCAGGTGTGGTTGTTGTAGCGATGCCCAATCTTCTTCAGCTTCCACCCGAGTTGCTCGGCCGTATCATCGAATTTTCGATGCCACTTGACTTCGAGAATCTCATGATCACGTGCCAGGGTGTATATGCCTGTGGTAAGTCACAGATTCCTATGCATACAGCGTACAAGAAAGAATGGCGTAAGATAAGCCTGAACAGTGGCCAGGACACTGCGGCAGCATTCAAGTGCCTCTACCAAATCGCCAAGGCCCCCATCATTGCTGACTACATCGAATGTGCCGACTTGCGGGGTAGCGGTCTGAATGGATTGCAGTTCGATCTCGAGCAATCTCTGGAAGAATTCCATGCCCTGCATGCTGATACCAAGTCGATGGAACGTTTCAGGAGCCTTGTTGCTGGATCGTCTTGCTTACTGGAAAATAAAGTCGCTGTACGCAATTGGCAAAGCATGGTCACCATGGACTCTGAAGAAAACGATGAGAGCAAACCTCTAGTCAGCTGGTCATGGGCATTTCTTCTAGCACAATTGAAAAACGTCAAGAGATTAACCCTTCCGATGGAATGGGGGTCGATTGTGGTCCCTGATTGGGATGAAACACGTTCGGGGCGATGGCAGTTACTTGAGAAGATGATGAGGCTCAGCTACACATCTACAAGACATGCACCATGGTCGCAGCTCAAAACGCTTCGGTTCCTTGAACCTGTCGATTATGAAACCCGCAATGGACTTGCCACGTTACTACCTTTCCTGGGGACAAGTGGCTTAGAAGAGCTATACGCCACAAGTCTAGTCGCTGTGGATGATGGTTACACTGGAATTTCATTCCATTGGCCCTATACCGACTTGAATTCGTCACTCCGTTCGGTCGAATTAGTGAGCTGCTGCATGGACGGCGAAGGAATTGGGAACTTGCTTGTTCATACTCCTAAATTGCGATCCTTCAAGTACAGCCATCATACCAAATGGCATGGATGCGAACATGACTGGAACGCCGGGGCTTTCGTTGCCAGCATTGGTGAACATTGCGGTCATCAGCTCACAGAACTTGCCGTTACTGTTGACCAACTCTTTGGTCGTATCATAAATGGTGTCACATCCATGAAAGAATTCGAATGCCTTGAGAGTGTAGAGCTTGAGATTGGCATATTTGCTGGACCTTCTCTGCAGTCTGGTGAGCGCAGGGGAACCAACTCCTGCAGCCCTTCTGAGGGTTATGAACCGTGGGTAGAGAAGGACGTACCGAAGCTGGTCCAGATACTACCGTCATCGTTGAAAAGCCTATGGCTATTTGACAATAGAACCATCTGGACAGATAATTCCGTGCCACTCTCCTTAATAAAGGACTTCTCCGCTGGTCGAGATTGGCTTCTATCAGATCTTGAGCATTTGTCATATCGACAACTTCTTGGAAGGGATTTGTCATTTCCGGATCCAGAGGCATCTGCAATTGAGAGTGTCAAGAAGCAGGCCGAGCTCAATGGTTTCGCATTTATCGCAGGTGCAGGCCTACAACCTTTTTGGCGGCGGGCGTTTGGGGAAAGACATGGCATTCTTGCTGATGACTGAATTCTGGGGTTATTTCAACTCACGCCAGCTGTGCTACACTATACAGATAGTTCGTTTGTGTCTCTTCCTGCAGCAAGGCACATCTACAGCGTCACAACCGATGGGGTGCAATGCTCGTTGGCATTTGTTCTAGTAACCAGTTATCTCACTTCTGGATTCTCACTTGCTAAACAAATATCGATCTGAGGTTTAACACTCCCAATCTTCGCGCTTAAGTCAATATGAACTGTGCCAAGGTGATCGTTTCAAGAAATTCCGTCGATAAACTATTTCAGTTTCGTATGCAACCACGAAAGAAACTGAGTAGTGGGTTTGTAACTCTTATAGGACGACTTGATGAGGTGATTATGTCATGAAGCTTCAGGGCATTATTGTTGACTTTCATGAGCATTGTAGCAATCATATCTACTCCATACTAGCTCGACTTGGTTCATCACATTGGTGAATCTCAAACGTTTGCACATCGTCCCAGTAATCATTTCAGGGCTTTGTTCTACTTGCTGACAAAACGGTGAAGCGGGCGAAGTCAATGGAATGCTTGTCAATGGAATGGCGAGAAAGGAATTTGTCGGCCTTGATGCATGCTTTTAGCGCTTTGCTGCTAATCCCACATGGACTTGTAGAGCTCTCACCCACTCCATTTCGATATAGCACATTAGATGTACAAATTTAATCATCCAGCTGTACCGAGGACATACAGACTCAAGCTTGTATTCTTCGAGTCCATATACATTGCAACTCACAACACACTACAAGAATCTTCACATCCAAGAAGACATGGTTCTGCATCTTTTGAAAATATGGGCCATTACATTTATATCAGTCTGCTCAGTCCATGCCCAGACTCCTGGATTTGATCCTATGATTAAGCCGTCTAATTGGCAGGATGTTACAGCTGGAGAGAACTTCCAGATTGTATGGGACCCGACCGACTTTAAGGGTACCATTACGCTAGAGCTTCTTGGTGGTGGAAGCCCGGCAACACTTCAGATACTTGGCAATATTGCCCAAGGAGTCGATAATTCGAAAGGTTACTTTGATTGGGCAGTTCCATCGAGTGCAGATTCCTTAGACACCTACGGCATCCGTATCCTTCTCGAGTCAAACCCGTCCATTTTTCAATACTCGTTTCCATTTTATATTCGACAGGCTTCATCTCGAGCCTCGTCATCAATCACCTCCGAAGCCGTGCCAGAAACAACCACACAAACCATCAGTCAGTCCTTATTTCAGCCAACCACCTTACCAACAAGCAAGTTGCCCGATAGATGCAAGGTTCGCAAACGTTGGGCTCCACCCCAGTATAACAATCCGGTCTGATAATGTCAATAAGAAACTTATGTTGACGAGAGAAAAGAGACGAAAATGAAAAGGAGAAAGGAAAATAAAATAAGAATTTAAGACACCCAGTGCATATTAGTACGTACGAGGTTTGTACGTCGAGGCAAAGACGAACAATTCTTATTTGTGCCGTGGACATTGCTGAGATGAACGAGTATATAGCTTAATACCTCGGGGAAGCGCGCAGAACCTGTTGAAGATCTAGTCTGTACAATAACAAAAGTCAGGTAGCGCCGAGGGAATTCAGTAGTACTCGTATGGTCTAGAGCTCGAGGGAAATTCATGCTTGTGATGGGTATCGCGCATTTGCGCATCTCGGTACTTTTCAATCAGAAGATTCCGGACATAGACTCGATTAAAGCTAAAGCCCCGGGAATTGGATCAGCACCAATTCGTTATAAAGTGCAGTGGTGATATGTATGAAATCAGTTGCTGTCGTTGAATGTGGAGTGTGTATGGGTGTCGAAGCACATCGTACCTGAATTTCGTTATTCCGCCATGAACTATCGTTGCTCACAATGTTACAAGAACACACGAAATACCGCTAAGCACATCAATTAATTTCTCAATTCCGCCGGCTCCTCCGATTGCATTGACGATACTTTGTTCGTGGCGAATGAAGAGCTTGTGCGAACATGATCAGCCACACCACAATAAACTACGTTGTGGCGTTGTGCTTTTAACAATAGTAATGTTCGTGTCTGTCATATTGAAAGTACTGTACCTTGCACAAAATATTAATGGTTTACCCATGTCCATACTTGATCAAGTTGGGTTTCACAGTCTTTGAATCTCTTCAATCAGCAATGGATGTACTCAACAACAAAGGGCTTGGAGTTCGAGATCACGCTTGTGGCAAGACTAAACATAGACGCAGATTACAACGACACAATACCCATCGCCGGAGAAAGCGAAATCTGGAACGAGTATGTCATAGTGCCGTATGCTCACATACCAGCAACGAGTAGCCCTTTGGCGTATGGCTGGGTCAATCAGCAGAGCATGTTAATAGCCTGTAGAGCCATTTGCAATCTGCTGGTCCGCAATGGCCTCAACACCATCAATGCTGGCGATGATTCATCCATTGGTACGTACTCACAATGGAACGTTATGCGGGACTCGACGACGCTTCTCATGGATGACTCATCCATATGGAATTCTCATAACCCATTTCCACGGCAGCTTATTAATTATAAACTCATCACGCCGGTCTTCCGTACTGATCTCCCGAACATTACGATTCCAAGAGTTTTGAACCTGCTCAAGTTGAATCTTCTGTGTCTCGTTCCTCGTGCCGCCGCTCTCCATGTGCATGTAGCCACGGGATTCGAGCTGATTCCACTAGAGCAACTAAAGAAGACCGCTCTTTTACTTTACACAATCGACGTGTGGTTCAACGATCTCCACCACCAAGCCGGCAAGGTGATGATATCTATTGTCGTAGAAACCGCCTGTTCTCCAACCTGGCTCAAGCGACGATTGACAATCAGGCGAACACGGAAGGAGATCTGGGTTTGCTTGCTTCAAACCCAACCTTGCCTTTGCACGAGACAGTCGATCCGTTGCAGGCGTGGGCAGAACTCAACAAGGCTAACACTACGCGCGCCGTTGCACTCCTCATAACTACGTCCTTATGGGAAGCATACAAATTCTCCAATGTCTCAGATGCTAGCAAGCCAACAATCGAGTTTCGTCAAGCAGCCGAAATGGTGAACGAAGAGTGGGCTACCCACTGGTCAGACCTAGTCGTTGGGCTCGTAGACTGGGCTCGTCGCGCCTCTAATGCTGAGATGAAAAGTTCGTATTCGACTCTGGGATGAAAGAGCTGATAGCCGATTCCGTCCCGCACTTTATGCAATATCTGTCATCGACCTTGTACGAGATCGGCTCAAACTACCCTGCAGTAGCTGACTTTATTGCCAGTACCACCCCACAATCAAGAAGCACGCCGAAAGCAACGGGATAGCAGGGAGTATGGCGTGATGCTGTTGAAGCTGAGTTTCCAGCGTTAGGGGCTTTTATGCCTCCCAGGACCGACTGGCCCTGACATAAGCGCAATTATTTGCCCATTTTTCTTGGTAAGTGCTGGAGCCAGCGTTCTGGAGCATGAGAAATGAAAAGATCGATTTGTGAGTCAAGAGAAGGAATAGACGAATAAACAATTGAAACACAGTCATTACGTATTATAGTGGGTAATGGATATCATGTTCGGTCATAAACATGTAGAGTTGAGAGGTCTTTTTGCTTTCCGTTTATCATAAAAATAAATGGTATCTCCAAACTTCATAAAATCTTAACCAGTTGGTATTATCTTATCTTCATATGGCCATACTATCACTGTATCGATATCAGGTCCTTTTCTTCCGGCCAGCTACAGCGGCGCCGATCACGTTGGCCGGGCCATTTTTGCTGCCAGCAATAGCAGCCCAGCTCTTGGCTACCGGGAGCGAGGGGGCCTTGAAGGGCCCAACTAAGTCTGACTGCTCCGTATCCGCTTGGCTGGCGCTATCTTGCACAGAGTCGCTATATCGAGATGCGTCATCATGAACCACATCAGACACGAGAATCTGACTTGCTAATTGTGGCGCCGGAAGCTTGGATTGCGATAAAGCGACGGCTACGCTATCTCCATGTTGTCCAGCTGTGCATGCTTCGGGCCCAGGAAGTATCTTGGAAGCACTAGGACTGGGATTCGGTGAAAGGCCGCTGCTTGTGGTCCGTCTGCTGATGTGACTGAACATCGATGAAGACATACTACCCATTGTGCTATCCGTCGAATTTGTGTCACGAGGAGTGCTTGGTGTCCCGGACCTGATTGGCGTGGATGGGTTGATGGGTTGCGGAAGTCGAGATCCAGAGGTTCGAGATCGTAATGGGTAACCAGACAAAGAATCTGTCGACTTGCGCATATCCGGCAGTGGTCGATGCGTTGCAGCAGGCGATACATTTCTCGGGGCTGAAACTGCGTTTATCGTCGAAACTGCCGGCTTGCTGTGGCCCTGCCGCGGCGATCTGTGAGGTTGGCGCGGAGGCTGCATTGTAAGACCACCACTGATGCTGCTGCGCTCATGCGACTGCGTGCCAGGTCGGTGTCGGCGACTCTGCTGAAGTTGTGCCTCGAGATCCCTATTGGACTGCTTCGCTTCTTCGAGATGTCTCGTCAAGACCGCCCAGTCTCTGCTATGCTTTTCCTGCTGGTTTTGCAAGCGCATATGATAGGTTTCTTCAGCTGCCTTGAGAATGACGCAATGACTCCGAATGCGCTCGTTATCCTCCCTCAGGTGGTCTCGTTCGCCACAGACTTTGGCATAGTTCATGTCGAACAGCTGTGTCAGGGCCCTGGGCGAAGCTTTACAGCACGTGTTGTGGTATATCTGCTCAAGACCTCCAAGTCGGCTAAGCTCTTCGGTTACTATCGCAGTATCCGGCCGTTTCCCTGGGTCTAACGAGGTCATGCGTCTGATCAGTCCGACAACATGTTTAGGGGCGAATGTGTGTGCACTTTCGTCCGCAAACTCTTGCGTCACGAGTGCCAGCTTTCGTACGTCTTCGAGATAAGCATTAAGCTGTTCGAGCTTGATCTTCCAGTCAAATTGCTTCAGGATATCCATCATTTTGGCTTGTTTAGCTCCATAGAGTATGGTGGTAATATTTAAGAAGACCAACCCCAGTGAATAAACATCACCACCCGACTTCATTGACCAGCCCCCTGAGTTGGAGAATCGCTCCGGCGCGAACCATTTCTTGGTGCCAACTTCAAGATAGGTCATGGTATGTTCTTGAGCTTGTACGTCCCTAGATATACCAAAATCCGCCAGGTGAACCTGACCGGGGCTTACTAGGATATTTTCTGGCTTCAAATCAAGATGTCTGATGCCTGAGTCGTGACAATATTTCAACGCTCCGGTAAGACAACCCATGCTGCGACGCAGATAATCCAATGGACACCCACTAGGATGGAGGCTGTCAAACCCCTTGACCGCGTATGGATTGTCAATGGCACTTGTATCATATAGCTCCAGCTCTGCTAGTCTTTCGAGTATATCTGTCCGGTCGCCGCCATCGTGTCGAAGATCGTCGAGGTCGTTGAGAAGGCCAGCTAGGTCGCGTGTGGCAGCTGGCCATAACAGGAGATAAAGCTCCCGATGGTGGTAGCCGTAAGTACCAATCAGTCTCACGATATGATCGTGGCACAACCGTTCCAAGATGTTTGCTTCTTCTCTCAGTATATCCACTACACCCTTGATTCGTTTCCGAGCCAAAACGACAGATCGGCTTTTATGTGTATATATGAGTTTTTCCACTTCGCCTTGTCCGCCGCGACCCAAGGTCTGGACTATTGTTGACTTGAGCTTGTGATGTATCTTCTTGGCTTCGGTGGTGTCTGACGTGTGTTTTCCGCTATGAGCCGGCGATCAACTGTTAGTCTCAGTTACGGGGGGGGACATGGCATCATGGATGTAAACTGCCCGCTAGGAGCACAAAGTAGTTGGAAGGGCATCAGTACACACCATCCAGACCAGTCACCATCAACCTTTGCCCACAACTCTAAAGCTTGGCGTTCATAGACTGCCAACTGGGCCCTGTCCAGTCGCTCGACCCGGCTATGGGCGCTGGGCAAGACAGTTTGCCATCCGCTCGCTGCATCGGCCATGATGGCGGGCAGTCTTATGACTGACTGATGTGGCTTGGCAGTGTCGCCATCTCCAGCGCCTCAATTGGTGCCTGTACCGTGGGAAGTTCTTTGTCGCAATCTCATGAAACAGGGAGGAGGTTGACTCGCTGTCAGACAGACAGACCTCAAGAGGAATAGTGACAATACCGCAGAATCCCCACTTCAATTACGGGTACGCCGCCCGCACTTGCACTTGCGGGGACCCTGCAGCTTCCGAGATCTAAAGCAGATCGATCACAGCTACATACCCACCAAGGTCGGCGACCATGGGGTTGGAGACAATACTCTCGTGTGCACATAATGTTACATGTAATTCCTTGTTGTCTTGCAAGGGTTTCCTATTATATATAAATATATATATGTATATATATTGTAACCTTTTTGTTGAAAACTCAATGTCAGGGATTTGGAAGAGCCCTTGCAAGTACATCTTGGTACACGCCACAGCGCTCCAGAAAGTTGCCTTTCAATGCGGTAGTTCGAAGTTGAGTTTCAAAGGACCCTTGCCGCGGTGCATTCACCTTCTACTGCTGAATATATCCAATTATCAGTGAAGTGGATTTGAGTCATCGGGCCATTCCGAGAAGTCAATAACTAAGCTCCCGGTGCTTGCACAGTGGCTTTCAAATCCAACAATGTGACATGCTTTAAAAGCTTTAGTTAGACTAGTTGCATACCATGAATCGGGGCACACACATCAACATATATCCAAAACATTTCGTTATCATGGCTTTCTGGTCCCCAAGTGCGTGCACCGGTACATCAATGAGAGATTTCGCCACCATGCTCGCCATAAGGCTTAGGTGGAAGGTATTCTATTGGTAACCGCTCATATCAATCACAGGGGCTCATGGGAATCTGATTGCCAAACGAGAAGCTCCCTTCATCTCGTTGTATACTAGGCGATGCTATATTTGAAGTGTCCTTGCAAAACATAACGCTAGGTGTAAAACAATAGTTCTATATGAATATATTCATTATAGTCTCCCGTGGTTGAATAGAAGAATCGAGGACATCAACAATACTGACGACATCTTATTGAGTCCTTGTTAATAGTATTGCTGTATACAAATAGTGTGTGGCTCGACGTCATCGACCTGAAGGGGTTCATATGATCTTGAGACACTTCGAGAAATCTCGCGACTCGATCGTTTGTTCGCAGCAAATGCTGGACGATCGCTACAGTCAGCCCAGATCCATGGCTTTCTCTGCAGAAAAATAAATCCCAGGAGACTAAAATGTGACCTATCATCTGCGTCGGGGGGCACGCACCCAAGAGGGACTCTGCAGTGCGTTAGTCATCGACTTCATCATTGGCTGAATCATGCTTGAACTCGTAAGATTCACCCAGCGTATCATATGTATCATCGTTGTTTCCGGAAATGTTTCCTCTGTGCACGAGGAGGCGAGTACAACTAAACAGCCACAACGTCAGCCACTGCTTGCTTTTGACTTTCCTGTGGTGGATCAGGCGCTTCTGGATCTCGGTTCTTGAAGTTCGGTACCTATATGTAGACTAGGCTAACCAACCCAACCTTAGTGTGCTAGTGGGATTCTTCCAAATAGACCATAGCGTCTCTATTCGGATAGAGCACCTATAAGCAACAGTATAGTCCCAACACAATCCGAAAGAGACCAAGTAGCTCCGAGGTCGACTCAACGGTGACGGATAGGAGCAAACCGAACAATTCCCCTGTCCGCATCTGCAGTCGCGAAATCTGAAGTAGTGTTGCCAGCTGGATGAACCAGGGCATGTAATACAGAGTTCATGCACCCTGGTCAAGCGCTATCCGCTAATAAAGACCTCCCCCGCCGGCGCTCTCCTTAGCACGGGCGCTATTCGATGCAACTCCCACTCCCACTTTTCACACACACCGGCACGCACCCCAACACCAAGCGAGTTCCAACGGTCATTAATAAGCTTCGACCGTGTCATTCTCACTGCCCTACCGCGGTGAGTCGCTGAGAAATCCACCAGCGTCTGCTGACTTCTTATTTCCCTACGACTTCTTTTATTTTATCATTGTATGACTGCCGATGCCGTCTATATCCCAATGTTCTTCCGATTCGTGCGAAGCCAGAAATAACCCCATGGGAAGCTACCTACTTGACACTACCATAACCCGGCCCAGCATATTCCTAACTTCCTCCGTTGGGGTCCACATACAAGATACACAGAGCACCCCTAAACGAGGGCACATCTTAATTTAAAGTTGTTACCACGGGTGCGTTTTGCCGGAGGCAGAGTTGTCCCCCGAATTTTTTATCCCCTAAGAAGCTATAGACGTTCTTCTTAGCGACTTGAAGGAGAGCCCCTGACTATTTGGCTAGTGGCACGGGTAATAGCCTCGATGCGTGTCATGCAATCCGATCTGGCGATTCTCAACGCCACCCAGTACGAGGATGGATATGGGTTCCAGCAAGGCCGTGCTGGGAAAGTCACAATGAAGACTCCACCATCTGATCGTAATGGAGTCGACACCAAAAAGAGACCAAGGACCACAACTATAGATGAACCAACACAAGGCGACCCGGAAGACGAAAGGAAGAGGGCCAGGGGTCGGCCACGATTAGATCCCACGGATCAAACACCACAGGACGTAAGTAGCATTGCATCAACCCGGACACCATGTCGTCCTCCCTTCTGAAAGATAGCATCACGTCATTTCGTGATGCAAAGCTCAGCTCGAGTGTTGTACAACAATACCGTCCTGAAAGCAGAATTCTAATTATCTCGTAGAGAAGGCGGACACAAATTCGACTCGCCCAGAGGGCCTATCGCAACAGAAAGGAGAGCGCTATTACTACTCTTGAAAAAGAAGTTGACGGCCTCAAACAGGCCAATCAGCAGATAAGCCTAGCTTATCGTGACCTACTCCAACATGCTATGCAAAAGGGTTTGCTCGAGGAAGATCCGGAGTTTGGTCAACGGCTCATGGCTATCGACGCGCTTACTAAAGCATCAGCAGAGCGCACTGGCAAGGAGGATGAAGCCGACTCATCAGATAGTGCCGCAGGGTCGAGTGGACCTCGAAGCATAGCTAGCAAGTCGCCAACAAGCAGTCTAAATCCTGCAACCCTCCAGCAGCGCCAGCAGCAGCCCCAACAGCTCTGGGGTGGCATTATAGTCAGTCACGAGGCGCCGACCTTACCACCGCAGCATCTAAACCATGCCGTGCCGAACATGCCTATACCTACTGGCGCATCCAACTCGGTGTATGAAGTTCTCGCACAGCCCAATTCGCACAACGCGAGTTTCCCTCAAAGCATGCCGTATAACCAACCAAGCGTCTTCTCTCAAAGTGCTTGGAACACAGCACATTCTCCCTGGAACCCGCTCTCGAGCCCTAACACTTATGCTTGGAACGAGCTGAGTTTCGGCCGGCGGCTACATCGAAGTGCTATACAGTGCGCAGCAATGCTAATTACAATGTCAAACCCACCCCCCGACAAAATGATGCGGGTCTTCGGGTTTTCGCGATTATTCGAGACCTACGAACAGATTAGGGAGCGCACTCTTGCGTCCGCCGGACTATCTATCAATGATGATCTGTCACATTGGAAATACCCAATCCACAGTTTCGGAGGGGCAGGGACACATTTCCCGGAGATGCCCTCTCAAATGCCATCATTACGGACAAGCAGTAAAGGATCGCCACCGGGTCAAGTAAGTCCAAAACCACGACTAGCAAGACCAGTAAACCCGTTCCCGCATGGTCCGGTGGACCAACGTACGGGCAAGCTACGTGAGTCTTTGATTAAGTTGGGTGGTAGAATCGACATTCCTGGGTTCGATGGTATTTTCTGGGACCCTGACGAAGTGGAATTTTATCTCTTGTCAAACGGTGTGAACATTCCCCCACTTTGTGATCACTGGGTCGTTGAGCTAGAAGACGGCACGTTCGCAGGACCTCCAGCAGGTAATCCCTCTCAAGCACAAACCCAGTCACAAGGACGTGCTCCGTCTACTTCTACGTCTTCGAATGCGAGTGCCCGAGTACTATCGACGCCTTCCACAGCTGGCACTGCTTCAACAGTGGCGACATCCACTGATCTTTCGACGCCAGAAACCAACAGCGGCTCGTCAATTCCGGCACAGATTTGGCAGAGCCAACCAACTCCTACAGGGGCAGAGCCGTGGGCTCGACCGTTCAAACAAGCCGCCATCGCCGAAGAGATGGCGCATATGAATGCAACTACCACAGCACAATATCAAGACCCTTCACTTCTAGGATTCGGAACCGATGGGCAACATCCACCATCCCATCTTCCAATAGGAGCGGAATTTCAAGGCCTCTCTAACCTCGCGGAGCCATCAGTGCCACGGAAGAACGTGTGGAAAATCGACGTTGAGAAGTTTACCAGTGGTAAGAAGTGTCTAAGCCGCCTTCTGTTCTGGATAAGCTAACCCGTGATAGAACTGGTCAATAGAGGGCATTGCTTGGGAAGAACTCCTGGATTCAAGCCGGAAGATGTCGACGAGGCGTTTTGGGCGAGTGTTGTTAGCGTAGACGGTTTTTGATTGTGACCGTATATTGGTGTTTTATGGTGGCATTTAAGGTGTTCGGTTACGTAGTTGTAGTACTACTGGGTCAAACTTGGTACCATGCTCACACAGAAAGGCGCCAATCTATCCCGAAACCGTTGACCAGGTCTGGAATTGGGGGTCCTGGAGCTTTGTCTCTGTGGCTGACGACTATGAAGAAGTGGAGTATTACAAGTTGTGTAGCATAGGCACCAATGACTGTTCAGACGGAACGTTATGTTATTGGGTCATCCACAGCAGATCAAACTATTATAGAAGCGAGTTTTTACCAGAACCTGGCTCCGTTATGCCTAAGCAGAGCAGTGTTTATAGACATGAATCGGGTCGAAACCCACCTATATCTCGTACTTCTCAAAAAGACCTTTCAACCACCTTGAGTATTAGGGAACATATTAGAATTTGTTGAACAATCCTTCTAGAAAGACATGCAGTTCTTCCCAAAATCATCAAAAAGACAAGCGACAGCGTTCGGTACCGCGGCCTCAAAGCCCAATGGGTCCAGGACCCTATCTACCAGCCCAATACACACCAGCATGAGAACCTGCAGCACCCCACCAATTGGGTAAACGTTGGAAGAGGACACCAGGAGATTGTTGCTATGATCCAGTCTACACCCCAATGGTAGAGACCGATGAGAATGAGGAATCAGCTGGTGGGTTGGCTGAATCACGGCAGTCTATTCTTTTCTGGTGAAAGAGCTGAGCCATGACTGTCGTTAGAAGGATTGATGGATAACTCTAATGTGCAGAGTTGAGAGGATCAGCAGGGAATAAACCTTGGGCTTAACGTAAGCTAAGACTGAGATGGATTATTCCTTGACTTCGTCGCTAGTCACACGTATTCTTATTAGATAGATACTCGAGTGCTCACTGCCCACCACCTAGCTGAGTTGACGTGCCTATCAAGAATCATTTCGAATACTATATTCGGTTGTAGAGGGAATGAAAGCCATTGAGGTTTCGCCATGGTATGGAAGAAGAAAGACGGGAGAAGAAGAAAACATATTGCCATCTGCAGCGCCGGCCACCACTTGCCCGCTTCAATACAACGTTATAGTGGCTAGATGCATGCTAACCAACACTCAACCGGGAACATGAACATTGAACCTCCATTGAACCCGAACACACCCAACCCCAGAGCTTCTGACTTCAAGCTTCGGCTCCACCAAAAAAAAGTCCCGAAGCTCTCCATATGTACAGGAGCTACCTACTGTAAGCTCCAGGCTGGTCATCAGCCCACGACAACGTCACCAACCCGGTCGCCTCCTCACAGCACCTCTCCTCCTGCTCCTGTTTCTGACCCTCCACCCCGAACCCAACTCTCGCGGCGTCGTGTAAACATCACATCACATAAACTAAACATGTCGTTGACCCGCCAAGCCGAGAGGAATCTCCTCTCGCCCGTCCTCCGCCGCCGTCTCGCATTACCCGCATCTCCGGCATCTCCAGCATCTCGGCTCGTCGCCTCACAATCACTACGCGGCTTCCAAACCAGCTCGCGAGTCCAGCTCCCTGCGCCCGGCAGCCTCGGTGGCTCGCAATTCGGCTCGTCGGGCAGCGCACCGCCCTCATACTTCCAGCGGCCTTCACTGCCCGCCAACACCGTGATCCGGTTCGTGCCGCAGCAGACGGCATGGATCGTCGAGCGCATGGGCAAGTTCAACCGCATCCTGCCCCCGGGCCTGACGGTGCTGATGCCCTTCATCGACCGCATCGCCTACGTCAAGAGCCTGAAGGAGCAGGCCTTCGAGATTCCGAGCCAGAGCGCCATCACCGCCGACAACGTCACCCTGGAGCTTGACGGTGTGCTTTACACCAGGGTCTTCGATGCATACAAAGCGAGGTAAGTTCTTTCGCCTAGCAGGTGCTTTCTCAGGATATCTACAGATGGCCGGTTGTGCAATACGCACTCGGAGTCCGCATTCTTATTTTGTTTCTTTATGTCCGGATGATACTTGACGACTCTAGCCATTCCGCCGGCACATGGTGGCGAGAACCCGACAGACCAAAACAATGTACTGACACCTCTCCTTTCACCAGCTACGGCGTGGAAGACGCCGAATATGCCATCTCGCAGCTCGCCCAAACGACCATGCGCTCCGAAATCGGCCAGCTGAGCCTCGACCACGTGCTGAAGGAGCGCGCGGCCCTCAACACCAACATCACGGCGGCGATCAACGAGGCGGCGCAGGCGTGGGGCGTCACGTGTCTGCGGTACGAGATCCGGGATATCCACGCGCCGGCCGCCGTGGTCGAGGCCATGCACCGGCAGGTAACGGCGGAGCGGTCGAAACGGGCCGAGATCCTCGAGTCGGAGGGCCAGCGGCAGAGCGCCATCAACATCGCTGAGGGCAAGAAGCAGAGCGTGATCCTGGCCTCCGAGGCCCTGCGCGCTGAGCAGATCAACCGCGCCGACGGTGAGTCCCAGGCCATCCTCATGAAGGCCAAGGCATCGGCCGCCGGCATCGACGCCATCGCCGGCTCCATCGAGGCGGGCGGCTCGGCTGCCCAGGGCGCCGTCAGCCTCAGCGTCGCCGAGAAGTACGTCGACGCCTTCGGCAAGCTGGCGCGTGAGAGCACGGCCATCGTGGTCCCCGGTAACGTCGGCGACCTCGGCGGCATGATCGCCACGGGCCTGAGCGTGTACGGCAAGGTCGGCGAGGCGCAGTCGAGGACCATGGCCGAGAGGATGGTCAAGGACTCCGTTCAGGAAGACTCGGGCGCCACCAAGTCTGGAAGGGAGCAGGAGGGCGGCATCGTGGGCGAGGTGGTCAGGGAGTTCGACAACACTGCAAGCAGGAAGTGAGAGAGAGAGAGAACGCCGTTCGCCCCCATGAAGGAAAGGGGACGAGAGAAAGCGCAGTAAATAACCCACATTTCAACGAAAACCCGGGATATGTGACCTTGTGGGGAGGGGAAGAATGTACTACTACTATATGACGAAGGAAAGTGAGCACCCCTTATGTGCAATAACGGTTTCGCATGAGCATGGCTTCAGTCATCTAATCGGGTGGTGTTTGTGAGACACAAAAGCAGGCATGGCGTTTTGGCCGTCATGGGCATATTACATATTACGGCGTCGTATTTCGCCATTAGGGCAGAAACTGAAGCATGTATTCTATAAAAGCTGACGGGGGCGCGGCGGAATAAGACAGCTCAGCTCAGATGCTAACATCTTGGTATCCCCTCTTATTTTTGGGATGAAAAAAATAACAAAGTATATTTGATACTATGACGCGTGTCACTTCTTTTTTTTTAAAAAAATCTTTTACTGTTGTCGAATGTATCTCAAGCCATAAGATGTAGCAGGAGTCTCAGACACCAAATTCACCACCGACGACTTCCATAGCACGTTCCAACCTCCTGCCCATCTCCTCATCGCCACTCCGTCCCGCGACGCCCATGGCACTGGCTATCAGCGGATATAGTCTTATGAGATGCTTCCTGTTCTCGCTCTCGACATTTGCGCAATCCGGGATAGCATCGCTCTCGCTTTGCAGTTGTACCAGTCTCTCTAGTATGTGGCCCAGTTCGCGACGCTGACTCAGGGGCTGTGGCATCTTCCCACGCAGTGGCTGGTCTGCAATGTATGAGCGGAGGGTCAACGCAGACCGCAGGATAAGGTATGGAGCGGCGGTGCGAGCAAGGCGCACTCGCAGAGCTGTTGGGGCTTCTGTTGGTGCATTTAACGAGCCTGGTGTTCCGGCGGGTGGCGGGAAGCGTGGGGTTGGTGGCTGGACCGTGATATTCGGAGTATAGGCCTCGTCGTGAGAGGATAGTAGAGCGAAGATTTCGTCAAGGGCGACATATGCCATATTCTGGCGCAGGCTTGGCGGTGGGTCGACGGTCCGACCCGCACGAACTTTGAAGAGTTGTGCAAACCCAGAGCCATCAGTGCTCCCATGTATTAGAGATGAGTCAGCCGGTGCAGGGCTGTGAATGATGGACATACGAAACAGAGATTCAGCGTAAAGCTTTCGAGTCTTGTCAGTGATGACCTCAGATCCTAAGGAGGGTATGATCAGCTCCCGGAGCCTGTGGAAAGAATTGATGTCGAAGGTTTGGTCCTCGACGAGGTTGATGCGTTCAGGAGGCACATCACAGTCTGCGTTGGTGATGCCATTAGCAATGGCCACAATCACCTCCCATATATCTTGAAGAGCGGTGGGTGAAATTCCCAGTGTCAGCAGATGCTGTAGTGTAGCCTCCAGAATTGCAATAGCTGAGGATGTGGCCTGTTTCCATGGTTGCGTGCCTTTGGTTATGGTTGGAAACTGATACTTTAAAATAATGGGTTTTGATAGGGATTCCAGAGCGGCCAAAAGGGCGCCTTCGCTATATACCTCTGGGTCGGATGCGTGGTTCACAATGAGGTTCTGTAGTATAAGCATGCTAGTTTTTGACATGGCCACATAACTTCGCTTGTCTGATGGGTCCTTTTTCTGGACTCTATCGTCAGAAAAAGCAAGGCCAACAAAGTCAGATGCTTGTGTAATGAGAGCGGCGGGCGCTCCAGATATGTCTGCTCTCAACATCTTCAACGCATCCAAGATCTGTCCTTGGAGAGGTGTAACATAATCAGTGTCCATAACATATGCCCCGGGGTTAGCTTGTTGTATAGTGTCTTGGAGCAGTGCCAGGATTCGATGCACACGTTCGACGGTAAGGTCTGGTTGTATGAGGCGGTAAAGGCCTCTAAGAGCCGCCACATAAGCTAACAGACAGTTTTGATTATCAATCGGTTTGTCACCATCTTGCTGCGAAACAGGAATGCCGCGGGACCAAAGGTCCCAAGCAAGATCGATGGTCGTTTTCTCGAAGTTTTGCTTGGCGTCAGATTGGCTCCGTGAGAGAATTTCCGTCAACGCCTTGAAAGTTGCCGTATTTATCTCGAGAACTTGAAGGTCCAGCAGAGAAGCGAAATGATCCAATAGTTGTTGCCAATAGGCTTCAAATGTTGAATGTGCGGTAAGCACATCGAGATAATTAGCGAGCAATCCAGAGATTCCGTTTAGAACAACAACAGCAGTGTCTTGCCATTCGTCTCGGATTTTGCTGTTAGCTTCCAATCCTTTAAAGGAGAGCAAGTGCTCCTGAATCGATGAAATGAGTTTAAATATGACCGATTTGATACAAACAGACCACGCTTCAGGACTCAGTCGATCTCCATAAGCATCGAAAATACGCAACAGTGTATGTGTGGCGCCTATACTGATCGTCAGCAGGTGTCAACTTTGGGGTATAGGATAGTTCTTTACTGTTTCGCAGCTCCAGTCGCTCATCGGTAGTAACATTGGTGAGCCTTAGTAACAAAAGCATCCACAAAGCAGCGTCCGAGGCTGCATCCTGCGGATCGGCCGCCATTCTTGCAAGCGTGTCATCGTCAACATCGCCTAACGACCTGCTAGTGATCGGCAACGATTTATTCTTGCCAGACAGAAAGTCTGAAAGCACCCAGAAGAATGTAACAGTCTAAAAAGTCAGACGCAGGTTCCCAAACAAGCATCAGGGAGAATCTTACCGTCAGTGCGATGTTGAGATCATCGTCTTGCGAACAGAACTTGTACAGGGTATCGACAAGAATAAGAAAGCAGCTATTGGGCAATGACGAAAGGAAGTCTGAGGTTACAAGCTGTAGGGAATTGAAGGATGATCGAATCAATTTGCTAGAGCGCGTCAAAATCACTGTTGAATGGCCAGAAGGATTCCCGGAGTCTTGGGCAAACCGCCTCTCCATGAAAATGCTGCCAATGATTTCGAAGGCAACATCCCAGCCACTAATGAGCGTTTCTCCACAGTTATCAAGCAGACTTTTGAGTCCTTCGAGTATAATTTTATGGATATCGACGTCAGTCGCATAGTGGGCAACAGATGATGGCCGATCTTGCTTCTGGAGAGGTGAGATAGAGTCTCGATATGCCTCCAGTAATCGTAGCTGGACACTACCCCGGATGTCATCTCCGAGGTTTGCAGCCGTGTTGGCAGCCTCGAGAACTAGGCGAACGACGATCTCCGCTGCTCGGATACGCACTTGAGCCGTTACGGAAGCAGCGCTCAATGTTTGAATGAGTTTGGTTGTTAGCCGAGCCCAACCAGATACATCTGGAGGATATGAGAGTAATCTCTCGACGTTGATGGTGGCAATGTCTCCCAGTTTTGCCAAGGCGAATTGATCTTCTTGGTTTTGCCCTCCTACGACAGCCGTCGATATGCTACGAAGGCGGCGATGTTGGCCAGTCGATGTTCGCAAGCCTGGGGGCGGGGGTGTCAATGCTTGAGAAGCAGATGAAGGCGGCCGGCTCTCTTGCTCCGCAGCTGGTTCTGGGTGTTTCTGTAAAAGAGCACAGACAGCTTCGACAACTTCTGTGAAGTTTTCGTTCGGGAAATCCACTGTACTCTCAAATAGGCGGGATGCAGCAGTCTCAACGGCACGAATCTCGACGCCAAAACTGGAGAGCAGTGTTGCGGCTTCGTTATCCGCTTGTTGGTCGGGAGTTTTCCCCGCAACTGGGGTCCTGCCCGCTGCCTTACCAGTAGAGAACAGAACAAAGTCTGCCTGCTGCAAAGTTTCAAGGACAATCCTCCATGACGATGTAAGCGTAGGACCTAAAGCGATGCCCAGATTCAAGAGCGCTCTGAGGCAAAGCAGATTGCGCGTGTTGAGAGTCTGCGGTGTGATATTCGCATCTATGGACGCTTGTCTTTGTCGTTCACCTGCAGCACCGACTGGCGTTACAAGACTTTCCACACTCAGAAGCCCACGGGCATTGCTAAGTATACTGCTGTTTGGCGTTTCGGTTGCTGGGGTCGGAGGACCAGACTTCGACGTCCCAGAATTCAGGCATGCTGTAAAAACATTCGGGGGCACTGCAGCTTTCCCGAGCGTAGTAAGGAATGCATCTCTAGGAGTGGCTAGCTGTAGTAAGCCCGCCACGTGTGTAAACTTTTGGAAAGCTCGTACAAGCCCGTGGTAATACTCCGAGTCCAAAGCTGCATATAAGAAAGTCGAGCATGTTGCAAGGATTGCTGGCCAGCACTCATCAACTATCTGGGCGCAGATTTTCACTTCTGAGTGGAGTGGGTGATCCGTTAGCGCCAAGGGATTAACAGGCACTGGATTTCGCTTGAATGATGCAGACCTTTCAAGAAGATTGGTCGTCCCAGATCTCTCTAGACCAGCTCTTGACGGCTCAGAACCATCCTCAAGTATGGTGGCCGGCGACTCTCGGCCTGCTTCCGGCTGCTTAGTCCCTCTTCTCCGGGAACGACTGTCACCAGGAACAGTCAGAGGTAAGATAAACTTTGCCAGTCCTTCCGACAAGGAGGTGATGCAAGATAGTGTTAGTGCATAAACATAAGACTCTGGTATAGGTGGCGGGTCTGTCTTGTCCAACTGGTCTATACAAGGCACACGCATGGTACTCCAGTGAGAACTGATACCAGTGTTGCCGGCCTCATTCGCAACTGATCCGCTGATAATACCAGTGACGCCACTAGCCTCGAGCATTGCCTGATCTGTTGAACTGCCGACACTGGCGTAGGGATTGGCAACGGGTATGGTGGATTGGTGACCTAGTCCAATGACGACAGGCTTTTCTGTACTTATGCGGACAAAAGTGGCGGTCAAGTGCTTCAGAACATCCTTTTCACCCTCTTTGGCATCATATAACATGTATATCCTTCTCAGAAGGCCAGGCTCTGCGAAGATACCACGAAAGACTTCCATGCAGAGTGATCGTCTCCATAGGGTAGTGTCTTGGTCAACCAATTGGGTCAAGATCTCGAGTGCCTCTCCACCCTGAGACTGAAGGATATTAAGGTGTCGTCTGAGCAGGGTGTAGAGAATGCGCACCAACCGAACGGATGTTGCGAAGTTGAGTTTTCCGGAAAGCGCACTGATCAAGAAAGGCATGACACTGGTACGCAAAACATAAGCCTGTTCAGGATGCGACGAAAATATGAAAGCATGATTAGTCAAAACCGACTCTATCAGTTCAAGCCCAAAGGTCTGGGGCAAGCCAGTAAACCTAAGGTATTCAGGGCGTTGATTTTCGGTCATCAAACATATGTCCTTGAAAACCCGGTACGCATCCAGGGCGGCAGATCGCAGATGGACCTGGCCATCGTGGGTCGGCGCGTCACCAACGTAATCTGCGTCCGAGGCCGATCTATCTTCAGCCACAACCTTGTCAAACACAGACACGACCAGCTGTTGGAGCGTTGCGGATGAAGTATTGCTCACGATACCATTTTTGCTCGTTTGAAGAATGAAACAGATATTCAAGGCGGTGACTAGAAGATCGCCCTTGATATCGACAGCATAGTTTTGCAACAAGGTCGGTAAAGCCTGTAATATCTTGAGTTGGACATCCAGTCCAGCGGATGTTGCCTCCCTCAAGGCTTCAAGTACTGGGCTCAGCTTTGACCGCGGGAGGGCACTGCTCATAATCAGCCGTACAAGGCAAACTATGGCGATGCCTGTAAACTTGGCATTCTTGGACCCGCAAGCAATGATGAAAGGGTTGACAAAGTTGACCCGTTGGGCGAGCTCTGCAGTGGGATTAGCCCATGTACCTTGGGGAACGCGTCAGCGCGTGGAAGGACGATGTACCGGCTCCTATCTGGGCTTCATTTACACCACGGAAGCTCTTGAGCTCCTCGAGTGACTTCTCTGCAGCCTACATATGTATGAGCATGACATGACTTGTTTCGTGGTTGGCAATACGGGAATGTTGCAGCTTTGGTGGGTCATCAAGGTACCTGTCTAAGGTCATTGTGCTTGCGCTTGCTCTCCTGAATGAGGTTTGTGAGCTCGGAGGCCAAGAGCTGAGTTGTCATCTTGGTTTGAGATATTCTCGAGGATCCATCGGTAGAGCTGGACGAGCGGGTGGATTTAGAATTGCACGTTATGGATCACTGTGACAAAGGAGAGGGAGGCTGTTTGAACGTGGGTTGTTGCCAGATTCGCTGAATGAATGCCAGATGCCCGCCCCTACATAGCGTCTGGTGTCACTGCCCAGCACCTGCATTAGCCGGGCTGCACGTCTTAGGTAATCTCGAGGCAGAACCCACTGACCGCCTGCGGTTTCAGATGCTAGCGAGGGGTCCAGTGCACATACCCAAGGTTAGTATCAACCCCACTACCAGGCAAGTACGTATGTACCTAGAACCAGAAGCAACAGCGCCCCTCCTTCGAGGGCAAAGGCGCTACATACCAGCGGGTAGCTGATGCCCTTGCTTTCCAACTTAAAGACGCCAATCGCTACAGTACACAAGGTTTCGGCGCCTGAACCTCGCCTCTCCCCAAGCATTATCGTTAAATCGTTCCCGCCAGCGTCGCCCGTCTTTCGCTACCGACAACATCACTCTACGTTTACTGCAGCCCTATCAACTGCGACTCCGACGAGACACTGATTGTGCTATTACATCATGGGAGCCAAGGTCCCCCGCAACTTCCGTCTCCTCGAGGAGCTCGAGAAGGGCGAGAAGGGCATGGGTGCTGGTAGGTTGCGCCAGCGTGCAGTGAAGGCCTTCTGTCGACTGACCAAGACTTGAACTACAGAGGCGTGCAGCTACGGCCTGGACAACCCTGAAGACCTCCTGATGTCTGACTGGAACGGCACTATCCTTGGCCCTCCCCACGTAAGTTGGGCGCATACGTGACCGCGCCGCTGCGTACTAACACACTCTGCAGAGTGTACACGAGAACCGCATCTACTCGGTCAAGATGCACTGCAGCGATCAGTACCCCGACAAGCCGCCCACCGTTCAGTTCGTCAGCATGGTAAACCTGCCTTGCGTCAACCAGCGAAATGGTGTTGTCGACCCGTCCCAGCTGCCCTGTCTTGCCAACTGGAAGCGTGAGAACACCATGGAGACCGTCCTCATTGAACTGCGAAGATACATGGGTAGCAGTCAATGTAAGAAGCTGCCTCAGCCCCCCGAGGGCACCGAATACCAGAAACAATAAGTCTTCGGAAACAAGCGAAAGGAACTGCTTCATAGACTGAAGCAATGACTTATGACCTTGAATCATCCTGTTTTCCATCTCGACAAATGGGCAACTGAGAGTTGTGCATAACGGGCCTTGACCCAGAGAGATGCTGGCTTCAGAAGAGGAGATCTCACCGGCTGGTGTTTGTCTGGAGTCAGGTGCCGGATCTAGGAGATAACCCAAGGTACCATCGCCTGGAGGGAATGAGAGTTAGCAGTTCTGTTGAGAATACCGAGCATGATCATGACTTGACAATACTCTATCCCGAGAACGATGGTTAAGGATGTGAGCACCGATCAAGTCATATGCTGCATCGACAATAATTCCGCACGTGATGTGATTACTGCGGCGGTGCGGAACTGTTCCGCTCTTGAGATATCCGCAACCATGAAATCTTGCAACCATCCCCTTTTCGAAACCTGAGATGAAGTCTTTCAGCCATCGTTATCTTACTCAATGCCACCTAAATGGAGATCAAGTAGCTTCTTCATCCCGGCGCAGAACTCGCGCCACCGCACAGCATGTAAATCAACCTCGTGGAAAACCAATGCAGAGCTCCCGAAGCAGCACTCTCTGCAGAGCTAGCTTGTTCATTGCGTACGTAGCTAACCCAACGCAGGTCTCGCGCTCTATCGTGCCCTCCTCAATGCCTGCCCCAAAGTACCTCTTCCAGATGACCTCGCGACAGCATGGCCAGGGAAGAGGCACCCCATAGCCCATGTGATCCGACGCGCCTTCCAGAAGAACCGCGCCGACACGTCCACACGGCTCGTCTACCCAGCTCTCGAGGCGGGCTACCACATGCTCGACACACTGTCGCGGGCCACGGACGAGACGACGCCTGAGTTCGCTTCCGTCCTGACTTTCATGCGCAAGCGGCTGGCCCAGCGCGACCACGTCCTGCTACAGAAAGTGCTACACCCGCCCAACTCCAAGAACCCGGCCAAGCCGTCCTCGGCCCCGAACCCCAACACCGTCCCCTTGCTCGTGAACACCACACCCGCGCCCACGCCCCAGGACCCGAAGCCGAAGCCCACGTACGCCGCCGCGGCGCGACCGCGTCCGTCGGCCGACCTCCCCCCCGGGAAGAAGCGCAAGATACCCGTGCTGGACATGGCCAGGGAGTACCCCTTCCTGCGCCTCGGCAAGCCGCAGTCCAACATCCTGAACCGTGTGCTCACGCAGAAGAACAGGACGCGCGTCAGGAGGATGGACATGGTCCGGGACTGGAACGACGAGTACTCCAGCGGCACCGGGCTCTATGACTGCGAGGAGGAGGACGACTGGGAGGAGATCATCGTCGACCAGCTCGACAGAGAGGCCTTGGCTCCGGTTGTCAACGCTCGGAATAAGTCACAGAGGCAGGAGGCTTTGGTGGCGCTGGGTGGCCGCGAGGTGTTTCTAAGGACGCTCGAGGAGGTGGAGCTCTGGGTCAAGGAGACCACGGGCGACCGTACGAAATCGGCCTTGTCGTACAGGCAGACGCTGAACATCCACGGTGTCAGTACGGTCATGGAGATGCTCACTCAGGATCGTAACGACGCGGTCGCGAGAGCCTACGCCATGCGGCAGATCATCAAGGAGGAGAAGGCCCTGGCCAAGCAGGAGGAAGAGCAAGACAAGTTGGAGCGCAGGAAGCGGTGGGAGAAACGCATGCGTCTGGAATATGGGAAGAACTGGGAACATGTCATGGCAGAGGAGAAGAGACTAAGGGATGAAAAGCGAGCGGCGTTCCTGCGACTGCCTAAAGAGATGCGTGATGCTGAGATCTCGGAGCGGCGACGGGAAAGGAAACAAAAGATAGAAACAGGCCTAGCTGGAGCGGCGCGAGTTAAAGACCTGGCTCGAGTAGCTCCCTAGGAGAGTGCGAAGCAGAAGGTCCAACACGGCACGTTCATCCAGAATATGTGGAACAGACGGCCGATTCTGTTATCGACCAGTCAATAGCAACGATAGGGCTGCTTCTACTTCTCCATCTGTAGATTCTGTGTATTATAGTGTATCGTTGACTACGACAGGGAAACATGTGCATTGTGGCACAGCGTCACTATTTTTTGGATGCAGTATGTCTCTATAGAAGATAGGCACAAACAGTTCATGGACAGCAGTACTGGGTGGCGAATAAAGATTTGGGACTAGGGTAGCTTATAAGGAGACGCCAGTGCCTTCTACATCTCTGACATCCAAGATATGGCTCAGCAGGAGATATTCAATTATCTCTCCCAAACAGGCCTGGAGAGCTCGTCTTCCAACAGGTACAGCAACAGTCGGAAGGAGTCATCTCTCGTCAATCACCGCTTTCGAACACCAGGCACCCGACTCTCGTTCCGTGGTATCTCCCTGAGGTGGGCTGATTGAGAATTGATGATACATTCGCGATTTCCTAGATTCGGATACAAAACAACGTGCACTGTAAGATGGCTTACACACTTTATAGCTGCTGAACTGTGTACGGTAGCTATGTTATGATCGTGTTCGCCGAATACCAACCGAGATTGGATACGTAAACGATGTTGCCGAAGTAATCCATGCGGGAATCGTATCGTTCCAGCATTTGGATACTCTCGCCCTCGAATGTCGGCGAAGATGGGTCATTTCGACCCTCACATGCTCCAAGAAGGTTTCTCGACTAGCATTGAGCTGCGAGTCTAGGTCACAGGGGTACCACGTATCGGCAAAATTGACTGCCCTTTCGTGACCGACGCCCTTCGAGATAACGAGTTGCAGGAACTAGTTATCGATAAACTACAACATCCTTGGCTATTCGAGGATATGATGTTTTTCGTTGGCCGTTATACGCTACATGCTGTATGATCTCACAACGATATCCGATAGCATAGACATGGTGTAGAGAATTGGTGGCAGGGATCACTCCGTATTCAGATTAAAAAGCAGTACTGTTTGAAGCTAGCAGATGAGCAGATATGCGTCTTCTTCAGAATCTGTTTGAGAACTGCTCATCACAATTGTTGCTTCGCCAAGTATACCGTAAATTAGGAGCATCTTCTGAAAAGTGCCTTAAATATCCTGCCATCTATACAGTACAGTATATCAATCAGATCCGCGAACAACCTATCAACCGGGGTCATCCAAACTTGTCATATTGTACTCCAAGTCTTTGGCGGGTAACTACCACTTGTCTTCCATCCACAAATTAGCTGGTGAGGGGATGACAAGGTACCTCAAAGAGTGCAATGTTCTGAGTTTCTGTATCGTGTTTGTGTGAAATTATTGGTCGTGTCTTGAGGTAGCAAGGGAGCAGAGCTCTAAGAGATAACCTTGCAGAGCGTTGATTACATCCCAGCTATTGGTGTGTTGGTACTTGAGTGTCTCGAGGTTATTGCTCGCACTAACTATACAAATAACTTCGACACTCCATGGTTTTTACAGAGAATTATCTTGTAGACTGCCAATAAATAATTAGTAATGCTTCTTAGCATCATAGGCATCAGCAATAAAGCATAGCTTCTGTTTCAAAAGCACAAAAGAGAGATGTACAACTAATTTCTAGTTACAGTCTAGGCTTCAGCTAGTCCTCAAGTAATTCATGCTCAAACAACATAATATTAGTAAAGTCAAGAGTAAGACGTTCCAAAAATTAAATACTTATAAGAGCGTCGCGGATAGTATCAACTATGCTTACAGTACATCACTTCATCATATCACTCTTTTTAACAATAACAGAAAGAGTGTTTTCGGTAACTGAGTCGATACAAAACACCTGTCAATATTTTCAGCAGTTTTACTCATGCATCTCTGCTCAGCTATCAAGGTCTTTGGTGCGATCTGTAAAGTCATTATGCCACTTCCGCTACTAGACTGCCTAACGCTTGATCCTGTCAATATGTCATACCCGGAACTGTATCATCTCCAGCACCTATTAGAGATGGAACCTAGAATACGTTTCAAGAGGCTCCGTCTACCTCGAATATTCTAGATCAATAGACTTGCTCCATGGTCGAAGCGCATAGGACGAAAATGTTGGAGTGGCTGTACGTGGACAGTAAACTTTTAAGCATCTAGGTCATGATGTGGCAATATGAATGACTATAGATGGCCATAGTGTACGTGGAGCACTCCGTACACTAAGACGACGAGCTCGCGGATCACCGAACTTGGGAAGTGGTGATCACGTGACTTAGTCAGTGGGTATATACCCATTTTCTGTACACCGATATTCTCTTTTGTAGACTTAGACTTCTATATACTACTTGACAGTACCTATACTATCATTTCACGCTTAGAGCGTTACACTTGCGATCCCACGCTCATGCGAGCACCGTATTCACTATCCTATGCTCGAGTAGATTTAGGCTCTTCCTTTCAGTGCATCACACCAGACCTTCACTACAACAGTCTTCTATACCAACTGTAGAAACTGTCATACATGCTTGTTTGCTTCTGATACGAGTCGATTGTGAACCGTGATAAAGGTTCACCATTAGCTTGTGTCACATCATCACTCAGACTAGGTCATACACCGCTAGGGAAGTTGCATCCGTCGACTTCACCCCGTCGTCAAAGAAACAAACAAGCCAAAAAAAAACAAAAACCTCATTATCCAAGACTTATATCACTGGAATGACAAATCAAGTCTACGAAGAGTTTATTGTTAAGAGCCCTATTACGAGGCAGAAAAACGCAGGACAGCATATGACATGACAACGCGAATTGACATTTTGTAACGTGTAGTAACCTGGGACATGGAATGTTATTTTCGTTAACCAGTGACATGTGAATCACTCTATTAATCAAATGGCAGGTGGGTGTGCAAAGGCAATCACCCATGGACAAATTCGCATCACCCTACCCCCATTGTGGCTCCCACTGATTCAGCGAGCTTCTAATAAGGCGGACGAGGACATTACTCAGGCAAGCATACCTTTTATACTTTGAATCTCAACGAAATACATTTCCGACTGAGAACCCATTAAAAGTCACCACACATTCAACAACATGACTAGACAACTCGTTACGATCCTTGTCACAGCCATGGCAGTCATCGGCACCGTGGCAACTCTCGCAACCACCGCAACGCGCAACTTGAGAAAGCTAAGCGCAGGGCTATCTGCCGACGACATTGCCGTAGTCGAGTTCCATGGTTTCGTACCTGGCAGAGTCACTCAGCTGACGACCGAACCGGGGTGCTGCATCGAATGCAGGCCTAGCACATATACTTAACCACCAATGCAAATTCTCTCTCTGTCGCTGACTGCAACGCCTTTGCCGAGTATCTTGCCGCCCATCGAGGGTTTTGGAAAGTCTGGGCTCCAATCAACCATTCCGTCTCGGCAGCGCCGGTGCCGCCGGTGTCTGCGGCCTAGCTGTCACAGTCCCGGAGCCGCTCAGGAACGGTAAAAATGCGACCATCGGCAGCTGGGACGTTATCCCCATCATCCAGATCGCTGTCGAGGTTTTTGCCGACGCGAAGACGAAGAAGGTAGGAGCAGCTGGAGCACTCACATGTGGGGACACATGTGAATGGTCAGATCAACTGGGTAATTGACTCTAGGATATCGTAAAATCACTAAAAGTGCATGTAAACTGTCAGGCATATAAGCGGTTGGAGCAATGGATCAGCTATGCGATATGTTGTTGAAGTTGTGAATGTTGTTCTGAATTCAATCGTTCTGTAAACTGAGGTCGGTAGTTACGAAAGAGGAACGCGTCGACCGGGACATGTGAGAAGGATAGAGTCAGAAAAGGCAATGGGACGTGAGAGCTGGCGTTTCTCCATATGTTCGCGTATCCGCGCAGCCTGAAGCTATGGGAGATGGGTCAAGCTCTAAATTATAACGAAATCAGTTCAAATTTCGACAAGTTCTCGATTTATAATTTTTTTATTTTCAAAAGCAAACCCGAAGCTGCATTCAGCGATATCAGATGGAGCAAATGACGTCCCTCAAAAAGACTGACGACAAAACAGGCTTAGCAAAAGTTCAAAATTCCATCCAACATCCATGCTCATTTGCAAAAAAACCACTGGTTTGGCTCGAAGAAAGTTCATTATCTCATAATAGGCTTATGCAAGCTATTCGCAATTCATTACGAACAGCCCAGCATATCCACCTAACACAGATTCACCGCTTCATACAGAATCATTTGAACGGACAGAAAAATACAGTCAGAGATTTACTCCAAGAGCACCTCTCCGCTCTGGACCAGCTCTTCTTCTTCGGCAATCTGACACGTCACAAGCATGACGGCGGCAATCGAAGGCTTTTCCAACGTAAAAATACCTGCCGATCGTTTGTAATGCTTGATCTAAAGAGCATCGATGAATACAACAGTTACGCTTTTTACGAGGGCTCACAAAGAACTATATGTATATTTGCTCAAGGACGAAAGGCGGGGCGGGAGGACGACTTACTGTGGCTACTTGTGCACCAAATGGTATGCGCTTATATACAAGTATTTTCAAAGCATGGAAATGCGTCATTGGTGGCCAATGCGATGGAGGTACTCCTGCTTGACACTATAGCTGGTTGGTTACAGAAAGTCGGGTTGTGCGAACAAGCAGAAGCTAGCATAATCACAAAGTCTGGCGTAGGGAGCCAGCTCAGTGATAGTGTTACCCCTGGGACGCCCTTAGAGACAGCAGCGGGACTCTCGATGTTACCGCCGAGTGGTGCGGATGCTCCCAGAAACACATCAGACCCAAAATCATACTGGGCCAGGTAATGATTCTATGACTGGTATATTGCGCGGGTTAGTCGCTTTAGGTTTCACTCAGGCACATGAACGAGGACTTCCGTCTGTCCAGCCAAGCACGAAGATGGAAGTTCTCGCAACAAGACCATTAAAAATATTATATTGAAAATTGCATTAGTATTGCCTCAATAGTTTTCGTTTGCTTCCATTTTTTAACTTATATTCTAGAGTTCGTGTAAATATCTTGAATTACTACATGGAGAGAGCTGGTTTCTAAAAGCATTGTTTACAGGCAAAAACTTTGAAATCACACGAGTGGACACTCATAAATAAATCCGTATAGTATGAGCGATGCGTATGGTATTTTGATAATGTAGAAGCAGATACACGTAAAATTTTCAAAGATAAACTCGTTGTATAAGCCCGATTACTACAAACCACAGACACCTTCGTGAACGAGCCAACCTCTAGCCTCATAAACTAGTGGAAGTCTGATTACCTTTCAGCTACTATAATAAGTAGTCAATTAGTTCAGACCTCGCTGTGTACTCCCTACATACGGGGTCGCCTTGCTAAGTCGAAGACTATCTGCTGCTTGACATGACCTGAATACGACTCTACTCCTGCTACAGCTTGATTAATCCCTACCTGCGTATCTATAAGCCTTGCTGAAGGCGATCTCACTACTAGGTTTAAATGATCGTTGAAAGCCTAAAAAATCCTAAGTGCTCTGCTCATGCCACAAGTAGGAACTTCAAGGCACTAGTATTTCTCTCACCACTCTCGGCCGAGGCCGAAAACTTGCCCCTCGAAACACTTGATTCCATTCATGGAAATAAGTTACATTCGATACTTACACCAGTCATCGTTATTGCCAGATGGCAATGTTCAGAATGCAGCTGGATGTTCACTCGAGGTCGCAATAGTTGTAGGGATTGCGCAGCAAGACTCGCAGAATTTATGTCATTTGCTCAGAGCCACGGAACAGATTTTGGACAAACCAGACTAGAACGGGTATTTGCTGGGATGCTTTATGACATATACCCAAAGGGACATAAATTTCGAAGCCACTGCAAATACTCATGCAAGCAGTGATAGATACGTCACGTATGGTGATTAATTGTAGTTTGTTGATAGGGGGTGGGATGTAACGATGAGGCACAAAGCTGACCTCTATTCCACTGAAGGCTACCTAGGTTAGTGTGGTTGCTACAGGTGGATACCTGAGGTCACAGGTGAATGTCTGAGACATCCATTAAGCAGTAATGAAATGAATCGTCGCCAAGACTGGCTCCCATGATGTTACTCGAAAGGCAAGAATGTCGTCGAAAGTGAGATTGACTAATGATTGTTCATTGCATTTAGAAATGTGAAACTGCTTTACCCACAATGGCTATAGTCTCCGGACTCATGCCAAGACTTTTAAGCAGTGCGATTCATTTGATATGATCACTCTCTATAATTGTAAACACGCAATCTCCTAGAATAGCTTCTTATATGCCATTGACAGGCCGGCTTTGGCGTGTAGTTACTCAGTCAGTTCAGCTGGCAATGGAAGGACCAACTCTCAACCGAGCCTGTGAACTTGTGCCTTCATGAGCTTCATCCAATTACGAAGACCCTTTTATGCAAGGCGATGCTGTAGGTTGATGAGAGCTGCGTGTGGGTTAGGCAGTCGTAGAGAAATTTAACGCATATCGGAGTGAAGAAAGATAAGCCGAGAGAAGATGAGTCAAGCAAGAATGGGCAAATAGTATCTTGTTCGTCATAGAAACTCGTCATTTCTGGGTGGGAATTGCCACAGACCGTGCTTTCCTTTACTCTTGGTAGTAGTGGTTCATAACCCTCTTATTATGTAGACACATTAGGTAAAAGAAAAACCCCCCCAAAAAATCGGTCTTTCTTGTATGAGCGTGCCAAGCTCTATACCCGAAAACCAGATGCTGACATGCTGCAAGTTTCTGCTGTGGCGTTTGTGATTGTACGGAATACGGGTGGCGTAAGATGCGGGCCAAGAAATCCTTTGATCTCAGACGAAGCCAAATCGCAGTATTGGATAGCGGTGATAATAACGGTGGGGTTGTTTTGCAACGGTTGCGGTAACGTCACGGGATCGATATTCACATCTCTCTCTCTCCCTCTCTCCCTCTTTCTCTCTCTCTTAGCGTAGAATCCGCCAAAATCGTTATGTAAGCTCGAAGGCCCATGGTAGTAAACTCATTCGAGATCGGTGGGTAGAGCTGTGTGGCTCGCGATCGCACAAATGATAGACCTTGTCGCCTGCCGAAAAGAAACGAGCGGCCGTCTGCCACAACAATTTACAGGAGTCTGAGCCGTCTTGTCACCGTAACAGGCACTTTTGGCCAGATATTTTCGAAGTGGTGTGCAGCAGGCATTTCGACTCACTCGGCGAGACGGGAAGCGTGGTACAAGTGTATATAATCAAGAATTTGAGTTCGCCAAAGCTAGCGAAGTTGGCCATTGATCTTGAAGGGACTGGCTGCATTGGAATGCACTAGGCCCCCATTGTCATCACTTTAAAGTTGGGCCGACCGACAGGGGCAGCCATCCCATGGCGGGCTATCGCGACGAGGTTCCCGCTGTACAATACCAAGTACATACATACATTGGACAGATGACACTTTCGCTGAGGGGTACCTTTGCACCGTACAAAGATATTCCGTTAGCCTTAAATCATGTCAGAGCAACCGGTTGCTAGAAGAGCGCCGCGCCGCACAGCCTTGTCTACCATCTGCCTGCTGGAACATGAATTCAATAGTCAATAGCTTTTGCATGTAAGTAAGCATAACTTCAATAAGCATAACATCAACAGAGTTCGCTCCTTGATCTGATTTAGTCATTAGCCTGTCTCTTACCTTTTCAGCTTGTCCCCCTGTTGCAGACGCCCGCCCTACTATTTTCGGACAACACGCCAAGACACCAACGTCTGTTGCGAATCGCAGACCGCGCCGTTATGATTAGTTCCCCCGCATACAAAGCCCTATTTCAGCTGGGCACGTCGAGTCTTGGTCCAAGGCTGCCCGATCTCTGACTGATGGCTTTGCATTCTGACTGTTCGTGCACCTCAACCTCGCATTCAACTTTGGGCAATAGTTGGCATCGGCGCTTGTGGCATCATCTAACGGGCCCTTGAGGGTCAGTGATGGCCAACATGCGAAGAGACTCGAATGCGTCGAGCTCAGCGCAGCGTTTGCCTGTGAACCAGCGGCGCCATAGAGTCGCGCCGGAACAGCGAAAGCGTGTCGCAACAGCGTAAGCATCCCTAACGCGTAGAAATACATACAACGACGTGCGCCTGGAAGCACGCTGATAGGCAAATAGCTGCAATAGCTGCAATATCAGGAGAATCAAATGCTCTGGGGAGCGTCCCTGCGCGCAATGTCGTAGCACATCCAGAGACTGTGAATACCCAACGATTGTTGAGAAGGTTCAAATAGCTCGAACTGAGTTGGAAGATCTAAAAGCAAAATGCGCCCGCTTAGAAGCATGTTTGGAGCAAGTCGTGCCAGAAGAGTCTCGTCGACAAGATCTCATGGCTCAAGTTGTCTCCGGCGTACACAGTGTCGACAGCTCCGCTACCAGCACTGCTACTCCTGAGAATGGCTATGGAACGGAGGAAGACACTGAAGGTCGCCTCCTCCAAGGCCGCCTCCTCCAGGACCCCGACGGCGCCATGCGCTACCTAGGATCGACATCAGGCGCAACCTTCCTAGATCTCATCAAGGAGTTCATGCATGCCGTCTTCCCACTGGCACGGCCAGTACCAGACCATCGACCCGAGATGACATTCCTTGGTTCTCTCGGAAGCTATCAGACATGGGACTCGCGGCCACTGGCCCTGCAAGACGTTGACCCGTTGGAGCACCCTTCGAAAACAGAAATGGCCATCATGATGACTCAACTGCGATATTTTGTCCAGGACGGCAGTGGCGATTTTGTGTCTGGCGGGATCTACTACTGGAGTGATTTTGACTTGTCACTTTTCGACACCAAACCTGCCGAAAACACTACCGATCCCAATCTGCTGCGGAACCTCGCGCATTTCCATGCAGCAGTTGCTATGGCATATCAACTTAATGCATCTTCTGAAAATGCTACTGAGAGCTCGTTACGTGGGGAGATGTTCTTTGCCAAGGCCCGATGGATACTCGGAAACCCACTGGACACAACACTGAACAATGTTTTCGACATCCCCATACTATCTATGCTGAGCATTTACTTGGTCGAAAAGAATCGGAGAGACGCTGCATATATGTATGTCAGCCTCGGCATGCATATTGCGGTTATGAATGGTATACATAGGGGATGGGTACACAACGAGCAATGCAAGCGGTCATTCTGGACGCTTTACGTCCTAGACCGGTGGCTCAGTGTATTAAATGGCCGGCCACCATCTATACTTGATGAGGCCATCAAGCTATCGCTCCCCACCGAAGCACCGTAAGCATGGTATTTTTATGTTCGGCATTTCTGCGCTAATCGTTTGGTAGGGGGCTTCCGCCTGCCATGGGGTTGCGGGCCCACGTAGAACTCGCCAAGATTTCCGGGTACATCGTCTGTAATACGTACCGCATATCCCCATGGGAGCATCATATGACGAGTACCTCCGCGCGCATCGAGAACGCTCTAAACCTACTCTCCAGTTGGGTTTCGAAGCTACCAATAGAACTGCGGATGGATGGGGACCGACTGAGCACTGACAGAGCATGCTGTCAGCTCCACATGGCTTACAACCAGGTATGTAATCGGGTTCGTTGGAAGATTCCCCAGCTAATCAGGGTCAAGCTCGTGGTCCTTACCATACGACCGATATTCTTCGTTGCTGTCAAGAAAGCCGTCGCAGAACGATTCATCACCCGGCGTGCATACAACGTCGACAAGCACCCACAAATATCTCACATCAAACTGTGTATCAAAGCTGCCAGGAGGAATGTAAGACTTGGTAGATGGGTACGGGATCTAAGTACCTCTCGGAAGCTGCTGTCTCAATGTCTTCATAATCTTTTCAATGCTGCAGTCATCTTGCTACTCAACCAACTTCTGGCCGACGAACTTAATGAAGACGACGCGCTGGGTATCATATTCGTCATCGACTGCTTTGACGCCGAATCGCTTGGTGAGAGCAACTACTCGAAAGACTGTGCGCGTGTCCTTCGTGACATGAGCGCACTTCTTCAGCGTCTTCGAAATTCCAAAATGGATGAGCTGTCATGGACGGGCATGGAATCATTATCGCTAACGTCCTCGGCGCCTCACGTCCAGCCGCCACCAGCCGCCACTGCATATCATGTTGGTTTCATACTGAATCCGTCCGAGCCACAGATTAGCCCCGTTCATACACCGCCGACCAACGCGCTTATGAGCCAGCTGGCATCCTGGATGCATTATGATGAGTCGCAAATATACAACAATTTCGCCATGTGACCACGAATTCGGAAAATCGGGGTTCAACCGTTTTGGTCGTGTCAACAGGTGACTATCGTGGCCCGTGACCACAAGCACAAGTTTGAACATCTTTCCCCCCCCTTGGTGAAATTAATATTCGCTGGCGAAGAAAGAAATTCTTGGGGCGGGATGGAGGCCCGCTCAGCTGCACGATCGATGTAGACCGTCACGAGCTACTTTCTCGACCTTACGAAACGGCTGCCCGGAATTTTCACTTGTTTGGACGTCCGTCGACGGAATCATGCTTAATCAGACATCAAACAGGTCAAATAATTCTCAAATAATTTCACAGCACAACATGTTTTGGCGCTTGGTTTCCGCTCCCTCATCAGGTTCCACATACCAGTCAACAATTTTGATATACTGAGGAAGATATGGGAGGGTGCCTGCCATACTATAATTACTCGTCATCCAGGCGTCATAGAATTCTTTGGCTGTGCAGCTGTTGAAAATACTGGTGTATTTTCAAATCTGCTCGGAGCGACATTCGGGGCCAACAAAAATACCTATCAGGCAACAGTATTCGAGCTGCGAGGGCAGATTTTGAAGGAAAACAAGAGTATTTCGAGGGACGCCGTTTTTGAAGACGGCTCTGGGATGTGGATTTCTCTTTCGGTACTGGCTAGTTTGGACTGCGATCTCGAAGGACTCGGTTTGCAGGGTCCACGATGCTCTAGAAGTGATAGTGATGGTTGTTATTTCCTTTTATAGATATTCGCATTGTTGTGGGATTTCCGAGAGGCACATAGAAGCGCTAGTTGTGCGGACCTGGAAACAGCTTTGGTTGCACTCTCGGCCGATGAGCGATCGGTGTCTTGCATGAAAGAGTTGCATTCGCGGGTTATGGATAGCTGGTTCTCAGGTCCTTAAGGAGATAGTATCGTCAATGTCGGAGTGTATGCGTAGGTAGCACTCGGCTTGGAGTGCGATTCTACCTACCTTTCCAAAGATGCAACTGCTAGAAAGAGCAACAGGGGTTGTACGTGGTGTGTATATAGTAATGTAGGCTTCCCGTGCGATAAATCAGGACGAGATCTAGCTTGGGCCAGGTCGCTGTTCAATATATCGTGTACTCCACCGTGACTCCCTGAACCATTGCGGGGCCCGCCATCGTGTATGCGTACTTAGTACCCTCCAGCAGTGCTTGCAGGTACTCCGTGCTGCCATTACCCCTCCCCGTGCCCCTCCCCGGCCCTTTCTGGCCCTCTGCCCTTCTGCCCCTCTCAGGTAAGGTTAGTTAACTTATGGGGCTGGCAGGGCTGGCAGGGCTGGTAGCTGGTAGCTGGTAGCTGATGTCACCAGTGGAGCGGGAACAGCCGCACTCGAATCTAGCAACCCATTGAGCCCTCGTTGTAAAGGTAAATTATAATTAGCTACAGCGCAAAGGTAAAGTCGACTAGGTTAGCCTGTTTGTGTACCATTATCGTCAGCACCTCTGAAGCAAACTCGCAGCAATGACTCTCCCCGACGTGTTGATGCAACGAGTCGACGAATACGTCGACTCCCTCGCCCCTCAGATCCAGCCCCGCATCGCCTCCGAGATCGACACCTTCCAGCAAAGGACCATCGACGGTCTGGAGGACCAGGTCGTCGATGCCTTCCGCTCGCTGTTCAACAAGGACAAGAGCGCAAACGACGGCGGCGCAAGGGGCCTGAACGACTCACCCCCGGATGCCTACGGAGGCCAGTCCCTACCTTTCGCCGACGAGATTGCCAAGCTCACACGCAGCTTCAGCACAATCACCAACGAGGCTGGTGATGACCTGCGCGACATCTTCGACCTCACCGAAGGCCGCGGTGGTGCAGCTGGCCCTGCCGAGACGCAGTCGCGCGGGTTGAGCAGCAACAACGACGCCTTCTCTTCAGGTGCCAAGGGCTTCTTCACCGCCGCCATCGGCGCAGTACAAGATCACCTGGACAACAACAATAACAACAACAACAATAATGGGCAGGGGGGTCAGAAGTTTGAGCTCGATGGCCTCTTGGGCGTTCTCAGCAATACCGTCAAGGATGCTGCACGCAATCCGGAGGAGAAGGCCCGTCTCATCAGCCCCGAGATCAAGGAAAAGGTCGCTGCAAAGTTGAGGGAGCAGCACGCACCCATCGCTGAGCAGTTTACTCGCATCGCCCTCGATCATATCAAGCGCTGGCTGCGCGGCAACACGAGCACTCGGGATGTAGGCGACGGCGTCAAAGGGGAGATTGAGGATCAGGTCAAGGACCTTGTCAAGGGGATCGGAGGGCTCTTCGGAAACAAAAAGCAATCTGGTGAAGGTCCCTCTAGAGGGCTCGGTGATCGCGATGGTGAGGGCGACGCAAGCGGAGGCGGTGGATTTTCCAAGGTCATCAGCGACAAGCTGAGCACCGGTCTTGCCAAAGTCCACCGCGAAGTACGTCTTGAGTTCCGAAAGGTCCTAGGCGCAATCGAGAAACAGCTTTTTGAGCTTTTGCCAGACGCGTTCCAGCGCCCTCTGGAGAAGATCCTGGGCGGCAACCCCTTTGACTCCCAGCTCGACCGCGAGGCCGGGGGTCAAGCAGACCGTGGCTTCGCTGATGATATCAAGGTCAAGCTGGTCAAGAAGATCCGCGGCCTAATTCAGAAGGTACAGGAAACCCTTCGCGAAAGCATCTTGGGTCTTGTCAATGGCGGACACCGCAAGTTTGAGCGCGAGAGCTGGGTCTTTGTGCAGAACATTGTGGAGGGTAAGGTGCAGAAATATCTCCCCAAGGTCAAGATCACCGTGCCCGATGACATTGGCAATGAGAATGTTAGCGTGGGCGCGCCAACAACCGCTTCGCAACTCGGTAGTGGAAATCAGCCTCAAGCCCCCGCTCAAGGCAACTATGCGCCTCCCCCATCGCAGGACCAGTATGGTGGGCAGTCATCTCATCAACAATCATACAACCCTCCTCCTCCGCCGCACAACCAGGAGTATCGACCTGAGCAGCAACTTCATGAAGACCGGCCACAACAATACCAGCCTCAACAAGAGTACCGGCCGGACCAATATCAGGCACCTCACCAGAACCAACCTAATCAGTACGATTCAAACCAGCAACATGGCTATGGCCAGAACCAGAACTACGGCGAAAACCCGAACTACGGACATAATCAGGGGTATGGCCAGAACCAGGGCTACAACGGAAACCAACGATACTGAGACTGACTGCGGAGGGATACAAAAGCGCACATAGTCTAGGATGAAACCAGACTACAAACGACACAGGCCTGGCGTGTCATCAAACACTAGCAGGTAGCATCAAGTCGATGGTCTATGATATGGGAAGCATTCTTAGGTCAGGATGGTCCAGTAAGACCTTTCCCCGTGACACGCCCCCCTCAGTGCCTCCCGTGTTGTCGTCCAGCTGAAGTTGTAGTGAGCTGAACATAGTGAAAGAAATTAGTGCGTCTCGCCCAAGTAGACTAGGTTAGTAGGTGGATCGCATCCAGTCCCATTCGTAAGCGGGTTCGTGAGGTAAAATTGGTGTCCAGAGCAAAGCAAAAGGGAAGGTTCACAATGGAAAAGGTACGAAACAAATTCGTAGAGGGATGGTCACGGCCAAGGCTGAGTGCCGAGCAAGAGAAGTGTCCGCGAATAGGCTCCCAGTATTAATCTCTCTGGCAATGACTTGCATCAAATGAACATCATTACAACCCCTCAAAAAATCTGTTTGTCTCTTGTCCAATCCAGTCCGATTTGTTATGGATCTCATTTGTAGACCAGAGACCTTCATCAGTGATGTATGCGTCAATCAGAGTTGCAGGTACCCATTCGAAATAGACGTTCCTCACCACCACTCCGGATTGCTTCGTATCGTCATGCGTCTTCAGGAAGTAGTCTTTGACTGTTTCGGTCCCCTTAACTCCTTGTTCCCAGCCTCGCGAGAGCTCTGCGGGGTCGTTCTCCTCCACAACGTGTTCTGCAACTGTCCCAGGTCCGGCGATCTTCTCGACTTCACTGAGAACGACCACCCTCGCGTTTGGTGACACGTGACGTGTACTCAAGACAGCAGGCAAAGTCCCGGTCTTGTTGCTCACATCTCCCGTAGAGCTGATGCGGTCCGCACCGAAGAGGATGAGATCTACGCCCTCTGCCGCGATAGCGGCAGACGCATCGGAATACAGCGATATGTTGACTTTCTGGTTGTGTGCCGCTTCCTGAAGTAGCTTCGACGCCAATGTTACGCCTTCAAACAGCGGTCTTGACTCTAGAATGCGGAGGTCCACCGTCAGGTTCAGCGCAGCTGCCGCTTCGAGGATAGAGCATGAGATGGTCGAGCTCGATGATAGTGTCAGGACTGACAGAACCTTATCGGCGCCGGAACATTTTGGCATGTTTGATCTGACGTAAGAGATAAAGGAATCACGGATGCGCTCGACGGCCGAGTCTCGCTGCGAGAGGAACGTGTCGATCGATGCGACAATGTGTTGCTTCAACTCTTCGTCGATCGTTCGTCTCTCATTTATCACAGCCTCAATCCGGTCGAGAACAGTTACCATCGAAGTAATGATGGCAGCACCCATACTCTCGCGGCCGTTATAGCAGAGATGCCATGCCGTCATGCGGACGTATGACCACCAAGCACCGTTCCCCATCTCTGGTGTGTCCAGCTCCGCGATCACATCCCGTAGAGTGCCCACCGCTTTGGATGCCAGCTGTCGGGCACCGCTTTCATGGTCGTTTCGCAGACTCTCGAGGCCGCTCGTCAGGGCTGCTCCGGCCTTTGCACCCAAATCGCACTCGGGCCATACCCTGCGCAGACTATCGAGAAGTCTTGGCACCCCACCAAACTCTTCCGACTCGTTGACCTCGAGTGGATCGTGCCATTCCCATCCGTCATGCTCCCAGTCTATAAAAATACCGGCCTCGCCTTTGCCGCCCTCGTCTACGGATTTCAGGCGGAATGCGAAAGGATTGATGGTCCATTCGCGACTGATATCGTCGTCCGTGAACGAGTACGGCTTGCCTTTCCGCAACAGCTCAATCGATGTCAAGTCAAGAGTAGTTTCTTCCTTAATCTCCCTCAGTGCGGTAGCGAGGGGGTTCGCATCATCATCTTCTACGCTGCCCGAGACGGGCGCTAGCTTGTGCCTGCCTATGATTGAGTATTTGGATCAATCAGACCTTGCGCCAAGTGATCTCTTACTGATAAGTGCGGACCTTGCCGCTTCGTCTGAACAGAGCAACCTCAACTTTCTTTGAATTGTTGTCTTCGAGAAATCTAAATAGGAACGTGCCGGCAACAGCGCGCTTCTTCAACGGCTTGACTGTCGTCATGGCTCGTGTATATGCGATTCTGCTGGCTAAGTTTGAACTGGCAATACTGCTTCGATATGTCGATTGGATTCTCCTGGAAGAAGCCGGGATGGCTTGCCGAATGCGCGCTCCATGATACATCCGGAGTACGACGATGTTCGTTTTTAGAGGGGATATGCTGGGTGGGAGTAGTACATTCACGGTGATGCAATCAGCCCGAAACGGTTCTTAGCAGGCAGGGATTCGTTATGGAAGCATGCCTTTATAGGGGCTCCAGTACAGAAAACAAGATATGCAATAACTGTGCTTAAGACACACCGTATGCGGACTGTTCTTGGTAAACAGATATTTATCACGCGAGTATATGCATCATTGCCGAGTAAGCCTTCGAAGTGTTAAAGGATGCTGGTGTGTTTTCTCGAGCACGCTACCAATTAATATCGTAAAGAAATGTCATACCATGAACGTCGAGCCATCTCGCATGACCAAGACTTGCTTGTATCAGCGGTGCTTCTAGACGTAGTTGCAAAATTTAGCGGAATACTTGAGATGGACTTCTGATGCCAGTAAGCATCCCTCTGGGAGGTGCTGGAGGCGTTGAACATACCACCATACACTGGCTAACAAAATAACGTTGGGCTGCTTAAATAAAAATTTGAAGGTGTTTGTAAAACTCTCCTTCGCCCACGCTCGAGGTCTGAGGATTGCGTATCAGCGTATGCAGTATCAGGGTAGGATAGAGACTTGAAGCATCTAGGATTCCGGATAGGAATCCAAGGGACCGAAGGGAAATGTGATTGTTCTAGTAAGTCAAGGCAGGCCCTTAGCCGCATCATCACCAATACAACTATCTGTTCACTATCAAATCGGGTGTAACGTATTCGCAGCTCTGTTGGAAGAGTGCAAGATGCCTCCCACATGGATATGCTTAACTCAATAACATCACATGGGCCGAGTGGTTGCATGTTTTGCGGATCAAGGTCATCCATTGGTGGTGCTTACCCTAAACAACTACCTATTGTAATATTTGCAGAACGAACCATTTTGTCAAAACTGGCTGCCAACAATCGAGATCCTATTAAATTGGCTAGCACTAGCTAACCTAGATTGGCCCATATTACTTGGTTTGTTAGTAGTACTGGTATTAACTCAAAAAGTGGACGACAATTCCCTAAATCGAATGAGAATGGTCGAATATGACCCAATAGGGGTCGTGTCACAACTGTGCCACGAGGGAAACACATTACCAACGACATAGCTGACAATGTCAGAGGGATCAATATCTGCATAGCGAGCATACCGACCTTTGCCAGGAGGAGTGTCGATCAGAGATCTCAAGTGTGGCAATCGGAGTAGGATCAGTGAATAAATACTGGCGGTGTCAGCAGTTTCTGGCATAAAACCACCACAACACGTCCTCAACTCTACTTCATGATCTACTGACTAAAGTGTGTTATCCGCCTTGAACAGAGCCGAGAATATACAATTATTTAGTACCTACCATCCATCCTACGCTCAGGTATCTCACTGATCCTAGCCAGCTTGCTTAACCCCTATGCTCTAGCCGTCCTGCTCCGAGGCCCGCAAATGGCTTGTCAGCCGAGATGTCGACGGCGTGCGCAGGCAAGATCTGCTCATTCCAGATACCATGGTCGATTGGCCCTGTCAGCGACAAGTCGATCTGCACTTTGACCCCTCTATGAGAGAGGAGTCGTGCAAATGGCTGGAATCGTTTGATGCTCTGCAGTCCAAGACACTGAAGGCCTTCAACAAAGGGAAGTTCGACCTATTGGCTGCTCTGGCTCACAGCGAAGTCCCTGATGGCAGGTATTCCATAAGATCTCGACGTCGACTAAGAACTATTGCGTAATCAAACTTGCTCCATTTATCCATTGACATCCAAAACTTCATCTTCATCATAGAGGTGTACGCAGAACAACCTTTAGAGCTCCATTTTACACGAACGAATGAACAGTTGCGTCGATGCAAGTGCCCATCCGGATAAGGCTAGACCAGCTGATGAAATAGCATTGGAGCGAATCAATCAGTGGTCAGTTTCAAGTCATATTGACGTATTGACACTCTGCTCCAGTTTGGCTGACAAATCCGCCAGCCTGTTCTCACGCGACGGAGATCTCTCGACCTCGCAAGGGCTGAAACATCCTGTAGAATCTAGATTGATTACCTATTCTTCATGGCGAACGAGGCAGATGATCGCGACAACGGATCTCGTACACTGTTAACGAGTACATCGTCAAGCACAGGCGGTTCAATGGCGCTTTTCCCGGCTTCGCCGTAGATTCTCTGCATGTGTCTATTCCGGGCCGCGTCTGGAACCATGCCGATGTTGTGACACTGAGGAGCCATGCCGCAGATCTACTCATGATCAATGTTAGCCTCGGCAGAAGACATCCATGTCGTACGTGGCCATCCGGTAACATGTAACACAGGATATCGCCTCGTGGAGCAAGTAGCAGGCTTCTTGCACCGACTCCTATAACCTCTTGGCGATCCTACAAAAAGAGGAGAGCCTAGACCTAGATAGCGCCTTAAGCTAGGCCGTCAGATTACACGAGGTTGCTAAGACAGCGCTTGTTCGACGGCATCAAAGCAGTGCCTTCCATGGGCAAGCCTATCAATAGTGACTTGCACACGTATCTGCGGCATCTCGCTACCGGGCCGTACTCAATGGTCTGTTCGACTAATGAATGCGGAATGTATTATGGGGAGGCAGGCCTAGACCCAGTGATTCGGGTTTTTTCCACTGCTACTGAGTGCATGCAGGAAGTGCGTCTCGGAGAAAATATTAAGGGTTTTGATATGAGTGCAGCGCTTCGCGCTAAATGGTGAGTATAATAACAGTTTCGCAAACATTCTTGAACACGTGTTTGAATACATGCGCTACTAGTCCAAATCAGCCAGTGGTAGGGCCTGAACGGGATATCAGAAATCAGTAGAATGAAATTGCACTAGCAGTATCGGAACTCAATAAGAATACTAAGTGGCGCCCCTTATTCGTGCAGAAGAAGGTTTAGGGTCTCAAGAGGACAAGCCGTGCCACGCTCATAATACAAATATCTTAGCGTCAATGGTTTCGAGGCTTAATTGGATGCTTGATGCTTGAAATCAAAACAGTGTTATAATCACGAGTTGAAAACTTTTGTTGTACTAGGTGACCGGTCCTTCTAGATAAATGTGATCAGACAACAAAGCAGTTGGGAAACTTCGATAAAACTGCATCAGCACAATAGCTGGCTTATATTTGAGCTTAACAAGTCTAAGACATGTATGTTGTGATGCATGACTGGTCAACCTTGTCCCAAACTTAGTTGGCTTAGTGGCAACAGTGTCAATGAAGAGGCCGCAAGTCTCCACCATGAGGTGAAATACCACATAGTCACGGTAAAGATAGCGATCAACAGTATTAACCTAGGCTTTTTACTAGGAGCAAATGCTGCAGAGTACGTCGCCTAAGGAAGTCTTCCTTAATCCTATCGATGCCATTCTAGTTTGCAATAATAGGCTATCGTCCTATATCATAGAGAGAATGGCTAGGGTTTTGTGTTTGATTGTTTAAAAAAGATTTGAAGCAATGAATTGAGATTTATTATAACAATTCTCTCATTACGGTCTCTCAGAAAGAAGTATTATAGAGGTCTTTAAAAAAAAGTATCAACTATTATATTATGATATTCAAAGAAAATAACTGCACTCCTCGAATTTTAAAGATAGGTCTTAATTTAGTCTTGACTTTGCAAACTTTTTGGCAATGTCGTCCTTCGGAAAGAAGATCATTTTCGAGGAAATAAGGACGGCCTGCGCAGGGCAAATAAGCCAGACCTAGGCCACTTCATCTTCTCCTAAAAGTCATTATTGTGTAGTTCTATTGTATAAGGCACTAAGGAGTATTATGAAACGGTTAACCCGGTTTATTTCGCTTTGCCCTAGACGGAGACAAAATTAGCTCCTATGATGATGTTGTCTCACTTGCGATACTTTCGCGGCAGTCCTTGTGTAATTTCCGACTCTCCTTTTATCGTCATCATCTACACGCGTGAGTATCTTCTCCAACAACACGAACAAAATACTGTTATACTGCAATCACATACAATAAAACTCAGGCAAGCAACAATTTGCAACAACATGAATGTTCCACATTTTAAATTCCTTGATGAGTACTAACAGGAATGCAGAATACACATAGCATCATTATCACCATGTCGAAACTATCGTTTCTCCCTCTCTTACTTGTTTTGTCAGCCATAGCCTCGGCTCGCCCAAATAAGCCGACTGGCCCGGCAGCCGTAACAACAGCAACAGCAACGATCGCCTACAGAATGTGCGGTGGTCTCGTCTCAACGCCTACTCCTTGTCCTGACAATTACACATGTATGGATGATCCCCGTGTTGATGGCTGCGGCATGGCTTGCGACATGCCAGGTATCTGCGTGCCAAATGATGCCGCAAGCTGCGGAGGTATCGTTGGCAAGCAGTGCGACCAATGCACAGGACTGCAGTGTTACGACTATCCCGGCGATAGTTGTGATCCGAGCAACAGGGGCTTTGACTGCATCGGAATCTGCCTGTAATGGTCACTCATTTGAGTGTAGAGTTCACGTACTGAGAGCGGATGATATCACAGCGATATCCCTGGTTAGAACTCTCACAGGCCATACGCAGTCTTTTAAATTTATCTCAACTATAGGGGGAAAATGGTTCAGTGCCTAGCAATTTGCTCGTTGGAGGTCAATCCGGGAAACTGGAGGCCTAGAATTATAATGCAGGAAACATAGATCGTTTGTACATTCTTCGTCAGATCCAGGGCTAAGATGAATCTAAACATTGTGTATTATCATTTCCAAGCAACTAAAAAGCAAATTTTGTTTTGTCTTGTTTTTTTGTCACATTCGTTTGTTGCTGCTCTTTTCAACCAACCCTTCGTGGGGCAGCCTATAAACTCTTCTTGGGGCGGCCAGCTAATGTTATAGCATCTTTACTCGGCCGTAAGTACAACTCTCCAGTATTCATTCCAAAAGAATAATTTCACCATCGATACTTGACACCTGTAGGTAGTAATGGGTGTCTCCGAGGAGCAAGCCATTGGATGGGAGGGCCACAGCGGCACCAGCATGCATCGCCTGTCTGAATTCAACAAAGGGCTGCAGTTTGTTTTCCCACTCGGCATCTTCGACGCTCTGTTTTGGTTCGGACAATCACAAGAGCTTGCCACCATTTAAAGCAAATCTCTGTGCGACGTAAGCTTTGGATTTTCGAGACATGACTGCTTCGCCATGTGCCGTCATCACTCCCAATACAGTATCTTTCCGAAACATCAGACAAACCATTGGTTCATAGATGGAAGCGATACTAGCGTCTTCAACGACTTTCTCGCGGACATCCCGCATACTATCTGGAGCCGACGGATTGGTGACATACAAACACTGTCACTAGATCAACGTCACCTTAGCTTCGAGAACTGTTACTCCAACGAAAACCATGGTAGATAGGCAATCTGGGTTATCTTCGACCTGCTAAGTGGTTGGCAAGTTCGTCCGCCCAAGGTAATTAAGATTAGCGGTTGGGAGGATGAGAAGGAGAAGAGCGCAATTGAGAAGCTTTTCCAAGAGGCTGAGAAGAACGGCGATACCATAACCCTACAGTTCGAGGGTTTCTCAAATAACTCGTCTAGTAGTAGATTTAACCCTTTTCATTATTTGTTGTATTAGTTCTACTCTAAACAACGTTGTTAGTTGTGAAGATTGATGGGAAGTTGAACTTGTACCAGGGCACAACGACATCTTCTGAGTCAAGGGATCTCGCGAATGGTGCTACAGCTGCAAAGGCAGACCTAGCAAACTAGAAACACAAAAGTCCATATAATTGCATGAGTTTCCATTTCCATAAGAGACTATAATACCGAGTCATATCCCACATTATACAATCGTTTTCTACTAGATTTATTTTTAGTTCACTTATTAATCTAGTGATTTTCGAGGTCATTCCACATTATATCAGTGTGCGTCTATTGCTTCTTATAGTGCTTTTTAACGAAGAGTCTATCCAGAAAAATACGATATATCCAGTTTTTACGTTGAGTTGTCTATTCCGGCGTGCTAATGGGCACAAGACGTATCTCAATCGGTACGAGACCGTCCGCATGGAAGAGAACCAGGGAACTTTAGCAACAGGTATTCCACATTATCAAATCTTCACTGTAAGAATCCTCAATCAGAACACTTGTAGGCGTTGACTCTACCTTTGCGCGAGCCATGGTTAATTTAATATGTACATATATAGAAATTTGGACACGAAAAAGGCTAGACACATCATAACAATCATCGCACCTCTGCCACTGCCATTGGTTTTTCAGCAAATTGTCGAATCAAGTGTTACGCAAGCAGCCATTTAACAAACGCCGGAGGGGATGACGTTGCTAGCAACACGCTTGGTACCGTAAGCTGCACCTTGTCCAAGACCACGCTTGGCGAAGCCAGTCCAGATCTCGCAGGCATTGTCACCTCCGGTAAGAGCCTCATCAGCGTCGAGGATAGCATCACGAGCATCAACGAAGTTGGGGTTGCAGGGTTGCCTAGATATGATATCAGTATTTGTACCAGCCTTGGGGTGCGATAAAAGATGGATAACTTACAGAGCCATACCGTCAATGACGAGCTTCATGGTCAAGAACTTGCCGTCTGTGGGGACACCGTTGGCGTCGAAGGTAGGGCGGGCACCATCGTTCTTGCCGTGCTTGTCGATGAGGTTCCACAGGACCTCGTACAACATGGTAGTCCAGGTCTCACCAATATCGTGGACCTCGTTCTTGGTGTTGAGGGTGGTGTAGGTGTTGGGGTTGGTGGTCAAGCTGGTCGAGAACAAGACAGAGCGGATACCCTTGACGTTGTTGTAGACCCAGGCGCCCATGGGGTAGTTGGTGTTGCGGGTGTCGGAGGGCTTGAGGCGGATGGCGGTGGCCATGAAGTCACCCCAACCCTCGCCCATACCACCGGACTCGAGAGCGTTCAAGCAGTTGGAGTTGGCGGGTCCACCAGTGAGACGGGTCGACAAACCATGAGAGTACTCGTGGATGATGACACCTGCCTCGAAGGCGCAGTCACGGTAAGGGGTGGACTGAGTCCAGATGTACATTCTCATGCGACCGGGCTGGCCATCAGGGGGTGTGGCAAAGTTGGCATTGTTGGTGCCGGAGCCGTCCTGGGCGTTCAGAATGGTGAAATCACTACCTGTACCACCCTTGCCACCGTTGTTGATCTGGAAGTTGCCAGCCGCCTCGTTGAAACCAAGGGTGTAGAGCAGGTCGTGGTACTCGTTGCCAGTGAAGAATAACTGGGCGACCGAGGCGTCACGGTAGGTGGTGGGAGGAGTCATCGCAGCAGTCCATTCGTACTCGAACTTGTCCTGAGCCTGAGTAGGGCGGTAGTTGTTCAAGTAAGTGTTGCCGCCAGTTGGGTTGACCTGGGCAATGGCGTTGTTGCCGCGAGTGGTGTGATAGGTGCTGGTACCATCTCCGAGCCAGGTGTAGGGAGACTCGGTCGTGTTCCATGGGTTGGTGACGGTGGTGCGCGAGCAGTCGTTGGGGTCATTGCAGGCCCAGGGGAAGACGAGGAAGCTGGCCTCGGCAACATAGTCAACGACCTATATCCAATTAAGTCAGCCTGTGTCTATTTTAATATTGACTGCTAGACTTTTGCCCAGCCATGTTGGCAATCCCGACAAAGTGCACAATGTGTCTCGTGCAAGTCTTCAAAAAAATTCGACAACTTTGAACGACAAAATTGGGACAAGCAGGATTATCGAAGGTTTGCACTTACACCGTGAATCTCGTCGTTGGTCTCAGCGTCAACGTAGGACAGCAGCCAGTTGTCCAAGATATCAGTCTCGACTCTCCAAGTAAGCTTCAAGACACCGTCTTGGTTGACGTAGTACATAAGGCGGGCCTCGGGGTCTTTCTGGGCGCCAGAGGTACCCTTAAGAACATAGGCCTCGGTACCCTCAATGGCCTCAGCAGAAGCCTCACCGGAGACAGGCAGCTCCAGAATGCTGGTAGCACCGGTAAGAGCGTTGGTGGGGTCGACGAAAGCACGCTTGCTCACGGGGCTCTCGGCTGGGATTTCTCCAGTGTAGAAGTTGTTTCCGTAAGAGAAGACCTGGCCATCCTTACCAATCTATTGTCAAGTTAATCAACCGTTCTGTACACTCTACTACTCCTGTCCTGGCTTACGTTAACGTTGAAGTCAGAGTTATCTACATCTAGGCCGTGAATTGTCTGCTTGAAGTAGACATGGCTGATGCCGTTGGTGCCGACGTAGTTGTTGGACACACGGAACTCAGCATCAGGGTGGACGCTCTTGACCAGCCCCGTAGCAGTTTCGACATAGTCGGCACGTTTGAAGACCTTGAGTGAGTCGTCGGTCTTGGCAACACTGCTGGCCTTGTAATCAGAGTTGGCGTTGGTACGGTACTTGTTGAGGTCCAGGGATCGCTTGTTCAAGCCGGACTTGTAAGCATCGTGGTGACCGGCAGCGTGCGGGTGGGCAAGCGTCAAGGTCGCGCCAATGACGAGGCTAGCCAACAGAGAGTAACGCATCTTGAAAGAGCTGACTGGAAGAGGAGGTCCTGAAAGAGAGACTGGGCAACGGGATGGAGATCAAACCGCAAGCTGACACTACTTTCCATCACTGACCAAGGACATTCCAGACCTTTATATCCATCATCAGTTGCCTCTCCCCCACAACATCAACTGCCTATTTCGCAGATAAGCTCATGGTGCAGCCTTGGTAAGCCTTGGTTCAGTTGGGGGCCCTGCGCCGGCTTGGCACTGCTCAAGGTATATTGGAATGATCGTGACGATGCTTTAGTTCTAGAAGGTCAACCAAATGAGCAATCGCCACACGAGGTGTCGGCTCTTGGCGCTCTGAATATAATGCTGACGGGCCCACTACCAAAAACGGGAAGGTGACTCCGGTGCTCAGAAAGGATCAAGTGTGGCTTTGCATACTGCAGAGATGAGATGGGGTCGGCTCCAGGGTACCAAAACAGACAGCCAGATCGGTACTTGGTGCTCTATACCAATCTGGTGTGTAAGTCGGCGGGCCGGCAGTCGGCACACCCATGCAATATCTCCAGCTCAAGCACTATTTCTGGGTACATCTTCGCCGGGCTTGAGAGCATTTGTCGTCACTTTTCTTACTACAACCTTCCGCACAAAACAATTGTGATAAATCATCTGTAGGGTAGTCATTCTCGAAGTTACTCCATGACAAAGAAATGCCGCCATGGCAAGAGCCAACACAGCATATTATGGGGCGTCATGTTTCGGTCATGTGCGAACTTCGAAGCTAGGTATGCTCAACAGGCCTAGGTCAGCTGAGCCCATGAAATCCTGACAGATCTGCTGGCTGAAGGTGAATAATTAGTCCTTGTCAGAGCAGAACGACTGTAATGTGATGATCAATACGATAAAATCATACGTAGAATAAGACTAGAGCCCACAATGGTCCTCCACTGGGCAGCAGAAAGCCTATGTAAATGGACTACACAATAATGTCACATTCTTGTCGAGGCTTAGCTTTGAGCTTGGCAACAGTCGTGATCAGCTTGGCAGAACGGCCTTGGGTGCTGAAGACAGGAACAGGCAATTTATAGGGCTTGGCACAATTGCACAACGGACAAATGAGACAAATAACGCTGACCCCATCGAACCGGACGTCAAGATAAAGAATGCGGCGAATGGCAAGTGCGTTAGCTGATGTAACTCCAGATTCCGACTAACTCGAGCGCTTAAGTTTGCGGTAGGCTGTTGGCTGGCATTCTGTCACTAACATTAGGTCTGGAATGGTGGAGTCTGGGGCCATGGGCGACCTGCCAAACTAAGACAAGCCCACCGAAATGTGCTACACAACTCTTACTCTTACGGCAACAAGCCTGATGCTGTTATGCTTGTCATTTGGGTTACTACGACTTTGGTGTTGGTTTCTCTCTTGTTCCAATAGCAATGACTTATAACTCCATGTTACCCCAATATTAGAAACCATGGAATGGCGCATTCAAGCTATGTAACAGTGGCACAGGATGCTAATACCGGCGCGGGTGTGTAGGCCCAATCGGATTGGCGACTGCTGTACAAGCTTCTGGATCGGATGCACACCACACAACTCAAGATTGTGCATGATATCCGCAGCACAAGTAAACCCGGGTTTGATATCTTGGCAATCATGTTCATCTTATTTTTGGTTCTCGGAGTTCAGAGAAGCAGAGTATAGCATGCTTCCACCGATTCCAAGAACCGCCAAGCTGCGAAACTATAAGGAGGCAAATTCTACAGGAGGGATCACAGAACAATACTCCGTCCAGCGCCATCTACTACCCACCGGTTGAGGCTCGGAACGTTCGCGAAGATGGTGCCAGGGTCTGCTTCATACGAAAAACCTTGCAGGACACCTTGATGGCCACTTGGACAAAGATATATTCACAGGCGCTCCTCCTTTCCACGGCTGCTCTCCCCTTCCAATTCTGGCACTTTCGCAGGAGCGCGTTCGCTGACATGATTAACATTAGCGGTTTTTGGAAGTGCTCTCCTAGCCTGGGCCTCCTTCTCTTTTGGGCTGGCCCCCAGTCATTAGGACCCTGTCGCACTCGATGGCGCTACAGTAGTGGCCGGCGCCACACTGACAGGAGCACAGCACGCCATCACCTGCCGAAAACGAGCCCCAAAAGTACTCCAAATTGCTTATCTGGAGTAACACCAGACAGAGTTATGGACGATGTAACTGAGTCAAAAGGTTATTGCTGCATGGTGCTGCATGTTCAAAGAAAAGCCTCACCGCCGTCGAAGGACTGTAAGTGCAGCTTCATTGGTCTAGCCAGTGGCAATATACTGTCTTGCCATCACGAGAACAGCCGTTTTTACGAAACCAGCGTTATTGGTTTGACTTGGAGCTTACATGGTGGTGAGATGGAAGAACACGAAGACAATTTGGGATCCATCTCTTGGGGCCAGACCTCCGACACTTCCGCCTGATCAGTCCATCATATTTTTGGATATGGATATATGATCGGAAGTAGTCGAACGTTACGGGTACTAGGCGCTACCTTGACCTATGTCATGTGTAGCAGCAGTCTCATTGTTCCCTCTCGGACGTCTACGATCCCCATCATTTGATGAACTCATTGGTAGAAGATGGCGACTGCGTAACCACTTTCTCGTTGCTCCGTGGAATTAAGCAAAAGCTTCACTTCTGATCACAGCCAAGCAGGTCAGACTCCATAGCAGGCGCGCGTTGCTCTCTGTTCCACCACTCACCTCTGGTGGCGGAGGCAAAGCTACAAGCGGTACAGTCGTGAACCCGCTCGTGGCTTGTTTCATTGTTTGCACTATTGTTGCTCTCGTAAGACCAGGTCCAAACCGCGCTCTACGGTTGTGCCTCAATCCTGCTCTATACTGTCCCAGAGTACGTTGTATGCGCTTCGGAGGGGGTGTTCTTTTTACACAGGATTGTCGGTACAGTAGTCCCGCGAGAAATTCGTGAATTATGGACTGTACGTACCGTGTCATTAAGAAGGCGGGTATAAATCTGTTCGTACGCCGGACTTGACTCACTAGTCAGATTGAGCATAAATAGGTGAAACGCAGTGTCGGGAGGTACTCGGAACGGGTGCGGCGCAAGCCTCTGTGTCGTTAACAGTAGCATCTGAGCCGTTGAGCGCTATGGCATGATAAGTAATCGTATCGTTTGGGCCATTTGCATAAGTTGATGGCAAATCATCGTCGCTGGGGCCATTGTAGCAGCTTGAACTTTCTAGGTACTGACTGATGCGTTCTAATGCCTCGGTCTTGCTAAGATTTGCCTCAAAGAACTCGATTGTCTTGTCTTCCCAAACACTGGTGTATTCTAGCGCAGTTGAGAAGCACCGAGCATAATTCGTCAATGCTGACTCTCCTGAGGATATGTTAGGATACAGTCCTCCCAGTTCAAAATGGAGCGAGATAGCCCGAAGCACTGCGGGAGCAAGAGCGCGATAGACTTCGAATGGTATCTGAGCGTTGCCCAATCCATAAGTTGAGTCGCGCTACTCTCCCACGACTTCGCCAGTCTTGAGATGAACAATTTTATTGACCTTCTGGTCTTTCAAGAATGGCGCCATGATATTCACAATCTTTTGCGCATTACGCAAAGTAAGATTGATATTCGTGCTGTCGGTAGAGGCCCTGCCCGCTCGGGATATTTGAAGAAATAACTGTTCATCAGTCTTGGAAGGAAGAAGTCGGTATAAGTCATAGGTTATACGGATATAGCCGCGGTTATGTCTTTGCCTTTGATATTGTTTTGCAGGCTGAGGTATGTTGCATAGTCTTCAAGAGTTTCCTCATGACGATCTGAGCAATCTGAAACATCTGATCAGAAACACTCAACTTTTAATATGAGTTCTCCAGCGAGGCTCGCCTTTTCTGTTTATTCTCTCCAATGCAGCTCCATTGACTGCCTCCATGGCCGAAGCTTTTCGCGCGCTGAGGACCGGCTCGAGCAATAGAACCGAGATCATGCTGTCTCAACCGAAATAGGTCAAAAACCTCGAGGCGCCAGCCAACAGTTTCCCGGAGTAGGAAAGAAATGACAAGGACGAGATTCGTGATGGCTGTTCTCCTATAAGGCTAAACAAATTGTTGTTGAGCACCTCCTTAGAGCTTCTTTGTTAAAGCTGAGGATGATTGAACTATGCCTCAAAATGATAGAACCCAGAGTCGAGCCTTATGGCCTCGTTGATAGAAGTAATAAAAATGAAAATCTTTTCGCTGTCAAAAGGCGCCATGATAAAATAATGTCTGTCTCATTGTCAAGCCACATCTGTATCATCATATCATGCGATTTTGACTGCATTTTGGAGTATGGGCTGTAATAAAATCTGCCCCTCCGTGAAATCTCGAATCGTTCTAACACTGCTCGGTATTGGTGTCGTTAGAGTGGCCGACGAGTTGGAGGACCATACGCCTTGAATGTTGATATAAGGATAGTTGTTGCCACTATCGCCATTTCCATACACCTTTCATGGCTGACCAACCGTAGAATTGACAAGCTTCGTAGCAAACGAGCCGTTGGGGCCATCATGCGGTTGAAAAAGAAAAACACGACAATTCCTCTGTCACCGGCCGGTCGCGTAACAATGACCTTAGGCCCAACGATTGAGAGATTGTTTTCTGGTAGTGGACTAATGAAGACCACCTATGCGTCGGCGTTATAGTCTGAATAGCAGCAATTATTATATTGAGGATCAGCAAGGTATTGCGTGCTCACAATGCAGTCATTGTCAGACTGGGCAAGCAATACGCTCAACACAATTAGCAGGCACAAAATTGACTCCCTTTAGTAATGCAGATGCAGGGTCAAGTCCTGATACAATCGTCAAGAGAGCAGTGAAATATGTTGCCATCGAGCATTAGCAATTAGCGGCGACTCTTCAACCGCACAGGTGCTGCGGGCTAGCTCATGAACTTGCAACGCTGAAGAATGACATCGCTGCCAAGTTTCTAAATTGGAGCCCCTGGAAATACTTGCGGGCTTGGAGAAGCCGTGAGTATACTTGATAGTGGCAGGGACTTGCGGAGATTGGGGATTAGAGTTAGCAGAGCTCACAATCTTGCGGAGTCTGGGTGCACAAACGCAACTCTCGAGCAGGAAGACAGCACAAGTATGCCAAGTACTGTGGTCCTATTTCACTAAAATGAATGACAGAGCTGTTACTCTCTGTGTTGCAAGGAACTTGACCAACTCCTCATGTTTCCTGTTTAATATCAAAGTTCAATTACATGATCGGAGCACAAGTCAATATGAGCATCTTTCTGCACCTCCGGAACATGTTTTGATTCGATTCGAAATCTGAACTGGTTACTAAACATTGGAGTGTAGGCTAAGCACAAAAAAAACATTAGCAACCCGCTCTCGTTTACTATGCATCCTCTAAGAACCTCACGATGCGACGGATCGTTTCAGACGCTTGAGCTTTAGACAAACTGGACGAGGAACCAAATACACCAATATCCATGCGATTGCCCCGGACAGCTGCCTCAACATCGATTGCATCCTGTGGATGTTTGTTAATATCTACTTGACCAAACGTGAAGCAGAGGGTACTCACAATGTAGGCTTCCTTTACTCGGTTGTCTGACAGCCACTCATCACTAGGCTTTGCGAGTCCTTCCTTAGGTACTAAATAACCATGGCTCTCTTGTGGCATAGTCGGTGTTGTCTCCCGGAACCTCGCTTCGCCATCTGCTCCATGATCCGGAGATTGCTCAGGCAGGCTGAGGAAGTTCACGAATGTGGCTATCTTGATTCCAGTCCATTCTGAAATCTCCCACAAGCCGACAGACGCATGTTCAAAGGAACTTATGGCTATAAGATCGTCTTGAACTCGCTTTGCTATATCCACAAGTCGCTCGTCCTGATTGAACTTGACTCTCAGGGGGACGATAGCGAGCATTGGGCAAGGCGCATCCTGTAATTCTTCGTCGAACGAAGTTCTGTTTGCAAGGTAAATTCCAAAGACCACATCGTGCTCCTCAGCGGAAACATGTTTGTCTTCACCAAAGCTCACCAAACAGTTGGCGTAAGCTGCAAAGAACAAAGCTTGTATACTAATGCCAGATTCTGATGCCATGTTTTTGAGCTTTGTTAGATCCAAGGCGGCGGGATGAAACTCGGCTGTGCGAACATGACGTACAGTACTAATTGCGTTATGACGAGGTTGAGTAGCGCCATTCAAATATGTCTTCCAGAACATTTGCCTTCTTTCCTTCGTGCCGTGGGTGTAGTGCGCTAAGATGAACTTGTCCCATGCTGACAAGTCGAAGGGAATTGCAGAACCACCAACACCACATAGTGCTGCGAAGCGACGGACAATGAGTGGTAGGCTCACACCATCGTAAAGTGCATGATGAATCTTGAATTGTAGTTTAATCACGCCATCATTATTCCTAACAGCCTCTAAAGAGACGAACGGAGTGCTACCAAGTCGTAAATTCCATGTCTTGGTTGTAGTATTAGGTCTTTCCGGTTCTGTTTGTAGCTGATCCGGCTTGATAAGAACCTGAACAAATGGTATTTGCGAAGAGCTTGATGCTACGAGATAAGTCCTCATAATGGGAACCTCGACCAAAAGTATACGCCATGCTTTGCTGATAGTCTCAGTTGAGACATCGTCTGTCACCTCATATGAGAATTGGTAGAAATAGAGATCTCCTGCGCTGTTCTGCCAGGCACTCAGCATATGGACTTGCATTGGCAATGCAGGTAGGACTCTTTCCACGGCAGCGCCAGTAAAGTTGATCTTCGTAATAAGCTGTTCAAGTTCAAAGCCTTTCAATGGCTCCAAGGACTCGGTTGTTGTTGGAATTGAGTCGTTGGCTTTGCCCGACTGAGCCCCTTTGGCATTAATCGCGATGTCTCTGATGGTTGCTGCCTTGATCATATCTCTGACAGGCACGATTATACCACGCTTGCGTAGAATTGAGCTAACTTTTATCGCGCTGATAGAATCAAGTCCTAGGTGGTAGATTGACTGACTGGGCGATATCGCCGATGCATCAATTCCTCCCACTTCTGCAAGGACACCAATAATTAGTGTCACATTCTCGGACCATCCATCATTAACACTCAATGATGAATCGGTAGCTGGTGTTGTTTCTTTGAAATCCTCTCTCAGAGTGAACGGGGTCAAGCCGCAAACGGAAACAGCATTATTACCGGTAAAGTCGACGAGTTGTCCATGTTCATTGCGCATCAAGTATTCAAGCACTGAGTCGAGTTGATCGACAAGGCTTTGTGCCGCGCCCGCCGAGGCGTACTGCTCGTGGCATGCGACCCTCCAGACCATTTCCTCACCACTCAGCTCCATTTCCACACAGATGGGGAACTCTACCTCGGATTCGGACTTTACAGACCTCCATATGGTTGGAGAATCTCCCAAGGTTATACTCGTCTGCGACTGCATGATGAAGAGGGTGTTAAAAAGCGGCCCGCCACCAGTCATAGCAATTCTCTGCGCCTTTCTGAGCGGAAAGAACTGGTATTCACTGATGTTAGTCATGTTCTCCCACATGTATTGAAGATACTCGGCGATCGTGCCATGGAGCACTGTGGTGACGGGAACTGTGTTCATCATTGGGAACATCAGGTCTGCCTCGTCTTCAGTTGACCTGCCGGATAGAATTACACCAAACGTGACATTGAGCGATCGAGCCAGAGAGGAAAGAACTGCTGACCAACAAGCTTGGCCGAGCACCTGTATCGTAATACCGTGACGTTTGCAAAATGATCCGATTTCAGATGTAAACAAGTGTGACGAAGTATCCAACCTGTGAATGTGATTTACTAAGCGGCCGTTCTGAATTTGCTTTTCGGGCAAGATTGTAGGAGGCGCATCATGTAAAAAGTTGGACCAGAAGTTTTCGGCAGATTCCGAAGAACTATCAAGAATATTTGCCAGAGTAGGTGTATAAGACTCTCTTTGGTGGTATTCGCCGGCATATGCAGCTTGGATATCTTGATGGAAGAGACCAAGAGACGTGCCGTCGTAAAGCGGATGTGCGATTGACAGGACCATATAGTGTCGCTCAGCCATTATGACGGGCGTCAATTGGAGCAGAGCATGTTGTCCTTTTGAATTAACAGCTGTTTGGCGAGCATGTTCCATAATTGTGGTTGTCTCTTCCAGACTCGCGACGGATACAGCTTCTTTGAAGGGATCAAGCTTCTTGGCCACAACTTGTATGAAGGCATGGTGAAATCGTGGGTCGTCCACCTGGACAAAACTCGTTCTCAGAATAGGCGACTTTCGAATAACAGTCTCAATCGCAGACTTCAGAACTTGCATGTCAGTGTCGGCTGCAAGTTCAAGGACATCATGGTTAAAATAAAGTTGGAAATCTGATACAACCATTTCTGCCATCATTGAATCCTGTAAAGGAGTAGGCGGTAACACAGTGTCAATACCGCTTAGGTCAACTCCAACCGTATGCAAATATCGCTTGAGACGCGATTCTTCGCTTTCAAGATGTTTCAACGACGACTTTTTACCGTTTTGAACTTGACTAGAGTCATAGGCCGACATGATACCACGAACTGTGGGTTGTCTCATAAGTTGACTCGTCTTGAGGCTGATTCCAATGCGTCCTAATCTACCGACAAGCTTGACTACATCAATGCTATCAAGTCCAAGCTCGAAAAGAGACGTATTTTGACTGACTTGGTCGTTAGTCACACCAGCCAGTGCCGCAATCTCTTTCTGAACATTTCGGCCTTGCTCGGTCCAGATCAAGTCGACATCTCCCGGCCGCTGACTGCCCGAAGAGCGTGTCATAAGCGGTAATCCATTCGTCAATTGATGATTCTCGATGTCCTTGCTCTGTAGATCACCGAACCCGCTGTCAGACGCAATACAATCTATTATGTACTGGAACTGGTCAAGTGTAGCGTTCAAGGCGACTTCGTCAAATATATGAGATTTTGCGACTATTGTAACATTCAGGTGGTAGTCTTTCGTAGCTATACCTTCGAATGCAATAGGGTAATCTGCAATTGACGTCGAGTGTATGTCCGTCCAGAGGGGAGAGTACTTGTCCATGGTTCCTTCGTCTTCGTGGGCGAATGAAAACAGGTTATCGACTAGTGGTTGACCGTTGGAGCACCACTTCTGCACTTGACGCAGTGGGACGTGCGCAAACGAAGTTGTCATTGCGTTGAAGTGGTGTATCTCTTGCAGAAGAGAGTGCCAGTTATTTATCGCGGTGTTCTTGATGCGAAATGGCAGTGTGTTGAACAATGGCCCAATCGTGTTTTCAATGCCATCAAGTAACATTGATCGACCGGAGACTAAGACACCAATTGAAGGCCAGAATCCAAGGGATTGCCGCAAGACCGACAACCAAGCAGCCTGAAACATGGTCTGCTGAGTTACTCCCTCTTCAATTCTTCTTCCTTCCAATGCTCTGATATCAAATGATCGCGTTGATATAGCATCGTTTCGTAACGGTTCAGATTTGAGAACCCCGACTGGGCGGAAGCTGAAATTTGAGAAGATATCTTGCCAGAAAGATTTCGTTGAACTATAGTCGCATAAAGGACCGTGAGGGAGGACGTCCATGAAGGATGGCCCTGCTGGCAGTACAACACCATCGTAGAATGCCTTGATTTGTTGAAGAATCAGATCAAGACTGCGGGCGTCGTAAATTCCGTGGAAGATTCGGAATATTAGTGTGTGCCTATCGCCTACTTGGATACAGTCCATCTCAAGTGGTGTGCTGAAGAGCGATTCATTTGATCTCTTCCACTCTTGGTACCTTTGGTCTAGGTGCTTTCTAACTTCATCTTGCTCCAGCCGGAATTCTTTCCATCTGAGCAGGGGATTTCTGAAAGCGACCTGTACATAACCATCGGTGGTTTGTAGAAACCCGGTGCGAAGGACAGCATTTGCTCGCACGACGTATTCCCACGCTTCTTTCAGGCGATCTGTTGAGATGTTGGGAAGAAGCTGAAGCTGGAAACAATTGAAATATGCTGCACGTTCCTCCGTACTTAAAGCGCGCGTCAACATTCCCTCCTGTAAACTTGTGCAGGGGGCGATATACTCGATGTCAGCCTGGGTTACTTCGAACTTGCGACATGCCGCGCCAAGGTGCCGATGATAACAAGCCGATACTCTTTGCTTGATACGCAGCACTTCAGATTGTTCAAACGGGGCAGAAGTCTTCCGTAGCACCTTGCTCATCGCTCCTAGCCGCGGATTTTGAAGAATGATGGAGGGTGCAGCACCGGAAAACCCGGCTGTGCGCAGCTGTCGAGCAAGCTCTATGACAGAGATGGAATCAAATCCCAACTCAAATATCGTTGTTGATGCTAGAATATCGCCTTCATTAACCCGCAAGACATTAGCAATAATGCGTGCGAGGTCAGGCTGCGATTTACTAAGCTTTGCGTTTCCATGATCTAGACCAGAAGAAACGCGCCTCAAATCTTCGGGAGACATGCTATTGAACAGATGCTTAAGTAACGACGTTTGCGCTTTATTGTTGGCGGACAGTGGAATATATGGCACACAAAGTATGTAAGTTGGTATCATGTAGCTTGGCAGTTTCGCACGGCAAGCATCTTGTGCCTTTTGGCTCAAACGTAGACTTGAATCGTCAGAGACGACGCAGAGATCCCGTTTGTTAATGCTGCTGGTATCTGTGACAATGAAAGATACCATGACATCTCTATCTTGGTCGCGGTGTTTGGTAACCATAGTCGCAACGTCGAGAACTTTTGAGACTCCAGTTTTAATGACATGGTTGACCTCGCCAATTTCTAGGCGCTGACCACGAAGCTTGACCTGGTCGTCTGCACGGCCAAGGAAGTCGAAGCAACCGTCGTGCAATATTCTGACAAGATCACCCGTTCGATAGACTCGTTCTCCGAATCTATCGAGTACTGGGAAGCGTGCTCTAGTAAGTTCTGAACGATTCAGATAGCCTTTGCCCACCAACTTACCAGACACGCAAAGCTCGCCGATACCACCTCTGAGTACAGGCACATCTGATCCAGGCTGAAGTACAAATGACCCAACATTCGGGAACTGCTTCCCAATGTTGCTTGACCGGCCGTTTTCTGGCACTCTGCAATACATTGTGACACCAATGGTTGCTTCAGTGGGTCCGTAGGCGTTGTATATCACCCCTTTGGATCCCCAAGCGTCTAGGATATCCTGACGAAGCTGCTCGCCTCCAGTGATGAAGACGCCTTTACACAAGCTTGGGACGTCGTCTGGGTTCACAAGGCGAGCAAGACTCGGTGTGAGATCGATGTGTGTAATTTGAAGGTCCGAGATTGTAGCGATCAAGTCGCTCAATATCAGGTCTCGCGGTGCCGATATTACAGGTATGCCAACTGACCATGACCAGTACTGCTCTAAGACGGACACATCGAAGTGAAAGGAGGCAAATTGTAACCACCTGGACTCGCGATCCCAATGACCTTCAAATAAATATTGGAAAGCAATCATAGCTTGGACAGCATTGTCGTGTGTTATGAGACACCCTTTTGGAGTACCGGTTGTACCGCTAGTGTACAAACAATAGCAGTTGTCATTTGGTGAGATGTCGAGTCGAGCAAGTTGTGACTCAGAGAAAGCTTCGAGCGCATCAACGTCAATTTCCAGCACGACGCACGGAGATGTAAACGCGATATCCGGTAAGCTGCTTTCTTTGACCATTAGAGCAAGTGCTGCTGAATCTTCAAGAATGAACTGGTGACGTGAAGATGGTGCACTTGGGTCGAGTGCAACAAATGCGCAGCCTGCTTTGAGGATTCCAAGGATTGCAAAGTATGCTTCCGGGCATTTGTCAAAACAGACGGCCACGATGCCGCCGGGCCTGATGTCTTTCGTGGTCAAGAAGTGGGCAATGCGATTACCGCAATCATCCAATTGACGATATGTCCATTTCCGACTGTTCATACTTCCGCCCATTTCATAAACAAATTCGAGGGCCAAACTATCAGGAGATTGGTCTGCCATAACCTCCACAAACTCGTGTAATAGTTTGGTATTGGTAGGCAGTTCGCGGTTCTCAGGCGGGGTGATGGAGTATAGTTCCTGGTTCTGGAATACTAATTCATCCGCGCAGGCATCTGGCGACTGAAGCAGGTGAACTAGAATTGCATCGAATTGAGCCAACAGCAAATCTGCATGCTCAATGGGCAAAATATCGCGGCGGAAGTCGATGCTTACCAGCAGACTGTCGAATTGTGTTTCTTCAACTTCAATTGAAATAGGATAATCGACTGTTGCTGTTTCGCTCGTTATGTGCCACGGGCCACTGCCTTCTGGAGTACTCGTTCCTTGATAAACTAAAATCGTGTCAAATATTGGCGATTCGGAATTTCCAGTCCATCGTTGGATACGGGTCAGTGGCGTATGCTCGTATTTTCGCAATGTTGCATTATATTCCATCATAGATTGAAGAAGTTCTCGATTGCTGTCAGCATTCTGTGCAATCACTGGCAATGTTGTAATGCACGGAAAGACGACTTGGTCAAGTCCAACTGCTGTACGGCCTGACAGAACAACACCAAAAGTGACTGCTGCATCTCCATGGTAAGATGCGAGTATCCGGGTCCATGCTGACTGTAGTGCAGATTGAATAGTGACACCAGCTGTAGCTGCATTCTGACGCAAGTGCTGGAGTGAGCTACTCACGAGTCTAGACGACCTTATTCTCCTTCTCTCGTCGATTCGTAGAGGAGTCAACGTCGGGAAAGAATTCACTACCATTTTGGATGCCTGTTTCTTCCAGAACTCCTCAGCTCCACTTTGCGTTTGGGCTACACGCCCAAGAATTGAGACTGTCGCAGCTTCCATCGATAAGGGTGGGTGAAGTTCAATGCCTTCATAGATTTTTAAAAGCTCATCAAGCATTTCTTGTAGCGAGATAGCGTCATACAGCGCATGGTGCATTCCTACGTGCATTGTTTTGGAACCGTCATCTTCTAAGATGACGACTTGCCATGGTGGCTGTGTCAGGTCTCGAACGGCATTCAATATACATTGATGTCGCCAGCCATCAGTATGAAAACTTTTAGCTTGTTCTCTCTTGAGGCTCTTGACAGAGGAGATGGCGGAATTGGAGTCGTATGTCAGCATAGCAAATGATGTGTCCGGGTGGTGGATCGATATGAAACCAGTGCGTAGTATCTGAAGCCTGCCTTGCAATGAATTCCAGGCATTCTGAAGTCTTCCGCAATCGGTGGAAAGATCTAAGTTCCAGCTGATAAAGTTGTAATAGTTTGCACCTTCTGATAGAATAAACTGTGACAACATGCCCTGCTGAAGTGGTGTGCACGGCAGCAAAGCCTCGAGGTGTGTTGTCAGTTTCGTATGTTCGACTTGGCGTCGCACTGAATCTTGAAAGGAAGCGAGGTCGTATTGCAGTTGCTGGGCCGAGGGGCGGCTATCTACAGACTGGGTGCGCGATGCGATACCGGCGCATGTTGGCTTATCAAGAATATCTACTGGTGAGATACTCAGGCCACGCTGTCGCAGCAGGGATGCGACTTGAAGTACACTGATACTGTCAAGTCCCAAGCGATAGATTGATGTGGTCTTTCCGATGCGCTGCACTGGAATTCCAGCTAGCTTCGCAACCACATGGCGGACTTGCTCTTCAACATCAGTCCAGGGCGTTTTCGAAGTAACAAGCGGTATAATATGGCCTTGACTAGATTTCCGATCTGTGGTTTTGAGTGACACCAGCTGGTCGATCTGTAACTGTAGGTGACTAGGCAGTGTGTGTAATAAATCTTTCTCGGAGGATGGGTATCTCGAATAAGTCTCCAGGGCGTGAATATAGACATCTCGTAAGACGCTTTCCATTGACTGGTGATATGAGTATCTAAGCAACCGTCAGTGAAAAATATTGTCAATGAACTAGCCAACTTACACATCTATATGCAATGATATTTTCAACTCATCTGTATCAGGACAAGGAGTAATTTCGCAAACTATCGGAACCTGGTTGGCATAAGTGGATGGTCTTAACAGAATGGGATTTCATTAACACTTACATCCATCGTTCCTACATCCCGCTCCAGTATCCAAACTGACTCATCTAAAGGTTTCGCAGGGGGTTGAAGTAATAGCAATGTATCAAATAAACGAATATCGTCGACGGGTAATTGAGATCTTATTCTTCGTAACGGGGTGAACTGGTATTGTAGCATCTTCGCATTTAATTTCTGACACTCCCTCATTATCTCTCGTTTGGACGTAGTTCTTGACAGCCTGAGCCGTACGGGAACTGTGTTGAAGCATGGTGCGACGAGGTTGTCAATATCACCAAGCGGTACCGACCGCCCGCTGAAGACGTTACCAAAACAGATATCTGGACACTGCATGACAGTTGCCAAAGTTTCGAACCAAGCTGCTTGACAGAGTGATAGAAGAGAGAACCCGTTTGTTCGGAGCTTTGCCTGCAACGATGACAGCGGCAATGTATACTTTCTCGTTTTTGATTGAATAATGCTGTTGGTGCCATTGGTTCCATTGATCCCGTTAATTCCATCGTTTCTGTTCACTGCTTTGCTAACAATAGTGTTTTGAGGCAAATGGCTGGGCTGAAATCCTTCAAAATGTCTCGACCAAAATTCGTCCGTGTCGTTTGGCAAGTCGAGTGACTCTCGGAGAAAATGTTGAAACGATGGAGCCTGCTGGAGGGTCTGTCCACGAACTAGACTTTCGACTTCTGAAAGTAGCTTTTCCACTGCCACACCATCGTACAATGCATGATGACAGACGAACGAAAGATAACTCTGTTGATCATCCGTGGTAAGTAGTGCTAACGTGAGCGGCGGCTTAAGCGTGTTCAAGGGCTGATCTAAAGCTTCTAGATGCTGGGCAGCGCCTTCCTCGATGTTTGACACTCGTATTCGACTCCATGGAAGCTCATCCGGCTCAAGAACAATTTGCACCAACGGGTGCTGTATATCCTCTGTCGACATGAAACAGGTTCTAAGGATTCCATGACGCAAGTAAACCTGATTCCACGCCGCCAAAATCTCTTCACCCGTGCAATTGATACGGAATAGCATTTGATTGCGATAGCTTAACCCATCACCAGTTGACATCGTCGAAACCAGCATTGAGGCTTGTAGCGGCGTGCATGGCAGTATTGCTTCGATGGGTATGTTGTGAGCTTGGAAACGATTCTTCACAATATCGACTAGTTCATCTGGAAGCAGCTTGAACTGGGCTTGTGAACTATATCGATCTCTGTCAAGGTCAGGGGTGTTAAGTTTGATCGCGCGGGCCAGACGGCTGATGCTAGGGTTCTGAAGTACTTGGGATATTGGTACTTTTTGATGAAAAATTGTCTGAAGCTTCCTCGAGAAAGGCATCGCTGATATTGAATCTAGGCCGAGTGTTGTGAAAGAGGTCCAGCGACTAATGGTGCTCTTCTCGGCATCCAGTGTAGCGACTAATGCTTCCAAGACGTGCACCTCGGTATCCGTCCAATCATTAGACGTCTCTTCGTCGTCGGTATGTTTGCTGCATTGGTCCAAGATATCGTATTTTAGGTGGGTAGCTGATTGAAGAATGTGCTCTGTGTTGGTTTTTCCAGACGACGTCAGAGGTAAGCATGCGATTGGTAAAATGAAGGATGGTACCATATAGCTCGGGAGGGTAGCCTCAAGGGTTTGGAACAGTAACCGAGTTTCTGTCTTCCTTTCAGCTGTGAGGGGCAGTAACTCAAATTTCTGTTTGTCCATAGAAGATGGAACGTAGAACATGACAAGCTGCTGGGTCTTTATATTCTCATGTTCCAGCACTGTACTCACACAGGCCTTTGCGATACCAGATCCGAGCACGACTGACTGGATTTCTTGTAGTTCGATTCGCTGGCCACGAAGTTTGATCTGTGAGTCAAGTCTGCCTAGTATGATAAGTGACCCATCAGGTAGCATTCGCCCTCTATCCCCGGAGCGGTAAAGCCTGCCATATAGTGAGTGTTTGAAGAACTTGGAGTTTGTCAACTCTGGCATATTCAAATAACCAGCAGCTACTTGGTCACCACCAAAGCAGAGTTCCCCAATTCCCCCAGTAGGCACAAGTTCGTCTGAGTCTGGGTATAATACGAACGCGGTTGTGTTTTCCAACGGCCAACCGAGGAACTGCGACGAATCACCCGGTTGCATCTTCCTGACGGTACATATGTTGGTAGTCTCGGACGGTCCATATCCTGCGATTGGTCAGCCAATATACCGTTATGCAATGGTGTCTGGGACATACCTTGGTAAAGGACTCGCTCCCATTTGTTAAGTACCTCATCTGTCATAGGTTCTCCTGACGTGACAAGGAAACTCACGTTGGGTACATTCTGTGGGTTAACTAGCGAAGCGACGGTAACCGTCATGCTAAGGTGGGTCACTCGGAACTGTCTTATAGACTCTTCCAAGTCGTTGAAAAGCGTGTCGTTAGTAGCTGCGCATAGACACATCCCATTAGCCCACGTAAAGAATATCTCAAACACTGAGACATCGAAAGCCTGAGAACAGGCTTGGAGCATCCGTCTCTCGCCCTCAAGAGGATATATTCGAGAGAGAGCTTTGATATTACTGAGCATATTCTTGTTAGTCACAGAGACACCTTTCGGTACACCTGTGGTTCCACTCGTGAAGATAACGTAGGCCGGCTGCGTTGGATCATGGGATATGTCCAAGTTCACTGGAGAGAGATGACCAAACTGCCGACTGTGAAGTTCGACTACAGGACACGTGACTGAAATTTCATTCCATGACGACAGATCTTCAACGAAGCACACCTGCGGCTTCGACTGTTCTAGTACTGATTTGACTCTGTTGAAGGGTGTGGTAGGCAGCAGAGGAAGATAGGCACACCCGGCCTTGAGAATCCCTAGGATACCACAATAGAATAAGGGTGACTTTTCCATTATGATGGCAATAATTCCACCTTGAGAAATGTTACGCGCTACCAGGAATGCCGCAATTTGATTCGCTTTTTCGTTGAGCTGCTGATAAGTGAGGGACTCGGTTTGGACGGAGTCACAAAGTAACGAATGAGCAAAGCAGAGAGCCTCCTCATTTGGTGCTAAAGCTGCTTGGTTTTCTATTGCAAGTGCTAGACTCGAGCACGTCTCGAGATGTTTGAAACCTGTTGTATAAGCGGACAGGCTTAGTGGTGGGAACGAAGACCGCACTGATCTCAAGGGGGCCTCAATTTGCTGGCAGAAGTGTGAACAAAGATGTGAAAATTGCTCAGCAAATGCCTGCACATGAGGTAGCGAGAAGCTATCCGAATGATATGTCCATCGACAGGAGTAATTATCGCCATGCGGCTCGACTTCAAGCAATAGCTTCGTTTCAATATGATCTTTGTGATCAAGCTCCACAACCGCCTCTTCACCTCTACTCCGACTGGATAGTGATTCTTGGTAGACGAAAAGCACGTCAAACAATGTGCTTCCCTGAGGTATACCGGCAACTCTTTTGATATCTGGCAGTTTGATCGGACTCACATGCATGATTTGCCGGTTCAATAAATGCAGACTCCGTATCAGATCCAGGATAGAACTGCTTTCGGCCAGTTTTGCCCGCACAGGGAGGGTGCTTAGACAAGGGCCCATTACTCGCTCAATGCCTGGAATGGGCAAAGTTCTTCCAGAGAAAACTGATCCGAAGGTGACATCCTCAGAACCTGTGATGGTACTCCACAGCCAAGCTAGACATGCCTGGAATATTGCTTGAGGCGTAACACCTGATGCGCGAGCCACTTGCAGAACTTCTTGCGACGAAACTTGTAGCGTGGATTTTGCAAATTCGATGCCACGGCCATAAATTGCAGTTGACCTGAAATTCGGAAGCACAGCACCACCAACACCTCGCAAGAGCTCCGCCCAGAATTCTTTGGGGATGTCGCTTTCAGCTTGACTAGTGTCAAGATACTGCGCAATCTCGTGAAACTGGGGCCTTGCAGGAAGACTTTCGCCACGTGCGAGCACATTCAAATCGTCAAGGAGTAAGTCGATTGTCCAGCCATCGTAGATGGCGTGATGTACGGTTATTGTTGCCCTGGAAAGCGATCTGTGGATTTGCACCTGCAGAGGGTGGGCGAGAAATGCATCGGCGTCAGTTATCTCATATTTCGAGAATTCGTCGACTATGATAACTTGATCATGAGAGAATTGTCGCCACACGATCCGGATAATCTGATCATCAATATGAACAAAGCCTGATCGAAATATATCGTTGCTCATGGCCAGTTTTGAAAACCATGATTCCACAGTTGACGCGGGTACATTGAGAGGCAATCTAACGTCCACTGTGTTGACATATAATCTTGGATCTTTCAATGTCTCGACTAGCATCGATGTTTGCAGCGATGTGCACTGAGTAACAGCCTCGATTAAGTCAAGGTTTACATCATGCCTCGCAGTCTGGGTCAGCTTCTCAAACAGTTCAGATTGACTGTACTCTTGATGGCCGTTGGCAAGCGCTCGTGACTTTGCTGGCTCATTCTCCCGACTCTGAATGAGTTTGTGTAAGTCTTGTAATGTTTCTGAATCCAAGATATCCAACGGTGTGACGTAAATATTTTGACCCCTTAGCTGAGTTGCTAGTTGAATAGCGGACAAGGAATCAAGGCCGAGGGACGATAATCTTGATGAGATATGCACTGATGTGTGAAGCAAATCTCCAGCCACACTACAAAGCATTCTCTGGAGGTCATTCAAACTTTTTGTTTCGCCATGCAGATGTTCGTCTTGAAACAAGGATCTCGAGTATTCTGATTTGAGCCGCATCCGATCGACTTTTCCAGATGGCAAACGCGGAAAATCTTGCATGACCACGATTTCAGACGGAACCATGAACGAAGGCAACCACTTCTTACAGTTAGCTGTGATCTTCTCGTGCATATCCGCTATACTCTCGACAGCCACGAACGCAACAAGAACGTTTGATATGGCGCAGACATAGACGCCATGGCAATCCTTTGTGCGCAGGATCACATGCTCTATTTCGCCCAATTCCATACGTTGGCCATTGAGCTTGATTTGGCCCTCGGCGACTCGTCCCAGACACTCAATTGTTCCATTAGACAGTATTCTGGCTTTATCACCTGTTCGATAAACGCGGCCGAAGTTTGTCTGGATGAAAGATGCCGCTGTCTGCTCAGGTCTGTTGAGGTATCCATCTGCCAGTTGATACCCACCAATTACAAGTTCGCCAACCTCGCCAATAGGCACAACCTCGAAGTCATTCTCGTTCGCATTATCGGCAGAGCTTTTTATCACAAATGCGGAAACAGTATCAAGAGGTATGCCGATGCACTTGGGGGAGTCATTCTTCTGAAAAGCTGGCTGTAACGTGCTACACATTGCGTTAGTCGTGGTTGCAAAAAGAAAAAGAAAAAAAAGCAATGTAAAGGCAGACCATACCAATGAATAGCAGCTTCTGTTGGACCATACATGCCCCAGAGAATGCTTGGTGTTTGAGCATTTCCACCAAATTCGTGGACCACCGGTTCCGTAAGCATCTCGCCGATGGTAAGAACGAGCTGAAGACAAGGTGCAAGAGTTCTGCTCCTAAGAAGACTGCCGGCCACCGACGGTGTCAACTCACAAGCATCTACATCCATCTTGCAGATAATACCAGGAAGATCGGATAATAGATCTGTGCGGTCGCAGCATACCAACGTTTTTCCTTTGAACAGCGGGAAGAAGATTTCAAAAACTGAAACATCAAATGTTGGTGCAGCAAACTGCAGAAAGCGTGCGAATGGCGGCATATGTTTATCATGAGCAAGCAAACTCTGGACTGCTGCACCATGAGAAATTCCCACGCCTTTGGGTGTACCAGTTGATCCTGAAGTATACATCACGTACGCCAGGTCATGCGCCATAGCCTGCCTTTTCCAAACGCCATGGTGTTCTGCATCTTCGACTATTGAGGTCGAAGTAAAATCTTCCTGGTCGACACATATGAGTTTAGCCTCTAAACCTGCAGCTGAGATGCGTTGCACGAGGGCTGTATTTGTGAGAATTAAGTCTGCATTGATGTCCTTGAGGATGAATTTGATCCGTTCAGTGGGCGCATCCAAATTTATAGGGCAGAATGCAGCCCCGGACTTAAGAATAGCATAGAGAGTAATATAGAGATCAGGACACTGGGGTATCATAAGCGGAATAATAAGTTGGTGTTCTGCATGCCTCGCCGGAAGTGCAAGTATTGCTTGGGATATGCGATCAGCAAGACGATCTGAAAGAGTCTCGAAATCATGGTAGGGGATGGTGAGTCGCTTCCCATCCTCGCCGAGAAAATCAATTGCAGGTCGGTTGTGATTGGCTGTGACTCCGACGAGGTCGTGCAGAAGCTCTGGTCCAGGAAGTTTTGTAGGTGTTGCGTTGAGCATGGACAGCCTAGTGGTATCCTCGGGATCTCCCATTTTAGACAACTAAGTTGTCGTGCAGCCGCGAATGCATCTAGCTTGGCGATGATGTAGCTCTTACACGGGTGTACAAGTAAAGGCGTATTATAGTCTCCGGCGCTTGAAATCACAGGTAGGCTGTAATGTAAGGTCCAGGAAATTCGTAATGCGGTGGATTTGATTGGATGGTGGTGACCAAAACGGAAGGGCGAGTAAAATAGTGGAAGCGTGGAGACTGATCGTGACGGGGTCATGCGGAAGGGCAACTGTAAACAGGTTGACCAATCATAAATCAATGTTACCGACTTCTCAATAGTCCTGAGAGCTGGTGAGGCTTGTTGTTGGGTTCCTTGCTGGCGCATTTGACGCGCAACATTTCAAAAGCGGTGCGTGTTTCCGAGGCATGCAACGACGATGCCGATTCCTTAGCTAGCGAACACACGAACGTAGACTAAAAAATGTCCGACTGTGATACCCGTGACTAGCGGGCCGTGGATATTCTAGTAAGATGGACTTCCAAGATTGGTCGAAAGTACTGACATTAGTTGAGTAGCTACTTTGAGCTGGTGTGATGCCCATAGAACTTCCTTAGTTGTGTAACAACGATTGTTTGATCGCAGAGTACAGAAACAACAAGTATATCAAGCCATACTACCTCAGATCACTCATCGTTCTTTATTGGGCAGGAGACAATCTACTTCGCCGTAGCCGAAACTTTAAAGATCAGTACTCAACACCATCATTGATTCAAATAGTGCTGGGAGGAGTGTTAGGTTAGACATGAAGGAGCGGGCGGCGTGCGCTACGCAACGCTGTCATAGGGCGACGACGCGACCACTACTACGCTTACATAGTACTTATGCCGGCCGGTCACTCTTCCATGCCCCCAGTCCACGCGCTTGCCAAAAGATGGTGTCCACATCAAGTCGCGCAACGAGGAGCTTGAAAACAAGTTTACGTCATTGATTCCCGTGAAGTGGCACAGAGCGTGGGGAGACATGGAAGACATGTGGTATTTAGTAAGTCAATACCACAGTATGCAAGTAGCCGATTCGCCCTACAAAGTGGGCGGCACGACAGACGTGAATCGAGTGCGTCTCAGCGGACTAAATAAACGTCACAAGTGTTTGCACTCTCATATAGTCATCCACAATCTAGTGAAAGATGACTGTGTCCAGGCTTCTATACCTTAGACTACTGTAATCTTGAACGACTGGCGCCATGTGTTACTAGTTGCGCAGTGGCCTGCAACACCGCCCATATGGATGATACCATGAGTAAAGACAATGGGCTATGCATTTGTTGGAGTGCTGAGCCGGGCACTAGTGTCTGTCAGGTTCGAAGAGGGCCATGTTGGGCTGACACCAACTTATTAACGCAGCCGCTGAATGCCATGCCAGAAATCAAGGAGACCCCCGAGCCGACGACTACATCTCCGAGACCAACAACTAACTAAGTCGACAGCCAAGTACTAGCAGCTTGAAAAGCATGTCATTAAATGCAACTTGTTCAAGAAAATGTACACCAGTGCGAAACCCGAAGGCGACCCAAACTGCGCCTATGCATCAAGGTTGGTGGGTTTTGCACATAAGCCCCTGTCTGGTATGTTAGTCACGCCGAACACCATTTCTTATACAACGATTTTTTTCGGAAGGATCGAACGATTTCTGAATTTCTGGCAGTTAGAAATCCTCGGAGTATTGCCTTCACAGCATTAGTCCGCCCGGCTTGGCTTAATACTACAAAACCCACAACACTTCGACCTTCCCTTTCCCAAGCCTCTAGAAATCGTCACCGTGCAGTGTGGGGCTCCGATCGTCTCCAGGACCCCGGCACTGATCCTTTTTTGAGTGTTAATCTTATCTGATCATCAGATAAAATCTCTTCGCCCAATCACCACTGCCGACTGGAGACAATGAGACAACTACAGCGGGTGTACGGCCAAGGATTCGATACAACTTGGCCGATCGACTCCGCGTCACTGCGTGAGTGGTTTTCTTCTGCATGAAAATTTTTTCCAGCATGGCTCCTCCTGGACACTTAGCAAACTCGCTTGCATTATTCATGGCCCTTGAGGAACGCGTCCGATCCAGGCATTTTCACCAAATGACTCCATAGGAGCCACATGGAATCGAGTGTCCACTATACCCATCTGATATCTCTGCGAGCTGCATTTCGGATCTCACTCGCAATGGCTATGGTTGTTCAGCCTCGTACGACAGCGAGGTAGATCGTACGGGTCCAACGGACCAGCACGAAACTGGTAACAAACTCGGAGCGCTTGGTGGTAATCTGCAACGTACCTGAGTCGCCAAGATCTTGCATGTTTCGCTGGACTACTATGTAGGTGCACAGCGCGGTTCTTCATGATGATTGGGTTAGCGCATCGACGATATGTCGTCCAGTCTTGAATTGAAGCCATGCTCAATAAGGCTGATTTATTGCACACTAACTTTCATATGGCATGTGGTGCCTCGAGCATATGGCGTGTCGAAATAGCTTATGGTGTGTATAGAAGTGCGCCACGATATTTGCTTCGTATTCCGACAGGGGCTTATACCACAGTACCTCTACTATACAGAAGCGCCCATTGATGTCATGTGCATGGTTGAAAGACATAGGTCCTCGATCATTGTATACGTAATTTAGTCGCAATTTCAGCAGCAACCCTTTCCCAGTGTGCAGAGCAAAACCCGTTGATTAGTCGGGACAACGCAAAAACCCCATCTTCTAGAAGTGTTAGCCATGTACTAACTAACATTGCGCTATTACCAACATGCTATGCATTGAAATGGATTCAAACACGAGTAGTCGGAAGCCAACGGATATTGAACGAATAAACCTTACTGGAAGTACATAAGCTCAGTAAAAATGACCCGTCAGGGCCAGGATTAAGGGTAGACATGCCAAAGCACATGCCGAGGGCTTCTTTCATTCATGCATCTCCATCTGATAAGATTTTTTCGATAACGCCGACTTCGCTAGCATTAGGACCCAGATGCCCCACTTGGATGCGACTTTGGCCTCTGGGCATGGCCTTCGTCCGCACCAGCTTTCCCCATTGCCACATCAGCTGGGCCTCATCACGAATACTAAGTAGTAAATGTCTCTACCGAAGCTTCGTTTAGCGACGATAGCCCGGGACAGGGTCGTCTTGGCGACGGAACACACAAGCAAGGTCTGTCGTGTACCAGACAAGCGTCCGGTCGCTCTAATTCTTGGGAGCGGAACGTCTGCTGATGTCCCATCAATGTACCCTCGACTCAATCAAGCTGCCCCAGTGGACTGCTAGTTCAGGCCTACCACGGCAGTTAGCGTAGTTCCCTTGGCCATTGGCGCTGATCGAATGTCGTCAAGCCGTTATTCGCCCTATTCCTTTCTTGTTGGAGATACTTTGGGTGTACTTTAGCCATTCGATTTCCGTCGTTGGGTGTTAGAGATCCCGCCACAAGTGTTACTTGGGACACCATCGTTTCTGTGCGGAGCCGTTTGGATCTATGCAGGGTTCGACGAGGTTGCAGATGAGATGAGGCCATGGCTGGATCTTTTCATGTTATATTCGCCAAATCGAGTACTGGTTCTCGAAAGGTGGCATGTCCTGTGTGGAACGGTCGAACCCGATCTCAGCAAGCTACCGGCAACTTTTGACTTTATTTATTATGGTCGCGATTCCTTCTTAAAGTTTTCGTTCCTTCCTTCCTGATGTAATCCCACCCCCAGTGAATCATCCTGAGGCTTCAAGTGAATGACCATTCACTGTTTGCAATAATTTGCCCCGCTTCCTGTACTTGCATTGCACACTTGCCGCTGGCTTGCAAAACATCACCAGTGGACTTCTCAACATCATATCCACATCATCACTTTCTTTGCCTTTTCGAAGTTGCCAACTTCGCTTCACTTCCCGCTCTTGAGCCACAAGTTCACTCACGCTTTGCGCATGCATTCTGTGTTCGACCGTCGCAATGTCATCTCATAACCTGGTTGGAAGCCACATCGACGGCCCTCCGTCGCAAAGCCGATCTCATCTGAAGCCCACACGGGCTGATGAGGTGCACGATCTCATCTGCGTGGGCTTCGGCCCGGCGAGTCTTGCTATTGCCGTAGCACTCCATGATGCGATGGAGAATGGCAAAATCTCCAGGACTCGGGCTCCCAAGGTTCTCTTCTTGGAGAAGCAGAACCAGTTCGCATGGCATGCCGGCATGTTACTGCCGGGTGCCAAGATGCAGATTTCCTTCATGAAGGATATGGCAACTTTCCGTGACCCACGATCTCACTTCACGTTCCTGAACTTTCTCCACCAGCAGAACCGCTTGGTTGACTTTACGAATCTGAACACTTTCCTCCCGGCCCGAGTCGAGTATGAAGAGTACTTGAGGTGGTGTGCAAACCATTTCGGGGATGTTGTCCGATACGGGCAAGAGGCAGTTTCCGTCTCGCCAGTGTCCGTATCCCAAAACGGCAACCCGGTGTCGCAATTCACTGTGAGCTCAAGAAACAGCAAGACCGGAAATGTCTCAACTTTCAGAGCCAAGAACGTGCTACTTGCCATCGGTGGTCAAGCAAGCATTCCCAAGTCGCTGCCGGCCAAGCATCCACGAGTCATCCATTCCTCACAATATGCACACCTCGTCCCCAAGATCCTCAACAAACGAGATGCGCCATATCGCGTCGCAGTGATCGGAGGCGGCCAGAGCGCTGCTGAGATTTTCAACAACGTGCAGAACCTATACCCCAACTCGCGCACTTACCTGGTGATGCGAGCTCCGTTCCTGAAGCCCAGCGATGACTCGCCATTGTAAGCCGCACTTGTATTTCACACATGAAATTAGCTAACAAATCACAGTGTCAACTCGATCTTCAACCCGGAGTTCATTGACAACCTGTACCCCAAGCCTACGGCATACCGAAAGGCTCTCATCTCTGACGCTCGAGCGACGAACTACGGTGTCGTGCGATTGGAGCTTATCGAGCATCTCTTTGAGAAGATGTACGAGCAGGGCCGTGAGCTTGGCAAGGACGAACGAAACTGGCCCCACCGCATTCTCGGCGAGACTGACATTGTTGGAGTCGACTCAATTGAGGGTGCTCAGGACAAACTGCGACTTCGTGTGCGATCGCTTCACGAGGACCAGGCTGGGGCTGCTGACTCCGTGCTCGATGTCGACTTGATTATTGCCGCAACTGGGTACCAACGAAAGGCTCACTACACTATTATGGATGAAGGCGTCGCTAGCCTGCTACCCGACCTCAGCAGCGGTGTTGGCATCGACTCAAACGGAACAACTCAGGTAGAGATTGATGTAAGAACTCAAGGATCACGCTTTGAGAAGAAAAGTGTCAAGATTGCGCGCGATTACAGCTTGCAATTTGGCCCCGGCAAGGTGGCCCCAGGTTCTGGAATCTGGTTGCAAGGTTGCAATGAAACCACTCATGGAGTAAGTTTACACACGACACGTTTGTCCTCACTTGTTGCCAGCTACTAACAACTTTCGTAGTTGAGTGACACCCTTTTATCGGTGCTAGCCTGCCGCTCAGACGAGATCGTTAACTCGCTCTTTGCCGCCGGCTTGCCAAGGAACGCCTCGAAGCTCTAAGCATTACTATGTACATAACCGCAGGATGGAAAACCCATTCAGGGCCGGCGCATATGAGATACCAACATAAGACTAAAAGCATGTTCTGATCTAGATTTAATAAAGCTTTGATTTCGTGAGTACTTACCTGGGCTGCATAGCGTTGACGCATCATGAAACCTTGTAGACTCTGGAGTCGACCCGCCCGGTTAGCCGTACCTGGCTCGCCCCTGTGAAACATATGCCCGAAAACCATAATCCTAAGCCAATGTCGACATATACTTATCATGCATACAATACATCATCACAAGCATAGTGCCTATAATGTTCTAAGTATATGTGCTAGCAATAGCACGGTGGGACTAAAGTATATTTATGAAGCACATAATTCAATAATTGCTGCATGTCCTGGATCAGAACTCTAATTCAGACTTGAATGCTAAAAGAGATCCTGGACCTGAATTCTTGTGCAATCAGGTTATAGATAGAGAACCGTTCTCGATTTTATGGCGAAGGTAAACTGATTACTTCGACTTGTTACGTATAAACATAAAAATACAGAATACATTGTACATAAAAAGCTAATCTCGATGACCGACCGGATATCGAACCAAGTTAACACATCTGCAAAGAAATACCTTTGTGACTAACCAACAGAACCTACGGGCGATACAAATCAATTAATTCAAGCAGTATCTGGATATCGAAATATCGCAATAGAAGGGATTGGAATGTCATCCTCTCAGAGCACGATTTGGCTTCTTTTCTCATACATAGAACGATAGCCCACCTTAATCTATCCTTTAAACGTGCGTTAGAATCAATAACCATACCTTACTGCTGTTGGTAGCACGCGCCGCCTGCTTACGCAGCCACAGCAGCGGGCGTTGAACAGAAAATCAACCGAGTAAACAACCGAACAAAGCTAGAGAGCCGTTTGTGCATACTTCTAAAACTCTATTATTTTATGGTCCTCTATCGATCTCATGTTCTCCACCGGTATATTATGTACTCATATTCTTGGACCAAAGCGAGTGATATCTTGACAGCCCTCGTCATGGGATTACGGTACCAGTGTGCTTCTAAAGAAGGATGTCAGTAATGCTCTAACCTAGCAGCATAGATTAGTCTTCAAGGCCTAGACGCGTCATGAGCAGTAGTTGTAGAACGAGTAAAGATATTTGATGATATTGCAGAGTACGTCATGGTTTTGCGCTGTCGCAATGGACGATCTGACCCTGTGATTCTCTTATAGCCGTAAGTACTGCAATAATAAGCATTGTGTCAACTTGGCGATAGAGTCATCCTCATAAAGAATTTTCATAATCGATTGGAATATCTTGTCAGTGCTCGAATTGCGTTCTTTGGTCGCCAAACACCACGTAAATAGTCTATTCAGCCGCACAAACAAAAGCGCCTCAAATGTGACCCGGACCTCTGGAAATGTCGTTGCGGTAGCACCTACGTCCAAAATCTGAACACGTTTTCATGTTCGGGCCTCTCGTCCTGGTACAGCATGACATCCAACTTTTGCCGTACCACAAGAACTTCCTAATGCGACCCGGGAAGCCGGTGCCAATAATCACCCACATTGGTTAGTGGAATTCGGCAGAATTGCTGAATATACTATTTATAGGGCCCCAAGGACTGTTGACGATATCTGATTGGGCCAACCGCGACATAATAATGAGCTGACTATCTAGATAACATTTGAAACATCCCTGGTCGGGGTAAATTAATTGGCATGTGGGGAGTCCAGAACGTCGGCTACGCAGACCGCAATTCACATCTAGTTACATGCATTCCACACCTTGTTTGCGCCCGGCTTGTGGGAGCTGCTTGAGAAGTTGACGGGGTAGAAAAGAAACATTGATCATTGTCTCTTTTGAACCTCCGATGTCATGACTTGAATCTAACATTATAGTACTATAGTTCTCAATTGCGCGTCACAATTGTGATCTTGTCTACCTGCATCGACATCTCTTAAGGCTCAAAAACGTTTAGCCGGTCAAATTCTGCAGCATCCCTTATACTTATCTTATCCGGGAGCAGCAACTCGATTGGTAACAGGAGAAAGGATGAGGTGTCTGCAATCGTTCTGGACGTTCGTCCTTATATCTCTGGAGGCCACAACATCGACAGCGATCTCGATAGATCTAAGGGCAGTCGCACCTGGTACAGCCGGACCAGTAATCCCATACGCAGACAACTATACCACTCTAGCAAGCGGAGTCAGAATATACGGGACGCCTTCCCTTGCCTTACTCTCAGGGGAAACAACCTCAGACGGCAATGGACTGAGCGAAAGAGGCGATGTGAGCCTGTCTCCTGGGGGGGAAATCATGGCACAACGAGACACTGCCGACTGGTGCATCAACGAAGTCTATGATAATCAAGGATCGGACAATTCACCGCTCATAAGCGACTGTCAAGCTGTCGCGAAGCAGGTGTACGCGCTGGTCGGTAACAACAAAGCCTATTTCGGCAGGTCCGAGTGTAATCCAGATGCCGCTGGCCAGTTCACCTGCTATTTCCCCGTCGTTTCCTTCCAGACTTGCATGTTCGGCGTCAGCACCATAAGTTCCGGCCCAAGCATCTCTGTCCGCGTAGGCTGGCAGGATGTTGGCGACATAATCATGAGCAGCATCAGTCAATTTGGCAATAAGCCTGTCTCAGGCAAGGTTGGCAGCTCCGGGGAGATGCAATGCCCGGACGAGGGCACTGGCAAAGCTTCGTTGTTTGCGACGGCTTGGGGACTTTACCATTCGTGAGAGCCTGAGTGGAATATTGGGGAGTGTGATCAAAACAGTTTCTATCTACAGAGTTTTTTTTTTTTCTTTTCTCGGCCTCATCATGGATGATCAGCAGCGTATGCTGGTCATCAATGTCCCTCTCTGTATCTTCCGTGGCAATGTCATATATGTGGGACGATTTCGCTTTATGTTTCGCAAAACGGCATCTATTCGACAGGCGTCAGAATCTTAAAAGGACGTGAAAAGTATTGAGGGCCAATTAGACTGCTGGGACTTATGCTACCACCTTTCATGTATAACTATTGTTTGCACTGTATCTTAGCTATGATGGCAACTTGGTAGCAAACTTAGGAAGAGACAAGTTGTTTCATATCATCCCTTACAGATCCCGAAGTTTCTCAATGAGTCAATTCCCGGGTCTCCATCATTACCACTATTCCTGTGCCCGTAAAGCAAAATTATATGCACACTTTATGGCTTGACTTGCCACAGAGAATCTCACCGAATACCGGTCTACTCAAGTTCCTGCCGAGCAAACTGGTGTATCAAGCTATACGGTACATGTAAAAGTTCACAATCACATAGCTCAAACAGCTACTAGCTAAGGTTAGTCTAGTATAGGCGTGGCAGCTTGGATTGTCTTGCGTTATGCCGCTGGCTTTCCACCAGGAGGAATTGCTAAGATCGGTTGACTTTCGAGGTAATTCCATTCAGTTAATCAAATCCATTGACTATGTACTATGTAATTGTAACAATCGTGAATCATTATGCTTACTACTTGAGATTATATGGACAGCGCCAAGGACGCTACCGTGGGCTCGGGTATGCACTATGTTAGATTAGACTAAGTAGTCTAGCGTTGATATTTGCATCATCCCACGTCTGCCCACGCGTCAGAACGCGCTTCTACTATACGTCACTGCATTGGTGATTGCTGCATAGATACGCAAAGTATCTTGGGAACATGATATACTACATACCTGTGCAGTATCGCAGATATTGACAGCAATATCTTTTTATTGAATTTATTAGGCCGATCTCCACTCCAAATCAGCAGGCAGAACAAGCAGGTCCAATTTTGCCTGTCGCAAGTTGCTTATGAAGCTCCTCCAACACGATGACGCCGGGTCTCCTCAATCTTCCCATTGAGCTAATCACGCTTGTTGTTAGAGAGCTCGATAATGTCCCAGACCTGTCCGCACTAGCTAGGTCCTGCCGAGGCTTCCACAATGTTCTCACACCTACGTTGTACCAAATCGTCAAAGATGACCCAGGTGTCTTGTGCTGGGCTTGCGACGAGGGCCAAGCCCGAACGGTCGAATATCTCCTCGCCGCCGGGGCGGATCCAGATGTTGGCTGGATATCAGACTCAACGAGGGCCTCAATGCTAACGTACGTACGAGCGTTCGATTGTTTCTATCCTCCAAGAAAGCGGTACGACAAAGCACAACCCGTTGCTCCAGTAGCATCGGAATCAAAGCCGCCAGCAACAGACGCTATCAAGGATGCGAAACAAGCAACAACTGATGAAGACGATGACATACCGGACGAAGACCATATCGAAGACTATTCGGAAGAAGACCATGACGACGACGAAGCGGATTACATAGAAGACAACGATGTTGATGACGATTCAGGACGAGACAGCGATGAAAGTAGCGACGACGGGAGTGTCGAATCCTTGTCCCCGGACGACATTCTGGATGATGGACCGCACAAAAAGAAGTACTATTGGTCTCCCATTCACATCGCCGTTAGGTGGGGCCACAATGATATCATCCAGCTCCTGGTGCGGTATGGAGCTGATCTCAACTCCATTTCACGAGGCTTCTGCGGTTGCATGATTCCTACTGAACTTCCCATCGCTGACGGTGATTACAACGATCCCGGAGTAATATCGTATAACCCAATCTGGCGACCACTTCATGTAAGTGCGGCAAGCAAGTCACGAATATGCTTTAGTTTTGTGATCCAAATACTACGGTTCCTTTGCGTTCCTTTACTGCTCTTTTAATTTCTTTTGACACTCTTTGCTACAGGTTTTTCAAGCCAGATTGGGGAAATGATAAATGCTGACTTGTTGCTTGACGAGTAGACTGCAATATGCTATGAGCAACTTACTACCGCAAACCTCCTTTTGGCTCTAGGCGCCTCAACCAATGTCTCAACCAAAATTCTAGGCGGCGACTGCATGTTCACCGATGACCCATACGTTACCGCTCTTCATACAGCTTGTGAGCTGGGCTCCGTTGAGATGTGCGGGCACCTGATCGACAGCCTGTACCAGACGAATTTGGAAGCCAAGGACCACGTCGGTAGAACTCCCCTTGTATATGCGTATTACAACGAGAATTGGTCGTGTATAGATTATCTCATAAGCATGGGTGCTACTATCAACACCAAATGCGGCCCATTTAGCCTTTTTCAGCACGCCTGCAACTACGGTCAGTTTGCTGAAGCCAATCGGTTACTGGAGCTGGGCGCGGACATCGATGTTACGTTTAGCACGCCCGGCGATGAGACGTCTTCGTTGGCCTGTTGTTGCTATGGAGGGCGCTTAGAAAGAAGAAACAAGCTCTGGAACGACCGAGCTGAGCGTCAGTCACACTTGAGGGTCAAAGTGACGCAACTGCTTATTGATCGCAAGGTAGATATTGAGAAGGGCTGGAAGGACTCGACACCACTCATGGAAGCAGCGGCTTCACATCTATCAGAGCTCGTTGAGCTATTGCTTTCTGCTGGCGCAGACGCCAATGTTGAGGATGCGAACAGCAATTCAGCACTGGTAAAAGCCTGCCAGTCGACGAGCAGCTCAATGCCTGGGCCCATGCTTCGAACGGTTCTGGCACTTCTGAACTGCAAGCCTAAACGTGCGCAGTGCCGGGTAGCCCTCGCAGCTCTATGTAATACCAAGGATCTTGAGCACAACACAGATCGCGAAACCGCTGCTCAGCTTTTGCTCGACTACGCCGGGAATTCATCAATCGCCCGCAGTGTGGGCCAGAGCCTTCTTGCCTCGTCTATCGTCAACGGTAATACCGGCCTTGCTGCAACATGGGCGGGACTTGGAGTAAAGCCGACGAAGAAGATGATTCAGACTATTGCTCGCAGAGCAATCGAAACAGAGTTCTCCTCGGCCCTCGAATATGTTCTGGACAATTTTCGCGGTTCTGCTCCTTTGCTATTGTCGGGCCACTTGCTCCTCAAGGCACTCGCAGCTGGAAGCAAACTGTGTGCTATCGTACTGCTTATGAGAGGTTCACAGTTTGATGTCCGCTCAGAAGAAGGGGAAACGTGTTTATTCCTAGCTTGTCAATCTAAAGGGACTTCTTTAGCAGACATGTTACTCGTAAGGGGTGCAGATCCTAACAGCTGCAACGACGACGGTACCTATCCACTTCTTCCAGCAATCGCCAATGAAAACAGGAAACTGATTGCCCTCCTAATGAAACACGGCGCCATGATCCACCACGATCCCAGTGGGCTCCAAGGATCTCCTTTAGATCTGGCTATCATGTTGGGAAAGGCCAACGTTGTGCGGGAAATAATAGCACAAGAGGCATACTGGGATTCAACGAAGCAAGAACGCAGCGCACACTTGCGTGTTGCGTGCACCAACCCAGCAGGTCACTTTGAAGATGAACACATTTTGTATACGCTTATAAATGCTGGAGGTGTAGATATTGATTCACCTATTGCAACCGGGCTCTTTGCAGCAACCCCTTTGCATTTTGCTATCGCAGCTGAGAACAACAGTGCTATCAAAGTTCTGATGAAAGAAGGAGCCAAGATCCACCGCAAAATTTCTGGACAACCGATCGAACGCCAGCCAGGGACTGACTCGGCTGGAGGAGCCGAGGACCTCATTGCAGGCACAACACCTATGGAGTTTGCTCTAAAATGCGGAGACGTGGCCATCGCAACCATGATGATGGATGACGAAGAGCACACGGCGTCTTCCGCTCATCGTTATATGCTCGAACTTGATGACGTCTATGTGCCGTGGATAGAACACACTGACGACGTACCAATTGTCGACTATGTCAAGGCTGTTTGTCACAGACATAATCAAAGTCTTCTCGCGAGGCTCCTCACTCGAGGTATTTCTCCAAACATCCAAGATGCCCATGGGAAAACACCGATAATGTTGTTATGCGAAGCCTGGGACAAGCATGGCGATGACCCAGCGTGGGCGCCTGGTGCGGTGGCTTCGCGCATAGGAAAGTGCATAGGAATGCTGTTTCACAACCGGGTAGGCGCTAACCCATCTATTTGCGACAAAAAAGGAAAGTCCGGCCTCGACTATATACGACAAAGGATGGCATCTACTGAGGTCACTGATCATTGGAACGACGCATTCGTCATTGAAGGAGACTCTGTCAAGTCGCTGTTATAAGCAGTGATGCTGAAGCTGCAATAAGCATATTATTGTGCACAAAGCACATTGACCACATCGAGAAGAAAGTCCGAATTCTTTTGCATGAATGTGGAAACACTCTCCTTGATGTACTACTTCGCGCTTGATCATTAGATTGATTCAAACTAAAGGAGCTTGCGACCTTTCCGTGGCGCGCAGAACTTGCGCATATCCTTCCAGCTCTCCATTGTGTTGACACAACTTCCAGATCATATGCGAAGACAGTCTCTACCAAAAGGCGTCGAATCTCAAATATGTCGGAATGCATAACAGGCATGTACAACAAGCTTTCAAAGATAGAAAAGCTGGTTAGCCTTCTTCCAAAGATAGAGCCGTTCCTTAAGTCCATTCAAAACTTTGGTTCCAGCTATTGGGCGCCCTGGAACTGGGAGGAAGCCAGCTTCCCTAGACGAGCCCTTCAACCATTACTGCAGCATGACTCAAAGAGCCATATGTATCTATCACGACACTCACCGCCGCCAATTTTTCCCAGCGTTGTAGTCTATTGTACAGATTGTGCTCTTGGTTGTGTCTGTACAGATAGTCATATATGTGATCTAGGGGTGATACCGGTACCCATAATACGTTAGCAAAGATTCATCAGATATGATTTTGACCTACTATGGCCGGAGCTAGCGGACATCTAAGAAGCTACATCGACCGAGCTTCTTACTGAATGATGTTGACTGAGGGGCGTTCTGCGGAAATACATCGCAATGTGGTCTGATGACAAGGTAGATATGCGTCAGCGGACACCATGATCTAAGATCCCGCGACGCGATGAGTGGTCAGATAAACCTAGGGTATGGCACAAATATAACGGCCAAACACACGGAATGGCGAACCTTTGGACTACGGGGTGCCATGGCGTGTAATCCGCCAAATCACACATTCCACTATCCGCGGAGTCCTAATCATCGCGCATGACAAATACGACATCACGCCAAAAATTGATCCAAACCGCTTGGATCGGCGCATATATAAAGTCACGCAGAGGCTGTCTCATTGATAGCGGTATAAAGCGAACATCAACCTCGGTTCTTCTTTAAATTCGTAACTGCTCCTGGATGGGCCGAGGACTTGGCAATGTCTTCGATCTCCCGACGCCACCGCACCGCAACGGCAGTCTTGTCCTTGGCCGAGTTCTGGGCACAATAGTATGACTCTTTTTTACGAAGAATGAAGGCTCGATTTTGAGTGAGTCAGGGTCTACGTAGAATACAGCATCGTCTCGATGTGAAATTTAAAACATGTGCACCTAGGCTGGACTGTGACGATGGAAATATGACTCCCATATCATCGTGCTAACGTCGACGGGCGGTCTGGAGAATTGCTCAAACATTATTGTAGTTGAATTTGTGCTTTCTCGTACCGGCTTGGATACATATGGATTTGAGTAAAACGTTAATTTACGCACGGGTCTATGCGACTGCCCAAACCCATTCTCACTAATGACCGTTATATTATATCTGTGCGGTACCGAAAGCGATGAATAATGCTATACAGAAGCAGCTGCCCATTATCCACACCCGGAACCGTCATATAGAAGAGTGACAAGAAACCTTATTAAAAACGAATCTATCCATTTCCACAGCATGTCCTTCCATGGAAACCCCCTTGAAAGTTTTCCACGCAGTCTCTAAGCACCGCCCTCTCTCTTTGCGTACTCCTCCTCCATAGCCTCCTCGTACTTGCGATCTGCCTCCTTCTCCGCCTCCGTCTTCTCCCGCGTGGTGCCAGCTCCCGTGTTCACGCCGGCGCCCGTGGCTTTGTCCGTCGGGGAGTTCTCAGACCGCGGCGCGCCATTCCTGTGGCGTATCTGTCCGGGACCGATCGCCTGAGGCTCCTCGAGACCTCTAGCGCGCTCGGGATTTGTGGAGCTGGGGATAGGCATTTGTAGATGGGGAGTGTAAATGGGTTTTTGTCTGGGGGGGTTTTTTTGTTTTGAAGAATCGAGGGTGGTATCTTCTCTGAAGTGGCTGAGTGTGGCTGAAAACTTTCAAGATGAGGATGCTTTGAAATAGCGGTATTTGTAGGCGATGTTTGATTGTTGCTGATTTGGGCTTTGGTGGCGGCCAGTGACGCCGGTCGCCACTTGTTTAGGTGGCGCCTGCCGTTTCCAGCCGAGAGGCAACCAACCAAGGCCAACGTTCTGTTTTCAGTTGCTAATAAAAATAGCTAGAGGCAAGATACATTCTATCGAAAGGAGAGACACGGAAAAGGCAGTAAGTTTATTGATGCTCATGCGATTGTACATATGCTATACGTCTGTCTATGTCTATAGTACCCACCTAAAGCAAAGTGCTAAGAGACCCCACGTAATCTTACAGCAATTCTTCATCTACTCCGTCTTCTCTTTTCCTTGAGCAGACCACTTCCAGGGGGCATTTCTGTGCAACATATAGTCCTTGCTTTGAATGCCTCTGACAATGCCAACCAATCCGCCCAGTGGCCAGATACCCTTAATCATTCCTTTCCAGCCTTGCTCCGGCGGCGCATCCTTGACCCTTACTTTATCGTACACATTCGGCAGACTTGTAGCTTGGTACTTCTTCCTCAGCTCCTCGTACCACTCTCGGTTTCCATAAGTCTCCCAGAATTCCGGCTCGCTGTAGTAGGTATGTGCGTAGAGCCACTTCATGCCACCTAGCTCAGTGACCTTTGCCTCGAGACCGCGGTTCACCTTGACGAACTCTTGTTTATCACTAGGTCCCCAGCCCCAGACACCAATATTCAACATCTCGCCAGCGCCCTTGCCTCGTAAGTGCGGATGGAATGTAGGGCCTTCAGGCGTCTTCAGCGGACACAACCACAGAGGCCAGATGTTAAGAGAGTCGGTTGTGTAGTCAATGAACTCCTCGGCTGTTTCATAGGGTATCGCCAAATCCTGAACAAAAAACTTGGCGCTCTCGCCACTGGCATGCAGGGCACGATACAACATGCGGGTGTGTAAGAAATCATCGAGGAACCAGCGGAAGAAGCGAGTGAATGGGACAGGCTTGAAGTAATCGAATGCCGCAGCACCCACCCAGAAGCCACCACGATCGTATCTAAAAAGATATTCCGCAAGGGGGACATACTCAGTCACACTACTGGCCTCGCTCCCTGTTGCGCTTTCTGATGATGGTAGAGTCTTGGTGACGTCCTGAACGTGCATGTAGAACCACGGATCCCACGGTCCACTGAAGGTCTGAATGGATTCGCCGTTACTCGGTCCCTCATCGGTCAGGGTCCCACTGACAATGACGCCATGGTTCTTCGAGAACAGAATGCCGTCAACGTAATCGTTCTCCTTCTTGGCAGTTTCCTCCTTCACGATCCTGATCGCCTCGGCTACGCTGTTAGTCCTTCGGTAAGTCGTCTTGACGAACTTCTTGGCTTCTAGCAGTTGCAGTTCCAGCAAAGTCGTGACACCCAGGGTGCCCACGCTGGCAACTGCACCTTTCCACAGATCCGCATACTTGCCCTTCTCGTCGGGGGTGACCTGGACGACCTCACCGTCCGGCAACACCATCTCCACACTTCTGACCGTCTCGTCAAAATACCCGTGCCTGAAACTCGAGCTCTCCCCGGCCGTGCCAGCAAACCCACCACCAGCAGTGATGCCAGGGAACTCCATAACTACAGGGGGGACCAGGCCGTGCGGCAGCGTGGCAGCCACGAGCGCGTCCATGGGGACATTGGGCTCGACGAGAGCGGTGCGCTTGGCCTTGTTCACCTCGAGAACATGCTTCAGTGCCGAGATGTCAACTAGGTGTGAGGACTTCTTCAAGTGTGCTGGCCGGGTCGAGTTGGTGGACCCATGGTTGATGCGGTAGGGGAGAGCGCGCTCAAAGTAGGAGCGGATTGTGGAGGAAATGAGACGGACTGCTGCTTTGTGGCGCTCCATGGTAAGATGCCGTAGGAAGAAGGAGTTGTGGATACGAAGAATAAAGAAAGGTTACCAACGCAAACACAAAACCATCGACACGGCCGCTGGTGGCTCTCGCAGTCGGGATGGGGATGAAACGCGTGTTCAACGTGATACGATGCTGAAAATTTAGGGTGCTGACGGGGGGTGCTGAAAGGGCGCTAAAGCTGTCGGAAGCAACGACATGCAAGCCGCTGGGTTAGGGGAATCACGTAACTGGAGTCTGTACGGATCCATAGATATTGGAAGTTCCTGGAGGGTTATGTAACGTGTCTGGTTCACAACATTAATGAAATTTCATTGTAATTAATATCCAAATTATGTATGTTCAGAATTTTCCTATGAGGTATGAGAATACCGTGTATATAATCGTTTACGAATGCCTATGTCCATGCCCAGGCTTCGTTTGATGAGAAATTCCAACTTATTAGTGAGTCCCTTTTGTGGACAGTAAATACTACTAATATCTTGACAACGCTACCAATTCCATGCTCTGCAACGCCGTCAAAAGTTTGATATCATAGCTTTGCTGGCACTTCCGGTATGCTGTTTCGCCTCCTTCCAACCATGTTGTAGGCCAACTTCATGATTTGCTCATCAGTGAGAGAGCTAACTGTATCGGCATCGATCTCTGATTCCTCGCACGTCTTAGCTTTAATGCGAGTATAGCTCGATTTGAGACTCTCGGGGTTCTCAACCACCGCAGACATGAATTTGGTCCAGCCATCAAAACATCTCTTTGCCTCGGGAGTATGGCCAAGAATGGGCGCGAAAACGTGTGGCATGGCCTCATACTCCTCAAAGACAACCGTTACCCCTTCTTTCGTCAACCTGGAGACCAAGTATTTGTCTTCATCTGCCAAGCATTCCCAGCCCGTGCACACATATATCGGGGGCGATCCATTCCACGACTTGACCATTTGTAAACTTGCGAGCGGGTGTAATAGGTAAGCATCATCGACATAGAGATGCTTGCGAGGGGGTGAAGCTGGCCAAATATTGTCGGCGGGTGTTTTCTTATCCGCGAGCAGATTTGGTGCTGGCAAGTAGTCCCATTTGAGATTCGACTTCCAAGATGGAAACGATTGTACCATGTCTAGCCACGGAGAATTCAGTGCTGCTCCTGCTGGTAGAGGAATCTCTCTTTTCTCCCCGAACCATGTGATTTTCGTGTTCTGCCTTCGCAGCTCAAGTAGTGTCTGTAATAAAGCCAGGCCGAGGTTACCTCCGGCGCTACAAAACCGTCAGATTTGAAAGAATATACTCGCTTTAGTGAAAGACATACCTATCCCCACTGATCACTATGTTAGCCGCTGATACCGCCTCATGATGGGCCCCAGGCGGCGGATATAGTAAGGTGAAGTATGATACCAACGCATCCAGTACCGCTGACGGAAAGGGGTGCTGCGGCGCAAGCCGGTATCGTACGGAGTACACTCGGCCTTTCGTTAATTTGGCTATCCTCTTGCATGATGCACGATGTGTTGACGGATCGCAGAGATAATAGGCGCCACCATGAAAATAGAGAACCGTAAGTTCGCTCTTGACCTCTTTCATCATCTCGTCGTACTTTTCTTCCTCTGAGATGCTTGGCGGCTTCGAGTTGCGTTCTGCTGCCACGCGATACCCTGTCCATTCGGCTTCGATTGGGATGATATCAGGTATCCTACATTGCTCCCCAGCCGCCACAAAGTCTTCCTTCGTAGTGTGGATAACTGCCAGTAATGCATTTCTTATGCTCGTTTCCGGGGGCACTTGCGAGGATACCGTGCAGATCCATATTCGCCCCTGTACGCCTGGGTCTTTCAGTGTCATCGCTTGTGTTTTTGAGATGGGCTGCGGTTCCGAATTGCCCATCATGTCTCTGAGAAAAGAAACTGTGACATTGCTTTTCAAGTCCAGGTACTTCGCAGTCTCTGATATGCCCAAAACGTGTAATAGGACTACGCGCAATACATATGGTATTCTTGGCAGTATAATACGAAGTAAAGCAAGACGACTCTTAATTCGAGCCTGTATGCCATTACGTTCTCTAGGATGCTCCATGGAGACCTAGTTCTCAGCCTTGGATCGTGAAGTATTTCGTAGGAGTTGCTTGCAAACAAAGCGCTTCTACAAACGGCTCTACAAGGTGATGTAATAGATCGCCACTAGTTATCGGAAAACCCCTCAAATCCTTCACATTGGGAGCAGCGCCAGAGGACAAAGTTGAAGGACAACAGTAGAATAAGAAAGATCAAGACCGGCGGCACAGCTTCCCGGGCGCGAATGAAACATTAGAATCATGACCTACCTGTTATGTGTATATCGCCCTAGCTTGATCGCCAGATCCGTAGGGGTTGGTGAGGGCAAGGTGAAAATGTGTTGAGTGTCATCTCCCGCATGTGGCAGGGCCTCTCCCTGGGGAAAAGTTCCGAAGAACCTTGCGCATACGCTAATCATGCATTCCCATCCACTGAGAGTACACCGCTAACCCGCTATAGAACGAACTTCGAGGTATGTATCGACGAGCCTCGACAGCACGATTAGTTGGTGCGGCCGCTTGGTGGCACCTTCAGAATGAATTTTGATCATAGACCGCTCCGGCGTCCTGGGAAAACCTGCTACGCTTGTAAACATCGTAAACTATAACGCAAATATCTGCCTAACTTAACGATATGGGGTGTATAGCTAAATTTATGTCCTATTGACTTGGAGGCAATGTTTATGCGAAATGGTTCTACAAATGCCGTACAAAGCTTAGCATAGTCCCTGTTTCTAGGTCACTCGCCATGTTATCTCATATCTGTGGTTGAGAGAAGCAGATGATTATCAATTATCTGGGATGGCCATGTCAGCAGGTGATTTCCGAGTTACAAGCTAGAAACGAACATGGAGGGAACCATTGTGCCTAAAATTGGATGCAGAGTGGTTTGACAGGCAGAGCTTAAAGATCCTGTGCGCTGGCGGACTCGCGACACAAGGCCGAAAGAGGCAACTGTCGCGGGCCTCGCCTCGGCAGGACAGAGCAGTTCAAGAGCCCGTGCCACTAAATAATGGCGTCAAGTGGCTTTTTAAGAGGATGTACGGAGTATCCTGGACTATCAACGTTGGAGATTTCAATAGCACGATCCCAAGTTGTGAAAACAATTTTGCAGCTAAAAAAAAGCATTGCGACTAACTGTTCGATCTTGTTCGGTCAGGCGTGATATATCTAGATAACGGATTTATGATATTGCCAGTCGATATTGTTAGTGGTGATTACGACATCAGATTGAACACAGCACTCGAAAATAATGGTTCGCACTAAGAACCTGCAAACCAGACTAGCATCTACGATTTACAGTAGTGTTGGCTACTGGTATGCAAATTCGTACGGGGCCATGCGAAAAGCTAAACAGGAATTTGTAATACCTTTTGCATCACTCAGGAAAACATTTGGATTGCAATATTGTAGTGTCATAGCAGAAAGTGATTACTATTGTGACGTGTAGAATCTGAAATCAAAACGCAGTCCGGTTTGCCGATCAAAGACAAAATATAAATACCATTTTGACAGCTTAAAGTGACGAGGAGCTGTACCCGATTGATGTCGGTCCCTAATGATTGATATTCTCTCGCACACGATTGTTGCTACCAAGATTTGCTGGCACACAGGAGTTGGGTAAACTCTACAAACACGATCAAGTTTGAGTATATGGAGAATATAGGCACATGTTTAGCAAATCAATATTGATCTAAGCCAGAAAAAAAGCGTCATACATGATCAGATTATTTTCTTTCGCCCCCTAAAAGCGTGTTGGAATTCCAAACAGACCACCGAACCGCGCCAATATAGTACCTATCTTGTCATGGCCGTATTAATACACATGGCTAGTGAGGGTTTTAAAGACAAGTCGCTTTCAAGAACTGCTTCCAGCCTCTTCCTGTGGCTCACTAGCAGATTCACTTGCCACTTTCTTTTCCGCCAGTGCCCGCTGCCATGCTGGAATAGAGGCCTTGGCCGAGGGCATGCCGCTACTGGCGAAAGGACTCGAGCGGCCGCCAAGCGATGAGATGTAGTCTTGCTTCGTGCTCTGAGGCGGTGCATCACCGTTCGTTTCCTTTTCCTTTCCTGACTCTTCAGCTGCAGGTGTGGTAGGAGCGGCAGGAGCGGCAGGAGCGGCGGCTGAGGTGGCCGGTGCTGCAGTACTGGTGGATGGCCTCTGGTAGCCTCCGTTGCTTGAAGGCGCCGGGGCAGCAGATGAACCGCTGGACATCCTTTGCCCAATGAGGGCCTTTAGGCTTTTGACCTCGTTGGCAATTTCGCGTAAGCGACCGTCTGTGAACTCCTTGTTGGTGCTTATGTTCCTTGGAATGACCTCTTTGAGCGTCTTCATCTCATCCCGAATACGATCTGTCTCATCCTCTTGTCGTCGTGAAGCGGACTTGGTATCATGTATAAAGCTCTCGAGGTGATCGACCAGTTTATCGAGTTTCTCGGTTCGTTCTACTTCGGATGCTTTCAGAGCCTCGGTGTCTTTAGATAGCTGTTCTATTGTCGCAAATGCCTTTTCAAACTGTTCATCGACAGTGGTTTTATCTTGCTCAAGCTTCTCCGGGGTTGGAGGTGCAACTAAAGGGTAGACGTAACGCTACTCATCTATTAGCTTTGAGCAGTGTCTCTGTTCAGTGTGCCTGCCACCTACCTTGGTGATAGTATACAAGCCATAGCTGACTCCGCTGGCTACTGTAGCCATGATGAACCAGTCTCGCCAGTCTCTCCTGGGCGGCGCCAGTGGGGGAGGCTGCCATCCGTATGGAGGTGGCTGCTGATATTGGCCATAATATGGTTGTTGGGAGTGTTGCGCAGGCGGGGCTACTGCCTGTGAGGGTACAGGTGGTGAACCCGCCCGCGCCAGAGCTGTGTCAATCTCTACCTGGGTAAGATTCTTAGACTTTAGAAAGGAGATCTTGCTTTCGACAGATGACGAGGTGACGTTGGGGTCCTGGAGGAAATTGACCGCGGAGGTGACGACATCCTCGCGGACAGACATGATGAGAGTACGAGTATGGTCGCGATTATTTCATCGTCCCATTCGTGCCAAAAGCCTCACTTTACTGCAATGGTGATGGCTCGTAAGTCGTTCACTCGTGCTTCAAAGTGAGGTTCGTCGAGTGAGGTTCGTCGAGTGACGTTGAGCTGCTGCGTCTGCGGATTCAAGTCGCGAGGAGGACACTGGCAGGTCGCTGGCTAACTGAGCAGTTTGGGTGGCCGGCATTGCCCAGTAACTTAGCAGAAGCCGAGGCTTAAGATACCCGGCTTAGGCTGGTGCAAACCCATGCCACTCTGCTAACATCAGGTAGATATCCGTGCAAACCACCAACAAAGCACATGTGTGGTGGCTGCAGTGTTCCTCTACAGAATTTGATACCATCCATACTAGCCAAAGAATGAATGAAATGGCTTGCCCGAAAAAGTGGTTGGCTTTTCAGTATTGCCATTTCCTTTCTACCAATGTTCGTCTATTGATTGTCTGAGATGCATGTCCAAGCAACCTACTGTGCAGCATTGACTTGCAAGCTGAGCACAGACCAGGCATGTCGGCGTCACCCCCTCTCATCCGCCGACGTCCTGGAAAAGATGCTTCAACCCCACCATAATTTTTGGACGAGAAGCTTTACGCAGGTACTGGAATGCAAGGCTACCATTGATCGGCAGTCACACTTTCAACCACAGAGTGATAATACCACCCTTGAAAACTACAAATCAGCAACGTCAGCCTGCCCAGAGAAATATGACTCCTGCACCCAAGCGACAGAAGCGTGCGGATTACCGTACTGCACGCCAGCAGGATGAGACTCCCTTGGAGATGCCCAAGAAGAAGTTCTACCGCCAGAGAGCTCACGCAAATCCCTTCTCCGACCATCAACTAGAATAGTTCGTTACCACATAATTCTTCCAACTCAGATAACTAACATAACATAGCCCTGCATGCCCGGAACAGATGGATTGGTCGACATATTTTCCAGCATATGCAGCAGACTCAGAAGAGCTCCCTGACGCAGCTGCCAGTGCCGAGGAAAATGCTCCCGTCAGAACAGGTTCAAAGAAAATGAAGCAAGACGTCGAGATCATTGACATAGGTTGTGGCTTTGGAGGTTTGCTCGTCTCCATGGCACCGGTTGTGCCAGACTCCTTAATGCTTGGTTTGGAAATCCGTACCCAAGTCACCGAGTATGTCCAGGAACGAATCCGAGCACTTCGCGTTCAGGAAGCGGAATCAGGCAAATATCAAAACATCGGCTGTTTTCGAGCCAACACCATGAAATTTCTGCCAAATTTCTTCAAAAAGGCCCAGCTGTCCAAGATCTTCATCTGCTTCCCGGACCCACATTTCAAGGCTAAAAAACACAAGGCGAGGATTGTGTCGACGACTTTGAATTCAGAATATGCCTATGTACTTCGCCCCGGGGGCATCGTCTACACAATCACGGACGTTGAGGACTTGCACAACTGGATGGTTCATCATTTGAATGCCCATCCATCTTTTGAAAGGGTCACTGAAGAAGAGCAAGAAGCAGACCCGTGTGTGGACATCATGAGAAATGCGACTGAAGAGGGCAAGAAGGTGGAAAGAAACAAGGGTCAAAAGTTCGTTGCATTGTTCCGACGCCTACCGGATCCCGCATGGTGAGCCGCGGGGGATATTCCTTTCGACTGATTCATGATGCATACCGGCTTTGAGTATACCGTAAACTTGATCAACTCCAATGCTGTTTTTGGCCTATTTCGTGGCTGTTGGAACTGCCGGTGTGCAATGTGATGAAGCTTCTAAACAACTGAAGCGACGCTTCGTTACAAGTGAGCCTTGAAAAGGGTATTGTGCAAGGAGCAGTACAGTTCGCCGCTACAAGCCAAGCCAATAGCCCACTGTGAGACTGCGACGCTTGGGAGACGCGAGGCCAAAGAAGACCGCATGCGCGTTTCCAAGATAGACCCTGGTCACTTGGCATAAGATATCCTGTCTGCCTGTAGAAGCCGCAACTGGAAAAAGGACCCTGATATCTATACCCCAGATAACAACAGCGGAGCTCTTAATCACATTCGCAAGGCTCCTATCTGCAGCGTTACCTATTTTGGTGATAGCTTATCCACGGATGAAACGCCGTGAACTAATCTCCATGATATCGATTGACCATTGTCCATTCCCCAAAAGGTCACTCATGCGGATTATTTTCGGGTATGCTCGGGCTCTCGAGCTGCCTTGTGGTCCCTGCCGCTCCGCACTCTGAACTAGCGGCTCGGCAATCCTCCGCAGCGGCACCACCGAACGATTATGCCGACCCCCATTTGCCATTTGAGTTCATGTTAGTAATAGCCATTGGCACTTCCTCCGCCTCGTAGAAAACACACCACAAATCACATCGGGCCGCGCTACCTGGCTGGCAGGGGGCGATTACGATTCAGAGGTTTGACCAGGCAGGCCTCCCTTGGTTGCAAAGCCGCCTGAGATTGGCTCACGACTTGCGATCCTTTTAACTTGCGGCTTCTTAACAGCATCATGACCGGCCGAGACTAGACTGAAACGGCGATGGCTGTTCGACCAACGGAAATTCACATTACTTAGCGGATTCTGTTCCTGCTCCAGACCTCATGCCCTCGTACAATCGGGCAATCCTTCGATTAGTGCAGAGACGCGCATCCCGGTCCATGAAGTAGCATTGCTGAAGGCATTTCATGCAAGTCGGCCATTCCTAGAAATTTGTCTCGTGACTGCAGCGAATGAGAGGAGAACCTGGTGCCGGTTTCCAAACCATCTGACTATACTACTGACAGAGTGGAACGCGTCTTTTACACAAGCTTCGTTTAGCCAACGACCATGACGTCGGTCCCACTGAATACCCGTTCTCTTAGAAAACTTCTCTCCACGATTGTCCCCGTATTTCCCACCTTGGCAATTTTAGACTGAATGAATAGTTAGTTCCTCCTTTCCTCGTCGCTTTACTATGGCCCATTTCATTTATCTGTCGTAGAGTCCTCGCATATGCCGGTCATCTGCAACTCCTTCCTTCCAAAACACTCAAGTACCGAGTTGACTCTCGGAACTGCATGGTTGATTTCGAACTCGACGACTTTGACAGCCACGAGTCCCATCATCTTCTGTCACTGACCATGGGTCTTAAGAAGGAGCAAATCAGTGCCGGCATGGCGCGGACTGGCGAAGAGACAGACATTGGCTCCGCCGACGAGCTTCTAGGAAGCCTTGGCTATACACCCGAATTGCAACGGAACCGATCGACACTGCAAGTAGCGTTCATGTCCTTTGTGCTAGCCTCGATTCCATACGGTCTGGCAACCACATTATACTATCCTCTCAACGGCGGTGGCCCTGTCGACATCATCTGGGGATGGGTCGCCGTGTCTCTGATCATCATCTGCGTGGCAGCATCACTGGGCGAGATCACCTCCGTATACCCCACTGCCGGAGGTGTCTACTACCAAACGTGGATGCTGGCACCTCCGAGATGGCGGAACCTTGCGGCCTGGGTCTGTGGCTGGTTGTACGTTGTAGGCAACATCACGATCACGTTGTCCGTCAACTTCGCTACTGCACTCTTCCTTGCTGCCTGCATCAATGTCTTTGAAACTGCCGAGGGCGAGCCGGTCTTCGCGGGCGAGCCATACCAGATCTTCCTCATGTTTTTGGGTATCACTTTGATCTGTAACGCAGTATCTTCGCTCGGCAACAAATGGCTGCCTTGGCTAGATGTAAGTTTATCCTTCTTCCTTTTTTAAAATATTTTTCCCCCAAAAACAAAATTTCATGTGTTACGCCATGTGCCACCTGCTAACGGTAAGGGTATAGACATTCGCGATCTTCTGGACTTTCTGCGGTGTTATTGCCATCATGGTGTGTGTGCTGGCCATAGCTAAGAATGGACGCCACAGCGCTTCCTATGTCTTCACAGACTTCACAGTCAGCTCTGGTTGGACACCCGGTTGGTCTTTTATGGTCGGCCTTTTACACGCAGCCTACGCTACCTCGTCGACTGGAATGGTCATTTCGTAAGCCATAACTTTTGTTTCATGTGCCTCGAGCATTATGACTAATTGCTCTGCAGTATGTGTGAGGAAGTCCGACAGCCTGCCACCCAAGTGCCCAAGGCAATGGTGCTCACCATTGTCATCAATACTGTTGCCGGCTTGATGTTCATGATCCCGCTCGTCTTTGTCCTCCCTGACATTAGCGAGTTGGTTGCCCTCTCGTCTGGTCAACCGGTCCCGACCATCATCAAGAGTGCCGTCGGCTCCGCAGGTGGTGCCTTCGGTCTGTTGGTTCCACTGCTTGTGCTAGGATTTATTTGCGGCATTGGCTGCACTACGGCTGCCTCTCGCTGCGTCTGGGCCTTCGCCCGTGACGGTGCTATCCCTGGATCTCATCTGTGGAAACAAGTCAACCACAAATTAGATGTGCCGCTCAACGCCATGATGCTGAGTATGGTCGTCCAACTCGTCCTCGGTCTTATTTACTTTGGATCCACGGCCGCTTTCAACGCCTTCTCTGGTGTTGGTGTGATTGCACTGACGAGTGCCTATGCCGTGCCCATCATAGTCAGCTTAATCGACCGCCGACAGACGGTCGCCACTGGCCAATTCTATCTTGGCAAGTTCGGTTACTTTGCCAACTGGGTCTCTATCTGTAAGTTTTTCTTCCCTTTAACAGCCTCCCGTGTGCTGACCTCGTGAAGGCTGGTCTGCTCTCGCCGTCCCGTTGTTTTGCATGCCGTCCTACATTCCTGTGGAAGCGGCGACTATGAACTACGCGTCGGTCGTGTTCGTTGCATTCACTCTGATCTCATTGGCATGGTATGTTGCATGGGGTCGCAAAAACTACAAGGGTCCCCCGAGCTGAGTTACTCCTCGCGCGAGTGATGTTTCGAAGCGTGATTGGATCTCTGGGCGTGATGTGTTGCGCGTGATGGTCGGTTCGTGAAGTGACGATGGTTCTCCGTGTGATATGTGATGACGCGTCGGTGACCCGCAAGAGAGAGGCCGTGTGGAAGGATGCGCGGTCGTTACCTCGAGTTGGTACCCGCAGATGAATTACAGGATGTGGTCGTTACCTCGAGTTGGTACCCACTGATGGAGAAGCACTTGGAACTTACACAGGTCGTCGTTGTCGATGTCCCCCCAAAAGCTATTGGGCTACTCGAAACACCTAAAGTTATGGATTGCATACGTTATACCCCCCCCCTGAAGCTGCCGCACGGCTTAATTTAAGTCTTGGGGCAATTCAGTGAGCATGAATACAAATATTGATACCCACTCCAAAAGTACACACTTGACTTTTACCAGCCCCGGCTTGGTTTTGAACATGGGCATTGTATGGATAGTCCTTGTACAGGCTTCATCGGGAGTCATGCTATTTATAGTTGAATGTTTGGTAATTTTTCATGCTCTGATTCGGACAGTTTCGTACGGATTCAGGTACAACACAAGTGATCTCGGGGGGCAGACAAAATTCCGCTCGAATTGACAAATAGTGTCTAGCTTCTTTTAGTACGCGGTCACGGTGAAATACTGGGCCAAATTTGACAGTCTCATGAGACACGGGAAGGACGCACGTGGATACTAGTTATGTGCAGAGACCGAAAGAAAGAACCAACGGCCAGCGGTAGCGACGAGGCTCCGGCCTTCCAAGCATGAGTTATGGGCAGGCAAAGATGCCTTGCTCTTAATCTAGGTTAGGTGGTTCTGTACTCGGCATGTCAGAAGCGGTATCAAAGTCATTCGAATGGCCCTGGCTTGGGTTAGACCAGGTTAACCTTAGTTGATGATTATTGCTCTATGAACAGGCGCTGCAGCCGCTGTAATGGATAGGCCAAGCCAGTCTAAAGTTTCCCCCTAAGCTCCCCCAAGCTTCCCCTGTGCTGGGCCTGCAGGTGTGGCTACGGTACGACACCGGAACTGGACTGGGCAACGGCCTACCGTAACCGTAATCGTATCGCAATTAAACAAACAAATGGAAAGCCTCCGTAGCAAACACTCGACTGCCGCCGACACGGACACGGACACCGACACCCCAATCTCCCCAGCGATCCGATGACGCACGAGCTATACCCCTCCGACAATCCGGACGACCATCATGGTCCTTAAGGGAAGAGACCTTGCCGTCGCCGGGCTCGTCTGCTTCGTAGCCTGGGGCTATGCCGTCTCCTGGCTGCCCGCCCTGCGCTGGGCCGTCTACGCGTTCGTTGCCGGCTGTTTGTTGACTCTGGTCTCTATCCTGGCCCTCATCCTCCTGACATCCCGCGGCGGCGCCCACTACACCGCCAACGTACGGACCCGAATCGCACGACCCAGAGCCGTCGAGTTCGTCGGACCCCTGGCCTGGCGCAGAGAGACGAGCTCCCTGCGCGTCCGGCAGATCTACGAGCCCGCCCCCCTGTACCCGGACTCGAGACGCATCTCGCATGCCATCGACGAGCTCCTGACTCTGATCCTGCGGGACTTTGTGCGGTCGTGGTACAGTCACATCAGCGCCAACCCCGTCTTCGCCAACGAGGTCGACAAGACGGTGCGCATCGCCTTGGCAAATATCCGGGACCGCTTGCTCGACGTCGACCTGGTTGAGGTGGCCATCGATCGAGTTGTGCCCATCCTGACGGCGCACTTCAGGGACTTCAACGATGCCGAGCGGGCCGTCAGGGGCCGCAAGCTGAACAGGAGCGTCACGGAGACGGAGGAGCTCGACCTTGCCATCGCCGGCAAGTACAGGGATGGCCGTCTGCATGCGGCGGCCAGTTTGGCCTACTCGGACTCCAAGACGGTGCAGCAGGAACACCTGCGCAAGACCGTCGCCGCCATACTGCCCAAGCTGCTGCCTCAGAATGTGCTGAATAGCAGGGCTGTGTCCACCATTGTTCGCGAGATCGTGGGCTGTGCCGTACTTTTCCCCGTGATGACGATGCTGTGCGAGCCGGACACTTGGAACCAGATCATGGAGAACTATGGGCGCACTATGTTGCAGGATCGATCAACCGTCAGGAAGCTGAGGGCCGCCCTGGACGCACATGCCACCCCAGACCCCAAGAAGGGCAAGAAGACGGCCACCACATACCCACGACTAACGCCAGGAGATGGAGAAAGGAGGTTTGAGAAGTGGATAAGAGCCATAAGAAAAGTCAACAATCTGTCAGATGCCAGGAGATTCAGAAGCGAGGTTGCCAGCCAGTTGAAAAAGGATTCCGAGCAGGAGGGCCAAGATCAAGTGTATATGAGAAGGCTAGAAATGGGAAAGAGACTGCTAGATCAAAGGGTGCAGCATCTTGCTGCTGGCGGCGACAGGAGGAACGTACCAGCATACACCAATTCGACATCGCCAACCGAAACCTCGCGTCTCGAGCATGCACGCTTAGCCGACTTGCTAAGGGATACCTCGGGCCTGTCGTACTTCATGGAATATATGGACAGACAGCGTATGATGCCCCTGGTACAGTTTTGGCTGGTCGTGGATGGGTTTCGGAATCCACTCGAGGATGATGGGCCAGAAAGTGAACAGTTGCCCTCAACGTTACCACCATGGACGGATTCCGATCGCATGGATCTTGCACAGATAGACCAAGCTTACATGTCTAGGCCTGAGCTCAAAGTGCCGGATTCTTCCAAGAAAGCCATCCGGAACTTCCTGGAGTCCGGAAGGAAAGCAACACCGGAGCAGTACTTCAAAGCCAGACGTGCGGTATTGAGAGCGCAGAGCACAGTACTCGAAGAGATGCAATCCAAATACTTTCAGTCTTTCAAGAAATCTGACTTGTGGTACAAATGTCTGGCATCCGAAGAAGCTTCCAAGACGGCCGCTTCCCTTGCACCGCCGCCTCTACCCGTCAGACCTACCAGTCCACCCCTAGCAAGAGCATCACAGTCATACCAGCAAACGAAGCCAGCACCCACATCCGTCGCAAGGCTGAATCCCCGGCTTAATACGCAGGTGAAGCGTGGTCTTTCGGCGACAGACTTGCGGCAGGCCACTAATGGTAGCCACAGTCCTGACCCCATGGGTCGGCGTTCACTAGATCAGACTTTGCATACCCCTCTGTTCGACGATGACGACTTCGATCATGACCCGATGGGAGACTCGATACAGAGCTTAGATCAAGATCCTGTAGATCCGACGCCTGACACTAATGTGGTGCAGGCCATGGAAGAAGCGCTAAACAACATTATGGAGGATGATCGACCAGAGTCAGCTGAGGACCTTCGCCAGTCGCTCTTTGGCAACGAAGACGGCACAGCCAGCATCTTCTCCGGGCATGACAATGAGTCGACAAGAGGGTCAATAGATATCCAGCGCCCTGGCCCATCTGGCAAGGAGCCTGACAAGCCCAGTCTATCCTCCCTTGGCCTGGTGAGTGCGGCATCCCGTATCGGCGTCTTCGAGGATAACGACTTGTTCGGTGACGAGGATAAGCTCCTGGGCGAAGATCAGGATGAACTCAATGAAGATGCTGGGAATATCGAGGATGAAGTGCACGAAGCTGCACCCGGCGACCTTGGTCTTGCAGAAGCAATTACTGTTCTCACGAACGATATTGATCGACTTGTAGCGCAAGAAGCGGTTCTGGATTCACTGATGAAGAAGGCGGAATTGACCAACAATACAGCAGAGTTGCGCATTTTAAGAAAGTCGAAAGGAAGTCTTCGAAGGGAACTGAGGCGGAAGGAATTGCAAAGACAGCAATATGTTGTTCAGGAGAGCGACAATAGTCTCTACGGACGCTCTTCAATAAAGATCAAAGCAATACAGGTCGGGCGAGATGACGACGGCAAGGAATTTGCGCTATACGTCGTCGAGGTGCAAAGGGTCGCGGGCGAGAAGATGCCAGCAGCCACTTGGATAGTGACGAGACGCTACAGTGAGTTCCACGAATTACATCAGAAGTTGCGCAATAGATACCCTTCAGTACGCGACCTTGACTTTCCACGTCGGCGCGTAATCATGACACTCCAGAGCGAGTTTCTCCGAAAGCGCCAGCAGGCTCTCGAACAATACATGCAGCAACTACTTCGCCTTCCCGAAGTCTGCCGCTCCCGCGACCTACGCGCCTTCCTCTCCCAGAGCGTGATCAAGCAGGGCGAGGATCTGATCACTCGCGAGGATAAGAAAGATATGATGTCCCGATTCTACGATTCCGTGACTGATGGCATGGAAGACATCCTGGGCAACATCCCCGTGCTCGATCAACTGTCGGTCGCGGGCCAAAACCTGATCGCGGCCGCCACCAGCCAGCTCAACACGACTTCCGGCATGATGCCAGGCGGTCTGCACGTCGGCGAAGATGCCTTGACGGCCGCCGAGGCCGAGGCCGAGCTCAATGCCTTCGAGAACAAGGAGCTCGAGCCCTTCATCAAGCCCATCTGCGACATCTTCCTCGAGGTCTTCGAGCTCAACCGCGGCAACAACTGGCTGCGCGGCCGCGCCGTCGTCGTCGTGCTGCACCAGCTGCTAGGCGGCACCATCGAGCGCAAGGTCCGCGATAACGCCAAGGTCCTAGTTCAGGAGGACGCCATACTCAAGTACATCGGCCTCGCAAGGGACAGCATGTGGCCGGACGGCGGGGGGCTGAAGCGGGGCAAGTCGCCCCGGACGACCGCACAGAAGGCCAAGACGAGGCGGGAGGCCGGGCTCATGCTCGCGACGCTGCTCCCGGACCTGGCGGGCAGTGTTGTCGGACGCCTGAACGCGCAGGCGGCGAGCCGCAGGTTGTTTGCTACGCTGAACAATGAGAAGCTAAAGTCAGTTTTTTTTTTTTTTTTGTTCCCCATCTCCGAAACCAATCAAGGGGTTTTTTATTAAAGAAAAAATTTGCTAATGTTGTTCTCTCCTTATAGTACGCATCTGGTCTACACGATACTGGACGAGTTGGTGGACGTGCTTTTCGGATGAGTTGGCATCCTTATCATCATCTTATGAGACGGCTGAGGGTTCTGCATTGGGAAGAGAGGGTTCATATCCTGCATAGCATCGGCGTTCGCGTGAATTTCCTTTTTTTTTTAAGGTATGATAGGAGATACGTTAATTAAGCGATCGAGACTATATTTTGAACCATATCTTTGTTCGAAACCCATATTCGCAAAGCCGCTAATCACATTGTTCTCTCGCCATGGATAAATAGAATACAGTCTCTTTTTTTTCCCATGGCACCGTGTGGGAAAAGGATTTTTAAATAAAATAAAGAGATTTGTCCAGACCGAGGGCTCGGCGAAGGGGCCCAAGCCAGATATAGGATCAAAGGGGCCAACCAAACCTGGCCGACTTTGCCTGAGTTCGAGGCACTGGCTGCGCGACGAGAAGAGCAACCTGCGTTTCGTGTGAGGCTGACACTGGGCGCTGGGAAAGCCCACCGGGGAACCCACCCCAGCTTGAAGATTCAGAGCGATCGGCCGGCACGAAGGATGCCAACAGCATCTAGAATCATTTTGCAGCCCATCGGGAAGAGCTAGCCACGCCTCTGGCCCCAACACAGCATCCGAAGGAGAGGCGTTTCCGTTGCCAAGAAGAAACACCTGCATAGGACAGCCTCTCAAGCCATGTTGAAAGGAAATAAATGATGTGAGAGGAAGGAGTCATTCGTTTGGGAGGTAGCCCAGTATCTCGGGGTCGCTAGGTACAGGATAACATGGCTGAATCTGATCTTATCCCTTGTTTTTCCGCAGCCTAATGTTAGTGTCACATATATCAACAGTAGGACCGGCATAACGTCTTGCAGGTTGCTATTTAAGAGAAGCGAGCAAGTTAATGTCTGGAAACGTTTCAATTCATTCGTTATACAACATAACCCTCGTGCAGAAAGAAGTAAGGAAAGCGGCTGTCATCATACACAATCGACCTGATCGTCAACGTAACAAAAACCAAAGCCGAGGGGGGGGAAGAAAGAAAAAAGGGGAAAAAAAAACTACTTTTCAAAGTCCATTTGGCGTGCTGTGCCCCTTAGCCATTCTCAATTACACATAGCCTAAGTCCACTGCTGCCTGAAGAAATATAGAACCCCAAAGTCATCACGTTGCATTGCCATTAGTTGAGTATTGTTGCCTTGCTGGATGCAACCATTGTTCTCGCTTGTTACTGTTGTTGCAATCTGTTGTTTTTGAGTTGTGGCGGTTCTTGATCTAGATAAAGTAAGGGATGATACCCCAAGGCAGGATGTGGAATAGAATTACCAGTATCCACCACCACCGCCACCACCACCACCACCACCACCACGGCGATCGTCATAGCCACTGCGAGGAGGATAGCCACCCTCGGGCGGGCCACCAAATCCACGGTCACGAGGCGGAGGGTAGTCGCCTCCGCGGGGAGGTCCGTCGTAACGAGGGGGACCGTCGTAAGGAGGCCGCCCACCACCGTTACGGTAGGGCTCGGGAGGAGGGCCATAATCACGTCGGTAAGGATCAGCTTCGTAGCCACGGCCGCGAGGAGCGCCATAGCCATCGTCCACAGGAGGACCGCGACGAGGAGGTGAGCGGCCATATCCACCACGGTCGTCGTAGTAGGGGTCTCGGCCGCGAGGGCTGCGGTCACGGTAGCCGCCACGGTAATCCTCGCGACGCGGGCTGTATCCTCTCGGAGGGCCACGTCTGTCGTACTCGCCAGGCGGGCCACCGTTGTAGGGCGCGCCGCCACGGCCTCTGGGGGATCGAGAACGGAAGCGGTCACGGCCGGGCGGAGGACCAGATTGGATCTGCGGTGGGGGTTAGCAATCAACCTCGGGGCGAGCCTCTCAGACAGAACATACATCAGCCGTGCAGGTCACGCGTTGGCCCTTGAATTCGCGCTGGTCAAGCTTCTCAACGGCAGTCCTGAGGTCGGCTTCAGTCTCGAACTCAACGAAACTTCTATTGTGGTGTTAGCAGATGCATGAGACCCTAGCGTCCTGGACATGGTACGTACCCGCTTCCCTTGCCATCGCGCCCGGTCTCAGAGTAGACGACGTCAAGGCTGGATTGACGTGCGAAATCTTTCAGGTCCTAGATCCAGAAATCCAAGTAAGTGGTAGTCCCAGGAGCGAAGAGCGGAGTGAGCTTTGCGATTAGCGACAATGCCGATGATAGATGCCTTCTCCAGTGCAGCAAGAACCTAGCAGGGTCCCAAGTAACACCAATCCAGGAGTCCTGAACCGGTAGCTAATCCAATGCGGAGGGTCCTCTCGGGCGCCATGTCCAGATCGGACCCAGTCTAGTCTACCAGTCAAGCCCACCGGAAGGGGAAGCCTGGGAACCAAGGCGAACTGCCGAACTCAACAGGTCCTTGCTGTCTTTTGTCTTGTCTTATTTCTCGGAGCGGCATGTCCGTCTCCTGTCCGCAAGACGGGAGAAAACATCCTAGCGAACCGCAGGGAGAATCCAGGAAGAAGATGTAAAAGGTGATGGTAGTGGTAGTAGTAGACGGAAGTAGTAACAGACCTGCCAGCTGGTATCATTGGGAAGTCCGGTGATGACCATCCTATAGGGAGTGCGTCGAGGACGAGGAGGCGGTCGCTCGTGGTTACCAAAGCCCTCACGGTGACGAGAGCCACGTGCGAACTGGACGGTCAGGCGCTCGCCCATGAAGTCGGATCCGTCTTTTACATGGTATGCTGCATTAGCCGGGGGGACAATGGAGGATAGCAGGGCAGACGGTGGCCAGGGAGAGTCCAGGACGTACGGAAAGCTGTGGGAAAGACAGTTCGGGTTAGCATGGGCCGGTTCAGAGAAAGAGGAAAGCGGTGCGGACGACAGGTCGGGGCAGGGAGCAGCGCTGCAGGACATACCAGGAACGACGTCACGCGCGTCCATCGCATCTTTGTATTCGATGAAGCCGAAGCCGTTCATGAGCTTGATCTCGGTGATCTCGCCGGTGCCGTGAGTAGCAAAGTGCCCCTCGACATCAGCCTTAGTGACTGTTGGTTGTTCACGTGTCGTTAGCAACCGAGAGCTGACGAGACATGCTTCCGTGGCAGAGTAGCATGGAGCTCGGATTGAGAGCAAGCTCGAGGAATGGCCAAGCTTACCACCTTTGGGCAGGTTGCCCAGGTACAGACGGGTTGCCGACACCTCAGTCATGTCGGATGGCGATGATCGCGTGTGGTTGTGAGAGGGAACGAAGCTCAGCGCGGCTCAGCTCAGCTCAGCTCAGCTCAGGTCGAGGTGGGCTGGGCTGCGAGTCAATGACAATTTCAACTTCAGCGTCGAGGCGGGAATCGGTCAAGAAATGACGTGGTCCGGAAGATGGGGCGCAATGCCGGAGACACGAGAAAACCAGAGAGCCAGCGGCAAGGCGTCGCGTTGGTTTCGAGTGGTGGTGGTTCAGGAATTCCTCGGCGAGGCTGGCGGTAAGTAAGTAATGGGAGGAGACGGACTACAATCGTCCCAGTCCCAAGTTGCGGCCGGGCTGGATATATGCAGATGCAGATGGATGCAGATGCTGATGATGCAGATGCAGACGCGCAGATAGATGCAAACGATCAGTAGGGAAGGCGGCGGGGGGACACAGACCAACAAAAAGACACTGAAGGGCGACCAGTCAATTCGTTCAGCGGTTCAGCGGTTCAGCGGTTCAGCGGCCCTGGCGCAGGCGTGCCAGTAACGTTAGCAGCAACTGCAGCTGGTCGTCGAGGAACAAAAGGTCCAAGGGTGTAACAAATCCAAGGTGAATCTAGATCAAGGCCGCGGGTGAAACGAGTGGACGAGTGCAGTACGGAGATGAGGATGAGCTGCAGATTCTCAATCGTGCCCGTGACTGAGAGCTGCGGAGAATGGACAGGTTTCTGGCTGTGAACCTTGCTGTCAAATATGCAGACGGATGAACAAACGAAATGACTGCTTGAGTTGTTTACTCTCGTTAGCGAGGCGGGCTGCGGATTGCGGGCTGCAGGCTGCGGGCTGAGCGATTGGGAGAGGGGGGGGGTGATGGACGCTGGGGGACCATGGGCCATGGGCGGCACAAATTCAAATGGGCAGCAGCCACAGGCAATGACAGGTTTCAGCAAGAAACAGGCCTCTGGGTTAGGCCCTCTGAAAGCCTGTCTGTTTGGTCAAATCCACAGCGGTCTGGCTACTGATACTGCTCACTCACTGGCTCGATTGTCGTCGGCTGTCTCGTCTAGCGCAGTCCGGGGTCGGGTACGGCGCTTGGGCCATATGTAGCTAGCCCATCACCAAAGCAGTCGGGTAACTCTTACTTGGTCGGAACACAATTGGGGAGGAGAGGGGGGGTCGGGGATCGGGGATCGGGGAGGGGCACATCATCTTCAGACTGCTCTTGACGCCCTCACATCTCGTGCACTCAGTCCGGGCTACGAGGCACAGGCAAGTGGTTCACTGCATATCGATGTGATATGAGAAATTCCAATTTACGTTCCAACCGGATATTTGAATTGCCATGTTTTGCCTCCTCGTCGGCCCCAAGGCACTCAAGCCTTGCTAAGCTAAGCTGGTTGGTCTCGGCGAGGGCGAGATGGACGGGCTTTTCAGTACTCACTCGACCAGCCAGTGTTTTGAGTATATATAAATATAATTAGTACAGCAAGCAGGGTCACGTCTCAAAGCAAAAGTCGTCATCATCATGTTCTATTGTCGTATCAAAGCAATCCCCACTGCTGTGGTGGCCCTATATACAAGCTATGTAGTCTGTAACGCTCCAGCTTTCCACCTCTTCGATTATTAATGGTTTGCGTCTCTTCGCTCGTCTATTGCACGACTTTTGGTGCTCGTCCTCAACTGTATGGTATGCGCTTCTGATGCGCCATATATGTTCCATAGCATGCCTCCTTTGCACCTAAACCGAAATGCCAAGAGACGTTCCGGCAAGGGAAAGAGCAGAGGAACCTCTAACAAACAACGTGAACGCGCAATGCTCGTCTATGGTCGCGGATGTCTTCTTGCTTTTGTCTACGTTTACTCCTTGATGGCGTAGGTTCGCTTGAACATGTCATCCACCTTGGTGAGGTAGTACGTGCCAGGAGCGATGGTCGAGATATCACCCTTGGGGGTGAAGTCCTTCTGGAGATGGGCCTGGTGGCGAAGGTCGCAGAACTATAATAGAGAAACCCCTCAAGTTAGCAAAGCTACATAAACAACCGAGTGACAGAAGGTCCATGACTTACAGCCTCGTAGTCGGTAGGCAGGAGGGCCCGACGAGCAGCAAGCTTGTCGGAGATGTTCAAAACCTTGGCAATCTGCTCGGTGCTGCCGTTGACGCGCAGCGACAGGAAAGAAGCAGCAAGACCAGAGCCGTAGCTGAAGAGACCAATGCGCTTGCCCTGGAGGTTTGCGCTGTCGACAAACGAGACCAGCGAGGACAGACCGCCCCAGACACTGGCGCAGTACATGTTTCCAACGTTGGTAGCCACCTGGAGGGAGGGCAATACGCGCTCAGCGTATCGCTTCTTGGTCAAACCCATGAATGTCTTCTCCACAACCTTGTCGGTAAGGGATTTCTCGTAGGGCATGTCGCGGACCTCGGCGGGAACCTCGGCGAAAGCAGCGTTCTCGGGATCAGCGAGGTAATCGTGGTACAGGAGACGAGCGTACGACTTCTGGACGACCTTGCAGGTAGGAGAGTGGAAGGCGAGGTAGTCGAAGCGGTCGAGAGGAGTCTTGGCGGAGTCGGCAGCAGCGCCGTTGCCGTTGGCGTGACCGTTGGCAGCCTTGGCCAGCGTCTGCTCACGCTTGTTGTATGCGCGGTAGGCGGCATCGAGGGCCTTGGAGTAGCAGTTGACCGAGTAGTGGCCGTCAACGTAGGGGTACTCGCTGGTCAGATCAGGCTTGTAGAAATCGTAGACGTGCTCCATGTAGGTTCCTCGTAGACCAGGCTCGACGACAATAGGGGCGTCGGGTCCGACGAGCATGGCGACGCAACCAGCACCACCGGTAGGTCTAGCGTTGCCCTTGGCGTAGAGTGCAATGTCACCAGCAACGACGATGGCATCTCTGCCGTCCCAGCCAGACGACTCGATCCAGTTGACAGTGTTGAACATGGCGTTGGTGCCACCGTAGCAGGCATTGACAGTATCAACACCCTCGATGTTGGTGTTCTCGCCGAAGAGCTGCATCAAGACGGACTTGACCGACTTGGACTTGTCGAGAATGGTCTCAGTTCCGACCTCAAGACGACCGACATTGTTGATATCGACATTGTAGTTCTTGATCAGCTTGGAGACGGCGGTCAGGGCGAGCGAATAGATGTCTGGGAAAAGAGGTCGCGTGTTAGCTGTCGGTCTCTGAGAAAGGCCGTTGGCAGCCTCTTGTCTGAAGTTTTTTTCATCTTCTTCTTGGTTGTTACACACCCTCTCTGTCGTCGCAAAAGGTCATCTTGGTCTGGCCAAGACCAATTGTGTACTTTCCAGTGCTGGCACCATCATGCTTCTCGAGTTCGGTCTGCTCAACATACTATATGGTGGGGAAAGAGAAACATGTAAGTTGAGAGTCCAATTACGATTTTTGGGTAATGGGGGCCACGAAGCCCGCCAGTCTGCAAGACAAGACACAAAAGAAAGAAAAAGAAATAATAATAAAAAAGCAAGGAGTCAAAAGGGGCTACTGCTGCTATCTTGCAAAAGGCCTGAACCTACCTGGCTGGGGAAATAGAGTTCAATGGCTTTAATGCCTATGTTTTGGGGACGGGTGGCCATGATTACTGGTATGGAGGAAGGTGAGGGAGAGAAAATGTCGAGTGGTCGAAGGAAAAGTCAATTCTTAGAAGTTCAGTTCGGTCTAAAAGGTAGGACTGTGTTAGTGACGGGGTCCGTTGTAAGGTTAGATGTGTTTGAACCACTTTCACCGCCAATTACACTCGGCGTTTCCTGCTGCAGGTAAGACTCATCCCAGAGACCCTGAGAGAACTCCCCGATGCCCAACATGCAAGCTGCAGACCTCTCGAGTCTTCATACCGTAGTATGAATCTTGGTGGGGATCAACAGAGAGCTGAGGGGTTGTTGTTGGACTTTGAACTCGCCCCTGGCTCCTTCCCAGGTGGACACTGAGGGTTGTGGAACTCACCAACTTGGGATCACTTCTTGTGATATCGAATGGTCGTTGTAAACGCGTCTTGTAGGGGAGAAAGGGGGGGTTACTATGTATGAGACTACCGAAAGGGGTGTCGACGGTATATATATACATATATATATGTATATTCCAGGACAGTAGGAAGAAGAGGCGAGTCGAAACGAGCAGATGTCTACGATCGAAAATCGGTATTATTATGTAAATACAACCGTCCCTCTTTTGTACTGGTCCCTCGTCCACGAGCTGCAAACAATGTAGCATCCATGTGAGCATCCCCCCCGTAGTTGGTACCTAAAGCGACGGGGTCCTTTTCCTTTCCCAGTCGACTTGCAAGCGGCCAAGTTCGAAAAGGACCAAGTTCACAGGAACCATGGACCACTTGCCGCAAGCCCGCTTGCACACCAGAAAATCTACTACAGCATGTAGTATGTACTGCTGTTTGCTCGCTGCCCCGCCAAGAAACGCTGCGTCGAGGGGTCCCAGTCGCACAAACTCCTCACTGCTTAATCTCTTAAACCCCTGGCCCGTTTCTGGCTTATCGCGCCATCAACACATTATTGGGCCCCACTGTCAGAGGAACCCTGCCCAGCGCAGAAATACATCCATGGATAGTTGCATGTGAGGGTCCATCGCAACGAATGTCGTCGCCGATACAGGAACTAAAGTTGTATTCTTTTGCAAGTATCTTCCAATGTTCGTAACTCCGTATCCATGCTCGTGGCGCGTTGCATCTTTTGTTTCCCAAACCTCTATTTCTACATATTCTAGTAACCAAGAATCATGGTGCCTCCTGTGGGAACCTGCCTAGAGCAGATTTCCCATCTCATGAATCGCGTTTTCTGTTGAGTCGTCTCTGGCCTGGATCTCAGCGCCAACGCTTGTCAAATTTCCCAGAACGACGGGCTGCGGGAGTGTTCTTAGCGTCAACCTGACTGACTGTGCAGTGCGCATGTATGTATTGTAGGCAACGATAAGATTTGATGCTGCGCCAGGCCAGCTCCTGACCGGTTGGTCGAGAATCTCTTCGGCAATTGCCTTTCTGATCCTTCCCTGAGAAAACTAACATCTGATGTAAAGCCACAGTGCAGACGACACATTCTACCACCGGCGTGACAAGAAACTTTGCGAATAATTCCATGACAATTATCCCATCTCTCATGAAGCAAACGTCTGCCTGCAGACAGTGCTACTGAGCCACCGTAGCTGACGTTCAAATCGCCCGATACACCTGCACTGTGACGTTGACAAAATATCTTGATAACCTCGCTAATAATCATGATGTTATCTCGCAATATATGCCCATTCACAAGTACTTCCGGTATACTGTCGTACAATTACCGGTAAACCACTGCCTGGAACGAGGCTATGCTTCACGGTACAAGTCAGGAATTCGGGTTGCCGATCCCGTAAAGGTAACCTGACAGAATGAGCACTAGACTAACATGCAGGTACCCGGCCAGGATGTGAGCACTGCCTCTTCTATAGACCTGTATACCCTCACCGTTTTGCTTTTGCTCGATGCGGTATTCCGACCTGCCTCAGCTAACAGGCAACCAATTTTTTCTTCTTCTTCTTTTTTTTCACCGTGTTCCATCACTGCCACTCCACACTCCATGTAGGCTCCCCTTGTCTAAATGGCACAACTTCGACTCCAGATCCCTTGACCGAGGATGATATCACCTCATTGCCCTTCTTTATCACGATCATCTTCGTGCTCTTCTCCACCCCGTAGAACTGGCGTCCCCACTCGCCGAGGAAGCCCGCGAGGAACTCTTCCGTGATCTGTTCATCCTTGATGTCGCCCCGCTCCACCGCGTCCTCGAGTGCATTCATGACATATTGTACAGCATAAGGCTGCGTGAAGACGCCCGCAGCTGCCTTTGCATTCTTCTTGGCCGAGATGTCATGGGGCGCGGAATCCGTGCCCAGGAAGAACTTGCCGCCGCTGTTGACGGCCGCCTCCAGCAGGCCCCTGCGGTCGGCCGGGGTCTTGGCGACGGGCTTGCAGAAGCAGAAGGCGTTGCCGGCCCAGTCGTCGACAAGCAGCGACAGGTGATGGGCCGTGATGGTGCCGACGACGGTGTCGCCGCAGGACCGCACGGCCTTGACGGCGTCGGCGGTAGTGCAGTGCTCGAGGACGATGCGCAGCTTGGGGAAGCGCCTGTGCAGGTCCTGGAGCGTGGGCAGGAATGAGGCCTCGGCGTTCATGACCGTGATGTCTTTGCGGTCGCTCGGCACCTCGCCGTGCAGGTTGAGGACGAGTCCCTCCTCCTCCATGGTCTTGAAGACAGGGAAAAAAGGCTCATAAGATATGACGCCAGAAGAGGAGTTTGTGGTAACTCCTGCTGGGTAGGACTAGACACATTCGTCAGCACAAAGCATTAAGTATTAACGTTAAGCATCAAGCGATGTAGATGTTTAAAGAGTGGTGAGTACCTTGATACCGGCGATGCCGGCCTTCTTCGCTTCTCGCACAACATCGGGCGTGATACTTTCGTGCAAGTACAGTGTCATCAGATACTTGATGCTGGAGTCTATCTTTTGCAAGCGCTCCTTGTAAGCAAGAGCGGCGCCGACTGTGGTCACAGGAGGTACCAGGTTAGGCATGCTATGCAATAACCAGAGGTCAGTATTACTTTACTCCATCCGAACAAGACAAAAACAGGGCTGAACTGGCTTGACGTGAGAGAAACGGCAGACGCAACAGCCGAATAGTGCAATGAGGCTTTTCGTGGAGTCGCTTACACGTATACTACATCAACACCTCCTTGGCGGATGGTAGGCGTAACTGCCTCTGCCATTGCTCCATCACGTAGGTGAACATGGAAATCCGCTGCTGCGGGCAATGTGTACGAGTCCTTCATTTTGCTAGATACCTCGAGCAGGATGCTTAGCGAGCAGTCACTGCATATGATCATCTGTCGTTCAGAGACAATAATGGTGAGGAGTTGAGTTCAAATTTTGGTGTGGGCTTAGAAGTTCTACTTGCATGACTAGTCTACAGTTTCTCCCGATCGGCGCAAGTCGAGTTACCTGGTAAAAGACGTAAGATTCGGGTACACATGGAGAAAGTATGTATTACAGGGCGGGTGTAGAATATAGACTTCTATTCCATTCTATTTTCACAAATCAACATGGAGCTACTGTCCGTCAAGCAGTGCTCTGCTTGTCCACTTCTCTCTGCTGCCATGCGATAATCGTGCCTTGCCGACCCCGCGGAGGGGCGTTTCCGCCAGCAAAGTCGAGTCGAGCATTCATCAGACATATCGGAAACAAGAGTTTTTAAGAACGACTATAACAAACTCAATCTCTTTAAAAAGAAAAAGAAAAACTCTTGTGTCTGATATTTCTGATGAATGGCCATGAAACTAATCGAGCAGATTGAATTGTACATGCAGAACTCGAATTGCTCAAGCCTGAGATTATGATTGACATTTAAGCATCATCACGTGAACTCGCGGAGTTTGTCTGACGGCTGCAGGCGTGTCGGCCCCCTCTACTCTGACTCCACGCGAAGCTGGGGCAGCCTACTGTTGAGGTATCCTTGTAGTAAGGTACTGTATCGTATCTACATACCCATCCATCCTATGACGAGTAACGCACCTCGGTGCTTAGCTTGATCTGCTATCTTTGTTGGCATTTGTCGTACCAGAACAGTCAGTCGGACGATGCCTCATCCTCGAAATGCGTGATGCGGCCATGACAGCCATGTTCTCTTTGGCGACAACGAGGTGACCTGATGACCTTATAATACCTTGAGGAATTAATCCCGGTGCTGCGATAACCTTGCCTGTGACATCATTCGACCGACCATGGCGCCCAGAAAGCGAACCAGGAGTGCTATCACCACACCGCGCCTGACGCGCTCAGCTTCTCAGAAGAATGCACCGCCAACCATTTACCGTCAGATGCTTGCCGATGCCGAAATCAATCCATCCGCAAGCACCAGCACAAGCGTCGATGCTGCAGAGCCGCCGCGGAAACGACGACGACCTGGCGAGAAGGTTGCCCCTACGCGACCATCGAAGCCGACAGCGTCAGCAGCCAAACCATCTACAACCCATGTTGCTGAAGGAGAAGGAGGAGAAAACGACGACGACGACGACGAAAACATCGAGTTCGAGGATGTCGGACTACCCGCGCCGACGGTCCAGACCATGTATAGAGACTCGGACTCGGAGAGCGACGATGACGAACATGACGAGGAACAACTTCAGTTTGAGGAAGTCGATTTTTCCTTCCCGGGCCTCGATCTGAATCCAGACGGGAATATCCAAGAGGAGAAGCCCAAAGAGATTCAACTGGACCTGTCCAGTCGCACAAGAGAAATTGCGAAGAAGATCTTGGATAGGAGGAAACCGATCAACAAGTCCGAGAAAGACCGTCGGATTGATATTCACAAAATGCATCTACTTTGCTTGACGTCACATGCTGCGAGGAGGAATCGATGGTGTAACGACCCCGAAGTACAGCGGACTCTACGCCGATCCATGTTGAACAAGGAGTTGAGGAAATATCTGAACCCGGGGGCAGAGCTGACACAATTCGGGCGCACAAACTCCTTGAAAACTGCCCTTGAGAAGCTTGAGACCATATTTAGGACCAAATATGACATTACGGAAAGAGGTTTGCGCCGTGCTCTTTGGGCTGACAAAGAGGAGCATTTAAAAGAGTACAGGTTGCCTGACGATGCAGAATCGACAGCAGAAAGGTCAGACTTCCGTGAAGCAGCCCAGTCGTTGAAGGGTTCGCGTGATGTAGGCGCGCAACTATACTGCGCCCTGCTGAGGAGCGCTGGCGTAGAAGCTCGTCTCGTGTGCTCGCTTCAACCATTGTCCTTCGCATCCGGAGGCCCTTCTATGACGAAACCGACAAAACGCCAGAGGTTATCTCTAGAAGAACAGTATGCACGGCGACCGAAATACGATGCCACCTTTGACAGTCCTGCATTGCATTCGACGTCCCCTATCCGCCGGCGCATAGGCCATCCTAATGCTACCGCTTTCAACGTGCCCGTCGCAAGTGCGCCCATCGCCGCCCCCCAACCCACCGAATCGTCCAAGAAGATACGGGAATGTCCGTACCCTGTATATTGGGTTGAAATCCTTGACGTGGGACATCAGAAATGGCAGCCCGTGGATCCTCTTGTTACCCAATCGTTCTTCAAGCCGAAAGTTCTCGAACCCCCAGCTAGCGAGCGCGAGAACTGCATGACCTATGTCGTCGGCTTCGAGGCCGATGGAACAGCCAGGGATGTTACGAAACGATACACAAAAGCGTACAATGCCAAGACGCGGAAGATGCGCATTGAAAGTGTAGCGGCGAATGGAGATAGATGGTGGAGAAAGGCACTTAAGGCCTACAGTCGAGGCTACGAGACCGACATGGACCAGATTGAGACTAATGAGCTGTCTGCGACGGAGGCGAGAGAGCCTATGCCACGCAATGTGGCCGACTTCAAAGATCACCCGATATATGCTCTGGAGAGACATTTAAGGCGGAATGAAGTCTTGATTCCAGGTGCGTCAACCGCAGGCACAGTGGGCGTCGGCAGCAAAGGTCCCCTAGAACGGATTTACCGCCGTCGAGATGTTCGCACTGCGCGCACCAAGGAGAAATGGTACCGAATGGGCCGCGAAGTTCTGGGCGACGCAGTCCCTGTGAAGTACCTACCAAAACGGCTAAAGAAGAAATCAGGCCTTTTCGGGAGTGGCGATGAAGACGATGAAAATGAAGACGATGCAATAGGGACGCCCGTATTCACTGAAGAGCAGACTGTCCTCTACAGGGCACCTCCAGTGGTCGATGGGGTCATTCCCAAGAATCGCTTCGGCAATCTGGACATTTATGTCCCAAGCATGGTCCCAGAAGGTGGCGCTTATGTCGCTGACGACTTTGGTGCACAAGCGGCTTTCACGCTGGGCATAAATTATGCCCCCGCACTCACAGGGTTCCAATTCAAAGGCCGTCAGGGCACGGCGGTATTACATGGTGTTGTCGTCGCCGCAGAGCATGAGGATGCTGTCCGGGCTGCTGTCGCGGGCCTGAGAGATCAAGAGGCGGAGATGGAGCGCGAAAGGAGGAGCCGTGAGGTACTCAGGGCATGGAAGAGGATGTTGATGAACCTGAGAATCCGACAAAGGATCTGGGCGAACGTACCAGATGAAGATGAGGAGAGGCAACAAGAGGCTCTGGAAGTCGAGCAGGAGCAAGTAGCTGCGTTAGACGACAACGACGACGAAGAGGAGGATAACCAGCAGAGTAGCAGTGATGAAGAGCTTGCTGGTGGTTTCGTTGTCGACGACGATGCTGACTATGGACCCGGAGGATTTTGATACGATGACTTGAGCACTTCTCAAATAATGAAATGGTTCCAATGATACTTTTGTTTGGCAGGAGTGACTTGTTCCATGGTGTTGTGGCTTGTTACACCACGATGCCTAAGTCTACGTACTATAGTGCTCTAGTTTGTCACCACTGATGCCAACGTTGTTCAAGGGGGCTTGTACCGTGCGTACCAGTCTACTCAAATGGAACTTTCTATCGTTTGCAGTGCTTGTTCCACATCAGTAGCATTTACCAGGAATTGTCAGGGTATCCAGCGATGCAATATCCGCCTTAAACACTGACATTCTACACCCATCCGCACCGGACAGAACGAAGCTGACAGACTTATGAATGTTGCTACTGCAGCCCACCACTCGCATTCTATGATAATGCAGGTGAGAAAGGGCATATCCTTGATCTGCTCTTCGGATGGGTGTGTAGAACTGCCCACCACAGACACAATTTCGTATCTGAGACGCATCATGCTCTGCGGATGCCGTACAAGAAGACGACTGCGCTGTCAGCAGCTTCCACACGTATATCAATAGGCCTGTTATTGCGGACGGGGACATGCTCACAAAGTCCAGCCCGTCGTGTCTCTTCCGGCCAGTAACACAATGAGCAGACGGTCCCTGATTTCTTCTCTCGATCTCGCCTCAGTCATCAGGCCAGTGGTGAGGTGAATTGGAGAGCTTGTACCACGCAGCCTCGACGCCAGCTCTTTCATGCCCTTCGATGCGCCCTTCCACGAACCCACGGACCAGCTGACATGCCTTACGGGACGATGGTGGTCGATGGGGCCGGTGAAACGGAGCAGCTCGAAAGCGTTTGGGCCAGGTCCTTATGCGCTGTGTCGAACGACTGTGAAAAGCATCTGTTCTCTTCATTATGCCTATTGGCCGTCAGAGTATGAACCGAGCGGCCGAATAACAGAGCCGTGGTGATGTCGAGCGTCAGATCGAAGAAAAAAAGCTGCAGATCCACAACGCCGCGCTTGAGTGGGCGGGACATCAAGTTTGCCACATGTTCTTCAACATACTCCCTAGGACTGTGGTACCGTAATAGTACGAATTGCCCCTGTAGCCGTTCGCGTGAGAGCTTCGCACCAACTCCTTCTTGGGTGAAGATGCCGTGGCCTAGCAGGGGCGCGAAAACAGACGCTCTTGCGCAGACGTCGTAATATGCATGGCGTTTTCTTCGTCAGGGTCCCCCCCCCCCTTTTGGTTGCAAATATACAGAATGGAGTATTTCGGAATAAAGAAAGGGCATTGCACTCTCAAAATTTGAGCTTAGTGCAGCCTTGATGTTTTTAGGCTCGAAAACACGAAACGTCCGAGGTACAAACACAAATGGGAAGTGATGTTGCGTATTTAGTGGCTCATGACGTTTAGCTGTGGAATGTAAGAAGTGCAGAAGTTGGCCTTGAGGATCTGCCTTCAAGAGGCGGACGAGTCGGTCGATACCTAGCGGCCGCTGTCCCAAGAGCCGGGGCGGTGGCCGGCAATCGTACTTGTGCGCGAGGATTTAGTCGGCCTGTGGTTGTTCACCAGGTCAAAATGAGAAAAGAAAACGGGGCGAGAGGGGATGATATACAGTGCGTGATCCGAGCTGTATCAATAGTCCCTGAACTTAAAGAGGAGGCCTATGGTCAAGAGTATGGACAGTGCGATTTGGCCAAAATACATAGAGCAGGCACGTGTTACCGTAGTCAAATGGTTTAGATAGACTCAAGCCTATTTTACGTGGAACCCCAAGTTTACGATCATAGGTATTCGTCGATTTCAACCTGAACTTGTTGGATGTTGGTGGTTGGCGCAGACCACTTGCTTGAGATGCAGGCATTTGGTGAGAACAACATGTGACGCGTACCCAGGCCATGACTTGATTGGTATGTGATGAAGGAATTTCTTGTGGCTAGTACCGGTCGTTTGCTATAAACTCTCCAAATTCCTTAACTTGAAACTTTTAAATAGTCAAGTTTAATTCCGTCAAACATGATAGGCTAGTCTTTGCAGACAACACATGACCCTATCTTTGTGAATGATGTTGCTCTAATTTTATACAGATACAGTTAACCTAAAGGCAGCCCATGCAAGTTGTTGTCATGCCTACTTGCGCTTCCACCAACTCTTCTTGGTCATTTCCTCATAGTTCTCTTCTTTAACATTGTGCTGCCCAACGATAGTCAAGAAGACCTGATCCAAAGTAGTGGGTGTCACACTGTAATGCTCAATTCCGAGAGACTCTTTTTGCTGTTCCAGTAGTACGATCAAATGACCGATCGCGCTGCGTTGTTGGAGTTGAGCAGTCTTTTCGTTCTGATTAGCATCTCCATCGTGGCTTCTTTCACTGGTGACTTCGCTTGCAGGTACGGAAAATCGCATCTGTCCATGGTAAGTCTTCTCCTCGACCTGTGCTCCTGGAAACGTGCGAACGACCCATTGTCGTATTTGTTCCATCTCCTCTTTGGTAGAGTGTGGTGCCGTTTTGCTTACGAGGTGAGCATGTAACGCATCGCCAAAACGTTGCCGAAGGTTGTCCGTCGTGCCCATGGCTAACATACGCTTCGCAATGATACCTGCTCTATTGGCGAGCGCATCGGCTTCCTCCATGCTGTGGGTGGTCAAGAGAATAGATCTTCCAGGGACAATGCCTCCGAGCGTATGCCACATAATTCGCTTTGCGGCAGCATCCAATCCTGATGATGGTTCGTCCAATAGTACAACAGAGGGATTGCCCATTAGCGCAATTCCAAGTGAGAGCTTGCGCTTGTTGCCGCCAGACAGATCATGAGCCATACGCTTTGTATACGCCTCGAGACCTACTGCTCGGAGAACCGCACGAACATTATGATCCACATCTGATATTCCCCTGATTTTTGCGTAGAACCGCAAATGCTCTTCTACCGTCATAGAATCGATGGCATCAAACTGGGGACATACACCTAGATGTCCTCGAGCTCCCGCTCGATGTCTGCTGACTGATGTGTTTTCCACAAGAACGTCACCTCCATTACGGCTTGGCTGTATATCGCCACGGATGAGCGATATGGTTGTTGACTTTCCTGCGCCGTTTGGTCCCAGTAAAGCGAATACTTCGCCATGTTTGACACCAAAAGTCACGTTGTCGACCGCAGTGTTTTTGCCGAAAGATTTGGTAAGGTGCATAACACGGAGCCCATCAGAATCTTGAGGTGTGCTTGTGACTCTAGTCAACTCGGTAGACACTTCCTCGTCCGAAATTGTCTGATCCGCCTGCGGATCTATTGATTTCTGAGTGAAGCGGTGAAGTATGTTCAGGCCTGCTCCACTGTCATTCCATAGAAGAATTCCAAACAGGATGGCAGATTGAAGTATTAGGTATAATATCGGCCCCCCATAGACGGTGATTGCTGCAGGATTAGGTGCCGAGTTGTTTCCGTCGCAAGCGGTAGAGAATAAGTTGAGCCCAATAAATAGTGCTCTGATGACTGAACCAATTGGTATGAAAGCGGATACGATAAAATGCACTAGAATGATATCTTCATCGATCTTGTTCACTGGAGCGTAAGTGACAACACACAAGTAGGCAATCAGGTAGATCAGAAACCCTACGGCCTGGCCAGCGGCGGCAAAAGCATAGGCGGACAATTGCGTCTTGCAGAACAGCGAAATGACATATGCCAACAGTGTAGCCGCTAAACCGTATAACATGAAGATAAGAAAAATATACCCGACGTGATACCATACGCTCGACAATGTAGCATATAGAATTGCGACAATAGCAGTGGAAGCCACGACAATTGCAAAATCGAATGCAATGTAGGCAGTCCATAACGGGAGAGATCGCACGCCATTAGAATATTGTAGACCGCGGACCTGTCGACGTCGTTCGATATTAGGATACAAGCCAAAGAATGCTGGGTAAGCTGAAAGCGCCAAGCCTATGTAAATAAGCAATTGAAGCGAGTTTCCAGTATTTGGTACCCAAGGGGTGTCGAAAGCACTGTAGGTTGTGGCGATGCTAATATTCGAAAGCATGATATCCAAGGCATTCTGACCAATGATGGAAGTATAAACATCGAGGTGGTTCGCGTAGTAGGCAATTGTCGGTACACTATTCGCATCTCCCAACCACCAACCGGCCGGAGTGACGTTCTTCCTGTTTTGAACGATGAAATCGTTGAAGTTGCTTATGGAATCAACGGTTGCAAGGTTGTTGAAGAGAGATGCTGCTCCTCCATCTGAAGAACCTGATGAGCTACTACCTCCCAATTGGCCTTGATAGACCGGGAGAAATAAACGCAACAGGTTGCTCGGGGTAAATTGCGCGGCTGGTCCTGCCACCAAGAAGGCATTGTTGAGGAGTGCGTAGAAGTCACCATTTGATCCTACCGAGTTGTCCTCAGTCGGGGTACATGAAGGCGGTTGTTGTCCTTTGATAAAGAGGCTGGTCAGACCCGCAGTTATAATTGGGATGAGAAACGCTGCAATATAAGGAAACCAATTTGTCTTGAAGATCGTGCAACGCTTCAGGAACATGACCAGAATCTGCTTTCCGAAGCCGATTCGCTGACCCGATAATAGTTCTAATTCTTCCTTGTCCGAGCCTTCAACTGCCAGGACGTCTTCGGAGCTGGCCTGCTTATCATTGGAGACACCGGTAGGTAAAGTACTGCGGTCCAGCTTGGCGATAGTCTCCCCTTTGACTTCTTCAGCAACCTGCAAGAATACGTCCTCTATGGTAGGACCCGAGTACTTGTAATCATGGATTCCGCTCTTTTCAAGGGCGCGTATCACCTCGGCTGCTGCTGCGGAAGTCTTTGCGATGTAACTGATAACATCGAATGAGAATTTGCGAATGACGCCTTCGACTTCTGGGGCATTCTTGATGTCTCGAGCATTAAAGACATGGATCCTGTAACCGGCTCCCAGACGGTCCTTCAGCTCTACGGAAGATCCATATGCACGAAGAGTACCCTTTGACAGGATCGCGATCTGATCGGCAAGGAGATCAGCCTCGTCAAGGAAATGTGTCGTAAGTATGATCGTCCGTTTGCCGCGCTCGGCCAAAAGAATGTCCCACACTTTTCTTCGCGACAACGGGTCGATACCTGAAGAAACTTCATCGACACAACAAACTGCACTTCCGCCGGTGAGCATCATACCAAGCTGTAATTTCCTCTTCTGCCCGCCAGACAAGGTTCCTGAACGTGCATTAATCTTTGGCCCTAGATCAACAGCTTGAACAAGTTCCATGATCTCAGCCTTAGGCGACAGCTTTCCAGGAGATTTTAGGCGATTGAAGATGCGAATGTGTTCAAATACTGTTAGTTCATCCCACATAACATTCTTTTGAGGCGCGATTCCCAAACCACCCGTACCGTCGATTGTGATATTTCCGCTTGTCAACTTACTAATTCCTCCAATCGAGTCAAGGGTTGTGCTCTTGCCCGATCCATTAGCCCCGAGTAAAGCTAGGATTTGGCCTCTTCCTGCAGACAGAGTAAGGTTATCGACCGCCACGACAGGATCCCGTGGTCGTGAGATGAACGAGAACAAGCGGCGTAGAGCGTTTGGTTTATAGATCTTGGTAAAACCATCCAGTCGTACCGCAGAATCAGAACCGTCAGTCTGGCCATCCTGGGTGCGATGAAGTATTGTTCTACCTTTGGTCGTTGATCCATGTAGCTCTCGCTCGAGGTAAGCACCGATCAGTGGATAAGCAAAAATCTGTATAACGAGAAAAACCCATAAGGCAATGCCAGGAAGAGTCCATGGACTTTCAGGGCCACCTTTTGCTAGGTTCGTAGGCTGTGACTGTTTCTCAAAGCGGGCAATGAAAGTGAGAAAATATACAAAATTGCATGGTGCAAAAAGCAAGCTCAGTATAGCCACAGTCGCATTATTGGGCGATGTAAGAGACTGTGCGAGAACTCCTAACACACAGTATACGATTGTTGAGACGACACCGGACAGCTGTGACTTTTTGAAAAAAGATGCGCCCAATATGGATAGCGATGTTAATGCCAACCCGCACAAGATGAAGTAGATTAGTGGAATAGCAACACTAGTCGTAGCGAAAACCCCGCGGCCAATGATCAAAGACGAAATGACCCAGCCGGGGATATAAAGCATAGTGAAGGCAATGTGATAGGAGAGCAGGCGCGCCGCTTGGGCTTGCCATCTGTGTTTGGCCGGCATCATGGCATCCAGCAATTGCGACATGCCATTTTCGCGCTCGGTCGCCATGAATCCAGTCATGTGGTAACACACCCCAATCATAGTTAAAAGGAAAGCGACGGCCAGCCAGTTTGAAAGGGCTGACTGATAGTTCCGCCGTATCTGCTGTGCTCGCTCTTCTTGAGTCAAAGTGGTAAACGGATATTCGTTCGTTGTGCCTGGAAACGAACTGGTCGAATCCAGATTTGCAATAGTCGAGTCCACTGCTCTTTGCAGCGGCAGAGTGTAGATCTCTCCATCGTTGGTACTCTTCGTCGCGTCAATCTTCGTACCCAAGGAGCCATCCGCGCGCAGAGTGTAGTTCCATAAGCCACCTTCACTAGGCGAAGAGTTAAACACAACTGCGCCATAGCATGATGACACGCCACGTAGAGAGCTCCGGCATAGTGACCTCAACTCAGTAACTGAGGAAAGTTTTTGGATGTTCCCATCTGTAACCATATTTGATACCTGGTCGATGACGCGATCTATATCGCCACCAGAGTGGCCACTGTTTACGAAGGCTATCGTCTCGCGACCGGACCCTTTGGCGACGTTCAGAGCATCTTGCAGTGAGCGGACGGCATGCGCATCGCCGATACCGTAAACTGCAGGAGTTGCCAGCAAATTCCTAGCAAAACTCAAAAACGCTGCCAAAACAATAGGCAGCACCAATGCTCGAACGACTGTTGCTAAAGGATGGCGAATCAATGCGATCTTCAAGTTCTTGGCTGTCAAAGTCCAAGTCTGACTGATGAGAGCCATGGCAGAACAACGTAAGTATCGTATGCTCAATACAATTTCGACCGCTGATCCGTCGTTCTAACAATACTCAGAGGCACGAAGATGCGCTGTAGGAGCAGACCTCGAGGATTTTATCGTTCGGCCAGACGAGAAAGGTGGGAATCTAGCTGCCAAGAGTCTCAAAGGGCCATTATTCGTTCCTTATATCAGAGTATATGACAAGCAACAATAGTTCAACTGAAGATGAACTTGGCTGAAGTGAGTACCCAGTCGGTCACCCGAACCCCCTCAAACAGAAAATTGCCTGGTGGTGATTTCAAATTCGGATCTTCAGTTCAGTGCAGTGGATATAAGTAGGTCCTAGGAAAAATAGCGAACAAATAGATGAACGAGAGTTAAGAAACCGGCATGAGATAGATACATTCACGTCGCGTTAGGACATAGAAAAGAAGGTTTGATGTCGCCTCTGTCGAAATTCAGCATTCCTAGTAAATTAGCATGTTGTCAAGAGTCGAAGACGTAAGCATTTTAGAACGATCGCGGGTCGGACATGAATTGCACCGTCCAACGGTGGTCCGGAGTTTCGGGTGCTGTCTCTGGCCAATGATGGTGGCTGCTGGTTAAGCGAGGCAAGGTCCAAGGGCTCCAACTATGTACTGTAGCGCCTGGGCCGGGCGCTGGGCTTGCCCAAAGGCTAACTGCCTCTCTGTTTCAACGGTTCGGTCCTTTGCCACAACTCTTGGGTTCTTGGAACGGGCAGTGCTAGGTAGCAGTATCCAGATCAAGACATTGACGCTTGAATGCGATGGGGTGCACTTCGTGATATCAACGATCCTTCATGGTGCTAAGGTCGGCTATTTTATTAGTACTGATTAAGACGTCACCCGGAGATGCGGCTTTTTTTTTTTCTTCCTACGGTTGGGCGATACGAACTACGGCACGGCTCATCAATTGGTAAAACGAGAGTGTTTATCTGAGATAGGCAGGACGGTCTCATTTAGTCTAGTCTAGACAAGGCTTGTGAGGCTAAAGCGCTGTTTGCAATTCTTTTATCAGCACAATCTGAATGTGTAAATGCCAGTATCTGTAGTATGAACGTGATGAAGCAGCATCGTAGTAGCTTTGTTGGCATGTGTTGCGGCGAAAGATGCTTGGAATTCTTAGTAGTGGGCGTCCATGTAGTTCGAGATTCGGTGGATCTCTCGATCAATAACCCAACACTTGTCATCCAAGTGCCAAGCCAATTTCTTTTTCTAAGCCCATGTCATTCTCGAGATGGCTATAGGGCGTTGCGGCTCTCAAAGTTGCTGTGATTCTCCGTGGATCATAAACGGGTAGTTTTCCACGGTTGGCTCAGCTTAGTTATTATTATTTCTACATGCTTAGGTTACGCTACAGTAAGTTGGAGGATGCAGTGTGGCAGACAAAGACAAACTCTACTTTGTCCTTTGATGCTCGTCTCGACGAGGGGTAAGAATGCTTTATGCAAAGCTGAATACTGACAGTGAATCTCAAACATGATTATCTTACTGTATGGTGTATAATCGAGTAGCAAGGCGTCCAGGAGGGGGGTTTGTTGCAGCTTGCACGTGTTACCGCCCGGCAGCGGATATCAACAGTATTGCCTGGCGACTGCGGAACGTAATATCTCAAGGGCGGCTTCTTGCTCTTAATAGAGATAAGTTTTTAGCTATGCGCAATCCAGCAGTTTCAGCCTTCATTTCCTTAATCCACAGCCAAGCCGACAGCATCATACCGCTGGCTGTCCTGCCAGCGCAGCACCCAGACGTTCCCAATGCATTAGCATACGCGTGGCCACTCTCGGGTCTCTGGTTATTGGACGCTCGCCACCATATCCAGGATTTATACATTAAGCCAAAGCATCAGTACATGAAGATCTTGATAATTATAGCCCCCATATCCGTTATTTGAAAGTGGTCGATCTCGACAGTGACGACGACGAGGTCTTCGCTTACGCAAAATGGGAGGTATATCCACAATGCGGCCCTGATCTGAACCAGCTGAGCCAGCCATTTGATTCAGTAGGAGGGACGTAGATGACTTTGGCGATCTTAGAGAGATAGCTCATAGATACTTTTGCGTAAAAAATGGCGGAATGGGCAAGCAGCCGCATTTCGTGAGTCGTGCTTCTCATGTATCTGAAAACATTTGTCACATTTGACGTTGTAATATTGAAACCATGAAACAGATTTATATCAAATCTAACGGTCAATTAATAGTGCTGGCCTTGCTTGTAACAGCCGGTAAGCATCGGCGGCGAGGTGCTGGCGGCTTTTTGGTGCAATGGGAGATTGACAAGGCTGTAGAAATTGACATGCAGCACTATCTCCATGCCTCAGAACAAGGACGTTGATTATATGCAGATTACGGTTTCGAAGCTATCGAAACCGTTGAGCTCGATCTCTCCAGGTATGGGCTCTCAGGATCCGAAAGAATGACCGAGATGGTCAGAAAATCATCTTTGAACAACACGCAACAAGGGGTCATTGACGTAGCTTGATTTCAACCGCTTTAATACGCTATGGCTAAACATCAACCATAATGAAACATTGTATACATTAAAATAATCCTAGCACAAAAGTTCAACTCTTTGAGTGATTCAAATTGCCCATCAGTCCCAGACGAGGCTGGTTTCTGTATCGGAATGCACATAGAATTATTAACAAGACGACAGCGAACGATGCAATTCTACATACCTTCCGGGAATCTGCCTCCATTCTTGCAGTGTCCATCGGGCCCTTCAAGCTAATAACAAAGTACGGAATAAAGAATGACGACGGAAAAAAAGATGACTGCAATACCAGTGAAGACGAATACGGCCTTGTTCTGGCTGTCAGCCATGAATAAGAGCTCGTTCTGCTCGATTATTCTTGAACCGCTCGAGCGATAACTCCAAATTTCAGATACTACCCATATCTAACGTCCACCCACCTCGATATCTCACCTTCTACCCATGCCAACTATAAGAGTTGTTCCAAGGAAGAGTTCTCGTCTTTGACTATGCGTTTAAGATTGCAATCCACCGCCATAATTTCTGTAAACTTGGTATGCAAGGCACCTTGCCTTTGATAGTCAGTCAGAAGTTCTTCGAAACGTCATTTTCGGCAAAGCAGTTTGGGCTCTAGATTGGTAACATAATTATCCTTTCTTTCCTGTTTCAACATCTAAAACAGTGATTTAGTCATGATGTCCTGTATCAATAATTTCGCCGAATATGTTTGCTTTACGTAGGTGTTCTTGAAAACTTTATGAACGCAGATTGCTTCTCAGTGAGGATGGTCAGTAAAGGGGTTGGGGTCGACTTAACATAGTTGTTGAAGATAACGCGATGACTGCTAAAGGCCAGGTTTGCATCTCTAGTGTTACTGTTTAACCTTGTCAAACACAGTTACTATTGCCGTTATATTGACAGTAAGCTATCGTTACACAATCAAAGAACAGTGACAAGCCATGATAATGGATGTTGATAAAATTGTAAGCAATTTCCCTAACTAGGCGAAGGTCTTTATTTATGTTGAGATCTTCTTATGGCGATGAATTGTTCACTGATATTGTTGTTACTGGTGAAAAGACATGAATAGTTGATATATGCATCATGGGGTCTTTTTAAGCACTATATACACAAAAGCGTGTTAAACTGTATTATGCATAGCAAGGGAAATAGTCACTTGAAACGTCTAGCACATCTAGTATTACAAGCCATAGCAAAACTCGGACTACTACATGTGTTATTTATGAACCACAGCTATGTGAGTCGATGATGAGCAAGAGCCGTTTGTGTATCTGGGACAGGTCACGCTTCTTCGAGTACCTGCATGGTATTCTGAGTCCGTGTTGGTATAATTTACAACCTGTTCTAGCAATCTTTACCGTTTTGATCAAGAAATTGCTGCATTTATGACATACGTTCTGGTAGATATATGTCCTCTGATGAGCTGCCCGAGGCAGATTGGAACTATGCTCAAAGGGATATCACCTTAGCTTCGCAGGTTCAGATCTAGTGCTGGAGCTTGTATCAGAAAATCAGTGCGAAGCTGGATTGTAAAGGCTCGTATGTTGGTGGAGGGCGCCCTGGAGTCATTTTGTATCATACTGGGCCATGTGTGCCGAACGAGCTATAGTAAGACATTTGGTCCAGCCACACAAATGTTGGGGGCCGTGTAATTCTGCCCAGGCCGCAAATCCGAAAAGCATTGAATTTCTTAATGCCATAGGCTCACTTCAAGTAGGCGGAGCCTTTATCAGCGCGGACACAGCCGCCCAGCTGACACACATTAGGGAGTTGAAGCCAGTCAGTAAGCCCGCGGCTTTGAGCACAGCTGCAACTTTAAAGTAGCCTGCCCCATCAACAATCTATACATAACTGGCAGACGAAAATGGCTGCATATTGTCGGATGGGAAGGCTGTATTGTCCGGCGTTGGGAGCAAACGTTTGCCATTTCGAAGGGTGTCCGAGCATGTACCGTTCAGTATCGAAAGTATCCCACCATTTCAAGGTACAAGCAAGGAAAGACGCATACCGGTGTGCGCGCTTTTGACCCAACGGCGTTTGCGTTTGGGTCAGTCCCAGGGCCGCTATGTGAGGCAGATGCCTGTGCCAACCATTTGGAATGTCAAAAGTTCACTGATGACGGCCAACTCATCTCCATTGACGTGCCAACAGTTTTGGGGGTCTCACTTGACATGGCAAGCGGCACGAAAGATAGCTGTTTTGCGTCATTGCAATAGCAGAGAGATCGCTGGCAATGGCGATAACCCGTCACATGTCTGTGGAACATGGTAACAGGACATAGCGACCCCCACTACTTAATTCCCCGTGAGCTGTTGACGCCAATAGCTGGGACCGGCACCTCGCCGCCCACCTTAAGCGACTTTCACCGCTAAGGAGGCTGATCTGGACTTGCATAAAATCGCGGTCATCTGTTGAAAGATCGATGAGTTGGCAACGCTTTTGGATCAATGAAATCGCAAGCATTCAAGCCCATGTTTCCCGATATGCGAGCAGGACAACTGACGGTAAGATAAAACAATAAACCAAGAAACAAATCAATCAAAAAAATAAAAATATTAAAAAAAAATTACTTTGGACAAATCAGCACATTGTTGCCACGGCCAAATCTAGAAGACGATAAGGCGTTGGACTCAAACAGGCTGCAGTAGGATTTCGCTCACGGCGACTTGCTACCCACTGCTTGGTGGCCGCCCACCTTGTTGCAAAGCCACTGATTATCCCCGGCGCACGTAAAGTTGCTTGGCGCAATGTTGTCCCTCGTAAAGCAAATGCCGTCGTATGGAACTGCCGACCTGAGCTCGTCCGGCCTAATGATGTGTTTACTGCCCTGTTGTGGACAAAGCTGTCGCATTTGCACCGGTTGTGCTGAGTGTTGACGGTATGAGTGCTTGTGAGAATCAAGCATGGTCCGGTAACCGTTGGTCACGAGATCGGCCGTTACCTGTCCCGCGCAATGCCCGGTGATAATATCTCACCTACCTCATCTCGATTGGCGAATGAGTTATTCAAGTTTAAGCTACAACTTCAAATGATGAAGCAAAATTGAATGAAATCGAAATATGTGTTTTAACCCAAAAACAGGTGTTCATCTCCGGAAGCAAGAAGAAACAGTGAGGCAAAAACGGATAGGTTGTGAGATATTCCGGGTCGAAGGGTTTCCGGATAACTCACCGAAGCCTACCGTTGTTCGGGAGTGCGCACACCTGGCAATTCGCGGTGGAGATGGCGGACAAGTGCTACTAGCAGCTTTCACGCGCGTTACAGCCGCCACCACATAGCGTGTATGAATCATTTTGAGCCATCTACTATTGCAAATTTATCCTCCACAGAATTAGCACCTCAGAACACCTGTATTATTTGACTCATCTCTAAGCTCAAATTGGCAAACTGGTTGTATACGAAGGATAAGTACTGAAATTTCCTCGTCTAAAGCAGGCTCTGTCGGTCGAAATCTGCCTCAACGTCATTTGTAGGTGGCAAACGCGCTACGCCAACGAGGCGCAACTCCTTTCTAGAACTTTGCCAGAAAGCATCTGGGCGGCCATTATTTCTATTCTCATAGTTTGGGCATGGCTACGAGTACAGTTCCTGCCGCGAGTAACAGCGGGAGGCAAGCTGTAGGTGAAGCATCTGCTGTACGTGTGGTATCTAAACCCGTGCCACAATCACAGACTCAGGATCCCCGGAAATATCAACTGGACCAGCTTAAGAAACGGTTTGGTGCACAGCTTACGACACTGCAGAATGGGACGACAAATCTCTCGTTTCACTTAAAACCTTCAGATCCGGACTTTCCATTTGAGCTGGATTATCTAGACTGTGAGGTTCAAGTCCCCCGATCATATCCTGAGCGACCCCCTGCACTTCGCGTCAAGAACAAGGATATCCCTCGAGGTTTTAGCATCAACATTGAAAAGGGATGGGAAAAACTTGTGCAAGACAGGCCAGATGCTACGTTGCTTTCTCTGACAAATGCTTTGGACAAGAAACTCGAGGCATTTCTTTCAGAGCAGAAAACTGAAACAGTCACGCTCGTGACGTTTAAGGACACAAGACACATGGATGCACCCAACCCAACACCGGTTAGCAGTGCAGTGTCTTCGTCTCAAGCAGTACCAAAAGCAGCACATAGCAGGCCTTACGTTCCCGAGGAATCATTCACGAGAGAACAAATAGCCGATGCCAAAGCCAGACGCGCACAAGAAATTAGACAACTGGATGCTCGTATGGGCCGCATATCACTTTTCCACAAGTCAGCAGACGGCATAGTATATACTCTACCTTTGGAGCCTAAACGACGGCTGGAGCTGCCAGTGGAGCTGCAAAATGTGAAGTCAGTCCAGCTGATCATTCCACTACTCTATCCTCTTCAGCCCCTAAGGATACTTCTAAATGATGCCGAATCCCAAGATGCAGAAGCACTAGAAGAGGCTTTTGCGAAACGGGCTGCTCAACAAAAGCAGATGACGCTGATGAGTCATCTGAATTATCTCACCCAAAATATTCATCTTCTTGCAAAAGCAGTACTGCCAGTACCAACTCAAATACCGACGGGACTTCAGAATAAGCCAACAGAGCCGCAAACAGCGGCATCAAACGCACATCATTCTGTTGAGAAACCCGATAGAAGCCACATACAATTTATTCCCCGGCCACCGGAGTGGACACTGGTAGACGAGAATGGTGATTCAGAGGAATCTAGCGACGATTGGGATTCCGGGGATGAGTCTGATGATGGCGGTGTCCTCATTGACAAGAAGGGCCCCGAGACTTCGCGACCTCCGCAGCCGGTCGAAAGCGGAACATCAATATCTTTCCCTTTCGTCGAGCTCCACAGCATTGAATTACTGCAAGTAACCATCCTTGGTCTCAATGTCAAATGCGAAAGATGTAGGACGATAAACGAAGTCACTGGGCTGAAGCCAAATCTGGAGAAGGCAAGTAGCTGCAAGAAATGTGCGACGGCTTTCACGGTAAAATTCAGGCCAGAGATGGTACATCAACATTCAACCCGAGCTGGGTTTGTTGATGTGGCAGGCTGTACTGTAGCCGACATGCTGCCGAGGTGCGTATTATTAAGTTTGGAGCCCATATCTCCCGAGTAATACTGACATTGCTTTAGTACCTTTGTGCCGACATGTGGCAGATGCTCGCATCCAGGGCTTGGTCTAGTCTCTGTCCGGGGAGAAGTCACCACTAACATCTGCCGTGAATGTCATGGCAAGTTTACTTTCAAGATTCCTGAGGTCAAGTTTCTAGCCATTACACATGGTACGGTAGTGCCTCCTCCCACAGGGCCAAGGCGACGACAAGAGAAACTGGGCCTCCATGCAGGAGAACCATTGCCAGACCGAGGTTCATGCACACACTACAAGCGCTCTTACCGGTGGTTCAGATTCTCATGTTGCAGTAAAGTGCATCCTTGTGACAAGTGTCACGACGATGCGGAAAATCACGTCAACGAGTGGGCAAACCGCATGATTTGTGGATGGTGTAGCAGAGAGCAGAACTATGCCGTCGAAGCATGTGTCTTCTGCGGACGAAGTGTTATTGGGAGGAAGGGCCGCGGCTTTTGGGAGGGTGGCAAAGGAACCAGAGACAAGACGAGGATGAGCCGGAAGGACAAGAGGAAGTATCAGCGTGTAGGAGGTTCTGAGGGAAAGAAGAAAGAGTAGGACGCGTGCACCTCTGCCTGTATTCTTGTACATCACCCAATCCGCTATACTAGCCAGGATGGTGAGTGCATCTTCAGATTCAGTACTGTGCTAGAATGGAATTGGCTATATGGTTCCCAGTATTTACCGCCATGATGAGGTGAGGGCGCTTAGAGAACCAGTCACGCCACAACTCAGCGCCTAAAGGACCATGATCATTTGCACAAACTGTATGAATTACTCAGGACCTATGAAAAGCATGGGATCACTTTGACTTATGAATATGTACACTTTTAGCCATTGTGTATTGGCGCGCCGCCAGCACATGTCCACAAACATAAAATTATTCGTTGGTGAGGTCACCTGAGCAGCAGTATCTGCAGGTTCCAGTGTCAGTTTAACGTGTGCTGTGCTTGGATAAGTAGTTAACCGAGTGATCTTCCACCATACATTCAGACTGTAGCATTGCTCGCATGGCAGGGTGCCATTAAGTTACCCCTGCTTCAGTACATCACACTGCTCTTGGAAATAAATGTATGACTTTTTATTTTATCTTTCATCTTTCGAATTTATCTAGCCCCTGTCTTTACTGTAACCTTTTGGGTTCTCCGTCATTAGCAGTGGGGCCATTGCTGCCCATCCATTCAAGTAAAATGACAAGATTTACAATTTTCCTGTCATTGTCGCATGTGGTACCCAAATTCTTAATGGCTTGACCCGCGGAAGAGCTAAAAGGCATTCCCCTAGCTCCGTGATCCTGATGGCCCCGCTGCTGAAGCTTGAATACAGGGGGGGCTTGACATCCGGTCTATCGCTTGAGCAATTCTGGCAGCTCTTCGGAAGCCTTGTGGGGGAGATTGTAACGTCAGACGCCATGATGAATCGATGTCGCAAGACGACCCGAGGATGAGGTTCAGAATTAATTGTGGTATGGGACCTGAACGAGACCCGTGCAAGGCACTTGGTCATTTCCACCACTGACAGCCCTGATATCTGTGACTCTACCAAAGTCACGGAAAAATTGAAAGCCTCGGGAACGCTACCTGAAACCCTTGAAATCACTCATTTTGAAAATCTCAATACAGAATATCACGCCAACCTCTTCATGTGAAGTGGTTGCAGCTTCAGCAGCTAACCGAGGAACAGGCATGATCAGCTGGGAGACTGCTCGCCCGACGGGGACCTGCTTGTAATCACGCGCGCTCCGGGACGATACACGCGCAATCTTACCGCGTACACGTTCCTTCTTGCGCATGAAAAGAGGCGCACCCTGTCACACCAAGCACGAGGCGTATGTTCTCTACCACGGTATCCTGGTTCGGCCCGACGGTTTGGCGATCTGAAATGAGGGGTACAGGAAGCCTCTCTCAAGAAGAGTAGAGCGCAAACTGGAAATTTGATTTCGGCTTCTTTAACCTGATTAGATTCGATCACAAGCAGTTCGATGCGCTGGGTTGATGGTCGGACAGACCAAGGTATGCCCGCCCACACTGCCTATATAAGTGACTGTGCTATGACCTGGTCGTAACATTGCGAGCCGTCCATCGGGCTCATCAGTGGCTTCCGAAAGAGAGTGATGTAAGCTTCTTTGATCTGCCCACGTCTGATTGATCCCCCATGAAAATACATGGCTTGAGGATCCGGGGAGACGGTTTAGTTGAGAAGCGAATGGCATATCGACCAGGGAAGTATCGGTGCCGGCCGGTGAGGACCGCAAACCGTACACCGGCTCTCGCTACCAGTAGTCATCCCCTGCTTTGACAACTGCAGGGTATCAAGTGCATGCCTTCCGGAACTAAACGGCCCATGTCTATCAAGAACCTTCGTCCAGGTTCTAACGCTACGGGATAATGTCCGCCGCTTTGGAGGAAATCCGTGTCAATCCAACCCAAAAGAACCTAGGGAACGGCAGAGAGTGATACATCTGGACAGGTTTGCGGAGCCCAGCTGCCTTGAAACGTTACGATAATACCATACTCGTGATCTGATTAATATCAAGCCGTCTTTATATCTCAGGATTCTGGCGCAGTGGCGGTGAAGCTATTCCATGACAAACATGGATTATATTGAGCCTCATATGGCATATTTCCTTGAGAAGGCAGCAGGTACATTCTTCTGTTTTGTCCTCAGTCTTACTAACTATGTGTGCTGATTACCAGTGCTAGAAGAATCTGATATCCACATATTTCGTATTAGAATTGTCCGTTGTGCTTGTGGGACTTCAGTGCTACGTGACATTCAGTGTAGGGCCATAACGGCATTACTATAACTCATCCACTCTGAAGGATGAGCTCAGCAACACTCCTTTCATCCGCGCAATCATTTCTCCATCCGGTCATACAGATCCATAAGGTATCCATCCTCTGTCTTTGACAGCAATTGCCGGTGGTGGACAAGTCTCAAGTAGCATTACCACGGGTACTACTAGCGCAGATCTCAGCATTCAACGCTTCCGAAGCCATGCTCATGTTAGCATATTCAAAGCCTCGGGTCGAGATAATCAAAGCACAAGAGGGACCACGAATATAATGACGTAGCATCGCCCTACATATGGATAGCCTCAAATTCTACCCTGAAGATTTAAGTTTCCGCCAGAACTCCCGGCGACTACTAATTTCATATCAAATGATGGGTTCTCCGTCTCTAGGTCAACGCTAGAATGTTTCCTCCGGCCCTAGAAGCTTTTCCGTGCACATGTCCAAAAGGTGCAACCAACACGCACGGGGGTTAGACGTAGCGCAAAGGTTAATGCGCATCTAGCAACGATCATGGTAAGGAAGTTATTCCACTACTGATTGTTGTTGTATGAATTTCAGTGCATCTTCGCGCTCTTCGACCTATTGTTCGAAGCGATAAAAGCGGTCAACGGGATGTTTCTCTACCCTGTATCTGTGGTATGAACAAGGCCCATTCGCCATTTGCATATATAAAATAGACTAAGTAGCATCACCACCAGGACTAAACGTCGGTACTTTTGAGAGGACCCTGGAGCTTCAACAGCCATGACTCGGGATGTCAGATGTATTGTTTTGTATTTCCAGCACGCCAGAACATCGAGCGCTAGGTTGTAGACATGGTTGAAATATTCTGTTGTAATTGCCAAATTGTTCCAACATGGTGCATCATCCTTGTTTCGTTCAAGCAAAGCACAACACCAATCTTCCAGAAGAACGACGGTGCGCTGCGGCGGGCTCAACTCCGCCCCGCCCATCACGTTTCACAGGGCATTAATGCACCGATTACCCCCGGTGGTGGAACGTGGAACGGGGGAGCATGGACCTGCTAGCGCCAACCGTAACACAGAATTCGGTCACCTTACACCCAATCCATTAAACTGTTGACTCAAGTTAGGTCGCCGGGCCACCATCCCGGGAAGTTCGTCCGACTAATTACTCCATTCAAAAGGGTCCAACAACGTGGCTGTCAGGCATCTTGTCCCTGTGGACATTCTTGAATCGCTCTTGCATGAAACGGTGTTCATTGACGAAAGTAGGGATCTACGTTGTCCTCGTAACGGGGAGACTCTTGGACCACGATGACTTCACAAGTATGTACTTCGTTCTGCGTCAATAACTAGGTAGGGCTAGCCTTGCAGCCCGGTGTCTCTCAGTCAGTAGCTAGCAGCTCTTCAAAGCTCGGAAAATACACCTCAAGAACAATAACAATTATTATTACTGCTAAAGTTCGATAAATCATTTTATTAATTATTGACCCCAGTCAACCATGTTTGCTTAGGGCTCTTAAACATGCACGTAGCGCCGTTACTTCGAATCTTTATATGTTACATTGCCTTCTTAGTCGACTAAGAGCAACCTCGAGGTGTAAGTTAATGGTTATTGTGCAAGGACGAGATGCCATGTCAGGGAACATTATGGTTATTATTTCGATATATTGGAAATAATCATCCAGGGCGAACAATTTCGTTTCCGTACCAATGACCTAAACGAGTCAAGGAAACGAAGCAGCCACGGCTCTAAAACATCAGACATGACCAATATAGCTACCACGAGAAGGATCTCCCCAGTGTCTCTGATTAAGGCATTTCGAATATGGGGGAAACAGGCCCAACTAGGCACGTCCCGCCCGCGCTGCCCGAGAGAGGATCCCGTTCATTTGACAGGCAAATGTCTTGCTCCACCTCCCCTTTTCGCATCATCGAATTCTCTCTTTCTTCTCGGCGGGACTCCATTCTGGGACACGATATCGAATGGAGAGACAACCACACCATGAGTCTTTGTAACGTGTTTCACCCGTCGTCACCAGATGTCTTTAGTGCCCGAAACGATGATCCCTCAGCTCAATGAGCCGTGCCGCGCCCAAACATTGCCGGCCGTGCACCAAGTGTCTACTTTAGGGGGACTAACCTTCAAAAGACAAATGCGCTACAGAAGGAAACTCGCCAATACCGACAGCTCGAAGCCGCCATGCAAGCCCATTCACAAAAAACGTGACTGCCATGGTTGCGGGACGGGAAGTCGTGGCGTCTTGCTCTTTGACGAACGGCTACGTCATCATATCACAAACAAGCTGTTCACATATCCAGACTGGCTGTCCTAGTAACAAACTGCAGCTTCATGGGTGTTAATCATGATCACGGGATAGTCAATTCCCGGTGCTTGACGAAAACTGTTGCGGATTCTAATTGCGTTTGCTCAACTGGTAATTGTCTAGTCTTGCCACTTAGAATTGAGACAATTCCACATAGATTATGGTAAATTAATTAAGCCTTAGCCTTAATGCTAGATTAAGAAGGCATCAAGACCTGCTTTTGATGATGTCTGCGGCTTTTTCCGCCACCGCATACATGGTCATTTGCAGATGTGTGCCTGGAATGAGCGGTAGAATAGATGCGTCCACGATTGACAGCCTCTTGGTTCCGTACACAAGAAGATTCGGTCCGACGCAGCCTCCTAGGTCTTCCGGCATCATGGCACATGTGCCACTTGGATGGGCCAAGCTAGGAGCAATAGTCCCTGTGGATACGAGGGCTTCCAGAATTTCCTCGTCAGTCTGGTACTGAGCACCGGGGACCGTTTCGACTGGGGAATATCGGGCGAGTTGTGGCCGGGACCAGTGCTCTCGTTGGAATCGCACCATTGCCACCACAGTTGCGGCGTCAATGGGGTTTGCCAGAGTATTGTAGCGGATTACTGGAGGTGCATCAAGATCGGACGGGTCAAGGGTAACAGTACCCCGGGAAAGAGGCTTCTGGAGAGCTACGCCTGCTCCACCAGTGATGGATGGGAATATTTCGCAGCAAGCGGACTTATTATGTAAAAAGAGCTCACTCACGATCTTCCGTTGTAACTCAAATCCTCTGAGAAGTGGTTGGCTCTGGGCATAAAGTGAGGGCAGAAAGTCGACCGCGTTTTGAGAACCAATATCATCTGTTAGCTCCTCGTACTTGTTCACCACACCCGAAAGTGGAAGGAACATCAAGCTGTTCCCGTTGAAGCTAACCCGCCCGCCTGTGTAAGGACCCGTATGGTTCACGAGATATTGCTCCCAGGCCGTGCCATTGTAGGTTGTATTTGTATCCAATGATGAGGGGTTAGGAGACGTGAGGTTGGTGACATTATAAGACATATACACCGTTGGATGATCCTGAAAATTCGCTCCAATAGCTGAGATATCCTTTTTGACTATTACATCTGCGCTTTCAAGGACATCTTTTGGGCCCAGTCCACTGCGTTGCAGTAGATGGGGTGTAAATATCGCACCAGCTGCTAATATGACCTCTTTACTCGCAGAAACTTTGATGATGGAATCATTGGCCCTTGATTGTATCCGTACTCCGGTGGCTTCGAGGTTCCCCTTTTCGAATAGTATTTCAATGGCCTTGTGTCCCGTAAGAAGATGGAGATTTGGACGAGCAACAGCCGGGTCGAAGTAAGCTGATCGTGCGAAAGACCTCGTGCCATTGCGACTATCCAGGTTTGTAGGGAGCCAAAATAACCCCAGGCTATCTCCATCAGCGCCTTCCACCAATTCGGGCACACCTTGGTCTATCCATGATTTTCTGATAGGTTTAGTATCCTCAAAGAAGGTGCTCGTGTGGCTGACTTGAATTGGTCCATCATTACCCCATGCCGATTCGTTCCACGTCACGCCGTATTCATCAATAATCTCTGGCAATGGCGGTGTAAAATTCGTACTTTTCAAGAAATATGGGAAGAGCCCATCCCAGCCCCATCCAGGATTGCCAAGTTGCTCCCAGGCATCGTAGTCCCCTTTAGAACCACGAGTACACGCCATTCCATTAACCTGGGAGCCTCCTCCGACGGCATTCCCGACAGTGACGAAAAAGGTCTTGTTGTCGAGGTTCTCAACAGGTGCCGACGTAATATTCCACATATATATTCTATTTACTAAGAAACTAGGAGTTAATCATGAGTCTTTGATAGATGGCTTTGACAATATTTAGTTTATTTAAATACAGTCACGAGTGGTTCGACCTCACGCGACAAACCACAAATCTTTTTTCCATGTGCACACTGGAAAGGGCAGAAAATAAATAAAAAAATTCTCACATCCTATGGTGGCATATGGAACATCTGCCAAATAGCCTCTTTCAATATAGCCATTCTCAACCACCAATACATTCTCTGCAAACAAATGATTAGTTCAGAGAACAGTACAATCCTGATAGGAACGACTTACTATTAGGGTCTTCGGTGAGACGACTAGCAACAACAAGTCCGGTCAACCCACCACCTACAATCACGTAGTCGAATGTACTATTCGCAAACGACCTTGGTTCGAGCGGTGTTCCACGATTTGCTTCCGATGCACCAATTTGAGGGATATGGCACAGTATCAACTGCGTGAGAAGCACTGCCCCTCCAAACCAAGCACCACCATACATCACGATGGAATGAAGCAACAAGTCTCGTTGATTAATCTACGAGAAGGTGATAGTGAAAGCGCACGTTTCTTTTCGAGATTTCGCCCTCCTTCAGACGTATTTCATCAACTATAAAAGCTTTTTGCGGGGTATATTGGGTCTTACGGCGCCTGCATATTTCTTGGCATCGTAAGAGCCTGTAGAAGCCTTCCGATAACTTCTTTTTCCTGATGCACATCTCGGATAGGCTTTCTGCGCCAATGGCGCCGTAATCTGACGGCGCGAATCCCACGTTAATGCCGGCAAATAAACAGCAGCCAAAATCGCTTCAGATTGTGTCTTACTGACCCAATTTAAAGACCATATTACACCACAGGAAGCTCGACGCGGACGGAGTCGATTCTAATGCCTGCCTCCGAGACTTCTTAACAGAGTACCCACATTAGCACCGGAGGATCTCTGGATTAGCTGCCGTCTGCGACTCGACTTTTTGCCTCAGATCTTCTCATGGGTAGATTCCTTTTCTTTTCTTTTCTTTTCTTTCTCTTTTTGTCTTTTGCGACTCTGTGCCCTATTGTGCTTATTTTCCATGAAACCCCCAAACTGAGGTGCTCATGCCTACAAACAAGCAAGGACTTGCCAGGATTTGACCTGTGATCATTGTTACCGGCAGTTCAGCGACATACGAATTAAATTTGGTTTGGTGCAAGACTGAAATAGCACCAATCTATCGCCGGCAATGGATTGTGCGGAACGTTGAGAGCCTGATGCGATGATGCAATATTATGAGTCACCTGTTTGGCTGCGGGTTGTGATCATCTCAGAGTGTCTATCAGAATGAAGCGAGTCGAATATCCTGAGCAATATGGTCATTGAGCGCTTTGTGGAATGCTTCAACGGTAAAAAAGTTCTCCTGATGAAGCGTTGGACCTAGGTACTTGGAATTGTTTTCCGGACAAAATGATAACGCCAGTGTCTGCTGTGGTGCCTGTGAAGATACCAGGGATGTGAGGGTATTGTGAAGTCACTGACAACGGACTTGGTTCCTATGCATATCCATGACTCCTCCTGGGTCAGCAGATCATCACATCAATGGAGCAATGAATTTTCGCCCGGCTTGAGGACACATCCCATCACTAAAGAGTGCAATCAAAGTTTCTAGTCATTTTAGCACAATGAAGCAAAGACAGCAGAGTTATAACTTACAGTCCCATCTCTCTCTCTGCCTCTGTCTCTGTCTATGTCAGGTTAATCTCCTTGGTGGGAATATTTCAAAGCCATGACGGCTCTGGAGCCAGCAATTGATCACCAGCCACTCAGGGAGGTTTGGTCATATTCCAGACAAAGCTGACAATCTTAGTTGCGGTATGTTTTTGCACATGCAAATATTGCATAATTTGTCTCACCGAGGACCGTTGTGAATGGGAACTACACCTACTGTAGCAAAAAAATAAAAAAATAAAAAATAAAAAGGCGCATCTCAAATCGACACGGATGTCGTTCGATTGCTTGTAAAATTTTAACCCCTGTGGAAAATTCGCGATGGCAGATGTCCAATGCGGTGCCGGGCTAGATGTATCTTCTGACTTCAACTCAGTCATAATTTAATTACCTTCGCATAGTAAGGACCAAGTTAAGGAATTGAATCATATGATTGGTGGGTTATAACCCTGATTACCGTTGACCGTTCGATGGCGCATGTCCACGTGCTTACGTGAAGTCCTATCTGACCATTGATCAATCACATTGCAACCCGACGATCTTGGGAACAGAAGATGGATGCGACCCGGACCCCTGTCACCGGTGAGCGAGTTGATGGTGTCGAGCTTATCAGGTGTCAAGGCTGACAACTCAGCCTTTCCACATTTCAAGGTGCGCTCGTGACTGCTAGGTGGCAGCATCCCGGGTGATCAGCTTCTATACATCCAGTCTAATCACAGTGCCGCATGGTTTTCGGGGAACTCATGCTGGCTTTCCGGGGAGTGCACACCATCATCAATAACGTATAATTACGTACATCTACCAGCTTATTAAGCCCTATGCAAGTTGCCAGCAGACGGGATGAAAATAGATGACATTGAGCCCACCATAAATCCGGGGTAAAAGCAATATGGTACGAGTTCTCGAGCGTTAACATGGGTCATGCTGGGACTTTATGGAGAAATATTTGCGCTGTCAAGAGGTAGCATTGCAGGCTCCTTACAGCTGTCCTCGGTACCGTGATGTGGGTTGATTCAAAGCTACGGAAGAAACATCTCGTTTATGCGCAGATCATGTCGGTTGTGAGAAGTCGGGCCCACCGAAAGTACCAAACATGAGGATACATAATAGGATCTCAACCCATTGCGCGCCTCAAAGGCTTTTTTTGGTAACGATCATTGAACCGAAACAATTTCAAAACCATACACACAGATGGCACCCACGCTGCATGGTACTTACCACCTTTTTGCCATCCTACCCGTTTACCTTCCAGAGCGAAGCCCCCTAGTTCGAAAACCCCGGTGCCGGCTAAACGGGGGCTCTGCCGAGCACATCTGCACTCTTCCCGTGAACCACACGGTGATATTTACCCGGCCATTTAACCTACCTAGCGAACGAGCTCGCTTGGATTGTCTCTACGCAGAGATGCAAGGACCCTGGATCCGTGCGCTCGGTATCTCTGGTGGTACTTTCGAATGCGGGTTTCGGTATTAATGAACGCATCATGTAAAGAGATGTGGAAGCTGGAAATGGCGGTGGAAGTTACGAACGATAATCTTGGACAATATTGAATGTTTTCTTTTTCCTCGGGAGAATATCGATTCCAAGCTCTGCAGTACAAAGCCAGGGACCCAGTGGCAAAGCTTTCATCTTCCCCATCCGTGCCACCCTGATCGCGTTGGGGTGCATGGGTCATGATCATCCTAGACGACTGGGCCGGCCTTTTGTATGCTTACCCCGAAGTAGCTTTTTGAAAAAAGAACTGTGGCTGATTATGAGTCGGCTCGACCATGTATGTCTGATGAGTTTCTGAGCTATCGAATGTTCACTTCTTGTATGTTTGGAGTAGATAGATGAGTTTCAGGCGCATAACGTATTCGACACAAATGAATATGAATATAAATGAGTCTTAACGCACATACCTGGTCATGCCTGTCGGGTAGACTTGCCGGCGCTTCTTATTGGTCAGTTTTCGAGAAACAACGAGCACATGATGGGTCGCAATACTCTTTATACATACTAAGATCGATAGGGGAATACAACCAGAATATCTCACCACAGCGTAATGCTGAGTCTCACACCGGGGCCGCACAAGCTTATTTTGGTGTGTTTAGTTGTCTCGCAATATCATGACAGAAGCCCGCAAGTCCCCTCCCCCGGATCCTGCTTTGTGACATGTATTTTCAAACCCCCGCGTTGCTGACCATGGTCAAATTTGCTGACGTCGCGGGAAGCATCGATAAACAAATGAGTCGCAACGCTGAAATCGTAGCTTGTGGAACGGGCCGCGGATGGCGGTGTCGCTCGCTAGAACAAGAATCCGCCGTAAGCACAACGTTGCTTCTGCTGACACTGGTATCCGTAGCTGGTCACACCATTGCCCGTGGGGATCAACGAAATCTGACATTCCCCACGCTTGAAGCAGTCAACTCTGGCCGTAGGATCCATATTGAGACCCCATGTGCATAAAGACGAGTACTATTCCTTACTGCACCCGACATCACCGTGAAGTTACACAATCCAATTTCAAACGGCTCCTGTAGGGTGTTAGTCAGCTCTGACGTGCATCTTGAGTTGTATCAAACACAAAAATGATCATGGGGGAATTCGCCAAGATGAGAAACGGCTGACGATTAAAATCTGATTAAATGGTTAAATGACTTTCAATAAATCATTATCGTGAAACTTCAAGACATAATTAGTTGGGCTCAAAATCCCATGCATATTATACTAGCGCCAGGCCCGTCTACTGTCAGCAGCATCCGGATCAGTACCAAACGCCAAGTAACTACTACAGTCACGCCAAAATGTTGGACGAGACGAATACCGTGACACTTTGACCCTGCCTGCCTGCCTGATCGTGCGGACGTTGCTTCCAGCTGGGTGGTTCTGACGAATGCAAGATATACGAACTGCCCGGCCCGTGTAACCAGGGCACTCGCTTCAAACCTTACGGCATTGGGTCTCCAAAGCTCGTGACACGAACTGATTTAACTGTGTACCACGTTGGCGCTGGTCAAGTGAGCGCGATGGTGTTGTATACATCGTGAGAAAGGCGGCATAAAAATAAGCTTAGAAGCTTTAATACCCTGGTTCTTGATTTTGAAGATACAATTACAATCCAGGACTTTTGGATCTTCCAGACCAGCAAGTCGAGGCGCCCTCCCTGTTCGGGATTTACTCCTCCATAGTGTCAATACACCATGATATCCGAGATTTGCAAACTTCCTCGAGGACGGCGCTGCCAGACAATACCGGCGATGTTGATAATCACCGCACACCTTTGCATGAACCATCTAGTTTGATGGGGTCACTGCAGTCAATGACACCGTACATGATACGCAGCCGTCGCGATACTTTCCTGTATACGTATTGACATCGCTGTTTATAAATCGAGACGTATCGGCGCTTATACCAGAGGGCAGCTACGTTGTACAAGTAGGGCCGCTTAAGGGCACGGAAAGAGGCATGTAAGAACGATGCGCGGCTTGCATAAGAAGAAAGCTCATCTAGAGGATCTATCGAAAGGTCACCGTTCGTGCGCTCCGCACATTCGGGTACAAGCAGGGAAAAAGAACAAATCCCCTTTCAAGCACTGTCGTGTTCATCGTTAGCAAGTATTTGCTGGGACCAATCGATTTCTTTGGCACGGTCTGTACCCCCTATCCTGCTCGTTTAGACTGCTCGGCTGTCCTGTATTCCGTGGATCTCTGGCACATCTGTGTTCCGCCAGACTGTATTATGGTCTGATAATCTAAATCAACCAGCTTGAGGTGCAGTGGAACTGTGGAAATTGTTGAACGAACCGGAACAAGTGGTGGCATCTCTTGATAGATCTCAAACCAATGGTCAAAACACCATCTCAATCATCAGACTTTCGTCAGTTAGGACTTTGAGTTTTTGGTCCTTGAGTTATCCACATGAGTATAACGCGGAATGACTAAATATAAGCATGGCCAACGCAGGCACATGACTGATATGAAATGTTGAACTTCTTGAATCGCGAATGGTATGAAGAGGTTGATGGGATCTACATGCCACTATTGAAGACTGTATAAGTCAGCATGCCTTGATTGATCGAGAGAGAGAACATAATACTTGGAATCTAGAACGAACTGGAGAATGGTAAATTGATAATAAATCAAATAATTGTTCTACTTTCATTCGAATAGTTCAATATTGTACAAGGAGATTTCACCTCCGAGATGTGTGCGGTTTCAGTATTCGCGACGCGTGCATCCAGCAATTATCAGGGGGTTAACGAACTAATTAGCCCGTCACAATCGCCTGTAAACATCAAGCATGTAGTTCTGGTCGAGCTGTCTCGACCACAGTTGATGCATTTCTGAAAATCCCACAGGATGCATGCAGTCGTGCTGTTGCGAGAAACCATTTCCTGCTTTCATGTTGCTGACCGTGTCTATATGACATCATATAACCTAAACAGGTCATCTGTCTGCAATGGTAAACTTTCGGGCCCATGTTAAATGAGCTAAACAGATGGACGCGGTGCTGCGGATCAGTCCATCCCGCAGGAAGAATACTCTACCGTTATTTTAATTATCCGAATGTTGATGGAAAATCTCATTACCCCATCGGGCCCTGGTTGTTCATTTTTTAGGAATTGATTTACCTTCCCCGTCATTTACCCCCGGACTCTTAGTGAGTCGACCGTCCGGTGGTGGCCTTCACAGTTGACATTACCGATCTTGATTCAGGAATCTCGATCTGAGCGAGATCGTTGGAACTTCTGACGATATCACCGTCGCAGTAGCAAAGGGAGCGGAAGCAATTATTGCTCTTGTCGCCTCCCCTAAACTTGTAACTTTGATAAAGCCAGGTACTTCAGCTACATGCCTCCAGGCGCGGCGCATGTCCATGCCTGCGTCATAGCTTAGCTGCATGTAACCGTCACGGCCGACATCCAAGGAAAAGCCACGATGTGCCGTGTCGTACCTTGAGGGTGTCACATGAGTCTTCAGCGGCAGCCTCATTGCCCCAATTGCCGGGGCTAGTAAGCTTTGTTGGCGTTGGCGTTGGCAATTGACAAAGTCATTATTGCTTCATACAAGAGCAGTTCACCAATGCACCACCATTATGGGGTGCGGCGCGGCGAAGTAATTGTAAATTGACTAACAATAGCATTGTTGGTGTTAAACAGGCGGACAGACCCGCGCGATACTTTTCAAGCTGGAAGGAATGCAGATCGGGGTAGTATCACGAGCCCTCTCGAGCATTCCTGATGTATGCATCGTCCTTTCGCAGGATTTGAAAACCGTGGAATGGGTGCGGTATCCGACCGCTAAAATTCACCATCCTGTCGCCCCTAAACGGCAGCCGTCGAGTTCCCGTGGCATTGGAATAGAACTTTTGACAGAGTAGGTACAACGATTCCGGCTTCGTCTCCCACGCAAGCGGTGAGTGTCCCAACTGTTTGCCTACTGCAAGAGAGGTGATGCCCTACTTGCCCTACCGCCCCTGAATTAGTTGCATCGCTCTTGGTGTGCAGCCTAATTAGACCCTGTGGAATGCCACGTTGGTAAATCTAAAGTTCTTGTCTCGTGTGGCATACAACAAATCCAAAAAGGCACAACGACAATTCATTCTATCATTCAACTGGTCACGCTGGAGGGGGGTAGCGAATATTGTGGTTGTCTTCTGATGCGAGACGAACGCCCCTTGACAATCACCATAAGGTTACCTCATAGCTATTCTGTCCAACAGCATGATACAGCCCCCGCTCCCACAACCAGACCCAAAGAATGTATGTGCATCAAACGCTTGCAAGATGCCTGGATGGATATTCTTGGCCGCTCTGCACAGGGCTGAGAGATATCATTAGCAAGCATGCTGCAGGAGGGCCTGCCCGTGACCATTTCTTACATGCAGTAGATCGTTATATTTACTGTGATTTATCTATAGGATGACATCCACCTGCCAGCAGAGGTACAATGAGATGCAAGTTGAGTAGGCTGAGGCAAGTTTGGCACAGAAACAGGTCATGATGACCTGTGATAGGTGCGCGTCCAAGGGAAATGGTCGTTTTGGGGGCATTCTAAATTTTTTCATTGGTCACAATATTTACTCCGCAGACCCGAAATAGAAAGAAAAAACCCCCTCCCCCCCCCAGCCAGCACGGGAACAAAAGTGCCAGGCTTTGGTTCTGCGTTCAGCACCTGGTCCACAGGAACTCTAAAAACCATAACAGGACAATTTGTTGACTCAAATCGCTTGAACCACAATCTACGGAGCATCACGAGTCGCATTACGCAACGCTTAGATTCTAGGAATTTACCCTACGTTTTGAGAGAGAAAAGTCCGACTCGGCTGTTCTTGACTCATCACAAGGATATGAGCTTGGCGCTGGCGATTCTACGCCTCTTTCTGGGGAAGCAGACCACATCAAGCTAATTTTCGATGATAGCTGGACTCAAGGTTGTTGACCTTGACTTCGAGACGTACTTGGTTGTCAATCTGATTAGTTTAACACTATTCAAAACACGAGGAGGACGGTGCTTTACTAGGCGCCAGTCACGATACATTGCGACATCAATGAATACATCAAGGGCGTCTTATCGAGCTGGATCTCCAAGGCCCATTGACTGGATGAGTCTGGGGCTGCGCTCGTGACTTGCTTAACCCCAGCAGTCTGGGAAACATAAATCTGACAGGCTGACTGGTGGAGGAGGCTACTGTGCACTGCCTGTTCGTCTGGTCGCCAGGCTCGAGCCAGGCTCTCGCGCTTGGTGTTCGAAGCAGGCTGGACCCTGGAACTCCCCGTAGACTCATCTCCACAGGATGAGAATTGAGCCGAACAGACCAGTTCTGCCGAAGCGAATGTGACCATTTTTGTTGGAAAGCAGGTCTTTCAATATTTAATAGTGGTTCCAGTTGGAGATTCGGGCCAACTCAACAACTTTGTCCTGGCTCAAGCTGGAACACTAGCATTGCCCATGAGTTTAAAATGCAGGCCGACCATATTGACAATTCACATGCTACTGTTGACCGGGCCCACTTGAGCGAATTCTTGTCACTAAATATGTAAACTCCATTCTAGTAGTGGCATTTCATGCACGGAGGGTCCTCCTGCTCTCGCGCAATTGAGGAGAAGGACATCGTGCGGGGAAAAAGCTGGACGAACATCGTGACCTCGTTCCGCCTTGCCCTGCCGCCGAATTGCCGACCAAGGCTGATGTGGACGATGCTCGGTAATGCAGTGATTTCGATTTCGGCGTTATAGCCGACAACCACGGCTCCTCTTGCTGATCTGTACAGGGAGGGTTTTCTGGCTCACATTGCACACATCGAAATTGGCTTGTATATTCGGCTGTAGCAACCACTCGAGATTTCACATGCATGCAAATATCGCTAGGTCCTCCACGATGGTCATTGTTGTGTCCCGTAGTATGCTTCAGCCCTGTTAGTCAAAGAGCTGGGTGCTTCCGAATCATCTGGTACCTGGCGCTATGTGAGAAGTAGGCTCGGCGGTATTCTGCAACGGCCACACGCTTGGTCACCACGCGGTGATTTTGTCATTGCACCGCCAGGAAGAGTGGCCACGCCGCCGTTTGTTCTACTAGATGAAGGCGGTCTAGAATCATGCTTGGTGGCAAGCCCCAGGTTTTACCCCAGGGCCGTGAATTGACTCGATGTAAGCTACAATGATCATCTCGAGGAATGTGTCTGTAAATCTGAAGACGCGTAAGTGGGTGTTGCACACCCTCATCGATCCCATGAACGCTCCCGGCGGGTATCTAGTCTTCCCGGGGGTCTGTTTGGGCTGCCGTATACAGTGGTCACGCCTCTGTGCGATGGTGCAAAGAGTGCTAAGTCAGGGGAGTCTGCACGAACGGAACGCATCCATCCAAGTACCAAATAGCGTGACGCGCACGTCAAAGGGACTATTAACCTCGATCACCTGGGCATTGGCATTTTCAGGGCCTTTCGTCCTCCAATGTGACAATTGCGACTTAGTGACTGGATGTTCTAGCCACGGAACGCGGCCTGTTTAGGCGAGAAGGATCAGAGGTGGAGGAAGCGGCGAGCAATTCCGAAGATCATGTGCAAATACTGCATGATTCTCCTCCCGCGGGTCTCGCCTAGTAACCGAGCCCAGGTGTGGACAAGGTACCGGGAGGTTTATTGCTTAGATTAAATTGAACAAATAAATTGATGAGATTGATATTCTAGTTTAATTAATTTGAGTACACTTCGCCGGTGGTACATAAACTCGGAGATCGTTGAGCTGGATAATAGGTAACATGTTGCAAGAGATGCTCTTTTTATACTTTTATTGATGGCCATGCATTCTATTCGCGCTTTGATAGTTGCCCACGTGGTTGAAGCGAAAACCGCGTGGTTGGCTAGAAATGTACCATAGGATTACAGAACTCATTGAGACCTAGTAATCTTAGGTCTCGTTGTCGCTATTGGGATTTCAGATCGTTGGAATGATTCAAATGGGTTTGATCTAACTCAACACTACATAACTTTGTTCCCAGCGGATATGTGACAGAATCGCAAAGCACAGCTGCGCGTTCGCCGTTCGTCATGGCCTCTCCCGAAATAGACCGAGATTCTCCGTCCATACGAATCCACGCAATTAATGATGCATATTGCTTGCAGGCAGGCATGTACGTTTAGTGAGAACTCTTAGTGAGAACTCTTCAGTCCTGCAAGGCTACTGTTTAGTTGCTTCATCGGCTTTCGGACAAGTAGAATTCCAAGAGAACATAACGCACACCTAAATTAGGAAATCCAAACTCATCGATGCTTTGCAAGATCGGGCAAGATCTCTGCAAGGAAGGGTGCTGTACCATGACACCAATTCCTCAACATGTGGCACATTACTTGCCTTGCTCTGCAAACCCTGGTGAGTTACTGGTCACATTCGAAGTAGCCAATCTGTCGGGTTCTGTATTATCATATCACGTTACAGCGCAAGGCATATAGCAATGCCACAGTTTAATAAATGGCCCGATCAGAAAACTTCCAGACATGTAGGGCCCCTCAACCCATTCCGATTCAAAGATATTGAACTCCAAAGTCTCGTTTGTCACCCTTGCATTTGGCAGGAATAGCCCTGATAATACGGGAGAACGGACGAAGTCCCGGCGAATTTTCGAAAGGAAGATACCACGGTTAGGACTGTGGAGTTTGCTCTTACCTGGTCCTGGGATTGAACGATCCACCACACGCCCGAGCTGCTGGGCTGTTCAAAGTATTATTAGTCAAGTGAGGCCTCTCGCAAGCAGATGCCTTTCGATTCTTGAAAAGCATTACAGATGTGGAACATGACAGGAATCAAAGAGAGCAAAGTAGTAGTCCTGCAAAGCTGGCGCCAGCCAAGGCTTGATGGAAAGCAATTATTCTTCCACATTTTAAGCTTTGAGTGAGCTGCCCACGGGGAAGGCCTCCCCGCGCACCCGTTGCTGCAGCCCTGAGCGTCCGCTAAAACCTGGGGATGCAGTTCCACGAAATCCGGGTGCGTGGATACCAACCAAAACACGGCAGGGCACAGAAGCAATCGATATGCTTTCAATGCGCTGGCAACTTAGTGGAGGAGGCAGAATAGAAAGCAAAACGCTTTGATGGTGTAACTTGAGATCCAGGAGTCAGCAATTAAACTCGTCATGGTACATTCCGAGTGACTTTCAATGTGCTGAACTGGTCAATGGAGATGGGCTCCCATGATTCTTAGTTCTATCAGTTTGTGCCTCGACTTATTGGACCTTGCCCTGCGCCAGCCCTAAAAGCAAACATGTCGGAGTTCAAACCCGTGTTTGCGCTCGACGATTTCCACCAGATCGGTTCAGATGCAGAGCCACCTAGTCAGCCCTGCAAATCGGACTGTATAACACATTGCAACATAGCTGAACTGGGAGGGATATATCACCTCATGTTATCCCAGATAGACGACTTCGACTCTCGAGGTATGCTGTTGTGGCTCGTGTTTGTAAACATGCAAGCAGAGCGTCGGAGAGGCTGAAACTTTTGGAGAGCCCTGACGCTCGTCGTTGGCCAGAAGCAACGCCGGGCCGCTGAATGCATATCAGATATGCTTTGCTGTGCATAGTCGTGGCACGGCCCATGAGTGAGATATGATGTCTCGGGTGAAAATGACAATCAATTTATCTGGTCATTTTGGAACTTCGCGCAGCCTTGAGCATATCGGAGCTACATCCAGTAAACTATGTTCTACCTCTCTGGGAATATGGTTTTCGTATTGATTGCACTGTATCTGTACAGCCATGGGCTGCGGTACTGATACTTCGACACTTGATATCGTCAATAGATGTTGGTTTGTGATTGATTTCAAGCGGATGTTGAAGATTGTGGGGGGGGTTTCTTTTCCTGAGCTGGACTAATAATAACGATTCCATGATGACGGAATTCTCATAATTCTGTGTGGATTTGCAATTTCAACCATGGTCTAGCAACTCAGAAAATCCTCACATAACAGAACCGTTGAGTAGGCGCGCATCACGAATCCGTAGCAGTCCATGTAGTTGGTGATATTAGCGCCCGATAAGTTATTAAAGAGTTGTGATTGCCAAGATGCCCATTTCGATGTCTCACAGAACTACGGATCTGGCTCTTGCTCGTCTGACTTTCAGGAATTCAACGGGCTAGAAAAATTGCCCCACAGGGGCTGCAATCTTACCACAACATTGGTGCGCTTGCTTACCTGCTAATTCCCGGGAACTAAGGCATACGAAAAGTATATGCTGCTAGTCAGTGAAAACAATGCCATAAAGAGCGATGAGGAAAAAGAAAAGAAAAAGAAAAAGGTTCATATTGTCTCGAATATATCTGATTTTGGCAATGAGATATACTTTCGCATCGCAATTGCCAGAACGATTTTCTCTTATGTGAGCGGAGCTGAAGCTACAGAAGCGTCCCGTACCGCTGAAATGATTCTGATTTGATCCTGATATGTTTCTGATGTGCATATTTGGCGGGGTGTGTTCGTTTTTGGAAAGATATTTAAGCACAACAATCAACTATGACGTTCTAACCATATAGTTCTAACCATCCATTTATAAGGAAATCCGTGTGCTGTAGGCAAGATAGATACTCTGCTGAGTTTTGAAAGCGTTATTTATCGCAAAAGGCATAACCGTTTCGAACCCCATTGGGCTGTCACGAAAGCGGTTAACGCCTGCGAGCTGGGTGAGACCCCACATGGCTTGACCGGGGAACTAAACCTTGCTTCTACATAGAATCCGGGGAAGGCAGCCGGACTAAATGTCATAAATGACAAGATAGTGTGAGGAGATCACTATCGACAGCGGCTGGCCAGAAAAAAAAAAATCAATTCACCACCCATGTTGATCAATCAGATGAATTCAACCTTTTTGCTTTGTTCGAATCATGTTTCGCAATTTGCGTAAATGTGGTCAAGAGATTGGCATGTACTGGAAGTATACACACGAGCATATTCACTACTTTTCCTCGCCGCCATGATTGCAACCCAGCAATAAATTGAAGTTTATTTGTTAAAGCGCGAATCAATAAATCGCAATTTTTAGTGGCTAACACGCTAATATATTGCTACAGAAGTCTCTCGGGCTTCCAGAAAGGTCGTCATTCTTCCAGGGGTACGGCTATTTGCTTCCCTAATTCCGGTCGAGCGTCTTACATACCCCTCCCCCCTCGTCACCGAGATGTCTTTTTAGGATAAGGTCAATACACACCCAACTGCCACAAAGCACACCACCACACACCATGCGCTAGCCTGCCTGCCACTCTCCTCTTCTGTCTTGACCTTTGTCTCGTGGGGGTCGTCACATCCCGCGTTTGCATTCCCATACCTGCCCACCCCCCTAAGCACGAGAAGGATGAGGAGGCTCGTCTTTGCCAGAACCAGAGCAGTAACACGCCCCCCCACCCATATCAACGGAGAGCCGTTGCAAATTGTTCCTACCGACACGTGTAGCCGCAGGTGTTTTCGTTTGTTGGTGAATAGGACCCCCTATCATTATATTTCACAGCTTGCTCCTCAGCTCAAATTTGATTAAGAGAAGTTAATTGAGCCCACCTGCGGTAGAGGTGCAATAATATCGCTCTCTCACATAGCAGGTGGTATGATCTGTTGATGAAGTACGTAGCACCTAAATTAGAGTGCTTGTCAAGCGACGCGCCCATGCTCCCGGCGGAGCGGGACGCACCCCTGATCAACAGGCGAGTGTGCCCACCTCGCGATAATATCTGGTCACGATGTACAAAACGCGGCTGTTTGAGAGTTCTCGGCCCTAGAGTCTATCCTTTGAAGTCCGAGCTAGTCGGGTATTAATGCAATACTATGGGGATTGTCAAAGCGACGGACCATACAATTTCTCGAATCTTTGCACATGTGGTGATATTGGATTCAGGGGCTTGCGGTGTAGAATAAATCCCCACATAGTCAAAGCTGATAATTACCATGTATCCCACGCTCGAGTGCACCCCACGTCGAAAGTGTCCCAACGCTGTATCAGGAACATGTCAATGATTTTATCACGGAAATAGTGCAGCCCAGTAAGGTGTCGCGCCAAAGGAAATTGAAAATGGTTTCTAGAATACCAAATCGAACCCTGCTCAATACTGATCACTTACTGCCTGCCCAATATGGAAACGACGCCGTGGTCGTTTGACCGATAACGCGATAAGAGGAAATATGAAAGGAATTCAAATCCTTGCGCATATTCGACATGGAAGGGCATCTGGACCGGTCAGTGGTGCCCGCCTGTATGTTGACAAGAACGTGGCATGCCTACCCACAGTTATTGCCTGTTGACGGATAATGTACCATCAGAACTGACAAGGCTGCGAGACGGGTCTCTTAAAGACCTCGGTCTGTATGAGAGCAGGCAACATTTTGTAAATGGGTTACTCGGTCTCTTTGGTATGGGTTTCACGCCTTTCGATAGAAAATCCAACATCGGCAACAAGCCCATTTGTGATGCTTAACCCATCAATTCGAATTGTACCATATCACGGATAGCTTGCGCAAAATAGACACTCAGGCTTTTGTGTTCGCAACGCGCATTTTATCGTGATTGCCTTAAGCGACTGCGGTCTATTTGGAGAGCCGGTATGTCGATAATGATCAATGTGATAAAGTTTGAAGCCGGCAGCTTTGCAACGGCTGTGGCACCGGAATCGAAGCCGTAATGACCAAAGCCGCGGAGTGAGATTCTCGATTGGTGGAGGTATCCCGACGTGGGACGCCATGGCTGACGCAGCAAATCAATGAGAATGCTAGTTGACCATGTGTGATAGGACATCAGTGTCAAGCATCGCTGAGGGGTCCAACGACCCGTGAATAATACGAAGCGCGATGCCCGGATCACTACGCATGATTTGACAAGAAGAAAGCCAATGTGAGACGAATGCTTGTTTTCTTTTCGGTCCTTATGAGTAATGCCTGTCACGAGTTCTGTCACGAAGAGCATCCGCCGCCTTGTCGGAAACGAGCGCCATTGTCGCGGGAAATTGCTTTTGCTCAAAGCTCGTGATGGTGTGCTTTAGCCGACGACAAGGACGTTACGAGCAGCTGTGGCTGACGTTCAATCGCTCCGTTCAGCGCTGACCATGACATGGCAATACCCTCAAGACAAGACAGCTCACGGTAATTGGTATTGGTTGTGGGGATAACTACAAACCGCGGGGTACTCTGGCCTACATTATAAGCCACCCCGAGGCTGAGTAGCGAAAACGTTCAGCTGACCATGAGTTTTATGCATAGAAATGACGGTCGCAGTTGCTGGTATGAGGTAATTCTCTAGCTACCCCCAATCCGTTCAAAAACCCCCCCACCAAGACATGCTCACGGGGACGAAAATGGCCAGCGCATCGACAGTAAACCCACGGGATCCTTGGTAACCGCCTGGTGGGATGATTGATGTGCTGTAACGAGTATCATGCTGATCTTTGCATAATGAATTTGACCGCGCATGTGTCTAGCTACCTCGTCGCATCAGTCGCCTCGGTATCTGGTAACAAAGTCGAGCCCGAACGCTTGCGGCCTGAGAGGAACCAGCCTCGACCCATTCCCACTGGATTAGATCTGCTGTACCCCCCATAACTGTACACAACTGTGTTGGCAGGCATGTGGTCTGAAGATAGCCCTCCATATTTCCTTTTGATAGGAAGAGCTCCCTCGCTGGAGGCGCCCGGGCCCAGTTCCATTACCAGCTATAGCAAGGTCTTGTTACTGCGGGGGAAACAAGAATCCTGAAAAGCGTCACGGGGCCATGATCTGTGGCAACACTGACATTTGCATTGGAAACAGAGCCAACGAGAATCAGTAGCCCGGGGCACGTCACATCTGGAACCTGTGCCACAGAGCTCGTTGAGGGCATCGCCGTGACCATTCCAGGGAACTCACTGTCGATCAGCCGAATCGAGTACCATGCACCCTCTCCTGGAGTAATTCGTGTGTCCCGTATGCCAATCACTGATACATGTAACAGCCAACACTCACATTTGCAGTCAGTTGCTACACTCGAGATGTGGGAATGACAGTTGGCACGACATGCATTCAAAGTAGATAGCCAATTTCCCTGTGATCACATGGATTCTTACACATCTATCCCCATGGAGGCTCATGCTTCCGCTTTTGTTCTTTTCAAATTTAAGTTGTTGCAAAGAGGAACTCATCAAATGACGAGAACGATGCCAGATGTGGCAACGTTGGAACCATGAGTGCATGCCAGTTTGATGTTTTCGGGGAAGTAGGAACGCTGGCCCTAGCGCACTACCGCTTAAACGCCAGGCTATAGGGATTTCCCATCAAAGCTGCAGGCTCTTCAATCGACAGTAGTTGAAGGCCTTCATCGGATTGTATGCTCCACGCCGTATACATGGAACGCCATCAGAGTGACGACTGAGATTCTCTTGTTTCTGACCGATTGCTAGATATTGTATTTATTCCCCTTTAGCCGCTAGGGTTGAAACTCTAGTTACCGAAAGACGAAAACATGGAACTGAGTCATGATGGGAATATTTGATACTCATAGCACTCTTGTTGAACTCTCGCCATGACACGGGAATATGGCCTGTGGGTCAGACTCGTTTAAGTTGGGAAGAATAGGTTTACCACAGTAGTTAATTGTTCAAGGCGGGATCACCAAAACGGGACATATCGACATGTTATGGCCCGTATGCATATTATGTGTGATGGCCAGATCTCAAGTTAACGCAAAGCTTCTATGCTGCTTTGGCCTCGCGAGGGTTCAACCCGGGCCACGATGGAAAGCGCATCAACGCGCCTGGTTGTGTCTAGTTTCTCTCAGATTTGATTACTAGACGCTGCCCAAGGACCAGACTCTCTTTGAGTACGGAGTGTGCGGAGAAACTGTCACGTTCTTCCAGTGCTGAAACATCGAGACCAATTGAGGAGAGGCTGGACTTTTTACGACGGTGGACACAGAAGCCCACTTGTACTCACGAGCCCAGCAACGAGGTCACAGATTGACTGTGAGAAGCTCTGCGCAGTGGATCATACGCGTTGTTGCCGACGAGCCTTGGTGGATGAAGAAAACGCCGGATTGGATTTGACCGGATTTGTCCCGGCGCTTTGTTTGTGAAGAGGCTGTTAGTGCATTGCCTCATGGGATGATTGCTACTTGATGGGTGTCTAGTCAGAGCGCTAGATTGTGCGTCTAACTTTTTGGGGAGATGCGCTAGATGGCCGGCACAGAGAAGTCTAGGCTCCTTGCCAGAAGGACCGCGGTGAAAAGGCGGTACTTTGGGTGCTCAGTGTCTCCCACATCCCCAAGAGCCAGTTCTACCCCTTGATCCCGGTTGCGCCACCCACTTGTGCTGGGAAGAGATCCAGACTGGACGTACCAGGCCTCTCAAACCTGATTCAGAGGTACGTACATGCAAGTATCTCGTCGTTGCAAGTTACGACAGGGGCCCAGCGCGGTACTTGCTGGCTTGGAAGTACGTACCCGACCTACCAGGTGCTTTGGTTCTTGTCGAAATCCAGGGCCCCATGGAAATCAAATGGGAATTGATTGATGTCCAGTACCTCCGTACCCTTCCCACCAGCCGACGCCTCTCCGCTCCCTCATATTAACCCATTCAACGCACACACATAACACACACCTCCACACCTACATAGTCTTTCATACATATGTACACTCAACCCACATCTAGTCGTCTGGTCTAATTCTCCTCAACTCCAGATTTCACTAACGAGGTTGCACTTTACAACCAGACTCCGCCGCCTTTCAGAGACAAGGGCAACGACAACGACGACGACGCCGCCAACTACTACCACCACCACTACTACTACGGACCCCCGTCGCTCCAGCTCGGAAGCATCCTTTCGCCTCGTATCACCGTCACCTCATCGGCGTATCGACGACCTCTACTGTTCTACGAAATACCAGAGGCGCATTCTTCGACAGCAATTGTATTCTACTGTCGATGACTACTTAGGCCAATGAATAAGCATTGACCTTTTCTACGACTGCGCACTGAAATCTTCGCGACCTTTGCTCGCGAAACCACATTGCCGTAACAGTGCACCCACCCCCACATCATTCTGCTTGCAGCCGGGCAGCACGATCCGCCAACATGCCCAGTAAAACGGAAGGCTTGGTCCTTACAGTGGATCCTCATGTCCTCCACAAGGTCGACACTGAGAACCCGGAGAACTTCTTCAGCATTTGGGCCCGTAAGTCGCCTCGGTGGCACAGTCAACCGCACTGCTGCCCCGTGACCATCGCCGCCACAACAGCTACTAACGCGTGTTCCTAGTATTTTCCAGATGTGCCGACTCCGTCGAACAAGGTCGGCGGTTAGAGAACCTCAGCTGGAGGTTATGGAATCGTGAGGTCCAATGTTGTGCCGCACAGACGAAAGAGCAGGAAAGCCACGCCACATCCTTCCCCAAGGACATCCCCAGTGGATATGCTCCCGAGATGCCTCAACTTTCTGGCAGTGTTGATTCAGCCATTGACGACGATGAGGATGCCGTCGAGTTCTCCTCTGAGCTGGAGCCCGTGGACATCCTACGACCCGCAATCGTACGACACGACTCTTGCGCTAGCAGCCAGAGCCGTGGCCGTGAGCGTCATATCACCTCAGACCACCTCGAGAGAATGGTCTGCACCATTATTCAAGAGACCGAGCCTAACTTGAACCCTCTCCCTGAGATCAGCTCCCCCTCGATAGAGCCAGAGTCAGATGAGTCGCAGTCTGCATTCTCGCCTGATACACAAGAGGTTCTTGAGTCTCCTACTACACCAGCCACCGAGCCCATGTGTTACTCGACTGGAAATGCGGAGACCGATCCTTCAGAGCTTGCATCATCCGCCAACACATACAACACACAAGTCATCCGCGGCTTCTCTCCCTCGCAGTTGCCTATCCCATCCCTGCGAATTATGAGCCAGGAGTTCATGAAGGCCTCGGAATCTACCGCTATTCCCGAGCCCCAGTCTTCCCCAGCGCACAAGCCTGTACAGCTTAAGAAGCAGCCTGCCAAGTTTGCACTTGGTGGCTCTTCTGGTGACGAGTCGTCGCCCAGCCTCGAGGTTCGCCAGCCTATGATTCAACAAGCCAAGAAGAAGGGCATGTTTTCCATTGGCGAATCCTCTGGCTCCAACGGAGATGAGACGCCTTCACTGAAGAGCGCTATGCATTCGGCAAGGCCCAGCTCTCTACTTAACACGCAGAAGAAACAGGCATCCTTCAGTAACCAGGTTACTACCCGCACCATTCAGACTCCCAGCGACCAAAGCGATAGTTACATGGATGAAAGCGCCATCGACGACGATGATGAGGACTCTGAATGGGAGGACTCCATCGAGGAGAGCGGCAAGTCTAGCATAGACGACCCTGTCACCTTCAAGCGTGTTCCCTCCAAGCCCAACTTAACTTCGCAGCGATCCTTGATCAGCCTCATGTTTGCGGGTCAGGATCAACGCGCCAGTGGCCTTAACAACCACGTTTCCCACTCGACCTCGGCCCTCCCTCAGCGAGCTCGCTCATACCATGGCGGGCAGGCATCTCAGGCAGTAGCCTCCCCCAATGACTCCGATGACAATGGTCTGGAGATGAACATGAGAAGAAACCAGCGACGTGCACCCCTGCGACCCATCAATGAGATACCTCGTTCCACTGCTCAGCCAATCATGACCACTATCCAGAGCAATCATCAGGCCGCTCTCTCCCCACGAACCACTCGACGCAACATGCTGGCCACGGAGCTTACCGAATCACTTCGACGACACCTCCTTTGGGAACGTCAGCACAAGTCTTCCACCGCTAACGCCGTCCTGAAGAGGCGCCACACTTCTCATGACGTTGCCAATCTGAAGCAATATCCTGAGAAGTCTTACATGGGCAAGGACAACAGCCAGACTATCACCGAGGAGCAGAATGCCAGCAGTTGGAACCAGGTCCTCGAGAGAGATGCACTTGGTGGATACAACGCTCAAGGCTGGTAAAAGGCCGATCCCATCACCCATCACCTATCTACACAGTCGGTTCCTCATCGACTTATTCGAGTCGCTACTAGCACTCGCCGGCAGATCATCACTGCCTTGTACATTGATTCTATTTGATCATAGCATTGCGAAGGTACTTGATTTTTCATGACACCTACTCATGCATTCCGGGCGTTTCAAGCATATGGCTTCTTCATAGACCATAGTCATGACCGGCATAACGACAAAAAGGTTTACCTGGCATCGCTGCCCGAAGCATGCTCGCCGTGGATATTGGCGACTTGTTCGAATCATTTGACACATTTTTGGCGTTGTCACATTATGATACCACGTTTGATTTTGGTTTTACGCAGCTGAACCCTGAATGGGCAGTTGTCTTGTCTTACTATTGCTGCTTCAAAGCAGCTTTGCATGTCTCGGAAAATTAGTAGTGTAATCTACACGAGTATTGGGGCAACCCATTGGCTGCTCATTGTAATCCTCGCCTCGAAGATGGCCAGAGGAAGAACAAAAGCAGCATGGGCAACGGTCATTGGAATTGAGAATTGGCGGAGCATAGGAAGTGCGGAGATTGAAAAGCAAGACGTCCATGACCTACTAAAAACAGAGCAAAAGCATCAAAAGCCCTACAAAACATGAATAAAAGCGCATGATACAAAATATTCTGTCTCTGAATTCTATTTCTGTGTGATGTTTAATGAGTCGTCAGACGACGTTGTACTCCAAGTTTCCAGCATTTTATTAATCCTCCGAAATGGTTGACCTACCACATGGCCCCTGGGCCTTCTTCGCTGCAAACGCCTCGGTATCAAAGTACACAGGCATGAGCTGTTGGGCATTCCAGGAAGAGGCGCAACATGTTACCCTTTAAGGTTTTTGCGTAACAGTCACGAGGTCATTCACTTATGTACAGTCAAACTGTGCCTTCAGAGTCGTGATAAGGTTGCAGCACAATGAAAGTATCATCAAAACCAAATGCAGTAATACCTTCAAACAGATATGCATAGCCATAGTCTCAGGGGGCTCGATGCGGTAGTGACAAGGATTGCGAAATACATATCGATCGATTCGGTTTGCGCGGTTCCCCCCAGATTGAGCTTGTTTCCCTCCAGGTTTTTCCCCGGATGCGTCATGGGCTTGGCAATATAAACCATAAAAACCGGTAACATAAATATTACCCCATACAATTTCTTTGTGTAGCCGCGATTTATACTCCCCCTAAGAATCACGAGGTTCCCGCCAGGAAAGGGATATGGGGAGGGGGATAAAAACTAAACTCGAATAAACATTAATGTGCGGAAACTCTCTGTATTGGCATGATAGCATTGATGTCCGAGGTCAGACTTCTGATCATGTCTTGCTTTGTGGGTGACTGCTGAAATGAGAATGCCTTTGCGTGGTGGGGTTGCGTGGTTACAGTACGTAGCTCGGCAGCCAGCAGTCTTTGCCACAGGTAACGTCGGGCGCTGTCCACGTGCTAACGATGAAGCAGTTCTAGATTTGAGGGCAACGCCCCGGGTAAGGCAACATGACATGCTTCCAGTCAAGTGCACTGTGCCCCTTTCCAAAAAAAAAAAAAAAAAAAAAAAAAAAAAAAAAAAAAAAAAAACTCGGGATGGAATGATCACCTCAACAATCTTGTGTCAATTGAGGCGCTGGATTGTTTGGGCCATCGTAGTCAATCGTTTGTTTCTCCAAGTACGGAGTAGTGGGCGGCGTCTCCACCCTCGAATAAATCCTGGTTGTCGATATCACAATCCGGTTGGCCCCCCCAGCTTGTAAGAGAATCTCTGTCGTCACAGCTGCTTGCCACGCTGCATCTTGGACCCTTGATCGACCATTCAGTGGAACACTGTCCTACCAAATTGGCAAGTCTGGGCCTCGATGCGGGGACGCTTTTGTTTCGAGACAGGACATCTCTTCCAACTACTTGTTGTTGGGAGAAATTCCGGATCTCCCGAAATTGCCCGAGCAGCCTGCTGATCATTTTTCAACACAGCGGAAATCATGGCACAACAGCGCCCGCCCGGCAGGACAAGCACACGAGCTGTCTGTACAGATCTGTATCTCCAGTGATCTCCACAGATGATCCCAATCTGCGCGCGGGGGACAATAGATCTACGGGGTAGCCATACTCCAAAAAATACTGTCTTCTGCTTCACGAGATATGGAACCAGTATATTTCCACATTCGTCGGTCAATTGTCGGTTAGGATTTTGTCCGACTTTCGTATATTTGCGAGTACTTTTGCTTAGTTCTGACACCTACCCGCGACACACCCCCACGTTCTATCTATCATAGACCGCCGCTTTGAGGGCCACAGATGTTTCTCGTTGCGACGGTACGGGCCTTAATACAGACCACATCATCTTTAGAGGTTGCAGAGTATCCAGGTCAGAAAATAGGCGTCCATGCTGTTGTCGCCGACTACCTTGCCCGGAATGACCAGATCCGCGAGCTGTTCAACCCTGACGCGACAACTAGCAATGGGCTGTGCTGCTTCGGTATCGAGTAATGCTTTCGTTTGTCGCGGTAGTATTGATATAGGCGGTACACTCGCTACACGTCGCTCGCTATGCATAGGGCATAGGGCATAGTACGTCCTATGCGCTGTCATTCACCGTCCTCCAGGCCTATCACTGACAGTGCATCCGCGCCAATGAGATATACTCAAGTCAAATAGACATCACGTTATGCAATGCAAGTTTGCTCTACGCGTCCAAAAACCCACCTCTTTAGACAACCCTTGGCCGCATCTGTCAAAATCTCTGGCATGCGCTTGAATGCACCTCGCGATTCAGTTCTGGGCTGCAGCCTCATCAAAGCGTCATCGTCAACCAAGTCCACGCTTGTGGCACTTGTTTACAAACTGTGCATGATCACGTACAGTCTCAGCGGTGGGATAGTAAAACAGCTCCCTGCTGCGTTGAACCCCGCTCTCATGGTGGGATGGTTCAACCTGCAGAGCTATGACAAACGAGTTTCTATGCGATATGTACACCTTCTTTTCGAGCGTTTATCCCTCACCTGAAGTATGGTACGATGGCATTGGGGCAGAATGGGGCACCAGCATTTCCAATCATCCACAAAACCGCGCGAGCGACGGTCAAATAGAAAACATGAGCGCATCTCATTGGCAAACAGCAAGGGATTACCATTAGACACCTCACTTCACCTTTACAACCCAGTCAGTGTCCGGCCCGTCGCGACTTCTTGTGTAGCGGTTGGTCCGGAGGTTGTGCTCAAGCTGCCCCCGGACGCCTGGGCCTGCCACCGTCCCACACCCTGTCTCTGCATCTCGTTTAAGGTAGGGTGACAGACAGATCAAAGCACAAACTCTATGCAAGTGATAAGCCTTTTCATCGCTACCGCTGCTGCGACAAGCTCTACTTTGCGTGCTACGTTGGTCGAATCAGAGTTCATATAAACCCTTGTTCGCTCTGCCGCTCACCGACTTTTTGACTGTTTTTGAACAGCCTATCGCCAGAACGTCACCCCCACTCGGACTATACAACTTGCCACGCGACTTTAGAATAGACGCTGCAAAAGTAGGCGTTCGAGGGGACGCAAATCTGTGTTAAAGAAAAATTAAATCATGCTGCTAAAGTATCGTTGGCGTTCGCCTTAATTCCTGATAAGGCAACAAGTCTTCACGACGTTTGCCTATCTGGGATTTCCACGTTTTGTTTGTTTCTAGCCTTCTTCTGACTGACTACGCATGCATTCATAGTGGCCATTCCACGCTACGAGAACCCAAAGGTGCGCAGCTGCTGCATTACGCATGTCGGAATTCTTTGGCTTCGGTAGCTTTGTAGGTATCACTGGAATATCGCCTGTGAGAAATTTGGACATGATCACAGCGAGCTTCAGTATTCCCTCATCGACATCCACCATATGATTTCCTCTCATCATTTAACAGTCATCCGCATCATGGGGACTTGTTTCCGTGGGGTGTCAGCTATAGCAGACCCCGCTTCCACGCGCGGAGACATAGCTCGAGACGCAACCATTGGATTGCAACAGTCAAAAACATAGTGTCCTGACGTCGTTACATGATAATCATTGATTGTTGAACATAGTTGTGCGACGGAGTAGAGACGGACCAATGATATCTCAACTATATTGTTGCGGCTGGGTGGATTCTCAGCCTCAAGACGAACAAGGTTATACTACGCTGCTCTTGTTCAAATACTGAGTCAAGCACGATGGATTTTGCACCACAATAAAATACACCGATCAAATATTTGTATTTTATCTCAAATGATCGAATACATAGGAACGACGCCAGCAGGACGCCACCATCCAATCCGGGCTCCAGGGTTTCGACGGATATTCATGTTTATATCCACCGCTGATCGGTCCTTCATTGGCACAATGTCGGTAGCGACTCGGTCGAGCTCTGGACGCTGCATGGCCGGCCTTTTCGACCCGAACCAGCTGTCAAAGCCATGCTACAGCTCTCTAGTTTTCCTCTACCTGACTAGCAAATAAAGCCGAGTTCCCACAGGACTTCTGGAAGAATTCTGGCGCCGTTCCTATCGTCAGGGCCTAAGGTTGAACTAGATCACCAAATACGGAAATTACAGCCTTTACTGTGTACGAGCGGACCGGCTACAATAACGACACAGCCACTCTACCTAGCAGAGAGCACGAGGCCTTCAATGTCTCATACCCCGTGGCTGGTGACAAGAGCCTCATGGACCTTGCAATGATCATTCCGCACGGACACGCTTCGTACCCACCTGAGCTGGCATGCCGAAATAATCGGGGGACTTAGGGTATCCAGAAAGCCGCCGAGCCGATGGCTGTACAATATCGGGGTTCCCCTCCATTGGGCCGCAGTGCCTCTAATAATGAGTAGTAACCAACTCCTCATCCCACTGAAGAGAGGGGACGTTTCACTTCTGATTCAAGAACGAGACCAAAGGAAAGGAAAAAAGTTACGCGTTTGAGGGGTTGGAGCTCCTCCTGCTATGGAGAAACTTGATGAATGACGTGTTACTCGTTTGTTGACCAAAGTACAAACCGGGTAACCGTACACACCCTCCCAGTTGTTACGGTGAACTCTAATCAATCGGGAGAACGCAAACGATTGAAAATAAAAGTAATAAAAATAAAAATCGAAACGCCTTCAAGCCTGAACCCTGGAGACAGCCTACTCCTTCGGTGGACGCGATGGACTCAGCTTACCGCCTCGAGTATGGTCAATGCAAAATGTGCATGGTTTGCAGACTACCAATTTCCCATCTCCCAAAATCCCATCAGACTGTTTGTCAGTCATTGCGGCCCTCCTGAGTACATACGCAGCGAAAATTCGTGGGCTAGGCATACGTGTTTCGCCCATACTGACTAACACGATAAAATGGAACGGTCTGGTGTTGTCCTTTGAGCCGCGAAGGGTACCCCATGGAGACTGACTCTCCAAAGAGGCGCCGCCTTTGTGCGAAATTCCCATCTGGCCTTTGGAGGCTTTTCCGGCGGTGCGGTTGAGGCGGGGGGAGTTAGGAAGTGGAGATAGAGGGACTAAGAAAAGAAGATCTATTTTCCCGAGAAGCACGTGGAAACGAGCGCCGTTTGCTTTGGCGCCAGAGAATTTCACGGGTGCCAGGGGGGGGGGGGGGGAGGTCGCAACTTCGCCGCGTTACACATCTGTACTCTCTAGGGGTACTTTTCTTATTGCTGTTGGTCTGTTCATCTGCATGGTAAAGGAGAGACCCAGTGATGAGTATACAATGCACTCACGAGTTCGGCAACGACTCGCGCGTGTCATTAGTATTATAGGGGTGCCTCGTGGGCTTTGTATTTTCGCATCCCCTTTGCCTGCCCGCGTGATGCACGGGTTTCATAACAGAATCTTCGGTCCGACACCAAATTCAGCCGGCACTTATACGGGTTCTGGACACTGCTCTCGTCATAACCAACGTGACAGTGTCATGAATGAAAGTAGTGCTTGTTCACTAGCATTTGTGCGTGCGGGCAAGTGACGATTAATTCATCTTCAAGGGTTGTTAGTGAAAGGGCAAACGCGGGACATCCATGGCCCTTCTGCAGTAATGACCACCAACTGCGAGTAAATACGGATTATTCCAACAGTGACCAATAGAATAATTCGAAAGAATACGCAGAGAAAATATCTTCTGAAGTCGAAAATGAAAATTATTTTCCAATCAATCAATTAATTAATTAGCAAAAACGCTAGCCACCGTTGGACGATGCCGGGTTGCTGTTAGATGAGCATCCGCGATCCAATCGAAATTCTTCACATGAAACTTGGGATACGAACTTGCGCCATGCGAATAGGCTTTCGCTAATACAGCAGCGCTGTAGTCCCCAACCAAGTCTCTGGAATCAGCTTCCCCGGACACCTTAGCGCAGCCTGACTTGCTAAGAGGGTGTGTACTTGGTATGACGACATCCTGTATCTCAGGTGGCTGCCGGCTTTGTATGTTGGTTTCCGCAAGGCGTTTCTCGATTGTGCTACATGATGGTACGAGCTGGGTTTTTCGGCAGTCAGATGGCTTCATATAAAAAAGTGTGTGTGTAGAGTGAGAATTCTTTCGTTGCCATGACCTTGGGGATTGTCATGCCGCCCGCTTATAACCGCAGAGCACAATCGCCGCCTACGAAAGATGACAGAACACTCTTTTCGACAGGACAAATCTGATGGCCCATATATCACTCTTCTGAGATGGTGTCGTCACCGAGATAATGAAACTTTTTTCCCATGTGCAAGCAGTGACAGTCTCATCTCATTGTTTATTGCGGCATCGCTTGATGACAGAACCAGGTAACACGTCGCCACGGGTAGGCGAAATCAGGTCAAACCTTAATCCCGACGTGTAACTTAGGAAACTTGCCCACGGGTTTTCTCGGTCGTTTTCTCAGAGCGAAACCAAACCCAAATCTCCCCATGTTTTGATGTTTTACCTCGCATTGGGACGGATTCGGTGCCCACGAGCGCTCTCCCAGCCTCTGGTAAAGCCTGGGTACCTTTAGATCGCTGACTCGTGCCAAAGGCAATTGGCCGGTCGACTATGCGGTCGTGGACCCTTGAAGGTTTGATATTGATTTTAAAAAAGAGTGTAATAGAATAGTTTGAGCAGCCACGCTGGTACCTTGGGCCTTTTAAACGTCTTTGGCAGGCAATTCAGCTTTGCATCTTGCCGGGATGCTGAACTCAATATTTGAGCTCTTACTGGCCCCCGGTCGCCACGGACAAGGTTTGGTATACTGCTTTACCTGACAGATACATTTTGTGCAGTAAAGTTGGGCCAGGCATGATGGTCTTCAGCAAGTTGTAGCACACGCTTCTGGTGTGAAACAAGCCAATGTGCGACATCTCTGTCATGGTCAATCACAGAACATTTATCCAGTGACTCGGCAGTTTTGTGGCATGGTAGGATTTATACTTGCCAAGTTTTCTTTATTGGTTGATTTTATGAGAGGGAAATTCTTGAAAATATTAAGTAGGTCTGGGAAAGGCATTGTTGCTCTGACAGCTTCATGAAATGATCAGTATGTTGTTATAGGTTCGAACATAGCAAGTATAAGACTAGGCCATAATTGAGTAAAATTTTCCAACAAATAATTGTAAATACACTGTCTGAAGCCCGCTTCTGAACGAATGTGGTCTGCTTCCTATCCTCACCTACATCCCTCCGTGAGAGGGTCCTGTCTACTGTAGAGCGTCTTCCGCCACCCATCTAGATTAAAGGTATCTATACTATACCCATAAGATGTACGAGTGCAAACATTGTCGGCCCCAGTGAGCTCAAAATCATAGACGCTATTTGCTGTACCCTTGAATGCCTGGTAAAACCCGTGGTTTATTCCAGTCACATTGACCGCGATGTAGCCCGTCAAGGTCAACCAGGGGGTGATGCGGGCGGTAGCCACGGGCTCAATGGTCACCCCGGATCCGTAGTTGCCATCCCACATACCGCTGTAGTATGTACTCTCGGGATTGACCATATCGAGATGGATGTGCCCATCGATCAGAGTGTTGGTTAGATTCGTACGCGCCACCGTGGCAGATGCCGTCGCCACATCGGCACCTGAAGAGTACAGAAGGCTGGGTGAGATGTCTAGTACACCTGGGACGGCATAAGTCCAGCCTCCAAGGGCGTTCTCTGAGAAGGCAACGGTGCCGTTATAAGGCCCTGTGACGTTCAGCGTCAGTGGCATTCCATCTGTGGAGGCTATATTGATATCAAGGTATAAATCTCGAAGCACCTGGTTCGCCACGTCGTAGTCCAGGTAGGCAGAATAAGAGAGGTTAGTGCTGAAGTAACCAGCTTCGGACCTTCCAATGACGGACGGGAGATCAGACACATCCTGGCCAGCAGGGCTTATGGAGACTGAATCCCATGACTGTGAGTTTACAGCGGTTGAGTTGTCCTGTTCCTCTAAGCAATGGCTGTGGTACCTAACCTGGATCGAAGCTGCAACACTCGTGTCAGCTCTCTAAAATTGCTTGTAGAAGTCGAGCGTGCTTACATATAATGTCAGCGGTAGTCTTTCTCTCAATTCTGGCACTGAAAGAATGAGTGCTTCCATTCCAATGCAATCTGCTTCCAACATTATATCCCTTGCGGTTATCGTAGTCACCAGTATGTCCGGTTTGCAGGATGAGTGATGGATGCTCAAGCCACGCGCTAACGTCCGAGTCATAGGCATTTGGAGACTCGAAAGTGATCGTCATGCAAGAATCGATGCAATCGATATTTGTAATGCCTCCAACATCTGCAAGAAACACAGTTGGATATTTCATGATGGCACGCGCGTCGGCGCAGGATGTATTGCCTCGGACCGTCTTGACGAAGCCATCGGCAGAAATGAAACCTCTGTGCGAGTCTCTTCCCGAAAAACACTCATCATCAAGTCTTGAAGCTATATTCTCGGAATGGGAACATCGCTTGCCACAGGCCAAGAGCGGCCTTGATAGAAGAGCAAGGAGATGGACCACAATCATCCTGGTCGTGAACTTCCGGATGGATGTTTTGAGTTCCAATAGTGTAATGAGCTCAGATTGTAAAAAATCAGTGTAAACCACATCTTAAGGACGTTGCATTAACAGAACGGAATTATAACAGACTTTTCTCAATCTTTCGTGGTACAATCCTCGTCAACGATCGGGTCATGTTACTCCTGGTGATACATTAGAAACTGAGAGAAGGCCCGATCCGTGGAACCATTTGAGTTCGTTGCCACAACTGACACATGTTCGATGGCTATTGAGTTTGATCTACGAAACCAGCAGTTATGATGTTAGCGTCCTAGGTTTTTCAGGACAGATTAGGCAAGATTGATGAAAATGAAGTCAATTTTGTCAGTAAAAGAAAAAATTATCATAGATTATGAAGCACTCGGCAATAATTGATGTACAACATGTTAAGATGCAATCACCAACGCGGCTCATCTTTCTCCAACCCGGGTGACACCACGGCATTCCTATCAGCGAATGGATCGTCCTCATCCTCGGTTTCGTCCTCATCTTCGTCCTCGGGAACCGGCTGGGGGGAGGGTTTGGAGGGCACCGTCGACTTCGACGATCCAGAGGGCCGCGGCGGTGGTGTCGGACGAGGTGGTGGCGTAGGAGCAATGCTCAGATCATCCATCTCTGGGATAGGGCTGCCAGCATTCGCACCGCCAGATGGAGACGTAGACTGCTTGCCTTTCTCGGTTGCCACTAAATCTGTAAGTAAAGGTAACGGAATTAGTGTCAACAGTCATCTCACTTCTGTAAAGGTGGGCTTGTTCTGCCAGTTCATCTTCGGAATCACTATCGGCATCTATAGAGCGGTCGAGTTGTTCAAAAGTCATGAGCGCCTGAATAAGCTCATCATTAGCATGGAGCAGACCCCCAAGCCACTGTTCATCCTCAACATGGTAAATCTAAGAATGTTAGTTCCGACAACAGTATTCACATACGTGGGAGGGCGTGGCTCACATAACGCAAGATCTTCCTTCGAAGCTTTTTGCAAGCCTCAAAACGCTGCACTGCAAGTTCATTTTCTGAGATTCTTTCTTGCTCACGGTTGATACTGTGGAGTGAATTCGTTAAATTTGTTGCCGAGATGGACGCTTCGGCGACTGCCACCTTCATGGCGTCTTTCTCAGCTTCGAGATTGAACGGTCGAGACTTCTTCTTGCTCTTGTCCTTGTCTTTTTTCTTGTCCTTGGAGGAGCCAAAGAAGGATGAACCTGACCTCGAAGACGACTTGGTATGGCTAAAAGACTGAACAGTCTGGTTCGTCTGTGGTTGCGCCACCGGAGTTGGTCTAGAAGATGATGCTTGAGGAGGAGGCGACTGCCTTTTGGGCGCTGCATCTGCCTCGTCTTCTGAATCGTGGAACGGATTATCAGTTTCACGCACTACCTTTGATTTGTCCTGAGTTACGACCTGCTTTCGGCGCGGAAGTTGCTTTTCAAAATTAGTAGATTGCTCATATAAAGATAAGGGATGGTTTGCATACCTTGTAAAGAACAACGATACGTTCAAGACCAGGGGTGCTCTTGTATTCGGCAGCCCAGCTTCTGAAAAGCTCCGAACACTTCTTCCGCACTTCTGGATCGGACAGGTCAGAGGTACCACAAACTCTAAGCCGCTCAAGTAGAGGTTCATCAACAAACGCGCGCTGGAATCGTGGACCAGCATTCTGAATAAGGCCGTCGAGCAAAGTCAGGGCTCGCAATTGCCGATGTACGTTTCCATACTTTAGCTTCTTTCTGATGGCTCGAGCTGCTTCTGCAGGACCGGAAGATTGAAGTTTAATGACCTCGACAAGATCAGGAATTCCACTGAAGTCGTCTTCCTCAAACTGTTCACTAGTGAGCCGATCAATGGCGACCGTGACCGCCGAATATGGCTTTTTCTGAAGTGCCGTATTAGCCGCCACTGCAAACAACTCGGGCCCATGACCATCTAGGTCAAATCAACTCAGCAACATCATCTTTTCTGACGTTACGGCAGACTGTGTGATGATCTTGGGAGGCTTTGAGACATTGATGTTGACCGAACTTACTTGTGAGAACATGATGCAAGGCCTAAAAAGCTTGACGCTATGCTTAGGACGGATACGAAATTAGGCCGCAGGGCAGATGGTGCGCTCAAGGTCTGAAATATGGCACAGTCGATAGCCTGTGATGAAATCACGTCAAAGTGATTTACGGTAGTAACGCCGAGGGATTGAGCTGGGGATACCTCAGGAGCTGAGGGGCAGTGTGACGCACAATAAGCTACGGCGGGGTAAAGTGGTCGGCGTCGGAAGTTGACTGTGAGTGAGACTGGGTATCGTGAAATTGCGATTTTCTTGCCTTGTGAGTAACTCACAGAACCTCAACCCGTGAGATTGCGGGCTCACAGTGACTACAAGGGGATAAAGTGAGGCAATCTACGAACTGTGCCATTACTTAATGTTTGGGGGTCAACGGCGTGATAGGCATGGTCATGCGGCCCACTGCACAAACCAGCACTTGTGTGGATTGAGAACAGATCATCCCTGCTCCACTATCAGCTGCTTTATTGACCTCAATATTTTCATGCGTTCTGGCGTGCAGCACTTACGCGTGCCATCATACATTCGTTGGTTCGTTCCTTCTTTCCTTCTTTCGTTACTTTTCAACAACCCTGTAGGGATCAAGAGCACACTACTACAAGGCAGGTGCGATGATCTGGATTATGCATAAAGCTTTAGGCCATCATGGAGCCTCAACTTTCGAAGAGGTCAAGCTCGCCATCTGCAGCTACATAACTCGTTTTGTTAGATCCCTAGCCTTTTCTTCTTCTTTTTTTTCTCTTTCTTTTTCATTATGATGCACATTCAAGATTTGTTTGATATTTGATACCAAATATTTCATATCAATATCCCCCCGGGTGTTGTCTCACCATGAACCTAGCACATGGCATTGTTCTAAGCTATTTCCCCGCACTTTATTGATACCTACCCAGCGACAATATGCAAGGTCAACAGCACGATAGCAGGTATGAGTTCTAGGACAGCAGTTTTCAACAATATACTGACGCATGCCTTAGTGAGGCGGCTGTTCAAGAGGCGTCGCACTTCAGTAATGTTAGCAGTAGTTCCAGGCCAATCAACCCTGAAGGACCTCTGGGTGTCCTCACCTCTAGAAACTCCTTTTCTCAAGGCAACCTTGAGAACCGATATTGCAATAGTGATACCAAATATGAAGAAAAGGAATTTCCTGTGCTAAAGGCGCGGCATCGACCTCTTACGCTTAAGAGGAAATCTTCATCCGAAGATGGCCGAGTCAGAGCCAAGCGGCGCATGCCAGAAGTTTCCATGTCACCCTCAAGTCCATTTGACACACTCAAAGTAACAAAACTGAGTGTGTCGAAGTATGATATAGCAAAAAAGGACGTAACAAACCATTACGTTGCGCAAGCTACTATGGGTAGTCCATTGAAACAATCCCGACATCTCCTGCAGGCAACAATAATGGACCACCTCATACCTTGCCAAACATACGACGAGATGGATAATACAAGTATGTATGCTCCTGGAAGCCTATACGACGCTGGTCGTATCACAAAAGTGCCAAATATCCAAACTCACGACAACGTCCTTCGGGTTATGCATGCTGATGACCCTGCTGGGATCGATCTTGATGGCAATGATAACTTAGGCCGTCCGGCATTGGGCTCCCTCACTGGGCTGAGTTATAATGCAGTATCTTTAATTTATGATAGCGATGACTACGGTTTTTATGAAGAACCGACGAACGATATGGTGCGGATCGCGGACGAAGTGCTTATAGTTTCCCAGGATGGCATCCCACCATCAAGCATCGCAGATCGACGGGATCATGACTCGAGATCGGCAGAAGAGTATGATCCAAATCTACATTGTTCTTCACAGGAGGCATCTTCGTCGGAATTGCACGCTTCGTGCCATACTAGATCTACCAATCAGCCAAAAGCAGCACCAGAAGACCTTCTGGACAACGATGTTGATTGGGACGCCGTGTACTTACTTACTAAATCCATGGCAAAGGATCCTTCGCTTGTTGGCTCAGGCGAGATTACAGCGCCTCAGTTCCTTTCTGCATTTCCTCATACCGGTGAGCCAGAGGCTACATTGCAGACCGATGAAAGAAAAAAAGTCCCTCCATTTACTCGACCCCCTTTCCAAACAAAGTACATAACAGGTCGCCCGTACCTGGTGTCTCCTCCAAACTTATCCTTAGGACATGTTTTCGCATTGGACATCTGATCAACCAAGCCATTTACTGCTATCAGCACCACCAGGATGTTATGTTTGAGCTATACGCCAGGGTCACCTACTCCAGCCGCGAGTCACTAGCGCGAAAGCAGCACTTTCAGTTTGCGGACCTATTCAAGGATCAACAACCATATCTATCAGGAGTTTTTACACAATGGAGGGTTGGCAGTCTTGCAGATCGGCAAAGCCACATTTTTGTCAATGGTCATATGCCAAAATTGAGCTGGTGCATGTGCCGCTTAAGAAGGGACCAGAAAGCCTCGACTGGTTGGCTCATTGAGATACTGAGGATTAGGGAGACAACGTGGGAGCAGACCAAGTATGCTAAGGAAATTCTCGGTGAAACAGAAAACGAGATAGAAAATCTACGGGAGCCGAGGTGATGCTGTGAGCATATAAGCAAGGCCACTAATTCTAAGACAGTATTGGGGCAATGAAAACGTTGCTGATTGGGGCTTTTTGAGTAAGAAATCTGCGGTTAACAGCCCTCTTTGCTTAGTTTCAAGGTTCGAAAACAGTTAGACAAAACAGCTGCGGCCGTGAAGAAACACATTTTGTCTCGGATGTTGAATCAGCAACATCGTTTTAAATTGTGCCTCGCGTCCCTTATAATACTTACCAGAACCGTGCTATGTACTTTCTTCAAAGACAATTAGCCGCCTGAAACGCGGTTCAAGAGTGCCGGGAAATTCAGTGGCCGATCCTGACCGCCTCGTGTTTCTGTTGAGCATCCTCGACATCATGGCGGGCTTCTTCGATCTCGACGTTTTGTGTCCCCTCTTTCCCGGATTCTACTGCGACAGCGGCCTTTAATTCTGCCAACAATCTCTGCTCAAGTCTATCCAAGATCCATTCGGCCTCCTCTTTCGTGTCCATTAGCGGACTGCGGTGTCCGACCCAGCTCCATTTGGTGATATTGCTGTCCCCGGCCTCGCTTTCCTCGCTGCTCTTTGTTTCAGTGGGGCTGCCCGCACCACGTGCTGGGACTTTCCCATTGTTGTGAGTGCCTACACCACCCAGGCTATGTCCATCTCTAGGTTTCGGCTTGCGCTCAGGCTTTGTGTGAGTCTCAGAGCTGCTCTCATCCTCACCAATAAGGCGCAGATACCATGTCCATTCCTTGAATGTGTACTTGCGCGGTGGTGAGTGTTGGAGATGCTGCGTGACCCTGGTGATCTCATCCATAAGAACAAGATGGTACTCTGCACGTGACTTGGGAAGCTCAGTCGGGAGGTTTTCTCTTGCCATGGTATCTGCGCGTCTCGGTGCTCCACGACTTTCGTCCTTATTGGAACCTTGTGTCGAAGCCGTGTGTGGCCGTTCCCTAGACCTCGATTTATGCCTTTCTTGCGCCTTCGATTTCTGTACATATGATGACGTCGATGACCCCTTCGTGCTTGGTATAGGTAGGGGATCGGCTAATCTGATCGAATTACCCGATTTGGAGGTTTTGGTCGTGTTATTGGTGCCGCGCTTCTGAGGCCCTCTTGGTGCGTCTGGCTCATCGTGGGCCTGCTCCTGGCCAGTCTTCTCTTTAAACGACTGTTTACCATGTATATCAGCCTCTTCAACATCATATTCACCTTCGTCCTCTTCGCCCTCGTCAGTCTCGTCCTGCTCGTCCTGATTATGCTGTTGAGCCGCCCCAAAGAAACCAGGCGGTGATTCCTCGATGTCAACATCGGAGTACAAATTGCCGAGAGACAGTTTCCCTAATACCATCTTTACTTCTTTCTTGAAGCCCTGCTCGCCCGGAAGAACCGTCAAGTTACCAAGCTGAAGAGTTCCATCTCTAACCCATTTGACAACAGTGTCGCCAGCATTGCTAATAAGAACAGTCATTGTGGGTAGAGCAAGTAAAGACCAAAATACAAAAAATGCCTTCCCGCCCGGCGAAACTGGTGTCAAGTCACCATAGCCAATCGTCGTAAGACCAGTGAAAGCGAAGTAGAAGGCGTCAAAGTAGCTCCAGCCTTGATAAGGAGCTTCGCATTCTTGGAAGATTTTGGCACCAACTGTCCATAGTACCATCCAGGTAGAGAAAGAAACACCCATTGCTGTCCATCTCCTTCTTGTCGCGGCTCTATCCTGTATCTTCCTCATGAGTCCAAACTCTTTTTCTCGTCGTTCGAGTTCTGTTCGTGGCATTTTGCTGGAAACGCCCCAGTCGAGTCCGTTTTCCCGACTACCGTCCTCTATTGGACTCAGTAACCCGTCCTTGCCGCGTCGACGCAACTTGCGTAGATATTCACGTCTTTTGTTTTCCAACATGCGTGCATCGAGGCGATGCTTGCCACGATCAAGCATAAGACTTCGAATTGATCCAATGACCAAACCGAGACTGATCACACCGACCAATGCGTAGGGGATGAGGAGGCCACGTCCAAGAGTGGTTGATGGGGAATAATCACCATAACCAACAGTGAAAAGGGTGACATCCGCCCAGTATACAGCATCAAGATACTGCCAGTCTTCAATATGCGAAAAGACCAAGGCACCGATGAGAAGATATAGCAGGAACATGATGGTCTGCAGCATGAGCGTGCGCTGACTTGTAGTCAACCCGAAATCTTTGTCATAGTGCCCAGCTTGAGCGCCCCATACCGTGACTGTCATCAAAGTTGCAACGATGAAATAAAGCACGGCAGCAAATATACCGTAATAGAAAGCTTGAGACCAGACATATTCGATTTTTGGTTGCAAGACTAGCGGCCCGCTCGTGGTCGCAGTGAGGGCCACTAAACATATGGATGAGATGTACCATCCGACGATGGTAACCGGCTGCGCAATAGAGAACCGTACCCTCCTCGCCATATTAAGGAGAAGAAATATATTTGCGATGAGCGCCAACGCCAGCTGGACAGCGTTGACCGCGGTAAGCCAGACTGGGTCAATGATAAACTCCCCTTGCGTGACATTATCGCCAGGAGGAATGTGTTCTCGCCATGGTCTGACAAGAGCACAGATACTAAAAGCTGAAGCGACAGGTCCCAGTGTGCCCGCAATCATAGGGAATGCCGAGCTAGCGAACCACCACCGACTGTGTACTCATCCGTTAAGCACTGGAGTTGCGGATGTCTTGGCAAGGCGACTAACCTGGGATCAAGGTGGACTGCGTCCTTCCCGATAACACTTTGTCGCTCCGCTTCTCCTTTGGACTGCTGGCCGTCGACATCTTGCGTATATTCATCGATGTTCTCGCCAAGATCTGCATCGTTCATGTTGGCGGTGGCGGTTTGATGTTCAGCTTTGCAGATAGATGGGTAGGAACTCCAGGGGCAACAGCTACGACAGATACATGCATCCTCTTTCCAGGTGAGGTAATGTGGTTCCTATAATTGTGGAGCTGAACGTACAATTGCGAAACTCGCAAGTATTAGATGGATAAATACTGCCTTTTCTGATGTGATCTGGTATGTATGGACGGGTGATTCTGCAAGATTTTTATGTTATCAGATGACCGTCCGCCAGTACAACCCAAAGTTCCTTGGAAGCAGCGACGAACCGCGCTAAAATGACGTCGTTTGGCGCATTTGCTCCTGGACGTTGGAGACGTTTGCAGCTTCGCGACCAGGATTCCAGCTCATATTTACAGGCCAGCGATGCCTAGACTGGCCTCTATCGCCCATAGCCCCCTAGCGGGCTGAATACGCCCCCATATTTCACAGCAGCCAATCAAAAGTAGGTTTCTAGCGGGTACGCAATCAGCTGCTTCAACTCCCGGCAATCTGTGCAAATTGGAGCGAAACCCGCATTCTCCGTGGCACGCTACGAGACGCGTGATGCAGTACCTTTAGTAAGCCTCGTTTCATACTTGACCAGAATCTCGGAACCCAGCGATCACTCTGCTCAATTTGACTCATGATCTAAGGGAGAACATGGTTTTGAGAGTCGTCGAGCTCCAGTCCAGAATATGAGAAGATGGCCATGGAGTGGAGTCGCTGGTTTTTCCCGCCATCTCACATCGAGACCCTTGAGCAATATCCCGTCAATACCTACCGACGTTGAACGTATTAGTGTCAGGACAGGTTCGGCTGGCAGTGTATTTGTCGAGTAGGTAGTCCACTAGTCTTGGTTGTCTCCCGTCTAAATTCTATCTAGTCTACATAATATAGGCACGGTATCAAGCTCGGATCCCTTGCTGATATATTTGCCGCCATTTGCGAGTGCATCAACAAATACACCACCACGTGTGCCGGCTTTCCTGAGGAAGTACCCTACTGCAGTAATTAATTACAGATGGGCCGGGGTTGACTCCTTTGAAGACCACAAGCCATTGCAAGTGTCTGCACAAGACTTGCATGAGCATGCGCCATTGCTTTCATTGCCTCCAGAGATATGGCCTGTCCCCGTCCATGATACCCTGACTGCATACAGTTGGATAGTCGAGAACCTGACTCCGCCCACGTATACTCGCCGCGATGTTTATGTATACGGCTCCTATCTTGGTGCATCGTTAGCCACGTCGCTATCGTTGACTGAGAGTTATCCGCATCAACGCATGGCTGTTCGTGGATGTATAGCCTACAATGGCATTTACAACTGGACTATGTTCCTTCCCGACCATCAGATTAATAAGAATTCCAACACAAATGCTGTCAATGTGCTTGAGGACATTCTAGGACAGCCTACAGATCCGGCATTTCAGGACCTTAAGGATGACATGCCGGATTTATTCGGAGAACCTTCACAACTCTTTGATCCATTCGTCAGCCCCTGTCTCTTCTTTCAGACGCCGGGGCTGCTGGTGCCACAAAAGTTCGATGCCTCTGCCGATCCTGTCATCTCCATGCTGGGCTCGACGGTTGCTGCTTCCGCAGAAGCGCAGGAAGCCATCAAAGCCTTATTACAGATGATGAAAGACAAACCTCCACGAAGAAGTCCGCTTGCATTTCCACCACGACAGTCGACACTGAAGATTCCCGAAACACTATTGTTGCATACGGAGTTACCCCCGCCGCCCATGACATTCCAAAAGCGGCGAAGGAAAGCCGTCGTCGGCAATCATTTCAAGACACAAGCTCATGAGTTGATGTCTCTAATGCGGAGAAGCTTGGAGAAGTTGGAGCTTAGAGAACGTTCAAAATGGGATCAGGATTTCGAAGGATATCTGGAAGTCAATCGAAGAGTTCAGTGTTATGATGTTGGAAAAGACGAGCAGCCCTTCCACCTGCCAGATTATGGAAAAGAGCTGGCGTGCGAGTGGCTTGAGGATCGAATGTCACGATGAGGCTACCTACGCGTCTTTCAGTAATATTGCCTGGTGTCCCTTTTTCTTTTTCTAATAGACGACACAAATACAACAAACTTCTGACAATTATGGCTACACAGTAACCCACAATCCAACTATTTGCCTTGAAATTACATCTGAGTGTTGGCAAATACAAATCTGTTGTAATATCATAGAATGTCAAGCCCTTTACCTCGTGAGTACCAACACAACCCGCCGAATATTCGCCATATCCGGCATAAACAAAGAAAACGACCATACGAGGTGAGCTAACACTAAATTCACTTCTATGTACTGCAAAAACACAATAAATTGATACGTGAATCTCACCGAGTTATGTTTATGAGTGCGCTACTTCAGGTGACATGATTTACTAATGCGGGTTATAATTTTAGCTGGATGTGCTTGGTTTGTTCCAGATGATCAAGCGTGCGGTTGCGTATAAGGACCCAAAGCCAGGTCAGGTACTTAGTTCCTCTGGACAATAAGGACCCTTACAGTACCAGTAGCCAATCATGTGGTTTAGGAACTAGCTTCGTTCCCAGTAAGCCTCGACCAACTCGCACATGTTGAGGTTGTGTACCACGAAATGCCAGGCTGGAACACCCCGGTAACTGTTTTACTGGATGATATAGAACAACCGATCGAAATGGAACGCCCGAAGCTGTTCATCACCACGTTTTGAGGCGAATCTTCCAAGCATATAATCTTAGCGATCACTGCCTTACATCGTGACTGTAGCACCTTTTTTCTGTCCGAAAATTCCGTTTCACCCAAAGACGGGAGGCTCTCGTGGCAAAATTTTCCTCAGTCTTTCAATTTGCTCTTAGGGTCTCTCAATACCCATCCGATCTGTCTGTGCATACTTCCCGAGGCTTAGAAGCGACAAAGAAGCAGTTGGTGAGAGTTCTGCATATTCTACTTTCTATGCCTCACTTCAATTTGCAAGGACTGGACAATATGTGCGCCACACTAAAGTCTACAAGCACCAGGTGACGGTAACACACTCGATTCTCAACCAAATCGCCGAGCTACGCTCCGTTTCAAAGCACTACGATGTCACCACTGAACGGGACTTCACTGAGGGCAAGTTATTTAAAATTGAATGACGCCAAAGAAACAAATCTCTTGGGCTATAGTGAAGAAAGTACGGAATGCATTCCGACCAGGGAGTTTTACAAGTGCGAGAGGCGCCTCCTAGTCTAGGCGAAATGCTCGTGTGAACAGATATTGAGACCAATAAACCCAAAATGAAGGATAGGAAGGCTTCCAAGTAAATCTCATCAATCAATTTGATGACACCGATGAAATATTGACGACCCCATCGTTGACACAATGGCTGCTATCGTTATGTAGGTCTCCTGGAGCCGGGACATAGCTTTCTCGTCAAGTATGGATTAAACATCTAACATACTCAGATAAATCTTACCTGTGGTCGTATACAAGCATTACAATGCGCCGTGAAGTTCTAATATTACGACGTCGTGTTTAGTGGAGAACAGCTGCTGAGACTGGGCGGATAGCAAAATCTTGTTGAGCTCACATTAGGAGCTTATAGCCAGGCTGGCCCAGGGTAAACGTGTAGCCTGATCGCCTTGATTTAGGCTTGCTATGCCATGATGTGGGCTTCAATTATCGGCCAGGCATAAGTTGCACCTTCAGGCGACAGAGACTCAAGCTTGATGACCTGGTAATTTTCAAGTCACTGAATACTTCGTTTTATCCTGGCATGATGCTAGAAAGGTGTATCAATGACCGGGAAAGACGCCACTGAATAATAAGACCTCTGAAATCCCTCCTGTCTTCCAGATTTGTGTACGTATAGGAGCGTGTCCACCTTGCCTGCGGGTTTCATAAAGAGATTCTCAGGCGCTGAAGTGAGCCGAAATGCTTCACCGGCAATCCGATGATTGCCAACCTTCTGTGACTGGACGCTCGCTACGTAGATCCCTTCGTCCTGGTCGCCGTCAATTCGTGGCGTCTGGTCAGGTCCGAGGCCCCCTCGAGTGCTTTCCCTGGAAATGCTTAAGTCGCCGTCTTCTCCATCACCTCGAAAAATATTACCTTCTGGTCTAATCACATAGACTGACAACTTCTAGTCTAATACTCTGGGACACCTGACATTGATCTTAGGAAGGAGATTCCAAGTCTTGTTATTCCACACGGATGAACCAAGTACCTAGTGCGATGTTGGCCGTTCGACGTAGTAGTGCGCTATGCGATTTAGTTTAAGATAGCTATGCTCTATTTCGCCTTCGGGCAAACAATCTGATTGGTGGGCCGTTTCTAGACAGCCGGTGATCAGTGGCCTACGTGTCGGCTGTGTCTTTCGCTGCGGAAGCATATGGGATCGTGGGTACTGAGGGCTCTCATGGGTACTAGGGGATGCTTTGTTTTTAGGTCATCAGTTCAAATCACTGTTGTACCGCCCATTTTCTTTTTGCTTGTTCTCTTTTCTATTGCCTTCCTTTCGAATCGTTAAATATTCTTTTGACCATCATTCCATCTAGCGCACACTCCCAAGAAGACGGCCTCATTAGAAGACAAGAATAGCCAAGCAGTTCGACACAATTTTCCTGTTCTATGGGGCCTCGTTCAATACTTTGTCGAAGCAGAACTGGTGATTGGTGTGAATCAGGAGAAGTACGTTTTACAATAGGCTGACGTAAGGTGGGAGCGTGTCGTCTTCTTCACTCAGAAGATTGCCCCGGAGCAGCCAATGTGGCTTACTTAACATGGTCGTGTCCTCACAAGGCTGGAGACAACGATTCCATGGTCAAGATTTTATTGCCCTACAGGCCAAATTTTGATGTATTGCGTGGTATACTCTATGTTCACGCTTTTATTCAGGCCCTTGCTAACCGACATCAAAGATCACGGAGGGGCCGAAGTTCTTTAAACAAACGGAGTCCCTTTACTATGTAGGTATATCCTTGAAACGCTGGGATAGTACTCAAGTGGTGGCCACTAGAGAATCCCCGGTGTTGTATGTTTCTGTATGATTTTTGCATACTTGTGTGATTGTATCTAATTGGAAGACGGTAAATAATATCAACCGATATAAAGCTCGAGCTTGTCGTGCCTCATTCATAATAAAGCTACGATTTTTGTGGTATGCAAAATCTGCACTGTGCCTGGCTCGCTCCCAGTCGGCACCCAATCGATCGTTCCTGTCAAGCAACGAAGAGTGAATCTCCCATATATCACGCGCACATATTGAACATGTTGCGTGATAAATGCTGGTACTAGTTGTGCTCTGAGCGAACTCGGGATTGAGCTCCAGGAACTGGATGAGCTCCTGCAAGTACTCAGAGGTATGTAGAACTTCAATATGACGCGTTGTAGTGAACGCGCGGTGGCAGTACACATGCGATTGAATTGACCAGGCGAAAATTTGCGAGATCGATTGGTGACCTGATATTGCGGGCAATAGTAGCAACTATCTTGAATCGCACGGTATCAATGGCTAGTGGTGAATTGTGTAACTATAATTTCAAGCCATGAGCTCAAAATACAAGTTCCATCACGAACACTGGAAAACTGTAATTCTAAGCGCCCAGCGCAAACAGAGAGTGGCGACGTGCGCAGCTGTACAATTGATGTTGAGCCAGTATTGTACCTAGTTCAAGGTTCAACTTTTGATTATGTAAAGCACATTGGCCTCCTTAACGTCAATTTTAAGCCTCAGCTTGAATTTCGAAGATATAACTATAGTGCGCTTTTTGGTATGCTTGAATGTTTTTATGTACCAACGAAAATGGATGCCTGGGCCTGATATGACCAATTCCCGCAAGTGAGATCTCTCCCTTGAATAGTCAGAATCAGGTAGTTAGTAAGAAGTTATGGGAGGCGGCTGCAACGATTTGTTATAAAACGTTCCCTTAAAAATATCTCTAGACCATCCAAAAACCAAAACAGCACGACGAGTAATAACGTCGACTCCTACCAAGCCCCATGCTTCTGTGATCCTCGACGGAATGCTTCCTGGCGAGTTCATCTACCTCGGTCCGATGATACTGCTGTTATAATTGACTATTACCACGCATCATCAGTATACTCGTATATAGCTCATGTGAAGGCGTATGCCCAGTTTGCGGAACCTTCTGTTCAGATCGAGATTCTTAAAACAAAGACCGATAATATTGAGTTGAAGTAAGCATTAGTGTCGGCACGCTGAGGGCCAGGATCGAAACATTGCTGACATTTATACTGTACTGCTTCGTCTCATGCGAAGCACTCAAGGCTTGCATGTGTTCTTTTGGAAAACCCTCTTACACTTGCGGCAATGAGTGAGTCTTCGGTTTTAATTGATTCAATCTGGCTAGAATGATGACAATGGGAAGTATGTAGTCAAATTTATGACATTGACTCATTTTACTGTCTTACCTGGCTTTCGAGACCTTAATAAGTAGCGTTATTGGGTCGAAAGACTTTAGAAAGGGGATAACATCTCATCTTCGATTGCGTTAAAATTGGTTCCTATGATAGTCTCTCACAATATCCACTTTTGACGGTGGTCTACTTCGGCTGTCTGTAGAAGCATAGAAATAGAAACGAAAGTTCATACATGTGACCGTATATATCTCGGCGTTACTCATCTCGAAAAATTTCTGCACTTTTTTTTAATTTTTTTAGCAGCACGTAGTTATTGCCGACGTCGAAGTTCTGCCAGTATTTATGCTGCCCTTGTTTTTTGGTGAAGGATTGCTTTGTAAACGTGCCCGAGACTGCTAGCATCGATTTTGCAGGGGCTGCTGATGAGCTAGTAACGAACCCCCACTCCATACAAATGCACCCTATGTCCACTGACGACTTAGTTCTTCATAAGGTTAATCATCACCCTCAATTGAGCAGTTGCGTTATACGCTTGATTTTGTCTAAGACTACCAAAAAGAACTAACTTGTAAGCACAAAGCAAAAGGTTAAACTGGAAACGGGCCCGAACCCGGGATCGAACCGGGGACCTCTCGCATGCTGTTCCATGGAACCCAAAGCGAGAATCATACCGCTAGACCATCCGGGCCTTGTTGAAAGTAGTCTTCTAAAGCGGTATATATTACCGCACGTTCAAGTGCCCTAGTGTGACTTGGTGGTTTTGGCTGAAAGGGGTAACGCGGACCGAGGCCGGAGCGGCTAATGAGTGGATGAGATTACAGCCCACGGACGCGTACGGATCTGTACTGCTCGGTCTGATGCTCGGTCTGTGTGCGACCTGTGCTGAATAGCACAAGTCCTTGCATTTTCGCCCTTACATGGATAGGATAAATAAACGATGGTATTCACATATATGCGAAAGCGGGTTAATACGACAATATGAGCGACAAACGCCAGCATGTGAAATTAGCACCCAATCTACGCCTTGGGGGGAGAGCGAAGCGAATTCGACGGGCACGACCTCATTTAGCACATCGTTGGTTGACGATTTGCGCACTGCGCCGTCGACTTCTCAATTATACAAGGAGTCCTAGTACTCATGCGCTTCGTGGAAAAAAGGAAGAATACTTTGATTAAGAATCGTATTACAAGTGGCTAGAGGTTGAAGATGATTGAAATTGCCGGGAGAAAAAGTTCTACAGCCCGTAGATTTTCAGAGAAACATTGATGTGCACAACATGACGAGGGCTGCTTGCCACTTGTCATCAACACTTTGCCACTCATTCAGCAACCAGCATATGCCTCGTTTGCTGCCAAGATCAAAAGAGTCAAGCAGTGCCTCAACAAGATGCTGTAACTTGAGTCATACTAAGACTGTGTGCAGATCGCAGCAGCGCTAAGCATTGATGCTTTCGACGTTGCAGACTTTATATTGAGTTATCTGGATTTGGGCGTGAAATAAGCTTGCATTGGCCATATCGTTTTAATGTAGGTTTCCTGGTTCAACTTGAGCGTTGCCTTGATGGGAGTAATCATGGATCCTATGTCTATGTAAGGCGATTCAGACATGTCACAATTCGAGACTGTAAAAGATAACTGGCTATATTGCAAATAGAACAATTCTATTGTCTGTCTTGGGGACGCAATCAAATGCCTGATAAGGTCAACGAACAACGTAACTCGGCGGTGGCCACTTTCCTCCTTTAGGCAGGCCACCACGTCTAAATCATCAAATTGCCATGCTACTCTCCAGCAGCTTTACTCAACAAAAATGGGTATCATCATGCATATTGCATTCGTCCAGTCACCTTTCATATCATCATGTAAGGGATGAGTCGTCTTAACGATCGGCCTTCTTACTCGTGTTCACACCACTCTCAAATCCTGTCTCAACGGCGCCATTGTGTCTGCTGCGGGTGCTGCTGCCCTTCTCGCTTGATGCATCGTGGACCGTGCCGTTGTCAGCAGTCTTCACGCCACCACCGTGTGCGGCGGTGTCAATCAAGCCATACTTGATGGCTTCACGCTCAACCTCTTCCTCGTTCAGGAAGGGCAGTTCCTTGGCAGCCTTGACGTACGACATCTTCTCGACATAACCCTTGGCGAAGATAATATCAATCTCCTCCAGAGATCGACCAGCCGTTTCAGGGTAGAAGAAGTAGATGATAGGAAGGAAACAGGCGTTAATGGCGGCGAAGAAGAGATATGTTCCCCAGCCAATGCTGGTAATCATGATAGGCGTGACCATCACAATAAGGAAGTTGAAAAGCCAGTTAGTGCAAGTACTGACGGCGTTGGACTTGGCACGGGTCTTGATGGGGTTGATCTCGGCAGGGTACAACCAGGGCAGAGGCAGCCATGTCGCACCAAACGAGGCGATGTAGGTGAAAAGACCAACAGCGGCACCCTTGGCGGCACCAGGGGTACCGGGAATCAGACAAGCGAATGTGAGAACCATGGACAGGCATTGTCCAACAGTGCCCCAAAGGAAGAGCTTTCGGCGTCCAATACGCTCAATCAAAAACCAGGAGGCTGTCGCAAAAATCGAGTAAATAATCATGTTAACTCCACCCATAAGCAAAGCCAAGTTGTGGTCGCCAGGGGTGATCGAGTTCTCGAAGAGAATGGGGAAGTAGTAAATAACTGCATTGCAGCCGCCGATCTGCTGCATCAGCTGAGAGCTAGCACCGAGAAGCATTCTGCGAAAGTGCTGGGTCTTGCCATTGGTGAAGAGGGCCCTGTATGGTGTGCTCTTTGCGCCAGCTACACCAGAAGCACGAATAGAGTCCAAAATGACGTCACGCTCCCAGGCTGTCTCCTGGCTGTCCAGCTCGTAACCACGAAGGGCAGCAATGACTTTTTCGGCATCTTCATACCGTTCATGGGTCAAAAGCCATCTAGGCGACTCGGGCAACCAGAACATGGTCATGACAATAAGACCAAAGAGAATCTGGAATGCAATAGGGAAGCGCCATGAGAGGTCGTCACCACCGAATGAACATCCATAGTCAATCCAGTATGCGATGAGGGTACCGAAAGCAATAACGCCACCTTCGATGCAAATCAGCAGACCTCTGTTGGTGGTCTTGCTACATTCAGCTTGGTAGGTCGGGATGGTCGCAGTGTTGATACCATTACCGACACCTGTGACAACTCGTCCAACAATGAACTGTGCCAATGGCGTGTAGCCGCGCCACGAAGTAACTTGGATAATAACTCCGAGGATCATGATGAATGCGCCGAGAATGATACCCTTTCTTCTGCCCAGGAGATCTCCGCAGGACAGCATGAACATGGCGCCCATCAGACAACCAATTTCGTAAATAGCAGTGACGGTACCCTGCATAGTCGAGTTATCCCGAGTTGCTTCGAACAGATCATTGAACGGCTTTGCGCTAATGATACCACTCATAACACTATACGATTGTTAGCTGGGCAAGGTATTGCAGTTTGCGCTGGCCGGAACTAACCCTTGATCATAACCGAAGAGTAGGAAGCCAGTCGTTGCAACTGTTGACACCATCAACGACAGCGGCCGGCCCGTGAGGCCCATGAATTTAGGAGGCGCCATATTGTCCGAAGATAGGTCATAAAAGAATAAGACAAGATATTACTGTTCTGGTATATTACGGAGACAAGAGGAGCACGATCTTCGTCAAAGCAGCGTGGGTTCTTGAGTGTTTCCTCCACAAGAGACTGGGGAAAAAAAAAAAACTAGAGATGACGATCGCATGTAATACGACGTGAGGAGTACTGCAGTTCATATAGAGCTTGCACATGCTGCATAATGCTGGCTGACAAACTTTGGTACCCTCCCCCGGTCCCCAACCTCAGACCATTTTTTCCCCATCTGGAGAAACAACTGGAGTACGGAAACCACTTTTCCCATGCATATCCTTCCTCACGAGTCAACTTCCCAAGTCTTAGTGGACGTTTGCAACGCCGAGCATGGAGACTCTGAAAAGTAGTCGTTCTAATCCAGGGATTACGGCGGGTTCCGTGCTGATCTCTCTGCGCAAATTGCTCTCATTCGGCAAGCGCCCGAATCATTGCAGGATTGTCACCAGCTCTAGCTTGCAGCAGAGTGCATATTGAGTGAGATTTGGTTGTGTATCGTACATGAGCAAGATGAATGTCGACGGGGCAATGACCTCATAGGCTGTGCTGCCTCGGTGCATCCCTGGTTTTCCGAACCTACAAGGGCCTAACCGCGGCAGTTGCAGCGGTCAAACGGGAGCGGCTTTTCGCTGACACCCATTCCAGGAAGGCGGAGGTATTGATTGTTAACCGAACAGGCCACTCTTTGCTGGTGGGATAAACAATTGAACCGAGCCTCCAACTTTTGCCGTAGGATTGCTCAGGAACCACTATCGGCGAGACTATCCTTTCCTGGAAATTTATTGCTAATCTGCAGAGAGCCTCAATGTGTTGCGTGCAAATCTTTTTGTTTGCATTTGTGCTGACACGCACGCGTGCAACATTTCTGGAAACCCCGCTTTTCAGAACATGTGAATCCGCAAGCATTGCTTTGGCGTGTTGGCGCAGGCATCCCATCAATCCATCGAGTATGTATGCAGATTGTCATTGCCAACAAGCTTTTCAAGCTTTGGTAAGTGCCTTGGAAGCACTTACATTAAAAGCGGCTTGGCACGGCACATCTGTGACGGTCGCTCTTTGCGAAGCTTGACTTGTCTTCGAGGTTCATCGTTCCTGAATCTGCTCGATTTCGATGTTGAATGCGGTCGTTTCCAGCATCTCCAAAGGGCCATATTATTGAGTTGCAGTTCCCCCGACGATCACAGCTGTGACCACATGCATGTCGCGCCGTTGCTACCTCCAGACCCCTAAGGTTAGATACGTTAAAATCCATGCGGGGAGCGGAGGCCTAAAGTCATCAGTAATGGGTCTTTTTTGAGGGTCTTCAGCCTCTTCTCAGCCTGTCAGCCTTCACGATTGAGCGTTGTCGGGTCTGTTTCGGTCTTTCTATCCCCATGACTCCAGTATTCTTGTCCTTCGGGTCAGACCAGTGGAGCTTTTATGGGAACGCGATAAATTTGAGGACGACAAAAACTGGATTTCTCCTTCTTTCCCCAGGCGATGGGCGGTTGGAGAATAAATGGGACTTCTCCTAGAGCATCGAGGAGAGACCCTCCATCTCCACGCCCCGTCTGACCCATTAATTTGCAATCCTTTTAATGCTCAGCTTGGTGCAATTAGATGAGACCATTTCTTGGCCAGGTACGATGTCTCGACACGCGATACCACATATGTCCCCCAAATAGCAGAGGCTATTGGACAATTTTACAACATTTCTGTGAATGCCCCGTAAGTCTGAAATGACTATCTACTTTAGGTGCAGCAGCGCAGTAATTCTGCCACGCCGGCAAGGCAGTCCTGTTAACGGACCGACGATCAATCCCTATTAATATATTCGTCCTCGACTGAAGTCTTATCTCGGGTCCCTTCTCACCGACAAGACCCGTATAATCTTTGCCGCTTACCCGTACGATTCCCGCAACGCTGCGCACCGGTGAAATTTGTTTCATCCCGCAATGGGCTAAACAGATCTTCCAGCGAGATAGTGGAAAGGGCTTTGGACTGCTTATCCTTCAGACCAAACACCAAGGAATCAATCGTATGCCAGTGGCTTATTCACTTTTGCAAGTGATTTTTGTAGTGATAGGTGTCGCAGCTCAATTTCTTTGACGACTCATGCCACCGCCGTGTAGCGCGTGAGTGCGCGTAGACTTTCGGTGCTCCAGCAAACGGCATCAAATGTCCTCGGACGGATTGAGGCTCCACTGCTGCCGTGCCGGACGATGCAAGAGATTGAATTAGAGAGCATGTGCTAGAATGCGGGCGCTCCATTAATCCAAGAACCACATACTCCATCCGTCAAGGAACCATTGCAGATTTGTGACAGTTGACTATGTAGTGTGTTTGCATTGCCATACGCTTAAGTCTTCACATCAATGTTGCGAGAAGGTAGTGATGCTAAAACGACGAGGTCAAAGAGACCCGTCGCACGGATAATCTGGCAAATTCCGAAAATAAGAGTCGACGCTCCTGCTATTTGGGTGTATAGTTGTTGCTGTCTTCGATTCTTAACTTGATCCCATTCATGGCCGCACGTGATACTTGGTTCAGATATGTTGATTTGTGAATATGGGACATGCTCATAGCTCCTTCAGCACTCGGGTATGAGTTCGAACACGTCCGGTTTTCGTGTCGACTCCGGATAGTTTTGCCCCCAAATGATCTGCCTATCTCGATTGACAGCAGTTGGAAGCACTCAGACTGGTCTAGTACTACTACGGGCTATTGCTCTTGACTTTGCAGAGTTTGTGTTCAACCTACACTGTTATATAAGCTGATGGTTTGAGTGCGCAAAGACTTCGTCAGACTCTAAATGCTCATCATATAGTACATCCAAGTATGAACTCTCACTTCCTGCTCATGATACGCAAGGCGCCTCAATTTACCTGGATGCAGAAATCCAAAGTTCTAACCTTGTATAGCTGCAATAACGGCCATTTGGTCTCCACAGGCATGTATCTTGTGGTCTATGATGGAAAGCATGCACGCAAATTTCGATCGATAGCACCAAGGAAATTGTTGCCAACTGGTGATTTAGTTAATCCAGCTTAATCAGATATGGTTTATATATTGGGCCATATCCCTTTTTTTCTTCTTTTCTAGCCCTTCCTTTTTTTTTTTTTTTACAAATTCTTTTTTAGTGGGGGTTTAACTTTTCCAAAATAGTCCACTCCCTTGCACAAATCACTGTACCACAGGTTCATACTAAAGACCTCGCCATGAACGAGTCACAAATGTAAACGATGTCGCTATGCTGAGCTGAACAATATAAAAGGTGGAAATGTTGTTGCAACTATGATCACAGGGCCACAACTTTATTGCCGTCACGTGAGTTAGTCTTATCACGAAACGGCGATGTCATGTCGTATCCACAATCAATGCCACGCAAATACCACTCGGCGATCTGCTTCTGTATTATTTATTTTTTTCCGAATATCTAAACATCAGCATACATGAAGGCTCCAATTAGCCACTCATAGATACAACATCAAGTGCCTGTCAAAAGCAGCATAACATGTAATGGCGTACCAAAATGGAGGATCGATCGCATCTACGCAGGATGAAGAAACCGTAAGCTCGCTGCTCAAATTTAAACGCAAGGCACGAGCCGTAAAGTCTTGCTTTCCTTGTCGTCACCGTCGCGTACGTTGTGATGGCGGTTTACCCTGTTCGAGCTGTATTGCACGTGATCACCCAGAACTTTGCCAACGTCAAGCCGGAACTTCCAGCAGCGGTCCGCTTCCGGTCCAATCAACGGAACCAGCGGACCCTTCCGTTCGCTTGGCCCAGGATGGTCTCATTAATGTCGGAAGGGTAGATGAGGATCCAGACCTGGTGATTCAACGGCTAGAACACATAGAAGAACAGATCACCTCTATCAAAGCCGACCTAAAACGGCAGGCACAAAACAAACCCGCTACCACCCCATCAAGCCCTGGATATATTCAGATACCTGCGAAATCAGTTGGTCAACACTTCATCGAGCGTGATACAGGCGCCACCATCTTCCTAGGTAATCAAGCAGATCCTCCGTCGGCTTTGGGACTTCTCCCCTTGTTGGCCGCAAATACAGTAGCGGAGGAGCCTGCACCGCGGACCTACGCCTTCACGAACTTGTGGGCGCCGGAGGTAAGACTGGACGAAGTTTGCAAGACTTTACCAGAAGACCGTGACATGATACGGTAAGTTAAAGCTCCCAAGTCTACCTTTGTGGCACAAGCTGACTGACAACGCACACGTAGATATTGGCAAGTCTATCAAGCTAGCGTCTACCCTTATTATCCAGCCCTTATAAGCCTGGACGAATTTAGCGTATTACTTTTCGCCTTCCTAGACTGCGATCGAGAAGAAAGAGCGAAAACGGCTCCGACATGGCTTGCACTTTTATTTGCCGTCCTTGCCTGTGGCGTTCAGTTCTCAGATGATGCTATTGAAGAACGAGAGCTCAGGTCAAAAGTCTTTATATGCTCGTCATTTCAATGCCTTCGAATATCCAACCTCTTCAACAATGCGGACGTCAATACCATTCAAGCAATGGCGCTGGTTGGTCATTGTCTACGCAACAACCTAGACACAAACACCGCTTGGATAGTAATGGGGCTCACAATACGATTGGCACAGAGTATTGGCCTCCATGAAGAGCCGCGTGGTGCAGATAGTCCTGGACCAGCGGTTAAGAGAAAGCGATTGTGGTGGATGCTGCTCTGGCAGGACGCTTTCCTGTCCTTCACATATGATCGACCACCAAGTACCAGCCTTGTGACCGTTAGCATTCCTTATGAGTCCCCAGAAGGCTTTACGTTTGCCGACTCCACCATAACTATCATCAAGGTCATCTTGGACCGATCCAGAGAAGACCCAAGCCAGCTGAATAGCCTCGATCGCTTTGAGCACTACAAACGGCAATTCGAAGCAATCTTCGAGAGAGCTGCACCATTCCTTCGTGACAAGGCCAGCTGCAGAACTCTTCAGAATCATCTCGAAAGGCTTGCCTTGCATATACACATTGGCTATGCAAAGTGCAGCATATTTCGGGTATACTTTGAAATGAATGCCTTTGATCTCGCAGAGAAAGAAGCGCAAACATTAGAATATAGTTCCCATGCCGCCAGCGTTGTGCAGAGCTTCTTAGATATGCATCGCTTGTCGGCCAATGCTTGCCGTGCGTCTGCATTCATCCATAATGTTGTTAGCTCAGCCGTAGCTTTGAAGGCATTGATGAGCAAATCGCCGAGCTCACCAAGCTCTGAAAATCTTTGGGACGGCAGCTTTGAGCACTCTATCCAGCGCTTAATCAAACTGCTGGAGAGAGAACAAGAAAAATCGGAATGGACCGATTCAGACACGAACGTACGCCACTTTGGGCCATACTCAAGAGCCCTGATTGCGTTAAAGGGGTCCTTTGTTTGAGCTCGAACGCGGGGCATTGATAACACTTGTTTATTTTATAATACAATATTCGTCCAATTAGTCGCCTATTTTGCAGATTTACTGGGCCAAAATTTCCTTCTTTGCGCCGTAACATATAAGTTTAGTGGCCGAATGAGCTGGAACTCCGGGTCATACTCGACTGCCTCGAGACCCTCCCGTGAGAAATCATATCTGTACACCAGCTCCGACAACAAGACCTTGATCTCAAGCAACGCGAAATTGAATCCAATACAGCCTCTCGGACCTGTGGCAAATGGTATATATGCGGCTCGGTGGCGTTGCTTCACTTCCTCCGTGTCCCACCGATCGGGATCGAAACGCATGGGATCCTTCCACACTTCAGGATTTGTGTGAATAGCATACAAAGCGGGTATCACTGTGCTGTCTTTGGGAAGTCGGTATCCACCAGGTAATACCACCTCTGTCTTGGTGGTCCTGCCTGGCTGAAATGACGCATTGTGGAGTCTTTGCGCTTCTTTGATGACCTTATCTAGGTATGGCAGGCCATGCGCTAGGTCGGGCGTCCATGTTGTCTCATTGCTGATATCATAGTCAACTAGCTCTTGCAGAAGTTTATCCTGGATATGGGGATAGGTGACAAGGACGTATATCATCCATGACAACATTGATGAGGTTGTGGTGTAACCAGCTGCAGTAACAACGAGCATATTGGACAGGACCAATCCCGGTGGGAAGCGCTGGCCAGTCTCGTCAACTGCGTGGTTCATGTAATCGGCTACACAGGCGGCCCTCAATGCTGCATCATTCAGAGAAATACCCTCTTCCATGTTGCCCGAAGTGGGAGCATTCTTGAGTGCTTCCTCAAGCATTCCGTATGTTACTCTTTGGACTTCTTTTAGCTTTGGCGCATCGCCAAATGGTAAGGCTTTATACCACTCTCCCCTAGAGGTGACCTTCTTGTTCAAGCTCAAAAGACTGACGATATTCGAGACGAGTGGATGCGTCGGCGCGTCGACACTGTCCATGTGTCCAAAGTCCATGCCCAAAGCGAACTTGCCGATAGTTTGAGACGCCAACTTTACCATGTATGTGTAGACGTTCCAGGCCTCGCCCTTCTCGTCCATCTCGTCAAAGACTTTGAAACTGCTCCGCACACAGCTCTGCATCAAGGGAGTATAGTGACGGACGGCCTTAGGACCCATGGCAGGTGGGACGAATTTGTGTGCCAAACGCCAGTTGTCGGTCTCGGTATCGCCAAGGAAGATTGCTGTGTTGTCCTTAATGCCTCTGAGTGGATGATTTTCGTTGATCAACTTGGTGAAATAAGGGCTCTCCATTAACGCGACTTGAGCGACTTCTGGTGAGTCGGTCAGATATGTAGTCTTGCCCATATTGGTAGTCTTGATTACATGGCCGTATTTGCGGAATAATCGCCAATGGTTGCCGAGATGGTCCGGGTAGATTTCGTAGAATGACCCAACGATCGGGAGACCGCCCGGGCCTTGAGGGGAGGATACAGCGGCGCCATCTATACGTAGACCAACAGCAGAGCAACACGAAAGAATATCCTGTGTATCTCCAAGCTCTGATCTCGAGTCTAGAGCGTGGAATGTGATGCCTTCAAGGCATTAGTAAAGCCACTCTGAGGACAGACAAAGAGTCTAAGTACCTTGGTGTTGAATGACGTGGAACTGTTGTCCCACTGTCTTCTTCAGAGTCTCAAGTTTCCAGGCTGGCTCGGCCAAGATCTCTCTGGCAGTTGAGACATCGTCTCCAATGAGATAGAACTTTTGTGAAGACATGTTGGCGCTTGCAATGTTTTATTGTGTTGAGGCTCCAAGAACCTTCATAACACGACGGAGCGAGTTGGATATATAGATGGCTTTGTCCATGAAAGCCATGTTCGCTCCAAGGAGATTGCAGCATTCCCTTTGATTAGATACAGCCCGATACCGATTCGCGAGTTTCCACGCAGATGCTACGCATTCGGTTCAATAGTGGAACCCGAACTTCGCGCGAGACTCGCGCGACGCTATAAACGCTGATCGTGCTCCATATATGGACCCTCAGAGACAAGGATGAGGTTTCTATTACTCTCGGCTTTGCAATCGCGACCAAACAAATGGCTGTTTTGGCAAAGCTGATATATCTACGAGCGTCTCTCTATTAGATTGGTACGCCTGCCATCCAGCGTAGCTTTCATCGTACTGTTTTTCAATATCCCCGAACCACCTTGCGCAATCGTCAACTCGCACATCGCAGCCATGCCGACATACAATTTAGCCCAGGTCAAAGAGCACAACAGGCCAGATGATGTCTGGTTTGTCATTCATAACAAAGTTTACGACGTCACCAAGTATCTTGAGGAACACCCAGGCGGCAGTGCCATCCTGCAGGAGGTAGCTGGGCGCGATGCGACACAGGAATTTGAAGATGTTGGACACTCAGAAGAAGCCAATGAGTGGCTGGATGGGCTTTACATTGGCGATTTACCTGAAGAAGTTCGTATACATTCAGTCTGCATCCTGGGCGACAAAATAGGCTAACAGTAATGATTGCAGGAACTGGCCGAAGAAATCGAAGTATATCGTCCAACATTCGAGGCAGTCTCGCAAGACACTCAAATTGTGGCTAGACGTTCTGGAAGTTTGGTCACCATGTTAGGTAAATTGGGACTTACTGGATCTGTCGGTGCAGCAGTCTGGGTTATATTTCAAAAGAAAGCACCGCACATCGACTGGAACTCCTTATTGCGACAAGGTGGCCCATCACTACCTCGGCCAAATGGGAACATGTGGTTAGGTATTGCTGTTGCGACCATGATTCAAGCGTCAGCGTCACTCGGCATAGCGGCCCATATTTGGTCTAAGATAGACCTCCACAGCGGTGTACGTCACAAACCACGTCGAGTCGCCCGACCCGACAGATATGTTGTTGTCAGGCGTGCTCCAACTTCAGCGACCCAAACACCGTCCACTACACCGAGACCAAGCGTGCTGGATGCGAAGCAGTACCGGCCGTTCAAACTGATCCGTAAATCTCTTGTGGCTCCGAATACCTATCGTTTTGTCTTCGGCCTGCCTTACCCAGATTCCAGCTTAGGCCTACCTACAGGGCAACACATTGCCCTGCAAGCCGTCATCAACGGGAAGAACGTGTCGAGGTCCTATACACCCATCTCGAATAACAGTGATCTTGGGCGGATTGAGTTGATAGTCAAGGTATACCAGCAAGGTCTGATGACCCAGCATCTCGCAAACATGCAAGTCGGGCAAACGATTGATATCAGAGGGCCGAAAGGATCAATGCAATATGGAACTACATATGCAAAGAGGATAGGCATGATTGCTGGAGGATCAGGAATCACGCCAAGTAAGAACAACGGGAACTTCAGCTTTTTAACCAGGTACTAACATATGGTCTCTTCCACAGTGTACCAACTTATTCGTGCCATCTGCGCAGATGACTCCGACAATACCCAGATTAACCTTCTGTATGCCAACAACACCGAGGAAGACATCCTCCTCCGAGAGGAGCTTGACAGTTTCACAGTCCAGTGTCCGGAGAAGTTCAAGGTCCAGTACGTGCTAGCAAAGCCTCCGGTAGACTGGTCTGGCGAGTCTGGATTCATCACCAAGGACATGGTTGCCAAATACCTGCCCGAGGCAGCAGAAGACTCCAAGGTGCTCTTGTGTGGGCCACCGCCCATGATCGAGGCGACGAAGAAGAACCTCGCCGGATTGGGTTTTGAGGCTCCTAGCGCTATATCGAAAGCGACGGACCAAGTTTTTTTATTCTAGTAGGATCCATGGGCGATGCTTGATTGTTACTGTACAACCCGCGTGTCGTCTTCGGACAACTGCACCTGTATATTTTAGAGCCTCCGATATTAAGAAATAGATTTATCACTCCTTCAAATATGTCTACTTTGGCCTCCGATTCTCTGCTCCCCGTTACCAATAACTTTCAGGGCATGAATGGTTAATGTTATTCCAAGATGCACTAACGCCTATAACGCAATTTCATGTTTGATTTATCAAAAGTCATTGTAAATATCCTGGTGACGATGATTTGTTCATGAGCATAATTGAGTTAATGGAGAAATCTGTGAAGTCCGTCTGCCGTTCGACTTCTGAACGACCCACTGACACGAGGCACTTGCCGACACTCTATGATGTGCTAGCAAGATGCTCCACGGCTTCTTGAAAATCTTTCATCCTTCTACATAGAGGCTGTCATCCGGTACTTGGCTGCCACATTTCGTTATTGACGGCTTGAAGGTAACGGTTCAGGGTTATGCTGTGCAATTGGCCCACACGGATGGGGCGTGCTGGCGAGCAATATTAAGGCACTCAAAGGTGGATGAAGCTAACGAGTGCAATGCCGTCTGAATGGGGCAATCAAAACAATTTGTCTTGGTCGCGATTGGCTGTAACTATTTCGCGCGAGATTCGCACGAAACTAGCTGGCCGTTGGTAATCTCACATCGCCCTGCTTCAGCCCTATGAGGGGAATACTCGGCGTTGCTGTCGCTATAGCGGCGAGAGAGCGAGAGTGAGAAGTTGTCTGTTAGAGTGCGAGTCACGATCGCTCCGTCGGAGTTTACACTTGTCAGCTGTGATCATCATCGGTATTTCCAAGACACTTCACCAATCGCACTGGTTATATAGTGGCTACGACCCCCCACGATCTAATATGTCAGCTGTACGACATAAGTTTTTGACCCCTTCCAGAAAAGCTCTTGCAAACCTACTCTTAAGTCCAGTTCCCACGCCTCAAGTACCGGAAATACCCTATCCTCACCTGTTAGAGATGTCGTGGCAAGCACCTGAAATTGGTTCGCGACCCATCGCAGTACTCGGGGGTGGTGTACTAGGTCGCCGTATCGCATGCTCAATCGTGGCAGGAGGGTACAATGTAACGATTCGGGATCCGTCCGCCGGAGCAAGGAAAGACGCCCTAGAGTACGTCGAATTCCACAAGGAAGAATATGCGACTTTCGCTAAGCCTTCAACACCTGGGCATTTTGGCAGCTATGCCGCTTACGAAGATATCGAGTCTGCTGTCCGGGATGCATGGCTGGTCATCGAGGCCGTACCGGAGAAGCTTGAGATAAAAATCGACACATTCGAGCTTTTGGACAAGCTCACACCAAAGGACTGCATTCTTGGATCAAACAGCTCCTCCTTCAGGAGCCGTTTGATGCTGGACAAAGTCAGCCAAGAAAGGAGAAAGCTCGTCTGCAATGTCCATTACACCATGCCGCCCGAGGTTCGCACAGTGGAGCTCATGACGGATGGAGAGACGGAGGAAGCGGTCTTTCCATTTTTGACCACGGTGCTTGAAAGGTGTGGAATGTTGCCCGCAACAGCTAGAAAGGAGTCAACAGGGTGAGTTTTGACCGCGCACGCGAACCTACCAAATTACAAGTCTAACTCCTCCACCAAAGATTCATTTTCAACCGTCTCTGGGCCGCTGTGAAGCGCGAGACTCTGACAATACTTGCCGAGGGTGTCAGTGATCCCGAACAAATAGACAAGCTCTGGAAGCACATGTTTCAGACCGAGGTCGCCCCGTGCGGATTTATGGACAAAATCGGACTTGACACCGTCGCATTCATCGAGGATAACTACATTCAGGAGCGCAAACTTGATGGTGCATTGACTGTGGACTGGCTCAGGGAAAACTACATTTCCCAGGGCAAGCTCGGTAAGAAAAGCGACAAGGGCGGGCTTCTCGCTCCTTCAGCATGATTCTTCAGGATAATCTCGGGTGGTTGGGTGCGGCGAATGACCGTTGGAGGGGACCCAGTCCGGCGAACAGTGGAAATCGTCTTTCGGCGTGTCTCCTCGAAAGACTACGAAAGTGATACCGAGGGTATCTCGAGGCTGACGGGACATTTGAAGTTCTTCCCAACACCAACAACACCAAAATTCATTGAGTGACGGGGTTTTCAACACCCATGTACATATCACAACGTGGTCCCAAACCATGACTTTGTATAACAGCATGGCCAGTAGTAGACTCCTTTGATAAAAGGAAATAGTGAAAGAAGCAAAAATACCCAGGCTCAAAATTTTCTGATAAGGTTGCGTCGTAAAGCATGGTTGGTGAAATGTAATATGACGCTTTGTAGTATCATTATTCTTGTAGGCTTGTGGTGGTTATCTTTCGTTGCTATGCTCTAGATAGAATGCTCCAAGTCTAACAACAACCCAAATACCTCAGATATTCAATCGGATTTTATTAACTCAACCAGGCAAACAATAAATAGTTAGCCATGATTATGTTCATTTTGACAAGTACTGTACCTACCTTACTCCGCCAAAAATCAAATCAAATACTGTGTCTTATGATTTGACCTATTATACCGATGAGCCTATGATAGACACCTGCTTTTTTAACATCCGTCCTGGTGGCTCATTGATTTTAACGAGTCTTAGATATTAATTATCATTGTTAAGTGACCTTGCCCACAACTTCGAAGCGATCACGTGGAGAGAAGGAAGTCTGATTGACTAGAACAGCACTTCGGCGCATGCATGGCTTTGCGAGAATCCATCGCGTCCTAACACATACATACCATGCCGTTGTTGCAATAGTGGGATGATTAAGAAACATCACGTCCCCATTGGGAAGTATGTATGCAGACATTTAAATGGCACAATATAACGCTGGCGAAGATGTGAAAACGGAAAGAGGAAGGCGATATCGTTACGGCATACACCAATTAGGTCGTTTGCCCATACAATTATGTCTGCATTATGCACAGATTCGCAACAAGGAATAAATTTCAGCCAGCTTTCCGTCTCAAGTGCCCAAGGCCTACGGCGAACCCTGTAAGATTATACCGAGTGTTATTTACAGTTTCATATTTACACATAAGCCGAACAACCAAATTTTCATACCAGTGACGACTACATGGCTAAAGTCCACCATAAGACCCAAACGGAAGATCGTGCCGAGACTTCAAGGCCGGTCCATATTATCAGATTAAATGCATCCTCTTACTATAAGATATTATAATAGTCTTCGTTAGGGCTTGTCCGTCGTCCTCTGCCTATCTTCCAGCTCCTGGTGATTCCGCCCATGCGGCGGCCCATCGACGCGCTTCTTCTCGTGTAGCCGGCCAAACGCCGGCTTGAACCTCTCCGGCTCCCTGTCCTCCGGGTGTTCGTACTTGACTTGGCCATTCCGGGCCTCGGCCCGCTCTTTTCCCACTCTGACCCTGTCTGCAGGCTCCAGGTTGGGCGAGGCGGGCGTCGGGTAGTCTTCGGGTACGGGCTGAGCTGCGGCGGTCTTGTTTTGGCTGCGCCATAGAAGAGCTGTGGGGATGGAGAGGCCGACGAGGGCTATAATTCTGCGTGGGAGGAAACGATTGTCAGTCAAGATGGCCCCCTGGGACATTTATGTAGGTAATGGGAAGGACTTTGACCGAGCCCACGCAGCTTGTGTAAATGTGGTGTTGAACCAAATGAGAGCATGCTGTGATGGAAGCACCGGGACACCCAGTTGAGTCTTTGGATTCCAAGCTTACATATTGCGGTTGCTTCCTCCTTGGCTCATGGGCGGCTTGTTTGTGCCACTAGAATATGTACGGATGTAGCGTGGTCTTGTCGCGCTGTTGAGCTGGCGAGCGGCTCTTAACGAAGATCGGAAAGCTGAAGTCATTTTGATGCTCTTTAGTGTACTTTAAGAGTTGGCTTTAGTTGTCAATGGCTGGAATTATTGTTTACATTTAGAAAAATATGGCTACGATAATACACAGATCACCTTTTAAGAAACCTCGCTCGACTTGTTACAATGAAGTCATGGAAGGCAACGCTTAGCAGGGTCCCAGCTACAACCGCTTTAGGAAAGCCCTAGGGTCTACTCGGTAATCGTATTGGATCAATTATCTCATTGATTCAGGGTATCGCGTGTAGTTCTTGGAGAACGTTGGGACTACACGATCTAGAAAAGTCGATGACGACGTGAATGGGATTGGGGGATCTGGGCCCACTTTGAAACAATCTACGTGTGGATGAACAACCGCTGTTAGCAGTGCCTCAGCCCGATGCTGAAGCCATGAGCAGTAATAAAAAGTTTTCAATATAGTAGGCACTCACAAGACCCCATTTCAATACCAGCAAACGTTTGACATGTCACCTGGGGGAAACAATGGATGAGATGAAGCGAATACGCTTCGTGTTGTAACACAGAAAATCTTTCGTAGTATGTACAAAGTGACGGATGATTTAGCAGATTGTACAGCCCGTAACAGGTCTTTTCACCACGCATTACGCCTAACTCAGAGCCCTTCTATTGTCCAGGAGAAATCAGCTTACCCTGAGCCTTCGCATCCGAGTGCCAACCACCAGCCAGTGCGGGACCGCCGTTCTCAGCCGCAAACTTTTGCATTCTCTGCTCGAGCTCTGGTCTGAAGTGTCGGATAAGACCTTGAATGGGCCAGGCAAAAGCCTCACCGAGAGCTATAGAATGATCAGTACTGGTGTGCAAACAGATGCTAAAATGATGGCTTACCGCAAATGGTGTGACCCTCGACTTGCTTGGTCAACTCTTGCAACATGTCAATCTCCCTTTCACGTCCCTGACCCTTCTCAAATCGCTGCATAATCTGCTCGGTCCACTTGCTACCCTCACGGCAAGGTGTACATTGACCGCATGACTCGTGTCTGTAGAAGTGACTTAAGCGAGAGATAGCACGAACGACATCGGCACTCTTGTCCATGACAATAACGGCAGCGGTACCGAGACCAGACTGGCTATCCTTCAGTCCGTCGAAGTCCATAAGCTGATCATCACAGACGCTCTTGGGGAGGATAGGAGTGGAAGAACCACCAGGGATGATGGCGAGAAGATTGTCCCAGCCACCACGAACACCACCGCAGTGCTTATCAATAAGCTCCCTGAGGGGGATGCTCATCTCCTCCTCGACAGTGACAGGGTTGTTGACGTGTCCAGAGATACAGAAAAGCTTGGTACCCTGGTTTCGCTCACGGCCAAAACCGGCGAACCAGTTGCCGCCTCTTCTGCAGATAGTAGGGGCGACAGCAATAGTCTCGACGTTTGCGACAGTAGAAGGGCAACCGAAGAGACCGACAGCGGCAGGGAACGGAGGCTTGAGACGGGGCTTGCCGGGCTTACCCTCCAGGGATTCAATCAAAGAAGTTTCCTCACCACAAACGTAAGCACCAGCACCGCGGTGGAGGTAGATGTCGAAGTCGTAACCGGAACCACAGGCATTCTTTCCAATCAAACCATCGGCGTAGGCCTCGTTGATGGCGTGCTGGAGGACAGCGGCTTCTTGAATGAACTCGCCACGGATGTAAATGTATGCGGCAGTGGCGTTCATAGCACGGCCGGCGACCAAGCAGCCCTCGAGAAGCTTGTGGGGGTCCTTTCGCATAATCTCTCTATCCTTGCATGTACCGGGCTCTCCCTCATCAGCGTTGACGACCAAGTATCGCGGCTTCGTGTCCTTTTCCCAGTCCTTGAAGTTCATGAAGGACTAGCAAACAAGTCAGTTTTGGCTTGAGCCATTGAGACGTGTGGGGTCTGAAGCGAGCATACCCATTTGAGACCAGAGGGGAAGCCAGCTCCTCCACGACCTCGTAATCCGGATGCCTTGACCTCGCCGATGATCCAGTCGTGGCCCTTGAGAATGATCTCCTTCGTCTTGTGCCAGTCTCCCATCTTCTTGGCATGCTTCAGATCGGGGGGGTATCGGCCGTAGAGGTTCTGGAAAATGCGATCTTGATCCTTGAGCCCGCCGTATACACGCTTCGGGGTGCCCTCCTGGACAGTCGCCATGGACCGCCGGGACTGGGCGGGTGTGTTGGTGGTGGCGGGTAATCGGGTACATGATGGCAGAGCGACGCGCGACAGGGCCTTCGCAGAGGCTGCCCGCGGTGCTGCAGTCCTTGACAGCATCTTGTGTGGTGTACTGTCGCTCTTATTGAGCTTGATACCACAATAGGAGTGGAGAGGTGGATGGCAATGGGCAATCGAGTGCTTTAAAGCCGGAAGATTCCAAATGTCGTTGAAGATGCTGGACTTGCACTTTACATTGAGTGGAATAATCGCTGCCATGATTGGCTCAATTAGCCCAAAGGCGGGTACGGATCCGTGCTGGCGACTCGTTCGGGCTTGGATCTGTGGCAACGGGGAGCTTGGACCATTCATGAGGTGAGGTCATGCATTTGTCGGGGGCCCCCTACAGATCGGACCTTCCAATGAGGAACTTCAGATTCGATATCGGCGTGCGTTTGCACCGCGTTGTTGCTGGCTACAGGACATAACTAGGAGTTGGAGAGGAACAACAATCGTGCCTGTCACCTATCTGCTGACTGGGGAAAACCAGTAACGCTCTACAGCAATTAAAGAAAAGGAAAAAGAGAAAGAGAGAAAAAAAAAACCCCCCCACGTGATTACAGGCACAGTAAAATCTCAATTGCCTTGCAGTTAATATCGACGGGGACTTCTATATTCATACACCTGCAAACACATCACCCGCCATGGCATCCGCCGCCAAACGCCAGTCCATTCTCCCCAGGGTCCAATCTGGACCTAAAGCTCCCGTGAATTTCTCGTCCTCCATCACCATTGCCGACACAGCCATTCTGGCCGGAAGCCACACCATAAACATCAGCTCCGAATCCGTAATTCATCCGCGCGCGAGACTCGACTCCTCCAGGGGCAGGGTGACTATCGGAAGACGATGCATATTACACGAGCGAAGCCACATTGGCGCCATCGGAGCTGACCCTACACCCGCCTCCTTTGGAGTGCTCCTGGAGGACTACGTCACCATCGAGGTTGCAGCTGTGGTCGAGTCGGGCGAAACCACCATTGCCGAGGGCACCGTTGTTGGCATCGGCGCAAGAGTCGGTAGGGGCGCCAAGATCGGAAAGGTAGGAGCTCTCTCGACACATGGATCGCCCAAGCGGCACGCTGATGCGTTTGTCTGTTTAGCACTGCACAATCACGGCCAAGAGTGTCATTTCGCCTGGAGAGGCGCTGCCAGACCATACAGTAGTCTACGCCAATGGCACCAGACGAACTGACAAACGTGACATCAACGACTTAAAGAACAAGGCGCAAGCGCGTCAAATTGAAGTCCTGAGAAGGTTGATACCAAGCAATCCTGCCAAGTTCAAGGATTGAAATGCTCTGAATGAGCAATCATGGTTTGAAATATTTAAGATACCCGATCAAGTCAATGCTATTACGCCATGGCTTGGTCAAAGAGTCGTTGCTATTATACTGCCTACACCTTTACCTAGGAATCCCACTCGGTCACCCATATGATGATTCCGAGATACTAGGACTATTGACAAGCTTCTGCCTGTAAATCATGCAGCCGGACCGCGTAAGGCGGCGGCGGCTCGTCATCGTCGTCCTTTGGCGGTGGCACGGGAGGCGGCGTGTCAACATAGTCAATATCGTCCTCTCCGTATTGCGGCAACGCTTGCCAGGAGTCGGGACGAGTCAATCCATAGATTGCAAGTAACAACAAACGACCCAACGCGACGATTGGCAAGAAAAGTAGCAAGCACGGCATGATCATTCCCCAGCCAGATCCTCCGAGGCGTGTGTATGTCCCATGCAGCCGTCCGTGGCTGTATGCGGTCAATCCCACGGGACTACCATCGAAGGCTTGCATGCCAATCGACGTCTCAACACGTTGCCGCACCAAGCTCCAGTATGCCTGGGCCAAGTCTCCTAAGACATCCTGGACCATTAATCGAGCCATGTCACTGTCCCGAGTTTTCCCGCTTCTTCTTGCTTCTTCTACCTGAGCTGATCTCATATCAGCCACGGCTTTGCTCAGTGTACCGTTTGTATTTTTAAGTGCTTGCATGACTGCCTCCATTGTTTTTGACCTTACCCGGTCCGCTATATTGCCAGGTCTCGGCTTCCCGTCTTTAATTTCGAGAACGCCGTTTCGTGCCACGATGTTTGTCATGAGTTCATGACCGGTGTAGAAGCACTTCAGCACGGTGGCCGAATCTGAGCTTTGCCGCAAGTCGGGATTGTGATCAGTAATGAAGAAGAATTGGGAACTTGGAGCTCCTACAAGACCCTCCACAGTCCAGGGGGTGATCTTCAGTTTCTCATCGACCGTTTGTACGATCTTTGCATCAACGCGATTGTTGAAACTGGAGATGTCATATCGCCCAACATATCCAAGCACTTCTTCCCGGTCGCCGGAGAATTTCCCCAAAGTCCGCTGTATCAAGAATTCATCCGTCATATACACGCAACGGACTTCTATGTTTGTGCCATATACCCTGGCTTCGAGGCTGTCAAATTTGTAGTCTGGCGCCACCATCCAGTTTTGAGCGACAGCCTCTCTCCCGCTCTGAGGCACTGGAAATTTGTGTTCAAAATACGGGCTGCTCCCCAAATTTGCACGCCGGCCCCGGCTGGAAAGGAAGTAGTCATTGAAGCTTGCTACATTCACTCCAACGCCGTTGGTTCTGGGGCCCTCGTAGCTTGTATCGCCAATGCGATATGTACGCCCGCCGCCTGATTGACCCCGATTATATGACTCGTTCCCATTTGACATAATGTGTTGGATTGCATGGTCTCGTGTGAACGCAGCACTTTCGACCAAGAACTCGCTTAAGGCAGTGTTGATATCTTGAGCTGGGATCATGTATTCGCCAAAATGCATGGCGTAGTCAGTCGCAGGATATGATGTCAAGGGACGTAACGTCTTCAGAGTCGTCTTATGCGGTGCAAATAGCGCCAGCGCCGATGCGCAGCTCAAGGCGCTCAAGAGTGTTGTCGGCAGGCTTGAGCGCTCGCGACGGCGTGAAGTCGTACCGGATCCGCCGCTCGCCTCTTCCTCAACTTCAGCTTCAACTTCAGCTTCAATTCGAGCCCCTTCTGAGCCCAACAGTCTCGCGAGGAGCTCTGTCCTTGGACAGTTGCCGACTCGTGCGTCCAAATACTCCTTCTGAAGTGAGTAAGCCCAGAGCGCAAAATCGGCCACGAGGATACCGCCCACTGCGAGAGCTATCATCATGATCTGCGAGCTCCAGAAACAATGTTCCACATCCACGGCCTCGCACTCCCCATTGTCGCCGATAAACAGGCATCGCGTCACCGTGTCCGGGCCGACCTTGCCATCGACATGTACCACCCTGTAGAACTTGATGCCATAGGCAATGACCAATCCGAGTATCGTAGCGGCAAGTGCATTAGCGCTCAATGCCAGATATGGCGCCATGGTTTTCAAGTTGGCATACGTCGTCGAAAAAACAGCTGGCTAATTTTGATGACGATGAGTAAAGACGGGAAGGAACATGCTAGAATTGTCAGGTAAACATGGTGCGATTCACGTTTGATCAATCTTTGCGGCACAGCAGCAAGCTGAAAAGGCACAAGGCCCCCCCTGGGAGCTGTTAGACGCCCTGCACTTGAGCGCAATGGATCCTTCACGGCGTTGGGTGTGTCGCGCTCATTTCGATTAAGTCTGTTTTGGCGCCAATTACGGATCTGTGAAGTCAACGCGATCATGCCGCAGGCTCCGTAGAATTAGGCTACAGACAGGGGTTTGTTCCAATTCCAGGCCCTATGTAAGCACGTCCTAGATGATCCACAGCGGTGGCAGCGTTATTTAGTGCTCCAGCTCCAGGTCCCACACACCATTGTTTTGTTAATCCTCATGGACCTGTAGACTGTGATTTTGTATGGAAATGGGCATATATGCAAACGATCTGGTCTTGGACCTTGGAATACACAGCAGTCTGCAACTATAATGAGAGCGAAATCGACGAATCTGAGGCTGCCAAATCAAAACGACTGCAACGAATGACAATTTTGGGACCGCAGTGATAGAAGGCGTGCAGTGGCGCAGAATTCGCATGAGCATAGGGTTGCCAAGATGCTGATTCAAGCCGTGCAACATTATAATCCTAAAATCAGATGTTGGACCGATGTGTAACATCGGACATTGGTCCTAATTTCTGCGAAGAACAATCTGCGTATATGACAAAAATGGAAGGAGCATTTGGATATTGCGCAAGACGTGATTTGCTTATCTGGGTAGAGAGGCTGACTTTCTGCACATCTATATGATAACTCTATTTGCAAAATATGTCAGCTGTCCAAGCTGTTGTAATTCGTAAAAGCTTTGAGATCATCCCTCAATCCATCTTCGTCCTCTTTGTCTTCTTGTATTGTCGTGGTGTTGGAAAGCTCCTTCTCGATGTCAACTCCTATGACATCGACTGTAGTTTGGTTGTCGTGCAGCCTGTAGTCCATGACAATGTCTTTAAGTCCCAGTCGATACCTCGAGATGTTCTTATCCTTCCAACTAGAAAGAGCATGGGTCGTTGTCATGCGAGGGATCAGGTCATTGACCGCCTTGTGAACCCGATCTCGTCGGGGGCGCAGTCTCGTTGAATCCTGCGTGATCTCTGTGCCCTTCATATATGCGTACCAAATAGTCTTGATCTTGTCGAAACTAACGAATTTTCCATCTCCGTCGATACGGAACGCTCGATCGAGAATCAGAATAAGATCGCAGGCACATTTTAACAACAGGCGCGTAGCTGAAGGGACTTCAAAGAGCGGTATGGTAGCAGATAGAGAGAGGCCGGAGGCAACAGTCACCATGCCTGTTAGGGTGCTCTGGACCATGAACCAACCAATGTTGCTCGAGATAATTCTGGAGAGCAGGCCATATACCTTCTTCTCCATTTCCTCCCGTATGCCGAAGCAACCAGTGACGATCTCATTGCACATCAGGCGAGCTATTGCCGGCGTCCCGACGGCGCTTCCGATAACGAGAATGGAGCTTGCGTGAGAGTTCACTATCGCCCTTCGAAGAAACTGCAGCGTCCTCTCGATGGCAATGTCAATCTTGGCTTCAACGTCCTCTATCTGGGCCGCTATCATACCGTTGGCGGTGAGACCATTATCGATGAGAGCCACCGTTGTGTGGATCAAGTCCTTAATTGATTTGGAGTCATCTGTAATGGGTTAATTATCACTTGAATAAAGTCCTGTAACAGAAAGGAAACGACTGACATAAGGAGCTCCGAGAATCTTCTGATTCTTCGCCGCAAAAAACAAATTGGAATCTGACGTTCTGAAGCTGCGGCCATGCCTCCCTGGTTTGTTCACTCTGTACAATAAGAGATGTGATTTGTGCTTCTTTCTGGTGCAGCAGCTCTCGCTGGTTTGTCATAAGGAGCTCATTTGACTCGGCGCCGGGCTTGCAGATGGCCTCGATGTCTTCACGAGATAGTCTTTTATCTCGGAGGTACAAATCTTTCTTCGTGCAGACTACGATGATAGGGATGCTGGGCGCGATTTTGGCTAGTGTCGCCAGGACATTGCCTAATCCACCTTGAACTGGTCGAGGAGAATTTGACGGCACGCAAAACCTCAAATAGTCTTAGCTAGTAACTCTTTTGTACAGGATATGACTTACCAGATTGCTTGCAGTTTTTCCTCAGGTACGACTTTCCCGGATCTTGTTTCGATGAACTTCTTGAACGCCTCTACCTCTCGAGTTTCTCCTGTTTGAAACCCTTCAGAATCATGTATGATTATACCCGGATGGTTGGCATCTTGGAACCCTTTCTCGATGTCGTGAACTCCTTGTCTATCATGATTCACCATTGTCTTCCCAACGTTAATAGCAGACTGTGAGTTTGTGAGGGATTAGACATACCATGGGAACCCCGAACACACGATTCAGCAAGGTGGACTTGCCGACTCCAGTATCCCCACAAACAAGGATCCGACATGTGGGCGAAGCGACCGAGGGAGTGAAATCTTTGATCCATGGATATACTGGTAAGGTGGTTTTCCTGTCTGGGGCAAGAGCTCGGAGTGATGCAATCTGCCGAAAGTGCTCAACATGACTTGAGATACCCTGCAAACTTACCGCAAGCCCCGACGTATAGTAGGAATCCATCATGAAGTGTACAGAGGGATGCAATATGACACCGGAAAGAGCTGGATAGGGGTTAGCCCACTTGTTTTAACTAAAGGTTTCGTTGCCTCACAATTTTCCCGGTAGCCGTTGAGCTTGCCTAGATCTCCGCCGAATACGGCTCTACTGCGGTCTCCGAGCTTCAAGCTGTCGAATCTACCAGGATTCAGTCTGATGCTATGTTTCACCCGTCGAGCAGGTGGTGCTGTACGTTTAAGAAGCTTCCGCCTTTGGTCTCCAAGGTCCACATGGCGATGTACGTTGCGAATGTCGTACATAGTAACCAATAACCCGTTCGAATAGCGAAATATCCATGGTGAAGGGTCGAGAGATGCGGAGCTGTTGCTACTGCCACTATTGATACTTGAGACATCATCATATATCTGAGGAAGGGTAAGGATGAGCGGGTCTTCAACCATATGCGATAATTTTGGAGGGCCATGGTCCAGTATTAGTCCGCAGTCGCGAGCTTCGAGAAGCATCCATTGCAGGGGGTATAGAGAAAGACCGTCGTCCTCGGAGCCACCACCTATATCTTCATGACATCCAATGAACCAGGCTTCAACGATGGATCGATCTTCATCGAGGACGAGCTCATCATTGGTGATCCTCTCATATGGGCGGAAAGATCGGTGCTCATTCATAGCCATCGCGTGCCGTATGTTCATCGTGCGCTCGTCGTCTGAGATTGTCACATCATAGTTGTTCAGTGTCATATTGACCATATCAAAGAGCCCAATGAATTTGACGGTTGGAACGTGGTTTGGGTTATCGAGTCTATGAAAGTTTAATTCCTGATACTAGGGCGGTTGAAGATTACTTACAGAAACCCATAGCGTTGACCACTGTTGTTTTTAGCGCTCCTTCTCAATGTCAACTTCTTCAGCTTTTCGAGTCTTGTTCTGTCCTTTGAGGTACTCGATGAGTTGATGAGGCCTCCGTTGAGCATTTTCGAGACTGCCCGTGCAACGTCTACTTCATTGTCAGCGAATCGCAACTTTGTACAAAGGCTGCGGTATCGAGTCTTACATGCTCCTCGGCTAAACCCAAACAACCAGACTTCATCATCAGGTCCGGTCACATTCTCACTGCAATACTACCAAGATTGTCAAACAAGTGAGCACTGAATGCAGTCATGGGTGCAATACCTTGTACACTTCTTCGATCTGCTCGCCACATCCATGGCCAAACATGCCGCCCAAGTATCTCCCTGCGGGTCCTTGATCTGTCCCAACGCCAAAGAAATACCTTTTAATCTAAAGAAGATTAGAAGAGTAAAAGTTTGATCAGAATCTTGGGGCTCTGGGACATACTTGTTGAACGGAATATCCATTCTCATCTTTGACGATGCCTTCTTTTATTGACCAATGCAGACGAGCCACATTGGAATGGTTCCCTTTACTCGCCCCTGCAAGCGATATTCAGCATACTGTATGGTGACAAGAGGGCCATGCGCTGCATGAAATGGTAAGCACCTTCAACTCCATCCTGGTTGAACCATGTCCCGTCGATACAGGCAACAATTCTTTTGCGAATAGAACTGCTCTTCATTTCGGTTTAGAATCAACTTCGTAAATTGGTATACTAGATCGAGATTAGAGACGAAAAAAAGGCTAGGATAGGAATGCCCGGCTTGATTTATAATTTGCCAAACACATGGGCGTCAGATGTAGCCTTGCTGACGCCAAGGCTCTTGGTTTTCTATTTTCGTTCCTTCAAGTTAGTGTGAACAACAGGTAATGAACATCTCGTGCACTAAATAAATGCGTCGTGTGTGGCACGACTAACCATATTGAGATGAACAAAAGCACGTAAACAAGGAAGAAGATCAAGCCATCCATTAAGACAGGATTCCTAACGTAATTCTAAAAAACCAGGCGACGGTAATCCATACCCGTACAAAAGTGTCCTAGTTAAAATCACAATCTACCCTAACCTTTTGATGAGGCTATTCTCGCCATCACTAACCCCTTTTGAGGGTAATTCTAAACAGTTTTTCGCAGCCTCCCCAAATTACTCAAACCAATATGGCTGAACACATATCTCGTGGTGGAGCACTACACCTCTCATATGATCCTTGCAATCCTACCACTTCTTAACGCGAGAGAAGCAGCATCGCACAATGATGCTGAGAATGACCACCTTGCGGTAGAACCCATTCATGGTCGATTTTCCGGTCCCCTTCCAACCTAATGATCTACAAAGCCTAGCACCAATCGATGTTGTCACCAGTGGTTCTAGGTACGGAACTATGATTGAATGAGACCACTAGCTCAAGCATAAGTTCTTCCAAAGCTATACTACTTACTCAACCCAGACCAGTATCAAGAAACAAGTTGATCGCTAAATATGCCAAGGTCTGATCAGGAACATGTTCACCGACAACAACCGTGAATATCTACTGGCTGTATCTGCGATATCAAGAGATGATAGAATATTAGTCGCAAGTTCAAAGCCTTACGCAGTTCAGTTTTCACACTTTGAAGCCAGGTGGCCCCCTTTTTCAGCCTCTAAATAACCTCGCGTCGGAGACATACGGAGGGTTTAGCTGGTGGTTATGTATCTTTGCGAGTGTTGAAATTCAACTACTACAAGACTCATGCGCTCAATGAAGCAATAAGCACCTGCTAAATGGTCAATTTCAGCTACCACGCTCAAACTGTAATTTTAATTCCTTAAAACTATGAAGTGTCGCGATTCCATGAACTACACAGACTGTTTTCCATGCTCCGAGCCGTCCCTTTCGTGACCCCTGTTCACGCCGAAGTGGAACCTCACTTTGCACAAGCGCTGTGGCGTTTGTGAGTGCACATCTATACTTTGCTATTCGCCCATTTCCCGTGGCAAGATTTCTCTGGTCCACCGACTGACCGTTTTGGATGATTGACATGCACATTTCGTTTGCATCGGGCGTGAAAATGCCCAACACAACCTATCTGATAAGCCGCGACCAACTCTAGTAGCACAGCAAACGGAGGTCGTTTGCCATAGTGGCAGCACATCTGCCCAACCGTGACATAATGGGTGTACGGCTTACGTGCGCCTATTTACGTGAAACGCCTGCTCAAGAAGCTCGGCCACAGCGGATGGAGGCTCAGGAATCCCTTGGAGGAGTCGTGGAGTTACTATTTTGGGCTCTTAAATCAACAGCGAGAAATCGTAATAAGCCGTGCAGATATCGCTGCTCTCCGCTATGGATTGACTCATTTGCCCGTCAAAGAACTACAGCGCATGGATTTCTGTTCGCACCACCCTACGAGACCTCTAAGATACATGTGTTTCCGGACGGTTGCACCCCGTGCAAATAAACCACCGTCATGGTGTAGTCATGGTATCGTGAAGGATCCTTTCGACCCAGGTGTTGCCTCTGTGGAGTTGACAGGACTTCAGCATAGCGTTGGCCGAATTTGAAGTCTCATTGAGCCATGATGTGCGGAAAACTTGGAACACCGAAACATGATCAGTTTGCAATATTTTGGACTAGGTATACTCCGGCAACAATTCGTCAGGCTGTCGTCATACCAGTAGCATGCTGAAAATTCACAAGACCGTTTGTGTTGCCAGTCCAGGTGCCGAGGACGAGTTCTGCAATAGTTTGTTTCGCAGAAATGATGGGCAGACTTGGTGGTCATATTGATTATGTAGATTGACTAGTCTTAGACTGAGCCTAGACACAATCGACTTGAACAGGGGAGCAAGAGCATTAGGGCACTGCCGACCTGCCATGTACAACCTCCGTAAGGTCGTAATTAAGCGTCTAGCTGAAAATGAATCGTTTCACCTTGACATACCACGGTCGACTCTTGGTCTTTTGCACCGCAGCCTCCTCAGCTCCGTTTTCTCCAAAGCCACCAGGAGCACCAAGAGCTTCTCTCCGGCCAGTGACCAAGTCCATTTCCATCACCCCGACAAACTTGGTCCTCTTTAAAACCTTCCAGAACACATACAAGATGGTGAAGATGGCGAGGACGAGATAAGAAAACACAAAGTCCACAGCGGCAAATCCGCCCACGAATACCGAATATCCCGAGATGAAGACCAAGAATATGTTGATGACCACCACGAACCACGTTCCCCATGGATGTAGCCATGCCCTGAACGGCAGCTCGTCCAAGCTGTGGCCCTGCCTGACCCAGCCAGCTCGAAGCCGCAGGTGCGTGATGCCCACGAAGGCCCACGCGATGAACGTCGCGGCCCCGGAGATGTCGATCAGGTAGGTGAACACTTTGCCCGGCCCGGAAGCCACGTTCAGGATGCTGATCAAGCCCAACGTGTTGGAGAACACGATGGCCCTGATCGGCGTGCCGTCGTCTGTCGTCTTGGCAAAGAACCTGGGGGCCCGTCCGGTCCGTGCCAAGGCCACAAGGGTGCGCGAGGCGATGTAGATCCCACTGTTGACGCTCGAGAACTGCGCCGTGATCATGATGACGTTCAGCAGGTTGCTCGCGCCGCTCCAGCCCGCGCTCACCAGGGCGATGGTCCAGGGGCTCTTGGCAGACTTGCTCTTGGCGTTCAGCAGCTCGGGGCTCGTGTAGGGCACGATGAGGCCCGCGAAGAACACGAGCCCGATGAACACGATCAGGATCCGCAGGAACGTCTGGCGGATCGCCCGCGGCAGGTCGCGGGCCGGGTTCCTGCTCTCGGCCGCCGTGAAGGCCAGCATCTCCGTCCCGCAGTAATACACGGCGGCCAGCACGAAAGTCTGGCCGAAGCCGTTGATCCCGTTGGCGATGGGCCCCGGGTCCACCCAGTACCGGAAGCCGATGTACCCGCCGCCTATGGCGCCGGTGTTGATCAGGATCGAGACGAGGAACCCCACGACGAGCACGCACGTCAGCTTCCAGCACGCCAGGTAAAACTCCATCTCGCCCCAGACCACGACGCCCAGCAGGCTCGTGCCCTGGAAGATGGCCCAGAAGATCAGGATCCAGCCGTAGCTCGGGACCCGGTCCGTCCAGCTCTGAAACACGAGCGAGATGTTGTTGTAGTCGTTGGCAATGTTCGTCACCCAGAGATACCAGTAGTTCCAGCCCAGGCTGAAGGCGAGGGCCGGGTCGACGAAGCGGCCGGCCAGCTCGACAAAGGCGCCCTGGATCGGGAAAAGGGTTGACATCTCGCCGAGGGACTGCATCACGAAGAAGACGTCGATGCCGATGATCAGGAAGCAGATGAGGGCACCGACCGGACCTGAGTAGGCGATGGCGGTGCCTGTGCCGAACCAGATGGATGCGCCGACGACGCCGCCGAGCGATATCATTTGCTGATAACGGTATTAGTAATTACACATCCAAATGTCGACGAAGAAGAGTCATACCAAGTGACGGTTCTTGAGACCGCGCTGCAGACCGCCATCCAAAATGTTGCCGTTGGAAGCGATCTCCATGTCATTTTTACCATCGTTGACGGCCTCTTGAACTGGCCGGGCTGGCGCTTTCTCTTCTATTTCTGTAGATGCCATAGTCTCCTCTGTTTCTCAACGTACAGATATTCGTACAGGTAATAGCGCAGAAGGATAAGCTTTCTTGGCTGAGGCCAAGAACGCCCGGATGCCAAGGAAATCACCTATAATACTATGACCAAATGTCGTGAGAGATTACATGAAAAAACAAGTTCCACAACTTGATGCCCCCAATAGACTGGCTCAACAGTATCTGGAAGCATGCTTGGAATTTAAACAAAACGACAACGTTCTCCCCTCGCTTGTGCAAGGTCCCCGATCTGCAAAGTCAACCCCCGAAAGCTACCCCGCCGCTTATCACGTTTTCAACGCTCATTTCGACCCCTAGACGAAGCTTGCTACAAAATCAGTCTAGTCCTCCGGATCTGCAGGGCCTTCGTCTTGTATGGGCAGACACTGATAAGCGGTTGACTGAATGCCGATGGCGACATTCCGGAGAAGTATCCACTTTGTCGGGATCTCCCGAGTCGGGCCCTAGAAACGGGGCATCATAAAGCCTGGGCATGCGGTATATACAGTCGACGCAGAGGAAGTCAGATGTTCACAAAAGGCGAGCTGAATTATGCAATGCAGACTTTCTTTGGGACGTTATAACCCTCCGTATAAAACGCTCAACTACACGTCTTCCATCTGTCGGATAGATCGGACGCCATCTGCGGCCAGAACTTGACCTATGCTGCGTGTCAGTCGCGCTCAATATGGCTATTTGGCGATGAAGTTGTTGCATGGTTCGGCTCACAGCGCCAAAAATCTATTGAAGCCATTTCCATTGGCGAGATGATACATATTACATATGGGCAGAGCCCTGAGATTGTCGTTCTCCAAAACAACAGCGTGTGACTGGACCAATGTATTTCAGGAATGATTGCTTCAGCTCGGGCACATAATGTGTGGTTTGCATTGACATGCTTGCATATCCTTGAATTAAGCTTCCCAATGCGCGGGAGGTCTACTCACATATTATACATAGGATACAATAATACCACAAGTATTGTACAGGCTCGCCGTTGCGGTCCTTATGATTCAAGTCTCCTGACTGCGAAAAAGTAGTTGCCCACCTTCTCGCTTCCTTGGACCTCTCTCCACCCGACTCCGGGGACATAGATGACACCCATACACCTGGGCTCACCCCAGCCTTGTCTTTGTGTCAAGAAGTGAGTCCTCAATTCCTCCTCGTTGACGTATTTCTGCCAATCATGGGTGCCTCGGGGTACAATTCTCAGTACATCCTCAGCCATGAGATTTGTCGTGAACCAGCTCATCCAGGTTCGCGCAATGGTGCTCATGACAAGCCAGCCACCAGGCTTCACGAACGGCGTCACCTTGTCCAGGAACGATGCTGGGTTCGAGACGTGCTCGAGCACCTCGAAGACGGAAACGACGTCGTATTGCTCGTCTGCGCTCTCCGGTATGGGCAGCGACTCGATGGCAGTGTTCAGATAGCTGAGTTTTCCCACAAGTGCTGGATCCCGGCGGGCATGGGCCTTGGCGACGGAGAGCACTTCGGGGGTGGGATCGATGGCCGTCACATTCTTGGTGCTGGACAGGCGGGCAGCAGACTCAGCGAATATGCCGCCGCCGCATCCGATATCGAGATACGTAAGGCCGGTGGTGGCTGGGGGTGAGGGATCGAGCACAGAGGAACGACAAGAGCGGATGAAGTCGTGTCGCAAAGGGTTCATGAGATGCAGGATGCGCGAGGGGCCCTGAGGATCCCACCACGACGATGCGAGGGCATTGAAGTGGGAGACCTCATCGGGAGAGACTGTGGTAAAGGCTGGGTCTGACGAGGAGGAGGAGGAGAAGCACCGGACGGGGGACGAGGTTGGGTGCGGTATCCGTCTCGCGGATCGTAGGTGGGCGTGGACGGCTTGCGAAGGCGCTTTCACAGGGGCGGGATGGGGGGCTCGGAGCCGTCGGAGCAGCTGTGGTGCTGCATTCGATCGCGGCGGCATCGGCACTGTTGGTGATGGGTAAGTGATGACCGAGACTCTCGGGGTGTGTAAGCAAAGCAGCTGTGGTGGTACTTCTTTTCTCAGCGCATGCAATATGCCTTGATCATCTCGCACATGCGGATCCGTAGTGCAACTTGGGCTAGGTTAAGTCTAGTCAAAGTTAGTCTAGACTAGCACATAATTACGGATCTGTAGCAGCTTGAGCAGTTGCTTGACCGGCAGTAAGCGATAGCGTGGTGTGCCGGTGTTATTTGGCCCCTGCTTGCCTGCCTCGGCGGACTCGTTGTGCTGTGTAGCTTAATGACGAATAGGGAGTTTGTCAGCCGAGATCAGCATCTGTCAGCGGCTCGTTAAGCTGGCCCAATGTGGTTTTTTTTTTTTTTTTTTTTTTTTAGCGCAGCGACCATGCTGTTGGGTGCAGGCTGCCGGGTCGCCTTGGAACACCTGCACCTGTGCGTGTACCTGCACATCAACCCCCCCCGGGGAAGCTCGGCTTGCAGTTGGAAGACAAGACAGAAAGTTCTGTAAGACATGGCCGGTGTCAGAGTCGGTGTCAGAGTCGGTGACATATACTTTTGCACTCACACGCCTTACATAACTCGCAAGATATAATCCGAGCACTACAAATCTGATCCGGTCAAGAACCAGACCACCGAGTCACTCCAGCCGCAGTTTATACTTGGCTCCGAAGAACAAAACTAAAACCCCCACCAGAGCGGATATCCATCTCGTCTGCCCCGCGGCTGGATTATCGCCAGTACTCCCTTGACTGACGCACAAGTCACCTGTCACGAACCCGAGGAGAGCAGACGCTGGTTTATACATATATATTTTGAATTTCCCCGAATAACCTCACAATCGACTTTGTTCCTTCCATCACGCCCCAATTCCTTACTATGCCTTCCTCAGAAGTTCCCAAGAGCCAATTTGACTCGATACCAGATACAATTGCCGCATTCCGTACGTTCGTGCCCTGGGTCTTGCAACTTCCTGAAACCGCCTGGCTGGCTAACATGACACTCCCGGAACACAGGCAATGGCGAATTCATAGTAGTCCTCGATGACCCCTCACGCGAGAACGAAGGCGACCTCATCATCTCGGCTCAAAATGTCACCACGGAACAAATGGCCTTTATGGTGCGCTACTCATCCGGCCTCATCTGTGCACCAATCCCCGACTCCATGACCGAGTCCCTCGAGCTACCGCAAATGGTCGTCCACTCGCAAGATCCCAAGGGCACCGCATACACTCTCAGTATAGATAGCGCCGACCCCACTATCACCACCGGCATCAGCGCATACGATCGCGCCCTGACGTGTAGGACCCTCGCCAGGCAGGATGTGAAGCCATCGGATTTCAGGAGGCCGGGACATGTCTTCCCTCTACGGGCAAAACACGGTGGCGTCAGAGAGAGGCCCGGCCACACCGAGGCCGGCGTTGACTTCTGCAGGCTTGCCGGCCTGCCCGAGGTTGCCGTTATCTCGGAACTAGTGGAAGACGGACAAGAAATAGAAGGTCAGGCCGTGCGCCACGAACCCGGGATGATGAGAACCGAGGGTTGCGTGCGTTTTGCCAGGAAATGGGGCTTGAAGGTCTGCACCATCGAGGATCTGGTGGCGCACATCGAGAAGACGGAGGGAAAGTTCGTAGTCAACGGCACTTCCTGAATGCTTCCAGGCATAGGCAGACGAGCAGGACAGCATATATGGCAAGGCGCAGGCATCAGATGCGAAAACCTCGCCAGGTAGGACTCAATTGCCACAGGCCAAGTTACGACGAAAGATCATAACTGGAATGGTGAGACTTACACAAAATCTATTTGGGGCCGCTCACCCCTATGTCGTGTACGGCACGCGTGTATAGACAAAATTATATCCACACCCTTGCATAGATCGAACAACCACTTGACCGAGACATTGATCTTCACAAGTGACACTAAAGGTTTTCCAGCACCCACCATGCCACCACCCACGACATCAAACATGGGTGCGAGACTGCCCGCTGACTAAACCGCTACAAAGGACTCTATTCCCTCTTTCCACAGGAAGCTCAGAGGCGGTCAAGATTTCACTTCTCTACTGTTGCATTGGGGGCAGCTTGGCGTTGCTCATGCCAATGACCAAGATTTGAGTGCCATGAGCAATCATAGTTCCTACCGGGGATAAAATCTCAGTGGGAACGGTTACAAGCAATGTTGGAAGGATGGCTCCGAATGCCGTGGCGTCAGGGATACAAATACTGAGGATTTCCTATCAGAGTGTCGTTATTTATAACCCCACTGCCGTTGCTCTCAATGACCAAACAGCAGGTTGGGGAATGTTCCCGATATGTGTTTCAATGCATGCTGTGGACCAAGTCATTATTCTTCCAGTTGATCCTGGGATCGTGGCAATTACGTTGCCCCTTTTCCGAGCGACCAGAAGGCACTTGCCGGCAGAGTTGGCATTGATCTAACTGCAGCGGCTGGTACCAAACTGGAGCACTTGATGGTCGAGCAGGAAAATAAGGGATCGTCGAAAGCTCCTTGTATGATTGATACGCGTTGAGCTTTTTTGTGGAGTTCATACAAAGCCACAGCGTGTGGTGTGCCTCTACAAGGCTCGTAGGATCCGGTGTCGCCATCTATGGCCCAATATCATGCGTTGTAGGCAGGCACGAAATGTTGCCAAGTATTTTGGCAAGAGCACTGGAGACTGGTGAGGTATGGCACAAGCTTGGATGAGTGTGCCTTCTTCGGTCTTCTGCATTCAGATGAAGTAGTTGCTGAGGACAGGCAGGTGCAATGGACTAGATCAATTCATGGGATTTGCGTTGCAGCCCACACGTTCTTTCTCAAACCTCCACCTCCGCGTGCCTGGACTCAAACTGACTATTCTGACATAGAGACACCATCCAGCTTCCCTACCACCATCTCATCAAGTTTCCTTTTCTTCTTCTTCTTCTTTTTTCTTCTTTTTTCTTCTTCTTCTTTTTTGTAATTGCATCTCCCAACCCATGAGTCAAATGCCTGACAAGAACAACCCTGGGCTGCAGCGTAAGCCACGGCTGAAGATGCCTCCAGGTAACGACTTCCAACATGAGTCTCCATCTCAAGTCACAAAACCACTGTCACAGCTAGGGCCTGGTTCATTCCTACCACCTGCAATGCGGCAGGTCTTCCGAGGATCTGTTCGTGGCCGTGGCGTTGCGACTCCTGCAAACATGCACAGCCGTTTTCCAATTTCAATCGAACGCTTGCCTCAATCATTGTTAGAAAAGAGGCAGCCTCATAATGTCCCCCAAACACCTGCATCAAATCTTCCGGCCGGTATCTCACGAGCGAGACAGACGTGGTTTCCTAGTCTGAACCCAAATGACGGCACTCATCACCAAGGTCAATCAGGTCGGCAAGCCACTCAATTCCCCAGCCTGCAGTCCCAACCACATTGGCATTCGCAACAAAGTCGGCAGCACAATCCTCAGCACAGCCATCAAGTTCCACATGGTGTTCAAATAGATGATCGATATTATATCGACCAAGACGAAAGGTCATATGGTCAGGGCTATGTTTACCAGATAGATGACAGGTCGTATATGTCACCATATTTTCAGCAGCCACCGGAGCTTAGAGAACAGTTTTCGCTATATCCTGAACAGCAAACGCCAGAGGGTTCTGTACCTCAATCGGACAATTACGTTCAATCTCAACCGAACATTTCAGATGCTGGGACACAGCTGAAGCCTGCGCAACTCGACGTCGAGAAATTGGTGCCCCGTCGACCAGTCTTATTTCCCGATACAAGGAGAAAGATGCAGCTAGAAGCACAAGAAGCAAAAAAGAAAGGTATCGAGAGCCCGATTGTCCGCCGCGTTGACCGTCCGGTACGGAAAGATCCAGCGGATCTCGAGCATATCTCCACATCGGAAGATAAGAATGATGAAGAAAAGAAAGATGACGACGTAGCGAGCGAGGCGAACCCTTGTAAAACAAACGGCAACCCAAAAAGAAAGCGAAATGCTGCAGCAAAGGTGAATAGCAAACCGCCAAAGAAGCATGCCAAGTCTACAACTATTGATAGATCTATTGCTAGTATGGGAAGGATTGCTATCACGAAAGCAGACGATCTAGCATGGAAACTTGACTTTGCCCAGGAATTCGCTTCTGTTAAGGTATCAGATTACGTCAAACAACCGACTAGTGCTCCTTACCCTGCTGAGTTAGGAGATGAGATAGAGAAGTTACTTGATTCTGTGATGCGAGCGGGTGATGCGCAATCCATTACACAGCTGCAGGTTGATGTATTTCTGAAGATGGTCTGTCATGATGATCAACTCTGGACGCAAGTAGAGCAGATGATGGATGGGTATGAAAGAACGGATGAGTGAGTATATATGCCAGGTTAATGTCGGATTTCAAGGGTTTGGGAAAAGTTAAAGAGTAGATGGTAAGATGCGTCACTCGTTCACAAAGTAGTCAAGGGGCGTGGAATACAGGTGAAGTCATTGTTGGCATATGGATGGTGAGGTTGGTAATAATGACCTGAGCTGACTTGCGATATGGTTCCAAACGTTGGGACGTTGGAACGTATGGGAAGAAAGTCTACAATTCATCAATCTATGGTCATGATCCGCTTACGCACTCGCGTAATCTTGCCTTAACAACTACTTTAAAACCACTGGATAGTCTTCGAATGTGACTCATCAACATCCCTCCCATGCTTGCTCGTCTTCCAATTGCCCTTCAGTATCTCTGATCCCGTAATATCACCCTCCGCATTAATTGTAAGGCTACCCAGTGGTTTACCATCTTTGTCACTCAGATCAGTGCTAGCACCCTCTTTGGCATGATACAGCGCGACTTCAACGTCTGAAGCATAATCATACACGATGCCTCTAATGCCTGGCTTACCAAGAACAAGCACAGAGTTCTCTCTCACATACAGAGGCAGACTACCAAACCCGTGCTTCTCCTTGAACCAGCCCGGTCCATCGCGAGTTTTATTGGTGAAGAAGCATGTCCACTTACCCTTGGGCAGGTAGAATTCGACCTCTCCAGACTCGTCAAAGATGGGCGCCGCCAAGATATTGTCACCCACCATGAATTGGCGGTCGAGGTACCACGAAGTCGGGTCCTCTGGGAACTCGAGACACATCGCGCGGAGCGACAGGGGAATGCCCTGCTCGATCGCCTTGGCTGCCTGCGCGTAGAGGTATGGCATCAGACGCGTCTTCAAGGCCGTCCACTTCGCCAGCGTGCGCGAGCTCCCCTCCTCGCTCTTGTCGTCGTTGTCGATGGTCCACGGCACGCGGTACGAGTTGCTGCCGTGCAGACGACTGTGGGAGCACAAGAGGCCGAAGGCGACCCAGCGCTTGTAGATCCACGGTGGCGGGTAGCCCTCGAAGCCGCCAATGTCGACCGACCAGAACGCGAAGCCCGAGAGGCCGAGCGATAGACCCCCGCGGACGGACTCGCCCATGGCCTCGGGCGTGGACTCGCAGTCGCCGCCCCACTGCAGAGGGAACCGCTGCGTGCCAGCGCAGGCGGACCGGGCAAAGAGCACAGCTTGGTCCTCGCCGTAACGGGCCTGCAGCGCCTCGTAGACGACCTTGTTGTAGATGAACGAGTAGTAGTTGTGCATCTTGTGGGGGTCAACCGACTTGTCGTGCCACTCCACGTCCAAGGTTGGCACACGCTCGCCGAAGTCCGTCTTGATTGCATCGACTCCCTTGTCGAAGAGGCTATTCAGGCATTCCACGTACCACTTTGCCGCGGCGGGGTTTGTGAAGTCGACGAGGGCCATGCCAGCTTGCCAGAGGTCCCACTGCCAAATATCGCCATTCTTCCTCTTGAGGAGATAGCCGTTCTTTGCGGCCGTCTCGAAAGCCGCCCCGTTCTGCGCGATATAGGGGTTGATCCAGACACAGACCTTGTTTGCCAGACCATTTTCCTTCAGACGAGAGATCTGAGCCTTGGGATCAGGGAATCGCTCAGAGTCGAAGACGAAATCTGTCCATTTGAAAGCCTTCATCCAGAAACAGTCGTAGTGGAAGACATCGACCTGTGTATCGCGCTCCTTCATGCCCTCGAGGAACGATGTCACCGTCTTCTCGTCGTAGTTCGTCGTGAAGCTGGTGCTGAGCCATAAGCCGAAGCTCCAGCTGGGCACCTTCCCAGGCTGGCCGGTGAGTATAGAGTAGCGCTGCAGGACCTCCTTGGGCGTCGGGCCGTAGATGATGTACCACTTCAATCTCTGTCCCTCGACGCTGGTCTGGACGCGGTTGGTCCGCTCGCTGCCGATCTCGAGCTCGACCTTGCCGGGGTTGTCGATGAAGACTCCGTAGCCTTTTGAGCTCAGCCAGAACGACACGTTCTTGTAGGCTTGATCGCTGGATGTGCCTCCGTCTGCGTTCCAGAGTGACACGGTCTGGCCGACTTTGTTGAATGCCCCGAAACGTTCGCCCAGGCCGTGGACGGACTCGCCGACACCCAGCGATGTCTGTGTGAAGATGTAGTGCTTGAAGTCCCGCATGTCGCCCGTCTGTAAGGGGTTGCTGCTCGCTGGGCTATACGCCAGCCCCACACTCCGGCTCTGTAGTGATGTGAGTTGTTTGGAGCCATCTTTGCTGTGGAACTTGATGTCGAATGTGTGTTCGTCCCCGCTGATGGTAGCAGACAGCGATCCGGAGTTCAGGACTGTGCCTTTGTCAGACTTCGAGATATCCGCTTCAACTTTGGGCCTGCCGCCAGGATATAAGTCGAAGTCAGGCCCACGTCTCGCGGCGCCGTCCCAGTGGGTTGTTTCGACTGAAATGACTCCGTCAAAAGCTGCCTCGATATCCTGATATATGGTCTCAGTATATGACCACTAAAGAAGGGATTCGTTAGATGGCCCACTTACAACTGTTAGGGTGCTCCGATTCAGCGTATCTCCACGAGAGAATATTTTCCTCGTTGGACAAAGCAAGCTCAGCCCATTCTCTCTCGGTGTGATTTCATACACTTCTTCTGCATACTCGGCTTGTATGCCCTCGGCGGGCAGCCACATACCATCACGAAACTTCATTATCACGGTCTGCTCACTGGAATTGTATTGTATTGGGTTTATTGTTTTGTATCAATTCAGTTGAGGAAAGACAAACTCAATGGTCGACCGATTATAGAAAAGTAGACTCTCTCACCCCAAAAACCTCACGATAGCTGCCCCTCATTGAATATCAAGGGTCCTACCTCCCCCAGTCAGGATCCTCCAGGATAGCGGGACACTGCACGTCGGAATCCGGCCCGCAAAGGCGAGAGAGGGGCAACAGGACAACTCGTCCTCATGATCTCAGATGATCTCCGACATTTGGTCCACTTAGGCCTCGAAGTACGAGCACGCATCGGGATATGCATTGCAGTAGCTGTGCAAATTATGGGGAACGAGTAACGGCGATGGAGGAGGTTCATTGGAAGCGCAACGGAGGGTAAATGCTGGGCACGGTCGGTAATCGGAGAAATCGCAGCCGTAATGAAGTCTGCACATCGCCATCATGACCGTTGCCAGTATTCCACCAATCGGGTTCACTGCAGAGCTTCTCCACGTTTTCCCCAACCTCGCTTCTCCAGGTATGCCGTCGCCTCTCCAACTTTCTCCTCACCGTCAATGGGAAAAATCAACTGCCTTGACAGAATAAATTGCCCGTCGGTTATGAGAACGTTGACTAGAGGATATCCGGGCCTGTCTCCCCTACCATGACTACGTAAACTGGCCCAGCAATCTGTACCCTCGCATGCAGGAAAGATCGAACGAATCTAAGCGATGCTGGCATCGCTAATACTTCGCAGAAATGTGCAATTTCAAGGTACAGGTAGTCTTGGTGCATGATAGATGCGGAGTAAAGCCTCGCTTCCGGAACTGACGTTGTATCTGGGGGGCACTATCCAGATGTCCAGGGTTGTGATCGACGACGTATTTGATGCACTGCATCCCCTCACGAGTGACACGGAAGCTATGGACTGTGACTCTAGGTAGCTCCGCAAAAGTCCGTTCCATCTCACAGTAAAATTGTGTGAAGATGCTGCGCTCATTGTCCTTTTCCATCTCGCTGTTCCTGGCGCAGGCGTATGCCCAGTACAGCACTGGCAATGGCACGTCTAGCAACGGGACTCAGCCTCTGTACAAGGACGCAAGTGCCTCGATCGACGACAGAGTCGAAGACCTCCTGTCTCGCATGACCATCGAGGAGAAGACCTCCCAATTGGTTCAAGGCGACATCCGCAACTGGCTCAACATCACCGACGGAAGCTTCAACGAGACGGGTCTGGAATGGAGCACGCAATACCGTGGTGGCTCCTACTATGTAGGAGTGCCCATCTCCTGGGATTTGCTTAGCGACAACATCAAGATCGGCCAGGATTATTCGACATATAACACTAGGCTCGGAATTCCTCCTTGGGTACAGAGCGAGGCCATCCACGGGTTCCTGATCCCCAACGCAACGATCTTCAACTCGCCCATCGCCTACGCCTGCTCGTTCAACCCCGAACTAGTGGAAAAGATGGCGGGCGCCATCGCACAAGAGGCTTTGACACTGGGAGTGAACCAGCTCTTTGCTCCGTTGGCCGATCTTGCACGCGAGCTGCGTTTTGGCCGAGTCGAAGAGACCTTTGGAGAGGACCCTCATCTGTCAGTTGGCCTTCGCTGACCTCCCAGAGTGACGAGACTAATTTGGGTGTAGAACGGGAGAGATTGCTTACTCGTACGTCAAGGGACTCCAGGCCGGAGGAGTTGCAGCTATGGTCAAGCACTTCGTATGTTCCAAGTACCCAATCTAAAAGAAGCAACCGTACTGATGAGACAAGGCTGCGTTTGCGACACCCGAACAGGGTATCAACACCGGACCCGTGCACGGTGGAAAGCGCGAGCTTCTTACCACCTACCTACCCTCGTTTAAGCGAGCAATCATCGATGCCGAGGCGTTGTCGATTATGAGTGCTTACCACTCTTACGATGGAGTACCCGCTGTTGCCGATAAGTACATACTCACGGATATCCTCAGAGATTCATGGGGCTATAAATACTTTGTAAGTTTTGGTGTCCGCAGTAATGCGCTATTACTGACCGGTTGTGTTAGGTTATGAGTGATGCCGGTGGTACTGATCGTCTTTGCAACGCATTCTTCATGTGCGAGAGCAGCCCAATTGACTCCGAAGCCGTTGTGAACTACGTAAGTCTTCCCGAACTTGCTTCTTTAAGCCGATAAAATATTGACCGTCGGCTTAGGCACTGCCCGCTGGCAACGATGTTGAGATGGGTGGTGGCTCCTGGAACTTCGAGAAGATTCCTGAGATGGTTGCGTCTGGCAAGCTCTCTGTCGACATTGTCGATGAGGCCGTTCGAAGAACACTCCGTGCAAAGTTCAAGATTGGCCTCTTCGAGAGACCCTACGCGGGTGTTTCGGCCGATGAGCAGTCCAAGTACATCAACACGCCCGAGAGCGTTGCCCTCGCTCGTCAACTCGATGCCGAGTCTATCGTTCTCCTCGAGAACCACGAGTCTGTCCTTCCACTGAGTAAGGAAGCCAACATTGCTGTGATCGGACCTATGGGACACGGCTACATGAACGTAAGGAATATCCCCAGATGATGGAACATCAAATATTGACCAGGTGTGATAGTATGGTGATTACGTGCCCTACCAGGCCTCCCTCAGGGGTGTTACACCTTACGATGGTATCAAGGCGGCGAGCTCGGGAACCGTTACTTTCACCCAGGGGTGTGTGCGCTGGTCTCCCGACGAGTCTGGCTTCGATGAAGCGGTTGCTGCCGCGGAGGCAGCAGACGTGGCGGTCGTCGTTGTTGGCACGTAAGTAAACGATGCTTGATGAAAACGCGATTTTTCTTTTATGATGTGAATTGACACGGTCTTTTACAGTTGGTCACGAGACCAGAATGAGCTCTGGGCCGGCCTCAACGCCACCACTGGTGAGCACATTGACGTGAACGACTTGCACCTTGTTGGTGCCATGCCCGGGCTCGTCAAGGCCATCATAGACACCGGGAAGCCAACTGTTGTCGTCTTCAGCTCTGGAAAGCCTGTGACCGAGCCGTGGATCAGCGAAGAGGCCGCCGCCTTGGTGCAGCAGTTCTATCCCTCGGAGCAAGGAGGCAACGCGCTTGCCGACGTGCTCTTCGGAGACCACAACCCTTCGGGAAAGCTCTCGGTTGGTTTCCCTGTCGACATTGGTAACGCCCCTGTGTTCTATGACTACCTGAACTCTGGTCGCGCCTGGCCCAACCCCGGTGAAGTTTACGCCAACGGAACCATGAAATTCGGAAGCAACTATGTCCTGTCGACGCCCATCCCGCTCTATGAAGTATGTTTCCTACTCTCATGATACTCACATCCTCTTTCCAATCACTGACATGACATGCAGTTTGGATATGGTCTCTCCTACAGCACTTTCGACTACTCTGATGTTACACTGTCGCAATCTACTGCCTCTGCAAGCGACACCGTTACCGTCTCTGTAGACGTAACGAACAACTCGACACTGGATGGCACCGAGGTCGTGCAGCTGTATGTCAAGGACTTGATTGCCTCGGTTGTGGTGCCCAACATCCAGCTCAAGGGCTTCGCCAAGGTTGCCATCGCCGCCGGTGCCACCGAGACCGTCTCCTTCGAACTCAAGGTTGCAGACCTTGGAGTCTGGAACCTGACCTACGACTATGTGGTCGAGCCAGGTAACTTCACGGTGTTTGCGGGAAGCTCGAGCGCCGACTTGAGGTCTAACACTACTCTCACTGTTGCTTAGATATCTTCGTGCTTGGGGAAAATAGACAATATTATAAGCAATAACCTAGTTCATAACCCCTAATTAAGCAAAGTTACCTGTTGTTGATTATAGCTCACCATTAATCAAGGTCACCGTGAAGCGTTGATTAGCTTGCTGAGTATTGCCATTCCCGTCCCCCAACTGCCCAAATAAGACCAAGCGCCACGTATCAAGTCAATTTGAAACTGTTGCTCGTGCCCGTAAACGCAGTGATTCCTCCTCCGATCAGATTCTTCCAGTCTCCATAATATCTGATACGATAGGTACCTGGATCCGCAGTAGACTCAGTCTCCCAGCTGATAGTCACATCGCTATAGCCAAGGATGAAGTTCGTACGGTTCCAAGTATAGACCAACGACCAGTCGCTATCATCTCTCACCTGGTTCCAGGTAGAGCCGTCCTGCTTTTCGACTGCGGCAAAAGTGCCTTCGAGACGGAGATTGTTGCGAGGATTCGCACCGACGAAGGTGGCGTTGACGACTGCACCGCGAGCATATGTGGAGCTTGGCTGAACTGTCACGTTACCGAAGGAAAATCCAATAGGGGCTGAATCCTGAACAACTCCCGTGATAAAGCTCAAAGAGTTGTCACGATTGTCAGGAGGTGAAGGTCCGGCAGGCGGAGAGCCGGTAGCGGTTGGGGCTAAGTACCGGATGTTGCCAGCGGTCAAGTTGATGTAAGCATTCAATTCGAACGGGCCGTATAAAGTTGAGGCTCCTTCATATCTTTGAATGCCGTACTCTTCGGTCGTGGCCACGTAGTGGGCGTATGTATTCGCGGGACCGCCTAGAACAACGACCGGTTCCGTATCGGTGATGATGCTGGCGGCAGCATTCTTGACAGCGTTGCGCCAGCGGCGGCCTGCCATCGTGGTCGCCTCACTAGGGCTCACGATGATGACAAATTGTCCGACACGCAGCAGCTGCACATCGACTATGTTCGGACTCCAAGCGTAGGGTGTATCGAGCTCACCAACGTCGAGAAGAACTGGTTTGGCACCCTGGCATGCCTTTTGGGCTGCCGAAGGTTCCCTCAACAGGCCACTGACAATTGCCCAAATCGGGTTTGCGCTTGGAGTTCCCGAATCTCCCTGCGTGAAATCAAACGCTCCCGGCCAGTCTGAAGTTCCAGCAGCGAATGAGTAACCCAGAGCGGCAGGGCAGCTCTGGACAACTGTACCGTTGTCCAATGGAAACTTATAGTAGGACATGTTTTGGTAGAAATGGAACGACTTGACAGAAGTGCCTACAACGGGTGTACCTGAGGAGCTAAAAGAGTCCTGTATCCGCATCAGCTACTATGTCTTGGACTATGGCACAGATATCTTACGTAGGCCGACTTGGCTCCAGCATATTGACGTCGCCCCATTTCGTAGCAACTTGAAACTCCGAGATCTAGTTTGGCGAATAGGGGGCCACGGCCGTGGCAAGACTGCGATTTTCCGTCTGCGCACGTACTATTTTCGTAACTACATTGCTGACCAGATCCATCATCGCACCTAAGCATATTAGCTTGAGTATGAATAAGAGAGAATTGTCAGCTTACCAGGCGCCTAGCACGTTCGGCGTGGTGTCACCAACATTAGATTGCGAGAAGCCTGCCACGAAGTCATCTGCGGCACTAGCATCATTTGCTATGTTCTTTTCAAACATGACGGCCGCGACGCCCTTGTTATCTCCAGAAACATGCGTATTGTTGCCGAGCATAGATGTACCATGGACAGGAAACCACGTAAGAATACCGATGTTCTTGCTATCTGAAGCACGCTGGAACTTCAAGACCGTCATTGTCTTGTCGACATCATCTGAGTATTGAGCTCTCTCGGACGCAGGGTTGGCCATGTAGGCATACAAGCTACGGCTCAAGTTTCCGTCGTCTATGTCCACGGTTCCTGAAAGACATTAATCATGGCGTATCCCTGTATAGGATGGAGCAACTTACCAAAATCAAGGTAGCCCTATCAAATAAAATTAGTGACTGGCTTTGGACTATGGATTGCTTGTCATGCTCACCTCTCCAAGCGACTCGTGTGCGCGCTTGATAGATAGTACCGTTCCATCAACAATAGCCTGATAGCTTTGCTTATCAAAGCCCAAGCTGGTGATCTGAGGCAATAAATAGTTGAACCAGGCGCCCGGACCAGAATGTGAATGGGTTCCTATCAACGCCACGTTCGACTGACCATAGACGGAGTATTCAGAGCCAAGAGCAGCAACGCCCTCCAAGACACCAAAACGGACGGCCGTATCGCCACCTTGTGTATCTAAGATCACATAGACAAAACGGTCGGCAGGATTGTTCACATCGCCAACAATAAAAGCTCTGGAGTAGATTCGCTGACGGATTCCGGTGCCTGTCTGAGCCGTGTCGGCATAGCCAGCGAAATTGATCTCAACTGCGGGCCCAGTGATATCGGCCTTTCCAACACCTAGTAGGTACTTGTCACCTGCTCCTGTAGCACGCGGCTTGGTGACTAAAGGAGTTTCGTTGTGCCTAGCACTGCGTATATCGAAGACATTACGCTTTGCCGGGCCGTTTAGGTTGGATGCAACAAACAGAGCCAAAATGAATAGTGAGACAGCTGATACTGCTGCAAACAACGACCTCCGAGGTGCTCTAGGAGCATTCATCTCAGAGTATCGTGACACCATGTTTTCCGAAAAATCCCAAGCCTCGTTGACTGAAACAGTTGTAACACAAACAGAGTACCCTCAAGTAAGGTCAACAGAGGGCGCCAAGTCCAGCTTTTATTCAAGCTACTCCGGTCAGTGAATCACGCTCGATGCTCATAGTCGTTTAGTCCAGCTGTACTGTTCCCCTCTTATCAATGCAACCTTGAAAATGGGTTCCATGATTTAAGTTCTCGAGGTCCCATAACTTGCTCCAAACCATCCGTATTCGAATCACACGCCGTGCCTCGCTTGTACAACCTGCGCATTTTCATAGGGCCAAGCAGCCATGCGCAGGTTTGTTGCGCAGGAACCAGGCTCCGTGTGAGGTCTCAACGTCCCAAAACAGGTCATTGGGTACAACGTGCCTGCCATCATGGCAGAGCTGCAATTGTAGCGATACCACACGCGCACAGAACCAGTGTGGCATCACATGCGCCCCTGAACCGATAGCAATAACAAGGGTTGGGGGACATGCGATTGGCTCGAAGGTTACATTTTCCGCGGTGAGCTATGTCATCGCGGATAGGCAGTGTGTTCCTTCCATCGCCAAAGGAGGATGCGGGGGTTTAGATCTCAATAGTCATTTGCCCAATGTCTCTGACCGCCAGCTTCCCCAATCTCAAGTCAGCGAATCAAAACCTCGTCTCGAGCAAGACGTCTTGGCTGTGTACAACACATCTTTCGCCGATCATTGGGCAGCCGCAACTCAACAACAGATATACCTGACGGGAGCGTCAACCCACATCATTTCCCATGGACTTGGTGGGCAGCGGGAACATAGATTTCTGTTATCGAGGAACAGAAAAGCCTTGTCAGCAGCTATATCAGCTATCATATTCATTTCAAGGTAGTTATTGCTTGGCGACTCAGGTGAGGGCATGCAGGTGACGGATAGGTATCGTCCAGGCTGGCGTCTCATGCGTGATAGGCGGACCATTTACCTATATGGAGTATCGATAGCGCTGCAGAAAACCCCAATCATTCTCGGCCGACACATGTGGACAAGTCCTCGACAAGTCCATGGATCCACAACTCCATATTCCTTCGCTTACGACCGGGGTACATGATCGCTCCCGCGCGCACTTTAACCTTTTGGCAACGTCAATGACACTTTGAGCGGAGCAAAGTTTGTTTTCGTCGTCTGTTTCTGTCGAAGCGCTATTTTGCACGTGGAAAGACGGTAGACGTGTCGCCGTTCACCACATATCGCAGTAGACACCACCCCTCTTTTAGCCGCGTATCTTAGAAAATTACTCGATCCCAGAATCCCGGCCAGATTCAAAATGGAAGGAGCGATAGCATCGAGATATGATTTTCGACCATTCGAAAAATGATCACTTTCTTGCATTATATGGCTTGACACAAATCGAAATAAACTTACAACATTCGCACGTCAATCAGCATTGGCATTATGTGCTGGTTAAAGGATGGGCCTGTACTGAAAACATATTGTAGGAGCCCAGCGCTCAAGTGAGCATCGAGATGTGTTGCAGGGCCGTTGCGTGGAAAGCTAACGTAGGTTCAACCCCGGTATATTTCTATGGCGCCGGTAAGCCTAGGCGCTGAACTTGTTGACTTATCAGATGTCGAATCGAATCTTGTCCCGCGCGATGACGATCGCAGAAATTAGCTTCCGACCGTTGTTCACTACTGTGATCAACGGATACAGCAGTAGATCAACCAACCGACCGGCCTGGGGAGCGAGATCTGTAAAGATATCGGTCTCGACAGCCATGATAGTCCATCTGCTCGTACAGCCTGTTAATATTATTAGTGTTGAGTATATAGTCTTTATACATATTTTTTTCCAGGCATTGGAAACAGGGTCACATGTAAAGTTAACCAAGTTAATAAATAACACTACAGTATATAAAGAGAGGCGAGTAACCTGTTCAACTTACCAGATATGTATGGTGATATTTGCTTCGGCAACGTTCAATCAGATATAGAGCTAGTGCGTCTGTGCCCAAACCTCACAAGCCGAGAGTCGGAAATAAGGCCTAAGACCCAGAGACTGTTAGCACGAATAGGTTTTCAGTATCCAAGAGATTCTCAGATTGCCCGGTAGTCTTAGATATGCGGCCGGCTCGGTGTCCGAATCAGACCGTCTACGACTGAAAGTGTTGGCGCGATGCGGCGTTGCTAAGAATGAACTACTGATCATAATTGCTGGTCGGTTTTGGTAAACCATATTGGTAGGTAAATAGTCTCAATGATCCACTGTGGAATGATCATACACGGCATTCAGACAACATAATCTGTTATACTCAATCAGAAATAGTTGACTTTAATTACATTCTGAAATAAAATCCTCAGAGGTTTTTCTCCTTATCATCGTGGCTAACACTACCGTTTTCAAGCTCCGTCGGACCATGAGGCAGACGAATGTAGTTGCTGTCCCCCATGGCCCAGAACGTTACACTCTACAGCACTATTATGAGCTGTGAGACGATGTCGATGATAACGACGGCGATATCGGGGATGATGTGTGTGACAATGGTGAGGAGGTATAGTCTTACAACGCTGCATGAATTTCAAATATCGAGCTTAATACGGCCTATGCATACTGACACGGGTTCTTTAGTCTAATCCTACTGATCTCACTACCAAGTGCCAGTTACAGCAGTGATGCTTTAATGACGGGAAGCGTCTAGCTCGTATGGGCCTTCTAGACTCTGGATGAGGACATCTGATGGATGTTTGATCAGGTGTACACTAACTACCGTGTTAGCATCTTATACGAATTGTAACGATGGTGGAACTATGGAGTTATGATTGCATACTCAAAATACTGGACCCGGCGACTGCTCCGCGAACTGCTATAAGTGAAATCTCTGAAGTATTTTCTATTCCTCCCACAAGACTCGTTCAGTGGTACATCAAGCTTTTGTAAGCATGGCCACATTTTTGCACGAATAACACTAAGAATTGCTGTTGCCTTGCAATTTCTTGATGTGATCGTAGTCTCCGATACGAATTCTGTAACAAGCTAATAAGACCATGTTCCGGTCTCCCACTCCTTTTCCCGGTTTACGAGCAGACTACGAAGCGTCCAAGCGTCGCGCAGAATCCAACGATCTCTTCCTCTGGTTGAAATCAATTAAGAAATGGTGTATTGCCAGTGACGGCACCCAATCTTACAAAAGAACCCCCCCCCCCCCCCCCCCCCCCCCCCCCCCCCCCCCCCCCCCCCCCATCGCATACGTATCATGTCCCTGTTCTGGATTAGCGAAGCGATGACACACAATAACTAATTTATGACCGGACACACTTATAAGCCATGCTCGCCTCTGTCTGCCATCCCATATAGTTGATTACTGTTTCACCATATACGCCTGCCGAATCTCATAGTGGGCGACCTCCGGAGAAAGGCAGATATAGGGCATCCGAGATATCAAAGAACCTTTGGATCATTGTATGGTGTGAAAGATACGATTATTAAATGGAGGTACTCGGGAAAACATGTGCAACGCGCTAATTGAGATGCAAGGGCACGCGATTCATGATTGTCCACAACACAGATCTAGGACTTGAGGATAGGCAAGTCACGTTTAAACATCCAAGGTTTGTCGGACTAATGTGTAAGCGTTGCATTCAGCCATAAACTCATAGTCGTAGCACCATGATAGCAAAGCCAACATAGATGTTCGCAAGACAGACGCTTCTAAAATTATGACGAATAATACGCCAGTACAATAATAGTACATTTTTAACTCATCGCTTATGGATAATCAAGTCACACTCTACTACACTAAGCTTGATATATGACCAACGACCCCAATGTCGAAAGATCAACACAGTGTTTTACAATACTAACTCCTACAAATCAATCAATGCCTTAAGCTAAGATTGCTCCCTATGGAAAAACGAACGGTTCTTGTCAATGCCAAACTAGTAATTCGCGACAAAGGAAAAAAAAAAATCCAACCACAATTTGATATCTATGCCCCAACACTCGCGAAATGCTGTTGCTGTTGCTGCTCCGGTCGTGGAGTCAGCCGCATCGAAAGATTCGGTACTCCAACTCGGTCGGCCATGCGATCCGGTACCAGGTCAGGAGACACGGACCTCACAGGATACTCGTTCGCTGGGGACTTGGGCCGCAAGAACCGTGAAGTGGTAGGCTGGGGTGCAAGTATGGTGGGCGACGAGATAATGGGTGAAGTCGGGGAGGGAGGAGATGGTGGTGCTCGGATGTCCACAATGGGCTTCGGAATGGATGTAGGACCTGTGCGAATAGTAGACGGTAAGATCTGCTCGAAGCCTTGCTGCGCTGCGACTTGCTCGATGCTCTTGAAGTACTGCGGGAATTATTAGTGATACGGCTCTGGCGCGTGCACGTATCTGCAAACTCACCTTGACAGTCTTGACCTGCAACTCTAGCGTGGCGTCCTCATCGCAGACGATCATGGGATGAGGATGGAGCTGGAGACTCGACAGTGTCCACATGTGGTTTACACCCTGCTCAATACACTTCTGAAGCGCCAGTGACTTGCGAGAACCCAATATAATGACAACGACCTCACGAGCTTCAAGCACGGTCTGCACACCAACTGTCAGGGCCATCTTGGGGACCTTATCCAGGTCATTGTCAAAGAAGCGCGAGTTGGCAATGATTGTGTCATACGCGAGAGTCTTGACACGAGTTCTGGACGCCAGGCTCGAGCCGGGCTCATTGAAAGCAATGTGGCCGTCCTCACCGATGCCGCCCAGGAACAAGTCAATACCGCCAGCGCGCTTGATCTTAGCCTCGTACTCCACGCACTCGGCTTCAGGATTGGGCGCGTTGCCGTTCAGGATGTTAACGTTGTTGGGCTTGACGTTGACATGTGAGAAAAAGTTCTTCCACATGAAGGAGTGGTACGATTCGGGATGGTCTCGAGGGATCCCGATATATTCATCCTGCGGTTATCTAATTAGATCGTAGTACAAAATGTCTTGATATATTTTCACGGACCATGTTAAAAGTGACCACATTTTCAAATGATATCTAATGTAAGCTATGTTAGCTTTGTACATGAGAAGAAATATGTTCTTGGAAAGCTAACCTCTCCCGCCTTATACTTCTTGACCAAAATCCTGTACACACCCAATGGACTAGAGCCTGTGGGTAGACCCAGAACAAAGGGATGAGCTGGAGTTGGGTTGAAATGCTTGATCCTTTGTATAATATAGTTAGCTACATAAGAGCTAGCGGCTTCCGAGTCGTCTCGGATAATGAGTCTCATCGTGGAGTTCTACTGGTGCAGTGATCAAGTATAGTCTGCTAGTTGTTCGCTAGGTCGTATTGCTCAGATTAATTCGCAATATACGAGAAAGAAGTCGGGTTGGAAACTTGCTGCAAGCTAGGTTAAGAGTTCTGGCAACCATGGCGAAATCACTGACGTATCACCGGCATCGCATCTTCGTCATAGGAAGGTGGCACAGGGGCCAGGGATAACAGCAACCCTCAAGGCAGCATGAATAAGATGAAGCGAGAGGGAGCCCGATAAGATGGAACGTTTGACCTGTTCTCCACCACATCTAGGTGAGATCACACACGCAATCGCACAAGTACGGCGGGACTAAACGTTGTACTGTGTAGTTCCCTCCGCTCCACACTCCAAGTGTGTCAAGAGCATGTGGCATATCCGATATCCTGGTTGGCTCGTTGGGGCTCTCCTCCAAAAGGCTAGAGGAGCCAAACGCTCATGCGCGCCTCATCGATCAGATGGCGCTAAATTCCGATGGGTAATATGTCATTGCCAAGCCCGGGTCATCTCTTGACACCGAATCGCCATTGCGTCCGATGCGTACTTGCTTGACAAAAGTAAACCCTGTTGCTGTCAAATTTGTGTCGGAGGCTAGTTACAGCGGATCCTGCGTACTGGTAACGTTGGTTGTTGATATGGATCAAGATAGTGGGGCATAGACCTCGAGCCGCGGTATGTGTGCTCGGAAAATCAGGCCGCATCCAGCTGTAAAGCTTTCGGTACAGTTATATTCGCGACGGACAGTTATATGGAGTATGGGATATGTTTGTATTGTCGCCCGTGAAGTTGTTGGCCCACGGCAAGCTTATTATCTTTTCCACGCGACTACGTACAGAGTGCATGTCAACGCTTATCAGGAGTTTACTGTAAGCTCACTAGGTTAGGTTAACCGTAGAAAAGAGTCAAGGGTCCGTGGCGTAGCCTGTGGCTTGAACAATGATCTTCCCTTTTGGTATCGCGCCTTTGCAAGAATGGTTCTAGCCTTCACTACACTTTCGTTCGAGACACAACGTTACGTTACATCACCTACCTCCAGTACCTACCCAGTGATCATCGCTGCCCATAGTTGGTCGCAAGACAATGGCCTGCCCCTCCTTGGCCAGCCAAACTGGACGCAACGCGGGGCTGCTCTGTACCCATTCTTAATTGTAATCCCATCTCGTGCCGCCCCAACAAATGTTGTGTCACGGACAGTAGGTATTTGCTTCAAAGCCGAAAGCCAGGCGAACCGATACGCCCCATCACCAGGATACTACTGTACAGTTCCAGCTAACCTAGTCGGTCCCACTCTTTAAGGTGGCTTTATTGAGGTTAACGATCTGTTGTATTGGCGGCGGGAACAAAAGAGCTAGTCAGGAGTACTTCGACTAGTCTTCTCGACCCGTGTCAAACCCGGATGCAAACTCTTCTGTGTGGAATTCTACTATTCTTGCGGTTTTTTATTTTTTATCTGTGCTCCTCTGTACTTGTTGCGTCGGTCGTGCGGACTACGAGAGGCATCTCAATTGGGTGGTGAGCAAACTCCGTACGGGTTACATAGATGCCGGCAGGTTTCATTTCTTCCGGTCCAGCCTCTTTGCGCCGCTTATACGAGCCCTGACGCGGCCTCTAGACACCCTTGCCGGTCCTCAACCCCCCGGCTACGTTTCATACGGGTGTGGTAGATATTTGACGAGCGGTATCCCGGATCTGTGCCTCTCTCTTGACTCTCACCTCCGCATGCTGTCTGTCCACATGAGTTGATATCCGTCCTAAGCCCTGCAGTCTTCGTCCCCCATATCATGCAGCCACTCACTTCTGCCATGACGGGGTTGAAGCAAGCACTGCGAGCAGCCTTCCAATCTCTCCTCCGAGGGCGGTCTTTTCTGCAGGCCCTGTTCGCATTTTGGATTAGTCCGGCCAATCTCAAAGAGCAAAGCGTAAAGACGGAGTTGTCACGGCGAACTGTCGAAGATTTCTTGAGAGAGGCGAGGCAGAGGTTGCTGGGCCCGATCGAGGGCGACAGGCTGCAATGTCTCTCAAAAGATCTCAAGCTTCAGTTCCGTGGTCGTCTGCAGCATCACGCCGAATCTATGCTCCCCTCATTCAATCACCTGCTGCCGAGCGGAACGGAAAGGGGTCACTATCTCGCGCTTGATGTGGGTGGCTCGACCCTGCGGGTGGCTTTGGTCGCATTGAGGGGACGTGAGGCGTCCGGAAAAGAGAGCGAAATTATTCGAATGCAATGTTTCAAAATTACCCCGGAAATAAAGAATTTGGAGGGGATGAACTTCTTCGCCTGGATGGCTAAGCGCATCTGCGAGGTCGTGAAGGAGGATACCAGCAGCAGCAGCTCTGGCGAGCCGATCCCCATGGGATTAGCCTGGAGCTTTCCGGTAGAGTATGTTCACCATTCCGAGATAGCCGGCCGAGACCTCTAGTAACCTCTATATAGGCAAACATCTCTAGGAGGGGGTTTGCTGCTGGGAATGGGCAAAGGCTTTCTAGCTACCGTTGGCCTACTCGGTCAAGATCTTGGCAAAATCCTACAATCCGCGTGTAAACAGCAAGGGCTCAACGTGGAGCTCGCTGCCATCGTAAATGATGGCTCAGCAACTCTGCTATCGCAGGCATACGTGCATGAACAGACACGCTTTGGTCTCATATTAGGCACCGGCGTTAATATCGCTGTGCATCTGCCGGTATCTGCATTCCATCGCTCAAAATTTGGCAACCGACCGGACAGTTGGTTCGAGTCGGCCAGTCATGTCATCGTTAATACAGAGTTAGGCATGTATGGCCATGGGGTCTTACCGATCACTCGCTGGGACGAGTCGCTCAATGCTTCCCACCCACGGCCCGAATTTCAACCTCTTGAGCATCTCCTAAGTGGCTACTATCTTGGAGAAATTGTGAGGCTAGCGTTGGTCGAAGCTGTCGAAAGCGCCGGGCTATTGGGTGGTGTTATTCCGCCTTCGCTGGAACAGCCATATTCTCTAGACACAGAAACATTGTCAAGGATAGAATCGTAAGGGCCCGCATCCCAATGTATCAGGCTGAAACGATTTCGTCCAACTAACACCGACCTAGTGATCCCTCTAGTGACTTTCCATCAGCACTCCCCTACTTTGCGGCAACGCATCCATCGGACGTGCCGCCAACAGCCGCAGATCTCTCCGCGATCCGCGAGCTGTCGGGCTACACCCTCCGGCGCTCGTCTGCGCTCCTGGCCGCCAGTGTCTTCGGGCTATGGGAGCTACGACACGAGACCGAGGCCGAATACCTCAGCTCGCAGCCGCCCTCCCCGCTGGCATCGCCCGTGGCCCCTCGCAAGGCGTCCTTCGTCGCCGATGCCAAGGCGGAGACCGCGCTGCCGCAGACAAAGGTAGCGTACAACGGCTCCGTGATCGAGCGGTACCCGGGATATCGCGAGAACTGCCAGGACTATATCAACGCACTCGTGTCGGAAAGCGAGCACTCGGGGCAGATCGAGCTCGTGCCTGCCCTCGAAAGTTCCATACTAGGCGCGGCTGTGGCGCTCGCTTGCGTCAGGGAGCAGAAGCAGGACGTCCTTTCAGCGTAAGGTCAACTCATGTCCGAAAACCAGGAAGAACCTGGCCCCCGGTCTCAACTTTCTATCTCATATGCGCGGACTTGCTCTTGGGATAAGCAGCAACTTGTCGGCTGTTTAGTGAACAGCATGCAGCGACGGACGCATTACATAGCCAGACATATATCAATTGACTAAATAATGGGAATTAGGCAAGGAAATACCTATAATTTAATCACAATCCAGACATCCACGTTGGCATGGAAGTGACCTGCGCTCAAGTCTGCGACGAAAGAAGCGCTTTTGGAGAATACCTAAGGGGATTGTGCTCATCAAGTACCGCATCCATAAAACGCCCAATCGATATCACTCATCATTCGCCTGATGGATGGTGGTTGCTCCAAAACTCCTAGTTTCAGCCATGCACAAATAAATCTCAATAACTTCAACTCACACTGCCAGAAGTTCAAGCAGTCGTTATGTTCCGCTCGTTAAGCTCGGACTATTCAGCCGAGAAATATCTCTTGGCTTTGCTCCTGACTTTTTGCGCCTTGATTTCCTGAGGAACCGCTATGTGGTGTACAATATGAGGTCGATATATTGTATCGACGAGGGGAGTCCTGTAGCCACGTTAGCACTTGGAACTAAATATATATATGCCAAGCCGCTTCTTGCGTTATGTTGACGTACCAGTCATCGACGCTCAGAGGGAAGTATTCGTACAGTTCCTCTGCCTCTTCCGTGGGGCTTGCAAGTCCTCCACCGATACTTGACCTGTTTAGTAGTGGGCTTTGTAGTGAATCTGAGTTGGATCGATCGTGTGGGCTGCGTTCGTCTTCGGAAAGCGAGAGATTGATGGGGATAGATGGGACTGACGCGCTTTTTGGCGGGCCCGAGAGGCTTGAGACCTTGTTTATCGAGGATTCGGAGTTCCATGCTGGAACGGGCGGCCTGTTTGGATTTGGGGATAGTGCCATCCTCTTCTGAGGTTGGTGCTGTTGCTGTTGGGCAGCCTGGTAGCCATTGTTGTAGGGTAGGGACCCACCATTGTTCCAATCATTTGAGAACGAGGATCCCGAAGAACTATATCGATGCAAGCTCGGAGGTGGATCCGTCCGCTCCTGCTTCATCGTAGAGACCTCACTATAGGTCCGCGCTTTTTCGAGATGAGCTGGCTTCTTCTCCCCAGACAGCTGCACATCTTTCCTGCTGTCGAAGTTTCGTGGACTACGGCCACGCACGATGACTGGACCGCTTCGGATTTCCGCAATCTTCATCAAATCACCGCCTGTCTTCATCTTGCCCAGAAGATTGATCTGCACAACGTAGTGTTGCTGGAGTCCCTTGCGGCGGCCGTTGTTCGCTGTCGCTGACTTAAATTGAAGGCGCTTCCAGGACACTGGGAAACTCACGCAATGGCCGTCTACCTCCTGGCCACCGCTGAGATCGAGTGCCACCTTTGGCGGGGCGCCAGCAGTCTTGGTCTCTTGTCCCTCACCGAGGGCAGTATTGCTGCTCTTCCAGGGGATGGAGATGATCTCGGTTAACTTGTTGTCAATCGACTCGGAAGCTGTGATGGAAGCATAGAATTCCACTATGGGTATCGCACGTCCTTGCTCGTTGATTGCCTGTGTGCAATGTCGCGGCAGCGTGACCTGGCCCGAGCATTGCCATAAGTTGCGCCGGTAACAAGTGAGCTCCATGGGTCGCGGCCCGGTGTTCTCATCGCCGAATACATCTTCAGCAACGAAGAACATACCGTGCAGCTCGGCGGTCATGTTGACGTCTGAGTAGGCACCGGTGGCATCATCAAGGGGTGTCGCTTTGAGCAGCGGCGCGGAGAAGCTGAGCAGCTTATCATCAAGCTGCTGGGGCGATGACTCCTCGTCGTGGAAGGATACGGGATCGGGGGCGGCCTCGTAGGGCCTGGAATAGTTGAAGGGGTCCTCGAAGGTGGTTGTGAAAGTATCGAGGTCGTACGACGGCGTGAAAGGGAAGTTGGACAACCCTCCGCTGACATGATCTCTATGGAAGAGGGTCATCAGTACCATGCACCGCAGTTCAATGGCCCAGTCCTCCAGGGCATTGCGCATCGCCTGTTGCTTTATTACAGAAGGAGACAGGCTACGACTTACAATATAGAATCGTCAAAGTTCAATTCCTGGTCGAAACCGCTGATTCCAAGTCCTGGAGGAGCTGCTGCAACTCCTCCACCTCCACCTCCTCCGCCTGTTCCTGTGGCGTTGAACCCGAGGGCATCATTGGGGTCCGGGCCAGACGAGAGCGCCGGCATGTTGTAAGTAGCCATCGCATCGCATCTTAATTGCTCCGCTTCCTGTGTCTCGGCGTCACTTGGTAGAGGCCCGACCGACAGCTATGCTAGACCCCTCATGCGCAGTCCTGACTGCGCGCAAAGCACAGATGCTGGGGCTTCCGATATAGCTGCGGCAAGCTGGGCAGCTGGTGACCTCGATCACGGTGGACTTGAACAATGCAGGAGTCTCAGATGTGTACGCTTGTTTGTTTGTTTGTTTGTGTGGGTGTATGTAGTGAGAGCTTCTCAACGGGGTGGGAGGTCGACTGTATTGTACCAAGGTTAATTACGTATGTACGTATGTATGTATGTACAGGTAGAGAAGATGGGGAAATGGGTCTTCCACGCTACATGCTGTCTCAAGTGGAGAGAGTCTTTAATGCGCTGAAGAGCACTGACAGTGAGCGCCATGTGGAGAAACAGAAACGGGCTTGTTCGCTGCTATCAGCCCCAGCCACCCCCCAGCATTTATTGGCTCCTCGGCAATCTACAGCGGGCTCCGACAAGCTCTGGCTTGGCTAGGCTAGGGCTGGGGGGTTCAGATAGCGCTAGACCTGGGTTCTTGGCGCCGAACAGTTCTGGAATCTGCCGACTGCTGTACCATAGTATACACGTCTGTATGTGCCCTTTTGACCACTTGCCCGACCTCAAAAGGTCAAATTAGTGAGGATGTACGCAAATAGAAAGCCAGCGCATTGCCGTCGCACGACGGCATAAACCCCGGAATACTGCCAGCCACCGGATGACAGCTGAAGGCCATGGCTCTCTATTTTTAACACAGGTGTCACGTGTATTGTATCTGAACAGAGTTCTGCTTCTGACCCATCTCGGAAAGACACTTACAGTAGTAACTTAGATCACTCATGTACCCTACAAATGTCCGAACGGCAACAAGCAAGCCTTGTTCATAAAACCATGAGTTGCACCTACATATGTCATCGTGCAATATCCAAAGAAGACAAACCCATATCTCAACAATAACAACGACATCTGGTATCATAAAGACGTACCCCAATTTTCTTTTATCTCACAAACACACACCCGCATGCAGAAAGTTCGGTCGGCAACTTAACATTAGTCATGCCATGTCAGACCACTAAGAAACTGTCAGCCATTGGATCACGGAAACCTGCACAACACAGTGACTTACATGATCGGGAGAATTCGTAATTTCGTCAAATGCCTGCTGTGTTTCGAAACCCATAGCAGCGAGTACACTTTGTGCATCGTCAAGAACCTGTAGTTTGTCAGCATGTTGTAGACATGTGTTCATCGCTTCATCTCACCCAACTGACGATACTCTTCGCAGATCGATGGCCTTTGTTCTGTCGGACGCCCATGAGAACCAAGCCTTGGACAAGTAGTGCTGACTGTGCCGTTGTGGGGACAACTGGGGCAACAATGCCCCCATAAGTGCCCTCTCTAGCAGTGTTCAGCAGAGGGAAATACGCAGCTATATTGCTATTTGGCTTCGTTGCAATGACGGTTCCCAGCAAGGTTTCGTTGCCGCTTTTTGCTCGAATGATGCCACAGTCATGGGATTGAAGGGCAAAACTGTACAGTTCCACTATGTCTGGGCTGGCGTGCGTTGCAACAAAATTCAGCACCGTCTCCCCGTTTTCAAGTCCTGGGACAAGATCGAATCCAATCTGATGTCGTGTTAAGTTCTGCGGGAGTCCTTCGGGAGCAGACCAGGACGACAGGTCAGTAATTGCCAGGTTCGAGACACGTCGCGGGAACTGTACATCCCAGCCAATGTTTGCGAACCAACTCTTGGCGCTGCCACTTTCTTCAACTGGAATCCCCGGGAACACGGAAGGGAATGCAGCGCCTAGTTGTATCTTCTTAAGCCCATTTCTTTGTAGTAAAGCCCTCATTGCCCGGCGATGTAGCGATGTGCCGATGGAGACGTTCCGTTTAGCCGGGTCAACAAAGATGGCGCCAATGGCTCCAAGCCCTTTGGTGAAATACGTAGCCACGAATCCGTAGAGGGCTTGTGTACTGCTGTTACGTACAACGAAATGTGCCTGCTCAACGCTTGGGTTCAACTCTCTAGAAAGCTCAAAAGCATGAGCGCTGCATGCAGAATATGGTAAACTTGGCGTGCTCGCCCGCGCAAGGATCTTAATGAGTTCATCGAGCGCCTGGCCATCGCGCTCACCGTCGTAACCCTCCACAAGCCATCGCTGTCGGTTCTTGATAACCTTTTTACTCTTTCTCATCGTACCGGGCATGGACCCCCGAGGTACAAACTCTCCGTAGAGTGCACGGACGAGTGATGCCATTGCAGTCTCTGTAAAATCAAAAGTACAGAGGTAAGTGCCAATAGTCTTGTCCATAGCAAAGTCATCTAGTCGCCCATGAGTCAGCTTTCTAGATTAAGGGTTTGCAGGTGACAATTTGTGCAAAGAATTTAGGCATCCCCACCAGGAAAAAGGCATATTTCAGGGACATTTTTCAGGGCACTTCTGTACAGCCGTTGTAGTTTTGTATAGGCGTGGGGGGAAGGGTGCGACTGTAACTTGTCCCTTTTACTTACATGGAGAGCTGACTGCGACTACTATAAGTGATTTCTTCTGCCCTGTTGACCGCAGTAGTTGACACATCATAGCCACATGTTTGGTAAAGCCTGATTGGTACCCATTTCGATTGGCATCCGCCGTGACAATTACAATCGCTGATGCCCTGTGAATTAGGTTCTCGTGTACTATACGCGTGGTTAGCGAGGCGACCCCAACACCAAAAAAGAAGAAGAAATTTTTTTTTTTTTACATACCTGGCCTTAGCCCGTTAGCGGTGTACGAGGTATGCAGAAGCTTTCCGTGGCGTGCTCGTGCTAGTGATTTTCCCAGCTCCCGAAAGACACCTTCACCACTCATAATGGCTCCTCTTTCCTGGTGGATGAATCTGTCGTGTAAGTTGCCAGCGCCGTTTTTGATCGCAGCTTTCTCCATCATGCTTTTTGTGGCCTTTGAAGCAGGTAGTGGTTTCACCAGCGGTGTCAATAGAAGCAATTCTTCCTCTCGAAGAAGGCTTCGGGATAGCGGTATTAGGCCATCCTTATCTCTGACGATTGTTATCGAGCGGTCATAGGCTTCACGGGATAAAGTCAGGTGCGTAGGGTAAATCTGAGAAAGAAACGGTAGACCAGGTGGGTTGAGTGCCTTCTGCCATGACGTGCATGCACTCTTCATCCGTAGCACACGACCCAAAGATGTCCGAACCCTTTCTTTTGAGATGATACCATTCTCAAGTCCTAGTTTGAGGCCGGAGATGGCCTCAAGCTGTACATCATGTGCTCGACAAAGGAGGATGAGATCATTCCCTGCTTCCACCGCCATAACAGTACCACCCTTAACACCATATTCTTGGATCAAGGACTCCATTTCGAGGCATTCGGATATGGCAACACCGTCAAAGCCAAGCTCGTTTCTCAACAAGTCATCCACGACTTGTTCTGACAGGCAGGCATGCATGACATTCATCCCCGCGTTAGCGATGCCACAGCCGCCAATGAACATGGCATCAAGGCGGCCCGTTGCAATGGCGTTACGGAAAGGGACTAAAGCACTCAAGCTAAGTTCTTCCAGGGTTTGTGTGATGATAGGCATATCCAAGCTAGAACCAAGGAACTCAAGATTTCCGTACGACGGGAAGTGCTTACCACAGGTTGCTACACCGGCATCCTTATAACCGTTCAGTGCAGCAACGCCATACTGTGATGCTTCTTGCGGATCATCGCCGACAGCCCTGACACCAAGGGGCTGATGCCGCGCATTGGTGAGAACATCAAGCACAGGCCCGAGGACAACATTGACACCAACAGCTGATATCTCGGTTGCTGTGGCTTTTGCTGTGTCGTATGCCAATTTCGGGGAGCCGGTTGCAGCAATGCCCATGGCACTTGGAAATTGGCAGATAAAGTCTTCATCGAACAGACTGTTGACGCCCCCATTTTCTTGATCAAGAGCAATCAGAAGAGGCTGAGGGTGCCCTGCGTTGTGAGCTATAGTCTGCAGCTCTCTGACTAGTGTAGTCGTCTGTTCGGCAGCTGCATAGTTGTATAGTCAGTATACACTGGTATGTACCTTGAATCATCCAAGTTTACCAGTGGTCTAGCAGGAATAATTACATTTCAGATTCTTAGCCGTAAGCAAAATGGAACCAAGATGGTGCTCTTCAATGAGATTTTTGATTTGAGGCGTAACTTCGGTACCATCCCATCCCATGATCAGCATCTGACCAATCGCCCTGTTCCATCGTTGGTAAGCAGCTTGCTCGCAAGTCCGCAGGATGCGATGGGCAGACGCGGCGGAAATATCGTCAGTGAGATCAAGAAGAGCCACAGGTACGTACCAATCCATATCCTGCCATAGTGGGTCGGACTCGCTGTCTATTTTGGCCATGGCCAATTGCCCCGAATCGTCGGTGTCACGTTAAATCGAGGTATCGCGTGCTGCAGCACAGGAGCAAGGCCGATGGCAGCACCGGTTTACTCGCTCTGTCGTGATTGTAACAATGCCAATTGGGGAACTTCTACCAGGGTCATTATCCCCTATGGATGACGTGCAGGATCGCCCGTGGAAGTTGAGACCGCCTGTTGTGGCTTTGCGCTTGTTAAAAGATGAACTCAATTTGTTTTCATTCTCATGAAGTGTCAGCTCCGGCGCTTCGTCTCTGTCAGGAGGCTGGAAGGTGATCGGCTAAACTTGAAGGTAGACTGCGTTGATTTGCCATAATAATCGAGTGATATGCGGGCACGAGGTGCGCTAAACTTTACTCAGACTCTAAGGTTAGTGAGCAGGTGAGCTATGGTCTCTGGTGGGAGGTGAGAGCACCAGGCAGCAAGCCAGGTCTGCTGGGTCAATGTTAGTAGGCTCACGCACACTCGGCGGGTAGGCGGGCTGCCGCTGGGTGGAACCAGCCCCCCAGCCCATGAACGCTTCAGTGGGCACTACGTTAGATTTTCCCACCACCATGTCCATCTCGCAACGTTACAGCATCTTGCACCAAAACCTGGTGGACGGCATCGAGCTATCGCGACCTACGCCTGGCTCGTCGAGTGTGTCTTGGTACACGGCTATGATGCCATATCAAGAAGATATTTGTCTGGGTCATGGCACGTCGCCGATCGAAAGCATTATCTTTGATTATTCATGACAATCCGGGAAAGGTGTCTAAACCCATCCGGGGCAAAAGGAACAACAAGTGGGAGCAAACATTTCAAGCACACGTGCGCTCAACGTGTGCCGATTGGACACCTCTCAAGACCTTATCTTCTTGAGAAAGTATCAGTGTGACGTGCACCGGCCGAAGCTCGTCCCCCACTGGAGTAACTATACGCTACGTCTCAATCTCCCTTACGCGATTGTCTCTCCTGATCGGAGGGGCATTATCGGCTCAAGGAAAGGAATCTGACGGCGAGTTCTCCACGCTGTCTCCATCAAGGCAGCGTCATCTTTAGATCCGCTGAGATGTCATTGTAAGTACATGTAAGTGAGTATGCTCTGTCTCTCTACGTCCCTCGTTCTATGGAGGTCATAATTATCGCCCAAGGGGCTACCATTGTCTTGCTCGACGCCACCTAACTCTACGCTTATGAGAACTTACTATATCACATTCTCCATTATTTCGTCATGCCACACTCACTTCCATCATCGCCGAAGTCAGTTCCCAGAAATGGTGGCAATGGTATCACCAAATTTACCAACTGTCGCATTCTGAAGGGTGCCAGACTTGTCGACGAGGATCTTTGGGTAAACTCTGTTACTGGCAAGATTGTCCGCAGCCAAGCTGCTTTCTACGATGACTTGCACCTCCCCGATGAGACAGTTAACCTCGGTGGACGTATCGTGTCGCCCGGCTTTATCGAGTGCCAGCTCAACGGCGCGTATGGCTTCAACTTCTCAACCTTGCTAGAACCTGCAGCATATGCCAAGAAGGTCAAGGACGTGAACAGGCGGCTTATACAGACCGGCGTCACAAGTTATGTGCCGACTATCACAAGCCAGACTAGCGAGCTGTATAAAAGTGCCTTGCCATCTCTGGCGCCTTCGGGTGATCTTCAATTAGCGGAAGATGGTGCAGAATCCCTCGGAGCACACGTCGAAGGTCCTTTCTTGAACCCAGGCAAGAACGGTATACACAATGTTGACGTTTTGTTACAAGCGGACTCGTTCGATGATTTGGAAGAATGCTACGGCTCTTCGAACATCAACCCTGACGAACATGGAAGCCCTCCCGTCATTAGGATGATCACAGCGGCACCAGAGCTAGGCAACATGACATCTCTGATCCCCGAGCTCACCCGTCGGGGGATTGTTGTCTCTATTGGGCACTCTGAAGCTACCTACGAAGAAGCATCAGCGGCCGTGAAGGCGGGCGCCACTATGATCACACACCTGTTTAACGCGATGCGCCCTCTGCATCACCGTAACCCAGGCATCTTCGGTGTGCTGGGCATCGCGGAAAGTCTGCCACGACCATACTTTGGCATCATAGCCGACGGGGAGCACCTGCACCCCACGACAATCAAAATCGCCTTCAATGCACACCCAGATGGGTTCATACTGGTCACGGATGCCATGCACATGGTGGGACTGCCTGATGGTGCGTATCAATGGACGAACGGTGACTGTACGAATCACATCGTCAAGAAGGGACCAAAGCTACTTTTGGAAGGCTCGGATAGGATAGCCGGCAGCTCGATCACCCTGATTGAGTGCGTCAACAATTTCCTGAGATGGTCAGGGCAGAGCATACCGCACGCGCTGAGGGCTGTCACGTCTACGCCAGCAGCCATGCTCGGGCTGCAAGGTCAGAAAGGATATCTAGAAGAGGGCGCAGATGCTGATCTGGTTATCTTGTCGGAGCATTTCCATAACAGTAACAACACGGATGTAGAGTTGAGCGTTGACGAAGTCTGGAAGTTTGGCACGAAAGTCTTCACGAGCTAAACGAGATTTATTGCTTCCTTGAGCAATGCTACAAAAGGGAGAAGTGGACTAGATATCTAAAGCATTCATAGTATCGAATATCAGAATACGACACAGCTGTTAGCGTCCCGAACTTCACTGAGGCACCATGACCCTCTGTTACGTGCATGCGGCAGCATTCTAGATTGGGCTTACTCACTGTGGGTATGAAAGAACGCCGGTGCGCCAATATGCCCGCGCTAAGTCAAGGTTCATGTACAGCCGCACTCTTTATTTCTTACGTTTGAGTTAGTCCAGGCTGCATATTTTTGTGCTCATCGCAGCTCCATGTGGATGCTAGATTTGATAGAATTCGTATTGTCACCTCGATGATATGGGTTACTATCTTATTTAATGCAAGTGAAAGAAAAAGACATGAACGAGTGTTTATCGTGATGCACAACGCTCAACGCGCCAGTATCATTATCAATAATAACCATAAAATACGGGAATGGGGTCTGTTTAGGCACTGGTGGGGCGCCATGATGTTTCGAACATCACCCATAGCCAATCCAACACTATCGACTAGTAAAGGAAGAAGATGCATTTCTAGTATCTGAGCTCGATGCGTGTAGATTGCTTCTTCTAGGCATCGTTGAGCCAATCCCGCTTTTGAGCCCGGGTGTCACGATGCTTCCACGTCGCCTGGGTACCGAAATCCGAGCTCACGTGAAGCTCGGAAAAAGTCCTGGAGAATGGCTTGCGGGACAGTGTGATCTCAATTTCTTGCAGGCCTGCGGCCTCAATCTTTGTGGGTCGTGACTCGGGTTCAGTCCACAAAGCCCCAGGGACGAGCAAATGAGAGGACGGTATTGACTGAGACCAGAGCAGAGGAGCGATGCCTGAGGAACTCCCATTTTGCATGATCAAGCCATGCATGGCCGGGTGTACTTCCGCTGCGGTAGTAGTCATTGAGCCGAAGAAAACGGGGTGGCGCTTCGATACATCGAAAAGAGAACGCTGAGATAGTGCGATAGCCTCGCAGAGTTCTTCGTCCCACTGAGATGGCAACAATTGTCCTCTAGAAAATCGGTTCTGCGGGTAGCTAGCAGCAATGGCTTGCTTGAGAGCTGTGGACCACTCCTTAGGTGTTGCAGTTCTGCGGACAATCTTGGGTGATACATGGATAGGAGCAGAGAGCGTATTAGGATAGCTGGCTGCCACGGCTTCGCGTAGTGCAGCTTCCCAATCACCAACGTCGGCAACGTCGGGTCGGTTTCGCTGACGCAAGGGAAAATCTGTGTGATGCAGTTCATCCAAATTCTTGACGCGGAAAGGCTCAGCTTGAGCCTCAAGGATCTCTGGCAGTTCAGCGACTTCAGGGACTTCAGGGACCTCGGGGGAGACCTTTTTTCGGCGCCCGAAAAAGCCACGAAGGCTGAAACCGCTGGCAACTGATGGGGCAACCGTTGATGCCTTGGTGCTAGCAGTCCTGATTGAGGACGCATCGGTTATCGGAGACGAGGGCGTGGAACTGGCGATTGATGCTATCGACGGGCTGACTGGTCTTATCGACGAGATTGTGATCCAATCGAACTGAACGTTCGCTGTGCGTGCTGGAGACCAGAGTCGATATGACTCAAGCTGAGGAAGTGGTGCAATCAAGGTGCGAGATTTAGTCACCATATCCAAGGCTGCCGGTTTTGCACCTGTAGAACGCCACTCCTTCCTCTGCTTATCGAGCTTAAAAAGAGCTGGGGGAGGCGCCGCCGCATCGTTGCTTGTCAACTTAGAAGAACATACTTTGATCCAGTTGCGCTCGGCCTTCTTAGTGCTGTTGGACATCCAGAATTGAGTGCTGGAAAGTCTCTCGAGTGACGCGCTCGATTTTCGCGGCTTTGTCATCATATGAAGGGCTGCTGGCTCCGCGATTGTCGTACGCCATTCCTTCCTCTGCATATCGAGCTTGAAAAGACCCGAGGAAAGTATATTCGCTCTGCCAATTCTGAGATGAGAAGAGATATTAATCCAGTCAAGCTCAATTGTCTTAGTGCTTTTTGGCATCCAAATTTGAGAGCTGCAAAGTTGAGGGAGTGGTGCACTCGATTTTCGTGGCTTTGTCATCATGGCAAGGGCTGCTGGCTTTGCTGATGTAGTTCTGTAATCTTCCCTCTCGGTATCGATCCGGAAGAGACCATGGGAGGCACTATAAGAGGCAGGTACGATATTGTTGACATGAGAAGATGACATCTCAATCCAATCAATCTCCATTTTCTGAGTGCTGCTGGCCGTCCATGTTGCGGAGCTGTAAAGCTGAGGAAGTGGAGCAACTGACTTTCGTGACTTTGTTGTCATGTCTAGGGCTGCTGGCTCGGACGATGTTGTTCGGTAGGTCTTCCGCGTGGGATCAAGCTGAAACAGAGCTGTTTGCGCGAGTTTGACAGATGTTGGCGACCACATAGTTTGTCGTTTCCCAATTGTTCTTGTAAGTAGTTTGGGGCGGGGCTTCCACAGATTTTGTGTTCTAAGTCTTTGCAGAGGCTCCTTAACAGCGCGAGGTTTAGGTGTGAGTGAAGTTGCAATAGGGACTTGTGACGTCCTGCGGTAGTCAAGTCTGACAGACTTCTCTTCAAACAAGCCAACAGTGGGAATTTCCGACATAGCTATAGGCTGCTGCCACATAAAGCTGCCTCTTTGCTGCTGTGCTTTCTTGTTCAAGCTTACCTGTGGAGCTTCGGAAGGCTTCGTCTTCTGAGCTACCCATAGCAGGAAATTATCTGCTCTGGGGGCCGTCGCTCTTGGCTGCCACAGCGTGGTGCTATCAATCGCTCTTAATTCTTCAACTCGCGGCTGTGATCGGAGAGTTTCCCTAGCGGCAGAGGTATACATCTGCCACACACCTAGATCTGGTTGGGTCAAGCCGAAGGCCTGTCTCTCTTCGCCGGATCTTGAACCACGAGTCCACAATGATGGTTTCACAGAAGCCTCCTCAAATGTGGACACCCATAGTTGCGTACTTTCAAGGGCAGGGAGATCCTCGATATGAGTTCGTGGCTTAGTTACTTTTTCTCCATTGGGTAGGTAGCTTTGCCAGATATCGTCCTCAGGTTGAGGGAGACCAAAGCTGTGGTGCGAAAGGATATCCTGAGCATCAGACATCCACAGAGAGGCTCTCAAAACTTCATTTTGTGATCTCAAAAATAATGGAGTAGCTGTCGGAGACAGCTCTTCTGGAACAAAGTCAAGTGGGCCGTAGTGGTCCTCGTCAAGTTCATCTTCCGACGGCTCTTCAACGAGGTAGCTATCGGTAGCCGAGGAGGGAAGCAAGCTATTCTTGGAAGGAATATCAGTCTTTAACAAGCTGGCGATTTCCCAAAGAGTACTCTCGTCGAAATCATCACCGCTATCGTCGTACTCGTCGTCGAAGTTGTCGCCGTAGTCTTCCTCTTCGTCGTATTCATCGAAAAAGGACGAGGAGTACTCCTCAGCTTCGAGCTGCCGTGCTCGGGCTTCCAGGGTGGCACTGATGCGTGGGCCACTGCTGGACATGGTTCCGGGCATCACTCTCAACATCTGGCTTGGGATATGCAGAACAGGCTGGATTGTGGCGTTCTCACTGCGCTCGCCCCATGGAAATTGAAAGATGCCAAGCGTGCCTCGCTTATTTGGTAGTGGCTCAGGATTCTCAACTGTTTCTTAGTTAGCAGTGTACAGTCTAGCCCTGTAAAACGCCAACTTACTGATATCAGGCAAAAGCGTCACACGCTTGTTCTTACGAGGTGGACGTTGAGTTACAGGCCGGGCCTTCTGGACTTGTCCTACTTCCTGGGCATCTGGCTTTTTCTGCAGCGGTGCTGCGCCCCAAAGGCCGTGGTTTTCAAGGACCTCTGGTTGCTGGGACTTCCGCCATAGTTGGGCACTTTCGATGATTAATGCATCCGTGCATTTCCTGGCAAGAGGGCGTATAGAGAGTCCTGGAAGATCAACTGTGGTAGTGGACACCGAATTCTGAACATTTCCTTCCCACAACAAACCATCGAGTAACTCAATTTTGGGGGGAGGCGATTTCCACAAGTGGTGAACTTCTTTTGTCTTTGGCTGATAGATCTTGGCGTTCAACGACTGGAAACGAGAGATAATTTCAGAGTCCGACTCATCAGTGTCCGGTGGCGTAGGACTTCCTAAATCAGCTTTGGATACCGAGAAGAAGTTCAAGTTATCTCGCTTCAAAATGAGATCCGGTGCATTGTCCATGTACTCCATCTGAGCAGCTGCGAGACGTGTCTGGAATAGGCTGGTGCGCGAGTTGCTGGAATCCACATGAAAGACCGACAGGTCCTCCTTCGAGCGATTTACGCTTAGCATACGTGCTCGTCGTGACGCCCGGCGTTCGGCAAGGACTGAGCTCGTGGAAGACGTTCTGGTCAGTGACTTAGCAGCAGGCGTTGCAATAGATACAGGACGTGATTCAGTCTGTATTGTCGAGATCGAATCGCGATCTAGGTTGTGTTGCATCGTCTGCCACCTGCTCTCCTGCTGGCCCATTTCGAGTTCGAGGTCTTCGAGAAGTGCCATTCGTCTACCTTCGCTTGCGATCGAGTCTCGACTAGACTCATCTAGCTTTCGCAACTGAGCCTGAATCATATTATATGCTGCTTTAGGTGATTCCATTGGTGAAGGTTCGGCAGTATGTATCACTATCGCGTTCTTGTTATTCGCCGCTCGCAAAAGCAACGGAGTCGGCGGAGGCATTTTCCTAGACTTGACCTTTTCTTTTCGAGCAGAGAAAGTAGGACAATTGTCTCCAACGCGATGATGCCATCGATCAGCACGGTTAGTTTCGACCTCTAGTATACTATGTCTCGATTCATCGTCGTCTAACAGAAAAGACTGCCGGCTACTTGTGGATTGTTCCGAGGACGTGTCGAGCATGACGGTCATCACCTCGTCTCCGAAACCGCTCAAGACAGACTCGAGTCGAGAATCCTTCTTGATCCAAGTAGAGCGAGGGTTGAGGCGCGATCTGGATATATCAACAGGCACAGCTGGCGAATGTACCGAGGCCCAGTTTGTGGCAGTATCGTCATTTGTTATTCCATCACTGGTGGCGGATATTGTTGAATATCTAAGGACGGGAATAACTGGAGATGACTGACGTCTCTTGCCATCGACTTGTTGTCCATTTGGGAAATATTCCTTAGCAGGAATGCCGGTCATCCACGAATTACCAAACTCATCTGGCACATCGGGATCTGTGTCCAACAAATATTTCTCTTCGAGGCCCTCTACTCCCAAAATACTTTGAGTTCTAATGCTGGATTGATCAGTCGCTGTAGTCCTGGTCAACCTGCGTGCATCTTCAATCGGAACGGGTCTTTCCGTCATAGGTGACTGCTTGACAGGCATGTATGTCGCAGGCAAAGGAGGTATCTCAGGAACAGACGATTTTCTCTTGATAGCAATCATTGTCGAATCCATTGAAGATGAGCTCGAAGGTCCAGCGTAGAACACTGACATCTTCTCATCGAAAGTCATGCTCCTGGTATCATTCGGTTGAGGTCTCTGTGAATTGCCAGCGCTCTTCGGTGGTGGTGGCAATGGTGGTAGCTGAGTAGGACTTCCTGGTTGAGATTTGAGGATCGAGCCACGACTTATAATTGAACCTCCCGATTTCGTTCGTCTGTGTCCGGAGCTCATCTCCGCAGGGTAGACCTGACGGTCCTCATCACTCTTCCGTGGAATCGGGCGGGGCCGGTGGACCACTGAATTCGAGGACTTAAGAGGCGTGAATTGCACCTTTGCTGCCCCTTGTATGATATCATTGACGTATTCCGGATCATCATAACTGATTCTGTTGATAAACATGACCGTTTGCGGCTGTCCTTTACTTGTCTCCTCTGATAGTTTCTTGACAGTCATAGCTCGTGGATTCGAGGGTAGCCCGATCGTAGGTCGCCTCTGTAAAGGTGTCTTCACGGGTTCTGGCAGTCTATCTGGAACAGGTTCCGGAGGCGGCTGAGCTCTTGGGATGGGGATCCTGAATGGTTGTCCTGGTGTAACTGGTTGGAACGTAGGCGTTTTCGCTGGTAAGGCTGATGGTACATTTTGACGTGGAGACCTTCTCCTCAACTCCTCGTTACCAGGAGAAAGCTGTGCGGAGGTAGTTGATGCATTACCTTCGACAGAAAGCCCATTTGTTTGCGATGTCTTCGTGGAATTTGATCGTTCGATTTCTACAGATGATTCTCGCTCAAACTGACTTTGCTTCAGAGTTGTAGCCCTCCTTGTCACTTCTTCTGGTGAAAGTGTCGGAGGCTTCGGTGCTGGTCTAGTTGCCATGAGTGCCGAAATTCTTCTTGCATATCCATCCCGTCGCTCCTGCTCATTCTTGGCAGCAGTAGCGAGGTCGACGGTGGGAATCTTGTTGAATGCATCTTGGGCTTCGGGATCGTTGATTGGAATAGGTGCCGAGATTGCAAGTTTCCCTTTGCCAATCTTCCTAGGCGGATCGGTTTTGCTACGCTTCAGCATATCTATCCGAGACGGCACCATAGTTTGAAGCATTGGGACCTGATCCACAGTATTCGAACGTAATGGCGGAAACAATTGGCCTTGCACCGGAACCCCACCGATTCCCGCGCCACCAGTCACTGGTCGAGCAAGAGTCGGCAGAACAGTCTCACCATTATATCCCTTCGGTTGAATGTTCGGCTCAGAAAATGGCGCTATGTTCATTCCGCCAATACCCTTAACTTCTTCATACCGCGAAGGAGGATAATCATTTGAGTCTGATGTCGACAGATCCCGGTCTCTGCTCATGCTCTGTGGAGTCGGCGATTCCAACGGTTGCCTTGGATGGCGCTCTTGCGGCATAGCTAAGTTTCCGGACAGTATGGTAACAAGAGCTGAGATTAGGTGAGATAAGTTCTGCTAATACAGCTCGATATGATACTTACCAGACAGAATAAAAAGCCCAACGGTAGGCAAGGTGGTTCTTAGAAACATGTCGATGGTACTAAGTCCAAGAAGCATGGTAACGCTAGTCTGTAAACCAGGTCAGCAGAAATCCACCGCATTCAAATTCGAGAGCCCAACATACTCCCATCCACACTGCGAGAGCTGAGATAGTCAAAAGAAGTGCCTTGGTTCCTTGTCCGCTCTTTTTGGAGCCTGTCGTGAAAGCCATCACAGCAGTACTGATGAGTATGACCGCGTCTAGAGCAATGACAGCAATAGAAATAGGTACCACGTTTGACATGGGCACGCACGTCGAGTTGAATTGAGGCTTTGTTTCTCCCACGAACACCATACCGACAATGAACCTGACGAGTAGAATTATCTGTGTCGCGATTGCGGCCGGCGACTTTAATCCATCTTTTGCGAGAGCCCAGACTAGAAATTGCTCGATTGAGACGCGCGCAATCTGGTCCAGAAAAGACGATATAATAACCGCGATTTGACATGTTGATATCGAGGTCGGTTCGATCAGGGTCGCGAGAAACTCGGCTTGTGCCCAGAGTGCCGATGATGCAAGGAACAGTATGAGGGCCAGCCTCAGGCCGTCCCGAAAGATTGCTGAACCATGGCCTTTAATGTAAAGAACGAAACCAGCCGATGCCGTATTAAGCAATATACCACTGTAGATTCTCGTCAGTTGTGTTGCACACTCGATCATTACCATGTGTACTGACAAGAAGAAGGCTGCGATCAAGGCCTGCACCGTCCCCGGTACTGCCATGTCTGCGGCGCCGATTTGTCGGCGTCCAGCGGCCGAAAAGAAAGTAGAGTCCCAGTCAATGGGTATGATCAATAATTAAAGACGAAAAGAAACATTCATGGTGATAATGCCAGCAAATTACGACGCCATTCTTGACGATAGCGTCACCTTCACGCCAGAAATTGATAGTGTTGAGAGAACGGCGAAGCTACTGCTACCATAGCCATGAGAACAGAACAAGCTCACAATCCACACTGCAGTCGCTCAGTGAGATATCACGCCAGTTCCGTTAACCATCGTCTGTGGAGGAAGGATATGAGCCTCAAACCTTGAAATTCCAGGGGTTTGTTCGAGATTCATCCGTAAGTAGACAATGCCGAATACCAGCGTGGAACGTGATTGGGGACAACGCAAGGCTGACAGGCCTCTACCCATGATGGCCGGGTGGAGCAACCGCTCGGCATGTTTCACTTGAAACTTGAGACGTTGCATCGCACCAAAACGCGGTGGCGAGTGACTTGCAGGCCTCTTTCTTGTACAAACTGCCAGTCTTCAGGTCTTCAATGGTAAGTGCGCACTTTGATATCAAGTCTAGACGGCTGTGAATGGCCACCGGAATGCGTTTATCAAACGACGAATGACCGCCGGCTTGACAGGCTGCGGCCTGCCTATAGTGGTCAAACACCAGAGAACATCAATACAAGTTGTTAGATGCTTACTGGCCTAAACTTGGTACACATTGTGTATGTGCGCAGCTAAGTTACGCCCTCCGTCTGTGCATGTTCTAGTATTTCCCTGAATCATTGCAGACAAGCAGCAGGCAGACAAAGTCTTCGCAACGCAACGCAGCGGAATGGCACTGCGCAATCGTCTCCATTTCTTGTCGCCTTTGGCGGGCTTTTCTTTGCCCCACTGACCCTGCGCACAGACATCTGATGAGGACCGGGATCAGGGACAACCCTGTCTCGGAAAGGAGAAAAGAAGGATTCAAGACGCATCAGGTAGTCGCCGCTGTTCGCTGTTTGACGTGCATAAGTACGGGTCCGTACGCTGCAGGATCTAAGTCGTATGTAGAGAGCTCGATCTTGCAAGATATTTTTAACCTATCAGCGGGGAACCCCGGCCTGCTGCGTCGGCGCGTACTGATACACTATAGTCGCTGAAAGAATGATGAACTCAGTGCCTAGATATTCAACGCTGGCTGACAATTTTCGTGTTTCATTAATATCATAAACATCCCCGCCAATAGGTATAGTAGACGGGAGAGTAGTATCATGCTTTATTTCAGTTGTTTGGTTGGGCCACAGCGTCTTATCCACGAAACGTGTGAAATATTGCGACGCCCTTGAGGATTGTACATACACAAGCTCAATAACACTGGTGCTTGTGAGAACTGACAGGATTGTATGTGTTCGCATGCTCTCCGAGCTAGACTTGCTAGTAGCTATAGCCCCCGCCCCCCCTGCTTCCATCTTCGAGAATGGCGAATGGTCGTTTCCCCTCTGTAAGGGATCTGCATTGGTCGCGAAAATGTAGTAAACCATGACTGAAACAAAATCCTACTTTTCTTTTGATCATGATCCACGATGTTCTGGCCCGCGGAAGCTATTGAGCCTCCGTCACGTGTGCAGAAGGGCTAAACGGGGATTGACCGCACCAGTTCGTCTCGACACCACCAATACCACAATCATTTGATGCCTCAGTAGATAATGTTATTGGTAGCAAAGTGGATTTATTACTGTCCCGACCCTTCTGTCAACGTTTATGAACCGAGCTCTTTTAAATTTCCAAAGCCACTAGAACATCGGGTTTCAGAGGTTATCTTTGCTTGTTCCCATTTGACCACGGTGATAATCTGACTGGCCGAAGGCGAAAGTAGCAGGGGCTTTCTTAGCTGAATCAAAGCATACAATGGTTACAAGTTTCGATTTGGAGGAACGACGGAAGTCCTCAGCGGTTTCGAAGCATCGGCCATTGCGAGGCTGCACTGCGATAGAAATAGGGATTCTAATGCCAAGTGTGAATGAATAGAAGCTGGTGATATACCAATATTCTGGCGTGATACACCTATGAACGCCTGTGTTCTTAGAAATTGTCGGTACTGCAGGATCCGAGGAGGGAATTGGTCATAGTAGCCAAGACCTGTCCAATATGGCATGACGTGCTTGCATTGCTCAATGGCTCCCATGCATACTTTTCGTCAACGCTAATCTCTTAGAGAATGGACTCAGGCTTCGTTCGCGTTTCTCACTTGGTGGAGCAAAATGTCCGCGGCTGGAATTTTGGCCCTGTTGTCCTGGTTGTTTGCCAGATTGCACATCGAATCGACGTTCATTCGCAGATCTTGATCGATAGCGTCGTTGGCCTCCTGGTGATGGAGATCTGCTCGCGCTGGGGGAGTAGCGTCTTTTAGCCCTGGCCGACGCACCGCCGCCAGCAAAATGGGCATCATATTCCAGGTTTCCTGTATCAGGTCCGCCTGGATGGCCTAAGCTGCGGGGGGGAGACCTCGTCCCTCGACTGTGAGGTCGACGGGGACTGCTTCCTCTGCCTGAATGTACAGGACTGCGAGAACGCCGCGTACCTTGCGCACGACCGGAGTTATCGGGTGACCTGTGCCGCTGCTGACGCACAGGAGAAGGACTCTTTGGCTCAGGTTGTCTTCCCAGGCCAGATGGTCGAGGTGATTTAGACATGCTTCTGGAGGTTGAAATTGTTGATACTGAATCATAGGACGCGGAACGACCTCTACGAGGCGACTCTCGTGTTTCCACCCCGTCATCATCCAGCTCCAGCTCTCTTTTCCTGGCTCGTTCAGCCTCGAGCTTGGCAAGTTGTTGATCAGCTACCCCCTCTCTATGAAAATAGTCAGCAGTGATCGGTGTTTCGCAGGGTGTTCACGTACTTCTTTTGTAGCTCAGGCGGAGCTGCCTCAGTCAATTTGGGGATCAACTTCGGATTGGATAGCTGCTGGGTGCGAGACGGTCGAGCTATGTACGGTCTTTCCTGCACATTGGCTTTACACTCGTATGAATAGTGGCGTGAATGAAAGTTAGCAAGAACGCAAAAAGGAATCAATGGAGTTTGGCTTATCATTTTTCAGGCATTTTTGGCATTTAGCTGTCGCCGATGTGCCTTTAGAAGGTCCGCGCCTGTTGTACATCTTTGGTATGACGATTGGCAGCACACACTACCAAAATGAAGCTCACTGGTAAGAATGAAGCAACCAAGTTGATTCTCTCGATTGCTGAGATGTCAAATGTGGTTTCAGGGCTTGATGGGATGCAATCAGTTGTTGTTGCTAATGAGATGATGCCAGAAATTTGGTGGACCAAGCTGTGGCGGCGAGCGACAAAAACCGCTACCGTGCTGATCCCTGCGCCACCTCACCGTTTGCGCCATCAAGTGGATAATTCAATCATTGGTGGGGCAGTTGTCGCAGACGGACGTATAATCAATCCGAGTTACTCATTTACTCCCCGTTGTGCAAGCTCATAAGCTCTGAATTGGAATAAATTCTGAAGATTTTCTTTTTTCCTCCACCTGTTTGCATCATCAGCTTGCGCTTCTCTGGGCATTTACTTGATTTTTCTAAACTCTCAGTCGGGCTGAACAAAAAAGTCCAAAACGCCGACCGTTGCTGCGCACAGTACCCCGTTCTACATGAAGTCGTCGTCTTCAGTCTCATCTCCTTCAAGACTGTGGGAAAGCTTGTTCGCATCTTCAGCTAGTGCCAAGGCCATAATGTCATTGACCAGCTCCTCGCTTCGGCTTCTACTAGATGCAACACTCGTTGCTGGTACAAGAGCTGCGGTGTTGCCTGCATCTTCCCCAACGGGAGCACTTGAGCTCCTAACCTGCACTCGAACCTCGCCCGCGACACCATCCACGCGCACGCTTTGCGTCTCGGGTACCCCTCCTGCAGGTGGCCTGACCATCGGTCCTGGATTAGCGGCCACGAGGTTCTGCACTACGCACGAAGTTTAGTAGATACATTAGGTGGATTGCGTTGATCATGATTTAGCAACTTACAGAATGCGCTGGCGTCAGGCGACCCATCCATCAGCCATTTGAGGCAAAGCTGAACTCGTTCGCGACAGAATCGATTATTGTCGTCATAGAGACAGCAGTTGAGGAGCGCCACAATTCCATTATGCTGCACTATCTGTAGCTGTACAGTTGAATTTCCTGGCGATGACTGGCCAGGAGGCGGCTGCAACAAAGCTGCCAAGATTGACAGCAATTGGCCTTTGATGCCAGACCAGGGAAATTCGTAGGGAGGCTCTGTGAGTGGCGGCGGTGGCGGAGGTTGCGGGTTTGCGGGATATTGAGACGGTTGTTGAGCGGAAGGTTGCGGGTTGCGACGTCCATCAACCAAGGGAACCTTCTCCACGCCTTCGTCTAGACCCTCTAAAAGCTTGATCAACTCGTAAACAGCTTCATATTCTATGAGATGTTGGCGAAGAGGATGTATGTCAGCAATGGTATAGAGGAAATCTAGATATTGCACGAGGCCGTCCTTAGCGCGCTCCAGGTCCCATGTATCCACTGGGAAGTCCGCCGGATCAAGATTGCCCTTGCGAACGTCGGCTTGAATCTGCATAAGTGCGACGCATTCCGGCACGATACGGCTACGGAAGACACCGTACAGAAAGTTCAGCATTTTAGCAAGTCTCAGGTCCTCCGACGGAGCAGGCGTTCCATTGGCGGACGGCTTTGGATTGTAGTCTTTTGGAGGGAAAAAGGCCGTACGGGAAAGATAAGTGATTAAACGTAAGAGCACAGTTTGTGCTGGTGATATGATGTCTTTCGGACTGCGAAGGGCCTCCCAGGCGTAGGGGATCAGTGAGCTCTCATGAATCGCCTGGACGATCTGGCTGCTAATTTGAAAGATGAGCGATTGCTCCTCCTTTTCCCAAACGGCTATGAAGACAAGCATTTCCCTGAGCAGATTCTTGCCGCAGTCTGTGGCCAGGAGAATTTTGCACCGGGTATGCTGTAAATTCTCTCCAAAGCGTGTGAGCCCTGTGCCAGCGGAATCAAGTATACACGACTTAACGATCATGTGCAAAGCCTCAATCTGCTTTGGGTCCAGTATGTTCGGTACTTCTGTGAGAAGCCCCGTCATTGGGCCCTCTCCATAAGAATCATCATCATCTGGGTCCTCCTCATATTCGTCATATTCGGGTGCGTAGTTCGTACTTGTTGGAGCAGGCTGGTTTTGCCAGTCTGCTTGGTTGTTCGTTTCGCCTGCGGGTTGATCAAGGTCATCTTCTGGATCTTCGGGCGGATCTGCAGCGGCATAGCGCTGCATGAGGTTCGCCTCGCACTGCTTTATCCTTTCAGGAACAAAATCGAGCGGCCACATCTTCAGACTCTGGTCTTTGCTGCTGGGGAGACGAGTGGTTTCCCACCATTCATCAAGTTCATGTGAAACGTAGCCGTATGCTCGGTCTCGCTCAAATTTGTCGGTTTCATCCGTGTGCCACTCCGAAATGACCTGCGCCGCTTCATCGTATATATCTGGTTTCCAAGACCACATACTGGGTGGGGTATAATTCCAAGCAAGATTCCAATCGTTTGGAAGCCATTGATTCTGTTGGTTCGCCTCTTCTTGCGCTTCAAAATACTCTTTACAGATGGTTGTTGCAGCATCGCACATCTTTGAGTTTCGTTTTAGCCAGTTCGCAATTTCAGTACGCAGATACAGACTTCGGGGGCCGAGATACTGCATGACAGACTCATGGCGGTCTTCGGCACCTGGATTGCTGTCGACATCAGGTGACTCGATCAGAACACGAAACCAGAATGCCATTTTATTGCGATCATTCTTGGCAATCCAATTATGTGCCTGTTGAAGAGAGGTCACCAGGACTTTTTTGACTGGGATATCGTTAGCCATTGTCCTGCTTGATAGTTTAACACATGACCCACAGAGCTCTTGTATCTCGGTGCATTTTGCCCTGGATGCGTCATCCTCTGGCATTTCACCGTCGATACCCTTGCTCGTAACGTTTACACAAAGGCATATAGCTTCGTAGACTTCATGGTCAAAATTAACGGCAGCAGATAGATCTTGCGGAACTTCAGGATCAGTCGTTACCAATAGATTTCGTGCGATATGCATCAATTTGTTGAGCATTTGCAGTGCTTCTTTTAATGGTGCATAGTTCTTCATGATCAGGGCAGTGATCTGAGGTGCTGTAATGTCGATGAACTTGGTGGGTATAAAAGGTTCCGATCTGATACCCAAAGACTTTTCGTTCAAGTCACAGATTGCAGCAGCGATTGCGCGACGAAGCCATATCCATACTCTAAGATTTCTTGAGAGGATTTCTCTACTCAATGTATCAGCATGGAGGCTCATCTTCTCCAAGTAATACAACCTACCGGACGTCTTTGAAAGTATGTGTCTTCTCTAATGTTTTGGAGATTATGCCCATTACCTTTGCGATGGACAAAGGTCCCATCACAGGAGACTGTGTGTAATGACCCTCAAGGCAGATCAATCCAGCACCGAAGCTGCGTTCTTCGATGGAGTCTTTCCTCCATGCATGAGGAGGGTCGGTATCGATTTCCCCAGAGGAAGCCATTTTATGTCGATCTAGTTACTGAGCTGAGTTTCTGGAAATGGCCTCGATATCTTTGGTCTTCATGCGCTGCTTCAAGACCCCGCCAACCAATTTTTGGCACACCAGCAATCGGACAGGGTACGACAGGTCTCGACTAGCTTATCCAGCACCGATACAGAAATTTACCATTGTAGTTCGACTTTTCAAGCTGTCGCAGAATTGTCTTAAAAAAAAAAGTCTCCCGCAATGTTCTGTTCCCAACTGATTGATTATAAATTGGATCGCACAACGGGCTGGCGGAAAGCTCGAAAATTCGACCGAGCTCGAGATATCTTCTTTACGCATAAACGCTCGTTTAGCTGAATAATGTGCATGTCTTTCTTATTGCATTTCGGGGTAGTATCTGTTCGCCACCCCGCCTTCCATTTAGCATTCGGTTCAGGAACCGTTGCCAAGTCTTTCCCAAGTGGTTAAACCGTCAGGTCTAGAGTCGGACAGGGCCGCCGCCACGTAAAGCTGCCAATAAAGCTTTTAACGTTAGCATACAGTGTTCAGCCGCTAACTAAACCCTGTTGCGGAAATATGTATACTATCAGCTCAGGTCCTAGGCTGGGAAGTAACAGGCTAGTCTGACGTATGCCTCGATCTTGCCCATTTTGCTGCAAATCTAGAAGTGCTTTGGGCTCCTCACCTCACGAGGGAAGAAACAATCATAACATGCGACCTTAAGCGACGGAAGAAAGCGACTGGACACAGCAAATCGTCGTCCAATTTCCCAACTGCCGCTGATTGTCCGTTCCTGCAGGGCAATCAAGGAACGTAAGGATTGGAGGGATTTAGCGCTGCGTACGCAATGTCATCTTCGTACGACCGTCAATCTCGCTAGTTGCAGAAAGAGGCCTTTCTATCGCATCTCAGATGCCACTTCCGAAAGGATACAGCGTACACACGTGAGTGTGTGATGTTTTGCCCTTTATCTCTCGGGTTTGACGACTAGTCTAGGACTCGTATTGGTCTGTGACTGTCCAATGGTAATGGTAGGGATGGCCTGTGATTCTCTTCACTGACAAGCCGCCTTTGCACCGCATTGCAACCCCCCAGCGTAGGATTGAGCTGACTAGTGGCGTGTTTCCCGGCCTGCCATTGGTGGTGGCAGCGAAGGATGCCTGACATCATATCCGGGCCATGTCGCTCTTTTGTGTGTACGAAGTACTTATGCACCTATGTATACTGTAAGCGGCACGGCACCAACAGCCTCGAAACTTCCGCACGCAATGCGGCTGTAGCAGTAAGCGGGGAGATTTCACAGTCTCTCCACGACATGCTGTCCCCAGCGATTTACTTTCCTGCTACATTTCAACGGGAAAATCCCCGACTATAGTTTCATCCAGTTGATCCTTCCGCTCTATCGTACAGTGACATATTCCCACATTTAGCACGTACCCACCCGGCGCGATGGCCAGTGAGCACCCGGGGCTGATCCCCGCCGTCGCTTCACAGCCTTGCCGAACGTGCGGGACAGTCTCAGAGAAGAGGTATTCCTGTGTTCAATGCAACAACCTGTGGTTTTGCGATGGATGCTGGAATGAATGGGTTCTTCATGTGCCAGGTGCCGTTGGATGGGGAGGAAGACCACACGAAAAGGCAAATCCAGAGGTTGTTTATCGCCTACGCCAGATTTTCGAGCCAGTACGAAGTGAAGCAGATCATGAACAGGAACTGTTGGACGACGAGGAAACCGCTTGGTTCGGTTATGGTCGTGACTCCGTGGGCCACCCCGTCTTCCAGGATTATGGCAGATTTGCGGCGGTGATGGGTGAAAGTCATGCAAGAGAGGTCGCGATGGAGCGATACCCGCAACTTGTGACGTTTATAGGCGAAACGGGTCAGTTGACAACCCAGAACTGGCGACTCGCGAGATCATACTAACTATTCGCAGGTGCCGGCAAAAGCTCCTTGGTCAAAATGCTTATCGATCGACAGGACATAGGTTCGGCAGTGGGCGGCTATTATCGCACGCCAGTGACTTCTTCTGGTTATGATCGATTACCAACGACAGGGGATGTGCATCTCTATCCAGAGCCTTCAACTTACTACAGTGACACTCCTCTGTTGTTGGCCGATTGTGAAGGCTTGAACGGAGGCGAAATGTTGCCAAAGGCATTACGCTACCAAACGGATGAGCAGGGTTCTATGGACACGTTTGGAGCGATTCCAAAGGCTCGCATCGAGGAGGTGAAGAATAGAAAGATGAGAAAAAGCTCCCCGCGACAGATTGTCTGGGCAGATAACCCTCAGAATCAGAAGAGAGAATATGCTGTTTCCGTTCTTTATCCACGCATACTCTACTCATTCAGCGACGTCGTGGTGTTTGTGCTTCGCAATCCTCGGTATGTCGACTCAGAGCAACTACTTACAGTACCAACATACTAACATAGACAGTGCATTCGAGTCAGTAGTGTTGGAGAAGCTGGTTAGATGGGGTGCCGAGTCGATCGACAAATCATTGAATCAACCCGTACTACCCCATGCTGTGATCGTCTTTAACGCCAGTGAATTTGTCGACGATAGAGAGTGGGACCCAGAAACGGCTACTGCTATGCTGATGCAGGATATCAAGGGCGCCATATTCCGTGAACCTGCCTTGAAACCATTCGTCCAATCTTGGATCGATCGTGGAAGGTCTATCAGTACAACGGAGGAACTGCTACAGTGCTACTATGCTTCGGTCACGGTCATGCGATTCCCTTCGAGAGGGCAGTATATGCTCATGGATCAGCAGGCTGGCAGGATGACTGACTTGATCAAACAAAGGTGCGCCGCATCCCACCTCCAGAAGCGACAAGTGAGGATGTTGGCGAACGCAGAAAGGTTGCAAGTATACCTCCAAGCGGCCTTCGATCACTTTACCCGAGATCTGAGTACTCCCTTCGACTTCGTCAAAGAGGCTTTGAAATATAGCCCATCGCCAAGGGATTTTGGGGGCAACATTCTCAGTCTTGCTGTTGCGATCAAGGAACGTGCTACTGACGAGGCAGTCCGTAACAATGCTCAGGAGATATTTCATAGGCTGGGGCCGATGATTGCTACCTGTGTGATGTTTGACGCAGTGCGACAAAGTTTGATGGGAACTGCTGCTCAGTTGTTGGACGATGCCTATGCTGAGCCATGCATAGCTGCGCTACATCGTTTTGCAGATATGCATTGGCCGTGCGCTTATCGAAGAGGCAACTCAATGAGAGAAGAAGACAAGTGTTGCAACGTCAAGATTGGCCACAACCCGAAAGGTCACCAAAACTCCCGCGGCTCTATCATCGGACATGGCAGCTACCAATCAAGTTTTGATGCAACCAGATTTGGAGGTGACTGGTCGCAGGTGATACGGGAAAACTTATTGAACCTGCAAAATTCTGTGTTTAACTTGGGACAGAGTTCACCCGGCCGGACAGAATTGCAAGTTGCAGGAATGATACATCGAGAACGTATCAATGAGTTCTACAAGTCAATCGGTAATGCCTCGGACTTCGTCAGTCATGTGGCTTGTTTTTCTTGTCTTCGCGAACTGCCCGAATGCGCTCTTCCTTGCGGCCACATTTTGTGCCTGCCGTGTGTCAAGACGTATGGAAAGAAGACTTCAAAAACCACGATCGAGATATCAAGGTGCCCCTTGCACGTCCAAGACGTAATTGCTGACCCACCGTGGGTCATACCGGTCAAACCAGCACGGGCAGGAGTTCGTATATTATGTTTGGATGGGTACGTCGTAAACAACCATCTATCTCGAGGACTTGTGTGCTGACAGAGATACAGTGGTGGTGTGCGGAGTATTGTTGAGCTACAAGTGCTCAAAGCTATCAAGAAGGTTCTTGGACCAAAGCTGCCACTGCAGTTGTTCTTTGATCTCATTGTTGGCAGCGGGTAAGTTGCATAATCGTGTTCATGCCTGTAGTCAGGACTAATCCTATCTAAGTACTGGAGGCACAATCGCACTTGGACTGTCTGTTAAGAACTGGTCGGTCGAGGAATGTATCAAACGTTTCAAAGAGCTCTCTTCGGATGCGTTCTCGCCTCGAGAGCTTACTGGAATACCCATGTTGGAGAATCTGGCTGTCTTCTACCATGGCAGTATTTATAAGACGAGGCCGTTTGAAAGGGGCTTGAAGATGATGTTTCAGGATCAGCCTCTTTTTGGTGGCGCAACTTTACAGCGGGAAACACCTGCGAAGGTGGCAGTTCTGGGTACAACTACCTTGGACCAAAGATCCGTCGTTTTCGCCAACTACAACCGTCAAGACCAGCCAGAAGAGAGTAAGTACAAATATCACATGCCGATGGTTGATGAGAATCCTAATCAGTGTTCGCAGGTCTTCCTTACCGCTTCTTACGTACAAGTGTGCCTGGCGATGACATAAAGGTCTGGGAAGCGTGAGTCTCTTCCGACTTCCTATCAGATACCACTACTGACCAGAGTTATCAGTGCCAGGGCAGTATCTGCTCAGCCTCCGCTGTTCAAGCCATTCCAAAAGCCTGAGACGAAGATATTTTATACAGGCACTTCAACAAGCTATAACTGCCCAGCCCTCATAGCAGATTATGAATCGAGCATGATATGGAGTGACATGAAGGACGCACCAGCAGATGTTCTGCTCTCCATTGGTTCCGGGAAGAACATCAAAGACAATACCCCGGCTCAGCTTTCTCCTGTAGCTTCAACCCTGAACAATGTAACCCGGCGGAATACTCTGAACACTTCGAGACCTCTGCGTCCAAGCGCAACTGTCAATAAGCTTGATGACTACTCGAGTAACGATAAGGTCTGGGATAGATTCATCCGGTCGAAATCCCTTCCAAAATCTTTCATTTCAACAGAAGAAATACGACAGCGATATATTCGCATCAACCCCGCATTGGACATGAAGATACCAAAGCTTGATGCCGCTCGGAAAGTATACGAGTTGGAGCGAGAGGCGCGAGAAGTTCTCCAATCGAATGTTGGCATCGTTAAAGAAGCTGCACACAGACTCATCGCGAGCTCATTCTTTTTCGAAAAGACACCCGGGTCTGTAAAGCAGACAGCATTATATGGATACGAGTGCTCGGGTAAGTGTTTTTGCACATGTTTTGCACTTAGGTCGCGACTAAGAATTTTGAAAGGCACGATTCACTGTAGATTTCCGTTCGGATCCGACGAAATGAAAGCATTGGGCGAGTTCCTTCGCTCAACATTTCGTGGGGAGTTTGAGCCCTACTTTCTCCTAGAGGAGGAGGTACCTCGATCAGCTCCATTGCGAATTCCTTTAGAAGAGGGTGCGGTTCACGATATGTGCCATCGCGGGCACTTCGAAATCGAACCCCTCTACATTCAGGTCCAGCGCGAACTAGCCACCACGAAAGTGTCCCTTTGTCTTCAAGGCGAGCCGTACCCTTCAGGGGTAACTGTTCTTCCGATAAGCGGGTTTCCGCGCCAACTCATCAGTGAGGACAAAGCGGATCGCAAAGGTAAATTGTGCCCTCTATTCTTGAGTCCAACTTATCCAGTGACTCTCCCAGATCTGATGGATCTCAAGACTGAGTTAGTAACCGGAGAATATAGTTCCCTCGTACACCTACCACCGACCGTCCACAGCTATCAGCGCCACAGCGGTGGGCGGCACCTCTAATCCGATCTTGCCAATAGGCCCACCACTGAAGGCAAGCTCGTCGTCCCCCGAAGTCGGCCTTAGCCCGATCAGTCTAGAATCCACTTTCAAAGGCCTCACATTGAAGGGTTTCGAGTCTTTTGATGTACAGCCCGCGGAGTTGTCGCCGGACACTATCCACATGAGGGTCGAACTGCCCACCGGGACCGATGAGATACCAAGACCGATGCTAGCAGAGCTCGACGGCACTTCGATACCAAGAACGCAAGAATAGGATGCAGGATATTGGCAATAACTGTACAGGCAGCAGGTAGCCCTCCTGCTTCATGGCCTTGCTTTGCATAGATTGAAGACACACCGGACAGTTGCATTGAAGGGCATTTGGACTAGATTGGTCTGCAAAAATTTCAAGATTCCCTGTATATTATAGTTTGTAGCTGCGTACAATTCAACGATGTCATCCCGTCATTCCTTAGCACAATATGTTTTGTATTAGTCTAGTGAAAAGCCCTGGTAATGAAAACTTTTCCTTGGCTTGTGATCACATCCGTTGCCGCACCAAACTCCCTGGGCAAAGCTGACACTCCTATCGGCACCTTTTTCTAGATAACCATAGAAAGCTGGAGACTTTTCCGTTAATATTACTTAGTTATGAGTATCTGGACATTATATACATAACTTAACAGCGGATATAACCTTCTCGTGTTTGTTCCTGTTACTCTACTGCATCTTTGAACCAGAGACGAAGAGCCAGACTAGGCAGTCTATTGGATTGGCCTTGCCTTGTCGGTCGCGCCGCGTCCTGTGAGACTTACAGGTAGAATAGGGAATAACACACCATAGCTAAGCGTTGAAAACACTGTAGGCCATCGCCAGGTACCAATGGAGCTCTAGAGTTTAGCTTGACGTATTTATCATGGCAAGCTCAAGTTCAATTGCATCAGTAAGACTTTCACACAGTTTGCTTCCCGACACCTTTCGTATCACCCGTTGCAAAAGCAGGTGAGAATTTATCATTTCCAGAAATATTGATCAAGCATTACTCTAAATCAACTATATCATCTACTCTGTATCACACTTCCATTACGATTTAGTATAACATGAAGACCAAAAAGAAATCCACACCTATTTTCCACCGTCCCCTCCTCCTTTCTCCACTTTGAGCAAATTGCTGTCATACTGAAGAATATTGCTGCATAGCGTCCAGCCGACCTAAGTTATCACCTCGGCGTCGAGCAGTCAACCGCTTTCGTGATAGTAGCATACGATTAGTTTGAAATTGCGCCCGGGAAGCCGATTTTTGAGCCTGGGAATGCACACTAACACAACAAGTATACGTTATTAAGAATTAATCACTTAGCGGTGCTCTTAGAAAAGGGGGGGGGGGGGGGGGGGGGGTAGGAGGAAGAAAGAATAAAAAGAATGAAGGCAAGAAAGAGCAACGGAGATTGTTCAATATTCTGGTCCATTGGAACCACTACTCACAGCTTCCGGGGCTGCAGTGTTACAATACTGCCACCAGCATGTAGCGTGCTTCTTCTTCTCTCCACCCTTCCTGGCCCGGCATCTCGCACCGTCCCAACCCTTCAGGATGGCCACCTCGATCTTTTCCTTGCAGTAATCGATGCATATCTTTGGGGACTTCCACCTGCGCGCGGTGCTGGTCCACGTGACGTTGCTGAGCGGCTGGCAGATGCCATTGATCCAGGCTGGGCTCTTGAGTTGCTTCTCGAAGCATGCCAACATCTCGTCCCGAACGGGGAAGAGGCCAGTCGATGAGACATGGGATTCCTTGACGCGGACCTTGTCTGGTCCATGGAAGAGCTCGAGCTCTACTTCGACGTCTTCGGCAGCATCCGGAACCACTGCTGCAATACAGACAGCCGCCATGACGCAGACATTGAGGAACTTCATGGTGTTTTTGAAAAATAAAAGCTGGATTAGCTCTGGTAGAGTTGCTGGTGGTTTGTTTGTAAATTAAGTGATGGCTTTGAGGATGCCGAGCTGTTTGGAGATGAGAACCAAGAGCAGGTCTTCCAGGGCCAGTCAATCCTTGTTATATACCCATGGCAAATATCTGAATCTGTGTCTAGCCGATTATTTCAAGACGATCTACAGACCGACTTGTTTCGTCATCACGTCATGGATAGTAATAAAGGATAAGAAATATTTGGAACCGACATCCACTATCTGAATCAGGGTACGAGTTCCTTGCATTGAATCCAATATGTTCATCTTTATGGATGAAAGAAACCCTAACCAGAATGATCGACACAAGGTTTTTATAATAGTTGCTTGTGGTTTGCTTAACTATGGTACCTGAAAACTTTATTTCGCTGTATGTGGCTACCATGTATTGACGTATATATTTGTAGAACTCTCGTACATCATTGGCAAGAAGACCATTTAGGCATGATGTCATGTGATAACATAACGCATTATTAATGTGCGTAACCTCTAACATGTTTGCTGCCACCATGACCAACAATCATCATCATCATCGTCACTTGTGTTGACTTTGGAAGACCTATGGATTGCTTGCTTACCAGCGGAGTGCATTGAGTTCCAGATCAGTTTGTCATAGGTACTTATATGGGCCATGCGCTCTGGAATGCACCAGAAGACTATCCCATGACACATGGCCAACACGTGGGGAAAAGGCACATTGTCCAGGTTCACGACAAGGTCAATTGTTCGCTACCTCCCCATACACGTCCCAACTGTAGATTATGCGTATATGACCTATGAGGATAGGAAAATAGATTCAGCATCAGACGAAGAATGGCCCAAACTGTGGTTGTATCGATAAACGTAGATTTGAACCTTAATGCAGATGCCATGCGGCCATGCGTGTCGTCGCGAAGCACTAAGTTCGTTACTGGGACATTATGTTACATAGCGTAATTTTTTTGCATCTTTTACGTCTTATTGAAGTTCCGGTTGACAGCCCACTTGGTTTATTAGTTTCGCTTCTGAGAATTCATGTCTTCACATAGTTGTAGAAATAGTTTACTGAGTGCAAAATTGTAGGAACGTAACAATGGTCATTAATCATTAGCATCTTGCACATCTACCAGAACTTTACCAACTTCATGAGCAAAATCGTATGCCGTGACATGTACCTGTTGGACTAAAAGGTATCACTTTCCTTGTCGGTTGATCGTCAGCGGTTTGAAGGGCTTTCTCAGGCGATCAATAGGCGCCATTCCTTCCCTACTAAGCCCAGCTGGTCTCTTAAACCCTCTCATAGCCTGAGGGACATTGACTGTAGTCGCATGAAATGAGATTGCTGGGCGGGTGTATTCCTCGGCCAATGGCATTTCTACGTCTTGAGCTTCTGGGACATCTTCGGGGGCAGGTTTGCTTGGTGAACTAGAGAAACAGGAGTACTGTTTTGTTGCCACGGGTTCTTCACGCCTTGGCTGTGGTGGCTTGCTCAGAATTCGGGTGGGGTTTAGTTTATGGCCAGATAGTTCGGGCTTGATGCTCTCTTGTTGTTTTACAAGCCTCTGCGTTGGTAGCAAATACTGTTTAGGCAAATGATCTTGTGGTCTGGACTGTTGCTGAGCAGCTTTTGGTTGTTCAACCACCTTGGACTGATCATGCTCTTTAACCACGAATCCAAGGAGACTTCTCTGGCCCGGTGGCCGTCTATTTGTGCTAACCTTGGATACAGGCGCCATAGGTTTCGAGGTCAAGCTAAGTCCTTCGGCGACCTCTGCAACATGCTGAGCATTGGCGGTGGTGAACCCCGGCAATGTAAATGAAGTAGATCGCTGCATAGTCGTAGCATATGGCGCGTTCCAGCCTTCCACCGACTCTGGTATAACATTTGCACTGCTGCTCGTGTGTTGTGTCTTCCGTCGCTTGTTACCATTTTGCAAATTTGTGGTGTCACTGGACGAACGGGAGAGTTGCCGTGGTTCGTTCGGGTCAATGGGGAACAAATTGTCCTCTATTGGATTAAAGATGGGCATGTTCTTGTATATTGTGGCCTCAGGTGGTAGTTCACGTCGTAGGATCTTTGCGATCTGCAACATAATCCGTCTATCAAATGACGGACCTTGCCGTAGGAAATGATTGGATGCGAGTTGTTCGATGAAAGGCGAGATCTCGAGACTGCTGCTATCACCATTCGAGCTGTACAGAGGATAGCTCAGGTAGAGGAGTGTCTGTGCCCGAGTCATTGCAACGTAAAGAAGTCGTCGCTCTTCAGCGTCATCATCAGATCTAGCGTGCGGTATTGAACCCTTATAGGCCCCAGGAATGAAGACGATAGGCCACTCCAATCCTTTTGCAGCGTGTATCGTCGAGACAGTGACCATTGGTTTGCTTTCTTGATCCTTGTCGTTTGTCTGCTTGTCGGATGCCAAAGACACGTTCGCTAGAAAGCGTGCGAGCACATCATCGTTTTGATGTTGCTGTATACCCTCGACGTCTGGTAACATGTCCTCTTCGGCAAGGACCTGATCCTTCATAAACTCCCCAGCTAGTCCAACAAACTCTTGAACATTGGCCCATCGCGCTTCATGGTCGTGTGGACAAGTGTCTTCAAGATATTTCTCAAATTGCAAATCCCGAAGCAGTTGCTCAATCGCTTCAACGAGATCGATACACGCACCATCCTTAGGTTCTCGAAGCCGCATTCGGACGCCGTTGATTATCTTGAAGAAGTCGCCACTTATTTTTTGTTCGGTTTGGTTCCTGATATTCGTCTTTGCGGCACGATCACCCCGGCAATGCTTGACAAGTAGACTCCAAACGCTAAGAGAATTACGCTCGGCCTCCTCGATCAGCGACTTGATTGTGTCAGGACCAATGCCTCGCCTAGGCACGTTGATCACACGCGCAACAGCGTCGTTGTTGTCAGGGTGGTGAATAAGGCGCAGATAGTCCAGGATGATCTTGATCTCGGTCCGTTCATAGAACTTGAACCCACCAACCATGCGGTAAGGTATACCAGCTCTCCCTAAAGCACTCTCAACGTGCCTCGAAAGGGATGCTGATCTCAAGAGGATAGCAATATCATCGGCGTTGATCATATCCCCCGACACTGACTTGACACGTTTGATCTCCGACACTATCCAGTCTGCTTCGTCCATTTGGTTCTTCAGTTTGCGAAGTACGGGACGGGTTGCTTTCTCGTGGACCGGGAGGAGGACCTTCTGGTAACGTTCTTGGTCTTGCTGAATAACCTTCAGAGAGATGTCCAAAATAGAGCTCGATGAACGATAGTTTTCTTCAAGCGACACCTCGTCGGTACCAGGAAAGTCCCGCAGGAAACGATGCAGGTTCTTGATCTCCGCTGACCGCCATCCGTATATACTTTGGTCAGGGTCTCCAACGATGGTGATATGTCTATGATACTGCGCAAACAATTTCATAAGCTCGTACTGAATGCCGTTGGTGTCCTGATACTCGTCGATCAAGGCTGCCCGAATATTTGAGACACATGATGGATATTTGCGAAGAAGCTCAACGCAACGGACTAGGAGGTCGTCATAGTCTAAAAGATTGGAACGTTCCAGCTGGTGCTGATACTCATGGTAGCAAGTCTCGTAAGCTCTTGATTCGACAGACTTGTCTTTGTTCTTCTTGTCTGGCCCATTATCCAATGACCCTCCGGCTTTCTTCTTGCTGATATAAGCTCGAGCCTTGGGCACCTCAAGCTGAACGTCCAATCTCTTACAGATTCGGGTGACGATACCCCTCGAGTCAGAATCATCAGCAATACCGAATTTGGGGTCCAAGCCAATCTTCTGACCATATGCGGCGAGATAGCGCCGAGCTATGCTGTGGAAGGTGCCGAGAATGATTTTCCTTTCTCGGCCGTCGCCCAGGGCTTTCCCTATGCGCTCCTTCATCTCACGAGCGGCTTTGACCGTGAAAGTTGCGACAAGAATATCGCATGGTTGATACTTGACATGGTCAATGAGCCAACACACCCGCGAGGTGAGGGTGTGCGTTTTGCCACTTCCTGGTCCTGCTAGAATCGCGACGGTCGAAGCGTCGGAACTAACAGCTCGGCGTTGCGCCGTGTTCAACGACTCGAATATCTTGCCGCCATTGTTCGTGGGCATGATGGGAAAACGGGGTTACACATGAGTGCCCTAACATCTAGAAACTACACTGATCTTGGCTTTAACGCATCTCAGCTTAAGGTGTGAGCCAAGTACCGATGCAGCGGGGGTTGCACTTGAGTGAGGAAAGCTGCAAGAGTCAGAGTGGTGCGCTCAAATCGCGCGCTCTGTTTGTTGCCACGAGGTTGACGCGTTTAGCAGGCGCGAACACGGGCACGAGATCATGTGATCGAGGGGTTCTCGGGAACTGTACGCAGTTCAGTAGTTACACACTGCAATGCAGTGGCCATCACATTCAATTAACCTAGGTGGACCAAAACCGGCACCCAAAGTCGCCCCTAAGTGGACCTCGCTTCTTCTCTTAAACTACCCCGACTATGTACGTGTGTATAAGCATCAATAATCAGGCCCATCCATGCCTACAGTAAGTTCGAACTCAAAGCGGCCCATTTCCCACATGCACGCATAATAGCTCAAGTGTTCTCAAGCTTGTTCCATCAAAATGGCTCGACACAAATAAAATAAAATAAAACAAAAGGAGCATGCTGATCTGGCACGGTCTGTTCCTGTTGCCGCCCGGCAATTCAGACTGCCGTAACCCAGCTTTACAATCCCTACGGGTTATGCGCACATCGTACATGGTGCAAGCTTTTTGCCTGGAGAGTGGGAAGCAGAACGCTCGGCCCAGCTTCGTCTTCGTCTGATGGTTTCTTTTTCCAATTCTTCGATCTATGGCCCTATCATAATCACATTTCCGCAAAACTCTATGTGACGATCCGCGTTGATCACCAACCCCATTCGCACAGACCATCGACCCGAGGTGGTATTGACGCGCTATCTCCTGCGCAACAACATTCCTCGCGGTTGTACATATCGTTGCTAATCACTGCTCTTGTCACATCACAATGGATCCGTGGAGTCTGGGGTTCGGAATCACACTTGTTAGTGCTGTGATCACTCAGAAGGGACCTGACAGGATCTTATTTGAAGCCATAAAGGCATCAGTATCGTTCTGCTCTAGACTAGCTTCTGGACTGCGAGGAGATTGAAGGCTGGCACACCTGACTCGCAGGTAATGACACGGACAACTTCCAATCGGTAAAGAATATTGAATGGTTGGCAGGGTACATGCAGGGACAAACGAAAGGCGGGGTCCAAATTGTAAGCTTGCAACCGCCAATCAGCAAAGTAGCCTATCACCTCGGCGCTTAAACTCCCCTGTCATCTATATTCTCTATCCAACCAGAGTCTTGCATGGCACATGAATTCCCGTCCTCGCAGTCGACGACAATAGCACTCGGTCGTCCCAGTGGGCGCTATTCATGGACCCAACATGCATGTGGCACAAATGCCCTGAGGATTCCAACAAGTCAGATTTCACAGCACACTGTAGCGCCAACCTTTGATGTGTTAGTATCGTCGCTGTCGACCCACCTCGACACACTACCGAACATCACCAGCCGCTATATACCTTTTGTCCTCCCAAAAGTGTACCTGACCTGGTCGATTCTCGATCAACATGCGTTTCGACTTATTTCGTCAGGAGGTCTGACTAAATGCGTTGATTACTCCTATATGTAAGAAGATCCGGGCCTGACACGATGCAGCCTGGGCTTTATAGTGCTATTACCACTTCACTTCATGTTGCGGTCATCTTGAACTCTGCTTTTATTCCTTTCTGTCTCTCCGCTCCTTCTGATGCTAGTCTTGTTATCTCTGTGAGAAACAACAATCCCTTGAACATCGATTGGGATCCAGCACCAGCACCTGAAGACGGCCCACCCTTATCCGCTGGAGCCCTTCGAGATCCTGCCTACCTACCCGCACAGATCGGTGGCATCGTAGGGGCCTACGCACTTTCGCTCGTCCTTGTCGCTGCTACTCTTCTACTGTTGGCGAAGAAGCGCCGGCAACATCTCGAAGCTGCAGACGAGGACTTTGAGGAGCTAAAATACGACTTGGCCTTTCCGGAAGGATTCCCTCAATCACCAGAAGATCCATTCCCATATTCGCTCACCACACCCAGGTCGCCAATCAAGAACTTCTCCTATCCGACACCAGTCGAGCAGGAACCAAACCCATACGTCTTCCCGTCGCCACAGGAGCCGAATCCTTACATAATCCCATCTCCTCAATCATCAACGCTAGCACTCGGTGTCAACCCACTTGTCGACCAGAACGTGGTCGCCGCTGACAGAGAAATGGCGCAGCAGCAGTTAGAGGAAATGTACAAGTATGTCATGGAGCAGGACGAAGCGAAGCAGGCTGGCGTAGTGCTCCAGGCGCCGCCAGCCCCTATGCTCAAATCGCCGCCAACACCGTCTTCCCAAAAGTCCGGGTTCCTGAGGAAGGGGAAGAACAAGCCGGCAAATCTTGAGCTGAACAACCCAGAGATGGAGAAGCCGCAGTCGCGCACCTCTTCCATTCTGTCGGCCCTGAAGTCGCCGCGTGGCAAGAAACCTTCCGTCAAGGGCATAAGCATTTCGTCGCCCATCATGACTCCAATGTCTGGCACCTTTCCGCGTCAGGAGGGCGAGGAGATGGAGACGATCCCGCCGCGCCATTACGCACCTGCGCCTCCTCCGCCTGTGCCTTCAGACCAGTATCCCTACATGGCAAGGAGGATGACCCGGCCAGTGGAGCCGCTCACTCCACCCGACATGTCACCAGAGAGCACCATGAGCATTGATGAAAGGCTGGGATATGAATTCGGGCATGCGCGCAACACGTCTGAAGCCCCTACGGAAGGGGAGCCTGTTTCTGCAATATCGGAAAGGTCAACTACGCCGCTTGTCGGGTTGCCGTCATCGCCAAAGCCCAGCGTCACACGGTTTCAAATCCCTTCGCTCCCCTCGTCGCCCAAGCCTGGTGCCACGTTCCAAAGGGCCAATGCGCCGTCTGCTGTGCGCACTGGTGGGTCACTACCGCTCCGGGCATATGAGCCATCATTGGTCTCGCCGTCGTTCCAGACCACGAAGCAGACGACGTTCGAGAGAGCACCACTGTCGCCGGGTCTGCGGACGCCGATGACTGGGGCGGCTGTGCCTTACTCGCCTTACCAACCGTTTACGCCTGTTGTACCAATGACTCCCTCGTTGGTGACCAAAGCGGACAGGAAAAGGATGAAGCAGCTACAACCCAAGACGCCCACTTTGCAGATGGTGAAGAGTGCGGACGACATCTGGTAAGACTGGGGGGATGCTATGGCGGCAGAGAGTCAAGAGAAGGACGCTCACGCTTTGGGAGTCGGCTGGTGTCGACAGGGAACCACTTATGAGCCTATGACTTGAGCATGGCGGAGTTGGCCGGGGTGTCACGGTTGCTTTAACAAGAAATTAGTTACAATGGGTTAATTTTGGTGCCGGTGTTGAATTCTGTTTGACATTATGCACATATAGCTATACATAAATACATTCGATACCACAGCTTACCAGACCATGTAATCTATCTTTAGCCTGATGAACGTGATGAGGGCGATGAGAACGGATTATGTGTCTCGTATCTGACATGTGCGATTTAATGGTGATTCCTCCTGGTTGGGCAAGATCCACGTGCGCTGATGCATCCGGAGCAGCGGCATTGCAGAGTGAAGGTAGGTGTCAGATTTTGTCTCTCGTGTGGCTGTGCGGTAATGGATGTAGAGATGCATCTTGTTTTGTATGAACCATTAGTCCTGCTTGGTGGTGAGGAGAGGGGGGGTTTGAATTTAACAAATTGGCCGTATTAGCATGGATTGGTCTGTGCGTGGTGCAAAAGCTTCACCACTAGATGGATGTAATACGTGCCTTGTCTGCTATACAAGCTGGGTTCGCCCCGAGGCCGCTCATTTATTTTATTCTATTTTATATATGTCATTTCCAACTGTTGTTCTGCCGCCAACTTGAGGTCTTGTTGGGGGTTTTCCGTACTTGCTGTATCCTTCCACTGCCCTGCAAACAAAAGCTTGAGTTGAGAACTTAAGGCGGGGGTCGGTGCAACTTAACACCTAGACTAGACTAGACTAGACTAAGTCCCCATGCAATAATCCCACATGGCCGATGCCCGACGCACTCCCCTGTCCCAGTCCAACTCATGCCTTGCCCTGGAGCAGAAGAAGAAGAAGCCTCTTACTGGAGTGGTGCTAGGCTCTCCAGTGCCAGTACCAGTAACTAACTTAGCAGCTGCCAGCACTAGCACAGCCCTTGATCTGAGGACCCCCGACCTGGATGAATTCGACTCTGGCTCAACTTGAATTGCACGTTAACACGAGGCGATACCTGGCAATCTCGCAGCAAACAAACGAAGCAGAGTACAGATACCAGACGTCCATACACCCGAACCCCATCCACATCGAGCCAACGCGCGATACCATCGATTCTCCTCCATTCAGCTCTCATCGCAGGTGCCCGCGACCCGCATCAATCAGATCAAATCAAATCAAATCAAGGCACAGATCGATCACCACTGCCCCCGTGCCCCCGTGCCCCGTGCCCCGTCACCGTGCCCCGATCATCCTTGAGGGGGAGCTGTGCGAAAGAAGAACAACCTAACCGTGATACCCAATACTCCCACCACCACCACCTACGACTACGACTACGACTACGACAACGACTACGGCTCCTCTACCTGTCGCATACCGGCCACACCGGCAAATAACAACCAGAAAACAGCCCAACCCCCCATGGCCATGTTCCCGAACCCCAACATGTACAGCAACCACAATTACGAGCCTCAGGGCGCCGCGTGGATGCACCCGCAGCAGCAGCAGCAGCAGCAGCAGGGAAACCACCACTCTCAACAACATGTCCAACAGCAGGCCATAGCAGCAGCCGCCGCCGCCCAGCATCAGAACTACAATCGCATTGCCGGCGCGCACAACAACGTGGCCGGTGCTGGTCTCAACTCGGCCGTCCAACTCCACGACAACAATAACAACAACAGTAGCAACAACAGCAACAACAACAACACCAACAACAACAACACCAACACCAATAGCAACGGCAACAACATCGAGAGCAACGTGTCAGAGGACAACCGCCGCACACTTGCCTATGTCGCCGATCTGCTCAAGGAAAGCACCCGCGAGGCTGCCCTGCTGGAGCTCAGCAAGAAGCGAGAGCAAGTTCCAGAACTGGCCTTGATATTATGGCACTCTTTCGGTAAGCAACGCACCGATTGCAATGCCTTGATCTTCGCAGCAGACACAACTACTAACTCGAAACCTGGTTCAAAGGCGTCATGACCTGTCTCACCCAAGAGATCATATCCGTATACACGCTGCTGAACCCTAGCCAACTTACTGCCGCGGCCTCCAACAGAGTCTGCAATGCCTTGGCCTTGCTTCAATGTGTCGCATCGCACAACGAGACCAGGACTCTGTTCCTCAAGGGTAAGCCGAAATCCCTCTCTGAACTGTCCGGTGGATCTGTCCGACGTTAACCAGCATCCAATCCACAGCGCACATTCCCCTCTATCTCTACCCTTTTCTGAACACGACGTCCAAGTCGCGACCCTTCGAATACCTCCGCCTCACTTCTCTCGGCGTCATTGGCGCCCTGGTCAAGAACGACTCCACCGAAGTCATCAACTTCCTCCTCACCACCGAGATCATCCCCTTGTGCCTGAGAATCATGGAAACCGGCTCCGAGCTTAGCAAGACCGTCGCAATCTTCATCGTCCAGAAGATTCTGCTCGACGACAGCGGCCTGAACTACATCTGCGCTACGTATGAGCGATTCTATGCCGTCGGCACCGTGCTCAGTAACATGGTTGGTCAGCTTGTCGAGCAGCAAACAGCCCGCCTCCTCAAACACGTGGTCCGCTGCTTCCTGCGACTTAGTGACAACGCGAGGGCGAGGGAAGCCCTTAGGCAGTGCCTTCCCGAACCCCTACGCGATGCTACCTTCTCTGCAGTGCTCCGTGACGACGCGGCCACCAAGCGATGCCTTGCTCAGCTGCTCCTTAACCTGTCGGACTCTATGGGGAGGGAGGTGGACGTGCCTGGCCTGTAAACAAGACCCTGGCACCCTCCCAAACTACATTCTCCTCCGGCAAGTCCCCGTTGGCATACGGAACGAAAACAACCCCCCGGTGCTCCCCGCCTCGCACATCACGTTACGGTAGCCGGGACCACGACTGCATTCTCTGGAATGGACTGGCCTGTATCTCTTTGGCCTTTATATCCGACTCTAATCCAAGAGAACGGTTGAGGACTACCCAGCGGACGCACCAGTACACGCATCTCCAGGCAAGAGCCACCCAAGACGACTCAGAGTGGTGACCATGGAGCGCAAATCCTGGCGACTCCCCATGTTCTTTCGTCTGCTGATCTCGCGGGATGGCTCGCAAACCCCCGCAGCGAGGGCCGCCATCTTTGTCTTTCGTTGAGTCTGGATATCCAGTCGTTTCTCGGCATGCTGACTGCGCTGAGGCTCACGTGTTTCGTATGGTCTTTCTTGCACAAACTCCCGGCGTTCTTTTCTCATTTTCAGGGCAGCATAAAAGCGGTGTCAGGGATTCAGCGGCAACAACTGTATTATAGTACAAAATTACGAAGACGTATGTGTGACCTGCAAGGCTGAGCGATCAGGAGCTCGTTGCCTCACTTGTAGGCGGGCTCAAATGGTTTGAGCATGAGATATGGCGTTGGTTATTCTGGAACTTACGTGACCCGCCGCTACTGCTTTTTCGAAGATTCCCCCTTAGATAGGCATTGGTGTCTTCACCATCATGTATCCTGATGCTGAACATGGAATAGAATCAGCGTTTTGTTTTTTTAATTGGACTTCAACTACGCCTCTAGCGATGACATTATCTTGTTTCATCGTAAGTCTGCCCTATCTAGCATGTATAAAAGAAATATAAAAAATGTTATTACAATGTTATAAAATAAATAGAAATTATGTTTGGTGTTGAGTCGCCCAGGTGTCCATGATGGACACGAACTTGTGTCCCAGTGGATCCCTCAAGGGAATAATAGCACTAACCAAGACCTGTGCGCAGTATGATCAGGATTTACTTACAAGGAGTAGTATCTCACGAAGCTACATCGGATATCTTCTGGTACAAAAGCTGAGCAGTCAATCATTCTCAACAACGTAAAGCGACGTCTCTTTATTTATTTATTACAAATACCTTTTCAATCTGGGAACTTTCTAACTAATGTGCCAAATTTCATGTCCATTACACAAAAGGAACCCTTTTTCTTTCTTTCTTTTCTCCTATTTTCTACGTCTTCCCACGTTCTCCATCCGTCCCTCTCCTCACTACCATCTACTACCTATCACCACCAACCACAACTCCCAGAAACTCCAATGGACAGCTGAATCCAATCCGACCTCGTCCTAGCCTTCTCAACCCCTGACGCGGAGGCAAGTCAGGACGAGCACGGGCTTTCGACTTGTGGGCGATGGCGACTTTCTTCTCCTTCCATAAGGGAGGTCGAGGGGAAACCGAGCCCGCCAAAGCCACCACCCTGATCCGGGAATCAGGAGGAACCAGCTCCCCTAGCGCTTGATCGCGTTGCCGTTGTGATCGCCGTGGTGCCTGCCAAAGATGCCGGGCAGGGTGAGCTTGCGCTTGGGGTGCTCCCGCCGCTGCTGGTGCTGGTGCTCGATATCCTGGCGGGCCTCGAAGAGCGACGGCGGCGGCCGGTGGGCGGCGGTGGGCGGCCGCGCGCGCCCGCCGGCGGAGCACGCGTCCTCCTCGCACTGCGCCGTGCCGTTGCTGGTCGAGGCGCAGCACGTGCCCCGCCCGCAGACGTGGCCGTCCACGTACCGGTGGTCCCTGTTGCAGAAGGCCGTCTCGCCCGCCGACGGGCAGAACCAGCCCGCGTTCCGGCCCTGGCAGATCTCGTCGAACGGGCTGCCCTGGGGCGCCGCCACGGTCATGGTGGCCGCCGCGAGGGCCAGCATGGTGAGCGTCTTGAGGCTGAACATGTTCGGGGCGGAGATGGCTGGTGTAGGGGGTTGGGGACTGTTCAGGAGGAGATATGTTTCTTTTCTTTCCCTGGTAGATGAAGGGTAAGTAGGGACTGATGTTTTATCTATATTTTTATTCGCCCTTTCGATTGGTCTGTAAGGCCTGAGGAGGGATAGGAAAGAAGAGGCAAATCGAGGAATGGAGGCTTCCTATCTATAGTAATCTGCTGTCTCTATCCCGGGTCGACGGGACTATGCCGAGACGAGCCTCCGACACTACTTGTTGGTAGTCCAGCACTCAGGGCACACCTTTCGAGGATATCGGTTCTGGCAAAACTCTAAGCAGGGCATGGTGGATGTGAAAAGCTCAGCAAGCCCAAAGAAGAACCCCCAGCACTCATGGCGAGCGGGGAATAGCGGCAGGGGCGCGCAGTAGTCAACCAGAGATTACCACGAGTTGGCGAACACAAAATCTGTACAGCCCGAAACTATACTGTTAAACCCTCCTTGCGACCACAAGACCTGGTTCGCCCCAGAGCATGTCCACAAGCGCCTGGTCATGTCAAGTTGCGATACTGGTGTTCTGTGTTCTGACAAAATTACTCCATGTTGTCATCAGGGACTTTCACCCACATCCGATCGGGGACCATTTGCATATGCACAAGCATACTTGAAAAGCAACCTGCGTAATCTGGTACGTATGCACATGTGCAGCCGCCAGCCCCCAGTGTTCCGCGAGCATGTGATTTCAAGAGCTGATGCCCTGAAGTACCTGAGCAGAGGTAGTTCGTTCAGAACACATAGATATCCGGCAGTTGCCTCTCATGAGTAGGGGGAAGCGGTCTAAACGGTAGTAAGCCGCCGATTCTGGTACTGGTCTCAGATAGCTTGCGGACATCAGAGTGACCCATCGCACGGGCAGTAGGGTCGCGCACAATAAAGGTTGTGGTCTATTTGTTTGACTATTCGCAATAACCAACGCAGAACGCAGCCAACATGTCACAAAACCTTGCTGTCCACCCGATTGAGCCGATAATAACCAAGAATGCAAGGTTATTCAATCTAGATTCGGTAGAAATTTAATATAAGCACGACAAAACTCCCCAGGCAACAGTGACAGCTCATGCATACGAAGCAAGTTCATCTCCCACAGCAGCTGCCTGAATCACCAGAAGGCTGGCCTTCAATCCACTCGAGGTGAACTTACCACCAAGAACACCAATAGTCTTACTTATATCACCTTCAACAGTAGTTCTAGAGAACTTAGAGTGCCGACGACCAGTTACAATGATATCACCTGCGTTACGCGGGTTCTGCCCAGTATTTGTCTTCGCGAGTTCAACTGCTTGGGTTATTGCAGATTTAGAAGACACGGAGACTTCAAAGATGTTGATGCGGCTGGCAAGGCTTGCAGGGAGCGTAGACTGAATCGAGGCTAGTAAGGAAGAGTCTTGGGCGGTAATCTCGGTCCTGATGTTTTCCTTGGCCTCGGCAACTGAGCCTTGGCCGGCGGTGGTGACAATCTCATCTTCATCCTCAAGTGTCCAGTTCAGATGCGCGATATTGACTGTCACGAGGGGGCTCTTTGCAAGCTGTAGCACAAAGCGAAGCGCGGCGCGGTCGTCTTCACCACCGATAAAAGGCAAGAAGACGTGGTGTGACTTGTCAGTGACCGGTGGGAGTGCTGCCTCTCTGGCGCTGCGTAGCGACATGCCGCTCTTGCTTCGAACGAGTGTAGGTTGGGTTTTCTCTACTGGCGCAATGCCACTGAAGCCATTGCCAATGAAAATGCCCGTGTTGCAGACTGCTTTCGATAACGTGTTCTGAATAAAATCAAGATGCGACCCTCCGGAGAAGCGATCTTCGGATGATACGTTGAAAGGAATAGCCTGGTCCAGGGTATTGCTGCCACCCTCGCTCCAAGGAATGAGAACAAAATCCGAGGATTGATCAGATGCTTTGTTGACAACAGTCTGCGCATAGGCATCCTCCGGTGCCACCACGACACTCGAGGAAACAGCCACATCATTTAATTGCGAAAAGGTCTTGAAGGCGTTCACAACAGGATCTCTGCGTGAGAATTCCTCGGATTCGGTGACTTTCATAACAGAGGAGGTACGCTCCGTAAGCTCAACTATTCGTAGAGCGTGAACCTCCAACGGTCGTCTTCTGATCACCGGGGTATTATCAGCGTCAGCATCTTGGGCAGTATCGGGGGAATCCCTGAGGTCCTGCACGTCACCTCCAAGCAATGACACGAAAGTGAACAGGCTGGGGAGACTGTCGAGGCGCAGATAGACCAGAAGGCGACGGATTTTAGTATCATCAAGCTTGGCTCCGAGCTGCGAGGATGTCTCAGGAGTCAGTGGCTTTCCATCCCAATCGATTTCGCCACGTTTCCAAGCTTCAATCTTCTTTTGGTACCATGGAGGATAGAGACCTTTGACGATGGGAGTCGTAGCAAAGGTAGTGACGAGAGCCATGACGACGAACATTGTAAAGGTCTTCTGCGTGAGAATGCCAGCCTCTAGTCCGATGTTCTGTCAAACATGTTAATCCAAGCACACTTGGCAAGCCGGGGAATGAATACGTACTAAAACAATCAACTCGACCAGACCTTTACAACTCATCAGCACACCAATTGTCAAACTTTCCCGCCACACAAGCTTCATGGATCTGGCAGCCAGTGTACCGCCGCCGATCTTTCCAGCGAATGCAATAACGATGATGGCAATAACATATCCCCAGGTGATTCCGTCGTTCAAAAGACCCAGATTTGTGTTCAGGCCAGAAAGGGCAAAGTAGAGGGGAAGAAACAGAACGGTAATGAGATCCTCGATCTTCTCGGTTAGTTTGATGGCAAATCCACCGTCATGAGGGCAAATGAGCCCAACCAAGAAACCACCGAAGATGGCATGGACGCCAATGATACCTATCATAGTCAGTCACATATCCTCGACAAAATCTTATTTGTGCAGCACCACTTACTTGTGAACCATGCAGAAGTGAGAACAAGGAGGAGAGTGAGCGCCACCACTCCCTGGGTCGGGCCATTCTGAATACTTCCGGTCCTTCTCAGAACCCAGTGGAAGGCTGGTCTGACTGCGAAAACTAGGAACAACACCCAGCCCACAGCAACCAGAAGCACCCACAATGCAGTCAGTCCAGAAGCGTTGTTGACAAGAGCAACACATAAGGCAAGAAGAATCCACCCAACAACGTCGTTGCCCACACCCGCCGCAAGCACGGTGACACCGACAGAGGAACCAAGGAGCCGAAGCTCCGACAGGATTCGGCAAAGGACTGGGAAAGCAGTGATAGCCAAGGCGGTACCGACGAAGAGTGCGAAGACACCGAAGTTAAGTGTGTTCGCACTAGGAAACTGGTGATAGACGCCGTAGGCGATGGCCACTCCGAGTCCAAACGGCAGGATCATGCCAGCGAGGCCAACGCTCAAAGCTATACGCCAATTTTGGGTGAAGAGGCGGACATCCAACTCCAAAGCGATCAAGAAGAGAAAAAGAATAAGGCCCAGGTTGGCGACATTGTTCAGAACCGGCATGGAAGCCGTTGGGAAGATGGCATCCTTGAAGCCGGGAATGCGTGCTAACACAGACGGGCCAAGTAATACACCACCTATAACCTCTGCGATGACTCTGGGCTGTCCAATATACGACAAGGGGAAATGAAGTAGACGACAGAAGATGATGATGATACCAGCCTATGCAGAGGCATTTAATCAGCAATGTCCGTGCCGATGTAATGTGAAACAAGGTTCATTGCGGCAGACTACACAGCAGACCGATGGGTCGTGCGGCCGGTCGATAGTAGCCCAATCAGATGGCCACACAACACGGAACACTTACTTGGATAATAAAAAGATTTATAGGGTTTGAGGCGCTGTACGTATTCGGCAGTACATGTTCGAGTATCCCGCCTTGCGGCGTCGCTTTGTTGGCACTCGAGGCTGATGCTGTAGCCGCAGCACTTATAGTACTGGTGATAATCGAGGTGACTGTGGTGGTGGCCATTTTGAGACAGCGCGGAACACCAGATCAATGGCGCCGCGGTGCGAATCGTGTAGCCCCCGAAATGGCTATAAGATGCAACTCCTTCGCGTCAATAGCAAATCAAAGTCGGTTAAACGCAGAGTTGTGAAAGATCCTCCCAACAGCAGCGTAGGTGCCGACGGCGTTGAGATAAGGTCAGCAACGAAGAGAGTTCATGTCAAGCAACTTGGGACGGACAGGGCGGACCGCGCTGAGCGTTGAGGGCATGACCAGTTAACCCGCCCTTGGCTTTGCGCCTATCTTCAACACCGCTTACAGTATGAGTAAGGGCGTTCAAGGGGCCCAAGAGGCTAGCGGCAACGAGCCTGGAAGCTGGTGGGGTCACAAGCGAAGAAAGGTGTACAGCAATTGGGTGAAGCCCGGCACGCAAGCCTTGGCAACATCAGCCCACGCCTCCTGTCGTCCCGTGCATGGTACGATTTCAACGGCGGCTTTCTGGGGCGCTACGGATCCGTTCTCTGGAGGGGTTGAAAGAATGTGGGATGGCTGGCTTTGCTCCATGACAAACTACGACTAATTGTGGGGGAGAAAGGGTCTCGAGGGCCTGGAACGTCAGTTGCGGTCTTGAGATTTAGGTCATTTGAGCATATAAAACGACCGAAGCCAGGATAGACGTGTTTCTGAACACCTCGAAACTGGCGGTTCTGGCGGTCCTGGCGGTCAGCACAGCTTTTAGAGGATTTCGAGATGAATCCTGTAGGCGCTGGGCGTTGAGCTTGCGGCTTGGTGTTGTCACTCAGCAAACCCATGTGACCGCCCAGCGCCATTCTAGTCATAGTGATCTGAATATTTGATTTCGACGCCATTGATGCTGCGATCGACTGGACTTCGACTGTTGCGCCAAAGGTAGTGGCACTTCTTTGGTTTTCTCTCAGCTGATTTGAGGGGCCATGTGAGATTCTCAAAGTCTCAACCACAGCTTGAGGCTCAAAGGTCCTATCAGGGTGGCTTCAGCGGACCCCCATCCCGAGGATGCGGGGTGTCGAACCGAAGGGTCGGGAATCCATCTTCGAGTGGGCGCATAGACTATCCTGAGCACGTATCACTGCCTCGGGCTTTCAAGCAGCACGCGCAGGTAGCCCGTGCAAAATGCACCTCGGAGAATACTGCAGGACTTCTCGCGATTGCGCCTCTTCCAACTGCATGCCTTTGCACCGCAGAAGACTCGGGTGATCGATCCATCGAGTAGGTTGTACAACGGATCCCAGGCTGTGAGCCTACCGACCCCAAGTCTCACAAGGCTTCGATCGCATCGCACGAGCAGTCTTCAGCTTCAGGCGCCGTGGCTATCGTCGCTTCAGGCATCCGGCAAATTCGAGTCCAAGAGCCGCAAAGTACTATATGCACATTATGACTCGATGTCATTGTACCTCTATCTTTGAGGCGTACCGATGGATTCTCGTCAGGAGGCTCGAGTCGCAGGGCTGTGTATGGTGGATGGTCACCGAACGAACTTGGTGACACGGCAAGATCAAATGTAACTTCACCATGCATGCAGGCAGTTATCGGGTTGCTTGATATAATATTTTGCCCAGTATCATTTAAGCTTCTTGTTGTATCCGCGTCGTTAGAACCCTGTGGTCGCAAGTAAGTCAGTCGCACGAGTACCATCCATCCTGCTTTGGTTGTATATAGCACAAAAAACATGAACTGCACAAGTGACAGCCGTGGAGTTGTAACGATTTCACGGAACACCATGGCAGTTGGTTGCTGGTGCAGTTCGATTTCTGGATGTCGAATGGTTGTACAGCACGACATTCGGCCAGTACTGGATTGCAGAGCCTTTGATTTTCTAACAGCATGACATCTCTCTCACCGCTTGTCGCCAGAATAAGGTGCCAAAGCCTTATTTATCTACTATGATGCGCTGATCTATCGGGTCACTAGTCCCCTTAAGAGTGATTAAATGCTGATGGAACCGGCTGACCGTTCAGCCCTACCATTACAAAACCAGCTGCTACTGTAGCTTACGTTTCCTATTGAGGACAAAGTTCTTACATAACCCGCAATCTGTCTCCACGATGCCGGCAAACATGCAAAGAGCCGCGTGTCAGACGAGAGCCGAAGTCCAACTTCAACGTATAATCTCGTAGGGCTGAACGTGATGACTCAAAGAACGTTGCGTGGTGAGGGCAGCATAGTGTCAAGTCGACACTCGGCTCACACATGAAATTTCCAGCAGAGCAATACAAATTTCCTGTGCCGCAGAAAGGGCCCCCGTTCGTCCGAATTGCGCCGCGTCCTCCTCTGGATTGAGGACTTCGCAGCGGTGCGGAGCGGGTAGCTATTCAAACATGAATTGACCAAGCACCTTGCAATATGGACTCAAAGTCGCTGCCTGGCACAGCACTTCTGATGATGATGACGACGACTTGTTTGGAAAGGAGCGCGTTGGTACTCTCCGCCTATATTGCGGCTTTGGACTCGGTCTTTGTTTCCCCTGCAGACTTCGTGTGTTTGGACTTTTGGAGATTCTGCTTGGGGTGACATGGTCTGTTCCGAAATAGAAGTAGGTTGCCATCTCGTAATGAGCGTCGGCACCGAGAATAGCAATTCTCGCCGAAGAGGTGTCTTTGTTCTATCTCGGGGCCGACAACCTAAAGCACGCATTCTTCGTTTGCGGTTTCTAATCATGGCATCTTTCACAGGATATAATCTGTCCGGTAGACTCACGAACGACGCATTAACCCTTGCGGTGCTTGAGTATTTGAATGTTACACAAGGTGCATTAACAACTACAGCATCATATCATGCATCGCATGATGGGCTCCCTTGAGGATCACCTCGGGACCGCATCCTTCGTGCGATAGCTGCATCTTCCAAGTTTCTGAAGTCATAAGACCAAACCCCTTGATTTACGCCGCACTCTTGCACGCCGCATCATGAACACGGCGAGCAGAGGCTGGTGCAGGCATCATGCCATGCCTGCGTGTAATTCCTCAAATGCCTGCTATACAATGGTGGGTACATGCTGCACGAGTCTTTTCTGGTATGTTACTATGTATGGTCGGCCGAGTTTTGATGTGGATGTGGCAAGGTTCTTCCACCTGTGCTACCTGAGCCATTGTGAAAAAGCGGAGGGTTTCATCATGCCGAAAGCCATCAGTCAATTTCATTACATCAGGAGATATTCTCATAACACAACAAGAGCAAATAGTGTCATAGAAACGGCGTGCAAGGTTTTGTCAAATCATAATAACATACTTAACATTACTTCATGTGCCAAGACATTGCGGCCGACATCTTGTGCACTAGGACAGAGCATAAATCGTATGTACGACTCTTCCCCTGGATTTGCCGTTTCCGGCAGTCCAGCGGTATTGGCATCATTTCTCGAATCCGCAATGCTCAGGCAACCACTTCGCCTGAAGGATTGCGATTGCGAGGATAGCTTCGGCCCCCAAGCGACGGAGAACGTGTTAGCACTCGCTGACCAGCATTGGGATCTTGAAGTGTTCCGCCTCCTAAGGATCCGAGGGGCCACACTTGCGGCCGCGTACTTGCGAAGACCGGTAATTGGTGGTCTGGGTGGGACGTGGAACCGGAAAACGTGAATCAGACCAGACGAGCCAGAGAACATATACATGGTCTTTACCGTTCTGGGCCATTTTGCCCGGTTCCAAGGATTGATGGAGTTAATACACTGCTCGGTTCTAGCCGGTTGTGTTTCATTAATTTTGCCTGCCCGCTTGTACAGAAGGAAAGAAAAAAAGAAAAGAAAAAAACCATTCCAGGCTGCTTCGAACGAAAGCGGCACGCAGATGCGAGTCTAGCCCAGTGGTTTAGATTGCTTTCATATGTATTTATGTCGCAAGATCCGCAAGAGTACAGGGAATCTGAGATTGGTAGCTTTATTCTGTTTCGGGAAAATGGTGTACGATAATAGGCATGTAGTTAGCTTGGTCCGTGTGGCCGCTGGCGCGCGTGTTGTCCGCCATAATACGGAGTACAAGGCTATCTGGATGACTGGGGCCAATAGCCCAGGGGAGCCGAAAGTGCCTCGCAGGAGCTATATGTAAAATGCAACTCAGCTATGAACAGTATAGCCCTGCAGGCCGGGTACAAATGAAGACTGCTGCTTTGTCTGAGGCTTAACTACATGCTCTGTCGTAAAGTACCATCTTGTGTCACCATGAAGAGCTAAGGGACCAGATCGGCGCTCTAATGGAGATGTTCATCACGCACCGCGCATGGATGCAGCTGGCATTAGAAAGCGGGAGTCGATTTGCAAAGCCAGAGATGCTGGAATGCGGAGCACTGTGTCTTTGCGTCTGAGGGAAGGCCTACGAGGAGAAGGCAAGGGCTTATCCTATGGTGTGTTTACATAATCGAATTATACAGGGCCCTGTTGCACGCTTCTTGAAGCGTCTTGATTAAGGTAAGGTAACAAGGTTCTGACCTGGCGCAACCCGTGTCAGCGCCATGCATGAAGACCCTGCTGTTTTGGAGATTTTGGGAACAGTAGTGGACGGGTCAAAGTGGGCCGGGACGGATTTCAAGTCTGGAATACCCACTATGCTATCTGGACCCGTTTGCAGTACCCGAGCAAGCCAACCTGCAGGCTAATGATTGGACGAGCGTACGATAACTATGCGAGGGTGCAAGACGACTCTGATTGGTGCCATCGCACTTGGTTGTGTGGCTAGAATGCCGTGGGTCGGAGTCTGCTACGGATCGCGGACTTCTACACTTCAACGAATTCCGTCCAGGTGGGATTATTGTTGCCTGGAGTTGCTTGGTCAAGCCAGCTCTCGCATGATCCACGTACTACTGCGCATCAATAATCCTCGCAAATACGGGGAGCAGGAGAGATAATAACTTGATGAGATTGTTTACCAAGGCACTAACGTTGGGGAATGTAAGACGGGTAGGGCTAAGAGGCATGACGTAAACCGATCTAAGCACAGAGTCATATTACATCGCAACCAACACCTGCATTGGTTAAATCATATATTTCTGTTCAAATATTGGAACATCCAAAGCTTTTATTTGTGCCATCAACCGTTAATTGTATATATATTGCTGCTCAAGCTGGTTCGATCTAGAAGAATACCAACCTTGAATGCCACCGTTGGCGGACTTGTAGTGTATCCCACACATTCCATGTGCTTTTACTCCTGACTGGAGTCCGAGGCATTAACCAGATCCGCTTTGACTAGTCGTTCGGTTAATCACTTCATAGGATTCATTCCAATCAAGACATCTTCCAGAAAAGTTAAAACGAATAATCCCACCTATCAAAGGTCGACTGTTGTGCTGAGATACCTGTCGGTCCCAGCTTCCACAGTGGCTTTATGTGGCGCTCACCAAGACCATGGCAAGCAGATATAAGCGATTCGCTTCATGGATAAAGATGCAGCCAAGTCAATACACATATCAAAGAAGATAACTTACGCGAGATCTCCGTTGTGAATCATTGTGGCGCCACGATATAGACGTGATTCTATTCAGCTGAACAGCGGCCATGTGAATAGCGCCGATGAAGTGTGTTTCGTGGTGTGCATGTGATCCGTGATAGTCTGTGGGAGCGCCACAGCTCGTCGCAATCGCTCAGTGAATAGTCAATCGCCCGCAAATCAGATCGTACTCGGGCTTGTCGGCGTCCAAGTACCACCAAGCCCATCGTTGCACTGAACAAAACCCATGTTGTCCACCTGAAAGGAATGCATTGCAGCACCTTGCAGCGAGCGAGCGAGCGGGACCGAGCCCCTCACTGCTACAGAACGTCCAACAACTTATTCCGTTACACAAAGGATCCTACCATGTGTGGTACTTTTCCAGCCTAAGACCATTTGCACATCAATATGAACGAAAAACGAGATAAATACCATCCTTCAAAAACAAACGCAGCAGTAAATAGGTCGTGCATAGCTCCAACTTGGCAGTTGATGCCAGCCGAGACACTGCATGCCGTCGTCGTGCCTAGGAGCTCAGGTGGGCCAAGGGCAAGACGGTGTCCACTTGCGTAGGAGGGCAGATTACTGAAGCCTTATCCCATGCCAACGTCTTCATAGTGTACTGTCGTTGAACCGGTAGATTTGCTGGCAGTATTTGGCCACGAGACCCACTCGCTGTCGCACCGAGGCTAGAAGTCATGCCGCCTGTTGTCACTTTGAGGCTCTGGGAAGATATTGGAAAAGCAAAAGAATTGAACTAAATCAAATATGAAGTTTGTGGTAGAAAGACGGCGAAACTTTCGACGTTTGTGGCCAGGCGTATTCCCAAATGTATACTTCTTCCCATTGATTTTGCGGGTGGTGTGCTGCAGCCCGCTGTAGAAATGTGGGAAGTTCCGACCTCTCACCCGTCACTAATTGCATGTGGCACGGAGAAGATGGGTCGCCGAATGAAACAGAATGAATCAATGGGGAACTAGTCTAGGCGTGGGGAAACCGACCGCCTTTCTTCCACTGTAAACGTTGCATACAGAGAGGTAGACCCTTGGAATGAGCGGTAAACTGTGAAAGGTGCATGCCGCTGTGTTTGCTTCGCCACGATACGATCGCGAGATTGGGGAGACATCTCACAGGGAAGCTTGGCCGGCTAACACGTGGGACACAGAGAGACAGCGGGAAGCAAGGTGGTGCCAGATCCCGCGAAGTGCTGTATCTGCACATGTGCTGTCCATTATGCATTGCTGCCGATCAGCATATATCGAGTGACTCGGTAAAATGCCAAAATGTAGCATGTAAATGCCATGCTGGAGATCCTAGATCCTCGCACAAGAGGGATAGACACATAAACGTAGCCCTACCACAAGGCTTTGAGTTAAATGCTGATGGACGGAGTCGATGGACGACAAAGAGTAATTCAATCACCAAATACGGTAATTTGCTTGGGCTATCTGCTTGGGGACACGCGTTGATCGCAATCCTGGATTCAATAATGCACTTATCTCTCCCCCGCCTGTCCCATAGCTTTGGAAGGAGATCGCGAACGCTATTACCGTTGCCCAACGGCGTTAAGAATTCCGTAGCACCATTAACTACGCTGGACTTGGTGTCAGTGGATACCCGACACGAAGCAATGTGATGCGAGTTACCTCTGATCCATGCCGAGTTACACGTTTGTCGATCACAACACGTTGATTCGCAAGGATAGCTCTTGGTCACGACTGCATAAAATTTCGTAGCTTCCTCACCGTCTATCTGTGTACCGACTTCCCTGCAGCCCTCAGATCATAATGCAAGAAGAGCCGATTACTACCAAAAACATTGCAGATGATCAGTCATCATGGAAATAACATGGGTACTTCGAGAATGTGGGTGATACGTGGTGCCCAGCAGGTAGCATAGGTTGTTGCGATATCTTATGCCTGTCAAATGAATAGCCGACGTAAGCGGAATCTCCGACGAAAGTGCTCATAGAGTAGAGTCGAGACTAGACAGTCGAAATGTTTGCAGAATACAAGATGTTCCATGACCAAGCAACAGCTATAACGCCTCCAGGGTTATGATCCACTACGATTCGTCCGAAGGGGAGCCAAGCTAGATTCAGATCAAGCCACTGACAGGTCGAAGGCGTACTTGCAAAGCGTCGTAGGCATTCGCGGGCAAGGCGCAGCTACGGAGCAGATCATCGCATTGGCTTCGAGGATACTTTACCGGTTACGGCTGCAGTAGGGAATTTCAGAGAGTCGAGAGTATAATGGAGTGTTGCCAGCTTGGAGGAGTTCTCTCATAGGGCCAACCTCACAAACTCCCCCAGCTTCAGCCCTACAAGCGGCTTGCGCCCGCTAGCAGTAAACGGCGTGCCCGACATGCCCACTCGTCCAATAGCCGGCGCCCTGGCCACGCACCCTTCCTACATACAGTAGAAGGCCGATACACCGCGTAACGGTCGGTATGACTGATACCCATCGCGTGGAGCAGATCATCGTCAACGCAGCTAGATGCGGTTCATGATTTGATTCATCAAAATTGTGCGCATCTGCCAGACCGCCATATAGGCACAGCTATGCAAGACATACAGCAATGGGCGTCATAGTATTGCCCGGAACTAGGTCAGGTCGAGTAACTTGGTGGCATCTTGCGATCCTGTACGGTGCGTTGCATGCCCACCTCCCCTTACTATCCCGCTTTGAGGCAGACCGGGTTCTTTTCATCCCAGTGAAGCAGTTCCGATACTGCCGAACGAGGCAGCATGCCTCCGGCCGACCCAAAGGTCCACGCAGGTTCTCGAAGATGGTGGAGGGGAAAGCGATAGCCGTTGTTGCATGATCATCAACCACCTTCATACATGTACCACGGACCCAGAAAGCCAGCCCTACGAGAAATGAGTGCTGACACACCCCGTTGAACGGGTACACGCCAAGCTATCAATGTCAGAAGTATTTTGCTTTTATTGTCAAAGACACAGTGGTGCTGTCATGTCTCATGCGTCAAACAACATAACACATAACACAGCGGTCAAGATAGCCATCAGTAAGCGATCGCATATTCCCCTTCAATAGATTCGATGAAGAATGGTCTCATCGATTCAAGCCTGCCGAAGCAGTACAAATGGCGACATCCGGAGGCTTCGGATACAGGCTGCACAATAGAGGACTTGTCCAGAAGAGAAGGTCCCCCGATGTATAATGTATACTCGACCTTGAAAGCTGCGAGTCGCTTTGCAGGAAACCAACCAGTCGCAACAATCTGAAAGGGACATTTTGACAATTTTGCTGGATATGTCAATCCACCAATGAGTGCCAAGAAACGTTTCACAGCAACCGTTGCAGAAAATAGACAATGCACCATCCTTGAAAGTGTCCGCGCATACAGGACAATCCATAAGAAGCGTTGAATCTAGGGACTAGCATCGAAAAGAGTCGCTTTATCAGTCCGAGAATAAATGCCTTACTCGATTGGGGTCATTAGCCCATAATGAAAGTTGCGGCCGCCTTAACGAGCTGATTTCTCCACGTTACAGTTTGGGGAGATTTCTGACCACACTCGCCGGTGCAGCAGCAATGCCAGCACCTGGTCCTGCTGGTGTTCTTCCAAACCCTGTATCCCGGTCCTGATTGGAATACAGGGTCTTCATGCACGAGGCTAGATTACTATACCAAGCTTCGAATACCCCTTTGACAGGACAAATATGGTTTTAAGAAGAAGCTCAACCAATTCCGGTCGGTACCGGACTTCTGAATAACGAACGATAATAGTATCCATACGCGTCTAACCTAGCGGTAAATGATATGGATCCACCACTTTGGATGCGAGCATAAGTTTCACATCGAAATATACTGCCGGAATAGGGCAATTACCAGTCCATGATCCTTTCTCCTGATATTTGACTCCCTAAAGTAATTTTGATTCAAATTTCCAGGCGGCATGGCCTCCTGACCTGCTTGGTAACACAAATATCCTTCCATGCTTCTAGAACATCATTGGCTGGGCTGGCTGGGGGAGCAAAAAACGTGGGCATACAGCCTGGAGAATCCTGATTGTGTTACCTGGGGCCGTCATCTGGGGGATTCGCCCTCTGCTGCACAAAATCCTCCAGGCATGGCAGTGTCTCAAGTTGGGACGAAAATGCAGCGTCGCCACGTGCAACAGATTACACACTGTTCCTGCAGTTGAAGTTCAGATGACCACCGGTTGTTTTGTGCACTGCAAGTCCGTCATGCCATACCTGTAAATCGGCAGAAGTAACAAATATTTAGATCCTTGCACTTGAGTCGATGGAATAAGGACACACACTTGGTTAGGAACGATTGATTGCGCATACATCTGCAAGAATACCCGAGCCTGATTTAGACATTTTGCTAGTTTCAGACATAAGAGGATCAGAGTTGGAAATTGCAGTTGATAGGGTTATCCCAAAATAATCCTCGAGGCACGTCTAAGACAACTATTATGGTCAATGCATGGAAATGGCATCTTATGCTGCCTGTATCTTTTCGTCGATTATGGTTCTGTAAGCACCACTCTCCTGGAAGTGGTTGCAACGCTTGGCTGCCACGGGACCAGTGGTTGATGCTTCTTCAGTCAAGGGTCTCGTCTGTTCCATAGTCCCAGAGGCATGGTGGTGGTACCGGCAGTCGCTCCAGGGCCCCTCCTCCCCTGTCTAGGACTTCTGAGGGCTTGTAATGGGAATATCGCATGGACACCTGCCTCGGGGCTGGGACGTCGCGTGGAGTGAGAACTTTAAATCTTTGGCCTATCGCTGTCTCGCATCCACGCAAACGTATGGCTTGGTAAATGGTTTGAACCGGAAACATCCTTTCCGAAGGATTTGCTTACGCCGTGACAAAAAAGAGTAAAAACGTGTTCCGTAGTTCTGGTGCCTTGCGAAGGAAAGGGCATTGCATGACCTCCAAGAACCCCTGTGAGGTATATGATATTGCTTCCAGTATGTATGTGCCATCTTTCATAAGGATCAATAGTGTACTTCAGGTGAAAGTGTCGCAGAGTCTTTCAGACTCCAAGTTTGGAAGGTCCTGAATCAAGCTGTGGTGAATTGTAGTTGAGCAGCTCACACCTAGTACAGCCTTGTCGATAGGACCACAGCGGCCGAGATGAATGATATGATTGATACTGGTGGAAAGCAGTGAGGCTCCAAATCCATTGTTCTTGACGCCTTGCTTGAATCGGCGAAGCGGCCGCGCAAGTTGCCTGAGTTGCTCTCGGCAAAGCTCGAGGGATAAGGCCAAAAAGGGTATAGCTTAAATCCCCAATCTATTGGGCACGCTCCGCAGCATTAGCCAGGCAGAAGTACGAATGATGCAGCGGAAAGCAGTGCAATTTTGAAATTCCGTTTAGGCGGCCGCCGGAGTAGGACATCAAGTACTAGATGTCACTTACCCCGTCGATAATCACGTTGTTGCGATAACAAGTAAGATAGACGAATAGATGCGGATTTGTTCACAGTACTGGTGACCAGTGATAAGGTTCCGCTATTGATTTTTGTGGTAGAAAGCAACGGCGCTACATCGGTGGAATCTGTAGGGCTGAGCCTGTGCCTCCTCGGGGAAGTGCGGGAAGAAGCCAATGAAGAGCGACTCTCAACATTGAGACGATGAAACAATGCATTCGAAGGTGTTAACACCTTTCAGTGAAAACAAATGATACCCAGTAGCCTTTTGAAACACTTGATTGGTCCTCGGGTTTACGAGCGCACTACCATCTCTGTTCTAGGTGAAGGGACTTTTGGGCTCAGGGCCTTGTCGGAGCTAGCTGCGTGACCTGGCCTACCTACCCCCCAGCATATCTTCAGTGCTCGCAAGAGAACCGAATTCATGGGTTTGCAGGGAGTGTCAAGACTCCCGGGAAATTGGGAGCGGATATCCGCAACGGCTAGAATACTCGGTGGCAGGACTCACATGTCCGCTCGACCAGTCATGATGGCTCTTGAAATCGAGGATCCATAGGGGGAGAACGGGGTGCTTGGTCAGAACTCTGGGGCTCCCGTCCAAGAATAGATCCGAGTTCTTCAACAAGCACGTGTGTCTTCGTTCCAATGACGAGTGAAAGTTGGGGTTTAGCTGAGTCTAGAGAATACCGCCCTAACATTGTTGTGGCTTGACTTGCTTCACTGGCGCCGCCACTGGGTTTTGGAGAAATGCCAGGCGGCTTTGCAAAGCTGAAAGACAAAGCCGCGTTCTATCCTTCGAGAATGTGCTGCGCCGTGCTGCTCAAGCCGAGGATCATGGTCATTCTTCCACACTTCGTAAGGGACTCTTGAACGTTTGATAGAGTGGTTCTACTGTTCAATGCCAATATCCTCAACGCTATTACTGAGTGGCGCGATTTGTCACCACTTAACGACCTTTTTTTTTAACGAAACCGCATTCATACATATGCGTCCGTTGGCGTATCCTCATCAATCTCATAATCCCCACTGATCGACGTCCCAGGTCCTTCATTATTGAATTCCAACTAGGACTTGGGGGCTGAGATTGCGAGAGTACAAGTACTGCAACCTGCTGGGATTGACATAGCTCACTGAGGATACGCCAACGAACGCATATGAATGTTGTTTCGTTCAGTCGTTGCTTCTGGGTCTTTCCTCTAATTCGTCAAAGCTCATGTCCCGATTTATCACTATCGGCTCAACTACACGTTCCAGAAAGGCTGGAGCTGTAGGGGCAGGCAGAATGCAGGGCTTAATCGTAACGTTTTAATGTAGCATTCAGAATATTCGGCGAGGAGCGTGGAACCACTCGAGCTAATGCGTGGTCCTTCCGGCTAAGCCTTATTATTGGCTCGGCCGGGATACAGATGTGCTATGTATCATCTTGGTGCGAGCAGCCGTTGAGCGAAAGCGTGAAGCTTAACCGTCATTCTACCTAGACCTAAAAACAGTCAAGAGATTGGCTTCTCAGTCGGGAAATGATACCTAACGACGTTTAGTGCCTTCTTCCCAGAAGTCGCAGTCCCAGGACACAATGTCGTTCATTCATTTCAGTTGGGTAGCCCTATGGACCCGCGCGGCCGCTACTTGGTACTAGGTATCGTAGGGACAGTGCTGGTGGGGATGGGTACTTGGTACTAAGACACTGCCCAGAGAGTCCAAAAACATAGCGCTGCTTTAAGACAACAGCCTTTGAACTCTGCTGGGCTATGACTCTTCAGTTTACGAGAGAATGAAGGTAAAATACTTGGGTACCTCTTCCCATCCCTGCCCTTGTTGTACCTTGTCTTTCCCACATGTGGCCTGGGATTGAGGCGCGGGTTAGCACTTCATTGGTGCACCAAACGGTTGCATTAGCCATTTTGACAAAGTCCCCAAAAGGCGGACCTCGCGCTTGAGGGCAGGGATGGGATCCTCGCTCTAGCATGTCGTGTAACCCCTACGTTTTGGCGTCGGTACGTCTATAGAAGTTCCCAGGATACGTACCGAGTCGATGTATCTCGTAGGGCAAGGGTCCTCTTGACGTCCTGCAGCGGCCGTCAAGTCCCATGGCTGAAGTAGCCGAACGGGAACGGGCAGCCTGTCTGTCATCTGTATATATCCTCCCTTCCCATCCTCTTTCAGATTAACCTAGCCTTGACAACAAATCAACTTGACAAGTAAGAGAAGATCTTTGGATTTCAATCGAAAAGATCTCTTGAGAATAAAATAAAACAACACTACCTCGAATACATTGTGTTCTCTACTCGCAGCTGTGTCCGCAGCTTTATACTTATTCCAGTGGACTATCAATCCCGTTCGCTTGGATTTGCCCACTATGTTTGCCATGTCGCAGCACCCATACTCATATGCCTCTTCGCAACCGGCGAGGCAATACCCGGCACAGGGCACGAGCAGTGCTTTCTCCAGCTCTGCAAACCCAGATGAGGATTGGACCAAGATCTCGGATCTTGCTGAGCGCAGGAGGATCCAAAATCGGATTGCTCAACGCAACTACCGTATGTTGCACCGATAACAAAAGGGTTGAGGTACGACGCGAGACTAACATGGCATACAGGCAAGAAGCTCAAGAGACGCTTGGAAGACTTGGAGAGACGCGCAAACACATCAGACGGCTCCTCATCCGCCAGTGGATCTGAGAAACAGGGACAAACTACCACCAAGAGCATTAAGAAATCGGCCTCAAAGTCACAAAAAGCAACCTCGACCTCTCAAAAGGCAGTAGCTCCCCAATTTACACCGCCAATGACACACGACGATGAGCTCATGTTCCCTTCAACTTATGACGATCGCGAGCGATCGCATACACCTCCTTTCGTTCAATATTCACCATACCCTCCGCCTGACGAGATGCTACTTCCCCCTTACGGAACTGCACAGCCTTACCAATCCATGACCGCTGCCGAAACGTACCCTGGTTATATGGCCACGACCATGCCCGGTACTTTACCTTCAATCACACACTTCAACGATGCCATCAAGCGGGAACCTTACCCTGATGAATCGCTGTCCCCTTACATGAACTATGGCTACCTCCCCGGGATGGACATGAGCGGTCAAAACCCATACGATAGCTCCAACCCTCATGTGAGTCATGTGCGCCATACTTCCCACCGATAAGCACAGCAAAACTGATCGGTGAATTCTACTTGATTCAGACACCACCACTATCTCATTCATTCGATCACTCTGCAAACTGCTCCGAGTCTGGCTACGAATACCCAACTACACCTTTATCCATGCCAGACTCCCCAGGGTTCATACAACAATAGTTAAAATGGAGACAGACGGATATAGAGAAGGGGCTAGATAAGAGGTTCACACGAGCACGTATGGGTTATGACATCTTCTTGGACATATTTCTTATAACTCTTTCGGCAAGCAGCGGCGCATAAATTTTTTTCTCCTTGAGTCGAAGCGCTCGAACTTCGTAGACTCGGAAATGAGGAATCAAGGGCTATATTTTAACCATCAACTCTACCGTTAAAATATTATAACCGCGGAGCAGTCGTGCTGCTCCTCGTCAATAGTTATATTCATTCTTAGCATTCTCATAAATACTTGCTCGCAATATCATGGTATCGTATCAGTGAAACGAATGTTTGCTATATCATTACTATATAGTTGAACATGCGGGTAACAAGGTGAGCTCTCCCGGGAGAGCTGTCCAGTCGTGCGCCGCCCTGCTTACTGAGCTCCCCCGTGCCAACCACATAGTAAATAGGTCTAGCGGACGATCTGTGCCCGAGACGGTGGGGAAACTATGTTCATGCGCTAGATTAGATGCCAGAAACAAACTTTGTAACTGTGCCCACACACCAGCCAAGCGCCCATACTGCCGTCAAACCAAATAATCTCGGGTAGTGGTTGGTAATCCAGATGGCTTAGAACAAGGAGCAGCAACGGCGGTCGGCGACAGTGATGGTAGTGCCAGGCCGCGAGTCTACTGTCTGCCTGCTCTGATGACTGGGGAGCAGGGAACTTGGCTATGGCTTTTAAGACCCCATGGCAGTCTGCTGCAATAAGAAGCTTATCGAACGAGAAGAGGTATGGTCTTGCGCGCTGGGTCCAAGGAGAGAGAAAAACATCAGGGAAGGCGGCCGCTGGGCTCAAATGCTCGACGATGGGGTCGAGATCGGAGACTTAACTCGGATAGTTTAATAATAACTTATGGACATAATACCTCGTAAATCCGAGCATGCAAACATCATGTCTTCTCAGTCCCTCGCAGCAGAGTATGTCCTGGTCGTTTAATTCCTTTCTTGGGATTGTCGAAAACCAGGTAATCTATGCCAGCTTTGCTACCACTGTCTACGTTCTACCACTACTCTGCCTGCCTGGTATTGGTGCCTGGGCAGTGCTCCATACGAAGGAGGTCATCTCCACACTCGGCCGCGTAGGGGCTTTTGTCCCGCCGCCTAGGGCTGAAGCTGAAAAGTCCAGAGCTTCATACCCCGAGCACAACGGTGCTGTCAAGAGTTACAGGAATGGGGAAGGCCTGAAATCAAGTGCTGTGTAGCCACAATCAGCGGCAACTAAATACCGAGTATGTGAGGATGGCCATGTAGTTCAAATGAGACATGCGCAAACCTTGTTCCATACCTCACTTAGCCGAAAGACCCGGTACTTTGGGCGCTGGGTCACAGCTCTCTAAGCAAATCGACATGTGAAGATCTTAGCGACCCTTATGGAGCTGAACCCTGATTTACTACTATGGGACCTACCGGTCCGACGGGTTCCCTGTTATGGGGAAAGTTCTGACGGTCTCAAGTACCAGCAGCCCAGACGTCTTGTAATAGTCCACGAGGTGTCTCGGTGGCTGGACAGTAGGTTCTTATCTTGTGATGTAACCTACCATATGTAGGACTATTTATTAACTTGGACGCCATGCTGGTGATAGCTTCACACGAATGACATCGCATCACTCATGGCGACCCTCCGGCCCTGTAACCCAATAATATCGGGCCTGTGAGCTATGACCACCCGCTCCTCTGGCATATGACGCCGGGCTTGTCTCCAACTTTATGCAAATGAAGCGATTCAGACAGAATCTATGCAGTTCTAGCCCTCATTAGATTGTACTTGAGGAGAGACACTTGAAACATTTCACCCGACCAGTTATTGTAGCACGCAGGCACGATACCAGGCGGAAAAGACGCTTGGCAGGAATTGAGTATCATGAGGTCATCAAACTCCGGACCCGCAGTACGAACTCTAAAACTTCACTACTTTGCGGGTTGCATCTGCAAATGTGGTCGAGGCTATCAAGCACCTGGCCTGTGATCTAACTACTTTATCTTCGAGGACTGTTTTCCTTCCTGCGTGGACATCTGACGAATTTAAGGAATTAGTCACAATATCTCCGATGAACATTATAACTCTTCGCCCAACTGATTTTGCAGAAATGGCATATTGTGCCTCCCTCCGTGACCTATTCGGCGCATCCGCGTAAGTAGCCCTGAATGTCGATTCGTAAACGCAGTCTTACCAATCCTATTCGATGACAAATCTGATTGTGTTACAGGCAGTGGGACGGCGAATCATGGACTTCTTCCGATGATCGAGTACGCGGCGGAAAGAGCCAATCATATTTGCAGATCTTGAAGAACGTCCCCGGCCAAAGAGCTGTCTTCCATGGCAACTTGGACATCAAGACACTTGGCGGAGCCGGTTTCGCATCACAACGGACCACGGATGAGAGAAAGTGGGATCTATCCGGAGACGACGCGATCGTATTGAAGACTGGCAGAGGTGATGGCAAGAAATACACGCTTGTCCTCAAAGACGAGGCTCTGCCCAAGCGGCCAGATGGTCGGGAACAGAGTACAGTAAGTTGGGAGTATGACTTCAAGAGCACCTATAATGGAGGCTCTCTTTACATTCCCTGGTCCGACTTCAAGCCCACGTATCGAGGAAAGCCAAAGTCCGATGCCAGGCCCCTGGATCTCAAGAGTGTCCAGCGAATCAGTATCATGATGCGAAGGTATGTGCTTTTATCATGTAAACGTTTTCCAGTCGACTAACAGTTGCAGCTTCTTTGGAGAGCAAGAAGGTCCTTTTTGGCTAGAGATTGAATCCATCAGCGCTCACAAGAAGGGCCAAAATGCCAATACCTGCCCTTGCGTGGGCGAGGAATTATTTGGTAAGGAACTGGGCGGAACACACGACGAGTCCTCGGGAAAGCGCCAGATACCAGCTTCGACCCGGTCGTGGAAATCCTGGCTGTGCTTTTGAGACATTTACAAAGTCCAAATAAGTATTCTCTAGCTAGGGTCACAAAGCGCTCATATCATGTAACGAACATGGGACCAATGAATGCTATGGATTAGAGCTATCGTAGTAAAAATGGCCACACCTTACGCCTCAGAGGCGTATGTTGCCCCTCCATAATACAGTCCGATATTGAAGTATCTAGATGTCCATTAATCGGATCTTTTTTGATATGTTGTCCAATGAGGGCAGGATCTCGAAACTGCTCACCGACCAAACTTGACACCATTCTGCCAATCAGACCACTCGCATGACGATAGAGTCAAGTGCGCTGACAAAGCACCTCTGAGACATTGCATCCACATCACCATCTCCAGGCTGCCAACTGAATACGCACGTAGCACTTTGGATGTTCCAGACTCCGCTTGCGATAGCATCCCACAAATTATACATGTGGATGTGGGAAATCAGGTGGTAGCGATGATCCTGGCGGCGAACCTATCTGACGCCAGCATTCCCAGACCTCTCACGGACCGGGCCGCCGACTTAACGGTGAACGATGGCGAACGATGGCGAAATACAATTCACGTTTATGACAAATTCGCCTGAAAGTCGGTGAGACACCAGCGAGCTCTGCAGATCCAGATCCTTGTTGAGCAGCTCGTCCCCTTTCGGGCGAGGCAATGCACCTCTGCATCAATCTTGACGGTTGCTATTCTCTTATGCCTACAGAGATGCGGTTCGCAACTCCTATCACCAGGTCTATGGACTTGTATGGTACCCTGCTATTATCAGTTAGTGCACAACTACAAGCATCCTTATCACGGTGGAGCCTAGGTGTTCGAATTCGATGTTCAAACGCTTGCATGATGCTATGCCGCCTACGCAGCAACGCGGGTCCTTCAACTACAACTCCATGACTTGAATATAGTAGTTTGATGTCGTAGGCGGCTATTATTATCAACGGTACAGTACACTGAACTTCAACGGACTAAGCACATTCCTCCACTTGTACTGAACAATCCATGTGCTCTTCAATATTTAAGCCAACCCAAAAACCAATGAGGCTATACAAGTGTAGTTCGTGTTCACGGTATTCCGAAAGGTACATTGGAATAAGCTTTTGAAGCTACGATGAAGTATACAATACCAATTTTAACGAACATGCATGGAAGCGTCTGGATCCTCAAACGGCCATAGCTTTTTTAGAAATAATAAACATCGTTCTAGTATATGACAGTATAAGCACCATGTGGTAGTGTTGGTTTCCCGCTCATTATCAACCGCCAGAAACACGATAGTCTAAAATACAAGCACCAGCTATGCTTACTGTGTATCCAAGGCCCCAGCCGCGATTGCCGAGCTACCCGTTCATGCCGATTGGCATCAGTGTGACGCACAACCTTCTCTTGTCAACCGAATCTGAGCCGGATCGAGAGGGATGATCCAAGTTCACTGCGGATGTTCGTCGCGCCTATGCCTCGGTTTACACCAAACGGAAACGCCGAGCAAGGCCACGTTACTTAGCCTTGCGACTATGATCGTAGCTTCAAACCCTGCCCACACGACGATACGGGCAACAACTTTCCACGCTGGCGAGTCTCTCGGTCCTTTCTCCACGATCAATCTCCGACGACCGCTTGATCGTGACCCCCGCCGTCTCGGCCAGGTACCGAAGATCAGGATACGAAGAGTTCACGGTTCCTCGAGCACAGCCGTGACCCCCAAGGAAGCTTTCCCCATACTCGGTCTCTCTCAACGGGGAAGCGGAGCCATGTGCACTTGACTTGGGGTGGGATTTAGTTGCGCACGTCAAGCAAACCTTAAGCGGACGACTACGGCGCCCTCCGATACTTTCATCCTTTCGCAGCGGAGAGCTCGTTTCCCTTTCTTGATAGAAAGGAAAAAAAAACCCCCCCAAAAAAAACCACACAAACGCCGAGCGAGGGCACGACTGCCGCCCGCCGGTGAGTCACATTGCCGTTGATTAGACGAAGGAGGCCCGGCTCTTTTCAAACGCGTGCCAGTCTACACAACGTATATCGACCAATGACTTGAATTACCACCTCTGTTTGACCTGGGGGATCGTCTCCCAGACAAAGTATGGTTCTGTGATTGTTCTCCAAGCAACTTCCCCTCACTACTGCGCATAGCCTAGCCGCAGAGCTCCCCCACATGGTTCCAGACGTCCCAAAGTTCCAGATGTTCCAAAGTACCCTCTCCCCCTCCCACCCCCTCCATTCGGTTGGTCGGCCGCTAGGTCGGCCCTGTACCTGTTCGACTTGTGCTGCTTTATAATACGCCCATGGTTTGTCATATCACCGCCTCCTCCACGCTCGCTCCAGCATCTATGGGTGACGCCAGCCTGCGCTGCTTTAAGTTGAATACTTGCTCGATAAAATGTGACGCTGCAGATGTGACTTGTCTGGAAAATGAGAGACAAAACAAACTGACAGTAAACTTGGTCATATCATGTGTAGTGGGAGCAGCCGGGAACAAGACCCAGGTCGGTTTCAAAGCCAGCTCTGAATCCTGCCCGTTTGACCGAGTCAACATCCGCCTCGGTACTCGCTCTTTTTCTCACCGTCCGAATGGTCGATTGCCGACCACTGCCGATTGAGTTCTGTCAATCGTAGGGCGTAGTGTCAGATGTAGCCTGAGGCTATCAGATACATAGTACATCACCGGCAGTCTGGACAACTCGTATGATCGACACACCCGGTGAGCAAAATATGTTATTTAGCCAGGGTGTCTGCTGGGCAAGAATAGATGATTTGAGCATGTTATTACATAAAGGCATTTCAAGGCCGCCTTAAGATACGGACGGGGGTGTATTTACTCCATTGCAAGCACTTGTAGAGTAAAGCATTGTATTTTGCAACATTTTCTTCAAAGTATGGTGCGTCTAACTGCAGTATCCGACTAAAAACATGCCACAGCCTTCGGGTGCCTTGATCCAGAGAGCAAGGCCACCAGGTATTTCCCGTTGCGATGTCGGAATTAAGTCCTCCTATTTCCGTTCCATTTTTGGCTCTGTGGCCCCGGTACGCCAATGCCAACCTCGACTTGAAGCCGTCGTAGGTTTGAACCCCTGTTCACAGAAACAAGATGTACAGTTGAGTTTTTGTACATAACCGTCTAGCCCATTAACTGAGGTTAAGGAAGCATTGAGCTGACATATATGTATAATGAGAAAAGAAACATGGTTATATCATAAAGCAAAATCTCCATCTTGAAAGCGAGTAGCGCGTTGTGTTTCAAAGTGCGCCGAACATCAACCCCGAGCTATTGAGATGCACTGCAGCTCTGCCAAACACCGGATGCGCCGGATATGTAGTAATATTCACAACTGTCTGGTCGACTTTTCGGGCGAAATTGGCTCGTTACGGGCTCTCGGTTGCGGATGAGAGAGAGAACTGTTCGGAATCGCTACTGAACCCGGTGTTGTTGTTATCGTTGTGACCATGTTCCGACTCCGACATACTACCGTAACCCGTATCGGTATCAATGTCCATGCCGACCATACCGCGGGTGACAGCTATGCAGCGCTCGATCATCTCCTGCTTGGCTTCGGATTCCAGCCAGTTGTCCTTGCCGATCCATATACGCAGATCACCTGAAAGCTTTTCGAGTGCACGGCTGCAGGCTTCTGCCGCAAGATTGTGATTCGCAAGGCGGTTCATCAATGTGAAAGCCGCAGTGTAGCCTAGCAAGGATAACTCGTTGCTAACGGTGATCTCGTTGTCGATGATAGGGTATATACTGACGGGCTCATCAGGAGGTCCGTACCGCTGAAGGTGAGCTATCGCCTTTGCACATTGAAGAGACATGTAAATTTCTGCTTGTGACTCGAGAGAGTCTGGGATTTCGATCGAAGGTGTCTCAGGCGTTGAGTCCGACTTCTCACATTGATCACAGCAGTCTGCAGGAGCTGTACAGGGACCAGTCGCTTGAATCACAGCGGCAATATTGGCACCGCGCTTCTCCTTGAAGAGGACAGCCCGAGCAACAAGGGCGCGGTTCTGAGCAATAGAGCCGACAGGGGCAGCTCTGATTGCCAAAGTGATACCTTCTTCGACAAGCTGCGTGATTTCGCCATCCTCATCGTCTCTGTCCAGCAGGCTATTTGTAAGCGCACTCTGCAGGGTCAAGCTTGACCACCAGGCCGCAATGGCATCCAGCGGAGAGCGGATGGCTGCGTCATCGACAACCGAATCCATACCATCCGTAGCCCCAATGGCATTGTGCTCTGTTGGCCGGTTCCAGGCCAGATTGTGAGCTCGCTGCACAACCCTTGGGTTGAGCACCTCATCAGCATCCTGCTCAAGAAGGACGGCCAAGTGATCGGGAAGATCATCGTCGTGTTGCTCCTGGCCCCCACGACGCAACTGCTTCACAAGTCGGTGCAGGCCTCTGGCCTCATCCCACTTGGTTCTGGCCATTTTCGAGGCAACAGAATCAAACACGCTAAGCTCCATGCCACTCAAACCCACCTCCCACAACAACACACGGATGTGGAGGGCTTTCAGCATGAGTCGAAGAGGTGTATCAGGAAGTGTGCCAGAAGCGAGAAGGGTCAATGTTAGACGGCTCTTGTTGATCTCAACGTCGCCACCAGCCAGCTGGGCATCAAGGGCGATTGACCAGGCCTTTATGCGGGCAGCCTCCTGATCTTCCGTGAGACCGGTCAGCATCTGGTATCCGTTGATGCCAATCAAGTTGCGCATGCTGAGTTTCAGGGTTTTCAGGCCGAGTGCAGCCGCCTCGAGGAAGAAGTTGTGTCGTGGTACCCAGACAGTCTGAATAGCGGTGAGCCAAGCTTGACGTCTTACATCGATAGGCGATGCCAGGGAAGGAGCAGACGTTAGGAAGCTTGCTTGCTTCGTATTCTCTGGCTTCGGTAGACCCCTCTTCATCAGTGAAGGTACGATTGCCCACCACAAACAGCACAGCAATAGTACAAACTTGAGCGAGGAGATGATCTCGCCGGCGGCGATGTGGTAGCCCATGAAGTTCACATTTAGTGAAGACATGAGCGCACCCAGCAGCTGAGTGGGTACTGCGAAGAGGCCACGACCGGTGGTACCATCATCGCTCTGCTCGCTTTCACGAACAGCCTCAAGAATCATCAGACCGGCCAAAGAACCGACCATCAACTTGCCGAAATAAGGGCCTGCGTTCTGCCACCCGCCAGCTTGCATTTGCTGCTGTTGCTGTTGGATCTGTTGCTGTCTTACTACAGCAGGGTTTGGCCTTCTGTACGATTGTTGAGGTATTGGGTATGGCTGGCCAACGGCCATCTGGGCAGCAATGATACGCTTCATCTCGTCGGGAACAGCAATCATACCCTCAGGTTCTGGACCACCAGAGGTGGCCATGGGCGGGGAACGTGTCATCATATTGTGAGAGTATTGACCGGGAGTCGGTGACTGTTGTATAGGCGCGTTCAAGGCGCCAGACAAGAAGAGTTTCTCGAAAGCAGCGATTCTTGCTTGCATAGCGCTGTTTTCATCCATCAAGCGGCCGTTGCGCTTTTCAAGATGGCGAATGTATTCAGTTGCCTTACTGAGGACCTGGGACGAGTCAGCTATCAGCGTCTAGACGGCTGATGAAAGAAAATGGACTAACCGTTGCCTTGTTGAGCTTATGTGCTGGCGTTAGACCGTGCAATTCTTCTCTATCTAGTGTAGTATCCTCTCCTCGAGAACTTTTTGTCATAATACGTAAACTTGGCACGCTATCACGTAGAGCAGCAATCTTGTCGTTCAAATTTGTGCGATATCTCTTCTCGATCATGTTATGTGCCGTCTTCTTGACAGGGTGCGAACCATCTAGGTCGTCGTCGTCGTCGTCGTCGTCGTCCTCAACTGATGACTTGCGCTTGCGACTGTTTGTCTTCGATCCTTGGCTGCCACCTTCAGTCGGGGACATAGACACCGACTTGGAAGCAGAGTCGGGACTGGGTTCGCTCTTTGGTGAATGATACTGCAGGTGAGCTGGCATGGCAATGCTTTGCAGCTTCTGTCGTTGGGACTCGGTCAGAATGTTCATGGCCGTGGGAGGTAGGCCTGGCTGCGTCTGTAGAGGATACGGGAGTCCATTTGTTGTCGCCAGCAGGAACTCGCCCGTGGACGGCGGTGTGATACTTGGCTGGGCCCTCTTTGCCGATGGCTGTGGTGGCAGCTCAATGGAGTCTTGGAGGGCTGGCTGGACCTCCTTCCAGTCGTCCTGGAAGAGGGTGTTGGAGTCGTAGCTGGGAAAGGATGGGTTGTCGTTCAGGTTGAAGTCCCAGGATGGGTCGGCGAAGAAGCCCTCGCTGCCTGTCACTGGGACATTGCCGTTATTGTCATCAAAGAAGGCCATTTTGCGAGATTACCATCCGTTGGAACCACCATGAAATGCGAGAGTGGCCCGATTACCACGAATAGTTGGTCTAGGCTACGTTATCCCTAGATGGAGTCCTCTCGGGTGAGATCACCGCCTGTAAGGTGCCCGATTGAGGAGGGCTGAACTTTGCGTGGGCACAGGGTGGTCTGATAATCAGGCCAGGACGACGGAGATAAATGAAGGGCCTGCCGTTGGTGTCGTTGGCCGTCGAATTCGCAACGAAGCAACGAGGGGACAGTCCGGGTTGGAGTACAAAGTTAATTCGGTATCGCGGGGGGCTTTACACATTTATTTTCCGGACCTTTCAGCGATACAAAATGATTCTGAACAGCAATCACGATGATTTTCAGGTCGATGGCTGCTCTGTGGGTGGTTTCACATTGGAAAGAGCAGGAACAGACTCCAGAGTCGCAGAGTGCAGGCTGGCAGGCACGCAGGCTGGCAGGCATTGCGCTGGGCCGTACGATGCCACTCTCAGCGGGAAGGAGGCGTCAAGGACATCGTTCGATTTTCGAGCCGCTAAGACAAGCGGCCCCTCAGATTTGGTCGATCCCAAGACCAGAACCTTGCTTGGGGGTCTGTGACAGGTGTTAGGAGGATACTTCCCGCCTCGCCATGCTGGCATGCCACTTTCGCTGCTGGCTCGGCCGAGTGATGAGTACCCTGCTAGTGATATGCCTTTCTCGGGACCTTCTGGCAAGGCGCCGCTAAACTCCTTTGCCAACTTGAGTGGTGGCACCGAATAGCGAAAGGTGGGGCACTTTAGCGACAACCGTCACGGCTAGTCTCCGTCGGCCTTGATAAGATGGGACGATCAGGACTGGCGAATGATTGATGGTAATTAAATACGGATCCCGTAGACGGCCAAACAGAGACGGAGGGTGATCGCAGACTTCCAATTTGACATCATGCCCAACTCCATGTTCCTGAGACTTTGGCCTCTGTGATGGGTTACGAGCAGCAGAGTTCATTAGTCACGTCTGCTTGTAGGTATACACATATGGGGAAGGAAGCGCTGCTGGCTGCTATAGCAATGCAATCTCCTGATTGTCCCCCACCGAGTCCATTCAGCTGGATGGGAAAAAGAAAGAAACGCACACGAGCCTAGACCGTCGCCTCGCGATACAATTATTAAAGCCACTGCGATTACTCATTCGTGACCAGAGTAGTTGGTCACACAGTTGTCAAGCAAATTTCAGGATCTTCCGCCATTGTATTATTTAGAGACAGCCAGAGAGGGTCGTCTCTTGCATTATCATGATATCCAGTTCCACTAATAGGAAAGCCCTGAATCTAATCCTCCTCAAGTCAGTTAGTCGCCCTTTCCATCACACGACCACGCAGGCCGCCCCCATTTCTTCTGGTCCTTCTTGTTACTATCATTACATGCTGGACAGCCTCGCTGAAGCTGTTACGTATACTAATTGTTGCTTGCTATGCCTTGCTGTCAGAAGTTCAAAAGTGCTGAAACTGAGACCTACTCAAATGCCATAAAACCATGCTGCTAGCCTGGCACATTGCCCAACCTCAAGAATTGAAAACATGTCGAAAACGCCAACTCATAGCCTGAGCTCCTTAAGAATCTGATCGGCCATGTTCTTGAACTGCCATGTATTGCCCTCTATGCGTTTGAATTGTAGGCCATGCAGTGACAGTAGAGGCACCTTGACAATCATGATCTCGAACTCCAGCGCCATGCTTCCACCCAAATCGCTCTGCACCTGTGTCGTGGTCTCGCCAGGTACTCTGCGGGACGAGCCACCGGTATCATGAGTACTGTCATTCTCAGAAAGCTCCGAGTTTGAGTCGCTCCGATCGTTATGTCTCCCATTTGTGCGTGGCGTCCCTGGCTGTCTGTCCATGTCTCGGAGCTCATCCCGGTCTCTTTCACCGCGAATGCCAAAGCTGAATCTGCGACGGTGGCCTGGAGTGGCACCTGGGCTCATGGGCATGTCAGCTACCTTACTGAGATCGATGCTAGGCCGGTGGCGACAGTTGAATCCACCGCGAATTTCAGTGTAGTCAACACCAAGTTGCTTTAGCACCCTCTTCACTTCGGCACGTATCTGCGGCACAGATTTCCCTGATGTTGTCGAGACGCTGAATAGCCCCTTGAGGAACACAGGCTTGGCCAACTCAGAGTCGTCGAGACGTTCTGCCGAAGTACCGCTGGCCTCGCCAAGTTCTGCGTCCGTCTCTTCAGGAACGTCAGGTGCTCGGTTTCCTTCTCTCTTGGCCCGTCTCGCTTGAATACTTTCCCTTCGGGCATGCCCAAGGGACTTGGCCCTCATTGAAGCAGCGCGGGCACTGATTGCGGCTTTTGGATCAGCCGGGGACTTGTCCGTGATTGAATGATCTGAGCCACTTGTGGGGGGCGGGTCTTTGCTGATTCTATTAGCCGAGCCAAACGGACGCCTTCTGTAGTCTGCAGAATTGACACTGGTCGACCGTCCAAGCCCTTTGCTATTAGAGCTACCGTCGCCAGCCGATAGTGGTGGGCTCAAAAGATCGCGATGCTGTGGTTGGCTGCTACCAGAGCGCAGACGCGGTGCTTCTTCTTCGTCCCGATCACGCCGCGATCTCCTGATACTGAAGCTTTTGCGCGGCGTTGTAGGATTCTCAGGCGAATGCACGTGAACCACGGGCGGGTGAGATCGATCTTTCTCCAGACGTTCGGGATCCTTGCGGCGGCGGGTACTGAACCGACGAAGAAGCCCGGCTGCTGCGCTCTCCTTCTTGTGTGGGACTTCTAGCTGTTGTCCATCTGGTGCTTTGGGAAGCGGCGGCGATGGTTGCGCCTTCTTGACGTCCTCGGGAGCATCATCCTCACCGTGTGTTCGAGCTCTAGGTCGTGACCGGCCGCCAGTAGGCCTTTCCCCAGGCATTTCATAAGATGCAGTGTTTGTGTGTGCCTCCTGTGGGGGGACGATTTCGGGCATTGGTGTATCGGCAACATTCTTTGGGGCATGGTGCTTCGGACCAACGTCGACCGTGTCCCGGTCCTGCTTCTCTTTGACCAGGTAGTAAATAGAAACGAGGGGGCTGAAGGCGTTGAGAGGGTCACTGCCGAGTGGGAGACCTTCTACGCTGGGCGCCGTCAAGTTATCCCGGCTGTTAGCCGAGTTTCTCCTCTTGTAGAAGTCGAAACCAAACCCCCTCTTCTTCTCGACATCTCTCGCCGGAACTGGTAGGTCCCTCTCCTTCTGCCAGAGTGCAACGGCTCTCTTGTACTCTTCAGATTCAATCGTTCTGGTTAATTGAGCCTTGATGACTTCCGGGGGACCAAAATTGAAGCCGGTCATTGCGTTGATCACCTCTTGGTCCAAAGGCAAGGTCAGCGGCTCGCGCGCAGGCAGGTGGTTCTCTGGTGGGCCTCCATATCCTTTCATCATCCACGGGTGATTCAGGACTTCTTGCATGGTCGCCCTTAACTTGGGGTCGGTAACAAGCATGCGCGAGAGTAGATGCCGGCATTCTGAAGGCGGTAATTAGCACAAGTACCAGCCACGAAAAATGGCGATGCCCATCTTACCTGTACTTAGCCAGTTGGGATAATCCACGACTCCCTTCTTGATCTTAGCATGCAAGGCTGGCATGCTTTGGTCGTCGAATGGAACCTTTCCGCATACCAAGACGTACAGAACAATACCGAAACTCCATATATCCACCTCAGGTCCAGTGTAAGCCCGGGCTTGGAGAAGCTCGGGGGCAGCAAAGTAAAGACTTCCACAAAATGTTTTCAAATGCCCCTTGGGCGCGAACAGATTGCTCAGACCGAAATCAATAATCTTGATATCTCCGGTCTTGGCGATGAGGATGTTCTCGATCTTTAGGTCACGATGTACGATGCTGTTGCGGTGGCAGTAATCCAGAGCGCTCGCGATCTGTCGGCTGAACTTCCTCGCCTGCTTGTCCTTCAACTTGCCGTGAGAGATAATGTAGTCGAGCATCTGACCGCCGTTCACGTACTCGAAGAGCATGTACCAATGATGGTTTGTCCGCACAACATCCCGAAGGCCACATACATTGGGGTGATCGAGCAGTGTGACGATGGCCGCCTCACGCGCCGTGCGAATCTCTTTGGACTGGTCGGCGCGCTCTTTATCGGCGCGGCTGTGGTGATTCTCTTCGGTGGACCCTCGCGGAATGATCTTGCACGCAACCTGACAAAGTAGCCACATTAGTTATCACTGAACGATTGGCGACATGTCCCCTTGGCCGGAGAAGTTGAATCCCAAACACTAACCTGCTCAGTGCCGTCTTCCTTCTTGGCAAGCTTGACTTTGCCCATGCTACCAGCACCAATCGTCTTGCCCAAGATCCATTTCCCTGACTGCGTGGGGATTGATGTGCGCGTCGTCCTGGTCTTGGCTCCTGTCGCACGTGCATCTGCTGCGGCTTGCATCACGGGTGGGACGGCCGTGGCCGCTCCATTGTTCACAACAACTGTAGGGCCAGCCATTTCGCCAGGAGGATGGCTGGGAGTCCGACTGCTGGTTCGGCGATGGACGCCTTTCGAATCGGCGCTGGCACCCCGCGTCGCAAGCGGGGGTTGATGGTCTCGGCTCGAACTTCTTTTGGAGGCTACGTTGCTCGTCTCATAATCCCGCTGAGGCAGCACGTCTTGGACGGGGCGACCTGACGTAGAGGTCTGGCGGCTGTGGCTGTGGCTATGGCTCTGGCTATGGTTATGGCTGGAGTGGTGGTTGTGGGAGGCAGAGCGGTGGGGAGCTCCAGTAGCCGAAGAGGTTGGCCGGGAGCGGGTCGACTGCGATCGTGAAGGTTGAGTCTGAGTCTGGCCGTTGATGTGATGCGAGTGGCTTCCACTTCCACTTCCGCTTCCGCTTCCACTTCCTTGGTGGTGAGAGGAATGGTAATCCGACGTTGCAGGTGTTGTTGACATTGTGACAGCAGGGACCACAACAAGCCAAACTTAACTTAATGCAAATAATGTCGAAGGGGCCCAGGGTGGAATTGCTAGACGTGGAGTAACTACTCCGTGCCTCTTTTACTGGTTAAGGTGTGCCACTGCAGCTGATAGCAATACCGGCAATAATAATCCAGTGGGTTAATGTTACCTGGTCAGCCAAGGAAGCCTTTAGGTACCAGATCCAGATTTAAGATTATCGGGCACAAACTCCAATGATGACGGCTGTCCATTCACGACTTGTTTCGTATGGGCAACTCCCCTAAGGTGACAGTCCTCGGGAAGGAACCTGTGCAGTGCAAAATGTGCTATTGCGATCCTGATCCTCGAACGTTAGAAGTCGAACTGGCAAGACAAGACAAGACAAGCAAATAAACGCTTGTCCACCTTTCATATGAGCGGTAGCGCGGAAACTGGATCCAAGTTCAAGACTTGCAACTTTGGGGAGCGAGGCTCGCCGGGTCTGCCCCTTAAAATCCGCCTTAGCGCCTGAGCCTGACGGAACTGGAAGTGCAGGTCTAAGTGCAAGTAACTTATAGCCAGAACGTACGGCGTTGATAGCAGTGCGATACGGGCCACGATGCGAGTTTCCAGGGGGTGCGGCTAATGGTGAACACAATAATTTGAGTCGCTACGTAGTGAACAGGTTTGCGACACTCGGCCTGTGTTGAAATATTTCGAGTTCGGGTATTGCGACTGGGGACTAGCCTAGTGATGCTGGTGTAAGTAGTAAATGAATCGTTCTGCACCTGGCCTCAGAACGTTGACGGGTATCGCGGGGTAGCACCAAGTTACCGTCGCCTCTCAAATTCACCTGGAACGCGGTTGAGTTAATGGGAATTGTCTGCTTGTGTGTGTCTCTCTCTCTCTCTCTTTCTCTCTCACTCTCACTCTCTCTGTCTCGCGCGCACGGCCCTTCTTCCGTCAAGGTCAGTCGAGGTCCTTTGCTGTCCCCGTTCACTTAATTGAGAGGCCTGGCTCAGTTAGGCTACGTTGAACCGAACCGCAAACAGGTTATGACGTTGCTTGAATGGCAATCGGAACAAAAAAACGCGCTATCTAGGCGAATGTGAAACTTGACCAAATAGTGCTTCAGCTCAAGCGTTGCATACCTGAGTGCGAAGACTCCTGATTATATGTCATGTCATCAAAATAAATCGGACAGAGCATGGCTTTCTGCAAAAAATAAACATTAAAATCAAGATTTGAAACTGTGATTGTTATCGAAAAGTTTTTGACGGCTGAAGATAAGAGACGTCCTAGAGAATAGTCTGCATCGTTCGCCAAACATGTGCACAAAGCCGCCAGTTATACGACGCCTGTAATCTCACGATCCTTCCTTCAGATGTAAGATACGAATGCCCACCCCCAGTCAGGTTACTAATTAGTGCGGTGGATGTACTATGACGATATTAGACATTTCAGTAAGCGACACCCCCTTCAAGAATTGCTCATTTCTGATCTTATTTATTATGCGAGTTCTAGAAAATTACACGTCGTAGTGGCTGAACGAGGTTACCCGTCAGTCTCAATGAAAGAAATATGGCCAGAAAGGAGTAGAATTTGATAGGACTTCGATGTTCGGAAGTGCGCACCACCGCAATGGTCTGGGAGGCTGGGCAAGTTCACCAAAGATTTGGGCCTACAACGCTCGGCTCGTTAAAGGGCCCGGCGGTTTGCGCTGATAGTCCTCCATATCGTGCATGTACGGATCCGTACTTTTAATGACCATGAGGATTACACCATCTCTCCCACGTCTTTTCATAGCGCTATTGTGATTATGCTGCAACTCCTAATCTTCAGTTATGGCGCGCCTGTCCTGAAAGCCTTTAGAGAACAATGTTTTCGAATGTCTTCTCAAACGTTTGCCATGCCATTTTTGGAGCGTCCCAGCCCAGTCAATTTTTTTGCACGATGATATATCATGACCATCGCATCAGAATTCCCCGCGATACCCGCAACAATCCGTCTTGCTACCGCGATACAAGTCGTTGCTTATGAAGGACTATTTTCGTTTAATTACTTCTTGCAACTATCTGCTAACTATGCCATGCAAAAATTAACTGAGAGAGCACGGTTAGTGCGAACCAACCAAAACACCCAAGCCAAACCCATCTCGTTTTTCCTAGCACTCAGATATTCTGAAGAGCCCTTTCTAAAGAACTTCTCATTACTTTTTCTCGACCACTTTCAGTAGTTTCTTCGCCACAATTTTCCATTCGGGACAAAACACTCGTCCACTGATATTGCTCTGCTGGACTGATCCCATCCACTCACTTTGATTGGTGAGGATCACGACCCCAAAAAGCATGTATCCGCTGTCAAATGTGTCCTCGGGGAGCGTGGCACATTTGCTCCGCGGGAGCTCGGATTCAATCCTTGTTCTGATTACCAGCAGCGTCTGCTTACAGGCCCTCGTCAGTCCCCGCATGATCTCTGTTCATCAACGGCTTGGAAGCCTTGAGATATGTGCTGATGGCTTGAAGTACTTCACAAGGTATGCGACGCTGGCTTTGAGTTGTGCTCGATGCCTTTTCCTGAACGCATGCAACTATCGTCAGTTAGAGGAGCAGTACAAGCTTCCTATGAAGGCGATTGCAATTCTGGCCACTCGCACCCGTTCGATAGTCCAGACGGGGATACGCGGCGTCTCTGGTACCTTGTCGGTGACTGTCGGACGACGCTGACCGGAGATTATCTGGTCCATTTCTCTCCGTGGAGTGATATGACCGAGTTGTCGTACGGCTTTTCATTGATGTACTGCAATAAAGATTGACAAATAGTGGTTTGCTATGGAGATTGCTTGTGCTTCCGGTTCGTTGCTTTGTTCAGGGCGAAAGCCCCGCAATGCAGGAGATTCTGGTTGTCGTAGAAGTTTGCGTCGCTGTCCGGTAAAAGAAATTTAAAAAAAAATTTAATTTATAAAAAAAAGCAGGATGCTCGTGTATTTTGAGTTTCTATACGCTCTAATAGTACTATCCCTAGTTCAAACCCTCGCCTAAGTCACAGCACATACCTCTGAATATTGGTTTATATTTCGCTACATCCAACTCGAGGTGCTTCATCATCCCTACTACTAGCCTCCATTCGATTATGGACCCAACAAGTGTCCAGTATTGATCAATGGAATCTATGACTGTGATGTCGGCCTCAAGCCACGATTTCTCTTCAGCATCCCGGACAGATCTAAGCAGATAGATGTCAGAACTGTGGCTTGCTTAAGGTCGACTTCTTCTTTGCGGAATTTGAGCCATATTGACTTGACCTCCGCTCTCATATAGTGAAGGTCCTCGAGGAAGGTGTATGCCATCAAATCAAACTCGCTTGCTTTGCTCACAGCGGCGTCATAGGCAACTGGTTCCTGACTACCGCCATGTACTATGGGGGCTTGTAACTTGTCGCCCTCATCGTCGGAAGGAGGATGTTCGATCTCGAATCCGGAGAACGCATTACTGCTGATGCGTCAGCTCAGTTGAAAACGATTTCGTCCCTTTATACTCTAGCTGGAAATGTTCCATCACTAACCTGACGTAATAGGTGGTCCTGTTGGTGCTTTTCGCATTGGGTATCTGAACCGGCTCTTTGTGTCTGTTCTGAACGCGGCTCGACCTCGAAGAAGGCGGGCGCTATGCGTAAAATCTCGATGAAGTTTAAATGGCTCGAGTTCGACTGTTCATATGGGCTATTGTTTTGCTCGTGCCACCCCATGCATCTCTTCCTCGTATGGATAGCGCCTTCGACAGCTTGGAGTATTCTCCTCGGGGTCCATCTCTTTGTGCCTGAAGTGCGAAATTGTGTTGACCTGCTCGACTATCTCCGCAGTGCTGACGACGTAGACAGATTCGGGAGGATCATCGGCTGCCTTGCTTGAATGAGCTCTTCGACTCTCTGACTCGACCTTTGTGGCATCTCTGGCAAACCTTCGGGCCTTTCACTTCAGACGCGGTCTGGATTGAGCTGCAGGTTTCGGGTTGGTTGCTTATAAGGGCGCTCTGGCTGGATGTTGAGCTTGCGTGGTTGCCACCCGCAAGCTTTTGCTGTTCGTCCCAGCCAAGTTAGAAACGCAGTTGTATCCTCCTTGTAGCGCAACCAGGTGCTTACGGTACTCGCCATGGTGCCGAAGCTGCGACGATGAAGCGGTAAACGGGGGAAATGGGGTTACAAAACTCTGGCTAAGAGAAAGTGAAATATCGTGATGATTTCTCGAGCGACCCAGTGACGGAGCGAGGTGCTTGCCAACTATTCGTCTGCTGATTATCCACCTGACGGGTCTCTAGGGTTTCAGAATAGATGGTCTCGGGATGGTAGCTAAAAGATGATTGCCCGGGTAATCTAACCATTCGCAATGACTCTCGAAGCATTCTAGAACTACAGCTGGTAACACCGCTTATGTGGTATCTGCTCATCGAAGCGTGATTGGTAGTTTCATTCACAAATAGATCTTTTGCTTTGATTTAAATTATTATTACAGCAAAACTATGATTACGAGAGATGTCATAAGGATCAAGAACCTGTATTTCTGAACTTCTACACAACAGCTCTCTTCAACTCGCTACTGGTTTACTACTCCTGTATATGAGGCCTGACTTATCATGGAGGATATCTCAACGTAATTTGAGGTAGAATCATGTAAAATTACGCAGCCCAAGCGCAGATTCCACATCGGCTATGAAGGAATACGGGGCTGTACATGATAGCTAATGGGATAATACTTGTTGTTAGTTGCTAGCAAATTTCGAAAATAAGATGATACTTTGCGTGACCTGTTGATTTTATAGATTTTTACACCACCAGGCGACACTGAGCTTAAGCAGTTTAGAAAAGACAGTCGCAATCGCACACCTGGAAGAAGAAGCGTTCAATACAGTTGTGATCATCAGTATATAAGTATTTTGTTGGAGTCAAATTGTTGCATAACAACAGCATCGATGTGATTGACGTATTGCGGTCCCTAAGTCACCACCCGGGAGCTTGAAGGATCTACTTTCGAGCTCCCGCCGCAGACGATATTATGAATTACATGTCCCAAGTATCCAAATTGTTTCCAATTTCCTGTACCTAATCCATTTTTCTGTGTCCAATTCAATGTCTGCGCCATGGGTTCTTAGCTCCAAGCTTCTGGATATGTCTAAACACCTCACGAGGTGAGGGCCAGAGAAAGTTGCGGTAGAGAAAGTTGTGTCGAAAGAGAAGATGGACGGAAAATGTCGCAGCCAATGAGAATTTGGATGTGATGAGCATGTGAAGTAGGCTATCTTGTAATTTTCTATTATAGAAGACGTCAACTAAAGATCACAGTCGTTGTGAGCTACAGAAATGCTTACCTTGATGTTTGGAGCTTCGAGCTGTTGACGGCGGAACTTGTTGCTGTGAGTATTGGTTATGGGAAACGAAGTGAGAGACCAACCTTGGAGATGTGATGGACATCGATTTGTCGAACAGTGCTGCAATTCCAGGCAAATCGACGATCTCAGATCACGATCAGCTACCAGCAATCTCGCACACCTGACATGAACACTTCCAAAACATGCCACTCTCGCTTTCCTGATGCCATCTTGGCGTTGCAGTGCTAAAATCTTCCAGCCCGCGATGTGCTGTGCCGGAGCACGCTCGTCTTATGGGCAAAGATGAAGTCACTGAGCAGGAGAGCCATTTGCTGCCTCATAGGCACTAGGGTCCTTGCAACAGCTTACACTGAACGGATCAAGAGACGCACCGTACCGACTAAGGTGTATGTGGACATTGTATGGAAGGGGACAAGCTGGGTGGTTGGGGATGAAGGTAGTGATGTGATGGGGATGTGAGTGCAATGAAAAGGTGGGTGGTTGTAGTGGTGGATGCTGCAAGTTAAGACACGGTCAAGATGAGTGGTTCGTTCGAGGCGAGTTGAACCTACTTGAATATCCGGCAGGCACTGGCTGGAGACGGGTGCTCAACTTGCACTTGAAAGTACAGTTGGGAGCTATGTGGATTGGTTTGGTAAGGCCTGAATTGGCGTAAGTGGTTAGTGAAACAGAATGTGATTTAATAGAGGAGAGGTTGAAAACTTACTACCAAAACTTTTTTTCTTGGAGAGTGGTGGGAGCCAAGGCTTGACGCGTCAAGCTGTTGCAGGTTGTTTTCAAGTTGACGTGATGATTGAAAAGTGTGTGAAGATCGGTTGAGGGCATGTTGAGGCAATGTCCAACAGTGACTGGGTTGAAGAGACGCCAGGCTAATGATACAAGGTTGGATTGATAACCCTAAGGTGAAGAGGCTAGGTGAATGAATGCTCTTCTCACATGGTGAGTGATGATGAGTGATGAGGAAGTGAAGTGCTTGGTAGGGTGTGTTAGGCTCCTTAAATATTAGGTCCTGAGGGAGTGCTTGGGCGTTACTGATTGTTGAGGCTGATCTGGGGATTTCAACGGCCGGATCTGGAATACTTGCAAATCAGCCAATCAGAAAATTGTTTCTGAAATTTTGCCTGATTTCTGAGTGCCCTAAACGCAACCACAGCGCCGAATCAGTGCAGCAAGGCACTTACCCAGGTACGTACCTCAGTCCAGTGGCTCTGATTGGCCTGATTCAGTGGAATCGCGATTCAAGGGTTCTTCAACTGCCACTAGCGTAATCCCAAAAGAGCCAGGGAGCTATTTTCTTTGGTTCTGATTCAAAATCGGCGTCGAAATATCACCAGAGCTTGTGGGTGGTTATCCGCGCTAAGCTTAATTCGGCGATGTGGCTACCAAAGCAGAAGCCCCTTACAGGCTAGGTGAGCTTCGATTCTCTCATTCGACACAAGGCTGTACTACCAAGTTCTTTTTCCAGAGAAATCATTCTATGGTCGATATCAAAATTAGTGTTACAGAACATGATTCATCTCTGACCTAATTTATCACGATACACAAGCTGAAAGCTGTTTTGCGTCATAGCTCTGCAATCCTTTTAATTCTCGTAAAAGTTTTTTGCTCAAAGATTTCTTGCCTAAATTAAGCTGTCTGGATGCATTCATGTTTTTTTCTATGAAGCCTTTCGTTATCCATGGCCAACAATAGAATAGTGAGACTTATAACTATCTGAAGCATTACTGGCTGATAGGCCACTACTAACGAATGTCGATGAAATTTGTAGGTGCAACCATGGCGAAGCTTACCATGATGTCATAGTTACCATATCGACGCGTTGCTGTCAACAGCCGAAATAATACATATGTGGTTCACGTCAGCGTCACCTCTGACCTCTCCTTATGCCAAATAGAGAAAATTTTTTAAAAGCATAGACAAATCGATTCGAAGACACGAACACCCGAACTGATGATGTAAGTAGTTGGGACGTTGGGGCTCCTAATTTTCGTGAGCAGTCATGGAGTCGTCAAGGCTGTTGCTTCCAGAGCCACAATGAGCTGAACAGGACCAGAGACTGGATCCTCTCGCCTGCAAGATCGCCATGACACGACCCCATAGCTCGAATTGAACACTTATAAGTATGTAGTCAGTGCCTAAAGCCTAAAACTGAAAACCGCTTGTTGATTATCTTCTCGTGCAAGTAGAAATCAATCTTCTGTCCAACTCGAATATTCATTGTTCCAAAGAATGGGGTGTATTGATGTGGTTAAGATATTGCAAAACTGTCAAGTCAATCCTATGTCACATCCAAAAAGTATCAGATAGCATCCGTCGTATTCTTCACCAAGTTGCCAGAGCTCGAACTTCTTCACGAAACCAGTATTTCTCCACAGAACCTCCATGATGCCTGGCATGGCAACCCTGCGAACTCTTGGCGAGCAATTCGGCACGTCCGCAAATACTGGTATGCCAAGTACTAACTGCTCATGCTAATTCATGCCATGGCTGACTCATTCTTCACACTAGTCGAGCGTAGCCGAATGCTCGAGATCACCGCGAAGCGGAGCAATGTTCTCAAGTCGCGAAACGTTGTTCCAAGCCATCGAACAGGATCATCATTACGGCTATTTGACAGCAGGCGAACATCAAACAAAGAGAGAGTTGGCGGATCACAAGAGACTATGGCCCATACCAAGGACCAAGGTGTTACAGCCACCCAGAGATTCCAGAACGATACGCCCCCCATGAAGCAACACCTTTGCCAAACTCGGACGGAGACTATACTTGTTGCGGTACAGAAAACGCCTGTCAACGGTCGCGAGATCATGGGTTTCGCTGTAGATCAGAGGCCGGTAACCCGGTGACCATCCAGGAAGATTGCAACAGCCGAAAACAACAATCAAGATCAGACTGGGGGCCAGTAGTTGAAGAACTACGAGTCCGAGCTGACTGAGCAGCTGATCCATTAATGGAAAGAGAGAACGGGTAAGCAAGCACTACATCAATATGCACCCCATGTAATATGCACCCCATGAGATGGTCTGTGGCTAACAGTAGAGTCTCGAAACAGCAAAGCTACGCAACCCGCCGCAGCGACGTATACGCCGACATCGACCTACGTACAACTGGTATGGCCAGTGGTGAGCCACCCTTCAAAGAGACCGGGTATTAGTAGGACGCTGATAGCTCTGCCGTGCACTACCAAGCCAAGGAAAACTAACCGGATAGAACTTACTAGCAAGGGTCGTCGGTACATTGTTGCACATTGAGATGGCTTTGGGCGGCAGGACACTGTGACGCAATGCATGCTACCAGGTTACAACTTCTCCCGTTATGAGGCTATCATCTGATTACGTGATCGACATTTTATGCCACTCGTTCGGGTTGTGAACACCTATATTCCATGGTCTTACAACATAGGTTTAGTCCTAATAGTACCAGCAAACTTCTACGTGAAATGGTGTATTAATGTATGAAATCTTGTTTAAATGTGTTTCCTAGCAATGGTTAAGGGTATATTTCCTGCTCCCAACATCTTGCAAGTCCCAGAAAACCTTTTGGCAATCTCACTTATTACAATTTCGTTTCCTCCCTTTGGGTGGACATATATATATAGATGCGCTGGCCCCCCCCCCCCCCCCCCCCCCCTTGTATTTTATGAGAAGCCCTTCCCTTTCTAACCTCTTTTTCGCGGAATTACAAAGAAAACCTCCGGTCAGGCATCGAGATCACTGCGCCCTAGGCAGCTCCTCCCTTGCTGTCACGAATGTTTCGAGCGGTGGCCGTGCTGCGTTTATCAGCACGCCACCAGCCATGATTGTAGGCTCAGCATCGAGTCTATTAGCGCCCTCAGCCAGAGGAGTATATCCAGGGCTCAAAGTCTTTGGCGCAGCAGATGGAATAGCTGATCGCGGGGTCCCAGCAGTAACGGGATCTCCTTCGGTGATATCATCTAGAACGGCAACATTGGGGCTAGATGGTCTTGGTGTTTGTGGGCTCTCCGGCTCGATAGTAGCGGCCCCATTCTTCATTCCATCAGCTACTGTGGTAGTGCTAGTAGCTGCTAAGTAATCTGGTTGCTCGTTCGACATTATGGGACTGGCGACACGGGAAGGGATCCCGTCAATATTTGACGTAAGTGTGATCATGCTCGCCGTTTCGGCCTCCTTGTTCAGGGTGAAGGGCACCGCAATGCCCTCAACCATGGGTCTTTTTCCGGTAGCACCGGTGTCTGGTGGCAAACAATTGGGAGTAAGAAGACCGTCCGTCGATGTAGTGTTAGTCTCGCCAATCGATTGGCCGGCTGTCCGCTTGGCCATCAGGGCTACGAGTGCAGTGGATTCTTGAGCTGTAGGGCTGTTATCATCAACAATTTGATTCCCGTCTTTGACCATACGTCTTCTCGATCGGCTGCGGCTGGTCAATAGGTTGGGTCTACCAGCCATTTTCTTTTCCTGCCTCTCGATATCCGCATGGCTTCGTGCACCAGCACCTTCCGCCTCCTTGGCGACCTTGATCTCTGGGGCCCTGTCGGCTTCCTGTTCGCGGTTTGTAGTTTTTTCGTCATGCTTCGAACCCCACAGTGACCATAGAGAAAGACCCATGCTTTTGCGCTTCTTGTGGTCGTCAAGCTCATCTCCCATCTTCCGACGCCCGGCGAGGGCACTCGGCGGTGGTGTTTCCCCCTGGAAATGCTCATATCCAGCCATCATCTCCTTGAGTCGTCTTTTGTGGATCTTAGCTCTAGCACTGCCGAATCGATTGTCCCATTGACTGCGCGTAGTAAGCCATTTCCTGACTGGACCTTCTTTTATAACACCAATCTCTTCGGGCCGCATATTGCACGCGATCAACTGCTCCTCTGGAACCAGGGGGGTTACGGTCCCGTGTCTGCTGATTTGCTGCCTGATCATATGGTTCTGGAATGGTGGTAATTCATCGCCTGCTCTGCCAACCACCGGAGTACGGAGAGACTCCTGAAATCCCGGCTTCTTGGATTTCCTACTCGGCCCATCGCTATCTGATCCGGAACTTGAGATGATGGAAATATCATCGTCGTCGAGAATGTCGATTTCCCTCTTTTGCGCTCGTGCAAGGGCCCACGCAGAAAACTGAGCGATTGATCTGTACATGAACTTGGCGGGCCGCGTGAAACTGAGCGTTGGGGCGACATGGCATAGATCATCCCACACTTGCAGTTGCACATCAGTCGGCTTGAATCTTGCAAGTTGCGCTCTGGCTGACTCGTGCATTAATTCGCTTGCAGGTGTGTACTTCTGAGGATTTGCACATTTGTGTGCCAGATAGATCTGCTCATCTCTCAGAATTTCCCCACCCCCAACCATGATGAGCAACGGTGGCAGGCCACCGAGTGTTGGCTGCATAATAGGGCTGACCATAGGATGCGCCAGCAGTTCGTTTGTAGTGTACATCTGTTCGATTGTTAGTATACTGCCCTCACTTCGACCTCTAAGAAGCGTCATACTTGAATTTGATCCTTCAGGTACACTGTCTTGCCGTCAAGCTCAATGGACAGTGGGGGTTGGTTATAGTTCTTTGGACGCGCAGACTTATCAGCAGCTTCGCTGTTTCTTTGATGTGCCAGCCCATCCACATTCTGAGAGAGGCGTTGCATCTCAACCGACGCCGGTTTTATGAGCTTTGTGTGGCCAGGTTGCGTGTTCTTCTCGATCTGTTCCCGAAGTATAGCATGCTCTTCTGCGTTCAGGGGCGGCCAAGCTTTCGAGGGCTTGTGATGGAAACCGTTTTGGGGAATATAATCCAGTGGTGCATCTCCAGCTACGCTGGGGAACGAGTGACTCAAGTCAACCCACGGACTGATAAGCACAGCGCCAGCCGGCAAGGGTAGACCTCTATCCCTGATCGCCACCAGTAAGCTCAAAACCATACCTCCTCCGGCGGAATCTCCAGCTAGGATGATTGTTGTTGGATCCTGGACGGTAAGAAGGTAGAGATAGGCTGCAAGACAGTCGTGAAGACCGCATGGAAATGGGAATTGGGGGCTTAGACGATATTTCGGGGCAAACACTCTGGCCTTGAGCTTGCGCGCGTGTCGTTGCATCTGATAACGATGCTCGTCCACGGAGCCGAAAAAGTAGGCACCTCCATGGACATAAAGCATGACTCGCCTGCCCAGGTCGTTGTTCTTCTTTCGCTCATGATAGTCGGCCTTCATCTCAATCCATTCTGCCGCCAGTGGGGTGTCTGGACGACGCCACTGCCACCACTTTCTGCCACCGACCTGTCTAATGCCGTCCGGCCCGAGCTGCTTTTCAATGGCATCGGCGGCTTCATCTATCTTCTCTTGCGGTATTTCGACATCGTCGACTTTCACCCATTGCGGATGCGGAACCCATTGGGCCGTGAATGCCTGGAGCTCCTCAACTGTGTGGTGCGATGCGAAGGTGAGAAAAGATCGGATCAAATGTAGGCCTTCATCGTACGACAGATGGGCCGTGGGACGCTCTCTCAGAGGCTTGCGGTTCAAGTACTACGTATTGCGACCAATGGTCAGTTGTCGAGTCCCAAGGGTTCGGCGATTTTATGCCGGGAGCAAGCAGCAAGCATGGATTGGCAGGGATGTCGCCATGATCTTGGGAAGAACAAGTCCCCATTGAGACACAAAACTGGGGAAATGCGGGTAAAAGTCCCGAGACGCTGGCAATGACAACTTACATGCGATATGAACGTGGACAATACTGTTGGCGTGACCGCCATGCCCACAGTCGCGGTATTCACGGGCATGTTGCTGGTTGGGTGTCCCCAAGAACTCTGCTCACACGTACTCTAGGCCGGCGACAGATAGGGGTTATAAGTTCTCTCTCCTGAAGGGAAGACTTGGGACGAACTCGGCAAAGAATGCGGTGCGACGAACAAAAGACTACAGATGAAAAGGAAGAGTACAACACCAAGACTGCGACTTGTTAAAGAAGATAAAGGTACAGCACAAACCCCAGGGGACCTCCTGCCCAATTTCCCATTCCCTATGGTAAGATGAAGAACGAAATCCGTCTATGGAGGGTTGCACAAGCTAGCACGCTCCAGATGATGTCATGTTCATTTGCTTTTGGCCAAGACCCCGAGTTTTAGCGGCTCTTGTCAGTCCAAATTGGCATGGAGGAAGCACCACGGCTGAGAGATCCAAGCCCGATCTGTCAAAGCCTGTCCGAGTTGAGATTCTTTGTCGCCGTGTTGGAGTAAACCCTGGTAGCTTATGCGGCCCCGAGTCTGTTGCTTCTACCACAGCGCTGTTCTCAACTGAGGATTGTGAGGAAGGTGTCTACCAAGCTGTCGGCAATGCCTCTATGCATATATCGCGGCGTCAGATTACAGTATCATACAGTGCTTCGTACAGGTAAGCCCTCCTCACACGGATTGCATGTAGTGGTAAAGACCCTGGATCTGCAGCACATACATAGCTGAGGTTTAGCGCAATCTGTAGATTTCCCCTAGCGGGGCGTTTGATATTTGATCTGTCTGAGCGGTGACGGCTGGCAGTACTTTTCCAGTGGAGGGCCTGCACAACATTTTCATGCCCTGATCGCGGTGCGGATCTCTTTGTCCTGCGCCTGCACATACTGTAGTGTCGACTGCCCCTCTATCAACCCCACGACACCCTTCACTTCATTCGGCGCGGCTCAAGATGGCGTCGCAACAGGCAGAGCCCTCTTCTGCTCATCCTCTCACCCTGGACAACATGTCAGCTGGACTTGATCTGAATATCTCCACGCCAGAAAAGAAGCAGGAAGCCTTCGAACAAGCCGTGGCCCTGACCCTGCACCTCTGGCCCGCTTTGACCCTCGCCGTCCAGAACAACTGGTCCGACAACAGCGGTGAAGACGTGAGAGACTGGTTCGCCGGCGCAATTGTCGAGCTCTTCCCTACCTTCCCTGACCTCGCCAAGTTCTCGGCCAAGTTGGCGCAAAACCAAGGTCTCAAGCGACCCGAGAACCTCGAAGAGCCTTACCAGGAGGACGTCGAGACAAGATGCCTGCAAATCATGGCCGACGAGTTCAACATTGATGTTGACGACGATTCCGGTTACGAGATCTCAGAGCAAATAATGCAACTCCGGGCGCAGTGCACCAAGGGACAGTTCGACGACGTGGAGAAGCTCAGGGAGAAATGGTCGGCCGGAAAGGGAAAGAAGGTTGTCATGAAGCAGGCGCCGGATCAAGACCAAGACACTGACTGGGAGGATGAAGACGATGACAGCGAAGACGGCGACGGCGATGTCGAGATGGGAGATGCACCTGGCCCAGCCCCCAAGGAGAAGCCCCAACCCGAGGTGGACGACGATGGATTTACAAAGGTTACCCGAAAGAGGTGAGGAACAGTTCATGCGCTTCGGGATCGGATCGAATCGAATCGAACCCCCATGAGGATTAAGAACATGTTTCTTGAAAAGACACCCATATGGATACTGGATGAGGAGGATATATGGAGGGTAAACAACATTATTTCACAATCATCCGGTTGCCCAAGCCTCAACGCCTGTCGAAACTCCGAAATGGAATCCACCAACTCACCACTGCACAACGATACGATACGCCTAGCCTAGCCTACTCCCAGTCCTCCTCCTCGTCGCTATCGTCGACCTTGCGAGCCTCCTTGGGACTGCTAGGAGCCTGGCTGGGTACACCGGAAGCAGCGCCAACAACATCGTAACTAGTGTCGCTATCTGCTTGCGACTTCTCGTCGTGGGATTTGCGAGGCTCAGAGGGCTTTAGTGTAGCGTTGTCGGCAGCCTTGGGCTGGTGAATCGTGGTAGATGACTCCACTGATACTGGTCTCGCGGGCTTGGAGGCCGGGGCAGCAGCCTCATCCTCAGAGTCCTCGTCCCAGCCAACCTCTTCCTCAGCTTCGGCCGCTATGTGCGAGTTAGTGTACGCCCAGCAATAAAATGGAAAAAAGCGGGGCTCGTATGAACATACCCTTCAATAACTCCCTACGTCTTTCTTCGGCAGCCTCAACACTGTGTCTCAGGAAATAGTATCGCTCCCAGAACTCGGCGTAGGGCACTGTATCTGGTACAAGCTTCTCCATTGTGGTCCTTAGCTCAGGGTACTTGCCCAAATCAGCACTGATATCGTCTGTCTTGCCATCAACATTGAAGTCTTTCGCCCAGGCGTCGAATTCTTTGCTCGCGGGATCCTTAGAAAAGTTGTCCGTGGAAGTGTGAATGACATGCAGCTGAGCATCATATCTGCTTGTGTGAATGACCCTCTTGCCGCTCGCGTCCTTGCTCTCAAACAATACGGTGCCTCCTTGTTGATCCTCCCCAGCCGTAGGGGGCGCAATCTTGACGGCTTCCTTGAGGAAATCTCGCACGTTGGCGCCAAACTTGAGCAAGGCCTCGTCCGCAGCATCCTCTGCCTTTTGAATGTCCTTGAGTCGCTTGGCGGCTTCTGCGCGAAGGCGAGAGATGACCGTCTCCGATTCCTTGAGGGCCTCATCAGAGGTAATTTCTTTCGATGTGGTCGGTGTGGAAGCCGTGTCCTTCTCCTTATCCGCACCGGCTGTCGTCGCTGGTGCAGGGGTCGCGAGAGAAAGCCCCCGTGTTCGACTGATCAGAGATGTGCCTGCACGGGCGGCGTCGGCGCCCAGAGAAGTGAGCTCCTGGGACGCTTCCCTGTACACCGACTCTCCCTGCTTGACGACAGTTCCGAAGAAGCCGCCCAGCCTGGAGCCCCAGGCGCTCGTCGAGATGGCCTTGTATGCCTCTTGGAGTTCCTCGTTGATGGATGCCTGCTGCTCGGGCTTATTGCTCTGGGATCCCGGTTCGTTGTCCTTGGGCAGGGCATCGGCAGCGATCTGGTCGTATGCGAGATCCATGGTCGCTTGGTAACCACCCTTCAGCTGTATTGAATCCTTGTCTCGTGCGTAGGAATAAGAATCGATGTGTGGTGCGTATTCTCGGGTTATCTTTGACGGGGCCAGGAATGACTCGACTCGTGGTCAGATCAAGCTATAACGATGTCAAGGTTATTGATTGGCTTTGCATGTGGTTGGCTGCACTCTCCCTTTCCGCAACACAAGCACAAAACGAACGAACACTGCTTGCTTGTTCTGCGCGGCAGGCCAACGAGGCTAGCAATAGAGCCATGCCAAATGCGGGGGAAGCCCATCACAGGGCAGGTCAGGGGTCTCAACATGGCTGGTCCGTGCCCAAGACCCCTTCGATGGACCGTTGAATCTGATAACCCGACTGCCTGATTCTCAGCTATTGCTTCCTTTTGCGGGTTTGACAGAACTGAGAAATACTTGGTGGATTCATACGGTAGCTCTGCATTTGGAGACACCTGTTTGATACTGCTCACACCCGTTGAGACAGCTATTGGCACTAACATATCGGTCCAGGTTGAAATTGGATTGTTGGCAAATATCTTGATAGCTGGGCTTTGTTCAAAGTGCCTTCCACTTTCACAACCTGCGAAATATTATTGTGTTTGCTGAGTTTTACTTTTCTCTGCATGATAATCTTGTTGAGAGCCCTTGGATATTCTCATGACATTTGACATGGCTGATTCAAAAACGCCTAGCTTACTTCTACCTTTTCTTCTTCTTTTGCTTCTGCGCGTTTCATCGACTTCTGCACCACATCTGCACGACGTCATGAGCCCAGCCTGCTAACTCCGTCATGTACCTACCCGAAAATCGCAGAGGTACGGAGTAGGAACAAGAACTTTGTGCATGTCAATCGGTCCAAGGGGGCCTGCAAGAACCAGGGAGGTCATGTACTCATCTGCGAGCCACCGCTTGAGATTGCCAATCCGGCTTCTGGACCGTTTGATCATCTGGCGTTCGGAGTTCCAAGCCATTGAATATAAGCACTAACACCTCGTCTACTACAGTATGTATGCAAGACGCGCTTCAGGTAGTGCCTGGCAGGGACTGGCATGGCAGGAACAACAACGCCTGTGATTAGGGGCATGGAGAAAAATGTCCACTGATCTGATTTCCTTAACACCCATAATTTTTTTTTGCCACCTGATTCCAATGGTAGATGACCATGTTTAGGAATGTCACAAGTTCTTGACATGTTAAGGTCTGGATGTCTTGTAACCACTGATTCAGGAGTACACTTTGACCTCCGGATATTACGAGCTTAGCCCCGAGACTGAGTTCACGCCATCGTCATCTCAGCGACGTCTTGTCATGGCCGTTCATTATACCGTAGATGAAATACTAAAGAAGAAAAATGAGTCACACTCTCACTTGGTGCATCTGATAGTAACTTTTCAACCACCCACAAGCAAGCCTGACGATGACCAAACGTGGGTGATATCACGGCGTTTTGGAGGTTCAAAGACGCAATTAGCATAGCTGCCTCATGGTGCTCGAGCCCGAATTTGAATCAGTGCCAACAAAATACAAAGAAGCTGAAGTTAGCATGGGGGTTGACTCCAACTCTGGCTCGCGTTCCTAGTTTGCTGTCCAGTTAAAAGCACATATCTCAACCAATAGACTCTTCTAGATGCATTCTTTCTGAAAAAGGTTTGACCCTGTCGGCCTGTGGGCAGACCGTCAGAAGTGAAGGGCGTAAAGGCCTTACTAGCAGTCGGGGAGGGCATGTTGACGTTAGTTGAGCTCTGGCGAAAGAGGCGGCACGGTGTGAGTATAGTAAATCTCACCTTATCTGATGCCGGGCAGCCAATAGTGGTGCATTGCGAGAGCCATATGTGGGCCAGACGGCGTAGATAGGTGACGGCGCAACAAGTTCCTCTTACCGGCCACATCACTTCTATGCATTGGGCTTACAAATCGAATTGCAGGTCTTTCTTCTGCACCCCTCTCTGGAATTCTGAATGCCCATTGTAGCAGAGCAGTCTGCGCAATACAAGCAATTCGCATCCATCAGTCCACGCTGTCCACAACCTTTTCCATCCCCCGTGCTGGAGTATACACCTGTTAAATACAACAGGGGCGTGTTGCCAGTATCAGGCAGGAAGAGTCAGACAGACAACCCACCTTGAGCAGGCTCCGAAGGCCGCCACTTCCTTACCCACTTGCCCGCCATTCACCACTCTGCTTCCTGCATCTTTCTTTCAAGACCCTGAAACCTTCTCGAGGCAACTTTTCTTATCGTGATCTGAACACCGTCAACGACGTCACTGCTTCTAAAGCCCTCCTCAGGCTTGACAGAAGGACGCTGGAATTGACCTACTTTGCGGGGTGTAGCGTCGTCCGAGACGCTGGTGTCAATCTCACGATACCAGGTGATCACAGGTCATCCAACTCTGGCCAACCAACACAATTATCCAGTGTTGGCCAAAAGACTGCATCATATTTCTAAATTGACCCAAATCAATCCTCGCAAACGTTTTATTGTATCTTCTACCGTCGTCTTCTGCCACATTTCATAGGGGCCCATTGAAACCTGTCCGTCGCCATGGCCTCTGCACAACACCCAAACGGTCTCCCGCCGCACTTCATCCTCACTCCACAGCAACAGGCACTGCTTTTCCGAGCCCTCACCTCAAATCAACCCGCCAATGAGTCTCCACAGACGAATAGCCTTTCATTGTCGCCTGCCGCCTTGCACAAGTCACCGCCTCAGAATAACACCAACGGCAGCGGCGTTCAGGACAGTCCATTTCTGGACTATGATTACAGTTTCGGCCCTGACTCGAGCGGCTTCGATTTCGATCTCGGCCTCGACAATACAGACTCTATGATAGGTGATCTTCCCGGGACGTCGCTCAATAACGACAAGTCGAGCAACAGCAGCGATAAGGGTAGTTCTCCGGATAATGATATTCACGACAAGAGAAGCCACCCTGACGATGACGATGACGATGATAAGGAAGGCAGTGCGAAGCGACGCGAGAGTGAAGGCAAAGTTCCCAAGAAACCCGGTCGTAAGCCGCTTACGAATGAACCAAGTTCCGTAAGTTGTCGCTCGACAAGTAGAAGTTGGTTAGGTCTGGAGCTGTCACTAATCAATCATTGCAGAAACGTAAGGCACAAAATCGCGCCGCTCAGCGTGCTTTCCGTGAGCGTAAAGAGCAGCACCTGAAGGACCTCGAGACCAAAGTTCAGGAGCTTGAGAAGGTGTCGGAGCAGACGAACAATGAGAATTCTCAGCTTCGCGCCAAGGTTGAAAAGATGAACATGGAATTGAGCGAATACAAGAAACGATTGACTGTTGTCAACAACAATATGCGCTCGGCCCCTACTGGATCATCGCGGCCAGTTTTCGGTCAAAACCTTGTCAACAATCTAAACGACGTCAACTTCATGTTCGAGTTCCCCAAGTTTGGTGTCCTACCCGGGCCTCAACAATCTCCCGGAAACACCAATACTCGCCCTTCATCTTTCCCGTCCCCATCCAACAGCTTCAGCACACAGCCGACGCCATCAGACAAGGTAACTGACAAAGCAACTCCCGGCTCTACCAAGAGCCGAAACAGCTCAGAACCAGACAAGGAAGCTCTAGCCAAGGTTTCATCCATCATCAGCAGTGGCCCTTCATATGATGCCTTCTTCAGCAATGCGTCGAGGTCAAGCCTAGACTCTGGAAATTATAGTATAGGAGGCGGCAATTCCGGCTCTCCGTCCTCCTCGTCAAACTCCAATGCTGGTGGTCCCAGCTCTTCCTGCGGAACGTCTCCTGAGCCTTTTACACAATCACCTATGGGCTTCAAGCCTGTTGATACTTTGACGACGATCGGAGAGGAACAACCCCAAAACGCGAATGCCAATGCCACTCATAATCAATTCGATTTTGGCAATTTTGACAACAACAACTTCGACTGGCTTTCACAGCAGAATGGTGGCCAGTTCGACCCACAGCTGTTTGGTGGCTACAGAGAGCCCCAGGACAATATTCTGGCCAATGCTACGTTTGACGATACATTCTTCAACGATGCATTTGATGCAGACTTTACCACGCCTTTCAACGTGGCACCCACCAGCCCCAAGGCTCCGAAGAAAAATATCTGCGCCGAGATCGACGCCAGGAAAGAAGAGGAGGATACGATAGTCGCCACCGTCAATGGCAAGTTGCTCACTTGTAACAATATATGGTATGTTTCGATAGGCGCCTTGATTTTGGCACATGCACTAACATTCTCCAGGGAACGTCTCCAAAATTGCCCCAAGGTTCAGTCTGGCGATATCGACCTGGACGGTCTTTGCTCTGACTTGCAGAAGAAAGCAAAGTGCGGTGGCACTGGTGCTGTTGTTGATGAAAAGGACTTCAAGGCGGTCATGTCCAAGCACCTTGGCCCATGCCCAGATGATAAGCCACAGTAAAAACTCAGACGTGTATTTGCGAAAATAGTTCAGGACGACGGGTTTGATGGTCAAAGATTCGGAAAGGCGTTTAGCAGTAACGGCAGCTCTCCACACACGGACTGCATCGGGGAATGGCACATTTGCGGACAGGAAACATCTGGTCCCGGAGTCTGAAAGTCTCTCATAGTACTTTTTAGCTTACTGAAGATTGACTGGTTTGATATGAAATGGGCAGATTAGCTGTCTATCGGATTACAGGTAAACAAATCACTCGTTCATAGGTTTAAACGAATTGATGCATAAATATTAAATTTTTTGGACTTGCTTTCTTGCAAACTCGGTATGTTCTGTAACTCGCTGTGCGATTGCGATACGAACGACGCATGAAAGCAAGTACGCAATCAAGAATTCGGAACATAATGATGGCCGGCCATACATACCTTAACCAAGTGAATTCAACAATAGACCTTTTTGTCTGGCTATCGTTGATGCCGAGTGTCTGGAGCAACTGCCAACTGTCTGTTGCGAATAGCGCAGCTGGCCGGTCCGCACACCTAGGCACTTCTTGGGCGGCTAGCTCCGCCTCGATTCCACCAGTCCCTCAATGATTCAATCACTTTCATCTAACTAGCGAACGTGGGTACGAGCACATCTCAGACGAGTCGTCATTTAAATCCGTCTGTAGTCCAAGCCAGGGCAACCACACTTTCTTTGTCTCAAAACATATCTATCTTCCTGTCTTCGCAGATACGACAATGCATATCGTATATCATATAAGCAGTTTCGATTACATGAACCAGACAGATCAAGATTTCAAAGCAGCAGCAGCAAGCCGGCCCGGACGTGTTTTCCCCTGAGTGTTTGGCTATTTTTCTTCTTTATTTATTTTTTGTATGGAAAGATTGGAATACTGCACGATATGAGCGAGCCTATGAGTAGGCTGGTAGTGAGTTCTATAAAAGCACACGTCAAAGGTTAGCGGTGTTACTCACACTTCAATACAGACCGAGTTTAGCTCGTTGATCGATGAAGGCCTGATTTTGGCGATCTGTAATGAGCGGGATTTGAGCAAACCTGAAGTGTTCCAGGAAGCCAGAGACATACTTGTTGGACTATCGGTGGATGTACCCTTGGAGGAAGCCAGTGGGTTTAACTCGAGCGGACTGGGTGCACAGCAAGATGTGGACATTAGTGATGCGAGTCCTGGCAGGGGTGATGAGCCGCGAGATATTCCCGTTGAGAGTGACCTGAGAAGTAATGATGGTCAGACGACTACCACGGAAAGCTCAGTTCCCCAAAGTATCCTCTCGACGGCCTCATCCAAGGCGTCCTCTCATGATGAGTCCTTTCACCTGGACGAGTTTGACGGTCTAAGTGGTGATGTGGCAGAAGCACGGCTACAGCAGATGTTTCCCGATTTGAAACATATCGACATCACTCTCTCTTTGCGCAAATTTGACGGCGATGTTGATCGAGCAGTGGAAATATTGCTTAATATTTCACACCTCGAACAGACTGGACAAAGAGCAATGGGTATTGATGGATTCTTCGTCCACGACGACATTGTGAAAAGTAGGAAGAGGGCCGGGAAAAAGAAGAAGAAGAAGGCAACAGTGCGTGCAAGTGGTACATCCACTCCCGTAGCTGCAAATAGCTCGGATGGGACCATGATTGACGACGACGAAACACATGGCCGTAAGTTCAATTTTGTGGTTGTGATTCGCATGTTTGCTGATGACCGTAGGAAATGTCACATATTTAGCGGAGCGACTACCGTTCGGAGAGGCCGAGATCGAGGAGATCTACAACCAAAAAGGCAAGTCTATGGGTGCATCACTCGTCCAGATTTTGGACAACTACATCGCATTTGATGTAGAACCAGCGGAAGCGGCTAGGATTCCTGTCGCAGACGAGCAAGCGAAGAAGTTCCCATGGGTACCAGCGACATACATGGTTCCTGCGTTCGCCTTGAGCCATACACAGCAATATGCACTGGATCTCGTCCAGATCTTGGCCGAGTATTATGAGAAGCCGGCCTACCTTAGATATGACATCTCGTATAATCTTTCTGCCCCGAGACTGGACATCGACTCTATCGGGAACAATCCAAACAAAGCATGGGCTGCCGTGGCGAACAGCAAGACTCCGGTGTCACCGAACTGGAGCCAGCCGAACAGCCCCATGACACCGACCACGCTGCGTTCATCAGACTACGCCGAAATGCGGAACCACTCTTTCCAAGCAGCTGGGGCAGCCTTCAAGAAGGGTGGTCTCTACAGATCGGCCGCAGCGGTTCACTCGGAACGAGGCAGAGCGTTCACCCAAGGTCTACACCAGGCGAGGAGCAGCGAAGCCGACTACTACGTTGACCAGCATAGCACGGCTGACAAGATCGACCTCCACGGAGTCACCGTAGAAGACGGCTGCCGGATTGCCCTAGGTCGGGCTTGGGGATGGTGGGAGTCGTTGGGAGAGGACAAAGCAAGAAAGGCAAAGGACGGTTTCCTCGTGGTCACGGGCCAGGGCAGACACAACGCCGGTGGCGTTTCCCCCCTCCGGACCAACGTGTTTAAGGCGCTCGTTGCGGACGGGTGGAAGGTCACGGTGCTGACGGGGCAGGTTCTCATCACCGGAAGGAGGTCATCATGACAAAGCCGTGCAGTCTTTACTGGTCTGCTCCGCGAGCTGTTGGCCTCCCCAGGATCTAGCTGGTTATGCGTCATGATTTACGAAGGATGAGTGGATACAGAGCTTGCCGGGAGTATTTTACTGCAGCGTACTGGAAAGGATTACTATGGCGAGCGGATGAGCTTGAAGATACCACCATTGCTCTTCTGCTCATATGAATACTGTTCGGCCATAACAACATTGACTAATACAAACAAAGTAGTGCATCCTCTGGATGTGACACCAACATAGAGCGTTACTGAACTTGACATATCGCAACTGGCTGTCTGGTTGGCTCAAGTACCGACACGATGACGAAAATAGTGCTTTATTTCGTTTTTGGGTATTTGTTTCGAGTATACATATATATGTACAGTTATGTATTATACATCCCGTCCGCTTGACGTCTCACATATCCGAAAGGACCATGATGACTTTTGTTCAGTTTTTGGGGTCCTACTTGGGACATGGACATGAGAGCTCGGAGGACAGAACTTCTGTCCCTGTCATATGACAACCCATGGTCGTGCTGGAGTAGTCATGTTCCATCATGGACCATATAAATCAGGCGCATGATGAGGTTCGGTGTGTGCCGCGACGGCTTAGTCCAAGCCGTTCTCATCCTTCCACCTCTCAAGGTACAATAACGGCTCGCTAGGACCGGCTGCGAAGCCTTCGTATCGGCCTTTCGTCTTGACGATCTTGTTCGTTACGAACGGTGACAACTGGTAGCCGTCATGTCAGCGCTTTCCCACATAACAGCCAGGAGCAGCATACCTTGAACGTGTCCAGGCCCGCGGGGACGACATATGTGCGGACCTTGTCCCACTCGATGACATATCCTCCAAACTTGGTGTGCCGACCCACGGAGCCCGTCCGCGTTCCCTTGTAGAAGCCCTTGTTCATGTCCTTGGTGGTGAGCGGCAGCTTGCGGAACTTGCGCGTGAAGGTGAGGCGCGGCTGGAAGAGGAGCCGGGCCGTGGGCTGCATCTTGTCGTCGGGCTACTTTATGTTATGTATGTGTGTTTGTGTGTGTATGTGTGCTTGAGTGTGTGTGTGTGTGTGTGTTTATAAGTATGTTTGTATGTGTGTATATATTCAAAACTCGAGGGGGGGTCGAATCTTTGATGGGCCTCTCCCGACTTTCCAGTAGCTACAAGGCTCGAGAATTAATTCTTGAGCTGGCAGGGGGGTCTCCATGAACAAAGCGCCTCGCTCCTGCGGAAACTGTACAGTACTCTAGGTTACATTAGGTTAGTCTGACCTTGGGTGCTGATAAGATAACAAAACCCGCCTGGAAGGGGGTCCACTAAAATTTCCAGACAAAGTGCCCCGCTAGAATCATGGGTGTGTAAAAAAAGTTCGAGAGCATCGCCTTCAGTGGGCTCCTCTGGACGATTGGTAGTCTCAACTCAATCACGACAAGCAGGTCTGGCTTGAGATGGTCCCCGAACAATTTCGCTCTTTTAGCAGCTGAAGTAATTCGTTCTAGGGTCTCTCGGTTCTACCCTTTCACGCATCATTGTTTCGTCTACCACAATAGTCCAACTGACTGCAACCAACATAAAACTCAGCATCTGCACTCCACCGTCTCACGACGCCCTGCAAGATGCCTGGCCGTCAGGCGCATGGCCGCTCCATAATGGGCGGCGATGCTGGAGCCGCCGGCAATAAGCGACGCCAGCAGAAGCAAAAGTCCAAGTCCAAGTCGAGAGCCCAGGACGCTTTCTCCATCGCCAACAAGGAGCTGGGCGGAGACAAACACAAGCTCACCCCCCGGAACCGAGAGCTCGACGCCGACCTTGGCGCCGGAAAGCGTCGTCGTGCTGGAGATGATGAGGACGACGACGACGACGATGGGGATGAGGACGAAGACGACGCTCCTCCCAGGAAACGCCGTGCCCACCAGACCGATGGCGACGATGATGTCGAATATGGTAGCGACTCGAGCGGCAATGAGTGGCGCGTCGGTGTCGGCAATGATGATGACGACTCGGATATCGACTCTGACGAAGCCTTTGGCGAGAGTGACGAGGACAAGTTCCAGGGTTATGCTTTCGGCGGCAGCACGAAAAAGAAGAAGAAGAGCAAGGGTCAGGATCAGGATGATGAAGATTCCGATCTGGAATCGCTTGGTTCAGACGCTATCGACCTCGCCGACGCTCTGGATCAGTCCATGTCAGATGACGATGCAGACCAAGGAGAGGAGGACGACGAGTCTGACGAGGACTCAGGTTCCGAAGAGAGTGAAGAGTCGGAAGACAGCGAGGACGATGTCTCGGAAAGCGGTGTCAATGACTGGGTCAAGAAGTTTTCGGGAGCCGCCGATGACGAGGAGGAAGAGAACAAAGCGCCGCAGAAGTCCAAGATCGACCTCAACGACCTGGGCTTGCTAGGCGGTCTGGATCCTTCTCTGAAGAAATCCCTGAAGCTCATGTCCAAAGAAGAGAAATCTTCCAAGCCCAAAAAGCTCGAGGTCCCTCTCGCAAGGCGCCAGCAGGCTCGCCTCGACAGAGCTGCAGCATACGAGCAGGCCAATAAGACTCTCGACAGGTGGCAAGACACGGTCAAGCAGAACAGGCGGGCTGACCATTTGGTCTTTCCCTTGCCCCAAACTGAGACGGGTCTTGCCAGGCACGACAACACTGAGATCGCTCCCCTCGATAGCAAAGCCAATGGCAACGAGCTCGAGCGAGCCATCATGGGCATTGTAGAAGAGTCCGGCCTTGTTGCCAAGACTGAGGACGAGCCCAAAGAGTACGTCGACGAAAATGGAGATCCTGTTACACGAAAGGAATTCTGGGCGAACAAAAGGAAAGAGAGAGAGCTCAAGTCTAGGGAAGAAGCTCGGGCTAAGCGCATCAAGAAGATCAAGTCAAAGGCGTACCACCGTGTTCACCGAAGGGAGCGGGAGAAGAACGAGTTGAAAGAGCAAGAGGCTCTCGCCGCTGCCGGTCTGGTGGATTCCGAAGATGAGCGAGATGCCAGAGATCGTCAAAGGGCTGCTGAGCGAATGGGCGCTAGACACAAAGATTCCAAATGGGCCAAGTTGGCTAAGAAGGGAGGCCTTGCAGTTTGGGATGATTCTGTGCGCGACGGCATCAACGACATGGCGCGCCGCGATGAAGAGCTCAGGCGGCGCGTTGAAGGCCGTGGCGATGGCAGCGACGAAGACGATTCGGACTACTCTGCCGATTCGGAAGATGGTGGTGACAGGAAACGTCTGCTCAAAGAGCTCCAGGGCATAGACGACGACGACGAGGACGAACCATCAGGACCAAGATCAAAGCTCCTGAACATGCCGTTCATGAAAAAGGCCGAGAATCTGAAGAAGCAAGAGAATGACGACCTCATCAAGCAGATTCGTCGAGAACTTGACTCTGATGCCGAGGTTTCCGAGCCGGAGCCTGAAGTTGACGACATTGGAAGGAGGCAGTATGGTGCACCTGGGACCAAGGTGCCCGTACCTACGGCAAAATCCAAGAAGGAGAAGGCTAAGGCGAACAGTGTTGATGCTGAAGGAGACGTTCTTGACATGGATAAGGTTAATGATGTACCAAATTTCGCGGCTCCTACGCCACGATCAGTGGTTATTGATGAAACCGGGGGTGCTTGGTCCACAGCGGCTCCTGCCAAGGCCTCTCGGAACGCGAAAAAACAGAAGCACCACGACAGCAGTGTCAATGTGCTGGATCTTGACTCTAGCGCTGCTCTTGTCAAACCCCGCGAACCAGCATCAAAGCCCAAACCTGCTAGCAAGCACGCTACAGCCCTTGCGAACGACTCCTCTGATGACGAAGACGGACATCTTGTCCAGTTCCGTGATCAAGACCTTTTGGATAAAGCTTTTGGTGGCTTGGATGTGGTGGCCGAGTTTGAAGCAGAGAAACATGCCCAGGAAGAGGAAGACGACGAAAAGGTCATCGACAATACCCTTCCCGGATGGGGTAGCTGGGTAGGAGATGGTGTCTCTGCAAAAGAGAAGCGAAGACATCAGGGACGCTTCCTCACCAAGCAAGACGGCATCAAGAAGGACAAGCGCAAGGACGCCAAGCTCAAAAACGTTATCATGAACGAGAAGATCATCAAGGTAAGCTCTAACAATCCGATGTCATCAACGAATTGGTCAAGTGGAAGGCTAATGATTCTGTCCAGAAAAACAACAAGTACTTGGCTTCTCAGCTGCCGCATACTTTCGAAAATGTGACGCAGTATGAGCGTTCTTTAAGACTTCCTGTCGGTCCGGAATGGGTTACCAAGAAGTCGCACCAGGATGCCGTCAAGCCGAGGGTCATCATTAAACAGGGCATTATTGCACCTATGGCGAAGCCTAACCATTAAAGTCATCATCAGGGTAGAAAACAACGGGTACGTTGGAGCTCGACCAGTTCGTTTTCCCTATCAATAGAAACACACAATCCATCTGAACCTCGCTATCGTGGACAAAAGCTGCTAGTGCACTAACTGCCCGGCTTCAACAATTATGCCCAAACATTCTTCACCCCATCCTCACAAAACTTACTGTTCCTACGGTTAAGGCATCCTCAACTCACATAAAGCACGAAGCATAAAGACTAGTGATATTATCAAAACGTCATATTGACGTTCTCATTGTGTGTTTGCATTTTGTAGTTATCGTGTTCCATGCTTGTCTACCGTACATGTGATGGAGATCCAATGCCACGCGAAGGACGGTCGTACGAGCCGATATTACACCATAAAAGACCTATCACAACCAAACCAAGTCCGCCAAAACCACTTCCTTAAAATAACTACTGTGATACTCAGGCCTAATCGTGCTTGGCGACATCCCTTCCAGCAATCAGTCAGGGCAACCGCGGCATAGATTGGCGGCCTGCGTAGACAACCTGCTCCCCAAAGTTGTCTACAACACGTTGCCTCGGGCTTCCTTCTCCTCTTGCTCGGTGTCCTTGACGTTGATGTTTCTCCAGAAGAGGACAGTGATGATCATGAGAGGAGTGAGTGCCGCGCCAACAATGACCATCTTCCTGCCCACGTCGCCATACGCCAGGATCACCGCGTCGCGAACGGGGTGGCCGATGGGATACTGGAGCTGCTTCGTGATGTCCCCGTAGATCTCCCACGACTGCGACTTGACGTCTTCGGGGAGGAGCTCCGCGAGCTTGTACGGGAGGATGTTCGTCCACATGCCGCCGGCGATGGCGTAGCCCACGGCGGACCCGATGGACGTGAACAGACTGTGGATGACCAGAGACAGGGAGACATCTTGGTGCTGCACGGCCGCCATCACCGCAAGCCGCGACGTGTCGGTCAGCAGCCCGGAGCCGAATCCGATGAGCACTTGGCACATCACGACGTACCCTATCTTGGTGCTAGGAGTTCGGAAGTACGCGATCAGAGCTGTGCCCAAGAGGTAAATGGGAATGGCAGCTAGGGCTGGGTACTTGACATGACCAGTATATCGGATGTATCTGTTTAGGTTAATTAGAGTCGGGCCTTTGATAGCAGCAGAGAAGATTTACTCACAGAGCTATGAACGGTCCGGTAAAGTATGAGGTAAGCGCAAGACCATTGAGTGCGTAGTTAGAATCTCTAATATTGAGACCATGAACAACCTGGATGTAGGAGCTGTAATAGGCATTCCAGATACTATGGAAAGGAGGTTGTCAGCCAAAGCTTGAGAAGAAACATGGATGTGTCAGACTCACAATATTGTCATGAACATGAGAGCGTGTGTTAATGCCGCATTGATGACAGTCCTGTCGTTCAGAACTTCGAAGGGGAAAAACCTGATCGGCGTCCACCATCTTTCCCAAGCGAGAAACAGGACGAGGCAGACCACTCCCAGAACAATCATGACGCTGATATGGGGTGTCTCCCATCCAGCCTTCGCACTAGACACCAGACTGAATGGCAGAAGGAACAGGATAAACCCTGCTCCGATGAGAGTCATTCCCACGACTGCAACCCAGTCAGCAAAACTACATTCAGACACATGAGATGATGGGGCCAGACGTACCATCAAAGTGCACAAAATAATACTTGACGGATTGCGCAAGCGTGCGCCCCGACTTCTGTCGGACTATGCCAGCCTTCTTGGCTTTGCGCTCCTGGAACAAGAGAATGCCGATGACCGGCACCGAAAACCCGATCAAGATGATGGCCCAAGCCCCGAAAGCCCACCTGAAGTTGGAGTGCTCATAGAAGAGCTGGGCGATCTCCGGGCCGGCGAAGGTGGTGATGAGAATGGGGGTGCCGTTGAGGGTCAAGATGATCATGCGGTTCCGCAGCGTGGTTATGTCGGCGACGAAGACGTTCAGGACGAAGCCGAGCGCGGCCTTGCCCACCCAGTAGAAGATCTGGGCTGCGGCGTAGGTCTCGACGTTCTGGCAGGTCGCCTTCATGATCATGCCGATCACTATGAGAAAGATGGACCCGATGAAGCCTTCCGTCCGACCGCGAAGGTCGATGATCTTGCTCACGGGGAGCAGGACGACACCGCCGATGATGCGGGACGGGATGTTGAGGTTGGCCAGCAGACCGTGTTTGGAGAAGTAAGATGTGACGTACGGGGAAAGCGCATCCTGTACGGAGGAGAGCATATCGATAACGAATGAAAGGAACCAAATACTGACAGGTCAGACGTTAGTATACCGTACGACAATATACAGTGTGAAAATACTGTGCTCTTCGGTGCTAATGCTGGCCATGGCACAATCAGTCAAAACTTACAGCACAAAGGTCACCCATAACGTCTTCCTTGTCCATGTCTTGGTGACCGCCTCAACCTGTTTGACACCTTCGGGGGTGGACGAGTCACTTTTTTCTGTGTCATCTTGATTGTAATTTGGTTCCGTGTCTGTCGCGCAAGAGATATTCTTTTCGGGATCGCTGTCTCGCACAGCAGAATTTGGTGCTTCGAAAGAAGCAGTGGCACGCGCCATCTTGTCGATGTCATGAACCGCTGCCATTAGGTCTGTGGTAGTATGTCTCGTTCCTGCCAGATACCAAAGTAGTCTTTTCGATATATAACACTGAGGTAGATCAAGCTACTTGGCGGTACGACAGAGTGCTGCACCACCTGAATCTTACAACAAGCTTTATGTGATAGCTCACGCACCCGTGGACTCATTTATAGAAACCAACATGCCATCACGAAGAAGGATCAGCACCACCCATGCATTCTGAACGCTATGGAGAACGCCAAGTCCTTGTTAAGAGAAGAATTCGGAAGCTTTGCCCCTGGGCACAAGCGCAACCAATGGAAGCCCGATGATCGATCTGATTAGATTACTTTTTGTGACAATTTGCACAGTTGCCAAGGCCGAAGATCGCTGTTGGTGGCACCATGCACTTTTCGTTTCCCCCCTCTCACATGTTAGAAAAATACGAGAGAGGAGCAGAGTCGTATGTGTGAGGTGTTAACGTGGGAGGTGGTAGTATTGCTACGAATTACCGCGCTTCCATGTTCTAATTTCTCAGTACTTTAGCTACTCCTCGCATCCCTCATGCGCCGCAAGAATTCTACTGGCAATTGCTTATGTACACATTGAAGAATGCACTTGATAGCAAAGCCACAAACAGGGCATAAGCACCGTAGGACGGCAAAGCGGCTATGGTTTGGCTCTATATTGATCCAGTGGCGACGCCAATAGAGAAGCATAAGTATGAAGCGTAATTTAGCGCCATCAGATAACTCTAAATCAGCCATGGTGGGAATAATTTTCTCGCTTGGCAATGTGAGCTAAAAGTTATCTGATCGTCCCAACGGAGCAAGTCCCAGTTGCGGACTAGGGACAGGGAAGTGGAGCTGCTAATCCTCGGAAGCACCCTCGGAAGCAACCCTGAAATTGGCGCCCGGATGTCTCCTGTTCAGAAGAGGCTGCAGTCAACATGGAAGATCCTGCCTACAGGACCATTTGTCAGCTAAGAGGTTGAGGCCTCACTCCGGTTTGGCTCCTGGGCCCCGAGTCTTATGTCTAGACTAAAGGGTGGTTCTCTGAAGTTAGAAAACACCGGACGGCAGCTCTACTGCGAGTCAATGTGCTGATCACTGAACAAGTCGTCGTAGGCGGTCCTGTTTCCATAGAACCACTATTAATTACGAGCCGGCCAATCGCTTGGTTGGAACTGGCAAGGTCTAGGTCTGGTCTTCATGAAAGACGCAGAGGTCACAGCCGTGTGCGCCAGGGTCCGCTCCAACCCAAATCTCGTGATGGGTCTCATAGGATTCCCAACCAAGCTCCACATCAGTATTTTTTATTCAAGGCCGGCCAACGCTTCAGAAGGCCCGAGAGGGGTGGCAGGTGTGGAAACGCTTGAGATCTCATAGGTAAATATGAGGAATTCATTCATAGATGATAGACCTTTTCAAGGCAGCAGGAATTGACCCACGCGAATGCCAAATCTCTTTATTTTAATCATAATATCGGCAAGTTAGCTAGTTCTGCCACGATGTATCAATATCGACGTCGTTATGAAAATCCTTCGAGGCGCTCGTCACGGTTGGTACTGAGAAACGCTAGCCAAATCATCCGTGTACATAAAACAGCAGCATAGCTTGGAAACATATCGAAAACTTAGAAGTCTGATACCGCGAAGCAAAATTCCATGACACTGCGATAGAGTCTGCATAAATTGCAAGCCTGCCTCCACGCTGCACTTTCTGATGTTCAGATGGACCGGTCAAACTGACTCGGACCTGCGATAGGCTCATGAAGACCATTCGCAATGATAAACGTAGCCAATTCGGCACGGTTTCCACTCTGAGTTTATCTGATGAGAAACCCTGCTTTCGTTGCTGCCGCTTGAAAGCAACCATGGCCGTTTTTCAGGGCAACGAAAAGATTGTTGCCTATCAGGAGATATATGTCAGAAGAAGTAAAAGAGACCGAAGCCAAGTCTCCATGAACGAGACGTTTAGCGTGCCAGCCATGAGATTGATGCTAAGGCCCGCAGCAGAAGTATTGAAAGAACAAATAGTGAGGGATTCACTACGGAGCTCTGCAGGAGGGCGGTTAGGCCCTAAGAGAGTGTCGTTGGGCATTGGCTATGGAAATATGAAATTTTGGCCACAACGAGGACGAAGGAATGATTCAATCAATTTGTTCCGGTGCGTTACTCTAGGCTCTATTTGGTACTCATAATGGATATAGCCTAGATAGACGTGTAACGTTTCATTAAAAACAAAGCCAGCTTTACCCTACCAATTCCTTTGTCAGTATCGTTGGCCCCAAACTAGACTTCCAAGCGTCATTCGGCCTTTTAATAAAGTCCGCGCCTAGATAATGGTGAAGATGAGAATGTTAAGCATGCTAAACACCAAACTTCCACCAAAAACGAAACTGTGATATTTCCACGCACTGCCTTAGTCGAAATGAAAAGTCTGGTAAACAATAGCCCATGTTGAGACGTAGAGGTAGTTGCTTGCTAAGCTCTGATACGGGTATCATTTAAGCCGTGTAGCAAGCAAGAAGGTTGCAAGTTGTGTCAATGCATCATAGAAAACATAGCACCAGTTGACAGTTCGCAACATACTCGCCGTAATATTAGCAGCGACTTCTGAGCCGCTCAAACATGGGGCGAAGGGCCGGGCCCTGAAAATAGAGAGGAAAATGGCAAGAGGGACTTTGACAACCAATGCTATTACAACAGAATAAAGTGGTTCGTTGACGATATTTCTGAGACCAACCTTTGACATGCGAGGTTGCCGATCTTCAATGCCAACTTGCCTTCGCCATTCTCTCAATGATGGCCGATGAAAGCAAGAGAGGTCTGTTCCAAAGCTTGTACTGGCACCATTACTATGCCCCCACCTGCTTCTGTTGAAGACACCCCCAGCGATGGCATATGTCGAGCCAAGCGCTACAAGGGTTGTAGTGAGCCATAGATAGAGTTGCATTTCGTACGGCAGACTCGACGAAAGTAGCAATGCCTTGCCTACCAAGAACCAGCAGACGGCTCCAACTTGGCAAAAACTCGTGGGTACGCTGCGTCTTTTTCTAGTGGCGGCGTGTGTTTATCCAAATAAAGTAGACGAGGCCAATGAACGCCGAAGACAAGTTGCATGCAGCTGGAATATCCGCATGCAAGATTACTGATGGTGTGACAAATCGGACGTGAAACCTCGACATAAGGATTAGATCTAGGATGATATTGATAGTGAACTTGACCGAGTTTATGGACATGGGGGCACATCTGGTTTATCAAGTGCTCAGGTAGCAGTCCCAACAGCAGCCTCGATAGCGGAGCTGAGTACAGAAAAGGCACTGAGACGTATGTAGGTTAGACTAGGTAAGACTCATGTCGCAAACCTCGCTAGGAACAAATGCATTCACGAAGCTGGAAGCCGCATCTGCAAAAACGTTACTTAGGACCAGGCAAAGGCAGGACTGGAACAAAATAAAAGTATGTGTAGTTGCAGGCGTTCAGAAAGCGTCCGAGCAGGGTTACCAATGGTGACCCAGGCCGCGCGTGGCAATCGTTCGTTGACAACTTCGGCAAATGCACCGATGTCCGCGTATGAGTCTGTCGTTACGACCAAGGACGAGTCGATCCTAGCCACCTATAGCTTGGCAAGGGTGCCGTAAAGAGCAGTTAATTGGCTTGTTGCAATATTGAAAATCAGAGCACCCGGGTCCCGCATAATGTTGTCTCACGCTGTGCCTTTTCGAAGTATGAATACTTCGTCCGTGATCAACATGCACATCTTAATTAGGCGCCTGCTCAGACCCCGACCCAGCATGCTCAGACATATGAGGGCAGAATCGTCTTTTGACAACATTGTATAGCGCTCTAGGAAACGTTCGTAAAAGAAAATCTGATAGGAGGTTTATTAATTATAGTATTGTCATACGCATAAAGCTTTATACGTGGTGAAGTTACCGTATGATTCCCGATTAGTACACTTGTCCCTAATAACAATATTGAGCGTGTTGAGTTGCAAGGTATATCGACCGAACTAATGGTTCGGATTTATGGTTAATGTGAGGCTACCAAAATATCATGTATGACCAAACTGCAGCCTACCTAGAGACATAAGAGAGCGCAGATAGACAGAAAATGTTGCACGGAACTTCGGAAAACTCAGTATAATTTTACCAATCAGATAATTCAACGGACACGGCCATTTAATACGATTCTCTTAGCCAGAAGAATCGTTGGAAGTTGATCATAGATTGAGGTGAACCCCACTCTCACAGCTGGAATGTTGATGCGTCAGGCCTACCTCGACTATTGAGCATCTGTGTTAAGGTGACACTGACACCAGCTGACCTTTGCAGCTACCGGAATAACTGCACATGTCGTGACTATAGTCCGCACATCAATAGAGATTTTTCTACGGAGAAACCACGGATTCCTTGCATGATTTGGCATCGAGCACTCGTAGAACTTGGTTCCTACTCTGTGAAATCGAACAGGTTGAGCTGCACTGGTCGATAGGATACACATGGGTCCATACGGCAAGGATAATTGGGATAACTACTAAGGTAATTCATTGGCCAACCCAAGTCTTAATGACGGAGCTACTCCCACTCGTTTAGGGGAGGCGAGGACTTGCTGTATATATAGTCTCCAGCCTTAGCTTTCTTTGAAGCTCTTCAGCTGGCCATAGGTAACAGTTAACAATGACAACAAGCTCAGGGTAGCTCGCCCCTGGCTAGTGCTGTGATCCACTAAAACTCCCGCGCCCGATAAGCACTCGACAAGCCTTATCGGACATCTTTCCATCGCCGACCTGGACGTCATCGCGAATACAACACGTAGCTTCTCTCGACGGTATCCCTTGACTCGCTGGGCCCAATGTCCTACAAACGGTCGCGTAAGGACTTTGAAGTAGATCTTCAAGCCCAGCAATCGCCTTACGTCCTCTTCGGTACCCCACTACCGCCGCTCGATCCCGACGTTCGCGATGATGGTTCTTACGTGCCAGTGTGGAAGCAGGAGGTGACAGACGAGCGGGGCCGCAAGCGTCTGCACGGTGCATTCACCGGTGGTTTCAGCGCCGGCTACTTCAACACCGTCGGATCGAAAGAAGGATGGGCACCGAGCACCTTCGTATCGTCGCGAACGAAGAGGTGGAAAGATGGCCAAGGAAAAGACGAGGGGAAAGGGCAGCGCCCAGAGGACTTCATGGACGAAGAAGACCTCGCCGAGAAAGCCGAGAGCGAAAAGCTGCAAACTGCCAGCGGGTTCGCTGGCCTGGGCTCCACCGACCAGGTTCAGGTCCGCCGTGGAGGACTGGCAGATCTGTTCCGGCCAAGAGGCGAAACAATGGGCGTGAAACTTCTGAAGCGAATGGGCTGGAAGGAAGGCCAAGGTATCGGTCCCAAGGTGCGTCGGAAAGCACGACTCGGAACAGGTGAAAAGACCAGCAACGAAGGTCAAGAGGGTGCCGAGACACATCTCTTTGCTCCAGAAAATGTCCCGATGATTGCTTTTATCAAGAAGCTTGATCGCAAAGGTCTAGGCTATGCAGGTGAAGCCGCATTAACTCCCGTATCGTCCGGCACCAATGTCAGAGCTGACGGGAGCTCTGACGAGGACGAGGACGAGGGTCCTTTGATAAGACCATCCGTCCAAAAGAAGAAAAAGGTCAAGTCCGTCAGGGGAGGGATTGGAATTGGAATTCTCAATGATACTGGGTCCGACGACGACGATCCGTATGCAGTCGGGCCTCGGATTTCATACAACAGGGTTATAGGAGGCGACAAGAAAAAGAAGAAGGCTCTTAATACGACAAGCGCAAACCCGAGTGTGCGTTCAGCACCTGTATTCAAATCCAAGAAAAGTGCTTTGTCGAAAGCTGGGAAAAGCCTGAGGAGGTGCCACGATGGTCGATTGCCTCTAGATGGTTTCGTTTTCTGCACAGTGCCAGACAATTGCACGTCTACGATAAACTCAGACATCAAATACCCACCACCGCAAATACCGACTGACTGGAAATCGGGCAAGAATAAAGACGGCTCCGGCAATTCTGCCTTCGTGTCCACAGCAGACGCGGCGAAAGCGTCGAACCTGGATCCCAAATCCCGTGCCGCTCTTCTCGGAGAAGCGCAATTGCCTGGGAAGTCCGTCTTTGATTTTCTGAATCCTGCTGCCCGAGATCGCATCGCTTCCGCGACGGGAAAGGCCAACCTGCCACAAGCATTAGGAGAGGTGCCAGAAGGCTATGCTTTAACTCCAGAGGAGAAGCAACGTGAGTTGCTTGCTCAAATACCCAAGCTGGAGAAGGATACCGCAATAGCTGCCATTACCCGTGGGGCCAGTGGGACGGCTCCCTATGCCGACGACGAGGCTAAACGTACGCGTTACCGTGCCTATCTCGAATACTCGGCGGGATTCGGCAAAGCATCTCTGCCCGTCAAACCATCGACACAAAGCAATGAGGAATGGCTTCGGGAACTACGTGAGTTCCACAGCTGTGCTATGATATTTAGGCCAATGTCTGGAATGATGGCATCGAGATTTGCGCCCTCGACCTCCTCAAAGTTCATTGGCGGAACTGATGGAAACAAGACCGAGTTGGTTTCCAAACCTCTGCCAAAGCCCGCGGACCCAGCGGAGGAGGCTGCGAAGATGGGCATGTACGGCACTATGACCAGAGCCACGAAGGACTTCTATCCTACCAGACTTCTTTGCAAGCGATTTAATGTACCTCCCCCAGCCCACGTTCAGCCTGATCCCGAAGCCGAGGCTGCGATGCGGTCTGCGGCCAATGCTAGCACAGAGGCAGGCTTTCCCTCTACCGCAAGTCACAATGCTACGAATAACACAGCCATCACGCTTGATGAGCTGCTACGACAGGCTCAAGACACAAATATAAGCACCGCCTCCGAATCACAAGCAATAAAAAGCACGGAAACTCGCACAAAGCCTGCTCCGGCAATAGCCCAGGCTACGGTGGACGCCAGTGTCAATGAAGCGCTTGAGAGTAAGCCAGCGCAAGAAGACGTTTTGAAAGCCATCTTTGGCGATAGCAGCGATGAGGAAGACTAAATACCTAGAGTTATATACCCATTAATTTGAAGGCAATCATGTACCCCCACTTGTGTTTGTAAACTCTTCAGCCTTGGTTCTCACATTGATTATCACAATGCCATATCTTTAAAACGAGAATGTGACCACGTGAAAGTCACGGCGCTTGAACCCGGAAAAGCCACTATTTACTCTCCCCATACTTCATTTCCTAATTCAACTTCTGTTCGACTATCATTGCTACCGTCCTTATCCAGAAGCACTCCGTATTAATAGTATGGGTGAGGTTGTGTATCTGATGCTGAACGAAATATGATGCACATTGTATACTGGAACCCATCTTGTTGTAGAGGGGGCAGGGTTTCCACAAATCCAGAATAAGTTTAGCTCCTCCCGAATGCCAAGCTCTCCCCCACTTGAACTTTCCATACACCCTTTTCAGCATATTTGATTTGTCGTCGATGAATTATGTGAGATGGAATGGCTTTTGCGATTGCCTTTCATGGACACTTTTGGGGCCGTCGCTTACTCATAGACAAGCCACACTCTGACCGTGACCTACATCGCAAAATGGATGCTCCAATAGAGGAACGCTGGAAAACAATTTGTCATAACCGAATGCATTTCGCGCCCTTCGCAAAGACATATACGGTGCCGAGAAAGGAACATCTCTAACGTAGAGAACTACCACTCTAACATCATCTTTATTGTGGCAATTCTTCTTACTTGATGACTTTTCACATCAGTATATGTGCTTTTGTCGTCTACGCCGCTCTCACAACTCTATCAGCCCAGACAGAATTAGCAGAAAGCATGGCTACACTGGGACTCCGTAGCAATTGGCACTCCGGCGAGGAGGAAGTCCACCGTTTACTCCGCGTGCCACACGGTGACAACCCGACTTATCCGGGGTTGGCACCACAATATCACAGACGTATCATGAATTCGCCTCTGGTTGCATTTGGCACTCTAGATCAACAGGGTCGTCCTTGGACGACACTTTGGGGTGGCGAAGTTGGTTTCTGTCGACCTATTGCCAACAACTTTTTGGGAGTAAACACAAAAGCGGACGCGCTGTTCGACCCTGTAATGCAAGAACTTTTTGCTGTTCAGGAAGAAGGGGCCTCCGAAAGGCAGATCGTGGATGAGCGGTTAGTGAAGCCGGACGGTGGCAGGGTGATGGCTGCATTGTCCATCGACCTAGAGACGCGCGACCGTGTAAAAGCGGCTGGTCGATTCGTTGCCGGAGCTGTTATTAGTAGGACGGATGATGGAGTCGGAGAGCTTCAGCTGGCATTTGAGGTCCAGGAGACCTTGGGCAACTGTCCGAAATACCTGAACAAGAAGCACATCACACCACACTCCCCGCATCCGGAGCTTCTCAGCAATGGCAATGGGCTCCAACTGCCGAAAGAAGCCGTCGAGCTGCTACAGAAAGCAGATCTGTTCTTCATCTCTTCCAAGCATGGGAACGGGAGCATGGATGTGAACCACCGAGGCGGTCCGCCCGGCCTCTTGCGACTTGACCGAAACGAGGCGGGTAGCGTTACACTCGTCTTTCCAGAGTACTCGGGAAACAGGCTCTACCAGACTCTAGGCAATTTACAAGCAGACCCTGTTTGCGGACTCGTGGTTCCAGACTTCGAGACCGGAAATGTTCTCTACGTCACCGGCCGCACCACGACGCTGATCGGAGACAAAGCGTCGGCGTATCTACCGCACACGAATCTGGCTGTCAAAGTAGACGTTGATGAGGTACGGTTCGTCAAGGACGGCCTACCTTTTCGCGGTACTGTAATCGACTATTCGCCGTACAACCCGCCTGTCCGGCGACTCCTCAGCGAACAGCAGCAGGATGGCTCAACACCGGACGCCGGGCCTGGTACCATCGCAACTGCCACCTTGGTCCAGCGAGATATCATAACCCCTACCATCGCCCGATTTGTTTTTGATCTCACGCTCGGTCCGTTGGCTTCGAAAGACAAGGCACCCACCAAAGAGTCCCTATGGCAGCCCGGTCAGCACGTCACGCTCGATTTCGGGCCCGAGCTGGACCATGGATGGAGCCACATGCGCGAAGATGACCCCCAGAGTCTGAATGACGACTTCGTGCGGACCTTCACCATCAGTGCCCCCCCGTCGACGAGCCCAGATCCGAAGAGAGTAGAGCTGGAAATCACAGCGAGGCGACACGGACCCGTGACGGGCTTGTTGTGGAAATGGAATCTCAGGGCTCCCCTAGAGGTACCCGTGGTGGGCTTTGGTGGCAGTGATGGATTCCGTTTGCCTTACGGGAAGGAGAGCGGGACGGATGTTGTTTTTGTGGCGGGAGGCGTGGGTATCACGCCCTTGATGGCACAGGCGAAGAAACTTCTAGAGAGCGACAAGAAAAGTTTGAAGCTGCTGTGGACTTTGAGGGCGGGAGATCTCCCACTGGCTGTGAAGGTCTTCGAGCAACTCGAGGGACTGGATAAAGTTACGAACCTCTTCGTAACAGGACGGGGTATGGAGCAGAACTCTGAGACATTAAAAAGGCTGCGAATGTCGGGTGTAGTCATCGAAGAGCGTAGGGTGAGGTCTGAAGATATCTTGGAGCTGGGGGAAAAGGGTCGGAGGAGATATTATTGCTGCACTGGAACTACATTGATGACGGAACTGTCCAAGTGGTTGAAAGATGAGGATATGGTGTACGAGAGTTTCAACTACTAATGATGCATCGAAGCGATCACCAAGCACTCTCACGAGCTGAGGTATTTCCCCCCTGCTTCGCTGGGGTCTCATGCCGTCGAAGTTGGAGGATGATAACATGGTATAATCGTCATGTACTACAAGCCCCTATTCTATGGCTTCAAGAAAATACAAACATGGGCGATCCGTACCTCGCCGGTTCCTATTGTTCAAGCCCACAACTCTCTGTTCATTGCATAAACAGTCAACTGACTAGTAGTCGAATAAAATCGTGGGTTTTCCGTGCACAAGTTACTAAAGTTTCTCGGCATCCATAGGTACTTCCTATCCACCTTGGACTATGTTAGACTACCTAGCGAGAGTGGGCACAACCCATTTACCAGTTTGGGGTTTCTGGCCCAGTTAATCATTTTAACTAACGTGTTTCATACATGCAGATATACCAAGTAGACTGTGGAGTTCTGACCGTATGTATTTCGGCACATCCCTTCGTCCTAGACTCTGTATACTCAAGGTTCACTAGCCCCCAAGAGTTGGGGTTGAAGTTCACAGGGCTGAACGATGGCGCTTTGCCAGCCTCCAGCAAGAAAAGTTACCGGGCTCACTGTTGTGTCTGGCTGGGTGTCGGGCTGGGCTTATGCGGGGGTCCTGCAGATTCGCAATGGGAACCGAGTTTTGCATTACCTATCGTCATTGGCAGTCACCAAGATCCCTATGCACAGGTTTGCCTGGTTTCAATGTCGTGCTTGGCATATCCCCCATTGTGCAACCTCCAACGCTAGATACGCCATGCCTTTCGGGTGATCTGTGTTTCCCTGGTGAGTATCATGCACGACAGGGGCAGACTGGACTTTGAGGTCACAAGAGATGACCAAGATGGGGGGAAGAAAAAAAAACGAAACGCTCGGATGCATCCGCTTGGTGAATGAGCGGGTTGTTGGTCCCCAGCGCAAAAGCGGATATATTACCCGATGATCGAAAACAAAGCAAGAGGGCCCGCCGTCTCGTCTCGTGGACGTGCAGATTCTACTTGCTTGGGAAAGTGGGGGGCCGCTCACGATGGTTCTCAGTAGGTTGCCTTCTTAGGCGCTGCTCGGCCGAGCGGTCGCGCTCCGGTTTATGGCCGGTGTTGTATCTTGGTTTATATTGAACAATGACAAAGAGGGTATCAGGGAAACATCGACACTCTTCTTCTTCTACTTCATGTCCAGAGGGGAATGTATTTTATTTCGTGGTGCCCCGAAAAATACTTGGTAGAAAGCACAATGAATATGATTTGAAACAAACAAAGTCGTATCGCTCTGCAAGAACCATGGTTTGAGGGAAACCGAATCCCGAGGTCCTGTTCACGATGTATGCAATGTGGCGCAATTATTGCCCAAGATCGAGTTCATAGTCAATGTCTTTAACTCGAGCAAATGCAACCGGTATAGGCGCTTCAATGGATATTACCATGTGCAAGACGGATTTATCTCAAAGAACTGAGGCACTGCGTATAAATTCACAAAAGCCCGCGGTTTTCCATGTAAAAAGCATTTGTGTATTTATAATCCCGTCTTTAATGGGCCGATGACCAGGCTTGAATGTGTCGTTATACCCTGCGCTGACTCTAGGCTGCCTGGCGCCACTGCATCAACTTACACAGGCAGCAAATAGTGGACACAAGAGATGGCGAAATCGCTGTACTAGTCACCAAAGGGTAGCCAAAGGCCCGTCGCTCTTGGTTGGGAGATTCATGCTGTTCCGTCGGATTCTGTATCTACTGTATATATGTTCCTGGAATGAATTCTATAGAGTTCCTGGAATAAATTCCGTGGAGTTCCAGGTTGCGACATGAGTGTTCAGTTGGAAACACTTCTGTGTCTGCCACTTGATGCGACTGATGCTGGCTGGAAAGGGCGCGGGGTTATGCTGGTGCAGCCCCCCAAACGCCCGGACAGAAGCGATCTTCAAGCCAAGCGAAGAAGCTCTAGGTTAGCAAGCATGCATGGTACTGTACCGTCAATGGATCAGTCTCCAGTGTCGCAGTGTAGTGCCATTGTCTCTGATTACTGTGAGCCTAGGCAGTCTAGGTTAGAACACTGGACCCTCTCTCCACTACTAAACTGCCATCGCAGCCGACTTTCCCACCTGTGAATTGCTCATTCACTCACCTCAAGACTCAAGTGCTACTCAGTTCACCATCTCTCAATTCAACCAGACCACCAGAACGCCGAAATCCGCAAAGCACATGATACCCAAGACCTATCGTAGCATAGCCTCAGCCCATTAACACGTTAGGTGACCCAATTTGGGGTCCAAGCTTATCTCATTCAAATCACTGGCCGTGAATTGCAAACACCCCGCCGAAATCCGTCGTCATTGTCTCTAATTCACGCGCTTCGCCTCGACCCCGAGCCTGCCGTCGCAGAGCCGTAAACAACATCAGCATTCAGCATTCAGCATTCAATTGTTACCAGGTCCTCGCTAGAGCTTCGCACAAACAAACGAACAAGCGCGATGGCGGACTCACAATCACAATCGCAATCACAGCAATCGGCCGGCCTGTTGCTCGATGAATACCGATTCCCAGTTCACCGCCTGCAACTGCACGACGTCGAGCCTGGCAAGACCCCGCTAGTGCTTGTCGCTTGTGGCAGTTTCTCCCCAACAACATTCCTCCACTTGCGAATGTTTTCGCTGGCCTACGACTATGTCAAGGCCAACACCAACTTCCAAGTCGTTGGCGCATACCTTTCCCCCGTCAGCGATGCCTACAAGAAGGTCGGTTTGGCACCCGCACATCACAGAATCCGTATGGCCGAGCTCGCCGTGCAAAGGAGGACAGCGACTGCCGACTGTCTAATGGTCGACCCTTGGGAGGCTATTCACACCGATTACATGTAAGCTTTTTTTTCGTCCAACGATGCAGCAAACACGCACGCTGATATCTGCAGGCCCACTGCCAAGGTGTTAGACCACTTCGAGCACGAACTGAACGGCCAAATCGGCGGCGTCGAAGACACGAATGGCGTCAAGCATCCTATACGAATTGCTCTTCTCGCTGGTGTAGACCTTATCCAGACCATGGGCACTCCAGGTGTCTGGAGCCAAGAGGATTTGGCCCATATTCTCGGTCAATATGGCGCTTTTGTCGTTGAACGTGCCGGTACCGATTTCCAGGAAGCCGTGGGTAGTTTGAAGGAGTGGGAGAACAACATCTACTACATCCCACAGACTGTGATCAACGAGATATCCTCCACTAAAGTCAGGCTGTTGTCCAAGAGGCGTATGAATATTGACTACCTAGTACCCACCGAGGTGGTCAACTATATCGCCCAGCACGGCCTTTACCAAGATGAAGACACACCTGCTGGCGGCAAGCTCAAGGAAAAGGCTTGAACTGGATAGTGTCACACTGCCTATCATACGACAAGGGTTTTGGCTGAGGATGTCGGTTGTGAACAGGTTGAACTATGATGAAAACAAGATGGGAATGTCGAGAACGCCACTGGCTTTGCATGGAACAAGGCCGGATAGAATTGGAAAGCATCCTTGGGCTTCTCGGACACTTCTCAGTAATTGACGACTTACCCTTTGGTGGGCTCATCCGTACCAACCCCCCGCTTTGGATAGAGGGAACATCAGTTCCTGGCTAGACAGCGGACGGATCGTCCTGTGCGGAAACACATTTCAGCGCTTCGCTCTCATAGCGTGGCAAGTGCTCTGAGGCTCTAAAGAATGAATCCCACTCTTGATGTTTGGGAGATAAGAAGCGAGACTTGATTTACAGCGACTTAGAAGTCGCCAGTGTTACATTATACACTACTAGCCTGCTTTTTGCTCTTTTGAAAGCACATAAGTTCCAGAGAGAACAAAGTAACGAATATACCTAATGCATTCAAGTCTTGTCTTAAATGTCCTACTGGCAGATCAGCTTCTTCTACATTTGATTACATCCGAATATTAGCGAATACATGCGGAGGCGGAAGTTGCTAATAATGATTTGATTGATAACAAATTTGATGCGCTGGGCCATGATGCCTTGCTTTTCCAACCAGTAGTGGTAACTTCGAGCTGTGTGTGAAACCGAGGTACGTAGTCACCCGACGCCGTCATCGTCGCTTAGTTTAGTCCTTTCTTTCAATAAAGCATGTGCAATCTCCAATCACACGTTCAGGCTTGAAGGTTATACTTCAACCCAAGAACACTGCCTTTTGCATCGACTCACCATGGTTCAAGCGTACCATGAGTAGGTTGCTTCTGGTTTGTTTGAGTAGGTTGGGCCAGTGACTTGTAGTGCACTTGGCCCAGAGGCGAAACGTGCGCAGGTGATGGCTGCCTTGCGTCAGGTCGCATGATGAGGCTGCCAGGTGTACCCTTCTTTGCTGCGCGGGTGAAGGCTAACTTACAAGGCTACTTCATACCGTCCTTCGAGCTGGCATCGATTCACACTGCCATTAATATTATTCTCAACTTAAATGGTTGAAGTGTTAGAGCTGTAAATTGTATTGCTAAATGAATATGGCCGGCTGAGCAAAGGTTGCCCCTCCTACCCGCAACCGGACCTATTTGGTGCACACACTCAAAGTCCAACCCAACAACATCTGCTTACACATCGCCGTCGTGGTAGTTGAGGAAGGAACGAGCATGGGCCTGCCCCTTCCATGGAAGCAAAGAAACAGATGAAGAATCAACAACGCGTGGTTTAATTTCACAAATTTCCGACGTCTGTTCACCTTGCATTCCTTATTCTGAGCCCCGCCTTTCGGCGCTCAATATGGACATCTTCATGGAGAGCCCTGCCGGTGACGATGAGGGCCGCGGTCTCTTTTTCGACGATCTAATGACTGATAGCCAAATCAGCGAGTTGGAGCTCTCTTCTCAGCTGCTCGGGCGTACCAGGCCCTCCTCTGCCTCTACTCCTTCATCGTCTAGGCCCTCATCCGGCATTCCATCTTACAAACCTACGCCACCGCGACCACCTACGATTGCTAGACGAGCAGCACCACAACCAGCACCAATAAGGCACCAAACGGAGCAACTATTTGATAAACGGGTTACCAGTAGCAGCACTAGAAACAGGCATATACGACATGACTCTTCCACCAGCGTGGATTCATGGGAATCGGACGCCGACTTGGTTGACCCGCGACAAGTGCCCCGCCAACCAAATGAATCGCAGCAAGACCTAGCGGAGCGCATCGCAAACCTCACCAGGACAATCAATGCCAATGCCGCATTCTGTGTGGAGGTATCAAGCAAAATGATTGAGCTGGCGCGAGAGAATAAACACCTCCTCGATGCCTCACGCTCCACCCTGGAAACCTATATCTTACAGCCGGCACTGAAGATTCCCGGTATCCTCAAGCAGTATTACCCAGGCATCCAGGATGGTCTGCAGGATGGACTGGATACCCTGAGGGAATACGAGGTGCAGTTACGGAGGACAGTGCAAAACGTTGCGAATGGGCGTGACATGGTGAGGGCGCAGGGCGTCAATGGAGTAGCAGTCGAAGGGGCGAGCAGGAGAGGCGAGATGACCAGACTAAAGGATCGGCTTGTAGAGCAAGATGCGTTATTGAGAGACTCGAGCCAGCACGTTCAAAGACTGATTCGCGAGCGGGAGACCCTGAAGAAACAGCTACACAAGAGGACACGCAGCGGTAGTGGCCATGAAGCTGCCATGATGGGTCTCGGTATGGCAGATACGGACAAAGTTCCTTTTCTTCGGCTTGACGTAGACGAAGAGCACAGTGATGATGGAAGGGAAGATCAGCCGAACAGCGAGAAGGATATGGTGGCCTTAGCAGACCATCTCAGAGAGATGCGTGTGCTAATGGACCGTTTGGCAATTCATGAGGTATGTTGAAATCTAATCGCACAGTATGAAACGACTCTCTGACCCTTCGTTTAGCAGACTTCTAATCACGAACGGCGGCATTCGAATTCCAAACCTGATGATATAGGGAAAGAGCTTGCAGCTGACGACGAGGATCCGGAATGGACGTTACTCTAACATGATTCATATAGACTGATACCCGGCGCAATGGAGCAAATTCTTGACCCCGTTTGTTTCTTTTACAGCCATAGAACAGGACAGCCGAATTGAAATTACTCTCAACCACGTTGCGGTTACGACTGCCACTACACTTGAAGGTTCAAGTACATCTGTTTCTAGGACTGACAAAAAGATAATGTGCTGCATCAGCGTTCAACAGAACTGCGAGCTTGACTTCACAAATACATTTTGTTCACAAAAGGTCCAACAAACTACAGCTCAATAACTTCTCCAGTCGTACTCATAAAATCCTCAAATGTGACGCCTCCAAGAACAGTTGGTGCACGTGGAGACAAGGTAATGGTCTTGTGACAGCATAGGGGCGATATCCCTGCTACCCCAAACCCCGCCCCCCTGCCCCCCCTAAAAAGACGCGTTTAGTACACTAACCCTACTGTAGGCGCCAGGGAATCCGCTTCACCTGAAGCCCCAGGTCAAGTGTATGACGCAAGACATATCGGAGCTTCTGAGCGGCTGGAGACGTGATTCATATATCAGTCAATATGTATTTACTGCATATGTTGAATATTCTAGCTGCAAAGTCGGCAGCTACCCACTGACTATTAACAAGAAATTTAATTAATAGAACCGAAAGAAGGAGAAAACGTTTCACATGCCCGCATACACCGATTCTGATATACTGCAGCTGTTAAAACATGTTGGGGTGAGTCTGTAAACAGAAGGGCCTATGTGTATGTTTCGTTAAACGCACTAACCTAGAGCTCTTAGCTGCATAGGCTGCCTGTGACGTTCCAGAGCTTCCCTCGTCGTGTGTGGTGATCCTTTGACTCTTAACATTCCCCATATCATTGAACATCAACCAGCAGTCTTCCTTCACTTGCATCATTCAAGTCATGCGCGCATGATAAGTGCCTGATTATTACCTTGTTGGGTGTATTTCCCCAGTTATCTGGTGCTCAGGCTGAGGCTCCCGCGACGATAAGATGACACGACTATCTGCCGTCATCGCAGCAACAGCAGTGCTGCTTGCTGCAACAACAATAAATGCAGACCCCCTCACGCCGAAACACGAGGCCGGCCGATGTGCGATTCGTGGACATTGCGGGAAGAAGAGCTTTTTCGGAAAGGAGCTACCATGTCTCGACAACGGATTGGCCAAACAACAGTCCGAAGTAGACGATGATTTCGCCAAAGACATCGAGGCCCTCTGCGGCGCAAAGTGGAGGGACAGCAAGGTCTGTTGCGACAGAGACCAGCTCGACTCCCTCAAGTCCTCCATGTCGACTCCAAACCAGATCATCGGATCCTGCCCGGCTTGCAAGGACAACTTCTATAACTTGTTCTGCACCTTTACTTGTTCCCCCGACCAGTCGCTGTTCATCAACGTCACCAAGACACAGGATAAGAACGGAAAGCAGCAGGTCACCGAGTTAGATCAGCTCATTACGAAGGATTATGGGACAGGTTTCTACAACAGCTGTAAGGATGTCAAGTTCGGCCCTTCCAATTCGAAAGCCATTGACTTCATCGGCGGTGGTGCCAAGAACTACACGCAAATGCTCAAGTTCCTCGGCGATGAGAAGGCCATCGGCTCACCTTTCCAAATCAACTTCCCAACTTCCTATTCCGAGCCTGACATGGCACCCAAGGAAATGAAGCCGAAAAAGTGCAATGACGAAGACCCGGCATACAGATGTTCATGTGTAGACTGTCCAGCAGTGTGTCCGGCACTGCCGCATGTTGAGCGCAAGGGCTCTTGCAAGGTGGGCGTGTTGCCTTGCCTGTCTTTTGCCTCCATCTTCACATACAGCGTGTTATTGTTCTCCCTTGTCATTGTGGTTGCAGGGCATATTGCTTATCGCCGCCACGCTCGCAAGCAGCATGAGCGGCTGCATGTCCTGCAAGCCCCGGAGAGTGATGACGACGATGATGAGGGTCATCTGGTCCGCAACGGAGCCATGTATGACAGACCTCAGAGGTACTACAGGATTAATACTCTGTGTGACCGTGCCTTCAGCAAGCTTGGTCATGTCTGTGCCCGGTTCCCGGCAATTACTATATTCACAAGCTTGGTGGTGGTCATCGTGCTGAGCGTCGGATGGATAAAGTTTGACGTGGAAAGGCAACCCGAAAAGCTTTGGGTCAGCCCAACATCGGCAGCTGCTCAGGAGAAAGCCTTCTTTGATGAGAACTTTGGCCCATTCTACCGTGCTGAAAAAGTGTTCTTGGTCAACGACACTGGCGGCCCTGTCCTGAACGGTGACGTGATCAAGTGGTGGATGGATCTCGAGAAGGATGTAAAGCAGCTTAAAAGCCCCAGCTTCGGTGCTACACTACAAGATGTATGCTTCAAACCAACTGGCCCTGCTTGTGTGGTACAGTCAGTGGCAGCCTATTGGGATAACTTGTACTTTGACAAGGATTCCTGGAAGAGAGATCTTCAAGAATGCGCCAGATCCCCTGTCAATTGCCGACCTGACTTTGGTCAACCCATTGAGCCGAATATGGTTCTTGGTGGTTACAACGGTATTGATGACGTTGCCAACGCACCTGCCATGACCGCCACCTGGGTCGTCAGCAATTATGCAGAAGGGAGCCCCGAAGTTACCAGAGCCAAGGACTGGGAACTAGTACTTAAAGATCGTCTTTTACAAGCACAAGATGAGGTTGCCGAGAAATTCGGGCTGCGCTTGTCCTTCTCAACTGAAATCAGTCTGGAGCAGGAACTGAACAAGTCCACCAACTCTGATGCCACAATCGTCGTCATCAGCTACATTGTGATGTTTCTCTATGCATCACTAGCTCTGGGCTCTACTAGCATGAGCCTCCGCGAGTTGCTCAGAAACCCAGCTGTTGCATTGGTACAGAGCAAGTTTACACTGGGTTTCGTCGGTATCCTGATTGTCTTGATGTCCATCACCGCATCTATTGGTCTATTTTCATGGGCCGGCATCAAGGCAACCCTAATTATTGCGGAAGTCATCCCCTTTATTGTTCTTGCGGTCGGCGTGGACAACATCTTCCTTATAGTTCACGAATTCGATCGAGTCAATATTAGCCACCCCGATGCTATGGTCGAGGAGCGAATTGCAAAAGCTCTTGGTCGCATGGGCCCTTCGATTCTGTTCTCCGCTATTACTGAGACTGTTTCGTTCGCTCTCGGCGCTTTCGTGGGCATGCCTGCGGTAAGAAATTTTGCCATTTATGCCGCCGGAGCAGTCTTTATCAATGCACTGCTGCAGATGACACTCTTCATCTCAATCCTATCATATAATCAGATCCGTACCGAGGATCATCGGGCAGACTGCTTCCCTTGCATTCAGGTCAAAGCCGCTCGTGTTCACCTGAACGGCAATGCACATACAGGTCCTAGACCCTATGACGGACCAGAAGAGAGTTGGTTGCAGCAAATCATCAGGAAGCACTATGCACCGGCTCTGCTGGGCAAAAAGGCCAAGGTCTTCATTATCGTTTTGTTCACCGGTGTGTTGGCTGCTGGTATCGCCTTGATTCCTGAAGTTAAGCTTGGTCTCGATCAACGAGTAGCTCTTCCAGATGATTCCTACCTAATCGACTATTTCAACGATTTGTACAACTACTTGGACACCGGCCCGCCTGTCTACTTTGTCACAAAGGACCTGAATGCTACACAACGCAAACATCAACAAGAGATCTGCTCTCGCTTCACCTCTTGTAATGATTTATCACTCACTAACATCCTCGAGCAAGAGCGCAAGCGACCCGCGGTTTCTTACATATCTTCTCCCACGGCTAGCTGGGTTGATGATTTCTTTTTATGGCTCAACCCAGACTATGATACGTGTTGCACAGAGGGCCGCGAGACATGTTTCGCCAACCGCGACCCTGCTTGGAACATCACAATGGACGGGATGCCCGAGGGTGACGAGTTCGTTTACTACTTGAAGAAGTTCCTGAAGTCGCCTACCGATGATGAGTGCCCACTTGGAGGACAAGCTTCCTACAGCTCGGCCGTCTCTATCGACGAAAAGGCAAACACTATCCGCGCCAGCAGCTTCCGCACTATGCATAAGCCTTTGCGGAGTCAGGAAGACTTTATGGACGCATACGCGGCGGCTCGCCGTATCGCTGATGACTTCCAAGCTAATACTGGCATTGAAGTATTTCCCTACAGTGTGTTCTATATCTTTTTCGACCAATATGCTGGCATTGTCAACCTCAGCGCCACGCTTCTTGGGTCTGCTGTGGCGGTCATTTTCGCTGTCTCTTCGGTTCTTCTGGGCTCTGTCCTAACAGCTCTCGCGGTGACAATTACGGTTGTTATGACTGTAATTGACATCATCGGTGCCATGGCTGTCTTTAATGTCTCACTTAACGCCGTATCGCTTGTCAACCTGATCATTTGTGTTGGCATCGCTGTCGAGTTCTGCGCTCATATCGCTCGCGCTTTCATGTTCCCCTCGGCTTCCGTCATGGAGCGCGCTAAACACCGCTTTAGGGGTCGTGACGCGCGTGCTTGGACGGCGCTTGTCAACGTTGGTGGCTCCGTGTTCAGCGGTATTACAGTCACAAAACTTCTTGGAGTATTTGTTCTGGCCTTTACATCATCAAAGATCTTTGAGATCTACTACTTCCGTGTCTGGCTCGCGCTCGTCTTCTTTGCAGCCACGCACGCCTTGATTTTCTTGCCCGTACTGCTGAGTTTGATTGGTGGCGACGGCTATGTCGACCCTGAGAGTGAGGGAGGACTGGTCGAGGATTTGGCGAACAGGAGATATAGAGCCATCAGACCAGATTATGCATCCGACTCTGAAGACGAGGACTAGAGTGGCCCGTCTGCTGTCGATGGGGGGCATGATGTCGGAGATGGGGGACAAAGGCAAATGCCATTCTAGGAGAGCTTATTGCACCCATTAGAATTGTCGGGATGGAAACCATGGAAACAATCGGTTGTCTTTCGCTCTCAAAGCATCTTGTGGTAGAGCAACATACTCTAGCGGAGCAGTGGAGGTTCACGCAGGAGGATGAGGACTTTGAAATCCTTCAAGGCGGTAAGAGGAAGGAGAGCTACTCGTGCTAACAGGATACTGCCGTCGCGCGGGCGAAGTCTTTCGCCTATACCTGAAGTATCAGCTGGGGCGGAAGAGAGGGGATATGTGAGCGACTAGGTGAGGATATGGATTGACATACGTATACAGCATGACTGGAATCGGCGTTGGGAACTCGAATTTATGTATAGCGATAGTAATACAGCGTTGTTTTCTTCATTGTATTGGCTGGGTGTTAATACACATGAACCTAGCTCACTCTCGGCTTTTCTTGCATGCGCCGCTGCGATTAGAAATATACATATTTGTAAGGTACGTGAATATTGCTGTGGTGGGGGAGCTCAATTGCATCACAAAGCCATCTTAGATATAGACGTCAATGACTGGAGATAGTAGGCGTCTTATTGAGAAAATTTTTTGGCTATATCGAGGTATGGAATTTGTCCATGTAGTGGTTCAAGGGTGACATGATTCAGATCTCTCCTACGATTTACAATGCTGCATTTACCTCCTTACTAGACTCGACCGCTTCTGCCCAATCACCCCAATGAAGAATGCCTCCGTACTCGCTACTATCTTGACGAAAATAATATCCATTATTGATCATGTCTGCTTCTTTGAATCAAGTAGGCTCCTGGGTAGACACTATGTAAGTGACTACATACCTGGCTGCAGTGCTCCCCCTTGCCCTTCAATCTCCTTCACATTTCGCAAGCCATTTCGGAGGGAGTGACACGCATTCTCTATTTCTAAAACATGTTCACTTTCAGAAAAAGTGACTTATCGGCCTTGAAGCCTCTACCCTATTTGAGCGCATCTGCTCTGTCGTGTCTTCGCTCCCTAACGGTGCGTTTGAATAACTGCTCCTGTGTCTACGGGCGCGCTCTCTATTCGAAGGGAGCCCTGTATTCATGCTATATATTTCCATAACCACAGAGTTCACAATCAACCTCTTCGCAAACAAGCAAGACAGCATACAGCCATCTCGGAGAAATGGTAGAAACTTGTTGCTAGATTAGCTGCCTACTACCAACCAGGAGCTTTGCGCCTCGACCGTGTTTGCGACACTCAGAACATACAAACACCACACAATCTCGTTGAACAGCCTTCGAGCATGCCCAAACTTATAGACTGCTCTATTCGACTCCGTCCAATTTGCAGCTGGGAAACCTATTTCCTCGCAACCGGACAGCGATGACGCTCGTCAACCAGTCACCTGCGCAGTTGTCAGAAGACAAGGTAAAAAGGTGCTACCTTCCGACCGGCATCTTGACACGGATCCTCAACTACTCCGATCTAGTGGCGCTGTACGACCTGGAATGGTGAGCCGAGGAGGGGCTGGTAACGCTTGACTACTGCAAGAAGTGTACCACAACGCACGTGTCCACGCAAATACGGCTCATACTCTACTAGGTGCATCTGCTAGAGACTGCTGCTGCCTATGTTACTTGTTAGTCAACATTTTCAAGAGATGTCTAGGCCTATCTTTTTCCTATGAAAATGATTCAGAGTTCTGCCGACTGACAGCCGACTGGACGGTTATGAAGGGTTCAACACGAAACTCCCCCCGCTCGCAAATTGTTTTCGCAGGCTGCCGCCTAGTGCTTCACAACTCCTTCGATTTTTGAATATAACTTTTTCGTCCAGTCGGGTAAAGTTAATCATGTGAGGTGGTAAACCCTTACATCAATGGAAGATAGCCCTGACTAATCTTACCAGACAGTGCGATTTCAGCAAGCTTGATCTGGGCCTCTTCATAGACGTTGAGGCCGAACCGCAATCTCCACCAGCTATTTGATTTACTTATTAGCTGTTCACGGCCCCTCTAGTGCAACTTCGTGACTGTCGAGACCTGTTCATCTATTTGGGGTTGGCCTATATGTTCTTCTGGTGGAACTCAGGCCTCTTACTCCTGCGAGCTCGAAAGGGAGATAACGGGTTTTGGACATAACTCCGAGGCGCGAGGGAAATGTCTTACTCTTCTACGGCGGTATTTTGATGGCGAGAGCAAGGAAGGTCCCATCATCGCAGCAGATGGCTCGCAAATCTGGCCCCGAAGGTATCACGAAGCTGCTTTTAAGGGTCATATCCGGGTACACTATACTCATCCTCGTGCTGATGAGTTTCAGATATCATGTATGATCGCTAAAGTCGGGTTTCCGATACATTGATTATATTTTGGGAAGGTCTAAGCACTGGGGACTCGAAGTATAATAGTTAAGAGAAAAATAACGATTGTCATAATGGAGACCTATGGAAACAAACATAGAAAAGAACACAACACTAATATTATCCCCCAAACGATGCTAACTGAACAAAATTTGACCCACTCTATACCTGATAAGCACCCGTGGCTCTCATAGCACCACAGCATACTCCGGCAGCTATCTATGCAATCAGAAGTTGAAACTGATTTTTTCAAACACGGTTGAGTAAGACGAGTTGATAGGGCCGATTGCGCCCGCCAGAACAAAGGCGAACTTTGGCGAGGGATTTTGAATTTGACACTGCCATACACGCTGATGTAGGAACCCGCGGGGTACCTACCTCCAGGTGCAAGATTTACCCCGAGCGACACTTTATAGCGGTGCACCGTACAATCATCGGCGTGAATATAGACGACTGGTGTACGATTTTGCACTTGCGCCCACCAAGCCGGCGTGGCAATTGGCGCCGCCTTCCTTGATTTTCCCTGATCTTCCCGATGCTGGGCCATCCGGCACGGAGCAGAGGAAGACGCCCTTGTTCTTGACATAGAGCGCGGCCGTGAGGTGTGTCTCCTTATCCGCGCGGGGTGTCTGGGTCATCATGCTCTCGTACCGTAGCCTGACGTATTCATCAATATCCGCAGGGCTCGGGTTTGTGAAGACGACGCCTAGGTTCGCGACGAAGGTAAGCTTCATTTTAGTGTCCCTGCATAGGCCGGTTCGGATAGACACCTTGACGGCGGGGACAACGAGATCGAGGTTCGGAGCGAGGGAGCTCCCCAAACCGCCAAGGAGCTCAAGCTTAAGACCAAGAGCGAGCTAAATTGTTAGAATTTCATGCTAGGTTTGGAAACAGGAAAAGAAAAGGTGTACTGATGTATAAAAAGTGCTTATATAAAGTTGAGAGTATTCAATTTTATAGAAGCGAATAACAAAAGTATCTTAATAGTGTCCCAAATACACATGAGCCATTATAGTTGCGCATAGAGCGTAAAGATTGGCGGTGCTGGGGCAAGATTGTGGGTTGGTAGTCTTCAGCCTCTCCTTCTATCAACCTCAACAAAGTAGGCGTCACGAAGTTCCTGAACCATCTGCTGAGTAAGAGATTTCACTATATTGTCAATTCCGCGTACAAACTCTAGAGTGAAATGTCCCCAGAAGCCTCACGAGGTTCAGTGCGCATCTGTTTTATATCTAGACATTGTTCAGATGCCTTCAAATTCTTCCCGCTCGGCTTGACAGGGACCCGCTCATCGCGGCTCAGCGAAGCATTGTACAGATTAGAGGGATCTTAGCTTTTCATCGTTATCACCGCCACCTAATCGACCATATTACCTAACACATGATCAAATCATGGAAATGTATGATAACGGCATCAAGAGGCAGCCCTAATATTTACTTATCATGTCAGTTGCATTTGGTTTTTTTCCTTTTCTTTTTTCTTTTACGGTTGCTATGAAAACCCAAATGTAAGCGACCAGCTTCAGGGGTGAATGGAAGAAAGGTTAAAACATCTACTTACGGCCAACAAGAACGGGCGATTACCATCTTGTTTGAAACGTAGGCACGACGACGGCGGCCGCCGAGCCCTGGAGGCCCGGGTGAACAAAGTCACGCAGGAAAGGTGCGGCGGCATGAGAGAATTAAAACTAGGAGATGCGAAGGTATAAGACGTGTAACTCTACAGTAGTCTAGTCGCCATTCGATGATTGCCTAGTGTCACCAATTAGATAGATACCAGAGGTCCACCCTTAAAAGATAGCCCTCAGGGATCCCTCAGAATAGCTGAGGGACCACGCCACTGAACAATACTCTACGGAGGATCAATATACACCCATTGATCAATATCAAGACCCTACAGAGTGGTGACGTTCATCACCATTTCTTCATATTTTTGCGTAGTGCTGGGTCGCAGCTTAGTCAGTTTAAATCGCACCATTTTCTGGTTCATGGAAGAATTGGCATTGAATATTCATTCAGTCCACAAGGAGTGAGATGTGCATGTTCTCAGAAATTGACACTTGGGGTCAAGTGACTTTGACATTTACTCACTTCGCTTTCTGAAATGGTCACGAAAGCTGACGAGTAACTTGCTGAGCAGACTCCGAATGAAGCCACTACCGAATGTCGAGCTGCATCACAATGTGCAAGCCATAGGAAAGCTGGTATGTGACGAGTTATATGACCACGAGCACCATGTTTGCTACTATGTATAGTTCCCCTCCTTTAACAACCTTCATCTGGCACAGTTTTACGCACGATGACTTTGGTTGACTTTAATTTTAGCAGTGAGTATCACTATTTTTGTCCGAAAGCTGTTGACGCGCGCAAACAATCGGGTGTATTATCTAGCAATAATCTCACCTCGGAATTTGCAACCCGTTCACGCGTGATAAGAGCCCAGAGGATGTGGTTGGGGCAATGATGAGTGGCTTAAGTGACCTATTCCCTTGTTGGCAGGTTTTGCCATCCTGTTAGGTTTTCATTATTGATACTCTTCATAACATAGTAGCCTTGACCAGCCAGATGCTCAAAAAGATATATAAAAAGGTAATCTCGAGAATTCGGTACATTTTCCTCTTTCCAGCTTCCTTGATTTGTTCTACGGAAGTTCCATGATATAATGAATTAACGATCAGAAAATAATGGTGCACCTCTCACTTATATGATTCCCATTCTAGGCTTTCGTTCATGAGTATACCATCTGCTCTATCGTCTACTCAAGAAGTAAGAGGATCGTATTTGTGTCACATCCAAACGTGGACGTATAAGGCTATGGTGCGAATGCTACGGGGCACTATTGTGTGGTGTAAAAAGGATGATCCCATTCTTATCTCAAGAGCTACAGAACGTAGTTTAACCATACAACTTTATAAATGATGCCTAAGGCCACAACTTGTAATAGCCTATTAACCTAGTCTAGAGCTCAGGCTACCATGGCCGCCCCACCATGGGGATGACCACGGTGGTCTGTTCAATACAGTCCCTTAAGGATGCCGTATCAGGCTAATTGAGTTGCTTATTGGTTAAAGGTAAGGTTTAAATAATGGAATATATTCATCAAGACGAACGAGTCGACAACAGATTAGATCGAAAGCTCTTTAATTGTGTCTCGTCGTAATTGGCAACTGAAACATAAAAGACACAGCTTTTAAATCCAATAACAAATGCTAATAAAACAGCCTAACTTTGCCTATGACAACCTTTGCGCTCTAACAAATAATCGATTTCAAATAAGTCGACTGAAGGAGTAAATCGAAGTATTTTACCCCCGCTAAGCTTCAAATCCAAAAACGTCACCTGGAGGCGCGGCTATAACAAAAGGTAAAAGCGTTTCTATTTAATCATAGCCTCCTAGAATTGTAATTTGAAGGGCGTCCAGTTTAGCCTTGTCAGACACGCTCCAACCAACTGCATTTTCGAGGAGTATTTTTACACCTTAAGATGACCGTTTCTGGACGCTAGAGACAGGCATGTTGTCCCAAAGAATCTTGAACTAAAAGTTTTGTACCATTATTAATAAGTAATTTAAAAATATTCACATAACCTTTCTTAGCAGCCCATATTGTAAAAGTAAGGCTATTTGAGTCTCGGGCATTGACATTATATCTTCCAATGTAGAGAAGCAACTTCCCACAGCTATGTTGCCCCTCATAGTCTAGTGGCCCATGATAGGGGAGTCCCGTTACCATCAGTAGTCGTTAAGCAAACATTCTTCTCGAAAGATAGCTTAACTACTTTAAAGTGTCCGTTCCCCATAGCATTAATAAGTGGTGCGAAATCATTCTTATTAATAACCCTTGAGTTAGCACCACTCCCTATAAGCAGCTTAACCACCTCGATATGTTCATTGTTAGAGTCACTATTCAGTGGCGTCTATCCGTTATTATCAACGATCGTTAAATCGGCGCCCTTCTCGATTAGTAGCTCCACGATATCTTTATGGCCATTACGTGACGCTGCCTGTAGTGCTGTTCCGTAGTATCCACCTTGGATCTTTACCTCAGCACCTTTCTCGAGTAATAGCTCCACGATATATTTATGGCCATTACGTGACGCTGCATGTAGTGCTGTTCCGTAGTATCCACCTTGGATGTTTACATCAGCACCTTTCTCGAGTAATAGCTCCACAATATCTTTATGGCCAGTACGTGACGCTGCCTGTAGTACTGTTCCGTAGTGTCCGCCTTGAATGTTTATCTCAGCACCTTTCTCGAGTAATAGCTCCACGATATCGTTATGGCCATTACGTGACGCTGCCTGTAGTACTGTTCCGTAGTGTCCACTTTGGATGTTTACATCAGCACCTTTCTCGAGTAATAGCTCCACGATATCTTTATGGCCAGTACATGACGCTGCCTGTAGTGCTGTTTCAGATTGTCCACTTTGGATGTTTACCTCAGCACCTCTCTCGAGTAATAGCTTTACGATCTCTTTATGACCAATACGTGACGCTGCCTGTAGTGCTGTTCCGTAGAATCCACCTTGGATGTTTACCTCAGCACCCTTCTCGAGTAATAGCTCCACGATATCTTTATGGCCATTACGTGACGCTGCCTGTAGTGCTGTTCCGTAGTGTCCACCTTGGGCATTCAAAGTTTTCGGCGTTTTTTGTGTTAATAGAGCCGAGTCCGCAGCTACACTTTCCTGACTAAGAACAGCAGTTACTAATGAAGTCAGTCCCAGAAGCGAAGCATAACAGAGGGGGGTCAGTGTTTGCTTTCCCGGCCAGTCATGGCCGCGACTAGCATTCCAGGCCTTAACCCATCGACCGAAGTAGTGGGTTGTGACTTGAAATAATGGTAATGCTTGAGATTCAATATAGGCTTTTGAATCACATTGCTCCAAATGCTCAGGCCAGCACTGAGCGGCATATGCCAACATCGGATCTACCTCGGCGACTTTCTCAGAAGTGTCACATTCCGTTGGGTAAGGTCGAAGCAGCAGAGCTAGACATACACCCGCCATTAGAGTATGACCTTGCGGTTTTCGAATATGGAAAAGAGAGATGCTCTGATACCGAAGTATTCTCTCTGCCTCAAGAAATTCTTGGACGGAAAAATGGGCGACGCGTACCGTGACAATTTGAGTTATGTAGCCGGTATCAACTTCGATAAAACCAGGACATATCTCCTCAAGAGCGCTCAAATTATCAAACTTCCGCGTGACTTCGTACTTGTAGCCGTCGCTGGGATTAACAGCCAAAGCCTCTAACAGCTCCGTGCCCAAGAGTGGTCTTGCAGCACAGCACAAAATGCTGAACATCTGCTGGGCATATTCAATCAATTCTGGTGCAATGTTACTGAGCATTCGAGCATATGTCTCGTCCAGTGACTCCGGTAGCGAGTGAAGGAGCTTCTCAAGTAATTGCTGATTTGGTGGGCAACGTGCTAGTGATCTGAATTGACACTCCACCCAGCGGAACCTATAGCACGTTAATAAATGCAACGAGAGAGCGGTATAAGTGAACTCACACTCCATTGGATCGTTGTGTAAGCGCCTTTTCGATGGTACCATGATGCTTTTTCCACTTGGCAAATTTGCGGTTCATCTGGAGATTCTGCGAAATGAAGGCCGCAATGTCTCGGTCTACTTCGTTATTTTTCATTTCAATGATAGATGCGGGATCCGCGTCGAGTTCGTTCCGAATATCGACTTCGTCCCTGCTAGTAACGAGAAGATGAAGTCGAGGCTCTTCCCACGCACGAATATCTACGAGAAGCTGAAGCATTGCCTCTCTATGCTTGTCTCGAGGGCTCTCATCCAACGCATCGATCAGTATATAGACGTCCTGAAACGCGCTGATAAGCCGACGGAGATGGTCTAGCAATACATCGTCAGGCGGTGCAGCTTGACGGTAGCCATCGCGCAACCGTGTGAGATCGGTGCTGGTACCTGATTGTGTCGACAATTGCAAGACAATAGCCCGGAGAAGGGCTGATGCGTCCTGCTTGCTTTCGTTGTTAAATTTGAAGAAGAAGAAGGCAATGCCAATCCTCGGGTTAGATCTGCGGTGCCGGTAGGTGTACTGAATCGCGGTCGAGCACAGTACAGATTTGCCGCATCCAGCAAAGCCTCTCAGCCATAAAAAAGATCTCGGAGAGTCCAGCCAGCTAGTGAATAATCCGCCCTTGACTAGCCAAAGTCCAGTCTGCGGTTGTCTCTGTTTACAAGCTTCATTGAGGTCGGTAGTGGCATCAGGAGCCTTAAGCCATTGCTGAATATCTGAAGAGACTTGTGAGGACCTGACGAGGCGGAGCAGTGCCTTGACATCTTCAAGATCATCTTGAACACGGCCAATAACCTCCTGTTGCAACAACTGCAGGGCCAATGTCAAGTGATCAACGATATCGTCGACGTCTTCGTCCAACTTTTCCAAGGTGCTCTTTCGAAATGGATAGGCCAGGCGGCGGGTCGTTGTTCTTATGGCAGACTGAACACTGTTGAGAGGATATTGTGTAAACTTGTCTACCACATCTTGAAGCTCTTGTATACAATCTTTGCACTCATTGACCAGAGATTCGATACTCTTGACTAGGTCCTGCTCGTCGGCTCGAAATCGGCGGCCATCGACATGATGCCGTATAGAATCAAGAATCTCCAGCAAGTTATCTAGCTTTCGGACCGTATAAGCGATATCGGTATCTTGGGATTTGACTGCGTTGTAATAGGCGACCAAGGACTGGGTCAGTTGGATGCCGAGCGAAATGATACCCACGGCACTTGCAGCCACCGACAGTGGGTCTGCCATGTATAGGCACGCTCTTGTTAGATATTTCGGAATTTCAATTAAGATTGGGCCGATGGAAAGGAACAAGTGAGATATAGGGAATTTCAGGTTTGCACGTTTCAAGTTAGCATTATTTCGAGCACATCTTCTAATAAAATGAGGGGATATCTTGTTTCGGCTTTTGTGAGCCATGTCACATGGCCCGCAACTCAGCCCGCAACTCAGCCTGCAACTCAGCCTGCAACTCAGCCTGCAGGTCCAGGCATACCCCACAACCCGATTGGACGAGAGAGGTTAATAGCCGTGGGCGTAGGCCTCGAGGTTAAGAATTGCTTAAGTAGAAAAAATATTCGGGCCTCGAAATTGCGGCATTCTCATGTCGGTGGTCCCGTTCTAGGCTATCCTGCCGTGGATTGTCACTAGACTAGGTAATAGTACAACCTTTATAGGTACAGAATCTAGGACGCAATTTAATGCTACATAGAAGGGGATTCCCAAAGAGAGGAAACCATGTGGCTCTTGCATAGATGTACCTGTCGATCGCACGAGCTCTTTCCCGGATAGCCTACCTAGCAAATACCATCTACTTCTTCGGAATGTGCAAACGCCAGTTCTAGTCGAACGTCTTTGTGCTTCCGAGTAGCTCATTAGGCAACGCTTGCAATAGATCTGGAGTCCAGTCTAGCTCTATGATTATATGTATAAATCTAAGCGTCGATTCAACCTTAGAGCGCGGAACACACTATATAGTATATACCATATACTATATAGTAGGTTTTTAACGCTTTAGCGGACACTGGTTTGAAGGGTTCCACTTTAAGTCTCCAAGATTCGCATTACAGCCACTGTTAAACCGACGGCCATGATTCTTGTAGCATCCAATCACGCTTAAACCATCTGCTGTTTCGAAGAGCAGACTTCGGTAACGCTCGCAAATATGTTTCTCTCGGGCGCGGTTACTCTTAGAAACATCGGAAAGATATACGTAACATTTATCCACACTCTGGTAGGGAGACGATAGCTTCCGAAAGCTCGCTGGGCGCTATACACTTATTGATGCAATATGTGTCAATCCAGAAGTAGTGAAAGCCATCGGAGGTGGCCTGCTTGTGATAACCCTCTTTCTGCTTTCCCGTGACCTCAATGATGTTTTCGGACTCGCCTCTTGATCGTCATCTCCAGTATGCGAGAGGGGCGGATAACGACGAGCTAATGATAATATTAAAGCCACCCAGACATTTAAGCACTGTTTTGGCGAGTGATATATCGATAACAGTCATAGGTTAACATAACAATTCATTGTACAAACGAGCAAACAAATAAATAAGCAATGCCGAAATGTAGTGGTTGGTTATTCGATATTGGCGGTATGTTATCTGCCAAGCGGCAGGCACAAGAGTTGGCGTGATATCCCCAGCTAGCCCATCATAGACATCGTTTGCTCAATAGCTAATCTATACTAGTGGAAGATTTCATCTTGAACAAGCCACTATAATATCATATATTCTCCTGTAATCTGCTGTGCTTTATTGATCCCTTCATCCATTTTAACTTGGTTCGCGACGCTATACTGATTGATCGATCCTCCACTTTTAATAACGTACTTACTTTAATTACCTCAAATAATTCGGACACTACGAGCACCAACTAACCTTAGACTAGTTCATGTGTCTAGCGCCTTCCTCTCTGCACCATGCAAACAGCGGCGCCGCTAATGGGCCCTGTCACGAAATAAGCGGCGCAATAACTATAGATCTAGCGATCTACTAGTCGCCTTTACCAAACCAAAACAGGCCTGGAACTTCATTTATTATGCCTAGCACGACTGAGAAGAACTTATTCCCATGTCATTTTGATAGTCACCACGTGCCGAGTGGCTTTTTTCTTTTTTTCTTCTCTTTTTTTCCCGCTCGTAAAGACCCATTCCCAGTGTCACCGCTCCTCTCGGTATCGCAGACACGATTGGCTTGCCACGATCTATTTCCTCTCGTTGAAACTATACATGTAGTACGACTTGTCGCAAATCGCCAAAGCTGGTATTAGTTCCAGGACACCCCAGAGCCTCTGCATTGTCTTACTCCGACTGGTGACCAAAACCTCCATTTCGGTACCAGCGCTTCCGAGTTGATCAAAAGGTTCTCTGCCGACCAGGATCTGACAATATCCACGCTGCCTTTCTCCTAATAGTAATATCAAATTCGTCTGGCCAGATGCCTGGATCAGAAACAACACCACTGCTCTGGTCAGACGTAGTACGTCGGGACACATACCGGTCGCGCTCGCAGGACCGGCTGCCATACTGGCGCCAAGATGAGGTGGCCGCCAACACCATTAAGCACAAGGACCTATCGGGCAACAACCCTCACGCCCAGTTCTGCACATTGACGGGATGCCCTTCGTCGGGTGGTCTGGCCCCGGGTCAGAAGAAGCCCGCCGTCAACAAGAACTCCCTCTACGGTCGCACGACGTCATTGCTGGCGTCACAGCGCCTCAACTACAACTTCAGCGCCGCGCTGAGTAACACCCTGCTGCTGTCCCAAGTTGTGCTTGGCGCGGCGCTCACGGCGCTGGGCGCGTCTGCCTCGTCGCACATCCTCATCACGATCTTCGGGGCGATGAACACCATCATCGCGGGCTTGGTGGCCTACCTCAAGTCGCGGGGGCAGCCGATGCGGTCGCGCATGTACCGGGACGACCTGGAGCGGCTCGCTGACGAGATCGAGAACTCGGAGGTCATGTGGCGGGGCATCAGCGAGGGCGTGCACGGGTATGATGAGATCGACACGGACGAGGTGACGGTGCGGTCCGAGGTGGCGCGCCTGACACGCCTGTACGAGCGCGCCGTCAGGCTCAACGGCATGAACAACCCCGACATGTACATGGCGGGCGCCGGCGGCTTCGATGGGAACCCGAGCGGTGGTGTGCGCCCGAGCCGCAGCGGCCAGTACCCGGGCATGACGTTGCCTGCTGTCACGGCGCCGGCCGCGCCTCAGCCTGCGGGAGAGAACGCGGGCCCGGTTGTGCCAGTTGTGCCCGCGCCCGAAGACGCCTCGCCCGCCACAAAGGTTGTTGCGAAAGTGGATAAGAAGGAGGAACCCAAAGCCGAGGAGCAACCGTCAAATGGTGAAACGCCCATTGAGAAGGCCAAAGCAGCCGAACCCTCGAGTTCTAGTGATGGTGGAAGTTCAAGTCCTGTACCCGAATCGACGCCTATCCCGACCCCTGCTCCAGCGCTTCCTCCTACTCCTTCTCCTACTCCTGCTCCTGCACCTACTCCTGCACCTACTCCTGCTCCTGCACCTGCATCTGCTCCTGCACCTCCGGCCCAGGCTACGGTAGATCCATCGCCTGCCGCTGCTCCCGTTGACCCAGACGCATCACCTGCTACGGCCGCGCATCTGAAGCCCAAGCGAACAAAGTCCAGCCCAGCGCCAGCCGGAGGAACCACTAATGGCGACGAAGTGTAAGAACAGCGCGTGCGTGGCGCGCCAGTTGAGAAATACTTTGCAGCGTAATATCGGGGGCATCAATAGCAGTTGGAGTTTCTGGGTTGCAATGAGATTTAAGCTGGAGCGGTTATGGTAGAGTGGTTCTAAGACAGCACTGGAACACGATTAGATGAAGTTTATACGAACATGGAATGAGTAATAATAATCTTAGACGTACACTTTCAATATGGATATGAACGGTAAGAAGCACCGATCCATTGGGTACCGTGCCACGAAACTTGTTGGTTTTTGTCGATCAAAGCGTGCTTATTAGAAACTTCGAAACCGTTCTTACATGCCAAAGCTGAGTTCTGAAGCCAATGCTTGGCATCTTCGGTTTGCTCGAATCTATCACATTACTTCGTACTAAAAGTACACAGACGGACAGTCAATAGCATGGCATATAATGTATGTTGAAAATAATTCATAATGTCTCATTCCGAAAGGGGACAATGCCGCCATAAATACAAGCAGACGCTCTTTTCTGCAGCAAAAGCTCTCTCCGAGTCTACAATCCCTGGTTTCGCATCATCTGCCATATATACAGAAACAAACGCTTTCCAGATCGAAGTTTATATACACAATGATGGGCGTTTATATCCAACCTTCTTTCGTCTTGCTCTATTCATTGATGTTTTATCTCACCACCGCGGTGGTGGACCTCGTTGAGACTCAATGTCATCATTATACCCATATCCTGGCCCAGGTCCGGGTCGCGGCATGGGCATAGTTCTCTGGCTGGTAGCAGTCCCAGGACGGTTTATGTAGTCGTCAGGTCTGGGCGGCATCGGTGCTGTCATATTTCTCTGAGGCGGCAATTGTGGTCTGTTGGGCAAATAGACCGGACCAGTTGCGCTACGGATAGGCGACATCGGCCCGCCATTGAAGCCAGGCCTATTCATAGGCGGCCCACGGCTAGAGAAGTTGGAGGGCGCGGGACTGCCACGGCCACTCATTCCATCGTCGTAAGTTGACCGGGCTGGACCTGAACCGGGACCTGGGTGGCCCGCAAAGTTAGAGGGTGCGGGACTAGCGCGACCATTCATTCCATCCTCATATAATGGTCGGGAAGGTCCTGGACCAGGGCGATAGGAAAAGTTTGAGGGCGCAGGACTAGCACGGCCACTCATGCCATCGTCGAAAACTGGCCTGCCCGAAGGCATTGGCCTAGGGCCAGACCCGAATTGGTTCATTGGGCGAGGTCCAGGAGGACCGTAACTATCCATGCTTCCCACAGTCGGCGCTCTAACTGGTAGCGGCATAACTGGCATCTGGTCCGATTGGTACGCTGATGGACTTTGAGCGTATTGCGCGCCGAAGTTGGAGCCGTTACTAGTCTGGACTCTATGCAACGAAGGGCCCTGTCCGAAGCTCCGGTTCGATTGGGATGTATTAGGCCGGAATGGAGGATAGTTGTTGAGGTCGATTTGGGGCAGTGTTGGTTCAGGAGATGCAGAACGATCATAACCCATGCCAGCAGCACTGCCCATCAGCGGGGCATTGGAAGAGTAACTTGATTGTGACATGAAGGTATTGCTTGTCCCTGCGCGTTGTGGCATTGGACGCTGCTGCGGCAAAGGATTCATCTCAATGCCACCCGGGCTGCCAGGCCGAGACGTATACACAGGCAATGTTGCCATTGTATCGTTGCGATTGAGCATGGGCATATCTGGCAGAGAATCGTCCTTCTTCGGTTCCAGGTTTGGTATCGTGGGCAACGTAGCCTGCCTTCCCACCGGCGGCTTTTCACCCGCCTTCTTGGCTGCTTTGAACTCAGCCCTGGCACGTTGTCGCTCTTCTTCAGCAATAGCCTTGTTGACCTTCTTGGCAACGATCCTCATCAATCGTTTGTTGATCTTCCGTCCGCAGTACCCGGATAGCCCCCCATCCTGCTTAGGGATGTAGTGCCAGAGGAAGAAGATGTAGAAGATGGCCCCCAGCAAAAGTGACAGAGCAGAGAAAACCCAGATGATCAACGTGAATACCATGCCAGATAATACAACTGCCTGCTGATAGTTCTCATTGGCAAGCGCACCAACCTTGGTGAAGAAGTTCATAATAGACTGGTCGGCAGAGCCTTTGTCTGTCAAAAAGTCATCCGATTTGAATACGGCATAGATTGTAATAGCATTGACAAATTGACGTGGTCCAGAGCACAAGATGACTCGGATCCAAGCTAGGGAGCGTTAGCCACCAGGTGGGTCTTGGTTGTGATTGGAGTTACTCACACTGAAAGCTAAAGTAGGTGAACAAGGCAACATACTCGGCTCCCTTCTTGGACTTGGTCAACTCGGCAAAGACCAAGAAGCGTCGCCAGCCTTGGCCACTGCCCATCCTCGTACTTTCCATTTTGACTGCCAAGTTGTCCAAATAGCATTCTGCAACACTGCCGCGCTTCATGACGCGCCAGGCACGAAAATGTTCATAACCAAGATTGACAAATGAAGCGATGATACAAACGGAAAAGATCCATTTTTGAATGGTAAAGTCGATGATCTTATTTGCATCAATGCTCGATGTCCATTTGCCAAAAGCCAGAAGCGAGACAGCAGTAAAGCTATCAACGCCGTAGACTGCAAGTGAGATAAGAACCGAAATGTACAAATAGATGTAAGCGGCAACCGCAAAGCCAGAGTTGGATTTGAAGTCTTTTAAACTCTGCGAGGGCTGCATTAGCAATGTCTCATGTGGAGTGACAGCGTCCTAGCACACTTACAATATAATCCCACTTCTGTTCAGCACGCACTTCGACGGCGCTTCGACCGCCAAATAAACCCATCTTGGAGTAATCTCTTGGACAAACGTTGTAAATGTCACCTGAACAATGTAGGGTCCGATATTGCTGGTAATCCAATAGCGGCCTTGAACAAAAGAAAACGCGAAAGAAAAGACTCGTCTAAGCAGAGTCCAGCTACCCAGCGAGTTAGGGTATCAAAGAAAGGAAAGAAATAGTATCGTCGTTTGAATCGTCGTGATCAGTATCGTGTCGTCCAACCGGTCCCGCCGTCTAGCACAAGTCGTCACTCGCCCGCGAAGCTATCCGACTGTGCTCCTGTTGGGTAAGGAAGACTAAAGCTTGCCGGACCTGACAAGAAAGATATAATGATGAAATGAATGAACGAAATGAAGTCAGAGAAAGGCTTGGTTTGAGAATAACCCTAGCGTGGGCCGGCGACAACGAAGTTCAACGCCTGTCAATTGCGACAGGTCTCAGCTCCTAGCAGAGAGGGCGCATTCCAAACAAGGTTAATCGGGTGACAAAGCGGATGCTATTGTGGTGACATGCTTGACACGTTCTGCCAAACCTTCAACGCTATTCTTGGCTGTGGAATTCTGATCTGCGTTTTCAGTATGGGTTATGCTTGGCTTGTGCGGGTTACAACAGAGGCGGACAGCGGTTCCAGGACAGCGAAGTGGCGAGAAATATGGATTAACACAAAATGTTGGGCTGGAGGGAACCGTCCCAAGTATGATCGTCCCTCACAGGCTTGCAGGGCAGCGTCTCAAGTTGAAGCGCGACGACAATGCGCTCGGATTGATGCGGCAGGTGGACTGCGGCGAAAAAAGGGAAAGGATTGACTCGGGTGAGAGGTTAGCTCGTGAGAATTGACAGAACGATTGTACGGGGGTGTGTGGGTTGATTGTCCCGTGTATATAATTGCAATTGATTGTTTGCAAGCGAAATGAGGGTACGACAGCTTCATCAGAGCGACGAGGGTTTGAAGGTAATTAACCTAGTATCTCATGAATGGTGCTGACGAGGGACGAGTACGACTACGAGACGAGACGAGACGAGACGAGATAGCCATCGGATTGGAAAACGCGGAAAGGACGAGGTCGACAGCCCTTGCTTGGCGGGTGTGTGGTTTGAGATTCGTACATTTCGGTTTAGGATTGGCCAGTAGCTCCAAGGGTCCTACGATCTGTGCAAGGGTATTGGGAGCACGGATGGGGGAACGAGCTCATTTGATTGGCAGCCTATTGAAGCAGGAGCCAAAAATGCAGGAACAGGCACTTAATATGGTGTAGTCTGACTTCCGTGAGCGTTTGAGAAGTGGATACCGCTGGGCGGATTTAAATTGGTATTCGATAGCTGGGATTAGGCATCTTGGCCTGCTTATCCAGTCATTGCGCCATGTCCACTCATCACAAGCAGGAGAGACCCTGCCCGCCAGCTCCCCCGCCAAGACGGCTCTACGACAGTTATGAGGTGCCGAAACGTCGAAACATTGCCTTTCACAGGGTCAGCCAAGCGGCCTCCCGCTTCCCGCTGTTTCGCCACCAGATCAGATCAAAACTGGTCATATGTTTGGCCGCCGCTTGCCGACACAATCTGCAGCCGCATGCGAGGGAGCGTGGTGTCTTGAAGTCGTGTCGTATGATCGCGCATCGCTTCTGCGTCTGCGCGGTTGCTCAAGCGCGCGGTATCAGTCTCCAGACCTAGATCAAGCTATTTCCGTCTCTACGTAAGCGAGGTTGCGAGTGCGTCGCGTACTATCCATTGTTGAACATCGTGACAGAACATCACCAGCGAAGAGTGTCCCGACAGTAAGTAGGAGACCATACTCCCATCGTATTCTGGGAGAGGCAGCCAGTAAGAGATGCGCAGTCCAATATGGGGCTTCAAATCAAGCTTCCGTGATTCTCCTGCGCGGCTTTGATACTACTCGAGTCTTAAGCAAAGGCAGCAACGAAGCGAGGGATGCATGAACACCATGGCAACCTGGCCTCAATGTTCTCCCTCGAGTCAACAAAGAGATACAAGAATGGCTCCTGTTCATTTCGTCTGGAATGTACCAAATGCTTCGCAAACTTGAAACAATGCCAGTGCAAACATGCATACCAAAGGCTCACCTCATGGCTCTTTTTCTACCCAGGTCCTTCCAATGGATTGCAGAATCGTCCCAACTGCAAACCTGCAATTCCGTGTGCAATAGTCGTTGATGCACCATGGCCACTCCACAAGAGCCAACGTTTGAGGTGGACACAGAGCGCCTCGAGCACGATGCTGCTAAGAAGAGATCGCTAAAGTACGAATTCGTTACCGAAAAGTCCCCCGGCACCTGGATAGTCAGCCGCAAGAGAGATCGTTTCGAGTTTCTAGCACGTGATGAGACAGACTTACTCCAAGATGCAGTCGGTCAGTTGACCCCGTTCGGACATGTATTAAGCCCAGACGAACATGATATGAATATCATGGAGCCAATCATGCGCATCTTCAACCACGAGAATCTCATCAATTTTGTTGATTGGATTCAAATACAAACCACCGAGACTGCAACAATCTCGGGAGGTCCACCACGGCAATTTTTCATCTGGGACTTCTGTAACGCTGGCACTCTGGAAAACTTGTTCTTTGCGGAGAGACATACGTCCAGATCGAGTCTGCACGACGACCAGCTTCAGAGAGAAGCCGCGGACGGCCTCCCATCCTCCCAGAGGGAGTGGACAGGGTTCTTGCCAGAAGCTTTCTGTTGGCACGTAGTCGTCTCTGTGCTGAGAGCCTTGGCCTGGCTGCACCATGGTCTAAGGGAGGATTGGGACTGCACTCGGAACGCCTGGGTGGTCAAGGGTGCGAACATTGACTGGCATACCATCCTACATCGGAATATCCGACCCGATAATATCTTCTTCTGTCATCCCCAGACCAAGTTCGAGACCTATGGACTGTGCAAGCTGGCCAACTTCAGCAACGCCTTTGTCTCCGGGGTCTTCAATGGTGTCCTGGACGTAGTCCCACCAGCCTCGACTCAAAAAGTGCTTGCTCCTCCTAGCCAGACGGGCAAGCAGAGTTCCTATGCAGAACTCCGGGACTTGGACTCTCATCAAGACACTACCTCCGGATATGTAAGTTCATGTTGAGTGAAGATTTACTGTGCGACTTGCTGATGGTGTTGTTACAGGCCGATGCGATCTACACAATTACGAGCGAGTATCGTGCACTAGCAGACGTGATCGTTGCCATGATGATTCCACCAGAAACCCACAGCGAGGCATTGCGACACTTTACATATACCAAAACTCTACCTGAGCAGCAGTGGCAGCGGCAACTCGCGGACGCGCCGTACACCAAGGTGCTCAAGAACTTTGTTCACGAGCTCTATAGGATTGAAGAGCCTCGTGCTAACAATACAAGTGTAATCACGGCTGCTGACCAGCACAACACGTTCGAGCGGGACAAGACCTTCACACTTTACAGAAAGGCCAGGGATCTCTACGATAAGTTCCGCATCGTCAAGGACGAGGGCAAGGACGTCGTGACGGCTGATCATGTTCGGGGGATACAGGATAGACGAGACAGGGAGGCTGAGGCCAAGCACGCGAGACAGGAGCAGCGCAAGAAGGACTTACTCGAGCATTTCAAGACTAGCAATCGCTTCAACGACGATGCCGAGGAACCAACGAGTATGGACTTGCTCTTGCAGGAGATCAGCGAGGTGGTTGACGAAGTAAGAAACACGACTGCTGAAACTCACTTTCGCCCAGGAATGGTGCATTGAATCGTGTCCCCTTTTTTTGAGCTCATCGGTGCCGGTTGGGAATTGCTTTGACGTGCTTGGAAGATGAAGGCGTTCGTAGGAAGTGCGGGATAGGAGTTCATAGCTTTGTGCGATCCAGGGGCTTGGAGGTTCTACCTGTCATATTTGAATTAAGATCAATATAATAACTGCCTGCCTCGGACGTGCAAGCACCATTGGTGAGGGTACTGTGGTATGTATAGGGGGGGACCGGAGCTCGGGCCACAGCCGCGCTAACTCCCCAAGGTTACATGGTACGAAGTATGACAGAGGGGCAGCGTTGGGGCAGCTGGTTAGCACTGAATAGCTTCCAGTCGACTTCCAATCCCTGGAACGTCGGCTTTCCGAGAGCTTGACATCCACCTCACTTGGCCCTGAGCTTCATCGGAGAAAAGAGCACGCCCACTCCTACGAGAAGCCTCTCCCTAGACTACGAGACAGTAGCCCTCCGAGCCGGTATATGCCTGCGTCGGTCGAGAGCAGCTAGCACAATCACACCCACACCTACTACACCTGCACCTCACATGCAACAACGCTTGATGATCTTCGCATTCCGACAGCAACAATATTCACCCACACACATAGCAGCCATGTCTCTCTCCGCACCGACACCGCCTCTTCTACTTACCAAACGACTCACCGGTTTCCTGCGCTCCAACTTGTCGCCCCAAATCCACACAGCCCTCTTGACCACTCTATCCGGCAAACTCCTCGCCCACGCCTCAGCGCATCCCGTCAGCACCCTCCGAACCCAGTGTACAGTCGCCGCTTCCGTATGGTCAATATACTCGTCTGGTCCTCCCGCGAACGACGCATTACCGCAAAGCGCAGCACGGGGCTCTCGGAACGGCACCGAGAACAAGCCGACCGCCGTCACAATACAACTAAGCGCCGGCGTCCTCGTAGTCAGGAAGCTGAGATGTGGACTCTTGTTCGTGTGTATAGGTCCCGCGCCTGATGGTACTAGCGCTCCTGCTTCCGATCAGAGCCAGTCCCACGCACAAGGGGCACCGCAGCAGAGTTTAGCGGTTCCGGGCTCGCAACAGTCACAACCTGGAGCAGCGGGAGATACCCATTCCAGTCCGCCACTGGGCAGCCCCAGTGAGGTCGCCAGCGTGGCCAGTGCGGCACCCACGATGAACAGTGTCGCAACCACCGGCACTGTGACTACAGGAGCTGTGGTGCTGATGAGAAGACAGGCGGAGGACTTGGCGCGGTGGTTGGACGACAAGCTAGGAACGTTGGGCATTCCAGACGAAGAAAGTTGAGTACATACATGGCAGACGATAATCTAGGCACAGTTTCTACACGGCCGCCAGACCAAGGCGCATGTGCTTCAGGACACTTGGGAAACCCATGCATGGTCAAGCAGGACGCGAACATGGTAGTAAATGTCGCGCTGCTCAAGCCGAGCCGCCGGACAACGCGCTGTGCTGCGGAATTTCGCGCCTCTAGAGTAGTGAGGTATGCTCGTCAGCCAATTCGTACGTATATGAGGCTGCATTCGATGCAAGACTGCAACAGGCCAATAACATGCGATATCTTTGCCATGAACGCCGATTCAGAGCCGTTCGGCGCCGCCCACAAAGGAAAGATCGTTCTGCCACGCTCCGGATGCTACTACAGGCCGGTTCGAAAGGCCTTCGCCGTCCGCGAGGCTAAAAGCAGATCTTGCAACAATATACTTGCAACAATGCCCGATATGTCTTGGTTCTGCGCAATATCCATCGACCTATGACCGCCAGCCAAGACGAGGTGAGGCTGGTTAATAATACCGAGATCCGCCCCGAGATATCATGAGAGCGTGGGATGAAATTTCTTGCCGGAACCTTGCTAGGGTGGTGCGAAAGAGGTATGTCTGGCAACTAGGCATTTATCCGGAACCAGTTAATCGAGGCAAATATAAACACTTCGGAACGTCCCACGGCAGTTGCTTGGCTCGTACACATTCATTGGCTGGTGATTAACATAAGCTTATTTATTTTCCCTCGGAGAATGAGGAGAACCCCTGCCCGGCTCCATGTTTCTTTAGCATGGGACTGCCAAATCAGTGATTCCCGTCCACTTTATGGTTGATGAACTTTAGCCGCCATGCAGTAGCTCCGAGCACAAGACTGCAATGATCGCCTCCAAAGCTGAAACCTCGAACTGAAGTACGCTCGGGATGAGCTGCCAGATCGGCGCACAATGATGGTGTTCTCATTCTAAACAGCTTCTTGGCCAGGTCTATGGAAAAGGAAATTGTCCCCTCTGGACGGCTGTGTTTTGTAGCGGCAGCGGCCAATGGACTTACGCTTATGCAGGGATTTTCACATGTTTAAACCTATCAAGCAACCATTCCGATCATCACTGGGTCTGCATACCCAAGGGGACATATTGATGCGCTAAATCGTATTGAGGTAGCGTCCGTAGCGATGAGATCGTTTGGTTACGTCGCAGCAAAATCAGGTGGTTTACTACCAATACAAGGCTCTGTCTCCCTCTTGCAATCTGCCTGGTGTCATCTACACCCACCAGAGTTCTAGAGACCAACGTCTCCAACATTCTCCAATATCCCACGTCGGCCAAGCATCGAACCTCGCTCCTGTTCCCGGTGTCCAAGACACTTGGCAGGACGATAAGACCCTGTTCATTACTGCAAGGCAGATGGCCGATATTTTCTCTTTGTCATCATGCTGGAGTGAAGTTGAGGCTCTTGAATTCAACTTCATTCATGTTGTCCAGTTTGTAGAGCTATGATCAGTACAGCGCGCAGATCTCGACTAACCTCTGCAGGAATCACTGGACTCATTTCCCCATGGGGAATGTCTCATGCACAAACGGCACACTTCTATGCATCGTTTCCGTCAAGCGAATATTGTGGTGTATCTTACGGACCCGCTTATCTCTACCGTTCCGCAGGGTCATGATCGTATCGCCTGCACCAATTCAAGATATTGCCACAACGTATCGGTGCTAGCTGGCAGAAGATCATCCGGCAAGCAGGCCCAGCTTGCCGAGGACTCCACTGCTTCTAATATCTGTCAGTTGGACATCATGGACGACCATGACCGACATCCGGATTAGGACGTTTACACAAGGTTTGGCCATTCACATTTCTCATATAAAGATGGAGGAAGCAAGCCTTACTCAGATCCTACTCATTTGGAAGAAAACCATCGACATCATTCAATACACCAGGACTCATTCACTGTTGCCAAAATGATTTCGAAAATCGCTACAATCGGTGGCCTTTTGGCTGCGGCCAAGGCTCAACAGGTCGGCACCCTGACAACTGAGACTCATCCCAAGATGTCCTGGCAGACATGCACAAGCGCTAGTAGTTGCACGACAAAGAACGGCGAGGTCACCGTCGACTCTAACTGGCGGTGGCTTCACAGCACGTCGGGCTCCACTAACTGCTACACCGGCAACGAGTGGAACTCTAGTGCCTGCACCGACGCCAAGAGCTGTGCTGCTAATTGCGCTCTCGATGGTGCTGATTATCCTGGTACTTATGGTGTGAGCACTAGCGGCAATGCCATGACGCTCAAGTTCGTTACCAAGGGCCAATACTGTATGTCTTCGATGGCGGTCGGTTTGGAAATGGATAACCCCAGCTGATGAATCCCAGCCACCAACATTGGATCCCGTCTGTACCTTATGAACGGCGTGGACAAGTACCAGATGTTTACCCTTTTGGGCAACGAGTTCACGTTCGATGTTGACGTGTCTAAGCTCGGCTGTGGCTTGAACGGAGCCTTGTACTTCGTCTCCATGGACGAGGACGGTGGCAAGTCCAAGTACTCCACCAACAAGGCCGGCGCCAAATACGGTACCGGCTACTGCGATGCCCAGTGCCCGCGTGACCTCAAGTTCATCAACGGTCAGGCAAACTCTGACCAATGGAAGCCTTCGACCAACGACGCGAACGCAGGTGTCGGTCAGCAGGGTTCGTGCTGCTCCGAGATGGATATCTGGGGTACGTGATATTTGACGGCCTTTTCCCAAATGCTGAAGCATAAGCGACTGACAAGCACAACAGAGGCAAACAGTGTTTCCACCGCCTTCACACCTCACCCTTGCAAGACCATCGGCCAGCACGCCTGCAGTGGCGACGCCTGTGGTGGGACGTACTCCAGCGACCGCTACTCCGGTGACTGTGACCCCGATGGCTGCGACTTCAACTCGTACCGCCAGGGTGTGACCGACTTCTACGGGAAGGGCTTGACTGTCGACACCTCCAAGAAGTTTACTGTCGTGACGCAGTTCATCAAGGGCTCCTCGGGCGGCCTCGATGCCATCAAGCGCTACTACGTTCAGAACGGCAAGGTAATCCCCAACTCCGAGACCACCATCGACGGCACCACCGGCAACCAGATCGACCCCACGTACTGCGCGGCCCAGAAGACGGCCTTTGGCGACACCAACAACTTCGAGACCCAGGGAGGGCTGGCGCAGATGGGCAAGGCCCTCGCCGGCCCCATGGTCCTCGTCATGTCCATCTGGGACGACCACGCCGCCAACATGCTGTGGCTCGACTCCACCTACCCCGTCGACGGCACCGCCCCCGGCACCGCCCGCGGCTCTTGCGACACCAGCTCCGGTGTCCCTGCCGATGTCGAGTCCAAGCAGGGCAGTGACCAGGTTACCTACAGCAACATCCGCTTCGGGCCCATTAACTCGACCTTCACCCAATAAAGTGTCCTACGCTGGTCCGGAACTGATTGTTGTCACCGTCGCGAGATGGTGGGCTTGGCAATGTCTGCAGATGTTCATTTCATGTAGATAGCATACAAAAGCTGGGATGCAGGTTGCATAGCTTCTCTTAGGCTTCATATTGTCGATAGAAAACTTGAAGATATTTCCTTCATTACTCGGAATGAACCATTGAATTAATGCAGAGGTGTGAATGTATCGTGCGACATGTGTGTGTGGGTAACTGAGTTGACATCCCGCCTTTGTGCGCCAGTAGGACATCCAAGACAGTCTAGGACGAGGTGTCAAAAAGTCGGCACAGTCACTAATAATACACAGTTCTCGGATCTCGTCTCAACCTCAGGAAGAGATCGTCAAATGCAATTCACTCATGGTGTCTTGCACAGCGGTCAAGAGTATCCGTCCTGCACAGGACCCTGTGCTTGGAATCATGTCACATTCTCCCAGCCTTTGACCTCGTATTTTCGTTGATCGTATTAATTATCCATTATCGATGAGCCTGCCCTCTAGGCTAAGGTTACTCAGACAACGCGAAAGTACGAATACTCATACATATAATAACAAATTATTCATCTCTCGTCTCCGTCGTCACTTCCAGTCAAACTCACTCCTCAGCTCCACCGCATCATCCTCTCGTTCTAGATGCCTGCCCTTCCTCCGCACCACCATGATGCCCATCTCCCCGACAATCGCCAGGACGTAGAACGCGCCCAGGATCACGAGGTCCGTAAACTGATGCACGGTCGCATACGGCGTGCCCTCCCTCGCGAAGCGGCCCTCCAGCCCCAGCCCCAGCACCCCGACGATCTTCAGCGCCGTGATCGCCGCCCCCGCGACCCAGAAGGCGGTGCTGGCGGCCCAGTAGCCCCGTATCCTCCTGAACCCGCCGTCCGTCGCCTGGAGCACGATGGCCGCCAGGAAGCCCGCGTAGGCGAACGGGATGAGCCCGACGCCCAGGCCCGCCTTGGCGAGCTGCACGACCTCGACCGTCTCCATGAGGATCAGCACGGCGATGACGAAGTAGTACGCGGCGACCAGCAGGATGCGCTTCCACTTGGCGCGCCAGGCCGAGGAGAGCGAGGCGTGCGGCAGTCGCTTTGGGCTGCGGCTGCGCTTGGGCGTGAGGAGGAAGAGAATCGGCAGGCTGATGAGGTAGAGCCACGTCGGCACAGGCACGAGCACTGTGTCGAAGAAGCATTGTGTTGGGAGCGGGCTGCTTAGTTGTGAGATGGGGCCCTAGGGTTGGAGATTAGTTATATCTGTTGCAGGAATATGCTGGCACATGACATGAACGTACGAAGCCCTCGGCGCGGTTACTGCACAGTGCAGCCATGGCGCCTGTGTAAGAGCGTTTATGGCCCGCGATGGTTGATGTTTGGGTATATCAGTCAGTTTAAGCTTCGATCACTTGACGTCTTGTTCATGCAGGCGTTCATCAGATCTCGTGGCACAGAAGCTAGTGGCATGAACTACGGTTCAGAAACAGAAACAAGAGCTCATTTCTTGAAATGCCAAAAGAAAAAGGGCATGGAAACAAAACACAACTTAAAACCACCATTATTAAAGCTTTCGGCACTTGGAAGTCGTCCGATATTTCAACGCGATCCAATTCCCATCACTTGACCGGAGTCGCCTCTACCACACCCATAGGGCACGTCCCCTTCAAACCGTTGCTGAGTACCTGAGACGCGCAGAGCGTCGAGGCGGGACTGGAGAGGTTATAAGCGCGCACATCTTGGTGCAAATCAGTGCCGTGTGGCGTTTCAGATCTTGACAGATTCTTGGTCAAGATGTTTCTTGGGCGAGATGGGGGATCCGAAACGGCGCACTGATACAACGGGTATGGATTGATCCCACGTTTCAGGAAGACGCTTTCGTAACATCCCGAGATCTGCAAAGCGCCCCGGTCCTGCGGTCGAACGCTGAATTGGTGATTACCGATGTCTAACACGTGGCCGACAAGAGGATGCTGGGATTGGAAGCTGAACATGAATTAATAGAGGTTTCTTCCACGCATTGTGAGGAGCTTGAGGTGAGGTGACTGGTGACCACTGGCCCAAAATCCATATAGGTGCATGACCTTCTCGCTTGTGCACGGCGAACCCACTACAACTCGGTATCCTTGTCAGTTGATTGGTTAAAAGGCACCACGCATAGACCACTTTTCACGTTAGGCATTTTTGACGCTATACCATAACTATGACCAGCGATTCACATCCCAGCAATCCGTGTGATTCATCTTCAGGAGAGTAGACAGGGTCATGCTATACGCATACGCGTAGGTGTAGCTGGTTAAGCATTTCATTTGAACGGAGACGGCAGGACATTCGACAATAGTTTTGCAACTTTGACACCCTAATTCCAAAAGCTACATAGCCTCCGCCCATTGTCGCAACGTGCGCAAGAAGAGCTTTCGCTATCGACTGTGCAGAGGACGACGTCTGTCCACATCTCCGATGGTGAACGGGGGCTACTGCTGCAGGAAGGAGGGAAAAGTTTAAATGAAAAATTTCTTCAAAATATCACATTTGGGTAAAACCATATTACGTGGCTGACGGCAACTATGGCCACCGAAACCTATGTCGCAGCCTACGGAATCGGCTAGGTGTAGACTCCGGGAAAATGACAGGGTAGCCGGGGAATTTCGATTGGGGGTCTATAACTACTGAGATGAACGTTGTTAGCACAACTCAAGGATATGCCAGATGATTCTCATAATGCCGGCAATTGCTCAAAGCGACCACCACATTTTCGTGTTCGCTATTTACTAGTGTTACATGCCTTGCTTGTCCATCGGTGTGGGCTGCAAGCTAACCCTGGCCTACTCAAACCTTGCAGCAGTTTCTCAACTTGCAATCCTCGCGATATACAGACAGGATGAACTTTAAGAAGACGCAGTTCATCATCCGATTTCCAGCACGCGTTGTGGCTCAAGTGACTCTGGCCAAGCCGTCGGCTGCACGATGATGGGCATGTGCATACAAGCTGCAGGGGCCTCAAGATCGTGAACACCTGTTTGGTGTGACAAGACACTCCGTCGGCCGCTGCCCCAAAGCCTATGTTCCACATGGCACCACAAGTGGACGCAGATAAAACGGATTCGCCCGGTTACATGCAGTGCGTCGGCGGAATAAAGATCCTGTGGTAACTGAAGTTCCATGCAGGAACTTTGTACACTGAGGAGCCCTAATACACCTTCATAAGCAAGAAAACGATATTTCAAGAGACCCCCGTCTGTAAACACATGCATTTTAAACGATGTTTCAGTTCAATTTAGATGCAAATATCATATGATTCCTCTTCGAACAAGTATTCCCGTGACGCCCCTTGTTTTGCTTATTCCACCTATGCAAATTGGCTTGACCTAAAAGAAGCCGTAAAGTAAAGCGCCAAACCTCAAGTCCATGCCCAGATAAACTCCATGCTCGTAATATCAAATCAAGAACTCTTTCGCGCTGTTAAATGCAAGCTGCGATATGCTAGAGATGGGTATCAAGAAAATGCCTGAAAGCAAATGATGCCCTGAATGCTGCCGTGTAGATGCGTCCGTCTAGTTGAAAATGCCTAAAAGCACCAATAAATATGCAGCATATTCCTTCGTCTGATTGTCGCTGGGCAGAACTCCTGAATGATCCAATGAAAGTCGTAAGAATGTCTGTTGGTTACCAAGTCTTCTCGGCTTGGAAGCCGACGGAAAATCGAGGCTCGGCACTATCCCAGCAAATGGGAATCATGGCTAGTAGATTGGTGAACGGTTGACCGTTCTTCTTGAAGTTGACCACCTCGACCGCCAGCTCCTGGTTGCCGTCTACGGCGCGACGCATCTGTTTGACAAGCTCCTTGTCAACATGTTTGCGTGATGACCCACTTCGCACCTTTCCACCAGGCGCTTGAAGAAAGCGACAGTTTCGGCCAATAATCTCCCGCTGGGTATAGCCAGTCATGTAGGTGAAGGAATCGTTGGCGTAAACCACGGGGTAATCTGGTTGTTGGAGGTCGCAAAGAATAAGAGCGCAAGAAGCGTCAATGGCACCAAGTTCAACGGTTGGGTTCGCCCTGGACATGACTCGAATCTATGCTGTGTTAACGAGAGAATCCTGTTTGTTGTCGCGGTTTGGAACTTACAAGGATGTTCATCATGTCGTACCCGCTAGGGGCATACAGGCCAGGGTAGATAATGGCATCGTGAACATTGTTTTTGGGGGCAACAGCTATTGCTTCCAGTTCTGTTGTCTCGGAAGTTGCGTGGCCATCCGCATCGAAGTGATACTACACAATTAAATAAGTCAGACGGTGGGAATAACAGTGCAGACAGAAGTCTCAGAAGGCATTAAAACGTAGCAAAGACCAATGATACGGCGATGCTTGACATGAAGAAGCTAACATACCTGAAGGGCAGATTGTTCCCAAGGGTTCATGACAGGCATGCCGGCCATGGGGTAGGTACGCATGCCAAAAGAATAAAAGCTAGTGAGACTCGACTAGTCCAATGTCCAAGATAGATGACAGGCGAGAAGAATAAGAAAAAACAGTGGCGTGATTTGATAGGGGTGTTATAGAGGTAGGTATATGTGTTCGGCAATAAGTGAGATTATGTAGCAGCAAAAGCTGTCGGTCGTAATCAGGAAAGTTGCAAACAAGATGCCCTTGGACGACGGTATTGCAGTGATGCCCGATGCGTCTTTTGTGTTCCCAGGAGGGCATGAGGGATGAGGATGGCAGGACCTAGCAAACCGCAAACACAGGCGCCGACTCGATCATCAGGATGCTCCCGCTGTTCGTAGATCTTTACAAAAGTGTGGCAAGCGCAGATCGAGACGCAGAGAAGCGTGACGGGAAACAAACTGCGAGCGGACCCTACCCCCGCGGACCACATACTCCTGGCCAGTGATAGGGCACCGATCCTGGTCATCCTAGTCGTCTTCCTGTACGATCAGTGGCTGGCAGGCCGTCATGGTCGCCTATTCTGGAAGGGACCACTTGAACCAAACGCTACCCGGGCATTCTGCACTATTAGACTAGTGGACCGCATCGACACTGACGGACCCCAGAAAAGCTCGATGCAGTGAAGGCGGTGGTTGTATGTGGCTTTCCACTGTCTTATCGAGAACCGAAATTCGATCCCTTTCGAAATCACGATGGCAGTACCAAGTACCGACCCAAGCATTCTACGCTACAGCCATACGTGAGAGAGAGAGAGCCCGGAGATCCAATTTGAGATATCCATCTTGAGCCCATCGAAAACATAAATGCCGGTCATGTAGATTGCATGGGGTTTGCAAACTCGAAAATGGTACGAGTACGGAACCACTCTCTGGCCATTCCACATCACCCCCAGATATGGTGTCCAGAGTATGCGACGGCACTGGCAGATGACAAATTATGGACGTCCATTGCGATCGACTCTCTTCCATTGGCCTCGGCGTTGGACGCGCAGACAGACTCACGCACGAAACCGATGCCGAAAGCTAAATAAATCATTGGGCCAGAGGAGGAGTGCTGCATACCCGCATGTAGTTGTTGTTTATTTTTACGGCTTGAGACAGTAGGGAAATGCGGTGCTCACATTGGAATTGGCTCCCGTCCGATCATGGTTGGGAGGCCCGCTCTTTCCCATCGCCGTCCATCAACGATCCTCCAATCGAAGCGGATCCATCTAAATAAAATCTGCAGGGACAAATGCGACCCGGGCCCATAATTTTGGCGCTCAAGCTTCCGCCGGCGCCCATAAAGGACAAGTAACGTCAGGGTTGGCCGGACTGAGGTTAGATCGTTGCAACAATATGACAATTGTCGCAAATGGCAAAAACACATTGCGTTCGCATTCCACAACTGAATGAGCTGTGCCACAGCGTTGCATATCCGTCCCCACGAGACTCAGGCCGCATCGCATACAAGACAAACAGCACGTAACGGCTGGCGTCCAACAGTTCATCCCAGGAGCTTGGAAACATGGTTCAAGTCATGTCGTGCCATTGGTCAGGCACGACAGCCGAAAAGTCAATGACGACATCCTAAGCCACTTTTGCTCTCACCGTCGGTCTGACAACCCCACGCAGTGTACATGTAGAAATCACTCACAACGCCGTACTACCCGATACTTTCGGATTACACATCTGCATATCGCATTCGACGCAGCCAGCACTCATAATATCTACCTATTTGAGCAATAGCACGAAAGCTTAAGATGTTACCAACCCTGCAGGTAGTCTATAAGTGAAACATGCATGACTGGCAGTATAGGAGAAAAAGCAAGGTAAAATTGAAATACCAAAGTCCAGCTATGTAATGAAACAAAGATACATACAGAGGCCTAGTCTATTATGGATTTCCGCAGTGATATCGCTGGTGTCGGGAGTAAGAGCTTCGGCAACTACGTGGCGATCTCCTGTGCCTCTATCAGAACATTCGATATTATGCTCGAGGCCAAACTGAATTCGTCGGCCACCCTCAAAATCTGCCATGCTGCGTGTTGAGGACATGTAGTCACCACCTGCAAAAGACTCAACGTGCTGTCGCTTTGTAACCTGTTAATTTAGTTCATATAAAGTAGCAAAGTGACTAAATAGCGCAAGTATGGGCTACTTGTATACCCTCTCCCAGCCCCATATTCCGAGTTTCGCTTTTGTGTTTCATGAACCGAGGGAACTAGCCTATCCTACAAGTCCAGCACTGCTGTTGCCCTCTGTGCTAGGTTCCGGGCAGCTTGCTCTTGTGAAGGACATCTTACTGCTGTAGCCGAAGCATCTCGCTCCCACGTCGTCGTCCCCGCTAGGCCCGGCCGACGTGGAATCTGATCAGTCTGCGGAACGCCTGTCTCATCAGGCCCCCAGTCTATACGACGGAGCTACCCTGATCACTGACCACCGGGGGGTTTCTCCCTCGTTGCCGCGAAACATACCACTGGACAGATACACATCAGACCAGGCGCGCGCGCGCGCGCCCTCGTGCCGCCTCATTTTCTGGTCGTGCAACCATGTGTGAGCAATGAGCTCGATCTTCGGGGCCGGTCACACATCTGTGCCATCTCGCGGCGGCCGGATATGTAAGACAGCTCGCAGGTCTCCCGTCTGTCCTTCCATGGAAAGTTTGTTGCTTCCGACGGGGCGTATCTCTCTCGATGCTGTCACTATTTTGTCTTCGTGTTATACGACGCCTTTGGCTGGGCAGGACCTCTACTTACGCAGACGAGAGAATTCCGGTTGATAGTGGGGAAGGGGATCACCGTGTAGGGCGTCGATTGCGCTTCTTGAGCCTCTGAACTTTATTTTAAATTTGGTTCGACATCATCCGCGTTGCTAGGTACACTTCGCGGTTCAGGAATAGCTTGTGGTGTCCCGTACGTCTCCAACACTTATCTTCACTCACATTATGATGTTAAAGGAGCAAGTTGGCAGGAGGTTCGTCAAACAATAGGGAATGTTAAACGCCCGCATGCAAGTTGGAAAGACTTCGCCAAACTTAGACCTTGCTACGCCCGAATCGCAAGCGTTGTCAAGCTGGATGTCTTTGCAGCGTAGACGAGGCATAAGGAAAACGGGTGCTTGCACAAGAGAACCGATAAGGTTTGGTCGAACCACGTGATCGCTCCTCAGGGTTGTTTGAAAACAACTTCGGGGCAGCGACGTGTTTACCTCGTGTTGACAATGCTAGACTTGACACCTATTCGCTATCTCAGACATCGGTCAAACTACTATCTGCTATCCAGTGCAGGCTGGTATAATACAAATCATATCCTGTCCTGATGCAAACATCGTACCCCAATACCAGATACTGATACAGTATTACAACACCCTGCTCTGCGCCATCTGTAAGCGCAAAGATGCCGAGTTGGGATGTTCCCTCTCTAAAATCAAAACTATAGTCGCTATAATGTAGGCTAAACCTAAAAAGAAGTACTCTCTACTGCTTTAGAAAACTCGAAAAAGTGAGTGGGATGTTGAGAAGCCAGTCAATACTCGTACAAGTAGCATCACATCTATTCAACAACACCACCGTGCTGTCATTATCCTTTCTGAGAAACCAGGTTCGCATGATGCCAAAAACGCCGACGTCGGATCCAATCGATCCAAAAATGTGCTCAAGTGTGCAAGATGCACACCTGGACGCAGCATCACTAGAACACGAAACTCGGTGCCACGATAAGAGCCTGCAAAAAAGCCACAGTTCTCATCACGTAGTCAAAACGGGCGGCTCTTGAGACCCTTACTAGGATTCAATAAGCCGATCAGTGCCCCAAGCACTGTCCACACTCTGTCGATCAGAATTCTGGCTACAACCATCCCGACCAGTACGACGAAATGGACCAGCCAAACGGCGAACACCAGTGTGTATGCGACGACCATTCCGAACAATCTGCCGCCAAAACGATTGGCGAAACCGGCCGCTAGTCCTGGGAGTACCGTAGGTAGTCAGTGAAGTCCCAGGTTGCGACGCAACTTAAGCATCTGCGACTTGAACTTCTTATCGGTCGCATCGTGCTGCTTCTTGGCCTGTGCTAGCACGCTTTCGGCCTCCTCGACACTCATTAGAGGGGTGCTACCAATGGCAGGCGAGGGAGCCCCGGCGACGCCCTCAGCGTCATGATGGGGGAAGTCATCCATGTCATCCCAATTGTCACCGAACATCTTGGCGCGCTTGCCGTCCTTGTCGACCAAGTTCGTAGCTCCGGAAATCCAGGGAGCAAGACTTTGCAGGTTGACGCTGTTGGCATTATTCGGGAATGCGGAATTTGTCTTATAGGAGCCGAGGTTCAATGAGGGCAACACATGTTGGTTGATACAACCGATAGCCTCTTCGCGGTGCATCTTACCTACAGGGTCCGGAGGAAAGCTGCCGGGACCCATAGGAAAGAAGGACGGCACACCATTAGGAACAGCCCGACCCTTGATCAGACTGAAGCCCGAACCGGGAATCGCGTGCTTGGGATGGGTGAAAGCGATCGCTTCGCCGCTTGTCTTGGCAATACTGGCCTGAAGGTCCAGATAACGCTTTTCTTCCTCATCAGTGAGATTCAGCACAAAGTCGCCGTTGGGTGTCAGGAGGACACGGTGGCCATTGATCTCCTTGCGTACGGCCCGGAAGGCGTTGAGCTCGGATTCATCTTCCTTGGTCACGACAGAGCGAACTGTAGGTGGCAATGCAGCAGCGGCAGCTCGTTCAACCTCAACACGGTAGTTTGGTACCGGTCTAAACAGGTTCATGTCGTCAGGATCTGGCAATTCTCCCTCCGCAATGAGGCTCTGGAGCATCTCAGACAGAGTGGGAACCTCGCCTACGGCGCCCTCGAACATGGCCTCTTGCTGTCGCGGCTCCGCGCTAGGCTGTACGTAATCAGGCGTCAGAACAGTAGTCTTAGTAGATTCATTCAACCTGATCGACGTGTCAATTTGTGTGGGGCTTTTGAGAGCCTCCCTAAGCTCTTTGGTTTCAGTCTCCCTCGTCTGAGCTGGAACAGTCACAGGAGATACAATGGTAGTTGCTCTCTCCTTGGGGGTCGTTCTCTCTTCACTGGTGCGGGTCTTGACAGTAGATGCCTCGACTTTTGTAGCAACGGCCTTTGATGCTTCAGGAACGGGCGTCTCTGGTCGGCTGATTGCGGGACTGTCCACGCTCGGGGTCTTCGCCTTCTTTTCTTTCCTTTGCTTCTTTTTCCTGCCTTCAATCGGGGCCACCTCGACCTCTTCTTCAGCAGCTTTTGTTTCGGCGATTGCCGCTGCGACGGCATCTTTTGAGGCTTTGTTACGCTGCTTGCGCTGCTGGCTCTTCGTGGTCACACGAACAGCGGCAGAACCAACTCTGGAAGGTGGCGGGGAGCTCGTACGTGAAGCAGACACCGAAGCACTGATTACCGACGTCGAATCTGAGATAACCTCGCTGGCAGGGGTGCCAGGGCGGTGACCAGCTGCCGCGATCGCAGCTGAGCGGATCGATGCTACGGCAGCCGAGGGTAGATTCGGCGGCTGTTCTGTCTTGGGCGTTTGGATCAAGCGCAGAGTCTTTGGTGCGGCTCTCGCGAGAGGTGACGCAACAGATGCCGAGGTAAGCGTCGGGGTTGGAAGAGCTGAGGACGCCACGGATTTGGGTGCTTGAGCTGAGGTGGTAGGACCTGATGCCGCGCTCCTCGCATCAACAGTCGTGTCGGCTTCCCTAAATTGGGTCGCCGATTTTGTGGCAGCTGCAATATCGAGGATACCTGGTGTGGGGCGTTTATCCACCTTGGTTGTTGCTGGCGTTGCTGTTTTCTTGGGTGTTGAGGCCTTACTTGGCGTCTCTGGCTCTGACTTCTTCTTTCCCTTTTCAGGCTTGGCCGAGGCAGCAGGTTTCGAAGGCAGAGCGGGCGTGACCTTCGGAGTTGACGTTGCTCTGACAGAATCAAGTGCTGGGAAATCTTCTTCCTTGAGAGGCTGACTTTGCTGCGAAGCAATATCTTTGGACAGGCCACTCTCGACAGCGAGGTCTTTGATTGTCTTCTTCGCTTCGGAGGTGGGTACAGCCGCCTCACCTTTAGCAGCTTTCTTGGAGCTGGCCTTTACTTTTACGGGAGTGACCGGAGTAACAAGAGGAGTGACCGGCTGGGGGATTGCAGGCTGTGGACGGGCTATTGCGATGGCGGGACTCTGAATAATTGGCGTTGATGCTACCGAATTCGTCTCGCCAAACTGTATTGATTGTATAGGGTGGTGATGATGTGGGAAGCCAAGTCCAGGTGGTGGTGCTGGCGTGGTGGTTCCGCTACGCCCCAGCAGTATCGAACCGCCAAAATCCAAAGGATCTGTATCCGCAACCAAGGCATCGACAGACTGTTCGTCGAGTGGGAGAAGTTCGTCCTCTAGAAAATAACATCATTAGCTTCCAGAAATCAAGAAGTCATGAATTTAATAAAAAAAATCACAGCGGCATTTTAAGGATCATCACAGGTTGGCTATCGTCATCTTCCACAAAAGATGTACATGAATGCGATTATAAGGGGGCAAAAAGCTATATTGACCAGCCTCCCAAAACGTAGGACATGATCTGCTCGTTAACATACAGGAGAGAACAAGTGTGGAAGATGACGATAGCTTGCCTGGGCGTGACCACATCAACCTCAAAAGATGCGCGAACTCGTCAGAATGCCAGTGCCAGTGCCAAACAAACAAAAAAGGGGATTTCCCTTCTGTTGACGCTACGCCGAGCTTCAACATGTGATCTCGTCGTTTCCAAGAACATGTGGACGCCAATGCAACCGTAGACTCGTCCCGAGTCATATCTCTTGATGCGCGCTCGAAATGACGAAAACCCCTTGAAGCCTTCCTTTTAAGCTTTGCCGCAATCCTAAACGCCCAACAAACACACCCTGTGTACAAAAAGCAACCCGCAGAAAATAAAACGCCACCACTTCCAACCCCTCATTCTCACATTTCAGATGGCGATCACCATCTGCCATATCCGGCACCGGCACCGGCACCATACATCATGTTTGGATTGTACCCACCTTGACTCTGACCTCCAAACAGCCCCTGTCCAACTCCGGCATTGCTGCCTTGGTGCTGATGCTGCTGCATACGTGCCTGCAAGATGCTCGGGTCTGCAAGATCTACTACAGCACCTCCCCCAGAGGAGGAAGTGTTAGCGTGCCTGTGCTTCTTCCCCTTTTTCTTCTGCTTGGGTCCAAAATCCTGAGAAAAGGCTCCAGGCTGGGAAGCATAGAGCGATGCCAGGACGTTCGGGCCGGAGGCAGGAGCAGGGGTGGAGGAGGTAGAGGAGCTTGGGTATTGGTTCTGAAAAGAGGAAAAGTACTCACGCTTACCCACGTCTTGGGCATGGCCACTAACGTTTCCCCTCGAAAACATATTTCGAAGTAACTCGGTTGCATTGTCCTTGGAGGGTGCACCGCCAAAACCAGAGCCAAAACCTTGCCCTTGTCCGAACATGCCAGCACCAGGGGGAGTACCTGTTGACTTGAGGCCAGGAGGCGGCCCAGGCATGGAAGACGCATAGAATTGGTTACCAGGTTGTGATTGGAAGGAAGACGGCATCATGGAAGTTTGTTGGGCCATGAGTCTGGGGTTAGCAGCCAAATTGACCTTTGAGCCTGAAGCATTCTCATTGGCAAAACTGAATCGCGACTGCTGCCGAGTATGACCTTGGCCCTGGAAGAGTGTTGACTGAGGAGCCGAAAGACCTGGGGGCACCTGATCCGGGAAGTTGCCTTGAGCCCGACCAAACTGCTGGGGTGTGATAGACCGACTGCCAATGGAGCCAATGTTGCCAGCACCTTGTGCGTAGCTGGACGTCAAACTGGGCCCAAACAAGGCATCCGTGCTCGATCGCTGAATGGGCGCCGGATTCCTTCTCTGGTCAAAGACCTCCTGATCTCTATCCTCGGGCTCGCCGCCAAGTGCATGACTGCCACTTTCAGGTTCCCCTTCGGAAAGCTTATCGGCCTGCTCTTCTTGCTCGGTAGCCCTAGTCTCCTTTTCCTCCTCCTCGCGCATTACGCGCCTCTTGTAGCCACCGTAAGGGTCGAACAGAGGCGGGAAGGAATCGTCGTGTTCTTTCGGGGGAGTAAAGTCTGGAATCGCCATGAATCTCTTCATCAGGTCACTAAAGTCGGGCAGTGCATATGGATCCTTGACACAAGGCTGGGCATTAGTAATCTCCTTGGCCTCCCGCTCCTTTGAAGCAGCGGGCTGCTTTCCCGCCTTTCGACTTGATGCCGGGGCGGTAGGTGGAGGAGTAGGTGCAGGCTCTTCAGGAGGCGGTGAAGACTCGATCGCCTCTTGCGCAGACTCGGTAGTAACAGGCAACGAGTTGGAGATGGCTGGACTAGAGGCGGCACCACTCGTAGCATGACTTCCACGGCGACTCCTCTGCTGAGTGGTCCGGGCCCAGTTGGCTGTGGCGGGTAGAATAGGACCATCGCCCATGTCCGATCCTTCTTTGCTAGAGGTACGGACCATGGGCTGGGCGATGGGAGGCGGAGGTTGTTGAGCCGGACCTCCTTGCAGACGAGAGGCAGATCGAGAAGAGCCGGGAGCATTGGACAAAGGCCGCTGGGTGTGTATGCTGTTGAGGGACGAGAGATCTTGTCGGGTGTAGCTATCTTCCTCCTCGCCCAGCTCGTGCAGAAACATGCATTGGCGATTGCCGCACTGTTCGTTCCGTAACCATGCAGAGCAATACTTGGTGGTGCCCAACTGCGCCCTCAGGATGCGATCACCATTGTGGGAACCGTTGACAGCAGCGATACACCGGGCGGCGTCCTCCTTCTTCTCAAATGTAACGTATATGCCGAGGGACTGTTGTTGGCCATCCGGCGCCTTTCGGTTACTAATCGAGATCTTCTGGATGTTGCCATATTGCCCAAAGAACTCCTGCTTTCGCAACGTCTTCAAGAGCTCGTCTTCGGGTACGGTGGGGGTTAAACCTGTCACGTAAACAAGGTTCTTCTGCACCACTCGCACGCCAACGAGGTTCTTGCGGTTGGTCCTGTCCGTGACCTCTCGTTTTTGTGCCTCTTTTTGGCGCTGTTCAGCGGCTCGCTTCTTCTGGTTCTTTTGTATGTTTGCCCTGAATTCGGCGATCCTGGCAAAGCGTTAGTGACGTGGCAAGGGGGAAAGTTTGTGGACATGGTTGGCATACTGTTCATGGGTAACAGCCTCGAATTTGACCGAACTGTCGTCGTATTGTCGTCGACAGGCAGGACAGAGACCGTTTAGGTTGTGCTTGATGTTATTGTAACAAAATTGGCAGACCTGCGAGGACGACGTGGTCAGTTTGGAGAACAGGCGGGGGTCATGGACGGGGTATTGCATTGCACTGCATACCTGGTAGCCACAAGGACACGGATAAAAGTTCTTGTCCTGAATGTCAAGCTCCTCTATGCAGAGGGGACTAGGAGCGTGGTCAGTACTCTGGACGGATGTCGATGTTGCGAAGTTTGCACCAAAACATACCACGTATCTTCCTCGTCGTCGATGAAACTGTCTTGAGGGGCCATGATGAAGAGTGTGAAGAAGGAGCTGTGTTGTCTCAAGCAGGGGTAAAGCCTGAGGTGACTTGAGGAGCGGAGACGAAATATAGATATAGATGAACGCGGCTACGTAGCAGATGGTTATATCGACGGCTGCGCTGCAGGGTAAGGCGGTTTTGTGTATTACGGATTGTGCTGGGCGGTGGCTGAGTGATCGATCGATGGATTGATTGATTGACTGATTAGAAGAGAGCAGCAGATTTGCAAGAACATGAAAATCATGGAAGACCTCGTCGAGACGCCAGGGGGAAAAATGTACGGAGGACAAATAAGTGACTGATCCGGGCCTAAGTCAAGTCATCGGTGGGTTCGGTGAGCTTGAGCGGACGGGTCTGGTCGTGGCAAGGAAGTGGTTTGAGATGAGCAGACTGACTGTGAAGTGCAGGTTGAGATTGAAATCAAAGCCTGCCAGCGAGTTGACGAGGTTTCCCGAGCGCTGGCACCAGCCGCCCCCGATGTAGACTAGCGCACTGTCTACACACGGAATCGTGCTCGTCTCGCAGAGTACACACAGGAGGTAGGCATCAAAGCACATATTGAATAGCTGCAGTGCACGTGTCCGAATAGCAACAAAAGGCACAGGTGGGGGCTGCAACAGTAGAACGTAACCTACCGTACCCTACTGGCACTCTGCTTGATTGCCCAAAGACATTATACCGGTTGATCGGTGTGTTGTGGCAAGCAAACACTCAAGTTGAAATGGATATCATGTGCTAAGCACTGGAAACGGTTTCAAACGCGCTGGGAACTTTCAACCTACGCGCGGATGCGGATACTGGACCATTTGCTACACAAAGACGACACAGCCGCTTACAGGCAATCGAGCAAGGCATAGTTATACGTGTGTACCAACTCGGACTTCTACTCCCATGACTACGGTTGGCACGTAGATACAGATACACAGGTAGCCTTACGTCCTCCAAGGAAAGAGAAATACATAAAAAAGGACACCCCAACTCGCATCTCGTCCAATATGCTCTCCGTACACATGTGCTCATGACGTGATGTGGGATGGTTGTAGACTTGCACCTTGCCATGTCCAGCAGCATTCTTATACAGTTGTTTTCGTCGAGGCTACCACCAGAATCTATGTGTGTCATGTACTGGAGGAAGCCTCAGTCAGAGTGGTCTCCAAGCACGGGCCATGATGAAGATGAACGTGGGGCAACTTCTCCCCAGCTGCATTCTTTCGCGCAAGGTTGATTTGATTACCTTACTCTCAGAGGTCGGCTCCGTACACAATCCGGAACCTGCACTAACTAATTTCCGGCCCAAGCAATCACGGCTCGGGAATTGGCCATGACACTTGTTGACGACTGCGTTCTGATTGAGAGGGAGACAGACAGAGACAGACAGAGCTCGACTGCGCCCCGTGGTAATTCGCGATAGCATAGACACCAACCCCGACGGCCAATTGGATCACCCACTACAACATCCAACACCATGGCGACCAAGCTTGGCCGAAGCAGGGCTTTGGCTTCAGCTTTGCGACCCGCGAGGCCCTCGCCCTCAGTCCAGCTGCGCTGCATCAGCGCCACTGCCCGCACCAATGCCATCGCCATGCCTTCCGACGCCCAGAACATGAGGCAAGCTCCTAGAGATCACCCCAAGGAGCTCAAGGCCCCCATTGTCAACCCTGCCGACAAGTACCAGACCAAGGCCGACGACCTGCACCGCTACGGATCGTGGGTCATGGGCTGCTTGCCCAAGTACATCCAGCAGTTCTCCGTCTGGAAGGATGAGTTGGTCCTCTACATCGCCCCTTCCGCAGTCATCCCCGTCTTCTCCTTCCTGAAGTGTGAGTTGCCCCCAGCCCGCCGTTTGTTTCGCCTGGAGAAGCAGCAATCTAACGTGCACCCAGACAACACCGCCGCCGAGTTCACCCAGTGCAGCACCGTCACAGCCGCCGACTTCCCCACGAGGGACCAAAGATTCGAGATCGTCTACAACCTTCTCAGTGTCAGGCATAACGCTCGCATCCGAGTCAAGACATATGCCGACGAGGCCACACCAGTCCCCAGCATCACGAGCTTATACGACGGTGCCAACTGGTACGAGCGTGAGGTCTACGATCTGTTCGGTGTTTTCTTCGTTGGCCACCCGGATCTCCGCAGAATCATGACTGATTACGGTTTCGAGGGTCACCCTCTGCGCAAGGACTTCCCCTTGACCGGTTACACCGAGATCCGTTACGACGAGGAGAAGAAGCGCATTGTCACAGAGCCTCTTGAGCTCACACAAGCTTTCCGTAACTTTGAGGGAGGCTCTACTGCTTGGGAGCCCGTTGGGCCCGGTGCTGACCGCAAGCCCGACACATTCAAGCTTCCCACACCGAAGCCCGAGGAGAAGAAGGAGGAGCCCAAGAAATAGATTAGAGCCGGGCACTGTACATAATTGTGACAACCACAAGATTCATGTTCCTTTTTTTTTTTTTTTTTTTCCTGACACAAGCCTCCATTTTCTGCTTCATCTACAGGTGATAGATTGCTGGGATTTTTTGCTGGCCTGGGTGAATCTTATTTTGTCCGTGGTAGCGTTCCCCTCAGTACCTTCGAAACTTGCACGCAGACTATTCCGGGCTGTAGATGGAAGCGAGCTGAAGAATGAGTTTCCAGTTTGGCTTCAGCTGCGCACACTATGTAGGACTTTTAAAAGCTGCAAGTAGCAAATCCTTGATGAACTGGTATCGACAAGAAGTATATTTTGTTCAAGAAAGGAGAGGCGCCTGGGAAGAGTGGTACTTGAACGTTCCGCTTGAAATCTGCTGTAGTGAGGTACTATACGACTCGTGTCACCCTTGAAGGCAAATAATGTATGCTCTTGCAAGGTGTAATATAAGCATGTTAGTTTATTTATTCGACAAAGCCGCGGGTCTACAAATCAAGGCTGGCGAAATTGTATGACTACTCACCACACTTAGCCCTATTTGATAGTGTGTTGACGTATAGCCGTAACGACCTGACGACGATTTCATTGAAACGCCGAGCGCCCGGCACCAGAGTAGGTGCGAACGCGAGCCTAGTGAATAAAACGAGCAGTAAACCACTACCAGTCCTCTTCTTGCTGCTCTGTTTCTGCCGTTTACTATGTGTCCGGGTATACTCCACGACGCTTTAAGGACAAGCTCAACCACCAAATATGTTTCCTTCCAAGCAAACATTGTAGTAAGCTACCTATCTGCTGTCCATGTCTTCACAGTACGTGGAAGGGGCATTGCACTATAGTCTGCAAAGCGTTTGGGGGACGTTCTACCAACTCTGCAGCCATCAAACATTTAGGTGACAAGATGATACTGCCTCACGTGTCAATGTTTGGACTGTCCCCATGGTTTCAAAGTTAGTATTGCTGATGGTCGTAAATGTAGACTCAGAAACGCCTTCAGTTGGAATCCGTGTGATGCCCGACGAGACTTTGATACGTCATGTCCATGCCGAGGGTCTACCACAGGGGCAGGGCAGTAGGTCAAAGTCAGAAGTTGGTACCTCGCTGTGAGCTTGTGGTTTAGCATTACCTGGGAAGTGAATGCATATCCTGCTCATATTGAGACAGCGGTTGTAAGGGACGTGCTAGGTCACAACAAATACATACGTACAGAATTTCATTCATTGGTAGCCAAGCATGATCGGCGGACAAATAGTTCAGCCGTAGTGCAGCTTCAAAGGGAACGATACTCCCAGTTTTCCTATCCCGTCGTTGACCAAGGGCCACCTTCAAAATTGACTTGTGTTCGAATAACGCACGTATTGTACGTGACTTGAGAGGCTCTATCTATAAATCGTACTGTGTGTACAGTGTAATAGAATTGTAGATACTATCATGTACGACACCTAATATAGAAATAGAAGTGATGTAAGAGGGAGTTACGAGATTCGATAATTTGAACGAGACGATATACCCCGATATGGTGGCAGCTTCAGAAGCTCACGCTGGCCGGGGCCATCCTGGCACAACTTAGAAAGACGTTTCTTGTTGCTTTACAACAACCTGACTCATTTACGACTCGTGAAATTTCTATGTATCAATATCATCAATGCTTCATAAAGTGCTCAAACAAATGCTATTCAGGGGCAGTCGTTAATTATGTGACCATATCTCCTACTTCATAGACAATCCTGGCGGAGTGGCGGTCGCCGGCATCTTGAGGAAATCGATCTGGATGAAAATCCAGATTGGCATGGAGGACGTAAAGATTTGCTAACTGAGACTTGCTTGAGAAATATTTTGCTGGGCAACGTGCCACTTGATACCCGTTGTTTTGTGTTCGAAGGTCAGTCAACCTCCACATAGTTAATGATGTTAGTTACCCGCTACTGTTCAATATCTTATCTTGTCAACGTCGAAGACTTATGTAATGTATCGATAGAATAGTCAAGAAGCAATCGGGATCACCTTCACCCACCCCGCTGCACGCCTAGCAAGACCTCTTATGTGCTACATGGACACTGGATTTTCCGAGATGGGCAGAAACCATATCGCACCTGTTACCTTTATTCCAATGATGCTATGAGATGTTGTCTCTAAAAAGCTTCATGGTCGTGGCGTTCCAAATAGAGCAGGTACTAAGCAGTAGACTAGGGACCCTGCGCATTCTGCCAGCACGCATGCATGTATCGTATGTCGGGTGCCACTCGCCCCAGAATTACGGTACGGGTGTCGGTCCTAAATCTTTCGGTAAAAATACGCTGTGCGACAACAAGAATCCCAGTGCGAAGGATCTGGTTTGTGACTTCATTTTCAACGTACGCGACAGGTCGCTATTCCTATGCGATATCTGCATTTGACAATCTCGAATCCGAAAAAGATGGACAGTTAGCGCATCCTTCGAAGTCGAACCTTGACCAGGGTTTCTACAAGCATGACAGGTCCATCTAGAACCCCGTGTCATCCTTTGCGCAGAGGTTGAACCAATGAGTATAAGAACCATGCTCTTCCTGCTGCAAGACTTCTCAATAACAGCTTCAACTGCCTCATTCTTCTATCTCTCAAAGTATTCTCACAAAAGCCAAAGACAACTTTCAGCATGAAGTACCTCAGCCTCACCCTGGTTGCGATGATCATCGGCACGGCCGTTGCAGCTCCTGCCCCAGAAGCCAAGCTTGAAACTCGGTAAGTTAATAGCTTCCCCTTCGACCTTAAAGTTCGATCTTCTTGATCGACTGTGCATTTACTTGGCAGGGGGCCTATACTGACATCACCACTCGACAGTTGCTCTGCCGGTCTTTACCACTCCCGCGCTGCCTGCCAGGACGCTTGCGTCGGAGGCACGTGCGCCTACGGTGACTTGATTGCCGTCTGCCACTGCTAGATCGGATTCCTGCTGGACGAAAAGAACTTCATGGTCCTCGAATGCTTGGTTCTGTGGGTAACAAGTGATTGGTCATGTATATTACTGGAAGCAAACCATAGATCTAAATCTACTGCAAGAGAACGTTCATGTGGAGACTCGTTCATATCGTCTGTGACAAGCCAAGATACTCTAAAAATTCCTCTGCACACAAGATACTGATTCGCAGATCCGAGACTCGTGACCTAAAATAACGACTTAAATGTTCATGTACTGGACCATTGTACAAGAGCACAATGCCGGGGGGGCGGGGGCATGCGGAGAAGATCCCCCAGATCTAACTTTCTTCCTCATCCAGTATGCTATGTCGGTCTATCAAGGCTTGTGTTGGACAACATCGAAAAGCGTAAGCATTTAAGGCGTTTGAACCTTGAATGAACTCCGCCTTAATTGATTGAGTTACGCACAAACGGACGGGCATGGGAGCGAAAGCTAGCCTTTCTGGCGCGTGCTACCGATACTGAAAGCAGAACGATGTGCAGTGAATGAACGAGGACACAAATACCAAAAACCAGGGCCATGATCCTTCGTGGTGAAGATAAGCTTTCTTGGCTTAGCTTGTCCATTTTGGTGGTTCGAGCTGTGGGTATCGCAGGATTCGAGAGTTATGCCTAAACTAGCAGTTATTTGTGTGATTATAGCTAACCTAGCAAGGTTATGAGGGAAATGCTCCGCATCAAAAACCCCTTCCGTATACGAAGTCGGCCCACACAACCCCGGCTGTTGCTGGCTGATGTGCCTAGGCCCAGCACCACGAGAAGTGGAAGCCTGCTTTGTAGGCAAGCTTTATCTATCGTCACGTCTGCTCAATTTGAATTTTGTCGCTAATTGATAGCTTAAAGTACAATCTGGCCGAATGCCACGAGGACAAGGACCAATACTGACTGACCCTATCATCGAGATCCAGACGCAAAAGGGCAGCGGGGCATTATGGCCCCTTATAATGGTTCTCATGGACTGAAGGCCTCAGTTGAGTGTGTATTTGATAATTGCGAATCTTTATATCGATGCCTTATTTATTAGATGCCCTATATTCTTAGTTGCTCAGTCTCAGTTGAAATATTGCTTGATCATAATATTGATGTTTTGCGTGGCGTTTTGTCCGGTCTTTACCTAATACCACGGCTGTTGCCACTATCACGTTCGAGGACAATAAACTCCAATAAGAAGCCCTCAGTTGACCATCTCGGACCTGGAGGGGAAACAATTGTACTACGTAAACGCAAGAATCTTTGAGTTGTGCTTCCACACTCGTGGTAGCCTCTTCGTTGATGGTCGTTGGGAAATTCACCATAATAACTTGCGGTCTACTCTACCAGCTTCCAGCTTGACTCGTCCAAGCGAGACCATATTACGCTGCTTCGTTCATATTACATTATACTAGTCATGCAATATGAATTATATTCCATTCGAACCTCTCTGTTGTTATGGAGGCCTTGGCCGAGCTGTATGCTGACCGGCAATTATAAAAGTCACCGTCGCAGTGGATACTTAGTTATCGTGGCGACTTCTCTACTCACGGCCACCACTATATTTACTACCTGGCTAAATTACAGGCATAATCTTTCTTTGTATCTTCAATGAATCGAAATGTTCGATACTGAAACTTCAGCCATGGGCGACAGTATCTGGGTGTCTGATTCAGAGCTACGGGTACTGAGCAGCAGTGAGAGTTTATCAGAATTCGGCAAGATATTTACGAGCGCCCCTAATGAGCGCGCCAACGTCAGAAAGATTCGATATCATGTGGTGCAGCCGGAAGTCAGCATGAAGAAGCTGAAAAATGCAAGGCAGATCCGAGGCTGAAGCTAACAATGGCGCTTTTATGCGTACCCTATCAACTCTATTTGAGCAATTGAGTGCATGAGAACCTGAAGAGCTTAGCATCAGTCTCTCAGACGAAGCTGCATCGCTAACTGATTTTCGGATTGATGAATTGGTAGAGAACGGTACACTAATCAACACACAACAACCGTAAGCCCGGCATATGGGAAGCGCGAAATCTGAACAAATTCGTCGGGTTAGAGCAAGGCAATATCGTCCTCTCCGTGGTGAGATGTGTGTCGAAGATCGAGGTCAGTGCTGGATACGATATAGAGCGCTGGGATCTCCATCCGAATTTTCTAACTGCTATGCTCAACTCATGCCGAGGCTTTCAGGAGATCGAAAGGACCTCCGCCCTCCCACAGCGCAGGACTATGTCAGCCTGAAGAAGCATCAGGTCAGCTTGGGCAAAGGCGCTAAAGACATGCACTTTTCACCGTCCCTGGCCGAGATAACTCTAGGAATGGAGGACGATGATCCATTTAATGAGAGATTAGAATCGGAGAGCCTCTTGGATGACCCCAAGAGTTTCGATGATCTCAGCCTTGCGATCAGACGCGCAGTCCAGCTGCCGACACTGCGGAGGCTACGTTTAGAAACATTATGGGCATTGTCTCCCGCGTCCTTTGGACCTCATCCCGACTTGCCCGCTATTTGCTGTCCATCGCTCGAGGAGCTCACGATTGACGTTTCTATGACTACGCCCGACGGAAGATACCTGAAAATGGGTGATCTATACCAAGCCTGACAAGAGGAAGGAGATTAGGATTCTGACAATGAGATATCACCTGGTCCATTCGATGCGGAAGACTCGGACAAATCAGACTGGATGCCTGAATTTACGTGGGATAAGCTGGACGGCGCAATTTCGCCGACCTTGTTTCGTTCCACAACAAACCCAGAGATGTTAGTTCCTCTAGCACAATCATTCGCTCACGCGGTTGCAAGCCATAACGCGCCTCAATTAAGCAGGCTAGAGAACCAGCTTGGAGGTACTGTACGTATATGTCATACTTAGACGGAGATGAAGTTCTTCGCACCAGACCAGCCCAATCGAGATGCGGATTATTTATACGGAGGTGAAGAGTTCGACAAGCTCCATAGACTTAGGCCACGATGGTACTTCTGGGGCACTTCGGCTTTTGATAAGTCGTGGAGGATATTACTAGAACTGGGAAGAAATTTTGAAGGATTTTATGGAAAGGGATGCATTATAAAGGCTATGCAAGATGAAAGAATCGAAATATAAAAGATTCCTTGCTCAATATACGAGCTGCTGCAGCGCTCGGACTATCTTTTATGAGTGTACAGATAAGTAGCAGAGTTGGGTGCGACGGCGCTGAGATGCGTCAGTTGCGAGACACATTGCACTCATTTTTATTAGCAAATTAGATTTTAAGTGCTTTGGGATAGATACGTGGACGAGAAGCATTTTATTTTGCTGCCGATCCTAGTGGATACATACGGATTAGTTTCATCACTAACTCTCCAGTCCACGATCCCCATTCCCCAGTCTCAGCCGCCCGCGAAGTCTATTTAGCGCTTTCCAGAGGCACTCCCCGCAACTCATGGTTATACTCGGAGTTCGGTTTCCAGCGGCTCAAATGACGTCCTGCTGCACCTTTCCATTCCAACGGGTCAGCGGGCATTCTGAACATGACGGGCTTGATTATTTCATCTTTGACGCAGACAGTTCTTCTCTGCGTATGTATAGCGCCAATTGACCACATCTCTTCGACCCGTCTTAAAAATGAAGACGAGATTGCTTCCTAGAGTACCGCTCCGGCAAGTGACCGGCGCTGGACGTTGGATGCCCCCCAGCGCGCCGAGTACCACACACGTCTTCTCACGAAGGGCGAGCAGTGTCTCGCAACGACCAGGCGCGAGCCATGTATCGTTCCCCGGCGCCGTGAAGAGCGCGTTTACGAGCGACCTACAATTCGTGCTTGCGTCCGAGTCGCCGTCACTGCCCACATACCGAGTGGTAGATCAAGATGGGAAAATCGTGGACTCATCTTTCAAGGCCGATCTTAGCGACGAGGAGATAATAAAGCTCTACAGAAACATGCTTTTGATCTCCATTATGGACGTCGTAATGTTTGATGCGCAACGCCAGGGTCGTCTTAGCTTTTACATGGTATCAGCTGGCGAGGAGGCTATCAGCATTGGTTCGGCGTCCGTGTTGGAGAAAGAGGACGTAGTCTTCTGTCAGTATCGTGAACAAGGCGTTTTCAGGCAGAGGGGGTTTGAGCTGAGCGATTTCATGAACCAGCTATTTGCGAACACCAAGGATCCGGGAAGGGGCAGGAACATGCCAGTGCATTATGGAAGTAAAGAGCTGAATATTGTGAGTATAGTCAATCACGTATGGTTGGGTGTGCACGGTGGGACTGATTGGCGACAGCATACAATTTCGAGCCCGCTAGCGACACAGATTCCCCACGCCAGTGGAGCAGCCTATGCACTCAAGATGCAGAGGATCAATGATCCCTCCATACCGCCCAGAGTTGCTGTGGTCTATTTCGGCGAAGGCGCGGCAAGTGAAGGAGATTTCCACGCAGCGCTCAACATCGCGGCGACACGGGCATGCCCCGTTGTCTTCATATGTCGGAATAACGGATATGCGATTTCGACGCCCACACTGGAGCAGTACCGTGGTGACGGGATTGCAAGTCGCGGTATTGGGTATGGGATTGACACGATAAGGATTGATGGGAACGACATATGGGCAGTAAGGGAAGCTACGAAAAAGGCACGAGAAATGGCGCTCCATGATGGTGGGAAACCGGTTCTCATCGAAGCCATGAGTTATCGCGTCAGCCATCACAGTACATCAGATGACTCGTTTGCGTACCGTGCTAGAATTGAAGTTGAGGATTGGAAACGAAGAGACAATCCCATCTCAAGGTTACGTAAGTATATGGAAATGAAGGGCATCTGGGATGAAAGCCAAGAGAAGGACGCTAGAGATAGCATCAGGAGAGACGTGTTGAAAGCATTCTCCGAGGCGGAGAAAGGGAAAAAACCGCCAATCAGGTCAATGTTCGAGGATGTCTACGAAGAGTTGACTCCGGACCTCGTGGCACAAATGAAGCAACTGAGAGACCATTTAGATAGATACCCGGATGAGTACGACGTCAACGAGTTTGAGGGCGGGAAGAATAGTCTAGACCAATGAGGAAACATATGCTGCATGGGAAGTTGAGCAAATTTTGCATGTCTTGAGTACATGCGTATATCTATTGTTAATTGAAGAAAAATATCCCTAACATTCTTCTGCCTGGCGCAAGGTAGTATATCAAGATCCGCCGATAACAGTATCACGTTCGATACTGTCCAATTCTATCAACAGCATTACACTGCTCTTAGAAACTCGGCTACTAGATTGTGGGAACTTTCGGCTGGACAAGAAGAGTACATTTCATAGGCTCAGACTTGTCAAGCCAATGACTGGAATCTCAGTATATCCTGTTATTAGCTAATGCTCTCTTCGTTGAGAAGGCGCGTGCGTCTATTAAAACTTGAGGCATTCGTTTCGTCAGCAGTTTGGGCGTATAATGCGAACAAAAGAAAACAAATGCATAGGTAGCCTATAATTTCTATGTCACCGATAACTGGGAGACATACAGGTATCCAATGCGGGGCTACCACACCCGACTGCTGACAGTCAGCTTAGACGTAGCCACGTTCTCAGCTTGCCATGACACCAAGATTGCTCAAATCGTCGTTCATAAACTTTGCTGTTTAAAGTAAACTGTATCGCCGCGAATAACTATAAATGCACTAACACAGCGCGATGATATGCCAAGTTTGCGAATCAATGTTCCGGCCAGAATTCGGGGTTCATGAGGCAATAGAGTATCCACACCATCATGATACTCTGTCGTTTCGCAATTCGCTTGCTGAGGGATGCCAGCTATGTTCAGCCCTAGGAACCGAAATCGGAAATCTGGAAGAACTCATTTTCCACACCAAGGTTAATTCGAAGACAACGTGGACTCTCTTGCGTCCACGCAGAGGTCGGCCTTTCTCCATTCTTCTGGCCTGGATGGTTGACGGACACTTTAGACACGGTCGCAGGACAGAACTTGTGAAGTACAAAGGTACGTTGCGTGCTATGGCTATCAAAGCGCTCCAAACCTGATCATTTAGATCTGCGATTGTCCTTGCCATAAAAACACTCTCATTCGAGAACCTCGCTGCAGATAGCTAAGTCTTGGATGAATGATTGTCTCCTTCGACACCCAAGATGTGCCCGCCTACAGGCCTGGAAGACCTCAGTGACAAGGTATCAGCCGAAAAGGCTTGTTGACATCGGGGTTCAAGACAGTGGATCGTGGCGATTAGTCACACATGGCGAACACGACATTCTGTCTTACCACTATATGACCGTAAGTCACCGCTGGAGTGTTAACCAGCAATATCGGCTTCTGCGTGGAAACATCGAGGCATTCGTGGCTGGACAACCTGTAGATGACCTGCCACAGTCATTTCAAGATGCTGTTGGAGTTGCACGTAGCATGCAAATCAGGTACTTGTGGATCGACTGCCTTTGTATCATCCAGGATTCAGAAGAAGACTGGGAAACACAGAGTCTCGAGATGCGCGAAATATACGCGCACTCAATATGCAATATCTCTGCCACTGGAGTTCCGCACAACTCGATGGGTTTTACGGATATGCTCAACAAACCCCTCCTTCTCCCAGCAAAAGTCCATCCTTCATGGGCACCTTCGACCAAAGGTGGTTGGGTAGCGATTGATGTTCACTTTTGGTGGGCAGAGGTCTGGAACACAGCACTCATGAAGCGTGGGTGGGTTTTCCAAGAAAGATTTCTGCCCCCAAGAGTACTTCATTTTGGATCGCGACAAATGCTATGGGAATGTGCGACGGTCGATGCGTGCGAAATCTACCCGAATGGATTGCCGCAGGAGACACAAACTGAAAGCCACGTCAATTTTAAACGACTAGATATTGTAGATATGCTCGATTTCAGCAAAGAGTTTAGTGGATCTGCGGCGGTCAGCAGGCATGCCACATACGGTGAGCTCCTTCTCAGAACCTGGAGTCGCTTTGGCTCCATATTTTCGAACACGCCACGTTCTGCATCGATACCATCACTGCCTGCTAAGTCTTCAGTCCCATGCAAAGACATTGTGCAAAGTCCGCATGCGGTATCTGCGGAACTTTTACATTTTTGGTGTAACACCGTCTCAGCATATACGCGCACACGCGTCACGAAGCCTGACGACAAATTGATAGCGCTAGCAGGAGTGGCGGAGATGACATCGTTATTATACCACCGCTATTACCACGTTCCGGCCACATACTATGCTGGCTTGTTCGATCCACATCTTATTCAGATGCTTGAATGGCACGGCGCAGGATCAAAGGCAGGGGGCCGAGCGCTGCATTACCGGGCTCCGAGTTGGTCATGGGCAAGTGTTGAATATCGTGTGTTATTCGAATTTGCACCACGAATGTTCGACGCACGGGAAGTTCTGAACCGCCGCACTACTTGGGAATCCTTCATCTACTATTGGAACACCGAGCGCGGTCCAGAAACTACTATGTTATCACTTCCCACCATTCAGCTCGACTGGAAGTCCTTGGTTGCTGATGTCTTCGTGGAGCTCACTCAGACAACACAATCCTCCGAGTTTGGGCAAGTATCTGACGGCCATTTAAGTCTTCGGGGACTGGTTTGTCCTTTGAAAAATATACCTTCATCGGCACCATTCATGGTCTTTCAAGACGACCCGTATGTGCCAATTCAAGACGGGACCTACTGCTTACCGTTGCGATGTATCATCTTGGATAGCGAGGCAGATAGAAAGACTACTATACGTAGTAAAATATTGTATTGGGTAACCGGTCTGTTATTAAAATCACTCGAAACCTCGGATTCGACTTTTCGGAGAGCTGGATTGTTCTGCATATTCTCGTCAGACGGCTTCAACGCTTTGGGCATAGAAATCGGGGATTCGCCTTTTGACGTTCGTTTCTCAGAAAGAGCAGTTATGAGGTCCGTTCAGATCATTTGACTTATCATCACCTTCGTGATAATACTGGCAATTGATAGACACGAGAGTCTTGCAATTAACTCAATTGTTTCTATCAATTGCATCGCCAGTACGGTATGAACATTCGATATGATCACATATTATACTGACAGGTCTATAGGGTGTGTCTTGATTGATTTCAACCACTCAATTCCAGAAGCACCCCAAATCATGCTGTATTTCTACTTTATACTTTTTTTCTAGCGATGGAGAAGGTGCTCTCATCATTGTGCCGCCGACCACTTGGTTGATCACGATTGGCGCCAGTGAACATGCAGAGGGCAGTGGCACGATGCCCGCAATCATCGGGCCTTGATACCAGAACAAAGTTTCCTGTTGTCAACTGCTCCTCTTCTCTCCAGCACCAAGCTTGGCAACGCCCGCCTCCAAGATATACACCCACTCGCTCCCTCACCTACCCCATTGGTGGAAGCTTGGCGGCTTGACGCGAGTAATTGAATCAGCACAGCCTGTGACGAGAAATTTTATAATTCTTCCATCAGTGATCGCACTGCAAGAGCGATGGGGTGAGGCTGAAGCCCCGGCTAGGAAGGCATCGCTAGCGCACTCCCAAGATCTTGGCCTCCTTTTTCAGAGATCTTGGCGAGCTTCTCGAAATGCCTGCGAATTTTCCTTGATCCCCTCTGGTGACGATAGCCAAGTGCAGACAATACGCTAAACAACACCGAAACTCTTTTCTCCAGACAAATCCTGTGTCGTAGGGTGTCCACGCGACCAGGTAGTTATGGGGAGAGGGGAGACGGACGCTTCGAAAATCTGGGGCAACGTCAGTCTCAGTGTCTTATCCTCTTGGCTGTGCCACTGTAGGGCCGAATCAACAAAACCCACATTGCCCCCATAATCAAATGGATGGGGGAAGATCTATATAATGTCTCACCCGATGCGGAACTGATGATGTATGAATTGCAATTTTGGGCAGAATCTGTTCTGTTATTCTACGGACTTATAATTGAATATTACAGGTCGCAGTAAATATGGAGTTAGGAAAGAAGTAAGTTCCCGCCTGATACAGTCAACTACCTCCCTTATATTGCTGCTAATAATATCGTAGGCGTATTCGTGTCAATGGCGCAGACTGCGGCGTGGAGGCTATCCTCCTCGGAGCTGTCACTTCGCTGGGAGGCTTTCTCTTCGGTTACGACACTGGTCAGATGTAAGTGACCGATCCATTTGTACTTCCTTCTATATTGGAGAGGATACTATTTCTTTCACCAATTAGTTTCCAGAAAAGACTGACATGTCTGTTGTTGCTAGATCCGGCATGCTGCTGTTTACTGATTTTGTCGATCGATTTGCACAGGAGCAGCCGGACGGAACAAGAGCCTGGGTCCCCATTATTCAGTCACTCCTGGTCTCATTGATGAGTATTGGCACCTTGATCGGTGCTTTATCTGGCGCCTAGTAAGTCAAGGAATATATGACATGACCATAGTCTGCTAACACGAAGCAGCACAGCAGACTGGTGGGGTCGACGACGAAGCTTGAGTTTCGGCGTCGTGGTGTTCATCATGGGTAACGTCATTCAGATTACCGCCATGAACAGCTGGATCCACATGATGATGGGCCGCTTTGTCGCCGGTCTTGGCGTAGGTAACCTCTCTGTAGGCGTGCCAATGTTCCAATCAGAGTGCTCACCAAGAGAGATCCGAGGCGCCGTGGTGGCCTCGTACCAACTCATGATCACTATTGGAATCCTCATCTCGAATATCATCAACTATGGTGTGAGAAATATCCAAGACTCAGACGCTTCTTGGCGCATCGTCATCGGACTTGGCATCTGCTTCTCGATCCCACTTGGTCTTGGTGTCCTGTGTGTGCCTGAGTCTCCCCGCTGGCTAGCTGGCCGCCATGACTGGGAAGGTGCACGTATGGCGATGGCGCGACTTCGTGGCATGAAGGACGACCCTCGCAACGAACTTGTGGAGTACGATCTCAAGGAGATGTACGCGGTCATCGAGAAGGAGGCCTCAGCCGGTAGCAGCTCTTGGTTGGAATGCTTTACCGGGCGGCCTTCAAACATTCCAAAGCTTCTTTACAGAACACTTTTGGGTATTTCGATCCAGTTCTTGCAGCAGTGGACTGGTGTCAACTACTTTTTCTACTACGGAGCAACTATCTTCGATTCCGCGGGAATCGAAGATCCTATCCAGACACAGCTCATTCTTGGCGCTGTCAATGTTGCCATGACCTTTTATGGGTTATACGTCGTCGAGAAATTCGGAAGACGGTGGCCGCTGTTCCTGGGCGCTTTGTGGCAGGCTATGTGGCTGCTCATCTTTGCCTCGGTAGGAACTGCCCTGCCGCCAAGTGAGAATCCCGCTTCAGGCATCGTCATGATTGTCTCCGCCTGCATGTTCATTGCTTCGTTTGCTGGGTATGTTGAAGAAACTACACGAAATTATGAGATATTACTAATATGTGTTTGAATAGAACATGGGGTCCAATGGCCTGGGTTGTCATCGGCGAGATCTTCCCACTGAGAACCCGTGCCAAGCAGGCTTCTCTGGCAACTGCTGGAAATTGGCTAGGCAATTGTACGTATATTGTCGTGAAAATGGTTTGCTCACACATACTAATGATATTATTCTAGTCATGATATCCTTCCTTACACCATTGGCAGACAGCGGTATCTCCTACGCCTACGGCTTCGTCTTCGTCGGGACGAACCTAGCAGCCGCATTGCTCGTCTGGTTCTTCCTGTACGAGTCCGTGTCCCTCAGCCTGGAGAACGTCGACATCATGTACAGCGCGCCGGACATCAAGCCGTGGTCATCGTCCAAGTGGATGCCAGTGGGCTATACCACGCGAAAGCAACGCGACGAAGGGCATTTTCGCAGACTGAGCAAAGGCGACCAGAGTGGATTAAGAGCTGCTGCCTCCAATCTGACCGATAGTGAAAAGGACCAAGGTGCGGGTGGCGACCTGGCCACAGAGTCCAGACGGGAGGTCGTTTGACATACAACTTAGAACGCAACAGCCCACGTGGCTTTTGGTGCCTGTACGCTGCTGCCGTTGAATACACTCCAGTGTATATAGGCATTATTGTATAAATTTTCAGATCAGCATTTGTAATCTTCTCGACTCTCTCGTAAGTGATACATAAAAGTTCGTGCGCCCTCGAAACGCATCGCACTCAGCTTTATGATAATAATATGATGTAAGTGGAGAACAGTTTGAGAGCTGCCGTGTATGCTTTAAGTCGTTGCGAGAAACCTGAACCACATACTCTATGACAAAATGCTATTTTGGCGATGACAGTATTGCAAAGAATTGGAGTCACCACGCGCAGCCTTGCTTCCACAAGTTGTATCAATATAGTGGGCTAAGGCGGCGACGCATGAGTGACGTCGAGTCAATACTACAATAGGGCTAGACGGCACTATATTACAACTTCGCATCCCTTCCTTTCCCTTTTGGCTGCCTCTGCGGCGGTGGTCCGATCTTGGCCAGCCACTCCTCGTCCATGGTGCTCTTCTCTAACAACCCCTTGCTCCGAACCCATTCTTCGTATCTAATCTGCTCCTGTCTATACCTTCCCATCTCCTTTCCGATCCACGCCGCAGCATGCTCGGCACACTCGCCTGGCACCTCCATCGGGAACAGGTGTCCCCTATTTTTCATCAACACTTCCGCTACCCTGCCCGCTTTCGCCCCTCCGCTGCCTCCTGCCCCTGTCCCGGTGGTTTCTAGGCGAATCTTTCGCTTTTCGGGCGTGCTGAGGTCTGAGGTCTCCCCCGCCACAAACAGTACGGACGGGCGCACCTCGGGGAGTTTGGCTAGAATTCCGGGCCCTTCGGAACGGTAGAAGGGGAAGGCCGCCCGTCCGTTGAAGTCCTCGTGCGCAGCAGGGTCAAAGTCGCGGACCCTCGACAGGTCAAGAGTGCCATCCTCGTTCGTGTAGTGGTACAACGGCCTGAAGAATGTGAAGAGCTCTTGGTGCTTGGTGGTGCGCAGCGTCACAGTGCCTGGGGCGGCGTCGGGAAACAGAGCCGTAGGAGCAGGTCGAATGCCGTGAGCAATCCAAGCTTCGAGCACACGAGGATCCCAGGACTTGTAGAATGGCGAGCGCCGGAACCCTTCAGCGGCTTCCTCGGCCGTTGACCAAGTGTCGCGCCTATATGCAGAGCCTTTGGCTGGTGAGATGCCTGGCCCGACGGACTTGAAGCCGAATTTGGTGATCGTTGCATCGTAAAGAACCAAGGTCGTGAACAGCCTCGGATGTAATAGTGATAGGTGTGTCAGACAGTTTGCACCGAAAGAGTGACCGACACCGACGAGAGGCTGCGGCATCTCTTTCCTGAACACGTTGGTCATGTGTAAGAGATCGCGACCATGATCACTCCACGACGGGTCATTACCAAGTGTGAGCTCGTTGGCTTCCCCGCTGTACCCTTGATTTGCCACGTCCGCAATCCAAATTCCCCTGATTCGAAAGCCATGGGACCTGGCTGCGACGTGTAGCTCCGTCCATAGCGGCTCATACAGTTCTTTCGGGAACCCATTCGCATGTGCGCCAATGATGGTTACGTCGCCAGGCTGTGGTGACGGATTGTCTTTGGGGATGTACTGTTTAACAGCCAAATACAGCGTGTCTTCTTGTGAGTTGGCTGTTGCGCGGGCGTATTCTCTCACATGTTGAGTAGGTATTAGGTGGTCCTTAATATGGAATGGAAACTCCATCTTGTAAGCGCCAAACCGGAGGTACGAATTGTTCTATGAGGTCCGCCCAATTCGTCTCACTCACTGATACCAGTGGATGCTGTGGACTCTCAGTCGACACCACTAGAGGCCTGTTGTGCGACGCAAGTTGGATAGAACAGTTTTGAGTTATCCTGGTCTATATATCAGATACCAGATTAAATCAATTTGAATACCTGCGTTGTGATTGGTGATTGCAATCACACTCGTATTCTAGGCTCCGCTGGTGAATCGAAGAGGTAATCCTGAGTACGGCTGTTGAGATTGCGGCAAACAGTAGTGGCTAAACTAGTATAGGGCAACGTGCGCTTTTCTACGAGTTTCGCAACTGAACGAATTGTTCGCCGCGGTAATTCGACCTTGGGTGAAAATCGAACTCGGGAATAAAAAGTCCTACATTGAGCTATGGGTATAGTGGTGAATATTGACAGTCAAGTGGTCAACTTTATGGTACAGAATACAGGGTGGAATGGAAACCGTAAAAAACAGCCGACCAGGGGGTTGCGCGGGACATAACGAGCCTCGGCAAGATAAAATCCGGGCTCGAGGTACGATTGGTCGGATTGCCCCAAGCCACAGGGCATGTTTTGACCCGTCGGCAGTCATTACAATTGCTGCGATCAGCGCTTGGGCAAGCCTTCTAGCGCGTCCGTTCCCACGAGATATTGAACTTTCTAGGTCGAGTATATGCAAGCCATATTTAAGAGCTCAACAAGTAGACTAGTTGGAAGTGATTGGGCTTCCTCGAAGATGATAGGCTGTCATGGCATATGAGCAGGAGTTTAGCAATAACTTCACCTTTTGTATAGGCTTCAATTTTGAGCTAAAATCACTAATGATGCCTGCCGTAACCATGTGCCAAAAGTCACATGAATATTCATGAAACACAGCAGGAATATATCAAATTGACCTTTCTATCTACGGGAAATTACATAAGCAATGCTTGCCCGAACCCAGGGTGTGGATGAATAGAGGAAACAAAGCGATTGTCGAGTGCCTTTCAGTCTGCATGCTATCCGGGAATCATGTGAAACTGCAAATATCCCGACGCCAGAACAACCATCCATGCAGATGCTAGAGCCCTTTTGTTCATTCTCTTATATCCCTTTCATGACAAATCATTATTATTGTGGTTCGTATTCGCGTCCACGTGCCAAAAGACGACTTCTTTGCGCTGAGCTGCGAGCGAGTCTGACGCCACGCAGAGAGCCTTGTCAAAGTATGAGCTTGGGCACATTTTTCTTCTTAAATTCATCGCTATAACCGCTGCCGTAGAGACGGTTCCAGAACTGCTTTTCGGTAAACACGCTTCAGGATAGGTGGAAGGCACCTTGTCCTTCACGAATTGCAGTGAATAGCTGCTTTCTCATCTTTTCAATGCTTGTATAATCCGGCAGCTTGAGATAGTTCACACAAGTCATGACACTTGGCAAGTAATCATCAGCTGTGTAAGGTGGTTCGCTGGGTTTGCAAACCACAGTAAACATAGGAGTAAGACTCTTGAAGCCTGCGACATGTTAGATTTTTTTGAATTACTCGTCTCGGTGATGTGTACCACTTACCTCCAATTGGTAGTTTGGGGCTACCGGTTGTGAATTGCAAGAAATCACGGCGCTGACCCGGGGTCATCTCACTCATCGTCTGGAGCAGATTCTTCACACTTCTGCTATCCATATTGAATCCGTGGTCAGCTTTGATGGAATCCATCAGAGCTAGCGAGATAGTCAGCACAAAAGTAGCGCGGCAAGTAGATAGAAATAGTGACTTACTTTCCAAGGTCCAGTCTTCCTCAATACGACCAAACAACGACACGAGCTCATTGGGTGTAAAAGCACTAAGAGCGGTGTAAGGGAAGACTTGGGAGAAGCCTGCGCGGAAGGCATCAATTTGGCGCTTGACACCACTGCCCAAGGTCATGTCGATGACTTTATCTAGATACGACTCCACATTATAGATTGTGACAGGTGTGTGAGCGCCTCCTGATACAAGCTCAACATCAGGAAATCCGGGAAGAGTAAAGTCAAGGGCAAGGTCTTCGATAGTAATGCCATCAACCACGAGCTGATCGGTATCTGCGACTTTCTGCGCAGGAGTCCGGTTTGGATCCTCGTCAATGGCTTGCTTCGCTGTGGCAAACTTCTTGATGTGTTTCAGGGAGTTGGCAAGGCCGCGGTCGACGACCTTGGCTGCACCAAGTGAAGGTTTGACCGCAGGCCCTTCATCGCCAACTCGGAAGAAAATGGGGTTGAAATTTAGATCGATGATTCGAGAGTCGATCATGGACCGAGCAACAAACTTGCCAAGCATCTTAAATAAGAACAGTACACGCTCCACGTTCGCAGCATTGTCAGCAGCAAGAGGCCGTGGGAATAAACCATGTGGGCCAGAGATGAATTCGTCCGAGTCATTTGAGTCCACTTCTCGCCACAACTTGAGCTTCTTCTTGGAGAACTCTTTCGAAACGTTGGAGTAGAACTCCAATGTAGGGCCAAGACCAGTACCAACTTCTTCGAAATACTCGACCTCAAGTATGCTGCGAGACTCTCCGTACAGTTCCATAACTTTGAGTGCAGACTCCAAAATTTTGGAACGTGAGATGCGCACTTTCTGACGCTGCAGGCGTCCGAGGAAAGGTCGTTCATCCCGTCGGTCGCGACGATTGGTGTCTTCCTGTTGAGCATTCTGCCATCGAGTCATAGATCGGGCATAGCCAAATGACGTGGACTGGAGGAAAAGATGCCGAGTCTCGAATGGGAAAATGAATGGGTAGAGGCGGGCGAGATCTTCGCTCCATCCTGGCAAACAGTTGCTTGCTACAATCAAAGGCTCTTCTAGCTGCCGGTTGAGCTTCGCGGTCAGCTTGGTATTGACGAATTGTGAAAGGGGCTCACGATTGAGCTTGAGGGCATCCTTGTTTTCCACAACGATATCATCGAGGTTAGCATTCAGATCATGTAAAATCTTCAAAAGACGAAGGATCGACCCTGTAGTGGGATGTTTTGCCAGCGATGCTGGTGCACCATCTGCACTAACGGCTGCATCGGAAGCACCGTTGAACCCAATGGATTCAGTGGGTGGCGGTCCAGGCACCCTTCTGAACTTGATGGAATGAACTGCTGACCATATGCTTCGAGTAAGGTGCTCATCAGCATTGGCTGATGCGCTATGTACGGCCCTGTAGATTGTGGTTTCGTTCGGAATAACTTTACCATCAAGGCTGAACTCGATGTGCCAGTCTTGTGGGACAGACTGGACTGCCGCTGCATACGAGAAAGGTCGCGAGGACGGGGCCGCGGGGGTGGGAGTAGCCTGGGCGGTTGCAGGAGCTGCCTGCATAGTATTGCGGCTTGGGGGATTCCCAGGGCCACCACTTTGAGCCGGAGTCAGAACTCGTGTGCCATCTTCCTTTCTAGCGGTTACTTTCCCACTGGTGGCAACTTCAAGGTTAACCGCAGAGGGGTCAGGCCGAGGTTCGTCGTCGTCGTCTTCCATGTCATCATCCAGGTCCCCGATCAATGCCTCTAAAGCACTGCTGTCTGGAATGTCGTCATCATCGTCAGACATCGGCTTTTCATCTGCACACTCCAAGGCGTTCTGCAGGTCGTCATCATCATCAGGCGGGGGAGGGCGGGCCGGCGATTCGGCAGAAGCGGCAGGATTCCGACGAGTTGATCTACGAAGGCTGCCCTGATTGGGCGTGGCAGGGGTTTCCGCTTCAGTCATTCCTTGAGCCTTGGATTTGCGAGCAGGTCGTGAGCTTGAAGCTTGAGGGGGGACAGGAGGTGGTGGTACAGGAGTTGACGAGTAACCAGCACGATCCATAAGACGACCCGGGGGTACTCCTGTCATCTCCGCCAAGGCTCTCGCAAAGTCACGAGGCCCACGGCGAGGTCTCTCGTGCAAACTAATTCTAGGCCTGAGATAGTCGTCCAAAGCCTTGAAAGTTGCAATGGCATGGATTGATACCATGATGCCACGATACTCGCGCGGAATATCTGAGCTCTCATCTGCCACAAGCTTGAGACGAATCTGTTTGGCCAACATAGAAGCAGCACTGCTCCGGTTACCGTCAAAAGTGTTCTGATGGACGGTCAAGACCTCAAAGTGCTCGGATCGGCTGAGAAGGTCCTGAAGCTTATGGGCCATAATACTGAATGGGGTGGCGGGTGAGTCTGCACTCGCGATCCTGGGCTTAGACTTGACCGATCGACCCATGAAAACTTCAAGAAATGCGGCTCTAGCGGTATTGGCAAGTGCTTCATCGGGGTTGCTAAAAACTTCTTCCAGCACGCGGACAAGGCCAGACGCCATAAGCTCGGCGCTGGTAACGTTTTCTAGAACGTCCGCATCGAAATAAGAGGCTAGTGTCTCAAAAAGAGCAACGCCCTCCTTGGGACCAAGGTTCTTAGCAGTTCTGTGCAAGTAGAAGGCCTCGATGTCTGCCGCAAGTGCCTGGAGGTCGCTGAGGATTTTGGTGGCCTTCTTTTTCATCGTCTTGCCATGTTTCTCGGTCTCATGTGCTTCCAAAAATTTCTTGGCAACTTCGGATATTCTTGACTTCATCGACGGAATGTCAGCAACAAAAAGCCGAGGAGGTCCGTCGATTGACATGGTTGAACCGTCAGAACTGACAGGGGAGCCTGAAATATCGTCATTGTGCTCATTCTCGTCATTATCATCATCATCTTCTTCATCCTCGTCATCGTTCTCTTCGTCGTCATGATCTGCTTCATGATCTTCTTCGTGGTCTCCTTCTCCATCTCCATCTCCAGCATCATCCTCATCTCCGGAATCATTGTGGATCTCAACTCTATCGCCCTCACCATCGACAGAATCCAAAGCAGGGTCTGGCGAGGTCTGTGGTGTTTCAGTAGTCTTTGGCGCAGAGTCTTGACTTTCAGCAAGCTTAGAAATCTCCGTAATGACACCTTCACGGTAGATCTGATACCGGTAGATGTCGTCCAGACGCGCAAGAAGCAGCTCGGTAGTTTGAATAGCAGAGAGCACTAGAGATGGATGATCCTGCTGTGACAGTATGGCAGCCAAGAATGAGGCATAGGGTACTGATTTTAAGGCATCGACGAGGATATCCTTGTCCAAGTTTGAAAGCATCTTGAGCTGTGCCGTCAATACCTTTTGCCGAACATTAAGATTGACGGTGCTTGAGAAAGCATCGGTCAAGGTCGGAAATAGAATCAGTGCAAAGCGTCGAACTTGGTCCTTACAGCCTTCAAGCAACTCGAGGCGCTTTTCCGATGACGACTTCTTCCGCGAACCACCCACCGAAGATGGAGTGGTCGGTTCCGCAACATCATGTCCGCTTGGCAGTCCAGAACCTGACAGCTCGTTCCACTTCAATCCCGGAAGTAGTTCGCAGACAACATTAAGAGTCTCGATTATCTGCTCCCGTGGTCGGTGTATTAGAGCCTGCATAATGACCACGCTGTCAAGCTTCGAAGCAACGTCCTCAGTCTCGTCAGGAGGTGACACACCAGTCAAAATCTGGTATAAAGTCTCCACCACGTTCAGCTTGAACAGCTCGGCTGAGAGTCGTGGACTGGCCCGGGCAGTAATGGCCAGGACTCTCAGGAACTGTGTGTGGATATTTGCTGATATGAGATTGGTGGTGCCTGGTACCAAAAGACGCAGTATTGCCCTGAGCAAATCGACACTGACGAGTTCCTCCAGCTTGGACGACTGGTACTTGAAGCTCTCAATTATCCGTGTTACGCAGAGAGAAGCTTGCTCGACAACCCTTTGATCACTGCTTCCAAGGACATTCAGCAGGATTGGCATAACGTCCTTGATGACTGGAAACGAGTCCTCGGGTATGTTTCTACAACAGTTGGCTGCAGTGGTGACAGCCGTTCGCTGGGTACTGGTAGCGAAGAAGTCAAGATAGGACAAACAGGCAGTCAAGCCGCCTTCTCGAACAATGCTAGTAGGATAATCGACTGATATCTTCTCGAGGGTGCTCAAAGATTGCTCGGCAAGGTCGATGTATTGTATTTCAAGCAGTTTTGCACACAGAACAGGGACTGCTCCACCGTAGACAACATTGGCAGCGCTTGCGGGCAGTGCCTCCATCAGATTGGCGAGACATCGGCAGGCGAGAAGCATCATGTCGGGGTTCTCCTCTCCGGTAAATTCGTTGGGCTGCATGAGTGCCACGAGTTCTTTGACGAAAGCATCGGGCGAAAAGTGTCCGGCAAGATTGTCCTCATTCGCCATGAGCAAAATTTCAGAGAGGTCTGACAGAGCGATCATCTGCATTGACGGTTCCTCCTTCATCCGCAAGTTGTCCAGAATCCCTCGTAGCCTAGAGCCCATACCAGACATCATGCCAGTCAGAGCCCGAAGCGTCTCCGAGATACTAGAGCCGCCTTGCGATCTGAATCCACCGAAGGGATCGTCGTCGTAGTTTCGGTGCTGTTCGTCATCGTCGTCTTCCTCGTCATCATCCTCGTCGTGGTCGTCACTATCATCGTCCGGATCGTGCGCTGGTGGAGGCGGGGCGGGTGGCTCCGAGTCTCTTTCGTTCTCATCTGTGCCAGTCATGGAGACATCTTGACTTGGTGATGCCTGGGTATTCGACACCTTTTTCGATCGTCGACCTGATGCTGAGGTAGATGCGGACTCTGTCGACGCTGGGGTTAGTATTATTGGTGATTTGGCAGAGCTCAACGGGTTCAGGACTTACCTTGAGCTGACTGGTTACCTCTCTTGTTGCGGCTAGATTTTCTGCTAGAAGATGCAGAGGCTGAACCAGAAGGAGTCTTGTCCTGCAATGCAGGGGACAGTGGGGAACTATGGTGACTATTATTAGCACAACGGTCTTTTGACTACGCACACCTGAACAAAACGTACTCTTCAGGACTTGACATATCGGTGGCTGTCTTTTCCTTCTTCTTGCGTGTGGATGCTCGTGTAGCTGCAGGTTGAGGTTGAGGTTGAGCTGCAGGTGTGGCTAACTCCTGAACCTTCTGCCTCTTGGGCCGACGGGTAGAGGAAGCCGGCTGCTCGGGCTGGGTCGGTTGCGACGGACTAGTCTCACTGTTACGAGACTTTCTCTTCCTAGAGGGACCTTGAGTGGCAGTGGAGCGGGGAGTCGTCGTCGTCGTCGTCGTTGTTGCCTGAGCCGATGAAGCTGTGGGCGAGGGGTTTCCGGATGGTACACCAGATGATGGTCCGGCTGGTGAGGCAGCTTGACTCGCAGCGTAGCGGGCCGAAGAACGTGTGCGTCTGGGAGACATGAGTAGATATTCAGTGTGACTTGCGAAGCATTCAAAGAGCTGGAGAGAATGTCGCCAGTCGAACTAGATGGCGTCGGAAGAATGCAGAAAGATTGGCAACAGGCACGCAAGGATGCAGTTGATGCAAGGCGTGTTTGTCTGCCTGGGGGACCCCGTCTGTTGGCCGACTACCCGGTGGGCAGAAGTCAACGAGGAATGCAGAATTTCCAACTCTCGATGTGTGTGATGTGCGTGGCTCACACCTTCCGCTTGGCTTGCCGTGAGTGTGGAAGGCTGGAGCTGGTGAGCAGCTTTGAACACCCCACGTCTCGTGACGACAAAGCAAAGCCGGGGACCATGGATCTAGCAGTCACCAATGACTTTCGAGACTTGAGAAATGTATGCAGCAGAGTACAAAAGACCAATGGAATGGAGCTTAAAGAAAAGCAAGATCAAAGTTGAGCTTGGATCACTCTTTGCTCTATCTTTTATCTTCGCTTCTTTTCTTCTTCGGCTTCTTCTGCTTCTTCTTCTTCTTCTGCTTCTTCCTCTTCTTCTTTCTTTCTTCAGTCGTTGATGCAGTACTTGGTGGACTGGGCTAGGTGCTGGACCAAACTGTCGGAACTGCCTAGAGAGTGGTTGTCTGCGGTGATGGATGGATGAAGGGGGTTGATGGGGGGAAGGGGACTGCTCGAGTGATTGGTCTCGTGGTGTGGTTTGGTGATACCAAGAGATACGTTGGATATTGCAGAAGCAGAGGAAATTTATGCAAGGACACTATCGAATATGGAAATATGCAGTTTTACCGTACCTGGGCGATAGGGATGAAGCCGGTGGCGAGACAGAGGCAGGGGCGACTGACGGCAGGTTGGGCGGTTTCGATTTGGACCGTGACCTTGCGGAAGGAAGTCGCGATGCAGTATCGTTATCGGCTAACGATCTTGCAGGTGGTCGCGAGTTCGCAGTGGGACTTCTCGATGCCATTAGTTACGCCATCCAGGCCGCTGAGCTTGTCTCTTCGTGTTCGAATTCCCTCTTATCGCGCTTGCTCTGCTCTGGTCTGCTCAATGACCCTCGCACATGGGTGAGGTCGAGCAATCGGTCAACAATCGGACGAAAGCGGTGGGTGTTACAAGACTCGAGTCCGTAGTCTATTCGGTGCGCCAAAAGCGATTAGATGTACACGGTTTCTTGATGCAGGCTGATAATATAAGCCCAAGCCGTGGCGCTGTTGGTCCTCACAACTTTGCAGTGTCACAAGCAGTTCCTAGAGTGGTGAGCAAACCGAAGTACGTTTGAGTTCGGTGTTGCGCTTTCCATTGCACGGAGCCCAGCCCAGCGCATCAGTCAGCCCGTAAGTGGGCTGAACTGTCCCCCCAACCTTAGCCTGATGAGGGGCTGCCTAGGTTAGGTACAATCTGACGGGGGTTCACATACAAACTATACTTCCGCTACAAGGATCCAGAGAGTTTCGTCATCCCACTACCAGCACAGGTAATCCACGCGGCTCTTCACGGCCTTGCCCAAAATCAACTTAGAGCTTCCACCAACCTTAAACTCTCTTAATTAATATCCGTGAGTGGAATATAGGCCATTTATCATAGACTACCCGAGCACGAAATAAGGTCTTGGCAGCATGATATTCTCTCACTCAGAAACCCATTACGTTAATCAGCTCTAATTGGTCGCATGGCACAAAATGCAACAACTCCACCCATTCGGCAGTGTGTTTGTGCGGAGCAGGAGGACAACATCTTCCGCAGTTACATAGAATATGATCTAGTCTAGACCAAAAATACAGTATCCCAAATGCCAAGACCTGAAACCAACCTTTGACCTCTTCGTATCTTATTGGGTTGGCAATGCAAGTGGAGCACGAAACTATACATAGTAGAATATAAGCAGCAGTGCCCAGGTGCCTAACGACTTGTGCATCGAGCTGCGACAAATCTACACGTTTAATATTGCTTCAAGCTCTCTTGATATAACCACGCCCAAAGGATCACTAAGAAAGTGATTCAAAGTCTTGGTCGCCGGAATAGACCCTCACTAAGGCTACCCTGCCCTGGACTATTCCGTCTCGACAGCTCTCAAGTTTGCATGAGTGCCGCGTACAATGGTAAGAGGAGCGAAGAAAGAGTCGTTCCAAAATGCAGCCCAAATAGACAGACTAGTCAACTTTGGGATGTATTGGAGGATTCGTGAACTGGTCAGACTTGAACTACTAACAAGATGAAAAGGAGAATAAGGAGATATATGTAATGTCGCACCTATAAACTTCAAGGATGTAGTGCATAGAAAGGGCCGAGCGTAGGTTGACTATGACCTCTCACATCATGCAGCATACAGCAGCAGGCCGAATGATCTTACCAGGTTCACAAATAAGATGGCCCCGGGCTTGTGTTTTCAACAGATGCGAGCTTGGTATTTTGCATCATGAGCCGAGCAAATCTTCAACGAACGTGTGATAGACAATAATCGACATGAGATAAGATATCTAGACGAGGGAATGTCCTAGCTTGGTGTGAGCCAAACGTCCTCCTCCAGCCTATACTGACCGGTAAATTAAATCAGATTCACAGTCGCGATCACAAATGATGGCCTAGTCTAATAGGATTGCAGGTTCCCAGATACCCTGGACCTATGCTATATGTCCCTCGATTGCACAGCCTGCATCCGAGGCGCAAAGGTCGAAAATGATATTAGGATGGGAAACTATGAGGCTGTTGTTAGGCTAAACGTCGAATGGGATGATGTGTAGTGCTATCGGGAAACATATTATTGTTCAAATTGACGAACTGAACTGATAGGTCCTTGTTCAACAAATCCACTGACCACTCTAGGGTATATTAGCTTCGCTGGGGCATACTCTCGTCCCGCTACACCGAGGAACTGACGATAGCTGTTTTTAGAGCTTTGGCGGGTCTGTAGACGTCAAACCGAGAGTTGCCTAAACTGTCAAAGGGACCTCGATAGCATTTTGGGCTCGGCGCCTAGTTTCGCTAGGGCAAAGAACAAGTGACAAATCTCTGAAACTGAGAGCACTCGATTGTTACTAGAAAGTGCAATAACACAAAGACCCACGATACTGCGGAGGAAAAGTATTAACAAGCACTCGAACCATCACTCGAAAGATGGGACTTGACCATACCCGATATCAAAACTAGAAACATGGGTGTATCTAAGTGGTGAGCGTTGCAACGTAGGGGAGGTCGGTATGATTAAGAATATTCTCCTTCTATTAGGTTCAACTGAAAGGAATTTATGCCCAACGGCATGTCGAAGGAGAAAATTAGAGCGCTGGTGTTATCACTGATTAGCTGAAGCTTTCCCTGCCAATCTAGTGCGCTGGAGATGTAGCCTAAGTTTTCCAAAGTACTTGAAGTCAGTGTAACGCAAGGACGGAAGCGTGTTGAGTCGATCTTATTAAACTAGGTGTTGTCGAATTGTTGTGCTGACTGAGAGAATATTACGCAGTGAGGATGTGGTGGATTAAGACGAGGTGCCGGGTACAGCGAAGTAATCTTCATTCAAAGAGGTGGTCTTGGGAAGAATACTGGATGAAGTCGATGTGACCTGAGTTGAATGATATTCTTCTCGGGTGCGATTTCACGTTAATTTTATCCTAAGAGCGTTGGCATCTTAGGTATTGGTGGTTGTAGCAAAACCGCCATCTAGATCGACATGATAAGGAAGTGAGGGCTGTGAGATGTATACATTACAAAAGCATTTCTTATGAACCAAGTTTTCTTTTTTCTTTTTCACCCTCTTCTTTTATTCCCTTCAAAAACAGTTCCAAATCATAGAATGTGGCCATCACTAAACAATGCAGAAATGAGCGCCAAGGCGGTTGTAAAGATTTTGAGAAACTTAATGGTAGGCAGGCAAGTTAGAGCGCTTTAGTTAGTAAAAAAATTCCAGAGAACCTTGCTGCAACGGTAAAGAAATACTACCTATAATGATAGCCAGCCAGTAACATTCAACTTGTATTTTTGCTACTGCCGCCATTCTACAGTGTAGCTTAAGCTGGTAGACTTTGCAACATGTGGACTTTACAGAATGAGTAACTTTGTCTATAGATCATTTATTAAAGCTCATTGGTAAAGCTGATATCTTCACAGTAATACAAGTCGTAGCTTGAAGAGTGTAGATAGAACGAGGCACCTCAAATGTGGAATTAATTGTTGGCAATTAATATGAATGAATATTCACCTACGGAGTTGAGCAGGAGTCAATTCTATTAACAACAGCAGCAATATACTTTCTTAGCATGAGTAGACAGGGAAATGGGTCGGGGATGGATACAGACGAAAGCTTAATGCATGTCTAATGCTATAGAATAATGTGACAGACATAAAAGTCGGATGGTGGCACACAGCCTGTGTCGACTAGCAAATCGAAGGTGAGACTATCTTCTCCGATTTTCCCTACTTCATGCTATTTTCGGGGCCAGATGAATCTCCTGAGTATAAGTTAACATCGAAATCGACACACTTCTTTAATCCTTCTCGAATGCTAATTATGCTGCGCTATGCTAATTTCGTTACGGTTCCCATGAATCATTAGTTATGTCTTTTAGATACATGATTTTCCAAAGCAGCAATGGTATTACGGGGTTCGTCAGCCCTTCACACAGGTTCGAGCTTATTGTACTAAATCAGAACAGGTTGACACCACCCAGTAGAGACGTTCGCGGCTCTATCTTGAAATCCTCAAATGCATCCGTCCTACCTATCTAAGATCGTAAGTGAGCTAAAGACCAGGTGCTTTGCCTATATATAGGAACTTCACTAGAACAAAATTCCCGGCGAGGTGAGCCGGCTGTATATCAAGCCAGGGAAGCGTTTGGTGCCAGTCTTCCTAGAGGCGTCCTGTCTCGCGGCTTTTCAATCAAATCTGCATAACCTTCAAGCCCAGTTCCAATAACTGTGACAATTTCAAATATGTGATTGCCTTTAAAAGTCTCTGCCCATACTCTGATGACAGCAGCCGCAAGTTGACGAAGTCTTGTGCTGTCGTGAATGGTTATGTCCATGATTGACGGATGTCCTTGGCCACCTGAGAGAGATGGGTCGATTGGCACGGCGAATTCAGTTTCATCAAGCATTCTTCGCAGCATTTCGAGAAGGTTTCGTTCATCCGGAGATGCAGGAGGGTCGCTTGGGCCAATAGAAGCAAGCGTCATCAACCACTTGGAGAGCAAGATGGCACATTCTAGATTACACACTGCGATATCGTTAGCATATGCGGGCAGTATCAGGGCCGACCAAGACATACACGAATGCTGCATGCTCCATTCAGCGGACTTCCTTCTCGCCACGTAGTTAACACCTAATTTTACGAGCATCGACAGCGCATGAATGGCCTGCAATATTGCCTTATTCAGTCGTGCGCTTCTAATCAAGTATGGTGCGTCCCCAAAGGCAACCGCGATCTGGCTTGCGTTCCTTGTTTCCAGAGTTCTACTAGGACTCAAGTCGGTGAACAAACGTATAGAAGCTAATCGTAATAATGCGGTGGAGTCATATGCAACAGGCCCGCCAGGAAAAGAGTCGCTCGCAAGTTGCTGACCGTTTTCAGATACACGGGCTTGATGTTGCTCGAAGCTCATTTGCCAGATCCTCAAGGCCTGCAGAACATCTTCGACATCGTCAGGTCTTAAGCCTCTCGGGACCTCATAAGGCGCTGACGTGAAGCATGTCTGCTTGAGGAAGAACACATGCTGCAAAATAGCATGGATTAGACCATAGTTTCCAAGAGACGACATGTAAGCAGGAGGTCCCTGTGGTGGTCGGCTGAAGAGCCTTGAGAAAGCGTCTTGGAAGGATATGTCCATGCTAGGGTAGGTATGACGAGCTTCTTGCCATTGCCAGGCGGTCTCAGCCCGCCATAGCTTCGAAGAATGAGGCAGGCATACATTGAGCTCTGATGTAAGTAGTAGTGGCGGCATGTTGTAAGCTATACTGCAGAGATTGAAAAGGCAGTACGTGATGAGTTTTGTGCGGTTCATCCCTTCGATACGTATCCATGCTTCCCAGTCGGCAGTTTGAGTTGATTCGGATAGGAGACCCTCTTCGCGTACAAGCATGGCCAGAAGACTCTGTAATGATAGTGCCTCATGTAATATAGCTTTGGCACCCCACAAGCCAACTGTGAAGAGTAGTAGCAACGCTTGTATTGTTTCTAGACGAGCTTGGGGTGTGTTTGGTGAACTGCTGAATAGTTAGTTTCAACTATCCGATATCCATGCAGACTAGGTAAAGTGACAAGATCTTACTATGGCTCCCGGTGTGTTTCCTGGGTCATTGGCCTGTCTTGTTGCATTGAGCTGAAAGAATGGCGGAATCCGTGGCTTGGTGATGGTCGAGTTGAGTGAGGACTATACGCTGCGGCGGTTGGCAGTAGTCCGTGGACTTCATGGCTATTACGACGTCGTATCTGCTCCAATGCTACAGCTTTCGCGGCATACCACAAGGCATTGCTTCGGTGGCTCTCGAATCTGTGTTGGGCACCGACTGCTAGAATCGCCAATAATAGTTCAGGGGAAAGTTCTGCAGGCGTAAGGGTAGGAAGGTGGAGTATAGGGAGGTGTTCATGAAATCCGCCTACATAGCCCTCGAGAAATCTCGTAAGAGTGTGGCGAGAAGGAAATACGAAATCGTTTGGTAAAACCGACGAGAATTCATCCAACCGGTTTTTGATCACGGTGTGATCCATAGCGGACACTCGTAGGGGGAGCGTCCTGTTGGAGTCATCGTGTGCCCTGCCACCACCATCGGACGGATCTCTGTGATCAGGCTGTACAGACGGGAAGCGAGACGGGAACTGAGACGCAGGTTTGGAAAGACCGCCCCTCTGCATACTTGGCCAGATCCCAAGACTTTGGTCGACTTCAAATGCTTGCGGCAGGAAATGTGAAGTTGAAGCAAAGTCGTCTAGGAAGAGATTATAGTCGTCAAATACCGGTGGTAATGCTTGACCGGGAAATCCCATTGTCATGGCATTCGCTTCTTGTTCCCTACTTCTGTCATATGTCATACCATCTTCGTATGGCTTCATGCGAGCCAGCCCTCCGGGTTGTTGACCAAGATCAGCCATCATGGGCTGGATCGAATTCACTTCGTTTGCCGATGCGATCTGCGTGGCAGCATCAGATAACAAATCAAGGTTGCAAGCTGCAGCTCTGGCGGGCATGATGCGTGGGTCTGGTGCCAGTGTATGCGCTGGAATGGGGTTGATAGGTTCTGCATTATAGTGTTGTTGTTGTTGTTGTTGTTGTTGCTGTTGCTGTTGCTGGTGTTGTTGTGCACGAGGCATGCCTAACATCTCGGTATCGCCATGATGACTTTCGGGCGAGATCTGCTGGATGGGCCCAGCGGTCGACGGCTTCCGCGGCCGACTGTTGTCCTTATTCGAACCTTCATTGAGATGAACGAGTTTCTCGTGTCGGACAAGAAGATCTCTGATGTCCATATAAGCATATTCACTTGTGAACAAGATGGTTGTTGTTTGGGCCACCAAGTAAGGCGGATAGATGGGGAGATGCTTAGAGATCAACGTGGTTTAGAGGGGAAAGTGGATTTGTGAGCAAAGAATCCGAGTGGAGGAGAGTGATGTCTTGGGCTTGGGGGAACCCAAACTTGAAATTTTGTTGGAGGATATAAAGAGTATAACTAACCTGCGCCCAAACGTCTTTCCGCAACGTGCCCAGCCGCAAGCAAATGGCTTTTCTTTAGTATGGGTCCGTTCATGCCGTTGGACATGCTCAACGCGCCTGGCGGAATAATTATCTATGTAAGCGAGATGGTCGACAGAATGGAACATAGGGGCCGTCGTATCTCTTGTTTTCTTACCTGAACCGCTTACTGCAGTACTTGCATGGTAGCGTCTTAGGCTTCTGCTGCTTGCCCTCCACGTTCTCGTCCACACCTGGCATACCCGCGCCCTCTATGGACTGAATTGACTGCATGGTCGAGGTGATAAGTGAAAGTTTCTGAAATATGGATAATCCCCGTATGGACTATGGATGTATTGTAGACGAGGAGGTCACGCAGGGCGAAAAGTGGGGGATTGAGTGACAATGGGGCCAAGTAACCGTGAGTCGACCGGAAGAAGTAGTGACTTGCAGTGTGACGATTTGTGGATATTCACTATGTCAGTAGGTTTGGTATTGCACACTTCGGCATCTGAGCTTGTTGGCGTGCTGCCGTGTCTCCTGGCACACTGCCTTTTCTTATGATTGCGTGATGGCCAGGTCTCAGCGCTATACGATACCCAGCGATTGATGCCAGGTCATTAGATTGGACGCAAGGCTCCAAATTGGTAGACAGTTATCTCAAGCTTCTTCCATGGCTTCGTGGTGGCATATGTGTGTGTGTGTGTGTGTGCGAGGTGGAGAGGAGTTGGGGAAATGCCCGGCCAGAATGACGCGCGCGGAGAAGGACAGACGGTTTCTCACGCGACAACGGTAGTACGCTGCAGGCCAAGTGCGTTTTACCGCACCAGTGTACTGTAGAAGATAAGCACTGAGGGCTATGACGGGCCTAAGTCAATGGGAGTTACAAATGCTTGAACGAAGACGATGTACCACGATATTGGGGTTAGAAGTGAAGATCGTGAGGAGTAAGCTCGAGGGGCTGGGCTGGGAACGTCAATCTGGCGAGATTCCTGTGAGTGAACCAAGCTTGACAACCTTTGGGACTCTCACACGGCAAAGCAAGGCAAAGCAAAGCGAAGCGAAGCGTCTTACTGGGGCCCCCACATTGTTTCCCCGCGTCTGGGGAAGCCAAGCTAGACCTTTGACGGACAACGCTGGAGTCAAGCATGAAAGGCAATCCGTACTTGACTCCGCATCCCCAAACACTTCCAAGTGTGCACATGCCGGACATTCTGGCCAGTCCCGAACCCATCATTAACAAGTTTTAATCACTGGGCAGACCACTGTCCCCTGACGGATGGAACGTGTCAACGAGGGCTTGAGCAGCGAATGTGCCCATCGCACAGTGGGTTCGCGAGTGAAGAGAGCGTTCAGCGTCGGTCCAAAGCTAATCCCACCAAACACGATCACCAAATGGCGTTCTTTGCTGCCTACCATTATATTCCCGGACCCCAGTTCGTCTCGACAGCATGGAGACTAGATGGCACCTCCAGGGTAAATGTCCTGTTTTCCGGGGCTTGCACTGTATGTATGTAGCCAGGGCGGCCCCATGTCTTTTCTTTCTGCTGGGTAACATCACGGAAGGCCTCCTTCGCAGGTGCACGAGCAGGTTGGCGATGTGTTCAATGCCAGCTAGCCAGATACCTACAATGGCAATGATCTGCTTGGTCTTATCCTTGTAACACGGGAGAGCGACGAGTGATCAAAGAGTGGTGGGTTAGGGATTACAGGCGTAATATAGTGGGCCTTTGGAGATCCCGGCGTGCAAAGAAAGTGTCAATTTGCCTTACTGCCTCGGCGCAAAATGAGTCTCGAGCACGTCAGCCAACCAGCATGTTTGTTGAGCATCAGAGTAGGCCATATTTCGCGATCAGCGTTTTGTACTACTATACTAGTAAGATAAAACCGAAAAAGGAAAGATAGATTGCTACTGTGCAACATTGCAATTCAAGCGCCGCAACCGAAAATGGTAATATACATGGAGTTTAAAACGGCGGAGGTCATCTGTATGTGCTTCAAAGCAGACAATTTTCCGGGGGTTGGAGAAAAGGTTGGAGATAAATGCGGAGAAAGTAGCAACAACATGCCGGCAACTTACCAAGACTAAAGTACAGTTTGTCTGCAGTTCGTGTTGTGCATCACAGACACCGGGTTTCAGGAGGGAATTCCTCTTTGCAGTATTGGGGTGTCGCAAGACTTTTTCTTCTTCCAGCTGCGCGTGAGTGCTAAGTTCCGAAGTCCGCGGTTCAACGGTTGTTGACAGACATGTGCTGCTGATCATTGACAGCCATGGAGCAACCCACTTCGAGCTGAATGCATGACTGCAGGATTTTGCGCCTCTTCCATCATTTGTTTTCACAAAAGTGAGGCCAAGGATGCCTGTTCATGCGGAGCACCTCGTCTTTACCATGGAGGCACACTGAAGCTTTCCCATAAGTCCTTGTTCATCCCGTCGCAGTCGCAGTCGCAGTCGCGTCATCACTGTCCTGCGGTTAAAGTAAAGTTGATGAGTGCATGGTGTTCAAACAACCCCTGATGAAAAGAATTGGAGACAACTATATGCCCCCGCACCCCCTCCCCCCCTTATGGGTTCTGCAACAAGCCATAGCCCACGAGTTCGTCGTTCTGCAAAGCTCGAGCTGCCGTATGTTCTACCCAATATGTTGCGGTAGAACATGATCCGCCCATGAGAGAACACGCCAGATGGAGAATGGAGGGTATGGTTGGATTTAACCATGCCAAGAACTGTTGCGCAACAATGAACCAACTACTTGCCTCCGGGAGGCAAGTCACGAGCCACGATGGCAGCCAGTCCTGCGAACTAGGGGAGGCGGTCTGGGTGTCAAGCGGCGGCGGTAGTCATGAATATGCAGACGGGAACTAGAGTAGACATCTGACAACCAGGATGGCGAACATAGACGAATAAGCCACGACTCCTAACTCTCATGTGCTCACAATGCTTTTTTGCATAGCAAAAATATGCAAAACTAGGGGAGTGCAAGACTTGGTTCCAGAGTCATGCGATTGCATATGGAGGATCATCATTGGACCGCCAACTAAGACCAACAGAGACACAGTGATTTCAGAATGGACAAGTCAACTGCACTGTACTTGGACACTGTATTTTCCAACAACGTGGTTTTCCACGCTTCGGTCTCGGTTGCCGCGAACTCTCTTCCACGAGACACATCTCAGGGTCTCATGTCCACCACGCGAGTCAGGATTGATGACGATACTCCAGTATGCTCATGACATTGTATTGTGGCACAAGTCGCCGCTTCTCTATGCCACCACATTTGTTTCCCATCTAATGATTCTGATTCCGAGGCTGTGGTATGCGAGAGACACTGGCGTGTGTTTCCGAGTTTCTAGAAGCGTGTTTAAATCTTGAGAAGTCTGGTCAATTTGTAGCACTTGTATGGACTGTCTTAACATGTAACGCCCAGGCCAAACTTAGCGCCCAGGAACCGTCAAGACGCCAGTTGTCATCGAATTTTGGTCAGCCTACAGAATCAAACTCAACAGGAATCGGTACCCGGCTCTCAGACATCTTGTAACATATCGTAATTTCAATAATTACCTTCATGGGTCAATGAGGTTTCTAGAATCGCCAGTGCCCTCATTAGCAGGGATGAGGGTCGAACCCTTGGTCTGATCGAAGCCTGGATCGGGCCGATCTACATGTGCTGGTTTGTAGTCAACCAACGAATCATGTCTCTTCGTTCCAACCCCAGATTTCCTTCTCCAGCGGGAAAATTAGCTCCGCGTATCTGGTCGCACTGCTGACTTACATGACTTCGCAATGGCGCTGCTCAAGGCTGCATGTTTTCAGCGAGGAGACAATACAAAGCTTGTCACCAACCACGCTTGTATAGGCTGGGTTTCGGTATCCGGTCTTTCTTGACTCTTAGCATTCAGGAACGTTACACGCAGTCCCACACTCTCACCCAAGTCTGTGAACACATACCGCCTACACCCCCTTCTGTGGTCACATGCTTGCGGGGGTGGTCTCCATACTCAAGATCGTCAAGCACTATGCACGGTCCAGAATAGCATCTAGACCTAATGACCTCTCCAGGATTTCTTACGCGATGGGTTCTGGGGTCCCATGAACTCGTGGACTTATCCCATGGTTATGGTGACAGTCGGCCAAACAACCATGATAGAAATTCGCCCGAAGCTAACACTGCTTATTGGACCTCACAATCATCTTGGTTGATCTCCTTTCATAGCCGTAGTGGGTCCATTAGCTGTTTCGTTGCTCACGATGGGTTTACTAGCGAGGGCGGCGTACATGACAGAGCGCGGCGTCTCTTGACTAAGATGTATGTGTGGTGGCTTGCTTCTGCCCAAGAGTTATAAAACCTGGGCTCTCCGGTTTCAAACATGTATCTACTGTATTTGCCACGAACTTTCTGTATGCTTCTATTGCTTATCTATCCAAGATGCGTCCGACCACGTTTCTCGTGGCTTTATTCAGCCTCATCGTCAGTATACATGCCTACTGGCTTGGTGACATACAGCGTAAGTCCAGGTAGACCGGGAAGATTGACCGTACTTCATACTGATGTAGATGAACAGATCAGGGCGTTGCACCCTTTGCTGGCTCGGGCTATGCAGTATTCCGAAATGTGAAGGACTACGGCGCCAAAGGTACGTGAACATTCAATACTACATGTTTTTTCGCTGCATAAAAACTCGTGCCGGGCTGCATCAAAGTATTCCGGCCTAATAACATGTGCTAATTACTGTAACAGGTGATGGAGTCACAGATGATACTGCTGCTATCAATGCTGCCATCACCGCTGGCGGAAATCGATGTGGAAAAGGTTGCGTAAGTAATTTATTATACAATTCAAAAGTTTACACGCCCCCGCCTTGTCATCCATATCTAACATACCCAGGCTTCCACAACCCAAACCCCAGCCGTTGTCTACTTTCCTGCAGGAACTTACTTGATATCTTCTTCCATTATTCCGTACTACTTCACCCAGCTCATCGGAGATGCCAGCTCGCCTCCTACGTTGAAGGCCACAAGCGGCTTCTCGGGCTTTGGTCTGATCGACGGCAACCCCTACTGGTCCGAAAACCTCAACTGGGTCTCCGTGAACGTCTTTTACCGTCAAGTGCGGAATTTCGTCATCGACACGACTAACATCGCGGCCGGCACAGCAGCAACTGGTATGCATTGGCCTACCTCGCAAGCTACCAGCTTGCAAAACATTGTTTTCAATATGCCAACTGCTTCCGGCGTTGTACACGTTGGTCTATTCATTGAGAGTGGTATGCATCAGAGGATCCTTTCGTCATGTGCGTCGTTCTAAACTCGTTCAGGCTCAGGAGGTTTTATGAGTGATCTGACCTTCAATGGTGGTGCCACGGGAGCTTCTATGGGCAACCAACAATACACCATGAGAAACCTTGTCTTCAACAACTGTGGAACTGGTGAGTTGATAGCGTTGAAATGTCATATACTCAACTGACAGATTCATAGCCATAATCCAGCTATGGAACTGGGGTTGGACTTACATTAACCTGTCGATCAACAATTGTGGTAAAGGTATTGACATTTCGGCCGGCGGTTCTTCTGCTCAGAATGTCGGATCCATCACCGTCATCGATAGTACTTTTGTCAACACGCCCGTCGGTATCATTACAGCTTACACGTCGTCCTCACAGCCCGCTACCGCTGGTAGCATTGTGCTGGAGAACGTCATTCTCCAGAATGTACCCGTCGCAGTTCAAGGTCCTAGCGGCACTGTGCTCTCAGGTGGTACCGCAACCATCACGGCTTGGAGTGAGGGACACAGATATACTCCCAGTGGCCCGCAGAGCGCCCTAGGAGCCAGTATGTAGCAGTCCCAGATGATTGAACTTTTGTGTACTGACCGTCCTACAAGTCACACCCAACTCAAGACCATCAGCCCTTCTGGGTAGCAACGGCAGATACTATCAACGCTCAAAGCCCCAGTACGAAACCCTTGCAGCATCATCCTTTGTCAGCGTTCGTAGCGCTGGAGCCAGAGGTGACGCGTCTACAGATGATGTAAGAAGGCACATGTAAGATCCTTTCGTTGGTTCGGGCCTAATCTAACCCTTTTGTAAAGACCGCAGCTATCCAGTCCGCGATCAACAGCGCTGCCTCTGCTGGCAAGATCGTCTTCATCGACTTTGGTCTCTACCGTCTCACCTCACCTATTGTCATCCCACCTGGCTCCAAGATCGTAGGTGAGGGTTATCCAGTTCTGCTGGCCTCCGGCTCGTACTGGTCTGATATCAACACCCCTAAACCGGTGATCCAAATCGGGTCGACCTCAGGCCAATCCGGCGCTGTTGAGCTCTCGGACTTCATCGTTGGCACGCAGGGGTCTACTCCCGGCGCTGTGTTGATCGAGTTCAACCTCGCGTCCCCATCGGGCTCGCCCTCAGGCATGTGGGACGTACATACGCGCATCGGCGGGTTCGCGGGCTCGCAGCTTCAAGTGGCACAATGTCTCAAGAATCCCGGCTCCTCTGCCGTCGTGTCCTCTTGCATCGCGGCGTACATGAGCATGCACGTCACAGCCTCCGCATCGGGTCTGTATATGGAGAACACCTGGCTATGGACCGCGGACCATGACATCGAAGACGCCTCGAATACCCAAACCACCATCTACGCGGGTCGAGGTCTGTACATTGAGTCGCGCAACGGCCCTGTCTGGTTGGTGGGCACTGCGGTCGAACATCATGTCTTGTACAACTACCAGATCGCCAACAGCAAGAACATCTTTGCGTCTGAGTTGCAGACCGAGACGCCTTACTTCATGCCAACCCCGAATGCGCTGGTACCGTTCCCAGTTAACACGGCGCTAAGGGATCCAAACTTTAGTACGAGCTGCTCGGGTGTTTCTGGAAATTGTGCTGCATCCTGGGGGTTGAGGATCCTAGATTCGAGCGATGTCCTTGTTTACGGCGCGGGGCATTACAGTTTCTTCTCGTCGTATTCGACCAGTAAGTTCTCCTCCGTTTCTTTTCTTGCATCCTTGTTAGAGCTTAAATGGTGCTAACTGGTTGAAAATAGCTTGTTCAACTGTCGCGGCGGGCGAGAACTGTCAGTCACGAATTGTTTCCCTAGAGGGCTCCATTAGCAATGTGAATATCTACAATCTCAATACCATCGGCTCGCTGAGCATGATCAGCAGGGATGGTACGAGCTTGGCTAGCTGGGCAGATAACGTGAACACATTCGCGGCGAATATCGCAGTATTCAAGAGTGGTTGACAGGATGAGGGTAGACCAGAAAATCCAGATATTATAAGTGGAGACCGTGAATTATAGGGTGCCGAGCAGCGGAAGCATACTACATAACTACCCCCAAGTCGAATATATTAAAGTTGTAGAAAGCTTTTGCATGACAAAGAACGCGATGACTAGAAAATCCCAGTCGTTGGATGTATCGACAAGTGGCACCACTTATCTGCGCAATCTTATTGCTTTCCAGTGATTGCTGTGGCAACGAGCCTAGGAAAATTTTGCACATCAAGCATGGTGATTAGACCAGACATCGCAAGAGGCGGAATCTGGGTGTTCCTTCCTCACTGCGATCCGCAAGGGATCGCAAGCAACGAAAAACAAGATAAAAGACCATCAGACTTCCACCACTACCCACCCCGGCGACGCGCCACAAGGACGAACGAAGCTGATCGGGGTCGAGATCATCACCACTCTCTGTACAGTTCCGAAGAACCGCCACCCTTGCGGGCAGAGCGAGAGTAAACGGCAGCAGAAGCTACCATAGGATAGATATTCACTCTAGGGTAGCGGGGATATCGTTCATCAACTGGCGTAGGTTCTGCAGCTTGATTGAGAAATCAAGAGCAAAGGACGACTACTATAGAAATGATTCTCTGTGGAGGGAAAGGTCAGCATTTGCGCCGAAGACGGTAGCAGACTTGTGAAGTTTTGCTTCGCAAGTATGGGGGTGCTTACATGAAGTATTGTCGACATGAAGAAGAAAGGGAAAAAAATTTACGAGGGCAGCATCACTATACTTATAATCATATTGGTAGTGGGGCAATTCTGCCCTGCAAGTTTGCAAGTGCCGGGCGGTAGCTGTAGAAGCCTTTACCGCCTAAGAGCGCTAATATCAACTGGGCTGGCCACAAGCATGGACCACTAACTCCGCCGAAGCTTGCGCACTAGGCATTGGATCCGAGTCCTGTACCAAAGATTTTCCACCAGAAATACGGATCTATACATCTAAGGTTAGTGTAAATAAATAGTGTTATGAACCGAGCATATGATACTTCATGCGCAGATATGGTTGGGACTAATTTCAAGGTGATTTACAAGGTTGATGTCTACGATCAATTTTGAGGTGAATGCCGTATAATTCTTACCTTAATCGATTGTTCCATGATGAGTACGATACTAGCTGTTGCATCTCCTTTTACAACCTCCCTCTCTCGTTGACCAATCTTCTGGATTTTTCTCACAACGCAATTGTCTAACTTAAGCGGATCGTGAATGGGCCACTCGGTTCTGATTATCGTTGTGTGGTTTCTGTTAGTTAGTTGACTATAATCCGTACTTAGGTAAGGAGCTACGAAATTATTTTGTTTAACCAGTGATCTATGGTGAGGACTCCATACTAGCCAAGTCTTATCCTTGAACGCCATTTCGAAGTTGTCTCAAATTGGAAATTTATTGTTGGAACCTCCCGAAAGTGTCCCTTGATAGAGTTGTCACAGTCTGACGTAATGACTTGCCATTCACCATACAATGTAATCAAGAGTTATCGGCAGCTAAACGTTGCCCCACAGCACGCGACTATCACGACAATCAGATGATTCTCAATCTGTTAAAACCTTCATCGTCACGAATGGCACAGCATAGCACGAGGAGCCCGAAAGACGCAGTAACTTCCAAGATGGTAACTTCAAAGCTCCGTGACCAGCTGCACAAAGATGGCTTCGTGATAGTTCCCCGGATCCTCAGCCCGGCGCAGCTCTCCCATCTCCGCAACGCGGCTTCTCAAGCTACTGCCCGCGCACGTGAGGGCGGCTGGCCACACATCCGCACCGTGGGGAAGCAATTCCCACCATGGCCGTCTACACCGGGTCCCGAAGGCATCTGGGGCGTGCAAGGCCTGTTGAACCCGGATCTGCCAGAACACCAGGTCTTCACGGAGAACTACTTTAGTGATGGCATCCTGGACATCGCCAAGGAGCTTATGGAGTGCGGAGATGACGATTTGGTCATGGAGCTCTTCAATATGTTGGTGAGGCCCGAGAAGGATTTCGAGCTCAGGTGGCATCGTGATGATATCCCGGCCACTGCGACGCCGGGGGAGGAGATGCAAAGACTCGGAGAGCCAGAGTGGCATACGCAGTGGAATCTAGCATTGTACGACGACGACAGTCTGATAGCGGTACCTGGATCGCATGCGAGAGCGAGGACTGGCGAGGAAAGGGATGTAGGTCCGTTCGAGAAGGACATGCCGGGGCAAAAGGTCGTGCATCTGGACGCTGGAGATGTAGTTTTCTACAATAACAACATCCTGCACAGGGGCGTGTACGACTCGTCAAAGGAAAGGATGAGTCTTCACGGCTCTGTAGGCCATGCAGGCGGTAGCCAGCTGAGGGCAAGGAATGTTTTGCAACATGGCGTTGGGAAGTGGGTGGATCGGTGCGATTTCAGTTCGCTAAGTGGCAAGGAACGGACTCGAGCTGAGGCGATGAAACAAAGACTGGTCAAACTTGGCACCGAGAGCGGCGATGTCGGATATTCGCATCAGGACTGAAGTTCTAGATACCAGAGATCCTGGTCACTTTTCAATGGGTTTATCTACAATCACTAAAAAAGTTATATGGGCCCGCAAACCGTGTTTTGATACGACCAACAAGCTAATATTTCGTGTTTGTTACTTCTTCCTTGCTATTTCCTTTTGAATTACAACATTTTGGTATGGAGTCTTTTAAGACATTTTACCATACTGGCATAATTTGAAGTACTTCAGCGGCGAGGTCTAGGAGTGCGGGGAATTGTTTTATGACAAGCAGGTGAGAATATGGAATATACGAAGAAATGTACTTTAAACGAATGGTGTGCCTGAAATCTGGTTCACGTCAACCCTGTGATGCTTAGACACTCCGACTTATGTGTGTTTTACACGATAGGTTTAAGCACGCCTTCTGTCTCGTTCGTTAACTACTTATGCTGAGATTTTAGTGGGAACCATAGTTGAGTCCATGAGCAAGGCTGCGTCTGGTACGGCGATTAACTATGGGGGCTATCCTATTGGTTACCGAACTGGCAGTTTTTAAACGTGAGATCATGTGTTGTAATGTAGGATTCAATTACAGCATTGTTTTGTCATTACCCGGAAACTTTCTTTCTATGCCTTATTCTCATAACACATCTCATAACACATTTTCAATTATACCAACAAACTCATTAGCTCACTGGTAGTGTTGCAATGGACTTGCTAATGCGGCCCACGAGTCTTGGCGATTCAGCTTGGCTTGTGTGGAGGATACGACAAAGCAAAGTACAAATTAACTTATGATCTATATCAACGTCATATAATGCTAGCTCATTAAGCGTAACGGTTTGTGAATTGTTTCAAACAACTTTAAACGCCTCGCGGGGCTGCCACCTCATGCGTAGGGCTGCTTACGAGTTGCACATTCTGAATGGCCACCGGGCCGAAAAATGATAATGATTCTTGCTTCTTACATCAGATCGTGTACTCGGAACCACGGTTCGACATGTCGCGGGTCGCCAGTCGCCTATTCACATCTTAGCTAGGCTGACTGTGTGTGTGTGTGTGTGTGTGTGTGTGTGTGTGTTTTTCTATGCAACAAGCCAACAGTCCATTTGTTTAGATTGAGGAAATAGTCACACTAGTGATCCACTCCATTAGGTCATATGCATGACATCTGTAACAAGAAGCGCAATATGATCATTCATACCTGAAATATAGCACGGCAGGAACAGATACTGTCTGGGTCTAATCAGTTCCGTTGTTAAAGGTAATCACCGAACTTCTCTTGGGTCTGTAGAGAAAGCCTTCTCATGTCGTGTCGCAATTCAAAGACAATTTTCCCTCAGATCGGGCATTCTGATGCTATTTCGTGGTACTATACACGCCGCTTTCACCTTAGAGCAACACCAGTGTACGTCTCTGAGACTTTTCCAGAGATGATTATTGTTTTGTGGCTCTCCTACCTCGTGTGACACTGGTGGTGGCTTTAATGCTATATCCAACCAAGTGCTTACTCTCGTGTCTAACTATATACCAGAGGAGCGAAGCTGCGCATATCTCTCCAATATTTGGAAGCGTTTAGCAACGTAGTATCTTGTTACGGGGAGCTTGAGCGCCGTGGCTGCAGACCAGCAAGGGCTTGTATACATCAGGTGGAAGCTCTTGATTCTGACCGCTTAGAGAGCTTCTTGCTCGTCATAAATATGATGCTATACGCTAAATGACCACAAAGTGCTGACGATACGACAACGCCTCTCAGCAGGTATCACATCTTCATGGGGTAGGACCACAACACTCGAAGTTATCTTGACACTTCCTCCAAGATCGAATGGCTATAAAAGGCCAAATCCCCGAGCATTTATTGTTTCATTCATCCAGAACAGTTCAAGAACAACACGAGACTCTCAAACCGCTTACCAAAGCCTCTCAGGGCAGTCCAACGTTAGAACCCAAAATGCAGTTCACAACCAGCCTCATTGCTCTTCTTGCTGCAGCCAGCGCCAGCGCCATGCCTGGCTCCAGCAATCTGCTCCAAGCCCGCCAGGCAGTCTGCACAGTCACTGTGCAGTTCTTCAACGGCGGCTGCAATGGAACTCCGGTCGGGCTTCCCCAGATATTCGCCCAAAGCACCAGTGGGGGATGTATCAATATCAGTGGTACAGCCCCGCGAGGAGCGCCGGATTTTGCCGTGCTACAGAACAATGCTACAGTCGACGGTAAGTGTGATCTTTCTCGTCTTCACACCTCCATCCACCTCTCTGTTCCCTATTCTGGTGTATATAGCTTGAGGCCACACCTCATGGTGTCAAGCTACTAAATACTCCATGAAACATCTAGCTAACATGGGCATAGTCCGTCTGTATGCCAACGATGTTTGCGATGAGAACGACCCTTTCCTCGGCCATGTCGACATTCGCCGCGGTACTACATTTGACTGTTCTCACCTGGAGAGAGGCGTCCAATCCATCAGGTGGCTGGTGTAGTGGCATAGGTCAGAAGATATGGGGCTTTATGACGCTCTAGAGGAAATGACCTCACGGTCGGTGGTGGCAAAGGAGGAATATTTCCTTGACGTATTGTTTGCTGTGCTTCAATGCTTGTATCCTACGCTCGTTTACATACGTAACTTAAAAAAAAATCTGCCCGGGTAAATGCTTTTCTCGGTGATCCTGTCTAGTGGTGCATACAAATGTTCATAGAGCGTACGTCAGAGTTCTAGGGGGCTATTTCTAGTTTAGTGTGGAATAACCTCAAGGTAAACTAGATCTGATAGGTCTTTGAAAAGATATGCAACAGTAGAATATAAGATACGATCGGCTGTTTCGAGCCAGACCAGTAGACGGAAGAGTTTGTACGACTTGATGAATTCGTCATTAGCTTGACAATAAAACCAATTGTTGGTGATGTATACATCCAAAGCAGTATTAGACTTGGTATCGACAACAATATCTAAACCCCTGCGAGTTAATACTTGTACAGGCGGAATTGACCCCAATAAGAGAATTGCGTTCGGCAACTATCCTTGCCCTATATTCAGCAGTCCAATGCGCCAAACGCCATTATAAGCCATATCCTGCAATCGACCAACGATTCTGCGGGATCTTCATGTCCCATGATCCGTACTCGTCCACATCCATTATTTTATAGTTTCGTCCCGTCGTCCCGATTGCCTCATAACGCGCCAGAATCTTTCATGTTCTGTGCCCGCGTCTGACCCTTGACGTAATCGCTCAGCCTCATCTCATTACTTTCATCCGCTGTGTGCCCCGTCATAAATCTCGACGACTCACCAGGCACATACGGTGGCGGCGCTGACATGCTGGTATGCGCAAGCGCTTGATGTCTCGGATTCCTGTATCCATCGGTGATCATAGCCTCCTCAGCCGCGCTCTCGATACTATCCCCAGTATTATTCTGCTCTATCAGCAGGCTCTGGCGCGCTGGATCGTTGTGCGACGCTGTGAAGGCCGTATTAATGGTCAGCGGCGATATTGGCATCATAACCCGTCGCTGTTGCTGTTGTTGAGATGCGGCGACTTGATCGCGCAACGACTGTCGACTGGCGAATGATCTCGGGGACCGCGGAGATGTGATGGATTCTTGCCGAGGTGAGGACACTTGCCGCGGCGACGATGGAGCGGATGATTGGCGAACGAGCGAGGATCGTGTTCGCGAAACTTTGGACTGGAGTCGGAACAGCTCGTTCGCGGTCGCGAGGCGCTCGTCGAGTTTCCTTTGAAACGAGACGTGGGCGATCTTTAGGACACCCATAGCGACTGTTGCCATGTACGAGAAGCTGCAACTGATCAGATTGTGGGGACACGTGAACATATGCAGTATCTCATCGCTTACAGCAGGGCAATAGTGATGAAATAATATCCCCTCTCAAGACTGCAGAAACGGTCAAGCTGCCCCTTCTTATCTCCGGACCCGAAGCGAATCGTGTCATAACCTTGTTGCGGTTTGTCAGGAGCATCGTCAGATTCATCTGAATCATGATTAGCCTTTGGCGCAATTCTAGGATGGGTAAGAGGTGGTCTTACAGTCGCTTCTCGTCATTCCTGCGCAGTTTGCAGGTACACCGGTGCGTGCAATGATACTGAACAAACCAATCGTCAGGCCAGTGAATAAGATATCTCCAACCACGAAAACGAATGTAATCGTGTCCTTCGACTTCAGGTGCCGCCGACCAGTATGTTGCACTAACAGCACGATCGCCGTATAGACTAATGTAACACACGTCTAGCCTATCATTAACTGTCTGTACCTCAAGACCGACGCAGCCTGTGATACTACTGACCATGATTTCTAGCGCGAGCATAGTGCTCGATAGGCCCAGCCTGTTCACGTGAATATACACCAGCAGAAAGCCATTAAGTATAGCAGAGATCAAGGTCCCCAGGACCTGCAGTGATCTGACCACTACCAGATATGAGGATGTACCCCATTTCGCCATCTTTATTGTGAAGGCTATAGGAAAGCGATAAAGCAAACGAGTGTTTCGTTTACCTAAGCATTTGGCAAAGACGGGGAAGAAGATCGAAACTTGGGATGAAGAAACGAAACAAGCAAGCAATTGGTAAAGAAAAGAACGGACGCCGAGTAAAGGCCCCGTCTAAGAGTGATGTTCCTTGTCAGACGCAGGAGATCTAGGTAGCGCTGAGCGGTCGGAAGAATGGGAACGGGGCAGTGCTCTTCAGCTGCAACATGCGTGCAGCGAAGAAACAGCAGATGAGCGCCGGATCGCTGACAATGGGGGGCAGGAAATGGTAAACAGACTTCTGTCCGAAAATTGATAGCGGTTTGCGAAAAAAAGAAAATACTACGAACCTTCCCCTAAAGTGGACACTTACTTACAAAATCTAATGCGGGTGATAATTTCCACTCGTTGCCGGATCTGCCATGAGATGCAGAAGGCGACTGGAGTCTCAAGGTGAGCTTCGAGTTCCGAGAGCAAAGTTAACAAAAGTGGTTGAAATTTTATGTCAACTCCAACTAGACTAACACAAGGCCGGATGGACCCACATGTGCGAACGGTCGGCATAGCCCGATATTCGTGTCAAGAGGCCTCTTGGAATACTTGGGACAATTCAAGGCTACCAATGAAACATCTTCGTGGTTCACTCACACGAGACCTTGGAGGCTCGCCCAGACTAAATAAATGACAACGTATCGCTGATTTGCAGCGATGGGGACGCGTCACCGGCAACGTCGGAGACTCAACGGCGGGCTGTGAGTAGAACTGACTGTTAGTGTGCAGGACACAGCCACCAGTTGGCTAACAGCCAAGGACCCACTAGGCGTACGCAATGGGAGCGCTAAGGGAACGAAAACGGTGGAATGGCGCCCAAGATCAAGATCTATGGCCGTCTTCGGTGACAATCTCACAAGAGGACGTCACTTACGAGCATTTTGAAGGGCTCCCCTATTTCTTATTCAAGGTTGGGGGCCGAGGAACCAGTTGGTCGACACATATCAAGCGCCAAGCTTTCTATACTCTACCGCGACAAAAAGGTAAAGGATCCTCCATAGTTGCAACGTCAATTTAAGCGGCCATGTCGGTTCCACGTCTTAGCTGGGAACGAGTATGGGGTCAGGGGAAAGCCCTTGTCGCGCCACGTCGTCGGGAATTGGTTAGATTACAAGAATCGTTGATACTGTATGTAGAGACCATTACGGCCCCGTTGCGAACATAGGTCTGACATCACTCCGCTAAGACCATGCCTCGCACGTAATGTCATGCCTTGTATGATATCGTCTCACACGATCGAGGCGTCCTTTGTCTGCAAGCATGTCATGCTCGAAATGATCTGTGCCCTTTCCTAAACATGCATTGTATCGTTTCTCATTGAAGCCATTGTTTCCCTCGTAGTTCTCATATTCCAAACCTCTAGGCAGAGCATTTCTCCTCGGGCCACTTGATCTCCCACCCTGTGCACAACTTTTGAACGTCCAAGTCGCCCGGGTCGTTTTCAAACATGGGTTTCTCGAGCCTGTGCTCGAAGATTTTCTCGACCTTGAATCCGTGGTCTCTCGCACGATCAAAGAACGCCAGATCAGCCTGCTGCAGCCATGGACGATAACTCGTGAAGAAAACCAGCGCCTTGCTGTCCCGCTTCTTGCTAAGCGTCATCTCGATCGTCCTGATCATGTTTTCATGCTGGGGGTGCTTGAATAGGAGATCCGCGAGAACCAGCACATCGAACCCATCACTTCGCCCTTGCTCATCGAGATGAGCGAGAACAGGCTTCGGACTCTGTCCCCACTCATAGCCCTCAGCAACCACTCTGTCTTTAGGCTCCGGGATAAGAGTACTGCTCTCGGCGATGTTCTTTTCGATGAACTCGATCAATTCCCTGTCTGGGTAATCCGTGCAGACTGCCTTCTTTGCACCTAGGATTGCGGCTACGATGCTTGGAAGACCACCTCCAGCGCCGAGCTCGAAGACTGTCTTGTCCTTGATGGACGACACGTTGTCCTCGAACCAATTAGATATGTAGCGCGCACCGTTCCACAGGTAGTGACCTTCGCGCAGGTTGAAACCAACGAGATGGATGGGGACCTTGTGGCCAGACTTCATCTCGTGGTAAGCCACTGTAGGAGGCTTGGGCGGCGCAAAATCCGCTGGCTCCTCAAACATGCCAACATCAAGCTGCTCCTCGTCGTCCATTGTATTGCTGCGAAAATGGTATTTAATTGGAAGGAGAAAATTTTGGTGAGGAGTCGCGAGATATCGCAACTGCCCGATTTGAATGTGGATTTTCATCTCATTGGGCTGCATTGTGAAGATTTAGTGCGCTAAGTACAGTTTTTGTGGGTGTGCGATGCACTGTACCTGCTTTATGGACATTCCTTACTCTAGCGACCATGATTTCTAACAAAACCCGTGGTTTGAACCTAGATGCGCTAGCATGTTAGAGCTGAGGCGTATTTTCGCTTCTAAAATTGTATAGATCGGAAGAATGAGTTGATCATAGAGGAGACTGTGAATTATTTGACATGAATGATAGACCGATGGACAGCGAGCTCCAGTTCATATGGTCACACACATCAGATGAGACTCCTCAGCCTGTACTCATCTAGCTTAAAAAGAAGCTTGAGATGATATATTGAATCAGGTCTTTTCCATTGTGTTGGGTATCATATTTTCTCTGACCTTGAACCTATCCAAATCTTTGCCGGGCCAGTTCCTTAAGCACAATCATGGCCTTATCCTCCCTTTCCCTGTACTCTCGTAGCCTCTCTTGTCTCTCCTCCTCCTTCGCTCGGAGTATCTCCTCTCTCCGTATCTCCTTGTCAGTTTTCTTCCGCTCTGCAGATGCCTTTATGCGCTTGTACTCATCTAAGGTATCACCCCCACCCATGAGCTCAGTATCATTGACCTCGGCGGCACCGGGTGATCGCTCGCGAAAACCTTTCATCTTCTCGTTGATCTCTTTTTTCTTCTCGAGCTGCCGCTCCCGCGTCCCAGCTTCGGCACGAGGTACGAGCTCCTCGAGCTTGGCTTTCTGTTCCTTACGGTCTGCTTTGCGCTCTTGGCGCAATTGAGCGATGCTGTCATCACGATCCTCATCTATCATCTCACGTCGCACCTCAAGGTCTTGGAGACTGGGTATTCCCGGTCCCTGTCGCGCCCCTAAGTGGGAAGATCCTGGAAGCACCGGGCCGTATTCATCCCCTTCGTCGGCCTCTGGACCATGATCACTGTAGCCTTTTGTCTCGTTGGTTCTCTCCCGTGCTTCTTCGTGTTGTGATGGTGACCGCTGTGTTCTGCCAGCCTCCTGTCGTCGTTTCCCGTCATCCTGCCATCGCGGATCTCGTCTCGTCTCCTCGAACAGCTCTGGATCGTACCAACTTATGGCCAAAGAGCCGTCGTTCCACTTTGATATGAAGCTCTTCCAGCGACCTTTGATCTCGCGCTCATCCATGCCAGACATGTCCTTGGTTTTCTGCACATCAAGATAACGTGCGAGGAGGGGCCGAAAGACGTCGAGTTCTGATTTGGACAGCGGTCGCGCAGAGTATGGAAGCTGAGCGGGTTGCGGACGAGGCGCGGACTGGTTTGGAGAGCCGTGGCGGCCGTGACGGTGGCGATGGTGATGGTGGTGGTGGTGGCGATGGTGACGATCTGCTACATCATGTTTCGACAGGTCTGTACCTTCTCGAGAGCGGTAGGGCTCTCTACTACGGTCGCCAGTATGCCTTGAGCTGTGTTCTCCTGATGTTGGAGATCTCGACCGTCGCCGGGAATGGTCATTGTGTCTATGGATGCGCTCATCGTCATCGCGGCGGCGTCTCTTGGGTGGGGGGTGCAGCACATCGTCGCGGCCATGATCGTCGAAGTCAGGCATGATCGACTCGTGTGCGGCTTAGCAATGGGAGGTATGATAATCGTGAAATGATTCACACGGGCGATTCCCAAGTTCTGGCACTAAAAGCTATTGGAACCGTCAACGTACCCGCCCAGCTGGAACATTCAATGGGTAGGAGGGTAAGTTAATTTGTCGGTAGCTGGGGAAGAGAGCACCAGGATAAGACGCTAAAGTTAGTGCATAGTGCAGCTATGTACACTACTGTAAGCTTCAGGGATAACGCCTTGGGTCCTCTAATGCTCCACGTTGAAGCCCATCATATTCCCAAATGAAGGGGACTCTCGTCGATCTCCTTCATCCCCGAACCTAAATTGCATACGCCTATAACACTGATAATGACCAGATTTTAAATTTTTTTTCATCACTAACCAATTAAGTTGCGAATCACTGACCGACGCGTTCCAAGTTGAATCTTGAAGTCCCAGTAGACACGATAGACACGATAGACACGATAAGCACGATAAGCACGATAAGCACGATAAGCACGGATCATATATGATCAAACTCAGACTTTTGTTGTTTGGGGAACGACCGGGGGGGTATGCTTAGCAGAGATGAGGGGGCGCCCGGGAGGTCGTTAGCCAGACTATCCATGCTGTCCATATAGAGTTCATACAAAACTAACAGGGGAGTCGTGTGAGAGAAAACGCTCCCGTCCCGTCCTCTTTCTGGGAGCCTATGTACTTTAGCTCCTTAGAAGTCCTAATTACACTGCTCCTGCCTTCTCCCGCAATCACAAAGGCGTTGTCTGAATCCGTCTTCCTTCGGGGATAAGCATAACATTGGTCACGACCCTCTTGGTAATTTGATCAAGCGGGTTTGCTTAATTAACTAACCTAGTTCTATGCCGTAGAACACGTCCTGCGTTGTAGAATCCCTTTCTCGGGTAAATCTATTCCAGTGCACTTAGTCGAGTGCGTGCTAACAACCACTACCTCTCAGTCCAGACACGGAATGAATGACGCCATCCACGCTCGATAGGATATGTATACAGTAAGATATGTTCCTGGGGGGAAAAGCCCCCCGAACGCATATCCCAGCATCCCAAGGAATTTTGCGAAGAAGTTCCTATGGTCCAAGTTCAATCCTTAAGCTTATGGCGTCACCTTCTGTAGACAGTCTGCAAGCACTCGATGCTCAATGCGTGATGGTTAAACCTTAGATCCTGAAGCGTGGGAATGACAAAGCATATGATACACCATTGACTGATGCCATAACGTCAGTAGAGTACAGTCTTTGTGAACTAGAACCCCCCTTCCCCCTCCCAACAAGATGACTTCCCGCCAGTTTGTGCCTCTTGATGCTTATTGTCGTTCTGCCTGCCTACGCACAGGATGGTTTGCTATCATTTTCTAGCTGTACAAGCGATCTCGCAGAATTCGGGCTTACCTATGCGCGGCTTTAATCTTCGAATACTATAGCCAATTGAATCGGCCTTCGCTACTCTTCTATTTCTGCATCGGGAGATCTACAAAGACAGTTCGCCAGATCGCTCGGGAAGGATTGCTCCTTCGAGGACGTCAGGTCGCATGAAATGGCTGTTCCCGCCAGGATCTCCAGCACATGTTGCTAAACGTATTCGGTGCCTGCGGGGACGATCACTGGCTTAAATGCTGATTACGGAAAACCTGTCCCTGAACTCGAAGCTTAACTTCAGCTCTAAATCCTTTGATGAATGACCGGCCTCTCGCATTGTAGGATTGTTGCTGCGCCTGGCGGAACTGCTACATCCAGGGCTTGAGCTAACTGTAACAGGATGGAGGCTAAAAGCACCGTCAACCAGCACCGTCAAGAGTCTCCAGTATATGCACTTTGGCGACATGTATTGGTATTTGAAGATGTGAAAATAGGGCAGTAGAGGACAATGTTGCATGAAATTAATTTGAAGGAAGAGCTCTGAAAATGCACTTCGCAGCTTGCTTAGGGGTTGAAGATCTGACTCCATCATCAGCCAAGAATAGAACGGAATGGCACTTAGGCGAGGATACACATCTACAGAATTACAGGAATAGAAGCAATACTGGAAGCAATCGAAGTGAAAAAATTTTTTATGAAGAAATTCAAGTATATAAGGGTTCTTGACTTCGACTCTTGACGGACTCTCGATACAATCATCACAAACAAGCATCACAGCACAACAACAAGCCTCAAAGCAACTCGTCTTCCCTTGTATCCTACGCAAGACTCAATCTCTATCAATCGACCGTCACAGGCTTTTTTTTATAATTTCTTTTTTTTAAAAACCCCTTATCAACGTCAGAATGTACTCATCCATCAAGACCAGCATCGTCGCCATCACCACCCTTTTCAGCGCCAGCACTCTTGCCCTCCCAGCCGATGACCTAAACCCTCGCGCTCTCGGCATCAACTGCCGCGGCTCTGGCCTATGCCCTCTCGCCACCCTCGAGAACCATTCAGGGGTCAACATCCTGCAGCTGTGGCACGACCTCCTAAAGGCGACGGACAAGGATCCGAATACGATCTACAACAGCGGCGACCACATCGTATGCGTGGGCACACAATCCAAGGTGACGGTCGGGGCCAGTGCCAGCGCCGAGGTCGAGGGCATAGGCGGTGAGTTGAGCCTGGAGAGTGATATCTCGATCGGCACGGGCGGCGTCTGCCTGTTCCCCCAAGGCGCCTCGCTCTCGCTGGCCCAGATCCGCGAGCTCGTCGACGCCATCGGCGGCCATGGCTGCGCGACCTGCGGCTCGGTTCCCATACACTTCGTCGACCAGGGCAGCAACGACCCTTCGTCCGGTATCCTGACCTCCAACTACGTCGGAAACCCTTACTGTAAGTTCTTAGGCTCCCAGCAAACTTTTCTTATCTGGCGCAGTACTGATAGGCGGCGATTGCAGGCGGCGGCAACTGTATCTCCCAGGTGGGCTCAGATTGAGTACCACAAAGAGGTAGATTGATGGAAATGGGAGAGATTGCATGAACGATTGGAAGCGGCATGGGTTTGGGGCTGGAATATTTTGATTACAGTTCTTCGGCGTTGAATGGAATGACTCTTCAATAAATTTTATACCAAAGACGGACACCGGTGACGTTTCGTGACAATGCCAGTAAGTGCGACTGATGTGAGGAGCCTTGAGCTTGCCCAGGTAATTAAGTGGTGTTAAGTAAATAAATGTTCACAGGCATCACCAGGGCTTGCACCACACGTTTACTGACACAACACAACATGGGGGAAATCTCGATAATTATTCACATTCAAGATACAGATCACATAGAGGACTAATGAGAAGGAAATTCTTTTTTGATTCCTATAAAAATAAAGCTAAATGCAGGCCCAGAAGTGGTAGCCCAATCAATCCAACTTGTACATGTTGGAGAAAATAATTGCTTTGGAACTCAACTCCGTAGGTTTATCGTTGATAAACAATATGATGTAAATGCCACATGCCTCCATCGTAGAGGCCTCCATAGAGGTCGGTTAAAAAAACAAATGCCATAAGCATCGTTAAATGCATTCAGTGGAAACCAAACTCCATTTGCATCATTAGTGTATCCAGTGAAACCCAAACTCCATAAAGCATTCCGTAAAACCCAAACTCCACATGCATCGTGAATGCATACAGTGAAGAACAAACGCCACAACATGAAAGGAAACAGGCCACCGCGGCTGCGCCAGTTGGTAGCCAACCATCACACAATTCGGTCTCCAGTCAGACCAGGCCAGCAGATAGTCAACCATTATGATACTCGGTTACCCATCATATCAGTTGATAGTCAACCATCGTGTGACCTGGTTGCAGATTGTACCGGCAGATGGCCAACTAGCTCACCAGATAGCAAACGGCATGCTATCCTCTTGGGCGCCGCCGAACAATGGTGGCTGATCCCACTCACCACCGAACATGCCACCGCTGAACTGTCCATTGCCCGGTAATAGCGGGATTGACGTGTTGTATAGCCCCAGCATATCGGAGCCGTTAACGAGGTCGGCGGCAGGGTCGAACAGGGCAGGGTCCAACAGCGCATCCATGAGATCTTGCTCCACCGATATGGCTGGAGGTTGCTCCGCGGGCTGCTCCGCGTTCAGGGCACCATCCAAACCCCACTGCGTGAGACCGGGTTGAAACTGCGGCCCCATGTTGAAGCCCCCGTCAGCCTGGAAGCCAATATCCCCCCACTGGAACGGAGCGGGTTGAGGAGGCATTTGCCTCTCCATATTGAAGCCGCCGCCGACCTGGAAGTGCGAATCCCCCCACTGAAACTGAGCGGGTTGCGGAAGTGGCTGCTGCCCCGCGACGAGGCCGCCGTTGATCCGGAGGCCGGTCTCGTCCCAGATTCCCTGGGAAATGGCTTGGGCATCAGCAAGTACACGCGGCTCAGCATTCGTGTTGTTGACGACCGGGAAAAGCATAGGCAACCCGGTCTGGCCGGACGGGCCCGCGGCGACGTTGGTTCCGCCAACCATGGCGGAGACTTGCCCGTCGGAAGGCAGGAGGGAGCTTCGCGGACTGGGCTGTGCTGGTTGCTCAGGCTGCACATCGTCGTCCGTGTTGAGCTGACGTGCAAGCTCCGGGTTGGCGGCGACCGCCAATTTCCATTCACTGGCCCTCTCGCAATGTTCAACATGCCCACAGCACTCCTTGGCATTCAACTCATGGCCGCACCAGCATGGTGCATGTGGGCAGGTTGTCAAAGGACGACCGGGACTCCTGGTAAAGAACATTGGACGCACGTAAAGATGTTCGCATGCCGTTGCTCTATGGCCCTTGATGCAAGTCATGCAAGATATTTTTTGACCCTCCCACATTGTTGCTTGCTTGGGGGGACCCTTAGCCCTCTTTGTCGCACCCTGAGTCTTGGGGGTGTTGCGAGTAGGGGTGGTGCGAGTAGGGGCAGGGGCGTTGCGAGTAGGGGCGTTGCGAGTCTTCTTTGCCCCAGCAGAGGCCTTCTTTGATGGAGACATGATGATTATAGTGTTACGAAGAATGGGTAAAGTAGTATTAAGATAGGTTTGGTTATTTGAAAAGAAGGGTATCACTTATAAGTAATAAGGCGGAAGTATTGAAGAAGTGTTGATAAAGTGTCGATGAAGTGTTGAAGAAGTGTTGATGAATTGCTTGACTACACTGCTTCTTTGGAGAAATAACGAGGACTTGAGATAGAGGAGGAAAGAGAGACATTGAAAAAAGTATTAGGATTGGAGCTGGTTAAATGGATTGGACTTCTCTTTCGGAGATGGGAAAGTAGAATAAAGTTTGGATTCGAATGGGTTTCTCGAAACACCGTACCAAGCAAGGACTTGGTTGGTCTTCTAAAATATTGTTAAGTAAGGAAAGATTGTTAAAGCACATCTTAGAAAAGCACAAGATCTTGCCTTCAAGAGTTAATAAAAAATCTAATTCTATCACAGTTTTTTTCTTAGGAGTGCTAAGATGCTAAGCACGAAATCTCAAAGGAAAATAATTCGGTTTAGGGGAAGAGAGAAGGGGAGGGGGGCTCAAAAAACGACGTTCAATGTAATTGAGCTCGTGTCTTCCTCGTCTTTCAGGTTCCAAGTGCACGGTAAAGTCCCCTAAGGTAACTGACACAAGGAATTCGTACCGCTATGTCTTTTCACAGGAACCTGACACTTTGGTTCGGACAGCTTCGAAGGGATTGAGATCGTGATTAAAAACGTAAATCTTTCGTTTACCATAGCTATCTGATTGCCATATCAGCGGAACTACATTACACTACCGCAGTGACATGGAGCCTCTCTGTGCCCATGTGCAAGAGAATTAAACTCTAGAGTTTGGTTGCCTTGGAGAGCTAGCAGAAGGACCATGTGCTGTATCGTGACGTAACAACGTTATTTGGTCCTTTCCAAACCTACGTAGGAGAAGCGTCTGGTGCTGGGAGTTTTCTCCGATTAGATAGACTCGCACTGTACTCGCAAGGTACGTATCGAAGCGATGGTATCATTCATGGCATGAAGTCAGGCAGCCATTATAATTTTTACAGAAAGAGTCAACCGAGCTCTCTGTTAAAATGTGTGTTTGAATTGAAAACGTATTGTTAGGCTTTGGTAGCGAAGCAGGGTTTGACTTGTATCCAATCTGAGCGGTTGCTAGTGCTCGTAACGGCGGGCAAAGCACCGCCTTTACCAGTGAAGCTGCCATTGCTGTCCTTCAGCGCCTTCCCGACGGTACATTGTTTCTCAAGTCCCTTGAGCATGATCGGTACTGATTAGATCCATGGAGAGATTCGCTTACGTAAATTCTTCCTCTGGGTCGACATAAACTGATCTCAAGACGGCGCAAACCGGTAAAAGTGGCCTGGCTTGACCTGAACATGACTACGTTCAAAACTGGTCAGTAGATATTATTACGGTAGATCTTAGCCGGATGTTCGTTGAACTGTGGCTAGTACTCATCTTGGTGGCGTGGAAGCATGGTTCGTATCTCACCCATTGATTAGTAAGGTATAAAAATCTGGTAGCTCTTTATTGTGGATACTCGCATGCCTTGGAGCGGCGGAACCCGCTGTCTTTTGAAGTGTGATGAAAAATTGCAACAACTGAGAGCCAGTTGATCTTGGGGCCGCCCTGTTCCAAGTCACTTGTGGGGCTGGAACACTGATAGTTGCCACAGGCGAAGAAGACTACCAAAGAAGTAGACTGCCTTGGAGATTATGGAGTAGCTTACCTAATTATTAATTTTGCCGCTGAATAGCCAGCACTGAGACAGATAACCAGAGAAAGGTTGCTTGTGTATCTTCTTACCAAAATTGAGGACTGTCTTGCACATGGCCACCGTATAAGCCCATGTATCATGGGATATAATGGTACATAGCTCTCTGATACACAATATGAGTTAACCCGTGGAACAAAGCTTCCTGCAATAGAATTGTAGAACTGATGACATCCAAAAGTACGAAATTCCTGGTAAGAACCAGTGCAAAACCAAATCTCATTACCGTGAGCAAAGAATGGACTACCATGTGAAGGAACTTTGTATCGCGCCATGTCACCTATGTATATGGTGGTCTCAAACACGTTCCGTGTTTGCCCGTAATGTCTCCAAGTTGGAGGCTGGAGCGAAAGTCCGCGACGACACAAACGGAAGTAGGGGATAAGGGTTCGAAAGTGGAATCAAAAAAGCATTGGCGTTAAAGTAAGGCTTGGAAAATTTGAGCCAGCAAGAACCGAGAGCCCTATTGCATGATCCATCTTACAATAAGGACTTACCACACACAGTCTGGGTACAGATAGAGTGTGTGATTGTTCTACATGCTATTTTTTCCCCAGCTGTTTGCCAACACAATATAATAGTTAAGTGGCATTACTGTTGAGAGTATCTCAATAAAGCGTCTAAAATCAGTCAGCTTTGGTTCGGCCACAAGTTTCATGATAAAGATAATAAGATAAATTCACCGAACCTGATGAGAAACAGTCCGCATCTTCTGCGACTTATTCCTCATTCTTAGTAGTTATCCCCCGGTTATGTGACTTACCTTGTGGCATTCTGCACCACGAGGTATGGCATCATCCCAAAGATCCATCATGCCGCACAGCTGAGCTCATCCTGGCATACCATCAATTAGGGATGGTTGCCAGGTCTTGCTAAGGGACAAATGAGCACACATCATGCCGCACAGCTGAGCTCATCCTGGCATACCATCAATTAGGGACGGTTGCCAGGTCTTGCTAAGGGACAAATGAGCACACATCATGCCAGCAGCCTACTGCTGGCAAGAAAACGCCGCCATACATCTGCCACGAATGGCTGATCGAGTGCACAAGGAGTGACAGTTCATCTAAACCCGACTTGGGGGGTACAAATCTGATATGCACCAAAAACTGGTTTTAATTGCGCGTATTGCAGGGCAACCAGCAAAGTACCTGGCCTTAAGTTGCTTAAGTGATCGCTGGTTAGCGCCGTACCATTCCGAAGCATAGACTGCGTGTTTTAATTAGCATGTTGTGTATCCTGGATGTATGATGACTAATAGAAAACGGTTGTAGCCTTGCATGCAGCCTTAAGGCCTGTGTGAAGTCACAAGAGGATGTAAGGTTTGTCGTCTGCCCGGGACGCGCGTTGGTTTTGCATGGAATAAGAAAAATTCAGCCATGCCCGTGGGGTCGGTCTAAAACATTTTCCCAATGTCTGTGACCGTGTCTTGGGGTCGAGTCTAACTTCTGATGCAAGTGCGGTTCCTTTTGCGTTTGAAAGCCAACTAGACTAGTAGTTGTTGGATACCGCGCATCAGGGAACCATGCCATTGGGATGATGAGAGCTACAAGCAGGAGGCACAAAGGTATTGCTTGATATTACAACTACCTACCAATTTATCCTTCATCGCTCCTTATCGCTTGTATCATCTGCGAACATATCCACTGCTCTCATTCTTCTTCGGACGGGCCGTTCTTCCTTATCCAGGGCCTCTGCAACAGGCTTTGTGGTGGCCTCGTCCCCTTGCTGTGGTAAACTAGTGGGTGCTGATAAGTTGGAAACAGTAAGTGTATCCTCGTCCATAGGATCTTCGTCTAATTCTGCTTCATCCTCGGACATTGGTTTGCCGTCGATGTCGCTATCCATCAGCATATCGTCACCTAGGTCATCGTCCATGGCCTCCCCGTCGAGTTCATCGTCCACATCCATTTTTTCTGCTGATGGATCATAGCCGGATCCTGGTTCGATGCTCACAGGCTTGAAACCCTTATGTGCTTCATCGTTGCCAGCCTCCACTGTCTTCCAACGGCCACCAGCCTTCTTTTCCGCTTCAGCGGCGTCCACTACTTGCTGGGATTCCGAGTTATTTGAAGAGGCAAGACTGGGTGGGTTCTCAAAGCTCTTCACGAACAATTCCTGACTTTCAGCAGGGAAAACGCACCAGCCCTCCCAGAGGCTGAGGATGAGTCCAACACTGCGTTTCCACTTGTCGGCTCGAAGCCTGCCCCAACCAATTCGTTCGGCTGTCTGGCCGAGATACTCGAAGATCTTCCTGTCCCGCAATGCCGACTCGAACAACTGTCGATACCGCCAACTATGCCGGACACCACTCGTCGCTGAAGAAGACAGAATGTCGCTGACAACATACAAACCGACCAGGCTTGCAGGACTTGTGTCGACCTGTTCGTTGCTGCCTTGTTTCTCCTTATCATCCGGAATTGGCGTTGATGGGTCAAAGTCCTGCCCTCTGGGAGGCATATCTTGGGCGGCCTGGACGCTTTGCTTCGACTCAGGGTTTGCAGCAGTCGTTCCAAATGGCTTCTGTATATTTGATACAATCAATTCGACAATCTCATCAGCTCCCCGGCTGGCATGTGTGATGGCGAAAGTAGTGATCCTCGCTATGTCGCCTTTGCGTATCCGCCCCAAGGTAGCGGGCAACCTGACAAGTAGATGTACTAACTTAGCTTTATCTAGGGGATTGAGGTAGGCATGCTCGTTCTCATTACCAGGTCCGCTGTCATTAGGTTTGTTGCCCTCGTCCTCGTAATCTTCCTCATCCGAGGAATTGTATTCTGAATCCGATACAAATTCGCTAATGTTTGTGGCATATTCGAACATCAAAGGCTTCTCAGGTGTTTTCCAGGCATGACTGCCTTCGAACAGAGGTACGTACTTGCCGGGCTTGCCACCTCTGCTGCGTAGGCCAGTAATGACTTCCCAAAGGCGCCATCTGTACCAGACACCGCCTTCGCTTCTGGCATCCCAGAGCCAAGCCCATTTCTCTTCTCTTTGCACATCTGGCCGAGACATGAGCAGAGCCTCAAACTCCGGGCCATGCTCAAGCACAGACTCAATGACTTTATGGATCAACTGGAGTTGCTTGATGTCTCGTGGTGCCTGTATGGGAACATGGAAAAGACCGGCCCTGGCGAGGGGCCCACCACTCGGTGGACCATATGAGGTTGGTGGAGCAAACCCGCGATGGAACTGGGTCTGTTGGTTACGGTTTTGGTCCTCTGGCTGAGCCACAGGCTTGGCGCCGAATGGGTGTGAGGACGCTGTAGTTACAAGTGACGAGGATACTGTTGTAGCGGCTACTGCGGATGACAAGTGACGGTGCAAAGACAAGTAAAAGCCAAAGCCAAGATACCTGTTTTGGAGTGAGCTAACAGCAGCATCAATGTCCGTGGCGGCGGTATCTGGCGAGAGAATGACAATGGATGTCATAGATTTCCTTTCGCTGGCGGCCGACGGTGCTGGGGGCAGAATCTTGACACTCTCAACGTTAAGGTTTGGTGGTATCAAGGCCTTGATGACCGCAGGCGATATCCTCGGTGGCAGGTTGGCAAGTCTCAGCGTTGGCTTCGCGACGGCTCTGTCTTCTGCCCTGTCTGCCGTCCTACCTTCGGCTTCATCGTCGCTGGTATTGAAGGCCTTCGAGATTCCTCTCGATGTTGGGTCATATTCTCTGTCGTCTTCGTACCGGCCTAGTCGTCCTCTGCTGGCATCATCGCGTCGATAGCTTTCGTCGAAACCCCTATTCCTGCCATAACCTGTTGGACTTGGTCCCAAACTCCCCGGTCCACTCCTTGCAAAGCTTGACGGGCCTGGACCCAGGCTCCCCGGGCCACTCTTTAAACCTGTTCCAAAGTGTCTCTTTCCAGGGCCGGGTACGGGTGCGAAGCCTCCTCTGCCGGGCCCCTGTGATCTGTTGTTGAAGGGTGCACCCTGTCCGCCGCGGGCGATTGCACTGATCTCGTCATCGTCATCGTCCTCGTTGTCGAAGCTCTTCACGAAGCTTTCATATACTGCGGCCGTCTCGGCTGCCTCACGCTTCCGCTTTGCTTCTCGGTCGGCTCTTTCCTTGTCGAATGCGGATTGCTTGTGGGCCTTTTGAAGCTTGGCTTCAACATCTGGAAACGATTCAACGACTTTTTTGGACGACGAAGACATGGTACAAAAGTGACGAGGAGCGAAGAGCCCGAGGAGCCCGAGGGGCCCGCGGAGCTGATGAGTTTAAAGTCGTGTCAAAATATGTTTGAGCAGGTTGATGCTGTAATCAAGCCCTTGGTATACGTGGGCACAGAGTTCTCGGATTACTAGTCCGGGCTCTCGTGGCGTTGACCAGTCAAGATTAAATCGTGGTTCACAAGTGTTCATGTGAAAACTAAAAACAGCGAGTCAGAAGCTGCGCAATCTCTACGCACCAGACTTCGGGCCCGGGTGACACGCAGGATTGGTGAGTCGTGGTGCCGTCGTCACCTCGGAGATGCATTCGATATATTGACGTTGTTTACAGCTCATCCAGAGAGCTCCGTGCCATTTGCGGACAGTTGGACAGAATGAGCCTTGCAGAGCCTCATGCCATCATCGGCAGACCCCGAAGCTAAGACTGGATCTAGACTAGTCTAACCTAACCTAAGGAGCTAACCTCAGAGATCGTGAAGGCTCGTGCTGCTCGGGCCCCTGTCACGGGAATAAGACGATACTCTTCTACTTATTGGATTGGACTGGGTTGGATAGGAAAAGCTCTACTCCATACCTACTGTCGGTATTCCGATATCGTAGTGCCTTTTCCTTTCTACCCACACTAAAGGTAAACCATCTTGCTCCTCCATCTGTGGAAGGTCCAGGCGAATCGGAACTGACGCATTGTAGTAGCAGCAGTAGTAGTAGTAGCAGCGGTATGAGATTAATGGACTTTCCTTTTGAATATTTTCGGACATTCTTAGTCCTTACCGCCTGTCCACCCTTGCTTCCAATGAACTCTCGTTTGTAGATTTCTCGTAACATAAGTGCTCTGGTGCTCACAAGTCCGAGTGCATTAGGCTCATTAGATCATTCACCAGGTGCACGTAAATTCCATTCTATCTAACGAACCAAGCCACAATGGCAGCCACGGGCGACTTCGCGCCGCCATCATCCATCCTCATCATTGGCTCGGGCGTCTTCGGTCTTTCCACAGCCTATGATCTGACCAAGCGCCCAGCATGGTCCGAGACCCAGATCACCGTCCTAGACCGCGCCCACCCCAATGAGGCCGGCGCCCGGCCGGCCTTCCCTTCAAAGGACTCCTCGAGCATAGACTCCTCGCGCATCGTGCGCGCAGACTACGCAGACAGGGCTTACGCCCATCTCGCGGCTGTGGCACAGGAGGAGTGGCGAAAGCCCGGCCCCAACTCCTGGGGTGGCGAGGGACGGTATTCAGAGACTGGCTTCCTGATTTGTGCCGATAAGGGCGCTGAGAGGAGGAGCGACGGCACAAAGACCGGATTGGGATATGCCAAGGAGTCTTACAAAAACGCTCTAGAGCTCCTAGAGATGGAGGGCTTGCCAAGAGGCAGTGTGGTGGAACTTGATGGGCGGGACAAGATCGCCCAGGCCAGCGGAACAGGGGCACCTTTCGGGGACTGGGGATACCTCAACAAGAGGAGTGGATGGGCAAATGCGGAAAAGAGTATGGTCTACCTCTATAACAAGGTGGTCGAGACCGGCCGGGTCAAGTTCGTTGGTGGAACCGTTGAGAGGCTAGAGGTTAAAGGCAAAAAGGTGACCGGCGCGAGGCTAAGCAATGGCGAGACTATTCTGGCTGGTCTGGTCGTGGTTGCGGCTGGCGCCTGGTCTCCGAGCTTGGTTGATCTGAGGGGCCAGGCTGTGGCCACTGGCCAAGCCCTTGCGTATACAGACATCAACGATCAAGAGCAGGCGAGGTTGGCAAATGTCCCGGTGCTGATGAACATGACACAGTCAAACTTCATGATCACACCAAGCAACAACGTGGTCAAGATTGGACGACACGCTTATGGATACATGAACCCGAAGAAGGTGACATCAGCATTGGTGGTCCCCAAGAAGGAGGGAGACTCGCCGTATCCTGAAATCACCGTTTCACAGCCATACACCCACATCGATGATTCCAAGCTCTGGGTTCCGGCTGAGGGTGAACGCGACCTGAGGAGGGGATTGCGAGAGATGGTGCCATGGCCAGGCTTGATGGACCGGCCATGGACTCACAGCCGGATTTGCTGGTACACAGATACAGCAAGTGGCGACTTCATAATCACATACCACCCTCATTGGGACGGCCTCTTTCTAGCTACAGGTGGCAGTGGGCACGGTTTCAAGTTCCTGCCAGTGTTGGGCAGCAAGATCGCGGACACAATCGAGAAGAACTACCCAGCCGACTTCAGGGAGAAGTGGAGCTGGAAGGAGCCAAATGATATCGAGGCGCAGATCATCACGGAAGATGGCAGCAGAGGTGGTCGAGTCGGCCTGTGTCTTATGGACGAATTACAGAAGAATGGCTCGCGTCTGTAAATTATGACAACACAAATTCGACTAGTTGGAGATGTACATGTTGAACTTTGTAAGATTTGATTCTTCAAGTAGACGCTACTGAGCTGAAAGAGCAGTATCAATATATCATATCGACTGATGTCGTTGTTTTTATCTTTATTGTTGGCAAGTTTGGCTCTGAAGTTGTGGACTGGTTCCACTAAAACTTGATATTAGTGTGTCTCAAATTATTGGTGCTTAAAAGCCTGAACGGAGCAGACGATCGAACCGACACTTGTGGCTGTGTAAGACGAACAACCAAATAGAGTCTTCATTTCGAATGGTTGACAACTTTATCTCACTAAGATGTCCCACTCGTGATACTGAAAACTTTTCATACAAGGGCTGGTCCGCTCGGATTTTCATATTAGGCAATGCAAATCCATGGCAGTGAGCAGGTTGGGGCAGTATATTATACTATACATGTGCCAATCCAATCATCCGTCCAATCAAATATTTTGGCATATCTTGCTCAATAGGCCATACAACCACCGAAAATGGCTCTAGATTCTAGAATTTTCTGCCGGTGGTGAATAGATATTTGGTGACATTTTGATGTCTCATATGAAAGGTCTAACCCCTCCCCCCCTTACACCCAAAAGAAAAAAAGAAAAAGAGAGCTGGCAGTGTTTTCCCGGTCCTTCATTTCACTGTTTTCAAGATGACTAGCCAGGAATACTTCAAGTTTTCCGTAACTATCACGCAAGTAACAGGCGAGAAATACTCCCTGATAGCCATGAAGCACTCCCGAACACATGCATCCAGGGTGTAAGGTATGGAGGGATTGATGATGTTCACATAACATGTGGCATCTTAGTGACAGTGGTAAGACCCATTCAAGGCATGAAAGAAGATACAAGCGGATCCCATACCCGGAAGTCATCACTAGAACATGGTCTTTGCGCTGTTGTTGTATCTGTCTTGTCCAATACAAGTCTGCATCTGCAGACTCAAGTGTTACCCCTAGATAATATTGTCCCATCACACACGTATCTTGCTTAGGACCATTTGACTTGTTCCTGGCTGTGTGCAGCTAACTACACTAGTGAAAGAATCCCTCAGGCTCGAGTACTTCTAATGCTAGCATTCTAGCCATCACAGATATTTTGTCTGGGTACCATTAATGTGCAGTAGCTATCCCGTTGGTGGGTATTATGGAGGATCAATAGAATGAGCTCACATAGGGTATCATGGTGGGGCTGCCTATCTTCCTATGTGACAAAAATGCTGATCTCAAAGTTGATGTGCTTCTGACAGTGACCATCCGGGTCATTCACCAAGGGCCCATCCGGGTCCTCAATACTGTAAATCACTTATTTTATACAGCTTTCTGGTTCTTCGACATGAAAGCATCCCTTTCCATCTTAGAATGCTGTGTCAAGTTCTGAACCTCAGCCCCAAGAGAATCCTTCGTGATTCAGTTAACAATGGAGCCCCTGGACCGTTCTGGCCACGAACACAGGAACGAGATACTTCTCTCATACTGAAGTGTTCTATTCTGACACATAACTATTATACTGCCTGATAAAGCCACAACGCCAATCCAACTGGCTCATAGGCTATTCTCACAGCCTATACAGATAAGATCGGGTGCGTATACAACAGGGAACTGAAATTCCGAGGACTATTATACAGACCACTAAATACAACTGCCTGTAGATCGACAAATCGATCTACATCCGAATCAAGAATCGAGCCAGTTTTGGTGGCCCGGTGTGTCACCAAGTTGTGCCAAGTATTCCGACAACCCATGAGACGGACACATGAGCTGGTTACGACAGAAAGATAGGACCAAGGAGGAAGGGGTGACCAAAAGGAAAAAAAAGAAAGAAAAAAAAAGAAAAAAAGAAAGAAAAAAAAGAAAAAAAGTAAGGAAAAAAAGAAAGAAAAAAAAAAAGGACAGAAGGGGGTAAACCCCCCCCCCCCCTTCCCCCAAATACAAAAATATCTTGCACAAGCAGGCGATGCAACAACGACAGAACAAACTTATTCACCTACGATACTGGTATCTTGCACTGCTGCAACTCGTGGGAAACTTTCGGAGCATTGTTTGCAAGCAATTGAACAATGGCCGTCTAGCAACGTTGGCAGCCGGCAACACATCACAAGGCCTGCACGAATCAAAAAGCTCGACATCACAGGGCAAGTGGATAACATCAGTTTGGTCCGCAATGGTATATACTGTCTATCTAAAGAGTTACGGTACCAGCGACTTCATGTTTTCTTGAGCCAACCACAAGAAATAGGCATGCAGAACGAACGCACTCGCCGACGTCAAAAGGATGCCAGTCAAAGAAGCGAATCCACATGCCTAAACGCTTACGCAAAGATGAACTTGAGACCAGGCATTCCAGCCCGACTGCTAAGGGCACGTGGCTCAAAGCCATTAAAGTGCTTGTTCTTTTGCTGTCAAACACTCACTAGTTGCTGCTCCTACCGCCATGCTCACACCGAACTCTCATCGTGTTCTTTGGGTGATGGCCACTTCTACCACCTCCGGTCGTGGCACTCTCCGTTTATATGACCTCGTGTCGAATTATGACAACATCATCGACCAGCGCATGTGCTGTCAGGATTGTCATGCGCAAATCAATCTATGCGGACTTCTGACCAGGATGTAGAAGTGAAATTTTCTGGCCCATGCCATGTCCAGCCGTACCAAAATAAACGCCGTTGCGATGCAGAAACAGGAAAAAAAAAAAGAAGTGATACAAGACTACAGGCGAAGCGGTGTCATGCGGCAGGAACCACATAACAAATGCTAAGCCCGAGTCTGAGGGGGAAATCGTGAAATCGTGAAGACTCTTACAAGCGCTGTGGGGGACGGAAAGCGCAGGAGTAGTGATGATTCTCGAGGGTTTGGTTTAGATCTTGCGGAAATCTTGCAGAACGGGATACATCATCTCGAATGCTTGGTAGATTTCCTGGCAATTTGTTAGAATGGGGTAAATGCGGAATCATGTCACAGCAGCTTACCTCTCGGACCTTGGCACCAGTCAAGACGATCTTGCCAGAGACAAAGATCAACAAGACAACCTTAGGCTTAATCATACGGTAGATGAGACCAGGGAACAACTCAGGCTCGTAAGAGCTGAAGTTATGGTGGCGAGATGCCAGACCCTCAAGTCGGATGGGGAACTTGATGTCACAACTGCCAACAATGTTCTGGATCTTGAAGTCGGTGAACTTGGCGTTGAAGCCCAGCTTCTGGATGATACGAGCGTACTTGCGCGAGGCAAGCTTGCTGTCATCTTCGGACTTGGCACCGGTGACAACCATCTTACCCGATGCGAAGATCAGGGCGGTCGTCTTGGGCTCACGGATACGCATGATAACAGCAGCGAAACGCTGGATGTGTCAGCCTCGTGATCATGGTGTATAGCAAAAGGATCACAATGACCCTGATCTACGTGAGCTTACCTTGGGGTTGTACTCAGCATTGCGAGCGTGCAGTGCAATGGTCTTAAGGTCCAAGCGGCAGTCAAGGTTGACTGTAGCCACAATGTTCCTTAACATGCGTGTGAGCACAATGTAAAACAAGATGAAAGAGCCATCAAGGTAATACATACTGAAGGGTAGGTGTCAGACCGCTACCACCTTGAGTCGCAGCGGGCGTAGCAGCAGGCGTGGCAGGAGTCACCCCAGCGCCGTTTGCAGCACCGTTCGGTGCACCGTTGGCAGGTCGCTTGTCAGCATCGCTGGCAGGAGGAGTGAGCTCATGTGCACCACCAGGAAACGACAGCGAGCCGGGTGCAGTGAAAGCCTTGGCCTGCGCAGCAGTAGCGGGATGTGTCTGGATACCCTCCATGACGTCGGTGTAGAGACGTTGTTCGTGAACTTCTTGTTTGTATGAAGAAAGAGCAGAACTAGATGTCTATATTAGATCGAGGTCGTCGAAATGGACTCGCCAAGGAGATGGGATAGACGCTGAAGACAGTAAAAATGCAGAACGCTGAAGCAGAAGTGAAAATGAGACAACGGAAATGCAGGCGCAGGAAAGAATATTGAAGTGGGTGATTGATCTGGGATGTGTGAAGCTGTCGCCAAGATGCTGCTTAAATAGAAATGCGACGCGGTGGTAGTGGGGCAGCGGTGTAGCTTCGAGAAGTTATTGTGGATCCGGGGTCACAGCAACCAAAACCGAACCCCAACTCCAAAACAATCAACCTCCCTCAACCTGGCAACTACAATGGCAGGCGCCGAGATTCACTAGTTGTAATGCTTATTGTGTATTGTGTCTCGTGCCACCCGAATACACAATGTGATGAGGCATGGCAGGTAAGAGAGAGAGAGAGAGAGATAGAGAGAGAGCAGCAAGGAAAGAGAAAGAGGAAAAAAGGTAGCCTCACCAGTTGGCGTGTAGGAGATGAACAAGTCAATGTCTCCCCAACACAGCAGAAGCTGCTAGGCCTGGTAGGCAAATAGAGTGGAAGTGATCGATGGGATATCGAAGACCACGACCACGGGTTACACACACGATGGGACTTTAGAAGTCAACGTTCGTTTCGCGATAGTGAAATCGAGAGCGGACCGTTGCTTTAATAATACGGGGCGCAAAGTCGGATGCGAGAAGAGTGCTGTCGATGTCGTCGAGGTATCGGGATGATGCGATGCAACAATGACGGCGGCAGCGACTCGAATCGGATCCTGTCTTTGCTGATGGGCGGCGATGCGATCTGGCTATTACCAAATTGCCTGACCCTCGCGCTTCTTCAATTTCTTTGTCTTGTCTATGGGTTTTGGGTATGGACTTCTTCTGGCTACACTGCACCGTGACCTGTGCGGCGAGATATCAAGAAGAGATTTGCGGATGAATGGGGTCGTCGGTCTTCTGCAGGTGCTCGAGTCTAAATGTCGGACAGGGACGACAATGAAACGCGAAAAGACTGGAAGCGGCTTCTCAGACTTTTCTCCGAATTATTGTTGCTGGTTCTTGCCGGAAGAGGACAGGTGGACGAGCGCAGATGATGGACGATTGATTAATGAATGCAAGCGTGACGTGTAGTGACGATGCCTTTGTTTTGTGATAACAATGACCCAGTTCCGTTCACGGTCACCTAGGTGAATTAGGAAGAAAAGTGGGGAGGATGACAGAGAGCAGGATTGTAGGGTGGCAGGTGTCAAATAAGGCCGGACAGTATTGGCAGGTTGGCAGCTGGCAATACGTGAGGCTAGGGTCGGTCGGGGATTCCGCGCAGAGATTCGAAAATTATTGAAATGAGGGGGCAGGCTGGCTTTAAGTATTTTTCTGGAGGTAAAGACCTCATCTAGCCGTGTGCTGAATTTTCTAAGGCAGCGCGATGCCACCCAGTGTGGCGGGAATCCACAGATTTACTCCTTCCTGCCACCTAAGTGGACGCGCTAGTTTCGCGACAACCAATGAAACGCTAGAACAAGGCCCCTATCTGCTTCTAATTTGTTTTTCTTTGCGTGCATCCTCAACCCCGTGGTTCCGGCAAGTCTCGATTTGCGCCAGGCTTCCCCTTTTTCACTGTACCCATGCCGATAAAAAGATAAATAAAATAAAATAAAAAGCTCAACACGTCGGATCCCTTCAAACGACGATACCATGCAGCCCATGCCTTACCTGACACTATGTTCTTAAGATATTTGCAGTCTTCCAAATCGCCTGTTCTTGTTCAAAGAAGGCAATGAAATGAAGCTGACAAAAAGTCGCAGCACTGAGTCGTGGCCCGACTGCATCACGACTCATTGTCGTTGTTGGAGTGAGTGGTTGGGATGATGAGTGAGTTGAGTGAGTGAGTGAGTGGAAAGAAGAGAAGAGGAGAAGGTTTGCACTGGAACGCTTCCCAGTAGAATATGGTCCGTCCTGTTGCCGGCGCGCACTGTGGCTAACAAAAGTCCGGTGCGGCCGCCAGGGGCCAATCATGAGTAGATGTCGCATGGTTCTTGGAAAACCCAACTGGGGCGATTCGCACACGCTTACTATCTTCTGAAACAATTGCCCCTCCCAAGCCTGTCCCCTTTCTCATTCTTGCTTCATAAACCAGTTTTGGCTTTTTCCATTGGAAGACATCACATCATCGCCATCAGTCACTCACCATCATCACATTCTGTGGTTAGATGTAACCTCCTACATCAACGACAACACGTTGTTATTCTCCCATCGCTGCATTTGCTGTTTATCCGCCCATGACTGCAATTGCGTGCGTGTCTTTACTATGCCGCGCCTCCGGTAGGCCAGGTTGGACGGCACAACTTTCACACACCCTTTTGCTCCCATTTTGCTTTCATTTCGTTAGCTTCTCGGGGCTCAGCACTCATCATTTCCGAGGTACATGAAAACGACTTTTTGCTCAGGCATCTTGGCAATTTGCAGCTCGTCATGCAAAGGTTGCTCATTCTTCATTATCCAACACTTTTGTCAAAGCGCATCATGACATCTTGGAACGACAAGCAAACGAGACCCTCTGTGGAATTTGAATGACATGGCAACATTCATTCATGTGTTCGCTTGTCTTTCAAAACCACACCGGTATTTTGGCTAGTCCTGGCTCGTTCTTCTACAATCGCCCATGCAGTCTGACAGACTGGCTCCTCCGCAGGACCCATCGGTGCAAGTGTCTCGAATGGCCGACAAAAGTCGCTTGTGGGTACCCATAAGCAAGGTTTCATCATGACCGGCAGTCAGCTCATTTCTCTTGCTTAACCATCCCTGGTCCAAACCTTGGAATTTTCGTAGCTGTCGGCACCCAGCCTCGTCCAGCCATGCGTCGCAAAGCATCGCCCATTATGACTCACACGCCACCGTCACTGCAAACATGTCGCGTTCCACAGCCTTTTCATCTTTCTTTCTCTTTCACTATCAAACTCAGCAGGTCGCCAGAGTGGCGTTGTGAACTCCTCGCCGAGCTTATTTGTTCCCATTGTTTCAGCGAAGTAGAATCATTACGCCCAGTGGAGCACGCCATATCGCTGTCCTTATCGCCGATCGAAGACGTATGTAGCTCTGTCAGGTTGTTCGGAACAGGCTTGGTAAATTTCGTGTTGGTGTCAAATATTGTTGCGACAGGACTGGTGCATTGATCCCAGGCAAGCGCTGGTTGCTCCATCAATGCAAGCGGGCTGACCATGCGCGTTGCAAGGGAGCCGGCCGAAGGTGACAAGTACCCCCGTGTAGCCAGTGCATAAACACTGTACAAGGCTCGTGTTCAGGAATACTGCGAGTCAGCCAACTAGGACGCTCATTGGCCATTACGCGGCCCAACGGTGAAGAAGCTAAGAGTGACGATGACATATACTATACCACATGCTGCCTTAGTACCATGCAGATGTATGGAGGCTCTGCATAAAGCATTGTTTGATGGGCCGACAACGGCTGTATACTCAGGTCGGATCACCAGCACTGTGGTTCTGAGCCCTTTACGTCATTTTACTCGAACTACGAACCACTACTACACACGCCGTAGGCGAGGCTCTGGTTCATAGCTGCATAGCTATACCTGCCTTTCTGAGCTGTGATATGTACAAATATATCGTTTTTCAACATCTGTCTTCTACTAGTAATTATTCCTACCATCTGTAGCCTCTTAGCGTTGTGTAGTTCATCATCATCATGCTTGAAATACAACACCAATAACGTTGCCCTGCGGTGAGGTTACTTAGTACATGAAGTCGTCGTTAGCTACATTGTATACTAGCCACCCGTGGTTTTTGTATGCGCATCTAGCACTCGTTCGAAGCAAGATAGGCTATTTAACAAACCTCGATAATTTCAACTTTGCTGTTTGTAATATTTCGTCGCATAACTTAATGCAACTGGGCCGTTTCCCAGCAGACCTGCCACGTACAAGTAACATTGTTCTGCGGACCACCAAAATCGCATTGCCAGTCCGAAACCGATGACGTTGAGGTTGTTATTGCTTCTAGTTCTTCTGGTTCTTCGACGACGTTGATTTCTCTATTATGAGTTTCGTCAAGTTTGTGGTCACGCATGCAGTTCTGTATGGAGGCCACTTCTTTGGGCCCATGTAGAGATCGATGGCGAGACTTGGTAGGGCGGGTTCACTTCGTAGATATTGAATATTTATATATACATAGATTTGCCTTGCTCCGAAATGTCTAAGAAGTCGTACCCAAAAATGATAAGGTCAGACAGTATGTTTATCACCTGCGTTTGTTCCACAAAATCCTTGACCTCCAGAACGGCAATGTCAAGTGCTTTGATGCCTCACGAGCAAGGCGGTCGGATGACCGAGCTTGACTGCGAACATGCCATTCAATCACACTATATTTTGACCAGGCCTACTGCGCGAATCAGACCTAGATTTGAGCATTTCCATAAGTCGTACCGAGATGGTGGCGATGGGAGGTTTTCTGTTTCTTTTCAACGGATACATTAATTTGAGGCATGTGAACTTCAAATGATGCACGCGGCAATGACGCCAGTGATGATCAAAATTCTATATTCATATTCGAGGTTTTGATACGCAAGCAAGCAGTACTTGGTGCCGTAAATTCGTGGTGGGTGGTCTGATTTAGTATGCCATCACGGTGAACTGCGTAAATGCAGGCAGTAGATTCCCCGACTTGTTTTCATCTTGAGCGGCACGGCCACGTAGCTTCGCTCAACGCCAGCTCTCGAAACGAGACCGGCCTCTTCTGGGAATGACATATTCTAGCCCCATGTACCATGTGCAGATACAAGAACTATATCAATGTTATAACGAGTATCTCCGGTTGGCCCGCTTCCGATCCATCCAAAGAGATAGTTCCCTGCGCTGCCCTAGATTACAGCCGCTTTCATTGGCTTCGACTCACACCAAACTCGGATATTTGATATTGGTGGCAGTTGCATGTTCTGTTGAAACCTAAATTGTCCAGAATGGGATGGTCCGGGTGTCTGCCGACACCTTGAGATATTGCAACGAATCTGGGGATAGGATGTTGTCGTGATACTGAGAGATCTTCGGAGACATGATCTATACAACCAATTCGAGGTTGATTTGCCGCATCTCTGGACTTGTGGTGTGTTGTTATTGGCGAGGTTCACATTGAAACATTTCCATTTCACGCGGAAGGACTCCATTCCAGCTGGTGTCTGCAATAGAGTATGTGAATGATACAATGGCTCCCGCACGACCTCTCGACCCAACATGCTGGGTGACCGAAGATTGTACTCGGTTTCAATATTCCCCAAATACGTTCCATCGTGATATTTCCACGAAGGCCTAATTGTCTTTTCGTTCTCGGCAGGATGGAACTCCAATGCCTGGGCCAGAAGATCGTATCATTCATATATTCAGCTTGTGGTTGGAATTCCACTTTGCCAGCCTATCTAGGACTAACTAGGAAATGACATCTGGCTGGTTTTCCTCCAGACGGTCCCTGAACTTGGTTGCCATAGCAGGGCAGCATCGAAACAAATAACTGGAAAGACCTCATAAAAAATCCACATGGAAAACAGTCGGCTAATCTTGTTGTCACTCCAGCAAAACGCTGCCATGCTGCCGTCCGGATACGTTGAGCTCCTCTAGCTGTAATCCCAGGTCACCACTGCATACTTAGGTCGTCTCAGTCGACGCGGCTCCTTGCCGGTGGCGCCAGTCGCACCGTACCGTAACCTTTGCGTTCGCTGGTAGCAACCCCTAGGCTTAGAGTAGGATACATCAAGGAAAAAAGAGCAACTCGTCCATTGTGAATTAACTCACCCAAATTGATTGCGATAGAAGGAGACTTGTCTAATTCCACGTTCGGTATCTCTTTTCTCTAGTATTAAGACCAAAATCCCCGCCCGCTCGATCTTCTGCTCCGGCTGCAACCATCGTCAACTCGGCGTTTACGAAGATATAACCTGGTTGGTTTATAAATGCCTTGATGACGCATGATCCTGGATGATGCAAAGTTGGTCAACCCAGATGTACCGACAACCCAGCTGCCGGGCGAGTATCATCGCCTCGTTGATCGTCTCGGCCTCGGTCTTCCGTAAGAGGCGCACCGGGTTTCCAAAGTGACTCGGAGTTTAATAAAATCAAACCGAACGGGTTGGAGATGCTCCGAACGTAGCTCAGCGTCACATAGCCATTAGACACCGCAGGGACAACGCAACCCTCCCAAGAATCGAACGAGCCACAAATGTGCTGTTATCATGTCGGAAGTAATCGAAGGCGCGCAACAAGTGTCGCCATGCATTTTTCTGACATTTAGAAAGCCATTGACGAATTCCTGCGATCTGCCTAGGTTTCGCCCTATCGATGGCTTCGTGTTATTTCTTGTCCATCGACTGCGATCTTTGGAACACCGAGTTGAGAAGGGCGTGCAGTCGATTTTGTGGACTCATGAATGCGTGATGCTGGCCAATTGATGGGGTACTCACCACCCGCTGGGTTCTGGGAGACTGGAGCAAGGCTTAGCTAGGATCTGTGTCTGAAGTGAGAGCCTCAATTTGGCCGTGCGGTCAAGCCTCATGCTTTGCACTGCCATGATTACTATCCAGCTTCTGGCCGTAGCAAGCGAAAAGCGAAAGTCATGTCTTAGCCACCAATCAGAATCGCAACCACTCAAGCTGATCAGATCTTAGCACGGCAGATTGATACCTCGGTAGGCACATACCCGTATAACATCTATATATCGTAATGTTACAATTGGGGTGACGTTTTATCAACCTCCGTAGTCGTGCTTATGATTAAATTGGCTCTCTTCTAAGATTCCCCAAGCACCCGTGATACATTTCTTTCGGTTGCATTAACTGGAAAACGATTAGTTACACTGTATGACTTCTCTCATCAACGCCACAACCCATTTGGTCGGCGCAGTTTCGAAGATAACATAAACGTACCAAGACTCAGCATCAAGAACCCCAGCTCATCCGCGTCCTCCAACCAGATCTCAGCCCTGCGATTCATCACAACACCCGGATCGATTCCCACGAACTCGGCAAACATTAGTCCCTGGCCTTCATCCCACTGCGCGAGCCACCTCTCATACAGCGCATTCCAGCTCTGCTCGTCGCTCGCCAACCACAGGAACTTGGCTCCCGGGCCGGGCATGCGCGACAGCTCCCGGCCGCAGTCGAAGCGGACGGCGCTGTGGTAGATCGAGTACGCCCAATGTATAAGGTACAGAGAGCACATGGCACGGCGCTTGGCTTCGACATGTGCCCAAATAGGCCAAAGAGGGCGGACGTGTGTTGATTCTTCGTGCAACGTAAGGCCCGTGGAAGCGATGTAGTAGCCAAGGGTTTGGATTTGGATGAAAAGAGAGGGTGAGATGAGCGACTGGGAGGTCTGGTCCGGGGTAGGGAATATGAGGAGAAGGAGATAGATGATGATAGACTGCAAGGCACCGAGGAGGGTGGTTTGGTCGTATGTGCGATACTACAAGACCACCAGGTTTTAGTGACGGTTGGCTTTTAAGATGTAGAAGAGGAAACGAGGGAACGGCAAACCTTGCTAAGAATAATGTCGACTTCTTTCCGGACAGCGTCCTCGACCATTGGCCCGGTACTGGCATCGCACTGGTTTGACCACATCTTGCATAGTGTGATACAGTTTGCTAGTGGCCTTGGCGTACCGTCCTTGAATTGGAGGAAGTGAATTATAGGAGGTAGTTGAAATCCCTTGGCGAGCATCCGTGGCCAGGAACGGAGGACCCTGAAAATAGTACGCACTGTTATATCAAGTTCAACACTACATTCCCGTAACGTAGATACGGTAAAAACAATCCAACAACACAATATCAAGACGAGAACAACTCGGAGCTGTCACTTACTGGTATGCTTGAGGACTGCATCACGATCCTGTGTCGGCTGTTTCGAAACAGCCTGCAACAACTGTTCTATCCCTTCTGGAGTCGGCGGCGGGGGTGGGCCAGGGTTTGGCGTTGTGTGTAAGAGTTCAAGATTCGCTGAGGCAATAGCCCCCGGGTCTAGGAAGGAGGGAATGTCAACGCCGCCATCCTCAGACGACGAGAAGAAGCCCGGCGTTAACGTGCCGGTCGGATCAAGATCCGTAAAGTCGTAGACGGTGACGGCGGCATCATGCGAGCTGAAGGAGTTATGATGATGGGCCACCAGGGGGACCCTGGCTTCTGTCGGAGCCGAATCCGACCCAGAGCTGGTGACGGGAGGAGGCAGAGGCCGGATATACGTGCAGGTGAATCCGCGAGAGACGCAACGCGAGCAAGTCGGCCGTACGAGGTCACACCGGGCCTTGGCTGTGGTACATGACTTGCAAGCTTTTTGCCGGACTGACGGTTTTGGCTCTAGAGTGCATTTCTTGGCGTGCCTCACGAGGGATGATTCTGGTATTATTTCTTAGCCCTTATCCCTCAGCAACATCATTCTCAAGGCTTGACCGGTAGAGTTGTGGAATGCCGCATTATGCAAGGTGCGTGGTGCAACATGAGGGAGGAGAGGATGTCTATACTCTGCCGGAATGTTTTGCTACAAAGCGCACAACGATTATGTTGTTGGTCTAGGCCGCCGCTCATGTTGTCGGTGGCCACATATTAATTTATGATCCTCAAATATTAGTACCATGTGCCCCGAATAGGCGATACTTGCATACAATGTCTGGACTCTTCTGGTCAAGTGCCATATGATGGACGACTCAGCGATAATAAGGTGGACATGTCAACGCGCTCGGAAGTCCGGGTACTGTTGTTTAATAGGAGAAAATGGAATACGAGTGACTAAGCCCCATTGCATTTATGGCCTAGCCCTGTCAAGACTAGCACTTTTCATTACCGCTTGATCGAGAAACAAACACGGTAGATAGCTTTGAACCCTACTTGTATATGAGAAGGAACAAGTGTTGTGATTCGATGAAATAAGAGAACCCAATTGCAATTTCAAAGTGTATGCTTTTGCTTTAGCTCAATTGATCGCATAGCTGCCATGAACTCCACACCCTCACCTTTTCAAGCTTCCTGTGACGCCTGGGCTAAACAAGCTATATATATATATACAGATTGACAGCAGCTTTGTCTCTATGGCTATCCTTGATTGTTTGTAATAAGCTACATCAGTGTTGTAAGTATGGATAAACTCGACGTATCCCCGTCGAATAAAGCCCAGCGTAGCGTCGAAACGAAAAGAAATGAACCATAAATCTGAAAATAGCACGGATACCCACATATGACAGCACAAAACGGGCCGTTGCGGGTAGAATTTAGGTCATGTAGTACTTTGGTCCTTCTCCACCCTGAGGAACAGACCAGTTGATATCCTGCTTGGGGGCTTTGATATCGCACGTCTTACAGTGAATGCAGCTGAACAATTGAGTTAGTAACCATTTCGCGTGAAATAAACTTAATTCCCGACTCGGGCCAGCACTTACTTCTGAGAATTGATTTGGAACCTTACTCCGTGGGGCTTGGACTCATCCTCGACATATTCGTAGACACCAGCCGGGCAGAAACGGTTCTCAAGGCCCTTGTATCCAGGATATGTCGATTCAGTGTGCGCATCCCAGTCTTCAACTTGGAGATGCACTGGCTGGTCCTCCTCGTGATTCGTGCCTGTCCGCGACACACTCGTAAGGATGTCGAAGGAAATCTTTCCATCCGGCTTGGGATATTCAATCTTCTTGCACTGATCTGCAGTCTTTGTTGAGCCATGATCTGTGGATTTGTGCTTCAAAGTCCAAGGTACGCGTCCCTTCAGGAGGAAAGCTTCAAGCCCGGAATACATGACACCACCGTACAATCCCAATGGGCCGTGGAATGAGGGGCGCATGTTTCGCACCTCCTTGAGCTCTTTCCAAATACTGGACTTGCGCAGTGAATCCTCGTAGTCGAAGAGGAAGACCGTGCTAGAGTCGCCGTCCTTCAGAGCACCCCATGCAGCCTCGGCTGCCAGCATGCCAGACTTCATGGCGTTATGCGTACCCTTGACTTTGGGGACGTTAACGAAGCCAGCAGAGTCTCCTATCAAAGCGCCACCAGGGAAGGCAACTTTCGGTATGGATTGTAAGCCGCCCTCTGTCAATGCTCTGGCTCCGTAAGAGATGCATTTGCCGCCTTCGAGTACACTCTTGTACATGGGATGCTGCTTCATCTTTTGGAATTCACCATATGGCGAAAGCCAAGGGTTGGAGTAGTCCAGAGCAACAACGAGACCAATGCTCACGAGGTTGTCACCAAAGTGATACATCCAACCGCCTCCATACGTGTCTGCAGGAAGTGGGTAGCCCATAGAATGGCTGATCTCACCCTTCTTGAACTTTTCAGGTTCAATCTCCCAAACCTCCTTGACACCCAGGGCGTACGTTTGGTGTTGGCTGTCCCTCCTGAGATCGAACTTGTTGATGACTTGCTTAGTCAGACTGCCGTGGCAACCCTCGGCAAACATGGTCACTCTAGCATGGAACTCCATGCCTCTTTCGAAGCCGTCTTTTGGCTTCCCGTCCCTCCCAATGCCGAGATCGTTGGTTGCTACGCCCTTGACTGCACCATCTGATGCGTACAAGACTTCGGATGCAGCAAAGCCAGGGTAGACCTCGACACCGACCTCTTCAGCCCTCTCACCCAACCATGCAGTGAATTGGTTCAAGCTGAGAATGTAGTTGCCGTCGTTATGCATCTGAGGCGGCGTGGGTAGAGGAATGGCGCTTCCTTTGGTCAGGAAACGCATCTTGTCGCCTCCAGCAGGTGTTGCATGTTCGAAGCGGTTCGGGTTATCTTCATCGAGCCAGTCTGGAAGTAGCTCTTGAATACCAGAAGGCTGGATGACAGCTCCAGAGAGGATGTGTGCACCTAGCTCTCCGGCCTTTTCTAATAAGAGTACCCTGAAGTCTTCGTTGCCTGCTTCGTTCGCTAGTTGCTTGAGGCGAATCGCTGCGCTCAGTCCGGCGGGCCCTGTTGAAGGTGAATGCAAAGAATCAGCAAATAGAGCACACAGCGAAGAATGGCTGAGTATAGGGGTCGACGTTACTTACCACCGCCAACTATACAGACATCGACCTCGTCACTTTCACGGTCAACCGATTTCGGATCGAAGCTGTCATCGGCATCTGCCATACGAAATGGCCGAGATGTGCTAAAGGGCCGGGCGATAGTTACATGGCGGAGACCAGTTGTCGCAGTCAAAGCCTTATGTCTGCTCCATTCTTGCGATACTGCGATTGAGGACCTCGAGGCCCTGTATAGGCGTCCGGTCAAGCCTGACCTGGCCGACACTGCGCTGCGGCGCACACATCTCTGAAGAGGGGCGGAAGTCGACATGGCTAGGATACACAGCTTGCTGGCTCGATGGTACGTCGCACGGGGAACAGGCAAGATTGCGCCACTGCTGGCTTCGCGGAGTGTCTTTGTTACAGTTCAGTTCGTAGAATCACCGCGCCAAACCGCCATGAGGATATTCAGAGAGCAGTTGCTAGCGTGGGCGGCGAAGCGGACAGTCAGGCCAGTCTAATAACCCGGTAGCATACAGGCATATGATCAATGACATCAAAATTCCTCGAGTGCTGAGTGCTGAGTGCGACCTCGGTAGAGCCCGAGGTGCTTTTTGTTTGCCGCGCTCGGGATGATTTTCCTTTGCGCCCACCAAAATCTTAAGTTAAAGAGTGGACCGCTTGTAAGCGTGGATACTTTTCCACATGTTCGGCCCAAGGACAGCCAATGAGAACGAGGCGATTACTTGCACATACTCCGTAAGTTAGGAGACATACATAATTCAGTTAGTCTAGTCTAGTTGCGAACTGCGGTTTGTACTGCAGCATGTGGCACTGGCAGTGTGAAATGCGCCGGCCAGTTGCGCAACCTCTAGCGCTTGCAGGCTCTAAATTCCGCACTCTTGCACCACTTCTCTCCCACTCTCGCCCACTGTAATGGCCCCGTAGGCTCGAATGTATCATTCGTTACATCGAATGGTTCTCGTTTCAACTGCAACTTCACGAGACCCCCAAAGTACGTGTCCTGTGGCCGGAGTCGGAAAGTGGCATGGCATGTCATGTCGATGCACTTTTCCGGGACATGCCATTGCATTGGCCCCGGCGCGGAAACAGAGAAAGCTTTGACTGGGTATGAAGTATCATGAGCGTTTATTTCGTCATATATGAGAGGTTGCACTCTTGCTACCGAGCTCTACTGACCCCTGTCCATGACCTCTACTGCCTGTCATATTTTGCTATGTCAAGGTATCTGCCTGCCCTTTGGGGATGCAGCTCCCATCAATGCTCGAGCGAAGGTAAATCCAGTTCCAAGTGAGCCCGAGTAGCACGCTCCAAAAACAGCTCTAGTCTAGCTAGACGCCGGTACCAACAGCATTGGTACATAAAGTCACAGATGCCAGAGATCCTGCCCTGTCCTCGCTTCATGTGATTCCAAATAGGCGGAGCCCATATTCCTGCTTGATTACTTACCCTCAGTGAGCGTACAACTATCCAACCCACGGCTTCTACGTCTTGCGCACCGCGAGTCTTATGCCTTTAATCAGTATTCAAAACTAATCGATGGACGAAGCTGAATACCAAGGACCTTAGGTCTGCTTGCGTCTCCTGAGGCCGATGTTGGACAGGATGCTACCAAGATCGGCATTCCCGCCCGTGGCGCCGGTGAGAGAACCGAGCAGCGATGAAAGGGGATCAGCGCTTGCCTAGGCCGACGTCAGTAATTATATTCTGTGGCCACTCACAAAGATATCGTGAGGAACGGGAGATGCCAACAACACTTACAGCAGCAGAACCATCGGCGGCGGCGGCGGCGTCCTTTGCATCACTGGCGGCAGCGTCCTTTGCATCACTAGCAGCAGCATCATTTGCATTCCCAGCGTCTGCGGCTGTGCCTGTTTACTGTTAGCGACCTTCCCAGACCGAAAGAATGAAGAAAAACGCATACCATTAGTGGCTGCCGCATCCGCAGCTGCTTGCTTTGCTGCTTTGGCTGCAGCCTTATCAGCCTTTTTCTGGGCCTTCGCGTCAGCTGCAGCGTCTCCCGTCGCATTTGTCGCAGCGGCCGCATCACCAGTAGCTGCTTGCCCTAAAGACCAATTAGATCAGCATACCATTGCATACAGTGTGTTTAAAGTCACTTACCAGCTTCGGCAGCCTTAGCAGCCTTAGCAGCCGCCTTAGCAGCCTCTGTATTCGATGTCAGTACATGTTTGGTAGAAGAATGGGATAGTCAGCCCGAAGGGTAGGACTCACTCTTTGCTGCCTTGTCATCAGCAGTCGCTGTTCCATTTGTCGCTGCTGCGGCATCACCTGCATCAACTGCTGTTGCATTGCCAGCAGCGGCATCACCACCGGCAGCAGCGGCAGCATCCCCGGCAGCAGCATCACCAGCAGCGTCCGCATTGCCGGCTGCATTGTCGTCTGCGTTGTCCTTGTTCTTCTTTCGAGGGGAAAGAGGTCGAGGGAAGGAGCGGGCCATCAAGCGACGGGCCATGTCCGGATTGGCAGCATGATCTGGAGCGGATCTTGCCACAAAGTCTTACAAAGTGTGTTAGTCTTGCGCAAAGATCTGCATACTTTGGAGGTTTCTTACGAGGCTCCTGCGCTGTACGTGCAGCAACATCTCCGTTATGCTGAGCCGGAAGAGAAACGACGTGACTAGCAGAAGCTGCCAGCAGCATCAACATTGTTCCGATGTTCTTCATAATGGCGACTGAACGTTATTAAAACAGTTGGAAGAATTGGCACAGATGGAATAAAAGAGAAAAGAATGCTGAAAGACGGTGTGAAGAAGACAACAAGAGCACAGCTGTAAAGTGATGTTAGTAACCGACTAGTAGGAGCACCTCATTCTACAACTGACCTCTAGGTATAAGAACTTGAAAGAAGAAAGTATAGTGGACAGGGCAGACTTGGATTGTAGAGAAGAGAGGTCGGTTAGGACGGCATCTGGGAAGATATAGTATTTATGGTCGTCCGACAAAGTCTAAGCCTCAACTCATTCAAGGAATTCCCCTGTTGATCAGAAAGAGCCATGAATTCACATCCCACACCATCAGCGTTGCCATGTTCGAAGCTACGTCAAGCCCGGCACCATGAGTTTTACAGCACGAATGGCCACGACCTCGCCTCAGCCTCCATTCCCAGCTCCAGGGTCAAGAAACGATCTATAATTTCTGCAGCCTGTGATCAGCAACCACTACCTAGAGATTTACCTTCCTCGTCAAAACAGCCAATCATAGCCTTCCATCTGCGTTCTCGAAACACGGAAGATGTGTGATAAGATTTCCTCTGAAGTAGATCATACAGACAACGTTGGGAAGTGGAACCAGGTTGCGAAAAATGGAATGAACATGCTTCAGACCAATCTGGAGCGTCACTGTTAAGACGCCAAGCAACGCGCAAATCTTTTTTAAGCATAACATGCTGAGGTTCTGTGAGATCGCGCTTCCCAGATGTTGGGGTGGCAGGCTTTCTCAAACCGGAGATCAAACGTGGACCACTTCAGCGTCAAACATCCCCACGTTCCGCCAAGTGCCTGTTGGTGATCGACGCACCGCACAGACATTTGAAAACGACATGTGCACGAAAATAGAGATGAGGGTTTATTTGGAAGACAAGTTGGAATTGCTCTGTCACCTCATCGTATTAATCCACAATTTGGGAGCGGTTGTTTCATGGAAACTTTCATTCCGGTTTCCACACAATTAGAACATCCCCTCGGTGCCGCTTGGAAGCTGTTCATCGGAACACTGTAGCATTTGAGATTCCATCAAACCAGTTATCTAATCATTAGATGGCAGCACTTCATCAGACTACTCCTTCAAGTAATATTTCAAACTCTAGTTTTGAGCCGTGGGCATGTGGCGTCCCCGGTTACGTTCGTTGATTGCAAAATATCTAGACCTTAATGAGTAGTAAATCCCCCAGCTCAAGTTTACTTGAATCGTCCTCGGCTTTGCACCACGTCTTCCGTCTGTTATTGCCATTGCGACTATTTTTCCCGTGTAGAAACCACTTTGATTCCCTCTGCCCACATGGCATTATTATAATAAAAATATTTCATGCCAAATGATATGTGCACTGCATTCCGTAGTTGATGGTCGTGGCGCCTCGTGATACCTTTCGAGGGGGTGATAAATGTACAGCTTTGGTCCGAGTACAAATATAGACTCATCCAGAGAGACAGGCTCACTATTCCGGTTCATCGAACGTGATATTTCGTGCTTTTGCGAGACGAACACGACCTGGTTCCCAGGAGTGAGAATTGCATGGTGTCAACTGCAAGACTGTCACTTCGGTTTCATTTTGAGCATGGTCTCGGCATGATTACTTGGCTTTGTTGATTTACTACATCTAGCAGCTGTTCTGCCCCAAGCTCCATCGTTGGCACCGTCCGTTTCTAGTGGACCACGACGAGTACGCATGCCACCCTACTGAAAGCCCATTCCAGAGTTATTATGAAAGGAAACCCAGACGTTTCCAGATGAAGCTGCTTCCGCCAACCAAGGCCGTCATACCAGTATAAACGATCAAGCCGCCATAACCACTTCCAAATCCGGCACTCACATGTCCAGCCCAAGCGCTACCAGCGCTTAACAATGAGCCACTAAGAGGACCCGATATGACGTTCCCTATGCCCCGTCCGACGCAAAGCCAGCCAAAAACCATTGTGGAATCAACATACTGACCACTAAGTTCACCTTTGCGGCTTATCTCTCGCATTATACCTGGCCAGATTGCCGTCCAACAGCCTCCAAAAAGGCCGTACATGACACAGAATAGGTAAAGAACGGGCAATGACGAGGACAAACCCCATATGAGAAATACACTAAGCGCAACGCCGACGGCCGAAATAATGATGCAGGTGGTGGTGTGCAATTTGTCGGTCATTGAACCCATGATTACACATCCGATAGTCGACGCTATGTTGACTAGTAAGACGGTAAGTGCAGAAGAGAAAGTCGAGGCGCCGAACTCCCTTCGAGCATACGAAGGGAGGTAAATGCTGGGCAGGAAGTAGCCGGTCGCTTGGATTGTGTTGGCGATCTGGTGCAGCGCGAAGAACCTCGTTAGTACGCAGCGCATGTTAAAGGGTCTCGTATGCGTTGCGGCCGAGTAAGGAAGTCGAGGTTTGACGAAGAAGGCGAGAGGAAACGAGGCACCAAATAGAATGCAAGCCCAGATGCGCATTGTCGTTCGAAAGCCATATTTGTTCAATAACACTTCAAAAAGAAGTGGTAGAACAACGCCTCCAAACCCTGCAGCACTCCACATGATTCCGTAGGCCATTCCCTTGCGCTTCACAAACCATTCGTCAATATACAACACGCAAGGCGTATATGCAAAGCAGCCGCCTATGCCAAAAAGAATACCTTGAGTGGCAATGAGCTGCGGCACCGTGGTACAGAAAGAACTCAGCGCGATCACCAACGAGGCCATAAAAAGCCCGGCCTGAGTGAACCAGCGAGCTCGACGAGCATATAGTCGACAAAATGTTATCACAATGGGTGTTCCGATATACATAGTTCCCTGATTTGATAAGCACGACTTTTGGTTTTCATGGAGAGACGATTAGAAGAGGTCTCACTAGTGTAGATGTACCAATAACTGCGATATTGCCTTCTCCTATGAACGGCTCATGGTTACTGTAGTAGTCCTGGAAAATTCCAAACGAAAAGCCGAAACCTAACATTATGTGTCAGTCAATAAGCCAGTTAGTACAATGTTTCTACGGACTCACCCCATACTAATGCCTCAACTGCCCAGCACGCCGCCAGAAAAAGCCAAGCATCCTTCCCTGAGTCGACGGGGGGCAGTGAGAATTCCTGCGGAGAGCTTTGGGCATTTCCATTTTCCTGTTGCCCCGGTTGTGTATCCGGTGTCGTTCTTGCGTTTGAGCCAAAGCGCTCAAGCTCAATTGCTGTTTGACTCATTGTCTTACAACTTCGCGTTGATTGAAGAACACTAAGCCGGCCAAGTTGATTACTTCCTTTCCGCGTCTCTTGCTCTTATAAGGGAGCCACAAAAGGCTATCCTGCCGAAGCCGAAGCCGTCGATATACTAGCGTCTGCTTCCCCACCCACGCCTTTCGGAGGACAGCTAACTCCTAATTGCGGATGTTGGGCCACCAGATCATACATCGGGGCCGATATAGTAATGTGAAATCTCGTTATCACGCGTCCGGATGCCAAAGCACAGGATCATTCATACACTCAAAGCGATTGTCCTACTATGTGTAGGACATATCGGTCATAAACATATCATTGAACCAAGAGTCGAATCCGGCTTCCGCGTAATTGCGATCCAGATGAGACTCCTCCATTGTGAAGTTCTCGACACCGGAGGTGTCATCTGCAGATATTGGCGGCTGTGTGGGCGATGTAGTAGTGACCGGGTATAACGCCGCAGCCACGTAGTCAAAATCCACGACTACACCATCAGTTGATGTGGGATGCGTCTGTCGTTGTTCGAGTAATGCTTCGATCAATGCGACACCACGTTGAGCTAAAAGATCACTATCTCGAGACACGAGTCTGTCTCGTGTTGCTTCCACTAATGATTTATATCCTTCTACCACGGCTACATCGTTGGATGTGTGGTAAATTTCGAAGCACAAGATTACTGCCGCAGTAATGCAAAATGCCGTATGTGTCCAAATTGAGAGTTCGTCATCCTGAATAAGCAACTCATGTTCTCGAAGTATCGTCATTGCGGCCGCCGTACAAGTCCTCCGAGTAAAGTCATATAACGGTACCCGGAATGATCTCAAAAGAAATGGCCTGTGGATCATTATAATCTTCTCTGATGCAGTTATGGCAAGACTGCGCCTAGCCACACGAAGCCACGGAATGAGGGCTTCTTGACGTGGATCTTGTCTCAAAAAGTATTGTGGAAATGCCCGGACGGTGTCTCGCATGCGTTTGTCTATGCTCAGAATGTGCATATATTGTTCTTGGAGAGACTTTTGATTTTGCACAGGGCCCAAACCATCCCGCATTTGTGGCATCAACGCCGCCATCTTAGATAGAACGCGCACATAACTGCTAACGGTCGGCACATGCTCCGGATGACTTAGTAAATCATGATCGTCACTGTTCGACGGAACTGTAGTTGACACATGGCCAGGGGATATGGCGTAAGACTCGGTGAAAGGAATGGCAAAATGATCCTGAATGGTCATTTGACACCATATACGCTTCCCGACCTCTCTTTGTACCTTTTCTTCCCAGTCTCCAGTCTCAGAATCTTGGATTCGATGTAATCCTAAACACTCAGCGATCCGAACGCCCGCATTGAATAGAGTGGCGTTGAGCTGACTCTGTCCAAGATTGTGTGCTACCTCAGTGGAGATAGTAATAGCCTGCAGGGTATATATTGATAGATCTTTTAGAAAATGGAAGCGATACAAAGCCGTAATCACTAGAGCATTCGGAGTCAGTAGTTGTTCTTTTTCTTCTTCTGGATCGGTTGAGGGGTCTTTAGGCGCGATATGAAACAGTCACAAAGAGATCAAGTGCATCTAATAGGCATTACAAGCCCTGTAAACATGCTAAAAGGGGTAGAAATTGATGCCGAAAATTGCTTACTATCAGAGAACAATTCATGGGCTTGTGGCAAATTGCGTTCCATGCTAACGATACTCTTAGACTTCTCGCTGTTTTGTACTGCAAATACCGTGGCACTGATTACAGAGCAGTACAGGGCAAGCCATAATGGATGAGGAGGTCTTCCTGTTCGCCAGAACCCGTCACATTCGTCCCGAAATGTCGGTCCGTGGAGGCAGTTGTGATGCCACGCAAGATATTGTAGATGGAAGTCTACGAGTTTTCTGGCATGATCCGAGTTGGGCAATGACAGGAGATTGTAGGCAAGACCTGTGTCCAAAGGTGGCACATCATGGCTTCGGTGCTCACATCGACAGTTCTTGTGGGGGAAACAGTTGCCCGAGACTCTGCCCCATGCTAAATGCTCGAGAGTTGTAAGTAGGCCAGGATCGGCGTCTTTCGCTGTGACTTGAGAACTATCCGATTGGTTTTGGAGTGGCTCTTGGAAGTCGTGCTCGTCAGAATATCGACGATCTGTATGGCCTTCAAAGCCGCTGTTTGCTGTACCAAATTGCAATTGCTGAATACGCCGCTTTAATTTATCAATAGTCGGCTGCAAAGTGTCACGAACATCGACGGCCTCGAGATCCACCGTGATGCTGCGAAGAAATTCGATTTGATCTTCATGCTGAAGGCTACGTTTGAGACGAACTGTCTCTCGTGAGCATGAGATACCTAGTCTCTTGCAGCGCGAACATGGAAGCTCTTTATCGCACTTGACCTTACGTTTTGTACATTCTACACCAAGGTCAGATTGGGTGACAATAGGCGAATTCCACGCTGGGTATACCTTGGCAAGCCAACGAACGTCGTTGGGAAGTCCGGACTCCCTTTGAAAGGGATCCACGAGGAGACGGATCTTGACCCGTCTGCCGAGTGCTCGGATCGCGAAGCATTATTCAATGGGGAAAGATTATGTTCTGTAATGTCAGCATACTGATGTATTATTGGGCATTTTGCGACGCTGTGAAAGATTCCAACTTAGCGCCCTGGAGCTTTCACTGCATGTCACCGCCGGAGCTTGCCGACGCAAATCCATCGCGCGCGCAAAAGCTTGGAACAATGACAGCCATACTGTGAGACAGTTAAGCCTGATGAGTCCCTTGGGATGCTTATTAAGTCCATTGCATAGGGAGCATAGGATAACATCATAATTGGGACTTGGCATAAGAATGAGATCTGCCGCTATCTTTCATCCTGGATGTAACCATCGCAGTCACCAGGCAACTCACGTTGCAAGGGGGTGTTTAGCGCTTAAGATATGCTACCAATGCTGCCCTCACATATCTAACCTAAGCAAGATCAACTCATCTAACCGTAGGTTAGTCTAACTGCGACAAAATAGAGGTTGAATCTTTCTCTCCCACAAAGCTCCTAGACCAGATGTTTTGAATGATTGGTGACGTCACAGGACTACAAGCTCAAGTAGGCACCACTGGATATTGGATTACGATGCAAGCGCTTCCATTTTGAATGCGTACACTTCGTCGGCCGCCTGTCTCGTCGAGTTCCTGTGGGGAGAGCAGCTTTCACATGCGAATGGTGTGATGTTACCTCCAATTGCAATAGTGCAAATGGCGCAGCAAGGCTCTGACCGTTGTCGAATGCATCTTCTCTGAGTCGTCGGGTGCTTTTGCACCTCCCGGCTTGACAGGGGTCTGCCATGGCTGGCTGACAGCACCCTGGCCCTTGGCCCTTGGCTTGAACCTGTCAGCCCTATGAGCGTCTAATCTCTATTGGTAGATGAGCTGACACACCCTGGCGGGAAAATACAGAATGAATGCGGGCCGCGTCTTTTGTGTGAGACTTTACTGGTGCTCATGCGAGCCGATGAGGCACGGGCAACATCTTGGCATCCAGCCTATTCTCTGAGCGGCCAAATGGGCTTGCTTACTTGAGACGGGGCTGAGTTGCATAGAAGGAGTCACCGAAATGTCAGTTGGTCGCGCCTGCGCCGTCGGATGTGACATGGATGATGAGACCTCCGGCTACTATATAAGGCTATAACAGATGGCCGAATCGCCAGCCTGGTGCAGTTTCCATCAAAAGCAGTCACATCTTTCGTGCTATCGATTCTATCCGTGTTTGAGGATTGCTATTATCATATAAATTTTGTTTGGTCTTCGCAGAATGGCTCTCAAATTTGGACAGCGTCTTTTAATATGGACGTTCAAATTGGTTAACTTATTCGTGCCATGGCATAAGCTACCGACCTGGTTCGGTGTGATCAACATTCTGGCACTTCGTTATGAACTCCGCGATAAGAACCTCTACGACACTTATGACAACCCCAGTGACCAAGGAACAGCTTCGGCACCTGAAATGCCTGAGACGAAGTATATCTCGGTGCGCAATTCTGATGGCCAATTCAATGACCTCGAACACCCGAAGATGGGAGGCCGGTGTATGCGCTTTGGTCGTAATGTTCCACGTCAACACACGACTGCGCCGACGGAGCAGCAGCTGATGACGCCAAACCCACGTGTGATTAGCGAGACGCTCTTGGCACGTGAAAATGGTACATTTAAACCTGCCACTATCGTCAATCTCCTGGCTGCCGCTTGGATCCAGTTCCAAGTCCATGACTGGGCGCAACACTTTCGAAGCAAGAAGACCTGGGAAGTGCCGCTTGCAGAGGACGATAAGTGGTCGGACGACAATGGAATGAAGATCGATCGAACAGAGGCCGATGAGGTACAGAACGAACAAGACAAAACTTCACCCGGCTACCTCAACGAAAATACACATTGGTGGGACGGGTCTCAAATATATGGCTCATCAGAAGAGGCGACACGAAGATTACGCGCGGACTGTGAAGATGGTAAGATGAAGGTTGACCTCGAGAAGGGCGGTGCCATCTTCCTGCCCCGTGGCGCAGATGACATTCCATTGACCGGTTTTAATGAGAACTGGTGGCTCGGCTTAGAATTGCTCCACACCTTGTTCGCCCTCGAACACAACTCTATCTGCAACCAGCTGAGGCTTACGCATCCGACATGGACAAGCGACCAGCTCTTTGACACAGCAAGGTTGATCAACTGTGCTCTAATGGCCAAGATTCATACTGTAGAGTGGACACCTGCTATACTCAAGCACCCAGCTTTACAAATCGGTATGGCTGCGAACTGGTGGGGAGTTGCTGGTGAAAAGCTTTGGAAGATTGCAGGGCGAATCTCAAAGACTAGCGAGGCCATCAGCGGCATTCCAGGCTCAGGCGTAGAACAAGATGGCGCACCATACTCTCTCACCGAGGAGTTTGTCTCGGTCTATCGATTACATCCTCTCATCCCCGATGACGTCGCTTTCTTCAAGGTGCAGACCGGCGAACACAATACCACGAAGACCATCAAGAGTATTGCTTTCGAAGATGCACGTTCTCCCTTCGAAAAGAATGGTTTGAGCTTTGCGGACGCATTTTATTCTTTTGGCATAAACTATCCTGGTGCAATCACCCATCACAACACCCCAGAGTTCCTCCGAGACCTTCATCTACCTGATGGTAGGCACTTGGATATGGGTACCGTAGACATCCTCCGAGACCGTGAGCGGGGTGTGCCACGTTACAACGAGTTCCGCCGTCTCTTTCACATGCCACCCGCCAAGAACTTTCTCGACCTCACTGGCGGCGACCAAAAGCTCGCCGACGAGGTCAGCGCAGTATATGACGGCAAGATCGAGCTGGTTGACCTGCTTGTTGGCAGTCTCTGTGAACCATTGCCCAAAGGCTTTGGCTTCAGCGACACAGCATTCCGCGTCTTCATCCTCATGGCCAGCCGACGGCTGAAAAGCGACAGGTTCATTGCGGGCCAATGGAACACGGAGACTTACACGCAGGAGGGACTCAACTGGGTGCAGAACAACTCCATGATAGATGTGCTGACTCGTCACTTCCCTGATCTGCGCCCTGCTCTTAATGGTGTTGACAATGCCTTTGCCCCTTGGACGAAGGTTGGCTCGAGCAAGCTATACGGCGGCAAAGAGACGAACGCTGTGCCATTTGCTACTCCGCCGGTTACAAATGGGTCGGATGAGGTGCATGCTTAGATCTGTAGCACTGTTTATCCAGGGTGGCAAACAAAGTGAGTTGAAATGGTGAGGTGGTCTCGAGAACGGCTCTCGTGTGAGCAGCAGTTTCGTCGTTCTGGCTTAATATGTAAAATACATTGTTATTTTTCTTTAGTAGTTCTCTGGAATTACAACTGGGAAGAGGACCGAGAGTCCTTCCTCAATATCTGCGTCCTGAACCCTATCTATACTCTCGGTCGTGATCGGCGGCTGGCGGCTGTGCTATCAGTAAGCTATAACCAATGCAGTAACTGTATGGAGACAGTATCTCCTGGCTTTGGATCTGACGGGGTTGTAACACGGTCATCGCTCACATTGCGGATGAGCTCATTGTGCATCTTCTCCGAGTCATGTATAATTTGCTGAGCCTAGGTGCCCGACTATCAGCATATTAGTAGACACAGATCGCCAATCTCACCTCATGATGACTAACAACGAGGACAAGATTGTCAGTATGTTTGTCCTTGCTCGAGAAGTCGGACTGACAATGATCGCCAAGAATCCTATGTATTAGAAGCAGTAAGCGCGTACGTCTTGCTTGTTCCTTTAAACATTTATAGTAAGCTAACACTTTGTAGCCAAGTATCAGACTAGCTGAATGATATCCCTTAATTTCCGAACACAAACATCCATCAATACCGATAGTCTTATGTTATACTCGGTCGCAAACCGTCATAGCACAGCCACAGAGAGGGAGTCAATATTACTAGCGTTATTACTAGTACTTCCGGTGGAAGCGAGATGGCTACTTAAGATGTCGCTAAGAGATTCACCAATCGGGGAATTTTTACTCACCAGATTGTGATGCACCATAACGGTTCTGAGACTTTCTTGCTTTTACCGTGTACTCACTGGACTCTGACAGATTGGTCGTGCAAACAACGCGTGCAGCCAATCTTAACAATCCGAGAAGAACGAACTGATATCTCAGTTGGTTTTTCGTATGTACATTCGGGTTAACGAGCCGAGAGCTACACGAATAAGAGACAAGTGGTTGGCTTCCGGAATTTTAATAAAATCACTGATGTATCATCTCCATTCGTGTATAAAAATCTGGTGCTTCAAGCAAGACGTTACAACATGTTTTATTCGTTAGCCTTGTAGTCTTGTTGCCGTGTGTGTCGGCGTCAGCACGATCATATAGCATCTTGAATAATATCAAGAGCTCTCATAATTAATTAGCTCAAGTAAAACATGCGCCAACAAGCTGTGTACGGGCTTTCATAGCGCTGGCGGAAAAGAAAATAAGAACAGCGAGTTTCCTGTTGTGACACCTGGATGTGTACTCCCAAACACTACCAACGCTGCTCACTGGCATTTTGATTTCTACACAGCGATTTCCTACTGTGCTGATCGCAAAAACATATTAAAACCCGTCTACGTACAAGTTACGAATGACAAGCGAGCAGACATGGATATGGACATTGACTGCGATGGGCTGGACTCTCAAAAGAGTATTGCTCTGCTGGGCAATCCGCTCATCTAGCAGATCCCAAGTGCGAGTAACTGATCTAGACCCATTCTGTATAGGATACGAGTTGAGAATTAGCATTCGAGTATTCCGTAGAGATCATCCAATTGGCTGGAACAAAAAATCGCACACTGGTGGCGACCGTTCAATTTAATGCGCCTGTACCAACATCCTGTCAACCTATGACTTCATCAAGCATAATGATCTGGCTTATACGGCTCGACACTGATTTTCTAGCCTAGTCGTACTGTTGGCAATCGTACTAGAATAGATAGCAAGCAGCAGAGTAGTGCGAGGCTTCAGACCAGCATCTGCCGTAGAAGTTGTCACGGATGACAGCCCAGCTACACGACATAGCCTGTTCCGACTGCATACTTCTTGCGTTCGCTTTGGCAACTCTTTTGTAACTCTAGCCTCAACTGAACAAAACTTTACAGAACTACTTAGGGAATCTAACACTATACCTACCTCTAGTGCCGAACTCCACCAAGCATCCCGTCGCCCACCCAGATAGACACAAGACGAATTTGACAACTGCGGAGTCTCGTCCATCTAATATAGTCTGCGATTAGACACAACTCTTTTATCTCGCACCTCACTCGAGACATCACAGCACTAGTGGTTTAGTGGTAAAATCCATCGTTGCCATCGATGGGCCCCGCGTTCGATTCGCGGCTAGTGCAGCATTTAATTTTTAATGTTTTCTCGAACCCATGAGTCATTGTACTGAGAGCATTCTCGAATACCCAGGTGTTACTTGAACCGATGGTTTCAGGGGCTGATTTCTTGTAGGGCCGGTGAGGCGGGAAGAGAATTTTATGAATGGCAATCCTTTATGTGAGAAACTGGTCCTTGAAACATCACGTCTCTGAGTGTACTATTTCTTTTCTTCTTTTTATCTTTTCTTTGTGCTGAAACGTCACCGCAGCTTTGTCAGAGGTCGATTATGTCGACAGACACGAATAGGCGAGCAGATCATTGATCTTGCTTACCTGCCGCTGAAGACGTGATTCGGCACTCCCAAACCAAATCCTTGATTTACCACTGTTGACCGAAAATGTAGCTCGTTTGACATAACCTTACGACTACTGCCTGTCATCGATTACACCGCCAATACTGGCTGATTTACCTTTCACAATAAGGCCAACTTGTCTCAATCTTCGATCTATATTACCTTTTTTAGGTAGACTTTAGGATAGGGGTCTACAGCACACCTGTATTTTCTCAAGTATATCATGATTCGCTCGGAATCCTTGCATCTGTCTAAGCCATTTTCATGCTTCAGGCGCTGCCGCCACCGTAAGCGCGACCTGGCACCGAAGCACTCCTCCAGTCTGCAAAGCCGTCCAACCACTTCCTGACTGTGCGGATCTCCCACTTGTGGGCCTCGCGGATGAACTGCGGCTCGGCCTCCACGTCCAGGACGCCGTAGCTATCCCAGTGGTGTCCTGCGCCCGTGATCAGGTACTGCGGGTGGAGGTCGGTGCTCTCGGGCCGGGGCCACGCCGCCAGGTCCGAGTGGAAGCACAGGTCGTTCCAGACGTCCTGGTCGCCGTCGATGAAGGCGAGGCGGTCCGCCCGGAAGTCGAAGCCGCCGAAGGCGTTGTAGGCGGCGACGTCGGGGCCGGACGCCGGGATCGCGTTGTGCGAGCCCGCCGGGAAGGCCCACTCGCACCACTGCTGCTCGTACGCGGTGTCGACGACGCGCGAGAGCAGCGCCGGGCCACTGGCCGGCGCGTCGATGTAGGCCCCCTGCTCCACGCACGACGTGTACAGGTAGGAGCGCGTGCCCGAGTTCGACGTGTCCGCCCACCAGCTCGCGTTCTGCGTGCCCCAGCAGTCGTTGCTGTTGAGGTCACCGCCCGCGCAGTTGGGGATGAGGTACTTCTTGATGTAGTCGGCATAGCCACCTAGGCCGTCCCAGGGTAGGCCGCCTGTGTAGTTGGCGAAGGTGTAGTCGACCTGCGTGATATTCTCGGGCGCGTCCAGGTTAGTCACGTTGCCGCAGAACTCGAAAAAGTCGTTGGAACCGTACGCTGGGTTCCAGTTCAGCTCCTGCCAGGTTGCTGCTTCGTAGAACCCAGGGTTACCGATTGGGTTGGCGATCGCCGTGGCGAAGTCGCGGTCATCGGTGAGGGATTCGAAACCAAAGAGGGACTTGAACTTCTCGACGGCAGGACGGTTGCCAGCATCCACGAGTGCATCAAAATTGTCAATGATGTGGTTGATGCGAGTTACGCAATCCTGAGGCGCATATTTTTGTATCGGAGTGTACCAATTGGAGTAGCCGACAGAGAGCCAAATGGGAGCACTCGAAGCAATTCCACCATACAGGACATCACCGTGCTGCTTGACGGCAAAGGCTGTCTCGGCACCTGCAAGACTGCCTCCGTAAAGGATCCAGGGAGTGTTTGGTGCTGTAAGGTCCTCGTCGATGCCGAGGAGATTGGCATTCTGAGCAAAATTGGCGAAGTCGGCAATTGTCTGCTCGTTGGTCAAGTAGGCCAACTCATCCGTGGTCGAGGTGTTATAAGGGTAGCTGGTTCCGTAGTAGCGATTCTCGAGGATAACACCAAGACCGTCGAATGCTTCCATCAGAATCTGGATGATGCCAGTCTGCATATTAGACCACCGACTACGGCCACTGGTTTCTCCACCAATGTACAAGAAGACGGGTCCGCCTAGATCTCTTGTTAGTCTCACGTTTTTCTCACTTCATTTTTTGGCCCGTCGAAAAACCAACCAGGCTTGTAGTAGCTGTCGTCAACATAGTACGTCTGCTTGAAAGTGTCATTGGTGTGAGGGAGGTATCGATCACTGGTTGGGAAGTGGTCAATCTTCTGGTTGAAATACTGCGCGACGTAAGAAGTCGGACGACCATTGCCTTCCTGTCGAGCATCAACGTGGGCGATGAACGGCAAGTCCTCAATGCTTCTGTCAACGACGTGAGGACTGGTAGGAAGCTTCTTGATGTGTCTAGCACCGACCGTACTAGCCAGCAAAGGTGCTAACGAGCTGATCGCGAACAAAAATGCCTTCATGCTGGGCGATGAAAGCTTTGCGTCTCAGTGAAGTTAATTCCTGAGCTCGAATTGGTGTGTTGTGGCGTTGAGTATTAAGTGTCCGGGAACAATTATTCGGAATTCGTATAGAAGCTCACGGAAGTGAACTGCATGTGAGAGGGGCAGTCCAATTGACGCAACCAAACAAACGAACTTGATGCGGCGATCACTGCGCTACTGCAATGTGTAAGCACAGCATTGCATGGTTGTATTAGGCAGTATCGTCGCCATCGATCACGCTTATAGCCCAGTATGGAAGGTCGCCAAGGTAGATCTATGGAGTTACATCAAGTGGGTATCAACCAGATAGGCTGATTATGGCAAGGGCGAAATACGCAGTTATGCTGTTTGCATTTCATCCTGCAGATATCATAAAGCAACACTGGCTCTCCTTGAATTGAATGTCTCGGGTGCAAGGCGCGTACCAGGCGCAAAGACATGATCTCAGGAAGCTACCGTGAGCCGAGACAATATATTGTGTATGTTTCATAAGTTGGGATTTTGAGCTGATATTTCTCTAATATCGATCCTATGTATATCGCGAAAGATTCTCTGGAGTTCTCACATTGACTGGCTTGATTGTCTGAAACCAGAGTCCAAAACTCGGGGCGAGAAATAAAGTTCCGGCAGCGTGCTCGTGTACTTATCACCACAAGATAATTGTTGTATGCTTAATTTGTCTCATAATGTGGATACAAATCGAGACTCAGGTCGGAAAGCCAGTGCAGTTTAAACCAGGCATTTCTTTTCAACGATTGTTAATTTGCATCGTGAAAAGGAACGATTTATGAATAAGTCGACCGACATATTTCTTCGATTCTAAGTGATATAAAAATGCTGCATCCCCAAATCGAAAAACAAACATTGGCCCATGACCGCCTGCCAATCTTAATATATGGCATTATGGCAATTCCCTCAACGCCTTGCGCTATGAAAGTCCACCAGACCAGCCGAGTCGCCCTATCATTACAAATGAGATTCACATGAGGATCTCCAGTTCATCGTCACTATCCAACCCTATCATGGGAAATCTCTTCCCAAGCTCTGTACCTAGACTCTCCCTGCCAGCTTCTCGAATGCCCTTTTCGGTGACGAAACGTGTCTTCTTACGGGCCGGTTGGTCTGCTGCTGTTGCGCTGTCCAGTTTCTTGGTTGCTATAATACTCCGTGTCGCATCGACAGTTTTCTTGTCGTTCAGGCTTTCGCCATCTTTCATTTTCGACAACTTGTCCCGCAAACCACCACCCCAGCCAAAAGATCTCGAGTTCGAACTCAACATGGACGATGCGGGGTGGTTGACAGTTGAATTCTCTCTCTTCCGTTTGATGGGACTGAGTGAGATTTTGGTGCTTGTACCCTGCCCTATCCCAAGACTTTTCGCATCCATGGGTTTGGCGCGTTCGTCGCCGGGAAGATCGTTCGGAGTACCCGGCATGGTACCTAACGCATCGGCTCCTAGCTTTGCCCGGGATAGATTCATGTAATCTCTGCCCGCACCTCGGCCCGCACTGCCGAGCTGCTTCATGATCTCTCTTTCCTTCTCCTGGCTCGCCAGCCGCCTCCGTATTGCTTCACCTCTTTCGACCCTGTCAGCGACCTGGCCAGGTAGCATGTGATCGCCATCGAGCAGTGTCGCCGCACTGGCCTTGCTCACAAAGAAGTGACTATGGGTATCGCGGTCATACCGACCATGTTTACGATCCACTTCATCCTTCTTGCCGCGATTGTATTTCTCCCTCAGATGCTTCTTGTTGTTAGCACCGAAGCCGCCTCCAAAGGCATTCACGTCTTGTCGAAGGAGTCGATGTTTCTCTAGTGCAAGGTTCATATGGAACTCGCAGAATTCGGTGCGCTTCTTGTTGACCCAAGAGTTACAGAGGTTGCCGTCTTTCTTGACCGATTTGCAGTAGCCCAGATCTCTGGCTGTGCCTATCTCGAGTATGGCGTCACCGTCGCTGTTGATGACCAGACTGAACTTGTTTGTTGCTTCGCGGCCCTTAGGGGGTGGCATGACGGTGGGGTTGAGTATCGCGATCAGCGTGCCGGGTTGTAGCTTCCAATATCGAGAGAAGGCAGTGTTGAAGAGAAACAATTCGATTTGCCATGTGAGATCAACCAGAGTGATAACCATATACTTGCCACGGTCCTCCTCTTCGGCGAATTTGGATTTCTTCTCTCGTAGTTCGGTACCCGGCATAGGCTTGTGAGTTTTGGGTTCGGACTTGGATGCCACGATCCCTAAAACCACGATGTCTTGCTCCACTTCGGGAAGCTGGAAATCGGGCGCTATGACATCTCTCAGCAAGTCTTTGATGAGCAGAGTCTTTCGAGTACTAAATGTTCGCGTGAGGAGGTTATGCGGTAGTATTCTCTTGGAAAGATGGGTGCTGGAGTAGGGCTCGAAGGATGTTGCTTCATCTTCAGGGACTTCTGACGGTGCAACTCTCTTCTTGCGCAAGGCTGACTCGAAGTCTGCTGACGAGTTTGCCTCCGGGTCCTGTGTTCCGCCATCTCTGCGCTTTCGTATGCCATTACCCGCCACAACATCCTCACGGCTAAATGTCTCTGGTTCTTGGAGCACATTGGGTATCTCGGTTGCTCTTTCTTTGTATCTTTCCACTTCGTCCTGACCGACCTCAAAGGTCTTACTCCTGACCTTTTGTATCCTCTGCTGTTTATCCTTTCGACTTGTCTCCTCTGTTCTAGCGGCAGCCAGTCGCTCGCTGAAGGTCATGGGTCGGTCCTGCTCGAAGGAAGACGAGGCATCCTGGCTACCGGGGGCTGGTGTGCGGGCACGTCGTAGATAGCCCCCGGTTTGCCCGTTGCGAGTCTCGGTAGGTCTGCGCAAACTTGGTGCTCGCTTCAAGGAGACGTCACTGGCTTTGAGGCCCTTGTCGATGCCCAACAAGACTCGGCTAGGCGATTTTTGCTCGGATACTGTCTGTGCCCTTCGCACTGGTGACGCGGGGACTTGTACTTCCGTCTGAGATTGTGGTCGTATCCTCGGGCCCTCCGCAAGCATTGCTGCGCGAGATTGGGCTCGGCTGGCAGCCAGGACGTCGGGCACGGTCGAGCCCGGTCTGTTGTTGTGTGTCGAGCCGTTCTCGGCGTCTGATGAACCCCCTACGGCTTTCTTCTGTTTCTTCTGGAGAGCCTTCAACTTGAGTTTCGCCTCGATGGCCTGCAGCTTCAGCTGTAATGTCTCCTCGTCTTCTTCCTCATCTTCCCCGTCTTCGGCATCATGGTCTCCATCCCGATGGCGGACGTTGAGGACTGATATGGATCTTGACTTCTTCAGAGGCGAAGGGGATGGAGAAGTCCGTTCGGCCATGCGACGTAAGCGCTCGCGACCGCCTGGAGTGCCGATCAGAACATCGTGGGGTGATCGCGGGGGCCATTGGGCCTGTTTGGTAGGGCTTATTCCTTTGTCCAGGGTGAGCATCGCAAGAGAGGTGTTGTAGTGGAGGGCTTACTTTGAGGCATTGTGCCTTTCAACTATTGCTGCCCTGCTAGCAGCAAACCATTTCTACCGTGCTGTCGTAGGTGGGAGCCGAAGAGTGTTGTGTTGTCGCACCTACTTCCGCTTTCGTACTCTCACGAAGGAAAGGATCAAATCAAATGTGCTTGCTTGTTTGCGACTTGCAAGGGGCCCGGCAGCACTTATATCGGCCAATCAATATAGACGTGGTTCAACAGGGGTAGCCAGCTTCAATTCGTAAACCAAAGAGAATGGTTAATCAGGTTCGTTTGATCTAGACATGAGGAGGGGCGCAATCCCTAGACGACCTGGAAACGATTGCGAGCGACTTTCTTATCAGTTAAACAAGTCTCATGATAAGGTTGGTAATTAGGGTAATTGGGGGTGGTTAAGTCTCGTCTCGTTTCCAGCGGGTGAAACTACGCAGTCTAGGCACGGGTACGCGTTCTGAATGAGATGAGACGGTGGAAAGCGTGAATTATCTCGGCTCTCCGGAGCCAAACCTTTCCTTGGGGTAGATAGTAACCCCCTGCTGATGTGATAGAGTAGACGGTAATTGATGGGGACGAAGGGAAATGTATATACTTGTTTTATAAATTCCTTTCCATCACTAGAATCTGCTCTAAATCATTAGTTGTGTTATCAGTTCTCAATAAGTTGAATTATTCCATGCGGACTGCCTAGAACAGCGAGATAAGCCACTAACCCGACGTTAGTCTCCTTGAGAGGAACGCGTCTCCGAGTCGCGTTTACAGGGGTCCTGCGTATAAGACAATTCGGCATTGAATACTCATGCGGCCTACATGGGACAGCGAGTATTCACCGGTTGTATGTACTTGGTTTTTTTTGGGGGGGTGTTTTTTTTTGGTAGCCTCAATTACTTCACTATCTCGTGATTGACAACCAACAACCCTCTTTCTGGATAATTGTAAACCTATCTTCTGTTCCGCAGTTGGCCATAGAAAGACCATGGCGCGCACACGCTCCAGAGGCGGCGCAACCTCCGGGACCTCCAAGTCTACCACAAAATCACAGCCATCCTCCACCACAGAATCGAGATACACCCTGCCACCAGAATCCGCGAACCCGCCTAAAATCTTCATCTTGCCCACGAGAGCCACCCCAGAAGCCCGCGTCGTCTCTCTGCTGAACCCACGCTATGGCAAGCCCACCCGGTACCTGGCATGTCCGGAGACGGGCATCTACGAGTTTACCAAGATCGCGGCGCCGCAAAGCACGCCGCGGAGCTGGCTGATCGAAGATGGCAGCAAGAACCAGGACTCGGCCTCGGCCTCGGCGGGCAAGGAAGAAGGAGAGGCTGCCCGAGACCCCGACGCCAACTTTGGCGCATACGTAACAAAAGGGGCAGACCTGTTCATCGCAACGCCCATCGACCCCCTATTCATGGTCCTCCCAGCGCTGGTCGGACAACCCTCGACCTCTAGGCCGGAGAAGAAACTCTTCCTGACGAGCGACGATCACTTCGATGCGGTGGCGCGGGAGTCGTCGCCGCACTTCTCCGAGATCCTGCGATGGGGCACCTTGCGGCAGCTGCTGGAATCGCGCATGGCCGCCATATGCGACACGGTGGACGCCGGCGACGAGTCGATGTATAGGCTGAGCGAAGAGAAGCTTCTACAGAAGCTGCTGGACAAGGCGAGACAGGTGAGCAAAGACGGCCTGCCGACGAGTATGGAGGAGAAGTTTGTCGCCAAGGCCCTCGAGGCACCCATGCTCAGCGTGAAGAGAGAGGCTGCGCCGACGGGAAAGTGTGAGCCGGCCACGGATTCGAGCGCTTCTACACCGAAAACCGAGGCGGTGGAGACCCAGTCGTCAGTCTCCTCCACAGACACTACCTCGACCCGAGTATCGGAAGCGTCCACGGCTGCGACCTCGGTAGCGGCTGAGGAGGAAACAGTGGCTGCAGCCGAGGCCTTTGAGCTCAAACCCGCAATAGTCGCTTCTTCGGAGATCATCTCACTACAGAGATTGCGGGTAGCATTTTCGTTTATACTCTCGAGTTATATCGCACCGTCGCAAGCATCTTCACTAAAAGCCCTGCTGCTGGAAAAGAAGGGCCTTGCCGACTTTGCGGCATTGGATGAGTACCTCGCCCAAGTTGCCAAGTTCAGACAAGACGCTGTAGCGTCGCGGTCTGTGGCAGACTACTCGCGGAAACGCGTGCTGGACGACGACGAGCTCGCGGAAAGGGCCGAAAAGAAGCGCAGGAAGGAAGAAGAGGACAAGCGCCAAAAGGCCGGAACGAGCAGAGGCGTGAAGAACCTGGGTAAAGTCAATGTCGCCGGCATGAAGAAGATGAGCGACTTCTTTAAGAAGAAGTAAACATCCGACGGAAGCAAGACCAGTTGGTCACAAAGCCATGAGAATGGCGCTTGGTGTCTAGGTCTCGTTATGGCGTTGTCTATGTCTGGGTATATAGTGTGTGGCTCTCTGCAGAGTATATCACAGGGTATATTATATCCACGTACTTGAAATGACAATTCCAAGGAACGTTCTTCTCGCTCCTGCACATGGCCATATGCAAAGCGATGCTTCTGGTTAGGTCCCTCTCGCACCTCTTGCTCTGCCTCTGGTGCCGCCGAGCCCCCTTCCAATTCCGCTTGCGCTTCTAGAGCTAGCGAAGCTGGCCGAGGGCTCCTCTGTGCTCTCTGCCGCCTTTCTGGTACCATACGCGCTCACACCTCCCCTCGTTCCCCTGACACCCGTAACACCGCTGCCTCTCGCCATTGTCGATGCTCTGGTGCCCCTGACGCCCGTCACGCCACTGGTACCCCTCGTAGTGCCTCTCGTACTGCCGACAGCTCTCGTCGTCCCTCTTGTCGTTCCCCTAGCTGGCCCCCTCGCCGGCCCCCTCGAACCCGACGCCCCACCACTGGCCGCGGCCTCCCGCCTAGCAGCATCCTCGGCGCGCTTCCTCTCGACCTCAAACTTCCTGCGCTCCTCCTCCATGGCTCTGCGCTCCACGGCCGCCTGCCGCAGCCTCTCCTCGTTCTCGACCTCCCGCAGGTCCTCGCTCGCGCCCCTCCAGTCCGGGTTGAGGATGAGCTTCTGGTTGTGCTCCGTCTGGCTCAGGATCCGCGTCCAGGTGTTGAGCAGAGTGGACGCCGTGTTGACGGTCTGGGAGACGGTGCCCATGTTGCCCCTGGCGCGCTCCAGCGTGCCGATGACGCCCTCGAGCAGCTCGTTGATGTTCCGCACGCCGTGCAGCTCGCGCTGCAGGGCTTCTTCGCGCGTTGCCGGGTCCGAGGAGGAAGAGGTGGTGGATGCGAGGGGATCGGTGCGCGGTGGTGGGCCGGTGGGCGTTTTCGGCGTCTTGGGCCGCTCGGGCAGGGTGGCCTTCTCAGGTGAGAAGGCCAGTTCTGACGAGTCCAGGTCGGACATCTTGTATGACTGATGGATTTGGTAGGGCGATGTGGGCGGTGTTTTTTTTCTTCTTGGATTTACAATAGCCAAGTCAATCGTGCACTACGGGTATTGTATGGCGGGTTGGGTGCTGTGTTGGCCACACCAAAGTCAGAAACTGTGCTGTCAAGAGGGGCAATAGCTATAGCCTTGATTGGTGTTGTGTAGTAATAAATTGCTTATGTCTCCGATGCAGGAACAACTCGAATCAAGTTTCTCGATGCTGTAGCACAAGCTCTTCTCAATGGCGCAAGTCTTGAAACGGTGTGTTTACTATGGTGGCGCAACAAAACAAATGACGACGGGCGTCTTCCCCTCTCACGGGTAACGATAGGGCTCAAACTGTCCGGCAATTGGGCTGACGCACGCTGGGACAGGCGGGGCGATTAGTTTCTGCAGGGTTTTGGTGGACGACGATGCAGTCGCGACGCGTCAAAACGGGGTTCTGGATTTCGGATCCTGGATCCAGCACAAGCGAGGGATACATCGGACGCGTTTTGGGCATAAATCCAGCAGACACGACCGCTGACAAGGGTCCAAAGTGGGTGCTCATGAGCTGGCCTATATGATGCTGAATTGGGACAGCCGTATTCTGTATGGTAAACCTCTAGACTAGCTGTCGACAATCATGAAAAGTATGGGGTTGATGGTTCTAGTTCATGGGCCAAACGGGACGAGCGAAACAAAATGAAATAAAGAGAAGAGGAAGAGAGAGAGAGAGAGAGAGAGAGAGAGAGAGAGAGAGAGAGAGCAAATTCCCAGCAAAGTCGTCCATATAGCCAGGCGGGCTGCTTGGTGCTGTATCCATGGTGTATAAAGCCAGACAACGACTCAGGTTCGGTTCAACTGCGATGATAATACCTGTTACAGCAGCCATGTGGTCTTCACTCAGTCGAACATTGGACGGGAAAAACTCACCAATACCTACGAACATAATGACTTTGTATCAATAGAGGTTGTGATGAAGTGCACTGCAACGTAAGACAACAGGCCATGAGAGACAGGGATCGGCTGTTTACCATGTCCGAATGGCTGGCAAGAATGATGCACGTCCCCCAAATTCCTGACAATGAGCCGAATCCCCAGCCATGCCCACCCAGCCACTTTCCTGTGCATCTGACCTTGCTCATCGTCGACCTCTTCTCTTCACATCGCACACATATTCTCACCAACTTCATCGTCGACCCCCTGAAACTCGACTGCATATTTCCCGATTTGATACTCACAAGCGCACTGCCTATAGGACATAATCTTGAGAGGACATTACTCACCAATCGACTTGTCGCCTTGAATTCGCATTCACCGCTGGAGGAATCCGTGTGGAGAGGGAGAGAGAGATCATCTCAACACCAACATCAGACAACAGCCTCGGATCGACAGCATCGCTTATTCGCCGCTCAGCTTCAAAAACAGTCCCTACATCGGGATATTTAGCGATCAGAAGTGTACTGTTTGTTGTTGTCTACGACCTCAAAAGGGTTGCTTTGGCTTGCATCATCTGCTCGAACTTGCACCGGCCGTCTACAGTGGAACGAGACGTCTGGCCTATTCGAACCCCCCGTTGACAAATTGGTTTCTCGAATCCCTTGGTGGAAAACTTTGGCGCCTGGTATCGGTCTCGCTTTGGGCTGGTTCGAATTTGGTTACACGCACTGGTTACTTGGTGTACGGTGAGCCAATATCAACATTCATATTCATTTGGAATTGAGTTTCTGGCTTGCAACGCTTTGGTTCAAAGTGCTCGCTCCGCCCCACTTTCACAATGGCCGCCGTTCAGGTTCAGGTGTCCAACACGCCTTCACCTCCCCCACGCGTCCGAACACCTCAAACTCCAAAGTTCGGCGCGTTTGGTGACAGCTGGATGCCCTACTCGCCGCCAAGAAAATCCGCAAGAATTGCCAACCGCACACCTTCACCCTACTCGTCGACAACATCAGCATCCCGCGACACAACGTCAAGGAAATCAACATTTTCAACCCCAGCGACATCCCCTCAAAAGAAGCGCGCCCCCGCCATGGACTCGGTCATTCGCGCATCTCGCGCATCCCACGCATCTTCCTCACGCGCTGACAGCGCCCGACACGCAGCCGATTTGCTGACCATTGGACCGTCAAAGCCGCATCAGAAGAGCACCGCCGCCATGCTTCCTACCCCAGCCAAGACCCCGCGCAAGCAGCCTGATGACAAGCTTGAAGCCGGTGTCCGCGGCATTGCCCGCACTCTCTTCCATGGCGAGTCATCCACAGCTGAAGCTGTTGCCTCGCCCCGCAAGAGAAAGGCCAAGACGTACTCTGGCGTTTCATTGCAGAGCTTCAGAGCTGAGGAAGTAGACGAGGAAATCCCCATCTTCACCGATACTCGTGATAGACTCCCCGAGGTGGATGCAAGCAACGACAACCCTTTCTATGGCAACACAATTGAGAATCAGCAACCCAGCACCAGCACACGACGAAGTACCAGGGTCAAGAAGGTCCTCGTTCCCGGCATGGGCAGAATTCCTGTCGATGAGGCTGTCCAACGTGGCGATGGCATAGTCTACGTATTGTAAGTTTTTATCCCATCTTCGCAATTTTCGTCCCACAGCAGGCTTTTCATCTCATCTTTCAAACCGTTGAACTAACATTCTATCTTGTAGCCGTGGGAAATCTTTCTGGAAGCCGCGCGAGGATGGCAATTGCGGCGATGATGAGCACCCCGCCGAAAACCCTGAAGCCGACGCCGAGGTCCTTGTCCTGCCTTCGTTGCAACGTTCTGGATCTCCGCCTCGACGAACAACCCGCTCCTCAATGAAGCCCCGCCTTCTGTTCCCACGACAGGCGAAGCCAAAGGTCAGTCTCGAGACCGATGATGAGGAGGCTGCCACCGACATTGAGGACCACGTCTTGGCCGACAATGCCGAGCCAGAGGTGCAGGAACCTGAAGTCGAGACGCCCACGCTCGAGGAGCCGGCTGAACCGGACACACCTTCCGCACCCCGCTTTGCGCCTGCATCTCCTCCCACTACTGCCCGTGCTACTCGTGTGAGCAAGAGATTGACCGCAGACGACACTCCGGCAAAGCGTACCAGTAGGCGCAGCCCGTTTGACGCCTGGCGACGATCCAAGAGCAGTGCTATTACTGCAGGTCACAAGCGTGAGGCCGACACCATCCTCCAGAACGATGGAGCACTGAAGCGCCCGCGTGCTTAGGCGGCACAGGTCGACCCAGAGAGGGACTTGACGGCGGCCTATCTCCGACACCGTCTCCACTAGTAATTGTCGAGCTCATGCATTAGCACTTTTGTTTATTTCGTCATGTTTAGGCCCTTTGCGGGTCAGGAAAGAGAAGAGGGCGTTCGATGATGATTTTGCGATGTGGCATGGCGTTTTGGGGGTTAATCAGGGAATCCATCACAGCCGCGCTCCACCTATGTATTTCGCGCCACTCTTGAGCATGTATTTCGGTTGGTCCATAATGTCATGAGGCATTTCTCATGTTGCCGCCTCCAAAATGCGAAGCTGGTTTTTTTTTTTTTTTTGTGAGCAGGAACTGGACACTGCTACGGACACGGATAGATAGTTTCTCAGGGAGAATGACTACTTGTATAGTCTCACAACCTATTGTAGTGACCATCTGGTAGTGATTTCAGTGATCATTGTAGTGATATCCACGAATGCACACACCATTGCGGGTGGTCCCTCGATTGCGCAACAACAGTAGGTAGATAGAGCGGGTTGAGTGATAATTATAGTTTCGCTGGTCATCTCTCGGCTCAAATCTACCTAAATTTCTATTCCACTTCCAAATGGTAAGCCCCCCACCTGACTCATATCATCACATATCCTCATGCCCCCTACCATGACAGGCGTCAACCTGTCTAGATTAGACTGTCATATTTGTCCAACCCCGATTTCTGATTCTGTTGCTGCGGTGGCGGTTGCTGTGCCCCGCTCATGCCTCCCATACCCATTCCCATTCCCATCCCCATGTTAGTATTGCTCATGCCGCCGCCCATTGAGTTCATGCTACCCATCGAGTTCATGCTCATATTACCCATGCTGCCTCCCGTGTTCATGGGTTTCATCGCACCCATACCGGAGCCCATCATAGAATTCATGTTGTTCATACTGTTCATGCCGCCCATAGTGTTGTTCATGCTACCGAAGCTCGACGTTCGGCCGAATGATGATGACGATGATGTCGTCAGTCCCATCTGGCCCATCTGAGGTCCGCCGGGGGGTTTGGGAAGGCTGAACCCGGACGGAGTGCTGCCGGAGCTTGGCGGGGGCGCGAGCGAGAAGGACGACAGGCTGGACTGCATGGGCGGCCGTTGCTGATTCAGACTCATGCTAGACATGGATGTTACTGGTGGGGACATTGGGTTGTTGGCTGCTGAAGAGGCCCAAGGGTTTGCGACTGCTGCACTGGGTGCCGGCGCGGCCCAAGGATTGGCCGGAGCTGCTGTAGCTGGACTGGCGAGAGCACTTGTTGGCTGCAGAGGTTGGGAGTACTGGGTCGATTGTGGTGAGAGTGCCTGGAAGTTGGCCAAGTCTGGAGTCACCGTCCTGAAAGAGGATTGAGGCTTGGGAGGTGCGCCCAAGCCTCCTGTTGCCCCTGGAGCTGCGGTTGTGGGGCTGGGCGTAGACCACGAGAATGCAGGTGTAGGTGATTTCGCACCTGTACGTGGTGAGGCAGCTCTTGCAGGGCCTGCCGAGTCCCAACCATTCGAGTCCATGGGGTTACTCGAATCCAGAGCACCTGTGGCTTTCCCTTTGACCAGGCGCTCAAAGTCATCAACCGTGGCGCCGTTTGTTGATTCGAATTGTGTCCCGGTGACTCCTCCAAATGCCATGAAATCCTCGTTCTCCAGTGCCTTGCCGTTGGTAGCCCCTCCAGAGAGCTCCTGTAGCTTCTTAGTTTGCTCGTCCTCGACTCGTCTGGATAGTGACTTGATCAAATCCATGAAGGTCTGGAATTGCTTCAAGTCGAGCAGCGGACCCAGACTCATGCTCCAGAGGATAGGCAGGATGTCCATAGCCACAAAATCGGCATCGGCGACATCTCCAACTATTCGCAGTACGTTCAATGCTGCCACCATAACTGCGGGTTCTTTTGTCTTGATCGCTTTGATCAGGGGTACGATCTTTTCCTGCATTGTGTACTTGTCAAGCGCACTAGATGACGAAGTCTTTTTCTTCTTTTCAACGCCAAAGCCATCAAGGCCATCGCTGCCACCTGACGGGTCATTCGAGCCACCACAAAGTACGACAAAGGCTTGTAGCCCCCGAACCTTTATAGCAAGACTGTTTGTTTTACTGAACACCATGGCGATAATTGGGAACAGCTCGCTCTTGATGGTGCTAAAGTCTAATATCGGCAAGATAGCAGGGAGTCCTCGCATGGCTACATCCACCAAAGCAGGGGTAGGGGACTCGATGGCTGTCATCAGAATTGGCAATATGTCTGAATTCGTTAGCACCATAACCTCGGGGCTTTAATGCTGATATCACTTACCGTCCTTGAATTCTTTGCCAGAGCAATTGGCGGCAATCGTGTCGGTGTTCTCGAGAACCGTCATGAGACCAGCATCTCTGGCAGGATCTTTTTCTTGTGCCTGCTCTTTTTTGACATTGGTGACAAATATCTCCTTTAACTTTGGTCGGACTAGTTCGCTAAACGACCGCTTGCCGGAAGGTAGCAGCTCGATGATTTTGAAGATATTCTGTAAGATTAGAGACAGCAGCTCCCGATCTTTGAGTTCTTCCAATAAGGCGGGCAGAACCTTACGTTCCATTACGGACTTCGGGAACGATGGCAGAACTTTGTTCAATCCCCTCATGAAAGATTGTTTTTCGTTCGGCGTTTTCTCTGGAAACGAGTCCAGGAACCGTATCGTCGACACCAGTATGTTATCAAAGTACTCGCTATCCTGGAACTCCTTGGCGGTCATACGTTGGGCGGGCCTCCGTGTTATCAAGCGTGGCAGTACGTAGTTTGCTAGCTCTTTCGGCAAGGGTCTTTTTGACAAGAATTGGTTTGAAGCGGATGGAACCGTGGAAGACGAGTTAAACAAGCGTTTATATGTTGATATGCTGGAGTGACATTCAATAGGGGATTGGTGTGGCGAGTTGTATAGTGCGACGCATAGAAGTCCTAGTGAGAACATATCTGCAGACGTGGTAAGGTTGTTGTCTAGAACAAAGTCCGGGGAAGTATAGTCGAGATTCAGCTGTACATGTTTGGGCAATCGCGGATCCAAATTGAGTGCTTCCGACAAGCTGATGGGTTGTACCGACGTGGGTTTAGTAGATCCTTCTGGCGGACTACAGAATGCCAGTCCACTGATTTTCCAATCTGATTTGGCATTGACAAGAATAGCGTCTGGTGTCAAATTGCCGTGTGCCAGTCCAGCATTCTCGTGCAGGAACTCAAGAGCTTTACTGACTTGCAGTAGGCCTTTTTGGATCTCTAGCTCATCGATCTCGAGCTCCCTCCTGCGCCGCGTCCCATCAGCATCTTCGGTGACGTAGCGGCTGGCCCTGCCTCCAACACCTCCAGATCTTTCTTGGTCATCCTTCTCAGCGAGTAAACTGCTTAGGGATGCGGTCACAGCTTCAGTTACAAATTGCAGGCCTCCTCCTCGTGTTTCCTCGACCGGTTCTACCAATTCCAGCACACTCGGGTGCCGTAGCCTGGCTAGAGATGATGCCTCCTTTTTTAATCGTTCCACGACCTCCTCGGCGGCCTTTTTGAATGCAGACGCACTTGACCGGCCGAGCGAGTTGCCGTGAGAATCTAGCGACTTCCTATCAAACACGAACAACGAATATGGCTTCTTGGTCTTCTTCGAGGTCGCATCGTATATCTTCCATGGCCCGGCGGTCGAAGTGAGATTGGTCGCGATCGAGTAGTTGCTCGTAATGTTGGAAGTGAAGCTGCTCTTCAAGGAGGAAAACATGATGCCCACAAATAAGCTGCGCACCTGCGCCGCACACGCTTCGCGTAGCAACCTCTGGTAACAGAAGGATGTGACCCTTGATTATCGTGTGAATGCCCTAGCCCCTATCATACAGCCCATTTATCATTGCTCTCGAAACATGAACAGCCGGTGACGCCGGTGTGCCAGCTCTTGGTTTGGGCAAAGACGGCCCAATCACACAATGAAAGGTCGTGGCACTTGTAAAGAGCCTTTGATCATCACACTGAATGCGCCGTATTACTATTATTGTTGTTCTGTTCGCCCCGGAGCAAGCACGGAGTCGCCCAAAGACTACGTTTCTTTTCGCTGGGCTGGCGGTCGTGCTGGCGCGCGCCCCTGAATATGATTCGCGACAGGTCGGTCTCACGTTATCGTTATCGCCGGCAGCAAGAAGCTCACAAGATCAAGTATAAGCCGAGTTCTGGGCGCAATAGCAGATCGGTTGGATCAGAGAGCAGTCGATATGATGGGTTATTTGGGCGCCTTATCAGCAAATGTCGAGTCAATTCTGGAAGATGACAGATGCAGCTTTGCTTTATTATCGAAAGCGCCAAGATTGCTCGACTTTGTCCTCTGAGACATACAGCTTACCTAGTAGAGACACAGCTGGCGTTTAGTGGGGATGAATGTACCAACACAATAGGGCAGGCACTCTCTCAAGAATGAGTGTAGACGTGTAGCAGGTTGCAAATCAGACCAATTATGTATACAGCTAAGGGTGAGGGAGGTACACTTTGTTTCGTACTAGTCCAGCTAAACAGCTTACTTGTATGAAAACAATCTCAAGAATCACACTTGTATAACCGACCGCAACAATTCGCTTTGCATTGAACTGAAAGTATGTAGCTGTTCCAGCACGCCGGAGGCTACCGACAAAGGTAATAACTTATGTACCAAGTAAATAGCACAAAGCACCAGGCGTCGCAAGCTGACCTAACTCGGACTCTTATTGGCTCGAGCCCTTGCACACAAACGTGAGAGGTCGGCCGAGTGAGCGGCGCCCAAGACTCCCAAGGCGCCCAAGACGCCCTGTCGCGCTCCGAAACCGCTGTGTGAGCTCGCTTTAGCGGCCTTCTATATTATTTTCCCGTCGTGACAGATGCATCCCTGAGCTTACTACTACAAGCCTGCCATTGACCCAATTGACTCACTTGTCTGACTCCTACGTTGGTGCATTGTGTACTTTAGACTGTTCTGGTATTTATCTCTGGATTTTGGTGTTTGTAGATATTCGATTGTGCCTTCACACCGCCTACAACAAGAACACCGCAAATATGCTACGACAGATAGTTCCTCGAGCTGGGAGGGCTTTCAGAGCACCCGCTGCTCGCCAATTGCTTCCCTTGGTCTCGGGACAAGCAGCAAGATGCTACAGCATCCAACCTAAAGCAGCCTCGGACTCTAAGCCCGTCGGCCTCGACCCGTCAAAGCTCACCATCACCAAGACGGACTCGCCCAGAACCCCTAGCGACCCTAAAACACTCGTGTTTGGCCGATCTTTCACAGGTAATGCGAACCAGTATCACGGACCCTGAATCCTTGTGCTAACCGCTCCTCCTCCAGAACACATGCTCACCATTGAATGGACACAACAAGACGGCTGGCTCGAGCCCAAGATCACACCTTACCAGAACCTGTCGCTCGACCCGGCAACCTGCGTGTTCCACTACGCCTTCGAGTGCTTCGAGGGCATGAAGGCGTACAAGGACAAATCGGGCAACGTGCGTCTGTTCCGGCCGGAAAAGAACATGGAGCGGTTCAACAAGTCGTCGGCGCGCATTGCCCTGCCGACCTTTGAGCCCACGGCCCTCATCGACCTGATCGCCAAGTTCGTCAAGCTCGAGGAGAAGTTCATCCCCAACGAGCGCGGCTACTCCCTCTACCTGCGCCCGACCATGATCGGCACCCAGAAGACCCTCGGCGTCGGCCCTCCCGGCAGCGCCCTGCTCTACGTCATCGCCAGCCCCGTCGGCCCTTACTACCCCACGGGCTTCAAGGCCGTCTCGCTCGAGGCCACCGACTATGCCGTGCGCGCCTGGCCCGGCGGTGTGGGCGACAAGAAGCTCGGCGCCAACTACGCGCCTTGCATTGTGCCCCAGCTCGAGGCCGCCAGCCGTGGGTTCCAGCAGAACCTGTGGCTGTTTGGTGAGGAGGAGTACGTTACCGAGGTCGGCACCATGAACATGTTTGTCGCGCTCAAGAACAAGGAGACGGGCCAGAAGGAGCTCATCACCGCGCCTCTGGACGGCACCATCCTCGAGGGCATCACGCGCGACTCGATATTGTCGCTCGCCAGGGAGAAGCTCGCCCCTGAGGGCTGGGCCGTTGTCGAGCGCAAGTACACCATGAAGGAGCTCGCCGAGGCGTCTGAGGAGGGAAGGCTGATGGAGGCCTTCGGCGCCGGTACCGCCGCCATCGTGAGCCCCGTCAGGAAGATCAGCTGGAAGGGCAACCTCGTGGACTGTGGTCTGAGCGACTTGGAGGAGTCAGGTGAGATCGCGCTGAGGATGAAGGGCTGGATGGAGGCTATCCAGTACGGCGACGAGCCGGACAACGCCTGGAGCTACCCTTGCTAGATCGCCTAGAGAACTAGAAGAGGTATGACTGTAGTTGGACATCCCAACACGGGTTTTGACGCGGTCGCGAGATTTGGCGCATTTACATGGCTAGAGAAAATGTACTTCTGGCGCCTGGCGTACGCGGCTATAATAGCATAATCAAATAAGATTTACCGAACCGAAGCCTTAAATGACTTGTGCTCTTGAGTGGTCTCTGTAATAAAGAGTACATAAATATGCAGACTTTTGAGCTTATTGCCAATACTGCTACAGGTGAGGGTTATCATGAACCAGGTCGTGAAGAGATATTCCAGTTTTTAGGTTTTTTTTTCTGTCTCCTTTCTTGGGGTGTTTTTTTTTTCGAGCAAACCGTTAAACCTTCTACGCTCTAATATATCACGCCTATCAGGCAAGACGAGAATCTTAGCAATAGGCGAGTTGCAGGAGGTTGAGCACACATGAGCCTCTAAGCAGGGGCATGACAGCAGCACCTATAGGAGAAAGAGCGCAAGTGACTCAAATCAAATTTGCACCGGTGAGGGATTGACCTTGCCGGCTGTCTAGTCGGGAGCGACCCGTCTATGATATGCTGCTGCTGTCCCTCTAACCGTCCTCAATCCATCGACAGCAGTGCCTAACCACAAAAGAGAGTAGTAAAAAAAATTCGGAATATTTGCAAGGTCATATACAGATGGAGTCGTTTGAAGTTTGCCGAGCTTGTCGTAGCTGTCCGGTCATTTTTTGTTCACCCGTGCAGTTGTGTAGTTCGTCGTTTCCTTTGCGCAACGAATCTTTTACTTCTTCTCCGGGTCTTCCAAGATGCCCTCGGCTTCTAATCTCCTGCGTGCCTCCTCGAGAGCCCAAGTCTGTATCCTGTAAGACAGTTAGCAGCGGCGCCTGTGAAGTGGCCACTCCCAAGTCCCTCGGACTGCTTTCTCGGAACACGTCTGTCTCAGCACATGCATCGCTTGCCATCCTCCTCCTCCCCTTCATCTAACTCTTTCTGGATAACAGAGCTTACGCCACTCTTTTCCTCCCTAATTCTCCTGACCTGGCTCTTCGCAATCTGGAAGGAAAAGACAGGAGACTCACGAAGTATCCGGCTTGAATCCATACGCAATAGCCGCCAAGACGATGGAACCGCAGAACCCGTAGAAGAAAGGCTTCTCCCAGCCCTCATTCTTGTACGTCTCGCCGGGCTTGACGCCGAACAACCATCCGGATGGGGGGTCGTACTGGGGGCCGTGGCTGGCCTTCTGTGTGGCGGTCGACGAGAAAGGCCGTGTCGCCGCGGACTGCGAGGTCGACTGCAGGGCGCGGGTTGCGCGTGCAGCGGCTTGGGGACGAACGGCGGGCATGGTGCGTCTGTGGTGTCGATGGGTGCTGGGGAGGTTGCTTCGATTTCCCGTCGTCGAACTGATGATGAACCGAAAAGAGAAGCGGGCGGTAAGAGTGGAGAGCTTCGACCCGACCGGCAGTGTTGCGTTGCGAAGGTACGTCGGGGGGGTGTGATGGATTGTCGTTGAGTTGAGTCGAGCAATTGAGGAGAGCTTTGGCTGGTTGAGCGCTGCTAGCACAGGCGAATGGGCGGTCGAACGGACTTGAGAAAGAGCGGGTCGCTCATCACGTGAAGTGCGGGTCTTCTCGAGGTCACAAACTTCAAGCGCAGATCTTTCACTCGCTACAAAACTCGCTCCTGCTCTTCCCTTCCCAACATCAGAAACCATCCCAAGTTCTGCAACCAATTCTCTGCATAAACACTTCTGGTGTTGGTGAACGACTGCTTGCGAAATGAGCACTTGAACTATATCGGTAAGTTTTTGCACATTCTCTTCACTCTCATCCGCGCTCTGCGTGGTTTTTATGATGATAAACTCTTCCATTAAGAACGGCCAACCGAATATCTGTGTGGACTACCAAAATTATCAAGCTCAACAGTCTGATTAAAAACACCAATCAACATTCTTTCTTAAACACACCTTCTGCTATGCGCTCGTGCTAACAGATTCAAAGCTCTAGGCAATATCGCTCGTCCTGCGTGGGTGTGTGTGTGTGTGTGTGTGTTGTACCATTGTCAACTTTTGGCGTCTTGAGATCAAAGACGTCAGTCACCATGCTCGGGACACGGTAGGTGTATCTCATTCGTTCGATTTCCTTCTCTCCATAATGATGAGTACTCTACGTTACCCAGCTCACTCAGACGCAAATTGCGGTTGCTGAGAAAACGTCACATCTACTACTGAATGGAGATCAACTATCTTGTTGTTTTTGCACTTGACTATACATGGGCTTGGACGCTGCATATCTCGTTATGTCTTGCATATCCCCAGCATTTTGTATCTATCCATACTAGTTTACTATAATTTATTTTTTGAATTGAAACCCTGGTCTCACATGCCTTACATTATCTTGTCGAATGTGATGATGCCCTCACTGCCCTCCTCCAGAAACTCGACGATCAGCTTGTCCACTTTTCCGGATGGCCCAATGACGAACTCCGCCTTCGCAAGCTGTCCATTGAGTTTGTTCGGTGTATTCAACATGTCAATGTAAATCACCCAAAACTCACCCGACACACGACCAAAGTCAAACGTCATCTTCCACACTGAGTCTTTGCGCACGGCCCTGAGCTGTTCGGCAGCATCGCTGAGCGCGATGGTGAGGTTACGATACGCCGGATGGAAATACGTCCCAGTGTACTCTTCCAGCGGGAGGGCTCGAGGCAATGGCGGCTGTGCTCGGTCTGGATAGAGCTTGTCTTCGGCCTTGTCGAACTGGCCCCTGAGATCCTCCAGCGATTGCTCAAACCTAGATCACATATGTTAGCCAACCTTCCCGAGCGAGCTCGATATTGAGCTCATCGTGACATACTGCGAGTGCCAATCGTATCTCTGCTCCTCCGGCACGCCCAGCCTGTCATTGATCAGCCGCCACGCCACCATTCTACCGACAAAGTTGCTCGTGACGGCAGTGTTCCCCATGGTCACAATTCCGTATCTCAGCTCCGGGAAGAACCACACGTCCGCGCCGTACGCCTCCATGCCGCCGCTGTGCGTGAAGACCCTGTGCCCCTTGTACGTGTTGACGCGCCAGCCCAGCGCATAGCTCATCTCGCCGTCGTAGCCCTGGGCGCCGCCCGCCGGCACGATCCTGGGCGTCCTGAGGGCCCCGTGGCCGCGCCTGCTCAGCGGTGCCGCCTCGTCCACCAGGCACCGCACCCACCTGGCGTAGTCGAGCACGTTGCTCACGACGGCGCCCGCACCACTCGCTTCCCGCAGCCCCATGTACGGCACCCGCGCGAACCCGCCGTCCCCGGCATCATAGTCCCAGTAGTACCCGGCGGCCAGGTGCTCGGGCGCCGCCAGCGCCTCCTCGAGCGAGAAGTACGTGCTGTGCATGCCCAGAGGGCCCCATATCCAGTCGCGCATCAGCGCGCCCAGCCCGGTCCGCGTCAGGGTTTGGATCGCGTGCGACGCCACCAGATACATGAGGTTGCAGTACCGGTACGTGGTGCGCGGCTCGGTGACCATGGGAAGGTGGCGCAGGGAACGCGCGAGCGAGCGCGCGCTGGCTTTTTCTTCTCCTTCTTCTTCGGACGAGTCGCCGCCCTGGTGGTGGTGCGACGCGAGCGACTTGTCGTGCCGCGCGAACCCCGTCCGGTGCGAGAGCAGGTCTTCCAGCGTCAGGTGCTCCTGCGCCCAGGCGTACTCGGGCTGGAGGACGAAGTCGTCGCGGATCAGCTGCGATATGGGAGTCTGCCAGGACAGGGACGGGTGGTAGGCCCCCGAGTCGATGAGGAGCGAGACGATGGCCGCGGTGAAGGCCTTGGTGGTGCTGCCGCCGTAGAACAGGGTTGAGGGCGTCACGGGCGTCGATGGGAGCGTTGCGTTACCGTAGCCCTGCAACACATCAGTACATAATAGCTACATATCGTGATATTTGACTAGATGTGCAAGTGGCCATGATAGCTCTTGATGACCCAAATGTTCTATATCCAATTTTGAGACCTGATCCGCATTTGAGCGATTTGGTAGTGTTTTTCTCAAGTATGTTGTCGTCCACTGCTCCTCCATAAGCACTGAAGCTTACACGCACATGGACGTGTATAGTCGCTTGATCTTATAATCATCTCACGCCCTCCACCGAGCATATTGCCCACCTCTGCGCTACTGAGTGGAATTCCGAACTCGACTTACCGCAGCCCAAGTATCCTCACCATCGACTATAGCGATCGATAGTCCCGGGACGTGCCATTCTTCCAGAGCTTCAATGGCTAGCTTGTATATATTTGAATTCAGGGGATTCTCCTTCCCTCCCACCAACACCTTCTGTGTTGCCAAAGCCGTGCTTGATATAAGCGCTGTCGCCAATGCGTAGTGGGGCCACAACATCATTGTGTAGTTTGCCTGAGCATGCGTCTTGACTTATCCCAATTGAGAAAAAATGCAGTTGTGGAACGAAATTATAGTCACCCCTCAAACAGCTGAGTGACTACTTCCTGTGTTGTGGCCGGCGAGTATTGACACAAGTCTGAGAAGATTCGGCTATCGGACTATGAACATCGGAGTTGACCGCACCTCTCATGTCAACTGTGAGCACCTCTCCGTAACCCCTGTGGCTATTGTTTTACTGAGCCGCTGGATGTTCATAACGTTATACATCCAGTCATTTTAGCTTTAGTTACTGAACAACAGTAGATGTTCCACCGTGTTAATGATAAAGACTCATTCAAATAGATTTATGGTTTTCCTGGTTGTCATCGCCATGTGCATATCCTCAAACAAAATGTTGATCAAGCTTGTAACATATGAATACAGTCAGTACCTGTGGATCGCTGAAAAAGAGTGCAATTGTACACGGCAATTTGTTTTACAGCTTTATGTGGTTCAATCATTTAGACTTAGTTGGTCGCTTTTTGACGGTTTAGACGTAAGTTGGTGCTTTCTCATTCCAAATCTATCTGCGATTAAGGGTTGGTGTCTTATCGCAAAGATGCATGTTTATGACTACTTTATAGCTTGTGGGTGTCTCAGATTCATTTATGCAAATCTTGTGTTCAAAACACAATCCATCGGCATCGGTTTTCTTCTGCCATGGAACCCACCGCCACGTATGCATTGTAGCTTTCTTTTCCAGCGTCATGCTGAGTGCTCAAATTACTGCGCAATAAGACAATTGATTCTATTGACCTTGTTCTCCGGATATTGCCCAATAAGATGGTTGTGCTTTCGTCTCACGGTATTAGACAGACAAACTTCTGCCAGAACTCTATATGCAACCTAGTGCTCGTAGTTCTGGTGACCCCCTCCTTCGGGAAAGTTACCCAGCGTCCCTCCACGCCTTCAGCGCCGTCATGAATGATGATCAACTATGAAAATCGCTGCACCCAGAGCATATGAACCTGAGCGCCCTGCCAAAAAATGTCAAACCCCTGCATCGCGAAAGTGCACAGTCCCTAGTCCTCACGCTTCAACACCCCCGACTCTCCATCCCTAATGGTCAAAACGGGGTTGTTTAGCGAGTCTATAGCTGTTTCGTCCTCAACAGTGGTTAAGATATGCTGGTGAGCGTTGCCGTCGTATATAGCTGTTCGAACTTTTTGCTTAGGCGGTATCATCTCATGGTCCAGGGTCCACCCAGCGCGTCGAGCCAACTCTGCCACGACCACGTCACAGTCGCCCAGCAGGTCAATATCGAAGTTGATATGTGCAACCGGTTCACGCGAGATATAGATTGCAGGGACATGGGGAGGTAAACAGGGCACGACTTCGGACACGGGAGAAACTTTGAGCGAGGTGCCGATGACAATGACTAGATCTACCAGGTCCATGTCGCGGGCCAAGCGATCATGGAAATCGTCGGGCAAGTCTTCGCGGAAGAAGGTAATGTCTGGCTTCATGATACCGGCCTCCTCGATATTGAAGTCATCGTCTTCATCGGTGTCATCGGAATTGTAGCGTGACCGCTTTCCAGAAGAACCTCGTTTCTTGCTACGCTTGCGCTTCGAGGAGCCATTGGCACGAAGGTGCGAAGTGCACCTATCGCATCGTGGAATTCTGCTGGCTTTGATGTCCGGGAAGATGGTATCGCCGGGGACCTTATAGCCACACTTCTGACAAGTGGCCTTTGCAAAAGAACCATGGCACTGCAATAATTTCTCTGGCATAATTCCTGCGCTGGCCTCGATATTGTCGATGTTTTGTGAATAGTTGGTCAAAAGTTTGCCTTTGTTTTGGAGCAGCGCAATAAATGCATGTGTTGGAGTGAACCGCGTAGTCGAAGGGAGAATATCCTTTGCGACGGTGTAGAAGATGTGGGGGTCGTTGCGAAAGACTTCGATATCGAAAACCTCTTGCGGGTCATTGATGGGCAGTCCTAGGTCGGCCAACTTTGTATATAGACCAGTCTGCGCAGAACGGAAGTCGGGAATGCCGAGAGATGTAGAGATGCCAGCGCCTGTCAAAACCATGATGTTCTTGGACTTTTGGATCAAGGTAGCCGCATCATCAACAGTGTTATACCTCATCAGTTTTGCTCGTTTGTTGAGCTCGCGAGTCATGGCCAACACCAGCAAGGAATAATACTTGTCATCATCTTCACCTTCAAGAAATGGTGGCGGACGCACGCCAAAGGCAGTCAGCAGCTTCTTTGCTTTGATGCTATCATTGAACACAGTGAGCTCCATAAACTCTTCTGGCCCAGAGGATCGTAGCAATTGGCGATACCGGGTGGCCTCTTCCGGTGTGCAGGCCTCAGGGTCTGTAAAGGCATTAGTCAACTATTGCAAAGAAAACAGTCGCGGTGAAACAAAGCTGTAGTATCGCAAGCATATATGGAATACATACCATTTTCAAAGGCTGTCTCGTCAGAGAGGTCTTCCAAAATGTCTTCAAAGAGCGATTCGGTTTCCCATGAATCGTCAATATCTTGAAGACGCTGTTCAAGCTCTGTCAATCGTGGCTCCTGGTTGCGAATTACATCTTGTTTGATCAGATGGCTGACTTTCTGATCGTTATCTATAGGGACCTCTTCCACTTTGATTTGAATGCTGCTCTTCTTGGTTGGTTTCTTGTTCACAGAACCCTTGGGCCTACCGCGACCACGCTTGACTGGTTGCATGATGGAGGGTTTGTGGTATGTGGACTTTGATGGCGTGCTTCTATTATAAACTCTGGCAGTGTGCTGGATGACAACAGCAGGTGCGCAACTTGCAGGGGTGAGTTGTAAAAAGTTGGTATTTGGTGATGCTCAAATCAAGAGCAATGTGGATCTAGGCAAGTGACAGATGCAAAGGTAACGCGCACTTCCACTTAATCCCACTAATAAGGAACGGTCGACGTGTAAGACCAAGTATCCTTGAGACCAGCGTACTGAAATGTGTAACTCGGATTGCCAATAAGACTATCAGCACAATAATAGAGTTTGGGATCTGATGGAGAAATTCCGCGTGTGAAACTACGAAACACGCGTTGTGAGTTGGAGTTGAGCGAGATGTCCTTGGCGGGCAAATTTAGTTGAAAGTTAAGGAGGAATAAAGAAGTAAAGGGAAGAGTCTGAAACCGAGATGCCAACTAGTCTAGTCGTAATTCGAAAGGGTTCCGGCCGGCTAAGTGCCACTTCACAAGTCCGTCCACACTCTACTATGAACCAAGGCCGCTATCTGGAACATATGCTAATAATTGCGGATTTAATGCTCCTTCGAATGTTCTTGTCTATATTGCTTAAAGTACTTGTTGCATTACCTCTTGTTCATCCGTGACGTATCTATCACTAGAAAGCCCCATAATGGCGGCGATCTTTTGTCACGTTCGTTCGTTATTGCGTGTAGTGTAACTGCGCATTTTATTCGGGCTTTCACGATCCTTGCATCATATGACCACACGGTTAGACATTTTTTGTTGCGAGGAAAGAACCATTGTGGTTTTTTTAATGGAAATTTGTCTGTTCCTTAATTCGCCGAGTTCTCTTTGGCAAGAATGCAATAAGTATAGGTATAGCTTCGCCTTGATGCCATTCGCCGATGCAGCCGTGGCTCCAAATTTAGTCATCGGGCCATTCAAGATGCCTGCCGCCTGATCCTTACATGCAATGAGTGCCTAAAAGCTCGCCCGAACATGTGGCAGAAGCAAAGAGGATCGTTTGTTGAGTATTGTTGTCAAACCGAGTATTGCGGAATACAAGATCAAGCGACAAGCGCTTGACTCATGTGTGATGCTGTCCAAGGTGCTCACCGACAATCAAAACTCCGGCACAAGGAACTAGCCAGGGGAAGTGCAGTGAGTAAAGACAGAGGTTTTGGTTGTTATGGAGAGCCGCTGCAGATGCAGTCAGGCGCTAGATATAGAAGTTAGCGCCATGGAGTGCACACCATTTTATGAAAATCTGATTGATTCTTACTACAACTTTCTAAAGGTGTGGGGAAGTGTGAAAAGAATCCATACGCGATCTCGATAATTAACCAAGACAGCATCTTGTTTACCATAACCACAGCAGGACCTGAGCTGGATGGCATAGGATAAAGTGTGGTTTGTGTCTCGCGACTTACACCCGCTGGCTGTGTTTGGACACCATAAGGGTCGGTCGACTGGATCTCCTCGGTTAAGGTTTGCTCTCGCCCATACCTGCTTTTCCGGTCAAAGAAACCGCTTTTCTACAATTCTCCGAGATATTTTCAGCATTACGTTAGTAAGACAGTCAGTCCTCCGAAGGCCCAGAACGTCAATAGTACTATCTCCCGTGCCAGGCTTACTGCCTGCCCCACTATATGCTGGCAAAATTGTCTTTAGCGAGGAATTCTACATAATAAATTCACACCATAACTGCCTACGAGCTGCCAATCCGGTTATGAGTAGATAACGTTTCTTGAGTTTGGGGGATGAACTACATATTCCCGGGGCGTCGATTGTATAAGAGCATGGCAGATTGTTAAGAACTTGTACTGGCCGGTCATTAAGCATGCACACGGGAGAAGTATTGGCCCCAGTCACTATCTCAGTCCAACCTTCCGTCCCGGCCGCATCCGTGTTTTTTTGCCTCTCGCGGTAATCTTGGTGAATCCGCGAGGCCGAGCAAATATCCTTGTGGCCAACGTGGCTACCACATATTTTCATCATGTGATACTGGGAAGAATTGATCTGACCATTTTATGTTATGCCGAATACCCAGCGACTGTTGAAAACAGTTTGAGCGTTGTATCTTCAAATTGTACCTTACTGTATTGAACACGCCGATGAAGTCCGCAGTGGCTGTGATGAACTCTAACTCCTGTGGTTGACGTGTGTAGACTTGCGGGTTCTTCAAAAATCCTACGCATTTTCACATTTGAGATTGTGTTAAGTAAAAGCATGCTTGACGCATATCGAATTTTTTTTTCTACTTCTTTGAATGCAATGGCGTGGCGGATTGAACCATGTAATATATTACAATGTGTAGGAGTATAGTAATAAGTTAGACTGACACAAAGGTCGTTTATTGATGTCCCTCCACTGTATGAGAAAGAGAGGACTATTTACATTATATCTTTTAGCCCCCTGCTCCTCATCCATATTTTCTTCATGCGCAACCGCTTTTATTTTTCTACCGTTGACAACATGCAGCTGTAGGAATATGTTGTTTCACGCCGAAACTCCTTAACACCAGGATATGTTTCTGAAATTGCCAGACTTGAGATAGGAAAACATCAAGACACCCACTTCAGAAACGAACGATTGGTGGTATCATATCTAAACTCAAAATTACAACGTAAAATAATTACAAGGAATCGAACGGTTGTTACGATTTGTGAGGCGGCTCGGGAACTTTCAAGGTAGGAACATCGACCTGCCTTTTTTCCTCAACTGGTTCCAGCTCCTCGTTGTGTGCCAGAGGTGAAGGAGTAGAGGCTGGACCACGGGGAGGGAATTCCGCATTGCTACGCTCTTGGACAGGAGACCAACCGGCACCGACGGAACCAGCGATAATACCAGCCATTACAGTAGTGGCACCGAGAGCCGAGTTCGACCGGCTCCTACCTGATCGCGTAGATCGAGAGCGAGCACGCAACTCGGGTGTAGGTGCTAGCGAGTCGCCGGTGCTATCCTCACGAACCGGTGTCCGAGGCGGCAGAGGTTCTCTCAAAGAATTTGACCTAGAGTGTGATGGGCTGCGCATTTGCATGATGACCTCCTTGGGGTGTTTCAGGCCGTATTTAAGATTGTTGAGACGACCACCTTTGTACCGCTTGATAAACGTAAGATGGTCTTTGACTTCGGTAAAAGCTTCAGGATAGTGCTCGAATCGCTCTTCATCCGAGACGGTAAGGCCAGGGACGCGTGAAGATCTGCGCTTCAGATAGGTCGGGATGAGCCTGGAGAGGAATTCGTCAGGGATGCAGCGAATGACCATGCCGATGGGAATCGAGATGAACCCGAGTGCTATCGCATAACCCCATTGTTCAGCTGTTTGTCCATGGGGAGAGATGCTGAACGCCTTGCCACCCTTGAAGACGATGAGTATCTGGGCGCCACACATGGCGATGTTGATACCGATGAAGAACCAGTTGCGAAATAGACCTTCGAAGATGTTGAACCTGTTGTCCAAACGACGGTTGCTAGTCCCGGTTAGCATCATAATAAAGGCCAGTTAAAGTGGCAGTGGTTTTGACTTACTTCCATTGGTTGAAGATCTGCATCCAAACAAAAGTGTTGAACACCAGAGTTTCACGCTGCTCCTGCTCCGTTGCGGTATCTAAAGCAAAGATCTGTACCGAACCGTAGTAAAGCATGAAGGTGATGACAAGCTGGTAAATAGCCTGGCCAAGGATCATCTTCCACATCGTGATAGAGATGATGCTGGATCCACGGCGCTCGGGTTTTCTGTCCAATACACTGTCCTGAGGAGGATCCGTAGCCAGAGCCAGAGCGGCTAAAGTATCCATGATGAGGTTGACCCACAACAGCTGAACAGCTGTGAGGACCGATGATTCTGAGTTGTTCGAGATGGCAGTGACGAAGGTGAGAATAACAGCAGTAATGTTGACAGTCAGCTGGAACTGCAAAAAGCGCTTGACTGCATCATTCACGGCACGACCCCATTTGAGGGCCTTTACGATACTGTTGAAGTTGTCATCCATGAGAATGATGGACGAAGCCTCTTTCGCAACCTCAGTACCGGCAATACCCATGGAGAAACCCACATCGGCAAGTTTGAGAGCAGGGGCGTCGTTTGTACCGTCGCCAGTCACAGCGACAGTTTCGCCCATATCCTTTAGTCGGCGCACCAAAATTCGCTTATCCTCTGGACTGGAGCGGGCAAGAACCTGCAAGCGAGGAATGATTTCGTTTTGCTCATACTTTGAGAGATTGCGGAACTCCGGACCCTCCATAACAATGCCATTACCAATAAGAATTCCACACTCTTTGGCGATAGCTTGGGCGGTGAGTTTGTTGTCACCTGTTACCATGCGAACCATGACACCGGCTTTCTGGCAGTCCTTCACAGCCTCCGCAACGCCATCGCGTAAAGGATCTTGAATACCCACCATGCCAATGAAAACCATTTTCTTGAAAGCATCGTCGAACGAGACCTCGTTCGGGTTGTTTTCGGAGCGTTTTATGTTCTTGGGTGGCCACTGTTCAAATTCGCGATACACGATTGCGATAGTCCTCAAAGATCTAGACGCGTAGCTGTCGATCAAGTTCTTGATTGTCTGTTCATTCTCATCCGTCAAAGTAGAGGTTGTCAGATCCTTTGCGGGATCGCGAATGATTTCGGTACACTGGTTCAGTACTATCTCTGATGCACCTTTGACATATAGTCGGACTCTTCCATTGGGAAGCTGGACAAAGATGCCCATACACTTTCGGCCGGAGTCAAAAGGTACAAGCTGAAGGATCTTCTCGTTGGACCGCTCCTCGTTTACGGGACCCATACCAAGATGTTCTTGGGCGAAAATGAGCATGGCAGTCTCGGTCTTGGAACCAATAAAAGTCTTGACTCCGTCAACTTCGCCCTCAAAAGCAGTCGAGTTGAGTGAAATTGACTTGAGCAATAGTTGCTTGACATCTGGCGAGAGGACCTTGGCGAATTCCTGAGCAGAGAGGCCATCGGAAGGCGAAGTGGATTCGGACGTGTCCTCAGACCCGTGAGAATTAGAGCTTCCGAAACGATGAGCGGTTCCGAGAGTTCCAGAGACAATTTGCATCTTGTTTTGCGTCAATGTGCCTGTTTTGTCGGAACAAATTGTAGTTGCGTTACCCATGACCTCACAAGCCTTCAAGTGACGAACCAAATTGTTGTCCTTGACCATGCGCGTCGTGGCAAATGCTAGAGCCAGTGTGACTGCAAGTGGTAGACCCTCAGGAACGGCGACGACAATAATTGTGACCACGACAATAAATATATCAAGAAACTGCATACCCTTCTGGATGGGTGTTTCATGATTGCTGGGGAGCTTGACCAAGAAGATGATGAGCAGAACGATAAACAAAAGCAAACCAGCACCACCTCCTAATTTGGCAATGTACTCGGCAATAACGTTCAACTTTTGCTGGAGTGGCGTGATCTCGGGGTCCTCGTCCAAAGCCATGAGAGTCTTTCCATAACTCGAGTAAATGCCAGTTGAGGTGGCCATGTAAGTGCCCATACCCTCCATGACACGAGCACCAGACTGAATGAAGGGGTCGGCCTTCTTGAGCTGGTCGCCATTTTCGATAGCCTCGAGAACTTCGTCGCCAGGCATTTTCCGGATCACGTCAGACTCTCCCGTGGCTTGCGACTCATCGCACTTCACATCGTAACCTTGAATGAGAATTCCATCAACCGGGAGCAGGTCACCGGGCTCAAGATGAAGCACGTCGCCAGACAAAATATCATAGACAGATATTTCCACGGTCTTGCCAGATCGGATGGCCTTGACCAGTCGATCCTGCTTCTTCTTGTTCAGTTTTGCAAACTGCCTCTCCTTTTGCCAGTCGTTCAGTGAGCCAACGAGTACGACGACGATAATGGCTACAATGATAGCCACACCTTCGACCCATTCGACGCCTTCGCCGTTTCCACTGACTGATTCGTAAATGCCAATTGCTAAAGAAACAATAGCAGCGGCGGTAAGGAGGATCAGCACCTTATCATTGTAAGTAATCCAGACGAGCTGGAGGAAGCTCCTGCCCTTCTTTTCGGGAATGCGGTTGTCCTTGTACACACGTTTTCGATCCGCGAAAGCTCCATCCCCGTTCTGCGTGCCAGCAGTGCCTCTGCGGGCGACAGGCGTTTGAGGGCTTTCGACTCCCTCGGTGCTGAGTTTAGTAGAGCTCTTGCCAGTTACCTGGTCGAAGGTGACAGATCCATCCAGGCGCTTCTCTTCAACGCTTAAACCGCTGGCTCGGTTCGAACGTAAACCCTTCTCAATACCTTGAAGACCTCCCAGTGCGTAGAAAGCGGGAAGGCTCTTGGGGTTGAACATCTTGCTGAGCTGACCAGGACTGAATGCAAAGGGGTTGTTCTCGACCTGGAAATCGTTGTCCTTGCCGGCATCGGGCTTCAGGGCGTCGGGATCGTTTTTAATCTTGTCATGGTTAAGCTCGGCTCCCTTGTCGCCCTTCTCGGTGCCCTGCCAGGTTGAGCCCGAGCCAACAGCGGTCTCACTATATTCGCTACTGCTATCAACAGAATTCTGTCTGGAGCGGTGACTGGGAACTGCCAGATAGGCCTGGGGAGGACCCCTATTCCGTGATGCGACAGGACTAGACACATTGTGGGGACTTTGAGGGCGACTCTCTCGCTGGCTCTCGAACGATTGGGCGGGTTGGAAGTCTGGTCTCGAGCTCGCTTGCGAAGCGCCGGAAGGTTGAGGCATGTCTGGGAACAAAGTTGTCGGACTTGCAGTCAAGTCCGTAGGGGAACCAAGTGAGTGTCGAGGAGCAGCCGCAGTAGTGTCGGCACTGGTGTCGATGGTAATGGTAGGGCTAAGTGATATGTGAGCAAGGCTGCATGCAGAATGTTGCTGAAAATAGATCAGGGTGGAACAGTGAAACTCACGCCCTGGGCCTACCACCAGACTTTTCTTGAGCCATTATTGTTGTTTGTTGGAAGTAGGGTAACCGCAGGAAATGCGGGAGGATGGGACGACTGGAATGTGCGACTGCGTCACTCCAAGGCTGCGCTACGCCCGCGTTCTTTAGGAGGCCTGCTGAGAGAATCGGGCCCGACGAGGCTGAGCAGATGTCTTGTCACACGTTATTCGGAGCTTGCTGTCATAGCATGCCGCATGGGTCGTCTTTGCTGTCCCTGATTCCTTACGCGGATTGACCCGAGTCTAGTAATAATGGATGAGGCGTGAGATGAATTGGTCGATGCGACACGAAATATGCCTATATTCTCGCAAGAGACCGGGAGAAGGCTACTGCAGCTAAATGGTCGATCGGTTTGGCTGGGCACGACGTCGTACTACCATTGGCGAACTTGGTGGTGGCAGTGAAGTGCTTCGTGCCGAGGGAACGGAGCACCTTAATCTGCAACAGCACAGCAACAACAGCTAGTGGGTGACGAAGGAAAGAAAACCGATTCACGAGAGAGTGTGGTCCATCGACTGATAAGGAATAACATTAATTACAGCACGGGAGAAAAAGAAGACGAGGGCCGACAGCACGCAAGCGGCAAGATGCGGTGGGTGGCCAGATGGGAAAGAAACATGAATGACTGGAATTAGGTTTGGGTACAAAAAGACTGGAGGTGGAGGCGAACCAGGACCATGCAGATGCAGATGCAAGTTAGGATCAGGGAGGGCAGGGATATTATTGCGCAGGTATCCGTACTTTCTATCCCCTTGCAATCAGAATCAATCCCCTTACGATAGTCGCGACGGCACAGCCAAGTGCCTAGCCCAGTGCCCAGCGCCCAGTGAAAACACCAAGGACTACAAGCAATTATCAGGGCCTCCCACGCGGAAACCCCTGGATGTCCTGGATAGCTGCTGTGGGACACCTCAACCCACTGGCCTGGCCAACGTCAAAGTACTTGTGCCGTACCGCAGAGAAACGAGAACAAGCAAATCAACGCATGTTGTGGGCGGCATAGCGAATTGGAGGCGACCTTTGGAAGAAGCCAAGGACTTAAAGCCAGGGCCAAGAGAGGCAGTGCAAAAACATGTAGCGCCAAAAACGAGGATCGGGACCTCAATCAATGTTTCCTCCGTAAGTAGCCCCAATTAAAATATCTAGTGTAGTAGCGAGGACAAACCAAGGCGAAAGTGCACAGATGAAGTACACGAAGATGCTAGGACCCTTGTGTAAGGGATTCTCACAAAACATGACCATGCATGATACCGAGAAAGCTCACGGTCACTCTACAGAGATCAGACGGTCAGCCATACCCAAGGCAGTATACACGACGTCATACAGAGACCAGAGTATATCCAACCAGTACATACAGCAGAGACAACCATTAGCACATGGTAGCTATCGCTCTGTCAATTACTTAGCGTGTTTTGCCCATTTCGGGGTAGCCACCAAGTGGGCACCAACCTGCTCCGTTGTGGAGGCAAGTCTCCGTGCCTGCGTGCTTGCGTGCCTGCGCTGTACATAGTACTACGTAGTGCCAGGGCACTCAGTTTGTCTGGAATAGTCCAAGTTGTGATCGTTGTGCTTTTAGATTGTTGAGACATACTGGAACAAAGCATGTAAAGCTATGGCAGCATTGATTTCAATTTTTCGTGTCATAGCCCGTTCTCATGCATAGAGTCGTCAGCGGTGACAGTTGCCACGATACCTGCGCCTTGGCAACATCGTCCTTGGGACAAGTCAGCGATACGTCGTCATCATCGTCAGTGGCTTCCAAACAACCAGCTGAGCGCCTCTGCAGTCAAGGTCAGCCATTCAAGTCAACCGACAAGGTTGCCTCACATGGAGCTAACATATAAGTGCACTCTAACTGCAGAACCTCAAGCTGGTGGCAGCTTGGCGACGAACTTCTACATCGAGTCAAGTTTGAGCCAAGATATGTCCGCTCTTGCTCCGAGTCAACAATCTTCCGTTACGTGGTCATGAGATTACAACATTGGCAGGCACATATGTTGTGCGTTAGCGACATAGGTTTTGCACCATGTCGTCTCGGGACCAGCGCATCTTGAACACCACCGCGGAAAGCTTACAGTAACGCAAACCTGCAAAATCTCGACTACCGAATGACTGTTAGCCGATACGTACGTGTGTCCGACCATTAATCAACATGATCATGGTCTCCAGGAGAAGAAATCCACCTACGCAGATGATTTCGCCTGTCGAGTCTGCCCAACCACGAACGCATGCAGAGCATGCATCTGCTTGAATGATAATAGAGACCAATGGTGAGTATAATTCTCGCTAATCGGAGCTCTCCATGTGCCTTACGACAAGGTTCCGAGTCAACCTCACGCCCCCCTGACTAGCAACAGCAATATCTTAGTAGCCTCCAGCCTCCGTGTCAGTTTCCTGGACTATACTCCATGCTGCGATCCAGATTGTCTACACGTAATCTACGAAACTTTGATACGTATGATCAGACCCGCAAGTCATCTCAAGCCGGTTTGTACATTATGCGGGTCTGGGCCTAAAAGTAAAAGTCATGAACCCCCTCTTAGATCTCGTCAATGCCACTACATATCAATATCAGCCAAGCGGACCTAGCCAGGCATCCTAACGAACCATTCAATAACAGCCATTTTTTACCAGTGGAGGATCTCCATCAATTGCTTCTCGGCAACAACAGTGCAGTCATGCATTACCGCCGTGATTCGTATGCTCCGGAGATGACATTTGCCGAGAATGGAACGGTTGTGGAATTCTAAACAACTACTAAAGTTAACCAACTCTAATCAGCAGGTCATCCCGGTACCAAATGGGACATCCCGACCCGTAAGATCTGCAGGCAATTCCGTCTGAAGATTAATGCGGGAGAACGTAACAATATTCATTCAGCTGTCATTTAGAACGCGACTTTCAAGCTAGTCTAACACCAATGTCAACCTGTAAATAGCGGGCACTTGGCTGTTGAAGCTAATAAACACTACGTGTGCAACCATCGCCGCTTCGGATTTTGTTGCAATTGCGCATATTCAGTAGTAGCTGAACCTCGACTATTGAGGACCGCTCTTCAACCGAGCAGGCAATGATCGGTTCCCTTCACGGAACTGACAACAGCTCGGACACCAGAGATCTCACAGGTGATGATCACCAGATAAGTGGCTTGATGACATCTTTTGCTAAGCACGGGGAATCTAAAGTTTGGAGGATCTTGTTCCACACCTTCTTATCGCAGCAGCTTACTAACATGCATCAACCCGCAAAGTCGTGGCTGTGTCAAATGATGCATAGGTATGTGAAATTCACCCTTCTTTACCGCACCCAAATCGAAGCAGACACATGTGCGACTGGGATGCGTTTTTGCTCACGTTCATTCCTGGTACGAGACAGCAGCACCGAGCAGGATTGGCTATCAAGTGCAATAACTTGGCTGTACTTGGCGTTTCTTGGATCGCGTCATATTCCCCTGGCTTGACAAAATAGCCACGTCTAGGCGAGGCGTTGGTCAATTGCTGTCTTGGAGTGGCAGTAAATTGTATTCGGGATTAGACGAAATATATTGCCCGTGTGCCTTTGGTTAAAAAAAAATTTCGGCGGCGATCGTGATCCAGGTTCAAGATTTCCTTACTGGGTTAGAGAAAGAGCACTGCCCCAGTTTGTGGGCGTAGGATCAGCTTGTCATCGTGAAATGATGCGAAAACATTTGATTTAGACCGAGTAATTTGGCAGCCTGTGAACGTTGCTCTCAAAGAAAAATCGAACGAAGCACACGAATTGTGTTGCTGCTTTGGAAAGCTTATATATGTCCAGTAGCTGAGACATTCGATGAGAGCACTGCCTGGAAGGTGTAGACGTGATACGAGCTTTTCGCATTTATGATAAACTAACGGTGGTTGTAATCGGTACAACGTTAATGGGAAAGCGATTGCATCACGACTCAAGCCTGCCATCTGATAAAATCGCCAGTGCGAGTATTTCAATACACGTCGCCCATAGCAGCCTATATACTCTTCAGCAGCGTCCTGGTCGTGTTGATTGTGTTACATATGTTTCCCCGCGAAACATGGAAATGGCTTGTCTTGGCAGTCAACATCGAATTCTTGGATACGGCAAGACTTGATATCAACCAGACCATGACCTAGCATGAGGAAGAATAACCTACTCGAGACAGATATAGATGGGCCACAAAGGGAGACAACGTCTTGCATAAGTCTATCACCTGTTTCTTCATGATAGTAGTCATGAGAGCTCGTTGCCTAACAATATCCCTTTACTAAGTAATTTTCACCTCAACCAGTCATTTGGTTATTTTTGTCTTCGTGACAGAACGAATCACAACTAGCCCCATCGCTTTCCCAGATCAACATTCCTGACATGCACGAGCCTCTCATCTTGCTCCCTCCGCTTCTCCTCGCCAGCAAGTCCCTCCACCCCGAAGAAGTGTCCTACAGACACCCTCATCACACCCTCCCACAGCCCCTGAACCAGAGCCCTCAGCTCGTCGCCCGTCTGTTTGAAGTCCGGGAACGCATTGACCTCTAACAGCCAGGCCGTCCCCTCGGCATCGACCAAGAAGTCCAGGCCGTAGACCTCAAACGCGTTCGGCAGCGGCTGGAAATGCATCATCATACCCCTGGCAGCCGCCTCGAAGACCTCGCCAGTGACGTCGCAGATCTGAGCGAATATCCCTTCCTTTGACGGCTTGTTCTTCTCGTCATCGTTTGAAGGTAGTTCCAAGTCCCAGAAGTTCCGCACCGTCCCGTCGCTCACGGAGCGCTGGAGACACGTGTTGGTGAGGTGGGCCTCGAGGTCGATCCCGCCATCGCCCTGCTGCTCCCAGGGCGCCACGTAGGGCTTGCCGGCGAAGAGCGCCAGCATGTCCCGGTAGACGTAGACGTCGAGGCTGCCCGCACACACGACGTATGTCCGGATGTGAAACTTGCGATTGCCGGATCCAGGGAGCAGCAGCGGGGGGTGGATGTAAGGTTGTGCAACGAAATGGCGTAGATGTGAGGTCATGATTCCCTCGCCGCCTTCGTCGTCGTCATCACCCTTGGAAGCTGGTATATCGGAGGAGGGACCTTGGCGTCCTCCATCTTCTTCATCCTCTTCCTCATCATCGCTATCGGGCATCCCTTCTTCCCACTCGTCAAAAATGCCTTGCAGCTCCTCCATCGTGCTGAACAGCCGGATGCCCTGTCCTCGATCGCTCATTCCGGGCTTCAGGATCCACCACTCCCTGTCCGCCTTGGCCTCTTGTTCCTCATTGCGCTCCAGGCTGGCCCTCAGCTCGAACGCCTCGACGAGCGCGTCGTCCAGGAACTCTGCGTAGTCGAGCTCGAAGGCCTCGCTCCGCTGGACGTGTGTCTTGAGGATGGACTGGGGTCGCTTCGCCACCCAGTTCTCGACCGTGCTGCCAAGGTAGTGCTTGCGGATGAGCGCCTTGCGCAGCATGTAGCTATTCACGAGGCAGGTTGAGTCGTGAGAGTCGGCAAAGTCCCAGTCGATGGACTCGTACGGAGTAATTTGAAGGATGTGAGCATCTGGGGTTGGTAAAAGGCTCGACAGTGCAATCTCGGACTGAGCTTGTTCGTTGTTCGTAGCCGTTGGGGGTGAGATCAGAGTATACGACGATGCCGGAATAGCCTTCTCCAGGGCAGATAGAATAAGCGGTTGTACGTAAGGATCCTCATAATCAATGAGTGCGTAGAAGTGGTTCTTTGGTCGATGAGGAAGGACACTCTGTTGCGTCGATGCGGATGTCTCTGCCTCCACAGGTTCCCTGATATGACGAGTCAGGTTAAGCACTTCAATATAGGTATAGTAACATTACAAAGGAACTCAGCATGCATGTAGACAAGGCACAGGGTATATTGCTTTACACCCTTTGAACTAATCGCTCAGGATTTCCTCATATGTACGATCTAGGTTTCTAAAATCTATACATTTTTGGCCTGCCCATGTAGCAGTGGCCAGCTTTGTTCAGCCCGTGTCTACATGCATGCATCATCATGTTCAACGCGTAAAACCGAGTAACGCTCACGCCACTTACAATTTCAACTCCTGGCCATTTAATTCTGGCGCTGCGTGCCAGAAGTTTGCTTTCATCGGTGTTATACTGTCGGTTGCTATTAGCAGCGTTTTAATAATGGAACTGGTGCGAATGAACTTACCTTGTGTAGCCCTGCATCACGGCCCAGCCGTCATTCCCAGGCTTTGCATCAATGATACTCTGATTGACATCAGCAATCATCTTCTGCGGCGCCCACTTGAAATGTCGATGCGGGTAGCTAGAATCCTCGTTCTCCGCGACTTTGGTCTTTTCTTTCTCATCACGACCCTCAGACTCCCGTATCCTCTCCTCTTCCTCCTCTTCGTCGCCGACACTACCCTCAACCTCCTGGAAACAAGCGCGGCCCTCGGCCCAGTAGTTGGCCAACATCTCGGTGAACAAGACTTTGTTCGTTCCCACACCATCCACCAATGGCACGTTGACTGTGTACAGGTCGACGCTCTTGTCCGCCGGCCACTGCTCATATAGCTTTTCTATCACCTTCACTGAATGTGCGGCGCCCTGCTCGACGATCTCGGGCAGATGAGGGTCATTCTGGTCTCTGAAAAAGGCATAGCTGAGTGCAATAGACTTGCGCCTGCAGACAGCGGCCTCGAGCGCGGCGCCTAGTGTTCCCGAGCTCAGACCAAACACCGCCGTCGTGTTGCGTCCGTAATTGGGTCCTGAGACCACCAGGTCGATGGGCTTCTTGTGTGTGAAGAAGTGGTACAGACCGAGCTGCGCACAGCTGGCCGGTGTGCCGTCGGCTAGGATCCATTCCTCTACATCCCTGGACTTGGACGGCCGCGAATGTGTCGTGCCTTGTTGTATATCAGAGGCAGAGGTCTGCGGGTCGAAGACGGGCGGCGGGCGGTAGTAGGTCGGCTTTACCGTCTGGCCGATCATGTGCGCCTTGCCAATCCAGGAACGCTGGGATGCGGGAAGGCAGACGGACACCTCATGGCCGGCTTTTTGAAGGGCACGTACTAGAGAGTGCACATAAGGCGAGGATGTGGTCGAGGGAGGGCCATCGTCGTTCGTTACGAGAATGTGCATCTTGGGCAATGACGGCGGGGTATAGTTCTCGTTTGGCAATAGGACTAGATGAGCGGTTGGAAAAGGTCCCAGGCAGAAGCTTATTTATAAATAGTAAGAGGATGCCGAGAACAATACCTCATATACGATGGGCTGATCAACTGTATACACGATCAGTACCGAACGGTCACTACCAGTTGAGACTCCCGATAAACGGCGACGGGGTCCGAAATTTGGATGGAGGGGCAATGGCGGGGCACATGACAATTGGTTTTCGGAAGACAGGCCGCTAGCACGTCATCTAGTCTAGTACTAGTCATCTCAACCGGTGTATACACGACTATCTATAACTAACTTGCTTATGAGTTTTCTACTTTACGTTACCTATTTAAAGGGCAGCGACCACATTTCCATTGCTATTTACTGCTAGGCTAGACAGAGTACTTCGGAGGTAGAACTATCATCTGTGGTCATCGGGTCGAATCTTCAAGTTTGAACTTCCTGCTCTTGCGAACCTGTCAAGGAACTGTACATAATAGGCGAGGAGACATCAATTGATAGCGGGTGGCTTCAATGATTTTCGACATGGTTTGGTCGAAACAAAATGGTCCAGGGCATGTTCATGCCATGTCGACAATTCGCTAGGCCCAGGCAGGTGGTACCGCTGACAGGGTCCTCGGAAGGGTATGCCCTGAAAGGATGGACTGAACGTTATGATGCAAGGGGCAACATTCGTCCACTATACGCCTCAATATAACCATATTACATGCTACTTTTCGTTTCCCACGTCTTCCGGGTCTCGACAACAACGCAACGGGACACAAGAGTCCTCAAAGCGCAATGCGGGTCAGGAAGCTCTGTGTTCAGCATAACGTTGTGAACTTCTGTGGAAGGAGGGGCAATGGAAATGAGGTGGAAAGGATCGCTTAGAAATCGAAGAATAGATAACTCATTATAAATTTAAAATCCGAAGACAGTCTATTAGTGATGTAAGTAAGACCTGTCCATGTTACGGAGGTAGATTTCCGCAGAATGTTCAACTTACACTAGTAGGACTAGATGGAAGATATAGAATGGTCACTATAGCGAGTATTGTGATGTAGCCTCCCATTATGGGTGACTTCAAAGTTTCAAGCACCGATGTGACATAAAAAAACCGGCTTGACTATCAATGAGCTGGATAATCAAGCGAGATTGCTCATTATACCCTATTCCTCAGCGCTTGTATTTCTTGGTCTTTTTCTGCGGTGCGTTCTGACAATTGGTCACAGCACTTCTTTATTGAATAACAATGTCTTGACTCAGTGAGCTCTGAACTTCCCCATTCTATAATCCGGAGAATGTTTCACAGCTTGGTCCAATGGACGAGTTAAAGTTTGGATATCAGCATGGGTTTGCGTATTGCCTCGACAAAATACACGGAGCAGTTGTAAAATAGAGAAGTACAGCTCGGAGCGTATGGGATTGTTATCAAACATACAACCTGCCTTCTCTTGGCATCTACGATGTCCACGATTAGCTTTTGTCTTTGCTTGTTGTACGAGGCTGTAACCGCCACGTATCTCGATGTTGATGCTCTCTTCAACACTAGCCAGGGTGTCAATCCATACATTTTCCCATGCTTTCTGAGCAGCCATGATTGATCTCCCGTAAATCCAAAGAGACAAGCCATACCTATGCGAGATTGACTTGTGGAAGATATTACTAGTAAGGGAATGATGCCGATTTACTACGGTCATTCCTTGAGTTAACTAAGTTGTTTGGAAGACCAGTAAGGAACAACGTGGTCACAGTGGGTCGGGAAGCTGGCCTCCAGACTGATCTGATAGCTACAGTATAGACAACAAGGCTGCAACTTCACCTTCCAACCATTTTGTGTGTTATGCGTGTTATGCGTTGATGGCCCAGCCGGTTACCCAGGTGGACAGCCCCACAAGATCCGGGGTCAAGGTCAAGGGGATGGACCGCACCTCTTAAGAAAGTAACTTAAGTTAAGCGCTGGGGCGCCAGCGATTAACTTGCCCCACAGAGGGCCACGGTTGCCCCCCGCAACAAGAAGTCAATGTCAACATCTCGATGACCAGCTGCATCCACGGTTGAATAGGATGAACCTTGGTCATTTATTTTCAAATCGCACACCTGTCGATGCTACTGACAACGCAGTATATCTTTGCAGCGTTTTCTCTGAATTTGGTCTTTTCTCACTGGGGGTTGTTTTCCCGACCTCGACACATCTAGGGAACCACCACCACCATCCCGCACGGTTGGAATTCCAGACACTACTTCAGCCTGGCCCTTTGTCACTTGGCTGCCAGTGTTTCTGTTCGAGGCTGACGAGGGAGTTTCGCTTCCAATCTGCACACACAGGGGCGTCATGCCTGCAGCTACGGAGGTGCCGACAGTCGCACTGTCATGTATGTATTCACCTATGGACTCCATGCAAGACCATGGCATGCTAACCGTGTAGTCGCCAACAATTTCTGGGGGAAAGATGACGCGGGTGTAGGACCGTTGCTAGAGCGCATGCTCTCAGCAAAGCAAACATGCGACGAACTCCGATCCTTCTACAGCGCTCGCGCATCCATCGAAGACGACTACGCACGCAAGCTTCTGGCGCTCAGCAAAAAGTCCCTGGGTTCGCATGAGTTGGGCACTTTGAAGCAGTCCCTAGATACTGTACGAGGAGAGTTGGAGTCAATGGGGAAGCAGCACGCAAGCAATGCAGCACAGATGAAAACCGAGCTCGAAGAGCCCCTGGCCGCCTTCGGTGGTGGCATGAAGGAGAGACGGAAGATTGTCCAGAATACTGTCGAGAAGCTGCACAAGACCAAGATGCAACAGACACAGACCGTCAACAAGACGAGAGACCGCTACGAGCAAGATTGCCTCAAGATCAAGGGCTATCTAGCGCAAGGACACATGGTTATGGGCCAGGAGGAGCGTAAGAACAAGGCCAGGCTCGAGAAGACGCAGATCAGCTTGGCCACCACCAATGCCGAGTACGAGAATGCAGTCAAAGCTCTGGAAGATACTACCGCAAGGTGGAACCGAGAGTGGAAAGCTGCTGCCGACAAGTTTCAAGATCTGGAAGAAGAGCGACTGGACTTCACCAAGAGTTCTTTGTGGACCTTCGCCAACATTGCTTCGACAGTATGTGTAAGCGATGACTCCTCGTGCGAGAAGATCAGGCTATCTCTCGAGAACTTGGAGGTCGAAAAGGATATCATCAACTTCATTACCGAGAGGGGTACTGGCCAGGAGATCCCGGACCCCCCAAAGTACATCAACTTCTGCCGAGGCGATGTGGACGATCATGAGTCGATAGCTTCAGTGGACGATGATGCATATTCAGTGGCACAGTTTCCACGAAGTATCAATCCAGTGTATCGCACTTCCTCCCCACAGCCGTCAACCTTTGAGTCACACCATGACCCGAACTCCGCGACGGCTCGGGACATGGCCCGAGAACTTCTGCATCATGACGATGAACCTCCAGCAAGCCGAGAAGCCACCGCCATACCACAAAAAGTACCAGCATCTCTCAATCCACTGTCTGGTAGCCGCCAAGGCCATCCAATCCAGCAGCAGCGCCAGCAGCAGCCACAGCAACAGCCTCAGCAACAGCCATATGACTCTACTGATTTCGCGGCGGTGCCTCACGACCCTTACCCCATGGATGGCATGACAATGCTGTGTCGTACCGATAGCAACGTACCATCGGGCATGAACTCGGCAACAAGCTCGAATCTGTCATCCAACCGGTCATGGGATGATGCTATGCCTTTGGGTCTGAACTCAGCGACGAGCTCGAATTTGTCTTCCAACAGATCATGGGATAATGGTATGGAATCGAACATCAACTCGGCAACCAGCTCGAACTTGTCATTCAACCGACCAGCCAGTCGTGTCGATAATAGAGATTACGCAGACGCACCTCCTTTCTCTAGTCAGGAGGCACTAAGCGGCAACGTATCTCCACTCAAGCAGCAGCAGTCTACGCCGCCAGTTACGGAAGCACAGCCTGAGAAGCGCGGACTGCGGCAAAAGAAGAGCGGTTTCTTCCAAAACCACAGCCCTTTCCGACGTAAGAGTACCAAGGACATTCAAGCATCAAACAGAAACACATGGGGTCCATCAACGCAGAGCGTCTCTGGTACAGGATCGGCATCAAGGCGTTCAGTATACCAGCCGGAGCAGAGCATAGCGCCCGATCGAGCGACTGCCAGCCCGGAGCCAATCGAGGCTGATGCGAGCCTAGCTCTCAATATTGGTAATAACGTCTTCGCTGTATCCAACCCCGACAGGCAAAAGAAGAATGAGCCGCAGCCGCAGGAAGAACTGGATCCTATCGCACAGGCACTGGCAGAACTCAGAGAAGTTGCAGGCAAGAAGGAGTCTACTGAACGGGTTTCGGCAGATCGCTATCATGGAATTGCTACTCCCTCGCCGGCATCAGCACCTCTACAAAACGAGGCACGACCATATTCTAGGTCGGTACCTGCACCTAGAGCCGGGAGTGATGTAGGTGCTGGTCTCCGCGGTACGCCTCCGCCCTCTTATGACCAACAAGTTCAACGACTCGGCGTGCCTGCTCCTGCCTGCACGAAGAAGGCGATGCAAGCAACTTCGCGCAAGTACGAGCAGCAGACTCGGGACATGTTCACCCAGAATCGCCCTGGCTCGAGCGCCGCTCGTCCTGGCTCCAGTGCTACGCGCCCTGGCTCCAGTGCTACGCGCCCTGGCTCAAGCGCTACCCGTCCTGGCTCCAGTGCCACTCGTCCTGGCCCCAGTGTCACTCGTCCCAGCCCAGGCTCCTCATACACCAGAAGCCAGTCAAGACCGGCTACACGAACTGCCGAGGTTCCACGTGCTGTATCTCCCGCTCCCCCGCGGAGTGCATCTCCTAGACCAGGTACACAGGCTGAGTTCCGACAAAGCAACACCAGCAACGGGTCTGCATCCCCTAATCCATATGCCAGCAGCCAGCACCATCGCAGCCAGTCTTCGATGAGCCAGGCACCACAGCGTGCTCCAGATCAGGGATACTACAGACAGCCCTCATCAAACGACATGCCGAGGTCAGCTTCTCCGGCACCTTCGAGGCTCAACTATGACCGGCCGGGTAGCAGCCGTGTTGGCAGCGATATGGCGGTGCAGCCTGCGCCTGTAGACGATGGTGGTTACGGGTCGCAACGCGGGCGTAACGGCAGACCTGGTACTAGCCAGAGCAGACCAGGAACCGCCCAAGGTAGACCAGGAACCAGTCAAGGCGGGCAGATGGCGTTCTACGACGGCAGACAGCCATCAGAGTCTCGTCAGCGCAGCAAGAGCCTCGCTGATCCTAGTAGGCAGTACACCAACGATGGGCGAGCAATCCTACACTTTGGTGAGCAGCAGCATGTTTATTTCCAAAGTAAAAGGTCAAAAGCTAACGAGTCTTGCAGCACGTGCTTTGTACGTATACCAGGCAGCGATTCCTGAGGAGTTGGGCTTCAGCAAGGGCGACTACCTTGCTGTGTTGCGACACCAGGATGATGGTTGGTGGGAGGCTGAGATCCACTCTGGCAATGAGCAAGGCAGAAGTGGTCTGGTACCTAGTAACTATCTGCAGCCGTGTTAGAAGATGTCAACTCAGGAGCTACGAGTGAGAGTATTGAAAGGGAGTTGTGTTGATTGGGGATGATAATGTAAAAATGAAGGTTTGCAAGCAACCGCACATACGATCGACCGCTGGGTACATGAAGCGTTAAGCATATCTGGATTATTTGTCTCTGGGAAAAGAGCGTGTATAGTCATACAATGAGTAGCGCCTCAGGCCGGAGTTAATTGACTGCATTTACGATTTGATTTTCAGTGACTCTTCTCTGTCCCCTATCCACGAGTCGTGTTGTTAACTGTAAATTCCAACGCCTCAATTTCCAGTGCTAGCTTTTAATGATGCATGCCAACCTGCTGCAAGTTGTTGGTCGGCATGGGGGGTCTTGAAGAAGACAACGACCATTATATAAGTCCCGGCTCACTTACTAGGGGCGCAATACTGCCATGACGTCGGCGCGTATTAGGCGCGGGGGTACTATCATAGGATTAGTCCAAGTTTAGTCTAACCTAGTCTAGTCCGAAGCACACGAGCAGGGACAGGGATATTATAACTTATGCGACAGAAGCTCCAAGTCGACGTTCACCAGTCCGGAACGGGGCGCTGCTGTGTTACTGTCCACCAACAACTAGTCTACTGCCTTCCAGCTCCTCCGCCTTTGTCTTCCTCTTCCTCTTCCTATTCTTCCTGCTCTTGTTCGCCTTCGAGAGACTGTGAGCCAACATCTCATGCCGCCGCGCCGGTAGGCGCATCTCTCGGGATCATGGTGAGTACCGCCAATAGCTCTCACAGCGTCACATGTGAAAGCTGTAGTCCAAGTGCAAGTCGGCCAGTACCTGGACTAATTGAAACTGCACAACAGGAATACGTGAAGCGCCCCCTTCGAGCTGCGACTACTCCAGCTGCCCAGAGGTTCTATCTCAGCACATTTCTTGTCATCGCCGTATCAACCATCTTGCTCTTCTTAGCCGCCGCGTCGTACTCTGTCGCCTACTATTCCTACGTCCCTAAGAAGGTCGTGTCTATCCCGGTACATCTGCAATACAAGTACGTCCATCTCTCTTCTGGCTACAGATCTGTGTGCCTATCCCAGAGCTGCAGTATGCTTACCTGTGTCCTCTCAGCGCCGGCCTCAATCCCTTCGGCGTCACCTCGCTGCAAAAGGACCTCATGCTCGAAACCGCCTACGACGTGACAGTCACCCTGACGCTCCCACGCTCCCCGCCCAACACCGAGCGCGGCAACTTCATGATCGCACTCTTCGCGACCCGCTCCTCGCTGGATAATCCGGCGCAATCCTTCGGCCTCGTCCAGGATCCCTACAAGCACATGAGCGCCTCCAACGTCGTCTTCACCTCGCGCCGCCCGGCCCTGGTCCCGTATACCGACCCCCTGGTGTCCTTGACGAGCCGGCTCCTGTTCCTGGCGTGGCACGTCGTTGCGCCGGCGAGCGAGAAGGTGGTGCTGGCGGTCCCGATGGGCGAGTTGGTAGAGTTCAGAGAACAGCTGCCGCTGAGCTTGCTGCTCGACGTGCAGGCTGGCCAGACGTTCCAGGTATACGAGGCGCAGATCGAGCTCGTGGCAAGGTTGGAGGGCCTCAGGTGGATGATGTACAATCACAGGGTCATCAGTTTCGTGGCGGGTACGTTGTTGTTCTGGGGCGTGGAGATCACCTCGTTCGGCTTGGTTTTATCTGTGCTGGCCTTTTGCCTCGGTTGGACAAGGGAGAGCGAGGAGGTCCCTGCGATTGAACAAGACGGCTACAAGGTGGACAGAGGTGACGGTCGGGCAGTCGTGAAGCGCGAGAACAGGGCAGAGAGCACAGTCGCCGAAAGCTCCAAGGAAGACAAGGGCCAGGATCGAGCAGTAAAGAGCGAAGAGGAAGAGGCTTATGAGAGGTTCATCAAAGAGGAGAGCATTGAAAGGGACTTGCCGCCGAGACGGATTGGCTATGGCGAAGACGATGAGGGCGAGGGCACTGGGAACATTTACGGGAGAGGTAAGGGAGCAGTCAGGAGGAGAGAGTCCGGAGAATCATCTGCGTCGTCGTTGGCTTGACTTCGAACTCGGTTTGTGCGGAGATACCCCGACCAAAGAGATGAACTGTTTTTATTTTTTACTTTTACTTTTACATTGCAGGCTGAAGCGTTCCGCCTGTTCTTATCCAAGCAGATGACTGCAAGCTTCGCATGGCTGCCAGACGTCTGTTCAAACCGTTTCATGTCACCAAACAACGGCCTATCAACAACTGATGGAAGGGAAATGTATTTCTATGCTCTTCGCCACGGGTCTTGTTTTTATGTCCAAATATGATTCTTGGAGCGGCCCCTTGCCCGTAGGGCAAGAGTTCGCTCGGGACCTATTTCCCCAGGACCTCTTTACATGTAGATATTTCTAAAAATAAGAATAAAAACTGGAAACTGACCAATTCCTACGTTGACGTGTAGGGGCGACACATGAATCGAGTATCAGCGGTAGACCGTGAAGTCACCACAAACTTTCCTCCGCGAAGTCGTCCAACGAATGGTTATCGGAAGACTTGACGCATCATTGGGGGACGACAAGATATTGTCTCGTATTTACTGTCAAGCTCAAGTCTTAGTGACATTTATGAACTTAGAAGATAGTCTGCTGCGCAAGGTCTCGGTGAAATACAAGGTTGCTACATTCCAGGGCATCTTTTGCAGCTGAGCAAGATACGGCTAACACGCAGAGTTTGCTCCGAGTTTCATTCGAACCTAAAGACACCCACGGCTGGGTAGCTTTCATGCGAGGACAGTTGGTGATAGTGACAATATATATGCGGTCCTTGGGCCTCGAGAGATCCGGCCAATGAAAGTTTCGGTTCTAAACAAGGATGATTGCTGCTTGTCCAGCAGCAGCAGAGAGCTTGCACACAACAGCACAATCGCGGGGGCCCGGCCAGGGGCCAGGCCAAGCGCAGTGGAAGCGGAAGCGGGACTCAACGAAACGTGGTGACAGCCTTTGACTTGTTCGACTCGGGGGCGGGTTTAATTGATTTCTCGTCGTCGGGAAGCACTTGGAAGGAAACGTTCGAGTGTTGAATTGGGGAGAGAGGCCAGCCAGCCACGTTAGATAGGTTGACCTCGTTTACACATTAACAATACATTCAACAAGATGCCGTAATTTGTTATCATGACTTTTGGCCGCACACATTGCAGTAGTTTCCAATCCCGCCCAAAGAAGTTATTGGGACGCTAATTACAATATACCGACTTTTCGAATCCATCTTCACACGACTGGCTCCAGAATCATATTCAAATCCAAAGCCCGATCAGCATTAGCCCAACGCCCTTTGGAGGCTCAAAACCCCAAGACCCGCCCTGGTCCAATACAATTTCGCATTGCGGGCAAGCAAGGTGGTGTACGACGTGGGGAGGGGGAAGGTTGCAGCACACCACACGCACAAAGCACGGCAAAGCTGCTAACTACAGTACAGTCCAGCACCTTGGAGAGGACGGGAGGCTCACAACTTGGACGCTTTTCTTGCCCTCAGCTCGCGTTACACGAAACGAGGCCGCATCTTTTTGTTTTCTTCTTCTGCTTTTTCGTCTCACAGCTGACAGACTACTTGGTGCTACATATCTGCAAGAGCCTCGGAAGCTATCACCGGAGAGGAGATTGCTTACCTAGCAAACAGAACACAGCACCCATGAACATTGTTTTGCAGCCCAACTCGAACTTGAGCTTGCTCCCCGCTAGCCTCAAGACGCCGCCCATGTTGGAAATTGGAGCTTGACTCTCACCGACCTAGTCCAGCACCAACCACTTGCGGGACCCCTCGTGAACATCACCACCGGACTCATTTAGTCTTTGCCCTGCAAACACAGAAGCATCCCCCGTTCATCTGATCTGCGGCGACTGCGGCTTCTCTGCGAAACTTGAACACAGCCAAACGGTCACCACTCGCCCCGGCTTCGTCCATCTGCACATTGCTGCCCCGCTAACTCTCCTGTTCTGATTGCCGGGTTTCATTCACGATGCCCTGCTTCAAGGGCATCGCCGTGAGCATTCACGCAAACGGAGCCCCGCTCGCCGAGCACGGCATGCAGAAGCAGTCTCGCATGTCACGCATCAGCAGCTACATACCCGTTCCCTCGCCTCAGCTGAACCCCGACACTGCTCAGCACGAGCCCGCCCGCTTCGCCATCTCCATCACCTTGCTGACGCCCGGCCACTCGATCCCATACACCGCTCCGAAGCCAACGGCGGAGAGCCCCAATCCCAAACCCCTGTTTGCCGGGCCTCTGCCTTCTTCGAGTGCCGATCCCTCTAGACATGCGAACACCATCACGCCCTACATCCCCATGACCAACTCGGAGAATGAGACAATCGCTGCTTATATCTATTTTGACGGTCGCGCAAAGGAGGAGGTGGCTACGTTGCTACGCCCCGGCGAGGAGACTTGGGTCAACAGCAGATGGGTTCAGGTGCCCAGCAGCGAAGGCGGCGGCCTTGCCGAGCGCGAGTTTTTGTTCAGGGAAGTGGGCCTCGAGAGATGGCTCAACGGCTTGGATCTGCAAGGCCACGATGCTGCCGAGAAGGTTGAGAAGAGAAGGCAGAAGTTTGAGAGGCGACACCGCCGCCAAAAGTCTGCGACGGCGACCGGCATGAACACGGAGAAGTCCAACCGCCAGCGGGATACACTTGCATACGGTAGCAGCGAGCAGCCCACCGCAGACAATATCAACGACGGTTCCGACTCAGAGTCTCTGTCCGACGATGATGATGAACCTCCCGAGGCGACTGGCCAGATCAAGGTTGCCATGTTCCGTGTGATAGCGTCCGGTGAGATCAAGAAGGGGGAATACTCGCCCCAGTTCGACGCCCATGATGACGACGACGACGAAAGCGGCGCAAAGCAGGGGGGGAGCAACGGAATCGATGCCGACGTCGAGCACACTACGAGTTTTGCTAAGCCCAAGACGTTGGATCCCAAGACTATCAGTACTCAGACCGTTACTGGGATAGATGGCCCTGAAAAACCGTATGCAGTGTTCACTTTCTTCTATCGCGGACAACGTAAGTTCATGTCGAATTCATAAGTATCTGATTAAATCATGACTGATTCTATGCAAAAAGGTCAACTGTCCAAGATGGGCATCCTACCCTCGGCAAAGGATAACAAGACGACAACACCAGCGGCCAAGCGACGTAGCACGCAACTTGACTTCTCCAATCTTGGTCCTTTGAAGAAGGAGGGCACCGTGGGTTTCTCTGCATTCCGGGACCAGAACACGGAGCGACGAAAGTCGCGAAATAAGGGCAAGGGTGGTTTGGGGGGCGATATGGACGAGGACAGTGACGACGATGATGATGACACCAACCCACTGAGTAAGATGGAGCAGGAATATGAAGCCAAGGTGGATAAGACCCGTCTTGGTCCCGAGGATGCCGAGTCAGCAGAGCTCAAGGCTGGTATTGATAGAATTCGGGTATGTCTGTCGGGTGCGATTACAGTAATCTTTTGAGTTATGCTGACACGATGACAGCTGAAGAGACAACACTCAGCCGAACCTGACAGCGCAGCGGCTGCAGCAAACCACAAGTCACCTTCTGTGGGCCCTATAAGTGGAACGACGCCTCCAGATACCACGTTGAATGTGGCACCCGCTGGTGCCGTCTCGAGTCTTCTCAGCGAGTCCCTGACCGCAGAATCTTCAATAGGTAGTCCCTTGAAGAAGCAGCGAGCCAACGCCGACGGAGTCCAAGATCGAAGCACGGGCTTCCCCAGTGCGCTTGGTGATGTACTTGCTCGGGCTGCAGCAGAGCAAAAGGCGAAGGAGTTCTCGCAGGCACCCGGCGCAGTCCTGGGACCCAAAGACGAGGAGGATGAAGAGTTATAGAACCTTGTTCGGAAAGCGGAGTGTCCAATTAGTCAAGCAGCGAAAATTGGTTGTTGATTTGGTGTTGGGGCGATTCGACGGGTAGTATACTGACTGTTCTTTGTTCTGGCGAGCATAAAGACCTGATTCAAAACATGGACCCTGAGGTTGGGAAGGCTACGGCAGAAAATTAGAACAGGACACAGAAGCGTACTCATCAGCGCTATGGAGTAAAACCAATATATATTCGGTCATTCGGGAGTCGCATAAATCGTTGCCTCGTGAGGAAAGTGATGCTGTACAGGCTGCCTAACGACCGCTGTACATTTTACCATCATATCACAGACTATGAGCATCCGCAGTGATAGGTACGTAACCTAGCATCTCCTCTTGCTCTGCCAGGTCCTTTCTCCGCCAATTTCTTCTGCTACCCCGCCACTATCTGTAATACCCTAGATCCTATGGCTGTGTGGGCGAGATACATCGTAGTGGTCATTATGAGTATTATAGTGCTGAGCTGGACCATACGGTAGCTAGCAGCTGCAGTACTGTCGACTCGTATCGACTATGTATCATTGGATAGCACATAGCGACCCGAAGGCACCGATGTTCTTATCGATTCATGCCGTAGTTTCATGGCTGAACAACGCGATTTAGAAGTGTTTGTTAGCCATTGCACCACGGTGGTAGGAGCTATGTGGACTGTTGCTTTCGGGAATATATCTTGCGGGCCAGCCCCCGTTCCCGCGCAGACGTTCGTGACAGGTTGGTTCGAAACTTGTACGGGTGAACAACACGGTAATCAAATTGTTCGTTTGGCATTACGTGTCTGGCTTATTTTCATGGTATTAATCTCTGTTTGGTTCGTGGTTTATGGCTTAGGGTTATAATCACTTGTCTCTGAATCTTTAATGGCAACGTTCATATAAATTCCATTAGTACCTATCCATTCTTCTCAGTGTTGGTACAGACCGTCACATCGGTTTTATCCTCTAAATGTCCAACTCCCAACCGTTACTAGTCACTTTTGTAATTCACAGTAATGATGCAAAGCCACCTGAGAATTTATTGAGATGGAATTATATGAGTGTGCCAGGTGTGCAGTGCATCGAATTCTATAACGAAAAGATCAGGTGAACCGTTTGCTACTCTGAAGCTGTATAGGTGAATTCTAGATATACCCCACAACAAACGCTGCTGTGAATAAAGTCCACCCAAGAATATGAATATTGCAGGCATTCGAGCACAAAACCGAGATAAATCTGTGTTGACAACTCAACAAGCCAACGACTTATAAATTCCAAAACAAAAAGATAAACGAATCTCCAACCATACACTCTTGAAATACTACCTCCTACAGTCAGCCCGCCAACAACATGTCATACCAATACGGCAATATGCTTCAGCGCCCCTACGAATGGAGCAGCAGCCACCCGGATTACCTGTACGATTTCGAAAATGGAGGCTGGCCCAGAAACTACGACCTACCAGGCCCGGCCAGATACCCGAGTCCATACTACGGCAACGCGCAGTATTACGGTCCGGCTGAGCGTGGCTACCACAACAACATGTTTGATCAGCGATATGAGTACAACATGTTCGACGAAGAGAACATGAGGGTTTGGGGGTGGCTTTGGTAGGGAACACATACTCTCAAGGGAAAGGGCGTCTGGTTTAGACCTTCAGCTTTGTATTCTTCTGCATACATAATCTCCCCTATGCACCAAATATGGGACGCAACTGGAGGCTGTTGTGCTACAAAGTTTCATGTGCCCATCCAGGTTGATGTTGATGACGGAGCTATATTACTGACTGTGTTATGTATGCGGAAGCTTTGTTAGAACACCCCTAAATTACGTCGTCTTGGCTACCAAAACGGTAGTCGCGGTGTCAAATACATATCATGTCTTACTTGAACGTGTGGCTCTCTGCCTATGCTCGGAGTAGTCTATTTTCTATTCGTGTAAAGGGTTACGAAGCTTCCTCCGTTTACTGGGCACTGAATGACATTGTAGGTAGCCTTGAAACTCTCCTGGTCTTCTGATATACTGTCTAGGCCAGCTGGAAAGCTTGGGCTGGTCTTTTGGACATTCTCAACGGCTCGGAGATACTGCAGGCACAGGTCAGGAGGAAGGATGCGGTGTGTTGTGAGACTGCGTCTGAGTACACTCTATATTTGTCCAACTGTTTTTTTCTTCTGAGAGCCCGAAGGCCTCCATGGAAAGTATTCTCACCACTTCATTGGCGACACAACCGCAGACATATATCCACTAATGCAAGGTTTGATTATATGTCCGTATTTGACATGGCTATTATTTTCGCGCAAGGCTATGAAAGCGCCACGGCATTGAGACATTTATCAGGAGACGATGGGTTCAAAATTCATCAGTTTCTTGAATTGGGCCGGGATTGAACGATTTGCTGCCTGCGTTCCGGTCAGGCTTTGTAGGGTTCGTCGTTACACTAATACCACCAGGCCTCATTACCACACACAGACCGACCTTCTCATGATTGAGGCATCCAGCATAGTCGAAATTAAACGCCTAGAAAGTATTTTGAATTATACTTGACAATGCGCTGTATAAGTTCCTTTGTATACAACCCTTCTCTGAAAGGACAGTGCGGGTTTGGGTAAGGTCTAATAGTATGGTACTGGCCCTACTCTTTGTCTTTTCTTTCTTTCTTTTTTTCTCGTTTCCCCAGAAGATAGACACAGAGTCACGACCGGCAACTCACTAATCACAGCGCCCCGGGGAATCGTGAAGGAGTACTTCGGCACAAGATACCACCTGCAGTTCCAGCGCTTCGTGGGCGACGGGTCGCACGGCGGCACCGGGGTGTTCGTGGCGGTCGACCCGGCCGGGACTGAGGGAGGCGCTGGACAAGTGTTTGGAGAAGACTCGGATGTCGGCTGAGCACATGCAGCTGAATGGCGTGCCGATGCGAGAGATGGACGACGCCATACGCAGGTACGCACGGAACGTTGTGCTCGACGCTGCGCTGCCTTCACTGCCTACCTCTGCGTTGAGGGGGTTTGGTATAAATTGTCCAAGGTGAAATTATAGCGCACGGCAGCGAATCGACTCACATTCAACATGAAACTAAAATTGATAATATTCTTGCAACTACTTGTTACTGGGCTAGGCGGCGGTCGGAGACAACCTACGGGAAAACTACAACTTTTATATTCATCGCTTCTGTAGAAGGAATGAGGTCCGGTAAATAAGGATAGACATAAGTTTAATCACAAGTCATAATATGGTCTACGATTCCCCCTGTGCGCAAAACAACCCATCATCTCCAACAATCCCCAGACGATAAGGGGATTAACATGCTAAAACGTCGAATCTGACCGGAAGAGAAGAGCGCTTGCTGGCAACAATGTAGGTAAGCTTCATGAGTCAAGACCCTGGTCCTTGACGTCTTCAACATCCACCACATGGTCGCCTTCGGGTTTCTTGTCCAGTGTCTCCTGTAATATCGAACCGCCTGCGGTATTAGTCGCTAAAGTTTTCGTTTCCGCGTTTGTATTGGTGTCGATAGTCGTGCTCGGAGTCTCTGTTGACTCGATAGGCTTGCTTGGGCTTTGTTCTGTCTCAATCAGCTCCCGAGACTCCTCCAATTGCGGTTCTCGAGACTGCGTGGGTTCCTCGTCAAGTTCTGGTTTTGCTTCGGATGGCTCCTGCTCTTCTTGAACATTCATGGTACCTTCTTCATCGATGCACCACAAAGTCCTAGTCATCGAGAACGACAGAACTGGCTTGCCGTTGGATGCTGGAGGAGCAGCACCACCGGGACTAGAACTCTTCGTAGGAGCCCTGCGCTGAGGACCCCTAGCGCGACCCTTTCGAGCATCTGATAGTGGTGCCTTCTCCTTCTCCTCGGCTATCTCTTCCTCTTTGGGTTCCTCCTTCTTAGGGGCCTGGGGTCCCAACTGGAGACGCTTGTTCAGGTCCGACATGAATCCAGCCTGAAGAGCCGCGATCTTACCGCCTACGGGCCGAGCAGGCACCGCTGGCTTCTGTTTTGGCGCAGCTTCGGGCTCCCTAGACTCGGTGGTGGCCGGCTTACCAGCGCGAGCAGGGATTTGGGGCTTTGGACGATCTGGAATTGTGGGCTTATCATCACCTGAAAGTTTCTTTGCAGGGCGTACGGGTATCGCCGGCTTCTCTGACTTCTCCACAGGGCTCTCCTCTGCATCAGCAGACTGCGGGTCCTTCTCTGATTGCGGGGTGGAAACGGTGGTCTCCAAACGGAGAGAATCAGGGGTGTCTTCCCAGACATCGCGACTTGGGAAACGGCGGCTGGCTGGTTTGCTGGGCTGGTTCATCTCCTTAGCCAAGTGAGGCTGTGCTTCAACCCACGAACGGGGTCGTGACCCAGATCGCGAGTTTTGCGTACGCATGAAGCTGTCAGGATTGCGATCCTCGGCTTCGGCAAGCTCTTCTTGTCGCCGAGCGAAAGCCTGGGCGATGGTCTCGCCTTCACGCGGGACGATATCAGATATATCAGCCGCGTCGGGTCTTTTGAAACCCTCGGTTGGCTCTGGGGTAGAGACCTCGGCTGTACCATGCACACTGTCAGGGGCATCTTCCCAGATGTCGCGGCTCGGGAAGCGCTGCGCGCTCTTCCGCTTTTCGGCCTTCTCAGCAGCCTTCTTTTGGCTATTCTCGTCTTCCGGGAACAAGGGCTCGTACTCTTCCACATCATCCAGAGGCACAGAGCGGACGGGAGGGTCATAAACGCTTGCTGCTCTGCTATGAGGTCTGCTCTTTGGCTGTTCCATTTCGTAAGAGCTGCCACGACGTTCGGGCTGTGGCTCAACGGCAGGTGTGTCATATAGAGATCGGCGTTTGGCCATCTCATCAGCTGCAAGAATAGGGGCTTCATAATCGCTCTCAGTGCCATCTTGAGTAACTTGCTCGGCATTGCCGTACTTGGCAAACCCTTTGCGGCGACCTGGCTCGTCCACGTGGATCACGTTGTCGTCTTCCTCCTCATCGCCGTCAGCTGCTGACACAGAGATATCTGGTCCCGTAGCAGTCTTCAAGGGGGAATCAGCGTAGCTCTGGCTCAAGCGCTTGGAAGCAGCAGAGGGCGGGCGAGGAGAGGCATTGCGAGACACGTAGTAATCAGTAGCTTCGAAGCCGACCTGCTCGCTAGGGGTGCTGACAAACTCGCGGTTGGTACCTAAGACCTGTTAGACGCACTCCAAAGTTTGTTGATGGGTTGTGTTACCGAAACCGGCTCCATCACTGTCACGGACTAGCTTGTTGAGATCTTCACTGCTCATTGAGTAGTCCTTGACACGATCGCGCAAGTGATGATTGTATAGATCAAATTTCTTGGCCTCGGGGTGTTTTTCGTAGTAGGCCTTCTCCAGCTTGTCGTTGTTCTCAACGCCATGGCCGTGCAGACCGTAGCTGTCAGAGGGCAGATGTCCAAATTGGCTACGACCACTTGTTCTTCTAGTATGGTGACGGCTACCAGGTCTCCCAATTTCGGGTGTTGCAGACGCACCCGGCGCGGGTGTCGGGGCCTGGGCGTCTCCGGCATGGCCAAGCAGAGGAACTCGCTGACCGATCTCGGGGATGCCGTGTTCGTCCTCATCGTGACTTATGTGGGACAGCTGACTGGTTGTGCTGGCTTTCTTCTTCAAGGTTCTGGGATACGGGTCTTCGCTGCTGGGACGACCAATACCAAATTCGGCAGCCCGGTCGGAGTCCGTACGAGTGACGGCAGCGACTCTCTGGACAGCGGCTTCCTGGGCCAGCTTAGGCTTAGGAGCGTGCAGCTTGATATCCTCGCCGACCGTCCTGGTCTGCTCAGGAGAAACGGCTTGGTGGTTCTCAGGAGAAGAGTGAACGTCATCAAAGGCGGCATACTCTTGGCCTTCCTGGCCGATTGATGGAATGCTCACGCTGCCGGGACGGTCGATTGACTCTACGTTAAGCGTGTTGTTCGAGGTACGGCGACCTGGGCTCTTGGGGTTGAAGGCAGGCTCGTTCAGAGGAGAAGGAGCAAATCGATCCGGATTAGGCGAGACGGAGCGGTTGAAACGCCTGGTCGGCCGTGGGGGAACTGAGGGGGCCGAGGAGCTGTTATCGTTCTCGGTGCTCCTCGAAGGACGAGGTGGGATTGCAGGTGTTTGCTGCATAGCTGCGGCTGTGGACATTGGATTCGTTGAAGTTTGTTATTTTCTGGGGGGTTTTTTTTCTTCAGAAGAAGCCAGAAGCAAAGTGGCCTTTTGCTGGGTTGGGTCAAATATCGGGCTCGAAGATCTCGATGATGTAACTGACGTCAAACGGGGAAAGCTGTGACCTAGAGCGTGGATCCGTGTAAGTCAGTAAGCGCAAAACCCGCGGAAACACAAAAACAAAGCTGTAGTTATTGATAGTGATGGGAAAAGCCGAAGCCGAAGCCAGGATATAAAAAAAATACGAAAATTGAAGAAACTGCTGGAAAACAATAGCTGGAGTGCAATCGAGAGGGACAAGTATCAGACCCGATTCCAATCTAAATGCAGCCTCCTCTGAAAAATAAAATTGACGATGAAGCGCATGGGGTTGCAGCCAACCAGGGAAACGGCAAATCAGCGTGCATGATAAGTCATCGGAATACACACCGCATAAAAGGCCACGAGTCTTGAGGTTGGTCTTTGATCTTCGGAGGTACCAGTGCGGCAAGCCACGCAGGGAAAATACCGATAGCTGCGTGCAAGTTCAAGGAACAGAGAGAGATACGCTGCCTGGCTGGGCTTGTCTTTTTAGCCTGCGGGCGGTCGAGCTCGAAACTGCGGTCAGTTAGACGGCCTGGATCGCGAGAGCTACAAGATAATGCAAGGTGCAGATGATAAGCACAGCAGGGTTTGATATGGTGAGCGTCAAGCTAGACGAATCATTCAAAACCCTTTGCAAATGGGATTATCAATTGCAAGTGACAGATCTCTCTTCGTGCTGTGACTGTGAGATCGTTTCCGGCAACTCGTGACTAACACGAGAAGCCGAGCTCGCTCCCTCTTCATGGGCACGAGCAAAGGGGCACCCAACAATGCAAACGACTCCAACCTGCTCGACTTACCAGTGATCCGTAAAGCTGCAGTGCTGCCGCTGTGTTTTACGCTTTTGACCGGGAACCTAAAACGGCTTGGGGTGTTCGGGTTCCTGAATTGACAACGCTGATAAGAGGATTGCGCAGGAATCGCAATATGCAAGGCAAGTAAGTAATCGAGGATGGGCACAGAAGAGAAAAAGCTGGACTGCAGTTCAGGTTTGCTACAAGATTTGCGAGTCTTCACGAAGACGAAACCTCCTGGGTAGCAGACCGCTTTAATACGTTCCACTTGTTCTTTGCCCAGTGTCTTGAAGTATTGCCGAGCCTGGCCATTGCGATGCCATGATTGTACTTCGGATCCCCATTATTAGCTACAGCAAACGAGCAGGTCGAACAGGGATGGTCCGTCGTAGTATTGGTGCTCAGGTGCGCTGGTCCGCGATACATAGTTTGTTGGTTTTCACTGGTTGTTATCGTTTCCAGCAAGGCCCAGCAGTCTTTCCCGGTACTTCACAAGTATCCCGCTGGAATCTCGGCAGGCGCATCCATGAGCAACGACGACAGGTTCGAAGCTTGTCCGGAGCTTTCACGAGTTTGCTGCTGTTGGGGTTACCTGTGGAGTACTTGGAAGGTTCCTCAAAGGTGTCATCGTTCCTAGCACGAACAACTGGAGCCGGCCCTGCGCCTCAACTGGCCAGCCCTGTAAAAAATGGGCTCTCAGCGGGGTGTTTTGATGCTAGCTGAGGCAAGTGTTATTGTGATGCTTCGGTAATAGAACAGTGAAAAACCCTTTTCATATTGCTGAAAATTCGGCCGTCTATCTTTGACGCCCCGCTCACGTGTCCCTTTTAAGAATGTCTGGAAACAATGATGATAATAATAATAATAATAATAATAATAATAATAACAATAATACAATAATAATAATAACTCCTTTATAATCAATTTCAGATGAAGTGGCATGTTGAATAGTAGGTGTAAAGTTCTAGTCTCCCAGCATCATATTCCAGTTGTGCCGTGCAAGACTCTCTGCTCACTAAAACTTAATCGAAATGCCCGGGTATAATCAGATCGGTGTGTTCTACATAGTCAACAATTCCGTTGGCATTACCCTATCAGATGATTAAGAAAAGAAAGAGAAGAAAAGGAGGAAAAAAAGCTATCGTGGGGTAAACTACGGACAACTTGGGAAACTTCATCCGGCTTCTCATAATGCTCCCGTTTACATAGTACTCCGTTCCAAGTGCCACCCATTTATGGGTTCCCTACTGATCACGATGCATTAGGTTGGGCCTTCAAAACCTGCACAATCACAGGGTCGAATGGAGCGGTCAGAGCCTTGTAACATGTACTGGTCTGCTTCTGTTGATAGTCCGCTTCACGCCCGGCAATGCCATCGATATGAGGTTTTTTCCTACTGCATGTATGCTTTCTCACGATAGTTCGAGGGAGGCCTCTTCTACCTCTATCATACCAGCTTCATAGTATGATCATCAATGCTGTGGCTGGTACCTCACGGTCTCGGATACGGTCGAGGAAGAAGAAAAGTTCCACAATGGCCGCTTTAATCGTTTTGCATGGACGGTTCTCTTGGGCGTGCATGGCTTTTTGCACCTCCACGAGGCCGGATGCTTGACAGCAGCACCACATGGCCCTGAAAATGCGGGCTGGTGGCGTAAAGGGTGCATCATTGCGCGCACCAATCCCCACCACGAGGGGTTCATTAGCATTGACGAATCGATCTTGTTGTGTTCGTCAGGCGCTTGAGCTCTCCCCCCTGCCCCCGAAACCCGATTTGGGCTTGTTGAATTGCAAAGCGTTGTTGTGCTCTCTCAAGTAGCATTAATGATCACCTATGTATGAACTAGTACTGTTAAAGAAACATGAATTCTATGTCTTATCAAATTGGGATCGAAAACTGCAGCTCTTGGTTTTACTTCGTCCTGAAATGTTGAATGCAACTGTGAGATTCTTAAGCTCGTTTGGGCCAAGGCCGATCTCTCGATCTCTCGCAAAGATTCTAGAACCCCAAATTTGGACGCCAGAATTATTTCGAGTAATATGTAGATCCCCCGCATTACGTTTCAACAGTTTTTGCTCGTGCAATGACGACATATTACAACAGGAACAGAAATACAGGATCATCGAGTGCATCCAAAGACGACAAGGTGATTCAAATCTAGAAAACTCTTTTGAATTTGTATCATTGATATATCCCCACGAAATATCGTCAGGGTGGACGATCACTCGAATTGTCAGATCGGGGCCTGACAAAAACCGTGGAGAGGAGATCACGTCTACATAAGTCTAAAGCTGGCTGCTATCTGCCACCCGCACCTCCATTACACTCTAAACACCGACGCCGTAAATCGGTCAATGGTTATGGCTGTAGAAATCCATATAATTGTAAATCAATTTACGTGACACCAAATCGAACACAGATTCGGCGGTGTCTGACCAAGTTGCTCATGTTGAAACGTGGCCCATTTGCTGAGTATAACATACTATCGTAAGCAGCACGGCTTGGCATTTTGTCAAGTAGAGCCCAGAACGCAAGAAGAAATACTATGGCCTCGGACACCTCCCTACTGAGCCGCTACCGCTCCGGCCAAGCTACATGTAGTACCGCCTGTTCTTTGGCTAGCGCTTAAGCTTCTCATGAATCCAAGTGCGTTCTTGATTGCATAACGAGTAGTCAATTGCCGGAAGCTGGCTATAATCGGGACGCTCTAGTATGGCTTATATCGTGGTGCCCGGCTACTGCTGCAGAGACAGCCACGACACTACAAATATCACTTCCGAATATTGTCTGTTCATCTACACCAGATCCAGAGAGTATGTGTTCGTTACCTACACACCGCCCTGTTAACGACTTTCTTCCTTTGGTCTTTTGAACTCTGACAGATAAAACTCATCAAGGTAACCAAAGACATCTTTACGCCATAGGTGAATCCGAAGTTCTGATTATGAGTTTGCAGACAGGACGTCCTTTGTTGTGGTATCGCTGTTGATGCCGAAGATGGCCGTTAAAGCTAGAGTGCCGATCATCTGAAGATCGCCGTAGTATATCAACTCCGTCGGCCCGAACCATGTAAGAAGGTTCCAGTGCCCTCCACTCGATGACATAGACGAAAGGATTGTGTGCAAATCCGCCCCAGACTGAGCTCTGCTCATGAGTACAGTGTTCGCCAGGCTCTGCCTCAAGCGAACCTGACAAGTCAGTTTTTAAGGTATAATTGCGGTAGCCTTGTCCTCACTGATTTGCCCAAGAGCTGGTCGATCAATTGTGCGCGGGATGAGTCTTAGAGTCGAGGAATAATGTGTCAGGGTAGAGGTCGACTCAAAGAGTCGAGACTGTGTGGTCAGACCAGGAGAAGTGCCATTAATGGATTCAATTCAAGGAGATGAGGTATCATCCACGCGGACATGAAAAATCAAAGTAAAGCTGTAAAGCAAAAGTGCCCACGCAATTCCTTACGCCAAACCCCAGTTTCAAAAATGCTGAAACCTCTTCTTCTACCACAACTCTGTTTTAATGCCGGAGGGGCATCTTTTTCCACGTTCATCCTACACAGCTGGAGCGCCCATGATGTCTTAATCAAGCTTCCGAGCATTTCTTACTTTGTTGTTTCCAGCCACTCCAGATTCGGGTCTTGGTAGAGCTCATGCTGGCTGGTATTGGTCCGCTCTTATACGATCATCTGAGCAACACCTTGGCCACCCAAGGTCTTGCTTCCAGTAAAAGCCTGATGTTTGAGGGCAGCGATCAGGTAGCAGATAGCGGTAAACATGAGGAAGACGGCGGCAGCAATCAAGCTGGTTCTTGCGGGAATCGCACTCAACCACTGGAGAAGACTCATGACACCATAGACGGCTGCGCGCATGTAGTTGGTCGAGATTTTGCGTATGTAAGCATCGAAGGTGGACGAGGTAGGGCAAATCCTGAGAAGGAGTGGCACCTCAATGAAGAGGATGATGAGGGAGGACGCTCTACAGTTTCGTCGGCGTTAGCTTTCTGACCACTTGCTGGCTAGCAGAGAGTTTCGTTCGAGCCACGATGTGGTGACTTACAGGGCAAAGGCGCAAAATATGTACATGATAACATTGAAGGTGAAGATATTCGAGATTCCTAGCGCAAAGCACAGAATCATGGACAAGATTCCGAGCCTGGAGAAGATGGTTAGCAGAGCCAGCGATGCAGGGCCTAAAACAAAGCACATCGACAGAGCTGGCAGCTTGCGCCGGGCTTTCTACCGCGATCAGATCTCCCCAAAGGAAAAGCATGTGCGTAGCTGTGAGATAGTATGCGACGTAGGATGGTGGGAGGCTTACCATTGCCCGTAAATGCCTACAGTGGTAGAGCACAATGTCAGTCACTCCATAATGCATTTGGACTGGTATCACAAGATGCGCCAGGGTTTCTCCAGCGGAGGGGTACTTACTGAAGTTCCTTGTCTGGAATTCCTCCTTGAGAGTCATGGTAGCGGTGTACAGCTGAGGAAGACTGGCTAATGGTGATGTGGTTGTTTGCTTTGCAACTTTGGTGTCGAGTAACTGACGACAACAGGGACCAAAGCTAAGCTGCCTGGTACGAGGACGGAGCTCGGTAGCTTGCGGCTAAGCACACTCAAGTACAGTGCAGACAGGCAGTGGTAAAAGGAGGGATTCGAGGCTGTCTCGAGATACTAGCAGCAGTAAAAGGTGAGGATTCGATGTAGATTATGAAAACGCGCTGCCTGTTTCTCGTCGTGTCTTAATTGGGGGTTGTTGTTTGGTGTTACGAAGATGACCAGATGTCCTGTTGTTCAGAAGGTTTGAGGTGGATCCGAGCTGCCGTTCCAGATAAAGCCGCCTCATCAGCAACGCCAGTGTTCAGTTCAACCTTCCTTAGCGCCTAGTCGCTGGGACCTTGCTGATGGACTTGCGCTTCTTCCAGCAGGTGCCAGGGGGCTGGACTGGATTGAATCCCCAGGACTCCAACCTCTGGGGTCTGAGACCCTGAAAAACGACACTGAAGAATGTAAAGCGCTTGGGCCACTCTGACCGTTTCAGGACCCTACGTAAACGCACTTACTTTTCTGGTGCTTGAAACACTGCCCGCTGTGCAACGTTTTTCTTCCCAGGCAGCCAGGCAAGCAAGGCCTACAACAGTAAGCACAAGCGCAAATGTTTGTATGGGTGCCCAATGATGATTGATCCCTTTCTTGTTAACTAATGTATTTTGAACATGTATTACACGCACGTGGTTGATTGGGCCATACTAATATATACTGCACCATACTTTTCTGTGGTCACGTCGCTGGCCTGCACATACCGCTCACCTTCATTCTCCAGTTTCAGGCAGCCACATTTGTATGCCATTGGCAAGTCTCATGTCGACTGCGCTCCGCTGTGCTGGATACCTGGGTTTCCGTGATATCTCCGCCTAGTCGTCTGCCACTATTACGTCTTGTTGTACGTGTACTATAAGGCTATGCTAGGCAGGGACATTTAGTACCTTATCATCATGACATTGTCTCGCGAGTAGTTGAGAGTGTGAGTGGAAAGAAGGCTTCGCTCGACGAAAGAATCACCAGAATTGAACTTCTGACCTGTACTTGTGTTCGTATCATTCGTCATTTTTCACTGCTACCTGGACCGGAACTGTTGGTGCACGTACCCTCTAAATGGGTTTGTCATCCAATAGACCATCTCGTATCATGTGGTGATCCTGTGTATCTCTTCTACGCAATTTTGATCTTCAACTGTTGGCTCATTCAACCATCCCATTGTAGGTGATCATATATAGAAACTTCTAATCCAGCAATCCTCAGCATGATAAATTAAGCGAAAACCAGCTTGAAGACGTCGTTGAAGACGAAGAAAGAGCCGGCCTCGGGCAAGAGCTGGAAGGCTTGAGTGTAGCTCATCGGGCGCTGCTCCTCGTCGACCTGTATTCTTGATTAGCATGCCGTGCTGAAGACCGTGTGTTACCTGAACGTACCAGAAGCTGTCCAGTGACCAGGACGAAAACACCGCCGTTAAGGCCGGGCTGGGCATCAATGGTGGCAACCTGGTGCTTGACTTGCTGAAATGGAAGGCCCTAAAGTTATCATGTCAGCCACAGCTCCCAGCCTCTTCATTTCGAAGCATACTCACAGCAAGCTTCTCGACAATGGCCGCGGCGCCCTGTGTAGCCGAAGACTCGAAAGTCAACATAGACTGTTCACGCTGTTCCCAATTTTTAGCTCGTCATCATATGCGGTATTTTGGTATGTCGGCTTACGTAGAGTGCAGAGAGCTGCTTTCGGTCGCTGTCGAACTGGCTGTAGTAGAATGTGACGAACTGGTCTAGGGGCGGAGAATGATCAGTCGTGCTCCAAGTCCCGATAACCGTGTTTCGTCGAGGAAGAATCTATATTGTAACTTACTCGCGACCTCCTCGAAGTCTGCCAAATTGTTAGCCGACGCTCCATAAAAAAGTATGTTCTGTCCGCAAAAGATACGGTGCAAGGAGAGCAATGCGCCAAGCTTGGAGGGGACATACTGGTAGCCATCTTGTCTGTATGAAAGGCTATAGAGAATATACCAGGGGGGTTCGGTGTGGTAGTCGAGCTTATTCTGTAGGATGATGACAGAAGTAGTGGCTTTCAGAAACAAATCAAAAGTTTGTTGATGTTGACGTGCGACGAGTTTATTGCGGCTTTGGAGGGGCTCCCAATTTCTTGAACAGGTTCCGGGCACGGGCGCGCGGCGGGGTAATCAACTCGTTTAAGGCATAAATCGATTGATTGCCAAAGCACCTACATAACCTGACGAGCTTATGTAAGTTTAATGTGCAGACTCGTGCCTGCCCAAAGACAAGAGGATGCCCAGCCAAAAACTGGTGTGTACCTGAGCACGCAGGAGTCAAAGATCGTGAGTCCACAAAATATTCACCATTGGTTCTGTTGAATCAGGCACGAATGCCACGCCCCTGCATATTGTTGATCAAATTTTATGCCCAGAATTGATCCTGAATCTAAAACATTCCAAGCAAACAAACTACTTCCCAGATGAGACGCGACAGGCCTTCTCATTGGCTAGATAATGGCAGCCACTTACACTCATGCGCAAACGGGACCAGCTGCCCGTTCAGCCAATATTGGTAGATCAGAGGCGAAGAAGATATTGAGCGACGATGGCATCGGCTCTCGTGCTCGTCGACGTCGGAGCCCGAGAGATCGACTGCCATCCGTCGCTTCTCTAGACAACTTGTTCAAAACTGGCCATGAGAGTGAAAGTTCCGATCCCAAAAGACATCCTTTGGACCTAGAAGACAGGGAGGCATTGAACACCTATGGCGTAACAGAAATGAGGGACAGTTTCTTTGATGCTGTTTTCTATCCGCCTGAGGAAGTGGACATTGACGATCTCATGTGGCACGCCAAGCTCACCTTGCCCTATGCATTTCGCAAGCAGGACCCGTTATCATTAACAAATTTCTTCCCTAAACAATGGCACGAAGTTAAGAGTGTTCTAAGTAGGGTCACCAAGACTCGAGCCGGTATTAAGCTCCTGAAGTCATCCCTTGGCTTCTTCGTTGCATATATTCTCTGTCTGATACCATCTGTGAGAAACTGGCTCGGCACGCACAATTACATCATGGCCATATCGACCCTCCTAAACCACTCAGGAAGAACCGTTGGCGCTCAGGTAGAGGGCACTATTCTTACCATCATTGGAACTGCGTCAGGGTTGGGCTGGGGTGCATTCGGTCTTTGGCTTTCCACTGTTTCTGTTAACGCCCGTGTGGGATTTGGTGGTATCCTGGCTGTGTTTTTGTGCCTCTTCATTTTTGTCATTGCTTGCATCCGTTCTTACTATATCAGAACATATCAACTGATTATTTGTGCTGGCATCGCGGTGTGCTATACCTGCTTAGCGGATGTATCTGGGACGAAGGTGTCATGGTCAAAACTACTTACGTATGGAGTTCCTTGGGCATTGGGACAAGCGATCGCGTTGTTGCCTTGTGTACTCATAGCTCCAGATGCAGGGGCACGTCCTCTGGCCGTTTCCCTGCATAATGCCTTTTCTGTCATGGTGGTACGTGACTTGGAGACTTTGCTTGCAAGAGTTGCACTGACATTAATAGACTGCAACCACTAAGACTCCCATGGATCGGCTGGCCCGTCGAAGACTGGCTCAATGCTTCGTCAATCTATCGCAAACATATCGAGATTTGGTCTTGGATTTTTCGATAACACTCTTCGATCCCAAGGATGTACTTCAATTGCGGAATCTGATGCAAGGAGTTATTCGAGCCTTATTGAGCCTCAAGTCCGATACTCGGCTCTTTGATATTTTCGAGCAGACTAGCAGCATTCCATCGGAAGACTTGCAAGCACGAGTCGAAGATTTCGTCGTTGATTTCGAACGAGATCGGGCTAATATTTCAGCTCACGAGGTAGAATTACTCCGATTCGTGGCAGAAAATCTGATAGAACCCACAGAGTCACTTTTCGCTGGAATGAGAGTAACTCTGCAACGCTGTGATGCCGTCTTGATGGACATGTGCGGGCACAGGCAATACCTTGGGCCGCCTCGGAACATTTCTGACGATGTTGCTGGGTCCCTTGTTAAACTTCGCCGACGGATCATCACATTCATGACGACACAAGACAGTGTTTTGGCAAGCGAGAAGCTCCCTCCGGCGTATGCTGAATACCCTGAGATTGTGAAGTTGTTTGCCTATTGTCGACCTGTTCATCAGGCTGCAACAGCGGTTGAAGCTTTGGCTGTGAAAGTCAATCAAAGTAAGCAGTTTTTGAATTTGTTTTCTGTCCTATTCGCCATGTCTACAGAGCTTATATAGATATCTAACGGTCATTGAACTCTTTGCGATTGTTTCACCATATTCCCGAAGACCCCCCCCCCCCCCCCCCCCCCCCCCAACTGACCACAACGAAGTAACCACTGATTTCGAATACTGTAGTGCAACAACAAAAACCAGAACGTCCTAAATTCTATCCGTCTGACTACCCATTCTGGAAATCTTTGTACCGCACAAATGCACAAGTTCGTCACGACAGAGGTGGTCTAACAGCAGGTACGTACTCAGCTTGTTTCTAAGTGTTTTGTTCAAGCGACTGAATTCCTACTCTATGCCATGTCTATCCTCCCTTCCCTATCTATTCTCAACGTCAATGTGCAACATTTTAATGTTGTTATCCCCTCCCCCCCCCCCCAGAAATTTTTTAAATCGTTTTTCTCTTCTAATAAAGAAACCACTATCATCTATCCATTTTCTCTTGTCTAGTGGCGGCCAAGTAGTGTACACAAGAATGGTGTAGTCACCTTGAATCTTGTAGTTACCTACATAACCAGAAAGTCATATGTCGATGTGCCAGTGAGGTTCGTGTCGACAACTCTATACCATCAATGCATCCCCAGCGGCTTGTTGTACTTGTTCCCTATTCCGTTATGGCAGTAAGCAGCCGATCATCTCCAAAATTATAGAATTGGATGTGAGCCAACTATTGTGTATATTGCTCGTCAGTTTAACTAGCCAGTCGAATATTACATCTGCTTGTTGCGATGTCTAGTAATCACGGATGCTGACATGTCAAAACCTAGGTTCTTACTTCAGAAGTTTCAATGAGATAGCAGAACTGATGGAAAGAATCACATCGAAGGAGTATGAGCCGCTCTCCAGAAGGGAAGATAAGCATGCAAATAAGCTGGAGAAGATGACTTCCACAATGACTGCGACTGAGATTGAGGATGAGACACCGAGTAGAGCAGTCCGTCTAAGAAAATCCGTATGGTCGGCCATGCATCGAGCTCAAGGCTTTGAAACACGCTTTGGCCTTAAAACAACTGCTGTGACATCTATCCTTGCCATACCAGCGTGGCTGGCACAAAGCAATAGCTGGTGGAATTACTACGAGGCATGGTGGGCCGTTGTGATGGCATGGCTGATCATGGCCCCTCGGTATGCTTCCAAGTCTTGAAGACTCAAATAACGAATTGCCAACTAACATGTCGCAGTGTTGGAGGAAACGTCCAAGATTTGTTCACTAGAGTTCTATGCGCAGTGCTTGGAGCTGTCTGGGGTGGCTTGTCATTCGTCTCTGGGAACGGCAATCCATACGTAACGGCTGTATTTGCTCTGATCTTTATGGTGCCCATGATCTACAGATTTACTCAGAGCACTCATCCTGTACGTGACTCAACAATTGTACGGAGTTGTGTGTAGGTGCTAAAAAGCTAACTTGCACTAGAGATCAGGTTTGGTGGGCTGCATCGCGTTTACCGTCGTATCGCTTACAGAATACACCCACGAGGGCGATCAATCTCCATTGGTCATAGCCGCTACGCGAGGAGGAGCGATTGCTGTCGGCGTTATCGCCTCGATAGTTGTGAACTGGATCATTTGGCCGTTTGTAGCACGTCACGATCTTCGCAAGGCTATATCAATGATGCTATTTTACTGCAGTATCATTTACAGAGGTAAGCGGATTATGAAAACATCCACAGTCGATTTGCTGACCGCATTAAGCTATTGTGTCCAAATATGTTTATTATGAAGAAGGCCACGAGCCAACCAAGGCGGACATTGAGGCGTCTGAGATCTTGGAAGGCCGCCTCCGAGAAGGATTCGTGAGGCTACGGCAACTGCTGGTCCGTGATGCTTCACAGAGAGGGGATATTAGAAGTATCGCATAACTGACTTACAAATAGGGACTAACGAGACACGAGATTCGCCTGAGATCACCCTACGATCCTTTACCGTACTCAGCATTGATCGACGCTTGCGAGCGATTTTTCGAATATGTTGTTGCATTACGCCAGTCTTCGCTCTTTTATCATCCGCACTTCGTCCGAGACAACCCAGAAGCTGCAGCTCGGCTCTTAGGTTATCGTAGAGATGCTATTGCTACTGTAATGACTAACCTATATGTCCTATCTGGAGCCCTCAGGGCTGACAGGAAAGTGCCGGTAAGTAGCGGTCGGCGTCCGTATTTTCCTTTACTAATAACCTGCAGAAATATCTACCTAACGCGGCTGCTGCACGCAAGGAACTTCTAGACCAAACGAAGGTGCTTGAAGCCGAGCTAGCGGCAAGCGGGAAGTACTCGGCAATTGTGAAGACGGAAGCTGAGAAGTGGGCACAGATATACAGCTATTCCTACAATGAGAGCTTGACAGGCTGTGTTGAGCAGCTGAAGGAGTTAGAAAAGTATACCAAAGTTATTGTAGGAGAGCAAGGGTAAGTTCTGCGAAGTATCGAGCGGAACTAGTATGTACTGACTAAGTATAGGTTTGATGCTGGACTTCAAAATGATGATTGGGTTATCCCTTGAGCGGTATCATACCAATGGGATTGTTGTTCAGCGAATTGGAAGTTTGTAATGCAGAGAAAACAAAGGCTATCAGTGTGATCGGTGAGCTGGACCTTGTGATTATTTATGTACTCTCCCAAACAGGCAAGAGTTTCAAGTTGCTCATTCGTTTCTGGGTGTATTCTTTTGGTCTGGCAAGGGTGCTGGTAAGTCATCTTCAAAATATTGGCCTCGTATACCTCTACACAGTACATTACATCTTGCTATGGTTGTTCCAATGGCCATGGCTACTCAAGAAGTGGTACATCACCGGGTTTTGTTGTAGCTAAAGTGTTTTTTTGCTAGGGGCTCCACATGATCGACCGTGGATCTTGGAAGATTGATTTACATCAAAGCCGATATTTGATGTCAGTGCAAGCATATATCGACTCAAAAAAAAACTCGAGAACATCGCATGATGCCAGCAAAGACCATGGTGGTTGCGTTCGAACCATTAAACTGATTGGTCAACAACGAAGTATGTATCAGCTGAAGGGTCGACCTTAGAATCCTTCCAAGCGCAGGGGGAAAAGGAAAAGAATGATAGCTTCCCTAGCACGGGTAACCCCTGAGGTAACGGAACGTGCCGAGCCAGCTATCTCCCATGGATATGCCTGTCCTTCGAAGCTATGTAGACTTGGTATGCTCAAGTCACTCGCTACACTATATACATGACAGATAGTATACAAACATGTCGTGAGGATGTTTCCCAGATCTCGTATTTGTGGAGTCAATTCAGGCGAATGCCTGTTGGCGGTCAGGTCGCATCGTAATAGTCTAGAGCTCCCACTGAGGAACGGCTCGTGCCAGAAGGTCCCGTCAAGCAGTGGGCGTAAGATTTGGCGCCACCAACCGATATCTATGTGCTTCCCACTATCATAAAATGGAGGTAAAGACGATGAATCACTGGGATCTAGTAGGCTGTTCAGGTAGGTGATCTTAAAATTCGAAACGAAACCTTACTAACCGTAGCATACTATACATGACAACCATGGGTCGATTATTCTGGTGACACTAGATAGTAAGATCTAAGCGACGCCACCACTTCATGTTTACTGTGCATTCCTTTTCTCATTGCTCAAGAAGACAATTTTTGGATGCCGATAATACTTGCCGTGACCCAAGAGTTTTTAGTTTTTGTCTTGCTTGGGTCTACATCTACATGTGGGTGAAGTTCGAGCAGTAAGGCTAGATAACATTAATATTGGCATTGTATAGCTTGAGCGTTGGCCGGGATTCCCCTGATTTCAGCTTGTCGAGGGTAGTTGTTCGGGAGTACATAGTGAGCGTGCTTGTCGTCATTGTGACTTCATTGTTGGCATATCTTGGAAGGCAAGGATCATCGGCAAAGCCGCACCCGAGCGAGCTTCCATGGTGTTGATCAGTTGCAATTAGCGACCGGAGGGTATACATGAAGTAGTGCTAGATACCCCGGTTGCATGATCCTATATGAAACAAGTAGTATATGTGTCGTAATATCCAATAATTGCAAGAACGAAACTTTCAGTGGGGCAAACTCGTCATTGTGAACTCAGAAAGCAGGTAAAATATGACATTCTGGAATGGTGATCACCTGAAATATTGAACTCAAAAATAACAAGCAACCAATGGGGCTGAAAGATTGGTTGACCAGAGCGATTGAGAATGCCCGTGCACCTAGAATATGCCCCTATCCGGTAATACTCTTGCCGATCAACGCTGTAGGGCCATTTGAAGGCTTTGAATTGACTCACCCAAGCCACAAGAACGCAAATACAACTTCGAATATGTTTTGTTGTTTTGCAATAGTGAAGTTGACATGGAAGTAAATCCTGCCAAAGACCAGGGTATGGGACGTCACCGACCGTCAATGCCGATCTCACTTTCTCTATGCTTTTATGAAGGACTCTAGGGAAGCCACGTCAGTAAGTACTTGAAACTTGAACCGGTTGTAATTATGTGTAACAAATGTACGTTACAGGTAAAGCGGAAACAGAACTTCGAGGTATCCTTTCATTATCTCACTGCCATTCAAGGCGAAAGAGATTATATTTTTATTCCCGGGTTCGTAGTGAGCTAGTAATATATATGTTGAACACATGCTAATTCTTCACCAATGCCGAAAGGGGCTCAAACACAGTCCTATTAAAGTATTGATTGTTCACAGCTTAGGCTTAGCTGCAACCAACTTCAGCTTCGAAGTAAGCGTCTCCTCTGCGTCCTTCTCGATCCGCGTCATGAGTACCTCGCAGGTGGGAATGTCATGAATGAGGCCAATGACTTGGCCAGCGGTCCAGACCTGTACATATGATTAGCCAAGGTATGGATGAGACCTGCCTCTGAAAACAACTTACACCGTATTCGGGGTCACCGTTGATAAATACTTCCCGGCCTCGTTTGCCGCTGACGAGGGGTGCCATCTCGTCAAATTTATCGCTCTTGCTTTCTCTTTCCACTTTTAAGGCTTGTTCGGTGACCTTGTTCTTGTATAATCTGGTGGTGTTAGTCCATCGCCTCATGACCAAGGCCGTATCAGTCTCAGAGGCTTTGACAATCTCCTCCTTGATGTTCTGATGGATCGGGGCCTCGACGGTACACATGAAACGAGTCCCCATGTTGATCCCCTCGGCACCGAGGCACAGAGCGGCAGCCAGACCTTGGCCGTCAGCGAATCCGCCAGAAGCGATAAATGGTACCTCAAGCGACTGACGTGCGCGGCTGAGCAAGATGAAATTGGTGATGTCTGACTCGCCCACGTGTCTATAATGTAGAGGTCAGCCGATGTCGTGCAAGAAAACCCGTGTACGAGGCTATTTGATTCGTGACTCACCCAGCACACTCGAAGCCGTCTATCGACAGAAAATCAACGCCGAGCTTGATGGCGCTCTGTGCGTGCTTGATGGTGGTACACTTGTGCAAGATAATGATACCCGCAGCTTTGAGCTGCTTAATGACCGGCCCGGGGCTGTTTCCGGCCGTTTCGACAACCTTCACACCCTCTTCAATAACTATCTGAGCGTAGGCGCCATAGTCGGGCGGGTTCAAAGACGGTAGTAACGTAATATTGACACCGAATGGGTACTTGGTCATGGTCCTGGTACGTTGGATTTCCTTCCTCAGATCCTCCGGTGTTGGTTGGGTCAGCGCAGTGAGTAAACCCAGCCCACCCGCGTTGGACACGGCAGAGGCCATTTCAGCGTATCCAACATACTGCATACCACCCTGGACGATGGGGATCCTGATGCCCAGAGCACGAGTAAGCTTTGTGTCGAATGGCATTGTAGTTTTGTCAGCTAGCAGCTTTCTCAAACTAGGCGTAGTGACTTTGGCAACGAGTTCAGCTCTGTCTGGCAGCACCTATTTATTCTATCAAGTATGCAAGACTCAAGAAATAAAGACGCCGAAATAATTTTTCAATGACTCTCTCTTTAAACAAGACTGTTGAAAAAAAAAAAAGTTGAAGTTGTGTTCAACTAAACAGTCACCGGGTGTTGATGAGACGTGATCAAAAGATGCCGAGGTATTTACTCCACATTCGGCTACGGCCAGATTCCTGGAGTCTGGGGCAACGCCGCATCGGCATACAGGGGCACGTTAGTATGCTCTTAACCGTAGTCTAGTAACTAGCACGTCACCTTGAGTCCCCATGTGACATGCCAAGGAAACGCGGACAAATGAGTCTGAACTTCGAGACATTGAAAGCATTGTTAGTAGTAGCGCAAGCGTCTCGCTTAGATTGCGGTGCTGGCCGTCCATGTGTTCTGTCATGCCCATCAATGTACGACACGAAGATGTAGAAAATACCTAGAGCCGCGCATCGGAAGAGTCGCAAAGAAAACGTACACTCATCTCTGGCTTACGTCTGCAATCGTCCGGCGTTACATCTCTCTGTGGGGACAGATTGGGCGAACATGCTCGGCCTGAAGAAGGTGATGCGTAGCAAATGACGGGTGACGAGGCTCTTCGAGCAGCTTTATTCATTATGGAACGATGAGTCGTGTGACCTGGCGGTGGGAACCCGAATAACGACATAATACCAACCACGATGCGCAACATCCTGTCGGTATCCTAACGTTAGATTTCTGTTCATCATGTGAGCGTCTTGCTTTGCGGTTGACGCTGCCCTCCAAGCTTTGGTGGCTGTAAAGTTAGTTACCCACTCCCAGTGGTCCCAACGGAACGGCTATTGTTGTTGTTGTCGACTCGGTCCTATGCTTCTCATCCGTTTCATCACTTCCGCGAGTTGTAAAGGATCATCTGAGAATGGTATCACTGCCGCACATCTGGCTAGGCACAGGAGAAAACCATGCTTGCCCCAATAGAAAGGTTGACACAGAACAGATGATCAGGGAGTGATTAGGGACGAGGTGTGCAGATGTGAGGCACAGATCAAATTTTCACACAGTATACTTGAAGAGATTTCGGTTGGAAGTGAGAAGCAACATGAAGTGGAGACTAAATGCTGGCTTTGCAACGCAGCAAGCTCATACTGTGCAATAGCCTACATGAAGCTGGTCTTACTTTCACATCGCGCTCATACTCTGCCAGTATTGTCAAGCTGAGAGGTACGATTTCAATAGCCCCCTCCAAGTGCTCCACAATCAGACGATCTCAACGGCACAGCGGGACGACGTGGCCGTCGTCCTATTGCCATCCACTATCAGAGGATTTGTCAAATTTCTTCAGCTTTTAGCTACCAATGTACGCAGTTACATAGTCCAATGCTTCACAGAGTGTTTGCTCACGCTTATCTGACTGCGGACCCATTCGATTTGGATCGCCGCCAGGTTCTGCATATACTCCACATCTGAGACTATTCGAGCTCATGGTTTATGCTTTGGTTTGAGGACTGTACAGAATATACTGATGGAAGCCTCTGCCCCGGAATAGGTCCTGGAAGAGGTTGCTTTTTTCTTCTTCTTTGACCGGCGCGTTATGCTAGAAATCGCGGCACTTGGTACAACGATCATCAAATTTCTCCGATATGTGCAACAGGTTGCGTCCAAAGTGGCACTACTCATCCGAGAACCGAGCCGCGACAGCGGGAGTGGGAGCATATCGTCTTCTGTAGATTGCCAGCTTGGTTGTAGTATAACGGTAGGATATTTCTAACCTGCAGCAATGGAGAACGATTTGTTCAGGCCTCAGAGGAACTACAGATTACAGGGCCAATTAATTCCAAACAGAATCACGCCAGTTTCAACGAATAGTCACTTATTAGGCTCCAGTAGGTTTGTTTTGTTATATCAATCATGTGATTACTGAAAATCATCTTCGTTGAACAACACATTTCGCTAAAAGAGTAGAATCTTCACCGTTTTGAAAAGCAATATTCCGACCAGGTGAACCTGCCATTTCCCGCAAGGGCGAGACGCAATCGTTGAAGCAATCGTTAGTTACTAACCTAGCCCCTAACTGTGCGAGTCCCCTTCTGATTAGGTAGGTACTGTAGGTACTAACCTTAGAGCCTGTTAGTGAGGGGCTCTTCCACCAGAGAATACACATCCCACCCGCAACTTGGCACCTGTTCATGCCAACGATTTGTGACCATTATATGATTCGGTAAGCAGATCAAATCTTGCTTGCATGTTAGGTTTTTACCGAGCCCAATCTAACGCCCTGCACGATCAATACTGTACTCGCTTCCCTGTTACCGTATCATTGGCTTGATCATCCTACATCTCGGTACGCATGCGTGAGGACCCCTGAAACCTTGCTTGCCTTTGATGCACGTTTGATGCATTGGATGAGCAAGCCAAAAAGCAAACTCAAGAGGCTGACAGTAAAGTCGTGTACTCTGAGAAAACCCCCAAATGTGTACTCACGCATGACCACATACATGCCAGCCGTACGTTGAGCTCGTAGTACAACCCTGTGGGTGCCGCAGTCCATGCACTCTGCAAAGACAACGCCCGGTCACCAACAGGGACAAAGATGTGAGTACTGTAGCTTTGTGCTTCTGTTTTGCTGATCCCTTTGGCGACTGATATCCCCAGTCAATTCGTGGCGGCCCTTTTCCATACCGTTGGGTCTGAAGGGCACGCACGATGACGCCAAGGGGCCAACAGATTCGACCTAATGCCTGTTACTAAAGTGGATGGACGGCAAAGCGCCAAGTTCATTGGGCACAGCAACTCTGCAACGAGTCTACGAACATTGAATCAAAGGATCTTGCGCGCACTCCAGATCGAAGCCGCAGGAAGCGCTCGAGTACACAACTTGTGCATGGTACAACAAGGAAATTCTCCGGCCGGTCTGTACCACGGTCAAAGCATTGTTCCACCGAAGGCTGTGCGAGTTCGCAAGGCCATGCCTGTCTTAAATCCAACAGCTTGAGGATTATCATATTCTGCAATAATCTGCTCTCGCTTGCCATGCCAGATCACATTGTACTCGACGCGATGCCCCGATAGGCATTACTCGGCGCGGCTGAAATATTCCAGCAGTGGAGTACGATATGACAACGTGCAAACAAACCTGCCTAGTCTGAGTAGGTACAGCGTACCGGTTACCTATGCCACTTCCTTTCCTGGTCTAATGGTTTTTTTCTCCCGCTTGAAACACTACATAGTCCCTGCAGGGATTACCTCAACTCAAGAGAAAAGCAAATTATGACAAGAGACCACGTCCTATTCCGACGGATTGCTGTCTTAAGATGGAAACCTCGATATGTACCGTACCAGTGAGTTAGAAATAGACATCATCTCCCCCTTCCGTGATGCATCAGGCCGCCTCCCGATACAAAAAAAAAAAAAGAAGTGTTTATCACTGCCGTCTCACATCAACGTGCAAACATCGTACGAAGAGCCGATCACGCTGTAAGAGCCACATCATAACTTGTGCTCTGACTGTTGTGGTTGAAGACACATAGCGATCAAGTTTAAAACCCCATTCAATACCATCTTCTTCCTACTTTCCCGCTTGATTACGCATCTCTTCCTCTTCATCAAATCTGATCGAACGCATAGCAACCCATAGACACCCACCGTTACCAGGCGTCGACTTGAGTAACTCATTTGAGATCATGCCATCCGCAACATCTCAACCACCAGCGGCTCCTTCTCCATGGCAGGACCATCTCCACGGTTCGTATCTTCTAGCAGTGTTCTTTCTCTGTACTTATGTTGTCTACAGAGAAGTGTCACGAGTATGGTTGGGCCATGCCTGACTTTCAGATCGTATCAGATAGGCGAGGTAAGCTCTACTTCTGGGGGATTTCTGGTTAGGACCGAAACTAAACATGATATCTCCAGGAGGTCGCACAGCCTGGTCCTGTATCGTTAAGGTCGCAGGAGCACCCGTCAAAGCCAAGTTTTGGTACGATGGAAGAAACCTCAACAACGCCAAGGAAGATGCAGCCGAAGCCGCCATTGCCTGGCTGGGCAATTCCGGCTATTAGAGGATTGTCGGAAGGAAAATGCTGGTGTTGCTGCTCAGTTTCCCAAAGATCTTTCACTTACCATTTTCATCTCATTTTGTTGGGTTGTAATTACGTATATGCGGCGTTGGAAAAGGATCAGTAGCCTCACGGCCCAGGCGAGAACAGACACAGCGCCAGGAACAAAGCACAAATTCCTCTGGCTCGACGCATGGGAATCTCAAGGGCTTCATACTCTATTTCTTTTTCTTGGAATGGTCTTCAAGATTTACAGTTCATCTGATACGCAGATTCTCAGATTCTTTGGCACGGAATGTTAGGGCCTTTGTTGGAGCTGGCTGGAATCCCACACTAGGTGATCGGTTGTTTCGGAAGTAGATTGATTCTCATGGGTATGTCATGTGGGTGGAACTTGAAGAACAAGGAGACCGGCGATCCGAAAACTGAAGATTTCTTTTGGTCTCGTCGGCATATGCAACGCCAGTTTGGAATTCCGTTTGAGGTGCGGGAGGCTTCAAGAAACCATCGGAAGAGCTCTTTCGCGAATCAGAACAAACACAAGAGTGTCCCTGTGATGCAAGGTCATCCGCTACTTGACTGGAGCAGAGTGGATTCGAATCGAGGGTGGGGAAGGCGAGCGCACGTTGTGTGACCATGGGCAGGAAGAGACATATCTTACGAAGGAGACGAAGTTGGCATGCTATCAGTCATCATTGTAGAGTATACCAGGTCTTGGAAGTTTTGCTTTCTTTTTGTGGAGCTGGGCAGTCGCAAAATATCCCATTTCTGGCCTCTGAACCTCTCTGTCGGGTCTAACGTTTATATTAAAGATTTGTGCAAAATATGTGAAATCAAGGTACACGACTGAGACAAACGTCTCATAAAGGGCTTGTTGCAGGTAATGCGCATTCTGAGTCATCAAAGTACCAACTTGGTCGTACAAGATCAGCGCTAAAAATAAAAATAAAGTCTAAATTTTCTACATTTTCTTCGAGAACATCAATCACTTCACATTCGAGTACAATGCAACATCTGTGCGTTCTTCTCGCGACATCATGATTGATTCAGCTCTGCAAACATATCCGTATTTCTCAATGATCTCCATACTGGCCCCCCCCCCCCCCCCCCCCCCACACACACACACACTCAATTTGAATGAACCCCCAAACCTTGCATACAAACTAAACATAAATACTACCCTCTTTTACAGCAGACCCGGCCGATCTGGCATGGCCAGGGACTTGAAGTCAAGGTTGGCACCCCCATCTGGTATTGGATCTATCAACTTCGCATGTTTGGCGGCTTTACTGCAACCAGTCTGAAGCCATAGCTAGATGATTTTCGCAGGGATTTGTGTAAACCGGTGAGCAAGAAAGAAAATAATACAACCACTAAACATCAGCACTTGGATACGCACAAAGTATTGCCTAGGTGCCTCAGCACTCATAAACCGCCATTGAAATATTTCAGCAAAAGGTGGCAGATACGATGCGAAGAGCCGAGGAATAGGCAATTTCTTTACATGAAAATTCGTGTTCAGATTGATCTCCTGGGCAAATTCCTCGGGGAACGACTCCAGGTAAGTCAATTCGGCGACTAAGCAATGCTGGCAAAGTTGGAAAAGTACCGAGCTCTGAGCCAAGGCGCTTGCAGCATGCATTGTGCAAGTACTTGCGATGACAAAGTATCCAAGGCCCTATCAAAAGGCTTGCGAAAAAAAGCCAATGGAGGGTCAAATACATTGTCATTTTGGGGCCAACGCCGTTACATGTCATCAAATCTCAACCGGTATGCTAGCTGCAGATTCAAAGGTGTTGTTGGCATCAACCCATTTGCAACTTCAGGTAAGCTACTTGCGCTATTTTTGCAACTTCAGCATTGCATGTATTGCTTCGTGACAGCGGGATATGTCTCACTCACGAGCCATTGATGACGCGCCTCGTTTCTTTCTGATCTCACGGCACACCGTGATGGCAGGAACATCCATCCCAGCGCAGCGGGTGGCAGTGGGCCCTGGACTTTACAGGGGACTTAAAACCTCGAAACCAACCCACCACGGTTGGGGCTCTGGAGAGGTCGGGGTCGGGAAGACAGGCAGGCTCAACCTATGCCTGCAGAAAAGCTCGGCAAGATCGGTTGAGCTTGACCTGATCTGGGGATGTTTCGCGCTCCCGCATTGCTGCAATGGCAATCATCAAGCAAGATCAGTCGTCACAGCGCATGTGCTCGCAGCGAGGCTTCGACGCAGCTCGGGGTAATGTTCACAACATGAAAGTCCTTCCACTGCGCCCAGCGTTCACGATCCTACGCTATTATGGTGTAGCTTCGTCTGCAATGGTCCAATCAGAGAACAAAATCCACCCGAGAGAGGATTGCCTCTTTCGGCAACCCTGGATAGAACATGCTCGCAGAAGGACGCAGAAAGGGTTCACGAGGTGCGCGAGCTAAAACCGTTCAATACTAAGCACTTTCAATGTTGAACTTTCTTTTTAAGCTCTAAGAGCCGAGCGGCAATGGCTTGATTCGTATCGTGCCTGTCTCAAAGACTTTGGTCTTGCCATACCGCAACGGCTGAAGCAAATATACGTTTGCTCACCGCTTGGAACATTTCTAATACGGGCTCGCACAACGGATATTTGTTTTCCTTATTGCGGCATAGACAGCCACGGGTGCTGACGGACATCAAGCCAACAAATACACGGCCGTTCGATCGAGTAGTGTTCAGGTGTGCAACTCATCTGTCGAGATGTTCGATCAACCATACTGGAGCTTCGCATCCCTGCTTAAGTCCGTACAGACTACCTGACGCAGCGCAACCCCCTGTATCCATGCTCGCCATGTGCTCAGCTGTGTCACCACTGCAATCTTCATCAATCGATGCTTTGTTTTTCCAAGAGTCAAATCCTACCACATATGCGCGCCAGGTATTTCACACAGATACCGGGGACGTTGTGGCTTATTTCGGCCAGGGACATGGCCCGTTGTCACCCACATAATCACAAGCATACACTGTGCTGGAACCAATCACGCGCCGGTGAAGCTTTTTGGAGCCCTACAACAAAGCAAAAGATACACACGACGGGTATGCTTTCGATCATGCGAGATTCGAGTATAATTGTGCATTCTCTCGAGATGTTCCCCGAGATGTCCCCGACTCCTTGCTCGTTGAGGCGGGTCATTCTATCTGTACAAACCCCGTTTTGGTGAATAGAGGGCTACCTTTCGTCCGGTGTCACTCAAATAAGCTTTCTGTCCGTTTTCCTTGGTAGTGGAAGACTTGGCGGCTATATGCAGAAACGCATGTATGTCCGACAGGGCCAATCAATCTGTCCCAGTGACATCCATCTGTAGCGTATCTCTATTGGCTGTAATAAAGAGTATTAGGCAAAGTGAAACAGACTACTGAGACTCTCGCCGTGGTGAATGCGTCGGATGACTTCTGCAAACATGGGGGCAATGTCTAGAACTTCAATCTTGGGACAAATGGCCCTGTTTTCCTCCTGAGGCACCGAATTGGTTACGACAATCTTGTCAATAGCGGACGCATTGATGCGGTGGAGGGCATCACCGCTAAAGACGCCATGAGAAAGCAACGCATACACGGATGTAGCGCCTTCGCGCCGCACCAGCTTCGCTGCGCGTGTAATAGTGTTGGCCGTGTCTGCCAAGTCATCAATCAGAATGCACACACGGTTGGCCACTGATCCCACGAGCATCATGGTTGCGTTCTGGCGATCAGTGATCTTGGTGGGACGTCGTTCCTGTTCAAGCGTCAGTAGTGGAACCCCTGGTGCGATGATATCGTACGGGTGTTGATTACCTTGTGAATCAGGGCAAATTCCATGCCCAAGGAATCGGCTATGATTGTTGCGCGCTTAGCCCCTCCCGCATCAGGACTAACAATGATTGCTTCCTTGTAATTTGGGATGTTCCGTTGAATGTATTGAGTGAGGAGTGGCCGAGCATACAAGTTGTCCATTGGTATGTCGAAGAACCCTTGATATTGAGGGTCGTGCAAGTCCAGAGCGACCACACTAGAAATTCGTTAACTAGGATATTCACTAACCTAGCACGGTCCAAAAGGTTTGATGAGTCACGACATGGCAGCACTTGTTGCGTCGCAACTGTAAGCAAAGAGCAAATATACGTACTGGTCAGCCCCCGCACAAGTAAGGAGATCGGCTACGAGGGTTCCTGCCTGAGCGACCCAGCGTTTGTAACCAGGCTTAGCTTCGAACACTACGTCAGAGGCTGGGTTGTTTTCGTAGTCGTGCTTCGTGAAAGACCCTGGTTGAGAGGTAACCGAGTTCGAGTGGGATCTGTGTGTTCGCCTGTCGCTCGACAGTGACGCCGATGCTTTGCTGAGCATTCTATGCAGATCCGAGCCATGATTTAGACCTAGACTTCTCGCTGTACCTGGGCCTGGTGTAGGCGGTACGCTCTCGAAGGTGTACTTGTCCTTTGGTATATCGGCCGCAGGTTTAGACAGAGGAGCTCCCGCCTTGCGGTATGGCAAGTCTGGCTGGCGAGAGTAGGGGAACAGTGGCATGATTGCCGTCACCCTCTTTGCTGAACCAGTTTTGCATGCAGATAGCACTAATTTCATGATGTCCAATTAGACGCTTTTCATAAGGCTGATATGGACAAGACATATTACTTACTTATACACAGCTCGATCATGTGATCATTGACGGCGCCTCCGCCGGATTGTATGATGAATACATCTTTCCCTCGCACAGAATCTTGGATTTCGCATCTGCTCTCTCCGCCTGAAAACTTACTCAGTATGCGGTCCCCAGGTGCTATCCCCAGGAGGCTGCAAACGTTGTCTACTAGACGTGGATGCGAATTGCCTGAAATCACAACAATGTTTCTGACCATATTGACCTATTTGTCGTATGCCCAGGAGTGAGAAAGCGATTATGTCGCCGTTCTGAGAAGCAGTATCGAGTTGAGTCCAGAGCTTTGGTAGTCCAACCGCCTTAGTAAGTGTGCTTATCTCTGTAGTAATTATTGTCATCGGATGGGGCACCAGGTAGGCACTAGCCGAGGGAGGGCCAATACACACAGAAGGACCTCGAGTTTATAGGTCCCGGAAGAGCCAATCAGAAGATGCTGGGTATACTGTGAATACGATGGTGACCATGGACCTCAACAACCAAATGAGGATGGAAATGGAGAAGTTGTGGAGGCCCGAAGGAAACCTGCGGGGCAGGAACGGGGATCAGGGAGTGAGACATCCACTTACAGTGGGTTCTTCAATGGGGCACGGGAGGCTCCCAGGCTGTACCAAAGTAACCTAGTGCTGGCCATTGGAACAAGCTCCATTGGGCCCGGGCGTTCCCTTGGTTGCGTCAATGAAGGGCGCGCCTGAGGCCACTTAAACTCGATGACATAACATGCTGAATATTATTTTGCAGCGTGCAAATTTTGAGGCATTGCCAAAATCAGAACAGATCTCGAACTTCTTCAGGAAACCCTGAAGCGCGTCTGGCTTATCGTTTCTTGTCGCGCACTGGAATTGTTGGATCTTTCCACCATGCCGGAGATTGCTGAAGGTAAGACGTGACGCGCCCGGGCGCCACCAACCATATCTCAGCTGACATGGCATCAAGTCGCACGAGTAACACACTACCTACGCCAACACCTTGTTGGTAAGGTCGTCAAGAAAGTCACCGCACCAGATGATGCCAATATATTTGGCAAAGTTGGCTGCAGTGGTCCTGCCTTTGAGAAAGCTGTCGCTGGCAAAACGGTCATAGGCGCCGGAAGTCAGGGGAAGTACTTCTGGCTGCAGCTCGATAAGGCTCCACATCCTGTTATGCACTTGGGTATGACGGGCTGGGTGCACATCCGTGGCGAGCAGACGGCCTACACACGGTATGCCGAAAGGACCAAGGGCGAAAAGGAGCAATGGCCACCCAAATATTGGAAATTCCTGCTAGAGACAGACAGCGATCCTAAAGTCGAGGTGGCTTTCGTAGATTCCCGACGATTTGCTCGCATTCGCCTGGTAGACTGCCCAGGGGAGGACATTCGCAAACACTCGCCCCTGAAGGAAAATGGACCTGATCCGGTGGTGGACAAGGACATCTTTACCGAGGAATATCTCAGGCGAAAGATGAAGAGCAGACATGTGCCCATCAAAGCGTTACTATTGGACCAGGCCGTGATAAGCGGCATCGGCAACTGGGTTGGTGATGAAATCATGTACCAGGCGAGACTGCATCCGGAGCAGTACAGCGATGATTTCAGCGATGAGGACATCGCAAAGCTCTACAAGGCGACTCGATATGTCTGCGACATAGCTGTGGAACTTCTTGGTGACTCTGAACAATTTCCTCCCGATTGGCTCTTCAACCACCGATGGGGAAAGGGTAAGAAAGATCATTCGACCACCCTGCCGAATGGCGAAAAGATTGTGTTCATCACAGTCGGTGGACGGACGAGCTGCGTCGCACCGAGTCGTCAAAAGAAGACTGGCAAAGCCACGATCCCAGACACTAAAGAAGAGGTCGAAGTGAAAGGCGAGGATCTTGAGAGCAAGTTCTTTGGAAGCAAGAACGAAGCCGAGGAAACCAAATCAGCTCCCAGGCAATCTAGTATCAACAAACGAAAGGTGCTGAAGGAAGAGGACAACCAAGGGCAAGTTCTTGCGCCTGAACCGAAGAAATCCAGGAAGAGCAAGCCTGTAAAGAAGGAACAGACTCCGGCTTTAGTCATGGACGAAGGGTCTGACAAGAACAAGCTCAGTGCCAAAGCGGAAGACTCAGTTTCAGAAGTTGGGAGGAGAAGGTCGGGGAGGTTGAGTAGCAGAGCTGTCTGAATTGGCGATGTGATGCACGGCGGATGTGTATTGAACCCTGGCAACTGGTACTGATGAGTCTGCTATGTACTATAGAGATATTAAGGCATAAAGACTATATCTTGCATGGCATTCAAAATGGCAAAACGTCTGTTGACAAATGACGCATGAATACACGTCTCAGACTTTTCACGACAGGGTATTGCCCACCTCAGTCAATTGCTAACCCTTATAAATCCGCATTGTCCCATATCATTATGCAGTACGATACTTGTTTTGGTCGAACTGATTTTTCCTCAAGTTATGCTTCTATATTGTTATAATTGTCAAAAGAAAAAAGAAAAAAGAAAAAAGAAAGAAAGAAGGAAAGTAAGAAGTGTAGAAATCGTATCACTCGTCTTGCTGAGTAGGTATTCTTAGAGTTTATATGCTTGGTTACTTACTGCAGCCGGGAATTAGGTCGCTCTCAACGCATTAGTCACAATACCAGTACTAGGAATTATGAAGGGTATGCATTAGGCATTACTGCTGATGTTTAATATGCAGTTAGATTTTTCATCCCAATGACTAAGTCTCACTAATATCTAACATACCCAACCACCATCAACATTATACACTGCACCGGTCACAAAAGAAGCTTCTTCGCTGAGCAAAAAGGTGATCACTTGCGCAACCTCAATCGGTTCGGCTCTTCGCTTCTGTGCCGTGTGTGCAAGGCCGCGCTTCACGTCCTCAGGATTTTCTCCTTCCGACAGCGGCGTTCTCACAGAGCCTACATCGATATCAGTCTTTCAAACACGAACATGTCAGATTGTGTATCCTATATACCTGGGGAAACGCAATTGATCCTGATGTTTTGGTTCTCTTTAGCGGCGGTGCGCGTGAGCGCAATTACGGCTGCCTTGCTTGCGCAGTAAGCTGCATTCCCTGGCGACCCAAACTGCCCAAAGACACTTGCAGCAGAAACCTATGTACCTGTCAGGAGTCTCGAGTTGTAAATTGTACACACAGAATTTAAAGCTTACAATGCTACCACCAGCACTCATTGCCTTGATTTGAGCCTACTCGAGACTGTGCGTTAGCGTGTTCCATGCATCTCATCTGAATAACAAATATCGATCGTGGCCAGAGTAATGCGAATTTTCGTACCCTGAGACAAGCAAAAACACCCCTCGTATTCACCGAGAAAGTGAAGTCCCAGTCCTCATCCGTCGACTCGGCTACAGGCTTGGCATGCTTGATAATGCCGGCCATGTTGACCGCACCATCCAACCCGCCCAGATTCTGTACCGTTCTTTCTATCCAATCGTTGACCGAGCTACTGTCTCGAACATCAACAATGCTGTAGATGTGATCCTTGACACCTGGCTTTTCTAGTGAAGCTGTTGCCTTGATCACTGCGGCTTCGTTTATATCAGCAAGAGATATGATTGCGCCGCGAGAGGCGAGCAGCTGAGCTGTTGCGAGGCCCATGCCTGAGGCGGCACCTGTAATGGCGATCTGATGTGTTATTAGCGATGTGATTAGTAGGACTTGTGGGCGCCGAAAGACACACAACTTTACCCTCGAATGACGACATCGTCCTTGATACTTTGATTGTCCAGTCTTTGGATATAATCAAAGCCGCAGGAGCAGGGGATAATGATGTTGATGAGCTGGTCTTGTCTGTACAGTAACTTGTAGTTGGTGGCCTTTGCCTATTACCCCAGTGCTCTGCCTGAACGACGGCATTACTAAACGGTAATAAAGTTAGCCTATCAATTGCGGGTCATTCCTAACGCGGTCATGAGGTCCCCATATGAACACCGGCTGTGTCCGAATAGGCAAGTCAGCCCTTCTCCACTTCCAATCACCGGAGTGTCAACCGGGAAAATGGACATCGCATGTCGTTGATGGAGTAACGAATAAGTGCTGTTTCACGTAAATCTTGTGTGATTCTGTTAGTTATCCATTGAGCAATCACAACGATTGCAACGCCCCAAGAGCGAGAGTAATGGGAACCAGCTTTAATCAGAGGACATTATTTCTTACAGTATTATCTATTCAGCCTCAGTCGTTCCCTGTAACATGTGAGTGAGCGGGCACAATCTCTCTACAAGAACACATATCTTGCTTTGCACTACATCTCCAATCGCCTTGAGTGAACTGCTCTTCGTTCCGTCGAAGCTACGATTTTCAAGCCCATTCTTTGTTTGTTGAGCTTGCTTGGACTCATCATTCATCAAGCTATAGCGCCCCTAGCCATGTCTATCCAAGATACCCCCACGTCATTTGACGAGGACTTCGCTCTCCAGGCGGTTTTAATAGTCCCGATCGTTACAGCAAAAGTGTCTAAGCCACTGTCTTTCGCACGGGCTTCAAACCATTGTGTAAATGCTGCCCGTATTGCGTCGCCCTCCGCCTCGCATGCTGCGATGAATGCAGGCCAAACAAGACTCAGCGAGCCACAAGCCGACCCGACCTCTATAGATTGATTTCTCGTCAAAGACTCAAATACGCTTGCTACCAGTGGCTGCAGCAGTGATGAGTCAATGTCGTAGACTCTGCGATAGAAGTAAATTGCCACCGCGTTCTTTAAAGCGTTTATGATGTTCGTCAGATTGTCCAATTTTGTTGCATCTGATTGTGGAAGCTGTGCTACTAGATCATCGCTCTGCTCCTGGTACTGTTTAATGCACCATTCTAAAGCTTTTGCTCGCCGCAGGAAGTCAGCGATAGTACTGCCACACTGTGCGCCTTGTCCTGCCGATTCCTTCTCATTTCCAAGTCGTATAATGCAAGATAGTAGCCAGACAAGTACCTCCGGGATGCCGTATATCTCCGGATATAGCGTCGCTGGCCACACGCCAGGATGCTCGAGGTGAAGATCATTTTCTCCTTCTTCTTGGGTCTTCGACATCAGCATCGCCTGAGGCAAATTATGCCACTGGGATGCATGGAACGTCAAGCTATCTCGACTGTGTACGCCGGACCCGCTCGATTCGATCGCTTTCATGACCTCACGCCTATGCTGAGTGTGTCTGCCAATACATAGGCTTTCGTAGAACATCCGCTGGAAAGCATAACAGTGGTGCAGTAGACGCACCTTCCGCGATTTTCTGCGGCCAAGACCGCGAACTCTGATGAACTTTTCAGCCTCGACGAAGTAGAAGTCCACACTTTTTCGCCTGCCGTTCAGAGTATATAAGTGCACCAAAGTCAATAACGCCATTAAGATAGTTTTATACTTGGCCACTTTGGGCACACAATAAGCCGTGTCCAACATCAAGCGACAATGCTCGCGTGCTTTACGCTCGTACGTCTTTGCCTGTTGGAGCCACATGCTTGGTTGTGACCGTGTTTGCTTGTCTAAGCTTGAAGCACTTATTGCGAGAGTGCCGAAGAATATGGCAAGGCTAGCATGACCAAGTTCTTCGCCCATCGTCAAAGCAGCGAGGCAGCTTTTGACATGGGGTATAAACAAAACATGCCACGGAGTCTTGGCATGTCCAAACGGGGTCAGGAAATTGATTATGATCGACGTATAATGTTTGAGCAAGAACACGGCGTCTCCGGGCATGGGCGTTGACATAGTCGTGACACTAGGCACTACCCTAGTGACTGTGTTTTCATCGAAACTGCCACGCAACATGTCTGCTATTAAGCTATTGTTTTGCAACGGCTCAGTCATGGTCAAGTCTGCCTGCGAGCTTCCGTAGGGGCCCATTTCTTGTGCTTGCATATTGTGAGCGGGCAGTGTTTCGCGATAACCTTGCCCCGTTGCGTTGGCCCCCAGCGGCCCGCAAATATCCGTATGATTATGATTCTGTGGCTGCAGCATCTGCATGGGACTGTCAAAAATGGTAGTCATCAAGGAAGGAGACCACTGTAGATTTGTCGTGTGGTCGTAAAGTGCTATTTCTTGAGCATAACCGAGAGCGTCATGCACTTCTAGCGATCCTACATCGGGATTACAGTCCAAAACAAAATCGATTCTGGACTGAGTCTCATATGACGTGTTGCTTCTGAAGACCCCGAATGGACCGCGCTGAAGATCAAGGTGTTGATCAGGAGTAGCACCTTCAGATTCGACGTCAAGGCAGGAAATCTGCCTAGAAACGAACCTTGGTGGAACACTTGCCGTGAGTGATGAGCTCATTTCTTTGCGCTCCACCTCGGTGAATAGCAGGCGTCGAAAGCGGACGCTTTCTCTTTCGCGGTCGACATCGCCTATTCCTGAAGTGAAAAAGATGTTCTTCCCGTACCCACGACACACCAACCCTACTGTTCTACACAAATGGCAAAGAGGTCGCGTCTCATCACACTTAACTCGTCGACTGCGGCACTAACAAGGAGCCGAGATCATGTTAGCATCGCTCAGAAATTGTCCCTATCTATTTAGAAAGTGTAACCAGTGTTTCGGTACACACTTTCCCACTCACAGTATCACAGCCCCCAAATGATCGCGTTGCAATGGTTCCCGGCGCTGCCATCACTTGCCAGATATCCGGGATCTTACATTGTTGATTATAGTCGCCCCAAGTGCATGGTTTCCAGCTTGTGCAGCCGACGTGCTTCTAAAGAGGAGTAGAGCTTGGGCCGGTGGAGACAATATAGGAAAGTTTTCCCCACCTGGGCAAGCTAGAAAATCATCATGCTAACCGCAGATAGCCTAGACGCTGGTGAAAACTTCCCTTTTCAAATAGCCTCAGGAGCATATCTACAAGAACATATGCAACTTCCAAGCGTTCACACACCACAACTGGCCACCGTCAGCACAACGGATCTAATCACCCAACCTCGACCTGGTACGGGGAGTGCCACGTTCTCTCAGATATCCTCATAGCGTCAATTGCCGACGCCGGATATAATTGGTCTTCGGGTCCGAGGGACTTTGTCAAGAAATGCTAATCAAGATAACTACGAAAACGAACACGTAATGAAAACGCTTACCCCAGATTCCCCATCATTAGATTGTTTTAGCTGCATCTTATAGTACAGGGCGAGAGCCTGGATGATAGCGAGATTTGGGATAGTCACCTGGCTGAGATGTCGAACATTTGTTTTGGCTGTATCAGGAGATAGCTGTGAAACGAAGAGCGCCTCTAGGTATACGCGTCAGATAAGTAGACAAATAAAAAGGAGTGCATTCTCGCCGGATGTACCTCCATAAATGTAAAGGGAATCCTCTCTATAAATCATTTTGCAAGCACAAGCACAACGAAATCCTTCAGGGCCATATCTATATCATAACTGACATCGATCGACCAACACATAGTTTTAAGTATCCAAGTGACATTTTTCATCATGGCTACGCTCGACGTTCTTGGCTACGAAAGCCGGGAGAAAGACGTCGAGAAAACGGCGGACATCACCAAAATCCAGAGTGGTGCAAATGGACAAGTCATCGACTCCGGAGGTACAAAACGCGCAATCAAGAGTCGCCACGCACAGATGATTGCGATCGGTGGTACGATTGGTACTAGTCTTTTCGTCGCCTCTGGTCAAGCTCTTGCTGTTGGCGGTCCAGCACTCCTGCTGATCGCCTATATTGTAATGTCTCTAATGGTCTACGGCATTGTTACTGCTGTCATTGAGGTAAGTGTACTGATAAACCCCACGGAGAAGAACACTCTGGACTCTTCTCACGTACTAAATATTGTGTTTCCAGGTCGGCACTCATTTGCCCATTTCCGGTGCCACTATGTCGATGCACTGTGGTCGTTATGTATCCAAGTCATTAGGTGTCGCGCTAGGCTATCTATATTTCTATTCCTTCGGTATCATTGCCGCTTACGAACTCACGGCCGCCACGATCATTATCGATTATTGGCCACACGGTGTCCATGTTGCCGTTTGGATCACAGTTCTCATGGCCGTCGTCATCGCTCTCAATATCTTCCCTGTACGAGTATATGCGGAATCAGAGTTCTGGTTCGCTGGGATCAAAGTCGCCATGATTACAGGCCTCTTGATTCTGTCGCTGGTTCTTATGCTTGGGGGAGGGCCAGATCATGAAAGACTCGGGTTTCGCTACTGGTACGACCCCGGTGCTGTCAACGAGTCGATTGTTGGCGGTGCCGGCGGCCGGTTTGTCGCATTCCTCCGTGTCTGGATCCTGTCTGGATTTTCTTTCTACTTTGGCCCCGAACTTATCATCGTCACTTCAGGCGAGATGCGCAACCCGCAGAAGAACCTTCCTATCGCTTCCCGTCAGTTTTTCTACCGTCTGATATTTTTCTACGTCTTGAGCGCGCTGGCCATCGGGGCCATCTGCGCGTCGAACTCGCCGGGACTTGTGTCGGGCGCCGGCAATGCCAACGCATCACCATGGGTTATCGCTATACACAACGCAGGCATTGAAATTCTGCCTTCTGTTGTGAATGCAGGTATCCTCACAAGTGCCTGGTCCTCAGGAAGTTCATATCTATACATGTCAAGCCGATCAATCTACTCATTGGCCATTTCCGGACATGCGCCCAAGACTTTGGCAAGATGTAATCGATGGGGTGTGCCGTATAATTCCATCATGGCTGCCAGTTTGTTTCTACCACTCGCATACATGGTCTGCAATTCTGAAGCGGGCGTGGTGTTCAATTGGTTTATAAATCTCACCAATACTGCTGGATATACTTCTTGGATCATCTGCTGCGTTACCATCGTTAGGTTCCGCAAGGCTTGTGAGGCGCAAGGAATAACATCTCCCTACAGATCACCAATCCAGCCGTGGGCAGCTTGGATCTGTATGATTCTTTTCACCGTTCTATGTCTATTGAATGGTTTCACTGTATTCTTCCCCGGGAACTGGTCAACGCCCGGATTCTTTTCGGCCTATGTGGGAATTCCGATTTTCTTGCTCATCTGGCTAAGACACAAATTCACCTCTGGGAGACACGATTCGTGGATGTACAGCCCCCGAGCCGTGGACCTGGTCACCGGTTTGACTATTGTTGAGGCCGACGCCCAACTGTTTCAAGAAGAAGAAAAAGAGGCGACTTCATCGGGAAAAACAGGGATCTTGCGGTCTTTGAAGCGTTGCATGATGCGCAAAGCATAAAGGGCGGTCCACAAGTGAGAATACCGCAGGAAAGTGCTGCAACACCCCTTAAACATCATGTTCATTATGGTATAGCACAATGTTGTGTCATTCTTCGGAGGACAAAACAATGAGTAGGAGAATCTAGAGAACAAGTTAGCTTTGCTATACCAAGGCGCAAAACATCGTGATACTCGTTGGCCGTATGCATTCAAACCCTTGTTCGTTTTAAAGCGATACGTGTGGCCCAGTGTAAGTCGGCGAAGCTGGAGCCTTGTTCAAATTCTTGACTAACCTGCCAAGCCAGGTTTGCCTCGTTCTCTCCTAATTGGCCATTTAGGCAATAGTTTCACCCCATCCTCGACGTACTGATTGACAAGACCTGTATCATAATCAGACTGTAGAGATAAGTGGTGATTGAAACAGTCAGCGTAGTGCATCTTACGTACTTGAATAGCAGATGATTGCACAGGCGGGAGACTTTCCTAATCCAGCACCAGGGTAAGTATGGCCTAACCTAGCGTATGGGGTCCAGACTAGCAACTCCTATAGCGCATACAGAAGACCCCTTTCACTCGAGTATGTGCCTACAGGCCCACGAGGGTCGCATACTCGGTCCTAGTCATGCCTGTGTAAATACTTAACCAGGAGTATTCGTATACACTTAAATATTCATATCAGGTTCACCAAATTTCTTTTACTTTTTAATTACGACCACAACTTCTCAGCAGCCAAATATCTCGGCTTCGTTGTCTTCCACGCAGGCGAGTCAATCTTACCAAGTATTTCAGCAATGGACGTACCCGGCTTTGCACTGGTGACCGGCGCAGCGTCTGGAATTGGCAGAGCATGCGCCAACACATTCGCTCAGGATGGAGCCGCGGGCATTGCTCTCTTCGATGTCAACACCGAAGCACTAGCGGCCGTCAAGGCTGAAATCGACGAGAAGCAGTACAACTCCAACGGGCAGCCGTGCCAAGTGATAGTTCACCAGGTGGACGTGTCTAGCGAGGCACAGGTGACTAGAGCCGTCAAGGCCGTGGCAGAAGAATTCGGTCGACTAGATTATGTTGCAAATGCTGCTGGTATTGCGATGAAGCATGAAGGCGGTGCGGCGTTTGCTCATCTCAGCGACTGGCACCGCATTCTCGATATCAATCTCACCGGATCTCTTATCATCCTCAAGGCCGCGGCGCAGATCATGTTGAAGCAAGAGCCGATACTTTCATCTATTGACGGGCGCCCGCTTCAGAAGGGCTCGATCGTGCTTTTCGGATCCATACAGTCAGTTGCTGGTATTCCTTTATCGACGGCGTATGCTGCGTCGAAAGCTGGTGTACTGGGCTTGACGCGGTCTGCATCTGAAGACTACGCAAAGGAGGGATTACGAATCAACGCAGTCTGCCCTGGTTATACAGAAACGCCCTTGACCACAAAAAACCCTGGAGTCTTCAAGGCAATGGAGGAGAGAGTTTTGACTGCTGTACCAATGATGCGAGTGGGCAAACCTCAGGAGATCGCTGACGGTGTGGTCTATCTTGCTGGTGGAAGAAGTTCTTTTGTCACTGGCACTGCACTCATGGTTGACGGTGGATATACTGAGAGGTAGATAAGATTTCTATTGCGATAATCTATCGCAGCACTCATACTAAATTGATCGGAGTGTTGCTGCTCATATTCTCATATCACGATGGGCAGAAGCGTGAAGTAGTTGTTGTAAACATATTTACTATAGCGTGTCACTATTTCTTAGTTCACGCCTGATTTAATTCCTCGTGTACATGACTGACGAATGTTGATAACGATAACAAAAGGCCCGACTCGGTCCACCAACACCGTGTAGTATCATCGTTATCATCTCGTATCCATGCATTGAGCTGCGATATCACGAGTAGTGCCGAAGTTGTGGACCAATGTTAGTGTATCTAACCTACTGCGCTCTTCGGTCTCTGATGCCCAGATTTTAGTTGCTTGGCAAAGTATAGTGGAACGCGGGGAAAACACTCTGAGTTAGTGCTACCCAAGCCAAATAGGAAAGTGTCCCCAGACCCGCTGACCGATAACATTTACATGGATTTATGCGTATTGCACTACGCCATAACATAAGCCTAACTTCTCCGCTATCTTCCGCGGGGGACACTTTCCTACAACATTCATGAGTTCGCATTGTCAATGGCAGCGCCACGCATGGCAAAGTTGGTCGGGATGCCGTCGCTCGAGAACGATCACAGGTGATCTCGCTGGGAGGAGGGGTGGAGAAGACTGTTACCATCGAACGGTAGTTCATTTGGTTTTCCGGGACGCATCGATATATGGCTATGAACCCAATCCACCTGCTTTGACTGATAAATAAGTATGTTGGAGACTTATGCTCTATGACCTTTGATACATCAATATGTTCATTACCTGTAATTTGATCACCACCTACATTGATATCTAAACCATACCGGTACTCAGGAACTAAAGTAACCAAATTGAAATTTTCATCATGGGCTCGCTAGACCAACCTGTTCTTGATTACGAAGTCCTCATCGTAGGCGCAGGGTTCGCTGGAGTCTGCGCCCTTCATCACATCCGAGAACGCTTCCCCTCGTGGCGCGTCAAAGTGCTTGAGGGCAGCTCAGGTGTGGGTGGCACGTGGTACACCAACCGATATCCTGGTGCGCGAGTTGACACGGAGTCGCTCACCTACCAGTTTTCTTGGGATAAGGAGCTACTCAACGAATGGCATTGGAAAGAGACATTCTCTACTCAGCCAGATGTATTGAAGTACATCGAGCGAGTGTGCGAGAAGCACGATCTCCACAAGGACATACAACTCAACACCCGTATAAAGTCGGCACAATGGCTGGCCAACACTGATGCTTGGCTCTTGACGGACCTTGAGGGCGCACAATATCGCTCTAGATTTTTTGTCAGCTGCTTGGGTTTCCTGTCTTTGCCCACCTTGCCTCTGATACCTGGAATCGAGGATTTCAAGGGCCAGGCTTTCCACACGTCAGCTTGGCCAGCACACCTGGATATCAAGAAGGACCTCGCTGGCAGGAAAGTTGGCGTCATCGGAACCGGTGCGACAGGAATTCAGACAATCACGGCGATAGCGAAGGAGTCCGAGGTGGAATCGTTAACAGTGTTCCAAAGAACCGCCAATTGGTCGGCGCCGCTACGCAATACGGAGATAAGCAAAGAACAAATGAGAAAGCATGCGGAGGACTACGACAAAATCTTCGGTCAATGTGCTAGTACTTCGTCGGGTTTCCTGTACCAGGCCGATCCACGAAAATCTTCCGAGGTCACTGATGAAGAACGTACCGCGTTGTGGGACAAGTTATACGATGGCCAAGGGTTCGGGAAGTGGCTTGGCGTCTTCAAAGATACCTACACCGACCGTGATGCGAACAGGCTCTACTCTGAGTATATGACTGCCAAGATCAGAGCACGCGTCAACGACCCCGAGGTTGCCAGTTCTCTGGTTCCCCGGGATCACGGCTTCGGCATGCGACGGGTGCCACTTGAGAGTGGATACTTCGAGATCTATAATCAGCCCAGCGTGCATCTCGTAGACTTGCGAAAGACGCCGATTGAGACGGTCAATTCCTCTGGAATCCGGACGAAGGATGACAGAATCCACGAGCTGGATATCCTCATCTTCGCGACTGGATTCAATGCCATCACTGGGTCCTTCAGCGCCATCGACTTCCATGGCAAGGATTACCGGCCTCTACTGGGCCATAACAAGGATGCCATTTGGATGGACCACAAGCCCAGGACTTTCCTTGGCATCATGGCGCCGGCTATGCCCAACTTTTTTATGGTTCTCGGGCCTCATCAGCCGTTCGGCAACGGTACTCGCAGCCTCGAGAACGCGGTGGATGTGATATGTAACATGCTCCAGCATATTTTCGATCATAACTATACGTATGCCGAAGCAAAGCCGGAAGCGGTTCAGACTTGGGGAGAACACGTTGTGGACTGTAGCAAGGGGCTGCTAGGCAACGAGGTGGACAGCTGGATGACGGGCGTGAACACAAATGTGAAAGGAAAGCAGGAGAGGAGTATCGCCCGGTATGTGGGTAGCGTTGTAGAGTATAGGAAGAGGTGCCTTGATTGTAACGAATCAGGTTGGAAAGATCTACATTTTACATAAGCTTGTACATTTCTATGAACCACGGCTTTCATATACCAATATAAGCACAAGAGAATTGTAGATAATGCTGCCCCTCCTCTAAACTTAGATGGACGGATCTCATGACATGTAACTGTAAAACAAGCTATGGGCCGGTGACTGGAAGCATCTTTGTCGTCGAGAAAATGGGGGAGATGGGAGAGCATGACGAAGACAAGAGCAACGCCGAATTTGGAGCTGGGTCATGGCTGCGGAGGAATAGAACAGCGGCGTTTACCATGGACCAGATGAGCACCGCAACAAAGCTCGAGACCATAATCTAGAGACCTGAGCTGGCATTCCAGCGCCAGAAGCATTCAAGAAAGAACAAATAGATCAGAGCGATGAAGATGAGGGTTTGGTCTCGACACGCTTCTGCTTCACCAATAATATGAATACTCGGTTGGCAAGGAGCAACTTTCCACCCCTGTCTGGCCCTGCTCTGCTATAGGTGATATGTTTCACTAAATAACCTCTGCCTCTCAACTTTATTTCTATATAATCTCTCAGCTGCCGAAAAGTGTCACCTATCCAACCATCTTAGTAATCCAGTATATTATATCGGTCCGCGCTGCCAAACTCTGGCGGCGATGATTAAACTTGACGTAGGAGCTGACCACGAAGTAAATCCAAGTGAACAGATAATGAAGAAATCAAGGTAACTATGGCTTTCTGTTGCATGGACGCTGGACATGTTAATAATCCATCGCGAACTCTCTGGATTGCAGTTCGGCAAGTATTCTACAATTTAATTTGAACAGCTAGCGTACGGCGTCAGAGTCGAATCTAGCTCGCTGCTGTAAAAAGCCTGATCCATTTCCCCAAGATTTCAGCCCAGCCAGAATTACAGTCATTGCAGAACTATGCCCTCATACAACGGATGGATCACATCCTCCAACGTCTCCTTCAAGGCTCCGATTCCGTGTCAGGTGGGAACGTGCCAAAAAGCTCCATAATATGCTGGGTCTGCTCCTTGGTCAACTTCTCACCAGAATGCGTCACCTTGTCCATCATGCGGAAATCTTGGGGGGGCTGGTTAGCAGCTGCGCTGTGCTTCATTTCCGGGTAGGGTTCCTGCGTAAGCACTCACAGTCCATATAATAGCCTACAACAACGTGCGATTAGCATTCGAGCGAGAGAACTGATCTCACACGATGAGCTTACCTGGCGTGGCGGTCATGAAGAACTCGGCCGGCTCCGTCTCGCTCGCGTTCTTAAAAGTGTGAATGGCCCTCGGCGGCACCGTCATCCTACAAATCGACAACTGATGTAAGCTAGAGTAACGAGACCAGATAAAAAAAGACAAAACATTTCCACTCATGTCGGCCCCTCATCAAGTCCCGCCCCTTTCCCAGCTTAGACCACATGCGCTGGCCTAGCCTCCTAGGGTCCACGACAAATCGAAGACAAATAAAACAAGAGGAAGAGAAGAAGAAGATGATGATGAAGAAAGAAACAAAACTCACAGCTCACCAGCACCCACGGTCACGTCCTTATCCGGCGTCACGAACGTGACCCGGCCCTTAGTCACGAAGAAGCACTCGTCATGGAAGCGGTGCCAGTGCATGGGGGGACCGCTGGCGCCGGCCGGCAGCTCCAGCAGCATGCAGCCGATCCTGTTGTCCGTGTGCGTGCCGTCCTCGAAGATGTAGATGGTCGTCGGCCCGACCTGCACCTTCTCGCTGTTCTCGCGGGTCTGGTGGTGGACGGGGACGGGGCCGCGGAGGGGCATCTTAGGGGAGCTGGGGGTTGATGACGACGATGACGCTGATGATGGTAGATGGTAAGTCTAACCTGCTTGGTATGCGAGTTTCGAGGTATACCTTGTGATCTTACAGTCCGTTCGGGAAAAAGAAAAAGTTGAACCTGTTCTCCTTTCTCCGAACAGCCCGCGCGACGTTGGGTTCTTTGGTAAGATGGAATCGCGGGCGTGGTCGGAGGTCCGCCGTTGTCGAGTGTGGAGGGTTGTGCAGTGCAGTAGCGTCGGGACTGAGACTCGTGGTCTGATAGTCCGCCTCAGCCACCCGTATTGCCATCTTGACAGAGGAGGATGTAAGAGTTCTTGATACACACTTTTGCCATATTCAATGGAAGAAGCAACAGTATGAAGATATGCTTCTGTTGTTTTCACTGCGAACCAAGACTACGACTAGACTAGTTGAAAGGCTTGGTAAACTTTATGGCAGGTGCCTAAACAATATACGATTGTGAGCAATTCTTTCAGCCAGAAATAGGAACAAAGTGTTTTTCATATTCGCAAATCGCAACAACCCATTAATGTGTGTTTCATAAGCTGAGAGGACGGTTTTCTTGTCGGTACCATTTGTAGCGCCTGCCCCCAAAACCATTAATGCTGGAAAAGCAACGCTCAAAACGCCAGTCCAATGTTTTGTTACTCGCAATGCTGCGTAGTTGGCTCCTTGGTAGAAGAGAGGTATAATGAGGACACCGCCTATTCGATGCTCATGCGCATCAGCCCGTCATGCGTGTCCACCATACCCTGAAATCCAACCCGGCCTTTAGCCCCGTTGATAGGTCTCGCGCCGGTTGGGGTGCCGCCATTGTTTGTTCCACCTGTACTGCCATTGTCACTGGGCGTACCGGAAACTTTGTCGCCGCCATGGTTGCTTCCCGGCCGAGAGCCCCATGGCGCCATGTCGCGCTGTAGTGGACTTTGCATAATAGGAGAGTTATGCACGCTCATGCCGGGACTTACTGCTCTTCTCTTGAAGCTAACAGGATCAAAGTCTTCATCTCTACCTCTCTTCTTGTTAATACGACGTGTTATCTCCTCCGCAGTGGGTGGAGGTTTTGACCCTTGCGAACCTCCAGCCGAGCCTGTGGCTTGCGGTGTTTCGGAGCGCTGGCTGTCGCTCTCATTGCCAATCATTGCCAGTGCTGGCCCTGGTCCGAATAGGCTGTCGGCTCTGTGTAACGGTGAGTCCATATTCATATCACTTATGCCTGACGAAGAGCCACGGGGAAGGAATGCTGGCGGTGGAGGTGTAGTGCGGCTGCCGGCCACGCTGCTTGTCTCGGAGAAGTCGTCCCAAAATTGTTTTCCCTTAGAATTCTTGAGGGCATGTTGCTTGAAACTGCTCGACAAGCCCGAGTCTCCCATGAGATCATCGTCCAGAACATCGTCAATATTCTCGTTGTTAAGATTGGGCGAGGACTTGGCGGAACCAATGTCGACTGGCGCACTACCAGAGGGTATCCGGGGCTCGAGATCCATGTCGCTTTCGCGTACTTGACGAATAACTTCAGCTTCTCGTCGAAATTCGGAGTCCACAGGTGCTCCCTCCTCAGCAAGGGCCGCCCGAATGCGCGCGAAGCCTTTAGTCTTGGGCTGTATAAGTAGTTAGCGCACGGAAACCTCCAACACGAGCTGATGGGGAAGCCAAAGCCATACCAGGAGATTCCCTCGTCGTGTCACAACTCGCTTGATGACACCTCCCCGATTGTCTCGCGGAATGTCTGCTGAATCCATGGCCCGCTCATCGTCGACAGCGGAGATATGTAACTGGTTGGCAGCCCAGCTTATGCTCTCCCTTCTTGCGTGTGCCCCAGGCGAGTCCCTCATCTCGTTGACCACGTTATTAGGAGGCGACTTGGAAATACCAGGTGGTGGTGCGGCAGGGTTGAAGCCCAAGCCCAATGGGCCCCGGAGCTTTCTCCTGGTCTGTAGTTTCCTCGGCCGAGTCCTGAAGCTGTTTAGACTGTTGGCGGCTGGCGAGTTGCCGGGCATCCATGGTACCCCGGCGACCTGACCGCTCTTTGTTGCTTGCGGGGTGCCCATAAATGCGTCTTCCATTTCCTCGTCCATCAGGTCGTCGTCGTCGGAGCTCGACGAGCTGTCTGACCCCAATATCATATGATTGGCGCTACCGACCGAGCTCGAGATGTTCATTCGTTCCTGATTGCCCATGACGGACCACAAGGAGTTTGAGGACTGCTCCGTACCATACTGTCCAAAACTTCGAGCGGGGATATTCATTGCTCTTCCGCCAGTGGTTGGTGAGGCATCGGGCGAGGACTGCTCGGCGAGTGTTGAGTGATGCAGACTTGTAGCTGCCCTTGAAAAGTCAAGACCCCGCGAGCGGCGGGGGAGAATGTTTGTGGGAGAAGCATAGGAGTGGGACTGGTCGAGTTTTGGGGACAAAGGACTAGGTTTGACATAGGTCGCCGCTTGTGCTTGTCCTTGTCCCGGAGTTGTGGTTGAGGATGAGTCGCGACTGGTTATCTGCAACGACAAGCCGCTTCGTATCGTCGAGCCAAAGTCGGGTCGCCGTGGGGTGACAGGGGCTGCGCTCGTATTCGGTGCCGCCGAGCTATCTCTGAGTTCGCTGTCGTCTTTCGAGGTTCTTCTCGTGTCAATTATGAAGGGCGATGGTGACAGCTGTACGCCTCCCCCATCGGACAGACTTCGTGTCTTTGTCAGGCTGTGAGGCGATCTCTCGAGCTGCGTTACCCCAGCACCTACACCTTGCAGGTCGCCAGCGACTGCTTCGTCGCCTCCTGTCTTCATTTCGTCCATGACTGCTATCTCGTCATATTGGATTCCCGCCATATATACAAGACAATGCGGCTCCCGTGGGCAATGATCCTGCACGAAACTCTACAAGGGGGTATGTCGAACCGGTGCTCTCATGGCCTGCGGCCCTGTCGCGAAAGGTCAATTGTTGGCGCTTAGTCTGCCGTGTTTGGGACGGCCGATGGAGTGATATCGCCGCACTGGTGGGTAGCCAATGTCGCGTCAGTTTCGAAGTGCAGGTGTCAGTCTTCTTTTCGAGCTCTAATCGCCATCTGAAAATGTGTTTGAAGTTTGTACCAAGCAACAGTACACCTGGAGAAGGTGGGAAACGGAGTGGGTGACGTTGAATTCTAAAACGCCAGGCGATGCAATGCTTTAGCGATGCTTACCACCACTACACAACGTTTATCATTTATTTACATAACCTCAGGTAGTTAACCTAGTTAACCTTAGTCTAGTCTAACCTACGTAGCTGCACAGCAGGCATGAGGGGGTCTGATAGCCAGCAATGTTTCAAGCTAGGGGACCTTGCCGGGGCAGTTGGCCGCCGGCAAATGGCGTGTTCTAGCGCCCCCTCAATTGTTCTAGCAACCCTGAGTCCATCATTTCCCCGCGTTGGGGCGTTCTGGCTAGGTTATATGATCATCGTCATGTCTCAACCACACTAGATTGTCTGGACACAGCAAATGCGCTGTGATACACCGAATCTGTGATCACATGCTTATGAGCCTCTCTCAGGCGCTATATTTGACGGCCACAATCTTCTTGGTGGCTTCCATACATGTACATCCGCAAGCTGTGGACAAGTCCACCTTCTGTAACGAGGTTGAGACTTATTTTCTACATCAGTCTCAACCTCGTTCTGATGCTTCTATAAAGCAGTAGATGTACTAGACTAGATATTACTTGCCGCCACTCGCTCTCTGTACTCACAAGCTTCGTTCGTCATTTCCAGCATGCTATCCGTACTCACCTAGAAATTCTCACGCAGCTACAGAAAAGCTCTCTTTAAAAGCGCATGGCTTAGTTGCCAAGTGAGAGCTGTGTCATCCTGGCTAGTCTTTGCCTTCAGTATTCCAATGTACTGGCCTTGACCAATTTACTGGCTAGTGATGCCAAGGAACCTGACTGAAAGGGTCTAAACGCACCAAAAAGGTCTTATATCCTATGTAGATTTGCCCAGCAAATGCTAGGAGCCCAACTCGTATAAGAACGCTCCGTTATATATTGTTGACCAATGTCTTCCTGCCAAAAACCGCCGCAAAACCAATGGCTCGTAGAATATAGCCTGTTGGTCAGAATATTCAAATAGAATAGCCAAACACCTCCGCTTGCTAAGATCCATTCTGCTAAGCAAGTGACATAATCCGTCCTTGTCGTGACACCCATGTAATGTCGTTCCAGTACACTGTGCTCCCAAAGTGAATTCCAGCTCAACCCATCTACTTCCATTCTCCTAACCATCGCCAACCTCCCCAGTCTCCCCGCCCTTTTCGCTCTCTACCCCTTCGCTCCCTTCTCCCGGAACTCTCGTGCCCGCCAGACTCCCTTGCCAGACAGCCACGCCACCAGCAGCCGTACTCAGCACGATCCCGAGCTTGAGAAGCCACAGCATCGTACCAGCATACTGCAATACCCAGCCCGCGAGCCACTTGAGGACCGGGGTCACGATCCGAGTCCTCTCCAGCTCGAGTTCCGGATTCACCGTCATGATCAAACCCAGCAATGCGCACAGGTTGAGGGTCAGCACCACTGCGACGAAAACCTGGAGGAATGCTAGGAAGACGGCGATATTCTTGGTCGTTCGCAGGACCTCAAATCCGGCAGCGACGAGGGGCGTCACTTGGTCAAAGGCCGTGTGTATCTGTTTGGAGTAGGGTAGGCCCATTTTTGGTTGGTCTTGTGTGATTGGTTACGGTTGGTGGGGACAGGGGTATGACGGGACGAGAAAGCAATAACTATGAGTCTGAGTATAGCCGCCTGCTTGAAATGCTGTTTGTCGTCCGTGCAGTGTATTTCCAAGATATATAGGCTTGTAACATAAGATACCATCTAATTTGTCCCCGCAGTCGTGTGAGATGCTGCTTTTTTCTTCCATCGTGTTTTAGTGATGTCAGTGTTGGAAGTCCTGATGGTGTTTGGCCAATCATGCCAGGCACCGGGATGGAGGTGTGGCAACCTCAAAGCAGGAATTCGTAGGCTTCAACACAACGCCGCATTGGCTAGAAAGTGAGTTTCATCTTTTAAACTTTTCCAAGTCCGATGACCATCGTATAATCGCGGCGTTTCTCAATGGTAATTCCATCAAACATGCGAAAAGGGTTGATACTATCGCTGTCGGTGTGCAAGACCGATATTAGGATACCCAACAGGTTTCAACCCAGATTCAAAGTCAAGTTTATATCGTATCTCCAAAGTTTGCATTTGAGTATGCACTGGACTGCCACAAGCTAAGACTGAGGCGCCCAGATATGCACACACCAAAAGGACACAGCGACCAAATTTTTTCATGGTCACGATTAAGAAGGTGGGATTATGCTCCTGAGCTGCTGGGAAGATTAACTCATTGGGTATCGGCGGGAGGTAGTTCCCAGCTTCTGACAGGTCTGCCTTTTTCTTTCCTTTTCCCCAAGCGCACACCGTCGCCTCCAACGAACTTCAGAACCCAATCTCGTACTGTTCTGGTTTTTGCTAATTGAGGGTGGTGATTACTGCGTGATATGAGTTCCTTGGCACTGTAAAACCCGCGGATATCATCGTCATCAAGTTTCCGTCGATATAGCAAGTCGAGTTTGGTCAGACCTTTTCGCAGGCTTTGGCCATGGACCTTGTGCTTGAAGTGACTTAGTCCGACGTTGCGCAGAAGGATAATATCTTGTCTTCTGAGTGCTCTGAGTGTAGCATCTGCAACAGATGCGATTTCGTCGGAAAGCCAGAAGGTAACGCTGAAGCCAGACCTAGTTTCATCGCCGACGACCAGTTCCACGAGAGATTTGGACGTCCCATATCTGGTTTTTATGACTCGTGGTTCCGCTATGGAAATAACGCCAACGATTAGGTTAACAGACATGGTTTGTGGCTCGATGGATCTCAGATACTTTGCGTTGGGTACATCCTCAAGGTCGCTCAGGTGAGCTGTCCCCATACCCAGTGTTCGGTCTCCTTGTGCAAGAAGCGTGCTATCTCCCATGGTCGTGTCATCCATACTGTCGTGCTGAGTCGAATACATGGATGATGCAGTGCTGGGATATGTTGCCGTGGGCAGCTGTGAAGAGGGTATTTCATCGTGGACTCTCAGTGAGTGCCGATAAAATTCTTCCAGGACGGATTGACTCGCAGAATCGGTGCCTTGGGTCTGCGCTGTACTGAAGAAGTTTTGATCGCCTTGATAGTGATTGTTGAATTCATGTATTTGGGAGAAACCAGTCTCGAGCATAGCCTTTTCCAATGGGATACTTCGCCAAGTGGCAATATCCAGAACGGTTTCCTCAGCCACACTGGTTTCCATGGACTGCTGCTGTGCTTTGTACACGCCAGCGAATCGTGCAACTGGTTCCAAGAAATGGTCCAAAAGCATATCCGCTTCCCAGTCAAGTGAGGAATTTTCCGGCGCACCAGCGAGTATGATGACTCTGGACGCCATGGTGCTGGGTGTAAGCTATAGCCCGGGTCATGATGTCCCAGGATACAATAATTGATAACCAAGAATAGAGCACCAAAGAGGCAGTCAATGCAGAAGATGGGATTGCGAGCAAAGGTTGTGCTCATGAAGTGTCTGTATTTGCCATCCAACCAACCCCAAAGGGCAGCACTGTACTGGGCAGACGGCCGAGATGCAGCCTGTGTCAATATAATCAAGCAGGTACGTACAGTACAGGACTCGGTAAGAATATGCACATGATACTACTGTATTGTAATGTAGGTAATGCGTAGCAACATCCCCGCCGCGTCCTGCAGGTGCCGTGCCGTCAGCATCAACTAAAAAAAAGTCAAGCCCCACCACTTGCTTTGCTTTGCTTTTGCTTTGCTTTGCTGTTAGACTAGACTAGTGGAACAGCGCAGCCAATCAAGGCGCTCGAATGGTTTGTTTACTTGCGACCTGAGCAACACGACGTCAAAGGCTGCAGCGGTATCATCGCTGATGCATCTCACAACTTGGGCTGTTATTTCTCTCGGAAGTCCAGCAGTAGCCAAGGTTAGATAGTTTGTTGTATATGCCTGTATTGCTAGATTAACTCGAGCCGCAACGTCACAATCTCTTGTTTCGCTCATACTCACTCGCATCTTGTTGGAGGCCCGCGGTCCCGCACTATGTCACAGGATACGGGGCTCTGGAGCGTGCGAAGGCCTCGAGAGGTAAGGGCTCAAGTTTTTATTCTGTTTTGTTTTGTTTCTATTCCAATCTCAATTCAGAGGCGCAATCCACTTTCCAACCTCGCAACATGCAGTACTGATGCCCGAATCGCCTGCCTAGACCCTAGGAGGTATTAACCTCAATTCGAATTCCGCAATTCCCCAGCCCGCGTCCGCCATGAAAAGATCAAACTCGACGAGCGGCTTCGGTGGCAGCCATGTGCGCTCCGTCTCGGGATCTAGGCAATCCCTTGCCATGGGCAGCCGGCCAGCGCAGCCCATATTCTCGAGATCCTCGTCCGGTGGTAACCTCGCTGAGATAGGCATGTCGTCCGTGAAGCGTGCGTCAATTGCCCCCAACAACACGTCGCTCAGGACCTACGCCCCGGCCGGTCTGCCCGGCCGCAGCTCAGAGGGCGATCAGAGGAGGAGCAGCGTCTACCGATCGCGACCATCGTCAAATGGCCCCATGAGCCATCAGAGCTTCTTCCAACAAGCACCACAGGCCGCCGGCGTACCACGCGACCCGCGCCCCCTGCGCGATCGGTCCTACCAGGCCCGCATCGGCCAGGAAATACTCGATTACCTCGCCCAGCACAACTTCGAGATGGAGATGAAGCACAACTTGTCCCAGAACATCATCAAGTCCCCCACACAAAAAGATTTCAACTACATGTTCCAGTGGCTGTACCATCGCATCGATCCGAGCTATCGCTTCCAGAAGAACATCGACCAAGAAGTGCCCCCCATCCTCAAACAGCTGCGCTACCCCTTCGAGAGGAGCATCACAAAGTCCCAGATTGCCGCTGTAGGTGGCCAGAACTGGAGCACCTTCCTCGGCCTGCTACATTGGATGATGCAACTGGCTCAGATGCTCGAGGGATACTCCCATCACCGCTACGATGACGCCTGCATAGAGGCTGGCATCGACGTGTCTGGAGATCACATTATCTTTGACTTTTTGAGCACCGCCTATAGGGACTGGCTGGACATGGGCGACGATGCTGGCGATGAAGATGCCGAAAGAGCATTGGCACCTCACATTGAAGCCATGGCTAAAGCCTTTGACAGGTCAAACTCCAAGTATCAATCCGAGCTTGACATGCTTGAGGCGGAACACGCCAGGCTACAGCAGGAAATCGAAGACTTGGAGAAGTCCACCCCTGATCCTCGAGTTCTCGACGACCATTTCAAGATCATGGAGGAAGACAAGGTGAAATTCGAGGAGTACAACGCCCTTGCCCAGCAGAGGTCAGAAAAGTACGAGAGCCGGATCGCCGTCTTGCAGGAGGAATACGACAAGTTGATGGAAGAGCTAAAGGAAGTAGACGACGAACGTCGCGGCCTGCAGAAAGAAGTCGACAGCCAAGGAATAAGCATGTCGGATATCGACCGCATGACCTCGGAGCGCGAGCGACTGCAGCGCGGTATCGAATCAGCAGCTGTGCGCCTCGAGGAGGTTAAGAAAAAGGTTGCTGAAAAGGAGATAGAGGCTAGTCGAAGACTCGACGAGCTCGAGCGCCTGGTCGACGGATACAACACTATGGCGTACCAGAATCTGCTTATCCCCGCCAGCGCAGAAAACGCCAAGGGCGAGCAGTACGAGCTCGCCGTCACCGTAAACGAGTCAGATTTCACCGGCTCGGTCATGAAGGGAGGTTCTTATGGATCTACGGGCACTGGCACTGAGCGCCTCCTGGCTGACTCCGTAACGGGCTACCAGCCAGCCCATATCTTGAACCTCGATCTGCGCGGAACGGTTAAGACCAATTTCGCGCAGCTACGAAAGGAAGTGAGCGAGCGACGCGGGTTGGCCATGGACGCCATGATCAAGGACCACGAACTCCTCGATGGTATCAAGGAGACCATCGAGGACAAGAAGAATGAGGTCGAGGCACTGCGCCACCGCGTTCGCGCCGCCGAGGAGGAGTACGAGAAGACCAAGGAGGTCACCACCACGCAGAAACTGGCGAGCGATGCCCAGATCGAGAAGATGGAGAAAGAGCTCGCCAAAATGCGCACGCAGTTGACTGAAAGTCTGCAGTTTCTGGAGCAGAGGGAAATGAACACCAACATTGAGTAAGTTGAGCATCTGACTTTGGAGGCCTTGCACCTGGGAGACTAATCGGATCGGTAGATATGAGCAGCTCACTCTCAAGGCGAATGCTCTGCGCGAGGAACTTCACACTGAGATCGAGCGCATGTTGAATGATATCATCAAATTCAAGGTGCACGTCCAGAAGAACCTCGAGGACTACGAGAGCTTTGTTGCAGATGAGCTCGAGAAGGAATTGGTGCCTGAGGAGATGCAGGTGGATGAAGAAGAAGATGCCTGAGGTAACAAGATGTCTGACTGGACGGGTTGGTCTATTATGTGGCAGCGCTTGTGGATATGGCGCTTTGCCGTTCATGGCGTTCTGGATGTTTTGCTTCTTGATTGGGGGTTATGACAGAGATACCTATTTATGACACGCACGATTGGATGGAATGGTCTGGGTTGTTGTATATAACACGACACAATTGCTTTTTAAATTTACCCAGACTTTGCAAGCTGTAATTCTGGAACATACTTCGGTCCAAATTTTTTCCTGGGCTCTAGGTTGCGATTCGATACAACCATACGGCCCCCTTCCCACAAACCCCGAGTGGTAAACTCATACAAAATATGACCATTAAATATAGAGAGGCGTCCACCGGACTTCATTTGCTGTGCGATGCCCAAAGCGGATGGGAACAGGCATCACCTTGTGTACAATTTCACCTAGCCAGACCTACCCGAAATGACCAGCAGGACAGAGGACTTCCTGGAGCGACATAGAATCATTCCGGATAGTCGAAGACACCCCCGTGGTGCTTACGCAGATGGTCGTAGCACGCCTCGCTGGACTCAAAATTGTGCATACACTTCCAGCAAATGTGTGCGCGACAGCTCTTGCACATCATGTGGTTGCAGCCCTCCGTCTTCTCGATCGCGATCCCGTACCGGGGGCACTCCTTGATGCCGAGCTTCCTCATGAGCTGGCGGTTCGCCTCGGCGCCCCCGGAGACGAGGTCCTTGTGCTCCGCGCAGGACATCCCGGCATGCGCGTCGTGGCATCCGGTGCAGGTGGTCGTCAGGCACCCGGGGCACGTGTGCATCACGGCGCCGCCGCCACCGCCGCCGCCGGCCGTCCGGTACAGGTATCCGCAGTCGGGCCCCGGGCAGTGGCGGTAGAGGTCCGGGCGCCTCGCGACGTGCGACCTGAAGGACGCCTCGAGCAGCTCCTCCAGGACGTCCGACGGCAGGTTCTCCTCGAGCTCGCCGAGCTCGAACACGGCCCCGCACCTGTCCTCCTCGCCCCGGCAGGCGATGCGGAACTCCTCGGGGCTGGCGTCGGGCGACGAGTACGAGCGGCACAGGTTCTCAAAGCAGTCGCCGCAGTACAGGTGCCCGCACCGGGTGCGCAGGGGGTCCTCGGCCGCCGTCCAGCAGACACTGCAGCAGCAGTCGGCGTCGTCGCCGCTGTCGAGCTGGAGAACGGCACTCGGGTCCTGCGACTCCAGGATGGCTGCTGCCCGGGCGCGGTCGTCCTGGGAGCCGCTTATGAGTATGCACTTTGGGTTGAGCGGGTTGTCGAGATCAGCGATGTTGCTCCCGAGCGCCGCACGCAGCGTCATTAGACCGCCGCGCCGCGCCCAACCCAGAAGTGAAGGCGACAGATCGATCACTTTTCTCGACGCAGAGTTCTCTTGGATGATCTTGGAAATCCGCATTTCTGCTCGTTTGCAGTTTGGCTCGGGGCCAAACAACCTGAGTACGGATTTGCTCAAATCCCGTTCAATGAAGACACCGAGTTCTTGCTGGAGTTCTTTGACTTGGGTGTACGCGTGGCTGGCCGTGGTGAATGCAGGAGTCCAGAGTGGTTCATCGTTTTGTTTTGCAGGCCGTCCAGAGAAGATTTTGCCGAGTGTAACAACTGCTTTTGCAACGTCGTCTTTCTGGTGACCCTCGATCTTGATGCCTCGATGCCCCTTGTCAGGATCATAAACTGTGTACCGGATGTGCTGCTTCTCCCACTCCTGTTTGTGGGTTTCGATGGAGTACTGCAAGATCGAGTATTTCTTTTCCTTGACTCGAAATTTTGCAGAGGTTACCAGTTGTAGAGTCAGCTTTGCCTTGGTAGCAAATGACAACGGGGCGTCGTTGAGGATCGCTACGGCTTGCTGAGCATCAGTGTCGTCGAGGAATCGAGCCTGCAATTTTGCCCTCTTAGAACCGGTCGAGGCCGAGTCCTCTGACCACTCGAGGGGACCAATCTGCTGAACCATCGACTTCACTGTTGCGCACGCTGCCTCAAAATCTGCAACATAGCTGGGCTCACCCAGGCTGATGTTTCGTGGCTGAAGATGCTTGGGTATATCACACAGGACATGATTCTTTGTTGCCAATCCCGGAACGAGACTCAGGGCTACCGTTATACCTTGTCTATTAAAGCGCTGGCCTGCACCTGTGCTGCCCGTTGGAGAGCTGGCGCTGACCTTACGATCCAGTATCTTATAAACACCAGACTCGAAGCCACTCTGGACCTTTGAGGCAATATCTTTGTTGCCAAAATTCAGCCACGCCAGCTTGACAGGCCGGTGCCAAGAGCAAATGACCTTCCTGCAATCCAGGCGCGTAAGACCCATCATTCGAGTCTGGAACGCATCGACAGGGACTGCATCGATATGACGGAGTCGTAGTGGTTCCGTCTTACTACAAAGAGTCTTGGCGAAGGTCGGGCTTTCGGCTTTGATTTCGGCACTGCAAGTACCTTCTACCGCTGGCGACGGTGAAATGCGGATCTTCAGGTTCCGCTCTTCTATGCGCAGTTCCTTGAGGAGTGCTGTTACCGAAGTTTCTGATGCCTCTCGTGGCAGCCCGGTGAGGCGAACTGCAGAGAAATCGCAATGTAATGACAACTTGGAGACGGCGGCACCATGCTCGAACTCAACGACAGCCCCTCCGATGGTTCGGCTCCAATCGTCTGCATGGTCTGTCGCTAATGGTATCTGGGGTTGTTTTGGGTCAACATGTGTTCTGCATGACAATGGGCTAGATACCCACTGTTTCAGGAGCAATGGCTCTCTGGACTTCGTGAGAATAAGGACACCCGTTTCCGTAGCGGCAACCGCCTTTGAAATAGTACCTGCAAGGGAGCAATCCCCTCGAGTCGCTGTTGGATTGAGTAGCCATATTTACGCCGTGCTTTTGCGGGGCCGTCTCCTCAGCCGTATGGAGGAATTTACAATCCAGTCCATTCTTACAAGTGCCCTGCGGGAAAAACCTACATGTTGCTCTAGGGCGATGTAAATTGTCGATGACCATATTGAGCATATCACAAACTAAGTGAGGCTTGAATATTCTCCACCTTGGTACGACGAGGCCGCCTTGAAGCTCTGGATGGGATGATATACAGGAGGGGTACCGCTGCTTGCTGCGCTCTTTCAGGTCGGAGGCCTACCAAGAGATCTACTGGTTGTATGAGTATGCGGATTTTGTTGGGTTTAATTGGGCTCCAAGGACCGAAAGCCATTCATACCCACCCTTTGTGTCATCATGCAGTTCCGGCAAATTGGAATAGGGAAGCCTGCTTCAATAAAATATCCACTTGATCAACAGAAATGCTGATGCACAACTATTAGTTCTTCATAGTGAATAGTAGGAGTATGTCACTGAATGTCCGACCTTGGAGTTTATTGTACTTTATCCTAGGGTATCAAGTGTCAAACTACGAAGTGACTTATTTGCAAATGCGCAGACGTGACCTTTAGTTATGGTCTGAAGTAGTTTACACCTTCAACCGGAACTAAAAGTTCCCCAGGTTGGTCAACGTAGCCACCGTTGACGCTCGGAGTGGCCCATCCTAAGAAGGTGGCCTGGGTTCGGAGATGTTGGCCATGATCAGGCTGCGAACTCCCATGCCTTTCTGGTCGTACGGCTGAAATATAACGGTCGTATCTCCTTCTCCTCCTCCTCCTCCTCCTCCTCCTCCTCCTCCTCCTCCTCCTCCTCCTCCTTCTTCTTCTTACTCTTCTTCTTCTTCCTCTTCTTCATCTTCTTCTTCTTCCCTACGTCTAGGCCATGGGTTCTACCTTGACTGTTGTGGTTGCGGTACCGGCGCCGTCAGAACCTTGAGACGAATGGCGACTATAGCTGGGCCTGACAGTAAGGACTAGGTGATGCTCTGGGCTGCCTTTCCCAGGTCTGAAGTCGTGTCCAGCAAGGCAACTCTGGAAAATGAGTGAATTGAATTTGAATAGAGTTTGTTTGTTGAGCAACGAAACGTCTCATTGAAAAGACCAAGAGATCTGCTAACCTCGGACGACGTTACATCCTCGAGAGGCATTTTCACTTTTGGCGTAGTGTTCATTTGTGACACTTGAAACAAAATCTATAGTTTTAGGCTGGTCATTCATGCGAACGCGTATTGCATCGTAGACAGACATGATCCATACAATCAAGCGTGAAGCTTCATATCTGGCGTGTCTCGATTATGGTACGGCACCAACATTTTCTCCATGGCTGGATATGATCTCTGCAAAGAGACACACTATCTCTAGCGTCTGGTAGGACTGTGCTCGCAACATACGCTTCCAAAGCATCGCTTGGTGTTAACAAATACCGTACTTCCGCATAGTTTCTGCGTATAAGTTGCTAGGTTAGTCTCGAGTCCCAACTAGTGAGCTGAAGCGAAGCCGATGGATTTTGTGAACAGGATCAACGGCGGGATGGAGCGTTTCGTATGAATTGCTCAGTGATCGAGGGCTGAGATCACGATGCCGAAGGTCTGAATACGTTGGCCCATGAATAAGACATCAGAACATGTCAATATAGCGGGAGAATATAGAGTTCATGTACTAAGCAATCTGTGAGACTGAAGCAACGATTACGACCCCACATGCAATACGCTAGGTAGCCCCACCATGTCCGAATCCATCATACCTACCTCCAACTCCAATTGCTGCACCCACGATAGCGCATATGTAGCTCGAGGGCATACCAGTAATTATAGATACCGACGCAGCACGTAACCAACCTTCTACAGTTGTTTCATCGTCTCTAAAACAACTCAAACCCATCCCTTCGTTCTTGACACCTACTCCCCGCCGACCTCTGCCCGCACCCAAAAATGACAACCACCACGGACCCGGACAAGCCCCCCTTCGACTTCCCGCGCGAATACCACTACCCGCCCTTCTTCAGCCGACAGCCAAACGCCACGACGCTGCACTCGCAGCTCGAGAAGTGGTCCACCCTGATCCTGTCCTACTGCGCCCACCACCGGATCTTCAAGCTGTCGCTGTCGTCTCCGCAGACGGAGGACCTGTTCCACAACAAGGCGCTGTCGAAGCGGCTGTCGCTGGCGGACGCGCGGGAGGTGCTCGAGTTCATGCGGCGGGAGGGCCGGGCCGAGTGGGTCAACGGCGGCGGCAAGACCGGCGGCGCCGGCGACGGCGACGTCGTCTTCGTGTACTGGCGGACGCCCGAGGAGTGGGCACGGGAGCTCGAGGGCTGGGCCGACGCCAACGGGCAGAAGAACGCCGTGCTGACCCTGTGGGAGCTCACCGAGGGCGAGGCCACGCTGGGGACGGACATCAGGGGCCTGGACCAGGAGGTGCTGCAGAAGGCCCTGCAGATTCTGGTCAAGAGGGGCAAGGCGCAGGTCTTTGGGCAGGGAGAGGGTGTCAAGTTCTTCTGATCGACGAGCGTGTGCGCGAGAGTCAAAGACGAAGAGAACAAATAGGGCACGGATCACGCGAGAGAGAGACACGGATTAGGGTCGTGATGCAAGTATTCGTAGCAACGCTATGCTAAACCGCACGCCTCCTGGTTTATAGCCAACCCTCCAGCAAGGCCGTCATATACGTCATACGAAAACAGAACCCTGACGCCATGCACCGGGCTAATAGAAGCAACAACAATGATCTCGGCATGCTGGACTAGCTGAAGAAGTTCGTCACGAGATACTTCTTGTCAAAGACAAGCTCCTGCTTCATTACCACGTCCAGCAACCAGTCCGAAGCAACTACCCTGGGCTCCATGTTGCCTTGGCGCGCCATGTTTTCAAATCTTGGCCATAGCTTCTTCTCCTCCGGACTTGCAGTGCTGAGGAGGTACACTGGCTCAGGCCCTCCTTCGTCCTCGTCTGGCTTGGTAGGCTTGATGGTCGTGCCGCTCCTTGCAGCATATACCAAGAAGAGTGCGCCGTTTGCTTCAGCAATCGCTCTGTAGCTATCGGTACCGTTCTTGATGGAAGAAGTGCAATATATGGGGAGATTCCACAACAGTTTGCCCTTGGCCTTGGCCGCACGTTCGATGGATGTATGCAGCTTGAAGCCAAACTTCTTCTCGTTCTCCTTATCCTTGAGAAGGTAATCCTCTGGAAGGGGCGCTTCTCCATCATCTAGACATTTCTCGATCCATTCCGACGATAGAACCTTTGCGCCCTTGGACAAGTTACGAAGGAACTTGACGGTCCGTACTATTTGCGGCGCAACCAAGTAGTCACACTGTTGGCCATCTGTGACGACTTGTATGCCGAGGTCTCGAAGCTTTTTCTGCTCAAGGTGTCAATTATTATCAGATGATTAGCAGGAATAGATACTATGAACTCACCCGATCGGCATCCTCTTTAAACTTATCATTGACCCATCGTTTGAATCCTGTGAGAATGACTTTTGCTTCGATCTGCGGCAATGTCGGTTTGGCTTTTTTGGCTGCGCGTTTTTTTACTGGTGCTTCCTCTGCCTCTTCTGCAGCTGGGCTGGATACACTCCGACGGTTCAGATTCTCCCGATCAATGTAATCCGCAGCGCGTTTGCCGCCCCACATGCCGTCTTTAAGTCCTCGCTTCTTCTCCTTTTCGTACAGAGCAAGATCGGGTGCAAGGTCCAGCAATCGCTTCTGTGCTTTTTCCTTAGCGCTGCGGCTTCCGGTCGAGGCAGAGGATGGCGTTTCGTTCTCCTTGCCAACGCGTACGTGACGGCCTCGTACAGGTGTGGCTGCTTCCGTCGCGCGGCGTTTCGTGGGCGCAGGCAGCCCGAACTCTTCAGTTGTCTTGTTAGCGTAGTCGGATTCAGTGTCTTTCATCACATCAAAGTCCTTCCGTGCTTGACGGCCGATTGCTACACCTTCAGCAGGTCCATCAGGGTGTGCATTTTCCTTGGCCAGATCCATCATCTTGCGCTTACGTGTGCCGGCAGCGGTTAGCTTCTCCGGTCCACCAGGATAATACGTGGCATGGAGTCTCGACTCGTCAAAGAAGGTCTGGCCAATAACCTCGCCCAAGTTTGTTCGAGCTGGGAAGTGCGTATACCTCTCGACAGTAAGACTCTGTATTTCGCACCGGGCATAACTCTCCTCAATCCAGAGATGGTTGACCATGTTAATGTTCCAGTCACGAGCGGCTTCGCACTTCTCACTGTTGTTCCTTGCTGTGACCAAATGCGAGTTGTCTGCCTTCATGGTCTTTGTGTAGGTGGCGCCTGCGGCGGTGATGAGGTTTTCGAGGTAGATACGGGCCTCGCCACCATAGTTCGACACAGTGATCCTTAGATCTTTGAAGCCAGGTATGCCATCTCTGGGGACAGGGTAATGGAGCAGCCGACGCATGGGCGAAGTCCACGAATTGTTGCTAATGAGATGGTAAAGCCATGACAGGTTACCAACAACCTTGCCCTCGTGAGAGGCTTGGACGTACTGGGGCCCATCTCGGTACTGGCAAATAAAGTAATCGCATTCCTCGGAGCTGTCAGTTATTTGTCCGCCGCCGTCCTCAATAAGTCCCTGTAGGATTTCCCGGAGGCGATCCGTGATGAACAAGTCCGAAGACAACAAGAGCTTCTTCTCAAGAAAGACTGTGAGTTTGGGTCGCGCTCCTGTGATGGAGTCAGTTGGTGGGGGCATCCATTGGGGGCGGGCTGATGTCGCACCCTCGAGATGTTGGCTCGCTGGTACTGCCACTTCATCGTTTGACCGCGCATTAACGATCTCGGGATCCGGCAGGAGATATGGCCCTTCGTCTATTCTCTTTCCGAGTCTGAAGCAGTCGTCGAACCTTGTGGATGGCTGTCAGCATTACAATGAGGGTACGATCAGAACAAAGCACCCTTACCAATGTGGTAACACAATCTTGCACTTTAGGTTCTTAGCCTGGACTATCCGGCATTTGTCGTTGTCCATCGATAAAGCGCAGATGTGTGTGACAAGTTTTGTGACATTCTCCGAGTCTACACCGCCCATAGCCATGGTGGCGCCTATAATGGATTCCTTGTCGGTCGGCGGAATGTCGTCGGCAACGGAAAGAACGACTTCGCTGAAAAACAGCCTCGGGTCTGGGGAATACGGACGTAATTGAGCAGGCTTGTTTCGGGCGACGGATGCCAAGATCCATGCGTGCTTGACTGTTGGGATCATTGTTGCTTGTGCATCCGTATACTGGGGGAAGTCGATCGTGTTGGAAACGATGTGGGTGACCTTTTCGAGATGAAGCGACCTGTCGCGTCGCGCGTCGACGACTTGGCCACCGAAATCCGTGACATTTTTAGATAGCTAACAAGACAGACAAAAGATGTGTCAGTTTCGTGTCAAGAAGATATCATGCCTCGCGAGTATGCGGTTACCTCTGCAATAAGTCCTTCGGACAAGTCTCGACTTTCTACAAAAGTGAATACACATGAGCTGAACAATTGTCCAGCGGCGCCGTCCTGTTCGGCCATAATAAGAAATTGAAGCTCGAGCGTTGCCAGATCTTATGCTAGGACATTGGGAGAAAGAAAGCCTCAGGAATGAATGAAACAGAGCAGATGTTTCCAAAAAAAAAGAAAAAGCGATTGGCTGGGTTTGTCGATATTGTAGTTGCCTGGAGACTGGTGACTTGCGTGTAGGTAATAAATTAAATAGGCGACAATTGAGGGTGGGATGAATTAACATGGTAATTGTTTTGGACCCCGGCCAGGCGCGTCTAGAAGGCGCACCACCAAACGTTGGACGCGAAACTCGAGAACGCGCCCACGTGACCATAATTGCCTGGCTTGGTCTTCTAGTAGCCTTTAGGTAAGCAGATCTGGGACTGGTGCTTAATTGCATCAACCCCACCTCATGCCACTAAGGTTAAACCCCAGATTCATTGGTCTAGGTTAGTGCAGAATTGTGAATCTTAGGGTGCAACTCATTGCCTTACTGTGTACACACAGTATGCTGCACTTTATCTGTACGATTCAACTCATTGGACGAATCATATAACTAACAGAACCTCAGTGCAAGCCTTTGCGCGTTATCATGGCAGCTGCGCATTGAGAGTCAAATAAAATCATTACTCTTGGCAATCCCCAATCCGTCATTCAACTCCGTGGACCGCATGTGACTCTCCACCAGCTTCGGGGGAGCAAGCAGTCTCTGATACCACTGCCCGTCAAGAGCGCTCATGCCCGCAGCCGCCCACTTTGCTTGCATTTATCACTCCAGTGTCCGGTTCTCTTATCGTTGCCCTCGACCTTCTAACAATGCAAGACACCAAATTCGTCTTCCACTTAATGACGCGGCAGAAGTTGTTATCTTGCCGATAGGGGTAGGTCGGATTCTGAAATATATTCCACATTCGGGGCACAGACATGTGAGTTTCACCGAGTCCACCTCCTCGCATGTACGGTCCATACAGAGGAGAGGCTTACGAATGATCAGCGCGACCCGCTGCGACTACTGCGCGCTGGATGCGCCGGAAGCTGGTCGCCGAAATACCATAGCAGAGTTTCGCTGACACCATCTACAGCCTCCGACTCTTAAGCATAGAGACTTTTTCATGTTGCACTTCGAATTAAGATAAAAACCCTATCGGTCTGGAACTTGTCTTGACTAAAATTATACATGGAGCTTCGAGTAGGCTTTTGTGCTCCAGAAGAGCGATGGATTTGTTTCTGGAGAATATCGATTTCCGCAAAATCCCCATGTCAATCGGGGGGACGTTGGGGAATTTCGGGAGTGCTCCATACCCCACACTGGAACAACTAACGGGGCCATCCAGGATGCTAAAAGCTTGTTCCTGATGTCATATTCTACACAAATCATCCAATCTCGCTCACCAATGCCGGCTCTTCGGAGTACTCGCGGCTATGCTGGGCGAAAGAATTCCCGTTTCTGTAGTTGGGGTCATCTTGACTGACAAAATCTTGGCAAATGCTTAGACTTTCCATAATACACAACATTCCTAGTTCTTGTGACTATACTAATCGCCAAGTCTTCCGTGTCTATACCAATCGCCAAGTCTGCCGTGTCAATACCAATTCCCAAGTCTTCTGTGCCTTGTACAGTAGGTTGCCAGCCGCTCAGTATGGACGATTCCAAGATCGAGACAGCTCAACCGTATGGTGAGAGACAGGAGATGTATGATCTTGATGGCACTGCCCAGAAGATTGGCGACACTATGAACCATATTGATCCTGCACTGGAAAAGCGTGTGCTGCGTAAAATGGATCGAGCTCTAATACCGCTCGTGACGGCTCTCTGTAAGTTATGTTGGCGACTATATGAGGGATGAAAGCCTGATGCTCGCCAGATCTTGTCGCTTTCTTGGACCGCTCGAACATAGGAAATGCGGAAACTGCCGGTATGAACAAGGACCTTGGGTTTGACGATGCGCAATACCAGGTATGAGCAATTCTCTTCCTAAGGGAGTCGAATACATCAGCTGACTGTTTCTGATGTAGTGGCTGTTAACAATCTTCTACATCCCGTATAGTGTGTTCGACCACCAAAGTTCGCTCATCCAAAACGACGCTAACACCTCCCAGTCGTCTTCGAATTCGCTGCCCTGATGTGGAAACTCGTTCCTCCGTAAGGGTCACAGATCTTGCTCATATGGGATGCCGGTTGACGCTTGATTTACGATAGGCATATTTGGGCGTTCTCCTGTGTGCTTGTTTGGTAAGTTGCACGTCTGCATTTCAGTATCTCATGCTAATTCAAATTTAGGGGGATTGCATCAACACTGCAAGCTGCGGCGTTCAACTGGCAAGGTCTCATGGCATGCCGATTCTTCCTTGCCGCTGCCGAAGCTGGATACGGACCCGGTATTCCTTACCTGCTCAGCTTCTTCTATAAACGACATGAGCTTGGATTTCGTTGCGGCATCTTTCTCTCAGCAGCCCCTCTCGCGACAACTTTTGCCGGTGCGCTCGCTTACGGTATCACTTCCGGCCATCCATCGATTGCCAACTGGAGGCTTTTGTTTCTCGTAGAAGGCATCCCCTCCATCATTCTAGCATTCGTCGCGTTCTTCTTTATGCCAGACTCCCCAGATACGGCCAAGTTCTTGAACGAAGAAGACCGACAGGTGACGCGTGCTCGTGCTATCCAGCAGACCGGCCAAGAAGGTGCCGCGCGAGTCGGGCATATCAACATGAAGGAAGTATTTGCAGCACTTCTGGACATCAAGACGTGGCTCCCACCGCTGATGTACTTCAGCTGCAATGTCTCCTTCAGTAGTTTGCCCGTCTTCCTGCCTACGATTCTGACAACCATGGGTTTCTCTTCGATCAACGCGCAGGGACTGACTGCGCCTCCATACTTTCTTGCTTTTATCATCTGTATTTTGACGACTTGGATTGCGGACAAGACACGGCAGCGAGGATACATGCTCATCTTTCTCTCCATAATTGGTGGAGTTGGTTATATCTTGCTGGCAACTTGCAAGAGCGTAGGCGTTCGCTACTTCGGTGTCTTCCTCGCCGCGGCGGGTGTATTTCCAGCAATCGCCAATATCCTGCCCGTGAGTAAACTTTAGAATTACCTTCTACACTTTTCATAATGTCTAAGTAGCGTATACTGCCCACTTGATGGCGCTCCAAAGACCCATGCTAACTCCAAATGTCGCAGTGGACAATCAATAACCAGGGAAGTGACTCTAAGCGCGGTTCCGGTATTGCGCTCCTGAACATCGTTGGTCAATGTGGTCCTCTTCTTGGCACTCGCATATTTCCTACGGCTGACAAACCATACTATGTCAAAGGCATGAGTATTTGCGCTGCATTCATGTTCTTCAACGCTGTTTTGGCTCTTATCTTGAGGACGTGGCTTGCACTGGAGAACAAGAAGTTTGAAAAGTGGGATGCGGAGGCGCGGGCTGCCGGGCTTGACCCCGGTAAAGAGCAGAGTGGGCAGGAGAATGAGGGATACGGGTTTAGGAACTTCCTATGACGGATTATTGTGGAGTCGTGCGTGTTCGGGACCGAGAACCGCGGAAGACTTGTCTTCCAGGTCTTGGTCCGCCCGACTACGCTGGGTATATCGTCTGAAGAAGTCCATCCGTGGGCTTGGGTGGCTTGGATGCATGTAAGAACTTAATTTCATACGCTCAACGACAAACCATCGTGTCGGTGAAGCAGGTGCGTTAGTTCGAACTTCGAGTAATCCGTACATATAGTACCATACACAGTAGTATGTCAGAAACGCTCTTCATCCCAACAGTACCTAGATGCATGATAGGCGAGCCTGATGGGCGGATATTGTGGCTGCAGCGCTCGAGGCAATCCTGGGTCGGTCGGAACCACTGAGTAAGCACGCAGATCTAAGCCCGTGAGAATGCACTCGAAAGTAGTTAGTCTAGGTCGAACTACCTCACTACCAAATGCGCAACATCAACGGGGCCATAACTCATTGAGGAATCAGGCTCCAAAACTCAAAACTTGTGATGAAGTAACGTATACCTGACGAACAGGGTACATCCAGCATGAGCACAATTATAGCTAATCTGAGTCATAAATCACCATCTCGGATTTTTACCATAGCCAAAGGGTTATGTAACTTCATTTTGGCTTTACCGTGGTAACCCTGCCTGCATAATGACAGGGTACTTTTAGATGCTTTTAAATGGGGAAACCAACCAATCGAAAAAATCCTGCGAAAAAGAATTAGTTGTTAGCTCTATTGCCCAGGATCTTTGTGGCTCGCGTAAGCATTGCATGGGGGGATCCAGCTTCCGCCGTTGCTGACATGTCACATACGGTAGCCTGTACCTTGGCATTGACACTCGACCTTTCTAGTTGTTTTGGTTCTCGGAGCACACTGATCTTCGTCATGTTTGCTGAGTTGATCAACCATTACTTCCCAAAAGGCTGAATCATAACATACATCGTCCTGCTGAAGGGAGGCACAGATGCCAGAAGCCATTGGCTGCTCAACGAGGTGGCGATTATGTGTCCCACATGCATACAGAGAGCCCTTGGCGTAAGTCCACAGCCGCAATGATAGAGAACCACTCAAGCATCGTGCACGGCATTACTGATCGCTTAACAGTCTCACCAAAAAGGGGCATTTTGCGAAATCTGCTTTCACAATTGGCGACAGGTGGGAGGTGCTACGAGATGCGTTCCTCCTCACGATTGCAAAGTGACAGGCCGTCGGTCTCACAGAGAATCGCCATGGCCAATGGTCCAAGCCAGCAGGGCCCGTGATAGCGCTCAAACAACGGTCAGAGTTGATCAAGGAGGCATGAGGATGTATTGTTTCGGGCTACCGTCGTCGTATCAAACAATGTCGCTATCTCCACCTACCAGGGACATACTCAATCTGGCCATCAGGTCGTTCACTGCTGACAGTGAAATGCAAATGTTACAGCAGCAACAATCATCGGGCCGAGCGGTTCGGGACTGGGGAGGCTGGATGGACGCTTTACCCTCCCTATCCTCTGGTATTGACAACGATAGTCTCAGCCCGGCCATTATGGCTCTCACCGCTGCTATCACGACTCACAAGGCGGATCTCAGACCGACTAAATTGAGTTATCTGACCACTTATGCAACTGCTTTACGGAAACTTCGAATTTCACTCAAAAACATACATCAAGGGAATCGATTCATGGTCTTAGCGACTATTATTTGCTTATACACGGCAGCCGTAAGTCTTCCTCGGACGTAGGACCGAATTGGTGCTCTTGCTGATGATTTGATAAAACCAGCTTATGCTACCAATTGAGGAAAACACTCAGACCCGTCAGACTCACCACAAAGGGCTACAGGACCTGTTCCTGGCGATTGGCCCCGAAGGTTTCATCTCGGTCGCCACACACAAGTTGTTCGCTGGGTTCAGGGGCTCAATCGTAAGCTATTTGAATGAATTCCGTACGTTGCAAGAACTAACGATTCGCTGCAAGATATTTGAGGCTATATACATGCGTAGAAGCTCATTCACCTCTCATGTTGACTGGAAAACTAAACCTTTCAAGCTCCAAGGCCAAAACATCATCCAGAGATCCCTGACTATAGCAGCTGACATTCCACCACTGCTTGAAAAGTTCGATGCACTGGACAAGATGGATGCCTTCAATCAAGAGCTCTCAGCAATAGCGTTGACAACTGGCTTCCGTAAAATCATCCGTGGGATATACGAATCATTTGTTTTAGAAGCAACTGCGCCTTCTTACTGGCAAGTGTTTCCTGATGACCCAGACAGCCCCTATCGCTTCACGAATCTGTCAACCGCCAACATCTGGCTTAACTACTGGCTATTCCGTGCGATCTGCTTCATCCACTTACACCTCCTGCAAACGCGATATGGAGTCTCAGATTCAGCAGATGTGAACCAAGAATCAACCTTAGACCAGGCAGTGGAGCATGCAACCAGTATCTACCGGAGCATGGACTTTGTCCTTCAGGACGATATGAAAATCCAAGGTCCTGCTTCGAGGATTTTCACAGCGCGCGTCGCTTATGATATCCTCAAGTTTGATGGCGCTCGGAGTGCTGAGAAGCTGGCTGCCATCCAGCGCATCATTGGTAGGTTCGAGCTGCTTGGCTTCAAGATACCATCATTGCCAGATGACCGACCTTTCTGGACACTGAACACAGGCAGAGTGTAAAAGCAACACATCAGATGCTACAAATCCCCGATTATTTACTAAGAAATAAATCATTTGGAATAGTGCGAGCAAAGTTCATCGGCCAAACCGTCATGGCAACCGTGGAACTTGGTTATTCGGATACATAATGCCAACTCAACATTGCAAACACTGTAAAGCATCCCGTATTGCGCCCCGTTTCTTCAAGGTCGCAACAAACACGTCAAATGGAACCTTAGATCACATTCGAAGATTTCAAAGCAACACAAATGTGCAGGATCTTGCTGCATCTACCACAAACGACATTGAGTTCTCTTGACACATACGTGTAAAAGCTATCTTTCGAATGTACTACCTCCATATATACTATTTCACTCAAAGCCATGAACTCAAAGAAGCAGCACCGTAGACAACAACGCGTCTACGCGGCTTACCGCAGTATCTTCAACGAATCAAAGGCAAAAATCCGCAGCGAGTGGCGAATCCGCATACAGGTGGCAAAACACGAAGGTATTCTGCAGTCTCTCAGTCCCATGACAATCGATGGTATCTTGGAGCAAGTTTGTTTCCTGTTGAGGAATGGAGTCTTCGAGTCTGAAATTAAAGCGCGTCTCCTGTTTCCAGACCTCTTCCCGTCTCTTCCGCTAGGAGACACTGTCGAGAAGACTCCCAGGAATGAGACTGCAGAGTCTGTGGCTAGAGCATCTAGTTCTAAGCCCTCGGATGAAGCCAATGGGGACGAATCTGATGACTGCCATGCGGAATCTCTGGAGGCAGATCATGTGAAAGATACGATTCGTGGGGCAGAGAAGAATTGTAATGACGAGGCATCATCGGCAGAAGACGTAGTTGGCGAAAGGGCAATTGTTCAAGATGGTAAGTGCTTTACCCGTTCATCCGTTATCTCCCTGCAAACTTGAAAGGTGCAGTTCAGCAATAAAGCAATACTACCAAATATCCAACAATCGTCCAACTAATTACAACTATAGATACGTCAGACAAGATCAGTATGGCAGCGAATCTGCTATCTGCGACTGATAGACTCCCCACCCTGAGTCCTGTACATATCCAGTATAAGATACAGCACTTCCTACTCGACGAGATCGAACGACAACTCAAGGTATCCTGCTTCAATTCGGTTCATACAACGGAACCACTCGTTCTGGAAGAGCAGAGTATCAATTGCCCGGAGGCTTTGGACTTAGAGAAATGGTTGTGGCTGCTACAAAAGCTTAGCAAGCAGCTATCTCCTTATCTATTCAACTCGGCCAAGCAGGAGCTGAATGTCACATTGGAAAAGGCTCAGAGGCTGCATGGGCTTGTTGTTCGTCAAATCAAGCTCGCCGCTACAGATATTGTTAATGCAATTGAAAATGCTGCTGCATTAGCCTTTATACTCAGAGATCACGAACGAGCCACGCTTTTTAAAAAGATATCTGCAGAAGTCTGCTATACGGCGGAGATCATGGTGCAGATGAAGAATGATGCTGAGGTAGCAACATCTAGGAAGCTACTGGAGATCCAGCGTAAGCGCGGAATGCTTGACATGGAGGAAAAGGCAGCTATCAACAGTATGCTGGAGCATGACGCAGAAAATACGGCCACGATGAACAAATTACTAGAATTATCACTTAGCGAATTACTCGTTACATCTTAGGAGCAAAAGGTAGAATTACTGATTTCATCGCATGGGGCTGTGGACGATTCGCAGCGCCTTTTCTCCGATGAGACTTCTGAAATCGGAGGGGAGTGATGAGAGATCCTGCGAGCGGCGGGGAAGTTGACACGAGACAGGTCCTTTGACGGGAGCCAGCTTGTAGCTGCACAGCTTGAGTGGAGATGAGGTAACAGTAGGGTAGAAGAACAGCTGAGATAGTTACAGCTTTGAGGTATTTGTTAACGTGTCGGAGATTCCTAAGAGCTGCCTTAGTAACTAAGAGGTGGGCTTTGAACAGAGAAGCACAGTTCTGTGACTCTTTTGTGGAAATATTCCAAAATAGAAAATTGTGTGCTTTTTTAGTGTTAGTAGTTGACAATGGTTGACATGCTCATTTCATATCTAAACATAGTTTCGCAGGCATATCTATTGATCAATACATCAAACTGCCCCTATCAAATCAACGGATATGTATTACTTAGTGCTATTGCCAGATGACAATGCCTCTTGTTAGAAGAATTTTAACGGCATATACATGATGACATGAACGACCCGCACTTCGATCAAACCAAAACACCACAAGACGTGCCATCAATGACTACATAAGTAAGTTCTCTTCCTATAGTATTAAGCACTGTTAATAGACTCCATTTCTTGGTTTACAGATATAACAAGACACCCTGTATGCTCGTTTACACTTCTCTAAGGGGCATATAATGTGCTATGTAAGAGAAGTTGCGTTGGTAAACGTATCTCGCTTTCCTTTATACCGCTTAACGCGCAGACGCATCATTCCGTCACGAATGTCTAATCCTGCTTAGCAGCGGTACTTGCTTTGCGAATTCTAATCACGCCACTTTCGCGTCACATTTTGCACAAGACAATCATATTACCTGTAGTCGCGACCCTCAAAACAAGTTGTAAGACGTCATGATTGTTTTGCTTCACCAAGGCACTTCTCTTTACATGACGGTACCTGCCATGTGAATATGAATCATACTAGTGCCCTCATATTGATACTGACTAGCACGTTATAAGTGAGGTACCGCCTTAATACGGAGGCTGCTCCTTAAAGTAAGACCACGCTTCATACTATTAAGTAGCTAATTTACCCACCTCTACCCTTTTATGATTATATTGTCTGCCTTAGAAGCCACGTCTTTTCTTATGCTCGAAGATAGCAGGCGTGGCTTTTGTCCTATCGCACTTACTTAAGATACCGTTTTTAGGAAATAAAGCTCGGTAATATCGCGTCGTGTAAAACCGATTGCTCCGAGACGGGGTTATTATAACGGCACTCGAGAAAAATGTAGTTTCCCCGTAAGAAACTATTATCGTTTCTCGGAAGACGAATCGGTTCATTTTGTTATTCTTATAATGGAACTTAATAAACTAGAGTTTCCTCGAGGAAGTAAATGTTATTTCTTTTAAGAAGGATTAGGTTATCTTGTTATTCTTGTACATTATCCTTAGAGACTTCTGATAAAGCTATAAGTATATGCCTTTTGCTCTTAAATCCTCTTCTTTCTCTTCTTTCTTCTTTAAGCGTCGACTCCTTATAATTCCGATAATAACGACAATTAACGATCCCGGTAGTTCTTAACATCAAACACGTTCCATTACTAAATACCTACGCCAGCTATCTCAATTACTAACTCCTTAACTTAACATGCCTTTTTCTCAACCTAGAATTCCACCCCTTTCCCTTCCGGTTAACACTAATAATTATCGACCAGTCCTAGCCAGCTCTTAACCCCTAACCCAAAGGCCGTTAGCTCAAACCCATATACCCTCCTTGTAAGTGGCCGATTCCCATCCCGTTCCTTATATCCATTTACTTAACATTATCTATTCTTTCGTCTATCTCCATTGTCATTTTCTTCTTCTGTCCCTCTCTCTTTAAATCACGACGACCGCAGCTAACTCTCGCTGTCTAGATCTCTAATCCATGCTATGGAGTAAGGAGAGGCGGACGGTCCCGCGGGTGAAGGGTAAGTCGTATTGTTCCTTCCATTTTATAATCCATCGTCTTCACTACCCTTGTTTAGAAGCATACTAGGCACTTTCTGTCATGCTTTATAACAGTCCCTACTTTATTACATTGTTTGTAGTTATACTCCACCATTATCTTTTTACTAACACTACCCTATTTTTCTACTCATTACCCATTATTAACTTATCTTATAATAAGGACGCTACGCTAAGGGGAAGTAAGCTCTCATGGGTGGATCGCTAGGTTAGAGGGCGAGATAAGGAGACGAGACTGGCTATTACACAGTGAACTTCTATCTAGAATAGTTTGTGTAATGGCGTTACTACCGTGGTTATAATCTAGGGTTTCGTTCGTTTTTTCTTTTTTTACTATTAGATAATAACATCGTTTAATAATTTTACATTAATCACTAATCCACAGTCTCACTACATATAGTAACTACTTATAATAGCTACTATATAAAAAGCCACTTTATAATACCATCTTAGTACTAGGATGCCTTAAGTAGTCGCTAAGTGATTTAACATAAGATGTACTACGCTTAGTACGAATGAACTTTAGATAAACTCTTAAACATTTTCCAGAATAAAACAAATAATTAAAGTGTATATAAGGCAGGGATTTCCCGTAAGAAATAGCTTTATTCTGTTACGACATTAATTCTTTCATTCATTTAGAGAAGCGATACATCTTAACATATGGATTGATGTCGTTGTTCAGCGCATAGTCAAGTATGCCTAATCATAAGGATGCGATTAGTAAAGCGTACTTATCCCTTGTGACGATCGTTCGGTTTTGTAAAATCTAAGCCCAATGTATCGCAGGGTAGATACAAAATAACGGACATAGTGCCGCTGGTCTTCTTGGAGCCGCGACCGTGAGTGATTGTAGGTTGAATCCCTTTTCCCATTGCTTACTCCACACCCACCCGGAGCGGCCTTCGCCGCACTTGTCCTTGATCAGCTGCTCGGCATGGTCAAGCTCAGTTCTCACGACTGGGTCCATGTGAAAGGTCTTGCAATTGCACAGAAACCACACAGCGCCACCATGCGCCTCGGGATGCCAATTATGGGTCTTACCTTGTTGCCTGCGTGTCCCCATCCCACCAATTTTTCCTTCGCGGCAGCGATGTCGGTCTGATTCAATTCGTTGCCGGTGCAGCCCACTGACCTGACGGGTATGGGCTCATCACAGCTAACCGTGCCGATGGTTACAAGCAAGATGATAGCAGAAGACAGCTTCATTGTGTGATTGCAAAAGATAGCCAGACTCATTGTCATGTCAAAATCAGAATCTTGAACCACGTGACGGTAATAGCGATACTGATACGTACTGTATTTAAGCTGTGCTTTTTGCCAATGTATCGAACATATACTGATGATTTTGTAATTTGCTTGCGGAGACCCTGTTTTTGCTGGGTTAGAAAACCTTTGCAATGTACATTGTATATTGTTAATAAGGGCGAGTGCTTTATTTATACTTCCGTTACTCGTACTTTTAACTTAATCCTTTAATTTGGTACCAGGTTAATGATAAAATCATGGAAATCTGATAATGTGAATTTGACACTGTACCTAGTTCTTCGTGATTAAGACGGCAACACCCATTCCGTGGTACGCCTAAAGGTTGATAAGCAAAGAAAAAGGGAAATGCTAACCAGTAAAAACTACTGCGATATCTTGGATTAATCATTTTTTCTTCTTCTTATAATTCAAGAGTCATAATATAGGTTTACGCGTTAAAAGGCAACTGAAATTTATAAGAAATTTTTGGTTTTAGTTATAATATCGAGTATAAACTAGTAAAGAACATATTACGAGCTTTTACGGCATATATCGCTGTTTTACGACGAATCGTACGAAGCGCCGACTCGTGAATAATTCCACGGACTTAATTCTACGGTTTAGATTCTATAAACGCTTTATTTATTATTATAATTCATATAGACTCTTAAAACTACTATACTAAAAATTGATTAGGGTTTTCGCATTACGCGTTTCGTAATAAGCCACTTGTTATTTTATAACATTAATGCTAGCGAATATAAATAGAGTATAATTTAGTTAATAAATAAATATAATGGCAAATAAACTTACGATATAATGATTAATAGTATAAATTAATAATAATACTCGAGATGTTAAAGATAGAAATAATAGATAAAATGGGTAGAAATAAAACTTAACGATAAAGCTAGTTATTCTAAACAGAAACACAAGTATTTTAGTATATTATAACTATATAACAAAAAGTAAGCAAGCGTAAATAGAGACTGGCAACGTGATAGATCATAACCCGTAAGCGACCGCTACTAATTCGAAGGTTAACAATAATTATTTATATTTTAATTTCTGCTTTAAGCTATATACCGAGCAAATATATGGAAGTATATATCTGTTTGAGGAACAATACTAGAAGATTAGTCTTTCTATGTAAAGACGTTTTTTTTTTGTTCTACGGAAAATGGCCTAGTGATATAAGTGAAATGGTAGGCATAGTGGCCGGCAAAGGATAACAAAGGGTGTCGTTATAATCCAGGTATATCTACGATCTGCCCGAATACTTCGGGCATATTATCGCTTGGAGTTTAATCGTAGTGTCTTGAATGCCGAGCATAGCTCTGTGATGAACGTAGAACGCGATTAATAGTTACATAATGTTTTAACCTGGTTGATTACTCTTTAGTATTGTTTCCAATAGTGAACTGTTTTCCTTATAATCGCATTGCCTTGTTGAAGTGTTACTTCGTATATAACCTTATGTCGATGGTAGACCAAAGCTAATGTAGCAGATGTAACTGTCACGGATTCATCAGGATTATTTTTGAGGAGAGGATATGAGACGATGAGAGGTGGGTATTAGTACTCAAAAGAAGTGCCCAGGGTCTTTGACCTGCTTTGGGGTGGGAACTCGGGACAGCGACTGCTGTTGTCGCGGTTAATGCGGCGCTGCGATGGCGGGAGGTGTGAAATATATGACCAAAAGAATCTTATGGGCGATCATATCCGACTAGACTAGATGTAAATCAGTCCACTCGTGATTGCGGAGTTTATCTGAGTAACACGAGAGAGGCAACAAACACTGAAATCATGAGGACTTGACTGCCGCCGACGTCAATCTGTTACAGAACGATTGAAAGGTTCAAGGTTAATTTATTAGTGTACTCCGTAATCCGTAAGTGGATCACTTGGATGGTCGCAGTGATGTCTCGTACATGACTTTTAGAGCTCCAGAAGTCGGTGCTATTAAAAGTATCCAGGCAAACGGCGCACAAAGTGCCCGCTGTACCAGCTGCAACTCGAAAGTCGAGTCTTGAAGATGATGCAATGCTGGGGTTTTTACGATGGTGACTGCGCATGACAGCGGGAGAGGGTCCAGATTTGGGCGCATGCAGGCACTTTTTGACAGACGCTCGATGGGAGTGACAGCATTAACTAGAGTCCAATAGTGTTCCCGTTGTACATGCTAGGGAGGAATGGCCTGGCAACGCGCTTAAAGTTTGGTGGTTGGAAGCCAGAAATAGCACGGGTAACGCTAAAATTCTAGCCTTAGCCTTGTACCAAGCAATACGAAGTTGGGGAAGAACCAAGGCCCTTCGGTGTCAATAATGCCGCGCTATAAGACACCACGAATGGAGTTGCCGAGGGGCAAAATGACTCAATCGGTTGAGGCGGCGCAGTCAAGTGATAACGTTCCATTGCATTTTCTAGAAACTGCCCCTCGTATCTTTATTCTTGACGTTTGACATCGTCGACCGTGCTACCGACCTGGGCCTCGTGAGTGGTCGCGTCTGATGACATAGCAGACATACTTTCTTTCGGATAGTTTGGGCCGATCATCGATACTGCTTGAGAAAGGATGAGTGTTTTGTTTCAACCCCTTCTGGTGGCGCATCACTTCGGATGGAAGTACTACGGGGAAGAATTCTGCCGCATCTCCAGCTCAGATCGATGTTGCAGATTCTTGGCAGTGTTTCGTGGGTTTGAATGGCTTGATGGTCTGCAACTCAATACTGTCTGAAACGCACCAACATGTGTCAATAACCATTGAGCACGATAGATGGGAGTAATATGGTTCACATGACATGGGGGGGGGGGGGGGGTCCTTGGACAACAGTGCCCCAGCTGAAAAGTAGAAAGCAGTACTTTCGGGCTAACTTCCCTAGATCGTCATTTCACTCACTGACCATATATTGCAATCATGTGGCCCAACTGCAATTAACTAACCATCGTATCAAGGGTATGTCTTGAGCTGGCTAACGAGTATGGTGGGCCCATTGATGGAGGTTCTGTAGCGAAATGAAAATGCTTGGATCCTCTTAAGCTTGTTTGGAGCCCCTATTCGGTCCATCCATCAGTGAGCTTGATTGGTTGAGAGGCGAAAGAACGGGGGCATCGCCCAGGCGACTAAAAGCAACGAGTGTCTTGGTTCCCCAATTGTGCGGATTGCATCAATTGGAGAATTTCAGTTGGCTCAGGGTCCAATTTGAACAGCACATCTACAGCAGGCAGCAGGGCACTCAAGCACAAAGTTTGTGCTTGCAGCATTTGACAGACGCGGGCGCCAGCCCACCTCGCACATACTGTAGTACGACCAACCTCGCAGGTGGATGCACGATCACCGTTGTACAGAATCCTTAGTCAATGGCCGAGTCTTGAAGTTTCAAAAAGTGACATTTCAAAGTTAGTTTCTTTGTCGTTATCACACATACATCATGTCGGTGGGTTCGATGACTTGACGCGATTGTGCAAAAGTGGAGGAAGTGGTTCTGCCAGAGCCCTGGGGCACACCAAAGCAACGTCGCTTTCAACTCGGGAAGACATCGACATGGAACTCCGTGCATTTGGGATCTGTCAAATGGATCATACAAGGGACCATCACGAACAATCCTGTCAGGCACAAGCTGATCCCTGACGAAACGGGCTGTCGCCCCCTGGTCTTAAGTGGGCAGTGCCACCACAGCTAGCACATTCTTGGGAAGGTTAGTCGCGCCCATCATGAGATTGTTCAATGGAGCCTGCCTGGGGACCTAGTGCTAGCATTGCTAGGGATATACGACCCCCGACCCCCCATCAGGTCAGAGTAAGACGGCCTGACAAAGCCACCCGCGCTCCAGGGCGCTTTCATATGGAGGGAAATAAAAACATCGTCATGCCCCCGGACGAAACCCGTGAATATCTTCCTGTTCCCTCCATCCACATTCGCTCATAAGCATTCCACAACTGCAAGTTGCTGATTAAAGCCAGCCACTAGTTTTTTCTTTTTTCTACTTTCTAGTGTCTCTCGTTTAACACTATTTTCACTTTACGGCTTCTCCATATAATTGTCGATCCGTAATACTTCGTGAACCCACTCCGCAGTTTATTTAAATCTTCGATTCCCCAGCGTCACATCGCAGACACATCTTGCTACACGCCATTAATCAACATGTTCTCCAAGGTGTTTTCCGCTGCCGCCGTGGCTTTGGCTGCTTCCCAGCTGGTCTCCGCTCAGACCTTTACCAGCTGCAACCCCACAGAGAAGAGTAAGCAGTTTTGAATCCCCTGATATATACAGTTGGTTACCCGGAGAACTAACAAGGCTACAGAGTGCCCCGATGATGCTGCTCTTGGCACGACTACCACGATTGACTTCACCAAGGGTGATCTTGGTCTCTTCTCCGAGCTTGATGGTACCTCGGTCGCGTTCGACAAGGACTTGGGCGCTGTCTTCACCATCAACAAGGAGACCGAAGCTCCTACGATTGCTGCCAACAAGTACATCTTCTTTGGCAAGATCGATGTCACTCTTCGTGCCTGCACCGGTCAGGGTGTTGTTACCAGCTTTGTCCTTCAGTCCGATGATCTCGACGAGATTGACTGGGAGTGGCTCGGCGGCGACACCACCCAGGTTCAGACCAACTACTTCGGCAAGGGTGACACCACCACCTATGACCGTGGTGCTTACCACCCTGTCAGCAGCCCTCAGGATGATTTCCACACTTACACCATCGACTGGACTCAGGAATACGTCAAATGGTACATTGATGGAAGCTTGGTGCGCACCTTGAACTACAAGGATGCCAAGGACGGCACTCGTTTCCCCCAGACTCCCATGCAGATCAAGCTCGGAACCTGGGTTGCTGGTCGCAAGGACGCTCCCAAGGGCACTGTCGAGTGGGCTGGTGGCTACACCAACTTCGACGCCGCTCCCTTCAACGCTTACTACAAGTCCATCTCCATCCAGGATTACGCCAACGGTGTTTCCGGTGCCAAGTACTACAGCTGGAACGATGGCTCCGATGGTTCTTACCAGAGCATCAAGGTTCTCACTGATGCCGGCGAGGCCAACACCTCCGCTTCTGGTACTGCCTCGGGCTCTGGTTCTACTGCTACTTCTACTGCCTCCAGCACTGGCAAGAGCGACTCTTCCACTAAGAGCGGCGACAGCTCCAAGACTACCTTGGCCACTGCTACCATCACCACCCCCGGTGGTCTTACTCAGGCTACTGCTGGAAGCGACAACAACGTCACCCTCAGCGCTACCGGCACTGAGACCATTGCTACCTCTGCTACTGGTACCCTCGCCACTACCGCTGCTTCGTCAACTGGTTCCGCTGCCGCCACGAGCAGCGTTCCAGCCAGTGCCGCGCTCAAGCAGGGTGTCTCTTCCTTCCTCGGACTCTCTGTTTTCCTCGCCTACCTCGTCTTGTAAGCGCGGGATTGAAGGAATACCAAGTGTTTCGTGATACCATGGGCGCACGGATGTCGACCGATTAGTCGGCCTTATTATGTTTCTCGACGATCCTTAGCCAAAACAACCAGCCTGACCGCCATCTCTCCTCCAGCTAAATCAGCTCTATAGGTCGAAATGGGTCGGCATTGAACAAATACAATTGCTTATAATCATGTTTGAACTGGGATACCCGACGGCGCCGGCGTGAAGCGTCTTGTACGCGCGACAAGATCTGATTTGATGACTGCATGTGAAAGGATTTGGAACGCATCATTTGGAGGATGTACCCACACAGGGGCCAAGAGAATTAGCGGATTGTTTGTAAGAAAGCATAGAACATTGTAAGAACGTCGAAGATACTTGAGAGAATATACTGTCTATATTGCTGCAAATTCTAGGGAGTACAGCTTGGTGAAATATCATCGCTTTGTTCACTTGAATCAAGGAAAGAACACTCATTGACACGCCTGCATTCAAACAACTCGAATGCACAATTAACATCCGATAACAAGCTCAGTTTATTTCAAGGCCCTACTTCTACGAAACTATGGATCTCTAATCCTTACGGAATCCATTTTAATTTCCCGAAATCTTGGCCGACAGGTAAATTGGGCCAAGATGGAGCCCTATGCGCTCATCTCGGATAAACGTCTAGGGGTCACTGAGCCGCAAACCTGCAGCGGCATCTTTGCTTTTTGCGACTTTCATCAAATATGTACATAGAGAAATGACGGACGAATAAGCAGTGCCGCATCAGCGGCGCATCGGCGGAGCCTTTATGAATTCTATGCACGTTTGTTCAACTTTGTGCTAAAAAGCGAAATGAAGAGGCCAACGACGCCGGCGGGTTCCGTTTTTCGTGCAAAGCAGCCCGGATTTAGCAATCTTTTCAAGCGTGTCTTTAAAGGGTCCCTGAACCGATTCAGTTAAAGAGATTCCCTTGTTTCTTTGCAAATCATTGAAGCCAGAAAGGTGGAGCAAATTTGGATCTCACCAATTCACCTGTCCTACAGGTTCTGTGAAGACCAGATGAACCACGCTACGAGCAGAGGAATCACGAAGAGGGCAAATTGTGATCTGTGGAATTAGTTCAATTCCGTTCAGGCTCGGTTGTTGGAACCGTAGGCTAGTGATATTGCAAATTGTGGGTTATTGAGTTGATAGTTCGTGAACGGCGCTATGATCGTGGGTTCTCAGGGGGGAGTCGGGACGCTGGCCCCGCGCGTTGTGGGGATCGACCGGGTATGCTTACTTCAAGCTTAATCGGGAAGTCATCGGAGCTTCGGGCTCGGTCCGAAAGTAGTTGGTAGCTTAGAAGGTCAAGATCAAGAAGACTTATGAAGATGAACTAGCCAAATGTGATTGGCAAACCATTCCGAAGCGATCATATAGACACATATATGGAGAGATGGGAAGTACTTGTCTTTATTATATTGAATATATTCACATCTATGGAACTAGGGAGACTGGTTATATGTACCATGCCTCGTACAAAGAAGCATTAAGTAATCGTTTTTTGCATTTGGTATAGCAGCCCACTCAATACCTCTCTGAATCCCATCTAATCGGCGATATGCCGTCAGATGGGTAAGTAAGTTGGCCAATTCAACATCTCCAAATAGGCATCACAGGATAAGATGCATACCAGATTTTATCATGCTGTAGTCACGCATTTACGGCAAAGATGATCAAGTATTTCGTTCAATTGTCGCCTTGGTAGGAAGTCCGGTCGAAGCAGGCCTCAGAAAACAAATATAAAATAAACTAAAGTTCGTTATCAAGATGAGTTGCGAGCCTAAAGTCAGAGCAGGATGCAACATCAAGCAGTTTGACGCTATCACCAAAAAGTTTGGAGGACAGTCACTATTTTCCTCACGAATCCACCAGACAATAATCAAGACAGGGCATTCAGACGACCAGTAAAATATGAACCATTTTTCTAAAAAGAAATAAAAATAAAAAAAATAAAAAGCCGCTATGCTTTACATCGAGTCTCGAATAAAATTGAGAAACAAGAAGACAAAGGTCGGTTCTATGAAGCACTGACCACTTACACATGGATGCAAAACAATTGATGTAGTCTATTTAAGTAGGAATATAAACGTGTATCAGGTTTTAAAGTGGCATTTTCACGCGTAAAGTTACGTACAACTAGTAGGATATAACCATGTGAGTGTTATAATCAAATTGGAAGGACAGTATAGATGATCTGAATGGGAGTCTATAACTACCATACGTATACTGGTCGGGACTGTTTTTTTTTATTTACCGTTGTACTATTGACCGCTTGTTCATTGTCTCGGTCACAATAGAGCCTACGGTATTGGCTTGAAAAGTCCAACGAATGCGGAAGTGGTACTCTAAGACACAAAGGCCACGCAATGAGGTAGACATTTCCGGGTACTAAGGAATTGCAAATACTCCCTGTTCGTTTTGACGTGCTCTGAAGAACTTTCTTTTGATTTAGTGAAATTTATCATATTTACATTCATTCTGTTCTCCTAGTATCAGCTGGCAAGAAAGTGCCAGCACACGAGCGCAGATATATCAAAATGGCCTTACCATCGGGGCTGAAGCGAATCGAAATTCCTGCGTATCCCCACGTTTTGTATCACGATATACCGACAACAGGTGGACGGCTCCCTTTCTTCGACAATCCTGAAGGCAAGTTGTACCACCCTGTGGCGGCCGATGCAAAGCCACCGACTGCGGCGGAAGTGGTGAACACGTTCGATTACAATGCCCCTCTCATGCCAGTGCCGCATATACCTGCGAATTCCTGTTATCGTAATGCCACACTAGCAGCCCTCTTCAACCTTGCCCCATTTGTCAACTTTCTGGAGAACCATGATCTCCCCCGAGTATTCGTTGAGTTGCGGGAACTATCTGAATCCTTTCGTAATATCCATAGGGACGACCACTTTCCTAGGATGACACTTTATTTCCAAAGAATTGCCACTTTCTGGAACCGTATTGGCACGTTACCCGATGGAAATGACGGACCGTGGCACACTCGTATGAAAGTTCGAGGCCATAGAGTCGATACGACAGACAAGAAAGCGCAGCAAGTGACGAAGGAATATTCGACAGAAGACTGTAACGAACTCGTCATGTGGGTTTTTGAATACTTATCAGAAAAGATGCATGAAAGTGATAGACAGCTTCAGTAGGTTCTCGACTCAATCTAAACGCTCTATCCAAGTTTATCAACTGACAACATATTGAAACAGGCGTAACCTCGTAACAAGATTTTGGAGGTTATTTCAATACAAAATGGTTAGCAGACAATTAATGGACTGCTGTGCCGCGGGCAGAAAAAACAAGCAAAGGGTCAACGAGTTCGCGACACTAGAAGGCACCATTCTCGAAGTTAGCGTCGTAAACATGAATAGTACCTTGGTACCATTGAGCACCGCAATTTCACAGAGAATGTACGACGGTGGTCCCAGCCGACAATACCCCTGTGTGCATTGTGGCGTTGTCAAACAGCGAGCGCGATTTTACAAGATGGTGTACCTGCCCGAAGTCTTGATGGTTGGGGTCAACTACACAGAAGGTCTTCGCACCAACTTACGCAATAGGGCCAATTTTCCAGAGTATCTAGACATGAGTCAGTTTCGGGACGACCCTGATGGGGACGACCTGAGCGCACCGCCAGGTAAGGCGGATTGTTTATACAGGCTTGAGGCTGTGATTGGATTCCCAATGCAGCTTCCCGACCAGAGTGGCCATTATGTATCCTGGGTTCGCCGTAGAGATAACCAGTGGACCCTTTTGGACGACGTTGGGGGCCCCTCGGGCGAGGGACTGGCCATCAATCAGAGTTGGTCCGCTATGAATCGACATGGAAATTTCCGAGCCAGGCTCCTGATGTATGTCAGAAACCGCGACGTTGACCTCAACACGCTCGACGCCAGGGGGCTTCAGATAGTCAGTGTTCCGCCTCAAGTTACGACGGGTAGCATTCCAACGAGAGGTGCGCGGTCTCCTGTTCCGCCCACTAATAGGGATGCAAAGCAAACACCATCAGCTTCTCGAATTCCTCCTACACCACCCCTTTCGATATCGAGATCTCCAAGTGTACAGCCACCTGTCAAGCCACCATCCCCTTTGATTTCTCCAACGGTGCAGTCTTCTGTTCAGCTAGTCCGTCATTCTAGTGGATTTGCAACACAGAACGCTCCTTTCGGCAGCCTTGAAGCACAGCTGCCCACTTTCGGCGTTTCTGGAACGCGGAATCCCCCTTTCGGAGGGTTTGGAACACAAAACCCTGCCATCGGTAATCCTGGAGCACGGAACCCTTTTCACGGCGGCTTTGGGACACAACCCACCTCTGGCGATTATGGAGCACAGCCATCGCCTGCTCTTCCACCGGCGCCAGCAGAGCGTGGAGTGCAGAGCTACATCCGCCCACATGCCTTGGAGCACGACACAACGGTGTGGGCAATGAGGGAAGAGTCCAAGTGGCTGCTTGTCGAGCGCAAGCAGAGGCAAGCTGCAGCCAGAGCCATCGCGCGAGGAAAAGCCACGGAGAGAGCGCAGAGAAACGGTACCGTGACAGCTGCGGCAAGGAAGACCACGAAGGCCAATGAATTGGGTACCACTGGTCCTCAGAGAACTACAACCTCCAATAATGGAGGTAAAACTAAGACTAATAGCACCGTTGATGTGAGTCGTGGCAAGGGTGGTTCTTCCGTTACCCGGAATGCAGGAACGACAAGAGTTGCAAAAGCTACTGTTCAGGCGGCTGCGAAGGCTTCAAAGGATGCAAAGAATGCTCAGCTTGTTGGAAAGTATCGAGCAGAGACGCAAGCCAAGGTGAACAAAGTACAGAACATTGTAGAGAAGAGCAGAAGATGGCAGGCTTTGCATCCAGATATGTCGCAGCAGGCACAGGCCTATGCCGAGTCGAGTCGTCTCTCCATCAGTAAAGGTTCGGGGTCACTTATCAAGAATTCACATGAGAGATCAGGATCCAGATCGAGCGCCTCACCTCGGCCTCCTATCAGAGGTAGTGGGATAGGTGCTGCCGTCTTAAGGGGACCGGTATGGTTAGTCCTCGTGGGCAATACGGGCCATGTCGGTCCCCTTGTTACTTATCGTAAAGATCCCACTCCTACGGGATCCCCTCGTTCGCCTTCACCGCCTAGGGCGCCGTGCTCCATCCATACGGATCCACACGATCCACGAATTCGAAAAGCTGCGCATTGGACTAAGGATAGGTTCGTGCGTGAGTTCAAGTTAGAGGGTATCACCGCACCGAGGGGCAATAAGCCAGCTAAATCATTCTGGCTCGCCAAATTCAAGAAGCACTTCGTCCAGAAGAACCGGGACTACAGCATCTACACCATCGAGAGGCTCAGGGATGCCGCAAGGGAGTGGCAGCTGGAGGCCAGGCCCAGGGCTGGGCACAGGCTGCTTGATCACAAGGCTTACCGGAATAGGCTGAAAAGGGCTGACCGGAACCGTCTCCATGAGTACTCGCAGCACGGTGGACCTGTGTCTGATGACATGCATTATCCGCTGCCTGATGCAGACAGTGATACTGCCTCACCCTCACCGCCGGTAACTGAAAATAGACGGAAATGGTTTTATGATACCGACTCTGACGACGGCTTACCCCCTCCCCGCGGAAGTTCTCATGCTGGCAAAAAGTCGAAAAATCAGCAATCACGAAGTAATGACGAACTAGAGGATGACGCACAAGATGAGAATGGACAAGATGAGTATACACAGGATGACGAGACAGAAGATGAGAACACAAAAGGTGACGGAATAGAGGATGAGACCACACAAGATGAGGAGAAGTAAGTGAAGGAGGTAAACAATGAGGAGCAAGATGAAGATTAAAATGAAGGAGAGAAAGAGGAAGTGAAGGAAGTGAAGTAAGTGGAGGAAGTGGACGTGAAGGAGGTGAAAGATGAAAAGGAAAATGAAGATGAAGAGTAGGAGTAGAAGAACACTAGCTCCCCCAAGACCCAAGAATAGCCTTCGAAGATGCATTAAACCTCATACAGGTTTGGAAGTAAGTTGCTGATACCGCATCGTCATGAGATAACGTACCCACCACCAGTCACTGATCTGAATAGTGTTGGAACAAGTCCTAGCATGTTTGTCGTCGGCAGTAGTCAGAATTTTATCTTCAGAATTTTATCTTTTTGTATTAGCACGAATCTAAATTTATGATGCACATCCGGCTGCAGTAAGACATTTTATGCAATTATCGCTCCTATATGTACAAGTTGTGGATATGGGGTATATGATGTCCCCGGTTAATCCATCCATCGCCCTAACGCCTATCCAGTCTTATGCAAAGGCCCGCATGTCCAAGTCCATTCTGTCAAGACGCTACTTATCTCCTTCATCTGGACACGTCAATTTAGACACCTCCTTTGATTTAATGTTTGTTTCGTTGTCCTCATTCATGGAGCTTTGGCTAGCGAACGAGTCCTGCCATATATACCATAAAGCAAGCGACTGTAGCACACCGTGTTGCTAGCAAGACTCGTATGACCTCAGGTTCTGTTCCAACCATAATAATGTGGTTCTCCATGAACTCCGAGCCATTCCTTGAGCTTGACCTATGGGAGCTTTTTGTGGAACGAGATAAGCCACATGAGAGCAAATGCACCTGTGAACCAGTAGGACGAAGTCTGGAACAACTTGACTGTACTAGGAGCACCTTGGTTCCGGAGAAGCTGGGCAACCACATAGAAGTAGACGGGGGCGCGAAGCCAGCTGAAAACTGTTGACCGGATGCCCTCATCCACTAAACGAGCTTTCAAGGTACCCATACAAGGGTAGTACAGGCCGATAAGAAGCCCGTAAGCGCAAGATAGCCAGAAGGTGCTTCGTTCATTCTTGGCGCGTGCGAGTTGGTAGGAGACGAAGTTGGCACCAGCAAGGATCAGAGACATCAGACGCACAAATCGAATCTTCCTTCTGACTCCAATGATATTGAAACTTAGAGCACCAACCAGAGCGGAGGTCATGATGCAAGCGAAGATGTATGTCGTTGGCAACTCGGTCTTGGTCTTGTGAACCGATTTTAGGAGAGGAAGTGCGGCGAAGGCGAACAAGAATGCCGAGCCCTCGAAAACGGTCGATGAGAGAGTCAGAGCCCAGATATACGGGCGTCTGTAGAAGTCAGATAGAGCGGGCGTGTTGTTCTTCATCTCCAAGTCATCGGTGGTTACGGCGCCGTATGCCTCTCGCTTTAGCAATGTTAGAAACTTAGTCACGGTAGAGTTGGTATTATCTTACCATCTTTGACCACACAGCTTGCATCGCCTGCCACATCACGAGCCAGCTGACAACGAACGGTGCCTTATTGTATCCCGTCGCCCATATCAGGCGATCTCCTAAAACTCCGCAAAGTACGGCAGCAAAGCTGTTGATGACACCCAGAGTTCCGAAAGTGCGGTAGAGATCGCAACCTTGAGTCAGTAGCTTGCGGGTGAAGAAGTCACCCACAATCCAGGAGTCGAGAACAGTGAACATGATAGCCTGTGCAATGCCACCCAAGAAACGCCCGGCAAATAGAGCAGGAACCTCGGGAATCATGGCCAAACAAGCCGCAGCGCCATATGAGCCCGTGAGTACAACATTTGTAGACTTTCGGCCATATCTGTCAGCGAACAAGCCGACAAAAAGTGAGACAACGCCAGCAGTCACGAAGTTCGTCAAAGTGAGTTGAAAGATGAGTTCCTCCGAGAGGCCATAGTCTTTTCGGTATAGGTTGTTGATAAATATTTCCTTGTGATTATTGTCAACTTTGCGAGCCATAACTGTGTTGATTGTGCGCGATTACCTGTAGCCATGCTGATATAGTTATGAAGAAGTAGACCTTGTAGATAGTTTTCTGAGGGTGTTTCTTAGAAAATGGAGGGATCTTGGCATCCGGATCAGCTTTTTTGGCTTTTCCAGCCATTGCCCTCAGCATAGTATGTCGAGTAGGCTGGCTGACGAGGAGCACGCCGCTGAGGGCTGCAAGCCCAACAAAGCTGGCCTTGTACGTATCCATAGTGTCGATTCAAACTTCGGTCTTGAAAGTTCTCCGGACTGAAGCCTGTCTATAGGATGAGCTTGAGGATAGAATTGCGCCATTCCACGGGTTTTATGAGTTTTGTGCTCCGAACCGACTGATTATAGAGATTGCGCTTCACATGCGCTGCATCACATGGCATGTTGCCTGACTCTGGAGCACCTGTCATTTACGGCATAAGTGGCCGGTTTGGGTTACGGTTGCATAGCACATGCTGCAATGAGATGTGACCTGGGTGGGACAGGTCGTAATGGCCACGAAGGTTTGCACTTAGCACGACCTCATCGGCCTTTCATGAGCTCGAGTACGATGTTGCAATCCTGGCGCCATGACGATCGAGAGACACGCGTGGCATTCTTGGCATTTTGAGATAAGCATATTAGAGGCTCGCATCGCATCCTAATGAGGAAAGCCCTAACCTAGATGTATTTCCTAGGATCCATCACTCTGCGGCAAAGAGATACCTGACAGATTAGGGAGGTGGGGCCAGCAGCTCTCGTTACTATGTAAAGATCGGGGGTTTCGGTGGTCGGCCAGGCACAGGGCCTATTGGAGGGGGCACGGCTTCTAGAAATTCCAGCAGTTCTAGCAGGTCCCGTAGCGAGCCAAGACCCATGAAACCAGGCCGGCAATCATACGGGGACCGGGATATAGATTGAGGAAGGCTGGTTCCTGGATTCCATGTGCGCCTCATATTTAATCCGTATGTACAGACTACTAGTAGTCCAAGAATGCCCTTCAAAAGGAGGGTCCGTCGAAGGGGAAACGACAAGGTATTAACTCCAGATCCCTGATGGGTCAAAGATTACAGACTGACAGACCAATGTTTTCCGTAGGCTTAGCCTAACCTAAGGTCAGCTCAATGTACGCCGCACTTTGTCTTCGCATCATCGGACGATCTACAATCTGAAAGGTGATCATTGACCGAGTGCAAGCAATCCTCGTTAAACAAAACATGGATCCCTTTGAAACCTGTTGAATGATGCGGCCACTAACGGGGGAAGTTGTGCGACAACATAAGCCGGGCAAAGGAAACACTTTGCTTGTTTGTTTTTTTGTTGTACTTGGTAAGATGTTCCTGGTGTTCGTACCCCAGACTTTCCATTTCCACGTGCCTGAAACTGCTCGTTGCCGAGACGGTACGTGGGGGAGCCGCTTGGAGATAGATAAGCCAATCAAAGCTCCAAAGAATTATGTTTTACCGCGACTGCACCGAAGCTCAACAGGACATGGCTGCTGCTCAGCGCTGTGAGAGTTCGTGAACAATTAACTGGAGGGAACCAGTTGGCTCCGAGCTGTTCGTATCGAAGACCTGTGCACTCTGGCCGCGATACCTTGACTCGTCTTTACCATGTACTGGGCTACATTACATGTGGATACGCAGCCAATAGGGAGTTATCGTGAAAGGACTCTCGGTGGTCATTGGAGCGTCTATTCACAGCTCTGGTTGAACTTAGTGTTGTGGAGAAGGTCGACTGTGCTAACAACAGGTTAAGCAATTCTTCTTAACCTCAAGACATTACGTACTGTACTGTATGTCAAGTAGTTTCTCACCGTAGCCCAACTCACCGTAGCCCAATTGGATTGATCAGAACCTGTTCCTGTGGTTGTGATATCCTTCTCACGTAACGCTTCTGCAACTAACCTATGAATCACATCCTATTGACAGCTGAACCGAGGCGCACACACACCTTCAATCCCAGTCAGCGAAGGCGTTGAGTTGAGTAAGTCCCTGTTCCCAGTGGCTTCGGCAAGCATCAAATTTAAAATCAAAGTGCGTACATATCGGATTGGAATCGAAACGCCTTTCTGCCATATTGTTCACCTCCAGCAGCGTGTCTACCGATCTTGGACGTGCGAGGTTTTCCTCCTTTTCGACGAGGCATTCGTATCTTCCTCACTGGCGACGCGACTGCTTTGGTTTCGTCCTCGTCCTCGCCCTCGCCATCGCCCTCGCCCTCGCCCTCGCCCTCCACCTGCGCTGTCATCCCGCTGCCTGCTCATTAAACCGCTTTGAGCAAGGAAGCAAGCATGGCCAAAGGAGACAGTGACACCTCAGCTCATGCAGGCCAATCAAACCGTCCACAGCTGCACCCGAGACGTAGCACCGAGCCCTACAGTACCCATGCGAATGAGAGCGACTCACAGGTGAGCGACACTGCGTCGCAAGGTACTGCTCATCAACGCCCCAAGCACCAGAAACACGTTGTCGGCCACGGACGTTTAAGCTCGCGCGTCCCTTCCTCCAAGGCATTGCAGAAATCCCAGCAAGTAACCTCCAATGCAAAGCTCAATACCAATAAACACCACCGCCGACAGCTTTCTTACTCTCCGAGCACCGCTCTCAACAACGCCCTTACTGCTGACCAAGCCGAGCGTCCTCCCATGCTCTCGTCAGCTCACCGTCGCACCACCTCGGACGTGAGGCTGTCGCGCGACGCTTCCGCATCTAATCTTAAGAAGAATACATCGCATACGAGTTTGAAGCACAACAAGTCGCATGTCGAGGTAGCCAAGAAGTCAAAATCCGCCGCCAATATCAAGCGCTCCTCATCCCACAAAGAAGTCAATAAGCTCAAAGCCACAAATAAAACATCGGTTCACTTTGATCTCGGCAATGACGGCCAGGACGATGAGTGGGTAGATGCAAGTGCCTCTGCCTCTCCGTATCTGTCACGCCGGGGATCCGTCATCAGCAGTGGCCAAGGTTCAGCAAAGCAGGAAGCAGAAGAAGAAGACGGAGATTCGCCGTCACAAACACCACCCAAACCGCCAACACAATCACAAACAAAGCAAACATCAAAAGAGACGCCTGAACGCGAGAGGGTCCAGCACAAGGAATATTTAACTTCACGTTTGCTACAGAGGACCCCATCCCACGGCGCACCACCCAAGATGTCCTCCGAGACAGTCCAAGTCCACCCACGCTCCATTTCGCCGGATTCGGCAGTCAGTCGCGTATCTTCTACACTTTATGATTCACCAAAACCAGCAGCGATAGCAAACCCTATCCGAGTTGACAAAGTCGGCACTCCAGGCGACGAGCTCACTTCAAGATTTGTGAGCGGACCTGGCTCAGGAGTGAATCCAGCTACCGGCTCTTTCTTTTCGCCGACTCGAGCGCACACACGTGTGAAGCGACCGCAGTCCCTCGGCAATCTACACCAAGACCATCGCTCCTCAGCAACAGACGATGCCGAAGAAGATGATACAAGCGCACTGGCGCCGAGGACGGGGAGATCTTCGTCGCAATATAAAGCCCCCCCAGCCGATAAGTCACGTACGCAGCAGAAATTGAATCTTCAACGTGCCAGCTCTACTATTGAGCCAGTCCCAGCTGGAGGTGGCGGAGTTGGTGCTGTTGGTGCCAGTCCTTTGCTGGGCGGTGCTGCTTATGACAATCGTGATCCTCGCATTGGAAAGCTCATCGAGCGAACTGGACAAGAGTATCTCGTTGTACGACGTTATCAAAATCCTATCGCAAGATCGATTTCACGATTGCAGCAGCTTCCTGGTGCCAACAAGACGCAGCATATTCCGAAACAAAACGGCGTAAATGGTCTTACACATGGCAAGAAGCCGTCTGAAACAGGAGGCAATAGATATGGGCTCGGTTCAAGCGTGGGAGAAGCACACAGATCACAACCGGCAACACCTAAGCAGCATAACTCGATTAAGACTAACGGTGCAAACTCGAGCTATGAGACTGAAGGCAACACCCCTCATTTAAGCGGGGGAGGCTACGTAGAAGGTGACGATGATGGAGTTGCAGCACTGCTCAGAAACCTCTGGGACAAGAATCTGGATCTTTCAGCAAGTCAAGACTAGGAGGAATATGACTTTGTCGAGAACCACATGCGCGAAGAGGCTGAGCAGGAGCAGGAGCAACGACTTTTGGAGAGACTACTTGCTCCTTCCCAGGAACAGGAGCCGCATGCGTAAAGCACGGGCGACACGGCTAAATCCAACACCAGAGGCCATCATAATGTATCACTAGATCATCAAAAACCAGACACGTGACTGGTCTGGGTCGAGGTGTTGGTTTACAAAACCTGATACTTCGGCGATGCTCAAAAACACAGATTCTAATGTATAAACCAAAGTCACAACTAGGAGGCGGAAGGTTCACATCACACTTGCCACCTGAAGAGCAGACCTTACCTGGCTGCGGACAGGTACAACACAGCTGCATACGTACGAGCGCTGTAAGATTTGAGAACACTAAGCGCAAAGAACGATGGATGCATAATTTTAGTCTAATATGATTTGTTTCGTCTACGTACCGAGTTGGCAACCCAAACCCTGCTTTATTCCTGGATTTTCAGCCGTGTTGAGAATAAGCCGATGTACTGAAGGCTCACATTGTCTAGCTGGTCATTGAGGTAGCGCAACCAGACTCGCAGCACGCTCGCCTTGGGGGTACTCTACCTTATATACCTCCTTTTTGATATGTTTCATCTTTCGTACTTTCGTCTTCTTGGCGGAAAAGAAAAGACAACGGCAAAAATGCTACAAGCATGTTCATGATATGCATGTTGGTCGCTGGAAGTGACAAGTGACCTACCTGCTTAGGCAAGACTTGCCATTGCACTGCAATTCTCGTATGAAGTCTCTGCATAACAATACAAAAGCACACAATCTAGCAATCTAATAGGCTTGAGCTTGGTTCTCGCAATATCGACAATGGTCCTGTATCAGCCAATTTCATTGGGCCGCTTGATATCTACCAAGCCTGCTTCAATGATCCTACCATACTGTCAGCATGTTCATTCTCAGAAAAGGCCAAAGATACAATATACAGGCTTTTCATTGGATGATCGGTGACCGTGTGGCGTCAAAAAATACAGTGGATGGAGAACGAGCATGTGGATGTGGTCTCTACCAGACTATCGGGACCACTAGCTCATGTCAGTCTACCTACATGGGCCACATGTTCGTTGTTCACATTTCGAAGGATTTGACAAAAGGACGAAATGAAGCATTGTCATTCGACGGCTTGATGTTGTGTGGCAACTTGGACGACGCACTCCACTGTCCCCTGAGGCAAGCCAGACTATAGGACAGTGTCAACGGACATATTCCTACTGATATTTTCTCGTGCTACTATACCGCTATCACTATAGACCGGTCGGGACTTAACAATAGCTAGAACATAATAGTAGCAAATAGTGAAGGCCAAGTTGAATGTGTCCTTTTCGTACTGAGAAAACTTGGCATTCCTCTAGGACATTACGTTGTTGCGTGTGAAAAATCAATTCTTCCAGACTGGCAACATCACGATATCGTGGTTCAACGAAGCACATCACTTCCTTGTTGGTTTGCAGAACCTCTCGAACATTCTGAATTTACTCTTCTCAGGACCAGTGTTCCGTTTATGATGTACATGGTTATTATGACTTAAAAATGGCCTTGCCTATGTAGATCAAGGCCGCGACGTAAGATATCTTCACATGACCCGAACTCAAGCCTCCTATCATGGCTGTCAATCCCATGCTGTATCTGAATGTTGTGACAGCATGCTATATCATAGTCCAGCAAACGAAAAGAAGCAGACCAAACGCAAGGGCAAAAGATGTGCCGTGAAGGTCGGCTTTTATATGGCCGTATTGTCGTTCTTTTCTCAATCGTACTTTGGTAATTCTGTCGTTCTTTTCTCAACCGTACTTTTGTAATTCTGTCGTACTTTCTCAACCGTACTTTTGTAATTCGAACAAAGATACCATACTAAAAGCTCTCATTCGCTGGCCCATTCGAATTCTTTGTCAGGAAAATATATCGTGCAGGTACGATACAGCAACAGGGAATATTTATAGAAGGACGTTTCTTATCTCGAATCTGATTGGCTAAGGTGGACAAGCGCATGTCTCGCATCCAACCTGCTGCATTAGAACGTGGAGACTTCACAACAGGCATATCAGAAGTACGCTTCGATTTCTCTGCGGAATAATGCTTGTGTCATTGACGTCTGTTGTTTGTATAATGAAACATGGCCGTTAAGATGTATAATGCTGCAATATGTCCACTGCTCTCCGCAGCGGCTCTTAGGCGGCGATCCTCATTTGCTTTTTAAGATTAACCACCCGGTATGGACGACTATAAATCGAACAAAGCGCCCAATGCGATGCGTTATAGGCGGGCCGATGGGAGCTTCATCACACGTCAAGAATCATTAGAAAATGTCATTCTTTCGGGCCTAGCCACCTCTCACACTGAAGCGGTAGTTCGGCACCAGTCCGAAGCCCGATACAACGTTCACTACAATACCAATGTCCAGAGACTGCAGTACCCAACCGACGACCAAGTAAAGGCCCGTTTGTGAGGGAGGAAGGGAGGCACAGGGCGATCAAACCCGATTTGCCAGAGCCCATGCTTCGGAACCGGAGCTGCCCATGTGAGTGCATCCGTAACAGGTTGTCTTCACTCGCTAAATGTTTGTCCCAGGTGCCAGAACCTGCACAATCACAAAAGCCCCAATTGCCCTCTTATGGTTGGTGAGCAAATTGATCGGAGAATGACGTTGCCCCGCTCAACCCCCCTGCGAAAAGGTCAGATATGATCTGATCGCCAGGGCCCCCGGAGGGGTCACTATATTCTATGGGCCACCTCGCTTCACCGCCATCGATTGGACACAGGAAGCCTTCGCTGTATGGTACTTTGTGCTCTCAGGGAGTCGCTCACAAAAACCAACAGCAGCTTCAGTGCCCATGGACATTCTTATACAGATACATGCGCGGGAATTAGTCCGGGTTTATCGTACATGCGGCCATCAATTCTGACATGCAACGTAGTTTTAGCGCGACACGGTCCTCGATCCGAAATGAGGGGACGAGACCATTTCAAACCATGCTGCGACGACTGGCCAGCAAAATTAAGAAGAACTAAAATGCGCATGACGGCTCACACAGTCAGTATTATTTGGCTACAGCCTGGTTGCAACAAAGTAGGCGTGGCGAAAACACCATGACTGCCATCAAGTGGCATACACCAAACTCCCATTCAACAAGCGCTAGCCTGAGTGCCCCCAGGCTGCGACCTATCGGAACACTATCTATCATGCACGTTGTAATGTCTCTTCCTGCATGGAACTTTCAGGGTAAAACGAGAAAAATTCAGAGAAGTTCCTTTGCGAAGCAGAGAGGGCAAAGAGGCTTTTAAGGAGTACTTTGGATGGACTTTTCCCATGATGTCAGTGGGGACTTCATTTATGCACGGGACGTTGGAGCAAGTCCTCCATCTCGTTCTTGATCGAGAGTGGTCCAAGGCAACCAGGAATCTTGACTAATGGCGAGCGAGATTGCGGCCCGAGGACGTCCCTTACCTCCTCGGAAGGATTGTCAGGCGTGGCAGTAATTCGCGCGCACAGCTGCAGATGTAGCTTCTGGTCACATAAGAATCGTGGGGTGCCCTTTCAAGCCCAAGTTCATCCTGATGTCTGCTTCCACGAAACATGAGGTCCTCGACTCACACATCATTTGTTTGTGGTGATGTACAACCAGATGAGATAGTCCTCCTGAGAATGTATAACTAGAGGGAAATTAGGTCGTTGAGACTTGACTCAACAATCAAACGTTGCTATTTATTTTTTATTTTTTTCCTTTAGGTTGAAATAACGCCGACGACTGTCACTAAACAAGGTCTCTTCATGCAGGGTAATAGTACCCTGTTTTAGTCAACATGCGACGAGACCAGAGCTGTGCATAAAAGCCCAAAACCACAAAGAGGCATGAGCTGTCCATCTTTCCCCAGAAAAGAACTCAATCCATCTGCCGACTAAGCGTTGAGAAAATGCTTGGTTCTCTGGACCTATAGTAAACTTTGTTTTGTATGATCTTGGTGCTACTGCCTACCTAGAGATTGCATTGCTCTATAGTCCCCAAGATGTTTCTAACTCCTTCTGATAGAAAATCTTGTTTTACTCTGATGGTAGTTTATTTTCATTACTCTAGAAATAGGAGTTAGCATTGGCTAGCATGACCGACAAACAGCAAGAGCTGAACCAATAAGCCGATTCGCCGTCAAGACCACTTTGACGCTGAGCAGCGAGTCAATTGTAGGACTATCACTACCAGCAGAGTTGCTTAATATGTTTGATATGCTTAACTCTGGTCTCCCAAGCTATTAATACAAAACATTTACGAAGTTACGCCACCTCGCGCGTTCATTGATATCACTACCATTGGCCATCTTATTCCGTATTGTATTGTTGGATTTTCCTTAAAAATTCATTTTCCAAAAATAAATGAAGAAGGGAAAGATTTCATATTAAATCTAGTGGTTTCTAAGGTCATTACCATATAGAATATCACCCACTAAGAGTTTGTCATATCTTCGGTGAACTTTCGTATGGGCCATTTGCTCTCCGCACCATGCCCTCTCGACGTTGCCAATTGGTGACTTAATAAAGGCGCTCCAAAATTAGCTTTTGGTCGCATTCAATTAGTAACACTGGCCCAGTTCTAAAGTCTTACGCCAAGAAACGCGGCGACCTCTCTCCTGATTTCCCGGGTATACTCCAGCGCTGATCGTCAACTCTATTATTATACACCAGTCTATTGGGTTATCGACCAGCCTGAAGAAGTCTACACTGCAAAGCGGGCCGGCGTAAAAAGCTTCTTTTGCAGCCAGCCTTGTTTAAATGTCGATCAGGTCGGTGAGTACAGAAAGTGCATCACTGGCACCGGGCAATAATGAATTTCTCACCGCGGCGAGTAAGACTTGAAATAGTTGTTGGGGGCGATCTGCAATGTTGTGCAACTCGTTCATATTGCCTTTCGTTGGCATCTCGGAAAGGCTGTGGCCTGTGATGATGAATGAATGTCCAAGCTCTATGATTGAGGCCCGCCCTAAGGCTCGTTGTGGTCAACCAGATCTGACATGCTTGGTTGGAAAACGACGGGCTGTCACGCAACTCTGGGTTTCTATTTGAACGGCTGATAAACATCGACTGTCTCTTGCACCTTCTCTTTCCTCTCTAAGAACACTTTGAGATTTTGTCAAAATGGCTACATATTCGATATCACAAATCTACAAGCTGCTCGCCTTCGCAGTTGGCGTTCAATCCCACCTGCATATCAGCTATCCAGGCCGGCGCGGTGATAGCCTCGTGAGAAACGGAACAGTTGCGGAGACGAACGGCCTCTCGATCGGATTAGAGAATGGAACCGACAGCCCGATATTCCCATACGGCATGCAATGGCAATATCCCTGTGGAGGATTGCCAGTTGGTCAGAATCGGACCTCTTGGCCAATGAGCGGTGGCGCTCTGGCCTTCCAGCCTGGACTACAGGCTGGGCATTCCAAAGCCCTGATATACATAAATCTTGGACTAGGCACGACCCCGGCGAACTACAGCCAAGTCATGGTACCCGTTTTCAATATCGACGGACCTACGAATGCCGAATACCAGGACGGGATATGCTTGGCGAATGTACCGCTTCCGGCCGGCGTAACTGTCAGTCCAGGTGATAATGCCACCATTCAGATTGTGGAAGCAGCGAAGCATGGGGCGGCCTTGTACAGTGTGAGTGGTGTTTCGTACTTGACCGAGATGATGAGATGCTGATACGTCGGAACAGTGTGTTGATATCACCTTCGTTGAAACGTCAGAAGGTGCCCCTCTTAGTAGTGATGGCTGTACCAACTCGTCCTCTATAAGTTTTAGTGCAGTTTCCACGGGCGGTGGCTCAAGGTGGGGATGGTATAGTGCCGGACAGATGATCGGACTCGGTCTTGGAGTCGGTCTTCCGCTCCTGATTGTGGTTTCTCTTCTGTCATATTTCTTGTGGAAAGCAAGGAAAGAGCTGAAAGCTAGTGGCGAAAGGGTGGGCTATGATAAGGTTCGTGCATACATCCAGGAGTGATGTCAAATGATGATCATATAACATTGTAGGTACGGTTCCTAAGTAAATCAAGTAGTAGCCATCGAACACTTTTGTTTCACATAAGCGTCCTTCTTCATTCCGATTACTGAAGAAGCCAGGTAGTCAGTTAGTAAGAAAAATAAAAAGAGGTTGATGACTTGGATGAGCATTCAGTGGAATCCGATATGTAGAAACTGAGAAACCGCGCACCACACCGGAATCCTGTCAATTCAGAGAAATACTCACAATGCTGTGTTAATAACAGTAGATTAAATATGTAGAAAGAAGAGAGTAGAAGCAGGAGGTTAAGAACATTGAGGAGTTGAGGGTGTGCTTACACAGTAATTAAAAATAATCAAACCGCTCCCTCCTTACGTAGTCCATAATGACACAAACCTTTCATATGCACAATAGACCAGGTCGAGAAGCAATACCTGGATACTACCGAACACGATTTTGATACCATCGGTATACATGCTAACGTAGACTTCCATGGCAACAGAGACAGGTAATCGGTGGCTTTTTGTACATCAATTACACTAGAGCGGGAATCGACGAAACCGCGCCATGGTCATCATCAAAAGCAGAACATGCTACAATAAATATTGACTTGATTACGAAACCAGCAGAACCCCGTATGTATATCTTACCGTCTGAAATTCCGTGTTGAATGGCCTACGTGAAATCAAATGAGTTCAGTAATGTTAAGGACAAGGTTAACCTCTTAGTTTAAATACTAGGAAAGATTCAATACCTATAGTCTTGCCACAATGGGTTCTTGTCTGCGGTACAACCCTTTACATACGACCATTTATATATAGCCCAATCAAATAAAACGCCAATATAAAAGCATATCGATAGTCGTTGGTGGGCTTTAGGACGGCATGGATAGTGGCTACAACACAAATGCCGATGGGCATGTTACCTGCTTGTTGTAATTATGAAGGAGGCTCGACAATAACAGAGTGAAGACCAGTCTATTTTACAGTCTGTTTCGATTTATCGGAGAAGGCACTCTGCCTGTTCTGTGTTCATGTCAGTGACTTCCGAAAACCGCGGTTTGAAAAGCATTATATCAGTCCTCAAAAGGCGCAGGTAGTTCAGGCAATGTACATTGGTGCTAAACGCTGCAGCTATCATCTTCATTGAGAGTTACAGCGCCCTATTTTAGACCTCAGTGGTAAAAGCAATTGTATCACATTGACAGGCCACCTGCCATATTTAAAGAAACCGATCCATCAAGCAGAATTCACAGGATTTTTCCGTGTTCGCCCAGGAGATAGAGCACACAGCAGAATTATAATTACTAACAACGAAATACCCTAGAATCTCATGATTTGCGGGCGAGAACAGAAATATGCGAAGTAACACAAACGTTGCCACGTTCCATATAGGTTTGGGTCCTTGACGGTGTCATCGGCCACTTCGTTTGTCCATCGTCATCGAAAATAGTCAATATCATGCACTTCAGCAACGCCAAGGAACATGTATAGTTTCCTGCCGTTGTCCGGAATCTTAATGTGTTAATCGGTGGTATAGGGTTCAATTATTTAAGAAAGCTCATGTGGCAGTCCTTGGTCACATCATTGAAACATGTGAGAAGTAGATCGAAGAGGTAACGAAGAACCATATAGAACCTCTGATAATCATGCAAATACCATAGTGATTATCGGCGAAGGATTATGACAATATATTTTTCTTCTTTTATAGACTAATAATGGGTTGAGAGGTTCAATAGGACAATTAGGTGAACAGGGTAGAGTCGAACGGAAAGTAACGATATGAATCCACAGAGTAACGTGTATCAACTGAAACAATATACAGAACAAGGTATGACGGCACAGAAAGTTATGTGGATTACACAGAACATTGGTATAAGAGTGGCGCGCATTAAAACTTCACGGATGTTGTAGCTGATTCTGAATGGCTCTCACTAACATGATACGGAACAACCACCTTAGAACCACTGAAATCGGTAAGTGCTTTAAACAAAGCCTCAGTGGTATAATATGGGATAAGATGGGGCAACATAATTAGAGTAGTTGTTATCAAATATATGCGAATTTTGTGAATTTCTGTATAGAAAGTTTGGCAGACCCCCAGACGGCTCTATCTATGAGCCTAAGTAGTCGTACGTTCGTACTATTAGATGTACTCATATAACTAATGACCGACGCCTCCTTCTTGTATGTAATACGGTGTAAGTTTGTGCGGCATCTGTTTTCTTTGGTTTGTTTCTTGCGATGTTTTCATCAGGGCCTTATGAGCGGTAAGCAACTTCGCTTGAGCAAAGCTTGGCGCAAAAACATCAATGCAGTTGTAGGTATGCATACACCAAAACACGCTCAACGTTGCAATGCAGGTGCGAAACTGCTGTTTCTACAACGTGACGCATTATCTGGTACTTCGTAAAAAAGCCAAGAAGTTGAAATAGGACTGTTTGGCGTCGCGAGCCAGCCCACATATTTGTCCAGGACTTCTGCGCCTCCACAGCACGTAAGATGCGGTTTGACGCATCCTAGGGCATATGGATGAGAGTCGCTCATAAGAACCGCGACCGGAGCGGCCTCAGAGGCAGTTTGTTCTTTAGTATTCGTATCATGACGTAGGGTTTTGTTAATACATGTTCATTCGTGTTACTGATTTCACCATTTTGTAACAACTCGATGGGGAAACATTATTGAGGTTTTACCTTACAAGCATCACATCTGCTTAAAGCATGAAGACCCACTGAAGTGTTCTTGCCACAGAACACTGGAATGAGTAACTTGAATAAGAGACGTTTTCGTATCCTCAACGTGTGCCTCCAGAACCTCATGGTCTCGTACAGGCCGGTGCGGTGGACCAGGTGTGAATGTGTTTTGTTTATTATCTTGGCGTTGCGTCGTATCGTATCGCATTACATGCTGGTATGCACGTTGTCTGCCGACTTGCCTTTTTCTTGAGCCTGAACCATTCCGCCGGTGCCAAGCAGTGGGTGTCCAACAACAGCTCGTTATTTCACCTGCAACCTGAAAGTCTTTTTTTCCTGCAAAATTTAAGCATCATGGGACCAACCGAGAAGGCTGCAAGAACGGCATCGTGTTCGCTAAATAAGGTATGTGGTAGCATGTGCCACCCTCTTGCCCTGGCGCAGACCAAGACAGAATCAGCGCGGGGATCGTGGGGGGTCGCTTACATGGGTTACATTTTCGTCTTGGCCGCTGCACTGGTGGAACGATGCTGGCTCTAGGATAGTCATTATCAAATCGACGCAAATTCAGGCTCAGTAAATGCCAAGATAATGTGTCACGAATGATGTGCTGGATACTGCAATGGGCCTCACCTCATAGTTGCTGTACTTTTGCGTGAAGGATCGGGATATTCTGTCCCGCAACACCTGCGAAGAACCGATCGCGGCGGATAGCATTTGGACCCTGAAATGAGTGAATGGGGCCCATAGTAATATCCATTCCCGACCTGCTGTATTCTGCCAAAACACCAAGGCACCATTACTAATATTGAGGGTCCTGTTCGTGGAGTCGATGACCTCGGGAAGCCATTTGTCGGGCCTGTCGCGACATGCTGCGGCTTCGCGACCGTACTGGAGCTGTGTTTCCGGCGCCCTGGTTGCTGGTGGGCACCTCCAATGCCATCTCCTCCCCACATGGTTAATATTTATAGTGAGTTGCGGTCCAGTATCGGAGAAGAAATGACGGCATTGTCACAATCTCGAAGTCTGTCATGGTGGATATGTTTCACGGGATATCCAGCTCAGGAACCGCTACCCGATGAATGGAGCTGGCCAAAGGAAGCAAAGCATAACCGTCTTCCGATAACCAAAACGTATTTCTCAACGTCAGCGTCTTTCCATATTCCCTGCATGACTCGGCGTGGTTGGTGCCATTACGTTAGAGGTATTCGGCGGCCTAACCAAATCGCGAATTCTATTTGGTAATGGGAGCAACTCTCGAGTCTTATTCGCAACGACCGCTCCACAACTCGCATAATTTCTCGAGTATCCGGTACGAGCTGGTTACTTGTGTCATATAAAGTACTAGTTATTTGGAAATTATCGTGACTCCGCGCCCGCCGCTCATTGGCAAGATAGAAGATGGAGAAAACAAATCGCAGTTTGTCAGAGATGCTCGTCGGGAAACTCGTCACGTATCTGTGTCTTTAGCGAACCGCTAGGTCGGTAGGCGGAGCCGGCAATTAAGGTCGAGGCTGTCCCCCACAAAACGGGCAGTCAATCGAAAGGCCCGATGGATTGGCAGCACGCACGCTGGTCACTAAATTCGGGTGTCTCCTGGAAGTACCGTGGACTTGCAAAGAGCCTCCATCTCGCATGCTGACATGTGTCTGTAAACCTTCAGCTAATCCATGGAATTCTTACGATTATTTATATTGTCATTTGACAAAAGATAAGATGCGCATCTCTTATCAGCGCCTTTGCCGTAATTCGCCGGCCTGGCCTGGCTTGGCTCTTAGTGATAGTCTCAAGTATGCGCAAGAAATGAGGTATGCCATAGTTTTTGTCCCATACTGACGTGCCGTGTCTGTCTCTTTGCCATTTCCTGTGATCATCGCGTTCACCCAATCTTTAAGTAAGCGCCTGGTGACCTATCAACGGAGGTGCTGACCGACCGCCCGATGCATGCTGGTTCCAGAATACTAGCTCAACATATCCAGGCTTCTCGATACTTGCAGCACATCGCCCACGTTTGGAACGTTCGCTCTATCACCTAGGTTAGAGGTTCGTTTGTCAATCCTTGCACTTTTCGTAAGGTAAACGCGCATGCTTTTGCTCGGCGATCCGAGTCAAGTTATCTATCGCGTGGCTGCATGGACCACAACTCTGAATTGGCAAGCTCTCCAGAGGCCCTGGGCTATCCCTGACTGCGTCACATCCCCAGAACACCGTCTTCATTAAGCTTCCCGCTTGGCTACTGGCAGTCAATACAACGGACTTGTCCGACCACTTTGTCTGCATACAATTCCCTATCAACTCTCCTTCCCCCATTTCACCAATCTGTGGAATTGTTCATTTTGCGTTTCCGATTGAGTAACGGTGCTCCAATGACGCGGATAAGCATATCTTATCTCATCCTTGCCTCAGTCATCACCTAAAGTCAAAGCTGCTGGACCCGGGGTTACGTATCAATTTGAATGCTAGATCCAGATCAATTGGCTTCCCGACACCTGCCCGCCCATTTATTCAACGGGGGACTCATTTCTACATTTCCCGGACCCACGTTTGCCGTATGCAGGCGAGGCTCGTCAGCGCGACAGCTGGGCATATCTATCGGGTACTATCCTGGATTTATAGTCTAATAACAACTACACCTTGGTTCCTGTTTCGATAAGGAATCTCGTGACACCCGTTGGTTATTGAAATAGGACGATCTGGTTGGCTGCCGCTCAACCCCGTCATCCACCAGTTAGACCCTTATCTCTTGGAACCTCTTATCAGCCTTATATTAGGAGATTCCGGAGTTCATCGGATCAGCGGCCATTCACGCATACCCGTCCATCTCAAAGCGGTGGATCTTACCTTGTTCTAGCTGGGTCGACGACTCTGCCCGGCCATACAGAGGTGGAAGATATCCTTGACCGTGGGGTATAGTTCCAACGGGCTGCAACTGACGCACTGAGCGCTCTCTACGACCGCAGAGAGTCTTGCCGTCTTCTGCCAGATAAACAGGGACCGAAGACAGGGTAGGCGCCGGCCGCCCACGTTTAAACATGGCTACGCCTAGTGCTGTTCCAAGAACAGCTCCTATCGCTATTGCCCCCAAACCATCACATTTCAACCCCAGTAGTCGTCACGGCACACCTGGACTACATCACGACGCATATGCAGGTGGTATGAACGGCCATGATTCCGCGGACTCGGACACTCCCTCAAGTGGGAGTGCAGTATGTAATTTCTGTACACGTCGGAGGATCAAATGCGTCATGAGCGAGGACGATGACAGTGGCGCCTGCGTCTCGTGCCAGGCCAATGGAATTGATTGTTCATTAGATCAAAGTCCTCAGCCTCGAAAGAGGAAATTAGCGCGTGACTTCGCCGACGACAGTGTGCTACGAGGGTAAGTTATAATACATATCAGACGTCTCGACCCCCCAATCTTCTTCAACGAACTGCCGGATATTGGCTAGACCCCATGCAAAGGCGGCGCTGAATCCTAGTTGTCCATCGCTAACACATTATTGGTTGAACAGCTCACCTGGTCGGCAAGATAACAGAAGATTTCGGCAAGATACCTTCAGTGTTTCTAGCACAGCTGCCAGCAGTTCTTTAATTGAGGAAATGGCAAATTTCGGAGGGCCAACCCTGCTGAAGAGGACATTAGGGCTTCAAAATGAGCGCTACAGCCAGTACATTGGGCCAACGACAGATTTCGAGCCTTCTCTTATCAATTTATCACCCTTCGACAACCATGATGAGAGCTTACTGGCCCGCGGGACACTCCGTAAAGTCAGCGACAACGACACGTTCTTACTGCTCCCTGACAGCCAGACGGAGCGATATGAGTACCAGATTGTGGACGCTGATGAAATCGAGAACCTCGTTGCGCCACACGGCCGGAAACTGATTGATCTCTATTTTGACGTTATACACCCAGCTTTCCCAATCATTCAGAAAGAGGTCTTCCTCGAGAAGTATGAACGTTCTTACCGTGAATTTTCACCACCATTACTGGCCGCCGTTTACATTCTCTCGATCAACTGGTGGGACCAATCGGAGGAGCTCTCGTTGCATCCTCGCCCAGACCTGAAAGCTTTAGAGAGGATAATGAAATCGTCGTTGGTTGATGCTATGTGGAGACCGAAGCTCTCGACAATTCAAGCCGGACTCCTTCTATCGCAAATACCTGACGGCGACCAATGGGCACCAACGGCTCAGCTTGTGGCCATTGCTCAAGAACTGGGCCTCCATCTCGACTGCACGCATTGGAAGATTCCGCTCTGGGAGAAGGGCTTGAGGAAACGACTTGCCTGGGCATTGTACATGCAGGATAAGTGGGGTGCTTTGGTCCATGGGCGGCCCTCTCACATCTTCCAAACGAATTGGGTAGTGCAGCCCTTGCTTCCTGGCGACTTCCCGGAAGTCGATTATGACGAGGAGAACGCCGATGAAAGGCTCGACATCGAGCGCGGTCGAACTTTGTTCGTACAAATGATATACCTATCCCAGATCCTTGCCGAGATCCAGGATACCTTTTACACATTGCAAGCAATGCAGAATGTGACAAATGCCGGTCCTCAAGGTATACACTTGGTCTTGTCGCTTGCAAAGCCGATACAGTTGAAGCTGAAAGAGTGGTATTCGTCGATACCGGCGGTCATCCGAATGGACAACTCGCTATCATCAATGGTATCTGGGCGGCTATCAAGTATCGGCTATCTCCATTTGGCATATTATGCAACAGAGATTACGTTGCATCGGCGGATTATCCGCTCGCTCGCTGCCGACGAGACAGCTGTAGACTTCTACCTGATGCAAATCTGTCGCAGTGCCGCTAAGGCGCGACTGATCTCCGCTATGGATTTTGTCAATCGGTTGACTCCCAATCACTTAAGCGCATTCTGGTATTTTGCTTCAAAGACCAACTTCGCACTGATCGGTACATTCGGCTCTCTGCTCTGGGCAACGTCGCCTGGGCGAGAGGAAGCAGACTGGTATCGGCGACGACTGGCAGAATACCGTTGGACGCTTAGTGTGAGCTTCAAACCCGGCGAAGGTAAAGGCCTTACAGCGTTCGCGATGGGTATGCTCGACATATCAACCGGCCTCCTGAAAAAGCTACCCGAGAAGCCAGAACTGAGTCGAAGTGGAAGCACGGCCGAGATGGAAGCTGCTGGGCGTAGGCAAAGCCTGCTTTCAATGAGTATGAGTTCGATACCAACGGAATTTCAGTTTCAGAGCGGCATGCATAGTGCGGATATCAGTGGAGCTGTGAGCCCAGGAAGTGTAAGCGACAGCAGCGACGAGATGTACGACAACTTTGCGCCAACGAGTGGTATAGCATCCATGCGTGGCTAATTCATATCAAGTCACTTGAGAAACGTGGTCGCCGAGTACTGGTTATAGTTGCGGAAACGCGGCTTTCACTGAGCGTGCGTTAGGATTTATGCTGGGGGATGATCCTATTACGCAATAGCCCCCCGGGCCATGACGAGCTATTGGCGTGCTCTGGCACCATCCAACCGCAGTTCGTTGTCAATTGGCACCTTGCTTTTTGCTTTTTCTATTTGTCACGAATACCCCCATTTCTAGAGAGTATTTCCCGTCACAGCGGTCTTCTTTCGTAACATCATATCGACGGTTTTTGGAATCATGTTGAGAACCATTGGTTACACAAAAGGATCTGGGTGCGCTTTGCATGATGAGGAAATGGTAGATGATGGTAGATTGTCATGAAATGACCAATGATGAATTTGATGCCTTACGATATAAACCGCTATCTTTTAAATTGTGAACTTGATTTGATCTGTCAAGTCCCTTTGAAACGTACAAACTAATCTATTTTGTTCTTTTTTTTCCCCTATCAGATGGTGACGGTATACTACGACAACAGCATATATCGGAGATCCCGTACCAGTTACCAGCTGAACGCTGCCTATATGAACCACATCACTTTGATAACATAACAGATAGAGAAGTACAGAAACGACTTTTGAATTCGAGTTCGGAGCAACACAAGTCACCAACTGCATAAAATAAATATAAATACGCGTGCACTGATCAACTTCCTGCCAATATGTGCCTCTGCTGTACTGGGGATTTTCGTACCATTACATGAGAAAGAGGAGAAAGTAGCTAGAACAAAGGCAAGTGATCAGTTACGCATGCGCCATCAAAATGATTGAAGACCGACGATATGGCATGCCGAAGCAGATACACATCTGCGTTTCAGCCGACGGCGCGGGAGCTGCTTCCAGCCTCGCAGCACTCTGTCTGAGCTGGACGTTATCAACCTCTAGCTGCTTAACAAGCTTAGCAAGGTCCCGGAAATCTCCAGCAAAAAGCGTGTCGGCGTGCTGCTTGTTGTCGTCTTCTAGGTTCTTCACACGCTGGTGTAAAATCTGGAAGCTCTCCAGGAGGACCTTCTCGACGGCCGATACGACAGCGGCGTCCGGCCGGACCACGGGCTTCGCGGAACGGGTTGAGTGCGACTTTTATGACAACCTCAACGGGTTAGAGTCTCGAACGCAAGTATAGTCAAGCTGGACAAGCTGTTGCGGGTCGTCTACGTGGCTTGGGCATCAGGACTGGATTCCATATGTGTATATCAAGGTTCATTTGGCCATTGGAACAATGAATTGTACAGAAAAGCACTCTACTTGGGCGAAACTTTCAGGGTCCTCAAGAACCGTTGCATTCGCCTACCTGGGAGACGCGTTCTGAAGTATGTTGTATACAATAATCGCAGCATGGAGTCGTTGTACTTGGGAGGTTTGCCGTCTATCTCTCCATCTTTGGATAATTGAGAGGGTCTGTGTGTTAGATATCATACTACATAGCATATGCGCAATTTGTTCTCCAGTGATATTGCCATAAGGATGACAACCAGCGGCTTATTTCCACCATTTGTTACCACTGTTGGGATCTCCTTTCCTTTCTGCTTCTAGCATGGCATCGAACTCCTTCTGCGCCTGGCTCCTGGCGTAGTCTTTAGCCTCATCCGCCTCGTTGTAGCTATAGCTTTCGCTTGGTGGCGTCCTGTCGCGGTCTCTGTCTGTGGGCGCTGAGTCTTGCCGTAAACGGCCCCACGTCGTGTCTTGACTCGATCGATTTCCTTTTGCAGGTGGAGCCGCATCAGACTTGGCCTGCTGTCTCACTCTATCCCATGCAGAAGCTCTGGAAGCACTTGGTGATTGTGCCTGAGATTGTGCTGCTTCCTCCGCACGTCTGGCGGCTGCGGAGACGGGGGATGCGTCGTCTTCAAAGAGTTCAGAATCACCCCAAGAACTTGATTGCTCAGATTGCCTCGGCTGATCCTGAGATACTGCTCCGCCCCAGCTGGACGTTTGTGATGTAGGGGATGTTTGTCTGCCAAAGATGCCACCTCGTCCGGGAGATGACTGGTCAGTTTGGGAGACCGACTGTGACTGCTCGCTAGAACCCCACGACACTGGTTCTTGTGCATCCTGCTGCTCTTCTGGCACACGTCCCTGGCGAGCCATCCGACTCACCTCCTCAGGTAGAGGTGGAGGGAGACCAACCCTGCGGTAGCTATCGTCTCTTCGCTGGGCGTCGGACTGCTCGACGGGCTGGCCTGATGATCCTTGGTGCCCGGGCTGAGACTGCGGCGTCCTTCTTGTCGGCCGGTTGGGGGCAATTTTGTGCATGATGGCATCGTTAACTCGAGCCATTCTCCGATCGGAAAACATGTCGGCGGCCAAGCTCATCCTGATCACAGAGGAGTAGAAGAGAGTTGTAGCGAGTTTAATCAGAGGATAATATGCCATAAACCTGAAGGCATGCCATGCGTAAGTTGCAGAAGGCCCTTTGATGAAAGCCCAGCGCTTAGTAGGGAAGGACTGAGAGTTAAACCAAGAATCGGTCGGGGTGTAGAAGGGAAACCTGAACTTGTCCCGGCCTTGATAGACAGCTGCAGCGGTGAGGACCGTGGCCATTGGCGAAGCCCAAGCGCCACGGTTGTAATTCTTGGCGCAAGATTCGGATATGGCATCGATCTCTGCCTGTGTCAATTTGAGATTGGATTCGACGGCAAGCCTGACTGCATTTGTGACAACGAAGCCAGTCCGCTTTCTCATATCCATGCCAACGATAGGAGCCCAGCTCTGCAAAGGAGCGAGGTTCTCAAAGTGGATCGTTGCACCATCCTCGAAGCATCTGGTCTCGATTGCAGTTTGCTTACGTGGATCACCCGTAGGCCATTGTGATCGTGGTGCTGCTGTTTCCGGGAGGTCCTGGAGGACGTTTTTCACAGCGGCCTCGAGATCCGTCCTGTTCATATTTCGCTGACAGAGTAGACCTCACGAGACAATGGAATCAGTGTTGGAGCAAGTTGGGTCGGATCGGATCAACAGCAGACGACGGCAAAATTGGCTGAGCTGCACGCACGAGTGAGGTCTGCGTTGGGTTGTGGAGCTGGAGCTTATGATAAGTGGATGACGGTGACGATGCCGGTTTGGAGTCTTGCTGCAAGTGCTTGAACCGAAGGCCCAAGCTCCCTGCGACTACCTGTGAGCGTGCTCCGTACTCCGTAGCTGCCCGCCAATCCTGCAGCCACAGGGCGTTTTCGATCCTCTCGCCCCTTGCAGCAGCTGGTAATTTCTCTCCTTGGCGGGGTAGCGACGCGGTTAGCTCCAGCTCCAGTCTTCAATCTTGCATTGAGACGTGTTGATTGAACCTGAGTTGACATTGGGGACGCGACGCGTCTGAGGTCCAAAAAGGTCCAGTCATCTAACCTAGCTAACCAACCCTACGGATTCCCGTCCCTCTTACGGGTCCTTGAAGCATTGAACAACTTGATGGACCCTTTTTTGCGTAGGTTAGTCAATTGATCCTGGCTATTCACTTAGTCACTCACTCAACACGGACTCATCTGTGGACTGACAGCCTTCAAGTATCTTTTGGTTAATCACTGTAACGTGCTGTCGTTGCCATTTCGGACCCTTTTTGGGGGGGTCTTCTCTCGCTCTTCTTCTTCTTCTTCTTCTTCTTCTTCTTCTTCTTCTTCTTCTTCTTCTTCTTCTTCTTCTTCTTCTTCTTCTTCTTCTTCTTCTTCTTCTTCTTCTTCTTCTTCTTCTTCTTCTTCTTCTTCTTCTTCTTCTTCCCTTCTCTTGGGATCCAGGCGCTGTACGGCACAAGCGTGATGGGTCAAAACACGGAATCGCAATCCAGGTAGCAACATGCCTCTTCAAAAGTCTTTCTCAGAGCAGCACGCCTCAGCGAGAAGCAAGCAATCATGGCACCGGTCCAAAACGTATTCAGCCGCGCCTGACACGACACCAACGACAGCGCCAAAGCCTCTCCAGCCCGTCTCTGAAGCGAGCAGGAACAAGCTCCATGCTTTCGAGTTTCAAGCGCCTGTCGAACCTGACAACCACGGCACCTCCGCGACTATAATCGAAGAAACGACCCAAGGCGACCCGGAAAAGAGAATTGACGGTTTGACCAGATCACAAGATCACACAGTCGCGGAGAGGGCAGCAATCACACCACACAGCAAGCTAGTATGGCAGGAGCTGGTTGGTGACACCGAAGAGAAGGAGGAGGAGGAGGACACAAGCCCAAATGAACGTATCCTATGGGAGTCCAAACGCGCCGAAGGTGTCCCCAATCTATCACCCATGATCACACGCAGGAGGGGCAAGAAGAGGGCCCGCAGCTCATCCCCGACTTCCTCCCCGTCGAGCTATTCGAAACCGGCTACGCCCGCCGTAAATGTCAAGAAATTGACACAGGCACTCAAGTCAGCACACGCCGATCCCGCTATCGACTTGTGGGATCGCTTTGCCTTGAGCGGATCGACGAACATAACACCTCGTGGAGGTGCTAACCCTGCTCTGGCCCAGATCATGGTATCCTCCTCACCGCAGCCCTCCAAGACACTCCCCCCGGGTGGCAAAGGTTCGGCAACACCAAACAGTCTGCGTAGGGCCATAAGTTGTGGCGTCAATTGGCCAAAACGGCGCAGGACAGAACGCGGAGAATACATTGGCCAACCTCGCACTGCCATGGACGAGAGCCCCAGCCACGGCACCAAGACCTCTATGGTCAATGCCCTGCTGGACAGCGTCAATGGTGAACTCAACCGTTCAAAAGCCATTCAGACCAGACATGATGCGCTGAAGTCTCCATCGCCCAAGAAGAGAGGTCAGCAACATCAGACTTCAGTCAATGCTGCTAATAGGATATCTCCACCGCCGCGGCCGCCGCCACCACTCTTCAGGTCTCCGCCAAGAGCTGCCGCAACGGGAACAGGAGCTGATCTTGTACGAACTGCCGCCAGAGAGGACTTATCCGATTATGGCGACGTTGATTTTGACGATGACGATTTTGACGAGGATACACTTATGGTTTTGGAAGCCAGTTTGGTGCCCGGTGATGAAGAAACGATATCTGCAACTCTTTCGCCTGACACAGGGCCTAAAGCACATCCAAGAACCATGCCCACCCCACCCCAGATATCAGAAGAAGACGATGATGAATTTGGGGGCATGGATGATGACGTGTTTGCTGCCGCCGAGGATCTAATAGCCGAGATAGACTCAAGTCGTACGTCTCATATTACACCTGGTAACACTACGGATAGCCCTGCAGTAGTGCGTCATATGGGAACAAACAGTCGAAGGCAGGACGCTGGAGAAGATGCATATGATGATGATGACTTTGGAGATGATTTTGATTTCGAAGCCGCCGAGGTGTCGGCTACACAGGCAGCTAAGCATATGGGCAGCGTTGGCGGATCGGTACCATCCGTACGTAGGTGACATAGCTTAGCATTGAACACTTTGCTAAAATAAAATGTAGGAAACACACAAGCCCAAGGCAATTCAGCGATACTTGGTGACTAAGGTTGTCGAAACGAGCTTCACAAACGATTGTGGTCGGCCTGTCGCAGAAAAAGTCAGTAATACATAAACTAAAGCCCTTGTCCAAACTATGCTTACAAGTCTTAGATCTTATTTGTCCAAGTCGACCGAAGTAACCTGATGAAGACAATTCATCTTCGCGGCGACTGGATTGATACTTCTGTCAATGCGAAAGCGTTTGTGCATGTCATTGGAAGATTTGAGCCCAGTGGACAATGCATTATCGACAACAATCAGAATATCCTCATACTGCACCCTGATCAACTAATTTCTGCCACTGTGGTAGCAGATAGTTTTACATGCATGCGACGAGCTGTTCTTCAGGATCGCGTGAAGGCGACTAGTGAGGCCTCGGCACCTCTGGTCTATGGAACACTCTTACATGAGATTTTTCAAGAGGCCATGATGTCCAATGAATGGAGCAATCCATTTCTTGACGCGTTAATCGTAAAGATAACTGCAAAGCATGTCGAGGATCTGTACAAGATCAAGGTTTCCATGAGTGATGCGCGCGAGCACCTCCGCTCGAAATTGACCGAGATGAGACATTGGGCTGCCGCTTTTGTTTCCGAGAAGCCTAAGGTATGCACCGACCCCAAATGGTAGTTGAAACAAGTTGACTAACTTGATGCATAGCCGGATGCCATAGTCCAAGAGCGCAACGGTGCCAAGGGTACCATGTGTGTCAGCAAGCTGCTCGACGTCGAGGAGCACGTGTGGTCCCCTATGTACGGGCTAAAGGGCAATATTGATGCGACGGTCCAGGTCACCATGAAAGATGGCTCAAAACAACGCACCCTGACCGTCCCTTTCGAAGTCAAAACTGGAAAAAATGCGACGACAAACCATCAAGCACAAACATCCCTCTACAATCTACTGATGGCTGATCGATATGATATTGAGATCGCATATGGCATACTGTATTATACGGAAAGCTCGAACACGATACGCATACCTACAATCCGCCAGGAACTGCGCCATTTGATCATGCAGCGCAATGAGTTGGCTTGTTATGTTCGAGAAAGAAGCGTGCAGCTCCCTCCAATGAAGCAGAGCATCAATACCTGTGGCAACTGCTATGCCAAGTCCTCATGCTTCATTTACCATAAACTCGCAGACAATGGTGATGCGGAAACAAGCGGTGTAAAGAACAAATTCGATGAGGTTGTCAAGCATTTGACACAGACGCATCAGGAATTTTTCCTGAAGTGGGAAGATCTACTAACCAAAGAAGAGAAGGAAAGCCAAAAGCTGCGGCGAGAACTTTGGACCATGCTGAGTTCAGAGCGAGAGAAAGTCGGCAGATGCTTTGCAAATGTCATGATAGAAGAAGGGTCTGCTCAGGAACAGAAGGACAGCCCTAAGATCAACCGTTACCAATACACTTTCATCAAGGATACGCCAGCGCCGGGCTTCTCGTTCCTGGATTCCCAACTTGTGGTTGGGGAGCCTATAGTTGTGTCAGACGAGCAAGGCCATTTTGCCTTGGCGCTAGGCTATGTAACGGTCGTGCGAAAGCAGAGAATCAGTGTTGCCGTAGACCGAAGATTGCATAATGCTCGCATACGGCAGCCCGGGTTTGATGAGAAAGACAACCAGGTCTTCGCCAGCATCATGGAAGTCGTGCCTGAGGGCGCAACGCCTGCACTTTCACAAGGCATGATCAGGAAATCGCCGATTAGGTATAGACTGGACAAGGACGAGTTCAGCAATGGTATGGCAACCGTCCGCAACAACTTGGTCCAAATTATGGCCAACGATGTTTTCGGATCACGAGAAATTCGTCGCTTGGTAGTCGATCTTGCTCCTCCAACATTCAAGGCTGTCTCCACACAGTACACCATCAAGGATCACGGAAGCCTCAACGTCGACCAAAAGCGAGCAATTTCTAAGGTGATGAGCGCCAAAGATTATGCTCTTGTACTTGGCATGCCAGGCACCGGCAAGACAACCACCATCGCGCACATCATCAGAGCTTTGGTCTTGCAGAAGAAGAGTGTGCTTCTCACTTCTTACACGCACTCGGCCGTTGACAATATTCTCTTGAAACTGAAAAAGGATAAAATGCCGATACTTCGTCTTGGAGCACCCGCCAAGGTACATCCTGAAGTGCAGGATTTCGCCATCCTAGCAAGTCAGCGTATGGACACTTTCGAAGAAATACACAACGCGTGGCACAACACTCCTATTGTCGCAACAACCTGTCTAGGTGTCAGCCATCCAGTCTTCAACGAACGAACTTTCGACTACTGCATCGTTGATGAAGCGTCGCAAATCACCTTGCCGATCTGCCTGGGTCCAATTCGGCTTGCGAAGACTTTCGTGCTCGTCGGAGACCATAATCAGCTTCCTCCTTTGGTGCAAAATGAGGAAGCCAGGGTTGGAGGGCTGGATATCAGTCTATTCAAGCTTCTCTCTGATACACATCCTGATTCGGTTGTCAATCTCGAGCATCAGTATCGCATGTGCGAGGATGTGATGGCTCTGAGCAATACGCTTATCTACAATGGCCGTCTCAAGTGCGGCACGCAAGAGCTCCGACGCCGCAAACTTGCAGTTCCCGACATGGATGCCTTGCGACACAAACATTTTGATGCCTCGGGGCTGGCGCATCCCGCTGCTCCACGTTCATTTTGTGCCGACTGGACGAGTTCTTCATGCTGGTTGCGGTCTTTGATTGATCCCGAGGCTCGCGTGCGCTTCATCAACACAGATTTTCTTCCGGACTCCCGTGAAGAAGCTAAGGGAAATCGCACGGTCAACCCAACGGAGGCTCACATCGTAACGCAACTTGTTGACGGCCTTCTGGCTGTAGGGGTGCCGGCTTCCGAGATTGGCGTGATGACCCATTACCGCAGCCAGCTTTCGTTACTAAAGCATAATCTGCGCTCGCGCAGCTCTAATATTGAGCTTCATACCGCAGACAGGTTTCAAGGGCGTGACAAAGAGGTCGTTGTTCTTTCGTTGGTGAGATCCAATGAACAGCACAGCATTGGTGACCTACTCAAAGATTGGAGGAGAATAAATGTTGCCTTCACGCGTGCTAAGACGAAGCTACTGGTTGTGGGAAGCAAGGATACGTTACGCAACTGTGGTGATAGTGAGATGGTGAGTAGATTTGTGAGACTCATGGAAGAGAAAGACTGGATATATGATTTACCACCTGATGCGCTCGAGAGCCATTGGTTTGAGGATGACCAAACACAGATGACCGCTCCTGCAGGTAGAATAAGGACGGAAGGGAGCCATATGCCAAGCTCTCGGTCTCCTATAAAGATAGGCGCAAAACGAAGCCCGGTGAAGGGACGTGTCGGACCTGGTACTGGGAAGGAGAACATCAGACCGATGCCTCTGAAGAAAGCTAAGGTCACCGAGAAGGCATTGTTGAAGGGGAAGCCAATCTTGACGGATATATTTAACGATATAAGAGGCAGTGCTAGGTATTGATTATGGCAGGCATTGGTTGCAGTTATGGGTATAAGGCCAGAACAGCATTGGCGTATCGGACGTTTAGTGATAGGCATAAGGGCATCCTCTTGACATAGTATAGCTAGAATTTGGACAATCTAGAGACTTGTACAATAAGTATACAACAGGTATATGACACGACATACAACTTAAAGCTCACAGCTCTGAGTCTGCAAACACTAAGAAAGCGCATATCTGGATTTCCGGAATCTATCATGCTACTTTTCTAGCCGATCTCGCTTGTAACAATTCCGTGACTTCCGCTGTGCGCATAGCTTGCCAGGAACCAGGGCCAACCGGTCATTACACTTGATGATCACTATCAGCCAAGAAAGACACTTTAGGAGACCAAGCCCGAACCAAGGCCGGTGGAAAGGCTGGCATAGACTTTCACTGACTCGAGGTTACTCCGCAATATTCTAGAAACAGATAACCTCTAGGACCCTCTCCGCACAGCTTCGACTGTCATTGGCCTCCCCACATGTATACCCCCTCACTTAGACCGGGAAACGCCGCATTTCCCCACATCGGCATTGCTTGACCACAGGGGTCCTTGGCATGGCTCGCAGCAGGGCATGCCAAAATTGCGGCAGAGAGGCTGGGACGGGCATGCAAAAGTCTGCAGCACCGCATGTCTACTGTGGCCGTGATGAGGTCATTATACCTTGATGTCACCCGGTACTGTTATTTAGATTTGGTACAATGCCGACTCCGCAGAAGCGGGGCAGGGAAACTACAAAACCCGATGCCCGGAACGAGAGTAGAGCTGTGACTGGGAGAAAAGGCAGCTCAACTTTTTCCAGATTGGGAGTAACAATGGCTCTTGGCGTACTACTATTGGCAGGCCTCGTTCCGCTGGGACTGAACCCTCTGTCGCGGTTTGCTGCGGCGAGGACGGTTCCCGACCAGGCGCAGGTTATAGATCAGAAGGCCTTCCTGGTGCTGGAGACCGTACCGCCTCCAGCAGAGGCCAATGCTACCACGGTGAGTTGCATCAGAGTCGACCGCAAAATTTCTTCCGAGGTATAGACTTGAACTAGAATTTCTTTTGACTAATACCCTTTGCAGATATTTCTGTGGCCGGGAGTGACCGAAGAATCTTTAGTGGAAAAGCCGTTCCACATCTACGATGATGAGTTTTATGATATTATTGGCGAGAATCCGACCTTGACATTGCTTGCCCGCACGGACTCGGATCCATTGTTCCACGAGGCCGTGGTTTGGTACTTATAGTCCTAGACCACTCTCAATAAACTGAATACTGACTTACGGCAACAAGGAATCCTCCCACGAATGAGGTCTTCTTTGTTCAGAATGCAGGTGCCCCAGCTTCTGGAACAGGTCTGAACAAATCTTCAATCATCCAAAAGATCTCACTCGCAGAGGCAGATGCGGTCACAGGTGTAAGGAACGCAACCGGTAATGTTACGGTCACTGTAGTGCCGTCAAACCCGCAAGTTGTAAACCCTAATGGTATGTTATGCCTCTTTTCTTCCCTTCAAGTTTTCTATGACATTTCCGGTCTAATCACATACATAGGTGCCACAAACTACAAAGGCAACATCATTTTTGCCGCCGAAGGTCAAGGAGACAATGTACCATCAGCACTTGTTCTGATGAACCCCGTCGAGCCTTACAACACAAGCAGTAAGTCCGGTCTGTCGTATATCAGAAACATAGGTCTAACAGAGCATTAGTCCTTGTCAACAACTACTTCGGCAGACAGTTCAGCTCGCTCAACGATATTGCTATCAACCCTCGAAACAAGGATATTTACTTCACCGACACTTTGTACGGTTACTTACAAGACTTTAGACCAGCGCCTGGTCTTCGCAACCAAGTTTACCGACTCAATGAAGTGACCGGAGCAGTGACTGTAGTCGCCGACGGTTTCACTCTGCCCAATGGCGTGACGTTCTCTCCCAGCGGTGGTTACGCGTACGTTACGGACACGGGCGCCAACCACGGTTTCTGGGGCTGGAACTTTTCCGATCCCGCTTCTATGTAAGTTTTCATTTACTTTATCTTCTCACACACGTCGGACATGTCACTGATTCCCATCTAGCTACCGTTTCGATGTCCAGGAGGATGGCACCTGGGACAACCGCAAGACCTTCACATACGTATCCTCGGGCGTGCCTGACGGTGTGCACTGTGACAGCAAGGGCTATGTCTATGCGGGCTGTGGGGACGGTTTACATGTATGGAATCCGTCCGGCAAGTTGATCGGAAAGATCTACCTCGGCACCGGTGCGGCGAACTTCCAGTTTGCTGGTGATGGGCGTATTGTCATCATGGCGGAGACGGAGTTGTATTACGCCACGCTGGCCGCTAAAGGTGCGGCTATTGAATGAATGAATACACGCTCGAGTGAGGAGTAAATATTCTGGAGTAATGCTGTAGTTACGGGGCTGAATGCCTACCTACCTAATATAATCAGGGGCAAATCAGAAGACGTTATTTTTGCTCTGAAAAGAGTTCAGCCTTCATCAGCCTCTGTGATAAGTAACGGGGTTCAACGTTGACCTAGTGAAACTAACAACAGAGATATCAACAAGTAGTTGCTTCCCCGATAATACTCCCACGGTCACCAAAATCTAGCATTTTGAGCGCCTCTCCCAGTACCGAATTATGGTGATGAAGAACCTTATTCGGTCGAAAGCCTTGCCAATAATGCTACTCAGTCACGGACTCAGTTGTTCGATCACACGCGATGAATTGGACCATTGTATTCGCCTATGGCGTCTGTAGAAGATGTTCTCCAGGGCTGTAAATATTCATTACTTGAGGTAACCATGGCACTCATCCGTAAGTACTTGATTTATGACTACGTTAATCATTTCCACAGCTAGAGAATTAATGACCTTTTAGGTTCCTTGGTCGGGAAGCTCGCGGTCTTGGTCCATAAAGGAAATTGTATGTCTGCAAAATTTAGGTGAATTGTGGGCCAGATTTGCTCTGCAAGGTTGGTGACAATGTCATAGGTATATAAGGATAAGTTCCGCTCCCAGCATACGAGAACATATGAGCGACACCCCTCAGGCTCCTTTTGATATTACGGCTCTTGTTCCCTGAGACTAATCGACCAATTTCATGAACCAGTATGATAGTACTCTGGAGGTAGCAAATACGCTCATTGTCCATCGCCAAAGCTAAAATTGTTAGATTTTATTTCATCTTAAATCACAGCTGAGTCTCTTGGAATACTATGAAGAAGAATTCAAGGGTATTGGGGCATCATTGATAGATTAAATTTGTGGTGAGGATAGCTCCATTGGTCAATATCCCAACCGAATGCCACTGTCAGTTGAGAACGAGTAAAGATACCCATTTGTGTATTCTCCTGAAGCACTTCTCCTTTCGCAACTTAAATAGGTTGTATGTAGTTTGACGAGTTTCGGTATTTGAGCTTCACCACGTGCTCCATGCGACTTGTAGTAGAAATCGAATGTGTCGTCAGCATCACAAAGCTGGCTTGCCGGCACTCCAGATGTGGAGGCGCTCATCCCACCTCGAGCGACCCCACCCCTGCGATTTTGGTGTTCACGTTCCTGAACGATTGGTCGATCGGCACTGTTCGGGCAACCCTGCCGACCGCCCAGCATCACATCTAATATCGTTTATCAACTGTATCTCCACTAGAACGTGCAATAGTCACCGTTTTGCTCAAAAACGTGCTGGTAACTGTTTTGGTCCACCACTACTCATGCAGGAACGCAGGTCTTGGACCCGACAGAATGGTTTGGCCGACTGAGAAACTCGGAAACGAACCTGCAATGGAGGACTAGATATGTTACCAGGATTTGGGGTATATTAAAGACGCATCGCCCCGTGCAGACAGGGTACGACTGAAGATCTTCAACCTCGTGTTCGCACCCCCTCGTTTTTCTTGCTCCTGTGTCGCGTGTCTGAAGCCTTTCGTGTCTCCCCCTTCAATTAACCGCGAGATGCTTTCCAAAACTGCAACTCTGATCCTTGCGCTGACGCCCAGTTCCCTCGCTTGGGAATGGGGCAAGTCAGGCAAGTGGACTGGCACGCAGCGGATGAACTGTCATGGTGGTTCTTCTTACATCAACTATACCACTGTCACTGGGCTTTTCCGGCAGGATGATGTAGCCACTGACGCCAGTACGTTTGACTACGTAAGTGATCCCTATAGAGAATGTGTAACATTGCACTAATACAAGATAGACCACATCAAACTATGGGTTGATTAATCAGACGTATGAGACTGATGCAGAGTTCGATCCCAATGGCACCAAAACCCAGTGGGAACGCTTCGAGTATTACGTGAACACTCTCAACGAGGAGGCAGGTTCCAATACTCAGTACAAGGTCGTATACTTTGCTAGACACGGCGAAGGCTACCACAATGCTGCGGAGACTTTCTACGGTACACCAGCGTGGAACTGTTACTGGTCCGAGCAAGACGGCAACGGCACCGTAACATGGGCCGATGCTTACTTGACGGAGGCTGGTCTCGCGCAAACAACCAAGGCGAACAGCTTCTGGAAGGGGCAGCTAGCAACCCAGAAGCAACCCGCGCCCCGGTCCTACTACACCAGCCCGCTGAACAGGTGCACCATCACCGCGAACCTGACCTTCAACGGGTTGGACTTGCCTGAGGAGTACCCTTTCGTGCCGACGGTCAAGGAGCTTTTCCGTGAGGGCATCAGCATCCACACGTGTGACCGCCGCAGTAACAAAAGCCACATCGAAACCTTGTTCCCTTTCTATCAGATCGAGGCGGGCTTCACCGAGTACGATGAGCTCTGGAATGGAACATATGCCGAGACCTCGGCTGCGCAGGCAGTACGAAGCAAGAAAGTGCTTGACGATGTATTCAGCAACGACGATAACACTTGGATCAGTGTCACCAGCCACTCGGGTGAGATCAAGAGCTTGCTGTCCGTTTTAGGCCACCGGGCCTTCAGCCTGTCCACGGGTCAGGCAATTCCGGTTCTCGTCAAGGCCGATAACTTGAGAAAGGCGGATGCACCGACTACCACTGTATCGAGCTGGAGTTTGGACCCCACTTGCGCAGCACCGCCAGTCACGAGCATTGCGGGTACAGGATGTCTGTGCTCGTCGGCTTCGTCGACACTGGCCAGTGCTACGGCTACCATCACTGCAGCTTAAATTAAGGAAGAGGCACGATCGAATAAGATACACTGTACATAATATGAGCAGACCACATAATAAATAATACCCAAATGACGCTTTACAGCTTAGAAAGCGTGCTCGGTCGACAAATCAAGGTGTCCAACGAAACTATGCACAATTAGTGGGATTGATCATGACACGTAGAGCTGGCAATAGACCAGCATGTAAACGATGGGAAAGGTGCAAGCCTTTTCGCAATAAAAACAACGAGAATAGTAGCCAGACTGTTACGAGCAAAATTGACCGTTGAAGACACGAGCACCCATGGTGAAGCAGCTGTGTCGCATTCCATGGATCTGTTAAGCTCCCCAAGAGCTTGACGTGCACGGACCAGAAGAGCCGCAACGATTTGGATGGTGATTGGCCAACGCCTCCGGGAGTCAGTCAAGGCACCTGCAGGCTCTTCCATCTCTGAGTCTGACGAATTAAGCAATGCAATCTCGTGCTGTGAGCTTTCGGGGACCAGGACCAGGGCCAGGTGCTGCTGGCTTTGCAAAGCGAATGCCCGCCCATTCACTCACTCCATCCCCATGCCGGGCAGTTGCTTCAAAGTTCGAACTGTGAGCTTGCAGCCCCACCTCCACTTCACACCAATTTGTCGTCAACGACAGCACAGAAGACATAATTGTCCAAAAGGCTTCCCTTGCCCGTACTGGTTTAGTATCGTGTCATGTCTGCTGCATAAATTCGTTCACAAATTTACTTATCGCGGTATGTACGGATCCGTATGTGCTTTGCACGCACAACACATGATTGCCCAGAGTGATCATAACTCTTCCCTTCCGTAGCCCATGGCACATAGCCCGTAGCCCATAGCGGGGAGCACAGACCAGCAAAGGACCCCAGATTGGATTCTTCACTTGTCGGAAGCAATCCAGTTGTCAGCTTCTCTTCACCACATCCCGTCATCCACTATCAAGCCACGACAAGAACCCATCGCCACGCGACCTGCAATCGAGACAGGCATATCCAGCATTGTTAGGGTTTCCGACGACGCGCGCATGACTCCTGAGACTGCCCATCAAAGGAGTTTGCGCATCGTGGTTTTACAAGCCTCAAACCAACCTAAACCTGACCCTGAACCTCTACCTGTACCTGTACCTGTACCCCAAAGCCCAAGCACATTCCCCTGCCCGACAGCTTCGGCTTCGGCTTCAGCTTCAGCTTCCTACCAGACTCTACACCAGTCGACATTGGAAGCCTGACGACTCCGCACCAGTGTCGACAAGATCACCCAGAGGGAATTGCCTTGCGAGCCCCGATCTCTGACCATCAGCTGCTTTCCCTTCGACTGACGCCCATGGTCCCACCACCACCGCGAGCGTCCCACTCACAGTCTAGATCAGGAACTTTCACGCCCCTTCCCCCGTCCAGCCAGCCTCTGCAGACCGGCGGGCGGAGCTCTGCTGCGACCCCAATTACTGGCAGCCCGACCAGCGGTCACAGATTCGACACAACCATTACCATCACGCAGATCTATGTGCTCTTGAATCTGCTTAGAGACAATACCAAGGACAGAGCTAAGTGGGAACTTCAAGCAGATCAGCTCAAGAAGGTGTGTGGGTTGTTCCTTATTCTTCGACGGCACGCCTTGTTTCCAACCATGCTTGCCGCATCTCCTAGTCTGCCTTGTGTTGCTTGCTATCCACCCCTTATGCATCATTCTGATAGCTCTCGAAGCTATCAACACCTGTCCCTCAGTAGTGCAGAACGGCCCAGCTAATACAACTTCGTGAGCAGCTCATCGATGACCACGGCATGGAAGTCTTTCCAAGATACTTCGCCCGGCTGGTAGCCCAAAATGCCGGCACTATCTTCCAGGGCTCCAGCCGGCCTGCCCCAAATTCGGGCGACTATTCTCTACTCGTTGCAGAGATGGACAAGATATCACACGACCTCGACCAAGCGGGCAAGATAGCCGACTCCATCGAGACAGGGACCGACAACGTGTTTAGGAATTTCGACCTATCAACGTTCATGGAACATTTCAAGCTTGACGCACTGGAGAAGACCATCCTTGCGTTGGCTTTCAAATTTGGTTCCGATCCCAATCTCAAGACAAAGGGTTTGTTGCAGTCCTTGCAGATGCGCTCTTGGGTTTGCGCTGACGTATACAACCTCTAGCCGACGCCATTCTCTCTACTAACTTTCCGACCTTCGTAAATATCATAGCGCGGGCAGACTACGGCTCGCACGGCGACCTCGACGGTGACTTTATCGCCGCCATCGTCGACCGATATGTACAGGGCCACCCACCCAATTTCAACTCGCCGGCAAAACAGGAGCTAGCCCACAAGGTTCAAGCACGGTGGTCATCGATGGATCAAGCTGCTCCTTTGAACGTGCTGGCGGCGTTGGATTTGATGCGAGTCCTAGGTGACAAGCCAGCCAACGCGCTGACCCGGTATATCCAGCGGACAGGTGTTGATTTCACTCGAGATGAGGACACGTGCCATGGACACCTCGAAAACCGGCCAGACAATATCGATCTCAGCAAAGAGCAGCTATCTTCTGCCCTATTATATACCACGATCAGTCAAACACCTCGACACAATCCATCGACTCTCGTTTTAGCTCTCAGGCGAGTACTGCCTGCATCGTTCGTATGGCAGGACGTCCTTGCATACTTCGACCACCGTGACGTCAGGTTATCCTCCGAACAATTTTTGCGTTTGTATCAAGCTCTGCTGCCCATTGCTCAAGAACAACCGGCTTTCGATATTCAATGTCTATGGGGTGGCCAACATTGGGAAAACCCCGAAACTCAGCTGGCATTTATTTGCGCATTTGCGTCCTTAACCCCCGAGCAGTTGGACGCGACGTCCATTCCGCGACTACAAGCGACATTCAGCCTCGATGAATACGACCAGTCACCCCAAGAAGTCCGCGATAGGGCCGCGGAAGCTGTGAAGCACCCCCTGGTTTCCGAAACTGCTTTATCAGCTATCTTCCAGGTGGCTTTGCACTCGCTTCATGCTTCACAGAGCAGCGAGGCCAAACGCCTTTTCCAGCAGGTTGTCATTCCCAACCTCGACGTTTTCCTCGTTTCCGCTTTTGGCGTCCCAAAACCATGGCCAAATATGGCCATGGAGACAATGGGGTCACTATTCGCCGAGTTTCTCCACAAGAAGGGCCCTCTGAGTGCGTTCGTCATGGATAGTCTCTGGAGGAAGGATAAGAATTGGGTTAGGCAACGCCTGTTCGAAGCCCACGCCATGAAGCCACTTGATCTCCCCATCATATTCACCCATGCCATCAAGCACAACTGGCTAGATGATTTGGTGAATGTCCCTAACGGTTTTGGTTTCGACTTGGCGGCCCTGGCTCATGCTGAAGGGTTTCTGAATCTGCAGGAGTGGGCAAATGTTAATTTCCGGCAAGCTGCTGATATTTCACGGTCACTTCTCCAGTTCTTGGCTATCAAAGCAGACATGGAGTTGCGCTATCAACGACCGCCAGAGGGTCAGCTACCCCAGAAGGAAAGCTGGCCTTTGCAGGTAAAGACGGTGTCCGCCATGCTGCAGATTCTTGAGGATCTTTTGCCTGGAAACCCTCCCCTGCGGGAACTTGTGATGGTCCAGCGACAGTGTATTATTGCATACCCACGCCTGATCAACTATGGCGAGGGTTGCGACGACATCGTTGATGCAAACGGCGCAGCAGGCAATTCGCTACCGCAGCAAGCTGTTGTTCGTATGGAAGAGCATTTTAAGACGATGTACTCGAGCGATATACAGGTCAAGGATATCGTTGATACACTGCTCCGGTACAAACACTCGCGTGACCCTTTGGATCAGGACGTGTTTGCCTGCATGATCCATGGTTTATTCGACGAGTATTCTCACTTTCCCGATTACCCCCTGGAGGCGTTGGCAACAACGGCAGTACTTTTTGGTGGTATAATATCCCGCAAATTAATATCCGAGTTACCTCTGCGAGTTGGTCTCGGTATGATTCTAGAAGCCGTCAAGGATCACTCACCTGATGAATCCATGTACAAGTTTGGTCTCCAAGCTTTGATGCAATTGTTCAGCCGATTCCAGGAATGGCCTGGATTCTGCATTCAGTTGGTATCAATACCGGGCTTGCAAGGTACTGAAGCATGGAAGAAGGCTATGCAGGTCATCAAGGACAACGAAGAGGATGGCGGCCAAAACCAGAACGGCGTAGCAGGAAACACCGCGGGCACCACCGAAAGCGTGGTCAACGGCACAGGCATTGGTGGCGAAACGTCCTCGCCCCCGTTCAACTCCGTTCATGCTGACAACGCCCCTACCAACGTCCAGTTCGAAGCGCCAAATGAAACGACACAGGACCACATCCAGTTTGGGCTCAACAACCTTACTGCAGCTAAGTTGCACGGCGTCTTTTCTGATATACAACAACACCTGGAACGGCAATATCAGCAATGGTTCGCGGGTCATCTTGTGGAGGAACGTGCCAAGATGCAGCCTAATTATCATCAAGTTTACTTGGACTTTGTTCGGTTGTTCCAGGATAAAGCACTTTCTGCCGAAGTGCTGAGGCAGACGTACATCAGCGTGACTCGGATGATCAACGCTGAGAGTACAATGCAAAATTCTACCGAGCGAACCCACCTAAAGAATCTCGGCCAATGGCTTGGGCTTCTTACCATTGCAAGGGACCAACCTATCAAGCATCGAAATATAGCCTTCAAGCAACTCCTCGTGGAGGCTTATGACACAAAACGACTGATCGTGGTCATTCCATTTGTGTGCAAAGTACTTCTTCAAGGTGCCCGGTCGACCGTCTATAGACCACCGAACCCTTGGCTTATGGACATTCTTCACCTCCTTATTGAGCTGTACCATAATGGCGATCTCAAACTCAACTTGAAGTTCGAAATTGAGGTTCTTTGCAAGGATCTGAACCTTGATCACAAGAGCATTGAACCGTCACAGGAACTCTCGCAACACCGGGCACATGTTGACGAAATCGCTGATCTAGCGACTGTCGAAGCGCTTGAGCCATTTGAGAACCTCACGCTCAACGGTGTCACTGGTGCGCCTGGCTTGTCGCCCCATCCCGTGCAGGTGACAATTCCAGACCTCACAGCGCAGCTATCGATACCTCCCAACAATGAGATGGTTGTTAGCGCTGCTCGGTTACTTGACATTGTTCGTCAAGCCCTTACACGTGCACTGCATGACATCATCACGCCCGTGGTAGATAGATCCGTCACTATTGCTGCGATATCGACACAACAGATGATTCATAAGGACTTCGCGACTGAGCTGGATGAGAAGCGCATTCGCGAATCAGCAATCACTATGGTGAAGGCGACAGCTGGCAGTCTAGCTCTTGTTACAAGCAAGGAGCCGTTGCGAGCTAACATTACCAACTACATGCGCCAGCTTTCGAGCGAGCTGCAACAGCCCCTACCCGAAGGAACCATCATAATGTGCGTCACCTCCAATCTCGACCTGGCTTGCAGTGTCATTGAGAAGCATGCCGAAGAACGTGCCGTGCCCGAAATCGAGGAAATGATCGAGCAGGAACTGGAGGCTAGGAGACGTCATCGTCTTCAACGGCCGAATGACCCTTATGTTGATCCAGGATTGAGTCGTTGGGCGATGACTATCCCGAACCCTTACAAGCTATCTCCGAACATGACTGGTCTGAACCAAGAGCAGCTTGCCATCTACGAAGAGTTTGGAAGGCAGTCGCGGGCGTTGGCACCAGCAACACAAGTACATGCTGCATCCGCCTCCGATGCAACACGCAGTGTTGCAAATGAGGTTCTTCAAGACCAATTCAGCTCCGTTCCAAACTTGCCAACACCCTCCGAGACTCCTTCTATGCCGCATATGCCGCCACAACTTCCGTATCCTCACGGACAACAAGGCGCAATCACAAATGGTCGACCTAGTGGTGCACCCCTCAACCAAATCGATGCTCGCGCTCTTGCGGAGCGTGTTCAGAAGTTATTGACGGACCTTCAACGCGCCGCTGCGGATGCACGCGAGGACCATTTCGGAGACCTACCAAGAAACCATCCAGTTATGGAAGCCGTTGATGCGTTAACTCAGCTTATCATCAGGACGTCCCAATCATCTGATGATTTCGCTATTTACGTAGCCGACAAAATCACTCAAAGCCTGTTTAGTTCTATTGATCACAACTCCTTGGTTCTCGAGAGTCTGGTTCATGTCCTCGAGTCTCTACTGAAAATCTATGGAGGATCTGGCACAGGTCTGCTGGACAGGGTTCAGGCATCCGTTGATCAACAGCCTTTGCAAAGTTTCTTGAATGCAGAGTTAGTCACCGTTCTCCTTGGAACCGACCTTCTCAACTTGCAGGTCGTCGACGAAGCTGCAAAGGCGGCCCTGACTGAGAGACGGCCCGGGTCTCTTGAATTCTTCGAGAGAGTTTGGGATTTAACTCTTGGCTCGGAGAGACCTATCGCTCTCTACGGCGACTTCATTGGCAGTCTACCTCAAGCCTGGAATTGGATCAATGCCGAACCTGACCTCGAGGCTTGTCAACGTCTCAAGACAAAGATCCTCAACTCGGGTATAATTCCACCTGAGCACCTCGTTAAAAACGCCCAGATGGAGCAGTTCGAGTACCTTTTCGAGGAGTGGATGCGCCAATATTACAACCACAACACACCAGACAAGGCAGCCACCTCATTCGCCAGGCAACTACTCGAGAAAGGCATTGTCACGAACAAGGATGATTTATCTTCGTTCCTCCGACGCGCCTTGGAGCTTGCAGTGAACTACCACGAACAAGCCACTCTCGCGGGCGCTCTGAACCACGACTGCTTCAATGCGATTGATGCATTGGTCAATCTCATAGCAGTACTGGCTCAAGTCAATATCATGCAGCATAGCGATGCTGCACGTGGCGCCGTAATCTTTTTTGACATAGTCTTCATGTTGGGCACTTTAGTCCTCAATCATCACCACACCCAGAGGGGCGAACATTTCAATTCCCGGGCATTCTTCCGCTTCTTTGCGATGCTGATTTGCGAGGCCAGTCGGGTCTTTGATCAATTCGCAACATCAGCAACCGTGTCCCCGTCTGATGTTGAGGTTCACCGACAAGAATATCTACTTCGAGTTGCCGCTACCTTCGCACAAATTGTGCCAGATCGTTTCCCAGGCTTTGCCTTCCATTGGCTGGAACTTATACAGCACCGACTCTTCATGCCCGAGCTACTAAGCTCTGAGCCGAGCCGCGGCTGGGAGTCGTTCACTCAACTAGTCGTAGCGCTTCTTCGTAACGTAAGTGAGCATCTCAAGGTCACCGACATGCACGACGTTGCGAAGGAGTACGCACGAGCTGCAGTCAAATTCATGATTGTTTTGCAGCATGATTTCCCTGAATTCCTCGCGGCAAACCACGTGCAGTTGTGCACTCCGCTACCGCCACATGCTACGCAGTTCAGAAACATCATTCTGTCTGCACAACCACGTGGCGACATTGCCGACTCCACTCTGAGCCACTATGATGTAGCCGAGAGTTATCTTCGAGAAAGTGGTCTGCTTGACCTGGTCGATCAGCTTCTCCAGCAAGGACCATCGGAAGACGCGATTGCGCATCTGACTCATGCCGTTAGCCGGACTGATGCTCGATCGACTATCTTTGGAAACGTACCCATTACGACAAACACAGCACTGATCAGTGCTGTGGTGTTGTATGTCGGCACCTTCGCCATCAAGCGAGCAAAGCAGGACAGTGACCTGTTCAACCCTAGATCTCCAGATGCTGCCACGCTATCTCTTTTGGCACACGAGCTTAATGCGGAGTCACGCTACTTCTTCCTCGCAAGCATCATTGATGAGCTTCGGTTCGCTGGACCTCACTCGAGCTATTATAGCAAATTCTTGTTTGAACTTTGGGGCGACGATGTCAACGACCCAGAAGAAGTTGACATCCGCCAGCAGATGGCTCGTATACTTCTCGAACGTTTCTCGGGCTACTGGCCGCAGCCTTGGGGTCTGGTTTACGTCACTCTCGAGCTCCTTAGGAACGATAAATACGTATTTTTCGATCAACCTTTTATCAAGGCCGACCGAGAAGTACGAGAGCGCTTTCAGGGCATTTTTCGAAGCATTGATAATATGCCCTGAGCCAGGGCGAAATCGAAGCACGCCTGATTTCCCCCCACGTGCCACCATTGTATAATGATCCAGGCTTGGATTCACTACTTTATCATCTCTAATATGAACCACCACTCGTTCTCTGCGTTGTCGGCGCGTTCTGCACGGTACGAGCGGTGTCTTGAACAGTTTGGAATTTAGGCAACGGAGCCTGGTTTGGAGGCATGAACGATGGGGGGGTTTAGACGTCACTACTTTACAGACAGCGGTCACGATACCTGTATAAACGGTCGCGCTTGGCGTTTGATTCGGCGGTAAAAACTCATACGATGATGATGATGCCTATTCGTTTGAACGATGACTATAGCATTCTAGAGGCGTCAAAGGGGCTTTGGGAAGAATGGATTTCTGAATTGCATTATACTGGTCTGTAACCTACATGTCTTTTTTTTTTTTTTTTTTCTATTTGAAAAGAGGGAAAGCGGAGGACAAAAAGTGGTTGCTGGTCTTGATCCCACTTGGGCATGTGGTTCAAGGTTATCGGCCGTCTTTATCGTACAAGCTTCCTCAGGTTGTATTAATATAGATCTGCACAGATTATTATGTTCATCCATTGCCAATTTGCGACAGACCTGCCATTGCTCGTTTTGAGAGAAACTTTTTAGTGTTCATCTGTCTCTCGTCACGGCAAATGGTTTCCAAAAAGAAAAAAATAAAGGAAAACAAAGGAAGAAAAAAAGTTATTCCTACCTTTGTTGTTCGTCTCGCCCACGGGACACGACAGTCGCCAGCTAATCAGCACCCAAAGCAGATCATTTGTATGTGCACAGGATGAATGAATGTCATGTATTCGTGTACGAAAGAAGCCCTACCACAACTTATCACAATTGACGTGGAAAAGTACCCACCTACCACTAATGCAACTTGTTGCCTTGCAGGTAAGCTTTGCCGAGGCAGGGATATGGTGCACGAATTGTTTAGTAATCAGTTATAGGCTCATTGGAGGCAGTCGGATAGGCCTCGTCCTATTTTTGGCATTACTTCGGGCCTGACAAAGCAAGATCTGGACGTTTTCGGATGCAGAGATGCAGAGATGGAGTGATCGTCCGTTGTTTAGTGAACATGCACCTCTAGGCCTTACACAAGTCCTCAAAAGATGAAGCATACTGCAGGTGGGTCCGCTGCAGAACCACACCGGACGGCCACGTCCTTGACGTGGATACTGCTGGGAGTACCGCCCGCTGGCCATACATAGGGCCTCCGGCTGTCGTCGGAGCGTACAGTGTTACCCGGTCTTGGATAAAGTCTGTGTTCACAATGTTTACTGAACATGGTCCGATACTATACTGTGCAGAATGCACCGGACGACCTGTGGTTGATAATATATGAAAATGCATGCCGAGGCTGCCCACAGGGTATTCACAATCTTGTTGGGATGATGTGAACAAGAGCGAGTGAATCAACGAATATAAACTATGCATTCACTGCCACGTTTGACATTGATCCCGCCTGTCTCGATTCCACAAGACAGCCAAACAACCGTTTTAGTCACAAGTTCTACAACAGAACAACACAAGCAAACCCCCCCTTGAATATACACTTACTTCTCTATATAGAAGAAATGCCTATCTGGCACATCTTTCACCCCTCCAGCGTCTTCACGGACCCGCGCGAGAAGGCAGAGCTCGTCAAATCCATCACGCCTCTCTACACCGGGGGCGGTCTCCCATCGTTCTACGTCAACGTGTACTTCCACAAATTCGCCCCGGGCGACGCCTGGACCGACTACCGGTACATGGGCGACGTCGCGGAGCTACAGGGCGGAGATGCGGTGGAGGGCGTCCGGAAGAGGGAGAGGCCCTTCGTCAGATTTCAGATCGACCAGATTGCCGTCCATATTGAGAACGAGGAGTGGGCCAGGAGGTGGTGTGATAAGGTTGATCAAGTATGTGCTGGGACCCCCCCCCCCTCCCCGGTTTCTATGTTTCCTATTTTACCATTGCTTCTTTCCTCTGTTTTCGATGTTGTCTTCCAAACGTGAAGATGTTCGGCTGCCACGATGCTAGTCCTTGTGCTCCTCTGTCCCCGGGCGAAGCATCAAACGGCATACGGACGCAATCCCGACAACAATCGAGGCTGACCTGGTTGGCAATTCCTTCAGGCGCTCAAGCCCCACATCGCCGACAAAGGGTATGATTGGGAGTACCACATCGACGAGACGCCGCGGTCCCTGTGGCGCATCAACGGGCTGGCGGCGCCGCCATGGAAGGGCGAGGTGGAGCGGAAGTGGTTCGTGGAGAACAAGCCGACCCCTTGGGTCGAAGAGGACAAGACTGATGGGGGCGATGCGAAGCTGTAGTGGAAACGAGCGGCGGGTTTCGTATCCGTCTCTCGATATGATGCAGCACGGGTGAGTTATAATAGTCAATATAGGGTTTGAGAAGAACAACATCATACTTGTGACATATTCGCACCTTTCTAGACCACACCCGCTCTCACTACGAATAGTCAAAGTTGTCAAGCGCAACTCATAGAAAGGCTTATATGGTAGTCAAAGGAATCCATTCTCGAATATATGGTCCCGAGTAGGCATTTCAGGCGTGTTGAGAGTGTAATAGAGAAACAAACAGGTCGTGGGACAGTAGTCGAAAAAAAGAACAGCAGTAGTGCAGAAGAGCGGTTGACTGGGATTGGCAATTTACAAATATTCAGCTCTCTCAAATTTCAGCAGCCAAGGTATCCGTACAAGTATATATTGAGACTCAGCTCACTACCCGAGAAATGGGGCTCTGAACCTGATTGTGCGTTTACTCCTATCTGTTATGAGCTCAAGTTAGCAGTAGACAAGCTCTTATCAACTCCAGCAAGTCTCTGGGGGCGAACAAGATGAATAGTGAGGTACTGGAAAGCTAGCACAAAACTATTAGCAAATTTAGTTGACAGGTTTCGTTCTCATCTTAGTCCTATCTTGAACACATTATCGCTAACAGTCATGAGCCGTTCCGTGTCTCAACGCCAGGGGTATCTTTTTCTAAAAACAATCATTACTCAACAATTTCATTTTAGCTTTTGCGTCATGGCTCCTTTCGTCGCAAATTCAAGATCGTCTCCAGCTTGAGGTCACCCTTGGCGCCCCACCCAGCCTGTCCCCCTTCGATTTCAGGTCTGACGCTTGTATACCAAGTCCAGGCACGCCTGTCCAGCTCAGCAGCACTCAGATGGTCAGCCCAGCTATCATACACTAATCTCAGTGCACCTAGCAGCCTTCCCAGATTCTCTTCTTTTTCGTCTTGGAGAGCCTTAGCTGTCTTTTTCTTTGGCGCGGTCGTTGAGTCCTCGCCCTCTTCCTTGCGGTCTGCAAAGCTTCTCAGGAGGTAACCTCTTGCCGCCTCCGGTCTGTGTACAGGCATACCAACCACGCCTGCCTCGTGAGATCTGCCGCCCGATGTGGCGCTAGATGTTGCTTTCTGCTTCATGGCCTCAAGATCTAAACCCCATACCGCCTCGCCGCCTAAGCTTGCTTTTGCGCCCGTGACTCTAAGTCGTTCCGCTAGTGCCTCCTTCAGGCAGTTTCGCATGATGCGCCAGCGGTCAGGCCCGAGCATGATACCACCATACCAGCGAGTCATGACGACCAGAGTATTAACAGCGTCAGACTCTCGCATGACCTTGAGAAGAAAATCGCCGCAACCAGACTCGCCGTCGTCGTTGGAGTCCTCTTTGATGGTGAATGAGCCGAACATATCGGGCTTCTTGACGCGGTAAGCCCAGGCGTTGTGACTTGCCGTCTGTAGATTTGGGATCGAACCAAAGAGTGCCTGTAGAGTCGGTTGCCTCTGTGATGCTTCCGTGATTTGTGTCGCTCGTACGATGAACGTCGACTGTTTCAAGGAGACGGGCGAGCTCGCTGCCCATGTCTTCGATGTATGCGCCAGCGGTCCTGGCTTCTCTTTGGTGGTAACAGCATGATCCTTATCTTTTTCTTCTTCTTCCTTCTTGGTGTTCAGTTGGCCCTCCACGGCATCGTGCTTTGCCGCCTCGTCGGCGCCCTTTTCTTCCCCGCCCTTCTCTTCCTCGCCCTTCCACTCATACCCTCCCCGCTTCAACACCGTAATTTCCCGCCCCATGACCCTAATCCTAGGCTGTCCATGCCCCCAGCCCTCATCATCGGCGCTCGGCCCCTTGTCTAGCCCGATACTTACGGCCTTGCTCCGCGAGTTCGCGCTCACGACCGCCTGCGCCAGGCTCAGCCTCGAGCTCGGCGGCTGCTCCGGCATCGTGTGCCTCAGCAGCTCGACGGCGAACGCGAGAACGAGAGGCGCGCGGTTCGTGACGAGCGTCGTCCTCGAGATGAGCTCCTCGTCCGTCTCGCAGGGCAGCGACAGCGAATCCTCGTACTCGGCCGGCGGCATGGATGCCGGGCCATCCACGAACAACGGATTATCGCTTGCCGAGGAGGAGGTTTTGGAGCGCTTGGCAGACTGGAGCAGCTCGGCGCCGGCGCGCTTGCTACTGGAGGACAGGCTCGGGTTCTTGAGGCGTGCTTTGCAGGCGTTATGGAGGGAGCGGGCGGCTTTGGGATCGGTGATTGCGGACTCGATCTCGGAGAGGGGTGCTTCGGCAATTTGGTGAATGCTTGAAAAGAGGAAGACGATGTGAGCTTCTGTGCCTAGTGGTTGGTCACTTGTGAGAACTGGGAGCAACATACGTCCGTAGGTTCTTGGCTTGGAGAGCCCTCACACGCATCATGGCATCTTTTATGGGCACTTTGCCCACAGTCAGAAGACGGAGTAGCTCCTGAAGATCTTGTTGCGAAGCCATGGTGAAGAGATCCCCTCGATGATAGGCTCCAAAGCAGAAACCGTCGAGATTCCTAACCGTTGTCCCCAATGTTGGAACCCCAAACTCGAGGGCGAAAGGCGCGTAGTCAATTAACCTGACCTAGGTTAGTCTAGATTAGATGCACGACGCGCATCTACACAAAGACCTGCGTCATAGGCGACCGCCGCTGATAAGATAACAGCCACTAGACTGTGTAAGATAATTATAAGACTTATTGCCACATTGCAGATGACAACCGCTATTTTACTCGTCACTATAACCTGTAATTCTATCGAGTTAATCCTATCGAGTCAAATAAATGGCCAACCGCTATCTTTTTAAATGGAAATATAGACATGTGAAACAAAACATGTCACATTACGAATATATGTGCTTCAAGGCTCAGCTGCGCAACCAAAACAATCCAAGATTTACACCGGCAGAATAGAAAAGGAGACCAGCAACTGCAACCATAACCGCATGTACAGCAGCCCTGGGACATTTAACTGTGTCATCGCTCACAGTCAAATAGGATGCTACGGGCATGAGTGGCACAGTCACGGCGGCCAATAGGAAGACCCGTTTCACACTGATCGGCTTTTGTCATTTCCATCCATTCTCTGATTTACTTGACTACCCGTTCGAACTTGAATAGGACTTGTTGGGAATTGTATATAATTTAATCTTCTAATGGTCTACTGGTAACTTGCGACCACGTGAATTCCCAGTTATGCTATGAATCTTACAGTCTTCATTAGGAGCAGTAATATCTTTATAGAAAAAAGAATGGTACTAATATAGCATCTTCCAAATAAGCTCATCGAGGATTTATAATCATGTGTATAACTTGGGTTGACCTCGTCTAGCACATCTCCAAAGTAGGCGTACTGGTCGAGACGGACAAAGTGATCAGAGGTTCACTCGTACAAACGCAGCTCAATGTGCGTCGAACTATGCTGCGGCTTATGGATGAGAGCACCCAGGCTTACTTCTCGGTTTATCTCATCACCGATTTCCTGAAGCATGACCATGTCAGCGCGAGAACAAAGCTGGTGCACATGCCCAAAGACAGGCCCCCAGGATTAGGAAAGTCAGGTCCGCCGATTGGGAGGCGAGAATAAACATTTTTGATGAGAACCAGTCCAGATATGTGGAACTTTGGGGAGTTCGGCAGGCATCTGTGAGATGATTACATCCTACCCCATCCTGGGAGAGTCACCTAACGGAGATACCGGCGCCTGGCTTTGCCCATCAAACTCCCAGGCAAAGTCTCACTTTCCGGGAACTCTATTTATGCGGCATCGCTAGAGTCATATTATTCCTTACAAGAGGCCACTCTATCCTAAGTGCATCACTTCTCCCCAAACGACTCAAGACCCGTCATCAAATTTACGCATTCTCATAACAACGAACCCCTCGACTGATGGTGTCTCACAGAACTCCGCGGTTTGCTGCTACTCCACCCTCCGGTCTGGCAGCCACACCAGTTTTATCGGAGCAGCCAGGATCTGGGGCGGCAGGCTCGTAAGACCATATGATAGGGCGGATAAGCAAGCAGTTGCACTCGCAGTGTTTAGTAGCCCGGAAAACTACGATGAGTTTGGATCGCTATCACCACTTCTGCGTACTCGGGCGCCCAGGCACCTGCAAGTTGTGGTTGTATGGCAACGGATATAGACCATGATAACTACTGTTCGAAATAACGGTGGGGCCACTGTTTTCACAGTGCCATAGGTTGATAATATGGAATACACAAAGCCGGTGTATGGGATGGAAGGAAGGTAAGGCAGAATCCCTCAGGCGTGTCTCAGGTTCTGTTGACCATCACGCATCATTTCGTTTCCATTGTTATCTAGGCTAAATTTGCTTTACTGCGCCATAAAACTCTTATCCTCTGTGGAAGCATTCATTGACGTTATGAGGGCCTGCATACCATTAGTATGGTCTTCAAAATGTATAGAAAGTTAGGACTAATTGGTCGCCGCAAAGCCATGGATTTGCTACTTTAGCTGCTTGAATTTTCTATACTATGTGAATGACACATTTTGGGTAGAGTATAGCCACGGCTATATTCTGCGCTAGCAAGAGCTTCCATAATGGTCTGTGCTTGCCGTAGCAACTCTAGCTTCCAACAGTGGAGATATACTATATCTCCACTCGCAAGGGACAAGAGGCCGCCGCGGTACCAAGCTGCCAAGTGCTCAAAAGGCGCACATTTTGTATCCTTGACTGGGCTTGCTAATCTCGCGTGAATGGCACAGTACGTATATCACAGAAGTAGGTACATAGCGCAATATTTTCATACTGTAGACATTCCAGGCCCGGAGGTATGTCACTATTTTTCTATCGTCACATCTTTCGCCGAACATACCTAGATAGATACTGAGTCCTCGAGGGAATTGAAGAGGGCATCTATACTCGCTGATCCTATGTATGTATACCCGGTGTCTGCATCAAGATGGCGCGATGCAACACGACCGAGAGATCATGGTGTATACGATGTACGGAGGTGGGGGCGACACTACTGTGGGCATATTCCGGTTCCGAGTCGCTTTGTGGTAAAGGTGTAAACGCTCTCGGCATTTACACTGGCCGTTGTATGGCACTCCCGTATCACAGACTTTGGTGCAACACTTCAACGCCATACCATAGGATGGACAGTTGCATACGATAAGGAGAGGGTAAGCAATGCACCAACCCGTGCTTGCGACAAGAACTTGGCGCCACCTAAAATGCTGTCGTCAACTTGGCAACCAATGATGAGGCTACTCACAAGCAAACACCTGCGTACCTATGGCAAGGGTACTTCGCGTCCCGGACTGTTGGAGCGCAGTTACCCTTCACGACTGGCGGCCAAGAAACCAGGCAACTTGGCCCAATGATCGTGTAGAAGAAATCTGAGAAGAAATCTCGACCCGAAGACGAGGCTTAGATCCACGCCAAATTCAAGGGTATCTTTGCACCACCCAATAGACAAGCACCTGTATCTTCTGTTACGGAAAAGGTGGTGCAAATCTGGAGCTCTAGAAGCTTCCTGAAAACTTCCATAACCGCGTTTGCTTGCCGATAAGTGCAGTGCATGGGTCCAGTGAACTACTTATTTGGAGATAGATTTAAATGACAAGCACAAGACAACAGAGGTTGGCGTTTGTACTTGTCAAGCTGCGCTTGAAAAAGTTCATGCAGTCATACAACTGGAGCATCTAATTGTCGTCGTGGACGTGTTCACCCACTTGATCGCACATGATAACACAGGCTTCCCACTTTGGTTAACTAGTAGAATCTATGTATTGATCTTCGAGGTTGTTGCTGTACGCATTATGTCGATATAGTCTCTGTAGTAAACGGCTGTATGCCTTCATGTGCTTTCTCGCCCATCCACCTTGCTGGTTTGTGGTGTCCTAGCTCTCCAACATAATTTGTAAGAGATCACCTTGACGCACGTTGTTTTATAGCATAACTAGAGAGCCCAATAACATAATATAGACATTTCGTATAGATTATGATAGTGGGTTGGTTTAAGCCATGCCATCTACTATTCACGAATTTGGACACCGCGCCAACACTTGTCATACTCTTGGATAGGAGATACATAGTGAAGGGATAATAGGGGTATCAAGTCACACTCTTACTCTAGTCATGATCCCAAAATCCTCTATATTTGTGCCCCGTCTATAACTTAGTATTAGAAGTCGAAAGCCAAAGTTTTCATCAGCTCCCAAGTGCACACACGATGAAAATGATTCCACGTGGTACTCAGCGGCATAGCAAACGTTCCCGCCTATCCCGAAGCTGATCAAATGCTCCCGTAGATAACCAAACAATCGACTGTCCGAATGATGCAACGTCAAGTATACTACAGTATGACCTTGATGGTTCTTGCTCCAACCCCTCTTCCGCCCCCTGCGCCCCTGAATCCATTTATCAGGACCCTTGAGAAAGATCAAGCCCCACCCGAAAAACGGGGTCAACGGAGCCGGACACGCTAAAAAAACTCACGCCAAAAACTTCATCGACCTGCAGCCGAGCAGGCGCAGATCCATTCAACGATCGACGGAAAGGGGGCCATCCTGCATGCCTCCTGCGTCACATTTCTCCATACTTGATCATCGCGCCTACAGGCTAATGCAGAAATCACGCGGGTGCAGTTTCTGGACCGGCGTTGGAGCACTGCAATCTGATAAACGAGCCACTGTGCAGTATATTGATTGACGTCAGGTATCTGGAACGGTGATAACATAATTCGTCAAGGCAGTTTGAGCAGTGCACCGTTGTCTTGCGCGGGTAACAACAGAATTGGCGGAGGGGAAACGAGCGAAGGCTGAGCAGAGTGTCCAGGACGGCTGACACCACGTCGTGCTGGGCTAAGACAGACGCGACAGGGACGCCCCTTTTTCTGGGGCTAGTCTCTCTCTCTCTCTTTCAGGGGAGTGATATACTGGGTGGCCTTGACATCACGATGGCACTATCTGCTCATGCGCACGGCGCGCTTAGGCAAATGCTAGCACGCCCGCCAGGTACACGATGTCTTGCACCCAAATCGTGCTCGCATACGGCATTGCGACCATTACGGAGAGCATCAACGGGGCCTCCTAGACGCACTGCATCAAAACCTATGCCCGGTAAACCCAAGCCGCTTCCCTTTAGATCCACATCCTCGTCCAAAGACCCAGGACCCTCATCGCCATCACCAAGACCGAATCCAGAACATGATGGTGCCGGCTTCAGCAGTGGCGCCCCACCCCCCAGAAAGTTTAGCATAGCCGAGCTGGTCCGTACGCGCTGGATAGCCCTCTTCGGCGCCGGCGCCGCGGCTCTCTGTCTCGGCTCGTTCACAGCTTCGTTTGTCTGGCTGAACAGCAGCCCGGCGCCCATCTACTGTACGGGGCACGAGCCCGCCGTCCCCACAGGCCGCCCGGGCATCCAGTCGCCCCTCGAGTTTGACCTGCACCTCGACAAGTCGGAGCACAGGTATGGGATCACCAAGCTTCGTCGCGAGCTGGGCGCGGAGGCCAAGGGCCACGTGCTCGAGGTCGCCGTTGGTACGGGCAGAAACCTCGAGTTCTACGACTGGGGAAAGCTGATCGAGAGGTTTGTGTCCAGGGGAGAAAGGAACAAGGATCTGCTCGAGAAGAGCGGATGGGGGCGCGGCAAGATCGAGGATGTGCGGGAGATGGAGAGCTTCACGGCCATGGACGTCAGCGAGAGTATGCTAGATATCGGACTTAAGCGGTTGAGGTCGGTGGTCCCGCACGGATCGGAGATGTTGCCGGCGAAGAAGCCGATATTTGCGGATCTAGCCAAGGATGAGGACGGAAGGTGGTGTCTAAGTTTGCTGGACGGAAAGGTGAGGATACTGAAGGGCGACGCGCAGGATGACCTGCCGAGGCCCAGGGTGTTGGATGGCAGCAAGTACGATACAGTGATCCAGACTTTCGGCCTCTGCAGTGTGCGAGACCCGACGAAACTCCTCGAGAACATGGCAGGCGTCGTGCGGCCGGAGACGGGACGCATCATACTGCTAGAGCATGGGCGTAGCTGGTGGGATCTAGTAAACGGGCTTTTGGATCGTAGTGCCAAGGGCCATTTTGAGAGATTTGGGTGCTGGTGGAATCGGGACATCGAGATGATCGTCGAGGATGCGCAGCGGAAGATTCCAGGTCTCGAGGTTGTGGAGATGAAAAGGCCCGGGTGGTTCAAGTTTGGGACGCATTTCTGGATCGAGCTCAGAGTGAGAGACGTGCAAGACGGAAAGGGGCAGAAGCCAGCCAAAGCGGTGCATGAGTACGGCGAAGGTCGATCAAGCTGGTGGGATCCGGGCTCGTCTATATTGACACCAAAGCCTAAAGATATTGACGGAAAGAAGAATTAAATCTTGGTCTCGTATTTACGAGAGGCTGTATAAAATCATGTACTGTAAAGAATGACAAGTGTGTTACGATAATTCTATGTACACTTGATGGAATTAATTATTGAAAGTGGAATTTTATTCTTGTTTTTGGAGAGTGATACGTTCCCTTGCTCTCGGCCGTCATTGTCGCTATTGTCTAGCGCTAGCGACTGGGTCGTGAGCGATTCTACTCTAAATGTACATCATAATTTTGTCTACCCAGAAAGTCCGGTTTCATCTCTCCATAATGCCGATACAAAGTTAGATCATTGCAGAATCCTTTCTGCGATCGTTGTGGACGTAGCCACGGGATGATATAATCTCCTTTGTCTATCATTCTCGCCACGGTTTAGACGCATCCAAACACCCCTTCTATGTGATCATCATGTCCTCTGGCAGCACTTCAGAGTCGGCAATCAACATAATGATCGAGGTCGTGTTCCCCGGTAAAACAACCACAAGACAGCGACCACAGTTAAAGAATGGGTCAAAGCGCCGAAAACTCCTATGCAACCCAAAAACGCAAGTATACCAAAGTGCATCGCGGGCCCCAAGTCATAGCCCAAACATTTCACTTCATCGTACACAACTTAAAATCATAGCCGAACAACCACTCAATAGTCGTTCAATAAACAGTCGAGCTCATCCAGCTCGACTGTCTCAGGGCTCCTGTCCCAATCTAGCATGGCATCAAGCTTGGACCAGCCCTCTGCTTCGTTATCTTTCTTCGTAGACACGACCAGGCTAGGTCGCATCGCGGGACTAGTCATATAGGCCATGTGTGGCAGCAGACTTGGGGCCAGGTTGAGACCTTTTGGTTCACCAAAGAGCATGTCGTTTTGCATGCCATCGTACATATCAATATGTTCGACAGGGTTTACCGACAACAAGCTGCCGCTAAGCTTTCGCTTCTGCAGCCCATCCGCGGTTTGTGTAAACTCCCTCTCGTCCTTCTCCAACGGCGGCTCATCCTTGTGTTTCGACATGGAGTTCACCGTTCGATGGCGCGACAATGAGACTGCGCCCATAGGCGTACCAGGCATCGGGACGTCCTCTTCCATATCATCGAACTCGGGCGACGACAGGTCGACTTCGGGGGAGAGGCTCAGCTCTCTTCTTCGGTCGTTGTCTGCGCTTTCAGCATCTTCCGATGTTGAGGTCGAGCTCGATAGTTCCGGTGTCGCGATTGCACGCGCCACCGACTGGTTGGAAGCATCAGGAAGAGGCTGGTGCGGGCAAACCGTAAGGTAGAAATATGTTCTTCTGGGATGTACTGTTTCCAGCTCCTTCGCCAGAGGGCAAGGCGACATAGTGGACCAACACGAGCGCTTCAGGTACCCCGAAAGACGAGAAGAAATGATCGCACAAGGATTTGCGGATCTGTAAAAAGGGTAAGCGCAAGCTGGACTTGGAGATTGTGCTATGCCAAATGGCGGCTGAACTTACTGTTGAACTATCTTTACTTGCCCCATTAATACGTTGGCAAGCTCCTTGACCAGGTGAGGGCGGTTTCTAGACTCTTGCAGGCGCACGACAACAGCTTCGACAATTTCATCGTTTACGGTGCCCAAATCGATGCTTTTCATCTGTTCTAGTGCTGATGCTTCATTTTCGTCTTCCTCCTCAATGGACATGTGCAGACCCGGCGATGGCGGAGGAGTTGTCTCAAATCTGGCGGATTTCGACGCTTTCAAGGTTGCCGATTTTGACCCATCCACCCTGTCATGCGATCGTTTGCTTCTCTTGCTTGAATGTGACACGTCGTCCTCAGACGATGAATACGAACGGGCGGTTTTCGGGGACATGCTTGGTGTCTTGTTGTTTGATGTGTTCGACTTGGACGACGCAGATTTCGGGACGTGTATGCCGAGGGATGTCAAGGACAACGACTTGCGGCGAGTATCGTAAGGCATATTGATGAAATATGAAAGTGCTCAGGGGAGGGGGGATGTGATATTTGAATTAAATGATGCAGATCAGAATGGCCCAAGAGTGTTGAGACTGTGGCACGGCTGCGGGACGGGTAGAGTTAAAACAGCGAGAGTCAGGGGAAGGGTAGATGTTGAGTGTGTAAGTTACAAGACAACAGCTGCTGGTAATAGTAGTACAACAACAAGGTATGTATTAAGGCCGGGGTGTGTGTGTTAATGACGAGAAAGGCGGTGGACAACTTCGATGCATGCAATTAATGTATGAATCGAGAAGAGTGCAGCATGGGAGAAATAGGATAAGACGTAGGGGAAAGAGGCGGCGGCGTTGATGGATGATGGATGGCGTTAAAACAGTGCGTTGTCGATGCGACGAATAGAAATGAATCAATATGGGAGTCGGCAAACAGCAGTTTCTACAGTGTCTCCGTAATAGACCCTTGACTAGTGAATATAGTCACTGTACAGTATGGATATGGGGATTGGAACCGACAGAAGGGGGACATGGGTCTCCGTGAAGGTTCCAAGGGATGTCGATGTCAAGGATGTGTCAAGGCTGTGGCAGGCTGCAAGCAGGAGGGAAAAAAAAAAAAAAAAAAAACTGGCGCGCGAAACCTTGAGCTTGACTGCTAGAGCTACCCAAAGAAGAAAAGAAAGAAAAAATCTGGGTACGGAGTATGCGGAATGAAAAGTGACATGGCTCTAGGCTGTGTGCATGGCCCCACGAGAGGTACCTGGAGCATGGAGGGATGTGCAGGGATAATCGCTTGCTTCGAGAATGGCTTGGGATCCATCTTGCTAGCTTGCAGTATAATTGATTGGCCCATTCTGTCCGGCGGCGCGGTCAAAGTGCACGTCTGTGTTTTAGGGGTCTTCGTTTTTTCTTCTCATAAGATTTCAGCTACTCATGCGACATGAACCCGCCACTGTGTACGTAACTGATTCGGTGTTACTCGCTTTACCTTAGTACTCATCGTTCATTCTACAAGGCGGCGGGTTGCCTCAAACATCGCCTTTGATGTCAGTTGGAGATGCCGAGGGAGTGAGTGACGGTCATGGACTCGCAGAGAGTGACAAGAGAAAAATAAATTGGAAGTAGCGGTAAGTGATGGCCAATGCACGTACACACATGAGGTTGCATTGCTCCCCCGAGCACATACGGATCCGTACTGCAGGATGATCTTCCAAAAGCAGTTCCCTCTAAAATCTGATTGGACGGTGCTGCCGGGCGTGCACTATGGAACGCAGGCCAGACGAGAAAAAAAAAATATTTAGCTGGCAGGGCGACTGACAGGAAAAAGTTCTGTCGTCAGCCTTGCACATTAGAAGCAGAAGTGCTCCAGGTTCATGACAGGGGGACAGTGCGAATATCTTTTCCGAGGGAAACTCGGGAGAACAATAGCTGCACCGGAGCTAGGAGTCTAAGACTGAAGATGCGACTCTCAGAAAACCAAAAAGTAAGAGAAAAAGAAAAAGTCCACTTGGGCTAGAAAAAAAGTCGTGTGAGCGGAGCACAACAAACAACGACCAGCCGGATCGTCAGGAAATAAATCGCGCCGGTGTCAAGCGTTCAGCGTTCCTGCACCAACCGGCAGTGACGACTGCGACTGCTTTGGCGGAGGTTTCATGCTCAAGCATGCTCATTGACCCTCGATGCACTCTCAATTTCAAGTCGGTGTCCTCCAATACACCCTCTCCAGCTGCGATTCTCCAAGACATCGTCCCACCGTTGCAAACAACAAGCAGACAAGGCTATCTATCTCTCGGATGCTGTGTTACACGAATTGTCAGCCCAAATTTATTGAATGTTGTATCTCATTGAATCTTCCTCTGGTGGTTGCCAAATGCGATTGCCCTTGATGCGAAACACATCACTCATACTCTGCGTCCGCTTGAACACAACAATGACTGCATATCATCCCCCCCCCCCTCCCTCCTCCAGCCAAGCTCTGAAATGAGCTGGACACCATGCCTTCAGCTTATTGTTGCTTAACCTTGGCGTACATTATGATGTCGACGTCGATCTCACCACCATGCCACCCAATCGACTTTCAATCAACTCCGTCTTTTCCTCGACATGCTTTCCCAAATCAAGCAACATGCCCCCGGAAGTATGCCGCGGTAGCTAAACTTCATATGCCCTAGCACCTTCGGTACTATGACCGACTGGGTTGCTCGCCAACGGGTTGATGGAGCCCAGCAAGCCCAGGTGCGTTTGCAGAACCTTGGCGCTCCTGTACATGACGTTCGTACCATTGAATGCTCACGCGAGAGGCTGCTTCAAACTTTTGCGCACAGCACCTCATTGGTTCGACTGTAAGCCTCCTCCGCTGCAAATTGGAGTCATGTCTCTCTCCACTTCTAGATCTTGATCGAGGTTTAGAGGTAGGCAGGCGTCCAATCACTCTGCAGCCGTTTCGAGGCCTTCCGTCCTGCACGCTGAGGTTGCTGCCAGGCTGCTTCTGCGCAGTCTGACTCGCATCCAAACCACCAACCACATCTGACTGGAAGTTTACAAGAGCCGGACATGAATTGGTATGCAGCTATTGCAGAGTCAAGTACTGGCCTCCTACAGGCACCTTGCGCACGGCGGCGACAACAACGGAGATTGTCGCCGGCAAATGGCTAACTTTGCGCGCGTTGCTGCATGCCAATAGACAGCACAAACATGGACTTCGCCATCAGGGAATTATCATTTCTGCATGCCTCAAAATAACTCCTGAACCGCACGGGTGGTATTTGCAGCACCTTTAATCATATCCCAAACCTTAGAGCTTCCTTTTCCCATGGTTATCCGCTACATGCATGCAAGACAACAAACCTTGTTTCTGTGACTTACCTTGGCTTGAACGATAAATTTGACCACCAATGCACACGGCTTCACTATGATATGCCCCTTTGCCAATCTCTCGTGGCACTCCAGTCTGCCCCGGCCCGAAGCTTTGGTTTAAGCAGCACAACTTTGACCTTAACCACGAGTGCCGGCGATTGTGTTTCATCGACTTAGACCGCAGGGTTTGGGAATGTATAACTCCATGTAACCTGTCAATCGAAAACCTCGCCACTGATGTCACTCACCATTGGTGCTTGCTTGCTCGCGTTTGTCTTTACAATCCAATCAACGTGGAAAATAGGTCCGCAACGAGTCAGTTAGTTGGCCCTATACCAGCTGGATTTCCCAACTTGAATATACTCCACACACATAGTAGGCCTAGCTTATGCACTCCATGAACCATCTAAACCCAAACCATCATCAAAGAACGTGGCTTGTGGATGGTATCCTTGCAGACGGTTACATCACAACAACAGACTTGGGGGATTTCCGCTTCGTGCCACTGTCGTACGACGATTGTGGTCATCGTACTATTGTAGCACGACAAGAAACAATACGTGGGCCCCCAGAGGTTATAATACCCTCCCTGCTTCGAAGTCCCAGACAAAAGACCGTGGCATATCACTTGAAGCGTCAATCCGTCCATGTAGAACCAATCACCTTGGGTTCCACTGGCTTGAGCTGCCCGTCCCTCCAGTCCCCAATCCTGAGCTGCGCTATCCGAGCTCTTTCATAGACCACATCTATAGTAAAAGCCAAGATCCGACCGAGTGCCTCAGCCGCACCATGTACTGTGTATAGTCTGAACCCACTTTGTTCCACCGGGGGAACCCGTGCTCCTTCTATCCATACGCAGAGCTGGTACACAGTGTGCTTGACCACGCCTGCACGAGGTATTTACCACGTTCGCACCCAAGGCAGTAAGCGGCCAGACTACGGAAATAACTAGTATACCCTATCGTGGTTTCGCCCTGCCCGCGGCCTAGTAGAGACTCCGGGACTCCCCCAGGGACCCATCGGGAGCTGCGTTGTTCCACTGTCGCCGAGCTGCGTGATATACACCATGTGGTAGACCTGGCACCGGGTGGGCATGGACATTAGCACACAGGTCGTAGAAAAAGACAGCGCCTCCTGTACGGATGCCTCAAGAGTGAGCCGGTATTCTTTCTCAAGGGTCAACCATTATTTTGGACAAGGGGCACGCTACATCTCGAGGTTCGATGGGCACTCGCCTCTATTTCGGCGTCTTGGTTCTGATGCCATCGATTTATCGATTTTGCGTGGGCCCTGGGATGTGCGGTAACAACGATCATAAGTAGCATCATCATTAAACTCCCATAAATTGACTAAATTATATCGGTGTATCTATTCATAACGGAAAATTGATCTACAGTATGCGTCGATATCAGTGCAGAAATTTCACAGCCGGTCACATGTGATCAACAAAGACTTTGTGGCATGATTCAGCGCCAGCAGATAACCAAATAGGACACGATTACATGATATGAGTTTAACTTGGCACCGATTAGTCGTACAGTCTGTATTGAAATTCGATTCTTTCACTGTTAGTTGAGACAACCTCAAGTGCAACTAGTCTTTGTGTGGGTTCGTTCGATACCTGCGACTGTCTAACTGTCTACCTGAGTACTGCAACGTATTACGGAGAAGTACACGATGATCTGTCTCAAGAGTTATCATTGCCCTCAGACTCTGCTACAAAATGCAATTCTCATCCTCTTCGTTCGTTTTCATTCGGGAAATGGTTTTGGGGGAGATGTGGTGTATAGATTCGACTTCGTGGGACAGGTTCTTGACTTAGGGGCATGGTACGATGCGTGAATTGGGCTGGCGTCACCGTTGTCGTTTTCCAAAGAGATGACGGCCGAGCCGCGGCCACGCGTGTCGCATATTGCTGTGAAGAAGTACCCCCAAAGCGTCGATCAATGGCGTTACCCCTCTGATTTTGGTTCTTTCCGTTCTCTTTCACCTTTGTGTACGTATCGGCCTGGATGTGACTTTTCAATTCATCAGGTGTGAGCTCATTCGTTGGCTTGTGCTCCTAGCGACACCCAGCGAAGTTGAATCTCTATCTCAATTTCGAGGAGACCGGGCTGTCCCTCCAATTAGGGCTTGCACCGAACATTCCAATACCTCCTCCGGTCTTCCTGCCTGGCGTGCTTGGTCCTCCGGTCGATCCATCAATAGGCGGTGTATCGGTTCTCGGGACGTTGGCGTCGAGATTGCCTTGCTTGGAAGGCGGTTTGAAGTTCATACTGAAACCCTTCTGGTATATCTCCATCAAAACCGACCTGAATATGCCTGCATCGGTGAATTCTTGATATTTCCTGTAAAGACGAAGAGCAGTCCTGGCATCTTCGATCGAATCGTGTGTTTCCAGTTGAATTTCCTCCTTGAGAAGATACCAAGCGAGGAACTGCAGGCTGAGTTTCCGTTTCTTCGACGAGTCAAAGAAGAGGTCGCTAGTGTCAATAATTTGGTCCCGCGGGACATGTATGTTAATGACACGGAAATCCTGCTTGAGGCCATGACCAAGGAATTTGCAGCCAAGATTCAACAGGATCCACATCTTCTTGTAGACAATCTTCAAGGGCACCAGCGTATGGCTTGTCCGCTTAGGATCTAGGTCCTCTGGTACAATGCCGGAGTATTGGGTTAAGTAGTCGACAACCTCATCTTTGATGTGGACGTAATCGTCCATGAAGGGCACGCCCTCGTCTATGCCGCTGCCGCGCAAGACAGATGTTCGTGCTAATGCGTGCACTGTTGGTCGAATTGTTCTTTCATCGCCATCGGAAGTTATCTCGATCTCGCGGTTCGAAGTCGATACGAATTCAGTGTCAATCGCAATAATGGTATCGGACGACACCTTCTCTGTCTCTACATTGAGAGTACGGTAAGTCTTATCGGTCAAGTCGGGCCTGGAAAGCAATTAGCAGCGCGCAACGCTTTTATGGGGAGGAGACCTACTTCAGGTCGTAGTAGAGTAGGCTGGCATCCAGCTTTTCTTTCCAACTATGATCAATCTTGTTGTTCGCTTCCTTTTGCTGAAATGTGATGACCGATGGCAACTTCCATGAAGAATTGAAGGTGAGAGCTTCTTCACGGGCAACTGGGACAACATGAAAATCGTTGAAAAGGTACCATTGGTTCTTTCCAGGAGACTGCTCTGCCGAATGAGCAACTACAGTGATGATTAGTGCGCCATTTCCTGCTCTGAGTGCAGAGCATTACATACCGTTTACCATTGCAACAAGATGACTCTCTTTCATACCAGTGTCAATATCAACAGCGAGCGCTGTAAGAGAGTACACGACCAATTTGTGTTGAAGCTGGTTTCGTTGTTGTCTGTCTATCAGCGACTTCAATTCATGACCTTCAAAGCAGAAAAATGCGCCGTCGTCGATGATGACTCCGATTTCTTCTGGTAGCCATCCTGGTGTCGCCAACAGTCTTCGGTCTACATCTCGGAAATCACCCGCATGTAGTGTTAGCACGACTGGGAGCTGATGGGTCACTTTCCTGTTGCTTAGCAACTTGTACCCGCGACAATTGTGGCAGAATCCCTTTTGGCTCACATCTTTCTCGATGCTCTTCTTAAGGATCTGAGAAAATGTGACTGTAGCGCTCTTGGCATGTCTAGATCCAGACTTCTTTTCATCGTGTCAGTTGTGCAACAAGGTGCATGGAGCTGGATACTCACGCTTGTTTTGAAGTCCAATTCATGATAATACGATGGATTGCTTTTCTTTGCTTCAACTCCGCATAGATGACATTTTATGACACTTGTGGCTTCGGTTTTGAGAAGCTTTGCAGGTCAGCGGTTGCTGACTTTTTCAGAGGAAGTTTGCAACTTACCTTGTCCATCGTGTCTGAATGTTCAGTTCTCATGTGGTCCTTCACAATTTGGGGTAATAGAAAGCGGGATAAGTTTTGCAGCATTGAAGACCGTGGTTGGCCGCCTGAGCGCCCCTCGAGTACGTTCAAGTTGGCCGCTGCTCAATGTTAGCACATATGCATTCTGAGGTTCTTCAAACCCTGACTTACCAAGCGGGTAATAGCTGACTATTTTCAGCAGGTTCGAAGCATGACACGGAGCCGAGCCTGCTTTGGAAAGCATATCGAATAGAAATCCCAGTTCACAGAGCAGACAGTGCTCATCGTAACACTGGGAGGCTGTGTGCTGTAGAGCCAGGTTTCTCAGGGCAGGGGTGAAGAACATGACCTGTAAAAGGGCATTGGCATAGCAATGCACAACGTGGTTCTGTAAACCGGCGTATGGTGTCTTGTTGTAGAACCTGGTAAAGTCAGTAATGCCAAATGACTCTTTACATTCGTCGAACATACCCAAAGTCAAAATCATCAATACCAAATTTGCTGTACTGAATATCAATACTCCGGTATAGCTCTGGGACGTTGGGCTTGTGGCTTTCCAGTGGTTTGTCTTTGTTAGTTACATCCTGTAAGGGATCATTGGGAACGTCCTCTGGTGCCGGTGTTCCAGCCGGTGAATGTCCTAGCTCGCGAGCCTGTTCGCTCAGGAACTTGGGCTTGTTGATGAGGCCGAATTCCTTGGTATTTTGAAGTCTTCGTGTATCTTCGGCTTGGTTGCGCTTGAGGGCTCTGGTATTCTTGCCATAAAGACCCCAATCTCTGCTCTGAAGGCTGCGCAAGAAATGAGGATCATCTCTTGCTGGTGCCGCGCCTACCTCATAGACTCCATCTGTCGGCCAAGCTGATAGCAGGGTCTCCCTGTAGTAGGGTATACCGACCGAATTCAGAGGCCTGTAGTCATGTTAGTTTTGCCCAACAGCCAATACGACAATTGTTGGGAGGAAATCCGTACGTTTTATCGTCCCAATCGACATCTGGCGCCGGGGTCTCAGGATCAGCCCATTCTATTGGGGTCGGGACTTCAGCAAAATGCATTTTACTGACGGAACCCCAAAGATGAATGTTGCATTTGTCGTCGGCAAGGGCCATACCCTCTCCTGATGGTGCTATATCAAACGCAGTGGGAAAGGACAGCAGATTCGTTTGGCGCACGATAGTTCCGGTATTGGGATTCATCAAGTCGACAACATGAATCTGGCCGTGTTGTGATACCACTATGCTCGTAGTCGACATTCTAGGATGCATGCGCACATAGGCACCGCCAGCGGGAAAGGGAACTGGGTTCATCGAGACCATGTTCTTTAGGTCGTAGACATTAACGAACAGGTCGCACATGTAAGCTGATTGGGAATAACCGGACCGGAGAGTGAGACCGCATGTGACGATGAAGTCGTGCTGAGCATCCATATCGTGGATGATGCCGGCGTGAGGGGCCCACGCCTTGATCACCCTAAAGCTCAGGGGGTCCAAGATGTGGACGGCAGGACCAGTGGTGGCGGCGCAGATGTACCGGCTCCTCCTCATAATCTTATAGTGTGCTTCAGCGGGCAAGACCTTAGTCACCTCGCCCTTGTTCACGTCAATGACAAACATCTTGTCCTGCTCGCCGGCAACGAGAATCTCGGCCGTCCCCTTGGAGGTGAAAGTCATACATCGCAGGTCCTTCATGCCTTCGTGTCGGATGTTCCACAAGGGCGGCCCCCTTCGCAGAGCCATATGGACGCCGCGCGGGCCGAGGGCAATGACGCCCTTGTCGCTAAAGAGCAATTGCTGTACCTTGCCATCTTGCGAGCTGTGGGCCTTGAAGGAGGTATACTGGTTGAGAAGGCTGGTGCCATAGAAGGACGTGACCCTTCCATAGTCGTTTCCGGCCCAGAGCAGCTCCTGGCTGGTATCGAAAGCGAGCGTCGTCACTGGAGTGTGATGCGCCCTAAGTCCCGGAGGAGGTAGGGGTGTCTGGGATACCTGCGACAAGGGGGTATTCTGTCAGTTCAAAGCAATCGGCGAGCTGAGGCGTACTATAGCTAGCCATTATAGGGTGAGGGTGCGCGCGAAGGGTGCCAGAGACGCGGGGCATCAGGCTGGCTTGACGCGACACCACGTTCTGTCCTGTCCCTGTCCTCTCCGCTCTCAGGCCAGAAGATTGAGATGTATAACGTACCTCGTCCCAGTCTGCATCCATTTTGAGCGTATGTCATGATCGCCCGGCTGTGGAAGAGTGGAAATGAAATCATGCGACTGGCATCAACTTCCGAGAGTGTAGGTGAACAGAGCTCTGTAGCGTGACAACCCGCTTGCCGTTACGGATTACAGCCTTACTTAATAACAATTAAGCCTTGCAATGCGATTATCTGATTGTCAAATCCCTGTCTCGGTAGTACAGCAAGTACGGATCCGTAAAGTCGGTACTGTAGGAACGAGCACTTTGGCGGGGCATGAGCTTGGATTCTGTTCTATTCTAATAACGTTAGCCTACACACAGCAGGCCGTAGCTTCGAGAATCAGAAAGGTTTTGACTTGAGCACGCGCACGGACCTTCACCTAATGAGCACTCTCCGACCCGTGATCGCGGGGTTAATTTATTGTTACTGCTCTGCATTAATCCTTGTCTTAACTACGCGATTATGATCATGCGATTGTCAGCCTCTCCCAGTGGTATGTAGATAGCTAGCAGGGCTAGGGGGGATCAGTATTGTGTAGTGCAAACCTATCTTGTAGGAATCCTCATATTTTCCCTATGATCGCTATCAGGATTGAACATCAATCAAGTATGATGCTTGTCTGTGGTCAAGCGAACAAGCTGGCTTTCCTTGCCTATGTAAGTTGCCTTATGGCCTAAGAAGTATAGTGCGGACAAAGACAGAATGGCTGAGGTCGGACAAGATGACAACTAGAGTGGCAATATCGGTTCACTCTTGTATTTCGTTAGCCCGGAATATGTGATGGCCGTTTCCATACTTGCCTTGTCACAATAATCTTTCTATTTAACATATGTTTTAGTTCTGTCAATATAGAAATTTAACCTCGGAAAGCCTGACAGACCATGGGAATTTCTCGTTAGATCTTATTGACTACATATATGACCCTAATAGACTGAAATTGGGCTTCCCTTCGACCGAAATACTGCATGTAAATGTACGAGGCACGCTGATATGGTCTGAATCGTAGACGTGAACACTCTCTCGTGTGTGACAAGTCGTAAACAGCAATCCATGTGATGCATCATTCCGAGGAAGTAGTCGTCGTTTGAAATGCATTTGCAAGTCATACATTCGGTCCCGAGACCTTAATTCACATATTGTGCATTCAATGTGCATGTCCAATACCTGGTTATCCAATCTGTTTCATTCATTCTTAACCGGTACTGTTCTATTCCGGCAATGTACCTCACAAGTCCGAGAATTTTCTGCGGAACTTTTCATCCCCATTCCGACAAGTACCTAAGTTGTACAGTGAGCTCTGCACTAGAGCTATGTCCCAATTCGATAACCCCAATCTCTCCTCCCTGGATATATATACTTCTCCCAACGTGAGGCTATTGGCCCTTCCAAATCTGGCATTTCCTTCCTCATAAAATATGGCAGGTATCGATAAATCAAAAACAAAAGCTGTGAAGCCAAACGTCTAAACAACGGGACCGGCGGCTTTGACGTCGTCAGTAGCCTCCGACTCGTACTTTTGGAAGTTTTCAATGAAGAGACCACCAAGCTTCTTGACTTCTTGTTGGAAGCTCTCTTCGCCCGCAGTCCAGGCCTTGGCTGGGTTCAGCAACTCATCAGGAACGCCAGGGCAGGTCTTGGGGACAGGCAGGTTGAAGACCTCATAAGTCTCGTACTCAACCTTGGCGAGCTCACCAGAGTGGATGGCGTCAAGGATAGCACGAGTGTACTTGAGTGGGCAGCGCTTTCCACCGTGGGTGTAGCCAGCACCGACCCAGCCAGTGTTGAGGAGCCATGCGTTGGCCTCGTGTTTCTCAATCTTCTCGGCCAACATCTTAGCGTACTTCATGGGGTGAAGAGCCAAGAAAGGCTGTGCAAAGCATGAGGAGAATGTGGCTTGCGGTTCAGTGACACCATCCTCAGTACCGGCCATCTTCGAGGTGTAACCAGAGATGAAATGGAACATGGTCTGAGCACTGCTGAGCTTGGAGATGGGCGGCAATACACCACGAGCGTCACAAGTCAACAGGATGATGTTCTTGGGGTGGTTTTCAGACAAGCAAGGGATCTTGGCGTTAGAGATGTACTCAATAGGGTATGCGCATCGAGTGTTCTCGGTCAAAGTTGCATCATCGTAGTCAACTTCTCGGGTGTCCTGGTCGAAGACGACGTTCTCCAGGACAGAGCCGTAGCGGATGGCACCGTGGATATCGGGCTCCTTCTCAGCAGAAAGACCAATGCACTTGGCGTAGCAACCACCCTCAATGTTGAAGACACCACGATCACTCCAGCAGTGCTCATCGTCACCGATCAGGGCACGGTTGGGATCGGCAGACAGGGTAGTCTTGCCAGTTCCGGACAGACCGAAGAAAAGGGTAACGTCGCCATCCTTGCCCTCGTTGGCGGATGAGTGAAGAGTCAAAACGTGGTGCTTGATAGGCATCTCGTAGAACAGAACAGTGAAAACACCCTTCTTCATCTCACCAGCGTACTCAGTACCGAGGATAACCATCTCCTTCTCGGCAAAGTTGATGGCCACTGAAGTGCCCGAGGTCATACCCTCAGTGTATCTGTTGGCAGGGAAAGTACCGGCATTGTAGATTGTGTAGTCGGGGTGGAAGTGCTCCAGCTCCTCACGAGGAGGGCGGATAAGCATGTTGCGCATAAACAGGGCATGGTAGGCACGCGCGCAGACAACTCTGACACGGATTCTGTACTTCTCGTCCCATCCAGCGTAACCATCAACGACGTAAATTCTTGTCCTGGTGTTCAGGTAGTCAACAGCACGTTCGCGGTTGATCTTCCACACCTATTATTAAGTTGTTAGCCACAATATTGTATGAATGCTCTTGAGGCGTGATGGTAAAGATGAAGGGAGGCACGTGAGGTACACCCGCTAGTGTTTAGTGTGGCTTGTGAAAAGGCGGGGTGCAGTGATCTACTGCAGCAATGACGCCACTGGGACACACTCCTCGTGGTCATGTTTAAGATTCAGCACCGTTGCAAACCCAAGCGCCCACAAAATGCCGAGATTTCCAGATTTCTGAAGTCCCGAGGTTATGACCTGCACCAATGACACAGAAGGGAATTCTCATTGTGACGCAAGGTTTCCCCATGGCCGGAAACCCACGTCTAAACCATTGCGGGGAGGATGTGTGAGGCGTGGTGGGGCAGTGATTTGTGTTGTACGACGGGGGAGTACAGGGCATGGGAATGCCGCCGGACAGAGAGACATTGTGATTTGGGATGATGGCAGAAAAGAACAATTGAGAAGAGTGAATCGTACCTCAGGTGCCATAGGCTTGTTTACGGGCCCCCACCAGATATCGTTTTCTGACGATGGCTCCTTAACAATTCGCTTGTCTGAGGGTGATCGACCGGTCTTCGCACCGGAGTATGCTGTGAGGGCACCGCTGGAAGCGATGGCTGAACCGACTTCGTATACAAGAGCATCTTCGTACAACGCGGCGACTGATGGGTTGTGAATCTGTTCAATAACCACGTTAGCATTGTACAAGATACGAGTTCCGAATATTGGAGCCGACGTACAATGGCGACTCGGTCGTAGTCAATGTGTGCCTTGTCGTGAAGTTCGATTTCAAGTTCTGTATGTTCCACCTCCTGCTGGGGCTCAATGCCACCAGGGTGGAGGGCTGTCTTATTGACTTTGTTGTTGGAAATCATCTTGCGATCCTGGAGAAGAGAATGGGTGATTGCGGACTTCAATTGCTGACCACGAGGACCGGTGACGGATTTGTCTGGATAGGGAGAAGCTGTTCTTGGAATGGGAGAAGCTGTTCTTGCAATGGGGTTGGCCATGGTTCTTAAACTCTGGGTTCTTCTCTGATAACGATGAGGACTGGATAGTGAGATCCACTTGTCGGTGATACACGGGCGATTCAGGACGACGATGCTGGCTTGAGACTTGTTAGTCGTGGGCCTCCAATACATGGGCCGAAACCGAGGATATAAGAAGTAAACCTGATGTGGAGAAGCCGAAACTAGATGGACACATCCAATAGGTCAGTAGTCATCGTTAATAGTGATTGGGCGCTGGGTCACGAATTCAAACCGGAGCAATGACCCTGCAACCCCGGAATTTGCACATAGCCATGCATGATTGATTATCTTTTGGCCATGATGATACATGGTATATGCAAAATCTAGTAAATTGTCGGGATAGTAAAACAGTCTAACTAGAATGATTCCCATTATCAGGATCTGCGAGCACACATAATGAGCAGTGTAGATGCTTTTAGATAACAACTGCGTTGTCAGTATTAGGAGGTGGGTATTCGGGACTCTGACTATGACCAGTTCCTGATTGGAGAACGACTCTGGATACAGCCCACTTTTCCCCAGATCATTGCCCACGTTCCGTCAACCCAGGTTACACTTTCTCGTGCCGTAAGTTGAACCAACAGGTAGTGCATTTTCGAAACATTCGTCACAAAACTTTACTTGTCTTTTGCCTTTGAATTGATATACCATTATCCTTCATCTAGTAATACTGAGCTCTCTCGCTGTTCCTGTAGTTCATGACACTTTCAGTATTTGTGGTTGGATCTCGATTTCGATATCAGGTAGCCGGAACGTCGATCAGTATCTACAAACGGTTTTCACGAAGAGAGTTAGGAGGGGCATTCTCGTGGCTTGACAGGGGCTCTCAACCCGTCTCGTGTCAAAGATTGCCCTCTGACTTTCCGGGACCACCAAGCGGTAACTCATAATGACAGGGGTAGACAGAATGTGGGGTGCCCCAGGCACTCAGCTGGCATACACCCAAACTTTCAACGATTATTCACATGCCTGATACAGTACTACCTATCGATGTCTTACAAGTGCTTTTTTGAGTTGGCGAAAATTCTGATGCTTACAGATAGATATAATTAATAACCCAGCCCGTGCCAACACCGTCAGCCAGAAATTTGCATATTGTAGACCAGCGCTCGCATTGCATAAACTCCACGGTCCTCAATGACGACCCAAGCCCTGCCAAAGGTGATGCAGCCCAGCGCCCCGCACCCGCCATGGGTCCCCCAAAGATTCACCTCCGATATGACCCGCGCGGGGCCTGGGGCTTATCAGCGGCTCAATATTTGCAAGCTAAATCTGGATATTTCATGAGATGCTTTAAGCCAGTCCGGGAAAGCGTGCAAATTGAGTCAACCACAAGGACAATTTACGTAAAGTCAGGGCAAGGGCATTAGGAAGGAAGTCTGGCTTGGGCAGTCCGAACTATCAGAGCGCCTGGGATGGGTTACCATCGTGACTCTGCACGTACGCACGACAAATGAGCTCCCCGTTGTGGCTGTCTGTCACGAGCTCGTTTTAATGAAAACTTTTGTCTACGCCCATGGGAAACTCGGCTTGGCAAAACTCACACAGGTTCTAAGATCCAAGTTCCCGACACAACGGAAGTGGGCCAGGAGGCCGCCATTGCTTCTACAAATTGCGGCTTGCGTGCCCGTGTAAACGACATTGTCACAGGTATCGCGTGCAGCTCGTCCACAATAACACCGAGACGTAGTGCCCACAACTATAAACTGTGAAGTCATCAGCGATCCCAGTTGAGGAAATGTAGCTAATGCAACGATTCCGTTCCAGCCCTCTCTCTTAAACTGACAAGCTTTTTCGTCCCATTTCCTAGCTCGCGGAGAAAGGTTACCAGGGCAAATTTGGCTTCCCTGGTTGCCTGGCTATACACTCTTCCGCTCAGCCGGGGGCGTATCTAGTGCAACTGCCGCCTCAGACATAGCCTCACAGTTCCATCTTCAGTCGTCATTCGGTGCCGAGTTCTTCCGAGTCTATCTATGCGCAATCTAGACTGATTAACACACAATAGTTGAAACCCGACAAGTAATGCTTCACATGCTTGACAGATTGCCGGGCGGACGCTAGCCCACCTACAGCCCCCCTCCCCGCATATTACCCCATCGCTATGCAATCCCCCGAATATGGAAAACCAGCCCTGTGCTGCCCGAGATGTCCCGAAAATGTATACTCGCTGCAGGGGTGACCGAATCATTCCGAAATTTGTATACTATTTCGATATCGGGAGAACTCGGACCCCACAGCCAGCGAATAGTGACACAAGCGCACATACCCCTGCGACATACCTACAGCCTACTGTAAGTTACGGAATCGTCGACACTGATAGCGTCATACCTTATGTCCTCTGCTTCTTCGTTCTCAATCCTTTCAAAAAGTCATGTTGACAACTTAGTAACAACAAACTGCAATGGTGTCCCTCTTCCATAACAATTGTACAAATTGTTGATCCAGAGAGTCGCACAACTGTTGCGTGTGATCATTCATTGACAGCAGCTCCGTTGGTTCACGACAATAAATATTGATACTCGGTGACTCATCACTCTGAACATGATGCCCAGAATCTAAGGCGATGAAATTTTCTCGCAGAATAGGGAGATATTCCAGGAGACGCACAACCACTCGAGATACTTGTGTATGTTTTAAATGTCATAACTCATGTCTGATCTCGGTGAATTTAGTGGAAATGTTGTACATTTTGGCAAGACAACCGTGTAACACATATGAACCTACCACTTACCACATAATATCTAAATATTGTAAGCATTCCACGGAATATATATATAGGTATAGTAACAGATTAGGCCAAGTTGAGAGCGAGCTATTGGTTCTTTTTGCGACGTGTTTATACTTGGCAGCCTAGTCAACTATCTCGAGGCTAGGCATGCAATGCCGAGCCCCTCTATCTACGATGGCTAGTACTGAGTTGGCTCTGAACATCCTGGACGCGTTAGGTCCCCGGATCTTCAGCATTTTCCATAGTGGTCCTCCCGTTTCCACTTCTATCTTAGTTGCCGTAGCTCGTTGTACATACACTGTTCTCATGAGACTAGCCACACGAATACGGTATAGTCGTCCCGGACAAACTCTTGGCCCAATCTCGTGCTTCGTAAAGTCATGCGGTGGTCGTTTAAGCATTTTCATCCGTGATGAGCTTGATGATCTTGCCGATGGCAATGGTTTGGCCCTGGGGAAATTTATTAGTTTTCTCAGCCCGTATTTAGAGCACTTGTGTTTGAGTGATGGATAACTTACCTGGTCTCTCAAGGTGAAACGGCCCATCTGAGGGTAGTCATCGAATTTTTCGATGCAGATTGATCCGGCGCCACCAATAATCTGTAGGCGGGCAATAATGCTGTCGCCTTTCTTGGCATGGGAAGGAGGTACTTTACTCTTGCGGTTGGTGCCCTTCTGCAGCTTGTGAAGCAGAGCTGAGAAAGTGACCTCTTCAATAGCTGTGTGCACGTGGCATACACAATTGAAACCAGCGCTAAGAATGCTCTTCAGATCAAGAATGCGGATCTGAGCCTCGAACTCTGAAACCCTGTGGACCAGACGCTTTGGCGAGCAGAGAACGAAACCAGGCAGGATATCTTCTTCTTCGAGACCACGCAATCTGATGCGGACCTGGTCACCACTCTGGGCAATGCCGACTTCTTCTTCGGTTTCGGTATACACAGCCGTGATGTCGATCTTGTCGTTGTTAGGCATCATGATCAAGGACATACCCTTCTTAATAACACCAGCTTCAATCTTGCCCTCAATCATAGTACCCATGTCACGATACTTGGCAGCCACGGGCATCATGAAGGGTGCGTTGAGCTTACGCTCGACAGTAGACATGCCGTCGAGGTATTCGAGCAGAGATGGCCCGTCGTAGAATTTGCAGACACCCTTCGGTATTCTGTCCTTGATACCATACAGCTGCTGCGCTGCGATGGGCATGAAGAAAACATCTGTCTTCAAGTTGTAACCGGTTCCCTTGAGGAACACTGCCAGCTTGGTCGTACACTCCTTGTATCTGTCCTCTGACCACTCAACAGTGGGGTCGTCCATCTTGTTGATAACAACGACCAACTTGTTCACACCCTGAGTCTTGGCTAGCATGGCGTGCTCACGGGTCTGGCCGCCCTTTTCGAAACCAGTCTCGTACTCACCCTTTCGAGCAGAAATGACGAGGATACCGACGTCAGCCTGGGCAGCGCCGCCGATCATGCTGGCGACATATGTTTTGTGACCAGGGGCGTCGAGGATCGAGTATCGTCTTTTTTCGGTTTCGAAGAATCCTCGACCGACTTCAACTGTCTTACCCTTGGAACGCTCCTCCTTGGTGAGATCCAGAGCCCACGACAGGTACCAGGTCTCACGCCCAAGCTCCTTTGCTTCTCGCTTGTATTTGTCCAAAGTACGCTCATCGACCATGCCAGTAGCTGCAAGAATGGCACCACCAAGTGTGGACTTGCCAGCATCGACGTGACCGATGAAGATGACGTTGACGTGCTCTTTGCCGTACATGTCCTTCAAGGTCTCTTCATCGACATCAGCTGATTGCGCCTTGGCGACTGCGTCGGCTTCTCGCTTTTCAGCAGCAGCCGCTGCCTTGGACTGCTTGACCTCGGCTCTGCTAGGGCTAGATCGACCCGAGTCAGCTGATGGTGTTGGCGATGTCCTTCCGCTAGCAGTCTTGGTGGTCTCTCCAGCCTTTTCGACAGCCTTGGCAGCGGTAGCCTTGTTGCCTGCTTCAGGAGCAGCCTCAGCCTCTTTCTTGGGCTCATCCTTGGGGGGAGCGGGCACGCCAATGGACAAGACTTTAGCAGCACCTTCCTTAGTGACCGTGGGCTTAGCAGCGTCTCCTCCAATGCTCAGGATCTTTGTACCACCAGTCTTCTCGACTGTGGGCTTGTCGGTCGCTGACGAGGAAGCAGCGGAATCTGGGCGCTTGGCGATGGTGGGAGTAGGTTTGGCTGCTTGTTGCTGCTGATTCTGTCTCTGGTTCTGGGTTTGTTGGAACTGTTGTTGGCCGTACTGAGGATATTGCTGGCCTTTTTTATTTATTAGTCAGTATAAGTTGATCATGTGCCAGGCTGGGAAGGGCGACAGCACGACATACCGTATCCTTGTTGGAAGCCTTGCTGACCGTAGCCTGCGCCCTGGCCCTGGTTCTGGTATTGGCTGAAGCCTTGACCGCCGTACTGAGGGTAACCGCCTTGTCCGCCGTAGTATTGTTGCTGGCCGTACTGGGGGTAGCCACCGTAGGCCTGAGCGGAGGGGGTGAAGGAAGCGGCACCGGGGGTGAAGGAGGCGGCACCGGGAGTGAATGATGCGCCGCCAGCGTTGAAACCACCTTGTCTCTGCTGGTTGTTGAGGTTCAAATTTTGCGCCTGACGCGACAGGTTCTCATCCTGCGCTGAGGGGTCGTCTTCCCAGGAGTTGAGGTCGGACATGGCCACAATCGTTTAAGAAAGACCTGATGTTATTATGCAGCGGTCCGAATTCAGTGAAGAGACTCGTCAGGAAACAGTGTGAGTCTGAGTCGAGTCTGAGTCCTCTGGTATTGATCACAGAGGTTGTAGAAGCAGGGAGAGCGACTCCAGGTCAATGCGGGGCAATTTTCAAATGCAAAGTGTGGTGCTTGGAATTTTCGGAAAGAGCTGTAGCTCCAGGGACGGGACGGGGACATGGGCGATGCAACCGAGTTCAGATATACATGTCCTACAACATGAGCATGGTTTATGAGTCACGCATCATCTGCTGCCTAAGTTCTGCGCCCTGCAATGTTGGTAATACAGATCTTTCAATATCTATCACGGCTCGAGAAACTGTGACTATTCTCATGAGTATGTCTACGTGTGTTAGCCCCTCGATTTTACAACCCGTCTGGCCCGATGAGGCGGGTGGCAGTTCAGCTGTGCCTAATCAGCGGGGTTGTTCCTTCCCGCCATCTGAAATTTGCCCCACCATGACGGTTGACGGTTGATAATTGACGATTGACGATTAAACTTTGAATGTTGGGCTGCAGGCAATATTCAATTCCGGTAAATCACATCAACAGCAGATGAATGTTTTATCTAATATTTGCAAAATGCTTTTCTTACATTCCTCTGACAGGATGTGCCCGGGTCCCCGCTAAGATGGACTGGTCATGTGCTGATGCTGTCAACGGCTTTCAAGCTTGAGACTGTGATTAAAGCCAGGTTTGCACTGTATCGACCCCTAAAACCCCTAAAACCCCAGATCCAGTGGCCAGAAGCCTAGCATGGTCCACCAAAATAGGCAGCCAAGGTATATAATGATTCGTCAGGACGGCCTTGGAGTGAGCTGCACACTGTGCAATAGTCCACCCTGCTGGGGAGCTTCACACGTTTCTGTCAAAGCATCCAATTGAATTCATGCACGGCGTGCACAGAACCCAAACTTTGTTGTTGTGAAGTGCCCTGACAGGTGTGAAAGGATTGAGGCTGTTTGGAAACTCTTGACGAGTTTTTGTCTTTTCTCTTTTATTCTACCATTTTTCATGTTTCTATCTGGATGTGTTCTGACTCCAACTCGCACTTCACGGAAAAAACAAGACAACCAGGCATGACCCCAGTGCTGGCGTCGACTCTAAAAAGCCATGGATGCGTTTCTGGCCCGCGTTTCTTACCACGCAACGAGTTATGCTATACGTTCCTGCCTGGCACTAACTTCCACATTAGTGATACAACAAGGTTCGCGGTTACTCAAGGTAAGCCTCCTGCGCTGGCTCCCTGTTCCGTTTCTTCTTTCTGAGCCTCACACTCATCCAGACCGTCGATGACCACCCTCTCAGAGCTGAACTGGCTGCGTTGCAACGGCGCCTTGCTCGGAAAATCGAAGTACGTTTCAACTATTCCAACTTTTTTATAGACTTGCAGTATTGACAACTTTCTAGCTTGTGTCACCTATCTTGGAGTCAATCGAGTTCCGCTACACGCGTGGCAATTCAGCACTGGAAGCTGTTGTGCGAGTAGGGAGAGAGCTTCGAGATGAGATCGACGCCTTGACCGCCAGATATCAAGATGCAGCTACTCTGGAAGAGCAGCTCCATTCCATGGGCAAGAAACCGTCATCACAGGACCGCGGGGCTGAGCTACGGTCTATCTTGACAGAGACGAAACAGCTCATGGCCAGCATAGACGACTTGATTCCGTCTATAAACCTGTGGGTGTCTGCTATAGGGGGTATCCAGCCCGAGCAAGCCTCATTCTCACCATCGCGTCTACTTCAAGCAAGTATGGTAGTCAACGTCGGCGACTCACAATTTGTTCTTGCCCCGAGTCGTCCTATGCAGATCGGACCGGACTTCACATTGTCATTGTATATGCTTTTCCGGGGACACGCTTTCGCCCAGAACGGCGAGGCTTACGGAGTCGAAGAGGGCCAGAGAAAGCCAATGTGGCAGGAAGTCATACACAAGTCCCGAGTCAGGTTGTATCGTGTGCCTACGAACCAGCTCCATGACGAAGGATTTGAGTCGAATGGCCATAGACAGTCGACCGGTTACGCGTATCAGCTGCAGATTGTTGAAGACCTGGACGATGGACGCGTGCACACGTTTGAGGACGGAAACGTTGCGCCAGGGCCTTACGATGGCATGTCTCTTGCCGGGGTCCGAGAAGTAGTGCCCGTCGGTCAGATATCGAAAATGTTTTACGCTGATGTCGGCAGGATTTTGAACATCAATAACGAAGATGGCGCGTCAAGCAATCCTGTGTTGTTGCTTAAAAGAGACACTTCACAGATAGTACATGAAACCCATGTTGCGACCGATACTGCTGATTTCCGGGTGCTGGAGCAGCAACATCACCTTGTAGAAAGCATCGAGGAGGCCAGCTTTGTCTCCGATTCTACTCTTTCGGAACCAAGTCCGCAGGATGACATCGATCGCCAGCTTCGAGAAGAGAGCCAAGCAGCGGAGGTGACAGACGAAGTCTCTCAGCCACCCCAGCAAGGCCTTGTTAACCCGCCTCTAAAACCTTCGAATGTCTCAAACGGTTGTCCCTGGACTATACCTCATAACATTGACCCCGAGTGGATGGCCATGGAAGTGTTCGAGTTCGATGATTCAGGCTCTTCCACAGATGATGAAGACGAAGAACGCGAAACGGACGAGGATGGTGCATCATCCGCACCAAGGACGCCCAGGCCGCACGCAGCATCGAGGACCTCGGTGGACAAGAACCTCATCACCCAGCTCCAGCGGATGAGGGTGGCCTCGAACACGGGCTCGAGTTCCCCGCCCTCGAGCTCTCACTCGTACGCATACACGAACGGCCACGAGGATGTCGACCTCTCCACCTCCACAGAGCTCATGAGACAGCCTCGAGCCCAGGACTCCGCACCTCTCTCCCCCACGACGATAGAGCGCTCCCCGTTCGGCGCGATCAGAACCTCGCTCTCGCTGCTCGAGATGCTGCTCCGCCTAACTAGTCTGCAAGAGTTCGAGCAGATGACACATCTCTCTATCCCTGATCATGTGTTGAAGTTCTACTTGGATGAGTCGGCGTCCGAGAGCGGGCTTCACGGGAAAGAGCGCTGGGCAGCACGGGCAGAGGCTGCCAAGAAGATGGGATTTGATCCCTATGTTGATGGGCCTGAAGGAGGCGGCAGTGGGCCAGCAGGTTTTTGAAGGGGTGGGGGAGGAGCAGGAGGAGGAGAAAAATAGTCATTGCAACTGCGTTTCGTGCATAGCCCAGGAGTTCGGAGATGGCCACATCAGAAGAAATTGAAATAGAACAATAATTATCACATGCATCATCGCAGAGGAACATATATCGTTGATCTCCAAATGTGTTGTGCGCGCCAAAACCACGATGTTCTCTCATAGAACACAGATGTACGACTTGTATCTCGGTAAGTCTACCTAAGATACGAGCAAAAAACAAAACAAATCCTGAAACGCCAGCCGAAAAAACCGCCTTGCCTCATGCCCTTCATTTCTTCAATCCCTAGATCATCCCACTTTCGTCACGTAATCCTCTTCATAATCCCGTTCCTACCACCGTCTCCCGTATACGCTGTTCTCCTCCCTAGGCTTCCTTCTGATGTAGTGTCCCACATCCTGTGCCACAGTCCTGTCGTCGACGAATCCGCTCCTGGCACTGGCGCCTACATGCCTGAAGAGCTCCATCATCTCCTTGACGCCGAGCTTGTTGACTCCCTCCTTGCGCATGCCGCCCTCGATGGCCTGTTCTGCCAGCAGACGCTTCTTCTCCTGCAGCTCGAGAATACGCTCCTCGACCGTGTTCTCGACGGTCAACTTGTAGACCACGACGTCGACCTTTTGCGTCAGACGGTGCACACGGTCGATGGCTTGCTCCTCGACGAAGGGGTTCCAAAAGGGCTCGAGGATGACGACTCGGCTCGCGGCCGTCAAATTGAGACCCAGGGCACCGCAGCGCAGGGAGCAGAGCAGGACTCTGCAGCGGGGATCGTTGCGAAGGGAGTCGAGGGAGGCTTCTCGTGCGTCGTTCTTCATTCCGCCATCATACCGTGTATACCGGATGCCATCCTTCTTGAAGAAGCGTTCTACGATGTCAAGCATCGAGGTGAATTGGGAGAAGACGATGAACTTGTGTTCGTCAACCTCCTTGTGAACAATTGTCATGAGTTGCCGAATCTTGGCGGAGGCTAGGACAAGTGGAGTCTTCTCCTTATTCTTGCGTGTTTGAGAGTAAAAGGGGTTAAGAGATCGGTCGGCGTCAGAGTCCGACTCAAACTCAGAGGCCGAGATACCTTCTTCGGAATCCGAGTCATTGTCGGCCTCTTCGGATTTGAGAGCTGCTCTGGCCTTCTCGGCCTCCACTTGTGATTTGATGACAGATATAGACTCAAATTCATCCTCGGAATCTGACTCGGCATCTGTTGAAGCTCGCTGCAAGCCCTCAGGTTTTACATCCTCCTCGTCATGGACAATGAAGCTGTCCAGGTTGCTTCCGTCATCTTCAGAATCACTGTCTGAGTCACGGGTGTTGATGCTATCGCCTTCACCCTCTGCGTTCTCATCATCTGTGCCACCAGCCTTGCCAAGACGCAGAGAACCTTGCTCGTCCCCAGAGACAAGCCAGCTCCCATCGGCCTCCTCGTCGTCACTGTCGAGGATGGCATTCCGTTTCGCAGGCTTGCGAGCTGGCCTAACGATAGAGTTGTCTTCTTCGTCATCGCTGTCGAGAACTGCCGTGCGGTTTCTGGGTTTACGCACAGGCTTCTTGACAAGCTCTGTCTTGACCTTCTCCTTGATGACCTTCTTTACCTTCGCCTTTGGCTTCTTGACCTTCTGCGGGACCTCGGCGCCCTCGTTTTCATGGTTGTTGAAATATTCGAGGTCTTCGAAGCAAGACTTGCAGATCTCCTTTCCTTGGACACGGTTGTCTCTGTCTAACTCCCAACCACAGATATCGCAGTGCTTGGCCTCGACACCCAGACCACCAAGCAAGTCCGCGAGAGCATCCACGTCTGCATCGCCCTTCTTGGTCTTCGACTCTGTGCTCAATGCTTCTTTGTCCTTTTCAAGCTTGCCTTCGACCAGCTTGGGATGATTGCAGACCTGTCGCAACCGCAGCAGCAGGACCAAAGCATTAGCGTAGCTGACTTTACCTTTGGTCTTCATCATTGTCTCGAGCGTTCTGTCCGTCCGTGCCTCAAGACGATCGTAGAACCGTCGCTCGGCCGGCGAGAATACAGTCTGCACAGAAACAACCTTGCGTTCGGTAATTTTGAAGTCCGAGGTTGCACTCTTTTCTTCATCATCCTTGCCGACGGACTTCTTGCCACCAACATCTAATGCGCCGGGCTTTTTCAGTATGTCTTTCGTCCGCCGCTTCATGAAGCAGCGTAGGACACTGTGCAGGTGTTGAATTGCAACGTCACCTTTACCGTTCTTCATCGGAAGTTCAATATGCTCTTTCCACTCCTTCAAATCATCATACGGACTGATGCGGAGGAATTTGATCAAACTCTGCAGCTCCTCCAGATTGTTCTGCATGGGGGTTCCGCTGAGACACCAACGGTAGACGGTGCGCAGGTCATAACATGCCTTGGTCGACTTGGCATTGCGGTTCTTGATCGTGTGGGCTTCGTCGAGAATGACACGGTACCAGTGCAGACCGAAGCAACCAGCCTTCACCGAAGCGTTCGAATGGCCATGCTCGGAAACCAGGATCTGGTAAGTTGTGATGACAACATCATAGCGCTTCAGGTCTTCGAATCGCTTCGTACGTTGTGGGCCGTGGTGAACAAGGACTTTGAGTTTGTGAGAGTCGTCGACCTTTTCCTTCAGTTCTGCTTCCCATTGGCGGATGAGAGCCAGTGGCGCAACAACCAAGGTGGTTTTCTCAACCCCTTGCATTTTCGGCGAGTCTTTGGGTCTGGAGTTGGTGAGGATCAGAGAGATGGATTGCAGAGTTTTGCCGAGACCCATATCGTCGGCAAGAATGCCACCCTTGGGGACTTTGCCTTTCTTGACTGGGCCCAGCTCGCGGCCCCTCATCCACTCTACGCCTTCTACTTGGTGAGGCAGTAATCTGACCTTGAGTCCCTCAACTTGTGATCTATCATGACTGTCGTCGGCGACCTTGTCCTCCTCCTCGTCCTCCAAGGAGCCTTCGATGAGCGCTTTGAGGTCGGCACTCGCCTTCTTCGGGTCTACATACTGAGACGAGAAGAAGTTGGGGTTGGTGTATGTCGTCCGAGGTGAGGAGTCGGCGACGGAGATAGGATTGCCGGAGGAGCCCACGGTGGTGAACATTGGCGGGGCCGGGGGCTTTCTATCCTTGGCAGAAGGGCCCAACGGACCGTTTATCCGTGTTGGGCGGTGGTGTTCGGGTCGCGACTTGGGTTGGATAAACAGATTCGCATACTTGTCGTCCATCGAAGTCTTGGTACCATAGGCGCTGGCTTTCACCGCAGGTCTTTGTGTCGGAACCGAAGTGTTGTTGGATGTGGTGGAGGCAGCACCATGGTGGCTTTGGGCTGGGTGAGGCCGGCCTGTTTGTGAACTTGGTCGACTTGAGGATGCGATAGGACCGAAGCCGTTGTGGCTCTGAAAGGGGCGTGGCTTGTCGCCTTCTTGGTTGAGCTGACTTGACGAGGCACCAGCGTTGCCGGCGTGACTCGACGGCCGGAGTGGAAGAGACGGAGGAGCGTGTTCGCGAACCATGCTGGGCGGCGGACTTGGTGATCGTGATCGTGGGTGCAAAAGTTCCCTCAGCCCCTCCTTGAATGTTTCCTTCAGCCCCTCCTTCAGACTCTCCCTGAAACCCTTGGGGCTCTTGTCTCGCTCCAGCTTGGCGGTTTGAAAGGTGCTAGAGTGTGACCGTAGCGTATCGTAGATTGTGAGAAGGTAGAAGTCGGCACCAGGCTTGTGAGGTGCCGATTTTTCAGAATCCGTGGGCAACTAGCTAGCCCGTTGTAAAATCTGCAACGCTGTCCGATGTTGTGGTTGGAAACGATTGGAGTATTTATACACGCTTCAAGGAAATGTACGCCGGGACATTACATGCGATGCCAATGCGAACCCAATGTTGACCGTCCGGTTTCTCTTATCTCGTGTTGCGCGTTCTGGCACCGCGTTTAATTAAATTCATGTACATATACAATGCGTCCTTGGTGTTGAATGCGCTTGTTTACTATGACATAATGTCCGGCCAACCAGCAGCGAGGTCCACCCAGTTCAGGCTGCCGTGCCCCTCACGGGCTTCATTTCAGGTCAATGCGTCTTAGGTGCATATGCGTCTAGCGATGCTGTTAGTGCGCGGATACTTGCCCCCAGCCGAGCTTGTCTCGTCCACCCTCAAACCTGCTACGGATCCGTACGTAGGTCAGGCTAGATAAGGACACGCTCCCCCGATGAGGGCATCTACGTTAGAGCAGTCCAGAACTCTTTTGACGCAGTGCCGCCATGACCGATATGTGTTGCGAAACTGAGCCGACTGTTGTCTGCAGTACCTCGCCGCCGAATCACCTGGTCTAGTACCTCACTGTACAACCTAATTAACCTAGATAGTCATCACGTATTATAGCTGGTTGGCAAGCCCCAGGTCGGATCTTGCACCATGAGTACCCTCAACGAGACTCAAACCGGCGAAATGCCACTCGCCTGGCCCAGACATGATGCGACCATTGATGTCCATTCCCAGAAGCAGTCACTATTGTTTCGCTTGCCTCCAGAGATCCGCCGGATGGTTTACAGCTGTGCTCTGGCAGAGGTCGAGGTCCCAGGTGGCCGTTTTGTGAAGCGGATTGGAGACGAAGACTTTGAAGACACCTCACTCGAATCGTCGACCAACGTACGAGGTCATTGGGCGCTATATGACATGGATGTTCCTCCCTGGATTCGACCTGGCTGTACTTCGCGTATGACCATTCCACTTGACCTCCTTTGTACCTGCAAACGTATTTGTAACGAGACCCATCGGCTATTGCACCGTATCAAAACGCACAAGTTTTATGTCTTCCATGGCCCTCATCGAGGTTCGGCAAATGAGAAAAGTCGAGACAGGGCGCTATGCTTCGTACCGCCAACGGGTGCGAACGTTGTCAATCTTCACGTTTTCGCTCAGAGCTTGTCATTGGAGGCTGGAAGGCACGATTGTCTCCGAGCCGAGCACTTGAGCTCCATCGCTTCGAGCCTCGAAGACTTGACCATCACTATCAGACCCTTATACAATAGAGTATCCTCCCAGCAAATGACGCACTTCAACCAATCATTGTCGGTCACTCCATATATGCCTCGAACTTCCATGTCAGACATGACACAAACACAAATGGTAACGGCCGACAGTAAGGATCTCGAAAGTTTGACTGAGGGATGGCCATCGATTTTCTCAGGATTTCCGAACCTCCGAAGATTCACAATGGAATTTGACCATCACGAAGGTCGAAGGGCAAGCCTGGAATCATTAGCTCTTGGAGCACGAAAGTGGAGATTTCCAATGGCGGGAGGCATGGAGCTTGTCAATAAGTCTCCGGCATCAATAAGCCCTTGGAGAGGACTCCGTGTCCACGATTACTTTATTTGTATCACATGCCGTAACCTCAGGCCTCATCCACAATCTTCATGCGTGAGATGTGGATGGCGAATAAAGGGAAAAGGACCACGTATGTTCACCTACAGAGTGGACTGGGTCGCACGGAAGAAGGGTGTATAAGACAGCGTCTGATATAATACTGTAATATCAACTTCCATATCTAAACACATTAATACAACACATCCTTTGTAGAAGAAGCCCCCGGAAGCTCTTTCTTATTTATTCATTTATATTGAGGGGCTCAGCGTCGAATGGCAGTCAAGTATTGGGTACTAAAGGGCTTGATTGTTTGCAAATGAACTTCGTTGATGTAATAAGGAATAACCTGAAAAGTCACTCGGTTTCAATATATTCAAAAGACGCAGTCAGTGGTATAGAGTGTAGCAGAATGTATAGCCGCCGTCCAATCAGAAGGTGTTCGAGTTGCATGCTTGGGTAAACTGTTATATTGCACAGCTTAGTAATGTATCCATACGCCGAATCAATCACGAAATTGAGCATCTCCACCATGACCCGCAGAACCCACCTCCGGAAACGGGGAGCCACCGCCAACGGAGGTCGCGCCCAGTCACCTACTAACTCGTACAATTCAAGCTGCTGTGTCAAGATTGCAACAATGGTCTTGAAATACGGCATTCCGCAGACACAAATCAATCTACAAGGAGGATGGCCCACGCCGCGTCTTCACCCAGCCAAGGAGCTGGAAGCGGCAGCGGCTAGGGTATTCGCTAGTCCCGACATCCAACAACAATTACGGTACGGGCCAGGACAAGGAGAATCCGGGTTGAGAGCCAACATTGCTGGTTGGCTCTCGGATGAATACCAACCCACGGCGGGGCTGATTTCGCCGGAACGTATACTTGTTACGAACGGCGCTTCCAACGGACTGGCCACCATTCTGCAGAAGTTTGCTGATCCGGGGTATACTCGGACGATATGGGTGGTCGAGCCGACATACCATCTTGCGTGCCCCATTTTTCGCGATGCGGGCTTTTTGGGACGAATCCGGGCTGTGCCAGAGGGCAAGGAGGGCGCTGACCTCGACTTCTTGAGGCAAGCGCTTGACGATTCTGAGAAAAAGTCGACCCTGTTTGGAGAAGCCCCGCCGAACAAGACCTCAGGGAATGGCTATCCCAAGATTTATCGCCACATCTTATATATGGTGCCCACGTTCTCAAATCCTAGCGGAAGGACCATGGCACTAGAGGATCGCAAGGAGCTAGTCCGTATTGCGAGGAAGCACGATGTTCTGCTGGTGACCGACGATGTTTATGATGTCCTCCGATGGTGTCCAACGGAGGGCTGCAATTGTCAGGATGCGCACCTGCTATGTCCTCCCCGTCTCGTGGATGTCGATCGATCGTTACCAGGCCAGGACGCCTTCGGCCATGCCATCAGCAATGGCTCTTTCTCGAAGATCGTCGCTCCTGGTGTGCGTGTCGGGTGGATGGAAGGAACAACAGAGTTTGTGAAGACATTGAGTCGCGTGTAAGATACCTACGTCGCGATCCAGAACCACGTGCTGACTTTCTATAGGGGTGCAAGTGCTTCGGGCGGGAACCAAGCACATATGGCATCACTAATCTTAGGACAGCTTTTTGCAAATAACAGCCTGCAGCGTCATGTTAAAGACGTGTTGATACCTACCTACCGGGAGCGATACTACACCATGGTAGCAGCGATCAGACAGTATCTGTATCCATACGGCGTGAGAATAGTGACAGACAAGCTGGGCAATCCGAGTGCAGAACCTGCTGGGGGTTTCTTTCTATATGTACTCTTTCCCGAAGATGGCTCACTACCAGGTATCGAGACAATTCATAGCCTGGCGTTAGAGCAATTCAATCTTCGCATAGCACCTGGTGGGCTGTTCACGGTTGGCGACGACAACTCAGAGCACCCGTCACGGTCGAAAACGTACATTAATGGAGCTCGGTTATGTTGGGCATGGCATGAAGTAGACGAGTTGGTTGAAGGAATTGAAAGATTAGGCGAAGCTCTGAAGATGGCGAAACAAATACGGCGTAGTGGTCGTAGTGGTTGATTTCGATGGGATCTCGCTATGAAGTTAGCGACGTTAATCCACGACATAAATGTTGATTGTGCTTATTTAGACAGTGAGGCACAGTGACAAGCAAAAGAAAGAAGATAGAAAATCGTGTAAGTGGGACATGGGATTTGAATTGACAGCCTAGAAAATGCTCGGCTATATCCCATATCATATAAGTGTACTTTCCCCCGGAACTGTGCTCTTGTCTACGCCAAGGCCAAGCGGGGAAAAAAAAAAAAGAAGAAAAAGTGAGAGGTGTGTGTAGAGTGCTCATCGCTAGCTCTTCTGAGCCCAGATAATACAACGTGACGACGGATGCGCTGGAATCCCCGCAAAGAATGTAGGTAATGAGACTTTTCTACAAGCCAGAAATAAAGGGCAATTGCACTATCGTCTTCTCTTGATCCCATACGTCGCCATGGATATCAAACCATCCTTCAGCAATTCCTCTTCCCACATTCTTAGAGGACCCGACATGGATCCATTGCTTTAAGACGCATCTCTATATAAGCTAGGCATTGCACTTGCGAACTGGTGGCGATATGTCCACTACTCAAGGATGAAATGAAGACGATTGGGGGACAAGTCTCGCCACAATCGCCCTCCTTTCGAGTGAAGATACATTTCTTGGTTATCGCCACGCCAACTCACCCTGCGTATGTCTAAGACGGAAAGTTGTCGCAGGGAGTGAGTGATTCGGGCCTTGTTTGTGTCAGCAGTGGCGGTGTCCCGGTTGAGTCGACTCTGTGGCATTTTCTACCAAACACCCTAGATGCTGTTGAGACAGTCCACCAGTTCCCGAGGTGCAGAACAAGATGATCCATGATGCTATCTTTGCCTGAGTCTAGACAGAGGCAACGCATCGCCTGGAAGCGTGAAGGCCCATCAGCACCAACAAGACTGCGCTTCTTGTCAGGCCGCAGACATGGAACCTGGTTAAATTCGAGTGCCAGTCACCCTACAGTTTTCAAAGTAGCCCAACGCACGAACTTAGCCGTTAAGAAACTCGTAACGGAAAGAGTTTCTTGCAAACCATGCACGGCTTCGTAATATGATATCTACTGCGGAGCAGAATATCTGACACTACTCCAATAAAGTCATGACGACTGCTCCATAGATTGTCCCCCAGAGCCTCCCTAGCAGTTGGCGCCGGTCGTTCAACGGCCACCCAGTTTGTTTGTATCGTTTAACGTCGAGGTGAGGGCTGCGAAGCAACCGGTGCAACCTCCCCAGGGGGACAGGACGTGGTAAGCTACATCTTTTGAGTGTGATACCAATTCTTGCCTCAAGGGCTAGCCATTCCAAAGTCCGTGGTCGCTACATCTCGACCCTCTAGACCCAAGGGGTACGCCATTTATGTTACCGTAACGGTGTAGTTCTTTAGGGGGCTGGTAATAAGGATTCTCAGTGATTCTCCGTAGGTATTATTGTACCCACCGTGTCCTGGGAACGGCCACCCAGACCTGAAGCGGTTGGTCGTCATTCCACCATGGGCTACCAATGGCTTCAAACTATAGCGCGTAAAGTGTGGAGGATAATTGGCGCCGGCGACACTGTCCCTGGCTCCATGCCAAAACGAGGTCCTTCTTTGTCAAGCCGGAAACACGTGGGATTCCCGCCGCAGCTGTTGCAGATGGACCAGACATGATCAGACTGTATAGATCCTAGTTGATCTTGAATGCCAATAAAAAGATCGAAAAGCTCTAGATATCCGGCGGGCATGTCCTGCAAAAGGAGACACAAAGTCTTACATGATCAAGAGCTGGACCCGCCCGTTCCACTGACGTACAGGGGAAATGCCATTCAAGCATCTCCAGGGGTGCTCTGTCTTGATGCTCCTCGTGTAGTCGGTCAAGGAGAAGTTTTTCTAACCAGCAACTTCCTCGGAAGCTTTGAATTTGGGCGTGTAGGAGAACTTCCACAACATGCAATCGATGTGCGAGAGGAACAAAGACGACTAAAGAATCACCAATCTCCAGCGCGCACAGGCAATCAGCTGTGTTGTATTTGACAGTGCTGCCGGGAGTCTATTCCTCAAGGGGAGGAGAGAAGAGCACATGCCATATCCAACGATCTGCTCGAGCGAGATAGCTCTCCTGCTATCAATCGTGTAAGCCGGAAATGGGAGGGGGAATAAGGTCATCTGAGTTTGGCAGGGTCCTCCTAGGAAAGGCAAATAACCGTTCCGGTGCAGATGCCTCTCAGTCTTCCACATGTATGAGAGTTCTTCCACTAACACATCGCTCGCTGGCAACAATGAATGCCTATCCCGGGCAAAACATGAGAACATATGGGAAGGGCATAGTCGGCGTCAATATCCCAGTCGGCTATCACAAAGTCCACATAATATGAAGTGATAGGTATAACCAAAAACAATCGAGCAGATCTCGACAGGAATGATCATGGCGTTGAGGCTGTGCATATCCATTATCTGAAAGGGAACGTCAAGGACAGCAAAATCAACATCACACCCTTGGCGGCCAAGAAGCCAGCAATCAAGCCGCCCTACAGGAGATAATACAAAGTCATTCCATGTACAGAGGGGTGCAGTGCCCATTCCACGGACATGTGTGCCCTGATTGAATGAATCTCGCAGACATATTTTGCCGTGGGTGCGAGAGTCTTCTCGCAGCCAAAAGGGGGGAAGGTGACATGAATATATGAAAGCTCCACTTCCACCAGAGATACCCATGGCTACACATAAAGCTGAATGGTGCTTGCGTCCATCAGTGCTGTCAGGCCACCTTTATATAAATAAGTGGCACCAGTAGAGCGGAAGAACATGTTCAGAACAGAGGGTATGCCCGTGCCGTGGTTCCTGAGAGTCATTTCCCAGACTTCTGACGGGTAGTGCGAGTATCTTCTGGCAAAGACAATGAAGAGAAATGAATGACAACGTGGACGACCGGCTTCCAATGAAGGCGTTGGTGCCACGGGAACAAAAGGCAACCAAGTCCATCTGCCTGATCGGCCGTAGCGATTAATGAACAGGTGATTAGAAGCGAAGAATGAAAAGAACCAGACCGCGAGCAAATCGAAACGGATAAAGAAGAAATATAAGAAAGAGAATTTTTCTTTCTATTTCCATGGGTAAATGAGATTAGATGGGTGTTCCTCTGGTCTGGCAGTAAATTATATCTTGTTGTTTTGAGACAAACTGCCTTGCCTGATGCAGACTTCAAGATAAGGAGTTTTTTGGTCACCAACTTTTCATGTGGTCCAATTCGAGCAAACAACGAGGCTGCAGATTGCGTTGCTGCAGATTAGGAGGCACTCGCCTCCACCAGCTCTCAGACCAGTTTGACCACGGTTTTGCTCAATGATCCCCACCACTAGCAAACCAGCAATGTCCATATGCTCAGAGTGCATATACCTTTCAAGTCACAGAAATCTCTACAATTTAGAGGGGTCAATGATGAACACATGGTACAGATAGTATGATCTACGAAGAGACCGGCTGTGTCCGCATGCCTGTCTGGGTGAAAATGGGTGCTCTACCTAAGTAGACAAAATTCCAGAAATGAAACTACAGCCGATCAAAACTGACGCTAGGATGACAAATAACAAAATGCCCATATGTCTATTCTCCATGCATTGCTTGCGTCATCGACCTGTTCCCACGCTTGGCCGTGCTTCTTCCCGAGCAATATGATACTAGTAAGCACTCTGCCGGTAAAAGTCTTGCGGTGCACTAGGCTCGCTGTTTCCACCCGCTGTTGATGGTGGGGCATACGCTTTATACTGGGACTGGCCTCCCTGGTGTCCAGCCTGGCTCGGTAGATGATTCCGGGAATCGTAAGCCGCACCGCTTAGGTGCAGCGGTGGGGGTGACAAGACATCATTGCTGCCATCATCTGGGGATGGGAGGGGAGGTGCAGATGCCGTTGGCACTGGTGGGGGTGCATTTGTGGGTGCAGAAGGTGCGTCATATGATGGATGTTGTTGGTGTTGAAGAGGGCTGTAAGCGGTATATTGTGGTTGCGAGGGTGGCGGAGGAGCTGACGGAGCCAACGGAGCCGATGGGGCTGATGGGAAAGCTAGAGGTGTTGGCACACCTTGGGGAGGTGCGGAGGGTGCGGATGGAGCAGGCGCTGAAGGAGCCGTCGGGCTGCTTGCATATGGATCTTCTGTTGAGTACACCGATGCTGAATAGGGGTCATGACCCGGCTGGTGAGACTGGACAGGCGAGTCGTAGGCTGACGTGGCAAGCTCTTGCGGGTTGCCATACGTGCTCTGCGGCCGCGGGCCCGACTGCTGTGGCTGATGCGAGTATGCTTGATATGATTGCTGTGGTGGCGGCGAGGATGTAGTAAGCGGAGCGGGCTGCTTTCCGGCAGCCACTGAGGATAATGGAGATCGCTGGTCTCGAGGAGGATATTGCTGCTGAACTGGCGTCGGGCCACTCTGAGGGTACTGCGGTTGTACAGGGTTAGGACCGCCTTGAGGATACTGTTGTTGAGCAGGTGGAGGACCGCCCTGGTGATAGTGTTGCTGGGCCGGAGGAGCTGCGGCATGAGGGGGTACCTCAGCGCCTTGCAGATAGAAAGGAGCTGCAGGTGTGCCTTGTGGAGGTCGTTGGAAGTTAGGAGAAGGTGACGTAGCCTGGTAAGGAGGCTGTTCTGCAACATGTCAGCCGCGCCTCGACAAGACTTATCACTATTGCATACCTTGCTGGGGAGACGGTCCTTGAGGGCCGGGTGTGTAATACCGTTGAGGGTCCTGCTGCTGCAGATGCTGAGGCGGTCCTGGTGGAGCGTATCCTTGGGGAATACTTGGATATCCTCCTTGCCCGGGCACAGCTGGCCGATGGGCATATTGAGGATAGCTTGGGCCTGGTGGGTGCGACATGGACTGCTCGAGCAAGGCTTCGTAGTCCCTCCTTGCCTTGATGAACTTCTCGTTCAGCTGAGTAAAGTCGTCCTTCTTTTGCGAGTACTTCTCGATGAGCTTGATCAGCTTGGGTCGGATAGCCAAAGTTTGGTGATAAAGCTTGGAGATCTCCTCGTTGTCCTCCTCCCTGGGCGCGGTGTTACTGGTGCTTAGTAGCGTGAGCAACTTCTCAACGTTCTTGATCTCTGCAAACACCTCGGCCTCCATCTGAGCTTCGCGCTGCAGCTCATCCGGGGTAGGATCTGTGAGCTTCTCGACGTAGTTCAAGGGGAAGATGCCCGTGTTGCCCTTCAGGCTGCCGCGCCACCAGTCCTTGAAAACAGATTCCAGCACGGCAATGACATCGCCTTTCTTGAACTCGAGCTCGCCAGGTTCGCTTGGGACGAAGTCGTAAAGGGCGCGGACGCGTGAAACGGTGGCGGCTGTTGTCCCCGTGGGGTGTTGGTTGATGGGCTGCGACTCAGCCTGCCTTCCAGTTCCTGAAGCACCGGCACTGCTAGGTCCTGCAGCAGCCGAAGTAGTCTCAGGTGTCTTCTTCTTGCGTTCCTCTTCCTGCAAGCTCAGTTGCAGGGCCATCTGCAGCTCGTCTTCCTCCTTTTGGCGGTCGACGTCGGTCAGCCTGTTCTTCTGGGGTGCGCTCGGGGCTTGAAGAGTGGGATTATTCTGCTTGAGGCGGAAGTAAGCATCGTACATGATGCCGAGATCAGCATCCTTGCTGAACATGTCGCTCCAGTCCTTCATCCTCTCGAGGATCTTGGCCTTGACCTGCTGGTGGGTGTTGCGGTCGTTGGCGAGCTTGAGCAGGGCATCTGTGAAGGCGCGGGAGGCGAGCTCGCGGTGCATGGGCTTCCCGCAGTTCTGTGACAAGGCGTTGGCTACCTCGAGGGTATAGAGCTGTACGTTCGCGTTGCGGTGGGCGAGGCGCTTGATGGTGGCCTGAACTACTTGCGAGGGGCCATTGGGGTCCGAGGAGACCTTGTCGCATACTTCGATGATGGCGCCCCAGTCTTCCGACGTGAGGTTCTCATTTGTCGCCTTGGCTGTGGATTGGAAATATGTCAGTGTACGCGCTCTCTATGGTATGTGACGCCGCTCCTTCAAGACATGGTGCTGCTCTGCTCTGCTCTGCGCTGCGTTGCGTTGCGCTGCGCATAAGCAAAGTGACTTCTACAATGATGATGACGTACCGATGGCCTCGTCGTACGGGCCGGGAGCTGCTGCTCGAAACATGCTGGGCAGCGTAAACCAGTCTCAGTGAATGATGGTGCGCTTGTATCTTCGGAGCTGGCGTCTCTTTTCTCTGAACCCGGTCTATTTTCCGATTTCGTTGTCAGGACTGAATATGCGGCCGTTGTTCTTCGGGGAGAGAGGTGGTAGGTAGGTGGAGGGTAGGGGCGGGAGCGTGATCAATAATTAAGCTCAGTTGATCTTCCTTTCCTCTCCCATCCTTTAGCTGCAGCCTGGCGGGATAGCGTGCTGATAGATCGCTTAGCACTGTTTTGCAACCCCCGACTCAGTAATTATCAACCCTAGTGGCTACGAGATCACTGCATTCGACCCGCCGGCTCAGCCTCACTGGAGTTTGTTGCACAGCTGCCCAGCTTCTGGTGTTCACAGCGCGACCACAAGGTTTAGCAAAACAAGGAAATGATGGCGATTCAAGATACTGCTGGAGGAGGTTCGAATTTGGGCTTTCTACAGGAACGGAGGTCAATTCTTCTTGCACGCATCTCCGGTTCTACTGGCATGGTCTATCTCAATGTACCAACATTTATATTCATTATAGCACGGGCTGATTTCACTCGTCCGAAGCCGTGCCATGGCTTCGAGCTGAAATGGGGACGCTGCGCTACTAAATTTAGGACTTTTAGCAGGAGCTTAGTTGGCGAACGCGCAATGCGGCGACCGACTCCTCATTGCGCCACGACCCCTCCACAGAACCAGCAGCTTTGAATCAACTACCCTACAGTAACCTAAGGTTGGTCCAAAGCCAAGAAAGTACTGTAGGTCAGCTAAATAACTCGTCATCGCTGGGACAGGTCAACTCAACGGGGCACTTTTCACTCTGTTGCCGAGCTGCAACTGCAATGACCGAAAGTGCTCGACTGTAGTATAATTCACGCGTAGATATGCACATTTCAACACGGTAATAGGCGAACATACGACCTTTTCCGTCGTGATCTTTTATATTCGTTCTATGTAGTCTGATTGTCGGGCATCGACGTGACCATATCTACACATAATCCAACCATGCCGTGAAGAAGCCTGAATCGACTTTACCATTCCTATCGGCAAGCCCATCCGTGCCATACCATACCACAAACGCCAGAGGAAATCTCCTCGAGCATAACCTCCATGTCGTCCGGGCTGAGTGCTGAGGGCTTCAAGTAACCCAAATTCAAGAAATGTCAGGACTTCGGTCTAGTTTGCCCCTTATCTGGCAGCGTAACACCATATCCCAAATTCAGACCATGCAATGACAAGAGGAAAATCAGTCTCATGCTCGCTACATTGGTTCATCTTGTCATTCGCCGCTGATCCTACCACCGGCGACTTGCTCCACGAGACGAATCATAACCTCCACGGTCGGGGGCAGACCCAACACTGCCACCCCCTCTGCCTTCTTCGATACTTCGGCGATTCAAGGCGTGCCCGAGCTCAGACATGTCGAAGAGGAGCTCTTCCTCAGGCTCTTCAGAAGGGCCCCCAGTCACCCCTAGACCAGCCGCCCCGCCCCGGGGGTAGCTTCTTCCATATCTGGTACTCGGGCCAGTCAAGCTGCTGTTTCCGGACTGCGGTGTACTCGACCCACGACCGCTTCCGACACCGTAACGTTTGTAAGGCGAGCTCGACAGGCCCCCATAGAGACCGCCAGGAGGTCTAGTTTCTCGTTCGGCAGACGAAGAAGCTTGCCTCAGCATTTCTGCAGATTCGTCACTTCTGATGTCAGCGGGAGCTTGCAGGATAGGCGAGTCCGCGGCCTCGTCAGCATCTTCAAGAGCTTCGTGTCGTCCTAGCAGTGCGCTGAGGCTCGGTGGCTCGCGATCATCGGCACCTAAACTAAGACTCCGATGGGCATCATCGTCATCTGCTAGGACACGCGGTTGCGCAGCTGAGCTTGACCGTCGCACGTGTTGATATGGTCTCGGTGACAACGGAATATCAATAGCAGTGGTACCCTCCAACGTTGGAGGAACACTAGTTGGTGCCTCAACTGAGCGACCCGTCCGGGCTCGTGCCGCTGATCGGGCGGGCGCAGCGTAGTCAACACTTGAATTCTCGCTTAGGCGAGACGGTACAGCCGGCGTATGTGGCGTGTGGGGAGAAAGCGGTTTGCCAGGGGACGACGAGACCGACATGCCCGGCACATTGGCAAGTTGCCTACTGGACGAGCTTGATGATCGGTGTAGTTGCATCGACGAGTTCAGTGAATCTGTAAGAGCATTATTGGACTCACGCATCAAATGAAATTTTGACAGCTGGGCATTAGTCTTGCGAGTCGCCTCGCCTCTCTTAGACGGCTCGAAGCTCTGCAGAGTCTTTTTGCTTTCCAGAGCCTTCAGGAATTCTTGAATGTTGTCGTCGTCTGTCTGGAAAGAACTTGAACTACCACCTGCACCGGCCTCGTTCAGCAGGCCAGAGCCCGGTTGCGCAAGAGACGAGGCGAGGCTCTGCTTCCCACTACTCGTTTGGTCGTCGTCGCCGGCTCGGCTTGCACCTCCAAAGGATGCTCTGCTGCGGCGGTGAGTGAAGCTACTACTGAACCGATTCGTGGATCCAGGCTTAGGTGAGCCAACGAGTGGGCTGTCTGCAGCCGCGGGTGGAGGGCCGCCACGTAAAGAGGCAGGCATACCAGCAGTTAGAGAAGACCGGTTTCTGACGTGTGTGAGCTGATTTAATCCCGGGCCACGGGTTAGTGAATGTGGTGAGGCAGGCCTTTCGAAATCTTGCATCCGCGGTACCGGAGACTGAGACAATGACCCTTGCTTGAACGGCTGAAAAGACACGGACGGGCGTCTATCACGCCCATCTGGTCTGATGGGGGGTCTTGCTGGAGCAGCAATTGGGAGCGAATGAGGGGGTGCATCAACGCTTGCTGGCTGGGACTGCGGAGGTGACGTTGTGTCAGAACCTGGCGATTTGATAGCTCTAAGAGCGGATATAGGACTTGTTCCGTGAGGACCCGCGCCGTGAAATGTCGAGAGACTTCCGTATCTCTGTTGGTTCTCAGTTATGTCTATCTCGTGGCGATGGTAAGGTAACGACCCAATTTCTACCGCGGTGTCACGCCGACTGTCACCACGATGTGGTAATGATGGTTTGAATAGGTCATCTGAAATAGCCAGTCCAATCCGCGAACTCAGTAGCGATTCAGTTTCGACCACTTGAAAATTGCAGTTATTTCGATAGGACACAGATGCGTAAAACCGGCCAACTGGAACCTCGAGCAGACCGAACATATAATCGGTTGAGACATCGCCTCTGCCCTCGTACAGAGGGCTGCGCAATGCATCGAATCCCGAAGGACGACTCTCAGCCGACAAGACACGGCACTTGATTTGCAGAGCAGGGTGTGAGCCTTTGGTTTTCGAGTTCCTGGCAAGTTTCCAAGTTGGCAGTATACCAGTCGTCGTATATATGGACCGGATGAAGATAATGGCCTTCTTGTACACGGTCGGCAATAGTGGGCCAAACTCTTCAGGGTCATTAGGACTTGATCCCTTGAGCTCGACCCGCCATCTTTCTAGTACCAAGTGAGTGTTAGGCTTCTTGGAGGAGCGACCGCCAGAGCTGCTGCTGTCGCTCGACAGATCCGATGAATTCATTGCCTCGACGACATCCCACCTTTTGCCATTTTCATCTAATATTATTAGACTTTGTCCGCTTTTTAATCGAGATGTGTCGAGGTATGTTTCAATAATGATTGGAGGAGGTCTGTTCTCGAAACCACCGCAATGCTTCCATGTCCGGAACTCGTCTCGGAAATCTTCGATCTCATCGGTGTCTAATTGGAACTGTGCGCCGATACTGTTAGGTGTGGTTCAACGACATAGGCACAAACACCACAACGTCAGACATACCCATTTACTGATCTTCTTTTCTCTGGTTCCAGCAACCAATACTGGTGTCACCTTCATTCGCTCTTGCAGAATCAAAGTACCGGTCTTGGCGAAGATATTCTGCGAGTCGGACTGTAATCAGTACAACATGGCGACAGCCGTATGTGGTGTATGACTCCTACCTGTATGATCTGGTCCAACTTCTTGACTGAGTCTCTGCTTGGACCAGCATCGGCCCCTTCTTCTCTAGCTCTTATCGGAACCGATGACTCCTGGGCTGTTGCCTCCGACCCTGCCCTCGAGTGGCCACCGGGGCGTGTGGTTTCCCTGGGGTTGTTGGTTCTCATGGGATTTGTGGTGGGCGAGGAAGCGGGGGACGAGGACCGAGGCCCCGGGCGGGGAGTTTGATGCATCGTGCTGGTTCTCCAGGTGAATGTTGTGGGTTGATGATAATGTTCGGAGATTCGATTCGATGGCGGCGATCTCAGGTGATCGCTGGAGACAGCCCAATACTCAAGCAAATGACCTGATGTAGGGCTGCCGGTCGGGCCAAGTTTATTGGATGCTGCTTCGAGTATACCGGTGATGGTAATCCATTGCTCCCAACCTCGAATCTAGGGCAGATTGACTTGATCAGTGAATCGCAGCAGGATGTTGAATTTGGCTATCAGCTGTGCAGGGTTCAAGTTGAGTGGACAAGGCTTCCCACTCGGCACAGGCAGACAGAGAGCCAGGTCAGAGATGCAGCCGCGGTATTGGTCGTCGAGATCGCGGCTCTGCTACTGGACGCGGATACCCGCAGGGTTGTGCCTAGCGGGTGGAGGCCATGATGGTTTGTGGGTTGATGTGCTGTACTGTGCTTGTAAGTTATTTTAGTTACAGATACAAATGGCTAGAACTTAGGACTACGCGCATAAATGGAGCCAGGACGAGTCTCAATGCATCAACTGCAGTGGCGATGAGGCGGCGACAAGTACAAGTACAAGTACGTGACCGCAGTGAGAATTGCGTTATCAGCTCACCCGGCGCACATCCATAGAGTCAGTGCACAGTCCTTGACATGAACGGATCGCCAAGGCGAGGTCAGTAGCTGGCACCTCGTGATGAAAGTCTCCTAAACAGCAACAGCATCCGTCATCGGCTAGGAAAGGCAAGCGATCCATTCAGATCTCCGCTTGATAGGGTAGATAAGGATAGCTCATGGCAAGTTCGACAAGGGTCCAGGTGCTTACTCTGGACTCTTCTTTGGTGACGTCTCATGCTTTTGCTGATAAGAGAAGCGATGTACATATATATTTCTTGTCCCTGTCTAACGAGAATTAGGGCAACCAGTTTGACCTGCAAAAAGAAAGACATTTTTCACCAAAAATTGTTGTGCAGCTAGATTTGGCAACCTTGTCTTGGACGCTACTTACTTAATTGTTGTCGATGAGACTGGCAGTCCAGAGAAGCCCCCCAAGCCCCCCAAGCCATGGGGGTCTGGTGACTCTGAATGCGCGAGCTTGTTTCTGCGTCACGCTATTGGTCGCAGGCCAGGTAACGGAAGTCTCTTGACTCACAACCCGGCGCTAATGATTCGACAAGAGATAGGCTGACTGCATGACGGTGCTTAAACCATACGGAGTAACTACACTTTCTAACATGATGCCGCCCAGTGATTCAAAGTGCAGAACAAGGCTGAGTTGGGAGCCCTAGCTTTTCTTCTCTTTTCAGTGATGCACAGAGATACAAACCCCTACGGCACTGGATTGGTTATAAGTGCCATTAATTAGTGGCCGTTGTCTCCTGTCATTACCAGGGCGGTATGATCGAAGCGGATATATGCTTGGCTACTAAAAGTAATTTGAGTGAAATAAGTAAATAATAGTGCTGATACCAATCTCGCATTCCGGCTTCTACGTAATTATAAGACTTCCGCTTCCCCCAGCTGTATAATCAGCACAAACTCATTGCCCAGCGCCGTACTACATCATGCTCGTTATATCACACAAGAACTGCTGTAAAATGTACCACTGCAACTTCATGTTCTGCGGGATTGCAGTCACTTGAAATTTCACATTAAATTGAAATCCAGTTTACGTTACGCACTTCATTGATGGGTTTGCTGTTCAAACCTGTGAATTGCGAACGTCAAACATGGTGCCTTTTTCTGCCGTCACAAGCGACTAGTTGCCCTCCGCCGTTACCTTTCATGACCACCTACATCCAGAATTCTGGTTGCCAACCTAGTAGTCAAACGTTTTCGTTATTGACTGATAGCGCCACTGGGACCAGGTACCTCTGCAAAACCTTTTTACCATCGTGTGCAAACCCCTCACGATGAGCCAAAGTACCAGGTTGGAGGCTCGCCCGAAGCGGGGTGCAGATTTTAGCGCCACAGCCAAAATCTGGGGAGGCGCTGTCAAGCCTATCCCATCGGGTTTAGTTTCAGCACAAGTTCCAACCTTACATGGTGGATGTAGTACTGTGCTCCGTACATAGGACAGGCTCTTCCAGGAACCGTGACCTGGTCATGATTGACTATGCTCACCTGCACAAATTCTGATGTAACGTCTTCTTTCAAGATCGGTCCATAGGTGCATGCGTTTCCCCGCATGTTGTCCATGTTTCCCGGCAGTACTACAACTGATTCTCACCTGCTTCAAGACAAACGTCATTTGCTGCTCCCTTGCGCTTGCAACAACCCAGTAACACAACATGTACTCAATGACCGAATCCACAGGAACGAACATGTACCTGAGGGTCCTCGTGGATGATGGTTACTATAGTGGGTGTCAAAAATGGCACTATTTTACATATGAGGGGATGTCTGCCCCAGCGATAATGCTTTCTCTCGCATTTGGTTTGTGTTCGTTGCAAGTTCTGTACAGTGTCATAAAACCTTGAGATATGTTCTCCTCATTTTCACTACTTAAATCCAGCCTCCTGCTTTCTGGTTTGAGGACCACGCTGGCTCAGTGTCCTGACTATGCTGGCTACTCAACACAAAGGCATGAGCCTCTTTCCGCCGGCAAGTATCAGCTGAGTTATCAAAGGCCAGAACAATCATGCCGTACATTCAGTCTTCCTGAAGTCGAGGCGGCCATCCAGGACATGAGGGGAGCTATTTCAGACCCAGACTTGTTCAGACTTTTTGAAAATACTTTTCCGAATACGCTCGATACAACCATTTCATGGCATGGTTTCGCGAGTGGGAACTCTGACGAGGAGGTAGACGCAAACCCAAATACAGAATAGGGTGAATGATGCTAATTGATCAAAGTTGACTTTCATCACCACAGGAGACATTGTAGCTATGTGGCTGCGGGACAGCGCGAACCAGCTGCGAAGCTACAAGCCTCTACTAGAGGCCAATGCTTCGAGTGCCTCTCTAGCATCTCTGTTCCGTGGCGCTATAAACCTTCAGGCTCGTTATCTTCTTACCAGTCCGCATTGCAATGCCTTCCAGGCCCCAGCGGAATCAGGCAAGCCACCGCAGGACAATAGCGCAGCAGACACAGATGTTGTGACCCCAGCTTACGATAAGAATTTTGTTTTCGAATGCAAATACGAGTTGGATAGCTTGTCAGCATTTCTTCAGTTATCATATGATTACTATGACAAAACCCAGGATAGTGATTTCTTCGGAAAGTTCCAATGGGTCAATGCCATCAAAACAGTACTGGACACGGCGGAAGCATTGCTAGTTGGCACTTATGCAGATGATGGGCATGTTAACAGCTCACCTTATACATTTCAGCGGACAACCACGTCGGCATCTGAAACGTTGCTCAACAAAGGTTCCGGCTCGCCCGTGAGACGTGGAACTGGTCTTGTACGAAGCGCATTCCGACCATCCGATGACTCGACAATTTTCCAGCTCTTCATTCCTGCCAACATGATGTTCTCGAGCTATTTAGGAAAGTGCGCGGCGATTATGGAGAAACTTGACAGTAACTTGGCAGGGCGCATGCGCGATCTGGCAACCAATGTACGCAACGGAGTCGAGACTTATGGCAAAGTACAACACTCGGTATTCGGAGAGATTTATGCATATGAGATCGACGGTTTCGGCTCTAGTAATCTGATGGATGATGCCAATGTTCCGAGCCTTTTGAGTGCGCCGATTATTGACTACCTTGATGCCAGTGACACCATCTACCAGAATACAAGGCACTTCGCTCTGAGTACCTGGGACCCTTATTACATGCACGGTCCAGTTATCAATGGGTAAGCTTCCAAACTTTGTTGCTTAATTTCTAGTTATATTAACATGCTGTAGAACCGGAGGTCCCCACGTTGGACCTGGAAAGGCTTGGCCCATGTCTATCATTGTTTCGTTACTCAGTTCTGACGACGATGCCGAGATTGTGTCAGGTCTACGGCAAATCATCTCTTCAACTGATCAGCTTGGTTTAATCCACGAATCTGTCAACACCTTTGATCAGTCTGATTGGACTCGGCAATGGTTCTCTTGGGCTAATGGGTTGTTCGGTCAGCTCCTTCTCGATCTCAAGGATAGGAAGCCGCAAGTGCTTCAGACAAGTTTCCAGTAACGTCGTTGAATTTAGGTGGAGCCAATGGCATCAATCGGGAGCTCGTCGCAGTGTACGTGTTTAGCGATTTCCACTTCAATGGTCGTGAACTGCAGGACAAGATGCAATATCACCGACAATTCAATCAAGGTAGCATTCAATTTGAGAATATGTGGATTTTCTCTCTATTTTACCTACCAAGCCTGCTCCAGAATTGAGGGTCCTTCTAGGCGGGTAGACCTGACCCTATGAGGCAGCTCGTATAGCGACAAGCACTCTGATTCGTCAATCTTCCTACTCAGACCCCGTCAGCTGTGCAGCAACCTTCTTCCAGCTACAGCTTCAAGGCTCAGAACAGCCGGTAGAGAAATGTCTTAAACTGTCCTGACTGCGATGCAGCTCTAAGGATCTTGGCAAACCATGCGGTGCGCTCATCCTTTGCTTTTCGTGCATCATCTGCCGTGCCTTGACGCCACATTCTGCAGCGTTGCAATACGGGTGTATTTGCGGTTTAATATAGCCCATGTTCCGCTATCTTGGCAGTTGAGGTCTGGCCACATGGCTAGATATTGCTTACCTGAGCAAAACTACCAAAATCCGTATGCTGTGACCAACGACCTAACCTCCTGATTCTGCCATCTCACATGCACGTTTTCGAGTTGCGGATGGCGTGGAACTTAGAAGTCCATATTTTTGTTTTCCGCAGGACTGGTGGAAGATAGCACAAAAGGCGCCGCTCTATGAGAAATTGTGCCGCACGAATATGTGAATTGGATTTGAAAAGGACATCTTGAGGTACTTGGACGCTCTTGCGTCGACGTTTGAAGATGGCGCCTTTGTTGACAAGTGTGCCACGGTTGAAGCGGGTACTGGTACTCGGCCTGTGTATTCTCACCTTTTGGCTTCTGCTGCCATCCGACGGCATAAGGTCTTCCGGAAGTTTGGTTTCATTGTTCGTAGGTGCAAGAATGAGTACTGGTGCAGACGTGTTGGCATATATCGATCCGCTCATCGGAACTGTTAACGGAGGTGAATCAAATCCTTGGCTATGCCGCCATCCAGGGTTGCTAATTATGTGAGCAGGGCATGTCTTTCCGGGCGCAACACTCCCTTATGGTATGACCTAGATTTTATTTTGTTGGCTCTTGGAAATACTCGACTGTCTATTAACGTCTGAACGATAGGTATGGCCAAAGCAGTGGCGGATGTCAATAGTCAATGGGAAGCTGCTGCGGGTTTTGTGTCCGACAATTCGCTGATAACAGGCTTTTCACATCTGCATGACTCTGGTGAGTATTGGTCTCCTCTTGAAGATGCGACTACTAATATTGTTGAAAGGCACCGGAGGGGTAAGCAATTTCTTTATTATAAGGATGTCTGTTAACATAACGTAGTCACCATCTTTGGGGAACTTTCCACTCTTCGTTCACCCAGGTTGCCCAGGAGACGAGTTTGCTCAATGCGAGTTTAGCAAGTCTGCTCGAGCTACCAAACGAGTGAATGGCTCTGTTGAAGCACGTCCAGGCTATTTCGCTCTTGGGCTGGGCAATTTGATTCACGCAGAAATGACTGCTACAAAGCATACAACACTATATCACTTCACCGTTCCCAATGTGTCCGAGGTACATTTGAGGACAGACGCAGTGCCAGTCAAGCCTCTGGTGCTGATTGACCTCTCAGATCTCGCAGGAAACGGATTTGGTGGCTCGGTTGAGGTTGATCCAGAGAGTGGCCGAATCACGGGAAATGGAACTTTCAATCCCTCTTTCGGCAGAGGACAGTATAATGCTCATTTTTGTGCCGACTTTCGCGGGGCGGCTATACGTAAGACAGGGACGTTTCATGGTGTTCTTGCGAACGAAACGGCCAAGGCCTTGGGCGAGGGAGTGACCGGATCCCCTCGTCTAAGTGGCTCAGCAGGCGCTTGGATACACTTCGATCGGCCTATAAAGGATCGTATCCTAGCTCGCGTCGGGTTATCCTTCATCTCAGTGGACCAAGCATGCCGTAATGCCGAGAACGAAATCCCCCTTTTCGAATTCAACAAGACAGTACAAGCTGCTGAGAAGGCCTGGGCCGACAAGATGTCCGTCATTGAAGTGGACCATTATGGGGTCTCAGACGACCTCCTCAAAACATTTTGGTCCGGCTTGTACCGTGCTCTCCTCTCACCTCAAGACTACACGGGAGAGAATCAGCTATGGAATTCAAGCGAGCCGTATTTCGACTCATTTTACTGTATCTGGGACTCTTTCCGGGCACAGCACCCGCTGCTTTCGATCGTGGATCCGGATGAACAGACACGGATGGTGCGAGCCTTGCTGGATATATACAAGCATGAAGGATACTTGCCTGATTGCCGCATGAGCTTTTCGCAAGGCTACACCCAAGGTGGGTCAAATGCAGATGTGGTTCTTGCTGATGCCTTTGTCAAGAACTTGACAGCCGGTATCGACTGGAATTTAGCATATGAAGCGGTAACCAAAGATGCGGAGGTTGAGCCGTCCGATTGGACCAGCGTTGGAAGAGGTAATATAGAGGCTTGGAAGAGTTACGGCTATGTGCCCCAGGACGACGTAGACAAGAACGGCACCGGGCCGATGTCGAGATCAATCTCCAGGACAGTCGAATATGCCTACGACGATTTTGCGATCTACCTCATGGCTAAAGGTCTTGGTAAGGCTGCAGATGAACAAAAATATCGGGAAAGAAGTATGGGTTGGAAGAGTCTATACAATCCTGACCAAGAAGACCGATACGTGGAGAAAGACGGCACCATTGTCGAAAGCCCGTTTAGGGGTTTTCTCCAACCTCGCCTCACCAACGGCACATTTATGGTTCAAAATCCACGCCTCTGCAGCCCGGCTTATGAGCAGCGTACGTATAGACCAAAAGAAAGAAAGAAAGAAAAAATTCCCCCTGCGTCCTCGATTTTCCTGACCATCGAGAAAGTACTGGTAGATGGATGGCCATCTAAGCCTGCAAGTCTTCCGAGATGTGGGACTAGTGGTCTCAATCAAGGCAGAACGATGAAATATATTCCCTATCATTATGGAAAAATAAACTAATTATGAGGTTTGACAACGCAGATGTCTGCTATTTTGATACTAGGTACGACACTTATGAGGGTAGTCCGTGGCTGTACACGTTCTTCGTGCCGCAAGATATGGCTTCTCTTATCCAGACGCTAGGGGGGAGAAAATCTTTCATCAACCGGCTTGAGTACTTCCACTCGTCCGACATTGTCTATATGGGAAACGAACAGAGCTTCTTGCCCACTTTCCAATTCCATTACGGAGGCCGTCCTGGTCTTAGCTCTTATTGGGTGCACCGGTACATACCGGCGCAGTTCAATAGCAGTATCAATGGTATTCCTGGCAACGACGATTGTGCTATGGGCGCATTCACAGCGTTTGTCTTTATGGGATTCTTCCCAGTTGCAGGACAGAGTGTATACCTAGTTACGCCCCCGCTGTTCAGGGAAGTCCGAATCCGAACGCCAACTGGTAAACAGGCAATCATCCGGAATCTCGGTTTTGATCCGACTTACCAGTCGATCTATATACAGAGTGCGAAGCTGAACGGAAAGCCGTATACGAAGAACTGGATTACCCATGATTTCTTTTATCATGGTGGTGTGCTGGAACTGACATTGGGGAAAGAAGAAAGCATATGGGGAACAGCGGACGAGGACTTGCCGCCGAGCCTTTCCACGAGCTGAAGAGACTAATGATACCACCTGGGTATGGGTTTCACCTGAGGGAATATACGCCCTACGAGCTTTGTGACGCGGGAAAAAGCGCGGAGAGACAAGGAGAAAGGATTATAAGCTACAGATAAGATCCTGAGCAATGCGTATTTGGTTTAGAAAAGCAGCTTGCACAGTCTTTCATACACAATCACAGCCGTCAAAAAATGGGATTAGTGCAACCAGGCTAAGGTTTACTACCCAATCATTTGTGTATACACTGTGCGCAGCACCAGTCGCAGCGCAATGAAGCATGAGTTCCATTGAGAAATCCAGCAAACTCGTCTGGGGTCTGGATGGACGGCCGACACAAGTTGGATTGGCACTTCGAAGATCAGATGGTGTGATATCATTGAAGAAAAAGAGCTTGTCAAAACGGGCCCGCGGGAACCGTTAAGCTCTTAACTTAGAAACGTTCCAGAGGTAGAGGGTTCGAGAAGCAGCCCTGACTACACGCTTTTTCTTCATACGATCGTTGATCGAGAAACAAATCTGATTCTTTGGCTCTATTTGTGGCTCCTGACACAACTGAGGTTTTAGCTGTTGAAGAAACATCTTCATTATGCAATGAACTTATTTTTAGGTCGTCTCAAAATCCGCCATCTAGAATGCTTTATGACACCTTGGCATCTCAACACCTCGTCAATTCTACGATTTTACATAATGCCAACCCGGTTTTCCGCCGGGGTTCCCTCCGCGTTGGCCGGAAATGCGGTTATCACCGTGGCCGCGCGCATTCTGGGCGGAATGTGGATCAACATCCGCGACACGGTACTTGAGGACGATGAAACACGAGACCCTGGCAGGCTGGAGGTTGGGTTTTCTGTGGGGAAGGATTGTTACCAGGCAAGCCAGGGGATTGGACTGCTACCGCGCAGGTTTTGCAGTTATGCTGATCTTTAATACTTAACATTGAGCTTCAGGTGCGTCGCACTGGAATCATAGGCTGGAATTGTAACTTATGTTGTTGTTTGACACGCGAATATGCACAATTGGCCACCGAATAGTGGCTAAAATATTTTGATTAAAGGTTCATGTGTACCCCAGACTCAGGTCGGATTCATTAAACGTTCTGAACCAAAAAGGCATCGCTTTCGGTTGCGAAGGATCGGTTGACAGATATGTCGATCGCAACAGGCCCGATCTGTGCGATACGCTGAGTAACAACTGAGTCAAGATGCGTTGTCTGCAACGTCAATCCTCTCCCAGAGCCTCGGAACATGGTATATTCCTTAGAGGCTGGCGCAGTATGATTCTTTGATTTTATTGTTCTTGTTGTTCGGTATATACGTAGTGTCCTCAAGAATCATCGCACCTCCTACGAGCAGTATACACTCCAGAAGCGCGCGCTATTGCATGACTTTAGATTTGATTCGCTTGGAAAACGCCATACAAGAAATTAGAGCGTATGGCAATTTTTGGCTGATGCGATGCCTAGCCAGAATATTTCATTGGGCTTTTACGGGCAGAAGAAACAGTCCATAACAGCTTGGGCGGGGCGTGGTCCTCAGATAGATGAAATTCCCAAGGGCAAAGAACATATACCAGAGGTTGAGTTTCAACAGGGTTGTATAAACTGATTTCAGCGTTGGACTAAAGCAAAGAAAAGAGGTCTGATGAACAGATGACCCATCACGAATGGATGTGACAACATTTCTCTGCCTCCAGTGAATTGACTTGTGAGTAATGGACGCGCGTACAAAATAAAATTTCCGGGTCAGCAAGCAAATATCTGTCACAGAAGGCAACGGCTTGTCTGGAACCCTTGCTCGCCAAGGACAGTCTGTGCTATAGTATACAACCTGCCGGCCTGCCAGCCCAGACGACGAGCTGTCGTCTGAACGCAACTCATATGGCGATCGATACCAAGAAAAATACTCCGGTGCAGATGCAACGCTACAGGTCGGCGGAGCCGCGAGACAGGCAAAGAGGGTTGTAGCGTGCTGAAATTAGTGGACTGGCGCTAAAATTAACCTTGAATCCCAAACTGTTTGGAGTTCCATCGTCAATTCGACAAATTCCAGACTGTGGGTCAATGGCGCATTCGAAACACAATGCCTCGCTTCTTGGGCAACTAACGTGGCGTTACGCCGAAAGTGCTGAGTTTGTAAGGCCAAAAGAAGGAAGTGATGAGATGTTGCGAAATGCCATCGCTCAGGGCTCCAGAAAAGCACGACCGGACGACACTCGGTCAAGCCGCCTCAAAACACTCAGACCTAGGCGCTGTTGGGGTGAGAAGCACAACTAACTACCTGTGCTATACATATAATTTTGACCATTACATAGTATCGACGCCTCCGAAAGTCAGTATCCGAGGGCTTCAAAATCATGGGGAAGCGCAAATGCGTTGATATTCTCTGCATGTGCCACTTGGCCACCGTTTTACTGGCACTAGGTTTATTGGATCCGCTGCAACTGGGCACCCACATACCGAAGTCAACACTATTACCTTGATAAAAGTCCCTTTCCTGGTCTTGGATGGCTGTCTTGGCAGACTTCAGCGATGTATCAGACTAGCTTGGCAGTGGTCCACTGGTACCACTCAAGTGGCTACTTCGCTCTCGAGAGAATGGTCGTGCATTCCATGTCCTTGAAGGCGTCAGTGGTGCCCATGATACTGTCATAGCCAGACAGAGCTCGGAAACTGTGGACCTGAGTTGGTTTATGGCCCTGTGAGCCGGCTCTTGGCTATGAGTGGCCCGTGATGGCGGCTCGTGCAGCGAATATGGGTTATAAGTGAAGATGGTCTCAGAGGCTTGTTACCTGCTCTTCTCTTTGATCAACGATCTAGTGCTTCATGTCTAGTCGTTGAATTTGTTTCTTTGACCACCCTACTTAACTTTCTTCCCAGTAGAACTGTGGCTCCGCGCCCTGGTGGCCATTATCTACTATATTTCCATTGACTAATACCCCTAATCTATCACACAACAATGTCAGAATACTCATGTCCGGTGTCTGGCGCTGCCGGAGGCCAATGCCCGGCAGGAAAATCCACCGCGAGAAGTCAGATGGGGCCTAGGGGGTGCTCGTTTTCAGGCTTCGCACAACCAGGTGATATTAGAGCTGCCTTCGATGTAAGTCAGCACCGACAGTTCACCAGCGAACCGTGTGATTGATACTAGCATAACAACAGATACCGAACGCCATAGATACAGAAGACTGGCTGCGCATGAGGTAAGCAGAGTACAGCATGACGCACAAAATACACAATTGACTTGGCGACCAGGGAACGAAAAACTATCAACGAGATTTTATATTCCGACGTACCAGAAAATAGAGAGCTGAATCGAACGCAAAATATCGATTCATTGACCGCCAATGAACACGACCTTCTGGCAGTCGCGCTTGGAGCACCCGCCCGTCAAGTGCTGCTTAGGGCCGAAGAGATTGGGCCTAAGACAGGTTGGCGCGATGGCTTCCTGAGCGCAGAGTATGGCTTTGTGCCTCCGGATATGGATGAGGCGGTGTCAGCTTTAGCGAACTCACCCGGCCGTGTGTGGAGTGATCTCTGTGAACGCATGCCGGGCTGTATTTCTCGAGGACGTTTTCGGGAGGCTGCTGCGACAATACCGATCGTTGAGGGTACAGAGGACGTAATTCCAGATGCTGCACTGTGGGCAGCCTTAGTCGCCCTCGGCTTATTGTGCTCACTCTATCGATATGAAGAGAAGCACGATGGGCATGAAGGTATCAGCATAAACTCAGGAACGAAGAGCAAGCTTATGGGGGATCAGGGTGACGATGTTCTCGAAGAAGTTAAGGGCCTTCCTCGGAGCATCGGGTTACCATATGTTCAGATTTGCAAACGAATGGGAAGGCCCATTCCTCATCTAACATTTGTCGACCAGAGCAGTTATAATGTCACAGTCAAGGACCCCAAATCGAAGTACCCCTATGTCGGACGATTCGACAACACGGATATGCGTTGGCCAATATTCGGTGATCAAGCTGAGAGAGCTTTTCTCAAAGGTGTTGCCGACACAAGTGGTGAGTGTGACGAATTTTGACATGAGTTTGCCTGTCTAATCCATTTACAGCTTCTTTTCAACATGGGCCAGATGCAATTGCAGCTTGCCAAGAAGCCGTTATGAAGCGGGATAACGAAGGTCTTCTTCGCGAAATGATTAGACTCAAGGAGATCTTGGAACGAATGCCAAATGCTTTTCACACGATATCTCCAAACCCGAGCTCAGGCGAGAACTATGTCTCGGGAGACGAATGGGTTCGATGGGCCAAGTTTTCAGCCCCCTTATCCAAGAGATGTCCCGCTTCATCGGGTTTGCAATTCCCTCCATATCTTGTCATGGATGCATTCCTTGGCCGAAAGAAATACGACTCGTTTCTTGGAGCTGAAGGTCTTCATCTCAGGGCATGGTCACCATCAAATATGAGAGCGTTTATTGCCGCTATTGAGTACCATCACCGCATCCCAGAATATGTGGCCCAATCGAATGATCCCAGACTTCATGGTGTTCTGGACGGTATCGTTGAGGCTTACACAGGCGAGAGAGGTTTCATGGTAAGCATTACCCTGTACTCATATATGGCATAACTAATCCTTTGAAGGGTGTCCATCGATACAAAGTCTTTGGCATTCTTGAGATCGCAGCAAAGACGGGGCGGACCGAAACTAACGGCAACTCTGGTCAAAGTGGAGTAAGGATGCGACCATGGGAAGAGACTCACCTACAATTCTCTGAAGCCATGAAAGAACGACTTGAACCATTTCGTGGTAAGATGCTCAATGAGCCTCACGAAATACGCGGTACTTTTGAAGAATGCCGGTTTCGATCAAGGGTTCTCAGCCGTAACTTCGTTGACAATGATCACAAGCGATCCATCGCTCGGGTTACCTTGGACTTGAGAGATACCGGTGTCACTTTTCAGCCTGGCGACAGACTTGCAGTCATGCCTCTCAATAACTGGGAAGAGTGTGCCAAGGTGGCTTTGGCTCTGGGCTTAGAAGAGATGTTGGATATTCCAGTGGTCCTCAACCAGAAGTGGAGCAGATTCGCGGATCACCTAGGCTCAGTCTCTCGAGAAGCAGCGCCTAAACTGGCCGTCCGCGATATAATTCGGCGAGGACATCTGGCGCCACTTACGCAAGACCTCGTTCTCAAGGTCCATTCTATGCTTAGGGCCTCGTCGAATGTTGTTCTTCAGGTTCTTGCTACTAACGAATGGCCTGTCCGGGGATCCCTTGGAGACCTACTTCAAGCTGCAGTTGTGGATACGCCGTCCCAGATCTGGGACCAGGCATTTGATCTTTCACACAGTCTTGCATGGCTAGCTGACCTTGTCGAGATTGAGGTCCCAAGAACATATTCGATTTCAAGCTACCCTGAAGAGCTTCTCCCAAGCACCTTAGACCTTACCATTTCCAGAGCCGATTACGAAGTATGTGACACGTTCACAAACGGCATTCCCACCGTCAGAAGCGGCGTTTCTAGTGGCTTCCTAAACCCTTCCTTGTCCTCTGGAGAAGACGCCATGCTGGTTGAAGAGGACCTCCTTATCGGTGTGTCTAGACCCGTCAATTTCCAACTTCCTCTCGACGGAGCTGCTCCGTGTGCCTTCTTTGCCGGTGGTAGCGGTATTGCGCCTTTCCGAAGTTTCTGGCAAAAGCGCTTTGCTGATGGAAGCATTGGTCGTAATATTCTGTATCTCGGCGTGCAGTCCCGTGAGAAGTTTTGCTATGAAGATGAGCTTCGAGAACTTATGCAAGCTGGAAGGATTGAGGTTCACACTGCATTTTCTCGAGACTCAAGAGGTCTCGTCTTTGACAGACAGTCCATGGATCTTGTTGAGCAGGCAACGCCGCCTCGTTATATCGATGGTCTTGTTGTAGAGCAGGCAGACACTGTTTGTGACCTTGTCATGAGCAAGAAGCAAGGAGGTTTGGGCGGTTACATCTATATTTGTGGTTCTGTGGCTGTCTTCGATTCAGTCATGGCTGGTATCCGCCGAGCGATCTACGACCAGCGAAGTGCGACTATGGAGTCTAGTGACGCTATCATCGCAACGGCTTTTGCTGAGCGGCGTTTCATGCTAGATGTCTTTATGACTCCTAAGCCACTGCCTTGCAACCTTCCTACGATTCCTCAGTCTGAGTTGGCACTTCATACAGGTCATCGTCCTGACACGCGTGTTTGGATTTCCGTCCATGGTAAAGTCTATGATGTGACAGACTTCGCACCAATTCACCCAGGTGGTGTGTTGATTATCCGCTCCAATGCCGGAGTTGACTGTTCGCAATCCTTTGACAATCTTGCGCATACCAACAATCCTGAAGTATCAAGTCTTCTCACTAAGTACTTCATTGGCAACCTCACACCGAAACCCGATTATCATGCAAGTGATGAGCTAAACGGTCTCTACGACATGTGGCTCGTATACCTTCAGACTGTTGTCGAGACCCTTGTGGCGCAGCAATTTGAAATGAATAGGTTCATGGGATCCGACATGGGCACTCCAATTGATGCAGACAACTGGTGGTTCCAGAATAGCCTCAAGGGTGTTGACCTTATCAACATCAAGGGAATCCGCTCGTTCTATCAGTATCAGTCAAGACTTCTGCAAGGCGGATTTTCAGCAATGTTTGGTCCGCAATTCCAAGAATTGATATTGAAACTTTCGTTCGCCCTCGCGAATGCGTCCAATGGGGCGTCCACCAAGCTTCCTGACGTTCTGGGTGTCATTGCCAGAGCGAAGACATCTGAGAATGCAGTTAAGATCTCAAGACAAGTCGCACAAATTGGCGAATTTGTGCGAGATGCCAGAGGTGCTCGGTTCCATGAACGCGGAATCATCGCATACGCAAGCAAGTCGGTAGTATTAGACATGGCACTGCTGGAGGACATCCGTCAAGAAGCTTGTTATGGAATGGATGCTCTTGAATCCATTGCGGATGTCGATCATACTGACCCTAAAACGCTTACCACAACGGCATCTTTCCTCATTCAGATCATGGAGCGCATGGCAAAGCGACTTGAAGTCTTTTACTCGAACTTAGCACAGCACACTATTCTGCAACCGGCGATCGAGCGCAACCCTGCTAGAACACGGTGGCATATTCTACGACAACGCATCCGAGACGGCTCATTCTTCATCCTCACACAAAGTACTGTCATGGGTGCTGCGCCTTCATATATTCCCGAAAAGGTGCAGAGCAATATTGATTTCGATCGGGTCATGTCGCACATCCAACAAACTCTTGCTGAAGCGCCCGCACCTCAGTACCCACAGTCCATACATTCTCAACCAACGTTGAATCAGATGCACATCCAGCGTACGCAAGCCCCACAGAACGGTGCTTCTGCCTTTGAGTCGCACACTAATGGCACTGCACTCCGGAACATGTCCTCGTTTGTGAACAAGAACATGCGCGCTATACGGCGACTCAGCAAGTTGCCATCAATGCCACCAAACTTCGACATCATGGCCAGATCCCCACTGCCTGCTATTCCGAACGGTGTCATCACACCGCCGCTGAGCAGATCTTCTAGTCGCTCACCGACTCGTGGGATGGTTGCCGCACAGGGTAGTGGTCTCTTCATCAAAGGCATGCCCACTGGCCCCAGCTACTCGGCTCCGTCTTCGCACAACTATGCCAACATGGGCATGCCGCAACCATCGATGCAATCCGCTCATCTCCCCCCGTCACCGCCCCTTGATGCAGCGGCGGCCATCGGCTCTATGATGGGCAAACTCAATGTGCGCTCTCGGTCATCCTCAACCCGTGCCTCGTCGCCGGTCAATTTGAGCGGTCCACGCCGGCCAAGTATGGACGAGAGAGCTAAATTGATGCATATGCGACAGGCTTCGCACCCGCTGTTGCAAACCCATCAACGTGCAAGGGCTTCGACCAGTGGCTCGCTCAGATCCTTCAAGCTGAGCCCGAGAGTCGGGCAGGGTCAGGTAGAGATTAAGGTTGCTCCGACCTTCTAATCAGAGGCAAGTCAGAGGAGAAATTCAAAAGGGGTAGCGGATATCTCAGGGAAAATCAGGTGGACGATTCTTCATTATAGTATATACCCAAGTGCAGCTCGTATTTAGTACTCGTTTTGACTTTTTCGCGTTAAGAGGCCAGCCACCATAGGATATAAAAGTATGTTTTCAACCCATCGAAGTGTTTATTCCAAGATCGTTTCTACAGTTTCAATCAGTGAATTTATTTGCGCTCTTTTGTACCTATGCACGACAACAGATATAGCTGGAGGAGGATTACTGCCGCAAACTTTACAGAAGCAAAACCTAGCCCGAAGGACCTAACCAACAAGAATACAGCAAACATGGTAACATAATGAACCAATTTTTCACGCTACTATGAGAACTCCTAAGCAATATAGAAATTTTAGCCGACGACGTTGCGAAAGTGTAGACCGGAACGAAAACTCGGGTTCCCATCAATCGTCGTGGTGCGAGCCCAAGACAACAAGCTATGGGACATGGGGGTGGGCTTGGATCTTGTCACTGAAGTCGTCATATAGGTTGGTGGCTTTAGTGCTGGGAGCAAGGCACCGAGTAAGAAGCAGTGACATAATGGGTGGAGGGGTATGGCTTTCAGATTGATGTGCCAGAACCCGGTATGATGCGAATTTTTACGATAGTTTGCATCAGCCCGACGAAGCTGTGTTCCCATTTTAGTTGCTGCAAAAAGGACTGCAGCCAGGAACTAACTACTTCAGCCATCAATATAAGAAAGCCAGACGGTTAGTGGATATCATTATGTATGCGGTCTATAACCCTTCAAGCTACCAATTATCAGTCAGCATCCCAGTACTTCATCTTCAAAGCCATGAACTACACTAGGGGGGGAGGAGTAGACATAAGAATACATTCACGGGTTCGTCAATGAAACGCGAAATTGTGCTTGCCCCCTTGACTCCTGATAATAATCGCTTGGCCTCCATCTCTTCCCTCCACAACCTCAAATGCTCCCCTCTTCATGGTTGTCCCATTCCCTACAACCTTGACAGCAACACTATCGATCTGCATAACCACATCGCCCTCTGTGCCCTCCGGGACATCGTATTCCAGCTCGATAGTTCCATCATCTGTCCTCGTCCAACTCGCGCTAAACTTGCCCAGCTTAGTGGTGAACCCACCTTCCACATGCGTCAAGTCACCGATCTGCGGCGCCAGCCTCCAAGTGCTACCAGCACGGCCAGTGATACTTAGACCTAGAATGTGTTCTGTCAAAGCAGTAACGGGGCCTGTGGCCCAGCCGTGCGAATGAGAGGTATACGAGAAGTCATTCTGATACCCGGCATCCCAGCGGTAACCCCAGGTCCCATTGACCAGGTACCCTTCGATCATCGTGCTCTGGGTGCCGTTCGGATGGTTGAGATACCACCCCCACGAGTTGCGGATCAGGTCCAGGGCGCGCTGAGTATTGCCGGTCAAAAGGTGAGCCTGGATCTCGAAGGACGAGATGAAGGGTGAGATCTCGCCTGGCAACTCTTCGCATTCGGCTCCGATAGGTGTCCAGTTATGTGTGAGGTAGTCGGAGATATTACTAGCCGCGTCGGATGATGTGTTGACTATGCCAAAGTAAACTGCCAGTGAGTTGCCATCTTGTGGATGGATGTCTGGTCGGTCAGTCGTGTCGAAGAATGCACCCACAGAGCTGTCCCAGTTGATGTCGTTTGTCCGAGATTGAAGCCCTTCCGCCTGTTGGAGCCATTGCGCTCCAACACCAGTCTTATCACCTACCCAGTCAGCTAGTTGTACGCCTGTAACAAGGGTTCGATAGAAGATAGCCTGTAGTGAGGTCAGGGTGCCGTTAGCGTTCAGTCGACCCCAGTCGTTCAGAAAGTTGTCGCTATTGATGAGACCAGTTGTAGGGTCAATCTGGCTGAAAGCATACGACATGCCCAGTTTATACTTCTCCCAATTACTTGTGAGGAATTCGATATCGTCTGAATAAAATACATAATTATATGTGCCTATCATTGTCCACCTAGGGACTGGTCAGCGGATACAGCGATACAACATTCTGAATATCTCACATATGATATGAAACGCAGTGCGTTGCGGAGAGGGGAACACCGGAAAACGGAAGCTCGCCGGTAGTCTCGTCCTACAACAGTATTAGACGCAAGAGATCCACGTGTTGTGCCGCTGTTCATGTTTCACATAATTACCTGATAGTCGTACAAAGACTGCAAGCCATTCCTTGTGCTTCTGTGAAACATCAGTATTGTTCCGTTTTTGTAAGAAAGGGGAACGCACTCCAAGTCGCCGGTGCTATAGAACGAGGCAGGGACTGCAACGCCCAAATCTCCGGGCCAAACAGTTCTGTCCCTCTTTGCACCATCGGTGAGAATGGTGTTCCCTGGTCCTAGGTGGGCATCATTCTGCCATGCTGTCTCGGGTGCAGGCCATACTCTTCCAGTGGATGGAGGGACTGCGTCTGTCTGTAGGGTATACGCTCCACTGTACCAAATGGAATTTAGCAGCTCATCGTTGCTGTGAAAGTAACCTTGATATGCTCGAAGGTTCGACCACGTCGGTTGGAAAGCGATTTCGAGAGAAATACTATTGATATTTAGGGAAACGCTGCCAGGCTGAAGGAACAGTGTCATGTAACGAAAGCCACCACGGAGGTTTCTGTCAGGCATAACATATGTAAAATCACCCGTCTGAGAAAAATCCGCGTATATGGCCCCATCAGGCTTGGCATAATTCCCCGTCGTGCTGTCTGAGTTGGAGCCTATAAAGTCTTTGGCCTCAGTAAATGCCAGTCCCACGGCGTTGACCCCTTCTAGGGATATCACTGTGTAATTGAGAGTGACGATTCCCCCTACCTCCACACCAAAATCAACAACCACAGCAGGCTGGCTGACGTCCAGGCTCAACGCGTCAAGCGGCGCCGTTAATCGTCTGGTTCCTGAACCATCAAGGAAGGCCGCAGGTCGCACAGTCCTGGACGAGGGTGCAAATATATTGTTATCCCACACACCAGGAAATGCAGCACTCGAGATATCACTGCATGGCGCGTCTCTCCAACATGTTTGTGCAGAAGCTTGATGCACGGTGATCAAGAGCCACAAGAAGACCCCAAAAACTGAAAAGTAGAATGCCATGAGAAGATAACAAAGATTGGTACGCCAAGAAACGCTGGGGGAGGTGTAAACGCGTGAATAGCGTTCAGGAAAGAGTAGGACGCCCATCAAAAGACTATGCAAACGAAGCTCAATATAATACGGGTATCATGTTTGATTGTGTTGGTGAACATGCCGACCATGTGGGCTGCCGCTAACGAGAGAGGTAAGTTCGCCCTTCCTTGCCTACCGTGTGCTGTTTGCTCTGGTGCATAGCCCCACGGCATCGTATGTAGCTCCCCTGCAGGTGTTCTGCTTGTCTAAGACCCAGTTTGGGGAGCAAAGACGGACGCTACTGCCGGACGTGCGAGAAGTGGTCACCTTGAGAGCAGCAGATCACAATGTAGGAGGTCGGATGTCTTGCAGATCATAGATCCGTGACCCGCGATAAGCGGGGTGAGAGCGCGGAGTGATCTACTCGCGAGTCTCGGGACGAGCTCTTTCGCAACCACGATCGGTTTCCGGTGGACTGCATCTAGACAAGCGGGTAGTGTGGGTTCAATATGTCCATGGGTAAGGTGAGGATATGTAGAACAAGCATGCCTAACACTTTGCTTTTCAACACTCAACTTTTGGCATCACGTAAAACATTTCTAAGTTCGTCGAAGTCCGGATAACAGCCCTAACATTAGCTCGTTAGGTACATACGTCACGACATGAACAAATATCAACAGAGTTTCGGCCACTTCTGCATGGCAAAGTTGCAAATAGAAAAAAGCGCAAAGTCCGGAATTCTATGATCAAACCGGTGTCGACCAAGACGCATTGAGGTGATTTGTGAGCCTGACTGCATCAGTTGATGGGTGCTCCATTGAAGATTTGGACAGGAAGCGCTGACAACATACATAGTATCGTGTCATGCGGCACTAATACTTGGTTGGAATTTACTCCGTGACTGCACATATCTGACAGACCATACCCTTTTTTCTTTAATTTTTTTTTCTTTGGCGAGGCTCTGTGACTGAAGTCCAGGATTCTCCGCACCACAAACTTTGAATGTTCAGGTAGACGGCCAGCATATTCAGAAACGAGACCTTGATTCGACAAGGCCCGATGACCACAGCCTATTATCCGAGGCTTACTGTATATATGGTGGAAGGAATAGGCAAGGGGGAATAAACCCAGGATTAATACCGATGTATGAGACGATGTTTCTTATGGATTCTCAACGTTTAAGCCAGTGATAAAGAAATTTTGCTTCTAAAAACAATTCCTACCTATATAGCTAAGCATGACGGAAGCAGAAGCGGGGAACTTTTCAAGTCACCTTTCACCATCGAACACATCTGCCGCCAAGCCAGTTTCATGGGATTTGTGCTTTGTGCTTTATAATTTCCCTCAGCGGGAGTTCTTGAAAGAGATAATCCTTCGTGGTTGCATCGCATCCCATACTTCCCAGGAGAGAAGCGGCAGTAGAAAGACCATCACACACTACTGTCATTCTTCCGGTACAGGTGACGGCGGTAGAATCCTTCTGAGGTTTAGTGTTTGTAAGATTTGACTGCACTGGACAGTGCAAGTCCAGGGATCACATTTCAAGCAGCCAATGGGACCGAGTCCACCATCAGCAAGATGACGGCATAGCAGAGAGCTCAATACCAGCGCTTAAGACGGCCAGTGTTCCACCCAATTAAGTTCATCGCGCAAAGGTTGCGCTGGTCTTTACTGGTAGACATATGGCATCTTGAGAACGAGGAGCTAAACAGATATATCTGGTCTTTTTGCATTACAATGCATAGCCTGTGTTCAAGTCAACGTACCACGAGAACTGGTACGACATGATCAATGACTCGCAAGGGGCAGGCGGTGAAATCAGTGTAAGTCGCGAACATTATGCTTAATGCACTTGCGGAGTAACTTACATGCGTGGATGAAAGACAATGACGTTCTCCTTGTTCATGGCTGGAAGCCTAGGATCTACCCTGACCTGTGCTTGAAAGCAGGGGGCTCGTTGTTACTGGGGGCTTACGGACGCTGGAACGATGTCGAAATAGCTGCTCATTCCTGAAAGAGAGGTACCTATAATAGGAGCACACGATGACAACGGCATGAAGAATTCTTTAATTGGGCCTGATGTCGAATTCCACAAAAGTCAGTAACATCAGGTCCATGTTCGATTTGGGATCCGTGCAACTGGGTCTTTTTTACCGTCTAATCATCAATGCGGACCGACCCACGTCAATGATTACCATAGTACAAGCTTAAGGTTCCATTAATGGAGGCGAGCCAGTAAACAAAGCGGCACATTCGGCGTTGTGTCGACAGACTTTTCAGCAAAGAACGAAAGACCGGGCGAGGGTTCAATGGGACAGCTGAGGACTCAAAGAACAACTCAATGTGGTCTTGGAGAGTCGAGTGTGGTGAAAGAAACCATGTATGCGCAGTAAACTCTGTTGCAGATATTGAATTACTACCTGAATGGTATTGAAGGACTGCTGGAGGTGTTGGAGGTGCGGGTGCTAGGACCCAACAGGGCTAGATTCACTAAGAGCGCCGGGCGGTTGACGCCACTCAAACCGTCTACACGTGACAGCTCCAGGGGTTCAATGAAGCGAAGGTTGGGCGCTGTAATTGCGCTAATGCGCTGGGCAAAGGCGAGGGCGAAGGCGAAGGGAAACAACCGACCGATCGATTCTAAGAACGGACAGGAAGGGAAAGACCCAAAGGCTAAAAGCCCATCTTTCGAGACCCAGGTCCAGGTCCATGTCCATGTCCATGTCTGACCTTAGGTCTAGGTCCATGTTCAGGTTCACGTTCACGTTCACAGCTAGATTCAGATTCAGATTCAGATCCAGATCCTTGATTGACTATGCGAGAATAATCGCTCTCTGACCATGAATTTGACGACTTGGGAACAGCAGTTCTCTACATAGCCAATAATTAGTGACTCCGTGTCTAGCGGTATCAGCAACCTTGATACAAATCCGGTTTACTTGGACGTCGCGCCAATTACCACCACCCCTTTACCCTCTATCGCGACTTCTTCGCTCTGTCAGCCAGCAATTGAAAAGAACCAGAAGACAGCTTCTCAGCGGAAGCAAGGGTCGATATAGACGGAACTTCGCCAACGACCACATCATACCGCTGGAGGGCACTGCGTGACCGCAAGAACCGCCTGCCGTGTATCATTGCAAGCAATCAAATCATCATATCGGCGAGCGTCTTCCCCCCCGACCGATCTACGCCGTCTGCGGCCTCGCGCCCTCATGGTAGCTCTGCGATAATCGAGATTGTGCCTCGTGCCACACAACACCATATATCGGGAAGGTAATGTGCCTTGGGCCTCGTCCTTTGAGGTCACACCACACGGATAGATGATGGTGAGTTTTTTTGCCTGTTCTACCAATGGCGTATGCCATAGAGAGAGCTAGCCGCCCACTTGGGCTTCATCACTTGGAGACGGAGCTTAGAAACACGCCCGGATCTCAGGGTGTCCATCAAGCGCGGTTTACAGCTCACTTTCACGAGGAAGCTGCGACTAACTCACTCATTTGCTAGACCTCATCTCGTCCCCGCGATGTCGCCAGCAGTTTCGCAAACCGGCGGGGTCATGCTAATCAGCTTTCCATATCCGACACCAATCACCACATCACCGAGACGATAGGTACCTTGTACGGCGACGACGATGACTACCAGACACAACCACACGACTCGCGGCCCATGAGCTTCATCGCTTCCCCGTATGGGGGCGAGCAAATCAGCCGCCACCTGTCCTCCTCCCCTGAGGAGTCGCGACTCAGACAAGTCCGCTCACATTCGGATAACGATGTTGAGCAGGTCTCGGCACCTTCGACTGCAAACGGAAGCGCGGCCAAGAAATCTCACCCACTTCCGAACCGAATGCCGAGTGAAAGAAGCTTGTCGGGAGGCCAACACTCACCCAGATCACCGTTGTCTCCGACTTTGCGTGAAATGACGGGCGAAGAGGGGTCACAATTCCCCATGGGCAACATCGAGAATGCGAACGACATAGCCAAGGAGTTCAACAATCTTCAGGCCCTGAGGCGCATGTCCATGGATGTCTCTAACAACTCCGACCCAGATCTGCTGCCCTTTTCCGGTGTCTCTCTGATGGCAATGCCCTCGATTGCGCCACAAGGCGACGATGATGAAGGCGATCCATCTCGATTGCTTTGGGTGCCTGCCGGTGTTCATCCCGAACTAGCACCGACTGAGTTCAAAAACTTCCTCGAAAAGCGAGTCCAATCAATTAAGAGGAGGTCCAGCGAGTCCAATTCGTCCCTTTCTGTAGACGGCTTAGACAGAAGCAACAGCGGGCTAAGAAGGAAAAAATCCATGCTATCCAGGCAAATCGACAATGTCGGCGGACGTGCGGCTGAAGGCTACATGGATGGCGCAGAGCGCTTGAAGAGAAGGGACTCATCGGGCTACGCAACCCCTGAGGGCTTAAGTCTAGATGAACTTGTCAACGACCCTACGAAGGCTGTACAGAAACTCACCTTGGAATCTCAACAACCTAGTGGTGACAACGAGGCTGATAGGCCAATACTGCCAATGCCACCTGGTATGGGCCTCAAGCGGTCGACTCGGACACAGTACCGTAAGGGTGGGAGTCTCCGGGACACCAAAGGTTCTGGCAGGGGGGCAAGTTACAAAACCCGTATGGCTGCGCGAATCAACGAAGAGGCTGGTGGTGATGGTAATGCCACGGCATCTCCGGTGGATGCGCCCAAAGGGCACACATTATCACGAATACAATCTGAACCCGTAGGAGCTGCTGCTGATAGTTCTTCGCGGCCTTCGCGGTCAGTCCGGAGGCAGCAACCTTTCACGAGAGAAACTAGTGGTAACCAGTCGGATGGGCCACAACAAGCATATCAGGATACAATTTCCGAGGAGGCTATAGACACTAGCCATTCGGATGTTAGTGAAGGTCTTCATTCGCCTCACCCATTAATCCCACAAATCATTGAGACACCAGCTGTTGAAGAACCTTTGGCGTCACAGCCCGCGCCTCAATCGAGCCCTTATCCGGAGCGGTCCTCCTCTCAGAGTGCCAATGCGCAGCCCTCCCTGGAATACAATCAAGTTCCCGAGGAGCCCCCCGCTCGGTCAAGCAGACGACCAAATTACGGGCAGCTCCAAGCTCAGCAGCAGCAGCAGCAGCAGCAGCAGCAGCCACAGCCTGTCCCACAATCGCATCAGAAAACCGATCATAGTTCAAATGATGTCGTTCAGCAACCGTCACCGTTGCCTGGAGCCAATTCCACCAGAACTGATAGTCTAACTTTTATCCCAACATTTGCCGCTTCTGAAGAGAGGAAGACGGATAAGAAGGGTAAGAAAGATTCCGGTAGCGGTTGGGGTAAATGGGGAATCTTCAAGAGTGATGACAAGGACAAGAAAAAGAAGGAAGAAAAGAAGGACAAGGAAGACGAGAACAGGAGGTCAAAAACAAAGGTGGTCGTGGAGAAAACACATGATAATGTTCGCTTGGATGTCCTACAAACCTCAATTGATAATGTCAAGCAGAAAGGTCGGGAGAGTCTCCTGTTGGAACGCGAAAGCGCAGACGACAAGTTGGAAGAGGAAAGGAGGAAGGAAAGCCATCGCAAGAGTGACTCGAAGAAAGAAAAGGACGGTTTTCTTTCCAACATCTTCGGCGGCAAAAAGAAAGGAGACAGAGAATCAGGTGGGAGAAAGTCACAGGGCCAGTGTGCCCTTTCCCCGGAGCCAGCGCCGTGGAGAGAGCTCGTGCCGGATACAGATTATCACTGGACCAGATTTCCCATACTGGAGGAGCGTGCTATCTACAGGATGGCTCACATCAAACTGGCAAATCCCCGGCGTGCACTGCATAGCCAAGTTCTGCTCAGCAATTTTATGTACGCTTATCTGGCCAAGGTCCAAGCGATGCATCCCCAAATCCAAGTACCACAATCGCCTCAGCAGAAAAGACTTCAGGAGGAAGAAAGAAAACGACGAGAGCAGCAGCAGCAGCAGCAGCAGCAGCAACAGCAGCAGCAACAGTACCTGGAACAGCAGCAGTATTTGGAGCAACAACAATACTTGGAACAGCAACAGCAAGCTCAAGATAATAACATGGGTCAATACGAATTTGAGTACCACCGGGTCAGTTGATCTCTTGTTGCATAAAAGTATTCTCGACTAACCACCATAACAGTCATCAAATGCATATGGTGACTCACACCCGCAGCAGACAGGAGACTATCCTGAAGATGCTGAGGTGTACGACTACGAACATGGCAAAGATCAATATGATGGTCACGGTGGTTACCAGCAAGATGATCGGCGACGCAACGACCAGGATGACATGTGGTGATAAGCTTGGTAACGCCGCCGAAGTTCACGAAGCTGGTTCAGATCATAGATTTCCAGATGATTCCCCCAATGTGGTGCACTCCCTGCACATTTGGGTAAGACCGTCCATGACTACATAACGATACAAAAGGCCCGCCCACCAGCTCTGGATACTGGATATCATGGGAAAGCCCTGCTTTTGCCTAAACAGTAAAGGGTGCTTTACTCAGCGCATAGACGAAGTCCAGGAAGAACATTGACTTGACAATAATTCACCACGGATCTTCGAAGCTGACAAAACACAAAAAGTATCGGGGAAATCAGATGTTTACAAAACTCAGTCGCACGGTGGTACGCATAGTGCAGTCAAAATATGGGACTTATCTCACTCGCAATGTCTCGATGATATTTCGGGGCGGTCAGCTGGTATGGAACGGAGAAAGGCAGGCCTTTGCAATGTATGATAGTTCTGTTTTTCAGCATTAGCGAAGGGGGATTTGTACATTTGCTCCAGGAAATACAACACAATCTGCCAAGGATGCCTGTGGGGGCAGTCACAAGGAAAGGTTCAAGACGGGGATAGAGGGTCGATGAATATAAGCGTGTGGACGCCTTCTCTTGGCACTTGTCAAATAACACAACTGTTGCTCTCGGCTCAAACCGTCCTCGCCAGATTGACCGCATCAGCCTGGTAGTGATGCCACGTGTTCGATAGCCCCCATACTATCAAGAATTTCGATCTGCCGATCTGTATAAGTTTGAGTCACCACACCCATCGCTAAGCTTAGAAGAAGATACGGGCGTTACGAAAGCATAATGAAAACGGCCAATCTGACTACCGGGTCACTCCTTGATATCATCGCTGTCCTACCCGTGGATTCTAAACCTTGAGGTTGATGATCTAATCCTACTGTAGCATCTGAATTGCCGCAGTGCTTGCCGGCAATGTAAATTTGTTCATCGTAAACCAAAGATATCCTGTCTTTTACCTACCTCAAGTCTTTTGGAGCAGAATAGGATTTCCATCTTATTCACAATATTGAACAGAAGTCATGACTGGCGCTGTAAACACTTGTTTTCAATCCAAGGCTGAAACCGTGAGGAGCGCTTTCTAGAGCGATGGTATTCGTGAAGCTAAGAATGTTATATCTCTATATACATGTTGATACCTTATCTCTTGGGGGCGTACATCACCGATTAATTACACCCTGTGACCAAGATACAATAGTGTAACGCTGCAGATATGATCTGTTGCACCAAACAACTCAATAACAAGTATGTCACAATCCCCTAAGGGTGATCATTTCTTCATGATCATGATCCGGTTATTGTTCCGAATACTGTGTTTTAGAAAGATTGGCTATGCCATGGATCGTTGATGAGTGGTGCCACGAAGGAATGAGGTGCTCGGCAGTTCATTCGGGATAAACCGTCTCCTATTGAGGATTCAGTAACATCTACGCCACTCGCCAGTCTCACTTTTGAAAAATGAACTATATCGAAAGACTATTCGGCTTATTAATTTTCGATCAAGATGCCAATAGGGTTGGGCCAGGCCCTGGTAGCACAAGGGTTGACTGGAGAGGGTCTTCTAATTCGGAATATTTCGCCGTTAAAGGCAGAATTCAAGGTCTGCATACCGGGTCCAGCGGTCAAATAAGACTTTTTGACCGGGCTACAGCGTGATTGGAAGAAACGATCGTGCTCAGGATTTTGTGCCGATATTCACCAATTAACACCACAGCTCAGACTCTGACCAGGGAACTAATAAAGTCAAATGATGTGAGGAACGCAGAGATCATGTCAATTATTTTACTACTAATATCAGGTCAGGTCATCCAGTCTCTGCATATTTTCCATCTACATTATTAAGACACGCGTATCCACCCTACTATTCAGGTCAACGTTCCTAGGGATAGTGCATTTTGATATCATATTATGTTGTTCTTATTATGGTCTACTTTTTGTCTAATTCCGTTTATCCGACTCTATTATTAATTACACGTCGTGCTTCGGCGTTGTTGGACCACGCTATCTTCTCCCATAAAGTCTTACCTGTAGGTGCTTGATAGCAGGCCTGAGGAGGGAGAAATAATGGCTGCGAGCGCGCCTTCACTGAGAATAGGCAAACAGGGTAAAAAGCTGGTCAGTTGGTCGATTGACTCTAACCACCTGAGAACAGAAAGCGCATATCAGTTATCTCCACCATAACCCCAAACTTTCCGATACGCTTTTTTGAAACACAACGCTACTACATTATACCGCTCTTCAAGTAGTCGATCAGGCATCTGGTCTTCCAGGAAGCTCGGTTCCATTACTCTCCACCCACCTTTCTCTAGCACCTCGACTTGCTCACAGCAATGTGCTTTGACGTATTCCCAATATACGGGGTAATAGCCAGCCTGGCTCCAGTCCAATATCCCAACAACTTTGGGTCCTCCATGGTCCATTGGCCTTGGCATAATCAACACGTTCCGAGGCGTAAAGTTTCCATGTGTGAACACAAAATTGTAAGTATCTTCCACATTAAGGCACCGAAGCTCCTCCGCAATTTTCTCCACCTCGGTGTCAACGTTCCCGAAAATACTGTCCTCACCGACACGATCCAAGAATCCATCAACGATATGGCTCCTGAATTCCTCCTCGTTCCGATACACTGTCTGGTAGTTTTGCAGCATCTGATCATGGCTCGGCATTGTGTCGGCGGCCGCTATCGCCACTTTTGATGTCCTTGTTCGTATCCGTTTCAAGAATTGCTTCAGCTGCTTGGCTATACATTCCTTTTCTTCATCGTCGAGGGTGTCATATACCTTTTCCAAGGATACGCCTTCGATATATGACATCTTGATACACCACCAACCGGTTTCATGGGCCTGCCATACACCCAAAACCTTGGGTACGGCAATGTTGGTTTGCAAAGATCTTACAAGCTCCATGTTCGCGGCCTCGCTCGGGGAAACAAGAGAACCGGTCTTGATCAAGCTGCTGGGTATTGGTTTTGGCTCAAGGTGGATCTCGGAGAAACGTGGTCGGTCCCTTGTCCTAGGATCAGTACCAGTTTCCCCAACGTCGAAGATGTCCCTGATTATGTTGAGAAACATAAGAACTTCGTGAGCCCCAGGTAAGTCTGATGAGTCGAGGCGCCTAGAAAATACCGATACCCACTCGTGGATAAGCTTAGGAGGTAGAAATTGGTCTTTCCATGACCGCCCCATTATTCTTGAGGGTATCATATAGTTTTACCGATTCCAGACCGGCCTGTGATTTTATACTGTATGTAAGCAGCTCATATATGGCTACTATAGAGGGAAACTGCCCAAGGAAAGAGCACGGATACTAATGTTGTTGTGAGGCCATGCGGATGGGATGGCAGATCTACTTTGTGATTGCTGGACGAGCAAACTGCCTGAAGTTGCCTTTATTATACTATCAGAGAGAAATATATTATCAAGGAGAAACAAAATCCAAGATACCGGAGAGGTGATGCCGACCGAGGTCTGGCCCGGAAAGACCGTTTCCGTGGATTTTAAAACTCTAATTACTGGGTCGCCCGGTACCTGTCAATCGACGTTAAAGCCTTCTTCAAACCAAGTATCAAACCAAGTAAAACCCAGGCTACATTCTGAGTTTAGCAACCGCTTGGTTACCAAAGTACCTACAAAAGGACGCGGCCGCTCCTTCGATTGGCACCACAAGATCTCACGTTAGCCATCGACCTCAAGTGTAGCTATCACGGTGCCCGTACGTTGCGCGATTCCGACTCTCGCACTGAGCATATCGGTGACGTTGCAGACGCCTTGTAGTCAATAGCTACGGACAGATGGAACGCAGGGTCACTGAGATGAGTACTGGCCGTTGCTTTGAATGGGCCGAAGCTTGTTGATCTTATGCCGACAATATTATTGGAAGAAACCTTCCAAGCAGGAAAGCTTCAAAAGGGTGACATATTTTGTTGTTCTGAGGAAAAGATGAACAGAAAGCAAAAGCATAATCACATTTCATACTCTTAGAAATGCTGAATGGAACTCTGACCGCAGTGTTGCACCACTGAAGTAGAAGGAGAACAAACTCAAGAGTTCTTTGATAAAGGGGCAGGCTTATATAACAGACCCTTGGAGTCCTGGCCATCTGCAAAACTTAAATCGCGGAAACAGCCGTCGTCATCATCAATGGTTGTTGTTTTGTGATGTTCAGGGCGGGATATTCTATCTGATCATGTAGTTGGAGGATCTCTTCACCTTTCGACTTTTGAAGATGGTGTAAATTTAAATTTGAAGATCTAAATTCCCCCTCCAGCGATAAACTAAAAGTGGTCTACCACACTGTTGCGCCTCTGTTATGCAAATTGGGATTTGTGATTCTTGCGGATGATGAGACTTAACAATCTTATTTCGGGCGTCCTATCCAGCGATGAAGTTCAAGGTAGAACCCCTAGTTACTACCGAGGTAAACAGCATAATTAAACGATGTCACTTGTCTAGAGTATCGTGTCGACCAATGAGCCTCCCCTGTAAGGCGTCCGAGTAGGTCGCTGTTTCTCTAGCCCTGGTAGCTCAAAGATGGAGGAATAATTTCATTTTGTTGGGGGAAGCCGTTGGAAAGTCCTGGTCCCATGCATGGGTAGTCACTGTATAAATAGAATCACCACTGCTCAATTTCTCCTTGGGAAAGTTCCCACTCCATTCAAACAGAACCAAACGCCTGGGCAGGCCTGGGCCTCGGATTGCCTCCGGAGGGCTACTTCAGTGGTGTGCAACAGGGAATTCGCAAACGTTACCTTTGGCATGTTGTTATGTCGAATAGGATACCTCGAAGATTTAAAACCTGTGGTTCATCATGCAAGCCGGAATTTGGTAGCAACAAAAGACTATAGTATTCAAAATACTGGACACACAATACCTGCAGTTCTCGACATTGCGTTCGATATAAAGGCTCTATGTTCAGCTGGCTGCGATCTATAACATTGGATGGTGGCTAAAATTCGATTATTTCCTAACGCAAGTTTTCGGACCTGATGTGGTAGTAAGTGAAAGTTATCATCGCTTCTCAGCCTCAGTGGTTGTCCAGATGATGACTGCTTATGAAACCTTACAAGCTTTATGTGAGCAACAGCACGAAACCATGGAAATACAGAAGCATCCTCACTGATATTTTTGATTGCTGGAGAAGCTGATTGTTTTTCCCTTCATTTTTCAGGAATAGAAGATTAACTTATGCAATATTAGCCGCGATCATACGGTGGCTGCATATCCTCACGTTAATCGTAATGCCAGCAACAATGGTTAGTACGCCAACCGCATGCACCACCTCTCTAGAACTTGTACCAAGGCTTATCACGACCCAACACCCAATTGTTCCTCCAAAACTACTCAGGTTAATGAATAGAGCACAATTCCGAAACAGGATCTTTTGAACAGCATCTCGATGGCCCGGTTAGTGCTTAGACAAGATTTACGCCTCCAGATCCAGCGAACCAAGAATCTCTACGCACTGGAACAAAAGCCACGTCCCATCTAGCCGCGATCTGTGGCTCATTCCTCGAATCATATAAATTTGCTTCACTGTGGCCTCGTTAAAGCGGCGCGCAGTAACAACGGTTGTGGGGAAGTCTACATCGTTGTTTCTCAGTCCACTGACCCCAGCTGCCGTTACCATGTCATTACTGTTTGCCGGTTACTGGCCTTTATAGTTAGAGAAGTATGAGTCAAAGTCGCTGAGAGAGCAATCTTCAGATCATGGTTATGACCACCACTTACAGGTAAGATCATGCTCCGAGTTCTTGCTAGGTTGACACATGCGAATTTGGCTACGAGACTTGCGCAATGAACAACTAGTAAGTTGTCACAAGAAACACTCAGTCTCTGAATTTTCCAGTGTCAATTTCCTGTAAGTAGGCCACACCTGTCTCTGGGCAGAATTTTGCACCAAAACTATACAGACCACTTGTATGTACCGACGATACTCACGAAGCCTGTTTTCTTCTTTTCCTTTCTCTTCTTTCTTTCTTTGGTTTATAAGCCGTTAACACAATCACAATTATAATACAAACTTCACTAGATACAACAGTATTCCACATATTAAGATTGATCTTAGGCCAGTTGATATATTTGATTCAAGCATATGGACTTTTTTTTTCATCCACCTTTTCACTTTTGTCTCCTTGTGTTGCAGCTGCACACTTATCTGCAGTACCTATCTATTCAATACCGATCCCGCACTTGTCCCACCACTTGAGCATCTCAAGCAAGCTAGGATAATTTTGGCTATATATACCTTAATGGCATCGTCGTTGATATGAACAGAACCCACCGACACGGCCCATTCTGAGCAGATACGAAGATGATTTTACATTCCTCTCGACGCGGTACATATGAGCCAAACTCGAAGCTCGTGCTTTAAGGTTTTCCCATGTGTCTCAGATTTGCAAGAATATCTATCTTTCCAGAGGACAAGCGATAGGCAGAGGAGAGGCATTATCTTTCGTCCTCGTTACATGCTTTGTACGGTCGAGACCGACCCACCCCAGACTGATGGTCCGATGATAACCATCACCATACAGACTTTTCCATCGCAGGGTACCTCCGGTAGAGCCGCAATCAAGCAGTCGCTGTTTGTGCACATCTGTAATCATACAAAATGAAGCTTTCATCACGACCTATGTTCTCCATACTATGGTCATGGCAGTTATCCACATGCTAAACGTTACCTTCTGGTAGGCGGCATCGCCTCGTGGCTTGTGCCCCCGACTAGGTTATCGTTAATAAGTAGCACTGGTCTCTTCATGTTCTTGCTATTTTACTCGAATCGCTCGATCACACAGCTAGTATTACAGTGCACTTGCACACTGGTCTATACTATCATTTCACATACAGCAACCTTGTGAGTTTCGCCCTGTTGCTCATCCCGCTTCTCAGGTTTGTGACTACCACAAAATGTGGAATAACATTGGCGTCATTCATGTTAGAGTCTTCTAGCTGCGTAAGATGGTTTCACGGCAGTATTCCATGTTTCGTCATTGTAAAGGCTTCCCGACTTGTCGCAAAATTTCTTAGACACATTAAATGACCTATGGGACGCATTGAACGGCAGACGTACGGAAAGGCTTCTCTGTTTTCCTCTTCCGCCCAAACCAATAGTTTGTCAGTATTTGTATTACTAGTAAATAAGTTTCAGGTAGGCGATCTATAAGTGTGTCATCTTCGACACACAACCCGCGCGTGACTGTCACGGATGACCTTTTTGGCTTGCTAATGGAGTTTTCGTTCTGTGGTTCAAAGCACAGTGGCTTGCGCCCCAGGAGGTAGTGCAAATGGCCTTTGAGGCTATGCTTGAACGGATGATATTGTGGCCTCGGGTTCAAATACCATCTGCCAGACATGCACACCAGGTAATGTTTGGTAGAAGATGGTTTCGATCGTACGATGACCTGCTCATTTGGAAAGCATCCATTGCCTGGGTTTCCACATGCACGGGTCCTGGATACGAATGACCTACACCTAGATATATCGTTATGTTCGTCTATCTTGAACAGATATCAAGCTTTGTGATGGCACACAAACTTATCAGTCTTGTGTATCTAATCCAGTTTTGAACAGCCCTATATCCAGCACGAAGTTGGAACCCGATTAACGTGTCCCATCCAGTTTGGTCAGAACAGCTATTAAACTGCGCTATCTGGCACAGTCATGTCCAACAGAATACTCAAGCATACACATCTTCGTCGTGCTGTGATATCTGTGGTACTGTGCATTTATCGTTGCGACGTCTCCTTCGTCGGTCTCATCCATAACCGGTAGTGCAACGCCGCGGAGGAGCAGTAGTCACCGATTTCCACATGAGGTAATGTAATAGCCGCCAACACATAATGATTACAATAGCGAGGGTGGTGCGTAATTAGTGCGACAAAACGGTTGGTTAGCGCTGAAGGGCTTGGAGTGCAGGTTACTGCATATGCACCAACCGGAAATCCACCGAGCTCATTTCTTGCCTAACCTTAGTCTGGCCCCTCGAATAAGTGGTAAGTTAGTACGCAGTGCAGTTACGGATTACCCCCGTCCAAGCGACAAGGCACAAGCACGTCTCTTCGGCGATCCAAGTCACGGAAAAAAGTTGTCTCCTTGATCCGCGACGCCGCGACGATTTTCCATCGCCGACAATTGAGGTTATTCGAGGTACGTGACATTTCCCATTACCCGTTCGCTGAACACTGCTGCCACATCAGTGAACACGCAACCACATCGTTGGGAGCTCGTCGCAATGGCTTTCAACGCGACAGCTCGCCGTCGCGGCACCCCGGCGCTGATATGGTGCGCGCATCTTGTACCTAGGAGCTACACCAAGTCAATTGAACATATCAAACTTTTTCCCGCCCAGACCAGAAAATTAACCATGACCACTACAGTGACTGACACCCCCTATTTGACACGAGCCCACGAGCAGCCTGTTTCTGGCGACGACTCCCCCCCTCTGAAGCCACACAACTTTGCAGACAGATACACGGCCTGGCGATTGGGAATCCGCGACGCGACCACGGCACTGCGGCGACTCCCCTGATTTCAAAGACGCGACCTGGGACCAAGCGTCGCCAACGATCAAGCATACGCGAACCCGTTCTCACGGGAAACGAATATAATTATAATCATAATTATAATTATACCAATACCAACACCAAATCATTAGGATCTCAGATATACGAACTCGGCAGTCTGCTCTTTTACGCGGCTCAGCATTCGCGGCAACATGCCCGACATAGATCCCATGCTTGAAAAGCATGATCCCGTGACAGAGGTAGATGTCGAGCACGATGTAGTGATGCAGTCTTATCCTTCACCTACCGTCGAGGGGCAAGACAGTGGTCCATTCTACCACACGACGCCCCGCCAGGAACATCAGCCTCCGACCGATCTCGATACCCAACACGATGACGGTGGACAGCTTGCAGAACCTACCAGCCCACGTCAAGGCGGGCGAGGCACTATCAGTAGCGCCGAAGAGTTGCAACTCGCTGCCCAGCTCAGCCAGGGCCTTACTCATGGCATGCCCATGGGGGATCTTAACGACGACCCGAACTTGCAGCATGTCATGACCCACGGTCTGGCACAGCATGAACAGGAACTCCAGCAGCATGAGGAGCAAATGAACCATGCCCACGAACAGTACCATCACGATGTCCAACAGCAGCAGCACGACAGCATGCCTCAGCAGCACGATGGGTTGCCACCCGTCAATGAGCATGATCATGAACATATGCAAGAGCAGATGCAAGAACAGTTGCAAGAACAGATGCAAGAACAGATGCACGACCACATGCCCGACCACGAGCAAGCAATGGACCATGCCCAGCACGAGCAGCACCTGCAGCACGAGCCGCATCATCAGGGTCAACAGCAACAGCAACAAGATATGCAACATCAATACTTGCCCGATCAACACCATCAGCAGCCACACCTGCAGCCTGCTGCCCCCATGGACGCCATGGCATCGCCCTTCCAGATGCAAGACAGCAATGTCCCACCGAGGAAACGATCCAAGGTATCTCGTGCATGTGATGAATGTAGGCGTAAAAAGGTCAAGTGCGACGCGCCATCCGAGACTGGTGAGGAGCCCTGCTCAAATTGCCGTCGCTCCAACATGCGTTGTCTGTTCAGTCGCATTCCTCAGAAGCGTGGACCCAGCAAGGGCTATATCAAAGAGCTGGCAGACCGTATCCATTCCATCGAAGGAAAGCTGGCCAGTGAGGGGGCTAATGCTGAACTGAATGAGCTTCTGAACGGCGCGCGCAGAGATTCGGGGGACCTGTTTACGCCGGCTGATGCGAGTCGCAAGAGGCCATATTCCAGTATCTCAGCTGGCGAATACGAGACACCAACATCAACGGGCCAGTTTGGTTCTGAGCCTAGGCAGATACAACCATACCAAACGACTCCATCGGATCGTTACAGGCCTCCGTATTCTATCAACGGGCTGGCCCCGACCCCTATTGCCGCAAAGCATGATAACGATACCCCTTCACGACCTGCCGCCGTCATGGATGGCATGGGACTGGACTTGAACCATATCGACCAGGTTCAAGAAATAGACGAGACGGCCTTTGCTGCGTGAGTTTCTGGTGCCACTTAGCTAACGGCCAAGCAGCTAATATTGAACAGATACCTCACCCTGGTCCACCCCGTCTTTCCTGTGTTAGCAGCCAATAAGTCGCGACTAGAGCAACAGCTGGCTCAATGTCCCTCTACTCTACGTGATGCTTTCACCACAGCACTGAACGGCACCATTGAGTCTTTTCCCTCTTTCAATGTGGACGGAGGTTTTCGTCAAAATCTGACCGATGCGTCCCGATCGCTTACGGAGTGGAAGGCTAATGCGTCGTCCATGTCAAATGTTGCTAGGCTCGTGCACCTACAGACGCTCATCCTGATTGCTATCGCGTCTGATCATTGCGGCCCTGCATCTCTGACAGGCGAGTCGGGCAGCCCGAACAAGTCTGGAGTTTTGGGAGAAGCGATTGGGGTCGCCTATTCAATGCGATTGCACGCCTCTCAAGCAAATGCTGACCTAAGTGGTGATTCGGATGCTGATGAGAACGTGGCGATTCGAGCATGGTGGACGTTGGTCATGCTAGATCGATGGAACGCCATTTCGACCGCTAGCCCCGTCTTTATCCCCAATGACAGTGTCGTCATTTTGCCTGGTCTGAAAGACCTGCTCGGCGAGAACGTCTATCATCTCGCGCGTCTCTGTAACATTCTCGGTCATTTCGTTCCTGTAGCTCTTTTGCCTCCGCAGACGATGACTCTTAATTCGGGTGCAGGATTGCAGATAAGTTCCTTCTTAAACTTATCCATCGAGCTTTTCCGGGAAGTGCTACCACCAACTATAACTCCTTCAACTCACCCGATTCTACACCTGGTGTACTGGCAAAGCAGACTTCTCGCCTATCTCTTCCAGACCAATGCCAAGACCGGCGATGTTATGTGGCCGTGTAAGGAGCTTGTTAGCCTTCTGGTGGGAAATCCCCAGATGCTCAACCCTTTGAATCACCACTTCTTCTGCCTGACGACACTGGCCCTGTTGGAGCTTACCAAGGTCGACTCGGAACGGGAGGCAGCCAATGTTTTACTTAGAGAGCTGCTCGAAACTCAGGTGGCACCTTCTAATTGGGATAATACCATCAGGGACCGCATCTCCGAAAGTCTTCGCCCCTCGACAGCGCAAGCAACAATGGAAGCTACTGCAAGTCAGAGCCTTCAGCACCTAGCTGACTTGGCCACTGCTACGGAGATGGACACTAAGCCAGACAAGGGCGATACCAGTCTTCGGATGAGCGACAGTTACGAGCACGTTGGGTTCGACCCAAGAGAACTGACCCGAACTGGCTACCTTAATGCACTTGTCGCTCCACGCCTGGCTGTCGAAAGATAACTCCTTATTGTCACTCCTCAAAATTGGAACCAGCCGAGGCTCTTGTTAAAAGTCGGAGAGGCTAGATTATGCAAGAGTACTCCCTTCTTTGCTGACGTCTAATATAAGTGAGGAGTCTGACATATCTGAGGAAGACTGATCAGTGCAAATAGAAAGATAGCCTGAAAAAACTTCATCGGCTCTCGAAGCGATCGCTATCAACACTTGTACCACCAAGTGCCTTCACTCAGGACAATTCCATGTATATTAATGTACCCTACTCTTCAACATTCATCGACGGTGTTCGAAAAGAACACCGCGAGCTAAGCTGTATTATATCTTCGGTCGGGTACATCGAAGACCGCGTCCACTAGAATACTACAATTAATCAACGGAGAAAGACTCCAATCGACCACTCATCAGAGCATTGCATACAACACTGCACCCTGTACAAAGTGATACCCAAGTGTTCTGCGTTATCTCGTGTAAAGCCCCGGACTAGACAACCAGCCATATTCATCAAGCTTCTGACATAAATTAGGCAATTCCCAGTCCCGGCCATATACTGCAAGGCACAATTTGTCACAAATGAGCCTCAGCGTCGGCATGCCGCTCGCTCAGCCCCCCTGGTCCCATGGACCTGGCTTGGGAGACCCCCTCGCACCGGGGGGGTTTATAGTCAGAAGATCTAGAACAGACTCTTGGGTACATGGAGAACCATGACTGTACTTTGAGAACAATGTAGGTACTCCCTCGTGCTAACCGTCGCGCGAGTTGAAACCAGTCAAGCACGCAATTTCGCAATGCCCATGGCGTCTCGGGTTGCATTAATAGAATCGTCGTTGCTTTGCTTTTTTGTTCTCTCCTATTTCACGTTGTGCGATTCCCGACCACGTGGGCAGGCCTCCCAGAAGAAAACCTGACATGCTGCACGTGTGACAACGACAAAAAAAAAAAAAAAAAAAAAAAAGGTATGTCTCATCTCTGGTGCTGAAGAACCAATAGGACGCGCTCCCAAATGGATGGTTCTTCTATTTGAGAAAAAGCAAAGTAGAAAAACGCATTCCACGCTATCAGTTTCCATTGAAAAGTCTATTTCCGGTCCCCTGCTCCCTACTAGGCTCTGGGTCCGCTGGGATATTGTCGCAAGCCCACGCCTGATACAAAACAAAAGATCGTTGTTGATACGTAAGGTAATTTGGTGGCTTGTGATGGGCCAAGTGTTTAGCTTTGAAAAGAGGCCCTCTGCAGTTAGGGTGGCTTGGGGGTCAGTCACATCCCGCGCCTGTGGGCCGTAGATCGATTTCGTTTTTGCGCCTCCTCGCAATTATGAAGATCAGTGGTTGCACACGTTGTCGAAACACGTGCTGGGTGCTACACATAGTTATACCTATCTAACACACGGTGGGTTGGTTCCGCAGATTTGATACCTCTTCCCTCCCCGGAGCTTTCGTGATGGTTTCCGTACGCGCTAACTACACCGAAGCCCGTTCCAGGACGGCGGCCCCGGTTTTTCTTTTCTTTTTCCTTTCTTCCCGCGAAACGAAGAGAAACCATCACGGTCCAGCTGTGATTGGCTAAAGAAGTCGTTTATGTGCTAGGTTAGTCTAGACCGATACTGATCAGACCAAATATTGAGACGAGACTGTCGATGGATCAACAGCTCCTTGACAACGTCTGGGGACTCGGTGTCTGAAGTGAACAACCGCAGGAATGCGTACTACAGTCCATCAGGTTCTGCGTCACAACCAAACTGTAAAGATAACGAAAAGCTCTATAGTGCATAGGATCCCACGCCGAGACTGCGGACAAGGTGCATCTGTGGCATACATGGAGCGGGCCGGTCAGATCCGCTGCAGAGACCTGTCGTGATACCGCAAGCTAGTCCAATGATTGCACGGCTTTTTGGGCGCATAAGTCATCGGACGCTGGCGACATGTTGGTATTTTGAAATTACGGAGTAGAGAAGCGACATCAAATCCGTTGACCCCAGTCACTTCAGGCTTTGAGTGGTATTCCGAATCCGCTTCCTATCGCGAAGACTACATAGGCCGGCCTCCTGTATGATCGCGTCGAATCGCAACCTAGTCTAGACTCATAAGCTGCATACTAAAGCTCAGCTGTTCGCAAATACATGGTGAAGCTGTGAATGGTGCCATCAATAATCGAGTATGGACACCTCATTGCAGCTAAATTGATCTCGAGAGCTCTTGGTTGAAATTACATCGTTTCGGCTAGACGAGATTTGTTGTCAAAGGTCCTGCTGAGAGAAGCAGCAAGCGTGAATCTTAAAGCCTAAAAGCCACTGAAGTCACTGTGCCTTATCGCCGTAGTTCCCCGCTCAGTGTATGGCCATTGACTATGAAGATGCTTGTGATAACGACTCAACTATTGCAGCTGAAGCCGTAGCACATGGTTTGAGGCCACCGAAACTTGACGGCGAAGTCGCTTATTCTATCCAAATCAGACGATCGGAGGGTGCGCGAGGTTGCGTAATGCTGAATGTAAGATAAAAACTAGTATAGCTTCGCGCCCCGAATCCATTGGAGGTTGTAATTTCTTGCTGAAATCATTGACGGTTGTCTGTCTGGTGTGGGGGTCAGCTCGAAGGAGCTTGCCGCTGTCAGCAGACCTTTTGATCCTAGCACCACCAATCATGTACAGGAGAAATGATGTTGAATCCTGCATACTATTTCTGCTGCAACAAAAGCCTGCCCGCATTATGCACGCGCCTGGTCGTGATTGAAGGGGTTAGCCAAACCTACTACAGAGTGAGTCCCATACCGTCGGATAGGAAAAAGCAATTCTGATCGCTAACGATCATGAGTGCCGGCTTGGGAAGATGGCAAACGGTGTGGAAAGCAATGCAATAGCTGCCCCACGAGCAGGCAGTAGCAATTGGCTCTAGCCACATCCATTTCGCGGCAATACTAGCATTAGAAGAAGAGGTGAATGGACTGCCCGGCGCGTTATACAGTTCCAACTGCCGAAGACGCAGAGAGCCAGGAAACTGCATTGTGGTTAAGAAGCACTGCAGCCAATAGCGGATGCAGCGAGGAGCCACACCACATCGTCCAAGAGAAAGCTTCTAGAAAAGTTATGGAAAAGCTCAAACCACCCAAGATATTTGGCTCCGATTCGTATCCGGTCATGTTTTCGAGGTCAAAACGGCGTATCGGCATCTGACAAATCGCAAATGGTCTTTCACGGTGATCTGGGTGAAAAGATGATCATCCCGAGGATGTTTTCCAATGAAATGAGTTGTTCTAGCAAGGGCATTGACTGGGGATAAGAATGTCTTGGAAAATGACTTGGTTGTTAATAGTTTAGAGAACTGACAGCAACGCTGTTTGTGTCGTCGCAAATATGATAGTCTAGCAGGTTCTGGCACTGCAAACAACTGAACCAGGGCGGCAGTGAAGGACGTTGAGTCTCCATGTTGTCAATCGAAAAAGCGTGTGATAGCTTGAGCCGAAGTTGTAATTTGTCAGAAGACCACAGATTGCCAATTGAGCTGCCCAATTTGTATTCAGCCCAGCCACTTGGCAACCATTGTTGTTGTGCAGAGAGTAGCAAGCACGGTGGTTCTCTTGACCAGCTGAGCATCAAGTACAACTGTACCCAAGACCTCGCTTGTGAAAGTGCGCTGCAGCTTCCAGAATGCCTACTTAGGCTGCCAGATCCAACCCGGTCGAACGGGTCATCAATGAGGTTGATGTCGTATAGTCCAGGCTGTTTAGGCTGGACTAGTCTAGTAGAAATCCAGCCCTTGCTGAGATGCGGCTACTTGGCAGTGAGTTGTGACACAACAGGCAGAGGAACGCTCTGTCGAACCCTGCGACTGTTTCCGCGTTTGGACCTAGAAATTGGGACTACGGAAAGCAGGGTCTCTCGTAGTTGGTGTGTCTCTAAGGCGCGCGGTGTAAACTATCGCAAGTAACATGTCGCCTAGTGGTGTCTACCGAGAGCGAATCAGAAATTTGGCAATCTTTCGCGACAACTTTCGGCCCAAATACAACGGTCGGTGTTAGTAGACGTGCAGGTCTACTACAGCGATGCCGAACGGCGGGGCCGAAGACCAGTCGCAACCATCAGCAACGGTAGTATTGAGGCATCTTGGCCTGTTCGCGGATCTGGATAATAGAACCTGCAATCAATCTATGCAGGTCCAATAACGATAGTGATGAGGCTGCATGCAGGGAGGATCTGTCGCAGACGGAGAAAATCGGATGCTCCACGATCAATCTGAGGTAAGAGAGAGTATCGAATCCTGATGGATAAATGGAACACGCGGGACGCTCAAGGATTCGAAATGTATGAGAACTGAGCAGTTCATGCACATCTGATTCGCGCGGATTGAATGGAGGATCTCGTGCATGCGCAAGAAATTTTCTGTCATTGCCTCGTCGGGCAAGTCGGGGTAGGCGACCATGGCTGCGAGGTGCATCATTACTGTACTCGCCCATGGGCTAAAAAAGTCGATACTGGGGCAGTTTGGGGGAGACGGGTTCTGGTTGGAGAAGGACTCTGGGACTGCAGCAGCAAGGGTCTGCTGGGGTCCGCTGTTAAACGAAGTGTGGAAAATAGTGGAAAGTCTTGTCGGCCCGGTGGGAAAGCTTGGATTTTGGGGAGTTGGATGGCAAATAGCGGTTGATGGTCTTGTGCCAAAAGGACCGCTACGTGATGTTATGCTTGCTTCCACTGGTGATGGTCATGTACTGTAACCGGAATCATGTCCCACTAAGCCTGCAACACAGAGACATCCCGAAGCACAGGGGAAGTAAGCAAATGAACCCAATCCAGCATCCTGCGTTAAGAAGAGAGACATTGATGCAGAAGAGGAATAGCCTGCTTCTTGTCGAGGAACGTCAACTAGTCTGAGGTTAGGCTCTATCCAGGAGTTACGTTCCGACTGAAAGCAAGGTCAACATGCGATATGACTATAAGTGGCGCTTGCTCTGTTTCCGCCAATGAGATCACCAAGTCAGCCCAGCGCAGGTTCGGGATGTTGAGAAACTTGACAACGACTTGTGAAGTAGGCATGCTGCATGCAAACCTCATTCGAGAAAGTCGGCAAAGACCGGGTGGAAGGGAAAGAAAGAAAGAAAAGAAAAAAGAACAACTTGCCGCATGTCAGCTCTGCAAGGAAGGGAGGATTCAGTCAATTCCTAAGAAGCGGCTCTACCCGTAGGATTGCTAGAGCATGTAAGCGATCGTCACTGCAGTCATACTTACGGGGATGTCTACCGTGTTGACAAGCACATTTCGAGTGTGAACCAATGCCATTGTTGAAATTGGTCCGTTGGTCAACCTCAACTGAGACATATGTTACCTAAGTTTGTGTGTTGCTCACCACGTTGCTTGCGGAACGACAGCGACACCTGTGTAAGTGGCTGTGTTTCGGCGAGGCAAATTCGCATGCTTATACTAAACCGTCTTATATTGACAAGGTGTGGCGGAAATCATAGTCTGTAACAGTACATCAAGTGTCGAATCTGCAAGAGTCGCATGATTTCTATACACTCGGCTCGTCTGAATAGCTTGATGACTATGGTTGTGTTGTGCTAGACCGTAAACAAAGATTACTTACTGCAGGTTAGCAAGTCCAAGATCATGATGAGCTATGGTAGAAAACTATCACATTATACACAGATTGCCATTTTTTTTTTTTTTAACAGCGGACAAAGTGTTTGATTAGGGAAGAAACAATGCCAGTGACATTAACGAAAGCCTATCTCACAAATGTCCTGATTCATCTACGGTGATATGTCATTTAAGCAGGTAGTAATGAAGTCAAACTCTATCAAATCGGCCTCTGGTTTGCCGGCCCCACTGCGAAAGCAAGAACATAAACCGGCGGCGGGCAATGCAAATGCAGACAAGTCCCGATAGCAAGCAGAATGATGCATAACGAATCGAATTGGCCATTAGGAGGGTACATCTCCCATCATAATATACTATGTATATTTGGAGTCATCATGATGGTGTGCATCGAAGAAGAAGAAGAAGAAGAAGAAGAAGAAGAGAAGAAGGTTGTTCGCCAGGGAGTCGTGCAACAACCGTGGCCATGCGATCGGTAACGCCCCAATGCCACGAAGAAACTCCAGTAGGTTGCTGCACTTGTTTCATTCTGATCCATCCCACTCATACGCTGACCAGAAAAGTCCCTCTCACGGCGGTCGATGATGGAATCTGGCATGGCTCCCCTGCTAGAATCCTGTAAGTGATCCCGCCTTTCGCCTAGCTTCCTCGTCCTCCCGCACGAGCTCCGACGTATGTACGTAGGGTTGGAGCTGGCAACCCTCGAAGTGGATGTGGACTACTGCGCATCAGGCTGCTTGGTTACTTGGTACGATACGATGGCGCTTGTCGAGGCGTGGACTGGTAACTCATCACATCTCGTTAGAGAAATTGGAGAGAATCCTGGAGATTGGGGGGTGGTGGTGGCAGCCAGCCCACCACAGGTAAATTCAACTTGGCCTCTAAGCATATCCCCATCTCCGGGGACTCCATTAGCAATGCCCACCATCATTCATGTTTGGCACATTACGAAATGTGGCCGGCTTGCGAGAAAATACGGAGCCCCAACCCTGAATACCTTTGCAGAGTACCCAGCTCGGAAACGTGTAGCCAACCACCTGGGGGTCACTGCAACCTTGGGCGCCGTTGCTCCCCCAAGCTCTGGCTCTGGCTCCAAGGTCATGGCGGCCTTTGCCCGCAAGCTTAGCTTCTCCGGTCCCCATCTCTGAGCGCACCCCGTCGGTGCAATACACGGATGTCTGCTCTCTCTCTAGCCTTGCTTGGAGCGTCTCCAGCACTTGCGCACCTTGGACGTGGGCTGGCCTGCCAGGATCGATAAGTTTCGCACAAGCTACTTTGTATGAGCGCTAGTTTCGCACAGCAGAATGAATAATTCCGTGACTAAGGAATAATAGTTACATAGATACCTCGACAGATACAAATCATATTGACATGGTACACGAGCCATCAACAATGGGATTGACTTTTCGTCTTAAAAAGCTCCCGTCCCTCGGTCGGCCCACGCCTCATACCGGACGCCTGAATCCTCTCCCACTTCCCTCGCCCCTTCTACCGACTCTGGATTTGTATCTGGGCCTGTATCTGCGTGTCACATCTCGCTCTCCAGCGTTGCCCAGCCCCGAGACCCTTTCTGTTGTCTTTTCATTTTCTCGTTCCCTTGGTCGAGATACATGCAAGGCCGTTAGAGGTCTTTGGTAAGCCTCGAGGCGCTAGTTTGGGTCATCCGACCAGTAAGGTAGTCGGCCAACTGGCTGAACAGGTCTATCGGCGAAAGTTGCTCATACTTTACTGTAGTGTTTTGTCACTTTTATTACAGCAGAGTGGCATACCTCCAATCCTATCCCATTCGAACGGTCCCCGCTAGCCGTGACTTGCAGCAGCGCAGCGCAAGTCAGAAGTTTGCCCGTCGGATTAGGACAAGGACAAGGACACAGACACAGATCACTCAACCCACACCAAGCCAAGCCAGACTCAAAGATCAACTGCACCCGACTTATTAAACTACATACAGCCTACTATGCTCTAAAGCTCGCCGAGGCCCGCCGTCTCCATCCTTGACTCCAGCCCACTCCGATCTCAATTGCTGCGGTTCTTCGCAACTTTACATTACATTACCTTACCTTAACTGTCCAGTCGGACACCAATGCCCGAGAGGTTCTAAACCCTCACTGCAAGTCGGGTTTAAAAAAAAAATCTCCACTCATATTTTCTTCATTTGCACATCTCGACTTCGCTTGGCCGGACGGACTGCATCTTGCATTTCGCATTTTGTAGCTCTCTCGTCGGATCATACCAATCAGAGCCGTGCGTTCAGTTCAGATTCGACATAGCCGCAGCAGCGACTATATTGGGCAATTTTGGTAATTCGCTTGGCAACTTGATTGCTAGAGGAATGATGCGCGCATAGGGCCGCTTTTACCGCTGCAGTTTCTCCGTCTTTTATTGAGCCTGTTGGCCCCATCGAAATCGGAAATTCCCCAGTATTTGCGCTGCGCACCAAAGGCACCAAAGGCACCCAAGGCAAAACCACAACTGCCAGCCTTTTCAAACTTCGGCCCTTTATCCCACCCCCGGTCGTCTCTAGGTCACCTCTAGGTCACCCTTGGGGCTTCGGCGCGTTTCCCGCAAAACGTTACGCACCAACCCTCATTGAGATCTGCGACACACTCGGCGTGTCAGTCGCCCGCCTCAACTCAAAGCTCCGGGGACCTGGACCTGACAATTGACACGAGCTTCAACCGAACAAAGAGTTCGTCTTGTGGCTTTTTGTATTTTTTTTGGTCTTTAATTTTACGCTTCTCGACCTCTCCGCCCCCTCCCTGGACTGGACCCTTGAATACGCAAACATATCCATCACCATGCTGATAGACGGAGAGAAATGGTAACTCCTCATACTTTCTCCAAATTTTTAAGACAAGGCACAAAGCACTAACACCGTGGTTATAGGGCTTGCGAAGCCTGCGTGCGAGGGTGAGTCTTCTCAATTGCTTGTTTGCTTGCTTTTTCGACTCTTCTACGGCAGCATCTCAACCCTGATCTCTCAGAGAAGCCTTCTAGAACATCACTAACGCTGATCGTCGTAGACACCGCGTGAGCAACTGCAATCATCATGGTGAGCGATTATTGCCGCTTCCCTAACAACACACACATCCCGTATCCCGATCCTAGCCACCTAACACCGCCGCGGGGCAACCTGCAGGGGCCCGTGAGCTCGTGGGGGAGAGCCCTCAGAATTGGCAGCAGGAAAAGAGAAGAAGAGAAAAATAAAATTACATTCATTCAAAGGATGCGAACATTGCGCTGACTATTTCTGTTGCTCAGATCGCCCATTACAACACATCAACAAAAAGGTGAGTGATAGGCCTGTTTGCGCCACCACCCAGCGACGACTGTTAACACCTCGTTCAACAGGGACGCCCAGTGTCGCAATGTCAGCATTGTCGCTCAATGCGCAAATCGCGATCGTCTCACGTAAAGTGCGACTGCGGCGAGAAGACGCACAAATGCCAGCACCTGCAGCCCACCATGCCGGGTCATACGGGTAAGCACATAACCATTCATAGGATAAGAACCCAGCGTGATATGGACCAAGTATTCTGAGACCTGGGTACAGACAGTTGCTGCTGCAACCATGGAGGGCGCTGCACCTGCTCTTGCAAGAAGGAGCCGGCTTTAGATACGGTGCCCGAGTCGGAATCCGACCAAGACCAAGAGCCTGTTCTTCACAGCAAAGCGAGAGCAGCCGGCCGTCGCCGATCGCGAGCGAATACGACTCACTCGGAACCAGTCTTGAGCTTCGATGAGAATGGCCACCATAAGCCAGCTCACAAAAACAAGGTCTCGCAGAAATGTGGACCTTACACCTTGAGCCGCGGTCACTCGATGCACAGTATTTCTAGCACGAGCAGCATGGGCAACCGATCAGTAGACAACCTGCACAAGGCGCCCACTCGGTCCCGAAGCAAGGACCTGATCGCTCAAGATTTGGATTCGCGAAAGGCCAAATCAGAACAGGCCTCACCCCTCATCTCTGGCAACTCAGCATTTCAGCATCTCAACGGTCAGCTGCCCCCACTGGATCTCTCGAGTATCCAATATCCGGAGTACCCGGGTTCTTTCGATCTATTCCATGGCATAGATGAGCAACCCGTATTCAGTGCTGGTCTCAGTGCTCCTTCGGTCGACTGGGCGCAGTATGATGGCCTAGACATGAAGGCCGACAACTTTGCCCCATCCAGCTACGATCAGGCTCAGTCATATAGTGCCGCGTTCGATTTCTCAACTGAGCCGACACTGACTTCAAACTCGGGCGATGTCTCGGAGACTGAGGACTTCGTGGGACCGTTCAGTGAGGCTCAGATTGAGGGTTTTCGATGGAGTGCAGCTACCAATTATATGAGCCTGCAGCAACAAAGCCAATCTGCTGCTGCATTGGGCGACTTCTCCAGTGGCGACTTTGGCTCGTTCAAGGCCGCTGCCGCCGCAAACAAGTTCTTGCCGAACCTCGGTTCCTTGGATGAGACGAATGGTGAATTTCCCTTGCTCGAGGAGGATACATATTGGTCAATGAACAACTTCACCGATGGGATCACTCAGTCACCCGATCCCGTCGCCGCAACTTTCTGGGACAACAACACTCAGTGAACATTTCAATCAAGCATCGGAGTTCGGATTAGCTCATGATACCATGATGCATATGTTTTCAAGATTTTCTGCATATTATACCCCTACGATGGGTTCATCTTTTTGAGGGTTACATTTCATCATATGATTATGAACACGGCTAAGCGAGGACACAAAAAAAGACTAGGTCGAGGACATTCTTGGCGACTGGTGCAGGACCTGGTGGCGTTGGTTATGCATATTCTCATTCATGCACCATGGCGGCTTTTTCAAGTTTGTCTCCTGCCACCGTATATACTTCTTACATGTCTCCGCCTACTTTTGCTACAAGTTTTTTCGGTTCCTAGACCTAAAAGTATGGGGGGATAGACGGTCGACTTGGCATTTCCCGTTATACACATTAGACATAGACGGTTACGAGCGAGAGAGAGAGAGAGATAGGCGTCGGTTCTTGGTCATGTAACGCTCCATCTCGGTCACGATGATTCCACAAAGTTCATTTTCTCCCTTGTCCCGTCTTTCGCATACCAAGTATATACTTTCCGAATTGGGTATGCCGTTTTGGTTTGCCGAGCCATGCATGTTGCGAGAATGCGACAAAGTTTTCAATGACGACATTAGTGGTCCTCTGTGGATTTGAGTTGCTGGTTACAACTGTAACGGCCATGCTCTTTGCGGTTACGGCCTCCGAAAGGATACGGTTACCTGTCAGGGGTCCTAGAATTATCCGATTTCAGCGTGCTGCGTGCTGCGCGAACGCCTGCATCCTGCGCTGGCTGCATGCGGTACACAAAGTTTTAATTCAGCACAGGGGCCTGTTCCATGTAACCGATGTCGCAATTTTGGGTAACGGCAGGCGGTTGGCCAAGCGCGAGTCGTGTCGGATCATGCCGTTTATACCATAGTATGAAGGATCAATTGATTAGGTACGACTTAATAAGGCGCCTTACTAAGTCGCAGCCTCGGTATCGCATGGCAATCGAGATCGTTTATCCAGGCCACCAGTGGGAAATGAGGGATCGCGACGCGAGACGGGGAAATTCAAACAAGCAAGCGCCAATAATCCAGCGGTAAGGTCCACTACAGACAAAAGAGTGGACGAGGACACATAGCGCGGCAACGAATCGTTCGGCGGAGTACTTGGTAGGAAGGTCTGTGAAGAGTGGGGGGTTGCTGTGCCCCCCTCGTGCCCCTTCGACTATTGAGGTGAACTGCAACGAGCGAGCGCGAGCCGAAATGGGGTTCATTCTATTTTGATTTGATTAAACCCAAGGACACGATATCGTGACTAACGGGCATGATGGATTGAGGGGAGAAAAGGAGGAGAGAGGCGATCAGGCTCGGCAGCTTCGGAAAGCGTCATATCGGCGGTGAACCACCACTAATATCCAACATCTGTTGCATCCGTCGACTCTTCCCAAAATAAATTGGACAGTCCCGTGATCATTTTCTGTGGAGGATTGTTTTGAGAGCTCACGGATTCGAGCAGTCGGTCGGTTATCGCCTGAGTGGGTTTCGTCGCGGTGCCGAGTTCCTGCTATCCATCTTCGTATAGTTGTCACCCAGTATTGTCGAGTATAGCTACGGCTCTCTTCGAGGGCTCTTCGAGCGACTGAAGACGAAAAGTAACAGGAACGAAGCGTACCTATATATTTGGCGAACGCGCAAGTTTGTTGCGCGCTAAGAGCTCTTTACTGGGCTGCAATCAAACGTCATGTCCGTTTTGAGGCATTTTTCTCTGCTAAAACCGTCTGATAATGGCCTGGACACGAAAATGGCCCGGGGGAAGCAAGACAAGTTCAGCAAAGTCTTACAGCATAGATCTCAGAGGATTATATACTCTTGACAAAAAAGCCCTCAACCGTGCGCGCTGGAGGCCTCTCTACTCATATAATCAACTCTACGCAACATACTATGTACTACGTAGGCAGGCGAGCATCCTGGGGTGGTAGGACCCTTTGTGCATTACCTTTCACCGGACTTAACTCTACAATGGCCGGTCCGTCGGCCGTTTCAAGTTCCCCGAATAGCTGCAATAGAATGGATGCAATCGATTACTACGAGATGCAAGGTGATGCTACTGCCGGTACAGCGGCTTCTTACTGAACGGCTTACGCGGATCTGCAAATGCCTCGCATTACCAATCGTCGTACAAACAATGACAAAGCTCAGGTCGGACTTAATGCTACCTCTTGACTAATAAAGCAACATAAGATGTATACCGTACATGTCGTAGACTACGCTGTCAGTGTAGACTTCTCTCAGAATATGGCATCGAAATTTCGAACCCTAATACGAGAGGCAACGACTGCAATACACAAACTATAAAGTCTATGACAGACCATAAATTCGTTCTAAAGCTTTACATGAGTATTTTCAGCTTCCGCCTACTACCTCATGTGGTTATGAACCTTTGGTTGCGGCTCGAAACTGTCTATGTTGCTCAAGTCTTTCGTATCAAGGTCCTAGAGCTGTTCTGTCCTTGCTCGATCCTTTATATGTAGTGTGACGTAGACCCACATGAAATAGTATCGGGTCGATAAACGTATTCTAGCATCTAAGCATCCGCTTGATCGTAGGAGTATGTCATAATGACAGTATAGGGCTCGTACATCTACTGCTCCAGCATGCACCTCTTTGTTACACTCAGTGCCCGGAGCTGATAAATGATGTTTGTACCCGTAGCCGGTATAAATGTCCTTTCAAGGCCATATTGGACTATACCTCTGTCACGCTGCTTAGGGGCATTCGTGTGACAAAAAGAATATCGCAATAGCCATCTGCACCTGTTAATAATGGCTTCCAAAGACTTCTGATTGGCCATATATACCGTCGCTGTTCAAGATTTGTCCCACAGCATTTTTCTTCTTCTACGTATCTTGTCGCTTTCCTCTTATCTACAGAAGTTCTTTTCTCGCCAATTTCTGTCATCATCGTTGTTTATAGCTCATGTGCTCTCTAAGCCGGGAATAGGGCAACACTTAACCTGGGTACTAAAATATGCATCTGCGATCATAATACTGCTGCGGAACTTGTTGGGCATGTGGATGAGAGAATCCAGAGACCCGCAATGGCTTGCGTTTCTCTACTCGTCTATTACGCAGTATTTATTCGAAAAGTCTCGAGCCCTTGAGTCCCTTATACATAATAATATCCCATGGACAGCGCGAAGCACTCCCAGCCTGCGCCGCAGTTTGTGTACCCAGGCGTACATTCTTCCGTCAGGCATCTTGGCAATCGTTTTGCTCGTCATGACTCGCGGATGGCAGCTAGCTCCATATCGTTGTCATTCCAGAAAGCAAGAAATAGAACATCACCAGCTCGTTTAGAGTGACATATGGAATGTTTAAACAAACCTGTCCAGCTGCCCGTCTGCGACTGCAGCAGGGGAGAGCCGTACGATAGAAATGTGGCTATCATGATCATCATATACTACCATTAATATAGCAGCATAATTGATGAGCAAAGTCGCCAGTACTAAAGTCGTGTAACGTAGCTTCACCAAGCGGGTGGCATGTGTCAATGTTTGTGCTGTGATGCGCTAAGATGGGTCGAGCTTTGTGTTCGAGCCATTTGCTTGTTTGGCTGGAGGATGATTAGAAGAAGAATTAGAAGTAGAAGTAGAAGAAGAAAAAGAAGAAGAAGGAGAAGAAGAAGAAGAAGAAGAAGAAGAAGAAGAAGAGTTTTCAAATAGGTTTTTCTTGCACGTCGCTCACCGTCCATTACTTTAGTTTGTGCTGATGCGTAGTATTATAGGCTTTGATTGAAACTTAACTCGTAATTTACATCCTCCCGACTAAATACTTTTAGTTATGTCTAAAATAAATAAAATTGGGAAAGGTTTGGGGCTTTACTAATTAATACACAAGAAAGTCCTTGCATATACAAGCTCTTTATATATGATTTTGTGGCAGTCCAATAAGGACAAACCTACAGCCTATCCCATTAGTTACAGGCAGGCGACCACTAGTTAGTGGAAATTGAGTGTTATCCCCGCCGGTATACGAAAACGCTGCTATATGTTGGAATCTGAAATAGTCGATTAATCAAAACTTCTCACATTACTTAACTATGTACTCGGGCTTCTAATGTTATCGTCCATAAACCTTCCCGCGAACAATGGGATAAAGTGTACTTATTATCAGGGTAAAAACGTTGTGCTGTGTTAGTGGCCTGCGGGGTAAAGCGCTCGTTATGTAACGTTCTAGGTTCATTGTCATACCTAACCTTAACATTTAATGCAGCCTGTGGTAAGGTACCCAACAAGTACCAATTGATTTATTGCTAATACTTCGGGTTGCACAACATTTGGCTCTTTTTGAGATGACCTCAATCCCTCTGGACTTTTATAAGAACGTGGGCTTGGCAATCATCCAACAGAAGTCTGCTATTAACCATTGAGAAAAGGGAGAGAAACAAGTTCAAGACCGCTGTAAGGCATTATGTGTCGGCCAGAGTTCAGAACTGAGCGCAGTCAGAGAGACAACCGACTGGGCCGCTTCAGTATCACCGGAATCGATGAAGTCACATGGCTGATTCGAGAACATGATGCCTTCGTGAGCATTTGTTCTCCCTGTAGCTGTTGGTGCTAGTATTGATATTCTTACAGGGAGAATACCCTCATATTTACGCCAGGATTTGTTCGACACGTGACAAGGGAGGCAGCAGAACCAGTCTGGTAGTTCTCAATGACACAGGAGTCGGTACAATAGCTGAAAATCACGAGGCTCCTTGTGGTTCTTCGGTCTGGACCATTAGAAACTTCATTGATCATCATCTGAACCCTTCGAAAGATATACCATATTTGATTATACTATCCCATTGCCACTATGATCATATACTCGGCCTACAAAACTTCCTGTCGCCCGATCAGGGAGAAGGCGAACGAGTGACATCAGAGGACACTGATGTTACTATCATGTCTTCATCATTCCAGAAATCATTCCTGATACCCCATGGAAGTCTTGAAGAGCATTCACTTTGCAAAGCCAACCACCTCAATACTCCGCGATTTGTGCCAGATATATGGGCTCTCGATGAGCAGCGTTTAGTCTACAAACACAAAATGGGAGCTGATATGACATTGCCTATCATCACAATACACACCCCAGGACACACGCCTGATAGCCTCAGCTGGTACGATGAAGAGACAAGAAGACTCTACGTGGGCGATAGCCTTTACCAACAAGAGACCGATTACTCCCGAAACGCTCCTTGGGGCCGGGAAGCTGCTGCACCGATCATATTCCCCAACGAGGGAAACATCTTACAGTGGTGGAGGAGCGTCGAGAAACTCGAAACTTTTGTCAAGGAGGAGAATGTGCTTGGAAAACCTCGCGTCACCCTCGCGGCCGGGCATGTTACTGCTCAAGTCGATGCCGCTGGGTGTCTCAAGAATGTGAAATCATTCATTGCCGCAGTCCTTCGTGGCGACGTGCCGTGTCGGTCTCTGCCGGACAAGCGAGGAAAAGCCACGGGGTATTGGGCATTCGATGCAGATGAGCCTGGCAAAGGGCTCACTGAGTTCAGCGTCGTGGCTCCCTTGTTTGTGATTGAAGAGGGACGAGGATCGGTCCCGCCGGCCGAATGGCTTCCGACGGAAAACCAAAGTACTACATGAAACCTTAAGAGATTATTGGTGACGCCCCAAGTTATCACATATATTAGTGCAGCCAATCTCAACATCATTCATAGATACCAGTACATCACTTGTCGTCATTAAATGCATAAGTTTTGTTCCCATTTTTCTTCAATACAACCACTTTAGCTGACAAGAGTATTATATTTTAGCGTCAATTCCTGGGACGATAGACATGTCCTAGTACAGATGTATATTGCTGAGGTAGTCCCACGACGACCTTCGTCAGATGTTTCTACTAAATTCATGGACAGACTCAATATATCATTTTTACCATATTTGAAGTGGCATGAATTGCGCTCTGGAGAAACGACTGCTAGGCCCAACTATGATCCTAGCCAACCTAGAATCTGTTGCATCCGACAGCAAGTAAGCATTCGAGCAATCAGGTAAATATTCGCCGCTACAGCATACCACATGAGAAGTGATCTTGCTGAAAGTGCCACCCACGAAGCTTGCGAAGCACATGAGCGTAGAAGGAGCCCCAGCTACCCCACTGAAGATCAGAGTCGATCTTGCTCAACGCTGTCCCTCGACAAATCTCTACTCACCTGCCTTCTCATGACAAAGATGCATTTCAACCAGCCTCTTCTTCCTCAGTTTTCCTCTTCTCCCAAAACCCCTTCCCATAACTGACGCAGATCTCCTCTCCCTTGGCAATGCCACCATCGCCCTTCCCCTTTCCCTTTCCCCTGGCCGTGTTCTTGCCCGCCGGCAGGACGAAAACGGCCATACATTTCTGCCCGGCCCTCGGGTCCCAGGCCTCGCGGAACTCGGCGTTCGGCCTGTCCCTCACGCCGCGGTAGTCGTTGACGAACCGCGCCTCGTTCCCGGCCCTGTCGGCGTCCACCGCGACCTCCGCCTCCCGGTCCAGCCACAGGTCGTAATCGCTCCTCTCGTGCTCCAGGCTGTGGGGTGGAGACGCCGAGTGCACGACGCCGTAGTACGGCAGGATGAGCGAGCCCGCGGGCAGGGCCCGGGCTGCGAAGAGGCCGGCTTGCCCGTTGGCCGGGTGCGCAGGGTTGCTGATGGGCGTTATCTTGACTGCGGCGGAGGGCCCCCTTGGTAGATTCGAGGGGACTTCTTCTGCCAGATCGCTCGGCCGGATCTTCAGCGCTGCGATCTGGGCCTTGCTGACGTGGGGGGCGTAGGTGGGCTGTGCTAAATAGGGAAGGTTTGATGGCCAGTTCGACGGTATAGCCGCGCTTTGTTTGCCCATATTTCAACACATGAACGCCAGCCTTCTTCTCCTTCGAACTTAGCCTGCTGGATTTTCCCAGGAGTTCATAAAATTGATTGATGATAGTCCATCATGCCATATCCGTCAGCGCCGATGCTTCTGTCGTCGACGAGCAGGAATATTGCCAATGTCCACCTTGCCAGCTGATTGCGGTCCGTCAATCATTGGTTTCACCATCGTGGAGTTTATAAATTATTAGAGTCGGTGGGCAGACTCTAAATAATTTGTACTAATCTGAATATATCGTTGAACTAAGTTGAGGTGGCGTGTTTTCGATGTTGTGTTGATTGGGTTGTGCACTGAAATTCTGACTTCAATCTGTGATTACTCTACAACTGCTTGTGATTCTCAGAGTCATTAGGAACTACTACGTACTATCGTACAGCTCAGTAATACGCCTGCCTACAGATTCACCGGATAGATATGCGCCAGCAACAGTGCCACACTCCTCAAAAGGCGCCGCATGTTCACCGCAGAACCACAACCTCCTCTCAACACATCCGTTCCTGATCGTTTCAACGTCCTTGTCTGCTTCTTCGACACCTACTTGGAAATTACAATAACTGCCGTAGCCATTAAGCTCGCTCTTCAACCACTCTGAAGCCAATATTGCTTTTGGTACGCAATTTGTGCTGTTTGGATCGAAACCAGGCAGTCGTGAGTAATAGGGGTAAAAGAACGCATCCACAAACTTGTCCTTCTCTGGTTTTGACTTGCCGTGTATTGCATCAACTATATACCGTGAGCAATCGCCGTAGAGGTAGAAAAGGATTGTGGGATGACTATTAGGATCCGCGAAGGATGCCAGATTCCAGATCTCTTGCGGCCAACCGTCCGGATTTGTATCTTTTGCATATTGCGGACTTAGCCAGTTGGTATAACTCGGAAATGAGTCACTTGTGTTGTCAGATATCCAGAAGGCCGAGGGGAAAGTAATAAACACTTTCTCAAGCTGAGAGAGTTTCAGATTTTTGATGGCGAGCTCTAACCGGCTGGGCAGAGGCGGACTAAAACTGCCGAGGTGCTTCTGCAGCCATCCCAAAGGCGTGGTCATGACTACTTCGTCGAACCAGAGTTTCGTCCCGTCGTCCGTGGTCACGACCACTGGGCCAGCAGAATTCCTGTTCGCTGGGGTCTCTATCATGGATACCTTCTTGCCGAACATGATGCTTGCCCCGTCCCTTGCCGGCAGGGAAATCCTATCCAAAATGGCAGAGTAGTTTGACGAGACGAACATCTCCTCTGTCTCAGGTCAATGTCAATCAATTCTGGGATAAAGAAGAAGTCATATCTCACCTCCGCCACAGCATTCCTCCATCCACGCAAACCTCAAGCTCTGCTTCCACACAGGCTCTCCAACATAAGCACCCCACATCTCGCTCATTTGCAATAGTGTCCGTCTTTCCTTTTCGTCCTCTAACTCAGATTCTGCTCTTTTCCGGATGAAGTCGTGAAGTGAGTCTTCTTTAGAAATGCTCTGACCGCCATCCACATCGCGAGCTTTGATACTAAATTCGAATGCCTCCTCGATAATTTTCCAGAGCAGCGTGGACAGCCTTTCCGTCTTCTCATCCGGTAAGGGCTTTCCCGAGCTGTCATAGATGAGCTGCTTGGTATTCCAGTGGTGAATCGGGGTTTCGGTCTCGACTGCCAGCTTCCAGATAGGATGAACCTGACCCGAGTCCCAGGTGTGGATCCAGTTTGCGCCCCTGACCAAGATTGCACATCAATGTCGGGCCTGCGATCACGAGGGAAGACACTCACAAGTCGACCGTGTACCCGAGCTCATCAGATTGACATATCTATACGAAGAATAAGCTTTGTGTCCGAATCATGCTTTGGCGGGTCTTGTTTTCGCACCCGACCGCCTATTCTGTCCCTGCCTTCGAGAATGGTCACTTTGAACCCATGAGATAGTAGAATATCAGCACACCGGAGCCCGGAAACTCCAGCCCCTACAACGCAGACGTGAGGTGTCCTCGGAGGTTCGTTGCTCATCTTGAATAACTAAGCTGATATAGCTATTTGCCCAGTTTACATAAAGCCGGGATGTAATTGTTACAACGGATCGTTTAACGAAAGATATCGACGACAATAATCACATATCTGGAACATGAAGACACATCTGTCGATCATGGTCCAAAGCAGTAATTGAACAGTTTGGTTGGAGTAGCCGACCGACGACGTGTAATTATACCCAGGTCGGAATATAGTGCGTACCACCAGGCGAACGGCGAGGCAGACTCGCTGCAAGCTCCAGTTGGTACAAGTCACTGCAGCGCAACGCAGCAACACGCGGGGTATTGCTGAACAGACAGAGCAGGGTGTCACCCACTAATGCATGTCAACCTTGGCATCTTTCAGCTCCTGATGGGGCCTTTTATCGCGGCTTCCAGATTCGTCAAACATAAGCGCCGAAGAGAAGTGACTAAAAATGCGAGGAGTAGGTTATGAAAGCGTTTATTATGGTTATCGATATATTGTCGTTGCTCCCACTCAGTTCGAATCTACTGAGCCCCGGGAGTGGATAAGGGGAAAACAAAGAAAGAAAGAAAGATAAGAAAAAACAAGAAGTTGCATGATATTACGCTAAGTAGAAATCTTTATGGTTTTGGTATTCCTAGACTTTAGTTTTGAACTCCCGAATGATGAGTCTCTAGGCGGAAGACTCAGGGGATTACCATTATGAATGTTTTCAGTTCTATGTAATAGTACGACAGAAATTGAGAAATAGGATTTGAAACTTATGACACAACTTGATGTAGTACATAGGGCCACATATTTTTCAGGAGATTGTACTACAACATCTAGCTTAATTGTTAACACCATCGAAACCTCCCTGTAAATTAATTTTTTTGGAGATCAAACGGTAGTGGTGGACGAGATACGGAAATAACGAGCACTAATGAACTAAATGATCATGTCTCAACCCTTGGAATTGTCAGTAAGAGTCCCATAGCAGAGAGTAGTCACAACTAACCTCCTCGGTTGTTCGTTATCACACTCCCGTGCACGGAGGTCCCTTTCAGCGCGGACCTGGTCAAACAAGATGGCTATATCAGAGTGGCCGCGAGTGGCAGCCAGTTGCATAGGAGTGTCGCCATCAACATCGACGGTGTCCATGTCAGCATCATGCTCCAAAAGCAATCGGGCAATGCCCAAGTGCCCGCCATAGGCCGCCATGCTGAGAGCAGTCCATCTAGGACTTGAAGTTAGGATTTTGGCTCGGAAAGGTCGTGTAAGATGTGCTTACCCCCAACGGTCTTTGGCATTTACATTACAGCCAATACTAACAAGATCGGCCACCTTATCAAGATCCCCATCACTGGCGGCTTGTACAATGGCCGTGTCTTTCTGAAAGAGCTTCCTGATAAGGCGAGTAGGATCGTTTCGTCTCCTCACACTAGGGGTGAGAGACTGGTTGGTCACTGGGCGAAAGATCTCATCTAGAGGCTTTTCGGATTGTTTGCGTCGCAGCTCAGCTTCGAATTCTTCGTTAGCGACATTCATGGCTGCTGCATTCTGTCCGATGACACTGCCCCCATATCCAGAGTCACTCGGCCGCCGCGAGTCCAGAATTTCAGGACTTAGCTCGTCCAGCCCTTGCCTAAGAGCATTTCGCATCCAGTTGGAGATGTACTCGTGGTTCTCCTCCATGACACTAGCGGATATGCCGATATCTTCCAGTTCGCGGCGGAGCTGATTCCAGACGTCGGGCGATTCTATTGTCTCAGTAACATCAGGGGTGGTCACGACAGATCCCTCGCGAAAGCCTGCCTTGACTTCAGCGATGAACTTGTTGAGGCGCTTTTCAATTCGTGTTGTTGATGAACTGTGCTAGGATTAGGAAACCGGTCTCACAGACTGCACCTTAGAAACATACTTGGCCAATGTGCTATTGAATGCGGTCAACATGGTAACGTTGCTAACGAGTCGAGACCGCATGTCAGCCAGATCCTCCAAGCCAAAACGCATTCGATCCCATGTTCGCTGTGCCTGTGTGCCTAAGCTTTCGTAGTTCTTCAGCAGCTTTTCAATATCGCCCAGAGTGCCACTGCAGCCATTTGTCAGGATCTCAAGGCGGTTCTTCCGAGACGGGTCGAGATCAGTGAATTCATTGATATACACTTCGGTTTCCTTGAGAACAACGTGCAAGGATGCGACTTCGGTGGAAAGACGCCTGAAGTCATCGCTGGACTCCTTGCAAGCCAAATACACATTCCAGGCTAACTTGGAGAGGAGAACCACATCGCCAAACCCCACGCCAAAGCTCATAATAGGCGAGGTAGACGGTGTAAACGTCGATGTAATTCGTAGTGTGTTTGGAAAGTGATACCGCTACACTCATTCTCAAGTTGTGGTTGTAGCCGGCATTGGTGATTCAATCTTGCGATGAACGGCAAGACGGATAAATAGTCTTCTACGCGTTACACGTGAAGCCTGGATTGCACAGAAAGTCGACATACTGCTGCGCAGCTCAGCCGCACATGCCAGGGATTCAGCGTCCCCCCCCCCCTTGAGGTTCATCCCAGTCGTATCCCTCGCAGTGTATTGGTGCGGTGGGGACTGTACTAGAACGCGACGAATGGCAGCTGCTCGGGATGCGGAAGGATGCAGCACAATGCCTATCAGATATGCCAGAGACTGGCCGTGTCACAGGTTGGAGACAGGTATCTTGATATGGGCGAGAGAGCCGTCAAGGTTGATTGTGACCGCGAAAAGGCAGTCGTATCGCCGAAGCAGGAGCATAGCTTTGACCTTGTTCAATTGTGCTTTGGTGAGTGGCTCGAACCAAAAAGACGAGAGTCACCAGCTGCCATCATGGTGGGAAAGTTCTGGAGAATGTAATTGTGGCCAAGCGGTAAATCGCAGCCGCAGTCGCTATCGCTGAATTGCGATTGAATAAATATTTTTCTATGCTACTGTAGCTTGAGAGAACGATTACCACTTCCTCAACAGTTGCTTAGTAGCCCCCTCCCCACTTATATCGACGGTAGTAGGGAGATGTATAAGGAACGCCCATGAAGTAAAGCGCTCCAATTTCATACATTGCGGCAACTACGGATGGCCAAACGAATAGGATTGGCTCATCCATGTCATAACTTATGGCTGCAACAAAAGACCTGTTCTGTCGCTGTCAAAAAGGTCCAGAACATGGGTGAGATTGGGATGGGACTCCAGGGCCTCAAGGCTACATATTATAGACTGATGGGGCTCCTGACTAATCGGCAGATATTACGGCTTACAAGACAAGACAAAAACGTCGTACATCGTAGACCCGAGATTCAGGGCGACCCCACCAAAGATCTCACCTAGCCCAAGCCCCCGTACAAGTCGAGTATCCGCCCGCCGGGGATCGGGCCTATCAGCTATCGTTCGATTGGATATTCAGGGTCATGCATTTAAATTTCTAGCTAAAGCTTGCCCCCCATCGTTCGATTATACCTTCCGAGGCTCGAACTTTCTCAAGGCCCTCTCTTTCTCTCTCACACACACACATTGCAACTGGCACTTCCCCTCTGGTCCAGGAGGTTTGTTTGCCGACCATGTCGTTGGTACTCCCGGGACTACGCAGAGTAGCCCTGAGGGCACCGCTCTCCTCTGCTTCCGTCTGCCGCCGATACACGCGGCAGCAACAGCAACAACAACAACAGCAGTGGTCGACACCACAATCCGCACCGTCGCGGATACTGCGCATTGTACGGCAGACGAGGTCTCAGAGCACAGCGACCACGACACAGACGCCATTGAGTGAAGTGGCACGGCAAGTCGCGTCGACGAGTGCCCGTGCTCGTGCTCCCCAGCAAGCAGCGAAAGGAAGACGAGGAGCATGGCCCGAGACATCGTCCAAGTCCGTCGCATACTGGCTCCTCGGCAGTGCCGCTAGTGTCTTCGGTATCGTCGTATTTGGTGGACTTACACGGCTGACCGAGTCTGGGTAAGTCATGACCCCACTTCACCACCCACCACCTACACCTACTATGCTATGCCTCTCTCTCCGTACTGACGTCGGTCACCGCGCATGTAGTCTCAGCATCACAGAATGGAAACCCGTGACCGGCTCGCTCCCGCCCATGTCCCAGGAGGACTGGGAATCCGAGTTCACAAAGTACAAGGCCTCGCCCGAGTTCAAGATGCTCAACTCGCACATGGACCTCTCCGACTTCAAGAACATTTACTTCTACGAGTGGACGCACCGCCTGTGGGGCCGCGTCATCGGCATGTCCTTCGTGCTGCCCACCATCTACTTCATCGCCCGCCGGCGCGTCACCCGCCGCATGGCCCTCTCCCTCGTCGGCATCAGCGGCCTCATCGGCTTCCAGGGCTTCATCGGCTGGTGGATGGTCAAGTCCGGCCTGAAGGACGACCTGTTCGCCCCCGGCAGCCACCCTAGGGTCAGCCAGTACCGCCTGGCCGCCCACCTGGCCACCGCCTTCGTCTGCTACTCCTGGATGCTGCTCTCGGCCCTCACCATCCTGCGCGGGCGACGCGTGCTCGCCGCCCCTGCCCAAGGCCTCAGCCACCTCACCGCCCTCCAATCGCCGGCCCTCTCGACCCTCCGCCGCTCCACCGCTCTGCTGACCGGCCTGGTCTTCGTCACCGTGCTCTCCGGCGCTCTGGTCGCAGGCCTGGACGCGGGACTGATCTACAACGAGTTCCCCAAGATGGGCCTGGGTCTGACACCGCCCAAGTCCGAGCTCTGGGACAAGTTCTACAGCCGCAAGGAGGACGGGTCGGATCTCTGGTGGCGCAACATGCTCGAGAACCCCTCTCTGGTACAGCTGGACCACCGCATCCTGGCCACGACGACTTTCTTCGCCGTTCTCGCTCTCTTCGCCTACTCCAGGACCGGACGGGTCGCGACTGCCATGCCCAACGATGTGAAGAAGGGCGTTCTGGGTATGGTGCACCTGGTCAGCTTGCAGGTCGCCTTGGGCATCACCACACTGATCTACATGGTGCCTATCCCGCTCGGTGCCGCGCATCAAGCCGGTGCACTGGCACTATTGACTGGAGCGCTCGTTCTGGGACACCGGCTGCGGGTGCCCAAGTCTTTGTTGGCGCAGGTGCAGAGGAGATTGCAGGCCACTCAGGCTCACGTCAAGCGATAGCGTTTTTTCCGTCAAGAAAAGGGGCACGATGTTTGAATAAGAAGGAAGACCATTTAGAAATGTGTGTACTTTTACTGTAATTTCTTTTGGGTTTTAAAGAGGATCTGGCTCACGCGCCCCTCTCATCACGTCTAGACTCATCATGTATGATCTATGAGATGCTATTCTGAGCATCTGTGTACAAATAACACCAGATTCCCATCACCTTCAATCAAGGTCTACAGTAGCAAACTCCTCTTTTTACTCATGTTCTATTTGTGGGCTAGCACGTGTTAGTCATCACAACATTATTCAGAATAAAATATGGCTTTCAACTCACGAATTCCCTCGGTACCCTCAGCAGGGACCGGCTCGGCACCCGCCGCGGCAACCTGCTCCGGCATCTTCTTGTCGTCATCCTTCTTTGCCAGCTGTTCAGGGTTCATGAAGGGGAACAGCAGGACCTCCTTGATGCTGTAGTTGTTGGTCAGGAACATGACCAGGCGGTCAATACCCAGACCCCACCCGGCCGTAGGTGGCAGGCCGTACTCGAGAGCGTTGAGGAAGGTCTCGTCAATGAGCTGAGCCTCGTCGTCACCCTGTGCCTTCTGGTTGGCCTGCTCCTCGAATCGCAGACGCTGCTCGAAGGGCTGGTTCAACTCGGTGTAGGCGTTTGCGATCTCCTTCTTGCACACAAAGGCCTCGAAACGCTCTGTCAGGCCAGGCTTGCTGCGGTGGTCCTTGGCGAGCGGCGACATGATCTTAGGGTGCTCGGTAATGAAGGTCGGGTTGACAGCAGTCTCCTCAATGAACTCGCCCGTCAGACGGTCGAGCATACGGGGGGTTGTTTGCGGTGACGGACAGTCAACGTTGACCTTCTTGCACACCTTCTTGAGGAATTCACGCGACTCGTCAGTGTGCAATTGATCGGGGTCGGGGAACTTCTCGCCAGTAGCCTCCTCAAGAGCGGGAATCATGGAAACACGCTTCCAGGGTGCCTCCCAGTTCACGTTGTAGGTCTCGCCGTGTTGTGTAGTGAAAGTAGTCGTGTATCCGCCAGTCAGCTCCTTGACCAGTCCGGACACGAGCTCCTCGGTTCTCTTCATCAAACTAGATACAGCACTGTAAGCATTGACCTGGATGTGTCCTTGAAGGTTTTAACCACTTACTCGTAAAAGTCGGCGCCAGCCTCGTAGAATTCACAGGTAGTGAACTCAGGGTTGTGAGTCAGATCGGCACCCTCATTTCTGAAGAGACGACCGATCTCGTATACTCTCTTGAGGCCACCTACCACGAGCATCTTCAAGGGCAACTCAGGTGCTATCCGCAGGAAGACGTCCATGTTGTAATCGTTGAGGTGGGTCTCGAAGGGCTTTGCTGTGGCACCGCCAGCAATCATGTTGATGATCGGGGTTTCGACTTCAAGGAAGCCGGCGTCATCGAGGTACTTGCGAATGTACTTGATCACACGGGGACGGGTTGAAAAGGTCTCTCTAGTCTTGGGGTTCATGATGAGGTCGAGGTAACGCTTGCGGTGGCGCAATTCTTGGTCCTTGAGGCCATAGTACTCGTCGGGCAGCTGGTGCAGACAGGGCGTCAAGAGCACAACTTCGGTCGCAAAAATGGACAGCTCTCCCTCTTCGCCCTTCTCGATCTTGTTCTTGGGTGCAGTGCGGCCGGGGTATCCAATTATGCCAATGATGTCACCTCTGCGGAGGTGCTCGTGCTGCTTGGTGAATTCGGGAGCTCCCTCGCCCACTTCGTTCGCCTGGCACATGATCTGAAGCTTGACGCCCTCATCCCTGACATCGTAGAAGACGAGCTTATTACCGGAAGCCCTCTTGTTGTACATGCGAGCCTGGATCCGGATCACCTTGTCCTTCTGGTGCTCTCCCGACTTCATGTGGCCGAAGTCGGTGACAAAGTTTCGCACATCGTAGTCGCTCTGGAACTTGTGAGGATACGGGTATGGATCCTTGGTCTCGATGAGCTTCGTGATGGCACGGGAACGGATCTCGAAGCTGGTCGCAGAAGCATATCAGCGGTTGCCCTGTATTGTGTACTTCCTTGGTAAGAAGATGCATTATGAACCACTTACTATTGGTTAGGCGTCAACTCTGCCTCGTTCTGTTCAGCATTCTTCTCCTTCTTCTCCTTGGGAGGAGCAGCGGCGGCTTTCTGGGCCTTCTTGGCCTCCTGTTCGCGCTTCTTTCTACATTGCAATTGGAGTCAGTCGCCGAGTATATGCTGGTGGGGGGATATGCTCGATCCTCACTGTCTCTTCTTCAATTCGGTCTTGGAGATCCTCTCGCCGGTGACCTCATCAAGGTGCAGGTTAGCCACCTGATCGGCGACTTGTTCGGTCGAGGGTGCGCTTGAATCAGCCATGTTTGCTACCGTATCGTGATGTTGTGGTTGCTTGGAATCACGACTCAAAGGTTTATCACAAACGAACTATCATACCGATCGCGGGGTATTTTTTTTTGACATGACTCCTCGAAGTAACCCTCAAATTTCTGGAGGGGCAGCGAGAGCCCCACAAAAGACCCACCCATTTGCTGGCCCTCCAAATGCAATACTATATGCAATATGCAACCAAATGGCAGTCTTTCCAGTCATGTTCAAAGAGCCCTTCACGAAACAGTATATTCCAATATTGTTCCAGACTTTCGCTGTCTGCCTGGCTGTGCCACCGGATCCTCGGGACACCAACATAGTTGTACCGGCCCACTTGTCTCACTTGTAAGCTTCCTATGGCCGTTTCATCTGGGACACAGCGATCCATTGAAATACGTAGATTGCTATGCAAGGCTGCTACCGCCCTATTCTGTTCAATTTGCATTGAACACACTGCCCTATAGGCTCTGCGAACATGATTACAGGAAGCGAACGTTGCGTTGCATCCCAGAGTGAGAGTCATCTCTGGAGTTCAACATGACTCTAATTATTAGAAGGGCGAATAAGCTCATGTGTAGCTCAGCATAGTGCTACTTAACATATAGGGGTATCTTTGTTTCGTGTCTAGGAAATATCGTATTTGAGCATCTGTTTTCTATTGCCTGGCTGCTTTGTAATGCTTGAAATAATGCGAAATGTGTTTATCCAACTCTCGGGGCCCGACGGGCTTAACCAAGAACTCATCAGCGCCAGCGCCCCTCGAGCCGGCCTTGTCCTTCGCCGAATCTTGGCCCGTCACCATGAAGATTGAGCAGCCTTCGAGTCCACGTTGCGCTTCGTATGCACGAATCGCTGCTGTTGCTTGTATACCATCGCAGTGCGGCATCTGAAGGTCCATTAGGACCAATGTGAATGGCTCTCTGGCCTCAGCAGCCCTTTTGTATTGTTGGTAGGCTTTATCACCATCTTCAGCTGTAATGTAGGGGATTTGCCGCTTGTGGCAAAACATTTGAAGCACTCGGAGATTGATGAGATTGTCATCTACCAAAAGCGCCTTCAGCGGAGAAGTGGTGTTGCGGGGAGTTGACGGTGCCGTATCACTATCTAGGCTGAGCCGTGCCATAGTCAGTACATCGGGCGACGGTGGAGGTGCTTCCGCGACGGATTCGCAATGCGAATAGACCGTCCCAATCTCCTTCAATTTCTTCTTGGCCATTTCTCTGGAGAGGTTTTGGTATAATTGGTCCGCACGGTGCAATATCTCGTCAAGCTTTTGCGTGTGGACAGGGCCAGTCATCGTAATAAGAGATGGCAGTTCTTCTGACGGGTTGACGTTGTGCCCTGGCTGGCAGTTGACAACGGGGGCATTTGGATTAGAGTTACGGATTTCCGCGATGAACTCTTTTGAGTTTTTGCCAGTAATGATTAGGCCCGCGTCTGCGATTGCACTGCGCTCAAAGCCGTTTTTACTGAGGTAACTCGTGACATGATCCATAAAATGATTCCGAGTGTCTCCGCTACTGACGTCGGAGAATCTCCGTGGCAAGTTATCGAGGGTAGGCATTGCGCTCGCTGAGGATTCCGTAAGGGCTGACATGTCTGGGTGGGAAAATTCGACTCGAAAATGCGAGCCGGAAGCTAGGGCGGAGGAGACCAGCTTAACAGAACCTCCAAGTGTAGTAGCGATCTTACTGGACAATGTAAGGCCCAGCCCTGCTCCGGGCTTGAGGCTATCTAGCTTTTCGTACGGCTCGAACACTCTGTGGTGGTTAGCGAGTTCAATACCGGAACCGTTATCCACAATATCAATGATAAGCCAGGAGATATCAGAAGTGGTTCGAGCGGTCACAGATACAACGCCGACGACATTTAGCAGGACAGCCTGTATAGCGTTGAGGATGATCGCTTGAAGGCAGTCTTTCAGCATTTGAGCATCCGTGTTAAATATGCAGCGGTCGTCCATAAACTCGTGCCGAAAATCGATTGAGACACCCCGAAGTCGTTCGGACGGTAGAAGTGCCAAGACCTCTGGCAAAATGTCGCGTTCAAGCCTTTTCAAGTTGTATGGCTCAAGCTGGCATGGCCGGAGAGCATCTGTCCAAGTGTTGTGCTTGAGAATGTTATTGACGGTTGTCATTAGCTCTTGCCCCGAATTCTTTATTGTTGCAATGCACGCCGAAGGCGAGGTAGAATCCGGACGGGAATCAATGCCTGCATCGAGAGCAGCCCGGGACGCCAATTCTTCAGCAAGTAATTCGACCGACCCAAGAATTCCATGTAATGGTGTTCGTAGCGTGTGGGTCATTCCCCGAAGGAAGTTCTCCCTAACCTCTAGTGCTTGCTGGAGAAGGAGCCCTTGCAAAGTGTCTCCGATGATTGACGCGGATTTTGAGACATACCATGCGTCGAAGTCATCAAAAACATGCTGGATGTTGCTCGACGCCACAACGATATACTTATCAGAGCTACCACAACGAGCCACAACAGCACGAACAGTCTGGGCCGCCTTAAGCACCGCGTAGTTGGAAGTTCTTATTATTTCTTCGATGAATTGAGTATCCTCCCAAAGGGATTGGTAGACTTCTGAGAATGAGAAAGCCGGCCGACCATTCACAGCTAGCATGCCGTCCCTGGAGACCTGGAGAGAAACCTGCGCATCGGGATACATTTGGCGCACGACGTTCACTGCATTCGTTTCGTAGTCCAGCCCGACGTCGTTTTCAAGAGTTGAGAGCAAAGACTCCATATGCTCTCGCTCTTTCAAGCGCCTTTGACGTGTATGAGTCGTAATGGAAGAACTGATGAGCTCGGCAAACCGAACAATCAGATCCTGCTGAAATTGAGATAGAGGCGGTTGCGGCGTATCGGAAGCAACACAAAGGGAACCCAAAGCTATCTCTTCTCCATGATCTGCCAAGAGCCGTAATTGCGTGCCGGCGTAACTCCTCAGCCCTCCGCACTCAACATGGGGTGATTGCTTGAAGCGCCAGTCTTGGGACATGTCTGCTACCATGAAGACGGAGCTGAGTTCTTGATTAATGGTATGAGCACAAGTGGCTTCCCTCCGAGGAAGACGAGCAATTGGCAAATGAGATGTCGCTAGTCTTGTGTATGTTGACTCGTTCAAGATGCCGGCAATCGCATAATCCCAACCAATAGCCTGTTGTAGACCCTTAACAAGGGTGTCGATCTTAGCCAGAAGAACATCATCTTCTTCGATCAATCTGGTATGGTACCACAGCAGAGTTAACCGCAGTCTCTCATTCTCACTCAGCATGGGATGAAGATAACTTTGATCGAACCCCGGCGGAGCATCCGGAACGACGGCCTCGCCTGTTTCCGAGCGGCCCCCATAGACTTGGTCGTAGAGATCCTTGTCGTAACCAGCAATCGGCAGTTGAGAGTGCTCTGTATCGAAGACTGGTCCATATTCAGTCGGCCTAGCAGGCAGCTCTGGCTTTGTGAATTTTGAGGGTTTTTCAGCTCCACCCTTTGGAAAGTAGGCTGCTCTGCCCGCCATTCTGACGAACTGCCCTATGGCGTACTGCCGCTCTACTGCATGCGTTTTCTATACTCAACGCCATTTGCCATGTTGGTCTTGTCCCAAATGTAAGATATTTGCAGATGAGTGAGCGTCGTGCGCGCGCAGGGACAGTGGAATATCATACGGTTCTACAGAGAATTACCGAAGATTGAGAAGAAGAAGACCGACCTGCAAGACTACGCATTAGAAGCCCGCTGGCTGTGGAGTTCTAGACTCGTATGGATTGCCACGCCGCAGCCGAAATTCAACTAAGCCCAGGGTAGCCCACGGAGCTTCTCCCGACCCCAGCCCTGCAATCCGAGCTTTGTTTGACGACTTCACGCATACACACATCCGTACATACATATATATACCTAGTGGCTTCGATCTGTTGCTGAAAACATGCCGGTGCATCAGGCACCACAGCATCTTGTTTGCAATCATAAGTCAACTGGTTACATCAGATCCCATCCTATTGCAGACTCTCTACGTCCTTGATTCGAAACAGTTCTGACAATCATGTACACAATACCTAGCCGAAAAAGGTACAATGACATGCTCAATTTCAGGTTCTAGGGTAGACCATGACTGAACGACATCCGTTTTTGCCTTGGGCCTCCATGCGCTAGCAACGGACGCGTTACATATTATGTGCGCTTCGGAGCAAAACCTTCTCTTGGTATCCTGCGTCATTTGGTTCTCTGGTGCTTCCTATTATCTTAGAAAGGCCGAGCTAATAGACACTCTTACACTTCCCAAAACATCAGACGGGTCAAACTCTTATTTGTGTGCGGTGGTGGGAGCGGAGTGGAACCTTTCACAATTCGACTAACCTACATGCTTAGGGCGTAGTTCCTTCGCCCTTGCTAAGCCTGGTGCTGCGAGTTCTACAAGCTAACGCCTTGCGAATGCTAAGACCAAAAACAATGCAAACGGACGGCTTTGAAGCTTCGCGGGTTCGCGAGTTCGTGGGGACCGAGGTTGACAATCCCCCCTAACGCCTTGATGCGCATGCAAATTTTTTCTTGATCGCTTCGGCTGTCTCCAATAACAGCTTTAACCTGTCCTTTCCGACTTGGAAAGATTCCGAATGTCGAGATAGATACCCTGTATACCCCATGATACCCTGGGCTCCGGCAGTTGATTTAATCACCACTACTCCGTACTTCGAGAAATGCAGGTACCGACTGCTATCTTCCTTTTTCTCGCCTTAGCACTCCAAGGTCCTCGGATCAAGGTGTTGTTTTGAGTAAGACGAAGCCGGCATCCAATGTCGCCAATGCTATATGCAATGAGTGCAATACCGTCAGGACATTTGCATGTTAAGCAGATCCTTTGAGGCAGAGTTGCACTACTAAAGGCACCCAAGATCCTAGAAACCACACATTTCTAAAAATGGCTTGCTTAAGGTTAGTTTGCTCAACCTACGAACCCCCTCTGGCCCTTCCCTGATTGAGCTTATGTTGCAAAGCACTTTTGCTTCTTGCATAACTTTACAAAGCAAAACGATGCAAATTCAATCCACAGAGTACTTACCATGTGAATGGTTTTGTTGGTTCATTTCAAGTTGCTCTGTTCAGCAGTAATCAGCATTGCCGTCGTTGCCATGAGTACACTACCTAGAGTATAAAAGTGGGGGGGGGGGGGGGGGGGGGGGTTACAATTGGTAGGCTGAGTCTTATCTCGGTAAAACTAGCAACTGCAGATCTATGGGAAGACTATACTACTACCCTTCCGCAGGGCTACTTCTACTAGCACAGCCTGAAAACAGCTCCTAACGAAAGTTTCGTGTTGTGCCAAGAGCCTATGACCGTTGCCCACCCCGTCCACAAAAGTCTGGCCACAAGCGCATCTGTGAACTTCACCAGTTCGGTTCATCAGGAATGCTCAAATGCAAACAATGCCCCGATCCAATTATTGCTATGTGTCATCTCCCCGGTCCATTTGCCCTGAACATAGAATTCCATCCTATTGGGCGCGAGACTAAGTGATCTGATGTTGTTTTGCCGTGCCGCTATTCTTCTTTATGAAGTTCCATGCAGTCATCATCACTCCCGGCCGCGCATTATTGGGTGAACACAGTTTGCACGAGCGAACAAAGTGTGCGGCTGCGCGCTGGAAGAGTCGTGGGAACTATTTCTAATAAGGAATCTAGCGCTCTGGAAACAACAACAACAACAACAACAACAATGCCCGCAAGATGTCTCAAGGTCCGCGCTGCCTTCTGTGAAGATCCCAACATACCAGTGCTTGGTGCTAAGTTACGGCGTATAAAACACCTGGAAGGACTTTGTGGGGGTTTATCTGGGTTAGAGTCTCATCCTATTCTTTGAACAGCGTCGCCCCGTAGCCGGAGGTCGAAGTTGATGCACGACTGAGGCTTACAAACTGCTGCCAAGCACCGAGCTTCCCTCGATCGTGAACAGCACTTGTATCTTGAAGTTTCGAGGGATTGTCCCTCTTGTCTGAGATGATTAGAATACCACCAGGTGATTATTGCGATACAGGGGCAGCAAAGTTGATGGGCTGAGGCGATTCACACGCTCTGTGAGTGCCCGGTATGCGGACAAGTGCTGTTACGTACAGGCGTGCAAGATGAACGTAGACAAAATTTGGTCGGATCCATGTGTTTGAGAAGAAACGAAAGCTGTGACCCGAGCAGTGAAAAGGAAAAAGAAAAAGAAATCAATAGGATCTTCTCTCGCTTTCAGATTGTGTCTGCGAAAAGCTCTCATCGTCAACCGAACATTGCATGTTGCCCGACGTTGCTACCGTCAACGACATCCACGGATACGATACTCTATCTGGCACTTGTTAACTTCCTGTGTCAAAGACTTGAGGCAAGATCCTCATGGAATTCCATGTAGGGACTGATACTGCAACAGGTAACGACAGTGAGTGTCGCTCCTACATGAAGTTACCGCGAAACTTAGACAAAGCTCAAGAGGCGCGAAAAATTGCTGGAAGGTGCACTCCCGATGATACTAGAATTGGTCTTCAATTGATATAGATTAATACACCGCGAGCTCGTCGCCTCTTTATAGGTTTGAACACAGACGCTGCCGATAAACTAATAATCGCTTCGGGCATAGTATAGTTTACTTTTCCTAAACCATATTTCCTGGAATATATACGCAATCAAACCCATACAGCTGTTTTTGGACAGGGAACACTGTCGAACTCTCAACCGTCCATGAACATGGGCTCGCCATTTCCCATGCCTTGAACAGCCGTGACGTAATCGTTCTTCATAATGGCTTGTTGCGCTCGTTGTTGGTTCTGAGCCTGCTGCATCCCACCCGGGTTCATGTTTGCCATGGGTCGGGCCATATTCATCCTCTGATTGACGGGCATTTGTCCCGCACCGTTCATAGCGAATTGTGCGTTATTTCGTTGTTGAACATGTTCTCTCGTTCGGGGAATTGCGAGTTTCTGGAGCGGTTGTTGAGGGATAGGTTTGGCGACCACAGGCGGAGCGGCAATTGGTGCAAAGCTGTCGTCATCCTCCATTTCAGCATCAGCATCCTCATCACTTCCTTCGTCGTTGCCTGCTGAGGCCGAAGCTGACGTTGCTGCAGTTGTTGTCGACCGGGCATCATGCGAAGGACCATTAGTGGTAGGCATTGGCTGAACAGGCTGCTGAGGCTGCGCCTGAGCTGGCACTGCCCTGGGTTGGTTCTGCGGGTTAGGAGTTGGAGTTGAAGCAGCGTGGTTCATGACAGGTGCGGGAGCCGCATTGGAGGTATTATTTTGTTGCGATGCTGGAGGAGGCTGGTCCAGGGCGCGCTGGGCACTCATGCCAGAAGCTCGCGAAGCAACAATGACATTCTTCCACCGATCAATGGCTCGCTGAACCACTGTGCTAGTATCAAGATGACGGTCATTCATGTTCAAGCCGACATTGCCCTTGATGCCTGTCTCAAACCCCCAGTTCAAGACGTGAGACACATAAGCTTGATCAAAAGGTATGGTAGCTGGCTGCATCATTCGAAATTCCCTGGGTTGTTGCAAACGGTTGAGCTGGTCAATCTGAGATTGAAGATTGGCGGCCTCTTGCTTCAGCGAGTGTTGTGTCTGTTTGTGCTTTTCAACATCCTTCTGTCTACGACCGACACTTCGTGCCAACTCCAAGACCCATAGTTCCTGTTGACGTGGTGGAGGAAGCTGCTCCCAGACGACATATGTCGACTGCAGATGCTCATTGACCTGCTTCTCCATGTTCGCGGCATTACTCTCTGCCTTTTTGATACTTTCCCTCAGGTCGACTGGAACGTGATTCTGTGCCGGGGGATATGTAAGATCCTCCTGGGTGGCGGTAGTAGCAGCAGCACAAGCCTGCCTCCACTTCTTGAACTCTTCCTGGAAGTAGGCGATCAGAGCGTCATGCTGCTTCTTCGCGGGTGGCTGTATTGACCACGAAGTAGAGGTGGGTATCGGAGTCGACGAGAACAAAGTGGGAGGCGGTTGCAGACACTGGAGTGTGAGAGCGGGGAAGTCGAGAGCAAGAGGATCGAAGTCGAAGGGGACCGAATTCATATCAATTTGCTGCCTGCAAAAAGAGTCTTATTAGTACAGCAAGTACCGGAATATAATTGACGGGTATGAACTCACTTGGCTGCTCTCCAAGAGCTGAGCAATTCCTTAAGGGCCAGCTCAGCTGCCCTTGCCGTATCCATGGCGTCTGTGAGCTTTTGCCTCGCGTCAAGCTGTTGCTTCTGGGCAATTCTGCTGGGAGCACGTTGCAGCTGCTGCTGTGTACTTGGCCTTCTGGCCGCCTGGTCTGCGTTGTCATCCCAATTGGCTGGAGGTTCCCCGTTTTTGGCCGGCAAGTCGTTGATGACACCAGTAGCTTCCCACCTAGGCTGCTGCCAGGGATACACAGGCGACTGATCCACGAGATACTGGCCATCTTTGGGTATCGACGATGGCTGTCTCGCCTCTGGGCTCTTTCTTGTGGTTGTGGTGGAACCCGTAGGAGTACCGGGAGTGGAAGTATCTCGGCGGGCGGCAAGGGATCCTCTAGGTTGTCTCCTTGTGATGCCGGAACGCATCTTGCGGATTTCGTCGACATTATGGACGCCGTCGGCCGGCTTCGGGTTCTTCTCCTTGATGTATAGATCAAGATGTCTTCCTAACGAGGAAGAGGTGAAGGCCTGGCCACAGTACGGGCAGTTCCTGTCCTTGGAGGCATGGTTCTTGGATGCATCTGGAGACTCGGCGGTAGCGCCGTTACCACCGTCGTCGGACATGTTCAGGATCGAGGTTGCGGTTGCGGAACGAGGAATAGATATATAGCAGGGAGAGAAACGAATGAATTGGAAAGCTTGAGCTCTCCATGAGCTTTCTTCCTCCTCTTTTGCTCACGTTCACGGTGCCCTTGAGTGCTCAATGGAGTCGATAGAGGTATGTCTGTAGGTCCTGCGTACTAGCATACGTGACAAGATAGAGCTAATATTTGACTCGATGAAATATACAAGACATTGATTGGCTAGCTAAAGGATTGTAGACGTAGACGCGAGGTCCACGACCACTCCTGTAAGCTGTGATTTGAGAGTGTCTTTTGCACAACACTTTTTTTTTTTTCCGAGTCGGGAATTTCTGACTTGATCCAGGGGCTGCAGCTTGGGGCACTAACGGTAAAGCTAGCTTACCGTAGTGCTAGGATCAGGAGTTTGGTGGGTAAACTTGAACCGCCGTGCCTCCGTGTCCAGTGCCAAAGTGCCAAATGATTGTCACTGTCTGATTAATGTATTGTCATAAATTGAGTTACAAAGTAATGCGATTCAACCGAGGGGCCCCAGTCGTGGTCGTCTCTTACACGTGTGATTACAACTTTTCGAGCACACGAGGAATGTAAGCCTCAAAACTCTTGTGTCTCTTTCCTTCTTTCTCTTCTTCCTCGGGCACTTGTCCCTATGTAACTCACCGGGAAATTTGTCCCGCAAAACTAAGTAAGGGAAGGGAGAGAGCGGTTGCAAAAAAATGTGACCTGGATTATTACCTTATTCCTTGTAGCACCTAATAAAAGTCCAGGGTTCAACGCTAAAACGACCCCAGATTAACCAGACTAATCAATCAATACCGCTACAAACAGCGGCCTGTAACGGAGTACATACTTCCAAGCCAACCCCTATACAAGTACCTCGTATAGCGCCTACATAAACGTAACCGCTCACGTAAATTTTAAACCGGGCCGTATTGTTCGTCATGCCACCCCCAAATGCCCCTTTACCATACCAATAGTGAGAAACAAATCAGTGAGTAACTTCTAAGCTGATGGCTATGGTTCCCAACGTTCAAAAGTGCAGGTCCAATCGCCTATTCATGTCAGACGAAGCTGGAAAGTCTGGCCATGTTTCGCTCAAGGTACCCGCGGTGAATGAGCGCTCGGGTTTGACTCCCGTTATTGGCCGTACCATCGCTAGCTCCCAGGCTGATCGCCCGCGGACCAGCCCATTTGCTACCCGCTTGTCAGCTATTGGAGCCAAGCTTCAGCACATAGAAACGGGTAAAGCGGATCCAACAGAGCCCCAGCCAACTTTCAGGGGCCAGCCGACTTGCAGGAGACGTATGTTTTGGATGCTTGGATGCATAGGTCTCATGCATCATGAACTGGCCGGTGGAAATGACAACAAATCTGGACAGCATGCAGGTGTTGTAGTAGGTTGACGCTGTGGCAAGCAGATGATTTTGGGCTCCAATCAATGGTGAAATGCAAGCGTCGCATGGGAACAGCACAAATCGCCGAGCCCTGTAGGGCCGCGCATCATACTTTCAACTGCACCCACATGGGCAGGCGTAATATAGGATAGGTTGCTGGAGGCGTGAATCATCTCTCTCCAAGTTTCAACTCTTATGCACCCATAAAACTTCGGGAACGAGTGGCTTCCAAAGCATTCCATCGCGAGAGGCACGCCCGTGGAATGTGACCCGGAGTGGCCTCAGCGTATATAAGCTGCATTGGGCTTTGGGTAGAGGCTCAAATGCCTGCGCAAATATACTGCTCTGATGCGGTACCTGACCGGTATATCTGTAAATATTAGGTGGGATTGAATCGTCGTTCACTGAGATGCAGGCATTCCTGCTCAGCCCTACCTGCCCCTTTCTACTCGCAGGCTGAGGGAATTTCACCATTGCAGCAAATCCTCTTTGAACCTGCACTGCAGACAGACCTTCCCCCTCGGTCGGATTGCCATGGCAGAAGAGTTCTTCTCGGCCAATCATTTCGCTGCTGCTGGCTCTCTGGCGCTGGCGATTGTGTCAGGTCCAAGCCTCGATCTTAAGGGTGATGAGGACATGTCTCGGCCCTGGTCCCTCTTTTTCCCTTTATTCACATGCATTGCAGGATCTCTATGTTTGATCTGTGACTGCCGGACTGAGACAGCGGTAATAAATACGGCTCTGGGATGAGTCGGCCATGCTTACTTATATTAAAATTCCTCAGGCTAGAGACAATAGCAAACCTTATTTCGTTGTAATACCGGATTACGAGGATCCGGAAATGCTAGAGTTGCGGCATGCCCACGTGGGATAGTTTGGTGCACAACCTAGAGAATGGGTTAGGAGTCGAGATAAGCGGCTCAAGATCTTGTTGCGGAGCTGAGCATCATGAGGCGTCTGAACGACACCGGCGACTTTGAACTTGGTTGAGTTGCGAAGCCGCTTTCTCGCGTGGAGGAAAGCTTCTTTGGTTGTTATTTGTGGCAATGGCAGGTAATTTGAGCCCGCCATGAATGCCTTTGGTTATTTATTGGCGTTATTCCGATGGAAAAACTAATGATAGTTCCAAGTGACCCCTCGCGCGAGGCCATCACTGCCGACCTATTTATAATGGAGATGAGAGATGCTTCTACAATCGATTCTTCGTGAGCAGCTAAGACATAGTGAAAGCGCAGAACGAGTGTCGAAGTAGAGAATGTGCGGTGAGGCGTTCGTTCTGGCACAACCCGTGCAAGTCGCAAGCCGATGACAGGTATTGGGTACAGCAATTGTTGGTTGTCAGAAGGAGTGGCTGTGCGGTATAGAGTAGCGTGGCTGCCAGCCACCTTTCAACGCAAACTATGGAGCAACTTAGCTATGGTACCGTTAGAATCATCACCTGCGAGCAAGTCGCGTGAAGAGCCTCCACATCTGGGATGCTTGTCGCGACAGCTTCAAACGGGCAGCTGCAAGTGTCAGTCCAAAGAACGTTTTATTCTTTTTATTTTCTTTTCTTTTTTTTCTTTCTCTCATTCCTTCCTTTCTGCTCACTATAGCCAAACATATCGATGAACCCGAGTTACGAGACCTGGACCCAACTGCCCGTGAGCGACGTTTCTTGGGTAACTGAGCAAACCAGAATCCAATCGTCCAAAATGCCACCCGGTAAGTGCTGCATTATTCCATCCACCCCCACGACCAGCTACAATTGCGCCAATGCGCATTTCAGACCATTCCTGCGCTTTGCCGACTTCACATCTCCCTCAGTTATTATCATGTGGCGATCCATGTTTCGGCGATTAACCAATCGGTCAGCTATCAGTGACGACGAAGCCTCGGAGGCTGGCGACGTTGTGGTTCCCATCTCCACCGTCAAGCACAACGATGACGACGTATTCAGGGACAATGATGCCACCATCACACAAGTCAAGGGCGACACACTGAACGGAAACGAGGACGATGAAGAAGACAAGGATGAAAAAGAAGAAGAAGAAGATGGAGAAGACTTGGAGCCGGATGAGTATGCGCCCTCATGCTGAATCTTGGAGCTCAAGACAGCTGAACTGGGATCATTGCAGATTCATCGTCGAGAAGATCGTGGGGCACATCTATAAGCAGGTATGCGCATACATCCGATCTTCTGATACCCTTCGGTTCTTGTAGGCGCTAAACTTTTCGCAGGGTGCCTTGAAGTTCAAAGTGAAATGGGAAGGCTGGGACTCGGAAGAAGATTTGACTTGGGAGGATGAGGATAACCTCAGGTTCGTCAATGCAATCCAGATCGTCTCATATCAAGAAACCCGTTCTAACATCGATACACAGAGAAAACGCTTCAGACATTCTGGACGCATACCTAGAATCCGTGGGCGGCCGAGATAACATCGCCGGGCAGTCCAAAAAAGGCACACAAAAGAAGCGCGGTCGACCTTCTTCAACCAACACACCCACGAACGGTACGAAACGCTCAAAACGCGGGAGTCATCCGGCGTCATCCACTCCACCCGCCAGCGCTGCCAAGGCCTGGACACCCCCAGCCGGTTCCTGGGAAGACCATGTCGCCTCGATCGATGCTTGCCACGACGAGGAAACAGGCAAGCTAATTGTCTACTTGTCATGGAAGAACGGCCACAAAACACAACACGACACCAAGATTGTGTACTCGAGATGTCCCCAGAAGATGCTACAATTCTATGAGCAACACGTCAAGATCGTCAGTCCTACACCCAAGGCAGACGTGGATTAGGACATGGGGGTAGGGGCTCATCAGGTAACTAGTGTAGGATATTATGCTTGTCAGCTCAGCTGTGGGCTTGACCAGCAGCACTCTTCTGTATGTTGAGGACAGGAATGAATGGCGTTTACGGCTTCAGAATTTTTGGTATGGTTATGAGAACTTGGCGCAGTATTTAAACGCTGCGCAGTACTTGGCAGTTGAGATCTAACGCAGTAACTACCAAAAAGTCCAATCTGCATAGGCCAGAGGACCTCTCAATTGCCACACTGACTGTTCCGCAGTATATGAATGTCCTCTGTCTAGTACCACCAGACTTGTGTGCCTTGTTATCAGACACCAACTGGGAAACTGCAGGTCCAAACAGTCCTGACACGTGCCTTGGGGTCCCGACTTCAGTGTCTAGCGCTCCGACTGGAAGGTTGTGCTAAGATCCACCCGAGACATGTAGCCTATCGCCTGTACATATCGTGGGTGCACTTATGCTGACAAGCTCAGTGCTTGCTCTCTGCATTCGGCTCTGTGGTGGCATTCTGTCAGTAGCCTGTACAGCCGACGCAATCTATTTCTTCCTTTTTGGGAGGGTAGGGTTTTCTTCTTCTTTTTTTGCGTGTCCTATGCCTGTTTGTCATCCAACGCACCATGACAACGCGGTTCCTGAAAATTATAGAGAGGCTGGAGACGGTCGACCCACTAAAACCGTGACCTTGGAGCGCGAAAACCCCTGTCTCATGCTCCGTCATTGGCACTAAGAGCCTGAAGCTTGACCCCTGTCATAGCTTTCCAGCCTTGCATTTTGCATTTGCAGCAAGGAAACCAGCGTCCAGCCTCGCTATTTACTGCGGAATCGATGGCGGGGCAACCGATCCTATATCAGCCGGCCCTCGCACACCCTCTCTCTTTTTCTGCCTGTCTATGATACGCCTTCTCTTGTCTTACAGTTTGTTCCTACATGCAAATTGTGACCAGCTTGCAAATCATACAGGCACCATTCTTTCCGAGGTATCTTCGGAATTTCAAGAGATTTATCTGCCAACGACTACTTGCTACGACGTAACGAACTTGACGACTTACATACTTTTGCTTTTGGGAATAGCTTCAAGCCCCGAACTTTAGTAACAGTCTGAACTGATTAATTGATCGAAGGATTTAATAGGTTGGTCTTCCATACTTCGCTTTACTTTGCTTTAACAGTGACATCTACGAAGGCTAGGCTAACAATTCATCCCTCCAGGACTGCAACCTGCCGAATTCTCTAATACGCCCGAGTTTCATACTCTCTCTCCACATTCCTCATCCTTTCGCAGGCCAGAAACGGTGGACGCCAAAAAGCCTACCACTACCACACAACCCACATTTTCTCGACGCACACTCCCATCGTAGGCAATCCGCAGCCATGAAGGAGAACGACGTCATCGCCATCATCATCATTATCCTCTTCATCGTCCTGGCGCTGATCGCCTTCGGTATCTACCGCCTCGTGCACATCGCGAGGAATCAGGGCACCGTCACATCGACGAGCAGCAGCGGCAGCTCTAGCGACGAACTAGTTGATAACTAGAAGAAGGGTGTCTCATCTGCTTATGATGATGTCTTTGTAGACGAGCGGGGGACTCACACATCCCCCCACCCCCTCTAATTGGCACACTGTGCCCCTTTTTATATTGACGACGACCGCCAAATTTTTTTCAAAATCTTGGCCTTGGTCGTCGTCCGGAAGCGGGGAAAACCGGTCCCCTTCCACTGGGAGGAATTGTATCTGCTCGAGTGACCTCGTTGATCACAGATATTCAAGATCACATCTAGAGGACCTGATAACGCGGAAATTGGGGAACCATTTCTTTATTTAGCATTGCATTTGGGTCACGGCATTCCACTTTCTTCTTATTTTTCACGTTTATTCTTTTGAGCGGCCTGCGCACTCATCTCCAGCATATGATCTAGGCAACTGGCGTTTTGGGGGATCTGGCAAAGGGGTGAAATCTTCCCCTCTCATGAATGGAAAGGATGCGGGTTTATCTGGGGCGATGAAAGGATATCCGGGATTAACATATACACACGTACGTACGTGGGCATGGTTGCAGCCGCGATCTGCAAAAGCGTTTGAACAGGGAGTATTGGGATAGAGATGAAGCAGAACGAATTATGTATATAGAAGAATTTCAACGATCAACTCATTTTTTGTATCACTTCTTTGGATGAAGAGCTTGGAAGTTCGTGATGTGGACAACTGGTATGACGAATCATACTCGTTTTCAAAGAAAAAGAAGACAACAAGCGTTCCGCCTTCAGTTCTTTCGTAGTCTCAAAGCTGGATGTTTACCATGACCGCCTAGACAGGTAAGAGTTTGGACCGAGGAGTGGACGGTCAAGACTATATGGTTGCATGTGCGTAGATCTTACTCGCCTTGCTGTGATGATCAACCCGGTCCGTTCATGTTCCATGCCTAATGGTGAAACCCAGTAAGCATTGAACTTGAGCATCACATAACTCGGGCGGCGTCGATGATTTCCGGTAATTACGTACTATCAGAATAGAGAAAAGTGAGCAATTTGAAATGATATTGTATAGGTTCTGTCATGTCATAGGTCTTATGCTTGAGCTTCCTTCAGAATTTTGCTCATTTTGGGCCATGTAAACATAGGCCAAGTGGCTGTAGCTTTTGGGGCTCAGAGTTCCCTGACACAATGGCCGAATCATCAAACGCCGAACGTTGATGCCACGAAGATAGCTCAACCTTCGATGCTGTTAGCTACCACGCTTCCCAAACTCCTCCATGCAATGCTGGTAATTTGGCATGGTTGCCGGCATATCTACTCCAGCCCGACAACGAGAAATATTGACGAGTTTTCTAAGGCTTTGCATGCCTCCCATAACGCCAAAACCCCTGTATGTTTAGATTCCATAGTTTTGCAACGGAGGTGTGGCATCTCTCAGAGCAAAAGTCTAGTTGCTTGAGTCGTTGTATGTTGGGCGTTGCCAGTCGCAAGCGGCATTCAATGCATAATGCCAAACTGCTTTGACCGAAAGACGCCACGCAGACCCGTGGCGTTGAAGCTGCTTTGACTGCCAGTCTCATGATCCAGTCCCGGTGCCTGTGCTTGTGTCCTCATTGGAACGACTTTCAAACCATCCGCCCCGCTCCCACTCGCCAGGGGCATAAAGACAGCCCTGCCTTATTGCGTCATTGCTAATTCCTTCCAGTAATACATTTAATCTTTTGAAATCAATCGGCTTCAGAATCCAGCCATCGAAACCGGCGTCAACATACTTGGTCATCTCTCGTTCAAGAAGAGATGCTGAAACAGCGAAAATAGGAACTCTGCCATAATGCTGGGCCAACGGCGACAAGCCAGAGCATTTGTCTGATTGCTCAAAAGCTCGTATCATCTTGGCACTATTCAATCCATCGACAATTGGCATCTACGGGGCGCTTATTAGCAGTGCTCTTCTATTTCTCGAGGTGTCGGCAAGATGGAAGCATCTATGACTTACCTGCATGTCCATAAGCACCACTTCAAACGTTTGAGGGTCTTCACTAAAAACGGTTGCACAATCTTCGCCGTTCACGGTATGAACGACTTCATGGCTGGCCTTTTCTAACCGTTTCCGCAGTATCCTGCTGTTGACGGGGTCATCTTCGGCAATGAGTACCTTCAATTTCTCAGAGGAATCTGGAACAGACGATTTTGGTTTAGATTGTGTCGCCGCAGAGTCCTTGTGGGGTTGATCAGAAATTTCGAAAAGGACACCACGAGTCTGATCTGGTTGAGGCGCAGACGGTGGCATGTCTGAAAACTCTTCGGGTACTTTAATCGGTTTGATAGGCGTCTTCGAATCCTTCACGTGTGCCATTCCTGGTGAAGATGCTAATCCCAATTGATTTGATGGTACCGTTGTCGAGCGAGATGGAAGACCTGGACGCTCTTGACGTACCACCTCGGGTGGATGCCTTCCTGGATGGCCCCCTTCCGTTGGCGAATATCTGGCGCCAGCACTGTGACTAGACCGGATGGAATTCTTCGAGGAGCGACGTTGCAGGCCGACAGAGTCTGGGTCACCCTCGCCATACGCTAATGGTGTCGATAGGGCGTCAATTAAGCGATCGGCATCACTCCTGTTACTAGTTGTTGAGCCCTTACTCGTCGCACTCCTCAGACTCTGAATACTACCTGTCTCGTCAAAGCTCCTGCGGTGCCTGATAGTCCGACTAGGTGAGTCTGTGCCCATTGCAGATCCGCGGTCCACCAGTGTGACCTCGCCATCTTCAATTGGAGGTAGAGATTTGGTGACTGATGCCACACTGGGAGCCCCTTTTGCCTGTGTCCTCGTTTTCTTGTTCGAGTCGGTCTGCTCTGGTACAGAACCCTCTGGAAGATCGAACGGCAGCTGAATAACGAACCGGGAACCGAGACCTTCCTCGGACTTCAAACGTAACTGACCGTCCATGTTGCGAACGATTCTTGCCACAACAGCCAATCCGAGCCCAAGGGCACGATTGTCAACCGGCTTATCGATTTCGTCATCGAGACCCTCGACTGTACTAACTTGTTCAAGCTCTTGAAATAATGCATCAAGCTTGGCGTCGCTCATGCCACGCCCGGTGTCTTGAACCACAATTTCGATCTTGCACCGGCTGTCAACCACCTCTGTTACGAAACATTCGACTGTGACCGACCCCTTTGTCGTATGCTCAACAGCGTTTGCCGTCATATTCGCAATGGCCTGCCGCACACGTCGGTGGTCACCATGCACCATACGAGGTAGACCTGGATGCTCGATCACCGAATAAGAAATACCTTTTCTCTTTGCGTCCACTGTAAATGGCTCAGTAGCTTCTTTCAGACAAGCTGGCAAATCTATTACTTCGTCTTTGACAAGGTTCTGCCCTTCTTCAATTTTAGTCAGATCGAGCAAATCATTGATTACGTAAATCAGCGATTTGGATGCCGAGTGCGATTTAGATAGGTTGTCTCGTGTTTCTCCATCAAGACTGCCTTCTAATGCTATTTCGAGGTAATTTATGATAGCGTTGAGTGGTGTGCGGACTTCGTGGGCCGAGTTCGCCAGCAGGAGTCGCGTTAGACGACTCTTTTGCAGCGCTTGTTCTTTTTCTCTCCAGACTTCTATGAACTTGCCTACATGAATTGTCAGAGGTTGTGCTATATTAAGCGGAGCATAAATGTGATCCAAAACTGAATGAGCTTACCGTATACCAAGCAGAGTACCGCGGCGGTTTCGACTTGTTCTTCTGACCATTCTCTACATTTGCCAATGACAGTTTCATGCCACACTTGGAAGCTCGTGCGTGGTTCGAGGTAGTCGGAGGTGCCCTCTTGGATGACTTTTTCGTATGGATTTCCTGCCCATCTAACTTCTTTGACCTGACCCTTTCGGAAAAAGACAATAAAATCTTGACCTCTCACGCTCAGTGGCACGTACAGCATGCCAGCAATGACGGAAAACCCGGGAGGATATCTGAGATCGGGAAGCTCCGCTCCAATATCCTGCGTGGTCACGACCGAGCTAAACTTTTTGAGTCGTAGGTACTCGATCAAGGCAAGAGCTTCTTGAGTTTGCTCGAGCTTTCCGAGTATCTTAGTCTCGCCACGTATGGAGAGCATTCCAAAATCTGCATCGAAGAGTCTCAACAAATCATCGGAAGAGGCGATGATGTACCCAGATGGATTCTTATCAGTGGGAACTGTATTAATCAACTTCCTTGCCTGCAAACGCGAGGCATATGATAGCCTTTCTATGTTCCTTGATGCCGTGTCCCCCACGAGTCTGCACATCTTTCGAATCGGAAAAGCCACACGCATACCTCTAGGCCCATAAGAGTGGCAGGCGATCAACCCCCAGAGTTCAGAGAACGCGTTGATGGAGATGGACATGGAAGCTCGTACAGCCATGTTGGAGAGGTATTTGAGGTGTATTGGAGACATTGCGCGTAGGTAAGAATGAGTAAGATCGAGCGGTTGTTCCATATCTACCTGTGTTCGACAAACCAGTCGAGCCGACTCCAAATCACGATCGTAAAGTAGTCGCACTTTGTTCGTCTTGTATAATTCACGGGCTTGCCTAGGGATGTCAGAGGCTGGAAAATATAAGCCCTTGTATAAGTCGCGTGTATGAGTCGGATCAACCAGTTCAGTAACCACTTTCCCGTTGTACGACGAATCGAACTGGTATATCATGACTCGATGGAAACCGGTTAACTCCTTAACGATTCCGACAAGGATCTTGAGGAACTTGTCCAAATCGGTTGCTGAGGCTAATTGTTCTTGTACTTGGGACATTATATCGAACACCTGCATAGCCCCAGCCTCTCCTCGCTTTTTCCTAGCACTACGCAGAACTCTCAGTGGCTTGCTGCCAACTTCGGTACTCTCGTTGAATTCCTCAAGAGTTGGCAATTGGTAGAGTGTGTCTTCTGGTGCAGGCGGTGTTATCTCGTCGACCGGACGGAGGGGGTGCTCATGGTCCTCTTCTAGCTCGAATTCGCAAATGATCATGTCGGGATTGGTCAAGTTGATATGCATGGCGCACCACAGCTTGATGCTTCGCTCTTTAGGCGGACGAATAGAAATACTGAAAACTTCCGGCCCGTTAGAAGCGATGTCGGCGTCCTCATCGCGAATGAAGTCAATATGGTCGAGAATGTTCTCGGCCTGCTCCTCTGAGAAGATGTCCAAAAAGCTGTCGAGCTTAAAGAGCTGCTGAGGAGAGACTCCAAGGAAATGTCTAGAATTCTCGCTGACAACATGGACAGGAAAGCGGCCCTCACTGTCCTCCTTCAGCGCGACTAAAAGACCAAAAGATTGAACGGCCCCAGGCGTGTGGATGGGCTCGTCTTCACATGTTTGCAGGACACCATCTCTACCAGTGATAACGTAGTGCCCTTCGTCGGTAGTGACATGCTTGAAACGTGTAGTATAGAGTTGCTCACTGACTTCGCCCAAACTGGCAATGGGACTAGGACCACTGCCGGAAGCCGATGATGCGAATAAACCAGATGATCCAGCATCATTCATGTTGGAACGTTCCGAGGCAGCATCCGAAGAGCTGTCAATGGAAATTGAGAGTGGTGGATGCATATCGTTGGTAGGACTACTAACGGCGCCTGACATGGTGGTATTCCTCTTTTCCGACACATTCGCCGGCATATTGGAGTCGTTGCAACCTGGTCTTGACGACTTGGGTACGGTATCAGGATGTCTGAGGTCGTCCAACTCAAGGCGTGCATTACTAGCACGATGACGTTCGTCAGCATTGGGGTCAAGACGAGGGAAGTATTCATGCTCGCCGGATGAGCGCGTCGGCCAGGGTGTGGCCTGGGACTGGCTTGGGTCAACGCTGACGACAGAGCGAATAGGGAAGACACGATCTCCAGGATCGGCTGTGCTGCTGCTCGCGCTTGCATTTTCAAGCTGTCGATCTGAAGCCCGACTCCATAACGATCCTGCTGACCCGGTGGAGAGGCTCAGACGAGCAGGAGCCGGGCCGTCTGTATTCATGCCAATGTTGGGGTCGATTGCAGCCGTTGGTAACGAGGTAGGCTTCTTGGTTGCGGGCGGCGTGATGTCTTGATTATCATCTTCGCAACGTGCATATGGCATTGCATGTGTCCCGGTTGGTGTGCCACCATGATCACTTTGTGCTGAGCCCGACGAAAGTGGCAGCGCTGATAGTGACGACGACGACGACGACGATGATGGTACTTGTGTTTGGCCGAGGTCCTCTTCAGGATTGTTCCGTGGGCTCCCAGCACGAATGTCGTCCTGTGGCTCTGAGGATCGTTGGTCCATAGCGGGCGAGCAGAGGCGGGGCGACCCAGAAGTCTCGGATCGCATCGAGGAGCTGGATCTGAGCTATGGCACAGCGAGATCAACTGGGGCGGATGTTGAGTGTCGCCAGCTCGTCTTTTTCTGTTTTGCGACACAGACCCCGACCTGAGGGTGGGTGGAGGTACAGGTATTGTGGGTCACTCGCTTCTGGCTGTCAGGGTGTGCAGATCGTATGGGTGCCGGCGTGGGAGGAGGTAAAGTATGGTTCAATTAAAGTCGGATGTGCAGGTCGCGGACGGGTAGTGACAACTGGCTGACTGGCAAAGCAGCGCAGCAGTCAAGTTGGCCGGCAATGAGTGTGTGGTATAGTGTAGTGTATCTGTAGTGTAGTGTAGTGTAGTTGTAGTGTAGCGTATGTAGTGAGCGGAAAGTAAAATCGTCAGGTGAGCAATACAAGGCAAGGTTCAGGTCAAGATCGGACTGTTGTTGGTACTGAACTGGGGGGAGACGGTGGCCACAGACAGTGTTGGGTTGTAGCAACCCGAGTGAGTCTGCTCTGCTCCTAGATAGTATCAAAATGCTCTCGGTCCCTACTTTTGGGTCTGCTGTGGCTTTGGCTTGGCAGAGCCTTTCGAATGCGCCTGAGGAGGCAGCGAATGACGGGCTAAGAGGGCGAGTGCTTCCGTTCCTCTTCCAGGGGCAAAGAAAACTTTACAGTATGGAGTCTGTAGTGGTTTATGTCATCGAAGGAAGTGGCAAAGTCGCAATTGATAGATTGCGTAGTCTAGTTCCAATCCAGGCGGCGTCGATTTATTCATTCGTCCGACTCATCGCTCGCTGTTGAGCGTACAATCCTGAACTCTCGAATTTTGAATTTGTTGCCGCAAATGACCTGTGGAAGGGATGTATTCAAAATAGCAACGTGTTGGGAAAGGGAACAGGGCATATCTACCATCCAAAGTAGAGTCAATACAGTAGGCTCACATACCGACCTGCTAGCCCCAAGGTGATCGACGACCCCCAACGACTAGGCGTCCAATAGGTACGCTATCCTACTCGCCAGCTATTGTAGGTTAGGCTTGCAAACTTCCAAAAAGCACATTGGCACAATTTACGGTCAATGTCTACGTACTTCCGCACTGCAAACTGTGAGTAAAACGGCAAAAGATTCGAGAGTCTCAGGGCATTCTTGGGAGCTTAGTGACCGCCCCGCTGGGCCCAGTGCTTGTAGCTGGAGGTGTCTAACCAACAGTAGGTATGCAGGTATGATGTACCCTCATCTTTCTGTGGGGAAATCTGCTGCAAGCGTCTTCTGTCCGAAACTTGGTATCAAAACAGCGCACACAACCCTGTGCTAAACCATGATTTGGACGATCAGTTGCTGCAGATCAATCGTGGGGCACTCCATCACTCACTTGTACTTCAATGCTCCATCTTGAAGGAGCGTAAGAATGAATGTAGCAAGTGCGCAAAAGCATACTGAAAATGTTACAATACACAAAACCCCTTCAGATGGACAGTAATGGGTTTTATGCAGGCAATACACCAAGCCAGTGCAATAATTCAATATCGAAATCGACGATCTTGGAAAACCTGCATGCCAGTAGCCGGACCAGGTCCGGGTTGGTGGGGTCCACTGAGCAATATCCGGTAGATGATTAGTTTGACAGGAGCTGTGTCCGGCTCCCCAACCCATCATGACGATCGGGATTTTGTATGGCTATATGGCTGTATGGCAAACGGTCATTCCAAAGACAGAAGGGGTCCAAGACCATACTAGCGAATGCAGGAAAGAGGGAGGTAAAATAGGGGGGGGAAGATAGAGCTGCAGCTTCGGCGCTTCGCTTCAACACTTCTATAGTACGTACATAGCCGTAGTTATTAGCTTTCTGGTAAGGGCTCGCTCGCTAGTAGCCATCCCAGCAGGCCCAGAGCATGCGAGTCCACTTATCCTACATGTCCTTGGTAAAGCACGTGTCATCGAATGGCATGGGCTCTCAAGCGGCCCTGCGTCTCAAGTTCTTAGAGAAGCATGACTAGTTAAATCTGAAAAAGATTCTGAAAGCCCCGTTGGTAGCTTGGGTCCAGCGGCGGTTGTAATAAAATCAGCCTGCGGTCTCCATACTAAAACGCACACAGTCAAGTGGTTGCCTAGTATATTCTACCACTAATAGTATTAATCAAGATGGAATATAATTAAAAGGAGTCATCATATACTTCAATATTTCTTATAGGACTTGTTAACAAGTTTATAAATCAGCTTTGGCTATTTGTGTTGAGTTGTAAGTCCAGGTATTGAAGGGATTTCTGCTTTCATACGTTTTAGTCCGGAGACTGTGTGATAGTAAGGAAGAAAGTCTCATCAAAGAAACAGGGTTCAAGGCGCAGAAACGAGATAGCTCTCGATTATTGATCTTTGATCTACGTAGTACGGCGATATGTAATGCGCATCGAGATTTCTGCATGGCAAAAAAATGGGATTTTCGTTGGTTCAAGCAGAAACCCATGCATGTCCCAAGTCCTGTTTTTCTGGCCTAGCTATCAAGCCTTATAGAGTAAAGATCGACGTTCCTGGAGGAGGGGATCTCACTGGGCCTCCACTCACATCAACTTAAAAATGAGGATCTTATGGAGTACAAGAGGAGCAGATTCTCCGGGTATCCCTGTACGTGACAGAAGAATTGGCGCACAGGCCACTCTAAATCAACTGTGCGCCAATTCTTGTGTCAGCCCACAGGACACGACTTATACATAACACGAAGAACATCTCGCTGTTTGGACTTCTGCCTCACAAAGCAATGGTGGTATCTATCTTTGCCTCAAGCCAGATATTGCAACTTAACGCTTTGCATTCCAGTGCGAACTGATGATTGCTTTGTAACAACGTAAGGTGGGAGCACCTGAGCTGCACGCAACTGTGGATATTCTCTAGTGAGAACATAGCGACTTGAGGATTGTTTTGGGCTACAAGAGTAATAAGGACATCTTTAATGGAATACGAGGTTTCCTAATCACTTGGCTCCAATGTTTCGCATCTTTGATCGGTAACTAGGCACGAATGTGAAGGTATTTCAACTTTCTGTGGTCGTGAACATATCCTCTATAAACTTACAAATATTTTCTTGTTAGTTGATTCGATTAGGATAGAGTGGGTTCTAGACATTGAGTTTCCGCAGCAATTTGAGTCGTAACAAATATCAAAAGGGTCACAATTAAGAAAAGGAAAAAAAAACCAGATAACACAGCAAATCAGGTCATTCCGAAAAGACTTCATGTTCCTGATGTTAAACTGCACCCCTTGTACTTTCTTACACCACACTAAGCTAGTCAAGGCTGAGTGCATCCATTTATGTGTTTGTCATAATATAATTACTTTATAAAAATCTTTTATTAAAAAAATTAAAATTAAAAAAGGGTGCCACTCATATGCATTTGGATAAAAATGGCAAGAAAGTCTTAAGCGATATCTAGAATTTTTGCCTTTCTCCCCTCTCGACAAACCTAACCCTCAAAAGTATGCAGAACAAATATTCCGCACGTACCTCGAATATTGGGATCAGTCGATTTTTGGCAATTTCTAGTATCGCATAGCAGTTAGGGGTTATCCACAATAAACACTTTCGTGCTTCGATCATGCAGTAGCAACGCCAATTCTCATGGTTTTTGGAATGCTAGTTTGAGCTCTCCATGGGCAAATTGACAGGTTGGCCCTACTTAATAAATCAGTGCATTTAATATTGGTTGATGTTGAGGTTAAAACTGGCCAGGGGTCTGTATGGTCGGAGCGATTCGGTGTTTCGGGTTCGTCAACAATCTTTTTGTTCGATCCATTGTGATATTGTAATCTTACAGATCGCAATATACTGTCTTTGTCATAGTCAGACCGCTGCTCATTGTTTCTTAATCTTATAAGAAGTACCCTCGTGGACCGTACGATAGCTTGACCTATCAGTCTTTATGCACTTGTTCGACTTTCGTTTGATTAGGAAATGGTTGTCAGTGTACTGAAGTGCAATCAAGTTAAGTGCCGTTGGGACTCGCTATTACGGAGACCTCATATTGCCACCGCGACTGCTGCGCTTAATTTAACCAATACTGAACATAATTTATGGACCGCATTTACGCTCGCTACTTCGATTCTCAACAGCGACGGGAAGTGGTGATTGACAGCTGGTCTGGCGTTCCCTTAAGATCCCCTAGCCTACATTTCTTCTGGATTACATTCAGCAGTTGGACCTTGGGCAGATTGATGACTCCCCACGACTTTGATACCATGGACATCGATAACTCTGATGCCATGGATATTGACGACATTGACCATGAAATTTACGCAACGGATCCGATGGAGGTTGACAGCATCAATGGTCAGTCTGTCTTTCACATCCACCAAGCCTGCCCGCAGTGTTCGAAGCTACTACCATGACTATAGGTAGTTCTCCCATTATAAGAAGCTAATGTTGCAATTGAATAACCAAAGACTATGGGCTCTCCGTTAGGCAAATCAAGGAAGTCGTTGGATGATCGTAAAGAATTGTCGAACGTTGCCTACATCTACTCCTGCGTGTTCATCTTATCCTAGCTACGCCATTATCACTAACAACTATTTACTTTATTTTAATTTTAATATGTAGCTGAGCTCCAACTTAATCTGAAAATTGTATGGCAAATAATATTTAGCAGTTCACATAATTTTCTATTTTTAGATACGCCAATCTGCGTCTGAGCCGATGGCATAAGATCTAAATCAAGTCAATGAAACTAGAATGTAAACGGGGAGCAATAAATTAACACGTTCGCCTATATATTGTGTTGAGCTATGAAATTAAACACGAAAAATGGCCTTCGTTGGAGTAGTTGAATGGAGGAAGTTAATCTCTGAACACAGAGATTTTGGGCGACAATTTTACTACAATATAGCGAATATCACCTTTACGAATTTGAACACTATAAACAAAGTAGTTTTCCGTCATTCGATGGCTACTCCCGTTCCAATACATCTGCAAAATGTGGACGGGTGCACACCTGACCGGCTAGTACGGGGAGTATAGCATCGATTCGTTGTCGCAATAAAATACGCGGGCCACGTTGGAATAGCTCAATGTTTCAAATACCGACGGCTGACTTCACGATGTTCGCCTCGTTTCCTTTTACTAGTTAGTAGTCAAGGCCGCTAAGCCCCCGGTTCAGACTTCCACTGGGACTGCAAATGCCCAATTTGGCAACATATACTCCACAGGCAACATGGATATTCAAAATTATCGAATAGATATTCTAATAGAAGAAAGTACTAACTATTGTGGGATACAAAGGTCACCATGGGGATATGAATAAGGCACACTGGACACCTCGACTGACTACCGCGCAAGCTGATGTAATATTCGACATCATTCAAGAGATTAGACAAAATAACTCACCATCGTTTAACAATCAGAGATCTGTCACTTGGGGAAACTATATCACTATGGCACTCGACGCTCTTGACACGTTGACCAAATGCACAGTACTGAAAGGACCGCGGGCCTACTTTAATTATATAACAGTTGTCAAAGATCATAATCCAGGCGACCACAGTCCGCCAAATAATATCACTCCCCCTCATTTCATTCTAATAGGTATCTCGCAACTGTGGATGTCCGATCGGGAATCTCGCTATCGCTGCATAAACCGTATGCCCTGCTATCCCCCGATAATCCTTTTTCACCGGCCTAAGTTTCACAATGCCCATAATTATAATCGCCTGTTCTACTTCGTCTATTTGAGATAGGATAGTGAGTGAATTGAAGTGCTTTTCAAACCTTTCTTTTCAAAGGAAAATTTTGACAATTTTCAGGAACTCTATGGAGAAAGAGGGAACCGATTGTGTATTTTACCGGTATTCAGCAAGGTTAGATTCGTTTTACTATCTTCAAGAGGACAAATAGGGTAGAGCAGACGGCATACTCAATTTTTGGACAAAGTGCTACACGACTTTTTAAATGGACCTAACAACCCTCCCCACCATCGCAGCATATTCTAAGCCGACAAAATATGCCCATGACGAATGCACTTTACAACAAAGCTCGGTCAAACGCGATACCCACTGGAGCAACGGTTTGGATGGTTCTCGGTTTAGCCATCGAAAGTGCGAATTCGAGGAACTCTTCGTGGCCCGAACCTAGTCTCACGCGAGGTGAGTCACGGCATACCGCAGGGGGGTTGACACCGCCCATCTTAATCGTAAAATACTGTTTCTGGGACCTGTTCATGGTTATACATTCTATCTCCTCAGTAGTACCAACTCTTGGCCGATTATTTATGCTATATGCGAATAACACATACAAGACTACTTTGGAGGACCACGTAAGTTAGTACAATGTCGTGGTTATTGAAACAACAATCTACCATATGTACCTAGAGGCTGTACAGCTTACACTGATGCCAATATTTCAGCAACTGTGCAACTATACAACTTTACAAGCGTGGAAATGAAGCACAACGCATCCTGCTTCTAATATTAATTACCATTCAAAATCAACTCAGAAAAATCGCAGATATTAGTTAATCATCGACAAAATCACATACGTAACCACAGCCACCCCGCATCCACAGAAGAAGAAATAAAACCAAAATATTGACTACAGACGAAACAGAATTACTCATCGTCCTCATCGGTAGCTTTCTCTACTAGATAGTACCGATCTGCGTTAGTAGAAGGATCCTTCTCATGTTCGACTGCCAATTTGCTGAGGTAAACCATGATATTTTCCATCTTCGTATCCCGCTTGTGGCGATCCTTTCTACCCAGATCATTGATCCAGTCAACACGCTGTAGGATAAAGTAGATGATGGCGATGAATATTATGACTCCGAAAGAATAGAGCCAAACAACCACCACAGTAACAATATCAGTCCAGCCATTGGACGAGTTGTTGAACGGGGTTAGAGGCGTAGTGTACATGACACCTCCACCACTTCCAGAAAGCCAACCGAAAAGGCAGAAGAGGGTGGCAATGACGTCGACAGCCAGGATGGCACCGACCAGTTGCCAGGATGGCCAAGTCTTGCCACCGCGCGTGATGAAGATCAACCAGTTCTCTGTCAGTGCGACTTGTAGGAACAGGACTTCTTGGATCGAGCCCCAGTTCTGAATGATGCCACCGCTGCGAAGAAACATGGTACCACGGGCGATCCAAGTGCCTGCAGCGAGCAGCATACCTAGGATGATGCTTACGACCCAGATCTTCTTCAGTTGCCATTCTACTGGGCGATCTTCGACATGGGCATTGTCATAGGCAACAGCCACAGTGGCCAGGTCAGCAAACAGAGCGATGAAGACGATGAGATCAGGCCGGATTGTTTCGTTAAGGATGACCATAGAAGTTGTCAAATAGATCTCCAGGTGTAAACAGAGAGCAATACGGTATTGCACATAAGCCTTCTATATATGGTTCAAACACCAAGTCAGAAATCAAAGCTTGTAGGATAGAAGAATGATTACTTACCATTCGCTGAAAGATCTGACGAGAAGTCTTGATCGATAGAATGATGGTGCTGAGGCCAGGAGCCAGGAATACGATGTCAGCAGCTGCTTGGGCTGCTTCAGAAGATCCTTCTACCGCAATGCCGCAATCTGCTTTTTTGAGAGATGGAGCATCATTCACACCTGGATGTTTGCGCAGCACTTAGTACACGTGTCTTTCGTCCATCCGCCGTGAAGGATATGGAAAACTCACCGTCGCCAGTCATGGCAGTCAACGATCCACGCTGCTGCAGCATCTCAACAACCTGATACTTGTGTTCGGGAAAGACCTCGGCAAAGCCATCAGCACGTTCCACAAGGTCATGCTGAACAGTCCCGGTGAGGCCACTATGCATCAACTTAGTCGAGTTGTAGACCTTGGTGCCCAAACCGAGCATCTTGCACGTCTCCTTCGCGATAGCAATTGCATCACCAGTAAGCATTTTGACGGGAACTCCTAGCGCCTGGGCCTCGATGATGGTTTGAGCAGTATCTTCTCGCGGTGGGTCAAACATCGACAGGAGACCTAAAAGTACCCAGTCATCATTGTTCTTTTTATATGCAACGCCGAGGGATCTGAAACCGCGGCGGGCGAAGTCCTTTGTCCTGCTATTGTATTCCTGCCGGATATCATTCGGTAGATTGGGTGCCAGTTGGAGGATCGCCTTCGGAGCACCCTTTGCACAGATGTACTTATCTTTACCAAGTCGGCATTCTGTAGTAATCCGTTTTGAAACGGGGTCGAACGGGGTGAACTTATCTGTTTTCCAGCCCTCACGCAGTATTTCTCGGGCTTTGGGGAATTTCTTCAGTGTCAATATCGTGACTTTGTCAATAGGGTCCAATGAAGCAATATTATGGGAGCTGGCAAGAGCAGCTACTGCCATCATCCAATTGACATCCTGTCCCTCTGCAACGTAAGGGTCACGGAGGCTCAGCTTGTTGGCGGTCAGTGTACCAGTCTTGTCAGAACACAAGACATTGACACCCTAAGATTTGTTGTAAGCCTTGCCAGTTATAATTCAACTGTACTCACTTACTGCTAGCGACTCGATTGCGGTCAGTTTTTGCACAATAGCCTTCTGCTTGGCCAGGTATGCAGCTCCGACGGCTAACGTAGTCGTAGTTACGACCGGCAGACCCACGGGTACACCAATGATAAGTAGAACCAAGGCATAGTGGAGTAAAGTCTGTACTCCAGGCGTAGCAATGGGAATATGATGGAAGAAACCACCAATCCATGCCATAAGAATCCAGAACAAAACTAGCACGAGCAGCGTGGTTCCGATGGAATCCATCACCTGCTTGAAATGACCGCGATCTTTAGTGCCTTGCACCAGGTTTGCTGTCTTTCCAACAAAAGAATACATTGCAGAAGTAGTGATGATAGCGTACGCTTTGCCACGTTTACAACCTGTGGTGTAGTATACGATATCACCCATGTATTTGTCGACTGCCAGTGATTCTCCAGTAATGGCAGATTGATCGCTAGCAATTAGCGACTGACCAAAGTGAATGGAATCATCATCGTCGTCATCCTCATCAGGTTTATTTTCGTCTTGGCTGTCTTTCCCTTTCTCGTCGGGGCCCGCTGGGCCTTTCTCATTACCATTACCCTCTTTTGTATCGGGTTCATTCGGATCACTATCGAACTTATCCTCATTTCTGAGCTCAATGAACTCGTCGTAGTCCTGAGGCCGAGAATAGTCGCAAATCAATTGCGCATCACCAGGAATCGTCTGACCTTCTTGCAAGACAACCTGTTATAATGTTAGTACCGAGAATACGCCCCAAACCCCTCGCAAGACTGTGCCATGACTTTGACGAGATGCGAAAGGCAGAGCAGACTTACAATATCTCCCGGCACGAGTTCTCTAGCCAGTATCTGTTGTTCCCTACCATCACGGACAACTGTCGCCTTCATGGCAATGTCACCTTTAAGACTCGCGACGACATCTGCGGCTTGCTTTTCTTGATAGAAGCCAACAAAGGCGTTGAGACCAAGGATACCCAAGATCACTCCGAAGTCAATCCAGGCGCCGAGACCAACGGCCAACAATGCAGCGATTTCCATGACTGTACATGTGTCAGCGTATTGACTGCAAACACTGTTCTCTTGTACATGCTAAGCGATACGACAACTTACCATACAAGATTGGTCCACGGAAATAACCAAATATCTTGGCGACCATATCTTCTTTTTCAGCGGTCAGTTCGTTCCAGCCAAATCGCTTGCGGCGCTCCTCGACAACACTGGTAGAAATCCCTTCTTTAATTCGAGTATTCAGCCAGCTATCCGGCGCCTTGCCCACCTCCTGAACAGGGTGCTCATCAGTGTGATACACTTCTGTCGACTTCCAAAACTGCCACCACTTCTTTTTCTTTTTCTGTCCTCCAGCTGAGCTGACCATAGAAGCACGACGTTCCGCGTCATAATTCGTGATGTAACGGTCCAGAGCCTCATATTCTGGTAACTCGCCGCTTGCTCTAGCGATGCTTGGACGCGGAGTTGGCAGATGTCCAGGGAACTTGATATGGTCATCATGACCAGGGGATAGGTTGCTTGACCTCGGGGCTTCTTCGCGACCCGTTGTCCTGGCTCCTTGGCTATGCGGACCTAGGTCATCATCGTTGGAGATATCTTTGGCTCCCGGAGAGGGTTCGCGACCGGTTGCTCTGGCTCCATGACTGTCCGGAGCAAGGTCATCATCGTGAGAAACTTCTCTGGCTGCGGCGTTGGTGCCACTATGGCTCCCGCTGGCTATGTTATTCGCGGACTCGCTGGCGGCAGTGGCCTCAATATCATCAACTGGCCGACCAGGAGCTCGGCGTTGATGGAGATACGAGAGTATGTTTTTGTTGGAGTCAGACATGGCGACCAAACGGAAATGCTATCTATTCAGATCATCATATGGCTTCCGTACCAAGAAGAGAACTTGGGGGGAAGCAATCAGCTTTAAAGTCTAAAACGTTTTACCCCAAAGAACTCGTCCAGCGGCAAGCATGCTCGTCGATGAGGGGTATTCCGGGAGTGTTTGCTCTCAGAGCTCCAAAGCTCAGTGACGTCGGAATGACAAGCCACCAATGATCGATGTGACCACTAGATCTTAGGAACCATTGTTAGCAGTTTTGATACATAGTCTGGAAAGCCTAGTAATCAGTAAGCAGCACGTCCCCACTGATTCGGGTATAACGGCTGGCGAAGGTTTGAGTTCGATTCCCCGCGACGAGAAGACCAATGGCAGCAAGGTTTTGGATAGCCAAAACTCACCCACACCCGGCTTCCGTAGGCACCTTTGTGCCCGGTAAATGCACGTTGACCACTGCCTCTGAGCACAAATATTTGATGACGGTTTTTGGTACATAGTATAGGTCGAGCAACAAGCACCGCTGACTTGGATGGGGATGTTGGAGAATGGGGACCGAACTAGCCTCATCTGATAAGTTATTGTGCACATCTGCATCACTTAGTAACCTGGTGCCTATGTCGTTGAGCGAAATAATCAAATGCCTCTCGTAGGTTACAGGAGATGCGATTTATTCGATGGCTGAAAAGTAATCGCGCACTGTTCGAGGTCAGATGACTTTTTCTTACAAACGAGGTCTACAGCTCTGCAAAGTGCTGCCTCGCAAGAATATCGCAATGCATGTCACAGGTGCTGAATTTGCCTCATGTTGTTATCACGCGAGCTGTTTCTGAAAAGGGCAACTGCGTGATTTATGCGAGTGATGTGATCCTCAGCTTGACTATGCGCGATCATGGGGTATCCGCCTACAGTTTCGCCTTCTTCGCAACTTCTCTGACGTGCTGCATGCTCTTTAGGAGCGCGTACAGGCTTTGTAGCCTGGGCATTTCAATACCTGCCTTTCTCGCGATACGAACCGGATTACCCAAAATGACCTCGAGTTCCATTGGACGCCCTGCTTCCCAGTCCAAGAGCATGCTTGGCTTTGCTCCCGTATTACGCTCAGTGCTTCGTATGATTCTTTCCGGTGTTGCCAGGTCGTCTGGAAACGGCTTCCCGAGAACTTTAGGGGCAGCCTCCCTGATCTCATTCATGATTCCAAGGATGTGCTCTCTTAGTTCGGGATCCTTCAATTGATCGGCATTGCCCCTTCCACCGGATACTACTGCCGTAGGGTTGAATGCAGCATTGATGCACAGCTTGTGCCAGCGGATGGTTTGGAGCTCAATCTCTGTGTGTATCTCAACATCCTTGATGCCTCCTAGCTCTGTCCACCACTTGGCAAGCTCAACCATACGTCCATGTCCCTGGCTGGCAAGCTGCTTCATTTCCACACTCGCCTTTACATCTCTCACGAGACCACCACCGTAGGGTCCGAGACTGATCCTAGTCCATCTGTTTTGCCGTATTGTGCCTTGCTTGATCTGTTCAGCACTAACGATAGTGACTGCGCTGACTATGGGGTTTTGTGGGAATCGCTTTCGGTATGGCTCTTCCACACCCACCCCATTCTGAATGAGCACTATGCAAGACTTGGCCGATACAATTGGTGCAATCAGCTCAGAATCATCAGAACGGTCAGGTAGAGCCTTTGTGGTCACGATGATAAAATCCCATCCGTTTTGTGGCGCCTTGGCCGAACTGCTTGTGCTCGGTACTGCTGCTTCGACCGAGGGAAAGACAGCATGGGGCTTGAATGTGTAATCACCAAAACTGTGTGTTTGCAGTGTTACTCCTGAAGCTTCCAGTACAGAGTAATTAGACCTCGCTGTCAAAGAAGCATGAATGCGGTGTGAAGGCTATTCCACAATTAGCTCGGTTTGGAAGCAATGGACGGGTAGGTTACATGATGGAGGCGAGATGCGTAGAAGCACCCTACGGCGCCGGCGCCGACGAAGAGAATGTGGACAGGCCTGTAACGAATTCAGTTATCTGAGTATATTAAACCGCAATAGGAAGCATACTCTTTCGAAGCGTTAGCAGCCATTTCAAAGCAGCATATAACAGATGTACGTACACAGTAGCGTAGATGTGATATTTGAGAGTTTAAAGGCGAGGGCGCTGGCGCCAGTGACGAAAGCTGTGGGGCAGGGGGCAGTAACCAATCAAATACGCCAACATGCGACAAACCCCAACAACCCAACCGAGGTATCTTAGAGATCAAGTTGTACTTGCTCTCTTGCCTCAAGATCTACGTATGTTACTAGTTGCAACGGCGTCTCACAACGACGCGTCGAACTGTAGCAAATAGAGACGCAGATCTTATGGGCTTTGTATGACAGGTGAAAACAAAGAAGGAAACTCTCCAACGTCGAGAACCGAGATAGACAAGTCGTGCTTTTTGTATTATTTGATCTTTCTCAACGTATTTCTGCTTGATCGCGCGGTTTCATCGTGTGTATACTGCTGACAGTGACGGTACCGTGAAGGCCACGATTGATTGTGGTTCTGACCTCTGTAAACTCTGAGTCGCGCGATCTGTTGCGAGGAAAGATGCTTTGAATAGTGTTACTTTATCAGGGGACTACTTGCTGCAAAAGAAACTAAATATAATGAAATGGACACTGGCACTAAAGAAGCATGTACGAGTCGACTTGAACTGAAAGTACTGTATAGTTGAGACACCATTCATCACATCGAGGCGATCTTACCACCTTGTATTCAGTCGTAGTCCTTTACGGCGGAACAGCCCCTTTACGATATGTTTGGTGAGCTCACGTAGTAGTTGCAGCCGACGGGTAAACAGATCAACTCACTAAAATCTGACATTCAGAATTCTATAATCACCGTCGTATGAAGCCACATATCGAGCCGCAATTGAAACCCACAGCTCCGAGTTGAGGCACCCCAACCGAAATCCCCTGGGTTAGGATTTAATGTCACGATGGCCCTATATATAACCTTACACCGTGACACCATTATGTGTCAAATATGCTGTCAGCACATGACTTTAAGAATAAAGACCTGTTAGATTGCAGCTGATCCCAACGAAAATGCATCATCGGCGATTGTGCTAGACTCCATTTTGTAGTATCACATACTTTGACGAATACGATTAGCATATATTTGAGATTTTAGAAACTTAGGTAGAGCGATGTTTGACATCCATAGAACGTATTAGTTAGAAAAGCAATTCCCATTAGATGCAGGGTGCAGAACTCGAACCATAGGATTGAGAGGAGTTGTTGCTGTAGCACTTTGGGCATACACATTGGACATTGCTTGACAATGTATTTGAGACAACGTCTGCAACTGAGATGTTCTTCTGGAACTGAGATGCTCGTCTGGAAAGCTGCCAGCGGCTTATTGCTCAATAACTGAGAAGAATTGTTGCCTATGTTGAGATGCTGTTGATCAAGTCCATAATCAAAAGATGATTACACATGGGCTGGATTGAAAACCGGTCATTTCAACAAGTTTCCGAGACAGTAACATAACTTCAAATTTTAGTGTTCACAACATCATCCAACGTTCCAATCCATATTCACGTTTTCAATATGACCTCTAGACTGGACTGTTGAACAATTCACATTACATTTGGAGGTTGCAACTAAAACCCGTCCGTTGTCTTAATTCCGAGTATAGAAACGTTAGAACCAATAAAATGGTCCAACGATATCTCCCCCGGGTGCTGGCGCACCGATGCCCGGCGTGCTCCGTACCCCACACCTCGCTCCCACTGCGTTATCTCATCTCGGTGTATGATCACGTTATTGAGCCCATGTGAGAGGAGAATTATATATCCAGATATTTGATGTACAAGAAACTTTGTATCATCAACCATCGGACATAATCAAATCACCAATAAGAAAAGTTGCGATTCATCAGTCTCAAAGAAGAGGGAGCCATGATAAACATGACCGTCGACCAACCCATCCCGTTCATCATTCCTACGGTCGATCTCGGCCCGTACCTGTCTGATACATCTACGGAAGAGGCTGCCAAGGTCGTGGAGCAAGTTCGCCGAGCCTCCATAACCAGCGGGTTCTTCCAGCTCGTGGGTCATGGCATCTCGAAAGACTTGCAAAGGCGCGTGCAGAAAGCGGCTGAGGCTCTCTTTGCTCTGCCGCTAGAGAAGAAGAAGAAACTGATGCACCCGACTCTGAAGAACAGAGGATATGAGATTATCGGTTCGCAGGTCAGTATTCAAGGTCACTGATTCTCTGTTTGGACCGTCTCGGGAGCTAAAGCAGGCCACTTTGATCAGCAATGCTCTCAAGGCACCAAAGATGCTCTAAAATACTCCCGAAACACTGCAACTGAGAAATTGCTAACCCGTGCGGGATGAGTAAGGCATTACAAGAAGGCACCCTCCCCGATTTGAAAGAGGTTCGTTGTGCCAACTGCGTTTTCCAATGTCTTGAACTCAAAGAAAATAGGGGTTTTACATCGGGCAACATATACCACAAGAGGACAAGCGGGCGGAGGCCCATCCTCATCTAATGGGGCCCAATCTTTTCCCACAAGAGATCCCCGAAGACGTTCTTAAGGCGCCCACAGAGCAGTATTACTCAGAGTGCTTGAGTCTCGCGTCCAAAATTATGGAAATCCTTGCCAAAAGCCTCCCATATGGCAACGATATATTCGTGCCGTTCATGTCCAATGACCCTGTGTGCTCGATAAGGCTGCTGCACTATCCGCCACAAAAATCGACGGATGCCAGGCAGCTTGGCGCTGGAGCTCACACAGATTTTGGTAGGCAGATACGTACGTATTGTATGGACACACAGCTGAGTTCGCGCAGGCGCTATAACATTGCTATGGCAAGACATGTCGGGAGGTCTCGAGGTTCTGAACGACAGGACCAACGAGTGGGTCCCCGTTCCACCCAATCCAGACGCTTACGTGGTCAATGTAGGCGACATGCTATCAATATGGACGAAGAACGCGTACAAGAGCGCGGTGCATCGGGTGATCAACAAGAGCAACAAGGATAGATACTCGGTCCCGTTCTTCGTGGATGGCAACACTGACGTCAAACTGCTCCCTTTCGATGGTAGTGAGCCCTGGACTGGCAAGGTCATCACGGCGGAGGAGCACATGCTTGAGAGATTGGGCACTACCTATGGGAGAGCAAAGCAAACCGCCGAGGCGTCCTAGATGTTAGCATAGGCTTGATCAAGTGTTAATTGTCCAATTGCGTGCCGTTGTTTAGTAGTCCATAAGTATCACAAGCATGAGGCGTTTCACAAAGGTGCTGATGAAGGCGCTGATATGAAGTTGGAATGCAATTCGTAGCTCAGGCCAATGCTTCTCATATTGCTCATTTCACTCGTGTCAGCTTTCAGGTATTAGTCAATGATAAGGTGACACTCTTCATGCACGTGAGGCATCAGTAAAGTATTAAGAGGTGAAAGCCGGAGAGAACGATTGCGGAATCTCAGTGACCCTTCGTAATCTATGACAATAAAAGCCAGTCGCACAATTTCACAGTCTTGTCCGTGGTTGATGCTTGTAGGACCATGACATAACGATACGAAGATACACTAGCGGCAGTTGTGTTGCTCGATTCTGAAGGCGGTGTAACCTCGCAGACTCTCGCGTTGATCACGACCCCGAATAGGTTTTGCGCGAACCTCTATATATAGGTACGGCGAATTCGTTCGTGCCAGATGGAAATGCTATATGATTGATGCCCTACTGGGGGGCCAAAAATATCAGACCCAAGGCCTCTTTAGCGTGCTAGAAATAGGTCAAGCCCTGCATGTGTAGTGCCGCTGTGCACTAGAAGTACTGTGTTAGAAGCCGCTAATGACGTAGTGGTTTGCTATGGCACCTTTTGCACTCGAGACTTTGTTCGAACTGGTCTAAGGTTGGCTAGAGTGAGCCAAAAAAGATCAAGGGGCAAGGTGAGGTTCCTCGCGGAACTGCAAATCCTCCTTCATCCATCAGTCAATCAATTCTTAGAGCAATGGGGGAATTCACGCGTAGAACGCACGTATACGCATAGTATCCCATTGATTACAGCATAGCACAGCACAGCACAGCACGGAGTCCCTGCCGTACGGAGCGTTTCCACCGATTCAATTGATCCGGCCCAACGCGAGCCAATTGGGAGTGGCCGTACCATCCCCGCGAACCTCGAGCTGCAATAGCTCGCGTCATCCTGATCCAAGCTCCCATTCTGATCTTTTCATTACTGACATAACTCGCTGTATCTTCCTATACAGCGTTTCTTGCACCTATTTTCCCCGAGGCGACGAGGGGCAGTCGCGGCTTTGGAGGGTGTCAATCGAAGGCTTTTCTCATCTCTCACGGCAAGAAAATCCTGCTGGCCTCACTTTTGAAGGCAAGGCATACTTCAAGGGCAAGTGGATATCCAAGGAACAGGACTTAGTCTAGCATTCATCTCATCTCTGGGGACCCGCGCAAGCGAGAAGTACGCATCCGTACGGATTACAGTGGACGGACGACGGAATTTCGGCTCCCAATTGCTTGTGACCCCAACTAGTACGACACAACAACAAACTTTCGCCGCCAACTTTACCTTGGGCACTGTTGTCATTACTCCCTTCGCCCCCGTCGTATTGCTCTCGAGCATTCTTTTTCGCCCGACAACCGCGCGTCGTGCGTCGTCTCAGCGACAATGCCACAGACGCGACAAACGAACCATGTTCTGCGCACCTTGCGACCGGCCGTTCTGGCATTAGGACGAGTCCTCGCCCTTGGATACTCGGCCGTAACCGCCGCCCCGACTTCGATCCGGACTCGAGACCTACACGATGACGAGCCTGAAGCCGAAGGCAGCGCCCTCTGGGTGCTCTACATTGTATCCATGGTATTGGTCTTGCTGGGTGGTGCCTTCGCCGGGCTTACAATCGCGTTGATGGGACAGGACAGCATTTACCTCCAAGTTATTGCGCAGGATCGCGAGGAGCCACAGCGTAAGAACGCTAAGCGTGTTTACGACCTGCTCCAGAAAGGAAAGCATTGGGTTCTGGTAACACTACTCTTGTCCAACGTCATCGTCAATGAAACCCTGCCCGTCGTGCTGGACCGGTGCTTTGGCGGTGGTGTGGCTGCTGTCGTTGGTAGCACAGTCTTGATTGGTATGTCCTCGTCCCTGCAGGTCGCTGGACTTACGGCTTCCAAGTCGTGTCGATAGTGTGCTTGCTCATTGAAACTGTGCTAACACTATCCCGAGCTAGTCATCTTCGGCGAAGTCCTACCTCAATCTGTCTGTGTCCGATATGGTCTCCAAATCGGTGGTTACATGTCGAAGCCTGTTCTGTGTCTAATGTGGGCTAGTAAGCAATGCTTTTCTTTTCTTTCTTTTCTACAGATGGATTTGTTTTCCGCACTTCCCAGCCTGAAAGTTCCGCACACGAGTCTTGGATTTGTGGCCCTCCAAATTTCACGGGTCCCGAAGAGCAGGTTGCTAATACTACATTTACAGTGTTTCCTGTAGCATGGCCCACGGCAAAACTCCTTGATTGGCTGCTGGGTGAAGATCACGGTACAGTCTATAAGAAGAGCGGGCTCAAGACGTTGGTCACACTTCATCAGTCATTGGGTGAAGTCAACGAAAGACTTAATGAAGATGAAGTCACCATAATTAGTGCCGTCCTGGACCTCAAGAGGAAACCTGTCGAGGAAGTTATGACTCCCATGGAAGACGTGTTGATTCTCTCCGAGGAAACTATTCTGGACGAGGAGATAACAGCGCTCGTTTCTGAGGCGGGCTTTTCTCGAATCCCTATCCATAAGGCGGGAAACAGAAGGGATTTCGTAGGCATGCTGCTTGTCAAAATGCTCATCACATACGACCCAGAAGACGCGAAACGGGTCAGAGACTTCGCCTTGGCCGCCTTACCTGAAACCCGCCCCGAAACCAGTTGCTTGGATATCCTCAACTTCTTCCAAGAGGGTAAGTCTCATATGGTTTTGATTTCTGAAAATCCCGGCGAGGACTATGGAGCCCTGGGCGTCGTGACTCTCGAGGACGTTATTGAAGAGCTTATTGGAGAGTGAGTGTCGCCTTTCCTAGAGTGCTTTCGATAATCTGCTAACTTGAAAAGGGAAATCATTGACGAGTCGGATGTGTATGTGGATGTACACAAGGCAATCCGCCGCACCCATCCTGCACCTAAGGCTCGTGTTCAGCGTAAAGACGTTATGGTCAAGGATGCTGCTATCAAAGATGGCAAACTTGTTGACCTAGACGAGGACGATGATGAAGAAAGCCAGCGCTTACGACTGAGCCGTACTGCTTCCGCGACCGGCAGAAATCAATCGCCTTCGATCCTCTCCAGTAGCCCAAGGACCACGTTATTGATGCGTAGGAGCTCTACTGGCCAAGACGGAAAACTGGTCCGTACCACCGTTCCTGTGAAGGCCAACTTCGAGCAAATGAGAGGTCACCTCAAGCACCTCGGTCCGTCGAATCCAGCATCCAATCCCAAGAGTACCAAAGTTTCTACCGTCAAAATCAAGCCCGGTGGTGGAACTCAAACACGATCCGGATCAGTAGCCACAGAAGTGCATGATGCTGACGGCGCCAATGAGCGTACAAGCCTGCTACGGCCGCCTCCCAATGGAAATGAGGGAAGTAATGGCCACGTTCCAAGTTACACTTCGCCTTTACAAAACGCAACGCGTGCAGAACCGGAGACGCCGAAGCTGCTGATTACTCCGATCTCAGATGGGAAGGGCGAGGAGACCTCTGCTCAGATCAAACCTGCACTCAGCAGTGGATCATTGGACGGACCGTCCAAGAGTACTGCCTCTTCTTTGGCCAACACTGGTGTCTCAGGCGCCGAGCGACAACGGGTGAAGCGAGGATATGTGCGTAGTGGCAGCATTACTGAGATTGAAGTCAATACGGGCGGCGTCCGCAAATTTGTTCTTGAGGCTACGAGTTCCAGCGATGATGAAAACGGCGACAGTAACGAAAGTAGCCCTATTTCTTCGTCACGGCCACTAGAGGACGTGCAAGAAGACGATAGATCAGATGACACGGTCGGTCCGGAAAACACAGAACAAAATAATGGGCCGTCGAGTCAGGGTCAATCTAAAAAGAAGAACCGTCGCAAGAAGAGAAAAGGTGGCAAATAATGTGTCGCTTTGCGATAACGCGTAAGCAGTGTATTATAAGGGTGTGTATGACGGTGGCCATGTTCCAAGTATATCATCTAGGCAGAGTGTTTAGTGGAAGAGGGAGACAATAGTATACGCAGCATTCTCACAAACTAGTGTTGGAGTTAACATAAAAGTCAATAATTCCTGCATTTGCCCCCCCCCCCCCCCCCCCCCCCCGGAACGACCACCCTTGGCGCCAAACAAGCTGACATGTTGACGATTACTTTGCCATTAGGTGTGGCCGTCATGTAGGGGGATTGATAGAGTTCTCTACAAAGACGAATGTTGGTCAGCGTAATGAGATGAATTCAATCGGCTAAACTAGTATACATAGCAAATCGCCAATATATATAGACGGTGTCACATTAAGTCCTCGGGGTCAAAACATAGAATAGGGCTCATGAAGCATCCTCACCACAGCAAAAGTCAACAGGGGAGAATCACTTAGCCGGCTTGTACGGGTTGCTAGATCGAATCAGACAATTGTTCCGCCCGAGTACCGCAAAACCCTGCCGAAAGCGTCTATCACTGGTGAACATTCTTCCCCCAGTAAATGGAGGGGGAGGGGTTAGATTACTCCACTTGATTGCTGTTCGTGGGTCTTCAGTGGCTGAGAGTGACTAAAAATTGGGGTTTAGAAAGATGTGGGGGATGACGAAACCATGTCAAATATATCTAGCTCTTCGAAAACAATACCTAATTGGAGAATTAAAGGACCCCGACCAGCTGCATCCCATGGTAGTTGCAGAACGGGTTCCAGTAGAGCGAATCGCGGCACGACCAGTTGAAAGGTATTCGAGCTTTGGGGTCAACTTTGCGCCGCATGTGTTTCGCAGAAGGTATCGTGATCGATCATTTGCAATTGACATCAAACTTGTCTCCCCAGGAGGAGATTGGACTGGATCTAATCTACACTGAATGCTGAAAATACTCTCCCCCTTGAAGCAATTGACATTTCCGGCTCAACAGTATCAAAGAATTGCCAAGATGCCTGTTCACTACTTGATGTGTGGAACATGGACTCCTCCCGGGGCTATATTCACTGTCGCATTCGATGATGAGAAGTTGACATGTGAACTGGTAAAACGCATAGAGATTCCCCAGGATGAGCCTATCTCATGGATGACGTTCAGTGTAAGTCCCAGAGACATAAATTTTCCTCAATTGCCCACTTAAGCTAAATGTCTCGCTCCAGCATGACAAGAAGAACATCTATGGCGCTGCCATGAAGAAATGGTCCAGCTTCGCGGTCAAGAGCCCAACAGAGATTGTTCACGAAGCTTCACATCCCATGCTCCACGACCGTATGTCTCCCATTTCCCGATCTAGCCGCTTATACTCTACCACCGTCTTTGGTAAATCTTTCGGGGGACTGACCTCGAATCTCTATGAACAGCCAAAGCGTCATCGGCCGACACCAATACTCGCGCTATCTTCCTGCTCGCCGCGCAGCAGGAACCCTACGCCGTGTACTGCAACCCCTTCTACAACCATGCGGGTCACGGCTCCGTCTTCTCAGTATCCTCGACAGGCAAGCTCGAGGATAACGTTCAGAACTTCGAATACCAGCCCAACACGGGCATCCACGGCATGGTCTTTGACCCTAGCGAGACATACCTCTACTCGGCAGACCTGAAGGCCAACAAGCTCTGGGTACACAAGAAGGAGTCCTCCTCGGGGCAGGTCGAGCTAGTGGGCTCGGTCGACGCGCCCGACCCGCGCGACCACCCGCGCTGGGTCGCCATGCACCCGTCCGGCAACTACCTATACGCGCTGATGGAGGCCGGCAACCGGCTGTGCGAGTACGTCATCGACCCGGCAACGCACATGCCCGTCTACACCCACCACTCGTTCCCCCTGATCCCGCCCGGGATCCCAGGCCAGTGGAAGACCGAGGCCGGGCCCGGCATGTACCGATCGGACGTGTGCTCCCTGACAAAGTCCGGGAAGTACCTGTTCGCGACGGCGCGGGCCAACAGCTTTGACCTGCAGGGCTACATCGCCGCGTTCCGCCTGCGCGACTGCGGATCGATTGAGAAGCAGCTCTTCTTGAACCCGACGCCGACGAGCGGTGGTCATAGCAATGCCGTCTCGCCGTGCGATTGGAGCGACGAGTGGGTCGCGATCACTGACGACCAGGAAGGCTGGCTGGAGATTTACAGGTGGAAAGACGAGTTCTTAGGTCGCGTGGCACGGGTTAGAATACCGGAGCCCGGGTTTGGCATGAATGCCATCTGGTACAATTAGATTTGTTTAAAATATCGAACGATTTGAGTATATCATCTTAAATCTTCGTCTTCGTCCTTTCATACCCAGTGTATTATTTCACGCAGTTCAATTTCTCGTATTATTTTCAGGTTTCGAGCATGAGCTGCATGACGGGATGTCCTCCTCCGTCGTTCGGAGTAGCGCCCATAAAATCTTGAACGTTCCCATTGATCAGTAATCTGCACAAGCATACCTCATTGATGCCAAGACTTTCCACTGATTTAACGAAATGACAGTGTATCTTTCATGGAAGAGGCCCGGTTAGTGTACTAAGCGAAACCCAAGGGGAATCTGCACATTTTACAATCTTTAGCGGCTTATTGGTGATAGTGGCAGATAATATCATAGAAAAAGTACTTGACTGTTTATAGCAAACACGGATTACAAGTACAAAAGCGAATCGCTAGCAAGCTCAATACGCAAAAAGGTCAGCAAGGTACTTCTTTCGAAGCGTCGTCTGAGCAGATGCTGGCAAAGGTACTTCACGAGCTCTAATCGCTGGCATAATCGTCTTTCAGATAGCATATGCGCACCGACCGCCATGGCTGCCGCATCGAATAAGAATCATCCATCTGATGCGCGTCCGGTCGTCACACACCTGATCGGCAAAATCACCTGCACGCTCGTACGATACGCAGTCACATCAACTGACCAAAACAAGGAATCCCAATCGGAGAATAAGGAACCTGAACTCAAATCATGACGAGAGGTGGGGACGGTGACAAGAGAAAAAAGGAAATTCTCCGAGACGGGATAGGTTTCCTCAGGGGTCGCGGGCGAAACAGGCGCCAAGCCGTTTCAAAATCTTTCCTGCTTGGCTTGTCCCGGGACGATCACACCGGACCGTCCCCGGGGGGGACGCGTAATAAGACGTTGATCTTCCTGCAAGGCTGAGAAGGATCAAAGGAATACGTGGTAACGCCGCGGCAATACGGAACGAGGAGAATCGCTTTTTTGGCTCGTCTGCCAGTCGTGTGAAATGGAGGGAGAGTATTTTAGATCGATTGTATTATATATTAGTCTGTGACCATATCGATTGCGGGTAGAAGGGTTGCACAGACGTTATTTGCTTTCTTTCTATAAATCTCCAGTGTGCATAGTTTGATTTTCTGGGGAGAAGTTCTGGCAGAGGCCATCGCGCTGGGTCATGAGTGTTCCTGAAGCTTGTTTCGACCTCGACTGACTAACCCATCTAGACTAAGGTTAGTAGCGTAGACTAGGTCTAGTCAATAGTATATGACATTTTCCCTGCTCGACTCGAGTTACCTCCACAGCCGGCGCACAAATAGTCAAAACTCTCGCTGTCTTGAACAGGTCCGGACATGATTCTGCGCCATGATTTGATGCCATTTGTAGAAGCTTACGTCTTAGGGCATGGCGATGACGATGGATATAAGCTCTTAGCGTCGTTTCACGTAGTAACTGAAATGCCGTGAAGGACGAAATGGATCGGCAAACTGGCCAACTTAAGTAAGCATCTATGATATGCATGTGATAAAGATTGACGGTAGTTAAATTAGTTTTTATGCATATGTGTACTTATGTTACCAACACTATGATCTTGTGGCACTCCAGGTGCTCCATGTTGATGCATAATTGAAGAGGGCTTTACATGGTTTGTAACGTACGAAAAGAGCTTCCGTAACTTGGCAATATGTCGCAAGTGCAGCCTCAAGCTTCGGATTGTCATTCCAGGCCAACTTTGCATTTCAACTCTAGTTTATACAATATGTGTATTGGCCATTTAGAACTTCGGTAGAGCCGTGGAAATTGCATTAAGAGATAATTATTCTGTAAAGACAGTGATAATCGGAGATAATCGCCTTATCGTTATCCGTGTGGACGTTCAATGATAGGCGGTGATGGTAAAGACAGGAATCTGTGCCTAGTTGCGTTCCGATGTTGTGGGGTTGTCTGTGTAAGCCGATGCGGAATGGTGTAGACTAGTAGAAGGTTGGGAAGGTTGAGTTGTTCGTGAGCGGTTTAATTGCCAGTCTATAGTAATCAATCATCATGAGTCCAGTGGTAAAAAGCTCGTGTGATTGTTACAACGTCCCGATTGGAATCTTGTTGTTTGTCGCTGGATTCCGCCCAGGGGTAAATCGAGTCAGACCTTTCAATTTGTTAGGCGAATGCGCCAACAATAGACATACCAGCGGCTAGTAACTATTAGCAAATATCAAAAAAGAATTCTCGAGTGATATCACGAACCTCCAACCAGGACCCAGCTGAAAGCAGTGATCTTGTCTTTCTTAGTTAGTGTGTGCTGTGCTTCTTCCGAAAGGAAATCCTCCGCAAGCAAATCAACCGTAGCGGCGTAAATCAAAAGACCGGAAGAGCTATCGAGGTTGTGAGTAATACGATTTTGGAAAAAATATTCAAGAGATACTTACATGGCATTAAAAACACCAACAATTATCAAACCGAATGCACTGTTCGGATCGTAGCTATTGCGAGCAAGAAGACCGATAGCTTGTCCAATGGGTGCCGTTGTACCAAAGGCAACAACAAGTAACCATGGCTTGATACTGCCTTTGGGATAAGGAACAGCAGCGATACGTGAACCGAGACCGAGACCTTCGAACATTTGATGGAAGAGAATGGCGACAAGGAGGATGACGAAACCCTCAACAGTAATTGAGACTGTCATACCAACGAAGACAGAGTGGAACAAGATACCACCTTCCAGAAGTGTGATATTCATGGACATTTTCTTGTATACCAAAGGGTCAACGCTCTGGCCTTCGACATCAAACATTGGCTCCGCAATCACGATGGACTCTTGCTTAGGAGCTGGAAGCCCAGACTGCCTTATCAAGGACAACATCTCCATACGTTGGCGAACATACTGCTCGTAAAATACGACGAACCATGGTGGCATCGTAGAAGGCGCGGCATCCATCTGGTCCATGTCATCAAAAGGATTTGCTTTTGGGTTATCGGATACTTCAGCTTCTCTCGCTCGAGCTAGCTTCTTTTCAAAAGCGATAGTATCGTACGACTCTACACTTGCTGGGCGAGCGGGCCGCGGGGGTGCGCCGGCCTGTTGTTGCTTGATACCTGCCATTCTAGCCATCTGCTCTGGAGTCATGCTGACCTCGAAGCCTTTTGCACCGCCATGAGAATGACCGCCCATTTTGCTGTTAAGCCATAGTTCAATAACGAACAAAGAGAACAGAGACGCCATCATGATGGCCCCGGGTATAGGAGGATAGTCCTTGGTGAAGAGGTCCGGAAGGCATGGATCAGAAAGACTGCCAAAAGCAGTAGGAAGCAGCTAGATACAGCAGTTCGTGAGTAAATACTTAGTAATACATCATGATGACAACTTACATGAACGAAGGCGGTCGCAATCAGCACGCCAGTACCAAAGTGTTTGCAAGCAAAGAAAACCTTCTCAGGTACCTTGAGCCACTTCAGCTTCTTCGCGGCAACAGGAAAACCAGCCCCGAAAATTGAGGCTCCCAATACCAGAACTAGTAAGTAATTAGCAGTCGTTTGAAACCCCCAAAAAAGGAGTATCAGTCACTAACATAAGCCGACAGCATGTAGGCCAACATCGTATTCACCCGCTTCTTTTCCGCCACCGCACAGCGGTTTTACCATTTCCATGTCTTCGGCCATTTGGACGGATAATACTGTAATGTGTATTATAAATAGAAAGAAATAAGAAAAAAGAAAAAACCGAGCAGCCCAGCTCCCCAAGGTATTCGAATCAGATTAGGGAAACGCTGTCAATGTAGATGGCTCGACACTAATACGCAGTAACGATAGATTGGATTGGTCGTCCTGCGACTTTCCCCGGAATTAAACAATAGATGAAAAACCAGCTTTTCGCCCAGCTGACAAGAGGAACCGAAGAATGAGAGTGGAAAGATGAGATCCTCCGCGATCGAGGCAGTGCAACCCAATGTCTGTGTACGAAGTGGAAAGACACCAAGACCGGGGAAATTTCTTGGAAGGGCTCGAAGCTTTAATACGAGCATTGAACGCAATGACTTTCCCAGGAACCATCAACGGTTAACCTTGACCCATAGGCTGGAGATTTACTTGCCAAAAATTGCCTATCGAAGAGCAAGAGCTATGTGCCAAGAACATTGCCTGTTTGAGGCACGGTAAGAAACACTCTCTTTCATAAACTACCCATGGAGACTTGCTTTGTTTTGCCCAAGTATTCCACATCATGCCCCGTCTGACTTTCGGACGGTTTCGAGTACTCTATGCATATCTAAGAGCAACACATTACGTCGATCAGTGCGGTTCCGGAATTAGTATGCGTAAATCATCAGGTGATCGTTTCGAGGTTTGTAGCAGCGCGGTACGTGTCTCGTTTGAGCATTATAAAGCTGGCCGACTTGACATTATTCAAAGTTCAAACCTTGAAAAATAATAAAATAAGCAAGATGTGCGGATGGTGCTTGAGCTTCCGAGGCGACCGTCATATAGTGCCGACTGCAAACGTGAAGATGGTGGTTTTAATTGACGAGTGCACTTGACTGACCTCCTTGGAACGCAGCAGGTTGACAGAACGGATTAGAGTATTCATGAGTTTGTGAATGTCTTGTAAATTATGATCACGTCAAATTGACCGTATTCTGGAAAGTTGTAAAGGTCTCATGGCAATAATTAGTCACTTGGATTGTCAAAGAATCATTGCAACATGACTCACACAAGGGCGCACTGGCAAAATTGCATGCATAATTAATTACCTTGTAGCCAGCTGAGTGTGTGCTAATGGCCAATCTCAACTCAGCATCGCTCAAAGAAAGTTCTAGACCACCAAGGGCGTCTGTGGGATAATAGTGAGAACCTCGCTCAAACTCCAGCCTCACCATTTTCCCTCGAAAAACTCGGGACGGGGGACAGTGACCACAATTTGCCCACAGAACGCAAAAGCAGATTGGCGCTAATGCCAGACTGTGACGATGATGCTGTGGATGTAATGAAACAAGGTCGCCAAAACGAGCCCGTGGGTTGAAGTGAAGTGGTCAAGCACACGCCATTTCCCCAGGTACACTGATATTGTTTCTGTGGTTCAGAAGGCTGAACCGAAAATTCAATGGTGATACTGCTGAGTAACGTGTCCGTAGGCGAGCAGATTCTGAAACCAGCACCGATTTGGCGCCGCTCTCAAAGTCTGGAGAATACAAAGCGTGCTGTGGGGTTCTGCACGGCCACCAAGACCCAGAGACCCAGAACAACAGTTCCAATGGTTGACGCTGTCGCGGAACAGCTTGAGCACCACCACTTGCAGGCATACCCATCGCGAGAAAATTGCGGTATCCAATTGGGGACTGTGCATTTGAACAACAAAGCAAGCTTTCAAAGTAGCTCTGTCGGCTTGGCATGTCGGACTCTAGTATTTGCATAAGCCTTGGCACCATCAAATCCGTGTAGTGTCCGAGCACTCTACGGATCTGTACGTTTAGTCTAGACTAACCTTAGAGGCGTCTAACCTTGTTGACAGTCCCCAAAACAATGCAGTGGTGGATCACACCAACCGATCAGAACATACTGGCTATATTAGCCCTTGCCGTATACTCGGTGCTCCGTGGCCATCGCCAAGAAATCTCAGAAGCACCCTAAACACGTCTGCTTTCTTTTTGCGAATGCTGGTGGCAAGAAAGGTGCATGCGTTAAGGGATATTATCCTCTGACACTTTGGAGCATTCGTCGAACGTATCTGAATCTGTCAGGGGTTGAATTCGCTTGCTCTTGCCTTCGACTGAACTGTCGCCTTGGCCATTGGTTACGCTATGCCGGTCCGCAATGGTAATATAATAACGGAATCCTCGTCACAATTCGTCAAACATTGCCCCAAGTCATCCATCAAGTCTCATACAGCACCCTTAGCCAAGGCAGCCCAACTATAGCATGGCGAGTTCCGATGCACCAACCGAAATACGACTTGCAGGTGAGTTATCTTCAAATATGTTCAGTATTGCGCAAGCCATCGTGAACTTGAAATGAATTCCGCGAAGGTACATCGAATCTGACATACGGATTCATTTGTCATCGCATCCCTCACACCAATAGCAGAGAACATGTGAATGACTGACTGTACTCGAAGCAACTATTGTAGACGCTGATATTGGCAATACTACCGTCACACCAAAAACTCCTGTGTTGGCCAGCTCTGGAGACTATACAAAAAGCAGTAATGAGGATGAAATTACCGCTGGCACTCGTGATCCGGAAGATATCACTCAGAGCGTGACAGCGATGTCCGCATCCGAGCATGATTCGTCCGACCCTTTGAACTTTGGTCGTCACCGTCGTGAAAATGTCACCCAGCGTCAAATGAAGCTCGATCATCCAAAGGGAGACAAGAAGAAGCTGAAAAGGTTTTATAACAAGCAGAATGAGCTTATCGACCAGTTCCTCGGCGCAGACGATGAGGAGCGGCTAGCTGTTGAAGAAGATGCCCGAGTCGCTCCAAGGATCAAGCTAGCTGTCAACGCTTCGTTTGTGGTCAACTTCTGTCTCTTCATTATTCAGATGTATGCGGCCATCTCGACGGGATCGCTTTCAGTGAGTTGGCGTGTCCCAAACCTGAAACGACCACTGCTAATCATTATGATAGCTTTTTGCCACGGCTGCCGATGCATTTGTTTGTGCAAAATTCCTACAAAAGATTGAACCGCCACTAATCAAGAACAGATGGATCTCGTCTCATCTTTTGTAATGCTCATCACTTCTCGAATGGCTGCCAGGGCCAGCGTTTACAAGTATCCTGTTGTAAGGAAGTCGAGAACTCATATATCGTGGCTGTTCTAAGCTGTGTCCACAGGGACGAACCAGGATTGAGACAATTGGTATTATCCTCTTCTGTGCATTGATGACTACAGTCGCTATTCAACTGATCGTGAGTTTTCCCAGTACGTCTACTAAGGAATATCTTGAAAAGGCTAACTCAATACTTCAGGTCGAATCGGGCCGAACGCTAGGTGCTGGAGAGAAGAAAGATGCGGAGGAGTTGCACATCATCCCAATCATCTTCGTCGCCGTGGCAATTTTCGCTAAGACCACCTTGATGTTTTACTGCCTTGCTTATCGCAAGTATCCTACTGTCCACGTCTTCTTCGTGAGTGTTTCTCCCCGGAAACAACGAATTACCACTCACCTGTTTGTTAACTTAGATCGACCACCGCAACGATATTGTAGTGAACATATTCGGTTTGGTCATGTCCATCGTGGGATCACGCTTCGTTTGGTACCTCGATCCAATCGGAGCGATCTGCATTGGCTTGCTAATCCTCTTCTCGTGGGTATCAAATGCCTTCGAGCAAGTATGGCTCCTTGTGGGGAAGTCAGCACCAAGGGAGTTCATTTCAAAGCTCGTCTACGTGTCAATGACACACGACAAACAGATCTTAAAGGTAGATACATGTCGAGCATATCATGCCGGGCAAAAGTACTACGTCGAGGTAGACGTCATCATGGATCAAAGCGTGCCACTCAAAATCTCACATGATGTCGGCCAGTCACTTCAGAGGAAGCTCGAGGGCCTGGCGGACGTTGAAAGAGCCTTTGTCCATGTTGATTATGAGGATGATCATGATATTAATGAAGAGCATAAGCCGCTATACGAAAAGGCGAGACCGAAGAGAACGTTGAAGGAAATTCTCCTTGGGGCCAAAGTGAAGGACGGTGCATAGGCATCATGACTTAAGACAGGAAACTAATGACGACGGGTCAAACAAAACCAATTAAAGAAGCTTGCCACAGTGATGCGATAAACCATCCACACCAAAAATGCTTTTTGGATGTGCTCCATTTTTGTTGATCTATTTTTGAGCGATACGTATGTGCTCCTCTCCAGAATCCGATAGCCATATTCTGTTACGTTCAGTACTACGAACCAGCAAAGCTTGCTGCTGATTACCCCCTCAAGCGTTGATCCATAAACTTGCGTTCTCATCTTTTGAGCCATTCTACATTGCAGCATGATGTAGTGCTTGCATCCGTATCTGCAGAGATTTATAAAAGATTCCACGGAGGTCAGTCTTTCATCTTTGAACCCCACGCAGGGAAAGTCTTGGGTGCAGCAACAGTTCTGATTCGGAGCTCTGCATCTTTGACCAGGATCAACAAAAGCAATGTCTCAATGCACCGTCAATTGGACGCTCAGGTATGACTGGTAGTCGGAAGGTCACGATTCTGTGGCTGCGCCAAATGTGGAGTGAACGGTAACACTTTGCGGTTCAAAGCAGCGCACGATTATTAGGTAGTATTCATTTTATGCATGGTTGGTTGGCCCTCAACCATCCCCGCATAGCATGCTCTTCAAGGCTCACCCTATCATTAGGCTTTCAGCTGTCGTCTGTAACACTGCATCAGTACGAAGATCGAATAAGTTGACCAAGCAAATTCGATTCGTGGAGTCTGGCTCTTCGGTTGCGGTAGGACACTCCCCTACACACACCACGCCCATACAGATGCAATGTAGGATGGAGGGGTCAGGAGCCTTGATAAGCATGTGGCTCCGGACTCAGTACTTCTTTCGAGTACCGTTCTATTGATTGGGGTGTGGCGACACCGCATAGGCCAGTGAAGAGTATAAGAGTCGCTGTGTCCTCGGGCTGTATTATAATTGATATCCCTTCTCTTTTCGACTTCTCGTCTTCTTGAGTTCAACTTGATAAAACTCAAACAAAATGACGTACATTGAATTCAAGAATCTTCTACCGTCGAGTATAGCTGGTGTTGCAGAGGTTTGTGCGGTATTGTTCTTCACATGGTACATCGGAACTGCAGCTATTACTTGGTACCGCCTTCGTCACATCCCAGGCCCGTTTCTAGCTTCTTTCTCATATTTATGGATCATTAAAAACAATGTCCTCGGACGAGGTGCACAAGAGCACGAATCATTAAGAAAATATGGCTCCATCGTCCGCACCGGTCCACGGTACATCGTGACCGACGATCCTGAAATTCTACGTCGCATCAACGGCGCCCGGAGCAGCTATCCCCGTGACGCTTGGTATAAAGCGATACGAACAGAGCAGCACGACAATATGGGCACAATTATTGACACTGCACGACACGATAGACTGAAAGCCAAACTCCTACACGGATACAATGGTCGCGATAATGTCAGCATTGAGGCCATGGTAGACTTGCAGGTGACACATCTCGTCGACGTTATTAAGAGACGATATGTGAGCACAAAAGGTGACCCCAAGTCGTTTGACCTCAGTCAAGTCATCCGTTACTTCACGCTTGATGTAATTACACGGTTATCGTACGGCGAACCTTTTGGCTTCCTGGATGCGGAGGGGGATTTGTACAATTACACGAATTCTGTGGATCGTTTAATTATGGCTTTGAGCTTGGCAACAGACCTACCGATGTTAAGGTGGATAATATTTTCGCCATTATTGATAGGTTTCCTGCCGAAATCTACAGACGATAATGGGCTGGGTAAGGTTTTAGGGTGAGTTAAATTTTCAAAACTGTTGACCCACGATGCGGCTGACAGCTCTTGTCGGTGTAGGACCGCTAAGAATATTGTGAAAGAGAGGTTCGAAAAAGAAAACTCCGAGAGCCCTGATATGATTGTAAGCCCGTTCATCAATCAAAATACACAATGCTCAAGCTTACATGTCTAGGGAGCTTTTATGCGTCACGGTATCACTCAGCCGGAAGCCGCCGCTGAAGGTTTCCTGACTATACTTGCTGGCTCCGACACAACTGCCGTGGCCATTCGGAGCACTCTGTTGTATCTCATGTCCACACCAACTGTCTACCATCGTCTGAAGAATGAGATCCGGGAAGCCATCCATAGCCAGCCCATCTCTACCCCTATCACGGTAGAGCAAGCCAGAAAGCTGCCATATTTACAAGTAAGCCCAATGAATAGCCACTCCAGACCATTTCTGATCTTTCTGGGAAGGCAGTCATACACGAGGGCTTCCGCATGCGGCCACCTGCTGTTTATGGCCACTATAAGGTCGTACCTCCAGAAGGAGATACCTTGAATGGGCTCCACATTCCAGGCGGCACTGCCATCGGCCACAACAGTATAGCTATGATGCGAAGCCAAAAGATCTTCGGTAGCGATGCTGATTCGTTCCGACCCGAGCGACTTCTAGAGTGCAGCGAAGAAAAGAAGTACGAAATGGAGCGAACCATTGACTTGGTATTCGGGTTTGGTCGTTGGATGTGTGCGGGCAAGATGGTGGCGCAGGTCGAGTTGAACAAGATTTACTTCGAAGTAAGCACATGTTTCAGCACATTTTATTGGGATATGCTAACGATGAGGATCATAGTTGATGCGCAATTTCGACTTCCAGCTAATTTATCCTGCCAAGGCAGTTGATGAAATGTCATATTTTGTTTATGTCCAAAAAAACATGTTTGTAAAAATCACAGCATCTGTTTAATACGGTGGAAAAGAGCAAGTTATCTCATAGTATGATAGTCAGTGCCAATGATAATCTGATTTTAATTAGTTGTCTTACATCGTTAGTGTACTCGTCTGGCGGCCTAGGTCTAACCTGGTATCAGAATTCCTGGATGCTGTGCCAGCCTGGAGAAATACAACTAGAACAACAGAGCATCTGTAAACATTAAGTACATGTAGTAAAGTAGTGTTATATGTACGATGCCTGTAGTGGTAGCCAGGGTCTCAAATGGCCTTGCCAGGTCCGCCGAAGTCAGGACGACAAGTAAAATAGTGACGACCAGGGTAATGACTCCCAGTTTGCTGGTTAAATCCTGGATTGTTGTGAGCATTCAAAGCGGGCTTACCAGCGTGACAAAAGCAGATATAGAAACAAAAAATGATATGAATGCGTCCACTAGCTCATCGCTCCGTATATTATTAAAGAATCGCCTTCATCAACACGGTGCCCTGGCCTGAGAGGTAACCAAATCAACCAACTTAGCAAAAGGATAAAAACCCAATGCTTGAAGAGGGAACGCAGAGCTGACTTTGGTGAGCTCGTCGCAAATATAAAGTCGGCTTTGTCAAGATATTTGAGTTCTCCCAACTCGGTTGGCCAGTTTGTGTTTGCAGCCACATTATGATAATGTTGATAACCCTTGGAGGTGGCCGTTGTTATGCCTCAGGATTTATAAATTTATTCAGGACCTCATCTGGGTCGATCAATGAGACTGTATGATAATTTTGTTAAGAGAGATATGGTGTATACCGTCGTTGCTCGGTTCTTCGGAAATGTACTTTATGAAAATATTTCACTACGGTATTTTGTCATTACGAACTGTGACATTATCAACATCTAGGAAACTTTTGCTCAGACCTTTATCGAGCAAGTCCAGCTCTTCTCCAAGTTGAGCTGTGCTATCTTGCAGTGTCAATAGGATTCAACAGTGTCGATTGTCGTATCTTCTCGATGAAGGAAACTCATTGGATGAAGCTGGCATATTGCAAGAAATCTGTAGCCAATGTTTCCTTTGTCGTGTCAGCAATCTCCACATCGCATGAATATTCACCATATTTGGTTTAAAGTAATGCAAACCAAATATTTTTGTTCGATTATCTCTTGGTGATCTGATTGCGTGCGAGGACTTATACATAGCAATTATACCGTAAAAACCATTCAAACAGCTTGGTGTGGTGAAAGGTTGTCGAAGATGAATCGTCCTTAGCTCGTGCACTGGTGAGGCTGAAGCCGCCTTAACCTAGAAACCACGGCCTTGTTCGGGGGTTAGCTAGGCCTACCAAGCAAAAGAGAGGGATCTCCAATAAGATCAATATTGCACCATGGCGTGGTGGATTTTATATATTACGTTCACTACTGAGTGACTTGATGCATAGAACAGAGTCTCACAAGGCATGGCGAGAAGTAGTCATATTCACTTGATCTTAGTAAAACGATGTTTGTGCTGCGTAAAATGCGACGGCAGAACTTCATGTCATGAAGCAATATTGACGTGGATAAGAGCAAGGACTTTGATGGAGGAGGTGAATGTCGTGCTTAATACGGATTGGTAATTTTCATGGAACCAGCCGCTAATAGATTAGAAGCTGCTTAAGTTAGTGATTAAGTATCGCGGGGCACTTCTGCTATAGTGCTCACATTTAAACCCGAGCGCATAGGAACCTTGCGAATCCAATTATTTTTTTTTGAATCTTTTTTTGTCTCTCTTTCTCTCATTTCCCTAATACATATTGTATTCTGGTGAGCTTTGCGTTATCCGCGACATTCGTGCCTTCTCATCGAGCAAGTCAACCACAATGGCTTCCCTCCCCCAAAAATATGACCGTGAGTTCCGATTTCCTGCATACCCCTCCGAAGATTTTGGCAGTTGGAACTACCCCGCTGTCGCGATATTCTACGCCCGTCGCGCCTGTAAAGCATTCGGAATAACGTCGAATTTTTCTCTAACAAAGCGTCGTCCTCAGGCCCGGTCCACATCGCCGTCATTGGCGGCACGGGTCTCTACAAGATCGATGGCTTCACCCCCGTCGCCGAGGTGAACCCATCGACCCCTTGGGGCTATCCATCTGCCCCGATCCAAATCCTCGAGCACAACGGTGTCCCGGTCGCATTCCTCGCTCGCCACGGCATTCACCACCAGCATGCGCCGCACGAGGTGCCCGCACGCGCCAACATCGCAGCTCTGCGACATATCGGCGTGCGCTGTGTGATTGCCTTCAGCGCTGTTGGGTCGCTGCAGGAAGAGATCAAGCCTATGGACTTTGTGGTGCCTGATCAGATCATCGACCGTACCAAGGGCATCCGCCCGTTCACCTTCTTCGAGGGTGGTCTTGTGGGCCACATACCCTTCGGCGACCCTTTCGACAGCAAGATCGTTGGTGTGGTCAAGGAGTGCGCTGCCGCCATGCAGGGCGACGGCGTGAAGCTGCACGACAAGGGAACTATCATCTGCATGGGTAAGTTCTGCTACTTTGTCCCCCCCCCCCCCCCCCCCCCCCCCCCTTCGCGGCAAGCAAGTCGCAGGGCATGGCTAACTAGAATACAGAGGGACCCCAGTTTTCCACCCGCGCCGAGTCGAACCTGTACCGCGCCTGGGGAGGATCCGTCATCAACATGTCTGCTCTGCCCGAAGCCAAGCTCGCCCGTGAAGCCGAGATGGCGTACCAAATGATCTGCATGGCCACAGACTACGACTGCTGGCACAGCACCGACGATGTCGATGTCTCCATGGTTTTCCAATACATGAACGCAAACAGTCAGAACGCCAAGCGGCTGGTAGGCGCTGTTTTGGACGAGTTAACCAAAGAGGAGAACAGCGATTTGGTTACTGCCAAGCACTGGGAAGGACAGAGCAAGGGCGCTGTGTCTTTCTGCACAAAGCCCGAGGGGCGAAGCGAGAAGGCGCTGGAAGCCGCCCGGTATCTTTTCCCTGGCTTCTTGGAGGATTAGAAGCTCTCATCGGGCAATCCAACTCAAACCCAAGCCCTGACGTGTTCGAATGATATTTATTCGCCAGCGACAGATCAAATATAAGAGCTAGAATATACAGCTATAAACATGATCTATATGACTGCTGCTCTCCGCTCGATGGAGATCTCCATGTTCTCAAAATATGAGATTCCGCCCTTGTACACATATGTTCCTGGCTTGACCATGTTTGGCCTAAAAGTACGGAAAAACTGCAAAGGTCCCTTGTACAGCTCCATACTCGCAATGTCCTTGCCCAGACAAGCCCGCGCACCATAGCCAAACGCCATCGAGTACTTGTTATAGAGCTTGGCCCGCTCTACGTCCAGCCAGCGCTCAGGCTTGTACTCGTCCGCGTCAGCACCATAGATGTTGGTGTCCCGGTGCACGATCCACGGGTTGCATGTAAGTTCAGTACCCTCAGGCACGAACTTGCCGAAGAGCTCCAGGCCGCCCTTGGGTGCCAGGCGCGGGAATATGTTGGGGGCGGAGGGGTTCAGTCGCATCGCTTCGCGGACACATGCGATGTAGTAAGGGCAATGTTCCAGGACTTCGTCGTATTGCGGCATAGGGGAGAGCTTCTTCGCTCGCGTCGCGCTGTCGATCTCGGCCATCATCCTCTCATAAACGTCGGGCCGAGACATGACTTGTTTCATGAACGCTTGAAATGCTGTACCGGTCGTGTCTGCTCCTGCCAGGAGTACCAGCAGAATCTCAGCTTTGATGTATTCGAGGTCTAACGGCTCCCCATTGTCGTCTCGGGCTTCGATGAACCTGTCTTTGATGAGCTTCTGCCAAATCTAAACTGGATCCGACGCTGGTTAACTTACACTTGAAGCAGATCGATTCGGCCATCATTCTTACCGGCTTCGATGTCCTCGTAACGCTGCTTAATGAGCCTATCACGAAAGCGCATCAACGTGCCGATACCAGATTCCTGCTCAGGAGAAGCGACCAGATGTTTACCCAGAAAAGTGCCCTTGACCCAGTTGGTGAAAGGATACAATCGAGCCATAAGACCGAAAGGCACTAGTCCATCGTGGAAGCCCTGTATAAGACCCTCGACGTCCTTCGCTTGCTCGATGAATCCAAACGGCGCACCGAATCCGACCTCGGAAATGATATCATACGCCATGTACACAGCCCATGGCGAGAAGTCGAACGGCTTCCCGTCCTTTGCAAATAGAGTTTCAAGCTTGCCAATCCACTTTTCGATGTTGGCGTCGATGAGCGGCTCCATCTTCTTGATGTTCGAGAAAGCATAAGGGCTCGCCGCGATCTTTCGGAAGTGGGCGTGGACCTTGTGGTCCTGCATGTTGAACAACGACTCGGTGTCGCCAAAGCTGCCCGTGATGTAGTGCTTCGATTTGTTCGCATTGCGGCTGTAGATCTCGGGCAGCTTGGTCGCGTCGCTCACGATGAGCATCGTGGGCGTGATGCGAATGATCGGTCCTGTACGGGCAGTTAGCATGGTGCTGTATATGTTCTCTCATCGCGCATATCATCGCATACCATGTTTCTGGTGCAACTCTCGCACAGCCTCAGGCTCGTCAGCTTTCACGTTGTGATATGCGATCCACAGTCTCGTGACGCTCCCCCAGAACGGCCCAGGGAACTGAGCCAACGGACTCAAAAAGCGGTAGTATACTATTTGGTATACGATCTTAAACAAGACATATGCCAACCCAAGTAGGGCAAAGTTGCTTATGCTAAGCAACACCATGATACTTCGGTCCTGTCACAACTCAAGGACCAGTCATGAAAGCTACAGGTCACATTCGTTTCCTTTTTCGTTTTCTTCTCCAAATATTTGGGAGGAAGGGAAACAGAAAAGAAAACCAGCTGCCGAGACCTGTGCTTTCGAACCCACCAGTAACATGCGAAGTATTAGGAGATGGGAACGGGGTTCAGCGATTATCGTACTTTTTTGAACAGGGAAGCCATAAGCTCATGCAAGTGCTTTGCCATTGTATGTAACTTTGTCCCGAATCAGGTATCCTCCTCATTCACGATCTGATGGTCAATGTGGGACTGAACCACGGCAAACCCGCTAGGCACGATCTCTTTGTATTGACATTGTGTGTCCATCTTATGCATTCCCTTGCTTCGAAGCATACTGAGGGGCAAACCCCCCGGTATTTCGTTGGAGTCATTGTAACCTGTCAAGCAGGCATACAGGGCATAATATTTTGCTCGCCTGTCGCATGGAAATTCGCACAATGTCTGGCTGTTGCAGGGACCCCGATCCTTGTCGGTGGATATTGATGGCCCACCGCACCAATTCATTTCGGATGGGCCCCCCCGAGCTAGAAGAACGGCCCGCATGACTCCTTGGTGAGGAGAAACCAGCTTCAGAAGCCTGGCAGTTGTCCACCCCGTTGTGACGTTTTGCGAAAACTTGCCTAACCTAGGGAACTTGGGCAAGGGCTTGGAGGCCTTATATTACTGACGCCCTCGTTCTTGGCCGACTTGTGAGAGTTGACTTGTTGTTGGGCACAGCATAATGGTCAAGACAAATTGCTCCCACCCTGGAGCCAATCTGCCAATTGTCCCATTACAGGCGCAGAGATACACGAACATGTCGATACTCGGACCGTCAAGCTAAGCGAGCGTCTTGGCAGATAATCAGAAGAAGCCCATAACCACTAGACACGCGTTGTGTAAAGAGCGTCTCATTCGACATTTCTTAGTAGCACAGCCATATCGAGAGACGATTTCTTTCTATCCAAGAAGAAGAATAAAAATGGAGAGAAAAATTAACCTATCGAAAACAACATGTGCGCAATAAACACATGGCTTCGCTTCCAATATGATTGCAATTTCTGCGACCAGCATCAAAGTTCCCACAATCCACCCCCACCTGCGATGAGACAAACCCAGGTAGATCGTAGCCCATGGCAGATCTCTTTCTGTAAACAACATAATAGCCATCCCTGGAACGCTGGTGGAGCTGCTGGCCCTGGACATATTCCTCCTCAGCCTAGTTTGCGGCGCTTGCGATTGGAGGCCGCGGGGGCTATAGCGGAAGACGGGCCGGCCTATACTAATGCAGCAGCGTTGCATCGCGCAGGGCTTGGTGGCGTTCGCTCGCTCAATTCTAACGAGATTATTCTTTTTCCGGAGACTGGGTAATGTACTACTATATGTACACAGTAGCAGTTATAAAAGAAACCTTGCATCATCTACATATCGATTACTGAATATGGCATTTTTTTAGCAAACATTTCTTGACATAACCAAACTGCAATGGCTTTTTCTGACGGTGTCGCAAAATTAGCGTATTCGACTGAGCCGCTCAAGACGATATATCATCTTTTGCCCCTCCCCCAACCAATTCGCCATATCCCAGAATGGGATGGCCGGTATCTGTGAAGTGGCTCGAACATCTAAGTCCGTTGCCAGTCATGTCGGTTCACGTGGAAGCGATAACGAAGACGATCAACAGGGGATGAGTTACACCGGCCGAACGTCAACGGTGAGCAGCCGAAGGATTGACAATGCAAATTGCAGCGTGGGGGGTGCCTCTCTTCTTCGGCGTCCTCGGCGCCGGGTATGCCAACTTCGCATGCGAGTAAGCGTTCCGCGAATTTCTCGAAAAATCGGACCGCTCCAAATTTCTGTACCAAGTGTGGTTTGCCAATCCTACCTTGCCTACATATGTATATACAGTACTGCCCCGTAATGTCGTGTGTGACTGACCGTTCCGAAATTTCTCGCAGAAGAAGTTACCCACTTGAAATTCTTTTGCATGAAACCTGTCGGTTAAGCCTGACTACTTCGCAACATGATGTATCACGCGTCAGGCCATGCCCAGAATTCTTGCCCCGTATTCTCGGTGCTCGGCAGGAGGCTTAGACCAGTGTCAGTCCCCCTCGCCGCGTCTAAATGTTGATCACAGACCCCACAGAGGAGCCAGATTCGATATGGAAACTAGGCATAACTTAAGTGGACCGACTCTGTACCGTACAGAGCCCTATTTCGGTTGGCTGGACGTTCCAAACCATATTGTATGTGGCATATTATGAGTTTTGGGGGAGAGGGGGCATTCGCATTGCCTGATCAGTACTGTCTGTCTACGAGGGTGTTTCCTCATGCAGAGGCAATCCCCTGAAGATCTTTCCGCTTAGCATTTATGACAACCAAGAGGCGCTCATGTGATATTTCTCCTTTCCAACAATTTGTTTGACTGGCACGCTTGACGCGCGACCGGCAGTTCAAAGAAAAGCAACCTGTTTCATAAACCCCCGACCTAGGTGCACAACACGCCTCCTCGGGTTCGATGGGATTCTATTAGTCGTCCTAGGTTTGATTTTTGCAGCTCGTAAGAGTACGTAATCCCATTCGATCCCGTACTACGAACAGGCGAGATTGTCAAAGGGCGTAGGGACCTTATGGCCCCTGTCACGCTTGACCAAGTAACTTCTCACAGTAGCCAAGTCACAAAGCGCTCTTTGCGAGCAGCGTTTGCTTCAGGAATTAACGTTACAAGTTGGGCAGTCATGGGTCCCTCGACATAATATCTTCGTTGCTCATAACGACTGCTTTAACGGTACTTCAGGCGAGTGCTACTTTACGATGCGTCAGATCGTCATTTAAGGTTTCTCCTACTTCGCAACAGAACCCCCCCTGTGAACCAATGGCAGGCTCTTCTTCCCAAAACCCCCCCTAAACGTACCCCAGTTCAGGTCGTGTGCTGGGATGGGAAAAAAGGCAACGCTTTCTGGTGAAATAAGACGTCCGTCTCCCACGGAGCGGAGACCAGCCCGGTTTCGAACACTTGAACAATTAGTTGTGTTGTAGTTGTTCGGACCAGACTGATTTTGACGTTCGAACTTGGATGCGGTCGTCGGTGCTGGAGTATACTTTGAATTTTGCAGTTCACATTCCTTTGTCTTTTCTTTTCCGTGCTTTCCTTCCTCGTCCTGGTATACACATAAACCGGCCATGGCGCTCGACACCCAGGGACCGACGGTGATGTCCGTCGCCATCGTCTTCGGGATCATGACGCTCATCGCAATATCTCTGCGCTTGTGGGCCCGAATCTTCCTGGTGAAGCATATTGGCTCCGATGATAGTAAGTCCCACCACCTGCTCTCGGGCCATGTGGAGTATACATTGTATTGACAAGTATCATCGCAGTCCTCATTTGTATCGCGGCGCTATTGTCCTGGAGTTTCATGGCCGTGACCATCGCAGCCGTCCAACACGGGCTCGGCCAGCACATCGAAGCGGCCTTGGCGCAGGAGAACAATAACCTGACGGCTTACGCGCAGGTGGTCTGGCTGTCCTCCATCTTCTACAATGCCACGCTGGGCTTCATCAAGATCTCCGTGCTGGCGCTGTACATGCGGCTTGGCGACCGCACGCTGAGGCGGCTCGCGCTGGTCATGGTCGGGGTGGTCTGCTGCCAGGCGGGCGGCAACGTGCTGGCGGCCATCTTCCAGTGCACGCCCGTTCAGGCCGCCTACGACCAGACCATCACCGACAAGAAGTGCATCAACATCAACGCCTTCTACCTGGCGAACGCGGCGGTCAACATCTTCACAGACCTTTTGACGTACACCCTGCCCATCAAGCTCATCATCAACCTGCAGATACCTCAGAGACAGAAGATAGGCCTGGGTGTCATTCTGTGCTTGGGACTCTTGTAAGTCTATTCGAGTTGCCCTCACTCGTTACCGGGTAAGGAAAACACAAAAAGCTGACTCCGATCTGTGCCTAGTGCCTGTATATCGTCCATCGTCCGCATAACATTCATCCCGCAGATGCTCGTCTCGGAGGACGCGACCTACGTTATCTCGGGCGCCATGTACTGGTCAGTAATCGAGCTGAATATCGGCATCCTCGCAGCCTCGATCCCGTCAATGAAGCCCATCGCATCACGCTATATGCCCCGCCTCCTGGGCTCATCATACAACAAGTCCAATGGCAACAAGGGGTCCTCGTATCTCAAGTCGTCCTCGGCCTCGGGTGCCTTCAAGTCGAGGGATAGGAACGGGACGTTGGAGCTGCATAGCATGGAAAGGGGTGACAATAGATTCGGGCTACAGAGCGGGACCAACAGGACGGAAATCGGCAAGGGTTCAACGGCAGTGCTCGGGAAAAGTGTGTTGGATGATAATTCTAGCGAGGAGGCGTTGTGTTTTCCGCCAACAGGCCAAATCGGGGTTCAGACGCAGATCAAGACTAGATTTGATGAACGTTAAGTGAGTAGTAGCGTGCTCGATTCTAGTAAAGACAGAAAGAAGTGAAGAGCGGATTCCGGCTACTGGTAGTTACAAGCCCAGAAGCAACCCCGCCGGATACAAAAGTCAGGACAGGTTTAGATAAACTTTGTATAAATTCAATGGATATATGTAGACACTGGTTTCGAGTAATAGCATTATAACTTGCCGGACAATTCGTACAATTACATGCTGACTGAATCCTGAATAGTACCGGCCGGTTCGAGTACCAGTCAATAGATGCACAACGCTCACATGAGCATGTATAAAGCTCTGGCACCATTCTCCGCCGCAGCGATATGCCAAGGTCGAACATCTGTCTCTTTATCAGTAATACCTCGAGCACGCGCTAGTGTGCCCAACCCGCGGAAGTAGGCGAGCATCTCCCGCAGTAGCGTCTCATATGCCCTGGGGTTGCCCTCATTGTGGACGACGTTGACTTCCATGACGGCTGGTGGATCATCGATCTTAGCACCGCCTTTCTTCACTAGGTACCCGCTTACAATGGCTGGATTGAGATCCAGGAGCGAGCTAGAGTTATTCAAACGATGCGCTTGAATGGCGCCCCAGGTTTGATCCGTGATATCAGTCAGGGTCGCTTCTGCGTCTGATTCTGGAGCGGTATCCCCAGGTCCACCTGGCGTTGGCGCACTTGTTGCATCACGTAAAGAAGGTGTCGGTGGGTTGCCTGACTGTTCCGGCGAGACCATAGATGCTTGTGGAGTCGAGACTGGTGTAGTGTAAAAGATGGCGGGCGCATTGCTGGATATTTTGATTTCAGGTGGTAGAAGCTGCAAAGACGGATCCGTGTCGACTGTCATCAATGTTAAGGTGATATTGGCTTTTGACTCGGCTTGTGCTAAGCTGGACCATAACTCGACCTCTACTGGTTCCATGATACCGCATTTGGTTATAATGACCCTCCAGTGTACCTTCCATGTATTGATCATCTCAAGCGTTGTTGCCCATATCTCCTGGGCCACATCGCTGAATGGAGTGCAGATAGCTTTGCCTTTTCGGCCTAGGCAATATGACGCTGTGATCTGCTGACTACCACGGTTGTCGGTCCAAGCGGCAGTGATCCATCGATCGTCCACACTTTGCGCGTATGCTATATGTAGACATGTGTTTTCGTGAAGAAGTGAAGCAGAAGGCGCTGTTGATAACTTAAAATCTATCATGCGCGGTATTGTTTGTTCAAGGACAATCGCAGGAGCAGGCATCGGACCGCCGAAGAGAGTGCAGCGATCGTAAGTCTCAACTGCCAATTTAGCGTAGTCAACAGGCGTCGGAGTGGGCAGAGAGTCTGTCGAGGCAACGAAGTCCATGGGGATTAGCTGTAACACTATTTCGTTTTCAACCTTTTTTCTGCTGCTAAAAAGCAGCTTCTTGTACCTGTCAAAGAGTTGGTGGAACGCATAACATGATTCCACAGCTGATCCTGATACCTTGTTGGAGTAGACAAAAAATATCACAAAATTCGTCTCCTTGACTGTGAGATGTGACAACACATCACTGAGTTTTGTCAAACCGCTCAGAAGCGAGGTTCCCAGAATTGAAGAAGAAAAAAGGTCCTGGCCAGACTTCTCCACCTCATATGAAAGCAGCCCACCGGGGACGTCTGGTGATGCAGACATTCGGTCGAAAGAGCCTAATCTTAACGACTCGTAAGCACCTTGCATTTTTTCCAAGAAAGAACTCGAATCATCGGACAGTCCCTCATTGTGAGGGTATATGCAGACTGCGTTGATGTCTTTCGCGCCATTCGATGGGCCCAGCCCCAAACTCTCCCAAAATGTCACCGCTGATGGCAAAACTGATAGTTTAGAATCATACCGTCGCATTTCGAAGCGAGGCGAAGGAACTTGAAACAGATTACTTGGTTTCAGTTGCTCAGCGCCCGGAGGTCGAGGCTGCATTCGAGTTGGCTGGCCCAGCAAAGGTACATCTGGAATCTCGAGGAAGGGCCTAAAGGAGAGTTCATTGCAATCCCCGAACCAATTAGGCAGAACAGATCGGAGCTCTTCCATCGCAAGATTTGTGATGGACAACAGCTCACGTCGCTGATCTGATTTTGATTGAAGAGATATTGTGGATTCAGCGTTGAAACCCAGGGTGCTTACGCAAGCTTGCTCTGTCAAAACTTGTGCGGCAATAATAAAGTCATGATCAGAAAGGGATATCGGTGCAGTCATGGGTTCAGCGTCGGCAAAATACCTCGTCAGTGGTAGGTCGACATCCGATTTGGAGAATCTAGGCAGATCCACCGACAAGTTGGGAGATGTAGCATCTAGATACTCTAGTTCTCTAAGCGAGGTAGCTAGCGACTGCTCGTCATCATCCACTCGTCTTCGCCTCAAACTCCCCGTCTTGAAAGGTGATGAGGGCTCATCACTTTCATAACTTGAGTCATCTTGGTCAGACATAAGACTGACTTCATCGGCATCTGACGCTGGATCGTCGAATCTCGTGGGGCTTGGGTGTTGTGAGGCTGAGCCCTGGCGGTTGGTCACCCGGGCAAATAGCTCGCCGACATTTGCCGGAGGGTCTTTCGGAAATCTTCGTCCTTTCCCGTGACGCTGCAGATAATCTGTTGTTGGTGGTGCATTAAAACTAAAAGGCTTTGATTCTTCGTCTCGGCCAAGGGAGAAACTGAAGCGACCGGTGCCTTGGTATTTGCGATTGACCACGGAAAGGCTAGGGCCGAAGTTGACTTTGTCGAATATGCTTCCTGGCTGCGATGATTTGGAACTCTGCTTCTGATGTGCTGTGTTATGGCTGTCGATCGAGGCTCTAATGCGTTTAAAAACAGTGTCCGGGGTAAAGGGGCTAGCTTGTCGCTTCGTCGGTATGGAGCTTTGCCGATCGACCTGAGGTTCTGTATACCGTCTAGGCTGCTCGTTCAAAGAGCTTCTCGCATCCTTCAACTCCGGCTTGGCAAACACTGGTGCTGGAGGTGCTGATGAAGGCGGTGGTGGCTCAATCGGTTCGGTTTTGGCTACGGGTACCGTCGCATTGTGGAAATTTTGAGCCATGTCAAGAAGACTATTGGTATTGGTCATATCCATAACGTCAAGTGTTAGGTCCATGCCACCCGGTTGCTCGTCAAAGAAACTGAAATCAGCATCGGTGATGTCATTATCGCCGAACATGTCTGGTCCAAGGTCTCCGAACAGATTTTCAGACTCGAACGAGCTGTTGCCACGCTCTCTTTTGACCTCCGTATTCTCCCAGCCATCTTGAAATGCTTCTCCCGCCGCAGTTATGTTGGTGTCAGCATCAGCCACGGCGGTTGTGCCGATATGGTGGCCGGGGCTAGACATGGGCCCCCCATCCATTGAAGGCGTAAAACCAACCATGGTCTGCACGCCGTCGGGTGGTGTAGGATACATAGCCCCCGCAGGTAGACCGGCGTTGCTGGGTCTGTGTAATGCTATGGGGGACAAGGCGCTATTTGGCTGTGGCTGCGCGTTTGGGCCTAGCTGCCGAGCGGCGGCGGCGGCGGCAGCAACGGCAGCTTCTCTTTCCTGCTTCTTCTTGGCCAAGGCCTCTTCGCGTTCGCCTAGGCCGAGGAACCATGATTTGGCGTTTATGAGTGGGTCAAAAGAGGCATTTGGGGTGTGCGCAGATGGTTCAACATGGCCATTATTGACGGTCAACTTCGAGAACGACTTGCAAAAGCAAAGACTCGAGGGCCACGACATGCTAGGTGACAGATTGTTGACCATGGGAGTTCTTTTTCCATCATAGCCATGCTCAACGGGTTTCCTTCTCACACGCTGTAGACTGAGCCACTTCTGAGTGCCACTGATGGGGTATGGCAGATTTTTAGCCCTTAGCAGCTTTGTACAGATGGCCCGCCAATGTCCATTCTCCTTCTCCGGGCGTACACGCGACACCTGGGTGTCGGGTGATTGTGCCAGCACACTGTGGCTTGAAGACTGTTCGTTCTCAGTGATAGCCTGACATGTTGCAAACATGCCCAAAGGAGCTGCCAATACAGTGATGCCTAGCAAGGGTGGTAAGGGACTGTCGGACAGCGAGATGAGGCCTTCGACTGGGGTTAGACTCAGAAGTGAGACAAGGGCACCGGTGGTTGTTAAATATACTCGTAACGAAGCCAAGATGGGTATGGGAAGGCCGTTTTGGCCCTGTATTTGTTGCGGGAGAAGGATGGTGCGCGCGTTCAACGGAGTAGCCCCTAGCTTAGCACAAAATGCTGACAGTAGAGCAGAGAGGGCGGCGGATATGAGATATTCATGTGCCTCTTTGACAGTTGTGGTGGTGGGGGTTCTCGGGTCCGCAAGAGCCAATGTCTTGGCATCTTGATCAAGGACAGTGCCAGGGAGAGCCGGAGGTGGGTGAGCCCTGAATGCGGCATCCAAGGGGTTCGATGAGCTCGAAGAAGAGCTGCTTGGGGTGTTGGCTGCATTCAGTCCTGCGCTGCCTTTGTTCTTGAGGAGTGCAGAGGGCTCATATGTGCCTTCCTCGACCATTGAGAGGCTGTATCCATAAGACTCGATCGACTTGGCGAAGCCTCTGGCCTCTTGTTGCTGGTGTGCATCTCTCCTACGCAAGTGAAAGCACCAGATGCCGCGCCGGGCGGTATCTATATGCGCCAGGTAACCATCTTTCCGCAGGGTGCCTTCCAAGTCAAGGGCTCCGTGTCCGAGGAAGTCGGCGGGCGGCGAATTGAGTTCGTAGAAGGCGTAAGCAATGGAAGAGATGTTATTCTAACGAGGGCGATCAGTCAGACTGTGATGCGTTCACGACGTTGTGCTCTCTGTGTCTAGACTTACAACCACTAGAGCATTAGTTTCGTAATCAGCAGTATCCATGTCGTAAGTCGTGTCTCTCGTTGAATCCCCTTGTCCCTGTCTCTGTGTCTGGCTCTGCTTCTGTCTCCGTCTGTCTCCGTCTGTCTCTGTCTATGCCCGAAAATGGACTATTACGTGGGTTGTTGGGCCAGGCTGATGGTCAACCACGACTACCAGCCGTGGGGTGTTGATGGGCGCGAAGACGGATGGGCGAGGTGAAAGATCAAGCGGGCGTGCATCGAGGCAGCGCGGCTGTCGCATTTGGGGGTCTCGTTTCGCGCACGCCAGGTGCTTGACCCCATCGCAAATAAGGGGCACAAAGTCAACGTCTGCAGCGGATCTTGTCGAAATCGGAGGGTTTGCAAGTTCGAGCAGCAGTCGCCCAGAGCTGTAGAGTTGATGCTGCAAGCGTTCAGGGTCGTTGTCGCAACACGAGATACAAAAGGATGCCCTGCCGTCTGGTAGGATAGTAGAGTTCGAGCGAATAAGGTTGTTACTAAGAAGGTAGGTAGGTACTCGGTAATTCGCAAAGCTACATACGCAGGGTCCGAGCTCATGTCGGCCTTGGTCTTATTATCCTTAGACCAGGTCAAATCGAGGGTCCTCGCGGGATAAGGTGAGAGAGCACATGCGCGTGCCTCCCGTTCCCCCGCGCCCTCCACAGTGTTAATAGCAATCATACTGTAATAGTAATAAGAATGATAATGACAATCAGAAAGAAGAAGCAGAAGAAAGCAGAGGCAACCCGACTGAGGCGGTCGATGTTGCGGCTGACAGGCACCAGTCCAACCCAATCCAATCACTGTGTATACCTCATCTATCGCCGTGCCTTACGCAGTGCCTGGTTTACTACTCACATGTACATATACATGTAGCGTATCATTCATCCATGTGCAATTGTTCGATGAATTTTGGGTACAGAATCGACCTCGAGTTACCGTAGGCATGAAGTTATGTACTCCGTACTGTACATTTTAAGGGCCCAAGGTTAGCCTAGCGTTCAAAGGATGGTTGTGGGTGCTTTGCAGCCTGCTAATTTAGCGCCTGTGGCACTGTGTCCCCGTCGCCGTCGCTGTCGCCGTCCCCGTCGTGGACATCTGCGAGATAAGCCGATAAGCAAAGGCCCCGCCATAATTTTCCTGGCATTCGCAGAAATCCCCGTCCGCTCTTCCGCCTTCCCTCCATCTCTGCACCCCAGCAATTCGCAACGCCATTCTTTCGAGCACGATGAAAGCCGAGAAGGCTGGCGACGTGTCCGTATACACCGTAGCTGGTGCCGAAACTGCCCGGCCACTTCCAGACTGGCTTGCACGCCGAAGGAAGCGGAGTTTGAAGAACGATGCCGAGTACCAGAATCGCATTGAGCTGCTCCAGGACTTCGAGTTCGAGGAGGCCAGCCAGTGTGTCCGCGTCTCAGATGACGGCGATTGGTTGATGTCTACCGGCACATACAAGCCTCAGATCCATGTCCATCAGCTATCACATCTTTCTCTGTCCTTTGCCCGTCACACCACCTCTTTGAACACGACCTTCCAGCTCCTCTCCACCGACTACACAAAGTCTATCCACCTCCAGAGTGATCGCAAGATCGAGCTGCAGGGCCAAGGCGCCCTACACTACGAAACCAGGATCCCCCGTTACGGAAGAGATCTTATTTACGACCGTCACTCCGCCGAGGCGCTAGTCCCAGCAGTTGGTCTCGATGCCGACGGCCATGGAGAGGTCTTCCGACTGAACCTTGAGGTCGGAAGATTCATGAAGTCATACCAGATTGAACTCGGCGCCGACGAGGGCGTTGAAAGGGGCCTTCAAGGCAGCATCAATGTTGGCGCCGTTCTTGTTGCTGCTCAGGCCGAGAACACTCACAATTTGGCAGCATTCGGAACATCGAAAGGCACCATTGAATTCTGGGACCCCAGATCAAAAAACAGAGTTAGCATAATTGGAGGGCAAGAAGGCGAGATCACCGCTCTGGATTTTAGCGACTCTGGATTGTCGCTTGCTACAGGTTCCTCGAACGGTCTGATCAAGCTATTTGACCTTAGAAGTCCTCTGCCCCTGCTTCAGAAAGACCAAGGACTGGGCTTTGCGGTCAAGGAGCTGATGCACCTGACAACTGCTTCTCAAGAGAAGAAAATCCTTTCCGCAGATAAGCGAGTGGTCAAGATCTGGGACGAACAGGACGGCACCCCTTGGACTTCGGTCGAACCTCTTGTCGACATCAACTCGGTAGCCTGGTGCAAAAACACCGGAATGCTTCTGAGCGCCAACGAAGGCAAACAACAGCACGCGTGGTTCATCCCCGAGCTGGGTCCTGCACCGAAATGGGCCAGCTTCCTGGACAACATGGTCGACGAAATGGCTGAGGAGGTTCGCACCGAAACATACGAGAATTACAAATTCGTCACCAGACCTGAGCTTAAGACACTCAGCTTGGATCATCTCATTGGCAAGACAAGCTTGCTCCGCCCTTACATGCACGGATTCTTTGTGGCGTCCAAACTGTATGACCAAGCGAGATTGATCGCCAACCCCTACGCCTGGGAGGAGGAACGAACCAAGAAAATCAAGGAGAAGATCGACAAGGAGCGTGAGAGCAGAATTCGTGGCAAGAAGAAGGTCAAGGTCAATCAGAAGCTGGCAAACAACCTCGTCAAACGCCAGGAGAAGAGGACGGCACCTGACTTCAACGCCGGCATGCTGGGTGATGACCGTTTCGGCCAGATCTTCGACGATGAAGAATATGCCATTGACGAGAATACCTTTGAGTTCAGGGTACTCAACCCAAGCACCAAGGTTGAGGGTGCCAACGAACCCACCTCAAAATCAGCACCCAAAGCTTCTGATGACGAGAGTGATTCAGATGCTTCAGACGACAACAAAATTTATATCCCACGCCCTCAGAAGCCTAGAGACACGTTTGACATGAGGGTATCTTCCTCAAACAGAAGTGGCGGCCGATCAGCCAAGGATACCTCTCTAGGGTCTCGAACGCAGCAGGGGGGGCGAGTTACCAAGAATCGTGGCTCGGATGTGGTAGGAGAGAGATCTGTCACGTTTGTACCAGAAAACCGACGGAGGAAGCAGGCCGAAGAAGTCGCGGAACCAACATACAAACCCAAGCGTATGGATGGCAGACGGAGTGCTAGCACAAATACTTTTAGACGAATGTGATACCCGAGTCAATGACATAACCCTGTATTTCTGGATGCAAAATAATGATACACGCTTGAAACGCAGCCTGCTTCACAACCAAACGCCGATGCCCCAGACATGTAAATCAGAAAAACCGCCACTTGAATTGATCAACCCGTCTTTGAGTGAAGACAATCACACCTGACAACAACGAACTGCTGAAACGCTTCTATATTACTTTCGAGCCCACTTGCTCCGAGTATTCCTTCCCTCAGGGCTTTGGCGGATGCTAGGCTTCACAGCTAGACCCTTCTCGACATCTTCCGGTCTCAATCGTGGAGTCGGCGGTACGTCATCCAGTCGAACACGGCCCCTTGACGACCTGCCAGATTCTTTGACTGACCTCGGAAACTCAGAGCGACGGGGTGTCAAAGCAGTGACGACCTTCCTAGCTGATCGGCGTATACTTTCTTTGATCTTCCATTCCTTCTTCTTTGCCAAATAGAACAGCACAGCAGATGCAACTGGTTTCGCATGTTAGTACATTGATCGTATAAATGGAAAAACATTGGACTTACTGCCACCCAGTGCCACGACCACAACAACGACAATGATGGCGACTAAGGCCCCATGAGACAATTCCACTGCTCCAGAGGTACTACCAGCTGCTCCTGCCTCGTTGTCGACGGAGCCTCCTGAGTTCGCAGATCCCACGCTGCTGTCCTGTCCGCCTGTATAGGGATCTTGCGTGGCTAAAGGGAAAGCATTGCTTGTGCTCGTCATTGTGTCCTGCACTTGAATTCGGAACGACGCAGAGTATTACTTGGTGAGAGACACCGGTGGTTCAGATAATGTGAGGCGAAAGTACAGGTCGACCAGCAAGAATTATACTTTCAGACGCCGAATGTTCTTCAACAAATTTCGGGTCCAATTTAGGAGAACGTGAAGAATAAAAAGAATAATTTTCATTCATGAATGGCGACGCACCAGGCCGGGTAGTTGCGACTTTATCATTGACTATCGTCAATCCGCCTCTCGCCAACCAAGTGGCCTCTGCAGCCGCCGTGATGGGGCGTGCCAGAACATATGAGGCTCGAACAGTGAACGAGCAATCTGTGATCTGCCCAGCAATCCCGCATCTTTCACTATGTACAGCACAATCACATTTTCACGTCCGGCACTTTGCCCATTGCCTGTCAACGCAACTGGCGTCTGCCCAAAGTTGCCCAAGAATTCCCAAGACTGTCCTCATTGGTTTATGCAGAAACAAGTCCCTGACTTAAGACATTCTCAATAAGATGGTCAAAGCCTATTCCAACATGATGATTGGTGCAGCTTGCAGGTGCAAGCGCTGAAGATTAAGCTGGTCGGCCAATTAGAACGTTTCTACAAGGATCGGCAGATGCCAGGCCCTGGCGTCGTCACATCATGCGCCCGCATTCCTGATTGGATGGACATGGTCTTGGGCGACAAGCTCTACCACCGGGAGCTCTACGGATCCGTACAGATATCTAATTCAGCACAAGCACAGATTCTGCAGCTCCCTTGGCGGCACTGAGACCCCGTTCCGTTGAATCGAACGCATATGTAATTCCCTACTCATTCTTCTAGCTTGGTCGGCATCGGCCTTACTTGAGTCTATATTAATCCGGAACTCAAAACAATTAAGCTGTGTCAAGAAGGATCAAGCCCGGCCATATGGTCTCTGTCCGCTCATAATGCAAGACGTGGCAATGCTTAACTGTTGCATCGCATTTCTTAAAAATAACCTGATACTGCACACCAACTACTCAGATGGATGGTAATCGTTCCGGAAGCAAAATGCCTGTTGATGCTATATCTGAGCATCTGCATGCATCCCGAGATGCCGGCATCGCTTCATCCCATGCTATTCCTAGGTCAAGAGGGCCTTTTCTTAACATGATGCATACATTCATGGGACTGTCATGAATGTGAGTTGTCCATCTTTCTTTCCACCTCATATTTGGCGAGAATTTACCTTAGGACTCAAATTGGCGCGATGCATCCTTCCAAATACCGTGATGTAGCGGGGCATTGTACGGCTGATAACCCCGAGGGAGTCTGCCGACGATGATGAAGGGATTCCGGCTTGGGACGATAGATGCTAGTGTGACTATGTGTATCATACTCACATTGTGTACCGTTCACATCGAGTATCGAAATGAAACGATTGGGAAGATTCGTCAATGCTCAAAAATAGTTCTTCCCGTCTCGAACTCTGAGCGACTTAGTGCCTCATCACTCTATAGCTCGGTCCATCGTAGCGCGATACTCTGACGATTCTCCACTTTCCGCCTTGGCGTCTTCCTCGAGGAAGCATCAGAGGGCGCATTACACACACGATCATAAGGCTGAGCAACGCGGGCCGTCAGGAATGAGGCGCATCAACACGGAGAGCACGGAAATTTTCTTTGGCCGCGATAAGCTCCGGCCGGTGTATATCATACGTCGGAAAGAGGTCAGCTTGTAGCAAATGTGGTTAAGCCCTTCTTTCCGGAAATTATGGTCGGCAGCTGTGCAGAACTGTAGTAAGAAACGTGGGACTTGGAATGTGCGTTCTGGAGTCACTGACATTCGGACAAAGAGAGGTTCGAGAGAAACTATCCGAATAGCCACGCCCAGCCTTCCGACTTTGGCGGCAAAGATAACAGAAATTACCTTCTTCAGATTGGAGGCTTGAGCCAGTATAGTTGAAACATACAGCTACTCAATCATGATGAGTCTGCTGAGACCCGAATCTATATATTCTCATGCCCGGCACCAAGGGCCGCTCCCCTTTTCCCAAGACAGAGATCCAGCAATGGAAAGAAGATTACACGGGAGTTGAAGTTGGCCAAATCCACCAAAAACATCGCGCTGTCCGCAGATTTCTAGCGCCGGCCTTCAACTCGAGAGTCTTGAAGGAACAGGTGCCTATCCTATATAGACACATTGACAGCCTACTGAGGATTATTGTGAACCATACCAAAACGGATGGCATCCAACATGTCCGAGGTGCGTTATCGTTTCTTGCTTCGTAGCAAACCGCTAGCGTGGCAACAGTGGTTCAATTTGTTTCCATACGATATAGCTGGAAAAGTCTGTTACAACGGGCAGTTTGGCAATGTTAAGGATGGTAAGAGAAGATCACTCACTTATTACAGACCAGACAGCTTCCGCTCTTCTTACGCCCTCTCGGTTCAAAGCAACGCCTTCCTCACCGTGTTTCACCAAGCTGGTTCTGTCGGAACAGTACATAAGGTTTCTGCCGCTGGCTTCTTCTTCACCGGCTGGTCTTTAATACTCTCTCCTACAAGCTGGCTCTGGTCCTGTCCACAATTCTCCGAGAGAACCCTAATATAGTAGGATCCCGCGTGGAGCGTCGCGATAATTAGGAGCATCCTGGCTATTTCTGACTATATTCCCTCCCCCGCGGAAATTGGCGTTAACGTGAGCGAGGCTTGGAATTATTATCAAATACATTTTAAAGATAGCACCCTACATGTTCAGCCTGACCTTCAGTGTTATGTATACGCAAAGTTCTAATCTTCCCACTATTAATTCATGCAGGTCAATGGCCTAGGACGTGGATAACACTCGGTTTCATACACCACGTACTTCGCAATGCCGCCTCAGACATCCTTTACTCTGCTAGGGCATTTTTTTCCTCGAATGTTTCAATGATATTATTGCTTCAGTCATGAAATTTGCCTGAAGGCAACCCCCACGAAACCTTGCATCTAGCAAAGTTCATGAGTCTTGTACGAGGATTATGTCGGCGAGTACTTGTACTTGCGAAGGAGCACATTGCATTTTCTAACAAGGCATGGCAAATCTCATGACCAAAGATCCCACGGGATGAGTGGTAGGTATCTAGCTTCTGCTTCGATAGATATTGGACATGATGGTGTCTTGGCGGCGCACAGAAAACAAACCATCCGAACCGCCAACAACCCTCCGAATCAGTTTATCCTCCGAATAGGAAGACATTCATAACGTCAACGCCACCTTTCGAACCAAGCAATCCATAAAATCAAACGAACAGAAAACGAGAGCCACGATAAGCGCAGTAGTGAATGCCATCGGCTTTCGTCACGCATCTTTTTTCTGAATCCCAACCTCACCTGTCCACCTCGTCGTCTACTATTCTTCCGTCATGGCTGCATCTATTACCGCGGAATATTCACTCAAAGAGCCTCCTTCTGTGGAAGCTCGAGACGTGTCCGATTCAATCCACAGCCAAAACCACCACAACCTGGATAAGAATGGCACCGACACCACCTCTGAGCCGGAACAGACGGACGATGTTGTCGCAAAAGATGGGAGCGCTCCCACTTTTGAACGCGGACCCCGATTCTGGGCCATCATCGCTACTCTCGTATGCATGTTCCAGCTCCATGCAGACTCGCCATTGTCCTTCGATTGCTGATCTACCATGCATCACAGTGCGTCATCGGTCTTCTGAGTGCTTTGGAGAACACAGTCGTTACAACTTCGCTCCCTTACATCATTGCCGAGCTCGATCTAGGGGAGAACTATATTTGGGTCACCAATGTGTTCTTCTTGACTAGGTACGTGGTTCTATGCTGTGCCGCTGCTGGTGCCGGCCTCGTTCTTATTCAAGACTAACCCATTCGGTTCCGCCAGCGCCGCCGTTCAGCCTCTCTTTGGACAGATGGCCAACATCTTCGGTCGGCGATGGGTTACTATGCTTATCGTAGCCCTATTCACGTTGGGTAGTGGTATCGCTGGAGGCGCTTCAAATGGCGCGACCCTTATCGCCGGGCGAGCCATCCAAGGTATGGGCAGTGGAGGCATTAACTTGATTATCGATGTCATCATATCCGATCTTGTTCCTTTGAGAGAGCGTGGCAACTACATGGCATTCGTCCTCGTTGTGTATTTCGTCGGAATGGCCGTCGGCCCTTATGTCGGCGGCGCATTCGTCGAAACTACTACCTGGCGCTGGGTCTTCTGGATCAACCTTCCTGTGAGTACCTCCTTTCTCAACTTTCGTTCAACCACATACTCGACTGACATAGCACAGGTTGGAGGAGCTTCTATGGCCATGATCTTCGCTTTCCTCCATGTCAAATACAACAAGGAGATGCCATTTATGCAGAAGCTCCGTCGCGTTGATTACATTGGTAACTCGATTTTAATTATCTCCACGATAGCAATTCTGTACGCCTTGACATATGGAGGTGCAAGGAATCCCTGGAAGTCAGGTCAAATTCTTGCCCCGCTCATCGTTGGGCTCTTGGGTCTTGTATTATTCATGGTTTACGAGGCACTTGGCCGAGCTAGGGAGCCCGTTATACCGCCACGCCTTTTTGCCAACCGAACCTCGTCGACCGTCTTCGTTGTAACTTTTTTCAACTCTGCCCTTTTATTCTGGACTATGTTCTTCCTACCTGTGTATTTCCAAGCTATACTAGGAGGTAAGAGCCATCGCACCCCCTGCTTCACGGTGCTTTTCACTTGATTCGCGGCTGATAAAATTGCAGCCTCCCCTGCCAGATCCGGCATTCTGCTTCTACCAGCCATTGTAATCGGTGTGCCAGGCGCTGCCGTCGCGGTTGTACTTCTTGCCAAGTTTGGCCGCTACAAGCCTCTTCACCTTATCGGCTTCGGTATCTTCACCCTCGGCGTTGGACTCTTTGTTCTCTTTGACAAAGACACCCCCCTGGCACAAATTGTCGTCTTCCAGATGATTACCGCCGGCGGTTCGGGTTTCGTGTTGAATACCTTGCTTCCCGCATGCCAAGCGCCGCTGGAGGAGAAAGACCAGGCCACCATCACCGCCGCTTGGTCCTTCATCCGCAGCTTCGGTGCTATCTGGGGCGTCGCCATTCCAGCTGCTGTCTTCAACAATCGCTTCGGCCAATTGGCACACCTTATCACGGACCCAGAAGTAGCGGCAATCTTCAGTCACGGCGATGCTTACCAGTTCGCCGTTGCCGACTTCATTAACTCGTTCTCTGAGGTCACAAGGAATGAGATTGTCGGCATCTACACGGACGCTCTCAAGCAGGTCTGGCAGATTGGTATCGTCTTCTCAGGGGTCTCATTTTTGCTGGTCTTCATCGAGAAAGAGATTAAGCTTCGAACAGACCTTAACACCGACTTCGGCATGGAGAGGGGCAAGAAAGAAGGCGATGCCGAGGCTACCACGCCGAAGGAAGCACCAGCTACTGTTGACGCCGTCCCGGCGGTTTCGAAATGAAGAACTTCCAGCAAAACAGTCACGGCCATAGCCTCATACGAGAACAAGGAATGATCCCTCATAGCTTTTTGACCCCCTGAGCTCTGATTTTTCCGTCGATCTCAACCGGTCGTAGCAGCGATTCTTACTTGCACCGCTTGCGATCAACAGTGGGTTGTATATCTACTCGGCTGTGTGGATTATAATAGCACCCCTGATCTTCAGCAGAAATTCATTAGTCATCGAGACATCTCAAGTATTTGTCCTATACCAAGTTGCTATAAATGCATTATTGATCATTTCCGCCAAAAAAATTTCTATGACGGGTACATGCATCGTCATATATTGCCCTGCCAAGTTGGCGTCTTCGGATATAATGGTGATTTACTTCTACTCTCCACCGAAAGGTGGTCCCTATGGTGAGAACGTCATGTTATTCAACACGGCACGGTTCTCCAACGGCGCAACAGTATTTATCCAAGAATAGAGGAAATCGGACTCATCCGCAAGTTTCCATAATGATCTTCGTAATGCTCAAAGACTGTTTCAATCGTTCTCGTTTTGAACCTTGGTACTGATCATCACTCAGCTCAGTATGAAGGAGTTGGATGTGCCGTGGCCGAAGGAGAGCTTCATGGTTCTGTAACTGATGGTGCAGTTCATCGGTTGGGGACAGACCTAGTTGCCGGTCGAGCTGGGTGAGTAATCTCGTCACCATCTGTATATAAACCAAGGCCTGCATTGGGCCGTCATCCATGGCATATGCACCAAATCGTAGTCCCTCTGCCGGTCCAAGGTCCAACATGCTGGTTCCCCCATGCATTTCGCTGATCGCCAGGGAAGCCATGAGGTCCCATAGGGTTGTCAATTGAACGTAGATTCCAATGACCATCAGAGATGTTGACGAATCCAACACCCTGGTGTAAAAAGTTGTTGGAAACAGACTTTCGGTCAGTAGATCCAAATGTTGCTGTTGCGAGCTTTCGCCTTCGCCGTGCGACCCTTCGGAGCTTAGAGCCAGATCAATAGCTTCGATATTATGTGCTGCAGAGATATTCAAATCGTATGGACGCTCCGCGGTTGTTTTCAGCTCGAGTAAGATGTTGAGATAGCTTTGACCGATAACAAGAAGGGACTCGACTAGAGTGACGCCCTTATCCAGATTGATGAGAGAATCGTGAGAGCTAAATAAGTTGAGTTTGATGGGCGAGTTCAGATTCTCTATTCTGGCGTTGCAATTTTGCAATCGGTTGTTGATCTCGGATAGCCTCGTGAAAATGACGGGCTCCGTGGCCACGTCGGCCAGTTTAATTGTTTGGTCCGCATTAGACTGCACAAGGAACCCCGATTCAGGCATTGGACCACTCCCGACGAGAATCATATCATCGGCAGTGAATATTTCGGGATTGGAACCATCATTGAAGTCCAAGATGTCTGTAAGAGCTGAAATCGATGTTAAGCGGCAAGCATGGGGGGTTGCAGGCGTTTCCGAAACACCATCCGACACAGATAGTGATGAGGCAGGTGTTATGCTTGCCATTGAGGTCGACGACTGAAGCCTCCTGGGTCTGCCAGACCTCCCAGCTCGCGAATGGTTGCATGACTTATCCAGTCGTAAGCACCTTCGACACTTTCCATCGGAAGGATCGCGGATGCATTTCAGCTTCTGATTATGACAGTTGTCGCAGGAAGCGCGCGTTCCCGAAGATGCCATGGTATATTTAAAATCAAGCTGTTTGGTTGAACCTCTAGAAATGTGTGAAGAGGAATCTTCGTGTGATGTGTTTGTTTGTGCTGTGCTGACAGATCATTCCTTACCTGAGGCACTCAAATACCCCACTTGTGCCTGACGCCCGCCGAGATGCCCCTATTGACATTACACAGGCTTTGAAAACCTGCCCCCTTTAATATTTGACAACCATGCTGAGCAATATAACATCCGGGTATTAACCCACGGCAAAGAAGAGAAGGCTAAGCCATGACTAACGGGCGTCTATTTCGGCTTTTCTATGGCAACTGGTGTAATATCTCCCTGAGGATGGCGCACAAGTCAAGATTGACTACTCCAGCAAGCTTTGATTGATTGCACGCGCAAAGACGGCGGCCCGTCTTTGTCACGCCGCTATTGCTAGCGAAACGATGAGTAATTACTTTACGAAAGAATGGCTGCGCACCTTAGCATCACAGGCATGGCTGAATATCATTTGCTGTAATGTGGCAGTCCATCGGCATAACGGAGATGGAGTCCACCATCATATCGGTCACGCCAAATTTTCAGCAGGTTGCCTTTTCAGCCCCTTATATCGTTGTAAGTTAGCAAGTAAAGTGTCACGCTAATTTTAGGACCAACCCCCGTACACTATTCAGATAGGTTTGCTGCAATTCAGAGAACGTAAGTTGAGGACTTGAGCCTGGGTGTTCAGCGGCGATACACGCCCTGAGGAATTCGTTTCCTTTATAGACTTATAGTCCTCCCCTTTATCCCTCCGGGTATCCCTCCGGGCTACCAGTTTGGCAAACCCCTTCCCATACCCAAGCCACTAGTCACTCAGATCCTTGACTTCAACCTTCGATTGAAAGCTTGAACCAAAATCCAGCACGTTCCTCGGCCTCTTTGTCCCGGTTGAAATAGTGATCACGCCAAAGCAACCCCCCAACGACGGCAAGAATTGCAATGCCAGCCTGCTGCCAGAGATTACGCTGCCTAGGCCTACCACAGCTCTCCAAATCAAACATTTCAGAAGGTGAAACACCTTAATATGATTAGCATTACTTGTCGTTCTTTTTCAAGAGAAAGAGAGAAACCGGCTTGGACAATATGTTATTGTGGCACTTAGGAGAGCACCCCTGGTCACATACGCGGAGATCACACTAAGCAATAGAGCACAGGACTACGTGAATTATGCTTCAACGTATAAATCCAAATATAGTGATAATTATGTCTGTCTACCAAAGGAAGAAAAAGAGTGAAAAGGAGCATACGGCTCGTTATATGCTGCTCGTGCCACTACTATGGGTCTAAGCGGATCCATTGCTCCACTGCTCTTACGGATCAGTTCAAACGTTGTTCAGAGATCATAGGATATTTGACATAGTTATCTAATGTCACTGTTCGTAAGATAAAGGAGATTTTCACGAGTTATAGGGCATCTGATGAATTCATATCTGTGGTGTCCAAGGTACAATTGATGCAGACTAAAGACTAACAAGTGACTATGTACAAACATTAGGAGAGACTTGTTCCGTTGGTTCTACACCAAACCCGTTGCTGAAGAAGCATTTGCTTCTTGGTTGCTTGAGCGACAGATTATCCTGTTTCGACAGAAATAATTTAACCACTGGGGTTGCCGTTGAAGGCGAGGTAGTTGTTGGTGCCAGAAGGAACACCAGTGATCTTGCTCTTGGTAGAAACACTCTGAATGTAGGTGCACAGAGCAGCCGGGGTCTTAGCTCCGTTCAGAGACAGGAAGTAAGCGCCGAGACCAGCGATGTGGGGAGAGGCCATGGAGGTACCAGAGATGGTGTTGGTCGCAGAGGTGGAGCCGATCCAAGAAGACAGAATGCTAGAGCCGGGAGCGAGAATGTCAACCACAGCACCGTAGTTGGAGTACGAGGCGAGTGCATCGGCGGAGGTGGTGGCACCAACAGTGCAGGCAGTGGGCTCGGAGGCAGGGGAGTAGTTGGCCGCATTAGCACCGTCGTTTCCGGCGGCGACAGCCAAGAAGACACCAGCGTTAACCAAGGCGGCAGCGGCGCTGTTGACAGCAGTTGACTTGGATCCACCGAGGGACATGTTGGCAACGGCACCGTTGGGGCAGCTTCGGGTCTTGGAGTCGGTAGCGACATAGTTAATGCCGGAAATGACACCTGAGTTGGTACCGGAGCCTGAGGCGTTGAGGACCTTAACAGCGTAGAGGCTGACTTTCTTGGCCACACCATAAGTGGATCCTCCAATAGTACCAGCGACGTGAGTACCGTGTCCGTTGCCATCAGTGTTGGAGCCATCACCAGCGTAGTTGGCGAGGAATGTAGCACGGCCCGAGAACTGGGTGTGAGTGGTCAAGATGCCGGTGTCAATGACGTAGGCACAAACACCAGTACCGGCACTGTCATCGTAGGTGTAGGGGGTAGTCGTCAACGCAGTGTGGGAGATACGACCAATACCCCAGGGCGGGCTGGACTGGCTGACGTAGGTGTTGATGGTGACAACAGCGTCTTTCTCAATGTACTCAACCTGAATAGAAAATTAGTCGTTGATCACTGTTAGAACCTCCAAGACTTACATCAGGGTGGTTGGCGATAGCATCAAGATCAGCGTCGTTCAACTTGGCAGCAAATCCCTTGAAGGAGCCCTTCGTCCAGGTATGGACGGCGTCACCCTCAAAGAGGTTTGAGACATCGTCGACAGTAGCGGTGCTCATGCCTTCCTTCATCTTGACGATGTACTGACCAGCAATGACTTTGTCGCCGGCATCGCGGGGTGTCAAAACAGGAGCAGGGCCACCGGCACGCTTGGTGGCCGGGGCTGCGAGAGCCAAAGGCAAGAGAGAGAGGATAGCGGCAGCCTTCATTTTGGAGTGTTGACCTTGGAAGAGAAGTATTGATGCAGAGCAAACGATGTCGAAGCTTTGAGAGCGATGCTTGGATAGAAAAGTCTACGATTACTGAGACAATGAAGATGTTTATATATCAGAATCATTTTAACTGTTCCGCAGTCATTGTTCGTTAAACACTTGCATGGTGTCGACGCCTTCCTCATCAGGAACAGACCGGGAGGTCGCCAAGCCCTATGCACAGCCGGGAAACTATAGCTCTAGCGAATGGTAGGCATGGGAGCTCTTACAGTAGCGCCACTTGATGAACAGCATAGCAGCCCGACATGCTGAGCTACTTCCGATATTGTTCTCTACTATACTATACCATGGGATCCTCGAACCTTGCATCGTATTAGTCCTGATATGGCTTCCAGGCGCCACTCGCAAGCAGTCAGATGTACGTTGCAGTACTACAATGACAAGACCAAAGACGCATGAACACCTGTGTCTAACACTTACCTTGATGTCGCAATAGCTCTAGAGACCGCCCAGAGATGCAGAAACACAAGAATGAGAGTTGCGATGTTACCAAGATCAAAACTTTGGGAAGGAGCTTCAGTCAACGGCGACCAAATCTTATCGTGGACCCACCAAGTCAGCTTGCCGGTAGCCGCTCTGAGGCTCTTGGCTTTGGTATGCCGTCTATACAGGCGTAGAATGTCATTTCGAACGTCGAGGCATCTCTTTGTGCTGCACGTGTATGTGATTGGCTGACACATCTGGGGTGCCTATCCGAATTTGTCAGGTACATCGTCCATCATCCTAAGATATGGAGGGCACACACTGTTGTAGTGTCAATGCTGCATGGTACCCGGGGCCGGCGAAGGTACGATGCATGCTGGATGCATGCTATTTTGAGAACCTTGAGGGCCCAAGCGTCTTCCTACATTGTAGAATGAGAGGACTGTTTTGCTCAGGTCCGCCGTGCAATTGCCTGGAACAGTTGAGGTTGGTATACCCCTAGAAGACGGAGACGGTGGAGCCCTGGAAACCACCCCCGCCAATAGCGGTGTACTATACGCTTGTGGCTTCCATCTGGACTCCTTCGATGGACTTATTTGGGACCCTGGAAAAGGTTTCGGTCCGTGTAAACGTGGATCTATTTTTGACAGGATGTATTCATTGTGCTCTGTGTAGGAGACTGGCCATGGAAAGGACCGCTGCAACTGCTGGAGGCCGGATCCATCGGAAAAATAATAGCTGAGAAGCCTAAGACAGAGTAAGCTTTCCTGTCTTGGAGATTGATCTCTCTCGCAGCGTCTCATCGCACTTACTCCGGGCCTCGAATTCCGGCTTTTGCTCAGAGAGCCGAATGATAGCGCTAATGTGGTGCCACCGTACATATCCTGAGCCTCATCTGGGCGATCAACACCACCGACAACGTGACCCAATTGCTATTCGGAAAAAAGGCATCCATATCATATGGTGCCAATGCCCAGGAAATGCCAAGGCTCAAGATAGATGAGGCCGAAGCCTCATGGTTTTTATACCAGCAAGTACCCTATTGACTTGGCGCGGCATTTGGGAACTTCAGTTGACCAACTGGCCTGCTCTCCCGACTCCTTTGCCTTCCTGTTTAGGCAGTCGCGAAGATCGTTTCTGGCTGTGCGGGACTGGGCGAGTGCCACAGGGACATGATGGCTACTGGGTGGTTGATGCAGGTCATTCTCGGCTATCATTGAAGATGCAAACCAATCAGTAGAGTTATCTTCAGCGACGCAAACCAATCAATAGAATTATCGTAGCGGTACAGGACCTATCAACAAAGGAAGTGCAGATGGAAAGTTGTGTGGGTAACATGCATGAAGCTGGAGAAGCACCCATTAGTGCGCTGGGAGATTGGACGGCACATGATGCACAATCTAGGCCTCCACCTCATACAGTAATCGCAGGGGTTAGTTGGATCATAGCCGCCAAATCCTTTCTTTGCATCGGTCTGCGACTTAGATACCTCCTCCTGACCTGATTTCCAGTGCAGTTACTACGAAGCAATTGCTACAATGGATCCCAATGATAGAGAAAGCGGGAAACAGAGATTATGTCAACACGGGGAGGTGTTGAGAACTAGTCTTCTGTTGGCGATGATTCCGAGAGTGGTTTCCATTTGGTAGGCTTGTACATAATCTAAAATCCGGCGTCATTTCCGCTCCAGGAATCAGATCCCGATCTCAGAGGCGGTATACACAGCGGCCCCGCGTTTGCATTTGCGATGTCGCATCCATCAAGTTGCATCATGCAAAGAGAGGATAAACATGCTAGTCAAGTCCAAGTAATGTCAGCATGTGACGCTTGTCCCCCTTGATTTAAAGCGCCATGTCGCCAAACTGCCAAGCTGCCAAGAATTTTCTTTCCTCTTCCAGATGTTCTTGTCTGCGAACAGGCTTGACATATGTCGATGAAGAACCTCCCAAGTTGGCAGCGGACCACCACGAGTAACGGCGTATCCCGACAATGACATAACCTAGCAGAACATAAGACGCGCATTGGTGGATGTTACAGGTTTTCTATCATTGGCCCTTCTCAACTTGCCAAAGGTTTTCGTCGGGTCGAACCACTGGTGTCAAATTTTGGAAATGGCCCATCCAACTCGGGGCGAATAAGCTTTACAGATGTCGATCACGCAAGCGGTTGGGTGCCCTTGGGTGCCGTCTCCCCCTCGCCAGGCCTCGCAGGTTGCAAAGAGCGGTTCGTTATCAACATCAATCTATATGCACAAGCTTGTTTCCGGAGATTTCACACGAATCTCATGACCAGGCCTGCAAAAGGTACCAGTCGCCATTGGGCTACAATACATCATATTGGACGCTACGATACTTGTCTGCACACACAAGCTACTTGGCGCCGGCAATGAGGTTCTCGATAGAGCATTCGAGGCCGAGTGATTCCCGGGTATCGTGCACGCAAGTATACTTACTGCATGATTGATTGTCAAGTTGAGACTTAAGATAGTGTGTCACTATGACTCGACAGAATGACACCACATTCTGACGGTATAGCTACCAGTTGTGATCTCAAGTGTGATCACCCAGTCGAGCACCTCGAATGTTGTCGGATGCCATTATCGCCACTATCTATCATACATCCGACATAGACTACCCATCACTTTATTCGATCTTAACAGTCTTCGGTTCTTACCCTGCGAGTATTTTTGATAGGCAATTTCCGTTTGACTAGTTATACCAAACTGGCCAGTGAAAGCGATCCAAAATGAACAACTCTTCTTTACCCCAAGAATTGATGTCGAGGCATGACGAGTGATTGCCTCTCATGCGTAGCTGGCTACGTCTTCTCATTTCAAAGCTCTCGAGAAGGGTTGAAATTCCTACCTAGTGTTTTCCGACTGCTCGTGCTCAATACTTAACATGGAAAATTACTTCCCAGTTAATGCACATAGACTACTATGCGCCATACAAGCTGCCGAGTGGTGATGGTGAAGCATCTTCATGAAACCTTACGTCGGTACCGTTTTTACGTCGAGACTAGTGCAGAACCTACTATCTTACAATTGTGAAAGTCAAACATGCAATGGCAGTTATCGGTACAGCATACTGCAAATTTGTCCTCGTGGCTTTCTTACCAATTCGAATAAAGTTTCGAAACAATAGAATTTCGTTGCGGAAATACTTCCTGGTGGGGTTTTCCCACGAAACTAGAGTACAGTATATCAGCAAATATCTCACAGCTTGAGCCTGAATGCTGTATAGTGCATCGACCCATGTGGGATCCACGTTAGCTCGGCGGTTGTTGCATGTGTGGCCAGGTACACTGATCCAGAGCCCACTTATTCGTGGTTCGAAACAGCATTGGCCCGCACTCTCATATTGACATCCGATATTAGACAAGATCAAACGAGGCCGGACGTCCATAATAGGATTGACCCACCGGCTAATTACACGGACATAATCAGCCAAACTTCTGAGCTGTAATTCCACGTGAGAGAACATCTCTATGCCTAATTGAGATCGAGAGAGATGTCTCAATGGATGTAGGCCCGGCAAGCCACCACTACGTCTATGATTATACGTGACTGCTTCAGACTACCACAATTAGATGATGTTATTAAATTACCGCAAGTTTGTCAGTAACCTTCTCTGTCTTGTCTTCAGGCAAGCAAATCAACATTGGCATTGTAAACACTTCTCGCCAACATATGGACGGTGTGGCAAAAGTGCTTGACTCTGTGCTCGACAGCGTCCAGGTATTCAATACCATAGTGATTCCCAAATAAAAACCAATACAGTTGAACTAACTATGATTTTCTACTAAATGCGTAAAATAAGTTCGCAAGTTCTGGTTGATGGGAATTGGCGCATTTATGCAGATGAAGCTGCCGTTGTATCGTAGATGTGTTCAAAAGGGAAGGCGCACCGTCCTGTTTCCAAAATTTGGTGTTGTTGTTGAGACGCCGGTGATCGTTCTTTCACTTTGAAAAGGAAAGCGTATTTGTCCAATGGGCGTGGTTGACCGTCTCGGGAAAGAAAAGATTCAGCTTTTTGGCAGTGCCTCAATATTTATACATCTTCAAAACCATTATTCGCGGTCGTAAACCTCTACCAAAGCGACTGAATGAGCACTCTTCGAGATCAGAGAAGACCTTGATGAGCCTCACAACATCAGTCTCCGTCATCTTCAGACTGTTGCTTCTTTCGGTCCGCCTTTTCCCCCACCCCTTCTTCTTTCTCTCTTCCTGCCGTTTGCACTTGTTTCTCTGCTGGACTTCATTTAAGAGCCTTTATGATGGCGTCCTACCCTATTACCCAGAACTCTTGGGCTAATGTATCCCAATTGATGGCACCTTCTCAGTCGCAATCCAAACCGACATTGAAAAAGGCATGGCTTCCCGGAGACCACTCACTGACACACACACACTCTGGGTCTACAGCCCCGGACATGCTGCAATCATCTCAGTCGCAACATGACCAGCCCGAGGCACAGCCCTCAGGACCGGGTGGTGAGCTTCTTCCCCCGGTCCCACGGACCAAGCCAGAGCATGCATCAGAGGGACAGCCTGATGGTGAGCTTAACAGACTGTTTACTCACCAGACTGAGTCAATTGAGGAGATTCAGACTGGCTTCCAATTCCAGCCAAACAGCCTAGCTCCGTCCAACTCAGAAGCACGGCGTACTGGCGCCTCAGGAGCAACAAGCAAACACTCTCAAAGACACAATCCGGCTTCTACATTGGCTCAAAATGCTTCATCAGCATTAGTGGCAAGGGATCCAATCATTTCATATCACCAACGCTCCCAAGCGGGAATACCGGCGATCGAACCTACATCTAGTTCACTTCGTAGTACTCAGAATTCGTCTGATAGGGGAGAATCTGACCATATCGAAGGCCGTCAAATTGAAGCAGCTCAAAGTCCGAAACGGTCTTATTTCATGTACGATTCGTTAAATTCTATTGAACAAGACGACGCGTCGCATCGTAGGACTGTACTGGTCGAATTTCACAGACAAGATGATCATAATGGATACAACGAGAATGATGGCGACTCGACCGGTACACTCGAGGAGGTCGACGTTGTGCGACACAACTTCGAAGACGAGACAATGGAGCACAATGAGCAAGAAATATTGAGCCATGGTCAAAGTATCATTGACGATACAGCTGATGTTCTTTCGGCTAACAATGACGAAAACCAACTGGAGTTACTATCGACGCATCACCCGTCGGCATCAGGAAATCAAGTGGCTGATATGTCTCCACAACTCATTGGGAAGGAAACTTATTTGCGTTCGTCGGCGGAATTTCGGACGAATATCTCCTCCCAGCACACGTCAAAGCCAGATGAAGTTGCTATCAAATTTGGCCTACAGCAGAACCCCAAAAGTGCTCTACAGCCCCTCCGATACGAGTGTACTGACCAAACTCAACGTTCTATTCAACACAAGGATGATGTGGCACCTCCTGATCCCAAGATAAGTCAGCAGATTAGCCACCCGGTAAGTGGCGAGCCTCGGTTTCGACCTGAAGGGGCTAAGAACAAATCCCCTAGCCCAATAGCAAGTGTGGTGACAGACCTATCATTCACGCCTCCAGTCAAACGGACACGTCCCCAGCGCCGAGGCGGGAAAGGTAATCTCAAGGAGATGAAACGAAAACTTCCAAATCGATCATCAGAAACAACGCAGGCCGAAGAACGCTGCCTGCGGCCCATTTCCCGGGAATCAAACATCTCGAAGCGTAGATTCCCGAACCCATTACCGAGACCAACTGCACAAACTCCTCTTAGTCCTTTGAGGCGGACTGTACGCCAGGAACGGATGATTCTGGCAAATTCGTGGAACGGATACTTCAGCCGTGAGCACGAGTATCTGGAGAAGCTTGAAGCAAAAATCAATCGTTTGGAGGGCTATATTGAGGAATATGAACAAACCATCGAGCAGTTTGAGACTGCAGAGGTTGCTCAAAATGAAGTTATTCATAAGCTAGAAGCCGAGAATACCGAGCTTCATGCTTCACTCAATACTCAGAAGAAGAACTTTGATACCCAAGATGCGAGGATTGTTGAGCTGCGTAGCAAATGCCGAGAATACAAAGACGGGTTGAACAGGGCTCTTGTAGAGCAACAACAACTATACACCAAATCGAAGCAGAATATCAAGCATATTGTTCATCAGCTTCAAACCGAGCAACAAGCTTCCGAGAGGTCGAGAGAGAATTCCATGAATGCAGTACTCGACCAGTCAGAGTCAACTCGGCAGACCCTTCAAAAGCATGTGAATGACGTTGCGACACATGCACGCCTGAAGATTGCTGAATGTAGGTCATTTGTGAATTATAGTTGTGGTCGACAGAGCTGACTGTTTTCAGTAGAGAACACGATCGAGATTCTGAAGGCAGATCTCGGAGGACGACAGCAAGAGCTAAATCAGGAGAGGGAGTCGAGTAAAATAGTTAGAAGTGAGCTCGAAGAGTCCCACCGGGTCAACACCGAGGTACTTCGGAGTCTCGAAGTCCAGAACACCAAAATTCTCGAGGCTGTGGAAGAGCAGCAAGGTCGTTCGAAGGACTCCGAACAAGCAGTCAACGAATGTGACAGCAAACTGAGCTCCTTGGCTGACAAAGTGGCAGAGCTCAAAGCGCAAGTCGTCCATCCCGGTTCCATTACAGAAAGTCTTGCGTCAACTCATAAGGATATCACCAAGAGCGTTGTAGCAGAAATCCAAAGCCTCGAATCATGGTTGCTCTATGCTGGCACCGACCAAAAGGGCCTTGCACGTGATAAGAAGATTGATGAAGTCATCACCCTCTGTCGCACCATTGATGAAGATCTGCGAGGTGAGGATGGAACAATGTATTGGCAGCAGAAGTGCCAAAAGGCGGAAGCAAAGTTGTTGGATGCCGCAGAGAAGCAACGTTACCTCCAGGCTGAAGCTGATAATGCCGTCAACTGTCTTCAGGAAGTTTCTGGCAAACACGAAGAGCTCAAAAGTCATACTGCGATCGTTGAGCATGAAGTCATGGAGTTGCAGGACAAAATCGAGGCTAGTCGAGAAGCTCAAGGAGAAAGTGACAGATTGGGGAACCTCCTATCTGAGAAGGATACCACTATTGCTGACCTGCAAAACAAACTTCAAGAGAGCCAGGACAACAACCAAAAGTTGCAACAAGCTCTCGACATGGTGACTAAAAGTCAAGAGCAGAATGTTACCGAGGGTGCACAAGAGATCGAACAACTTCGAGATAAGTGTCAAGACGTCATGGAACGGCTCATGGCTTCCGTCGGTGATCGTACAAAGATGGAACAAGACCTGCACAAAGCCAAGGAAAAGATTCAGCGACTGTCATCAAACCGCGAAGGCGAAGCGAAAGACCTAACGAGACTCTTGCGGGAGGATATCCGCGGAGTTCAAGACCTTACCAATAGCTTCAACGCTATTAAGACAGAACTGAGTAGTCTCAATCCAGTATCGCAATGGAACGAGAGCAGAGCCAACCTCTGTGCATTGGAGGAAAGATACAAGAATCTCATAAACGACCTTGCGGGTGCTACCAAGAAACGGAAGGAACTAGTCATGTTGAGCACAGTCAACGAGGAGCGAATTCAAGTGCTGGACACGCTGGTGGAAGCCGAAACACAAACTCCAGGAGCCCATTCGGAGGAGACGCTTCCATCGGTTGAAGAAATGGGACGTCTGCGCCGTGTCATCGTCCGATCTCCTATTGATGAACCAGTTCCTCCAGCTCCGACAGTTATGGAGGAGCGTGAGGCTCGTCGAACCACACAACCTCCAAAATCGAGTCTGAGAACCACGCGACAATCTACAAAGGCAAGAGAAATGGAAAGGGAACAGGAAAATGAGATGCAGGCAAATGCAATCGTGGCTGACAAAACATCAGACCCGAATGCACAAGCAGTGCAGCGCCGTCTTAAATCGGGGCTGGTCACTCACAGCACCTTCAACCGTCCAGTCCATAGCGGAAGCAAGAGAGTGCAAGAAGATACCGCACAAGTGGCTAGCAAACGAAGGAAAACATCTGAAGCTGGTCTTTCAGACGGCAACGCTGCCAGACCAACTCGTGCCATGTCGAGCCGTCCTCCCGTCCTTGGGGACAGAGAAACTAACGAAGAGGAGGTCGGCAAGGAAGACATGCTGATACCAACCACTGGTAATTCCAGGCTCGCAGTTGTTGACAATGGTTACTCACGTCGAAATGGTGCCAATCTCGTCACGTATGGCAACCAGGCTCCGAAGGAGTCCGGGCAGCCTTCAGGTTCGTCAAGACGATCGACGCAACGAGCGCTGACCGCCAATTCCGATAGGACTTTTTCAAGACGTTGACGCCAGACCGAGTCGCAGGGAAGTTGAACGTGAGATATGGGGAGCATTCTGTTACCGGTCAGTTATGTTTGTTAGGTGGACTTTTGCTGTGCTAAAGTTCTGATCTGCAAGTTGCAAATTTGGGGCCACGTCGTTAAACAACGGATGACTCAAATATCGTTTTCATATTTGCTTGGGGATGTACAGTGTAACATAGCTAGAGGTGCGATATGTTGCAATCAACCGTTGCTTCCAATCTTGAACGCCTTCCAATGCATATTCTTTAATGTACAATATTTCACTCTCTTACAAGTCCATACACAAGGCCTGGTGGCAGTTTGGTTGGTGAAGAGTAGTGTCGGCCTCATCAAGACAAGGACCCTGGCTATCGGCGGCCAACAGTTATGTGACTGTTTTTTTTTTGGTTCAGACATGTATCCCACATACATGGGACGCCAGGTCTTCTGAGCTGGCTCAAGACTTCCTCCGCCCTGCTAAGCCTTCGGTGTTTTGATTTGACCGTCTATTTGCCTTTCCGCTTCTGCTCAAGGAACAAAACCTTTTTCCGTACTAGAATCAAGTTATTAGCTTCGCACGGCCCTGCGCGACGCCGTTTCGAATTCGAACATACTGATCGGGTCGTATTTGAGCATGCTCATGGGATTCGCCGTGCGTGGCCTCGTGAAGCTGTAGAAGTAGCCGGTCATGGCCATCGAAAGGAGGCGCACATTAATGATGCGGGACTTGGCTGTTGGAGCACAATGGAGCTCCGGTCAGCTTTGTTGCTTTGCAACGGATGCGACAAAGGGGGAATGGGATGATGTGATTGGGAGAAGAACTGGCAGGTGCGGAATGCGGATGCCCGCTGGGAAGACATGAGTTTGAACGTACGTTTCTTCGCCATGATGGGCTGCTGCTGCTGTTGTATACTGCTCGAGAGCTTAGTAGATGCGTTGACTTTCAGGCCTCGAGGCTATCTGCGTGCTGGGTGAGGTGGTGTGAGCCTCGCGATGGACGACTTTTTGGTGGAGCTAGATGTCTTGTAGGGGCTTGTAGACTAACTCGCATTGATGCATACCTAGGTTAGAGTATTCATCACGATTTCGACTTCGCTAACCTGAAATTACTTTCACGGCACCTGCGGAATACGGTAGAGAGTAAGATAAAGGCGGCAGCTCTTCTATAAAGCAAAACTAATGGTTAAATTTGTTTGTGATTCTACAGGTACGGGTGTCCATCACATATATTCCGGTCTGCTCTTCGTACGGATCCGTACGGTCGTACAAATTGAACCTCTATTGGGAACATGTCTCGCAACGTGCTGGAGACTCCGATAAGCCGGTAGCGTCTTGGCTCATATCGGGCTCGCTCAATTCAGAGCTCAGGGAAGAGTGAACGTGGTTCCAGCTGGAGTTGAAACAAATTGTGGCTCCACCCTCTGATCCCTGAGCTTGAGCGAATGTCGCATTCGAAACGAATATCTGGCCATGTGTTCTGGTAACAAAATCCTCACTTGAGAAATGCAACAGCAGGCTGTTGAACTGTATCTTTAATTTCCAGCTTCGCCCGATTTCAAGTCATTTTTAGTTACGGACCTGTGTTCAGCCTCACTCAGTTTACCAATTCTTTTCTCTTGATGATTCAGCTAGCGTAACCGCACTGTACGTACAACCATCATCATGCCTCCAAAAAAATCAGGCAAGAAAGACGCGAAGAGGGAGGTGCCAGCGATCGACCCGAAGTCATCCTTCACGCCCGAGAACTTTGGGGCTGAGCTTAAGAACCTCGCAGATCAAGCCAAGAATGAGACTTGGGGGAAATGGGCCGTTCAGGAAGCTGTCATTTGGGCCAAGGCCGCGGCCTTGCTGGCCGTCGTTGCCGTGTACGCTAATGTTTCCGAGTTGGCCTTGTCGCCTGTCTACGGTGGCATTCCATCGTCCATATACCACTCCAAGGTGGTGATAGGTGGTGCCTTCGTGGGATGGGCTGGTAACTTATTGCTGAGACGCAACCTGCCCATGAAGACGCAGTACTTCCTTCCGCTCATCGCGGCTTATATCCCAATGATTCAATTCTACCTCTTCAAAGTGAGCGGGACTCTGGCAGCAACCCACGGTCCTCTAGTCACCGAGCTGCTTACCATCTTCCCGCTTCTGGTCTTCTCGGTCGCATGCGTGGCAGACATCCTCGAGAGGGCCGATCTGGATGGTCTGCCCAAGTGGGCTGCCGATGCCGCACCTGGCTTTCTCTCCTACGGCATCTACAAGTTCTTCGAGATGTTCGCAGCGGACAATCTGCCGTCCGGTATTGGCCAGTCGTTTCTGCAGACCCGCATGGGATGGGAATTGGTGCTTGCTAGCACTTATACGATCATGGCACCGTCAAAGCTACTATTATATAGTATCCCGGCCTTTCTGCACGCTGCGTTTTTGAATACGCATGTCATGACACCGATTGCTACCAAGTCGCTCAACTCTACCCTGAACGCAGACGGTTGGACTCTACTCGACCGATGGGAGTCAATCACAGGATACGTGTCAGTCTTGGAAAGTGATCGGGACGGCTACAGGGTTATGAGGTGTGATCACAGTCTTTTGGGCGGCGAGTGGCACAAGCTACCTAAGCCGATTGTCAGTGAGCCGGTATACGCTGTTTTCACAATGTTGGAAGCCGTGCGATTGGTGGAAGTACCAGAAAAGGTACCTGATAGTCAGGCAAAGGCTCTCAACATGTAAGTTACAGCAATACTTGCAAGGATGAGGATGTGTGCTAACATGTGATTGCAGTGGGTTGGGCATCGGCACTACGCCTTCAGCACTGATTGCGCACGGTATCGACACCACCATTGTTGAGATTGATCCTATCGTGTACGATTTTGCAGTCAAGTACTTTGGTTTACCTGCAAATCACACCGCAGCCATTGAAGATGCCGTCAGCTACACTGAACGCATTGCGCAAGATCAAGCCCAAAGTTTTGACTACATCATCCATGACGTATTCACGGGAGGTGCTGAGCCGATTCCGTTGTTCACATTGGAGTTTCTACAGTCTTTGAACAACTTGCTCAAACCGAATGGTGTTGTCGCGATTGTAAGTTCTACCAAAATACAGCAAAGTTCCTGGTGACTGACAAATGCACAGAACTACGCTGGTGACTTCACTTTGCCTCCGCTAAGCACCGTAATGCACACGATCAGGGAGGTCTTCCCCTCCTGTCGTATATTCCGAGAATCGCCAGCCCCATCCGCCGAGAAATTAGAGGAGAACGGTCGGGATTTTGACAATGTTGTTGTGTTCTGCCGTAAGACGGCGGACAAGATTACGTTCCGCCCCGTGGTTCAAGCCGACTTACTACAGAGCAGAGCCCGGGCTCATTACCTCATGCCCAGGAATGAAGTCCCAGAGTCAGCATTCATGACAGGTGACGATATCAAGCTCGTCAGGAAGAACGACACAGCTGCACTGGCCAACTACCATGACAAGACCGGGCTGGGTCATTGGGCTGTTATGAGAGAAGTGATACCCAAGAACATCTGGGAGAATTGGTAAAACGACTCAAAAGAAATGCCAAACTCATGTAACACTAAGTCGAAAAATAATAATCGATCTGCCGATCAACATTTGCCCCGTTTGAACACACTGACCCTTAGCCATGCTTGAAGAACGATGTCGCCATAACAAAAGCTTTTCTCAGCACAGTCTGTTGTTGTTGGCGCCCACAATGGAGAGCTCGATCGTGTCTTTGGTCTGCACAATGATTGCAGAAATGGCACAGATCGCTTGCTATTTCCTGCAAACCCCGACTCAAAATACTCGTCAATTCCTATCAGATTACTACAATCTCTCTGGATTAAATTAATCAGGTGATCGACCACCACCAACGGCGCAATCTTCAATGAATGGTTGTCTGACCCTTGGTATATTTCTAAGCCTCTTCTCTTTCTCGCAATCATAATTATTCAAAAGGAGCTCAGCCCGCACACTCCCTCGTTAACTAAAACATGAATAACCGTGCATTAGGAATGTTTAGTAAACGGTCAAACCAGTCGTCCACCGCCACAGCAGACATGAAGTCAGCTCTGGCCACAGATGATTCCGACCAGAGTATCGTATCCTCCAGTCATTTAGGTAAGGTCAGTCCAAAGCCAAGTCCTCCGAGGGCAAACGAAAAGCAATACCAAGGCGCCTACGTGCGACCCGCCAATTGAAGTTATCGACATCAATTCCGACGACAAAGGCGAAGAAAGGTTTGCCGATGAGCCTAGTAGAGAACGCTTTGGATAACTCGCTGACGACAGCAGACTCGTCTACGAGACAGAATTGAGAGTGTCTACAAACGTGTCTTTTCTTCCCGAAGCGGAATCAGGGCACTCCTCGGTCGACTCAAAAGTCTCATCAATTGCATGTGGTGCGACCTGCCTGATGCCAGTTGTGCAAGTCGTGTCAGCTCCGAATTGAAGATGCTCCGCATTTACGAACGGTACATTGCGAACAAAGTCTGCTTTGTCAATCCCGAACATGTCGGTGATGCGTTACTCAAACGAGTCCGGAGTGGTCGCGTCGTCAAGGCTATTAGGGAGGAAGGCAAAGCAAATAACGAAGCAGCGCCCTCTCAGCGTCTAGTAGGACAACCTCCTGCCATATCGATGCTGAGAAAGGAGAGACCGGATCCGGAAATTATCGATACCCTCTTTGATGAGTGGGATGCAGTTTCACGCGTTGAGCGAATGGCCTTGGCGGCGAATTCGTCTGCTCTTGATGCATCAAGAGATCTATTGGATGAAGCACTAGACGCCCACAACGAAGAGCCTAGCCGTGGAGCTCTTGATACAGTCGAGAATAAGAATTTCAGTGTGCAGAAAGATACCACTGCAGTGGATTTGGAATGCCAGGAGGTAACTACAGCCATCCACAATGGTGATCAAGCCGAGATGCCCAAGCCCGCCTACGGCAGTGGGGGCCTTCTGGCTCCAACAGCAAACACTCTCCTGCCCCAGCAATGATCCATAGTTCACCCTATTTTGGTAGGCCTTTTTCTGCCTCCAGTACCCACGAGTTCACTGCCAGAGACGAGTCCCTTACTGAAAGCCAGAACCGTGTTTCAACCAGCTTAAGACCATCTCGTGTCTTACGTGGCCCTAACAAATTTTTTTTTTTGAAAACGATTACCGTATGGCTGTGGGTCTTGTAGAGTCGCAACAGTACCGCAAAATTCCGTGTGCCCCAGGGTAAATGGACGAAGGTCGACGATTGCTAGTAACCCTCAACAGTAATAAGAATAAAAAGTATCGCCGCCCACTTAGGGACATCGTTGACTCGTAGCGCCAAACCAAACGACTGAGAAAATCATTAGGTGGAGGCCTTAACGTAATATATATTATACCCGTAAGAGGTTGCAGACGTCCAAGTGTCAATTCGACAAGGGTGTGTGGGTAGTTTCAGTCGGCAATGTGGCAGGATATCGTATTACAATTTCGCGTAGTAATTAGTACTATTTGGAAAACATTTGTACACGAGAATGTGTCTTTCACCATTTTTAACGGACATCAAATTCTTTTGGAACATCAATTGTTATAGAACAATTTTACCAAATCAGCCTAGCAGTATACACTAATATATTACCAAAAGATAGAATCGACATGTTTTCTTCACAACTGCCTTCGCACGTTTGACGTATTTCTAGATAATGTGATTTTTCAAACTATGGCTTCCAGAGAAGAAAGAGAAAATCTGAGGAACAGCCAAGAGCTCCTATTTACTCGTAAGATCTTCTAGATTTTTAAGCTTATCATCACAAACACCTTCAGACCCATCAATTGCTGTAGTACATGTGTTCATAGAAGCTCAATTCCGACGATGCTATTACGACAGGTTCTCTTAGTGAACTCTTGTTGTTGCTTATCAGCTCTGTTCAACGAGGAGATTTTCACGAACAAAAGAAATAATACATATACATATATATATATATGTGTGTGTGTGTGTGTGTGTGTGTGTGTGTGAGCGTATGAAGTCATATCTACCTAATTAACGAGTGTGGGCATTGTACCAAGATTATCAGGAAATCTGATAATCTGGTTGTGACGCTTGTACACGATTTTGGTTTAGGTTTATACACTCTCACAGGTTGCAGCTTTGAGCGTTGTCGAGTAGGAGCGGTACGAGTTCATTGACTAACTTATTCCAAGTTTCTATACAAGGCTGACCTCGACCGCCACGAACCGATTTAATTCCTTACTATAACTCCTGAAATCTAAAACACGAATAACGGGACGTTGCTATGATGAGTTTCACCCACCTACGCAAGATAATAGCACGACTGTTGTACTCGAACTGCAGCTAGGTAGCAATAAATAATTTTGAGGTATCTTTTTAGGAGTACGTCTGATGGATATGACTATATTGAATGGTTGAAATGAGCATGTAAGGAGAGGACCCTGATTGCAGATTGATTTAAGAAACTGGTTTTCATAATTGGAGGATCTAAAGGAGAAGTGGTAGCTTCGTGTTTAACCTTATTACTTGGCATGGACGTCACAACTGTATTTGCCCATTGAAGGACGGGTAGAGTAGCATGCTTGCCGACCGGACTTCTCAGATGTGAGGTGAAGCAGGAACACAAATTATTCTTCAACTTTACCGACTTTTAGAACAGAATATTGTGACATTCAAAAACAGTAGGCCCACCGTCAATAGGACGATGTTAGTCTCAGGGTATATATTCGTTGCCACAAATATTTACAAACACGTACGTGCTGGAGTCGTTGAAAAGACTTTGTTGCCTGGTGGCTTGAGCGTCGGAATTTATAACAACTTCAAATAGTTGCGCATAGGCGATATCTGCCGCTGAGCGTGTCATAAAATACTTGGTTAATCAAGTCTCGAAAGACTTGTTCAAGCGAAAATATCCCATTTTCATGCACCAATCTCACGCAGCTTGCCAGAGGGCAGATGATCCGCGAACCGACTAATCTCGGCACAATCTATACTATAAATGGAAAGGTGCCTGACAGGAGAATAAATATTGCGTTCTTCATTCTAACCTAACAAATCTTTTTTAGGCCGTTGTTAAATAAAAATAAGAATTGGTAACCTGACGGGATGCGACGCTTCCGCTTGATCGAGGGGCTTAACTTCAAGGCTGGAAGTGTACATCCATGGCATGTACGCCTGAGAACACTCAAGAACCACGCAAAACGGAGGGATTACATATGTGTGAGAAGCGAATTTATTCATGGACACTGGAGCAGCAAGAGTTGTGTTTCTAAACGGGAATAACGTCCAGTCACGCATACCTAAACATCAAGCACACTAAAATAAGTGCTTTGAACCCCACCTGGCCGCCACGCAACCAGCTGGCAGCCCAGTTGTACTGTCGCCTTGCCGGCTTGATGTTTCGCAACTTGGTCGCGTCACTGCAGGTGCTTTCATAGAAGTTCGCAGGCACTCCACAACCGCCAACATGGACGACGATGACTTTGGTGCTGACTCGGAATTTCTGAGTGCTTTGGCAACTTCTACAGGTGGAGGAGATTCAGGTCAAAGCAGACAGCGGGCGGCAAATCGCATTCAACAGCCCAAACCACAGAAGATACAGCAGCCGACGCCTCAAAGACTAGATAAAGCACCGCCCGCTAATAGCTCGGGGCCAAAGATTGTACAGCCTACACCACAAGCTTTACCTCAACGTTCGGTAGGATCATCCATTCTAGTGTCACCTCGACAGAAGGGCAACCCCGTATTGGCAGCTTTGCGGTCTGTTGCGTGGGAATACAGTGACATTCCAGCCGATTATGGCTTGGGATTAACGACATGCGCTCTCTTTTTGAGCCTCAAGTATCATCGTCTGCACCCAGAGTATATTTATACTCGCATACGGAATCTGCAGGGAAAGTACAATTTGAGAATTGTCCTGACCATGGTGGACATTCCAAACCACGAAGACTCCCTCCGGGAACTTTCAAAGACCTCGCTTGTCAACAATGTCACGGTGATATTATGCTGGTCCGCTGCTGAAGCGGCTCGCTACCTGGAGCTCTACAAGTCGTACGAACATGCCAGCTTCTCAGCAATTAAAGGGCAACAGGCAACGAGCTACACTGAAAAGCTAGTCGAGTTTGTCACAGTGCCGAGAGGCATTAACAAAGCCGACGCAGTTTCTTTGGTCAGTGCTTTTGGAAGCATTCGGAATGCTGTCAACGCGGATCCAGAGCAAGTGGCCGTTATTGGAGGTTGGGGAGAAAAGAAAGTCAAGAGATGGTGTAGTGTGGTTGAGGAGCCTTTCAGAATTCAGCATGCTGCTAAAAGACATCTTGCGACCAGTGAGAACAGCAATGTTATTGACCAGGCTGTACCCATCAGCAGAGTGCCTTTACGAGAAATGCCCACGCTCTCGACGGCCGTCTCACAGGACAATTCAACCCCTCGGCCTCCGCAACCTGAGAAATCCAAGAGCAAGCCAAGTCAGTACCAAATATGGGATCCAAATGATGATGAAGAGGATGAAGAAACCATGATTGCAGCGGCTATCGAGGAGTCGAAAAAGACTGCTGCACTGGAGGGCTCATCAATTGTTCGACAGCAGGAAGACCAGCTCAGTGAGGGGATCGCCGCGGCATTGGCCAAGCTTAGGGACAAGGATTAATACCAGGCAATGGACAGTGTTGGCCGCAAGCAACAATGCAATCGAAATTATTACATCCCCTGCATAACTCCGAATTCGGCGGGGGCCTGCCCGGGTATGCCCTGAAATATTGTCCCCAATACCTGGCATCTAGGCGGAGATTATGCTCAATCACAGCCTATTTCAGGCATCTGTATTCGTGCTGCTTGTTTGCTTGCTTCCGTTCTGCAGTGGCTCATAGGTAGGCCGTTGTTACATCCGGTTTTCTGCCCTGGCCATGCTCGCGTCTTCCTCTTAATCAAAGAGGCAAGATGTCATGGCTACGGTAGATCAGGCGATTGGCTTGCGTAACGTATACTCAAGCCACGCGACATGCAGGAACTCAATGACTATGCAACGAGGGGTCGCACTCGAAATACTCGTTACTTCCTGAAGGAGATTCTGACTTCAAGCTTACTCAATATCGGATGGCTACAGCTCGCGCATATCCTAGAGTATGCACGTCCATGTCCATGCGGACAAAGGTGGTACGGTGTAGCAATCATGAGATGTTACACCGCAGGCACCTGTGCATGCTTGCCTCGCATCATGTTAGGCGAGGTGATAACAACTCGGAGTGGTCAGCGGATAGAATAGGGACCAAGCTATTCAGGTGGTGGATGTTCTACTGCAAATCTGGTCTACTAGGAATTTGTAGAAGCAGCCATAGTTCTTTACTAGCCTAGGCAAGAGAAAGAGTAACATCGCCTCAGCAACTTCTGTCACAAAGCATGTCTTGCTTGGTCTTATGATGGCTGATTGATTTGATGGTCGGCCATGGCGAAAGAGCTCCCCCGCAGATCAGTGATGCGCTAGGAGAGAATCAACCGCCGCTAGCTGCTCCCCCACAGTGAGATGCAGGGGTCAAATCAAGCTCATTTCAAAAGTGTCCAGTGCTTGTGCTAGATCTTGGGTCATTTGTCTGTAGACCGGCCAACATGCTGCAAGACATGGGCCAAAAGAGCCGAGACCACAGATTATCACAATCTCACGCGTTGCAAATGCAAACTCGTTGCACGCGTCTAAGAAGCTGCTTTGTTTACCGCAGCTCAACCCTAGATAATCCTACATACCATTCCCTTGTTCCGCGGTTCCGTTGTTCGAACTTTGTTGAGGAACAGACATTCCCAGCCTACCACTCTTCCGGAAGGTCGGTGATAGGCGGCCAGCCTTCATTCACACTTCTGAAGCCATGGTTATTTTTATACATCAACTCATGCCCGTTTGATGAGTGCATTGCCCTAGTCTGGCCAAACCAGATCGCTCTTCGGCGGTCGATCTTCACTTCGAGAATGTCCAGTGCTATCCTCGCAGCTGACCCTCTATTTAACTAGTCTCAGTCTTTCTGTACTTGATTGGACTATCTCTCGAAGCGGTTTTCATAGCGACAAATGGCTCTTTATTGAAACAATAGGCGAGAAGGTCGTGGCACATGGTACCCACGATGCCAAATGCCCTTGCTCTTACCCTAATCTCGTGTTTGTATCTCTGGTCATTCATTAAATGTTGAGTTACATGCACTTTACCCATGGCCTGGTCACCCACACGACTTAGCTGGATCTAAGATGGCAGGGTTGCCGGCTTTCCCAGGATCGTCGTTCCCTTTAGTGAAGCGGGTCTAGTGCCTGCAAGTCAAGGCATGTTGATGACATAGGAAGGTTCAATAGGCCTGGATGGACTCTTCCTCCCCTGCCTGCATGGGATCTACTTGTCCATGCTCATATTAACAGGCATTATGCTTCGTGTCTTACAGGTCGTGTCTGCGCATGGAGGTTCCGTGACTTGGTCTATATCAGGGACTCTTGTGTTATACCGTCTTCCATCCGATCTGGCGATCACAGTTCTAGTTATGTCCCCCTGTCGCCGGCTTTTCATCAGGGTCACGTTCATTTTGCGAGTCAGTTTGCATTCGTTGATACGTACATGCATTGAGAATCTGTTAGCCAATAGAATTCTGCAGTAAATACTATTATAATGCTCACCTAGATACGCTCGGAAGAGCCCGTAAAGTGTACATGACTTGATAGTACATAGTCGGAGACCCTTCCACAGTGTAGAGTTCTTTCAACAAGCACCTTCCAGCTTCTTGCCCCAACATTAGTGGAAGGCTGCCACGGGGACATGGGCTCATGTGCAAAGGTGATCAAGACACCTTGGAAGTCCCTAACATAACGGCCATCCTACGCGCTGTATATAGTTTGGCTGCTTCTGCCGTCTGCTTTGCTCCCCCCCAAGAAAATAAAACTTTGTCCTACTACTCACTGGACTCTACTCTACCTCAGGTGCTGACAATACCCAGTAGCCAATACCTTGTCAACTTTCTATTTTTACGATGGTATCATTTAAGCAGGCTATAGCCACTTTGGCTTCCGTGGCTCATGTCCTTGCTGCTCCAGCAACTCCCGGCACGGCGGACTATATCGCCCATCCAGAAAGGGCTGCAGCGATCCAAGAAGCATTTGACAGAGCCTGGGCAGGTTACTACACATACGCCTTCCCCCACGATGCACTTGCTCCTCTATCGGAATCCTACCTCGATGGCTTGTGAGCATTTCATACTCGCGATCAAGGGTCGTGCTAACACCTCTCACAGTGGTGGTTGGGGAGCAAGTGCTGTTGATGCACTTTCCACAGCTTTGATCATAGGAGACAAGAAGGTTGTCAACCAGATTTTGGATTACATCCCAGACATCGACTTTTCGACGGCAAACTACACTGGTTCTATCTCCCTTTTCGAGACAACGATTCGTTACCTCGGAGGTCTGATCTCTGGTATGTTTCCTGCCGGGTTTCTGCAACAATTGTGATACTAACAGTCTGGTAGGGTATGATCTCTTATCTGGTCCCTTAAAAGATTTAGCGGACGATGAGGCAAAAGTGTCTGCGCTATTGGAACAAGCAGTGAAGCTAGCCGATTTGTTGTCAGTTGCTTTCGACACACCCAGTGGAATTCCCATCAATGACCTGGACTGGCAACCGCCTCGTCCCCAGAACGACACTACCAATGGTATTGCGACGATTGGTACCCTAGTCCTGGAATGGACAAGACTGAGTGATATCACCGGTAATAAAACATACGCTGAGCTATCACAGAAAGGAGAGGCGTATCTACTTGATCCTCAGCCGAAGAATATCGGAGAGCCGTTCCCGGGACTTCTCGGAACGTATCTTGATGTGACGAACGGCTCGTTCGTAACCTCTTCGGGGAGCTGGGGTGGCGGCGACGACAGCTTTTATGAGTATCTTATCAAGATGTACCTCTACGATACCGAGCGCTTCGGTGACTACAAGGAACGCTGGGTTGTGGCTGTAGATTCCAGCATCAAGTATCTCACATCTCATCCATCAAGCCGCCCAGAATTGACTTTCCTTGCGGCTTGGTCTAACTCGACAAGCCTGCGATATGTCTCTCAACATTTGGCATGCTTCAATGGAGGCAACTTCATTCTTGGTGGACTCACTCTGAGCCGACAAGACTATGTAAGTACAAGATTCTGTTATATGGCTGCTATTACCAGGTCTTTTATCTAGACCGTTCGGGCTTGAGGATTGAGGAGATTGCTGTTCCGGTCAATGACTAGCCGACGAGATAACAAGAAGACTTACGACGCTAACTTACATTCAGATCGATTTCGGTCTTCTACTAGTTGATGGCTGCCATGACACATATGTCGAGACAGCGACCGGTCTTGGACCTGAGGTTTTCGCATGGCAAGATAGCGTCACCAATAGCAGTAGCAACACAGCGGCACCTGCCGACCAGGCGGACTTCTACAAAGATGCAGGCTTTTGGATTAGTAGTTCCGCTTACGTTCTTCGTCCCGAGGTCATTGAGAGTTTTTACTATGCCTGGCGTGCCACTGGTGACTCCAAGTATCAGGACTGGGCTTGGAGCGCCTTCCTGGCCATCAACAAGACGTGTTCCGTTGGTGATATCGGGTTTGCGGGTGTTAGCGATGTGAACTCCCCGGACGGAGGTCAGAAGTACGACGAACAAGAGTCCTTTTTCTTCGCCGAGGTGCTCAAATATGCATATCTGATTCAAGCCGAGGAGGCAGAGTGGCAGGTGTCTGCTGACAAGCACAACACTTGGGTCTTCAATACGGAAGCGCACCCTTTCAAGGTTGCTGGATCTGCAGCGTAGTTGTATGTCACTCACGATGGGCTCGATGCGTGATTGTCGAATTGCATAGATTATGGATTGTCGACGTTCGGAATAGTCTATTATAGTCTCCTTAATGGTATTATAATTCCTTATTGACTTTGCAGTCTTTCATTTCCTGCCAATAATATGGGGCCTGTGGAGATCAGTCATGCATTACTTCAGCTTGGTATGAGTCGTAGCACACTGCAAAATCGCATGTTTGAAAGTAATTTCGCGATAGGACAAAACTAACCTACTGTGGTTCGGTTCGGTTCGTTACTTGGTATGCCAATAGCTTGTCAGCTCATGCATTCCTGGTTCATTCCCAAAGACGGGAGAGACAATGCCTGTAATTTGGCCTTATCGGGTGAATAATACCACCACCTACAATCAGAGATCAGTATCAACGTTTTTCATGATGCCCCGCGACCGCGATTGTGAATCTATTTCTCTGATTATGATTGCCAAATCTCAGAGCACTTCAACCTGGCCACAACAGCATGGATGATGCCGCATCCGGCATAAGTAAATCCGGACAATAAGTATCCTAGACTAGGATTGAATGAACTGTATACCTCCGAAATAGCTAATACCTAAGGGTTCTATCGTTATGACTACACAAGTCTTGACATAGACCCCATGGTATCTTTCGACCCCTGGACTTGCTTCCGGATCGACCACGTGACACGATCCGGTGTTCTTTGCGGCGGGTACGGCATACGGCTGACCAACCCAATAGCAATTATCAAGGGCTGTCATACACCTGGGTCGAGATATCCATATCCATGGGGTTCTAATCGACCATGACGCACTACTCGGATTACGTGAGAAGAATAAAATTTCGGCTTTCTGGGCTAATGCAATCTGTATTGGTCATGAGAACAACCTCGAGGTGAAGGGAAAGGTTACACAAATGTATAGAATATATGCTAGCGCCAATCATATTATTTTTGGAGTCATACTTGCCCTTTCTAGCATGTGTACGGGGCCGACATAGTGTATCAAAGAAAATCATTTCCTTGTGGCTGTTTCACAATACTCGTGAGGACCCTCTGACCCATTATGAAGAATTAATTACTGACTTGGGATGCTGTGGTGGTGGAACGGAACTTGGGTTGCTCAGGAACTTGGCAACGCGCAGGCGGCCAAGTTTATGTACAGTTCCAACTTCTTTCCATAATCTTACTATCTCTAATAATCTTACTCTTATGACACTGCCAACCTCAAAATCACGCAGTTCTCTCATCCATTTTGAGTCTTGTGTTCAAGATACCGAGCACATAATATGATGTACATTAGTCACAAGTATGTAAGAAACAGGCATGTTAATTTCTTATGACTCATGAACAATTATCGGCGTTAATACTTCGGCCACAGAAATAAAAATATTCTCGATGCTGGGCATGAAGAACAGTGTGACCTGGGTGAATATTCGGCCAGACTATTCAAGACCGGCCACTCATGTCTTTCGCGGCAGTCCTCGCCTCTGATATCATGATATACCATGATCTTGAAATGTTCTTTCTAGTTCATCTTGTCCACGACATGGGATCATCTCCAGCTCGTCCCTGCACTTCATGGATCGCAAATATGACTTACTGCCGCACGACGGCGGTTTTACAAATACTGGCCGGCACTGCCTCTGTTCAAATGAGCGCCTGTTTGCCTGATATCTTTCTCCAATGGGTTCTGGGCTCTTTATATGGACGGAGTCCTCATCGGTGTCGTGAAGGATGTAAGAGTCCAGGGGACGGATGAGCCATTTCAGATATATTACACCGACGGACGCGGAGATTGGACCTGGGATCTTGACAACATTGTTGCCTAACTAGCATCGGGCGGACTGCTACTTACGGCTGCTGGTCAGAAACTTTTCGAAGGATAGGAAACGCTGGGCTTATGCACATGGCTATAAGCAGATTACTGAGCGACATATTGAATTCAGGGCGTATGAGCACTCGGGAAGGATGGGTCAAGCATTCGGAGAGCGGTGCCGAGCAACCACCGCCTGATCGAACAAAGACGGAATATCCCCAGCCTACCAGGGCGCTGGAGATGACAGCGGCAGAGTATCAAAGCAAGCTCTTTCTTGTTTTCCCTAGGAGACGCCACAATGGATTTGCTTTTTCGGGTAATGGAGTAGATGATGCCAATGACGACAGCTTTGCAGAATTTGGCGCCGACGGACTGTTTAGCGAAGAGAAGATCCTAACCAAGGCTGCTTTTCAAACTGTAATTTGCAGCCTTCTTCTGACCAAGGGAAGGAATCTCCGTCTCGCTTCATAGGTCACTCGGCCTGGCGATCGTCTGTTCGTGTTGTTTGGGATGCTCGGGGCGGCCATCCTGCGGCCGTGCGCTAGCGATGGAGAGTATATGTTCGTCGGGACAGCGTACTCTCATGGTTTTCTTGGCGGTGAAGATTTGAAGTTGCTTGAACAAGACATGTTTTCGAGGATGCGAGTCAAATTGCAATATAATTGCAATATTTTCTGTTTTGGCTCTTGCTATGTAAACGTAAGTTGAAAAGGAGCTGTTTAGTTATGTATTTTTATAGAAACCCTAAATCTGCCCATGCGCGCTCCCTTTACTCTTATTTCTACCGTAAAATTGCATAATAGAGGAGTCGTAATTTCTTGTATAGAGAATATCATAGAGTATATCACAGAGCTTTGAGATAGAAGGAATTAGAGTACCTGGGAAGGATGGGGTAATTTATATCCTTCAAAACATCAAACAGGCGGATTATCCGAATGCCTCTAAAGTAGACTGACAGATACCATCGGTGAGCGTCAAATTCTTTCCCCGTGGATCTGTTGCGTAAGCCCAGCTAGGATGTTTCTTTTGGTTGAGTAAAGGTACACAGTATTGCGGTCGCAAAAGTAATTTATTACAAACAGAGGCAGAGTGAGGTCACAAGTGCGTATATGAGTAGGCGAAATCATCAACATGACGTACAATCCCAGTCAATTGATATTAATGGTGCACATGAACTCCAAGGCTTGGCAGCCTAGTCCCTGATGATATACCCAACTCATTAAGCGCCAGACAATTTTGCAGATATCCGATAATGTTCAATGTGATTACTTGTGGAAGGACTTGACCTTCTCAACCTCGTCATAACTACCCATAAAAATTCCTGACTTGTCGTGGATACTTTCTGGGACAACCTCGAGCATCCTGTTCATGTTGCTGTCAATTGCCAAACCACCCGCTGCGACGTCATCAGTTTCAGGTCATCTGCAATGGTGGGAGATGTTGTAACTTACCGTTTTCAAATACCATGGCCATTGGCGCACACTCGTACAGAATTCTGAGCTTTCCCTTCGGGCTCTTCTTATCTGCGGGGTATGCAAAGATGCCTCCGTACAATAGCGTTCTATATGCGTCTGCAACCATGGAACCGATGTATCTTGCGCTGTATGGCTTGCCGTCGGCCTGTATCTGCTTCAGGGAGTTGAAGTACTCCTTAGTGTTGTCTTGCCAGTACAGTGAGTTACCCTCGTTTGCAGAGTAGATGGCACGAGACCTGGGGATCCTCATATCCGGGTGTGTGAGGATGAACTCTCCGAACGACGCGTCCAGAGTGAAGCCGTTGACAGAGCCGCCCTTCATGGTGATGACCAGCTGGGATGAAGCGCCATACATGGTGAAACCAGCAGCCAGCAGTTCGGTTCCGGGCTTCAGAATGTCCTCCTTTGTGCCCGTCGAACCCTCGGCAAGCTTGTGGATACCGAAAATGGTACCCACCGACACACCGGCGTCCAAGTTGGACGAGCCGTCGATGGGGTCGCACGCTACGGCATACCGGGCGTTCTTCTGATCCTTGAAAAAGATGATGTCTTCCTCCTCTTCTGATACTACCAAGGCACACTTTCCAGACGATCGCATTGCCTCAATGAAGATGTCGTTGCCGATCACGTCGAGCTTCTTCTGATCATCACCGGTTGCGTTCGATTGACCAGCCAAACCGGTCAGATTGACTAACGTGGCTCGGCGAATGTAGTATGCGATGGCTTTGAAGGAGAACTGTAGGGCGTGGCATAGAAGTCTGGAATTTTTCCGTGTAAGTCAACAACCATGTCGTGGGGTCATCGGAAGCGTTACGTACGTGAAGTCTCCTGTTGCCTCTGCAACCTTGGTTTGCTCTTCTGTGAGGAAACGGGTTAGGGTGACAATGTTTGTGTTGATAGTCGCCGTCTCGGCGGGAGGCACATCGCCGGTTGAAGCCATTGCGATCGTTTGGTGTTGGTATGTTTAATCTGAGCCGAGTGAAGTAAAGTAGTGGACAGTTTGTGAAGGACGCTGGAAGTTAGACAGGACAGAATTTCGTGATCACGAGACAAGAAGGATGAAGAAGAAGACCAAGCAAGAGACTCAATGTGTGACGAAACTGGTACATAAGTAATGTCTACAAGAGCAGCGGATCGATCGAGGGGAAAGCTTGAGCTTATGAAGTCAACGCCCGCTGTTTCTACTCCACACCCCTCAAGCTGGAGGTTATTGACATTTGGGGGCCCACGATAGATGCGCGGGTTCGGCAAACGGGTTAACAAAATGACAGTCGCAAAGTTCATGCCCCCATGCCGGCCAAATGGCATTGCCATGGTAGCTCCAAAGAGGATTTTCCGGGTGTTATCGTGACGCGCGCAATGGTTTGTACCGAGGCGGGAGATTTCGGCCAGCTCGGGTCATTACCGTTATTTGGAGATTACAGATTGGTCGTGTGAGCGTCCAGCTAATGTCTATTTCCAGAGCCAATTCATATTTCAGGAGACACAATTGCTACCAAGCAGAGTCCAGCCCAATTGCCGGAAATAACACCATATTGCAAGGAAAGGACATGTTTGCTTCTGCAGCTGTGTGGTTGTCTTGGAAGATCTTCATCTTCGTCCTGGTTATGACCGCATAGAGGTCGAATACCACCCCGCCAACCCCGCTGTAGCTTGTCAAGCACGACCCGCTGGGCAGAAGTTAAGTGGGAACCATTAGGTCAGGCTAAGGTCAGTCTTGTTCAGGCACGAGTCACCGCACTTTTTCGGACAAGCTTTCTTCCATAAATAAGGACCGAGTCTAAGGGGTGGGGCCAGATCGGGCGCTCTGTTATTCCGCCATTTCAAGCTTGGTGTCCCACCGCCCCACTCGACGCGGCTCAACTCAAAAAGGTTTCGTTGAATTTTCAGTCCACGATTTTACATGCTTTACAACACACAGCTTTTGGCAATTTCAGAGCTTTCTTGAGCTCTGCTGAGCTCTCTCGACGATGCCTCGGGTCAGTAACATCTCTACCCTTCACACCCTCCCCCTACCCATTGATGACAAGTTGTAAACCGCAAACTAGAGTCTTTGACCTTTTGGAATGAAACTGTTTTTACACGTCAGTCTGAGACGAGCCATCAGCACTTTGCTTCAATTCAATTCGTTTGGCCGAGCTACGTGCTAACTGTACGGCAGAACCTAGGAATCTGAGCACCTCGCAACTAGGCCATTGCCCTAGGCAACAGGACCGGTCTTGCCCGTCACCCGGCGCCTGTCGAAGTCGGTATGTTTAGACCCATCTCCTTATACCTTCACTTTATGATGAGCAATTTTCTGTGCTTCGGCACAGCTGTGAATTACCGTCTGATTATCTCTGACGAAAAAACCCTGGCTGTTTTCTGATCCATATTACCCACACTTCTTCATTCGAGCTTTTTTGGTCAATGCAGTATGTTAACCATTACTCGTCTAGACAGGTCCTTCGTGTTGAGTATGTTCCCATCACATCATTTTCAACCTTCCCTTTTATGATGAAGCGGCACTGGGCTCCGAATTACAAACGCATGAGTCGATACGCCATCTTGTGGCAGGCCTAGAAAACCTCGCCCACTGATCCACATTATCACCGCACGATTCTATCAGGAATTGGTTTGAGCAGTAATCTAATCATGGTTGGCTGCAGACGTTGGATAAAGCACTCCAGTGCTATGTTCTTAGAATTATGAGTAAGTCAAGTCATGTCTGCCCTGAACCTCCCTTCGCGTGATGAACACTTAGATGACGAGTCTTATCTGGGTTACCAATGCAGACAACATCCTTTTATAACCATTCATGCCTATCTGACTGCGAAGTCGAATAAACATATTTGTGATTCGAATCCTTGAACAAAGGCTAACCAAGATAATTAGTCTATTGTAGAGGCTCTTGACTTTACCTCGGATGCCACAGTGCTTTGCTGTCTTCTGTTATCGTCTTCATTTCGAGGCCTTCTACAGTGTCGTAATAGGTAAGATCTTTTTTTCGCTTGCTTTTTCCTAAACACGAATGATGATCCGACTTAACCAATTGACAAGCATATGTCAGAGCTTCACGGCGCAGAAGAGAACTGTCATGTCTGACTTCCCCCCAAAAACACGATTCAGCTTGAGCTTTTCTGTTCCTGGTTTACTGACTTCGTTTTAAGCATTTGCCCACACAGTTGCGAAACATTCTTGCATTATGTACCTGCGCATTATTAGGTAAGACTTTTTTCTTCTCAACCCCCTACTGCCTTTTATAATGATGATCATATTATCACGACGGTCAACATAGCCTTCTGGGTTTTGATGATATCGCCTTTGACAAGGCATACTATTAAGAACTGAAAAAAAAAAATCCTTATCGATCCTGTTTATTGAATATGTCAATAGTCAAAGTACTAACAGGATATTCAGAGTTGCCTTAATTTACGAGAGAAGTATAATGCTGGCCACTAACGATTTGGAGACTTTCAAATCGTGAAGGGGAAAACCTTTCGGGCAGGTGCTCGGAATACCTGGTGGTATCTTCCACTTTTTCATCATGAACCACGCCTTGTTGCCTGGTCGTGAGGAAAATATATCCCCATACCAATTTCTGCTTGCTCGGTCTGAAGATGCGTCCCTACACCCTACACCCTACACCCTACACATTACACATTACACATTACAATCCATGTCACGAAATATCTCCATCGATGGAGGTAATTGGGTTGATTGGTGTATGCATGTTTTCCTAAATGTATGGTCATATGCCGGGATGCAGACTAGCGTAGAACCGATTCCAAGATGTAGCAGGGTCTGCAGATAAATGTCATCGCAAAACCCAGGGGCATCATAATGTCCTGTGTCCCACCCACTCAAAATATGATCCAAGAAACACACAGCCAGCCTAGTAGCCTCAAAGTCAGTGGTGCCCGAGCATCAACTTCGAACCCTCGTGCCAAGCTACTAGGGGTGGCAGTGGCCGTAAAGAGACCCGTGAGGACTTCGGTAGTGGTCGCTGTGCTAACTACGGTGGTGGCGCTGGGGATGCTGGTGCCGCTTTTCGTGACGAGTGCGCCATTGACGATGACGACCCCTCTCCCGTCCCCGTCTGGGTCGAGAAGTTCCTTTTCCTGCTCGTCGCTACAGCTTCCCGGTATGTTTCTCACCCAGCACGTACCCGTTGGGCTCGCCGGCAGGGCGAACGTGCTCGTCGCATTCGCCGCGCCAGTGGTGTTGTACGCCGACAGGTCAATTGGCTTCCCGTCAGACACGGACGTCCCCATGATGATCCGGGCAAAGACTTGGAATGCGGTCTCGGGCTGGTATGCGGGCACAGAGTGGCCGGCCTGGTAGATTCGCGAGAACGAGAGGTTGCCTACTTGGCGGACCACCCCGCCGATGTAGGAATCGTTGACAATGATCGGGGCGTAGCCGGTATCAGGAAAGGAAGAGTATCCTGCGTCTGAACTGGACTTCGGCGGAGACACCGGAGACGAGGCCATGCTTGCTAGAGAGAGCGAGACGGCTTCTCCGCCGCGCCAGTTGCAGATGTAGTCCCTATCTCCGTAGATCAGACCGACGCGCACACCAGCGCGCAGGAGCGAAGAGAGCTTAGGTACGAGAGACTCGCGTTCGTAATCCCCTGTCGCCGCGAAGGCAGAGATTACCCCCGTGCTGGTCTCGGTGTAGTTTGTACTCGCGCCGATGGCAGATTGGAAACCGGCGCTGTTGAGATAACCCAGATACCGCGACGGCGGAAATGAGTCGGGAAGCAGTGCCGAAATATCATAGACACTGCGGCCGGCATCCGCGTATGGCAGCATGACGTTCTCCGTGCAGAACTCGTACGCTTGTGAGCAAATATCGTTGACAGACGCCACTTTGCCGCTATTGTTTGCATCGTCGGTTTCAACAGCTGCTCGACATTGTCGAATTAGATCCTGGCATCCTCCATTAACGTAGAAACTCGCATTCGCAGCCTGAGCGCGGATGGAGTTGATTGCGACCAGCCCATATGTGTTCTTGGTCGCCATTATAGGATAGTAGGGCGCCTGGATTAGGTCATCGATGCAGCCATTGATGATGCCAAGGGATGTCAAGTGGATATCCACCGTCGAAGTGTTTGACTTGGTACCATTGACCCTCGCATCGTTCATCTCTTCCCACTTGGAAGCAAAGACCGGCCCGTACTTTCCGCCATAGCTCTCGGCAAACAGGTTCACCCCCAGTGACGTACGGTTGGGTGGATTGAACTGCGGAAAGGTGCCCAAAAACCCTTGTAGCATATGGTAAACTGCCAAAGCAGCAGTCTCTGTCGTGTTCGCCGTATGGTTGGCACTCATGGAACTGAAGGTACCGTTGAGGAAGAGATTCCCTGGTCTTGAGTTTGGGCGGGTTTCGGGAGGCACGTAGACCTTGTTCGTAAGCAGGTCCAGCGAGCCATTGGACGGGGTATCGAAAGAGAACCCGACCTGGTTTGGCTGGTCGATGAACAGCATGTTTGACGCCCTGTCCCAGCCCCATTCTCTGGCTATGGTTCTGTACTGGTCGTTCGACCCAGCGTCCACCACCTCGCATGGGCCGTTCTCGTTAAAGAAGCCGAACATGGAAGATGAGCCAGGGCCGCCGTTCAGCCATATCGTCAGGATTGACGAGGGCTCGCGCGCGCCGACGAACCAGAAGAACAGGTTCGTCGGGTAGTCGCCTGGGACGTTCACCCACCCTGTGTATTGCTCCTGGGCGTCGAATGCGGTGGTACAGGCGCCATCAGGAACTTTGTAGCTGATTGTGATATTTGGGTCGATTGGAGAAGGAACGACAGTCAAGTTTGGAGTAATATTGGGGAACTGAGCCAGTGCTCCAGTGGCGAAGAGAAGGACATGGCCGATAAGGTTCATCGTCGCCGAATGGCGGCTATCATGATGGTTAAGCCTCTGGAGTAGTTGCAATCACAAGCTCAAGTGCCGGTCCAAGAAGAGCATTGCGATCATGCATGAGACAAATCGGGTGGCATCAAATCAAGATGATGCGGGGCGTATGGGGGAGGGATAGGAAGGGAATGGCCAGGCCTCATGTAAAGGGCTGTTCCATGTCTCAGTGTTGATTGTTACTGTGGAAAGGCTCATTGCTTCAGCAGCCGTACGGATCCGTACAGCACCAGCTATCTTCTCCAAACGTTGTGGGAGTGTTACACAGTGAGCACTTGACCGCTAACAGCGCAGTTGGTTCTCGGATGTTTAGTGCCTTGCAGCCATCGACAGGGGGTCGGACCCCCTCAGGAACCCCCTAACCTGACTAGTTTCAGCGCCAAGTGTTCTGTCAAAACCAGGAACGCGTCCCAAATAACCAACTAGGTTAACTTCAACCCCCAAACACCATCGTATCTCTGATCAAATATCGATCCAGGTGACTTTGTCCCTCCATGACCAGTATTCTCACATTCCCATCCATTTTGAGCTCGAGCGACCATTCGAGATTACTGAGCCATGCTGTCTTGAGTAAGAAAGCGGTCTGAGTTTTTGTATGCCCAAAATCCTTGTTATTCATTTACAGTCTGTCTGTTTCCAAGGAGTCAGAGTTAAGAAGTACTCGAGTGGATCCGTTCCGTCCCGTCCCTCTTAGGAAAAAGAGCTGGGTTGGTAATAGCACAGCATCCTCAACTCATAGACACAACTCGAGTAGTGCATGCTCAATCTCGTTCGCTATTGTTGGACTGTATATTTTGGTATTGCTGAATCATTCGGGATGCATTTCTAAGAACATGAAACCCGTGTCATAGAGAATCCGTGCTACCAGGTAGTTGGGCGGTCTACTCGTCAAGGATTCTTGTTGGCAATGCTGGAAAGGACGGCATGATCGTTGTAGGTGTGCTCCCCCGTCAGTTGAACCCCAGTCGCGATAGTGACAAGGGTAAGGGACCGGCGTTGATAAAATTGGTATAGCGCGCTCTCTTCTCATGTGTGCTTTGGACGCCACCAGCAGAACATGCAGCTCTAGCTACGTTGATGCGTGCGGCTGAAAGCTTCGAATTGAGATGAGCAGTTTCTGCGTCTTTATCAAGGTAAATATAGAAAAGAGCTTACAATATACAGCGCGTCACAAGCTCTCTAGGCAGACGTGGCATTCGATCTTCCTGCATCTGCCAACGTGTACCATGTCCAACGGTGATGACGGCCGTTCTGCCACCGATATCATCACTTATATCGGTGTGCCCCTGGCCGTGTTAGGGGTCCTGCCAATCTTGTATAATACAGTTGCAACACTTGCTGCTCTGTCGAGAATTAAGCGCATGTTGCGACGAGCTAGGCTGACCGCACTAACACGAAGCGATATTGTCAACAAAGTTATAGAGGTAGATTTGCCGCGGTATGCCGTCACACCATGGGACCGGTTCAGTCAGAGGAATGAATACTGGCAGATCTCGCGACAGCCCAGTCAAATACCCGGAGGAAGCTGGACCACGTTTAATTGGAAGACTAACACAATCGGAATCAAGACACAGCGTATCGAGTATGCGGATCAACTGCGGCAGCCACAAGTCGAGGTCGCGTTTGATGAGTTGGTATCCTACTTGTTAGACCTAGGTGCCGTGCCGGATGCCCACAGCTGGAAAGTCCTCCGCTCAAGTGGAATGTGGACGCCTGCGGGCTGTACTCTGATGGTTTCGCCCATGGGTCACAAAGCGCTGACTATCGCGCCGCTGGATGACTCCGATGGGCATTTGTCTTTGGCAGTTAACTGGTCGTCGTCCTGGACTACCCGCGATTCCGCCTCTCTGCCCCCTTTTTGGGTACGACTACCACCACCCACGACGCTAGACGCTGATGGCCAGGCTGAAGCCTCCATCTCAGAAACTCCAGGAGACACGTCTGGAGAAGCTGAGCAGGAAGTCAAGGGCCAAGAAGAAATTCCAAAGCAGTCGTTGGATTCTGTCCAGAAGCAGGCTCAGACCAACTCGGCAGAAGTGATTGACTGCCAGGTTTCTGTTGACGGGTTGGTTACAGCATTGAGTCAAGATCTGGACACGTCAAGATCAGACTCCGGCCTCCAAAATCTGTATATCGAGCACTTGCGCCTTCGCACTGGTAATCTAGTCGGTGTATGGTTTGCAAGTGCTATCACAGCTTACGGCACAACGAATCAAACTGTGCTCTGGAACTACAAGATTCCCGACGAGCTTCTGACCTTTGCGGGCAAACACACGGTACCTTGCGGTGTACTCTCGCTGTTAGGGATCGTCGATGAATCGAATACACCCCAATGGGCCACGAGGTTCGATGGCAACTCAGATGCACATGAATTATTTGTCAGGCGGCAGCAAGAGCAGAGACTTGCCATCGCAGCAGAGAACAAAATGTCCCCTGAGCAGCGACAGACCGCGATAGGAAACCGGATGCAAACGGAGATGTACCAACGAATGCAAGACAGTGAGTCATCAAGCCTCTCTAAGCCTCGAGCTGGTCCTAACGGTGTCGATAGTGCGCGACAAATTGCGTCTAGACCGCCAACGTCTAGAACAACATGAACTAGAGGCCCTTCAAAGTCCTAAATGGGACGCCAAGCTAGTTGCTGAGCATAATCTGAAATGGTTGAAAAACAAACAGCTCGTCGCCGAGTCCACTACATTGAAGGATGCCGTAGGAATGGTGTTGCATCGTATGATACTCGATGGGCATTTCACTTCCTCAATATGCAACATGTTAGACTTATGGAAGGGCTGGGCTGACAACGCTGGCATGAGGAAGTCAGATCTCTATGCACTCAAGGATGACCAAGTAACTTTTGCACAGGCTAGTCTTCTGGTGGCCATGATCAAAGACACAACAACTGCGCATGAAGGCAGTCTGGCCGTGGACCTTCAAGACTGTGTGAAAATGTGGAGAACCGTAAGACTAGGATAGACGTGAGTTTTTGGCGTATCCGATAATTGATCAAACGAGGTCGCCTTTTCTGAAATATTCGTTCACGTATGCTAGTACAGAGCTGTGTTGTGCATATATACGCCAAATGGAATACTTACAGTTTGGATGTTTACAAATGTGGAAGCCTATTTCAAGTGAACACTCTAGCACCTTGAAACAGCTGCCTTCTTCTTACACAGAAAAACTGCTCGCAAATTATTCTCGACGGCTTTCGAGGTATCTGGTTCAGTTATCAACCACATTAAGGTCAACCCAGCAACTGACACGACGGCTGTGGTTGTGTCGCCACCATGGTTTCTTTAACTTATAGATCTTGAACAAGGGCATTGAAGTACACGTCTGCTTTCGGTACTTTGCACTCAACGCAGTACTTGAGAACCACAAAACAGTCGTCACCACAAAATACCTAGGAAGTGCGACCTATTGAGCAAACGTATCGTCAACGTAATTACCGTTTCTACAGGTGCAAAAATCGGTGGTGAGATGCAGGAAGCTCAAGAAAACTTCGGATCAGCCTTGTTCAGCAGAATACCAATGCGGAAGAATTTTCAACAGTTTCGCAGCCACTAAAACCAAATAATAATTATCTGCTACAGGTTCAAAGATGGAGAACGTCGAAACGCCGTTCCTCATAACGATCATAGTTTGCCACCTAGTGGAACGAGTATAACATTGATTAACCTAAAGTACATGTGCCCCATCGAAAAGAAGCAGGACATTACTCGCTGTCATGCAGGGGATGTAGAGTTTGCCATATTCTTGACAATTGACGCCCTAGCGAGATGTTTGAGCACAAGTTTCGCATGCACAGTAAACCTTGGTGTTAGACTTGACTGCGAACAACATTAACAACTAGGGAAATTCTCTTCCAAAGGACTAGTCTTCGCCTGATACGCAGACCGGCAAACGATTCATGTGCTTAATGACGCAGAATACAGGAATTGTATATTTACGTCATTCCACAGACAGCGCACCCTGTTTTGTGACTTATAAGCAGGGGCTCTGCCTAATATGAGGTCACATCTATGTTGGCACTCACCGTCCAGGTTAAGTTGAATGAGTATGCCTGAGTATACGTGCCTTGATTTGCATCCGCTTGTGAACAAAGCCAGCGTTGCTTATGTTGACGCTCGAGACCGTAACAAGAGCGAAGCGTTCAGATTTTTCAGTGGTCCGCTTCCATCCATTGCAATGTGACATGTACCAATACCATCGTCTTATTTCCAACTTTTTGTCCCAAGCTACACATCATAGTAAACGAATAAGTCAATGCGTATGTAGTTCATGGCCAGCATCCGTGGTCAATTGCCGATGGCCGGTAATCTGGGGTAAAATGCGGAGTGAGTGGGACCTCGCATCACTATTATAGCGGGCATCAACTGAACAGTATAGTCTGACCTTCCCGATAGGTCGACGACGCGGAAGCTGCTGAGCCACAGTGAATATACCTAATTTGAATCCAACTACTAATATAACTCCAACGTTCTTCCGGTTATCGTTGCTGATCCAACTTTTATTTGAAATCGTAGACCGCAGACGCTATTTCTACAAACCTTTTAGCTAACCTAGTGATTTGCATTGGTGTGGTGCAACCACAGGCCCAAAACTCCTCCGAAGGTTGACACGTACCCAAACAAAGCCGTTCGTTTTCAAAGTAGGCTCATCAAGATGCTTTTCTCAACCCTCCTCCCGCTCTTCCTCTCCACTACGTTCCCCCTGCCCTCAGGGGCCGCGACACCCGTTCCACCGGGGCTCACCCACCTTTTCACAGCCAACGTGAGCATTGAGCCAGCCATCGACATCGGCGTCGGGCCGTACGGGCAGCGGGAGGCCATACCCATCATCGGGGGAACGTTCTCAGGGCCCAGGATTAACGGTACGGAGTTTTATTTTATTTCTTTTCACAATTCTTTTTGCTTTCTGTTATTTTTGTAAATATGAACAAATGACTCGGTTGCGGCGCCATCCTCTTTGGCGTAGATCCCCGTGTGCTGACCTCTTCCAAGGCACGATCCTCAACCTCGGGGCCGACTGGGGCTGGACGGACACGCACGACCCCAGCGGCGCTTCGACGTTCCACCCGGACACGCGGTACCAGCTGCGGACGTCGGACGGGGCGAACATCTTCATCCAGACCGAGGGGCCGGCACAGGTACCTATCTTTCTTTCTCTTCTTCTTCCTCTTCTCCTACCGTTTTCCCACCAAAGTAAGCATGTCTGGAGGGAGGCAAGTTCGATGACTAAACTGAGAGTTCGGCGTAATTAGACCGATGGCAAGATTCATCTGAGGGAGAAGTTCGAGACCGGTAGTGCCAAGTACTACTGGCTGAACAACGTGGTGGCCGTTGGGATCCTGACGGCAGGGAACGGCTATGTGGTCATTGATACATGGCAGGTAAGCCACAGGGAGAAAAGAAAAGAACATAATTCTTAGACAACGGAACCGAGCTAACACGTTTATTGTAGATCAATTCACCGGCGGCCTAAACGGATGGGAAAAGATAGCCCAGTCAAAACCCGGCCACTGATTTGGCTTTATAAGTTGCAAATATTCGTGAAGCTGTCAGGCAATCGGTATTAATTGCGAGTAAATGTGCTTAGCAGCCGAGAAACATTTCAAGTTATTGCGGAATACCAAAACACATGCAAATCGTATCATTCATTCCTCCTTTACCATGATATACACACCACGTCCCCTAATAATTGACATCTGCGCTGTACTTCCCATCTATTTTCCGCCGGCAAAGGCGCTCTTGACCTCACCTCTCGGCCATTCATACGAAACATCGCCGCCGTATACTGTGGACGTAATCGTCGAGATCCTGACCTCGACCTCGCCGTAAAATCTCTCACACCCATTGAGAACCCGGTTGACCAGCGCCCTTCCGCTCGTGTTGCCAGGGTTTTCATCATCGCCAAAGTGTTTCTCAACTCTTTTCCTCAACGCCTCGACACCCTTTCGTGCGTCACGGCCATCGTAGCCCGACAACACCTTGTTGAACGTTCCTTTGGAGTTGGATGGCTGTGCTGCGATCGTGCTTGGTGACTTCCCGGAAGCGAGCTGTGCTTCGATGTTCTCCAGATATTCCAAAAGTTTACCGAGAGGTCGGCGCATGACAGCATTGAGGTATAGGTTCATGTGTTCATTCATCTCGCCATTGGCGGCATTTTTCCAGTCCTCGAGAATTTCTAAACCGTGTGTGTCGACCTCTTCAAGGAAGTGGTTCATATTCTCAATCAGAAGAATATGATAGTTGAGCGCCTCTTTATCCTCTGGATCAGCACCGGAATTGGTAAGGGTTGCTGGATTTTCGCGAGCGATGATCTTGAGCGACTCAAACATTGATTTGATTATACGGTCGTATTCCCGGTCGATGGACCGGCGAGCAGAGCTGCTGTATTCGGCTGTAGCCATCATATTCTCGATGGCAGCGGAGAACTGTGGAAACACGCGTATAAACGAGATGACGCCCTTCCGCTTCTTAATTTTGACCTTGGTTTCCTCGATGGCGCGAATTTGTTCATCCACGAATTTGGTAAAACGCGATTCCAGACTGTTGTGGAGTTTCTGCAGAATATTGTTTAGGAAATCTTGATTGGACTGGGTTATGTCTGAGTGTTTGCGTTCGAGGACTGCTAGGACACCGACGCCTTGTCTGAACATGTGTTAGTAATTTGCTCGGAATACCAAAGGAAAGGCCGACTTACAAAGGATCCTGCGACAGAACCCAGTCCACGGTCTGTTGCAACTCCGCCTCCAAAAACGCAAAGATGACTTCCATTGCCCGCGTTACCCTTCTGGCAAGGTCTCGGTCGGGTTCCATGAGTCTGCGTCGCCTGAGATCACCAGGACGACGTTCTCGCGGCTTAGCAGCAGCGACTGCATCAGGGAAGTCGGCAGTCTCCAAGGTGGTAGCATGGAAGAAGTCGATGATAAAATTTTGTTCCATCTCCACCAAGGGCAACAAATCATCAGCGATACCAGCGAAAATCTCGTAGGGAACTACACGATCGCCCTTCTCCACGTTACCCCTGTCTGGTAGGGGCGATCTTATGTTCCTCGCTAGTGTCTGACTTCGCTTCATCGTGATTGTTTTTGCCCTCGCCATGGTACTTTCTTGCTGTTTTTCGACCTGGGCTGTGAACAGCAAGTCCGCCTCTTCGCCAGTCGGTTTCCTGGCATTGCGCTTCCACGCGGTAAGCACTTCTCTGAATTCAGACCTGTATACTGGGAGATTTTTATCCTGGTAGACTTGAAGGAACGTGTTCCAGCCAGTTAGATCGAGGTCGCGAGCATATACCATGAGCGCATTGTAACGCCATAGAAGCTCGCGACCTACATCATGATGCTTGGGATCGACCTTCTTCGAAAGAGCTCCATCGAGACTCTTCTTGACTTCGCGTGCTGCTTGATCAAACTGTTGTTCCATGAACATCCTATATCGTTGAATGAACTGCGCACTGCTTGAGAGATACATTTCCTTCTTTTCCTGCACAATGCGCATTTTACCGTAATCAGCGTTGAACCCGGTTTGTTGATCGCCAAGGCCGATATCTTCACTCTTGCTCGGCTCCATTCCATCCATGGTCGGGTCAATCTTGGTCATGGCTTTGTACAAAGTGACAAGTGTGGACTCGATGTCTTCCAATCCTGACAAGGAGTCAAGGGGAGCGACTTCAAGAGGGCGCAGATCTTCACGCTGTATGGCGCATGTATCAAGGAGAGACTCCAGCTCTTTCCTCAGAAGCTTTTGGTTCGCAGCTTGAACTTGCAGACCTTGGCCTTGTGCTTCGATGTAGGCAATATCTTCGGACAAAGTCTGGAATAGATTAGCAAGGTGGGGTTTTAGAGACAATATGTAAAACTTACTCCCAACTCAACGCTATAAAGTGTTAGGAGATTGTCGAGTTCGTCGCATTCACTGATGGCAAGGTCAAGACCTCGCTTGATAGCATCAATTCTTTCGTCCTCGTCCTCAAACCTCACAACCCAATCTCCGGCTTGGGCTTTGTTGAGCTGGCGGTCCACGTCCATCCTCATCTCTTCGAAGTTACGGCTGCGCATCTGCTCGCCAGGGATCCAGCCGAAGTGGTCGAGCAGTTTCGTAAACTCGGCCGTCTGACCAGCGAGTATGCTCGTATCGATGCCGAGAGTAGTCAGGTATCTAGCGTCATTGCCTGTAAGAATCAGTTCGTCAGGCTTCTTGATGATGGACTCGGCGACTGTGCTCTTTTCCGACACCGATGGCTGAAGACTGCTAGGCCGGCTCGAGTTAGGAACCGTGATCTTGACCTCGGGTACGTTGGAGTTTCTCTTAGGAGATCTGGGCGGCTCGGGGGTTGGGGCTTTAGGAGGTTCCGGCGGGGGCTGTTCCACCTTGGGAATTGGCCGGGGCGGTGCGGGTACAACTTCAGTCATGGCTTCCGGCCCATCGCTGTTAGATCGCGTCAGTTCCCGTAATCTTTCGCCTGCGCCTCCCGGGCGCGGCTTGAAAGCGGCTGCGGCTGAAGCGGCCTTCCACAAAGTACCCGCCAGGTCAGTGGACTTTTTGGCCTTGATCATGGGGCCTAGACCTGGTTTTTCTTCGGTGTCGAGGGGCGGTGCCTGAGGCACTGTCGGGGTTTCCAACGGCGCTGGCGTTGCAGCGGCACTGATAATGGGAGTAGCCACAGGTGATGGCGCCGCCACTGTAGGCTCAGGAGTCCCGAGGGGAGACTCTTCTTCGTTGAGCGCAGTGGCAAGAGATACACTCTGAAGACTTTCGGGCTTCTGCGGAGCTGACAACTTCCGGGGTGACATCCTCTCTGCATTCCTCGGCGGGGGTTGTGTTGGCAGTGGCTGCGTCGGAGGTGGCTGCGGGTCTTTTCTGAAACCTGGACTCATCAAAGGCGCTGGCACCAGATCGTTGTCCACGGAAGCATTTTGTGGTCTGGCAGGGTCCATGGGCGGTCGCCTCCTGTCAGGCAGATCTACCGGAGAATTTGGTTGTTGGGAAGGAGGTGGTTGCTGCTGTGGTTGAAGAGGTGGAGGTGGCGTCGCTGTCACATCACGGTCTCCAAACCTTCCGTAAGTGGCTGGGCCATTCATGCCGCCCCTAGATCTCGGCGGTATACTGTTCGCATCGTCGCTCTTCCTGGTTGCTATCGAGTCTTGACTTGGATTGTTGGCAGCTAAGCGTCGAAGGGCGGGGGGTTGGCTCGGGTCTCTACCAGATGCCAAACTAGAGGCTGGCGACGCGGGCTTCCCATTTGGTGGTGCCAGATTCCTGGCTGGCGATGCCGGAGGTCTAGGAGGGGGCTGATATGCCTGTATAGGGGTTTTCGACATGGAGTTGTCGCTCTGGCCTGACGCGAGCCCTGGACGCTCAGGGCGTTCGGGGCGTTCTGTGCGCTGTGAGGCTGCTTCAGCAGGAGGTGTCCTTCCCGGGGGAGGTCGACGCGAGCCAAGCACTTGGTCCAATTCGCGAGGATCGAAGCCAATCAGCTCGGGAAGTCTACCGCCCGTGTATTTGCTATATATCTTGACCAAGCTGGCAATGAAGAACTTCTTCTCCTTGTCGGCCTGGCACTGCCAGAAGTATGGCTTTCCGATGTGGATTGTGAAGCCCGTGTCTCGCGCATATTGCCGCCTCCGCGGGTCGACAGTGCTGGAGGTGAAGGACTCGATGCCAGTCAGGTCGTTGAGATCCCATGTTTTTCCGATGGAGAAGGTCCCGTTCACGTTCTCCTTGGACTTGTGCATACGCACACGGCCGGATTTGCGGACCGCTACAATGATGACTCGGGGCTTTTCGGTCTGAGGGGTGACGGCTTCGGGCGGAGGTGGCTGGGATGGGTAGGAGCTATATTCCAGGATCCTAATGTGGGTGATATATGTCTCGAGCACTGCAGAGGAGAGAGAGGGGGGGCGTGGTCAGCTCTGTGGGCGGTTGAATGAGTTTGCAGTGATCGGCTTACATGAACCATCTGTGTCCTTCTTGTTGAAGCAGCTCTCGACAATGCGCCGTTTCTCTTCCTCGAACCTCTCAGCGCGGCTCATCTCGCGACCGGGGCCGGCGCCTCCATTCTGGCGCGGGCCATCCATGCTGTCAAAGTTGGGTGATATAATAGAGGGTTACGTGCAATGGGCGACTATCGCGAATCCCTTCTGGCCATGTGGCATCTCGACGTCACTACTCCGCTGGGAGCTCGAAAGCTTGGGCGCAAGGCAAGCTATCACTGCTATGTATGTTGTCTACGTGTTCGGGACGGCTGGTCAATTGCGCAGCCTGGCTGGTTCGGAAGATGGGCCCGTATCGTGTACGCAAGGTCAGGCGCTTCGCTTCTGAGACTGAGAAATATACCGGCAAGGCCCCGAATGCTCGTTGCTTTGGGTTGGGTGTCGTGACTTTTGGCATTCAAGTGCCGTTTCCAAGTTTCCTCTCTCTTCGCGGGCTACAACATGCACGCACGTCCTCAAGCATTAGCATGAGCATGAACATGAGCATGAGCATTAGCATGGGCATTAGCATGGGCACGGGCATGCATCAGCGCTTGACCCCTGTAAATGGCGGAGTCGAGCCTAACCGGAGACCCCCCTGCCCGCTGGGAGCTGGAAACCGGAAACGGGCACGCACCAGACACGTTCCCTGGCGACGGAAGATGTGCTGCTGAGCTGCAGCTGCCAGCAGTTGCCTCAGTATCTCTCCTCGCATCTACGTTTGCAAGCTCCCACACGACTCCCATCTACTTTTAGCAGTTATCAGGTACGCATGCAGCATATTCCCTGTGACCATTGGGTCTGTCGGTATCGATTCAATGGCCATTTTCGTCATTCAGAGTCGTTTTAAAGAAGAACTTGTATTCAACTAGAATGCTATTCGTCCAATGATGCGCATGATAACATCAATCCTCCTCGCCTGAGTAGAGTGTCATGATCACCACAGATAAACACTGAACTACGGATAGTCTAGTCTGCACAGTTAAGTTAATGAGAGTTCCTGGCAAAGGCCATCTCCCCACCTGCGGAAAGCCGCCACCTTGACAGCAACTCAACGTTTCCACATCCTGCAGAGGCCGAGCTCAGGATGTTGCCGTAGGTAGAGGATCCGTGGGACAAGGACTCTCAACCGTTGTGAACGGAAACCCCGTGTGACAGTCGTAGCACGGGGCCGTTGTCGGGCATGGCTGGACCTCGGTCGTCGTGACCACGCCAACACCAACCGTGGGGCACCCGCAGGGAAAAGTAACAAACTCTGCCGAATTGCTTAGCCACATCACTCACCTTCGCTTGCACTCGGGGGGTCGAGGGCTTACTATCGATAATGCAAAACCCGCCACAGGATATGGAGCAACCCTCACTGGGATACGCCGACACCGTTACCGTCGGCGTGCAGTCCGTCCGGGGCTCGGTCGGTGTCGAGTCGCAGACCGAGGACGAAGTTGCCGACACGTATTGCGTACCAGCGCAGCGGAATGATGGGCAGCTGCCGTCGCATGGGTAGGTCGTCGAGACTGTTGGCACAGGCGCCGAGCAGTCGCATGGATTCGAGATCGTCGATATCTCAAGACATGCAGGATAATTACATGTACTACATAGCGCCTTGGAAGTCACCGTAGGACAATGAGTGTCCACAGGCGGCAGGGTAGAAGATGTGCTAGACGTGGTCTTGCATTTAGCTGCAGCATACTGGAGAACGCAGCTATGATCCGTAAAAAGTCAGCCTCTGAACTCGTCAATTTCATGGAGTAGGTCCCAGAAGAAACAGGCCATGTATCAAGAGACTCTTTGTGGAAGGCTTGAGTAGTCGACGCTCACAGGCATTCTTTTGATGTGAAAGAGCTCACCAAAAAAGAGTATAACCTAGGAGTGTTCGCAACATCGTTGCAGGACGGGTCTGTGGCTGCAGATGGGTAATGCTGCTGATGAGTGACGAAATACAATGTGCGAAATGCTCGGACGACACTGCGAAACTGAATGCATGGTGACATTTCACTAATTATACTTACTGGCTGTTTGACCAGCCTCGGATACATGACATGTCACCGAACGAGTCTTATGCCAAGAAAACGAAGCTTTTTAGACGTTCAAGACCAGTTCGTGTTCAGTTGAACCAAAAGTCTTGGCCATAACTCTCATTATGTCTATAGTATGTCACGTTGCACCCCCCAGAGACTCATGGCGTTTCTTTCCGTAGGCGTTCCGGCACAAAAAAGGATTCAAAAGAGGCGGGATTGGAGCGCCACCTCGTCGTATCAGCTTTTCAGCTTATGCAGTGTCGCCAGACTCCAAATTCGGCTCGGGTAGCCATCCCGGTCCACGAGCGTCCACCACCGGAATACAGGCCCCGGGGCCTGAATTGAGTCCATTTAAGATTCTACACTTAGGCAGACTAGGGAGCGTGTGAAATCACTCGTCGGTTTGACATAGAAACCGGCCTGCGACCTTCAACGTACGGCATGCTCTGACTCAGCATCACCACAGTACAAGAATACGAAATATCCCTCCAACGACTGTCGCACGAAAATTTGACGTGTCGGTGCTGCAGTAGTAACAGTAAGTAATGATGCTGGCTATGTATTGCTGCAGCCACGATCAGTATTACGCAACGCCGATTAATTGTTCAAAATTTCGGTGCCCGAGAGACATTTCCGACATCTGAAAATAATGGCGTGGAAAGTAGCGTATACATTATGGCTATGTAGCCGATATGATACCTGATCATGCTTGGTATATGGGAGCCCACATGAATCTACGCACTCAAGACCATTGACAGTAAAAGCAGTGTTGAACGAATTCGGTTGGAATTTGTGCCACTTTTGAGGCTTTTAGTTTGTTTTCTATCAACAGCGGACGGATGGTTTTGGTCTAGGGCCAGGGTGCTACGGGACCTTGTCATTCCGTGTTTAAAGACAGTGGTAACCATTTCTCATATGTTTCTTGGAGACCCTCTCAAGAAACTGCAAGTGCCCTGAGTGCTTGATTGCGCCGGGTGAGAGTTTCAACTTTCTTATTTTTATTTTTGTTTTTACTTTTACTTTTATTTCACTAATTTTGCTAATATGTACGGTTCATCGTCTAGTTTCCGGCGCAAGTTGTTCCTCTGAACAACTCCGATAGTATGAGGCCGATCACTATGCCCTTTCGCGGTACGAGAATACGTGTGCAAACGCTACTCATTGACCTTCCGCTTATATTACCAGGTCCCGTAGTAGGACTTGTTTCACCGAAGCTAAACTCATAACGTGTTAAACCGGCGGGTTCTCCTTAGAATTTCTTTAACCTATGTCAGCGGTATGTTTTTGTTAATGTATAGCTCAATAAAGATGGGCCTGGTTTGCAAGACGATGGTGAACGTTGATTCGCTCGATACGGTGCATCTGCCGTAATTAAAATCTCCACATTCCATTGAGGATTGAAGATCTCACTTTTTCATTGAACTCACAGATTGAAACACGAACAAGAGACGCTGCTAATGTATGTCAATTTTAGTCAATTGAAATACCTGGCATGTTATAATATTTCTCCAATAGGATCGCCTTGTAAGGTCCACCATGAAAAAGAAAAACATAAACCCTATCTTGAAGGGACCACCATGAAAGGACGACATAGAAATGACCGGTTCACTAGGGACCGCCAGGAAAGCGTCGTGGTATTTGGGACAGATTGATTGCACCAATCAAGTCTCGAGTTAGTGGCTTATACTTTCCTTTTTGTCCCACATAGTACCCTGGCACCCTGGCACCCTGGCACCCTGGCTCGGTGGATATGTTGCGCCTGGACTATACTATGGTTTGAAGGGTTGTTACCTATAAGGGGAAAATACGAGGATACTTTGACAACCTTATGATTCGATGCGCCAGGGTGAATGTGTTTTCTTCTAGAGTCACTTGCCCTACATCAGAGCCTCACCGTTATCAACACTTGCGGCAAGCCTTTCCGAGTTCATTACGTGATACAGAGTCTGTTAATTTTGGATCTCAACCTAAATCTCCAGTACTGGGAATCGCTGCAAACGATGATTCACATGTGATATAGGTGTGATATCGCTATCAAAATGAAATTCAACTCTGAAGAAACCTGGCAGCCTGATGTGAGGTTGTCTAGTTTGCCCCTTTCCTCTTTTCTTGTCGCATATTAAGCTAAGGCCGCCAGCAATTATATCGTGTTAGTTATCTGCCTTTCTACCGTGGTCATTGTGTCGGCAGCTTCGAGCGCTGCCCTCCGGATTTCCTCCCTTAAGCAGGGATGCTTGCCCAGCTCCTGGAACCGAGTCTGCCAGAACTCCCACCGCTTCGGACATACGCAGGGTGGCCCCTGGTATAAATAACCTCCTGGAAAGTACTGCGTGTCATCCTCTGCGACTTCAACGAGTCCAACATTCTCCCGAGCCCACCGAAGAATGTTTATAGCGCCGTATGCGATCCAGTCGCAAGCGATTTGAATCTTACACTCTGTATTTACGATGCCTTGATCGATGTCTAAGTCTTCCTCTACTGCTTCTTGCAACGCGTCTACTACCTCGTCATAGGGACCTAAAACACCTGCTCCTAGACATCGAGCGGCGAAAGAGTTCATCTTACGCCATGTCGCTAAGTATTCAAGAGTGAACTCCGCTCCATCCGCCATAGGGTCTACAAGGTGTACACGTTAGAATCATTGTTCTCTAATTCTGAGGCATTCTTCCAAACGAGAATGGCTAAGTAACATACTGTTATAATATCCCTCCACACATTGAGGAAACAATGGCAAATCTGCCCACACACGCTGATTGCCCTAAACATTGACATTAGTAGGGAGCTCCAGAGATAATTGGAGGCGCATACTAACGGTCCATACAAACAAGTTTCCTTTTGCAACTTGCGTTAAACATTGGATAACGCTCACGATATGTTCGTGTATCTTACTCGTCACGTCGGGACTCGTCACGATGTTGAGTATGACATCTCAAACCGCCCACAAATAGTCAGTGGCCTCCTCTTTTTCCGCCAGAGGAGGACAGCAAGAGTCAATACGGAGGGCGGCTTCATTTACGTTTTCGCAAGCAAGTGCGTCAACGATATCGATTTCCTGTGAGGTAAGGGTTTTCTTTTTAATTAAATTAAGATAAAGTAAAGCGTTTTTGTGTTCAGACATCGTGTGCCAGGTGTTGTAGCCGCAATCAAAGGTTTGTTCAAGATGATGAGGAAGAAAGAAACAGTGACTTGGGGGGCCTATATACCACAGAAGCGATTTAAGGCAGCCTTGCTTGCCTACTAACTAACCCCCACTTTTTCAAGCGACCAACCAGAAGTCGACTTGAGGTTGTTGGCTCAAGCAACTCAGCCCCAGGTCAATCATACCCACGAGGCCGTCAGTGCGCAACACAGCTGTCACCAACATTTGTTACGTTGGTAGTTCACGATCACTTCATTTTATGCTTCCCGGGCTGACGGGGATTCTGCCGTAGTTTTGTACGTTAGGAGACACACGGATCACGGGGTGTAACGCCCGGTATTGGCACGCATAGAATAAATTCCGCCAGTTCGGGTTTCCAACATCGTTTCTAATCATACCTTGTATGCATTCATAAATTTCCAAGATTGGTATATTGCATGAAACGAATCCTGGATGACCTGAGGGCCGTTGTGGTCCGGGTCAAGTGCCGGATGGAACATTATGCCTTGTTCGGTTGACTTCGCAAGCAGGGTGATGTATGAATACCGATGCCGACGAAGATGTCAAAAATAAATGATGCCGTGGGCTCTCGCCATTATTCTGCAGCTTCTCAGTCATACACATCTCTTTCAATTCTTTTTTTTTTTTTTCTCTTTCAAAGTTAGTTCCGAGAAGCACACTCGCCTCCTGAGGCCTACAAGTTTTACGATACATCCGTTGCTCTTAGTCCTTTGCCTCCTCTCACTTTGGTATCGTTGAATCATTTATCTCATTCATTATGTCTCTATTCTCTCGCTCCAGCAGCAAAGCAACCGGCTTCTCAGCTTCGTCTGGCAAGAGATTGAAAATCCCAATCGTTGACATAGATTGACTTTACGAAGCATATTCTGGTGATCCGGAAGATGGGGGTATTTCCTTGATTACAAGTACCAGCCCTTACGTAATTGAGCACCAAGGAACTGAATCCCATTCTAGCAAAGAGACATACAAGCACTTAGGTACGCTCAGAGAACGCTAAAAAAAAAAAACTTAGCGGCTAAGTATAACACCAGGACTGTCGGACCAAGTTACAAGAACCTTGAAGCAGCTGATATGAGGCGCCAAGTACGACAAGCTCGTTGAGAGACTATTCTGCAGGCGCCTACCTCAGAGCATATCACAACAAGCCACCCCAGCCCCTAAAAGCCGAACCACCTTATAATGAGTTTCCGATTGTCCCTTCCCCATTGAGCGGGGCGCCCCCCGGGAACTACAAGAGCGACCGTCTGGGCCTGTCAGGGCCTTTTATAACGATGGTGATAGGAATCAGTTCGATGTCAGTTACCACGATTTCCATCGAGCTCCTCGCGGGCCGCGGGATGGCACACCGTACCTTAAGACCGACTATAGCCTAGCTGAATACCACCCGGCTCCTACCTATAGTAGCGTCCGGCGCTGTTGACGCGTTCGATATGAATCTTCATCATGTTGGACTTGTGGGATGGAGAAGGTTCTCATATAATTGATTAGAGATTTAGTTTTGTGTGTTTACAGAGAGGCTGCTGAGGAGTTATGTAGTGTTTTTACGGAGTTATACTAGTTTGATTTATGTGATGTAATTCAATATCATGTCCACTGATTTCTATCTGATGGCTCAAAGCGAAATAAAGACTCATTCAATGATATAGTTACTTCGCTGACAGCGACGTCACAATAGTGTGTCACTCTCGGTCCGCATTAGTTGTGGACTTAAGTAAGCCTAAAACACTATTAAACTCTCAGTTAAACAATACTAGGTTAGGTCGTATCGTTTGGGCTAGAAAATACGAACTGCCAGTATTCGTTGTGGCTCTGGAACTATGCTTATGCTTGAAATAAACCCGACCAGCCGACAATGATCCATGACATCAAATACCGCCGTAAGAAATGACAATCTGATCCAGCAATCTCCCCAGCGAAGGCCGACGTTGAACAGCTGTGATGAAGGTGGTTCACCACTAATTAGCCCAAACCCTTAGAGATACTAGTTACGGTGGAGTATAAACCGGTGTTGCGATTAGCTGGCTCAATCGCGTAATTTTTTCAGTCAGCAATGAGTGTCTGTTAGTGTTTGAGGGTCGCTGCCATGACTGTCATTCTCACGACTATCGTTATCACCATAGTCATTCAATTTACAGCAATTTGAGGTTATGGACGTATTGAGTAGTACGTGGATGTTTGGACTGCTTGCGCAAAGAAACTCAAGTACCACTAAATGATTGACATGAAATTTCGTTGTGCCAGAGGCACGTCTTGATCGTTGCACTGAATTTCCAGACCTCCAGTTTCGGTTGTTCTTTCAGCATTGACTGCTGACTTGAGGCTATAATCCCATGAAAGCTAGAGATGTAGTTGACAATGGTACTCTACATGCATGGAATGGTCCTCCTCAGGGGCCTATGCATCTAGTGACGGGCGACGGGAGAGCCGGTGGGGAATGGGAACCCCGGTCCACTAGGCTTGCCCTGTCATCGAAAGTTAGCCACAAATGGTCTTGAATGTTATAGCAGGTGAGACATACAGTTGGGAATCCAGGACCTCCTGGGCCGCCCGGGCCACCAGGGCCACCCGGGCCGCCACCTCCGTTGCCGGTATCGATACCTCCACCTTCCTGGTAGTGAGCGGCAGGAGTGTAGTTATCCGAGTAGTCAGCAGTGGTGTCAACACCAATAGTGATGAAAGCCAAGAGACCATCAGTAAGGTCGTCACCGAGTATCACGTAGCTATTAACTCTGTCAATAGAGAACATTGGCATATGGTTCATTGCTTGACTTACTCAACGAGAGGATCATGCTCAGCAGTGGCCTGGCCACCAGCAATACCATCGTTGGCAGTGAGAGTGAGCTGCTGGGTGTTCGTGTTGTAAGGGTCGGTCTTCTCAACCTCAGTGATCAGTTCCTGGTTGAAGAAGATCTGGCCAATGTGGTCAGTCTTGCCAACAACGTAGGTCTCGTTGGGGAGGATGGTCGAGTTCTCGCTAACGAGCAAGTGGATGTGGTGAGCACGACCCTGGTAGTGACCGGGAAAGACCGTGTCGAACTCGACGACACCATCGCTGTCGGTCTGCTGAACACCACGCAGGAAGGTGGAATTCAAACCACCCTGGCCACCGGAAGAGACGCCGGAGTAGACTCCAACAGCATTGCAGTGCCAGATATCGACCAGCGCATCCGAGACAGGATAGAACGTGTTGATGTCAACGAATTGAAGATCCAAGTGGACTGGGACACCGGCATAGCCGTCTGTGACATCTTCGCGGATAAATTCACCAGAGACGAAGTAAGGTCCGATGGTGACCTCAGGAGCAAGACCAGAAGTAGCATTGGAGCCAAAAATAACGTCGAGAGGAGTGTCAAGGGTGTAACCAAGGTCGGAGGCATCGTGGGACTCGGACAAGTACTTGTTCAGGTCAGTGGAGGATCGCTTGCCGAACATGGGTTCTTCTCTCATGTCAGTAAATTGTTATAAGTCTGTCATATGGTGGTTACACCTACTGCTGGTGATGCCTCGCTTGGCACGGAGGGCTGCGACGGTAGCAATGCGACGCTCAGCAGCCCGAGCTTTTAGAGCCACGGCTTGGGGCGAGTCCGCGAGGTTGGCCATAGAGCGAACAGCCTTCTGTTGAGCTCGAGCGTACTTCTCGATCTCACGCTTGACCTGCTTGGCAGACTGGATCTCCCCGGGGTGGGCAATGGCGCCTCCAATAATGCAGGAGGCGGCCAAGGAGGCAGCAAAGTTCTTGAAGTTGACCATATTGAACGAAAAAGAATTGTGTCAGATCAAATCGAGAATGTTATGGAGTCCTGTGAAAGAATGAAGGACCTTGGATAGAAAGAAGTTTTGGAGATATAGTGTAGAGCCCCCAGGAGATCTTATATGCAAGTCTACTATGATGAACCATGGCGTGGCTCATCTTAATTGCATCACTTCTGTAATATTTTGTCTGCTTGACAGATGCGACCTCATTACGTGCGCTCTGCCAATGAGCATGGTGACATTAACGACCAGTGTCCTTTAAGAGGAGTCTTCGCCGGCTACAAGGCTGGTTTAGTTGACACAACGCAAGACGTGCTTTGCGGAGTGGAACCATCTCCAACCATAGACAGCATCAGTGCTAGAGTAATATGTATGTTTTCATTGGGTATTGTCATCTAGACCATGTATGCTTCCATCGGCTGGGCGTCTTCTGTGCCTTACATATTTGGTTAGTGCGAATATAGCACGTGTCGAGACCCTGGTTGAGCCTCCTCAAAGTCATGTAAATCTCGTTCTTCTGAATGGTACCTGTTTTTGACCAACGATGCTCAACTCATGGGATGAATTTCTGATGTTTGCGAACCCCTCAAGATTCTGAAATTTTTCTTTAGCCATCATTTCAGTATTTTCATCATAAGCAATTCGCCTTTGAAGACGCACTATATTCGTTCGATGGAAATGGATTAGAGGCACATGCCCCCCATACAGCGCATGGGAGTCTAATCCTAAACCTTATCAATTAGTAAATCTGTGGTTCCATCTACTTTTGGTTCCTAATGTCTATTTCGGGCCGGCAGATTGGTGTCGCATGATTTTGCAGTACAGGTTCACGTACACAGTGGCCTATAATGATTCTTGGCTCTAAGCTTGACCTACTGAATGCGGCAGCGGGAAACGGGTAGCTTACGCAAGCCTCGATATAAATACAGGGGACAATGCATGCCAAGCGAAACGCAATCACCTTCGGAACCAGATTGTGACCACCGCAGTAAGGCCCTTCAAAAAGCCGATTGGGTCGGCGGGTTGCCGAGGGCATTCTCCGCGTTCAAAGCTCCTCGTTGTAGAATGGAGCTAGCAACTAATATAGCCGCAATTCTGCACAGATGTCGCCATTGAATATGGACCGCCTCTGTCTTTTTCGCGATGTCAAGTGTGGTTGAATCAGTTACCTACCAGGTCAGGCAAAACTCTTGTCGAGTCCTTACAATCATAAGTAGAAGGGCATTACGCGTTAAATTGGGAGCCGACGTTTGCAATAACCGGCAGCTTTATTCCACGGAATTCCGCCACCAAGAATGAGCACTTTAGAGTTCGAACTGTGCCTCAGTCGTCAACGAGAATACTCGTACGGTGATCAACCGAAGGGATAAGATGGTCTCTTGGATCCACCGCCGTTCATGAAATCCTCCCAGCGAAGCACCTACAAGAACGGGAATGGAAGACACCGCTCTCGATATAGCCTTCTCATTCGCATACTTCTGACAATAGAAGATGAAGCTGATACAAGAGGAAAGAGGAGAAACTCTCAGACTTTGGTAATGAGGACGGCTAACAGGATCCGAACGGCACCCCCGGACTTTTGTAGATCTGTATGACGACCCTATTCACCTAGACAGAAGACTCATTCCGATTGAATGTTATGACAGGCAAGTAGGACGCACAAAATGTCACAAGGGTTGTAGTGAGTTCTTGACAGGCTGCTATTCATACAATAAGTATAGAACACCCCCGAAAGCTATTAAGCGCGGTAGGTCTAATGAATGAAATTCAGTAGAACAATATACGATAAGATGAGATAGGCTATCTCGCGGGGCCAGTGAATGCTCAGATTATATGACTATATGAGTGCTTACATATTTAGCTTGGACGTGGTCTTACACTTACTAATTTAATGTCTCCTTGAAGATTGTTACTGCCATTAAAACTGTCACAGCAATTACGTCTTTGCAGGCAAATTCATTTAACTAAGAGCCTTCAACAACAGAAAAATATATACATATCATTGGGTCGTGGGGAGCTTGTTCGCAGTGGAGATAAAGGTTCCAATAGTCGCCTCAAGTCTTACTACCCGACAAAGCCAAAAATCACACGCGCTAGCCCGTCCTATAACGGTGAAGTAAATGTGTTATGAGTTGACTGCATCGGCATCGCCCAGGTACTATTTTCAATCAGATTATCTGTTAGGTTTGTTATTAAAAACATAAAAATCATAACAAATGGAGTATCTAAGAACGAAGTCCAGGGTGTGTCAGAATTATAGGTGATATACAGAATTTGTTTCGAGCATTTGCCCCAAATCCGTTCAAGTTGAATGAGAGGACTAGATTAGGTAAGTATTCGAAGCACCATTGGGAGGAGCAGATCTAACACATGCTACAATGCCATGATCATGTTTTCGAACACACGTGTTATACAGTCACCCAGCTCCACTTAAAGCAATGTTCTTGCGTATGTATACACAGCCGCACTGTCAGGTAATGTATTCTAGTGCCAAAGATAGCATAGGCAACCCCCGAAAGGCTATCCTGAATTGTCGTTGCTCTTTGCATTAATCATTTTGGCCAACCATAGGCCATTGACAATCATACACGCTCGTGGTTGGAAGAAACTCCCACGCCCTGGGGCTATAACAGTATCATACTCGCCTCCTTCATTCCACTCTCACACCCACAAAACCATTATCTAATAGCCGCTAAACTAAGAGAGATGGTCGAGTGATTAGATTTCAGACTGAGTGATTTCGGATCAACATGAAAACTCGTCGCCCACCACTGTTCATTGTAACGACATCCGAGGTGGGAGAAGACCTAACCCGGACCTAGCACCCACAGAGCCATGAAAATTTGGAATATCAGATCTGCTAACAAGGTGTCTCTCATCCAATCACATCCAACTGTGATACAACACGTCGGTGTTATAGTATAATGGTTAGTACATCATGTTGTGGCTTGAATTTCAAACCAACAACTGATCCGTGAAGATCCCGGTTCGATTCCGGGTAACGCCATACTTTTTCTGTGTCTATATTTTTGTCGGCCTCTTTTACTCACATATCATCTACCTGTCGCACAAGAGTCTTCAGAAGAGTGAGTAAGTGGAGCTGGTCGCCGCTGTTTGACGCAACAGACGAAACCATATCATCATATAGGAGAGATGCAGAGCCATGTGGGCAATTGCGTCAGCAAGGTGGCTTTGGAAGCGCCACGAACGACTGCCTATTTCTAGGGAGTTAGACAGGTTCAAAAAAATAAGGTGGAATGATATAGGAGAAACAAGAGAGTATCTCAACCAATAGGAGCATATACAATGAGAATCTGTGTGCTTGACTTCAAATGTTACTCCAACGGCTTTGCACAACGTCGATTCGATGCCTCAAGTAGATGTATGTATGTGTGTCTTGTGTAGCAAATTTGCTGTGGTTGGTAGGCGAGTGCTATATCTAGTAACAAGGTCATATGAAGTTGATCCTGTACAGACGAGCACCCAGCTTAGACAATCCACAGAAAACAGGTTAGAAAGGATCAAACACTTCAATTGCATACTTGTTTGACGGCAACTACGCTGCAATTGAGAGGACCATTGTTGGTAGCGAGGAAACCGGGCTGGAGGGCCTTATGGAATGTCGCTTGCATCGAGTGACATGCCGTTGTGCATAGATAGTATGATTCTTCTTGGTTACAGTTGGTACGCACAGGCTCGTCCGCTATGACAAGCGTTTTTGTTTCGTGTTTGATATCGCTTAGGAAGTTGAAATGATCTGGAGGATTGCTTATGCTATTGATTTGAGCCCGATATTTGTCGAGTTCAGAACGAACTAAATCGCGAATATGAAATATTCAGAGAGATCGCCTAATATTGTTTAGAGCATAGGATATGATACAGGGTTGGTAAGTCGTAATGCATGACCTGCTACGATGAACATGGAAATGGTTATATCTCTAAGCTATTAGCTTGCAAAGCTTCATCTAGTTTATAGCCCATTGGGATCCACACAAAATGGTATTTCTCCTTATTCTCCCCGTTCTAGAAAGGGTTGATAAGCAAGCAGGCCTTCTTTTCGTTCGATCACCTCTGCTGACTGCGGATACGCGATAGTGTCTTTAATCAAGACGTCCCGCATCATGAAAACTCAAGCAATGAATGAGGCCAGTGGCGCAGACGTCCAGGTTCAGATAATTCACCTGGTTACACCCCGGACAGCATGAAAAGCTACGCCATGATGACAAGGAAAGGCTTCGGAGACGTATTTCATTAATGTTGTGGTGGATATGTTGGGACAATCCCAAGTGCGACTAATCCGACTTACGCAACCTGATTCGGTTTTACCATACTAATAGTATTAGCCTTGTACAATTTTCCTACATCGTAGCAGTTATAACGTTTCTTACAATTGTCAGGTTGTTCTATAATGTCGATAACGGTAGTAACATGCTGGGATTGGAAGACTATCCACGATAAGCCGGCAAGCAAGTCAAGGAGACTTTAGTCCAAGAGTTTTTGGGGACCGCTGAAAGTCGTCTCGGAAATCTAGTGCAGGCACGCAACGTTCGTCTGGGAATCTACCGAGTAAGTCGGCGTTGAAGTCAGCTCTGACCAAAAGTACTGGGAATATATTAGTCGATATTCAGTGAAACAGACAACATAATTCTGGCAAAACTCTGAAGCGCGCTGCAAATGAGAGTCCAAAGCCCCACGGCCTGGCAAATGTTACAGAAAGGTCTGCAGAGAGCAAGGCTATTGTTGTTCTCGAACGGCTCTAAACTAGCTTAGTGTCAATGGGCCTTACAAACATGTCAGGTCCAGTCCGACGATAGGGAACATAGGATAAGTGAAACATTGTTCTATTGATCATGATGTTTTATGTATTGAACCGCTCCATAATCGCCCAAAGGGCAGATACTTGCCTGCTCCCCCAGCAGAGCCAGCGTTCTTCGAATCACTCCTATATCATTGCAAAAGAAAATGCATCTTCGTGAACTGCGAGCAAGTCTGAACACTCATCACCGACCGCAACCATAATTCCAAGCTCTACAAGATTTGGTAGTTGTAGTACTTCTGGTGGTTGTTTTGCTTGTTCACGGTCCATTCGTTACGACGCTGAGCATTCTGCTCCCTCTTGCGGGCACGCAGTTCGGCGCGGCGAACTTCCTGCTTCTTCTCGTCTGTGACACCGGTCATACCCAGGTTGCCATTTGCTCGTGAAACCAAAGCACCATTGCGACCACGCTCACCACGGGTAGAGACCTGGTTACCCTCGCCGTCGACGTCCATAGCGTCGTCGTTACCCTCAAGAGCCAATCTCTCGAGGCGTTCCTCAGGCGAAGGATGGGCATGCAGGTTCTGGCGCCAGTATTTGTTGAGAGATCGGTGACCCACAGATTTGCCGTTCGGCAAGTGCAGCGATGTTTCGTCGTAGAAAACGGCTCGGTGCTTGTGAGCATGGGAATGCCAGCCGTCTGTCTGATGATGATGGCGAGGATCGTGGGACGAGTGGTGAGGATGCTTGTCAAGTCGCTCATATTTATGGAGGTGAAGATCAACAGGGATGGAGGTCAGCTCATCGGAGTCAACTGATGAAGCAGAGCTGTCGGTCTCCCAACCATCTCCATCTTCCTGCATAATCTCGTCACCGTCTTCGCCAACAGCCTTGGTTGCCCTCTTGTTTCCAAGCTTGGCGCCACCGACAGGCTTACCAGCATCTTCTTCTTCCTCGTCTTCTGATTCGTCATCCGAGTATGTGCTTCGGAAATCGTAGAACTCGCCAATCTCAAGTTGCTCATCCTCAGTTGTGAAGGGGATTTTGCAGTGACCCTTATCCCGCATGTGAGTTTGTGCAGCGAAAGCATTGCTCTTCATCTTGCCACAGTAAAGACACTCAGCAAGCTCTTGAATGCGCTCCTGTAAAGACTTGAGCAGGCCCTCTAGATCCACCAAGTACTGGTTTTCCGGGATGAACATGCCGTGTATTCTCTCCATATGGACAACACTTAAGGCGATGGTGGGCGAGTCGTAGTTGCAGAACAGACATGACTTTAGAGTCAAGGTAGGAACAGGTGTGGCTGCACTTGAGACGTCGCCTTGGCTTGCAGTATCCGAAATGGTATGTTCTCTAGATTGTTGAGCCTCTTCGGTAGGCGCGGGGTTCGATGGGCGTTTGACTGGAGACGGCCTCTCATTTGAGATGTTTGCCTTCTTTAGGCCTTCAACGACCTCGCTGAACTCATCTTCGGCATCTGAGTCGACTTCCTCCTTGGGCAGCGGCTCGCCCAGGGAGAAGGTTGAGCTCACAATGGTGCTTGCAGCGTCGTCGCCAGCGACACTACCCTCAGCGCGACGCTGCATGGCCAACTCTTTCGCCTTGTGCTTAGCGCTTCCAATGTGGTTCTTGTAGGCGTTTTCGCTGAAGTAGGACTTCTCACAAGCGTCACAAACCTGCTGGAATCCGGCACGATCGGCTTCGGCGTCCGTGGCAGCGCGGGCTTGCAGGACTTTTTCGGTGAAGACTTCGGATGAAATGGGGGGTAGCGATGCAACGCGACGTTTGAGGTTATACCGACTGTTGTAAGTGAGGCACATGTTAGCACTGAGGTTATGCCATGACGTACTGCAACGCAAACCACATTTCTGGCGCAATCGTGTGCAGTTAAAAGATGACTTACTGCCAATCACTCTTCATGTGGCCCTTCTGTGTATCGGCAAGTCGAAAGGCAACCTGACAAGTATTGCAGGTGAATTGGTGCGAAGACGTGTCGGGTTTGCCAGAGAAGCCGGATGAGGCATTGCGACTGCCCGCGATAGACGCCATCTTGATTGATTTGGAATGTTGATCAAAGAGGATCGGTTGTTCGGCGGGGGTCTGGATCACAAACAAGAGTGAACAATACGCAGGAGATGTCGGAGAAGACGGGAGTGAAGTCAAGAGTCAGTTGAATGCCGTGAGGAACAGCAAGGTCCGGCAGGATTGTTTTGTCTTGTCTGTGGACGCCAAAAGAAGTATGACAGAAGTCACAGGTGTAAGTGGCGGTTATGAGGGGTTCTTTTTTTTATGGAGTTTCCAAAAATCTCGACGCCCAAGGAAAGCGAGGATTAGTAAAAAGAACGAGCCCGAGCTTAGACTATCTTTATTCTGCAACAGTCATAGACTTGCCAATGACCTAATTTCTAACAAAAAGGGAAGTATTCTACCCTCAGGCACGCGGACATCAGGTCAGGAGGACCTTTTCCCTTCAGACCCTTTCACAAAAATTCCGGCAGGTGGCGTTGGTGGGGGTTTTCGTAGATTTCTCAGGTTTTATCGCTTATCAAGACATGTACGTCAAGGGCAATGCCAGGGCTCATGCTTGGCGATACTAGCTGGATCCATAAGGCATCTTACAGTAGATACATACTACGTGCTTGGTATCCTATGTGTGTAACTTGCCTCCCGACTGGTGGGTATTCGTTGGGTGGGTGCCCAAGACTTCTTCTTATTCAGCAATGTGCTCAGCGCCAACGGGCTCCAACATTTTCTCATGGGGAACGAGATTGACCATGTCAACTTGTCGAACCGTCACCGCGGGTTGGACAGAAAGTCAGCATCCTGTACATGATTGAAACAATGATCCAGTCTTACTGCGTCTGGCAGAAATCGAGACGTGAAAAATAGCCCTCCCCCTATTTAGCATTTTATTTCCCATTCTAATTAGCATCCTGTTACCGGTATATATGCTGCGTATCACAGCTTTGGCCAACAATACAAACTTGGAAGTAGTATCTACCCAGTACTCATCGTCGACTGAGGTGGCAACTTGAACTAAACCCCAGCAGCTTTTAGTACCGATGATTGAAGTGGGTGGATTATGGATTGTGTATGTATGGATTATAGCGGGGACCCGGTTACTTGACTACCTGCAAGGAGCATCGGAGTCGTTCTCCTCGAGCCCCATCGTTAATCGTTACACAAACCAACCATACAATCACCCGACCTTGTGGTCGCCCAGGCTGCCAGGCGCTGTGGCACTGCCGTAGCATTGCGAAACGGTGGAACCTTCCATCGCATGTACACAGTAGGTTAGGTTAGTACAGTAAAACGGGCAACGGGCCGTGCTGGATGGAGGCTGTAATAATCCGTACGCAAATGACAGATGAGCACCGAGGCACCAGCACCAGCACCAGCGCCAGCGCCAGCGCACCCGGATATCCACGCTTGGTACTGACCTGGGACTCGAAAGCTGCACCGGCACCCCCGGTTGGTTGATCGGCGCAGCATTGCGTGCAGCTTAATCCTATATTCACTTCAGGTGCAGTTGTTTCGTACCGCCCGGTATCTCAGCCGTTGACAGCTTGTTATTTTCTTTCCTGCGGGCAGTTTTGAGCCATCACATCACTCAATCCCAACTGTATATCAACCAAATCTTCACGTACACCAAGCGAAGTGCTTGTTCTAGACCCAACAGCACGTCATTGGCCCGGCTGGCAAGGAAGCCTCGACCAACTTAGTTTCTGATCTTCTCAACGAGGCTGATTGCCCATGAGTCCTACTTAGCCAGCATTCCCCTATCCTTCGCGTTTCGATGATATGACTCCGCAGGCTTCCAACAACGGCCATGGCCGAGGGCATGCTGATCTCGAGGCGGAGATCCTAGCCGCCCTATGGGAAGAAGTTCCTTTCCCTCGCCTCCCGTACGACGCGCCGCCCGAGCTGAAAGAACTGGTCGTCGAAATCGAGAATCCCAGACGAGTATACTCAATACACCGTGCGACGCGCCGACACAATCTGCAACTGCTTGTCGAGAAGTTCATATCACAATTACGCTATGGCTGCGGCTACGACGATTGCCCAACATCATCATGCTTCAGCTGCAGGAGGCGCCTGGCTGGCAAGGCTCCCATACGACGATACAGTCCCGTGAGTGCGCGCACGTTGGCTATCCACATGGCAAGCCAGGACAATCCAGAACAGTACCTGTGCCCCAATCTCGACACGAAAAGGAATCCTAGCGACGCCATCAAGCCTTTGATCTTTGGACCAAAACCTCGCATCACGAAAAGCCATCCTGGCGAAAGTCGGAAAGTGAAGAGGTCAAATGCCAGTCCGCGTAATGTCTCGGCAGAGGAAAGGGAGAACATCCGCCGTCACTTGCCGCCCACTCAAGAGAATCCAGCGTCAAAGCCGAGCCTGGTGGCATCGAAGCGCAACCCAACCCAAAAGAAAACTCATAATCATGGTCAGGAATCCGAGTTCGACCTGTCGCCGCCTTCGAATGAGGTCCAGGGGGTTTCCATAAACGAACGGCCTGTTCGCAAGGACTACCGTTCATTTGCAGCAAATGTCTTCGGATCGGTCGCATACAAAATGTTGGAATGGATGACACCCAGCAATATCGACGCCATATCTGACAAGGCTGCCGCGATCCTGGAGCAAAGAGCCCACCCCGGCGGCAACAATGAACGTTCAACACCAAATGACTCTGACGATGAACTGTTCGTGCCCTCAAATAACTCATCAGCTGAGCTGGAGGACTCGGACTTGTCACCAAGGCAGAATATGGATCGTGACCAAGACCCATGGATCCTCGAACCGATTTCTTTAACCGATCCGCGACGAGACACTTCATCATTGAACGGCAATAGCAATGCTAATGGCAGCACGCGCCCGCCTCAATCAAGGACGAATTCAGGTAATCGGGCTCGGACCCCATCGAAGCCCAAGTCACTATCAATGGACCATGCCGCAGGAGTTCGAGTAGATGGCAACATACACGAGCCTATTTCTCCCATATCCATAGTATCGAAAAACGCCAACACTCCAAAAAGGCTTGTCAGAACGACTTCAAAGATTATGCGCCAGCGGTCGAGCGAGCGACTTACCAATGGCACAGGTGACGAGCAAGGGCTGCGTCTCTCATCCAACGCATGTGAGCATCATGACCGGGAATCACGGTCTCCTGCGGCGGTGAATGGGTTTGTCGCAGGTGATAAAGAACCGTTTCGGCCTTCTATCAACCAGAGCGGTTTCAGTAAAGTCCCATTAGACCAAGAAAATCCGGGCGGAACAGCTGAAGCGGAGCTCCCGCAGTCATTGTCACGCCTCAACACGGATTTAATCGATTTCCTCTGTGACGTTCTGCAACAGGATGGGACATTGGAAAGTCACCTGCTTGAACCGCCGACCATTTCTAGACCCTTCAAGGGTTCCAAGTCTTCGAATCCTCTAAGAAGGCAGAAAACTATGCAAAAGACAAGTCCCCAGCACCTAAAATTTGAGTGGAAATTGTTTGTTGAACAAAGCATTTTCAATGTTCTCAGCGATCCTTGTGCCATTCTTGCGTCATTTGCGACACAGGACGGTCTAATCGACTCGCAAACGCTGTGGTATCGCATGTTACGAATGACCAGAGCTGCGCCAAGCTTGGTATTCGACAGTCTGTGGCAAGCATCGGCAAGCCTGTTTGCTCCACCGAAGGCTCTGCGGTCACCGCGATCACTTAACGCTACCCTTGTCCCTAAGCATCACAGGATTTCTCTGTCAAATGAGGAAGCTGGGTTCTTGTTGTCGGTTTGTTTTCACGCTCTTGTAGCCGCAGCTCCTCTTGTGGACAATGCAACAGAACTTTTTGATATGTCACGGAATCGATCGCGTGGCTCCAGCACTGGGCAGAACATTCCATTATTTCTCGAGTATGAGGATGCATTTACCGACGAGTTGGCCGTTCGATTAGCCAGGAGGCTTCTCGCGGCCATTTCAACGCGCATATACTTCGATGATCTCGCAGAGCAAGACAGAGACCCCGAAGAGGGTTCAGAGCACACAGCTGTTCTCGATATTTTCCTTTCACACCTAGAACCTGGCAGAGACATTTCCTCGGCCTTGCCAGATTTCCCATTTACTGAACGCGAGATACACGAGAAACGCGTCCCAATCCTACTTCTCGACTGGGCACGTACTGTTATGCTTTGTGAATGGCAGGGAAATCCGGAGGTCCCGGGTGACGGCCCATTTGGTGGCGCTCTCTCACTGATTGCTGCCATGCGTAAGTAAACGTTCGTGACAATTCTTTTAGAAACAAGCCGCTCATTTCTCATAGACCAAAAACGCAAGTCCCTGCTCCTGGGAGATGCCGTCTTCCGCACCGAGTATTTCGGGGACAGACTAGATTCCATTGAAACGCCGGTTACTTGGCTGGCGTGCAATACTTCAAGGCAAAAAGCCCATCTCCTTGATCATCCATACATGTTCTCTTCTCCTTCACTAGTGACCTACTTTCGCGCAATCAACTTTTCACGAATGAGTCGGGCCTACGAGGAGTCTAGCTCACTGCAGACCAGGATAAGTGCAATAGTTGCGCCAGATAGTCTCGTGACTGATCGACACCAGAAAGATGTGCTTCAGGATTTGCTCAAGGTCGCCTCTTCGAAGTTCCTAATTCTTGATATTGGCAGAAAGACAGTTATCCGGGACGCGTTCGATCAGTTATGGAGGAGGCAAGAGCGCGAACTTCTGCGGCCCTTGAAAATCCACCTCGGTGAGGATAGCGGAGAAGAAGGGTTTGATTCTGGAGGTGTCCAACAGGAATTCTTCAGGCTTGCCATTGCGGAAGCCTTAAATCCAGATTATGGTGCCTTTACAGTTGACGACAGGACACGGATGACGTGGTTCCAGCCCGGATCATTACAGCCAGAATGGAAATTTGAGCTCGTGGGATTGCTCATATCCTTAGCCGTTTTCAACGGCTTGACACTTCCCATCACATTTCCGAAAGCACTATACATGAAGCTTCTTAACGAATCCGTCACGGAGCTTCACCATATTGCAGATGGCTGGCCGGATCTTGCCAATGGGCTCACAACATTACTCGAATGGGACGAAGCCGATGGTTCAGTGGAAGACATATTCGCACGCACTTACGAGTTCTCAATCGATATGTTCGGCCAACCTATATCGCGCCAAATGGAGCCAACCAATAATATCTCCTGGCCTCAATTCCCTCAGTACCCATCCGCTGAAACGCTTGCTTCAGGAAACCCTGAAGATGCACCACTCGTTACCGGCGACAACCGTGAAGCCTACGTGAGCGACTATATCCGCTACCTCACGGACATTAGTGTCGCGCCTCAATACAAAGCATTCGCACGCGGGTTCCGCACTTGTCTCAGCACTAAATCGTTACGACTACTCACGCCGCCACTCCTACAATCCATGGTTGAGGGTACCCAGGAAATTGACATTGCCGAGCTTCGTCGTGCAGCACGTTATGTAGGCTGGGATGCCTCACACCGTACTGTGCGCGACTTCTGGAGCATCGTCAAGCGCTACGACGACCATATGAAGCGCAAGCTGCTTGAATTCGTCACGGCGAGCGATCGTGTGCCTGTCGGTGGGATGCGAAATGTCCAATTCGTTGTTCAGCGCAATGGCGCCGAGGAGGGCGACGCGGGGCATTTACCAACCGCCTACACGTGTTATGGTACCCTGCTGTTACCAGAATACAGAGATAGGGAAGTGCTGAAGGAGAGGCTAGGGATGGCATTGGAAAATGCGCAGGGCTTTGGCTTTGCCTAATAAACAGGCTGGGGTATAATCATATATGCCATTCATTCAATGTAGAGATATTAGGGAAGAAGAGACATCATCATTGGGTCCTTTAAGCGCCATGACTAGCAGTCTCGTCTGTTTTGGAGTTGTTACTACCATTGAGCTCCCATTTTTAAATATGAGCCCGGTTTATGCTTCAAGCAGAAGAGACATCGTGAAGTATCACTGCTAGACGGAAGCAGCCAAATGATTCTGAAGTTTGGACTCATATTGTGATCTCTAATGCTAATAACACCGCCAGAGGTAGAGACTAGGCGATTTTGTCGAAGCGTAGCCACAACTGCCCACTTGTAGGATGTGCAGTATATCCATCGGTGGGCTCGATGCCGTCATCACTGACAATGTGACTCATGTAATTCGAGTAGATGGCAGCAACGACCAACTTCATCTCATGCATCGCAAAGTTCGACCCGAGGCACATCCGCCCTCCGCTCGAGAACCCCCAGAACTGTCTCTGCCGATCTCTCCTCTTCTCCTCGTCCTCGTCCCCGTCCCTCGGCAACCACCGAGTATGATCCCAGGTCTCCGGGTCGGGGAAATACCTCTCGTCCCGGTGCAGATTGTATACGGAGGCAGAGATCCGGACACCGCCGGGGATTTCGTGCGGTCCTATGCGACATGATGCCGCTGGCGTGACGCGAGGCTCGGGCCCGCCGGCTGGGGCATAGCGACGCACCGTCTCCGTGATCACGGCATGGAGAATCGGAAGTCTGTCCAATTGCCTGGGGTCCGGGGTTGCGGCTTTACCCTCTCGGAGACGCATGTCCGGCAGCAGCGTGAGGAGCTCCGCGCGCAGTTCGCGCTGCAGATCTCGTGACCGAGAGAGGTGCCATGAGACATAGGTCAGCGCGACGCCCGTGGTCTCCTGCCCGGCGAGGACGTGGTCGAACATCTCGGAGGCGAGCGATAGCTCCCGCCGCTGGATCGTGGTCGAGTAGAGCGGAGAGGCGGCCCCGCTGGTGCTCTCCTCCTTCTCGATGCCCACCAGCAGAGAGCGGAGGACCACTGGGTCGTTTGCCGTGCCTTGCGGATCTGCTTCGGTGTCGTCTATCAGGAATACCCGCGCGGAATCGCAGAGCTTCTTGCACCAAGCTTCGAGCTCCCTGTTCGCCGCGGTCACCCACGATGGGGTCAGGTTCAGCCCGACGAACCGCAAGGCCTTCGACAGGCGGGGCAACTCCTGGTCGAAGAACCCGTAGCCTTTTCGGACCTTGTACAGTTCGAGCCAATGGTCTCGGTACAGTTTTTGCTGGATAAAATTCGAGCTGTTCCGCAGCCCGAAGCAGTAGGTGGTTATGAAGTCCATGGCCACGCCAGCAAAGAGAGAGTGCACGTCAATGCCATGAGGATCTTGACTCTTGTGCGTCGATTCCTCCAGCAGTGGTAGGAGCCTGGAATTAAGGATTTCGTGATTTTGCGCAGCGAGTGAGGTGGAGGAGTGGACGTATGACTTGGAGTAGACATTCGACACCATACGCTTCCTCAGCGAGTGATGTTTGGCCTCTGATGATGAGAAAGTACACGGGACACTTGGATTTGATTAGCTGGCGTTTCTTTTGTGCTCAACTAACAATATGCTGCAACACGTACCCGTAGTTATCAAACACGGAATACCATTCATGCTTGTCGAAGCCTCCCTGGTACACGGTCTTGACTGCTTCCATGTCGTTCACGGACACTTCATTGGGCCCCAACCGTACGATAGGCCCATGTTCCTTGTGCGCTTCTTGCAAGGTCCTGTTTTCCCGGCCATAGAATCGAGCACTGAGTATCCATACTGGGGAAACAGAGCAGGACCAGTGTGGGGTTGGGAGCTTTGCCAGTGGTGAGAAGAAGGCCGGGTATAGGATATATCTATATAGCAAAGATATTGTAACCAAAAGCGTTGCCGTCGTGGCTGCGATGTGGCTATCGTGGTGGCCTTCGTTATACCCCATGATGCTGGGGTTAGACTAGTTGCTCGGGGCTCAGCTTCGGGAGTGGTTACAAGATGCTGAAGGCCAGAAAACAACACATATCATCATGGTAGAAGATGCCTGCCAATATCTCGTGTGGGACAAGCTATCGGAAGAACTACAGTATAAAATACCAGGTCTACAGTAATACCAGACGCTGGGATACGCAACGAGTATGAATTCGCCGCTGTCAACCATGCCCAGGTACAGGGTTCAATGTGGGGCGGGCCTTCCTCTTCGCCGCCAGCCAGTTACGGATCCGTACTGGCGGCTAAAGTTTTGCCCAGAGCATGAACAAGATGAGTCGAAAGCCAGAAATGTGTCCTGCTGGCGTTTCTAAGCTTGTGTGCATTAGGAGCCAGAGCTAATTTCGATATAACACTGTTATTTTCTGTCTTGGGAAGTCCCTAGACAAGTTTTCAACACTTTCTCGAGAATATTAACCGCAGGTGAGTCAGAGGCAAATTGATCCAATCATTAATGATGATGTCAATTCCTGGTCCCACATTGAATGACTCTCAGAGGCACAGCCCGTGGCTTGCTAGTTGTAATATCAAACACGGCCTTACAATCCTTGTACAAAACCATTAATATGGATTTAGTGGATTGGTTATAAGACTCGAGATGTCCTGACTAGACACCATTCATATCATAATCAGCCAATCTCAAACCTTCTTAAAAAGCACCCACACATCATCGAGTGCAAATCAGCAACAAAAGTCATGCTAGAACTAGACGTGGCTTCGTTGAGCCTTGCAGACTTATCAATGCTCGAAAATCTGCCATTGGACATCCTGCTCATCATTCTGTCATATCTGAAAACGGCCAGAAGCGTGGCGAGCCTTGCATCCACATGCAAGAAGCTTCACGCTGTGGTTCGGACTGATGGGTGGCGCATATTTCTGAGGAGCCATTTCGAGAGCCTAGCGCTGCCTCAAAGCATGAAGGACGAAGAATGTATGGGCTGGACGAGGGACGTGACAGGGCAGTCCCGTGCATGGGATCGACGTGCATTCTCGGTAGCATCGTTCATCCCACCCGTCAAGAAACCACATGCCACGAACGGTCATGGCGGTCGGTTTAGGACACAGACCTTCCCACCTCACATCATCGTGGATGCGACCTCGAAGTTGACGGGAAGTACCGTAGCGGAGACGATAGTTTGGGGTGCAGGAGAAGATCTTGTGATTTGGCGGAAACGGCTGGGACGTTTCACGCCAAGGAGGGAGGAATCTTGGACGTCTGTGGAAGGCGCCGTAATGGGTTTCGCCAGCGGGAAGGATGATGTGACAGCTCTTTCTATCGTCAACGATACCTCTAACCGCGTCAACTTCTTAGTTGGTAGAGCAAGCGGCTATCTACAACTTTTATCAACAGGCAAGAATAACTCTATACGTTCGGCAGTCCACTTCCAACCTATACCATCTGAGGGACGGGTACCGCTGGAGCAGAAGGAGATACAACACCTGGACATAAATAATGGGAAAGACACAGCGGCTGTCATCACCAAGGATAGCTTGTTCTTCTACCCACTGAACGACCCATCGTTGGTCTCGGCAGATCAGAATAATGGCTCCTCTGATGCCATCGTTGCGCCGAAGGAGGCAGTCAGTGTGAGAAACATGGAAAACTCCAAACAGTTCAGATTTCTCAAGGCAGTGCGTTTCATGGGTAATGGGGACCTGGCTCTAGGCATGACCTACAGTCCCGAGCCTCTACGATATCTCAAAAGAACCCCATCAGGAGTCCAGATTATCAACGCGGCCAAGTTGCGGTCTTCGAGACGTTGTACAGAGTCTTATGTCTATGATGTCGGATATGAGCAATCTATTCGTGATATTCTGCCGTTGAGTACGGCGTCTATCGCTGGAGGAGGGGGCAACGTTACACTCAGCTCGTATGACGACGCAACTATTCGCCTGCAAGATCTCCGGAGTCCTTCTCCAATAGACACGATTTATCAGGACCACTTCGAGGTATCAGCGCCCGTAGGTCCTCTTGTTTCGCACGGAATGGAAAGGTTCGTTGCCGGAAGTGCCCGCACCGCGACTCTTAAGATCTTCGACTTCAGATGGACCAAAGGATATGTCTATACGGACGCTCTGCCATGCGGAGTACAACCACTTGTACCCACGCCGAAACCACCAACCATGGCATACTGTCCACACTCCACAGACGTCGCCAAATGCAACCACCGGTCCGGTGTTCTGTGCAACCGCCATATACTAGCTAGGTCAGACTTTTACAGGCCGAACTGCACTATCTATCTCCCTCCCACCCAGCAATCAGTATCACCAGTCTACTCTCTGGCTAAGCCATCGGATTTGTCGTCGACCATATATGCAGGGCTCACTGGGGAGCTTGTGCAAATGAGCCTCAGAGACCAAGGAGAGCATCCGCGTCAGCGTCTTCACATGCAGCGCACGGACAAGAAGCACCGAAGCGGGTACAGCTATCAGGAAAGCCCGATCAGCATCATCGAGACAGGTGATGGTATTGCTTTGCACGATATCACCAAGAGTCAGAGGATGCCGGAGATGCACAAGCAAAATTACAAGAATTACAGGGGACCTCTACCGGTCGCAAAGATGAGGGCGCATCGGCTCGACGATCTATATCTCCGGGGATAGGTATATCATATATTCAGTCGAACCTGCGGGGCCATCCCTAGCCCCGGCCTTCCTCATATCAATAAATTTCATTGCTTAGCTGACTATAAATCATAAAAACATTGGTCAGTCGAATAGCTCGATCGTCCGCTAATTGCTGCTTCAAAATCCTCTTCGCACCAACTCCTTCTCTGTCCACTCCCACAGCCTATCGATCTGCTCCTTGTCATTCATCAGCTCCCTCCCCTTGTGTTCTCTCCCGACAGGATAATACACCCTCCCCGTCCCCACCTCGCCACGATCCGCGACACTAGCCCACAGCTGCCCCCTGACCCCCTCCTCGACCGGCGCCATGAACCTCTCCCCGACCGCCATCAGCGTCCTCTGCACCCAGTTGCCCGTCGTGTTCATCGCCGCGTCGTGCAGCTTAGTGCCCCTGACCCCGCCGGGGTGCACAGCGACGCTCAGGATGCGGCCCGGCGACCGCGCCGCCAGGCCCTTGGCGAAGTACACGTTGGCGAGCTTGCTGTGCCCGTAGCGGCCCCAGGGGCCCAGGTCGTCCATGTCGGAGCCGACGCGGTCGAGCAGCATGCCCGCCGCGGGCGCGAGCCACTGCTGGGCCACCGAGGTGAGCGTGACCACCCGGACGTCGCTGCCGGGCTGCTGCTCTGCGGTCCGGGTCAGCACCGGCAGCAGGAGCCTCGCCAGCGCCGCATGCCCCAGGTAGTTTGTCCCGAACTGCGCCTCGTAGCCGTCAGCCGTGAGGCACGGGGGCTGGGCCATGATGCCCGCGTTGAGCATGAGGATGTCGAGGCGGTCGTTCTCCGACAGGAACTGGCGGGCGGCCGTCTTGATGGCCTCCAGGGAGCTCAGGTCCAGCTGCAGGATGTGTATGTTGGAAAAGGAGGGGGAGGAGGGTGGTTCTGTGTCAGGGTCTGCCGCCGATGATGGCTTCGACAAGGACTGGATTGCCTGTTCCGCTTTGGAGACGGAGCGGGAACACATGTAGACCTTGGCGCCGGCCGCGGCGAAGTGGCGGACGGATTGCAGGCCGAGACCATTGTTGCCGCCGGTGACGAGGACGGTTTTGCCACGCAGGGATGGCATGTCCGTGTTTGGGTTGAAGGTGTTATGACTAGAGAACATATTTTTCCCTCTCCGGTATAGTGTCTAGAATATGCAAGCTATAGATAGGGGCGTTGCTTTAGGAATATAGGATGGTTCTGGCGATGGGGGTTTGCGACTGACGAGAAAATACAATTCCTTCCCCCCCCCCCCCCTCTACCTATAGCCATGATTCAGAAACAAAGAGGACACAAGTCCCTTTATACTCCCGCATCAGTCAAGAGCATCTTTACAATAATTCCCCCCAAGACATTTGCGAGCCTGACTTACAAGACTGCTCCTTGCGGGCCCCGCGGCGTAACCCTCACCCAGTGGGCCTCGGAGAGGAGAACTCAGGGGATCATAAATCCGAACGTCCCGCTTTTCGTCGCATGGATGCGAACACAAATCGAGCGCAGGGGCTTCGTCTACATATCTATATGGCGAGTGTTATGTAGTACAGCCCTTCGCATAGTTGTTTGAAAGAATGCCGATTGAGTTGCGTGTTAAAGTCTCACGAGGGTAGTGTCAGTTGAGATTAGGCTTTATTTAGTGTACCTCGGTTTCTACTATTCTGCGTTGCCCGCTTTGGAATCACTGACGCTTGGTATGTCCAAATGAAGTTGGAGAGAAAACAAATTATGGCTTAGTAACACATTTCAGGGCATTGTTTTTCTTTTGTCTCTGCCAATAGACAATGGTATCTGCAAAAATTCTCAAGTATGATTACAAGACGTAGTCAAACAACAACTATTAAGCTGAGTAGGCCTGTTGCACCCAACAAATGCTACTTCAGGGTCCTTCCAACGCCCTACTTTTGACCGAAACCCAAAAGCTCACAAATCAATGAGACTCTCCTCAACTACTGGCTGCTGTGGTGCGTGTTGTGGGGCTGAAGGAAATGACTCCTGTGAGTAGCCAGGCTGATAAGCAGGTTGTGCTGGCTGGTAGCCTGGTGGTTGCTGTCCAGTATGCTGGGGCTGTTGCCAGTATTGCTGCTGCTGCTGCTGCTGCTGATACTGCGGAGGCTGTTGGTTCGGCTGCTGCTGCTGCTGTACGGGCTGAGATGCTACTGAGCCGGGCGTTGGAGGGATTGATTGTCGATTATAGTTCGCGGGTTGCTGCAAGTTGGGATACGGTGAGGGCGTAGGGTCGCCGACTGCGCTAGGAGTCTGACGGCCTTGTGCCTGCTGAGTGTTGTTGTAGTAAAAGGTTGCATTTGGATCCGAGGCCGGTGTTCCCACTGACTCGGGGGCCCTCGGGGCCTGAGTTTGATGACTAGGGTGGGCATGTGGCTCACCGGGAGCATAGCCTGGGTACGGCACAGGTGCTGAAGGTGCTTGGGTCTGCCAACTCTCGGCTCTCTGTGCTGGCTGGGGAGGATACTGGCTACCTGGAACGGCCGAAACCGAAGCGCGGTGATCGTAATTGGCATATTGTGGCTGTGGTGTCTGTGTCGATTGTGGGTAATGCTGCGGAGGGGCATAGTGGACAGGCTGCTCGCCGGTATAAAAGCTCTCGGCCGGGCCTGAAGCGCTCGGCACGATTGGGTGCATTGAGGGATAAGGTCCGGTGGATTGGCGTTGTTGCGGGAGATTATAACCACCAATTGTGTGCTGGTTATATGTCTTGGATAACCTGTCCTCGAGCATCCGGTCATAATACCGTACTACGGTGGACAGCTTGGAATGCAGGTCGAGCAGTGTATCTTTCAATCATTAGCGACGGGCATATTCAACCAAGTATCTGGCATGAAACTCACCGTGTTTGCTCATGGTCTCTCCATACGTGCGTGCTAGTTTAGGCCTGAGAGATCCGATCGAGTCGTAGAGCTCCTGAATTTGCGGCTCCCTGAGTATGGTACCGGGAGGCTGGGTCTGAAGACGGTCGACCAGTGTGGAAAAGAGGTTGATGTTCTCGGCTTCCACTGGTGAGAGTTCGTAATCGTTTTTGGGCAGTGCAAAAGGCGTAGATGATGATGTAGACTGGGGCTGGTGGGTCTGCTCTTTCAGTGCTGCTGCGTGTTGCTTTTTCTGCTCCTCCATGTCTGCCAGCGACGCAGCGATTGCAGCCTTCAGATCATCGTCCTCCTCCTCGACCGGCTTGCTTGAGGATGTGCTGCCGTTGGTCTTTGGAGCAGTGGCGGTCGTGTTGGGGGTATAGCCGCTGCTTTTGGAGCCTTGTACTTCTTCCAGGCTCATGGCCAAAGCCTTTTTGAGATCCTCGTCGAAGGCATCGTCCACCCGAGCGTCCCGCGGCTGCATGACGGCTGCCGACGAGCTCCTGTTCTTGTGTGGGAAAGAGCTAACGGTAGGCGTATGGTCCTGGCCCTGGCCCGGGCCCGGGGGACCGCCTTTGCCAGCCTTGTCGGTAAGCTTGATGTAGCATCCGTCGTCGACTCGTACAGGCTGCATGATGCCCAGATGAGGGAGGGGCAGCGTCTTGGCAGAGCACTGTTGGTCAAAGACGTTGCCGCAGTTGCGGCAGTGGTGCTTGCGGTTGGTGAAGGTGAAGGCAGTGCGGCACCGCATGCACACATCGGAATCTACCCATTCGGGAGGGGCGCTGCTGTCGATCATGCTGCTGGCGACGGTGACGCGTGGAGGGAACTGGAAACCCTCCCGCTGTAGGGACCTGTAGGTTTCGTCGATGTACTTGAGCTCGTAGCGGTTCTCAGTGGCGATAGCCCACGACTGGATCAGCTCGAGGATCTTGCTGCGTACGTCGAGGTTGACGGCGGCGGGGCCGACTGCGTGGAGGAGGGAGACGAGATTGTCCATGAACTCTCTCGAGGCGATCTCGACGAGGAAGTGTTGGCCGCCATTCTTGACGCATGTGTCTGTCAGGTTCAAGGCGCTGAGCTGGGTGTTTGGGTTCTTGTTGCCAACGCGACGCTTGAGAGAGCGCATGGCCTCTTTGGGCTGGACCGTCTTGGATCTTATGACATCAGATATCTCGAGGTTGAGTGCGATATCCTCTCTGTGCGCAAGGCGGTGGTCAGTTCCTGCGCGGCCAAGGCGATGCCTTGCTTTGGGGGTTATCTCTTACAGACTGCTGCCGGTGGCCTTGTCTATCTGCTCGTCCAAGGCACTGTTGGCCGAGGAAGACCACCAGCCTCCCATCATCTTGCTTGTGGCGGCTTGCGAATAGGGTTGGATGTGTCGTTGTGCTGTTCGGCGTAGATATAGATCGGGCAGATTGGTAGGGGAGGGGCTGGTGTCAAGACTTGCGGTGTCTAGGTTGGTCGGTACTGTCAACACTATGTTTTGTAAATAGAACAAGACGGACTGGGGAGGCAAGGCCGCGACGTTTGAATCTTGATGATTGCGCGGCAAGACAAGGCAGCACCGATGAGGCTCGTTAAGCATGAATTACATAACTTAACTTACAGGGATACTTTCCGCCTGAAGCTAGGTAAGGTAATGGTGGAGCTTGAGCTTCAGGCAGGCCGTCAGTGGCCAAGCCGTCAAGTCAAGCCGTCAGGTTGACTACATGTGTGCTGTATGTAAGTAAAGTATTGGCGGGGCCATCCCGGGTTACATAGGTGGTAGTAGAGCCTAGAGCGCAGAGCCTAGCAGCCTAGAGCCTAGCATTTAGAGCCTAAGTTAACTTAGAGCTCACCTGTTAACCTAACCTAAGCTTAGTCCATAACTGGTGGATCGGGATTCCAACTGAACCAACCGCTAGAATGGTTGTACAGTAGCTATGAGAGATGCTCAATGTTTCACTCTTCCCTGGATATTACAGAACAGAGGCGAATGGCGGACACTACGGTGTGTATGAAACATAACTTGGAAACTCTATCCATGTTTTGTATGCATTGCTAGTGAGCCAAAGGGAATAAAACAACACAATACAAAATGCACAAGAAAACACGGAATGGTACATTTGCTCTCTCCCTCGGCCCCCGTGAATTAGTCCATAGCATGCATACTGTAATCACACACAGCAAGTAAAGTCATACCGAACTATTTGGCCCCCCCGGTCGGCTGTGCAGTGCTGAATGGGACACATCCCACCTCAACCCGCTTAATGTACCGCATTGGGCTTCACCCTGCGCACGACGTCAGTCGCAGCCACATGCAAGGCAGTTGAGAACCATTGCGGCGATACATGTAACTAGATTGACTAACAACGTATTGCGACTTACCATACATTACCCACGTCCCCCATTCTTCACCTCGACATGATATAACCGTTATGGCTGCTCCTGCCCATGGCTATTCTTCCCCTAGCCATGGCTCAAGCGCAGGCTCGGGCTCAGCCTCAGGTCCAGGCCGGAAGGAACCATATCCTCATGTCGACGACTTAACATCCGTCACCGTCGACTTGGACCCCCATACGCCACTGCGCAAGGTCCTCGAGACCGGCGACGCTTCTATGCGACAAGCCATCACCTTCGGCGACTTCGGCCGTAACGACCTGGCCTTGCGCGAATACATCAAGGCCTTCACCATCGCCGTCGAGAAGATACCCAAGCACAAGGACTACCCTGCCGTCAAGAATGATCGCACAGACCTGGGCCGCTTATACCTCGCTCTAAAGACCAACATCACCAGATACTCGGAGCGCTTCGACGGCATCAAGGCTGAGATCAGGGCCGATAATCAAAGGAGTGGCGTACAGCCCAGAAGTGCCCTGCTCATGAACCTTCCCAACGCACCCACCAACCTGCCGAGTCGAACTTCCAAGACCAACGGAACGCACTCGCGATCGCAAAGTGTCCATGTCGACAGCACCAGCAATGGCCAGCCCGTCAAACACAGCAGGAATGGCAGCACAAGCTCCCCCCATAGGGCAAAGCCCACAGTCCAGCCAAAACCACAAGCCCTGCATGGGAACGCAATTAAGCCCTTGGCCAACGGTGGTCCTCAAGACCTCGCCAGCAGGTTTGCCCAACTGCGCGTAAGCAAAGATGCGTTGAATACTCAGACAAAGCCCTCCGGGCCCAGGGACATACCCCGACCCAAGGTGAACAGTTCGGTACCAACCATGCCCAAGATGCCCGACGCCATATACAGTCCCGCCAGAGGGACTGTCACCAGCGAGGTAGCAAATCTGCCTTCGAGCACCCCCCGAGGCATGTTCAGTCGAACGAACTCTATAGCATCTGTTGCTCCTGGATCGGCCAGAAACTCCATAGATATCGGGGCAAGGCCTACACCAGAAACGTTCGTGACGACGCACGCGCCAGCATCACCGCGGGTGCAAATACCGCCCGGGACAACAATTACCCCCGAGCAACTCCGCGAGTACATGCAAAAAGGTGCAAATGCTGTGCGCTTGCTTCTCATCGATGTTCGCAGTCGTGAGGAGTTTGATGACGGGCATATCATGTCACAAAATACCATCTGCATTGAGCCTTCTGTTCTCGCTCGGGGGCATATATCTGCGGATGACATCGAGGAGAGTATGGGTATCGCGCCTGATGAAGAAATGAGGGCCTTTGAGGATCGCGCCAAATTTGATCTCGTCGTTCTTTACGACGACGATTCCTCTTCCTTACCCGGCGGGCCCCAAGGGGACGACCAGGCGACAGCTTTGTTTGTCCTCTATCAAGGCCTCGACCAGTTCAACTACGGAAGAGAACTCCGACACAAGCCAAAACTTTTGCGCGGCGGCGTCGAAGCTTGGGTCGATCTTTTTGGCCGTTATAGTCTTCAAGAATCCAAGACATCAGCAGCAGTTAGCCAGCCACGCACAGATCTTCGGCGCTTCAGGCCGGCACAAAGACGTCGCGCCAGAGCTCAAACCAAGGCTCTGAGACCCGAAGAGATCAAGGAATTTGAAAAGAAGATCCAAGAAGACGAGGCAGCTGCAAAATCACCGCAAGAATTTGTCAGATCCACGGCAGACTTCCTTCGACGGTATCCTTCGACCTCTGAAATCCAAGAGTCCATGGCCGCCCCAGTCACTGATTCCCGATCACACTTCGAGACCGACCTCCCACCAGCACCCCCGGCCCGTCCAGCACCTTCTGTTCCACGAACAAGTTACAGCGGGCTTTCTAGCAGATCTACCGCCAACGATGTCGTACCCGCGAAGGGGCCTCTAACAGAGGCCACAACCCGCGACCGGCCTACCGGGCTCATCAATCCTCACATGAACTGCTTTGCGAATTCTGCTATACAAGCTATCCTGGCTTCGCCGGGATTCGCTTCTGAACTTGCAAGGAAGGAATGGGCTGACCAGTGGAGGCCTGCAGCCCCAACGCCGCAACTTATGTCCAGAATACTTGGCAACCTGATTGAGTGGCTTGCTGGCAGACAATTCGAGTCGATGCAGCCAACCACATTCATGGTAAGTTGCTATACCTCAAGGTATTCTGTGTCGATCCACAGGTCATTACAACCCTTTCGTCCCCTCCATTGATTTCACCGCGATGTTCTCGCTTGACGCTTCATGTGATTCTGCCTCACCCCATCAGAGGTTGGTGGAAGATGCAATAACTGGACCAATGCAATGTCTATTTGAGAATCTCAATGCTAACATTATCTTAGAAATACTGCCAGTCGATCCACCAAGGATACCGTCTACCAGGTTCCAACAGACTTTTCAAGTTCGGTGACGGTACCCAGCACGATTCATCAGAATTTTTGTTTGACTTCGTCTTCTCACAACTAGATAACGAAACAAATCGTAGTCGCGATACCGCATTCGTCAACTACTCCCAACCAGGCGAAGATCTGAAGAAAGCTGATAAGGACAGAGCTCGCAGATTATCACCATCCGATCTGGCACTGGAATCTTGGCGGCTTTACAAATCGTTTCATGACACCATCATGACAACATACTGGGGTGTTCTGCACGTTGACAGGAATATTTGTCAGACTTGCGGGGATTCCGTCGACAGCTTTGGCTACTCCAACTACCTGGACCTTGGGATAACTGGTTCTGATACCGACCAGTATCTGACTCTGAAGGAACTTCTAGACGAGCAATATAACACCAAGGAGATTCGAAGAGCAGATGGAGGCACGGGTTATGAGTGTGGCACTGAGATCGGCGAACGTCACATGTCTAAGGAGGCCTTCACCAAGCTTGCACGTCTCCCACCACTCTTGGCCATCCGATTCAAGAGGTGGGACTTTAACGGCGCCAAAGTCATGCGCAAGATCAAGTTCGACGTCGAAAATCTGGACCTTTCCAGGTACAGCCTCGACCATAACCCCAACGCCAAGGAAGACGGCTTCGGTCGCTACCTGTATGACCTCTACGCCGTGATCACACACGGAGGCGCCTCATCCAACGGGGGTCACTACATCGCACACGTCAAGGACAACGGCCCAGAGAAGGACAAATGGTTCGTGTGCAATGACAAGGACGTATACAGACGATATGTCCGAGCCTCGGGAAACAACTCGCCCTTGGAGCGCGAGTGGTTTGACTGTACCAACAAGTTTACGCCGTTCATGCTGTTTTACAAGCGTAAAGATCTGTGATAGAATGTGGAGGGGGGGGGGGGGTGTTCTTTCTTTCTCTATTCTCTGATACGCATACACACCACCACATAGCGAAGCGGGATTTGCATCTAGGACGGCGTTCGGCTCCATCAGGAAGAAAAACAAGAGGATGATATCCTATTACTATGCATAATTCTAGATCACGCTGCTGGACACTTTGCCCACCAAATCTTTTATTTAATTTTTTTGTGCATACTGTGATCTGCGATCATGTTCATGTTTTTATCTTTCGTCCTTTTGCTTTGATATATACGTGGGTGAAGGCGGTGAGCAAAATTTTGAAGAACAAACGAGTATTACCGTTGGCGTGTAGGATACCAGCGAGTTGAGTTATTCACGGTCTTGCTTTGCTTGCCTTGCAGGCCGCAGCATCGGGGTGTTGATTTCAACAGTCCTGCACTGTTATTGTTGGCTATTCCGAGTCGACCATAGTAAAGCGTAGATACGTCCTAAGCCGTTATCATGGGATCATGCTGAAATTTAACAACGGAAGTCGTATGATAAGATCGTCAAAGAGCTGCGAGACTCCTAGAAAGACATTGACAGGAGATCTTCTTCGAAATACCTGGCTCACTTCTTCTACTGATCAAGTTCGTCGGGTGCTCCTTGTTCCTTCTGTCGTTCCTTTTCTGAAGTGAAGAAATTCATTATTTGATATTATAAAAGCTGACTATTATAATCTGTTTCGGGGCTCTCTCGACCCAGATGCCGTAGAGATGATGGCATATCCAACATCTTGCTCGTAAACACATGAAATTGATGTCTATCCCTTGAATCCGTTCTCGAGCTCCTTGCCGTACTTCTCCTTCAGCTTTCTTCTGTTCACCTTCTGTGTTGCCGTCACGAGGTTCTATTAAAGGATTAGCATTCCACCGAAGCAAACAATCTGTTCACGAAAAAGAAAGAAAAAGAATTTCGGGTGGGGGGAGAAAGTAAAGAACATACGTTAGCAGGCGTCCACTCGTCATCTACTAGCACGACATTGGTGATCATCTCCAAGCCGCCCAGGCCTCCCTTCTTGCCGACTCCGCCCAGGTCCTTCAGAACGGCGTCTCTGACCTTCTTGTCGGTATGCATGTGCTTCTCCTCGACTCCCAGACTCTTCGCCAGCTCGCTTAGGTTCTTCTCATTCGGGCTGACAAGCGCAATGGCTCGTGGATGCGAGGAGTCGCCGTGCACCATGATGTTCCCCACGTACTTGCTTCCGCGATAGACAGCTTCGACCTTTTCGAGCGCAATGTACTCGCCGCCCTGCATCTTGATGAGGTTCTTGACACGGTCGATGACCTTGATATGGCCATTGGCATCAATCTCTCCGATGTCGCCAGTCTTGAACCAGCCGTCTGGGGTTATGGCCTTCTCGGTCTCCTCGGGGTTCTCGTAATACTCTTTCAACACCGGTTTTCCTCGAAGCAGAATCTCTCCCTGCGGCGGGGTCGTATCCGTTCTGTAGTTCAGTTCAGGTAGTCCTACAAGCTTGAGCTCCACTGCACCTGGGACTGGGCCGATCGCGTTCGGTGTCCACTGCAGAGGGTTGCCTAAGGACCCGTTGCCGCAGGTTTCGGTCAGACCATACCCGGAAATCATGGGTGCAACCACCATAGACATGAAATGCTGAGTGCTTTCAGAGATGCCGGAGGCTCCGTTGACGATGAATCTCAAGCGGCCTCCCGTCATTTGCCGCACCTTGCCGAATACGACATCGTCCAGCAGCGATGCGCCGGGAAGGCCGTAAGAAACAAATGTAGACTTCAGGTTATATGCGCCCCAGAACAGGGCATTCGTTAGGGCACCGGAGGAGTTGACCTTTGCCTCGACGCCCTTCTTTACAGTCTCCCAGACCTGCGGAACACCAACCATGATCGTAGGCCTCAGCTCCCTCATGTCTCCTGCGCAGTTCCGCATGCTCGAGTCTACCAACGTTCGTGGTGATCCGTAACCCATCGTCGCGCCGACAAATAGAATCAGATTTTCCAGAACGAGCTCGAATATGTGCGCAAGAGGCAAGTAGGCGAGGATGACTTCCTTAAAAGAAACTCCCTCAGCTACGTTACAATGCAGGCCAGCAATACCGGCGATGATGCCCTCGTGGGTTATAGGTACACCCTTGGGTGGGCCAGTTGAGCCTGACGTGTACATGATGCAATACAGATCGGTTGGCTTGGGCGGGACGGGAGCAGTAGGGTTTGCCTCTCCCAGGGACTGGAGCTCGGAGAACGAGATGACCTTGAGATGTGGGTGTTCCTCTTTGAAACTCGTGATCTCGGAGTCGTCCACGGGCATGTTGGTATCGTCATTGTAAATTAAGTATTTGACATCCTTGGCCGCCTTCAGAGGGTTTGCTGCCGTCTTCAGGAGGTGCGGGTCTGTGTACATGGCCTTGGCTTTCGTCTGCACCAAGGAATGCTGCACACCCTCCGGGCCCAGTGTATCATAAGCCGTGGCTATAGTCAGTGATTGCGAAGAGCACGCATGTGAGATGGACAGCCAATTCCGGCTGGTAGAAGCGAAGATGTGCAACTTGTCACCGGGGTCCAGCCCAAGTTTTCTCAGTCCTGCTCCAATCTGCAGGACCAACTTCTCATACTCGGAGTATGTGAGGAAGGAGTAACTGGAAAGCTCAAAATATTGCCATTCCTTGTTGACTTTCTTGGTCACTCCGTCGACCACCTTGTCAACTTTCTTGATCTCCTTGTGCACCTTGATGAGTTTCCGCGATCCCATGGCATTTTTGGTAGGGTACTTGTCTGCGCTATTCTTCAGTAGCTCAAAGATTGTACCAACATTGGGAGCAGGCCTGTCTATGAGCCCATCTTTGGCTTTCACGTTCCGGTAAGGTGGTGTTTCGCCATCTTTGGCCAGCTCGCCAGGAGATTGGACTGAGAAAGGTGGCTGCTGGACGAAATGAAGGGGCATAATACCCTCCTTCTGTTCCGGTAAACTCATGATGACAGCTGTGAAGTGTGTGGTCTACGTGATCTGAAGCTGGTGTTTTAAGGTGTATCTGAATAGGAGCTCAAGATAGGCTTGGCAGATTTGCAAAATGTAGCGAGCTTGTAAGAATGATGTCACCAAGCTAGTCGCAAATGTCGAGATTGATGGATTCGATACCAACAAATCGTCGAAATATATTGACACAAGATGGACAGGTGTTGAAGATACACTCGAGATTGAATAAACAAACAAATTTGGATACGTCTCGGGATCGTCAATGCTAAGAAATTCAAATTCGGAGGCTCAAGCAACTTACCGATTTACCAAGGCTGGTCCAGGGGTCCTCGGTGACGTCGGCGCCAGACTTATAGAGTACGCTAACTAGATACAGCTAAGATCCAAACAGAGTTCCAGCCACTGAGAAGGTAGGTAGAGAAATCTAGAAGACCAAGAAACCAGGAATCGGCATGCTATTGACGTTTGATATCTCCAGTATTCTCAAGTAGTCTATATATATGTATATATTTTCTAAAATCTCGAGGTCAGCTTATCATCACTCCTCACTGCTTATGACAGAAGACGAACCTATTCAACAAAATATCACAATAGCAGCCATGCCTTGATCACAAACCTTACCCAGCCACTCAGATGTCAGCCAGCGACTGCGCGAGCCGAGGCATATCGATCATGCGCCACAAGAAATGTCGGACCTACACGTCCACACGCAGCCAAACTTCTGCCTTGAAGCTTACGCCGGGCTCTGCAGATATTTGCGGCCCACCCCCTTTGTGATCTAGGTTTTCCAATTACGGCTCGGACAGGATGCTCACCTCTAAATTTATTAAACTATGAGTTGCGTTAGCACGAGGTTTGCATGCGCGGCATACATGGCGGTACCATTGTAACCTAGCTCAGTCGTAGTCCAAATCCGAACCAAGGGACCAGTGGCACGCAATGCAAGTGTAAACCGTTGGGTTCGCTGCCAACTGCTGTTATACGCTCTATGGAGACAGGGGTACCCAAATGACCATTGCGACCGTCTGCATCGTCGTTCATGTTGACATCTTGGGGCACCAGTATTTTACAAAGTGACAAACGTGCACTCAGGTAAGTGCAGAGAGCAGACCGATGTTATATACAAACCTTGGCCTGCGGTTATACCTATGCCAAGGCTTTCATTAGCAAATTCTTCATCTTGCACTGCAATGCCGAATCCAACAGTGAAATCAAGGCAATGAATGTGGTTGCTGAGGAACCTTATATAGAAGGCAACAAAACCGTATATTCTGTGGTATATTTATATCACGCTTGGCTGTATCCTCCCCACATGCTTGATCATGAACTAAAACCCTATCACCCTCTAGCCGTACTGAGGATAGCGAACCGCAGCACGCATATCCGCCTTGTTGAGTGCCAGATAGATGCATCAAATGCCGGCGACTCCAACAATACAACGGACCACACGACGGAATGAGATGTCGCATCACTCCCAATCATCTGATCGCTACTGACCAGTTGCTACAAAGTTTCAACAAACCGACTACGTGGAAACTTCTACTTCTCAAGCGACACGTTGATACGCTTCTAGCACAGTGAAGCGTCGACAGCGGAATAGCCGATAATGATTTAGAGGTCTAACCTAGGATATAAGTTATTGGACCATGACCATGAATTGACCACTTCAGTCAGACAGCTCCACCTTGTGGAGACCAAAGAGCTAAAAGAATATAGAATGACACCAATATTATTAGTCAGAAAGTGTAGCAAGCCTATATTGACGCGACTGCGATCCGACTGACACTATTCTGTAAGTACATAATGGGACGGATGCGAGGGAAACTTTTGCATAGATCATTGGAGATTTTGGAATGGGTAGGAGTAGCAGGCGCAGAGACCTTGGGTAATTTGCCCCTCACTCTGCAAAATATACTACCATATATTTACCCATTGAGCTTTCATGTCACTTGACCTGAATTGACAAATCTGGCATCTATCATCACTCACGTTTACCACGTCAATTTATTGCAGTTCATGATGATCTCGAGCTGATACATGATTCATGAAGCGGAGGGTTTGGGAAATCATGGAGCCTAAGTGTCTGACTTGACTTCTCATTGCGGTTGTTCAATCCTGGGTTTCTAGGAGAGGTCCTTCGCACTTATGTGCCATGAGTGTTTGCGGTTGCCGGATTCACCAACGTGCTGTCCCAAACACTCTATTGAACTTACATCATAGGTTCACAGATGCCAAACGTCCTTCCAGCAGCGTTACATGTTCAGTCCCAAGTCCTCTCAACATTCTTCGACTTCGACTTTTTCTCTACTCACATTTCTTCTTCAGCTGTATTCTTCGAATTTTTGGGCTCATAGCGCACTCCGTTTGACTATTTCACGCAGGCACTTTTCAGTTTTGTTACAAAGTCATTCTTCATACCTCAAAACGAGGAAAGCCCGTTCAAGGACTAAAGGCGTTTCACGCCAAGCCATAAATTATGCAACTCTACAATCTGAACATTGCTTGCCTGATTGGTCTAGCAGCCGCAACGGATACAACATGCTTCATCACAAAGGCTGTACAGAACCGTTCAGCACCGGTCGTAACGAGTCCAACCACCGAATATTTGCCTCCTAATACATTCACCTTTCACGTACCACTTGTTGGTGAAGAATCCGTGGTCGCTCCACCATTTCAACCAATCCCTCTACCGCCATTCCCCCCAATCTCGCCAACTATAGCGCCAACTTTCACTTCAATTCCTGCGGAACCAATTTTTACTACCCAAATTTCTGGGGCATCAACAACCGATGTACCAATCGTTGTGGCAGGACTCTAAGCAGTAAGTTCTACTTAACCAATGGGTAACCGACCGCTATAGCTAATTTCGGCCAGTTATCATCTACGTTATGGTACTGTGACCACTTTTGCCTCACTGCACGGGAAACAGGATATCATCCCAGGAGTTCCATGACTAGGTGGGCGAGGCAACAGAGTAGACTGGAGTATTAGACATTGAACCCTAGGTACAGCACTAATATCGATTCACTAATGTTAAAATTTCGTCTTTCGTGTCCAAATTATCAGTAATTACTTAGCGTCGCTAAGAAGGATTCGCATGGAACATGCCTGCTTTCCATAATAATATGTAATTTGGCAGTTTAGTTTCTGCTTCTGTCTCGACACACTCACTACCGGTGGAAAGTCTGTCTTATATGGTCCATCAGCTTTTTAATTCACAGGCATGACATCTCAGTAGAACTCAGACGTGTGTCTGAAAGTTGCCCATCGGCGAAATCATGGCATGCTTGCAGCGTCAGAATTGTTGAATGGTCGACTGATGGGAATCTGAATTCTCAATCTTGTGCCGCCTGGTCATCTGTATAATTGCACACTGTTCTGCAGAGTACGATTTGACGTAGCTGCCTCTATTTTCTTTCTTTCTTTGGCGCTGTTGTTGATTAGCTTGAATGCATGACCAAGAGTCCTCTTAATTTGTATACTTGGCTTATAAATTATTGTTACTGTATCAACCACTAATTAGGCATTCAGCTCTATGTATTGTGCATTAGTGACGATACGGTCGATTGGCGTACTCAGTGTGGCTTTGCGATTTATGATAGGCGCCATTGTTTGTACATTTAGTAATGTGCATTTTTATCAAAAAACTGCCGTATTCCTCTGTTCTTCTTCAATTCTCCAAATTCTTGTAATATATCATTTGATGATTTTTTCCCTCTTCAATTTGCAGGTCTGTTGTGACACGACGCGGTAGGCGTGCCAAGCGCTGCCAGGTGGGTGCCACGCACACCCAACAAAAGACGCTAGACTAACTTCACGTTGACAGCCTTGGCTGTTGTTGCCGGCAACAATTCATCTATTACTACTTTCCGCCGAACGTCAAGCCACGAAAGTTTTCGGGGAAACCGGGATATCATTGCGGTGACCTCTGGTTGTTTGAGGCATGGTTGCTAGACTCTCCCTTTACATCGCCGTCTATGTGACTGAGTAGTCTGACCTTGGCAGTCTCGAACTGCGAAAGATCTCCGGGGATATGGTGAGAAACCATAGCAAGTCTCGCCATGGATGCAAGCAATGCAAGCGGAGGAAAGTGAAGGTGGGTGCAGTCGCGATCGGTGGTTCAATATTCACAACTGATGGGGAACCTGGTAGTGCGACGAGACCTTACCGCGCTGCAACCACTGCTTGCGCCGGCGGGAGAAGTGCTCATACATAGAAGAGTATGGGCACGAGGAGTTGGGCTCGCCCATGACAAGCACCACGCAGTTCAGCCAGCCACCGCCGCTGCCAGATGATATCAGTTCGTCCTTTGACGATGGTGCCGGAAAACTGTCCCAGTCGTATCTTATTGACATGGATCTTATCCATTTCTTCATCACGAGGACATACAGCACATTCTGGTCGCGGCCTTCGGGACAGCTCATCTGGCGGGACGTCGTCTTCCAGGAGGCATTGAGGCAGCCGGCCTTGCTGAACGGCATACTGGCTATTAGTGCCATACACAAGATAGTCACCACCAAGACGACCGCTGACTTCAGAATACTGACTCTGACGAAGCAGAGGGCAACCCTGGAGGGGCTCCTGGCGCTCCTCCCGTCTGTGGATGCCGAGAGCTGCAACGTGGTGTTTCCTCTATCCATGATCGTCTCGTACTGGGCGCTCGCATCGAACAACCTTCCGCGTGAGCTGAGCATTCTCTCGACGGACGCAGAACTCCACTTTGCTCCCGATACCGACCAGGATGTCGTCTCGGCATCTGCGCTGGACCAATTCATCGAGCTTGTCCGGAGGATCCAGCCTGTCAACGCGATAGTCCAGGCAGGACGCCACTGGCTGCTGCACGGGAAGTACGCGGAATTTACGTGGTCGCCAGATCTTGCTGACCTGCCAGAGCTTTCTGAGGAAACGGCCGACGTACTGGCACATCTCAAGTCCGAGTTTGAGGGGGAGGGCGAGGATCTAAGAGGCATGATAGATTCGCCCTCGCTGATGAGTCTTACCAGTCAGTTCAGACTCGCACGGTCTTCGGAGTGGTTCGAGCTGATCGTCGGCTGGGCGATCCAGCTGCGAGGGTCCTTTATTGGCCATCTGAAGAACCGGTGGCAGCCCGCGCTGATACTGCTGAGTTATTGGGCCGTCTGCTTCTACAGGCCAGATGGGCTTTGGTGGGCGTCAGGTTGGTCGGAGGCTCTGGTTGTGGAGATCGACGGTATTGTCAAGGGCGAGAGGTCACGGCTGCTCGACTGGCCGAAGAGATATCTTGACATCAAAGTGCCCTGAACGAATTTCGCAGGCCTGGTTTTCGTTTCATTTGAGTGAAGATAAATCCTGTGGACTATCAGGGTATAATTGCTATCTAATGAGTGCGATTATCTATCACCTTTCCCTACGACGCTGATTGAACAAAACGGAATGAACGTATGTGCACAGAAAGCCCGGCTCATGAGCCTGTTTCCCAACGAGTTGCAGGATAGTCAGACATGTCTGAAGAGGAACTTCTATCCTTCCTTGAAAAGTCCCCTGTTTCCGGACTTCGTGAAATGGAAGAGGGCCGGGTGAGAGATGGTGAGTGCGATAGAAGCCAACAGGACCATCATACAATTGTTTAGCCGGACGCAGGCAGCGACGAGTCACATGGTATCACTTCCGTCCGTACACGAGGGTGTTGCAGAGGTGCATTGTTGGAGCCGGCCACGGTTTTGGGACACGAGAAAAGGTCACAGCAAGATCACAACGAACAAACAACGGGGGGGGGGGGGGGGGGGGGGGGAATCAACATTCCAACGCCTGTATATGATACGTTTTTGACGACCGGTTCGGGATGAATGTTACACACCGAGACCCAGAATATTCGGATATATGGGCCTGAGAGCGAGGGGCTTTAGCCTGGTATGGCAAAGCGTGCGAGGGTTTGTATCATTAGGTGGCATAGAGTGTCCATATACTTAATCAGGTCCTATAGTACACGAGCCCCACCTGCAGTGACAGATTAAGCTGGATTGAGTTAGGTGTGCGAGGTTCGCGAGTGCGCAGTGGTGTGCCAACGGTTTTATCATGGCCTTCTCAGCCAAGTGGTGAACCTGTGTTAGTTGTTTCATAGTAGACTCCCGGATGTTGACGATAACGCAGTGCTCTCCCGAACCGTGTTTATACGGGAGAGGAAGATGCAGCCCACGACGTGCTCCAAGTTGGATGTACCGATCTGCCCCAGTCTCGTCCACGAACAGAACCAAGGAGAGCACCGAGGGCGCTGTATACTAGATGCAGACACCATGAGTTTCAAGCAGTCTTGGCGTGCGGGAGGCTCGAGACGACATGTATAAGGCGCATGTTGCAATGAGAAAGGCCGGTCTTGGTGTCTTGACGGGCGAACGAGAACGACGCACCTGCATGTGGGGTCGATTGTTTTTCCGGACCGCCAAAATCTTGGGGGGAGATTGGACCCGCAGAAATTCGAGAATTTGGGCGACCCTCGCACAGGCACAAGCACAGGCAGACGGAGGGGCAGAAGTAAACAGCTGTGGAACACGAACAGAACACCACATCTCGTGCAAGCTTTCCCTCAGTACTTTTGGCCTGCAGCTTCCTTTCCCAAGATCGCACTCTCCAACGCCAGGCTCTTACGAGCAGGAACCCCTTCAAGATGTCTCTGAGTACGAGCCCCTTGACTGCCCCACCATGTCCTATACCTCCTCGCTAACTGAAAGTTTAGATCTTGACCTCAACAATGGTACGTATGCTGCTGCACCGAGGGGGACGTGGGCGTGGCCGCCGACGGTCGAGAAGAGGAGTCGCTAACTGGAGCAGCTCATGTTATGAAAGACGAGCAGGGGCGACCTTTCATCGTAGTGAGAGAGTAAGCTCCATCATTGTTATCATGTCGACGTCTCACAGCAGGGGCAGTTCTGACAGCTCTCACCTCACAGTCAAGGCAAGAAGAAGCGCCAGTACGGCAACGAAGCTGTCAAATCGCACATCCTCGCCGCCCGAACAGTCGCAAACCTCGTCAAGACATCTCTGGGACCCCGAGGTCTCGATAAGATTCTCATCTCCCCCGACGGCGACATTACAGTCACCAACGATGGCGCAACCATCTTACAGCAAATGGAGATCTCAAATCACGTAGCCAAGCTGCTGGTGGAGCTCTCAAAGTCGCAAGACGACGAGATCGGTGACGGCACAACCGGTGTCGTCGTGCTGGCGGGCGCCCTGCTCGAGCAGGCTGCCGAGCTCATCGACAAGGGCATCCACCCCATCCGCATCGCAGACGGTTACGACCAGGCCTGTGACATTGCCGTCGCCGAGCTCGACAACATCGCAGACACCATCGAATTCAGCAAAACAAACACAGAGAACCTCATCAAGGTCGCACGGACGAGTTTGGGAAGCAAGATCGTCTCCAAGGCACACGACCAGTTCGCCCACATGGCCGTCGACGCCGTCTTGTCAGTCGCCGACCTGGAACGGAAGGACGTCGACTTTGAGTTGATCAAGGTCGATGGCAAGGTCGGAGGCTCATTGGAGGACTCCCTCCTGGTCAAGGGTGTCATTGTCGACAAGGACTTCTCTCACCCGCAAATGCCCTCCGAGGTCAGAGACGCCAAGATCGCCATCTTAACATGTGCCTTCGAGCCCCCGAAGCCCAAGACCAAGCACAAGCTTGAAATCACATCAGTCGAGGAGTACAGGAAGCTGCAGAACTACGAGCGCGAGAAGTTTATCGAGATGATCCAACAAATCAAGGATGCCGGCGCCAACCTCGCCATCTGCCAATGGGGTTTCGATGACGAGGCAAACCACCTGCTCCTCCAGAACGATCTGCCCGCCGTAAGATGGGTCGGTGGTCCCGAGATCGAGCTTATTGCTATTGCCACAAACGGAAGAATCGTGCCTCGATTCGAGGACCTGAGCCCCGAGAAGCTTGGTTCCGCCGGTATTGTGCGAGAGATGACTTTTGGCACCACGAGGGAGAAGATGTTGGTCATTGAGGAGTGTGCGAACACAAGGGCTGTCACTGCTTTCATCAGAGGCAGCAACAAGATGGTGAGTATCGCCTGTCTCATGCTGATATACTACTACAGTGCTAACCTGCGTTTCACAGATCATCGACGAGGCCAAGAGGTCTCTGCACGACGCTCTCTGCGTGGTAAGAAACCTGGTGCGCGACAACCGTGTCGTCTACGGAGGTGGTGCTGCCGAGATTGCTTGTTCGCTAGCAGTCGAGGACCAGGCTACCAAGACCCCTGGCCTGGAGCAGTACGCCATGCGCGCATTTGCCGAGGCCCTCGACGCCGTGCCCATGGCCTTGGCAGAGAACAGTGGTCTCAACCCCATTGCCGCCCTTGCTGAGGTCAAGTCGCAACAGGCCACGGCCGGCCCTGAAGTGCGAGGCAGGCTGGGTGTGGACTGCATGAACAAGGGAAGCAACGACATGAAGCAGGCGTTCGTTATCGATCCCCTCATCGGAAAGAGGCAACAGCTCATGTTGGCAACACAACTGTGCCGCATGGTGCTGAAGATCAACAACGTGATCATCAGTGGCTCCGGCGATGATGACTACTAGACATGATAATTATCCACAAAGGACTCGGGGCTACACAAAATAGGCATATCCATGATGTGCTCATGAATGAGATAGATAGACTAATGTACAGTCACGAAGCCAAATGACAAGACTTGATCATGACCATTTTATGGGCTAAATACAACCCACGGACTTGTGTAAAACTAACCGTGTGAACCGTGGCGGCGATACATGAGGACCTGCTGTGGTTCCCCATGATGGCACTCGAACCTCGACATCAATCATGCAAGAGGCTACAGTGGCGCGGAAACGGTAGTGCCAGCATAGATATAGATTAACCTTTTGGGAGTGTTTCTCCTCTAATCTGCTTTCCTGCCTAATGGTTTTCACCATCATGCCTTGCGACGGTGGTGATCGAGGCCCCAGGCCGGAATCGCAATCTCCTCCCATGTGCCGTGTGCTACGTCAAGAGGGACGAGCAAGAGCAAAGAGACACTTGTTTTCGCCACGGGCGCCGGTTTATGATTTGTAATATATGCACGCTTGCTATTCGTTCAACCGACAACTGGCATATTTCATGGTTATTACGATCAATGTCTGGGGCAACGGCTAGAATACTCCATCTAGAATCAATGTGAAAATCGTATGATTTGTGCTATCTAATCGACTCTGGAATACCAACTCGACCAGGCCCCTTTTTTCCTTTCCATACGCTATCGTATGATACGCAGACCGCACACATGCTGGGTTTCAAGCCTCAACCCTGGCTTCCGGAAAGCCACTGACTGCATTGTCCCAGAGTCACATGTTTTTGACTTCCAGGTTGCCTCTTGGCATTCACTCCGCTCCATTCAGGAGTGTGCCATTATATAATTGTACAACCCATATCCCCCTCCACAAAATTAGTGCCCGGCCATGACATTGTGGTAATGTGACCAAGCAAGATCGCGGCTGTGGCGGAGCAGGACGTCCTCAGTAAGCGGCAGCTTGAGAATTCGCTGATGATCCATCTGGTGAAGTGTTAGCCTGCCAAATCTGCCATCACAATTCGGGACAGTGTAACATACCTTTCCGCTCTTGGCCAAGTCGCTAACCACCTTGGCAACCACTTCGGCCATGTCCGTCAAAGCCGCATATTCCACAATGCCAGCTTCAGGTGTGTTGCCATGCATCGCGGGCAGACCTTCCAATAAGCCACTGATGAGAGCCAGAGGTGGCTGTTCGTGACGGCGTTGGAATCCCACCAGCTGAAGGAATGCTTTGTAGACTTCACCGCCAAGATTCCAGTCGGCCACTTGTGACTGGCGGCCATCGAATTGTTGGAGCAAGTCCGCGAGAGCATTATAATCGCGTTCAATGACGGCAACAGGGGCGACTTCCTTGATGAAAGTCTGATGAGCCTCGGCGAATGACTCCGAGCGTAGAAGACATTGAACTTCTCCAGCGGCATCCTTCTTGACGCTACGCATGTAGAGAGCCTTTGCATGCCAGATCCATCGACTCGGGATCTTCAGCTTGTCGGTCAGCTCCCTGAAACTCTCAGATTGCTCGTCGCCAATCAGGCCAGCATGGCGGCACAGATGTTCTTGGATAGCCTTTGATCGGGCGTCCGGGTCAGCCAAGTGTAAAGTAACAAATGCAGCCTCCACCCAGCTACCCTCATTCGTGAGCTGTGAGGCAAAAGAGATGGTAGCGGCGTCCGACTTTTCAGTCGCGTTGTTCCCGAAAGAAGCCTTCCCGGTTGCCGCCAGGGCCTGGCCAAGCTGCCATGTCAGACGGTAGTCGAGAGGAGAGAGCTGCGAGTTCTCGGGTCGCAGAATTGACTCGAGGTCAGCATGCTTGTTAGAATAAAGCTGCAAGAGACCCCAGAGTAGGTCCTCCCGGTCGGCCTCCTTAGGGTCATCCCAGATGCTGCCGATGCCTTGTTCGACGAACCACGCTGAAGGATGCTGTTCCCTGTCTTGTTCGTAGTCTTCCTTGAATTTCTCAACTGCATCCGCGATCGCATCCTCGGAAGAGCTGGCATACCAGAGACGGAGACCGAAGGCTTGCTTCCAGTTGAGACCGAACTTGTTTGAGATGATGAATGAGTCGGCGCGGTTCTCTGAAGGGCCACTTTTCGTGCCTTCGCAAACGCATACGTTCCCGCTAAGCATCTCATATAGCGCCCGGATAGGTTCTGAGAATTCCGAAAGTATGCTGCCAGACTGCCACTCTCTAATCTGTTCTCGCATGTCCCGCTTGACGCTGTCCCCCGTGCCAATCAAGGCAACCAGAGTAGCCAGGCGGAAATTTTTGCCATCCAGGAGGTGCTTACAAGCTTCGGCAACACGGTGACCGGATAATGCAGCAAGGGCCTTCTCCTCGCTGGTGCCGGCCATGGAAATACCCTTGTTGGACTCAGCTTCGACCATGCTTTCCCAAAAGCGAGAAAGAGATTCGCGTCGAATCCTCTCGGCGGCATCCGGGCGATTCTGAAGCTCGGCAGGGATCTTGACGTTATCAAAAAGCGTGCTGGCAAGCTCCCAGACAAGCTTTTCGTGGTCGGCAGCGGGGTTTTTGGCACCTGTGTCTGTGGCGAATTCCTTCAGGCTGACCCTAGGACCCTGTACGGTAGGTACGCCATTATCCAGGTAGATCTGGGAAAGTTCGGTGTGGGCGCGGATTGCTTTCGCAGACATCTGATTGTTTATTAGTCTTGGGGCCTTGGATAAGTGATATAATGTTGGGCTTACTTCATTGGAGAATCTTGCAATCCGGATGTCCTGAGATTCAAAGTTGAAGTTATTCTTGGTGACTGTCATCAGGCCATTCTTCTCGGTGATGCGACCAGATCTGCCGAACGGGGTCGCCTGGGGATTTGCGGCAAAGACTAAAGTGCCGTTGGGACCCCATGTAGGGCGGAGTGTGTCGTGCCAGGTTCTCTCCTTCTCGTCCAAGTCATTTTCGTCGAGAGCTTTTGTCATCCTCTTGTAGGGCCACTAGAATAAACACACAATTTAGCAGTGAAACACAATTATTTTATTCAATGTGATATAGGTTTGTGAAGCAGAAGCTTTCATGTAATCGAAAATTGTATAGGGAGAGGAACTAATAACAACCGACCTTTACATTTCCTGGTCGAACAGCGGGTTGAGGTTTCTCAACCGGAGTCTTGGCATGATCGAAAATCGATTTCATCAAGTCAATGCTAGTAGCAAATCCACGACTGTCCGATACAACTCGCTTCTTGGTGGGTGATTGCAGTTGTATGCTGTCCTTCATCCGGTAGTTGTCGGCTTCTTGGTTCTCCTTGAGCCGAGCTCGATCCCTTTTCTGGGGACTGACAGTCTTCTGCAACATATCCATCCAGTCGTCGCCAGCAGTCACTGTGACTTTGGCCGGGGTAGCGGAACCTTTTATGGCGCGCATCCGAGCTCTCATGATCCCGGCAGGCGTCTCTGCAACAAACTCCATCTGGCTAGCAGCAAACGAGTCCTCATCCTGCTCCGCGGCATGATGGCGTCCAAGGTCAGCACTCGCATCCTGTTCCTCAAACGATCCATATTCTTCATCCATCTCGTCTTGTGCAACAGGCACAAGAGCTCTGGAAGTAGAACCCACGGAGCGACTACCTAAAAAAGACGACCGAGCACCATCGACTTCCGCCATTTCTTCTACACTCTCCTCGTCGTCTTGGCGCTCGGCTGCGTCGAATGCACCCGGCAATGAATGTTGGCTGCGTCGGAAGTCGAAGGTGATATCGTCCTGGTCAAAGTCAGGATGTGCCGAAGGTGACGGGGACGCGGAGTCATGCCTTGGAGGTTCTGCTGTATCCATGGATGGATCGGCTTCGAAGTCCTCGTCATCTTCGTCGTCATAGTCCAAGCCATACCTAGTGAAATGGTCCACGGAAAAGGTCCATTCACCAGTCGACTCGTTGTAACTTTCGAAGTGAGTGTTTTCGATACGCGACAAGCGATCGATGTGCTTCTTCAATGAGGCAGCAGCCTTGCCGCGGGTCTTAGCTGCACGTGGCCAAGAGTTCTCCAGGTTGATGAGTGAGGGGACGTTCAGTCCCTTTCCGACCTGTGGCTTCTTGGCAGGGTTCGGGTAGACTGTGCAAGACCGAATATCGAGGACGATGATGTTGTCGTACAGATTGTCAATATCAATTTGCGTGAGGTCGACAGGCACTTTGAACATGACCCATCCAGAATTCTTCCGGCCGACCTTGAAGTTCGAGACCTTCTGGCGCTGAACTCTGTTCATGGCTTGGATCTCCTCCTTGCTGGGTTCCATCCAGTATTCGCCAAGTTCCTTGTCGGCAGCGGTAGCCGACGGGCTCGGTGCTGCTGGGCTGGCGATTTCCTCTTCGTGTACAATGGTCAGGCTCGTGGACTGCTCTTCGACATTGACTGCTTTGGATCCGTTTGTCCCATTCGTCTGAGGACGGATGTAGCCAAGTTCTTCCGCGCTCGGTGTCGAGTTGCCTGAAGCACTCGGGCCATCAATGGCCTTTGGCGCCTCGTGAACATCAGTGTCGAAGCTCACGCGCTTACTGAGCTTGCGAGAGCCGTTCGTAGTCTCATCCGGTACCTTTGTAGGGGTGGAGAACAGATCGCTCCGCAGCTCACGATTGATGACAAGTTTCTTGACGTTGCCACCCGTGTATCGTGGGCCGGTGCTGGCGGAGAACGCGCCAGGAGCCAGCAGACTGTCCTCAACGTTGAAGCTGCGACGAAGGTTGCTAACGGAGACGCTTTTGCCGAGACTTCGACCCAGACTGCTGCCACCTATGAGACTTTGCGACAAACCACCAGGAGTACTAGCAGCGCTGGACGGGCTGTTGGGTGTGCCATACGTGCTGTACGAAAAACCAAAGCCTCGCTTTTGTGGTGTGGCCATGCGAGAAGCGGAAGCCGGGTTCAGCTTGTACATGGGTAGGATAGATGGCTTCCTAGCCGGCTTCTTGCTTGAGAGAGGTGTGGCAAGAGGACCAGGATCGTTGCTGGGAGCAGCGAGATTGCCAAAGAGAGATCCTGTACCGTAGGCGGAAGGATCATTGACACTAGCAGTCAATGTTTGTTGACCTTGCTGGTTGTTCATTGAATTGCTGAAGATGGAGTTACCCAAAGTGTTTTGTGGTTGTTGGTTGGTAGAGTTTCCGAACAAGCTACTTCCCTGCTGTGCATTATTCTGACCACCAAACAAACCACCACCGGTTGACTGAGTGCTTTGACCGAACAGGCCGCCGGGTTTGTTCTGGGTAGAGTTGTTCAGACCACCGAAGAGACCTCCACCAGGCTGGTTCTGTGTCTGTTGTTGCCCGCCAAACAAGCCACCTCCTTGGTTGTTGGCCGGGGTGCTGGTGCTGTTACCAAAGATACCGCCACCAGTTGTGCCGGCCGGCTTGTTGCCGAAGAGTCCTCCAGCTTGCTGGTTGTTTGTGCCGAAAGCATTGTTTTGAGTACCTGCGGTATTGTTTCCGAAAAGACCACCTCCCGTGTTGCCGGCAGTGCTGCTGCCGAACAAACCGCCTGGCTTGGCTTGCTGCTGGTTGCCGAACAATCCACCACCGGATGACTGGGCGTTGTTTGTGCCGAAGGCGCCACTTGCACCAAACCCAGTGCTTTGTTGCTGCTGCTGTTGGTTGTTGCCGCCGAAAAGCCCCCACCAGTGTTTGTGGCGGCTTGCTGGGTGTTGCCAAAGAGCCCACCCCCGGCTGTGTTGCTAGCTCCGAAGCCGGTGCTCTGCTGTTGCTGCTGCTGTTGAGGCTGCTGCTGCTGCTGGGTGTTGCCAAAGAGCCCACCACCGCCAGTAGCTGGATTATTGGCCGTGTTGGTGCCGAAACTGAAGCCGGTCCCGGCGGGTTTGGCGGCTTGAGCACCGAACAGTCCGCCCCCAGCCGCGTTGTTTGTGCCAAAGGCACTGCTAGTAGCGCCGGTGTTCGTACCGAAGCCAGTTGAGCCGGTGTTCCCAGCAGAGCCGAAAAGCCCGCCAGAAGGTGGTGCAGCCGCGTTTGCCGCACCACCACCGAACAGTCCACCGGTCGCCGCAGGTTTGGCCCCAAAGAGTCCTCCTCCGGAAGTGCTGGAGCCGAAGCCGGTGTTGGCGGTATTCGAGCCGAAGCCTGTCGAGCCAGTGTTGCTCGATCCAAACAATCCACCACCAGAAGTGGCGTTGTTGGTCGAACCGAAGGCGCTTGTGGTTGTGTTGGCGTTGGTGTTCGTGTTGGCGCCAAAACCACCTCCAAAGCCGCCTCCGAAGCTGGGACCGGCACCACTACCAAAGCGACGGTTCTGTGCGTAGTCGGCAAGTCGCAGTTCTTCGGCAGAGAACTTCTTGTAGGGTTCCTGGAAGAGAACGTTCTGAAACGAGTTCTGCGCGAGACTAGCGGCAGACTCTTTTTCTATTGTAGGCGTGAATGGTGTGGTTGCAGTTCCAGGGGCATCACCAACAGGACCTCCCAAAGCTGTACTTGCAGGAGCATTGAATGCGCTGCCCGTGTTTCCAAATGTGTTTGTGGTGCCACCGCCGCCAAAAAGGCCACCAGTGCTTCCAGTTGCAGACGTCCCGAAAGCGGGCTTGTTTGCAGCGTTGCCAAAAAGCCCGCCGCTGTTGGCGTTGCTACCGAAAGCACTCGTCGTCGTGGGCGCGGCGGGGGTGCTGCCGAAGCCGCCTCCAAAGCCAGTACCTGATGTAGAGGCCGGGTTGCTGGAGCCGAATAAGCCACCACCGGCGGACGCTGTGGTACCAAAAGCAGGCTTGTTCGCCGCGGCGCCGAAGGCTCCAGAGGTGTTGGAGCCGAATCCGCCTGGAGGAAGAGACATGTTAGCATTGCCTTTTAAAATGTGAACCTTTTGTGGTGGAAGAAGAGGAAAAAGAAGAAGAAGCAGAAGAAGACATGTCGGTTGGATATTGCATATTGCATACCTGAAGCAGAGCCGAAGCCACCTCCAGTGTTGCTGCTAGAACCGCCAAAGAGGCCGCCACCAGTAGTGGTGTTGGTGGCACCAAAGGTGTTGGGCGTGGAGCCAAAAGCACCTAGGAAGCTGGTCAACGATGTTCTCGTTGGGTGTTGATTGCGAGGGGTAGCGGAAGGAGAGGGGGGATGCGAGGGAGGGAGAGGGAGGCGGAAGATGTGACGTACCTGTGTTCGCGGTTGTGTTACTGGTGTTGTTGGTGCTGCCAAAGCCACCGAAACCAGTGTTGGTGTTGGTGTTTGTATTGGAGCCGAAGCCTCCAAATCCTCCACCGAACGACATTATGGCGATGTCGCAGAGCTGTTCGATGAGGGAGGTGGAGGGTGTTGTCGCAAGAGAAGAGCGCGTCAGACGCGTGTGGGATGGATACGAGAACCTCGATTAAGGTTCCGGAGACATGGGATGACCAAGTGCGATGGATGCAGATATGCGATTACAGCACTTCCCTAGCTCTTGCTCTTGATCGCTACACGCCAAGGAGAGGGCGCGTGCTGGGTGTGTTCTTCTTGCGAAGTCGATGCAGAGCTCGGTCTTGTTCTCCCAGGTGCGCTCTGCAAGGGTGATGGAGATGTGAGGATGGGAATTTTCGGCGGTGCGCAAGCGATCAAACCCGGACCTATACGGATTGACCAGGACGACTGACGAAAAAACCGACAGGGCACGAAGAACAGTAGTCAAGAGAAAAAGACAACAAAAGACTACTTGCTTCGATGCAGGTCTGGGAATGGATAAGAAGGACAGACACCGGTTTGGGGTGGGTGTTGTGATGCTGCCTTTGCAGTTGAGGTCGGAATTTAATACCAGACGGCTGGGGGCAGGCGAGACAGACGAACAAAGGGCCAGCAGAATTTCTTGAGGTCTCGGGCAAAGGTATGGGAAGTTTGGCCAGGATCTTGATCGGCTCAGCTCCAGCTCCAGCTTCAGCCAATTCAATCTAACTCAGAGGTCCCCACCAAAGGTCCAAAAAGTCGGGCAAAGGTCACGCCTTGGGGGCCGACCACTGAACAGTGAGCACTGAGTTTGAAGAACACCGCACGCTGGCCACAAACAAGTGAGCTGGACGGCTGCTGACAGCGTCTTGGGACAGGTGGCTATTGCTGGCAGAACAGAATTGAAGCTCGAGTCCAACACATTGGGCCCACACAAAGCTTTTAGGCTCGAGGGTAGTCGGAAGTCTCATTCAGGTCTCAGGCACATCATAGGTCTCCAACTAGAAATCACTTCACAGCAAGACGCGCGATCGATGCCAAACTTTGGAGCCGGGAGGATCACGATGCACTATTTGTCTCTGTCTTCTTTCTACCCTGGTGTCTGTGATGAACACAAGGAAGGAGAAGAAGACCAAGAACAAAACCGTCCCAGATTGTCCCCGACTGGCAAGCTTTAATACTCTGGCTCCCAGGCTTTGTGTGTGAGTAATTTGTGCTGCTCTACCAATCATGCGCTGCTTTTCCTGCGTCGATTGTTAAGCAAGGCAGATTTTGAGGTGGGTGCCTGCTGAGCACAAAGTACATGCGTGATACTGCATACAGTGCATGTCTACCGTGTCTCTTCCTGTCGCACACTGTCAATCGCTACGTTGTACCGAGTTCGAGCTTTCAGTCAGTAGTTAACCAAGCTCTCAATTGAAAAACTTTTGGGGAGTTTTTTTTTTTTGGTGCGACGCGCTCAAGTCGCGACTGCCCCTCGGCTGTCCTGGTCGTTTTCGCGATCTCACACCAAGCCACAAACCCGAGACCCAAGTCAACTAACACGCGCCAGCGTTCCTTTGTCCAGCACCCAAACCACCCAAAGCATCATCCCCCCGGTCTCCAATTAATCTAGACTCTCGGCCATGATGTTGTAAATCCATTTGCATTCGTTCAAGCCCTCATTCCACACTGCCGTATTGTTGTTTACATTGATCAAGCTCTCCCGTATGACCCGAATGACGCTGCCGTTCTTATTCTTGCTTCGCCAAGCTTTGGTCTGAGCTGTATGTGATATTGTTTTCTGTTGCCACACAGTCCACCTACCTACACCCACGTGCGCACCCTTCCTTGCATATCCAAGCCCTGAGCAGTTGCGCTGCTTGCGAATACTATTGCCCCGCGTACTTGCAAGCGGTGTGTGCTCGACCCCAAGGGTACCCCTTCTCGCAACTTTCGACAAGACGCGACACCAAGTCGACAAAACGTATACAAGACGACGCTGCCTAAGGCACTCGGAGCCGTCGCGACCTTCCACAGTCTCTCGAGTAGCCATTCGCCCATCCCTCGGCGCGGACGTAGCATCTAGCTGCCGCACGCGCAACCACTCACAATGGCGGCATATGGCGGCGCCAGTAGCATGATGGCCAATTACAACGACACGAGAGGTCCAATAGACCGCGATTCGAGGCAGATCGGAGCGCGTTCTCTTCCCGTACGGCCCGGTGGCTCAAGTAGTATGCGACCGGGCACCGGACGCTTTGCGCCGCCCATCCAAAATCCAGAAGAGCCTGAGCCCTGGGACCAGATATCCGACGAGCACCGCACTGAGATACAGGACTGCTTCCAGCTCTTTGATATGAACAAGGACGAAGAGCTCGACTTCTCCGAGTTCCGCTACGCCCTGCAATCCCTGGGTTTGGGCCAGATACCGCGGCCGGAGCTCATCGCCAAATTCCAGGACAGGGGAAGAGCCCGGCCGGACTGGACTCCTCTACCTTCAATACCAGGCCAGCCGCCTCCGTCACAAATACCTGTCACAGCCGACTTGAGACTGCCGAGAGAAGGATTTCTTGCCATAGCTGCAGAGTACATGGCGCAACGCGACCCAAGAGAAGAGTTACTCCGGACCTTTGGCATGTTCGACAAGGGCGGCAAAGGGATAATAACCCTGGACGACCTGAGGATTGTCGTCAAAGAATTAGGAGAAGACATCCCAGAAAACGAAATGCTCAACATGATAGAGCAGTTCGACATCGAGGACAAGGGGGGCGTGAATCGGGAAGAGTTTCTGGGCATCTTCTTGAGTGGGTGAGCTCGGCATGGGTGGCCTGGATGAGAGAGATCATAATGCCAACATGTTACTGACATTGAGTCTCGTCAAGGTAACACATACAGCTTGAGTACCCTTGCAAGGACCGGTGTCAGGAAAGACATGAGCTACAAGACAAACAAAGGCGAGAAGACAAAAGCAGGCCAGCCCGCGGCAGAGAGGCTTGACGATCTTCGAGAAGACGACGAGCCAGCGAGCCCTGCTACAAAATGGAAAGGCAAGGAGAGAATGGCGGCAGCTGCAGTGGCAAGCCAAGGAGGAGCGCGCAGGAGGTGAAAAGGATATGTGATGTCACATCTCAATAAGGGTTTTTTTTTTTGAAGGATAGTGTGAAGAGAGGAAGTTGTATATACGTTCTTTCTATACCCAGTATTCGAAGAGGGGGGGTCTTTGGCATAACGTGCGACGTACAATGGTACTGGAAAACATATCGATCATATCATATCATCTGGTGCTTCACCATCACATGCGTGATCAAGAGCTTTTCTCGGTCATTCTTATTAGATGTGACCAACCAAGACTCCTATACGTCATCGGTCTAGTTCCTTCCACAAGGACCTGAAGCGCGCCTGGAAGAGAGGATGGGTCACGAAGCCCCCCTCAAGGATATCCAGCGGCGCGTCCCAGCCGCGCGACCGCAACGCACGCACCGCGCCCCCCAGCGCCCCCACGAACCAGGCCCGCGTCGGCGTCCCCGCCCCCGCCGCGAGGGCCCCGATCATGAGCGTGCAGGACGTCAGGTTCATGTACGAGCAGGGCTGGTGTCGGAGCCCGCACAGCGCCTCCCTCAGCTCCCCCGCGGCCGGCTCGAGGTCGGCGGCTCCTGGCTCTTGGCCCCGGGACAGGTGGAGGATCAGCTCCACCGTCCAGGACGTGGCGCGGATGTGCGGGCCGGCGTGCGCCCGGAGGGCCCGGGCCTGGCTCAGCAGTTTGGTGGTGGTGATCTCGACTTCTTCTCCCGCGGAGATTGGACCTGGCTGGTCCTTGCGGTGCGCGTCTAGCGACCACAGGAGCCTAGAGAGGCCGTCGCAGATATCCGCCACGTCGGAGAGCGGCCGGTGGCCGTAAGCGCTGGCCTCGTCGGCCAGCTTCCGGTGGTAGAATCGCGGGAACCCGAGCAGATCGTTGGTCGAGTCACTGGCACAAAAGTCAGCTGCGAGGGGCTCAGCCCCAGTTTGGAGCGGACTTAACCGACAGGATGAGCAGGTCGTAAAACCACGATGGCAGCCCCCCGACGCCGCGGGAGCGCCTCTCTCGGATCAGCTGTGCCGCCCCGTCGATATGGACAGCCCAGGCCTCGCCGTCGCACCTCAGGCGCTCCCCGAACGCCATGGTCAGCACAGCACCGAGCACGGCGTCCACGTGGGCGGCAGCGCCGGAGCCGATGCGCCGGGCGACGAGGCCAGCGGCCCGCGACCAGTGCGCCTCGGCCTGTCTCTGGAACGAGGCATCCGGCGACCAGTGGCGCGCCCCCACTGCCATGGACGACTCGAGGAGCGCGGGCTCGGAGACCAGGAGCGCGATCCACGCCGCCTCGTCCGCGTTGGTGGGATAGTCACGCCCGTCCTGGAAGACGAGCGACCAGAGTCCGGACACTATTTTGATGGGGGGTTACTTTTCAGCAAGTTGGCGTCCCCTTCATAAGACCGTCCCCCGGAGGTGCATACGTACGGAACTGTGCGTAACAGTATTGCTCTGCAAGCTGCGCGGTGAGCGGTAGGGCCGGCACGTCGTCACCGCAACTGCGTGTGCTCCGGCTCGCTGGCTTGGCTGCCTTCCAGACGGCTGGGTTGTAGCTTGAACTCGTCTCGGCTGCCTTGGCTTCAAAGTCACCATGTATTCGCTTGCGCCTCTTTGCGAAATTGGTCCTCGTTATGTGGGCCCTCATCTGCTTTGCGTCCAAGTGGGACAACTCCGACGTGCCGGTCGCATTCAGAAACAAGAACTGTGTCGAGCTCATGTTGGGCTTTCTGTATGCGGAAAATCAATTTGAAGACGACAGGCGTGAGATTGCCCTTGTTAAGAGGTGATGTATATCATATATGACCGAGGTGAGATCATGGACCCGCCACGTTATACCGGATTAGGAAAATCAATTTCATAGGGATTAGTAAAGTACCAAGCAGTCAGACCCCATATGCGAATGAACGATTGGCTAGACAAGTCGTGCCGAGCCGAATTAGGGAAAGTTCAACTCTTATAGTCAATAGCTGAAGAGGTTGACAGCTTGAATCGAAACAACCCCTGATCACCAGTCTATTCTGTAAAAGGATATTCAATTTTAGGTACAGGCTTCTGACAAATGTGTTATAGATGGAACATGTATGAGTGATATTGGTATTTTGACTTGCTGAGACGCATATATAGATGGAACCCATCATTAGTATTTTCAACGTTGGATCTGTCCCATCGTAGACTTTCAACGTATATGATACAGAAGCCTTTCACGCTAGTTATAATTAAAAATCAGAGGATGGCACGGCAATGGATTCTTAACAGTCAGGAGGGATTCGAGACCTCACTCAAATACCAGGAGAATGTCAGCATCCCATCCACAGACGAGCTCGGCTTGCACGACGTCTTGGTCAAAATACAGGCAGCTAGCTTGAACTATCGCGAGATAGTGATCGCAGGACCCGGGGTAAGTCTTCTCAGACTGCAGTTATCCATATAGCGTGCTGATATACTAGACAGGGCGTGAACGGGCCCATTACACCTCCGATTGTCCCTGGCTGCGACGGAGCCGGAATCGTCGAGGCGGTGGGCTCATCAGTCCGGGACTTCCGACCAGGCGACCGAGTTGTCACGTATTTCGCGCCGAAGCTTGTTGAATCCAGCGGTGATGATGCACAATCGAGCATAGCAGACGTCTCTGCCATGCTGGGCCAGGGAACCGACGGGACATTACGTTCCCGGGCTGTCTTTTCCGAGGCAGCGCTCGTGCAGGCGCCCAAGACCCTGGGACCACTGCCAGCGTCCACACTGACGTGCACCTGGCTGACGGCATGGAACATACTCTTCGGGCTCAGAGGTCAGGAAGCCGGACCAGGCACCTGGATTCTCGTCCAGGGAACGGGCGGCGTGAGCGTAGCCACGCTGCAGCTCGCGGCGGCCGCTGGCATTACCGTTGTCGCGACCACGTCGACGGAAGATAAAGGGAACCGCCTTCGGTCACTCGGGGCCGCACATACGGTAAACTATCGCGAGAATTCGGACTGGGGAAAAGAGGCACGGGGTTTGACGCCTGGTGGGAGAGGATTCGATATAGTAGTCGATATTGGCGGCGACCAAACTCTTCCACAGTCTTTGGCAGCCGTGCGAGTAGACGGGCTCGTCGCGGTCATAGGACAAGTAGCAGAGGTCGGCGCGCCAGTCCCGCTCTTCGCTGCATTACTGCACACTTGCATTGTCCGAGGGCTGCTTGGAGGAAGTCGAGCCCAGCTTCGCGAACTTGTGCGTTACATCGACGAGAAGGGCATCGAGCCGGTCGTGGATGATGTGGTATTTGAGCTGGCAGAGGCCAAGGATGCCTATAGGCGATTGAAAGAGAAGAAGCATTTTGCTAAGGTCATGATCCGCATCGATCATCCGGATAACTAAGAAACTCTTATTATTCTAGTCCATTCCCTTGGAAGTTTCGGAAGCTGCTAGCTATTGTGCTCCAATCTGTAAGCCACTCGGCTGCATGTTCAACTGTTAGATTCGCTTATAAGTTATTGAATTCTCAGTTCACCCGGCACGTTTAGCACTGACAAACAAACAATTTACTATGCATTGTTGGCAATGCTCTAAAAACAGGCATAGACGTTCACTTGGCCTAGGAATATTGCTCATTTTTGCAACACAAGACATTTCAACTTCCTTGATTTCGATACTGTCAATGGAACATGTCATCTGGGCTACACTCATCATATGTGGTGAACAGCTGTTCTAGGACCACATCGAGCTCGCTGCTCAAGTGACACCCTACATTTTGAAGAAACGTTTGAATTCGCAGGCAACAAAACAGATGTTCCTTCGTGGTTGCTTGAACTTCTTCTCAATAATCACAGATCAGAATGATCGTTCGCGTTTGGTGCTGAAACTGATTCCTTCAGCATATCCACTGCATTCCCAGTATGTAGGTCACGTCCTTTTCCGGGCCTTTGTGAGGGTTGAGATATGGGATATCTTAACAAAGCTCGATTGGTATGTACATTGATTACCCTTCGATGTACGAGTGCCTCTCGCACGCTTAGTTCGCGTCCGTTTCATATGCCAAGCCATCTTCTTCACTCGAAAACTAGTCGATGGCAAGAATCTGAGTCGTATTAAGCACGGGAGAATAATGAAAGACGGAGGGTTGATAGAAAATATGTAATGTTAGCTCTATAGTACTACCATGTGGGTTTCTGCAGTATTCCCCCTACGAAGTCGTTCGAAGCGTTGTCCGAGTACTTCTCCCGAAGCACCTGGATAGACTCGACAAGCTGCGAAGCCCCGTGGTAGCTCTATCTTACAGGATGCTGAGGAGCAAGGCCTGAAGATTTGATCCAGGCTCGAGGACTTCTTGAGTGTTGACTTGGGAACCTTGACCAATACGGTACACGAATAATGACATATTTGCTCAAATCAGCGGGTTTGACCAATTGTGACCGGGCAGAACAACCGGGCGGTGTTGCTCCCCATTTCTTGAGCTAGAACTCGTTCCTTCTTAGGTTTCAGCAGGCCACAAGAGATAAACTATCCATGGCACCACTTATAAGGCAAGACCGTCATCAAGGCTGTTGTGAGCGCACATGTCTATGCGGTGCTTAGTGGCGCGTGGGATCACTATCGGCAGTTCCACCACGGTCTCAATACCTAGGGACTGTTCTTTTGGGGCAGCCCGTATGTCGATCGACGAGACGTGTGACATAGGACGTCATACACCAATGTTAAATGTGGAAAACAAACCAAGAATAATTAGTCGAAGACATACGAATATTTAAATCTCATAGCTGTGTAATATGATATGCATTTTGGGGAGGGCAGCATTATTTACGACTGCGCTCAGATATTTATGGTGTATTCAGAAGGTATGGTGCCTGGGACGAATATCTATAAGCTGGGGGACGACCTCCATGCTATGAATTCCCTCCCTCCCCCTTTTTACGAGACTAGAAGTCAGCACTTGCGTCACATTATATTTGCGAGTAGAAACCTATGAAATGTCATGGTTTCAGAATAGCAAAATGGTAAGAAAAAAAATAGATACGGCTAGTTATTGACAGTAGCCTAAACGCCATGACTCTGAAGTGTGGTAGGCCAACACAAACGTTCATCCACAAGCAAGCGGAGCCACCCAAAGCCTAGCCTATCGGTGAATGATTCGCCAACAAAAAGTAGAAATATGTCACGCTTTCGCGGTTTAAAACTGAATCAGATCCTGCCCCTGCTGCTGGTTGGTTTGTTGCTGCCTTGCGAACGGATTGGCACTCTGCTGGCCGCCATATCCATTCATGCCCATATTAGCCGGGCCAGTAGCCGCCGGCATTTGTTGTTGTTGATAGGTGGCTTGAGGCATACCGGTGAATTGCTGCCGGAGGAATGGGTTGTTTCCGGTTGCCTCGGCCGTTAGTCTATTGAGACCTGAGCCAGCAGAGTTCACGAAGGTACCCGGTGCGGTATGTTGAGCCGGGATACGCAGGTTGCCAGTGTTGCCAAACGTATCCAATCCTTCGCCTCCAGCGAGAAGCTGGTTGAGTTTGGCCTCGTGTTCCGTAAGCTCTCTCTGTGGCTGTGCGATCTGCTGTGGTTGCTGGAAGGTGGGCTGAGGAGGCGGTGTGAATGTCTGAAGAGACTTGGGCTCGGGGATTGGTTGAAGTTGGTTCAGGGTGGGCATGCTCGGCATGGCAGGCGCTCGTTGGGCCGGTGGAGGCTGTCCGAAACCTGAGGCGAAGGGGTTGTTGGAGCCCGTCTTCATGGACATGATAGGAGCTGGAGACGTGCTCTGAGCACGGCCAAAGGGGTTGTTACTGCCGGACTGGGCGACAGGTTCAGATGGCGAAGCTGTGGGCTGCGCTTGGAACTGTGATTGTTGCGCGTAAGGGTTGTTGAAGCCGGTGGGCTGGGGCATGAATTGCTGTTGCTGGGGCTGCTGGGGCTGCTGTTGCTGTTGCTGTTGCTGCTGACCGTAGGGGTCGTACATGCCTGTCTGCTGTACACCGAAACCATTTTGATATCCTGTGTTCTGGAAGCCAGTATACTGTTGGTTTGGCGCATTGTTGAAATTGTATCCGGTCGGCTGCGTTGCCACGGGGTTCTGTGTGGGATTACCAAACCAGTCAACATTATTGCCCTGTTGGTATCCCATATTGAACCCGGTAGGCTGAGGCTGCTGGCTCGTGGACGGGAAAGGGTCATCGTCGAACAGAGACTGAGCGTTGCTCTCTTCCAATTCCCGCTTTCTCCGCTCATCCTCTTCTTTGCTGAGCTTGATGGCCTTGGCCAAGTCATCGTCATTGTCGTTGGTGCTGGTGCGACCCTCCTCCCGTCTCCTTCTGTCTTCCTCTTCTTGGTATCTGCTTGCCTCGAGCGCCAACTTGTACTCAGTATCGTCTTCATCGCTCATTTGTCTGCGAGGACGTCTCTGGGAGGGTGGTGGGACGCTGCCTTCGGGTGCAAATTCCTCGATGCCGGTGACCCGGGACTTCCACGTCTTGCGATCGCTTCTCTCTGTCCGTAGTCGTTCCTCGTCAAGTAACAGAGCACTCAGTTCTTTCGCGGCCACGCGCACTATTCACATCCAGTGTCGTCAGCCATACAGGTGTCGATGAAGCGAAGAAGATGAGCACTGCTTACCATTCTGTCCGACGTCTCGGCCATCCTCGTCGACGTATTGGAACTCGCGCAGGGTCTTGATGATGTAGACGTTCTTGCGGGCCCACGTCACGACCAGTTCGGAGCCTTCGTGCAGACAGTAGTCGAGAACCTTCAATGCCTTCAGGACGTGTCGCCAGTTTTTGCCCTTGTCGTTGAGGCGCTTGTCGATCATATCGACGATGTCATAAAACTCGGTTGATCTAGCATCATTGTCAGAACAGGCCGTGTCTCTGGGAGGTATTGTAGCGCCTCTGCATACGAATTGTATGTCAGCTGAGCAATCTCGCTCATCTGAGTTCCCGTGGGGCCCCATGGGTCATTACTTGTCGCTGTGAAGTTGATCAGTCTGTTGGTCTCCTGTCGAAAGTCGAGCGGCAACTGGTGACCGGAAGAGCTTGAGCTTGAGCTTGGGCTGGGGGTTCGAGCATGAGCATGAGCATGAGCATGAGCATACCTTCGCGCACCTTGACCTGGACGCTGGAGTAACCCTTGGTCACATTCTTGACACTTCGCATCACCTTCGACATGTTGACGGTATTGATTGACGTTATGCAATAATATGTAGGTGCTCAGAATGTGTAGGGAGTTGTTGGTCGTTGCGAAACGCACACTACGGTGCACGTTCGTTGTCGGCAGATCCCCTTGAGATATGACGATTATCGGCGGGCGCAATTAAACGTCGCAAATCCAGCCTGTGGATAGCTCGGAGTTTCCAACAACTGGTGAGGGTAGTGGTACTTGCACTGGCACTGGCACTTGCGCTTGGTGCTTGGTGATTCAATTACTGGACAAAAACACCACTAAACAGAGTGACCCCAGATCGCTGTCGACGATGGTTGTTTTGTTGTGTGTGAGAAGAAAATCGTGCACGCCTGAGGCTATGAGGCGGCGCTTTGAAATTGACGGTGTCGCGGCCGACAAGTGTAACTCTGGGTAAGGCGAATGGAGCATTGACAGACGGGCAGCTCATGCGATTCATGCGATGATGAGGTTGGGCGAGGGGCCGGCTGCAGCCCAGCCGAGCAAGGCTCCCCCAAAGTGTCCACTGAAAGAGTTAATTAGACCGTGAAATCCAGGCTTGGCAGTACAAATCCAGCGCTGAAGAACAAAGCGACGTCCAGCTGGAAGCTTTTCATTTCAAGGTTTGATATTCTAAGTTCCTGTGGTGAAACCTTCCTGTGAGAGAATATTGAATATTCTCTGAAATAAGCTACCATACTACGGTATAACTATCAAAGGTCTGGTCTTGACGAATTGTCCACACATTTCGCAGCGCCTGCTTTCGTGCAACAATTTCCAACTCGAGAGTCTCGGCCTGCCATGTCCACTACGGCTGCAGGTAGTACTTCCAACGCTGCAGCTCAGCCCAGATCTCAGTCAGTGGCCATTCTGACGACGACCTTGGGGCTAAGCCACTCTTGGTAGGAACTATTGACGTAATCTGCATGCGAATGTCCCCCCCCCCCTTCCCTTGTGCTCAACTTGTACGATTCATGTCGGTCGTATTTGTTAGGCACACGGCAGACTGCCTGTTTCGTAAGAGAGAATGCGAGAATGCGAGAATGCATACTACTGTATAGTGGCCGTCTCAGGTCCCCACTGTCTTTCATATCTTGTTGGAGGCAACTATATATTCACCCCATCGTCTATGACTAAAACATGCCTCAATCAAAACAATGTAGACAAACGAATTCGCCATCGTACACTGCGTCGTCTCAATTCATTGCCTATTAACACGCGTAGAGAGGTATCGATCTAATCCTACGAGACCTGATAACGCCAAACCCTTCAGCTTGGCTATTTAATGCTCAAGCACCATGTAAGAGAACGCCGGCTCTCTAGCTAATGGAAAACTCGCTGTACAATTCCCATCGTCCCAAAACAAAACAAAAGCCTAGGATCGAAGCAACATTCAGGGAGGTGAGGAGCTGTACTACTCATCTTCCCCTTCCGCATCCTCATCCTCATCCTCGTCTTCCTCTTCCTCGTCGTCGTTCTCTCCCATCACCATGTCTGCGTCTTTGTCGTCTGCACTGTCCTCGGCATCGCTACCGCTCGACTCGGCATCGTCTTTGACCTCGAATCGAGTAGCCAAGGTCTCGGCCTCCTGACTTTTCGCGCCTTTGCCCCTCGCCTGCTTGACCAGAACTGTGTCTCCTATTTCTGCGTCGCCTCTCTCAGCGGCAGCGGCAGCAGCAGCTTGTTTACGTTGAAGCCAGGATGGCGGAAGTCCCGGACCACTATCAGCATTCCCATAGTCACTCTTTTTTGTCCCCTTGGGCCAACGTCCGGGTCCACGCCCTGTGCCGCCCGTCTTCCGTCGAGTCCCGCTAGCTTTAGGTCGCGAGGCCGACTTCCTGGTGCCGGTAGGCCGCCTCTTAGCTCTTGGACGTGGAGCCGATGCTGGAGCTCGCTGCAGCACCGGTCTTGTAATGGTCGAGTTTATACGTGATGGGTTTGGGCGTTTGGGGTTGACTGGTGGGAACACTTCAAACCGAACGGGCGGGATATTGATGTAAGCCGTATGCCAGTCATCCTCTGCTTCAGTTGCAGCAGAAACTGCAGCAGACTGGTGTGATCGTACCTCAATCTGCATGTGATTGTTCTCCTTGTCCACGTCGTCTGGCTTGATATCTTCCATTGGCTCATCAATGACAATGTCATTGGGTTCCGTTGATTCGAGCACTGTTGATTCGACCGGTGCTATAGGCTTGAGAATGCTTTCCTCTGGAACCGCAAAATCCCCAGCGGCGATCCCGCTTTTGGCAAGTATTTGGACCGCCTTGTTTTCCTCCTCGTCTTCCTCTCGGGGGGCAATCGCAGTAATCGCCGGTCCCAACTCAAAGTTCGTAGCGTTACTGCGACCCATGACATAGGGTGTCCAGGTCAAGGCCTTGTCGTTGAGCTTTACATAATTCTTCGCTTCCCACTTGGCTACGTATTCGCGGCAAAATGGAAGATCTACTCGGAAGGCGTAAAGTTTTGTCTGCGGATCCCGGACCAGACAGCGCAATCCTTCAAGGGCAGATATGACATCGTCCGGCATCATGCCCGTATCGTCGGAGATTTGCCTTATACTCAAGCCCTTCCCAGTATGTCTCTCCTCAGGCATGTGCTCCAAAAGGTACTTGCACATTATCAACCTCCAGTAATTGCGGTAAGACACCAGACCCATGTCTGACAATGGCTTCTCCGGCGAACCCGTCTTCTCTTCCGCCCGAGTAAGAAGGTAGGAGAAATCAATCAAGAGGTTGCCGTATCCTTTTCGCTGGTGGATTGGGAGGGTGAGGATACAGCTGACGTTGTTTTGGCTGCTGGCACGCTTCTCTTTTGAAAAGTAGCCGACGAAGTGATAACCCATGTCGTCGTACTCGCACAAGACGTAGAAAAGAAATGGCTCGACATCATAGTAGAGTGTCTTGGACCCGAGAAAGAGTTTGGCGAGCAGACATAGATTTTGACAATAAACCGGGTTCTTCCTGCCGTCGACCTCGAAAAAGGAGACAGACCCTTGTCGGTAGATCTCATCGCCTGGTGGGTGCTTGGCAGGGCATTTGAGCTTATGCCTCCATGCTACGTAGTCGGAGTTCATGTACTTCAAACAGAACTCACATATATACAGCACACGATTACGGCTGTATTCCTCTGGATATGGTGCAGCGTACCAAGTGTCGATTTCCCAGCCGCCGAACTCGATACACTCGATTTGACTTGCGGGTCCACTGGAGGGTTTCCTGGACTTCTTGATCGGGACAGCCTCCATTTCGGCTTGCATTGCCAGGATGCGCGCGCGCCACTCTTCGTCGGCCTTTTGCTTTGCCTCGTCAAATCGCCTCCTATCGTCTTTCGTGGGCAGAGTTTTGGACGTGTCGGCTTCGGGTTCGGTAAGAATACCTCCGTAAGGCTTTCCCTTCAACTCATCCGTTTCCTTATCATAAAATGAATAAAATGGCTGAGTGTAGCTGGAGGGCATCAGTGATGGCATTGGCGGCTCTGTGGCTGCAGCGTTTGTTCTCGCAATTGAGCGGGCGGATCGACCAGAGCGGCCAGAACGTTTGCGCGGTTGTGGTTCCTTTGAGAGAATTTGCTGAAGTTCCGCAGGAGCGACTCGCATCCTCAGCAAAAGCACATTTCGGGACTGCTTCAATACGGTGCATCGACCAGTTGAATTCGAAATCTTGAGTCTGAGCGAACGTGATGACCGGGGTCTGGTATCTTCATCGGTGCTGTTGGCAGAATCTTCGTTCGCATCGTCATTAGACTCGTCCGACGTGTTCTTTTGGCGTTTTCGAAGAGACATAGTTTCTTCAGGATTGTCGTGAGCGTCGGCCTCCACATCAGCGGACGAAGTTTTGCGTTTTCGCAATACCCTAGAACCATCCATAGGATCCTCATCGATGACAAGTTGGCTGAATACTGAATGAGAGTCGGGTCCGTTCAGTCTTGTGGGAAGTAGCTCGCGGGCAATCTTGGACGCTGTCGAGCGTCGAGAAGCTGCTGGTGACACCTCGTCTGGTTGGGCCTCCCTATTCGGCTCTGCGTTGTCAGGTAACGAACCAGCTTCAGACTCTGATTCAGAAGATCCGCCGTTGCATTCAGGACATTTCCAGCCGGCGCTTCCTGCGTCACCGTGTCAGTTCACTTCCCCTTCCGTTTCATGCGCACTTTAAACTTACTGGACTTATCGTCGTATGCATCCGCATCGTGAGCACATTGCTGATGAGCTACAGACAAAACGTTAGCCATGGCCGGCATCAAAGTGGAGCTTTAGAGCTTACCATGTTCACCACAACCTTTGCACGCAAGGAACGACTCGAAGTCTTCGCCGGGATCGTTCTCTTCGTCTTTCTTACAGAACATACAAAGGTTAGTCGCTTCAACTTCTGACTCTTCCTCTTCGTCATCCTCCTCAATTTCAGCTTCAGCTTCCCATTCGTCGACAGATTCTTGATCACTGCCGCCAGAGGCAAAGCTCGCATCCTCCTCAACCTCACTCTCGTCCTCATCGGTTTCACCAGGCTTGATTTTGACAGCACCAACACCTTCGGCTTCGTCCTCCTCATCCTCGTCCTCGTCATCGCCGCTGAGGACGGCATTTGGATCCGGTTGCATCATATCGTCATCTTCACCTTCGGCATCTTCATCAAACCCAGCATCTTCGTCATGGTCGCTTCCGTTCTGGCTTTCGCTGCCATCATCAGCGTGACGTTGGTCATTGTTCTCACTTGGTTCCCCTTCTGCATCTGGGTCTTCATCTGCATCTCCAGGCTCAATATCTGGCACCTGATCTGCGTGGACTTGTTGAGTCTCATCTATGCTCTCGCCCTCTGCGTCATCCTCTTCATATTCTTGTTGTGGGAGGATTTGCGCCTTGGGGGCGTGGTCCGAGAGCTCTACTTTGATCTTCGTGACAGGTTCGCCGGCTGAGGGAGCGTCGACATCCATGGCGTCAGGCGCATCGTCTTCCTCGTACTCGGCGTCCTCTTCCGAGAGGATAACACTTTGTTGGAGCTCGTCTTGAGCTGCCTGGGCGTTGGCCATGTCGCCAGGTGTGCTTGGTCTAGGTGGTGGAGAATGGGTCTTGGTGGGAGGTATGGGCAAGTTTGGTCAGTTGCGGCCAGGGCAAGCTCGTCGATGCGCACGCTCTTCGTTGGTGGTCGCCTTGTCGCATATCTATCGCGAATGTCGCACGACTTGGACTAACTTGAGTTTCGAAGGACGCGGTTAAAGTTGCATGAATGAATGAATGAATGACCGTTGCCGACGACGGGGTGCGATAGGCATTGGGACCTCAGTGGGCTAGGGAGCTGGACAGCGACTGAACGCGCAAAAAAGTGGCGTACAGCCGTGATTAGGAAAGAATATCAGAAGTGGCAGGCGCCTCAAGGAATTTGGCGCGTGAAAACAGTATTACATTGGCAAATGTCCGATGCGTCAAGAGGCGAACACAGTTTCGAGACGGTTCACGTCTATCCTGGCGTGGCTGCTGAACGCTTGCGCAGTTCACTTGCTGTTGGTGGCACGGAAGGTGCTAATTGGCTCGTACCTTAGGTACTATCTAGGGGAAGTACCCACTGAGAGCATCCACAGCCGAGCATTGACCCTTTCGCGGGGGGCGGAAAAGGAGACCGGCCGGTTGCACATGACCTTTGCACAACTTAATGGAACATCCTATGCACGCTTTCGGCCTGAGGCAAGACCCAAGCTCCAATCTCGGAACTCCAATGGAAGGACGTCAATTGACGAGCACCGTGCTGTAGACACTCGCGACCAATTTGTGATAACAACCTCGATAGGCATTGAGTAGGTGGTTTCTCCCCGTTCTGTAGCGGCCTCCTCACGCTTCTTTAATTGACTGATCTCAAAATATAGTCGCGACCAACAACCGCCGCAATGCCTGTCCCTTTCGAAGCCCTGATTCCCTATGGAATCATCCTAGCCGTGAGCGCTCTCTCCCACGAAGACAATTGAGGGACCACCTTACTGAGAGATACAGATGTTCGGTGTCACCGGCGCCGGCCTGAACAAGATCAAGCACATGCAAAACGGAGGCAAGCGACAGCGACGATCCATTGATCAGTGGGACAGAGTATGGTTTCTCCTTACGGGGCGGACGCGAGGGCTTCGACAAAGGCTAACTCGCGTGAAATAGCAAATGATGGACCGCGACCGAAGGATCACAGGTTTCCTAAGAGGACAGTCGGACAACCCGATAGCGCCGATTGGCTTCGAGTTGAATAACCCATGGAGGGTACGTCACAGCGACAATGTGAAGATTCAAGCAGCCACATATACTAACTTCCCTGCAGGTCGAAAAGCGCATGTCGTAGATGAGAAGTGGCAATGGCAGGGTAGAAAGAACAGTCGATTGGCAGCGCAGATGCATCCAGGGCAACCATTGTACAAAAGCCTACGAAGACAGCATTTATCAACAACTTCATTTGTCAAATCATGGGCCATGCCAGCATACAAAAATGGCCATTGGCACGGGTATCATTGATATTTAAAATTTGTCCTTTGTTGCCTTCTATATGCTAATCTCAGGCCTGTTCTTGTTCAAGCCTTCCAGAAGCATACATGCCTGGCACAACTTCTGGCTTGACATGTAACCACATCTCTCGCACGTTCCGAGTGTCTGCTTCGGTCTAATTGGAACGCTGATGCCATTGTCGACTACGGCATGATCGCCCTTCTTTTTCCGGTCGTGCCGTTGAGCTGTAGCTTTGGGGGTGGTCACCTCGGTCTCAAGACCCTCACCAACAGCCTTTTCGTTCTCTCGCAGTTGTTTCTCCATGACAGCCATCGCGCCACCTGCGCTCCGACCGTCTGCCGAGCCACAGCCACCAACGCTTTCTTCCTCTGCTGCTTTAGCTTCTGCAACTTGCTTGCTCTTGCAACCACAGGCATCCGTTGTTTGTCCTGGAACGAGCCGTGCCATGTCCTCTCCACTTCGAACGACATCTAAGATTGAGCTTGGCCGTACTTTCTCGAGATTCTTGATGAGAGCCCTTGCACTACCTCGGAAAGCTTCTGGACTGTATATGCACTCGGTGCTGAAGTAATCAAGCTTCTTGTGGTGCGCATATAACACAATCTCCTTCTCGTAAGCGTATTTTAATGGTTTGCTCCTCTTCACCTCACTTGCGTCGTTACCGGTGACAATACTCGTACTCCTGGAAAGACGTGACAGGTCTCCTCTCAGGAGATTCATCAAAACAGTCTCTGCTACGTCATCTGCATTGTGGCCCGTGACAACATGTTTGATGCCCAGCATTTTCGCTCCTCGGTCAAGAGCCTGCCTTCTAAAAACGCCACAGTATGTGCAGTTCCCCTTCTTGCCTATGGTGGACACGACCTGGTCCATGGTCCAGCCATAAAGCTCGTCATATCCTACAATCTTTAAAGGCATCTCGTACTGTAGGGCATTGCGCTTGACCGTCTCCAGTGAATCATCCCGGTAGCCTTTGATACCTTCGTCTATACTCAACAAAACCAGGTCCAGGCCATAGTCGTGTCGTTCGTTTAACGTCTTGAGCACAGATGCCAGTACTGTGGAATCTTTCCCTCCGGAAGCTCCTATGGCTACTTTCTCGCCACGAAAGAAAAGCTTGGAGGAAGTTATTGTGTGATGAGTCTCATCTTCAAATATCTGAATGAAGCAGGTCTTGCAGAGTTTCTGGTGATTCTTGGGCCGCTTTATGAGAGCGCGCTCTGTCTTGCAGATGGCGCATAAGGCTGGTGGCATTCTGGATGGCGCAAAAAGTACGGTAGATGCGATGAATCGTAGCGATGATTTTTCGAAACGACCAGGTCAAAATATAATCTCTGCAGCTTTTTTAATCATGCTCATGACATCTGAGTCAATCCGAGATTCTTTTAGCTGAGCGGCGACATCCCACTTCCGGTACGTACACACAGAGGGGCAGGTGCGCTAGGCCCACTTTGCGCAAGCTCCAGCGCTAGCCGACCGAGAATTACCCGTAATTCGCCTGTTTCCACAAACCCTCACCACAAATTGATTTCACGAGCTGTTCGGGTCGAACTTTTTCTTCTCTTCGAACTTCAGCGGACAGGTCGATCATCAACAAACGCCCAACGACCACACGACAAACAATCACCATGGTAAGCATACGATAATCACTCTTTCCGATGATGCGCCATCACGCGCCATCAATTCCTCACATGACGCCAAATTAAGTGGCACTCGCTCGTCGAGTTGTCCAGTTTTCCGCTTGTCGTCTTCGGACGCGGGTGAAGATTATGGCTTTGAGATATCGTGGGTGTGCAGAGATGCCACCGTATCACGTTTCTCTTTAGAGATCAAAGACTACAGTCAATAGAACAATTGCTGATGTCTTTTCTCAATGATAGGCCCCCAAGTCTGGCAAGAAGGCCGCTCCGGCCCCGTTCCCTTCCGCGAAGGCCGGCAAGAAGGCTCCCAAGGTTAGTGACAACCCCCCAGTCGTGCCCTCCCCTGGTGTCGTCCATTGTGGTGTTGACTTGATGGCCAGAACCCTCTCATCGAGAAGCGCCCTCGCAGCTTCGGCATCGGCGGTGACATCCAGCCCAAGCGCAACCTTTCGCGCATGGTGAAGTGGCCCGAGTATGTCCTGCTCCAGCGCCAGCGCAAGATCCTCAACCTCCGCCTGAAGGTTCCCCCGGCGATTGCCCAGTTCCAGCACGTTCTGGACCGCAACACCGCCGCCCAGGCTTTCAAGCTCCTCAACAAGTACCGCCCTGAGTCCAAGGCCGAGAAGAAGGAGCGTCTCACCAAGGAGGCTACCGCCATCAAGGAGGGAAAGAAGAAGGAGGACGTCAGCAAGAAGCCCTACGCTGTCAAGTACGGTCTCAACCACGTCGTTGGCCTGATCGAGAACAAGAAGGCTTCCCTCGTCCTCATCCCCAACGATGTCGACCCCATTGAGCTCGTCATCTTCCTGCCCGCTCTCTGCCGCAAGATGGGTGTCCCCTACGCCATCATCAAGGGCAAGGCTCGTCTCGGAACTGTCGTCCACAAGAAGACCGCCGCCGTCCTGGCCCTGACTGAGGTTCGCTCCGAGGACAAGTCTGAGCTCTCCAAGCTCGTCAGCGCTGTCAAGGACGGCTACCTCGCCAACTCCGAGAACGCTCGCAAGCAGTGGGGTGGTGGCATTATGGGTGCCAAGGCCAACAAGCGTGAGGAGAAGAAGAAGAAGGCTCTCGAGACCGCCGTTAAGGTTTAAGGTTTTGACTTGTTCATGGATAAGGAGTTACGAATCTGAATCATTGCACTGTACGGCGTTGGAGGGGTAAAATGGAATACCAATCAATGGATTTGCACGACACCTACTCCTACTCACCTCGTTCCTGCACAGGATCAGTGAATGTGAATAGTCAATGCTAAAGGCTGGAATATGACCTTGAGACTTGAGCCATACTATGTCTAGATCTACTGCACAAGCCTCTGTGACCACAGTAATGATTTGGGACTGTGGGTAGACTATTATATACCTAGTTAGCGGCCAAAATGGCTTGTCCCCACGAAATAGTGTGTAACAAAAGGCAATTAGGAACCATCACAATGCACCGCCTACTGTACAGCATTGCCCAAGGTTGCGAAGCTACGTCCATCTTGTGACCGTGAAACATTTCAAGTCCTCTGTGTTACTCGTCTCCTGGGATGACGGACCATGAAGAGCTGCTGTGGACCATAGGCTCATCTGTATAGACCATGTGTAGTTGTCTGTGAACCGAAATCTTCTGGCCAAGCCAAACAAGAAATCGGCAGATTCCTTAGCGGCTGTCATCTGTCTTACATTAGCTCAGGATCGCCTACTAGATTTGAAATGATTCTTCCCCCAGATGTCGTCAGCTTACTGTCGGCCTGTGAGTTGTACGCCTGCGATTGGTGTGACAAGCTTGAGTGCACCAAGAAGCTTATCATGTCAAAGCCCAAACGGGACCTGCCTCGACGAACGCTGGGCAACGCTTGGTGCCGCCTTGGTATAATCCACGGCCCCGACGACTAAACATGTATGAAATTGTGTATGCTTGGCGGCCTGGAGTTCGGCGGTATGTTTGATAAACTCTACTCCCTTTCTTTCCTTCTCTCTCTCTCCCTTTGAGGAAATCCACGCAGGCATCGCGCATGGTTTTTTTCGACTTACCGCCCGTTGCTATGGGTTGGCTTATCATGACGCGCCACAAAAAGCTATCGGTCCCCGATCTCCTTCCCCCGGCTTAGCTGGAATTTGGACACTATATACTCAGATGAAGATAGATGGGGAACATGGGTGTGTTGGTATCTCCAACAAGTTTCATCTCAACTACCCTGGCCGATTCGTGCTTCCCCAGCCCCAAACCTTTTGCTAAGGTACTTCTTGCTGTGCGCGCGCGCGGGATGGATCATGGGGCGACACTGCTGTCTAAGTCGGTATTGACCATCGACAGCATTCATGAGTGACCTTGCCTCTGCGTTGTTCACAGCACGACCTGAACACCTGACTTATTCCGCCGGACATTTTGTTACCTGCTCTGTGATACGATAATTCCTGTGTCCCATCATTGCTCTCCTTCTATGTTTTCCTGCCTGTTTCATTGTAGGTTCTGACAGCAAACAAGATTTGCTACTTTATCTTACCGCCGGATTCGCTGTGACCCCCAAGCCCATCGCCGGATACCCCGGTGCTCGCCCGTAAGGTTCGATACTCAGGATTGTGGGCTTGCATGAAGGCTAGAAGCTGCAGCTCGAAAACGAACAACGGTCATAAATCCCTCGGTCCTACTCGAAGACTGCATTCGGGTCTTGTCTCGATCCCAAATCTTCATCCCCAGCGTCGCTATCTGGTATAGATGAGAGAGAGGGAGAGTGAGAGAGAATCGATAAGACGAAATCACGAGTTTCTAGCGAGAAATGATGCCTCGTAAGTTTTATACTCCGGTACAATTAAACTCGACCCCAAATCTGCCCGCGCCCCTAGTTAGCGACAAGCGAAGCGAGATCTCGGGAAAGATCCCGCCCCGCAGGATCTGGCAGCTTTTGTGGAGGGTATTGTAGGGGGCAGAAACCCCCGAGAACTCCCGCCTTCAACATGAGAGTCGCATGATTCTGAAGACTCAACCCCCCCAAGCAATTTACTTGCGACGGGAGCTACTCATGTGCTCTATAGTGGGCTGACCGACGAAATGCTAACGCGCTTCTAGAAGACACAACGGACCCCTTCAGCTATGCGCTCTCGTCCAATCAGGCATGGGCTGGGTATAAGAGCCATCAGAACCCAGAGTTCTTCACGAAACTGGCCGGCGGACAGAGTCCTTCGATACGTACGTTGTTATCACTCTTCGCTCGAAAATTCTTACAATGTCTTATTTAAATTTTCTCCCTTCTTCTCGAACATTGCCGTGAAATTACACAAAGATATAAGTATGGGGTGGCTAATTTGGGGTTCACTTGGGGACATATAGTCTGGCTAGGGTGCTCCGACTCGCGCTGCCCAGAGACGACGATCCTGGGTCTGCAGCCGGGCGACGTCTTCGTGCACCGCAACATTGCCAACATCATCTCGCCGACGGACATCAACACGTCGGCCGTGATCGAGTACGCGGTCGCGTTCCTCAAGGTCAAGCACGTCGTGCTGTGCGGCCACTCGGCGTGCGGGGGCGCCGCGGCCGCCCTGGGCAACGCCCGCGTTGGCGGCGTCCTCGATACCTGGCTCACGCCGCTCAGGCAGCTCCGCAACGCGCACCGCGACGAGCTCGGCGCCATCCGGGACGATGGGGCGCGCGCCGTCAGGATCGCCGAGATGAACGTCGAGCAGGGCGTCAAGGTCCTCCTGGCCAATGCGACGGTCGCGGAACACATCCGGGACAGAGGCCTGCAGGTCCATGGGACGCTCTTCGACATCGCGAGCGGGAGGATCAAGGACCTGGGTCACGGCACGGGTAAGGCAGGCCGGGCCGGGCTTGTGAGTGATGCCACGCTCGAGGGAGACGTCATCAGAGGCAAGCACGCGGCTTTGGTATTTAGGAGCAGCGGCGCTGGTATGGAGGTTCGATAAGACTCAGATTTGTATTAGGAAAAAAAAAAAAGAGGGGGGGGGTTGCTTTTATGGGATAGGAGACCTATGGATCTTCGCGGTTGACCTAGGCTGCGACAAGGGACACGGAGTTGAAAGGCAATGGTAGACATGAGAAGAAAACGGTTTCGCTTTATATTCAGCGAAGGCTCGAGGTTTGGTTATTTAGTCGAGCCATTTCTGGTACTAGTTTACAAGGTACAAATTTCATTCATCCAAACACCTCAGTACAGTTGTTAGTTTTGCACCACTATCGTTCCTTGATCCGTTCTGAATGCGCTCCAATCGTGATCGACATCAGGATACGCAGCACCTATAATTACATGCGGGTGGCTTAGTGAGCCAGCGCCTCTTCAAGGTGCTGTATCTGCCCCTCCATACGTCATTGCAGCTAGAGGGGCACTGGAGGGGCACTGGAGGGCCGGATTGGATCCGGAGTCGAACGTTTCCTGTGGTCTCATTGTGCGTTGAGAAGTTGAACAGAAACGGCAGTTTGGTGTCTAAACCCAATTGACTAATCAAAGCTGGATTTCTAATGCTTCTCGATGGCGTGCGGTTTTCTTGTGAGTAAGCGAGGAAAAGAAACGATCTTCGATCCCATCGATGCCAAGAGATGGAAGCTCCATCAGAGATGCTGCTTCGGGGTAAAGCAAATGGTGATTCTGACCAAGGGTTGACACTCTACCCAATCCAATTGCTTGAAGCAGCCAGAATATTCCTCGTCGCTTCTCCCTGAAACTCTGTTGACCGCGCACATTTGCGACTTCAATCCCCCAAGCCAGGTTCTCTACTTCTCACACCCACGGACAACTGCCGCTGATTAGAGTATCGTGATGGCGCTCGCCGTTCTCTCGGACGAAGATATTAGGGGTCTCCTCGAGTCGCTTAGCCTCGAGGAAGCTGAAGGGTTCTCCTTTTCTCTGAAGAGCGCGCTGCATGAATATTCTACTGGGACACAGTCGATCGAGTCAGGCTTGATCCATCAGCCAGACAGGACGACCATTCATTCCAACGCTTCGAATTCGACGACACTTTTCGTACCCTCGTGTAGTGTCGCAGGACATGGTGTCAAAGGTATGCGCCTACGATGGCAGTATGGTTGCGATGATTTGAGGCGTTGCTAACTACTAAAACTCCAGTCATGACCGTCCCCTCGCCAGAGGCCGATCCCTCTCATACCGTGAAGCCCACTGGTTCCTTGACCCTCTTCTCGCCGTTGGGTGCACCGATTGGCTTCCTACATGCGCAGACCCTGACTGCATTCCGAACTGCACTGGCGTCAACCTGTCTCCTGCAGAAGCGACAGCGCGTGCAGACCATCACGGTCTTCGGTTCGGGACTGCAGGCATACTGGCACATCCGATTGGCGCTGATGTTCCGCGGCCCCACGATCCGCCATGTCTACGTGATCAACCGCCGCTTCAGCGAGAACGCCAAGAACATCCTCAACAAGTTCTATGCCGTGCACGCCGACACAAAGACGAGGGAGGGCTGGGAGCACACGAAATTCAGCATGCTGACGCCCGGCTATGGCGAGTTCCACCGCCTGCTGAAGGATCACGTCAGGGAGTCCGACGTGATATACTGCACCACGCCTAGCAGGGATCCCCTGTTCGAGGGCAGCATCCTCACGAGCCACGAGGGCAGGCGGAAGGGCAGGCTTATAATCGCCGTGGGCAGCTACACCCCAGATATGCGGGAATTGCCCACGGAGTTGTTACAGCAGGCAGTGAAGAGCCACAAGGGAACGCATTTCCACAAGCATGCGATCGAGGGCGGTGTGATCATCGTAGATACGCTGGACGGTGCCCTCAAAGAGGCGGGTGAAGTCATCGAGGCGCAGTTGGAACCGAAACAACTTGTCGAGTACGTTCATCTCTTCCATCCCATCAAATGCTCAATATAGAAGAAGAAGAATGCGGCTAACCTGACGCAGACTCGGAGAGCTGGCGATGATCCAAAAAGCTCGCATGGCAGAAGAGGAAGAATCCATGGCCTCGGGGTCGACTCGGGGCTCCACCGATATCTCGTCAGATATGGACTCGCTGTCCCTGGGCACGACCGGCAGTTCGGCCATATCGACCGTCTTCGGGTCCTCAGCATCCAAGGATACCGCAGACTCCAGCCTTCCATCCAGTCCAGCTCGTTCACATCACGGCGGGTTCTTCCACAAGCGCCGGAGTTCCAGCCGGGGGTCGGTTGACCGGGGCAAGCAGAACCGAGACGACCACTTGGCCCGGTGGTTGACGAGTGGGAATGTGATCTACAAGAGCGTCGGCTTGGGGTTGATGGATCTGGTCGTTGGCATGGAGATCATCAAGTTAGCGAGGGACAGAGGTGTAGGGACTCAGGTTGAGAGTTTCTCGTAGGACGAGCATCATTCTCCCTTGGCGCCTTACCTTGGAGTTGAGACGATTTCAAAGGATGTGGTGAATATCTGCTTGAATGGCATGCTGTGTCCCATGATGAAGAGAGTCCGGGCGAAATTGCTGCAGATGGGCAAACAATTTAGCGATTAGATGATTAGATGATTAGATGCCACAAAAGTTTCGGAGATGTTGATGTATATCTACAAGATACCGAAACTTAAACAAAACAAAAAATAGACACTTTGATCACTTCTGATCCCGCTCGAGGTTTGTGTATATCGATGCATTTATAATTCATACATATAACATGGTGCGCCAAACTCTATGATTACTGTCGTTTGCACTGTGTCTACTCGGCGACCCAGACGGCAGCCATGCCCATGCCGGTACCAATGCACATACTCGTCACGCCGACCTTCTCCCCGCGCCTCCTGAGCTCATAGAGCAGCGTGCTGACCTGTCTCGCTCCCGTGCAGCCCAGGGGGTGGCCAAAGGCGATGGCGCCGCCCTTGGGGTTGATCTTTTCCAGGTCCAGGCCCAGCTCGTTGGCGCACCACAGGCACTGGCTGGCGAAGGCCTCGTTGATCTCGAAGATGTCGACGTCGTCCTTGGTGATGCCGGCCTTCTCGAAGACCTTGGGGATGGCCTTCCAGGGGCCGATGCCCATGAGCAGGGGCTTGACGCCGACGATGGAGGCGGCGACGTACTTGCCCAGGATGGTCTGCCCGAGCTTCTCGGCCGTCGACCGCTTCATCAGCAGCACGGCGGCGGCGCCGTCCGAGATCTGCGACGCGTTGCCGGCGTGGATGGAACCGCCCTGCGCGAACGCGCCCTTCATCTTGCCCAGGGACTCGGCCGTCACGCCGGGCCGCACGCCGTCGTCCTTGGACACGGTGATGGTCTTGGTCTCGCCGGACTTGGGGTCCTCGAACTTGACAGTGAGGGGGTGGATCTCCTCGTCGAAGAGCCCGGCCGCCTGCGCCTTGCCGGCCTTGTGGTACGACGAGGCCGCGAACGCGTCCTGGTCCACCCGCTTGATGTTGCGGTCCGCGGCCATCTGCTCTGATAGCACGCCCATGGGCACCTTGCAGTTGGCGGCTTCGGGGTGCGACTCGAGGAGTTCGGAGAATTCAGACACGGCGCCGGGGCTGTGCGTCAACTCTATGTTAGCATGGTTCTTCCGTACTCTTCCCCTTTGAAGGGAGAAAGGTGGAGGAGTGGATGAAAAGGTGAAAAGGGGGCAATATCACGTACCCATACTGTGTGCTCATGCTCTCGACGCCAGCACCGATACCGATCTCGATCATGCCGGCCCTGATCTGGTTGGCGACATCAACGCAGGCCTGCAGGCCGCTCGAGCACTGTCTGTTGAGGGTACGGACGGCGGTGGACTCGGGGAAGCCGGCGACGAGGGCGGCGGCGCGCATCTCGGTGGCTCCACCGCCGGGGGCCAGGACCTCACCGACGGCGATGTCCTCGACGAGGGCCGGGTCGATCTTGGAGCGCTCGATGAGACCCTTCAGGGCGCCGGCCATCAAGTCAGCCGCCTGTGTGTCCTTGAAGCCGCCCTTGCCGCCCTTGGTGAACGCGGTTCGGAGACATGCTGTCACGACGATCTGTGGATTGGAGAGAGGACTGGTCAGTCGCTGTGGAGAACGAGTTTTGCGAGTGATGGAGAATTGGGAGAGGAGGCACTCACATCATCGGGGCTCTTGATCAGGAGGCGCTCCTTTGCTGATTTGGAACCAGAGACCTGGTTGGAGATCTGTTGTAATCTGTCGGCGGCTGTAGTCCACTGTCAGTCAGCTTTTCGTGGCAAGTCGGCGCGGATGCACACTGGCCCATGTCAGTGGGTGCCAGAGCACTGCTACTTACCGCCCATCTTGTCTGTGATATGCTTGCTTGCTTGATAGATACAACAAACAATGCTAATTGAGGAGGATATATGGAAAATGGAAGGGGAACCAACGAAACTCTGCCGGCAAGCAAATGGGATAAGTAATTCATTCGCCTGGTGCCTCTCCCCACAATGAACCTCGGAACTTGAGCTCGAGGATCCCTGTCCAATCTTGACATCAGACCCCATCCCGACCCCAGAAAGGGCACATGTTTAAGCCGGGTTAGCGTCAGCGCTCTTTTAGCGCCGCATCACATGCCCGAGGACTCTGGCTTTTTTGTTTTGTTATTGCTGCTATTAGTTCTGGTATGTAGAAATCTGTATGTCATGGGGCCCAGAGACCGACTTCCGCACGGCTTACTGAGCAAGTATCGTGCATGCCTCTGACGCTAACTAGTACCAAGGCAAAACCGGGATCGTAGTACGTATGTATACACACCACAGAGATCATGGATTAGATTAGTTTGGATATAGATATAATATAGCCTTGGCCCAGCAGCGGGACAGGGCACGGGCGCGGGACAAACCAAGTTGTAAATGTTATACCAGCTGGTGGTTCTTCCAAGGTTAGACCGATGTGGAATTCGTTCCTGCTTTCGTCTGAGAAGAGCTCGGCCATGTCAAGCAGCGCATCATGTTTCACTGCAGATGACGAATCACCGTAGCCATTAACACGGCAGTCTAACATGCCAACAACGGATCCATGCCTATTTGGGTCATTCAATTCTTGTAATAAAATAATAAGAATCTCAAAGATCTTGTAGAATGCTATACATCAATAACCTTCTCTTCAGCTCTGCCTTTCTCGTCCAGACCGGTCTGCGAACGTTCATTCTCGGGCCCAACGCCATCGAGGACCGGCGCATCGCCAAACGTTCCGAAATAGTCCAGATCGTCCACGGCTATCTTGTGCGAGATGGGCCAGTACCATTCAAGAGCCAGGTACACTAAACCCGACACCAAACATCAAATGAACCACGACAGCTGATAGAGCCTCGTCCAACCGCCCCAATCAGCTTTGGGTGCAACACCTCTTTGCACCAGTCCCGGCATCAAGAACCAGACACCCGCCACCCAGGCGGCAGCAGCACGCAGATTCCAGCCTCCGTAGTACCAGTATATGCTGTGCGCCGAGTTCCCGTAGAGATCAGTAAGCTTGACGGTCCGCTTTCGAAGCAGGAAGTAGTCCGCGAACATGATGCCCATCAGCGGGCCGAGGAATGTATTGAAGCTCCCGACGACGGTCAGGAAGTTTGTCGCGCTGTTGAGCAGTGACCAGGGCTGCATGAAAAACGCAAACATGACAGTCAGGTATCCGCCCCTCCTCACCGTGAACCACCGCGGTAGCAGGGCGGCCAGGTCGATGCCGGCCACAACCGAGTTCGAGGCTACGACCATGCCGAACTGGGAGAGCATGAAAGCGATACTGGCAAACGCGACGCCCGCCCGGGCACCTCGGCTGCCCTCGTACTTGCGCACCGCGTCGAGGAACGCATATGGCTGCCACAGAAGCGAGGTCTGCTGGGGATAGAGCGTTGCTGCGCACGACGTGCAGATGATGCCAACACAAGCGACGATGATTGTCCGTCCCTAGAGGCACCATAACCAGCTGTGCCATAATCTGGCCGCCAGGCTTTCGAGCATACCGTATATAGTTAGACTGAACCACATGAGCGGCAAACACATCACGGTGTAGATGACGAATAATACAAAATCATAAACCTTCATACTGCCTGAAGCAAGTGGGATGTCAAGGTTCAGAATTGATGGCCATATGCAGGTGATCAGAACTCGAAGATATTGACTTCTATACCAGACGTTCGTCGCAGTCCACACAAAAGAGAGAAAAATACGAATAGCCTGCGAGGGAGTGAGTGGAAATTCAACAACCCGAGTGTTCTCTACATACCATTGGGAAGAGGTAGCCCCAGATGCCCCAGTTCTACTTCATCCACATAGGGAAACCAATGTGCCATTTTGCACCAGGCTGGCCACCAAGGACGCACAAGAGTCCCATGAAGGTGTGGGCTACGATGATCGCTAGCATTGATTGCTAAATTCGCAGTCAGACACAATGTACACTCAATGCAAAGACCGAGTCAGCCACTTACCCAGATATTGAGACCAAGTGAGATCAGAGATGATCCGGTGGTCCAACCGCCAACATTGAAAGAGCCGGTGATCATTCAAAGGCCGATGAAGTGCCAAGGACCGTATGTTCAAACCAATCCGACTTGATTATAACTTGTAGGCTTGCGACCTTATGGAGCACCTTAATAGTTGGACTAGACCGAAGTGGGTCATGTATCACACTTCTGGGCCTTCGCAATTCTATAGTTTAGCAGTTCAACCGTCCAACGACTAGGTGTTCATGATAATGCAGTATTATACAAAGTTCTTACGATTTTCCGTTGTGCAGTTCCTCAGGTTAATATCTAACGCCGGAAAAAAATTCCCGCTTGGCATTTATGTACCAAGTCACATGGATGATACACAAGTGTAATTCTACATGTGATTTGATCAATTAGTCACCCCTCCAAGTAGAGTTAGTTGCTCGTTATTTCTTCACAACTACGCAGAATGTTTCAGACTACCACCGTTGCGCCCGCCACCTCTGCGCCAAGGCAGGGTACATTGAACAATGGGCAGTATTCAAGTTCAACTCAACCATCTCGACAACTTGAGAAAAGATACCCGTTATTGACACAACGAGAATCTGGAGCCCCGACCATGAGGCCCGTCGAGCTGTCGCAGAAGAGATTCGGCATGCTTCCCGGGAGATAGGCCTTTTTCACTTTGATTCACCATGTAAGCCTAAACTCTCGGTTTTCAATCAGTGATACTGACAAATTCAGGGGATCGACCCTGAACACGCAGAAGGAGTATTGAGACAGGCCAAACGTCTCTTCAACCTCTCAGAAGAAAAGAAAATGGAGGTTTTTACTGGCTTGGTCCCGAATGAGTACATGGGCCTCCATCCCATGGAGTGTTGTAACCGTAATGGCTGGAAACACCAAGGTGAGGTCTGATATAGCCATAGGCACATCACATGTTCTTTCTAACATGTCAAAATCAGACTTGAGTGAGGCGTTAAACTGGGAATATGGCCCGAAAGAGGACCCCGAGGCAATAGACAAAGATGAGGCTTCCTAAATTGATCTCCGGCGCTTGTTGCGGATCTATATTTTTCAGCAACACTGCATTTCGGCCGTACTCATGGTTCTGTATGACGTTTGATGTGTTCGAGTAGCATATCTGAAGACTGCCGCATGATACTGTCTGATATTGTAAGTTCTGGAGTTCTTGATCGGTAAGTACATATATCGGTCAAACTACCGATACCAAAGTCCTCGAGGCTATACGAACTCGAGAATTTATTATTTCAGGTCAGTAAGCCATTTTATTTGATGCTATACCGCTAACTTCTCATTGGATTAATATATTTAGATTAATGATAATCAGACAAAATTATACGGGAGATATCACAGCTTGGCAGGCTGCAAGGGAGCTGCAAGGGATGGAGCCTCACTGTTATCCCACTGTCCACTCCATACATGAGTATTTGCAAACTACCAACAGTCAATGTAATCTACAGAGCCTCGGCCGTCCAAAAATTTGGTCATCCTTATTCAGCGGTTTGGTTGCTAATGATAAGCTATTAGATGGCAGGAACGTTGCAGAAGAAATGTGCCGTCATGTTAAGAGGACATAGGTCGATAGGCAGTAGTTGGAGCTTCAATATTGAGATTTAATGATGGAACTTAGGGGCGGGTTGCACAGGTACCGTGGGAAGTACCCAGCGATGTATCTAGTGCATCGTCGACGCCCATCCCGACCTAAATTAGTGTACCCATGCCTGTATGCAGGGCTATATACTTGCGTGATTATCCTATTCACAGTGTAGCCGTATCCAGATGTCAACCTGTCATGATCCATGTCTCCAACATCGTGTTGGGTGATATAGTGCCTATGAGTCGCGGATAACATCTTCGATGCTTACTCAAGATTAGTTCTGGTTTTGCTTAGCTACGTATGGTTTACGCTCTAGTTAGGAAAGGAGCCATCACTAACAATAACAATTCCCTGACAGTTGCACTTTGTAGCTGCGTATTAGCCAGTTAGTTCAGCGAAAAAGCATCTCCAGGAAACCTAGAACTGATCTTTGCAGTGACCAACGTCGGCTTCAGGATTCCAATTCATGAAGTCTGCGAGGATGATCTTTCTCAATTCTTTAAGGCGGGCTTTGTTATTAGCTTTGCTTGAGTCTCGAATCAATCACCTTGCAGCTCTAGTTCCTTGCGTAGCTATCCTACGTGTGGGGCCTCGCCATGGTGAAGATGTCGTTCGTGATGCTCTGCCTTCGATTGCTTCCCGGCCACGTCTCCCAACGCATCAACCAGGTGCTCCTTGCCGTGTTAGCGGCCGAGGGCATCGAAGCGACCACGGTCGTTGTCTTCCAATGTAGGCCCACATGTGATATTCAGGAGCAAGGCGCTTGTCTCGACTTGAAGCTCTTTTATACATTTCGGTAAGCCCTAGAACTAGGATAGACTGCACATAGATGTGCTTATACTGGCCTTCCCTAGTTCGGTATCGAAATCGCCACGGATTTCTGCCTCTTCATCCAGCCCCATCCCGGCGGTCTGGAAGCTTCAATTATCGAAGTTGAAGAGGATCCGTGCGGCCCTGATGCTTTCGCTAGGTTTGTCGTGAGCAAATAACTTACACATATCTTGCTCCTGTAACCCGATGACTTCTATTTGTAGTGCCTGTGTCATTGTGATCATTCGCGTATCATATATTGGCCAGCTTGGGACAGATATGACCAGGACGTATTATTTCACCCTTAGTCGGCTTCACGTTTTCACAATAGACAGAAGACGTCATGGACCCGGTGATCCGGTCCCAATTCGAGGCGTGCGCCCTTGTCGTCTGCGCTCCGGTTCCTTCTCTCAGACAATTCCTCCGATGCTTTCCTTCTGTCAGTAGAGCTTTAGGCCTTTAATTAGGTAAGGATTCGGGATCGCCTTCCAAGGTCGGGCAATTCCCTCGAGACGCTAATCTATGTAATTCATCATTGTACTTGTTCTCAACATATTGTTTCAGGGATTTGCTATTTAAGTCTTTCAGTCTACAACTGTTGGGAAGTTTATCTGTACTGTAATCCACGGCCCAGGCTGATTCATAACGTTCAAGGTTCTTTCCGACGCAAGTGGCGATAAAAAAGCCGCGTTACTCGGGTCGTAGACGCCGTTGTCCATCAACGCATGACCATCGAATTCAGCTCCTTCGTATCCTTTCCATAGCTTTTCCTCAGAACGCCAGAAATGCTTCCCAGAACTACTTGGTTGATGATACAAACTCTCAATGATGGGGCGGTATCTCTGCCCAGCTACTTCATTTACACTCAAACCCTTGGTACCGTAATTCCGGTTCATGTATTCGGCAACTGATATAGGCCAATTCGAAATATCACGGCAAGTCCATTTCGCGGGTTTTGAATCATCTTTATTCGCTAGCCTGACGAGGAACAGTATTTCCAATCGTTTCTGGTGCCCGTGATGGTGATGGTAGAACTCAAGGCTTCCGAAAGCGTTCAGAGGGTCGTCATCGCTGATATAGAGACGTTGGAGAAGAGAATGGGAGGGCCTCCCAGGATCGAACCCACCCGGGAAGTGATGAGTGAGTTTAAACTCTCCGTAGCCACATGGGAAAGTAAATAGAAGGACTGGCCCGGTACGTGTAAAAGTAATCTGATTGTGGTATAGCCCAGGTTTCTGAACTACCACCAATTCCTTGTCAAGGTGGAATAAGTGACCCTCATGTGTCGGTAAGAAAATCTCAGTTGGTGGCCCATAGTTCGTTTCCGGTGCATCAAACGTCACAACAGGAAAATCTACCCGAACGTATCTCTGCTCCCCGATATGGACAAGAGGAATCCAGACCATCCGCTTGCCTCGCCTCCTCACGTGAGGTAAAATGGCAAAGAAGAAGTTGGTTGCCAATGTCTTTATCAATGGGAGCCGGATGGCTATCCCAAAACCATCAACCCGAAAATAAGTGGGTGTATAATCTGTGAAATTTAATCCTTCAGTGAATGAGAACTCTTGTGGGCTGGAAGCAAAAGCTCGCACTGCTTTGAGTGGCTTCATCCCCCAGGGTGTGATGATGGACAAGATATTTCGAGGTTTGCTCAAGACCTGTTGCCAAGCCAGAATCGTAACATCAGGGCGCTGACGTATAATTTCCAATTGTAGTCGCAGAAACGCTTTGTTTCCTTCTCCATACAGTAGGGGCATATTGACATCAAAAAGGCCCATAAGGCAGTATGCTGTGTCCTCCTCACGTGTTGTCTTCCGTTCTGATGCCCAAGCCATTTTTTCGGCGACTGGGCAGGCGCCTTGCGCGGTCGGATCCTGAAGTACAGTAATTGAAATTGTGGTTATTTCGTTGATCAAGGATGAAAGTTCTGTTTTTGTGCCAATCTGGTCCCAAGAAGAGGAGAAGAACAATACTCTCAAAGGAGCAATAAGTTCCTGCAAAGTCCACCCCCTAGTGAACCATCGGCTTCGTCGAAACTCGCTATCGTTTTTAAAGCATGTACTTTGATCCGCACCATGTACATCATCTAAGAACGCGTAACAAATCTCCGAATTTTGATACCATCGGTACATAGAATTAATAGCCTCGCTTAGTTCCGATGAACTACTTTTGTTGATGCAGTTGGTGTCCACCCATAGCCATGAGAACCCATCACGCCGGGCCTTTCTACACGCGTACCTGATCTTTCGATACCCAGTCTTTGATTTGATGTCGTCTATTTCTTCTTTAACGTGTACCCAGCCCCACCGCCGGGGGTTCTGGCGCTGTGCATATAGCCACTCCTCGTATGTGACCTCTTGATCGCCCCAGGTATGGGAAAGAATCGCATATTGCGGTATACTGTCGCCGAAGTACTCGTGCAATTCGAGCGTTTTAACATTGATTAAGCGCATAGTATCAGGCGTGTGAGGTTTAAGTCAGGCAAGATCGGACGGGAAAAGTTGAAAAGCCTCCCGAGGTGGTGAACGTCATTAAGGGGGCTTTTGCTGTCAGATTTAAGTGGTTGGTCACAAAGAGTGATATATGCTGCAATTTGAGGCTTCGGGTCGGCGCTTACAAGCGGTAGAAACGGGGGCTGCACACCGTAGGTATGAGTCAGCAGACCCTTATCGTACCGCAGTAGACATATTATAGCAATATGACGCGTCGGATCAGAACATCATATTTGAGTAATATACTGCTAGTTCCGTTAAATATGGCCTTGTCGTAATCTTTCTTTTTACGAAGCACGAAAATATCTTCTATGGAGCGTAGAAGCTTTTGCCACAAATATGTTAAGAAGGAATCAGGGTAGATATGTTAGTGGATGAAGGAAATACTTACTATTTGAACGTTAGCAATGCCACTAAAACTGTTATAGGGCCTGTAATTCCTCGCAAGTAGAAGGACTTTCATAACGTCGATAGCGCACGTTTTCATCATTCAATCGACTATGACAAGCCTATGTCTGATATAAGACGATGGCTTTTTCTTGATATTTCGAAGATTATACTTACAGGTCTGTGTAGGCATATTGCACGTGAGACAGTCCTGTGTTTTTGAGTGACTAAATGAACACCTGGTATAACCGTGGGGAAAACCTACAAGGTCCAGGGTCATGAGTCGTCAATTGTCTAAGCGCCTATAGAAAGACGAGGCATCAAGAATATAGCCCCTCTATACTCGGGGGAATGGGAGGATCGCGGTGAAGCTGTTCCATGGTGGAACGTAACTCATCTCTAAAAACCTGATGTGGGTAAGGTAGCCGTATATTCTTCGAGGATGATGACAAGAGAAGATGATTCTTATATGCCAGACACTGCGCCTCTGGTTCTCTCGTTCGGGATATGATGCCTGTCAAAATGGGCAGATCCGGCTTATAGTTGAGCTGTATCGTAACCTCTAATCTAGGTTATCTAGTAAGATGATGCAAGGGTTACAATTGAAAGCCAGATCTCTAATTTCCGGTTTGGCCAATGCCAGATAGTCCTCTCGATGGTACAAAAGCATATCATCGCCGTTTATGATCTTGACACCGTCCAGATAGATTGTAGGGACTCCAGATACCCAACCCTGGGCGTGAAACGCTCAGCGAGCGTAACAACATGGCCGTCCCAAGTAAGGTCGGTTCCCAAGAGCGAGGTGACCCGGATCTTGGCTGCTGCAGAAATCTCTGCCTGTGCCTTTGTCTCTATGGCATAGTAGAGATCCGCAGGAAACTGCATGCAGTATCAAATTCGTGTGAGATAGTCCTCCGTGCCTAGAAGCGAAGCTTGGCCCGTGTCTTGATGTTGGTGAGGTGTAACATGGCACGAAGGAAAATTGCCCCTAACTATCAGAAATCTTCTAGATTCAGGGTTAGGCAATGGGTCATCCGGACTGACAAGTGGTACAACAAGATACAAACATCCATTTCTGACCACCTCCCGTTCCGATCAACCCACCTCCGATCTCCTCCGATGCCTCCGATGTATCGAGCCTGCATCGGTAGCTGTATGTCTTCTTGACTGTCTCATTTTGTATAACTTAAATAGGGTGTACCACATGCGGCTGACCAAACCAATTCCCGAGATATTTGTGCTTTCCTGAGTAATATAAGCAACCAGAGGCTGCTACGACTATATTCGCCTCCGTTGGTTTAGTTTATTTCGTTCGTTTGATGGCTCTGCTTCTGAAGGTCGGTGCCCATATTCTGGAACGCAATTCTAGGCCAGTCTTAGATTCAACATTGCCAAGCAGTACTCAGTATCAAGCTCAGTCGGTGGCAGGATCGGGCTTAGAAATCGGTGCTCCAGACTCTCCTTTCGTCCATGACAACTTCTAAGCATAGTCCAGATTCGACAGCGTCGAGAAAAGAAAGGCATAGTTTCAGCCGTGATTGCTGTAAGTGGTTAAAAGCGGTCGCGCGATTGTGCGCATTTGACGCGACCAACAGTCGCTCACAATATTCCTAGGTTAAATAGGTCGAGTGAAAAATAGCGGTAAGGTCTACGAGGCTCAAACATGACATATGCTCCGATCACGATTAACCTCAAGGAGTACAGTGCATTTTTGGCGCTCGGAAAATATGAAAATATGACTCCATCATAGGTGAAAAAGAGGTCTAATTATGACTCTGAACCACTATGACACTATTGGATCTCGGTGGCTTGGAAAGATCATCCCAGAGCAGCATTTGGGCCACCATGACTGCTATCTCTCAAGTAATTGAGACGCAGTACAAATCCTCTGTGGATGCTTGAAATCGACGGCCAAGAATTAGAGCTTATCCGGAACGATATCATATCGCACGGGGACCGAATTTGTGTCGACGAACAGTTTACAAACAACCCATCCCCCCTTTACGACTCGAACAACCGAGGGAGATCAGTAATTGTTCGTTTCTACACCAGGTCTCCTTAAGCTCTTCCTACCTATTTCGAAAAAAGCCGCTACCCCATCTTCCCTGCCCGTGTCCTACGTCAAGGGGCAACCTAGTTCACTGCCAAAACACTACCAAACCATTATTCAGAGGTACCCTGGAATAAGGTGGTCAGCCGATTATATAATGTCTACATCTTAAACAAGTTGCACGCCAGTGATAATGGTAGCGCCAGCCTCGAGTGATCTCTTTGTCGAAACAGTCTCTTCAGCTTCAGCCTTCATATATAGTAGGCAATTCGAATGTGTCCGGCGGTCACAACAACTACACGCCTGATACATACGCTGCCTTGAAAGCACCATACACAGCCCAGATTTCCCAACTTTTACATACTCACCAAAGCAACAATAACATGTTAGTTAACGATTCCATAAATAACCGGTATAACAAACGGCTGGCTGGCAGCGCCGAAGTAATTATAATGGAGGATACACACTAGACTAGACTAACCGTGCCCACCCACTTTCGCACGCACCCCCTTTTGCACGCCGATCTTCCGACGCGTCAACAACACCACGCTTTTCTTGTAAATGCTAGAACTCAACTAATTGTAATCCTATCGATCTGATATTTTCAATATGGGTAAACTAAATGAACGCGATATAGCAGAAGTAATTAGTTTGGTTCGAAACGGCGAAACGATAACGCGCGCAGCCAAAGCTTTCGGTATCGTACGGTCTACTTTGTCGCGACGACTTAACGGGTCGCAACTACATTCCTCAGCCCACGAAACGTCAAAGAACCTATCTAAATTGCAAGAAATGGAGCTTAAGCAATGGATTTTATATAAGGAATTGTGTAGACGCGCTCCGGGCTCGAATATGGTGCGACAAATAGCGGCTAATATCATGACTGGTATCGGCGAAATCGACGATACGGTCACCCCTAGATACAATTAGGTATATAAGTTCCTTAGCCGCCACTTATACTTAAAGACTAAGGTTAGACGTGTAATTGACGCTAAGAGGGTCAAAGGCATTGAAAAACAGACCGTAAAGGACTTTTACACGTATATATCATAGGTTAAAGACACTTATAAGATCTTACTAAAGGACATTTATAATATAGATGAAACAAGTATACAAGAAGCCGAACAAAGTCAAGGCATAGTCATCGGGACGTCTAAGTCACGTCGTTCACGCGTTACAAAAAACCTAGCAATTAAATAGATGTTAGTTATCCATAGTATTAACGCTATCGGGTTAAAACAACGAATACGTATATATTAAGAGGAATAATACTACAAGCATAATGGTTACTTAAGGATCTTGAGGAAGCTAAGTATATAGCGACCCCTAAAGGCTGGACTAACTTAGTAGTGGCGTTATCATAGTTGTTAGAGGTCTTCGAGCTAGAAACCAGACCATAAGAGTCCCTAAACTGCCTAAACCCATGGAGGATGCTCCTCCTCGATGGCCATAGTACTTATGTTATACCCGGGTTTATATTAAGGGCATTTAGGAAGAGGATTGCCTTAATATACTTACTAACATATACAAGCGAAGCGCTCTAACCACTTGACAAGACGGTCTTCTTATCGTTAAAGTCTTATTATTATAAGCTAATAAGCTTATACCGTGGTATTTAAGCTACTAGGCCCGTTAACAAGTAACGGATGCTTAAAGCTTATAATAAAGCTTATGCCCTTACTTTTACGAAACAAATTATCGAAAGCGGCTAGGCTAAAACGGGTATTTACCCCTTAAATGAATTAATGGTGTTAAGTGACCCTAAGTTCTTCTTATTATTACTTAACATTTAACTTATAACATTACAAAACGAGTTAGATCTAGCTAAAATTAGTCTGTTTACTCTTTATAATAATAAGGACCTTCGACTTTAAATTAGGGACGTTACCATTAATTATTCGCAAACTTCTAAAGACGTAAGGGAGTTGCTTAGGAAATGTACTAAGTTACTTAACATAACGCTCGCAAAACTAATAATAACACGTTAAGTAAACCTCGATTTGCAAGCTAAACTAGATAATTATAAGCTTGATAAACGTCAAACAGTTAGAAAAGACCCGAATAAGGTCTTTGCTAGTGTTGCAAAGATTAGACCAACGTAAGACAAGCTAAAAAGGAAGATGCCTAAGCTACAACGCAATGAACAAGTCCTTATTAACTCGTTCCTCGAAATACAACCTTCCACGCGAAAGCGGACACGTAAATAACCTAGAGATAGTTTATTTGAATTAATTTCATGGTGTTATAGCTGGCAGTTATTGTATCTATCTATTAGTATGTTTGAGGAAACGTCGGTAAATCGGCGTGCAAAAGGGGGTGCGTGCGAAAGTGGGTGGGCACGGTTAGTTATTTTAGAGGTGGGTCCTTTGCGACGATACATGACAGTTAGGGACTAAGCAATTGGCAACGCTGTAACGGGGTACTAACAGTGAGATCACCATCGTTTTGTTTGTAAGCCGGCATTTTGCTGCGTTGTGGTAGGGGGCCGCCAAGGTTGTAGCCAACGGCTGCGCAGGGCATACACCTAATCTAGACTAGATTGAGTTAGATACGTGTATAGTCACAGACCCGCGGATATATTGCCTCCCCATGCTCTTTTTGATATACACCACGTCACCACCATACTTCTCAATATAAGTTTTACTGATTCAATGGGGTATAACATAGTATATGTAATCAAAATCAATGTACATATTACAAACTTTTCAATACAACATTTTTATTATGAACGTTTTAATGTTATTCCGCATATGGCCATGACATAGAGTCTCAATCGCTTCAGGTTACGGCTAGCCATGGATAGCAGCCGTACGTAACCAAGCATGGGGCAATGATCACACCGGTCAGACTAAACCCGTCAGCTCAGCCTGCTGGTGTAGCATGATGCATAATGTCAGCAGCGATGCACCACCAAGGGCACAGCAAGAGTGGGGGGTTCAAGAACCCCTCCAGCCCTGACCGGGCTTATCATATCTTTCTCTCCAAATTCGTTCACCGCTTCGTAATTTTTGGTATGCACATGATTTCTCGAAGCGATATCCTGCGTCCGGGGGGCTGTAAGGCTGTACGTGTAAGACGGCAATCATCACAGCCTGCAGCTGACTCAGCCAATAGCGGGAACAATGCCGCAGCACGACAGGCGCGGGCAGGCGTATTTATAGACCCTGACGTAAAGTATATAACATATCTTACGGAAGTCGACCTGAAGTTTTTGGCTGCAACATTTCTCTTTAAGCTCAAGTCAAAGCCTCAAAACAGCAATCATTTCGAATCGCTGCTCATCGCACATCACAATGCCAAGCACATCAAGAAAATCAGGGCCCTGCGCCAACACAAAACGAAGAGAGCCGTCAGCGACCAGGTCCACAAGCACGAAGGACAAAGAGACGCAGTCGTCATCCGTTGCAGAAAGCACAGCGTCTCAGCATCGTGGTCGGCGCCATGTAGGGGGCTGTCTCGCCTACGGGCCCGGTATCTCTGGTACCGTGTAAGCACGCAATTAGCAAGCCCCTTGGGCGCGTCGGCCCAGCAAAAATGAACGATCGTAAATCATAACTCCAATTATGGAGGTGAGTGCGAGATTATTACCGGTATCGTAAGTCAGGCCATGAAAGGCGACGGGGCGCAATACGTAACAACTTACTGATCTCATCCACAGCATAGATATATCTGTTTGTTTAGTGACCAACACAATGAGATCGGCCAGGAGCAATGGAGTTTCGGATCTGTTTCATAACTCGCCTGCACCAACTTGGAGAAAATTCTTGGGGATACTGCCAAAGTGCTCGCAATTAATGCCCGATATTCTTTCCGTGTGCCTAGGGAAGGGTTTTAGGTCTTATTCATCATCATGATGTCAGTAGCGAAAGAGTATTTGATAATATGTAGAGATGTAGAATTGCTTTTTTCTTCCGCGAGAATTTGCATAGAACTTGGTGCCGCGAAAGATATATTAATATGTTTCATTAGAATATTACTTATGTAATTGGCTCCTCATCTTGACTCCAGTTTACCCGTAATATGTCAATTTTGCGCATCAGCCCTTGCACCAATCCACGCCAAGAAGCAGGCTTTGAAATAGTAGGTTGAGGGTGAGTATACCGTGGTGGCGGGTATGAAATTCTACCCACCCATGTCCACTGTTTGCGTTTCATCGTTCACCTTCGAATACAGGGAGGCCGTCTTCAAGACGGATGGTCGTCCTAAGTCTTCGTCTCAAGAACCGGTTCTTCCTTACTGGCCCGAACATGCTCACCCTGCTCGCTATCACTGGCAATTGGTTGCTTCAAGCCCAATTGACTTGTGTCCCAGCCTTGACTTTCAAGGTAGGCGCGGAAGTCAGCATCCTCCTTAGTAATGGTGTCTTGGCCAATGTGCGGCAGGAAGAAGAGGGCCAAGCAGGCGGAGAATATGCACAGACAGGCGGACACGTAAAAGGGGTACTGATACTGCTTAGTACTGTCATCGCCTCCTGCAGCAATGATGTAGGGAAATACGTAGGTGCCGACAAAGGCACCAATCTTTCCGATGGCTGCTGCGATCCCGTAGTACTGGCCCCGTACACCGGTAGCGCAAGTCTTCGCTGCTAACAAGCCAATATTGTTGCCTGGTCCCAACTCACCAAGGGAGAGGAAGATGCCATAGACGACAGCAAAGGCGCCGACATACTGGGGTTGCGCCAGCTTGGAATAGCAGCCAGCCATGATGAAACCCACAATGGCCTGGGCAAGAACGCCGCCGACAAGTGTGTAGCGTGGGCCAAAGCGGTCACTGACGAAGGCACCGATAATGGTTCCAGGAATGTAGAACAGGTTAATAACGGTGTTCCAGCCAAAGACAGTGGTTAAAGGCGCATCGTCATTATAGATGCTTGCAAGCATTGGCGAGGAAAATATACCAAAGGCATAGGTGGAGAACTGATGGACAATTAGTATGTTGTGTTTCAGAGTATCAAGCGATATACTTGCATCGTAGATGAACCAGATCAAAGATACAATAGCTAGGCGGAACCCGTAGTACTTGAGCACCAGCGAGTAAGGAGTTTTCGCGTTCTTCATCGAGTTCCGGCTGAACTCTTCAGGCTCTTTCAGCCTCAGCCGTAAGACGAACAGAATCAATGGGAAGACGACACCGATACCAAGACTCGTTCGCCAGATAGTTCCGTAGTAGATATTGGATGCAGCAGCTGCAACAACGTCTGCAAATTGTCAGCACCAACAGAAGCACGAAGCGTCGCATGGTTCAGGAACGCACATGGAACAAAAGCGCCAATGACGAAACCCCAGTCAATCATTGTATTCGTGAACAAAATAAACCACCTATTACGGGTGCCGGATTTGAGTTCACCACTGGATTCAGCACAGCTCACACTTCCGGCGGGATATTCTCCTGGTACACTGTCAGTATCGCAAGTAGGTAGGCGCAGTAGATCATCATACCTCCGATACCAATTCCAACCTATGACGAAGTTAGCGACTCTACTTGAGATGGAAGCTCCAAGCCAGAAGTTGACCATAATGACTTACGAAGAATCTCCATGCAGTCAGCATTCCAAACATGCCGACGGGGTCGCCATGCCAGTACGAACCAGCTGCAAGAGCTGTAAACAAGATCAGGATAACGGTGGACACGAGGAGAGAGCCCGTTCGTGACCAGCGATCCGCAAGAAAGCCGAAAACCAATTGGCCAACAACCTGTACGCGGAGGGGCGTGTAAGTCATTTGAACAGGAGCATTGCTGGGAATCGTCCGCAAACTGCGCAGCGCAGAGCACTTACAGTACCAGCGAATGCGATCGCAGACACATTCGATTTAGCGGTGGAGCTTGTGTACAGAGTACCGTATTCGTAGCCCAAGACGGTGCTGACAGAACCAATAACATTGTTGACGTAACCATCGGAGAATAGACCAGCGCCGCAAGCAAGAACAGGCCAGATGACTTCCCAAAACGGCTTTTGGTCAATCGCAGGGCCGGTTTCAGTGTCCGCTTGAGTGACTGGATCTTCCTCTACGGGCTTTTTGCGCCCGAAGTTGAACATCGTGCAAGTGGTTGCGCGATAGCCTCAATTCAAGAATATGAAGAGCTGGTATGTAGGTCTCGGGAGTCAAGTGGAGTTTGTAAGTAATAGTGAACCTAGCTATTGTAATTCTATAGCAAAGCTAATGCATTACAGGACTACAAGCGCCAAGGAGGCTTCAGGAAACGGAAACGAGGCACATATGCCTTTCTTAGGATAATGAGGAGAGGAGCTCATCAAGAGGAGATCTGCGCGGTGAAGTCGAAGCTTAAAAGAAAAACGATCTGGGACGGCAGGAAGGCTCAGATGAACCCTGCAGGAGCCGCGTGCTATCTGCGAGCTACGCTACATGATGCGCAAATGTTACTTGCCCGCAGTGGCTTTACATGGTATGAATTTAGACTAAGCAATCTTTCGGTTTTGCTCGGATATGAACACCTGCAGAACTCTATTAAATCCAAGGGTTGTTGTTATCGATCATAACCCGGTCAATGTGTACGAGGGGTGGCCGCTTGGTGATCTTTGATTTGCTCATAAAGGACTTGCCTGTTCCAGGATCCAGCACTTTTATCACAAGAGACTCCGCTGAAGTGCTAAGAAATGGAATAGCTTTGTGTTCGTGGTCCACCGCAGGATGCACCTATCTGCGCCCTGTGACACGATGATTGGGAGTTTATCCTGAAGAGTTGGAATAGCCTATGGGTCCAGCGTCCGAGTTGCTGATAGCGTTGTTCATGTGCTCCATATTCACCTATCAGATCTACGAGATTTACCTCGTGCTTGGCACTCTGGATAGATCACCGTGCGTGCTTTTCCCAGGCACTCACAATCAAGACATCCTGCACACCTGACTTACTATTTGGCCCGGAAGCTTGTCAGGCTTGTGGAGGATTTCAAAAAAATGCTTGACGACATGGTTCCCGGCCATGGCCGAAGCTTATTGCTTGCCGACAAGCCACCAAATCCTACCCTGCACGCCAAGCCAGCGCTCGATTGGTAGGTTTCGTGAATGCCGTCGCTCAAAATCTTGACGTGCAGTTGGTCGCGTGCCACATAATTTAGAGCTATGGGCTGCTTCTCATGGCATTACCTTCGGGCTACGAGATTAAAAAGAGGTTATCGGGAGCGTGTCACTGTACATCTGCCTTATTTGACGACCTTAAAACGACGCCGGACCCTTTCTCGAAAGTGCTCGAAACAATCCTTTGCGGGAACGACACCTGCAGTCGGCCTTTTGAAAGATTTGTACCCGCAGTATTATTCCCGACGCGAAACTTAGTCGAGTATTCCTCACAGTGCAGAAGAGAGCGGGCACGGCTACTACCCTTCATCGTGCCGAGGGCCGCAAAAGACTGAGAGACGGCATGCCTACAAATTCAAGCTGTTGTTCGTTCATACATTATGGAGTACAACTGCTACTAAAACTTGGCTGAAAACAGTAGAGGAAGACCAAAAAATATATGTGGCTTCATATCTCTACATCTTGATCTCACGTTCAAATTGTGAGATCCGTTTCGTAGAGAGCCATCTTTGTGTTGAGCGACATGGAGAGACTAGCCCATTGTTGAGACTTGGTGCTGTCCATATAGCCGGCACACCCTTAGAACAGTGGTTTGCTGGTGATGATAAGCTACATATGACAGGGAATTTCCGGCAATGCGATCAAAATCGTGAAAGTAGACATGGCGGCCCAGCTGCTATGCGCCCGTAGTATTCGCTAACATGGAAGCAAATCAGGCCTTATAGCCCGCCACGTATCTTGGAGACTGGGCTGATGCAACGACCAAATAATCTGTGATTTTGTGACGAATTTTGTGCTGGATAGACATGAATGTTGTCGTGATGTATATTGAAAGTTACAAAACCATGACAGGCTATCACTGTTTTGGGCCTGAGAGACTCCCATCAAGGATGCAAGTAAGCTTCGTCGAATGAAGACTCTCGGATAGCGCCGTACTGAATCCCCATGAAAACCCCTCCCTCTAACCCCATGTGGATATCTTCTTATAACATAACACAGAAATACCCAAGCTCACAAGTGAAAAAGAAAGCAATATGGTAAAGGGCCATCTCGTGATCTTCAATGCGTTACTGTGTCGACTTCATTTGCGCCGGGGGCCTGACGGTCATTTCGACTTACTCGCCAACGATTTTAGAGAGCCACCTTTGATTGGATGTTGGCTACTCATGTTTGAGTATCTGTGTGATTAACATGTCTGCCACGGCCCAGTCTAGTGACTTGACTCTATGAACGAAGTGGCAATGATCCTTGTTTGTGTTCAATTCTTCTACGTTTTTCTCAGAGCTGCGATCCTCCACCGCATTGTAGTGCCTTCTAACTTTGCTAATAACCAAAACACAAGCTGCTCTCCCCAGCACATATGGTAGCTCTGAAGTAGTGATGCAAACATGTGCAATTGATTGATAGTGTAAGGGGTGATCGGATGTCTCCTCCTATAATTTTTGCGAGAAGCAAGAAAAGATCATATGCTAGATAGAAGAGTTCTGCATTTCGTGACTAAGCCGCTCTTTACTCGAATATGAGATGCTGTTGAAGGGCCCGAAAAGATTTGTGGAAAAAAGCCGGAGCAAAGCGAAGTATTCGGTCAGCCTTACTGGCAGGATAAGAAGCTATGGCATTGTCTTGCCACCAATTGCTGGAAGTTGATTCAATTAGTGCTTGGGACTTTCCATCTCGGCTCAACTCCTGTAGCACAAGCCTGCTTCCTTGGCAGAACACAGTGGACAGTCATGTTTCCGCAGTAAACGAACCGACCTGAGTCGGCTGAAGACGCAACTCACTTGACAGAGATGGCACTTCTGCTTTGAGCCAGCGGGAAACCCTGTGCAACTTTCTATTGCTTCGAGATATCAGTACAAACATATGTACAGCATAAGTACACTTTCTTATCATACAGCCAGCAGTATATATTTCTCCACCTAGATGCATGCCACACTATCACTTGCGTCGCTTTGCAATCATAGCAGGATGATTCAGGTTGGCTCGCGATGCTGTGGCCATCTTGTGCACGATCTGTCGTTTGTCCCATACCGAAGACTTGCCCTCCACCACGGCAATGAGCTCCTCAGCCAGTCGAGAGGCGAATTGCGTCCTGCCACTGCCTCTCGACTTCTTCTTGTTCACAACGTCTAGAATCCACAGCATGGCTGTTCGCCGCCGTTGCCGCACGGAGAGAGGTTCTGGGATTTCGAGAGCCATACCACCACCGGCCATGCCCTTCATGTTCTTGATTCGCATCAGGGGTGCCACACTGTCGATGGCGAGGGTGAGATATAGGACTGGGTTGAGAGGGAGTTGCTCTGGCGGGGGTGCACCGGGAAGTAAAGGCTTCTGAGGGTTGACCTTGGGTGCCGGGGAGATTCGGAGAAAGTTGAGTGTCAGGGCCAGATGCTAGAGATGATGTTAGCTCTTCCTAGCTATGCAGGGTGCCCAGATCCATGCTCTCTTACCCTCTCGGCTTGGCTGAGCTTGCCATCGCGCATGAGTAATCTGGTGACCTGGTGAATGAGCGCCGGATATCTGTCCTGCAGCTTGTCGTGCTTGCCGGGCGGGACAGGCATGCCGAACTTGTGTCCTGCCTCCTCGTCGAAGAGACCCTCCCGTGCCGAGGCCTCCTCCAATTTGGCGAGGGCTTCCGCATTGAGCCAGTTGTCGGCGAAGAGCTCTGTTCGTTTGGGCAGCTCCGGCGGGGGTATGGAGTCGTTTGTGTTGGATGTGGTAGTGGCATCATCTGCCAGGCCTCGTCTCGCGATGGGCAATGCGATGCGTCGCTCTGTGCATTGTGCTGCAGGCCGTGTTCGGATGGCGAGGCTCCGGCAGACGCGCCAGGGACTAAGTTTGGAAGCCATTGTGGTCACCAATGCGACAAGATATGTGCACCGGTCGTCGATAGATATCACGATATCGAGCTCCTGAGCTTGGCCCGAAATGCGCTTGCTGCTGCTCCTAGCAAAATTATTTGGAGCCTGTCGCGTGGTGGGTTTATCCGGGCGCGATTGTGAACGGTGAGTTCGAATACATAATTATTCAGTTAGGGTGGGTGGTTTATGCAAGTGTAACACAGACAAGACCAAGGGCTTATGCAGACTCGTGTTATGCAGACTCGTGGAGGCGCTCGGAGGTGGATTAAGTGCCTCGCCGGTTCTGACCCCAGATTCCTCCCAGGGCCTGCCAGGGAGCGTTTCCTTCCAATTCTCACACAAGCAGCTGAAGCCGGAATGGAGCAAACCGTCCAACAGACTAGATAACGTTTGGTCTAGACTAGTGCCGATCCGTAAGTAGCCGGAGCAGAGCAGGGACGTCAAGGGCGTGAATCAAGTACTGTAACTTAACCCAAGGTTAGACTAACTAGAACTTGAACTGGATGCCGCCATTGATTGCCTCGGTGGACCTCGGCATGTGAACTGCCAACCCGCCGATGCGCTGGGATTTGGAGCGTCAAACGTTTAACTTAGCCATGTCGGCTGAGATGAGCTCGTCGTACACTTTGTTTGATCCTTCCCATCCAACTGACCAAACCCTCCTAATCTGGTATTGATGTCAAAGTGGGCTGTGTGATATTTATACTCCAAGAGTCCAAACCGGTCTTCCACCTCCCTCTTTACCAACGCAACCGGATTCTCCAGAGTCGATTGCTTGCCGCCTACCCAAGTCGCATGCTACTACTCACTGTACTATTAATCCCCGAGTCCACGCGATATTGCACCCGATAGCCCACCATGGTTGCCGACGCTGTCATCTACCACCCAACCGTGTCCCACTACCTCAAGTTCGTCGCCACTACCGTAGGTCGCGACAAGCTTCTGCGCACTCTGCAATACTTTGCCCGCTTCTACTCCTGGTACCTGTACCGCACCAATGGCACTCCCGCCGAGATCGCTCCCTACGATGCCATCAAGAAGCAGTTCGGCCTGACGCGCAAGGTCCTTCGTATCGGCAAGAACATTGAGCATCTCAAGGCTGCCGCCGTTGCTGCCGACTCCAAGACTATCGACCCCGTGTTGCGCTATGCTACCGTCGGACGACAGCTAGGCTATGCCGGATACCTGACCTTTGATTTGGCCACAGTCGCCGACTCCCTCGGAGTCAGGAAGTGGGAGGGCGCCAAGAGCGCGCAGAAGGAGGCCTACAGATTCTGGGCCATGGGATTGTTGTGCAGCATCGTCGCTCAGACCTACACACTGTACAGATTGAGGGAGAGAGAAACCAAGGTCGACAAGAAGGAGGGCGAGGGCGTTGTGGAGGCCAAGCGCATTACCATGTGAGTCAAGACAAATCTGCTTCCGCCTGCGCCTTAACCTCGGAGGTGCTGACTCTCATATAGCGAACGTGCCGCAGCTCGACTACAGCTGCTGTCTGATCTTTGCGACTTTACCGTGCCAGCAAGTGCACTTACATGGATCGGGTTTGATGACGGCTTTGTCGGTCTCGCTGGTACTGTCAGCAGTTTGATTGGTGTTTACTCGCAGTGGAAGAAGACTGCTTAAATATGAGCAACCCCCCTCGACGAAAGCAAATTGGTCCTAATTGCCTTGAATAATGGCTTATGGGGTTTCAAGCAGCGCTGAATCAGTTCAAAACGTCCGTACTTCTCTCTTTGACAGTGAAGAATTCGACATGATGGGCGACTGGATCATTCGTGGGCCAAGTGCGCCATCAACACTGAAGTCCGATTCCCTTGGATTCAAGTTTCTGAACGTGATTCATCACGTGAGCCGGCGTTGAAGAATAGTCATGTAACGCTACGATATGATTTTGTATATTCAAGTTCCGATCATGCTAGGAGTTGTGTCTCGTCAGGTTGAGGTCAAATTTAGAGTAAACTCGAAACCAATGATGATCACCTATTGCTTCTAGTCACACTCTATATGGGGTAGCAGGCGGCCCACATTTCTTCGCGATGGTTTTGTCCAGGATAAACACTACGGGGTAACCTGCCTAGAGAATTATAGATCTCCTGTTGCTCTGTCTTAGATATGCTCGATAGATAGGACAGCGCTTTCCCTCGACAAGGAATTCACATTAATAATCGCCCTGGTGTTTAACGAACCTCAACCATTGTTTCTATTGTTCTTGGACCAGTCCTCTAAATCATAGCGTCGAGTATTCAGCCGAGCAAGCCAGGTCGGAGGAGATATCATTATTCTCACAAACCTACAACAATGAGTAGAATAGAAACGAGACGACAGGTTTTTGTGACAAGATTCAATGGTTTATGTCCAGGTCCTGAATCCTTCGACATCGTCCGAGCCAGGGATTTTTGCAGCTCAGCGAGATCTTATGATATTTCGCTCGAGCACCATGATCTGTATGGCTCGCCTGACCACGACAGTTTCACTATTGCAGTAATTTCTAAAAATTTCTTGATTTCTTTCTGCAGAAAACGAAGCTGTGAAATATATAGCCACAACGCACCCAGACAACAACTGCTGGTGTCTTGTAGTCACCATCTATCTCACCCTAGAGCTTAAGAACAACTTTTAGGCATTCAATTCTCAGGAGGTTTTGCTTTGGTGCCGATGCTTGTGGCGCCCATTCATAGTTCGGAATTGGAATACTTTGGGATTGAAATGTTGGAACACAAAGACGACGTATGTTCCTATTTAGCACGCGTGTTTGATCCGGTATTTCAAGCTTCCACTACCTAATCCGAGTCCGTATCTTCATATTTATCCGTGACCCATTCTGAATCATCTAACGCTTCTTCCTGGGAGATACTGTCTATGCTCGCCGCTTGTTCTTCTCTACGTTTCTCTTGGCCCTCCGTCAAATCTTCTCCGTTATCCGCAAAACCTTCCTCATCACTCGAGGAACTTTCTTCGTCATCTAAAAAGCTTCCACTGGTAGAACCTCTCTTACACCTCAGTGAATTCTTTTTGTTGATCCAAATAGACTCTAATAGATGGTGTAAGTATAAACGAGTACAGACGCGAGCGTATAGTTGTTCTGTAGCGTTCAGGTGTTGGTCGTTGGCGCACACATCACCGATGATCAATTTCTGACATCGCTTGGCTTCAAATTTTGTAGCGATGAACTGCGGCTCAAGATCTTTAGAATGCTCTTCAAGTACGTTTTCGGTCAACCATAAAAACTGAAGAGAATAGCTGGTGGTAATCTCGCTAAGCATCAACGTCACTAATGGTTTGACTTCCGCGAATATGTGTGGCACCAGTGAGCTGGGGATTGCTTCCCGATATATGCTGTCATATGCGCGTGTCTCCAAGTAAGTCCATGGCAGACAAACGATACGCAAAGCACATACATCCGGTGAACGTGCCCTGTGCAGAAAGCCGTTGTTTTTGAGCAAGTCTTGGAAAAATAGCACGGATAACTGGAGACGCAATCGTCCATAACGCGCTATTTCAATATACAGATTGGCTGCAGTTGATATCGTATGTATGTCATCCAAAACTTTGTTTGCATAAAGCAGCTGATTCTCTCGGCGGCGTTTCTCCACAGACGATCTTGGTACTTCCGGGATAAACAGATCCGAAGAATTACGCCAAAACCCTACAACGGCTGCCGAGAATGCTGCTAAGCTTAACGTCTCGGCGCGGGATATGTTCTTATGTTGACCATGTGGAACACAAGAGTATGAGATACTCTCATGGAACGGATCCAGTCGACCACATAGATATCTGATGTGGCGATTCGACGTGGGCGACATCGGCTTCCCGAGGTTGGAGCTCTGAATCATCAGTCTCGAAAATTCTGAAGCCAGCTCATACGCCGGTTTGTGCCAGGAACCACGATACAAAGTGATCTTGAGCATTACTGCGTATAGCTGAGGCGGGATGATATGAAGTCGGCGTTGCACGTAGTCCAAATAGCCGTTTACACCACATAGTTCCCAGAACATATATTCAGCAGGCAACACACTTTCCTCTTGGCCGGAAGGCAGAAGCTCACGAGGGTCTAGTTGACATACAAAAGCATGCAACGCATCAGTTGCCGCCAGGGCAGCAGAAGAACCACTTCTCTCCAAATTCCTCAACGCTATCAATAACCACTCTAGACGAAACCACGTTATTATCACCCCATCGAAGAAGCCGGGTTGGTATGATGGAGCTACAGCGAAGTATTTCATTCCTCCCTCTATAAGCTTTTCGATGACTTCTTGACTGGATGGCAGTTGCAACCCAAATTTTTCGAGGGTCTGAGAACTGCAAATGAAGTCGTGCGCCGAACGGTGCACCCATTGGAGGGTTTTTGTTTCGTATGAAAGTACTTGGGGATATGGCACAGGCTCTGTGTACATGATGCGGGAACAGGGGCTGAAGAGATTGCGCATTGATATATCAGGTTGGCTTGCAGTGGTTGATATGAACCAGTCGCAACCATACTTCCACGACTCGTAGCTGAATTCCGCCGTATGTGTAGTACGGAATTCCAACAGACCAGCGCTTCGGGCCACGACTTGGGTTTCCGTTTGCTTACACAGCTTCAGGAAAGATTCTGAGATGGTAATAGGACCACTCATATTCGCTGCGGTTATGACGGCGACGGAAGTTATATGCTCCAAAGGATGGTAGTAATAATTAGTTTTGAAACACGGGATATCCATGACCTTGAGATAAAAGGCCAACGATGTTTTGTGTAGCTCATCGACATTCCCAAGCATTTCTTCGAAGAGATCACAAATACCTTCGGGTGCTCTTTCAAGGCGCTGTATAAGAGTGTTTTCGTCATCGGCAGATATGGCGCCTTGTAACACAGCTTGGGTTACTAGAGCTGCCCAAAGAAATACACCTTCAGCTCGGCTGATAATCATGTATTGTATGCCGTTCAGTTCTGTGCTGTCACAGTACAGAACATGGCTGGAGAGCTTTTGTCTGACATATTTGGCGATGTCGATATGATTGAGATCTTGCAGGTGCAACTGCTTGCATGCTGAGAGCCTCTTGACTAGTTGCAACTCTGGTCGGCTTGCTACACAAATTTTGGTGTTTTCGAGGCTCTGTATTTCGAATATCAAGTCCACTAGCTCGCCATAGTCGCCCAAGAACTCGTCAAGTCCATCGATGAAAATGCAGAACTGCGCATCTTGAGCTATTCCAAATGCTGCTATTACCGCTTTCTTTAAACCTTTCTCAGTCCAGGTGGGTATTCTCCACGGATCAATGGACAATTCAGCTAATAGCTGAATTACGATTTCAGCTTCAACTTGACAGATTTCATAGAGTAAACTTTGTAGAAGACCAAGTATGCTCTTTTGAAGCTTTGTCCCAGGACGCCAGAAGAAGAACGACAACACATGAAGTCGTCGACCTCGGCTCCATAACTCAAGTCCAGTTTGGGTACGGCTATCGTCAATAACATGAGCCATCAAAGTGGATTTTCCAGAGCCCAGCTTGCCACAAACCCAGTAAAGCGAAGGCTCAGAACGAAGCCATGCCACGAAATCATCCCATTGGATGAGATCCGGGCTTTCATAGTCGCTGTCGGACTTGTATTCATGGTGTTCCTCGAATCTAAAAATCCAGTTAAGAGTACCAGGGGCGGCGTCTTTGATGTTGCTACGTCGCTCGCCCATTTCTGCGAAGAAGAGACTTCTTTTGAAATCCTCCTGACATTCTCTCCGCCACAACTCTTCCGATGATCTCTGAGCTTTCATCTTGGCTTCTTTTGACCTTGTGTCGGCTGCTCGTTGCATTTGGTCGAATCGCGTCTGCACAATATCATCAGTTTTGTCAAGCCGAGTAGTCAGTCCCACTTCAAGAGACCCGATATCTTGTGTTAATCGTATTGTGCTATCATTGATGTTCGATTGCTGCTTGAGCAACTCTCTGACGATTTCCTGCCCCCGGGAATCAAGCAACGCAGATCGCTGGCTCTGCTCGACGGCTTGTAGGTCAAAGCGGCGCCTACACACTATCAGTTTAGGATTTATTTAGTTTAAAATGAACAGATGGGCTTAATTTGCCTCATAAAGACGTACGATATATCCTGAACAAGTAAAGACTCCAGAAGCCTTTGCTTCTCCTTCAACAAGTTGCTGAGTTTCTCAACTCTCTTACCCTCTTTCATGACCCGAAATAATTTCTTAGCCGTACTGATGTTCTTTCCAGCGCCACGAACATGTTGCAAGAGCTGTAGAAGGTCCTCGGTCAGATTCTCGCATTTATTGGCCAAGTCGGTGATGCGCCGTGGTGTTTGATTAGACGAGCTTGCAGAAAGCTGCTGTCGGGATTCTTTTACATCGCGTATCGATTCTTCTATTTCTCGATTCAGGTCCGTGGATGAATCAGCATTGTCTCTGATTTGTATACACAATGTAGTTGCTTTGATGGCAATGCCCAGAAACTGGGCTGTTGCCGCCGCCAGGCCGATAGCAGACGCGGGGTCCATTACGACGATGCCATCTGCGATCAAGCTCTGAAGTGAGAAGTGAGAAGTGCGTGAAATTCTGAGGCGGGGTTTCCTTCATAAGTGATCTCTCAAGCGGGCTATGCAAGATTCTGTGGCAGTACGCGACAGCTACACGCCAAGGCGAAATTGCATCGACGCAGGTTTGTGACCAATGAGATAACAAGTTTCTCCAAGCCTGAACTTATTCAGTTTCGGCATTTCTTGTTCAAATAATTGAACACGATGCTCCGGCTTTTTATACATAAATTCGAAGATTCCGCGACTTCCAGCACGATAACATATTAAACCGAGGCCTCTCGCAACAGCTAAAAAGTAGGTTTGAGTTGTCCAATTGTACCACATTCGATGGTTCTAACCATGTGACAGAGAATTACTTGAGCCAGCGATCCCTTGCTAGAATATATGTGTGGATATAATTTTTTGTTTGCTCAGCATGGAAAGATTGGATATGGGTATAACAGATCGCAAATATTGATCCAACATCTGTCTAACGATCTTTGTTCCCACTCAGAGATATTCTCTCCAGAAAATGTGATAAAATTTCACTTAAGTCGTATAGACCTGAACATCAACTAATCTAACTATATTACTCTGGCAATATTCGAGACTATTCCATATTATATCAGTGGAAGTCGATGGGATACAATTCGGTCTTTGTAATCTTATATATTGGTTCCATTACGAGATTAATCAATGGCCCCAGTCTGTATACTCCTTCATGGTAAAAACTTCGGTCGAATCTCCGCTTCAACTACAAGATGCTCATTACAGCGATCACCTCATAAGAATGGATGAACAGGTGCTGATATGTAAACCATCAGCTTCCTCACTCATTTGATATAGTGGCCAATACCTTGTCCGTCTCCGGGTTGGTCTAGGCCAATCTCCTATTGATGCTATTGATCGCCTTTTTAAATCAATTCTATATCAAGTCATCAACCTTAAGGAGATTTCCCATTTCATACTCATTTATCCACGCCTTGAACAACAACACGGCCAACATTATGAATCCGGGACATAGTATCGTCTCATTGGTCGGTCCCGGCATGCCAGATTACGGTTTCCTCAACCATGGTTCACGGTCCAGACATGCTTTCAGACCTGCATGACACCCACAACTCAGTTGAACTTTGATATCCTTCAACCACCACGGCAAAAAAAGGTCAAAAAATCCCGTCGCTCTTGAACCAACGGATATATAATGCCAAACAAAGCGACCCCAATCAACACTCCACGAAACCACAGGCCACGGTGGTGTAGTGGTTATTCGCTCAAACCTATGATTAATATCCTTACCTTAACATCCATATACTCTGGCTAAGCCGTCCTCCCTCAGCCAAAATCTTTTTTTGCAGGTGTCGAGTTCGAGACGTGCATGTTCTCTTTTCCTTTTTTCTTTTCTTTTTGTCCACTTTTTCTGCTTCTCCCAGAATAACACGGCTCGCTGTAAGATTTGGCCAACGTTCTAAGAATAGATATATTGATTCGTCTGCAGTAAGCTAATCCAAACTCGAGCAGCAAATGTGAGGTTGTGCAGATGTGACTTACAAACTTGCAACCCTTCCATGTCGCACCCTTTACCCTTGACATCTTGAGTAGCCATTCAACGACAAAATGTAAATCCTTCGTTGTATTATAAGTTTCAATTGTACTGTTATTTGTATTGTTCTATATTATATTTCCGGCCCTCTTTTTGATGGTCCAGAATAATCCAACAAAATTTGTTCCTTTCTCATGTCATTCCCACATGATATCAAGCGACCAAACTTATCTTTGTCCCATTTCCGGCAAACCCCAAACGATACTGCCTTGAAAACATGAAGCAAGCAGCACATCATTGAGAAACAACGTCAAATATAAAAGGTTGTTACCATTAGCTTATCTAACTACGTTGAGCTCGATAAAAACGAATCTTAAGAAAGAAATTGCAATGGAGGCACATAAGCCCCTTGAGAGAAGTATCCTGATCTTATGTGACTTGTGTAGTTCTGAGTTGGATTGTTTGCCAATTGGATAGAACCTCTGGAGTGTCGTCTCCACAGTGGGACGGGTTTGTGGCTTACGCACTCATTGAAATACGCAGCCAAAAACTCGACGGAGTCCTATATGATGTGTGCAGCAAACTTGAGTTCCTCGAGTTGACCCGATTCTCTACAGAAGGGAACGGTAGTACTCAGAACAGGGCTTGCCCATACAGTTAACATCAACTTGATCGGTGCATGCGACACGCAATTGCTACCGATATAGTATCGATAGCTAGTAAGAGAGAACTGAAGCGCATGTCGAACTACCTTTTGTAACAGACACTGGACCTTGCGACTCTGGGAGAAAGGAGGGGCTGCTCGCATTCCTGGCTACGACAATATTCATAGGAGAGGGCTTACTAGAGGCGGACATCCGCGACTACGTACAAGCAAGAGTTCGAGAGCGTGAACGTCTAGGTCGGTGGTAGGGACGACCGGATATCCAAGATAACATGAAGGCTAGTCTATTAGGGAAGGTGGGTGGAAGGTAAGAGACTTGATTCTAAATATCATCATAGTTTGCTAACACTATATAGGTTTCGATGGGTTTTGTGTTGACTCGACGTTTTGGAAAAGTGCGTGGAACGAAAAGATTTACCAAAAAAATTAAAATTTACTAGACAACGCGCATGAGCGAATACTAATCCTGTAGTTTCTTATATGCTTAGAACGACTATTGCGGCTTTATGGGGTATTTGATGCTATTGCCGTCGAGTTAGGAAATACGATGACTAGTAGAATAGGTTGCCGATGCCATAGAAGATTACTCGATACTGCTCGAGTCTGGTTGTTCTCGCTTAGAGATAAGGTGAAGATGACGAAGAGTCGACGGTATAAGAGATCTAATTGGCGTACTTCTCGGGAAAAGACTATCTTACCTCTAGTCTAGTCGATTGGAGATGGAAACTGCTTAACACTTATAACAAACATAGGCGCGAGGTCCTATAGCTAGAGCTTGTTATACAAGGTACGGGATTCTTTACACCGCCACTGAACAAGCACTAAAACTTCAATTTATTGAGTATTTGGTTATGTAAAACTCCTACTTGGATTATTTGACAATATAGAAAGCCTGGTCCTATGAAACTACCAGAGGCCACGTAGAGCGACCTTGCTTGTGTTCGAAAAGCTCCATGGAGAGTCTGAAACTGTGGACCCATTTGACGTCGACGTCCAAGAGGCATTTACCACGGTCGTAGCGTTAAATTTACCAGCCATCGGGCCTTGGACTGGTGTTGTGCTGTTGGTGGGGGCAAACAGACTGACAAGGATGCAGCCATGAGTGGTCGAATTATAGACGAATGAACCCCCAAAGCTCTTGCTGTCGCTTGCATCGGTACCTACAAGTAATCAGTATACGGAACCAAGCAGTCGCAACTCAACGAACACGAATGGAATCAGGTAGTCACTCACACTTGGAGAAGGTGCTCTCAAAGGCATCGAGGCAGCCGGCATGCCAAAGCTCAACATCCTGCTCCGCCCCACAGCCGTCCGGGCCATCCGCCCATCTCATCTGTGCATATAAAGTGTAGTTGTTGCTGCTATAAGCTTGGGAAAAGCCATGCGGTTTATCTGGCGTGAGTGTGTAGTTGGCGGCGCAGAATGCCGAGGACGCTTGCTGAGCATCAGCCAATGTGAATTCTTGATACCTGTCGATGTCGCTGGAATTGTAGTTGTTGTAGTCGCTCCAACACAAAACGTCGCCCGCATCGACGACAGTGTTGTTGGGAGTGCTCGCTGCGACAAGTGAATTGGTACGGAGCGACTGTGTCGTTGCTGTGCCATCGGAGAAGCACTTCATGGATTTCCAAGTCTTGATATCGTCGTAGATGGCCACTCCATACGTATGGCATCCCTCAGGCTCGTAGTAATCATATTCGCCCGAATCATTGGGACAACCGCTTTCACTGAATACCTGGCATCTACCTCCTTTGATCACCCATGATCCTGGTTCATTGAAGAGGCTGTCATCACAACCACTCCACGTCTTTCCACCATCTGTATAGTGCCGGCAATTGATGGATGACTCGTCAAAGATATCACTCGGATACCCACTCGGGGGATCGATATGCACTCCACGTTATCAGACAGTTCCGGATACGCTGGGCCTTCTAATGTATAATATTCGTCGAAATCTCCAGTTATACAATAGGTAGTAGCGTAGAGAACAACCTCCCAAGTGCTCGTTGTGGTCACTACAGTTGTAGTAGTCGTAGTTGTTGGCTCGCCTGTGTGAACAGTGGTTATGGTCTTCGTGCTGGTCACTACCGGGGGGGTAGTTGTCGAGCCCAGGACCTCGGAAATCAATTTTGGCTCCCACTCTGCTGGGTCATCCATATCTTTCAATCCAGTCCAAAGCTCAAAAATTGGCGTGAAGACCGGTGCCATGGTGTAGCCGGCCATCACCTCTGTTCCTGTCGTATCACAGCCGACCACGTCTACGAAGTCGAAGTGTTAGTATTCATCCTTCAACTCCACAATACCCCAGTACTTACCTTTGCACGTGCTCGTGCAACTTGATGTTGCAGCGGCTGTAATACAATGAGTGCTGCACGAACTATAGGTCGCAGTCGTGCAGTCCTCGTTGTCTGGGTCATTGGGGTCGCTCGGATCGACGGGCCTGTCCGGATCATTAGAGTCCCACCAATTTATACCATTGGTATCCGGACAAGTCAGGAAACAAGGGTCACAGAATATCTTGCAGCCAGAGCCACAGCCACCTGGCGTAATACATGTGGGCTTGGGCGGTCCGTCCGTGTGTGTAATTGGTGGGAAATGTGTATCGTGTGAAGTCTTTGAGCCACCTGGTGTGTCAGAATCGGTTGGGACTGGTAAGACTGTTGCTGACGAGGTGGTGGCCGAATCAGAGGCACCGGTGGTGATCTTGGTACCCGTGTTACCAGTACTGGTTGGGATTGTTAAGACTATTGTGGACGAGGTCTTGGTCGAACCAGAGACACTGGCGGTGGGAGTTGACTCAGACCAGTCACTACCCGGCCATGGTGGTGGAGTGAAGGTTCTAGTGTTGAGCGAATGCGTAGTACCATTGATAATGGTGGCATCTGAAATGATGAAAGGGGATTGTACTATGCTAGGCGTAGCATAAATGATGGTACCGCCGGCGTCACTGCCGACAGGTACGTTGTAGACGGAAATGACAGATGTTGTTACTGCAGGAATTGTTATGGTGGTTGTTGTGATGACACTGATGTAGCCAACGGTTGTCGAGGTTGTACCTAGATACGTAAAAGTCTGAGTGGTGGGCCAACCAACTTCCATTGTACCAGTGTATAGTGGGTAGGAAAACGTTGTATCCGTTGCCAGAGTAAGGGGAGGTAGCACATATGTGCACGGTGCGTTACATGCAACAGTTACAGAGTCCGTTGGCTCGTTCCAGATCGCAGGGTCTATGGTGACGTATCCGGAGTCCGTTCCGTTACCTGGGCCAGATACTGAGTCATCTCCGATATCTTCTCCAGTAGTGGACAAAGCTAGCCAAGCAGCGATCTCACTTGTGTAGCCATCTTTGGTCGTGGAGTTAAAAAGCAGCGCAGGCAGACCGCCACGCGGGGTAACGATTTGAACGTTGCCCTTCGTAAAGATGTTGTATAAATATAAATCTGAAGCATAGTTGGTCTCGATGAGCGCTAATTGACATTCTTCCTGATCAGTGCACCCAAGCTCGTTGTCTGAGAAGAAGGAGTAGAATCCGGCCGAGTAAATGTAGACGTTATTGGAGTTGAGCACGCGTAAAGCCCAGGCCTCCTTACAATAATCCTCGGCACAATTCGAGAAGGTTGGATCGGAAGGAAACTGACCGGCCACAAATGGCCCAGTGGCAACGGGGTTGGGCTGATAGTAAGGGGTTTCGGTTTGCATGTGGCCGAGATAGATGTTGGAAGCGTTGTACAACTGATATTGGTACATCTGAGCATGCTCAGATGCCGTTCCATACATCCATGTTGGCCCTTGCGACTCAATAAGTATACCACGACCTGCATAGATGGAAATTTGGGTGTGAACATTCAGAGGAATTCCATCGGTGCTTTCCGTTGCGTCGGCATTCGCAGGGTTGTCTAAGTCATGATCGGCAACCCAAGCCCAGACGTTCTCGAAGTAACCTGAAGCTTTTGATGTGACATGTAACAGTAGAGATGCGGCTTTACACTCTTCATTTACAGATGAGCTCTTCGAGGGGCAATCCCCCACCTGGAGGTCAGAACCAGTGGCACCACCAACACGGAAATGGCTATCCCACATGCCAGCTGTTTAACGTTAGTATTTGTCGGACAGTTTATAACATGAAGCTGTCACTTTAGGGAACATACCACTTCCTTGGCTGTCTTCGTGAACATTCCACTCCATCAAAATGGCCCCCGCTGTAGGACCCTTCACCGTGAATAGCAAGTCTGTGATCTCAATGATGCCAGAGTCGCCTTCGTTGCCAACTTGGACCATTACTTGGGGGTTTGACTCATCCTGGAAATATGAGCCTGTTCCCATGAGTTGACTCCAGCCAGAGCCAATAATCTTGCTGCCAACAGGTACTTGAACTGTACCCTCGACCAGATAAACACCAGCAGGGAAGTAAATCAAGGATCCTACATTACCAGCCAGCATTGAGTTGATGGCATCGGTCTGATCGCCAGTTCCATCGTTGGAAATACCCTGATCTGTTGCCACAATGATGCTACCAGCCGACACGTCTTCGTACTGTGGTTTGAGACGAGAAAAGTAAGCCCCGTCATCATCGAGGAGTGATGACGGCTTCTCCGGTGCCGGACTCATGAAGCCTTGTCTCTTGCCCCCGGCACCATTCGGGAGATATTCGTACCCATTGGCCCAAGAATTGATATATGTGGCACTTGCCGATCCCGCCAGAAGGGTATCACCGCCCGAGATGAGAACTATCGAGTCGGAGTTCTCAACGAGAAGATTATCAAGGACCACAGTGGGCTGCTGATCTTCGTTCTGGCCGAGGGTGATCGCGTACGGCACCCCGTTGAAGTGCGAGTCGACCACGGCGATCGAGCCGGTGCCCTGTTCCAAGGTGCCCGAGTAGGAGGTTGCATCAATGGCAACATAGCAAGAAAGGACGTATATGTTCTTCCACGTGAAGCCCCAACTCCATTGTTGGAAGATAGCCGTGAGACAAGAGGTGAATTGCAAGTTGGTAGCGGTGAATTGCTGGCTCCCCGCGAGGAACCCGATATTGCCTCCAACAAAGGTCAGATCGGAAACAAAACCACCACTTCCATTTTCCATATAGATTCCTACAGCTGTCGCTGCTTGACCCTCAGCTGAGACGGCCATTTTGAAGTCGCAGTTGGTGATACTGGTCGCTTGGCCCACCTGCCAGTGAACACCTGAAGGTACATACTCTTGGTCGTTATCATAATTGGTCCAATTTTGAGCCGTCATGTCAAAGACAAAGTTTCTGATCTGGCGGTAAAAGTTGCTCTGGTTGATGTACCATTCATCACCATTGCCGCCGGGGATATAGAAATCCGAGTCAAAAAGAGCGATTCCAGTAAAGTTCTCCGAACCCAGAATTATGGGTTTACTGTTCGGGTTGCCAACAAACTGAGTGTAGTAATACTGAATGATAGGTGTGGAGATAAGATAGGTACCAGAAGGGAAGTATATGAGTGCTCCCTGAGTTGTTGTCGAACCGCAATCATCGCCGCAGCGAAGCGTGCTAATGTCGCTCGAGCTGAAGGCAGCCACTGCTCGATTAATGGCAGCTGTGTCATCGGTAACGCCGTCTCCAATGGCGCCAAAGTCCTTGACATTGCGGAAAAACTGATAGCCAGGATCTGCCAAGGGCATCTGTTATGTATGTCAGCTTCATGTCACTGAGTAATCGATGAGGGTTCTAAAGTTCAGCGCGATCCCATAAAATACATTATATGCTTCATTCATCTAGAATATCGCATCATCACGCCATTTGCGGAGTCGAGTTCGAGACTCATTGCCCTCGAGAGGATGAGAAAGGTGAAATTTATTTCGTCAACAACTTACGGAACCAATGCTACCCAGACTTGATAGCCAGTAATCATCGCTGTTGTCGCGTTCTTGCTTCGCCCCATGGATGGCCTCCAAGGCGCTTTCATTGAGAGACCCGAGGACAGGTCCAGTCATAGAGCCCTTATCTGGTGCGGTGCCCCAATAGTTGTTCACATTGTCTTTCATATAATCCGGCGGCGGCTGGCATGAGTTAGCTCGTATACTTTGAAATTTTCAAATGTAGAACTGTCTTACATGGGGTGTGCCGGCTGGTAAAGGCGGAAATGTGGAAGCAGCCCGATGTCTTACAGTAGCTCCGGCTACGAAGAGCGGTGCCATTAATAAAAGTGTACGTTTGAAAGCCATTGTAGAGATGCCTTTCCGAACCCAAACGATGAGCATAAGAAAATGATATAGACGGGAGGGTCCTACATAAATGGAGGAGAAATACGAAGAAGAAAGTCGTGTGGATAGAATTCGTGGTCACTCCGCGCCCCCGCCAAAGCTGAAGTTGAGAGACGCCTAAAAAAACAAAGCAGCACCAGAAATATATCGAGACTTTTTGTCATTCCTCTAAGAGTGTGGTAAATTTCATTTGGCGCCATGATCATTGACCCCTGAGATCAGTAGGCAGCAAAAATCCGTCAGCTTCGGAATTGTGCTATTGACCGAGGTTTCCAAGGGTTTTGGGTAAAAGAAATGGGTCTTCGAGATCTATCTGATAATAGAAATCAATATAATCATTGTATAGGTTTAGGTGGTGCTGCAGAAGTAGGTACCATGCAGGATTTGGGGCCAAATGGTCGGTTATCCCTGTTAGAGTAATAGCCCTTGTTGATGGCACGACTTATCCATCCACTGAGTGAGACGAAATCTGATTACAGGCATATGGCAAATTTTTTGAATCGGTCACAGGTCTAGCCTAGGATCTACGGACTGATGCAGACCCCTGGTACTATCAGATCATTGGATCCACAGCATGTAAGGTCCTGGCACACCACGAGCTCCACCAGTAATGGCAAGCGTCAGTTGCATGCAACAATTTTGACATACTCCACATCAGATCATGAATCGGATGGTTGCGAACTCGGTATCTTCACCAGAAAGCTATTCTGGGATCTCGGGTGAATATGAAAATTCGCGCTTAGTGGACTTTTGGACAGCTTCATCGGTTGCATGGCCATCTATTGCCTAGCCCGTTATACCCTCGCATTTATCACCAATAGTTCATGTCAGACGACGGAGTCATTTTACCTACATGATGTGATATTTTAAATTGCTTTTTTGGTTATGGATGCCGTGTTTCTCCGTTGAGAGATATCTCAGTTTCGAAAGTCTGCTCCCCTTTCGCCTAGACGCTTTCATACGTGAGGATCGGCTTGATATATCGACTTGACTCTTGTCGTATCTCACAGGAGTGTCTGATTACATTTGTATTTTACTATTCTTTCGTAACTCTATATACAGACAATGGCAAATTCACGGAGCTGGCTTATAGCTTTTTTGCTCACATTGGTGGCTGCATTAGACGTCACCGATCTCTTCAACGTGAAGTTCGGAGCTAACGATCCGGGCACTTGTCTGGACGCGGGAAAGGACCAATTGAATAATTTCATCACTGAGAGTATTGCTTTGGCCCAGGCTGGCATTGCCTTATGCGACGCGTATGAAAACACGGATAATGAACTCAACCCTGAGGCGACTAGGCTTGCAGAATCAGTCTTCAGAGAACCTGACGAGGATGACATAGAATCTATCAGAAGTAGCCTGCACTTCCATAACATCAAATATAACAGAAGGCTAATAAGAACACAATCCTAGGTCAATATGAAAAGGTCTTGAGCTGGCTTCAGAATGGTGGTTCAACTAATGGTGGTCGTACCACGCTCAAACCATTTCTGTTCTGTGGGGATTCGTGGACCATTCGCAAAAGCATGAGTGACATATTGCTCGGCGCTGATGGGCAACCAGTCTTGAATGAAGACGGTAATCAGATGAAGATCAGCGATAGTGAGCAAATGGTCGAATGGAGAGACGACGCTGAAGCTATTTATGGAGTGGCAACTTATCCTGTAAGTTCAGTTTGGAACCTTCATCATGTTGTTTAAGACTGACGCATAATCTGATAAGTATTGGAGTGATCCGCTGGTTCAGTACTGGTTCGGCAAGAAGTATGGCGATAGCCCTACCGATGGACCATGTACCACTGATGGCCTATATGCGACCACATGGACACCTGCTACTGGGCCGTCATATATGTCCCTCTGCCAAGCGTCTTGGACCGATCCCAAAGAACTTACGGTGGTTGATTCTTATACCATTGCCGATGTAAGCAAAATCCTTGATGGTAGCGCTTTTGAAACTGCAGGATGGATATGGGACGTCATGCCTACCTCGGGCACCATATTTCAGTAAGCGAACATTTGCTAGTCTTATTACCTGTATTTGAAAGCTCTCTACAATCAACCACTACACGAATTCACCTTGTTAGATGATCGGAAACGCTGACAATCAATCTCAGCGAGCTCTTTCATCTTGTATTAGGCAAAGAGGATAGTGTACCTAGTGGGCTGAATGGCCAGGAGGTCTACGGATTCCCGGAGGTAGCTGGCCAAGTGCCTTTCAACGATGCCGGCGATTACATGGATGCTTCATTAGCCATCGACAATCCTGAGACCTATACCTATGCGGCTGTTGCCTTTTGGACTACACAGAATGCGCCATTAGTTTATGGACAGAGCCAAGAGTTTTGGACAGGGTACGCCACTCATCAGAACTAGCAGCCCGCCAGCTAGATGGAAAATAATCACATATGCGGGATAATGGAAAAGGCACATGGTACAATCATATGTGTCTAGAGAGTTTCAAATAAGCCATCATCTAGTCTATTCGTTTATTGGTATGAATGCCATATTGGTAGAGGTATACGGGAGTCATTTTCGACTTGGTGTTTAAACACTTCAATTTTTTCTCCATAGCAGCTCTGAGAGATTATAAATCGTTAAAATGCTCAAAATCAGAATCTTCCACTATTCTGAGCTACTTGATTGTAGTCGTAGTCGACTTCTTGGGTATGTGGCATTCCAAAGTAACCATTTACGAGCATGCCTTTGTTAGTTGGGAGTGTGAGACATCCGCCGGAGATCATTCTCAGTGCTAACCTCACTTGTTCACTAGTAAATGTGATGCCTCAAAGAATCTGATGATAGATATTCCAGGGTTAAATCGATCAGAATCAGATGTAAATGGTTCGACACTCGTTGGAAAGAAGCATGAGAACCACGACACCCATTCCCAATCCTCATTGCATTGGCATTGGCTAGCTCAGGCCACCTGGAAGAGCTGACTGGTATTGGGTTGGCTACTTCGGCTCGGATGCCATGTAACGTTTCTTCGTAGATACAGACGAGCGACTCAGAAATATGGATGAGGCTGGCCGCACCGCGCTTTCTCCGACGCATGTAAATTGCATGTCTAGTGCACCTGACGAATGTACTGCCGAAAACGATACAGCATAGCCTGGCTCTTGTGAGATGATCTGATCTTATGCTTGTCGACCTGTGTTCCATGTCTGAGTACTTTTGTGTCTCCCATATCACACCCTGTATACCTTATTAGGTTAGGCTCTCCGTTCGGACCGCTAATCGATGAGCCGGATCCGCCTGCAGTAAGCGCAGAGATAAGCTTCTCCAAGCTCATCCAAGAACTGCCAAGCTAAATCAATCAATTACCGACTGAACGGGAGTTTTAGCTGCCAGATATAGCGCCAAACATGCAAGTACGACGCCGGGCGAAATGAAGTCCATCCTCTGCATCATGGCCGGAGAATCTATCCCCGGCCACGTCCGCGGAAGTCGACGGACGGGTCGCGATTCCTCAGTGATTCAGAACCTAACCGGGTTCAGAGATTATTCTGCGATGGAAATCACTCATTTTCTTCGCTGTGCCGTACACTACTGTGACTCCTAAATCCTTTTGGGGGATTGCTTATATTGTCATAGCGTTATAGTTCACTGGAAGAAATCGGTGGAGACGGCCCCATAGTCAGATCACCAACATGAGGCACAGCGACTTTAAACTTAGATTGACGATGGTGTCGCTGCCTCGTGCTCTCGGAGCGCTAGGTGGTATCAGGAATAGCTGCAAGACAATTCCACTAAGCATCCCACTGATTATCAGATCATTCAATTATGGACGGACTTCTCGTCGTTCCGGCTACGTTCTATTCATGTCTGCGCGCATGGAGGCACTTTGTCCTAGCCATAGTCCGGCACATGAGGTATCATCACAGGGAAAACTTTTACTCCTTCGCTTGATGTATACAATTTCCCGGTGCAGGTGACTCCCTCATTTTGGAATAGACAACGAGAGCTAGACAAACTAGCTCCACTCTCCAGGGAACTTCTGTAGACTACAGCGTTGGCATGCTTTCTTACATCGTGGCCCTCGACGTTCGCTAAGACCTTGACAGTAATGAAGCATGGAGGTTTCGATCTTACACCTGACTGCTGACGCGGCACCTGTGCTTGTATGCACCTCTCGACAGTCAAGTGGAGCAAAAGAAAATGGTGGTGATACGAGTGATCCCAGAGCGACTCGCATGTGAGGTGTTGGGTCTGGAAGGCTACGATCGTTTGCCTCGTCGCCGAGATGGAAACAAAATTTATATATAATGTCGTCTATGGACGCATAAAAATCTTTCTCAGCTCATCTCAAACAGACATCGCATCCAGCAAACGCCATTAAACCCTTTGTCATTATAATCTTGCTACACCATGAAGTTCTTCTTTACTATTGCATTGGCCTCGGCCGCTACCACTCACGCAAGCCCCGTTGAGATCAGAGGCAGTGCCAGCGGCTGCTACGCTTAGTATGTTTGAGCTCCATCTCTCATATGAAGCTGCCACGAATCTTCACGATGCCATGCTGACATTAACCACGAAATTAGTCAGAACCCGGGCTGTGGTATTGACTATGCCGTCTGCCAGTGTGCCAATGGCTGGATGTATCAGTATAACACTGGCGTTGTTGGTGGTTGTGACCCTCCGGTAAGCATACCTGTTTCCCCTCTCGACATTGAGAACGGTCACTGACAAAAATATACAGTGGGGTTTCTTGGCTACCAGCGCCAATGGTCTTGGTGGTTGGACTTGTAATTAGGACTCAATGGATGTTCGTGCAGGGCTTAATAACGATATAAACGGAAGGATTCATATTTTCGACTAGGTATCTCACAGTGTGCACCAATAGATATGCATTGTTACTAGCTGCATGGTTTTACATGGTTCATATATTTTGCCACGTGCGGACCCATCACTAACCTAATCCATTTCCCCCACTTCCACGAATGCAGGCAGCTCTACTGGCACATGTAAGAGTACACAGATACCAGCTGCTCTGCCTGCCGTTCCTTTTCCCTTCTTGTTCTCTGATTTCAAGCCCTAATACCATGCTCTTCTTTGATCTTGCTCGACCATGAGCCTGTCACCGGGAACAAAAACGTTTCCACAATTCTCCCGGATTCCCAAGGAGCTTCGTGAACAGATATGGGATGCAACGATGCAACCGAAGCTCCTCACCATCATAATCGGCAGCGATGGAGATTCCAAAGTGAAGTCAGATGTGACGCAGTGGTCGCCTCACAAAAACCCGGTGGCGCTGGGCATCTGCACCGAGTCGCGCGCGCGAGCGCTATTGCGTTATACCATGAAGGTGCCCATCTATCGCTGGCATGGTCTGTCGGTCCGCAACGAGGCAAGGCGGTACATCGATCCCAAACACGATTTGGTGCTCATCCTGCCAACGGCCGACACGGCTAGGCGCCACGAATACAATTTTCTGGGGAAGGATCTGGATACACTTCTCAATTGCACCTTGAAGAAGATTGAGCTTGACCAAAAGGGGAAAAGACGCTTCGCTCAGGCCATTCAGAGGCTCGCGATACCATCTCGATGGTGGAGAGACAGGTTTTCTAACAAGGCCATGCGAGCCTTTGCTGTTACCTGTTTTGCCATTCCCCGGGAGATTTACCTTGTCGAAGAAATTGCCAGCGAGCAGCAGGATGGTGATGCGCAAGTAGCCGAGTGTAGCGGGAATATAAATTCCGCAATGCCGGAATCTGTGAAACGGCGTTGGCAGGAGCCGGGTTGGTCCGTCGAATACCAGGAGCACGCGATCAAGGTCGTTAGGCCGGATTCGACGATCGTCCGTGTTCGAGACTTATATCACACTTCCTTGGCCGGCATGGATCTCTCGGCTTATGAAGCTTCTGAGACGACGATGGGTGCCTATTTTCAACGCTCCGACCCAAACGTACACTATGAGGAGAACATCAGAGGACACAATCGACCATTGTGGCCAGCCCCATTCCCGGAGCGGGTTATCGCAAGAAACAAAAAGGAGTAATTATGGTGTTTTCGCGAAATGTCCTCAGGATACTTGCATGTTAATTGCACTAACCTGGTCTACTTTCTGTTCATATAGCGGCTCGTGGTGGCCTGGCAACGCAGAATAGATATGCGGCTTTGCTAGTTGGCAAAATATTATGAAACTCAAGGACGCTCTCGTGAGTTACAAGCATGTAAATTAGCTTACCTACATTATTCTGTAGCCGGTGTGTTGGCTGTTCAATCAGCTGTAGTTATGCTAGACGCGCAAAATGGAGAACGGAAGACAACTAAATAATGTGCCGGCACTATGTTTCGGCTTTTCAAATACACAACAAAGCATTGGCGGCGTTCGGGCTGCATTCTCACAGAAAGAGACGAGGGCTATTACGGCGCTGAGCAATCATGTCTCAATCGATTGAGTTGTGATGTATGATCAGGCGTATAGTAACAGCAACATGCACTTAATTATATCTGAACCCGAAGACGGGCTTTTTCGACGTGTCACATCGCGGGCGTCATCCTATCCGTCGTTTATGGTAGCATGTATGTGGAAAGAATAGGGATTGTTGGCTACTTGAATATAAATCAAGTCACTAGGCTGGAGCCGCCGGCCTGCACTGGTCGCTTCTTCTATTTGAACGCCTTTGTGTCGATCAATTGGCATTTTGCGAAAACTGATTTGATTGGTCACACGCAAACAGGACTCTGCTATTATAGGCGCTAAAGCTCCAATGTATATAGTAATCGAGTACAAGTGGAAACGGCATTTAGTAAATGAAAGAAAAACGTGAAAAGACAAACGCGCTAGTTAAGACGGGGCTCGAATCCGTCTGGGTTTTGCTAAGCGATGCTTCAGGCTGGGGAGGGCTGCGAGGACCCCGTTTTTGGAGCACTAGTTGTCTACTGTAATTAACCCTAGTGATGATCCAATGCGCGCTGAACTAATACCCAGGTCGGTGTCGACTGGGGAATTACGGCGTTGTAATTTTGTAATTTTTATGATTATCCCAGGTTATATTACTAGTTTCCCATACAGAAAGCAATATGGAATCTAGTAGTTTTCGAGGTTGTTTTGTTTTACATTAGTCTAGTGGAACCTTGCTGGGTATTAACTACAGCTTTCTCGGATTTTTGTATGCACCACTTGGGCATACTGCACATGTCCGAGACATTTATGTGGACATGAACTTCCGTGGCGAGATTCGTGCACCATGTACGATGTCAGATACGGGAGAAACAACCCATTATAACGTACAGCCATCTGCCATGTGCTTGAGATTAGGACAACAATCTTGCCGGTGGAACTACGTTGTAAAGACTCAAATTCACCCACATGTCCTACACCTCTATTTGTCCCATTTCACGTATGCAGGTACGAAAGACATTTCAATTTTATTAAGTTTCTTTATTTTTTTTATTGCTTGTGTATCTGGTGGGGTATGCTAGTAACAACTCAAATCTAGGAATTTCAACATGTGATGCGCCTGCTATGCATGTTTTACAACTCATCGTGATCAAAGTCACCACCGTCCTCGCCACCTGCACCCTGGTACATCTTGGATGTGATGGGGTAGGCAACGTTAGAAAGCTTCTCCTTCTGCTCCTCGAAGTCCTCAGCGGTGGCGGTGCCAACGTTCTCCTCGAGCCAGTCGGTGGTCTCCTTGACGGCGTCAAGAATCTAGGTAGCATGTTAGTAATGTGTAGTAGAATCAGATAATATTTGTATGAACTTACGGTCTCCTTCTCCTCCTCATCGATCTTGCCACCGAGACCCTCCTCATCGTTGACCTGGTTCTTCAAGTTGAAGGCGTAGTTCTCAAGACCGTTACGAGCCTCAATGCGCTCACGGGTGGCCTTGTCTTCCTCAGCATACTTCTCGGCCTCGGCAACCATGCGCTCAATTTCTTCAGGAGTAAGACGACCCTTGTCGTTAGTAATAGTGATGGACTCAGTCTTGCCAGTTCCCTTGTCGTGGGCAGAAACCTTGAGGATACCGTTGGCATCAAGCTCGAAGGAGACCTCAATTTGGGGAACACCACGAGGGGCGGGGGGGATGTTGGTAAGCTCGAACTTGCCAAGAAGGTTGTTGTCCTTGGTCATGGAACGCTCACCCTCGAAGACCTGGATCAGAACGACGGGCTGGTTGTCGGCAGCAGTCGAGAAGATCTGGCTCTTGCGAGTGGGGATGGGAGTGTTACGGGGGATCAGCTTAGTCATGACACCACCGGTGGTTTCAATACCAAGAGTCAAAGGGTTGACGTCCATGAGGACAACATCACCAGTGCCCTCCTCGTTGGAGAGGATACCAGCCTGAACGGCAGCACCGAAAGCGACAGCCTCATCAGGGTTGATACCCTTGGCCAATGGCTTGCCGTTGAAGAAGTCCTGGAGAAGAGATTGAACCTTGGGGATACGGGTGGAACCACCAACAAGAACGATGTCGTCGATCTCATCCTTCTTAAGCTTGGCGTCGTCGAGAACCTGCTTAACGGGCTTGAGGGTGCGCTTGAAAAGCTCGATGTTGAGCTCCTCAAACTTGGCTCGGGTAAGAGTCTCAGAGAAGTCGTTGCCCTCGAAGAAAGCCTCGATCTCAATGCGGGTGGACATCTGGGAAGAGAGAGTACGCTTGGCCTTCTCGGCCTCGCGCTTGAGCTTGCTCATGGCCTTGACATCCTTGGTGATATCAACGCCGTTCTTCTTGTTGTAGGTCTTGGCGAGGTGGTTGATGATACGCTGGTCGAAATCCTCACCACCGAGATGAGTGTCACCGGCAGTAGCCAAAACCTCGAAAACACCCTGGTCGATAGAGAGCAGGGAGACATCGAAAGTACCACCACCGAGATCGTAGACAATGATGTGGCGCTCCTCGTCGACCTTGTCAAGACCGTAGGCAATGGCAGCCGCAGTGGGCTCGTTGACGATACGGAGGACGTTGAGACCGGCGATGATACCGGCATCCTTGGTGGCCTGGCGCTGGTTGTCGTTGAAGTAGGCGGGGACAGTGACGACGGCGTGGGTGATCTTCTTGCCCAGGTAAGACTCGGCAACCTCCTTCATTTTGCCGAGAACGACGGCAGAGATTTCTTCGGGGGTGAAAACCTTGTCGGCACCATTGACCTTGACCTGAACGACGGGCTTGCCATCCTTGTTCTTGACGGTGTAAGGAAGGTGCTTGATGTCGTCTTGGAGAGTCTTCTCGGAGTACTTGCGGCCAATGAGACGCCTATTGGAAGAGAAGCGGTCAGTTATTTTTCTTCTCCCTTGTACTGACTCCAAAACACATGTGTTCTTTTTTCAGGCGAAATTTACTCACTTGATATCGAAGATGGTGTTGGTGGGGTTGGCGGCAAACTGCTGCTTGGCAGCATCTCCGACCAATCTCTCATCCTCGGTGAAGGCGACATATGACGGGGTGATACGGTTTCCTTGGTCGTTGACGAGGATATCAACCTTGCCTCCCTTCATGACACCAACGCAAGAGTAGGTAGTACCCAAATCCTGTGACAAAGAAACGGATTAGCAAGGAGGAAAGGGAAAGCCTAGCGAGGAGGCCAGAGGGAAGCTGTTGTCATGTGCGTGGGTGACTTACGATACCGATAACAGTTCCATATTCTGAGACATCATCTGCGTGGGCAGAGCCGGCGAAGAAAAGAGGAGCGCAGAAGAGCAGGCCGATCCAAGCGATCAAGCCAAAGCTCAAGGCCCACGAATTTTGGGGTCGAGCCATTGCGGCTATGTGAGTTTGAGAAATGTGTAGAAATCAACTACAGTTAAGCAGCGACGATGATGTTCTAAGTTTGGTTTTAGAGGGAGAGAAAAAAAAGTCTCCGTCGAGAATGCACACCACTACCCTTGAGCAAATATAGCCCAGTGTGTTAGTGATGATTCGTCGTTGTCGTCGCTCAGTCGGCGAAAGTGTGTGAATGGGGGAAGAAAACGAAGCTGAAGACGAATGGGCCTGGGAGAATTCTCTTATGTACTGTAGAGAACTAAACAGAGCAACCCAACTCACTGGTTGGAAAGCTACCTGTCCCCAATGGAAAGAACAGATAATTCATAAAGGCCACATCACAACTAAATTTTGGGTCTGCGCACGGACCATCCATGGTCCCCTAGACTACTGTATCTCCAATATTTCCTCCCCTCCCCCCTAGCCCCTGTAACCGTGGACCTCTTCTTTGTCAAGTATTCGCCCTGTAAAAGCCACGTTTTGCAGTCACCCAATTAAGCAAGCAGTCGCCCCAAAGAATACCTTCGAATTACTCTAGACGGGGCCGCCTTGTCCTGTCCTGTCATTCATGGTAGTTGTTCCCTACTGTACGTCAGATGTATGTACGGAGTAAATCTCACATTTCCCAGCAGCCCTGCAGCCTGGTTGCCAGCTTACAGTGTGCGTTATCCGCCGCAATTGCCACTTTTAAGCTTATATCTGGCTTCACCTTGACTTCTCACTTGATCACGAATGACTCAAACAAGAGCCCGTCCACATAGTTGTCCTTTGCTGGCAACACGAATTGACTCATTCACTCTCTAATTTCGCCTCTATGGACAGACTCATGCACACTGCGCCGTCCCCCGACGCCCGCTTTGAAGCTGACCGACATGTGGCTGGTCTTGTCCCTTGCAGCATGGATTACAGTAGGTACTTCTCGAGCTTTCTACGTAAGGACCCACAGCGGACAAACTGCCGCGAGTTTGAGCCAAGTATTCCAGGGCACAAGTAGTGGAGACAGAAAGCAACAGTTGATATATATTTACTTTACACGAACACCTTACGCGTGGTTTCATGGCTTACCGTGGTTTTATGAGCTGGTTTCTATGGACCGGCAAAAAAAATAAAAATTTTAAAACCAATTTTTTTTGTCGAAGAGCAATTCCCATTTGAGCCTTTGAGTTGTCTCTCACTCGTTACACTCCCATGGGGGGCACTTCTCCAAAGCATTTTCTCTTGGGGGAACGAAGCGCTTGTCCTTTGTCATGCGGGGCATCCCTGCCATATGTCCAAAAGTCGACTTTCAGATACTCACGGACAGAAGGCCCCTTTAGGCGTGACACTCTTGATGGGGACCGGATAAATTGCGCGCGCCTGTGAGATCACTACCAATATACAGAACCGTGTCCTTATTGACAACAACCCCGGCTTTGGAACTCGAGTGGTTGTCACAGATGTACCCACCTTTTCTGTCAAGGGTTGCATCCGAATATAGTGTGGCTGCTCCTTCTAAGAGCCTCAATCATGGCGCTGGCCCACGTACCGCAAGCCTTATTTTGACTCAGCCTCCGACTCATTCCCCAAACTGTGATACTCACGAATATACCCAGTATCCTTTCAGTTTCTCAAGTGTCATTTGGTATTCGCACTTCTAATCAGCTATCTTGGTGCATCTCCTTGCTTATTCCAGTAAACCAGCAGCAATAGTTTCACCATTACTCCGGAGCACAACTCTTTGGCCTGTTTCTAATGGAACTTTGCTGTTCATCTTGACCACAACTCTAGCCACACTGCCCGGCTTGACGATCTTGGGCTTCTTCTTGAGTACGGTACCCTTGACCTTGTCCAATATAGCAGGCATCTCCACAATCTGTCCGGGCGCCCACAACCGTCCTCGATGGACATCCACTTGCATTGGCATGAGGATGTCAAAAGCAAGAGCTTTGATTGTGAAAGAGTCGATCGAATTGATTGGTGACTTGGGGTCGCAGATGATGTCTCCGACTCGCACATGGATAGGATCGATGTTTGTCAAATGAATGACAACATTCTGACCAGCCACCGCCCAATCCACCGGTTCCGAGTCCAATTCGAGTGATTTGACGTATGCTTTCTCCCCGCTAGGTTGGACCAGAAGCGCATCCCCGGCCTGCAATGATCCGGCGTCAATCCGTCCCGATATTGTAAGCGGGCTCTGTGCGGTCCTGAAGACTTCTGATATCGTCATACGCAGAGGCTTGTCTAACGCTCTAGCGAGAGGCTCGGAGTTTTCAAGCTCCTGGATCAGCGTCTCGCCCGTATACCAGCTTGCTGCAGGGTCTGTGGATCTGTTGACGAGGTTATCGCCTTGGAGCCCGGACACGGGAACAAAGCTGATGTTCTTCAGCTGAAAGCCGGTGGCGGACATGAACCCAGAGACCTGGTTTGAGATCTCATCGAACCGATCTTGCGACCATCCAACGGTATCCAATTTGTTGACCGCAACGATGACTCGAGATACGCCCATACTCCGTAGCAAAAGCGAATGCTCTCTTGTCTGCCCCTTAAGTCCTGACTCGAAAGATCCGGTGGACGCGTCAACCACCAATATCGCAAAGTCGGCTTGACTTGCACCTGCGATCATGTTTGGGATGAAGTCGCGATGGCCAGGAGCATCCAGGATGGTAAAAGATGTAGCCTCCGTCTCGAACCGGTTTGTGGCAATATCGATAGTCACGCCACGACTTCGTTCCTCGGTCCTTTGGTCCAATACCCATGCCAAGGCAAATGATGACTTGCCCATTTGTTCCGCCTCCTTACGATATCTGTCTATGGTTCTTTGATCAACCACGTTGAGGTCCAATAATAACCTCCCCATCAGTGTGCTCTTGCCGGCGTCGACGTGACCTGGCTGCCGTTAGCTTGATTACGTTGTTTTAAATGTTGTTGTTGCTGCTGCTGGAGTTCCTTACCAACAACCACAAAACTTGCGCTCTTCTTGCTCTTGCTCTTCTCATACTCGTTAAGAACATTTAAGTTCTTGCTCTTGGGTAGAGGTGCATCATCGACCTTGAGCGCCTTGACTCCGTCTGTCGCTTCGTCTACCTTATTATCGCCACCTTTCTTCTTGGTAGTATTGGCAAGCTTCTTGTTACTGGCTAATGCAATTGGTTAGTAATTGCGCTTTTATGCTTTCCTAGCACCTGAAAGCGAACCTTTCGCCTGTGCTGTCAGCACTACATCATCAGGACTGGGCCCAGAGAACGCGTCAGTCACAGACGAGACGAAGGACATGTACGGCAGAGCATAGGTCCTCGGTGTGCGAGCAGGCGGAGCGGATCCCAGGAGAGCTTGAGCAAAATCAGACGGTGCAGCTGGCTGTACAGGCGCGATGTCCTCAACAGGATTGCGCTCAGTGTTTGCCGGGAACTTTGCTGGAGGACCGTCAAGCTGGACAATGTCATCTGTCTTCCTCTTCATGGGGACAGCTGGGGGCTTCGGCTCATGAGCCAAGCTTGTGCTAGCAGACGAAGACGCAGCCTCCTTTTGTTTAGCTCTTGAACTGAGAGATAACTTGCTCAAGTGCTGAGTGGCCTCCTTGACTGGCGGCTTCTCATGATCCTTGATTTTCTGGGCAGCCTTTTGCTCCTCGGCTTTCTTTTTGCGCTCTGCAGCCAATTGCTGCAACTTGGACATCTTGGGCGGAGCTCCAGATCCACCGAGCAGGCCTCCACGAGGATATAGGGGCTCGATGAAGGTGGTCTGGCGATCTTGTGGAGTGTTCAACCATGGCATGTCCTGGAAGAAGTGCGCGAAAGAGAAGTGCCGGCGTCTCTGAGCCATAGTATCTGTTTGGAGCGCAATTAGCCACGTAGCTCATACAATGTACTCGTATTGGCCGGTACGTACGTGTATTGCTTGACGTACAGCTACAGCGAAGACCTGAAGCCAACGTGGTATATGTGCTGACCCCGGGGGATCTGCTCTTACGGGGTGTTCTTGGCTTGTTCTTCTTCTTGCTCTTGGTGCGAAAATGGATGTCATAAACAAACGGAAAATAGGCCTACCTGTTTCTTTGTTTTGCACGGGCGCGCTCTTCTTAGCGGCCTTGGGGGCGGGCGGATCGATGAACTTGGTGATGAGGTATACGATGGCCTTGTCGACGTCATAGTAGTAATGCCAGAGCGCCTCCTGTATTTGCGCCGTCGTGACTTTGGATGCTCGAGCGGCGAGGGCAGCACGAACCTCAGCAGTACCTGCTTCCATTTGTGCTACACAACATAACGTTAGCATTTAGCATTGGCATCGCCATTAGCAGTATGTGGCCAATCATTGGCGCAGCTCTTGCGAGCTCCACGGCAAATGTGCGGATCGGCGTACCCTTGTCTTCAGCACTCAGCGCCTCTCCCTCCTCCTCGCCGTATCCTTCGCCTCCATCGTACTCGTCGAGATCGTTTTCGTAATCATAATTCCTGTATGCTTGGTGGCGCGACATTGTGGCAGCTGCCCAGATATGTCGTTTGGCCTGAGAGAGATAAAGCTGTTGAACTGTTTGCTGCAGAGGCGAGCGTGTGCGTCTAATATAGCCCGCGGTGGGTGCATGAACAGGAGAAAGGAAAAAGAATGGGCACGTCAAATGTGTTTGTCTTTAGAGTGGTACTTCCTCTGAAAAATGCACACGAATTAGAGCGAGCAAAATAGACGTAAAGCTGAGCCGGACTTGTGTCGCCTTGCCCGGTGAGACTCTCTGAGAATCTTTGGCGGGGTTGAGGCCTGATGGCGGGGCACTGAAGGAAAGTCGGTCGAGGGCTCATCGAAGCGTTGCAGCACAAGTATGACGTAACGTAATGATATGCCTATTTCGTACGGTGTGCACTGCCTTTAGCCCCCTGTTTCCGGCTGGAGCCTCTTTTGGCAATCATTAAAACCAGAGATTCACCTGTGGTAGTATGGCGATGGCCTTTTGGATATGTGTCTTGCGAAATCATCTCGGCAAGTCTCAATATTCTCGCCCGTTCAGATAGAACAGTGCGTGGAGACCATCTGGCACGCAGTACGTGTCCCTCAGCTAGTATAGGCTGGGGAATTTCTAGGTTTTACAGCGATCAACTCAACCACGGTATGATGAGAGATCATGGAGCGCGTTTTACAAAGTGACTATGCAATACTTTCGGGTATAATCATCACATACTATTGAGGCATGGATAAAACCATAATGGGGAGGGGTTTCTTCTTCTAAGATTTTTTATTTTTTTTTAGTTAAATATGAGGTGGAAGATTGACTTCACATATATGTAATAGGACCATATTCTTTCTCTCGCTAATTTAGTCACCAATGAGCGACCAAATCTACCAACTATCACCAAAGTCCTTCGCTTTCTGGTCGTTGGGATTGTAGATCCTGAAAAAAATCTCTTTCTCCGGCTCACCGCTCTTGCGGAACTTGCATCCCATTCTGCCCGACGCCCCAACCCTATCGATACCACCAAGGTCGTTGGGCGCATTATTGAAGATGCCATTCAGGTCAGACGAGCCCACATACAGTCTGGCCGAGGTACCCTCCCAAACCTGAGGCCTGATGGCAAAAGTGCAAGTGCCGTGAGTGACAAGCGGGTACAGACCGTGGTTCTGATCGCTGTCCCACTCGCCGAGGTTGGCGAACATAATCCAGCCGGGAGAGTCGTTCATAATCCGCCAGATTGCCTGGCAATCGGACTTGAGGGGGGAGAGGGCCATCGTCTCGTTTTTCCAGTCGGTGACATCTCCGCAGAGGTCTGTGTAACTGTACGTCCCACTGTACTTGGAGATGCCGCCTTCGTCGTCCCCTGTGGACACATCGAGGGCACCAAGGACGGCGACTGGGAGGCCAAGTAGGCCAAGGAGGATGGATGAGTAAAGCATGAGTGTGGTGCCAACTGATAATGATAGATAATACAAGTCTTGTCAATTGGCTGACTGGTGGGAAATTGTAACGTTTGTGACAGAAATGTAGCTATATACCTAATACCCACCTTTATACTTTCTCTTGACAGGAAGAGGATCTTGGTTGCTTTGTCTGAATCAAGGAACCCGCTCATCAGTTGACACATACGAGCCTTTGGGTATCGGAGAAAGAGATGTCGAGATCAATGGTAGATCCACTCGAGTTCTTTGTTCCACATGCAGAGTCTCTGCATATCCTGTATTATACACTATTATCGTGGGGCGCAACGATCTTATTTTCCGACTCCTGCAAGTCATTTTTGAGCTCGACTCCTGGTTGCCTTCGGCCGGGAGTTACCTTCAGGTGCAAGGGTCCTTTTTCGGCTGGTTTTGGCTCTGGTCACTCATCTTGGAGTATTTCTGTAATTATGTTGTAGATGTTGTCTCTGGCCTAGGTGTTACCGAGCCAGAATAACCGTTCACGGTCTTAAGTATTTTTCTTGTTTCTTTCCTTGCTTCTTTGCTCCTTTGCTCCTTTGCTTTCTTTCTTTCTTTCTTTTTTTCTTCTTCTTGTTATTGATGAGAAGACTCATGTTGATCCAATCAATCAATAGCTAACTTTCACCGCGATGTAGGCATAAAGAACACGAGAATCTAGAACTGTGTACTGGCGGTGACGAGTAGCTCCCAAGGCTTCCGTGGCGGGTTTCATGCCGGACCCTTACGGCAGCAGCATCGCTAATCTGTCGACCTTGGATTTATCCCGAACGCCTTCCCAATAAGCTTACAACGTCCAAAAACAGGTCCGGCGGTATTAAACCGTTCCAACTATCTGAGAAGAAAATAGAAACATATTGAGATGTACCCATGACTGTGGGTTCACCGATAACATTACGCAAGTAGCACAAGAGGTCGATTAGTTGACAATATTTATTACACTAACTGGCCAAAGTCCATGCATTACCTCACAATACCGTGCTGACGAATCTGTCTAGCAGATGGGCGACCATGATTGCCCTCAATTAAAACCTCTCAGCTCACAACATCTTAACTTAGATCGAACCCAGCCCCTGACTGTACGGCGTATAATAGCTTGCTCTTCAAGACAGCAGCCGAGCTGTACCTGGGGAGCTTGAGAAGATTGACACAGGTGCTCGTGCTGGGAAGTCGCTCTTCATCGGTGCCTCCATCACGGATGGAGAAGCGGGGACTTAGTTGTGAAAACCCAAGCAGAGGCGCTCTTGGTGTCGAAGTCACATACTTGAGGACCTCTCGGCGTTCTTCGTCCTTGAGCTCATGCATAACTTTCCAGAACATCTGAATTGTTGGGTGTTCAAGGCCATCGTCGCCAATAACGTATAGCCCAGAATAGATGGTGTTGTTGCGGAGATCTTCCACATCAATTTCCGAGCTGTCACCACCTACGAGGCGTTGAAGTTCTGACTGGTTGAACATGGACAACCATGATGGCTCAATGATGCTCCCTAGGCCGCGCAGAAAAGCTTTGGTCTGTTGGAATGGTTGAGCTACCAGTCGATGGCGTGCTACATATGAGATGTAGAGTGGCCTATCTTTGTTGGTGACAGGAATGTTCTCGCCATCTTTCCGTAAAGGACGAGTAATTGTCTTGATTTGACCTGTCTCCGGATTCGCAACACGATCGTTGATGGTAAAATCCAGAGCAAGATCCGTAACATCCCCAGGGTAGTTCTTCAGATTTAATAAGCCCTTGTATAGATCAGGGTCGAGGTCTCGTAGGTCGTTCAGACTAGCCCGGAAATCCGATGAACTTTGACTAGATGAAGACCACTTCAACAGGAAAAAGCTGGCAAATGCAAGGTCAATGAGGATTCCCTCGTACATGCACTTGCCAACTACACGTCCCAAGAACTCGTATTGCTTTGAGAGGTCTTGTAGCCGGTTATTCCATTCGAGAGAGTTTTCTGGGATGCCGTAATATCTAAGTGTCTCCATGCGCTCGTCATATGCTGTGGGGTTTGGATACAGTAGGTTCTGGCTGTTGGTCACGAAGAGCCCGTGGTGCTCTGGGTTAAACGCCTCGTTGGTGACACTGGTCAGGAACTCTTTAGTTACGCCACCACCGTCGATGCCAGCTTCTGGTTGGTCGAATTGATCAACAAATGTGATCTGAATGGGTTCTTTGAGTGATTCACCCAACGACCAGAACTGGTCATATGCATCGTGGAACAGCTGACCACGCTTAATCGTCGCAGAATGTCGCCCGAGGACATCTCGCCCTCCATGGCTGGATGGTCCATGAAGAACAGACATACGCCACTGATCAGCATCAATATAGCCATTCCTTCGCTTTTGTTTATCAAGCTGCACAAACTGACGGAAGATTTGTACGCGAACCTCAAATGGAATTGTAAATGGCATGTGTCGAAGGATTTCAAGCTTGGGCCCGACCTGGGCGAGAAGCTTTTCTCGTTGTGCCCTTCTGTGTTGCCTGGTTCTTTCGATTTGAGCGTAGCGTGAGACGCGATGACCATGAGCAGTACGGAAACCCTGCGAAGCGTCCACATCGACATCACTCATTTCCTCATCTTCGTCCTCGGCTTCAGCCTTCCTTTGTTCCTCCAGAACGACAGCGGATAGGAACCCATCCATGTCAAAACGGGACGTCATGAGCCAAAAGCCTTCTTGCAAGAAAGGCCTACGGGAATCTCGCTCATAAAGTGAGCGCATAGTAGCAGTTGCCGACGTTCTCAGTTCAAGAACATCCATACCCTGAATACCGGCAAATGACGTGGCGACTTTCTCAGGTACGATTTGAGTGTTGCCGCCTGAAGAGCCGAAGAGTACAGAGACATCCGTCTTTGCCGAATGTGTAGTGGATGGCATAATATCGTTGAGGTTGTAATAGAGTGGGAAGGCAAGGTTCTTCAAGAACGAGACCAGTTCTTTAAGTTCTGCCAGGTTCAGACTGCTGCCCCGTATACGCAAGACAGCTGGGCTTTGAACAGAATGGACCTCGTTCTCCCTGGGTAGGAAATCCTCGTCGTCAGTCACACGGAGAAGGAAATTATAAAGTTCAAGGAACAAGAGCAGAGTACGCCACTCTTGGTCCCGAGCAGGATCTGGCTGTAAGAGAGATACGACGGCTTTCGATTTCTGTTCAGCTTCCTTGTGTGCTATCGCAGAAAAGATGTGTGTACCTAAAACTGCCTTCCACAAGAACTTAACTGAGGGCACAGTTGTAGGTATAGCAGAGTCCTGTGTAGTGACATCGCCCTGGAAAAGGCGTATCTTGATGTCATCGCCATGGCTTGGGAAGCAGCGGAGTAGAACCAATGTGTAACCAGCCAACAAACTTGCGTCTTCAGACATCTGAACACTTGACACAGAAGTAGAGGTGAAGCGACTTAGGAGCTCTGTAATGCAGTCTTCACTAACAAGAGAGTCTAGCTGATCTGTGACATATGGGGGTAAAGGTCCAATAGACTTTAGGTCGGAAACATCGGCTTCGTCATCAGACTCCTCGTCGTCATGTTGTGGATTACCGCGTAATCGGATGTCTGAAGATAGCTCAGTCAATTGTCGATAAAGAGCCTCAAGATATGCGGAGCCTTGTGATGCTAATGACGCTCGATTCAAAGCAATGAAATGGGCCAGTAACCACAAAAGATCGTCGCGAGATCGTTGATGGGCTCGTTCATGTTGTACTAGCCCAACAATAATGCTCTGGGACAATGCCTGAATATTCAGAAATCTGGTGACCTGTGAAGGGTTGCGCTGCAGAAATACCAAGCTTGGTGATGTCAAGAAGGAGAAAGCAAACGCCTCGTACGATTCTGTTCCTGTCTGGCCTAAAGGTGCCGATATGGCAGTGGCGAGCAATTCCTCGTTGCTGGTAGAAATATTGGGTTGGTTATCAAAGCCACTTTGCGTGCAGTACTTTATGATCAGTTGGTAGTATCTGTCCGAAATACGAGCGACCGAAGATGGTTTCTCTTTGATAATGTCTACCAGCAGACTAAGAAGACGCTGCGAAGTGTTTATCGACCGCGGTTCTAACGCCGCCACCAAGACTGTGGTCAAAGTTCGCCATTGACGGTCGTGCAGGTCCACTCTGCCAGAAACTTTAAGATCATCCACAAAACCGTCCAGTCTTTCTTGATCCTTGGATTCGGCTGGGTCGAAGAAAGTGTTTATAAGAGGTAGGGCTTTGATGACGCGATCTTGTGGGTTGATATTCTGCTTGTACAAGTCGTCCCAATCTCTTCGTCGCTGATTCCGGACATCCGTGCGAATCTTGTGTCCCCTCCACACGCGCTGGATTTGCCTTGAAGCAGCAATCTGGTCCCGTTCTCTTTGTCTCTTTTCCCTTTCTGCTTGAGCATTGACCACAGTCTGCGAAGCTCCTGAAGGTGCGGCATTCCAGCCCGAATTTGCCCACGGGTTCGTAGCTTTTTGTCCACTAAGGTTCACGTTCCGAGGTCGTTTGGAGTTACCAGTAAATGTTGAAAACATGGCGGCGGTGTCGGGGGTTAACTCGAAAGCTGAAGGGGTCACAATCGCCGATGTGAAAGATATGTGAGATCTCTCTGATGTCGCCAATGTGGAAGGTTTCTCGCTGACGTTGGAGATGGAGGAGTTTGGATGAGTCGCAGCTGTGAGACTGGCGACGCTGTGTTCGTCGATGCAGTGAATCAAATTTAGCAGTGATAATGCCTCCTGCCTGTTGACCGCCGTCTATGTGCAAGAAAAATGCCACCCAAGATCGACATGTATCCTACTTAGCGATGTTTGATGCAACGAAACTGTGCCAGGTATTATGATGGTGTGCTACAAGAAAACAGCATTATTCGGCTCCAAACCTGAGCCGAATCACGGCCGTGAGCGAGGAGAATTAAAGACAGCCAAACAAACGCCTTGATGCCTTTCTAGAGGTTTCAAATGTTAGGCCTGCCTACATAGGCCAGCTTGTAGAAATGCTTTCGCGCGGGTTTGACAATGCGCATTTGAGCAAGCTTAAGGCTGGATCTAACTAGGCTCTCTCTCGACGTCGCAATGGTCACTGCTCTGTCAGCTGCTTCCACCAAGTCGGAGTAATCACGTAACGTAACGCCACCCACTTGCCCCACCGCTCTTCCCGGGGCTCTCGTAAACCTACAGCATGAGAAAGCGCCGGCAAGTATTGTAAAAGTGTACAGATAATATTGTATTTATCCCACAGTTCTGTGAGACATATCGTGCACATGTCCGCACAAAGATTGCCTGCTTTTACATCACTCTGTACCTGACTGGCACTCGTAGAAAGACTATGCCCTGCTATAGTACATACCGCTCAAAATGTGCTTAGGGGAAGCTAAACTGTAACAGAACATGGAGGGGTACAGTAGCTATCCCCTTCCTTATCTTGGGCCACCGTAGATAGGCTAAGATAAGAAGTGGACTGGCTCTGACGCATGAACGAACTTGCACAAGCAGAATCATCGAGGGAAGTGCAGTGAGTAGTCATCCAAATTGAACTAACCCAACGCTCATGTCGTGTCGTGCAATGCCATGACACTCTTTCACCCTCCAGTTTCTTGGATCAAGGAGCAGATGAGGGGGGAAACAAAGGGCAAAAGAAGAAGAAGAAGAAGAAGAGAAAGAAAGAAACCTTGAAAAAGAAATGCAGCTTGTCCAAACTCCCCCCAAAAAAATCAGAAATATCGGTATGCTGTCGTTGTCGATAAGATATAGTAATGTAGTGAGGAGTACTGACCTAGAATGACCTTGGTTCTGCCCACGTAGGGTATTGCTCTGTATACCATTTCTCGATATGAGAGAGGTCAGGTGTCTATGCAGTGATGGGCATGGCAATGCGCCCGTTATCTTAATTGTAAACGAATTAGCTTCAGCGGCTCTGTTTGATATTTGAGTCTGTTTCAACCTTCAGTCACTGTTCACAGTTTTCAGGGTCCGATGAGTGCGCACAGACGGTGGCTTTCTCAGCCCTACAATACACTTTGATCAATACCAACAAAGAGGCATGCTTCCTTCTAAAAGGCTTCCGAGTAGATAAATATATACTTATAGTTCTGTGAAGACTCGAGGTATCGGCAGGAAGTTGGCATATTTCTAGCTATTGGGCAAATCTGCGCTTCCTGGTAATAAAATGCTGCTGACTTGATATGTAAGTTAAAATGACTACGTGGATGCTTATCGAGAGGCTATAAACGGCTTAAACCCTGTCTGCTGACATCATATTAGACCAACTGGTAAAGAATGTTCTTTGGAAATGCAGTGTCATTTGAGACAAGAAACCAATTATTCTAGGTTGCGTTGCGCGCAAGACTGGCTGATTCTGTGATGCGCTTCGATATGCAGCCAACCTTTATAGATCCTATGACGTTTCAAAGAAGCCCTCTGCCTGGTGCAACACTGCAACACAGCCCGCTTCATTTGTGAGCTCTTCATGTGTTAAGAAATTCCACACACATTCGCGACTGATGACAATTTAATATAATATCGGTTCAATGTAGCGGAAAGTGGGAATCCAGAGTGGTTGATGTTGGGGGGCCGGTGTTGGCAGGCATGCAGGCATGGCTCAAGCCCCGCGGCGGTCTGAGGCACTCAGAGCACGGGCCAACCAGTAGGTTCGCACCTTCTCAGTCATTCGAATTTTTTTTTTCTTGAAAATCGTTTGCGGCCATTCGAGTTGAATGGCCTTCCGTTTCCCTTCTTCCCTCAACCACCAACATCAAACCATCTATTTTTTCACCCACTTGAGATCTCAGTCAAGGAGTGCGAATTTTCGTACTACACAGCTGATCTCTTCCCAGCCATAAAGAAAAACACAAAAAAAGGTTAAAATCAACTCGCACAAAATCCCAATCTCCAGACTTCGTGTCTATCACCAAATTGAGGCTTCTTGAATAGATTCGAACTTCTCCTCAAGCCCTTATCTATTCAGCCTTCCTCTACCACCGAAAACTCCTCGTTCTCGTTCTACGGAGAACTTGTCGTATTTTTCGCATCTGGCCCTTTGAAGTCATCGGTCTTTGTCCCGTTCCGACTTCTACGCCGCGCGCAGCTTCGATTTAAGGTCTTGGTAAGCCACCCATGCTCTTTTCTGTCCATGCGACGACTCTATCACGGTTCCAGACTTGCATCTAGCCGCACTCATTTTCATCTTCATTTCCCATTTCTCCCGAAGCCCACAGCTAATGTTTGATTTTCCGCAGTCGAGCAAACCACTCTTCACTAGATCACCATGTCTGCCGCTCCTGAAACCAACGCTGTTGATCAGCTTACCACTGATCTCGGCAATGCTTCCCTCAACGGCGGCGATGCCAAGGCTCCCACCGTCGACACCAACGTCGCTGGCGATGCTCAAGGCGACGAGGCCGCTACTCCCAGCACCGCCCAGACCCCCCACCCCCACGCTTCCGCTTCCCTCTACGTCGGTGAGCTGGATCCCTCCGTCACTGAGGCCATGCTCTTCGAGCTGTTCTCTTCCATTGGCTCTGTTGCATCTATCCGTGTCTGCCGTGATGCCGTCACTCGCCGCTCGCTTGGTTACGCTTACGTCAACTACAACTCCACCCCCGATGGTGAGCGTGCTCTCGAAGAACTTAACTACACCCAGATCAAGGGCCGCCCTTGCCGAATCATGTGGTCTCAACGTGACCCTGCCCTCCGCAAGACCGGCGCCGGGAACATCTTCATCAAGAACCTGGATGCTGCCATCGATAACAAGGCTCTTCATGATACCTTTGCGGCTTTCGGCAACATCCTGAGCTGCAAGGTCGCCCAGGACGAGAGCGGTGCCTCCAAGGGTTACGGTTTCGTTCACTACGAGACTGACGAGGCCGCCGCCGCCGCCATCAAGCATGTTAACGGCATGCTTTTGAACGAGAAGAAGGTATACGTCGGCCCTCACATTCCCAAGAAGGACCGCCAGAGCAAGTTCGAGGAGATGAAGGCCAACTTTACCAACGTTTACGTCAAGAACATCGCCCTCGAGGCTTCTGACGACCACTTCCGTGAGCTGTTCGAGCAGTTCGGTGATGTCACCTCGTCATCTCTCGCCCGCGATCAGGAGGGCAAGTCTCGTGGCTTTGGTTTTGTCAACTTCACCACCCACGAGGCTGCTGCCAAGGCCGTGGATGACCTGAATGGCAAGGACTTCCAGGGACAAGACTTGTACGTTGGCCGTGCCCAGAAGAAGCACGAGCGCGAGGAGGAGCTTCGCAAGTCCTACGAGGCTGCCCGTCAGGAGAAGGCCAGCAAGTACCAGGGCGTCAACCTGTACATCAAGAACCTGAACGATGATGTCGACGATGAGAAGCTCCGTGCTATGTTCTCTGAGTTTGGTCCCATCACCTCCGCCAAGGTCATGCGCGATAGCCTCAGCGAGTCTGGCGACGAGGCCGAGCCCAAGGAGGGCCAGGAAAACAAGGAGAACGAGGAGGAGATTCCCGAAGAGCCTAAGGAAGAGGATGACGACAAGAAGGAGAAGAAGTCCGGCGACAGGAAGCTTGGCAAGAGCAAGGGTTTTGGCTTTGTCTGCTTCTCCAACCCCGAGGATGCTACCAAGGCTGTTACCGAGATGAACCAGCGCATGTTTGATGGCAAGCCCTTATACGTGGCCCTCGCCCAGCGCAAGGACGTCCGAAAGAGCCAGCTTGAGGCTAGCATTCAAGCTCGCAACCAGCTCCGTATGCAGCAGGCCGCTGCTGCTGCTGGCATGCCTCAGCAGTTCATGCAGCCTCCTGTCTTTTACGGTCCCGGCCAGCAGCCCGCCTTCCCTCCTGGCGGTCGCGGTTTGCCTTTCCCTCAGCCTGGTATGGGCATGCCTCAGGGTGGTCGTCCTGGTCAGTTCCCCAATGCCTTCCCCCAAGGAGGACGTGGTGGCCCTGGACCCCAGGTCATGCCCCAGATGTACATGCCTGGCCAGTTCCCCCCTGGCGCCGCTCCTTACGGCCAACCCAACAACCCTCAGTTCATGGCTGCCATGGCCCAGGCTCAACAGACTATTGGTGGCAACGGCCGTGGCGGTCCTGGCGGTCGTGGACCTATGCAAGGCATGCCCGGCATGGGTGGCCCCGGTATGCCAGGATATCCTCCTAATGGCCGACAGGGTCCTGGCGGCCGTGGTGGTGCCCCACGCAATGGACCTGGTGGACAATTCCCCGGCGGACGTGGAGCCCCCGCCCCTCAGCAAGATTTAACTCCATCTTCGCTGCTCCAGTCTCAACTTCAGGCACACAACGGAAACCCCCAGCAGCAGAAGCAGATGCTCGGTGAGGTCATCTTCCCCAAGATCTCTGCTATTCAGCCTGATTTGGCGGGCAAGATCACTGGTATGCTCCTGGAGATGGATAACACCGAACTCGTCAACTTGTAAGCTCATTCTCGCCTGACACGTATTTGATTATGATATTGACACATTCACAGGATCGAGGATGACACCGCTCTTCGTGCTAAGGTCGATGAGGCCATGGCTGTCTACGATGAGTATGTCAAGTCCCAGGGCGGCGAGGCCGACAAGGCTGAGCCGGCCAAGGAGGAGAAGACCGAGGAGAAGGCGTAAACTGGCAAATGCCTATGCCAAGTAGCGACGAGATGTTCTCTCATGCTGCGAACCTCGTCAATCACGGCCATGATTGGTCTTTCGTTTTCATTTCTTTTTTTTTCATGATTACTCGTTTATCGATCTGCCCCTCTGTCGGCACAGTCGATCTTTCGAATGGGACTGGAAAAGTTTATGATACCTGGCACGTATTCCAGCGATGGATGGGCGTGTCAATTTCTGCATTTCTTCCGCCATTACGTCATATGTTACGGCTTCACGACACATGCTTTCTTAATGCTTGGTGGATCTGAGAACATCTTGGACTCGCCGCATGTCATTAAGACCACAACCCCCAATTACTGTTTGCGTGTATTGATAGACTTGCTTTGGTTGAATGGTGTTGATTGACACCCGGCGTTCACGGTCAAAAGTAGGGTTGCCTGTGGTTTTAAATTGGCACCGAAGGGAATGGCGGCTTCATGATTCAGACCTAAATACCCAGAAGGCTGCCAAGAGGGATACAAATCCCGAGGGTCGGAGGTCAGTCCAGACAGGAGCTTCTGATACCTTGAATAAAAATATTCACCTCAAAAAAGGCGTTGACACTGTGTGATAAACACTCTACGAAGTGTAATTCTAAGATTAGTGATGATTTGTGTGCCACCTTACTCCCGTACATACGTGTATCGTCACTAATGTAGTCCTGGTAGGCGTACGCCCGGACAGCATCGTATCCTGTAAATTCTCAACGACACAGCATGGACGGTTTCCAGGCTACTCCCAGAACCATTCCATGTCTCAAGTCCGACCTGAGTGAACATTCCGGCATCATATTAATAAAGACGTAGGCCACAAATAAACGGTGAAGTTGAAACTGTTCGATTTTACAACTCATGCTCAGAGACAACGGATATACCCCCGTAGGGACCTCCCGAAGCCACCTCAAACACAATGCGACTCGTCCCACCCCATGATCGTCCAGTCCAATGTAGTCACGAATTGAAGAATACAAACAGTCACTGCTGGTGAAGCTCTCCGCAGAATACTGCGGCATAGATAAGAACTAACACACTAGACAGTATCGAGCTCGTGGATCACTTACAGCCACAGGGAATGGCATCGAACTGTATGAATATTAGAAATTGGGGAAGGAGGATGTGAGGGAAGGAAAAGAAAGAAAGAAAGAAGAAGTAGATGTAGAAGCAGAAGAATGAAGGAATTATGTTATATGTTTTGGAAGTGACCGTTTGCTGTAGATTAGTGTAATTAATTAGCCAGACTATGACTGACTTGGCGCACATTTATGACATGTGCTCGCAGGCGCAGGGAAATACTCAGCCACTGGCCGGTGCGGAGTAAGTTTGGAGTCTAAATAATAACGTTAGCTTTGTTCGAGTGCCGAACGTTTGTGATCAGTTAGTGACCGTCACTTGCCGGGCGCATGGCACACAAGACCAAGACTACATATATCACCGCACGGAAACACAACAACAGCAACAAGAAGCAGAAGGAATGTACGGTTTCGTGCCCAGGGCACGGAAAATCGACTTTGAGCGGCAGGGGTCTCGGTGTTGCGGCACAGTGGGCAGTCGGCAGCGGGCAGCGGGCAGGCTTGGCGAGCATTTTTATGTTAGCCAAAATACTTGCAGCTGAGATGGACAAATTTGGGAGATGGAGCTTGGGAGGATGATTTACGCCTAATCAAAAACCTTGTCAGCAACGACCCTGTCGAATCGAAAGCCTGGGGCCCGCGGCGGGTATGCAGACTAAGCGATTGATCAATGACGACTCCCAACCAACTCCCAATTATCTCGAGAGGCCAAGAAAGCCCAACCTTGCGAAGTCGTGCCTCCTGTCGCTCGCCAAGCCTGAGAAGACACTTTCCCCCGCTCCAACGGCTCGCACTCTCCTGACCTCCCAAGCCTCTCTCGCTACACAATAACTCTAACATCTGCGACGGTCTCACCACGCTTGGCGACACACGAGGCCTCCATTTCCCTTGGCCCCACCCTCTCGCCAGAGAGCCAAGACTCGAACCTTGAGCCAGCCGGAACGGTACAGCGCAAGATATCCATAACGCACAAGCAGCCCTTTCCCCAGGAGGCAAATGCTCTGAGCTAGAAGTGGCTCATCGAAGCTCTCAAAGGACAGCCCTTCTCCCCACGAGATGCATATGCTCTTCACTGCGCAACACCGCCCTTACGAAGCTCGACTAGTCACTGGTGCGCCGCCGAGAGTCTGCTGTGACGCCATTGTGGTTCTCGACAACAGATGCACGAATATCATCCGATTCCACGAAACGCTCCATTGAACGACCAGCTCACAAGGTCCGCCGTTTTGCAAACATTTGCCTTTCAACACCGCGAAGAGTACGAGGCTGAGGAATTGCAAATTCCCACGAAAACTTTCCAATCCAACGTTCGGGATTTTTTATTTGTTCAATCTTCAACATGTCTGGAAGAAAACTCATGTCGTTGGAGGCTGCGATGGAAGAGGAGCGGCTGCAGATCGAGGCGCTGCTGTCGCAACCAACCTCGCGAGGTCCGCCTTCGATAGGACGCTCTCCTTCGCCATTCATGAGCCCGCGCTCGCCTGTCCGGAGCATGCTGGATGTGGGTGGCCCATCCTCCACCAGAAAGAGCCCCCCTCAAGTCCGTAGCATGCTCGATGTCGACAGTACAGCTGCGCCTACGACTAGATCTCCAGGCGTGGCAAGTGCTCAGACATCACCGATCTTATCTACACGCCGTATAGTGCCGGTACCGTCTGGCGACATTCACCACAGGAGCATGTCAGACGCTTCCGCGAAGCCTGTATATACTGATCTACTTGGCCCACGCTCGCCACCGCTTCCACGAGATCGCAACGTGGACCTCACCACTGACTACAAATTTTCTGATATCTACGCGACCAATGTGGGCCAGGCTTTGCCAGGAAATCGGCGTGCGCCTGGTACCCAGCACCGCTCAGGCTCCATTGGGGAAGCTCTAAGAGGAGCCGACCTTTCAAACATTGTCCTGCCGGGCGACCATGGGAGGACATCGTTCTTGAGAGGAAACAGCAAGTCCAAGTCACCGCATAACCGCCTCAATCTGCGCTCCAACTCGCCTCATTCCAATCTGCTCGGAGCGTCCTCGGCCCGTGTCCGAGATGACGGCACCATTACTCTCGAGGACGGTTCAGTCATTGACAAGAACAGTGCATATCGCAGGCTCTCGGACGCAAATTTGGTATTTGGCGGCTCAAGTCTGTCCTCGCTGCCTCGAAAGAAATCGGACCGAGAAGGCCATGGGCGCATAGAGAAGTCCAACATGAGCCCATATGGAGAGATCTTGACCGATGATAGTGACGATGACGTGGTCAACTCTTCGGATGAGGAAGATCATAGAGGCAGAAAACTCACCACAAGAGCTGACAGCCGTGGCACAAACAATCCAGACAGAGCTGCGAAGAGTTTGCTGGCCGCCGCGGAAGACGAACGTAAGTTGCTTGTTCGAGCACACCCTTGAAGCCGCTAACACAACATCAGGTAAACACATTGCGTCGCAGCCTCAGTACAGATCTCTCCTGGACCCGGAAATCACCGTGACCAGTCCGAACGGAGAGAAGGCCAGGAGGTCTGGTAAACGCTCAATACAGCCGTCTACGAGCTTTGACCAGGATCCTCCCACGCGAGCGCCTACGCCAGATCCGAATGCAGACCAAGACGATCAAGACGTGAATGCTATCAAACGTGCGCAGGACCTTGGGATATCGTCAACGCCCATCATATCTACTCCTGAAGTACACAGATCAATCCGCATTCTCTATCGAGGCGAATTCTCGAGAATACAGCAGCATGCCGTGGAGGAGCATCGACGACTGCGCAAATACCTCGTGGCCATGGATTTGAGTGATGAGTCTACTCATGCACTCGAATGGGCTGTAGGCACGGTGCTCCGCGATGGAGACACGCTTATAGCCTTCTACTGTATGGACGAGGAAGCTAGTGGCTCCATCGACGCAGGATCACAGATACCGGACGATCCCAAGTCGATGCGAGAGCAAGCGGCAGTGGTCAACTCATTAGCCAAAAGCACCAAGCCACCTTTGACGGGCACTCCGAATCCTTTCAACCTGAGTCGGACATCCATGTCTCCACGCGTCCGTGCTGCGGAGGCTGGTAGCAACACGCCCTCACCTGCGCCTTCGAGAGGCAAATCGAAGTTGGAGGAGGAGCGGGAAAGAGCGGTTCAAGACGTCACGGACCGGGTGGCTAAGCTTCTGAGGAAGACGCAACTGGAAGTTCGCGTCATCATCGAGTGCATTCACTGCAAGAATCCAAAGCATCTGATTACGGAAGTGATAGATCTTGTCAGCCCAACGCTGGTCATTTTGGGAAGCCGCGGCCGGAGCGCCCTTAAGGGGTAAGTAAAATTGTTGGGTAGATATGAATGTTACTGACTGTGCGCTAGGACGCTTCTGGGCTCTTTCAGCAATTACCTCGTCACTAAGAGTTCTGCCCCTGTAATGGTGGCTCGAAAGCGACTACGCAAGAAGAGCAAGTACCAAGCACCGCCCAGGCAGATTAATAACCTTTCGAACCCATCTGCCCGAAGTCTGGAGACGGCCCGGATCGATTAGTACTTCGGGAAGGAAAGCCCTTGAAGAAAAAGAACTGATCCTAGCCTGGGGGAGAAGGGGGGGGAGAAGAACAAAAAAAGTTGCAAGGCTCAAAAGACTTATATAATCACTACATCGTGATAGATCAGGATTTTTACGGACCGCATAATTCTGGGGCGTAGGAATCTCTATTACCTACATGACTTGGGGCCTGGAGAGATTGTTATGACTGAATGTTTATCAACTGTCGTTTTGCTCTTTTTCACCTTTTGCATAGGCGAGTTTCATGATACGAGAAACATTAGCGAAAAGAACGCAACAGGGGGCCACAGTACAGGAACGAGGAGCTCAATTTTGTCCAGTTTGTGCTGTCTAAACAAAACAAGTAAATAGTGCTTAGAAGCGTGTTTGTAGCATTCTAAATATGTGGTTCACATGAAATGGAACGACTTGAGCGTTTGCACGACGTCCATGGCAAGTTGCGACAATATCTGTGGCCTGGCTGAGTACTGATAGGCCGTATATTAAATTAAGTAGCTACCTGACGGGTGAAGTTAGGTAGGTGGGTACTAGACTAGTAGATACCTCTGATTGAGAGGGGGACGAGAAGAAAAGCATGATAGCGACGTCCACCCCAGGATTGCGGAATGTTTATATTCCTCGTCCCATGACCAGATGGGCTGCAGATTTGTAAACAAAAGCTGGCGGCATGGGGATTTGATTGGCCAACCACGTCGACCTAGTTGCATTGACGGGCGTTGACGATGGGGCCTAACCAGACCGACAATCCAATTGCGGGGTGATAAGATACGGCCATGAGCATGATGGTGAATGAATGAGACGACGGCATTGGTCGGTCGCGGGGTTAGTTTGTTCCCACTTGGAGACGTGTCTAGCGCTCCCGCATCGCGTTTTTGAGAATGAAGTGCTTGCATTGACAGGGAAGGGGATTATGGTTAGGTATGGTGTGGTGAGTGAGTGAGTGAGTGAGTGAGTGGGTATGTATGTTACGTATGGGTGGGAAAGCTAGAGGGACCATCTCAGCAGTCTTTGCCTGGACGAAAACGCAGATAAGAAGCTACATACACGTCTATCACAGATCGGAAGTTCGAGTGCAGTGTTAAACCGATGGGCCATGTTTCGCAACCTACCTGACTGGAGAGAGAGTTGAAGAGCCGATCTTGAGCAGCCTCATCAATCAAGTCTCACCTTAACCATACCATTTCTGGCGGTAATCTGTATGCGACCACCCCGCCAGCGCAGGCAGTTGCGGGCCAGGAACAAGCAATACCGCTGCCCTTGGAAATTCCCACGGAAGGCGCACGGGCTGAACCTACTCATCCCTAACAGGCCTAGCCTCTTGCTACCCGCCTGACAATTGGCTGTTTGGTCTCGAGAGAGTCACACTAGACTGCGACAAGACAAAGCTCCCCCCCACCGTTCTGGCCGCCACCCCCGTCTGGGTCCCCCCCCAACCTCTCTCTATTTCAGTTGACGGGCGCATTTACTTTCACATATTCCACACTCGATAGAGACCTCGCTGCTACCTCTTGGAAAACTTGCGCAAATCACACCGCATAGAAGATCATCGCACATACTCCTCAAGAACTGTGTCACTTTGTCTTGGCTTCGACGGTTTTGATAATCAAACTATTGAGAGTTGAGGTAGAGAGAGCGTGTGTGTGTCCGTGTGTGAGATCAGAGAGAGAGAGAGAGAGAGAGAGAGAGAGACTGGGACTTTATTCGACGTTCGTCTTCCCCTCTGCGTCCCGAGATTGGATTGGACTGGACTGGACTTATAGGCGTCTGGAATTGGGCTTATACCTATCAGGGCCTTATCAGTACGGGTTGCCATACTCATACTCGATACGATACATACCTACTCAATCGAATAGAATCAATACCTGCCCTCCATTACCCTCGTGCGAACCCTTGCCGACGGTTCGAACTTTACGAGAGTTCGCTATTCCATGCCTCTAATCGCCGTGCACAATCACGTCGCACTATTTCACATCAATATTGCCCCGAGTACCTTTATCGCATCCTTCACCCTGTCGCTGTTCTTCTTCTTTGCCTATCTCGTCATATCTGGTTTCGTTGCGCCGCTTCGATTCCCCAGTCTGAATCCGTTGCCGCGAATATTCAGACCAAAACCCGCCATTGCGACTGCGCCGGCGTCTCTAGAGACGGACCTCGTCGCATTGCCCGACATCTATTGGCGGAGCCATAAGGCATTACCAGCGTTGCCGCAGCAGGAGAGACCGCTCCTGCAATTGACCGACTACGAGCACAACTTGTCGCATTCACCGTCGCCCCTTCAGTCGCCTGGTCGCAACAGCTTGCGATCATTCTTCTCAAGCAGCCGTCGCACAAGCAGCCTCAGCAACAAGGCCTACTCCCCTGGCGACAGAAACAAACATCGGAGCAGTACAAGTATAGAGATAACAGAGCTCGGCGTGGACGAGACAACACCAACAGAGGATGACAGCCTACCACAAGCAACACGACCTAAATCATCTGGACGCGTCGCTCGACGACTTCCGCGCTCCGTTGACCCCGCCGCCGACGCTGCCGCCGTCCTTCGTCCGCTACCCATCGGCTCGCTCGGGGTTCGCAGCGTCGTGCCAGTCGTCGCAAGCCATAAGCGACGGTCTTCCCGGAGAGGAGGAGGTGAGAGAGGCCATGATGGACGGGAACGCCAGCGATCTGTCTTCAGTCTCAAACGGTGGCTACAGCCCACCAGCCTGGAGAAGGCTCGAAAACGGTAATCGCAGCTCCGGTTTCTGGAGGCGCAACGACAACCTGCTAGGCCTGGGCATGGGCATGGGCATGGGCATGGGCATGGGCACGGATAGAGGATATGGTGGCGCCAGTCCTATGGGTGACTACTTCGAAGATAGATATAGGAGTCATGAGAGATATATGAGCCACGGTGTGCAGGAGGACGAAGAAGGCGACCATGTTCTCGAGCAGGCGATTAGGACTCGTCTGCCTACCGGGTCGCTAAGTCCTGAAAAGGGTCGCACGCCGGAACCTGGATTGCGCGGCCATGGCGAAGACGATGACGAAGGCGATGGCGACGGCGAAGGCGACGATGACGACGAAACGTTGGTCAAGATGAAGAGTTTATCGGCAAGTCCAGTCAAGGTCAAACGGGAAGTGGACGATATGAAGCGCGGCAGTGTGTTGGCGTCCATGTCGCCCGAGGCCACAAGGAGAGACAATTGTAAGCTTGACCTGAGAAACAAAAGACTCCTAAAACAAACTAAATGCTAAATGCCCTAGACATCCGGTTTGCAGTTCGCGCAGACATCCAGCAACGTACAGAACCCATCGAGACTGCAATTACTTTTGTGCGGTCAAAAGTGCGGGCTATTACAAAGTCTTGGGCCAACATCATACTGGCAACGTTAGTTGCTTTACTTTCGGTGTCTACGATTCGCTCGCTCTTCCAGCCAGCATCACAGCGACCAGTACCGGACTTGGTCAAGGTCGCCGGAATAGCGCGCTCGTTCGAGCCGCTGATCTATTACTCCGAGAATGGCGTATCACAAGTCGGTGATCTGCAAGCTACCGGCGTTGCTGTCTGGGATCTTGGCGAGAGTGTGCGCAGCTCTAATATGACGAGCGCACCACTCATCGTGCGGTCTCTCGATGAGTTATCCGACTCACTCAAGACGCTGGCCATCGAGCTCACCAAGTTCTTTGCAAACGTCGATGGAGATATTGATGGGATACTAATCGTCATGGATTGGGCAAGGCGGGAATTGACACAGCTTCAGGGCCAACCAAGCCCGCCGCTAGCGACAGCCTGGGCCAACATACACAACATCCTATGCGACGCCGGTCTGCTCGAAAACCCGACGACTGGCACGCCAACAAAATTAGGGGCCATCGCGACGACCGTGTTTGGCATGAGTCAACCGCAGCGCACCCGCTCGACACTGCAGCGCACATTCACGGAGTTTCTGGCGGTGCTTGAGGAAGCTATCAACAACGAGCTGCAGCACAGTCTGGCACTCTTCGGGCTCTTCGAAGCCATCGACCGCCAGTTCTTAAACCTTGCCCGCATCGTAGTCCGTGAGTCATCCCTGCAAGAAGACCGCCATGCCGACGACCTGTCGAGTCTCTGGACTCGCATCCTAGGCCCCAAGGCCAGCGAGGTCAACAAGTACGAACGCAACCGGCAGCTACTACGGAACGTGCGGGAGAAGACCGTGTTCAATAAAGGCATCCTGGTCGAGCACAACGGTAGGCTGCTGACCCTAAAGGCAAATCTCGAGAGTTTGAGGAGGAAGCTCGTATCGCCGCTGGTGAGGAGTGTGAACTCGAGCACCTTGAGCGTCACAGAGCAGGTCAGGGGATTGGAAGACGTCGGGATCTACCTCGAGGGCGTCCGGGCGAGACAGAAGGGCAAGCTCATGGAAATGCTCTACGGAAGCGTACGGCCAAACCAGCAGGTCGGCGGCGGACGAGCAGGGATGATCGACGAGGGCAGATGGTAGTTCGTACGCAAGAGGTGGACACATCTGCCCACGATGCTAAGCGTGCAATTCTAGGATTTGGTGGTTCTGTTTGGAGTTTTGGAAGGTTCAACGGCTGGATGGAACGGGAGTGCATGTACCAATGACATCATGTATGGGTTGTTCTGGGCAAAAATACGGGTTACCGTACCCCCTCAACCCCCAAGGCGCCACGGCAGCTTCGAAAGCTAAACGGATGATACCGGAGGCATAAGCCATGGAGGCAATCGGCGTTTCGCATAGGCATAATTGTTGGTAAGTCATTCATAGACCGCACGCACGGGAGGGCGTCATGGGCGTTCTTGGTGTTGACTGCTTGTGCAGGTTCTTTTTATTCTAAATTTCTTTTTGATTATTTTTCAAATTTCTCGCAAGGTAGCACTCAGATATCGGAAACTGAGATGCGTATATACACAAGGACGCGCGAAGGACCAGGGGCATGTATTAGGTAGTTCGAATAGAGTGTACGCCGTCTTCGGATCCACATTCACAGGAAACATGGCAAACCACAAGTTTTGCATGCCCAGTCGTGTCACGGGAATCCTCGGAGATGTTGTCTTCAGCCATGGGAGAATTTAGAAGGGCTTGCCCCACGCGTGGCAGGTGGTTCACCGCCGCGGACTCCTTTTAGACGATATCTCTCTGCTGCCACCTCCCCAGGCCGAGAGCCGCGTAGGTCCGCGCGTTTGTTCATCACTGGCTCTTTGGGCATGCGGTCATGTAGTGGTGGGCACGAAAGTCAGCGGCGGGGCATAACCGTCTTGATACCTGGGTGGCTAGACCTCATTAGTGTAGCACGGGAATATCTAATAAAAACAAGAATAACAAAACTTTTAAGTCCAATGGCTTTCGAGTTTGGTCACGACAGGGCAGCCAGTGGTATAATATAGGCTAAAATGGGTTTAGCCGTAGTTGAGAAGTGAATGCTTTGAGTTACGCGGTTCTCGGTTATGCGAAACCACTTTTTTTTATTTTTTAATCTTTTCTTTTTTCTTTTTCTTTCTTTTTCTTTTTCTTTTTGCTTTCGGTATGCACAGCTTTGGCGACGTGGCCTTTTGTTCAGCCAGAATCCTTTAATTAATTGCATCGGGATAGAACCGGATCAACGTGCGGCAAGGGAAAGCCATATTCATCTGGAGACTGACGGAAGAAACGAGACATCGCGATTCGGACTCAGGCAGTCGTCAGAGATGAGGGAAAGAAACCTAGATCACGGTCACAGGTAGTTAGATGTTGTGGGGTTCCCTTCGATGGAAGTATGTAGAGTGATTAACCGATCGGCACGACTCTGCGTCTGGAAACACTGCCCTCGCGCGGTCACACTTTGGAAGTCATAGCTAACTAGCCGGAAGTTGGCAGCGTTGTTGGTGTTGAATCACTAATACCTCCCATTCGTCATGTCAACCAGGTGTGAAATAACAGACTGAGAACGGCATGGTTGGGTGAAAAGGGCTTCATCGTACGTGGCGGGACAATGGGCATAGGAAACAATATAAGTTTGACAAGTCATGAGCCCAACCCCGTCGAAATCAGAATGAATACACTCAGGAGTAGCATCAAACGGTATCTTCGTTTCGTATCGTGATATGCTCCGATATGTTATTTGGTTCACTAATCTAAGTAGAAGAAGTATATACACATATGATTGATAACAAGGCCAATCGTTAACAGAAACTAATACCGGTATCGTTGCGTTTGCAGCATCTTATATTTTTGCCGTGTAACCAGGACGCCTCAAAATGCCGTATACTTTACATGCGGTTATGATGCTTGCTGTGCTGCCACTTTGCCACCTCGATGACCTCTGCCCCTGCCTCTAGAGGTCGTGGTTGGCGGTGCATGCTCGGTGTTGGAAGCTGTCGCACCGTTCTGATCTTTGGCAGGCCCAGCTTTCGGCTTACCACCACGCCCTTTGCGAGCGCCACCATGCTTCTTCTCGCCCTTGCTTTTGTCGCGACTTTGCCGCACTGCTTCTTCATCTTGTATGCGACGAGTCTCGGCATCCCACCATTCCTGGAATGCCTGCTCCTGTTGGATCTCCTCTAGGTTGCGCTTCGCCACTGCCTCTTTCACGCTTTCCTGCTCACGTTTTTCCTGATCGATAATATCCGCCAAACCCAACCCAATGAGACTTCCAACTAGCTTTTGTGGCTTCTGGATGTATGATTTTGAATGTGGCGTCAAGGGCTTAGCATCAGGCCGGACTGGCTGAGCCGAAGAAGACTGGGATGGTGAGGACGTGGTCGGAATTGAACCACTATTTACTCGACTTGGATCTGCGCGAGGAGTACCAGACCCCGATCGAGTCTGTCCCGAGAATCTAGTGTCGGGAGATGCAGCTCGTCGTGGAATAGAGATCCCCGATGCCTCCGCTGCAACAAGAGGCTTCGCGCCAGGTGGTGCGAGCGTTGACTTGGCGTCTGGGTTCATCGTTGCTTTGAACGAAGCCTGTGGAACGGTAGGGGTGGCCTTCCATGGCACGCTCTTCTTTTCCCCCACTTGTGTCCAAGCAGCTTGTGGCTTCTGTACTGTCAATGCTTCTTGCCTAGCAGCCTCATCCGCTTGCTGTTGCAAGAACTTCTTCCTTTCCTTCTGTGACATCCTCGGAGGTGCAACCTTGGCAGCTTGGCTTTTCTCTGCGGCCAGACCAGCAGAGAGGGCTGATTGTGTTGGCTTAGACTCTGCCATGATATCCCTAAGGTCTAGACGCGTTGTCGACAACGCTGCAGGGGCCCAAGGACTACCTCCGTGGGATACTCGTCTGCCCTCAACCGCGGCACCGGCTGGAGTGGTGCTTGGAGTAGCTCTGCCTGCCGGAGAGCTCGTGAAGGGAGCCTGTGGGCTTCTTCCTCCTTTGCCCTTTGGATTGCTCCAAGCTTCTTCGAGTGATGGAAGCTGATCAAGCTCGTCTTTAAGTGATGGGTCCAGGGGACGCGGCGGTGAAGACGGACTCGCCACACTCGACCCTTCTTCTTCCATATCGAAGATGAGATCGGCTTTGGAAGCCATCGGCCGAAGCGCTGGACTGAAAGGTTCATTTCGACCGGCCTTCGACTTCCGCCTGTTTCTATCAAAGGAGGGTGATTCAGCGGTCAAGTCGTCCACACTGCCAAACTTCGTTTTAAATGAAGATGAAAGCTTCTTTTCGTCATCTCTGGCAATCGTCCTGTAGGCTATTGCCTTCACTCGAATCTGCCTCTCTTCCTCAATATCTTCAGCTAGTAAAGGATACCTCTCATGCAGGAGCAGATCCGCTCTTCCACTTTTGGCGAAAGGGCATCGTGCGAGCTGGTTGTCCCTGACTATCTGGTCAAGCTCGAACAATAGATCTTCGTCTAGATTGTCAAGGAGACTAGTAAATTGTTAGTGGCAAGGTCATCTCTACAGGTTGTGGGTCAGGCAGCTTTCTGCGTTGCCATAGAATCCGAGATGAATCCAGCAACGAACTAAAACTTACTGATTCTCGAGCATTGTTTCCATCTGTAAGCAGATATACTCCAGTCCTTTGTCCTTGAACTCTGTAACTGAGCAGGAGCTCATCAAATTCAGTAGCACCGAAACGTTTCGAGTGGTCACTTGTACAGTCAGTGATAGTCCGATAGCGGGTGGATAAGAGTACTAACCAAAGCGGCCAAGGGCGTGTTGGCATATTTGTGCCAGACGGTCGAGCATTAGCTCATTGGCAATGCTCATCACGTCCATGACAAGCTCCGAGAAATCATCGATACTGTCGGCAACTACATCATCAAAAAGCTCCTCGCCTACGTCCGCATATAGATACTGCAGGACAAAGTGAAAGGATTCCGGATCAAAGTGCTTCAGATCTATAGGAGTCTTCTCGGAGGCTTCTTGACCAGCACGGCGGCTGGCTAACCACATGCCGCCAGAACGACCATTGAAAAGACCTTGGAACCAAGGACACCTCTGGCAAAGCAAGGAGCTATGAGCGGGAATTTCGTCACCATCCAGTTCGAGCAGCGCATCTCCATCTTCAAAGAACGCAGGATCTTCGATAGCCTTTCTGAAGTCCTGGTCCAAAGACTTCGCTGGCGTGCTTTGAATCCTGACGTAATGCTCAAGCTTAGCCATGCCGAGTTTACCAGCGACATTCATCAAATCCGTGCGGATCTGTCGGTATCGGTAAGCAAGGGGCGGCGACTGCCGCGTAAAATTCCACGCAGGAATCACCCTGTCAATATATGCGTAGACCACGATATTCAATAGTGCAATCAGATCGATGCCCGAGAATTCAATGACGGTAGAACCGCCCGACTGCGAGATCGAAAGTAGGTCCGGTATGTCATAGCTGCCAGTCTCGCGGAATCGTTGAAGGCCAGCACGGATGACGTGGCTCCGTGCTGTCAAAAGCCAGGAGTGCACTGGAATCTGTAGACCGCGTGCCGAACTCGTGCAGACAACCAACCCCAAAGGCTCATTCTTGAAATTCCAGCTTTGAAGATGAGTCGCTAAATCCTCCTCAAGATCCGTGCATGTCAATATCTCATAGCCGAGACTATCAACACGACCTTTCAGCACTTCGGGATTCTGAAACTTCCAAGTATCTTTGTTCTCACGTAAGCGCGGATTTGCTGCCTTAAATCCACGCAAAACACATAACGGAGCTAGGTCATGCCAGAGGTTCTGATCGTCTACTTCAATCTGGTTGCGGGTGACATCACAATCTTTGCGTATCGCAGCATAAGCACCAAACATGGAACTGCGGACGCCGACGACCCCAGTAATATATGGCACACGCTGGAACTTGAAATCGTTGCGCTTCTTGTCTATTTGCATAGATTTGGTGTCTTTCGCCTTGACACGTTTGACCCGGCGCCAGACAGCTCCGGATTGCGTTGAGATCATAAGCGTACCATTCTCGCCGATTGTGACGGATTTTGCACCATCCTTCCTCGAATTCCAGAGAAGTTGAGGAGTGGTTACAGCATCTTTGATTTTGGCTGGATTGGTTGTTGATGTGGCTGGCAAGTTGCCGTCAGCCTTATGGTTCAAGCTCATGGTGAACAAATCACCGCTTCCTGTCAAAGCCGCAATCGTCTCGCCACCAGAAGTGATGGAGTGTATTTCGCGACGACCAGTGTCATAACGCACAGACATGGACAGTTTGCCGGAACTCTGGAGGGGAGAGTTGGTGAAACTGTCGTGAAAAGGAAACTTGATCATGTTATAGCCGTAATTGGTAAAGACGCACACAGTGCGGTCCTCAAATAATACCGTTGTCGCCCTGTCAATCGCGGAAACCATTATAATGGATGAATGGGTCGATAAAAGTGATGCTGCCACCCTTCTAGGAACGGATTGAACCTCCAAGGACCTAGAATCTGCGTCCATGAGAGCTAGCTGACCGGCATTCTTGCCCCAACAATAGAGTGCAGATCCCGTGTGAGCCACGGAATGAATGGCTGAAGCGGCGATGCCAACGATGAACTCCTTTTTCAATGGTCCAAAAACTTGGCGTGGCGTGGTGCTAATGGGTTCTTCGTCCGGTTTCGATGGAGGAGGAAGTGCGTATCCAAGTTGCGACAGACTGTTTGAACCCCAAGTCCACAGCTCCCCATTGCTAGTGACTGCCATGGAGTGGTTCAAACCGAGCGCGATTTGGGTGACCTTCTTATCAAGAAGGCCATTCTGCACCGGTTTAAAGGTAAATTGGGCATTCTCATCGCCCAGACCGAGTCGCCCACCACGTCCTACACCACAAATATACAAATTCGAGATCGGGTCTGTGGTCAGGATTGCTGTATGTAGTTTGCCCATGATTACGTCCTGAACCATCAAAGGCCGGTTTTGAATCAAGACAGGTACCTCGAGTAGATCAGAGGAAAGCGAATCCTCCATAGTCGGGTGCTTTTTTCGTTGTTCGCAAAACCTTTCGTAGAAGTAACGGATCAGGTGATCCGGACGCTTAAGATGGACACGCTCCGGATACTGTCGATCGTCTTCATCACCCAGTCCTAGTGACATGTTTCTGTTGCTTCCAAACGTGAATACCTCCTCACCGAGGCCATGCATCTTCGAAGAATGACCACCGTGTTCATCATTATCGCCAGCGTCGTCGGCACCAGAGTCTGAATCCGAGTCTGAATCGTCTCCCGCCATCCTTAGCTGACGTAATGCGATCGAGGCATTGTAGACATCGAAAGGACTGTTGCCCTCGTTATCCTTGGTTTTGATGAGCTGTCCGATCTTGGTCGTGGTGTTCAGGCCTACGGACTCGGTCAAGTCCCTGCGCTCCTTCTCCAGTAGCAATCTTGCGACAGATATGTTCCCGTTGTAGAGGGCCCGGTGTAGTGCATTCCAGCCGCTTTCCGGGTCTTGCGCATAAAGGTCGATCGCAGGATGGTCGAGGAGGGCTTCAATGAAGGCTGTCGCATCGGCGGATGTCGAGGAAGCAGCGCGCAACAAGATGGTCAGACCGGCATGGTCACGACTGTTGACATCTGCCTTGGAGAGAGCACTCGCGCCATGCGCAGAGATCTTGCGAGACCTTGCAGCGACTCGTGGCGAAATACCGAATGCGCCGGGACTTCCTACTCCCTGGCCAGGACTCCTGGTCGAATAGGGACTATGGGAATGACCGGCCGGAGCCAGTAGCCGACAAAACCTGTCGACATCATTTTCCCAGTAGTATTTCCAGAGTAGATGACTCATGTGTAGCAGACGCGGGTGTCACAAAGCACTTCAGATAGCACCTCGCTGGAGCCTCGAAAATCGGGCTACGGCTTGTTTAAAGGTGCAGGAATGAAGCGCTTTTGACGGCAAAGGGGAGAATCCAGGGGGAACCGCTGGATGGTATGATGTGCTGGGTTCCTTTGTTGGCTCAGGCGTTGTGGCGATGGTGATTCAAGTGCGGGCGGATTCCAGGAGATAAGCTTCGGGTCTAAGATGACGTTGATGCGCTCTGAGACTGGATCAGCTCTGGGCGTCTTTTGATTTGCTGTACAGGTGTCTGGTCAGTTAGATGGGCCTTGACAATCGTGCGGCTGTATGCTATCTCGGCGTGCGATGATTCTTCAAGAGGGGCAGCAGGACAGGAGTAAAAGATCAGGACTTGGTGTCGTAATTGAAGCTGTCGCCTCTGTGCGCGTGCCGGCCCTTGGTGTCGAGATACGGGCGATCTAGGGTAGCTGTCTGGCCAATGGGAGCCGTGGACAGCGGCATGGGGTGCTTTCCATCCTTCTCAAGACCCGTGCAGCCTGGAAAGCTTCTGGCCTTGTCCAAGTTGCATGCCAGCATGGGTGTGCGTGCCCAAGGCGACCAAGACCTAATTCTCATGACCAGCGCCAACATCATCATACTTTATTACGCTGCCAGACCTCGTTGCGAATCTGTGCCTGCTGGTTGGTTGCTTGGCTGGATGACTTCACATGCTCTCAGCGAGCTATAGAGAGCACCCCCGCTGGCCGCTTCAGCAACGCTTGTTGTGCATGGAAGACATGCCTATCAATTGTGGGGGAGAAGATCCATCCGTTCGCATAGACCAAGACCAAGACCCAGGACGGGTGAGCTGCAGTCTTGGTGACGAATGGGGATAGCTACCGAGTCAAGAAAAGTATACCTTTCTCGACCAGCACAACACAGGGCTTCCATGCGAAGTGGTGATACCGTAAATAAATCCATGCTGTGCCATTTACCGCGAGGAAGCAATCTCCATGCGAACGAGCATGTTCACGTACTGTATTGTAAAGAGGTGGCTGTGCCAGGACATTCCGTGTGCTTGTGCCCAGGTACCAGTCAATAGTCTTCATCTTTTTCTCTCTTTTCCTCTCCGCCAAATCATGTATCATTCGCGCCTCGAGCGTCCTCAGTCAGCACTTGCAATAAATCATTGCTGTTGTTAGTGGTCTATGTGTTTGGCATATAAAGTGGCCATCACCAGGATAAGCATTCACACGCCGGCTTATCGCTATCAATGTGGGGGATTTGGATATGGATTTTGGCTTTGGATTTCAATCCGATACACGGAGGATGTGGGGATAGCGGCGGCTCATTTTTGGTGGTGTTATGTAACTGCGCTCAATTGAATTTCGGCCATTTCACATCCGCGCAACGCTCTCAAAGTTACGCTCAAAGGTACCTGCATCAGCCCTTACAAGAAACTTTGGCAATCGCAGTCGCCGACTCTAACGCATTTTACTGTAGACCCAAATATCCGCCAAGATGACCGACGCGAGGCCTCTTCCCTTCCACTACCAGTTCGCTGCTGGTAAGTGCGACTCCCAGCACCGCTCGTATGATCACGCGATGCTAATAGCACAATTCTAGGCGCGGTTGCTGGTGTTTCTGAGGTCAGTGGTTCGGCTTCAAGGTCGCACAAATCGCTAACCTGCGGCAATTCAATAGATTCTGGTTATGTGAGTTCTCTGACGTGTCCTGTCCTCTTGCGTTTTTCCCCATGACTGACTGTCGCCTAGGTACCCGCTTGACGTGGTCAAGACCCGAGTGTTTGTCCACCCGTCTCACGAATCCCACCCGCAGCATCTCACAGGACTATAGGCAGCTTCAGACCGGTGTTGGAACAGGCGCAGACTCCTACAATGGCATGCTGGATTGCTTCAGAAAGATTGTCAAGCACGAGGGGTAAGATCTCACAGCGAGGGATAAAAGGACGTATGTATGCTGACGTGGCCAAAAAGTGCCTCGAGGCTCTACAGAGGCATCACTGCTCCCATTCTGATGGAAGCCCCCAAGCGTGCAACCAAGTTCGCCGCCAACGACTCATGGGGAAAGTTCTACCGGGATCTCTTCGGTGTGCAGAAGATGACCCAGGGCTTGTCTGTGTTGACTGGCGCCTCTGCTGGTGCCACCGAGGCATTCGTTGTTGTGCCCTTCGAGCTGGGTATGTTGACTGAAGTCGTTGCCCCGAATTTCTCAAGACCACGAGGCGGGACGAGCAACTACACGCAATTCTTTAGGTCGTCCAGGCGTGAGCTAACAATTGCCCAGTCAAGATTCGTCTACAGAACAAGGCCTCTGCTCACCTCTACAGCGGTCCTTTGGACGTCGTGAAGAAGACAATCGCCAATGAAGGTATTTTGGCGCTATACAACGGTTTGGAGAGCACCTTGTGGAGACACATTCTCTGGAACGCCGGTTACTTCGGATGTATCTTCCAGGTCCGCTCATTGCTTCCTGCCGCCGAAACCAAGAAGGCCCAGATCACAAACGACATTATTGCCGGTAGCATTGGTGGCACTGTCGGTACCATCGTGAACACCCCTATGGATGTCGTCAAGTATGTTCCAGTCCTTATTCCTTCAATCCCATCTCCTGCCTGTAAAAACACTTGGCAATACACTTTTACACTTTGATTATTACTCGCACGTACGACAGCTACTAACCTTTATGCAAGGTCCCGAATTCAGAACAGCCCCAAGGTCGCTGGCGCTGTGCCCAAGTACAACTGGGCATGGCCAGCCGTCGGAACTGTGATGAAGGAGGAAGGTTTCGCTGCGCTGTACAAGGGTTTCTTGCCAAAGGTCTTGAGACTTGGACCCGGTGGTGGTATTCTTCTCGTCGTTTACACTGGTGTCATGGTAAGTGACGAGCATGTTTGGACAGTTGAATGATGATATGCTAATACCCAGTACAGGATTTCTTCCGTAAGGTTCACTACGGCACAGCTTAAGCTAAGATTCTAGAACTCCCTATACCCTTGCCTAGACGGTTGGTGTTTTTAGATCTTTCTCGTTCATAGAAACGAATCCATGCACATATTTACAAACCTTTTGGCAACCATTCCTTTCTGATTTGCATCAGTGAACTGTGATTGCATGAGAAGTTTCATATTCCCATAACACGGATGGCTACGCTAGGCGAGCTTCTCTGCCAAGGTAACTTGAAGTCGTGTGCTTGACCTTCGTATGTGGGGCCCAACGAATTTGGCCTGGAGTATCCTTGATTGAGAAGAGAAGAGAACCTCATCTGTTCGGTCTGGCTTCAACCGAATTGCGTCACAACTCCGCATCAAGCTTTAACCAGCACTTTACCCGGCATTTTACTCCAAGATCCCCGGATGCGGGGATTGTGGAGAGTTGGAGAACTATTGGTAGGTACGCAGTATACATCGTCAACAGATCCGGCCAATATGTTTCAACCACCCAGGCCAAAGCTTTTTATTGTTACAGCGCAACTGCTCGTTACACCGAACGTTTCAGAATGATGAAGAGTATTGGATTGGCAGCGTCAGTGGTATTGCCAGCTTTGACGACATCGGGACTTGCACATTCTAACAACTCGACATACTATAATCCTATCCTTCCGGGCTTCCACCCTGATCCGAGTTGCATTTTCGTGCCTGAGTGGAACGACACGTTCTTCTGCGCATCATCAAGTTTCAATGCCTTTCCGGGCATCCCAATCCACGCCTCTAGGGACTTGCAGAACTGGAAGCTAATCGGTAGATGACACCAATGAGAAACATGATGCGGCATGTTGACCAATAGGGCAGGGCATGTATTGAACCGGAAAGGGCAACTTCCTCGACTGGCAGAGACAAACCGCTCGACTAGGTGAGTTAACACAACTTTCTTGGTGCGCCGGACATCCATACTGAAAGGGCGACAGCGGCATATGGGCACCAGCCCTACGTTTCAATCAAGGCACATTTTACTTGGTTACGACTTTGGTCGACGATGACCGTGCAGCAGATGATGATTCGAGATGGGACAACGTAAGCATGGGAATCAAGATATTGCGGGTCTTCGTTATTTTGTTGACAACGTGCCTCAGATAATATTCACGACTGAGGATCCATACAAACCCTCGTCATGGACAAATGCTGTTCACTTTGACTTCGTTGGATATGATACGTCACCGTTCTGGGACTTGGACGGGAAAGTATATATCACGGGATCGCATGCATATAAGATTTCGTAAGTTTTACCCTGCAACCGCTCCCTAGTAATGCACCTCACCTGGCTGTAGGCCAGGCATCTGGCAAGCGGAAGCGAACCTCGATACTGGTGAAGTGGGGGATTGGATCGACATTTGGAACGGAACGGGTGGTCTTGTAAGTTACGCCGCTCTATGACTCATTGCAAAGCACACAACAATGCTCAAATCAGTAAAAGGCTCCTGAAGGTCCACACATATATCTCAAAGATAATTGGTATTACCTGTTGCTGGCCGAAGGCGGCACCGGCCTGGGCCACATGGTGACAATGGCGAGATCCAAAGATATCAACGGCCCCTACGAGCCCGCACCGACCAACCCAGTATTGACCAATGCGAATACTACGGACTACTGCAGGTAAAACCATGTCTTGTGTTTCACACGTCTGCTAAATGTTAATCAAGTCCAAACTGTCGGCCATGCTGATCTTTTCCACGATCCGAATGGCAACTGGTAAGCCAGCGCATAATTAGACAATATCGAAAACATCGAGCGAACCACTGACACAGACAGGTGGGCGGTGGCACTATCGACCAGATCTGGTCCGCAATGGCAGAATTTCCCCATGGGACGTGAAACCGTCATGACTCCCGTAACTTGGGAGGAAGATGAATTTCCCATCTTCACTCCTGTGAATGGGGAGGTGAGCGGTTGGCAGTTCCCACCAAAGGCTCTCGAAATTGAGGGTACTGGGTGAGCTACTGCACCAGGGACTCTAATGGAAAATATTGTTGACGAATATAGGCCATTCATTGCAGAAGGCGACCACATCGATTTTGAGCCAAACTCCACCTTGCCAGCGCATTTCACTTACTGGCGCTATCCGATACCCGAATCATTCGTAGTGTCTCCCCTCGAGCACCCAAATACTCTTCAGCTTAGCCCATCAAAGCTCAATCTCACAGCTCTGAACGGAAATTATGCAGGACCTTCTGGCCAGACTTTTGTCGGCCGCCGGCAGCAAGATACCCTGTTCACGTACAGCGTGAATATTGACTTTTCACCGACAAGTCTCCAGGAAGAAGCAGGTGTCTCCGTCTTTCTGACACAAAACCACCACCTCGATCTCGGCATCGTCCTGTTGCCCGCAAACAGCAGTACTGGGCCGTTTCCAGGGACTAATGCTACCACACCGGATGATCCTGCAGCACTGGTGCCCCACCTCAGATTCCGCGCCGAATCGTATCTCGCCGTTCCCGGCCCCGTTGTACTTCCCATCCCAGAGGCGTGGGCAGACAAACCCCTAAGGCTTGAGATTAGAGAGAGCAATGCCACGCATTATATTTTCTCGGCGGGTCCGGCGGAGGCTAGATCGCAGACGCAGACTATCATTGAGGTCTCGAATACGTTGGTCAGTTGGGGTTTCACAGGCGTCATTCTGGGCGTATACTGCACGAGTAATGGCCTGGACGGACATACGCCCGCGTATGTCTCGAAGTGGAGGTACACTCCACAGGGTCAGTTCACAGATTAGTTAATGTTATGGAAGAGTTTGTTTCAGTCTGCTTTCCTACAGCTTGAACTTCAGCAGTGAAAACGGACCCCAATCTTACAACGAGCCAATGAGCTTCATTGACGGCCGAGATCCGTCGTTGATCTATAGGGAGCTACATGCGGGGATCGAGAGAGTTTCTTAGTGGACAATGTCCTCAAACTCCACAAAAGCATCAGTTAATACTACTTTGATACGACGAGGCAGGATTTCATATTTAGAAACGCACGTGTCGTGATCGCCTCTCATATATCCATTGGTTGTCTCAGTCGAACAAATCAGTGATCATCCTCAAACAGTTTACAGGAATCAAGATGTCACCAGAAAAGCGGCCAAACTTTCTTGTCATCGTTGCCGATGACTTGGGGTTCAGCGACATTTCTTCTTTTGGTGGTGAAATCAACACTCCGAACCTAGCTAAACTATCGAGAGATGGCATCCGCTTCACAGACTTCCACGCCGCAGCCGCGTGCTCCCCGTCTCGCGCCATGATCATGACTGGCACTGACCACCACATTGCTGGGCTTGGAAACCTGATTGAGTGGACCAATATCTCCGGCCAGAACGACCCGAGCGGCAACATGTCGACATCTGTCCAACGTGGTATGCCGGGCTACGAAGGCTACCTCAACGAGCGGGTAGCTGCTCTGCCTGAAATCCTGCGTGACGCGGGTTACCTCACTCTCATGTCTGGAAAGTGGCACCTGGGTCTTACACCAGAGCGGAGCCCGAAAGCTGGAGGCTTCGAGCGCAGCTTCGCCCACCTGCCTGCATGTTCAAACCATTATGCATACGAACCTCAGCTGGAAGGCAGGGACGAGATCCCCGGTTTCATGACCATGAGCTTCATTGCACTGCACAACGAAGATGGGGAGTATGTGAAGAAGCTTCCGGATGGCTGGTATTCTTCAGACGGGTATGGTGACAAGATGTTGCAGTATTTGAAGGACTGGAAAGAGGGCGGCGAGGAGAGGCCGTTTTTCGGGTATCTTCCCTTCACCGCGCCACACTGGCCTCTGCAGGCCCCGCAGGAGTACATCAAGAAATACCGTGGGGTCTACGATGATGGACCTGATGCGTTGAGGTTGAAACGACTGCAGCAACTCAAGGAACTGGGGATGGTGCCCCAGGATGTGGAACCCCATCCAGTTGTTGCTGACGAAGTCAAAGAGTGGGAAGATATGAGCGCCGAAGAAAGAGCGAACTCCTGCAGAGCAATGGAGGTCTTTGCAGGCATGGTTGAATGCATCGACGCCAATGTCGGGAAAGTTGTCGACTACCTCGAGGAGATCGGCGAGCTCGACAACACCCTCGTGTGCTTCATGTCGGACAATGGCGCGGAAGGCGCAGCCTATGAGGCGTACCCGATTGTGCAAGGATCGATGATTCAGCACCTCAAGAAGTACTACAACAACCACATTGACAATTTGGGAAACGGAGACTCGTTCATCTGGTACGGGCCTCGATGGGCGCAAGCCGCAACTGCACCCAGCCGGCTCTACAAAGCATACACGACTGAGGGCGGCGTCCGTGTACCATTCCTCATGAAGCCACCGGCAAGCTTTGGGGGCAAGTTTGAGGCGGACTCCATAACTCATCAGTTCTCAACTGTCATGGACCTTGCCCCTACTATCCTGGACATGGCAGGCGTCATACACCCAGCACCCACGTATCAAGGGCGCGAGGTCGTCAGTATGAGAGGCAAATCCATGGTACCATATCTGCAAGGCGAAACGAAGACCATTCACGTAAACGATTTCATCAACGGATGGGAAACTTGCGGTCGTGCCGCGTGCCGTAAAGGAGACTGGAAAATCGTCTTTATTCCAAAACCAAAAGGTCCCGAGCGGTGGCAGCTATACAATCTCGCCAAAGATCCCGGAGAAATCCACGACCTGTCGGAAGAGGAGCCGGAAAGACTTAAGCAGTTGATCAAACTATGGGACCAGTATGTCCTTGAAACAGGTGTCATCCCGTTGTCCCCTGCGCTTGGTGAGTGGATGGTAGCCATGGAGGAGCAGATGCCAGAGAACGCATGGATCGAATACGAGTACTGGAAAGACGGAGCACGGGATGATCCTGCGAGGTTCACCAAAGAGATACCGAGATTCAAGAGGCAAGTCAAGGCAATTTGATAAACAAGTCAGGGGAACTTCTTATATACAGTGGACACAAGCATTGGCATAGTAATGTTTCAGTCGTATCGCTGCCGGCATCATTTCACATTACTCACTTTATTCGAGATTAAGCCGGTGAGGTATTCCGATGCCTTAGTTTTTATTAGTATTATTATTATCCTGTATCATGATGGTACCTATCTCAAGCCAGAGAACCCCGCTGTTCATCAACCCATTGTCTATTAACTCATTGTCGAGTTCAGTCGTCAGATGTCGTCAGATGTCCTATTGCATTGCAGGCACGAACATGTTGCTATCACTGTTTTCGTAAAACTCCATCGCCGTCTGGCGTTTCAATATGTAGCCCTCCAGTTTCTCGGCCCAAAAGGGAACGCCGAGGTACAAGCCAATATCGTTTAGGAAATCCAAGGCAAAGTATGTGTTTTCTTCTGGTTGCATGCTAGCAGAACGGACAACTGACTTGAAGCTATCATTCTCGGAGTGGCGGGCGAAGTCCACTATTGCGAGGCAGACCTTGACCCACTGTATAATATGGTCGGGCTCCAGTGAGCCTGCCATCTGCCGAAACTCGACGGTGTTGATGTTGACTCTGTTCCTTCCCGTGGATATGAGCCGACGAAATCCGACTGTGCCCCGGCTGATTGCCCGCATTGAGTCTGGCGGCGTGCGGTCACTCATCAGATGCGCTATCTGCTCAATGTCCGAGGCAAACCAAATTTGCTGAAGCTTTGCATGAAGGGCCGGCCAAATGTCCGTGGGGACATTCTCGTCCATAATTCTGTGGTAGCGTCCGGCTGGGTCGGCCGCGGGCTTGCCTTCCTGGGTATGAGAGAGTTTCGAAATCTTGCTCAGAAGTTCGCAATTTGCGTTGTCCCTGCGAGAGGGGTGGTGGAGGTAGAGCAGACGGCTGTCCATCAGCCACATGATTGTAGCAACCCGCTTTAGGGTCTTGAGTGAGAAGCCATCGTCGCCATGACCGATGTGAACGTGAACGCCGGCGCTGGAGTTGAGATGTACACGACATTCACGGATTGCGCGACACACATCGGTGATCTTCTTGGGATAGCCAGCATCATCTGCTTTGAGGACCTCCGAGGTGACTTCCTTGCCGGCCCATTCGTATGGTGAATACTCGCGACCATGTCCGGGCTTCACGGAGAAGTCATCAATGAGTCGCCAGGCGTCGTATTTGGGTATACTGGTAAGTGGATAAGCGAACACATCCGTGAAATGGTCTCGTACTTGGATGCCGTCGACAGCTTGTAGAGCAGGAAAAATGAACTTGTTAAATGGATCGGCGGGATCCCCTTCATCAAAATCCTCAGCATGAAAAATGGGACGGGGATCCGGAGGGCTTCTCTCATGCTTCAATGGTTTCAACATTGGAACTAAGAACTCCAGCTCAATGCCAAAGGTCAACGGTCCTATGCTGTCATCATCAGGAATTATTACATGAACCATGATTGATGATTGGTGGGAAAGGTCGTGGCTTCTGGAGCGATGAGATTGATGAGTTTATAAGTGTTGGAGAGTACGATTTCCATTGGGTTTGAATATGTAACGTTCTGGTCTGTACGTGGCGCTTGTTTTATACAACTGAGTATCACGTTCGTCCTCTATGATTATTCTTATTGTTTAATAACATCGCTAATAAAAGCATGTTGATGACAAGGCAATTCATGCAACTAATTGCTGTTTTTCTTTATGAACTCAAACATTGCTTTATAGTCATATAAAGGACATGATAGACACATAACATATATCGTGATTACCAGTAGGTCTATTGACGGTCTGTGGTTTTGCGGCGAAGAACAGAGCTATCCTCTGTTCTACTTAAGGCTACCTAAAGTGGTTTCCCCAGGTGCATGCCTGAGGCATTCATTAGGACATCTACTGACAACATAAGGCTAAGAAATGGTCTCGAAGAATTTGAGAAGGACCCGTGGTTCAAAGGCAGCGAGTGGTAGCTCAGGTACTATCAAATTTTAGATAGACCTGTTGTAATATCAGCTTACCTGTATTGGCATATTACTCATGAACGATAGTAACGAGTGCCAGAGGCAGAGCCTATAGTATCCTCAAGTTCGTCGGCTTCTCGAATCCAATCTCGAGGTTGCTCACGAAATGGTCGATGTTGCCGAGGTTTGTAGTCACCCTCGACGTGTTGGTTGTTTCTTGGCGGCAATACAGGCATATGGTCTGCTCCTTCCTCCTCTGCATGATACATCTGTTTTTCAGCCTGGGCCTTACCGGCTTCAAGCTCTGCAAGTGCCCCGAGGTGCTCGCGTGTCTCTTCACTGTCTTGACTACGGCGGGTATTGTCATTAGATGGAGAACCCTGATGTTCACCTCCTGGCTTCTGCTCTACGGCCTGGCGCTCAACAGTATCGCGCTGGATTTGTAATCGGCGACGGTCAGTATCATGAACGGCCTTTATAAAAGCCTCGCTCTTTCCACGGAATAGAATAGCATGCTCGGCCTGGTACTGACAAGTCCCATCGCAGTTCTTGAACTGCTTTGAAGCCATGTTTCTATGAAGTATGATTAAACGCAGAGGTGGTGAGACGGTTTCAGTAGATACTAGTGTTGAGTAATGCACAGGAGGAATATTCTAACTGTCCGAGGTGATATAAATGCTACTTACTGCCTGCGCAGGACCATGTTGTTATCATCAGTGTTCTTGTGATTAACTATGGAACGGAACAAAGCTAATAGTAGCGTGGACCGTACTAGGTTAGGAAAAAGAAAACAATGTTTAGTGAATAGGGGCTTTGAAACCTTGTTACAAGAGTCGTGGTCAGAACAAAGTGCTTCAACGGGTTTTAGTTTAACTATACTTGTCCATTAACTCCACACTAAGGATTGTTTGAACATATTTGAATCATGTGGGATCTCTCTCTCTCTCACTCACACACATACTCACAAAAGAAACAGAAAATAAATGAAAAGGAGAGGGCAAGTTGGGCTCTTGCGAAGTATTGTGTAGACAAGACTAGTACTGAAGTAATTAAACAGCCTCAGGACACCCCTTGGTCGACTTACTTGGAAATGAGGTAGATATTGGAACTTATAGCAACCATTAGGTAAGTGGCTTTGGAATGGGTAAGATATCCTGTCTCATAAATCATATACTGACGTGCTGGGATGTATGTGGCTGTATTGGCTGTGCTGAGAAGCTCACCGAAGTCTTTGCAGGTACAGAGCGCACCTTAGCCTTGGTTAAGGGTTTCATTCGTTTCTGTTCACGGTCACTTGTTGTGTTTCTTTTTTATCGTCCCAAGAGCCTTTGGCAGCTACCACGTTTACCTTCCATTCTGATCCTATGGCCACAATAGAAGTTTTTTAAGTTAAATTTCAATGACAACGTCTTATTAAAGCCAGCATGGTTAGCGTTATCCTAATCTTATTCTGAAGTTGGATGACAACGGCTAATAAGTTGAGGTATTATCAAACATAAACAACAAAATTAGCGTCCATGTAACCTGGAAAAATAAAGTCAGAGGTATAGTAGTTCGAGCAGCCTCGATTTACCAGGAATATTGTACTTCCAGCTATTCGTGAACAGAGCGCTTTCCTATGTGTACAATGATGTGTCGAAGTTTGTCCACAGACAGGGGTACTACAAGAGAAAAACGAATGAAAATTGTGATTGTTCATGTGCATATTTTTTGGTGTGGCTATTCGTACATGCACTCTAGGATTGGCCAGGTTTGAACTGCATCTGTTTTCTATTTTTCCACATATGTTTGGCTCTTGATTTGCTTGCGATTATAACAAAGACGCCACCCGTACCCGAGAATGCCCGGCCCACCAGCGTCAAATATGGAAATACGATGGCGTGCGTGTTTCTTTTAAAAATCATACTTTCCAACATCAGCCTGCTTAAACTCAGACAAACCTAACATGATAGCACAAGCACAAGGCCTTGAGCAAGACGTCAGCACCGTTGCTTGGAGTTCCCTTCCGTCTCGTTATCGCAACCAATAATTATGTTATTGAAGGCTCCAGAAGCATTCTGTGGACGAGGTCAGTGTTTGGGCAAGCGTCAGAGGCTGGATGCCTACTAATTGTTGTCTCGGTTGGCACCACCAGCCTCCCCACTTGTGGTTTGCGCAGAATGTCACACAGCAGGTTGTTTCGTTCGGTTGCCAGATGTAACTCGTGCAATTGAAGTCGAGGGTTTGAGATCCTATCGTCCTGTAGATATTTGTTGCTCCGCCTTCATAGTTTGGCCTTTCATAAGCCTGAAAGGAGAACTCTCTCGTTTGATTCTTTAGATTCGTCGGTGTCTGAGAAACGGCTGGTGAAGAAGAGGTAGTTGATAACACGGTTGCTAGTGTTGATGGCGATGATGAAGTTAAGGCTGGAGCGGCACTACTTGGAAATTTAGCGACGTATTTTGCGGTCGATGTGGAATGTTGTATACCTGCTTGAAGTGACAGATTGTGAAACAACAGATGATTGTTGAGCTCTACTTGCCGCTATGCCACCACCGACACCACCCCCGACGGCAGCCAATATCACAATGACCGCAAGGACTAGGAGTCGCCAAGGTGTACACCCGCGAAAGAGGTGTTTTGACGTTTCAGACACTATTTTCTCTGACGGTGGCTCCTTCGGCATCGACTGTACAGTTTGCTGATATATCAAATGTGCACCATCTGAGGTTAGCGGACTGGCTGTGTCATGTTTGACTTCTTTCCCGACCAGGTCGTAGGCCAAAATCTTCGCAGCTTTTTCACCTGGTTCGTTTCGAGGTCGTATGTATCCATGGGCTTCTGGATAGCTGGGCTGAACCACTTCTGGAAGGGTACTGGGTTGATTCCAAGCTCGCTGATCTACTTCTGGGAATTCGCTAAACTGTGCCGTAGCCCGAGAGTCAGTTGACTCCATGTCGCGTGGATACGTTCTAATTATGGTAATAGTACAATACCTGCACTAGTTGAATATCAGATCAACAATGCAGAATCACGTCGGTTACCCACGGCGCTGAGGAGCTGGTAGATGCAGAGCGACGAGGAGAATTGATTTACCGCATCATGACTTTTAGGTGCCGAGCACATCGTCTTCATATGTTCCCGTTGGCGAGGCCTGTACAGATCCCATTTACCATGCATAGACCTTGCCGTGACATTGCGCTAGGTATGTAAAGAAGTAAAAAGGTCCTTAACACAAGAGATGATTGGAGGATAAGTGCAAGCCTCATTTACATTGTCAGAGAGTTGATTGAGCTGATGTGCAGGACTACAAGGGCCACATTGGTATTAAAGACCTAAGTGTCTGTGCAGCAACGGCTGTATTTCCTGTTTGAACATTACAAACCTGCTATACAGCAATTTTCCCGCTGTGTACAACACTGGTAGTCGTGCTAAATATTTGCGGGTGGTTGTCAGTCCCCTCTTACAGGGCCAAGCCTCCTCAGCCGCACATAAAAGAACACTTGGCTCTCAATGTCCTGCATGATCCCCTGATTCTGCACCAATCAGGAGCTACAGTCAGATTCCAGTTCAGGGAAGCGGGTAGATCACCCGGTCCAAATCGCGGTAGATATCACGCGCCAGTGATGTAACTGGCCATGAGTTCAAGATTCATTTCCACTGACGAGTATGTGAGACGGCATTAATGCAGGTGAAAAAGCTATGGTATGTCGAAAGACAAACCCAGCGAAGCGTTCACATGCATATGAGAAATGCTGTCATTGACTCACAGGTACTGTTGTCTTAGCAAATGGGATCTCAGTGAGAGAGGGCAACAAGAACTATCTTCTGGTGCTTTGATTGGCAAAAGCAGGATGGTGGTGACCTCTGTGGCCACGGCACAGAATCAACAGTAGGACTCAAAGTATGCCGGGTAGTTCTCCCGATCGAATTTGTATTGTGCATCCACAAAGTGCTGGTCCATTGCCTGGTACCTGGTGATACCACTCTGTGATGGCCTAGTATAGTAGATATGTCGGCGTCTACTCTGGTCATTTCTTGTAGCTCAGGCTGAGAGTAAACTATTTGAACATAAGTCGAAGCATTTTTTCTTCTGGTTTTTTTTTAATTTCACTTTTGGTTCGGTTACAAGAAAGCCTGTGTTCCTAACAAAGCTGAATGTAGTTGAGCCTCAGAAGACAATGTTCATGATAATCGAGCATTTCTACAAGTATGAGACGATAGATCTGGGAGACGCGACGGTGATTCCGGGCCGCGAGTTCAATAATGACAGTCGTGGAAACAGTTCTCCGGAGACAAGCAGTAGTGCCGAGTAGGTTGTATGGCGACCCTTCCTACAGGTAAAAGGAAGATCGTATAACCTGGATAAAGGATTGTATACTCTTCATAATGTCGGGATTACTTTTTAATAAGGACCTGGTATACTGTAGGACCATGGGTTATGAATCGTTGGACCATTGATGACAACATCTATGTACAGGCAGCACCGCGTCGAAATCCCGCCCAACGATTTCGTGCATGTTGAGTTTCATTGTTCCCTAATTCGCCTTAGTATTGTGATTATCGACATAAGAAATGTCGTCCTTTCCTAGCACGCAATATATGATTTGGTATCCTTTTTTTTTTTCCAAGTCTTCTAATATTACTGAGTAATGCCAAGATCATTTTAGCATGTGTCTTGTTTGGTGACGTTACCAGTAGGTTCCACGCTTTGAGGATTCCGAAACAAAGACCTTTGTCTATAACCGAGTCTTCTCGTCGCTTTGTTAGCTAGACCTAATCTTTTTCAACTGCGGAAACTCACGTGGCTAGACGAACAATGAATGCATTACTATAATAAGGCTAACAACTACTGCCTATGTTCAGGATCGCGAAGGCTGTCTACGGATTGATTTAACATCTCCAACTATTCAGGATGAGCACTACGCACAACAAGGCGACTAGCAGTGACGGATATTCTCAAGCTGGCACTTACATTCAAGAATGGCTCCATGGGGTGGTCGAGTACTATGAGCAAGCAGATGATCCTGCGCCGGAAATTCCGAAGCGCAATCCATTGCGACTCCAGATACAACGACGCCAGGCTGATGATACAAAAGAGCAATATGTGTCCTGGGGGGAAAGTACTATTGATTCTGCCTTCAAGTCCGACTAACCAGTCGGCACCTGAAATATTTGCCAGCAATGGGAAAGAGCTCAGATTCAACGACAGCGTGGAGGAAAGCATAGAAACACCTTTCAACTTAAATTTGATGGAAGAATCGTGGAAAACTTGAGAAATTAGTTCGCTCGGGAGTTCAATTTTGTTCAAGGATGATTATCAGTTATGCTGTTTGTGGAAGACGTTGAGTTAGGACATGGGCACATCCCTCACAGTATCGATACGAACATTACGAATGGGTTGAAGGGGTAAAACGCCCTAAGATGGCCATGTCGGCCTTGGAAAGTAGAAGAGGATATCAATGTCTAATTGCCAAAAAAGCAAACTGATCTATAATTCTGGTCTGTGATTCCTTGCTCGCACATAACACGGGAGCCCGTCCTCCATCGGTAAGGTGAGACTGCTCTTGCTCACACGCTTTGTTCCATATGCCGGCATGAAGTCGAAAGTCAACATCATTGATGCGATGATCTGGACTGCCATTACTTCTGCCATCTTCTTGCCCAGACATGTCCTGGCTCCGCCGTTGAATACTGGAAATTCTGAGGCGCTCTTAGTCACGAATTTACCGTCGACAAGCCAGCGATCAGGACGGAAGGAATCAGCGTCCTCTCCCCACATGATCCTTGACCTGTTCATGGCCCATGTGCACCACAAAACGATGGAACTCTTTGGCAAGAATGTGCCGTCGGGTAGTGTGACGTCTTTCTCCGCTTGCCTGATTTCGAATGGGATTGGAGGGAACAACCGTAACGCTTCATAGAACACAGCCATCGCGTATGGTAACGTCGTCGGAGTGAATACTGTAGGGTCCACATTTCCACCATTTACCTTGACATCTATATCGCTGCCGTCTTCGTTGAGGATTTCCTGAATCTCGTTCCGCAGTTTTCCAGTAACGAATCGATTTTCCATGAGCAGCATGAATGTCCAAGTCAGAGCCTGCGCAACAGTGTCCCTGCCAGCAGACAGATAATTGAGGGCTGAATCGGCGACAATCTTCTCGTTATCGATAGAGTCAAGCAGGGACTGGATCAACGAGCCTGAAATCTCATCCAGCTTACTGCCACCGGTCTCTTTGCCCGAGTGCCGGTCGTTCACTGCACTCTGCACAATCTTCTTGCCATAGGACGTGACAACTGCTAACGACTTTCGAAATTTATAGCCGGTAAACATCTCAGTGATAAACCAGAGAGGATTTTGGAACCTGGCCGTGGTCCCGCCGGAGGCATATTCGAAGGCCAAAGTAAACTCATCGTCAGCGTGCATCTCCATGTTATACGCCATTTTCCCCATGAGCTGGCTGGTAATCTCATGAAACACCATTTGCAAGTCCACGGATTCGCCATCGTCGCCTCGCTTTTTGAGCAGGTCAAGGCTTTGGTCTAGGTACTTGGGCAAGGCGACATCGGTTAAAACTTGCAGGTTTTGCACGTTCAGGAAACCGAGTCCGGCTTTCCTCTGTACTTTCCACAGGTCGCCATCTGAGTTGATGATGCCACCACCGAATAAGTCCCATGATAGTCGCTTGAAGAATTCCCCTTTGGTGAAAGTTCCTTCGTGCTTGTATACGAACTCTAAATTCTTGGGATCGTTGATGACGACCCCCGGCGGCAGTGTGGGAACAGAGATCTGGAAGGTCTCGTAACCAAACTGACGCTCACACTTGGTGAAATACTCGAAAAGCTTCTGGCGTGCCTGGATGAATACAAGGCCATTCCCAGCTATCGGAAGAGTGTTGGGGGGTTTTCTCAAGGGGGCTCCGTTTCGTGTTAGAGTTGGGGTGTAGATTAGAAAGCGGTAACTGATAATAACGCCAATGAGGCCGAGCGCGTACAGGACCGGTCCCTCCAAGAGTGCCATGCCTTCAAGAGTCTGAAATAGCCAGCTTGTGCTATGTGGTGAGAAGAGAGTCCGGGAGCGGCGGTGAATTACAAGTCGCACGATACTGAAAAGCCGATGTGGGAATGGTGGAACGATCGGCCAATTCTCAACTTTCCGGTCCAACTTGCCGGGTCCGCCTTGCCGGGCCCAATAGAGTTTTACAACTGCTTGACAGATGAAATGAACATGACGAAAGAAAGAAGAAGTAGAGGAAGAAGAAAAGGGAGAAAAGCAATCTCAACAGGAAGCGACACCCGTCAGTGTAACCAAAACCAATATTAAACGCAGGCAACAATCGGTATCCGGAACTTGATATCCATATTCTAACATATGAGTGGTAACGAAGTCTTCACGTCACGATTAGACCCAACCTAGCCTAGGTAGTAACCGTAGCCCGGTGCACATGTGGCTGACAGGGGGTCTCATTCTCCAATTCGGGCGGAAGAAGTTGAAACTGTGACGCTGTAGCTGTAACTGCAACTGTAATAGCTTTGCCATTGACCACTAAAAAGCTCACCCCTGTCGCTGTCGCTACCATACTTATTACTCACCTCAGGTTAAGTTACAGAAGCTCTGGCTCTCCATCCCTCCCTTGTGGTGAAACTCCGTCACCGTCACTGAGCTCCACTAAATACGGTACGGACTCTGAGCAGCCCAGGTGCAGATCCGTACGCCGGCCTTTAAGTGTAGTATGTACAGTTGGTCATGACGATGTAATTTGTGACTTCTTTAAATGTGCGGGAGGACCTCCCAACATACTTTCACGATATTCCGGAGAACTCAACCCCATACATCTGGCATCTTGTGTGTAAGCTCGAAATAGCCTCCACATCTCTGCGACGTGCCAATTCGCCAACAACATGGCACCTCTCATTCCTCGCTTGCATCTCTTCGAGATCGACGACCAGCCGTGGTATGTATACGTATCAGTTTCCTCCAATATCGTGTCGTGCTCACAGATCCCCCTGTTCCTCCTCTCCCCTCCCCCTCTCCTCGTGCCCTTTTAAACCAAACCCTTCGCTTCGCCAGGCCATTGTCTAGCTTTTGCTGACACTGCATCGACAGGTTTCCGCCCTACCTACGTGCCCGTGTACAGGATGGCTTGATGCACGCCTGGACATTCAGCCTCCCATTCCTCTGGTCCGCCAGTCCTGCAACCCTCGTTGCACGTGTGCTGCAACGCAAACTCGGCAATGCCATCTCTCAATATACCTTCATCGACTTCTGCGCTGGCGCTGGCGGTCCGACTCCGTACATCGAGCAGGCCTTGAATGCCTCCCTCTCCAAGTCGAGCACCGTCCTTCCTGCACCCTCTACCACCGATGCAGCGTCAAGAGTCACGCCGTCCTACGCCGACGTGGCCGCAGGCGGCAATGGATCCGCCGCCGGCCGCGACGCGAGTTCCAGGGCAGTGGACTTTGTCCTCACCGACCTGCACCCGCATCCCGATTCCTGGTCCAAGATCGCCGCCGCCTCGAGACACGTAACCTATGTTCCCTTCCCCGTCGACGCCTCCGCCGCCCCCGAGGGCCTCATTGAGAAGTACACGGAAGGTGGGAAGCGCGTCTTCCGACTCTTCAACCTCGCCTTCCATCACTTCGACGACCCACTTGCTCGGGCCATCTTGAAGAACACCGTCGAGACGAGCGACGGTTTCGGCATCTTTGAGATGCAGGACCGCAGTTTCTCCAGTCTCGTCACATGCTTCCTGTATGGCTTCTTCATCCTGCTGTGCGCACCCTTCTTCTACTGGTGGAGCCCAACCCGCTTGTTCTTCGTATACTTGTGCCCCATCGTCCCGTTCGTGCTGGTCTTTGACGGGTTGATCTCGAGTTTGCGGACACGAACGCCAGAAGAGGTGGAGATATTGCTGCGAACCTGCGGGGCGGACACAACGGACTGGGAAATCAAGAGCGGGCGAGAGAGGTTCTTGTGGCCGACAGGGGAACTGAACTGGATCGTTTGCACCAAGAAGATGTGAGATCTTGGTGCGTCAAGCGATATAGCGCGTGAATTCAAGTCACGAGAGAGCAACAATGGATAAACAAAAGTTATATATATTGTATTTTGCGCAACGGCAAGCAATCGAAAAGCCTTTTGGACTAGAAGCTATGTACGACTGGTACTGGTATTCCTGGTTCACATTCAAGACTCCATCGGTAATAGCAATGCTACCGAACAACGCCGACTATAAGAAGTTCATTTGCGACAAACAGAAGGGGAAAAGAAAGACGAGCACGTGCTAGATCGCCTATTTCGTGAGCCAGCCGAGATAGTCGACCACGATCAGTGTTACCATGCTAAAATGGCGTAATTAGCATCATGAAAAAGCGAACACCAGAACATGGTTGAGACTTACGCGTGAGGTGCAATGCGCACGTAGTACGTGCCAAATCCGCGGTAGAATCTGAGCAGGCCTTCCTCTCTTGCCACCTTCTGGAAGCAGTCCACCATGGATTTGTAGGGCAGCTTGCCATCCGGGCCCTTGGACTGCTTCTGCAGCCTCGTCTTGACAAAGTCGAACGGCAGAGAGAGGAACGAGGCGAAGAACCCGGCAATGGCACTAGCAGTCAGCGTTTGCGTGCGGGGCGACCACTGCGTGCGGGTCTTAAGCTGTGCCTTGGCCTCGGAGAAGAAGGCGAGCTGGCCCAAGTTCAGTGCCATGGCCCGCACGACCGTCGGCGTGGCGCCGGCCCAGAGAGCCGTGATGCCTTCCGAGCGCGTGATGGACGTCAGGGCGTCGATGACGGACTTGTAGTTCTTGCGCTCTGCCAGGGGCTTGAGGCCGTCGGACTGCATCCTGATGAGCGCCAGATCTGCCGGGTTGCCGATGAAGGCTGCTATGCCACCGGCACCCAGACCGGCGGCGGCGCGCTCGGAGAAGCCGACCGACGCGCCCTTGTCTTTGGCACGCTGGCCGAGTTTGCCCATGAACGTGTCAAAGAAGCCCAGGCGGGCAGTCGTGTATACTCCCTGTCTCAAGAGGCCGGCCGAGAGCCCCGTGTATAAGTCGGCGAACTTGCCTTGTGCGATGATGTCTCTCGCTATGCCGACGGCGCTGGGCTTGGCACCGACTGCTGCTACGCCCTCGCCGGCGAGCTGGAGCCGCACCTTGACCATGTCGATAGGCTGGATGACGGTCGTGGCAATCATGCCCGAGACGCCTCCGTTGACAAAGGGCAGGGCCGCCCTCACGATGGGCGTGTGGAGGAAGTCATTCTTGACCGCGGCAGCTGTCTCGCTGCCACTCTCGGTGATGCTCTTGCTCATGTTGGATGCCTTTGCTCGGGCAGATTCAGCTGCTTGCTTGAGAGTGGAGGAGCTCATGATGTCTGAGGATCTAATCTCAGGATGCCGCGCTCGATATATAGCGAGAAGGAAGATGTTGCTTAGTTCCGAAACCCCAGTCACGGAAACACTGCTTCGGGCTAGCCAGGGCTAGTATATAGGAAAGCTGATAAGCGAGCTGCGGGCGTGCGTGGAGCTGAACAACTTGTGGACTAGAGGTTTCCAACCATGATTAGCAAAACCGGGCACCATGAGCACTTTTAATACTCCTTTCGAGACGAGAACCAAAAGGATCCCAGACCAAAAACACACAAGCCGTGTCGCTACTCCGATGATCGTTTATTCATGCCTCTCCCGACCAACCAGGTATAAGCGGTACTCCACTTCTCCCCCAATGGTTGTCGAGGAATAGGTCTTGCATCATTGGTTCCGGCCCTGCTAGTAGATAGAGGAGCCGGTAGCTGACAACGCTGCTGTTTTGTTCCGGCGCAATGTACCCTCTACTCACTCGCGGTCCTTTGTTATATGGCCGAGGGTGGACGAAACATGATCGGGAAAGCCCGGGAGTGGAGCTATGAGCTTTGGGTGTGCTGGGGTACGTGTAATAAGGGGAGAGAGAGGAGCTTTGATGGTGGTTCTGTAACCAGTCTCTCGGCTCGGGCTAGCGTGGGAGCGGATCCACCTTCTGCTATGCAGCGAAGGATGGTTGACGACGCAGCAAGACAAGCCATGAAAAATATGGCCGAAACGGGGGTTGCTTCGCAAGCCAAATGATCGCGGGGACTTTTCTTGAGCAAATGGGAGTTCACTAACATGTGCCAATAAAACCGCCTTCTGTCTTCGGTTTCCGAATTCCCAAAACACCCGGTGACGTGTAAATGGTCAATGTGTCTTCCTCTTTTTTAGCTCGGTTCGTGTGTAAGTGGTCTCTGTAACTTTAAACACCAGTCGTGAAGGGCGGGATCCGTAAACGCCCGCGTGCTTTTGCCGGCCGACCGGGCAAGATTCCGGAACCACTACAAATGATATGGGACGAGCCGGGGTTGGATTATTGCGACGACGCGAGGCGAAGCGAAACTAATCGAGATAACTTGAGGGAATTTTCACGTCGTTATACGCCAATAGCTGGGGCCAAAGAATATATGGAATTTCCCAGAGGGCGAAGAGGGAATATGTGACATGCGCGGCCCAACAAAAAGCTGTCGATGCTTCGGTAGTGTTGTGCCCGGAATGCAGGGTAGGAGTATGCTTAAACGGCGCAGAGATATGATAAAACGGTTGCAGGTATGACCAAGAAATCGAGAGAGAGAGAGAGAGGGGACCTTCAAGCAAAAAGGCAGAAGAGAGAGAAAAAAGACACTTCAGAGTAAATGCTGAATACTTTTTTTCTTCATTACTTTTTTAGAGTTTCGAGAGAACAGCAGAACATGGGCATGGTGTCGATGGCAATGGGCGCGCCGCCCGCATTTTATCAAGAAAGAAGCTCAGGAGCCCCTCAAAGCCAACGGCCCTCCTCTCGTCCACCTTGTAGTGCTTGTGTCACTTGATTTCCGTATCTCCTACATGTGTGAGGTGTTGCTATTTCCCCAGACAATGCGGGGTTGAAGACTATTGGGTTGATGGGCAGACGGGCTTCTTGGGCAACTAGGTTAGTGTTGGTAGTGCGTGTTTGGATGTGGTACATAGTCGCAGGCCTATGTCTGATGGTGGTGGTCAAGTAGTTCGAGCGTTCAGAAACACAAAAAGTTGGAGAAGAGAGGAGTCTAGAGGCAATGCCGGGCTGTGGCCCTGTCTCGAGGCTTCCAATGCAGTTGCCAATCGACCCTCCATCACGATCAGTGAACCCGGCAATGGCACGAGTTTGTTTGTTCGTATGCCATTGTTCTTTTTTTGGTGACGGGCGCTTCACGGGAGCTCGGTGCGACAATAATTGATTGTTAACCATGGCGACGGGCATGATTAGGCACTGAGTGAGATGTCGATTATCGCTTATGCTCGAGTATCGCCGAGTATAAAGTTTAGATACACCATTGTTACATGACCCGGCAAGGTACCCGATACCTGCCGCTGAACCGAGACGAGGCGAACTCAAACTCTCAATGAGGCACTGCTAGACGCTTGTCTTTGGTAGTTTTTCGTAGCTTTTGCAAGACCGTTCCAGCTCAAATCAGGGATTTTCATTACCTGGCGTGCTCCTTTCCGGCTGGCCGCCATGGTGAACCGGAATTGTACATTTCTCTTGATGCAATGGTTATGATCTGTGCATGTTTACTAAAGTAGTTTGTCGCCGGGAATCAAAAGCCGTTCCACCTTGGGATGCCCCTCGTGTATAATAAACGCGGGGAAGCACCAGCTCCAAGCTTTAAGCTCCAAGCCTCCAAGCTCCCTGCTCCCTGTTCTTCCCATATCGATAAGCTACGTAGAGCATATCTACTGAAGCACATGCATAGCTGCCGATTTTGTCCGAGTTATCATGCATGCTACTTGAGTACCTAGTTCATCTCAAAGGGCCATTGGGAGGGGTGCGTCTGTAACGCATGATATCGGATTGGCCATGCATTAATCCTAGTCTAGACTACAAGACGATTGGTGAACGAGAACTTGGGCGCTTGTTCAGCAATTGTAACTTGATGACGTAGCTCCTCCATGCACCGCTCAGGCGCCATAGGCCTGGACTCTTGGATGGCATCCCAGGGTCGTGGGAAGCACGTGGGTATTCAACAAAACAAGAACCTTTCAGACTTCTTGGCTCTGGCTGCCAACACAACGACCGTACGCCTAAACCATGTCGCAATTCTGCAGCCCAATCGTTAAGCCGCTCCCACTTGCTCAGGGGCATATGCAGGTTAATCGGACCGTCGAATGTCCGGCACCACCAACGTCACGGAGTACCCATTGTCCGACTTGAACCTTGCATATCGAAAGCAACTTTATATGCTGTTTATAGCGATCTCAGATGACAGATAACCAGATCTTCGCACGAGGCTGTGCGGTGCGTTCTGCTGGCAAGCTTTCTGTCATGGCAGATATTGTTGAGGGTGGAACCTAAAGTTGCCGAGTCGGACATCATGAAATCGAGCTTGATTCTCAACCAATATACCACCGCAAGGATCTCACGGAGGAATACGCGGACTCGCTTTGCTACGAAGGTGGTCGTGCTTCTACTGATCGTTGATACTCCTAGAAGCTTTGTGTCGCCGCTCGAACTTGACATCTCTATGTATAGTTGTCAATTACACGGACTGTGTTTTTCCACCACTCAATACCGTCCTGGCCGACTAGGGTCCTGATGTGGGTTCAGGACTAACAGAGCCGCAATATCTGGGAAAGCTTTCGTCTGCTCTGCGCAATATAAGACATCAGCTTGGGTCAAATTGGCTATTACCCGCATTGCTGTAAGCTCTCTTCATGGTAGGTGGGCACGGAACAACCACTGATCGAATTTTAAATCGAGCGAAAAGCCCTAAGCAAGATTCTCATTTCCTAGGCCTGAGCTATTGGTCCCGAAGTTTGATGCCGAAGTGCACGTACAGACCCGCATCCACTTCGGATCGCTTCGTCGAAATCACGACTTCCGACTCAGAACCCCCACTCTTCCGGCCTTTTCCGGAGGCTCATAACTTCCGAGGTCTTGATCGCTTGCTTTGATAGCACACCATGCATTGTTTGATTATGTTACCCCTCTCTATAGGCTCTCAGACTCCAGCGCCTCGTCGGAAGACGAGCCATGCATGGTTCCTGTAATTTGGTTGGACGAGCATGCTAAAACGTAGAAGGGAACATTCCAAGTCGTCCACCATCGGAAACGATGACCGTCCCATTGCAGTAAGCACCGGCTCTTGAAGCCAAGTAGAGAACAGTTCCTCCCATATCGGACTCATCGCCGGCTCTTGCCAAGGGAATCATGTCCTTGCCGATACCGCCTTTCTCAATGATCGGGGCGGACATCTCGCTTGGATACACTGTTCAAGTCAGCCAATTATCTGTGCAGTGGTCGAGAAAGGGTCAGCCACTTACAGCCAGGGCACAATACATTGGCTCTGATGTCGAACTTTGGCAGAGCGATGGATAGCTGCTTGATCAGATGTGTTGCCGCTGCTTTTGATTGGCCATAAGCATAACCACCAGGTGCATCCTAGCGGAACGACATCTGTTAGTCCCACCCAAGCAGGGGCGAGTAGAGACTGTTGAAGACGCACCTTGTTGAACCCTCCGATGGAACTCGTAGCAATGACCTGGCTTTTCTGAACCACGTTTCCTTTCTTGTTGCCAGCATCCAAGAGCGTCAGGAAAGCCATTGTCGTGTACCACACACTAGTCGCATTGACGGCGAACGTCTTGGTGTACTCCTCAAACGGCACATCCCAGTTGGCCGTTGCAAACTCCTCGACAGTCAGGTTCTCCTGGTTTTTAGCACCAGGACGTACGGTTTGTGGTCCGCCAATTCCCGAGTTACAAATCAAGAGATTCAGATACCCAACCTCCTGCTTGACCTGGTCCGCAGCCGATTGGAGGGATTCTTTGGATGTCACATCGCATACAAGAGGTTTGACGTTGGACTTGCCAATCAACGAAACGGCGGAGTCGAGCACGTCCTTACGCCTGCCGAGAATGTATACCGCAGCGGCGCCGTTGTGAGCCAGGGCTTTAGCCATCATGGCACCAATTCCTAGACGAAAGATATGGGTCAAAGCTTGTGGTGATTAGAGACAGGAGGGCTTGCTCACCAGTGCCGCCGCCGGTAATGACCACCACAAGTCCATCGACGTTGAACAGCTGTGCAGCTTGAAGGGCTGCTGAGCTGGAATTCTGAGAAGCGGCCATGCTTTCGAGAAATTGATATTGCCAAGCAAATATGTAATTATGGTGTATAAATGTATATGATTCAAGTCTGCTCCGCAGCAGTCAGCATCATGCTCAAGTATCTGTATGAATATGGTAGCTATAATCTATAACAGCGCAGCGATGAAAACAATTCGAATTCGACAAGATGGACGTCCGTTCAAGAACACAGCAACACGAACAACAAGTAGTCGTAGTCCTACTATCAGGGTTGCGGGAGAGACTGAGTAAAAGCTGGCTGTGCCGCAGTTTTATCACGCTGGTGCTGTCATCACCAAAACCCCGGCGTAGTGAGACGAAACGCTTGCACCACTAGTATATATAAAACATGGGACATACCTTTCTATTATAAAGAAGTTTGTGATGGGTCTCTTTTGTTACCCAAAGTCTATAGGCAAGCCAAGAAAATAGCTAAATAGTGAGTACCCTTCCCATGCCACAATCCAGCGCCCTGAGAGCTGCCTATAACGCGGCGGGGTCCCGCGAATACCCCTCGAATGGGGCTCCCCGAGCGGGTAAGTCACATTAGAGTTGGCACACGTACTCTCGCAAGGTTAGTGTCCCAATCGTCCGTGTAAGTCGCCCAGTACAATCCAATCCTTCAAAGGACGCGACTCTACGGATTGATCTGTGGGCTCGTGGGCCAAGATGAAAAAAACAATCCAACACTATGGAATCACTCGAGACATTGGACCGGAGGGGACATTGTGTTGCAATGGGACAAGTCCGTGATCTTGGGTGGAAGATGCTCCCTTTTCGTGCTGGTATCAAGTCCGCACAACTTCGGACAGTTGCATCTCGCTGCGCTGGCTTCACTACGTACACCGACTGCTTATCGTTGGCGCTTGCGCTGGAATTTCTTCAGGGTGCCCCACTTTAAAGTTTATCCCCCGAACGGAGCTCTCGCCAAAACTTTTGACGATCGTGAGATTTCCCGACGGCGAACCAGACAAATCACCGGAGAAATCCTGCTGCGCCCGCGAGAACGTCATGGTCAAACGAAAGCGGTCCGAACCCCGATTGGAGGAGAACCTACAGAAATGGGAGAAGGAGCTCGTGCGCGGCCTCAAGGCGGCAAAGGGCTTCGAGAGGCAGAGATATGCGAAGCGACAGCGCGAGGCCGATCCCGAGAAGGCTGCGCGGCTGGAGAGGGAGATCGTAGTGTTAAAGGTACGTAGATCAACCGCCCGGGAGCTGCATTTGACTGCCTGCCCCGACAGAGAGTTTGCTGGGCTAACCGCTTTCCGCCTGTAGAGTATTGACCTCCACCAATGCGCCCATCAGCACCTCTGCTCCTCGCTCCTGAGGATCAAGGGCGTCGCGGATGCCCCCAACCTCCCCGAGGCCATCAAGCCCGTGCCGAAGCCCGATCTGACCGACGACGAGAGAACGGCCCTGCACAATGTCACGAGCGCCCTGTGCAACCGCAAACAGGTCAAAGATGTCATAGACGAAGCGATCATGGGGACGTGTATCGCGTTGCGGGTGCCGATGCCGGAGAAGAAGGGCAAAGGAAAGGGCAAGAATGACAGAAAGGACCCCGAACAACAAGCTGACGACGTAAAAAACAAAGTGCCCGCGGAGAAGCCGGCCAAGAAGGCCAAGCAGGCTTCTGAAGATGAAGAAGAACAAGAACAAGATGCCGAGTCATGGGACGGCTTTGGATCTGAGGCTGGCGAAGATCTCAAGGGCCTGGCCGGAATTGACGATGAAGAGAAGGCTTTCTCACGATTCGACGATATGCTGGGCAGTTCGAGCGAGGACGACGACGGAAATGGAAGTGACGGAGACGAGGCTGGGGACAGTCGCGCAAAGTCAATTCGAGGGCCATCAGACTACTTTTCTGGCTCTTCGGCGGGGGAAGAGTCAGAGGGCGACGACGAAGAAAGTGACGGAGAAGAAAATCAAGAGGATGATGACGAGGAGGACGATGAAGAATCCGACGCCAGCGCAATTTCACCGCCACCAAAGAGGGCCAAATCCAAAGCCGCCAAGCCAGAGCCAGCATCCTCTGGTAACTCGACCTTCTTGCCTTCTCTTATGGGCGGTTATATCTCAGGTTCTGAATCCGAGGCTTCAGATATTGATGTTGCGCCACCTTTGAAGAAGAACAGACGTGGTCAGCGTGCACGCCAAGCGATTTGGGAGAAGAAGTTCAAGAAGGAAGCCAACCATGTCAGGAAGCAGCAGGAGAGGTCTTCCAGGGATGAAGGCTGGGACATGAAGAAGGGAGCTGTTGGTGGCGAGGAGGATTCTGGGCCATGGAAGAAGGGTATACGCAACCCCTTCGAGAAGAAGTCGGCCCCCGAAGGAGTCCATCCTGATCGACAGGCCAACTTTGATCAGCAGGAGCCAGAGCGTCAACAGAGACCGGAACGACCACAGAGACTGGAACGTCAATCAAGGCCAGAACGTGAGCAAGGATCTGAGCGCCTGAACAGATCACAACGTCGCGCCCAGCTGGCTGCTTCTGGCAGTCTGCCGATCGCCAATCATCAGAGAGACGAAGTGCCGAAGCGCGTAGTCCCCAAGCCGCAGCCGAAACCTCAAAAGGATGATGAGGGACCGCTTCACGCAAGTTGGGCGGCCGCCAAGGCAGCAAAGGAGGCTGCTCAGAAGGTTGCCTTCCAGGGCAAAAAGATTACTTTCGACTAGATACCACGTTAGCCAGAAAATATTCGAACAAACTTTCAGTATCCAAGTGCTCATCCGCCCTCATGGTGTCCACTAAATTAGGCTCATTGGGAACATTATTATTCATTGAATGTGCAAGAAATGCTCTATGGGGAGCTTCCAAGGCTTGAACTTGGAAGCTGTATCTACCCGCAACCATTCCAAAATCATGCGCAATTTTCGATCTCAGGGGTCCAATCGTCGTAGCCAAACGCCGATTCCTCTCACCAAAAGTTTGAGGTATTTCAGGTTCAGTAATCTGGACGGCTGTTCGAAACAATACGGGTGTATCGTTGACTCGTCTGGTAATCCAGGAGAAAGTATTGTTAAACCATTCCAAAAATCCATCGCAATTTCGCGTCCGTCAGCAACCCCCGGTTACCATCCGGGGCAATGTCAAGGCTAAAGCTCGATTCTGTCGGCAAATCAGAGATTTTCAGACGGGTGACATAGCGCTGCACGCGCCCCTAGGAGACGGTGGCAGCGGAGTTACCGTCGTCCTCGCCGAGCTCTCGCTCAGGCTTGGGGGCTTTCGGTACGCGCACGCTTGGCAGAGGGCTGCTCTGCCGGATCGTCGCTATCCTCGCCATGCCCATGCTTCAGCGACCCCTGCGGGGCCGGCTGGTCAAAGGAGCCTGTGAGGTCGATCATGAGGACACGACGACGGAACTCGTCGCTCGACCACTGCTCCTCCTTGACCACGGTGGACGCGACGCTGGGGGCACGACCGAATATGACCTCGCCGTCAGCATAGTCGCTCCGGTCGCTTGTGGTAGCGTTGCAGTCCCCGGTGCTCTTGTCATCATCGTCGCCCGTGAGGTCGATGATCTCTGCGGCCTCGTCGATCGTGATAGTCTTCCTTACGGTCGTGCCTGCCTGAGGTCTGGGTGGCGGCCCCATTGATGCCACGGCACTAGGATATGGCGAGAGACTTCGATGCGAGCTCTCTGTCGGGGAGACCGTTGTGTTGTCACGATCCTCGGCTACGAACAGGCTCTCGTCGTCGTCGTCGTCGTCATTTTCCGGGCCGGCGCCAGCGACAAATACGCTGCAATGAGACTCCGTGCCTTCCTCCTGCGTGGTAGGCTGTGTTTCGTATTTGGCGGCAGTATCATCTTTATCAATGAAAGATGTTTCGACGTCGCTATATATGTCCCCGACGCCTGAATCTCCATCCTCACAAGCTAAGGTATCGTCGAGATCCACATCATCGTAATCATCCCCGCTCTCGAAATCGGATTCGTCAGGGTATATGATGCAATTGGTGGCATCGTTATCCTCCATGTTGACATATTGATTGTCGTAATCGTCGGAATCAGTCCACTCGTCTGGGTATCGAAGGTTAAAAATAGGGTCGCCATCCTCATCTACACCCATCATATCAACGCCTGAATCACCATCGCCGAAATCACCATCGTTGGGACTACTATCATCAGAACCGGCATCTGGAACACCATTTGTGTCACTGGACGAGCCGGCGGAATCAGCACCCGAAAGGTTCTCGGATATGCTTGTGTCCGAGCCGCCACACACTGACAGGATGGCACATGGATTATAGAAACTGTGGACCATGTCTTTGTCCTGACCCTCTGGCACAAATCGGTTCAAGCCATGCGGAGTGGTGAGATTTGCAAGCTCACACTCTACCGCATAGCGCGGAGACTTCGGCATTGTCGCAACGCTATTGATGTCGTCTGTGAAGGACCAATCGCGAACAAGACGTCTGTTCTGGCCAACTTCATAAAATCGTACCCATCTCATGCCGCGTAGCTGGTAGACGAAATCCATGCCATGGCATGTTCGCAGTGATCTGTTGGCTCGACAGTTGGGCTGACCAGCGGTACGCTTCATGAGAGACTGGCGAGGATTGAAACCCTTAGACTTGGTGGAGGGAGGATTCAGAGGATCCCAGTGAGGATTTGGGCCCCGTGAATTAATCTTTTCGATTGACATCCGGGTATAATCTTGGTATCGGTCCGAGAAATCGTAAAACTTCCAGTCTTCTTCGAATTTGTCCTCCTCCGGGATCTTTGGAAACTCGTGCTTGCGGCGAACGCGGCGTTCTGCACCCTCCTCCATGAAGACAGTGAAGGTTGCGAGTTGCCTCATCCGTGTCAGCCAGTTCAGCGGAAGGGTACGCTGGTTGATGCGCGACTTGACACGCGGCATAATGCTCCCGTGCCACATCAGCTCTATGTGTGCGACTCGCTCGGCCCGTGATTGGCCGATACCATTGAAGAAGCGACCGAGCTCGCCTAGAGAGCTGAATGCAAAGGTGTTCATGCCATAGAAGGTGTGGAGGCCGACGTATAGCCATCGTTGACTCACCAAGAGAGGGTAGAGTACATCAGAGCCCTTCCATGTCCAAGTGTTAGAAACGCCTTGGTTTCCAATAACGAATCTGTGTGGAAACCCACATTTCCCAGAGCTCGCAAAGGGGAAGACTCCATCTTCTCTAGGCTCATTTTTCTGGCTGAGACGTGACAGACAGTGGATGAGGCCAGGCTTGACGAGGAGGTACTGAAATACTCGATGTTGAACATTGAGCGGGAGCTTGTCGAACGGGAAAGGCGGGATAGTGACAATTTCACCACCCTCTGCTGCATCGCTCTGCTTATCCTGTGAGAGAAGAAGTACTTCGTCACGCTGCAAATCATCTCGGGGCCGACGTAATTGTCTATCCGTGTACTTACGCCCTGCCCATTGAAGGTCGGGGTGGACCGTTTTGGGATTCATTGACATGTTCCCTTGGCGGCAAGATGTTCGAACAACACAATTCCAAGAGACCGGTTTACCGTTACTGCTAAGGCGACCATGCATGTAAGCATCTGCTAGCTTTCGCCAAGGCTACGTACGACATTCATTAGTATTTATTCCCTCGAGCTCACTCAACAGTTTCCTATTACTTACGATGGAAGGCTCGCGGATACCGTTGAGCTTGTTCAAGAGGTTATCAACACGGGCTTCAAGCGTGGCTTTCTCGGCCTCATGATCTGCCTGGAGTTGATTCTCACGTCGAAGCGCACTTATTCGGACTGATCTGAGCTCCTCGGTTTTTCTCCGCAGCATGCGTCGTAGGATTTTTGCGCTGGTATTGATGTCGACTTCCGATTCATCCAGATTCTCCAAGATTTCTGCCTCGACGGACGGGTCTGTTAACGGTTAGCTGGGTTCAAAGATTGTCACATGAGTGAAGGAAAAAGCTTTACCTTCGGCCTCACTATCCGAGTCTTTTGAACTGATATCATCTCCTTGATTGTTACCATCCTCTGCTTCGCAGTTTTCATCATGCTCTTCGTGATTACTATTGATCTTGTCAGAATCATTATCACCGGAGTTCTTGATTGTATCATCGTTTAAGTCTTGCTGATGAGAGCCGTTGTTAGTAACAGGGTTATTGTTCTGATTCGAATTGTCATCAGTAGCAGGAGAAGCTGTGTGAGTTGGATTGGCTGAGCTGCCTCCTCCAATGTAACCTTTTTGCTCCAGCATGGCAGTATTCTCATCATCGTGATTGGAGTGACCCTCAGGTCGATTGACATCATTGCTGCCTTCAAGCTCAGCCTCACCACTGTCACGACAGTATTGTTGAACTTGTTGCTCAGGAACGTCCTCTTTGTTAAAACTGTTAGACGAGTTTTCATTATGAATGACATTGCTTGATATGTCTTCTTCTGGTGACATGTCTTCATCCTTACCCTTTGATGGCTCAGCGGGCTGGAAGTGGGATCCGACCATTGGATCGGCAGGAGCTCCTGTGGTAGCTGCAGCATTCGATTGATTACCGGCACAGGTCAGTGTAGGATCTTGACTACTCGGAAGACTGCCAGATCTCGTGGTCTCATCCGGGGTGTCTGAGTGAGGTCCTAGCGCACCTGGAACGTTCTGACGATCGCCTTGCAGCTCACCATTGCCAGAATCGTGGGGAGCTTCGTCTGAAGACATGATGATAGCTGTGTGGCATATCAAGACGAAATTCTTGTGCTGAAGATGAGTGATTGGGATGAAAGGGAATTATTGTAACGGAAGATGAGAAGTATAAAAAACGTGCTTGATGGAATAAATGTATTGTTCGAAAAGTTCTCCTACCAAACGTTCTAGAGTCAAGAGACCAATTGGTTTCTGTCGTGTTCTTGACAATTGCGGAAGTTGTTGGCGACGAGAAGAAGGTTTGATGAATGAGAGAATAAAGAAGATTGGGTAAGTGATGTGTGGTAGAGAAGTTGTAATTTGCTTGGCATGGGGGAAATGTTGTGGATGGCGAGGAGCGTTGATTGTGACGGTAGTGGTGAAAAGCGTTTGAATATATAGGCGTATAGAATCCGCTGGTAGTATTTATCACTTAATCTACCATTGGAAAGAGCAGATTGATTGATCTCAGAGGCAATCACGTAAGAGCCCGACGTGAGCAGAAGATCGCAACGCTCGAGAAAGGTCGACTTAATAATGTGGATTTGGATGGCAGGAAATAGAGTGTAGGATGAAGAGAGGAAGGACCGGCGGAAAAGAATGCCTGTGTAGTGAATATAAAGAGGATTGAGTATTTGTGAAGAGGTCACGGTAGTTTTTATGAGAAAGGATAAACTATCTCCAGTTGGTGGTCGATAGAGCTTAAATGACATGCAATATAAGCACGCTGTAAGTAGTCTGCTTGAAGAAGTTACTCTGTGAGGATAGAAAGGGAAATGGCGATGCACGTGCACCTTCCATGACTATTTAAACCGGTTCCCCAAAGGTTTGTTGATTTTCCAATGAATTGATCTAGTCCACTAATTACTGTGAACAAGTAAAGGGGAAGTATAACGCCAACGATAAAGAGAAAAATGTGATATATTTATTATTTGTATACAGGTAGACGAGACAACACATCCGTGGACAGTTTTACTGGTATGATGGGAGTATTGAGAAAAGGACACATTCGAGACATCGTATAATTGAACTGCGACTATGAACTACATATGTGGCCAAATATTATACTCGAGAGTCTGTAGATTGATTTCTGAATAGCATTCTAGTAAAAAGGCTAGAAAGAGATTATAAGTCATCTGATACTTGTCGAGCTATAACCTTAGCCAATTAGAAGAGGAACTAATGAAACGTGCGGCGCATACGATGAGAATAAACTTTGAACTCTGAATATTGCCCGTCATTACTTAGCAATGAGATTGCTTTAAGAGTGAAAAAATAGCCACGGACATGATCTTGTGCGGCTAAGGACTCGATAATGAAGAGATACATACATTCTAAATTTATATAATATCGATGAGCACTCCTTGATTCACTGGTTTTGGTAGACGGCTTCTCTTTTTGGATCCCGATGGTTAGATAGTGGTGTTGCTCTCCAGCCCTACGGTCTAGTTGAACAAAACCTTAGCATAAAGCATAGCTTATCCCACCGAAGAAAGAAGGAACAAAGTAACGGGCCTCATGGTCATATATGAAGTAGAGACATAATCATATCATATCATGTCAAAACATGCAATAATCATGGTACTGCAAGGACTAGCACGAGCAAAACCTATTGGACAATTATGCCCTTCTAAATCTATTACACTTTGAAAGAAAGCCGGCCGCCCCGTAACAATACTCAATTCCATCCTATGAATGCAACAACTTTATCCGGTTGAATTAAAGATTTCCGTGCAACAGTCCCCAACGGGATTTCTATGTCTTCTTAAAAAGAAATGTTGCAAGACGTTTTGATGCAGTCAGGAGGCCTGGACTAATAAACGATTGAAGAAAGCACGCTATGGAAAGATTCATTTCTAATGAGATAGCCACTATTTGACGTTGAATACCCCTACCGAGACTCAATTTCTGTGTGATTTGTTCAAACTGACGATGCGGCCGCGACGCCATGGAATAGAACAACTTCCAGTCGTCGAGAAGTCGAGACATGCGCATCGGTTGGCGTGGTCCCAGCTTGAGCGCATGTCTATTATTTGATGATGCCTTCGATGTGCGCATCTTGATCCAAATGTGCTTCCTGTGAGCAATCTAATTATAGATTCGGCTAACACATCATTGAGTTAATATGTCGTCTCATATCCTAACACTGCCTTGAGTATTATCTGGTGGGGGGAATTTGTATCACAGCTTTGCGGGGGATCCCGTTGCTTGTTTAGGGAAGTGGGCTTGTCCATATAAGTAACGAGTGTGGTTACACGTAATACTAAAGTAGCCAATGACACTCTGTGGTCATCCTTGAGTTCAAAGATCTGCAAGCCAAACTCTCAAGTAAGATGCAAAGGCGGCGTATGATAATGCCAGCTGGACTGCTAATTTGTTCAAAACCTCTAAACGCTGTTGTGGAACAAGGCAAAAAAAAGAAACACAAACTTGACAGGTACTGCACCCGTGAGCTATTTCGACGAATCAAATGGGTTGTCAATTCAAAGAGATGAATACATGACGCTCGCATTACAGCCTGTAGCGAGTCTGCTTAGGACAGGTCAGGAATCCAGCACATATGCACCTCGATACCAACAACAGTTCAAACAAGTTCGGAATGAACGTTACCGCGATATTCCTTACGATGCACATCTGTACAAACGACACCATCGTGGGTTCCGGCCTATCGTTCCTATTCGAGCATGAAAGCATCTACCCGTACGATCCGTCGGCGATTTGACGTAGTGCCTGTTTACATAGCCGGCGTAGACCGCTGGCAGCGGTTTTCAATGAGCTTTACCACGCCGCCAACGACTGGATTCAATGCCGCCAATCAACTGTTGCAATTGAGCTTGGGGTCATGTCGATCGCATACAATGCCAGCAGGTACCGGATTATACTTTCTAATTTTATTGTCGATGCAACCAAGAGGCCAAGCAACCTACCAAGAACGCTTAGCCTCCATAAGCTTCATCAAGCACGTGCCAAGTTACACTCCACCTCCATTTCTTCAGCGTTTCACCTGGCGCTAATGCATTATAGGCCTGCCTAATTCAGTGTAGCCGTCTTGCTTATCCGGCATTGACAATTAATTGAGTTACTATATTCGGGAAGACGCACATTCGTGCCGCCCCATTGATGCTACATATAAGTATTCCAGATGTCTTGGCGTTTCTTGGCTCCTCATTTCCCGCCCGCTGTCTTCTTATCGGGAGACAAGAACAGCAACGGCACGCGCGTCTCTTGGTTCCGTTGGCAGGAATGGCATTCAAGGTTCATGGCATGGGTATACCGAACCCATGGCTCATTGCCATCGGGCCTCCACGGCGGTGCCATGGATCGAAAATGGTGGCAATCTGAGTACTTATAGTCGTGGGTTCATCCCATCTCTGAGTACCTTGATGGACAACTCACGAAGCCAATTCGCAGTTCGATAACTCTGAAAATGCTCTCCAAGGCCCTGCCCGTCGCCGCCCTTGCTGGCGCAGCTATGGCTGCTTGCCCTCTCTCTGTTGAGATTGCTGGCACTGACAGCCATATTGTCCAGGTCGCTGTCACCAACACTGGTAGCGAGCCTCTCACTGTCTTCAAGGGTAACACCGTTTTCAGTGAGCACGCTACTCTGGACCTCTTGGTAGATGACGCCGGTATGTTACTCTCTTCTGCACAGACTTGTACAAGCTGGAGCATCAACACTAACAATGCAAATCTAGAGGGCAATGCTTTGCCATTCGACGGTATCTACGTCAACTACAAGAAGAGTGGTCTTGCACCTGAGCACTTCCAGACTATCCAGCCTGGTGAGACTGTCACTGCCTCTGTTAACGCCGCCAAGACCTACAACCTTGACGGTGTCGCCGAGGCTCAGGTGACTGCTATCCAGGGCTTCAAATACATTGAAGGAACCGAGGCTCCTGAGACGTTGGCCGACACCCAGTTCTGTGAGAGCGTCAGCTCCGCTCCCGCAACCATCACCCCCGACCAGAGCAGTGTCGCTGAGTAGGTCTGAAAACCGTCTCGGATTTGAACCCAGACTGACAATTTCTCTTCAGAACACACATCAGCACCGTTGGTGCTGATTTCAACTCCCGCATCAAGAAGCGAGACATCACCTACAGCTCTTGCACCACCGCCCAGACAACTTCTCTGAAGACCAGTGTCACGGATGCCATCTCGTTGGCCACCAACGCCAAGACCGCTGCCGCCTCTTCCTTGTACTACTACACCACCTGGTTCAAGTCCACCTCCGTCTTGACCAAGGTCCAGACCATCTACCAGGATGTCGTCAACGTGCGCACCACGTCGCCCAAGATCTCCTGCACGGACACCTACAGCGACTGTACCGACGGCACTGCCCTGCTCTACACCGTCCCCAGCGCCAACGTCATCGTCCCCTGCCCCAACAACGGCTACTGGGACTTCCCTGAGCTCGCCACCACCTGTACCGACTTCGACTACGACAAGGCCGGCTCCATCCTCCACGAGATGACCCACTTGTACGGCACCGACGACTACGCCTACGGACCCACGGCCGCCAAGAAGCTGACCGCTGCCCAGGCTGCTGCCAACGCCGACACCTATGAGATGTACTCCAACAGCGTCAGACTCAAGGGCTGCTCCGGCTAAATCATGTCAGGAGTATTGTGGTAGGACCGATAGCTAGTACTGGCATTGCGTGGCTATGTTTGAACGCAAGGAGAATATACAATCGGTACTCATTTAGATTCTTGTGTCCTATGCTGCCCAGGTGATACGTCTCCACTCGTGTTCGCACCATGCAAAATTATTATCATTGCTCTGTAGGTTTCGCTAGCTGGGTTGAAGTGTCCTGGTTCAGGGATTCGGGCACTTGGTACTTACACTTACAAGCCCTTGGTGTGCCTCGTGTGTCATCATCGGGGAAAGGAGTAATAGAGATCTTTCTCCATCGATACGCATCGGATTTTGCTTCCTCTGGCATCTTCCTGCTCTTCAACTGCTCCTCTTTTCTTTTGGTGAATCCATCTAGCAGTATATCATTACTGCGTAATTGGCATAGTGTATGGCTCTGCAAACGCAGATCTCGCAAAGGCTCGGGTCCGAAAGTATCCCAGCATTGAGGGCATTGATGGGATAAAGCATGTTGCCGAATGCGAACATTTAGATACGGATTTAGAGTGGTATGGTGGAATGAGCCTTGAAGGGTCCTAACTTTACACGATACATTTCAACCCACCTGGGGCTGACACAAGGTATTTGTCTGCAATACTTCCGAGTATTTCTATTGTGATATGGACAGGCGAACCGACGGCCAACATCGTGCACCATACATATATCGACAGCGTCGATATCAACGTCCTTTACCTTCTTGGAAGTGTTGTCATTGTCGGCATTCCCGACTTTCGTCTTGTGCGTTGTGTAAGTCACAGTTTGCTGCTACGACTCCCTACAGGCGTCCTCGCCTCGACTATAAGCACCTGTATTTCGCTTAGTCGGGCTATATAATTTAAAGAAGCACTATCTTGAAACCAGCTGCCGCAATGACTGACGATCTTGTATACTTTCGGTTATTTGTAGGCGCCCCCATTTAATACACGTTCTATGGGTCTTCAACATCATGCATAAGCCGTCGTCTCTCAGCCCCAGGCAGTTTCTAGTTAAGGCTGCCGGTCTGATCGTGCATATGTAGCGCCGCTTCTTGTACTGCTTCATTGCCAAAGGGAATATGACGACTACAACCCGCTTTGATATTTATTATTTTTCGCGTGCCGAAAGCTATGCATGGCTTTTATGGGTGCTGCCTTACCGAATGGATGAAGGTGATCTTCTGATACTGGTAGTATGAAGTAAAAGGTTTTGTTTAGCGCGCTGAAGCTAGACGGTTCCTCTGGGAGCGGCGTGCGGTCATGAGAATGACCACTTTCAAGGTGTAGATCTGTAGCGGCGAACGTGGACATGGCGAATGTTATAGGCGGTTGACAAGATGGAGACTGATACAGAGGTGGGGTTTTCCAGGTACTTCTTATTCTCCAACCTAAAAGAGGCTGCACATTATTGGGCCAAACCAATGACAGAGCGAATCATTAAAGGTGATATTGATGGAAATCTGAATTGCTCGATAATGAAAACAAGACCAAAAGCGTAGGGGCTTCATTACATTGACACTTTGAGTGAAATTGAGTCCAATAAGAGATATGATACAGAGTGGCCACCGATAGCTGTATAGCAATCTACCCTACATACTTTCGCTCATGTACGCCAAACTGGAGCATGGGCCTTTCCACATATGCACCGAATATGCATGTCTGAAAGCCAACATAGTGATCAGGCTGTACGGACGCCACCATATCATTGGGGGTTCCTTTTTTCTCACTTGACAGTGCCGAAATGTGATATACCGCCTGGTAAAAGCCGCTGCGTCAGACGTTAGGTTGTGTCGGCGCAGCAAGAGATGAGATGCGGTCAAAGATAGGAACGTCAGAAGCCTCTCATGAATTGGCACTGGAATGGGAACCTCCCCCCCCCCCTTCCCACATACATACTGTCTCACGGCAAGTTACAGCGGCTGTGGGGTTTGGACCGTGCACACCTTGCAGTTGGACGCCACCAAGATCAGTAATAAGGAAGGGCAGGCAAGTTGACGTTAGACCACTTGCAGCCAGACACTTTCAATGTGCATCGTTTTAACAGCCAACGTCACATTCTCTTTACCTGCACGTAGTCTACGAGAAAGCCGGACATCCAAATTCTCGTCGCGCACCTTCGATTTCGCATTTCTTACTTTATTATACTACGCTCGATCACTATGGCCGACGTCGCAGCCATCCAGGAAGATATCCAGCAATATCGCGAGCAGGTAAGCCGTCACCTCGACCACCCAGCCTTCACCGTGCTTTACCCCCCTAGCTAACCACTTGCGCAGCTCGAGGTAGTCGACGCTGGCCTCCGAGATGACCCCAATAATGCAGAGCTCTTAGCTTTAAAATCAGAGTTAGACGATGCGCTCGCCCTGCTGAACGAGACCCTTGCTGAACTGAAGCCTGCGAAAGCACCACCCAAGCTTAAAGCTCCGTCGCCGCCTGCCGAGGCTCCGAAATGGTCCCGTGAAAACCACCCTGCGTTCAAGAAGGCAGCACTTCCCGAAGAGAAGGAAGAAACCGGCCCGGTCAACTACAATGTCAACGACAATGTCGTGGCCAAGTGGGTTTCGGGCGACAAAGGTTTCTATCCCGCCAGGATCATGTCAATCACGGGTTCGTCAGCGGCGCCCATCTACATTGTCAAGTTCAAGAGTTACGACAATACAGAGCAGCTCAGAGCAAAGGACATCCGCCCAGTCGCTCAGAAGAGGAAAGCCGACGGAACACCTACCGGCAGCAGCACGCCAGTCCCAGCCCCCTCGCTTTCACAGCCTCCGCCGCCACCCACAGTCGCCCCCGCCGCCCCAGCTCCTGGCGTCATCTCTTCGGCTGCCAGTATCGACCCCGAACTGGTCGCCAAGAACAAGGAGGCAGCACAAAAACCCGATCTCGATGAGAAGCCCAAGGCCAAGAAGATCAGATCGACCAAGGAGCTCGTCGCTGGGAAGAACAAGTGGCAAGAGTTCAACTCAAAGTCCAAGTTTGCAAAGGCAGGAAAACCCAAGAAAGACAGCATGTTCCGGACACCCGAAGGTGTCACTGGCAGAGGTCAGACCATCCTCTCCCCCTATCTCCTATTCCTAAGTTTGTGACCATAGCTAACTCTGTCAAACAGTGGGCTTTACAGGGTCTGGACAAGCCATGCGGAAGGACACCGCCAGAACTCGCCATATCTATCAAACGAACGATGAACTTGATTGAGACTAATGCTGCCTCTAGGTAGCCTCGCTTGACGCTGGACAACAAGGCGAACCTGATTGTTCTACGGGTATGACGGCGTTGGGAATTTCGGATTAGGGGAGTTCAGGCTTTGACCCTTTCTTCTTTGCCTCTTTTCCGTTGCGAATGCTAACTTGGTCTACGAGCAACATGTCTCTCTCATCATCCCCTGCCAGTGCTGTATTCAGGTCAGCTGCGGGATTGTTGTATATGGAATAGAAATTTCATAGAATGCCAAGGTTTCTACATTGCATTGCTTTGATCAAGCCGGAGTCGATTGCTAAGTCTTTGGTACCAACAGGAAACAGAGCGCGCCTTTTCAATAGTCAACAAGGTTACTTTTATCTCCTCAGTTACACCTGATGGTCGTGAAGCCAAAGAATGGGAGCATGTGTCCCCCCCCGGAAGTCGACGCTGTCTCTACGCCCAGTTTGTTGTGATTGTTGTGAATATTACAATCGCTAAATTGACAATGATATCTTACAGTCCGATTTTCCTGCCGACTTCTTCCGCAATTTTCATGAACGCCTGAGCTCTCGAGCTGTCGGGTTCCGCGACCACCGTAGGCTTGCCCTGATCGCCATGGTCGCCAATGTTGGGATGCAGAGGGATATCACCGAGCATGTCTATGCCATGCTCCTGACAGACCTTCTTGACCCTCTCACTGGAGCCGAAAACGGCCGTCTCGTGATTGCAACATGGGCAGTTAAATATGCTCATGTTCTGCACTAACCCCAGCAACGGCACGTTGACCTTTTTGAACATATTGATACCTTTTACCGCGTCCTTGACCGCCAACGTGTGTGGTGTAGTCACGATGACTGAGCCGTCCAATTCGATCTGTTGCGTAATGGTCAGCTGCGTGTCGCCAGTGCCCGGTGGTAAGTCGAGCACCAGCACATCCAGACCGCCCCAATCGACTTCATGGAGAAGCTGTTGCAAGGCTTTCATGACCATCAGACCACGCCACGCCACGGGCGCATCCTCGCCGACCAAGTAGCCCATGGACATGGTCTTGACGCCATAGTTGGACATGGGTACCAGCTGGTTATCTGTGTAAAGTCAGTAAAGCGGAGCTCGAGAGCTACAGTGGCTATCTTGGGGGATATCTACTTGACGATAACCGCGGCTCCCCAGAAAGATCAAATAATGTTGGAATGGACGGGCCGAAGATGTCTGTATCTAGTATACCAGTTCGGTGGCCCTGCCGAGCGAAAGCTAGGGAGAGGTTGGCTATTTTTTGACGTATTAGTCCCATGATCCGTGCAAACTTAGACCAAGCACAGTAAGGTGGAAGATGATGCTGGACATGGTTTTCATGAAAAATCACTGAGATACCATGCTACGTACCGGCTACTGTGCTCTTGCCCACTCCGCCCTTGGCCGATGATACCGCGATGACCTTTGCGACATCTTTGATCTTACGGCGCTCCGGCAGACCTCTTTGGAACCGCGGAATAGAGCCAGTCCTGGGCAGCCCCTATTCTTCGTAAGACGATGATCCGTTCTGACTCGGTGCGTTGCAAACTCACCAGGGGATTTTCATGTTGAAGAGCTCGGAGCGCATGGAAGAGACGAGGCGCAGAGGCCTTCATGACCGCACGTGCTTTGAAGCACTGTATTGTCACTATGTATGAATTTGGGTGTTCAACAATCCCCCCCTTTTTCTCTGGAGTTGAATTAAGCTCGACCGAGCATCGCAGGGTTTCTTTGCTGAAATAAGAGATTTACCAACAACGTGCCCAGCAGCGCGGATTCCTCCTCTGAAGGATGGGGGATGCAGCGGCTGCAAGCGAGGCTGGACTGGTGGGTGGGTTCAAGAGAGGCTGCACTGCAGCAGACGGAGCTTATTTTCACCATCAAATCGGCCGCGCTGAGCTTAATTCGACGTTTTTTAGGCGTCGCGCCGATGTGAACACCCTCCCCAGCGGGGGGGCCAGGCGCCCACTTTTTGCTCACTGGGAGATGCGATGGGGGGCGGGGCGGGGCGTGCGCCAGCTCAGTTTCTGCCATGCGACACCGCTAAAATTTTCTTGAGGGTCCTTTCTACTGTGCAGTGGGGCCGAGCAACGTTTGGCAATCGGTTACTTCGCTGCCAGATGCTTTGGATAACGGAGCGGAAGTCGATTGTTTTATTTTGATTGGAGCATCTGCGTTTGCCGATACACACAATTACAAGATGCCCAAAGCAAAGGGAAGAGCGAAGCAGTTCGCTGATTGGGAAGAGAAGCCCGTGCAAGGTTCGTCAAGCTTCCTTTCAATTGCGACTTGATTTCGCAGCATCGCTGACCGCGGGAAACCCCCCCAACCAATAGATTACGACCCTGAAACCGAACCACGCATCGAAGATGAGGAGAGTGACGACGATGATATTGACGAGGATGCCGGCACGGAGCACTATGTCTCCGTCGGCAAGTCGAAGCTCCAGCGCAAAGACCCCGTCTCCCTCGGTCCGCAGTATCGCGGTGCGCGCGTGAGCCGCGATGCGCTTGACCAGTCCTCTGATGACGACGAAGACGACGACGAAGAGGAAGAGGACGATCAAGAAGGGCTGGGGTCTGATTCGGAAGACTACGAGAGCGCACAGGAGGGGTTCGATGACCCCGATGACGCAGATCTGGAGAGAGACCAGCTGGAGCATGATGGCGAGGACGCTGAGATCGACAGCGAGGACGCGCTTGGCGAGAGCGACGAGGAGAGGTTCAAGGACTTCACGTTCAGGGGCAGCTCCCAGGCTCTGCCGGTGAGAGGAAAGAAGGTCAAGAGACCAACGGCGTCTGACTTCATGGACGAGGAAGCCGACGAGTCGGAAGACGACGAGGGTCGATCACTACAAGCCGATGAAGACGAGGAGGATGACAGCGAAGAGGATGAGGACGCTTCTGACCTCGAGGGATTCATCGATGACGGCGAGGACGAATCGGAAGAGGAGGACGATGAAGATGAAGAGCGAGGTAGCAGTGGCAGCGATGACGACGAAGATGAGGCACCAGCCGCCAAAGGCAAGCGCGGAGATCTGGCCTCCACGTTCGCCTCGGGAGCGCAAAATATCACTGGTGCCATTGCCAGCTCGATCCAGAAGGACGTCGCCAAAGGTCAGGCCGTACGGCAACAAAGAAAAGCATTCGATGCAGCACTTAACATCCGGATTCGCTTGCAGAAGGCTTTGGTAGCAGTCAACTCCTTCAGCGCCTCGGACGAAACAGAGGCGACGACGGAGCCTTATGAAGCCGCCGAAGCTGCCGCAGTCAAGCTGCTGAATACCATTGGCGACTATCGCTTCGCCATGCAAGGAAAGACCGGCCAGAAGAGGAAAAGGGGCCTTGATGTGGGTGCATCTAGTGGAGACATTTGGGATAGCATCCAGGAGCTCGAGCGTCCAGCAGTGGCACGCCGGAAGGCTGTCCTAGAGAACTGGTCTAAGAAGGTGAAGGCTACGCAAGCGAACAACTCGGGCATCAGCAAAGGAAGCAAGTTCGTCAAGGTTGACGAGCCTCTCACCATGCTTCTGGAGAACCAACTGCAAGATTCCGAAAGGCTCATCAAGCGGACACGAGTCCCTCGATCTTGCGCCCCGGTCCAAGTCTCACAGAAGGTCAACGAGGACGCAGACATCTACGACGATGCAGACTTTTACCAGCTGCTTCTGAAGGAGCTGGTCGATCAGCGCACTGCCGACACAGGTGCCGCCGGGCAGGCAGCAACAATCCGTTATGCCGCCGTCAAGGAGGCAAAGAACAAGAAGCACGTAGACACGAAAGCGAGCAAAGGCAGGAAGATGCGGTTCAACGTGCACGAGAAACTACAAAGTTTCATGGCACCGGAAGACCGAAGGGGCTGGGAGCAGCATGCTATTGACCGGTTCTTCGGCACTCTCTTCGGCCAGAAGATGGTACTCAACGAAGATGAGGCCACTGACGAGGAGATGGGCGATGATGTCGATGCCGCGGAAGCTGGCCTTCGCTTGTTTAGAAATTAGATATCGGGTTAGACTATAACTACAATCCACCCGATGAAGCATTATATGTTGCCTAAGCTGACGTTGAGGATATTTGAATTGTGACAGCAGCCATTTCAAGGCCGGCACACGCGCTCACGGGTTTTCAGGTTGGGAACGTAGGAACCTCCACGTGGTAGATTATGCACAGTCTCATCCCACGGCCTCGAGAGCTAAAATGTTATTTCACTGGTGTGATGGTTCTTGTTCTGCAAGAGCTCTACTGCACAGCATTTCCTTTCAAAATTCGACACTGCCTCATGCCTATTACCATGACGTGCACGCGAGGCTGACCACGGTTGGCCTGGCCCGAAGCTTGATTCTTACCTACCAACCACACTGCTGCATTAGATCATGGTTAGAAGCGAAGATGCTCGCCAATCATCTGTGCACATTCGCCGCAAGTGAGTTGGTTCTGTTGTGCTCGATTAGTTCTAGCGCGTAACGGTTTACTATTAGAATATGCACCCCTTGCGTGAGACGAACGGCCCATTGACCAGGGGGAAGTGTGTTTCCAGGTACCAGGCCAAAAGTGATCTCAACCACTACTAACCTAGGCGTTGGAGTGCTGAGTCCAAACACTCGACATATTTAGGAGAACTAGGTTTCAACCGTCAAGGGGAGCAACTGCAACTTTCATGATAGCCCCGTCATACTTTTCACGCTCTACCTTGTCAAACGCCCAATGTCATTTCCCCTCATTTCGTGAGTGCGTCAAGGGCATGGACTAAGAAAAGCAAACACCATACCGGGTCAATGCAACTTGCTTGGTTGTTGTTTTTACTCCATAAATCAATATTTTTACCCCACTGTAACCCTTGCCATGATGTGACAACGTTGGTGTGAGTCGTCTTGTAATTGGGACTAGTTTGTAGCACCAAGAATTTCTTTCTCCAATCGAAGCTTCACCCCCTATATGTTTGTCTGCTCGAGGGTTCGAGAAAGACATCGAAAGCCTTCCGTTGTACAGATTGAATCGAAATCGGTCGGCACAGGCAGAACAGGTACATGACTTGGTTGCACGTGCGTGCCACGTCCACCACGCGCCACCACGCGCCACCACGTACATTAAGGAGAACCAGATGCTGCCGTGCATTGTAGTGGAGGCATAGGCGAGACCCAAACGAGACGTGTTGTGGTTGGGGCATGCGTTTGGTTACAGGCGCTGACCAACAACCCCAGCAGAGCACTCGACACTTTGCGACCACATCTCGCCCCTTGTGGCAATTGCCCTTGCATGTCCTTTGAAAAACATAAATTTCATGCTGGAACCCAAGCTGCCATTTTAATTCTTTGGCTAGCCACAAGTTTCGTGTGGTCTTCATTGAGCGGCCCTAGCCGCTGTACTTCTGTCGGTTGTGTGGCCGCATCTTCGGGGGTTCACCACTTGACACCATGGCGCCCAATCAATATCGTCCGTGGTCTATCCGGGGATTTTCCTTCAATAAACCACCGTTCTCGAAGCCCGCAGTATTCTTGGCCATATTGACACAAACTTCCTTCATGCCGTCACGTCTGCCTCGTGGCACAGTCCGTCAACTTCGGATCGAGACGAACTTACGGGTTATTTTCGAGGCTGTCTACCACTTCTCCAGATTCCTGGGAGCGGTGAACTTTTGGGCACGAATTCGAGATGTGTTGGGTTTCGACGTGAAAACGAAGGATTACCACCTGGAAGACATTGTTAATGCCTATTGTGCAGGCCGAATCGATTACGTCTTTCAAGAAGACCCGCCAGGGTCTGTTACTCGCATGGAAGCGCTGGCCGATGAAATCAATGAGGTCCGACGAGAAGCACGTGATTCGCCATGGGCCGGATATTCTGTGTCTCATCTAGACTGGCAGAAATTTTACCCAGCTTGGTTGGACAAGCTATATCAGGTCAAGAGAGATCTAGGGGTTACTGATGAACAAATGGAAAATGGAACTTGCGATCCACAGTTGCGTATGTACTGCTCGTTGGCTGCTCGCACCACACCAATGAGTCCCAGAATGAGGAAACAAGACGAGGCTCTAGCAAAGCAAACAGCAGGATATTCCAGCAAACATGACGAGCACAGCACCCGCCTGGATCTGCAGCCAAAGCGTGAGACTTCGAATGACGAAAGACGTAAGATGTCGAACCAGGTCCGGTCACCTCGACAGGTCTTCCAGAGTCATGTGGCCACAAATTCGAGTGAAGTGAGGGATGCTTGTGTGGAACAGCGGCCTCGGAAGCGGCGACACAGCGAGTGCAGCCAGCAAACTAGTCCGGAACCGAAAAGAACCGCTATTGGGTCACTCATAGTAGAGCCACAAGTGTCTGACGATAACATAGTAGCCGCATTATCTGCCATAAATAAAACGAAACCCCAGCAAGACCAAAGCACAGACTTGGCCGCAAATGCTGACGACCAACCATCTTTACTCTCGACGACCGCCGAACATGCAAAAGAGAAAGAAGAAGTGGCTATGGAACTTGACTCGCCGGAAGTGCCAACACAGCCAGACTGTAGTCTTCCACCAAGATCACCGGTGCAGCCGACAGCATCAGTTTCTGGTCCCCGAAAAAGCCCGTCGCTTACGTCCGGCACAGAACCCGGTATGAGGGTAGGGCTTGATTTCCCACGAGACACGGATAAAATGTCCAACCAGTCTCATAATATCGTAGAACTCGTGAATATCGAGTCCAGAAGCCCCAATCCAACTCAAGACGCCATGCCCTTACCTATGAAGGTGCCAGGTCCGGAACCAGAGCCTTCAGATGCGGTACACGAACTCTTGATGAGCCTGGAATTACGACAAAAAAGGCTAGAAGATATGGAAGCATCAATGCGTGTCTGGCAGGAACAGTTTGCCAAACAACCTTCTATGCAATCACAAGAGCGAATCGAGAAACTCGAGGCGCAGGTGCAACATCTTAGTGCTCAGCTCAACCAATCTGAGCAAAAAAGGGTATCTAGTATGGAGTTGTTGGGAAAGACCTTGGAGAATGAACAGAAACAGAGGTCCATCAACAGACAAAGAGTGGATAAGCTGGAGAACACCATAAAAACTGTCGGACAACCAAAGGATCAAACCTCACAGGACGTTAAAATAGAAGCGCTAAGAGCCTTGGTAGTTGAGTTGCAAGAAGACAGAGGGCTGTACAAAGAGAGAATTGAGAGGCTCGAAAGTTCAACCCAGACCACTCAAGGAACCCAAACTCAGGCGACAGTCGCTCGAGTACACGCATTGGAGACTCGTTTTGAGGAACTCAAAAAGTCACAGGTATCTGGACAAGACCAAATGACAGACATGACGGCTGAGATTCTAAATCTAACAAATCTAATTGACGCTCGGCCCGAAAAGAAACACCTTACGAAGCTGGCTGCTTGCGTGAAGGGCGTTGAAAGTCGGCTGAAGGAGCTAGACCGCCGGGGAGACCAACAGCAAAGCTCCACAAATGATCTTGTCGGGGACTTTGAAAAGCACCTTACTGAACTCAGGGAAGAAGTCACACAACAAACGTTTGGGCTGGAAGGACAACTCAAGCGTATCGAGAGCCGGGTAAATCAGGTCGATGGGCAGCAAAGCGTCTTCAATAACCTCGCCCATGAATTGGAAAAGCGCCACACAGAACTCAGAGACAAAGTTGCTCAGCGAATATCTGGATCCAGTGGTCATGCCAAGGACTCCGACAAGCACCAACATGTGCTTGGGGACGAAATGACTCAGTGGACCTCTGGGTCACATGATCTAATTGAAGACTTGAAGAAGCGTCACAGTGATCTCAAGGACGATGTTGCTCAAAGGACATCCGAGTTTGAAACAGCTGTGAATGAGCTACAGACTCACGTTGCCTCGCTCGCACCAAGAAAGGGGCTTCTCCGAAAGTTCCACGAAGAATTAGAAGACTTGAGAGCACAACACGCACAGCACTCACAGTCCTTGAAAGAGCTTACGTCCAGCAATGATAGCATAAAAAAACAGGTCGAGCGCATACCTCAACTTGAGGAGGACGTGAAGACCTTCAAGAAACAACGCAACCTAAAAACTCCGGGTAAGCGGATCGAGTCTCTTGAGCAAACGACCACAAAACTGTGGGATCTCCTGCACCAAAACTCCTTGACAATAGAGGTCAAAAGCCTGGCAACAGCCATCGGGGCTTTAGAGACCCGCCTGCTTGGACGTGCCTCCGAGGAACGTGTCACAGAGCTTGCAACGGTTGTCCAAGACGTCAAAGCGCAAATGCTCCAAGGTTCAAATGCTGTGCTTGATAAAGTTGCCACAGACCTATGCGACGTCAGGGAGTATATGGATCACAGTTTGGAAATGACCAAATTCATCACTCAGAAGAATGTGCAGAGACTGAAGGAGCAGGTCGAAGAAATTCAAAAGGGACTCCGTCACACGCAACTAGTTGAGCAACCCCTCAATCCTGTCACGTCAATTGACACAGCTCTCAATCTGCGCAATGACGACCGGTTCGCAGATCTTCAGCGGCAGTTTAACGAAGTTCGAGAGCAGCTGCGGCTTGTAAATGGGCTACAGATTCCCGTGCGACTGCTGAGCCCGTCCATTTCGGACCTGGAGTCATTGGCAGGCCAGCCGGGCCAGCCCGCAGAGGTGAAGGACTTCATGGCCAACGTTATGACACAAATTAAGGGGCTGAAGGGTCTCATGAGGAACAAGCTACTGGAGTTGGATAATGTGGAAGAAGCTGACGAGGATAAAAAGGGAGCCATTGCCGAGGTGGCTTTCGAGCTGGACTCTGTCTTGCGTTTTACCCGTGACAAGATCCTGAAGTTATCTTGATGCAATGCACGCGTAACACGCACTGAACTGCGTGAAATAATGGTTTAACGGGAAGGGATTCGCTGTCACGCATGGTATCAACCCGACAAAACCCACTAATTGGCACCCCTTGCACCATTAATTACCATTGCTGATTTGGTTGGCACTGACGCATGTGTTTGCTCTAAATCTCAATATGGCTTTAATCATGCCATAGTTCGGAATTCAAACGGGTCAAAGCGTGGGGTGTTTGGGGGAGGATACCACGGGTGTGTAAGACTAAATGATTGAAGGAATAGGGGTTTACACCTAATATGGCCGCGCTGGTCATGACGGTAATCATAGGAATAATAATTTTCGTGCGCGTTTACCAAGATCATAATGGACGTAAAACCTGCGCCAGAACCTTTCGACTTTGTCTCTAACTAAACGGTAAGATGGTTAGCACGATGCGGCAATAAGAGACATGTTCTTCCATTATGATACAATCGGATTCCTAATCAACGACTTCAAATAACGCACTATATTCAGAGAAATTTTTGTTATAAGTTTGTGTTCCAGCGATAAAGAGTTGAGGGCATATAGGCGAACATATTTTAATTCGCTACCGAATTGGATCTACGTTATTACGTATTAGCGGTATGTTACACGAGTCTATCTGCTCAGCGCAAAACTGGTGGCGGGTGATTGACATTCTAAATTGTATTTTAAGAAACCCCCAAACCTTCTCAGATATAATAGAGAGTTGGATTATATTAAACTGGGCATCTAAGGTCGGCCTGAACACGGTGTCTCGGAGCTACAGGTAAGCATTCGATCATAGACTGGTGATCACGAAAACGTGTGTATACGAATCGAATACGTATGATTATGACGATTGTCAACGCGATCATAAACGTGATGGTCTGCCGAAGAACGCTACGTGAAAACACAAATATATATATAGCCATGGATCGAGGCCGCGGATCGATTGGAATCACGAAAGTTAAATGGACACGCCACCCTCCGTCAGTACCGAGGCTTCATCATCTCGGACGGAGGGATAAATGAGTTCTCATTTGGTGTGACTCTTAGTCTTGACTAAGCTCTACAGGGGTTCTTTTAATAGGAGAGATATGGTGTTGGTACTCCTGCTGGCCATCCAATTCCGTCAGACCTGTGTCTACCGGCTTCTCGTGTACGGCGCCGTCGATTGGCCTCGTTCCTTCAACTTCATCTTTTGTTCGATTCGCCCGATCGGCGCTGGCCCTTATCTTCTTCCGAAGGCAGAAATAGACCGCGGTAACTGCTCCGCAGACGGCAAGTGAGGCTCCTATCCCTATTCCCGCCTTCGCCCCCGTCGACAGACCATCGACCTGACCCGAGCCATCCTCGCCGATGGCAGGGCCTGATGTGGCGGTTACCATGACGGCCGGCGTGGAAGTCGAGGCAACGGCGCTGGAAGTGGCCGTCGCATTGGAAGCTGACCCTGCTGCCGCTGCGCGAGTGATGTTGAAGAAAGCCGATGTGACCGAGAGCGGCTGCGGCTTGCCCTGATCGGCCGACACACCTGCGTGGAGCCAGAGAAAGAACACGCTCGAGAACGAGAGATCCAGGTCGAACACCTGGATCGCCCAGTCGAACTGCGGAAACGCGTTCGTCTCGGTCTCTTGAGGAGGAACATCAGCAACACTTCAGCAAGGGGGGTTCTGGGGGACCGGGCACTCTACGTACGGAAAATGACCGGACCGAGCAGGGCGAAACCTCCTTCCAGGTTCTGCTGCCAGAGGGCTACGGTGTAGTTGGAATAGGTTGTCGTAAACTTGATCGTCTGCACGTCGCCGACGGCCCAAACTGCGTTGTCCGAGAAGGGACTCGGAGATTCGGGCGCATTTGGTGGATTGAAGAACTTTCCGACCGCAAGCGACTCCTGGTCACAGGAGACAAGAGTCGCAAAGAATAGAAACAGGGCTTTAGGCCTGATCATTGATGCACAACTTCAAACGGTATTAGTATGGCGTCGACGCGGGAGCTTTTCTACCGAATTAGTTCCTGGACACTGTTATGGACTGGAGGACTTCATGATATGGTACACGAGGCGGAAGAAGCAAAGCTACTGAACAACCCAAGCACTGCAACACTAGCAGCGAGAATTTCGCTATCATGGGGTGTGGGTTAAAGCTGAGACCTGGGTGTCTCTTTCCTGGGCTACCATGGGAGCCAGCACAGGGATCGTGACATGGTAATCTGGCTGAGTTGCTATAAGACTCATATCAGGCTACCTGTGTTAGGGATGCGGGAGAGGCTATGAAGCAAGTCAACTAGGATTTGCAGGAGGTCGACTAACCCAAAGCGGATATTGGCCTGCTCGTATTTTAAAGGCACTTCCTTTAAAAACACGGTACTTCGTTCTCGTTGGAAAGGTCACCCGTGGCTTCCCTGCTTTTTTTTTCTTTTTGGTGGCGTTCTTCATGTCGTTTTGCAATACTTAAGCACCGTCGTTACTATAGTTTTATAAGATATTTCCCTTTTATTAATAACGAGAAACGCTTATTAGGCTCAGAACCATGAAACCCCCTATCTTGAACGTCTCGTAGTAGTTAGTGAACCTCTATCTTCGTCGGCGGTGGCGACAAGGTCTTCGATCGGCTTCTCAGAAATGAGGTATATTCTCTTGAATGTAACGCCTTGCGTCCGGAAGTACCGCGAGTTCGGCCTCAGTCCGTAAGCAGGGCTTAGTTTTCAAAAGAGTTAAGGCTAGTCGACATGTTGCAAATCCTAGTCAACCTCCTGCATAGCCCTTTCAGGGGACACTCCCGAGACGTCAACGAAATTTAGTCGTTTCATGGCCTTTCATTCTCATTTCGAGTATAGAAATTTTAGACCATCTCGAATGAAATATCGTTAAGACAGCGAATCATGAAAGACTAGAAAATGCCTAGTGTGGAAGGCTTTTCAGTTATCCTTGGTGACGTCTCCTTTGTGACCGACGAGCTCATATTGCGAGCAGTTTATGACAGTCCGACAGTTTGGATCAGGGGGTGTCTTGGTTGTACCTGGCCCAGTTTAACGGTTGGCGTGGTAAGATATCATGATTCGGCAATGAATGGCTTTCGGCAGTGCCGATTATTGGCTGAAATAAAATTGACCTGTGATAGCGCTTCCTGACATTTCTTTGAGCAGGGATCTTCGAGCTGTGCCGCTCATCATTTGTTGGTTCTCCGATGCAACCTCGCCAGGCGCATGGCGAATTGGGGGCCATCCGAGATATTATTGGGGCACACGAGGCCGCCTTCTTCCAATATTGTCAAACATAGAAGTTCCGGGACTTTTGCATACATTTTATTTTTCTTTATTGTTTAGGTCACTGTGCCCCTGAGCTTGTCATGGTTCATCATGTCTTCAAGGCGACCTTCTAATACTATTCTCATCGTCGTTGGAATTGTTTTGATTTCTGCATTCGTTGGTTTCGGTGTTAAAAATGATACGAATACTCAGCCATTTTCATTTGGCAAGGACAGTAAAAAATCCTCACCCGCAGGCGGGTGCATCGACGATGTGTACAATAGCACTCTAGGGGTGAGTTGTACACGCAAGCGCCTTGATCATCGGCTGACCTTTTTCGTAGTTCGAGAATATCTTCGTGATCGGCTTACCGTCCAGAACCGACCGGCGCGACAGTTTGGTGCTTGCATCTGCGCTGAGCAACATAAAACTCGAGTTCGCCGATGGCGTTTTGGGAGAGACTGTTCCAGATAAGGCTCTGCCAATCGGGAAAGTTGGCCAGGAGCGGCCGGCCAACCCCGTCATTGGATCTTGGCGGGGACACATGAACGCGATCCAGGAGGTTGTACGGCGGAATCTCTCGTCTGCCTTGATCATGGAAGATGATGCGGACTGGGATGTTCGGCTGCGAAAGCAGCTCCGAGCATTTGCACTGTCGTCTCAAGCCTTAACGCAACCCTTGCAGGGTACCAAGAGCGTCTATATGGATACATCGTATCCCCGGTCGCAAAACAAGCAGGCAGTAGCGACAGAGCTTCATCTCGACAACCTGCCACATACGATAAATCCAAGCATATCGCCTTATGGCGATGAGTGGGATGTGTTGTGGCTAGGCCATTGCGGTATGCACTTCGCAAGCGATAAACTTGACACCCCGAGTGGTCTTGTTGTGCATGAGAACGATGAGACCGTACCGCAGAAACAGCATCTTTGGACCCTCTCTAACCCCAACGATGTAAAGGAGTTGTATCCAGAGCATACTCGTGTGGTTCATCATGTCGAGGACGGCGTATGCTCATTGGTCTATGCAGTGTCACAGAAAGGTGCTCGCCAGATGCTCTATGAAGCCGGACTTAAGAACTTCGATGCAGCATTCGACATCATCTTGAGGTGGTTCTGTGAGGGCACCGGGGGAAGAAGACCACATACCTGTCTGACTTCATCGCCCGGACTATTTCAGCATCACAGGCCGAAAGGGCCGAAGAGTGGAAACAGTGACATCTCGGATCACGGAGATGGATTTCAGGACAAGGCTTATACAGATGTGGTCAGATGGAGCGTGAGACTGAATGCTGAGGCTATCATGGCGGGTGAGCCGCTAGTAGACCAGTACCCTGACGCATGAAAAGCGAAATTTACCAGAGCTCTTCGACAAAAGCATCTTCACTTATAGCTGAAATATCACAACATGTTACTGTCTTGCAGTTCTTCAATAATATGACCAGACTGATTGAGGAGTACTTGAGTAGATCATTATTCGAAAAAGACAGGGTGGTTACTCTAGATGGTGAGGTTGGGTGATGGGCAAGCACAAAGATTTCCACTTTATGTAGCTAGAATACAAACATGTCATGCTATCAGCTGTGAAAGAGACGCACATGGAAGCGATTATGGCTATGGGATCTTTCTACGAATCCTTGCAGAAAATCGGTTATGGCTGAGTCGTGCACAGTGATTACTACCGATTTCTTTGTTCTAATTGCGCACAATGCGCTGCATGCGGCGTGATTAGGGCGGCAAGGCACTCGTACAATAAGCCCGATTTGATAGACACAAAATTTCAATAATGACTTTCCAGATTTCAAGCCATCTATGCATACTCACGATCGGAAGCTATGCCGATTACTCCAAAATGCGCTTCCGGGTCCCTCTTTATCGTGACTAATGCGCATGTTATAGCATGGATACTATCATGCTCTATCGCCGTACGGCTTTGACTGTCTTGACGAAATTCAGCAAACATGGCAGCCATGGCAACATCGATAGCTCTGTCATGGCCAGTATCCCTCATAAGCGTTGGCAATCTAATGCCGCAGGCTAACCCGCAACGGAGATCTCGACTACTGCGGTTTCTACAAGACCTGCGGAACCTGGATGTGCCCAACTACACGGACTTGACAGAAGCCCTCAACTTCTACCAGGCTCGAGGGCCGCAGCATTTAAATGCTGGTATGCACGCTTATATACATTTCAAGGTCCTGGATATCCCAAAGTTGAACAAGCCTTTACCAAAATCAATGTATATATATATTCCCGTACCCGACGCAATGGACATTTCTTTACCCTACGTTCCACTTTCAGTCAGCCCATCGCACCCAAACAGCGGCGGCGAGCCAAAATACCACTTCGTATTCTTCATATACCGACACCGGCCCGATATGCATCATGACCCTGGCCTTGCAGCGAATCGTGCTGACCCCTATGTTATTTACATCATGTCTTAATGGGATCGAGAGCACGATCATCAAATGACATGGTTAGATTTCGCAGATAATTCTTGGGCGGATACAGTGTCCCATTTCCTGGACGTTCAGAGGTTTCGGTCACATGCCACTGTTCTGTCAAAGGGGGCAACAAGGTGTGGTGGGTTGGCCTGCAATGGGTATAACAGCATTGTAGGCCATAGTTAGGTGCTTCGAGGGACTTCGAATCTCACCTGGGCTAGCATAGAACTAACCTAGTCGCCTGCGCTGGTATCCTGAAGCCATTCACGATCTACTGCGATATGGCAGTTGTAGTCTGGATTAGCCACAACATTTACATTCTTCCAGGGTTGCCTATTGGAGCTCCTACACCCTCACCTGTACTTCCGAATGACTTTGAGCACGTAACAGGATTTCAGGTGAGGCCCATACCAGAACTGTTCTGCATGGTTTGCACTTCTTGAGGGTCCAACATGACGGCGGATTCAATGGTGCTATTGTCAGAAACGGCGCAGAGAATTCTTTCGGGGGTGGTTTTGGCCTGCTGAGCCCGGCATAGGTACAACACTACTTCGGAATCTTGCAGCATCCGCATGATCGATCCTACGTCTTCAGAGTTCTAAGAGCTTGGACCACCGTTCCAAACAGGTTGGCAGTACCGCCTCATGCGCAAAATACCAACCAATTTTCGGCGTGGTATGTCCTTGCGCTTGAGGCTTAAGCTAGCCACCTCGAACGCTTGAGGCCTTATATGGTACGAAGTAGAGGGTTTGCAATCAACATATCCTTCGGTATATTGATTAGTTTTGGAATACCCAATGGAATTCTTTTCGTCATTTTAAGAGCCACTACCAGTGCACATTTCCTCGCTCCCTTGTGCGATTAAGTAGTGCATGATGGCACTTTACGCCCTCAGTACTCCATGAAACATCTTCGAGGTAGAAATTCACAACTCTTCACCTGAAACCTGCGGCATTCCGGTTCTAGGACATGACAAGACCGCCGTCCACAATGACTTGCTGGCCAGTGATTGCACTCGCCCAAGGACTTGCGAAGAATAAGACCGCGCCAGCCAGATCATGCGTACTTGTAACCTTTCGTAGAGGTGTTACGGCGGCGATCTGGTCGAACACTGCTTTTGGCGTGGCGCTGCTAGCATCAGTTCCCTTTAGTAAACCTCCAGCCACTAAATTGACTGTGATATTCTTGGGGCCGAGCTCCGCTGCCATCGAACGAGTGAAAGCCAGGAGCGCACCCTTGGCTGCGCAGTAATCCTGGTATGGCACCACTGGGTTCTGCACCAGATTACTGCCGATGTTGATGATGCGACCGCGGCCGAGCTTCTCGAAACCAGATATAGCGGCCTTCGTAGTGTTCAGGGCCCCTTGCACGGCGACTCGAATCTGCTTGTCGAAATCTTCCCACTCAATTGAGTCCAACTTTTTCCTGCCATCGCCATTGAACTGGTAGTCTGCCAGGGCGTTGTTGACCACGACGCTTATGGGCTGCCCGAAATGTGATGCGGCCTGGTCAAACAGTGCAGCCACTTGCTCTTTGTCCGTGACGTCGGCTGCAATCGCGATGCCGCCAAGCTCTTTTGCGATTGCCTCCGTTTTCGGGAGCGAGTCCTTCCCGCGACAATTGAGCACAACTCGAGCGCCTTCTGCCTGGAAAGCACGGGCTGTAGCCAGACCAAGACCTCGGCTTGAGCCAGTCACGAGCACGACCTGATCCGATAGCTTCGACATGATCGGTTCAATTGCTAAAGGACAAGACACTTCCAAGTTCAAGATGTCCTGTCGCATGCGGGGATACCTCTGTAAACATCAATGCGCTCGACGACCTCCCACACTCCTGCCTACGCGTTGATAGCGATCCGCTCCACTAAAATTTCTCGCCAATCCGCTGGAATCTACAGTAGTGCGAACGATCAGGCGGAGACAGGCCAAAGAAACAAGGACCCCTATGTATAATTACAATTATTCGCGCATCAATTTTGAAGCTGTTGCTGCCCCAACTTCAAGGAGGCTCCCCCGGCGTCAGGGTGTAAAATAGTTGCCAACGCTCTTCGCACCGTGGTACGTAGTAGTGTATTTAATATAGCAGAGACGCATACTAATACAAGATAATAGTAAGCATATAGCGCATCAACCTCGTCGCTTGATGCGATAAATTACTCAAGGTTTGATTTACTGTTGAGGGATTCCCTCAAGGAATAGGAGATTCATATCCGGTGGGAGCTCAGGCTTTGGTAGCGGCGCCGAGTCCGCAGTGCTGCCCGTTCGCGAAGTCGCCATGATTGGCATGGATGAACTCACAGATATAGAAAATTGGCATTGGAAAGTTTTGGCAATGAAAACGTTGAGACGCGGCGTTAAATTGCTCCTTCAATCGGCGATGAAGCTTTTTGGCAAGAGAACTCTCGAAAGGCATCGGCTGCATTCCAACGTCGCTAATCGATATTATGACATCAGAGGTTTTTGACTACGTGGATTACTTCTTCAGCCAGATCCCTATGTAAGCGGTGCTGAATTTGTCAGCCTGTAAAAGAACTTCGTGATGAATCTAGGCACTTGTCCATCCCTCTTTGTTTGCCCTCGTCTATAATGAAAGCAAAGTATTGCGTGATGAGGTGGTCGGTCTCGAGGACGCCATCGAAAAATGGGCAGGCAACGGGCAGATAATTCAGCTCCCATCAGCAGACGAGTTTGACTCTGAGTACTGTGGTGGCCCTGGAGTTGGTGCATGGGATCTTGACGTCGAGTGCCGCGCTGCCCCTCCGTCCTGGTCAGAAACGTATCAGTGGCTTCCAGCTAGCTTCATTACCATGCGGCTTGCCGATCCATATACGTGAATTATCTCCACGGCCAGTGTTCCTCCAAATCAGCACAGTTGGTGGGTGGAACACATGTTTAGGTCGTCAAGGGAGAGGAAGATTTCCAAGCTGTCGCCGGAATTGGCACAACTACTACAAAAATGGGCCTACTTCCGGACGAGACATGGCCTGCTCAAGCAGCGACGAAGCTACCAAGAGAACTTTTGGATATTGTTCGAACGTATTTTTATGCATCTGCAAAGAGTGAGAAACGGGCAGAGTTGCACTGTGACGCGTTGATCGCAGAGCGTACTTCATTCGTCGATGAGGCTCAAGATTGGTGGGTTCAGCACACGTATAACTTTAGTGAGCACCGAGGATGTGAATGGAGTCTATGATCGCTAAAACTGGTAGACTGGGACAAGAAACAGCATCAGCTTTGCGGTTGGACTTGTTGATGGTTAATAGGTTTTCGAGGCAGCGATCTTGCAAGCTCAGGAATGAGAAATCCAACAACGCGGCGTGATGAACTTTCTGGCAAGATTTGCAATAACAGTAATATCGGCTATATATTTCTTAACTCCAGCTCTATATCTCGTGCTCGCCGTGATTGGCTCCTTAGAACGTCCCACTCTCACGCAAGTCTATTGCCACAGGTTCTCAACTAGCATCAGAAGATGAGAGTCTCCGATAAGATCATTCATGCAGACTCACGTAACAGGCATGAGAGCAGGGGTTCCTCGTGGCCCTGCTGGCAATTAAACATACAGCTGCTAACTTATAGCTTAACTCATCACTATGATGCGGCATCACAGAATATACTCTCAGTGCACGGTGTTGCGTATTTCATCGATTCTTTTTACTTTAACCCATCAACTATCGGCCACCACAAGCCCACTTCACGAGATCAAAAGCAGGATTCCCCTTGTCCTCGAAGTGGTTCTTAGCCGCATCGAGCACGTTCATACGTGAACCCAGTGGTAAATCGTCAACTTCATCCTCCCAACCAACAACCACCTACAAGGGATCAAAGTTAGGATCATGCGTGGAACCCCATCTGGTGCAATCTTAGATCTTCAAGTCAGACTATTGGAGTAGATGTTATAAATGAGCCTCTGTTTCTGATATACAGCCTTATCTGGGCCTCAATAAATTGGCGCTCATTGCCGATCGCGAAGAATCTCTCTGCGGAACCATTTCCCCGCTGATATCAAATATCAAGAAGTGGAGTTTCCGAGGCCCTTGGCCCGGCGGCATTGAGCAGGAGCACTAAGTGATTCGAGATTGCTTATACGCGGTGGACCCCAATCGTAATGTTGAGAAGATACCACCGATTAGTGTATCGTAAAGGAAGCGGAAGAGAATTTCAACCACTTCTAACATACACATTAAATGGATGCCTCAGGTACACACTTAGGGCAACCACTTGGAGTAGCCTTCAGAGGAACAGAGGATGGCTCTGTTCCTCACCGTTACATCCTACTCCATATTAATAGACTACTACTGATCACCACGCGTGACGTGTCTATCCCACATGATCGTCCTCCGCGCGGTTTCCTAAGCTAGAAATTCATCGATGTCGAATGCAAAGGCCGCCAAAGTCATTCAGACTTTGCAACGCCGACTATGGCTGTTCCCTAACCCGCGTGACAGCTACATACAAAGTGACCAGACGGCTATTTATCAGAGGATCGGGCTTTACTCGCGACATCGCATGCGATAAATAGCCCTCGATGGATTCTGGGTTTCCACGAAAAGGGATTGAACATGGAGGTCGTAATTGGAGGTCCTTAGCCTTGATGTTGTTGTTAATGTGGAATTAATGAATTTTGGATATGTTTTTTTTAAAATTAAAACTTTCAGATGCGTACAGAGCTTGTGTCACATGTGCGAGGCGGGCTTTTTTATATATATTCATGCTGCATCAAACTGATCTGGCCAACAGGAGCGCCACACTAACGAGCTTGTCACTTTTCAGTTTTAATCATAATGAAGAAACGAATCAAGGTGAAAATGCCTTCAATTACCCTGATGCTCCTGAAAATGTGATGTGACGCCGTAACAATGCTGAAGTGCAATGCAAGTTATGTCCGCACCATGTTACCAGATCCTCTTGGCAATCATCTCATATCTAGTCACTTTCTCCAGACCATCATCGCCAATTTCCATCTTCTTACCGGCCTGTTCGCCTTTCTTCTCACGATCCCTCATCCTCTTGAGACCTTCGGGATCATCGGCATAAATCAGCTTACGTCTCTCGTCCCCAACCTCTACTTGACCCCAGCCCCCGACTCGTTTTCCAGGTTGAAAGAAGCTTTCCCGCTTCTTCTCACCTGTCACGATGGATTGTTCCTGTGCTTGAACAGCAGCATAACGTTCTCGAGCATACTTGAGAAGTACCATTCCCAAGAGAAGTTTGACCAGGAGGAGCACGAGCCAGGCCAAGAAGAAAAAGGTCAACATGGTGATTAGAGCGACAGCATCATCGGAGCTGAAGGACCAGAATGCCCGGCCCTCAGCAGGCGTGAAGGGGTTGCCGTAAACAGCGCGACCCAAAGCATTACGGAGAAGACTGTCAAGACGGTCAAGCGCAGCCAGCATTGCTGGCGAAGATGGTACCGAGGACTCGAGAGAGATCGCGGTGGTTGCTGTTGGCATCGGTGGCGGTAGATGTGTAGCGAGAAACATGTGGTAGATCTGCACACAGGCTCTGATGAAGAGACATGAGAGTGGCAGGAGGGGCAGGCCGATTCTGCGGGTGAGAGCAGGGGCGCCGAATGCCTGATCAGATTAGTATTAAAGCCAGATGGTAGATAGGCTTAAGTGTGTACTCACGTTGGTATAGTAGTCTTTGCAAAATATATCAAGCATTCTGCGATAAACGACTGGCTTGACGTTATTGAATTTGTTGATATAAGCATGCTTGATCCAGTCGACAAGCATCTCACTGCCAATGACGATGAGGAATGGCGATAGAACCTCGCCCGAGAACATCCACGAGGGCAACAAAGTAAAGCTCGCCGGTAAGTTGGATGCGGTATGGATTGGGCCCGGACCCGACATGGATGGATCCATTTCACTTCCAGCACCTGGAACTGACAAGCCACCAACCTCCACAATGTTGCGCATACCGATGATGATTAGGATGATCCAAAGTTGAAAACGCTCGACGACATCTGAGCAGGTGAGTTGAAACAAATTCTCTTTCTCGATTCTCTTGAACACACTGCCTTTGATCTCAACGAACTGATTCGACATGAGCAGTGAAAGGAGTGCATTAGAATAGGAGTTAACTGCAACGTTAAGAGTAATCACTTGATAAAACAATACAACAGCGTGAACGACATTGTATATGAGGGAGAGGATGAACATGCCCAGTGGGAGAAGGATCTTCGATCGACCGAAGCTATTGCGAGATAGTGTCTCTGAACTAAAAAGACACTCGAGAATGTCTTGGCCGATCGCGGCGAGCAAGCGGTCACCAACCTCCAAGAGATTGAATATGACGTAGAGTTTCATTGCGGACTGGGCTCGTATGAAGTGATACATCCGGCTTGCGTCGACGGTCATGAGAGCGAGAGAGCTACATATAATAACAGCTCCCTGTAGAAGGTCCGCCTTGTGGTACGGAGTCAAGTCTGATGGCATTGACTTGGTTCTTCGATGCCGAAAGACTCCGGGCCTATGTTTCGGCATGGCATGTTTTGGGGGGTGGAAGCCAGCGTTGCTTTTCAGCCGAGATGCATCTAGAGAGGCGTCAGAAGCATAGCCAGTATCGCGTGCTCTGCTTTGGCTCCTAGATTCAGTTTCGCTTGCTGTCGTCTGAGTGCTCTCCGTCCGGCTCGCAGAGGGACGGCCCCTACTTTTTCGGCCTCTCTTCCAAAGACGCCAGCTGCCTTGCCAGACGAAGCCTGTAAGCCACTTGACTTCTTTCCATACGACATAGCCCCACCACTTGACCAGGACCCAAGCAGCAATAAAGAACCTTAAAGGAAGTAAGGTAAATGTGTACAAGAAAGCGTCAAAACAAGCCAACGTGCCAAAAACAAGTGTCAATTCCAGGTAAGGGGGTATCAACAAGGCATTAAGCAAGCGCTCAAATTTGACAGCGCTAGATTCGTAGGGTATATCAGATGTTTGGTGCCGGTAAATGTAAAGTGGACTCGGCCGCACGCCTGCCAGTTCAAGCTGTAGATGCGTATGCAAAGACATGGGAGGAAGAGGTATGGTTGGCTGTTGTATGGGGGCCGCCTGTACAGGCTCCGTGCTTTCCATGTCTTCTGTAGACGGTGTTTTGTCTGGCCTGCGAGACGAAGGCGTAATCCTCCTTGAAGCAGGTGTGATGTTGACTGAACTTCCCAGGTTCAGCGGGGGTGGACGAGCGGCTGGGTTGAAGGAGTTGCGCCGGCCAGTGTTTGGCGACGTAGCATTCGCAGACCCAGACCCTACAGTCGGCCGACGCATAACAGGAGGCTGAGAGAGCGTTCTATTGGTAACAGATGGCCGTTTGTCTGGAAGGAACCGAGTGGCCAGGGGGTTCTCAGAGAAGTGGCGGGATTGCAAAGGTTCAGTCCTTGGATTCAGTACCGGTGACCTACTAGCCCCGTTGATGATGCTTTGTATGCCCAGCCCTACACCGGCAGCGCTTTGCACCTGGTCAGTCAACGACTGACGGTTGACTGATTCCGCCGCCCCAGCAGATAGAGGATACTCCATTCCATTCGGCTTGCGATTGTTACCGACGGGTGGCTGAGGGGGCACCACGGCAACTGGCAAAGACTCGGGTGATGTAGTCAGGGCTTGCATCTGGGAAGCAGAGAGCTTGCGAACCGTGCCAGTGCCGGTGCCGGTGCCGGTGCCATTGATTTCTTTTTCTTTGGAGGACGCCGTAGACGTGGACGGCGTCTTTGTTTGCGCAGGGGCATCTAGTACTTTCTGCGGAGGTCTCTCCACTGCGGTATTGGCATCTTCTGCTGGCGAAGAAGACGACGAAGACTCATTATCGCTATGTTTGGAAGAATCTGTAGAAGAGGATATGCTTTCTTTGTGCCCCGACTCTTCTCCTTCTTCTTCTTCGTCTTCTCCAGCCGTGCCTTCCCTCGTAGCTTCGAAATTGCCATGCCTCGCCACACCGCCGGCTGGACGGACAGTGGCATTAGGAGTAGAAGCGGTGACTTCAAGAGAGGGAAATGGATCGACGGTAGGCGAGGGCTGGGGCGAGGGCAGTTGTTTCGCTTCTGGTCTCATGACATGATCGGGTTCCGTCGCTTGCATAGGTCTTGCACCGTCGGCGTCGGAGTTGGCGTCCCCATGCCCACCTCCATTCCTATGAGCATGGTGCTGGATGATGGTGTCGTTGGCTGAGGCGTCATCAGCAGCTTCCATTACTGTTCCCGGCATTGTCGCAAACGATGATCCAGACGTGGAAGCATTTTACAAGAAGCGCCTCTATCGCTTTCAAGCTGCTCCAGGATGTTGTGGAAGAGTCCAAACGACCGACCCGCTTACTGCTGCCAAGGTTGCAATGCGCTGAGGTGAGAACTGCAATCGTGGATAAAAGTCCAGGTGTCGATAAGAAAGCTTCAGGGGAAATCCTTATCAGTCCATCATTCTGCAGGGGATCCGAAGCGCTGTTGACCAATGGCTCCGGCTTTTAGATGCACTAGAACAAAGCACAACTGCCCTGCAGCTGCAGCTGCATGAACCATGTATGTCATTGAACCGTGAAATACTGTGTAAAGGGAGAGAGTACGCTTAACCTGTGGCTAAAGCTTGTTGCTTTGGTCAACAGCAATTCTCATTCCAAGCTTAAAATGTACTACATGCCTCACCAGCTCATCAAGGATTAATTCTATCTTCCTTTTCTTCGGAGTGTTGTCTTTGTACTCTTGCCACATGAAGCTTATTATTGCACCTGGTCCGCTAGAACACCCTTAAGTTCTAACCTATAGCGTCAAGCCGCCAACCTGCACATCTCCCAATCACTTTCATCGTGCTACTCCTTGAGACATCCTTGGTGACGGTCATTCTGTTGTTTCAATTCGTGATTTCTGAGCTAATCCACAGCTCAATCGATACAAAATTTGACGACAGTAGATGCAAGTGTCCTAACTTGTACAACTATCAGGTAACCTAGGTGTGCAATACAATGGCAGCAGCAGTGCGTGCTGTATCCACATCACAGGCAAGCAACGAAATGTATCAGTGAGGCCTGATCCATACATAGCACGACGTGGGTCAAGTCATTAGGAGAAACGCTGCGAAACATCAGTACCATGGAATTAGAGCATTTCAATAGCTCTGATCGTAAGTTCTGAGGTAATATCATTGACTCTGCAAACTGCGATTCGTATCATACTATGTCAACGCTAGCTTACACCCAAACGTTGTTCAACCAACAATCGTGAATCAGATTGTCTGGATCAAGACCAGGGATGATCTCGCTACCCCTCAATCAAGAGACATATTTCCATGAATATCGGAAAGTTTCTGGCGTCACAAGCTTTACTGGCGCTCTGCCGACTCTCAGCAGGGCATGACCGCGGGAAGGGCCGAATTTAGACTTCATATACCGCATTCAACACTTCTGCCGCCTAATCCCCACACCGATCATGGACCCTTGAAACATTGACACCGAAACCTGTAAGCATCCTTTGGCTATTGCATTATCCTAAATAGGCACTCTACTGCTACCCCTTGAAGCGCCAACCGTCTCTACTGCGCGTCATCACAACGTGTCGAATCATGACACGACCCCCCCCCCTTGCCGCGCGCTATGGAAGCATGGAAGCTCTGAAGAACTTCTAGAGATAGATTCTCATGCCGGCGAATTGTCCCGCACAATAAAGTTGTGTCGCGGTCCTGGCCAGATGTGGTAGCTTCCATGCCCACTCAAACTGACAGCATGTTTGATTTTCTCAATCCTGTGTGTGGCTATGGTGGTCTGGCGCATATGCAGGGAGAACAGTTGACTATAAGAACTTCGATTAGAGCTACTGGACAACAAACTCGTCTATTCACGGGACCTTTGAATTCTCCGTTCTGCTTGCAAATGATTTGTATCACTTTCCTTTAACTTCTCTTCGCCAATTTCCAATTGCTGCCGCTGTGCGTGTGGCATCTTTTTCGCTCATTATCTTGCGGTCTACTTTAATAGGATTCTTTGTGCAATATTCAAATTATCGATCCAGTCATGAAATTCTTTAGTGTAATATTACCAGGGCTGTTAGCTACATATGTCAGTGCTGTTCCGGTGGTATATACAGGAAGTATATACGACGTGCCAGAAGGTGTAAGCATTGAGGAGCTGGTGGCCAGAGGCGAGACCAACTTGGTGCTGAGGGAGGCGGACAACGCCGATGCCGAGTTTACTGCGAACGACTTCCTGGATTCCGGCTGTAAAGACGTCGTGCTAGTATATGCAAGAGGGAGCACCCAAGACGGGAACTTGGTAAGGCCTTTCTCTGAACTCAAAACCCCGGCTGACTGAGATGAATCTAGGGCGACCAGCCAGGACCTCAACTGGCCGCGTCCTTACAGGATGCTTTGGGTGCTGATCGTGTCGCAGTCCAGGGTATTGATTACCCGGCAGGTCTTGTGCAGAATCTGATTCCAGGCGGTACCGACCCCGACAGCGCCGAGGACGGAGCCGCGCTGATTACGAATATATCTGCTACATGTCCAGAGTCACGCATTGTGGTTTCAGGCTATAGCCAAGGTGCTGCCTTGATCCACAGAGCTATGGAGCAGATCGAGGACTCGTCTGTCCTGAGTCAAATCGCTGCTGCGGTCACTTTCGGGGACACACAGAAGGACCAGGACGATGACCAGGTCCCTAATGTTGATCCGGCAACAACACTTATTCTTTGCAATGATGGAGACAAAGTCTGCGATGGGACGTTGATCGTCACGCGCGCGCATCTGGACTATACGGGCAAGGTACAGCAAGCAAGCAGCTTCGTTACTGGCCTTATTCAGTAGGGGCGCCACAACGGCGCAGTTCTGGTTGGAGTTTGGAAATTGAAGTCGGCAGTATGAATATGGGAATATCTACTATAAACCCTCTTATTGTTTTTACTTATATTACATGAACATTTTCTGCCAGGCATGATGTTGGGCAATCAAAGATACGGTATAATCATACAGCAATCGGGGGAAGATACAACTAGTAAGGACCACGTCATAACTCACCGTTCAATAATTCAAGATTTGTTTGTTTTTCAAGGAGACCATTGTTGTCTTGTTTTGCGCCGACTCCGGATTGAGCGTAAGAATGGAGCTGGGCTCCGAATGTGGCTTTGTTAGTAGTGCTCTTGTCACTGATCCAAAAGACCGTGGACTACTAATCGTCGCCGCCATGAAAGATGCTCTAAGATTGTGTCTAACAGATCGTCATTCGACACGCAATGTCACTCATCACACCTAACGATTTCCGGGCGGAAGATTTCGGTGATCTGTTGAAAGCCTATTTTCGTAACGAAGGGAAAGACAGGTTCAAGTTTGAGAGACCGATAAGCGAGGGCGCTCAGGGGTATACGTGGAGACTTCGGTATAGACTAACAGCTTCGTCATCGTGGAAGAAAATTGTGTTGAAGCACGAGCGCGCCCCAGTGCGGTATGACAAAGATTTTGTTGAAACGGATGAGGATGTTGCGCGGGACGCGGAGACCATGGACCGGATTCGTCGTGGCGGACGAGAGACGGAGCTTGAGACAGAAAAGCGTCTATTGACGGTAGGCCATAGGTCTCGCAGGTACGCTTTTCTACCTGAATACTTACTAATACACCTGGTAGTCGCTGCAATGGGCAAAGCATATTTGCCAAATTTTCGCCGTCCCTTATGACCCTTTAGCAAGCTTGTTGCCACTTCGGCCACATCGCATGGACGACTGGTTATATCTCGAATGGATAGAAAATGGCACCGTCAGAGACTTCATCGGACGAGTAATAGATGCCGGTCTCGCTACCTTGCCAAACCGAGTGCTATGGAGATTCTTTCTCTGCTGTGAGCCTCCACGTTACGCTAAGTGAAGCCACTTTCTAAGGGAACGTCGCAGTACTCCGGATGACGATCGCAATGGCGTGGCCACCCGCTCAACCTGCGTATATGAGGCAACGCTTAGAGCATGTGGGCGATAGACCCCCGGGTAATATGACGCACAATGATATGCATACCCTCAACAGTACGTCAAAAGTAACATGCGTGGTACCATTTGTCAATTAACGTGTCACGAAGTCATGGTTGGCGCCGAGGACCCATCATCTGGGGAGTATGAACACGATATCATCCCTCAACTAAAGCTCATTGATTTTGGTTATGCGACTGAGGAGCCCCCGTAAGTTACACGTTTCCAGTATCATCTAAGAATAGTATGCTGAATGTCTGGTAGGCGTTCTGATCATGATCCCGTAAAAGACAACATCTTTCAGGTGGGAGGTGTGAGTTTGAGTTTCGGTCAAAAGGCGTAGAACGGTCCTAACTACTTGATAGGTAATGGCGGAGCTCATCACGTTGCAGTCGCAAGAGGTAATAGACCTGCCCACGGAGGAAGCTGTATCTTTCACACTACAGGGTGGAGGGGAAACTTTTCGCACTATGGCCATGTCGATTCTACCTGATGATCAAGGTCAGGATCCGGTGCCATGCCTCGACAGTAGTCTTAGGACGGCGATCGCCAGCTGCTTAGCCGTACAACATGAACTTAGACCTACGGTCAATACTTTGACTCACATAGCCAAAGAAGCAATTAAGCTGAGAGACGCTGAGTGGTACGCAAGGCCTGAGAGCGGACACCCCAACCCGGCCATGGAGCGAGATGCGTATATTGACAACATTTTCCAAGTTTCTCTTCGAAATGCGCCCGTATCCACTACCTAATCATATCGAAAGCCGTTGGCTCGGTTCACAAGCCTTCACCAGCATACTTTGCGAACGGATCGTCTGTCGAGTCCGTATTTCGACGGTACTCAGACCTTATGGATATCGTCTCTGCCACATCATCTCCATACCGTTCTGCGACGAATGCGAACATCATATCGATGCCTGCTGATACGCCCGACGACGTCCACACGTTGCCATCCGTCACCCATCGCGCCTTCAGTACCCACTCCACCTTCGGGCCCTGCGATGTTGCCTTGTAAAATCTTAGTAAACGATTAAATCTCGAATCGCAATTGCTTACCCATTTGAACGCCTGTTTGTTTGTCGTGGCTCGCTTCCCATCCAGGACGCCAGCCTTGGCAGCAAGAGCGCTTCCCGTACATACGGTCAAGAAATAGCGAAGTCCCGGGAACGCCCGCTTCACATATTCCAAGGCCGGTGCAATGTTCGCATCGTCCCGTGTTCCCTGGCCTCCCGGAACTAGGAGCACGTCGATGTCGTCCGGTGCATTCTCGAACGTGTGCGTAGGCACCACCGACTGGCCGAAACCGCCAGCAGTCAATGACGTCGACACCGGGTTCAAGTCCTTGGCGAGAATGACTAGTTCCAACTTCCTCATTTTTGAGAGGAAGTTCAGGATATCGAGGGGTCCGAAGACATCCAAAGATTGAAACCCCGTGAACAGAACTACACCAAATTTAGTTGGTGGGTTTGACGTGGAATTTGTCATTGCTCTTTGTCGGATCGATGATCTATATATATATGGCACAGAATAGTTGAGTTTCTCTTTGAGTTTACACGGAGATTTTGAAAATAAATGCTTCTTATCTGGTAAATCACCGGCTGGTCGCGGAGTTTAATCGCGGGCTGGTATTACTATTCGACATTGTAAGCGCTATTGACCCCGCAATTGTATGATAGCGTGATCGCGCAACATGATCACCATGGACCATCGTCCCTGTGACAGAGGATGCTATTCATGACGCTCATGAGGTTCTGCATGCAAGGATCAAGTGGAGGATTAAAAAAATTGCTTCTACATTACACAACAAGGGTGTATCTTGATGATCTGCAACCCACCACCCGAAGTCGCCGTATCTTCCAATCGGGTACTAAAAGGTCGGTTGGCTGCATTGTTGAAAATACTTTCCAGCGACCAATCGGACACAACGTACGGAGTAATGATATTCAAAGTGATCCGAGCTTGAAACTATCGCGCATCATAGCATTCACAGGTTTTCGAAGAGGCCAGCACGGAAGCACTCTTCGACTTCCCAAGAACCATATATACACCAAGCAAACCTAGTCCTTATGACATGAGTTTCAGCAATTATGGGCCCTTCCATCACCCCTCTGAGGACGACTTGAGGGAAATACGGGTTGTTCGAGACCCATTCCCCACACGGAACCAGACTAAAGATCGCCACACCAGCGCTAGTTCTTGGGTTGTGGGGTATGTCCTTGTGGGCGATATTTATGTACAAGCAGGTATGGATGAAGAAGGCTAGCCTCAAATTTGAGGGATAGATGGATTGGTATCATTCTACGTAGCTAGAATTTCGAGGTTTAGATACAGAGACGTTTAAGCATTATCGACCGAGTTATCAAGCTTGTATAGTGGGACCCAACCGTTGCGTTCAAAGAGAACTCGCTGCTCATGGTAGCTTGTCACAATGCTAATGATAGATCCTGTCTTGTTAGCACTCATAAGATTTGCTCAAGAGTTCTTAGCAGAGCTTCTGACTAGTTTATTTACCTATCAGTGAGCTTTCTTTTCTTATGAGAGTTCCCAAATTGTTGTACTATTTGGATTGTTCAGCCGTCTGTCTTCGGCGCGCCCTCTGAGAGTTGTGTATTCGACGAATCTATGAGAGGAGTATAAGTCTACGCCATCAGTTACCACTACTAGCTATGCAATATTTACCAAGACATTTCATCGAAATTCAGGATCACGTTGACGACAACCAACAACGCCGCGTGCTACGCCGATTTCTTCCTCTACATCTGCGGTTCTTGTCGAATGCTATGGTCTTCAGTTAAGCCAGTTCCACGCCCCGAGAAGCGCGCTTGCTCAAAAAGCATCATAAACCTTCGGAATCAATTAGGCACCGTTTGGAGTCCGCACTTGTTTTCTTCCTCTGACAGACCGCGGTATGTCATGGCCAACTTTCCCATGGCCGCCTCTTCTGGGGTGTCGATCTAGACATGTGTTATCATGAAGATCATGCTCAAGAGAGCGGACAAGAAGCTCGTTACAAGCGGAGAGTATTTCATCCTCTCTACGCTGTGATAAGGGTTTAATGGGTTATATAACAACATACTTAAGTTGTAGTAGATGGAACACATTTTTGAGTCAAACAGGATGGCCTTCGATATTTGCACGGGTATCTGCCTTTCTGCGATGTTGAGGCATGATACCCGTAGAGATGCAACTTGTCTCTAACAAATCTTCTTGAATTGGCTACTTTTATGACATGAAACCACAAATAAGCGAGCAGGTCTTTCTGCCCATTGTTTGAGTGGTGATAGCTTCGCATGCTAAGAACTACACTTGCCCGTTGCATTTATAAATACTCTGATGATCCTCTCATGGAATCGTATGTATGTAGCTTGTACACTAATATCCTAGAAACGAGAATCGTTTCTTATCTAAGGAACTGCACCTTCATTCACTGTAAAATTGCAGTTGAACTTTGCGGTGATCGTACTGGTATAAGTATTAATCGGCGTAAAAGGTAGTTGCCTACCTGGAGCATGGGATGTCTGGCAATTTACGAAATGCTACGATTTCAGCTATGCTAGTGTTGGGTTTCCTCCGGGTATTTGGCAGTAAGTCAAGCCTGCGAGAGTTGTCTCGATACGCATATGGTGTTTGCCTAAGCGGAATGGAGAAGCCTAACGTAAACAGAGATTCAAAAGTCTTGTATCCTCCATATCACATTTTGAATTGGTGTCATTGAACTGCAAAAAGGAGCCCAGATGTGCCCTATACATTGAGATGATGTCGCTTTCGCATCCAATGTTGCAAGAAAATGTAGTAGATAGCATGTTAAGTTCAAAAAGAAGATATATAATTTCGTAATAATCTTAAGTACAGAGCCCAATCAGAACCAGCTGGCCTTTCCAGGCACAAAAACCCAGCCGCGGGTGCGCAAGGCGCCTTCGCACCTATTACACACAACAGCTGAATCAGTGTTTACACGGAGTGGCGAATACTATCACACGGTGACTTCCTAGGACATTATTCCAATCAACACGTTAAATTCTCGAGTCTTCGATAACAGTTTAATTTTGTTACAATATGAAATCACTCTGAAACCTGTGTTGACTCCATCCCACCTTAGGCTCCGACATCAAGATTGTCTTGAGAGTCGTTGTTTTCGCAGTAGAAGTATATCAGTATTTGAAATATATACACGAAGCAACTTGAATACGAGCACGAAGTGGCCTACAATGTGTCGATTGTTGTAATCCAACCCTGACCATTGTTTTTCGATACCAATCATGCAAAGGTGTGCAAAGGTGCGTAAATGTAAATGCCGATTTCAGAATGCTTCGCGAGGCTAATCTCGCGCACGCCCAGAGCAGAGTTTAATAAGCTTTTGACGGGATCAAACTGCTACCCATCGATGGGGAGGTTCGGTTTTTTTTATTTTTTTTTTAAAAAAAAAAAAGACATAAATGGACATTTTTTCTTAAAATTCTCAACTCCGGAGATGAATGTTGTATTATGAGACGAAGCTGATTTAATTCAAGGTTAATTGATAGTTAGTTGATCGCTGAATGAAGTTCGATGTGACCCACTTGAATGAGACACCTTACCATGAGTGACCTTTCTGTTTCGAAGTACAATGAACAGAGAAAAAAGCTGGCTCAAGTTACAAATCAGCGGCGAGATGCGATCGGTATATTACGCAGACCTTTTCTCGAATTACAGTCCTTTCGACCAGTAATGGCGGATGGATCTGCGACAATTGCGCGTGACGTGTGTTGTAATTAAAGTGAATGATTCCTATACGCATTTCTTGCCGGCGGATGAGTCTGGTCTAGAGCTACCCATGTTTATCGAGCTTCTGAGCCTACATGATCGCCTGTTTCCACTGCTTCACAGAAGACTTTTTCTTGTCTGGTAATACTAATGTTGACTGGTGCCGTTGATTCAACAATGAGTAAAAGTCGCCAATCAGCTATGATGTGAAATGAATGTCTATTGAGAATTAGTAGCATTTCAGACAGCATTTTGGAGGAACAACGTGTTGACTCAAGATTAACAAAAAAGGTTCTTGACACACAAGACGCTTAAATTTGGTTGAACGTCTGGCTACTAATCTTTGGACTTTTTCTTCGGGAAGCGTGGTCTCCCATCGTATATACCGCCCCAGTTGTCCATCCAAGCTGCCGCCTCCGAGGTCGACCTGATCGACGAATTTGTTTCAACAGCGCGCGGGACTCTAAGACCCGTATTTACCGTAGATTCGGTGAGACGCCGTTCGGAAAGCGAGTACTGCCGCTCCACAGAGTCCCAGCATGAACATGTACTCGATTGAACTAATGACAGAAGGTTGTTAAGGACCAGCGCTTCTACCTTCAATTTGATGCTGTAGACCACAGGCTTGTATGTTGTTTGAATTTGGAAGTTGCCGGTATATTCCGTAATCATGAGCGTAATATCGAGTGTGACGACCAATACGAACAACCCAATCAACTCTCTGTTTATAGCTCGCACCCGTGGGCCTTTGATTACATCCATCAACTTCAAACCAACTGAAGCTTCGTACACATAAAGCCCCGAGATGATAGTCTCCTGTAGGGTGAATGCTGCGATTTGGATATTTTCATAAACCATGAAGATCCTCTCAGAGAGAGGTTGAGTGGGTATGTTCGAATTGGTCGTGATGAACAGCAAAGCTGTAGGGATCTGTACCACAAGAAACATTGTGACGATCATGATGAGTACCCATCGTATCTTCCTTGGGTCGCCAACAACGAGATGCAGCCTGCTGTACAGCACAAATGCCTGGCCGGTGACCATGAGAAACCACCCGAGACAGATTACGACGGACATTGGCAGATTTGGTGCCAAACTGAAGAACCGCAGTAGAACAGCTAATGCATGTATCCATATCCCGGAATTGGCCATCAGCATACTCCAGAAGTAGAGTCCCTGCTTTCGTTTGAACGTGTAGTAGATGAAGCCGTAGATCTCAATACAGTTGTAGCAGGCCAGTGCGAAAAATCCTCCGATGACCATAGCCACAGGTAGCGACACCACGTTGACAATTGGCCCCGTTTCGCCCGTCATCTTGGGCAATGGTGGATTCCGATCGCCAAAAAGCAATTGATAAGGATCATTGAACGGTTGACATTGTGTCGAGATGCCAACAATTGGCAGTCGGAAAGGTTGAAAAGACGGAGGAAGGCTGGATGAGAACTTTGGGTTCCCAAGCTTATTATCAGCTGGCAAGACTGGGTTGCTTGCGAATCCACGTTGAAACCCAAGAAATATGAGCTGACGAGTTGTCAAGGTCTAGCGCTATGGCCCCTGGCATTGCGAAGCAAGCACTACATCATTTTGGTATTATACTTTGCACCAAACACTCGCTAAGCCAATGAGGCGTGGAAGCTGAGGTTAGCTCTCAGGGTTCTTAGGATCGACATGTGCCGCTATGTGGGACATGACTCAAATGCCGGTACAATACAGGGCAGGCACCGCAGGCGAAAAAAGATCTATTTGGCATTTATTGGCCACTGATCGGTGGAGTGACCTTCGATTTTAGCCGATCTTCAATCTATGGTCAAGAGAGTCCGGGGATCTAGTGACCTCCCCCGGAAGCCAAACAAGTCTATGTTGGTATTTCGGGAAATGAGCAGATTGTCGATCCTTATGAACAAGTGCAGGTTGAACCATAAGAGACTCTGGTGTGGTGCTTTACAAAAACCAACAATAACAAAAAAGAACAACTACGAGTTCAGATTCTTCGAGTCGTACAAGGAAATCTCTTGGCTTTTCTTTTTACGAAAAGTTTTCCCAAGATTTCTCTACATCCTGCACAAGAGAACCTAAATGAAGGAGGCGACCACGACGTATTTAGAGTTGGACGCTAGACTTTTCCGTTCCGACACGCCAGCGATAGCCGGATCCACCAAGATAACTGCGAGAAACTCTCCGGCGGATTGCATTAAGAACAGTCAAAGAACGTCAAATCGTGAAAAATGCGATGCTATAGTATAGAGGGTGAGATATCACTTGCGGGGCAAGTATTGGGCTCATAACAGGGAGTGCATTTCCGCTTTGTTAAGTTTCCGAACCAATTGTATTTTCTTTGCCAGAATGCTCGCCTAACTGTGCTTTTCTATGCCTCATACCATAGTACCTACCTATTTCCGCCATTTCGCATACTCGGTACGAGTCGAGTCTGGTTTTCTATTCGCCCATGTCTTATGGATATCTGACTCAACATGTTCGAAGAGGCGATTTGTGGAAGATTGCCTTTAGGTAGCAGGGTAGGACACTACATAGCAGCCCAGCTCGCTTATTAAGGGGTCTTGGCCGTATTCAAGGTTTTGGCGGTCCAGGTACATGACAAACAAAAAAATAATTTAGGATCATGAACATATCTATCTGACATGTGGGCTTCTTCGAAAGCCTTCCCCCGAGAAAACTCTTCGGCATTGGTTTTGCCGCATATGTCTCTTAATGACTACACCCTCCTACACGGGACGTTTACCGCCTCTGGAGCGTATCGGTCTACCAAGTTTTCTGAAACTTCTCTTCGATTTTAGGTTCGACTCAAGATCTCGCTTGCTCTTTGAGATAACCGGCGCCCATGTCGGAATAGGGTCTGGTCCATTGAGGGCTGTATTGTAGGTGGAATTGCTGGGCAGTACATCCCCGACGATTGTGCTGTTGCCCTCACGATAATCACTGGTGGCAGTGCCCACGGTCTTATACTTGCCACCCGCGGGGGTAACATCCTCCGTTCCTGTCGCGATATCTTTGCGTGCTAAAGCTCGTTCGAAAAGCTCTAGAGACGCCAATGGTTGATAGAAAGGAACTTCGTGGCCAGACTCGTAGATGCGCACAAAGCTGAAGAGATCGCTCTGCTTCACTTGCCCATGCACAATGCCATCGGAAGAGGTGATATTGATAAACCCGGCATCCTCGAAACCAGGGGCATTGATCTCTTTGGCAACCACCTGACCGCCCAACCAGTTGCAGTTGTAATCACTATCACAATGATTAGCCAGATTTTGAGCTACTATCCTCGGGAACACTTACGCATCTCCATAGTACAAAATTACCTGCACTCCTGCTTTGAGCAGTTTCTGCACGTCTTCAATCGTATTCGATTCGCGGTCGTCGTCACCAGTATTTCCGAAAGCGGTGCTCACAGTGCCAGATCCTTCCGAAAAGTTTTGATACGCGCCAATGGCAGCTTGTACACTCGGGGTGTTGAGGTAATCCACATAAAATGAATATGGGAAAGGATCAGGCGTCAACTCTCTCATGTCGTACTCATCACGACCAGAGTATATGTCGTATGGCGCCTCAACGTTGTAATAACAGAAATTGTCGGCATCCGAGCATACATCATTCCGTCCAGTAGCATAGCACTGTAATGTCTTGTCGACACAGTTTCCTTCGCCATAAATGTTGTTGAACCACTCGGCTTTCTGTACGTCTGTGTACGGGTCGTAATCATACGTGTTGCCTGGGTAAACGGAAAAGTTGTAGTAAGCCTGATACTGGATCAAGGGGTCAAACCAGCCATTTCCAATCAAAACATTCTCAAGCTCAATTTTGTGCGCGCCTGAAATGTTTTTGGCATTTTGTTCAAGGAAGTACTCTAAGACTGGTCAGAATCTTAGCACCTGCATAGCATGACACGACTTGCCGTTAAATACTGGACCGTAGTGGCCACCATAACTTTCAGTGGTGAAGCTGAAACCGCTTCTCGAGTATTGAGGAAATGCGCCCATAAAACCCTGTAGTGTTTTCCACATGTTTGGCGCCGCGCCCAGGGTATTGTTCGGGACCAGAGTAATGTCAGGCTTCGAGTATGTTCCACAACTGTCGTATTGCTGAGCATAATCTGGACAGGATGCGTTTGGCAGCTGAACAATATTGCCATTACTGTCTTCGTACGCGGGGATGGGAATTGAATATGACATACCAACCGTGGTAGGCTGGTCGATGAAAAGCTTCCAGGGGTTCAGTCTAAGATGCACCAAAAGTAATGGTACATTCAACGTACCATATTGCTCACGTTCGACCATGAATAAGGATTGTTGAAGGGTTCACCGTTGATGTCAACTCCACATGGTCCCAATTCCTGAAACAGTCCTATCATCGAAGACGATCCAGGACCTCCATTGATCCAGACAGTCAGAGGAGCCTGCCAGTGAGTTAGCGTTATTACAGCCGGCTTTATCTGCTTTGACACTCACCTCGGTAGGATCCTGGTTTCTTGATTCAAAGAACCACCTGTAAATTAGATATTAGCACGAGCCCTCAAGAGTTGACTCGAATGAGTGCTAGTCCAAGAACCCGTTGTAGACTGCTTGCGCTAACTCATGGATATATGTAGACATGCTTGTTGCGCTATTAGGCAGATCCGGACACGAATGCCCAGTTTCTCCCATCGCTCCCGGGTCATGCTACTTTGCCCATGGTGAATATCTTACCAGAAGATGTGTTCGTTTTCCGCCACATCTGCATAACCAGAAAAACTCTTCACATTCGGGTCGAGCTCACAGATTCCAGTCGGCACTTCCTTGTACCTCACAGTGATGCCAGCATAGCCTTCTTTGGCTATCAGATCCGTTGGCGCAGCGACGAATTGCGCAATACTGATTGGCGCCAACAACGTAACCAAGGCGGTGAAGCCTTTCAAAATACTTGCCATGGTCGCAACCTCTAAGAAGATAATACCAGTGTATGCTGCATGTAAAATACTGTAGCAGAAGACGGCTGGGAGGAGGGCAGTATCTGAATAGAGATTATCGCGTTAGGCTGGCATGAGGTAATGATATATACATCATTGTACGCCGCCGACTCCGTCCATACGTCGACGATCCTGGTGGCTTGCGTTGACATATTACTGGGAATAACGATTAGCTGCAGCCGACTAGTACTTAAAGGGAAGGTAACGTAACGCACTCCGCTGCGGGAACGCAAGATAAGCCTCGAATAAGTTGCAACCCGGGCATTACGGTGATCAGATGCATTCCATAGAATCATAAAGCAAGTGGGACAAGAGCAGACCACTGGTGACGGCGAATGCAAGGTGTTACCACAGCAGGGACAATGATGGCATTAGCCTCATTACGGACGACCCCCGCCAATACTGTCGTCGCGCACTCTCTGCAGGTACATAGTTAGAACAAGAAGAAGAGAACGTGCAAGGTCACAACTCTCGCGTGTTGCTGACTCATAAACTGTATCATGGCAGCTTAACATACGTTAGTAATAGCATATCCAATAGCAGAGAAGAGTTGACCGTAGCCCGACATTTATCAATGTCTTGCGCCTACCGGTTATATTACCATGACAGCTAAGCAGCTAGGGTACCCAGTTATTAGCAAGGCTATACTCCGTAGGTGTACCTTTGAGCAACGATAAATGAAAGTGAGTCCACATTATTATCTCATTAAGGAAGAAACAGAAAATTGTCATGATCGGCGTTCATGGTTGCCTTTCACAGGAATTGGGTTAATGGGAGTGGGGAGTTGATTTGTTGCTTTGTGGGGTTGAAAGTCATGACGAACATAGACATACCCCAACCTTCGATTTTCGGCGGGCTCGGCGTGCTGCTCGTAACAGTTAGCGTTTAAGCAATCAAATGCATAACATTTGCTTCTCATGTTAGCATCAAGAAAAAACTGCAACACAAAAACATGGTATGACAGAAAGCAATGCATTTACAGTACTAAGCCCGCCGGTCACGATATGAATTTTCAGATTCATTCAAAGATATGGACCGTAGTTTATTCTAGCAATAGCAATTGCATTTGTCATTTGAATCATGAAGACATGGTTCAGCTCTTCGGTTTTGGCAACACTCTCCCCCCCCCCCCCCCCCCCCCCCCCCCGGGCTTATAGAGTCAATTGAGAGAGTCTGAACTCAAGGAGGTGTGCGCTGAGGACGGATGTGGCCTTTTGAAAGCGCTTATCCCGAGCGTAAAGCGCCTGAGATACATGGCGAAGAGTATTCGTACATTGTCGTTGGCGGAGGCACGGCAAGCTGTGCGATAGCGTCCCGACCGAGCGAAGACCCAGACGTGACTGTCCTGGTTCTGGAGAAAGGCGCAATTAATGATCACTGGCTGTCGCGTATACCCTTGATCTCCGGCAGTCTAAGCAGGATTCTGCAAGTAACTCGTCGTTGGTCAGAGCCCATTGAAAGTTGCAATGGCAGACAAGCAGACCTATGGTCTGGTGAGGCACTCGGTGGATCGTCAAGGATAAACCAGATGCTATGTACTCGCGGGATGCCTGCAATGTACAATGAATGGGCTCAGATGGAGCATCCGAACTGGAGCTGGGAAATGGTTGAACCAATCTTCAAGCGTATCGAGAACTGCGTCTCTCATCCCAACGCTGCATCCCTTGGGCACAATGGGCCTCTGCATATTGTTCAGCATTTGCCTCAGTTTCAGCTGCACAACTACATCGATAAGTCAGCTGCTGCTCTAGGTCTCCCTATCGAGGATAGTATCAATAATCCAGACGGCCACGCTGCAGGTTACTACTACTTGGACTACACAATTGACCAAAACGGCCACCGGCATAGCGCGTATAGCGCGTATCTACCCAACGTCTGGCTATAGCCAGGAGTTCTCAATTAACCGTGTGTACTGGCGTTATCGCCACACGGTTGGAGCTTGATGCTGGAAGATGTACGGTCACCGGTGTACATTTCAAGTCTACTCGATCGAAACCGGGGAAACAGTTTTTTGTAAAGGTGAGAAGAGAAGTGATTGTTTGTAGTGGAGCAGCCTGTTCACCTCAACTCTTGATGTTGAGTGGTATTGGACCAGCTAAACAACTTGACAGGTTCAACATTGCAGTCCCTTTGTTGCTGCACCTTAACAATCTCTGATTTGTCTTTTCTTGGCTCACCTCGTCAAACTCTAGCATCAGATCGCCGCCTCACCGTTGTGATTCTGCTCACACGCGTTTAATTGCCGGGTGCGTCGCCCTTGCCCCGGCTTGCCCCCTCTATTATGCTATCATTGTCGTTATATGAAATACTTAACTTGTGCATTCGAGTGTGAGAAAAGACGCTGGGAATAAGTCTCAAACCATGGAGGGTCTTATTTCTGTGTGGGTATTGTTTGTTGATATCAATACCTCTTAGGCACATTGCCTTATGGCTTGTCAAGCCTTTGTTGCAGTGATCAGGTAGGATGACCTGATTAACTTGTTCCAATGAGTCTCCTTTCCTGGATAGTTTCAATGCCATATCTTGCACCTACTCGCCTCTCTTCTTCTTTTGTAGGCAAGTTGGCGGAGTGAATACTCCTACAAGAGCATCTTTGCGCATCCGGAGCATTCTAAGGAGAACTATTCACCAAGTCGCAAGGCGTATCCTAAACTCCGTTGGAGTGTGTTCTTTGGCCGTACGTGCAGCATTAGCAGTTTTGTACGTGTTCCATTACCTCCAAACCAAGTTACTTACCCGGCTGCGTCATTTTTGACGCCCTCATACTTGAGGAGATGGAAATACATTGTTGCTGCGTATTGAACTAGCGGGCTTCAACAGCGGGTTACCCCAGGCCGAAGTCCGCGGACGTGCACTTTCACTCGACATGGCTACACGTCCGAATAACGTCAAGAACGTGGATTGAGTCGACTTGCCAATTTTTCCATTTGCAACATTTTCTTTTATCTATGTCTCAGACTTGCAGTGCTTGAGTTGTACTTTTAATTCGTCTTGAAAAGCAATGCAATGGCGGCCCCAGGAGGGAAGTTTTTTATCCAGGAGAAATTAAAGATTCCGGCACCACATCATGCAAGCTTTCAGGCCTTGTGGGAGACAAAATGGCGAGAACCCGTATGAAACTTCAAGCTTATAGTCTCCAGTAACTAATTTGGTCTGCAGTGTGCCCAGGGGCTGTACCCATTCATGTTCGCTTCCATAAAGGACTTCGAGCCTGTCGTGGAAAGCATTGTCAAGGTACGAAGTAGGAACATTAATACTAATGCGACTACTGATATCGCGTAGAAAGACATGAAAGAACCATACGATTGGGATGAATATGCATCTTGTTTCTTTCCCAAAGCGGAGGAACTCGTCGCCGTGGCTGAGGCAGCAGAGAAGGCAGGGCATAAAAAAAAGGCGTCAGAATTGTACTTGTATGCGCAAATCAAAGCTCATCTCTACATCTATGAAATATAACTTACTTCAAAAATAGGAGAGCTTCGGCTTTATACCGCATAGCACGTTTTCCGGCACCACGCTCGGAGAAACAGCGATATGCCTGGCAGGTTGGCAAAGAAGCAGCTAGAAAGGGCCTTGGGTGAGCTCACGCATGGATGTAGGCAATAGATATATCTTGATTCTTGAGGGCTGACATTTCCAACGTCTAGACTGCATACATACCCAATGGTTCAGGTTGACATCTCTCATACTCATGCCAAACAAGGTGATGGTGATGTCCTGCCAGGGTTCTACCACCTTCCTTCACGCGCGTCAGCATCTGAAAAGGTGCCCCTGGTTATCATTTTCACGGGTCTGGACGGGTACAGAACAGAACTTTCAGTGTGGAAAGAAGGGTGGCGGAAAGTTGGTTGTGCTACTCTTGTCGTTGAGATTCCTGGTACTGGTGATAACCCTGGTATACCATCGGATCCGACGAGTCCAGATCGCGTGTGGACGAGCATGTTCGACTGGATTGGTAAACAAGAAGCTATCGATCAAAGCAAGATAGTCAATTGGGGCTTTAGCACAGGCGGCTATTATAGCATCAGGCTCGCACATACACATGCTGATAAGCTGAAGGGTGTCGCTGCGCTCGGCGGCGGATGTCATTACATGTTCGATCCCGAATGGCTCGACCATGTTGACCACCTAGAATATCCTTTTGAGTGAGTTATAAAATCGGGACCGATATCGTGTATATGCAATCTGCTAACAGATATAATCAAGCCTAGCACAGACTCTTTGCCACAAATATGGCTACGGCACTGATTTTGAAAGGTTCAAGAAGGAGGCAATGGATAGGTTCTCCTTGTTAAAGGATGGAACTCTTGACAAACCATGCTCGAATTTACTACTAGTGAATGGTACCGAGGACGAGATATTCCCAATAGATGACTACTACCTGTGTTTGCAACATGGTGATCCTAAATTGGCTCGGTAAGTATTTGTTTCCAAGGAGCTTAGGGTTCAAGACCGCTGACCAAAGGCCTAGTTATGTTGCGGACAAGAAACATATGGGCGAACCCGATTCATTCTTCATTATTTTAGGATGGTTCTCCAAACTTTTAGGAGTTGAGATTGATATCAAGAGTTTCCTGTCAACTATTCCATCTCGGCCAAAGTATTGAATATGTTTGGGAATTGAGGAAGGAGTTATGTGGTTGGTTATGGTAATGACATGGTTAGCAAAGCTACGGTCATGGACTCGATATTCGGACAAAGCCATATAGTACCTAGCGTTTTTCGTTTGTGTATAAAGGGACAAAAAAAAAAGAGGGGAAAAAGGCAAAAGGGCTCACTTGCCAGTAGACTATGTCTTTTGATTGATACTATATTAGATAGATTTCGTACCTACCGGGTGTTTGCTGACCAAATCTGAGCAGGTATGGCACAAAAGTGAACTATAGCTACAACTGGTCACCAGTAAACTTCCATGGTATGAAACGGAATAGCCCGAAAGTTATTACATTCTAGTAGTCGTAACCTGTGCAAAACTGCCGGAATTATATGGGATAGAGTGATTAGTAATCAGTATGTTAAGGAACGTTCAAGTAGTCTAAAATGTTGAAGGGAGCTCTTGCATATACGTCATGCCGAAAATGCCGATTTGCTTTTCGGATAAGGAAGAAGCCGAAGAAGATTAGTTCCCATATACCCAATAATTCGTCTGGTTTTCAGCCCCCATGGTCGATCTCTTATTAAGACGCTTGAGTTGTATGGTATTGCGCCATGGATGGCGATGATGGCGAGCTCTTCACCACTAGAGGACCCCTCATTTTAGCCATGTGCGCAAATCATTATTTCCTCTTTCGGTCTTATGATGATGACGCGACAAGTTCCTGGAGCCCGAATTAGTGCAGTTGCCGGAGAATGTGGGACATCCTCTCGACTCAAATGGGAGTACTTATACCCATCACCTCGAGTCCCTTGTTGGACAAAAACCAAAGCACATGTGACGCTAGTCTTGCCGAACTGCATCATCACAAAGCCATGTCTGCCATTCAGAAGAATTTACAGGAGAAGAATGCGAAATATGCAGCGGAGTTTACAAAGGGCCATCTTGCACTCCCACCAGCGAAGAAGTATCTTGTTCGTAAGTGGTTCAACGCCCTCCTACAGGAATAGTGGGCCTGCTCACTAACAGTATGCAGTGACATGCATGGACGCCCGCATCGACCCCGCTGCCGCATTTGGCATTGAGCTGGGCGACGCTCATGTCATTCGCAACGCTGGTGCTAGTGCAAGGGATGCTCAACGCTCGATCATCATCTCAGAACAACTGCTGGGTACAAACGAGATAATCTTAGTCAAGCACACTGGCTGTGGCATGTTGACTTTCCAGAACGAGGATGCGCAGAGCCTTGTCAAAAAGAACCTCGGTGATGGCGCCGCAAAGGAAATCGCAGGCCTTGACTTCTTGGCATTCCCCGATTTGGAACAAGCTGTGAAGGACGATGTCGACTTCTTGAAGAAAACAGAAACGGTCCCAAAGGGTGTTGCCATCAGTGGGTGGGTCTATGAAGTTGAGACAGGTAAGACGAGGCAGGTCGTGTAGACTCATGGAGCTATCGGTCGGGTTTCGTTTGTTGGTTCCTTTGATTGGGCCTTTCTTATCTTCTGGATACTCTGCACATGGGACTGGTACTAGTCAGCAATCTGCGTGGGGTACTTGAAACCAATTTGGCGTTCAGCGTGGTCGGGAATGCTCCATTGTCGCGAGTCGTTCTCCTGGGATCGTGTGGGCATCGCGATGAATAGGGGGGTTCCTTTGGTTTGGTTCCTGTCGAAGGCAACAAGATACCCTTGCGTCCCCAACTGATTGTTCTTCGAAAGGATACGCCACGGGATTGTCGATGTATTTTGTGATCCACGGTTTTCGGGCTTCTGCATGACTTTTGGGTTAATATAGTGCCAGCGAGGTTGAAGCGCGCTCACTACGCCGAGCCGGCATCGACATATCTCCTTTTTCATACCAACTTGTGATGCGTATCACTCACTCGCTGCCTAGGATACGGTTGTCTTGTGTCACACAGTTGAGGATGAGTTATCAGCCCGTATTGAGCTCATCTGAGAGACCAAATAGCGTTGCGGTTCTCGACATTCCGGGGGTGGCGCATGTTCAGTCTTGGCGCTTGGCGGTATTGGTGGCTTTTTGAACCCCAGAGCCGGGGACGAGGCAGAAGGGTTACGCCGTCCATGCCAAGGAGTAGTAGTTTATCCTTGTTGACAATCTGAAACATATTCATTTCTCGTCCATTAGAGTTGAGCACTGCTGGCTATCTTGCGTGTTTCATCCGAAAGTTGTCAAAGTAGTGATCAACGTATCTAAACCTCAACGAAAGGTGATATTACACTGGTATCCCTCTTGTACAATTGATAAAAACACAAATTAAAACATGAACTTCATGTCAATTGCGATCGTTCTAGACTTGCTTTCTGACCATAGGAGTTCCAATTCGGTATATGTCAACTTCTGTTTGTAGGAGACAGTAAAAGTCCACGAATGGCAGTCAACATTCCCGGATGGCAACTTGTTATCATGAAGTCGCACGCCAAATGGATTTGCTTTTGGTACGTAGTCGTTTAAGCGCGTCTGTCAGCTTGTTTAATAGTAGTAATTTCAATATCTCGATTTAATGTCACGCAGTGGTGTAGGCGTATGTGAATCCGGCGCAACAAGAATCTCAGGTACCCCAGGTTTGTTTAGACATAATGATTCGCCATATATCTCCGATGCCATCAATAACTCTATTAAAATCGCGAACGTGATGCATGAAAAAGATTCTCAAGCCTCGACTGTGATTCGTCGAGGGCTACAATCCTAGACAAGCCCAGGAACAGCGTGCAGCCACATGGTCCTTGACCGACTAGCTTGTCTATCCTGTCAAATTCACAAGGCATCCATATCAAAGTTCTCCCAAACAAGGAATATAACGAAAAAGGGACTATAACTCATCCACACTGCCTTTTGACTGGAGGAAACGAGACGGGAAAATGGCATCCTCCAATGGTGAGGATGGCATGTCTTGGAATTCGACTGCTGAGGCTCTGTAAACAATGCCCAATTCTATAAAATGTGGTGACGATCATGACTTGATGGATGTTTTTTCCACGACCGAAGCATTCGCTACAACTTGAATCTTCTTTGGTATAAATCTTAATCCTTTTCTGACTACTAGTCACTTAAGATGCATAAATACACCTTGATCGGTCTCCTACCCATTGTTCTGGGTTGCTCAAACCCGGATACCAACGCCTGTGCAAGTTACATCAGCGGACATGTCTCTGTCTGTTCGACGTACTTGAACAGCGTTGTTACAGCGACCACAAGTTTGCCAACCTGGGCAAGCAATTGTTCGAACAAGCCATCTGCCATCTCCAAGGAGTGTAGCTGTTACACTACTGGGGGCTCGGGTGCGACAACGACGGCATCCACGACAACGACAGCAGCAACGACAATCAAGACTTCCACCACCACCACAGCCGGGAGCGGCTCCACGTACGTTTGTCCTTTCTTTTTTTCTTCTCCCTTTTTCTTTTCCTCTTTTCCTCTTTTCCTCTTTTCTTTTTCTTTTCCTTTTCCACCTTTTGTTTCCTTTTTAAAGTTGAACTTAACTACTAAAATAATTTTACCTCGTAGGCCGACTGGCTTGACTACCAAGTTACCATCATCTTCGGGCGCCGTGTCTACATCCGTGGCCATCACTGTCAGCAGCAGCTTCGACGGTGGCATGAAGAAATATGATCGCTACCCAGTCGTCTGTGATGGGCAGACCGAAACTGGAGAAGCTGACGCCATTTTTGTCCTCAAGGACGGAGCGACTTTGTCAAACGTCATCATTGGGGCCGGTCAAGCCGAGGGCGTTCACTGTCAGGGCACCTGGTGAGCCTTATTCCCATTGTCAATTGGCATGGCATGATACTGACCCACAAGCAGCACCATCAACAACGTCTGGTGGCAAGACGTTTGTGAGGATGCCATCACCTTCAAGCAGTCCAGCGGCACTTCCAACATTAACGGCGGTGGTGCTTTCGCAGCTTCTGACAAAATTGTCCAGTTTAAGTATGTTCCGAGTGCCCTAGGAACGAGTAGAGATTATTTACTGACCACATATACAGTGGTTTCGGAACTGTGTCTATCAAGAACTTCTACGCTGAAGACTATGGAAAGCTATCACGGTCCTGTGGAAACTGCGACAACAATGGCGGAGCTCGCCATATCGTCATCGACAATGTCATCGCGGTCGACGGTGGCGTTCTTTGTGGCATCAACGGCAACTGTAAGTGGTCAAAGCATTGTGATCGCATGCTTTTCTTAATAAATTTCGAGAGGCCACGGATATATGCGTGCTAGCTTCACATGGCGATAGTGTGGTGTTCACCCGATTTACAAAAGCAAAGGCTAACCTTTTCGGGCTACCAGATGGCGATTCTTGCACGATTTCGAACAGCTGCCAAGATGACGGCAAGAGTTGTGACAACTACGAAGGCAACAACGACGGTGATGAGCCAACCAAGGTCTCCTCCGGTAATGATGGTACTTACTGCATTGTCAAAAGCCTGAGTACCAACTGTTAGACATCACCTTAGGTCTGGAGGATGAGACGCGACGTCGTGTTTACCTTTCTTGATGGATGTATATAGTTGGAAGATTGCGCTTTGCAGGGAATATATCAGCGAATGTAAATAAAGTAATGATGTATCACATGTCAAACGTACACCACCCAATCGAGTGCATGTCTGTTTATTAATCAGTCTTTTGGTTAACCTAGGTGGGTATATCATGGTGATGCTGACTGATCGGCGCGGTCCTGATTAACTCTGACCAGAAACTCTTCACTTTCCTCAGGCAAGAGATAACCGAATTATTATGAAGGGTGCGCAACATGTCAACGCAGAGTTACTTCCAGTTATCTGCGATAAAGATGATTGTGGAAAAAAGAATTGATGGCGAACAGATTCGGAGACTTTCGAAGTATTGTTACTCAGGACATCATATTGCACGTGAAGCAAATGAATATCGTACAAAAGTGATTCTTGCCCCTTTCTACACGGGCTTACTCCTCCTCATTCCTTTTGCTATAATACAAAACAATTATCTCGCTACATCATATATCGCACATAGTTGGTGACATACCAAGAGTATTCCAATATCCGGGAGGATGCAATGATGGCAAACACTATGCCTCAAGAAAACGCTATTGTACCTACCACTGTCCCCAAGGGGTTTCTGTATGCTTCGTGGAACCTGAAGACCCATCATAAGAGATGCTGCATTCTCTAAAGCGGTGGGACTTGCTACCTTTTTGAGGGGCGATTCTATGTTTTTCTTGAACCTGCTAACGATACTCCGTGCAGCTAATGCTGCTACAATCAACGCGGAAAATCGAAAAAGCATACTACTTGTGAGCGCTCTGGAAGCCTCGGTCTGGGGGCCACTCTACATACAGCGGGGCGAAAAGGAAGAAAGAAAGAAAGCCTAAGAAATATGCTAGGTGACTCTTTACCATATTAGGTCCCTTCATTATGTAGCTTTGAGCTTCCTTGAAATATGTCAGGCGGCCATAAGTCATTTCCTCACGATTGAGTCCTATAAACTTTGCAGTCCCCCTCCGCACTTTTCGCGATTCGTTTTGCACTAAAATATGGCATATTTACTCACCACTTTGAGAGATAGAAGATAGTAATATTTTAGTGCAAAATATACCTTCAAAACTACGGGATGGACTGTAATCTGTCTCTATCATGTGATTGATTAAGAGAAAGTGTCACGTAGCCAACACACCATGCTTTATGCATGGCACTTCATATAGATTACCATTCGCGCTGTCAAACTCCTTTTACTAAACTGATATACATTAATTCACCTAATGGGTTATACGTGCTCTGAATTATAAGCACAAATTTCCCAGCAAAGGTCGAGGCCGTTATTATGAGCGCTGTTCACTACAAGGCAAAGTTCTTTTTCGGCTCGACAACCACGGCCGCAAAAGCCTGTACGTACATCCACACATCCTGACACCTTGTAATTTCTTCCACCCTCTTTCGTACTCTGCGGTCCAGAACTGAACCAGCACCTTTATGGTGCACCTAACGGCCAGCCCCTTGTTGGATGGCAAAAGCTCGGTAGTAATAGCCCATCCGTTATCAGCCCCGTTTTGACACCTCTAAACGACCTTCGAAAGTTCTTTATTAGGCTCAAAACCCGCAATACACCACCTTGAACCCGGGACTGGTCAGCTAAGACCATCGAAGGCGAGCTTCTCTTTTCCATTACTCACAGTTTCGTCTTTTACGAATAATGCCCGGTAGCGCTAAGTACTGCGCTCGATCTTCTAAATCATTATGTCTGCCCACATGTAGTGATGACGAAACATTTTGGTGACAGTCCTGACGGACCCAAAGAGATACCGGAGCCCGGAGGCTACAGGCTTGACGGGCTGCATTCTCCGCCCCCAGAAATCAATGAGCAATAATGATGGATATATTCTTATTATATCGCATGTCAAGATGTGGTCTTGCTTTCGGCGTTGAGCAGATCTTACTATTACAATCGGGTGGGCTGAAGTATACGAGCGACCACCATCAACTGTGCCAGCAAACGCCAGTAGAAGAAGGTGGGGTTTCAACGGTGACAGAATGCGACGCTGGTACAAGGTTGAGCCACACGAGAAGCTGGTTGCAGCTGGTTGGCACATTACCATTACCGCGCATCAGTTTGGGAGCTATTGGTCACCACAGGACTGGAAATGGGAGGGTTTGGCATCATATCTGGGGGTTTTGACACCTAATTGGCGAGATACGGCTTTATAACCCCCCTGAGACGGTGTTGCAAAAGTGGCAGCAGTGAGTCACCACGTGGGAATGACGAGAACGGCCAGTAACAATAGTGTAAAGAGCGGAAGAGCAAACGTCAATAGAAAGTAACGCTATACAATTTAAATTTTAGATAAACCGAAAGTAGATAATATTATTGCAACGCAGTTGGGGGGCTGCTGGCTGTTGCAAAAGTCGCACGGCTGGCACATACTCACGCGCGGCGGTGTTCACTTCATCACGCTATTAGCGATGTGTCGGAGCTGACCGCATGTTCTATAGCTATATATCTATTGGTTTCGTAAGGCAGACGATGATTTCTTCATACTGCCAGGAGCCGAGGCTTTTCAAAAAGACATTAATCTTCATTTCCGAGATGCAGATTGTTTCGCACTAAAAACAAACAAAGAACAGATAGCGCGGTACATTGTTTACTTCATCACACGCAGCAATATTTTCTGATTGAAATAAATGATGCAATGATGGCTGCGAATCGGGCTTACGCTAAATACGTTCAATCTACAGGTGCTACTTTGCTGCCGGATAACCTCGTTCCCCAGCCTAGACTCACCTGAATATGAGCCCAAACCGTTACCACTGATCCGGCGTGGTTTTATAGTGGCTATACTCAAGCAGCCAATTATTCGCAATGGCTTTGAAAGCGAACGCGTTGTCCAAGGTTCTGAACATCAAGCCCTCCCTATTGTTTCCCAATATACCTCTGCCCTCAGCTTTTTGAAGCAATTCTTCCATGTTATTGGCGAATTCATTCAGTTTGACTCGAGCAATTATAGGAGCGTGATCAATATTCAGCTTCCTGCATACACTCAAAGCACGGTCCGGCGGAAGCCACTTCTGGTTGTCGATGTCGTAGATGGCGAAGGCGTAGAAGTGATGTTGGCCAGCCTCGAATCCCATGCTGTTGCCCAGGATGGTTTCGCCACAGAATTCGCCTTGGATTGCGAAGTTGTTGCCGCCTTTCTTTCGACCCGCTGCGGTGCACTGCATCCCAATCTGTGGTATTTTCTCAATGATGCCCTGCCGCCTCACGGTTTTCCAAAAGAGGGATTCTTCCTCCTCAATGTGATCGGTCCATCTTCCACAAACTCCAAAACGCGGCCTTGGCGAATCTGCGCTGCCCTGTTTACGAGGAAGTGCTTTGTACCATTGTGATCTGTTTTCCACGCTGTAGACCGTGATTGGAACACCATCCAGCTTCTCAGTGATCAAAAACTCTATATCTGAATAATGATGGAATAGGTTGACAACGTTTTGTGCGCGCTCGCAGCCGGGTTGTGGAAAGATTATGGGAGGTGGGCCGTAGCTTGGGGCGCCTTCCTCCTCAAAGTACTGCGGCTCGAATTTCTTCACTCCAAGCATTTCAGAGTAATCAAGCTCCATCATAGCTCCTTCCACACGTCCGGGGCTGCCAACGAGGTCGCCCTTGAGCTCTTCCCTCTTCTCAACGTTGATTTCTGGGAAGGCGTTGAGAGGAAATATGAGACCCTGCGAGATATGGCCGAGACGCATAAGTGTGCGAACGACATAGCCTCGCTCTCCCTCGTAGTGGTGATTGGCATGTGGGCCAGTGTATTCCCAGAAGCGCTCGTCTGACATGGGTAGAAAGCTATCGATCTCGATGTAGACCACTAGCTCACCAACGCTGTGTTCGCCCTTGGTCACGACTATGTTCCAGCCCCCCACGATCGCTACTTCCCAACGACTGCGCTTGATGGGTTTGAGCGAAGTGATGCGACGAAGGGCCACAAGCTTGCGCTTTGTTGGTATGTGTACCGAAGTCTCGGGCTGATGAATTGAGCTGCTCATTTTGCCGGATAAGAATGCGAAGTATTGAGCCGTGCAAAGATATAATTGTGCGCAAGGGTACCTGAGCGGTAGTAAGGTGCTAACGTGGTTGATTTCAATTATGCATCGTCTAAAGAAAATCGTGAATGAATTTGAGTAGACGAGATCCGGAGCCAGCATTTATTCGGTGGTATGAGTGATGGATCAAGATGATCATAGTGGCCCCAGAAGAACTAGCTAACGGGAAAAGGCATGCGTGGTGTTATTTCACAGTCCATCTGCGAACCCATAAGTATTTTGCTTTCTTTTTTCTTTTGACTAATCCCGGTAGGGAAATCACGGAAAACGATTGACTGTAACAGGGAAGGAGGGTGGAAGCGGTAGAGAGGCTCAGAACGAACACCACGCACGTTGATACGCATACCTTCCTTTGTGTTTGTTTATTTATGTTATTTTTATGGAACTTGTTCTTAAAGGATCCATCTGAAACGATCAAGAGATCTTTGATTGCGAGCCCTTGAGGCATGAAATGGCATCACATATACCCTGTGTATATAGCTTGTCACGTCGCATACCTCTGGGGAGGTTATGGTCACTTAGAGGCCACCACAACATTAAACAATGCAACAACAACAATGTGAAAAAACCTTGCTGCACCGGCAGCCGTCTTTCAATTAATATCTAATATCTTCATCAGTATCTTTTGAACGAGTTGGATTTAAAGGCATGACACATGCTGGGTCCGACGATATTTTTATAGCGGACGATAATGTTTGAGACCTCTACACACATACACACCAACATTTGGTTCTGGCTAATGAGAAGTATGCGAACGGACACCCGGAGCTATTGATCTCCTTGAACTTCCCATGAGATTATTTTGTAGCCTATGAGATGTTGAATATTGACGTTTACCCAGTGTGATCTCATACACCTGCTTCACACCTTCCTGGAGCCTTTAAATGTAGGGTCATATAGACAGTGAGAAGCTGATAAAATGGACGCTAGTGAACCTAAAGCGATGAAGAGCTCAATGGTCCAAAACGGAAGTTGTCAATCGATTTCACCTCTGGACTGCGCTTGGGGAGACTCGTACTTGGTGGTCAGATAGGAAGTCACCCCACCATAAAGACCAAGTTAGCAGTCAAGCTGATTCCACTATTCATACTGAAGTCTACCCGCGTTGTCACAAAAAAATAGTTCCTGGAATGTTAGGTGCAGACCAGACCGCTGTTCGCACGCGCGAGGAATTGTTGCAGTGCCTCGAGCAGCTCGGTTATCACGTCTTGAAAACGATCATGATTCTTCAGAAGCAATGGTTCGCGAGTACATCGTCGCCGATAACGATCGCTCTTGTGGGCGTCGTTGGTAGGCCATTGGAACGCTGATATCGCTGGCGCAATACATAGACCACGTCACTGGCCGGGGTCGTTCGGATCCATCTCATTGCAAGTCGCATGAAAGAAATAATTCGCATCGAAACCAATATCGCTCAGCTAACTGCGACAATGGAGAATGCCCCTCCTGGACCGCATTGAAGCGCCGCATGTAGAGGCGATACCGCTACCGCCAGGAATTGTGCCCGTTATGGAGACTGAACGAGGAGAGAAATGGCCGTGAACGGCGCTCGTTGTTGTGTAGTCGAGCAGGGTCTGGTGAAAACCAGCCTCTGTAATAAATGAAACTTGAATCTCAATGAGCATAATAAAGGATTGACAGTCTTATGCAAGCAGGATATAACATTTTCCAACCTAGTCTAGCTGACAATATTCCAGCCAGCACTAGTAGTTAAGCACTAACTAACCTAGCCTAGACAAAGATTTGACTAACCTACTGTGCTATTTAATCAAAACCTGGACTGCCTAACCTTAGACGCGGAGTCGACGGGCCTATGAGACCAATTATGAATGGATCTTGAAAATTGACTCTGCATACAAGGCTGGTGTTTTTGGTGTTGTGCGGACGTATTATAGTCTTGGTATGTAGGAAGGAGCACTGGTAGGTGTTGTGGTTGAACTTGTGCTGAGAGTCATGTTATTGGCGGCGCGTTATCTACCTAACGCGGAGTGCATGACGCACGGCGGCAGTCTCCATCCCTTGTAATCCATCCGTAATGATCGCAACCAGTCCTTGAGTCGACAATGTCGTCGACACCAATATTTTCCAAGACTTGGGCTCTTACTCAAAGGATCTGTTTTGCATCATTCATTATCCCTGCTTAGGCTTGGCTTTTCGTACGAGGTTTCGGACGAAATGGGGGTTTTTGGCTTGGATATCTCGGATTTGAATGGTTGGTGACCTTATAAGCACGAACACAACCACCCCGGATAAACACGCGATAAGTATGCAAGACGTTTGAATGACGGAGTCGGTATACAGATTCCAGGGTCACACGGATGCGTACTCGGTACTCACGTGGTTGCAAGAAACAATAAAAACGAATGGGGTAGCGCAAGCTTGATTTGCCAAGTCCGTGCAGAAGCATGTGTGTTCGAACACCAGGATAAATGCTCCGAGCTGTGTGCCGTTATAGCCTCGACAACGGTGACAAGGATCTCGCGGGGGTGCGCAATGGATAAGACCATACTCACGCTGTAGACGGCAAAATGGGTCTTTGATGCTGCAGTATGCATATTTAAACGATGCACGACAGTCCACAGTCTTTGCTTTGCATCAGAATCAGTCGGGGTATGATAGCATGTTACTAACCTTGCTACTGTGCACAAGCCGTGAAACCTACGTGCGCCAACCGAGACCGTGTACCTCAGAATGTCGCCATTATGATGGCACCCGCTAATTTTCCCCCTTGCCAAATTGTGGTGAAGAGCAATAGGTATGTACCGAGTATGTGCGAATTTGAATGTAGCCTGAGCATATTAATAAAATGAAGCCGTTAGCGCGAACCCTAAAAAAATACTCGGGAACGCGGGCGTCTCCCAGTAGTTCAGTCAACTACGGGGTGCGGTACATGGCAGTATACTAACCGTTGGGCAAATTCTACTGTGGCAGTTGTGGTACGACATGTGTGACGCAGTACTCCACACAGCCTACTTGGTCGTGCGGCGGCGGGAGGTGATGCCCACTGACCACACGAGCGGGAAAGTCGTCGCGCAATACCGTCATTGGACACAGGATACTGTACACTAGACACTGGGCCGGGGGACGGTTGCAGACGTCGTATCATGATAGATACGGGACCCTGTACGATCTGGGGGTCTTGTTGTTGTTGGTGGTGTTGTTGTTGTTGACGTATGAATGGGCACAACCTTGGAGCGAGGCTAGTGTTGTCCGGGCCTCTCTCTGCAACTGGCTCAGTGGCCGCCTGTCAAGGGCCCAGCAGGACCGGGGAGGCTGACAGGGCAACTTGGGATTGGCTAGGAACGGGGTCGGACAGCCATCGTCGATGTCCGCAAAGCACATGGGCTTTTCAATTTGCCCTAGTGCAGCCCCATGCTTCTAGGCCTTCCGCCACGGCTTCACAGGAGAGACCCTTGGCTCGGAGCAAGCTCCGGGTCCACTGGATGGCCTGACAGCGTCACCTGCACCGGTGGTCATTGTGGAAACTCGGTGCTCTGCCAAAATACCATGGGCATTGATGGACGCATATAGGCGTTGACTACCGACTCCAACATCGTGCAACGTCTGCGCTTCAGTGGAGTTCAACTAATGGCCACAACCTCCCCATGAGAGCCTCTCGGCGAGGTCTCAGTATATGAGTATGCGACCCTTGCTTCCGCGACCTGGCCCTCCGCCGGTGCCGCCGTCGCTCTCACACAGCGAGACCGTAACTCCACCTGCCCCCAAAACACTGACAGCCTGCAATGAGTGTAGGCAAAAAAAGACCAAGGTAAGGCTTGCCGGTAACAGACCACCTATAGGTACTTGGGACATCGCATGCGCATAGCCAACTAACCTTGACAACACCAGTGCGATGGCGGCCGTCCTTCATGTTCGAAATGTCGACGCGCCAGGGCTACCTGCGTATATGCGAGCGATTCCGTTGTCGCCCAGAACGCACTAAAACGTAATTTCAAAGATCTACAGGACAAATCCGGTACTCAGGTCGAGTTGATCAACATCCTGCGTACCAGAGACCAGCACGATGCTCATTCAGTCCTGCAACGGCTCAGGGCCGGAGAGAGCGTCGATGCCTTGGTCAGATTTATCCAACAGGGTGACCTCCTGTTGCAGTGTCGCCTCACAACACTACAGCAAAGCAGATACAGTTTCCCGATGCACTCTTCGATGCCCTCGTGCCTAGAACCGGACGCGAACCCATTCACCAGCTCAATACTATATCACAAGATCTTCTACGACCAGAGCACCCCGGGCCCTCTAGCTCACGGTAAGAATCCAATCCAGGACAAGGACAGAAAGTATGACTGGCCATATCATGCGGCAGAGCTCGTGGAACCGTCTCTGGAAACGGTGCGCGCCTCTCAATGGACCACCGTTACCGACTCGGATGATCTGGTTCGTACGCTTCTCAAAGCGTACCTGTACTTCGATTTCCCGTTCAACTCGTTGTTCCATAAAGACGCATTTGTCGCCAGTCTAGTAACCGGACGAAAGACATACTGTTCGTCCCTGCTCGTGAATGCGGTCCTCGCATGCGCTTGTGTAAGCCTCCCCATACTACACTACGAGCCTGGGATGCTTAGAGGTCGACTAAATAATATGTAGCACTGTTATCGTACCCCCACAAGTTCTACCGACTTTTGGTCTCCGAAAGAGCTGATCTACCAATTCATGGCTGAAGCTCGACGACTCTGGGATCGCGAGCAGTCACGAAACCACATCACCACGATACAAGCCGGCGCAATTATTGGATACGTTCTCAATTGCGATGGCACAGACAGGATCGGTGTTCGATATTTACAGCTATCGATCGATATGGCTCACGACATGGGTATATTTTCGCACCATGTCCGATTGGAGGATGAGCAGAGGCAAGCCGTCATTGCGGCTACGGCTTGGGGCTTGTTTTGCATGCAAGCGTGAGTAACGTGAGGCTCTTGACTGATTACAACTGGCTGACTAGTTCGACAACAGCAGACAGATGTTCCACAACCGCCAACCCCCCATGATTTTAGAGCCTCCTCGAGTCCCAATGAAGGACAAACTGCAGCGACCTTACTTCTGTGAGTTATGGGTGTTATACCCTCAAGCACCGTGTCCGACCCGGGTCCAGCACAGTCTAGTCTTTATAGCCATGTGCGAATTTTTCGTTATTCTCAACAGCATCGTCGCTCGGTGTTATGGCGAGGGGAGACATTTGGGACCCATCACATTTTCAGAGGCCTTGGGCTTTCGAGAGGAACTGCTCAAGTGGCAAATTACTTTGCCTGAAGAGTTGCAGCCGGATCGAGTTGTCTTCCCCGCACATCTGAAGATATAGTAAGTGTGTATCAGATTTCCTCCTTGGTCTCTATGAATAACTCTTTCCAGCATGCAACTTTTTGTTTTGTTGATCTTTCTCTTTGTCAGATTCAATGGCGTCGAGCACCCAGTCACGCAAAGTCACCCCATCAGGCGAAATTTCATCTCTGCACAAGCCGTTGCGGCTTCTGCGAAGAACTCCCTTGAGTCACTCGTGCATCTTTACTACGCTCGACATAGCTTCGAAAGTTGCGACACGATTATGTTGGCGTATCTTGATCTCGTTGGTTTCGATGCCCTCAGAGAACTCGGGACAACTAGTGGTCCGGAACGAACCTCCAAACTGTCTACCGTCGTCCTTTGTGCCAAAGGCTTACGGGACCAGGCGCGACATTTCTATATAGCGGAAGTAGTATTTTCCATCCTCCGTGACTCGATGTCGCCAGACGATGCGCGCCAACTGAAACAATTTGCAAGTATCGACAATGAGGAAAAAAGAAAACGGCTCATGGCGGAGCACGTGTTCTCTCATTACCTATTGAACGCTGGTCTAGATGATGCCACACAACAAAAGAGACTTGATGAGCTAGTGAAGAGTTATGAAGTCCTGGATCTGGACGATCACGATATGAACGGCATTGATGGGACCAATGGAAATCATCTTATAGATAGCCCGGACGAGATAGGTACCCCGAGAAATAGTCGCAGTCCTAGTTCGGACTATCGAATAATACCATAAGTAAGGGAGCTTTGGGTCTCTGAATTTTATGACGGTATCAAGAAGGGGAATTTGGGTCGCATTGTCTCGGAGTTTACTAGATCTGCTAGATCCTTTTGAGATGCCAGTTTGCATGCTAAAGCCGTGGGCAGCAACGATCGCGCCATCACATCGATATCGGAATTGGTGCTGGTTTTGTTGTATCACAATATCTACTGATGCACTTCTGGCTTCAAACAGATAGGTTGTCACTATGCAGTGCAAAACAAAATGAATGCGAGCTATCGTTCTAAACAGCTTGGTACTACACGTCTCCAACCGTTGATCACTTTCCTGGTGTCATGGGCAAATCTGCATTCGAAAGTAGTTCTCGTCTTTGATAAATATTCTATGATCCTATGGGTAGGCCGCAAAGAGCCACTCGCTCTACATTGCAGTACCCAATCATAATGGCGGGGTAGTCAATCGAACCAAAGCTCGAGGATTCATGATCTTTGAAGAGAGAACATGTTATCAACGATAAACTCCAGACAAGGAAGCGTGCTGCGGGAACCTGATTGGGGCACTTGCATATCACTCTCCATCTCGTGCCCTGCATGCGTTGCTGAGGTCTTCGAGTCATCATTGTTGCCATACCAGGAACATGACTTTCATCAGGTGAAATATATCCCGACGCTCCAGATTGGAGTCTGCCAGGATTGTTTGTGCGGGACTCCTTCGAGCTATATCCGCAACCATTCGCAAGACTAGGATGCATGAAGGCCTATTGTCAGTAATTGAAACAATTCAATTGATTTTGACATCATCTTCGTTGAAGATTTCGGTCCAAAGCAGGACTCTGGCCAATACATTATTCTCGCAATGAGCTACCCATCTCATATCCGTTGGACCAGCTCCATCTGGCCAACTCGTGTCAGATTCGTAGCTTTTACCTTGAATTCCTCTTTGATTGTCAGCCGGACTAGACCGTTCATGATTTGGTATGTAACGGTATACCTGATCTTATTGAAAACCTCCCACCAGCGTTACAGTAACCGGCAAATATCAAATCTTTGGCCTTCATGTCAGCGAAACGAGGAGTTTCCTTTTCTGAAGTGAATGCGGTATCAATACTGACGACCACAAGTGCATGTTGCAAAGTTTGCACTAAGTAGTTGCGCGTTTTGAACTCATCAGTATCCAAGACCATGTGCGGGGCCCAAGATGCCATCTCTTACGAATGGTCGGATGAACTTCGTTTTTGTTCGATATATATCCTTCTTACCCGGTCCATATGTCACGGTTGGGAATTAAACTCCTCTACTTTCTGGTGTCTTTCCGGGGTTACTTCAGATGAAGGCGCTCGATGGTATAAGGGCGACGCCCTGCATTATTGGGAGTGGCCGCAATGATGCATGTAGCGGTGGATGAAACTAGCTGTGAAATATCCAAAATGAACACATCACCGGCAGGAAGTACCTGCGCGAAGGGGTATTTTCTGATAGACGAGGGAGATTCAGCCAATGTCAAAGCTGGAAATCACCTTATGTCAGGTGGGGTTGCAGCTGTTTTTGTTCTTAGAGCTTGATGTCATGCGTTTTACACACGTGGACCTGGCTTTGTCTGTTGTGTTTTTTAAGAACAATGCTGTTATCCATCGTCTCCCTCTAATCATACTATATATCTGGAAAACGAGGCCTAGCTTATTCTGCCAGGTTACGTTGGGTACGTATTAGCCCGACTCGCTACATCCAGACCTCAACAAGCAGTTTCGCAGTATTGGATTCTTTGAAGTGGACATTGTATTCGAAACTATTGCTGAGAGAATCCAACGGAAAGATAATCTCCGAAACAAATCATCATACCAATCATCAAATCATGCACGACAGACTTCACCATCTTGTTTAGCAAGCCGCACGTAATCCAAAAATTTCCCTCGACAATATTACCATAATCCATCCACAGCATGTCCCATAATTAGAACCTTCCCATTCATAGACACGAGCAACAGAAAACTTCGTCTCAGTGCGATGGCCGACAAGTTCACACACGACCTCTACAGCCTCACGACAGGTGAGCTCCGCGAGCTCATACTTGTGCTCTCGATGAAAAAGAGCATTAAGGATACCGCTCAAGCACATATAAATGTGATGCGCTACGCATCTAGCCCAACAGCGACCTCTCCCAACGTCTCGGATCAATTCTGCCATCCAGCTACACCCAACCAAGGCTCAAATTTCGATGGCCAAGCCTGCAGGTACGGTCCTCTGCTATTATTCTAGATACTCCAAGCTAATTGATGTGGCAGCAATTGTGGTACAACTCAAACCCTGATGTGGAGACAAACTCCTCAAGGAGTGGTCGTCTGTGACGCCCGTGGGTTAAACCCGGCGCGCAATTTGCAGAGATTGGACACACCTGCTCAACGCCTCCAGCCTGCGTCTCCCAAAACTCCAAGCCGACGCGCACCTCCCGAGCTCCCAGACCTTTTCAAACGGTTCGGAGTCACCAAGAGTTCAGCCAGGGCTACGACCAGGAAGCAGCCGAGAATCGTCATGAAGCGCACGCTTCTGTATCATGATTGCCAGAACTGTGGTTCGCGATTCCGGCAGCAAGACAATCATGCCGAGGCCTGTCAATACCACCCGGGTGAGTCCGGCAGCTAGTTGCAATGATACAGCTCTACTGACGTGCAAAATGACAGGACAATTGGTCCATGCCGTTCCCGAGCACGACTGGGTCCGTACATCACCACGCCTACAGAGATTCAGCTGTTGCGGACAGTGTCCAAAGAGCGAAGACTGCCAGTTTGCGAAGCATGTATCTCAAGGACATGACACATGAGGATGGAGATGGACTACGAGGGAAAGGGAAGCAGTTGGTCTTATTCACGGATCATGTCGATGTCAGGGATCTTGTCGCTCGGGCTGATGTCATTGTAGTAAGAAGAAGTGTGTCAAAATAGCAAGTCTTGGTCGATGAGCTCGAACTGGAGTATGCCGCATTACAGGCGGGAGTATATGGTTGTGTCTTGTGGTCTGGTATAGTGTATACGCTACCAGATGATACCCACCAAGTGATGTTTTCTCCTCGGATCACGATTGTATTTTTATGCCAGCCATAGTGCCCGACAGACTAGGGTGAAGGACTCCGATTTCGCAAGATAACCTGATTCTATGCCGGGCTTGCTATGGGGAGAAAGTGCTCCCGATCAGATTGAAATGATAGGTTAGCCGTTCCTGTTGTGGATAGCTGCGAGAACAATTGCTCCACCACTATGAGAAGAAAAATGGCCGAAAACTCCCGATGGTCTGATGAACGGCCGAGAATCGTATGGCCAGAGTGCTATTGTTTTTACTACAAATAACAACTATTTCCAACCAATCCTTCATTAGTGCTTCCTTGTAAATTTCTCCCCCTCCTGGCTCATTCACTTCGATGGTGCCACCTCCTGCCTGCGAACTGGAGCACGAGAGTGGGTAGGACCGAAAAGACGACCATCATTCCAGTTGCAACACCAGCAGTACCGGCCATACCTGCCGCCTCAATCAGTTGAGGAAACCTGGCGATGGTTAGCTTGATTCGAATTTCACATATCAGCTTGTTAGCTGAACCTGGAAAACATACCAGAACGGACCGATGAACCCCCAGATTTGACGGACAAAGGTAATGAAAACACCGACCCCAGCAGCATCCTCCTTGTAGCAATCAATAGCATAGGTAATATAGACAGTGGTGACAAGTTGGTTTCCGACCGCGCCAATGGTGGTACCGACCAGAGGTGTGATATTCCACGTTTTCGACGCCGCGGTCTGTACCAGGAAGACAATAACACCGATGATAGCCAAAGCTTGCCCAATGTAGCTGAGCCACAAACGGTGCTCATGCGGGGGAGCAATTCCGGTCTTCTTGCGGCGATGGTTCATCCATAGATCCGACAAGCGACCTCCCATTTGCTCACCAATGATGGCACCGAGGATGAAAGACAGGAACTGAAGACCGACTTCCTGCTCATTGAAACCGTATTTCTTCGGGAATATTTGGGGGATCTCAAGGGTGGGCATGATGTTGGACCACAGGAAGATCATCGAGTACGAAACTGCTGGGAACAAAACGACCGGCTTGGTGAAGTAGATGAATGGGTGCACGAAATCGTTAAACGTTAGCGGATCAGGGTTGATGCGGCGGAAAGTGAAGTATGACTTCTTCAATCTGGGGCTACTAGGTTTAACAGCAAAATCGCGACGATACAACGTCTCCGGTCCAAGAAACAGATACAGTAAAAACTGGACTGCATTCACAATGGCGAGCACATAGTAGATCCAGCGGTAGTTGACGCGCAGGGCAAGGAAACCGAAGAGGAACGGGGCGATCGGGACACCAATCGTAACCATGATCGTCCAGGCGCCCATGAATGTGGCTCGCTCCTGCTTGAAGAACATCTCGGACACCACCGCGCTACCAATGGCCGCGGCTGGACTAATGAAGAAGGCAGTGATCGCTCGGCACACGGCCATGGCCGCGTAAGAGTGACTGAATCCACAGCCGATATTGCCGGCCATACTGCAAATCAAAGAGATCAGGAAGATAGGCCGCCTTCCATAAATATTGGCAAGCGGTCTCCAAATTAGGGGCGCAACTCCTAGGATGGCGATGACCAGTGAGGTGAGATAACTGGCTTGCTGTACCTCGATATCGAAGTCTTCGGCAATGTTGACGAACGCAGACTGGATCGCAGCGGCCGTAAAAGTGCCCATCATGGCATGGAACGCCACCAGCACCAGATTGGTGATTTTCTAGGATGCCGTCAGCAGAGTCGTTCAAGTAACTTTAAGGTACAACGTGTACTAACTGTACTTTTGGGCCAGTTATACGGGTCAGCAGGATCCATGCTAGGTACCGGCTCGAGAGTCAGTTGCCCATGTCTGTCCATCAGGTATTGGCGATGCTCATCGGATAGATCTTCAACGCTGTTCTATCACCACCATAATTATTAGTGACTGTTCCTCAATATGTAGTAATGTCCGTGGCTGGAACATACAGTCGCTGGCGCCTGAACAGCTTGACGCTCGGCATCTTCCACTTCGTTCTTGCTTTCCGTCTTTGGGGTGTTGTATCCTGACGTCGCCATCGTGAAATGTTGAGATGTCGATATGTATTTAGAGAAGTCGTCGACAGGTGAAGACCAAGTCAGAGAACACTTCCTAGGCCGAACCACAAAGTCAAGGTCTCAGAAACTAGAGCTCGGCCAAGAGATGGGAGGAAGAGATAAATAACTGCCTCAAAATACGGGGGTATACTCCATTTCGATAAAACATTTTACTGCAGAAATGCGGAGGAACAGGGGAAGTTGAAGCTACTCCATCATTTCGCAGGAGGGCTTGCCCGGTCCACCGGGCCCTCATCCCATGGTTGGTCCGCGGCGAGATACAGGCCCCCGTTGGCGGTGGATTGCCACCGTTTGAGCAAGACGTAGCGTTCATACCCCATATCGGACCCAGAACAATATCCGCATAAGCACAAGCCCCAGTTCCGTGCGCTATCGCTGCTGTACATACAATTGTGGTGTTCCCCATTGTATTCTGACTCGCTTAATGTGATTTGGCTCTCCCACATTCCTTAGATACCGCTTTGTGTTGGTCCGGGGGACGCCGACTATTGGGGGGCCCTTAAACAACGCATGCAGAGATGGATGGAAGTGATGCACAGCTGAATTCAATCACTATAAATCTTCAATAGCTTATATCCAAGCTTGGCTCAGTAAGAGCACTCAACTACTTGGCGAGGAACGCCACACAGATCACTGCCGCCTTGGCCGCGTCATGGTGGTTTGTTGGCTACAAACCGTCGGGGTATGGAACCAGGATTCTCCAACAAGAGATTGGGTGGCATCAATCAAATTGGAGTAATGAATACTTGGGCAAGGACTCGAGGGTCGAGACTCAGATGCCGGCAGCGTCTGCGGCTATCGTTTGAAAATGGACGGGGGCGGGAATATTGCGGGTTTTGATTCATCAGCTTTGCATATGTACGTACATACCACGTCAATGCTACAGTGATGCTTCAAATGCAATGTAACATTATGGCGGCAGCGCGCGCATCGCGGCTCGGCACAACTTGTCAAGCAACACACATACTAACCTTAGTTAAACCGTACTGCGTCTTAGACAGATTCTTCGGCACGTTCGCGTGCATCTGATAAGGCACTTACCCCAAGCCAAGCTGTTCTCAGATTCTAGTGGCCGGCTGGGCGAAACTACCCAAACGGTCAGTGCGGAAGCAGATCCGGAACTATTAAACATTGACGTTGCGCAGTACTGTACCTATGTCTATATATGTATATGCATGCAAAGTAATCGGGTTCGGGCCGTCTAGCTGATCTCCAGTTTCCCGGTTTCGTTTCGACGTTGTTAAGGAAAGATCTTCACCAAGTCACGAATCACATGTTTCAAGTTTCGCCAATATGTAGCTGGCGCTGCTGCTGCTGCTCTTTCCAGCCTGCCAGATCATCCACCATTTCTTACAGAAGGCATGTCCGCTAAAGTGGGTATCCTAACCTATCCTCAACAAAACAGTGAAGCAACACGCCTAAAACGAGTGGATCTGCCGCTTTCGGAGGGCGGCGACAACGACGATGTGTTTAAAAGATGTTATTTCCTAGATCACTTAGATTAGACGGGCACTCCCACGATTCTTCCGCAGGTTGAAACTGCGGGTACTTTTGTCATTGATTAACTTAGGGTGCACTAGGCAAGAATTTGTGGACTTGTAGGCGGTGTCGGAACCATTCCGGAAAACGTCGCAAACACTCACAATTGTGAACACTATTGTCAATGTCTCCAATGTCATATTTGGCTGTATTATCCAACAAAGAAGGTGGCACCATGCTTCAACGGTTTAGATGCGTAATGTGTGTAAAATCGAATATCACTTCAATGTATCGAAATCTGTATGTAGGGTATGCATGTAAATTGAAATCTAGACACCTTCGCCCTACAAGTGGCAGGTAGAAATGTCAAGCTTTCTTCGCATCGCACCACATGCCCATCCCATTAAGAGCGACCCACTGTGATTGAGTGACACCGCTTGGCTGGGGATGGAAAGGTCTTAAACATGCCATTATTTGGTTCGCAGCACAATATCGGCATCGTTCAGAATCTTCTCTGCTTGGACATGGCGCCCCAAAATCTGGGGACGACTCCGAAGACTGGGGAAGAATTTACCCCGCATCCATTGTGGGTTCAATGGGGTCCAACTTTAGTTCTATCCGTCAAGACAACGTCAGATTGGGGGTTGATACCAAGTCACGGATGATGTGGAAACCAAAATGCTGTCCTTGGGATATGCCTAAGCCGCTGAAGATCAGGGTTCGTTCTCGGCCTTTCAACAAGCCCCGCTACTTTTGGTATGGTTCAGTTGACGCGTCTCGTTGCAGCCGGGAAACGAGCGGAATCACACGCCATTATGCATGACCGAATTTAGCTTTTCATGAACAACAGAGCCGCAGTCTTGGCCCCTATGCTACGTGTGCAAAATTATCCATGTTAAGTCCGATATTACGGTCTCGGAGCTCGGCGCTATAATTCTTCACGACAAGCCATGCAACTTCCCCCAGACTCTGGGTGAGCCTTCATACTTTACTTACGAACTCGCTCAATGATTTGCTGTCTATAAGGAACAACGTTGCTCGTAATCAAAACAAGACAAGATTGGCGGACAAAACTAAACATCTCTAATTCTTCAACCTGCGCAAAGCTAGTATTGACGTACAGAAGGATAGTTTTATCGACATGTAAATACTATTTGTCAACTGAAGCTCCCTGGACGGGTCCGCCTTAAATGACATGAATTTACGCAGGTGGCTTAGCCAATTAAAGAAAGAAAAAACATTACTAGCATGTCGTGGTAAGACGTGGGCGGTTCTGTTTATACAGGGAGTGGATAGATTGGAGGCGCTTACACAATGATTTTTGAGTTCTTTCCCTGACAGCTTGTCATTAGAAGCACATTGCGTCGAGATATTTACAATTCACTTGCATTCATATTATCACTCCGCTCAACACCGGGGACGATAATGCATTACTATACTTATCTCGTTTCTAATATACGAAGGTAAGGTCGAAGTTATTTATAAAAATACCATTTTACTTTATAGTCTTATGAACATAATGATATTATTTATCATAATATACATAATTGTGACGATTGCCCAGTCGTTAGGGCTGACAGCCACTATATATCAGTCTTGTCCGTCCCGTCGTTAGTTAGTCCATTAGTTTTCAGTCTTGTTCCAGTCCAAGTCTTTGGTTTCCGTCGTCGCACCTCACTTACGTCGCCTTCTTATCATGACTGTCCTATAGTCATAACATTTAGGGCGACACCGCCTTCACTTAAATCATCAGAACTTGCGTCCGGAGAACCTTCATGTCTAGCATCCAGAGTTTTCAGAAGTTCCCCAAGATCGTCCCGGCTTTGTATAGTGGACGGATGGTCTGAGCCCAACACCGACTTCTTCAGCTCTAGTGTCTCTCGATACATCTCTTCCGCCTCTTCGTACTTCCCGAGATTATCGAGAACATGAGCCAAGTTGTTCATGCTGTCTAGTGTCGACGGATGGTTAAGACCTAATACTAACTTATATAGCTGTAGTGTCTCTCGATGCATCTCTTCCGCCTCCTTGTACTTCCCGGGATTATCAAGAACATGAGCCAGGTTGTTCATGCTGTCTAGTGTCGACGGATGGTCAAGACCTAATACCAACTTCCTTAGCTCTCGTGTCTCTCGATACATCTCTTCCGCCTCTTCGTACTTTCCTAGACTATCAAGAACATTGGCCAGGTTATTCATGCTGCCTAGTGTCGACGGATGGTTAAGACCCAATACCAACTTATATAGCTGTAGTGTCTCTCGATGCATCTTTTCCACCTCTTCGTACTTCCCGAGACTATCAAGAACATTGGCCAGGTTGTTCATGCTGCCTAGTGTTGACGGATGGTTAAGACCTAATACCAACTTGTATAGCTGCAGTGTCTCTCGATGCATCTCTTCCGCCTCTTCGTACTTTCCTAGACTATCAAGAACATTGGCCAGGTTATTCATGCTGCCTAGTGTTGACGGATGGTTAAGACCCAATACCAACTTGTATAGCTGCAGTGTCTCTCGATGCATCTCTTCCGCCTCTTCGTACTTCCCGAGATTATCGAGAACATAAGCCAGGTTGTTCATGCTGTCTAGTGTCGACGGATGGTTAAGACCCAATACCAACTTATATAGCTGTAGTGTCTCTCGATGCATGTCTTCCGCCTCTTCGTACTCCCTTAGACTATCAAGAACATAAGCCAGGTTGTTCATGCTGTCTAGTGTCGACGGATGGTTAAGACCCAATACCAACTTATATAGCTGTAGTGTCTCTCGATGCATCTTTTCCGCCTCCTCGTACTTCCCGAGATTGTCGAGCACATGCGCCAGGTTATTCATACTGTTTAGTGTCGACGGATGGTCTAGGCCTAACACCGACTTCTTTAGCTCTAGGGTCTCTCGATGTATCTGTTCCGCCTCCTCGTACTTCCCTCGATGATGAAGCACTTCAGCGAGGTCATTCATGCTTTCCAGTGTTGACGGATGATTTGCATCTAGTAACAGTCTCCTCAAATCTAGCGTACGACGATGCATTCGTTCCGCCTTCTCATATTTGCCTTGACTATCCAACATGTTCGTCAGGCTTCCTGTACTGTCGACTGGCGACCAAGGGTATAAATCTAGTAATTGATTCCAGAGCTCTGGACTGCCCGAACGCAGCTCTACGTCCTCTTCGTATTTGCCGAGTTCATTATAGCTACGCGCAACAGCAGAAAGAAGATTTGCCTCTGCCTCTCTGTCGTTGCACTGCTGTTCCAATAAAGCGATTTCAGCATGCAGCATATATTTTGTCCAGACCTGGCGATTTTCTTCCTTGGGCAAAGGGTATACTTTAGCCAGGTGCCTTATTACCCTTGTGCAATGGAACGCCCATTCAGCCTGGATCCAATTTCGAGTTGCCAATCGTACTAAGCGATGTATATCGAACGAGTCCGCCTGTTCTTGCATAGAAATGAATGCATATCCTTGAAGTATTCCAATTGCTACTTCCTTTACTTGCTCGTCTTCTCCAGGGGGTAGAAGAGATATAGGAATGCTCTTTTCAGCTAGGAAACATATAAACTTAAGGTACTCTATTGCCAGAGGATACGATTGTTCCAGATGATGAAACGATATAAGCCATGTCATAGTAATAGGGTTTGTGTTTTTCGAGTACCGCCGCCGCTCTTCAAAGTCGGTGTTTAAGAGGTCTATCTGAGTCTTATCAGATGCAAGACATTGTTGTAGGTACGTAACTGTCGTTACATTTGTTCGTGTCATATAAGCAGATGCTTGTTTAATCGCGAGAGGCAAGCAGACGAGATGCCGAATAAGGTTCTTCGTGGCTTCTATGTCTCGGTATTGCCGTTCTTTCAATCCATTTTGTAGTAGTACTAATGCTTCGTCTTCGCTCATCTCGTTAATTATAAACGTATCTTTCTTAGAAATATCAAGTTGTATAGCCACTTCGTGGTTACGCGTAGTAAACAGAATCGAGCCTTTTCGATTGAACGGGAGGTAGTCTTGCAAAATTCTATTATCCAATAAGCTGACGTCGTCAATACTATCAATGATCAAAAGCCAATGCACGGCACTCTTCTCGAGGGCCATTTTGACCAGTGTCATGACGTCTGCCCTCTTATCATCGATGCCGGGCGTTTCGAGTGCTTCGCCAATCTCTCGATAGCCGTTCTCGAATGTCATCAGGGTGACGGCAGGAACCCAGAAGATGGAGCAGTCAGAGTCCTGGTCGTAGACGCGGTATGCAGCTTCGAGGGCGATCTGTGTCTTACCAACGCCCCCGAGCCCTTCGATCACCGTCCTCTGGCAGTCGTTCTTTTTTGCGTTCGGTAGGATCTTGCCGACTAGCTTTATGAGAATAGACTCTCTGCCAACGAACTCATCGTTCTGTCCAAAGGGAACTAAAAGATAAGCCTCCTGTGTCGCTTCTGACATTGAACGGCGGGTCCGCGTCGGAAGTTGGACTCCAGAGTCAGATTGTTCATCCTCAGGGCGTGGAACGTCAGGCATGCCTCTCCGCTTATCGATCTCCTCTTGCAGCCGGCTTAGTGCATTTGCCTCGCCTTCACCATATATCAGCGGTATAAATACGTCGAATATCCCTAGTAGGCAGTAGGCCACATCCTCCTCTTCTGTCGTCTGGCGCCGGCGAGACCAGCTCATCCGCTCGTGGACAGAAAATCGTGCCAGTGGTGCCCCCTGAAGTGCTGAGATCTTAATCTTGGTGGTGTCATGGATCTCATCGACCAGACCCACCTTGTTACCCAAGAGGTCGCCTTCGACCGAAAAGAATTGGACCGAAGCGGGAGCAAGAAGCTCTTGAAGCGTCCATCCTCGGGTAAACCACCGGCTCCGTGAGAACTGAGTCTCCCACGAACCTGATGAACTGATTGACCTTGTCGATACATCCGGCAAATACACGTAACAGTGAGTTGCGTTTCGATACCATCGAAACATGGAATTAATGGCTCTGGCGAGTTCATTGTGATTTGACTTGTCGATGCAGCACGTGTCCACCCAAAAGTACTCGAGGCCATCGCGCTTAGCTTGTTGCCCGCAGAACAAGATCCCTCTTTACCTTTCCCCCTCTTTTCCACCACGTCTTGGAAGGTGACCTCCTCACTGTCATGGCCCCAGGTGTGAGACAGGATCGCATACGGTGGAATATCGCTGGTCAGATCGTCGGTCAGGCTTATTTCGTCGTTTCCATATCGGAGCAGACGCATCGTCGACGGAGTGGGGGGGACCTCTGCTAGCGGTGATCGAACTATCGAGTTGCTTTATCGTCGTAACTATTCTGGAATGCACTAAAAGCTATCCAAAGCGACATAAACGGCATGACACATCAGAAAACCGTGCGCGCTCACTTTGCTGCAAATGTATCATGTATCGTATACTCTACGAACCTACAAAACCATTGCGCCTTCCGTTGCCCAACGAGGCAGATCTCGCAAGGCTAAGGTTATGCAGGCGGCGAACCCCGCACGATACCATCCCACGAACCAATTAGCACAATTTGCCATATTGCATGATGTAGGCGCAGTTCCTGTTGGAAGGCAGGATGCGAATGAAGTATTTGTCCAGAGGCGTTCAAAGCAGATGCATGTTGCGCGGCGTGAAAGATATAGATTGTACATGTCATTCATGAAGTCATGAATCATGCCAGGCAGCTGATATGAATGCTCTCAAGACCCGAGTTCAGGCAACTTGGAGCCGAAACTGGTTCGAGCCAGAACTAATCACCACCGTGTGTCACGTAGCGCGTAAATATAGGATTAAAGCTCTAGTATAGTGTGGTTTATTAAGTGTGAAAGCGAACGAAGAATAACATACTCTACGGTCGCGATCGAAGCTCAGAAATATCAAACGCGTTAGGCCTCCAAGGCTGCCAAACAGTGGACTCGTTACCAGTGCACTTCATGTTACACCGTGACACTACGAACACGCTCTTGTATTCCCTTTCAACAAGGAGGGATAACAAGACTCTGAACTCAAGTTGTCGCTAACAACTCGTCTCATGCCATCATCTTGAACTGCAGCAAGTGTTAGTCGTTGATCGGTCCCTCTACTACCCGTCTAAGCAATGCCATAGTATCTTCAATCCCGGATTCCTTAACCTAGCCTGTCGTTTTAGCATTAAGGTTGATATGATTTTAGTAGGTTGTGGTTATGAGAAATTTCTATAGATGGCTAATCTCGGATCGGTAATACTCACTCCAGACTTTGTCTTTTGAACGCTGTCGTACCAGCATACTTCTACAAATCGTTCAGCCAACCCTGCATGATAGGGTCGTTTGGCCAAGTCTCACGAAAGCACATGATCCCAGTGATACTCTATTCCTGCAGCATCAATGGCTATTCCGTGACAGAGCTGCGGTACCCAGCTCTTCGGTCCTTTAGACGACGTCGGCTGCGTCAAGCACATTGGGATGACGCCTCTTTTCAGTAACATTGCCGTATTTTACAGGAGACACCTCCCAGAACTCGTTGTACGCATCGAAGATGATGCGCGCCCACCTGAGTGTAGTCATCGCAGTGGAATCCTCGTCTTCAGTGACGACTTCAAATACAGACTTCTCGGCGCACTGGTAGGATGGTACCATGGGTACTGGGTTACATATTTGGTATAACGCTGTCAAAAGAGCTCCGTCTGCAACCTTATCGAATTCGTTGGAACTCACTCAAGTGACGAATCATGAACCAGACCATGCCTGAGACTTGCTTTGATCAATAGAGGTCGGAGGACACAAAAGGTGTGGTTCTTGATAACCGGTTTCTTGCCATAGTTTCTGTTAGAAGGCTTCGAATTGATGGTGTCATATAATCAGCACCAGCATATGTTGCACTATTGCGGCTATACCTTCGACCAAACTCACCGCAGCAAGCCCATAAATCTCGTTGGGCACGCTAAGCTTTTCCGCGAGCTTTCTCTTGACCTCGTCGGCTGAGGGGCCAGTCCTCATCTTCATTGAAACTTGTTCAGGGCCGTACAAGAAAACAATGCGGAAGGATGAAAGACAGGATTGAGCTGCTGATGTACCGCGAACAGCTTCAGTGAAGAATGTAAATACGTTCTTGGGCTCAAGCACAAATATGGGGTTCATAAACCTTCTTTGGATGAGGGTCCCATTTTTTCCAAGTCAAAATCCATCGAGGTACCACCATGAGAAAGAAGTCAGCTGGGCTTTATGTTTTGGAGGAAGGGGGTTCTTGATAATGCCCTATAACATGGCTATGGTTGCGGTCTGTGTAGATTGGTCCCCCGTAGCTGTGTACAAAGGCTCGCCTGGAATCATGGTTCCCATCAACAACTGTGCAGCATCCGATGCTAAGCTGACTAACAGCCCAAGATGGCTCGCTATCTCATGATAGCTCTTTGGCAGCCTGAACATAACCAGCAGCAATGAGATGCCCGTATTCATCTATCGCAGTGTGGGATATTAACTACTGAGTTGGATGGCTCTTTAAGGAGCATGATGTCAAGACCATGTGCCTCCGATACAATTGAACATGCTATCTGTAGCTGCCAACCAAAATGTCGTCAGGTTGTTGGGCAACGAAGCGTTTCCTGTGAGCGGCTGCAACAAGGCATTGCTCTCCAACAAGCCAAAACTACAGCAAATGGAATTCTCACACGTGAGTTGTGTTCGATTCGCGACGCCTGATCGTGTTCTCAAGAATCAAGAAACATTTTCGAAAATAATATTGCAGTTGAATTAAACTTCTACGATTTTCGAAGTGCAAGATTTTCGGTGGGAAATGAGGAAAATATGAGCTTTGCAAAATGGACCTGATATTGTCAGACGGCCTTTCTTTATTGAGACCAAAAATCCAGTACGCCAGTTTACCCAAATCACTTTCATGCACGTCATTAATGAGCGGGGCCCTTGGCGCCGGTGACGGGGCAGACTGCCTCAGAGTCTGCCTGGAGGGATGGGTGTTCTGACACCTTGTCCTATGAAGGAGTTAGTACTTCTGCGTGATTGCTGCTTTAAAGCAACGACAGCAGACATACCTTGTGGTGACCAATGGTGGCCTTGGTGACGGGACAGACATCGCCCTCGGAAGCATTTGCGGTGCTATTTCACATATCAGTATAGAAGCTCGGACTCGGGACATGGTTGCTCATACCTCGGGTGGTCAGGAGGGAGCACAGTTGTGGCAGTGCCCACAACTGGGCAGATCTTGTCGTCCAAAGCTTGAGCCTTGGGCTGGTTGACAGCCTTGTTCAGCGCTGGACACTTCTGCGCATCTGCTGCGCTGGCGTTGGGATGGTCTGATGGAAGAGGGACAGAAGGGTGCTTGTGCAGGTCTATGTGCCACGTCAACTTATGCCCCTTCTCTTCAGATGTACTCTATACCGGGTTACTAACTGAGGTGGTGGTCAGTCTTGGCACCCACGACGGGGCAGGTCTGTCCAGACTTTGTAAGGTCGATCTCTGTCAAGTGTTAGCCGACAGGACGAGGATTTCGGAATATACGAGGCTGGCTGGCTATCGAATCGGCGACAAATAGCGAGGTAGGTGCATCGTTTCTAACGTACCGGGGTGAGAAGGAGGAAGGGTGGTGTTGGTCGTGCCTGTAGGGTATTGTCAGTGGTTATGTTGAAAACCGATTGATATTCGGCATTCTTACCAACAACGGGACAAACGGTAGCAGCAGCCATGGTGAAGTTGTTTGAGTTGGTGATCAAGCTGGATGGAGTTGAATCTGGTAGTGACTTACGAATGGGAGGTGAAGGAATGTAAACTGCATCTAGTCTAGGGACGGATGCCTTATTCATTCTTCAACCCCTCAAATCCATATGGAGCCATTCCTTACAAGACAACTTTAGTGCCAATCCGGTTCTCGAAGCAATTAGCTTGAACCCTGTTTGTTTCAACGATAGAAGATAGGGCGAGCATGACCTCGTCGCCCCTCATTGTTGAAGCTCTGGTACGATTCTCTGGCGAGCATACGGATCCATAGCGGTAGGGATCTTCTCTGCGGTTGTGCAAGTTACGTCACATAAACCCTGGCTCCCTGCAAGCGCTGTTCTGCTTATTAAGAGCGCTATGATTGGCTACTGCTTAACCAAGATTAGCACCAGTGGGTTCGAGCACATGGACAAGTGCCCATTGCATGTACATTTATTCATCAAATAGTCCGAGACACATTATAAAAGCACCTCGAAGATCTATGTGATCAGCTTAACAGGACCCATATAAATTGACGGTCTGTGAAGCTGTATCTATACTATACATGGTATTGATAGCTATTGAGACAGCATAAGTGGAGATGACGCTAGAGGTAGAAGTCAATCCAGTATTCCCAATTAAGCAATGCTTCGAAACCCGACCATGCTGTGATATTCAAGTATGTAATGCGAAGCAACATGTCTCTGATTCTGATATTTTACGTCCTCAACATCCTTTGAGGCAGATATGAAAGTAAATGCTGACCAAGAGCTGGGCGCGTAGCGACGACTTTATCGTGTTCTTATAACTCGGCCCCATCACTCGTGTCGTCCCAGCAGCCTGTGCAGACCTCCACGGTCGCGCGCAGCATAAATGTGCACGCTATGCCTTCGTTTTAGTTGCAAATACGTCGTCTGCATGCCATACGCCAAGCACATCGGAACAAAGCACAACTAGTCGCCTTGGCATGCGACATATGCCGTACAACCACAGAATTCTGGAAGATGAAGTGAACCCATATATCGTGGTTTCCACGTACTCAACATACTTCTGTGCACTTTATAAAAAGTTTCTTGCCTTTAATAAGTGTTCAGCAGACTGCCACCCCATCTCGTTGTCGCCATTGGCAGGCCGCAGTACATTATACGAAGGCCCGCTATCCTGCCCCTCTATGGATGCCGTGGTAATAAGATGCTTGTTGACGGCCAGACTTCCATTGCCTGCTTCGCTAGCCTTTATGAATCGATTGGACAACCATGATCTCTTGCTCCATCTCCCTATGGTTCGCATGCAGTGACCCGTGCATAGGAATGGAACAGGCCCGGGTCCCCTCCCCCGCATTGTCTCGGCAGCCTCAGCCAACGAGGGGAAGCTCCATAAAGGGCTTGTACAAAACAGACGACATTACCGTGCCAGGGAACTTTCGAGACTCGTCAAGATCTTTAGTTTCCAAACACTTGCTTGCAGTCAGGGTCTATAAGTTAAACTAACATCTGGCATATATTCAATATGGGTTCAGGTAATGGCAACACTAGCTTCGAGATCCCAAGTGAATGCATAGCAGGCGTGGTTGTCAATGAGGGGCCAAACTTCCATATCGAGGTCAAGAATGTTCCCGTCCCTGAAATTGGTAGGTTTCCGCTCCCCTGTACCACGCTAGCCCGAGACTCACATGGCTAAGACATGAATATTATTGTTTAGGTCCCGATGATGTCCTTATCAAGCTCAACGCTACTGGACTATGCATGTCAGATGTGCACTTCATGTTGAACGACTGGTCCCAGCCGCCAATGTCAACTTTCGGCACCCAATGTGCAGGCCACGAGGGCGCGGGCGTAATCGTCAAGGTTGGGGAGAATGTGAAGCATCTGAAGGTAGGCCAAAGGGCTGGCTACAAACCTATTCAGGATATTTGTCATACCTGTTGGGAGTGCCAAAATGGACGAGAGACTTACTGCATGAACGCAGTGCTCACAGGATTACATATAGATGGTGGGCAGCCTGCCAAAAAGGAAAAAGAAACCGGAGCTAATTGCCGAATCTTAGGATCCTACATGCAATATGTCAAGTCACCAGAACGATACACCACTATTATCCCCGACGGTCTCAGCGACTATATTGCGGGGCCTATTATGTGCTCTGCATCTACCGTGTATACCTCGCTGAAAGAGTCCGGACTGCGTCCTGGTCAGTGGGCTTGCTTCCCGGGTGGTGGTGGTGGTGTCGGTATCCAAGGCGTACAGCTCGCTGTGGCTATGGGGTTTCGTTCGATCGTTGTCGACACTGGCGAAGAAAGGGAGGCCTTGGCTAAGGAGATGGGCGCAGAGGTATTCGTTGATTTCAAGAAGATTGAAAACCCTACCAAAAAGGTGGTTGAGATCACTGGTGGCGGTGCTCACGGTGTCTTTGTCACAGGTAATCGTTACCATCATTCATTGCACATGCCCGGGCTTACTGAAAATTAGCAATCCAATCGTATCCGATCGCTCTCGACTATCTGGGACCGCGTGTTAGTGGTATTGTGATGTGGTATGTCCTCAAATTTGCATTCAACTTTGCAATGAATTAACAAGAAAAGTATTGGTATTCCTCCGACTGGCGAGTTTCATATGAATGTCAATCCCAGTGTACTTCTGTTCCGAAACCAGTCGATCAAAGGCACGCTTGTGAGCAGCCTCGCCGACGTAGCCGAGACACTTGAATTCGCTGTGCGAGGTGAGACATTGGCATGTTCTTAATTGGGTCGATGGTTGACATTTCAAAGGCAAACTCCGCCTAAAACCGACAGTTGTAGGACTATCCAAGTTCGACGAGAGCGTTCAGAAGTTGAAGAATGGTCTAGTTGCTGGGTATGTTGCCAACCTGTTTTTTCCTTCTCTCTTCTTCTTCATTCTTGGTATACCGTTCGAATTATTAAAAACAACCCTAGTCGTATCGTTGTGGACTTCAACTTGCCTTGAAGCTCTAGATTTGAGACGGGTGGTTGCACACCTAGAATATGGCATCCCGCGGCATGAAAGCTTCCGCTGGGGTATGTACACAACCTATCCGCTGACGGGATAGGAAGCACGAAACAAGATGCCAAAAACGCGGATGTATCACTATGTAATACTAGAATCTGTCTTCAAATTGACTTCTTTGTTTTGACTAATTGTTCACACGGTTGATTAGTACCTGTGTTAATTTCTGAGAGACGCATCCTGCCACGGACGAGCTCGGACGGACATCATACGGATCCCCGCCAAAGCCCGGTGCAAGCCTTGCTAAATACACCGTGCTAAGCTCGAATGGTTCTAGTGATTCCCGCCTGCACAACCTAAATAGCAGCGACAAGGGGCCCGGTGATGCTAGTGGGCCGGGAAACTATTATACATATGATGAAGGCTGTCCGAATTGTCCGAACGCAAGGGATATATGAAGGTGCCTGCTTGTTTAAGTTCACATACAGCTGGTTTTCTCTCAATCTTCAAAGCAGCTTGCTTGTAGTGTCAAACACTTTTCTATTTCCCAGCATCAACATTCAGTAACTATGGCAGGTCTGATGGACAAGTCGCCCACCAAGAACATCGTTATACTGGGTGGCTCCTATGGAGGCATGTCCGTTGCCCATTATGTACTGCGACATGTCATACCCCAGTTACCAGAGAGCCATACATATCGAGTGGTCCTTGTCAGTATCGGAACGGAAGTAATGTGCCGACCGGCTTGCCCTCGTGCGATGATCTCGGACAAGTTCTTTTCCCAGGAGAAACTTTTCGTGAACATTCCGAAACAGTTTGCGCAATACCCCAAGGAAAACTTTCGGTTCATTCAAGGCGCCGCAACGCATCTGAGACATACCGACCGGGTTGTGTCGGTCAAGCTTACGGAGTCGGGTACAACTGAGAATCTCGACTTCCATGCCCTCGTGATTGCGACCGGTGCTTCCGCACCATCACCGCTTATAGGCTCAAACGGAGACCAGGAACTCCTGAAGTCGAATTGGAGTAAACTACGACGAACTCTTCCGACTGTGAAGCACGTTGTAATCGCTGGCGGCGGGCCGACTGGAGTCGAGACGGCGGGAGAACTCGGAGAGTATCTGAACGGGCGAGCGTGGTTCTTTCAAGACGGCTTGAAGAGTCCGACGGTAAAGATCACGCTGCTAACCTCTGGGTCGAAACTGCTCCCAGTCCTCCGCCCTTCAATCGCGGCAAAGGCTGAAAAGTTGCTCGCCCAAGTTGGCGTAACTGTGGTCAAAAACGCTCCTGTCCAGGATGTAACCTCTTCGAGCAATGATATAAGTGAAAAAGAGGGCCCGGTGACCGTCAACCTCAAAGATGGCAGAACTCTGGAAGCAGACTTATACATCCCTGCATTTGGCACAACACCCAATACAGCATTTATTGACAAGTCCTTGCTTGCCGATGACGGCCGCGTCAACACCAACACTGCTACTTTGCGTGTAGACCAGGCGGGTCCTCGTATCTACGCCATCGGCGATGCGTCTACTTTCGCCAGAGCCGCTGTGCATCATATTCTCGGCGCAATCCCTGTGTTGGGTGCCAATATCAAGCGGGATTTACTATCAGCAGCGGGACAGTCCGTTGTGGGAGCCGATAGAGAATTCAAAGAGGAAAAGCGGGAGATGCAGATGGTGCCCATAGGGAGAAGCAAGGGAGTTGGTGCCGCCTTTGGGTGGCAATTGCCAAGCTTCATGGTCTGGCTGATCAAAGGAAGGGATTATTTTTTGTGGACCACTCCAGCGTTATGGAGCGGAACGCATTGGGCCAAAGAATCCTGAGAGCATCGCATATTTGATAATTTCAGAGTATTTTGTTGTGGCGAAAAGTAAGCCGTATGTAGGCAGCATAGTAGGGCGGCGTCGACGCCGGACTGGTGCTGTCAGAGCGCAGTCTCATTCCTGCAAAGAGATATCTATGAAAGCACCACTGCTGTTCTTGCCCTAATTTCATGACTTCAGACTCCACCCAAAGACCCCGAGAAACTCATGCCCATAGCTCTTACCGCACGGCGACTAGTCGACCCAACTTCATAAGCTGTTTGCTTAACCTGGTTTTCTGTGTACTCCAACGTGACCCTAGCTTGTGGTAGCGGAAAGTGCAGCCAGGAGAGCCATCCACTCTGCCACAGCAACTCCAACTTCCTCTGACACCGGAATTCTCATAACTTCCATCGCCGATGATGTAGCCTATATTGTGTTCAGCTTGAGAATCTGGTGCACTACTTGTGGGATAATTTACCTTTATGGCATGGACAAGTCATGGTCAGAGCGTCGTTGCTTGCGAATCTACCATGGCACTTTCGGCACCGCAAGCTTGGCGCACTCGAACTGGCCGCTTCATATGGTGGTGCAGGACTTGCTTCGAGGACGGTGTCATAAGGCGGCGGGCTCTCCGCTTCTTCGTCGCTCTGGTCAGACTCTGTATGATACGCGGGACTTTCTTCCTCATACAACCGAAGAACCAAATCGAGATGCCCGTTGCTGTCAATGTCGTTTAAGGCCGAGACCAGCTGCTGCATTTCAATAGAGACCATGTTATGAGAATCGTGATGAATGTTCCTCGAAAATAGACAAATGACAGACGCAGGTGGGTGAGTAGTTATGGGAAGAGCCAAATTAACAGAGCTGAACAAACGGTGAATTATCTTCTCCGCGATGAAAATTGATTGCAGTTTCTGCCAAAATAAGAGGTCACGACTTAGGTGCCGACAGCTTCAGTATGCAATTGCCAACTCAATACTCTTCCTTGAGCTCACTGTGAACCTAAAAATGTTTGAGCATCTCTCACCTACAACTACGACATGATGGCCATCTATATACAGGATATTCCGCTTTCTCACTAATGTTGGTGTCTGCTGCATCCATCTCATGGACATTTTAGACTTCGACCACCTATACAGCTCTCAATTCGGCATATTGTCTTGACTTTTGGCCCTCTTATTGGTGTTGGTGTTGTCCACGCGCACGGACCAAGTCATGCCGACGGTGGTGTCAAATGACTTTCATCAGGCGTCCAACCAATACGCCTAATCGTGTGATTGCGGGTACCAATCGGGTATTTTCGTGCGCCATCACACATATGGGATTCCAAGGAGCGGTTGTGCCTGTTCAGCCTGATGGCTTTGTTGTGAGGACCCCCCACGCCCATTAGAGCTTGTTGTGTGCCACACATATCTGAGGACTGCTTTGCATGGAAATTCACACCTTCAAAGCCACCTGGAGCGAGCGGATCACGGTAGAATATGCAATCTCCCTTTGATGCCACTCTTTGGTGCTCTCTAAACACCCTTTATCAAATGCATGAGCCATTCCTGGTAGGGTCTTATTAACGACAGTCCTGTTCGTTTCCTGTAAATTTGCCGCCAGAGCGTTAGCCTCGGGAGACAACGTGTCGCCTTCGGAAGCAATAATGACCACGGTTTCTGGAAAAGAAGATGGTTCGGCCAGAGAAGGTGATACACGCGGGTCTTTCCGCAATGCCCTATCAGGGGCATAAGCGTCATCCCACAATGCTGCAATGCTTGCAGGTATCGGGTTGACAGGGTTTGAGACCTTCTTGGCCGCAGAGTCGATCGATAAATCCGTCACTGGGTAGAGCGCGGCAACCACTACGATCTTTACACCAAACCTGGAAAGATCTGGCCGAAGTGACGAGGAGGCGACTAAGGCCAAGTTACCGCCAGCACTAAACCCTGATACGGCAACACGAGTGACATCAAACTGATCCGGTCGACTCGCGATCCATCTGAGTGTATCTTCCACGTCGTTGACCGCCGCCGGGAACGGATTTTCTGGAGCTTTGCGATAATCCGCGTCCAGGACTATGATGCCAGCTTCACGTGCGACACGGGCGCAGAACAAGCGATCACTACCGAAGCAGGGAATAACAAAACCGCTGCCATGCCAGTTGACGAGAACAGGTCTCTTTCCGTGCGACAAGGAGCCAGAAAGACCGGGCGGGTAGTACAAATCGCCATTGATGAATCGACCTTGGTCTCGTGATGGGAGACGCACGCGGCGGGGCTCAATATCATCGGAAAGTAGCAGATCGCGCTTCGCGAGTGACCTCAACCGAAAAGTGGCTATTATCCTGAAAAGATACACTACGAATCGTATGTGCAACCATCTCCAGATGCTGATAGACGCCATGATTCTCTCGTTGAACTGGGAGACTCAATGAGCCTACCAAATCAGAAATGTTTAACCACGTGCCCGTAGCCGACAGAATCAATCGCGTCAAGGAACCTCGGCCTGACAATTGGGACACAGTTCGGACAGCCGTTATTCAATGCCCTGGTCAACGAGTGGTAGTTCGAAGGCTTATGTGAAGATGCAAGCTTCGTAATTCACAACGACCAGGAAGAAGCGTAAGACATACATGGGTAAAAAATAAAAATAAAAATAAAAATAAATTTTTATAATTTTATTTTTTTTGCAAATTGTATCAAATGTTTCTCAGTACTGTGCAAATTTCATGATGCTCATATTTATGGCGGCATTAAAAGAGTTCAGGTCTGCCGTTGACACCGAAGGCGACGTTGATTAGAACTTTAGACTGAGTTACCTAACCTTAGACCAGAACATCTATGGTGCTCTTAGACCCTCAAGGTTCTTTTACATCGCTAAATTTCCAGGCTCCAATCTAAATTGCGCTCTAAAGCCCAGAAATTTATATATTTCATAACACTATATAGAGATGAACATTAATCTAGCTCTGCTGCATACCACACATTTTGTTCATGATTAATTGTCTCTTAGAACTAATAGACGACTAACCTAAGCATAATCCATAAATGACTGTAGACAAACCGAACGCGAGCCTGCACGTTTTGCTTGATTGAGCTATAATTGACATTGAGATGCACTTGAGACTGATGCTAAAAAAAAAGGTCCTAACTGTCAACACTACATCACGCTTGTTCGTAATTCCCTTTGACTTTCTATTAGATTTTGGAGGTCTCATCGGCCGCAATAAGGGCGACATCCCCAATGCACGAGCTCCCGAGGGCTCTCGGAATAATGGCGTAGTATACTTTAGACACGGGGCCATCATTGCAGACAATTCAAACATGTGCAGACCGGCTTTGCTATTATAGGATTTGGTTGAACAGCAAAATTGTCGGTGATAACACCATTCTGCAATGAGACCACTTCAGCACCTCATCTTCTTACATAGTGATAAGGTTTCGTGACCCTCACCTCCAACTTTCCATCCAAGGAGAGTAGAAAAAAGAAATACTCCCTCGCCGATTCGCCGGAGAATGAGGCTACCGAAGAAACCTGCATCAGTCATTCCGGTGACGAGACCGAGTTGAAAGTTCAGGAATACGCGACCCGATTTAATAGAATAGAAGCTGGGGTGCGCATAAATGTCGCGGTCATTCAATCGCATATAACATACTTGGGTTAGGCCAGGGTGGCTAGATTCAAAAACGTTGTGGACGCGAGCCCGACGGAAGAGGTGATTGTCTGTAGAACACGATCTGGCTTTATCTTGCCACTGGTTGCGATGCCGACGAAAAAGATGTTGCAATGATAAGCCTACCCTTCATTCTAGAGCCTTTTTGGAATCCCGAGTGTGATATCTCATGACAGTAACGACGGTCTTCACATACAGTGTACTAGAGGTTCCTAGACATGCGCAAGTCAAATTGCTTCCTGGTCTTGGACATTGTTGCATCCCACTGTGTCAGTTCGTGGTTTGTACTTTTGATACAATGATCATTTTAGCAGCAAGATTCTTGCTTCTCAACGAGTACGAACTGATACATGATATCAGAAGACTTGGACAGCAGCGCATATGAGTGTCTGTACACCGTGATTTACTGAGGTCGCACTTGATTGCCGTTTCAAAAAGAAATTCAAAAGGCAAGCATATGATCTCGGAGCTGGGTAGCGGAGCGGGTGAGATACGAGCCAAACCAACCTGCCTTGCAGTACACCCAAGCAAGTGGTCGGTCCAGTCTCGTTTGAACCAGAGACAGAGACAAGAATGAAATTTTTATCTTGAGGCTCACAGGAGACGAGAATTTGGTTGTTGTTGGCTATGGCAAGGAACAATTTCTACACTAATTCGACGACGTAGGCAACCGGTCCCACCGGAAATTGGAACCACTGAAGAATGCTGCCAAAGGGCCCTGGAAACACTCCCAGATTTGTATGGTGACTATTACGCTCTCTACCGCAACCAGCAGGACACGCACAAGACACCCGTGATAACGCTTTGAGTCCAGTAGCAACCGCGTACAGCTTCATTAGCTGTGATCAACCGGTCTCCATTGATATTGTTCAGAGCGCTATGAACCGAAGATGCGCCCTAAATGACAGTCCCTTACAGTCATCCGTTTGGGATTGCCTCCGTCATTGACGGATCCGTGAGCATTAGGTGCAACCCGCCACGACTTCAATCATCACTTGCAATCGACCCGGCCAGTTTGAATGGCGATAGTTCCGCGGCAACTTGCAACACAAACAATTTAGATGGTCGTGTCTCTACCTTTCCCACTGACGATGTGAACTCTTCCATACTTGTCCGTATAAGCATGTTCGTCGCCCGCAAGCCACATGGGACGATTTTGTGGTATCTCTACGTCAACTCCGGACTTTGGATGCACCTTTTCCATCTCAAGCCGGTGAGCACTCTTCGGCTTATCGCCCTTGATCCGGAGTTTCTCAAAGAAAACATAGCTGCTATAGAAGACACAACTAGTGTTGCCATCCAGTGGGCCCTTTTTAGACAGGAAGTCATTGAGTTGCTTGGATTGCACTTTGCGCTCTTCCGGGAAACACTTGGCCAGCTCCCGCAGAAATGCGGCTTGGGTAACGTCGTCTTTTCGCAAAAAGGCGCGTATCTTCTTGCGCACCTCGTCGCAAGTGTCGAAGACAGGAACTTTGCCTGTGTCCTCGCCATCGAGCGTAACTTCGCTGACATTAAGAGTTTCAGACGTCTTGCCTGCGGCTCTGGTGGTGGCTGTCTTGGCTTTCTTTGCCCCTGTGCCTTTTATTCCCTGAAGCTCTCTCTTCTTGAAGAATCTCCATGCTTTGTAATACATATCACTTCCAAACCCAGCATCTTTACCATTCAGTTTCATGAAGCGATAATACTGGACCGAGCCAACATCAATGGCGGCTTGGAATTCGCCAACTTTCATTGCGCCCGAGTCGAGGAATCGCCTCACCTTTGCGCGAACCTGTTGGCAGCTCTGGTCTACCTCTTGCAGGCGGGGGTCGTCGTCATCGATTTCGGGTAAGGCTTCCGGCTCCGCGACGGCATCGGACTTGCGCTTCCTCGATGCTGGGGCGGGCTTGGTGTTTGTGGGTGGCGCGGATGTCAAGGGCTGGGAAGCCATGGCAGGCGTGGCGCTTGGCTTGGCCTTAGCATTACTTCCTTTCGCAAGGAGTTGATGATGTGGAACATTCTCCTGGTCATCGGAAGCAATAGGGTAGGCCTACAAGTCTATCAGCGACGTAGGTTTTCGGGCTGGACAGTGAGAACTGCTAAAAGGAAGTTTATGCTATTCAAGGTAGGGATGGTTACGTGAAGATGCAGTGCAGGCATTGTGGCACCGGGCCCGTTACTAAGACGCCTCGAGTTAAAGTCCTGTAGCACCGAGGCAGGATCCCATGACCAGCGAGGAGACATTGCGTGGAACAAGGATGGTGGGTGTTTGATTTTCAATAAGTCCGTAACGGTATGGAAAGTGCCCAAAGAGGTGTGAATGACTAAAAGGGCCGGGTCAAGAGGAAGTACGATAGAGTCAGATAAGAATATACTTTAAAGCCTCTGCGAGGTATCACGGCTGAGAGTGCGAGTGTATACCGTAGGTAGTTCTCTGAGACGCGACGAACTAACAATAACACACGACCCGCGACGACAGTGTCAACAATTGACGTCAGGTCTTTTATTTGATCCGAGCTTCGTCGAGAGACAGCCCTCATCGTCGGTGGTGCGCTTTAGCGCAACATTAAACCCCAGACAGACTTACTTACAGCAAGTGCACTAGGTTAGGTTATGTATGTTCGACTTACAGCGCTTGTGGGCCGTTCAGTGGGTCGTTCTAGGTCTTCGGTCGTCGCCCATCCGCCTAGGACAGAATCTTGGTTCCTTCAACAGAAATACCGTATCGCTGGAATGTTCCTGGTACATTAAATCGACGATAGGTAGTCATATCCAGTTCGGCTCTGACTGTTTCTAACTGTATTTTGACAACGTACGATCAGGGTAGATCAACTCTGAAGTGTTGGTACTTTATTTCAACTTCCCGTAGCTTATGTCAACGATAAGCCGCCGGGAATTGCTTAAGTCCTGGATTCCAATTGGTACTATAATTCAAAAACGAACGAACGCCACCGGAATGCCTCCTCAGGTTTATTTCTGACGCCCTATACCCCGTGGAGTTTGTTGGCCGCGCAGCCCTGTCCTTGTCGTAGCATACAGAAACGGAACATCACATTTCGAAGCACTGCAACAACTCACTAAAATTTCCATGGTATGCAAGACCCTCGTTGCACTAAACAAATTTAGATTTGCGCTTAAGGCTCGAGTTCATATCGTCGTATCAATATTTTGATGGATTTTTCTGTTTCATTCGCAAAATAAGGCATGTTGGGAAGTGTGCACGCCCTATTTGTCACGCTATGACTGCGCCTATACGCCAGCGTCTGCAGGTCTGTTAGCCGAGTCGGTACAGTATCGCCCAATCTTGAACCAATTGCTTCCTGTATACCCTTGTTGCCGAAATGGAGCCTAGGACAGCGTCCCGGTGATCTCGATTTTCCACTTGTGCCCATTTGAACAACCAAAGTCGATCAGTTTCAGTGTCGGCGCAAGACTACGCTCAACCAGTTCAGGTCACTAGGTATGACTGTTCTACATTCCTTCCGTTTTGGATCACCTTCAAAGAGTTGCATTAACCATTGCTATTATGGCGGTCCCTAGGATAAATGCCTGGGCCTATCTCTATCATTTCCCACGCAGTTTCATCGCTGTATAATCTTATGATAAGCATTCGCACGCAGAACAAATGATGTGAGACGTATAGCATTGGAAAGTCAGCCAAATTATTCGATTTGGTGTCAGGAATTCTCTGTTCCACGCCTTGCTCGTAAAAGACATGACGGTGCAGCTAACTGCGAAGCTTCTATGTATATTGTTCGGTTGCGGAAAATGTTTAGAGCTTCTAAATATGGACGGAAATTATGCATTGTCACTGTTACATAGCCTCATGCGCTGCTTTCCTCGTCTCTAATGTATCTGTATCCCAGATTTGTGTTGAAGAATAACTCACAAAGATTACAAGCTATTTTGATTGCGGCAATAACGGGCAATAATGAATCGGAACTAATATTTCACTGTTGAATAATGCAGTGTGCCCAGACCGCATCCATCAACGTATGTGAAAGTATAATATGGGAAGCTATCTGTAGGGGAAATACCAGAGTCAACTGCCCAATAGAGAGCTCGAGAGCTTGTCCGACTTGGGCCCCATGACAAAGTGTTCTGCTCTAATACGAAAGACTAGCATCTCAAGTAAGCCTGCGTGTCACTAGTTGATACTGAATGACACTTTGCTTTCACTACTCTGGCTGGGAAGGAGTCAAGTCAGGCGCACCAGCGACTGAAACAAGGGACCCAGTAATACGGTATTGGATATTATGGTAGCATCCCAACTGGACAATACTTTAGTGGAAGCTATGGATGTTATGACAGTATTTCTTTTGGCACTGAAGCACAATTCCCCGTCCGTTAGGCCTTTATCTGCGCAGCACAATTGCAGTATGCAAACTCGAGTACTCCAGCTTAGTGGTCTACCGATAACTAATCGGCCAGGGTGGTTTGGTCTTTGAGGAAGAGACTTTCCGGGCACAATAGCCAGCATCTTGGAAGCTATGACAATATAAAAATAAAGAATCCAAGCTCCCGAAAATCGCCAGTCGTTTAAGTGGTGCAACAGGGCGCGGCACAGCTGCTGGCAGATGGCGTTCTCCCCGCAAAAGTCCACCAGCTCTTGTTTCAACCAACCTCAAATAGATTGCGACTACGTGGATCGCAATTCATTCATTCGGCAGTACCCAATAACAATGCGACGCGGGATCTCTAGCACATCTTCGTCTGACCTGATCTTGACGCCAGAGGGCTAATTTGTGCTTGGATCAAGCTTACTCAAACCTTGACCCTATCTATAATCAACCAATTGTAAGGCGTTGTGCTTTCAGCAATGGTCTTGGGTGCTCCAACTATCACCAGATCGTCCCAAGATGGCGCCTTGGCCTATGAAGGTCGATGGGACGGCACGTATCCACCGGCAAATTCATCTGTTCTACTTAGATGCGATTGATATTGCAGACTCCGTTCCGAGACGGCAGAAGATCTGCATGCAGCCGACTGGTGTTCAGTGATCATGGTATGAATATTCATATAGCAGCTCTTTAGGCAGAATGTCTTCATCAATCCATTCATTCATTCAACTCTCGTGCAGGAGACCTTTTCGCTAGCAGAGCTATTACTTTATTCTTTTATTTTTATTTTTGTACACGCTGGCGTGACGTGATATTTGTTTCTTACACCTGTGCCATTGTTTTCACATCAGCCATACTCTTCTGATCATCCTCGAATATGCACTCGCTTAGCTCGATCGGGCTGGCCTTGGCCGGCGCGGTCACTGTGTCAGCTCACAGTTATGTCCTAGACATCGATGTCGACCTCAAAACATACCCCGGATTCCGGCCCATGAACGGTTCAGAGAACGCTCCCGTCATCGTCGGCTGGAATACATCAGCGTGGGATATGGGCTGGATTGGGGAGGATTCCTATGCGACCCCGGACATTGTGTGCCACAAAAATGCGGAAAATGCCCAGGGATACGCTCCAGTGGCTGCTGGTGACAAGGTGCATATTCAGTGGAATGGTTGGCCAGAAGGGCATAAGGGTCCTGTGGTTGATTATCTTGCGTCATGCGGCGATGAAGGCTGTGAGTCTGTTGACAAAACCACATTAGAGTTCTTCAAGATCAACCAAGGCGGCCTTATCAACTCGTCCGCAATGGCACCCTATGGCGAGTGGGCTTCCGATCAGCTAATCGCAAACAACAACTCATGGCTCGTCGAGATCCCATCATCGGTTAAGCCTGGGTTCTATGTGCTGCGGACTGAGATTATCGCATTGCATAACCTTACCACCGGAGCCCAGCATTACCCACAGTGCTTGAACCTGGAGATTACTGGCAACGGCACTGAACTTCCAGTCGGGATCCTTGGCGAGCACTTGTACAACAGTACCCAGCCAGGCTTGGACAGAAGCCTCAACGTCACTACCGGAGTCACCAGCTACCTTGTCCCTGGCCCCACGCTCATCCCGGACGCTGTGTCCATTCCGCTGAGCAACCCTGTGCCGACAGGAACTGGTTCAATCATCACAGCGACGGCGTCAGTATCAGCTATCGCGTCGAAGACCGCCACTAGTCCTTCCAAAACTGTACACATTGTCACAGTCACCGTCACAGCGACTCCCGGAGTGAAGCGTGGAAACGGTGGTTCCTTATTCGCCAGGACGACCGAGCGTGCGCACGTCGATGAACGTAGATGGTATCATCAAGGCCTCGGTTTTTAGAAGTGCGTCATGCGATTACGCGCCTCATCTTACTCTTCCTGTGTAAATAGTTTCATGCCTAGACTTGTCAATAATATCTTCAAAGGTACATCACCCTGGGTGAAGAGCCCTGACCCTGTATGTTCCACACTCCCACACCCCAAAAATCAAGCGAAAACACGTAGCACGGAGACAATCATGATAGCAATCTTATGTGTCGTACACAAGTCTATGCTTGGAGGGTTTGGTGACCGCGTGCGGCATGGAGCTCTGAACGTTTGGCACCCCCCTGGCTCAACGGGATAAGAGCTAGTTGACTTACATATATTGTCGAGTTCAAATTGACTCGGGTTATTAAACTGACCGTTGAAGTGCCGGTGCAGTGTGCATGGAAAGCAGTCGAACGTATCAGGGTTCATCATATAATACGATATGTAATCGTTGCAATCATGCGTTGGCGTTTTGGAGGCATGTGCTATCGGTCTAGTATTAATCCATGATAGCAGTGCTGTTAGTTCACCGTTATAAATTAAGCTATACACGCTGACTAGAACTTGCAGCAGTTGCCAATAGCCTCGCGACTCGACAGGTGGGCCTCTCCAACGCAGGGGTCTGATCACCCGGTTTTCAAATAATCTGTGAGCGTACAGCAATATTTTCAAGCCGTCTTAGAGGCATAAAATCACTTGAGACTAAGTCTGACTTCCTAGGAGATCTAGGTATGGGCCTTTTCGCTCATTCGATAACTAACATATTTACGAGGGGAAAAAGAACAAGCAAAACTGATTGATGGAGACAGCAACATATATGTCTTGTATATCAACTTGCTGTGGTTCCACCTACTTGTTCGAGACCTGACAAGTGTGCCTAATACCACGAGAAAACCGACCATGGTGTCACCATCCTGACAACAGTGATAACAGCAACTAGCCAGTCTCCTTTAAAACCCCATACCCATCTTCCAGGTATTTATTATTTCTTATAGCGAACATCATCCAAGTCTTCCCCGGCTCCTGGTGAAAATCTTTGGCCTTCGTCCTCATGCTTGGAGTTATATGGCCGATGGGGGCCTGGCTCCCGTGTATAGGGGTCATTTCCACCGGATCTTCCTATGAAGGCATCAGTCCTCTGGCGTTCTGTATCATTTTTCGCCTTGGCGTCACGATCGGTTATTTGGGTGTCATGGCCAGCTTGGCCACTTTGACTGCTGTGGCCATTTCGAAAATCAGCCATTTTTGTTGCAAATACTCGAGCTTGACGCGCGAAGTATATTTGTGTTCAGTTGATGATTTTCTTTTGAGGTCTATCGAGGTTAGATTTAATTCATGCCTTTGGTTTGAAGTCTGTCGAGGTTGGGTTCAGTAGAAATAGTACCACGTTTGTGAATGTAAGTATGGATCACCATCACAGTGGAAATGATGGGAGACAAACAGTAACTTATGATGAAGTGACGCGTTTGCCAAAATATTGCGGCTTCCGTTGGGAGCAAACCAACAGACTGCGACTGCATAACGGTTGAGCGAAATACCAGTGAGAGTGAAGACTTTCTTCCTTGATTCTCCATTTGGCTCTGTGATTTAGGGTTTTGAGACAATGCCGGCAAATCAGCAATACCGCTTTGATGATTTGCAAGCATGGGGAGCTCTGAATCAATACACGACTGGATCATTGAACTTCCAACTGTTGGGTGGGGGGTTTCTCTCTTGAGACGCATTGCCACGTTCATTTCCAGCGATTGTTCGTGGAGACATTGCAGGTTGTCAGCGCCATGCTAAAACCCGTTTTTCGGATGCTGTGAACCGGCAATCAACATGAACAAGGATTGGTCCTTGCATACAGCCGCACAAGATTGTACGGACATAATTTAGGGATTCTATGGTATGCCATCGTATTCTATGCTAATAAACCGCTTTGACGGTCGATGTGCATCACTCCAGAATCGAGTTGTTTAGTATACGTCCCAGAAATAGAACGGGAGATATTCGCTTATTAGTCTCAACATTCCTACCCGATGGTCGCAGTCTCAGATCTGCGTCTACCTTCTCAGTTCTTTTCAGCTTCGCACAAACAAATGCACAAACGTGGTATCAATGCTATATATTTATAGCACTACACTACGCAATTAGTCGCCGGGTTCGGATACTTCATTAAAACAAAGATTGCATTCAACCTAAGAGTGGCAAGCCGAATTGTGTTCGTAACGAACTTGCTTCTCGTACGATTATACTACGAATGGAACTGTATGATTTGAACAAAACATATGCACGTGAATATTGGCACACAGTCCGCGGGGTACGCAGTCCGCGCCTTATCGTTAACAATTGTCAGTTTCAGGCTCCAGAGACCCCGATATACGTTGCCTTAATGCATTTAAGACTGTCTCTCGGAGCCCTTCGGCACATATTCGAGTGACCGGTTGGCAAAGTGGGTAGCCAAGAATGTGCGCCGCATGTCAACTCATGTATCCGGCTCCTCAACCTATAAAGTTCCATAACGTGTACGGCCGGTCAGATGTCAGGCACATATGTTTTACAAGGTATAAAGCACAAGGTGTCGTAGGGCACCAAATCGCAACCTCAAACTTCGACAAACTGATAGGACATCCCATATCTACACAGTGGATCCGAAATGTCTGCGATCTCAATATTGTTATATGGAATTGCTGCCATTCTGAGCTTGGCGTGCAACTACTTTGTAAAGCCCAGAGCAGTTAGATTTCAGTGTAGCATGCAGGCTGTAACGGTTCAAATTTCCAGGATCACGTGTGGGGCAGTGTGGTCAGTAGCGTAGGCTGTCCCGCGACTTTACTAGATAGCACTTATGCATACTTATACAGATCTTTCCTGGAACGGGACAGAGACGGCTTATGGGCTATTTTGTACATCGGAGCGCTTCACACTGTAAATCACTACGGCAGGCTGCCAAATATGTTTGAGCTGTTCACCTTCATCGAGGCCCCCAAGATCTTTCATGATGAGAAGCTTTACATGCGGAGGAGTTTTGGTGGCCATGCTCAATTTGGCTGGCTGTTGCAAAGCATTCATGTGCACTTGGTATCGAAGACCAATGGCCGAACCGCACACAAATCAACATGTCATTGTGCATTCTTGGGTTGCCACGATGACACCGGTGTACGACCGCAGCCAGCACTCTCCGGGTCCAAGCCCTAAGTGTCATCACAATATTATCGAGATCCCCTTCGAAACGCTGGCAGGTTTTGATCGGTTTTCATCGACTAAGTTCTACTCGTACCTGTCGTATGATGTCGTCTAACAAGACCTTCTCATTCATTCCCAAGTCCTCAGGTGCCAAAGGCATCTCTTTTTGGCACGACATGCTGCCCTCGGGTTCTTCCCGATACGTCTTGCGTGTCACTGTTTCTTTCGGTGTCCTATTGGCTTCTACGTCGGACAAAGGAATGGCAGCGGTGCCAGCCTTCAGCGCAGAGCTCAGGTGCTCTGCCGGAGATTGGCCACTCGCAATCATAGCCATCACGAGCTGCTGGATGCGGCGGTCTTTCCGACGCCTGTGAACCTCAACGCATGCCCGGACGAACAACGTAAAGTGAAGTAAGCTAGTCACGAATTAGCGGTTATCATGGCACGCCTGAAAGTGGCCATCTTACGTTATTAGTGAAAGCAATGGGCAGGATGCAACCATAATTAGATAAGAACGCCGATAGTCTGCGTAGTAATCTGTGTTTCTGAAGTCATACCAGGAGCGTTGGTAGGTCCAGGTGGAGACGACTATGAAGACTGTTACAACGGTGCAGCCCATGAACAGGAGCAGATCGCACCCAACATGCGCACCGGCTTTAATGCCTTTGGACAAACTGCGTCGAACACATATGCTTATGATTTCTGAAATGTCCCAAAGGAAAGCGAATAACACCTTGAACTCAGTCAGTCTTGCCAGTTCTGGGAATATCTACATGGGCGAACTTACGGGTATAATCACATAGAGCTCTTTGATCGGAACAGCTAAACCGATGACGGCAATCTCAAATATGAGGGATATGGAACGAAGTATAAGCTTTATTCTGTTCCATTTCGGCTGGTTCCCGACCAAGGGCAGCTCGGGCAGCTGTTCAGGCTTGGACCTCGTTGAGCTTTCGGATCGTGCAGCCATGACGCGCCACGACCGGCCACAAAGGCCGCTGGCGATACCAGGTTCAGGTCTGATTGAACTACTGTTTCGTCTGCAGCTGTTCGAGTCTTCGTCTAGGATTCATCAGCGGACATGTGTGTCGGCGTCTGGATTGAGCTCATCATCCTAACTTTCGATATGTTTAGGGGGAAGATTGTGGTGCCAAGTCCCCACTGTTAGCAAAGAACTTGCGCTGAGCCGCCCGCCTTGACCCCTGTAAGCTCTCCAAACGAGAAATCGCGCGCCAGGTTCCAGTCACCAGCAGCCGCCGCATAACCGGGCGATGACGATGGTCCATCACGTGAGATGTGCCAAGTCCTGATTGCCCTGTCCTGGAGGTTAGTGCCGTGCCCAAGCGATCCTTCGGCTGTCATCGCGAACATCTTTACCATGAAATTAGACGGGGCATGCTTCTGGAACAAGCACAGCCCCCTGGCCCCTACATCCCCGATACACGCACGGAGCTTAAAAACTGGGGGGACGTCTGCAGCAGCTCTGAAATTCCCGAGCCTGTGCAAGGTTAGACTAAGGTTACTCTAGTCTAGCATGACATTTGAATACATGACCTGGGGACCAGCTGACAAGATCAGTGACCAAATTTGCTTGGTTCTTTAGTTTTGCGAAAGAACGAAAGGAAGGAAGAAAGAAAGAAAGAACCACAAGAATTATATGCACTGTATGAATTATGAACCTACGAATTCGTTCCGTGGTGCTCGAAGATCCTCAATCCGGGTATGGAGGGTGGTAATGGCAGCACCATTAAGATCACAGCCACGCTGACGAGTCGACTAGAAGCAGCCCTTGGCAGAAATGGTCGCACAGAAATACAATCGCAATACACCCCTTCCACAAGTCGGCGAATGTACAACCAACAATCGACTGTATTAAGCAGGTCAAACAAGGCTAACAGTGTATCCCAGCCGTGTACAGGCTGTATGCACAGTTGACAGGCCACAAGACGTTTGGGACCGATTCAATCATGAATTAGGTCCGGTATTTCTTTACCAAGCACTCACAATAGTCACAAAGTAACGATGATCTCTACTGACTATTGACTGACGACGGATTTGACCATTTAATTTCCGAGCATACATGGAGTGGGTAGTAGTCTCGAGACCTTCAAAGCTTGCTCGTCTCACGACTCTTGACAACTTCCCCCAAAACTTCATCAGCTATGGCACGGCCCGCTGCCCTCCCAGAGAATATACACCCACCCAAGAAAGTGCCCTCAAGCGAGTTGTATCCATGGACACCTGTGTGAACACCATAGGCCATTAGCACTCTATTGAACAAGGACGAAATTGATTTGTGGCCGCCTCTCGGTTGACTGATCGAACAACTGAGAAGGTGATGAGAGTGCCTGGAAGTTACTTACCACCGCCACCGAAGCCAGCAGCTTCTCCTGCTGCATATAGTCCTGGAAATCTTTCTCCGGTCGATCGCATCACGTTGCTGCTTAAGTTTGTTTCTAGACCACCGAGAGTCTTGCGAGTCAGGATGTTCATGCGTACGGCGATGAGTGGTCCATGCTTTGGGTCAAGGATGCGATGGGGAGGGGCGACGCGACCACGCCGGTCTGGCCAATAGTTTCGTGCATTATGAATTAGCATTGCCTGTGCATCTTTCGAGTAGGCGTTGTCCATTTGCCCATCTCTTGTCTCAACCACCTCTTTAATCTGTTCAAAGTCGAGGACTGGCCCTCCTGACGCCTTGACCAGTTCATTCATACCCTCCACCAGATCTCTCAAGTTGTCTCGGACTACAAAATCTTCGCCGTGTTTCTGGAAATTCTGAACAGGGGTTGTGCCCTTGCTACTAAACATGCGCCCAGTTATGAACTGCCAGATGCTCTTGTTTGTGAGATCCGGATTCTGCTCTGAACCCGATAATGCGAATTCACGTGCGATGATTGTCTGGTCGAGAATGAACCACGTGTGATCATATCCAGTCTTACCAATGTACTCGAGAGTTGCTAATGTATCAGATCCCGGAAACAGAAAGGGGGGTAGCCTTTTGCCGGTTGCGTCAAGCCAAAGGGACGAAGGCGCTGGGAGTACACGAATACCGTGAAGAGGCCAAATCGGGTTCCAATTTGTGAGACCTTCGGTGTAATGCCACATTCTATCACGATTGATGACATTACCTCCAGCCTTCTCGGTTATTCCGATCATTCGACCGTCCACATGGGCTGGTACACCGATGACGAATTTCTTTGGTGGGTTGCCCAAGCGTTCCACCGGCCATGCTGCTTTCACAGCTTCGATATTACCACCGATTCCACCGGAAGAAACCAACACTGCTGATCCTTTGAATTCAAAATCGCCGACTTCGGTTCGGTTGGTTTTTGCACCTCTTTCGGAGTCATCGGACTCCAGGACCCGGCCCCTCACTCCAACAGCCCGGCCAGTATGGTCAATGACCAATTCATCAACGCGATGGCGGTATTGAACTTCCACGAGTCCTGTCTTTGCCGCCGCTAACACAGGCTCGCTAAAGACTCGCACGACTTCAGGTCCAGTGCCCCACGTAAGATGAAATCGAGGCACAGAATTACCATGCCCATCTGCACGTCCATCACCGCGCTCCGCCCAACCAACGTTCAGCAGGAATCCCATCCCTCGTGCCTTGACGTAGTCTTCCATCTCATCTGTCGCAAAGTTCACAAACGCTTCAGCCCATTTACGCGGCCAGTAATCCTCTTTCTCACGGTCGAAGCGGGCGGACGCGAACCAGTCGCGCATTGCCAGCTCCCGGGAATCCTTGATGCCCATTCGCCGTTGATGACTAGAGTTGACCATGAAGATGCCACCCAGCGACCAGAAGGCCTGGCCACCAAGGTTCTTCTCATTTTCCTGGTCGATAATGAGAACAGGCACATTGCGCTGCGTCAGTTCGAAAGCGGCGACTAGACCAGCTAGTCCGCCGCCTACAATAATCACGCGCTGCTGCGTTTCCGTACGTTCAGACGACATGTTTGAAGAATGATGGTCAAGGCATGGTGTAGGATCCTAACCCGGGGAGCCGAGGCGCTTTTAAACCCGCCAGTTGTCATCCGCGGTTACTTCGCTCACATGCCCTTGCTTAGACAACAAACTCAATTTACTTGGCAACCCGCAAAATGCATAGTCCTGCTTGATGCATAATATTTTAAATCTCTCAATGGCCCATCATTTATCCCGTTCGTTGTTGCGTTGCATTTCTAATCCACGTCCCGAATATGCATACTGTGCCATACATGGACACCTCGATCAACGAATGCTCCCTTCGTGCCGCCTTGTTTGTGTTCGCGTCCCAGCCGCTTTGAAGACCTGACCGCCTCAAGCTAGCTCTGTCGCCAAGGAGCCACCTGATTCCTTACTGGCAGCGCATAGAGCTCGTACTATTTCGATCGAACGCTGTACAAGAGAAATGCGAATACCTTTGAGTTTGTTACAAAAATCTCGGCATCCACTAGACTTCTGATGATATTTCCAGCCGTTGAATTCGCCGGCTTTCACCACTCTCAACAGCATGTTGTAAGACAATTGTGGTAATTCATTGACAAGGTTGATGGTCTCGTCACTCTGCGAAGGAGCAAACCTGAGTGAGTAACATTGGTTCATGGATATTTTTAAGATAGGCCATTGAACGGGGTCTGGCGATCATGGACGTACTTGACCAGGGGGTTTCCCATGACTGCGTCTTTCGAAACTTGTCTAGTGAAGCAGCAAGGTCCTCTTGGGTTTAAGTACACCATCGTGGCACATATGTTTCTATTGCTGATATGGCGTAAGACTTCAAGTCTTTCAAGTGGAAAAATTCCTCTAATTATCAAAAATCCTTTGAGGAGGGCTAAACACTTCTGTGCACCATTGCCCAGTGCAGCGAAAAGCTGTTCCTTGCCAAGTGGACCAGTGCATATGTATATGAGAAGACGCTGGATTCTCGTAGCGTTGAAGCCTTCGATACGGATCTTCCTTGTAGTTAATCCTGAGAGCATATACCATATACTCAGGTCTCATCTGCAGATCACGTGGTGTAATTACCTTGAGGCTACCAGAGAGCGCTTTGCGAAACCAGATGCTATCGTGTCACGAGAATAATGCGATACAAGTTCCAGGTCCTTTGGTCGCAAATGACTTAAACATCTAAGCGAATCACTGAGGCTAGAAGACTTTGATGTCTACATCAGAACTCATCAGTCACTCCATCAGCACTCGCTTACTCCTTACCAGCTGCTTCCGCGAACTGATTAATCTCCATGAGTACAAGTGTGTTGTGCGATGGACACTCCGGATCGTACTCGTACAGAATTGGTGCAATTTGAATCTTGAATATAGGAAGAAAAAAAGGTTATGTGTATAGTTTTACGTGAAGCTCTTTGAAGCTTGGTTTTGATATGTTATTGACGCTGTGCTATATGAATTCACTGACGCACCATAATGCGCCGCTGAACTGAACTAACAAAGTATCCTGCAGAGAGCTTTACTGCCCAAATATTGAAACGCCCCGTAAAATGCAAATTGCAAGGACTTATGTCTTAATTGATTAAGTATCTAGTCTATCGACTGAAGTATTTAATCATGAAATTTGTATACAAGGCTAATTCTCAGACGAATCCCGCGTTGTAGGCTAGATTGGGCCCGGCACTAAGTGGTGTAAATCAGCAGACGCGACAACCATGATTAGTCTTGCTGGGCCCCAAGTGCGAATGCAGATTTCTTCGTCACAAACCCACAAGACAATCTCAATCAGCAAGCAATATCACCAATCTTTTGTTGATATCTCATGATATCTGGACAATATTGCCTTTATCAAATAGTCTGTCACGATGCCTGTCGTGGATAGTGCTTCAATTCCACCAATTGAGATAGGAACATTCGATGCATTCCATCCACAAAACAGTGAATTTACCGGCAGCTCGAGTGGTGTGTTCTTCGTAAACACAGTATTTCGTGCGTTCGCAAAATTCAGTCAAGGTACAACGGGCAGTGCCCCGACCGCAAACTCTTTTAAACCGGCATCAGTCGATGGTTTCATCGGCACCGCAGAATCAAACCAGGAGCCAGTTGTTGAAAATGCGAGCTCGCAACTAGACGGCGCATCTACCACGCATCGTGGGGGAGAGCGTCCAACGTTGGGGCTCCAAACTTATGGGATCAGTGTGCGTGGACTTGGCAATCCTCCCGACCCGACTCTGGCCAAACAATTAGTTATGCTTTACTTTGAGCATTGGCACCCGTTTTTCCCTTTTCTCCATGGACCGACATTTTTTGATGATCTGAGTGCCTTCTACGACAACACGCTTCCTGATGTTCAGGATGCATCCTGCGAACGACGTAGGCGCATGAGGCTATGTCGAGCAGTCACCTATCAATGCATTTTTAATATCGCCGCAGCAGCTCATCCGCGAGGACTGCCTCCTACCGCTTGCATCCAATCGCCATTGGCTTTGCTAGAGGTGCTTGGGATTCTCTCCGTTGATCGTGATCTGGCATCACTTCAAGCTCTGATGGCGGCAGAGCTGTATCTCGTGACGATTATGTCCCTGAGGGCTGCATCCACAATTCACGGGACATTGACGCGACTCATCTACCATTCAGGCCTCCATCGTTGCCCGTTTCGCTACATTCAATTACCACGAGATGTGCGCGAGATGCGCAAACGAATTCTCTGGTGTGCTTATACACATGACCGATATTTGAGTCAATCTTTGGGCCACCCTCTAGGATTGCAGGACTCAGACATTGATGTTTGTATGCCTGGCACCGAGTTACACAAACCTGTTGACACTAGCCATTGCCGAATGTCTCCTCAGGCTTCTCCGGTCAATGACATCAACAGTCATCTACCGAGTGACCACCCCAGCGCAAGCGCTGGAGATGCCGAAAATGTAGGATCATCAACGGAATTGCCACAACAGCCTCGTGTCAACTCCAGCGCAAATGGAACATTGACTAATAATCAGGTTCTTCGCAATTATCAGGGCAGTGGAGGATCTGCTGTCAATGTACAAGAACAATTTGCCAAGTGTACGTATTGGGAAACAACCTGACTCCTCAACTCTCCTTTATCCTTCGAGAAAAATACCAGTCCATGGCCTTCTCAGCCTATAGGACTTCTGAGGTGTGAAATTACTGGTCTTGAAAGTCAGAACCATGAAGCATGTTCCTTGCTATGGATCACTGAAAACTTTACTAACCGGGATGCTTCCATCACGCAGATTCACAACTCGTCGCTGAAGCCCTTGAACTATTTCACAAATCATTACATGCTCGCTCGATCACTCGCGCTAGAATTACAGAGCTGACATTCAAAATAAATTCGTGGTGGAACGGCCTCCCTGGGGGCTTTCAAGTGGAAGAAGATCTGATTGGAGAGACACAAACATCTAAGCCGTCCTATGCCGCCTTCTTCGCCATCTCGTACCATCATTTACTCATTCTCATCAACCGTCCTTTTCTGTCTCTTCCGATACATACCATGGATTTTCGATCGAGTTTGCAATGTGCTATTACAGCAAGTCGCGACTTGATTTCCAAGCTGAAACATGTCGTCAACGATCCATTTTTAATGAACTACCCTGTCATACTCTCGGCAGTTTGGATGGCGGGACTGTAAGCGAATTCCAGGATCGTTTTCTGCCCTATTCAGTATATTCATGGAGCTCAATCTGTCTATTAAAGGCGGTTGGTTCCTCATGGCTCTTTAACGCTACCCCCGACGGCCCCCGTCCCGTCATGAAGAAGCAATTACTAACCTCAAATCCTGTAGGGTACTTGCTTTTGCGACATTGCTTGACATGTATCCCCTGTCAAAATCAACTGTGTAAGTCCACCCTGGATTTCTAAGCACAAAGTTTTGGTCGAAGAACACCATTATTGACAGGCCATTTTTTCGTAGTGAAATCACCAAGTGCTTGAAAACACTTCAGTTGATGGGTGTAAAATGGCCTAGCGCGAAACACTGCCACAATGCAATGAAAAGGCTTCTAAGTCGATTGAACGATCAACCAGTATCAGACATGGAACGGCAGGCGCTGATGCCAACCATTGAACAGTCGCGAACCATGGAGCCTGGAACATCGGCTGTGCAAGTGCAGGCCTCCGGAGAGCCACGCGGCACCAAAAGGCCAAGAGAGCAAAATGAGACGCAAGTAGAAATCTCCAGCAGGAGATCTGGAAACCACGCGAGCGAGTCTAGCGGAAACGCTTCCTTGTTGCCTGAATGGGCACCCATTGCTCAGTATAACGGACCAGACTTTGGCTTCGACGCATTACAGTTCGACATCCAACCAGGCGAGGACCAAATCCTTAATGCCCTCGATCTGAATCACACAGGACTATTTGATGATATGGGTTGGCAAGACTTCAGCAGCGGGTGAAGTTTAGTTTGAATTCCAACGCTATCAATTCTACATATCACCAACACTAGCTCCTACCAGAGTGTCGAAATCGATACAATGCAGGTTGCTAGGTGTGCAGATATTTCTGTGCCTCGCCATCGAAAACCATGCCATGTAGTCTAGCTTGGTACAGAGAAGTCTTCAGTACGAATAGATGGCCGAGTGACAGCCACCAAGGCACGGTATGCAGCTGAACGAATTTAGGCCACAATGACGATGCCCTAACATCTACCAAAGGAATTGCTGGCGGAACTGTTGCGGCACATCCCTGATTTGACAGGTATCTCTCCTAGGATCAGGTGTGTCAATATTTGTTGTGGGGGCTTCTGAGTCGCCGAGACAATTTCCTCTCATGTCTGATGGCGCCGCAGACATTCTCTCCAGCTGGATCTCATAAGATCCTCCGCTATCATGCGTCAACTCATCCTGACTGAAAGCGGTGTGCGTCAGTGTGAGGCGGTGTTGGCCAACCGGTATGTTTTCGACAGAAGTTGGCAGAAGCGAAGCTTCTTCGTGGTCACTTGGCTCATGATCAGCCCCAGCTGTCGTATCAATGGGCATGAAACTCGATGGGTTTGATGGCGCCCGGCAGGTTTGCGCCCACCGCCGAAGGTCATTGGCGCTACGCAGAGGAAACTCGTCCCATTGTTCCATTAAGATAGCCTTGTCCTCTGCTGAGCGGACTATAGGGTTCGTTTCAGACTTAGTGATAGTATTATTTTCAGACCTGGCCGACCAATTCCTCTTATGGAATGCAGCTGCTTTCAACGTATCATTGGTGACAGACAGTAACCGTAACAAGGCATGTTCAGTGGCCTCTAGCCTATGCTCTAGCGCTTCGGTATATCCCTTGGTTGGTCCTCTAATCTTGGAGGTCAGATCATTTTCTTACCGTGTTTTGAAAGTGCTCACCGTTTTTGGATCGCTGGCCATTCGCATGCCCGTTGCAGCCGCCGACACCTAGAGCAAGTTGGTCTTGATTCATTAATGAGGGCCGATATAGTAATAGTAATGGGACATACTTCTTCTCATCACACTATATAACGTCAAACATTTGGAGTATGTGTCATTATCTTGGGATATTACCTTTTGCTTCCTGTCGCGGCATCCCCTACATGCAGCACGACTCCTGGTCGGCGGCATCCTCGCCAATGTAGCGAGTCCGAACGAACCGTTGACCTTCGGACGCCTAGATGCTACCTGTGCGCAAGAAGCATCAGATCCTCAGAAGAAATGTGCCGATCCTATATTACGGTTGTATTGCCGCGTTCCCGAGCCTCCTGATGAGATGGTATATGCTGCAGTCATCGGCAGCTCTTGCATTTGCGCCCTAAACTTTACAATTGAACGTCATAGCGCTCACAGGTGCGCGTAATTGATTGACCGGCTGTCTCCATACCATGAGACACTAAGCACAGGGCGTGCGGCTGCGATGAGATTCAGTATATTATTGCTCAGACGAGCAGCACATGGAAAATATCGAGTCCAACACTTAATAGCTTTGCTCGTGCTTCTGTTCATGAATCCGAATATGTTTGAACATTTCGAAACATTCAGGGTCACTACTCAATCCCACCCGACTGTGGAGATCTTTGGCTTGAAGAGCGGGGAACAATCGTCTGACAAGCCAGCGCTATTACTACTACATGGCTACCCACAAACTCATCACATATGGCACCATGTTGCACCGCAATTGACAGAGAAGTTCGACGTCATCGTTCCAGACATCCGCGGCTATGGCGAATCCTCGAAGCCAGATGATGTTGGGCAATACGTGAAGAGCCTCATGGCGCAGGACTGTGTCTCGGTAATGGACCAGCTAGGATACAAGTCCAAGTTCTACATCTGCGCCCACGACCGAGGCGCCCGTGTCGCGCATAAGCTGCTGGTTGACTACCCAGACAGAGTGCACAAGGTGATCCTCCTGGACATTTGCCCCACGCTGGCCATGTACACGGCGACCGACTTTGATTTCGCCAAGGCGTATTTCCACTGGTTCTTCCTTATCCAGCCGGCTCCAATGCCGGAGACCATGATCCTGTCTAACCCGAGAAAGGTTGCCGAGATGTTCATGGGCGGCCGCCAAACGGATGGCCTCAAGATCTTCGAGGAGACAGCCTTCGAAGCCTATGTCAAGAACCTCTCGGACTACGCTGCGGTGCATGCTACGTGTAACGATTACCGTGCCGGCGCGACCCTAGATTTGGAGGAGGCGCGCAAAGACTTGGCGGAAGGAAAGCTGAACAAGGTGCCTTTGCGTGTACTTTGGGGAAAGTACGGAGTCATTGAGAAATGCTTCAAGGCAGTGGAGGAATGGAAGAAGGTGACGGCTGAAGGGGTTCATGTCGATGGATATGCAGTCGAGTCCGGCCACTACATCCCGGAGCACGTGCCTGACGACCTCTTGAAGTCCATCCTGGAATTCTTCGTTTGAGAGACATAAGTCGGATATTTCGTTAGCCTGAAGAAATCATATGTTTGCATGCGAAAGAGTTGAACCATTTGAAGCATATGAATACACCAAAGGGGCTAACAGTCACCACATATGCAGGAGCAGATGAAGCATATGCCAAGTCTATCTTTGCTAACGTGAATATCTTGCCTGTCGGCTAGGTGCAGCGAACATCCGCGTATTTCAAATAATCTAATAGCCAATATTTATTTGCAAGATTTGAGGTCAACGTGGTCTCGGAGATCCACAGGTATAGACATCAATACCACCATGCGAGCATTTCACAGCCAGCGCCAGATTGTGTACAATTTCTCGACTAGACTAGCTCAAAATTAAGCAAATAGGCAACTTGTATCCGGACAAGAGAGCCGAGCATTTGGGCCGGTAAGAAACCGGCAAGGAGCCAACATGGAATGGGAAGATTGACTGCGGATCAGTTTGAGTGCCGGCATCGTAGAAAGTAGGAGAGCCCAAAAGGCTGCAGGGGGCTAGGTTAGCCGGATCTTCCTATGTAGTTCTGGACTTTGCTTCTTGGCAATCATTGAAGCCCAGAAGCGTCGGTACTTAGTTTAACCGCTCGCATTCCTACGGGGGATGCCATGTCCGGCGGCTCGGCCAGCTACAGCCACTAGGCCAACTTGTCTAAGGTCAGAAACTGCCCATACATAGGAGGAGCGAGTGGCGGGAGTGATGATCGGCCATTATTTTAGCCGCTTCTAGCAATAGTCCAGCAAGATCGTCGAGCAGTAGTCGCGACTATCTAGTAACAACAATATACAATTGATCTACAGTATAAACATTTAGATAAATTTCAAAACACCACTTCGTTCAATCGTTCATCCCAATCGATCAGCAATATGACACCAAAAACTTTAAAAATCGCAGTCGTACCCGGCGATGGCATCGGTATCGAAGTTATGCCTTACGGCGTGCGCTGCTTACAAGCCGCAGCCAAAGTCTTCGATTTGTCGCTGGAATTTGAGCACTTTGATTTCGCCAGCTGCGACTACTATAAGAAACACGGCGACATGCTACCGTCTGACTGGAAGGAGACGCTCAGCAAGTTCGATGCCATCTACTTCGGCGCCGTCGGCATGCCAGATCAAGTTCCCGACCACATCTCACTGTGGGGCAGTCTGCTCAAGTTCCGGCGGGAGTTCGACCAATACATCAACCTCCGGCCCTGCCGGCTCATGCCGGGTGTGAAGTGTCCACTTGCTGGTAGGAAGCCTGGGGATATCGACTTTTGGGTTGTGAGAGAAAACACCGAAGGCGAGTACAGCAGCATCGGAGGCAGGATTTTCGAGGGTACGGAACGAGAGACAGTCATTCAAGAGACCGTGATGACGAGGACTGGTGTTGATCGCGTTTTGCGCTATGCCTTCGATCTTGCGCAAAGCCGGCCAAGGAAGAAGCTTACCAGCGCGACAAAGAGCAACGGCATCAGCATTACAATGCCCTACTGGGATGAGAGGGTGAAGGAAATGTCTGGCAGCTACCAAGATGTTGACGTGGAGAAGTACCACATCGATATTTTGACGGCACACTTCGTCCAGCGACCTCAGATTTTCGACGTCGTAGTCGGTAGCAATCTGTTTGGCGATATTCTGTCGGATTTGGGTCCGGCTTGTACTGGCACAATCGGCATCGCACCATCCGGCAACCTGAACCCAGAGGGCAAGTTCCCAAGTCTTTTCGAGCCTGTGCATGGAAGCGCACCCGATATCTTTGGCAAGGGTATTTCAAACCCTATCGGCATGATCTGGGCTGGCCAGATGATGCTCGAGCATTTCGGCTACAAAGACGCAGCTGCGGCTATGCTAAAGTCAATCGAGAATGTGCTTGCTAAGTCTGAAGAGAGCGTCTTGACTGCTGACATGGGTGGACACGGCAATACGAAAAGCTTGGGCGAAGCGATTGAGCAGGAGATATTGGCGTCAAATAATAATTAGTTAGCAACGTGACAGCTAGGAAGCATTCCAAAATCCCTTTTTGGCTTTCATATTATCTTCAAGCAATTCTCGGAACCGGCAAGTCTAAACCACTACGTACTTTGACGGCATTGCGCAAGTATCTGCTCTGTTCCGAGGCATGTCTAATACCTAGAGCAATATAGTGCCCAGCTACGATGTACACACGAGCGTTACTTACGTGGCCAGTCTGCCTATGTGTGCGCTTGGGTTCTCCCCTGGTCAGGAACCGCGAGTCTCGTACGATACGCCTGCACCTGGTGAAATTAGAGCTGCTGTAGTCTAGCTCCTTGATGCATCCAAGTATCGGGCCGGAGTGAAAGAAGGAAGGCCATCAACAGAAGAACCAGGGGAGGTCAGTGTTAGTAATCTCATACTTAATGAACATGTACTTGTCAGTGACAATGCTCAAATTGATCTCAACCATGGACTAAGGGGTTCGCCGGCTCTCGACCTGGCCCCACGTGAGATCCTTTTAACGTATCGTCACCAGCTTACTTATGAAGCAAAGAAAACAGGAAACACGACCACGAGCATCGCAGTCTGCGGGTAACTGATTTGGGGATTACCGGAACTCAAGATGGTGCCTTGCAATTCCTCGAGACTCCAGCCCCTCTGAACGATCCTTAGGTTGAGGACCGACCGGCAGAGCCCGTGATTGGGACCAGTTCCGGCCCCGGCGAAAGTACCCATCAGAATAATTAGTCCCCCGGTCGCTGGGTGCAATGTAACCAACCAGCCTAACCCACTTGACGTAAGGCTTCAGATACGATATCATAGCGATTGATGCGATGCTTTAGGGTAGCAACAGGATTAAGACTATTCTAAAGCTGCATACTTGAACTTATTTCCAAAGTTGAGTGCAGAAGAGCATTTGCGCACAACAAGAAAAAACTCCGTCCAAAACAACAGTATTTGCGACACTTACGAAAACTGCAGCAGTGGACCTGGGACAATATTATCCACTTTGAATCAGGCATGACCGTGTCGCGAGCACAATGGAGTCCTGACGGATATCTCGGCTGTGTGTAGGTGATCCAGACCGTCGATCGAAGCGGTTTACATGAATCTCTAAGTGGAACCTGTAAATGTCAAATGAACTCCTTGGAGTGACAGATGGTTGGTGCTTCAAGGGTTGCAGGATTTAGTCTCATGGTCAAGCTTTTTCTTGGGCATCTTGGCCTGGAGTTTGCCAAGCAGAGCCAAGTCTCGGTAAGTAGCTTAATTTGATAACCTGAGCACTGTTTGGCAGGAGACCAGTCGTGAGATGGTTGGGGGACAGGGCGGGACATGTCATTTACGCAAGGAGGATCTCCCCGAATAGTGGCTTGGTGAAGAAAACACTGTCTCTTTTGGATGCCTTCGGGATGGCACTTTAATGATTTCAAAATCGGCGGGGCGGCATTCAGAGACCAAGTGTTGGAGGCAGTATTTTCATGCGCCGAACGGACGTGCAATCTACGGATACGTACTCGCTAATCACTATACATAGCACAAACACGTACCACATATGAGTCTTGCCATAATTTCCATCCGATCAACTAGCTGTTGCTATGATAAAACATCAATTTGAGTTTAATTATTGGACTGCCAGATATCCGGGCCACTGAAAAGGAGAACATTTTGAGGCTCTCACGCATGGCAATGCGTCGTATGCACGGTCCAGATCTAACAGGCACTTTTACTTCGTGTGGGGCTATTATTTGGACTTTGATCGAAAGGGTCGCGATCTGGATCTCTTCGGAAAGCAAAAGCCAAGGCTTCCCACCAGTGACAAGTAGCTTTTGAGGTCACGAAACACAAGCAGCTCGTCATAATTCTTTGTTGGGGGTTACGGATCCGTAGGGTCGTGCGAAACATGCCATGGGTAGTGCCAGATGGGTCAATTTATCCGCTGCGACTAGGACCCTTTGGGTATGGGTGAACCTGTTAGCAGCTCCCTACAATCTCATCCAATTTCTCCGCCAACAACGTCCAATCCAAATTTGTATTTTACGCCTTCATCCTCACTTGCAACAACGGCTTGCGTGGGCTTGCGTGGCGTGCAGGGAGCTAGGGAGCCTTGTGACTTCCCCGCAAAAGTCTACTTCTTGTCATTGCTGCACTATATTGTCCGGTGGCCAATTAAGACTAACGCTGCGTAGAAATGAGATAACCCTGGCAAGGGGAATCAATATACAAGGTGATCCATCAGTTGACATGCCCAAGTCCACCAATCACTATCTACCGAACGGAGCCGCAACGGTCCATGGCCCTCAGCTTGGCACACACTTGGCGCCAGGGTCTGAAGGTCCAAACTGCATAAAGGTCCCGATGTTTCCCAAGCCGCCAAGATATCTATACAAACAGCGATAGCGTCATTCCTTTCTTTCATTCCTATTCTACATTCATTCCAACAGCAGCCATCATGAAGTTTCTCATCGCCGGCCTCGGCTTCGTCGCCTCAGTTCTCGCTACCGCCCGAACTTCTGCCCCTTCGGGCTGTCTTTACGTCGCCAAGAGCGGTGGTTCTTACACTACTATTCAGAGTGCCGTTAATGCGCTTTCCACGACCTCTACCACTGCTCAATGTATCTTTATCGGTGCTGGCACCTATAGCGAGCAGGTCGTCGTAAGCTCACGCAAGGCCCAACTTACCATTTACGGTTACACCAGCGACACCTCCAGCTACAGTGGTAACAAGGTGACAATCACGTCCAGCTTGAGCCAGGCGGATGGTCTGACCGACGACGAGACCGGCACTCTGCGAGTCCAGGCCGCAAACTTCAAGCTTTACAACGTCAATGTTGTGAATGGATATGGCAAGGGCAGCCAGGCTATCGCCCTGAGTGCCTACGCTGCCAGCGGTTACTACGGTTGCCAGATCACCGGTTACCAAGACACTGTCTTGGCTCAGACCGGTAACCAGGTTTACGCCAACAGCTTGATCCAGGGTGCCACCGACTTCATCTTCGGCCAGAATGCCCCAGCTTGGTTTGAGAACGTCGATCTCCGTGTAGTTTCTGCCTCGCTCGGCTATGTTACAGGTAAGTGCTTACTTGGCAACCGAAGCTATGAATGGAACTGACAAGAAGTTTAGCAAGCGGCCGTGCTTCGTCCAGCAGCTCTTCCTACTACGTCTTCAACAACTGTGACATTGCTGCTGCCTCTGGTAACACCGTTTCTTCCGGTGCTTTCTACCTTGGCCGACCTTGGGGTGCCTACGCCCGTGTTGTCTTCCAGAAGACTTCCATGAGCAATGTCATCAACTCTGCCGGCTGGTCTGTGTGGAGCACCTCTGATACGCGTACTAGTGGTGTCACCTTTGCCGAGTACGGTAACACCGGTTCTGGCGCTTCCGGTACCCGTGCCTCTTTCGCCTCGAAACTTAGCTCCGCTGTCTCTATCTCGACCGTTCTCGGCAGCAGCTACGCTAGCGCCGGCTACTACGACGCATCCTACTTCTAAAGGCTGCACGCTGATGATGACCGCCGCACTTGGCTCATAATTAAGCGTCTCATGGACCTTGCCCATTCCTGTATATACTTTAAATATCTATCTGCATATAGTCGAATAGAACATAGCGTGCTGCATCTCAAGTTCCTCAGCAACGCACTTAAGAGCCAACGTCCCACAGTGGATCGAAGTTATGCGAACCATATATGACCGTCCTTTTTTTTCTTCTTCTTTTTCCTTTCTTTTTTGAGCACTTGAATGAATCGATTGTTGAATAATTATGGTGTGAGAAGTGTTTCTCTCCTTGTTCTTATTCAACCCACGACCGTAACTTTCCGCCGTCCCTTACTATTGGGGTACTTTTGTTTGACTCAATGATATAATCGATAGTTGCTACTAGTCAAGTCATTGCTTTCGTAAACCTTCTGAAGTTTGTGAGATCAATCATCTCGGCTAGAGTGGTGGCTGCCATGTCTCAAGCTGCGGCTGACCCGTGTGCGTTTCAGATCTTCGATGAAATGACAATCACATACCGCGCCAAACAGAATCACGTACTCACAGATACTTAAAATTCGATGATTAATAGCCCTTGTCATTGCAGGCCAACAAGCATAGACCGAAGCCATGTTTTTCTTCACGCTTCATCTAGCAACGCTGCAGAAACATCACCATCGTTCGTATAATGGTATCTGAGCCTGAGCAATTGTATCGCGACAATGGGAGATTTGGTTCCAATCAGCTGATACGGTCCGCTCGAAGTCCTTGGCACCATCTGGGGGGAGTTACAAACGACGCTCAAGCCATGGATATGAACCAGCGCCGGCAATCCAAACCACTAGTACTCGACCATCGAACTACCCCAGAGGTGTCCATGCTAAACCACAACACCCCAAATTCAATTGATGAAAGACGATGGGGAAGATACCTGGAAAGATTTCCCAAAGTGAAAACTGAGAATTCAAAAGTTGTTCCACCGCCGCCGATGATTGTCCTTCAGCGTTCAAATGACCCTGCGCCTACCTCGGTCATTCTTGCACCTGAGAAGATGGATATAAGTACCGTGTCATCACTAAGCCATTCTTCGGTGCCAAATGTCGATCGAGATCAGTATTCGACAATCTCACGTTGGCGAGAATCGCAATTGCTGCAGACTGGAGCCAACCCACAATCCGCCACGAAAATTACCAGAAAACTAGAAGGACTTATTCAAAGCTGGGTCACTACCATGGAAGCACAACAAAATCATGATGCGACGAAGGAACAACGTCGATTCGAGAGAATTCGCAATGTCAATGGTGAGGGAAAATCACAAAAACAGGTCGCCTTGAATGATCTGGACGGGATTACCCTAGAAAGAGAGATATCCTACCTTCTTGACCGGTTGGCATCTCTCAATACGCTGCTCGAAGGGAGCACATCCGACCCTGTTCTTGGTGCACGTTTCCGCGCATACGCAGTCTTATCCGACGAAGCTCATCAGAGCTGGGCAGAGACCAGCAAAACAGCCAATCATAAATCTGGAGGGCCATTGTATGAACCTTTGACCCTTAGGCAGCTGCTACTGGAGAGGCTCTACAACAGTGGCATGTCATGCCAGAAACCGTCGTTTGCCACGAAATTGGTCGGCCGGAACGGGTTAGATGAGCCTCTAACGAAAAGAGAAATTGAGAAATTCAAAGGACAAATGAATGGAGATTATGACTCCATAAAGTTCAGTTACGCAGCTGACATCTATATCTGCGCTGTCTGCGAACTGCCGAAATTTCGCTTTCGTGGTCAAGAAAACTGGGGTAAAGTGGTGGACGATTTCCATCATACTTTGGCTAGCTGCCCAGGCGAGAAGCAGATTGTTTGTCGTAAATGTTATGGAGAAGCTGTACTGCAGAATATCTATCATATGTGGTGGCAATCTATCGGTAATGACCTGGGAGTATGGATGCAATGTCCTGTAGAAAACTGCAGACATCCACTTCCAAGCGAATTATTTCAGCAAAACACAACATCGCAAACGCTGAAATCGCTACTTGACAGAAATGATGTCAACCATCACATACTCACGTTCTCAAGAGTAATCAGGATCCGAGAAGAGTTGAGTAAGTTCCTACCAGAAATTGATGAGGTTGGGATGTGGATTTGCTCCAAGTTACAAAAGCGTCTGAAAGAGGTCGAGCACGCAAGGAAACTGGTTAGTGCACGATCGAGCCTGACCAAAGTTGAAGATTTGGATATCAAAGTACTGCCAGTACATCATGTCAAAAAAGATGTGATTGGAAAAGTCCCAATATTCACTGGTCTGCTTTGGAAGGTGCCAAAGGAATGTTGTATCTGTATGGAGGAATATCAAGAATATGATAATCTTAGGACAGGAGATTCCACATGGAAGACAATAGCCACCGAGTTCGCCGGCGAGTGGACGTGGCAAATCTTCCACTTCCCAACCAAAGAGATACTGTCCTGCGGCCACCCGTTCGATATTTGTCGCGCGTGTATCGCAGCGCACATTAAGGCTCAAATTACAAGAGAAGGCGGCTGTGTCAATGACATTCGATGCCCCTATTCTTCGTGCGAACGCGTATTGACGCACAACGAGCTGCAACATCTAGCGAGTCCCGCAGACTTTGCGAAATACGACCAACTTTGCACGATTGAGGCCTTGACTGATGACAAAAGCTTTGTCTGGTGTCTACGAAAAGGCTGTGGCTCTGGCGCATCATACGTGCCAATCACACCTAACAGCAAGCTCCAACTCATCCACTGTCACGAGTGCCAGTTTCGGATGTGTTTTGAGCACAAATGTCCTTGGCACGAGGGCATGACCTGCGCCGAGCTCGTTGATAGTGAAAGGTGTCAGGAATCCCAGAATTGGATCATGCGGAATACGAAGCCGTGCCCAGGCTGCAACATACGAATTCAAAAAGGCGAGGCCTGCTTTCATATGAGATGCCCAAGGCCGAACTGCAAGTATGAGTTTTGTTGGGAGTGTCTTGCTGATTGGAAGGAAATCTACGAGATACGCAGTGTCTATGGCCCGAGCTATAATAGACAGGCTCATCGTACAGGGTGCCCTTTTAGAGACGCCCATGCGCCCATGCCTTTTAATGTAAGAGGAACGAGTTTTAGCCTGGCACTCTAAAGTTAAAACATACCGCCGCCATGAGTATGCTGCTACACCCAAAATATTTATTATGCCCGATTCCGTGGCTGCGGAAAGTTCTTTTACCATCGCGTCTAGAAATCGCGACTATTCGTCAACAATACTGCAAGTGGCGCCTCGACTATCTAGCGCCTCACGGCAGTGTGCTATGCCGAGAAGCAGCACGTCAATCATCAAGTCACTGCTACGCCAGTCAGTGGGCTTTCACACGCGCTTTGGCAGATGTTGTGTGTCCACATTGCACAGAGGCATTTCTGCCTTCCTTGACGCATCTCACAGACTTATGTTTCTTTCTTCATTTCTCATGTGCTTCATCAACTATCCTCATTTAGCACGCACATATACAAATATACCCTCACAGACAACATCGCTCTAGCAGGTATTTTCTTTGTGGCCTCCCACCTTTCAGCAAACCAAGTATATCTATACATATATCACCAGGGTTCATCCACAGTATGGCGTGGAATACGTTTCTAACGAATTGTACCTTTCCTTCCAGTGGAGTGAACTATATCGCTGCTCCGCCACTGCGCTCTACTTTGGCGATAGTATGGCCGTGCGTCTTAACTTTGCTGGCATCCATCTATACAGTTCTCCACCTAAACATCATGGCAGACACGTCGGAGAAGTTCAAGGCCTCGTGTGAATGCAATCGCTCTCAAAAGCTCCGGAGCGGCGCTTGTCAAGATATCCGGTCGTTCAGTGTAAATTTATGTATGGCAGCTGTGACATTGTTTGCACCGGAGATGATAGTTAAGAACGCCATGAGGGAGAAAATGTTGGCAGTTCAAATTCTTGCATGATTAAACCAGAATTTCAGGTGCGTCAAGCGCCACACTCATTTTCTGTGCCTTTCACGAAATGCTGAGCTGAGTGATAGAACGATAGCATGGACCAAAATTCATGCTCAAACGACTGGGGGTACGCAGCATTCTCTTGAAACCTACATTGTCACTGTCGCAACAGAGAAAACAATGTAAATAATAGATAAGTTTATTACGTTTGTTCTGAACGTGGCCAACTTGGCAGATTACTGTAGACTCAACACATGCTCGTCAAGACACTCGCGGGTGAATATCACGCTCCAAGTATATGACATTCATAACGATGCGCCCATATGTACCATTCGTTTAGGTTTGTAGCATGCCACCAACCAAGTCACTTATATGTTTTATTAAGTGCTTGTACAGGAACGAAAGCAACCTCAAGTCGTGATCCCGTCAAACCCATATGGGCGAATTATTTTGCACAATGTGTAGTGAAAGTGATATAGCACAGGGCAATGCCATGGGTGTAGGCAAGGGTGAGGAAAAAGCAGAAACAGGATAAAATTTGCGGTATGATGCAGCAGTTCCAGAAGCTGCAAACGTAGTTGAAAAAAGTAGTATACTGGTGTGGTTGAGTACAAGCCACATAATACCAACTCACAATGGAGCATATTGCAATTCTACCAGAGTACCATTTACTCCTCGTTTCCAGGCGCTGTCGGTATACCGTCATTCCAGCATGCGCCAAGGCGCATTTCCAGCAACACGACATTCCCCATCAACGATCGCCAGCACCATCGATTAGGCTCGACAACAAGATATCATCGAGACCGAGACGCGACTACGAGCTTTCCCGATCCCGAGTGATGTACAGTACATACCGTAAATCAAGCCACCGGTCGGCGCCGGTTACGCTGTGTATGCGACAGCAGCTGCCGATTCATGGTAGCTAACGAAAGACGAACATGAGAACATTTGAAGTCCGCCCATGGCTTCAATGGAAGCAGGCAGTGTGATCGACCAGCCAGGGAAGATAGATGGCGCCATAGAAAAGCGGCCGGGGAAAGAGGGAACATCGTACGAGCGGCTATTTGCCCGGCAACATGGCCGTAAATACTTCCAGGTGATCTACTGCCCGGACAAAATACAAGATCGCAACGCGACCGGCAGCAACTAATGACCAATGACGTCGGACTCAACGATTGCTGATTGATCGATGCACCTAGTGCGTTCAAATGTAAGGAGCGACCAGTGCAAGCCGTTGCCGCCAGCCTAATGATTTGATCTACATTCAGGCAGCCAACCATCCCCATTCCCTTCAACATGCTACTCAAAATTGCGAGGGTCTAAGTGCCTGTTCGGCCGGAGCTTTTCCCTACTACATACGAGTATATTAAACCTAGGGGACGAGATGAAGACTAGAGTTCTAAGGAGTGGTTTGGTTTCAAATGGGGTCACAAGACTACGAGCTCTTATTGATGGTTGGCCGAGGGATGCCGAGAGCCACCTCCCTGGGCAATATCCCGTGACAATAACTACACCTAGGTGGTCTCCATTGCGCACCATATTTCCGTATATGCTGGTTCTTAGACAATTAGAACACATCCTGAACTATTGCAAGTTGCAGTTCCGGGGATATGAGTAAAAGCGCATGTGACCATAGGAGCACACGGGAAAAGGCTGCGCATTAAGATGGTGTCGTTAGCCAGCTGGGAAAATAAAAGCGCTATAAAGGAGACACCTGCCACAGCTCCAAAGGCTCAGCGTCACCAGTGCCAATTCCAAATTGCCTTCAATACCACTATCGGTCACGCCTTCGGCAATAATAACCTCAAATAAGGTCTCGCCGGCCTTAAGCTCATTTCATTCATAGCTCTTACAAAATGTAGTACGACATAGACAGGCAAAGTGCACAAGAGGGCGGTAATGCCCAGACGCTTAGTGTCATGACCAGAAAACATGATGTAGAGGACATAATGTACTATGAAACGAAGAGTTCTTCAAGAGCCCATAATGTGAATAAAATGTTGGTAGAGCCTTCTTTCAGCTTTCAGACTTAGAGGAAAATTTTACTTATTTAAACGCATCATTTCTGCAATGTAAGCAGTTCGGACTTATGATGTTCTTACCTTCAAGTCGATTGATCTCTGAACAACCACGGATACCCGGCCTATCTCAAGTAATTCATCACCAGCGTACTACGCACTATGCTAAAGGATCACTTTTTATCCACTCCAATGTCACATTCGCTATTACGATTAATATGTCTTTGCTTTACTCCCGCCGTTCTCAAGGTCTATTTCTATAGTCTTGATTTTACAACTAGTATGCCCCGCTTGTCTCCCTAACATCTTCATGTTTCCCCCGTGTACTTTCTTTTCGTACTTCCTCAAAGCCTGCAAACCTGGTGCTTTCAATTCGGTTCGGACGTGACAATTTGTTGCTTTTCTTTTAATATATCATCAGAGCCTGGTACTGTTTCCTTAAGCGAGTAATTCGCTTCTTCTAGAATTTTTAGCCCAGTCTTCGCTTCCATTGATTCTTGTATCGCGTTGAGGTTACTAGCCAGTAGTTTGTAGATCCTCTCCTTCACCTCACCATTTTCAGAGCTGAGGTCTTGAAGCTTCGTACTCAGATGGCGAATCATGGTGATCAGCTTGCCCTGAAAATCACGCGTTAGACTGTTATTTTCATCTTAGTATTCGAGACGTAGGTCTACTGATAGTCACTACGTCTTGGACACGGAGATGCGGGTAAACCATTAGATATCCCTGGGTAAGTTCTGCCTCCCCGTGATGGAAACTATTCATGGTGGTTTGGCAGTCGATATTGTAAGCAAAGTGACAACTTGTGTTGGGCCTAGCAATGAAGTGGATGTTAATTACAATCCAATTACAGTAAGCATATTAGGTTATATCATCGTGTGATCCAAGGCTTTCAGTAATCGTCCACATATTATTAACGTCATCAAATCCCAATCGTCCCAGCAATTCACCGTATCATTCGAGTCATCTTCGAGCAAGTACTCAACCATACCATGATACTGAATTTCAGGACTAAGAATATATCCACATGCTTCATGATAAACTTGCGCCATAACGATTTTCGTTCCGTATCAGAGCCCATCCACACCTCACCATCCAAAACAATGCGAATATCGGCGTCGTCAGCAGTCCAACTGCAGTCCCTAGAATTGCCTTGAACATCATTGGTTTCCAATTCTCGAGGTTGGGTTTCGGAGTGACACCTCCTGTGTACGTCCAGTCACCTCCGTTTCGGGTGCCGACCACTATCAATAACCCAATCGTGGGGCCGATGAAGATAGCAAACGTGATGACCGCAATGAGGAAAGCGCGAAGAACCTGCGAGAACAGGAATACCACCCAATGAGCTAGGAAACCACCCTCATAGTCCGGGTCGGTGCGATCCAAGAACATAAACCACCGGGCCAGTCGACTATTTGGCTCCCTAATGCTTCCAACCGATTGGATGCGGCCATGCTTGAGATCCTGGTTGACAAGTGCCAGCTCTATCAGCCACGTAATAATACACTGCAGGATGACTGTAACGGTCGCATCTCCAACAAGTGTGTTTGGAAATTGAAACAAGTTGATTGCCTGTTTAGTCGTGCCATACATCCCTGGATGTTGGGTCAGCTGATCAGTCACTGCGAGTTCATACTAGATTACTCACCAACAGCAATGGCCAGGTTGATCACCCCCGAAATGATGCCTGCAATAATACCGTGAGGGACCAGCAGATAAAAAAGTTGCTGTCCGGTAAATCTGTCACTTGGCTCCAGAAAGCCCTCTCGGAGCCCCCTAAGGATCGTCTGTCGTGGAGAAGACTCGATATCTCCACTAACCGTAGTCGACCCCTGAGTAGGAGATACGGGATTTGCCGTCGAACTCATGGTCTTCGCCTGGTCGAGAAAATTCTCGAGAGCAAAACAATGAAGCCAGGTTAGGGTTCCAGAGTGATGCAACACTCTCAGTAAAGGGCCAACAATGGTTTCTGTTGTTGGTTAAAAGGACCATGAGCGACAAAGAGATGGGGGTAGGATCGCCTATCAGGGCTAATTTAGTTCCCGGATTGGCGCGATTGATTAATTGGAATGGAAAGCCCCATGTTCCTGTCACCGCTGCCAAATGGTTCTACTATGTAGGGACCATGCTGACCCGGTCAATCCGTTTGGCCAAGTCATGCTTACTCTGCTTTGCCGCAGACACATGATCGATGACTGATGACCTTCATCACCTCGAAAGCGCTGTAAATATAAGCACTCACGTGTGAAGAGCCTTTATTTACGGCGAAAGAGGGACTCGCTGCCGCTGAACGATAACATTCAATGCTTACCTGAAATTTTCTAACCTTGGCACAACTGCGAAATGCCGGTTGTGGATCGCCAGGTTCAATATGCAGGGACCTGTCAAGTTCGTGTGGGGGCTGCACTTAAGTGGTGGGGCTGGCAGGGACCTGAACCTGAAGTTTTCGTCATCTGCCCTCCTTCCTACAGTAACTACACCTCGTCTCTCACCGCTCACCTTTCCATCGTTGCAGAGTCTTATGATAACATGGGGAGATATAGTTTCGACATGTGCCCTCATGGCCTTTCCTCATTTCAGGGACGGCACTTAGCTTATATAGATGAGATGGCGTGAGAAAGTCGACACAGAACCCACACGCAGCATCAACTTGCTGGTCCATCCTCGGCGCTATGTAGTGCAGTGCATGCTAGCAAACCCCCTCGCGTAAATTAAAGCAAAGATAGGCTACCTTACCTCCAGTGATAGTCGGAAGTTTTGGTGTTTCCACTAGTCTAGACTAGACCAAGAACTTTTCGAGTTGTTGATGATTGACATAAGGTACCCAGTAGCCCATGAGAAGTACACGTCTTCAGTTGTTGAGACTTCTTCACCTTGCGCAATGCCAATTTCGGCTCCACCTTCAATACTGCTTACCATGTTCAAGAACTTGGGTAGATTTTGGTTCCTGCACCATTGAACCGAACTCCTATACTGATGTCGCAACACGTCGTTCGCGCAAATCTGACCGACCGACCGTAGTATACCAAGAATATCCTATGGGAAGTACAAGGAGTGGCCCACCGTGAATACTGCTGCATGACAGCCCAACGTCTAGAGTGTCGGAAATCGACGCTCGTGGCGGAACTGCTGACCACTGGCTTTCATCGTATCCCAGCACGCTTCCAGGCAATACCCATCGGTTGTCCTCATCATCTACCACATGGCCGTGGTGTCCTGTGTCGACACCAAAAACGTCCTCGTGTGCCAATATGAAGATGGCCTTGAGAGAAGTCCAATAATCAGCGAGGCAGGCACAGATTGGCCCGAAAGGTGGCCAGCCAACGTATTCAAAACTCATGTATTGCAATTTGGAAGCATATGTCTGGTGCAGATTTAGGAAGTCATTGATCGCGTAGTAGTAATCGCGATTCGGTACAGGCTCAAGGTGGAAAGTCGTGCGAGAAAAGTCGACCCAATGCACAGGCCGTTCGGCGGAGATGTAATGCAGGAATCGAGGAAGTTTGATCTTCTCGCAGCGCTGTATCACCACAAGACGTGATTCCCGACAGACTTGGCTCATGTCCGATGCATCCCACCCGATAAAGGGATTCAGCAGCAGATATTCTTTGCCTGCGCGCCTGTTGACTTCTTCAATCCCTAAAACTGAACCTGCAGATAGGGCGGCATCCCAAACGGCCAGACGCAGTTCAACCGGCAGATGCGAAAAATAATAGAAAACGCCATTGTCCATCACTGAAGGGGACTTCGTGGGAACAATATCTAGGCTCAGGGTACTGCTGAAAGCATTCAAGTGATGAAAGGTGTTTGGAGTGATTATAAGCAAGTGTGAGCTGACCTACTGTACTGAGGTTAGAAATAGTGCGGGGTCACTACGCACTTGAAAGTCGCGCCAGTCTAGAGATGAAAGCAATTGGGAAATATTTCTTAGACGAAGAATGCTTTGAAATATAATTCTATTCTCGGTCTAGATTTACGATGCCTGGTCCCAGATCCATTGTTTGTACGCTCTGCTCGACGCTTCTGCTGTAGGTCGTCATTATGAGGTCGGCAAGACACGAATGCAAATCTCATGAAAGTCACAAATTTGGGCATCAATTGGTCCGACTATGTTACTCTACTTTGTCCCACCTTTTGCTGTCGGTCTTTCCTTTCTTTCTTTCTTTCTTTCTTTCTTTTTCTTCTTAAACTACCTACATGGGAGGTTTCAGAGGCTATCTCTTGTAATTGTTGGAAGTTTACTTAAATTGCTTGTAGTATTCGTGAATTTTTGCATTTGCCACTTAGTCGACCATGCTGTCCATGTTTTATGGACCTTGTACCCCAAATGTGGCTGCTTCAACCGAAAACCACAAAAGCTGATCGTCAACTCATCCGTTACATGGCAACATTGCCTCATTACATTACGTGACTTTATGCACGACCTCCTCAACCCCACTTGTTGTTGATGGCAGTGTAGAGACTTTGGTTTACAGGCAAAACGCTCCCATGTCTCAGGTTACTTGGGAAACCCGAGCGGTCGCTAGCCGTCCAAACATTGCCATTAGGATTTGTACTCTCATATGGTCGGTAGCCGTCACTGCCGTAGAAGTCCAGAAGCACATGGACTTTGGCATCTGCAAGGTTGTCCCTGTATGCAGCTGGTCCTTCCACCCCAGACATGATGACGCCAGAGCTACCTCCAGCGCGAGTCCAGGAACCGAAGAGACCAGAAGTTGAATATTCCACAAAGACTTTTTTGGCGGTCTCGTCCTTCAAGAAACGGAGGTAGTTCTTGCCCGTATTGTCTAGTGGCAAGATGTCGAGATCGATCACATCGTATGTGGACTTATCGATATACGTCTGCGGAGCAGTAAACGTCTTGAAGTCGCTGGTATATGCGTAACGAATGCGGATGTTTGACGGTGTTCCAGTGTGTTTGGTGTCGGAAGAAGAGTACTGCGGATAGTTTGGGTCAGCTATATCCATTGCCAACCTGACTTCAGTCACCCACAAACTTAGACGCCCAATGTACAAGATATTGTCCTATTCCGGTCAGCACATGATATGATTAGGATACGACGCACGAATACCTTTGGATGCATCCCAGATTGCTTCAGGCGCCCAGACCATCCCTGCTGTAGTATCCTCGACCACGACAAGCCTCTCGTTCTTCCAGTTCACTAGGTCCGTGGTGTCCCAGACGAAAATTCCACGTGAGCCGGTACGCTGCGCAGCATCCCATGTAGTCTTCGTATTTTATTTAGACCTGGTTTGCGTTTCTTTACCACTGGGCACTCACCTTGGCAATATTCAAGTCTGTACCGACAATATACCATTTCTTTCCAGCCTCGGCGCCGCCACCCTGAACAATGGCCGGGTCTCTGATGCCACCCGTGCCTTTTGTCGGCTTGATGACCGGCTGGCCGCCGTTCAATGATTTGAAAGAGATAGCATTGTTACCATTGCTGAGATAGAAATAGACATAGGGATCGGCTCCAAGAAAGAAGGCTCCAAGGTAGCCCACGAGACCAGAATCCACTCTCGTTTCTGCAACAATACCAAACTCGTTTAAATGTATGGGACTAGAGACGATAATGTGTGCCCATAGGGCTAGGACCAGAAACAGATTGAAGCCTCGACGCATGGTTATCATAAGCGATGACAGGGAAGTGAGGATCTGCAAGCCACTAAAAATTGAGCAACGGAATTTTATTTTGGGGACATCCTTGGTTTTACACCATTTCGAAACGCCAAGAGCGGTTCCCAACTTGGGTGGTTCGGAGCCTTCAATTCCACCAGGTGGTATCCCGGTAGTTGTGTTTAAGTCATCGAGATGATCGTCGTGGGGTAGCTCAGTTTGCTATTAGTGGTGGAACATCTGGGTGCAGGTCGCATTCGGGATCAATAATTGTCTTTTAGGTGACACTTGCTATCGGAACACTACAAGAATCAAGTGATTTGAGAGCGTCACGGTGTATGCGATCGATGTGCAGGACTGCCGCACTCGAATGCCCACGTTGTACCGAATCCCTCAAGTTGCAGGTCAAGCGCATGGGGTAGCGCAACTGGGCCCAGCAACGTCAATTTCCACACAGCCTATGCCGCCAAGAAAGTCGCAAAGAGGATGTGTGACTTGGAAGCACAAAAGCTCATGGGAACGGTATAGTGGTCTTGTTTGCTAGAATATTATATTGCCTTGGCACTATCAGTGATGCTGCTTGGTGGAGAAACAGTGGGCCGTCGTACCTGCTCAAGCCCCTGGCAATTCCATTGAAAATACAGCATTGGATATTGTATAAGACCTGGTATAGAAGGGATCTTGGGCATGGGTGATGCCAGAATCTTCAGTGTCGCTCCATGGTGCTATCGTTGTTGCGAGCCAGTATTCACAAGACTTTGGAGACACGAAAACCCCACGAACTTTAATAATGATGAACACACTCACGAAAGTGGCCGCGATTGCTGGTCTGGTGACGGGAGTTCTGGGTCACGCCGTGATGCAGACCCCCAAGCCCCGTGTTGTTAGATTGGCTCGTCTCCTTGATCGTAAAGGGATTGTACTGATCAACTTGATAGGGTGGTGCAGCACAACTTGAGCTTTGCGGTGCTGCAGTCACTACTGCCCTGCAGAAAGGTATGCTCCGAATCATGTCTGGCGCATCAGCGGGCCCTTTTCTGATATTCCTTTGCAGACATCACCGGCCCCATTGAAGACGCAGTCGCAAAGGACAACGGAACATACAACTGCAACGCGTATCTCTGCCGTGGGTACCAATACGAGGACAACACCGACAATGTTTACGCATACACTGTAGACGAGTTCTTGTCCTTTCATATCCAATTAGTCGCTGGACATCATCCAGGTTGGGCTGTAAGTGTTTCCTTGATCCAAAAAATTCGAATACTCATGCTCTGTAGAACTTATCCGCGGTCGACTTGGCCACAAACACTGTCATCGGAGATCCTCTCAAGGCATTTGACGAATGGCCTATTTCCGGTTCAAATGACGACAGTATGTGTCCATACCGATGTTTATTGAACCAACACCACTTACTGACCGTTGGGTAGTTAACTTTAACGCCACTATACCTGCCTCTCTAAGCGAGCCTTGCAGTGAGGCAGGCAAATGCGTGCTGCAATGGTACTGGTGGTCCGACAGCAACAGCCAGACCTACGAGAGTTGCCTGGACTTCTATATCACAGCATAATTTCTGAGGAAGTGTGATTTATCAGGATAAAGTAGCTAGTCAGAATAGGAACACCAAAGACATCGTACGTATAGTGTTGCTTAGCGCTAGTATTGTGCTTATGCCCCCGCCGCTTCAAGTATAACATTCGCAACTGCGTCAGGCATACTTAATTGGGCCATGTGTCCGGCTTGAAGGCGCACTAGCTTGCTTCCTGCGAGACCTGCCATCATCTCCTGCACTGAGACTGGCAATAGTCTGTCCAGCTCGCAAAGCACATAGATGCTCGGCACATCTCTCCATCCACAGTAAGACACCGGTATTTTCCATTGCTCCAGGGAGGGTTGCACCTGGATTATGTTCTGCCACTCTTCTGCATCTTTGGCAGGTAAATCGTGGAAGAGGTTGTTCTTGGAGTCTTTACAGACGGCAGAGCCATCGTCCTTCACGATTGTTAGCCATGATGCACCGCTATACATCTGTCTTCACCACTATTTATTCACCCGTTCCACGATGAAAGACCCACCAAACTTATCACTCCCTTCAGGTGCAATATCGGCGGCTATAAACACAATCTTGAGTACGCCGCCTACTTTCTTGGCGTCCTTTCTTGCAGGCAACGTCAACCCCTGTAACGCGCTGCTACCGATGAATCCTCCGGCCGAATGCATGACCGCAATTACGCCGTCTGCGCCGGCTTCCTCAACAACATTCTTTAGTGCGGCCCGGATGTTGTCAATATCATCACGCATAGAAGGGTTATGCGGTGCTTTGGTGCCAGTAGATTTCAGAGAAGTTGCATGTGTTTTCAATCCTTGAGCATGCAACACTTTCCGGAGAGGGCCGTAAGTAGCCGGACCTTCCCAGAGACCCGGGACAATGAATATTGTCGGGCCCATGAATGCAGAGCTAGAAATGCGACATTGTTTCTTTTGTTCAAAATGTGAACTGAAAATGTGTACGTGTTCATCAATTGGAAGCCATGACTGACGGAGAACTATATGTATGGCTCTTTCAAGCTCTGCGCAGGAGAACAGTGCATTTATATTCAGGCCATGTCGTGTTAGTGCTAACTTCTTAGGCAAACGCCTGGCCGTAGGTCAGCTAGTCTAGGTTAGTAGGTTAGACATATGTATAAAGTGTGCGGCCGGCAAAGCCACATGGGAATAGAGTTGTAGGGCACATCAATTGCCTTGAAGCACAAGTTGTCTACGGTTAGCCAAACACGCTTAAGTTGACTTGACATCGAAAGAAAGAAGGAATGAACCACAATGTTTGGCCAAGTTGTGGCTGGTTCTTTTGTGAGTCTCTGTCCCTTTCATGGACTGAGGGGTCAAATGCAACGACCAACACTTGATAACCCGCTCGCATTGCCGAATCTGGTCATGAAAGTTTCACTATAAAGCCCAAGTGTTTGCAGCAATGGATTCTGCAAGGTCATCAAGCATCATTCGTCGTCGAAGAAACTGTTATATTCCAAATTCGAAGTGTGTTGAATAATTTCGGTTGTCACCGAAATTACCCCTTGTGACCCCGCTACTTCTGGAAGTTAGTGTAGAGAGAGTCGGCCACTTAGGACCACAACATCCTTAGTTAAAAATACGTGGACTATGTTACATAATCGTATGATCCGATATGGTGTAGTGGCTAACATATGACGCTCTCAATCTTGAACCGTCATGCCCGGGGTTCGATTCCCCGTGTCGGAGATAATATAGAATTTCTTTTTTGCGGTCCCCACTTTCAAAGTGGCGAGATGAAGCCCTTTTCTTTCTTCTTTTTCTTTTTTTGTGATGTATGGTATGATAAGAAATGATACTTTGTAGAGCGTGAGGATGGCGAAGAGAACGTTATGGCTGTTAGACACTTCCACACATTTTGAACACTAACCAAAGGGTACGCAGGCTTGAAACGAAGTGCTCATGCTGACAGCTGGAAGTGCCAGTGCTTTCCCGGCGATTTTGTAAACAAAGCAACGAGTTTTTAGTTCAACCTCTTGATTGTTACGCAATAGAAATGCCAATAATCCAGTATGCAGCTAGATGCGCAACGACTTTTCCGTTGTAGTATGGGTTATGATCCAGTAACACGCCTATACACTTGCACATGTGCCAAATGCACCTGGCTGTCGATGTAATTATACCTACACATATATACCGTCTTCCAGAAGCAGCACTCAAGGCACTGTCGCTGGCGATGGCAATGGTCCATACCTCAATGGTAAGCAAGATGTACATGAGCAGAGGACGTCGGGCTTCTTAAGTTGCATAGAACGACAGTACAATGAGTTAGTCTAGAGACAGCTGTCACTGTTGGAATCAGCCAATAATGGGTGACGTTCGCAACCCGCTTCAATTTCAATCTCAATCTCAACCTAGCCACAAACTGCTGCAATCCGTCTTGTGGCTTGTCATTTACAACCATAGTCTTGGCAGTGACCGACAAAGACTGTTCAAAATTGTAAGTGGTCATGTCAAACTTAGCATTTTCCTGTATATCATAACCGCATTATGGCATATGGGGCTACCAACCAACCAGGAACTTTCGGCCGCCCTTAAAAGGGATTCTGAGATTTTCAACAATGTAAAGTTCTCAACCTTCGATTAAACTAACCTAGTGAGATCCCTGAGTTGTACTTCTTCCACTTGACTCGTCACGAAACAAAATCGAACAGCACAAGACTTTATGTAACGTATAGTCCGTCAATTTAATACTAGTCTAGGGTCCAGTTGCGATACTTTTCAGTTGAAATACTAAGTACCAATCATAGAATAGTTATAATACGCGCTGTACCACAAGGCTGTTGCGAGCCCATTCGATACACATGTTGTGAGCAAACAAGTTCGTTACAAAGACAGATTCGGATTTGTCTTGTTGAATTAGATTTTCTGCTTATTCACATATAAATCGAGCATAGGACTTGCCGTATCCGCATAGAGGCAATCCCGTTGTCTGACCGGAGCATTTGTGGGGCGTTTCGGACTTCTCGCACAACATATGGTACCGCCGTGGTGCCGTCAGCCTACGTCACGACATGGAGATAAACTTCTCAACCCCCGACATCGTTCATTTTATAGGTCATGGTAATTACTAGAATCACGCTTTCTGTTGTTCGTTGTACGGATAGTCTGGGTCGATGCAGCTGTTGGTTGCGAAAGGGCTAAGGTCATGACTTCATAGACTAGTTGTATATTGGCAGCTACTGGTTCAAAATTGGTTACTAACAGACAATCTCTTATCATATTGTGTTATATATATTTTACGAACATAATTTAAAATATCATACCATAAATTCCGCAATAACGGTACAAAAAAAAAGAGTTCCTGTAATACTCATAGTTGCAAGCACGGTATTACCTCACGCAATCACAATGTTATCATCATCTACATCACAGTTGCAGGCGTTTTCCATAACAACCTCGCTTGTAGCTTCTGGAGGCATTGCCGCCCTATCGCTCTTCGACGTGCCAATCCTCTCGGCACAACCCGCTTCACGCTCACTGCCCAGCATTCGGTGGCTTTTCAGCCGCGGCTCGCACATCTTTCCCACGGCAGCCTTTGCCTCCGCCGCCGGGTTCACAGCCCTGGCCTACAGCTCGATCCCCGTGGCATCCAGGACCTTCCTTCAGCTGCTGAAACTCGGATCCAACGGACCCACAGTGGGCGGCTACACCCTGGCAGCGGCCCTGTGCGTCAGCATCGGGCCCATCACCCAGACCATGATCCCCACCAACTTCAAGCTGATCAAGCTGAACGAGGCCAAGGGCGGCTCGCGGAGTGCCGAGGGCCACGAGGCAAGCAAGAGGTACCCGTCGGGACGCAGGAGTGCCGCGGACTCGGTGGCGGGCAGGGGCGAGGGTGCCGAGTTTACTGACCTGAGTGGACCTCTGACCAAGACGCCGTCAGACACCAGTGATGCAGAAGACGCGGAAGTCAGGAGGCTGTTGTCGAAGTTTGAGAAGCTCAACTTGGTCAGAGCCTTTGTCATTGGCCTCGGTGGTGTTGTAGGACTAGTCACGGCGCTGGCATAACAGGATCACGGTAGCATTGGGCGTTCAGTTTGGTATTATGGGTGTCTTTTGATTGAATTTATATACAATAAGAAAAGGAATGTCTTATTCCCAGATGAAAGGGGATAAAATTTCTTGTGTCCATTTACACAGTCAAAGTGTAGTTGACAGAATTTCCGGGAACTCTAGGATAGAACTCAAACATGAAAACCGTATCTACACCAGCCGCAACAACTGCCGCAACAGTGGTAGCAGTGAGTTTCACGCTTGCGCCATCTCGATCCCATTGTCCGCTGTATGTCTGAGGGGGAAAAAAGTTAGCATTTCCGAAGAGCTGCTCCATATTTTGTTGGTAACTTACTCCACGAGCTTGCTGCAGTGGCCCAAGGTACTGTGTCCAGTCATCGAATAAGTACACACCGTCGGCTCGGAGCATCTTTACAGCAGCTATGTTGTAGATGCCTTTCCAAGTAACAGGAATCACAAGATCGGATCCAGACACAGCTTTCGAAGTGGTCGATGAGAACGCAGGAACGTCCCACTGCACGACATCAACATTCGCAGTAGCACCGGCCGAAAAGGAGACCGTGAGGTTTGTCTTGCTCCCTGGTGCTGCATCGGCAGATAAGTACTGGGCCAGGAAAGACGACTTCAAAGTGACATCGCCGCCGGACACAGTGTAGTCTGAAGATGGCTCCAGTGTGGTTCCATCAGCCGCAGCAATGGACTTGATTGTGTTTCCATTCAAGATGAAATTGACCGTCTGGTCAGCGACTTCGTCTCCGACCTTGTGGAAGAGAAAAGCAGAGCTGCTCTGCGAGGTGGCTGAAGCGTCGGTTGTCGAGTCTGAGAGACTGTTCGCGACACCCTTCACGCCGTTGAGAATGATCTCGAGCGCCTGAGGGTCACGCGCAGTGTTTGTGTTGCGGTCAAGCAAACCCTCGCCGTTGTCCCAGACGATCAGAGATGTGTCGTACTTGGTCGCGGTGCTTGTCAGGAAATCATAGTACTTGCGTCTTGCACCCGGCTCCACTTGCATGTTGGCCTCGGTTTCGCCGATCAACAGAGGGATGCCTGTGAAGTTTCCACGAATGTTTGCAATGTCGGCTTCTATTGCTGCTTTGTCTGCATCAGACCCCCAGACCGTCTTACCCCTGCACGTCTGGATCAGTACGATACATGAGCAATATCACCTGCGAACTTACCAAGCCTGGAAGATCAAGTCGTCTGAAAGTTGGTTAGACACAAATGTACTGATGAACTGGTTTAGGCTAAGCTTACAAGGACTGTAGTAGTGGTACTGGATGGCGCATTGATCGGTGCATGCAGCCGGGATTTCTAACCATTCTGAAGTCTTCACGCTGTCCATACCACCACCAGCAAGGTTGATTACACGCTGCGCATTGTAACCGCCGGACTCCTGTAGGGCCTGGATGAATAATTCATTAAGTTTGTTCAGTTCTGCACCGTCGGCAGCAGTGTTAGCAGGAGGCTCGTTGATCGACTCAAAGGCGACTCTCGACGATTTGCATGCAAGCTTCTCGCCAATCTGTAGCCAAGTGCGGTAGAACTTTTCCTCAATCATTGTAAGATTTGCGCCGGAAGCTGTGACGTCGGCCCACACCCAGGAATCTAGGTCAGCTCGTCAGCGGTTAGATATCCCAGATGTTAAAGTATAGTTCTTACCGTGGTGGACATTGGTGACTACATATAAACCACTCGCCAATGCCATATCGACCACGTCCGAAACTCTTTGCAACCATGTTGAGTCGATGGTCCAGTCAGGTGAACTTCCCGTAAAATGATAGGCGTACGTCACTTGCTTGATGTTAATAAGAGAGCAACGTGATAAATGGTCATATCCTGTTCGGCCTTACCAGGAATTCTCACACTCTTGAATCCGGCTGCTGCGACATCGTCGAACACCTCCTGAGTGACCGCAGGGTTGTTCCATGAGCCCTCATCAGGAGTAGCATCAAGTGTATTGCCCACATTCCAACCAGGATTTATAGCGGCTACCCAATCAGCTGCCGTGGTAGGTGTCCAAACATCAGCACAAGTTGCATTTCTCGTGAGCACTCGAGCAGATACAGTTCTGTGCAACGTCCGGCATCAGTTTCTTTGAAATCAAAAGCTGACCGAATAAACCATGAGAGGAACAAACCAAGGTATGGACTCACAAGACGTTTAGTGCGAGCGCGGCAATGGCGCCGGAACGCACTGGAGATCGTGAGCTTAGCATGGTTCTACTTGTTGGCGACCGTTGAACGCTAGTAGCAGAAGCAGCGGCAGACCACATATGTTCAGAGCACTTACAAACTTTTTTATAAAACAACGAGCTTGCGAGGAGTCTAAAATATGCTTATTGAAGCCTCGAATTTTGCATTGCATCATCGAGCAGTGTACGGATCCGTATATCTATTCGTGTCACAAATATAATCCCACTGAGTATATCCGAAGCACGCTTGTCAGAACTGACCCATAGCCAAGAAGAAGAAGCCTCCCTCCGTATTTCCTTATTGGGAAAGGAGTGATAGAAGCCGATGGACCCCCAGCTGATGATCAGCTCATAGAACAGAGAGGCAAATTCTAAAAAATTGGAGAAACGATAACTTCGGAGATTAGGGGGACGACTCCGTTGCCTTGTTGTGACATGTTTTTGACGGAGTTTGATTTCTGGTCGACTAAAATAGTGACCTGGCGGAGCGCATAGTCGCATCGTGCGAGAATGACAGCATAGTTTAGTCTTGCTCATTAGTGGAACATTAGCGTACCGAGCTGCCGAGATCAGGGACAGAATGGGGGAGAACTTCAGCCTCAATTGAAGTGACCGGGAATACAATGAACCGATTTCGACGATTCCATCTATTTGTAGAGCTTGAGGGTACTCATACCCAGGGAATTTTTTTTGTGTGGTTTTTTTCCTTTGTTTGTTCTCTCTTCCTTGGAATGACTATCCTGGTGGATGGTCGAGCTGCACACATCGCCATGAGGTAGACTAGAACTGGCACTCCGACCAACTTAAACACTCAAAATGCGGGTTGTTGGCTAACCTCGCTACAAATCTTGCACGGTGACTCATGTATTGAAAAATAACTGCTTTTAATGTCTTCATAACCGAAATACTTGAATGAAGATTCGCTTGAGGTCGATTCTGCTGCGGACGGACGTGAGCAAAGACGTAAAACTACTTTTGCGTCTTTGATAAGCCGTTCTATCATAAGTCGAATCGAAGGCCACTGTTCCTTTCAGAAGAAACGAACCATACCACGAAAGAACACATTTGGGCCGTATCATTCTGATAGTGGCTTGAGGCTTACCAACGCTGTAACAGCCTCTAAGGATGAGACGGTTGGTTGTGCTTAGCTTTAACTTTTAAGCATTATTGACTCCGCAGCTGCAGCCGCACTAACGAGCTACAAATTGAAGCACGCGGGTACTCACGACTACGGTTTCTTCACAATCGACAATTAAACTTGTTAGGGGGATTGCAGTGTACAGACGTGCCTCAAAAGGCCATTAAGCCCCTTGTTCGAGAAGAAGAATGACACCCTGCCCTTCGCGATTAAAATTAATCAGCCAGACCACTGCTCGGGACCGACGACCAAATAGCTACATCTAATCAGCCAATAAGAGGCCGGGAGCACTTTGTCGTCAGTGACAAAGCGTCCTCATTCTAGCGTAAACTGAATAATCTGATCAACGCCAGGGTTCTTGTCGCGACGCGAGTTTTTGATGCGTCATGACAAGGCTTTGTTGGGCTAGCATAATATCATTTGGTATGGTATTCTTGTCAAAGGGACACAATTCTGAAAATGCAGATAAAGCAAATCTTCGCCAAAGCGTTTTTCGCCATAAAAAGAAAAAAAAACCCACAAAAGATTCAGCATTGAACGTTGTCCACGAGGTTTGATGTGAATATACTTTGAGTCGCCATGTCCGCCCAGCTACAAAGTGAGGCCGCCTTCGAAAGTGGCCTCCTCGGATTCATCAACCGACAATGGTTCAAATACAGACGACCACTCCCGGCCGGCACGAGCCTGGAGGGCCAGACGGCCATTGTCACGGGGGCCAACAGCGGTCTTGGGCTCGAAGCTTCCCGACAGTTCCTACAGTTAGGCCTCTCGACACTCATCATAGCTGTGCGATCAGTAGGTAAGGGAGACGCAGCGGCGAAACCTTTGCGAGAGGCGTTTCCAAATGCGAATATCGAGGTGTGGACATTGGATATGGTGAGCTACGACTCAATCCAGGGTTTCGCAGCAAGATGCCACGAACTTGAGCGCATCGACATCGTGATACTCAATGCCGGCATACAAACCTCCCAGTACACAATCGTGGAGGCGACTGGCCACGAGCAAGTTCTTCAAGTCAACTACCTCTCGACAGCCTTGTTGTCACTCCTCCTGCTTCCAATTTTGAGGTCAAAGCGACAAAATCCCTCGCACCCTCCTGTACTCTGCACCGTTACATCCGATATGGCTTATTGGTCAAGTTTGCAAACGAAAGGGCCGGTGCTCGCACAGCTCGATCGGAAGGAGGGCTACTCGACCGTCCGTCAATACATGGGCACCAAACTACTGGAGATGATGTTCGTTACTAAGCTTGCCGAGCAGGTCAATGCCGACGAGGTCATCGTCAACATGGTTAGCCCAGGTTGGTGTTCAGGTACAGCCATCGGAGGTGAGAGCCCTGGTGGCGAGAGCCTGTTGTTCAGAGGCCTCAAGGCATTGGCGACCAGGAGTGTCGAAGTTGGCGGTTCAACCTACATCGATGCCACCGTGGTTCAAGGGAAAACAAGCCACGGCAGTTTCTGTAGTGACTGGACATTGCGGCCGTAAGTACTAGAAATGAGTTTCAAATTGAATTGTTCCTAACCAGCTTCAGTTATCCGCCACTGCTCTATACCGACGACGGGCTCCAGGTTCGGGAGCGGTTGTGGGAAGAGACAATGGAAGAACTCAATTTCGCGGGTGCATCGAAGATCGTGCAGGATCTGGTGAACTGAGCATCGGGGTTGGAGACAAGGACATAAACACCCGCATGCATAAGTAAGAATTCCTCGGTGCTGGTTGCTAAGTAACACTTGGATCTCACGCACATAGACTGTAATTACAGATGATGTCTTGTTGGCACAATCAAAAATCGAAGTGTACCGGATGCATGCTGGCAGTATTGAGGTTTATATTTAATACATAGCCGAGCCCTGACGTGGCCGTGTCGGTTAGCATTGCGAAGCGAGGGCGCAGCAAGAAACCGAGGCGAATACTTACACCACTAGCACTTATGGCTTGTCCTGTGATCCATGCTCCATCTTTACCAGCAAGTCCCGCCACTATATCTGCGATCTCCTCGACGGTGCCTAGACGATTCTGGATTGGTGTCTGTGCTTTCTGCATCTCGACTATTTCTTTGGGAATGTTATCCAGCATTTCGCTCTGAACAGGACCAGGGTTGACACAATTAACTGTCGTGCCGTTGCCTCCAAGCTCCGCCGCCCAGCACCGCGTGAGACCTTCGAGGGCGGCCTTGGAAGAGCTATAAAGGCTCAGATTTTTGAAACCCGCGCGCGAACCGACAGAGCTGAGATTGATGATGCGAGCTTTTGGGTTTAGATACGGCAGGACTGCTTGAGTAAGCAGAATGATACCCCGCACATTGAGGTCGTAGACGGCGTTATAGTCCTCAACCTGTATTTCGGATAGGGACTTTACGCGCTCTACGCCTGCATTGTTAACCAGGATATCAAGGTGCAGTTTGTTGTCCGTCCATTGCAAGAGGTTGGCAATGATATCTCCTGGGCCCTCGACGCTGCCCAGATCTGCTCGCACCGCGTGCACAGCGGGCTTGTGTGACAATGCCCCGATCTTTGCCGTGAGGTTGCTGATTTTCTCCTCGCTTCTTGGCGATGCATAGGCTAGTACCACCTGCCTCCTGCGTCAGCTGATAGTACACACATGGGAAATTAAACGTAGCTGCATCGTACTGAAGCGCCTCGGTTTGCAAGTTCCAGTGCAATGCCTTCGCCAATACCTCTAGACGCGCCTGTCACGAGAGCAATTTTTCCCTGTAGAGGAAGGTTGTAGACGGTTGTCGCCATGGTTAGACAATCAGTGCTTGTTGTTGTTGCTGTTACTCTCTTGTTTGATAGAGACGCAGATATGGCTAGGGTAATGTAACTGCCCCCCAACGACGTTCTGGTGTTCCGGTTTTATATGCGCAGACGGCACGAGCACAGTATCGGGCTCAAGACTTCCTGCGTCTATCGCCGTTGCACTCGGCTCATCATATCGGCGTTGTGTTGCAAAACGCCGACGTGTCAGCCGATTCTGTATAAGGCGGCAGAAATAACGGGCAGACGAGTGGATAGCCTGGCCATCACTATTGTGGGCTACTTACTGTGCAGTAGTATTGGTATGTGATAGGTATTCGGAGATGACTAACCCAGCGACCGTATATCGTGGAGGACATGAAGGCCGCACGAAGCTTGTCATATCGCATGCCATATCGCATGTCATACAAGACCTTGGCGGAGAGAATTGTATATATGTAACCTAGTCTAGTCCGGAAGCACATGTGAAATAACCTTACTTACCAACCTAAGGTTAGCTATTCACGAGACAGCCGTCCTAATTCCAGGGGGGGTCAGGGGGGGGTCACCACCGTGGGAAATAGACGTTTGTTGATTGGGCCAGATCGCTATGCGGCCTTATTCCCCGCTCGAGTTCTACCGCGTTCCAGCGCCACCCTCCCCAGCTGTGCCAGCTTAGCGGCCCGCAGTTACTGGCGAGTGCGACGCTGAACGGCTTTCCACTGCCCCAATCAGCACCGAGCACAGCACCTGCAAAGCATAAACACAATAACGTTAGCGGCCGGGGCCCAGAGTCGCCATCTTCCACGATGCCGAGATGCTGAAGATTACTGGACCGTGTGCCTCGAGACGCAATGTCCCTCACATCCACAAGCAAAATGGCATTACGGCTGCGACAGGGCCATCTGTCGGGATTGCCATTACTTTTCGGACTGGCGTACTGCGCCTGGCGAGATTACACCCCAGCAAGCTCGTAAGCAGCGGCAGGGCCAGGAGCATTTGCCTTCAGTCACCTGTGAGTCCTCGGACGACATAAGAATGGGAGCATCGCCCCAGACCCCTACGGCCTTGTGCGAAACGCTCGTGTTGTCCGCCACAGCATCGCATCCGCTCGGCAAAGATGGGTAACCAACAATCGTCCACCTCCCTCCCGGGGCCGACCATGTACACGGCCACGGCGTCTGCCTCTGTCGCGGCCGCCCAGGCCACCGCCCTCACCCTGAGCCCGACCAGCAGTGTGTCCGGCAAGTCGTTCGACCGCTTCGTCCAGATCTTCTTGGAGAACCAGGACTTCGATATCGCTGCTGGAGATCGTGAGTAGCGCTATACTTGTGCTGCGCGCTGAGCATGCTCTAACATGGCCCGACACAGCGAACCTCGCATACCTGGCCACGCAGGGCATCTTGCTCGACAACTACTACGCCATTACGCACCCCTCACAGCCGAACTACATCGCGGCAGTCGGCGCTTCCACTCACGGCGTCATATCCGACAGTGCTGCCCGCATCTCCGGCGACGTCGAGACCATCGTCGATCTACTCGACACCAAGGCCGTGAGTTGGAGCTTATACCAGGAAGACATGCCCTACTCAGGCTTCGAAGCCAACTACGTAAACCAAAAGACGGGCGCGAATGACTATGTTCGCAAGCACAAGTACGCATGCCTCACCCACAACCACGTAATCATGAGAGAAGAGACTGACGTGTCTGACTCGCAGCCCCTTGATGAGCTACGATTCCGCCACCAACGACCTGAACCGCCTCGCCAAATCCAAGAACTTCACCATGTTCGACAAGGACCTTGCCGCCAACAAGCTGCCCCAATGGATGTTCATTACTCCCAACATGACCAACGACGGCCACGACACAAGCGTAACGGTCGCTGGCAAGTGGGCGCGAAACTTCCTTACGCCTTTGCTAGCCAACAAGAACTTCAACACCGCCAAGACGCTGATTGTGCTGACATTTGACGAGAGCGAGAACTACCTGGCGGAAAACAGGGTCTTCACTGTGCTCCTGGGTGGTGCTATCTCTGGGCAACAGGGCACCACTGATTCGACCAAATATAATCACTACAGTCTGACAAAGACGGTGGAAGACAATTGGAGCCTGGGTGATCTTGGGGAGAATGATGTCAGTGCGACTGCATTCCAGTTCTAAGTGTACTTAAAATACAATACCCAACTAGAAACAATTCAGGATGCAAGCTATAGTGATGAGTTGACCAAGACTGCTTGGTGCTTGTGTAAGTTCCCTCCTGGGGATGGCGTTCACTTGTCGCAGCAAGAGACCGCTGTCGGCATTTGTGACAAGATCTTCCGGCATTACTACTGCGAGATTGGACGGCCGGGAGTGGTTCCCAGGGCTGCACTGACGCCATATAGGTTAGTAGAGTTCGCCGTGTAAGTTTACGTAGCGGAAGAAAGCCCTAACTAAGGTGTGTATGGCTATAGGTGGCTAGTCGGGCGTCTCATTAAGCGGCGGCTTTTTCCCCTCCTTTTTTCCTTCTTTTCCCAAGTGTACTAACTGACGGCTGGTGTGCTGTTGGGGTCGTTAGTTTTACATATAGGTGGTGATTCTTCAAAAGTGACTCCTGATCAGCCCCAGCGAAATCGATATAACATTTTATTTATAGCCACGTATTGAGAGTGGGTGATAGCACACCCCTATGTAAAGGTGATTACGCCATGGAGAAATCAACGGCAGGTTTCCAATGGGAAGTTCTTCCATCACAGTCGCGGCACGCTGTGCATGCCTACCCGTCGAGCTCCGACTGAAGGAGCGCCAGTCGCATTCCGGAGGCGATCCATCGTACTGATCAGAGCTTCGAAGTCGATGACATCCTGAGATCTGGTCCAGCCGACCGCGGCAGGCAGTTTCTCGTTTTCTGCCGAGGGGTCACATTAGCTTACACTCGGGCGCCGCGCTTCGGGGTGCCCAACGCCTCTTACCGAAGAGATACTCCACAACCGATTTTCTGACCGTCCCCGAGGTCCCGTTGCCGAGAACAATGATGTACGCCGCAGTCTCCCCGACACTGAAGGCGTCGCCGAGCTCGCTCATCGCGAACGTGGGGTTGGTGGTGTTGGAGGTGTGAACGCGGGCGTTGCGGGCTGCAGCCGCTTCGTTGATATCGATGATGGGGCCCTTCCAGTACGATCGTGTCTCGTCAAAGACAGACTGGTTGAAACTGTGGGAGTCTTCCGTCCAGTAGTAGTCCGCGCGACTGTACATGCAATGGTCTTAGCTCTGTTTGGTTCTTGGGTGTATGAGATAGCCACCCGGTCTTGCGCAGGTTGTATCAAGACAGGGACAAGCAATGGCAAGGAGATACGGACCTAAGGCTGGCATCGTGCTCCAGAATATTGTGCCGACTGAGGTGGTCCAGATCAAAGGTCGTGGCATTCGGTGTAGGGTTAGTAGTGACAGCCTCGCTGTGCAGAAAATTGGCCAGTTCAGCGTTGATGTTCAGGGCTTCGCCTAGGGCATCGATGGTGATGTTTAGGGTAATCCCTTTCCCGCTATGCGGTAAGTAGCCATGGTTGGCGAGACTGTTGAGCATTGGACATGGTGCTCGCACTACGAGCAGGTCAGCTTCACAATCTCGACCATATCTTATGGGAGGAAATACCATCACCAACTCCCGGGGGATGCCATTCCGGAAGCGTAGGATACCCGGAGCCGAGCGCAATCGCTGGGATTGAAAGAGCATACAGGAAGCTATACATGGCCACCATCTTGACACTTTGTTAATACGGGTTGTTGTATCGCATCGTTTTCCTGACTAGAGTAGTCATGGTCGACTTTATAGCAATTTTGATGTTACACAACCTTGAGCTTCTGCCACAGTTGTATCCGCAGTTGCATAGCCCCTCTGCTACATCATGTATGAAGTCGCATAATCACAAATATACAATTGGTCAATGGCAATGTGACAACGAATTATTAGCTCGAGCAGGACCTAGATTCATGTTTGGCGTCGTATTTCGCACAGGGGCTCATTTTACGTTCGTATGCATTATACCCGTCTCTTCGATCCTTCGAGGGGTTCTGACGGGGCTGCAGCATAGCCCCGATAGCAGTGAGCCAATAGATGTGTTGTAATACTTGCTGCCTATGTGCCCACGTACATAGTACGGTACAAGGCATACTGCGCCCGTGTTTATGTTTGAGGCATACAGCGGCGAATAGTAACCAGCCCGAAAGACCGTCTGACGCCAAGCCCCTGGTTGGCATACGATCGCTCGAATTAGTAATTATTAAACGCGTACAATTCCATCCGTCTGTACCGTCGGCACAACTATATCCTCTCGAGGAACTTCTGGATGTATGGCTACTACTCATGATAGAGTTCCGCGGAACGCCCGGGACAGACAAGTAGGCTGCAAGACGTACCAATGACACCAACGCACGCACGTGCGGTTCAAAACATGCCTCGATGACGATCATAGCTCAGCTCTTTCTGCAGAGAAACGTGTGTCATTCTTTGATGGATATAGCGGCACATAGGCCAGTCCAGATGCTATTGTACCTAAAAGCCGATTTTGCGTTAAGCCGCGCAAGACACCATCGTCGCGCAGTATGTGCAGTGACATTAGAACTTTGCCACGTGAGGGGTCCTTGGAGGTAATCTCCCGGCGCGGTGTCTTCCAAGGGGTAGTGGTTTCCCCATGTCTGATGTGCTCACTTTCTCCTCTTCACTTTGACCTTGACGTCCAGAGGCGGTATACCAAATCCAACAAACCAAGTGTTCGGTGGTCTTTTACCATTGTAGCTCTCCGGAAATTCGATATCGTAATGCGTTAGGGCATATCCCAGGATCATCTTGAACTCAAAATCCACCAAGAAACGGCCAGGGCACGCATGCTTGCCATGGTTCCAAGGGAGGTACTCGACTGACGATGACACAAAGCTGAGATTGTTGAGTCCCACTTTTCCTGTTGATGCATCGGCAGCCTCTTCGCGCGGACGAGAAAATCTGAACGGGTCGTACTTGAAGGGCTCCTTGAAAGAGTCGCTGTCGGTCTGCGACTGATAGGCCAAAATGGAAACCATGGCACCCTGCGGGAGATGAATCCCGTCTTCCGTCACCAATCCGTTCTTGGCAATCACCAGTCGCTGGACGGCCCGGCCTAGGAATGTGTGTAGACGTAGCGTTTCGCGCGATATACTGTCTGTTCGAGTCATGGTCGCCATGTTGGCCTTCGTCCACTGCTTCGTGCTGAAATCGCCGCCGGCGCCCATCACACGGTCGACCTCATCACGAATGACCGAAATAGTCTTGTACTCCGAATCGGAATCGAGAACGTCCAGGAGTAGGTTGTGGAGTGTCAAGATCGTCTGGTGCATGGTACCAAAGTTCATCACGGCGAGGCGCCTCGTCATGTCCTTCAGGCTGATGGCTTCATGAGGGCGTTCTTTGGCGGCGTAATCGAACAACATCTGAAGAAGGTCCCGAGGTTTCTCAACATCCTGGTTCTCCGCGTGTTGCTTCAAGATCCGAAGTCGTTCCTGGAAAAGGGGCTCAAAACGTTGTTCCAGTGCTTTGAGCTTTGGACCCATATGTCGGCTTGCCCAGACGCCAGTAAAAGGCTTGAAGGGCTTGCGAACGGAGGCCTGGTACCCAGCTGCATCCAGCATGCCATCGAGGACGCCATAACAGGTTTCAACAAACGTCGGATCCCGGCCTTCATGAAGTTAGTGCAAGGCGCACATAGCTGTCGGTGGTCACTTACAAAGACGGCGTCCTTCTGGGGAGTCACCAAGCGTGAACTTTTGGGTGAGTTGGCCAGCCAGCATACGACAAGCTGGAAACAGGTCCATTTCCTTCCAGTTTTCGACATCATTGCCGAAGTTAGCATCGAATGAAGCACTGAGCTCGTCGCTCATGATATCAGCTATGTTCTCCAGTGCACCGGTCAGGTCATTCTTGATCAGCCAACCTCCCCATGGGTCATACGCATACTTGCCGCCAAGGGTATGCTGAAGTTGGATTCCATCAATCTGGGCATCAAGCGAGCTGACAACACTGTCAGGCTGCCTCACAAGCCATGACAACGCAGACGGCGGCAAGATGACCTCATCGTTGGGTCCAAAGACTGGTATGAGCACGGTCTGACCTTTTTTCGAATACTGTGCTATGATGAGCGAAACTTCGTGACTGTGCAGGGTTCAAGTGACCTACGTTTTCATAGATCTCATTGAAAACAGTCAGACTGTCGTCGTGGAATCTTTTCCTCATCTCCTTCCATGATACCCCTTCACGCTCGCCCAAGCGGAGCAAATTCTTGGGGTATCGCAGCGTAAACAGGTACTGGTAGACCAGAACAAGAGCTACAGCGGCGCCTAGAGCTAAGATGAGAACCTTTGGGGAGGGTGCGAAGCCTATCAGCGTTTGAGTGATTTCACTCATGTTGACTGAGTTGTGCATCTGCAGTGGCACAGACTTGCACGTTGTCAGATGTCAAGCACGAGAATGCCAAAAATACAACATTGGGCCGAGCCATGGCGCGACAGAGTCTTTTGACCCAAGACCGATTGGACCACAGTTTGGCGAAATCGGCGTCGGCTGGGAAAATTTCGACCGCTGCCAAGTACCGCGCTCCGCAGCACATGGTGGTGATAATCCTTGTCTAAAAGATCTGATAATCTAATCAGATTAGATCCATTTGGTGATAAGATGGATTTTGCTCCACTCATCGTCGTCATACCCCTCTGGGAATGCCAACGTTCCAAAGCTTTTTAATCGGGGATGTACGACTACAACCTCGATTGATTCGGTCTTGACGTTCAATTAGGTAATTGGTTCCTACCCAACGACCAAAATCCCCCGAGCATGTGGATCACATGGGCTCCAACGCCTCGAGTCACGGCGAAATGCCGCACAAGTCATTCTCAAGCCCCTTGAATATCGAGACAAGCATTTCTTTACGGTAACTACGTGCTACAAGGCACTATATTGGCCTGCACGTCAGTTATATAAATCGTTTCAGCCCCAGAAGGTTTCTAGAACATCAACAACATCAACATCAACGTTGATGGGGACTGCGAATTCTCTCCGTACACCACCGGCGCCTGGAGACCCCTCAGTGCTTGCTACGACCCATCTTGCGGCATTTCGCCCGCGCTACGCCTCCCCGAGCCAATGCGGAAGGTCTGTGACATCGCTTATCCACTAATGGTGCATTTGTTCACAACTCTTTCCTTGCGTGCTTCCTTGAAGTGGGGTGTAGTTTGACGACGAGTTGCTGAAAGCTCCGCCGGTTCGGCTTGAAAGCAGAGACAATATTCGTGAACCGGCCTGGAGTGTATTCAAAAAAAAAAAAATACAAATCCCACGATTTATCAGCTGCCAGGTTGCCCGCAGAAGGAATGCAACAAGTCCCGCCAGATATCACCAAATGCCTGAAATTACAGAGCTTTGCCTGTACATCGATTAGCCCGCCCAAGTAATAGTTCTATTAAGAGCCGCGCGATTAGACAATCTAAAGACTATTTCGCGTTGCAAATTTTAAAGCCAGATTATGGTATTGTCAAAAGTCGAGGTTTTCGTGACACTTATTGCGTTTCTTTTGCTGGCGTCCTACTGCATATCGTAAAGTAAGTAAACACACCGATCAGCGGCCAGGTGGCAGGTCATGGAAAGGTCACGGAGAGTATAGGTAATTCCGAGTGGTCCTCCACTAGTCTAATATAATATAAAACGCCCCTAAAAGCTGTCAAACTCAGTAATTGCATTCAGAAGGGAGGCTAGCAGGATAATATGCAATAAGTTAAACTCTAACAATTGGATCAAGAACTGGTTTGCGATTTTGCAACTCCATAAAGTTTTGTATCGGCAGCTTTGCAGGCTCAAAGCTCTGTGAACCTGCACGAATGTTAGCTCCGTTTCTTGGACTGCGTTGATATAGGAGTTTTCAAAACGGAGTGCTCTGCTCCCCTTTGGTATGCTTACGAGCAAATCATTGGCAGGCATCCTTTCATCAGAACTAACGAGCAACCACTAATATATGGCCCAGCAGAACGACCGTGGGGCCCGCCCGCCCAGCCATACAGGGCGACTATATGGGTTGTTGATCGTGAAATCAGTAGGATGTTTCATCTTAGATGTTTGGTTGCATGTGCAACAGCACCATGTGTGCTTGAGGCTTTGTGCACTTGAGCGCGCAGCGTCCCAGCATGCAGTATTAACTTTAGCAAACCGAATTCAATGTGCCAATAGCCTATGCTCGGTGTCAATCCAACAAACCAGCTCAGCATTTCATGCACGGCAGCCGCGTCGAGAGTCCTGGTAAGAAGGGGTGGTACGACCCTAGCAACCTCTACTTGTGTCAGCTTAGCCCGAATCGTGGGATACAGTCTTTCTAGGAAGCTCCGGGAATGGGTCAGGGTATACTCCTTCTGTTATTTATTTCAGGGCGCTGTCCTAGACACATAGTCGCACCAATGCTATCATCACGATGGATTCTCCTTCTCAAGGTTCTTGATATTTTTGTCTAACACGTTGGCCACTTCTTGAAAATGATGCAGGTCCCCTCGACGTATGACTGGTAGGAGCTGTCATCGTTTCTCCGGATCAGAACAGAATTCTCATGCGGGTTCATAGTACCGGACGAACTTAGCGATCAGTCCAACGGTATAGGCTGTCTTCATGAGCTATGGTTGGATATGTAGTTTGTGGCGATTGGGGCATTTGTTAGGTTGAAAAGACCATAAAAATCTACATGAGTTTAGGTCTTGAAGTTAGCCAAGCAAATCGCGAGTGTGTCTTTCTAGGCTATCTGTCCTAGGAACTTGTTGTTCGAGCCATTTGTTCTGTTCGTTCGGATTCGGCGTCCTGGGTCAACATATCTCGATGTCTCGGGAAAAGGTGAGGATCACTATTTGAAACAAATTTCCACATGAAAACCATTAACAGAATAACGTTGAACGTTGGAATATGAGTGTTAAACTATGCCCACGTTGAACGGCATTGTTCTGCGGCGGAGAGATCGTTAGCTTTTTGAGTGTCATTTCTGCGCCACGTGAACTAATTAGGTCCAAATTCTCAAGGAGACCACATAAGAAAGGGGGTAGAAGATGAAAGGGTTTCGGGGACCGTAGATCTAAAGAGGCGACTAAAGAACAGTGAAAACCCACATCAAGGCGGATGTCTCTAACCATACTCCAAGTCAAATCTCCACTTCACATAAAAGAAGTGGTTGTGCTTCAAACAGTTTGCGTATCACAATCGTGAAGAAGTCGAGCCACAAAGTTTGATCCCGCTACTCCCTCTTAACATCAAAAGATACCTTCAGGTAAGTCTTGAACCTAGGTATTCGCAACTTGATCGCTCGCTCTTTCTACAGAACGCGTAAGTAGTGATCCCCTGTAGCAACGGTATAGTACCATGTTGCACCATGTCATTCCGCAGCTTGCAGTGGACCAGTTCTGTAAAAGGCAGCAATCATACATAAATTCCACGCAAAGAACGAACATGGAACGTGGCCAAGCCTCTAGCGTAGGCCTAGAAATGTACCAATCCGAAAACAAAGCCAGAAGCTCGATGTGAACGTTGCACTCGATGCTCAAGAACAAGCATACCGAGCTCGTAAGCGACCCTCAATTGCCACATATTGGATGTGACAAAAGAAACTACGTAAAAACTCAAATATGAGCAGTCCGCATAAAGCTTATATTGCTGCTAACAGTCCTAATATCTACATGGTCCCAGCAGAAGGTGTGTCCAGCCATCCAAGCTTAGCACAAAAAAAATGTACACCAACCACTACGTAGGGTTTTCCGCGTTGTATTGAGGGTGTCCAGCAGCACCAGCCCCAGCCATTATATAAGACAATGTAAGGGTGCTGGGAGCTCCACAAAGTAACAGGTAACAAAACATGATAATAGTCATTGAGGCTCGAATTACTCTGACTGTAAGAAGTTCTCTCAGATACAAGTCATGAACCAATTCCATTCTATAAAACCTTGCAATATCTTACAAACTGGAACATGGACATACGATAATCTATTTGCAGTGGTCATCAGCTACTCTTTGGGGTTGAATACAGTGCCAACTCATGGTATACCGCTTGCCCTTTCCTGTACCGCAGTATCAAGCGAAAGATTCGTTCCCTTCTTGTTCCTCGGCCATTGCTCTCAGCTCTCCGCAAGGCTGTATTTCAGGCCATAGCCCGGGTCTAGAGTATTGGCTAGTCGCGCGGCTCCGGGGCTGTCAGTGTTTAGGCTAAATGTAACTCGGACAACAGGGTCGCTGTCACGATGGCTAAAGGTTTTGCTTTGCGCTAAACTTAGAGCTGTGCCTGAGATTGATCACTTGCACGTAGTCGAGATCCATGTTTCATCGATTCGCCCAATAAATGACTACAGGTTAGAGTGGACGAGTCATCGCTTATGGACAACCAACTGATGCGATGCAATGCCAGGCCGTTAGCCAATGTACATGCGCAGACCATGTAGTGTATTCCCAAGGATTCGGGACCGCTAATATTGCTAGACTAGCTCAAGTTCGTGTAGGTGCTGCAATGCAGCCGAGCAATGGTCGGTTGACTGAGCCGCTTTTGACAGCTCTATATAATAAAGGAAGAGGCTTGGCTCGCTCGTGATACACCATCGCAAATGGCAGTATCGGACCGATGAATAGTCGGCGGTTTGCAGGTGTAGTATTCTGGAGCACCATCACTGGTTTTCAGAATCAGCTTTGCAGCTAGTCTAGTGGAATCCTTCGTGTTTCTTCCGCCCTCGGATCCTGGTCATTGGGGAAGGAAAGTAGTATTATCGTCGATGCAGCTGGAGCAAAGCCCAATCCAGCGGATGTCCCGTCCGGTGACCTAGAGACTGCCCTGACGGCGTATATTTTACGGATCCGTACAGAGAGTACTGTACTTGTTGACAGCTCGGGCAGCTATGGCACAGACCACCAATCGCTGACACGTGGACTCGGTACGATTGCTCGAGTTCCTGTAGGCGACTTGAGCGAGTCGAGCGAACCCCGACAATTGCCTCGGAGCTACATCTTGGTCATGTGGATTTCGAATATAGTGTTTGTGTGTAGATCCCGTCATAATCCCTACCATCCTCAGCCGATTCAAATCTTTGTTGCTGAAAATTTTATCAAAATTGTGTCTCTTGACCCCAGATCCACCATCTCCATACTTCCTCCTGCTCTCGCTAATGCATGTGGTATTAATCGGGGTAGAAACGCTTCCTCCCGTCCCCATATTTTAACCTTGATGCTATTGGAGGTCTTGCTATTTTCCCTATTTACCCGGCTTCCGTTTAGCCAGAACTCAGGCTAGCGTCCGTTTGCTAGCAGCAACAGAAAGGAACTTTCCCATGGGGTTTTTGCATGGGGAATATTATCCACAATCAAGTCCAGACAATGTATGGTCAAGTACCTGGAGTCTTTGCGTCTGACGCTTCAACGACAAACGACGACCATTTCAATCGACCATAGACTGCTCAAATGGCTTTCAGAGTGTAGCTCGAATTCTCTAGTAGTAACGGGCCACAGTTCGCCTTAAGCACATTCGCAGATTTTCAGGATCTTCGGTCCGCCAGCCAAGCCACGAGTGCAGGCAGGGTCAGGCCGAACCAATCCCAAGCTACTCGATCCTGGACTCGACCGTGTGCAGGTAGTCCAGAATCAGTCGGCGCTCGAAAAGCTGTGCCGCATCCCCTTGCCCGCATAACCGTTACCGCCAATGGGCAGCTCCAATACCCAACCCTCAGGACTAATCGGACCCCGAGTCAAGTAGCTAGCCCGTATTCTACGGTGTACGATGTTTGGTTCAATGATCTATACCCCGGAAGCGAGATCAGTACCGGACTGATGTGTGCTGATTCTATCCTGGCTAATATCTCGCGCCACCCTGGTTCGTCTACGTGGTCTCCACTTACATGCGACCCCCAGCAGATGGTCATGCAGTTGACCCTTGGGATCGCGTGGAGCTTTTCGAGATATATTGGGAGCATTCCTCTTCTTCATTATGTTCGAACTTGGTTCTTCAGAATCCACTGCACTGAAGGGTGGCATTCCGTGACATCGTTCTTTCAGCCTTCCTCCCTATCGCTGTATAACGGCCGCCTCAGCATTGAGGGCTCTCAATAGTCACCATGGTTCACGTTCCTGTACACGCCCCTTCAAAGGGCTCCACAGCTCAGGATGTCGCCATTGCACAAGAAGAGGCGCCTGAGTTCGAGAAGGTGTCCTGGACAAAGACACCTCAGCTGCGCAAGCTGTACGCCTGGGGTGCCGTGCTGATGGTTGCGTCCGCCACCACTGGCTACGATGGGTGAGTACCGGCGGAGCAATATGTAGTAATAGCTCAGCTAACGTGGAATTCCTCAGTATGCTGGTAAACACTTCCCAACAGATATCGCTCTGGGGCGAATACTTCCCCGAAGCGGATCCCCACAACCCCATGGGAACACAGTACCTTGGTCTCCTGGTCAACATGTTCAACATTGGCAGTATCCTCAGCTTCTTCGTCACCCCGTTTGTTGCCGATCACTACGGCCGCAAGACTGCCATTATTATCGGCTGTTTGGTCATGGTTCTCGGTGGTTGCTTGACTGCTTTCTGCAACGGCTATAACAGTAAGTGTGGCTTAGAACGGTTCTTTATTTTTCTTATTGGAGAAGATATTAACACCTCAAAGTGTACATTGCTGGTAGATTCTTGCTTGGCTTCGGAAACAGTTTCGCCCAAATGGCATCACCCCTCCTGCTCACCGAAATCTGCCATCCTCAACATCGTGGACCGGTGACTGCTGTGTACAACTGTCTGTGGAACGCAGGTGCTCTGATCGTGTCTTGCATTGGTTGGGGCACTTCCAGCGTCAACAATGACTGGTCTTGGCGATCGATCACCTTCATCCAGATCGTTCCTTCGCTCATTCAATTGGTTTTCATTTACTGGATCCCCGAGTCGCCCAGATACCTGCTGTCAAAGGACCGCGAGGAAGAGGCCCTGGAGATGCTGAGCTACTACCACGGTGCCGGTGACCGCAACAACCCTACTGTCCAGTTCGAGTTTCGCGAGATTCGTGAGACCATGCGCCTGGAGAAAGACGCCGCCCGCTCGTCCGGTTACGTCGACTTCCTCCGCACCAAGGGTAACCGATGGCGATTGGCCATTCTCATCTCGCTTGGTGTCATCTCCCAATACAGCGGCAACGCTCTGTTCTCTAACTACATGAACACCATCTACGAGGGCGCCGGTATCCGTGTCCAGAACCAGAAGCTGGCTCTCAGCACTGGCAGGACCATCTACGACTTGATCATTACCATCACTGCCGCCATGAACGTCGACCGATTCGGACGTCGCCCCCTGTTCCTCATCTCCGCCGGTGGTATGTGTTTCTCGTTCGTATGCTGGACAATCTGCGGTGCTGTCTACGAGAACTCGGGCGGCGCCAACACCGGATCTGGATACGCCCAGCTTGTCTTCATCTGGCTCTTCAGTGGCTTTTACGACGTCGGCTTCTCGGGCCTGCTGATTGCCTACGCCCTCGAGATTCTGCCTTTCAAGCTCCGTGCCAAGGGCATGATGATCATGAACATCACCGTCCAGGCCGTCCTCGCCCTCGGCAACCAGACCAACCAGCTTGCCTGGATCAACCTGCCCCACCACTGGAACTTCATGTTGTTCTACACTGTAAGTCTACCCTCAAGCCGCTTCTCGCATAGCCTTAGAAGACGTCACTAACGCGCACTCTTTCCAGCTCTGGGACTTTCTCGAGTTTGTCTTCGTCTACTTCGTCTACGTCGAGACCAAGGGCCCCACCCTCGAGGAGATCGCCCGTATTTTCGACGGAACCGATGCCAACGTTGCTCACATCAACCTCCACCAGGTCGAGAAGGAGATCCACACCGAGGGAATCCACGAGGAGGATGTTACTTCGCCCAAGTCCGCTTTGTAAATGGGTAGAGGAAGTTGAAAATTCGTCTTTGGCTGTAGGATGCGATCGCTTTAGGATAGTGGTGTAGGCAGTTTGCGGGCTGATTACCAGGCCTGTGAGAATGTCACCCGACAGATGCCAAAGCAATAATACAAAATATCTCTCTTCCTTGAACTCTTAATCGTCCGCGTCGTCACGTTGTAAAGCCAGAGTCCACTTACCGATTCTCGAGTCAGTAGAGTACCGGTACGAAACATACGGGCAACGTATAAGTTGATGCAATGGCGATCACCCCCAAGCGGAAACCAGCCGGTGGCTTGGCCAACTGGGACAAGGTCCGCCTCCGTGTTAGAGTATCACTGTAGAGTCAGCAGGCGCATATCGCTCCGACATATTTCACAAGGCTCTAATATCAGTTGAGCAAGAAATCATCAAAAAAACCATACAATTCTTTGCTCGGGGTATCCTAAGACATATACATATGTGCCTCTGAAAAAAGCAACGCATGACAATCGCTTCCACTCCAGCAAAACCAGTCCGAAGCACTACACGTCAACCATATCCATGCATTGTTTAAACCCTACTTAATAGAGAAAACAACGGAGGTTCCTACACTTTTCCGGTTACAAAAGAACATAGATCAGACAATAAACCAACACCCCACCTGATTACACCTCATCGATACCGTCATCAAATTCGTGGCCAATTGCCGTAGAGGTACTGAAATTGCTGTTCTCGCCTAGCTCAAGGTTGCCAATCTTTTCAATGGCAAGCTCTAGCTTTCTCTGTTCTCTCTTCAGCTGCTCGCGCTTGCTGGCAGTATCTCTGTCTTCCTCCATCAAACGGTTGAAAGTGTCATCATCTGAAGGTCCAGTTAGTTCTGTAGAAGCCAAACACCCTATAGCACGTCGGGACTTACTAGCTTGATCAAGACCCAGCTTCCTCTCCAGGAAAGTGTGCATGTTGTCCGACGCAACGTCACGGAAGAGCTTCGATTTGACACTCAGGGTGACACTTTCCACGAGTCGCATAGCTGCCAGGATGTAATACCCTCGGACAACGGAAGCAACTTCAATTTCGTTCCTGAACTCGTCCGCGCCGAGCTTCGGGAGGTTCTTAGCGATCATCTCCCGTTCCTGGGCAATCTGTTCGCCGGTCATCTGATCCAAGGGCCGGGTCCTATATTCGAGGCCGATAACGCCAATAGCGCGCAGCCGTTCTATGGACCTTGCACGAGTGAGGATCTCTAGCTCTTCAGCACGATAACGTTTGAATGCATCCTCATTAGTGGTGTACATTTCATATGTCTCGGCCTGAAAAAGATCAAAGATGGCAGCGGTCTGGAGTCCCTCCATCCTAGTGATGTACTCTTCAAGATACTGTTGCGACTCGTTAAATATAAGGCGTTTCGACAGCTTCGACATGCTCGTGGTGAGAGCTCTACTGAGCATGGATTTAAATAGACTCATTGTCAGCTGAGTGTATAGCTCGAGAGGCTGCAGCCATTTCTCAATGGCTTTATTGATTAAAATGTCGTAGACACCTGGACCAATGATGTCTGCAGGCATACCAGCACGCCTACGGTTTGCAAGGACTGACTGGATGTTCTGAATGTCGAGGCCTCGACGGCCGAGTTGGTGAAAGTTTGAGAAGGGTGACTGAGGGTCAGGCATTGGGGTTGCCCGCAAACTGCTTGGTGTCGGTCTCGGAAGCATGATTTCCTGTTTGACAGTAACTGGCGTAGTGGCAGCAGGTTCTGCACGCGGTCGCTTGGGCGTGCCACGAATAGTCGAGTCACTTGCGCGGGGACGTTTTCTTGATGGGGTATCAGCCGCGACAGATTCAGAATCCGAAAGAATTTCCACAGCTCCGGTGGGGTCGACTCTGTAAGGTGGTCGTTCTTGGGTCCTAACCGTACACGTAGGCTTGATCGCTAAGATGCATGCTTGGAATTGTTTGTTGAGCAGATTCCATTGGGCCTGGAACCCATGTAGCACCATGGCATCCTTGACCTCCTTCTTGAACTTTTCCAAGCTCTGCTTGACCTCGAACTCGACGTTGCGCGGCAATTCAGGAAGTTCGGAAAGCTCAGACTCGATTTGACGCTTAGCTTCTCTGACCTTTTGCTCGATGTGCGGTAAGCTCAGTGAGAACGCCTCGCCAAGTCGCTTAGACAAAAACTCTTTCAAGAGGTCAACGCCACATCGTTCTTTAAATGGTTCAAACTCGCGCGGCCACCCGTCATAATTATTGCTGAAGAATTGCTCCTCCCATTGTGCAAGACGTTCCAGGGGTTCATTGTTTTCCAAGGTTGGCCGGGAAGTAATGAAGTATCCATGACCGACATAGTGCTTGTCACCTCGGAGAATCGCAAGCCAAGACGGTGTATCGTCAATACGAAGCATGTCGGCTTTCGTCATCACTCCGCTAGATTGTTCTCGTCAGTATAACCGTCAAAGAAAAACATACTGGTCATGCGATGTACCATCGGCAATGGCATGGCGGTCAAGAAGTCTAGCGCACGGGCAAAGAGAACTTACATCGTCCTTCGTTGAGCCTGAGCCTCTCGTATTAGGCCCAGAGAGATAGAAGTCTCTGGATCGTTGTTCATGGGCAGAGCCCAAAGAATAATTGCTGATTCCTTCCGGATATAGTGGCTGGCGAGGTTCTTAACCACCTTGACAAGGTACTCGTCTTCTTCTTGCGCAGGAGTAGAGAAGACTCCCGGCAGATCATAGAAGCTGAGATCTGGATAGTTCGGCCCTCTCATTTCCAATGCCACAATGTTGGGAGAGAATTGCGCACGTGTACATTCTGCAGCCTCTTGCAAGGTATGCTCTCTAGTGTATGCGCCATGTCCCGGGACATAGAGCTGAGATGGGCTGTCATGATTAAGGATCGCAATTTGAGCCCATCGTAGGACATCCTCAATTTCATGGCGGTCATCAAAATCAAGAGTTTTGAAGTCTTTGGTTACTCGATGCTGGGGTACCCAGGGGGGAAATGGGTTGGTTCGGGTGACATCTGTTTTCTTGATCCGACCATGTGGCCGGAAATCGTAATCTTGTTGTAATGAGACTGTGCATGACCAACGGTCGTGGCGGCTGAGTCGTATGTGAATGGGACAACGCGTACAAACACCACCGCTGCGGGGGAGATCAAGTTCTGCAAGGCCTGACATCAAGCTAGATTTGCCCGCTGACTGGTCACCCACCATGACCAGCTCTGGAAGTTGAGCGACATGCTGGATTCCAAGCTGTTGTAGTTCCGCTAATGTGTCATTGCAATCCTTCAGTTTCGAGGCAATATCCGTGAAGGACTGGTGAGTGAAGCTCTGCTGCATGACATGATCCCCATTTTGTGAGGATGGCGTACTTCGCCGCGCAGCACCATTTTGAACACTCTGATAGCGAGTCCTTAGCTCCATAAGCTGAGGAGTATCATGGGTGGTCTCAGAATGGACGTCGTCGCCGCCTCTGAACTGGTTCTGAGGACGTAAGGCACGAGTATCGGCGCTAGCTATGAGTATGTCAGAACAACTGTTGACACCGTTATGCAAGTGATGCACTTACGAGCATGCGAGCGATTGAAAGTGCCATTTGCAGATGGCGTCGCTGGAGGAGCCATCTGACTTTGATGGGCAACAGATGGTGACAGGCTTTTTGAGGACGAAAGGTCGCTCTCGTCCAGCTCAACTTTGACCTGGGTGCGAGGCGGCATCTTGCATATGGGATTGCTATTGCTAGTGCATGTTAGGGAGGGACCAGTTTTTTTTAATTTGCATTGTAATGACAAGGCGTACCTTGAGATCCGGGCCCTCGAGGCCAAAGACGTAACTTGTGCAGAATAAACTGGGGTAGCCGCAAGTGAGACCTCGAGGAGATAAATGGATGGATGGGGATAGCTCAAAGACCGAGTACTTTCCAGTAATGCAAGAACTCGAAGTGATGGTAGAAAAAGGCAATTAACAAAGCTGAGATTTGCTGGATGCTTGGTGGAGAGGTTTAATCCAACCTCAAGATCTGCTACATTCTGTTAGGTCGTGATAGGAGCAATGGCGGGTCCGTTTAACAGAAGCCATCTATGGCCGAGCAACCGTCGCGTACGCTGAGGTTCGGCTAGGCACAAAACGCGGTGGCTGGCGCGTTTTACGCGTTAAGTGGCGGCGGGGCGGCCTAAATTTAGTTAGTACTAGTCTAGGTCAGAGATCCGTAACGGAGATTCACAAGCTGCTATGCATGTTGTACGTGGAGTTGTGAACAGACCTGTTGCACTAAAACCAGGAGCTTTAGTGGGGAAGTCTTTAAAAGGGCCTGGAGAAGTCGTACCTGCCAGCCTGCTGTACAGAGTGGTACCGCTTTATTATCAAGCCATCAAAGTTGGTCTATGAAGCTTTCATTTCGCATCCGAAGCAAGTGATCAGACGAGTGCATTTCAAGCGTTTCGTACATGGACATTTCTATAGTGGGTGGAATGGATGGCGATATAGACACAGTCTTTGCTCGATACCTGCAGACTGCCATGTCCTATTCCAACGCATTTAACCAAAAGGGGCACAGGTCGCATCAACGTTGACATGGGACTCGAATAATAACATTGGCCAAGATATCTTAATCTAAGAGCCAAATTTATGTTACTTCCAAAAAAAAAAAACAAAAAAAAAACAAAGAGGCTATAAACAGTACCCAAAAATTCGTTTCTATACAATTCAACACGTGTATCCGATCAGCATTTGTCGCTTTGCACAATTCGATCAATCAACTAATGTTCGGTCAGTCTTGCTCAGTTTTGCGACTCCAAATCATTTAACTCATACGCACCACTCCTTCCCAAGATTGGGCCTTCTTCCTCGTCTCGGACTCTGCGCCAGCCGGTCTCGTCTCTCTCGTCCAAGTCAGTGCCTGGCGCAGGATATGGTGTGTCACAATCTTTGCTAGTTAAACGTGGCCAATACCTCCGATAACTCCAGAATCCAATAACCGTTCCGAGCAGTGATCCTGTGCAGACATCGTACACATCGTGCCTGTAATCCTGGCATCGGCTAATTGCAATCATAGCTGCGCCTACCAGAGGCGCCAGACTAATCAGTGCCCTTCCCAGATCCTTCTTGTCCCTGAATATCCTCAGTTGCCCAGCTAGGAAGAGGGCCGTATATCCAAGACCAGCGAAACTGAAACTCGAGTGTCCCGACGGGAATGACCGCCAACCATCATGAAGGGTATGGTGGTCCGTCTCGGTGCAGACATCGATCGTGACTAGCATATCTCGCGGCGTGCCTGCCTTGGGCTTGCATCTCGCGATCAAATCAGGCCGCGGTCTCCCCACAGTATTCTTCACGATATCCGTAAGGAAACTCGTGAGGATTATGGCGATGGCTAGCCCAAGGATAGTCGAGTGGTGCTTGTGAAATGAGGCCCGCGTGGCGCTGTTGACGAGGATGATGAACCCCAAAGGTATAAACAGCGCGTAGACAAAGTTCATTGACACGGGTACTCGCTCGTGCTCGGCGTGCGGAAAGGCAATTCGCAGGTCGTTGATGAAGAACATGCGATGAAATGGCTCGACGAGGAATTGAATCAGCATGTAAGCGGTGAGGAGGCCGGCGAAGCCCACATAGTCGGGCGCGTAGGAGTGCTATATCGTCGACTCTGATCAGCTCAAAACTCTGATGCGGTAACGCTTGCGTGTTATCAAGCTCAAGCTGAAGTGTAGGGAACATGTCAATTGGGAGCCAGGTGCAGGGCAGTGTGACGTACAGTCCAGAACCTAGCGACAGACCCAAGGATGCCGCCGCCCCCATCGTTGCCGTTATTCCCGTTCCGTGGTGCCATTCTCGATAGTCACCAGCTGCGGCAATTCTTAAAAATATTCCATAACATTGTCTTGAAAGCTCAAGGTAGAGGAGATAACCACAGGCCGGATCGTAACGTAATTGAGGTGCTGAGAGGTCGCGTGGCCATTTAGCGCCAGGATCTACGGGCTAAGGTTAATCAATTATTAGTGTCTAGCACACCGAGCTAACTCGGTGAGGCCACGGTGAGGAACTTCTGGTCCCGTTCAGCCTGTCGAGCCTTGCATGCATCTTCGCCAGGCTCATATTGTGCATTGCTCATGTGGTGGCATGCGGTCGACTTGAAGACCGCCATCACATTGTTGGCCATTAAACTAGACGTTGACATCAAGGTCATGTCTGTTTGGGGCTGTCTGCAACACGATGTCACGACTTCGCTTAGCGCATGTTCACTCGACGCCCTGCGTTTAGCCACTGACAAGATGCCTGCTACGCCTCATGTCAACAATATATCCGTGGTCATTCTCACAAGAAATTGGTTATTTTTTTTGTTCCTGCGGGATTACCAGTGAATTACCTATACATGAGTTGCGCTAGGATCATCGATTTCGTTGTGGTGTGTTTCTCGACCAAACTCATGCAAATGGTATCCAGCAGCTTATTTGCTCTTCACGGATATGGTCAACCACTACCAAGTCACGCCTCGACCTCTCCACTGGATACATATGCCCCCACGTCATACGACTAAAGCAACGCCTTCAGGTTACCCTCGTTAAGGATATCCTCTTCGACTACCTGGCCCTGCGAAATGCCCTGCTCAGTCCGTGTGTACTTCACGAAAGTCGGCACCGCCTTCAGATCCCATTTTGTACGAAATGGGCTGTCGGGCTTCTTCCACCTATACCAACATCGAATTAGAGAAGAGTCGAGACTCGATTCAAACCGCGGAGACTCACTCTGGCCGTGACCCGACGCTGACAACAAGGATATCTTCAGATCTCTTCTCAAAGTACTTCTGCACTACCGGGATGGCAGCTCGCACATCGGGACACCATGGCTTTCCGGTCGATGCATCGTTGTCGACGATGAAGAAGATGTAAGCTGAGTCGCCGACATTGGTCAGGCGGTCCGTGAGGCCTTGCCAAGAGGCAGGCAGAGACGAGAGGGGTGTGGTGGTGAGACCCATGATGGCTTCGAGACTGGCTTATACAGACAGAACAAAACGGGGGCAGGTGTGCTCTGTTAAATCGAGTGTAGAACCGAAACTCGGATCAAGTGGTTGCTGGTTTGACTAATGGCTTCAAAGCATCACGCAATTCACGCACAAAATGATCTTTGGGTCCACAGACACCGAAGTTAGCACCTGCCAATTGCTCAAGCTCGAGACTAGCGGGCCGCCGTTCCTCCTATAGACGCAACCTTCAAGAGCCTTGCTGTAGAGCTGCAGCTTCGTATTCTCGTATTTCCCCAATCGTTCGAAGGTAACATGTCAAATATAAACCGGGAAGGTGCTTGGATTGTCGCCTCGGTGAGAAGCATGCGGATTCCTGCCACACTACTTCTCGCCGTACGCCACTCTTTTTCGCACGTTTTTATTCAAATGGAAGTGCCGAGACGGAAAGCCACAGTCACTCCAAGACAGGAAGTGCCGCACGTTCATTATGCGGAAGCGAACTGCCCAGTCGCACAGAAGGCGCGACACGTCTCATTCATACCAACTGATGTCCGGCTTGTTGTGAATAGAGACCTCTCATGAACAAATCCGTATACCTCCACTACCTTAACCCGATGTATAGTTAAAGGTATGCCAGAGAACCTGGTTCCGAGCGGAAGTCAGCCGCCGAACCCTTGGAGTTTCAATAACAAGTATCCCATCGACATCGCCAGGGAACTTGGCATAGAACCACCACAAAGCCCCTCGCCAAAGCCTGAGATGATGCGACACAGTATTACCAAAACTAGCAGAGTCAAGGCCGAGAAAAGCAAAGGCAAACCAAAAAGGAATCTCTTGGCAAGATTTGCATTGAACAGGCGCGCAAGTAAAGCCAAGGCAAAAATTGAAGTTGAGAAAGCCGATCAAGCTGACTACCGTGATCGATGGCCTACTGTAACGACGCTAGTGGCTGAACATTCAGACTCACGCTTTTTCCAGGATGTTAACGAGCAAACAGAGGAGGAGGCACCGCGGTCTGCGAAATCAAAAGTCCTTGAAGCTGTTGCCACGCCGATCGAATGGCTTGCTGATCGACTTGGTACTGCATCAGAGCACATAGGCCACCAGGTCGAAGTTGCGGACGCTAGAGCACTGAAGAGGGCCAGCGATAGCTCCAGCAGGAAAGGATCAACAAGACCTGGTGGTAGTACACATCCTTATGACACGGGAGTTGAAAGGCAGCTCCCAAATAACATGGCCCAGGATGAGTCTGAGGCTCATATCGAACGTCAGACGGGTCCTAAACCATCAGGTCGACCTCGTCTGCAGAGCCGTGCACGGCAAAATCCGGAGGTGGGAGAAAGGGCCCTGGGCGGTAGAATTGAACGCAGAAAGCGGTAGCGCCATTTCTCCGACACGGACAAAAGGGCTGAACATATCAAAGATGACTTCCTGCCGCCTGTTGACGATACGCCGACTGCATTCACGACAGATGAAGATACTGTAGGGGTTTCCAAGCCTCGCAGCAAATGGAGAACTGTTGCTGGTCATCGTGCCACTGGCTACCCAGGGAATGAACCAGGACGGAAGCCTGCACGACAAAGCTTCGGAACCCATGATGCTTATGGTATCAATAGCGAAGCAAAGGATCGCTTACGACCTGTACCTACGCAGGAAACCCGCGCACATTCTGGTGCCGAGCGTCCAGAAGCCAAGCAAGGAGGACGGCTGATGTCCAATAGCTATGCAACGGACGCAACACCGGCTGAACAAGCTGCACAAAAAGGACCGCGCCTCATCAAGTTTCCTTCTTTCAATGGCAACAGTCAACGTTCAAAATCAGTTGTCACGACTCGCCCAGTTCCCACTCCACCTGTGGCCCGTACTCACCACGACAGCGGCCAACGTGTCACCAAGGCTATGCGAAGCATGTCCCATCCTGCACAGATGCCCCCAGCAGCTGTCAGTTTCGCTCAGAAGCTCGCACCTCTGCCCATAGAGCCATCGCCGCCAAAATCTGGGTTTCTTGGACAATGGCTCCAGAGTATGCTTCCGACACCACAAAGTCGGGCCGTCAGCCCCGACGAATCCGTTGATGGCCTAGCTCCACTTGACTCACCACATATTCAAATTCGTGACGCACATCGAGAACGGGGAAGTAACGCGTCGGCCATTTCGTACGGCAGAGCCAGATACCGTAATGGTGAAGCGGTACCATTAGCGGGTGTCAGAAGGTCAAACGAAGATAGACCCCAGACAGCGCCTCCAGGCTTGAAGAAAGGCGGGTGGTTCAGGCGCGTGTCTAAACCTTCGCCTCCAGAAACAATGAGCTGGGTGAGCACAGCGGCTACACAGACCGAAGACCCCCAAATATACGAGGCAGACGGCCGTGAAACAGCAGCCAACGGCAACTCCAAGAGGACCAAAGGAGGCAGAGGCGGTCAGACCGGTCAAGTTTGAATGTGCAATGGCAGGGGGGAAAAGTCCTGAGGATCAGTCTGTACACCACGTGGGAAATGCAAAGATCATGGGATGACCTTGCTCTATCCAGAAACAATGACCAATATATGTGAGTAAGTGCACGACTGTTTCTCTGGATAGTGGATAGATGTCTACGAAGCGGAGAGGATGCGGCAATAGGGTGCGGTGAGGGGAACGCGGCAGTGTTCCGTTGCGGATATGTCCCAGCGCAGTGGATATAGATACGGAGCCGAAGCCGGCTGGCAAACTGCGATCCAGGCTACGTGCGGACGTAGAGCGGATATAGGAACTTGAGCCAGTAGACGAGCCTAGGTGGAGCGCAAGCTCTGTTAAGTATACTACGAATGCCCAAAACGATGACCAATTCGTCACAGTTCAACCCATGGTGGGGTCGGGAAAAAGCTTCAAACGTTTCCATTGTTTGACGCAATGCCGGCTTTCATGCCTAAAAGCACATGGCGGACATGGGCATGCTGCCAGATTGGCAGGAGATCTCCAAGTTATTCCATCAGTATCTCCACCGTCACGAAAGCCTCTTGTGTGACTACGGCATTGCGATGGCGTACATAATTGGGTACCCCTCATCCGCTCTGGCAGACTGCAGACTTTCTGCTTATTAGTTTACATGTCCTTCCCGTCATTCGCGCCAACCTTTGCTTACGTCTGAAAATACCAAAAGAATTATATACATACACACATACATAAGCATCACAAACACAACATGCCTCTGGCTTCAGCTCCCGCACAATGCTGCACCCTCGGTGTCAAGCATGAGTAAGTTGCTGCTCTTTTCTCCTTTCGGCACTGCTGTTGTGTAACCTCATCTACCCCACCATCGCCAGGGTCTCGGAGTGGTTGTGATCGATGGCACGCCAAGACATGATGAATGATACCTACCTACCTACCCGCCTACCTACTTACCTACCCATTGAACCGCGATGGTGCTTCGTATTCCATTTTCGAAGCTCCGACCAGCCTTTCCTCAAATTCTCGCAGTTTAAGCGTGCCATTTCTTTTGCTTTTAGCGCATCACGAAGCTCCAGCTACCCCCTCATGGCCACCAAGTGCCCCGGTCGCTATATATCCGCCAGCCAAGACTGAACCGCATCTACGCGCAACATGGTATAGCTGACACTGCGACAACAGAGGCACACCCACCGGCCAGGAAATCAAGGTCGGCAAGCACGACGCGTACCTGGCGGTACCCAAGAGCGATGCGGCGCACAAGGACGCGGGCATCCTGATCGTCCCGGACGTGATCGGCATCTGGCAGAACAGCAAGCTGATCGCGGACCAGTTCGCCGCCAACGGCTACCTGACACTGATCGTTGATGTCTTCAACGGCGACGCCCTCTCCCTCAACCGCGACGCCGACTTCGACTTCATGGGCTGGCTCACCAAGGGCAGCACCGGCGACAACCCCCACACCAAGGAGTACGTCGACCCCATTGTCGAGGATGCCATCAAGTACCTCAAGGAGGAGAAGGGCGTCAAGAAGCTTGGCGGCGTCGGCTACTGCTTCGGTGCCAAGGTGAGTTCTGTTTTTTTTCTTTCTTTTTCTTTTCTTGTCTCTCTCCTCTCTCCCTTCCTAGGTACCTCGACGCATGCACATCATTTTACTGACTTGCGGTCTCTTTCCCCCCAACCACAGTACGTCGCGCGCCACTACCCTGCCATCTCGGTCGGCTACTTCGCACACCCGTCGTTCGTGGACGAGGAGGAGCTCGAGGGCTTCAAGGGCCCGCTGTCCATCTCGGCGGCCGAGACGGACGAGATCTTCCCCAAAGAGAAGCGCTACCAGGCCGAGGAGATCCTCAAGAAGGGCGCCCAGCCCTACCAGATCAACCTGTACAGCCAGGTCGCGCACGGCTTCTCCGTCCGCTGCGACCTCAGCAACAAGGTCCAGCGCTACGCCAAGGAGCAGGCCTTCCTGCAGGCCGTCACCTGGTTCGACACCTGGTTGGTCGGCGAGGACAACTGACTGCAGCATCCGCATCAGCATCAGCAGCAGCAGCAGCAGAAGAAGAAGAGGGAGGGAGGAAATGTCACCAAGGTTAAGCTCTGAAAAGAAGAGCTGTGATCGTCCAAGAACATGAAAGCAAAGAACAGCAACCCAGGTAGATGATCAGATGTCCAATTCGCAATAAAAAAAACCACATGGGTATTCCCGCCCGTTAAAATCAGTTATTGCACGGAGATATGTACAGTGACCATGCAGAGCAACCCGTCGTGGTTCTAACCGCCGCCTTCCTTTGCAGCGCCCTCGTCGAGCAGTCCCTGCTCCCGTTCTTTCAGCAATTGGCTCTGAATGCCGTGCTTGCCGATCTTCATTGCGGCCTCCAGTTCCCGCTCCTCCTCTCTCAGGGCCGCCCTTCCATGTTCCAGTTGGCGCCTTTGCCGCCGCTTCTCCTCTGCGACCTGCCTCTCGCGATCCTCCAGAGCCTTCTCGCGCTTCCTTCTATCTTCCCTGGCCTTCCGTGCCGCTTCGTCCTCTTGAGCCTCTCCCTCCTCGAGTGGTGGTGGCAGTGTTTCGATGTATGCCTCGATCAACGGGTCTCTAGTCTTTGCGTCCAGAGATATGTATCTCACATCGGCCAACACCTGACTTGGCAGATTCTCCAGCATGGTCTTGTTGTTGAGGTCTTTGGTTGGGACGCTTTTCAGCAAGGTGGACAAATCCTTCTTCAGCGTGTCTATGGGCACCTTCAGTCTGCCCACGTACTCGCGGTACAGCTTCTCGCGCTCCCTGTCGGACAGCGAGGTGTCACGCAGCGGCTGCTCTTTCTTGAATTTCCGCTTGAATTCGGGCCAGTATAACTTCGGGTTTGCCTTTTCCTTCAGGAAGGCGAGGTACGGTATCCGAGGGTCTTTCTTCTCCTCCCGTTCCCGGCGGGCTCTGATGATTTGGATCTGTGCCCGCGACCACTCCTCCCAGGTATCCTTACGGCTCTTCATGTTGGGGAGAATGGTGTATCGCGGGTCATCGACAACCTTGCCATCCTCTATGAGCTTGTCCCAGGGGGCAAAGGGGCTGATGCCGTAGTCGTTCAGGAGATCCTTGAAGAGCTCTTGCGCATCTTCATCGGATATGGGTAAGCCCTCGGTTCCTTCTGGCCAGGTGGAGGGATCGGTGCCGTCGTCGTATTCACCCGCTTCGAGACCATAATCGGCGCCCATTGCCTGCAGTTGGAATGCTATGTCGTCTTCTGTGAATTCCTCCGGCATCTCTTCCTCGGGCTCTTCTGTTCGCTGCCGTTTCGAGGGGTGTGCGTCGTCTCCATCCGCCGCCTCTTCCCCCTCGGCGCCCTCATCGTCGGTAACTTCTACTTCCTCGTAGTCTGAGTCAAGCTCTTCCGCTTGTTCGTCGTCCTGCATCTCCGCATCTTCAGCCGCTTGCGCCGCTTCCGCCGCCAGAGCTGAGCGCTGATTGTCGCCGGCTGCTGCACCGACCGCCTTGCCATGGTCCCCTTTCGCCGTGCGGTCGGCCTTGTCCAGTGCGCCTTGAATGTCCAGGTCAATGACACCCTTCAGGATCTTCTCCGGTATGCGCCAGTAGCTCGCGTTCTTCTCGGGGTGGTAGGCGAACCGTCTCCCATACTTGGTGTAAACCAATATCCACGGCTCGAAGCCCGGTATAGGCACCTTGGACTTTGGCTTATCATGCGGCTGAGGTCTCGGTCTGTCGCCGCCATGGTGTCCGCCCCTGCCCGGGCCGTTGGCATTGCGGTGCGGTGGCGGGCGACTTGGTTGGGGTGCGTACTGTGCCAGGAAGGCGTTGGCGGCGGCAGGATCAGCGAGGGAGCCTACGGAGGAGTACTGGCGATAGCTTGCGCGGGGGTCTGGTGGCGCGGGCGCGGGCGTGCTGGCGGTCTCGACACCAGGGCGCTTGTAGGTCGATTCCTTGGTCGCGGCATTGTAGTAGTATGTATGTCCACTCGGGGCCTTGTGCTCGGTCCAGCCCGGAGGCAAGGGCGCAGGTGCATTTGCGGACGGCTTGTGGGTTGATTTGAGCATTGCGCAGACTGTGCAAAAAGCTGGTGTGAAACGAGGAAAGGAAAACCAGCTGCTGAAGCTTAAAAGAGAGCTCTGATGCGCTGTTGATGTTTTTCGATGGGGGTCGGAGCTGCTGGCGCGGAATTAACCCGCTGTTTGGTTTGTCTAGGCCAGCTGGAAATCAGAGGGGCCATTCAGTTAGCAGTGCCCTGAATTTTAATATTCTTCGTCCAGTAACTTATAGGTGGTCTAGTCTAGGTAGAACTACATTTGAACAAAAGGTCACAACACAGCGATAATGCATCTCATTGATCCTAAATACAACCATCGCATCTATCTACTTTCTTCTTCTTCTTGTTTCACGTGCCACTCTCGGCGGCATCATATTTTCAACCCTTTTTGCATAGGAAACCAGCTCTAACTGCCGCATTAGCCTTCCGGCGTGCATATATTCTCTCATCTTCCCAGAAGCTTGATCGCACCACCCTACAGAACGATCTTCCTTATCTTCTCGTAAAATGGCATGGCTTTTTTCTAGAACACTATCATTCATGGTGACTATTGAAGACCTCTCGCCTGAACTCAGGCTCCTTGTTCTACAGCAGCTCCATCCAACAGATATCTTACGGCTTATATCAGCCATCCCGCATTTCTTCCAGGTATTCACTGCATATCGTCAAATCATTCATCCTGATTGAGCTGTAATCTACCCGGAAAACACAAACGATGCTCTCGTGGCCGTGAGTATTCCATATATGATATCCCCAGGACAGCCCACCAAACTCCAACGACAGAGGTAATGCCAAGATCGAGGCCATTCTGAAAGCAAGGCCAGAACGCACTCTGCGTTTGGAAAGCCCTATAAGCTTGGAAACTCTCGTACATCCCCACGGGCTTGCAATTGTCGCCAATCGCATTGCAACAAACCATGCTTTCAAGGTGGCTAAGCCCTTTTCGAGGACCAACGCTATAGCCGTTCTCGCTGGGCTCGCCAACCCTTCCGAGAAAAAAAGGCCCTGCGCTGTCTCGGGAGAGATGTTAGAAATGTGTTATGAAGAGTATGTCAAGTTTTAGCGCGCCTTGTTTCGATGTGAGCTCTACTGCCTGTTTTGGCTCATGTGGCTCAGGCCGGCATGCCTGACCTCAGTAGTGAACCCTGTTCAAGTCCAATAGCAAAGCTCAGTTTATTTCAGCCTAGACCAATCCAGTAATAGAAAATAAAATCCAGCGAACGAAGGAAATCGGCTGTAGTTACTGGCACATGGTTTCTCTGTGCTGGATGATGTTCCAGCAGGTCTTGGAGCTCAAGTGGACTGACGAGGACATGGAAAATGTACGATGTATTAATCACCGTATCGATGCCTAAAAGGTTACATGACGATAGTATCAAGGAGCTGCTCGTCCGTCGACTTTGCTATCTTGGACTTGAACGCTTGTATAGACTACCCCACGGACCCCTAGAAGAAGTCTATTTGGCCACGCTTTACAGTTGAGCAGAACATCATCAATAAGCACAAGCTCACGTTCATGGATGCCGTGCTGGATCGTGCCATGCATCGTGTGGCACGGGCTGATGGATGTTAGGCGACTCGGGCCCGGTTACCTGTTCCGCGACGATCACGGAGTTTTTAATAGTTATAACAGGAGATATCCTGTCCGCACTTCATCAAATTGTTTCTGGGATGCATTGGTCACACTTGAGCTTTCTCACGGTGGTCGTATCTCCGCCGTCGGACACACCAGCGACTAAGTCTTACGGAATTATAAAAGAGCGTCTGACCTGAGTCTTACAAACTATCTTAGAATTTCGCGTCCGAGATGATTTGGGTCTAGATGGGAAAATGCAGACTAAGTTATTTAATTCGAGCATGGCATGGTCAGACTTCCTGTTTCAAGAAGGGAAAACGCTAGGTTTGTGTGGTTGGCCTCATGGACCATCTGACAGGTAATTTAGCTTTAGCAACCTCATGGTATAGGGATAAGCTGTCATGCAATGACGCTTTGTATACTGGCGTATAGCTCATAAAGTAACGCATCATAGACCAGAACAGTTCCAACAGCATATACCAGGTAGAGTAAGTACTCGCAATCGTGCTCAGGTGTAGGTCCTCGCAACATGCTCACATATATCCTTATCAAACCTCTCGCACTATTCACATTGTTACTGTTCGCCCCAACAACCTTTGCGATTGTTCTTTGTTTAACCCATTGTCGCAGATTGAGTTACAAGACTACGTCTGAACTGCATATGTTCGACTTTGACTGCTGCGACGCTTCCACTTTCCTTCTAGATAAAGGTCTGTGACTTAGAATCTGTCCTTTCCCAACGCGTTAGGAGGTACTTTGGTGAATATGAAAATTCGATCCGGTCGCTCTCCAGGAGAAAATCTTGTCATCTTATCAGCGACGGTCGAGACATCAAGCCTGAGCCTACGACATATTCACCGAGCCAAGCAAGCAATTCCGGTAGAATGTGTATGAGATAAACTCGGGTAGGCATCTTCTGGGCAAAAATGGTCGCATTGTACTCGTCACTCTTCCAGGAGCGGCCTTCCGAGCTCCCTCGTTTTAGGCGCGGCGGGTTGGTTGAACATGGACTCGAACCACTTGAGGCTTGGGGGCTGCCACCTGCCGACTCCGCTCAAGCAGTGCTCTTGGTCTGCATCGACGTTGATCCAGACGAGCGGCGTGCTGTTGTGGATTTTCCCGTGCACCACAAACTCGCCCAACGTCTCTGGAAATCTGACTGGGTCTTTGATGAGAACGGGTTGGTAGGCCGGTATCAACAAATGGAGTCTGATCCGGCGGTTCTGCTTCCCTCGCTTATCCGCATGGCGAGCGGCCCGGTCAGCAAACTCCCGAGCAGCGAGCATAAATACCACTGCGGCGTCGAGCTGGCTGCTGTGGCCGCAGAAGCGACGATGAAGACCTCGGTTCATGACCAGCCGGTGAAAGCCGGGGGTCCAGATAGTGTCGGGGTGGTAGACGAAGAACCAGTTGGAGATTTCATCCGTATCCTGGTAGTTGTGCAGGGCCTCCTCGATCAGGTCGTAGACCGCCTGGGGAAACTTCTCGATCGACATCAGCGCCGTCTGCGCCTGGAGCGTGTCGTTGATGTCCTTGAGATGCGACGCGATCAGCTGGAGCGCCTTGACGCCTTGGTACGTGACGACCAGGTTTCCGACGGTGCCCAGCGCCGTGGCGATATTGCCGAAGCTCGTAACCACTTTTGCGCTGTCGCATATCGAATGCGCCATGACCTGGAAGATCGGGATCGCCTCGTTGATGATACTGATTGCCTTTGGCAGGCTGTCGATATCCTGACTTGCTTTCCACAGGTGCTGACCAGCCTCGATCATCTTGACCACCGACATGGACCCAGCACCGGCTTTCTCGATGAGCTGGCCGCCGCCGCTTTTCTTCCTGAGTTTGGCTCCATTCTCAATGGCAGCGCCGCTGAAGGCTCGGAGCAGCTCCACGGCCAATCCCTTTCTGTCTCCCATGATGCTCTTCTTGGGCGCAGACGTTAGATTGCGATGAACAAGCCTTCTGCGATAGGGTATTCGAAAACTGTGTTGTTGATGATACCACGAGTGGTCACCTAGAAGGACGGTTCTTTCAGGTGTTGCTTTCCATCGCCATGTCGTGACTATTTACTAAGACGGAAACGCAACCACGACGGATGACAGAAGTTGACCTGAAGATCCAAAAAGTTGCGTTCAGTGGAAGCGCGTGATGTTGGGAGGTGATGAGTTGTTTCGAGTGGGCATCAATGTCGAGGTGGCCAATCATGCCCAAGACCCATCTGTCCCCTATGCAACTAGTGGTAGAACGCATATTTCTGGAGTCTCGACCTTCTCCATAACGCCAACTGGCGGTCAAACATTGGTTCTTTCGACCAAGTACCCGAGATGCATGTTTTCTGCGGAGTTGCCCCTGATCAGTTGGAAGTCGCCAGCAATCGAAACAAGAATTCACGAAAATCGCATGAATCTGGACATCAACTAGTCTACTTATGTTACTCCATCCTATTTCAAAGCATACTACAGGCTTTTTACTTTAAGCACATACCCAGTTTGGTAATTATTGAGGCTATTCCGTATTATATCAGTGGGAGTCTATTCAGAATTACTGTAGTTATAGTATCCATGAGCTTTGACATGCGCTAAGTTAGCTATTTGAGGTAGAGCGACTATCCATAGCATAGCAGCAGAGTCTCGCTTGGTGGCCACGAATGTCCGTCGTCGGCGTTTACCTTGCGCAGTCGCTGACGAACGAGTAACGTGCAAACTTTCAATTGATGTAACGACACGTTACACCATACAATTGTTCATTTGCCGATCATACATCATTCAAAATACCCGGGTTCTCTGTGTTATTCTATAGAGTGGTGTTAGGAGCTCTCTTTAGTGCGAATGCACGCAGGGATGCATGCAATTGGTTTAAGTAGACATTTGCATACTCTCATGCCCTCCGGGCGTCCATAGATTCTTTTGCCTAATCCGGACAGGATTATAATGTACTGATACAACTGATATGACATTCGACTTGAGCGCCCTCTGTACGTAAGCGGTGGCTTATTATACTAAATTGCACCGTGGACTCTAGGTGCGAGTGACCGCCTACAAGATAGTGAAAGTTGCGATAATTTCGGTGATGGCTAATGGCGAGCGCACATAAACATTCGCCCGTCCGACCGAAAAGGGGTTTCCGTCTCAGATGCTGCCATAACACAGCGATTACATGTCCTTGTGTAGAAATGGTCATAATAGCTCCTTGGCTGCCAATTTGATACTGCGCGTTTCCCGTCCCCGATACGATCAATCACCAAATCACAAGAGTCACAACGGCGGCACTCGCTAGCGGAGCAATGCTGCCGGCCGCATCCGAATAGGGCAAGTCCTTTCCTTATGATTGGCCATGAGCTCCTTTGACAACCTAATCAAGCTTTAATCGCGTCCTGGCAATCTCCAAGGGCATTGATTAAACGACCTTCCGAATACGTCAATGATGTGCCGGAGGCCAGTCTGTAAGGTACCCGTAATGTGCGATTGCCGAACAGTCAAGATGCCCCCCCCCAGGATCTCTTTGCACAACAAAAGGCAGCCTCTACCCGCACTTCTGTGAATCTGGGCATGATGACCTGCCAAGCGGATACCGGCCGTGTCTTTCAAGTAAATTGAAGCCATTGACTTGAAAGGTTAGGATACCATAACACAAACAGTTTTACAATTGCCAACTTCATGTGAGCCCAATCATTTTTGGTTTATTTAGTTGATCATCATATTTGCTCCTTGGTCGTCAAGACGCCTGTACGTTCAGTCAATCGCTGGCAACGAAAGAAGGCATTGTGGTTACACTAGAAGCCAACCACAACCCTCTAACCTTAAGTGTTTCTCCTGCTGCAGGCTGGGCTAACTCACCAATTGACTACGGTATACCAAGATGTCGTTGATCTTGGCACTCACTCTTGGCTTGCCAGCCCTCGGTCTGGGCGCCGCAGTCGCGGGGTCGGGCGCGGCTTATACTGGGCCTTTGTTCACTCGCAGCGATGTTTCAATCCAAGAGGCTTCGTCGGAGGCGCTTGTGCAGTTACTACAAAACCCGCAGCCTGACCACTTCAAAAGCCCGGTCCGCGAGCGCATCGCCGCCCAGCAGCTTGGCAAACGGCTCGAGACTGGCAGCGCGACTGTCAATACTCTTTTCAGCGGCATTTATCCAACGGTAAATCTCACCTGGGGTAACACAGACGGGTCGCCAGGACAGCAGTTTATCAGCTTCATTGATACAGGTAGTTCGGATACTTGGGTGGTTTCCACCGATCTGCAGTGTGTAGATATCGATACAAAGGTACCCTTGAGCCAGGACGCTTGTGGTTTCGGTCCACTCTACGATTCATCCACGGGCTCATTCACGAATATTACAGATGAGTCCTTCTCGATCAGCTACTTCCCCGAAGGTGAAACACTGAAGGGTGATATGGGATATGCACCGATCACACTGGGCGGCTTGACCGTTCCGAAGCAGCAGGTCGCGCTGGTCAACTATGCAGCGTGGATTGGTGATGGCTCGTCCTCAGGACTGCTGGGACTTGGATACCCTGCACTCACTTCGGCCAGGAACCGAACATCGGGCCGCTATGTTCAATACGGGCCTTTGTTCACTAGCATGGTGGAGCAGAGCATTGTTTCGAAGGGCATCTTCACCTTGGTCATCGACAGAGTGCCCCAAGGAACGTCGCCTCTGGCGCCTGCGGGATTGATGGCGCTCGGTGGTCTGGTGCCCAAGACGTACTACGAGGCGCCATTCACTAGCGTTCCTATCGTACAAGATGGAGGGGAATATACCTGGTACACGGTCGACGCGACGTTCAAGTACGGTGCCAACGGGTCCGTCACGGATCTTGGAACGAGTGGTGCTTTCGAGACCATTGTCGATAGCGGTACATCGCCCAACTTCATTCCCACAGGAGCGGCAGAGGCACTGAATGCGCAGTTCGACCCGCCCGCAGTATACAATGCAACGCTCGACTATTACACCGTGGACTGCAATGCGAAGGCACCTTATGCAGCCTATGTAATCGGCGGTGTTGAGATGCCAATGGACCCCCAAGACATGATCGTGCGGAGTCTCAATGGTCTACCGGGCTACGAGGATGTTTGCTTCAGCGCATTTGCTGATGGTGGAGCGAACACAGCTGGCAACGTTTTCATCATCGGTGCAGTGTGGCAGAGGAGCTATGTTGTGGCTTACGATCAGGCTCGGAGTATGATGCACTTCGCGAAGAGAACGCCATACTGAGGCCGGTGTCGATTGTGACGCATGTGTAATGAGCTCAGATTATCAAGTATACCCTTAAATGTTACTTTTCCGCTTGTCTGACGGATCGGAGCCCTTCGAGATGCGCATTTACTCATGAGATCTAACCACTTCCGAGGTGTTGGTGTATAATCGATGTGGTTTGTGCCAGCGAATTTAGTAGTTGAAGTAATCTACCAAGACTCGCAGTGGAATTTGAAGTACTGTGTAACGGACCAAACCTTGGGAATAGTTTGTTCCGGATGACGAAGAGCTGATGCAAGAGACTACAGGAACCCGAACAAGGACTCGGCTTCCCGGCAATGTTGAATAGCCCCAGTGATCGAGAAACCCTCTTGGCATACTTGGCGGTACAAGAACAGTGGCCGTCCATTGCGCAACATGCATACAATATATCGAGTTCTAGAACCTGGTCCCCACGGATGTTCTACGTCCTGGCCCAAAAACAAGGAATGAGACAAGAGCACAAATTCTTTTTAATTCTTTGAAGGTATGATAGTGATCAAGTATTACGATTAACGTTGCACTATCGGATTTAACCCTGTAGGGATCGCCCGGGGCCTAACGCCTCCTGACTCAGTGATTGGCTACAGGTCGCGGCAGGCTGCAAGCGGACAACCATTCTCCGCTGTGAGCCGCAGTCGACGATGAATTAGCGTTACCATGACGTGGGGCTTACTGGCTTGGAATCATAGGGCGAGTCCCGTAGGGCTATGGATCCGTACAGCGTGGCAGCTGCTCACCAATGACCGCGACCTATCTAAGTACCAATTCCATGGCCGCAAGATTGCAGTGAGCAGTTCAGCACGCCTGTGGCTGAGTTGACGATTTTGTGGCATTCCATGATGCTCTAATCACATGGCGAAGACGGGACTGTCCGTCCATCACGATCTGGCGCGTCCAACACGCGCTAGAACAATGGTTGTTAGAACTTGGTCGATAGAGGAACTCACTTTAACTGGCAAGTGCCAGTTTGGGTTTGCTGATGACACTCTATATGCGGTATCTCGTCCGCATACCCACGTATTCTGAGCGTCTTTCAGATTTGTATGTGGTGCTCTTGAAGATACGCATCAGATGAAGTGGTTCGATTTGGGGCTCATGGCTCGACATGTTGCTGTTGGAACCCATGTTTCGAGACTGGGCAACTTGATTGCCATTGGACAGAACAGCTCTCTCCATTCAACGGCTAATTCGTCCTGCCAGTTGTTGTGCCTATCATGAAAGTGGAGATTATTCACCGTCACCACGAAATCAAACGTTGGACTTGTGAGACCCAAAATACCCTGCTTGCATGTTAGCACAACAATGCGTCATAGTGACCTTCTCAATCGGAACGTTTACTCCCTGAGTTGATTTACTTGTACGCCTACCGACGTAGTGTTTGGTTTGTATGTATAAGTAAATACACAGGTTCAGAACCTGCACAGCGATTTGCTTGTCCTTTCACACATCACATATCTGCTCAGCACCACACAGCTCAAGAAGATAACCTTTTTTTTACGATTCGAGTAAGATGTCGTATCTACAAAAGTTCAGATCATCGTCGGCCAACCGCTGGCTGCAACGCCTACTGCGAGTCATCCAATTCCTGTCGGCTATCATTTCGCTTGGCTTCTTCTCCGCCCGTCTTCACAGACTTTTGAAGATTGCCCGAGACAACTACACCACGGCTGATGGCGCTGTTGAGGGCATCTTGGCTGCTGCAGTCTTATATTCTCTCCTGGCAATGCTGCTGAGCTTAATCGTGAAGAACGGTGGACCCAAGTTCCTACGTTGGTTCCTGGTTATCATGGATATCCTCTTCGTCGGCGCCTTCATCGCAGTTGCAACACTCACCAGCCCCAAAGGCGGTAATGCCGGTCCTAACAGTGGAGACTGTGCAGTCCAAGACAGCTTTGCTGGAAGAATCGTCCCCGAAAGCTATCGTCGCAATCATAACTGCAACCTTCCATGGGGCACATTCATCCTTGCTATCATTAGCACGTAAGTTTATATCCCTGCCGTCATCAATGGTTTGTACGAGTCTGACAATTTCACAGCATTCTTCATGCCTTGACAGCTGCATTCCACGAGATCCGTGATCACCACAAAGAGGCCAAGTACCGCAATGACGTTGAAAAGAGAGAAGCGGAGCGAAGAGACATGGGAAATTAAAGACTGGCTGAACCCGTTTCACTTGCCTTGTTCTTAACCAAGTATGATCAAATTTTTTCTTGATACCTGGTCTTCCCTCTTATTGTTACTATGTGTTTTTGGGGTGGGGGGTTAATATACGACGGAGCATATATTCCATTTCATATTCCTGAACTAAGAGAGCAAATTTATACCCATCATTCTTTCAATACTACTTGGGGGTTTGGTTAGCGATGTTAAGACAATACATCGATTCAAATTATTTAATATTCATGACTGGAACTTTGAGTCTCCACATTCAAAGTGTATCGTACTTGTATTTGATCGATTTGTGTAGATCTCATATCATAGCACTAATTATTCACCATGTTATGTGCTGAATTTTAATACATTTCGACGTTATAATAAATATATCACCTCAATAAAATCCTGCTAAGATCAATTAACCTTGGTGAAGTTATGTATTCATCGCTTCCTAGGCCTCTGAGTTTTGCTAGTGGGTGAACGAGTGTTTGCCTGACTTCAAACAAGGAAAACTACTTCAGGCATTGAGGATGCGTTTGCAGGGCATCTCTTTATATTTTGTCGGCCTGGATATGCCTTTAAAGAGAAACTACTCATTGCATATCTTTTTAGCTGATCCTTATCACTCCGTATACCCTAATCGACCACCGCATCCACGCTCGACAGAAGTCATCTGTAACTGTAGACTCACCGTGTCTTGCGCTATAGACTTCATCAGATATGTCTTTTCCAGTATAAACTTCGTTGCTTATCTTCGAGGCTATCCAGATCATGGTTGAGTTTGAGGCACTTTAGTACAAGTCCCTTGAGGCATTCCGAAGCCTTGCAAATCTATGCCGCGTGATGAAGGGGTTCAGGCATGTTGTTAAACCTCTACTACATCGCAGGTTATACATCGATGTAGCTCTTGCGATCACCAATCGTCAAGCTCCGTAACTTCGTGAGGACCCGGAATTGGGGAACACAGAGCTCAAGGTGTATCCACTTACAAGGGCGACGGCATCCTCGAAGTTGACTTTGATTAACTCGAATCATTCTGAATTTGAAAGTAGTAACAAAGCTAAAAACATCATCGCCTCAGCGCTTCTCAACCTCCACCGCACTTGGTTGTAAATTAGGATTTTCCGGTTCTCTGGCGACTTTACGGCGTGTCATATATTTTTGAAAGCCCGATAGATGGTTTTAAGTGGTTGGAGGCTTTTTTCTCGTTCGCTTCAGACATGTAGATAGAGGCATCGCTCAACGAAACGGAGCGGACTATTCCTGAAATATCAGAATGCTCGATCAAAGCACAAAAAAAAAAAAGGTCGACAGTCGCAGTGAGCTACAAACCTCCACTGCTCACTTGCTTCGCGACGTTCTTTGCTGTATTAAGTCTGCAGAAAATAAGCGGCATCGGTGTAGAGCTAAGGACCTCCAGTCAAAGCTGACGAAATTATCTAGACCTCAGGAATCAAGTTCGTCAACCTCGATCGAGTACCCGTTCAAATCACGGCCTTGGAATCTCTCTTCACGGTATAACCTAATCTCCAGATGTTGCAGCTGCAGCACGTCAAATTCTCTTATTATTATGCTAGCGATGGCGACTTCGGAACCATTTGGCGATGCCCTCCTTAAGCATGAGACAAAACTCGAGACACCTGTATCTTACAGGCGTGTTGGTTGTACAAACTCAGTCAAACATAGACAACGTATTGGACATCTTCGCAGCCTGACCGAACTGAAAGTGATGGGAATTGCTCCAAAGTCCTGCTTGGCATGACCAAACACACAAAGAGATGCGGGCAGGTCACCCCAAAATTCACGCAACTGACTCTTGAGGAAGCGTCACCAGCATCATTAGAAGTTCTGCATCTATACAGCTTCCGAGGTCTTGTGGGAGGTCTTGTGAAAGGAGAAACGCAGCTTCGTGATATACTGACGGGTCGACACCTCGATAATTTGCATACGATTGGGTTAAAGGAGGTCGGAAAGAGCATGGCAATTGATGAGATCGTGTTGGTGTTTGGAGTTTTGGGTAGCCTTTGGCTCATTCGTTTCGACGTTACCATCGAGATCAATCGGTAGAATTAGTCTAAGCGGATTAAAGGACAATGTGGGCTGGGTATTACTTAGTTCTACGCACTCTAGTCTAACGTTCCATGAACTTCATAAAAAAAGTTTCAGGTATAAATTCTTGCGCTATTCTCTGGCGATACATCTTCTCTCCATTCAATTGATCACTAGACCATGCAAAGTCGCCGACCCCGGACATAGAAACTCAGTGCGGTTCATTTATCCCCTTATATTTAGGTGAATACAAGGCAACCAAGCAATCGTCATGATAGCCTCACTAAAATCAGTTGTTGTCTGTAAGATTAGCTTCGAATTTGAACGTGGGAAGTGGTGGATATCTACTAAAGAACCTATAATAGCCATGATCGACTCTTTTAATGGCAAATTAAATTACCTAAAAGATGGACTTGAATTGTTCAAAGAATTTTGGCTTAATCATGCGAAATCAAGTGCTGATTTAGCGATTTAAGCCATCTGTCTATCGTTCTCATGGTCTTTCCAATGTAGCAAGTTAAACTGCATATTCCCTTCGTTCTTGAAGATGGGATATTTTACAGGCATTCATTCTCCACCGCCAATCAACGTATCGGCATATAAGCGCTTGAGGTCGCCCGCCATGGGTGTAAGAGGTATCTACGGCCGAGCTCATAGATTGTCGCAACGCAGATGAAGAGAGCTACATACGAGAGAAATGGAGGGCGATCAACTTGATGCCGGTGGGTTCTGTTCACGCCATTTGGTCGCAAACCTTGCTTACACATGTCTGTGGTGATATTTGTAGTCTCTGATTTGATCGGCGTCCAATCTGAGAAACGTTCAGTCCCATTCACCTCTCCATTGTTCGCCCGGACCTTGAACTCCCATTCCTCGCCAGTCTCCACATCTAAGACATCATAGCGTCTTGCGCCATACTCGTACCCGTTACCCGAAAGCACCATCTGCCATTCCGTCGTATTCGCTTTTCTTGCAGCGACATCATATCTATAGGCGCTGCTGACCTTGTCCCATGTAAGCTTGAGACCCCATGGAACTCGTTCAATCATGAAGTTTTTCGGCGTTGAAACACGTCGTTCAGATACAACCGCTTCTGCGGGTACTTTAAGCGGAACTCTCCCGAATCCAAACCTTTCGTGCAGTGTTTGGCTGAATGCGCTAGCGATCTGATATTCGCCTAGTTCAGCTGGATTTCTGCCGTCCCAGCCCACGGGACATCTGTCAGGATCGCAATCATAGGTCGCTCTAAGGCGCACGAGGGCAACGGGCGATTCTGCGATATCCCACTCTCTGATTGCGTGCTCGATCATCTCGCTCAACTTTTCCGATCGATCATCGAAGGAAAATGGTATTCCAAGAAGAGTTTTGATTCCTGGCATTGTGGCGATAACAAATCTCACGTCAGACTTGACAGCTCTTGCTTCGTCGACAAGTCGTCCCAGGTGGGCCCGTACCGTATGCGGGCTGAGATTATGAATTAAGTCGTTGATGCCCAGTTGTATGATGATGTAGTCGGGATCGAAGTCTGCCGTCATATTCTTGAGATTTAACCGGGAGGCTTGTCGGCCATACATTGATGAGTGTGCGTTGGGCCAGTCGTGTGTTATATCCTCGGCGTATCCTGCATCTTGAACTGGGTATCTGAAACTTGCATCGCTGATTTGCTTCAAAAGTGTCTTGTTCTGGCATATTGGCCCCTGTCCTTCGACTTGAGGAAATGTCCCAGTATGACGCCCAACGAACGTTGCGTTGATCTCTTGGTCGCGAAGCCACTCCCATAGTCGATACCTCCACGTATGGTCTCCTTCAAAGCCATGTGACAAGGAATCGCCTACCACCATCAATTTGATCATACCTGACTCGTCGGTGTCAGTAGGTCCGCCAGTTGCTAATGGCCCAAGAAACGACACCAAGGCTCCGGCTACGTATGTTGATCGCATGATGTCCGTAATTAATTATTCGGAGCGTCTTGAAGTATACTGAAAGATTAATCCTCGAGGGAGGGACGTTGAGTAGGCCAATGTCGTGATCTGGTATACTCTTAAAGTCACGGGCACACCCCTTATTCACCAGGGGGGAAAAAATACAAGTAATTCCTTATTAGTAGTCAAGGTCTGAATCTCGTCACTAAACGGAAAATCAACTCAAAAGTAGTTGCATTATCTATATAACAGCGGCCTCCTTAAGTGCGGGCGGAACAGAGATATAACGTGGCGTTAGCGGCACAAATAAGATTAACATACGGCAATTCAAAGTCTGCAACCTTCTTCGTGGTTACCTTGAAAATAGTGTCTCGTTGTCCAAAGTTGATATATCCCGTTCCTCATTCGGCTTACGCAGACGGAGTTGTTCCGTGGTGCTTCAATCGATGTTCATGTAGCCTATCATTCTGAGCATTTCGGACGTGGCGGACGTGGCGGAATAGGGAGTATCACGAAAATGACTCTAAGGTTGCAGTTGGCTCCAATATTACATTTCATGGATTGCGTTGGCACAACAAGTTTTTGAGACTTTCCCACCCGGTGATTCGGTCTAATACCAAGGCCGGGTCCTCAACCTTAATCACACGTGCATCCACTTAAGCCAATACGTTGCTTTTTCTAGATCAGTCCCACAATTCAACGTTCCTGGGATTTAGGGGACTTTATTGCCTCCAAGTGGCGCATACAAGAAGTCCAAGAAGGGGTGCAACCAACTCTTAGCAGGGTTCCAGCGATACAATAATGAATTATTCCAAAAGATTGCGATAATCAATACGTCCTTTCAAGAAAAACCTGATCGTATAACATGGGACAATACGGATGATCCTAGTGACATTAGTGAACGCTTGGATTTATGCGACTTGGTGGGCTTTTGATTGACGATTTATACCTTCTGATCACGCCTGTCCAAGTGTGAGCGTTTCTGTACTAGAATTATGCTCACAAACTGCGGGAACAAAAACAAATGCGCACGGATTGCAGAACTCAATCGTTGTAGCAATGCGACCCCCATACTTGTACATACCCTTGCCGAAAACGATATTATCACTGAGTTCAGGTCATCAATTAATGTCGTCGTAGCACCAGCTTGGTGCAACATCGCATTCAGATCCAATTGAGTTGTGACAGAATCAGGGGATTTCCCCAGTGGTTATAATAAGCCCCATGCAAAATACTCCTGTCTTGTCATGGTTCAATGGTCACACATTCTGCCGGAAGATCGGCGGCGTAATCAAACAGTTTTTTTTTGCCAAGCCAGGACAGAAAATATTACTCGTTCTGCTTCCTATTATTCCACAACAAAGGTGAGATGCAATCATGTGCACAATAATAGTGTTGGTGCCATCTAGCTTATAGTCGCACAAAGGTATCCTGTAGTCAGCGGTGTAACATAATACATATGTGATAGTCGCTCACATAAACTTGGCTGGAGTGATGATAGCCAAATCTAGTCGACCGAATAATTAATAGAAAACAGCACGGAGGAACGCTAACAATCAGGACGCCAAATTATGGGCATCAACGTATCCACGGGCTTTCTCGCATATTTATAAGTCTCATACTTTTAGGGTTCCGCGAGGCCAGAAGACTCGATGCCGGTTTTAATTATTGTCACTTATGAGTTAAATAGATTTATACGGCTAGATGTTCAAATGATCTCATTAAGGAAAAATCTTTAATAAAGTATAACATAATTATAGTATTTCATTCCTCACCTAAACACTAGTATTATATAAAGTAAAGAATACAAAGTTATATAGACTTGAATATTAATTTATTTATTTATAAAATATTTTGTTTTCGTATTAAACGTTAGTTTTTCATTTAAATCTTACAGTTGTTTTTGAAGAAGATTATTAAGACTTAATTTCACTCTCGCTAAACTCTTATATTCACTTGCCTAATTAAGATAGCGACAATATATAAAGCAATTAGAAATCGGCCTAGCTAATTTCATTTCAACACCAAGTCGTCGTATTCTGATGCAAGATATTTACTTATGCTGTCATCGCTACTCTTTGTAAGATAGCTGGTATTATGGTGGCAAAATCCAGTTGATAAGATTATGCCCTTTATGCTACGCAGTAGAGAATGAATATAACGGCACTAAAAAACAATGCACCCCATGCAGCGGTGTAATTCAAGTACTATAGATGATGGTACAGAATTGGCATTGGAATTATAAAAACTGGCGGTCAGGATTAGCTGGATATAGGATCAAGATTGAGGAGAGGACGGTAAAGCCTATACTCTTTCCATCCCATTTTACCAACCCCGAACAGCCAAGACACTCGCTGAATAAGAGAACAAACAAGTGAAATCTTGGAAAATAAAACTAAACAAAGTGTTCGTGATTCAATAGACTCAAAAAGAACGAGACCGCTTCGAGTACGTAAGTGTTGATAAGGTTGCACGATTGTACCTTCTGCATTAATGTGGAACGAAGCTATAATTTAGCTGTCTGAACACCACGACTGTGAAGCCGTAAGCTTGTTCTCTCTTTAGAGCCGTTTGTGTCACCTCAAGACTACAAGGAACCAAATTCTTAAATTATCTAGAGCAACCCGTAATAACGGCACAAAATAAGCTGGGAAACAGAGCAGAACCTGGATAGGCACTGAAAATAAATGTGGTGTTGAGGACTATTACAAGTTTGGATAATGGTTGGGAGGTTGGAGGTTCTCAAAATGCCGGCAGTTGCGTGGTCAGTGGACCCAAACCAGTTGAATGATGATATGTGATTGTCGTTATAACGACTTGGTCCAATCAAGAGGCGTTGCCGAGTGAGCATTATAACTTGTTTTTTAAGACTTCAGTGGAGCAGAATTACCTGTTAGTGGCACGATCCCTCTCGAATAACTAAAAAATTTTACTGCAAGCACTTGTTCATAACCATGTTGACTGTAAGCAGCTGAAAGCTTCCAAATTTGGCGAGGCTTGGCAACTGGCAGCTATTATACATTTCGCCGACCGATAGCAGGACAGACCATTCGATATATTGTAGATTATAACAGCGATACACTAACATCTAACCTCTGTATTACAACGTCCTTCGAATTCTAGTGCTAGCAATGAGATCTTACAAGAATCACACGATTAGTCTGACAAATAATAACATCAACATTCTGCATTGCTATGATCCTTAGGAGCCCAAACGACAACTTAGAGACATTATACGGAGTCTTAGTGATCAACCATGAAGAGCTTTGCTTATTACACCATTGGCAATACTCTATTCAAGTGATTATGCTTGTTCTTAGTCCATACCTCAAGCTTACCAGTCACTTCCAAAGATTCTTGGCGATTCGAGTAGTTCCGTGTTTAATCCACACTAGGAATAAGCATGCCACGTTACCGTATCTCTGATCGTCCTGTGTTCTGGTTTATCCTTCGCGTTATATTGAGCCGTCTGGGCGCGGCAGTCTTTTTGTAAGTTCACCTTGGTGACGCGCCGACTGGCCAGATTCTGGATATAATCAGCAGTGAACGAGGACGCTTGAAACGACTGTGTCGCACAGCTGAACCAATCCTATGGCTCGACCGTGACTTGGTTATTTGATAACCGAGCAATCTAGACAATCGCTAGCCTCTAAAGGATTGGCTCACTCCTTGCAACGACGTGAATTGCTAATAGAAATGGACTCAGTGGGTTACTGTTGGTACGCAGCGCTCTTGAGGCAAAGATGAGAAAGAGATGGTATGCGCATCACCCTCAGTTCGGAAGGTATATGACATCAAGTAATTCAGAAGCATTTTCCCGGTGCCATATTTGTCGTTGAAGACGGATGTTATGAGCCAATAGCGGATTTGGGGAAATCTGCGGATAATATGGCTAGTAATATAACGGACCAATTGGCATAAGATGACTTGTGACGGATATGGCGAATTGGCTGCCCCCACATTGCCGGCCTGTGTATAATGGACATGAAAACTGCCGATGGAAGCTTGCATCGCCTCTTGGCACGGAGATTTGGTGCCATTGATAAAGCACAAATCTGGTTCATTCGAGGTTGGTATAAATCTGTAGCATCGCTCCCAAAACACAATGTTTAGGCTCGCTTCATTTTAGATTGTCTTTGACTCATACTCCCTGATCATATTTTGACAATGCGTTCCCTTGCTTTTATAACATCTCTGGTGGCTTGGCTTGGCATCCGTAAGTCCTTATACCACTACGGGCAAAAGCACTACACTGATAGTCACTCATGTAGAATATGCCGCGGCAGATATTGCTGCACTACCGCTGCCAAGTAGCTGTAGCGGTGTATCAGCCATGCGATACCAGTACAAGACGGCAAATGGGTGGACCGCCGTGAAGATCGCTGGAAACTTGAAGCAAGTACGGACGATCGTCTTCGACCCACTCGGAAACATGCTCGTGGCCGAAGGTACCAAGGGCATTTCTGTTCATACCTGGGGGTCGAATGGATGCATCAACAGTAGCACTACTCTCATTGCACTCAACTCCCTCAACCATGGCTTGGCACTTACTCCGGACGGCAACACCTTGTACGCAAGTGGCGAAAAAACCGTATATTCCTGGACTTACAACCCGAGCACTAGGGCAGTCAGCAACCAGAAGACTGTGGTACAAGGAATGGACACAGGCGTCCACTCTTCGAGGGCTGTCGTCCCTGTGCCGTCAAAGCCGAACATGGTCCTCGTGCAGGTCGGTAGTAACCAGAATCTTGACATGGCTTCTGCCGATAAAGCCACCGGCCGGGCAATCATAAAGATCTTCGACATGAGTCAAGCACCCGCTAGCGGATATAACTACAAGACACAAGGTGAAGTTGTCGCGTATGGCCTTCGCAATGAGATCGGCTTCACCTTCGACCCCAATGGGGTTCTCTGGGGTGTTGAGAATAGCGGAGATGTAAGCAGCCCAGTATATCTCCTATTCACACGCTCGACTGACATGGAATAGGACTTTACTCGCACAGCAAATGGCGCCCGAACAGATGTGCACATAAATAATCCTTCGGAGAAGCTTAATAACCGTATGTATTTCGTCTCATCGAATGTCACTATAGCGCTAACCTTGTCACTTTGAGTCGGTAATCCTCTGACTGCTAGGAATCAATGGTACGGATACCCAACTTGCTTTACAGTATGGGACCCGACAGCGTTCAAGGATAACACCGCCCTGAAAGTTGGCGACCACTTTGTTCTGAGCCCTAACAATACCTTCAACGACGCCACATGTAACACCCAGGCCGTTGCACCGCGTCTGTCGTTCATGCCTCACAGTGCACCAATTTGGAACGCGTTTGATGCCAATGCCACCAACATGTACGTCACCTTCCACGGCTCATGGGACCGACAGCCACCGACTGGGTTCAAAGTTGTCCAGGTACCGTTCACAAAGTTGGCCAACGGACAATACGACCCGGTGGCTCCTGCGACGAGCACTACGGGGTATTCTGATGTGTTCTCGGCAACAACCCCCGAGTCTTGTACGGCCAATGGATTGACCCAAAGCAACTGCTTCCGTCTTACTGCGGCTACCTGGGATCCAGCGGGACGGGGTCTATTTGTGGGTAGTGACAACAGTGCCGAGGGCGAGATTTACCTGTTGTCAAAGAAATAAAGGTGGTGCCAGAGAGACAACAGACCATCAGCAATCTTTAGATAGGAGCCCCCTGCAATTTGAACAGAGTGATAACAGCACATAGTTGTGTGCGACTACTCCGCGAATGTATAAAAGAAATTCCACTCGTTTCTTTGACTCTAAACGGCAAGTGAATTGGGGGCTACCTGAATTGCCACGATTAGTTATACGCCTCATCATCATGCAGTATTCTGTCCCTCGTTAAGATGACGCGTTTATTGTGCAGTGATGTAGTAGAGAACGTGACCACCTGGACATGTTTGACATCGACCGTCAATTACAAGTAAACGACAGCATGGAATTCCCAGCTAATTATGTCAACATCAGCTCTAATAAGCGATAAGTTTAGCTTTATTAAACCATACGTCAGATCAACAGGCGCTATTGCTGAGCCATGGGCAACAAAGTTGCTTTAAAATAACCACAACACCGGAGATGGAGTACGAGGCTGTGAGGTGTTGGACTAAAAGTTCCCGTCACGAGCTTGAAAACTTGTTACTTACTAGTCTAGTGCACATTGACCGAGGTTAGAATACAAATGACGTTGAAGCTTCCTGTGACAAACTCGGCTATAATTTTCGAGTCGAAATTCAGCGGTAAGATAGAACAAGATGTGTTGACAAACTTGCAATAAATGCTAGAGTCCATGTGTCTTCTACCAGGAATTTTTCGTGTGCCCGTGGCATCGTACTCGGACCGATGACGTTGCATCATCGGGCCGTAGAGCAGAATGCCTGGACAGTCCTTGTACACAACTTTATGTTCTGCCTGCGACGGGCACTTTTCCCTGAAATCTACTTAGTTTACTGAGTATTTCCACTCAAGAAATTTCCTCAGAGCGATGCTTTGGAAAGATAAGCAATTATTAATGTTGCATTAATGGCAAAATACAGCGTAGCATTGGCATAGAATCTTTGTATCACAAAGCTCGGGAATGCCAAATTTAGCTTCCAGTTCTGTGCATGGTGGTACACACTGCTACTGGTCAACTTTCGCTATCACACATTTCCTCAGGCGACTGATTGCCCATCAGGCCCCTGGCTGCCAAACTATATGCGGCCACTGGGGGAGGGAACCACGTCCTGCTGTTGAGTACTATTAGAGCATCTCGGCCTCTAGGGACAACCTAATTCGTATCGCTAACATTAGAGATACCGCATCCTCCTACCATGCTTGGCCAATCAATGCGACTGGCTTCGTAAAAGGTTATTTCTTCAAGCTTTTGGCAGTCTCGGGACTCGAGGTTTTAAGTATGGGCTAAGATAGATAGATAGGGCTGTCGTCGGAACGCAACCTTTGCGGGGGTTCTGGGCCCTTCTACTGCATAATCATCACAACTTTTCAGCTGCAAGCCTGCAGTTGGATGCAAACTCCCTGGCGTTCAGCCAATCACGTTGCATCGATAGATATGCCGTACGTTGTTTGTCGGGAACTTGCAAAGAACGGAGGGAAACTCTGTAAGCTCTTGGAGAATTACTGTGGAGGGCTTGGGCGGCACGGGATGCACCTGGCGAAAACAACACTGCGTATGTAGTCTGTTCTGGACATGAGCAAAGCCGCATGAGGGGGGCTTAGATTTGATTTTATCCAATGACGTTCTCTAAGAACTACGAACACTGCTGCAAACGTGTGCCTGAATCTCTGTTCGTTGCGGCTGAGCTGCCTTTCTACTTCACTCTATATTACATTACTGCCAGCTTGCCGATCTGCCCATTGCATGACATCTCAATTGGACACCTACCATTTTCATGATATTTTTTCTCACAACTACACCTCGGGTAAACATTTTAAAAACAAAGTAATATGTAGTTAAATATTCGATCGACTATAATGGCCGAATACCGCGAATGGATCCAGAGACCAGGTCATCAGAGCCGATTGTCGTCCCAGTTCTACGCCCAAAAGCCACCGTCCCCCGTCATGGGAGCTGTGGATAATGCCCCGCATCGCCGGAATATCAGCGACGTCTCCCTAGACTCTCGATATCAAGCAGACAACAACAATAGCGCTTTCAACAGGCCGGTTTCTGCGCAATCGCAACAACAATATCAACAATGGCTTCCAATGCAGGGCGCTGGAATTTCAAACCCCCCAGCCGACGGCATGGGCGGCCTAGATATGGGATCTCCTGACTTTGGAAGTCCATACATGAGAACCACCACCAGCCCCCGACAGGGTCAAAGACCACCAGCATTTCAGCACTCATCTCCAGCGTCTTCTGCTAGCCGTCCAAAGCCGACACCGATGCAGTTTGAAGACCACAGTCCGTGGAAAGCATCGCCAGGTGGCTCTTGGCGATCTGCCTTCTCGCCGCGCGAGCGATTCCAGCGCACTCGCACAATCTCTGGTGACTCGGGAACTTATCTCTTGTACAACAATACCCCAACCATATCAGAATGGACTCAAACACCGCGCACGCCTCCGCCTTACGCCTCTGGCTTGCCCCAAGCCAAGAAATGGTGGCAATGGCGCCCAGCGTATATTATGTATATTTTCTTGCTCTTCGGCTTCTGCTGCGCACTCGGCCATCATCTTTTCTACGCGTCCCTGGATGGTCGTATAGCGGACAACCAGCTTGCGATGCTACGCTATGGTACCGTCCTCTCGTTCGCGGCCAAGGCAGGTTTTGTTGCAGCAGTCATCACTGCGTACCGGCAACGGATATGGGTGACGGTTCGAAATAAGCTACTGAGTGTTGGTGCCCTGGACTCATTGTTTGCCGCCACTGACGATGTCTCGGCGCTTTGGAATACCGAGGTTTACCAGAAAGCCAAAATGGCCATGGCACTGGCTTCCCTAGCATGGCTGACGCCATTGATGATCATCCTTACCAGCAACACGCTCCTGGTAGGACTTGTCGAAAACATCGATCATACAAAATGTCCAAATGTGAGAACTTTGAACTTTACCAAGGATGAGCTCGAAGATTTCCGCCATCCGACAAAGATTGACGGCATGTTTGGGTTATCAGTCAATTATTGGAATACTACTGACGACAATGTGAGCGCTGCGGATTGGTTCGACTACTATACTGGGCCGAGCGATTTCTTCCAAGCAGTGGCTAATCTGGGTGTATATTCGCACCAAGTCATGGGGGCAAAAAATGCCTCTTTTGACATCTGTGGCGCAGGTTGGAATTGCACCTACACGATCGATTTCGTGGCTCCAGGGTATAAATGTGAAGAGATCGCGAACGGTGTTGGATCCCAGGTACAACAGTTCGGCAACAACGTGACGCCCTTCAACACGAGTGTTTTGGTGCCCGAAGGCATTTACAGCTACTACGCCTACACAAGCGGTGGCGAGTACGATCGGGCACAGATGGAGCGGGTGCAGCCGGGAGGAATGCCGGTAGATGAAAACGGCGAGCGCATCTGGCCGAATCAGTCGCTTCCGGAACATCTTGGCGTTTTTCGAACGGAACCAGTTGTGTGGGTAGGGTATTCTGTCCGGAAGGACCCTGACACAACACCGCCTAATAGTAGCATGGCAGGGTGGAACGAAGCATTTACACCCAAGATTTTTGCGTGCGAGAACTATGAGACAGCATATACAGTCGAGTTCAAATATGAAGGACAAGACCAGTTCACGAATGTGACAAGACGGGAGTTTCTCTCAAAAGTCATGGACACGACCTACATCAAAGGTAAAGATGCGGTGGATGGCACAAACGATAACACGACGGCGGTTCCTGAAAGCAATTACGTATATCCCAACGATACTATGCGATATCGCCGGGTATCAACGTTTCATTCTTTGGGTATGATGTTGCGCAACGCCATCAATGGCACCATGGCATCGGACCCAATCGGGAACCCAGGTGCAAATACCAAAGCATTGCAGACAAAATTGATGAACCCCAAGCAGGAGTGGTTTCCATACCCAAATGTGCAAGATCTGGTGCGGGATCTGTACGAAGACATTATTCTTTCTTTGTTTTCGAGCTATAGAATGGTATCGTTGACATGGGCCGCCAAGCCATGGGAAACGCCTGGCGATCTCAAAGGCAACGAGACGACTCTATGGCCATGCACGAAATCAAGATGGGAGAATAGGTACAAGTATATCGCTCGAGACCTGTGGATCGTGTACAGCTGTGCGTTCCTCTGCGCTGTGATTGCCGTCGTGCTCGGAACTGTTGCCGTGTTCGAAAACGAAGGCCGACTCTATGATACGAGGTTCTCCAGCATTGTCGCAGCGACAAGAGGGCCCGCACTGGAAAAGGTCATGTGGAAAGAGGATAAAGGCGATTTGGATCCCGGAGTCAGAAAAATGAGGGTTGGGTATGGGCTGATTCACAAAACAAACGCGCTTGGCGTGGTGCCCGAGGAAGAGACCACGAGGTACACTGGGCGGGGAATGAATGAAGAAGGGGACACGCCTAGGTTTGGATTTGGGTTGGAAGGCGACGTGAGGCAAATCAAAAATGAAGGAAGTCTTTTCAGGGGAAGAACGTTATCCTAATTTCTCAGACCCGAGACATGAAAAGTCATTAGAGGGTTCGCATATTGAGCGGTTTGCATTTACAAGTATCCTTAGTTTAATGATATCCAGTTTCGATGGCGCCCCGGATCGCCGAATCCACCAATGCGAGCGGTGTGCACTTGCGACCCACGGTTGACGATGGCTTCACTCGACCGCTAGAAGCACGGTTACAACCTACGGGGTTACCGTATTTGGATTGACTGGGCTAGGTGACCCCGTCAGTCTGTGCTTGACATCTGCCGAGCTGAGATTGAGAATGTTCAGCTTTCAAGTTTTGACTCTTGATGACTTTGACCACTCACTGGGCAGGTAGCGCCAATACGTCGTCAGTGCCTTTGGTGTATGTACCCGACGAAATCTTCCTGGCAGCTGCGAGTTCATAGGGGCCGGCACTCTAGCGATCTGAGATATGACCGTCAAGAGTCACCAATGCTTTGACACCATCAGATCGGCTCAAATTCCCAGCCTCCCTAGAGTCTTGTGCCATTTTTAGCCCAATCGGAACCACAACGACACATGTATGAGTGGGATACATCTCTGACCCGGCTCTCCGGGTGGGTGGCCGCATCGCTGATCAGAGTGATGAGAACCAGAAAACTGAGATGAACGGCCAAAAGGATCCATCGGCCATATTGGCTGCGCTTTCTGACCTCACTCGCCTGTCACCAAGCCTTCACATGGCTGGAAATAGTTCATGACTTGCCCAATGGCGGTCAATCTGCAACTGGGGACTTTAGTGATTGGGTGGGGTCCCATTCTGCGCCCCGGCAGCCCCCGCCCAAGACCGCCTGGAACTGGTGCCGATAGGAGCCACATGTTTTCATAGTCGCGCCCTGCTGGACAATTGATCAAGGTGACTGGTGAATCGGAGCCCAATCTCGAAGCCGTCTTCCGCAATGATTTTCTTGACCTGGAAGTCGGGATTGATTACACCATCGCGGAGCATTGCGAATCCTGGGGGGGCGCTGTGTGTGCAGGATGCAGACTGGGTCCTGCATTGACGTCCAACGGGAGGAATGATTTGGGTGCACAAACTCCATGTGGGTTGTGCTCGCACGTTTTCTGCGGTGTAACACCTGGCAGACCTACATGACGCTGGAGGTTGTGAGATGCTCCAATAGTTGATCCATGTGTCACATCACCGTGCAGGTTGCCGGCGTTGGGCCCGTCGCTTTGGTAGTTTTTATTCTTGAATGTAGTTTAACTAGGTGGCGGCCCTTGCGTGGGTTGTCAATCGCGAGACATGAAGGGAGGTGATGTGATGTGCCGTTGGAAAATGTTCCTTGAAATGTGCCGCTGCAAAGAAGCCTGATGGTCAAGCGAGGTCCAATCAAGATGATCGATCAGCCATTCGATGAGGAAAGCCGAATGGGCGGTTGGGTGAAACTGCTGTCAGGGTCCCGTTGATCGCCGTCCGTCCCGCTGTTTGCCTATTCTCTAAATACTGCTCTAAATGCTGTACAAGTATCATAGCCAGAGTGGTTCCCAATTTTGTGGAAAGGATATCCCTGAGCGCATGATTATACTACTATCGTGAACAGCCCATGGCCGCGATACACTACACTACTTTACATGACTAAGTTGCATACTTGCTGTACATGGGAGCCGACAGTTCCCTGTGTGCTCACCGCCAAAGTTGCAAACGTTGACCCTTTTCCCAGGGGCCTCCAGCGCTCCCAGGTGCTAGTTACCGCGGGCCTCCCTGCCAGCCACCAGACTGCAGCCCTCGAAGCAGGCGAACAACCTTTTCATACATAGCCGCCTCTGCATAGCTCACTTCTTCTGCATTCGACAGTCAAGAGAAAAAGGGGAAGAGGCAAAGGTCGCAGAAATAATGGCAATTGAGACGGTCACAATCATCAATAACTCGGGGAAGATCATAACCAACGTAAGTCAAGCTTAACTTGGGTATTCTTCTGTTCTATTCTGCACCCCCTACCCCGCAACACCAAAGCCGCCCTAAATGCAATCATTGCGCACGCGGGCGCGCGTATGGGGCCCGGTGTCAAAAAGAAAAAGGAAAAGCATGTAGATGCAGCAACGTTATGCTGACGCAATCGCTCCCACTCACAGGGAAAGCACATATTCGGTCTGTTCAAGGAAGCAAAGGCATCCTATCAGGAGAAGAAGGCGTCCGTCAAGGCTGAGCGCGCCCTCAAGCGCAGCAATACGTACGACGTTGCCGCGGTGCCACAGTATTACGATGAGGTCGAATACATAAGACCGGCCCCCGGGCGACGGGTGTCGCACGACGATGTCGCCTCCCACACATCCTCCCGCAGGAGCCACCGCTCGAGGCATACCAGGACGAACAGGAGTCGATCGCGGTCGCGGTCACGGTCGCGGTCGCGATCGAGGGCGGGAACGGCCCTGACATCGTCGAACTTGAAGACGCTCACGGAAGTCTCCTCGGTTGCGCCTTCAAAGGCCCCTACGAAGGCTCCCACCCAGGCTCCCACCCAGGCTTCTGCCGCCTACAGATCTCCCTATGCAGAAACAGCACCTTACGACTCGGCTCTGGTGAGTCGGCCGACCCTGCATCATTACCCAACCATGCCGGCGCAGTATGTTCAGTACCCGCCCGCGCCGACAGCGCCCATCAGCTACGAGATGGTCCGCTCGATGTCTGATCCCTCGCTCAAAAAGAAGAAGGAAAAAGAAATCGACATGAACCTGGCATACGGTAACATCCCACCGGATCTCGAGTCCCGCGTCGACCTCGATCCGGCCTACAAGGCAGCCATGAAGGAGCAGCAGGCTCACACATTGATGGAGCGGATCGAAGGTCTACTTACCGAGGCGCACTGCATGCACCACACCGCGAACCATATGATCGACCACCTCAAGACAAAGCCGGATGCCGCAGCTGCTGTTGCCCTGACTTTGGCCGAGCTCTCGACTCTGCTGAAGAAGATGTCGCCTTCCTTCCTTGGCGCGATCAAGGCTGGCAGCCCCGCCGTCTTTGCTCTTCTGGCGAGCCCCCAGTTCTTGATCGCGGCCGGTTTGACCGTCGGCGTCACCGTTGTCATGTTTGGCGGCTGGAAGATCGTGAAGCGGATACAGGCCCAGAAGGAGGCCCAGGCGCCCATGGCTTTTGAGACGCAGCAGGCCCCGTCGATGCACTACCCTGTTGGGGACCTGCCCATGGGCCGCGAACGGGTGCTGCCATATCCTCCATCTGAACAAAGCTTCGATGAGGCACTGGTAATGGATGAACGCCTCGAGGAGGAACTGAGCACGATTGAGACATGGCGCCGCGGCATTGCGCCTTACGGGGCTGATGAGCTTTGTGACGATGAGAGTGTAGACCTTGAGCTCATCACGCCAGATGCCATGCGCAGCCAGTATGACCTCGCTGATGACGCCCGCACCGTCCGCAGCTCGCGTACCACCAGGACTACCAAGACAACCAAGTCATCCAAGAGCCACAAGTCTTCGCACTCGCATAAGAGCAGCAGGAGCCACGCTGTGGACGGGATGGATATCCCTGACAGGAAGAGCAGCAGTCGCAGTGTCAAAGACAACGAGAGCGTTGCCGGCAGTGAGCGCAGTCATCGAAGCCACAAGAGCACCGCTTCAAAGCGTTCGGATCGGACCGAGAAATCCTCCAAACGCGACCCTAAGCTGCTCGAGGATGGAAGCAAGGACAAGGAAAACACCATTGATATGGTGATTCGTGGAAAGGGCAAGGATAGCATGTTGAAGAACATGTTCAAGAGGAAGAAGGAGAAGGAGGGCAAGTCTAGCCGGTTGGAGAGCGTTCTGGCTTAAACATTGTTGGAGACAGTCTTGTATGCAATTATCTTTGGTGTTGACGGTCTGCATTGGGTTTTGGTGTTGCATTGGGTCGAGATGATAGATGATGCATGATGATTGTACGGCTCATGACTATCTTGGTTTGCAATTTCTGTTTGGCTTAATTGGATGTTCATTCTCTTTTGTATTTTCATCATGTAGTAGACATGTGGTAGTATCACAAGCGATAGAGGGCCAATCCAATCTCACATCAGCACTGATCCTACTGCCGTATACGCATTAAAGATATATATCCCTTGATGGCTGACATTTCTCTGCTCAATTCCGGTTGCTGTCAAGCTGACTTTTGATTTATTTTCCAAGGCTTGCTACCGTACTGCGCTGCGATCCTCGCCCCTTTGGTTCAACTCTCCATGACTAAAGCGCACAGCTCTGGGTGGACTGGAGACACGTATTTGGGTCTAGACTGACATCTTGCTGCAGCGAGCGCACGATAGAGTTGCGATGCTGATCATGCTCTTAGGTCGCTTGGATCATGGCCTACTACCCTGATCCCCTGCTACCTGGGATTCCTTACATTATCGTTATCGAAGGGTGCCTATACCAGTCATGTCAAATAGGTGACGCGATGAACCTGGTCACGACCGCTGCTATCTACGGGTAGCACGGCATGTTGCGAGACGACGGCGTTGGCGGGTGGAACTTGTGTTGAGATTGGCGGGCCGATATCGACTCAGACTTCCGAAATATAATAATCCCTTCTTTTTCCTCACAAATTCGGGGGTACAACAATTTCTACGCTGGCCTATTGTTTATCGACAAAGTTGGTACACCATCACATTTTGAGGAGTCGCGTGCCATACAGAAGGTGCGTCGCCGAGCTTGCCCCCACTACACCTGGGGCAGAAAAGCCCCTAGAAATTCCAGCAAACAACATCTGAACATCGCCTCATCATGCCAAAAGCTATAGTTGGCACTCAATGTCAAGTGCCATTTATGAGAACGAGTCCTTCGAATCTTGGGCAACAAGTACATTCAGCCTTCGGCCGCAGGGCGACCTGTTCAGGCTGCAGAGGATCCTATTCCCGGCCACTTCCCAGTCTGACTGCAGGCTCATCTCCTAGGACGCATCCGACATACACGTACGTCTGAAAGCATGCACATCGTATTCTCCAGAGTTTAGACACCACTGGAGTCTTCGGACGAAGAGCGGAGGAAGAGACCGTTGCACAGAATTGCGCGAACAATCCAAAGCCATACGTGCGTCTACTGGGATGATTGAGAACACGCTTGGACTGCACATCTTTCGATGCCGAACCGCGAGGATCATTACTCCTTTACACCCGGTTTGGTGCAGCACTGACACCTCAGCTACTCCGCACCGAGTGTCGCGTCTGAATTCTGGGTTCAGCTCAAAACAATTGACGGCGACAGGATCAAACGATTCATGCACCCAGAGCTTCAGACACTGGTGGAGATATACGACAATGTAGACGGGCCTAGGCTTTAGTCATTTCGTCTGATTTCTAGGCACTCGACGGGTTCCCAGATTTTGACGACTCATCAGCGATCGTACTAGCGACACTGCCACGATGGATACCAATACGCAAATGAGGACGCAAGCAAATGAGCTTTCCCCAGAATCACGAACTGTTGATCTCGGCGTCTACCGCCCATCCCAACATTTGCCGGTTCTGGGGATTCTGGGATATTTTGTTTCCTCTTGCTTCTCGCGTTGAAATGGATGAAACAAATCATGCGGCCAGGCTCGCTTGACAGGCGTTTGAGACTGCCGGCGGTCTTGGTAGCGTAAAGCCGGACATCAGAAGAAGAAAACCCAGCTATGCCTCTGGGGTCCTGGCGGCCGCTGCTCGTGAGAATATGCAAGCCCCTGGAAGCCAAGCCTTACCGCGGGAGCTACCACGTAGCCGGTGGGTCCCTGCTCAACCGCTGAGGGTTCGCCCATGCCGCCAATTGGTGTCCCTGAGATTGTCGACTGTTTCAAAATTCTACGTCCAACTGCGCAAACGGCTCCGCTAGCATGGTTGAATACCACGTTGGACCGCCCCCTGAGAGCTCGCGGAAAGGGCCAGTGAGTTGGCGACAAGGAGTGCAGAATGCAGAGTGCAGGATTGGATTCAGGTAGGGCACGGGCCGGGGACCGATCATATATTCCTTGTCGGACGAAGAAGAAATATTAAAAAAGATTCCTCCACTATGCCAGGATCAGCTCGCAGTTTACCACTTTTCCAACGTGAAGCTATTGCCACTCCTTCTCATATGTTATTCCATAAATACTTTCTTTCCCTCGTTCTCCTCCCTTGAAGATTCCGGGTCCATTTTTGCAGGCTCCAGCCCACTCATTAGCTAAATCACGTCGTTTTGCGATTCGGCAACGATCCCATCCTCCACTGACAATCCGAGTCTCAATACATCTAATTCTTTTTGTATTTTTTTTTCTTCTTAATACCTGCAAAGAAATCCGAAAGTCAATCCACTCACAATGGGCGAAGACGGCGGTGCACCTGCTGCTCACGGAGGTGGCGCTCACGGCGGAGCTGAGCCGGTTGTCACACAAACGCACGGCACCGGAAATGCCCACGCGCATGTTGATCCTCCCGCACCAATCAAGACGGACAGAGTCACCACATCCAGCACCACCGTCGAAGAGGAATATCCGATATCTCCACGCGTTGCGACACCGAACCCTTTCAGCCGAAAGAATACCAGTCTCGATTTGGACGATTACTTCGTGAGTCATTTCTGCAAATAATCGCAGCCGATATCTGTACATTGTCTGACCGTCTCGCAGCAAGGACCAAGAGATATCGGAAAACACTCGAAATGGCCACTTTTTATGCAAATGCACGGTTCCATCACCCCCAAAATGATCATACCACTCATCTTCGTTGGCCTGTGGTCTGGTTGGATTACTGCAGTCACCATAAAGTACGACAACATCGACCTGAGCGTCAACAGCGTTCTGCTCACCGTCACTGGTTTCGTCGTTGGTTTGGGTCTTTCTTTCAGAAGTTCGACGGCTTATGAGCGATATGCTGAGGGTCGACGATACTGGGGCCAGTTGCAACTGACGTGTCAATCGCTCGGCCGGATCTTTTGGGTTCATGTGAACGAGCGGCCGGGTCGTGAGAAGGAGGATATGCTTGCAAAACTGTAAGTCATGCTAGAATCTTCCCAGATGAGAATCTTCACATCTTTGTGGGCGTCACTAACTATTTTCCGTCAGTACTGCGATGAACATGCTAATTTCCTTCGCCATTGCCTTGAAGCACAGGCTTCGGTTCGAGCCTTATGGTGATTACCAAGGTCTGGGCGACCTTATTGATCACCTGGAGACGTTTGCAAAGAATGCGACGGATGAGACCGTCTTCAAAGCCAAGAAGCCCAACTTTTTCAAAGCCACTGGTGATATGCTCGGCATATCTTTTGCGGTTTCAAACCCTCGCAAGACCATCAAGAAAGCGACAAGCCCTACCGGTAACCTCCCGCTCGAGATTCTGTGTTACCTTTCGGCCTACGCGGATGAAGTTGTAACCAACGGACAACTGCCCATTCCCATGACGCAGACCGGTCTATGTGAGTTATTCGAACTACTTCAAAGTTCTAACTAGATTCTCAGGCTAACGTCGGTGTAGACAACGGCGTCGGTGCGCTCAATGACGTGCTTACCGGTGTGGACCGTGTGCTGAACACTCCCTTGCCCATTGCCTATACCATCGCATTCTCCCAGATTACCTGGGCGTACATTCTCGTCCTACCCTTCCAGCTTATCGGTACACTGGCGTGGATCACTATTCCTGCCAGTATTGTTGCCGCCTATATCATTCTTGGTATCTTGTTTATCGGCCGTGAAATCGAGAACCCCTTCGGCGACGATGTGAACGATTTGCCGCTAGAACTGTACTGCAAGCAAGTCATGGACGACATGGAAACCATTGCTGCTCGCCCCAAGCCCAAGATGTCAGACTACGTTCAGTCTTCACGAAACAAGGTCATGTTCCCTTACAGTGAATCAAGCTATCACGCCTGGGCGCAGCGCCCAGAATCCGCGATCCGCGCGGCTCTGCGAAACAGACCCTATAACAACTTCGAGCGATCCAGCAACACTGCAAACGGTGTTCCGCACGAGAAGGGTGACCACAAGGTCTAAGCCACTACAACTTTGCATCGAGCGACTGTGCGTACTAGATTGGAATTGTTTGGTTTCTTTTGGACAGGCCCGGGAAAAATTGGATATCAGGGAAGCATCGGCGGAGTTTATTTGATTCACTAGGCACTTTTTTAATGTTTTGGGCACACAAAAGCTTGTTTTCGATATATAAAGCCAGATACTGGACCTCAACTGTTGATTATTTTACACACACAGCTACGCGAAACCTCTGGACGCTTGCGTATTGTGCTGCACTAGAGTTGAAACAATAGAAAGATTTTTTTTATATATCCTTTAGTGCTTCTACACGGGAGGAACGCTAGTTCGCTGAGGGACCTCGAGAAGGTGAGGCCCAAATGAGTTCTAGTGTTTGTATCTTGTGCAGTAAACGGGCAACCAAGATGTGACAAAGGTTAGACATTTTTCCAATTCAACTTGGTCGTTCTTGAACCCTCTTCACCCGTACAGAATTGATTGAATGCGAAATCCTGCTGCCAGGGACCAACGCAAACCATAAAGAGAGTTTGTTATTCGAGATGTAGAATGGGTCACCGGCCACCTTTGTTTGCGAAGGGGCAGTGGGCGTGTCCCATTCCCAGCCCTCAGTAAGCTGAATAGATATTTCCATGTCGCTGACCTTCTGCTCGGCGACCAGAACTTGGTATGGGTATTCTCGGCGAGTAATGACTTGCCCCAATTGAACCCTACTCCAGGGCTGAAAATGAACCGCGCTCGTGACACTAGGCAGGGAGCACAATAGGTAGCATCCCAGTCGGTGCTGGTGACTTGGGGTGTCTCCGAAGAGCAAGAAGAAAGGCGCGACTTGCAAGCCTCGCAGGTATTCGGATTCCTTCGCGCTGCTGGACTGAGGGTATTTATGTCTCAAGGTGCGTTGGCGGTAGTAGTCGACTGAACAAAAGGTCTCGGATCGACAATATGGACACCTGTAGTGGGCGACTCCTGCGCTGGTCGATGTGTGCGGAACCCAGGTCATGATACACCGATAGCATGCCGTGTGTGGTACTGGTTGGCAGGAGCTGGTCACTGGCTGGAACAAGAGCTCGCGGCAGATCGGACATATATCATCTTGTTCCGGTTCCTCCAATGCCGTCTGCTCTGCTTCTTCTACTCCTGCTTCTTCTAGACGAATAACGCCCAAGGTATTGTGCTTCTCCACAGACTCCATAGTTGGCAAGGGTGGCAGTGTTGTGAATTTGAGTGACCTGCTGAAGGCTGGGAGAAACGTGACACTGAAGGATAACGTTCCTGCTATTATAAGACTGTTCGGCAATTTTACTTGCTCTATTTGACCGCATCATGTGGCGGTAACTGGCTCATTCAGATGGTAGTGCAAGTTATTTTTTGACCAATAGGAATTGATGTTTTCACTACCATGCGCAAGTGAGTTATCCAGAACTGAGCACATTCGCAATAGCGGTACTGATAGTGTCACTTCGCTGCTATACCGCACTTATTGCAGGATAATTTACTAATCTATTCGCTGAAGAGATGACATATATCCTTCTGGTACTAGTTTAGTCAATACATCCAAGTGTGAACAGTTGTGAACTTCCACTCGGGATTTTCGTGATTGCCCATTCACTATGGGTGCCATACATCATTGACGTAGGCAATCTGCTCTTTTCTAAAATCGTCCTTTTCCACGTAGAGCAGGTTCGTGACATTAACATCGAACACAAGGTTCTTGGGGCTTTCAAGAGTGTATAAAGGCCAGGTGGAATTAGATGTATGGCCGCATCGGGGACTGCCAACAGTCGCATTGGTGTGATGGCGCAGAAGCGTGTTTGGATCCCCGGTTGCCACAAAAGAGATCCATGATCCGCTCATGATGTCGGCAAGCTCATAGAATTCGGGCCCCTTGCCCTCCAAAGGCTTCGCAAGGCCACCAGGTAAGCCATATCCATCGCCGTGGATGTTGTGGAAGACGAAAGAGACTTCTTTGAAATGATTCGATCCTTGCTGTGCCAGGTTTCCATTGACTAGGACGTTAAAGCGATATGAGAAGACCGGCACCTTGGCTCGTGCGAAAGCCTCTGCCATAAGACGGCGACCACCGTGGAAGAGCGCGTCACCATAGAATGCCACTACTCGCTTCCATTGCAAGCCCCATGGGTAGGCAGCAGGAGTCCCCTTTAGCGTAGCTGGCAGACCGAGGTCCGGGTTATCTGGATAGAGCTCTGCGATTCTGGCCGTTGTGTCGTTGCCGATATTCACACCTGTAGCACGGACGAAGCTGAGAAATTGGCTTGTGGTGTTGATGCCCTGTGTGGCGAACGATGCACCCTCGTCTGTGTTGATTCCCATCAAGACCGGTACATGCACGAACTTGCCTTGACGTAGCAGCGTCGAACCCTGCTCGACGAAAATATCGTCATCAATGACTGCACCTATACCCGGTTTGCTGACAGGGAAAGTTGTTGAGTTGAATATGGCATTGAGAGTCTCCCATGGTAGGGCTCTGAGACAACTTAGGACGTCGGTCTGTTCGGTACAGCCGGCCTCACCAACTACCGCATCGAAATATGGCTGCCATTCTGTTACATTTGTCATCCTCACAGCAGCTGCACTTCCGCTTTCCAGAATCGCGCTTCTGAACAGCTTGTCATCACGCCCGCCATATGCGCTGAGATGAAACCCGACCGAGAAGGCACCAGCGCTCTCTCCCCAGACGGTAACCTTACTTGCGTCACCGCCGAATGAGCCGATGTTCTCCTGCACCCATTGCAAAGCCAACCTCTGGTCTCGAAGGCCCAGGTTGCCAGCGCCTGCCTCTTGGAGCTCGCGGCTGAAAAGCCAACCCCAATTCGAGAGACGATATTGAATGCTTGCCGCAATTATGGGGGAACCAAGTCGTTCAGACTCAGCCACGATGAAAGAAAGGTTGAAACGAGGGTCTAATCCGCCTCCGTTGACGAAGCTCTGAATTCCGCATGTGAGCTCAAAGCTAACAATAGCCTATATGTAGTGGACATTGACTTACACCTCCATGAATCCACACGGCAACAGGCAGATCGTCGCCCTCGGCCACACCAGAAGGCCGTACAATGTTGATCGTCAAACAGTCCTCGCTGATGACATTTCCTAGAATCCATTGGTCGAAGCCGTAACCGATGCATTCCGGCCCGTACGCGGTGGCGCCCTGTGGCTCATCGAAAGTGGTATTGAGAGGCTGTGGTGCGGCGAGACGAAGGTTCCCAACAGGCGGTTGCGCGAAGGGGACACCGAGGAAGTAGTCTTGGCCATATTCAGCGCTATAGCGACCGTAATAGGAGCCATTGGCGAGCGTCACAGTAGGTGCGCCAGAGGTGGCGGCTGCTTTGGCCCCACACTCAACAGTAAAGCACAAAGGCAATAGTAATACCCGCAGCACTACCACCAACGACGACCGATTGAGTTCGATACGCATGATGGTCACTCTGTGTAACTCACGACAACGAGTTTACGACCTACTACTTTCGAACGTGCCAGACTCTCGAAACCGGTTGAGGATTTCCTTTCAGGTCACTCCAATCAACGCGGGGAAATTCTCGGTATGCTCAGCTCAATCTGGTTTAGAGCCATGATGTGACCGGAGGTGAGAGCTTCGGCTGCCGTTTACCGTGTAGCAGTCTGAGTTCATCACCACGTGGGAAATGAGCCCCAGCGCGCTCAGCTACAGAAATACTCGGCAGATCTCTAAGCGACTCCTGCCCTGGTACGGAAAATTGCGAGAGGATAGACATTGAAAGCAACTAGTTCCTTCAAAAAAAAAACCCCCCTAAAAAAAACTCCACGTGTACGAGATCAGAGTAAGCTGAAAACAGTGTCAAGTAGATATCATTCAGCCAGAAGCGAAGCTGAATGGTAGGTGGGCAAAATCTGGGTCGGTTCCACGATTCCTTCGTATAATTCATCCTGGTTTTGTTGTATATTGCATACACAATGAATCGAACAGAGTATTTGTAGTCGGAACCGCCCTGGCTATGGTATCCAACGCGACAATGTGTCATAAGAGAAGATGCTGTAGCATTGTACAACCATGTACCGTATATGTTCGCGTAGGTAGACATCGACAAAACCTGGGGTTGGAGGTAAATTAGTCTTGTGGAGCTGTGGTTTGCAGTGGCATTTAAGCAGCCGTCGGGTGTTTATCCCCACGAAGAAAAGCCAACAGTACCCTGTATGAATTGCTTTCATACTTCGGCGCCCGCGAAAAAGTTAATTATAGGAGCGGAATCAAATAAGCGACCTCAACTTAAGCATGTTACTAATCTTCTCGGCCATTGCTCAATTGGGACGCATGCATGACGACAGGCGTTGTGTAAATGTGCAAAGATGATACAACTTGGCAATTGCGACGAGAGGCATTCATCTCGTAAATTGCAGACCAGAGTTTTGTGAGGCCTTCGAATTCGAGGCCGTGGACTCAAGTATATCCGCTCGCCATGCTTGATCAAGTGACGCGTGGGTAAAGGTTCGCCCAGAGTACAGCTGATTCTGAGTTAGAATAACCTTGGAACTTACTCCCACTTGTATGTCATTTTAGAGAAAACGCCAATAACATAAGGCGGGATGAATATGTGACCGCAGTGAAGTGAATAAATGCTTGATTTTATGCGACTCTGTGAATCTTCATGCCGATGGCTTGCATGATTTATGAGGTCATCAGCCCCAATTGCATGGGCAACTCAATATGGTAATGCGGGATTGTTTATAGAACCATACTTAAAAGAAAAAAAGAAAAGAGAAAAATCCTAAATTTCTCACCGGGCAGGTATATCGAAAGCACTTTCTCTTTCTGTAAGTTCTCCGAATGTCTGATGCAATTCGCACATAAAGCACGAATCAATAGCGCTTGCTCCTGCAGGGGCAACCACGTTCCCGGACTATTCTGCGGTGCGCCGACGCGGTTACGCTCCTGCTCTAGTCTAACCAATCACCTCTTGGCACCTAGGAATGAAGGTGGGCTGGATCAAGGTGATCGACATAGATGTATCTGCCTATAGAATGTGGATGCTACACATGGCTTGATCGAGAACCCATAAGCATGATATAACCTAAGCCAAGCTTTCGCTAACCCGGCTGGGCCGGGGAATCCAGCTTATCGCCTGTTGTGCGACCAAGCACCAATGCAACATTGGTGCGGATATTGGCTCCGGCAAGAAATCTTTTCTGTTTGCACCATCCTATGTGATGCTTCATGGATATCCAGCAGACCAATCCTTTGTGTGTATATGGCAGGGACGGTCAGTGTGTTCGGGAAATCTGTCAGCTACGCCGCAACATGCTCATCTCGATCAGACACTGCGGGCACTCGGAAGACGCCAATAATACTACCTCAGCATCTCGTCGTTGCATCAAAAGCGACAAATGGTGCGACACCGCTTCCTAATATTCTCCCGGTTTAGGCGACGTGATTGGTACTACGGCCCACAGACCTGCGGGTTTACTTGTTGAGAGATGGGCCATCATGGAACAGCAATGCCACATCGCATTTGAAAATGTGTTTGAAATCTCGGTAGGACGTAGTAGAGCAATATGTAGTCTATCCAATAACGTGTGTGTATCGAAGTATTGGATGTCAACTGTGTATAACGGCAGACCAGGATATGGACCTGCCAAGAACAGGATGTATTGCATGGAGGCTTTAGAGATGCTGTCCGAAAAGATATCATGACGAGATTCCGCAGTAACGGGGGGGTCGAATGAATGTTATAAAAGAGCGTGACTTGTCTTGTTTGACTCCCTTGTGGACATCCAATCTCAAATCAGGGAAACGTGAATCTCACAGATAAAGATGAAGCTCTACTTGGTCATTTTGGCTATTGCCGCTCTCGGAAACGGTTTGCCCGTCGTAGACGGCGACTTCCATCATCCTCATCCATCAGGACCTCCGCCTACACGTGAGTTAGTCATGTCCGTATGCTACAGGCGAGTCTAACATCATACAGCAACAGGAAAACCTGGCCCAAAGCCGACAGGAAAGCTACCGGTGAGTTTGATCTTGGCCCTCAAGATGGAGACCACATGCATCAACTAACTTTCAAATAGTGGCCCTTGCCCATCCCGCCCATCCCGACCAAACTATCTCTTCCTCGTGATGCCGTCAACAAACACCCGAGCGAGCCTCCCCTCAACCGGCCTCACCCACCCAAGCGTAAGTATTCTATACCGTCTCCGCTAGCCAGAAATCTGTAAACTAACATGAAATCAGCGACTGGCAAACCTCCCGGCGGTCCCAAACCAACAGGGAAGCCATTCCCGCCTCGATAGACATCGCGATGCCGTCAAAGCTATTGAGCTCGTGTAGTCATATGTATTAGCGTGCATACCGTACAAACTTATGTGATGGTATTTTGGGCAGAAGCTTGGACAGAACAGTCTGTCTCTTAACGCGGACATCGTTGCATAAGTACATAGCCCTGGATTATCAATCGTACATGACTTCATCAAGCTCATCTGTTCTCGTTTTTACCAAGTGTCACCTCATTCAAAATTTGTGACTCTGCTAAAACACATACTTGACCCCTTGAAAGCATGAACGCACTTCTAAAGCCTGTCTTCCAAACGGCGACTATGTAGCACCAAGCATATATTTTTCAGAGGGAATCAACACATTCACTTATATCCTGGAATCAACAACTACCATACACCTAAGTCCATATTTTCGTCTGTCATCCATTAAATACGTCTACATCATCATACAAGAGGTCTTGCAGACTCGATTGCCGACTCAGCGTACACTCCTGTTGCGGTAAGATCTCGTTGCCGTTTAACAGAGTAAGGGCTACTTTGAACTTGGCGAGCAGTGCAATCAGGGAGATTAAGTGTACTCTATATCAATTCTAAAGCCAACCAGGCACATATAAGCCCCATTCTCGCGCGAAATGCAATCTTAGGGCCACTGCGTCACGCGATACCGACTGGGTCTGAGCAGAGAGGCTTACTTTCCGAGCTCAACAGCGCAGGATCGGTTTATTCTGAATAGCTAGTCGGCATTGTGAACCCAAACCTCACACGGCTATCTCAAGCTTTGATTCAGGGACTTATGACAACCTCATGGATAAACAAGTCAATGAAGTTGTTGGTGTATTGACTATCTATTATCAAGGAACTGTTTGCTTTTTTCTTTATATATATATAAAAAATCCATCCATCCAAAGTACAGATGTGCTAATCTCAGCGACCAGCAATTGGCAGTGAGTTGGTATAATTCCGTGCCGGCGGGTAGACATGGTGCTATCAGCCGGCTAAGCAAAGGCTATTATGCCAAGTCCAGCCAGCTGTAATGACACTTTATCAGCACCTGTCAGACTAGTTTCCATAAGTCCTCGGACACTCTTAACCGCGAATCAGTGAGGTTTTCGCCCGGCTTTGTATAGGTTACACTTAAGCCATAAGTGTCCGAGGACTTATGGAAACCATTATGCCTATAACGGCGCATCGAATACATACCCGGCCACTTATCTTACCATTACACTCCGGCTCCAGCTATATCGACTCCCATTGACGCTCAATCGCCCAACTCTTTGCACTGTTGTTCCAAACAAAGTATCCCCAGTTTTGCATCCTACAACGACGCGCGATCAGATCGGCATTTGTCAATTGCGTGGTTTGACGAGGAGCTGATCGAGTTCCTTCCCATAACCATGAATCGGCTCCCGTTGATTGTATCCATTCCAGACCTGCTCATTAGGGCCACAATAAACCTTATTGCTAATGCAGTGCATGAAATAGTGGCTCTGGTACCATTTCGATTTTTGGCAATTTTGCAGGTTCTGTTGGCCTTCTTGCATCTCTCACAGGCCTGTAATATCACAATCGTGCTGTACTCCTCTTTTTCAGAATTCCATCTTTTGCTGCAGCGTTTTCTGGGGTGAGGGGTTTTTCCTTCTTCTTTTTTTTTGTTTTGTTTTTTTGTCACACGATTGTTAACGTCTTCACGATCGTTAATTTTACACTTAGGCTTTGCAATGCTGACATGGCAAGCGGCTGTCTGCATTGACGCCGATTGCGCCCCTGGTTAATTGGACTGGTCTACTCTTGTGTGATTCAACCCGATCCGCCTCGTTTTGCCTAAGTTTATGATATCCCAGTCCGAGGTCGGGGCGATTTGGATTGAGTTGGAAAGAAACTAAATATCCGCCGTACGGACGTTGCCGTGGGGTATACCATAACGTTTATCTGAGATCTTCTCAAGCAGCGACTCGAATAAATCATTGTACAATCCCCCTACTAATATCAGCTGCGCAGCTAGATCATCTTTCAATTGCTTATTTGCAGTCAAATTTTGGACCCTGAGCACTCGGAGGACATGCAGGCTTATTCGACGGAGAAACCTCACAAATATCGTCAAAAGTTGGATTAAATTCTTTTGGTACGAAGAACGAGTCCGAGTCATTCTGGCAATATGAGTTGCAGACGCTGGTTGTCGTGGTAGATCCGAAAGACTGCATGTCCATAGCGTGACCAAACATACTGTTCATGTTTTGATCTAGCATCTTGAATGTATGTGCAGCCGCCTGTGGACAATGTCCTCGTTGAATTCGTTGCACTAGCGGCAGGAGTGTCATTACCTTATACTTAAGGTACTGCGCGGCGTAAACATCATTCTGTATGAATTCAGAGTTGGCTACGACATCACTGGGGACCACGAGGTGGCCTTCGAGCAAGCATTTACGGGATTGTTCGAGAGACACGACAAATACGTAGTTGTAATTTTGTACGATAGAGTTAATGGTGCATGAGAGTAAGCCAGTAGAGGTCATGAATCTATGGAAAGGAACCATGAAATTGTATAATACACTGGCGCATTGTTGTCAAGGCTTCAGAGGTGCATATAATTAAATTTCAATAACCCAATGTGATGATGGCAATTGGTGTGGTCTTGATATTGTCGCAGTAGAGAAAATTGGGGTGCTGATGAAATCCACAGCGACCAAGTCATTCAGATAACGTATGCCGAGGTTTGATTTCTGAGTACTCGTGGAGAGTCTGTTAATTCATATAAGTATAATGTTATTAGAATGTATTTCGGAAAAGTAGAAGGGTAACAGGAAGGAAGATAATCTCGGTCTTGCTTATGTATGTGACGAGTAAGTTCAGGACAAGGCGAGCAAAAGATCGGGAGCAAGGTCTTGTATATAAAATGAGAAACGAAATTTCTGAGAAGATTGTAGTAATATAGCATACCTAATTCGGTCGTCTTGCTTGGTTAGGATTATCGGAGAAGGTGCGAAGGAATATTGGTTGGTCATTGATTATAGTTAGTCGTCATTGAACGCAGTCGTATCTTCTGAGTTAGATCGATGGCTGCCGCTACTATGAATCGTTTTGCGGCCAGTCTGTGTTATTCTGCATATCATATAACTGTGCAAAAAGAACTTAATTCATTTGTTAAGCTTTCATTCGTCACTTCAGAAGCTTGATTCGAGCAAACTTCGGGAGTCACTTGGCAGGCAGTGAAAACTTTTAGCCTCTTCGCTACAATGGCACTCCTCCCACAACAGTGCCAGTAGGTCCCGTGACATCAAGATTTGTTTACAGGATAGTGAGTGCCATGTGGTGAGCCTTCCGTTCGGGGGACATTTTGACAGACGACCATCGCTGGTCTAAACAGTGTAACTACAGTATTATAGTATCCTGATGCTTCTTGGCATCTTGCTCTTTCGTTGGTATGTTTACAACTGTGGAAAGTTTATAAGGTAATTACTGCGACAAATTATCGACAAGAAAAGCACACGAATTCGCATAAATCAGACAGTCACTAGTCTGGCCCTGTTACAGTATATTCGTCGATAATATACAACTAGCTCCCTCCTATGGCATTTACTGAAGTCAAGAGCTTTCAAGATTTTTCCATATTATGTAAGCGGAGATTCCACTAGGAATTGATTGTGACTCCATGAAATTTCTTTTGTGCTACTTGTGCCATTATGGTATGATATGGAATACACTTACGACGAAATTGGGTCGTGAGATCACAAGTTTTGGGAACATGTACTGCAGCATATTTAACATGAGTCAAGCTACTTCTGACGGCCTCGACATGGTCGCATGACCTCCTACCATATCACAGGTCACTGAACTCAAGATTTTCTTCCTCTCATGCCTGATTTATGTCTGCTAGTTTGTGATGAGAAGCGGCAAGCATATCCCAGTGAGCCGACCTATTACAGGTTACTGACGTAGGCGAAAATCAACTAGCTACTTCCTTGAGGCTTCCCGGAATTCCGAGTACTTCTTTTTGGGCAGCCTCCCAAAGCCGTTTGCCGGGAATATCGTGTAATGTATATATCCAAGGAAACCTACTGAGCTTTCGACGGACAGTCGGCCAATCAGATATGCCCAGGCGCTCGCAGCACTTTGAAATGGATAGTAACAAGCAGTTATGCTTGCCGTATTTCAGAACAGACACGCCACTAATAAACAGACTCCATAGAATCAATAACGTTCCACTCGTCTCAGTATCAAGGTAGTTTGAATGGAACCCCTGGATAGTGTACTGAAGACAGTCGGAAAGAAGAGGATAACTGGAGCAATCATGGACGTACACCGGAAGCAAAGAGGTCAGGAAAGCCAGCATTGCTAGATGTGTCATTTTCCCAGAAAGCTCCCCAGGCACAGAGTTTGGTCGTCTCAGAGGGGCGCCCTCCATCAGACGGTAGAGAAGTGATATTAGTGTTTCCGTAAACTTCATCGGCTCGAGCTTCCTGTGTCCCTTCCTTGATCGGTCGTTTAGATCACTGGCAAACTCAACAACATTGAGCATAATATCTGAAAGCTTAGGAGTTGCGCCGAGGGACTGCTCCTTAGGACCATGAAAATCGCTTGACGTCATGCAAAGAGCCACTTCGTCACTTTTGAACAGAGTAGACCCATTTTGTAATGCCAACTCGACGTCGAGCCTTAAAAAATGAGCTTTCCGTTGACTGATTGAACCACAATTTACATACCTCAATGCCTTCAACGCTAACATACGATTGTGCTGCATCAGTTCGACTACTCCTCCTCGTAGTTGAATCATGCGATAGAGCCCTTGAAGGTGAATTAAGCCAACGGTGAGCTGATTATGTATTTGTTGGTAAATTACAAGACAAATCACGGCAGCTATGGCGCTGTCTGAAATTGATCCGGGGCCTGAGAGCTTCAGATTGACCAGCTCATACGCCTTCGATATATGATGGAAAGTCTGTAAAGATAATCGAGATTCACGCTCAAGGAAGTTGATGTAAGAAGCTGATATCGCCAGCGTGCAGTGAAAGTCTGGATGTATTAATAGTGCCCCGTGCAGGGACATGAACTACACTCACATGCTTTGTCTGCCAGGATGCAGTTCACCCATATGGACTTGACCATATCAAACTTCGAGCAGAACTGGGGCGGAAACAACGCATCACTGATATCAAAGAACCCTAAGAAATATGAGAGAAGATGAAACGAATAATAGGTCTTAGAGTACTGTACATCGATGCATGAGTTTGGTGGACTCAGAGTCTAGTTGTTGAGGAAATGTCGTTAGGCATAAGTCGTTCCAGAGTAGCTGTCGCGATTTCGAGAACCCTGAGCTTGATGTCCCAGTGATGATGCGTCTGACGTGAATGGAGGGAACTCCTTTTCGTGTTGAATGGTGTGGTTTACCTGCGGTCTTGCCTCTCATGACATGAGAACGAATGATACGTCGGTCCGAGGAACCTATGCCATGCGCATCCTGGCTGATGAACTGCAGCGCTGTCCCCATGATGTTGCAATGTTACACGCACGCACTGCTCACTTACATGAAGCAACAGATGTATTGTTGAAAATCAGGCTCGGCCTGCCAAGTATCCTTGCTCACGCAGTACTCGAGCAAGCTTTGGAGCCAGTTCTTGCGTTGCCAAAGCTTGCGTGCGACAATTGTAACGGCAGTTGTGAGGGGAAAGGCTCTAAATATTACTTAGCAAGCTGTACTAGCCCGATATGGCAACGTCATAAAAATGTAAGACGAATCCTGACTCTATAGCAACAGTGATAGGAACTGTGGCCTGGGCAGAGTCGGAGAGTGTGTGGCTGTGCAGTGACAGAATGGTAACCTTGAGGTGTTGGAGCTCTTGCGGAGCTCAAATAGGCACGCTATCCTGCGGGCACCATTCACTTCGCGACTGACCTGAAGTGTGATATGGGAAATACTCCGTACTTGACGGTCAATCTCGCACATATAAACGTAGTTGGGGATCCGTTTATTAATATTGAAGCTAGAATCCTGATAGCAATGGAATTTCAGAATGATTGAAGCTGAAGAATGGTTTCCCTGGAGTCAGATCATGCTGGCATTGTTTGTCGAAACGCTAGTCCAAAAGAGGGAAACAAGATATGATTGGCCTGGCGTTGAGACATGGAAAAATCTATCTAACCAAGAATGGATGTCAATGTCTGATTGGTCCAATATTGTTCTAAGTAATGGGGGCTAGATCTTGAGCGCCCAAAGTAGGAAGATACTCGATCAATATGGTTGTGTATCTCTTCGTTAGCATGTCGGATTTGCAGAAATGTCTCGGATTTAGAGACCCTGGAGTTTAAGTGATCCGACACATACAAGCAAGGGTCCATTTTAATATAAAAACCAGTGTTGCGTGTCGTGGTCAAAGGCAGACTCTCTTCCAACTACTATTTAGCGTCGCCATTCCGGTGAACTGCGACAACGATCTAGACGTCAAATATATCATAAAATTCTCATAATTCAGCTACGGACCTGGTGGAAAAGTCGTAACACCGGCAAGATGGTGATGCTCCGACTGACTGCCGAGCAGTACAAGAAATTGCCGATCCTGGCTGACGAGTCGACGTGTTGTGGTAAAACATATATAGTCACAGGCGGTAACTCTGGCTTAGGTCTGGAGACTGCACGGCATCTTGTTGGGTTTTCGGCCGTGTGCGTTGTTCTGGCTGTGAGGAATCTAGCGGCAGGAGAAGAAGCCAAAACAGACATCGAAAGGTCTACAGGACGTAAAGGAATTGTACAGGTAATTACGCTTCCAAAGTTCAAAACAGTTCATTTCTGGAGATGCTTATCCATGTGGCAGGTCTGGCACCTGGACATGGCATCATATACGTCAGTTCAGTGCTTTGTCAAGAAAGTTTCGACAGAGTTGGACAGGATTGACGGTGTCGTGGCCAACGCCGGCGTCCTGATGGATACATGGTCAACTACCGAAGGATTGGAGACCAGCATCCTTGTTAATGTTGTTAATACATTGTTTCTAGGGGTTTTGTTGATGCCCAAATTGAGCGACAGTGGACGCAAAAATGAAATATTACCGACCATCGTCTTTGTCGTTAGTGTCTTGGGATATACTGCTAAGGAAGAGATGGATAAAAGTCGCAAAGGCGGGATATTTAACGGGCTTAACGACGAGAAGAGGGCTAATATGGACCAAAGGTGAGAGGACAATTGCGCATTTATGCGGCGCCTTGTTCAAGAAGACTGATTTATGCCCAAACCAGATATGCTCTGACGAAGCTGGTCGAAGAATGTGCCATACGTCAGTTTGCAGCCTTATGCCCTATGGAGCGTACAGGTGTGATTGTAAACATGGTCGCTCCTGGTCTATGCACGACTGGCCTGGGCCGAGAATCGAAGACTTTGACCAAAATCATGCTTGCGACCCTGCGAACAATGATGGCACGGACAGCAGAAGTTGGAAGTCGCACGATATTGCATGGTTTGGTGGCGGGCGAGGAAAGTCACGGAAAATTACTATCTGGTTGCAAGATCAAGGAGTATTGGGTGCCTGATTGGGTCAGTAATGCAGAAGGCCAACATTTACAGATCGATATCTGGAGAGAGCTCTCAGCCAGGTTAGAAGAGGTACAGCCCAAATGTGTTTCACTGCTCCCATAGGGCAGGGGAGACGCATGATTCAACGGACTAAACTAGTCTCAACGCCAACGATTACTGATGTAACTGTGATAATTATATTTCGCATCATATCGCGCTAGCTTTCAATCTAATATGACTAACAATTTCTACAAATTTTGAGATTGTATCGTGCTATATCAACGATGGTCAACGCAATCAATTGCAACATCCGTAAACTTTTGTAGCTCCCCCTAGTGGGAGCTAGAGATCTCACGTACATATAGATGTTATCAAGGGCGAGGCACCAATGCTTCTAACAGAGCTTTTCAATCAGACACCGTCAATTTTGCAGCTTATGAAGAAACCGGTTCCCAACAATGATAGTCTGTACCTAAGCACATTTCAAAGTCGGGAGGTATGCGATAGAAAGAGCGAGGCAAAGACAGGAATCGTAACAAAGCCACTTCTCATGAGACCTGAACCTTTCCGGACACAATGTTGGTGACTGTTTTTAGGGCAAGAGAACTCGAACAAGAATCACTTCAAAAGCACACTCGCCGTACGTTCTGAGTCCTGACTTGGCGGGTGTATTGTCGGTCTTCTGGTATGTCGAGAGTGCGCTCGCATCTAGTCGTGCATCTCGCTACCCACATCTCAAGGACCAAGAAATCAGAGCATGGCGCGTCAGCGCATAATCTTTACTACGTACTTTATAAGAACGCCATCGCGGGGGCAATCGGCTCAGCTCAGGCCCTAGATTCAGCGGTATGCAAGGCATGTGGCGTTCTTGCTGGAGAGTGCTCGCTATTGATCAAATAGAGCGCATAGCGCAAGCACGAATTAAATGAAGTTCGCTTGGCGGAGAAAGCGAATGGTTTAATCTTATGCCTGATTATTCTCTGTCTTGTGATTCTTGGGGTTTCATCAGCCTAGATTAGTCTTCTGAACTAGACTATTATAACAGTTTTAGTTATTTGTTTAGGTCCCTGCTATGAAACAGTAAGTACATAGTCGCCGACTATGACCTTCTATCACATGGCTCATCATTAATTTCCTAGAAATTGCTCCAGTGTGACAGCTTGGAATTGGCAATCATGACCTATAAGTACTATCATTATAACTTAGATTTCAACTGTCAAAAAGAGTGAAGTACAATCAGCGATCACAAGTTACCATAACTTGACCTGGCCAGGTCTGTTAAAGGCATTTTTAGAAGGAGGCAATCATATAGTCGGCGACCAAATAGAGTAAGGAATAGTCAGCGAACATTATTTCGCTTAATACGACCTTGCCGAGTCTTTTGGAGGCATTCTCAGAAAGAGGCAAGTACATAGTCGGTGACAATTGTATCTCAAACCATAAGTAGTCACTTCGTACTCAGACATCTCCTCTATTGACTACCCGTACCTACAACAACCTATAAGCTTCTCAATGCCTTGCCTTCCACGGGGTTTTTATACAATTCGATATTTTGTTCTCTGTATGACATTGCTCTTAGCTGCGCATTCAGTGTGGGCATTCTTCAATGATTGTGTACGTAATAGCTTCTCTAACAAGTACCGAGGAAATTTCTTGATCAACACTGGTTTCGCGGTGTCGTAGTGGGTATCCTGGAGAAATCAGTATATTAAGAATGGTTTCTGTTTGATGACAATGGGTTGATCCTGTTCCTTGGTGCAATGACTCCAAATCTGCGTGCACTGCACGGTAACCTTTAAGCTTACTTTTTGACAGCTTGGTTGAGCCATCGCCAAGGGCGCGCTAAGCCCTGAGACAGACGGAGCGGTGCAATTTCTGAAGGATTTAGCAGCTAATCTCCTAGGCCACCCATGATTGGCTACCGAGTGCAATACGGGACTACTACGCCTCACCCCTGGGCGGTGCCAGTCTAGAAACCCAAAATCTCACAGGGATTGATTCCAGGTCTGCCAGGCAGTCAAGTCCACCTTCACCTTCGTTCGCTGTTCATTTGCGTGAGGTTTTCTTTCCTGTGCAAATAAATCTTCGTTCATTCATTAGTATTAAACACTCGTTTTCTGCACCAGTAGCAATATTTCTTTTCACCGTTTGCCATTATGAAGTCTTCCGCTACCTTATTGAAGAAGTTCCTCTTTGCCATTCCGGGCGTGTTGGGAGCCATAACAGTCGACATCAACGATGCAGGTACGATGACAGCGAGGTTTGACCCGTGTTGAGGGGCTGACATAACTCTAGATTCCGTAAAGGCGGCTGCTGCACTGGTAGCAGAGGATTTGCTATCGTTTTACGACGGAGATAAACCGGGTGGCGTACCGGGCATCTTTGGATCGGCTCCTCCGGCAGGCGACTACTACTGGTGGACAGGATCACTCCTCTGGAGTACTCTTTTGGACTACAGGTCGCGTACCGGAAATACAACTTACGATGACACTATACTGGAAGGCTTGCAATGGCAAGTAGGCTCGGACAACGATTTCATGCCGGCAAACTGGACTGCCTCCGAAGGCAACGATGATCAAAGCTTTTGGGCACAAGCCGCTTTGTTGGCCGACGAGACAGGTTTCGTGGATCCTCCTTCAGGGGACGCACAATGGCTTGCTCTCGCACAGACTGTTTTTGATGTGCAGAGTGTTGAGGGACGCCACGTTAGTGAAGGAAACTGCTCAGGCGCTCTGAGATGGCAGATATACACTTTCAACAACGGTTATAGCTATGTGAACAGTATGTGTCGACCATTGCTTCTCCATGGTTTTAGTTCTTACTGACATGTCATCAGCCGCCTCCAATGCAGGCTTTTTCAGCATCGGCGCCCAGCTAGCTGTCTTGACCAAGAATGATACATATGGCGATGAAGCCGCCAAGACGTATGATATCCTCAGCAAGATTGGCTTGGTCTCTGATGACTTCAATGTCTACGATGGCTTGCAGGTAAAACTTATCTATTCTTCTCCTCAGACCCGCAGCACTCATCAAGTCCTAGGCCGATGCATGCAATGCTATCAACCGTGTTCAATTCTCGTACGCCGCCGGTGTTCTCTTGCAGGGTTCTGCATACATGTACAACTATGTAAGCAATACATTCGCACCAAGCTTCCCACTCTGATGGATTGGGGTAATTCGCGATTCGTAGCTGACGTGGCCGCAGACAAATGACGATATTTGGAAGACACGTGTCGATGGTCTTGTTGACCGCACACTGGAGCTATTCTTCCCCAAGGGTATTGCGACTGAGATAGCATGCGAGGATTCTGAGAGTTGTACCAGCGACATGCTTTTCTACAAGGGGATCCTTCACCGATCACTTGCCTACACCATGAAGCTCGCCCCACACACCACAGAAACAATCCTACCAGTTCTCAAGACAAGTGCTGCAGCTGCCGTATTGACTTGTACTGGTGGTGACAACAAGCGCATGTGTGGCTTCACCTGGGCAGATGGCAAATTTGACAATTCATCCGCTGCTGCGCAGACGAGTGTACTCAGTGCATTAGTCTCTGTTCTGCAGAGCTATGTCGAGGTAAACACCACCGGCTCGGGTGGCGGCAATAGCGGTAACAGCACAAGCACAACTGGGAGCAGTGGTGGAAGTGACGGTGCAAGTGGTTCTGGTAACTCGACAGGCAGTGGAGGCAGCAGCATTGGAACCAATATTGGTGTCAGCTTCTCTGTGCTCGTGGGTGGCCTGCTGGTAGCTGGCTTTTTGGGCTAATTGATTGGCCCGCGTACGTGTTGTGTTATTGTTGACATGAGGTCAGGTAACTGTCGTCTACGCCTACAGTATATCGTGATTAGCATGTAGTTTAAGTTTCTACAAGTCGAGTGACTTACTTGTACGATCATAAATGCTCCAGCAGCCATCTAATGAAATATGTTGGATCCACATGTACACTATACACTGCTGTTGATGCCGATCCAGACTATCTTACTCGCGTTCACGCCAAGCTGTGAAAGTCACCACTTGTGCCCATATAAGGGATGGGAAGCGGCAAGCCCTAAATGCAGCATATCCTAAGATGAACGAACTCTAAAGAGATTCTCGTCAAGTTGGGGTACGTCATTGTACCGCGTTTTGCATAGGCAGTTTCCCTACTCCGGCATGACGACGCCTAATGTAGCTGTCGTGCCTTCCATGCAGAGTAAATATGAATTGCGTTGGCCAGTAAAATCAATATAGTCCGTCCTCTGCCCACCTTGGCCGTGGACCTGGCTGACCTGCTGCATTGCAGACAAGTACGGTAATGGATCAGCCACAGCAACAAGATATTGTTGCCCCTCAGACTTTTCAACTACTCAAGTCAGCTACCGCTATTTTGTACCTGCTGGTCTCCCAAACACTGCGGGCATTGAGTGAACTTGTTGACTTTTACTGGCAAGTATTTTTTGTGACGACACTGGTCACTTTGTTTGAGCTCGGCAGACTCTGGCTCAGCGGCTTTTGGACCATCGCCAAGATTTGTATTCCCTGCATATCTTTACAACTATGTCGCTGGTCTCTATTCTTCCTGTGGAATATCCTGGTCTACCTCCACAAGAAAATCCTGTCCTGGAGGTCCGAGAGATGAACGAAGAAGCTTGCGAATCCTCGCTGGGTCATCCGAACCCGCTTGGCCTTCATCCCGTCAACAAACAAAGAACATCAACTCGCCGCATCTCAGCCGGTTTTTCGACTGATGGCCCTCCATCGTGTCTTCCATCGGTAGCCACTTCGTCATTGACTGCATCCACAACACGCGGCGAACTTCCTACGACCTATGCCGCAGCCCCACGCCTATCTATGCGAAAGACCACACCCACCAGCATTCCGTTGCCGAAAGCCTCCACAGCAACCACGTACGAAATGGCTGCAGAATACCATGCTCACAATCAAGAGAACATTCCACCTCACAGCAGCCTGATTGGTCTTCAGCATAAGCACAAGAACAGCATCGAGATCGCCGCCGCAAAGCTAGGAACCAAGTCCAAGCCACGAACTGTCGGCGCGCTGCCTAAGTCCAATACATTAAACGTCATCTCTAACTTAACAGCCTCAGTCTCTCGCAGCTCGTTGTCCAAGTTCAGCAGGTCGACCTCGATTTCTTCAACATTCGATTCGGAGCCCAGAAGCAGTATTTGTAATGCTTCAGGTACCTCGCTGGGTGTGTCGGGCATCGATAGTGGTAATCCTCGACAAATCCATACAGCACAATCTTCAGCATACTGGACTGGCCGCTTCGTGGCTCTAGAAGATCGATTCCACAATGAGATGCTACTGCCTGGAAACATGACGACACTTGTTACGGCTCACGCTGAACGGTCCATTGTGCCGGATTACAGAGCCAGTGTCCCGGCACATATGCCTGCGTCGGCATCAAACCCCAACCTCATGCGCAACATAATTACGGGCCAAAGCAGTAGATACTCAACATGCACTGCCACTAAGAGCAGGTTGCGAGCAGGGGGAGGCAGCGTGGACGCGGGGCGTCTTGAGAATGAAGAGAACAGAGCGCGGCGAGTATTCTTGCACTTGGAGGCTCTTTGTGCGACTAGCGAAGCCAGGAAGAGCCTTCATGCATGGCAGCAAAAGTACGCCAGGCGTAAGGGCAAGGAGCAGCTTTTGCCAAGAGGCGGAAGCATGGAAGACAGGGGCTGGGTAGGACGGCTGCTTGGACGGGGTAGTCACAATGGGAGGCGTGGCAGCTTCGTCGGGGTGGCGCTTGGTTGATGTACGTGAAAAATTAAAGAAGCGATTCGAGGTATCATGACAAGAGTACATGATTAGGGAGAACTGGTGCTGGAGAATAGTTATGGATCGCTCGGAAATTCATGGTAGATGGCGATGGTATTGAGCTGCGGTATGAACATAGTGTAGGTAAAGAGAGGCGTGTTCAACCTAATACGATGTCTCCCTAATAGTCGATCGATTCGACAAACTTTATGGCCGGGTGTTAACAGGAGGCTTTGCTATGCAGATGAGAGTCACGTGTTGTGGAATGCCCTGAACTTTTTCGGGCTCTCTCTTTCTCTCCGCCCTGCATGACATCCGAGATGACATGAGATGACATGACGACCCCGACCAATACCAGAACGTGAAGCCAAGGGTAGGGGGGAGGGGCCTTTATAGTAACGTTAATTCAGTGTCAATGCCCTGTTGGCCCCCCCTGCCCCCCTAACCTAATCTGCTAAGTACCAAGGCTAGAAGGATCAAATCTGAGGCGCTAAATGCAACCTTATTTTTATTTCTTTCTTTTCCCGCTTGGTATTTGGGTGTCTCTTTTCCTCTCCTCGAAAGTGACGACGAGGGTTACAGTACGGCGCATTCTGCATTCTGCAAGCTGCGACCACTTGCAGGCACATGCACATGGTACATAACTTAGCGGTAGTACATAATTAACTTACTGCCCAAATGTACCATGCAGGTACGGGACCCGTACAGCACTGTACGTAATCACGAACACAGGTGGGCCTTCGGCGCTGGAATTCCAGGCAACTTCCCCAATTGCATTACATAACTTACTGCTGACCGTAGCGTAGCCACTGTAAAGTTCAAACTACGGTTAGACTACGGTTGGTCTAGACTGCATAGCATACTTCACCGAGTGGCTGTGACCTCCGATCATCACTCCCTTTGAAAGCTTCGTTTCGCGACATTTGCCGAGTCAAGTCGATTCGGGTCGCAGCATCAGACGTACGATAATAATGAGGTAGCACACCCCAGCAACGGCGCCGACGACTCCTTCAACATGTCGGCCAACTCCCTCCAGCTCTCCGAGTACCTCGAGAAGGTCCAGGGCACAACCTTGAGACGCCTCTATCAACAGCCCTCGGCCGCCTTCGCCGTCTTCAGGCGCATGCTCCCTCACCTCGCCAAGACCATCGTCATGGCCATTCTGTACATGCCCACGCCCTTCCTCCTCTCCGATCTCGACATCTGGGTCAAGCCCACGTCCAAGCGCCAAAAGGACCAGGCCATCTCCATGCTCATCGCCTTGCACATCGTCACCATAACACCGCTTTCCAAGGATGCCCCCCAGACTCTGTCCCTCACCAAGAACTTCAAGAACAGTCTGCGGCTGGCCCTGGAGGGAGGAGGCGACCACAACTCCTTCGGCGTGCCTTCCTCACTGCCCGTCCCCGCCGAGTACGATATACCCTTCCTCGACGACTGGGCGCGAAAGAGATGGGATTCTATACTGCACTACGTCGTCAACTCGGTCGGCATAACAGACGGCTCTCGCATGGCTGGCGACAAGACTAGTGGCCCCAATGCCACCGTCAAGGATCTCTTGATCGGGGGCCATCTTGTCGAGAGGCGGAGCCCTGTGTCCCCGACTGTCCACATCACCCAAGCTGGCTTCACCTTTCTGCTGCAGGAAGCCAACGCCCAGGTCTGGACCTTGCTCTTGCTGTGGCTCGAGGCCGCCGAGGCAAGGCCGGAGGCCGGCTTGGATCACGTCGACATGCTATCCTTCCTCTTCCTGTTGGCCTCTCTGGAGCTCGGCCGCGCCTACAGCACCGATGCCCTGACCGAATCCCGACGAAACATGCTGCCGTCCTTGGTCGACTTTGGCCTCGTCTTCATACCGAGACACGACAACGCCTCCTTCTTCCCCACCAGGTTGGCCACCACCCTCACCAGCAGTGAAAGCAGCCTCCGGAGTGTCAGCGCCGGTTTCACTGCCGCCAGCGAGGGCGTCGCCGATGCGCAGGACAAGAACGCCATCATTCTTGAAACCAACTTCAGAATCTATGCCTACACCTCTTCGCCGCTACAGATCGCCGTCTTGGCTCTTTTCTGCGAGCTGAAGATGCGCTTCAGGGAACTAGTCTCGGGGCGGCTCACCCGCAACTCCATCCGCCGTGCTGTTGACATGGGCATCACGTCAGAGCAGATGATATCCTATCTGGCCACGCACGCGCATGAGCAAATGCACCGTGTGGCAGCCGCCACTAAGAAGCCACTCCTTCCGCCTGTCATCATCGATCAGATCAGGCTCTGGCAGCTGGACACGGAGCGTATGCAGGCTACCCCCGGTTTCCTCTTCATGGAGTTCGACTCGGTCAAGGAGTACGACGGGGTCCGAAGGTTTGCTGAAGATATCGGCGTCCTCAAGTGGGCCGACGACAAAAAGGGTATGTTCTTTGCGAGCAAGGTCGAGCAAATAAGGGATTTCATGAAGAATCAACGCAGAAGCGATTCGTAGTCGGGAACGTGATTTTATTAGGGGGGCATCAGGCAGTTTGCGGTGTTTCTGGAGCATTGGATGGCGTTTGTGGCATGCTGTCAGGTTCACCGAGTGGATCTTGGAAAGCCCCGAGGCATGATATTTTGTCACATCAATGGTAAGACCATTTCACCCAAAGTGCGAGGGTTTTAAGCTCGCTTTCACGTCGAATGAATTCGCAACATGTCATTGGGTGTTAGTTGAAAGTCCGAACCGCCCGTTTAGAGCCTGTTGCTACGGGCTGCATGGCCTCATCGCACTTGCCATCTGTTGGTCAAGCTATCTGCAGTGTTCCTGCCTTGAACAAAGGCAGTACACCTTGACCACGGCAGGATGGACCAGATTGCAATGGGCGCCGGGAATATTTTCAAGTCCGTACGCGACTGGAGTGCGAATCCATACATGAAATTTCACAGTTTTCTCTCGAATAACCTACAACCTCCTGTCTTTTCCCTCCACAAGTATCTCATCATGCTAACCCATTCCAATCGAAACTCGGTTGACGACGGCGATGATGATCTGTTCTACAGTATTCCACCAACCCGTCATGTCAGCGTCGCAACGGACGAGACACCACCAGTATCTCTGCTAAGCATCAAATCAGCTTTGGACTCGCCACTACCCGCTGTTGGCGACAGCAAGCCGCTACCGATACTCCCTGTAAAAAGTTGCCCGAGCAGAGTGGGATGGCCTTTGCCGTACCAGCATGAGCCAGAGCATCATCGTTTCTGCGCCAAACCGATGATTGACCATTTCGCAAAGAGACGTTCTTCGCTTTCCAAAAGTGGAACAAACGGTACGCTGAGCCACCTCGACGTAGGCACGGCGTACATTGAAGAACCCTTGACCATCGAGCAACTTGTCTCATCTCCCGCCGATCCCGTCACAACCAAGTGTTGGAGTTCAACCAGTATCGGCTCCTACTTGAGCACAATTGAGCCTCACAGCCCAAACCCGACTCGTTTCGATGACGCAGAAGCTGTGCAACGTGGCATCAAGGATATTGTTTTCAACATTCGGGTGTACCTGAAAAATTCACGACATGACCACTGCTTGCTTGGCTCTGGTCAGACGCGGTCCACCCAGGCAGAACATCAAAATTCTCAAAATCAAAGTCATGATCTCAGCAACAATGGGGATCGTGCCGCCAATGAAATGCCTGAATCCTTCCTGGTGTCTAGCAACGATATTGCAGGAATACTCGATATCGTCATAAGTGGTCTTCGACGGATACACGGACAAGATATACCCTCTGGCTGCTTTTCTGCCCGGCCAGCCAAGGACGAAAATGCTAAGCTGACTACCAGGCTCGACAGCATTGTGCCTCCACCATCCCTACTGGCAGAGCCCACCACCACCGTCAGCTCAGTGCTGCCTTTGTTTTCAGTCCCACAACTTAGTAGTAGCACTTGGTCCGCCGTGAATGATAATAACGTGGTCAAGAATCGCCCGATTCAGAGTCAAGCCAAGTCAAACACACTGTATCAACGCGGTATTGATGCCCACACTGGACGACGATCGCCGCCGCTGTCATCGGAAGATACGGAGCAGGCATCGGACTCATCAGAATCCTTCAGATTTCCTGATAACGACAAAATAAATAAGGCCACTCGGAAGGGAATGGGTAGTACAATTGGCCCTTCGAGTCGTAAACGAACAAGTAGTGCTCAGCCACAACAAAGAACAGAGCCCACGCCCGATACAACACTGGACAAGCTCCGGCGGTTTAGCTTCCCGTCACTAGAAGATCAGCCTCCGGGGGCGTTGCCACAGTTTCACGGGACATATCACACCAAATCATCGAAAGAATTGCTTCTGCGTGTACAACGAAAGCGATCGAGCCAAGCGATATTGAAGGACATTCTGGCACAGGCGGACTCTGCCTCAATGAAACCTACCTGTGGCCGTAACGATAGCAGTAGCTTTTTATCCTCCTTGGCGCGGAAGTCATCAGACAAATATCCGTAGACGGCATTCCTAATTAGACTATCTATACACGCGGTTTCGGATGGAAGAATAGCCGATGTCTAGGTTTGGCGGGGCGGGCACATTGAGGAGGCATGAATGATCGTTCAAAATATACTCACTCTGGTTGAAACCACATATCCTAAAACTGGCACTGTCAAGATATTGTAAGAATTGAGCCACACTCTTGGGAGACACGCATAGATTAGTGTTATGTTAATATACCTTACTCAATCTCGCAGTGGTATTAACACCGAGGGCGGGCCGCCCTCGGTCTTCTATCTACAGCTTGCCTACCTCCAGCCTTCAATATCGTACTCTATCACGACATCTCCTTCACCCCTTTCAATGGGGTTTCCATGTGCATCCCACAATGCTCTTTCCTTGTACGTGACTCGGCCCTCCCAATCCACCAATATTACTGTCTGTCTCTGTGTGCCATAGGCACCCCTGTCAAAGATAGCCGGAGCGTCCGGATGATCCGATTCTTCCGCCAACTCACGGCTTTCATCCTCGATCTCGTCGAATGCGGGCTTCATTTTGCCTCTTGCGACGGCCGCTGCCATGTCCCGGTCCTTTTCCTCGTCACTGATTGCCGGGCAGAATATTGAGTTCTTGAGCTGGTCGACGTAGCTCTCGTGGTCCAGCCCGGGGTCTCTCGCGGGCATCGTGTTGGTGTCCAATACCCCGAATAGTAGATCGAACAGCTCTTCCTCGCTCGCATTTTGTGACACTGCCTTCTCAATAGCATCCCGCGCTAGTCTCCGTCCCAACACAATCTTCGGCCATGTCGGAGAATCTTCGTAGATGGTATTACTTAGGCCCCAGACACCATCCCTCTCGCCGCCGATCCGCGGGACGCCAGAAACGGCCTCACTGCGGTTCGAGATGACAACCAGCGGGCCCAGGGCCTTCTGCTCGCCATTGACTCCTCCATCGGTCCCAGAGGTACGCGGTCTCGCCTTCAGGTCCCCGCAGATCAACGAGAACCCGCCCACCCCCTTCATCAGCTTCTCCGCCAGCGTCCTCTCGACAAACGCGTCCAGGCTCTCCTCCTCCGGGGCGCCCAGCCACGCGTTCACGATCTCGCCGCGGCTCTTGACGCCGAAGACATTGTGCGCGTCGGCGGGGTCCACGTGTTCCCTGAAGTTGGTGAGCACGGCGAGGCGGCCGGTCTTGGTGATCCCCATCCATGTGCCGCGCTCTCTCCGGAGAAGGTCCCGGGACGATAGGATGGTGTTCCCCGACGGCCGGTGGGTCCAGAAGTGCGGCCGCGACGTCGGGCGCAGGATGTACTCCTCCCTCGAGTCGAGGACGATCAGGGCGTATTTGGGGTGTGAGGTGGCGAGGAGGGCGATGCACATCTTTGCTGGTTGGTGGATGGTGTACTGATGTGTGTCTTTGATGGTTGCTTCCCTTTGCGGTGTTCTACAAACTTGCGGTGGTAAAGAAGTAAGAATTCACAGATACTGCGGCCAGGTAGAGTATGCGACGTGGTAATAAGTCGGGGTCCGCCTTGACACGTTTTGCCTGTGCTTTCGCACTCTCTAATATTCAAAGTCTCGTGAGGTCTCGTGACACGAAGGAGAACCAACGGAGAAGATTCGGGCCTCAACGAGCCCGACTTCCAAACCCGTCTGCTGAAAGCGGTGAGGTCCGCTGATATGCGCCTCCACTGAGACGTGCAGAAGCTACTAAGATAGGTGATGTGGCAGGCTGTGAAGGTTCATGGGTGATACCGGCCTCGACTCAGGCCAAGTGTACAGCGCATCAATCGGGAATGCAGGTCCGTGATGTGAAATGCGGCCTCATGCATTGGACGTGTTCCAGGCCGTTGGGTGTCCCGGCCGTTACCGGACGGGAAAGTTCGTGGGGCAATCGAAGCAGAGGGAGGGGGGGTGGTTGCCACTGCGAGGCCAGTGCGTCCCGCCCGTACTGGGTACTGGGTCGGCACGCCATGTAAGCGTCAGCGACGTCACTGTGAAGATCACAAAGGAGAACTCTATATGGTTCATATTAGATCGGGGTGTTGTTCATCCTCACATGGAGCATACATCGTCATCTCGATCAAAACAAACGCTTCGTGGTCCGCTCTGGGCTTTGCAATGGTCTGGCAAGCATTCGTTTCCATCACAAGGGGCGCATATTGAGCTATAACACTAGACTACAGTCAAAAAGCGGGTGGCTCGCATAGAAACGATGAATAAGCATTGGACTCGTTTGTACATCCATCTTGTATAGTATAAAAAATTGTTCAGCTTAGCTCTTGGGGGTCTTACAAGCCACGACCCAGGTGTCGTTCGAAAGCCCTGACCAGCTTTTTAATAAGCATCAGCCTTTCCTAGCATTTTACCACAGTTTTAAGTCGCGCGATAAGGTGCAAGATTTGTTCTTTTCTGTATATGTTCCTTGATATAGAGTGGAGAGTTTCCCCCTTCGTTATGCTATAAAGAAGACTATTACATAAACTTATATTCTACTCCGATTCGTAAAGTATGATTTATCTATATTTATTGGCAAAACGAATACAATATCGATTTGGTGCTTGATTATATATACTTGATTGTGATCTTATTTCAATATTATATCCCTAAATTGTCGGCGCTGTCAGCACATACGACCATAGCTCTTAGAAACCTCGGCATCCCGTCCGCTCTGCCCTAGATAAACTGAGAAGCGCTGGATTAGTAGTTGGATCGGTGACGGCCAGCGAATCCCCGGTGTTGTATGTATTCGATTTTTCTTTTTGTTCGTAACTCGATGGCTGTGGAATGGAAGAGAAGCGTAAAAGTTCGACGCGAACATCGGGAATTACCAGAGCTAGCTCGTTCAAGGATGGGTTACTTGGCCGCTTTTGATGCGGCCAAAATCCGTAGAGAGAAGTGGGGATTAGACTAACAGAAAGACCTCCTGCAACAGCCAAACCGAAGGAGCGCCAGGGGGTGCATCACAGCGGTGGTGACCAATGTGAATCAAAATGATTAGACCGTCCGCTGTTATTACCATAAATGCATGCACTCGAAGGTCTGCCCGGTCCTCCGGGAAACGACAAAAAGCAATCGCTGATAATCTAAAATTTATGGGGTTTCCTTTGCATTGGCGTCCTTATGGTGCTCTTCGATGCCAATCTCTCGTACTTAGGTTTAGTGTACTCAGAACCTTTTATACTAAAAGGGGAAATAGGTGTCGCGGCTTTGGTTATATAACTTTAATGGTGAGAATCCATTCCTATGGCTTGACCCGAGTAGTCAGCTACCCAGTTAGTAGCCTCAAAGTACTATAAGCAATGCTTCTAAGTATACTCCGTGTAAGAACTCCTATTCTCTACATAGTTTAATCCTGCGTCAATTCCAACGCTCACGCATTCATAGTACTACCATTTTCCAAGTACACACATGCTTAAACTGTATAATAAATTTCAGGTTTAGCATCCGGGCTTAGACTTTGAAATAAAGCCGGCTTTGACTTTTGTACGGTGATTGAGCTTTATATCACAGCGCGTGCCATAACAGCCTGCCTGCGTGTAAGTTGAACGACATAGACGCGTGGGCTAACGTGTGGGTGGAGTTATAAGGTAGAGTGTGATGAAGATCGACAGAAGCATGTAGGTTAGATAACACATGCGGAGGATGTGGGGACTGTCGGGCCATAAAAGGCGGTTGTGTTGGAATATATTATTCGCGGTCTCGTACGACGGTTGACTACGTAGTATAGGTAGTCACCGGCGTGCTGGCAGTAAGCCACCACAGCCACGATGTGGCTGTCGGCAGCCAGCAGCCGTGCGGGTGAACCCCCAAACCCCTATCTATAGACCACGTACGAGGGGAAGAATCCCTTCTTCTCCTTCGTACGATAGCGCTGAATAGATCTATTTGTCGCCCACACTGTACGGAAAGAACTGAATGGAGAAGCCATTCCACAGGTTGAGCTATTGAGCAGCGTTCATGTTAGACTTACTCTTTAGCTTTGATATTTTCGCCAATAGATATGGTCAAAAGCAACTGTCTCTTTGCAACTAATGTCGCCGTGACACTTGAAAGTATATCTTTCGTAGCGTGGAAGGCACGTCCCAAAAATAGGGTACATCCCTGCCTGTCACTGCGTCTTTTCAGGCTGATGGAGTATGGTAATCAGGATACCAATTCAGATTTCCTGTGCAGCACACACTATAGAGACTTAAACGTAGACTCCTATAAGCGCCTTAGCAGTAGTTAAATTGACAAACCTTTCCTCGTCCTCCGACTTTGAAGCGCCAGAGAATCTGGCAAATTTGCTCTTTGCGGGTGGTGCTTATTTCCTGGTTTGTCATATAGTACGGACTGGAAAGGCAGCGTTGTTAGTATGTGTCCTCCCATTTGGGCCCGCTGGCGAGAGGCAGCCAATAGAGTTTGACTTCCCAGTGCCGGGAGAAACCACGGGAGATGACTGAGATTGCAACGAGCGGTCGATAGCGGAACTACACATTAAATGTTTAGCATCATCAAGGTATTCCGAAATCGAGTCAGACAAACTACACTCCGTTTAGAAAGTCCCGTAGATTCCTGTGGTTATTGTTCGTCTGACGGAAGCAAAGACCCATTACATGTAGGAGTGGCTGTCTTGAGAACGACTTTCGAGATGCTTCTATTGTGCATTAGCTCCAAGCCGTAAGTGTTAGAATGCAGTCAAGTAAGTATATAATTATGAGCCCTCCCAGACCGTTCCGGTGGCACGCTACCATAAAAATAAAAATAAAGAGTTGAGATGAATCAAGTCTTCAGTACAATAAAGTTCAGGTTCAGTGTCCGAGTTAGGTATAGAAGAGGAGTATAAGGCTCGATTAAACTGACTCATCTTCTGAGAAATCTAGTAATACGACCCGGCCCGAAATACAACCGATCGCTACGGCTGAACCTGCCACGGCTGACACCCCTGGCCGATAGTCTGGGGGCAGCCAGAGCATCTTTGCTCTGTTGTGTAGAATCCATGTACAGTCGGCATTAAGGCTATAGCTGTACTGTCGAAGCTCGTGCTGTTGCCGTTCTTGTTGTGTCAGCTCTTGTAGCTGATAATTGGATACATCAGTATTATTAAGAATAAATGTACCAATATTTGTACGGAGAAATTTGCCGTCTGGTGAGAACACGATCGAACTCACCGGACTGGAATGACCCTCGAACGTCTGTAAACAGGCGCCGGTCCGATCCCAGAGCTTGATTGTATCATCTTCTGAAGCTGACGCTAGTAGTTGGCCGTCTGGTGAGAACACGACCGAACTCACCGGACTGGAATGACCCTCGAACGTCTGTAAACAGGCGCCGGTCCGATCCCAGAGCTTGATAGTCTCATCGTCTGAAGCTGACGCTAGTAGTTGGCCGTCTGGTGAGAACACGACCGAACTCACCGGACTGGAATGACCCTCGAACGTCTGTAAACAGGCGCCGGTCCGATCCCAGAGCTTGATAGTCTTATCGTCTGAGGCTGACGCCAGTAGTTGACCGTCTGGTGAGAACACGACCGAATTCACCCAATTAGAATGGCCCTCGAACGTCTGTAAACAGGCGCCGGTCCGATCCCAGAGCTTGACAGTCTTATCGTCTGAAGCTGACGCTAGTAGTTGACCGTCTGGTGAGAACACGACCGAACTCACCGGACTGGAATGACCCTCGAACGTCTGTAAACAGGCGCCGGTCCGATCCCAGAGCTTGATAGTCTCATCGTCTGAAGCTGACGCTAGTAGTTGGCCGTCTGGTGAGAACACGACCGAACTCACCGGACTGGAATGACCCTCGAACGTCTGTAAACAGGCGCCGGTCCGATCCCAGAGCTTGATAGTCTTATCGTCTGAGGCTGACGCCAGTAGTTGACCGTCTGGTGAGAACACGACCGAATTCACCGGACTGGAATGACCCTCGAACGTCTGTAAACAGGCGCCGGTCCGATCCCAGAGCTTGATAGTCTTATCGCCTGAAGCTGACGCCAGTAGTTGGCCGTCTGGTGAGAACACGATCGAACTCACCGGATTGGAATGGCCCTCGAACGTCTGTAAATAGGCGCCGGTCCGATCCCAGAGCTTGATTGTATCATCTTCTGAAGCTGACGCCAGTAGTTGACCGTCTGGTGAGAACACGACCGAATTCACCGGACTGGAATGACCCTCGAACGTCTGTAAACAGGCGCCGGTCCGATCCCAGAGCTTGATAGTCTCATCGTCTGAAGCTGACGCTAGTAATTGACCGTCTGGTGAGAACACGACCGAATTCACCCAATTAGAATGGCCCTCGAACGTCTGTAAACAGGCGCCGGTCCGATCCCAGAGCTTGACAGTCTTATCGTCTGAAGCTGACGCTAGTAGTTGACCGTCTGGTGAGAACACGACCGAACTCACCGGACTGGAATGACCCTCGAACGTCTGTAAACAGGCGCCGGTCCGATCCCAGAGCTTGATAGTCTTATCGCCTGAGGCTGACGCCAGTAGTTGGCCGTCTGGTGAGAACACGACCGAATTCACCCAATCAGAATGGCCCTCGAACGTCTGTAGACAGGCTCTCCACTCCGCGTCTGCTTTTGGTAGAGATACCCGCTTCAATCGTTCTTTGATAAATGTTTTGCGAATTTTACTTTGAATTGGGGAAAAAATAATTGCTGAGAAGTAGAGCTGAAGAGGAAACTGGCTTATTATTAATGCGTAATTGAGAATAAACCGGCTCGCATCATGAAGGAACTCTTGGACAACCGTCCCAGACTATCAATTAGCACAATTCTTGAGCAAGGTTCTTTCTAACTTACCTCAACAAGCCTTTGTAAAGTATTAACCATTTCGATGCTTTCGTTTACTTTGCCTAAGAGGCACAGAGCCTCAAGCCAGTGAAGGAAATGATGATTTAAGAACTTATGAACTGGATCCAAGTCTCGTAACCTGCCATTGCTTTGTTGCAAATGATGCACCCAGTACAGACAGGCGTACCGGATATGTGCCGGGAGATAAGTGCTTATCTTGCTGGCAGCGTCCGCGCATCGAGAGCCAGGAGCTCTTAGGCCGCAGATGTCTTTTCTTCGGAGGCTGTCGTTCATGATTTGGAGGCATCTGTCTGCGATCTTAGTGTGATAATCTATCTCGTCTATAGAGAAGTCATGTGTATGATCTCGGTTGACGAGAAAGTCGCGGAAGGACAGGTGGAACATTTTAACTGGAGAATTTGTCTTAGATGGAATATCGATGACAGAATGAAGGCGACTGAGCTTGGCGCAGATGAATTGTTGAGTATGATTAAGGAATGCAGAGAGGGACGATATTGAGAGCGGCTCAGCGAGCAGCACAATAGGACCAACAATATCACGGAACTCGTTCAACGTGCGATTTTTCGACTTAGCGTTCCTGACAAGCTGATTAAGGACAGGGAGGTACGTAGGGCCAAGTTGGCCCAGACCAGAACCGGGTGTGGTTTCCCGATACTGCAAAACTTTTTCTAGTTGGCTTTTAGGGTCCAGAACCTGGTCATCATCAATGAACCGGCATATCGTGGCGGCGAAGATGAACAGCGGGACGGCCATGTGGACAAGGGTTGAAAGGACAGTTTGACCGGGCCAATCTGAAGGCAGTCGGACATCCTCAGGCATCACATCATTGTAGCTGTCCCTGACCTTGACAAGCTCATGCTTGAAGAAAGTGCAGATGTCGTGCTCGATCACTGGCGCGGGAATCTCATGAAGGATTAGATTCTGATATTTCCCCTTGATATTCGTGAAGCCGAGGCGAATTGGCAACTCAGGCCGGCTGGTAATAAAGGTCTTGAGGCGTACGTGTGAACTCTGCATTTGCGAGAGGAGCTGTATTATACGTTTGATATCGTCGTCGCCGTTACATTCGTCGAAGGCATCAACGACAAGCAAGAGGGTGTGTGCGTCGTAAAACTCTGAGAATGGTTGTAAGATGAGCTTGTCAAACTGCTCTCGTAAAGCTTTTCTAAAATTTGGGTCGGTATCTCTGGCTGCTCTGAAGGATGCTGCGATTTGGGGCACTTTCAGACCCAGTTGGGCGGCAAGCGTCGTAAAAAAAAACGTTGCTGTTCCTCGGTCGGCCTCGCCTCTCTTGAAGAAGAAGCTCGCGCCGAGAATTCCACGTTCGTTGAACCGTTCAGCAATAGTACGAGACACCGTAGACTTGCCGGTGCCAGCCATGCCGTTCAACCAATATATAGGTTCTCCGCAAGGATTATCGGCCCATTCGGTGATGTCGCGGAGAAGGTCGACTCGAGTATCATCCAGACATCGGGCATTAAACTCCTCGGCATGGCTGTCGAACATTGCGTCATACACAATTAGTGGATGGACGTTGCTTGCATCAGATTGGTAGTCGTTGTAAACATTTCCAACCTGGAGCCTGGCTTGCCCAGAGAGCGTGATATCTCTGGTGCTATTCATCATTGCGACAAAGGAAGTTACCTGGTGCGGGGTTATTTCCAGAACAAAGCGAAGAGAAATATCCCAGATACCCAATCAGGCTGCGGTGGGATATCATTGGACAGTAATAGCCGCCTTCGTGACTTGAAGCAGCTCAGCCGCATCCGTTGTCTGAAGCACTTTCGCAAGATCTGAACTTTGTTGAAAGAAAGAAAAGAAAAAAGGATCCAGAATGGCAGAAGCGTTCGGCATCGTGGCAGGCGCGCTGAGCGTAGCGGCTCTCTCTTCGACAACTGCGTTGACACATTTGCGTACATCCAGCTAGGTCGGCATTTCGCGCATGACTACGAGGCATGCCAACTGAAGCTAGATATTGCGGGGATACGGATGGGACGATGGGGACAGGCGGTCAAGATTAACGACGACCCGCAGTTCGACTCCGGCTCCCCGACCGACAAGTCCGTCCAAGTGACAAAATCGATCCTCGAGGAGATGGCGCTGCTCTTCCAGTCCGCACGAAATAGATACGAGCTCACCAAGGACCAGCAGAATCTAGGGTTGCTGGAGGACGAGAACATGAGGTCGGTGGGCCGGGCGCTGCATAGGCGGCTGAAAGACATCGTCCGGCAGAGACAGAAACAGACGAGCCTGGTGAAGAAGACAACGTGGGGGCTGCATGACGGGAAAGTTCTGGAGAACATTGCCAGTAAGATTGCCGAGTTTGTTGATGCTCTGGAGGACGTGTTCCCCGCGGAGGATGTCCATCGGAAATTGGTCAAGATCGAAATCGATGAAATGGACGAGCCGAGCTTGATATTGCTTAAGGATGCAGCGCGGGGGATTGACACGGCCCTGTCCGATGCGGCGGGGCAGAAGATTAACTTGATTGCGGGACGGAATCCGGCCAACAAGATCGAGTCAAGGACCAGACGACCAATTCGGTGGGGACAGTCACAGCGAAAGGCCGGTCCGGGATGCAGATTGAAAACATATTCGGGGGTAAGGGACTTTGGGATTAGGCAGGGAAGGTGGAGCCGTAGTCCGTTGCCGTAGCATTCAGTCCATTGTGAACGCTACAGATTCTCGCTCTTCTACATACCTCCTAGGTTAAGTGCGTCAACATGTCACGACGGAGCCAAACGCGCGCCCATCCAATGCGACGCGTTAGTAACGTCACTTCCGAGATGTTCATAAGTATTTAAGTCGAAGCAGGAGTCGCCATAGTCGAGCAGTCCGCACTATCGCGGAACTTGATCACATACTCTCTACCATTAATCCAGAAAGCGCGGCTTTTCCAATCGTATTGCAATCTTGGGCCGAAATAGACAATGTTAAGGAGGGGCCACTATGCATAATAATCAACCTTCAGTATTATATCACAAGCCTAAAGACCCATGGCGTGGCCCAAGATGCTCTCAAGTTGTGGCATGAAGTATGGGCGCAGTGGTCTCGAAGGAGTGACTACTACAAGTCGTTGCAGTCAATTTTCAGAAGGCAATAATTAGTTCAGGCCTAGACCAAAGTCACCCTATCTTCTAGAAAAAAGGGTCATGGATTAAGAAAAATACTGTTTCGATCGTCGCAGTGAATCGGAGATAGCGCAGTTCTTTGGGAAACAGTTGGAGTTAGAGAGTTGCGCAGTCAGTACAACCAGAACGTGGGCCAAGAGAGTGGTGGTGTATGATTTTCTGAGAAAGAGCTGGAGTTGTACCAGAGGTTGAGCTCTTCAAAAGGATAACAAATGATTCCGCATCGGGCCAGGCAAAAAGTTTTGTGCCTTTCGCGAATGGTGGCACTCAGGCAGTCCTCAAGAACGCTGACAACGCAGTCGCATACACGTCGAACCCGAGCAAAGACTCACACAAAATGGTCCAATTCTTGTGTGTACAATGTAGTGACCCTGTGCGCGAGCTCGGATACTAGGCTTGCCTAATCACGCTTTCTGGCGTGCACAAGATCGTGCGGTCAGGTCAGCCGATCGGATCGATATCTTCCTGGAGAGCGTGAGAGTTCGTCTTCCGGTACTAGCGGCAAAATAGGTTGAAGCCCTTCAAAGATTACGCATTAACGATCAGAAAGACCGGGGGTATACCAAACGGGAGAGTAGTTGCGCAGTTCCCGGGTTGGGAGTAGTCTGACTCCGACAATATTATGTGGGAACGATTGAATGTGGGCGATAGAGAAGTCTTGTGCTACTTCCCGGCTAGATCATGTGATGGGTGCATTGTTGGGATAATTGACCTACTCTCCGAATTTACGATTTGACATCGTTCCTCAAAATAAACTCGACGAAGACGTTAGGTGGCACGAGAGCCAATCCTTCGAAAACGATTGCGAAAGATTTAACCCAGACAATACAAAGAAACCGATATCTCAACGAGGGCTTATATTACTGCCTTGTACTGTAAGATTACCCTCCTAACTGTCGTCTTTATGGTATACAGAATTCTTACCAGATTTACCCAGCAACATATTTCTTTTCGACGTGCAAATTCACACTACACATTCTGTAGATAAAACAGACCTTCTTGTCATGCATAATCTCTGGTACTCATGAAGAGAAGTGGAATAGGAAAGATTTCAGAGATGTTAAAATCAAAGGGACGGAATTTGCCACCTTTGGTCATCTGATCTCTGGCTACGATGTTGGTCACTACGGTTATCTAGCGTCACATTGCCGAAGGACGACATTTATACTGATATGCTGCAGCTGCTGCGTATTTGCACAAAATATATGGCACTCTGAGTTCATGAAAAGGTTTTGTGACCGTGGTACGTGGAATCCGTATCGCCAAATCATTCTCGAATATGCTAGTTTACATCCAAATAAATTACAGATGCTCAGTGCCTTTCTTAGTCGTGAGTCAGATATCAACATATCAGCTGAATCTTTAGAAAAGGAGATCACGAATTGAAAGTTATCTGCACATAGTCTACAAAGGTTCTCCTGCCATACAAATGCCTTGAGAGTCATCTTCAAAGAATTTCCGACTGACCTATTGAAGAAGGGGCATGTTATCAGTTCGTTGACCAAGAACAAGTCAATCACACCGTGAATAATCACCTTCGTTCAACTATACCCACGAGCTGATGTATTGGTACAATAATAAAGATTAATAACTAAAGGTGTAATATCTATCGGTCGTAAGTGTCAATGCTACCTAACCCAATGCTATCATTTTTGATCATCAAAACTTTTCTTTTAATTGCATCGTCCGAATGCGATTTGACAGCCAGCAGCACAGTACTCGTCTGTCGAGCCACACCAGCCCCATTGCGAACAACAATTGTTGTTGGTACAAACATAGCCATTGGTACCTCCGCAGGTATCATCTGGGCTGGGCGTGCCACCCGAGGGAGGAGGAGTGGTGCCGGCTTGCCGATACCAGTTGGCGGCAGCATCTCCCAAGCAAGTTCCAACAGTAACGGCTGCGCGTCAATGTCAGCACAATGGTCCTGATCTACAGCAGTGGAGAGAACTTACGAGTAAGGCCTCTTGCCTTGACAGCATTGATAGACTCCTGGATGAGAACGTGCACAGTCTGAGCGTGAACATCGTGCATGAGGCTTATGGTGCCACCCGCGTTGAGGCCACTCTGGAAGTTCTGGAAAGCAACATCAATTGTCGCATCGTCATGATTATAGTCAAGAGTGTCAATATTGGCACTATATAGAAATTAGTACATAGAGCCACGTGCATGTAAAAGATATTGCCTACTTGATGACGTGATATCCGAGGTTCCCAAGGGTCTGCAGCGCAAGGGAGTTCGTGCTGAAGTACGGAGGTCGCATGTAGGTCGGGACCTTGCCGATGATGGAGGTTAACGCAGTCTCCAGCTGTGTCATCTGGGACGTGATGCCAGCTGCATCGAGGGTCGCCAAGTCTGCATGTGACCAAGTGTGCGAACCGACTTGGTGGCCGTCATTAATCATCCGCTGCACCTGGGCTGTGTAGTCGCTGGAAGATGGACCGTATTAGCATGGACTCTCTGAAGTATTTGTGAGATCAACTTACTAGATAGAGCCCCAGTTCTGGCCGTTAAGGAAAAAGGTTGCTTTGACACCGTTGTTTGCAAGGATGTCCAACAACTCAGCTGTATACGCAAAAGGACCATCGTCAAAAGTGAGGGCAAATGTTCCAGAAACAGTACAACTAGTTATTATTGATCCTACAGGCACAGCGGATTGCCGTTGTTGTACCTGGCTCACTGGCGACGCAACAGCGCCGACCAAGAAGGCAGCGAGTAGGGAAGCGCGCATGTTGAAGGAAGGATGTCAAACTTGATCTCGAGATGCTGAACACAAGTGTGAGTATAATCTCAGAAGATGCCGTATGCTCCAAAGTCTTCAGCAACGTGGCAAGCGCGGTTGTTTACATCTTAGCGATACGACCACAAGAGGAACTCAGGCTTATATACAAGTACAGTATCTTAAAATTCGCATAGATGGCAATTCGAGAAGAGATGATCCAGCAATGAGCCCAGGTTGCCCAGCCTCTACGCTGCCTGGATTAGACCAACTCTAGGGTTGATCAGCGCCACATACTACTCTATTTTGCATGGTCATGCGCGATAACGTAGCTAGAGAGTGAAGTGCGTCTGACCGTCTGACGTTAGTCAGGCTGCTGCAGTGTCGAACACGAAAATCATGGTGGATGATTTCCTGGGATTGTTTTTCTACGGACCAACCAGAAGTGGCTGGTCATCTCGACTATGGAATTGTCGGGCTGACTTTCTGCAAGAGATATGCAGGCCGTAGGCTGGCTCCCGTCCGATATGTGCCAATGTGCCAAGCAGAAGGCCATGTCCGGATGCGGTAAATCCGGCGTGTTGATGCCAAGAGAGCCAAGGTCGTATCTGATGAGCGACCCTTGTGCTCGGTCAACATCGCTCTGCTGATTGCGACAGACCCTTATGTTCAACAGCAGTGGTTGGGTGTGTCGGTCTCTTAGCGCTGCCTTCCAACATTTTCAGCTTCGTCCATCACCTGAGCATGGTGTTGACGCCGTGCATGAATGGCGCCCGTCACAGAGGAAGACCTGCACCGGATATGTACTGACTTCGCTTTAGCTTCGTGCAACGTGCTTTTTGTCTTGAACTTTATCGCATATCTCCCCACAAAGTCGCAGACTATCTGTGCGCCTCCGTCGGCCGGAGCAACCATGCTTATTTGAGGACTCAAATCCAACCTCATGGATACATGATGTATATATTTCGCCATACAAACCTCTCTACATATAACTACGGGGACGCCTGCGCACGCAAGAGAGCCCCCTCCCTTTAATTTCCCCTTACCCCGCAATGATGACCCCAGCTGCTTGGAGCACAATGCATTTAAGCTTATCATATGTGCCCAGAGAGCGACAAAGCGACAAAAAGGAAGACACTGCGGTAAGACCATTCCCTGTACATAGTTTCTAGGGGGCAGGGTGCAGTAACCGTCGAACGGGCAACAATCACCAGGCTGGGGTTACACAGTCGAATAGAACATAACATAACAACTTCTGCAAGTCCACCACATCGAAGTAAGCCCATACGGAGTACCCACGTCATATGAGTAAGATGTAGAGCGGCCGAAGTCATCTTTGAATAACGTGGGGGAGGGGGAAGAGAAGAGGAAAAAATTTACCACACACACAACGCTGACTGCCTCAGATCATTCGCGGAATTGACCATTGATCAAGACTGCGTCGTGATGCACTAACCAACCTAGCAGACCACCCAGACTACTGTAGTTACCATTTTAGCACAAACCCACCGGGAAGTGGAGTAGGGCATCATATGAGACGTCACTTATAGGCTCGTGGATGAACACGAACAACGAGCCAAGATAGACTACAAAATCAAGCGTATTTCAATCAAAATGAGGCCAAGGCACTACGAGCGACTTTTGGTCTTCAGCTCGGCGATAAGGTGACTCCTCCGATTACGAACTCTTGTTCCGTCCATTCGCTCTCCCTCCTTCATGGTTAACATGTATAGGCATCTTCAATCCCTGCTGGTGTAGATTTTCGGTGCCTCATGGTTGCATGGCGGCGTCCTTGAAAACTCATCAATATCTTTCTTTGCTTTTTGGCTGCGTAGGATTGCCGAGTACCCGGTGGGTTTTTGGTCGCGATGCAACTCGAGAGAGCAGCTTTTTATTTTTATTTTTAGTCAACAGTGTTCATGTAAAGACGACGCGTCTTATATATTGCGGATGGCGCTGAGCTGTACAGCAGACCGGCACCTGGGTACGACGATGAAAAACGCTTGACCTCGCGTCGTCCCTGCCTAATTATCTATGGGAAGTTCAGGGTGATGATTTGCTTTAATCATGGTGTCGGGGAAGTCTAGGCCCGATGAGTTTGACGGAACAAGATAAATTGAAGAGCGGGCATCCTTGAAAGACTCGGCTGACGAACCGTTGTCAATTGCAGAATGCTGACCATTCACTCGACAGGCATCATTACGGGACATGATTTGTCGACCGAACATCTGGCAATCTGCGCCATAGGCTGCGCTCTTCTAACTCGATGATCAAATTGTTTGTATGAGAGGCACTTTGGTCGGTGGTTTACAATGGTAGAACGATTACCATCGCTCATTTAATGAGGTCTATGAATATTTACATCCACACCATTACTTCGCATACATTTATTCGCAATGCGTTGATAATTATCTGCCTGGACTATTTGCAACGAGACAAAACAGTCAGCCACTTTATTTCCAATCTCTTGAATAAATCGCTCCATAATAGCCTAGAAATCAATAAAATTGTAAAGTCACCACTAAATGCAAGCATCCAGTTGTCCTTGAATGTGATACCACATCCTTTACCAGTATAATGTGAGCTTAGCTACATCAGCCACAACACCAGCTGCTGACTTTCATACAAAGGCATGAACTCAAGACATTGGCCTTCTATCTATTTAGAGCTGTCCACAGTGGGATCTGTCAAAGAATGCCAAATTTAGTGTGAAGCCCTCAAGAGTGAGGGAATAGAAGACGTTTAAGGATGCGACCGATAAGGGCTCCGCCCGACCGATCTGAATGATATCCTGGAAGATTGATTGAGAGTTTCTTACAAGCTTGGTCATGGGGATTTTGGTATGGTCCGGTTGTGCTGGGAAAGGACCTGTTCTAACTCGCGCCCGGTGAAAGTCATGACACCCAACCACTTCGTTGTTAAAAAAGAAGAAATGGTGTTATAATACTTGGAAGATGAATCATCCGCGGAGCGCCTATGAGCCAAGTACAACGTTGTGGGTTGGGGGCATTTTGGCTAGATGGCCCCGGCGGGTGACATCTATGTCATGTCTAGAGAGACAACGTCCACTCTTGGCGAATTTGACAAAATGACAGAGACGAAGAGGATGTTGCGAATTTCAAAAGTGTTTGCATTCATATCGTCAAGGGTATGTTGTAATACAAACATATTAAGATTATATACCACAATAATTTCAGGTCAAACAGCATCTTCATGAAATTTCAGGCTGTCGATAACATGAGCAAAGACCAACTACTTGAGATGATTAGCGAACCAGACAGCTGAAGTCAAAATAACGTCGGGAGACGATCCCAGGCCGTATGGTCTCAAGTATTCCGTGTCACAGCTTTAATTCTGGACCACAACTTCCCAGTATTATCAGGTCAAACTATTCTTTGGTAATAACTACTTCACGGACAACTCATTTGTCTACCAACAAATATCTCGAAGAGATCCCATGCCCCTAATAACCCATTTTAGGAGGAGCATTGTCTGATTTTGACGCACGTTCTTCGGTGAGTTTGAGCAATACTCAAGCTCATGAAAATCCTGGTAGCTGTGTGCTCAGGTCTCATTTTGGTAAAGAAAACGCGATCATGCTATGATCAGCAAACGCGACGTGTTCGCTATTGTTCTCTAGTGAAAGGTAAGGAGTCTGTTGCAACAGTACCTCAAGAAGTTCTCAAGACTCTTACAAAAGCCTTGCCTCTTTCTCTTGTGGAATACTAGTCTAACCTACATTCAGCTCCCCCTTCCACGAAGAAGGGGATCCAATTTTGCAAGTTCATAACATCAGGCCTCAAGAAAGCTTATGATTCCTAGCCAGGCGACATGATAATTAGGTATATCGTCTTGTATGTGATCTGAACATGGTTTGATTCATGCAAGGTTTGGGGAAATTGTGAACATACAATTTGGCCTAGGTTCGGGTTGCTTAGATATGTGACAAGAAGTTATAATATTTAACACAGGGTATCCCGATAGAACGACTACTGGTACGAATAGGTTCAAGACTCTCTTTAAGAGCTAACAGGAGAGGAAAATGATGAGTCTCGTGGTAGTTAACCACATGACCCCCCACAACAATATGGCCGCCGCTGTCGAAGCAGACGAAGTTGTGGTTGAGCTTAATATCTGTGTTTCTGTCGAGTTCAGCCACCGCGATGTCCTCGCCGTCGTTGATGTTTTTGCTGTTACCGGCCCCACACTCATACTTGTCATCCCCGTTTGTATCTGACTTGATGTTCCTTCAGATGCACTAACGGTCCCAGGTGACTGAGTTGTATTTGTAGTGCTCGCGATTGCAGTTGTACTTGGTGTCGATACTGAAATGCCCATTACAGAAGCATAGTGACTCGCAACTTCGCTTGGAAGGACGGGTAGATCTGTCTCCTCCCAAAGTACTGATAACTGATCGTGCTCGATGATCAGATTCGATAGAGTCGTGTAGACATCAGCAGTCGAAATATCGGGGTCCAGAAGGAATCTCGTAGGTGTAGTCACGGAGGATGTACACAGGTACGTCGTGTCGAATTGAGAGAAGCCACTATGTCATGTAAGCATTAGACCCATTCGGTCAGGCATGTCGAATACCGACCTTTCACAACAAGCGCCGCCCCATACCGTGCTTGCATTATCGACGTCGAAACTTGATGCCACTAAGCTCATGCCAGCAGGGCACACACCCGGGCTGAATGTTGGATATGTATCAGTGTATTGAGAAGGATGACACGTCGTGAATGCAGGGTCAATCCAGCCACTACTTGGGGTGCTCGTGCTTGGTTTGCCGCCAATGGGTGTCGGACTGCCAATGAAGACAGCATATCGGCCGATGCAAGATGGCGGTGGAGTGAAGACAGTAGTCAGAGCTGCAAGACTCGTAGAGGGAGCTGAAATATCTATGGCTACTCGTCAATACACTTGACACAGGTGTCATCCATCGCGTAGTATGTCTGTTGTAGGTCGTGGGAGCAGTAATTTATAGATGAAAATGACTCCCTTGAGGCGGGAACGATGTATTATAGCTCTTTGTTTCGCCAGCATCGTCAAAAATGGTTACCCGATAGTTACGCCACTTGATTCAGCTTTGGTTTGACCACCACAATAACGTCATAGTCCAAGAACATTTCTCAATCCATTCATAGCTTCCCACCTTCTCTGATCCGTGTGTATGCATAGTGCCAACCCTCGCGCTGCATGTCTTCGCGTACTTTGTAGTTGTCTTCGGCGATCCTGAGAATGTCCAGGTCCAGATCCACGATATTCATTCCTTCGGCTCTGCCCATGCGACCAAGAGAGCCCACATGGGGTGCTGCTACCTGGCTTAGTCCTGCGTAGTTAGTCTTCTCGCCCCTTTCTGCTGGGCCACCCGCGTTCACGAATACAACGGCGCAGGTGTTCTCGTAGGCTCTGGTCACAACCGTGCTGTTGAGGAACACAGCTTCGCCATCGGAGTTCAGTGCGTAAGCCTCGTCTGTGACATCCTTCATGGTCCAGAAGGAGGGCACTACGATCATGTTCGCACCATCTGAGATGAGTTCCCGGAAGCCTTCAGGGAATGCGAGATCCCAACAGACGAGCATCCCGACTCGGCCAAGTGGGGTATCAAAAGCTTCGTGCGGTTCATGTGCCGACGAGACGAGATGATGACGTTCAGGATGCCAGAGATTCTTCTTCTGGTATCGACCGGCTATTGTGCCGTCGGACGATACAAAATATGCGACGTTGAGTAGGGCATCCTCGTCGTTATCCTTCGCTGATTCCACAATCGTACCAGGTACGATGCAGATGCTGAGCTCCTTTGCCAGCTCTTGATACTTGACGAGGTACTTCTGGGAATCGACACACGATTGCTTGAAGCTGGGATCATCTGGCACCCAGGACGTGAGATGGTACTCTGGAAGCACAGCTAATTGGGCCCCCTGAGATGCAGCATCTCTAATAAATGATTCGGCCTTGGCGAAGTTCTCGGCTGGCGCAATGGCCTATCCGTGGGCTGGTCAGCCACTGCTATCAGGTCTCCGTTCATACCCAAATGAGCTCACTTTTCCTGCACAGCCTTTCCTACCATCACCAACACCTCACAATGGCGCATTGAGTTTGAGAATACGCAAATGACGTAGTGGGGATGGAGACCCGGTAAAGGAGGGGCAAAGCAGTCTTTCGGGTATCATATCGTGGTTCTTATTCATCGAGGAAACTGACCTTTGGGTTTAGCTGCACAAGAGCTACCTTGACAATTGGTGCCATTTTCAGTAAGTATTCTCGGGAGGTTGAGTAAGACAGTCGTAGATGGTCGAAAATGCAGAACGGATCATTTTCACCTCCAACACGTTGGTATTGTGTCTTGTGTCATGTCATGGATACGTTCGTGGGGTTTACGCTATCGTGTGAGCGGGGGAGCCCCTCACCCATACTTTTCAACGTTAGTACTCCGTACTCCCAGCACAACGGACTGCACAGTGTCGCTGATGAGGGGCACCCGGAAGAGAAGAAGTCTTTCGGTATAAGTGAAGCTACACTAATAAACCAATGGTCCACCGTCTTTCTGCCAAAGATCACGAATTCATAATAGCACCGCAGCAAACATTGTCTTCATGCGTTGAGATAACTTTCTTCATGTCGCTCGCCGCATCGATTATATCGTCGATACGCTTGTCTTAATCTCTATGGTTTCTTCTTGGCACTTTCAGTATACTAGAACTAAAAGCCACGCTTCAATCATGTCGTTGCAACCGTCTCTAAGCTCGCGGCTTCTCTCTCATCCTGAGACAACAACGCAGTACATTCGTGCGACACAATCTGCTTTCCTCAGGTGGGCTGGCCAGGGTCGATTATCACCCCTCGTCCTCTCTCAATGGCTGTCCCAGGATCGGCTCTACGCCCAAGCTTACGTGCGTTTTATTGGAGGTCTTCTATCTCGTGTGAGGCTGCCCATCACTCAGCCGTCTGTGGGGACAGTGGAGTGGCGCGTATTGAGCGTTCTGACCGAAGCATTGGAGGGCATTACAAGGGAGCTGGCATTCTTCGAGGAAATGGCGGACAAGTATCACTTGGATTTAGCATGTTCGGTGGAAGACCAAATCGACGCCACTCCACGCCGTGAGTTTGGTCCCAACACGGTCACCGCGGAATATGTGCATTTGTTCGACTCTTTTAGTGGCCCAAATGCTGGAATAGATACGAGCAGGTCACTATTTGACGGCCTGGTACTGCTATGGGCTACCGAAAAGGTCTATTTGGACGCTTGGACTTATGCCAAAGAACAGGGTCGTAGCCAGGACATCCAGCAGGAGGGGGAGGAGGATCTGGACGGAGGAGCATTGAGGAACGAGTTCATCCCAAACTGGACCTCAAACGAGTTCGTAGCGTTTGTAAGGGAAATCCAGGCCTGCCTGGACGATTATGCCGTGGCACACGATGACAGCGACCACGAAGACATCGCTCTGGACATATGGAAACAGGTTTTGCGATTGGAAGAGGGCTTCTGGCCCAATGTCAGCTCCAAGGACGTGGCATCTGCAGCATTGAAATGAGTATAGACAGACACGTCCAGAATATCTAATAAGCTAGCCTCGCCGAGAAACAAGGGTTAATGGTGAGTCCAAGATCCGAATATGCAAAGCATGTTTGCATGCGACACTGCAGGAGATAATTCGGGGTTAAAATGCCAGCCAGTCCCTTGGGCTTTTGCACTGACCAGAATTTTCAATGGCGGAGCTATGAGGCGACACCTTACTTTTTTTAGCAAAACCAAACACGGATTAGCGTGCGATTGCGTGATCGTTCTCAAGACGGCCGGAAGCTCAACTGGCGCATTTCAGAGCAAAACTTCAACATTTCCCTGCCCGACACCCGCAATGACGGTCGGCAAAGATGGCGCAATACCGTGGACTGACATCTCTCTGCCGGTCATCGGTGGGTGAGGTAGGTGACTTTTGTAATTTTTATGATTCGTCGTTGCGCCCGGGTTGCTTGCTCTGCAGACACAACAACTTCCCCAACACGAGAACCGTGGCTGTCTGATCGGTCCTTGCTATTTGTTATTCTTTCAAGACATCTTCCTGATCTTGGAACTATTCCTCTCTCCCTCTCTACCTCTTAATTCCATTCATTTGATTGTGTTGTTCTGCTCAGCGTTGTTTGCAGTCTCAGGGTCTAGGACCGGTCCTCGACTGGTATATATACACATATATACACAATGCAATTGAAGCAGCAGGAGAGCAGCGGTGGCGCGGATGTCACCATGACTGATGCGAAGAACGACCGCGAGCAATTCACAAAGCAGTCCTCCAGTCTGCCGTTCGGCCAGCTTGTGTCACTAGACTCGATCTCCGGACCTACATATGTCACAGGTCAACTACTTGTCCAACAGGTTGCCTACAAGCTTTCCGACAAGATCTTTTCCTACTCCCCCGAAACCTTCGACCTCGACGTTGCCGTGAAGCATTGGGCCGAAGCCGGGGAAAAGAACATACACGGTTACCCCACCAATGTGTTGCCTCTGCAGACCCGTACAGGCGCTGGCGCATTTGCTCTTGGTTACATCTTCTCCAAGGATTTCGACTTGAGTAAGAGGCACATCCCCCAGACTCTGTTGGCACCTTCCTTGAGTCTGCGCCACTTGCGCTCGTCTTTGGATCAGCTCGCACTTCTTTACGGAGTTGCCAGCCCTTTTGTCGCCCACATTGCCGCAGCAGACTATTCCTCTGATGCCGGGCTTGTCAGCGAATATGGCACTGCCTTGCAAGTCGCTGAGGACCTGGGACTGGGTCTGGTCTCGAGCACTTCTGCCTACGAGGCTCAACACATTTCTCTGTTCGCAACCTTGATGGCCAAGTTGCTCCCTACCCTTCACATCTACGACGGCGTCCGAGCATCTCGCGAGACATTGCGTGTCATCGACGCGCTCAGTGAGAGCGGGATCGCAGACGTCTACAACAAGATCTCAAAGGCTGCAGACAACTTGAACAAGCGTCTCGATGAAGCCGGCAAAGTCGCTGAACTATTGAAGGCCTTCAATGGCGAACTTGGCACTGACTATGAGCTATTCGAGTATATTGGAGACAAGGCAGCCGAAACGGTCTTCGTTGTTTTTGGCAGTGTCGAGTCTCAGCTTGCCAAGCAGATCGTCGAGGTCCTCGCCTCCAAGGGTATCAAGGTGGGCGCCATTAGTGTTCGCGTGTACCGGCCTTTTGTGGAGGAAGCTTTCCTCAATGTCCTCCCTGAGACTGTCAAGAACATTGCAGTTCTTGGCCAGGTCAGCAATGCTACTGCTGTCGCCGATGTTTCGGTTCAGTCGGCACTTTACGCAGATGTCCTCACGGCTGTATCTTTCGCCGACAAGTGGGCCTCCGCTCCGTCAGTGGTTGACATGAAGTACCCGGCCTCTGAAGTTTTCACACCAACCAGTTTTGCTTCTGTCCTGTCCAAATTCATTACCAAGGATGCTTCGGCCGAGGTCAGCTTCGAAGTCCCACAACTCGAGGGCGTTGGGCAATACGTCTTCTTGGACGTTGATAATTCCGTGTCTGTACATGCGCCAACAGTCATTGGTGGACTCCTTTCTCGCGACTCGGCCAGCAATGTCTATGCAAGCGAGTCTTACGACAACTTGCTGCAGGGGGGTCTCATCCGAACGGACATCCGCACTTCTCAGAAGTCAATTGATGCCCCTTATGCCGTTGAAGAAGCTGATGCCGTCTTCGTCAATGAAGAGAAGTTGCTGAAGGAGGTTGCATCCTCCCAAAGTGTTAAGACTGGCGGCAAGCTTATCGTCAGACTGCTCAACTTCAAGGTCGATGAAATTGAGAAGCGCATTCCTGCTGCCGTTCGCAAAGACATCAAGGAGCGTGACATCGAATTTTACGTCCTCGACTCTACGGCACATGAAGACGCTGGCAGGTTTGAGAGGCTTCTGATTGAGCTTGCCTTCCTCAAGGTCGCCAAACCTGACATGAAGCCTGAGGTCCTCCAGAAGCTTATTGCAATTGAAGGCAACTCACCTACGTTTGAGGAGAGCGCTGCTGCTCTCGATAAGTCTTTGAGCAAGGTTGATCTTCCAGAGGCTGTCGAGGAGACCACCTCTTCGCCCTTGCCTGTCGCCCTAAAGATCAACAGCTTTGTGCCATTCGAGAAGGAGGAATCCGAACCAGAGCCTGCTGTCAGCGACTGGCAAACAGCCGCAAAGGGTGTTGTTTTTAAGGAGGCCTACGGAACCCAAGTCAGCCTTCGCCCAGAGCAGACCGTTACGACTCACACCATTACCGTCAAAGAGAACCGCCGGTTGACCCCTGGTACATATGATCGTAACATCTTCCACATTGAATTTGACCTTGGCAACTCCGGACTTACCTACAAGATTGGCGAGGCACTCGGTATTCATGCCGACAACGATCCAGAACTGGTCCAGCAGTTCATTGAGTCGTACGGCCTCAATGGTGACCAGCTTGTCCATATCCCCGCCCGAGAGGCCGGTTTTGTGGAGTCGCGCACCGCATTCCAGGCTCTTCAGCAGAACATCGACATCTTTGGCAAGCCACCCAAGCGCTTCTACGAGGCATTATCGGAGCTCGCCACCGATGAGATAGAGAAGAAGAAGCTGGCTGTCCTTGGCGCTCAGGAGGGTGCTGACGAGTTCAAGAAGCGCAGCGAAGAGGACACCATCACGTACGCCGACATCTTGGAAGAGTTCACATCTGCCAAGCTCTCTTTCACCGACATCGTCCGCCTTGTTGGTCCTCTAAAGCGCCGTGAGTACTCCATTGCTTCTGCCCAGGCTGTGACGCCAAACGCAGTTGCTCTCATGATCGTTGTCGTCGACTGGGTCGACCCCAAGGGCCGCCAGCGATATGGTCAAGCCACTCGCTACCTCAGCCAACTTCCAGTTGGTACACAAGTAACCGCATCCGTCAAGCCCTCGGTTATGAAGTTGCCCACTCGCGACGACGCGCCGCTCATCATGGCTGGTCTCGGTACGGGTTTGGCGCCTTTCCGCGCCTTTATTCAATACCGCGCCATGCAGAAGGCCCAAGGCAAGAAGATTGGTGACATCCTTCTATACCTCGGTTCTCGGCACAAGCGGGAGGAGTACCTTTACGGCGAGGAGTGGGAAGCCTACCTGGATGCCGGTGTCATCACGCACCTTGGCGCCGCGTTTTCGCGTGATCAGCCACAGAAGATCTACATTCAAGACCGCATGCGCCAGTCCATGGCTCAGATCGTTAAGGCATATATTGCTGACGGAGGTTCCTTTTACCTCTGCGGTCCTACTTGGCCTGTGCCCGACGTGACAGAAGTGCTTGAAGAGGCTATTGCGACAGAAGCCAAGACGAGTGGCAAGAAGGTCGACGCGAAGAAGGAAATCGAGAGGCTCAAGGAGGAGGGCCGATACGTGCTCGAGGTTTACTAGACTTGACTTGGTTTATACATAGCTTAGCGAGACTGTGCGTCTAGACAAAATCGAATGTTTTATCAATACTTGAAACGCAAGCCTTTGTGGCTGCTTCCCTCTAGACTAGATATGTTGCATTCCTTGAAGTTGGGAAATAGAGTAAACACCAAAAAATTGTCGCTGAAATTCCCCCATTCTGCATGTCTCGCCGAAAGACTATAACATTACTTAGGATGATTCGTGATCATGGCGCCAGTTCTCCTGCAGCATGACCGAGGACGCTACAGTTATATATGCACCACTGCAGCACAAGCCGTACATGACTAAATAGTGCTAGCGGCCGCTTCGCAGGCGATGCGTTGATTCTGTCAGGAACAAGCCTAGACTAACCTAACCTTAGACTATTCTCCACCTACATCGTTACTAGACGCGGTCGCTGTTGATACATTAGTTATTGGGTTCGCTAAAACAGGACAGAATATATTTTGCTATCAAGGCAGACCTCACTTCTTGCCTTGAGTTGCAGGGGTCTTTGATTTGACGTCACCACCAAGAGTTCCGTATAGAGCCACGTATTCTTGCCCTCTTTACCTTTACGCGTATTGCATGCGGCAGTCCAGTGCATGAGACTCACCACAATGCTACGAAGATCTCATAAGAAGTCCCGAAAGGGAACCAAATGTGACGAATGCCGTCGGCGGCATATCCGAGTATGAGCAAGCTTCACCGTCCAAGAGTCTCACTAATAGACTTTGCCAGTGCGATCAACGACGCCCCGCGTGCATCAACTGCTCACAGGCAGATCGCCCAGTAAGCAAATGCTGGGATTGTTTCCTACCAGTTTCAACGTGTTCATTGAGCATATATGTACTCCCCATCAAGGCCATTTAGTCCTTTATGACTGTTTCACAATATTCCCGAAGACCACCCTTTCCGGACCCATTCTTGAGAAGCATTTACTGACGCCGAATGGTGTAGTGTTCCTATCAAGATCAGCCAATTCATTCTAATCTTAACAAGGCTGCCTCAGATTCACATGGGGACGACGTACATCTAGCGGAGTCGAATTCCGCCTCTCCGCCCACCAGTCAAGCTCAGGATGCTCCCAACCAGGCCGTGTTGGGTGGCCATCTCACCAGCAACAACACGGATAGTCTGGTAAATATGACTCATATCGAGCTTTTCAACCATTTCAACGACATCATCAACCCTCTGTTCGTCGGTAAGGACCCCGAACTTTGTCGTGACTATCTCAAGAACTATCACCAGGCAGCCTTTGCAGGTACTTACCTGATGCATGAAATTCTTGCTTTCGCAGCAAAGCATCTCAGTCTAACAGAAACGGCGCCGAAACCAAAGTTTTATGCAGACCAAGCTACTTTGCTTCAAACGAGAGCCTTGACTCTATTCAGTGCATCTCTTCAGGAGCCAAAGCCTGGTACTATCATCGCCACCTTCCTTTTCTCCAGCCTCCTAGGCACCCATTTACTTTCAGACACTATCGCGTTGCAACACGCAGATTTAGGTTCCTTTCTTGATGCTTTTGTTGGTTATCTTAAGGTCAGTCTATTCGGACCTATACTCAGTTACCCAGTCGACGCTCACATCAGTAAAGGTGTATCGTGGCGTCAGGCCGATTTTTGATGAGTATAGACAGTTTCTCCTTAACTCTCATTTGCAACCCTTTCTCGTTTGGGGATGGAACCTCAGTACGTCAAAAGGCGCCGGGCTAGAATGTCAGTCCATCCGAGAAATGATCTCCCGAGGAAGCCTTGACGATTCCGCTATGGAGGCATATACAAGAGCCATCGATTTGTTGCAGACTGTCATTGATGGATACAAAAACCGACCATCATTTCCTGGCCCAGCGCCATGGGTCACCGTATGGCTGTCCATGGTCAAGCCAGACTACACCGAGCTTTTGATCGCGCGACGACCCGAAGCCTTGGTGATATTTGCGCACTACGGAGCTATGATTCACTGCTATCACCGAGACCTCTGGCTTGTGGGGGACAGCGGGAAGCATATTATCGAGCTTGTGACAAAATCACTCGGTCCTGTATGGTCACCGTGGCTGAAGTGGCCTCACGAGATACTTGAGTTTTCACGTGGCTTCTTCACAGTGATCAGGGATCCGACATAAGTTTTAAATGCTAAAGCCAATATCCCCACCATACTTGGATCGACCCTCCCAGTCCTAAAACCCAACAAATTCCCAGCAATTTTTTTTACTTCTACGATGAGACTGGGAGAGCTCTCACACAATGTGTCTATTCCTGTCTATCACTGGCAATACACGGTTTGGGCGTGACTTCGAGATTATTATGGAAAGGAGTATCAGATCTAAAAATATTACCGATGACTGCTGAGTTACAGTTGATACTCCATCCTATCAATGGTGGTATCGATACAGAGATATCCAATAACAATACCTGTCAAAAACGAGGCAGCTGCAGTTTCGAGTTGAAGTTTGTGGCCCATGTATCTCGTCATGCGTCTTGTCCTTGATAACCTTCTACCTCGCAAGCATGGTAATCGATGGCATCTTAATTGCTCTATTCGTTTCTTTCGATCCAGTACCCAAAGAATTCTGTCACGCAAAGGCTGAGGAAACGGCCAAGCCCGAAGCAAGGTACTGCCGAACACGACAAGAGCATTGATAACAACAGCCAGAGGATCCGGCGCATAACGGTTATTGCACCCGTAATCGCCAAGGAAACCGATAGAAGAACGATGGATGCATTACTGAACTGAGTATCGATGTTCATATCGGCTGCCTAGTTCCAAAATTTAGTCGCCGAGAGACTGAGGAGGCTGGTGGTCGCGATGGATGGGAAATGCGTTAACTTTGTACTTCCGTGTCATTGAACTTCTGCTCAGATATTGCCACTTCTCAAAAGAATCCCTTCAGGCCGGGTAGAGCTAGAACTTTGCTTATAATACTGCATATTGAAGATCTTTGCGTACGTCAACATACTCCTGTTCGATCCAGAGGAGGGTCGAGTGGAGCTGCACCATGCCACAAGCATCGATGGAACCAGCCACGAAACTGTATCTCATACTCAATTGATTGAATGGAAAGTGCTAGATCTATTTGACCCGGTATTGTTTCGCTATTCAAGCACAATATGAAAGAGCAAGTGGGTTGAAACGGGCCGTAATCACTAATGGTCAGCGTTTGCTTTGACTACTTTGTTACACATGTGTCGGATATCTAGGGTGAACCGTTGATCCATCAATGCAGAACGCGGTCTAGTCGGTGTGTATCTACCATGGAATTTTATGGGACGATAGGCTGAATAGGTTGATCTTCCGAATATCCTCACTTACACGACATGCATCCATGGAAGCGAAGATTGAGCGTATGGCGTTCGGTTAAATTGATAAATAGAAAACCTATCGACAATCTTCTTACAAGGCCCCATCTACATGATTTGGATCCAGTCGGTAATGAGGCCATGGTGCTGGAACCCGTGATAACGCAAACCAGCATTTTGTAGTTACCTAGGTTAGGTTTTGTGAATATATTCGTTATTATCAGATCATATTCGTAACATGTGATATATTTCACAGATTCTAGAAACCATCAAGTGACTGTGTGTATTGTACCCATCTGTTCATGTGCCTATTTAATGTGTCATGGCAGCCTCGAACAAATTTCTCAACTGCTCTCTCTCCTTTTCTAACTCCGTCTGCAGACCTGGCGCAAGCATCAACACCCTGGCCTGTGGTATTGTGCCCTCGACGAGCGCATCGATATGGCTATTGTCAAAACCTAAATCTTTCAATCCTTTCGGTTGGTCCCCAAGCTCCGCCAGGAACTTTGTGATGGCATCCGCCAGCACTGCGCCGGCGTCCTCGCGCTTGACATTTGAAATATCCACACCAAAAGCCTCGGCAGCTTGCAGGTGGCGCTCCGGGTTCGAAGCAGCAGTGAATCTGAACACAGCCGGCGCAGATACGGCAACCGAAACACCGTGGGGGATGATAGGTGTGTCGACCTCGTAGCCACTGTGCTTGTAACCTGGATTCTGTCCTGATATCGGGTAAGACATTCCATGGCACAGGTGCACGCCCGCGTTACCGAACCCGACGCCTGCTAGAGTCGCAGCAAGAAGCATTTCGCTCTGGGCTTCGTAGTCTTCCGGGTCTCTGACTGCCCGCGGAAGGTATTTGACAGTGGCTCTTAGTGCGCTGAGCGAAAAGATGTCGCTGATTGGGTTTGCGCCTTGGTATGCAGGTCTCAAGATGGGATTAGTAGGTCTTGGTGTTCTCTGGGTGTATGGAATGGCGGTCCATGACTCGAGGGAGTGGCAGAGTACATCCAGACCGGAAGACGCCTTCACGGCTGCTGGCATGGTTCTGGTGTTCAAAGGATCGCATATCCCCAGCGTCGGCTTCAAATTACGATGCGCAATACCTGTCTTTGCCCTCTTAGACACCAGGTCGAAGATTGCTGTTCCAGTTGTCTCAGATCCGGTTCCGGCAGTGGTTGGGACAGCAATCAGAGGCTTGAGCTTTTTATCAATCGGACGTCCATTGCCAAGTGGAGCGTTCACAAAGTCCAGGAAGTCGGCCTCTGGGTACTCAGTGTAAAGATTCATGAGCTTGGCAGTATCGATGACCGATCCACCGCCAACTGCCAGGAAGGCATCCGGGCTGTATGGCTTGGCAAAAGCAATAGCTTCCTTGATCCTGATGGCAACGTTAGACTGCAAAGTATGTATGGTAAAAATAAATATGAAGACGTACGAGCTGTCCTTTGGCTCAACCCTGACTCTATCGAAAACCTCATATGCAATACCCTCAGCTGTGAGGGCCTCCTCTACTTGCTTCATGGCAGTTAACTGCCTCACAGTAGAGTCCGTCACGACACAGACTTTCTTGGCGCCCATGTTCTTAAAGTCCATGCCGACCTCCTTGGTAACTCCAGGTCCAAAGCGTATCGATGATGCAGCCATCTCGAACGCATATTCTGTCTGCTGAGACGAGTCCAGCACCGATGCAAACCTCCGCTGCGACTGGTGCTGTGCATACCTATCTACCTGAGGCTTCGCATGGTGATGATGGTGTCCTGGGTTTGAGTGGCATGGACAATTGGGCGGGTGGGTGTACTGTACTGTTCTCAACAGACTCGCCGCCCTGGTAGCGGCCTTTGGCTTTGTCAGGATTGTTTCGTCTCTAAACGTGGTCATAAGTAGAGAGGGGCTTACACTGGGTACTGCTCTTATCACGGCGACCATTGCGGCTATATTCCTCAGGAAGAGGTTACTGTACAGATTTTTCTATGACACGGAAACAGTCATGATGCCATATGTTGACTTCAAGTCTCCATAAATCCAAACACCCTGCAATGAGGGGAGAGAACACGCCTCCAACCCGCGGCTATCCTCAAGTGGTGAGCCGGCTTAGGGAGCTTGGCGCATTTTGGGGATCTTGTGGGGTAGCGCAATGAGGGGAGAGGCGGTGCTGGTTCTGTACCCATGGAATCCGTACCCTCGGCACTCCACCATCAATTGCGGCGGTATGTAATGCGGAACTGGACTACTCCGTAATGGTACCCCATCACTACGAGACAAAAGGTCCCCCTTCCCAAAGCAGTTTTCATGGTGGAGACCTATTCATGATAATGCACATGTCCTCAACACCCGCTCGATCCCGGCACTCCGTATACTGGAACGTGACCCAATCTAAGGCTGCCATTTAGGAAGACCTCATCAATGACTGCAGCATTCGTAATTTCTTTTATTAGCGGTCAGCTCACTAAGCCAGCACGTTGATCGATGTCCTCCAACCAGATGATGAATCAGGCGAGATTGGCAGAACCCTATATTACGCCTGACAAGCTATAGAGGATAGCATCTCACAACTGAATCCATATGATTCGCCAGTTAGCCACACAATCCCGGCTTGATTTGAATGGATGAGTAAACAGAGCTCCGAACTCCGTATGTCGACCTAGCGGGGACGTGAGATGAGATGGGGGGGGGGGGGGGGGGGGGGGGGGGTTCAGCAAGCGAATGATTATGAATATATATATTCTTCCCTAACAAGACGGACTATGCTGTTCAAGTCGGGAATTCTACACCAACAAATCCTGTCTCGACAGCCACGGAAGATCCCTTCACCATGTCGAGCTCCACCGCCTCACAACCCGCCTCCCAGGAGCAGGAGCCGCGGCTGCGCATCCGCGCCCTGCTCCCCAAGCTGTTCCTTGGTGACTACAGCACCGGGCCCCTGAACTCCCTCACAGATGTCCCTGGCGTCAAGGTGCACACACAGGAGCTCTTCTCCCCAGCTGGCACAAACACGGGTGTGACCTGTATCACCCCGCGGGACTCGTGGTTCAACAGCGCGTGCTACGCTGGCATGTTCACCTTCAACGGGTCCGGCGAGATGACTGGCTCGCACTGGATCCACGAGACAGGACTGCTGCACTCTCCCATCATCCTAACCAACTCGTTCAGTGTAGGCGCCGCTTACGAGGGCATTTATCGGTATGCAGTCGGCAAGAGCACTAGTGGGAACATTGACTGGTTCTTGCTCCCTGTCGTCGGGGAGACATTCGACGGTTACTTGAACGACATTGCTTCATTCGCCGTCAAGCCAGAACACATTGTCCACGGCCTCCAGAACGTGAGCAGTGAGCAGGTGAAGGAAGGCAACGTCGGCGGTGGAACGGGTATGATCTGTCATTATTTCAAGGGCGGCACAGGAAGTGCGAGCAGAATTGTCGAGGGCGTGGACACGGAGGGCAACAAGAAGGAATATACGGTCGGGGTTTTAGTTCAAGCCAACTATGGCAAGAAGCCGCATCTGAGGATTGGAGGTGTCCCGATCGGCCGAATCCTTGCGGAGGAGGAAGCCGAGGCTGCCAAACAGGATGAGCAGAGGAAAAAGGCGATGGAGGAGCTAGACAGCGAGAAGAACCGAAAAGATGGCAGCATCATTATCGTCCTCGCCACTGATGCGCCACTCAACCCCACACAGCTGCAGCGCATCGCGAAGCGGGCCACAGTTGGTTTGGCTAGGGTCGGCGGCCATGGACATAACCCGTCCGGCGATATCTTTCTTGCATTTTCGACCGGTAACGAAATCCCTGTACAGACAGTTAGCAGCACGAGACGTGTGGTAGACCCTTTCAAGCCGAGGCCGTTGAACGTGGAGGTTATCGATGATACTTCCATCAACGGTCTATTTGAGGCTGCTGCAGATGCTACAGAGGAGGCAATATACAATGTTCTGTGTATGGCGGAAGATCTAGTAGGCTACAAGGACCGGAAAATCGGTGCCTTACCTCTGGGCAGGGTCAAGGATATCATGGAGAAATACTTATGAGTCACTAACGGGTCGTAGCAACAATCCTTTGCACGGCTTCACGACTGCAGGTAATCAGTCCAGACTTTCGATTGGGGTTCAATTGGGGTGATATATTCACATTCCGTTTCCGGATCTAGCTCAACATTCTGATGCTATTTATTTTATTGCTAGCCACTCTACTCATACAGTCTATGCAACTTACACGACTCATACGATTAGTGATATTGCGACCGACTGTGATTTTCCCCCCCGACCGCAGTCTGCACGAGCCTGAAGGTCTGGGCATGCAGAGCTGACTTCACAGAAGCAGGCTTCTAGAACACGAGAAATAAGCAGATCATCATGCCTGGTGGTCTGTTACATTGAATAGCAGTCGTCGTCCTTTATTTCGGCGGTTAGCGGCTTTTTGGATGTAGTGCATTGTGTATTATCGATCAAGTGCCAACGCCAACATGAAAGTTGTCCCTCAAGTGCAGCCCAGCGCCGTCCGCAAGCTGCTCGTCGAACAATGCCATGGCATCATGTGGTCATGCTTGACCCACACTATCACCCCCCGCAAAGCTGTTTGAAAACATTCCGACGAAATTCTCGTCTGATGGTAGTATTTCTCTTCAATGATAACTGAAGAGCCCAATTGGCCTTCACTGAAGCGTATTCGTCTCCTCGTAGCCCCCAAGGCGCCCCCCATCATGGCGCATAATACAGGACGTGCAACTCTACCAAGGGTTGTGTCGCCCTCAAAAGAGCATGTCGTCTTCTATTGTTGAATCCAAAGTGGGGAGATGTTCAAAACGTAAGAAAGAAATCGCAAGCCGCTATGATAATAGGTATTCAGACACATGCTTTCTCATGATCATGAAGGAGTTCATTGGCCCTTACGAGCCTTCTCTTGCTGGCGTGCTTCTCTTGCAGCGCGGACAAGGGGCGACAATGATGCCAGGTCGACACAGGAATTCATGAAGTTGTGCTATGGGCGTGTTAGCCACGGTGCTGTAATAGAGTACAACGGTGAAAGGGAATGTACGTACTCGCAATAGGTCATGGGCACTAGCTCTCTTCTCTGGATCTACCTTGAGGGCGAAATAGAGGAAGTCCTTGAAGACTGGAGACAAATTCTGCTCCTCTTTGATCTGAGGCGTACCGTTGGTAGCGATGAGCCACAGAGCTCTGAGAGGAGACTCTGTCAAATACGGGGGTTCGCCCTCAATCATTTCGATGGCCATGATACCGAGAGACCAGATGTCGACTTTCCGGCCGTACTCTTTCCTGGTCACAACTTCGGGAGCCATCCAGTAGGGTGTGCCAACCATTGTGGTACGCTTGTTGTGCGCCTCGTTAATCTGGGCACAGAAACCAAAGTCGGCTAGCAATTGTTAGGCCAGGCCCTGCACGGTCAAAGGGGAGGTATACTCACTCAGCTTGATGTTACCGTCTAGAGACAGCAGGATGTTGTCCGACTTGATGTCTCGATGGATGACGCCCTTGGAGTGCAGATGCTGTAGGCCTTTGAGCGTTTCCCGGCATACCGACGCGATTTGACCTTCCGTCATGATGTTGTAAGTGACGACGTCGGTAAGACTACCGCCCTCCATGTATTCCATAATGACCCAAAGCTCGCCGGTTGAGAGATAACTGTCAATGAAATTGACAATGTTTGGGTGGACACTGTCCTTCATGACAAGGATCTCGTTGATAATGAGGTCCTTCTTAGGTTGCTGTTCGAGGTTCATCTGCTTGATAGCTACCAAACGGTTGGATCCTCGCTCGTGTCCGGTGTACACGCCGCCCGAAGCACCCTGCCCAATCTTGGTGAACCCACGATAGATCTCACGGGGGTCACCATCTGAACAGATGCGCTTGAGAGCGGCGGTGACATCGATGGTGGCGCTTTGTCGTTGGCGGTGACGTGGTCGCGCCTGGGGAGCGGGCCCGATGCCGGGAGGTTGCCTGGGACCTCCACCGTTGGCGCTAGCTTCCGGAGGTCGGCCGTATTGGTTCTGCGTATTTGATGGCACAGGTTGAGCCTGAGGTTGTCTTTGGCTGGCAGAACGACTCAGCTGGCCTTTCATCGCAGCCTGTGCTTGCGCCATGGCTTGTTGCTGCTGCTGCTCCATTAATTGTTGTTGGTACGCCTGCTGGACGACAGGCGAGGGCTGGCTACCACCGGGCGTGTAGGGTGCGCTTCCATTGGCACGCGAATTCGACCTCGATCTTGTTCGGTGCTCCTCGGGAAGCATAGGGACGGGTTCCTTGGGAGGAGCATAGGCAACTGCAGGCAGATCGTCGCCGCTGTGGGCCATACCAATTCCCGAGTCCTTGGCAGGGTAGTGCTGTTGCTGTTGTTGCTGGTGCGATTGCTGGTACTGGTGCTGCTGAGGGGGGGCAGCAGACCTCGAGGGTAGAACTGTCGGGGGCTTCGGTGCCGGGCGGCTGGGCATGAGGTTGGCGTCCTTGTGCGTCGGTCTACCGGATGATGGTCCAATGCTAACGCCGGGGACGGGAGGCGGCGCTCGGGGGTTCTCGAAGGTGCCTTCATTATTCACTATTGGAAACCTGGGACTTGCTGGTGGACTGAGCATAGGTGACATACCGGCATAGTTTGAGTTTGGGGCGTAGACGCCAGGCGACGCTCCTCCTGATGGGGTGCGCAGTTCTGGGGCTTTAGCATCGTGGAACTTTTCAAAGACTTGGTCCTCATGCGGCTTCTCTGTGGTCTCTTTATAGAAAGTCACGATATTTGCAATCATCTGGGGGTTTTCCCTTTGCGCATTCTCGGGGATGCCGCTCTCGTTGATGAGTCGTTGCCATTCTTTGGGCAGGCCCTGTCGCTACATAAGCACGGTGCCATGGGGGTAAGGAAGCAGTGCGAGGAGAGCACGGTAGGACGCAAGGTTGTAGTAGAGTGTTACAAAAAAATGTGAGAGGAGATTTGTGGTATTGTGCAACGCCGAATGGGAAAGTTGACAGAAACAGAGGCGAAGCAAGGCAAGACAAGACAAGACAAGACGAGACAATGCAATGCAAGGCAAGGCAAGGCAAGGCAGGGTAATGCAATGTAAATGAAGGCAGTGGTGGGGCAGAGGACGTCTGTCTTGCTGTAATGCGGATGGATGGCCACAGACAGACCAAAGACAGACGCACACCAGACCGTGTGATGGTCTCACTGGACATCTAACGTAATGCGGGGGGACGAGACAAGAACGAAAGCTTGAACAAAGGAAATCAAACAACATACTGTGAACTGGCCGGTCGAGCTATCGTAACCGACATGCGTAACGTGAACAGGATTCTCTGGCGCCGATATGATGGGTTTCTTCGGCGACCCCACCAGCGTGCTCATCAATCCCGAAAAGCCAGACTTTTTCCTCAAGACACCAGCCCTCGGCTCCTTTGTCTCATCTGAATATCTCTTGGGCCCGTTGAGTTGGCTCTGCGCACCCTGCTGGGCCTTTTCCGAGAGCGACATGACGGCCGGTGAGTCACGAGTGAAGCTGGCCGACTGGCGCAGGTTGGGATTGGGACTGGTTTGGGCGTGGGCAAGCGGGGGAGGCGCTGGTCGCCGGTTCGAGAAATGAGCCTGGTAGGCGTGCGTCTTTGTGGCTTCGAAATGATTCAGGATGGAAGTGCCGTCGAAAGGTGCGCCGACCAGTTCATCTGAGGTCTTGGAGTTGAGATGTCGATGTCCACCACGGACCTGCGCCTGTGCTTGTGCTTGTGCTTGTGCCTGACCTTGTCCCTGGTGCGGATCAGACAAGCGGTGGTCTCGCGTCGTTTTTGCAATTGCAGAATCTCTAGGATAACCGCCCGCATAAGTCTCGCCGGGGCCTGCTATGGGCGACGACGAAGATGGGAAGTAACGAGATGCGGGCTGGTGACTGGGCGAAAAGGTAGATGGGAGGAATTCACCCGTCGCAAGAATCGGCGATGGCTGATTGCTGCCACTGGACTTGTTGGTGGTGGTGGGGAGGTGCCGGGGCGACGAATTGGTTGATGCGGATGCAGAGGCAGACGCAGAGGCAGAGGCAGAGGCAGACGCGCCGAGGGATTGAGTGGGTGTCGTTCTCGTTCGCTGCAGCGGAGCGCTTGGTGCTCGCTTCAGACTCGTGGAGCTCCGTTTGCTGTGCAGCGAGCTTGACTGCTGGTACTGATGCTGGAGCTGCTGCTGACCCAGACCAAGACCCAGACCCTGGCTCTGGCTCGGGCTCTGTATCCGACTCTGGCTATGACCATACGTCAGGCCGTCGCCGTTATTACTATTGAAGCTGTTGTATGACTGGAGCTTCGCAGGTGGCTTTTTGGTGAGTCGGCGACGCTGTGACGTGCCGTTGGAGCTAGATGCGTCCATAGTGGTCACTATGCTAAAGTAGACGGCACCGCCTTAGCAAAATGCAATGCCAGTGTCAATGCTAATACCAGTGCCAGTGCCGGTGCTTAATGCTAAGGCTTGCTTCTGCCGGGCTTTGGCACTAAGAGTAGGGGGGCAGGGTCTACTTAATACTTACTCAAGGCACTGTACCTTGAGTAGGTACGGAGTATGTAAGGTAAGGTAAGCAAAGCAAAGCAAAGCAAGCAATAATTGCGAATGCGCTCGCTGCTTTGCTGCTTTCGGGCTTGCGTCAACGGGTTGGATTGGGCTGTGTTGGGGGCGTGCTGCTGCTGCTGCTGCTTCTGCTTCTGCTTCTGCTGCCCGTCGCCCCTTGGCCACCATGCACCAACTACTGCTGCCACTGATGCTGGAGGGGGAAAGTGTACTTTTGCCTTACTGTAAACTGTACTCCGTGTCAGATCAGATCCGCTCGTTGCAGCCGATATAGACTCTGGACCATCAAAGTGTGCTGGCACGAGGATTATGGTCCGGTTCAACCAAGAGAGAGAGAAAAGTAACCAACCTTGACAGCTACCAGAACCCCGTGTCGGACGAGTTCCAAGGAAAAAAGCACCCAACCAAGGTCCAAGGAGGGGTATGAACAATATCAATCGCCCGGGGGTCTGTGACCTGGGAAAGAAAAAAATCGGAATCAATCGACAGACTACAAAGTATGTAATAACAACAGCGCCTCTGCTTTCCGAGTCTGCACCTCCGAAATCAATTGGATGCAAAGAAATCTTAGTTGGCCCTGCCTTTTTGAAACTTCCAATGCAGATCGTTGATGTGATGGGTATCCGATGCTGGCTCCAATCTCTTTAATTAGCAAACTCGTACTGCGTAATGTAGTTCATGCTCAATCAAGACTGCCGGGGTCCGTCTTAAAGTGATTGGCGATTCACTAGGTTAGGTTGGTTGAGAGAACAAGTCAAGATAGGTACATTGGCAAAAGACCAGACATTGGCATTGGCATGGGCTTCGACATTCAAGAAATCTGCAGCGGCCATTCGTGATTCCGCGAGCTTTAGAGATGGCGCATATTCGTGGGAATGGATTGGCCTTGCGTAACCTGTGCAACAGTGTCGAAAGGATAGCAGATGAGACACCCGTCGCAGACTCCGGGACCCACGATGCGGCCAGTGGCTGCTATCTCCCGGAGGTGGTTGTCGCACTCTTCGCACTGCTAACCCACGGAGACTGAGGGCCTAGACCTTACAACTTTGGCAAGATCGACAAAAGGACCCTTCCCTGACACGCCCGGTGCCGCGTTTAGCTGGGCGAGTTAGTTGAGTTGGCAGGTTAGGTGACTTGAACGTCAGTAGCTGCAACGGCCGGCGCGGGTGGTTAGCGGCGAGTATAATTTTTTTTAATGGAATTGTCTCTTTTGGCTTTTCGAGCTTGGTCAATGTTGTATTTGGTCTTGGTCTGGCTCATGGCTAGTTTGTCGCTCTGCCACTCTATGTTTGAACCTAGACTAGGGCTTTATCAATCATAATATTGATAAAGTCTATGATATTATGTTCATTTGTTGCTATCATACATCTCCTTCCCCATGAATCCTCATTTCTTGGCGGGCGGGTCTTTTAGTCGTCGCTGGGAACCATCCCGGAAGATGAGGACTTCGTATCTAATTTTGACCAGTCCATAAAGACTTTGGAGAATACCAAGTACTTGTGCTTAGTTAGGGAGGGAACTAGTTATCTTGTTGTTCCAAACCTCCATCTACCAGGATGCAGGGGCAGCGAGCCGAATCAGTCTACTGCAACTACGAACAGAAACCGAATGCTGGTGACGGCTTCTGACAATGACGTCCTGTCACCGGTAATGAGGTCTTAGCCTTTGAGGTGGGGGGCTGCTCAGACGCTTCCCAAGCAGAGCTTGATTGTAGCTTGTTTCGCCAACCAACGTGCGCTTTGAGGACCACAATTAAGGCAGATTCGGGTATAATAAGCGCATTCGATTTGGGAGACTCCCTTGATTAACATTCAGGTGCATCAATTCCTCTCAAGACGAATAGTGAATCGTGGACATGTCCACGATAATGCGAGTGGGCGATCTTGACCATGCAAGAGCGGCGGACGGCCTAACGGCCCAGCCCGGCTTGTACAGTTGGTGGTACGACCTCGTTGCTTCCTTCAGTTGGGCAATGATTGACACTATGTGTAGGACCTATGTTCCGATCCCCTTTGCCAAGGTAGAACTCGAGAGCGAGGCTCTTCAGACACCTTCTCAACTGCAAAGTGTACGATGAGGAATACCTATGAAAGTACGGGTCACAAGCACAGAAGCCGTCAGCTATAAATTCTCAGGTCATATCCCGTTTTGTGGTCGAGGATACCTCGTCGATCCGATTGTCAACTTCTTTTCGTGCGCTCTATCTGAGCACAAAACCCTGACGCTACCCAAGGCTGAGTATTCATACTTGCTGGTTTATTGGACCCTGAAGAGCCCAAGCTCGACCCTGGACAAACCACCAATCGAGCTTGTGCCGTCAAAGTTTTTCCCGGTTTTGTTATTTCAGGGTCCCTGGGACAACATGACATATCCACTCGGGTCTCTCTCCACAAACTGCTGACGTCGTCAGGTATGTTTTACTTGCGAAAGAATTCCTTCTTAGGCACTTGGCAATCGAATTACCCGCACGACAACTCTCCCAAGCACGTGTAGATGATGCATCAGTAGCTTCATTCAACTCAACTTCTGGCATTTGTTCAACTATCTCGTGGACAAGCACGGATATAATGACATGCATCCACAGGCGGGAACTATTTCCAGAGCCCCGCCCTGGGTCATGCAATTTGAGCGGATATGGACCCTTTGAAATCCTATGTCCGTGGGCAGTTGGCACGCAAACACCATTTGTGCGATCACAAACTCTCCCAACGCCCTGCAGAGCCACGTCTCTTGACCGCAGCACGGGAAGCTTAGCAACCACGAGTGGGTCGGAGTCAAAATGAGCAGAGTATTTCTGTGCAGATACCTTGCATGGTTTACTAAAGTCCCCCTACAAACTTTAACAATGCAATGATTGCCCACTAGTACTAGGAGGCAGATCTTCCGTCCAGCCGGATTTGGTTCTAAAATCATAAAACCGCCGCCAAACATCCATGACACCCAGGAGAGAGCATCCCGTACGAAGTGGCTAGGGTTGAATAAGCATTCAAAACAACGTCCATTCCTCGAATTTGATAGCCCGTATATTCAGGCCTAACATGGCGGTATATGATATTCTTCTTGAAAACATTTTCATTTTGTTGTACCGCGATGTGATAGATATTCCACCGTGTAGAGCTTGTACTCTAGCACCAGAAGCTATCGTACTCAATAAATACTTCAGTTGTTCCAAGCCTCAAGGGAAGAAACTAATCGGGCATGAATTGGCGCATGACAGAGCACAGAACCAGATAATTATTCAACGATTATTGATCTAGAAGCAGACAACTGTACGCTCTGTTAGTTAACAACTACAATACAAATACGACATGGTCCTAGAAGATTATAGCAACTAATAACAAATCGGCAATGTTCACTCTCGTCCCGTGCTGCTCCTTACTCTAGGTTAAAGTAGATGAGGCGGCAAAAGCCAACTTTGGAGGGACAAAACATGGGATTTCGTAAGACTAGCTGAACAAACTAGCATGATGATTTCGGCGCGTTGATAAATGTGTTGTTTGCAGGCTGGTATTTCTAGGCCAAGGATAGCAGATGGGCGGAGAAGGCGGGCTCGTGGGTTCAAAATGGATAAGTGTTCACAGGATAAGATCAAGCGCCAACAACCGCCGACTAATCGTAGCAGGCAGTGTTCTTTCTGTATTGCTATGTATACAAGTACGAACGGGCCGGAAATCGAATGCAGTCTCACGACGGTTACGGCAGGCAGTTGAGGGATCCTCGTCCACCATTGACACAAACCGGTTGCTGCCATTTGTCCCAATGGACGGTCTAGGCACCTCCCAAGGATGACAAACTCTGGTACAAGGAAGATTGTATGCCTTGAATGCATCTCCTAAAACTAAAACCACTACCACAGAGAAAGACCCGTGCAAACAAACGAGAGGTCGACTGTTGGTCTCCTCAGGTAATCATTGGACGGGTCTGGCAATGGCACGTTCATGTGATATGGAGAAGGGCAGCACTCCAGCCGGGCAATGCATAGTCGCCAGTAGGTTAGATCGCCTAAGTAGAGCTTGGACCAAGCCTACCTGTTCGGCAACGCTACTGTAAGCAAGTTAATCCGTCCTTGTCCTGTCTTACAATGTACAGAAAGAGCCAGTCGATTCTAGACTTGAGAGTAAACTCCCAGGACATTTCGGGCCAAGGGTCCCCCCGTAAGAGCACCTTTGAGGTTAGTCGTTGTCATGATTGTGGTCGTGGTCGTGGTGATGGTTGATTAAGGAGCAATTGACTGATTTCTGGGGGGGGGCATCGTGAGAAACTTCCACGTCGCCCCTTAATTGTCATTCGTCACAACAAACGATTATTTTGCTTGTGAATGTGATTAGCTCGCCTGAAACCACAACAGAACCGACTTGTACTACAAGTTATTTGTCAATTCCTCCTCCAGCGCACCATGTGCTGAGCCTCTGCTCTGGTAATTTGTCTCCCTTTACCCATCTTAATCCTCTATCCATCCCCACAATCACCACGTGCTATCGACCAGCCCGGCCTCGAACCAGCCTCAATCAACAGAGATACTTTCTCTCTTCTGCTACCGTGGAAATTCCCTTTTCCGTTTCTTTTTTCTCCCCCCAAAAAAGAAGGACTCGTCCCAAAGAGTTAGAACCAGTCGGGAGTGGCACAGAGCACTGATTCTATACAGCAGCAAGTAAGTTGGCTTTCTTTACTACATCGAGTTACCGTGCGGATGGGGGAGCTCCTGTGCAAGATCACGTTCCAATGGTGCAATCATCAACGTTGGAGCTCTGAGAAGGTTTTGGGGACCGTCGATTGGTTTCATTTCAATATCTGTCCTATCCTCAGATGCCAATGCCAATGCCAATGCCAATGCCAATGCCTCTTTTCCTTTGCCCTTTTATTTGTCTTTTCCCTTTTCCACGTCTCACTTTATTCTTTTGCTCGCTCTGGTTGTAGTTGCTTCTAGGCATCGGCATCTACCTTCTACCCACCTGCCTTTACCTATAAGCTTCGCCGCCATTTGATCTAATTGGTCAACTGCCAGCACCGAAACCAAACATCAGCTCCGCCATTCAATTAATTCTATTTCTACTTCTGTTTCTGACAACCCAACTCACAGGTCAAACCTATCGACTCCACCTCGATCCCCGACCCGCATTCCTACTCCTATTCATATTTCTATTCCTCTTTCCTCCGACCTTCTCGGTCGCTCTCGTCTGCATATCCTCTTACGGTATACACTCTTGGTATAATGGCTACCACCTCTGAGACCAGCTCCGCCGCCGAGCGTCTCCTGCAGCAGCATGCTGAGAACCATCATGTTACTGTTGAAGACGCTCCCGATGAGGACCTGCCTCGTAAGCCTGCTGCTTCCGCCTCCGCTCCCGCTGTGAGCTTGGAAGACGATTTCCCTGCCCTCGGCGCCGGTGCCAATGGCAACAAGGGCAAAAGCAAGGAGGCAGCTGCCCCTGCAATCTGGATGGCCAAGCTCAACACTGGAGCTGCCAACACCCCCAACGGCACCTCAAGAGCTTCTACGCCCGCTTCCAACGCCGGCCTCGCGACTCCTCCTCCCGCTGCCTCTGGCCCCCAGAGCTTGAACCTGCCTGGCCGTCACAACGAGTCCGTCATCCTCGATCCCAGCTCTATTCTGCCACGCAACCAGCTCAAGCGGCCCATCCCCGATCTCGTCAAGGACATCAACCGCAAGAGCCGTGCCAACCTCGCCTTCTCATACCAGGGCAACCGCCTGAAGATCGATGCCACCGGCCCCCAGGACCACGCCCAGCAGGCTATCCGTGATCTCGTCAACCAGATCGGAATCAAGCACACTATCAAGGTGCCTATTCCCCGTTCCGTGAGAGCTCACCTCATTGGAAAGGGCGGCGCAACTATCAAGGCCATCCAGGAGAAGTCCGGCGCCAAGGTCCAGTTGCCCAAGACCGACGACAACCAAGCTGCCGCCGAGGACGACGAGGATGCCCTCATCGACGTCATTGTCGAGGGCAACACTGTCTCTGCAGCCGTCGCTCGCGAGCTAATCAGGAAGATCGCCGGAGATCACTCCTCCAACTTGACCTCCAAGCTCAAGACCGTCCCTGCCGAGATCTACCCCTTTATTGCCGGCCCCAACAACAGCCGCCTTGCTCAGCTCGAGAAGGAGCACGGCGCACAGATTCGCGTTCCTCCTCATCAACCCTGGTCTCACCCGATTCCCAAGTCTCAGAATGGCGAGCGCCAATGGTTTTCCGCCCCTCGCGACGAGAACTGGATCCAGCTTGCCGGCGAACGTCCCGGTGTCGCTGCCGCAAGAGCTGCCATTGAGCGTCATGCTCAGGAGCTGCAGAACCAGCTGGTCATCAACCAGGAGCAGATCCCCTTCAGCAGGCACCAGTTTATTATCGGTGACAACGGCATGCCGGTTGATGAGTTTTTCAACGAGACCAACTGTGTTATCATTCTGCCCAGTGACCCCAGTCAGGACACTGTGACCATCATTGGCACCGAGGAAGATGTTGCCCGCGGTGTCGACAAGGCCCAGGAACTGTCCATGTTCCTGAACCAGACTTCCATCGACGTGTCGAGGTCCCACAAGCACGCCAACAACGGTGCTCCATCGTACATGAGGGACGTTGCGCGATACCTCCGACAAAGGAAGGAGATCGAGCGGCTGGAGAAGCTTCATCAGGTCCACATCAGCACTCCCGTATCCGATGGTAGGGGTCTTCCCTGGGACCTCTTTGGCCGTGACGGCAAGAACATCCTGAAGGCTCAGAAGGAGGTAAACTCTATCGTCGGAGGCCATCCTCCCTCTCGATTTGCCACCATCCCCATCGATCCCTTCTTCCACGCTTACCTCAGAAGCGATATCAAGCCCCAAGTCCAGAATGACTTTGGCGTCCAAGTGGTTGTGCCCGACGCTGCTGAGGCCCAGCTTCCTGTTCTTCTCGTCTTCGAAGGCGAGAGTGCTGCACAGCCGAGCTACGAGGTCCCCCAAGTCGCCCCGAACACGCAAGAGCTGAAGGCGTTCCAACAAGGCTTGGAGGATGCCCGTAAGCACATTCTTGACCTTATCAACAAGCAAGAAGAGATCAAGACCGAGACTCTCGAGGTACCCGTCAAGTTTCACGAGAAACTCCGCAAGTTCATCAAGAGAGAACAAGATGCCACGACTCGCAAGGCAGGCGAGATCCCTGTTCGTGTCAGCGTCAAGGGCACGACAATCACGATGCGTGGTACTGCATCCGCTGTCGACTCGCTCGCTGCCAAGGCCAACGACTTTGTAGAGCAGGAGAAGGAAGACGAGAAGGAACGCGGCTTCATCCTGAAGTTCGACTTTCCCCAGAAACATGCCAACCACCTCATTGGCAAGAGCGGTAGCCACATTAATGAGCTTCGGGAGAAGTTCGACGTGGACATCCAAGTGCAAAACGGCGAAGTGGAACTAAAGGGTCCCAAGGCCAAGGCTGAGAGGGCGAGGGCGCACATCAACTCTCTCGCAAAGAGTTGGGCAGATGAAACCACCCACACCTTGAAGATCGAACCCAAGTACCATCGCGAGCTCATCGGCTCTGGAGGCAGTCAGATCACTCGTCTCCAGGACAGATACAAGGTTCACATCAATTTCCCCCGCACCGCACGCGCTGGCAAGGATGACGACTCTGCCGCCGACGCCGCTAGTGATGCTGGCAAGCCGAAACGGCAACAAGGTGCTGACGAGGTTGTCATCAGGGGTCCCAAGAAGGGAGCTGATGAGGCTCGTGATGAGATCTTCTCGCTGTACTCGTATCTGAAGGATAATTCCTTTACTGCCACAATCACTGTCCAGCAGAAGCAGCTTCCTTCTTTGATTGGTGCTCAAGGTTCAGCTATGGATGAGCTCCGTCAGAAGACCGGTGCCAAGGTTGATATTCCCAATGAGCGTAACGAGTCTCAGGATGCTTTGGTCGAAGTCACAATCAAGGGTACAAAGTCTCAGGTTGCTGAGGCCAAGAAGATCATCGAAGAGAAGAAGGCGGTCTTTGAGGATAGTGTGACCAAGACTGTTGAGGTCGACAAGAAGTGGCACAAGGTCCTGATTGGCCCTGGTGGTAAGTGTCGCATTTTCTCCCGGTTTTTGTACAGTCATTGACCATTGATACAGGTTCCACGCTTCGCGACATCATCACCAAGGCTGGTGGCCCCGATGACCGACGACTCCAAAACCGTTACATCCAGTTCCCCAAGGCAGATGCTGATGGTAACGCCATCAAAGTCGAAGGTCGCAAGGACGTGGTTGACAAAATCATTGCCTCCATCGAGGGCATGGTGTCGGAACGCGCCAGTCAAGTCAGCGAGACCGTCGATGTGCCCATCGAAAAGCACCGTTCCATGATCGGGCGTGGTGGTGATGCGAAGCGCAAGCTGGAGTCCGAGTTTTCCGTTTCCATCGACATCCCCCGCCAAGGTGCTGGCCAGACCGGCGTGAAAATTACTGGAAAGCCGGACGCTGTTGCCAAGGCTAAGGAGCATATCCAGTCTTCCTTCAAGGAGGAGCCAACCGAGACTGTGCAGGTGCCACGCAAGTATCACAACGCCATCTCTAACAACGGCCAGTTCTTCCGCAGACTACGCAATGACTTCAAGGTCACAGTGGACCATGCTGGTCAGGCCCCCCCTACCAAGACGAAGTCTGCCAACGCTCGTGTAAGCACTGGCGCTACACCTCTCATTACGGATGACCCGGAGGAGGTCGCGGATGCCCACTCGTGGAACTTGGTCGAGAGCACGTCAAATGAGGAAGGAGATATTCCTTGGGTTCTGAAGGGAACTGCAGAGAATGTCGAGCGTGCCAAGGAGGCCATTAACAAGGCATTGGAACAGGCGAAGAAACCGTCTACCACTGGTTATTTGGTCCTTGCCGACCCTTCGACCTACCGTTACGTGATTGGCCAGGGTGGTTCCAAGGTCAACGCAATCCGCAAACAGAGCGGCTCCCAGATTCAGGTCCCCAAGGACCAGGCTTCCGACGAGGCTATCGAGATTACTGGCACCAAGGAAGGGTGCGAGAAGGCCAAGGACCTGATCTTGGAGGCTGTTCGTGAAGGCGTGGCTTCGCGTAGCCGCGACTAGGAATCACGCATAACCGACAGTCCGTACTCAAGCCAACGCATCAGCTCGTGGGCCGATGATGTGAATCCGTGGTGAAATCACTTCTACCTCAACTCTGGAGGTCATGTATTACTGCTAGGTTCTCAAACAAAACAAAACAAACGGTCAAGGAAAAGCGCTGACATTTGGCGCAAACTATATCCTTGAGGTGTATAGCAAGCAGTCCTATATAAGATGGCTATGATATTGAAGAGCAAAACTATGATGATTATCTCACTCTTTGAAACCAAAACAGTGAATCTACCATGTCATTACTATATGAGTTAACACCTTGCTGAAGAAAGTTGGTACCGCCGCTATGCACCAACGTTATCAATGCTAGTGTAGTGAGTGAGGAAATTCGCCGTTATAAACCAATTGACTTTCTAGCATAATCAACTGCATAGTCACCAATCTGCTGGAAGACTCATTCTCCTACTCAGCGCGCATAATACACAAATAGACATGGTGCTTTTGTGATTTATTTACTCTTGTGGTTGCTTCTATTAGTTTCGTGTAGGCAGTGAACTACCATCATAAACCATTGCCACCATCGCTTCTGCGTCTTGACGACGATCCATTTCTGGATATATGAATATATATTGTCATCAGATGCAGCCGCCATACACCTTGGTTAAAGTGTTGGTGATGGGTGAAGTGTGTGGTCTTGGGAAAGAATTTTGAAGATTCTGTCGTCTCGCTCTTGGTTTGTATTTTTGAACTCTATAGCTGTAACTTTTCAACAATGAACTCTACTTGTGCTACCTCAAATGTTCTCACCGTCACTGCACGGCCCAGGTATGGACTTGAGTTGATTGTTTGGACGACCTCATCGTCAACCAGACTCCCATTCTCAGTACTCGCTGTACGGCACCCTCGCATAACATACATTCGTAGACATTTGCCATTTAGGTACCTCGGCAGCTGGGGGCTGTCACGAAACCGACCCTCAAGGCTGAGTGGAGGACGGCAAATTGCCTCTCCTGTGCGCAAAACGTCTACGCACCATTCATACGGCATGGCTGTGGTACATTGATCATGCTTGTCAGATCTATTGGGCGCGCTGACGACGTACCAAACTCCTGTACGGCAGGGAACAAATCTACCAACGGAACCCGGGAACACAGTCCGTTCGTGGTGATGTCGATGTTTTGTCGACTCCGCCATAAATAAAACCTTCTCGCTTGTTCAGTCGAAGAAGTGGCCGTGAGACCCTTGCCGAGGAATTTCCTACTGTCTCAAGCCCTTTGCCCGCCCCCAATCTCATGCAGTCTTGACTGGGGTTTATCCATATGTGGCAATCCCCGAGCTGTCCACGCCTGTTTCGATGCCTAACACTGGGCAGGGCCATTCTTTAGCATCGGGGTGCTTGTTAGTGAACACGGTTCTTAGGTAAGAGCTTTGCTCTAACCTAGGTCGCAGCCTTCCTGCAATCCATGGCATCTGCGTCTCCCACGTCATCATTCACCGTAGCCTCCCATCTAATTCCTCTTGGAAGGTCCTTCTCCATACGACGGCCATGGCTATGGGAGGAAAAGTCCAAAGATTATGAGCTGAACTTCGGCCTACCTTTAAGAATTTAGTCAGAATTCAAGATGAAATCATTACAACTGCATTTCCTGAATATGGATTTAAGATGTCTCATACGGTCCTTGGTGGTTTGACTCTCGGACGGTCCATTCGAAATGGCTCGGGACAAATACACTAGATTATGAGTTCAACTTCCTATAGACGATCCCATCAACACGATGAGAAGGCATCGTCCAGTACGCGCGCACATGATACTTACTACCGACATCTCTGGCTGTCTCCAGGGCCAGGAGCTCACGAAGAACTCGACATTCACCAAGTTGCGCTTTGCCAAGTAGTTGATGAATGCGACGAGGATGCATTCCTTTAGCTGAAGCAGATGGATCTTGTTACATCTGAACACGAAAATGCGGAAGAGTAATTTAATATATTCCGGAGTGCCTGCTACTCAGCACATGGCTCACCAAAAGCGTTCAGGCGTCTATCGAATCTTCTAGTCCTTTCTCATCTTCCACTTCTCTAGCTTTCACTTCTCTATGCTCTTCTTTGGTACTTTCTATGCTCATGTCATCATGCCCATCACACCCTCCACGCAGAATCACTGCAACAATATCAAGGTGGACGAACATCTCTGACTGACCACCAGATTTTGCTTTGCACCAGACACAAGGAGAGAAACAAGCACACCAATGAACACGTGAACATATTCAGAGGGAGACCACAACCGTGATCGATCCCATTGTGTACCTGGCAAGCCCACAAGGCATTTCTCAGATATCCAAAATATGAACGCAAAAAAAAAATCCCCCAAAAAAAGACAGACCGCATGCAAAAGAAAATCAAATAGGGGGTATGCGAGGTAGGCTATATGGCAATAGCTACCAGGTGCCGCGAGCACTTCGCGGCTTTTCCAATCCTTAACCAACAAGCAGATCGCTGTGCTTGCCTCTAAATCATCTATCGTCTGATCTCTCCTGTGAACGGCGGGCACGTTCTATCGTCGTAAGCCCCCGCACTCGTTAAAGCATCGTACAACCACATCGCCAATACATAATTTTCAACTGCTTAATAGCAGGTCTGAATGCAAAATTCATATTAGTTATCTCATTCAGTAGGAAGAACTAGTCGGAGCACTTACGTAACCACCATCAATGATGACGTTGCTGCCAGTCATGAAAGAGCTGGCGTCGGAGGCGAGGAAGACGGCAAGGCCGTTGAGATCATCGACGGCACCCAGACGGTCCTGGGGAGTCAAGCTCTTCCAGATCTTCTTCTGGGCATCGAGGGCGGGGACACGGTTGAGGGCAGTGTCCATGTAACCGGGGGAGATGCAGTTGACCCGGATGTTGTACTTGGCCCACTCGGCGGCGAGAGACTTGCCGAACTGGATGACACCGGCCTTGGAGGCGTTGTAGCAGGACTGCTCCTGAGGGTAGTTGACGATGCTGCCGGACATGGAGGCGACCAGAACGATGGAACCAGGCTTGTTGGCGGCCATCATGGCACGACCGACAGCCTGGGACATGAGGAAGGAACCAGTCAGGTTGATGTCGATGAGGCGGCGGAACATGGCAGGGTCGTACGTCTCGGCCTTGATGTTGGAGTCGGCGATACCGGCCGAGTTGATCAGAACGTCGGGAGCACCGTAGAGCTCGACGACAGAGTCGACGGCAGCGTTGATGGCAGCACCGTCACGGACGTCGACCTTGAAGAAAGTGACGGGCAGGCCGGTCTTGGCGTGCAGCTCAGCGGCGGACTCATCGCCGAGCTCCTGGTTGGCGTCGAAGATGACCAGGGCCTTGGCGCCGGCCTCAGCACAGGCGCGTGCCATGTAGTTGCCTAGACCACGGGCACCACCAGTGACGACGACGACCTTGTCCATGATGGACATTTTCTGCATGGTAGGGGGAAGTGAGCTGTAGACCTTCTGCGTCAGAGGAGTGACAGTGTCATCAGGCTCGCTGGAGATGGCAGAGGGCTTGGCGTTCTCGCGTGATACGGGGATGGAGTAGTGGTCGCTGGAGCTCTGTCCAGTGCCCTTGGCATCAGTGGAATAGACGCTGACGGGGATCTCGGTCTCGGCGACGACATCACTCTTCTGGCGGATCGCCGACTTCTGGAAAGCGCGGGTGGCAGCTGGGACAGCTCGGGGAGCAGTGGCGCGAGGAATCGAGAAAAGAGGCGCTGCGGCCTTGGTGAGACGGAAAGCAGTTCTGGAAGACATGGTGATGTGAATGTGAGGTCAAGGTTGAGGTTGTGTGTATTGATGGGGTGGTTGTTCGATTTCGTCACTTGAAACCGAGCGGCGTGAAGGACGGTTTTATAGAATTGGCGGAAAGGTCTTTAATAGCGATCTCAAAACGTCAATTGGTTGAACTAGGTACTGGAGGTGTTGATTGGTGAGTTTGTGAGTTGCCTGTGCAACAAACTTTGTTAGCTTGCAATTGATCAATTGTATACCTGAAGGAAAGGAAGGCACGGCAAGATAATGGACATCCACCCAAAGTGAGGCAAAAGCACGGGAAATGGACTTTGATTCACTGCTCGGGGTCAAGCGAGCAGAGCAGAGCATCTCCCTCTTCATAAAGCTACTGCGAAGCACGTACCTGCTCTAAGCCTTCTCTAAACACGGAAAGGGGGTTTGATGGTGAGTTTGGTGAATGAAGGAAGTTCGTCCAGAAAGTATCGCCTTCTGAAGAGAGGCCAAAGAATATATAGGAATACCGATGTCGGGGTAGGCGGTCAAATCCTGGCTCTGGATGGTATCACAAGACGGCCAGTTTGATTATTTATGGCTGGCTGGCAAGGTATGGGTCGATTTCGTCACTGCTCAGGCGTGGAGTATGGTAATAGGTACGGAGTACTTGGAAAAGAAAATGTCTCCGTAATCGTAATCCACCTTTACACAGGTACTAATACTTCAGCTGTAGGGTAGGTCTGGAGAGGATTGGCGCAAGTTGCTGTGTCCCTTTTGTGGGGGTGACTTGTAGCAGATGGGCCCCAGAGTTTGGGGTATACCATTAGCTATTTCAACAGAACAGGTATGCAAAGGCACAGCGGTGCGGGTGTTTTCTCAGGATGTCTGTCTTGTTTGTCGCGAGACGCGCGATAGATGGCAATGGTAGGTTAGCGAATCGTCCGTAATGATGTGTCGTTGCAAGTGTTTCGAAGAGAGGGTTCTATTGTCAACATTTGAGGGGATGCATGTGCTCCTTTTCTATTGTGAATTTGTGACCACGCGGTTGATACACAATTTCGATACAACTCCCCGGTCCAAGCTGCCATTTGGAGATGTATCCCTCCAGGCGATAGGGTTCACCTGTGTCGTGCAGATGCTATCAGACTTCAGGGCCATCGCTGACGCCGAACCTGCGGTTTTCGGCTGTAGCTTACTGTAGATCACATCTCTATTGTCACGTTTGTGTGGTGCGTTACGGAGTACGAGAAAAACCAGAACCACATTTGCCGCTCGTATCAGACCATCAGATCCGATTTCATGTGGCGGACATGGCGGAGAGCTATGCAAATCTCTTCTGGAGCTACCCATGTTCGACGACCCTGCGGGCTGGGGGATCTCTGCCAAGTCTAGCTCAACCAAGGGACCCAGACCGATGAAACCCTGTCTAGTTCAAGGTCGACCCGTTTAACAAGGCCGCTATGGAAAACAGCCAAGAGAAGGTCAGGAAGCGCGAGCCCCGACCAGTCGCGCCAGTCTCCAGTCTTTCTGCTCGGCCAGCATTGCTTGACCGTCAATCCCTTGAAGGCGGATTCCGATAGGGATGGTGGAAAGATACAGAGTTGTAGTGCAGCAATAGCGCCCTCGGCTCACACCCGGCAGACATGGCCCGGCGGTCGCCTGCTGGGGTCACCGTGGTACATCCATCGACAGAAGGTTCGAACATGGCTTCCATCATTTACCCGAGGGTGGGGGGTTTTTGTTATTCCAAGGCATAGCTCAGCCTACATAAGAAGAGACATCGAGGTTTTTCTGACTATTGTGAAGCTGTCAGCCAGCGCGAGTTCGTCCAGTCAAGCACTGGCGAAGCGGCACGAGGTGGCAACCACTGGACGACCTGACAACCTGGCAACCAGTCACTGCTTCACAATTACTGTAGGTCCGGATTGCCATTCCTTGCTTTCCGCCGTGAGAGCATTCGATTGGGGTCCGTTTCCGGTACAGGTTCCCGTATTTCGTTAATCTGCTGTAGAGTATTACAAGCATTGACGTTCTGGGGGAGCAATAGGTATCTAAGATGGGGATCACACAGTATATAGTAGTAGAGCATGACCTGCTGAATTGTGGTCATCTTAAGTAGAAATCCGGCATACTATGTATTGTTTAGGCAGGCTGTGGCATGAACAACTCATAGTGGGTTGATAGACACCTTACAGGGCGGAGAAGGTATTGGCTAACAGAGGCAAAGGAAAGCTAAAGTACCTAGAACCCACGGGGGGAACTTACTGCATGCGACCCACTCACATTGCGTGCTTTCCTGCTGCACGAAACCAACCAAGAATATTATTTCCATTCCGCAACTTCCTTCCACCTTGGAAATATACTCAGCCCACAATTGATAAGAATATGGATGCATTTGGCGTCTCCAATGAGCAGGTATGTACGTCAGGTCCTGGTTTTCTGCATCATTCACGCCAAATTGCAAGACCACTGCTTAATTTGATATCAAGTCTGACTCGGGTTTGCGGCGGTCTGTCATCCAACGGCCAGGAGGAAACGTTTCCACAATCAAGGATTTCTATCCACAATAATGGCGCCTCGGTGAGCGTTGTCATCTCACACCTCTTCACCCCAACCTCTGAATCGCTCCTGCAGAAGACACCATGTCGTGTACTGTAGTCTGTAATGCCACCACCGAGCCCTCGTAAGCGACTACATTATTGCAGAACCTGTCCGAATCTGAATGGACCACATCATTACCCGGAGATTACATAAGTATAATTTGATCATGTGGACGAAAAGTTTTTGACGGCACCGCCATACCGAGAGCCCAACCAGCCGGGGATGGCAACCGTGGTACTCCGTACAATCGCGTTCTTTCGAATGCACTTTCAGATTCAAAAACTCGCTTCGGATGAGAAGCCGCGAGAGCTTGTTACCCACTCCAGCCTCAAGTAGTTGGAAGATCAAACAAACAAACAAAGCATGTTGGGCCCACTGACAGTATCGTAAATTGGATCGTCCCTCAAAAGCAAACTATTTGAGACCGCGTATTGCGATGGAAAAATGGGCAAGGGGGGGCAATGGACACACCGACAAAAAACCCACGATACTTCTACCCCAGACGACAAGGTGAGCGCACCTCACCTGGGGTGACAGGGGGCCAGTGCGGAGATTATGTGTTGAATTATAGCCCAGCTTCCAACCACCGAAACTGCAGCCCCCTTTGGACACGTTGCCACCCCTGGCCCTGGCAAAGCAGCCCCTAGACTAGTTAGTCTAAATGGCAATGTCAATTGCCATCAAAAATAATGTGCAAACACCATTCATCATATATATTTAGTAGGCGCAGAGTTTTCTTCATCAAAGAGAATGTTACTTAAGCCAATCTGTACAGTAAACCACCTGGGACAGCGGAACATTCAGCTGGATCCAGATCGTGGAACTTTCTTCGTCTGACAGAACCGCCCCTTAAGCATATTGTATACTCGTCATGCCGTCAGTTGGACTAGTGCATTTGTCTGCTATGAGAACCTGACTAATTATTCCGTGTGCAGGTGAATTGTTACACAAAAATATTAGACATCAGTTGCTCGACAATACTCAGTTTGGCAGTGTTCTGTATTTGTTGGGGCTACCCGAAGATGGGTTTTCTGACTCGCTGGCATCTTAGGGCGGTCTCCCCCGGTGAGAAGCTCTCGTCTACATAGTACAGTGAGTGCCGGGGGTGATTTGTCCCTGGGCTAACCCCACGAAATTGGGGTGGGCCTTCACGACGCTTGTATCGTGCAGGAAGCTATTTTACCATTTCTCGAACAAGTCAAATCAAATGGGACAATATGTGGGGGGTCGTGCGGGGGGCAGTGGGATGAACTTCACCGAAAACCTGGTGCAGCTACAGAGCGTCACTCGAGTACTTCTCAGGACCTTTCTGGACGAGACCAAACCCCATCGCCGGCGTCAGAACATGGCGCTATTCAGTGTCCACCCCTTCCGACAGCGAAGCTATATCTATTGATCCTGCAGTCGGCCGATGGTTCCGCTATCTGAACAATCAACATGCCGTCCCAAAACCGCATGTATCGATGACACCAGCAGTAGTGGACGAATTCCTGAATTATGTCCACCAACAATTCTCTATGATTCTTCAACCTCGTGGAGCCAAAGGGCATCATGACCTAGAAGTCGTTGGCAAGTTCCGATTAGACTAACCTAGTGTCACTTTTCAATAGGTTCATGTTAGGCTCTCCGAATACCGAGTGATCGTGCGGGCCGCCAACATGGAACCAGGCCGAAAAAGGGGGCGGCAGGGAGGGAGAGATGTGGGATATAGATGGATATCACAACATGTACAGGCACCGTTACTGTTCAACTCCCCTACCATTTCTTGTCCCATTTTGAGTTTCCCCGGTTTGTTGACTAGGGAATCTAAGGACGGCATATTAATAAATACTTGAAACGATTACATATAAGCCTTACTACCTTGTGTTGTCCCAGCTAGTTCCCCATTACAACACAGGAGGCTCAGTAGAGAGTGGGCGGAATCTGTGTCGGTCACATGGAAGGTCTATAGGCTGTTCAGAGACACTGAAGGGACGCTCCAGTATAACGAACATACAGAGGCAGATTGACTGTGTACGGTCGGGCTCCTGTTCATGGTGGTCGCTCAACACAAATCCAATTTGTGCAGCTCAGGATCTGCTGATCATGACGAGTCCAGCTATCATGAGGATTAGTAAGCTTCCATGCGCGGCGGAAAGATGACCATCGAGGTAGCTGTGATAAGTCTCTATACTCATGTTATCCATAAATCTTATGGTATCTTCTCGATTACTTTGGTCGCTGGGATGAGCGGTTACGTTCATGTATCCATCGTTGCAGCGACTTCTCGTTTCGCGGTCAAAAGGTTTTAACAGGTCCGATGCCAACTAATCTAGACGCGAACGTAATGTGAGTGCAAAGAAATAACAAGCATCCTCTTTCGATATTCTCCAGTTGCGAGGCCAAAAAACTTTTGGGGGGGGGGGGGGGGGGGGGGGGCCGGGCGAGGTATTCATCTATAAAACTCGTTTGTTTGTTAACGCGTTACAAACTGTATAAGTCGCTCAAGGAGTCTCTATTCGACAGACACGGAGCTACTAACACCCCAAAAAGCGGGCCAGCACATAGCTACGCAGTTATTCGTCTTTACCATCCTGAATCGATACTTGAACTCCTGTGGTTTGTGGGCGAAGTATATTTATCAAAAACGTACTTTTATACGTAACAATCGGTGGTGATTATCACTCAATAAGCCCCTTCGTACTTCGGCTGCCTCCTGCCGTTGTATTCCAGCCCAGCAGTTGAAATTGTCCATCTTTGGCGACGAGAGGGCTTGACCTACCGTGTCCCAGTACCGCCCCTGTCTAGGCATATGATGAGCATTGAGAACATAGTTCCAAGCATCTGGAATGGTGATGTACGTGCCCCTTTAAAACAAACTAATGGTCTCGACTCACCTCGTCTAGTTGCTTAATCTTCACCAAATTAGCTTGCCGTGGCTACTGACTATCTCAAATGATAAGAACACATCTGTATATCAATCATATGAATGCCTGGATGGTTATCCACTGCACCCAAACGACGGAAGCAGGAAATATATCCATCTCGAGCACACCGGCTTTATTCAAATAGTACACCCGATACACTCTTTGTGGTTGGGATATGTACTGTTGGATCTCATACGCCACTGACTCCCCGTTTACAAAGTGATAAGAGCTGGCTCGCATTCTGTCTTCGTGTGAAGCTGACTGTAGGTACATAGATTTCCAATCGACATCTCGCATATCTTGTAGTCAGTGTCATTGCCGTCAACACCGTTCAAAATATGTCACGTCCACAGAGGGAGCAACCTCTTCCGCCTCGTTATTGAGTAGGCTGCAGTAGAGTAACGGTATCTGGAAACCGCCTATAAACCCACAGCTTTGGCTTTCCATGGGGCATAACAACTGTTGCTATCCGAGAAAATTTCCATCGCTCGCTACTGAATCAGCAGAACAACATTCTAGCTAGGATTCTTCCATTTTCGGTAACATCGAATACACTTGCAGGCTCAATTATCTTCTCCGAGTCTCTAATATATAAACATTTAACTCGCAGCGTAGTCTTGCTAAACCAAAGGCACCAGAGAGTATAGTGCAGAAATACTAGTACCTTGAATAAAGCAACACGATTTATTGCTAGCTTTCGCATCATATAATGGATACAATGACCTCAAAACTCGAGGGTGTCTCGAGCAATAGCGTCTGCAGGGAGGACACAATCGATGTGGTAGACACTGTGTACCTATCATCCGCCGTGAGTAGATAGTCCGGTCTATGAAGGAAATGTTGCGTATCCAAGCCGATGGCCGAGGGCAAACAGTGGTAGTAGTTGCCCCAAATTGTGCATAACCTCCTCTAGGATAGCTGGTAACTTTTCTGGGTTCGCCGTTTGCGTGTTCTCATCCCCTCCGCAATGAGAGTACAGCTAGGGAAGCCAGGCCGGATGACACTAGATCTTGAAAGGAGGATGTCAAATGTCGCAATAATCATGAAAATCACTAGAAGAAAACGGCCCAGCAGTTCTATGTTCTATCCCGATAATGCCATTATGACAGGGCATTATCAAAGTGAATGTTGGATCAGTGCAGGCTGTCGACGGTGTGTTAGCCAGCAACAGCCAATGGCCGAGAAGTACGATGGGAACCAACACTGTAATTCACACTCAAAGAATCAAGCCTAATATCTACCAGGTAAATTCACTGGGTGCAACACCCATTTGTCCAGGCGTATGCATCCCCAGCTTGTAGCCATGCAAAACATATGCTCGCAATTCAACGAAGCCGACAGACTGCAGCACCACAGCACCATCTAAACATCAGGCATTGGCAGTATTCACCTGTCCAGCTGCAGCGAGAACACTCGTTCCGTTGCGTTGCCTCGGTGAACCCAACTCTACTGGCAAATTTCCCCGGCTTCTTCTCAGCCAACAAAAGGTAACGAAACAACATCGTCTTTGTAACGATTGAGAAAACCACATCCCGTACTACACACAAGCTCTCATCGACGGCAAGACAATGGCTGACGCTGGACCCAACGTTGCGATTGCACTTGTTCTGGTTTTCGTGTTCGTCCTGATCGGATTCCTCATCTGGAAAGCGCGCGCTACAGCCAACAACTTTGCACAGAACATGTTCGGGTCTCGCATGCAGCAGACACAACCGGACTCATCAGTTTGAAATGAGTAAGTGGCACATGCCGTTTCCCTGTACAGGTGGCATATGAGAAGCACCATTGCGAAAAGCGACGATGGAGTGTTCAAGCTTCATCCTTTGCGTCCCACGTTACGGTGCGCGTGTCTCCGCACTGGGGTTAACTTTGATGTAAGCTCTCATCCAGGCTGCCAGAGCCGCCATGCACGTTGTTCGGGTGCAGGTACAGGCGCTAAACTTCCCCGGCCTTAGCTTGTCGGTACAGACTTATTTACTTGTACCGCCGATTAGGCGCCATCTATTGCCTGCTGTGCAAGTAACGTTTAGTGGGAGTATGCGTACTGCGGATCTGTTTGTACATGTTCCAAAAACTAAATTCTGCCGACCGGGCGCCGATCCCAAATTTATTTGGAAGCTCCGGAAAAAGTCCACCCAAGTAGAGACAGAGAGCATCACAGCTAACCGCATCTCCAAGAACAGAACACAACACAGGGTCCTGACTTTGTTCTGCCTAGAAAAACTCGGGCTTGGGTCCCAGTCTCAGTTTCAGCGTTATGGCTACTCGACCTGCTTTCCGGACTGCATCGCGCGCCCTGCGCCCTTTCTCTCTCCCCCCTTCCTCTTCTTGTTCCTGTTCCGCCGCGCGCTACACCAAGTCGTTCAGCACATCGCCGTATTCGCAAAAGCCCACGACTCCGGCCCCAAACAACACAACGCCTTCGTCCGACAGAACAACCCATTTTGGATTCGAGGATGGAGTGTCCGAGGCAGAAAAGACGGAGCGTGTTGCGGGTGTCTTTCATAGTGTCGCCGAGTCATACGATCGCATGAATGACCTCATGTCGTTTGGATGGCATCGCGTGTGGAAGTAGGTCACCACCTGGTTCCTTTTTCTGTATACCGTGCACAATAGTCATGCTAATCATCAGCCCTGTCCTTCCAGAGATCACTTCGTCAGCTCCCTGAACCCTGGCCTCTCGCCGCATAACCCCCCGACCCCTCAAAATATACTCGACATTGCTGGAGGCACGGGTGATATTGCCTTCCGCATGCTTCACCACGCCCACCAAGTCAATGCAAACCCGGACGTCCGCGTCACCATTTCCGATATCAACACGTCTATGTTAGCTGTTGGAAAGCAGCGGTCTCTTTCCCTTCCCGCCTCGCAACAAGCGGCCCTCTCTTTTCTGCCCGCCGACGCCACTGTGTTGCCCGAGTCGCTGAAACCGAATTCGTTCGACCTGTACACAGTTGCCTTTGGTATCCGGAACTTCAGCAACATCCCGCAGGCGCTAAGGGAGGCATACCGCGTTCTGAAGCCTGGTGGCGTGTTCGCCTGCCTCGAGTTCAGCAAGGTGGGCAACCCGCTCCTGAACGCCGTGTACAAGCGGTGGAGTTTCTCGGGCATTCCGCTGGTTGGACAGCTGGTGGCTGGAGATCGCGACAGCTACCAGTACCTGGTGGAGAGCATCGAGCGGTTTCCCACGCAGGAGGAGTTTAGGAACATGATTGTGGATGCTGGTTTTGTTGTTGGAGGCGATGGCTATGAGAATCTGACGGGAGGCGTGGCGGCCATACACAAGGGAATGAAGCCGTTGGATGCCAAATAAGACTTGCACCGACGAGCGTGCGTGTGTGCGTGTGTATATATAGGACTGTATACTACTTGGTACTGGTACTTGTACTTGTACTTGCCAGCGGCTCTAGACCTGGTTCGACATGTAACTATAGATGGACATGAGGGGACAGCCGAGCACTGTACATTAACGCAATTGCATAATGCGATCGTGTAGATGTCCACTGAAGAAAATTAACAGGATTTCGCAACATATTTATGGTGTAATAAAAGCGTCCGTGACAGTGCGTGTTGCATTTCTAACTGACAAACAGAGGCAGGGACATGGATTTGTTCAATGAATTTTCCAAGCTCAGTTCAGTGGCTATGGAGTTTTTGTTTGGTATACCTATGCACGGCATGGCATGGCATAGGATTTTGCATAAGAAATAAGTTAGGCGTACGTGCTTGTAATGCAAGCGATGAAAGTGTTACGTGGCTCTGAGCTGCGAGATAGCAATGCGTTTTATGTAATTCATGTATAAGATTAGCGAGTGTCATGCATAAATCTGCAATTTCTGGAGCTACCGCGTACGGATACAGTCGATGAACATTGCACACGTGCACGCGACACAAATGAGCCAGAAATAGCTACCGATATAGAATTGTTAGTGCAGGTGCCCGTATGGAGCACGGAGTGTGTACACGAGGCCTGGGCACAGTGCTCATCTGGCAACGTTGGCCACAGTGCTGGTTGCTGGTTGCTGGTTGCTGGTTGCTCTCTGCTCCCTTGCTCGTGCCCCATGCTTGTGGATACCTACCTTAACTTTTCGACACCTGCAGCCTTGCGCTTGCTTGATTGTTGGAGGCCAACTTTGAACACCATGCCTATGTAAAGCTTGACGTGGAGGCCCAAGGACCATTCATTGGACTGGACCTCGAAAGACCTCCTGTCCTGCCGTCGAGTGCCACCTGCATGTTTCCCCTGGACGGCTGAGCAGAGTGGCACTAGTCTTGTAATGGAGGCATGAGCCCAGCTACCATCTGCGCGACAGCTGACAGAACCTTCAGAGTAGGACGACATGTGCAGGACCACAGCTGGCCATCTGGGGAAAAAACCACGAGGTCTTTAGCCTAACCATGAACAGCCAACTGTGCAGTAGTAGTTATATCACCGTAGCAAGCGTAGGTAGTTACGTTGAGGCAGTCTAGAGGTCACCGTAGGCACATCAATCAGGCATTGGTTTTAACGTTAGTACCTAGGCAAGGCAAAGGCAAAAGGCAGCGCAACGAGACAGCACCCTGACCCAGCTCCAGCTCCAGCTTTACTTCTCTTGGAACTTGCAACTTGGATCCAATATCCCATCCCGCAACCAAAAAGGAAAGAAAAGAGCAGCACGTTTTTATTTTTTTTTCTTCCGTGCCTCGTCTTCCATCCCATCCTTAATTACGTCCTGGTCTTGCCATCTAATTGATACCCCAGGCTTCTTTACAGCAACAGCTCAGCACAGCAATACCTGTTCGTCAAGGCCCGTTTGTTGAAAAGTGTTGGACCTCGAATCTCGAACGAATCGAAACTCGAATACTCGAGAGACAAGAAAAGAAAGGAAAAAAAAAGGACAATCCAAAGCTCCCCCCTTCCGAGAGACTCACGCGCCCCGTGACTTCCCTCCATTGTGCTGCAGAAGAGTATATTCAACATTCTCTGCCCACGGTCGCCGCACGAACATCAATCGGTTGATCCATCAATCCCATTACCTTTCGAAACATTCACTTCTCGACACACGCTTGACCCATGGCTGTATGTCAACCCCATTCTCCTTGCGACTGAACCAAGATACCCTACCTGCCTGGCCCTGCTTCAGACATGGTGGGAAGCTTCACTCGGCAACCCAACTAGGACATACAACTTGGTTGTACACACAAGTCCTGTTCGGCTGCTTCTGTTCAGCTCTCTAGTCCCCCTCCCCTCATCACATCTCTCGCACATTCCTGGCAGAGTTGCCAGCTCCCGCCCCTCTTCGGCTCAAGTTCAGCTACGCTCGTTTATGACCATCATCGTCAACATGGCAGCACCTTTTGCAGGCGGTCCCATGGCTCCGCTGCCTACCCCCCCTCCGAACATGCCTCCTCCGCCCGCTGGTCCCTTGGGCTCCAGATACGGTGGCTATCATCATGTCCACCCTGCAGCTCGCATGCGCCAGCAGGACCCCAGCCCGCGATACAACTTCGCCAGCAGCGATGTCAGAATTGAGCTTGCCCATGACATGACTGACCCTTTTACCCAGCAACCTCGCCAACCTTACAACAACCAAGGCTACCTGCCCAACGGAGCCAACAACAACATCCAGCCTGCTCCTGGCGCCACCCCTCTCTTACCGAACCAAGGTCGAGTCCTCCAGACTGGCCCCATCCGCGTTCTGTGCATAGCCGATGTTCGAGGTGAGTAGCCGCACCTCTATATGCAACCTTTTCTTCCGTCCCTTTTTTTATATGTTCTATATTACATATATAAAGAGAAAAGAAAACACAAGCACGAATAATGTCATTAACCCTATGTTTCACCTTCTAGGTAACCTACGCTCGCTCAACGACCTTGCAAAGTCAGCACGCGCCGATCACATTATTCATACTGGTGATTTCGGGTTTTACGATGACACCTCGTTGGAGCGCATTGCGGAGAAGTAAGCCTGCTTCTACAGACCCCGACAGTCCATTCCCCTTCCCAAAAGCCAACACAGTACTAACCATAATTGCGAAACCAGGACTCTCAAGCATGTTGCCCAATACTCGCCCCTGATTCCCGAGCATGTCAAGAAGTCGATCGCATCAGGTCCCGGCGGGGTCAAGTCGCGCTTCGCCCCAGAGCAGCTGCCGCTTTCCGAGCTGTCGCTGCTCCTCAGTGGCCAAGTCAAGCTAGACGTCCCCGTCTACACTGTTTGGGGAGCATGTGAGGATGTCCGCGTCCTGGAGAAGTTCCGATCCGGCGAGTACAAGGTTCCCAACCTGCACATCATCGACGAGGCTCGATCAATGCTACTGGAGATTGGAGGCGTCAAGCTTCGACTTCTCGGTTTGGGTGGTGCTGTCGTTATGCACAAGCTGTTCGATAACGGCGAGGGCCGCACGACCATTGCCGGCGGTCAAGGAACCATGTGGACAACCCTTCTGCAGATGGGCGAACTAGTCGATACTGCCAATCGCGTCTACGACCCGACCGAGACCCGTGTCTTTATTACCCATGCCTCTCCAGCCCGAGAGGGTATCCTCAACCAGCTGTCCGTCAGCCTCAAGGCCGACTTCTCCATCTCGGCCGGTCTGCACTTCAGATATGGAAGTTCTTACAACGAGTTCAGCGTTAACCCTACTCTGGATCACTACCGCGGCAAGTTGGCTGCCTCCAAGGCCTCGTTCAACGATGTGTGGGAGACGGTCAAGAATGAGGTCGAGCCAGCCATTCAGCAGAACGAGGCTCAACAGAACCTGCTCAAGAATGCCCTTGGACTGGTCGACAAGATGCCCACGACAGCCGCCGGCGGAAACCCTTTCGGCGGTCCTGTGGGTGGCTCAGCTGCTCTTGGACAAGTCGACGAGAGTGCTTTCAAGAACATGTGGAATTTCAATTTGGCCGATGCCGCTTTTGGCTGGCTGGTCTTGGAGATTCAGGACGGACGTATTGGTACCGAGATGAGAGCCCAGGGTTTCAACTTCTCCCACCGCGGTGCCAAGCAACAGCCCGCCGCTCCGTTGACCAGCACTCCCTCGCCCGCGCCTGCTGCCAGTGGCCTCTCTTCTGCTCCCACGGCCTCGGTTCCTGCTCCCCCTACTGGTCCCCAGCGTAACCCTTCTTCCGCCGCTCAGGCCAAGTCGGCAGCCGCCACCCCTCTGCAGCCCAAGCCCGCAACCCCCAAGCCTGTTGCATCCTCCCCTGCCCCCGGTGCTGCGGGTAGCAAGGAGAACGAGCGACCAGCCGGTGCTAATGGCGCACCGAGTGCTCCCGAGACTGCCCCTTCGCCAGCCCCCCGAGGTGCCGCGGCTGATATTGTCGGTCTCTTCGTCATGAACGTCCAATCTGACGAGCAGACTCGCGATATCTTCCCCGACGAGCACAGGTCCAAGATCTCAAAGGTGGACAAGTGGGGTACCAACAGCAACAACAAGGTCGCCCACTTTGCCAGCACCGAAGACCGGGATGCCGCTTTGGCAAGTCTCCCTGATGAGTACAAGTCTCGCCAAGGTGAGGACCGATCGAAGCCCCTGGTCAAGCTATTCCAGCCGCGCGAGAGCAACAAGACTTTCCCCCGCGGTGGTGCAGGCACCTGGGGTAGCACCAGAGGAAACCCGAGCGGCCAGAGTGGCTACCGTAGTGCTACGGACCGTGGGACCGCTAGCGGCGGCGAGAGCGGACCTGAGTCTGGTAGACGAGGAGGTCGAGGTGGATCTCGTGGTAGGGGCGACCGAGGCGGACGAGGAGGTCGAGGCGGCCGCGGTGGTGTGAAGGGTGGTGAAGGCGGCAATGCCTCACCGGCTCCGACATCGTCGGCACCTGTGGATTCTTAGATGCTGGGACCGGCGGCCGTGTGTCTCTATGCCACATTTCTTCTTCACATACCCGTTTCGCCTTTTTGTTTTTGCCATTGATAACTTGATTCTCGCAGCAGAAGCGGCTTCTGTCGTTTAGACTGGCGATCTATGGACTATAAAAAGTTTTTGCCAGTTTGGAGGGAAGGTCTTTGACCCGGAGGACATACCCTTTTCACGAATACGCAGAGATGGTCTACTTTAGACTTGCTCATGCTAGAATCGCACATGTACTAAAAGAACAAAACAAAAAAAGATGACTACGTAATCGTACACTTGGGCATCTGCTGTGAGACTTTTGCATCCTTGTATCTTTTGTTTGGCGTCTACATGATGTCGCTCGCGAGATAATTACGTGCAGAATTTACTCTTGGCGGGCCATAATTGAAAGTTGTCATGGCATGACAAGCAGCCAGTGGCCACGGTGCAAGCATGTGCCATAGATGTTATGCGTTGCTTGATGGAGTTGCCGCCGACCTCAAAATTTAACATGGTAGATGATTCACCAGGTATTGAGTTCTACGTGAGTTTATGGATCGAATGTGCTGAGCATTTCGGCGTTCATGTATGTATAACACCGCATGCTGACGAGGTGGACACGAGTGGCCCGAGTGGGTAGATACATGGACCATGCTGCTGGGGAAAGTACCACCGTTAGATGGAGATGCCCCATGACGTGATTCGGCCCACTGACTGGTGGGCTCTATTCATGTAGCGGGGTGGCGTAATGGGTTTATGCAGTTTGACGCGTGATGCTAGCTCGGAACCCCAAGACGCGTGCCAGCCCAACCCGCATCTCGTCCCATCCCATCCCATCCCTGTAAGCACCAGACGTTCAGCAACCTGCAAACCGGCCTGTCCGGTGATAAGATACTACTCACCGTACTCTCTTCACGCCCGTTGTTGTAGGATACATACTGGAGTGAGATTGTACACAGTGCCGCGACACTTTAGTCATATACGAGCAGGCCAGGTGCCGCAACAGTGGTCGTGGAGGGCTACGATGCCTGTTCAAACGAGAGCTGCTGGCCAACCGCAGGCCTCGAAGGTGTACAGGGCTGAAGTCTCGGAGCCCAAGCAGCAGCACTTTCCGAGCCGTCGCCGCCATATCAAGACATATGGCCGCCGCACTGCTCCCAAACGCATGGACCAAACGCTCACCCAGATGAACTTTGTCTCGTCAGCCGCTCAAGAAGAGCTGCAACTTCTGAGCGATGATGAGGATGGCCTTGGTGCAGCAGACCCATCCCCGGTAGCGTCTAAGAAGCGCGCGAAGAAGAAGTCGGGCCGTTCAACTAGACGGAGGACCATGGGCGATGTGGACGATGACCAGGAGCACGAGAAGCCGCGGGACAGCAAGAGGCGCAGGACCATGGGCGATGCCCCCAGTGCGCCAAGCAGCTTCCATACACAGACTTTGACACAGTTCTTGTCTAGTACCAGCAAGGATGATGATGACTGGGACATTCCCGACTTGGACGGCGAAGACGATCTGGGCATCATCAAGGAGACACCGAAGAAGAAGAAGCAGAAAGAGGGTGCTTCTGGACATCAGGCTTTTCTGTCAGCTGCGGCCAGATCGGTCACACCTTCCAATCGCATGACCAAGCTAGAAATTCCATCCTCTCAATCACCGGCCACACCATTGTTATTGCGTTATAGTCCTGCCAAAGAACCCTCGCCTCTGAAGAACAAGTCCGCCAACATCGCTGCATCGCAATCCGTCTTGAAAGGCACCTCCAAGATGCCCAGGGATAAGGTCATCCAGGACTCCTGTAGTACCACTCACAGTTCGCCTGTTACGCCAACGCCCAAGGCAAAAGTTAGAATGATGCCCATAGGAACGGTCACCCCTGTAAAGAAGCTTCGTTTTGAGCTTCCGGAAGACAAGGAGAACATTACGCCAGGGAGGACAAAACCAAAGTCCCCGAAGCCGGCGTCCCAGAAGTCTTCGAAGCGACAGCCACTTTCGGAGGTGCCTGATTCAGATGGCGAGTTCGATGATACAGAGAACGAGGAAGACGACATTGGTGTCTCCGTAGCTGACACCCCAGAGCGCTTCACGAGGAGCAGGAGTAGTGCAGATGAAATCATCATTGCTACAGATGCAGATGTAGACGTAGATGAAGTTGAAGACGAGGGCCATGTGCAATATTCTGTTGGAGTAGAGACCCAAGTCCTTCTTGTCTCTTCGGGGGATCGTTCCAGTCTAGAGCTCGGCACAACCAAATCGCCTAGGACACCGCCAATTGAAGATACCAAACGTCAAGAAGGAGCCGTTGGGAGATATGGGTCCACGAGCAATACACACATCACAGTGCAGGCGGAAGATGAAATCATCGAACATATCCCAACAGAAAAGCTTGACAATCGGTCGGATGAAATCGCCGCCAAAGAACACCAGGACTACACTCAAGCCTTGACGCAAGGAATAGAAAGTCAGCGTGTTCCACTGGAGACTATCAAAGCCACGGGCCCGATTACTGACAAATCCGACATCATCATCTCTATCTATGGCCAGCACGTTGAGAACATGGTAGCACGAACCAAAACGCATGAGTTTCGCGACTGGAAATTCCCTGCGTCCGTCCATCGTGTCTGGATATACATCACGAGACCGAAGAGCGAGTTGAGATACATGTGCATCTTTGGTCCACCAAAAACCGCTGGGGAGATAGGTGGAGATGGTATTGGCAATGCCGATTTCAATAAGGGTATGAAGCGTTCCAAGTTCGCCTACGAAGTTCTTCACATGTATGAGCTTAACAATCCGGTATCGTTGAAGCTCCTGAAGCAGAATGGTTGGCCGGCCGCCCCACAAAAGTTCTCCTATGTGCCTCCGGCGGTCGTAGGTCAACTCACGTCGAATCTTAGATGTGCCTTATGGGATGGTGACACGGATCAGGACATCATCCACAGCAGCCCAGATGTTACGGAATCCCAAGAACTTGCGGATCAGATCAGAAGTGACATGAGTCATGCAACGGAAATAGGGGGGCCGCCGGATCATGCAGAGGTGATTCCTTCGAGTCAGTCACCACCTCGAACTATTCGGAAGAGAAGCACTCCAAGAGGTGGCAGTGCATTCGCTAGACCAGCATTGCCCGAGACCCTTTCTGCCTCCTCGTCTCGTTCTCTGCCAAGATCACACAGTCAAAAGGGCCGTGGGGACCTACGTGCCTCACAAGCCACGACCATCAGTCAGGTTTCAACGTCAAGCCCTATGGTGTCCCCCGAGAAGTCCGTGCCATTGCCGTCTATGATAGGTGCACGGCGGGCTGCGCCCCTCCGACTTCCAGAGACGAGCAGTCCCACGGCATATCGACAAAGCCATCATTCGTTACGGTCTTCGCAGTTTCCAACCAAGAGCCAGATGCTCCCGGATAGCTTGTTGAATGGCGACATTCAAGAACCACCGCCGATTATTTGGGATTCAGCGGACGATGAGTCGGATTAACTAGTTTGTGTAATTTTGGTTCTGGAAGCGATAGGCGTTTATGGACACCACGTGGGATTGAGCACCGTATGCAAGGTCATGACTGTCACATGGAATTCACCACAATTGGCTATGAGCCCTGGAACAGTGGCTCGTGTATAGCTAGGGCCCGCATTGCCGAGGATATGATTAGGGAGTTCGTGTATTTAGGAAGCATCAAAGTCAATGATATTCAGCCACTGCGTTTGCGTGGTTGAAACCGGCATGATGAATAATTGTGCTTGATGCGACCAGACTAGGTTTTAAGAAGACAATTCTATGCAATGTTTCTATCCGTGATTGGCCACAGCATCAACCTCCAACCACCCAACCTCTTCTATCGCTTGTCCTGTCCTGAACTTCTGGGGTAGGATGTCGCTCAGACCATCCGAATGACGCTGAAGAGCCACGGTGGGCGTCTCCTATGGCTATCATATATATCAAACGTAATTTACACGAATTCTATGGTACAATCTCATCACTGGCGGTGCGGTGGTATTCGCTGTTACCACGGTCACACTCTCGTGGTAGCCGTACAAATCTAAGCAGTAAGAACGCTACACCACAAAGCACCGCAACACCCAGATAAGGTAATCCAATCCAAATACCTCCTATCCGCATGCCGAGGGTGAACAAACCAGCCAACATAGGCTCAGCGTAAAGACTTCCCATGACCTGAACGATGCCCACCAGGCTGAACATACGAGTCCGGTGCTCCTTGTCGATATAAAAAGCCAGTGTGCTTGGAATGTAGCTCCCCGCGCCTGATCCCAGGGCCAGAACGAAGAGTCCACAAACAAAGACCGGCAACGAGGGAGAAACACTCATCACGAAGGTACCCAGGACAACCGCCACGAAGGACCCCTTTAAGAATGCAAGATCCCGCTGCTGCTCGTTGGCCATGCGAATCCATTTGGGACTGTTCGATCGCAAGACCAGCTTGGATGCGTAGGGGATGATGAAGAGAATAAAGAGAATGTGTGCCCCTCCGTATGCGCCCTGAACGTAACCCGTATAGGCCAGCTTTACATGATAACGCTTTGAGACGTACTGCGAAAGGAACTGTAGTGTGCACAGTATGACTGGCGTGAGAGTGATGGACCCAAACAAAAGTAGAATGACGGACAGGTTCTTTAGCATCGAGAGCGAATCTCTCAGTTCAACCAGCGAACGAGACAAGCGTGCACTGAACTGTAAGTCTGGACGCAGGTCGCCGTGGTCTTCCGTGGCTGCTGCCTTGGTAGTGAGAGTTTCTGGCACAAATAAGATGCCAGCAGCTGGCAGGGTACCGAGAACCACGGATAGCCACAGCAATGGCCAGGGACCTACCCGCGGCATCATGACTGAGGAAATCATGGGAGAGCAGAGGTTCCCGAGCATACTTGCGATGTGAACCCGCATGAATCCGATAGCCCTATAAACATGTCAGCAACAGCCCGTGATTTGACACTCTGACTCTTTTCTTTTTCTTTTATCTGGCGTTTGGGCCAGAAGGAATACATATCCTCAGGTGGGCTGGCCTTGCCGCATGGTTGGCGGCGGCTTGTCTAGTTATGGAATCTAAACGCCCTGAGCAATGCTCCGAGGTATGAGAACGTACCTGTCTGCTTCGGGTAGAACGTCTGACATCAAGCTACACATGGTGCCATTCAACACTGCGTTGCCTCCGCCGATGATTATTGCGAGGGGCCCGAGACAGTAAAGTCGAATGGGTAGAGCATCGCCGAACCAACCCACCGCAATCTGCCAGATCGTTTCTAGGGTCATGCCGATCAGACCGAGCACGAATACGGGCCGTCGGCCAAGTCTAGAGTCTATCAGTATTTGCTGCCGCGACAGTTTCTTGGTGAGCTGATGAGTAGGGGACCAACCGATCTGCAACTAAGCCCCATGGCATTGCGACGAAGCAACCCAAGAGTGCCCCAACGAATGAGTTCAAAGCAAAGAGATATGCCAGCCGCGACTGCACGACATCCACCTTACATAGCTCTTCATCGATGGGCCCGGGGCTCGAGCTTATGCTGTCGTAATACTCCCGACAGAACCTATCCTCGAGTATCCTTGTCATGGGGATAGTAAAAAAGCCGCCGGAACCCGATAAGACGAAGATGACAGCACAAGCGATGGCCACGATCGTGTCAGGATCCCGGGCTTTGGGCACGTTTATACTGGTAATCGAGACCGCCGAGGTGGCTCTACTATGCCGTGGTCTCCTAAATGAGGCTTTCGGTGCTCCATCACCATTTTCCAGCAATGGTAATGTTTCATCGATCTTGTGGGCACTACTACTAATGCGATCCATTGTCTTCGTGTTTGCTATCAGATGAACTGCAGGGCGTGATGGATGGTCGTTTGGATGGTGTGGAAACGGGTGGTGTTGGATCAACTCTGTATCTCAGAGTCCCATTTATACATGGACCTCCTTTATGTGCATCTGAAAGTAGGAGAGAGTGACTTGGGCTGCCAGTAGGTTGATATGAGCAGGAATGAAATGGCGATGACAAGGAGATTGCGCGTCAAACGATTGTGTAATATCACATATTATATGGACTTGTAAAGAGTGACATGGCCTAGATCGGATAGGAACAAAAACACGAAGGAAACACCGATCTATGTTGGATATATTACGGATACCAAATCTGAACATATCCGGCGACGGATCCTGCTGGTCGGTGTTGATAACAAGGCTCTCGGAGTTCGGTGTTGTCTTTGAGACCAGCCCGCTTATCCGCTCATGACGTGATACCCCGGCTCGCTGCCAGCGCGTCTAATAATCTATGCCTCGATTCCAGATACAAGCAGCTTGTTCAATCGTTTGCAGAGCCGACTCTCAGCTACCGTAGAATAGACGGATGAGCGCCTAGCTTAATTGCGCGGCGCCATACGTATGAGAGTTGCATCCCCTAACCTTAGGGGACTAAGCTATTCCGCATTATGGCTAATCATTGGCGCCTTGACCTGTCACCAATCTTCCGGCTTTCGCATACGACGCAAGTGTCGTAACAACAGGCAGCAGTATAACTGCAGCGTGGATGTTGAAAGCAGGCTCGCAAACTTTGTGGTCATATGATGTCTCTTAACAAACCATAATGGCCGACAGTCCTCTATTACTAACTACTTGTCTGAAAGTTGAAGAATGTTCGTACTACAAGGGCAAAAGTCCAGAAATCAGGGCCATGCACCAAGTTCAGCTGAGTACTGTGTTTTCTCATTGGTTATATACGCGTCGAATATGGTAAGTAAAAGTTTGGTGGTGGCCGACACCCAACATGGGCAACTGATTATCATCCCGACAAATTGGTCAACGGGATATCACTGGCCTACAGTCCACTTGTTTGGTCTTCAAGTTGGAATGCATCCCAGTATCTGCATCTTCGCTCCGCCACGTCTGTGGACACTTGCCCAATCGATCGCACGGTCTGCGTCCGGGTAGTACCTCGTCCGAAGGACTTGAAACCTGGGCCATGGTCTCACTCCCGACAGCAATACAAGACTTTGCGACAACCCCTCATATGGTGGTATCCATTATGATTCGGTCTCCCTAAATTTGACAAAATGACGTGCTGGGTCAGAGACCACCACTTGCATTGATACAGGCAAAATGTAGCTCCAAATAATCATCCGATAATACTATCTGAAAACAAACAAGGCCGACTGTCGAAGCGACTTATCGGTATACCGGACAGAGAGAGCATATCCAATATAACGGTCAAGCCTGCAGGTGCGGAAGAAGGAGACCTCATAAATGATATGGCTGTCATTCCGGATCGCCGCTTGCACTACTTTAGTCGTCTTGATCGGAATCCGAATCGAAGTTAGGATCGGGCATAACGACTGAGTTTAGGAATGTGACCTAGGGAGCATGAGCAAAAGCTAAAGCAACATTGGGGAATAAACACCCTACATATTCAACCATGGGATCAATGATCGCCATAATCTTATCTTGCGCGTTGGAGCTTGTCAGGTCAGAATCTTTGATCTTCTGCCCGACGGTATAATTGCGTAGTTTCAATAGCTCGATATCTCGATGCTCAGGATGAAAGCCCTGCATGTCACGATTAGCCTACTGTGGCAAAGATAGACATGGTTACCAGTATAAGATGGCCCACATCCAGACATACCTGTGGTCTAGTCTTCAGTGCGTTCTCCTGATTGGATTGACAAAAGGCCGCAATGACCGCGGCCTCATTGTTGTTTGCTTTGGGTAGAAATGCCCTACGAAAGTTGGGGTTCATGAGGACACGTCGTAGTCTGTGGGGGCGTTCATCGATGTTGGCTCGTAGCTTTGCCAAAGCGTCCTTGTCAGGATGCCAGAGGCCACCTCCTACGAAGCAGCTGCCAGGCTCGCAATGAACATAGTAACAAGCGTATGGGCCTTTCCTCCCAGTGCGTGACCATGCTGCGGAATAGTGCGGCTGTTTGTGAGTTAGCATGAGCTCGGGCTGGGCAGGGCCGGCCAGGCCAAGGCAAAGATAAGGTACGGCGCGAGCCAGCGTATCAGCAATGCAACTCACCTTATAAGGCGTTGGGTCTTTACTGAAGCGAATATCCCGGTAGATACGGAATATGACATCTTTCAAGGGGAGCTCAGGAATCGTCTCATCCGACTCTATTATCTTGTCGGTAAGGGTCTCGACAAACGACTCCCAATCCTTCAATGATCGCCGAAATTCGGGATCGCGCACTGTTGTGTGTAAATTAACTTAAGTCCAAGGTTTGGTGTTTGGAGGGGGTGGATCTTACTCTTTAACCATGACCTCTTATTGTTTTCTTTGAGATCCTGCAGGAATACCATCGTGTTGGGGTGGACGATTTGCGGCTCATAGTCGATTCCGCCAGTTTCACGTAGTTTTGGTAGGGGAATGAACTCAACCTGAGGAGACTCGCCATCGCTGTCATTCTCGTCTGCTTCGTCGTTGTCGTCTTCTGGTACAGTCTTGGTTGTGGGGACTCGCCTTGAACCAGACCCTGCTACAGCAATATCAGTCACTCTCGCAGGACGACCTCTGCCCCTCTTCCGAGACAAATCGACCTCGACGTCATGATTATCGGCCGGCCTCTTGTTGGGATTGACCTTTACAGGACGGCCCCTCTTCCGAGACAAATCGACCTCGACGTCATGATTATCGGCCGGCCTCTTGTTGGGATTGACCTTTACAGGACGGCCCCTCTTCCTTGGCAGGGCGGGATGTGATCCAAAGCTATTCTCATCATAACTAGTATCTATGTCTGCATCGCCGAGCTGGACGTCACTAGACCGTGAGCCTTCGCGTACAGTTTTAGCTTTCGGCTTGACTCTCTGATACGCGGTCTTCAGTGGGGCCACCGAGCCTTCGGAATCATCGACGTCATTGTCGAAATAACGACTCCTGTTACCGGAAGAGCTAAGTCGTTGAGAACGTCGCATGGTAGACGCAATATAGACAGAGGAGAAAGTGCTATGGGAATTGAAAGAAAATGTGTTTACGGCATAGATAGATGGTTATTATAAATGGAGCATATTTAGGCACAATATGTGAGAGGTGGGTTCTGAAGTGAAATCGCGTTACTAATACGCGCGCATTTTCAAAATGCAACGCGAAGTCACGTGATTATACTTTATGCATATAAAAGTAAAACATTCACATAGTTGGAAATTTATATTATATTAAGATACATAGTTGTATTATAATAGATGTTTCATTGAACCTTTTAATTCGGTTTCTTTTAATATATTCTGTTGCGCTAGGCACGTTGGCGAAGCCACTGTAGTAGAGAAAGGTGTTATATAGAGCATGCCTAACTACGTATCAATGGCATTAGCGTAGCCAATGTTATGGCTAGCCCTCGGCCAGCACCGTGTGTTAGTCTATCCTGACATGCTGCGTTGCGATTCCTCTACCTCTCTCGTGAGCTTTATTCTGGCAAAGCGGAGTATAATCAATGCCAGGCACCCAACGTCCATTGTGTCTCACACAATGCGTGCGGAATGTCGATTCCCTCGTCATCCAAGACGAAGCGCGTCTACATCTATGTTTGTGCGGCTATTGACACCCGACTGGTCTGGGTCGGAAGCACATGTATACGAAAACCCGCCAGGCGATTACAAGTCGGACGACTGTCGACAGCGAGCTATGGGATCAGATTAAATCATATAAAGCGGTTGGGCCTAAGAGGAAACCCTCCAAGCCTAAGACGGAGGTGTACCTAAGTCGTTAAAAGGAGACTTGAACCTAGACTAGTTAGTAAGGTCCTCTAGCTGTGCGCCAGTTTTCTTAACTAGTAAACAAAGCTATTGCCTAGAATTACAAGCATAGCTAATCAAGCAACTCGTAAACGCAAACTCCGTAGTTTTCTAGGGCTGTCTCGGCTAAAGATTCAAAGATGGCAAGATCAAGAAGCTGTCCGCGGTAATAAGCTATTAGAAAGTTTTGAGCTTCATTCATGCGGTATCTTAGGATGGCCTGATAACGCGGTCCCGACATACTTGACGGGTGTAGGTGTTGATTTGACGGTAGATATCGACATCTTTAACATTGATGTTTCATTCAACAGGTCTTGAAGCACAAATATGATTTGGACGAGGAAGCTAAGGAGAACCCCGTGGTGGCAATGTTGACTGTGGCGACTGCCGGTGAAGCCCTACTGCCTGTCCAAAGCTTGGGAGACATTTTTCGATTGCGTGTTCCGAAACATCATGGTTGGATCGCTCTACACATGTAACCCGAGTGCATGGTAAGGGTTTTTTTAATTTATTGTGAATTTCTTTTTTTCAGCCTATGGCCATCTCGAAACTAAATACGACTATCATTAAGCCCAATATGCTCTTGTGCATCTCGACAAATCCTGTGGCTACCTCAGCACACTTATGCTATCCGACCTGCGCCGTGCTTTAAGCAAGGGCTTAATGAAGAATATATACTTGAGGGGCGTGTTCCGATCACGGATCATATGGGCGGAACATCAGCCACGTACAGGCGGCACAACATACCGGAGTAGATCGAAATATTTCGTTCGTGTACGTTGGCGTTACGCTATAGGACAATCTGATTCGAACGATTGGAAGAAACCCTTAGAATAGGCTGGTTTCCACCAAGTTTTCTAAGGAACAGCTAGATGAAGTCAACAAAAATCCGCGGTTATTGGAAGCCGTCGTGAAACGCAATCAGCTATTAGCAGAAATTCGAAGCCAATACAAGACAGTTGGTTCAAGCCAGGGTTCTTGAGGCTGATTCAAAAGCAGTTTCTATAATCAAGAAATACGACAAAGCTGTTAAAGAGGTATTTAGTGCTCACGTCGCTTTCTACAACCAATGTCTTCGTCCATCAATCCAAGACTTCCATGCCTCATCTGACCTTGATTTGATGCAAGGAGCGGCACAAAATCCTCTCGAATCTCAGCTAATGCCCTTGGTGAGTTGCCAGGCCAGAACGAAGCGGAGTTGCTCGACTCGTAAGAAAGTCAACAAAATACGTCGAGGATAACTTACTGTACGAATATCGAGTCGCCCTTGTGGGTAAGATGGTTAGGCTTTGCCATGTGAGTCAAACTCCCAAGCTTTATCGGGGAAAGCGGCAAACGACGGGCAATGCCAGTGCCAGTTAAACCAAGCAAGGAAAGAAAGGTTTCACATGAATACACTTCGTAGACGGTCTACATCTCCAAGTTGGGTACTGGCCCAGTAGACTTGTCACGCCCATTCTGCCAGCTCGACTCCTACTTGGATCCGATAAAAAGAGACTCCAGTATTCGCGGGTCGACAGTTGTCTGGCCAGTGTGAAGAAAAGCAATAGCCTTGGATTTGAGTGTCCTTATGTTGGCTGTCCGATCACATTTATGGGGTAGGGGGCTTTGATGGTCACGCACATACATATCATGCGGTGTGAAGTCTCCGTGCCCAACCTTACCGAAACTTCCTGCTGGCCCATGGGTTCACTCCCTGGAAGGATGTACGGTGACTTGACACAAAATTGCCAGCATTTTATCAAAGTCACAGTAGCGTAGTATTAAAGTAAATCTTGTAATACACCGTTATTGCATCTTGTGACTCGCATATATTTCGCAGAGACCCTTGGTTATCGAGCGCCAAGGTTGGATTGTTGTCAATTTCTTCCACTTTCTCTTCATAGGTCTAAACTTCTCGAAAGCCTGAGCTAATATCTTTCCACGACTGGTTTCATACTTAATAGAGGCGGCAACCACGTTCTCGGTAAACTGGACCTGATCCCCACACATGGCTGGCCCTAAGCCAGCCATGGCATCGGCGTGAGGCCAGCCATAGCTTTGGCTAGGCCAATACCATAGATAGGTAGCTAGACATGCTTTATACAACACTCTTCTCTGACCACACGTTGGCTATGCCAACATGCCTAACACATAATGATCAGATGTTGTGTTCAATCGCGATCATTTGGCGAAATTGCCAGTTCAGTCTCGGCCACATCAACAAAGTCATAAGTACTTGTGACCATTACGTTAGACGGTCCGGTCTCCTGGCATTCGCAAAAATTTCCTGCCTTGTCCCCATCGTCCTCCGCCTCTACCTCCCTCATATCGAATCAATGCTAGCTGATAAACGTAGAACATAGTGCAGTCGATAATAAGAAGACCTGTAGACGTGTAGATAGAAACTCCTAGCTACGTTATTTAGCAACACCTTGACAATGAATATGCTAATTTAGGTCAATTCGAGGCAGACATATCGACCCACTTAAGCACGATCACTGTACCTGCAGTTCAGTTAGCATCAAAACACCACTGTACACTTCTGTTATTACAGAGGAATCCTTACAACGACAAATGGGACTACATTATCAAGTGTTATAGTGAGCTTTGCCGTGAGCATTTGCTCTGAAGTGTCGCAGGCTGGACTGCTTGTCATGCATGGCTGTGGTGGGCTTGAGTTTGCGCGTGCGCGCAATATCATACAGAAGATCGTTCCAGACTTGTTGAACTGGCGCGTGAAGATAACTCGCCTTCTTCAGCCAGTATGAGTAACCCAAATCGTAACGTCATGCGTCTTCTCCACGCCGGTGGGATTGCCAGATACCGGAGTTTATTACTCGAAGCAAGCTGGCGCAATTTCATCAAGTCATATTGAAGGCTTTTTATAAGTTCCGTGCTTTAAATGAGTGGTTTATCATACTGTATAAAGCAAGCTAATTATGTGGTACTAGGTGATGCAAATTTTTTGTGTCCTCATCGTCTGTTAATTCGGCTCCCTCACTGCATTGGTATTCATTACAAAGCCAATAGTGTTACACATGTCAATGCGAGTCAACTACAGTGAAAGGCAATAGATATGAGACTCTATCGTTACTTTCTACCATTGAGATGTGTATTGTGACGATTATACTATCGGGTTGCACAACCACAAATAATAGAATGCAAGGGGGTTTATGCTAACAAGATATGCTAGCCACGAAATTGAAGACTATAGATATAGACCTTCAGGAATATACTGAGCAAAGAGATTCACAAGTGTAGTCGTCAAAGCGTGAGCTTCACCTATGGGTAAGATAGATGCTTAGATTGATCACTGAAGTAATGACTGTCTATGTAGAGTAGGAAACCCCATCCTTATTATATCCATTCATTCCTTCACTGTGATAGTTCTGCTCATTGGTGATCAGTGGAGGTATACTGATCATGGCTGAGCCTCATAGTCCTTTGATCAGTGCCGCTGTACTGATCATCACTGATCACGGCTGAGGGGTCACGTGTCCTCATTGTGGTCCTTGTCCAATCACAATGCTGCTTGCCAAGCCTTCTTCTTGTTGGTGCGTTCTGAGGACTTTCCTGCGGCCCATGTAATGGCCTCGTTCGTAACATGTATTGCCTTGCTTCTGATATCGACAGCTCATCTCAGTCAGGGGAATTTAGTCATATTCGTTAATGGGTTAGAAGAGTACGACGGCAACTTCACAACGTTAGCACAGTTCTTTTAAAAGCTAGTGAGGAATTCTTATGCCAAAACCATTATCTCTAGCCACATTCTGCCGGATTTTGTGGGTGTATTCGCAAATACACCTAAAATGCGACGAGAAATCAACTAGTATAGTATTTCTAATACAGGAAGAGCTTTTAATATTCAAGGGATAAATCTTAAAGGCGACTTACTTATAAGGGTTCGTCACCGCGTTTTAGAAAATTATAAAAACTAAGTAATATAATTATAAGTTTTAATTATCTCGACTATTATTTTAAAAACACCCCCTTTTAAAACGGAAACTTATTTAAACCCGAAGTTTTTAATAATATATGTTATAATTAATAACTTATAACTTATATACTATAACTGCTTTTAAGTTAAGTTAATAATTAAATGAACTTTATAAGCTTCGTTTATTATTAAAGTTTAAAATTAGTTAAATTAAAAGTGATAAAGACTAAGACTAAGACTAAGATTAAATTAGTCTTAATCTTAG